ATAGACTCTAGAGTAGTAGTACTATAGATTAGTCTAGAATAGACTGTCTTAATAATTTAAGACTATCTTAGATTTAATAACTTATTATTTAAAGAAAGTAGATAGTCTAGACTATATAGATCTAAGCTTAATAATTATAGTAAGCATTATAATAACTATAGCTTAAGTACACTAGCACTTAGACTTATTTTAGATAATCTTGATTAAGAAGGTTCTTCTAGATATAGAACTTATCTAGAATATAAATATAGAGACTCTACTAAACTTATAGACTTACTAGTTTAGTATAAAGATTATACTTATACTAGAACTAGTAGGCTAACTATATAGATATTAGAAGTCTATATATAACTCTAGAATATCTAGAGATATATTCTATATTAAGTCTCTAGAGTCTCTAAAGAAATTACTATTAATCTATATCTAATATTATCTAGTTATAGATATAATAGTATTATAAGAGATAAGTATAAGATACTAGAACTTAAGTATCTAGGCTATTCTATAGTATTAGGGTATTTAAGTTCTAGGTGATCTTTAGGACTTAAAGGAGTATAAGCCCTATATTTTTAAGAATATAGAGCTAGTGTAGAAGAGATATAAGATAAAGGAGGTGGTTATCTAACTATTTAAAGACTTATTAAAAGTCTAGTATATACTTCTTTATATCTAGAGTATAGTCTAGACTAGAAGTAAGTCTTACTAGGAGAAGTTTCTTCTCTAGAGATAAGATACTCTAATTCAGACTATAATATTCACTTAGAGCTATAAGATAGCTATCTAGAACTATCTAAAGAATTAGGATATTTAGAGAAGAACTAGAGATCTAGTAGAGGTATATTAAGTATAAACTAGAGTGTCTATATTTATATATAAGCTATAGACTTTAGTATACTTATAGCTAGAGAATCTAAAGTAGAGTAACCTACTTTAATAACTCCTTTATTAAAAAGTAATAGTTAAGATAGACTTATACTAGCTACTAGTTAACTAGTAGTAATATCTAATCTACTTATAGATATATATCTCTCTATATATCTTTATATAATATAAAGTTATAAGTATAGTTTAGACTAAAATAGCTAGGATTTAGTGAAACTTAGATAGCTTAGAGCCTTCTTAGACTCTATTAATTAATAAAGTTATTATCTTTATAGCTATAGATTAAAGTAATAGGAGATATAAGTATAGACACTAGTTTACTCTCTATTATAAGGTGGTTTAGATTCTTTAGAAGGTATATTTAATAATATACTGGGTAAAGGTTAACTAGTTTTAAGATAGGATAAGAATGGTTAATATCTATAGAGTAGCTATCTAGGATTAGATAATAGCTAACTAGATACTCTATACTAGAGAGTATTAGAAGGACTTAGATATCTTAAGATAGGACTTTTAGGGTGTCTAGAGTAAAGACTTTATTAAGATAAAGCTTATAATAGACCCTATATATCTATTACTATCTCTAGAACCTAAGGATAAGGCTACCTAAGTGTGGGTGGGCTAAGAGAAGGATATCTATATATAATCAAGTCAGGAACTAGAGGATTAACCTTCTAGGCTATCTATCTCTACTATATCTCTATAAATACTAGTAAGTGGGTATATCTTTAATTATGGGGAGTGAGTGGGTAGGGGGTTTGATTCCCCTGCTTTTGTGGCCTGTGTAGTGACTCTCTCCTTCCCTAGAGGATATATAGGTAGACTTAGGTTAGCTATATAGACTTCCGTAAAACAAATAAAACGAAATTATGCAGCTATTGCGTTGCTGCCGAGTTTATGCTGCCCGGAGTCACGAGGAGTCTGAGAGGAGTATTAGTCAAACATAAGTAGTATTACAGTGAAAGGCAAGTCTAGAAGGAGGAGAAAGTGAGCCTAGAAGGGGCAGAACGCAAGGCTGAGAGATAAGCAAGGTGACTCTAGGAGTAGAAAGTAAGGAGATTCAGGCGTAGCTACCCAAGGTCAAAAGCGAGAGGATCTCATCAGGGCTACAAAATTGTACACCGAGTTCACTAATCAGTGACCATTGATTGATTTCACGTAAGGTGCGTGGTCTGAAAGAAGGTGCTGCCCGAGGCACGAGGCGCCAGTGAACTTGTCTTGGAGGCACCACAGGGCCAACAACGCTATATATCGTTCAGGACCTCAATCCAGCCGACACATTGAAGGAATCAGATCTTCAAGATCGTCTCGTGCCTGCGACTGATGTGCAAGCTGTCAGCGAGTAAACTCACCTGAGGGAAGCCCAGAAATACACGCCCCATCCGCTGACATTTGTAGCCGCTTTGAGGTAGGCGAGAGGCAGTTATCGCACCGCAGGTCTGGATGAGATCGTGGGCATAGGACGTGGCAATGTAGAGAGACAGCATCGAGAAACGGAAGGACCGGTCATAGCACAGCAAGTTACTTGGAAGCGCGAATCGCACACGAGTAGAATTCGCGCCACACGGTAGAACACTGAAGCTCAACCAGTTGCCCAGGGCGAAATTTGCTACCTGAAGAGAGATACTTCTCGGCGTCTGCTGTTGCCTCTCCTGGCAAATCCAGTACAACAACTTCTTTTGGAGTACGTGAGAGGGCCTTGGTGATTTTCGCCATGTTAGAGTGAGTATCTTCACGGACAATTGATCCATAAGACCGAGCCTTCAAGCCGATCTCGGCGTACAGGTCGCCACTTCCAGATTGACAGTCTTCCTTCGGACGCTGCATTTAGACTTTCTGTACAGTGGAATTTGCAGATAGGATCTGGCTGGCGTTCGGTAGAGACCATACATATATGAGAAAAGCACAGAAAGCGCCACAAATCCCGCTCACAACATGGCAGACCTTCGCTGTTAAGCGTAACGGTCGTCAGTGGAAGACTGAAGCGATACACGCCAAAGACATATGCCTTGTCGCTCGCGGCTCAAGAGATGTCGTTGTACTCGATGTCACGGGACGTCGTCCGAGTCCAAAGAACATCGATCATCCTAACTCGCGTTTCAGTGCCACCATTGTAGCCTTGTGATCAGGACACAGCCCGCAGGATACCCACCAGCAAGGGACTTGGTCGAGTCGTAGCCGTGGTTTCTGTCGGTAGTCTGCCTGTCACCAAGTCAACATGCTGTACATCATAAAGAGCTAGCTATGGCTCTTGGCGTGCGTGTGCCGCGTTATGGCTGGATTCTGGCTGGGTCCTACCGTCTCAGAGCTAGATATGTCAGGACCAAGGGTGGGGATGGAGAAACAGCTCGTTGGCACAGTTTTCGTAGATCAGAGTGCCAGAGCCACTTCCAGAAGAAGGAATTCTGTAGCTACATGGCTTCAACGTCCGTGAAAGACCGAAAGAGCCATGGACCATTTAAGCCGTGGACAGGTATTCTTGCCTGTCCAGCATCTGTCATTTGTCAGATCATTTCACGAGAGACCTGCCTGTATGAACCTCCTCAACAGAGGATAAGCTGAAGTCGCAGTCACTACATCCGAACTCAATGATTGTGCAAGCATGCTGTGCTGGAAGAAGTTAATATAAACGGCCCGTAGCTCTCTGCTTTTCAGGGCAGATTTCACCTCGTCAATCTCCACCCAAAGAATGGAGGATGAGCACAAAGAGAGAGTGCATGCCAGGGCCGGTAACGTCGCAACTTCATGGAGCTGGGAGGCCAATGAAAGTGATGGAGGCGGGAGCTAGAACGTTCATCTTGGGTAGCCTGAAGGACGACGATACTCCGTCACATGGTACGCAACTGGATCTGCGGCGACGGAAGCCACGGCGCATTTGTCGATGTCGGTGCAGGCGACAAGCAGGAACCTCGTGTACTGACCGCTCAGGGCGACTGTAGTGCAAGCGACGTCTTCGTTAGGGCAGCCAGGACTGCAAAATGGCGGGGAGTAACCGATGAGGCTCTGACGCGACGGCACAGCCAGTGAGGACGGTCGTTGGAGACGTCGAGGATGCGCCCCAGCCAGCGAAGCTACCTAGAGCTACCTAGAGCTACCTAGACAGGCACAGTGCTCCGCTGAATGTGTCGTAAGAACGGCACCAGGATGGCAAGAACGTTCGTGTCATTGTCCGCGCAGTCGAGACTAGTGGCCAGGACAGAGGTGGCACAAAGAAGGGACCGAAAGCGTTGCCATGCGACGGTGTGCCTTTGAAATCAGTTCGGGTCATGCAGCGGCCTTCCTCTGCCGCTTGGTGTTGCTTCGGAGAGCGGGTCAACCATATGCGGACGTCAAGCGACCGCGCGATGACCTCCGTAGCCTTGGACCCACCATCTTCGACACCCTGGGCGATACAGAGCACGGGCTGGCCGATCGTTGCTGAAGTGTAGATCGAGCCGAACCGGGCCGAACGAGCTTGTAGGCGCGCCGACAGGAGCAAGGTCCTATCGTAGCTGAAGAGCGGTCACTGCTAGGCGAATGACACTGGCTTATGAGAACCTAAGCCATGTTACCAGCGATAGAGAGGTTTGGCTGGTAAGGAGTCGGCACCCTTGTTGACTTCGATCGCAGTCAGCGCGGCTGTTCATAAGTCTCAACGTGATGTGTCGTAATCTTGACAAAACTGTGAGTCGATGATCATCAGTACCTTCCCTCGGGCGTCCGGCTTCCCAGCCTTTCATTCTCGGGTCTGTATCGTAAGCGGGAAAGCGGGCCCCTTCAACGGATCTAGATCTGCGCCGACGTCAACCCGGGCTATGAGGTTCCCTTTGTTTTGGCTCCAATGTCCCAGGGATTGTCCTTGGCTTAGCAGAGACCGTTTCACCCACCCGACACCATGTGGCGGGCAGCACCCCGGTCCATCGCAACCATAACAACACATCTGCAACAGTTTCGGGTCAATCCAGCATTTGACTCGGATGGAGAGTAACAGCTTTTGAGAGGTCTCGAGATCCGACAATATGGCTCTTGTCGCTTTGTGTAGGCCGAGACATTGCCTTAGCCGCCTCCTCTATCGATGCACAAAACGCTGTTGAACTCCCAGATCAGCTCAGATCTCTAGAACTAGTCAGCAATTCACAATGAACCCAAAGTACATGCGCCCACCACCTCAGCTCTACTTCCAGCCTTTAAATGTATACGACTATCCTACGCCCATCATGACTCGCATGTACCAACCAGTAGTCCAGGTCCAGTACAGCTATGCGCCACTCCCCGAGCACAATCCAATTCTGGCCCAGCACACGCGAGTCCGACATCCGGCGACAAGACAGTCAGAACCCCAGATCCGCTGGTTCAGAACAGATACTGGTGAGAATATTGAGGAACCACACAGCAGAAGCCGAAACCACAGTAACAGAAGGGTCGGTCAGCGGAGGCAGCCGTTGAGAGCACCACGGCATGCCAGCAACCGTCGCAAACCACTCTCTCTCAGGGACCCGCGACCAACCCACCTCTTCAACCAACTCTGATTTGCACGATGCCTCCTGCGTGGGTCGGAACAGTGCCAGATGACATTCATATAACAGCTGTCGGCGGAGGACGAGTTGAAGCGCTTACAGACACGAGCCACATAACAGGACACGCGGGGATGGGTATCATGGATGTCGACATGGGTGACAATGCCATGGCAGCAGTGCAGGAGGGTCAGATCGAGCTCTCGGACGGATTCCTAGACTTGCTCAAGCAGGTCGAGATCTCATAAGATAACGTAGGCGAAAGCAGAGAGATGGGGATGGAATAGGGTTTTGGAAGCGGACCGAGTACAGCCCACCAGGCGTCATCGGCGGAATAGTGGGGTAGAATTGTCAGAGAGATATATACATATAAAGCAAAAATTTGCATCTGAATACCGTGGGAACTTCATCAGGTTTAATTCCTGAATTTCTCAGAGCAGGTGGTACGTGTCTTCATTGCCCTCAACACATCTTCATGCTAACAGATTTAGCTGTGGTGTAGTGGTAGCAGTAAGTTGACACACACAACGACACTCAACGCCGATGATTAACTCCTCATCAGCGTAACGTTGTGGTTTATCCCAGCAGCTCCGTTCCGACGGCGGTTCGATTCCGCCCAGCGCCAGTTGGTTTTTCTGTTTTTGCCTGTGCATCGCCAGGTTGTGAGGGAAGTAGGTAGATGTGTGCTCTGTAGAGGTCGGTCGACTGATGAGTCACGCCGCGAGGAGCCAGTTCTTGGCATTCGGCCTCGCCAAGCCACGGCCTTGCCTCACATCGTCCACCTTCACCTGCATTCCGTCAAGTAGGCGACAAGTGACGCAATGCCCGTTACTCTGGCAATGACGAACGCGACATAAAGCGGTCCCTACGCGACCGCAACTCCAAGGGTCAGATCGCTGAAGTGAAATTTCAAATCAATTCAGACATGTCGCAACTCTCACGCGTCAAAATGCCGTCTTCCTCGCCCATGTCGAGCCTGACACCCGTCCCGCCAGACTCGCATCATGATACTCAAGGCTGGCCCTACAGAGACACGCAAGAAATTCCAAGTCAACTCAACCAGCATCTACACGCCTACTACGAAGAAGACTTGAATGCTCAAGCCTTCGACTTCCTCCACTCCATCGTATCGAATAGCGTTTCGCCTCACAATCCAGCAGCCAAGGTTTTCATCCCGCCATCGCCACAGATCGCTCTAGCAGCCACGCTCGCAGTACATCCGAACACCACAACGCGCTCCGAGGACCGATCACGGCATGCGCAAAACATCTCGGCTTTCAAACTTCTTCGTCTCCTAATCAATGTCACAGGACCATACACGCCCTTTCAAAAGGCGTTCCGATTCCGCAAGTATCAGGACTTCTTCCATACCACCAAAGAAGTGAGCGAAGAGACGTATGTGGACACCAGACACCAGTACGCCGGCACCAACAATCTGTTCAATCGCGCGGACGACTTCTGGGCGCTCATTGGTTGGGCATTCAACTGTGCTTGCCTCCCAGACATGTACGCGGAGCGATGGAAGTACTACGAGCCGCTGCTGGACCTCCTAATTCAAATCCTGGAGATCGACTACGTCTACTGCCACGCCAAAGAAGCATGGGAAGACTCCTTACTCTGGTCGTACGTTGAGCTCGCCAGCGGTGGCTATGGCAAAAGTCGCCGAATATTCCGCGCAATCTTCGCCTCGGGCACGACACGCGACCTGAACGAGTTCCGCGAGATCTTCAACAAGGAGCTGAAACGACCCAAGGTCAAAGAAGAGATCGCAGACCGAAAGATCGACCTTGACAACGACGAATTTGCCGACTACGACTCCTCCTCGGACGAGTTCTCCGAAACAGAAGACACTCGCCCCAATAAACGCGCCCGACGTACTCGTTCCGCCCGCAGCAGCACCGTGTCGCTACACAGCGCCTACGAAGCCGACGCCTCGAGCACAGCCGCCACACTTGGCTCTCCCACCGCCCTTCGCCTGCGAACCCGCCTTCTCCGCCTACTCGCCGCACTCGCCACACAACCTTCTTTAATCGCACACTCCTCGAGCGCCTTCGTCGCTGAAGACGAGCTCTACACCTTATTCGTCGAGTTCATAAGCCCCCTGCCCCTCCCCATCTTCCAACAAATTATCCTGCCCGACACTCACACAAGCGCCCCCTTCGACAGACAGACCCACATCGCCATGTGCGAAGCGATCCTAGCCCGCATGCTCGAGAGTCAAGCTCCGAAGAACGACAACGCAGACGGCTCGCTTGACGCCTCGAGGCTGGTGCAGTGCTACCTCCCGTATGCGGCTAGCTCGACGGACTTCGAGTCGCAGGCGCGGGTTGCGCTTTGTGTGGAGGCGCTTGCGAGACTGCTGGATCGGAGTGGTGCTCTAGTGGATCCGGAGCAGAATGGAGGCGTCGATGCACAGATCGTGGGATGGGCGGTAGAGGAAGGTGTGAGGAGGAGGTTGGAGGTTGCGTTGAGGTCGGTGGATGGGCGGAAGGCTGGCAAGAAGGGATCGAATACCAAGAAGGATGAGGACAGGGTTGTGTTGAGGGAGAGTAGTGAGCGGTTGCGAGTGTTGGTGCAGACTGATGTGCGTCATTGAAAGGGTGCAAGACTACCTGCGCCGAGATCGAGGGTCAGTGTACAACATTAGAGCAGCGTGAGAGAATTTCGCTGTGTATGAAAACGCTCAATGAGAGGGGTTGCGGTGACCACAGCACTTTCGGAGCGGCTTATGATAAATGCGAACACATGACGACTGCATGGGCCACGACTTTTCTTCTTCTTTGAGATAAGCGGTCAAGCGATTCGCTCAATCTCCGATGCTACCACGTCAGTAGCACGGTTGTCTTGTATGTGCAGGTAAATCAAACGCTCGTAATGACCACCCATTCGTTGATTGAATCATGCTCTCATCTCTGTCCCCGCCTCCGGCCATTTGCCTTGACATCCCCTTACACTGCCACTTTCTTCATCCGCACCCTCAGGGCGGCGGTCTTGGCCCAATAATCTGCCTCCGCGCACCACCGACACCCAGCCCCGTCCCGCCCCGGTTCTGACTATCACCACCCATATACCCATACTGATGCACGTCCCAGCTCTGGCCTGGCTGACTCCCCTGCTGCACGTCCCTAGAGCGCGTAGCCGTCTCCTTCTGTCCATCCTCCCACTCTCGCTGTCGCTCGCGCTCGCGCTCCATCTCACGCTGAAGGAGTGACGAGGATGCCCAACCGCCGGCCTTGGTCTTGGTCTGGGATGCGGCGCGGCGCTGGTTCTCGAGGTCGACTTCAGTGGTAGTGGAGTAGTCTTGGGGTCGGTGGGAAGTCGTTTGAGCGGGCGGAGGTGCGGGGTTGGAGGCGAGGAAGCGGTCGGTGCGGTTGCTACCAGGAGTGTAGTTACTTGGGTTGGGGAGAGGGCGAGTTGGAAGGTCAGGCTGTTTAGTGGGCTGTTGGTAGTTCTCGGAGTCCTTCTGAGCGTTGGTCCATTCGCTGCGAAGGTAGTCGCGTTCGGAGGCTGCCCAATCGTCTTCGTGGCTAGTGGGCTGGGGTTGGCGAGATGGTAGAGTGGAAGGTGGTGAAGCGGCGGCACGACGTTGGGACTCGCGCAGCTCAGCAAGCTGGCGTTCGAGATCTGCGATGCGTTGAGCCTCAGCGGCAGCTTCGTTACTGACAGACCGGTTGGGAGAAGTGTGGTCGTCGGAGTGGTTGTTGGCTTGATATTGTGAGAGGAATTGGCCATTCAGTCGGGCATCGCTGGTTCCACGCTGACGGGATCGTTGTTGGGCCATCTCAGCTTCACGCTGGCGGACTTGCTCGGCTTCGTGTTCTCGTTGCAATTGCTGACGTTGAGCGTCGGCTGCTTCGCGCTCACGTCGAAGTCGATCCTGTTCTTGCCGTAAACGATCGTCTTCTCTACGGCGGTCTTGGTCTTCCTTTTCGCGAAGTCTTCTCGTTGCGTCTTCCCATCTCCGCTGCTCATCCAGACGTGCCTGCTCCTCCTCCTGCCTCTGTCGCTCTTGTTCTGCTTCCCTTTCCGCCTGTTGCTGGGCTTGTCGCTCTTCTAGCTCACGCTTCTCCTGCTCAAGTTTCTCCCGCAGGCGTTTCTCCTTTTCTGCGAGACTGGGAACCTCAGGCCCTGCCGAGGTGATCTGCCGACGAGCGCCGAATGCCACGCCGAGGTTGCCTTGGCTTGCACCACCCATATAGCCATACTGATGAATATTCCAGGCAGGAGCGGTCTTGTCCTGATCGCCCTTTTGACTCCAACTACTCACTGGTCCACCAGTAGCTAGACCACCACGCGCAAGACTGCTTGTTTGCTTAGTAGGACTGATACGACCGGAATATGCCGCCTTGTTGAGAGGATTGAAGGCGATTGCGGGAGGAGTATCTGCTGCCGTACTGATGCCTCTGGCCCGGTTTGTGGTATAGCCCGGTGATCTTGGACCATTACTCGAGCCGGTACCTTGAGGACTCATGGTCGTCTTCGGCTTGCCTCCTAGCGGGGCTGGAAAGTTGGTAGGGTTGACGGCGTGTGCTCGGCGGCTAAAGGCGGCAATACATTGTAGGACTTGTGCTGGGTCTTTGTTGTCGTAGAGGTCGACAGTGAGGAATCGGTCGTGGGAAGGCAGGCTGAGAGGGGCGTTTTCGCATGCGCGCAGGAAGTGAGAGATATTTTCCATCTGTACGAAGGGCATCGAAGACTCCTTGTACTTGACGCCGGGCGAGACGGCAAGATTGACGAGTCTGCCATGTGTTAGATGCAGGACCACCCTAAGGAGATCGCAATACTCACTTGCACAGAGCGACACCGTCTTTGAGCGCATCCATCAGATCGCCGCTGGCCAGTCTCTGCCCGAGGATGCCTTCTATCCATGATCGTATCTCGTTGGCGGCGCCCGGGGTGTACCGGTCGAGGCGCATCTTGCGCATGTCCTGGTCGAGGCTGGTCACGGACGCCATGGTGTCTACTACGCACTATACAGAATATCAATGAGTCGCTATGTGCATGGCAGTGTTGGTAGACGTGCACAAATTAGATGAGCATGCCTCGTGGTGGCAGTGAGATTCAAAGGTACCGTCGGTGGCAGGCGCCCGGAATTTGGGAACTTGGGGGCGGTCTGCACGCTGACGTTGCTCCTCCGGAAAATAAATGACGGCTTCACTGCCTCAATGTTCAATCATCATCTTCAGGCTGCCCTGATTCTCACTTGCCACGACGCTCTTCTAGGAGCGCATTGTGGCCATCATGAGTCAGCTCCGGCAGCTGTGGGTGAAATGGAAGATGATGCGTCTGCCATGGCGCAAGAAGTTCCTCATCGGTCAGTCTGCCGCAATCCAACAAAGCACTCAATGCTGACCACAGCTCAGGCCAGGACCTTGCGGGCAATACTTTCTGGGAGATGAAAGATGCCCTCAACGCCGAACGATGGCGTCGAATGGTCCGCTATACTAAGCGGACTCACATGGGTGACGCTACAGTCAGCCCGCAGTGGCATCAATGGCTACGACATACACGAGACGAGCCCCCTTCAATACACGAGCAAGCTGCCGACATCACCAGACAATCTCAGTTGAAACATAATGCCGCTCTTGCTGATGCTAGATGGGCAGCGAAGGCGAGATACATCGAGAAACCACAGGCACCAACACCACAGATTGGAGCTGGATTGAATCCGCTAGACTCTGGACGGGCGAGAGCAGCACAGGACCAACAGTCCACTGCAGAGAAGACGGCTATTAATCCTGGGAGCGACTATCAACCAGACTCTTGGACTCCAGGTCCGACTGCGCGGTGACACGACCTACGACCGAAAGCTTACCACGAAAATTCTGCCGGCTCGACATGCAAAACCTCGAAAGCGATAGCCTGAATGTCCAAGGAACGACGCGACGCCTTGAAGGCTTCGCTGTCGATGCGACAGTCACATCCATGATCTGCAACAGGAGAGCATGCACGCGACGCTCGATTTACGCCAGTTTGCGGCCAACGCCAAGACCTTTGACGGCACCTCTTGTCGGAGCCATGTTTCATGACGGAAAATCTGTTCCAGGCTGTGACTACGCCCCGAAAACTCTTGTCGATAGCTGGATCTTCAACGTCACTGTCAGTTGGTTGAACAGCTAGCCTGCGTGGTCAATCTGTACGGCCACACTCGCTGTCACGTCTTATAGGATCTGTCCGCTCTCCGTGCAGCATGCAACGTTCTCTAGCGATGCACGTCCAGCGGACTCGGCTCTCCAACTCCATGCAACTCATCAAACTACTCATCGACCATTTCACCTGACACCTGTGGCCATGGTTTCCACGATGATTGTGAAGCGTTCTGGTATCAGTCCGCTCACACCGGCCTCGCTGGCAATTACTATCGTGGGATGCCTCCTTGCTATCACCATTGCCGCCGTCGGCTATGTCTACTGGCGCAAAAGAAGACTCTCTTCACAACAGCTCGCAGCTAAATCGGACGACCGATCCTCCAGTACGGCTTCGGAGGAGTATCAACTCGAAAGTATCGTCGCTGCCCCAACACAGCCAGAGCGGAGCGAGAATCCCCGATACTCTGTCGGCATCATGTCGCATATGTCAGTGGGACCTCGCTCACCACGTCCTGCGCGATCTCCTGTTCCGAACAATCGGTATTCTGTGGGCATGCTCAGTCGAACTTCCATGGACCCATCTGTGGCATTACCTAATCCAGATCGCAATCGGAGCCGATCGCGTTCTCGTACACGTACAAAGGAGGAGAAGGATCGGGCTTACGCTCGGCTGTCTATGAAGAGCGGCGTCATGACTCGCTCCTCAATGGCTCCGAGATCTCCCGTTCCAAGAAGTCCAATGAGTCCGAGTGACCCATTGCTGTCTGCCGGAATCATGAGCAGAATGGCTAGTCCACGACCTGGCAACATACCCGTCAGTCCGAATCCTGGAAGCCTGAGCGCCATGCAGAGTCCCGTCATCAGAGATCGCGATCTCCTCGAACCGCCGCCACGTTACTCTTGATCGTATCTTGGTCCATTGGTCCTCTCCAAGGCACATCAAAAAGTTATGTTGCATACACAAGCCACTTCTACTGTATATTATGTTAGCGCAAAAGCAATTGATTCCTCTGTCTTCTGTTCGCAGTCCACACGTTGTCTGGGTTGATGTACTTGCCACCGGCATTGTAGTTATTGCACTTGACCACATGTCGCTTTGCTGGTCAGACATCGAGCCTGTTAAGCCCTCCAAGCCCAAAGGTTTGCTGCAGTGCTCAAGCGACCAATCAAAGTATTGCTGCGAGTTACGTAATGCACGACCGACCTCGAGGAGTGATGAGGGACTGGTTCCTTGTCCTCCGTGTACCATATTGAGCGATGATGAACAAATCGAACCGGCTGCGGATGTACCCTGCGCATGATGAGAATCAAAGGTAGGTCAACGAAGATATGCATGGACCGTCAAGGCCTGACAAGCCGTTTCGCGTGGCTCAATCATACCTCGATGTGAGCACACTTCGATGGCGCGGCGGAGAAGTCCATCTGAACTTCGGTATTTGATGCAACATCGCGCCGTATATGAAAGCATGTCATTCCTTGCATGGAGCATGCAAATTACCGAACAGCGCAGCGCACGTCCGCTATGTCCATATCCAGGCGAGGCGCTGGTCTCGCCAAGATCGGCTTCGACCACGGCGAGCTCAATGCCTACCATCCAGACCATAACCCGAATGGAGCAGTCAAACTTCTGTATGCAGAGAACGTAGGCGCACTGCTCGTATAGCCACATTGGTCGCGAAGCTGACAGTAGGGCAAAAGCGTCTGATGCACAAGCGACTGTCCGACTTCATCAATCAGAATGTTCGTGACCTGTTCATCCCTACGTATGCCGGAACCCAACAGGACTAAGTGGCAACCCTCCAGAGCCCGTTCGACACACAATGCTGCTCATATGGCGAGGGCGACACAGGCACGTTACGCCTACGAACCGCAATGGCCAGCCATATGAACGAGTACTTCCGCCCAGTGCGGCAATTGGACGCAGAGAATATCACTTTCGCGGCAGGCGTAACAGCCTTGAACGAGGCATGCGCTCTTGCTCTCTGTGATCCAGGGGATGCGATTCTCCTCGGCCAGTACAATTATGGCGCTTTCCCAACAGACCTTGTTGCTCGGACTGGGTGAGTCTCAATACTCAACGCTGCGTATACAGAGGCCACCGGATGGTATCTAGCAGCCGGATGACACATGGTGAGCATCTCTGAACTTACTGCTCATTACAGACTATCGTTTGTCTACGCAGCGTTCGGCGACTCGGATCAGTTCTCGGAAAACTGCGTGAAGCATTTCGAAGCTGCATATGACCAGGCCAGGCAGAACGGGGTCAATATTCGGGCGTTGCTTCTTTGCAGCCCTCACAACCCTCTGGGTAGGTGCCGGCGCCCGTGACTGAGCTTGCTTGATCTCCTGGCCGTGCGACACTCGATACAATTGACTGATACTGGATATTGCCAGGACGCTGCTATTCGCAAGCTGCCCTGCGAGGCCTAGCAAAGTTCTGTGAGAAGAACGACCTGCACTTGATCAGCGACGAAATATACGCTTTAACGGTGTACCAACGACCGAGGCATGCTAACGAGTCCTTCACGTCCGTCCTCGCCATTGACGAAGGCATTATCGATCCGGACCGAGTACATGTCCTGTATGGCTTCTCGAAGGTAAGTAGTGCATAAGAGTCATCCGGCTTTCCTCTGCCTGAAGCAGCCCGGCGAGACTGCCGAGACGTTGTTCTGACCACATCCAGGACTACGCAGCCGGGGGTCTTCGACTAGGCTGCGTGATCTCCCACAACAGGGCATTTACGCAAGCCGTCCGTGGCGGCGTGTGCCGCTTTTCCTCGCCGTCGCACTTTTCGATGGACATAGCAACGAAGATGCTGGAAGACCGTCCATTCATCATCAGGTTCCTACAGGACAGCATTGAGGCACTGGCGAGACAGCGTGTGCTCGTTGAGGCGTTGCTTGACCAGTCGAGGATCAGTCACTTGAAGGAAGGGTACGTATCTCGCCTCCTCTTCCTACCTACTCACCACCCGCATACCTTGCTCCTCTGACCAGGAATGCCCTCCAACAGTAACGCTGGCCTCTTCATTTGGCTCGACCTGAGCGAGTTTCTCGACCCATATCAGCAGCTCGACGACGGCTGGGCAGCAGAAGCCGCGCTGGCGGCCAAATTGGCCGCTGGAGGGGTTGTCCTGTCGACTGGCAAACGGTACCAGTCGCCCAAGCCGGGCAACTTCAGGATGATCTTCTCTTATGACGAGGGAACGCTACGGGAGGGAATTAAGAGGTAAGTCACCTTTTCTTAGGCGAATCGTGCACACAAGACTGATGGGGGAAGCAGAATAGCGAAGACCTGTCATGGCCGGACTTGAGGCGAGCAATCGGCACTTGAGAGGAGTCGTCGTTTGAACCTGCTGCGTCGTGGTCTGATCGAGTGGATGTTCCTAAAGTGGTCCTGACACAGCGAGTCAGAGAATGGATTGTTGTGATGTAGTTCCTCACTGAATACGTCAAGGCCAGTGTAGTTACAGCGCTTGCGCTATAGACATGTCCACACATAACTGCAACTGCCGCAGTCGCTTATGCCTTCGCTGCTACCTTGAATCTAGTTCAATGGTCTCCAGACTCAGTCGAGCCTGCCACAAAAACATACGCACACCTGCTTCGGTCACTTTGGTCGCAACTGCCCTGTTCACCCGCCGATTCTGTGTTCTCTGGGTTGCCGTTGTTACGCATCTACCTGGATGTCAGCGAACAGATTCGTCTATTGAATGCACACATTCGTGTCTCGTGAGTCAAAGGCCCAGTCCAGGAAATTCGGTCCGGGCTAGTGCAGCAACGACAACGTATGCCAGTATCATCGTAGTATCGCCATATTTGCCGTCGCCGTCGCTGTCATAAACTGCTAGCACATTCGGCCTATGGCGTGGCTCCTCTGAGACCACATCGCACTGTCTCACCATGACGACAGCAAGGGTGCCAAGATTTCACGTCGTCAAAATTCACCCACAACTGGAGGTCCCGAAGAAGCCCACCGGCTAGTGGGGCCTCCGCTCAGGGCCACAACAATCCCTGTCCCTGTTCCAAGCCTCCGACCGGGATGCTCAGACCCTGTGGAACGCCACCGGCGTCATACACACTGACATCAAAGGGTCCGTTCATGAGATTATACACATTCCGTGTCTGATTCGACATGCCGACAACGTCGTCCACAACACCTGCCTGATTATGTGCAGCCGGTGCGATGGTGGCTTGATGGTGGCTTGGAGTCCCTGTGCTCTATATGGAGAGATGCCGTACACAAAGATAGAGATCTGGGTGCTGGGCTGTGTTTTGAAGGAATTCTCATTGGGCATGAATATTGAAAGCGTGTTGCAGGGTCCTGAGATGTGGATTAGTAGTGATAATGGACTTCCGGCCTCGAGCCACCGGCAGTCTACAGTCGCCTATCATTGAATTCTCTATCGGCTTCCCTGGGGCACGTCATCCGGTCCCTGGGGCGCACTGGGCGCACTGCTCGTGTTGAATTTCGCTGATACCGCATAGCTTCGTAAGACGTTTGAGCAGTCGTAGCGAATTGCTGTGTAGAGGCTCGAGGATAGTGGTCGCGTCGCTAATTTAAGCAACGAAAGATCAGCATAGTTTCATCAGATCATCGTTTCAGTGCCAGGCACGTGAGTATGTACATGTGCCTGTCGCTCTGCCGTGCTGATCCTGTCCGTTTGCCGTGCCCATCACGATTGACGATCCGGGAGCTGATCTGGCAGTTGCTCATGTCGGCCAACCTTCGGTCGTGCTCGTGGAACATAGCGAGATAGAGCACTGTGGTCGGTTGCGGGTCAGTAGTGTATGTTTCATCAAGGCGCACCCAGATACTCGAGTGAATGGTCTACACGGTGAAACATTTGACTGTCTTCATGATTTTTCATTGCTCTAGATCTAGCTCTTTGCGAAGTGTGGCAGTAGCACTTCTCAAACCATGTCCTGTAGATTGCAGTGTCAATGACAGCTGACCCTCCCAGCACTTCTTAAACATTAATAACGAATGACTCGACGCGTGATCATGACCGCGTCGTTTGTTGAGCGAGCGAACAGCTGGGTATCATATGATTCGCCATTTCCTATACTCCAAAACCAGCCCTCCACCGTGCGCTGGCACTGCCGCGAACCTGTTCCCTGTGGCGCCGTCCTTGCTTTCTCGCATCACGCGTGTATGCTCGTGGGAGCGTACGACGCTGGGGTATCTTTTGAGGTTATTCCTCGATGCGAAAGTGTTTCCACTGCCAATACCAGTGGCGTAGCGTCCTGCATTTGGCGCCGTTGCGAATTGGCAGCGAGGACCGAATCTTCGAGATACATCACATTTTTGGATGTCTTTTGCTGATTTCGTACATCACAGTGCCACTTCAGTCTTCTGGTTCTTCCGAAGTGACTGAGGCATTCTCGCCCTTGTGGACCTTCTTGTGGCGGCGTAGATTGCTGACAACGGAGAAATGTCGTCCACAACCATCGTAGTCGCAGGCAAAAGGCTTCTCGCCTGTGTGGCTGTACATGTGCGTCTGCAGAGAGCTAGGTCGCGTGAATCGCTTGTCGCAAACCTTGCACTTGTGCTTCTTTTGCGTGTTTGCTGACATTTTGGATGAGAAAGAACCCATCATTGACGCCGGCGCCGGAGGTCCCAAGTGTTGCATTAAGCCTGTCGGTCGAGGCAATGTGCGCGACATTGGATCGTAACCCGAATCGCTTGCCGCAGAGCTGTAATCCGTCGCAGAATCCGCTACTGATCCGACACTAGAGGCGTAGTATGGGAATCCACGACCTGATTCTGCAGAAATCGAGGAATGGGCAGAAGCTTGCGATGGGAAACCGTAGGATTCCATTGAACCGCGTTGACGTGCCTCGTATATGTTGCGTGGTGTCAAATCTGCAACGTTGGCGTGACTCAAAGCAATCATGCCTCGGGATGCGTCAAGCTCATTGAAGCCTGGATTTGATCGATTATCACTGTATCTGTTAGCTATGCCTGACGCGAAGCGCGATGTACGTACGGTTCTGACAGCTTGCGTTGCTGTTGTGCTTGCTGTTGCTGTTGCTGTTGTTGCTGCTGAGCAAGTTGTTGCGCATATGACATTGTCGGGTATGCTGTTGTATACGCTGACGCTGGCTGCTGGGGCGCTTGAGAATATGTTGGCTGCTCGGTATATGCTGATCTGGAGATATCTTGACCAACATTTAGTCCGTCTGTCACGTTGTAACCAAGATTGGAGAACTGGCTACCTGAAGCTAACGGCGCAGAGACCGGCGGCATGGAGTACGGCAGAGACAGTTGCGGTCGCGATGTCTCAGTCTTGGGGATGGTAGAGTATGCCTGCTGACTGCTGGTCTGATGCGACCAAGGGTCGCTGAAGTTTGTCTGTGACTGCATGTTGCTGCCGTACATGTGGTCGAAGTTGGGGACGCCGCCGTAGTGACGACTTTGTTGATCAATGACCATAGTCATGAGGAAGGTTTATTGAGAATAATGCAAGGAGCTTGTGTGTAGCTGACTTGCGATGATGAGGTCGATCTGTTTACTGATAGACCAGATTGCTGGAGTGCTGAAGTAGATCCAGTGAAGTATGGCGGAGGGGATCGGCGAGGTTAAGTAGAATATGTGTGGAGGATAGACAGAGGAGTGAGCTGCCAATGGGAGATGTGGCGTTGATCTGATGTCGATCGTTGCTGTTGCTGATATAGCGGCTCCCAAGGTACAGTGCCCCTTTCCAGAAGAACCTGGCAGATAATGCTATCGCGTTGGCGACGTTATACTGCACACGCTTACGGCAGATCTGCAGTGATAGTCGGGTTGATGAAAGTAAGGCTTTGATTCCCGAGAATTAGTCGTTGTTCCTTCAGTTGGAAGATATGTTTCAGTAGTGGAATGTTTGGATAGATTGATGAAGATCAGCGCTCAGTGGGGAATGCGACATAGATATGTAGTTCCTGGTACTGAGAAGGGCTATGATGCTAAAGCCACGCTTCCTCTACTTGGATGGTGTAAGAGAACGAGATGGACCCCCAGAAAGGGTCTGAAGGTCAGGTTTTCAAGTTCCGACTTGTTGTAACCAGATGCAGGGACAAAGTTGCGTCGGTCGAGGCGTTACCCGGATCCTTGTGGTTGGATAGGTTGCAAATGGCTGGGTAAGGCGATGTGAGGGCAGAGTTGTGGTTGGATGACGATAGCTCTGAGGCAGAGAACAATATCTTGATGGGGTACTGACGGTGGTGGTGAGGCCGGTGCAATGCCAGATTGACCCTGCAGTGAAGAAGTGGAAACGCATCGTCATTGAGGAATGTGAGATTGGTCGAAGGACCCATCAGTTCAGCTGTCATTGGGTCCGAGAAGCAGGGGTGGCTTTCGGAGAGTGTCCGTGGCTTGCAAAGAGGGTCTTGCAATGATGCAAAGCTTGCCCGCACTGATCTTACAGCCAATCCCGTAAGACTGATGCGAAGGTGGCTTGAGGAAGCGAAAACCCACCGCACTGTGCCCGCTTTAATTTCAACTGCACCGATGAAGTCGGTCCCTTGTCTCCCAATTGGGAGTTGCACGAGTGTACCGCGCAGCGTCTCGGATATGTCCACGATCAAGTTTGAAGCTTTCTACCCAACAGTGAACTCGCAAGCGATGGTTTGGGCAGTAGTGGTATTAATTGATTGCGTGCGTTGGGAGCTAACAGGACGAGGAACCAGGTCGCAACTTCGTCAGTCGCACCTACCGTGAATGCGTAGATACCTTCCATGCATCTTTGCTGTGACTTGTTCACTTGCGCGCGACCACAGTCGCAGATTGAACAGATAGAGAACTTGCTCCGCCTAAGCATCCGCCCAGAACCCGTAAAACGGACTATGCACACTTTGGCCTATGTCGTCCCCGGAGGCTCGCCGCCATCACTAAAATTCTCGAGTCCGAAGCTCGAGGTTGGAAGGAATTCTCAAGAGACGCTAGACTAGCGGCGAATCTTGGTTGAATTCGTTCCGAGTCAGGCTGATGCACTGCCTCATTATTGAAGCAACTCTTCTGGTTCTTAGCAGCAGCTTGTCCGACAAGGCCTGTGCGAGCACTGGTTCGTCTCGATAGGCAATCCCCCGTCCTTCCCATTCAGGAACAGCTCAATTGCTCCAGGGCACTAGGAAATTCTGAAACGCAGCCAAGCTCGACTAATCCGTCAGGCGACTGCTGGAGATCTGCGACTCGTCGTCCTTTGCTCGGCAGAGCACAATGCCTTAACACGTAGTGACTCGTGATATCTTGTAAAACATCAGACTTACGTGTTACATCTCAGCTATGGCCAATCTGCTGTCTTCTGTCGCACATCTACGTCAGCGACATCAATTTAATTTCGCTGCGACGAGGCCACAGCTCCCATGAGACGGTCTCGCGACGTCGAATCGTTCTCGAATGCACCGGTCTTCTGCGTCACGGTTAAGACGGCAATCTCTCCACAGAAGCTGCAAGCCCTGCAAGCCTCGCTGCAGGCTCGATCTTGTGGCGTTTTTGGCGGCTTTCCACAAACCAAACGCCGAGCCGCATCCTTCATGAAAGCTTCAAAGACAAGCCCTAGCTGCAACGTCCATTGCTACCGCCCAATGCAACGTGCTGCGTGTTATACTTCGAGGATAAGCACGAGATCGTTCGCTCCATTGAAAGCTGGCCATTTCTTGCCAGAACCTGCACCTCATGCGCTTCAGATGAGACAGGCGCATTGTGTGTAGGAAAACCTGTCGGGGTTGACTACGGGGCTGCAGCGGTATGGAGCTTTCGCCGTTGAATGATCGTCGATCAAGTGGACTCAACCTTGAAGCCACTGGTGACCAGGTGGGACTGCAGTGTCAAAATCGGGACCCCTTAGAGTCTCAGAGCTGCTCCGGAGGTGATAGTGCGTCTGCTTCTCGAATAGTCCTGGGGAATGATAGTGCTGCCAGGCCCGAGCTTGACTAAATGACTATGATTGCGTTATGTCGACCGCTCTTCGGTCTGCAATTTCCCTGTCAGCGAAAGACGTGCTCGAGCATGCATCCTTGCGACAGTAACAGACTATTTGTTTTGCTAGCGCTTTTGCGTTTGTTGTCGCCGAAGGAATGCTGGGTCATCCCAAGCCAAGGTTCTCTTACAATCAGAAGGAGACATGCGGCAGCATCAAAGACAGCCTACCGCAGAAAACCTTCCAGAGAGTCAGCGCGTTGAACCCAACGGTGGGATACACGCTCAAATAGTAGACATGAAGTCGATATTAAACCCATGATCGACCATTTCGCGCGGGTAGTCGATCATTTGCAAATCTTGCCACGTGTTGAGACAATCCTTACTGCTATGAGCAGTTGAAGTAACAACACCACGTTTCGCCGATCAAGTGGCGACGATCACAGCACTGAGTAGGAATTGTGACACAAAGGACGAAAGCTGATCTAAACATATGTGCATGAATAGCCCACCGCTGCGAATCTTTCTATGATGTCCAAACTTGCAGATGGCAACGCAACAGTCGATGCGTCCTGCTGTCGATGATTCCTGAACAACGACCCAGCGATGCAATCAAGCCGCTGGGTGGCGAGCATGGCGGTACAATCAAGACAATGAATTCGCTCGTCAATAGTCTAATGTATCCTCTTGAGTTCTGTTTTGGAGTGTCTTGGTCAGCATTGCTTCGAATACGATCATGAGAGGAGAGCTTCCATGGAGGCAGAAAGTCATGTTCTGGGAGTCCTGTGCGTCCGAGCTGAGCCCACGCTCGCGTCCTTGCTCAAGGCCTGACAGGAGGTGGCGGAGGCACTTACTTTCTGTTTGCCAGTGGAGACGGTCGTCAAATTTGTCGCCCTGTAGTGACGATGATCAGCACACGCATGACGAACAGACACTTAGGCCTCACCTTGTCGCTGATTCCCTCAATCAATTTGTTCTGGGATTCTATTTCCTGTCCGGTGGCCTTGGCCAGCAGATTCAGCCTCTTGGCCGCTCCGGTGAGATCGTCGAGGTTGCGATCGATTTCGTCCTCCATACGGTCGTCATCAGAATCTGCCTCGAATTGATACTTGGACCGTTCGGCAAGATTCGTCTTGCGAGGTCCTGTGCTGTATGTATCGTCCAAGCCCTTGAAGTTGTGGTTCATGCGCTGTGTACTCCGGAATGCTTGCTCGCGCGTAGCCTCGCGCTGCTCACGCTCGAGGCGATGGCGCTCCATGATCTTGTCGTCTTTCTCCTGTTGACGAGCCTTCGAGTTGAAAGGATTGCCCACATGGACGGCAAACATGCTGCGATTAAGCTTCTTCAGTTCTTTCTGCTTGTCGTCAGACATGCTGACCTGGTTGTTGGCAATATCAAGATTCCGGTCTGTGTTGTGCATCCGCTCGCCTTGAGCGCCGAGTCGAGCCAACGTGTTCCGTCCGGTCTCCTCAGCCTGAGCTGCTATACGCAGAGCGTTGCGTGTCGATGCCACGTCCTGCTGTTTCATGGATTTAATTTCTGACTTTGATGCCTGGATATCTTCCTCCTCTTCCTCTTCTGCCGTCAACTGTCGATCACCGTACGCGCCATAGCTCGTATCACCACCACTCTGGTCCTGGCTTTGATAGGCATAATCTGGAGGTCCTTGCTGTTGCCGCTGTTCAAGTCTCTGAGCGGCACCACCAAAAAGAGCGTCTCTGTTGTCATCGGGCGTCGTCTCGTAACTAGCTGTTCGACCAAGGCCGCCGTAGCCGCCCGATCTTGCCGCCCCTGACGGTTGCGGTGCACCATACGGATTTCCGCCACTACTGGCACCCCCGTAGGCTCCTTGGTTGGCATATCGATCAGGAGCATAGCCTCCGCCACCACCTCCCTGATATTTGTTGTCGCCCTGGGCCGCTCCGTATCTGTTGTTGGGGTAGCCACCCGCTTGACTATCGTATGCACTGGGCTGTTGACCATATCCTCGATTCGGCGGGGCTTGGCTCATGCTGCCGTAGCCGCCCTGGGAGGCTGGGGAGGCCCCTGCGGGGCCTGAGTGACGCCAGCGTTCATCTTCGCTCGTGTGTATGGATCGGGAGGGATAGCGGCTTGTGCATAAGGATTGCTGTTCTGGGGCGCAGGCGACTTGGACTTTCCCTTGCTGCTGAACAGGGCGTTCCTGTTCGAGTCATCGTCCCCATCCTTCTTCTTGAGAAAGCCCATATTGTGTGAAAGTCGGTGAAGGTGCAGTTCGGGGACAAAGGATAGCGCGAGAGTCTCTCCGTTGGGCTCAGTAAGGTCTTTCAGTAACACCAGCTGAACGAGGGGATAGAGAGGTCGTAGAGAACTCTCGGGGACTGTTCAGTAGAGGTGAAACAGAGGACATGTTCTTTGTGGCGCTGCTGGTAACCACTCTAAGTCACCAGTGAGCGTTTCAGCAATGCGAGAGCCTAGAATCTCCGCCCCGCAGCGGCGTTTGAAACAAGGGACTTTGGTCGCCAAGCCCACTCCCCGGTACCTCGAGAGACACTGGTACCACACCCAGATGTCCAGCAGCTCTGAGAGACAAACCTCCAAACATGTCCTGATACCTTGACATTCGGGGAGCGCGATTACTCGCAAGAACTTCTCCAGGTAGACTGATGATTCATGGCTCCTGATGTCGGTCGTGAGGCCGAGTACATCCGCGAAAGAGCAAAGAAAGACCTGCTTGGGTTGCTCGAAGGCGTGAGTCTCGCACAGCCGCTTGCGTGTTGCGCGGCACACTGATATACCATCAGGTCAGAGGCAAGAAAAATCTTGTTCTGAGCAAAGACCTCACCGGTCCACTTCCGCTCTTCGTCAGCTCAGCCACGCTCAAGGATTATGGCGTTGACAAAGTCTTCGAACTGGAGAACAACAACACCGACTCCTCTCAACGCAATATCGTCTATTTAGTTCGCGGAGAGAAGGCCGCGACTGTGCAAGCTGTTGTTGGTGAGACACTCGACCTACACGGCAGGTGGTATTTGTGCTGATCTACGATAGAACAGGTCAAACAGCTTCAACGTCAGGGTAGCACAGAACATGAGATAACCATCGTCTGGGTGCCTCGGCGAACACTTGTGTCCAACAAGATACTCGAAGATGAAGCATTTTGGGTGATGTGAACATAGCCGAGCTTCCATTGTACTTCCTTCCATTGGAAGACGATTTGTTATCGCTGGAAGCGAATGAAGCCTTCAACGACCTGTACTGGCACCATGACACGACCTCGATCTTCCTGGCCTCTAAGGCTCTGATGCAGATCCAACAGCGGCATGGGTTGTATCCAAGAATGCTTGGAAAGGGCGACAATGCTCGCAAGCTAACATCATTACTGCAACGCGGTCGCAAAGAGCTTGATGCCGACGAAGCGACCACCCAATACACGAACCTGCCGAGCACAACCATCGAGAGCCTAGTAATCATCGACAGGGACGTTGACACGGCGACGCCCCTGCTAACACAATTGACCTACGAGGGCTTGATCGACGAGTTGGTAGGCATCAAGCACAACCAAGCAGAAATCGACTCCTCCGTCATTGGCGCTGCACCACAACAGCGGGGCGCTTCATCGGCAGCAACTCAGCCAGCCCGGCAGTCGTTGAAACGCATAGTCAAGCTAGACAATTCCGACGCTTTGTATGCCCAGCTTCGCTCCGTCAACTTCGCAAGAGTTGGTCCGATGCTCAACCAGGTTGCACATCGTCTGCAGTCTGACTACGAAGGTCGACACAGCCGTGGCATCAACGAGCTTCGCGACTTCGTGAACAAGCTACCAGGCTTTCAGCAAGAGCATCAGTCCCTTGGCATTCATACCAATCTCGCAGATGACCTGATCAAGCGCACTCGCACAGACATGTTCTTGAAAGAGCTCGAGATTCAGCAGAATTTAGTTGGCGGAGGCGACCCATCATATCAGCACGACAGCATCGAGGAGCTGATCTCTCGTGATGCACCAGTCGCCACGGTCTTACGCCTCCTTTGCCTGGAGTCTACGGTCGCAGGCGGTATCAAACCTCGGGACCTAGAGTCCTTCAAACGCCAGATATTGCACGCATATGGCTACCAACACCTCCTTACCCTGCACGCACTAGAGAAGATGGAGCTGTTACAGCCACGCACTGGCGCCAACGCTCTGCTCCTGCCGGTCGGCGGAGCTCAAAGCGGATCCGGTACCAAGACCAATTACTCGTACATGCGCAAAGAGCTTCGTCTCGTCATCGACGAATATAATGAGGAGAAGCCCGAAGATATCGCCTTCGTCTACTCTGGCTACGCGCCACTCAGCGTCCGTCTCGTGCAATGTATCCTGCAGAAGCAGTACCTGCAGACTTTGCACAAGTCACCGCTCCCATTGACACCGGCTAGTACGGGATGGCAAGGATTCGAGGATATTCTGAAGTCTGCAAAAGGTCCGACGTTCAATATCGTGCAGAGGCCGAGTGACGAAAGGGCAGCCAAGGCTAAGGCGGTCTTGACCGGCAATGCTGGGCTGAAGACAGTCTTCGTGATGTTTCTGGGCGGCATCACTTTTACGGAAATCGCTGCGCTCAGATTTATCAACAAGCAGCTGGAAGAGTCCGGTCAGCGCCGGAGGATCATGATCTGCACCACTGGCATTGTTAGTGGAAGGAGCATCATGGAAGGCGTCATCGAAAAAAGCACGCTTGGATCGGGCATCAAGCGGGCAGCTACAACGGCGTCAGCCTCACAGTAGTAATTGCTGGTGCCTTCCAAGTGCTTGGATGTCCATCATTTGTCGTTCGCACTGACACTGCTATTGCCCATCGAATTCACATCTTCGCCGCGCTCTTTCCCTGACCCACCTTTTCGATATCTCCTCCGATGACCTTGAAGACGCCCCAAACACCAGCGTGATCGGTGACCCACCCGCCATCCATGCCTTCTACCTCAATCAGCTGCTTCTCCACCGCCTTATCTTCGACCTTGACACCCAGTCCGAACCTTTCAAACCCAATGCACTCCAACGCGTCACCACAGAAGAACAGCTTGTCCATCCGACTACACCCAAACATCTCCCGTTGCTTCACCGGCGCCATCTGGCCCCAAGTGTAACCCGCATCGTCGTCCTCGTTCCCTCCGTGTACGAGAAATGCGTCTTTGAGGTTGTTGTCGGAATGCAGCGTTCGGTCAAATGGCTGTATGGCGTTGAAGTCTCCACCCATGATACCGCCAGCGATGCCGGACTCGTGGAGGTACTTGGCCGTAGTCTTGACTTGTTCAGGCCGGAGAGGCGGGTCAGCGATCAAGCTTTCAAGATGTGTGTTGCAGAGGCGGATGGTGCGGTCGGGGTTGGCAAATGTGAGATCGACGAAGAGGCCGTCCCGCTCCATCTTGGTAGCAGAGTAGTGCACGCGGAAAGTGCGTGAGATCGGCAGGGAGTGGTGGATAAGCGTTGTGGTGCCGTAGTGACCAGACTCCCAGTGCTCCTTGTCAAGGTCTGTGACGTGATAAGATGAGCGAATCCATGGTTGAGATTGGATTAGTAGGAGATCGGATTCGAGCATTTCGTTGAGGAAGATGATGGAGGGATGGCTGTTGCGAGTGGTGAGCTCGTGGAGATGGTTGAGAGCGACAGTCATTCGCTGGTCTTCATATGGAAGCATGAAGTCGATGTTCCAAGAGAGAACATTGAATGTTGTCGGCGTTGGGTGGGCAGACGCTGATACTGACTCTGTCGTACACGGTTTCCATGACTGTGATTCCGGCTTGAAGGTGTAGTATGGTTGTGGAACAACTTCCTGTCGATTCCATGGTAGACTGGTCTTCCGTTTGCTCTCGACAAGGGCAATGATTTTCTGTAGATCTGGCATCTTCTTTATTGGCTTGTTGCTGAAGATTTTCCTGCTGTAGCTAGGGCTCGAGCTGGCAATGGACCGTCGAGACGTAGTCGGCTTGACCAAGGCTGATGCTTTCTGACGACCCAATTCTTGAAAGGTCTTTCGTATAACTCGAGTTGTCATATAAGGCTGCCTGAAGGGCCAGCATGAATCCGTGGTTGCTGACTGTGGATATCCGAAGTCATTACACCAGGCCTCACCTCCGATCCGGGGCTCCAGGGTTGGTTGGCTAGGGGCAAGCGGTCAGCCAATCAATTCCCCATGTTTGCGGAGTACTCTCACGGGATATACGGGTACGAAGACCACCTCATACAAACGCGACAGTGGTTCAATAGTCCCAGCGTCTGCATGGCTGTTCGGGCAAGCAGCTCCAATGGCACGAGACACGCCGATATGACTCAGGCAATCGGTGGCAGCAAGTTCCAATGCCTCGTCTTGGCATAAGAAAGGCAATACCATTGTACTTCCTACAGCACCTTGGAGCGACGCGGACCCTCTGCAGAGTCTGAGGACATCTGGTTGTGGCCCTCGCTCTACTTCAACGAGACAAGAGATCCGTGCTTTCATGCTTTTGAGCTCTCAAGCGAGCCAGTTGAGTTCTCACCATGGACACGGTGGTCGAGACTAGCGTGGTGAGGTGGTGCAAAGTGCAAATCGTGGATTTGTCGGCAGACACAGATCATCAACACTTGAGCCGAGTATTCGTGTTGGAGTCATTGGTTGTCACTCAGTCCAGGTGGCCCTGAGGTGTCGGTCTCGTCACCTGCTGGTGCTGCGACCGGTCAGTTGCCACGTGCGACCGATCCACTTATTCGTTTGCAGCTCAAGTCGCAAGGCAAAGCTTCTCCCCCACATTCAACGCCTTTGCATTGACCATCAACACCATCATCATCCGCGCAAGCAGCGATGCCGCCGACAGAGCCGCGTGCCGCCATGGATCAAGCAGACACGAGAACACGCCAGCTGCCACCACAAGAAATGGTTCACATCCGCAAGCTGTACCTCGATAAACGTTTCAAGAACTGTATCAACGCCTGCGACGAACTTCTGGCCAAGTCTGAACGAAGTCCGAGTTCCTCATCGATCATAGGCGGCCTTGCGAATGCCGAGTTGCATCAAGTACATCGAGCATTCCTCATCTACCATCAAGCAATCAGTCACGAATGCATGGGTATCGCCGCACACAAATTCTCGCAGAACAAGATCAAATACCTGAACTCCGCCAAAAGTCAGTTCGAACAAGCCTTGTCGGTCCTGCCTCAGCCATTTGCTAGTGAGCGTGATGGGTCGTACCAGACGCCCATGCCGCGATCGCCAGATGAGCCCAAAGACAACGCGTCCGATGATGAGAAGCCCATCGGTCTAGGTCTGACCCCTGTGCCACTGCATGACATTCGCACAACTCCGGCGGTTCGCATTTCAGATGCAACTCGGTCTCCTTCTGAAGAGAGCTTCGACTCTGCAACATCTGGTACATCAGTCTCTGTCACCTTCACGATTCCCGACTTCAATAAGTACTCGCCGAGGAACAGCATGCCTTACCTTCAACTTAGCACAGGCGGTTCACTGTCGAAGGATCTTCATGAAAGCCGACCATTCGTCCAGGGCCAGAATCTTGACGACTTCTTCAGCGACAGCGAAGATGACGACGACAAGGAAGGTGAACGTGTGGCGAGCTGGTTACCGCGATCCATGCGAAGTCTGAACTTGGCGGCTCACACCATCGAGTCCGACAGCGAAGATGAAGAGACGGAGAGTGCTGCTTGCGAAGCAGGTGTCGGCGAGGAAACGCCAGTGTCGGCCGCCATCAACAGCCTCCAGGCAGATATGTTCAACGATAGTTCACCTACCAAAAGTCTGAGCGCAAGTCAGTCCTCCCGATGCATGCTCCGTGAAGAGCTTGAGCCAGCGCCGCTCTTCAATAAGTCACTCAAGCTTCCAAAGATCACCTTCGAGCCCCCAGCTCTTCGTTCAGAAGTACCTCGCCCGCTGCCTCGCACACCACGTGCTCAATTCGCCCTCAATGACATTCAATCGGCAAGAAAGACTGCTGTTCAGACACTCATCTCCAAATTCGAGGGCACATTGCCGTCACCTATCACACCTTCTTCGTGGACCACAGCAACTCCTCTGGCCACTATGTCCACGCAAGCCTTCGCACCTACACCGATCACGCCACGATTTGACATGATCAGGAGTGCATTCGAGCCACATCAGACACAGAGTCATCTGCGAGCATACTTGACGTCTCGTTCGTTGGCACATTACAACAACTCTCTCGCAGACTTCCGTACATGCCTGCAGTCTGCCGTTGAAGCAGTCGAGGAGGCCCTTGAAGCTGCACATGAAGTACAGCAAAAGCGAGAGGACGAGAAGCGTGCATCTAGCGTACACGTCAACGACAACTCCTTGCCGAAGAACCGCCTGGCGAGCATGTGGCTGCTGTCAACACCAGGTCGCAACCCAAAAAGTGCTGGTACGACAGCGACTGGCTCGGCACCGCCTGTGACAATAGTTGATCGATCCGAACGACCCCGTGATCGTAAAGCAATGCCACTTCGTAATGGAGTCCAGGAGTCGGTTCAGAAACGAGCAGAGCGGCTCGAGAGATTAAGGTCGAATGGCTTTAAGGTGCGTAAGGAATCCCATGGTTGGAAGGGCGAAGAGCATTATGAGTGCTTCCGGCGAAGAGTCGAGATGGACCTGGGGTCTTGAGCGTGGTTCAGGATGGACCTCAGATTGGCTACGCCCGCCCGCGGAATCGCTGAGTGATGGTTTTGGGCCGTGAAGTGCGAATGTAGTATTGCTGGAGTCGGCGCTTTTGAGCCATAGTTGACCTCTGTACCGATCGTGGGCTTATGGTAGGCAAAGTACATTGGCTCAGCGAACAGCGGCTCTTTGACACAGCTCACCTTTCAAAGTTCAGCCGAACGAGCTGTTGGTGGCTACACGTTCGGACTGGAATGTTGTACATATTCAGCGTTGTCATAGGCTCGCGCCTCAGTGTATGAAGAGTGATAAAGCCAGTGTTATGGCCGGAGCGAGAGGCACAGCATGATTCCACGCCAAATATGCCTGATATGTGAACTTGCAGTCGCGTTGGCGGATTGTCCAGGGAGTAGGGATAGATCAATGCCAGCAGGAAGCTCCCAGCCACCAGACCCTTGGGCAGAATCTTATCTTATCTGGTCATTTCCAGCCGAAGTTCTCTGATGCAGTCGCTCCTGGTCGGCATTTGACAGTACAGCAAGAGTGCCAGGGACAGCGTGTCATGTCAGTCAGGGACCGCAGATGATCCCACGGATGGCAGCTCTTCGGGATCTTATTGTTGTGGGTCCTACACCTCGTCCGTCATCTCTTCACTAATTCAGCCTTCCACCAGCGAAGACGTCATGGCATCTTCGTAAATGCCTTTGCGACATCTTCTGGGAATCGGGCAGTCGTTGCGCGTCACGTCAGGCTAGTGATTGGCAAGACCTCGACTCATACACGGTGGATCGGATCTATCAACGCATCTCGTGTAAGTATCCAAAATACCTAAAGCAAGTGGTAAGAAACGCGAGTGGCAAAGAAACGAAGTCTGGGGTCGACAGTGATATATTTTGTTCTGTCAGTGTATCTCTTGCAGAATTAGGCTTGGATGTCGCTATCCAGCGGTACTCTAGTCGTATGCTGTACTCTAGTCGTATGTCTCGTATATATGTACATCCCGATCCGTGATATGCCCTTCATTATTGCCCAATATTACCTTCTTTTATTGCTTCTCGATATGTGCTTTGTCGTCAACGGCATACTCGTCAACGGCGCTGACAATATGCGGATTGAGGACGAAAGGTAATGTGCAATGACAAACAATCATCAACGCCATTGGTACAATCGCCACTGGTTGTGTTATCCTCCATGCCAATGGTGCAAAGAACGCCATGTATATCACGCCACCGAGGAGTGGAATCATGACAATGTACATGTACTTGAATTTGTTCACAATCTTCGGGATTTCCTTGAAGAAGTTCGAGTTCTCGACTTCCTTCTTGGTCATTTCCCAGGTCATTTCGTAGCCGACGATGTGGGCGATCAAGGCTTTGTTGACGTGGAAGCTGAGTCCGTAGAAGTAGAAGCAGTACATGGGCTGCCACCTGAAAGCCTCCCAGAGTCCGCCGAAGAATGATCGCTCGCCGATGCGGAATCGCATGACGGCTAGGGCAATGTTGCTGAGAATCCAGAATACCAGAACCACGGAAAGAAAGATGGACCATGAGTCAGTGTAAAATTTGTCCAATTCATCCCAGAAGAGACCAACCAGAACATAGTTGGCAATAGTGTAGAAGAAGCCGCTGCCGATGGCATAATAGGAGCCCATGTATGATATGATGCTGAGTTTTGAGGACCAATGCATGTCACTGAACAGAAACTTGCGGAATAGCGGAGTGAAAGGCCCTCTCCAGAGCCAGGACCACATAGGATTGAACAAGAGCTCACTGTCGCCATACGAGTATCGTTCCCATCGGCTGATTTCGTCGTAGATGGTAAGAGAGACTTGCTCCCTAAACTCGTCCCCATGATAGGAAGCGTAACGAGTGACCCAGTTGTTGCTTTGAAGTCGGATGCTCATGTTGAAATCCTCGGAAATGTGATATTCAGACCAGTACATGGTATAGTTCGGATCTTTTGTAGTCATTGCGACATCCTGGAGCGCTTTCCAGCGCACGAAAGCGTTGTGGCCGACGAAGGGAGCGCATTCACCATTGCTGACCTGGAACCGAATTTGTGCATAGCACATTTTGGCAAAGTAAGTAGCGCCGTTCTCGAAGAAATCACCGGAGACCTGAGTAACGCTGGTGTGGTGTTGCACGATAGCGACTTCTGGTGAGAGGAACATCTCTGCCGCACCGTTGATCAGGCAGTCTCGGGGCTGCGAAGACTTGTTAGCTCGACGCTTGCAGACAGACGTCGAATGACTTACAACTCGAGTATCTGAATCGCACATAAGAATGACTTCGCCGATACGAATGTTTCCACCGGCGGATTTGACTCGACTGTCCTTCGCCATTTCTTCGGTCAAAGCTTGGTTGTAGAGAACCTCCTCAAGTTCCGGGTCGATAAAGACTGGACTTCCGTCTCTGGCTTGACACTGGGCATGCACGAGTCTTGTGAGAGTTCGTTCGACCCTATTGGCAAAGTTCATGCAGAAATTCGAGTTCGAGGCTTTCTTGAATCGTCCAGTACGGAAGTATCCATCCTCGCCGTTCCCTGGTCGGGCTACCCATCTGGATTACAGATTAGCAAAGGTGATGGCAGAATACTGCGTGTGCCACTCACCCAATGTTGTTGGCTTGATACCATTCAATGCGAGCTTGCGCGGCAGCAGGGTCCGTCTTGAGGAGTATTCCGAGGCCATCGTCCGTGATGAAGATATTGGCCTTGCCGCCTTCCAGCTCGTAATCCGAAACTGCGGCCATCAGACTTCGGACTGTTGGAATAACGACCAGCTCCATTGACTCCTTGTAAACAGCCATTTGTATAGTAACTCGCGGAGGAGTGAAACCTAGGTGGTACGCTTGCTTGAGGTTCGGTTTCTGGCTGGAGAAGAATCGCGTATTGGTGAACAGGCCAGTGATCGGCCCAAAAAGCTGGAAAACATATGTCACCAGTGACAGAGCGAAGAACATAGCCACGACTAGAGTCAGCGGCTCGAAAGCAATCCAAACTAATCGCATTTTGTCGCCGTCTGTAAGCATCTCGAGAATGAGATGAGATGTGGTGTAGCCGAATATGAGGAAGACCAGGAAGAAGATCGAACAAGCCATGACGATGGCGCCGTAGAGCTTCACTGGCCGGTCGAGGGATTCCTTTTCGAGCTCTTGCTCTTCGATGTCGCCGGAGATCTCGGTGATCTCGGTGGTGAACAGCTTACTCTTCGATTTTGATTGATCCCAGACACTTAATGAACTCGCAGTCAAAGCTCTAGATGCGTGATTGCCGCCGGTGAATGGAGTAGGCCCCCATATCTGCGATTAAATCAGCACTCTTCTGGCTGGGAACAACACATCTCGGTCATGAACTTACCAGTTGCATCAATTGCTCCTCGGTAGCGACGGCTTGTTGCAACAACTTGTCAGCTTCGTCATGCCACACGAGAAGAATTCGCTCGTTTCTGATCAATGCGGCATAGGGATATCTTCGTGGATGAGCAAGCCCGATCCTCATCAGATCGGCCATCTGGTCGACAACTTGAAGATCCAGGCCGTTGCCTAGCATGATCCCAAAGTCCTCATCGCCAATGACATCAAAGATTGCGTCTGTCGAATCCGTGGCAATTGAAAAAGCTGCCTGGACGCCAAGTCTTGCGACCGTGCGGACCATCGGTTCGGCGAGATCCTGTGGCTCAACGCTGTAAGTGCCATTGGACTGGCGCAGGAGGACACCGAGTGGCCTTTTTGGCATGTTGAGATCGAACCAGCCATTGGCAACACCTTTCCCATAAAGGAACTTGGTCATCTGGGACTCGATCAGCTCAGTGTGTCTAGCATGAGCAGAAGCTCTTACCGTCCTGTGCCTCAGTGCTTCATCGAAGTTGGCTCTGTCTAACCGCCTGCTCTGGTGGCTTGATACGGACACCCCAGAGGAGTTCGGCTGCGAGAAATGCAGATACTGAGGTGTCGCCAGCGGCGTAGTGGCCCATTCGTCCCCAGGTGAGGGCGAACCCATCGGTATCGGCGACGGCGAAGTCATCGGTATGTTACTGTAGGTGGGAGCATGATGCGCGGTCTCTACAGCAGGCTCACACGTCGAGGGCACCGGGACTTGACAAGAGAGAGAACAATGAACCACAGAGAGGCTGGAAGGTTTGTGTACAGAACAAGACGGTGGCTTGTCGCTACAGCCCGTACCGGCAGTCAACCATCCGGGATCACCCCTGATGGCGAAGTGCACATTTCCCTCATGTATGATTGTAAGTAACTCACTTCGTCGGGAGACGAGATTCCGTCCGCACGACCAAAGTCGCGTCCGCATGTCTTAGATTCGAGGCATGGTCGCATGCGTCTAGCTCTGCTGTTAAATCTAACGCGTCTCGCTTAGGCGGACATTTGCTATCGGCAAATCTCAAACTGCCGTGATGATTGGGAGTGTTCTTGCTGCAGGAACCGATCTGAGTTTACCTTGGCGTAGCTAAGCCCCGAAAAGGAAAGCTTCCCCAGCTTAAACCTGGAGGCGTGTGCTCCCACTTTCTCGACTGAACACTGCATCGTTGTCAGCAGTACGAAATCTGCTCCAGCCAACTCGTGGGCCTCCAGACGGCACACAGCATGAACCGTACAGTGCCAGCGCATCACGCAGAGCCTAGACTGTTGATCACGGCGTCGGCACGCACGTCCGATAACGATTGTCAGAGCCATGGCTGTGCCTGTTTCACCAGCGATGTCTCACAAAAAGGGTGATCATCACTTCGGATCAGCACTGCTAAAGGGACACCCTCGAGACACTGAGGCTGCTTCCTCATGCGACATCGCGCATCAACTTCCTCATGTACGATAAGAACATTGCCTATCTTGCTGGAACCTGGTTCTCAGTTTCTCGCTAAAGGCCTTAATTTCACGACCAACTTCTGAAGTGTCTCAATCGAGCATTAATGCATTATTGTTCAGGGTTCATGCGCCGAAAATAAAATTGTGGTAGGATCGCCAGCCAATAGCCATGCACATCCCTCAACGGCAGATCAACGTGGCAGGAGCTGGGCTCCGCGTGCCGGTAGCGTTCACGCCAGTATCCGTTTACCAGTACGAAATACAGCCTTTAGTGACACTGCCTGGGCGAAAAACTAGCCACGCTTCTGCGCGTCGAGCATTGGTCTCACGTGTCTTGTGAGTATAGGCTGTTAGTACGCATGGGAAACCGCCGCTCGTGACAATAGATTGTGGTGAACTACCGACAATTGTTCTATGCCAGAGTTGAATGCTGCTACAATATCATTGCCTTGCAGTCACCATTACAACTTTCGCGGGCCAGTATGTCTCGGGCCAGGAAGGCAGACGACATGACGTCGCCTTTCGCAGATTCTCATGATCTCGATTTCATCCACCCAGCATATCGATCGACCCAACCAAGTCCACTAGGTCAAAGGCGCAGCGACAGCGAAGTCGCATCAATTGAGAACTATGGCTTCAATCGAACCCGAGACACCTCGGAGGAGGACTCATGGCGAGGGCTGAACAGTTATCGGGCAAGTGGCAGGCGCAACCACGAGTACAAGACCTACCTGCTGGACGGAAAGTCAGTTGCTCTTCCACCTATAGCGCGCTTTTGTTGGTCGCTCATCATTGACTTCGCACAGGATTGAAAAACCCTGGACCTCAGACAAGAAATACAAAGCGCCTCGCAAAGGCAATTGGTATATCCTCGGAGGACTTTTCCTCGCGATAGCTCTCAGCGCCGTTGTCAACTGGAGAATTGCGGTCGGCGTTCCAGATCATGAGGTTTGGCTTCCCATCTTGCGCCTTATCGTGTTTCTCTGACACAGGGTTCCCTTTGCAGTATTGTCTAGTCCTAGATGATTCCTTCAGCAGTCTCGACAAGGATATCTGGAAACACGAAGTTCAGCTCAACGGATTTGGCACGGGGTCATTCGATTGGACGACGACTGACGATAAAAACGCCTTTACTGATGGAGATGGACTGCACATCATGCCCACATTTACTACCGAAACGACAGACATCACCGAGGAGCAAGTACACGGCGTTCCCAAACCGTCAGTAGTAGTCATAGGATATTGGGCTACGCACAGACTCTAACTCGTGTACCAGTTATACTCTGAACTTGGGCACGGCACGAAATGACACCAGAAACGCAACGATCAAGGGTGATGGTTCATGCACAGCCGACAAGACTTCCGAATACTACATCGATGCGTGCAGCAGGCAGTCCAACGAATCGTCCCATACGATCATAAATCCCGTAAGGTCAGCGCGCCTTACCACGCAGGGTTCCCGATCGATTACGTATGGTCGTGTTGAAGTCGTGGCCAAGGTGCCGAAGGGCGACTGGCTCTGGCCGGCAATATGGATGATGCCTGAGGACTCAGTATACGGGATCTGGCCGCTGAGTGGCGAGATCGATATCATGGAAAGTCGCGGTAACGCCCGTGGCTACAGGAACGGCGGAAGAGAGGCAGTCTCAAGCACGATTCATTGGGGTGAGCGAGCAATCTGTTCCGCCGCTTTCAGAGTAATGCTGGTAAACTAACACGACGCCAGGCACGTCGTGGAAAACCGACAACTTCTACAGGACAACACAAAAACACACGATCCAAAGGACAGACTATTCTGAGGGCTTCCATACCTTCGGCCTCGAGTGGTCCGAAGACTACTTGTACACATGGGTCGACAACAGACTTCAGCAAGTCCTCTACGTCGATTTTAGGAAGCAGGATCTGTGGTCACGCGGCCATTTCCAAGGAGAGTACGAAAACGGTACCATGTTGACCAACCCATGGTATATCAGCGGAAACAGGAACGCACCCTTCGACCAGAAGTTCTTCTTGATCCTCAATGTTGCGATCGGGAGTCGCAACGGCTGGTTCGAGTACGTTCCTGGCCTTCATCCTTCCCACGTTGCACCGTAGCTGACAAACGTCGACAGGGATGGCCATGGAAGCAAGCCATGGGTTGACGGCAGAGACTCTGCGGCATCTGACTTCTACGGTGGTGAGTACAATGTGACCTGTCATCTACAAACTTATGCTGATACATCATCTAGCCCGATCGGAGTGGGAACCAACCTGGGCAGCCGGCAACGATCGTGGTCTCACTGTCAAGAGTGTCAAAATGTGGCAGCAGGGTGCATGTAGCGCATAATACACCAGGGAGACATAGACCAGCATACGTAATGAGCACATGAATTGGGGTGTAGAATAGCACACGACGCACACGAAATACAGTGTAGAATAGCACACCAGTGGGATATACATAATGTAAGGGACGCGTCTCGCGCAGTAGATGGGCCGCAGTCTGCGAAGCAGCAATTCTTGAGCGCAACAGGTCTATCGCTAGTCCTTCGTGACCCGAGTCCTCTGATAAGGTAAGCTCCTGGTGCCCTTCGAGAGGTGTGAAGCCTCGAATGATGGCACTGTCAGGTGTCTCAGGATGTCACAGCCTCATGATTCGGTAATAATATCACCTGGGGCGATTGCTGCGCGGGCGCAATTGTCACCATGCTGGAGATCTCGATTCTTCGAGCACTACTAGTACTATCGCTCCTTGGCCTGCTTGGGGAAGAAGAAAACCAAGCAACTATCTCATACGCATATTCTCCTCATAGAAGGTCCTGCTCCTCGACAACTGTCAGCTCCTTGCATGTCAGCTGCCTGCTTGCCGGCAACTACCAGCAGCACCACTCAAAACTCATTGGAATAATTTCACGCCCGCTGAAGCCAACCATTGCCAAGGAAGCCCTCCGCGTTCCCATGGGAAAAGCACAAAAGCAACCTGCTTTTTATGCCGATGAAATAAAGTTCGCCAACAGCGCCATGCAAATGTATTGATATCGAAAGACAAAGGAAAAGCTCAATGAAGTCGTTGGTTGTGGTGGCGGTTCAGCTCGAGCGCTCGGGCTCGGTGGATTGTAGTGTGTTGTGGGTATGTTCTTCATCGAGGTACAGCTCTTGGTGTCGGCGGCTCATCCTGCTCAACGGGCTCGGTCTCGAGTTTGCTGGGCATAGGCGTCAGCTGCTCCTGGATCTTCGTTGGCATGGGCGTCAATTCAGCGTCCATGTCAATATCCGCGACCGTATGTCCCGGCTTCTGAGGAAAGATCTCTGGTGGCGTAATATGCCCTCGAACCTCTTCCGGGTCTGGATGAGAGTGGTATGAGGCTGTTCGGCCCAACTTCCGGGGCTGGGTGGTGGACGCTTCTACCAGGGGCTCCTCCGGAATGGTCAGGCTCTCCATTCTGCCTTCCAGTAGTTCTAGGCTCTTCCGTAATGTCTCTGGCTCCGCCACACGCCCTTCGTCGTTCATAGAGATAACGCTGCCGCGACTGTTAGTCCGCATCATCTCGACGCCAAGCTTGGATGCTGTCCGCGCAGACTTGAGCATGGGTGAGCGCGCCCCTATTCTGTTGTGGCCAAGTTCATCATCCTCATCGTCTCCTTCTTCAGGACCACCAGCGCTCAAGTGAGACTTATCAATGGATCGTCTTTTGACGCGAGCTTCAGAGGTATGCGCCGATGGTTGCTCTGATCGTACCAAGGTTTCATCAGAAGGAGCCGTTGGGGGCGCAGATTCGGTATGCAGTAGCTGCGGATGTGGCATTGCAGCTTTGGCTGTTTGCGGCTGATCGCCAGTGATGCCTAAACCGCGAGCCCACTCATCTGTCGCGGCCCGCGAGACTATGACAGGTATTTCATCGGCTTTGACCGACTCCAAGTCACTAAAGAAGCCTGCGCTACCGATGGAGTCTTCTCGACTCGAGCCTTTCCAAGATGAGTCAAATGTGGGAGCCAGTGATGAGGCCACAGAGCTTGGGCTGTCCTGTACAGGTGCATGATCATGACGTGTACTTGTGGTTGGAATAGTCAATGGCATGGTCATCTTCATGTCTTTGTGCGGTGGCTTCCATGAACAGAACTTGCAGAGCTCTTCCGTCAATTTAGGAATCGTAGGAGGCTTCAGCATGAGGCCATCAAAGTGATGAGTCTCAGGAAGGTCCTTCAGATAGTTGGTCATGCAGATGATAGGGGTGGAAGTGTTGGCGCTTTTAGTGTCCCTGATCATTCGAGCGACATCAATGCCATTGATAGTGGGCAGCTTGTACTCCATGAATATTATGTCGAACTGAATTTGGCTAACGGCGAGACGCAACGCATCCGGTCCATTGCCAGCGGTGATCGTGCGGCATCGGACTGGGATTTGATTGTTAGTGGCGCGAGCAGAAAGTCAGAAAGAGGGCACTTACGTTTCTCGATCAACTTCTCCATCACCATCTTGGACACGGGATGATCTTCAACGATGAGGATATCTAAAGGTCGGTATGTAGGACCATGGCCTTCCATGAGGTTGAACTGGGACATGCGTCGAGAACTTTGTCTTCGGCGCTGGACTTTGAGCAATGCCTTTTGCTGAGCAGCTTCATTGTCCGAACTGGAGGGAGACAGATCTCGTGTGTTGAAAAGCTGGCTCTTCCGCTTGTGGTGACCTGGAGCGAAACTTTCTCGGATACTCTGCAATTCGCCGCCGTCCTGTGATCCCACAGTCTGAGAACGTGTCCTCGAATGCAGGCTGCCGGACCGTTGAGGTACCACGATAGACTTTGCGGGAGAGCCAGTCAACGGCACAGTCGCTTTCAATGGCTTGTTCGGCGAGGTACCTGGTGGTATACCTTTGGCCTCTGTCGCACTGTCGAAAAAACCGGTTGGAGCGTTCATAGATCCACTTGATGCCTGCGAGGAGCCAGACGTCTTGCGGCGCTCATGATTTTGTGCCGTCGAGAACTGCAGGAGTAATGGCGAGGATGGCTGGGACGGGCGACTGGGAGAGGCGTTGAGGTTGAGTCCTGATGGTGACGCAGGTCTGTGGCCCTTGCTGATGGACAAAGCCCGTTTCACAGGCATTGGCACCATGGGACTGCTCTCAAGCGAAGGTGCTGGCGAACCAATGTTTGGGGTGTTGGAGGCAGAAATGACCTGCGAAGCATAGCCTCTAGCCTGAGCTTGCATGGTGTCTCTCCTCATTTTCTCAACGATGTCTTTGTTGGCTTTCTCGAGAACTGGCAGATTTTTGTATGTGAAATTACCGAAGTCATCTGCCACGACAGGTTCGCTGAGTCGACGGCTCCTGGTGTCTCTAGCGACGTGAGGCGGAATGTGAAGGGGCATTAAGCCACGCTTGCCCGTCGCAGCTGCTGTACGAGTTCTAAAAAGAGCGTCGTGGGGTCGCTCATATTCGCCGCCAGATCCTGGCGTGTGGCCAGTCGGTGAGAGCTGATCCTCGAGTTCTTCCGGGAAAGATGACAACGTAGCGCCGCGCGCGTCGAAGTACTCAGTATCCTCTGGATGTTCAGGTGCTGGAACGAACTGCGCCTCGTCTTCTAACAAGGTCTCCCAATTGATGTCCGTGAACCATGAATGGGCTTGTATCTCCGCACCACCATTGGGGAATTTGTCTTCTTTGTTTGCTCCAAGCCGATCCTGTGGATTCATTTGGATGAGACAATTGATCAGATCCTTCACCTCATCTGTCGAAGGATACTCCTCTTCATCAGGCCACGCGATACGCCGATGAAGAATGTTGTCGAAGACTTCATCTGTTGATTCGGCATTGAATGGAGGAACCCCAAACAGGAATTCGAAGACGATACAGCCAAGCGACCACCAATCGCACATCTCATCTTGGCCAGCGCCCTTGATCGTTTCCGGTGCGAGGTAGTCTGGTGTCCCAACGAATCGTCGAGTGCCTTCTTCCGGGTCAAATAGAGCCGTGACTGGCGGTAGTGGTGCTGGAGCGTGAGAGATGTTACTCATCGACTGCGAAAGTGGGAAGAGATCGGGAGATGCACTGCCTTGACTTCCGGCCTCTTCCTCAATTGGACCGCTCCGTGAATGAGCCGCGCTTGGATGGGAGTATGGTGCGTCGTGAAGTCCCAATTTTCTGAACGCATAGTTCAGATCGTGAGTAGAGAGCTGCCACTGTCACTTCGGTGACCGGAGGTGCGCCTGGAGACTTCTCGACTGAGTGACGTGTCACGATTGAGACTGAAATACGAAGGCTGATCGAGTCCGCCAGCCAGAGCCGGCGTCATGAGTGGTGTATTCATTGGCGAGACACTTCCGCCGTGATAGTCGAAGGAAGCTGACCTTGAGGTGGGATTGGAGTCAGACTGCGTCTGATCTTTGAAAGGGATGCCTTGCTTCAGAAGATCAGGTGCCTCATCGGGCTGTTTGAGCGCTCGCTTTTGTCGTCCAACAAGTCCCATTCGCGACAGACCGAAGTCGGTGAGCTTCAAATGACCCTTGGAGTCAATGAGCAGATTATCAGGCTTCAGATCCCGATGTACGATGCCACGGCTGTGAAGATGCTGAACGCCGAGAACGACTTCAGCGGTGTACTTCATCGCCCAGTCCTCTGACAGACCGCCGAGAATCTTGATCAAGGATGCACAATCACCTCCGTTGAGATACTCCATAACAAGGTAGAGGTAGTCCTTGCTGGAGAAAGTCCAATAAAGCTTGGCTACGAAGTCGCTCTCGCCCTGCCACATCATGATAGCTCGTTCAGCCTTGACATTCGTGACCTGATTTTTGGCGACCATGTCTGACTTGCGTAGAACTTTGATCGCGAAATACTCGCCAGTCCGCTTCTTCTTTGACAGGTAGACGCTCCCAAAGGCACCTTTGCTGATAGGCTTGATGACTTCGAAGTCCTTGATTGATGGTGGCAAGACACGCTCCTGCGGAGCAGTGATAGAATGCAGGCGCGGCGACGGCGGACCACCCCGAACGTCTGATGAGTGGATGCTGGACTGTCGGCGATGATGCTGGCTGTGAGTCTCGGGCGGCGGCATAAATTCCCCAGCTGTCAGTAAAGGTGAGACGATTGGGGAATGTGCAAGCTCGCCACTCGGGATACGAGACTTTGTGAGACGTAGTGGTGAGGGTGGTGGAGGTGGATAGCGCCCTGGGGAGTGCTGTCGATGTGGCGAGGCAGAACCCAGACCATGAAGATGCATACTCCTTCTCTTGCGCTCACGAGAACTGGCAGTCCGTCCTAGACCATGATCTGAAGCAGCGGGAGAATCCGACCGCCACTGACTTAATGGCAGGTTCGACGAAGCCATACTCCCATCGCTGTCGTTTCCATCCTCGGCATACATTGAGCGCCGGTTCGATACGGGCTGCGGCTGGGAGAGCTGGGGACCTTTATGAGATTTCGGCGTGGGACACTCGGCTGGACTACTTGAACCTGTAGAGACGGCTTGGGAGGAGGGGCGACGTTGACTGAGCCGTGAGAGAGCGGGTAAGTCGAGAGGGTTGCGCAACGCTGATGCCATGGACTTCATGCCGACGTAGCCTTCGGACTGGACAGACGTCGGTTCTTGAGCCAGAGGAGTGGGCTCGTCGGAGACTGGTGCTGATAGGCTTCCTTCGACAGGCAATTCATTCTCTTCCATTTCGCTGTCTGAAGACGAGAAAGATTCGCCAGCGCGGGCTCTGTCGGCCTTGATCAGTGCTTCTTGAATGCATGCGTCGACTTCAGCCATATACTCTTGTCGGATGCGCTCGGCATATTCTAAGATGACTTGGTGTCGATGGACTGCTTCAACTTTTGCCTTGGCCAGCCGCTCCGTGTCTTGTGCCAGCGCTGACAAGCCTGCTTCATGCTCGAGACTGCTAGGCTGCTGCCATTGCAACACCTGAGATATGCGCGATTCTGATTGCGGTGATTGTGCCTTCGCAAAATCTTCGGAAGCCAGCTTCTCTTCCTTGAGTGATGGTACATTGATCTCAATGGCGGTGTCGCAGAGGTCGAGGACCAGTTCAACAATCCGCACCAAAGGTCGACGAACAATAAACGAGCGTGAGCGATTATGGCTGGGCCGCACATTCAGGTTCGAGGGACTTCCGGATCTGGCTGGGCTGGCCGCCTGAGAAGCTGGGCCGGACGAGACAGCTGTAGACGATGGAGGCGATGCTCCAATAGGCATGCCCTTATACTCCGGAGCTGCCAGCAGGACAGGAGAAGCGTCGTGGGAACGAGGGCGGCCTTGACGGGCCTCAAAAGCGTCCAGTACCTTGACAATCGCATTCCGATGTTCGGTCAAGGACTCCTGAACCATCTGGACGTCCAGCTCGGCCTTGTGCTCCTGTACACACAAATCGGAGTGTTTCTCGAACCACCATGGCACAATTGAGCGTTCACACACGCGACAAAGCACCGGCAATGGAGGCGGGTGATTCTCTGGATCGTTCGCGGAGTCCTCGGCGAGCTCGGTCAGGTATTTGGCCAGTATCTCTGCGCCAATGCCCAAGGAGTCGACCAGTTTCTGAGGCAACGAAAACTCGATGCACAGAGGCTCAGTCGCTGGCTGCAACATCCACATCGTATGCGACTCGCCGCCAGTCACTCTGTCGTAGACCATGATGCCCTGGCCTTCAAGCTCAAGTATCTCTTTGCCATCGTCTGGTTCTCGCATCTGTTCTTCGATATTTGGAAAAGCAGGCTCGACTGGCAGCATTGGTGCCATCTCGGATGTCGTCCCGATCTTGACGCTGAACTTGACAAACTGGCTCTTCGAGTCGTTGGACTTGAGTGCTCTATAGCAGGCTCGAAGACGTTCGGATTGTCGTGTATGAATTTTGACACGGGCTGGCCTCTGACCGAGGACAACTCGGTGCCCACGACATCGGTCCAGGAGGGACTGACCCATCGAATGACGCCATCCAGATTGAGATCGAGGATGATGTTGCGTGTTTGCTCTGCGGCTTCCTTGAGATCCTGGGTACCTTCCTGGATATCTTGACTGAAGGTGCGCTCCATGGCGATCTTATGGATATCTATACGTCCAGCGTCGTTCATGAGGGTGCTGAGTGCCGGCGGTGGCAGTACGGGGTTGCTGGACCCATCCTGAGACATTGTCGTGTCTGCTCTCGAGATAGCAGGCGGTCGTTGTTGCCGTTGGCCTGAAGAGGCGGCTCAACCCACGTAGGGGCGCCACTTGGGGCAGCTTCACACAGCCATTGTGGACGGCAGAGCGATTGCGGAGGGATCAGCTCACGAATCGACCCGCCGGCGGCTGTTTATGAAGCTGCAGAGTAGACAGTGCTTGGAACGACCGATGAGAGCGCAAGGAGCGGCGATGCCGGCACGAATGCTCATGGATGGCAGTACAGCACGGACAAAGGAACGAGCGTGTCCAGTGTTGTGGTGGCCGCCTTGTCCTGGCAGAATAATTTCGAGTGCACAATTAAGTCGTTGAACAAACAGTACCACTGGTGAACTACTACTCGAATTGCTAGCAAGCAGAAATGTTGCCCGTATACTGACTCGGCCGCAGTTAGGAAGTGAATTTGGGTTGTCTGGTCACTGTCTGCCATCGATAACTCCTCTTCTTCTCGCACTACTGCGCGTGCCCGCAGGCAAAGTGGGGCTCAAAAGGCTTCCTACTGCACCTTCTTCCACTCATATTCTCCCCCGCTCGGATTTACTTGGAAATCAATTGCTCACGGCCCCTTGCACCACGTCTTCCTTCGCGAGCTCATGTCTGTTGACGTCTGACTTGCTCTAGAATCGACGATAGACTAGGCGTGCCGTTGTCAAAACGTGGTCGCTTGGGAACATTCCCCAGGAAGAAGGGTCAGACCAGAAGGACCCCTCCTCGTCTGTTCGGCTTCTCGAAGACCTCTTTTTTTGGCTCCGGCGCTCATGTTTCCTTTGAAGTACATATGTTCAATTGGGACTGGCTAAAAGCGTAATGTATCGAGGTTTCATCTTCAACTACTGAGTAGCTCTCCAGAGAGCTCTAGAAATTCTCGAGCGCATGGTGCTCAATCGCCAGAGCCATTGCCGTAGCTGCGGGTTCCTGAGCGACGACTTCCATGCACCAGTCTCGTGCTCCCAGACTGTTGGGTTCTGGGAATGAGCAAGGGTTAGTTACCGTGTCCAGTACTCGGCACTTCTCATGGCCGCCACGGATCTGGCTCGTCTTGTTGTCGTTGAGGCACCCATGAAACCAGGCGACCCTATCGATTGTCATGGCCAATAAGCGATACTGCCCTACGGTATCACGATGTAGGCACGTAAGCAATGATATGGGTCCTGGACTTCCTTCTGCATTGCATCACGCTATGCCAGCGTCTAGGGTGTAGGCACAGTCAAGTCACCAATGTCCGGCATGCTCACCCGCTCCCCTCGAGAGACTTCTGAACTCTTTGCCATTCCTTCCCATACTGCAGCTAAATAATCGTATGTGCTCGTGCTCGGCACAGAAAGTACGCATCCATTATTAAATCATTCCTGACAAACTTTGGGTAGTACGAAGCAGACCTTTTTGAACTACACAGCGTAGCTCAGCTGACACTCGTGTTGGAGGCCCGTCCAGTAACATCACCCCACCAAACTGGCTCGCGTACGGATGGTTTCTAATAACAATATTAACCGCTGCATACACGTTGTCTGCCTGGCCAATGCAATGTGTCGTTGACAGAACAGCCAAAGCTTACGATTGATCCGCAGCTCATCATGCAGCAAAGCCGTGCGCAAACTCGTCGATCGTTACGAGCGGCCTGCCGTGCTCGGTCGACGCGATCTCGATTACTGCGAGCACAGCGTCTTCTTACCGCCATATGTCGGTGCACATTCAATGCATGCCAACGTTGTTGATATCCTCTTCACCAAATTCCTGGCACGACGAGATTCGACAGATGTCCTTGCTGGCCTCTTGAGCCGATTCGCTCCCTGTCAACCATCAAACTCGTGCTATGCAGCCTTCAAAACACCCGTCAGATCGAATGTTTCCTGCCCCTGTCTTTCTGAGCTGACCTCCCCTCAATGATCCTCATGCTTGACAGCAAGCTGAGCGGCAAACTTTCGGGCCAGATGCTGCCGTGTCTGCAAGCCTCGACGTCGCAAGGGTAGACCCGTCCTTCGCGACCTCTCGTTGAACTTCACTTGAGACCTTGCTATTGAGCCTTCAGCCTCGTGTTGCGAAGGGTCGAGGACTACTTGCGAACTGCTGACGTGCAGCACAAGGACACAGGGGAACCATAGCCACATTGCCCGTGCCATTGCACACTTTGGTCGATCTACTGACAGCAGACCCTTCTGACTGCACCCATGATCTAGGTCTGCGACTTCACTGCAATTCCCCGGTAGATATGCGTTTCGCACAGGGAAGGTCCCTTCCATCCCGAACCATCTTTGACCGAAGTTAGTATTCGCTTCACGCGCCACGGCAGTCATATCCTACAACGGTCGACCTTTCTCTCGATCCAAAGACATTAAGTGGCCAGCAGGTCAGTCAACAATCGATCGGTAGTAGCCGCGCGGCGACTTGGGATCTTCGACTCTGCGACAATCATGGGACTCTCCACACATCAGGAGAATGTTATTCAATAATCTTGTCCATCACTATGACGCAGGCCTTCCGGATCCTGCCCGCATGACCCGTGCCAATGCTAACGTGAACTGTGGGCGGACTCATATCCACTGTATGTGTGTCGCCGCTTTCTATACCAGTGAGTCGTCTTTCCTGGGCTCTGGCCATCAACATCCTGAGTTCCAGTGCGTGGACGTCAGGCCCTCGATGACTCTTCATCGGTCATGTCCACAGCAGATTGCCTGACTGGTCCTTGTCCGTTCGCGATGCCCCAGATCAAGTCAGTCACGTTCTGTTTCCGGAGGAAGATGCTTGGTTGCGCCTACAAGGGCCATGACCGAGAACAGTGGTCTTCAATCGTGAGTATGCAAGAGCCTCAAACGAGTTCAATACCATAATTTTACATGCACAAATGCTCACCTGAGTCGGTCATGCGAGTCTGGTCTATCATAGCACAACATGTGTAGCCGCGACCAGTACAGCAACGTGGTCAAGCGCTTCTTTCCGAACCACAGTCTTCCTTCACTTCTCCTTCTTACCCAACTCCCCCTCCGCAATCGTCTTGAACTCCCGCACACTCCTCTCCAGCCCCTCCTCCACCGACACCATCGGCTTGTACCCAGTCCGCTTCTTCAGCTTCTCACAAGAATAATATCTATGCATGCAAGCATACCTCGCCCCCTGAGCAGTCAACTTACTCGGCCTTCCCAACGCCCAATTCACCCATTCGGATGCAAATCCCGCAAAAACCGCCATCTCTCTCGGCAGCGCCCAGGCCTGGGTCGCCGGCCGCACGCCATCGATGCGGCCATAACGAGACCAGAGGAAGCGGGACGTGTCCCAGAAATACGCAGGCTCGTCGTTGGTGCAGTTGAATGCTTCGCCATCGACACGCTCAAAGTCGAGGATCTCGGACTTGCCCTCTGCTTTCCGTGTATGCGTAGATAAGAGAGCGTCGGTGGCGCAAAGTAAGGCGTAGCATAAGTTGCCAACGTAGGTGTTGTCGAACAAACCCTCACCGTGACCTAACTGCATGTTCAAATTCCAAGCAGGCGCCTTGGATCCGGTAAGTATGATGGCGTAGGCGAAACCTCCCCTGTCGCCCTCGCCGACGACGCCGGCGGGTCGTATGGCGCAGGTGAGCATGCCACTGGTGCCATTGGCTTCTAGCACGGCCTTTTCTGCAACGACCTTGGTCTCGGAGTAGTACTCGGCCGGGTTGGGGTAGACGTAAGGGTAGAGCTCGGTCGCGTTGATAAGGTCGCTGTAGCAGTCGTGTACGACGGAGGCGGAGGACGTGTGTACGAATGCCTTGACAGTGCCGGTCGATTGAGCGGCTTTGAGCAGGGTCTTGGTTCCTTCGATGTTGACTTTCTTGAGGATCTTGTCGGGCGCGGTGAATTGTGGGGAGGCCGTATTAATCACGACGTCGGGTTTTATTTCTTGGAAGAGGGCGGTCAGGGCAGACTCATCGGTGATGTCGCATTCGTGATATATTGCTCTATCATGTCGGTTGCGAGTGCATTTGAGGTCAAGTGCATGGACGCGGGTGCCAGCACGAGAGTAGGCCGGGTAACGGGAGCGTAGTGTTGGGAACGCCGTGGAGGGTGTTACGATGAGAGACTCGCGTGAGTACTTCTCGACCGGCTTGGGCTCCTTGGAAGCAGGTGGTAGGTTGTCCTCGGACGGGAAATTTAGCAGCTGGTCAACGAGGTTGCCGCCAACGAACCCACAGCCGCCGACGACCAGAACGGTGCCGATGGACTTTTCGTTTGGCGTTGCCATCGCTGCTACAGCAGGAGGTGAAGCAGCTTTGGTAACGTCAAGATATCGAGCATCGTAGCGTGAGGACGATGTCCCAGTATTTCAGCATTTTTTAAGCGAGACGTCAGGTACACAGAGCCCTGGACCGGGGTCGGATAAGATCCGTTGCCCGTGGGCTTTTACTGGAGCCGTGTGGCGGTTCCGTGTTCCTTGCAGGCTTCAAGGGCTGCCCCACGGCACCATCGTCCTTTGTTACGAGCTCCTTATGCTGCTGCGTCTTACGACTCGTAGCTGGTCTCGCAAGGCCGCCTGATCTAGGCTTAGGTTCGTAGGTAACTGCTATAACGACTCTACCGCCACGTTCCCCTCATAGACAGTTCCGGGTCTGCTGTAATTGTAGGCCAGTATGAAGGTGAGTACGCGGACAAGGCCTCAGCGCGCAGCAGTTCTTGGATGTCTGGAGATTATGCTGCTGTATCGCGACCATAAGCCATAAACAATCTTGGCAGCACTTTTGCAAGATTATGTATAGGCCCCGGAGACCTTGATCGAAGATTCACACGCCGAGGACATTCGTTCACGCAAGAGGTGGTTGATGGATATCAAAAGATCAAATGGGGTATCATCATTCCCGTCCAAGGTATCTGCCCTCCCAGACCCATCCATGTCAGCGCCTTTGCTATGAGTGGATATCGAATGCAATCTTCTATCATTAATGCGTTAGTGCGTCGCAAGCCCTTTCAGATGAAGTCCTAGGCATCCAGGCTGTCCTGTGCAGATCTTCGTACATGCTTGCGATACTTCTGCTTGTCAGCATCGTCACTACTCCAGAGCAGCTTGGACGCCTCTGGACGTACGATCGTACGCGGATCGTATCGTCCTTCCTCCTCGATCGACTCCACAACCTTGGCGACGTGATCAGCCAGCTCGTCGGGCTTTTGCGGAAAATAGCAGAGGACGCCATCCTTGGACACCCGATGGTGGTAGATTGGTGTCAGGAAGGTCACGCGGGGTTGTTCCTCGGGGAAGCGAGGGCTAATGGCGATGCGAATCTGGAACATGCCGCCATCGAGATCGGTGCCAGGCTTGCCAAAGTAAACCATGTCCCAGACGAAGGGGTTGTCACGATTCAACTTCAGCGTGTAATGGAAGGCGTTCTGCTGGCGCAACTTCTCGTTCAGCTGCTCGAATTGGCGCTGTATGTTGGCGGCTTTGGTGGACTCCTGCTCTTTGAGCCGCTTGCCTTCTTGTGCCCAACCATCTGTCTCCTTTTGGAGTGCGTCTTTGAGCGAGAGTAGTCTCTTCTGTAGGTCTTTGTAGCCGAATTGACCGTCCATGCCGTTGTGACCGGACTCGAACGGCATCTTCTCGAAGGCTTTCCCGTCTTTGTGCTTGGGCATCTCTGTCGCGACAGTATTCATGTAATGTTCGAACCACCAGAGGAAGCGTCTTTTGAAGAGATCGATGAAGGGTTCGAATTTGGTGTCGTCTAATTTCTTCTTCTTAGAGATGTCGTCATGGTGCATTGCGGGACCATCGTCGTCGTCAGACTCCCAGGCATCACGGGCTGCAATATCTTGCTTCACTCCCACAGCAGACCCATTTATGCTGGAAATGCCCATGGCTTCCTCCAGCTTTTGTATGACAGCAATTCGGATGGTCTCATGCCTTATCTTTGCGCAATAAGCCTCATTGAGCTTCTTGTCCTCCTTGCTCTTGCAATTCTCGTAGCCGGGCTCGTTCTCGTACGGGTTGTTGGACATCAGGCTCTGTATTGAGATGAGGATCGACTCCACGCCCTGAGCCGGCGACCATTCTTCACCAGGCTTCTCGCCTTGCCATGTACCGAGTATGCTTAGACAGACCTTGCCAGCTGCGTAGATGTTGGGATTGAACCTGCACCGGCCATGATTTGTAGTCTTCGCGTCGACTTTTGGTGGCTTGACGGGATAGTCGCTTCCAATGCGGATGGCGAACTCAAAGAACCCGTACTCATATGGTGTGTCTGAAGGACCAACAATGAATGCCTTGAGATGACGAAGATCGTGGTCTTGAGCTGCTACTCCTAAAGACAGATCGGATGCCGCTTGCAATCGTGCCAATTCCTGGAGTTGTTAGTTTCAGCCTGCGCAAAGCAGTGGTGAGCGAACCTTGGTGATACGAGAAATGGGATTCATGATGACTACAGATGTGACAACACAAGGCGCTTACGAGCGTTGGGCATGGTAGAGAAAGTAGGAAGCGAGCGAAGACTGTGGTCTGGCAGGTGTACCCTCAAGTTAGGCTGAGAATAAACAACACGTCGAAGTGCTGAAGAAAGTTGCACTTTATGACCGGTAACGCGGGGCAGTTTCCCTCAACTCCACCCTTGAGCATTAGCGGGCTGAGCCTGTTTGTACCCGTTGTACTAGCCTGAAAGCCCAGCCCTTCTGTTGCTTGCCTAGGTGATCAATGCCTCGCCTTCGACGAGTTTCGCTCTCGCTGTCGTCTGCATCAGTACAAAAGCTGACATTGATCGAGAGCCTCATATGCACAGCAGGTGTCTTCGACAGGAATATTGTGGCCTTTCGACCTTGCGGCTGAGCCCAGGCAAGCACACTGCAAGTTGGGCGTTGTTGCTAGTTGCCTAAATCCTGTTTTACATGTGGGCGAACTCCAGCACTGCAGATCGGTCGGTCCCCATCAACGGTTTAAAATAGTAGCAAGTGTCAGGCATCTCCCACTGTTTACCAGCATATCTTTGCACCATCGCGATTGCCTCTCAGTTGACGAGGGGTTGTCGTATTAGGAGACAGGCTCAAGCACGGCGATTCCTGGATCTCAGAGTATCCGAGATGTTGACAAGCAGCAACCTTGCGCAGAATTCCCAATTTGCCCAGTTCCTGGCCCGCGCTGAACTACAGCAAGCGAAACCCGTTACATTTCACATCGCATGGACACGAACCAGTCACGGACTCGATATTGGGAGGATGTCATGTCCTGCGCGCTGAAGTCTTGGGTAAGAGGCTGGTCGAGCTACCCAGCATAGAGAAACGCAAATGACATCTCTCCGTAGCAGATATCATTGCATGATCGGCTGAGGATATCGACTGTGCATCGACCGGGCTTCGTTCCCATACAGTCGCTAGCAACATGACATGCAGTGGGTGTGTTAAGAGGTGTAGTTCATTTATAGCATTACGCCCATGTGAATCTGAACACAGGAGCCCAGCAGTGAAGCCACCACACGCTAAACCTTGTACAGGATAGCGTGCCAAGGCGTCAACCCTCTCTTCTCGTCTGCATGAAAGCAAGTGTCGGATGGGATAGCCATAACTTGAGTCCTTCAACAGACCACTGTGTCGCTCTCTGCTTCCACGTTTCCGAGCACACTCATTATTCTCTATCCAGAACAGTCTCCTGCATTGGTCTTAAGCCCACCTCGACGCGTTGACAGTGCATTGCCGCAGCGAAACTGACGCCGGCCCGACACTCGTTTCAACTGCCAACTCGTCGCCAAAACAAAGTTGCTTTGTCCATTGACACCTCGACAGACTCCTCGCCTCGGTCGGCGGCATCGACTTTCTGCCACGCAAGACGGTCGACGATTTGGATAGTGTTGGATTTGTTGTTGTTTCACCGGCATTGAGCCCTCGACTCTCGAGTCCGAATCCGCCCTCCCAACTCGAGCCCGCAGCTTTGCGCCGATGAGCACGACTGCCTTGCCACCGCTTTGGATGAGCATAACCGCAATTCCGAACGAAAGCGTCTGCCAAATCGCCTGTCCCCGACTTCATATGCGTGGGGCGCTTGACCCGTATACCTGGCTCAATCGCCGAGGGCTTCATAATGGCCGCCCCCTACCAAGATCCCAACGCTGGCACTACCAGATATACCATCGGTGCGCCTGGCCAGAATCAGCAACACAACACAAACGGCAATGCCAACTATGCGCAGCAGAATGGCAACGCCCCTGAAACGCAGTACGACAGTGATGCCCGACAGTCCACCGAAAGTCGTACTGGTCGGAAGCGATCGATCGGCAATGGAGAACCCAATGATCGGAGTAGATCAAGAACGGGTGGTAGTGGTGGAAGATCTGTTCGGACCTGTAAAAAGTGCGGAGAAGCGTTGACAGGACAATTTGTGCGCGCCCTAGGAGGAACATACCATCTCGACTGCTTCAAATGTGCCGACTGCGGACAAGTCGTTGCCTCGAAGTTCTTCCCTGTCGATGCTGCAGATGGCTCTGGACAATTTCCGCTGTGCGAGACCGATTATTTCCGGCGTCTGGACTTGCTCTGCTACGACTGCGGTGGTGCGTTGCGCGGCTCCTACATCACGGCGTTAGACCGGAAATACCACATCGAACACTTCACCTGTTCCGTGTGTCCCACGGTCTTCGGTTCTCAAGACAGTTACTACGAGCATGAGGGCAAAGTCTATTGTCACTACCATTACTCGACACAGTTTGCTCAGAGATGCAACGGATGCCAGACTGCCATATTGAAGCAATTTGTCGAGATATTCCGAAATGGGCAAAATCAGCATTGGCACCCAGAATGCTACATGATTCACAAGTTCTGGAATGTCCGATTATCGACGTCAGATGAGGCTTCAGCACGTCCACATCTCAATGCAGACGTACGCAACGATGAGCGGGAGCTGGTCAAAGAAGATGAAGATCGGATGGAGCTGAAGGTGTACCGCATCTGGAGTATCCTGTCCACCTTCGAAGAGTCTTCCGCTTCGTGCATTTCAGATATGCTTCTTCAGGTGAGCAACGGATCGTACTATGAAGGAGTCATTGTAGCCAGAAAGTTCATCTGGCATGTCGACATCCTCTTCAATGCGGTCGACAGTCTCGCCTCTCTGGTCATCAAATCGGGCCTCAAGGAATTGTCTTATGGCCGAGAAGCCAAGCTACTCTGCAAGAAGGTAGTGGCATTTTTCACCTTACTGTCCAAAACGCAAGAGACCGGTGTGCGGAAGCTTGGCGTTACCCAAGAACTACTCTCCCTGGTTACTGGCCTGGCTCACTATTTGAAGCTCCTCATTCGCATTGGTCTTCAGGGCGCCCTGAAGCTCGAGCGCGAAAGAGGCACCGCAGAAGGTCTACATGCATTCTTGGATGAGCTTGCCGACCTCGAAACCATCAAAGAGCAAGAGCTGAAGAACGTCGATATCAACGATGGGGTTGCTGGGCTGGCTGAGCAACAGTCGGACTGCTGTGCCAGCTGTACACAGCCAATTGATGATGAATGTATCATGATCTACGGCAAGCGCTGGCACGCAAAGCCGCCTCATTTGACATGCAGTGTCTGTAACAGAGACCTGAGCCAGGATCTTTACAGCGCTCGTTACAGCGAGCGTGATGAGCGTGTCTACTGTCTCGACCACGCCAAACGAGCCGCTGAAACAGTGTCTGGCTTTTCCCACGTCTCAAAACTGCAGCAATACGTCTTCCTATTGAAGGTTGCGTTGGCTAGACTCTTAGAGGTCTTGAAGAACAGTGGGAGCCTTCCTCATACGACAGAAGATCCCAATCTGACACCTTACAACACTGATGACGGCCATCGTGGTCAAGATCGTGCACCACCCCACCAGAAGATGGGGTCGCGATCTAAGTCCTACGCCGGCTCATCAAAACAGGAAGGCTCATCACTCGAGCAGACAGTAGGCGAGATGAAGCGCCTGCGATCGACAAGAAACGAAAGAACACTGTCGACAACTTTTCGAAAGGCAAGAGCCTCCCGCATCATGGACGGCCCGACGGGCATTCGACCAGGATCCGCAGGAGACGACCCCTCTCGAGGCCAGTTCCAGATTGTTGAGGAGCGAGATCTTGACGGCAAGGTTCGACCTGAATTGACTTTCGGCAATCAAGAAGGTCTTACTCTGGATGACATCCCGCGCATTGTCGCAGCAGAGCAGGCCAAGGAGCAGCGGCCTAATGCGTATCGACACGCAGGCACCGCTTTGATTGGCGCTAGCAATAACGCTCCTCGTCTGCTCAATGGCCACGCGCGCGGCGCATCAGCCGGAAACGATCTGCTGTCTGGCGAGCCAAGTCCTCTTCGCACAAAGCGTTACTTCTCCGAATTGTCGGCGCTGGAGTATTTCATAGTGCGTCATGTGGCAGTTCTGTCCATGCAGCCACTGCTGGACGGCCACTTCACTCTGGAAGATCTGCTTGGGTTGATAGAATCACGAAAGCCGACGTTCTGGGGAAAAGTCAGCCGGGCTCTGCGAAACGACAACAAAGTAAAGAAGAAGGGCGTCTTCGGGGTTCCGCTTGAGAGTCTGTGCGAACGTGAAGGTGCTGAGTCCACGCATGGTGTGGGACCAGGAGCGTTGCGTGTGCCCGGGATCGTGGACGAGGCAATAAGCGCCATGAAGCAGATGGATATGTCCGTGGAAGGTGTCTTCCGCAAGAACGGCAATATCAAACGTCTAAGAGAGGCGTCTGAGCTAATCGACGCCAACCAGATGCCAGACTTGAGCCGCGAGAATGCTGTTCAAGTTGCGGCTCTGCTCAAGAAGTTCTTGCGCGATATGCCAGACCCGCTGCTAACTTTCAAGTTGCACAAGCTGTGGATCGCAGCTCAAAAACTCGAAGATGACGACGTTCGTCAGCGTGTTCTGCACTTGACTTGCTGTTTGATGCCAAAGAGCCATCGAGACACGATGGAAGTGCTCTTCGCGTTTTTGCGTTGGACGGCATCTTTCTCGCAAGTCGACGAGGAATCCGGAAGCAAAATGGACGCACACAACCTAGCCACTGTGATGGCACCAAACATACTGTATGCCCTACAGAAGAAGGAGAATGGAAAGGCGGCGGTTGTGCCACAAGTCGACGAAAGCTTTCTGGCCATTGAGACTGTGCACACACTGATACAGTTCAACGACACATTTTCGGAGGTATGGCTTCCAAAAGCAGTTCACTTGTATCCTTGCTGACAGTAAATAGGTACCCGAAGATTTGCAGTCAATCCTGACCGATAGCAGCCTGCACAACAGCTCGGCAGAGTTGACTACCAAAGAAATTCTCTCGCGGTACGGCGATATCGTGAAAGGAAACGTGGCCAAGCAGACCGTCCAAGCCGCAGATGGACCAGCAAGAGCCACTCCGTCTTCTGCCACCGGCTCAACGAAAGGCCCAAATACTGTCGCCATGCGGGTCGATGCCGATCCTTCTCAGGCTCACGCATGGCACAAGCAAAGCTCTGTGCGTCCAGTACAGAATCATGGTCCTGGCAACGCGAAGCAGGATTTTGATTTCGCTGCCCCAAACCAACCATACTCTGGGAGACAGCGCGCAGGCAGTGGTTCGAGTCAGGGCGATTACAACAAAGACAATAGGCAGAGCTACGGCAATAAGCCTCTCGGTGTTGCGAGCTGATCACTGCGTCGCAAACACCGATTCACAATGCATGGCCAGGAGCACTTCTATTTCGAGCAAGAATTTGGCGTTCAATTCGGACTTGGGAATAACGACTTGACGACCTGAATACTCAACATGGAAAACACATTGTTTGAAATTAGCACGAAGGGGGGTGCGGACACTTAGCATCGCCGGCGAACCACATCCATGGTCTGAGCACATGTTGTGCTTTCACATTCTGTCGACCTTTGGATACAAAGGAAGGAGCACATAAGAGTGCGAGAATACGTGGTGATGCGCGTACGATTTTGGCACGCGAAAGTACTGCCGAGTGCCTGGTTTTTTGGAATAGCGGCATTCGGACATTGGCAGGTGCGATTGGACTCTGGCGAGTGCGATCGAGGGAGGGCAGTGTGGCTTTGTTGAATTGTGTACGTGAATGATCATTTCTGGGTCGGCTCATCCTTTCGGCGGGAATGGCTACCGACCAGTCGCCTTGCACACGGCTTGTCAGACTCCCAGCCCACTTGGGCACCTGTCAGCCATGAAGAGTAACCAGCAGAGCTGAATACTTCCCGAGTTCGTTGAAGAGGAAAGCGCTGTACGGAACAATACATGGCAAAAGCCAGACCAGGGCACTCCTGAGGAGTTGCAATTAGGTAGCTGAGTGGCGGAAATGAATAGTGTGCTTGAACGCACACACTGCTTCCCTTCGGCAGTGCTGCCCCTGTCCTGGGTATCGCGTGCTCATCTCATCTGGGTCATTTTGCGCTCTGCTCTACTGCGTATCCTGATCTCTTCTCGCTGCGGGACCAACAGGAAAACACCACAAGCTCCTGAGTAGTCCTTCCCCAAAAATTGTCTCTGACTACGGCCGCCCCCGTCTACAGCTCATCCGCATCGTCCGCCTTGCTCTTCTTCTCCTTCTCCTGCCCCTCCGCCGCCTTCTCACCATTCGCATACTGATCGAACCTCCTCTTCTTCCCGTCGCCACCCTTACCTGTTTTCGCCTTCGCCGCAGCCAGCACCTCGTCCATCACCGAACCCAACTTCTCGATCGCCTCATCTTTAATCTGATAATGCACGACTATTCGTCCAGCATAGAACTTTAAACCGTGTTTCTTCCCACACTCCACGAAGTCGCTACCTTGAATCCCCGCGGCTTCCAGATCTAGCCAGACCATGTTCGTCTCGGTTGGGCTGGTCAGCTCCCCGCCCCTGTCCAGCCACATCTGCGCTACTTGGAGAGCGCGCTCGTGTGTGACGCGCAGCTTCCCGCCCTCGCCATGAGGCCCCGAGCCAAAAGTCTCGTCCACGGCGACGCGGGCGGCGGCGCTGATGACGCCGGCCTGGCGCGTGCCGCCACCTAGCATCTTGCGGAAGCGGCGGCGTTTGATGAAGGATTTGCTGCCGACGATGACAGATGGATAGGGGCGCCGAGGCCCTTGCTGAAGCAGAGGGAGACGGAGTCGAAGAGGTTGCAGAAGTCCGAGAGCGAGCCGGCGGCGTTAGGGTGGGTGGAGGAGGCGACTTCCCAGATGCGGGCGCCGTCGAGGTGCATTTTAATTCCGTGGGATCGGGCCCACGTGGAGATCTCGCGGAGATTGGAGAGCGGGTTGACGGTGCCGTTGAGAGTGTTCTCGAGGGAGATGACGGCGGTGGGGCAGGCGTGCACGTCGTCGCTGATCACGGCGTGGGCTTGGATGTCCTCGAGAGTCAAGTGGTGGCCGTTTGAGGGGACAAGGGGAAGGGTTTGTGCGCCGGAGATCATGGACAGGCCGCCCGCTTCGTAGTTCACGATGTGGCATCTGTGGTCGCAGAGGACGGAGAATGGTGGGGAGACGAGATGTGTGCGTAGGGCGACTTGGTTGCCCATGGTGCCAGACATAACGAGCAGGGCGGCTTCGTGACCTGTCAGCGAAGCGACGTGGGCTTCGAGGGCGTTGGTGGTGGGATCCTCCAGGACGACATCGTCGAGCAGAGTTGTGTTGCTGATGGCGTGTAGCATAGAAAGCGTCGGGGTTGTCATGGTGTCGGATCGGAAGTCATATGCAGCAGGACCCGGCTGGTGCCAGGCGGAGACGTGCTCATGGTTGCCGTTGAGGGCATTTGCGTGTCCATTGACAGGCTTGCCAGCTGCGGTTGTCATGGTGTGGTGTGGGTTGAGGCGATGGTGCGTGAAAGAAAGCGAAGCGGTGGGACGGCAAGTGAATCTAGATGCAAGACGATGTGGAGGTCTGATCGACTTACATATAGATAACATCACCCACCTATATGACTCGGAATCATTCTACGCCCTTGTGGTTGCAAGAGTCTTACAATTCGACGGAATTCGATGGTGATTGCAGTCTTCCTGGCTGTATGCAGAAGGTGCCAGTGACGGCCGACATGATGGAGATGGCCGTCTAAGAAGACCAATGCTACAAATCCGTCATACAGATTCCCCCAATCAGCTAGGCTGGCCCATAACGTCGCTTAGCTTCATTCGCCCGGCAACGAGTCGCGCTCGGGTCAAATGCCAGCACCACGGCCACTTGAAGGCGCGTGCATTCGCGAGTCGCGTCCAAGTCCGCGCTCTATGATGGACCTCCTCTTTTGCTATTGCAGACCTGACTAGCAGATGTTCTAGTAACCTGCGTACGGGTCTTATCATCATGGCGCAATCACGAAAGGCGACCGGCGAGCAGCGCAAAGCGCCATTCAACAAAGTACACGTCTTCTGCAATTCCTGTCAAGCGAACTTGGGCACGTTCAAGAACGAATGGATCAAACTGACGTCAGCGTACGCGCGACCCAGAGAGCGGGGAACCAACAAGGGCACGCGCATCGGCGACATCACCAGAGTGGTTCCTGATGGCGTCGTGCACAAGATGGCCGCGGGCTGCGAGATGGCGGAACTGTTCTGTGTTGGCTGCGATACCGTCGTCGGTCAGCACTGCAAGGATGCGCCGGAGCGAAAACGTGATGCGATGAAGGGACAATATTTCTACAAGTTCTCAAAGGCACATATCAAGGATGCGAAGACAAAGGCTGTTGTCGAGCCCGCCTTCCTCAACGACGAAGCGCCACCTACACCGAAGGCTCGCGCTAGGGCTGTCACTTCGACCAGCATGTCGAGCCCGGCACCTCGAAGGGTCATAAGCGCGCCCATTGCTACTACGTCGCCTGCGAAGGACAGCAACACTCCCAGTGACCAGCATGACGGCGGGAATAGCAGTCCTCCCGTAGTACCCCCCGATGACGAACAGAGCGGTCTTCTGAACAGGCTTCTCGAGCTCGAGCGACTTGTGAGGTCCGGGAGTATCGCCACACCGGCTGTGCAGGCTCGCCCTGAGCCCACGCCAGTCCCACAGCCTACACATGCTTACGCTCAGCCTCCACCCGCTCTTCCACAACACGATCAAGTCATTGAGGATCAGAGAAGACAGATCGACTCCATGTCTGCGCAATTGACAACACTGCGTGGCACAATCGACGATCTGAGAGGTGTCATCCAAGATCTTCGAGCCGAGAGATCTCGGCAACAGTCACTCTCGCTACAAGAAAGTGCGATGATGAAGAAATTTGACGAGATGGTAAAGTCTGTTAGAAATGGGCAGGTGCCGGACACGGAAGCAGAAACACTCCGCGCAGAAAATCAGAAATTGAAGGACAGGCTTTCGACCATTGCGGGAGCCATGAACGTGTCATCAGAAGAAGAGCACCAGACTGAGCAAAGCACAAACCTCGGAAAGCGGAAACGTGAGGAAGGGAATCAGTCAAGAGCTGGCTTCCGACCCAACGACAACTATCGTCCAAACGAAGTGAACCATGTGCCCAACGGCAACGACTATTACCATCCACTCACCCCAGAGTCAATGCAAGAGATGGCAGCCCGAGGACAGACGCCAGCAGCACGACCTGGTCCCCCAAATCAGCCATATCCGCCGAACAATTTGCACTACGTGCCTCCGCATCTTCGATACCAGCACAGCGAGCCTGATATGAGACAGTACGGCCCCCCTCATCCAGCTAACAGTGGCTACCCACCACCATACCCGCCACCTCCGCATCCATACACGTCAGGTATGGACAGTCATTATCGCCCACCTATGCCACCACCTCGACCAGACTCACGAATGATGGCACATCCCCCACCACAGGGACCAGCACACCACCCCCCAGGTGACCGACCCAGCAGCTCGGGCCATCCAGTGGAGTTCAAAGACGATGAGATCGCCACCGCCAATGCCTCCCACGTGCCAATGTCGGCACCACTTACCCGACCACCGCCGCAATCATCTGTGCCTCCACATGGACCACCTCCCCCAAACGGCGCACCATATCCCAACGTGCCACCCAACGGATTATACGATGCACAACAGCCTCCCCATGCACAATTTCAGACCCCGACCACCGCAACGAGAACCAAACCCGTCGCCAGGTCAATGACGTGCAATAGCCTTCGGCAGCCTGCCACAGGTTATGGCCTCAACAATGCCCTTCATTTCACACCAGACCTAGTAAAGCAGCGGATACCAAGACGCAATCGCGGCAAGAAGTCTTCCTTGGGAAATGAGGACACGTCCGCTAAGACCGAGACAGAGTCTGTGGTTGGGATTGGTGATGGTGTAGGGACCGCGAGCAGAGCTGGGACGGTACGACCTACTGGGCAGCCTTCAGATGGAGACGACGACATCCCGATTGACCCTGCTCTTGTGCAAGCTAGGAACGGAGAGGCAGGCGGAAGTCAGGGTTCGAAACGAGGCGGCGCGCGGAACGGAATAGTGGTCAATGACTCTGAAGACGAAGACGCAGCGGGCGACGGGCTCTATAAGCAGGAAGGCCACTAGTTCTGTGAGGAAAGGTGCAAGGCGGCAGCCAAGGAAGAGTGTGGTTGTCAGCAGGGACGAACTGGCAAATGATGACGATGGAGACGAGGATGAGATTGTGCAAGTTGACGGTGCTTGAGTGTGATCCGTCGCCTCTATGAGGGACACATCATTACTGTTACGATGTACTGGATTATGAACTTGCATGTACCAGGATAGCTGTCCGAAGTGATTGGATTAGTTGCGGTTGGGAAGATACAATTCGCCAGAAAACAGCAGTCCAAACATTCCAGTCCCAGTGACTGACCACGTAGATCGATCACGACGGAACGATCTACCCGTTGTGCTAATGCAACTAGAACTCGGATCTGTAGTTCGGATGCACAGAGCAAACATTCATCAGAAGCAAAGTCGTCTCAGTCGTCAACGACCTTGACGAATCACGATCACAGGCTTGGCAAGCCATCGGTCATCGGCTCGGGGTGTCAATCCCTGCTAGCCCCAGGCACATACACACCCGCAGGATGGGATTGTGCTAGGCATCGGTTAGCCCCGCATGTCCGACAGGCTTCGAACTGCGGCGCGGCTCGTGGCTCGTAGAAATAAATATACACTTTTCGGAACACGTTTTGAAGTGAGCACCTGCAACTATCTCTCGTCTCTTGTGACCTGCTGCTCATTTGTGACTGGTTGGGGAAGGTATAGGTTGTAGCGTTTGTTGCATAATCGGGTCGAGTGCGTCCCGGCACGCCTTCGTTGTGTCTTCTTTCAGAGAGGTTCGAATTCGGGTACGTACAAACATGAGTGTCTGATCTGAGAACGATTACTGAGTGAGGGCAGGTTTGATTGCTGCAAGAAGTGAGTGTCCACCTCTTCTGACTCGAGTGGCCTGCAAAGACTGTTCTCCGGAAAAGAGGAAGCTCTTCTAGCGATCGAGTCTCGAGGTCGTCAAGCCGGGCTTCAAGATATGTACAAGGTCTTCGTGGAGCCGGGAGGATATTAGAGACCGGTTCACCAGCAAGAGAGAAAGAGCCTGTGATGGTCAAACCTGTTCATTCATAGTGGATACGCTTGTGTTGCCGGGTCAATATCACATTTGTCCTTGAAATTTGTGGAAGAGAGATGCTGACTCGAGAGTGCGCAGTCCACGTTGTATCAGAAGAGGCACACCCAGCTGTGGTGAGGCGGCTTGCCACCTCGGGGGTATAGGAGCATGAGCACGGCAAGCCACAAGTAGTGCCGGCACAGCACTACACCAAATTCAGAAGCAGTCCCTTGAGTCATGTTTAGCAGTCGACGTCTGCCCAAACTACCGACCCGTTAGGGACGATGAAGGGCGCAACCCAGCCCCAGACGCAGCCTCTCGAAGACGGTCGGAATGGCAACCACCTGTCTGATGTCTCCAACGACGACCTTACAGATGTCATTTGTCTGCTAAATCCTCAGTCAACCCTAGCACATGCTGCTGTCAGGGCGACGATGTTGTCAGGACCCCAACACATACACCAGAACGACGATCTGGAAGGCTTGACTGACTTCGATATCGCCCTGCCACAGTACCAGGAGCCTCGAGAGTTTGCTTTGCGACTCTCATCTACGGTCAAGTCACCCAGGGACGGATTCGTGTTCGGCAGGAACCCTGATGCTTGTGACCTGTTGCTCACAGATGACCCTGCTGAGAAACTAATCAGCAACAAGCACTTCAAGATCCATGTCAATAGTCATGGCAGCTTGATGCTGCAGGACATGTCAACAAACGGCACCTTCGTTGATGATCAACACCTGAGAGCTAGGCGTCGAGACGCCATGCAAAAGTCCCCTTCTCTGGCTCTCAAAAGTGGTACAATCATATCAGTCGTCGGCGGAGGACAAGCTCGGGCAGAAACAAAGTTCCTGGTACGCATTCCCAACCGAGGCAGCTTCGAAGACGAGTACGAGCGCAATCTGCGACGGTACCTCGAACTGCGAGGCACTGTTGCAAACTTCGCCTCAATGCGCGAGAGCGTCTACGGAAATCATTGGAATGGCGGTGCCTTGTACAACTTTACCGGCATCATGGGTAAGGGCGCCTTTGCCAGTGTGTATCGCGTGCAGACTAAGCGTGACGGAATATTCTACGCCGCCAAAGAGCTGGACAAGAGGCGCTTCATCAAGAATGGCATACTGGACATCAAGTTTGACAATGAGCTCAAGATCATGCAGAACCTAAAGCATCCAAACATCGTTGAATACATCGATACACAGAACTACGAGAACTGGGTATACATCATCATGGAATTGCTCAATCACGGCGAGCTTTCGGCAGAACTGCGCAGCCGTTCGTATCTGCCAGAAGCGGAAGTACAACAAATCACACGGCAGGTCCTGCACGCATTGTACTACCTCCACCGGCGTGGTGTCACACATCGAGACATCAAACCCGACAATATTTTGATTGCATCCCGAGATCCATTGATAGTCAAGCTAGGGGATTTTGGGCTGTCAAAGTGTGTTACAGATCAGGAGACATTCCTCAAGACATTTTGTGGAACGCTGCTGTACTGTGCTCCAGAAGTCTATCCTGACTACAACTCGTATGCACAGGGTGCACTGCCCAAAAGGCGTCGCATAGGTGAGGCTGCGGCCAAGGCATCACCCTACGATGAATCAGTGGATATGTGGTCTTTTGGGGCCGTCGTCTTCCACTTGCTTTGCGGCAAAGCACCCATCACTGGTCGAGGAGACGATCGCGGAGCACAAATGCTCAGCAATATCATGACCAAAGACGTGGACTTCGAGCCTCTTAGGCGACAAGGCGTCAGCGCGGCAGGCATTGACTTTGTCGCAGGCCTACTCAATCGTGATCCTCTCGCGCGACCCAAGGAACCGGAATGCCTTCGACACCAATGGCTACGTGATGTCCCGGACATTCTCGAGTACGACGAAGATGACTCGGGTGCAGAGCTGTTCCGTCGTGCTCTTGATGCTGTCGATGAAGCCCCAGAAGACGAAATCAATGAGGCTATGCTACAACAGCTCAGTCAATATGCTGAGGTTGCGTCTCAGCACTCGAAGAGTCCTCAACGTGCTCACAAGCGTCAGAGGACTGACATGGATGGAGCAGTCGAGCCGGTGGCGCCGATGATGTGCATTATCCTAGCTTGCCCACTGGCGTTGGCAGCTCAATGCTCGACACCGTGCCCCCTCTGCCACAGGCACGACTCTTTGGCGAGATTACGCCATCAGTACTGAAGAGTTCCGGCGTTTTCGGTGCGCCACTCGCAATTGAGCGCGGCACGACTCCTGGTGAAGTCGAGGATAGGTCAAACGTTGCTCAGGCAACGAGAGCGATCCAACATGGCCTCGAAAATATCAGTGTGAACGACTGGCGGAGCAGGTATTCCGATGACACTGACATGAGTCACGCAGACTTTCCCCTTCCACCAGGCCGAGCACTTGCAGCTCCAAGTTTGCTGGGCGCTGAAGCACAAATTGGGGACCTAAACATGGCCTCTGGCTCCGCTGCTTTGGCAAGCAACAACGCGAAGACCTCTCACGATGGCGGCAAACACATAGATCCAGCGCTGTTGCCATCAGGTGCCCAATCTCGACCACCCATAATCACAACCCATGCCACGAAGCAGAATCCAGGTGGTGATATCATCGATAATGAGAACATTCCGCCGACTCGTGAGGCGAACGACGGCATCGATGTCAGCAAAGGTACCGGGCACGTTGTATCTCCGAGGAGGAAGGCCGTAACCTTTCAAGGGCAAGAGACTTCCTACGAAGGACTGCCACCACTGCCACTTGCGCAGACAATGGACACTACGCCAAAGCGTGGGCCCGGAACCAGAAATCCGTCGCAAGAGCAGTCACCCGTTGTGAAACAACAAACCGGTCTGGAGCCAGGTATGGGTCAGTACGGTTGTCTGACAAGCGTGCCTGGCTCATACATAAACGTCACGATCCCCCTGCTGCGACGAGAAACAGCCTGGGGCCGGTCACCGGCATGCACTCAGCAGCACTACGACACCAGCGATGTTTGTATCGCGCGCATGGCGCTCAAGATCCATTTCCATTCGCGGGGTGTGGAGGAGGTCGAGCAATCTGGCGGTGACTGGACCATGGTCGAAGGCATTGAAGCGTTGGTCTCAACGTCGACATCTACATACATTCGCATCAACGATGTCAAACTCCGCAAGAGCACCGACGATGGCCATGATTTCCTTTTCGGAAAGATCTATGATGGAGATGTCATTACTGTCGCCGACGAAACGCAAGCGGATGGCAGATTTCTCAAATTAAAGGCAGAAATACTTATCGGAGACAGTGCTCGTCCCCGGCCAGATGATGAGGCAGGCTTTCAAATTCAGCAGATCAGGACCGAAAAGTGGAAGGAGCATTTGGCGGCGGTGGTAAATTGAAGATATCTCGTGCAAGAAGGGATGTACACTCAAGCAAGGAGTTCGTTGGAGTTACTTTTTATCGCAAGGGAGGGAAAGTACCTAGATTGCCCGTCGCCCATGCTATGCCAAGTTCATGTACAAAATAGATAGTGATCTGTGCTCAAGATGGGAGGTTGATACTGTTATCTCGCTTGCACCGCAGACGGTCACGCCTCGCAGCAAGGGCATAAGATATGGTCGAACGTTGCAGATCGCACTGGAGCAAAGCTGTAGGGCCAAGGAGTACTGTGCATCCACAGCATTACAGGTAAAGCAAAGCTTGGCCTTCGACTCTCGACTGCAAGCGAAAGGGCGGCATTGTTGCTGGATGTGCTCTTTGTCGCTGCCAGTGCCAATGCGATGCTGGCGAACACTTTGTACTGGGCCCGATGAACGATGGCTGGGCGTCGAATACCTACTTGTGAAAGCTCCCAGTGCACATATTGTAGTGGTGGCGCAGTGATCAACAGGGGCATGGTTAGTTAAAGCTATCGCCTACCGACTCCGGCTATCACCCTTCACGCTAGCCTTAAATCAGACGGGTCCTGCAGGGCCACGGCGACGCCATTGATATCAAAAGTTGCTGTTTCACAAGCACAATATATCAGCCGCAAGCCACAAGGCTTTGTCGAACAATCAAAATTTCAGGTCTCTCCTCGAACACAGTGTATGACACGTATACAGTCCAGACCTAGCATAAACGCTGGCCAGCAATGCTGCGAATTTAGCCTTCCGTTTGCGAGGTCGCGCCTGCACCGTTGCGACTGCGGCCAAGCGCGCAACTGCCTCTCCTTGACAGATTGCATCCGAATACAACGGTGGCACATGCTACACAAGTTGCCTCGCAATTTCATCTCGACCGCATCGTCCCGGGTCTGCGTGTCGAAGGTACCAGATCTTTGCATTCTACGTTCCCGGGTCTACTCTCCCTAGCGTACGAGCACTGGCGACCCAAAGGACCGAGACCGTGGGACACCCACGGCGGCGTCCCTCCGGTAGCAATCATCCCACTGCATCTGAATTGCAGCAGTCAGCTTCAACATCACCAACCTCTGGCATCTCGCTGGGTATCCAACCGCAGCCGCTGACTCGCACCCTTTCTCCGATCCCCTCGATACCCTCTACCCCCACACGAAGTCCTTCTATGTCACTTCCGCGGTCATCTTCACCAAATGTCAACGGAGGGTGGTCGTCTCGAGGTTTGACAGATGACTCGTATTCGAAGTCGAACGGCATGGCGGACCTGGGAGACAACGACGAGCATTGGGCCGCTGCGAAAGCCAAAAGCCAGAAAGTTCGAGGACAGCCCTCGATACAGAGAAAGAATGAAGGTTTCTTCCAGCGATCGAGACGGAAGATCTCCCAGACATTACCTCTTCCAGCATTTCATAAGTACGGTCACGGTTCCCGCACAAATTGGCGAGAAACAGAAAAGCTGGGCCGCGGCAGGTGGACGCCACGTGAGGGCGGCACGTGGTCCAGAGTTAGGACATTTGTAGGAAATGTTTTGCGAAGGTTCAGAGTGGTGCTCATAGTGCTCGTATTTATCACACTGAGCACTATGCTCATATCTCAGACAGGTAAGCCAAGGTAGTTATTCAGATCTGGCACCTAGACTGACGCTCATGTAGGAATTCAGCAGCAGTACCGAGCAAGCAAGTCGCTCGGCGGAGGCAGCAACTTCGTCATTCTGCTGGCAGCCAACGAAGGTGGAGGTGTCATGGAATGGAAAGGCCCACGAGAATGGGCAATCGAGAGAGACAGCATACGGAACAAAAGAAAATATGCCGACCGATGGGGCTATCACCTCGAGGTCGCCGACATGAGCACCAAGAAACGATATGCGCACGAATGGCGAGAAAGCTGGGAGAAAGTCGACAAGCTAAGGGACGCTATGGCTAAGTATCCCAAAGCCGAATGGTATGTGGTCGCAACAACACTCTGGCTATTGTGCTGACGGATATAGGTTCTGGTGGATGGATCTGAACACGTTCATCATGGAACCATCATTATCTCTGCAAAAGCATATTTTCAACAACTTGAAAGCGAGCACCTACCGCGACATCAACTACTACAATCCCATGAACATCACACATCCACCGGAGTCGTCGATCCTGGACCCTGTCAGCGCCTCGCCGCTAGGTGACGGCGACCCTTCCTCAATAGATGTCATTCTTTCGCAGGACTGCGGTGGCTTCAACCTCGGATCGTTCTTCGTACGGAGGTCGGAGTTCACCGAGCGTCTGTTTGACATATGGTGGGATCCTGTGCTCTACGAACAAAAGCACATGGAATGGGAGCACAAGGAGCAGGGTGAGTCTCGCGTGACCTGGTCTTGTTCTTGCTTGTCCAGATGGCTGACATGAACAGATGCCCTCGAGCACCTGTATGGCGCGCAACCATACCTGCGGTCGCATATCGCTTTCGTCGACCAGCGAAAGATCAACTCCTTCCCACCTGCAGCATGCGAGGTCGAGACTACCGACGAACAGAAGGAGCTAATCAAACAGAAGAAAATGACGCAGCCCATCGACAAACGCTTTCACTACAACGAATTCGACCGTGACTTTATGGTTAACATGGCTGGATGCGAATGGGGTCGAGACTGCTGGGCAGAAATGTATGCATATCGGGAGTTGAGCATCCGAATCAACAGATCTATCTTCAAGAAGATCAAGGACGCAGTTAGTGGATTCTTCGAGCGACTCTTCGGAATTGCTAAGAAGGTCGATGCGAACGACCAACAGAGCGATTCAGGGAAGTAAATGGCACCATCTGTGATGAGCTGGCTACATTTGTGGACCATATTGTGATGTGACATGACCATAGACCTTGCAGCAAGCGTTCGAGAGCTTCGGAGAGCCAGATGTAGACTATATCGAGTTGGGGGTAAGAAGGAATTATCAACGCATTTCGACTTGAACAAAGCGCTCCTCGATCGACGCCAAGATCGCTCAGGTACGAAGTACATGCCCTGGCCTTGCCGTATCGCCTAGCACTCGCTTAGCTTCATATTGAATCTGTCATCCTCGCGATCTTGTGCTTTGACATCGATCTCGCCCGTATCTCTTGTCTCCTTCGTGCAACATGCCATGTCGCGAGCTGACTGTTGCGGTACGGCACAGGATGGCGCGGATGTTACATCCTGTTCGCTTCTACACATGTATGCCGTGTGCTTGTAGCTAACGTCATGCCGAGGCCACAACCGACATTCGAGGCAACAGCGGAGAACATGTTAGTACCGTTGCACCGGTACGATAAGCCGCCGGAAATGCAGGTCCGTGATGCTATTCATGCAAGTCCATGGGGGCGCCATGGGGTTTCGACTTTCTTCAGGCCCTAGCTTCGACGCTATGCAGACTGTGCAGCTGTCAGGCACATCATGACTTGCTCTTCAGCCACCAAGCAGCCGGACCTCTTGTTGAGTACACCACTGGCGAAGTCGGGAGCACGCCTCTGTGTTGCATCATTCTGATCATGGAGGAGCCTCCGGCACAGTGGACTTGCCTTTCATAACTCGAACGACGGGCAAAAGAACGTCCTATCGCCCCCGTAGGCTAGCCTAAGAAGCTAGGGCGAAGCCACAATCCCGTACCTGTTTCTTTCGTTTCAACGGCCTTTGGCGAACTTGCATACCCTGTCACTGGCATCATGACAACGATCAACGTTGCTGAAGATTCTGCTAGTGCTCCCGTGCCCGCCCAAACAATGGATCTTCTGCTGCCAGCCGCCGTGGATTTTCCTTTCGATCTCCGCTCACTATTTTCCTGTCCTCCTCGATCGTGTTTTGCCATGAACTCGTCCGAGTGATCTGCTGCTGTCGTGATAGATACAACAAACTATGGACCCACCGGTCGTGCCAATGACGCGCGCAAGGCTCACGCGCGACTTCACGTCTGAGGAGGACACTGCTTTGCCACAAGTAAAGCGCTATCGCGACCCTATACGGCGACAGCCTTCCGGTGAGCCACGTGGATATGATGTTGATGGAGTCTACGAAAGTCATGCGCGCAACATTACGCGAGACGACTCAAGGACCAAAGTTTTCACCTCTTCATTCGAACCGACAAGATCTGCACCGCTTACTCCAGAGAGAGGGCGGGTCGAACGTCTGGCCTCGCATCAGAAGTACCAGGACAACACATCCGAACACGCCCAAAAGCCCAAGGAGGAAGACCTCCATAAGCTCGATTTCAACCTGACTTCTCCCACAGAGGCGAATTATGAACCGTCTATCACATCAACAACGCGCTCTCACGCCACCGACACACCTTCTGCACTGACAAATTCATCTGGCTCGCGCCTTCCCGATTTCTTCAGCAACGAGGTCTTCCAAGTCGTCCTACACAACCCGACCACATCCCACCAGCTTCTCAAGTTCGCGCGGTCGCGCATGTGCGCTGAGAACCTCGAATTCCTTACCGCCGTCGACAAGTACCACACGCTCCTCAACGATGTCGCCAGCACTCTATTCTCTGTCCACAAATCTTTCCTCAGCTCTCAGGCTCCAAGTCAGATCAACCTCCCCGAGGGCATCTCCACGAGGCTGCACCGCGAACTGAAGGCCAACCTTACCTCCAACCTCCCCAAACTCGAGTCCATCTTCGTCGACTCCCAATCCGAGATCGAACACCTCGTCGCCAACGACATCTACCCACGCTTCGTCCGTCACCAAGTGACCCTTTCAGCCACCCGTGCCCTTGCGACTGAGCAACGACGCAGCAAATATGCCGGTCTCGGCGACTGCTTCGTCCTCACAGACCCTGCAAAAGCCGACAATCCGATCGTGTACGCCTCAGACGGCTTCGTGAAGGTCACCGGCTATACACGGAACGAGATCATCCCCCGGAACTGTCGGTTCTTGCAGGGCAGGCAAACGGATCGGAAGGCGGTGAAGCGGCTGAGGGTTGCGATTGACAAGAACGAGGAGACGGTCGAGTTATTGTTGAATGAGAGGAAGGACGGCGAGCCATTTTGGAACTTGCTGCTTGTTGCGCCCCTGAGGGATGCGAGGGGTAACGTGATCTTCTTCTTGGGTGGGCAGATCAATTGTTCGACGACAGTACATAGTCAGAGCGATGTGCTGAAGGTGTTGGCTACGAACGAGGAAGAGACTGTGGAAGAGAAGACGCCGGCGGCGGTGTTGCTAGAAAAGGAGAAGGAGAAGAGTCGTGCCAGTCGGTTCTTTTCGAGCTTCCGCAGCCAGAGTCAGAATGGCTTGAAGCCGATGCCGGTGGCGGGTATGGAAGGCAGTCTGCTGGGGAAGATGGACGGCATGGGCATCAGGAGGCAGGCGGAGGAGTTCTACTCGGCTTATTCAAAGGTATGTCTGACTGATAGCTCCCTATATCACCCACGCCTAAGTCAGGCACCATACTTACCAATACTTCACAGTACTTGATCATCAACGCCTCCACCCTCCTCATCGCCTTCCACTCCGCCGGCATCCTCAACCTGCTCCTCTCTCCTTCGTCCACCAACGGCACTAGTATCAACAACAATCTCAACCATCCCACTACCTCAAACCAGTCTTCGCACGCGCATCAAAATCGCCCGATCCCTTCGCCTATAGGATCCAACATCTTCACCTTCCTCGAGCAGTACACGCCCACGCGGTCCCTGCCATCAGGCTTCAAGACTCGGGTAAAGGACGCCGTGAAAGGTGGTCGGCCATTGAGCCTCGAGATCGGACTGCTGACGCAAAGGTACCAGGGGTCAGAAAGGTTTGTGTGTCACTGGACTATGCTGAAGGGTGGGGAGAAGAGTGATGGCGCAGGAGATGGGAAGGTAGAGTGGGTTGTTGTTTGTTTGGGTGGGAGGGAGACTTGATTGGAAGATCTAGTGGGTTGTCCCTAGCCATCGCACTTGGTGGGGGAACGTGTGAGACGCATCTCAATGTGTATCACAGAAGAGGCGGGTGCAAAATGATCGAGCACGTGTGTCAGCGAGTGTTGGTTTACACCAACGAGCTCATGATGCTATGGAGGTCTATTGGTATACCCTTCTGGTTCAGACCCAGTCGACACTGGATCCATATCTATATGTAGTATTACTCATGCCATGCGCACTTCGAACCACCGTATGTTATCCTTTCGAGATGGGTAGCGGCGCCCATCGCCTGTGCCTCGTGGCCTTTCAAGGTCGCCCCTGACCGTGGCTGGGACTTCTCGGGATCAGCCCCATTCGCTCGCGAATCCGTCGAATGTCTAGAGCATTGCGCCGGACGAATTCCTGCGCCGCGGCGAGGCCGACGCGCGAAGTGTTGCCTTGTCTTATGGATGGTGACGTTATCTGAGGGGCCGCTGGGGCGGCGGCCGTGGCTGTCAGGGACGCTATGACTGGAGCTGTCCGTGCGTGGATATGGCTGCTCGAGGAGCTGACAGAAGCTGGTTGTGAGAGGGATTGTTGCTCGGTGGGGGCGCCTTGACCGGACGCTTGACCAGAATTGAGGAGAAGAGGTGCTATAATTTGCTGAGGCAGAGTATACGAGCTCAACAGCGAAATAGGCGGCTGCATCTCGTCAACGATAGCTGGACCGGGCCCATCAAGCTCGTCGGTGGTGGTGAAGCCACCGAACAGTGCATCATCGTTGCGTTGCGAGTCGATCGTGTTGGCAGCCGGTTTGCTGGCCTTGTCTTCCATGGAAGGTGTGTCTCGGATTGCGTTCTGAAGGAGCGCCGCGAGCTCAGCGTCGGAGAGTACAGGTAGAGCCGGCTGCATGGGCGATGGATGCTCTGGCGTAGGTGGCGGTGCAGCGATGCGATTGGACACGGTGTCGCCATGCATGTCAATCGTATCTTGGCCATACTGGTCGTGTGCTTTGCGTCTCGGACCAGCTGTCGTTGAGGAGTCGCCGGATGAGGATCTAAGGTTGTAACGATGTGCGGTCGGTGTGACCGTTGTGAAGCGTCGAAGCCCACCTCGAGGAGCGTTGCCTTGACTGCTGAAGACGTCCATTTCTGCGTCAAGTGGATCGGAACCGAAGACCATGTATTCGTCATCGTCGTCCACTAACGCGTCTTCGTACTCATCTGGTACAAGCTTTTCGTCCTCATCCTCGTCGAAGGCATGGTCATCGCCATCATCTTCATGCTCGACATCCTCACCATCGACATCCAGACCAGCCCTTACCCTTGCTCTCGCTAGCGCTGACTGCCCCTTCCTTCCGACACCTAGCTTGATCTTCTGCTCTTCGACAATGCGGTCGCCAGTCGATCGGATGCATTCCGCACAGTATGCCCGACGTTCAGCATCCGGGCGAATCGTATGTGCCGAAGGTCTGAAGGGAAGCTTGCAGAGATTGCATGTTAGTGTGAAAGGTCGATGTTTGGTTTTGATGCCATCGCTTGCGCCTTCGGAAGGACTACCAGCGATCGAGTTTGGCGGAACGGCAGGCGGCAAAGGTGAGGAAGGCTCAGGAAGCCATTCTGGCGGTGGTCGTAGTTTGTAAGAAGCCGAAGAAGCTCGCTGCTTTCCTACTCTTGGCGGATGACCGCTCATGCGCGAGACACCTGGAGCAGCAGCGGTTCGGGTGAGACTCGGTCGTTCTGTGGTCATAGAGGACGCTCGAGCTTTGGATCTCGTCGCCGTGCTCCCTTGCGCTACTGAGTCCGAAATAGCTCTTCTCGCGAAGAATCCAGCTGGGAGCGACATCCGCTTGGCCAATTGTCGAGATGAGACGTGGTGTAGATTGTCGCCATGCTGCGTCTGTCCGTCAACACCTTGTGACTGCAAGGAAGGAGATGCTGATGCGTTCAATGACCGGTCAGTCAGCAAGTCAGCCGGATTGTCCGGGATAAGCGGGTAAATGCTGTTCGAGGAGTCCATTGGCATGTTACTGTCTCCCAACTCCCCAAATCTAGGTCCCTTCGGAGGGGATGCAGAGAGCGGGCCGAACATGTCGTCTAGATCATCAGACTGAGGCCAATTAGCAGGATTGTCGTCCGGCCAATTGAGGAAGGAAGAATCGATCGATAGATCAGCGCTGAGGTTAGCATTCGTCATTGGCGAAAGGTCGAAGTCTGGATCGTCTGATGAGAACGCGAGGTGGGCGAGCGGAGAAGGCTTGTTGGGTGTGAAGCCGTGAGTGTTCTGCGCTTGGGCCTGTTGCGGCGTGGAGGGCACTCTGCTATCACTCGGTGTTGCGTTGGGGTCGGAGCGCCACATCTTGCTTGCTTCACGTTGGCTGTCTTGTGGGAAGGTGACTGGGCAACTCTTCAATTGTAGGTAACTTAGGTCAGTGCGTGAATGAGCTTCAAATGTCGTGAACATCAGGATCGTCAACAGAGAACGGCTATCGACAGCCTTAAATAGGGCTGTGTCCATGTTAGCACAGCGAACGAGGTTTTCATTCACCTTCATCGTGACGAGCAACCATGTCAACGAGATGCAGACTTCACTTGCCGCTTGTAGGCTTTCACTCGAGAGAGGATCGGCTCTTCATGCATTTAGTGGCGACACGAACAACGCTCGAGCGAAGCACTCCAAGCCTGCAGAGCCATAATGCAACCCGGGGGTCATCGACTTGCGTTGACATGTCTGCTCGTAGAGCTAGGTTCGTAGTCCAGTGCAATCACCGGCAGTAGAATACCTCGCGCCGGGGACGCGATTTTCTGCCGAAGTTTGCAGTACTTCTCTCCGTCGCGTCCAAGAAGGTTAGCCCTGTATGAGAGATGCGGTTAGCAAGAAAATATCAATAAAAGTCGCTGCTGCTCAACAATTTTCGATTTCTCGGATCCCATTGCGTCACTTTTTTGGTAGGCTCGACCCCAAAATAAGGCAACACTTTTCGGTTGCCTTGCAGTTGTCTCAGTAGTATTGCCTTCACCTACCCATTCAAATTGCTGAGTCGCCAAGTCCTTGAGCACAGGGTTGCTAAGTAGTGCTTGGATGGGAATATTCTCACAATGCAGTGTACATGCAGTTGTTGAGCGTGGTCCTGCAAATTTTCCTACCCTTCATCCTTGGGGTTCTGATCCTAATATCTCGAAAGAAACCACCCGAAGCGTCGAGCGTTATGGCAAGGAAGCGTAGTCACGACGACTTCGGGAACGACGCTTCATTGCATCGTGATGAAAGCACAGATGTCAGACTAGCTAAGGCAGAATGGCAGGAAGTGAGGTCAAAGAAGAAGAGACGGAAGGAGGTGAGTGTTTTCCAGAGTCCATGAAAGGCATTGCCCTGCGGAAGTCAACCTTTTCGTCCCCTTTCTGCTTCGAGACTGTTGCAACTGACAACATGATACTTAGCATCGGTCCAACGAAGTCAAAGTGAGACAACATACGCCCGAGTCACCAGAGCCAGAGGCCTCGACGCCATCATTACGCTTCGGCCCTTCTGTAGGAGCCCTTCACGTTGACGATCTGCAATCTCTAATCCTCTACATTCTTACTAAGGATGCGGTGGCTCCAAAATGGGTAGCAGTCCGGAATGCCAGGGCGATCAAGCAGGTGGTCACATTGATGGTTCCTGGAATAGATCGTACGATGCTCGAGGCGGTTACGGAGGTGGTAACCAAAGCACGCTCACGCACGAATGGTCAAGCAGCCGTGCTCGATGGCAAAACCAACCATCATCAGGTCGAACAAGGACAGCTGAGAGGCCTACATCAGATCAAAGCTCCGGGCAACTCGAAGACCGGGCATTTTGCTTCACCTTTGCAAGCTATGCTTCTCACATCAATACCCGTATCCAAAAGAAAGAATGACCAGCCCAAAGCTGGACGCTCCACTCGAAATGGCCCGACACCACTGTACGAATTCATACATACCCCCGAACAACTCGAAGAAGCCGATTTCCCTCTCCATCCATCGCTTTCGACAGACCCGATCGATGTAGAATTACAAGCTACACGCCGCCGACAAGCTGCTCAATCCGTTAAGGTGGACGGCTGGGTAGACACGGTTGTCGAATCAAGTACTCTACCCAGTGCTCCGGGCGACAGCCGGGACAGCTCGGGACCCGTTGCGCCAGTCTATGCGCTCGACTGCGAAATGGTCGTCACTGATGATGACCGGCACTCTCTAGCACGCGTTTCAATAGTGAACTGGGATGGAATAACGGTCCTCGATGAACTCGTTAAGCCCTCCCTCCCCATAAAGGACTATCTCACGCAGTACTCCGGCATCACCGAGGCAAAGCTAAAAGGCGTCACGACGAAGCTAGAGGATATACAAGCACGACTCTTGAAGCTGTTCACACCTTCCACAGTCATCGCAGGTCATTCTCTGGACTCGGATCTCAACGCCCTGAAGTTGACACACCCTTTCATCATCGACACTACAATACTGTATCCACATCCCAACGGCTTGCCCAGCAGATCCTCACTCAAATACCTGACGAAGAAGTACTTGAATCGCGACATTCAGAAGGGTGGTGTCGCTGGACACGACTCGGTGGAAGATGCACTGGCAGTCATGGACCTCGTCAAGCTGAAATGCAAAATGGGTCCGCAGTTCGGCTCAAATGAGTCCAACCAGGAGTCCATATTCGCACGTCTATCTCGATCTGGCCACAAGACGGCTATGTTCGACCATGGGACATATGTTGGAGGTGTAGGTCGTCCCGCAAACATCAAGGTTGGTTGCAAAGACGATATAGAGATTGTCGACGCCCTCCTCCGCGTCCTTGCCCCTTCTCATACCGACGAGACCATCACGAACACAGCAGCTTCTGGCAGATCCGTCTCAGAAGACGGTCAGGATCCCATGCTCACGCCACCAGCCTTCACATTCGCTCGTCTTCGAGCCCTAGAGTTCCTCGACCGCCGGAAACCCTCACCAATTGCCACCTCCTCCGACTCGCTACCAGATGATAGCACAACAGAGATCGCAGCAAAGGCAGAGACCCACAAAGAAATCCTGCAGCACCTGCTCCGTATGGTCGAGGCCCTCATCTCCCGCTCAAACTCCTCTGAACCAATCCTGCTCATAGTCTATCCCGGCGGCCCTGACCCCGCCAATAAGGACCTCAAAGACGTTCACCGCCTTCAAGCCATGCACAAACAATACCAGCAGGAGTTCAAGACCAAGAAGTGGGATCAGCTGAGCGTGCAATGGACGGATCGCGAGACGCAGGCTTTGCGGCGGGCATTTGAGCAGGCAAGGAAGGGGTGGGGATTTGTTGGGCTGCTATAGGCAGACCGACGACCGAGAAGAATGACTGTTGCAGCGGGCTCATGAGCAGAACGAAGGTGGGCCTCCTGGGTGGCCCACCGTTACTGTGTCCTTTGCTCTGCTGTGCTGAGCTCTATTTGTACCATAAGAGTATGCGCATACTAGTCAGCAAAGCGGAAGAAGATTAGTGCGGCGTATCTGTTTCAATGAGCAACATGAGAACGGCGCCTGAACCGAGTCAATAAGAATGTCGACCATGGGTAGTATCGACGTATGAATGTTAGCCTCATAGTATCTACCGCGGCCTGGATTAAAGCTCATAACGCCGCCCCTGATGCGTACTGCAGCCTGCTATGTGATGCTTTGCCTGTACCCAGTAGCGTTGGCTACCGTGCCGCGCTACATGGATGACGAGAGATGTAGCCGAGAAAAGCTGAGACCCTCTCAACCGGTCGTCCAACCACTTCCTGCGAAATCAGAGATTCGTGTGTAATCGTTTGGCTCGTTGTTGCTCGTTGGCGCACGGTGATCCCGAAAGAACCGTATCAAGATCTGCCCTTTGGGGTGCATGGTCCCGTGAGCTCGAGGCATGCCCACGATTGCTGCCAGCTTTAGCTGAAGCGATAGCATGGCGAGGCAATGTTGTCATGGATTTCTCAATCAACAAGTCCCTTGCCAATGAGTCCTCATGTGCTCAGCAGCCGGTCTAGCAATGGAAACAGTCGCTGTGTGCTCCTTGCTCCGAGCCGAATCACCACAGCATAGCCATGGAGTCTCGCAGACCTGACCGGTCCAGCATATGACAAAGCCCGCCCAGAGATCGCATATGTGTCGTTTGTAGGATCCTCTCTCAGTGGTAATACTCCAAAAGAACCGATCCTCAAACCTTATCATCATCATAAGCAAACCTCACATCCTTCAGCCCCCGTCCCCCATTGCCATACCAGATCCCACCCTCACTCCTCCCACTTCCACTCCACCCATTCGGCCCTCGCACACCCATACTCCGACAGAACGCATCGTCTCCTTCTGGTCTGACATTCTTTGTGTTGCCCGTGAGCATGCTCTGAATGGATACGCAGACCGACTCGACGGATTGTACGGGCGACCAGCCGGCTGCGCCGAGGAGGTCGAGGCAGATGATGCCGTTGGAGTAGATGTGTGGGTGGATCGGGATAGGGCGGGCGCCGGTGTCGGTGTTGGGTTTTGCGGGTGTGTCGTCGGAGGTGAGGTCGATGGGTTGTGCGGCGGAGTTGGGTGTTGTGTTGTTCGCGGTGGTGGTGGAGTTGACTTTGATGAAGGAGACTTCGGGCGCTTCTGTTGAATGGAAGATGTGGTCAGCACATGCTGTAGGTAGCCGGCCAGGTTGCCATTCAGCGTCACTGACTTACCTATGGGGTATTGCGTGCCGAAGATGAAGCTGAGTCGGTAGATGTCGCCATTGTAAATTGGGTTGTCATCGAGGACCACTATGTCCATCTGCCATTCTCGGAAGTCGTCTGCTTTCGCTATTGAGATGCCCGGTGGGAGTTTCGTCTTGGCCTGAGGCACTGCGTGTCAGCCTAGTCTCATATTATGAAATTCACCTGCGCGCAGGCCGGGACAGCCATTTGTAAACGGCAGTAGTTGTTGTGGATTTATGGTTGGTATCTTGTGCCTGAGCCTGCGGAATAGATTGTGCCTTACCTTGCTCAATTCCTGTTGGATGTCAGCAGTGTGCTCACTAACAGCAGCAGTCGACTTACCTTCTGTAGACGTTTTGTGGCGAACATGGCTGTGTCAGGGAAGTATCTGCTTGTTCTAGGCCCAGACTTCGGCGATGTGAAGATAAAGTGAAGCGGGCGCGCGCCCCACGGCGGAGATATTCTTAGGGTAGAGATGCACTTGTGTGGGCCGGCAAACACTGAACAAAGGTTGGGCAAACCACTGTAAACATATGGTGTCTAGTAGAGATAACTCGAGGCGCAAGTGAAGGGTAGTATTGACTTGATTCACTGATACAGCATGTATGCACATGTGGTTCGCGACCAGGCGCGGGTCTCGAACTATTGATCGGCCAAACGACGTCACCGGTCCGGCGGCTGAGCCTGGGACAATTTTCTTTGTTCAATGCAGGTAGTAGAATTCCTTCGAGTACGAATATCGCTTGTCTCATCAACCATAAACCGTGTGCCACTATCGATAGGTGGCCGCTCGCTCTATCCATCAAACAGTCTTCATCCCCAAAACCGAAGCAGAGATCCTGTGGGTATCACAACCAACCTTGGAACCGTACGGCCCCGCTAGTACTCTCAAGATGCTTTGGGCTGCCCAGCATTGAAGCTTTTCCTACGCTCATGCTCCTCGGTAGCATTTGCAATCAATCGAGATGTCTCTTGATCTGACTTCATCTCCCTCACTTTCGCAAGCACAACCTCGCGGAAGATCTGTGACTTGGCCGCTTTGCTGAGTTTGCTTTCACCTGCGTGCTCGGTATCCAGTCCCCTTCCAGGAGACACACCTCGATCCTGATGTTTCTTGACTGCAAGCGCAGCAGAATCAGTAGCGCCTGCCGGGAAATCGGCTGTGTCGCCGTCCGTGGCTTCTTCTTGCACCTTGAGCTGTTCGATACGGTTGGCCAATTTGACCAGCTCGATACCTCTCTTCAGCTTCGCCTTTGCAACATAGGACCGGATTTCAGGTAGCAGATCGTGCTCCGACGCCGTCTGGCCGGTCAGCCATATGTGTGATAAGGCCTGTTTGCTGTCGTATCGCTTCTTCGGGTCTGGCTGAAGCAAGCACATGATGAATTCCTTGGCATCTTTGCTGACATCTTTCCAATATCGCTCGTGGAAGACGATTCTACCACTTCTGCACTCTTCGACAAGGTCGGTCAGATTTTCCGATCTGAAAGGGCTATAGCCGCAAAGTAGGGTGTAGGTAATTACTCCCAAAGACCACATATCGACAGCCTTGCCGTGGCCTTGCTTCAGCATCACCTCAGGCGCTGCGTAGCCGAACGAGCCCGCCATACTAGTGAGGACGTCGCCTGGCTTCTCAAGCATCTTGCGATGCCAAAGTCGGCTAACACGAGTTGTGAGGAAGGGTCTCTGGTAAGATAAAGGAGGTTCTCGGGTTTCAGATCTGTAGACGTCAGCCAGACGCACGTCGTATGGATGAATACAGGAATACCAACCGCGGTGGACGATATTCTTGTCGTGCAGATAATCTACCGCCTCAAAGACCTGCTTGATGGTCTGGGATGCGTCCTTCTCCGTGAACTTGCCCTGGTCGCAGATCCGATCGAAGAGTTCTCCTCCTGTGGCCAGCTGGGTAACTATATAGTATTTGTCCTGTCCAGCATTAGCATCAATTCCGAACGCCAGATCATGATCAGACTTACTCTTGACTCGAACCAGTCATGGAAGTGTACAATGTGCGGATGTGACACACTTTGGAGCATCTTCAGTTCGTCGTAGACCATCTGCTCATTGCCTTTGACGTTCTTCTTGAGTATGATCTTGACTGCGACCTTCTTTCCGTCGACGTCTGCCTCGCGGACAATGCCATATGTGCCGGCACCGAGCGTGCGTCCGAAGCGGTAGGCAGACTTCTTATCGTAGCTGTCGGGCTGGCCATGCAGCCTGTTCATCATGCCGGCGACTGCGGGAAAGTGGTCAGTCGTGAGCCCAAATATCGGAGACGTACTCGAGCGGGCAGGCGTAACAACACGGTGTCTTCAGATAGTGGTACAAATCTGCTGGTGTATACACCACAGATGGGATCGGATGTAACGTACACGCCATACTGTGCTAATGTTTGGTTCCTGGGGACTTATGGCAGCGACTGCCGTGCGGCGCACTTCTCGTGAGAACGTCGGGCAGGAGCGCTCCCGGAGCAGGACTTTCCGAAGGCACTGCGCCTGTCTTGGATGAGGTGATCGCAACCTTGGCCTCGTTGAAGGACGCGCGCCTTGGTCTTGGTCGAGCACTGAGGGTCAGAGGCAGTAAGTCAAGTGCGGGGCACAATTCACGGGGATGCGATGTAGTTCTGAGCTGACGCTGAAGAAAAAAGAATGCCTGAACAGGTCGGAGTACGCTTCTGTGCTTATAGGAATGACTAGGAGATCTCGCACATCAACGACTAAAGAGAGACAAGGAGGAAGTGGAAGGATTCCTGGGAGCTGCAGCAAAGCATGGCTGTTCATAACGAGATCGCTGGCGCCGCAGCTGCAGCTCGGGGGGCCAAACCGTCGGATTAAGGGTCAAAGCGGAGGCCTATCCCACCCGCGCGGAAGCACACTGAGATTTGGGTATTTCGCAGCGCTCACGAACATCGTGGCTGTGCCCGTTGCCAAAGTCCCCCCAGGCTCGGAAAATAGGTTGGCGCGGCAAAAGTTGTGAAGAATGTCACCGTTCAAGAAGATAGCAGGCTGTACAAGGCGTTTTCGAATCACTATTCGACTATCCGTTGCTATAAAGACCCCAACAAATTGCCACCATCTTGAATGGCTGTGCGAATGATCATCTGTCAACCTCGCCGAAGACTTCACCATATTAGCACGAATCGAGTTGGGATGGGGCTTTGTAGAATGCGACTCACCTAGATCCATTGTTCCGATAATGGCAACCGCATCCGCCAGCAAATGACCTCGACTAATCTGATCCATGCCAGACAAATGAGCAAATCCAGGAGCGCGGACCTTGCATCGGTACGGTCGCTCACTTCCGTCGCTGACAACGTATACACCCATCTCACCCTTTGGCGCCTCAATCGCACTGTATGTATCCCCTGGTGGGACTGTGTAGCCCTTAGTATAGAGCAAGAAATGGTGAATCAAAGCTTCCATGTTCTCCTTCATGGCCGCTCGAGGCGGTGGTGCGATCTTGTAGTCTTCGACCTTGACAGGGCCCGCAGGCATCTTGTTAAGACACTGATGAATGATCCTCAGCGACTGTCGGAACTCCTCCATGCGGCAAAGATAGCGATCGTAGCAGTCGCCGTTCACGCCGACTGGTACGTCAAATTCGACCTTATCGTACGCATCGTACGGCTGACTTTTCCGGATGTCCCACGGAACACCGGACCCACGCAGCATGACACCAGAGAAGGACATGTTGAGAGCATCCGCCGCAGACACAACACCAATACCTTTTGTTCGTCCAATCCAGACACGGTTGTCGGTCAAAAGCTCCTCAGTCTCGTCTATCCGGTCGCCGAACTGTGTAGCCCAGGCGTAGATGTCGTCCAACAGACCCAGAGGGATGTCCTGGCTAACGCCGCCTGGTCGGATGTATGCAGCGTGTAGGCGAGCTCCTGAAACACGTTCGTAGAATTCCTGTAATCATTAATGATGGACCTTCATCCTCGATGAAACGACGTACCATGAGCTTTTCTCTCTCCTCAAATCCCCACAGAAACGGCGTCAGAGCACCAACATCCATAGCATGGGTAAGGATGGCCATGCAGTGATTCAGAACTCTTGTCAGTTCTGCAAACAGCGTCCGAATCCATTTCGCTCGCTCTGGGATTTCGATGTTGAGTAGCTTCTCTACGGCCAGCGAGAAGCATTGCTCGTTGGTCATCATTGAGACATAGTCGAAGCGGTCAAAGTACGGCAGAGCCTGCAGATATGTTTTATACTCGATCAACTTCTCTGTGCCGCGATGCAGCAGGCCGACGTGTGGATCGGCTCGCACGATCTCTTCACCGTTGAGCTCCAGAATCAACCGTAACACACCGTGTGCTGCTGGATGCTGAGGACCAAAATTGACGGTATAATGTCTGACTTTACGTGACTCGTACTCGTCGCCCAGATTGGTGTCTGGTGCTTTGTTCACCTTCTGCGGATCCTCGTCGACAAGCGCTTTGGTGAATGACTGGTCCATCTCTGATATCTTCATCGTCAAGGGTGAGTCGCTGGTGACCTCTGCATATCTTCGGGGTGTCGACGAAGCCGCCCTTGAGAGGATAGGAGTCTGGCGGAGGGCATGCTGGAAGGAGGGTCGGAGGCATAGGCGCTTCGCCGTGTGCGCAAAGCGGAGGGTTGCAGCCATTGTCGAAGTGTAGGGCTACGCCCAGCGTAGAACACGTCCTTGAATTGTCCTCCCTGGCTCTTCTAGTCGTTTTTGTCGGTGGCCAACACGCCTTCACGTATCCGCATCATCGACTCGGATCTCGAAGTCAAGAGGAGCTATACTGCCGCCAAGCCGGAGATTCTGTAGCTCTAACTCCAGGCTTGCCTTCTCCAAATCTCCAAATTTGACTCGATCGACGAAGTTGCCCGCAAAATAATTTGAACGCTGCAAGAGAAGGAGCAAACCTGACCATGGCGACCTCCACAGGCGCTGAGGATGACCGCGCTCGGCGGAAGGTGAGATCAGCCAGACCTGCGCACTCGAAGGCCACTGACATACGCAGATCGTGGGAATCAATCGCGAGACTGTCACCAATATTACTTCAACCGACTTTCCAGGTCACCATGTCGGCGAAGACCATACCTGGTCGCTGCAAAAGTTCAAGGATGGTCTGAACGTCGAGTTCCACCAGAATGAGCAGACCGAAGCCTCATTCTCTGTCATCGGCATCGACGCATCCATCGCCAATGCTTTTCGTCGCATCCTACTCGCCGAAATCCCAACGCTGGCCATCGAGAATGTCTATGTGTCCAACAACACATCCGTCATAGCAGATGAAGTTCTCGCGCACCGACTAGGCTCATTCCTTTGACCGGCGCTCTTGAGGGTATGAAATGGCTCAAGTGGTATATCGCGCCCAACGCCGAGCAGAACTTCAAAGGTATGGAACGCTCAGACTACAACACTATCGTGTTCCACCTGCAGGCAAAATGCACACCGAATCCAGACGCACCGCCGGACGCCACCGACCCAGGCGTGAAGCATATCAATGGGCATGTGTACTCGTCGCAAATCGAGTGGCAGCCACAAGGACGGCAGGTTGAGCACTTCAAGGATGGTCCTATCCGTCCAGTTTCGGAGAGGATCCTAATTGCCAAGATGCGTCCAGGACAAGAGCTGGACGTAACTATGCACGCTCACCTGGGCGTCGGCAAAGATCACGCCAAGTTCTCACCCGTCGCCACCGCAACGTATCGCCTGCTACCCACGATCCAGATCACGAAGCCCATCCTAGGCGCAGACGCAGTCAAATTTCAGCAATGCTTTTCCAAAGGTGTCATTGATCTGGAACGAGTCACTGCCTCGGACGCGGCTTCGTCTAATAAAGCCTATGAAGGCAGAGAAGGCGATGAGAAAGCCGTCGTCAAGAACCCGTTCAACGACACCGTCTCGAGGGAATGCTTGAGACACGATGAGTTCAAGGGCAAGGTCAAGCTGGGCAGACAGCAGGATCACTTCATCTTCAACATCGAAAGCACCGGACAGTTCCCGAGCGATACACTGTTCCTGGATTCCGTTGCAGTGCTTAAGCTAAAGGCGCAGAGACTACTTCAGGCTATCGACGAAATGAACTCATGAGCCGATTGCCATGCAACAAGCCAGCAATGGGCCATCAGTCGGGCCTCAATCTGGTGAAATGCAACACCTCGAAGCCGTAAGGCATTCTCCAGCAGCGTCGCTGAGACATAGGCACCAGTCTGAGAAAAGAGAGCTTTGTGCCCACATGGGCCTTAGCCAACACGGATCAAAAATCCTAGGCAAGCTCCCCGTCAGCGATCATTCTGTACGATCGGACCGTTGCTGCCGCATGGACCTATGTCAGCGTCGACAGGCATGCCAGTTGAGGTGTAAAACCACCAACAGACAAATCATAACCTATCCTGGGTCCATATGGCATTGTCACCACCTGCAGCTCCATGAGCTTGACGATGTGAGGTACGCTTGGTCAGAAGGACGAGAATGTTGGCGGTCTTCAGGAACGGTCAATTCCGAAGCCAGCTGGTCCACACGATGAAGCTTTGAGCCGAAGAGGGGCAAGGCAGCAAGAAGCGCTGTGACTGCCTTTCGCTTGCGAGCGCGAGAAAGGGACGTAGAACGGAGAAAGCTGCAGAGACGGCAGCACCAGTGGCGAGTATCATTACATTGACCTCCATAATATGTCCCTCTGTGACTGTTCCGAATTGCACGTTCTGCTGGCGGGCAGCATGTTCTGTCGAGCGTATTGGCTCACGCGCACCGCACCGCCCACAGCTTCGCCCCAGCAATCCTTGCCTGTCCATAAAGCGGTTCCTCACGAATCGCCGTCCCATCCCTCAACCCCCATCAGTCCCAAAACCCTCCCCTGCCACCTGCCCGCAATCTCTGTCCACCTCACCATCACTCCCGCTGCCAGCACATTCCATGCCATCCCCGCCTGTCCCTCTTCCTTCACATCCTCCTCGTCACCCCTCCCTAGCATGACCTTAACCTCACCACCACTGTTTCCCCTCTGATCCAACAACGCTCCGACCCACCCGACCAACCCCGCAACCTCTTCCCCATTCTCCCCTAAGAATCTCTCCTCACCTGCCCTCCCATTCGCAATTACAACCTCGAGCACACTCAACAGCAACAACATCCACGCTGGCAACACCGCTGGATCCATGCTAAGTCTCGGATTTTTCGCCTGCAAGCTCACCAACAACTGCACCGCCTGACGGATCACCTCCCCCAGCGTACCCTCCCACATCGCATTCGGCCCTAGCGCATTCAACACCACCACGACCGTGTTCAGAAACAGCCTCACCAGATTCGGATCAAACAGTCCACTCCCTCTGGCCATCATCCCTCCGGAACCCGCTGACGACAAGATCAATACCATCCGTCCCACCAACGGCAGGAAGAACCCCCCCGCCAGCACGCGATGTAGGTCTCTAGGAATTTTCTTGGTTCTGGCGGCCTGCTTCTCGTTCCGACGCTTCTCGACCTCAAGACGCGAGGAGAAGGTACGGATCTTGAGAATGTCCGGGCCGGACAGCTTGTCTGCTGCTTTCAGGGCGAGGGGCTGGATGGTCGTGTGTGTGATTTGGTCTGTCGCGGTTGTCAGGGGCGCGGTGTAGGCTGAGGGAATGCGGCGTTGTAGCTGTGAATCTTTGGACCTCGATGGGAGGCGCTTTGATGGGAAAGAGTCTGCTTCTGCTTCGATGGCTTGGCCGGGGCTCGCGGTAGAAGGGCTGGCAAGCATAGACATGCCCGAAATCTCACGCGCGCCGAGTCCGAGCGTGCTGAGTATGCTAGCGCGCTGGTCAAGCGAGAAGTCGCCCTCGAAGCACATCGCCGCCAGCAGGGTGCGACTGCCGCGGGCTGAGCAACCAGACACGCGATGAGAGACTGTAGACGTAGTCCATGCATCTCATCGCTATCGACAGCCGGCGACTTGAGGTTGATCAGCGCAGAAGCCAGAGCCTGGATGTTGTCCGAGACTTCCGTGCCAAAGTCTGCCTTGCGGCGGATGAGTGAAGGCGCGGTCTTCAGCGCAAGCTCGACGACGTCGAGTTTGTCTTCGCCTGACTGAAGCTGCTTGACAAGGTCGATAATATAGACCGGGGCCACAGGCTTGTTGCGGTTGACCAGTGTTGGGTCATCGTCTGAATCTTCTGGGTCGTCGTCTGGCTTGTGGTAGGGGACGAGGTCTTCGTCTTCGGATATTTCGTCGTTGTCGTCCTCATCTGAGATTTCCGCGATGGCGATGATCTTGGAACGCTCTGCCTGCGCGGGCTTCTTTGCCGTGGGAACAGGTGCCGGCAGATCAACCACCATCGGATCTGGCTCATCGACTGGCAATTTGAGGTCGTCAAGAGTGCCTACCTTGTCCTCCACATTGACTAGATCGAGCCATTTCTTCGCACTTTCCGTCTCAAGCTCTTCCGTCCCAAAGCTCATGGCTTTCTCCTGCCCGTCTCCAAGTCTGCTTATGGCAGTCGCAACTATCATGCCTAAGAATCTGGCACGTCGAACAGATGCAGAAAGACGATTGGATACCGTGCGCAAGAACAGACCAGATTTAGCAAGCTGTTTGATTGATTCTGGCTCCTGTCGGTTAAGATAGCCAACCACTAGGAGTATGATCTCGGCCGTAGCTACGACACATAGGTAAGTAAAGGCGCTGCAGCCAGTTATCTAAGCAAACTTACACTCCTGCTGCAAAATAGGGCTATGCTGGATCTGTGTCTTGTTGCCAAAATTCTCCAGGCACTTGTCAAGCATTGTCTGCAGCTTGTCTATTGATATGTTAGCAGACTCACGACGAGATTGAAAGCCTTACCTTGTCGCAACGCGAGCGTGGCGATGACAGCCCGACGAGTGTCCAACCCAAGATTAGCAAAGTCTCCTTTGTTGCTTGTCAACCACTCGACCAGGTGATCGTCCAGCACAGAATTATTCTTCATCACTCCCGCAACCATTGCTGCCACTCCTCCGACATTCTTCTCGCTCTCAAGCCCGTTCTTCTGCATTGAATGTGTTACTGGTCCATACCGTAGATACTTTCTGACGAGGTCCCGCAGCATTGCGTCGAAGAACTGGCGTTGTTCGTTGTCCGTGAGATAGTGTAGCAGCTGTCGAAGCGGAGTCCAGAGTGCTGCTCTGCCTAGCAAGAGTGAATGGTACAGCTCCGAAACGAACGCATCTAGGTGGCGTTAGAATTGAGACAGGAGAAAAAGAGGTGGCACTCACCACGATAACCCAAGTTCAATGCTCGCTTCGCTACCAGTGCCAGCATGGTCCACGCCTCGCCGTCTTCAATACTTAGGAGGCCAGCAGTGACAGAGACATTGTTTGCAAGCCACTTGCTGTAGCTGATGCCATCGCTTAGCCACTGCAGCTTGCTAGACGAAATACCTGTCGTGCTTGTTGCTTGAGCTACAGTGGAGAGGATCTTGCTACCGCCCATCAACCCAACTACCTCCTGCCATGTGATTCTTCGGTCGATTTCCTTCGGACAGAGCTTTCTGGTTTGACGCAGCGCATTGTGCAGAAACTTGTTGCCGTGCAGTACGAGCTCGAGAACGCACAGCGTGTCTTCCAGCACTGTATTATCTGCGCGTCTGATGTTGCCCAGGCTTCGGACTTGCATGAGCAGCGCACCAATGCCGGCTACACTTCGAAGGTTGAGGACGACCAGCCTCTTAAGCTCGGCTTGTCTCTTGGGCAATTTGTGGATACGAAGAACCGGCCAGTGATCTGGAATTGTCACTGTGACAATTGCATTGACGATTTGTGCTGCCTTGGGACCCGACTTGTGAATGTTGAAGTCGTGCTTGTCCTGGATCCCGCACTCGAGGTACTGCAAAACGGCCAGGAGGTCTTCGTAATCTGGCTGGCTCTTCAGGATTTCTCGTGCATCATCTGGCAGCGTGTCTTGCTCTTTGCTGGTGTTCTGGGCTAGGTAAGACTTTTGGACGAAGGCAATCGATTCGCGCTTCTTTTGCTTATTGGTCGGAGGATCAGTCGTCATCGATGTTGCCGAAGAAGCCTTTGACTTGACAGATGGCGCTGTGTCGAAAGAGGTGCGAAGACTTTGGTCATCATTACTGGAAGAAGACGCGACCTCGATGAGTGATCGCTTTGACTTGGTGCTGTTGGAGCGAGGCTTTTCGGCGGACTCGCTGACGGTCAGGCTCTCGAACTTATCGATGTTGCCCTTCACAGTCCCAGTCGCCTTGCCGCGGCCCAAGTTGAGGAGTTCGTCCATGCTGATTGGCTGTGCAATCAATCACAGACAGTGTCGATGGTGTTGCAAGAGTGCGAAGAACATGCATACCAGTGTCAACAGATGCCGGCCATAGAATAAAAGAGCCCCTCCTAACGCGTTGTGTACTTCAGTATCATGGTTGCCTCGCAACGGGGTGTTAGTGTAGAAGAGAAGTTATCCTTCACCAAATGTCTGGAGGCGTCAAAACTTGCAATTGTCCAGCACATTTTCTGGGTGCTTATGTTGATGCCTTGCCTCCTGCAATTCTTGTGCACTTGGAAGTAGATTTGGTAGTTGGAAGGAGTCAGTTGATAGAAGAAAGAGCAAGTGCCGGAGCATACCTAAGTTCGTAGGTAAGGGAGGGTGCCTTGTGCCAAGTCCGCCACTTCAGGCCTCACCAGGCGTCAAGTCCAGTGGCCCATCTCATCTTTATCGCTACATCTTACTGCAAACGACCCGCGACGACGGTTGCTGACGAGGCGAACAAAGGTCTCCAGAGACACTGACTGGATCTACGCCAGAAGGAGAGCCCAGCGAAGCACGCATGCGCACGTGAGCAGCATCAGGTTCTGGGTGAGGCGTCTCGAGAGGGAACAACCGTCCACTCATCGTCGTTGCCAGTCAAACCTCTTCTAGGTCATTTCGCTGCCCACGAGAATTCCACCACTTTGCTGAGGGTCAGCACGGATCGCCACGATGTCAATACCAGTCGCGTCACTTCTATCTAACGGCGAGCCGCCACATGCACATTCCGAAGAGAGATGGAAGTACCTCAGACGCATATTTGAGACCAAATCACCATTCTCGGATGAGGAGTATCAGCCCGGTCCCGCCGTCCTTGACACCATCAAAGCCGCCAAGATCCTTGTCATCGGCGCAGGAGGACTCGGATGTGAGATACTCAAGAATCTCGCACTCTCCGGGTTCAAGGACATTCATGTTATCGACATGGATACGATAGACGTCTCAAATCTCAACCGCCAGTTTCTATTCCGTCAAGCCGACGTGGGTAAGTCCAAGGCGGAAGTGGCTGCGTCCTTCGTTCAACGCCGTGTCACGGGCGTCAGCATCACTCCTCACAACTGCAAAATCCAAGACTTCGATGAAGACTTCTACATGCAATTCACACTCGTCGTATGCGGTCTCGATTCCATCGAAGCCCGCCGCTGGATCAACGCAACGCTGGTCGACATGGTCGATATGGACAACCCGGAGTCTCTCAAACCACTGATCGACGGCGGAACAGAAGGCTTCAAGGGCCAAGCTCGCACCATCCTGCCCTCAATCTCCTCTTGTATCGAATGTCAACTCTCCATGCACGCCCCACGAGCCGCCGTGCCGCTCTGTACTCTTGCCACCATTCCCCGACAGCCTCAACACTGCATCGAATGGGCCCACATCATCGCCTGGGAAGAGCAGCGCAAAGGCGATACTCTCGACACCGACGACCCAGAGCACATCACTTGGCTATACCGCAAAGCGCTGGCGCGTGCCGAGGAGTTCAACATTCAAGGCGTCACCTACAGCATGACTCAAGGCGTCGTGAAGAACATCATACCCGCCATCGCCTCCACTAACGCCATCATCGCCGCCGCCTGCACCAACGAAGCCCTCAAAATCGCCTCCTCTGCAGCCCCATACCTCGACAACTACATGATGTACACCGGCGACTCCGACGGCGTCGGTCTCTATTCGCACACCTTTCAGGCGGAGAAGGAACCAGACTGTCCCGTGTGCGGCACACTCGCGAGACCGATGACAGTCGATCCATCAACGAAGCTGGAGGATTGGCTAGCCAGTCTCGCCGAGCGCGCAGAGAGTCAATTGAAGAAACCGAGCGTGCGGACAGAGGAGAAGACACTATATTACCAAGCTCCGCCGAGTCTGGAGGAACAGACACGTCCGAATCTTGGGAAGAAATTGAGCGAGTTGATCACAAATGGCGAGGAGGTGGCAGTCAGCGATCCCAGTTTTAGCACGGTGTTTCGGTACAAGATGGTCTTCAAGTAGAAACTGAGGAAGAGGAAGAGTGAGCTAGCCGACCACAACAAGTGGGGGCTTCGGGAGGTAACGGTCAAGACTTTGGCACAGTGGCCGCGGGCTACTAGGTCTGGGAGGCGGAGGCCGTCGTGACTGGCGGCACAAATGATACCTGGGTTGCGAGCAGCGCATACGGCTGAGTCTGCTGCGGATCACAGTTGACGACCTTCCATTGTCGAGCCACGAATGTTGCTCATCAAGGATGTCTTGGCAAGGGAGGGCGCTGAGGTCCCGGTGTCACTGCGCTGATCGAGATAAGCCTCGCTCAAGCGTCAGTGGGAATAAATGATGCATCGCGGATTCTCTGGCCAGGGAGGACGCTGTAGGGGAAACGCCCAGTATTTCTAGTCACAACCTGACAAGCCGTCATCGCCGATATATGTGCATTAAGTCCTTACCAACCATTTCCTAGGTTTGTACAAAAGAGAAAGCCACGCCGATCCTATATCAAGGCAGGCTCCATCGCTCCACGACCTCATCTTGGTCGTCACTCAAGCCGACGCTGTCACCATCCTCCTTCTCTTGAACCCCGGACTCAAGGAACTCTATTCCGAGTCGCGATGCATATGCTTTCTCACGCTCCCCCAGCGCTTCTTCAGACCCTGGCTTAAGCTCCCGCTCCGTCGAGGCATCTGTCCATGTCCGTCATCGAAAACGCCTGTGCTGGCCAATGCGCCGCCAGCCGAGCCTGTTGACGTAGCAGACGCGCCTGAGATGTCCCTCCGATGCCCGCGGTGCCGTGGCGACTGCGATGTCATCTCGATGGAGACTCTTCCGTTCCCGTCGACGTCTCGACCCTGCTTCTCGCCATCCAGATTGTGTTCCTTCAACTGCTTCTCGATCGAGTAGCTCGGCTCGCCTTTGCCCTTAATGTCGTCGTCATGGTACTGTACGCCAGGCCAGCGCTTGTAGGCACCTCCTGCTGGGTTAGCCTCGAGCATCATATTGCTCTGGCTGTAGTCATAGGTGTGTCCGTTGGGGTCGGTCTCGCCGGGTGCGTATGCCGCTACGCCGTCGAGCGGCCTGTGGCCGCGCACGCTATCGATGATCTTCTCTTTCGGTGTGGCCCGCAGAGTCTCGGCGTTGGAGTCAGTGAGTGCGGCCAATGGGCCACTGGAGGAGTTATTGCGTGCGAATAGGGTTGCATCATAGGGACCACTGTGGTGGTAGGCGGCACCGGCGATGGTGTCTAGGCTGTCGATAGTGTCTGGCTGAATATGGTGTTTGCGGGTGGCGTGTCGAGCGCGATCGGCCGTGTGCTTTTCTTTGGTGAGGACATCGAGTGGACGATGAGACATGTCCCCAGCATGTTTGGCGCTTAGCGAGGAGGTGCGTCGCGGTGGCCGGTGGAAGTGTTGTGGTCGCCAAATGCCTCCTCGTCGTGGTGATGCGGATGGTGGTGGGGAGGGGTAGGAAGTGGAGGTGGGACTGCGAAGAGATGTGCTTCGTGTGATGCCAGCGCTCTGCGGAGGTGTGTCAAGGCTCTTGCGATAGGGGTTGTTCTTGCTCAGGCGGCTGCCCGAACTTCGCACTGAAGCCGCCTTAGGCGTGACGGATGTCGTTGGCGTGGCCTTCTCGTCAGGCCTTCGGAATGATGTGCCTCCCGGACCATCTTCCTCCGATGGTTGCGGTGCGCTCACAGGATCAATGAGGTACTCGGTCGCCTGGATAAACGTGTTAGCCCTCAAAGAGGATGGTACAGCTGTCAGCTTACCCAGTTCTTGCTGCTCGTGTCCATGTTGCGAGCCGGTATAGGACAATGGTGTACGTGGCGGTTGGCGAAGGTCGAAGGCAGGCAGTATGCACTACAGTAGGGTGGGCTCCAGTATATATGGCGCGCTCAAGCAACGTGGTATTGTGTATGTCAGGTACGGGAGCCAAGTATGCAGCTGTATGAATTAGGGCAAGCTCTCATATAGGTGTGTATTACTGTGAGAGAGGGAAGATGAGGAAACCTGGAACTGGAAGCGAAAGTACTCGACATCAGAGTAGTACCTTCTTGCCAATCAGGACCCTACGTCATGCGTAGCAATCTTTCCCGCGAACATCCTGACCTCGTCCTTTCTCAGCAACCACGCAATGCAACTCCACCACGACTCAAACATCTCCAATCACTACCTGATCTCGACAGTCTCCCACGTGAAAGACCCTTTAATAAGGCAGGCTGTGAATTGAGAGTACTCGTGGGCCGGCTTACCCGTGTTCACACACATCCGGATCTCTAGTCCAACGTCCCGCTTGTGTCACCGATAGGCTTGGCAGGCACAAGCTTCAAGTTGACGGCTAGCTTTTGATGACAACGTCGCTGGTCGAATACGCGTCGGATTCAGACAGTGAACAGCAGCAACACCCGAAGCGTAGAAAAATCGCGAATGATTCGAGTACGACTGGGAAGGCACCATCAACGCTCCCGGCCCTGCCCGGCGCTTTCTACTCTCTCTATGCGACAAATGCCCGGAGTTCAACCGCAGATGATCCCTCGCTACATGGCGGACGGACACGTCAGGTAGCACACCGAGAGGGCAATTGGCCTACTCACATCTATCTTGAGTGGTATCCAAGCGAGGCCCAAGAACATGGCTTGCTGAAAATAATCCACGACGCTCAACAAGCCCTCGCAGTTGTCGACAGCACAGCAGAAGTTCACTCGCTACTTCGCTCAGATCTCAACGTACAGCTGCCCCTGCATGTAAGTCTTTCTGCACCACTGGTCTTGACCACCGAGCAAAAAGATGCATTCCACGAAACTGTGTTGAATGCCATTCCTGAGTCCGGAGCCAAGTGTCACAGCACAAGCGTTCAGCAGATCGACTGGGTATCAAATAAAGAGCAGACGCGGTCGTTTCTGGTGCTGAGGTTGAGGAGACCAGAAAACGATGATCTCAACAGGCTGCTTCGGGCTTGTAACAGCTGTGCCGGCAAGTTCGACCTCGCACGGTTGTACAATGATCTAAATAATGCCGAAGGTGACAAGGAGGACCACGATTCCAGCTTTCATATCAGTATTGGCTGGACGCTACAAACCCCGAGAGACCACACGTTCGAGAGTCAGGCAGCGATCAAGGTGCTTATGCAGGATCAGATCACATTCGACACTGTGAAGCTGAAGATCGGCAATGCAGTCCATGATTTACCACTGTTACCTGCCGGTGCAACCAGCCTGCAGGCTAAGCTATCCTTACCGCACGCGAGAGCTTTGTAAGGTCGACTGGGCTTACGGCTGAACATCAGCAATCGCCACACCTAACTCAGAGTCCCCCTGGCCGAAGTACAGATACCATTTGCCTTTGAACTGCGAGCCGATCAGCAAGTGGCTTATCAATGGCAACGATTACACAACGTACCTGCACCAGACCCTCAGCAAATACGACCTGATCGACCTGTCCAGTCTGCTCGTTGCTTGCCTCGGGCACAAGCAGCGGGTTCTGCACCCTCGCCACTGGTCCATTTCTGAGCGCAGGTTGGTAGGTCCCATCCGGAACTGTGATATTGGGCAAAAATGACAGCGTTGGATCGATCAGCATCTGCCCCACAGAATACTGGTTCTGCGGATAGCCTGCGCGCCCTGTCGTCATTCCATTGTAGACCAGCAGCCACTTACCGTCGCGGGTCTTGATTGGAGCCGGACCAGGCTCGATCAACCGGTTTTCCCACGGATTCAACGGTGCGGCAAAATAGTTGTCGGGTGGCAGAGCGGTCCAATTTCGCAGATCCGGCGATGTCGCGTGGTAGAAGAAGCTATCGCCGAAGTACATATGATATAAGCCATCAGCGGTAGGTTCAGAAACGATGGCACCGCTTTTGGAGTGATTGAGACGAGGAGAAGGCACATCGATGCTACGTTCTCTGTTAGTTGGATCGGGACGTGAGTAGGGAGGGGAAGCACCGGGTTCGAGGGACTCGTGGAACAGGCTACAAGACAGAGGCATCAGAGACAAGTCCGAGACCTTCAGTCTCTACCTCGTTCCCGGCCGAAGTTTGGCAAGTACACTCACTCTGAGTAGCAACATCCATCCACCCAGGAAAGCTGCAAGCAAGTCAGCGTTACGATCTTCCAATTGGTGGGTTCTCCGGAGCACGCTCGGCCGATTTGCCTGAACAACTTTGGATGAGCGAGCCGGTTTGCAACCTACAGGGGCGGGGTCTTTGTCCAGTTCAGCAGATTCGTCGAGCTTGCCATGCACAATTGCGCGCTCGAGTTATCGAATGCAGTGTAGGTCATGTAGAACGTGTTGTTGATGCGCACGATTCGAGGATCTGTCCACGGCGTCAGTCAGAAGGCCTCCAATGCCACCACAACCTGATGGGGCCCACAACCTTCTGTCCCACCGATCTGCTCCCATGGCTCAGTTGCATACAGGATCGGCTCCGCGAGTCGGGTGAAGTTCACTCCATCCGTCGACCAGGCCAGGCCGATGCTTGACGTCTTCGACTCATTTTGCGCCCTGTAGAGCAGGAAAATGGTCTCATTCAGAACAATTGCGGTCGGATTGTACAGATACGTGGACTCCCAGTTGTTGGCTGGGTTTGGAGTCAGGATTGGGTTTCCGGAATACTTATTGAATGGCAGTAACGGAAAAGTTGGGGCCAAATAGTTCGCATCGCCTTCAACAGTTGCCTCTGTGATGTTGAACGGCAGCTGCGTGGCCGAGGTCGCGTTCGTTGTGTTGCTCTGCGCCCAAACCGGGAGCAGGAGCGAAAGCGAAAGCCAAAGTGGTAGCATCGTGGCGTGTTCACGGAATCAAAGCGTGAAAGTTCAGCTCTTCCACAATGATCACTTGCTGGGTATGCTGCACTCGAAGGTAGGCAACCGTCGCAGTTGTACCTTCGGGCCTCCATGGGCTACGGATGCTGATGCTAGCTACCTCACCTGGCGGAGCATCGTCAGTGGCGTCACTTCGCCAAGTTCTGGAGAGGTGAATTGAGGGGTTGCACTTCCGCAGCTCGGCCTCTTAGTGCCATGTGAAATGGTATGGCAATCGCCAACGAGACAAGCTTACAGGTAAGGTGCGGCACACTCAGAACAAGCAAAGCAAATCAAGATCCTTCAGACTTGGCCTCAAACATGGTTCGTACAAGCACGTGGTGCACATGAGCTTGAGCCGCAGGCTAACGTGGGGCCGCATCTGATAAGATACGAGCCAGAGCCAGGGTTTACCACCAACGTTCTGCCTTGTGCGTATTTCTCGGATTATTGATTCAGCACAAGCTGTAGCTACCCGGGACAGTGGCTCGATACCGGCCTGGTCGGGTGCCTCGTCAGCTCATCGCAGCTCGGAGAATCATTTCAGGCAACTGGTCACCGCGAGCATGTAGCCCGATGCATTACCCGGAAAAGCTGCCCATGAGATTGTTTGTGCGCATTCTAATTCCGTTGAGCCAAGAGCGGCTGTTGAGAAGATAGTGACGTGACGTTTCGAATCGAGGCCGTGTCAGAATATGGCAGCCACAGCGATGCTCTCTTTCCCGTTCCGTTGCAAGAAGTACTGTGACTGCCTTGACGGATGCGCGATGACAATGGTGTCGACTAAGATGACCGCGCCATCAAGGGGCCATTCTCAGCTGCTCCTGGAGACCGGCTGGACTTTAGGGTGGCTGAAGTCGACTTCGAATTTTTTTAGCTCAAGCTCTCCCCTCGCTCAACCCACATGAATATGCTAACTTTCGCATCTGCGAATCTGGATCTACTTCAACGCCAGCCGGGATTTCTGGAGATCTTATTCCTTTGTGGCCTGATTTGTTGCTGCATGACGCTCGCACCCGGGACGTGGCATGGAGAGACGAGTCGATGATCTGGCTACTGCGTCAACAGGGATATCGAAAAGCTTAGATCAAACATATTCGTACCTGCTTCTCGCCCTGTTTATGCCTGTGTGCTTTCCATCTCGAATATCAATACACCGCAACTTCTGTTCGTTCTACTCTTTCCCAGCACAAGCTTGGAATCGGAAGGACGCTCTCATTCTTTGTTCAGCATTCCACTATCTCATTGTCTGACCACTGCTCACTTACTGTGCATTCCTTAGCAATAGTAATTTTGTTGAGGCCTCCTCCAGCCCCTCGCAACGTCCCCGCCGAAGCACCCCTCAATTCCCAGAGATCCTTCGACATCCCACTCGTCTCGCCTTCGGAAATCTCGCGTTCTTGTCCCGCCCCTGACCCTGGCCGTTCCCGTCCAATAGCGAGATTCTGCCCAGCTCCCTACATACCGAAATTTCCGCTCGCATTGAAGCTTCGACCAAGAGCTTCTCACTGCTCTCAATCTCATGGCCGACGTTTATCTCGATATCCAGAAAAGCTGGGGGCGACGTACCAAAGCTTCCTGGTTGTCGTCACTAGGCGCCGGCCTCATTGTCACTCTTTGCCCTTGCTGGCTCATCACCAATTGGATAGCTCTTGAGTACTATGGCGGATCACTACGCCTCACTGCTCAGGCAGCACTAAAACAAGGCATCGTCGAGTTTGCAGCTCAACATGCCCCTCAACCAACTTTCCGAGCTTCCATCGGGTATCTGACATGGGTCACGGTCCAGGCTTTGTTATACAACTATCTACCCGGACCATTGTCCTATGGCCAGATGACGCCAGCGGGTAATCTGCTCAAATATACCACGAACGGCTTATTGGCATGGACTGTCACACACGCTTTGTACGGTGCCACCTCCCTTGTCGGCATACTCGACCCGGCGATCATTGCGCGGAACTGGGAAGCTCTACTCGTCACTGTCAATGTTTATGGCATCATCTTGGCACTGTTTGCACAGATCAAGGCGTATGTCGCGCCTTCACATCCTCTGGACCGCAAGTTTACCGGATCAATGATCTTCGACTACTTCTGCGGCATTGAGCTAAACCCTCGCATTGGAGATCGGTGGGACTTCAAGTTGTTCTACAATGGTCGACCGGGTATCATCGCGTGGACTCTGATGTAAATACCCCCCTCGTTGGTGAGATTTCTTGTGCTGACTACTTAAGTGATCTGTCATGGATGGCCTACCAGTATCAGACGTTCGGATTTGTGACGAAGTCTATGCTGCTCGTGACCTTCTTCCATTTCCTCTACGTACTCGACTTCTTCTACAACGAGGACTGGTACCTACGTACGATCGACATCACGCACGATCATTTCGGTTTCAACCTCGCCTGGGGCGATACAGCATTCCTCCCAAATCGTGAGTCTTCTGCCAATACTTTCTTTCCATTCCTTTCGTGTCCAGCCATGCCCTTTCTATGTTGGAGAAAGCTTTGCAGAGTCTCCCCTCTCTGCAGCTTGAGATCCCTATCTCGAAGGCTGGGGTCTTGATCTTGGCTTCTATATGACACGATCGAAGCATATGCCACATTCCCGCTCTTCACTTGACTCCGTGCTAACATACGGCGCCCAAAGTTTACACCTTACAAGTCCAATACCTTGGCCGCTATCCCGTTCATCTCACCACACCGTCCGCCTTCCTCATCCTCGCTATCGGCCTCTCTGGCTACACGCTGTTCCGCAGCTGCAACCACCAGAAGGACCTCGTTCGCAGCACGAATGGCACCGCCACGATCTGGGGCAAGCCCGCCGAGTATATTCGCTGCACCTACAGCACGACCGACGGCAAGACACATCAATCACTCCTTATCACATCTGGATGGTGGGGATTCAGCCGACATGCGAACTATCTGGCGGACCTAATGCTTAGCGGAGCCATGTGTGCGACTTGTGGGTTTACTCACTTTCTGCCCTGGAGTTACTTCTTTTTCATGGGAACCCTGCTTTTGCATCGACTGCGTCGGGACGAGAAAAGGTGTGCAATGAAGTACGGCAAGTTCTGGAGCTTGTACACGCAGAAAGTTCAGTACAAGCTATTGCCTGGGGTCTGGTGATTTGCGTTCTGGAAGTGTCTGGGAGCAAGGAGAGGCAATGCATTGCAGGGCGTCGGCGAAGAGCTCCCCATGCAACCATTTGAACAGAGAAGACCCAACGGCTCGACGAACGAATCAGCTTGAAGTCGGCAACGGAGATCGTGAAAAGGCTGGCATTGAATTCGAGCAGTTGTGGCGTGTCCTCGAGGACGACCGGATAGAGTCAGTGGCGAGGAGAAGAGACAAAAGCAAGCGATCATCATAACACCGGAAACACAAATAGAGCGGCGGCGTACGACTGATTGATACACAGACTGGATGCATAGATCCGCGAAAGCTGCTCGGCGCAGCACCGATCCGATAAGCGACTTCGGACCAACGTGGTCGGATAGCATTGCTTGGGGCGGGATGACCTAATCGTAGTTGCTTGCCAGTGTGGTACCACTACATCAATAGAGAGGAAGTCCTGAGAGTCCTTAAACCTAAATGATAATGGCACCCACGTGCAAGCTGAGCTCTTTCCCTGGGACCTCCTCATTCCTGTGAGAGCTGAGCATTCTCCATCATTCTAGCGGAGCGGGAGTTGAAACGAAGCAGTACGCTGGGGCGGGTGTTGCGCTTCACGAATCAGTCTGGAGCATCTATGCGAGTCGCAAGGTTGATAGATTCTCTCACAGCTGTACGAAGGGGTCAATGTCGACTGTGGCTCATCTTATTACCGATCACTCCCTGGCTCGGTGTACTTTGGTACTCGACCAGGAAGGCTTGGCACATTATATTCATCACCAAAAGTGCGAATCTGCATTCCTGCGTCCCCGAGCTCGGAATGCCCAGGGAAAGACGGGGAGCTCGCCCACGAACATCCCTACCGGACTATCGTTGCTGTCTCATGCGAGCCCCTACCGTGCCATCAGAATCCCGAGATTTGTGAAATTAGTTCCGGAGGCAGACTATTTTCGACTTCTGCATTCTTGACTTGAGGGGCGTCAAACCTGATTCATGTTCTTCCCTGCTATGAACTGGAGCTTGTGACCTAGGGGCAGCCTGTGCAGATGCGTGTATGATGCGTGAGGAAGTCTGGAGCCTCGGGAGGTGATGTCTTGGCATGAGCGGCCGGGGTTGGATGCAGATCATCAGCCTGGATCGCACCTGGTACGACGTGCAATGATGATGACCGTAGGGTCGAATGCGAAATAGTCCTTGTCATACACGGACACGAATTGACTTATTGCGTCTGCTGTCGCTTCCGAAAAGGACCGCGTTATCGCAAGCCGGTTGACGAGGAGGAAGATAGACCGGTTGACTAGTATCTTCGCAAATCCACCGGAGCCGTTCTCACTGTGCACGATCGTAGAGAGTCAGGACTGAGTAGATACTGTAGTCAACAGGCTCTGCGTAAGTTCAGGCGTAACCATGTTCCTGGGAGTATCAGACGGTCACACACCTGATTCCCTGGAGGAGAGCACAGCATAGTCCGTAAAGTTGATCGAAATCGTGTAAGCAGCCAGCTTGAGGAAGACACAGTGCTGGCAAGCGTCTCTCGGCCCTCCAGTCCAGTATGAGTAATCGATCCGCGTCACTCATGTCCGTATGAGCTGCAGCTGGAGACGCGTATGCAGAGAAGCTCGAGATGTAGTTGGCGATGGTGGGGCTTGACAGCGAACTCCCGTACGTACTGTTGTCAGGGCCTGGCGGTGCGACCTTGGGATGGAGGAGTTCAAAGGCACTGACACTGCTCGCGACGGGAATTGCCACGAAGCCAGGAGTAGCCACCTTCCACCACACAGCACAACAGCATGGATTACTGGCTTATCATCAGCCTTGCGTTTTGCGACGTAGCTGTCGTAAGTAGAAGTATTGTCATAGCTGTGCACTGGCTCAGTCCTTAGGCTGGCAGATCACAGCGATATAGGTAGGCAGGTGTTTGACGGGATCAGAAAAGTGAGGGATCGTGGTCCATCGGCCTGGCTGGCTCCGAGACGATCCACTGCTGCGTTACTAACGCATTTTTGCACGTGTTATCACGTCTTCGCGACGGTATGAATGAGGCCTGAACGTTAGAAGCGAAGGAAGCTCTCGAAAGTGATGATGGAAGAAGCTGCATGATGACTCTGCTAGGATCACGTGAGTAGCGGCCCAAGTTTGGCCCTCGGCGAGTTACTGCTCCGATGGGCATAGTGGCGTTTGAGCTTGACAATCGTGCTTCTGATCTTGCAAGCTCTGCCTCTGTCACTACATAGTCCAGTAGCAGCAATGAGCCGAACCGAGCCGGCAGACTGGATGCCATGGCTGCTCCCGGAGATGGAACACAATCTCGGCATCGTCGGAGCGATTGTACCAGATTTAGCTAAGTCAAGGGGGACCGACTGGTCAATGTTATACATATAAGGCACTGGCAGCTCTGTTCGGGTAGAGGTGCTCGACTCGACCTTAAGGTGGTGCATCGCGGTGATCGTGGTTACAGAGAATACGCAATGGAGCTCAGGAAGCCGAGTGAGTCTTCCCGTTGGCACCTTCATTAGCTCTATTCAAGATGACGACGTGCACCACTCGGCGGCAGAGCTGCTAATAACATCTTACTGCAGCCCTCAACGAACAACGCTGCATCACGCGCCACTCTCTGGACTTCTACCGTGGTCTAGTTGTCGCCGCGGTCTATGAGTTCCCCGATCAGTCTCACTCGGAGCTGAAGCCGCGCTTCGAAGCAGCAATCCGGCATTGCGTACTAGGCCATCCAATTCTCGGAGCGGTCATTCACGACGCGGAGGAGGAGAATTCACACTTCCGGAAGCTGGAGAGTCTGGATCTGGACAGGCATCTGAGGTGGCTTGAGTCGGAGGACGTGGGTGTCGATGTCTGCAAGAATGCATTGTATGCTCGAGAGGAGGATCGGGTCGTGGAGATGATGGTGGAACGGGCATTGAATCAAAGATTCGAAGACGTGGCGGAGGTACCGCCGTGGAGAGTCTTCGTCGTTCCGATGAACGAGGAAAGAAGTGGGAGTTGGCTGGTCACGTTCAATTATTCGCATTCGCATGGTGATGGGTTGAGTGGATTGTCGTTCCACAGGTCGCTCGTCGAGGGATTGTCGCAGACCACTGCTATGGAGTCCTCACACCAGGGCGATATCCTTCCAACGAGCGTGGCCGACTTGCCGGCCCCAGCAGGACCATTCCCAATTTCGTGGGCATTCCTGCTAAGTGTGTTGGTCAATGCTTTCTTTCCGTGGCTGACATCGTGGTGGGAAAAATATCCGAGATCATCAGTATGGACGGGTGGTCCCATGTTCTACGATAATGATGCTGAGACGGCGACCAAGCTGTTGACCATTGATCAACAGACGCTGACCACGATTCTGAGCAATTGGAGACCACATGAAGTGAAGCTCACGGCGCTTCTGCATCTTGCCATGAATCGGGCTCTCACGACAGAGCTCAGGAAGCATGGCATAAGCCTGGATCGTATGCGACAGGCACACCAATCGATATGCGCAGGGTCTTCAGCCTAGACCGCACAGCCATGGGTGTGAACGCAAGCTCAGTATCGTTCCAGTATCCCGCCATCGAGGCGTCCTCAACGGTGACAGAAGAGGAGGTTGCGGCCGCCCAAGAGCATACCAGAAAACTTGCATCTGGAAGCTCAACAAGTCAGGACCAGGTCATTGGACTTCTTTCGTATGCCAGACCGCTGCGGAAATGGCATCTCGACAAGATGGGCAAGAAGCGAGACTCGAGCTGGGAGATCAGCAATCTCATGACCATCGATGTAGCTGCGCCTATGAACGGGAGGCTTACCAGGGTTGTCTTTGCGCAGCCAGCAGATGCGAGTGGCCAGGCACTTTCTCTTAACGTTGTTAGTCTGAAAGGAGGCTTGCTCGAAGTCATGATAAGCTGGCAAGTCGGTGCTCTTGCCCTACCTGGTCCAGTCGAAAAGAGGAAGGAGGTCGAGGTCGATTTCATGGAACGAGTCGCGACCGCCTTCCGACAGCAGCTTGTGTTTCTTTCGAAAGGCCCCCTGGGACGGTCATCATAGCCTGAACCAATCACTTCTGGCACGATATACACAAAGATCTTGTGTATCTCGACTCAAGGACCGGCATGAATTCACTTATGCCTGGTTGCCTGACGCCTTGCCATGGGGGATCTCCACACTGGCTGCCTGGTACCTCAAATTCACGGCACCTCAGTAACAGTCTTTAGAACTCACCGGACTTAAGCTCTTGCTGGCGCCGGCCTTGTCCAGACACCTGAGAATCGGACGAGAAGTGTAATCTTCTGTCATCTGAGAGACCATCCTGTCACCAACAATCAGGGCGATCTTTGTCGCTGGAGGCCAGTGCAAGGCACAGCAAGCTCTCACCAGGTCGTCTTTCACTTGAATACCTATCTTTGTCAGTTGAGCTGCCTCAAGCAAGATTATTGGGTAATACTGTCACTACTTCAAGGTGTTGGTGTCAATTTGTCCTCAACATCACTTTTCTCAGGCCGGCCCTCCAGTCCGGGACAACTGACTCACTACACACTACACGTGAACTGTTATCAGGCTCTGCCAAGTGAGCAGACGGCGCTGAGAAATCTACTTAATCAAGGCCCGGTGCACTCCACGCTTTGTCCAACATGCCCAACCTCGCATCTTCTGATGAGACTTGGCGAACTTCGGACGAGTCTCCATCGCCTCCAGCTAAACGACAGCGCCTAAGTTCTACGGCTGATACTTCGCTTGCAGACAGCATGGTACGTCAACTACTCAACGATGCGCTGTCGCGCACTACTAATTCGGCGCAGAGTGGAGAGGATACCATGGAGTCCGCCGACCTCTTGAACAACGGCAATGCACTCGCGATCCGATCGGCACCCGACCAACTCAATGAAGCTGCTCAGAATGCTAATGCAATCGCACAATCGGCTCAAGAGAGCTCTGATCCCGCCTCGAGTGCACAAGACACAACAGAATCATCTACCACGAACGATCATGATGAATCGGTTGTAGCACCAACAGAGTGGCTCGAAGGGATTGATCCGGCTGCAGCACCGAATGATCCCTCAACCGAGAACGGTGCAGCTGCTACAGATGACACTGAAAGTGCTGACGAGGAAGCCACTGTTCAAGATGACGTCGTTGCTGTTCAGGAAGAGGTGAACAACGCCGCGGCGGCTGCTGATCGTGCCAGCGCAGACAATGCGATCGACGAACAAACACAATTTCTTCACCGACTCTCGCGCGAAGACCCGGACGAGTTCAGACGCCTTGTGGACTCAGGTATCATAGACGACGAATTCCTGGACCGCCTTGACGAGCTCAACGCTCAAGATGCCGTCGCTGCTCCCAATGCTGATGCTCAGAACAACAATGCGGGCAACGCTGGCACAAATACTGAAAGCCTGGACAATGATCTTGAGGAAGGTGAAATCGAGGATGCAGATGCTGGTCGGGTCAACAACGCCAACAACCAAGCTGGACCCACCGTCGCAGGTACTGCAGGCAATCACGGCATCATTGCTGGACCCGCTCCCGCTCAACCTGGCGCAGGCAACGGCACCGGCGACCGAGGTCATTTCGCTTGGCTACTCGATCGCCGCGACGCTCGAGAAGCGAATGAAGCTTGCCCTGCCTGCACTGTTGAGTTCGATCCCGATGAGCCCACAGTCTTCCTGAATTGCGGCGACCGTTGGTGCGTGGACTGCCTCAACGACAACTACCGCGCTGCTCTCAAGAACCGAAAAGACTTTCCTCCTCAATGCTGCGACATCCCCCTAGACCATGAATCCATCCAAGACTTCCTCGACGAAGGCGTTCTCATTGAACTCGCCACCAAGATCGATGAGTACAAGGACGCCGATCCAGTCTATTGTCAGACTCCTAAGTGCACCGGTGGCTACATTCCCAAGTCCCGTATCAAGGGTCAATGGGCTGGCTGCCAGGTCTGCAGTCAATCAACATGCGTCGAGTGCAAGGGCCCTGCCTCCGAGCACCTTGCCCCTCAGATCCATCCGAAGCCGCTCACTAAGCTCGATCAAGAACTCGCGGCGAAAGAAGGATGGAAGGTGTGCCCTGGCTGCGGGAATATGGTCGAACGTAGCGAAGGCTGCAACTTCATGACGTGCGAGTGCGGTCATAACTTCTGCTACCAGTGCGGCGGAAGTCTACAAAACAATATGCCTTGTCTGTGCCAGGGTACTCCCCAGTGGGTGCAGCAGATGAACGCTGAAGCTGCAGGTGGTGCGGAAAGCGACGATGAGGATGAGGAAGACGACGACGAGGAGGGAGAGGGAAGGGATGAGGGTGCTGGTGGTCATGGACAGGGAGTGGATGCGAACACTGGTGAGGATGGTGGTGGAGAGACTGAAGTACCTGACGCCAATCCAGGCGAAGGAGGTCAGCATGACGCCACCGACGGGGACGACGATGGTCATGATGACTGGTAGGTCTTCGGAGACCACGAATTTGCTGCTCAGGGAGGGCTCTGAGCAGGCTGAGATCAACGATTTAATGTGCTTGGGCTGAAAATGGTGGTTGGAGTTCAATCCTCATTCGCAGGTCAGATTCTGCGGCTAGATGCCTACAAAGGCCTCCCTGGATTATGTTCCTCCTCGGAAGATCAGGTCCTGTAACTATGTACTGCCTACAAAGGCATCCCTGCGCCAAACACCAACACCTTCTCGTGTGCAGTTTTCAGTGCCGTAACATCTCCGAAACCTCCCTTTCACCCTAGAAGTGACCCTTAGCGATCTCGCTCTGCCAATTCAACCCCCTCTCGAACCCGTTCTTGCTTCCTTGAAAGTCATGCAGCGCCTGCATCACTTCCTCGCGCGAGTTCGTAACGAAGGGTCCATACTGCACGACCTGTTGATCTAACGGCTGGCCCGCCACGAGGATGAATCTGCTGGCTTCCTCGGCGCCCTCTTCAACAGAGGCGTTGACGCCATCGCCGGCCTGTGCGAAGACGACGTTGTGATAAGGAACAACTGTCTCAGAGGCTTCGCCGTTGGAGAAGGTCGTCACGCCACCGAGGGTGTATGCGAAGGCGTTCCAGTTTTGTGGGAGCGCTTGGGAGAGGCTGCCGCCGGGCTGGATCGTCACGTCGAGGAGCCAGACTGGGGTGTACGCGAGGTCTTTGAGTGACTCCACGCCTAATGAGTTGCCGGAAATGACTTTCACTGTGGTTTTGCCGTCTGGTGATGTGGCGATAGGGATTTCTGAGCCCCGGAGGTCGCGGTATCGTGGCTCGGTCGACTTTAGCTCCTTGGGCAGATCAACCCAGAGCTGCATGCCCTGGCAATGCATGCCATCGACCGGCATTTCGGCGTGCATGATGCCTCGACCTGCCGTCATAAACTGTAGGTCACCGGCCTCGATGCGGCCTTTGGAGCCTGTGAAGTCCTCGTGGTCGATTGCGCCGTCGAGGACGTACGTTATGGTTTCCTGACCTCGGTGAGGATGATCTGGAAATTTGCCGGAGCCGTCTGGGCTGTTGAAGTGGTCGAGCATGAGGAAGGGAGTGAAGTTGCGGAGCTTTGGTGTCCCTATCGAGCGTCGGACCCTGGCTCCGACTCCCTCATTTTGCTCGTAGGCCAGGAAGGACTTCTGGATGGCGCGGGGAGTTGTGAGAGTGCTAGCGCCGTTGGTGTTCATTTTGGTGGATAGCTGCGGGCGGTGACTTTGTTGTACCTGATACTAGACGTTGGCTTGCGAAGCAGTGCTTTGGCAGCCACTTTGGCGATATTGGGACTTCTGCTATTCGTGGTTGTTAGATCGAAGAACGGTTCGAGTCACATCAAAGCCACATGTACGACGCATATATAGACCAGACACGACCTTGACAGTGAGCTAGAAGAGGAATACGCTAGAATGTGCAAGTTGTACCTGGATTGGTGCAACTGAGCGAATGTAGTGATTGAAGTTCGTCCAGCACCATGCTTGTAATCCATTACCAAGGAGGCGTGCCAAATCCCTATCGGAGAATTTGGAAGGAACGTTTCCGCGCTGCTGCTGATTCAAGAGTACGTAATCGTAGGAAGGGGCAGGAGACCTGCCGGATCAGGAAGCTTGACTCGTTTCCATCGGTTGCGCGCCAAGCATGGTCACCAACCTTGGAGTGCAAAAATCATTACGCGGGAGCTAGGTACCATTCTCCTCCAAGTCTGTGCAATGCGTCTCAGGTGTTGCGACTTGCCACTGTAATGCTCGATCAAGTTCCGACCTTTCTAACGCAGGACTTGAGGTTCAACAATGGAAACGTTTCAGGTCATAAACATGCTGTTGGCGTACTTCAGGGCTTTCGTCAAAGCCGAATGCCAGGAAGGACCATGGTCACAAAGCGGCGACTAGCTCCTTCTTGGGATACTGCTTCTCCAGGTAGTTGTACACAATGTCGCCAGCTCGGCCTGTATTGGCAGCCACACCGAGACCGAGCCATTCCTTCAGCTCTTCCGAGAGTCCCTCCTTGATCTCTTCACTCAATCGCGCTGTCCAATTGATTTGCTGTCTCAGGAAACCCTTGGTATAGTAACCGAACAACAAGGCTCTCTCCTCAGAATCTGTGATATTTGACCCACTGGTATGCCAGACCCGTCCGTCCATGAGGATGATGCTACCTGCCTTGGCCTCGAACGGCACAAGCAGATCTGGAGCATTGCTGGGTACGTCGGCTTGTGTTTTGTACTGATTCGACCCGGGAATAAACAGAGTTGCGCCATTGTCTTTGTGGACGTCGGACAGGCACCATATTACGTTCAGCGCCCAGCTTTCATGCCAGGGAGGTGGTACGACGATGGACTGATCCGAGTGCAGGGCCATTGATTTTGATCCAGGTCTAGCGATGTTGGCAGTGAAATTCGAGATCAAGAATTGGGGTCCTAGGACATCTTGGACAAGTGAGATCGCGGACGGATGAACAATCAGTTCCTGAAAGATTTCATCGAGTTCCAGTAGATAAAAGACACGGACATTTGAATCATTGGGATCGAGGTGAGGAAGGTGGGTAGATTCTCCCCGAGCAGCGGAAGCCTCTTTGGCAGCCCAGAGGCGTTTCAAGACGTGGCTGGCTTCAGACTCGGACAAGACATTGGGGACGATCGCCCAGCCTTCCTGTTTGAGATGATCGCGTGCTGCCTCGATTACGCCTTGTTCGGGTAATTGCTTTGCCACTCTGCCCATTGTGTTAAATTATGGAGGATTCTTCGCAAGCGGAAGATACTCTGCTGTAAGCAAGACATCTGCGACTTACGACTGAATTACCATACGCCATGGAGGACCTGATGGCGAGACGTTGTGGTCTCCGCACCCTGTCAACCGTGGTCGAGCAAAGATTCATGTCTTACCTCGGCTACCGCGTTGGCTTCTGTTTGCGGCAGAGACAGGCCTTTCATGCTAAGTAAAGGGTACCGTACCAGGTTGTGAGCAAAACCAGCGCAAGTTCGCGATTGGCCTCCCGTTCAACCATGAATGACTGCAGCTGTAGCTGAGTAGATAAGAGCAGCTACTCGGCCACACTCAAGGCGCGTGAGATCTATGTCTGAAAAGCCTCGGGAGCCCAAAAGCCACTGGCAGTCCAGAGTGAGATGATCACGTGATACATGCGTAGTTGGCCTTGGCACGAACTCGACATCGATCTCTCCGTCCTCATCGCATCAAATGCTCGCACAAATTGATTGATACGCGGAGTTCGCTGCCTGTCTATCACATGCGCCGGACCGTTTGCGATCTCTTACCATCTTGAAGTGACACTGTGAATTTCTACGGGAGGGAGACTCACGGCATTGCCTTACGACCAGCTGACAGCGCTCCCTTCCCTCGATCTTACAATACGTCTGTCACTCCCACCAAAGCCCGATGCTCAGCAGTGGTGATATAGCTTTGCCTGTGGAAAACTCATAATGATCTTGTCTGAGGGCCCTTCCAGCATATCCAAAACTCATCGGTCCTTAGTGAGTTGAGGGACTACCAGCCGCGAGATCACTGGCAACGAACTAAACGTCCAAAGCATCGATACTCGTTCGAGCATGTAGGCTCAACCATAATAACAAAGGCGCTGGGCCCCTCTTTGTCTTTCGCCCTGACTGCTTCTGATAGTGCTTGGTGGGCGTCGGCCCCTTTGTTACGAAATGTCTTTGTCACAATGGCTTGCAGCCGAAGCCGGACGTGTGCGGCAGCACGGTCTGCAGAAATTCGGACTGCGCCGTTGCGTGCAATCTTTGCTGACCGCGGCTAGTCTGCGATACAGCTTCGGCGGGTTGCCCTTCAATTAGCGCAATCATATCTCGAAGTACTTGGAACAATTTCACCAGTACGCAGTTCTGTCATGGCTCAGCAACAACAACCAGGCAGGCGCATCTTGCGCACACTGCGCTCAGGACCGATCCATCCTCGAGGCCCTCCGCCACCGCCACCTCCGGCTCCCGCTCCCGCCGTAGGAGAGCTGCCGTTCGATCCTCGCAATGTTCGGGAGGGTGACGTTAAAACCACCAAACGGACCAGCAAAAGACTTCCGTGGAACCTTTTCGACCGTATAATCACTCGCTGGTTAGCTCCACAATGGCAGCACTTCCTCCTCTCCAAACCTGGATTCGACGAGGACGATGACTCTCAGTGGGTTGCGCGCTGGCCTCTCGGAGAAGGTACATACGGCAGGGTCGCGCTATGGACTAGAATGGGTACAGACGGCGATGTCGAGGATGAAATTGTTATCAAGGAGTGGAAAAAGATCCGTATCGGTGACATTTTCGGTCCTCACGTCGTTTCAGAGGCTCTGTACCAGGGTCATGTGAATGCGATGAGGGATGCACACGACGTGGTAGCGGAGCTTCGCAGTTACAAGAGCTACCCAAATCAGAAGGACACAAGTAAGGATCAAGCGAGAGCGTACCTTAAATATGCACAGTACGGCACCTTGCGCAGCATGTGGTCTCGTTACAGGGCCTGGGGTCGTCATTTCCCTGAATTGTTCTTGTGGTCGATTTTCGTCGATTTGGCGCAGGCAAATGAGGCTATAACAACTTGTCCTCAGACCTGGAATACATATCACCCTCAGCGAGTGCAAGACATCCCTCGCGTCCACCGGCGCGGGGATGACAATTTCATTTTGCACCACGACCTCAAGACCCTTAACACCTTCGTCCAGACGAGATCCAAGGGACCGCAAAGAGCTTTCGGGCATCCAGCAGCAGCGATCGGCGACTTCGGTTTCAGCAGAGTCAAAGACAGTGTCGATCCTCTATTGTGTAGCAACGAAATCTGGTGGAAAGGTCGCGCAACACCGGGTTGGCTTCCACCAGAGCAGACTGATTTATCAGAGTGCTGGGCACGCGATCTGTACGGCCACAAAGATGGGACGTTTCGCTGCTCCCCAAAAACGAATGTGATCGGGATAGGGTAAGTTTCTTGCACTGTCTCATCACTCGCAGATCGCACGGGAACTGAACCAAATGAGTTCACTGTCGCTTGTCATCGTAATTCAGCGGCAAACCCTCCATATCTACTGTCAGAAGATGGTTGCTGACAAATCCTGCAGCTATATCATGTATGCAATGACAACCCTTGGTAAAGTGATCGTCCCACGACGCTGACTCGTCGCTAACCCATACCAGGCTTCACGGAGTGGATCGGGCTGCCGGTTGACGTCCAGCTCAACCGCGCCAAACAACGAGAGCTTGAGCAAAAATTCAATGAGTATCGGCAGTGAGTCCATTCCTTTCCACGTTTACAGACATAATCAGGAGGAGCATCACACTTCGGCCGCTGTCAGGGAACGGTCTGGTCAAGTGGACCTCGACTACGGATGTGTCTCGAGGTGCGGATTGCTGACAGAGATGACACCAGTGTCCTCACCATTGATCAAATGAAGGCACATAGCCGCGATGCTGCCGGCCAAGAAGTGTTCAGCGAGCGGCTGATCGAGCTAATACATCATTGTCTGCGACCGTTCGTGGAGGATCGACCATCTGCAGCCGAGCTACTGCGCGAGACCAAGGCCGGCTACAAGAGACACCGCAAAGCTGCTATGGAATCCCGGCGCGGTCCAGCGGATCTTCCTCGAGATTACAAGGTTCGGCTGACGAATGGCGAAATGAACGAATTGCAAGAAAGAGGGAACGCTTATGTACGGTTCAACGTAGACTGGCCGGCGGACCAGGAATTCTTTGACGCCTTAAGGAGGCGAGAACCCGACTGCTGCGGTGATCCGGATGATCCACCTCTGTGTCCTCCTCGCGGGCTTTGGCAAGAGTTCTACGATAATCTAGATCGTGATGATGCAGTTGTTTGGCAGAGGAACAGAAACAATCATCCTGCCGAGAACAACATGGAAGCTGACAAGGCACTTATGCACCGAGCGGACTGGTTTGAAAGAGTGGGAGACTGGGCATACGTCGCTGGTATTGGAGAGAAACCTCGTCCACGGGCTAAAAGATTGCGCGACCGGCAGGAAACCGACAACGACGATCAGGAGGTACGCAGACTCCTCAGAGTCCTTCGCACAGAGACAGCGGACTTTATCGATGACAAGCCTGTCGTACTGTTGGAGTATATCCTCAACACCGAGAGACAAGACATCGAGGCTACGGTAGATATCCTGAAATGGCTCTACAACAGGAGCCGTAAGGTGCCAGCGTGGACGAGCAAGAAAAGAGTGCAGACCATTGCCAAGGACATTGAAAAAGCCTGGAAGAAGAGGTTTCCTAACCAGAGATCGAAGCCGTCCTACAGAGAATGTTTGTACTTTGCTGGTTCAGCAGCTACTGATAACATTGGCGTCGCATTCACGCTTGAGAAGATGGCAGGTCTTCTCCGAGTCGATGAAGCAGCAGAAGACAATCCTCGAGCCGGACAGGACGATCCCGAGTACGATCTCGAATTGAATGAAAGTATACGGCTACTTCGCTCGCTTATTGCCCACGTCGCGCATGACAGGCAGCTACACATCACTCACTGGAGCGACCGTTTTCTGGCCATGATTCTCAATCAATTCGCCAGAGATGCTCACGTTGCATTCGACGCCATGAAAGCCTGCCATATACTTGAGCTTACGGTCGGCATGCAAGCCTGGATGCTCCAGACAAGACCCCGTGTCGGTTTCATCATCCCTACGCTCCAGGACTTCAGGGTTCTCCTTGCGCAGAGCGGCGATATAGCTCATCCTCTCAACTCGCGTACGCTGGTCAACGACGCGTCACTGGTGAAAGCACTTATAGATCGAGGCCTGATCCTGGATCAAGCTATGGCGCTATCAGTCGACCTGGAAGGAGCTATGGCGCTATTAGTCGACAACGGTGAATTCTGGACATTCGTGCAACAGGCAGAGGAAGAACGTCGGCAACGAGAAGAAGTGGAGCGGCGACGCGAGGAGCAAGAAGCACGCGATCGTCTTGAAGAGCAAGCACAGCAGCGAAGGGAGGAACTGCAAGCATTGGAAGAACAACTAGTGACGGAGCAACGTGAGCGCACCGAACGAGCGATAGCAGAGACGAGAAGGATAATAGCAGAAAACCGGGCGCGAGTAGCTGCGGATAATGGCAACGCCGAGAGCGAGGTGGCAGAAGAAGTCGAAGCCGCAGAAAATGCAGAGGCGGCAGAAGAGCGAGAGGTGGCAGAAGAAGGCCAGATGCCAAGAGCACCCGGGAAAAGCCCGTCGTATGCCCCGGTGAGTCCGACGCTGCCACATGAGGATGACGACGAGGATGGGGTGAGATGATAGCCACTCTACTGAATCCGGTCCGTCGTGTAGTCGGCAACTGCGCAAGCAGCTAGGAAGACTAGTTGAGTGATCTCCTCAAATGTTGTTATAAGATAAGTGGAGTCACCATGGTGCAACATAGGTCTTATGGTGCTCAGATGAACGGTGCCACGCCATATCGTTGTGTGTGCGGAATGGTTGATGCAACGGCTGATAGAGCTCATCTACATACTGCGGTCCCGCAACTGGAGCCTCAGTGCGGCCCGCTCAGAGTATACGAGGTTACGACTGGCCGTAATCTACTGGCGGTCGCCAGTATCTAGACTTGTCAATGCATAATATCTCTTTCCTTGCCCGTTGTTCGTTCTTCCTGTCCTCATCCACGTTCTGACACTATTCAACTCAACCTTGGAAGGTTGATATGATGCATCAGGCTCGCACGCGCCACCGTGTTTATACTTACCTCGGCCACCCAGTGACAACACGGGCGTGTTCAGTAATCTTTTCACGCTCAGCGTGAGCGAGTCGTCTCTGGATACCTAGGTCGAACTCCAACTGCCGACTGCACAGGCATCCCAGCTACTGTAGCTGCCCCCGAAACCTGGGCCAAGCTCAAGTTTCTCAGTTACTCAGTCCCACGACAGTCCATATCGTTCCGCCACTTCTACGGCAACAAGTCAATACTTATACCACCTTTGGGTCTCAGAGGCGACACTGCGGACACTCAACATGACCGGCGGCAAGATCGACGGCTACCTGGACTGCACGTCGCCGTATAGCTATATCGCATTCCTCCACCTTCGCAAAGTCCGCCCTTTACTAGCACAATATGGCATTGAGATAGAGTAAGGCAACTATCCCTCTCCTCGTCCCTTCCCAATGAAAGTACTGTCTTATGTCCCATTATATGCCGGAAGCATGCGACCCTCCCGCCTTGATACGTCCTCGTCAATTCCTCTTGCCACCCCGACCTGGCATGGTCGCCCATGGCGCAAAGCTCTATGCGCTCGCTTGTCTGCGACAGACTGCTATCTCCTGCTCACCACCCTCGTCTCGAAACCCGCTCAGTCACTGACACATATCCCACCGTAGACTCCACCCGGTCTTCCTCGGCGGCATCAACGTCGGCTCCGGCAACAAGCTCCCTGGACACTCCCCGCCAAAGCAAAGTACTCACCCTACGACCTGAAACGCGCCATTCTCGCCCACAATGCGCCCGAACTAGTCAGCCCACCTTTCTTTCCCATCCTCAGCATCAACCCGCAACGCGCCATGCTCGTCGTCAAGGACCGGCATCCCAACGAAGTCTTCGAGAAGTGCTGGTTGAGCACCTGGGAGTACTCATTCATCACGCACATCGACATCTCCAAGCCGGATGGCTTGAAGCAAATGCTAAGCGAGCATTTTGGGAAGGATGAGGTGGCGGAGGTGATGCGGTTGATGAGCACGAAGGAATACAAGGATAAGTTGACGAAGAACACGGAGAAGGTGTTGCAGCAGGGCGCGTTTGGGGCGCCGTGGTTCTGGGTAAGGAATGGGAAGGGAGTGGAAGAGCCGTTCTTTGGGAGTGATCGATTTGCTGTGATGTGGCGATTTTTGGGGATCGAGTTTGAGGACGTGAGGCTTCTGCCTCCTTCGAAGGAGAAGTCTAAGCTGTGATTTTCGTGTCGCAGTGGCCGGTTGGAGATGCCCGAGCCTATATGAGCTGTCTATGTATGATCGTTCTCAAACCCTTGATGATGGAGGATGTGTTGGTAAGCATTCATCAAATGGAGATGAGTCACTTGTGGAAGCGAAGTAACCAGTAAACATTTACACGACCATTCCATCTACTAAGTATCTTCTTGACAATGTACAGCACCACTCTCCCTCCAACAGAACTACCTAACCACACCGTCCTTGCCCTAAACCAGGAGCTCAGTGCACCATTGCAGCCTTCTGAGCCTGCTGCACGACCCTAAGCCGAATCCCAGCATCCGCTAGCTCGCTCACCTCCTCGCCATCCTTCAGCAATCCCAACTCCTTCAGTCTCCTATTTTCCTCTTCCAGCATCTTCTCTGTCTCTTCACTCTCTCCGGCACAATCAACTCCCGCTCCGCCGTGATCTTCCAGTCCTTGAAGTGCGTTTCAGGCGCATTGTCCCCTCCAACAGCCTGCATAGTCTTGAGCTCCACCAATGAATACTCCTCCGGCTTACCAGGCCGAGAGAACTGGAACGGCTCGTTGTTGCTCACGGGCGGGTTGGTGATGATCCTGATCTGTCTCGCCCCGTTCTTACTTGCAGAGTGCAGCATGAGCGGGTGCAGGAGGATGACATCGCCCTTCTTGCCGGTCATCTCGTGGAAGGTCTCGTCGGGACATTCCTTGATCACGTCGATGTAGGCTTTCAGTGTGGTGTAGCCAGCGTCTTCAGAGCGAGGGCCCATGCGTGGAGTGAGACCTTCTGGATGGTCGTAGAGTAGTTTGCCGATGCGGGCGGGGCCTTGGTCGCAGATCCAGGTCGCGCCGCCGTTGGGGTGGACGTCTGACCAGCAGGGGATAACGAGCAGGGCTTGCTCGGGTGAGTCGAGGAAGTGGATGAAGAAATCGCCGTCGACGTGCCCTGTTGAGTCAAATCAGTATTGCACATTTCCCTCGGCATTGGATCTTTTTCCTTTCATCGTCCGTCCAGTATTGCAGTCGTTTGTCATCAGGAAAGTACGGAAACGGGAGAAGACCTTACAGTTATCCAAATCCTTCGGTGCGATCTCCTTTCCTTCGCCCTCCGGACTACCCAAGTTCACAATGAACCCATCGCTCCACGTTCGTGCCGACTCATGGACTCGGTCTTCGCCGCCGCAGAGATCGCAGATGGCGGTCCATGCCGTAGGTGCTACCTCGCTGACAGGTATGCGCTTGCGCGAGGGCATGTTTGTGCGTTCGGCATGCCATGTGGACTTGTCATTGGGGTCCCTGGCAGTGACGTGAGTAGGAGCATGTGACAGCGAGAGCTACTAGTGGGCATGGAAAGGAGCTCAGCCGACATGAGTAGCAGGATTGACCAGACAGTGGAGAGAGGCCGGCTTGTCTGAGACAAGCAGATGGACCGGACTGCTTGCTCCTACCGTAATTCCAGCAAGAGCAAAGCCTGTCGCACGACTTGTGGCATGCTCGATCGCTCACCCCTCTCATACACACAGCTCAATCCGCTATCGACCACAAAGAAGTGACAGGAAAAGCCAACTTACATTCCCAACCTATTCCAGACATCCTTGCACCAGGCGTCACCCTTCTCCGGAATGATGGCACCCGGAAGCCGCAAAAAGCCATGTTTCATGAACGAGTCGATCTGTTCCTGAGTCAAGACCTTGGGTTTCTGGTGACCCAGGAGTTCTGTGATAGTAGACATTGCGATGCTGAAATGTTACTTTGATTGAGTCTGGATGGGGTGTAGGCGCTTGGCAGGTGATTGATGAGAGATAGGAGTCTCCGTGGCCTTGAGACGGCTGTGTGTTAACTTGAGAGTAGGCGATGTATGCTTCGTAGGGCCAAGCAAGTGTCTTGGACGGATTGTCTGGGCAAGGAGGTGTTGTAATCGTTGCAAGCAAGCTTGAGTATGTGATGTACGAAATGTTATAAATGTGTACCTAGTCCTTCAGATCTCGAAACTGCCTCTAGCAAGCGTATTGAACGAGAATGACAGTGCGAAATGAGATATAAGTACAGAGCAGAGGACAACTAGGTGAGCACTGCAACAAGAAGACATCAACCTGCGAGTCCCTCACTTACAAATTATATACCTACCTTTAGCGCTTGACATTCCCGAACGAGCGTCTCGCGCTCTCGAAAGTCGGACATAGTGCCGGCCAGATATTCGTCCTTCTATCTCGGAATACCGGGTCATCGTTCCCAACGAAACGATCGTGTCCTGCTCGTGGGCATGAGAGTCTGTCAGCTGGTCATGAAGTCCGGTTAAGCATCGGGTATGGGGATTTAGGCTGAAGTGAATGAGGGGATTCCTCCACGGGACGGGTTGATGATGGGTGGAGATGGCATGGCATGGGGGACGAGGGGTGACTCGGTGCCTCATGCATCCGAGATGTCCTGTATCAAGTTGCCGAGCTCAGGCGTCGACGTCGGTTTTATCATAAATCCTGGCCATGCCTCCTCATTATCTTCTTTTGGGCTGGAGCAGGCGGTGTGTCATCCAGTCTGGGCCGGGCGGAGTTGCCATAGACGGCCTGATGGATGACGAGACGGACTAGAGCAGGAGATACGGCTCGCAGGCGAAGATGCTACTGGAGCGGCAGGAATTGCCATAGACGGCCCCGCGGTGGACGACACGGACGAAAAGGACGTCCATGAAGTAGCGGCGCTGAGGTTTTGAACATTCGGTATCGTCAAAAAGAATGCCGCCGAGGAACAAGTCCGAGCGGTGAACGACGATTGATTTCAATGGGTCCACGAGAGGTACGTCAATGATGCTAGGTCATGGGGAGTCAGCAAGCTGCACATAGGCATACATAGAGCACTGGAGCCTCTATGCCCAGCCAGTGTTGGATTTCAGATCGATTATATCTTGCACATCTACAGCAGCGATAGCGAGGTTGTCCTCTGCCACATTTCGAAATACACCCCCCGAAGGCTTCAACAGAAGCAAAGCCAGACAATGGGTGCACACACATATGACTGCAAATACCAACATATCTCACTGCGCAAGTATGGCAAATTTGAAATATGGTAATATCATTCGACAGATGTTGTACAAAGGAAAGAAAAAAGGATCTGTGAGGAAATTGGGAAGAGCCAGGACTACATACACTGATTTTGAAGCGCACATGTCACGAAGTACCGTGGGTGAGTCACTGGGCAGCCAAGAGCTGTGAGTCAACATATGGACAAGAAGTCAGCTGTGTCAACTTCTTCAGACTCTGATGTCCGCTCCGCCCCTCCACATGCCGCCTGAGAATTGACCAGAGTATATCCAAGCAACGGGAGGAAGCACCCTTACTCTGGTCATTTCTCAGGCGGCAGATAGGTTCGGTCTGAGATCCAGCCCTCCTACCTCAGTACCCGGCCGACATGTTGTGCAGTCTGGGCGGCAGGTACGTTTAGAGAGAAGGAATCAATGATGAGGCGTCCCTTCCGACATCTGTTCTGTGTGAATGAAGGCAAGCACCCCAGAGTTAGAGATCGAGGAGCGACAGCATCAATGTTATCATTCACGCTCAAGTCGTGCTCTAAGTACAACCGTATTCATCCCTAGTTTTGGTAAACTTCATCCCATCATCACTCATCACAATCACCAATCGTCATCATCCTCCTTCCTGCTTCCACTCATCGCAGTCTGTCTCGCCCTCAATGCCTCTGCCAGCCCCCCGCTAGACTGCCTCCGCCCATACTATTGGGCGTGCTTCTGCCGCTGTTACCCGCGCTTCCACCGCTCGCCGAATTCAGCGTACCTAGACTGCCCAAACTAGCGCCACTATCTCTTGCTGGCGCTGGTGGGGGTACGGGCTTCCTTGCGCCCGCAGCAGGCCGTTTCGCTGGTGGTGCTGGAGGGCCAGGCTTGGCACCGTTGACTGCGACTTGTGGAACAGCTCGGGGCGGTGCGGAAGGTGGAGGCGGAGGTGGAGGAGGTGCTGCGCGTGACTGCTCGATCTCTTCGACATACGCGGCCGGTGCCCAGCCTTGGGACTGGTCGGCGGGATTCTTGCATAGCCACCAGCCTGAGTGATTGTCAGCGACGATATACATGAGAAAATACTGGGAGGGGAAAGCTTACCATTGTTCTCCTTCTGAACGATCTCCACGATCTGGCCAACCTTGATCGACAGCTCGTTCGCGTTCGGAGTCTGGAAGTCATACTTGACCTTGGCTTGTGGCTTGCCGGATGGCACTGCAGCAGGCGCGCTGTGGTGGGGGAGGTGGTGGTGGCGGTGCTGCTCGTCCGGCGGACTCATTGCGGATATGTGTTGCGATGCCGTTGGCCGCAGGCGTTGGCCGCGCTGCAGGTGTAGGTCGTGGTTGCGCCGCAGCAGGAGAAACGCCACGTGCGGCCGGTGCAGGCGTCTGGCGAGGTACGGCAGCAGGTTTGGGACGGTTCTTGGCTGGCTGTCCACCTGGTCCGCCCGGACGAAGTAGTTTCCCTGTTGTGATCGGACGAGCCACAGCTTTCCCGCGAGGTGTTGGTCGTGATTGAGATTGCGGACTCTCACCAGGACCTACATGTATGGTACCTGACTTGTATGTATCGTCTCGCGGGACAGCTGGATCTTTCACGACCTTGACAATTGTTGGCTTTCCGGGCTTCTTGTTGTATTCGACACCGTCACCAATCTTCAGGTTCATGCCGCCGACGGCTACTGTCCTGAATTGCAGGAAGAACTCGGTCTTGAATGGGCAGTTGATCAATGGATCGGGTTCTTGAGCAGAGCCAACGCCAAGTGCAAACCAATCGTCCCGGAGTGTTGAGCACGAAATGTACTTGATAGCTCCAATCGGGATCGTTCGCTCCGAAGAGATCTGTAGCTGATTGTTGATGACAGCCTGCACGATGATGTAGACGGCCTTGTTCGTGAGGACCAGTATCCGGGGCATAGGTTTCGAAGAGCGACCGAACTTCGCTACCAACAGCTCACATCGCGCTGAGAAGACAGCGCGTTCTTGTGAATTCAGATTGATGGCATTGCGAAGCGTTCCACCAGCACCTCCTGGCATATTGAGACCAAGATAATCACCGAAGAACCGTCTCGAGCCGAGCAGACTGTATCTGCGACGCTCTTTCCGGCCTTGCAGCTGTCTGGTACCTTGGTCTCTGAACTCAATCTCCTTAACACCAGACTTGGACTTGCGCCAGAATCGCTGAATACGTGTGGCTGCTTCGGCACGATATCGGAGGTAGTTGCGCCACGCTCGCTGAATCCTGACTGCCATGTTGTGCCAGTATCGATCTCGCATGTGCTCTAGCCCAAATAGTGTTTCTGGAGTTTTGATGAATGCTTTTGTGGTACCCATCTGCCACTCTTCTTTGGGAATACTAGTATCTTCGAAGATGATCTTAGACGCTGTTCTGACGTCTCCAGTATATGTGTACTCGCCAGCGTATGACAGTCGTGGTGATAGGAGGGCGAATCGCTCCACGAACTTGTCGAAAGTTTGACGGTAAGCAAAGCCTGCTCGTCGAATGCGGACGTTTTCTTGCAGACCCAAGTACTTGATCTGATGCATAACGTTGGCTTCGTTGTACTCCTTTGGCGATTTGTTCTCGTTAGGCTTAATCGTGCGGATGTATGAGGGCGTTGCTTGCATCAAAGTGTCGACAAGCTCATTCGCGGACTGCTTGATCTTATCGCCAGCAGTCGGTGGTCGTCGCTTGTCGTCCTGGTTGACCTGATTGGGGAAGAGCTCGTGAACAAATGAATTGCCACTTGCGCCAATCAGATTCAGAAGGTCTTTCAGCAGCTGATCTTTGTTCTTGTCTGTCATGCCTTGCACAGCATAATGGACATCACCAGCATAATGTTTCACGATGAATTGTCCTTGTCGGTTCTCGAAATGAGGGTTATTGGCCAGGAAATTCAGTCGACCAACAAAGGTCTGGTCCGCGGCACCAGAATCAGCGTGAGCCGTGGCACACGCGTCGTTTAGTGCTGCAAAGACACCAGGTGGCTTCTTGTCCTCTATCAAGGAGCACACGACCTTGTTGTCAAAGTACTGAATCGGAGTCCACTGGATCTGCTCGCGGGCGTACTCTTCCTGCTCTGTCTTCAACGTGAGCTGAATGAAAATCTGCTGCAATTTCTCATTGACGTAGTTGATGCATAGCTGCTCGAAGGAGTTTTTCTCGAAGATTTCGAAACCGTAGATATCCAGAATACCGATCGTGTTCTTCACCACACCCTGGGATTTGAGCGAGACGTTCGTTCGTGCCACAATCCAGTCGAACAAGTGGAAGTAAAGAGCCATCGCTAGTGCGTCTCGGACTGCGTTGGCCTGTACCATGTTCAGCGGCGATTCGTAGACCGAACCTCGTCTGCCGCCTCCTCTCGCGGTCTCAACGATTCTGATTGTAAGGGCTTTGTTGACGTGTGCTGATTCTGTTTCCAGCAGGTATGCCACAAAATCGACAACTGACTGGTCTGCGATATCAACACCGCCCTGATCATTTTCGCGGAATGTCACATTTCCGAGCCACAGAATAGCCGCCAGCACACGGAATATGTTGTCTTGCTCCGGCTTCGATAATCCTATGATCTTCATAGCCTGGATCGTCTCCGCAAAGTCTGCGGTGTCGTCGATACCCTGTACGTCGTAGCATTTCGATCGACTCGTATATAAGTATGACTGCGGCGTCTGCACACCAAAGATCTCGCGGTATTCTTTCGAGGCGGCCTTTGTGAACTGGTAGAAAATGTGGAAGTTGCGTTCATTCTGCGTCTGTCCGACTACTCGCGTCTTCTCGAGGAGGTAATTTGTGATCTTTGCACCGACTGGCTCGCCCTGCTCGTTGAACTCGAGCTCGAGGTATTTACCGAATCGTGAGGAATTGTTGTTTCGCAATGTCTTAGCATTGCCAAATGACTCGAGTAGAGGATTCGTGGCCAGGACCATGTCCTTCGTCCGCTGAATGCGTGAATCCGTTCCGCCCGAGACACTGGCAATATACTGCATCAATCGCTTTGCAGCTTCTGTCTTGCCCGCACCGGACTCGCCTGAGATGATAACACACTGGTTGTCCTTGTATGCCTTCATGTTATAGTACGCAGACTCGGCCACTGCAAAGACGTGTGGCGGGACCTCCAGCCTGTTCCGGCCCCGATATGAGTTGAGGACATCATCGGTGTAGATGCCCAGATCTCGGAATGGATTGACTGAGACCAGCACATGGCCGATGTAGGTATAGATCTCGCCGTGCTCGAAGCGCTTCTTCAGATTGTCGTTGATGGCTTCGTTCGACACCTTGCTAAGCAGTGTCAAGTCTGACACTCCGACCTCTTTCTTCTTGGTTATCTCGAAGGCGGCCTTCTTGATCTGAGGCTGACCGCTTCCGCCCGCATCGTTGGACCTGCCTCCGCCGAAGAGCGACGACTTGGGCGCACGGGACTTGCCATCGCGACGTTTCGTTTGACCCTGCGAGTGCTGTCAGAACCAATGTGTCACTGCGATGGCTCGAGGGCAGCTTACCATGATATGTGGTCGCTCTAAGTCATGAGAGGGGTGCTATGGGTATTGGGGACGTCTGAGCGCAAGTCTGCGAAAGCGATCAAGGAAAGAGCGTCGCTAGGAAATACAATTGACAGCAATAATGGAAGCGACAAAAACAATTCTCGCAATCCGGCCAGGCACTGACCGGGAACGATGAGGCGTACCTTGTCAGAGGTATGATGTAGCGGGGCCAAGATTTAGAGCGGATGCGGATGGCTGCGGCGTTACGAAAGCACAGCCACCGACACGCAATCACTTCATCTGCATTACACTGCCGCCTAGGGAAGAATCTGATTGACCGCGCGTGTGATAGACAGAAGGCGTAGTCATTCAAGCTGAGACTATCTGTAATCGTGCAGCCTGCTAAGAGAGAAAGATCTGCTCAACATCCCGCTCGTCGCCACCCACTAGACTGCCGCCAGCCATTCGTCCTCCCAAAATTCGATCACGTCTTGCGCAACGGCAGGCGGCAGGAAGTCTTGAATCAACGCACGCCCCTCAGCGGTCCTTGTGCCTGCTTCTAGTTCCACGACATTAGGAAACACACCCTTTAGCATATCTACCTCTTGGACAGTGAGGCGCTTAGAAGGTGCTGATGCAGTCGCACTCGCTATGAGGTCGTATTGTGGTCGAGGAACGGGAGTGCTCTCGAGTGAGGTGACATGCTTCTGTAGGCAGGCGCGGACCGAATCAATGCTGTCTGCTGGGATTATGCTGAGACCTGGATATTTGAAGCATCTTCCAGTCAGCCAAAGAGAGCGTAAACCGAGAAGTAGGACACACATCATTTGCAGTTGACTCATGGCGTTCAGGAACTCTGCAGTCCCCGGGAAGGTCTCTGTGAGAAGGACGACGATCTTAACGGCATGAGACTCAACTGGTGCTGCAACGAAACGTTCCACTTTCTTCTCGACATTGGTACCGTGCATGTGTGAGGCAGCTATCGTGATGGCACCAAATGCTGCTCGTCGATGCCCGGAGTCGAGGTCGACGAGCACCGGTGTATCGAGGCCTGCTTGCACGGATGAGGAGTGCTCCATGACTTTCTGGTCGGTCAAACGTTACCTGTAACACTTTTCCACACAGGTCTGGCTCGATGACTTGGAAGACTCATCGTTATCGATGCAAATCAGAAGTTGGGTATTTTGTATCTACATCAGAGTTGAGGTGATGTACAGAAAGGCCTGGCGGCATTCCCGGATGCGGCAGCCACGTCTGTTGTCATGATTTGCTTCCCGCTAACAGGCCCACTGACTGTTCCGCCTGCTCAGCATCCCGTTGCTTTCGTTTCGTCTCCATTGCCTTGTCCGCTTGTACCAGGATGGATTCTGCTGGACCTGGTGCGTTGTTGGCCAACCTGTCCTTAGCGTCCTTTTCGTCATTTGCCGTGGGTGTGTCACGATTGATGAAGGACGCAATTCGAGATAGCCAGCCCTTGGATATCTCTTCGTCTTCCTCCTTTGGCTCGTAAACCTCCTTGGGCAATATTCGCTCAGTGTTGGGGATATTGTGCTTCGCCCTCAAATGCAGCACTTCTCGTTCCAGTTCCACTAGTGCTTTTCTTGCTGCGGCTTCCGACTCTTCTAAATCGTTCAGACGATCCTGTACAACATCTCTTCGTGCAGAATCTTTTCTCCGAGACCGCCATGATTCGAACAAGATCAACGATGCTGCCACGCCAAACAGAAATGTCTCTGATATGAAATTGGCGCCGGATTCAATGGCTTTCGCTTCTGATAGAGGCCTGATCCTCGGCTCTTTTGGTTTCGGTGTCTCTGCAGGCTCTTTTGCGGCCTTTGCGGCGGCTGCATCGTCAGCTTTGGTCTGTGCTTCAGTCTTGACGGTGGGTGCTTCGTGCTTGTGTCGCTTGGCGAGCTCTCGTGCGGAATCTCGTTGGGCCTGCTTTTCGATCGCTGCTGCGTCCTGTAATAGTCCTAGTCGCCATCTCATGTCTACTCTATGCAGTTTCTGGGCAAAGCCAATGCAGGTATTGCGAAAGCGCTCATGTTCGCGAGCTTGTCGCTTAATGTAATTCTGGCTAAATCAGCTACCTACCATCAACGTACAGGACTGAGCTCACAGCTATGGGCTTCGATAGAGTCCTTATGGCGAGCGACGTGAACTTGAGAGCCAGAGACATGGCGACTGCGGTCCAAAGGTCATCCCAGGCTCCTGTGACAGACTACCATCCCGACTCGATCAGCGATGTACAGACCAGGCTCACCACATCATTCCCGCAATTCGCAGTCTTGACGAGTAGCTCGACTGTTGAGGCTCGATTCTGTACTGATCACACGAGCCTTATATCTTTACACAGCACGTCCACGACTACTACCTGCAAGTGCAAGTGACTGACGTGGAATATAACGCATGCCGTTTCCGAGAGGTCCCCAGAGTGCAACCAATCGGAGAAGGGCAGCAGTCCTCGAACATGCCAATCCCAATGTGGCTAAACCAAAACAATACGGCAAGTACTGTACTACATCACTCTTGCCCATTCATTGATACTGGTAACTGCAGCAAGAGCTTTGCGACAGTCGATCAGCACCATTTCACTCACATTGCCCGCGAAAAGACTTTCGGCAAGGACCAGAACATCCTTCAGGCAATGTCAATACTGCATTGTTAACCACCTCTGACCCCACAGGCGGGCATAGCAACCGCTGCCCACAGTGATCGCCGCCAATGGAGGTCTTGTCACCGCGATCAGCAAATGTACCTCCAAACCCTCGACCAGAGAAGATGAAGAAAGCTTCGAGACCGAAGCAAGAAGAGAAGGTCACAGTAAAGCCAGTCCCATCGAAACAAGTCAACCCGGACCGCATAGACGAGAAATGGCGACCGCCAGCCTCTGTATCAGAGCCCGCGCCAGGCACAGAGACATACATTCCCGGCAAGAAGCTCGGAAAGGGAGGGTTTGCTGTCTGTTTTGAAGGCCAGTCTACTAAGACCGGCAAGATCTTTGCTCTCAAGGTTGTCAAGGCCAAGGTCGAACAGAAGAAGATGATGGAGAAATTTCGTACAGAATTGCAGATCCATGCGAAGATGAATCATCCCAATATCGTCGACTTTCTACGAGCTTTCACCTTGGATGATCACACCTACGTCGTGCTGGAACTGTGCTCCAATGGTAATCTGACTGATATGGTGAGGGCAAGGTCTTGTCTGAGTCTCCCGGAAGTCCGACGATTCTTGATCCAGATCTGTGGAGGAGTCCGCTACATGCACAAGAGATCAGTCATACACCGAGATCTGAAGATGGGCAATGTCTTCCTCGACGAGCACATGAATATCAGAATAGGCGACTTTGGTCTTGCTGCAGTCATGGTGGACGCACAGGATAGACGGACGACTCTTTGCGGCACTCCAAATTACATCGCTCCGGAGATACTTAGCAAGTCAGGGGCAAGAGGACACGACAACAAAGTCGACACGTGGGCCATCGGCGTCATTGCTTATGCCATGCTGGTAGGCACACCACCTTTTCAATCGAAGACACAGCAGGAGATCTACACCAAACTCAGAGCATTAGAATACGAATGGAAGATCGACTGCAAGAACTACATCCCTCAGCAAGCAAAAGATTTCGTGGCGGCTTGTCTGAACCTGGACTCAGCTGAGCGGCCGGAGATGGACGATTTGGTCGAGCACGACTTCTTCAAAATGGGTGTGGTCGCTGAACCACTGACCACTTCTTGTCTGAAGCACAAGCCTGACTGGCTCCTAAGTGCCGACCCAAGAGGAGACAAAGTTCAGCCGGGATATGGTCTCAATTACTCTCAGTTGTGTAGAGCTGCTGGCGTCGGACGAAGGGCTGACGGGAGCTCTCGAGTGGGCGTTGGCGGGAAGCACACCATGTCGACTCTCGTCGAGATTGAAGCCGAGAACCAATTGGGCTCCGCGCCTACGGTACCTCTACCCGAGGGCATATTATACAGTGCCATCACTGAAGCTCAAGCCGAACAGGCTCGTCAACAACAACACTCAGGACTGCCCATGAGAGTGAGAGGACGAAAGCTTCTGCTCGGTGATATGGAGCGCATACCCGAAGAATCTAATGCGAGCTCCAAACCAGCGACAATGACCGTTCCCGGTCGGGCAGCAGCCCCAGTCCCGAGCTTTGCCGCAACGCAACGACAGCAGGCTTTGCCATCGAGGCAACGGACAGCTCCTGTCGAGCCAGCAAGAGCAGCCTCGGATGACAATCCCCAGACCTCAGAAGGGCTCCTTCGCGCACGACCAATGCGCGCAGCTAGCGTCAGAACGACTCGCAGCACAACGGCAACATCGCAAACGACTAGAGCGTTGCCAAAATCGAGCACTCTTCCTACTGCACTTGATGTGGTGGCAGCCGAGGCTCCCGAGCGGCCCTCTTCGAGAGCAGCAACAATCGGTCGGAGCGACAGACTGCCAGCCCCTGCCTCCCGTAGTCTCAAACTTGCCTCAAGAGGGGATAATGCAACAACCAGACCAGCATCGGTCATGGCCCGATTTTCCGACGACATCCCAACTGTTTCGAAGACAGATACAACGGTGAACGTCCAACAGAAGCATTCTGATGACTCTGGTGCGTCGAAAACAAGCGCTAGTAAGCTGTCTCCAGATGCTCGGGAGACCAAGAGAGCACTGATCTCGCCCAATGAGCCATTCACCTTGGTTGACAACACGGCCAATCGATTGGTTCTGTCTGCCCTTCAGGACCTGCATGATGTCCTCAATCCTCGTCAGATAGAGACCTGTCAGCCGCGTCAAGCAGTCGGAGATTAAAGGCCAGAATTCCACATCCTCGAGTTGATAAATGGGTCGACTATTCAGGCCGACATGGAATGTCATATCTGCTCACCGACGGCACCATGGGTATGATCAAGAAGCAGACCGATCCAAGTGAGACTGGCGGCTGCATCGTGATTCGTGATGCCAAAAGCCACGCTGTGAAGCGTGCTAGGGGCCAGACCTCGCAGATTGTCCCACAAGGAAAACGAATTCGGCCCATTGAGTTCTACGTGCAGAGCCACGACAATATCCAGAAGCTGGAAGTGCCATCACAGACGTTCTTTCTTGATACCAAAACGTTCAGCAGCCAGAATGAGGCGGTCGCAGACGCCCAAAGGGGAATGGTTGGCAGCGAACTTGAGCGATTCAAAGAGATCAACCTGCTGGACAAGCTCGGTCGGTATATGAACAAAAGAGAAGTCGAGGATGGTACTGACCATGATCTCGTGGACGATAACACCTCGAACAAGCACAGTGAGCACTTCATCCATTTCTTCCAACGTCTTGGCAACGTAAGCGTTTGGCGCTTCGTCAATGGCGCCATGCAGTTCAACTTTCCAGATCACACGAAGCTCATCATCTACCAAGACACTGGAGTGCGGTCGACTTCCGAACATTGCATTGATATGATCTACCTGGAGCCCAAGGACGCCATCGATGTCGCTAAGTACGGCCGCCTGACTCGAGATGCACTGGAGAGAAGAGACCAGATGACGGTGAGCTTGCTGGACATCATGAGGGGCGAAGGCCTGCGATCCAACGAGGCAGAGATTGTTCGAACGAACGAGATCCAGGAAAAGCTGCAGTGGATTCGCGCGGTGCTCTCCATCTGGATCCGAGAGGGCGGCGTTGGCTTCATGGGCGAGGAGAAGCTGGGCTGGACAGGGCTGCAGGAGAGGAGAGATGATAAGAAGAATGTGATGCAGTGGGTTACGGTTGGGAAGCTGGGCGGTGATGCGTGATGATGCGAGCAACAGAATGACTTTGAATGAGGTGCTGGCGTGTGGAAGGAGTATGTGCACCTCCGAAGGCCTGGGATGTGTGCACAGCATATTGTACGACTTTATGATGTATGGCTTGGCGTCTGAGTTAGGAGGCCTGAGGTCCGAGTCGCGGTCGTCGAGATGAACAGCTACATGTTTCTTCCGTCAGTCGAATGTTGTTGCTTTGCCGGAAGCGTTCGTAGCGGTACAGTTTGATGACTAGACGTTCGCGTGTGAACGGCCGCGACCAAAAAGCCGCTAATCGTACAATCTTACACCCCGTATGGTGTCTTTACGCAAACGCATTGCTTTCGTACATATGCTTCGCATATCTTGCTATCGTCCAACCAATTTTGGGCGAGACGCCTGTCGCGTGGTCACGTTGATCGTGTCCTGTGAACTTGAAGCGTTAACAGCACTTGCCTTGTCCTGCTGCCAAGCCTGCCGTCGGCAAAGCGCCGCCAAGAGACATGCCAGTAGCCGTCGCTCTCGGAGGTAAGGTCGGACGATTACGAGATGACGATGACGATGCTGGTGCGGAATATGGTGTGATTCGTACATATACTTGGGCTTGCTGACATCCGTGGTTGGTACATTCAGTGAATGCGACAATCTCGTTTTGAAGGGAACCTGTGCAGCAATACCGGACCAGACTCAGAACCTGTAATCGAGCCTCCCATCTCAAAAGTAAGGAATTGGCATTTCGACCAGCGCCGTCTGTCAACGGTCCAGTGATAGCTGTATCCTGCAGGCAAGGCTCTCTGGACACTTCTGGGTGGCGCTCACGTTCACTCACAGCAAAGACCATGGGAGGCGGCCCGGAAAGCCCAGAGAGGCAGAATGGCGAGCAGGAACTGGAACTGCTGGTGACGCTTCCGTTGCCTGAAATGCCGGCACAAGTCGATATCTTGAAGCGCAAGTTTCCGAGTATATCGAAGGTGACATGGGTGACGGCGAGTAAGCTGGCTGATGCGGAGGATAAGATTCGAGGTTAGTGATGAGGTCCTTTTCTTTTTTTCGGTCTGTGTTGAGTGGTGGAGTGCGGGTTGGTCAGGAACGGGTGAGCACCTGCGCGAGGTGAAAAGGTCATGCAGCTCGTGGGCGCTACGGTCTGCTTCAAGGCGGAGTGGGCAAAGGCAGGCTGTTGGAAGTGTATCGTGACGACCGTTCTGTAGCTCAGAGGATCGAGGCATATGAGCAGGCGCGACGCATGTAGACCGGGCAGAGGCCGGGGACGGGGCAGGTGTAATGGTCTCACAGCCAGCGGCATGGACGAAGAGCAAGGTAGTCGACGACTGAGTTGGGATCGCTTTCAAGAGAACAATGCTAATTTGCTGGTGTGCGTGTGCACAGAAGCATGGAAGACAGCGACCTTTGTCGTGACTCTGGGGATCGTTCCCGAGAAGAAGGAGGATGTGCCGAAGTGAGTCTCTCCTGCCTTTCTAGCAGTACTTGTTCTCGCCCGGCACGTGCTACCTAGGTTGCCAAACAACCGTCACTTCCGTCTTACGATCTTTGAGTCATGTGAACAAGAAAGTACGATCGGGATACTGACAAAGCCTCTTCACAGACTTCGCCTCCTACACATCTTCTCCGCCGGCATCGATCACCTAAACGACAAACCGCTCTTGACCTCCCCATCCCTTTCCTCCATCGCGGTCACAACGTCGTCCGGAATTCACGGCCCGCCCATCACCGAATGGGTCCTCTCATCCCTCCTGGCTCTAACCCGCGAGACCTTCACTGTGCACCACTGGCAGCGCGAGCACAAATGGGGCGACAACAAACAGATCTTTCACAAAATGAGCGATTGGGCTGGCAAGACTATAGGCATTGCGGGCTACGGAAGCATTGGAAGGCAGGTGGCTAGAGCGTTGGTGGGACTGGGGGTGAAGGTGCATGCTTATACGAGTCGGGCAAGGAAGACGAGTGAGGCGAGGAGGGATGGTGGGTGGATTGTGGGTGAGAAGCAGGGGTGGGGACTGGGGGATAGGGAGGGGACGTTGCCGGTGGCGTGGTATTCGGAGGAGGATGGACAGGGTGGAGGAGAGAAGAACAAGAAGGCCGGTCTGCATACTTTCCTGAGAAGTGGGCTGAGTGCTGTGGTGGTGAGTCTGCCGCTTACAACAGCGACAACGGGGTTGTTTGGGAAGGAGGAGTTTGAGATCCTGAGGGATGGCGTCAAGGCTGCTACTGCGGCTCAGCCGGATGTCACAAAGCCGGAGATCGATGCCGCGGGGTGCTACTTTGTGAATATTGCACGAGGGAAGATGGTCGAGCAGGATGCTCTGATCGAAGCGCTCAATACAGGCGTGTTGAAGGGCGCGGCGCTGGATGTTACGGAGCCCGAGCCGCTGGGTGAGAACAGCAAGCTGTGGGATGCAAAGAATACTATCGTGAGTCCGCACATCAGCGGGTTGGGGCGTGAGTACGCAGGCAGGAGTTTGGAGATTGTGGTAGAGAATATTGGGAGGTTGTTGGGCGGAGCGAGCGGAGGTTTGGTCAACGAGGTCACACGAGGTAGGGGGTATTGAAGCAACGCCTTAGACTAGAGACGTGTGGCGGCCAGCCTGGACAGAGCGCTAAGATAACTGGCAAGAAAGTGGGGCTGTAGATACACATGGTCGATTGCACATCTGGCGATGAATATATTCTCGAATAGCAATCAGCGATGGCGCGTTCCACGTCTGCATTCGTTGAGGACGTCTTGCTTGCCTGAACATGTCCCAGAGTCTTCGATCATTTCATCTAAAGAACTTGCTGCAGTGTGTCTGTTCATGGTGGCCATGCCTCGCGTTCCGTAGCTTTTATCCTGGTACCGTTGTTCATACGTAGTAGTGGCGAGCAACCAGAGGTATTGTCAACCGGCGTGCTCTGCGGCCTTTTCAATCGCACAAGCTTGGTCGTCAGTTCCATCCGTGACGGCCAAATTGCATTTGGGAGTGGCAAGAGCCATCAGCGTCGACCGGACTGCAATGAGACCATCCTTCCTTCACTTGCCGGTCATCCGGTCTGGAGTGAGCCGCCCCTTGCCATTCTTGTCATCCGGTCTGGTACAATACCACCCAGGATCAGACATCGCAGCCAGTGGTGTGAAGTCCCTTTACTTCTACCGCGACAGTGTCGTGGTCAGAGGGGGAACTACCGAGCTGCAATTGCCGCTGCTAGCCCAGATCGCCGTTCCCTTCCACGGTCTGCCTCAGAAGCATGTGCTGTAACTATTCCACCCCAGGATCCCAACACAGTACGGCTTCGGATTCGCGCCAGTGTTACGACACTCGCAATACCGATCGCACTCCTTGTCTGTCTTTCCACCGTCTAAGATATCCGGGTTGGCATTCGCGTCGCAGCTGTACCGGTAGGGGCGGCTGGTGCAGCGGCGGGCGAGGGGGACGTCGTCGATTTTAGGGGATTTGGGGTCAGTACGATCGGACGGGGAGAAACACATTAGGGTGTAGTCGTGGCGTTTGTGGAAGTGGGCGTGGTGATGAGTGTGTTGCGGTGTGTGATGGTGGTGAGGTTTGAGAGAGGCGTCGGTGGCGTTGACTGTTGCTTCGACTGGGGCGAGGAGAGCTGATATGGCGGGAACGTTATGGCGTCCTTCGAGGTGCGAGACTACTGGAGAGACTGACAGGACTTGGGTCGGGACTGGCAGGGCGTGGCTCAACTGAGCGAAGAGGAACAGGGAAGATGAGATGGCCAAGGCGATGGCTCTGCTCAGGAGGAAACGCATTTCTGAGGATGAGACGTGTATGCGTGGTGATTCCTTACTGTCGTTGCAATTCGGAACTGCGAGGATGCCTCTGCTTGTTGTGATCTGATGCGATGGTTGTGTCTGGCGCCCTCTAGTGTGGTTTAAAGTATCGGGAGTTGATGTTGTGGTCTATGTTGGTGTTCATGGGTTTTGTATTCAAACAGATGCCTGCTGGCCGCTGCCTGTATGCCTAATGCGAAATTGCCAGGCGGCCTGTGAAGCTATCGCCTGATCATGTCACTTGGTGAAGCACGAATTCATTCGGCGACGCTTGTGAGTGAAGGGGTCGGAGAACGACACTCACTTGTAGCCTATCGTCAGAATTGCATGATCATCACGGCACCAGACTCTTCTAGTCCTCTGACGAACCGAGATCTTTGACTGACAGTCTGAGCCGTCAGTGCGATGGCTGAACGTGGTGCTTCTTTCGATTGGAGCAAAGATTGCGAAATCTGCGTTCCGAGCAGTAGCACCCATTCAAAAGCCATGTCCGTCGATAGTAACGGTGCTTCGTCGTTCGCGTCGTCAATTCGGTGGCCGCTGTATGTAGGATGCCTCTGCCAAGACATGGAAGAGGTCTGTGCTCCTCTCCGGTCAAGCCCGCCTCGGGTTCACAAAGAAACGCTTGCGGTGGACTCTAGAAGGCTTACCTGACAAAGACTGCGTCGGATTTCAGCTGAACTATTGCACAGCACCTTCCGTCATAGCATGGTCATTCCACATCGATTTGGACTCATGCTGTGTCCTTTCCGAGGTTGACGGCCTGCGATCTCTATTTCTAAGTGTTAATGAAAGCCGGATGATCTGGGATGCTCGGCATATTACCAATCTTTTGGACGGCGCTATCGTTGACCGGTTTGGCCACGGCCAGCGCTCCATGGGACGGACCTTCGGTCGGAACGGCGGATGTGAATTTCGTCTGCAGCTATCATCAATTAGTCGGTAGCAAGAATGGCACAGGTCCCGAGAAGACGTGCTCGATGCTGAAACCCAAGTTCAAGGACGGGAAAGTCACAGATTCGGGCGTATTTGCTGGCGAGTACAAGACAGTCACCACTGCAGTCGATCCATCGCCATGCCAGAATATCAGTGCGGCCGCCATTCAAGACCAATCTCCGTCAGGTGACTTCGTCGTCAGCAATGGCGGTTGTTTAAAAGCGACTGGCTGGACGCATCTCAGAGTGTTTGGAGCGCCTCACTGCCCGGTGGACCCGACGGAGAAGGCACAAACTCAGCTCTATCATCTTGAGCAAGTCTTCAAGCTAGACATCACTAAGGGCCAGTACTTTTGTATCGTCCCGGGTTTCAAAGTACAGAGCTTCCTCTATCTCAAGCCCTGATCGTCGTGTTCGATCAAGGCGAACCACCTGGATCTGCTTGGGCGTCTGCTCCCAGGAGCAGGCTTCGGTATTGTCAGAGTTGGACCGTTCGATCGGCGAAATGCCTGTACTGTGGAGGTAGTGTTGCCTAGCCGCCGAAGACACCTGAGTATTGAATATGCCGCTGGGTCCGATGAATTTGACTAGAAGTCGACTCGCGCCGAGACGAGAGCCGGGCCGCCCGGGAAGCCTCCATAGAGATTGAACAATGAAGATCGAGAAACACGCGTCTTGGCTGGCATAGCCTGACAATGAAGCAATGCACATGGCTTTTTCTTTGTGCGTACCGCTTCCGCATCTGAGCGAGACTGTTCGCTTCACTGCCAGCGCTGCGCAGTCAAACTTACAGACAACCTGATCCAGACTGGGAACAACTCACACCGACATTGCCAACGGTTTGACAGCGCAAAATCATGATGCTTCCGATCCTCTTTCTGCTTATGGTGGCATCCGGCGACGCTACTTCGTGGCACGGCCCCTTACCAAGCAGCTGGTCTTCAGGGAACTGCTGCACCGTACTGCAATTGACGGGAAAACACCTCGATGGAGATCAAACCGGACCAGAGAAGACCTGCGCGTACGTCAATCCCGGAAGTTGGCCCGATGGTACAGCCAAGAATTCTAGTATCGAGCATGGAAGCAATGTGACCCCAGACGCAACATTTGGAAGGTATGGCACATGCAGCGAGCCAGCATCGGGAACAGGCGCCATAACCAGTACCTCGAAATGTACCGACATCACCGTCGACACGTTCTTGGCCCAGTCGGTTACCGGAGATATGGTGATTTTCTCGAATGAATGTGCAAATAAGATAACTGGCTGGACACATATCAGGGCCTTTGGCGCAAGAGGCTGTCCGAGCACACCAAAATCGATTATGACTCAGGACACTATTGTCAACCCTATGCCATACGGCACCGATGCGACGAAGGGCAAGTACTTCTGCATCAGTCCAGGCTTCAAGGTTGCAAGTTATCAATTTTTCAAGCCCTGAGGCAACGCAGACAGCATGATAGCTTAGCACGGACCGACAAGGGGAGTTTGCTTCGCCTCAATGTCAGTCTCAGTCTCCTGGGATGTGATAACCCCGATACCCGATGCGCTGAGTTGCAAGCCTTGTAGGGCCGCGAGCCAGGTTTCGGCACCTGATGGAGCGGTCCCTGAACAGGTGCAATGGCGGTGGGAAGGCGTTATGGGAACGAGCCAAATGCTAAAGCAGAGGCAGGGAGTAAAGTCCTCGTATCTTGGACAATTCGATAAAACAATAATTCAGTAGTAGACTCGAAATTGAGTGAATCATTTGGCAGGCGGCGGCGTTAAGCCCTTAACCCCTCATGTTGACATCCATCGTCATAGTATGGCTTCTATGTTTTCTGCGCGTGCCACTTGAGATCGCGCTACTTTATTTGACCGCGAAATCGTAACCTGCTGCCTTTCGTTGATCTGATAGCCCCAGACGCCGCGAGTGCGACGGCGAGCACGACAACGGGTCCTTGAGACAGCCTAGACATCATGAGCGGGCAGCGCGGGTCTAATTCACCATCACCTGCGCCAGAGGCGCCAGTCGCAGCAATACCGGGGCCGCGTGCGACAAAGCTGCAAGAAGTGTTCCGTCTGGGATTATCGTCCTCGCTCAAGGCAAACTCGTACGCCAATTTCTCGACCTGCTTTCCAACACCGGCCACATACTGCCCAACAGCATTGGAAGGAGTTTGGAAACAGCTCAACACGCGACTCGAGGAAGAATGCACGCGCGATTTCGAGAAGATCCTGCAAGAGCGCAATGTTGTGGAAGGACTCAACCAATGGGACGCGCTCATAGACGATGCACGGCGGAGGAAGAACAGAGCAGTCGACGGTGACGAGGCACCCAGAGCGTAAGTAGCACCGCTACAATGGACAACCCAAAATGGACCGCTGATCACAGTACAGTCTTCACACGCTCTCCGCGAGAGAGCTGTATGCGGCACATATCTCTCCCTTCCTCCAGCAGACGTCTACGGAACTCGACGAGAAGCTGAAAGTTACTCAAGAAAACAATAAACAGACGATGGCCACCATCGCTGAGCAGAGAGCTGAGATGGAGCAGCTGATAGGCGGACTCGAGAGCGTGGTCAAGGATCTCGAGGGCAGCATCGACGCTTTGAGCAGTGCGGACGGACTCAAGCAAGATGTGTGGATGATGGAGCAGGAAGTGACGGCAACGAGGTAGCGTCCTCTTGTTCGCCGCTGAGCTCTCAGCTTTTGCGATAACGAAGGCACGATGGACTGTACTTGAGCGTAGGCGTTGGCGGTGCTGTGCCAGGATCCGAGTCTCGGAGGCGCATTATTTGAAACATGACTGCATAGCAAACTGCTTTTGGCGAGATGGCCGTGATCTGTCACTGCATGATAGCCGAAAGATGCACGGGACTCGCTATGGAAGTCGCTGGGGATGAACCCTTGACGATCATCTCACAAGACTCTGTTGTCTGCGCCATGCACGGTTGACATGCATATGCGCGTGCAAAACATCGACAACCTTTGATTCTATTTGAACTCTGCTTCTCCAAGTAATTTCTTCGAAAGTGCTGTGTCGGAGGGCATCTCCAATGAGGCCTCCGCCAAGAGAACAGGGTTCAGGACGGTCTTGCCTTCGGATTCGGAACCAAGGATCAGAAGGACAAACATCTCCTGCGAGCATCCGACACATCTCACTCACAATGTTGACAGGTCTGTCATTTGTCAATTGACAACTTCAGCTTGCGCCTACGCCACCCACGAATTGCTTACACAGGCAGACATACATAGGTATCGTGGACCGAAGTGCCCTTGACTCCACCCAAAAACCAATTACAACAACCTTCAACCATTGGCACCTCACCCGACTTGCAGTGAACATCTTCAACGGTCTCGCATCTGAACGAAAAACTTGTGCGACGTTGGCTTGTATGCCCGTGAAGCCCTCCGTCGGCGTGTCGGGAACAGTTGTGATTGATGACCTCAGGATAAAGTTGTTGTCGCGTGTTGTTGGCGTGTCTTGGACCGAGATTGCATCCTCCACTATCTCGATGCCGTCTATCAAAACACCTCCACCAAACGCTCTCGAACATATATCCCGGTTCTTTCGCTTGGCTGGATGCATCCCAATTTGCCGCCTCCCGTACCCCCATGGCGTCTGCGTGGGAACATCTTTCCTGTTATGAGACGACCACAACGAAAGGCTTGCACATCCGGCTTTCGCCTCGCCTTACCCTGGACCCATGCAACCTGTGTGCCCTGGAACACCACGACCCAGACGCGCCAGTCTTCCGGATCGTCCCAAAAAGGCTACGCTTACAGGAAATGTTATGCCGTGAGGCTTGCTGCCGCAAAAACTGTGAGCCTACAGACGCGTCAAAACGCGACTTATGGCAGAAAAAGGTTCCTCCTCCAGCTCGCCTTTCGCTTTTGCTCTGCTTCGATCTGTGCTCACAACACACTGCTTCATTGTTTGCCTGTTGTCATTCGTTTTCAGCGTCGCTGCGTGTCATATTGCAAACTTGCAGCAAAGTACTGCATGTACACTGCAGCCAAATTTCCGTCATACCCCCACAGATCCCAGCTTCGACCCACTCTGATTGGACTACCTCGCAAGACGTCTCATCTACAAGGACCCATTAACATCCCGATCTGCTCTCGATCTTTTACGATTTGTAGGGCAAAGACTTGACACCGCCAGGTATATCCCAAACGTCCTGCAGTAAGCCTGCAGCAGCAACTTCAACCCACCCCAATAGTCAACAGACACGACAAAATAATCTCTCAAGCAATTCACCAGGCTTCCAGACCTCACCACCTTCTAGCATCTATATGCCACCTCTTCGCATGGTCGGCGCGTCCAGTACAAGTCTTACCTCTCATTGAGTTCTTTCTTCATAGCCTGCTCCGATGGAGCAATCCCTCGCGGTCTGGATAATAGGCGGTTTCGCAATCGCTTTCGATATTGCCAGCATTGTTGTCAACGTAATACTCGCGACATCTGTCTCGGAACCAGACCTTGGCGCGTTGAAAGCATTGTCATTTGTCGCGTTCGGTGCTAGCATTGCTGCTGTAATCGGACTTTTGTATTTCGCGATCTTTCACGTGCGGCAGTTGAGAAAGGCATCGATAGGTTTGAGACGCGCCTCGTGGTGGATTCTGTGCTCCGGAGCCGGATTTGCGGCCGCCGCGTTGTCAGTGACTGGCGGTGTCTTGGTGTGGGCGACGATACGAAAAGATGACCTCCCAAAGACTATAATCAACGATGATCCCATAATACTACTCGCCATCTGGTATGCTGCCTGGGGCATCACACTTGCTCTTCAAATCGCCTTCTATGTCCTGTTGGGTCGATGGACGAGGAAGGCGCTTCGCACACAATCAATAGGCAGACTGGACCTAGATTTCGGCATCTCACCACTACCCATGGAAAACATTCAACGCACACAGTCACGTGGGACTCACAGATCCTTCCCTTCACAAGATATCACGTTGAACTCTCCACCACGAACACCGACCTCGCAGATACCAAGCACACGTCGATCATCCGCCACAAAGATCGGCACCATGTCATCGTCCAAGATCCGCCTCGTCAAAGGCTCCGCTAAGTCCTCACTGGACATGCCTGCCTATCCTGCTGGAGAGGCAGTCTCGATTGACAGTGCCTTCGACGATTGGGACACGTCTTCTGTGCACCATGAGATGCGTGCCGCTGTCAACTCTTCACCAACAGTACGGACGAGAGGTGGCCTAGAAACAATTCCTGGCAGTCGATCTGAATCGCCTGCTAACGCATTAGACGGGCCATTCCTGCCAGGCTCACCGCATGCCGCCTCGTCTGATACAGCACAGGCCGCGGGCTGGGACAATCGCCCTTTCACTTCCTCGCCACCTTCAAGTCCGCCGCCAAACTTCTCTCGCCCGACGTCAAGACCGACGTCTTCACATGCGCATCAAAAGATTCTTGCACCTGCCTTTGAGCCCAAGCTTCCAACTCCAGACGGCACGAAACGCAGCTCAATGTTGATCCAAGACCTTATACACCCACTCTTCCGCCCTAGCTCCCCAGAGCCTCCACCACAAACCGTCGGGAACAGCACCATGGTCACTGCAGCGCCACTGGCTGGACACCCGATCACACCACGAACACTATCGCGCTTGCAGCGCTCTCGCTCAGAATCGCAGACCGGCCACTGGCGCGCAATGCCGAGCGTCGATGCTGGGAGCGGGAGGCCAAGCACTGCTGGATCGATTATGAGCAGTGTGCAAGGCTCGCCTGGCCCGTCAATTGTGGACGAAGACCACGAACGCGAAATCGATGAGCCCGTCATACTGCCTGCGTTCATCATGACGGCTGGCCAACGGTCGAGTCTGGTTGGCTACGGCAAACGGAAAAGTATGAAGAAGGAGAAGGAGAAGCGGCAGAGTACGCTTTCGGTTGGCAGTCGGTTGAGTCAGAGTTTCACACAGTGGGACTAGGGTGATCCGGGGTAGATTTCACGCAGCGGCTTCTGGTACCGTGTGCATGTGCTGCAAAGCGTTTCTGTTTGACCGCATAGGTCTTGGTGGTAATCCGTGCTTTTGCTGTTCTTCGAGCGAGGGAGTTGGGTGGACCATTTGAAAGCATCGGCTGTTTGTGGCAGCTTCATAGCAAAGATTGCCGGCCGTTCGCGACCTTCGTCATGCGTGGTCACATTCACTGCAGCTGACAGCATGTGGTCATACAGTGCGCCAGAATAATATCCATGATTCTCCAGACAATGTGCGTGAGCGATTTCTACGATCTTGTTATTGTTCTGACAACAGATATCTACTTGATAGAGTGAGAAGACGTGTTGATCGTGCTAGGCACCGTCCTCTCTTCGCTCTACGTCGGGCGGGCAAGTCGAGTTCTTTCGCTGCGAAGTCGTTGGTTTGGTGGACTGAATGGCCCAAGTTTAGGAACCGCTGTGCGCAAGCGTCGGGCCCATTAGCGAGCGCAATGCAGTCTATCTACGTCGATCTTCATGATTCAGGCCGTAGGGGTGACACTGCTCATCTGGCAACATAATGATAGACCAAGTTTTCAACAAATTCCAGCAGATGAACTCGAGGATGGATATGGGAATAGGGAGTATTTGATGCTTACTCATCTTGGCAAGAGCACTCCGTCTTCTTCGGGCCGGCGCATATGCTAGTCTCGATTGAGTATGGGAGGCGGCGAAGTGAGCATTGCCCAGAAAATGAGACCTGATGCCATCTTCTATTTTGCAAACGGGCGATGCTATTGTCAACTTCATTGCAGCTATTCATCCTCGAAACTCCCAGCCACTCACTATGGCGGAGCTCTATTTGCAAGGCCAGCGCTTTGCTGGCCACAATAGAGCTCCCCGTTTGCTTGCGAACACCTATTCATCCCGGTCGCGAGACAATAGCAGTGCCCCTACCTCCATTGCATTAATCAAAAAGCAGAGAGTGCTCAGTGACGAGCTCGCTTCCTTCATCTCTTTGCAACACCTCTCCATCACCGATCCAAACATTCTACAAGATTTCTATTTGCAAATCGCTGAAGCGTTGATCGCACAGCCATCTCTACCAACCAAACTCCTCGCCAAGAAACGTCCAAGTAAAGCATTCTACCACAAGCGTTCAGTGCCATATTCCGCCGGTCGGAACTCGCACCACGCAGTTCATCAAGCTTCTAGTCGATCGACACACCCTAACAAAATCAGTTCCGGAAGCAAAATGTCATCTGTCAACGACTTTCGCAAGATGGCATGATTTTATCCCAGGCTGGCCCTGGCGAAGAGTCTGGATCATCTTCACCCTTGTCCTCAGCTCAATCCTTCGTCTCCGCAGAGTCTACCTTTAGAGAGCTCATCGAAACGCCTCTCGACAAGGCGATCGATGTGTTTCACCCTGCATATCAATTTCCAACATCAGATCTCCGAGAGACCGGTCGTACGACTCTTGAGGATGTTCTCAATAGTCATGACGGCTATCGACCACTTCAGGAGCGCATCAATCGAAGACTGGATAGGTCGTTGACCGCAGGACGCAAGCGAAGCATACAGGATCTTTACCCGTGGCCTCCTCCAAAGCGGCAGAAGCTCAAGGAGAAGCCTCGAAAACTCACTCTGGACGAATACGCAAAGCGGCCAGCCGCCAATGATGATCCAGATGCAATGTACGAGGGCTACATCGAGCCACTCTCGCCTGAAGACTACGTCCAGCTCGTGGAGCACGAGTACCAAACAGGCAAACCCGATTATCCTCCTCAGTATACTTTTCTGTACAAGGACTTGAGGCATTGGCCCGATACGCACCAGATCAACAAAGACAGAAGCTTGAATCCCAAGATCGCCAAGTTCGAGTATCACGCTGATGGCATCACTCGGTACAAGCCGGAAGCTACTGCTCCTGGGGTTGTTGCTCCTGAGGTTGCTGCTCCTGAGGTTGCTGCTCCCGAGGATGTTGCTCCTGAGGATACCTCTCCAGAGACTGCTGCTCCCGAGGATTCAGCTCCTGTGGTCCCTGCTACTGTGAGTCGTCGCGTCACTCGGTCCGACGCTGCAGCAACTGGCTCAGTTATCGCTACAGCAACAACTACCGCTAGTAGCTCTGGGAGGGATCGAGGTAGTCGGACTCGATCCTCAGCTCCTGGCACACCAAGCTCGCCTGGTCCCTCGAATCGTCGTGGTAAAGGCAAAGGCAGAGGTAGGAGCAACCTTGGTCCACGTGGTAATGGCAAAGGCGACCGTCAGCCTGACGAAGCTCCCAACAATGAACCCGAACCTGAGAACGATCGTCCACAATCATCGGGAGATTATGTCAAGGCGCTAATGGATCGCCAAAAACAGCTGAAGAAATTCTTCAATCACGTCTACCAACAACAAGCAGATATCCTGACGGATTTGTCAACACGCGACATCAATCGGCTGCTAAGGAAACCTGATCACCACCGGGAACAGACTCAATATGACGCCATTGTCAGGAATCTCACAGCGCAACGGACTGAAAGAGAAGCTCTGTTTCACAAGGAATTCGAGGCCAAGCGACAGCTGCTAGAGAAACAGAGAGACAACGCAATCGAGGTCGATGAGATGCAATACCTGAATCACATTAAGTACAGTCGCGAAGACCACATTAGAGGCGCAGCGGGAGATCTTGTCCTTCTCAAGCAAGCCATAGCAAGGCCAGCGACGATGCACGTACAGTCGATGATGCTGACGAGGACTACTTCCCCAACTACAACCATTCCAATATCGAGCGTCCACGCGGCTACAACTCGCTGGCTATCAGTGATGAGAAGGCCTTCTACCAACACCTGCAAGCTGTCGACGAAGAAGCCCTCAAGGACGTCCTCGAAGAAGATCTATTTCAGCCTATGCGCGACTCACTAGCCAAGGAGAACGCTGAACGCAAAGCAGAAGAAGCCAGGAAGAAGACCCAGACCCTGCCCGCATTGACCCATGAAGCTATTCAAGAACTCAAGAAGATCAGAGGCTACCTGATCCCGAGACCACTCAAGAACACCAGACGAAACGATGAAGAAGGCAATGTGCACGGGGAGGATGAGAACCAGGCTTGGGCGTTATCAATCCTTGCCGACATCTCGGAATGGACAGCTGTAAGAAGCGAAGAAAAAAGGGAGCCGACGTATCGCTACATTCCTCTCGCTCCCGGCGACATGTATCCACCATATGCTCTCAACATGCACCCTACTCCTGGCGCAGATCGACGCAGACTTGAACAGAACATCAGGACTATTGCTCGCGAACGAGCTGACGGACCCTTTAAGAGAGGAACGCCTGTTCCAGCACCATACTCACGTCCGAATCCTCCACCGCCAATCGACACCAACACTGGTCGTCGACGACCTTACGCAAGACACCGCCGACCGGTCGGCGACCCTTCGGTGCAGACTACCTACCTAACTATCCGGGGCCTACAACGCCTTCTTCTGCGGCCGTACAGCCAATTGCACCTGCTCCCTCGCGTCGTCAATCGATGCAGATGCCGCCACCACCACTTCCGCCTTCTGCCACCACGCCACGCAGTGCGGTCAGCACACCTGGCGGCAGCGATCGCCGCTTCATCTTCCAGCAGCCAAAAGGCATGGCGGGCTCTCCGCTGCAACCGCAGCAGCAGCAACATCAGCAGGATCCTCCTGCTCCTGTTGGTGGACCGCGTCCACCTACCTCTGCTGGGTCTCCCGGCCTTGCTTCGCCTTTCCCTGGTCCCTTCGGTGCTCGTCCGCCCCCAGGACCGTTCGCTGGGCCGTTCGCGCCTCCTGCTTACGCGTACCAGCAGCAGCCGCAACAGCAGCAGCAGCAGCAACCGTCGCCGTTCGCTCCTCTTCCGCCTCCGGCTCCTGCTCCGGTCTCCCCTCTCGGTGGCCCGCTGCAACAGCAGCAGCAACAGCCAGCTATTGTTGGCGTCAAGAGCACCATTCCGGTGCAATTCATCAACAACACGCCGGATTCAACGCGGCAGAAGGCCGCGAAGAAGGCGGAGAAGAAGCGGGTGGAGGAGGAGGAGAGGAAGAAGAGGGAGGAGGAGAGGGATGTGAATGGGGTGATGGGTGGAGATGGGAGGGGGAATTCGGGGGGGTTGGGAAGGGTGTTGATGCCGCGTCCGGGAGGATTTTAGGGCGTGTTTAGGGGTTTTCGGGAGGGCGCTGTGGGAGTGGGAGGTTGAAGCAGGGTGTATATTTGGGGTTTGGTGGTGAGGTTGAGTTGATAGGAGAATGAGAGGCTCTGAATCCTCTGTTGAGAGACTATGAACCTCTGTGTTATGCTGAAGCGAGAGCAAGTGGCCTCAGTCGGGTCTTAGATGGGAAGTGAGCATATTGGTGCCGCTGAAGCTATTCTAGGCGCGGAGCCCGCCCGGAGGAAATTCTTGGCCTTATGCCCTTACCCCAAACAATCTCCAAATACGAGATGACCCAGGGCCGCCCTATTCAACGCCCCAACGCCCTATTTAGGCCAGATCCAGCAAGCTATCCGCAAGCAGATTTCTTAGCAATTCTTATACAAATCTGCTCACTACATTCTCTCACAATCTACACCTCATCACCACTATAGTCACTTTAACTACTACAGTAATAAGGTTAAGAATTAGTCTTAACACACACTTTTATAGTGTTTATAAGCTATTTAACTATATTTAACTTGTAGATAGTGTAGTATATCTATTTATTAATATATAAGACTATCTCTTACTATTCTAAATATACTGTAAAGCATACTATTAAAATAGCCTATTATTAAGTCTATATAATATCTTCTTATAAAGCTTATTCAAATTAGTTATAATATAGCCTTATCAGTGCTTTTTAAAAGTGATTATCTCTTATAAATCAAGTTTATCACTATATAGTAGATTCTTATAGTTTCTTACTAAATTAATAATTATAATATATTAGTAATACTTCTTAGTACTAGCTTATAAAGATATTATTAATAGTAATAGTTTAAAGTTAGTCTATAAAGGATTAAATAATTAGTCTAGTAATAGTATTATAGTAGTAACTTATTAATTTACTAGTAATAGTGATAATAATTTAGACTATATATTAATATTAGATAGAGTATTAACTACTATCTCTTCTATAGAGATATTCACTAACACTCTATTTATAGTAGTAGTAGATATAGTATTAATAGCTATCTATTTTAATAAGGTAGCTATTAATACTATATCTTTAGTATATTTTATAGTAACCTTATTATCTCTTATAACTTTCTTTACTACTTTAGTCTACTATTTTCTAGTATTATTATCTATCTCTTTATCTATAAGTTTTTATAATTTAATAGTCTTCTTTTTCTATTTATAGCTTTACTTAGACTTAATATTAGGAAGAAGGGCTAGTAGAGTATTAAAGTCTTACTAATTAGTGCTATAGTAGAGAATAGTATTAAGTGCTATATTTAGTATATTATTAAGATTTCTAATAGACTGTTTCTTAATTAGTTCTATATATAAAGTTATATACTTTTATAGCTTCTCTTCTACTATAAGTTAGCTTAGTAAGATAATAAGTGCTTTATATATAGTAAGACTCTAAGAAGACACCTATTTATAAGATATATATAGATCTTGAATATACTATTATGAATAAATTAAATCTAGTAGAATCTAATAATTCTTAATAAGATATAGTAGTAGTAGATAGTAATAAAGAAGAGTATAGTACTACTATAAATTATAGCTATAATTAATACTATTAACCTCTATTTCAGTCTTATATTAGTGATTCTTAAGATACTTCTATATCTTTAGTATCTTCATAATAACCTTAATTAATATATAGTGTTAGATATTAAGAAATAACTTCTTATCTAAGGCTATAAACTAGTAATATATTATATAGTCTTTAGACTTAATAAGCTCTAGATATCTATACTTTATTATAGTAGTGAGACTCTTTATTAATACCTTAAGACTATCCTAGTCTTCTATTATCTAGTAGACTATCTAGTAAAATAACACTTATATTTATATAGACTCTATACTAAGATTTAGATAGTAATATATATAAATAATTATAAATAGAGTCTTAATTAAAGTCTAATTCTTCTTAATATAAGCCTATTCTTTAGTAGTGATTTAGCTATAAAGAGTCATCTTTATAGCACTAATTATATCTTCTATATTAATCTAAATATATATCTATATAAGGGTCTTAATAGATAGTAGATTATCCTTATTAGGCTTCTTTTTACTATATATCTCCTTATCTATATATTAATGGTAAAGTTCTTACTCTATAGCCTATTCTATATATTAATTATATAGTTAAAACTATAACTATTATTAATAGTACTATCTATTATAGTAGTAACTATATCTGCTATCTTATTAGTTATATAAACACTAGGCTCAGGGTAGTTATTTATATTAAAGATATTAATTTAGAGCACCTTAAAAAAGACCTTAAAGCACTTCTTATATTTATTAAGAATATAGCTAAATATAATTAGAAATAGCTTACTCTTATTATTAATAGTAATAACTAATAATAGTAGTATATAGTGCTTATTTATATTAAATATTATATTAACTATAATAAGAAATATTAATATAAATTAATAGATAAATAGCACTATTATAATATACTAGAATATAATTTACTTTATCTTTTTAATATACTTACTACTAAGATTCTAATTAGGCTTATTAAATATAATACTATACTTAAATCTAGTATCTTTTAGTGTATATCATAATCTATTAATACTTTTTAAGTCTTTTACTAATAGATATAGATCTTAACTAGTGTTATAATACTCTTTTACTAATATTAGTAGGCTTGAGTTATCTAGGTTAAGTGAGTACTTTACTATTAATTAAGATAGATATATAATTTAATAGTTCTATATAGTCTAAATCATAGAATAATAATACTTAATCTTAGCCTTTAAAACAGTCTATATAAATAGGTTCTCTAGTATAATATAATCTATATAGTCTTAATAGTTCCTTATCTAATCACTAATAAGAATCTCTAGATAAAATCTTATAGTAAATAGTTAATACTATATTATATAGCTAAACTTATAGTTATAGATATCTTGTTAATACTTTAATATATATTCCCTAGTATCCTTATTAATAGAGACCTTAAACTCAAGCTTATAGTAGTTATAAGTCTATATATTATAAAGAATATAGCTAAATATAGTATTCTAAAGACTTCTGTTATTAAGATAGTAGTAATAGTGTAATAGTCTAATAAAGTAAGTACTAAATATAATACTATACTAATTAAGATACTAATATATAGTATTAATAGTGATAAAGATCTTATTATCTTCTGATATAGTATAATTAGCTGGCTTAAGAGATATAAGCTTGCTAAACTAGGTACTACACTAATATTTATAAATTACTGTGTATATTAGTAATATAGTAAGATCTTGATTCTTAGATATAGTGGGTTATGAATATTTTAAATTAGCTTAATAAAAAGATATTATATAGCTTTAACTTCTAGATATTTAGATAGTGCTATAAAAGATAGTTCTATATAGCTACTTAACAGGTTAATCAAAGTATATATTAAAAAGATATAGCTCTTATAAGTCTATACTGCTTGTTTAATTATTGTGTATCTAACACTATAAATGCTAAGACTTTGTAAGACTGGTTAATAATATTAGAGATTAGTAATAACGAGGTGGTCTGATTAGTCACGGAGGCATATCAGAGAGTAAATTTGTACCAAGATTACTAAGAAATCTGCTCGCGGTTGTACCTCCAGATCTGGCCTAGTAATAGGGCGTTGGGGCGTCGAATAGGGCGGCCCTTAGTCATCTCGTCCAAATATGATCACTTCCCTATGGACCTCAGGGCAACCGATACAACTACCTGCCCCGTACGAAACATGCTTCAATCCTTCTGTGTATAGCCCGCAGGCGACCCGGCGCATCGGCGCCTTTCCCAATAACTATGACAACCCTCTCCTCCCTCCCCAACGGCGCCGCCACCGACCCCCTCTCCTCCCCAGACTACGACCCCATTGACCACCTCAACACCATCTTCTCGCACCCCTCAAGCCTCTCCCGCGTCACACCCACCCTCTCCGCCCTGCAAACCCACGAAACCCACCTCTCCTCCCAAATCAAACACCTCACAACAACCCAATCCTGCTCCCACGCAGAATGTCTATCCGGCCTGCAAACCTCCCGCGCCGAACTAGGCTCCCTCCTCTCCCGCATCGACTCCTTACGAGCCAAAGCGCTCGCTACGCAGCAGAACATCACGTCTATGACGGCTGAGATCAAGGCTCTGGACACCACGAAGAAGAATCTGGTGCATAGCATGACGACGCTGAAGCGGCTGCAGATGCTGTCTACGGCGTTTGCGCAGCTGCGCGGGGTGGTGGTCAAGGGACGGCAGTATGGCGAGGCGGCGAGGTTATTGGGGGCGGTGGTGCAGTTGGAGGAGCATTTTAGGGGCTTTAGGAGTGTGGATCAGATCGCGTTGTTGAGTAAGGAGGTGGGGGTGTTGAGGGGGGAGGTGGAAGAGCAGGTGCGGGAGGATTTTGAGCTGGCGTGGAGTCGGGATGAGGTGGTGGCGAAGGCGGGGGTGTTGAGGGAGGGGTGTGAGGTGGTTGAGGTGTTGGGGCCGGAGGCGAGGGCGAGGTTGGTGAATTGGTATGTGAATGCGGAGTTGAGGGGGTATAGAGGGATTTTCAGGGGGGATGGGGAGGCGGGTGGGCTGGATAATGTGGATAGGAGGTATGCGTGGTGGAGGAAGATGGTGAAGGGGTGGGAGGATGTGTGGTCTGGGATCTTTCCGCAGGGGTGGAGGGTGGGTGAGAAGTTGGCGGAGAATTTTGCCGAGGGGACGAGGGAGGACTATAAGGGCGTGTTGGGGAGAATGACAAGGGGTGGTCAGGGTGTGGATGTGAATCTGCTGTTGAGTGCTTTGCAGCAGACGTTGGATTTTGAGCAGAGCCTGGAAAGGAGGTTCTCGATAGCCGAAAGCAGGACGAGCCTCGATACTACAGTCAGTGCTGACGGCGGACAAGGGGCGTTGGGGAATCATTTGATATCGGCAGTCTTCGAGCCGTACCTGGGCTTGTGGGTAGATGCACAAGAGAAGGAGTTGGCGAATCTGTTGCCACAATACAGAGCCAGGCCGGTGAGGCCTCCTGAAGAAGACTTCAGCAGTCAGATGGTGGTTCATTCGGCTTCGGAGCTGTTCAACTTCTACAGGTTGAGTCTGCAACAGTGCGCGAAGCTGTCGACAGGACAATCACTTCTGGACCTCTCGAAAGTATTTGCGCGGTTCCTCAACCTTTATGCGGAGCAGGTGCTGTTATCATGTCTGCAAGAGAAGCCAACAGGCGGAACGCCTTCACGGACACCGAGCTTGGAAGACATCATCACAGTGCTGAACACGGCGGACTACTGCTACAACACCACACAGAGTCTGTCCGACAAAATCCAGTCGAGGATAGACGAGGCATTGAAGGAGTCTGTCGACTTGTCATCTCAAGCAGATGCATTCATGGGCATCGCTTCTGCGTCCGTGCGGGCGTTGGTGAGAATCGTCGAAGTGGCTCTCGAGCCGTCATGGCGAGAAATGCGCAATACTGGTTGGGCAAGGATCGAGACTGCAGCAGACAAATCCTCCTTCATGGCGCCTTTGCAGCAAGCTATCCGGTCGAAATCAGCTTCGATCCTCGACATGATTCACAAACCGCAGTACTCACGCGCTTTTGCTGACAATCTCGTCGAGCTCCTTTCCAGCACATATCTGGCACAGATCGTACTTTGTCGACCAATCTCAGAAGGTGGCGCCGAGCAAATGCTGCTCGACCTGCACGAATTCCGGAGCACGTTATCCTCCATCCTGCCTGGCGATCCTCCGCCAGCGTCTTTCCTCAAGCGTGTCACCAACTCCTTCGGCCGGATCGAGCCTCTGCTCAAGACCCTCCAAGTCCGCCCACAACCGCCCGAAGCACTCGTCCAAGCATACCTCATCCACATCGCCGATTTGTCCGAAAGCAACTTCCGCAAAATACTGGACATGAAGGGCTTACGACGACAAGAACAGACTCAGCTGATTGAGCTGTATCAGATGCACAAGTTCAGTCCGCGGTACAAGGACAGCCTTACCGAGAAGTCGACCTTGCTCACACCACTCATTCTCGCCAGTACAAACACGACTGCCGCTTCAGCGACAACAGCTGGTGCAAATGTCGCCCTGCAGAACCTTTCTGCCCTCGGCAACAGCGCGGCTCAATCACTGAGCACAGCAAATCTGCCCGCGAACATGAAGTTCGATGCCTCCGGGCTTGGAAACGCAATCATGGATCGCTTCTCGACTCCAAGTATCGGGACGCCAATGGCTGCGCAGAGTCCACCAGGAGGTACGGCGGGCATGGGTAATCCTATGGACGGCGCTGATGGGCAGGGGAAGCTGAACGAGAATCTGAAGAATATTGGGAAGTTCTTCAAGCGGGATCTTGGGGGCTTGGGGCTGGGAGGGCGGTTCGGGCAGGGCAGTAAGGCGACGAGTCCGGCGCCGCCGGAGGATAGGCATTAATGAGACCAGCGTCGTCCTTGTCCTCACCACAATCTTAGATGGAACACCAGCTTGAGATATTGACCACCTGGAAATGCTTCTGCCTTGGCAATCAACCGCTTTAGGCATCTGGTAAATCGCAGATATGTGTAGCACGTGACAATGACGTGCCCCGCTGGGATTTTTGGTGTCGGTTGGTGACTCGACACTCGACCACGAAAATCTCTCTGATTCATAACAGGCATCTAGCCCAGTAAAAAGAACCCGCTGTGACTCAAACTCGTTGGACTGCTGCCGCAAATCCACAATCCGCCATCGTTGCTTGACAAGCCGCAATCAGTGCCTGACGCTTAAAATCAAACGATTGCCACCACCCCCCCATCTTCGCTGCAGGACTCTGACAAACGCCCGCTTCATATCTTTCGACTGGCGCAGAAAGCCCATACTCAAGAGTTTCTTCTTTCACACATCTGACGACAACCTCATCGACCACCATCCACACCGCGCAACCACGGTCTCTACTTTTCCTCACCGCGATACCCTTCCTACCCTCGCACGACCTTCCATATCAACCCGCAATCATGGCCCTTCGCGCCTCCTTCGAGGCCTCACACGAAATCGGCGTTTTCGCGACCCTCACCAACTCCTACTGCCTCCTCGCCCTCGGCACCTCAACCAACTTCCACTCCGTCTTCGAAGCCGAATTGGCCGACCTCATCCCACTTGTGCCTTGCACAATCGCTGGCACGCGCATCGTTGGGCGACTGACTGCGGGCAACAAGAATGGCTTGTTGGTTCCTACAACGACGACAGATCAAGAACTACAGCATCTGAGGAATAGCTTACCAGAAAAGGTCACCGTCAAGCGGGTCGAGGAGCGGTTGTCGGCGCTGGGCAATGTGATTGTCAGCAATGATCATGTCGCATTGGTGCACCCGGATCTGGAGAGGGAGACGGAGGAGATTATAGCGGACACATTAGGTGTGGAGGTATTCAGGCAGACGATCGCGGGCAACGTGCTTACTGGCAGCTACATGAGTCTGTCAAATCAAGGTGGGCTGGTGCATCCCAAGACGAGCATACAGGATCAAGATGAGCTGTCCAGTTTGCTACAGGTGCCGCTGGTCGCAGGAAGTGTCAATCGGGGCAGTCCAGTCGTCGGCGGCGGCATGGTTGTAAACGACTGGCTAGGTGTATGTGGAATGGACACGACGGCGACCGAACTGAGTGTTGTAGAGAGTGTGTTCAGGTTGGGCGAAGGGAATATGCCCGCGGGCGTGGGAGAAGCGGGTGCGGATCTCGAGAAGAGGATGCAAGGCAAGAAGGAGGGCATTGTCGAGAGCTTTTACTGATCCGACTGCGCTGGCCAGCGCCAGCATCGTCGTTCGATGATTTCCTCGAATTCACCAACTGGTGGCTCTGTCCCCCTTTACTCAGAGATTTCCTGCGTTCCCCCAGCACCGAAGCAATGTGGCGGCAGGACGTTTCTCAGAGCAAGCCACTTCAGGCTGTCGACGTCAAAGGATACGCGATAGGCAGTGTTACCCAAGCTGGATCTGCACGTCAAGAGGACCAGCTGGTCTTGCACTAGTCATTGAGCTCGTTGAGCACTGGACGTGCTTGAAGGACTTGATCATAGAAGCCGGAGCATATCACGTAGACGTGATAAAAAAGCCAGCTGCTCTTGGCGCACAGTACATACCAAGTGGTTATGAATCTGCGTCGAACTCATCATCTCCGTCTTGACTCACCTCTCTGAGCTGTTTGTTACACTCAAGCTAGAGCAAGGTCATTGAATACACAGATGAAGCACGACACGTAAGTACTTTCTCCTTCGGCGGTCTCTGATCTCGTGTTTTCGCCGGACTGGTTTGCCGAATCTCAACTACGGACTCCCGAAAGGTAAACCAGTAAGCCGCTCAACTGATATGGGGGAAGTAGTCCGACCATTGCACTGCCGCATACACAGATCCTGGCATCGATCGGAACGAGATAACATCTTCAATCAAGACGTACAGGCGGCTGATCAAATAGATGGCCGCAAAGAGCGTGGCCGGAATGAGTAATCGTAGAGGTACATCAAGATTCGGATCGTCCACAGCTGAATTGTTTCGCAATCTTTGCACGAGTTTCCTGACTCGGATCGTGAATGTTGTATATTCATTGCGTTGGTCGCCGCGATGGGTCGGAGGTTGGCTCACTTCGTCTCGATATCTTTGTAGAAGGTCCCTTTCATGCTGGTGAGGCAGTAAATATAACATCGCGCCTTCTATCAGAGCTCCCATCATGAACGTTGCTGCCATTGCTATTGAAGCCGCTCGCCACATCCAAAGCTCTGCATTGGTAGGCAAGTGTGAATTCCAAGCCGCAAAGTTGATTGCCAGGTAAGGAATTGTTGGGATGACTTCGAGAAAACCCCATTTCGTCTCCATATTTTGAATATCATTATCACTACGCCTTTGCTCGACACTGATGTACTTGATATTCTCATTGCCAATTGGACGTTTGACACGGGCCAGGATGTTGATCCAATACCTGAAGAGTATCGATCCGTGGTGTTCTGATCTCTCAATGAAATCCAAAGGACTCTTGTACCATTCTGTCGAGACAGGTAATCCAGCGCGACTAAAAACATCTTCCACTGACGTATCGACGTATATTGTTTGAGCGGTCATGACGTCTCGTGGCTTATGCCACCAGCAGAGATAGGTGACCAGTGTAGGTGCCAGAAAGCCAAGGACAGTCAATTCCATTGTTGTTACAACAAGACCTTGAGCATATCGTCCTACCGCATCGCAAGCAAACCATACTGTCTGTATCAAAGCAAGAACCCTGGCGCAAGAATCTGTCTTGTTACGATCCTCGATGTTTGCCGTGTCAATCATCAAAAGAGTCTCGATCTGTTGGTTGTGGAGATATCCTTCACTGACCAGATAGAACAAGGATGATGCACTGAGTGGAAAGCTTTCAGCTCCTGGTGTTTTGAGACGAAAGCCACCCATATCAGCGAGGAATGCGTGCTTGAGAGTCCATCGATTATAGCCAAGAGTCTGGAAAGCTGTGACAGATTTGCGTGCTGAGAGCCATTGTGTCGCGGAGATGTACAGCAAGAATTCTGGACCGACGATACTTATTCCTGTCAGCCACAATTTTCTCAGAAGATGTCGCCGAAAGGGCTCCTTTGGCGCTGGTATGTTGCAGCATGCACAAGACCAGCTGCACAAAAACAGAACTGTAAAGGATGCAAAGATGATATCGGTTGATCCGCGAGAATTAGGTGATGATGTCCAGCCTTGAGTGCAAGATGAAGATGTCGAACAGTTTCCATTCATTTTGCTGGTCCGCTACTTATAAGCTTGGAAGCTTTTGCAAAGACATCAAGGATGAAGATGCCTTTCTTCACATCGTGACGGTACATGAGACCAAAACGCTCATGCTGATCGTTCCAAGTTTCGAGCCACACTGCAGGACCTCAAGAGGGCTGATGGCTTCCATTAACAAGAGCAAGGCTGAACTGGCATGTCATGGTTCGCTTAAACATCATCTGTCAGTTCTGAAACACGAACAGCTTGCAAATCTTTCTGGGCATGTTTTCGCGGCGCCTTTTTTTGCCTGATCTGTAGCGACCATCTTTGCCAGCGTTGTCAACATTCGTTCCACTCACGCATTCCAGTGGGTTGAATGGCAACGGATGGTGACTAGCTCGAGCAAAGCTAAGTCAAGGTAGGTCTGAACGTGGAAGGTGAGCTGGACTGCAGCAATCTGCAAGGTGAGCCGGACGCAACTTTCTGACGTCTTATATCCTGCCAAATTGAGCGCCAAGTATTGCCTCTGTCTCCTTCACCGTCTTCTCCCGCAGAATTGGGTGACGAACAGGTTGGTCCCGTGTGGCACGACGGAACAAGCATGACTGATTCAACGGATTTAACATGTCCAGTCAATCGCAAGAACCGCGAGAACAGTGTTTTCGTGCTTGGTCTCGTGTCAGTTGGCCCTTAGCCTGCGCATCTCACCGGATTGGCCTTTGCTTCATGGATCTATCTATACCAGCGTTGCATTGAGGCGATCCTGAGATGGGACAGCAACGCAGTCGCCTGGGAACACGTGGTACTGCAATTATCATCGTCTGCCATTGTCAAGTATGGGCGCTCTCGCGACTCCATAGCGAGCGCTGAAACGTACACTGCCGACCACGCCGTCGATAGACTCTGTATACATATCCGTCGAGTGTTCTCCTACCGTGACACACTCCATGCTCCGGCTTGCTGAGCCAGCGTGTTCAAAGCAGCAGCAGACGCAATTTCAAGAGGTGTTCGAAAGTTCTACTCCTCGACGCGAGACCAGCTCTACTCGACTCGATCGAGCCTGACTGCAGCAGGAAAAGGGTCCGCAGGGAAGGGAAGGCACGGTGGAGGCAGTCACGGTGGAGGCAGGCACGATGGAGGCAGGCACGATGGAGGCAGGCACGATGGAGGCAGGCACGCTAGGGAAGGCACGGTGGAGGCAGTCCCGGTGGAGGCAAGCACGATGGAGGCAGGCACGCTAGGGAAGGCACAGTGGAGGCAGGCACGAAGGAGGATGACTTACCGAGGAAGGCACAGCCGAGAAAGCGCGGTTGGGAGAGCACAATCAGGAACACGTGTCGAGGCAAGTATGACGAGCTTCGAGTGGGGAGGACAGAGATACGTACAAACCATGCAGAAAGTCTGCGGATGAAGAATACAGAACGCAAGCTGTTTGGTGTTGTCACCGGGACCCTTTATATGGGGTGGTGTATGGTGTCAGCGAGGCAAAGGCCTGGCGTAGCTGTAGCAAAGTTGGAATATGGACTACATATGCTATGATAAGATGTCCCAATAGGCCCTTGAGGCTTGGTGAGAACCAGCCCGCAGACGACTCGTCGAAATCTACGTCTGCTTCCCCATCCAATCACCTCCTCAGCGTCCAAGCGTCAGGCTGGTCCGAGACCAGACCTTCGCCAACATCCACTTTGCATCAGCTCAATTGTACTTGCCAGGTAGCGTAATTCCCATGACCAACGTTCGCAGATCACCATTCAACCTCGTCCTCGCCATCTCCACCTTCATTTGTGCCAGCATCTTCACATCCTGCAAGCTCATATCCTTGAAGTTGCTTTCTTGGCCGTGGCCTTCGGCATCGTGGGTATGGGTGTGGCTGTTCATCTTGCCCACACCGTTCTCCACCAACGGCACTGGGATGTCGCTCGTGTTATCGTCAATGTCCATTGCGACGTCCTGGCCGTCGGCGGCCTCTACAGGGGTGAAGCCGTCGCCAGCAGCGTGAAGTGAGTTTCCATTCGGAGTGCCCTCTTCAGCCGGCATGTCGGACGGAGGAGGAGGTGGCGGCGGAGGTGGTGGTGTCACTTTAGTGTCGTTGCCAGAGGAATCGATATGCAGCTTCTTAAGCGGCGAGCGAGGCGTGTCGCGCTCTTCTTGCTTGACGTGTTCGGCCGGACTGCTGAGATCTTCCCGCTTACGCTTGAGATGCTGCGCAGAGACCTCTGATGGAGTCCCCGCCGAGGAAGGAGTGGCTTCGCCTCGTCCTCATCGTCGTCGAGTTCGTGGTCCGACATCTTGATGTCCTCATCCGCGTATTCGTCCTTCACATTGGGGGCCGGGCTTTGGGCTACGGGCGACGGATCGTCCTTGGACCGAGATGAAGAATGTTTGCTCTTGGAGGCTTTCCGGGCGGCCTTCTCTTCTTCGACTTTCTTGTGCTTGTGCGCAGCCTTGTCGAAGAACTGCTTGCAATAGTCTTTAACTTTTCGCTGTTGTTTCTCGTCACATTTGGTGGGGTCTTTGACGCGGCCGGCTTTGAAGTCGGAGGCGACAAGTTTTTTCGCTATCTCTTTTGCGAAGCGCTTGAGATCGTCTCTAGGTATCTTATGCTTGTATTTGTTCATGACATGAGAGATATGCGGGAAAAGCTATGGGTGAGTGTCAGAGTAGGCGTTCGTACGATCGAAAGGGGAGATGCTTACAGTGTTCTCATACAGCTTCATCTTCTTCTCCTCATCGAAAGATTTCCACTTCTCCTCCTTTTTCTCCTTCTTCGGCTTCTCTGTCGCCTCTGGCGTCTTGACAGGTTCGTCTTTCTTTTTGTTGATGCCTTCGAGGATGCCTTTGAGGACATCGTGCGAGGAGAGCTCTCGTGGAGGCGGAGGTGGCGCTTCGGCGGGTTTTGTGGGCCGTTGCCACGTTGTGACACCCGCATCCGAGTAGAAGTATGGCCTGCCGTTCGCGTATGCGAGCTTCCATCCGGCTGGTAGCGGTGGAGGTGGTGGGCGTTGGAAGGGGCGCGGCTGGAAGGCTGGCCGAGCCAGCTTCGGACCCGTCGGGGCAGCCATACTCGCAGGTCCCCGTGGAGGCGACTTTGAACGTGATTTCGAGCGTCGGCGTTGTGGAGCAGGCTCTCGTCGATTGTAGATCGTAGGCTCTGTTTTGACAGGCGTAGAGGCGTCCTGCGTATCTCTCCGCATTCTCGGGATCCGGTAAGCTAGCTCGAGCTTCGAATACGCGTCGGCCAGCGCAGCCGCCCGGCTAGATACCCTCTCGTCCTGGTGACTCGATAACGTGTCGAGTGTCTGATCAAGTCGGGCGTCCACAATCTTGTTGCGTGTCAACCGCGGCATCTGGTTCAAGATATCGAGGATCTGCAGTATCAAATTCTCATCATCCTTCCAGGCCAGAAGCTGCGAGTTGAATATCCTGTAGCCGTGCAACCTGACAATGCGATTTCTGACCGCTTCGTCGTCGGAACTCTGTATTCGTTCGAAAAGCTTGACAGCAATCCACTTCTCCTTGCACTGCATGAGGGCAGCCATGACTTTCGTGACGCCGTCGGCGTCCAGTGTCCTAGCCTGGGCATTGTCGACATAGTCTTCGTCGTCCTCAGCCATCTTCTTTTTCTTCGGCTTCTTGGCCACAACGGTGTCCCACTCATCATCTTCGATACCGAGAGCTTCAAGCGTAGCAGCGGCCAGTTTGGTGCCGCGCTCGGTCTGAGTCTTGCCGCCAATGAAGCCAGTGCAATTGGCCTCGCCACAGTAACAGGCTGGGGATTGGCGCCATACCGGTCAACGTTGTAATTGAAGACGAGTTCTTCACCGGCTCTGATGTAGCGCTCGGCGAAGATGCCCATACGAAGCTTGTCATTCACCACCCATTTGTCCACATAGCAATTCGGGTTGCAGGAGTGGTTGCAGAAGCGTCCAAGATTGCCCCGCTTGGTTGCGTCAACAAATTCGCCGCGGCTGAGTGACATGAAGTAGAAGTGCTTGATCCCTTCTTCGTCGTAAGCGACCATACGTTTTCGGAAAGCGCCCTCCGCGATCACCTCGCCGATGTACTCGAAAATAAAGTCATTCGGACTGAGGTCGACATTCGCCCTCAATCCGTAGCCTTTCTTTTCTGTCTGGATGACGGAGACATCGGCATATAGGCGTCGCGTGAATCTTTGGTTCTGGCATTCATCCCCGCAATTACAGTCATCAGAACATTCCATTTTGCAAGCTCGGTTGATGCAGTCGGAAGAGTCGCCACAGGCATCGTTCGTCTTGGTGTCTGGGTCTGTCGCGTCGTTAGCAATGGCATTTCAACGGGACAAATATGACTTACTCCATTCTTCTGAGCAATCGCATTCGAGAGCAGATTCCGTGATGCCCAAATACTTGTTTTGATATGTGCTCGAAGTGATAACCTGAAAAGACGACGTTGCTTCTGCGGTGACATCCGGTAGATCAGTGAACAAAGGAGCAGTCCGCGGTGGTGCTTTGGAGGCGGCTGCGCGGCCTGACTTTTTCGGCATCGCGGGCTTTGTAGGCGACACACTGCCGTTTTGCTCCTCAAGCTTCGGCTTCAGATCTGGACCGTCTGATTTAAGCTTGATCGGTGATGAGATCGATGGAGATCTACTGGTTTTGATATGTACTGCATCAAGCAAAGGAGATTTTGATTCAGAACCTTCCTTTTTGACGAGTTCGGATGTTGAGTTGTGATGATTGAAGTCGGAGCCGGAATTTTCTGGTTGTAAAGATGCAACGGCTTGGCTGTCTGCTGACGACGGCGACAAGCCGACGTTGTTTAAGTCACCCATGTTGATAAGCAAGTGACTGAGTGATGAAGTTTCAGAGAAACGCAAGGCCGTCTCGGAGGCGAGGTTCCGGAACTCGAAATCTGCAGGCTGAAAACAATGTGAACATCACCACTGACCACCTCACCCCATCAAAACCGGTGGCAGCCTCGCAAGAGCTCCGAAAGGATCGCGACCATCGATTAGTCCCCGTACAAAGAATTCATATGATGCCTAAAACCAATCCTTGATGCAGCGAGATGGATAGCTGACAGATGACCCAATACGGCGAGAAACGAGGGGTGGCCGCAACGAGGTCTCAAAGGGACGACTCGACTGACGGTGCAGATGCACTGCTGTGGCGAGGATCTCCAGCAATAACGACAATGACAAAACCGCCTTCTGGCGACAAGATAGCTGCAGACCCTGCCTGGCAAGAGCAGTTCACGAGACTGCTCTGTGACGATTCCAATTCCACAACCTTGCCACACCTCCAACTATCTTGAATTCCTCCTGGGACGAGTCACTCACAAATCACTTCTGGCCTCAAGGAAAGCTCCAAATGACTCGGAGAGTCGCTGTAATATCTGATGATTGTAGAATATATGAATGAGCAAGAAGTGAGACGATGCAAAGCAAAGTGCTCTGATGCCTTCCCTCAGGTGAAGAGCTCCAGAATCTGGTCTTGGCGAAAGCAAGCCAGTTCGGTGTCAGATTCCTTTCTCGCTTTCGACCTCACATACCATGCGCAACTCTGCATCTGGTGCTTGCTTTCCACGCAACATCTACTATGGCAGTGCAATTATGCAGCGCAGTTCGGCCCATCGTAGCGCGCAAGCGTTTTCGTGTATGGAACGAATGCGCGCTGGTAGGGCAGGATGTGCGGTCGCGTTAGAAGTGGCTGTTGCTACCGTCGAGTGTCGCGGATAAATCGTTGTTACTCCGGGCCTGGCAGACGCGGATTGGGCCTTTTAAGCCGCACCTTCAAGCTGCCCGCTCATGGGTTTTGGCGGTGTTGTCGCACACTCTAAAACGCTCTCCCGGTACTATTTGCGGGCGAAGAGCTCAAGGACCAGGTGCGTTTCTGACGTCAATTTGTCGACTCATGATCGAACTATGGAATATCGTCTTTGGACCTGCTCCTGCGGGCTTTCACATGGTCGACTAGCCCACGGAACGATTTCTGCGCTTGTCTGCCCTTGTCAACTGCCTTACCTTTCAACATAGAGCTCGTCTGTCGAAAGTGTGGAGGGGTGATGGTCGCTGGTGATGCTACCATGTCTGGAGATGTGACCTCGCCCCCAGGGAGCGGTGAATCTGTTCTGAGGGGCGTGGTTCTCTCCCTGTGATGCCTGAGGCGCTCACCCTTTGCCTTGGTAAGTAGCTCACGCCGCTCAAGTCTACGTTTCTCATACTCTTCTTTCGCTGCAGATCGAAGCGCCCTGCTCACTTCAGTGACCTTCGCACGCCGTGTAGAAAATTGAGTATAGTAGTCGATGGATGAGGCAGCTTCTTCGGCTCCGGCCATCCATCGGCCAGCCCAACCACTGATCGCCAACAGTCCTATTGCACCTGTTAGAATGCACATACATTAGGCAGACCCAGAATCGGGACACTGATGTCTCGCCCAACTCAGGTTCGACGGGATACGTACGCTCGTCTACTCGTCGCGTCAGATAGACTTGAGGTTCTTTTTCCTGCTCTTTGGCTCGGGCTAGAATCCTCTCGATTTCGTCACGATACGCCGTTTCGTAGATATCTACGTCTGCTGCTCCAGGACTTTCACTGACGACGTATATATCGTCGTCAGGAGCGAAACTGCTGTCAGGATCGTGTTCAGTAGGCTGTCCGGAAAATGTCGATGGCCCTATACGAAGGAACAGCTGATCATCCAGAGGATTTCGTGCTTGTCCTTTCTTGCCGTCTGCTGTCTGATTACGATGTGCCCGCCGGACAGATCGAAACTTAGGAAGCATCTTGATCTCCACGGGACTTGGATGATCTTCTGTTGGGACGTCTAATTCGTCATCCTCAGAATCTGTCGAGAGATCGGCAAATGTGGGCTTTGGTGGCTCACTGTTGGTGTGATGAGAACGCACCGGAATTTCGAGCATCGGCCCAAACTTTTGCATGACTTGAGGCATGGATTTGTGTTCTGCAAGCGCATAGTCGCGATGGACGCCTTCTGCTACAAGTGCGCCCTCTTGGTTGTCCCTGTCGTCCAACGTGACGCTGTGCGATTTATGTAGCTGGCCCGGCATTGCGATTTTGTCTTTGGGTATACTGCCTGGTGGCAGTGAGAATCGCGGATCATCCTGGTCACCCAATATTGAATTCATCATCGGCGGCCGTTTCTTGTTCAGCAAGGCTTTGAACCTGCCCACCGCTTTGAGAACGGTCATGACATTGCGCATGTTACCCGTAATAGCTGCATTCATTTCCGCTTCCGTTGGTGGCTCCAAAATCTCAGACGTATTCTCTTCCTGAGCCAGTAACGGATCCAGCCCGCCTTTGGTCACCCAGGGATGTGCACGCAGCTCAGCCATTTTAATCCGCTTAGGGGGATCTTTCTCCAGTATTTTCTGCATCAAATCTAGGAAGTCCTTATTCTCGTCCAGTGGGAAATCAGGCTGCTCGATTTTGATACTTTCGTATAAGTCCAGGATCTGCGACTTTTCGAACGGAATGCGACCGAATTTCAAGCAGTACAGGGTCACACCCATTGACCAGATGTCGGCTGCTTTCCCAGAAACATCGCCGTGTTTGGCAACGCACAATTCGGGTGGTAGAAAAGCTGGGCTCCCTGCAGATTTCGCAGTCACCATGGCCGACTCTTTCTGGAACATTTCGGAAACTCCGAAATCAGTGATCTTGAGCACGTCATCGTCTGTAACTAGACAATTGTCAGGCTTGATGTCACGATGTACGATGCCCTGAGCGTGTAGGTACTCGATTCCAAGGATCAGATCTCGGAACCAGTATCGGCACGCATCTTCTGGGTATGGGTCAGCACGTTGTTCCAAGTTCACACGCATGACAACGCCTTTCTTGCAGTATTCCATCACCATGTAAAGAGAGTCTTCGCTTGGATCGTCCAGGACTTCGATGAGGGACACGAGATTTGGATGATTGAGTTTCTTCATGATGGCGATCTCTTCCTTGATCAGGTCAATCGAGTTGGGAGTGACATCGTCGAGGCTGCCACCGGCAGTGCCTCGATGCAGTGGCGAGTTGAAGCCTTGTTTTCCGCCTCGCCGCGGCCCTCGTAGGATATGCGACTGGGCTCGTTTCCGAAGGCGTGACTTGGAGAATTCTTTGACGGCCTCTTTGACGTTAGGAGGTTTCCATGGTCTGATGCGATACATACATATTCTTTGCCGTATTGGTCTTTTGCGAGATGAACAGCGCCAAAGGAGCCTCGGCCGATCTCTTGCTTGATAAGATACTGGTTGATCCGATGCTCAGCGACACCGTCATCCTGACTCGTTATATACTCGGAGCGGGCGTTCAGAGATTCCTGGGACTGATCAGACACTACGCCACACGGCGGCTCTCTGCATTCACCTTGACATGTCTGGGTGCGGACGGAACTCTTCGGTGGTGTCGTAGAGGGCTGTCATACGCGGGGCTGGAGCTACAGTCTGTCAGCTTCTCGTAAGGAAACTACAGAGTGTCGGGCATCGTGCGTACACGTGTTTGAGCAGAGGCGGCTTGTTCCACTGCTCCTCATCATTATGACCGATGTCAACAGCTACAGCATCGGAAGGTGCGAGGTTGGCCCGCCTGACAGCGTTCTCGTCGATCGGCGGCGTAGACGACATAGCAGTGGGAGATGCCACCATGTCCATCTAACGGATACATTGAGAAGATGAGTCTAAGTGATGGGCTCACTGAAAGCCATACATCGATGCATGTGGCTGTAGGTAAGGTGATATGGCTGCTGTCCAGCGTTTCCGATCGATGGAATGGTGTGCTTGAAGTCGATGGAAGTGCGCTAATCGATAAGCATCACCTCCCCTCACACCCACCTTCATGACCCCATTCTGCTGATATCCGATATCCGGCATCCCTGCCGAAGACGTTCAATGATAGCAAGATCGAGATCGACTAGATAAACAGACTTTGGCATTCCAAGGACATGCGCAATCTGGCTCATTTCCATGCCTTGTATTGAGTCTTGTTGTTGTTCCTGCATATAGGCGGCGCTCCTGGCGTTCGCGATGGTGGTTTATTCCTTCTACATCTTCGACAGGCACGGTAAGATCTTTCGAGCTCGGCCAGCATCGAACCGCTGATCTTCTGCAGCCGAGTGTATCTACAAGAAGAACTGGCAACTGCCGACCGCAGCTGCTGGTCGGGCGTCACGGCCAACGTCGCAGAACCATGTCAACGGCGCCACGGGCTCTCGAGCACTTCTGACCGCTGACGATGACGCAAAGCTGATCTTCGGCGTGGTCTATTCATTGAGGAACATGGTGCGAAAGCTCGGCGGCGAGGACGACAGCTTTCTCTCATACAGAACGTCGCAATACAAACTTCACTACTACGAAACGCCAACCAACACGAAGTTTGTCATGCTCACCGACATCAAGTCGGGGTCCATGCGCATTGCATTGCAGCAGATCTACGTAAATTGCTACGTCGAATATGTTGTCAAGAATCCGCTTTCGCCCGTAGAGCACCCCGGTGGTCTTGGAGTCAACAACGAGCTTTTCGAAGCCAGTCTCGGCCAGTTTGTGGTATGAATACTTCTGCTGGCTATGTCTTGTGTGCTGACGATGGAACAGGACCGAGTGCTCAATGCAACATGAGACGTGATCGACCGCATCGAGTCGTCGACTGAATATATTGACTGGTTTTCCCTCTCGAGCTGTGGAATAGAGTGACTTTTTCGAGGGCTGCCTCAGGTGCCTGTAGTCGAAAAGCACGACGAGACCGCCATGATTCACGTCTGCGACAGATCGATGGACGCAGAGTCCGACGCGCAAACGATCCGATTGTGTGAGAAAGTGAGATCTGCGGTGCACTGTGCTCATTGATGGGTCGGCATCATGTGCGCTACTGCGCGACAAAACGTTTACAAGTGTCACTCATTCGAGCAGTGTCGCCAGTCAAGATGCGGATGTTGGGGCGTGGGGTCGAATTGTGAGGAAGCTCAATGCATCACGCTCCTGTTGCTCCTCAAATTCGACATTCGTTCAGCTCTATTAAATCGACAGTGCCGGCGACCAATATACAGCTTCATCACCATGAATATCGACTTTCACCCAGCGATTGGGTAACGCTGTTATGCGCTAATGCACCTGGGAATTTTGAGCTGCACCAATCATAAAAAACGCCCATGGTAATTCACGAAATCCTTCAACTTACATCACCTTAGCCCATCGGCACGATGCGCCTTTCGATTCTTCCGCGCGCTGTTCCCGTGAAGCCGCGTGGGAAAGACATTATAACGTTCAGTAACACATGGAAAATCCGAGGATCTGAACCCCCGGCCCATGTTCACGCCAAGACCAGCATACAGCATGCGAGGTCGCACAGACCTGCAAGAAGCCCCGGGGAGCACAGACGTGTTAGGCGACTTCGATATCGCAAAGAAGACGTGTCTCATACATGTTCTGACGTGCAGTCAAAGCAACGCCCGGTGCTGTTCAGAAAGGCGGTGTTCGATAGCGATGTTCGATGCACGAAGCACCTGCATGCTGGCCAATTACCAGGACACTGCCTGCACGTCATCATAACACAAGGTAGATCGCAAATCGGACCTGCATCGTATACTTCGTAGAGGAGCTGCGAGATCTGTCAACACTAGGTCTGCGTAGCGATATGACTCTCAAAGCAGGAGCAGGTCCTCTTCCTATGTTCTGGGGATATCGCTGGCTCCCAGTGCCTATCCCACTGGATTGCAGACAGGTAGCTGAAGAATTCAAGCCTGGCTCAGTCCACCCCGAGTTGCCAACAGCATCGGCTGACTTTGCGTACGAGTGCTTGCGGCCATGTCGGCGGTGACAGATTAACTGTTTCCATGACTGTATTGATATGCAAGAAGCGAAAACGCGACACGAAGGATAAGCTCTGTTCCACATTTGGGGAGTAAAAGTCCCTCTGGACTCTGGAGTCTGACTTACAGACAAGCCTTCACCAAACTTTGTCAACTTGACAGCCAGCCAGCCCTCGAACTTTCACGATTACATGCACGATGACGGACAGCTCTTTGCACCTGGCTGTTGAAGTTACAGGCCTTGCTAAGCCTTTAGTACCAGATTTTGGGGGTTGACGATTTTGGGAGAGCCCCTCACCACAGAAGTCTTCCCGAAAGGCCCGAGTCCCTGGACTCGAAAAGCGTTGGTCCCGGAGAAATAAACAACTGACCTTGAAAAGACTGCATCCTTCAGGCACGCGGTCGTGTCTGCAGATTTGTTGCTTGTTCGCGCGGACAGCGAGCCGCTTGTCCACGCACAGCCAGAGTCAGGCACCCAGCAAATCAAAGCGGTAAGCAGGGGAGCCTCCACAGAAAGACCCCTGCCCTTCAGTGCAACTTTAGCTCCGAGCCTTTGGCCAGGGGTCTTATTGTTCGAAGCCAAGGGAAAAGAAAAGGAAAAAGGAACCCCAGGCTTTCGGCTCCTGTGGGAAATCGGACTCTCGAGCCTCTGCTTTTTTACCCAGAGAGACGGGCGTTTTCGAATCAGAGCCAGACTCCATCTCAGCGTGATCGTTGATTGTTGCATTTTCTCAATCAAACCCCTGCCCGAAGTTGCATCGGCCTCGCACGACTTTGGCCTGTCTGGTTATCACCCAATTTCTCCCACGTCAGGCAGTTGAGGACACTCATTCGCTCGCTTTCCAGAAATCGCGCTTGCACGAGCAGATCTCTCATGCTGTGTTATTGGAAGCGTACCACAACGGTCGAATGCGATTTGACAGACCCGGCGCGTCTAGCTCATAGGATTCTTGCCACTTCTAGACGCCACTGGTCACTTCCTCGTGTTCTTGGTGTCTCAAGCGAGGCACTACTTTTGCCTTTCCCTCGAGTCATCAGCAGCTTCGACATGCCCAGACCTCTGCAGGTACCACCCCGCTGACATACGCTAGTCCCGGATCCTGGGTACGTCTGTTACAGGGATCTTCCCTTACACTTCACGTCGTGTGTTCCCTATCGCTCTTGCATGTCCTCTTTCCTCTTGTATACTCGAGTCTGCCATTCACCCACGTCCTACCACACCTTTCCCATACGCTACCATAACAGAGCATATACCTCAAATCCGACATATCGATAGTCCATCCGGGCTCGTTCATCACGTGTGTTATCAGAACGCAAAGCATGAAGCCGTAGAACACACTCCTCAGAAAGGCGCGAAGCGTCCTGTACAGCAACAATGACTGCGCGAGGTCCTCACTCAGGGTTCTGCCCGTCGCCATTTCTTCAGGAAAATACCTTTCCTGAAACTGGAGGATGTACGTACCCGTGACGGGCCACATTCACTGGAGCACGATGCTTACGCCGTCCAGTTCTTCCAGGTCGTTTCTGCCAGCCTATATCAGCACTCGGGAACCTGACGTGCTGTTTACCATGTCCGCTAACAGACTGGGCATATCCTGATGGTGCGACTCACCCTCAGTCTCGTTGTTTAGTAGGCTGATGTCACAGGCTTCGAGTCAAGGACAGAGATCGCCAATTGGGTCAACGTGGCAGCATTGGTCGCCTCAGTGTTTCTGCTGTTGTCTTTCGCCATACTGGACGTGAAGTGGACACATCGACATTACCTGAGTGTGTGTCTGACAATATCAGTGGTGTTCATTGAGGTCAGTCGCATGGCTGCTGAGCTGGTCCAGTACTAAATGTTCTCAGTTGGCTTTCCTCCTGCCGGCAGCAGGTGATCCCGACCAATGCTTCAACGAAATTACGCCAAACGACATGAAGTCCAGCGGCATGTGCGCGGCCAGTGGCGCGTTTCTGCTGTTCGGTGGATGGGGTGCTGTGATATGGGTTTTCCTGCGTGCGCTCTCACTGCACTTACAAATTTGCTGGGAGCTGGTACCAGGCAATCGGTTCTTCTTGGGATCACTGGTCTTCGGATGGCTGATACCGGTCATCGGACTCGCCATCGCACTCGCCTTGACCGGAGTATCATTTAGATTCGGCAGTGTATGCCACATCAACCACAAACTTGCTCTGCAGGACTTCTGGGGCCCACTGCTGGCCTTCGCTGCCATCGGCATGGTGTTGCAATTCATTACACTGGGATATTGCATTCATGTCTACATTAAGAGTCTGATGGACGACAAATCGACAACGACTAACACAAGCTCGAACATGCAAAGCTACACAGGCAGCGTCGCGACCAGGTCAGCACGTCAAACGTTCCGAAGAGTAAAAAGAGTCGTTGAGTTACAATGGAGGGGCGCGGCTATAGTGCTTCTGATCATCGGAGAGGTCGCCTTCTTCGCCGTTGTATTCGTCTCGATGGATAACAGCTTCCAAGTGAGCGACGAGCTTGTGCGGAAAGCGACGCCGTGGCTCACCTGCCTGGCCAACCCGACTAAGACGAAGAATGACTGCCTGCCATTGATCGGTACTATTACGCAAGCCGAAGGTGTAGTCTTGGCTGTTCTGATCTGCTTAGGGGTGAGCACTTTTCCGACTCCAACACACGATCTTTGACTGACATGTTTCTAGCTGAGCGGCTTCTGGTGTATGCTATTTTTCGGACGCTGGTCCATGGTGCTGGGATGGAAGGACCTCTTCCAGCGCAAATTGCTCAAGAAGAATGAATTCATCTCAGCTGATGTTCACAGAGCCGATAACCGTACGTACGAAATGTTGACGAGTGGGAAGACACAACCACTGAATCTCAATCCACCAGATCGAACATACCAAAGCCCGATCTCGCCAGATTCACAAGCATGGTCCCCCGAGGATGCCGACAACAAGCATTTCTATGGAGGCGTGAGGACATATGTGACGCCAGCGACGAGCTACTCGGTACCTCGACCACCGAGTTCGGGCCAGAATAAGGAGTGGGATCCTCGAATGACATGGGCGAAAAGCCATCCACCCGCACCGGCTGGGTATCCCAGAGGCAAAGATTTTGGTGGTGGCTGAGCGGTCGACACACAAGAGTTGACCTTCTTTGCATTCTAGCGTCAGGTGCGAATTTTTTGGGCGAGGCGCATTGCTACTGAACGTTCCTCGGGATTCAGAAGGAGGAACTGGCAGGAAAGCCATCGATTTTGCGACAGCATTGTACATACCAGCCAGCGCTGGAAAGGACAATCTTTTCTTTACGTGATCACGAGAAGCATGGGCTAGATGAGGGATATCCAAATGGTCTGCAACCAATGCGACCAGCTCCATACAAAGGGAGCCATAATTCGGCGGCAAGGGCTTACATTTGGCCAGCTTCACAGCACCAGATCTGAGGTCGGATGTACAAAATCATCATCATTATCACCAACACCCTCAATCAACCCCTAGCAATGATTTTCTGCGTTGTCACAAGGCTCTCTGATATTCATTTCGCAGATGCTGTCGATCGCCAACTCTACTGGCAGGAGAGCATCTGCCTTCCTACGGACACCGGTTTGGTAAGACCGACCATCCGGGTGCTCCTTCATGTTCATTCTCACGTACGACCTACAGAGAAAGCACACTGTCCATGTCAGATGCACCTTCCCCATGCTATCAGGCCATTGCATAGCACCCGCGCTTGCCACCTGATCCCGACCACACCGGTATCTTCCTTCTTATCCTATCGTAGTCGTCGATCTGAAGCAGTTGTGAGCCCAAGTACGCCATCTAGTGCCATGCTAGTACTTGCACGAACTGAAGTGGCCGGCAGAAATCTAGTGCATATTCGTGCAATCCCTTTGCTTCGCCTACTGCCATCGAAGCACTCTATTTTGCTCAAATTCATTACAGGCTCAGAGCCTGATGTCGCTAAAAAGCAACCACCCCCTGAAGTCTGACCCACGAGCACTGGCAGCTCACGCAATGCCCTGCGATGGTCTCCACCGTCGCTATACCCACCCAAACCTGTTACAGAGAAGATCAGCATGACCAAAAACCAATGCTGGCCGACAAAATACCGACTATGAGCCGCCACAGTGTTCCGCCAGGCTGAACTGGCCACAACTTGGCTGCAAATGCATGTGATGAAACGCCTTGACAAGGAAACGGAGAGACTCTCATACACAGGACGTCCGATTCCGCTGTCACAACAGTGATGCTAACGAGCGTGGCGCGTTGCTGTCAACGGAGTCGATCGGATCACGATTCGACAAACCGCGTGGTCGGTGAGCCGCAAGAATCTCGACTTGTGCGACTATGGAGCTCATCATCGTCTATGTACCCCCACCTGGGTTGGACTATAGACGGAAGCGAAACAGAACTCCCTGTACACACGACGAAAGCGATGGATCGTTTAAGACAGGTCGGTCTCAATTGAGCTTTCTCCAGGCCAGCCATCCCTACCTGGGTGACTCCCAATAACTCGAGCCAGGCTCGCTTAAGAGCCGGAGCTGTGCTGCGAGTCTGAGCTTTGTAGCCATCATGGCCGACTAGAATGCACAACAGTGAAGACGCAACGACGATGTCTGTCATGCGACTCTGATGGCGAACGTCAAGGTCGTGGGAAGGTCTGGAGCAGATGCCAACAACGTGGCTGCCCCTGTACCTGCATCATCATGCGCATCAGCCACCATTTCAGGTAAGGGCCGGGCTTCCACGTTAACTTTTGACAGCACTTTTTCTCCGGTCGCTTTCTCCTTCGTCCGTGCTGGTCGATCAGAGATCTTGCTGCTGTCGATCTGACGGCGGTACTTGTATGTGCTGTCTCGACTGTCCATCTCCACATCAGCGCATCTTCGCCATCTACGCCATAATTTTCGGAACAGGATCACCTTCTGTAGGTCCTACCAAACCCGTGATGTATGACTTCGGCAAATTTCGCTCGATTTCTTCGATCTAAGCTCTATGTAGCAACTGAAGACCGCCTCGAGTAGCGCTGACCGATGGACCCTCGGCTGTAGCACCAACCCAACAACAATACCCAGGTCACCTCCAAAGCATGCGAAACCCATGTCTCGCCAGAGTCGCCACGCTTTCGATTCTCGCTTCTGCTGCACGGGCCCTTGGCGAGGAATGTTGTGTGCATTTCGCTCCTCACAAGCATGGAGGTATGCTTGATCGGAACTGCAAAGATTGACCATGCTCAACAGTGTGCACCCGTGTACGACTGGACTTCCTATCGACGGTGCCATACGCATGTGGAGTGTTCTTCTAGAAACAGCCCAAAGACTCTCCATGACCTTAGTCAGACTCGACCGAATGTCGTGATTTAGCTCGACCCATCGATTGCAACCCCGGTGCCGGAATACTTCTTCACTTCTCCCCGTCGAGCTCATGCAGACGTTTAGCGCACACCAATCCCAGGGGCCGTTAAAGAAACGATACAACGTCGAGAATCGAGATTGTCATGCTCTCGAAATATTCTGACGTCTTTGCAGGGACCAATCGCTAGCCATGTTCTATCAAATTTCCTGTGGTCATGGTTGATGTTCATTGGATCAGATGCCGCGCCATACAGACATGCGTCTCTCTCCAGGATGCGCGACCTGCACGGCTTTTGTGAGCATATTCGACAAGGTACAGGTACGAGGGCAGATTCGATAGCCTTGTCGATCTTCCGAGTGAAATCAATGCCATCAGTCTCGTAGGCTGAACATACTTGGCGAAACAGGTGCGATGGAACGAAACACCGGCAGTCCTGGCAAAGACCTGAACTCCGTGTCGTAGGAGGAAAATCGTTCGGTCGTCGCGTTAATGGCCGACGCCGGCATATGTTCGTCTGATGCATTGGCGAAGGCCCACCGTGCTGCGGAAGCGTCAGGCTGCCATTGAGGAACAATAACGATTTGGTAAGTTGAATGTCTCGACTCGGTCGACCCTCGAGATCTGGCTGGGCTTAGAGGCGTCCAAGCATCCGCCGGGCACCGATCACGCCCGTCTACAACAATCGAGGCACTCTTATGAAGTTAATTGCAGCTCGTGGTCACGGATACTTAGCCTGTGGGCATATACGGCGCCTGTGCTCGCAGCATGAGCCGGCAGTGAGGGACACTGTTCAACCTCATGACACACACGTTCGTGTTACTACAGCCGATGGGCGACGGGGCCGTGCTTGAGTGTTCCCTACCATCTGATGAAGACCTGCTGCGGCATTTGAAGAGCGTTGCCTGGTTCAGGGAAAATATCCGAACATGCTTGTCGTACTAGTGGCATCTTTGACAAGGGAGCACCCGAAAGCTTCAAGCCATGCATTATTCCTCGAGCATGCCTTCATTAGACACAGGTACTTCGGGCCCAGGGATTCATCCTGGGAACACGTGTCACGGAAGCCTTTTGACAACCTGGGTTTTGTGATTCAAGGGACGGCACGGAGCATTTCGTCATGTCGACTTCGATGGGTCTCGAGTCGAATTCTTACGTCCAGAGCTCGTGTTTCCGTGGGCTACGACGCGCCACTGTCATTTCGCTGAACTCGCACTCGAACATCTTGGGCTCAAGCGCTGTACTGATCACTGATCCCATCTGCCGGCATGATACTATGACACATACTTCTGCGCCGTCGGATGCACGGACCAAAGGATCCGCACAAGGCTGTCGGTTCTCGTTGAAGGAACGTAAATCGCTTTTTGCGACCCGAGCAGAATTTCGAGCTCCATCAATCAACGCTTGGCGAACAGTGGGTAATCACATCCTACAAATGGCCTGAGACGAACGTTTCGTGGGTCAACGTTACATTGAGCAAAAGATCATCGGACTTGAAACGTCGAGAACGTGTGTCAGCCGAGCTATCCCTCCCCGGTACCTGACGAGTTGCCGGCGTTCACGGTAAGCGAAATGCGACGCTCGTGTCCAAGAAGCTTGGGGGGAGATCTGAAACGACTCGCTTGTTCGAGATCTTGTGCCAAGCGCAAGGGCTTGCAATGGCCCAAGATGCGGAGTTGTGTTTACTGCACATCGATGGCATGCTAGGAGCTCGAGCTATTCTGAATCGTTTGCACGAGAGCTGCTTTGCGAAGGCGCAGCATCTTGGTGCCTAGTGCTGCGACTGTACAGTGCTATCGAGGGAGATCTCGTCGGCGTTGGGAATTTATCGTCAGACGCATTGTAATTATTGGACTTTGAGATGCGAGTGAGTTCGAGTATCGCCGTTGCTCGACTCGGTGTTGCTGGTCCACATGACTTCTTGTACGATACACGGCGCCCGAAGGACGGTCCTCAGGACCTCAGATCGCAAACCTGCAAGTATTTAGACGCACACATAGGGCTTCCCACGACAAGATATACACAAAGGCAAGTTCCGAGCTTTCCAGAGGTCGGACCCCAAATGGCTGGGCGATGGTCTTTGAGATCACAACCACTCGAAATTCTGCTACATGCTCACGGCCCAATTTCTGAGTGCTGCAGCGCACACTCAGCGGTAAGGACTCCGGCACTTTGGTTTGTGGCGCGCTATTGGCTGCATTCGCAGCCGACCAAAGTCCCCCAACCTTGAACTTGGCCTGGGAGTTAAATGATGTTGCAGCCTGATCCGTTGTATGCCAGCTCATCATAGCTGTCCGCCACATCTGAGACAGAGGTGCATTTACGATAGACTACGTCAATGTCCGCTGTGGTCAGTGTCTGCTGTGCGACGGACGTTGACAGTAAGACCGGCGACACCATTCGCGGGAGTTTCCATCGCGAACCAGCGTCCGACTTATGGCTCGGGCGTTTGAAGCATCCGACTATCCTGCAATGAATCTTGCTGGAGAGCTGCGGCTTATCAAAATCGGCGATAAGCTCGAGGATGGTACCATCTCGTGCGCGATCAGATGCGCGGCTTTGGATGAACTGTACAACTGCCTGTCATACGTCTGGGCCCCGAAGACCCGGCGAGTGACAGATCAATCCTGCTCAACGGTCTGACGTTCAGTGTGAGAAACAATCTCTTCTCGTTTCTGGATCGTGCGCGGACATTGTGTCCGGGTAAGGATATCTGGTGAGTCAATCGGTGGCACAAACTAGCGTCTGAGCGTGCTGACGGGGGTGAGGATCGATGCTATCTGCATCCAGCAAGATGATATTCATGAAAAGAATCACCAGGTGCAGCAGATGGCGGACATTTACGCAAATGCCTCAGACGTTTATGCTTGGTTAGGTCCATCGGCAGAGCTCGATCTCATGTTTTCTCTGTCTCTGGATTTACTCAGAGTCCAGAAGCAGCATCGGGAAACAGCTGATCGTGGTTCAGTATATAGGCGACTTGCATCCACTGCAGATAGCTACTTGGACTTGGAACCGACCGCGATTATGAAAGGCATCGAAGCCTTCTTTCAACACGACTATCAAACACGTGCTTGGATCTGCCAAGAAGTAATAACTCCGGGCCATGCCTGTCTCCGCCTTGTTAGTCAAAGCCACGTTGTGTCTATGGATGACTTCTTTGACGCGTTTCGGGCAGCTCACTGGCCTCGGCGTGACGCTGAGGTGGGAGTGTTTACGTGTATCAGTGACGAACTCATACCGCAGTCTACGCTTGCCATGCTCGCAAGGTGGTCAAGAAGCACCATTCGGCGCGCTGGCCATGTCGACGGTGGTGTCGCCCTTTACGATTTTCTCCGCTCGATGGCTGACATGCGCTGCATCGATCATCGTGATCGAATTTACTCAAGCCTAGGATTTGTCAAACGTGGTGAGAGCTTCCGCGTCGATTATAGCGAAAGTGTCGAGGCTCTATTCTGGAGAGCGGCAGAGCACTTTGACCCGCGAGACAATGTGAAAGGGATCTGTGACCCGAGATCGGCACTGTCAGATTCGCGACGTACTTGGAGCGACCCGGAACGCATGAGGTATCACTACCTTGGCCTGCTGGCAGAGGCGTTGAAAGTAGGCTCTGAGAGTCTGGTAGAGCAGCCTTGTGAATCAAGGAGGCCTGTCGTGTACCGCATAAACACCGATGTATGGTATCGGTGGCAACGTTGCAGCACATTCACTGGTCGACAACATGGCAGAATATCATGCCCGCTGCCCCCGGACAGTGTACGAGATAGGATGTCCCGCTCACTGGTATTGTTCACTAGGACACCAAGGCGTTTGATCGCTTGTACTTCTCGAACAACTGAGCACTGCCATATCGAATTTAAGCGCAACACCCAGAACGAATATGCGATCAGCTCCATTCTATCCCATTCTGGAGAGCACTATCCTAACCAGAGGTCAGATGAGACCGTGTTGGGCATTTATTTAGTCCAGATACCGCCAGAATCGCGATGTGATCAGGCCACGTCAGACAAAGTCGTCCAGGCAGCTGACCTGCATTCTCACATCTTCAATACCGACAAATTGGCTGTGCGTTTGCCAGCCATGGCAGTTGCGTGGATTTTGCGACAGGATATGAAGATGTCACGACCAGGTACTGAGCTTGATTCACCACGGTCCGAGACAGAGAGACGTCGTGAAGAGGCCTTGCAACGAATTCGCCAGATGATCGTTGATAGACACTCGGCGAACAAGTTGGGCAATGTTTCAGACTCTGGCCAGCTGTGATATCCTCGCCGGAGAAGAACCGTTGATTCAGGGTCGTCCATCACGCAAGCCATTACGGGGCCCGGAATAAACTCTCGCCCATCGACGACACAGCAAGTCTGACGGAGAAATGATCGCAGAGTTACTGCAATAACAGCTGCATTCCACCTGCATGGATCACAGGCGAGGCTTCGAGATGCCCGGATGACGTTGCTCAATGATATGCGATTGGCCATGTCTCCGGAAAGAGATGACTCTTTTTATCTTTGACTTACCAGATGCTGCTGATATACTTGGACCCAGGACACACGGGGACTAGTTCGGATCACTTCGACGAAGACTAAAAGGAGCTGGGGGAATCTGTTAGAACGGAAGGGAAATTTGTAGCCACCCGTCCATGCACAACTAGCCCACTTGATTCGGAAAGGAAAGAGCAGCCATGTTTGGTAATTGGGTGGGACCTGGAGATCTGATATTGGCACGATGATATTATCCTTCAGCTGGTCCACCATGATGTTTGGGTGGGGGCTGTACACACTAATGCCGTTGCTCTTGTTAAGAAAACTTGGGAAATGGGCAGACAGGGTAGCTGGGCCTGGATTAAGGCGTAAAAGGATGCTGGGCAGGGCAAAGACGGCAGAAAGGTGAAAGGTTGAGTGAGCCGACCGAGACAAAACAGCTGTGCTAGTAGGAAACATAGGCTAATCGGAGGCGTCGTTGGTGCTTGAGCTGTGGACCGCATCGTGATAAGGTCGTGGACTGATGGAGTGGGTGGTCCTGCATTGTGATACTGTGCATCGAGTTCGCATGCCTCATGCGGTTGTTCGCAGGAAGCCCAACATGACAGCCATCAGCGCAGACATGACACTTTCGTGGGGACAGCATGGGAGCGACACCGGATCAACGCTGCTGAACATAGAAAGTGCCGGAAGACTGGAACATGAGAATCGAAGTCATGAATTGACTGGGCCGCTGTATTTGCCTTCTGCTGCCTGTTCAGGCGACTGTCCAGTCATCCTTGACTTGAGCTGATCTTCGCGGTAAAGTCATTGGCTTCGCTTCAGCCTGCCCGTCTTGCGTGCCGGACAGAGCTCAACATAATCTGCAATTCATGCATGCAGCGAGTCGTCGAAGTGCCGCCTCGAGGTATTCATTCGTAAGTCCCGTCGCGCGAAGTTCAGATGGCCGAGATCACTTCAACTTCCACCTATGCAGCATCCCGCTTTCCCTCCTTGACCTCCTTCAGCGCCTTCATCGTACCGTGCAGCGCATGCTTGTGATTCCGTCGGAACTTGGGGTCTGTGCCCTTGAGCGAGGGGTATCTGAAGGTCTTTGGCTTTTTGATTCTGTTGGCGCAGTCTGTCAGTTCATTTGCTCTTCTCGGTGACTCGGCGGATAGCGAGCAACCAAATGTCATAGGCGCTGGATGGGCGGACGAGTTAGGGAGATTATTCATACCCATTGCGGTGCGCCTTCTTCGACTGGTTGTGCTGGGACGAGTTCTTTGATTCTGTAATGAAAAGTCGTCAGCTAATCTGGATACACGCAGACTGTGAGGTCTCTAATAAACGGCAGAGGACGTCGGACAGGCGCAGGCTGGTCGCAGGGAAATCACATTCGACGTCTGTCGTCAATGTCCAACCTGGTCCACGATGCGACCATACTTCGCCTTGACACCGCCTGAGCGTCGTTCAAGGATTGAAGGATACGTACTGGCCATAGCGACGGTGTTTGTCGGTCTGCCGATTCAGAGAATGGTCGTTATGAGCGAGATAATCTGGTGTGATTCCTGGACTGCGGTAGTCGATAGAGTCGGGGAGAAATGGCGAGGTTGTGGGTGGAGCTCAAGCACTTGGCGCCAAGGCTTTGACTCTTCTCATTATTGTTCACCTTAAATAAAGACATGTGTTTCCTCCTCCAGACCATCGTGGATTGGGTACTTGAAAAGGCGAACGCTGGACTGTGCACTGCAGAAGCAAAGTCATCACTTTCAAGACACTATCATTTTGGCATTTGTATCCAAGAGCACTCACAAGTGTGAGCTGCTATTTACCTGCGTTTTTGTCCGACCTCCAGCAGTTGAAGCCGGTGCTTTCGCCACGAGTCCTGTAATCTGGATCAATCAAATGATGCACATCTAGGCTAGCCCAGCTTGCGAGGAATTGCTTGACTTGTACTGTTTGCAGCTTTCCCCAGGCATCACGATAAGGGAAGTATTCGTCCTTGATTTGTCGTTATGACTATGGAGCTGTTCGTTGCAAACTCTCCAGCTGTCCTACCGCTTGACCTTGTCTGAATTCTCGTCATACAGCGCACATCATTCCGTGTGTCGTCCCTCCGGTTCTCTCCTTCTTATTCCTGCTGTTCTCCTTCTGCCTCATCCTGTTCTGCATCATTCTCCTCCGGTTGTGTTTCAACGGGCACTGGCTCCTCCGCTTCTAGTTCTTCGGGCGCTGACTCCTCGCTTTCTGGTTCCTCTGGTTCTTCTGGCTCCTCTGGATCCTCTGGCTCCTCTGGCTCCTCGGGCTCCTCGGGCTCCTCTGGCTCCTCGGGCTGCTCTGGCTCCTCTGGCTCCTCTTGCTCCTCTGGCTCCTCTGGCTCCTCGGGCTCCTCTGGCTGCTCTGGCTGCTCTGGCTGCTCTGGCTCCTCTGGCTCCTCTGGCTCGGGCTCTTCGGGCGCTGGTTCAACAGGCTCGGGTTCCTCTGGCTCCGGTTGCTGGCTTTGACCATCCAGGGGCAGCAATGGCGGCTCTTCGCGACTGTCGGGATCACCAGCGCACAAATGCCAATCTACCCACGTGTCCGCGGAACACGTCCTCATGCCTCGAGCATCGTCATGAACCTCGTAGATATCTTTACAGTCGTAATCACCTGCTCCGCAGATCGCGTCACCACACGATCCCCAGACGTCATACCCATGCATGTACATGCTTTGGCCATGGTCCGAGAAGACTTTGCCCTTCACGTTGGACAGATTGATGGACAGCTTGCCTAACGCAGGCTCGCGCGTCCATTCGATTCCTGTGACGCCTTCGTAGCCAGCGCGGCTGCACTGGATCGTGGCGCCTAGGCCGTTCAGGTATTCCGGTGTCAACGGTTGGTTGTAGCTTGTACCGGGCGCGATTGCGAAACTATACGCGGGTGCAATTTCCGGTAGGATAGGTGCCGAACAGACTGGAGCATCGAGGCAGTGGTTGTGGATTCTGAGGGACGGAAATCTGGCCAGGTCGTGGGGAATCGCAGCGACCAGGACGGGAAACGCCAGCGCGAGGCGGGATAGGTGACTGAAGGATACCATGGCGGACACGTCTATGTCCTAGCTTCCTGTCGTTGTGACGCGATGGGTATCAATTTTGAAGTCGGGATCGAAACTCCGACGATGGGAACCGGGTCGAGGTGAGACCAAAGAAGGAAGAGAAGAGGTGCGGTACTGGTATGTATTGTGAGATATTTGTGCGATCGAATTGCGTGCGGGATCAGACATGGTCAAAGTATGGTAGAGCGCAGTGTAAGTATTTGCTCAGTCGCTTCGATATGGAAGATAAGCGAAAACCTTGGGATGAACACGTATACTGAAGCACAATTCGGAAGTCAAGAAAGGTTGAGTTGGTCCTGAGAAAGCGAAGCGGAGCGGAGCGGTGAGCACGACCCAGCTCCGCGGAAACCTCGAGGTGCCTTCGTGCTCTTACTTCCTTCCGTGCTCCTGGAGTAGCTCCTTCTCCATCCTTTCAAACCCTTTCAGCGCCTTCCCATACTTTTCGAAGCACTCCTTATTATACCCGTCCGCGATCTTCTCCGCAAACTCGCTCTCGCGCCACCTCTTCCCAATCAGATCTTCGAAGGTTTCGCCCTGCTTCCTCTCGACGGCCCATACCGCCTTGTACGCCGAGCCAAGCGCACAGGCATTTTCGCCAACATCAAGCTTCCAGACACCGTCGCTCCCGCCCAGCACTTCGCCAGCAACCTTCGCAATGGCCTTGTTGCGTGACCCGCCTCCAACAACGTAAATGCGTCGAGGTTGTGGAGGCAGTCCGTCGGCGGGGCTTTGCACTAGGTCTTGTGAGCGTAAGCGGAGCGAGAGCATTTGCGACTCGACGATAATTCTTGCATCTTCTGCGGGCGCGTTTCGTACACTACCCGTCTTGCTGAGTTCATCGCTCTCCGGGTCGTACTCGTAATGCCATTCGCCTTGGGGCAGATTTGGGATGATCTCTGGTCGAGGAAAGTAGAGCCCGAGCTGTGCTGGCTTGGAGTCGCTTGCTGCCAAGGGCGGAGCTGCGAGTAGCTCTCTATCAAACATCTCCCAATGCTTTGTGCCAGCTAATATTGACGACTGGTTGTTGATAGCGTCTCGGACGTATTCTCTGGCCAAGCCGCCGTTCTTGTAACAAAGCATGAACATATAAATGCCTGCTGTGGTAGGTGAGTTGAAGAAATGTGTCGCCGGATCGGGCTTGTATTGTGGTGTGGACATGAGAAAAGTGGTCGATGTTCCGAGTGAGACAAGAGCGTCGTTCGGTCGCAGCGGAAGTGCCAGAATGGTAGATGGATTGTCACCTGTCGATGCAATAATTTCACAATCAGGCTGAAGCCGTACCGCTTGACGAAGTAATCGGAGATCCGGCCTAGGTGTTCTCCTCCGTCTTCTGGCACGTCGCCGAGCTTGCTTTTCAACTCATCGACGGGAAACTTGCCCGAAGCCAGCTCAAGCAGCTTGGGATGCCATCTGCCATTCGGGATATCCCACAGATTCATACCACATACATCGGAGATATCGAAGGGCGCCAATTTGCCACGGAAAATTGTTGCCAGCCATGACGAGACAAGCGTAATTCGATGTGTTTTTTGGTATGCTTCCGGGTGCTTGCGTGAGAACCTCAGGATTTGTGGTCCTGTGAATCGGTGATGTGCTTTGCTTCCTGTAGCATTCGCTAATTCGACCTCACTCCCAAGGATAGCATCAAACTCGTCGCACTCCTTCTGCGTACTTGCATCTTGCCAGTTGGGACTGAACGGATGGGCAAGAGCTTTGTCCACTTGCTTTTCCAGTCCTTGCGATGGATCGAGGCTTCCCAAGACCTGTTCGGCTTGCGTATTCCAGAACACGCTACCATGCTGCATGCCAGCACCACTGATGCCTTTGACTCGTAAGAAGTCTAGTCCGGCGTCCTTGAGCCTGGCCAGCACGGTGTCCACGGCTTGCAGCCACAATGTCACTGGAGCGAAGACCTCGCCTTCGGCTTCGTTGGTCATGACACCCTTGCGGATGTCATAGCCCTTGGAGTCGGCATCGAAGTCGAATTTTGCTTCGTAGACTTTCTTCAGGGTGGAATCTACCACTAGCGCTTTCAGCTGCTGTGTCGACAGATCAGTACCGATATACAGTGGTCCGGACATGCTGTACTGTTGCCGCTCAATACTCTTCTACCACTCGAGTGTTGCAGCAATTCAATTTCTCGCGTCTGCTGTGTGCGTGTCAGTGATCTGATGTTGAGAACACGACTTCTACTTCCGGAGTGAGGAGAAGCCCACACGGAGTCAAGCCCGATTGGACGGCTTTCTTGGCGGTGGGCAGAAAGGTTGTGGATATCAGGCTGATCTCGAAAAGGTCATCACCTGTCTTTCTTTTGCTCGTGTTGATGAGTATGAGCATGGCCATTACTGTGCACATGACTGTGATTATGCTCGTCTTCCGCTTCTGGTTCAGGACTGCTTCGAGGACTGATGTCTGCCGGGATGAAGTCGGTAGTCAAATTGCTGCTGGAATCTTCAGAGGAGACGAACTTGACACGAACGCGACGAGCACCGCGGACCTTGAGGCCGACTCTGTTGCGAACTGCCTCTTCGATAGCGCTGAGCTGCTGAAGCGTGAACGTATTCGGAGCAACCAGCTCGATATCGATCAGGTAATTTTGGCCAGACTTGATACCCTGCACGTCGCGAACCTCGATCTCTGAGCCGTTCTCGACGCCAGCGATCTTTGTGGTACTATTGCCTTTCAGGGCTCTGTTCGAAACTCTTTGTACCTTCTCCTTTACTTCTTCATCGATCGTGACGTCGCCTAGCTCGAGCAATGCAGACTTTGTGTTTCCCCAACCAGCTCTTATGACCATAGCAGCAATGATAATGCCACCGACAGGGTCGAGCCACGATGCATCGGATATGACGTGAGCGCCTCCGATGGTGAGTAGGGCGACGATGCTGGTCAGGGAGTCGATGCGGTGGTGTACGGCGTTCGAGGCTAGGACGGAAGACTTGCGCTCTCTGGCTATCTTGATGGCTGCAGTTGTTAGCGAAGGTTGAGGAGATCCATGGCAGTACTCACTTGCTCTGTACAGCCACTCCTTGACCACAATTGAGCCCGCAGCCAGCCAGGCCGCATTCAGACTGGGTGGACCACCTCCATGGCTGTGGTTATGTCCCAGAAAGCTGAAGAGGCCGTGTGAGTGCTCGTGGGCGTCGTGCGCATGATCGGCGAAAAGTTGCATATACAGTGTATCGATGCCATTCAAGCCCATGCCAATTCCACCAAACAGCAGCAGCCCACTGACGCCCAATGCGCCTAAGCTTTCAATCTTGCCGTAGCCAGTAGGGAAGCGTTCTGTCGGTGGACGTAGTGACCATGAAATTGTGGCCAGAGTCATGAAGTCCGAGACCAGATCAGTCAGGGCATGGAAGCCGTCGGCGATCAGCGCCTGCGAGTGAAAGACGTAGCCTCCGACGCCCTTGCCGATAGCCATACCCAGGTTGACGAAGAGACCAATCCTTGTGATTTTGACGCCGGCATCATTCTTGTTCGACGATGTGAGATATGTATTGTCGTGCCCGTGACTGTGGCCGTGACCATGAGCATGACCTGCATGCTCGCGCTTCTGTGTTTTCGCCATATTCGTACAGTGTATAAGCAGGAAGGGATGGGTGGCCGCAGGACGCTTTGGGGCTAATGATTGATTGCGACCGAACGCATTCCGTGGTGTCTTGGAGGGGCCGATCAACGTGCTCAGATGTCGGGTGCGGTCTGTGTATGCAGGAGACCGGCTTGCGAGGAGGAGTGAAGACCGCGTTTCAAACCGGGCGAGATGATGCAGGAGGGTCATTATTTGAGCCGCGCTCCAATTCGTTCGAAAGGGGAAACTCGCAAACAAAGGGGTGGTGATGGTGTAGGTGGTTGTTGCGCGTGTATGTGTCAACCCATGGTCTTATCACGAATGTTTGCAGCTCTTCTCCGAGACACGCATCGACAACAACTTGAAGATATTCTATAACTACTACAGTGATCTTCTCCAATCATTCCGTCACTTTTACAATTACACAAGGTTCCGCTGCTGATGAATTTCGTGCTCGGTCGAGCCCGAAAATTCCGAGAAATTTCCTCCACGATTCTTCTCCAACTCGACCACGCCTTCAAAGCTCCAAACCGTCCGGGCGGGACCTGGCGAGTGCAGATAGCCTTGTGGCCAGTCCTAGCGTATCGTTGTACACTCGTTGGTGAGTTGTTGGCCATAGTCTACAGTGTAGGCAATGGCATCGGGTAGTCATCGAAGCCTATTGCATGGTCATTGTCAAGATTGAAAAGATCCCAACTCTCAGCTGGGAGGTCGAACAGAGCTCCCCAGTCATCCTCGGGTCTGATCTCGAAAGGCGGACCTGGAGTCAGTGCGATAGGCAGCATGTCGTTGGAAGATCGGATCGCATGCTCGCGACTTCTTTGACCTGAAATGGTTTCTGTCAGATGTGTACATCTGATGCACTTAAGGCACTTACTGGTTGGGCTTTGAGCCTCAGGGTATGGATGCGGCTGCCCAGCAAACTCCTCCCGCCATCGCCACCACACGTCGAAGACGCTGCTCATAGTCAATCGACTGCGACAAAGCATTGAGAAGCTGTCACTCGTTCCGTCTGGCTGATTGAAAATCGTGCTACTGTTCCAGAGTTGCGTTATGATGACGGTTGATCGCGCCATCACGTCGTCTTTGTGAATGGACATCTTGCGGAAGAGATTGATGGCTGACTGATATGCTAATTGACCCCTGCCGAGATCGATATCCCTCTTCAGACGGCCTCTATACATCCGGAGAATGATGCTTGATGCTAGATAGATCATCCTGCCGGTGTAATCGGAAGCACACTGGCTGAGCTGTATTCGGTCATCGAGCTCTAAGATCTTCTCGATCACGCTGCATGCTGTACTGTATAACTTAATGAGAGCAACAGGATCCGCCTGGGCCTGGCCGATGAAGATATTGAAGCTTTGAATTTGTAAGAGGGCGCTGAGGAAATGGTAGTGACCTGAGAAAGTTAGCGATGCGACGCGCGGGCGGTCTCTGGTGCCTACCCATATCGTCGTGCTCCAATGTGGACAGCTGAGACATCTGACCGGTGTAAACAGACACCAGTGAGCGAAGATCGCTCGCACTGCTGGGGCTAGCTTGGAGAGCCATCCGACCAAGCTCGACAGTCGCGGTTGCCAAAAGCTGAGATACCTTCCTCTCGTAGAGCAGGCCATGTGGGAGATCATCGATTTGGTCATCGAATGTATCGATGATGATCGGAGGCGGCAGTCCGTAGGCACAGCTCAGCCTGCATGATCAGCCTCGCTCCTGAGGAGAACTTGATAGACTTACCTTTGTGCTGTGATCAAGCATGAGATCCAGAGTTTGGCTCGCAATACTTCAAGAGATGGTTCCGGATTCAAGGTGACGCGCGAGAAGTCCTGACCCACGCCTCGGATATGTAGACCTTTGTTCATCGAGAATTGTAACATCAGACTACTCAGTGTCGTGGAGATTTCCTTCCCGAACGTGTCGACTGGAATCGGCCAGATGCACAGTAGTAGATACGCCTGAATTGCGGATAGATCTGGGCTGAACATTGCCGACCGGACCAGTTCCAGGAGACGTGGTGCAAGAATGCTGAGCAAATTCGAGCCGCTGAGGTGCCTACGGCAGCCAATGGTAACTATTGTCCAATATAGCAGTGCAGATGAGTTGTAGCAGTCTCTCGATGTCATGCTGGGATTGATAACGCACTGTGTTAAGACGTCTTGGTCAGCTTTCTCGTGGAATGTGAGAATTGAGAGGAGAATTGAAGCGGAAGAACATGTCTTGAGACACTTCTGTGCTCTAGCTTAGAGCCAGGTGCAGATGTACGCAGATACTCACTACTTGCGGTGCGTAATGCTTCATGAAGAGAGCCCAGCAATCTTCGAGTTGCAGGCTATTGGGCTCATCGTGTCCCGGCGACCGAACCGCGCCTTCGACGAAGTCGGGGCTGACAGGCGTGACTGCTGGTGCTGAAGCATTGGGATTTGCAGCTTGCAGCGTTCTCAACCGTGCATGTAGACGGCCCACCTCAGCTCTCAGATCCGATCTGCTCCTTGGCTTCGTTGGTTCCCATGAGCGGAGGACAACACACTCCAGAGCCAGCCGTCGACATCGTGAACATGGCTTCGCGTAGTCTTTTCGAGCATCACATCTCAACTTGTGTCGTCGGCATTCTTCGCTGTCGCGTCTGTCAGAGCAGAGGTACATTTGGGAGAACCAAAACAGGGAGGCTCATGTCTCGCACAGTTCCGTTCACAGAGACACTTACCACGACTTTTTGCGTGTGCTTGCTGTGGCGGGCTCTGACATGTAGTACCATTCGTGAACGTGGTCGCATTGTCACAGTAGCCGGTGATGGTGCAGTGGCAAGGACTAAATCTCGTCAAAGGCAGTATCAACAGAGGAGGGAAGACTTCGTGCTTGCCCAGTGGTTCTCTTGGAGTCTTCGGGCTTTCGCCGGTCGCTCAATGACGTGTGTGAGCATCTTAGGATGGCACGACCATAACTTTTGCGGCGTTCATCTAGTGGTACATACTCGTTCTTGACTCACACGCCATGTCCGATGGTAACTCTCCTCGCTTTGTGGTAGCACGCTACCTCAAGGACCATGGCTACAATGAGGTGGGGCTCCCGTCTCGATTCAACAGCGAGATGTGGCTGACTGGGCAATAGACCTTACAGGCATTCCTGGGCGAGACGGACCTCCCAAATGATGCCGTTGACGCGAAGCCTGGAGACTGGAACCTGGAGCAGATACTGCAGGAGAAGACATTGTACGACCAAAACCTGAACTTCGAGAAAGGGCCTGACACTGTTGCCGCTGGCTGGACGACGCCATGTCCTACAAAGGCGGTCGATCCGGACAATTCTGTTCCAGCAAATGCTCTAGCTGTGACGGTCGACACGACTTCGAAAAGCAAGCGGCGTCATATTGCAGCGTCGTTTGTGAACAACACCCTCGACTTCTGGCACGGCTCTCGACCATACACATGGGCAGACCTACGATCACGGGGAAGGAGCAACGTCCTATCGATGACGACTATCAGCGGCTATCTGGTTACTGGAAGAATGGACGGAACCCTTGACTTCTATGACAGCGATACTACAACACATATCAAGCAAGTGCAGGCTCACTCAAGCTATGTTAATCAAGTTGTATCCACGTGGGATGCTGACCACATGGTTGTTGCGACGGCTGGCTGGGACAAGAAAATCAGCATTGTCGCGCCGAATTCAGAAGTGGTTGAACGAGATCAGGGTCAGCATGAGTCACGCAGTCAACAGCATTTGTCGCTTGGCCATCAGACCTACTCTACAACCTCGAACGTACAATCGGTGCTTTTTGCTCGCCATCCTGATACGAATGCTCTGTATGTCGTTTTTACCAGACGAGACAGCATTCATCTGCACTACCTACTGCTTGAGCCATCCACACGGCCCGACACGACCACGAGGTATACTATTACGCCCTCTGGCCGCCAGTCGCTCGCCCCGCAGCAACACTCAACCTGGACCTCATTCACCCCATCCCACATCGAAGCCTGCCCGACCGATCCGACATTGATCGCTGTTGCCACATCGCACACACCTAGCATGAAGGTCATAATAACGCGTCTGTTGTTTCCTACCGACAGCGGTAGTGGCTCGATACCTAACGGACCAACCTCGGTAGCGTATGGGACCAAAGACGAGCTCGCGATTCGCCTTGTGGTCAACTCCAATGCTCCACAGAACGACTACTCGACGCCGCGAATTACCTGGCGACCTAATGGTAGCGGCGTCTGGGTGAGTGGTGACGATGGCGTTGTACGAGGCATCGATGCTAGCACTGGCAAAGTAGTCCAGCAGCTGAAGGGCCACGAGCAGGGAACCAAGATCAGGTGCCTGTGGGCTGGCAAGCTGCCTGATGAGGATTCTATTGAGAAGGAAGTCCTCATAAGTGGTGGCTTCGACAAGAAACTCATCATCTGGGAGACCGAGTAGCTTTCAACGAAGTAAGCTGTGAAGGTCCATTGCTTAAAGGGGTTCAGAACATTCGCAGTTTGATACACTCGGCCCCAGCGATCGAAACCCCACGGAGAAGGACCGTCGCTCATTGCGCGGCAAAGCTGGCACTATGATCAGCTCTTCGATGGATGTTGGCTTTCAGTGACTGAACGATTGGAGGCAGACCCGGTCATAGAATACGGAAGCATCGTATTCACTTGTCAGAGGCTGGTTTATGATGGAAAGTCGAAGGTCTTCCAGTGTCCAGTGCCGCTGTTACGACGTCGTCACCTTGGACAACACTATCAGTGAAGCTGCTGTGCAGCAGTGAAGTCCGGCTATGTAAGACAAACGCGAACAACGATTCTATCCTCTCATATACATCTTTACGAAACGGTTCGACCTTATCTTCCCCCGAGTGTCCAGTCAGGTTCCGTTATCTACTTCTCCTGCCCTGAGACAACATGCCGTCGCCATACAGCGTTCTGGGCATCAGTCGTGATGCGTCTGAGGAGGAGATACGAAGAGCTTACAGACGACTTATCATGCAGTACCACCCTGACAAAAATCGCGGTGATGAAGCCTGGGCTGCTCAAAGATTCTCTGAAGTGCAAGACGCGTATCAGCAGCTGCAGCGTGGGGGCGATGCAGGGAGGCCTTCAGGAACGCGATATGATCCACGCGGGAGCGACGACGACTTTGCTGCTTCTGACAACAGTCGCACCGGATACCCACGGTCGCCACAGCGATCCAGACGAACCAGTCCACCCCGAACTCGATCTCCTAGACCGTACTCCACGTCCAACCTCGGCGATAACGCCCAGGTCAGGGCTCTGACTCACATCCCAATCGCTTCAACGACAGATCAAATCGACACAGATCCTCTTCTCACGCCAACAGAACATTCTTCGAATCACGTGGGGGAAACTACGAGACTCGTGATGAGTCCTCCCGCAGCTCCGACAACACTATCACAGAGCGTCAGCGACGACCCTATGGAACATCTCTGTCCCAGCCAAGCCATGCTTTACACAGAAATGCGCACTGCCAGCGCTCTTCCCCGGCGCGCTCACCCCCCTACCGAAACAACCCTGTCGATGCGTATTCCCGCCGCTCTCGATACGACGATCTTTGGAACGATCGGACCTTTCGTAACTCGGTGTATCTAGACCGGGAGAATGTGACTCATGTTGATCGCTATTGCTGTGAGGTAGGCCACTGCGACGATGTTATTTCCTCTCAGGATGAGGCAGGTTATGTGCATACAATGTGCAATCATTGCTTTGGGTCTCTCTTCGACTACGGGCGCAGTCAGAGGTATGGCCAAGGCTCTGAGCGCAGTGGGTACAATGAGTGTCACGATCACTATATTGATGTCACCATTCTGGCACGCTTGGAGCGGATGAGTCTCAACGATACGGGCTATCGACGACCTGGAGGCGAGCATTACTGGCAGCATGCGCCTGATAGAGCAGTCCGATACGGTCCGCGCCGTGGAGGCGCACAGCCTAGGTATCGGGACGACGGACGCGACATTTGGCAGCAGTCAGGCGTCTGCACGTTGATGTGAGAGTCGAAGCAACATGATCCAGTTTGCCAGCGTTAGGTATGGTCTGAGTCAGGTCGAGGCTTTTTTTGACCTCAATCGGTGGCTGAACATCCTTCCATGGCACCGTCGTGGAGCATACCGGTCAACTCTTCGTCTCACAGCCAAAAAGGCACGGTTGCATCGAACGGTAGAGATGCAGTCATGTCATCAGGCATATTCCCTCTCGAGCGAGACAGACCACGCTAGGCCAACGACACCGTTGGAATACAATATGTCCCAGTTGACTATAGTCAAGACGCAATGTGTCAAGTCAGAAGGCACTCGTGGAAACAAGTGCACCGAAGCAGCGCATCATCCGCGACGTGGAGTACGTAATAACAAAAAACATGATACCGCCCTTAACTTCCCTTCCACTCCCGCATCTCCCCTTTCCCACTATCCCACCTATACACTCCACCCTCCCCAACATTATACCGATAGTAATTCTCCGTTCCGCCCGGCACCATCGCCTTTCGGAACGTAATATTGATCCGCCCCTGACCTGCCTCACTGTTCTTGCCCGTTCGCTTGGGAATGCTATGCAACCAGTTCGATTGCGTCTCGCCCCTCATCAAGATCATATCCCCACTGTTCAACTCGAACTTCAGTGGTTTCGTCCCCGGGAAGGTCTTGCCGTCTCCCGCTGCTGCTGCTGCTGTTGCTCCCGCCGCCGCTGGAGGTGAAGGAGGTTTATGCTTCATCAAGAAATCCCGCTTGGCGCCTAAACTCAAACTCGCAATCGCCGGGTCCTTGCCGAGAAAGCGCTCGTCGTCGCTGTGGAAGCTGATGCTGTCGGCGCCGGTCGCGTAGTAATTGACTAGCACGAAATTGTAGGTTTCGTTTGTGACGGCCTCGGTTATGGATTTGAGGATGGTGAGGCTGTGCGGGATTGGGCGGGGCTGGCATCTGTATTTGCTGGGTTTGACAGGTTGCTTGGTGACGGCGTCGATGATGCGTGTGCTAGGAGTAGAGGAGGATGGGGAGGTAGGGCATTCTGGTGGGTCGAAGAGGCTTGTTTCGTCGAGGCCAAAGACTGTGGTGTATCGGGGTGTGTTGATGAGGGTTTCCTTGCCGTAGCGGGTGATGGTGTAGCGGACACGGTAGAAGGGGAGCGAGGAGCGGAGGAAGGTGAAGAGCTCGGTGGCAAGGGGACGGGGGATGAAGGGTTGGAAGTGGAGGAGGTTCAGATGGGGTTGGTCAGTTATGGACGCGCCCTCGGAGGTGGTGATGAGGGTGGTCAGGCTCTCGATGAGTGATACGGGCAGGTGAGCGATGGGGTGGGGGTAGGTTTTGTGGTGGGAGAAGATTGGTGCAGTGTCAGTATCCGGGGTGGAAGTCTGGCCGTCCTCTGTAGTATCGGTCTTGGAAGTCTCCTCCGATTTTTGTGCTGTTGAGTTGTGGTTCCTCGTCGTTGGTGGTGGCGAGATTTTAGTGCGCTTGGTTGCTAGCGTAAAGAAGCCATCGAGTGTGCGTTTAGACATCCTGGCCCGACAATCAAACGAGGCGTCAAAGGCGTGCCTGCATGGCTTCAAGTTGATCGTGGGTAGAGAGAGGCTCGAATTGGAAGGTTCTTGTTTTTGACCGACGTCATTACTTCACAGATGTCAAACACCCAGGGCTTCTCACCTTTTGGCACTACCTTACGGGTCCGTAGCCTGTCTGGATTCCCGAGACATAGCACGGGTGGCACCTCGATACCCACCTTTGATCGCGTTCATCGTACGGTGAACCGTGGCACTGGTCCAAAGCTGCGCTTGTAATGGAGTAGGCATTGATGTTCTGACGCGGAAAGAGCTGCGGTCTTCCGCCACAGACGTCGATCAACCCGACTCATCGCAGCTTCTCGTCAAGCGACGCGTCCACATCGAGTAGTAGACGCGTCTGGCTCCTGGTCAGCCACCAGACTGAGGTGAGAGGTCCAGGGCGTCGCAGAGAGATGCCTGACGGTTGCGAGTCATTCGACCACCTATCGATAGCGAACTGACTCGCATCAATCGACTACCTTGTGACTTGTTCGGACTCACTGGTGCTTGTTGATGGCGCAGCATGTCTATGACAGATGGCAGCAGGGACGGTCACGTCAATGCCCCGTCCTCGACACACCCGGCTGTCCAGTCATGGGACACCGCTATCGATGATAACGATGTACAACGACTGCGCGACTTCCACGCAAAACATTTCATCAATAAACCGATACCAGACATTCACGCCAGCGTAGCTCAGCCCGCTGAAGCAACACCGACCACTGGTTCGACCGAGGGAAGCCTGGGATACTACGCTGATGGCGTAAGACGTACCCTGACCGACGACCAGATCAAGATGTTTCGGCACTCAGAGATCCAGCGACTACTTCTTGAGCGACAGCAACGAAAAGAGGCAGAAGAAGAGGAGACCCAGCGGAGAGAACGCAAACGCGAGCGCGAGCACGCACGTCAGCGATACTTCGACGAGCCTGAGAAGGACAATGTCGGTGCGCTTGTCTACGACGATGAACAGCCGGTTGCGAGACAGGACGCAAATGCTGCTCAGGCCGAGAAGAAGTTCCTGTGGCCGCAGCTCGGTGTGTGAGGAGTGATCATGTGAGTAGATCTATGACACGAGTGTCCTCCTGTCTGTTTGTGTACTCTGATGAACACCTTGTATCATCCTTAGCCTGAAACAGGCTCGCTGGCAACAGTCTCGGCTTTGGTTGATGATCGTTCTAGCACACAGTCTGCTTGTTGAGTCAATCTTCTCTCTGATATGCGTTTGCTATCATCGACTATCATGTCCCCACGTTGTCGATCGCATGCTGATAACACGGTCTTCAACAGTAGCGTCGGCACGCAAGCTGCATTTCATACTGCTTCTAAACACCAGTGGGCAGACATGGTTGCCATTACCATCCATTGAATCGACATATCAGCAGTGAAAGTGGAGACTGACCAGGTCCTGAGTGAGCCAGTACAGTCGTTTCGCGTCCCGAAATCGAGGACACGTGTCTCGGTCCGAGTGTCGTTTTCACAGAACATTGCTTCCTCTCAATCTCGGTACGAGCACGAGATGGATTGAAGTTTGAACAGCCGAGCGGCAGTCAAACGCTCTTGCATCTGCGATGACAGGTCTTGGCCTTGTCTTGAAGTCTGGCCGCACGGTCCCCTTGCAGAACTCCCTGGACGCCGCGCGCTGGTCCGTGCCTTTGCTCTCGCGACGAGAATGTAATTCTCCTTCTCATGGTCTCTTGCGCTTTTGTACTGGTTGTACAACAAATTTGGAAGACCTGGCAGCTATGGTCGCGATCATTCCGAGCCTCGACGATCTCATACTGAATCCAAAGTAATGGAGGATACTAGTGGCAGCATCCGCGCCTGTCGTCCTGCGACCGAAGACTTCGAGGCACGAATTGAGGTGCTCGCAGAAGGGGTCATCCCTCCAGTAGCGGACGGAGGATTCTCAGCAAGCCTTTGGTCCCGAGCAACTCCTCAAGAGCGCGCGATCTTCGCACCACTTGCAGGGATGGCACTCGTCAACTTGCCCGGGTTGCTGATTTCGTGGTTCATGCTTCGGCACCCGCAATATTCATTATTCCCGGAGCCAGCACACTCACGACGGATGGTAATCCACTTCTCTTCTCAGCTAGTGGGTAACATTTTGTTCTTCTACATTGCTCGTCGCTGTTTTGCATCGGGCTCAACTTCACTCGACTTAGCACAGAGTAATGAGGGCAATGACTCAAGGCCCCCCTCTCTGGAACAGCCGACAGTTTCGCTAGCTTAAGCCTTATACCTCGGCTTATTCGCATGTGTTTGAGGCACTCAATAAGATCGACCATCTGGAACGCGGGCGGCGCAAACGACGAGAAGCCAATGGACGGAGAGGCTAACGACATCGCCGAGTCGTTCTGATTTACAGAACATGGATGTCGCGCCTCTGGTGCAAAACATCACATTGTGGAGTTGGTGGACATTAATTGCGGCGATGGTGCAGTAATGAGTTGGCATTCCGTGACCCAGTCAAGGATTGAGATGATTAGGACCACTTGAGGAATGCCAGGGTCGCAAGGCTCGAAGGATTATGTCGGTTAGGCTTGAGGGTGGCGGCGATCGGGCGACTACGGAGGGGAGCAGCAAGCAGAGGAGACTGGGTCTGATTCATGTATGGAGAAGACGTCTCGGAAGCCTTGCCAGCTTCATCAATGCGAGGTCTCGTGTCCTCCTCACTATTCGCAGAAGGGTACGACGTCGACGACTACCCATTGGGGCTCTTTGATCTTGCACGAGAAAGAGTAGAAGCTCTGTTTGAATGTATTCATGACACGACAGGCTGTTGCCGGGGCCTACGGTGTCCTCGTACTTCAACATAGGTTGACCTCGTCCTAAAGGGAACTTTTACCGACCGCCATAACATGTGCATCTGCACCACAATTGCACCTCACTACTGTCGCGCCATAACTACTGTCGAAGTCCTCCACATTCCCATCACACCCAAAGCCTACCCATTCAACACCACCATGCCGAAGCAGAAGAAAATCAAGGACAAGACTCCGCGGCCGTGCAACAAGTTGACCTGCGTGGCATACCACAAGGACATCGATGAGACACTCCAGAGTCTGAGCCAAGAAGTCGCACTGTGGCGAGCCAAGTTCCTTCATGAGGAAGCCGCACGCGCTGTCGACTGCAACACGATCGCTACCTTACGCGCCGAGCTTGCAACATTACGACCACCATTGGTAGCCGAAGGTCAGGCAGGGCCACGGGTGGTGATCGCCATGAATTTTGCCCCAGGCACGACTGCCGCCGACATTGATTCCGTTATGAGGCACACAAGCATCAACGATAACGGCCAGCAGGGTCTCATCTCCTGCCACATCATCTCCACACAGCCCGTCGTCATTGCCGAGCTTATCGTCACCGAGCGTACCATTGCCGACCGATTAGTTTCCACCTACGACAATCAACTCGCTGATGGCCGCTACCTTAAGCTATACCTTTCTCGCCAGACTGAATTACCACTCACAACTGTCGCTAGTACCATCCTGGACAGCCTTCGAGCTGGCAAACAAGACCAAGAAGTCACTCACACCAAACGCCTAGTCTCGCCGATACCCCCTGTTGTCACCTCTCGAGAGACCTTCGCACTTCCCTTGCACCCAGCTCATCGCTTTCCTGGTCCTGAAGTTGGCCCTGATGACGTCGACCTAAAGATGTCCACTCGACCATATCCACTCCACGCAGACGAGGAGGCACTGATCGAGTTCTCGGATGCAAGTGATGATGGTGGCGAAGACAACAGAGATAGGTTGAGCGTTCAGGATTTCGGGTCGGAATCAGCGTGCTTGCGTTCTTTCACAAACAATGCTGGAAGTCCTCGACGCACGAAGAGACGGGATAGTCAGGCACGGTACACGATACCTGCCAAGGTCTTCCCTATCGAAACGGGCGACACGGCGAAAAACGAGACCATCAATGACACTGTACAGCACCCGCAGATCAGCTTTGGTGCCGGCGAAGCGTCAGCACTCACATCATCAGACAACGAAGCTCCACGAGTCTCAAGTAACAAAGAATCCTCTCTGCAAGGAGGCGACAATGGAAAGGCTCTAGCAGCTCCAGTATTGAGCGAGACCGAGCTGCACGAGCTTCGCGCGCTGAACGCTCTATGCCGAATCCACCCCTCCGACACCGAGGCGGACATAGCCCGCAAGTTCAGCCTGCGTCGCCCTGGAGCTTCGACCTCGCGCTTCTACGAGTTGAGAGACAAGCAGCGGCGGTATTGGGCTGCTGCCACAGATACCGGTGGAGGGGTTCCTGGATGGCATAATGTTTTCAACTGACCAGTGGAACGCTACGGATGAGGCCCTCTGTGTACTGTGTACTGAGGAAAGCATTCACGATATTGCCGAACCAGCGGATGCAGCTTCAGCATTTAGGTCGACACATCCTGCGTTGCAGGCTTAATGTAGTGGTAGATGAAGCCAGAACAGCCTGAGCCTGAGTAGACAATCCACCCTTGTCGGCACGGCTATCGAGATACATGTAGTCATCAGCGTGACTTACGATCTGCTAATCAGTGCTGCCATTGCCACCCCTTCATCCTCCGCCATCATCTCCACTGCGCTGCGCTCCCTCCAAGTCACTCACGTATGCATACCCACCCAAATCCATCCTCCCCTCTACTTCGGTCATCGTTTGTGGCACACTCCTCGGAATCTCCCTCACACCCTCTCGCTGCCACCCCTGCGGCTGCTGCTCAAACGGACGGCGACTCGACGCGAAGTAGCTCTTCTCCGTCATTGGCGGCGCCCACGTAACCTGCTTCGTGTTGTCCTCCATTGCACTAGCACCACTTCCAACCTCCTCTAATCCTTCGAAATCATGGGCACTTGCGTACTGGTATTCTTCGACTGGCAGTGGCGTATCGAGGTCCGCCCAGTTGCCAGTCCAAGCCCGCTCGAGCACCTCGGCCGCAGCGACCCGTTGAGACGGTGTAGCAAGATAGTCCACAGGCAGGTTGATGTGCCGGATGTGAGTGTTGGGGTTGGGTATGTTCGATGGGTCGCCGGCTTTGCGGCGTTCGGCCATGCCTTTGGACCTTGTCTGGGCCGCTGTGCCGGCTGTGGCTCCATTCGTGGGTTGGAGAACGATCTCGCCATTGTCCTTGTTGTGTACCGGACAGACGCGAGAGCCTGGCATCTTGCACTGGGAGCTGATGGCGGATTCGGGTTGGCAGGCCTCGTGCAGGGCGCACTTTCGGCAGATCAAGCCGTCAGGGGTGCGCCGAGCGCCGAGGATGAAGAGGTAGTGCGTGCATGTTCCGCGGTTGCGACATTTCTGTTTGCAGGAAAATTGCTGGTACAGAATGTCTGGAAGCATGATGTCGAGGGCTTGAGAGGTCAGGGCAGGGGATCTGAGGTGAAAGAGGGTGGCTTGTGGGCTAGCGTGGAAGGGGTGGTAGACCTTCGTGCCGTTGGGGAGCTTGTGTATGGCACTTTCGAGGGCTGGGACAAGGTAGGTTGTGCCGGCTTCGTCGTCGAGTTTTCTGATGTGCGCTTTGGCGTGAAGGCTTACTGATGCGGTTGGCCGAGGGAGATCTAATTGCGAGGAACTATAGTACGTCTGCGGAGGTGCAGGCTGGGTCACGGTTGGAGGGTTTTCGTACGTCTCAAGAGGCACCCGTCCCTGTTCTTGGATCGTCTCGGCCTTCATCCTCGCTGGTGAAGACACCGAAGCATAGCTAGAAGAGCTTGTGCGGAGGGCATCTCGGAGCGTCCAGCTCGAGAGTGGGGAGGAAGGGCGTAGACGTTTGCGATCCGGCCGAGGAGTGGTGGGCGAGGAGGTTGCCATCGCGTCTGGTCGAGGTGCTGACACGATCTGATCCACAACCTTGGTTAGCTGTAGCAGCTTTATGCTTATCGAGGAGGTCTCCAAGTCGGTTTCCATCGGACCTCCACTGGAATGCTGCCAAAGGCTGCTTTGTCTGCCCTCAAGTAGTGTGTTGTGGTGATGTAGGGGCCTTGCCAGTGCGATATCACTTGCATCTTCACCAACACACTTCCAGAGTACAGACAAAGGTGATAGTAGCCCATATCTCCGCGTTGCTGTTCACAACAAGTTCAATTGAATTGACCAGTGTGATTCCAGCGTAGTTATTTTCTGACCATGCGCACTTATTCTTTGTGTTCTGCTCTTGATTAACTTTGCCGTACACCACATTCAACATGTCGAACAACGAAGACGTGAACAACGGTGAAAATAGTTCTGCGAGAGAGGAAACACCTACCGCAATCGTTAACGGCGTTGAGGGTACAAACTGCATCAAACAGTGCGGCTCGTGTGCTTCATTCCGTACAGCAACACCAGACTCGACTCTCGGCTGTCCACTTGAGCAGGCTCCAAGACCGCTTACCATCGATCCGGCACTTCGATACAGAAATTCCCAAGAAGATCCCTTCATGGTCGCCATGCAAGAGCAGCGAAAATATCACCAGAGGTTCGAAGAAGACTTCCAACGCCTAATAGACAGCCAAGAGTCTGCGAAAGCTTCACAGGAGATGGCCGCTACCGCTGAGTCGAAGCCTGAGGTGAGTAGGGACGGAATCGTGTGTCTTGCTTATTTTGCTGACCTGGAAACAGCACGCCGATGATCCTAATGAGATGTCCTGGGCACCTGTACTAGACAAGGTGCGTGCTCAGGCCAAACGTCGAAGCGGAAGTACTGACAGAGTTTGCAGACCCAACTTCAAAGCCTGCTCGAGGAACCAAAGGACTCCCGAGCTGTGTTCCTCACAAAAGTCAAGGGCATGTCTGTCAGCGAAAAGTCATCCGGCTTGATCAAAGACGTTCTCAAGGGTCTGGCTATCGGTACAGTCGTTGTGGTGATCATCATGGCCGTCGGATACCTTACGCTTGCGAAGAACTGCCAGTTCCGGCCTGGTCAGAATGAGCGCGCTGGTGATTACCTAGAGTGTGAGCATGGCTTCGCGATCGAGCGACACCTGATGGTGAAGTTCTCCAGCATACTCGGCCTCACACGCTCTACGGACGAATGAGTGCAACAAATATCGAATACTACTCATCATGGGGTTCTCGGCGGTGGGGCGGGTGCTAAGTGCCTGTCATCCTTTTAGATGAGCCTCACTCGAGTTTCAGTGCGAAAGACAGACACCTCGTGGACTTCTTGGTCAGGGGGGGCGTTGTAGGGAGAACACCCGGTACATTCAGTCACAATCTACCTAGGTAGTGGAGCAAGGTCGACGCCCGAGATCTGTTGTGATTGGATGGCGGAGTGGCGGAGTGCAACTGCGTCACGTCGGTGTCAACCTCAGGCAGCTTCCAAACGACCACAATCACCACTGCTCTTTCCACACCATATATCTCATCACTTTTGCTGCACTGAAGCGTCGATGCAACTCGACTCTCACCGCAGACGATCATCATACAGCAGGCCTGTATTCGCCCCTCTGTCGTCCCATAACCCATTGCACACCATGAAGTACCTCCCAAGGGCCCTCTTGACTCCTCCCACCGTCAACTTTGCGGCTCCTGATCCAGCTGCTCATCCAGCCATCGGTGCGCTCGACGCCTACCAGATCAACCGCCGCAAGTGGCTATATCAGCTGCGTCGACAGACTCGTTCGCTAGTCCTGCTCTTCGCTACGCTGGAGACAGTCTGGCGTGGATCTGCGAACATCGTTTCTGGCAAGAGCTACAATGCAGAGATCGATCATGGCTTCGTGTATAGCATTGGATACTTCCTCTCGTGGGTCTTTAGCTGCTTCTTCGCCGTCATCTATGCAAGTTTATTTGAGGTAACATATGACACCACACACCCCTGTGGGACTGTGGCTAACAGAGATCTAGTGGTGGCTGCCTCTGCCGTCTGCTCAACCGGCCGCTGGATTACGTGACGATGCGTCTCACTCGACTGCACAGGCCTTCGGAGAATGGCTGCAAAAGGCCGACATGATTATTCTGCCAGTTGCTATTGGAATGACCCTGGCCGTTTGGGGTGGATTGGTCGTTATGGCTCTCTTGGACGTCGGCAACACTCGCTTAAAGTACACGTCCAAGTTCCGCTCTGTCCTGATTGTTCTTACCTCAGTCGCCTGGACCTTGGGCTTCGGTTACTACAGCCTCGAGCTTCTCTCACGCTACGGCTTCAGCAACGGAGATGACATGGTTCCGCTCGCCCGTGTTCGTTGGGAGATGGATGCTTGGGTCTTGACCCCTATTGCCGTCAACATCGGCATGGCAATTGGCACCGCATTTGTCGGCAGGTTCGAGCGCAAACGCATCGCCGTCGTCGACGCACGAAACCATGTCGAGGAGCAACTCATGGGACAAGCTGTACTCGACGAAAAGGCTTAGGCGGCGGCCGCCGAGTCTGTCATCACCGACCGCCCTTGCCTCCTCTGTTCAGTCTTCATCCGGGCTGTGCCTATCACTGAGCTAGTCGTGCCTTGCGCTCAGCAAGCGAGGAGGCGTAGTCATGCAGGGCGGCCTCTGCATGATGTACGCTGACGTGCTCGTCTCCTAGTTTTCTCGCTGGACAGGGCTGAAACGAAGCAAGAGGAATGCATGACGTCTTGGGTGACGCAACGGATTATGCTTGCCAGGGCGGGCTTCATCGTCATGCTGAGACGTAGTCTTTAGAAGCATATTCATATCAGGCGACGGGTTAGTCAGAGCTATCGAATCAACCATCCATACCTCACTAAATCACATTCTTCAACTCCTGCCCAGCCCTAAACCGCCTCAAGTTCTCCGCAATCAGGCCCTCCGCTCCCTGCGGCCTTCCACCAGCAGCATGCGGACTGACAACCACGTTCTCGATCCCCCAGAACCTATGCCCCTCCGGCAGCGGCTCCTTCTCGAATACGTCCAGCGCCGCACCTCCAATCCTCCCCTGCTCAACCGCATCCGCCAGTGCATCCTCATCAATAGACGTGCCTCGCCCCACATTCACCACCCAAGCGTGCTTCGGCAGCAACTTCAACCGCTCCGCATTCAGCGCGTGCTTCGTCGCATCACTCCCCGGTAGAATCATGACCAACGCATCCGTCTTCGGCAGCAAATCCTTCAGCGCATCCTCCCCATACACCTCCACCCCATCCACGATCCTCTTGCTCCTCGCCACCCCGGTCACCTTCGCCCCCAATGCCGTCAGTAGTGGCGCCAGCGTCCGCGCAATATTCCCAAACCCCCACACCACCACATTTGCATCTCTCAAAGTGGTGAAGCTGTCCTTCGGACGATCCGGTTGCGGACCGCCCAAGTGACCCGGCCATTTGCCCTTGAGTTGGTGGTCGCGCATGGAGTGCAGCTTGCGGGCGGAGAGGAGGAGGAGGGCCATGGTGTGTTCGGCGACGGTGTGGTCGTGCAGGCCGCTGCCGGTTGTGATGGTGGTGGTGGAGGGCGAGAAGCCGGCGGAGAGGACGTCGTTGGGGCCTGCGGCGAGGGATTGGATCCATTTGAGTTGCTTTAGATTTGAGGCGGCGTGCTTGAGGTTGTCTGGAGAGTTTGTCCAGGTGACTAGGACTTCGGCGTCGGCGTGCTCGTCTGGGATTTGCTTTTTGACATCGTATGGGACGAGGTCGACGGCTGTGAGGAGGAGGTTTGGTTATTAGCATTGGATGTGTACGTAGTGGGCGGTGCATCTTGGGACGGCCATGTGCGAGCACGTCCTCGAGAATCGCCTTTCCTTACTGTCACAAAGCATCAAGATTACTTACAGAATCCCTCCAACAGTTTTGGGTCCAGCACCAGTGACGTAGGGTAGAGGAGCTTCATCTTGTGCTTTTGTCCGCTGACTGGATATAGATGCAAGAGTGTCGAGGAGAGACGTGAGTGAGCCAGTGTGTAGACAGGCGATGGCAGAGCTTTGATAATTTACAGAAATATGCTCGGCGAAAAGATTTCCCCAGAACACTTATTAAAGGGTATATGCAAGGTCGTTTCAAACGCTCAGAATGCCGACATATGCCGCGATGTCGCAACGCTTCAGTTGAAGATCGTGGGGTTGATGTGGGGTTGGAGTGAAAGCGGCTATTGACTCTGGGCAGTAATTTTTTGATAGCCGATGGTGCCGCCGGTTGAGCTCACGACGCAACAGGAACTTTCACTTGCGACCATGTCGTTCTCTTTCGGCTTCTCAGGCGACGACATAGAAGGTGGCGAGCATGAGGACGTTGACCAGGATCCGGAAACGAATAGGAATGACGTGTCGGAAAAGCAGGACGTTGTCGCTCAGCCAAGGGTACACACGCTGAAAGAACTACTAACCAGCCTCCCATCTCAGATCACCTACAACAGCCTTCGTCTTCCAGCTCTAGCCAATGGATTCCCCAACTCTCCTCCACTCAACGTCCTCCGCCGGTCCTTGGTCGACATCCGCGCACAGCTCATGGCGGAAGCATCCGAAGCCAACGACAACGACCACCTGATCGAAAATCTCAATGCAGGTGATCTGTCGAAGGTACGTACGAGGGCGGCTTCAAGACTTGGGAATGCGCGCTCGATCTTGCGTCCTACTTGCTGCTCGACCTCAATCAGCATGCGCAACTGTCGAATGAGCCCACTCATGTGATTGAACTTGGCGCGGGATCTGCAATCCCAAGTCTGACGGTGTTGAAGCTCAGGCCAAAGGCCGGCCCAAAGCTTCATCTCACGCTCGCAGACTATAACGCGGACGTGCTGAAGCTGTGTACTGCGCCAAATACTTTTCTGCACCTTTGCCCGCCGAAGGATGCTCCACAGAGGGGAGCTCTTAACCTGGGGCATGAGTATGACTATGATCTCGAAGAGGTTCAGCCACAACTTAATGGCATAGAAGATGTCTTGGCTGAGCAGCATCTGAGTGTCGACTTTGTCTCAGGCGGGTGGGGCAAGCAATTCGTCGATCTTGTGACCTCGCTCGAACCCTCGAACTCGGGTTCTGATGCCCAGCTAAAGAGGCTCATCCTCGCTACTGAAACCATATACAGCCCTGACACACTTCCAGTGTTCACTTCGACCCTTTTGTCACTCCTCCGTCAAGCTCGTAGCGGAAGCAGAGCACTGGTCGCGGCGAAGCAGATTTATTTCGGCGTCGGCGGTGGGGTGGCAGAGTTCGAGCGAGAGCTGAAGACTCAGGATGCGAACGCGCAGCTGAAATCAGTATGGCAGTGTCCATACAAGGACACGGTTGGCCGAGTGATCTTGGAGGTGACTTTACCGCAAGGACCGTGACGATCGAGCACTTCGAAGGCACAGTCGGGAATATTCAGGCAGCAGAAAGGCAACCAGCTACCCACAAATTCTTCATGATATGTACAGGACCATCGTCGATCGAGCATCGGTATTTGAGGAAGTATCTGTTCACAAGAAATGTGGCTGATGCACACTCTGAGCCCTACGCAGATTGTTCCATTAGGTTCTGATCCGTGTGAGTTTGGGAACATGGGGAGAAGAAGAAAAGCTCTTACCTTGTCAAGCCACCTCCTGCGGAGATAGGCTCGCTCATCACCGAAGGTCCTCCTGTCAAGTTGGCAACGAATTCCTGGTATCTGAAGACATCGCCGCCGTTCCGCTTCGCCGCTGGCGTACTGTTGATTCCACGGACACCGGATATGCCTGTGGTGTTGCGTCCTAGGATCCGCCGACCCGTGTATCCTTCAAGCGCGCGATCAATGTCCCTCTCCACAAGCCTCTGCTCGCCTGGATCCGGGAGCGTAGTCATGAGTGCTGTCTTGAGCTCGGCCACATCTATCTGTCCAGAGTCGTCGTCATCGAAAGCCGAAAACGCGTTGAGCAGTTCCTGTGGCGGTGATAGCGCTGCCAGAAGCGACGCAAGCTGGTTGAGATATTGTGGTAACGAAATTTGCTGAGGCTGGCCTGAAGGGAAGAATTGTGCGAGATTCGACTCTTGGATGCCGAGAGAGGACAATGTCTCCTGGATGGATGCTGGCGTGATGCTTCCGCTCGTGTTCGAGTCCAGCACGGAGAAGGACTCTCGCAGGTTGTGTAACAGGGCGGGTGGTAGCTGGATAGCGGATCTGCTTGGCCCAATGTTGACGGCGGTGGCGTGGCCCTCGCAGTGGTCCGAGTAAAGTCGTTGGATCTTGAAATTGGCCGATTCATTGATTCCGAGTGTGATGATCCAGGTTTCGGAACTTCTGGTAGACGCCTCGTGCTGGGCGATGGTGGAGGCTCCGTCTGTGCTCTCATAAACGTGGACTGACCACCATTTGACTTGGTGGGTGTGCTTATGATATCGTCCTCATCCTCTTCTTCTGACACCGTATACGACTGCTTAAGTTTCGAAGGGGACGTCATGGGGGACGCTCCTCTCTGTGACGGCGGTGTTGTTGCTCGATCTCTAGTCGATGTAGGAGATGATGGCGAGGCAGGTCTGCGGAAGGGAGAGGAACGAGGTGAATTGCGAAAAGTCGACTGTTGCTATCGTCAGCCACCATACGCTCACATCGCTGGGCGAAACCTTACCATGATTGCAATTTGCTGATCTCACGAGGTAGGTGCGAGTAGTGATCGATCGTTCCTGACGACCAACGCAAGGCGTTTGTTGCGCTAGAAGAACGTCCTGCTGAGCAGTTTGGGGAGAGCGCGGTGACGACTTCCTGCAATACACTTCCCACGCAAGTTGTGTTTCCGAACATTAGCGTGCAGCTGCAGCGTGGTTCTGATGTTTCCCTGTGTTGATGGGGCTCTTTCCGACGGTTGCTCCGACGACACGACTGCGGGAGGCCGGTTAGATCCGTCGCTGATCAGCGCTTAGACTAAAGCTTAAAATACCAGAATCAGGGGCGGGGAAAGAAGTTGGATGCAGGGGTCTGGCTCTCATGAGCCTGCGACGGCGGGCTGATCACGACGACCCAATACTCTTGCTGAACGCATCCTCTCTTCCATATACTGTCTACGACCGGGTGCCTGAGTGTGTAAGATCGAGGATCTTGTGGACCTAAGCAGAGCGCTCATTATAACTTGGTCGCAACTCTACTAGGAAGCGCTCGACTGCGGCCGCCCGTCCGCCAGACACAGCAGGAGATGTTGCGCCTTCGGTAGCGTACGACTGCGCAACGTACGACCAAGATGGCGGAAACCATGCCCTACCGTCCGACGGTGAATGCGCCCTTTGCTGAGAGGCCTTCTTCCTTGGGGTCAAATGGAGGATCGAAGTCTTCAACCTTCTCACAGCCCTCCCACCACAAAGTCTCTTCTCAGAGTTCACTGGTTCCTCCCTCACCCAGAGAATCACAAAGGACGTCTCAGCGGACTTCTGGCCGCGAGTATGTCAGGCCTGCTAAGCGGCTTAAGTCGCAGTATCCCCTAGACTCCCCCGAACCCCATGTCGAGTACATCCTAGTCGCATCCTTTGACATAGATCGTGGACCGATCATGGAACACCAGTTTCCTGGAGCCATAAGCCCAGACGAAAACATGCTGGCGGAGTTGATGCTGCCAGACCAGACACACATGCGCCAGCAAGACTGGACAATGTTCTTTCTGCACAAAGATGCTGGCGTCAGTGAAGAAGAACTGGCCGAGAGAGAGGCGACCAGGAGACGGCGCGAGAGCCGGAGAGCCGCGAGAGCAGCTGCCCGCACGAGTGGACAGGTTGTCCAAGACCAAAGTGAGGACGACGACGATAGTGACGATGACAGCATCAGCGAGACACCACCGTTGATGTATGTGCTCAATCTAGTCAACACCAAGCAGGATGCGACAGTCAAGAGAGGTGCGGTTGTAAAGGCAATGGCCATATGTACAAGGCACTCATTCTTGCACATATATAAGCCCTTGCTTCTACTGGCTCTCGAAGACTACATGAAATCGCCCAACCTGGACACTCTGGAATTGCTGTACAACGCACTCAACTCCATGGACGCGTCCCTCATGCCCAGGTTGTCGAAAGCTGAGCGCCATATTTTGCAATCTACGGACTCCAAGGAGATGTTTGTAGAAAAATTTGAGCAGATGGTTATTCAGCGGCAGGAGGAAGACGCCTCCGAGAACCACTTGCCCGAATCGCCCACAAGATCAAACGGTTACTCGGTGCCACGGGACACCCACGAACTCGAGACTAAGATCACCTTCCATGGAGTGCCCATACCTGTTAAGATCCCGACGGCTCTGTCACCAGAGACAGTAGGGGACTTCTCTCTGATCAAATTGGTCCAGACTTTTGGCACACCACATCAGACTCAGCCACAGCCCTTTGCTCTGCATCCCCATCTCACATCTTCAGGGGCGTATACACATCCAATACTGGTCCTCATCAATGCCATGCTGACGCAAAAGCGAGTAATCTTCCTCGGACACAACATGCCTTCTGGAGATGTGGCCGAAGCTGTACTCGCAGCCTGCGCGTTGGCTTCTGGAGGAGTCCTGTCGGGATTCACACGCCATGCCTTCCCATACACTGATCTGACAAAGATCGATGAATTGCTGAAGGTCCCCGGCTTCATCGCAGGAGTGACCAACCCAGCCTTCTCATATCATCCGGAGTGGTGGGATCTTCTCTGCGATCTGCCAACCGGGCGAATGAAGATCTCATCGAGCATTGAGGCTGCCCCGGTCACCGAGGGATCGACCTTTTTCCATCACACCACTGCTACATTGAACTTGGGTAAAGATGCCGCAGCTGATCCGACGGGGGATACTCTATTCATGGAAGAGATCAATCGAGCGATCGTGCAAAGACACGGTGAACCCATCTTGCGTGCACGTTTCCGCGCATACATCACTAAGTTCACACGGGTTGCTGCAGCGTTTGAAGAAGTCGTCTACGGCGCCAGCGCCCTCAATGTTGTACCTGCAGAGGAGAACGAGAAATCCAGATCTTCCGCCTCGCGACCAGGCTCTTCGCGGACGACAAGCAAGAGCTTTCGCGGTCATGGCTACGTTTGGCCCAGCGAAGAAGCCAAGACTCGCGAATTAGCAGCATCAGCAGCAAGAATAGAAGGCTGGCGTAATACGCGGTCATATTACTCCTTCATCTCCGACCTCGCCAATCATCTCAAGATATCAAGTTCACCGACAACAGATGTCAGCCTCGACAAAGCCTTCACAGCTCCACCGTCAAGACCGTATCTTGACATCTATCACTCCCTGTCAAAGCTGAGAGTCCTCAGACTGACAGCAAAAGAAGCTGGAGCCATCTACCTTGCTCTTGAAGCCCACTGCACGGATTATGCGAGCATTCTCGAACTGCTGGAGCTGACACCTATGTCGGAAGCAGGTCTGTTCTACGTAGCACTTGGATTGTGGCATGAAGACGTGCGGGTACGTGAAGCTGTAGCGGTACTATTGGAGAGGGTGCGAAGTCACCCAGCAGGCAAGGTATTTTACAAGAGATTAGGTGGGTGGACTTTATCAGGCCACTCGCGGGCATTGAAAGAGATGGAGAGGAGAGCGGAGGCGGCAAGCCAGGACTCCATGGATGTGTTGGGGCCGCTGAATGGCGAGGCCGTCAGGATGAGCTGATTGCGATGGAGTAAGATCGAGTTGGGGATGAGGTGTGCCGTGAAGGACGGAGCGACCGCCGTGATGTGGACAGCAGGAACCAACACGGAGTGATCGTGCATCTGCCTGTTCCTTCGTACGTGCCTTCATTCATGAGCCAACGCCTCACTCATGTTGACAATTGGCCAGCCGCGCATGCTTTCTGTTCCCAGCCCTCCATCAGAGTGTTCGTAGCCACAACTGCCGTTAGCGATACGAGGCTTATGCTCTGCCGAACTGGAAGAACTGCGGAAGCCTTGACGAGATTTCGAAGATATCATACGATGGAACGGTTCGCATTATATCCTCAACCAGTAGTCATCTGACTATCGCTGTTGACGAACAAGCCACACCAGATAGCCCACTGCGGCGTTGTATGCATGGTCAGATAACTTTGATTAGCCAGATCGTGCAAAGCCGCACCATGAGGGCGGAAAGGTGCCAAGGCCGTTGAATCCAATTTCGATTGTGGGTGGAGATGTTTGCCTATTATTTTCTCTCATCTCCTTGTTCATGGAAAACTATCAAAGACTATCGAACCATGGCTTGATGCAGCAGGCCCCTATCTACAGTGCTTCGCAGAGCTCACGTTATCTCCAGACTCCAGAGGCCTCGATCGATAGTCATGAGCTCTATGCTGAGACATTGCACTCCGGGAGTTTGGAGCTGACACGCGAACGGCCACGTTTTTCGCATAATGTTCAGGAGACCTGGGCGTGCTCGCTAGCTACCGCTATCGTGGTCTGGAACTCGTTCGCTGCTTCAACTGTCGAGCAGCTTATGAGAAGTTGCAAGCCTCGATGTTGACTGCTGACGGGCCAAACGCAGATTCACGAGCACATAAAGAACAGTTTATCCAACGGGCAAGCCACGATGACCTAGATAACAACCACGCAATCTTGAAGTTCTTCTCCAGCGCCCTACCAAATCCTAGGTTTGGGAGAGCGCTAGGCGGCGAGGCGCCCGTGGCGTAAAGGCCGCGACGCCCGGAATGTCAAAAATGGAGAACCGAACACGCACCCGTGGCACCCCTGTCCAGGCATGGCTTGGGTTCCGAGCTCCATTCAGGTCTCTTTGGCTGGTGGATGGACCCGTGGCGCCCGCTAGTTGCCATCCATCGCGCAAAGCGGAAACTAACATTTGCCTTGCCCGTTCTATCGAGACGACAACCTAACGACTGGTAAGCGAATAGTGCAGAGATTGTTTGGCGAAATCAGATCGTATGCTTTTCGATTACTTTGTGTTGAAGGGAGTGGCCTTAGTGGTCGCTTGTTCGCAAAAAGATGTGTCTACAGTTGAAATGGTCTGTGAGTCGCTAATATAGTAGAAGGATCTGCATTCCATTCTACCCGTTGTCATCTTTTGACGTGCACGTTCGCTCGTCGTTTCAGCGGGAGATCAACAGAGAAGATCAACAGATCGTCTTGCAGGGATATTCGAGTACGAGGTACTCCGCGTGGTCTCGACCTCAAGATCAACGAACACTCAACAAAAGCATACAATGTGTTAGCAGTCAGACCTGCTCACAAAGACTCTCACCCAAGTCACTCGTTTAACAACAATCACACTCGTTACAAAGGGAGCACCAGTGCAAGAGCTCAGGCCTTTCGAAAACAGCCATTCGTTTGCCGGATTTGTGCTCGAGATATACGACACTCCAGACTGCGGGAACAGTCGCAGCCCTCACTCATTCAACCACCATGCATATTCAGAGACCACCACCAGGCCGGAGGCGCCTCCTCACCTCTATAATACTGTCGATATCAGCATTAATGCTGCTCGGCACTCCCACAAGAGCACAAAGGACAGAAGACCACCTTAATCAACGAGACCTGTTCAGCGAATATGCTTCCCGCGGCGAGATCCATATCGACACTGCACTCTTGCACAGACGAGCCGACTCCTCGTCCTCAGCTACCTCATTCTCAGATTCGAGAACTTCAGCTGTAGCATCGTCAACGGCCGCTGCCGCGCCTTCCTCAATACCTACAGACACTCCCGCAGCCCTTCCAGTACCCTTCGATACCTTCTCCGCCGCCAACTTCACCGCCACCTCATGTCCCGATTTCTTCAACACATTCCTCGGCAACTCAACGCTGAGGCAATGTGCTCCAGTCTCCCTTCTTCTCCAAAACAGCGCCTCCTTCATCACCGCTCAACGATCGCCCTCTACCCTCCGTTACCTACTCGACACCGCCTGCGGAGCACCCATATCCATCTGTGCAGCCACATTGACGGACATCGCCCGCCAACTCACCTCCGACGCGCACTGCGGCGCCGACTTCCGCGCCCGACAGCCCCTGGTCATTCAAGCATACAACGGCTTGGTGAGCTACGAGCCCGTCGCAACAGCAACGTGCCTCACTACGCCTTCAGACGCATACAACGAGACAAGTGCCCCCGTCAGCCCCTCCACGTCAGGTGAGGACGACACGAAGAACCAGTACTGCTTCCTCTCCGCGCTCTCCAACAAGCAGAACCCCTCAGATCCGTTTCCATACTATACTGGGATTGGGATGAACCTACCTCAGGTCGCCCGGCCGACATGCAACGGCTGTTTGAAGCAGGCGATGAGCATCTTTGCGAAGTGGGCGGTCCGATATGAGCAGCCGCTTGCGGAGACGTATCTGGACTGTGCTGGAATTGTCAATGGGGTGTGTGGGAGTGGGTTTGCGGATGCGAATGTCAAGGCAGGGAGTGTTAATGACGCGCAGGGAAGCACGCAGCTGAAGAACAGTGCGGATACGAGTGGTGCTGTGGTAGGTGTGAGAGGGTGGTCGAGGGGAATGGTCTCGCTGACTGCTGTTGTTGTTGGTGTACTTGCGGCTTTGGTGTGATGATGGTACCAGACGGCCGTGTGGCCATGTCGGAAAAATGTTACGAAGGTTACGATCATTCTGATACTACTTTTTGTACTTTATGTAGATATGCCATGGTTCTTCCACTTCCACAGACCACTCTTGGGGCCACACATGGTTCAGTGTATACGGATATGGTGATCATCTTCAAGGTCAATTTCGCAATCGCCGTGTAGCAGAGCAGAAAAAGCCGAAAGTGCTTGGGGTCGACGCGGTGCCTGCCACAATTTTACAAGTTCACTGCACGGCAAGATCTAGTCATCCGGTCTGCGATAGACCTCCGGACGTTATTTTCTCTGCACCCGTGCCCGGCCAAGTAAGCATTGTGCTGCACCACGCACCAACGCGTCTGCCTGCTCGACCTCGGGAGGTAAACTACTTTGCAGATATTGCACGCTCATAGCTGTACAGAAGCTCAAAACGGTGAGGTCTGCCTGCAATGTCGAATGTTGACGATCATTGCAAGCGAGTCACGATGACGGCTTTTCTGCCCTATGGCAGAAGCAGCGGGTTCTTTTGGGACTTTGGCCAAGTACGGCACTTTCGTTCGTAACACTTGCTAACACGAAGCCCCCCTGTCCATGAGTTGGCGGTGTACAACCGGGTCAGCGCAGGACATCTATTGAGGCGAAGAGACGCACACCGAGGCCACACGTTTCCTGGTGTTTATAATGTTGGAGCCAGCGCCGCACTCCCGAGCTTCCTCTGGGAAGTCAACTGGGGCCGACGCGGCTGTCACGGCGCGTCGCTGTGCTTCTGCAACGCCTACCATGCACAAGAGAGCGAGTGCCGTAAGGCAGGGACGCGAGATTAATGCAATGTTGTCTACAGCTGAGTAGCCGCCAGCAGAGACACCCATTCCACCTCAAACACACCTTCATCTGGCCAGCCGAATCGGAGGGAGTGTATGCAGTCGGACACCCTTGAGACCGCGACCACCCGGAGGCACGAATGGCAAACACAACAATTGTCACCCAGACTCACCATTATGCCGCATCACATGACCACGAGACTCAAGGCGAGTAAACGATTCTCACACAACGCGATTGATTTGGGCACCCAGACCGTTCGCCTATTCCGGATTCTGCAACAGACAGGCGTTGTTTCCCTGCAGTTGTGGCACCAGGAATTCGACGGGCGGCATACAGCACTGTCCTATGTCTGGGGTCCCATCGATCCGTCCCACCACATCCTAGTCAACGGCAGACCTTTTCATATTCGCCAAAACCTTTACGATTTCCTGGTCTTGATGAGAGATCAAGGACGATCAGATGCTTTCTTTGTCGATGCGATCTGCATCAACCAAGAAAGCGATTCAGAGAAAAACCATCAAGTCCGGCAGATGTGGCGCATGTATGCAGAAGCCCGACAGGTTTGTTTCTGGCTCGGCTCTGGCACCAGTATCGCAAAGCTTACAGACATGTCGTTATTGACGTGGTGGAAGCCATCTCCCGAGGAGCAGGATAAATTGGGTAGACTCGTCAAAGAAGTCCTTTACTGTGATTTCTGGTCAAGGACATGGATTGTTCAAGAAGTCCTACTCGGTCATCATCATGGCAAAATCATGTACGGCACTGAGAGTCACGATTTCGTGGAATTTGCGCCGGCCCTTGAATCGGCCAGGGAAGCTACAGAGGTCGGTCGTTCGCCAGCCTGGCAACTGCTTGGGAGCGATCTTCTCGTACCGCATAGAACTCGAGAGGGGCAGCACCCTGCAGTCGGACCGCCCCAACCACTTCGCCATCATGCGGCAGCTAGAACTGCAGGCGATAGCTGGCTGTCCAATCTTCTCTCGATACTGGACGGGATCTTCGACCGTACGGCATGCAGCGATAGGCGTGACCGCATCTTTGTACCTATGAGTCTGCTCGGAGGTGCAGCAACCTCGATGGTTGACTACAGTCTGTCTGCCTCACAGCTCTATCTCAGACTACTGAGTAGATGGGTCGAAGGAGAATTTACTGGTGCCGCTACAGCAACTATAGAGGCTTTCGTTCAGGCCGAGCGAGTTCTTCGTCGGACCTTGGGGCTTGAGAACGCGAGTCCTTCGCGCTTGTGGAAGATGGCTGACAAAGCCAATCAGGATTGGTCTGTGGCTCTACGATTCGAGGCTATCGCTAAAGTGGATTCTATATTAGAGGTTTTCCACATGCTGTGCGTATCACCGCAAACGAGCGACCGTATCAGAATGGCTCGAGCATTTGCGAGATGTCATTGCGAGATCTGTGGACCAGAGGATCAACATTGTGACAACTTAGGGAAACTGGTGCTCTTCTCCCCAGGCGATGGGAAAGGGTATGGTCCCCATCTCCTTGTCTCTGAAAATTGCCCGGGCATCCACTCAATTGCTTATGGCGCTCTGCTTCCTGTCAAATACGACGCCAATGTAGCCGACAACAGGCATCCTCTGAAAATTATCAGACTCGCCGGCCTTCGATCCATCGATACGACTGCCTTACAGGGTGCGTTCCAATTCGAAAGTGGCTCCCACAGCTCTCCTGGACATTTTGACGGTCTCTTCTTTGACCTGAAGGCCCGCCCCTCTGAGATACTCAAGCTGCTGTGGTACAACCTCGGACTGCATGTTATCGAGCCTCCGGAGTCAGGGGAAATTCGCTGCGATTTGCTCACACAACCTGGCAAGAAATGTTCGACGAAAGGTCAGGCTGAGAACGACCTGGAGAATTAACGAGTCTTAGAAATCTCGTCGGCCACCGCATCATAGATGGCCATATGGCGCTCACAGCTGCTCAGAGCGCCTACAATGGTCGCTTCCGGGTTTTGCGACGTCGAGGTCAGCTAAGGAATGGTGTTCTTGGTGCGATCGGACAAAGATGGCTGCATTGGCCGCTAATGTGCGACTGTGGACGGAGATTTTATCACACTCAGGCAGAGGTCTGAGTTCTGTTCCGATACTGCCATCGCTTAGTCGAGGAGCTCGGACTGCCGCAGAGACCAAAAATACTTCTACTCTCACTTCGATCTCACCTCCAACACTATCGTATCAGTCACTGATAGCATGTGGCTCTTCACGCCCGTGACTGCTGTACGCTTCTGAACTACTTCTACAATTCTTCTTCCTGCACAGACTCAAGTTTTCGTTCCAGATATTCATCGCACAAAGTCATTCGTCCTGAGGAAGAGCTATCATCCGAAGCGAGATGTCGGTGCAGAAGTCGTCGATACTGCCTTTTCGCACAATGGGTGAGTCTGATAGCGGAACTGAGTCAAGTCGCATACCTCAAGCTTCCGACGTCAACTCCCATGCTATGTCCAATGTGAGCAACTCAGACCTCGAGCACCTACGGACAGCTCACCGGGCACTGTCGCATATGTCTGGTTCATCCTTCAAGATCATGAGTACGGACAGCGTCCACGACTCGGCCTTTGCCTTGCGATTTGCGAAGTCTCCGTCCACCTCTGAAAGCGTCTCCCAAGACACGAACACAAATGAGGTGAACGGCGAGAGAGGCAACGGCGGCAGTCACAAATTCGTCGTGAATGTCGAAGGGAACAACGAACCGATTGAAGGTTCCCGTATAAGCCTGGAAAATCAGTTCGATTTCAACGGTCCCGGCTATATCTTCAGTGGATTTCATGGCGCTACGTTCCCACGAGTCACAAAGATTGAGCTGTGGCTACATCAAGGCGAAGTGAGTAATATCAGTGCTCTTGTCATCAGACCGCGAGGCTTTCCCGAGCCCTTAGCTATCCACACTGGCTTCGGCAGCACTGCCAACCACTCATGCGTCGTCGAAGTGGCGCGTCCGCTCTGCGGTGACAATATGGCTGAAGTGCTCCTCGAGCCGCGAAGGGGAAACGTCGAGAGCATACAAAGCAAGCGTGCTACTGGACGATGCGTTGCGAGACTGCTGATCTTCGATGATAGCCTTGACCTGTAAGTGATCTGTACTATACCAGATTCGCAGCCTCCACTGACTTCTAATAGCAAAGGACCTAGCGATATCAGAATCTGCGTCAAAAAGGAAGCTCCATTGCAGAGCGTCATATCACAGGTCTACGTCAGAGACTTGGTTGGTGTCCGGCCCACCTGCGAAGATGGCTCAGATGTCAGTCTCATGCTTGGCACAAACAACAAATGGCACAAAATCCAATTGCGTGCTCCGTCTGGTAAAGACACAACAGCTATGCCTCTGTCGGACTCCGGAGGACCCCGGGCCTGTGGCATCGTCACCGAGCACGAAACCGAGACATCCATAGCATGCCACCATTGCGAGAGAATCTCATGGGATCCAGTGATTGAATGGGATCATAAGCTCGCTGTTGGACCGATATGTCCTCACGCAGACAATGGTAGCAGTGGCGGCGGTGGGCGTGATGGTGATGATCTTCACGGAGACGGTGACCACGACGACAGTCGCTGCAAGGGCAAGACTTTCATCGATGCAGGAGATGCTAAAGACAACGACTATAGGCCGATGCCCGGCTCCCAGATCTACCTCGACGGGCGCATGATGAATCGGGCCAGGTCTACGATGCCAGTCGTGCCTTAGAGAGCAATCAGTCGCAAGCTCTTGGCAAGCGGAAGCGGACATCTCCTCAGTCGCTCGCCTCGGCCGATGGGCACGCAAGCGTAAGTGAGGAGGATGCGCGCAGCAGATATGGTGCATTCAAGTACAGACGCATCAACGAGTACCAGATGAGGGAGTTGATCGCAGGCGCACCACTTCCTCGCATGAGATGATGCTCACGCACTGTCTTGCCGGGTGGCGGATCTGCCACATGGAATTCAATAGAGGCCTCCGAGTGCTACTGCTTAGGACAGCAGCGAGTTCCTACGTCGACTGCTTTCAACTCTGACCCGTTACAGCCAACATAGCGAGGGCGAGTATGAATGTCGCACGAGAAACCAGAGGTGTGGTTTGAGGTACAGCGGAAAAAGAATCCGACCCAGAGACTGCCAATGCCAAGCCCAATGAGCCAGCTCCGGGCCGAAATTAGAAACTTGCTCTCATGAGCACATTTAATCTCAGACTTCTAGACCCCAGCCTCATGGCCTCATTGAACATAGCCACCTGAGACGTGCCTGAAGTCCGCTCAAACGTGCTCAGTGATTTCCTTGCTGGTATTTTGGCATGTCTGGAGGCAGGAAGATCGTGATGACGGAGTGGCAGGTAGGTTGGCCGTGGCTGCTTCGTCGTACTTATATTCCGTGCCTGCCGTTGTAGAATGAGGACCTTCAAGTTCGAGGACAGTACGCGCACAAATTTGCTGGCTCGCAGATCAAACATCGAGCAAACATCCATCCATCTGTATACATTGACTACATCAAAGGTCAATTGCACTTTCAGAGCACCTGTACAACAGGAACCACGAAGAGTAACGGCCCTGGCCAACAGCCCGACTTGCATCACTCCCGCGAGTCTGCTGTCCTTTGTTCTCGAGCCTCAACCCAAACGGCACCAGACTCAATAACAACATTTAACCATCCAATCGGACAGAGTCTTCCAAAGTGTAACGACAGTTATTCGTTGAATCCGCCAACGCAACCTGCAATAACCTCAAAACCACGTGCCCGCCATGTGCGGACAAGGCTGCGTCTCCCGTACCCGCACGGTCGACTCCGGCTCGCTGATGGCTATCATCCACCCCGCAGGACATGGAACCGAGGATCAGCGATTCTCCGGTGCCACGCTGCGGCTACACAATCCGCTCCTTATCTCATCGCCGACAGTCTCGACACTTTCTTTTTCGGGCTCGAGTGGACGAAACAGCCGAGCAGCCTCGCCATGTGGAAGCGAGATATCGTCACTGAGCTCGTCTTCTTCCTCCGTGGCCAGCACGCTGCACGTCCGGATCCACCAGAGCACGACTGCTTCGCCGGTCCTACATGCTTTCAGTGTGAACTCAACGGACGGCGCAGACGAAGTCACCAGTTGTACGCTGCCTCAACGGCTGGAGCTGTCTGTCGGCGGAAATGGAGTTGTAGGGCGGGCAGTCAGTGTGCTTCACGGCGGGGACGGGCAGATTTTGGGGCAGGGTGTTGTTGGGTATGGGTCTTGAATGTTCAAAGATGGTGTCCTTTGTGTTCTGAAGCGTTGGCGTTTTGGCTAGTGTTGCTCATCATATCTTTAGCATCAGTCGTTCTCGGGTAGCACAGACCGAGAAGAGAAATCCTCATGTCATTATTCCGATCAAAACTCAGAGCGATCCTCACCACGACATGGTCAACAGTGCAGAAAATTGTAGATCTGCAATGCCCAGACGTTCCCATACACCTTTGCCTCCATAATTCTGGTCAGCTGCCTCTATTATTTCCGCCTGGGCCTGTAAGTACAAATATTTACACCTCCGAAAAATTGTCAGTCAATCCACCTTCACATGTCACTACATTTTCAGCAGCATAGTGTCAACGGCAAACACATCATGCGAGACCTGGGCTGTGGTTCATCTCACGGCCTGAGCTGATGTTCCTCGTACGGAGATCCCAGTTCAAATCTGGGTGCTGTTGCATCTTTTCCCTTTCTTTTCGCATTGACCCGAGTCTAGAGCAGCGGAACAAGACAGGCATGAGTGGCCGCGGCCTTAAGAAGTTAAGCTCAAACTGCAGGTGAAGTGATACCGTTGAGTTGAGTGCATATATACATTATCGCCCCCATCAGATCAAATACCCCATCCACCCCCTCTCACCCATGAACTCATCAAAGACCTCCATCTCGCCCCGCCCAAACTGCAACTCGCTCCAATCAATGTTATAATTCTGCGCGTTGTACGCTGCGTTGAGATCGCTTGACATCCCCTGCTGCTGCGGGTTCAGGGTTTGTGTGAGTTGTTGCGGGGTGGGCAGCATTTGGGATTGATGCTGTGAGAAGGCGGAGGACCAGGCGCTGGAGGGGAATCCGCCGCCAAGAATGCCGCCGCTGGCGCCGTTGTTGGAGACATTGTTGTTGGTGGGGTCGAGTTGAGAGGCGGGCATGCTGGAGGTGCCAATTAGCGGTTGAGATTGTTGTGTTTGTTGTTGCTGCTGCCGTTGTTGTTGGGAGAGGCTATTTTGGCGAGAGGTCGACGGGCCACTGAAGCTTTGAGCGCCGACCATGGCGATGTTGGGGCCGTTGAGAGAGCCGCTGTTGTCTCTACCATCGTTGTTGTCGACCAAGTCGATCACCCGATCAGGCAGACCCTCGGGCGGAAGACTGTAGCCTTGTTGAATGTCTTTCATTATGTTATTGGCGTCTTTCTTCTGAGCTTCATTGGCGGTTGGGTGAATGACGCCCCACACGTCGTTCTCCTCTGGGTCCACGTTAGGTGCATGCTTATGTTGGAACCAGTGCCGCAGCTTGTGCATGACATATACGAATGCTTCGGCTGGTGGGCAGCGCCCATCGGCAGAGACTTCCTGAAGGCGGTGGATGAAGGAATCGAGATACCACTCGACTTTCAGGTTCGGCGTGAAGATCGAGCCGAATTTGCTGTCGGGTGCGTGAAGGACGCCATGCAACTTGATGAGCGCGACGGCTGCGTAAGTGTTCCAGACGATGCCGAGATTGGAGATGCTGCGGGCGACCTGGATCGGGAGCGCAAGGTAGTTGTCGAGAACTTGGTGGCATGCGTCGAGGCACTTCGAGAGGGCATCGATGTGGCGCGTGGTGACAAATGAGCCGCTGTCGAACTTGTGTGCACCTCGTGTGATAGGATCGAGGTCCATGCTCTTGTCCATACCATCGGGGTCGGGTCGGAAATCGTCGACGTTGTGGTCGTGGTGGATGGCGATCTCGTGGAGGTAGAGGTTTAGCGAAGCGGCCATATGTTGAGAGATGTGCTTGTTGATGGTGGAGGGTACGGTTTCAGGCCACGATGCGAGCTGCTTCTCGAAAGCTTTCAGCTGGTACTGGGTAGCAGTGTCACCGAACGATATGGTGCTGCTTGGGTCGTCCATGTTGAAGACGACAGATATTTCTTCTGCCATGCGCTGAGACTGCACCATGGCGCACAACCAGCGATCTTTATCAACGGACTCAGGCGACTTGAGAAAAAAATCGCAGGACTCCTCGAGATAGGGTGTCCAGCGTACAAGGGAGGGATGCCGCAGAAGGATGGAGACGTTAGAGGCGAAGTAGTAGCAGGCAAGCCATGTCCGTCGGATCTCTGCCTCCTCAACGCTATCTCGATCGAGCTTCTTGTAGCGCTTGCCCATGCCAAGATCGAGACACATCACGATGGCGGAATGGATGAGTTGATTGAAGGTCAGATCCTTGGCATACTTCGAACGACTGTAGCAGCTGGTGTGCACGAGAATAGCTTGGACAATCTCAAGAGACTTCTCACCCAGGAAGAGAATGCGTTCGGAGAGCTGTCGTGTGAGCTCGACTGTCAAATTTTGGTGTAGCTCTGGTTTAACACTCGGAGAAGCGACCACAAGTATCGCCAGAAAAAGCATTGGTCGAGCAGTCCGGACATCTTGCGCGAAGATGGTTGGTGGAAATGCCAGGAGTGGGAAGTGTGGCAGCATGTCGGAAACATAGTAGTCAAAGATCCTCGTCGCAGATGCTATATCAAGCAGTCCGCGATCGATGATATCGACGTAGGGTTCCTCGGCATCCTTGCTGGCCAGGATTTTGTTCCATTTCGAGCAGCCCCAATCGAGGTCGCCTTGCTCGAATGTGACCTCCTTCCGGGCAACTAAATCACGATCGTACTGATTCAACCGTTCTAGATCGCGGTTTGGATCTGAAGTAGCTGATGTATTCGTGGGCGGATCCCGACTAGCAGTGGGAGAGTTGCTCTTGGGAGGTGTCGGATTCGCCTGTTGCTGACTTATCAAAGCATCGGTTAATGCGTTGATCTTCTTCTCTAGCTCGGCGACTTTGTGGACTGTCTTCTGTCGTTTGCGCGCAGGACCAGGCATTACACACTCCCGGTTGACCTTGGAGCAGCCAAGACATGCTTCCTGGCCTTCAACAGGCAGACACCGGATCTTCATGTTGCGGCAAGCAATACATGCGCGGGCACGTTTGGGCCGTTTTGCGGGCTTTCCAGGTCCTCCGGCTTCATCAGCTGAGCCATCGTCTTCTGGCTGAGAATCGTTCTCATTTTGCTGTGCATCCCTGGCTTCCTGAAGCGCGTTCCGCAATGACGAAAGAGACTCTTCGGTCGCCTGGCCAGGCGCCGGAATAGACGGTCTCGACTGTGGAGATATCACCGACATTCTGTATGAACCGCCGCGACTGCAGCGATGCAGCGTCTGTTGTTGTCGATTAAAGAAGTGCTGCTTCGATGGGACTATGCAGAGATCTGGTGATCATCGTCATGTCGCGAAGCCACTACTTCTCGCGCCGAGTGTGGTCATTGAGTCAGCATTGGAAACCCTAATGTCGCCAAGCCAGATAGAGCGGGACGCAGCAGTGATCATCGTGAAACAACCGGGGGGTTAGAGTTATATGCGATGCTTTGCCCTATCGCTTTATTGCCCGTCTGCTTTGGAATGAATGGGCAAGAGACAAATGCTGCACCTGAAGCCGAACTAAAGATATCAGAGCTACTCGCAAGGTGCGTAGCACGTGGCCTTGGTATGCGAGGACAAGATTCAATGGTGAAGAACGCGACCGTGGTTGGAAGTAGCTGGAGCCATGAATCTACAAATGTCTAAAACTATGCTCAGCAGTGATAACGTTGACAGCTCGAGACTTTTTAATTTGCTTGCTCTGGCATCAAAGTTGCGACAGAGCCGTGGCCATGCACGCAAGGGCAAATAATGCGTTTCTCTGGATGTTCTGGGAGGCCTCCGATCGGACGGAGCTGGCGCCATTGTATGCTTGCTAGACTCATGGCCTTCTCAGAACTCCCAATTCTCGTCAACACTTTTGATAGCCCATTCGAACTTTTCTCGAAGTGTCTTGGAGAAGAACTTCTCGATCGGAACGTTGAACTTCTTCACGAAGACGACCGTGAGACGAGGATCGATGTAGTTCTGTTGCAAATTAGCATCGACGTTAAAAGCATATAGGTAGAATGTGACTCACGATCTTAGACGTGCCCAGAGCAACCTCCTTGTTGCTCTCCTTGTCTTCGGCCTGCAGCTGCATGTTCTCGATGCGCTGGTCGAATTTCTTGATGTTCTCCTCAAACTTTTCCACGCTCGGGGACTTGCCCTCAGCTTCAACCTTCTTCGACTTGTTCTCCTTTTTGTATTTCTTCTCGAGTTCCTTGGCGGCATCAAGTCGTTCTTCGAGCTCCTTATGCTTCAATTCCTTCTCACCCTCGGCTTTGAGCTTCTCGTTGTCCTTTTCGAACTTCTTCGTAATCTTCGTCTTGGCTTCTTCGACAAGGTAGGCCTGGTGCTCGTGAATCCATTCCTCGTTGATGTCGCCTGGCAGCTCGAACCACTCGGCGCCTTTCTTCTTCTTCTGCTTAGGATCGACATCGAGAATCATCTGCTTCAGGCGCCATTGCTGATACCGAAGCGCTTTGATGCGATCACCGAGCTTTTCCATCTGATTCTCGTGGCTGGCTCCAACGGTTCGTTTATGGTTGCAAAGAATGGCTACCTTCCGATTTGCATCGTTGTACTGCTTGACTTTCTCAGCGTGGCTTCCCTCTGCCTTCATGTCCCTGAGAAGAGTAGACATGGTGTACGACGCATTGTATGTACGGAACACCTTGGCCGTCAGACCAGGCATGTAGTTCTTGAGGTGGTTGTTCAGTTGAGTCGTGTTCAGGCGATCGAAAATATCGTCGCCCTCCTGCTTCGGTGCTTTCTTGAAGATCCTGAGGTTTTTGAAGACCTGTTTGTCGACTTCGAACTCTTCGTGGAAGCGGATGCTGTCTTTACCCAAGAAATCGAAGATAACAGTGCTGGGCTCCTTCAAAGTGATGTGCTCGTATTTGAGGGAGCAGCAGCCGACCGTGTCGGCCTCATCATCACCTTTCTCATTCCCTGCTCTGAGAGCGAATTGATCGATGAAGTACATGGCGGTGGCTTTCTGTCGATCAGCCATCATTTCGGCCTTCAGGTTCTTGCGATAGTCCTTGCGGATCTTGTCGATGTGCTTCTTCAGCTCGCGGGCTTTTTCGAACTTCTTGTAGTCGCTCTGGCCTTTGACATCAGAACTAGCCGCAAGCATGACATACTTATAGTTGCCATTGATGTTTTCCTGCCACATCGCCAGCCAGGTGCCTTCCTTGTCGTGCTTGATCTCCTTCCACTTGTGGCCTGGCGGTGGCGGCGGTACAGTGGCTTCTTTGCCTATATTGATGGTGATCTGCTCGGGCTTGACGCGAGTCTTGACGTGGCCAGTCTTTGGATGCTCTCCTCGACCGCGAAACAAGCCAGGCGGTTCGACGCGGAAGTTGCCGACCTTCTGCTTCTTGCCATCCCAGATACAGTACATGTACTTGGCCTCGGCTTCATCCTTCTCGGCCTTAAGCTTCTTCTTTTCGGCCGCAGGCAGAGCTTTCTTGGCTTCCCTTTGTGCATCGTAGTAGTCGAAGATTGGCTTGAAATCGCACTTTGTGAAGTCTTTGATGGGCACTTTCTCGCCGTCTTTATTCTTCGCGCCGCCCGTCTTGGTGATTATTTCCTTGAAGTCATGGAAGAAATTCTTCTGGAAGGTCGGGTTTTCGACGTTGTGAGTCGAGTTCAACATGGAGCCGAAGAAGCTGGCGACTTCCTCTGCGTCAGGATGAAGGGTGATTGGGACGCCGTCGTACTTCATCTTGACATTCTGCGGCAGTGGCTGATAATCAGGAGGGAACACAACGCCACTATGCTCCAAGGTGTCCCACTTCTTTGTGCCATCGCTCTTGGTCGGGTCATCCCACCAATTGTTGCCCTCGTCTTCGTCGTCTTCTGGCTCTTCGGATTCTTCTTTCTTCACAGCCTTCTTGCCGCCAGCCTTCTTGGGTGCTGGCGACTCCTTCTTGGGTTTGGGCTTCGGCTTTGAAGAGCTCGCAGGCGCCTTGGATTTCTTGAGAGGAACATCGTCGTCGGAAGACTCTTCCTTCTTCACCTTCTTTGCTGGCTTCTCAGCCTGGCGAATCTTGACAGCTTCTTTTTCTGCGCGTTTTTCGATCTTCTGCTTCTCCTTGACTAGCTTTTTCTGGATGGGAACATCCGAGTCCGAGTCTTCTCCAATCTGGTGGTTGCTAGCTCTAGGCGCTTGTGGCCAACAGCGCCATTCGTCTTCGACTTGGATAGTGGGATGTCTGAGTCCGATTCAACAGCAGTCTCCTTGGGAGGCTCGACCTTGCGTTTCTTGATCTGTCGATGAGGTCAGAGGATGTGACTTGATGGCAAATCAGGCTTAGCACATACAATAGGCTTGTCATCGTCGTCCTCGCTATCGTCTTCAGCATAGCTGGGCCGGCTGACTTTCCGCTTGACATTGGAGGACGAGCCGTTGACGTCTTTCATTGGGACATCCTCGGTAATGGGCCCGTTGCGGATAGATACACCGGGCAAAGTCTCGCCATTGGTAGGGACCTGCTTGTCCATTTGACGGTCGACGGCGGCAGGAATGACAGCCGAAGATTTGGGCGAAGCTGGTGCTGCGTCTTGGTCAGTCTTGTTTCGTGCGTGAGTCACGTAGCCGGCAATCAAGAGCAGCATTGTTACTGGCGCAAGGGCCACTTACTGCCATTTGTACGCTTGATCTTGCTCAAAGGGACATCATCGTCAGATGAGGACGCCATTTTGACAGCCCAGACGACTTGAGGCTTGGGTGAGGGTCTTGATAGCTTCGAGAAGGCTGCAGTACGCGCGAGGGAAGGGTTTTGAGACCCTTTGAGGAGAGACTGGACTCGATAGAGAAAACGGGACGCGCTCCCGAGGTGGGCAATCGTGGAGTCTGGTTCGAGTACAATGCGCCTCGAGCCGCCACAGATTGTCTGTAGGCGTGAAGAGAGCGCAGAAAAGAGATGGTCTTGATGAAAAGGTGAACCAGATGCCGCTAAGAAAGCAAAAGAGTGTGATAAGGAGGAAGAGAAGTGAGTGGAAGTGAAGGCATAACGTGCTTCGATTCGAGGGAGTTCAAGGCTATCACGTGATACTTGCCAAGCTTTTCAATCTGCGGCATGCTCTGAAGAGCTAGCGAGGTACGGCACCTCTTCTCAGTGAGACCTCACCACCTCTCCTCTCCTTGCACTCCCTCTGTCCATCTTCGCAGGTCTGTCTACAATTACAGACCAGCCAGGATGCTCATTCAAGCGGCGAGGCCCGCTCTGCGGACTGGTAATGCGGCCTTTGCCAGGTCAGTAGAGCTCCGAAGCAGCTTCCGATGCCTGCCCCTACCACGAGCGCCAGTACTAATGTTGCAACAGAGCTGCGATTCCTCAGTCCGCCAACTATGCCACCCTCAGAGAAATCGAAGGTCCGTCATATCGAGTGCTGAAGCGCCCTACTCGAGACTAACGTATCGCAGGACGTCTCAAGTCCATCCGCAACATCGAGAAGATCACCAAGACGATGAAGATTGTCGCCTCGACAAAGCTTACACGTGCTCAAAAAGCCATGACTGACTCGCGGGTGTACGGTCAGACCTCAAACAAAGTCTTCGACTCCGCCGAAACGAAGCCCCTCGAAGACAAGAAGACGCTCCTGGTTGTCTGCTCCTCGGACAAGGGTCTTTGCGGTGGTATTCATTCAGGTCTGAGCCGTGCTACTCGCCGAATGCTTGAGGCAGATCCCAAGCTCGACATTGCCATCATTGGAGAGAAGTGCAAAGCCCAGCTCGGCCGTTCAAACGGCAAGAACGTCGTCCTGAACTTTGCTGGGGTTGGCCGAGACGTTCCTACTTTCGCCGACGCTCAAGCCATTGCCGACCAGATCTGCTTGTTGCCAGAGGAGTACGCCTCCATCAAGATCATGTACAACAAGTTCATCAACAACCAGTCGTATGAGCCCACTCCGATCGAGGCTTTCTCAGAAGAAGCTATTGCCAACTCACCCAACTTCGCTGCTTTCGAGATCGACGATTCAGTGCTCGGCAACTTGAGAGAGTACACTTTGGCCAACTCGTTGTACTGGGCCCTCGCCGAGGGTCACGCTTGCGAGCAGTCCGCACGGCGCAATGCCATGGATGTAAGTTGTAGCTTCCGCTGTGATGGTGCAATACTTACCATATCTACAGAACGCTTCCAGCAACGCAGGCGATATGATTTCGAGGTTCCAGATTCTGTACAACAGAACGCGACAGGCCGTGATTACTGGCGAATTGGTGGAGATCATCACGGGCGCCACTGCTTCGGAGGACATGTAGTCGGTCGATCTTCTCAACGCATCCTACGTTTGACAACCAGCGAGCCCTTGCGGCGTGTACATACTACGCATGGGCAAACAGCAATCGACGAGATAGCAATGAAGCGGTCTTCTTTGTTGCTACACCAATTTTATCCTACTCAAGCCCACCGTTCGTGTTGTGACAGCTGCTGATATCTTACAGTCCATTGGTCCTCTCAACCACATGGCCAGCTGCTATTCCCGTTGTCTCCATATAAGTATATTCACTTGCTTCAGTCACTGAGGGCTGCGCCATCCCCAACCCCCTTGTTCAATGTTGCTCTGCCTGTTGCAAGTTTACTGACGTGCTGCTATCTCCGGCCCACTTCGCCAAAATGCTGCTCTCCATTAATTTGTGTCTCTTTGCTGCCGTCTACCAGGAATTGCCCCCTACGTTACATACACACCTATCAGGATGGCGGGCATAAACGAGAGATCAAAGAAGGCATACAGAGCCTCTGGGGGAATATCTGGTTCCAAAACTCCATTCCATGAGCAGAAACGGCGATCAGAACATGCTCTGCAGAAGTTGCCTTCTGGTGTTGTCCGTCGCATCTCAGACTGCCTTAGCGTCACATACAACTGCGCAACGCCATTCGCGACAGCACCACAGACCTACCATTGAGGATCGACAATCATTACGGCTTGCGCATTCGAAACGAAAAGAAGCAGTTTAGTCCGCTTCGCACTCCAAAGTCGCGCCGTCAACCAGCCTCTCAGACCAAGCCGGAAGATGTTGAGGCTCCAGCCATTCAAGACTATATCCGCGAGTATGGGTATGACTATGACTATAAGTCCATCTACAACATTAGCGATGAAGAAAGCGCCAAATTGCAGAGTCGCCGCAATGCTCCGGCTCCAGAATTCGACTTCAACATGTCGCCAATTCATCCAATTGGATTGCCGCTCGATCCTCGCTTGTACTCCTGGCCAGCACTCAATGGTCAGCCACTTTCTCTTCTGATCGACCAGTCAAGCAAAGACTTTTCAAGGGTCACCAGAGTACCACGCGATCGTGCTCCCGTTAGATCTGATGAGCCCGTCAACTGGCTGATTCCGCTTCCTCCTGTCAGACCGGTCGCTGTTGACTTGTACACTGGTTCGCCAATCTATTCCGACTTCGAGGTCTACATCGATGAGGAGGATCGCGTGCCGGAAGATCTCTACGTCTCTCAAGTGGATGGGCCTTCTGACGGCTACGGGGAGGACTCTGACAAGGAGAACGAGCAAGCGGAGAGCGAGGACGCGTTCACCACCTACCACACCCCTCCGACTACAACCTATCATACCCCCAGAGAAGCTCCCACGCCAGTCACCATAGTCTACGATCCTCAGGATGGTAGCATCAGGCGGGCCCTCGAGCGATTGATTGCCACTGGCAGAGCCGAAGCGCAAATCACCAGCAGCTCTGGTTCTCGTTCCTCCTCGCCGATTCTGTTTCCCAGTCCTGGCACCTCTCCGCGCTCCCGCTCCTACCAGAATAAGATGGGCTGCACCTACCACGAAGAGATGGTAGAAGAGGAGACGCAGCAGCCCATCTACCAGCCTGCTTTCTACCACCGTCACGCCATCGCGCTCCGTGAGGCACTGGAAGGGATCTATGGCTGCGTTGAGGACATGAACGAGGGGCGTTTCGACGCGTTGTGGCGCTGGTATGGGGCAGAGGCTTCCCTGAATGGAATCGAAGTTGGCATCAGAGGTACATCTGACGGGAAAGTGAGAGCATATTGATTCGACCTTCTCGATTTGAATAGAATATCTCCGCCACAGGGCGGCCTCTGGCTAGAAAATCAAAACTCTTGAGTCCTGTCTGCCTACCTACTAAGTACGTATGTGCCATCAAGTGGTTTTAGAGGCAGTGAATAGATTCCCCACCCTCACGGACATAGTCAGCTAACACCGCCAGCCCTCTTACCCCAGATTTTATGCTCACTGCGTTGTTGACACCTGTTCACATTTGACATCACACAAGATCATGCAGGGAGGCCTTCAGACCGGGTCCCTCTACCACACACTCATTCCTTGAATCGTCTTTAGACAGTAGCTGACGGAACAACGAAATCATGGCGCTCAAAGGTGGCATACTTACGCTCCTTGCGTTCGCTGGGACCCTCGTTCATGCGGATGGCATATATTCGAAGGGCTCGCCAGTACTGCAAGTCAACGCTAAGACATATGACTCGCTGATTGCGCAGTCGAACCATACTTCCGTAGGTCCTCTGACGTGCCATTGGACCCTGCTGACGCTGTGCAGATCCTCGAGTTCTATGCCCCTTGGTGCGGTCACTGCCAGAATCTCAAGCCCGCGTACGAGAAAGCTGCCAAAAACCTCGACGGTCTGGCCAAAGTCGCTGCTATCAACTGTGACGATGACTCCAACAAACCTTTCTGTGGTCAGATGGGCGTCCAAGGGTTTCCAACCTTGAAGATCGTTAAGCCTGGGACGAAGCGTGGCAAGCCTGTGGTAGAGGACTACCAAGGTCCAAGAACTGCGAAGGGCATCGTTGATGCTGTGGTCGACAAAATCCCCAACCACGTTAGAAAACTACAGTCGTCAACATTCGACGAGTGGCTTGGCGACAAGTCTGTTACTGCGAAAGCCGTCCTATTCACAGAAAAAGGTACCACCAGTGCTCTGTTGCGGGCTGTAGCCATTGACTTCCTCGGAGCCATCAAAGTCAGTCAGGTCCGCAGCAAGGAAACCGATCTTGTGGAGAAGTATGGCGTCACCAAGTTCCCATCCCTCGTGTTGATTCCAGGTGATGAAGTCGAGCCCGTCACCTACTCGGGTGAGATGAAGAAGCAGCCGATTGTAGATTTCCTGAGTCAAGCGGCCTCTCCGAACAAGGACACCGTCTCCGAGAAGGCCAAACCAAAGCCGAGCAAATCGAAGGATCCTAAGAAGTCGGCATCTGCGAAAAGTGCATTCTCGAAAGCCTCTGAAGCCCACATGTCGGCGGATCTCGAAGACGAACTCGGAGCCAGTACTATCATCCTGGATGACAGCACTCCTACCGAGTCTCCTTTGCCTATTGTCGAGGACAGCAAGCCCGCTGTCGTCGAGGACATTCCGCCCATCGCCAGTCTTACCACCCCAGCTGAGCTTATCGAAGCTGCTCTTGGACCGAAGAAGGGCACTTGTATTCTGGTCCTGTTGCCGCCTGCCACAGAGGGTTCGCTGTCCGAAGATGCTGCATCAGCTCTGAACTTCTTCGCTCAAAGCGCTGACAAACACCAAAAGCGCCACGACAGCGTGTTCCCCTTTTACAGCGTCCCTGCTGAGAACGAGCAAGCCAAAGTACTGCGGAAAGATCTTGGTCTCAAGGAGTCTGAGCTCGAAATTGTGGCCTTGAACAACAAACGTGGCTGGTGGCGGCATTTTGAGGCCAAGTCCGCTTCGACCACAGATCTGGAGACCTTCATTGACAACATCAAGCTGGGCGAGGGTTCCAAGCTCAAGCTTCCTGCTAACTTTGGGACTGGTCCATCTGCCGAAGACCAAGGCCACAGCGAGCTGTGAGGTCGAATCTGGTACTAGGAAAACCAAAGCAAACGGCAAATTGAGCCCTAACCCTACTCAACACGTCCCTGAATTCACAGCCTGACTTGCAGCGTGAATATTGGCGTTGACTTGTGAAGGTATGTCCTCAAGCCCATACATGAAGGTGCTATGTCATGCTGCTAAATGCATGGACTCATTCATGTAGCAGCTTCGTGGCTGGTACATGAAAGCACTGCTTGAATGTTGAGGTTCACTCTGCGGCTTGACACTGCGGCTTGGACATGGCACTTCATGTTGTGGCTGTACAATTGCGGCTTGAATGTGGAATTTCATGATGCACCATGAATTTGCTGATTCATGTCAACCAGAGAACAAGGATATTGCCTCAAGCCCATTGACTCGATGTCGTCAACGGCTCGGTTATGCAGTGACTGCTTCGGTTCTAGCAGTGAAGCACAGGGGATTAGCCAGTCACTGCAAAATGAGCACGTTGCTGTTCAAACGAGTCTCAAAGAAGATTCAGAACAGCTTTCGACTCCTCTTGAATTGAGATTCAATCGAGGATCTGCTCGGGAAACTTGCCTTCTGGCTCGAGTCTGAGCACTACTTAAACCACTCTCTCGTTCCTTTCTCGATCCCTCCTTGCCACCATTCATCTCACCTACCATCCTCTCCTCCTCTCCTCTCCGCCCTCATCATGTCTTCTTCCCTTCCGACCTCTGCTGCTGGCAACATGCAGCCTCCTACCACTCCCACCAACCAGGGCATTCCACCCTTTCCCACCGATTCCTACTCTCCGCTCGACCCGCAAATGTCGCCGGGCCTCGTCAGAGTCATGCCTGTTGCCGCTGACGGTCTCGGTGCGCCTGTGTCTGGCTCGATCCCCGTTATCCGAAAGGATAACAACAATATCGGTCGCCCAGCGCCTGCGAGGGACGGACAAGATCTCAACATGCCGAAGAAGAAGGCTGCAAATGACAACTCTGCCGGCAACGTCTTCGATGACGATGATGTCGAATTCCTCTCTCAACGCTTCAAGACACCCACCAAGGTCAAGCCCAACACCAAAGTCTACGCTGACATCGCCTTGCCGTCGGTAGAATCCCACAAGAGCAGTTCCACCGCAGAAACAGCCCACGAGATGTCGCTGACGATCAATCATCGAGATCGAAACAAGTCTGCTCCGCCTAGACAGCCAGGAGTGCAATTCCACCCTGTGGTGCGCAAGATCGACTTCACGAATCGCAATAACGAGGCCGAGATCCTTCCTCCGCCGGGCACACCACTCTACAAAGAATTGATCTCATTTGTCATGCGCTGGAGTATCTGGCTCCCGCATGTGCGTGACGACCAGAAGCATGACAAGGTTTTACACCACATCTGTAAAGTCCTCCAAAAGGCGTGGGACGATGGCATCAAGAAAGGTCATATTCCTGTGCGGGTCCCCATTGGGTGCGAATCTTTCTCTCCTGAAGAGCTCGAGAAGGCCTTCGAGGTCGAGCGTGGTCGCGAAGTCCTCGAAAAGCTCAGCAAGAAGAACGATCCTGCCAAAGTCGTCGTTCTCGAGATCAAGCGCTGGCTCCAGGCCGACTATGACCGCTTCCACAAGCAGAGAGGTCCCATCCCCACCCCTCCCGACCGCTCGATCACTGCTGGAGAGCTGTCAGAAGCTGGCGTCAAATGGAGCGTCGTCCAGGCTCGAGTTGCCCGTGGTGATTTTGAGCAGGAGGGAGAGCTCATCGATCGTGCCACGGGTGGTAAGCCAATCGTGCCATCGAAACATTGGGCAGCGACCAAGCCACAGACGCCCTTCAATCCGTCAGGTCGAGACCTGAAGATGTTCTGCCTTTGGGAGGTCGGCCGGTGCGACATGATGATCGAACAACTCGAGGCATTGGTTGAGAACGTTGAGGACGCCAAACAGGAAGCACGCGCTGTCGCTCAGTCGTCCCTTGATGCGCAGCAGTTGCTCCGCAGTCAGCTCATGGCCATTGCTCTCGAGCTTGATTCGGAGACCAAGTCGTCCGTCGTGCTTGACGACGACGAGGTCGTAGAAGTCAGCATACAAGAAAAGAAGCTGGCTGTCCAAGACGCGGACAAGTTACAGAGCCGTCACAGCACTCGAGCCACTTCGTCCTCTTCCATCCAGATCATCCCTAACCAGGCGAAGCATCGCAATCAGTCGTCAGCGCCTTCCGAGTCCTACGTCGAGCAAGAGATCGGCATTCTGTCCATCCCATCCAGCAAGCCGCAGGCACATTTCGATCTACGAGACTACCTCCAGAACAACATCCGTCCAAAGGCCAACGACTTGCTCAAAGCTGAAGGACAACCTCTGTTAGAAGACCACATCAACAGCTGGGCGCCCATCATCAGATCTCTCAAATCTGCCGGCATCGCGGTAGAGAAACGTAATGAGCTTGCTGTTGAGGTCAATGCTGTCATCTTCAATCTCAACAGAGAGAAGGAAGATGATTTCAGCAGTTATCCGTCTCCGTTGGAAGTATGGCGCGCGATCCCGCCGCACGGCTTCGACAGTGACGAGCTCAAAGCCGAGTTTCCGCGTATCGAACGCTCAGATCGCGTCTGGATCAAACTTGTCAAGTCAGTTGCCAACATTAGCAGCGGTCGCTTCTATCCAAAGTTGCAGTCAGAGGCCTTCCCAGCTCCTGAGCTGCCGCCGATTGGATTTCGCGCTCGCAAAGAGGTCGTGCTCAAGTCTTTCAAGGTCTCCGCCTTCGATCCCGAAGCGTACTCATCCCGTACTATCAACAACACAAAGGGCTTCCGCTGGCGATACACGAACGAGTCGACCATTGCTCAGCGTGCCTCCATGGACGAGGTGGTCGAGCGCTACGTCGAATACATCCTCAACGTCGACGATCACAAGCACGCTCAGATGTATGGCAAGAACCACCCACTTCCTCGTCGTGGACGCTACGAACGTCTGGCCCACCCTGCTGATCGAGATGGTCCTGCTATTGTTCATGGCATCTGGGACGTTGCGAAAAACAGACTTGTGACCGATATAGAGTGGCAATGGTTTTATGACGGCGAGGAGCGCGACATCACCGTCGATTATGGCTACAAGTCAAACGAGCCACTGATCTTTACTAATGACATCGCTGCAGCTGAAGCGTGGGCGGCTCAATTTCGTGCCCAAAATTGGGCTCGTGAATTAGCTCAGCTCCAAGACGCTCAGGGTATTGCTCCTGCCACCATCGAGGCCCAACCCGCTCCTATCACTTCAAGCAAGGGCAAGGGCAAAACTAAGGCTACTCCGACACTGCTTACTGATAGCTCTTCTTCTGCTGGTAAAGCCAAGGCGAAACTTGTCCTGAAGACTCCCAACAACGCAAGCAAGAAGGACAACAAGCCCACCAGTGCTTCTGGCAGCAGTGGCAAGAAGCGTAAGATCAAGGAAGAACACCAAGACTCGCCGCGCCCCAAACGCCAGACTGCCAGTCGCACTCCGACTGGTCACTACATCGAGGCTGGAGAGTCTGACGACGACGACAACATGTCCGACTATGAAGATCTCTGAATGAGCCTGGTTCCGACCACAGCAGTCTATCGTTGGCGACGATCAGGAAGGCATTGTTGGCGCATAGGCTAGACTGGACAGGAAGGATATCACGAATGATGAATGACTGACTGCATGGAATTCATGTTGCTTTGTCAACGATGATACCCATGATGCTCAGGAGGTCTCAACGAAGACACACAGATCAGAGATGAAGTCATGCAACAAGACTAGATTCATAGATCCGACGAAATCGGGATAGCATGGTAGCTCCATAGAGAATACATTATTCCCTGACCGGTCCCTCTGATCCTTATCTGCAGGTCGCGCGTCCATACGATCGGTGAGGCCTTCCGATCAGGGCCCGAACAAACACTATCCAGTCGAGCCATGCCTTCTTTCGACGCTACTCACGAGCATGCCAGTATAGTAGAGTGGCGGTAGCGTCAATCCTATGGCGTGCCTCGGCAACGGCAGCGCTGATTGGACACACTTCTGCTGTTTTGATGCTACTCACCGTTGACCTTCCATTCATTTACGCCACATCCCAGCGCTTGCCGCAGATTTGCCTGACTTGCTAGGGCCGTGTATGGCAGGGCTGACAATTGCAGACACTCGTCAATGATGTCGGACCCCAATTCGATGGCCGACGCTACCGACGGACGCCTGAAGCGGTGGTTCGAGTTCGTGTTCCACAGCTCGGTCCCACCGCAGCACCGAACTTGTTGCGAGTTGCCATGACTCAGCCCTATACAACATTCACTGGATACTACGCTATATATATTAGTATATCAGCTCGCGCGGTCTCTGACCGGCCCCAGTCCCCGTTCCCAACTTGCTGATCATCATGGCAAAGGTACAGCTTCCAGATACTCACCCTTTCGGCACCGCTGTGCCCTTTGCCGACAGGACTACTGACCACAATGTCCTAACACACTTGCCGGAATGGGAGAACTTACTCAAATTTGTCGCTGGCGACCCTATGATCTTTCAGAGAGTCGTCAACTTCTACCCAAGAGTGCTTCCACAAGAACACGTGAAAAAGCTGAGCAAGGCTTTGGTGGACACTGTCGAGGGAAGTGAGGGCAAGACATGCATGATCTTCACGGACCCAGGCTCGCCTAAGGCTTGTATCGACTTCATCACTGCGGAAACGCGGAAGGATGCCAAGGTGTCTCCTGAGGGCTTGTCAAGCCATGCCTTCGATGTTGGTCCGCACCGGTTGTGGACAGTCTTCTACCCAATACCAACCTCTCGCAACGCTACTGGCGAGTTCTGGCAGACTCCAGGCGTTGGCATATCCACGAGACAAGCCCAGGACGCGTTGAAGTACCTCGACCAGATAAAGGAGATCCCGCTCGACTCACCCTTCCAGCCCCCCACCTCCGAAGCCGATACCATCGCCCAGCAGCTCCGCGAACGTATCATCAGCTACGTGAATCGCGCCCCATTGACCAAGACTTCCCGCCCCACCCCATCAGACGTCTATCTCTTCCCAACGGGCATGGGAGCATTTTACCGCCTCCACCACTACCTCACCGCCCACTACAACCTCCCCACAGTAGCCTACGGCTTCCCCTTCCACAACACCAAAGACCTCTTCGAGTGGTTCCCCTCTCCCTCGCCGTACCTGTTCCTCGGCAATGGCGACGCCGCCGATCTCGAGAAGCTTAGATCCCACCTCGCCGTCCTTCGCTCCCAAGGCACCAAATTACAAGCTCTCTGGACCGAATTTCCTTCCAACCCAGCCTGCGTGACCCCAGACCTTCAGTCCCTCCGCCAACTCGCCGACGAGTACAAATTCATCCTCATCGTCGACGACACCGTCGGAGGCACCGCCAACGTCGACGTCCTCGCCGCCGCCGACATCCTCATCACCTCCCTCACAAAGGCATTCTCGGGGTACGCAGACGTCATGGGCGGAAGCATTGTCCTATCACCCGCCTCCCCCTTCTATACCGAACTGGTATCCATCCTGACAAAGTCCTACCGCAACGAAATGCACTGGACCGATGCTCAACAACTCCTCACCAACAGCGAGAACTACCTCGAGCGTAGCGCAATCCACAACACCAACGGCGCCGCGCTAGCGACATACTTCGCCGAGGAAGCAGCGAAGCCCAACTCCCTCATCGCAAAAGTCTACCACCCCCTCGCCCTGCCCGACTCTTTACCGTTCTACAAGCAGTACCTCCGCCCCTCGGCCCCCGAATTTCCGAACCCAGGGTACGGCCTCCTGCTTACAATCGACTTCATCAACGAGGCAGCGCAAGCGGCGTTCTACGACGCGGTTAAGTTGCTGAAAAGCCCGCATTTGGGGTGTCATGTTACGCTGGTGCTGCCGTATGTGAAGGGTGTGTTTGGGATGTTGGGGCAGTTGGAGGAGGTGGCGGAGTGGGGGATTACGGAGACGCAGATGCGGATTGCGCCGGGTCTGGAGGATGCGGAGGGGTTGGTTGGGGAGTTTAGCAGGGCGATGGGGGTGGCGGAGGAGGTGGTTGCGAAGGCGGCAACGGAGGTGCCACTGCAGCCTGTCACTTTGGGCTAGTAAAGGGTGGCTTTGGAAGCGGCGTGGAATACAACCCTAACCCTTTATTTTGATTTAACCAAATTCAGCTTAGCGTGATTCACATCGCAACGTTTAGTGCCCATCGAGTTCGTACTTATCTCTTTCTTTACACTATCATTCTTCACACTCTACACATCGTTACTAATACGCTATAGCTATCCTTAACCCATCGCTATGCTAGGCTTCACCTTAAGGCCCGCCCGCTCGGTAGCAGGCGCGCAGCGAAGACCAGTTGAAGCCCGTTTGGGCACCTAGGAGAAGCGACTCGGTCTTTTCTTAGCGGCAGTGCAGGTTGCTGGGCTCGGCATCACAAGTTATTTTGTGTAGGGCAACAATCACAACTTCGGGCGCAGCCACAGCAACATCGCGCAGCAGGTCAACGCGACCATCACCATCGATCCTATCCAGCTCATCACAGCGGGCCTCGGCTACAAATGCAACATGTACTCCGATCTCGCGTGCGAAGCCTTGCCCCGAGACATAAGAGACACCACCAGTTGCGAAAGCATCAGTGGCAACTCAATTATCTGCTTCCGTCAGGAAAAGTTCAACAACCCACCGACCGGCGCTGAGGGCAAGTTGTTCCTCAGCAGCAACCTCGTACAGTCCAACAAAGAGGGCGGCGATATGCTCGGCCGCGCAGCACGACAGGCTTGTGGCGAGGTGGGATGCGATTCCTCCAGTCGGCTCCTTGATGTACAGAACCCTCATTTAGAGCCCACTACAATCACTGTCACCATGCGAGGCAAATACAACAACGTCGAGCAGCGAGACTACATGCTTCGTGTCCTGCAGGAGGCCTTCAACTTGGCGCAATCGGAGCGACGGAACAATCCACTGGCTTTCGTACGAGGACCCAGCTTCACTGATCTGGACGGTCCTTTCAACTGGGATATTCCGACGTTTGGTGAGGCGTTTTTGAGCGACGCTGCTGGGCGACAGTTAGCGCACATGTCTGCTCTCATCACCAGTGAGGAGCAAGAGAAGGAGGAGCGCTGTGAGAACACTGTGGGAAAGATCAGCGAGGCTGCTATTGGAGCTATACCTGGTATTGGAGGTGTTGCTGGGCTGATTTTCAAGATTACCTGCGTGGGGATGGCAAAGGCGTCGGAAGGAGCTTGAGTTGTCAGGCTACAATTACAAGTACTGGGCGTTCTCAGCACGTGGGATGGTGATCATCTTCCGGGTCACGGCGGGCGCTGAAGAGCTGATGTTGTTTCGCTCATAGATGGATGATTTTGCATCAGCCTCACTTGAGCTTCAGGTGGCAGCAAAGATTCGTCACGCATTTTCCGGCCAGGGAGGGCGCTCTTTGTTTAGAGTGACGATTTACAGAAGACGCTTGCGACTTCTTGTTACAACTTGCTTGCCTGCCAGTCCTCCTGTTTCGAGCAGATATCAATGTAGCTCTCTACGTATTGACGTAATGGCCATCTGGCTCTTCTGAACAGCATATGACATTACACACGGAGTTCGCAATATGATAGAATATCCTTGCATCCTAAGAACAATCGTTCGCCTCTCGATCCAGCCTTCCACATCTGCCCAACAGATCTGTAGCAGCATAGCGACTGCCTCCACAGTTAGAGCATGCCAATAGATTACGGAGCAACACACTGGCTGGCACAGAAACATGGCATACACGGTGGATGGAGTCCGCAACGATGCGTAGTCCCGAGTGCCGCGAGCCATGTGGTTATCCGGTCTCACGAAGAGCCTCACACATGTCAAATCATCCGGCGCTACTAATCACCAGTTCTGTCATCCGGTCTCTTTGACAGCTTTGACTGATCGAGTCAACCGGCGTCGAGGATCTCATGTCATCCGGTCTCAGGGAAAGCGCCTGGCAAATCAGTCGACCGGAGTTGCACGACAGCGTCAATGCGACTTTGACCAGAGAGTGGAGGCTGATGTGCAGATCTGTTGTCTGCGCAACACGCGCGTGCTGCATCGAATTCCCGCGCCTGATAGATAGAAATAAAAGATGTATTTGTGTCCTATCAGTTCCTGCGTTTCCAACCGTAATTACATATACCGCACGTTTCTCGTGCATGACCCAGGGTCCATCGCCTTGCGATCTCAAGCCCGGTCCAAACTCTGCGCCCTTGCCATCTCGAAGTACCTCCCCTTCAACGCCAACAACTCCTCATGCGTTCCCATCTCCACCACCTGTCCACCGCCAAACACAAAGATTACATCTGCATGTCTGATGGTGCTCAGTCGATGCGCCACAGCAACCGTCGTTCTGTTCCCCTCTGCGGACGCCTCGTCCAACGCCTTCTGCACAACTCGCTCGCTCTGCGTGTCGAGTGCCGATGTTGCTTCATCGAGCAGCAGTAACCGAGGCTTCCGAATCAGTGCTCGGGCGATCGCTATCCGTTGACGTTGACCTCCGCTGAAGGACAAACCACGTGAGCCGCAAGGTGTATCGAGGCCTTCAGGAAGAGATTGGATGAATTCAAGCGCGTTGGCTTGAAGGCATGCTGCTGTTACTTCTTCGTCGGATGGCATCGTCTCTAGACCCAACGCGATGTTCTCGCGTACGGAGCTTGGTACAGTGTAGGTTCTTGTTGGACAAGGGACATGTACGAACGGTACCGCTTGGGCGAGAACGTGGTGATGGGAGTGGAAGAGAGGTTGATGACGCCTGACGATGGGTCGTAGAAGCGCTCGAGGAGGGAGATGAGGGTTGACTTGCCGCAGCCGGATGGACCGACGCAGGCTGCGAACGAGCCTGGCTGTATAGTCATAGAGAGGTTGCGAAGGACTCGCGATGCGGAACGTTGGAGGTAGCGGAAATCGACGTCGTTGAGGACGATGGTGCCGTTAGTTGCATCAGGCTTTTCGGGATCAGTATGTGTGTCGCTCACAGAGGAGCTGGGAGAAGGCGGTGATGTATCAGGGCCCAGGTGAGCGTTCTCTTTCGTTTCGGCAATTTTGGCTTTGATTGTCCGCAGCCACAAGATATAATTGGCAGCAGGACGGGCTTTCGTGAGCGAGGTTGAGTAGCCGAAGAATTGGCCAGCAGCTTGACCTCCGAAGATGACAGCGATGTATATGATGAAGAACTGCTCCGTGGTATACTCGCCACGAGCCAGGAGCGAGAGCCGTACCAGAACCCCAGACCCATGATCAGGAACTCAATCGATTGACTGATTGCGTACCAGAACATTGTCCATACTAGGCTGCGGATCGAGCGGCGCACGATGCCGTTGAGATTCTCGTTGTACTCGTCCATGATACGGGTTTCGAGTGTCAGAGAACTCACTGTCCGAATCGATGTGACAGCTTCGGTAGCCAGTGCAGCTGATTCGGCAAAGTTCTTGCCGGTCTCGTGTTCGAGTTTCTGCTCCAGTCGAATGCGGACGAAGCCAGCGCCGACGAGGAAGGGAAGCCCACCAAACACGACCACCAGCCCAAGCTTCCAGCCGAAAGCGATTGCGAGGATTGACGAAGACAGAAGGTTGACGAGCACAATGAAAATAAGCATGACATTGGCCGATATCAGCTCCTGTAGAGATGTCGGTAAGGACGACAATTTCGACGTGAGAGCACCCGAGCTGTTCTCCGGTCTATCGAAGAAGTCGGCATCCATGCCCATGACCCTCCGCATCATCTCAAGGCGATAGCGGCGCGTGACGGTCTGGCCGATGACGTTACAACACCATCCGATGGCGAAGTAAGCAAACAGGTTTGCTAAAGCGACAATGAACATCATCAAGCTCCAGAAGTTGGCTCGGTCTTGCACTTCATCTGAAGGCAGTGTGAACACATTGATGATCTTTGAGAAGATGATCGCTTGTGCCGGGTAGGTAACACCGCCAATGATCGATCCGAAGCCTGAGATAGCGAAGAACCAGTACAGGTCTCGTTGCTCGTAGAACATGATGGCGATGCACTTGATGAGCGAGAGATTGAGGGTACCACGTGCCAAATTCTGTGCCTCCGCGTCGTTCACCACCGAGCCCGCAAATGATTGTGTTCTTGCCATAGTTAGCGATCTTTCCAGCTTCATGTCCTCGTTCTCTTTGGTGAAATCTGCTTCGCCCTTCTCTCCGCCAAGATCTTGCGCTCTGACAAGAGCCGCATACTGTCCGTCTCTGTCAATGAGTTCTTCGTGTGTGCCTTGTTCGATCACACGGCCGTAGCTCATGACCACGATGTTGTCAGCTTTCTTTACCGTAGCAAGCTTGTGTGCGATGATCAATGTCGTTTTGTCGACAGACACCTTGTCCAGTGCATCCTGGACTACCCGCTCAGCACGCGGATCGAGTGCAGAAGTCGCTTCGTCTAGGAGCAAAATTTTAGGGTTCGAGATGATGCTGCGAGCGATGGCCACCCGCTGCTTCTGGCCTCCACTCAACATGGATGCTCGTTCTCCAACTTGTGTATGATATCCCTCCGGGAGATCTGCAATAAAGTCGTGGGCATTGGCAGACTTGCAGGCCTGTTCGACCAGCTTCATCTGCTCATCTTGGGATAGATTGATTTGATCGCCGACAAAGCCTTTGGCAACGTTCTGGAACACTGTACCACGGAAAAGTACAGGCTCTTGCTGCACCAATCTGATCTTACTGCGCAGCCAGCCTGTGTTGTACTTGGTAACATCCATCCCATCCAGGAGAACTTCGCCGCTATCGGCCTTGTACCAGCGCTCGAGCAGGCCTACGAGCGTCGACTTGCCGCATCCACTTGCGCCCACGAGAGCTGTAGTCTTACCAGCAGGAATGGACAAGTTCAGAGAGTGCAAGACCTGTGAATCTGGGCGCGTTGGGTAGGAGAATGATAGATTCCGAACCTCAATTTCACCATGGCAACTTGCCGGCTGCTCGCCTTCAGGAGCAAGGGGATCAAGTTCGGACTTCTTATCGATGATAGTGAAGAGCTCCGAGGCGGCTGATGAGGCGTTCGTGATGGACTGAATCTGCGGAGCGATGAGGCTCATTGCTGTAGCCCCGAGAGTGATCGAAAGCACAACAGTAAAGACTGTACCAACCTCATCGATCTCACCACTCTGGTACATTCGGACACCTTGCCAAAACGCCAACGCCGTACCAGCCAGAACCAGGAAGTACTCCGTCGAAAATAGTACGCCATACACAGGCGACTTCTTCTTTGCGTGCTTGAATGCGTCGTTGAGGAAAACGTCATACTTAGCCACGATTTTGTCCTGTGCCCAGAAAGCGTGGACAGTCTTGACAGAGCCAATTGCTTCTTGTGCCATGACTGCAGCCCGAGAATAGATCTTTGTGATTCTGGCTTCGATGACAGCGTCGACAGCGATACAGCCACCAGTAGACACAATAATGGCAGGAACAATGCTCATAATGATCAGAGACAGCTTCCACTGGACGGCCAAGGCAATGATGAAGGCGCTGAAGAACAGACCCAATCCTTGCGCTATATACGCCAGCTTGTCCGCCAGACCTTGGTTGATGCGATTGCCATTCGTGGTGACCTGAGTGGCGGCGGAACCATTGTCGGCTTTGTCGAAATGCCACACCTCTTGTCGCAGAGTGGCCTCCAGAAATGCTCGCCGGATAGCTGCAGTGGTGCGTACTGCAGCTGTGCTGATGGCGAGATTGGCGCAATAGGCGATGACGAAGCGGCCAATGAAGAGGTATACGAACCAAAGCACGAGGTCGTCAACCGCATCTTGAAACCTGTCTCGATTGGAGTCACCGACTGAAAAGTTGCTGAACTCATTCGTGAATTGGCCGAATATCAAGGACATCAATGGAAGGGCGGCACCAGCAATGATGGCGCCAATGAGGGCGCCCGCAAACAGGAACTTCGACAGCGTGTCTGCATAGTGGAAGATTCGTATGTATGCCCCGAAGCCGGCAGAGGCTTCTCCTCTTCGGCCGGGGCTTTTGCATGGCTGCTGTCGAGGTCCTGCTTCTCAATGGAATCTGATCTCGTTTCCTTGGGTAAATCTTCTGATGTGTGTCTTGCACTGTTAGGCTCCTCCGGAATTCCAGTGTCAGTCATCGTCAGAATTGCCCAGTATTGTGCGATATCCAGCGACCGTCATCACGCTCTGTGGAAAGAACGAAACGAATAGTTCTGGAAGAATTTTATATTGATCATGCTTGGCCGACTTGAAGGCAGCAACATTGTAGTCATGACAGAATACTAGCGGAGTCATGGCGTTGAGCCACACGGAATTATAAACGTCCAGGTGTCCGAGCGCCGCCACTGGATGGCAAGGTGATCGAAGAACAGGCAAGATCAAACATGACGCCTTTCCGATCCAGGCGGTAGGTGCCCGCTTGGCTCTGGGCACGATAGGTCCACTCTCGTATACCTATCGAACCGATTCGCTGCTGTCCTGCCTAAGCGAGCATAACGCTCTCGAGACCTCGTTTCGATTGACCACTTTCGGGGGGCGCGCGGGCTCCATGTGGCATTTTGTCCAGGCTGGCCGACATCCCCAGAAACTGGTCTTCCATTTTCTCTCACAGCAGGTCGAGGCTTGGCATAGTGACCGCGACAACACCATTTTTCACGATCATTTCACGCAAGAAATCACCGAAACACCGTGCCCAAATGTAGGTAGTGTCATGAGCACGCGCTTGTTCCATCAGAAAGCATGTCTGTATCAAACCTCACTCTACAGGCGAGCCAGCGGTCCGTCCGCTCTTACAACGCCCAAGCTGGCCTTAGAGATGTCTGCGACGGTCTTGCACCCACAAAGCTGCATACAGCGCCTGAAATCGTTGTAGAGCATATTCAGCATGTGAGAAACACCCTTCTCGCCGTCGTATGCCAGACCCCAGATTGCAGGACGTCCAACCCACACCATCTCTGCTCCCAAAGCCAGCGCTTTGAATATATCGGAACCACTTCGCACTCCTCCATCTATATGGACTCGGATTTTACCGTCAGCCGCTATTGCACCTGTCAGCACGAACACGTAATGGGTGAGAACCAGACTCGAGAGCCAGACTCGAGCACCAGACTCGAGAGACTGATGTCCCAGGTTTGAGGGGACACTAACCTTTAACACACTCCGGTAGCGCATCGATCGTAGCTGGCGTCCCGTCAAGTTGCCGACCACCATGATTGCTGACAAGCACGCCGTCGCAACCATACTGCCTCGCGAGTAGCACGTCTTCGGCAGTCAATACGCCCTTGATCCAGATCTCCATCTTCGTCACACTTCTCAGCCATGGGATTTCGGCGGCCCAATTGTGGGAGTCCGAGTTGAAGTCCGTGAAACTGTTGTCATGTGTTCTCGACCTTATCAGCTCGGAGTCCCATCCTAGCATTGGGAAACCAAGACCGTCAGGAGTGCGGAAGTCATTGCGGACTTCTGTGTATCGCACTCCTAGCACAGGACTGTCGGCGGTCAGGAAGATGGCCTTGTGTCCCATAGCTTCCGCCCGCCTGATTATCTGCAATTCGGCTTCGCGGTTCTTCATGGTGTACAGCTGCATTGCATGATCGATCGGCCCGACTTTCGACCCAGCCGCGCGTATGTCTTCCACGGAATAATTTGCGAAACTTGAGACTGCCATAGCTAACCCACTCTTTGCAGCAGCGCGAACTGTTGCTAGCTCTCCATCAGGATGGACCATGGCTTGAAGACCGGCAGGCGAGATGCCCAGTGGAAACTTGATCTTCCTGCCGAACAGCTCGGTCGATGTGTCGACCTGCGAGACATCGACAAGCACTCTGGGCCGTAATCTGTACTTTAGATATGCCGAAGAATTCTCCTTGACGGTGACTTGATCAGTAGCACCAGAGTCATAGAACACTGAAGAATATCAGTCCGGGTAGATCTGATATCGCCAAAACATGATCTCAACTTACATCGTGCTTCTTCCGGCAGTCTGTCTGCAGCGGCTTGCTGCAAATCTTGCATGCTAAGAATATGATTAGCCGGAGGCAGTGGCTTAGGTAACGGAAGCCCAGCCATCTTGCTGATATGGCTCTTCAGAGCGTTTCGAGCAAAGACTTTGACTGATATTCAACAAGAGGTTGTCTCTCTGGTATGGTCAGCGCGAGGAACGAGAACTCAGTTCCGCGGACTGAAAGTTGAATGTGAGCTTAAGTGATGGGTCTGTTCAAAAGGTCAAAAGCACAAAGTTATATGGTGTGAAGTTATATATCTTTGCTACCTAAGTATTCCGGGATATCTAGAGCACTCAACGGTTTGATAAGTTATCCATACTATGCAAGCAGTACGCCTTAGGACCTCGAACTTTACGGGCATGCACTCGGGTGGGGCTCGAGTCGACTTACATGGTGCAGAGCGATCGTGCCAGTAACCTGCTGTCGCTGCCTTAGGTAAGCTGCCAAGCTGTAATGGTAGAGGCGAGTCCGGCCGCCGCGGGCCCCGAATCGTGAGTAAACTATATACACCGCCATGTATACTACGATGAAAAGCTCTCGACATATCGTAGGCGCACTTCGGCGGGCGCGGACGCGTGAGCGGAGCTATCATGGACATAGAGACAGAGTCTGACATAGTGCTAAGGGTTCCCGCAGTAAGTCACCTTGCGAGAGAGCCGGGTCAGCAAGCTGATGCGCGATAGTGCGATATCTGTAGGTCAAGGAAAGCGCGTACAGCCGATTGTCGGACAAGCTCACCATGCTGACAGGCGAGCTAGATCAAATGTGACCGGAAGACGCCATGTAATTCATGCATCGCTTCCAAGGTTGCTTGCCGGACCACCAAAAGAGCGCCAGAGAAGAAGCAACGCGTTTTACTTTCCAGCAAGTACGATGAAGGCTTGGCAAACGTCAATAAGAGGCTGGAAGACTTGCAAAACGCGCTCCAGAGTCTGCTAGAAGGCAACAAACACGGCCCGGGGAAGGACCTGGCGCCTACAGCACAGCACCATGTCTCAGACTCACCGGCACCTGGCAGCAAGCCCGACGACAGCGATGTCTTGTACGAAGGCGACTCATCATTCAATGCACACTCCAAGCACATTACTGAGACACTTGGAGCTGCATTGGCGTCAACTTCGGTCTCTGAAGGCTCGGTCTCTCCATCGATCAACCATGCCGCAATCCGGCAATTACTGAGCGATGTGGCTGCTGTTCAGAGCCCACCGCAGAACGCGATAACCACACCCAAGCGACTCGAAGACTACAGGTATACTGATTTAAACACACTGAAGAACCTGCCCCTACCATCGATGTCTCTTGTGCTGAAGCTGCTCCGTATCGCTCAGACTACCTTGCAACGATGGAGCATCGATTACCAGGTTATGGAATACAACGCTTTCAAGACGTTATGTCAGAGGGTTTATTTTCCCACTTCAGAATACTCAATCTTCGACTGGATCTTGGTGAATGGAGGCCTCTTCTTTCTCTTCCGCGATGCAGAGGGCGATCTCCACGAAAAGCTTCAGATTGAGAGGTCGGACGTCGTGGCTAATTTGAACATGTGCAAAAACAACGTCGATACTGCCATTCATGGTCTGCCACTTTGCGTTGAGCCGTCACTAGAGGCCTGCCAAGCCATCATCATAGGCGCTTCCATTGCTATGGAAGCTGCTCAAGGGGCACATGCCTGGCGATTGACCTCCGTGGCCTCACGGATGTGTCTCGATCTAGGCTTGCATCGCCTGAGGAGGGACGAGTCGCCTGAAAACCTGAGGGCTCGGCTCTGCTTTTGGACCGTCTATGCGATGGACAAAGGACTGGCGTTCAACTTCGGACAAACACCTACAGGTAAGTCATACGCTCTTCGTCATACGTGAATGATCTTGACTAACCGTCTGTGCAGTGAGTCTGACTGGAGCAAGTCTGATCTCGCCTTCGCGACCTTCGATGATGTTCCGGAGATCCGAATGTCGAGATTCTTTGGACGTAGCTGACACATCGTACAGATCCACGACTATGACCTCACCATCGATCGACTTACTCTTCCAGGCGATCTTGAGGGACCGTGGGGTCCTCTATGGCTTGCCACGCTGGACTTCGCGATCCTGCAGGGCGAAATCTACGAGCAGTTGATATCCATCAGTGCTCAGAAGGAACCGGAACACGTCCGAATTCAACGTGCCCGAGAGTTCGCTAAGAGAATAGATGGTCTTCGACAGCCTGTACTCGCGGTATGTTCTCGGGTAGCCTACGTCCCATTTAGGTTTCCAGGTTTCCCTCCACCCCTTCTTCTGCCTGTGCCTGTGCTGACGGTAGCTATTAGTTCGGAGCTGAGGCTGAGGCAAGTATGCCAAACCAAGATCTGACGGTCTACGCAGTGCTGTCAACGGATATCCTCATCGGCTGCATGAACGCCATCATCTATCGCGTCATACCGCCCCCCCAGCCAGCGCACCCTCTCCAATACTGCGAGGAGGCGGTCCAAAGCTCTAGGTCGGCTTTAGAGAACTTGCAGCAGGCATTCCAGAAAATTCAAGCGGACAGCAAGACCAGCGGCGTCGAGAACTGGGAACTCTTCCTCAATTGGACCATTCTGTTCGTGCCTTTCGTACCTTTCGTGGTACTGTTCGGCAACATCATCGCCCAGCGAAGTCTACACGACCTGGACTTGCTCCGGAAGACCGTGAAGGCCCTAGAGAGCATCGCTGACCGCTCTCCAGCAGGTCGCAAGCTGCACGGTGCTTGTGCACAATTTCTCAAGATTGCAGAAATGTTCTTGTCGCTCGACAGCGTGAAGCAGCCTGGCAGCCAGCCGAGCCCAAAGGCAGTCGTTACAGACAACGTGGAATCCCAGATGTTGCCTGAATTTCCCGTATCGCAACAGGACTGGGACGGCATGCTCAACGACTTCGACCTCGGGCTCGGGGCGGAAAGTGCCCGCGAGATGATGACTTCCTACTTTGAGCCTTTCATGAGTGGCAATTACAACAACATCAATTACTGAAAGACCCTCGCGACTACTTCGAGGGTCGGGTTAAGCCCACCGATCTCGGAGTGCTCGGTCGGGAAGGAACAACCAAGTTAACCTACTGTACTAGGGAACCGAAACTACAGCGGCAGCTGCGGACTTGTGGAAAGATCTTGCTTGACGACCCCAGATTTTATTCTAGGCTTCTCGACTTCTGGATATGATTGGATAAGCGTCTCCTGCCTGATGACCTGCGTCATTCAAGAAACTAAAAACGCGTCGAAAATCGACCCCTCGGCTTAACCTCAGCAAAGCATCCCCGCACTGAGGGGAGCGTACCGAACAGGTACAAGAAAGTCGAGATGTCCTCACGGGTAGCCATGGGAGGGCATTTTCGACTCACTTCTGGCCCGACTGCACGACACATCGTCGATACCAAACATACATACATCCACCAAGTCCTCCCGATCTACACGCGACACCATGGGTAGACTCGACGGCAAAGTAGCCATCATCACTGGCGGTGGTACGTGCCTACGTCCCAAGCAGATCGCTCTCTCCAGCACCACTGACATCTTACCTCAGGCCAGGGCTTCGGCAAAGGCATAGTCGAGAAATTCCTCGCCGAAGGCGCCAAAGTCGTGATCGTCGACTTTGTCGAAAAAGTCGGCGCGGCCGCCGCCAAAGAGCTCAAATGCGAGTTTGCGCTCTGCGACGTGACGAAATCCGCCGATTGGGAAGCCACCCTCAAGAAGACCATCGACGCCTACGGCAAGATCGACATCGTCATCAACAACGCCGGCACCACCTACCGCAACCAGTCGAATAACGATGTCACGGAGAAGGACTTTGACTTGGTTATGAATGTGAACGTGAAGAGTATTTTCCATTCGGTCAATGTTATTGTGCCGGCTATGCAGAAGGCGGGCAATGGGGGCGTGTTTGTGAATATTGCGTCCACGGCGGGCATTCGGCCGAGGCCAGGATTGATTTGGTATAATGCTTCAAAGGCGGCAGTCATCAATGCGACGAAGTGTCTGGCGGTTGAGTATGCGAAGGATAACATTCGGATGTTGAGTGTCTGCCCGGTTGTAGGGTTGGGCACTGGATTGTGAGTTGCGCTGCCCGCAACTATAAGGTGTCATTTGCTAACAAGCTTGCGTCCAGGACCGATCTCTTCCTTGGCAAGCCCGAAAACGAGAAGGTCTTCATGTCCACCGTGCCACTTGGCCGTGGCACAAAGCCCAGAGATGTTGCGAACACATGCTGCTTCTTGGCCAGCGATGAGGCAGACTTCTTGACTGGTAATGCTGTTGAAGTCGATGGTGGTCGCTGCGTGTAGGGCCTGGGAAAGACGAGGAAGTATGTAGCGTCTACTTCATGTACAGCTCTTCAACTCAATCTTTGTGCAGCTGCGACTGTCCGGTGAACACTCCATGTGTCGCTGAATGAACTCAGCATGGCCGAAGCGCATGTCCCTCCGTGGTCGCAGTGTGCTCGACTCTGTTCTAGTCTAGCCACTCGCCGTGGAGCGCTCTTACAGAACAGAGTCCTTGGTTCCTTCCATACAACTCATTGACCGTTCCAGTCACTAGGTCCGGTCTTAACCTATCTTCTCTCAACCTCGAAAACGCGAATGTTTCGAGCGCCTCAAGCCCTTCCCTCTTCTAAGCTCCTTGCCCTCGCCCCAACCATATAGCAGAAAACGCAAGCACACAACTCAACCGCGAGACTTGGCTGACACCCCGGCAGGCACGCATAATGTAGCAGAGTGACCATGCCCATCAGCCACGATAGTGGTAGGAACCGCAACCAGAACGAGCTGAGATCATCCGGTACCTCGAGTATGGCCATCTTCCAGAAGAACAACGTAATGACGCCCAACGTGAAGCATACGAGCTTGTTGCGGAGGATAAGTCGCCCCTTTCTGTCTGGGAGCTGCGATTGCAGGTAGCCGCAAGTCTCTTCGTCGGTCTCAGCAATGGACAAGCTCATGATGCGTTGCCCTAGGCACCCTTCCCAAAAGTTATGCTTCTCTTTTGACTTCTCTGAAGAATGTTATTGCTTTCCTGCGATCTGTGAAGATACGGGCAGTGTAGATGAATGGCGAACCAACAAGCGAAAGCTGCAGTGATGATCCGTTTTATATGTGAGTCCGCTGTGGCAGGATAAGGCAAAGTACCGTACTTTCGTGCTTGGATTGGAAACAAGGCGTCTTTGCCATACTAGGGCCGCCAAGAGTTGCCTGAGCTCGACTTTCAAGTCCCGAAAGATCGGGCGCCGTGTCCTTGGGCTTCATTGTTAACGTTCATGCTGCTAATCTACGTGCCGATGGCGGAGATCCAGGCCTCGACGAAGCAAGCTCCCTGGAGGATGCTGCGTGCGCTGGCTGATCGACAGGCGATCCAGGCTGTAGAGGGAGCATACGGAGTCATTGCGCTTATCCCTGTTGGCTTGCTTCCATTTGCAGCGGCAATCCTCTTTTGACTGCCTGTGCGGCTTGTCAAGTGGGGTGTGTGACGACGTTGGTTCCGACAGTAAAAGATGTCCATATCTACTGTTTAGGAGGACATCATAGTCTTCGGGCTCGTGAGCGGCAGATGCTGTCAGCATGGTTCTTATGCACATACTGCAAGGATCTAGCAGCTCATGCTGGATACCGAAATCATAAGGTCTCCAATTATTCTCATCTTGCTGCTGGTCACAAGTTGTCCGAGCAGCTTGGTCTGTCTTTTGGGATGATTGATAAGGTCCCCGACGGATCATAGGTCGCCGATTGCTACGATCCGTCCGGGCTTCTTTGTCAGTCTTCTCTTGCGCAGGTGCTTCTTTGAACTGCTCGTCGTAGTTCCGGACCCAGAGACTTGTTTGTAGGATGGTGGCAAAGCCATCCATGCCGCCTTCGACCGTGCCATCGCCCTCTCTGTAAGTGAACGAAGATCCGCCGATCCAATGTCGCAGCCAGCTTCTGGGATCTGGCAGACAAAGTTCGTGGACAAAAGCTTGCTTGAAGCTCTGCCTAGAGGGCAGAACTCGCACAGCACAATCACTGGCCCGAAAGCCGCGCGCAGTTACCCACAATGGGTCATGATCGCCACTTTCACCGTCTTGCAAGATGAAAAACGACGGTGACTTGTTGAAGGTGAGCCATTGGGATTCCTGGTGAGGAGCGCATGTCGAGTAAACCAGATCACACAGACTGAGTTCAGATGTGGCGGTAATCCAAACCTTTGGCACCCCGTGCAATTTGGTGGAATTCTTGGCTGGAACTATGTTTGTCTCATTAGCAACGGCAATGAGATATCTTTCACGATCCGCATAAGCTCTGTGGCAAGGTAATCTGAGGTGCGTGCGCCCGTATGTGTAGGATAGTCCGTCGCCGGTTCTCATGTGATGCGCCAGATCGAAGGGCTTCGGCAGCAGTCCAGACAGTGCCTGTAGTATTCTTCCGACGTTGTCCCGTGATGACAAACAAGCATATAGACCATCGAGTAGGACTTGAAGAAGTGGTTTGCGATAGTCGATCTTGATCAGATGTGTTCGTCTCACTATGGCGAGTATGCCGTATATCTTGTCTCGAGCATCATCGCATTGTGCATGCGCAAGGTGCTCAAGCAAGCCAAGCAAGCCGATGCGTCCATTCGTGTACTCTAACTTGAGACCCAGCCGACGATCCAGATTCTTCACCGAAGGCAGCACCTTCGCAATTGGAACCAAAGCTCCCGACTGTAGTTGCCGTTTGCAGCATCGAACTGCGACCAAGAAGCTCGTGCGGCTCAGTCTGCGCCGTCCGCAGATGAACCACAATCGACTGGGTAGGATCATCTCTTGTACAATCCAGACTCTATGGGTAGTAAGCATCAATGCTCCATTCCAGGAAACACACGAACCTTTTCCAATAGTGGCGATTACAGACATCGTTTATAGCATCTTGCATTCTCTGCAGACCAGCCATGTCCACGTTCCGGCGTGTTGAACGATCAAGAAGATCCTGGGTCTGTGTCCAATCATACCAGTAATCTGACTCTGGCGTACTTGGTCCAAGCCAGGCGCACACACTCACGGCAGACCTGTATATGTTTCCCATCAACGCAACCTGCGGACTCTTCTCGGTAGTGTCATCCTGGTTGATACATAAGTAGTCCGCCCATAGTCTCAATACGGGTTCGCACAGAAAGTTGGGTTCATGCGGAGGCGCGTTCCTTCGCGGGTAGTGATAGTTGATGAGCGCGTCCAAAAACAATGCGAGGTTCTCACGAACAGGGACGACATGACCGTCCACCAGAATCTGCGTGGTGATCGCGGTGGAGCCCCAGGTGTACGACAAGGCATAGAACGGTGGCGCGTGCCGGAAGCACTCTTGCACATCGTCCCACTGTGGCGCCAGAGCCACCGTCTGCAGCGAGTACTGGACTTCCGAAAGACCATCGGGCTTGAAATGTCGCTGGACCTCTAGAACTCTGATCTCGCCTCTTCCAACGTCGAGTGGTGAGTACAGCTTTCGGCGTGCGCCGTCAGCGGCCATGTCGAAGCCGCATCAGCGATGTCAGCGGCTTCAAGACGGTTGATGTGTTGCAAAAGGAAAGACATCACGAGCACTGTAGAAGGTGAGTTCAAAATCAAGGGAAGTGCTTGGCTTTGGTGGAAGATAAGAGTACAGTACTGTCGGCAGGAACTTTGGTCGTGAATACCTGGAATCGACCCGACTGGAAGGCGGGCTGAGAAGAAGTCTGCAGTACCACTGGCAACTCACCAGAAATCGTTCACCTTCATATAGATGGTTCTCAAGCTGCGCGGTAGTCTTGTCCGTCGATGGATTATACTCGCGTGCTCAGAATGGATACATGTTTGACGAGAGTCTTGACTGCGAGGACGTCTTGTTGTTACTAGGCGACGATATCCCAGGTTGAATGTAGGAAACCTCAGTGACGTCATATAGGAGCACATCTTGTGGGGTCAACCAAAGGTCCGGCCCTTTGGGCACACTAAGGTATTTCCAACGACGCAAGTCAGTTCGTCAATGAGCAGAAGTCCCGCGGGGCATCTGACATCTTATGATCTGAGCGATCGAGCTCCGTGTCCGCTACGGTAGCAGCTCATCGTGTTCTTTGTCACCCACAGGATAACTTGCGCTTCTCACTGCGCCACCTTCCACAGCCTAACCTGCCGCAGCATGTACAAGCAAACCGTCACAATCCCAATCAGAGCAACATTGAGTACCGTGACCAGCGCAAATCCAGCCGTATACCTTGGCTGCTTGACCTGCTGCCAAGCCAGCAGCGGCACCCAGATCTGAAACGCGTATGCGAACTGGTTCATCGACCCCGTGACGATCGCGCGCTCCTCGTTGTCCGCCGTGCACACCTCGTTCGCCCAGCTTCACATTCAATGTCAGCCAACAAGTCCACTTCAGAGAAGGCAAGCAAGGAAGGGAGAAACTCACGACATGATAAGGCCAGCCGTAGCAGCACCGACAGGATTGATGATATAGACAGCCCATTTCCAGCCAGTCGGAATGTTCCATGCCCAGAGACTACCGTAGCAGATGATATTGACGACTGCGCCAATGAGGATAGCTGGCCAGCGACGGCCTTTGAGGACAGTGTCCGATGTCCATGCAAAGGCCAGCGTGGACACGATCTGGACGACACCTCCTATGGTGGGGTAGACGTTGATCTCCTGGACTGTGTATTGCTTCGTGGATTTCAGATATTGCTGGAAGATGGGCTGGGCGCCGGCGGTGCCGTTGTTCCAGACGACATACTGTGGACGTGTCAGTCTTGTGCTCGAAGTACACAAGTCAACGAGTTTGATCAGGTCACATGTCAAAGACCTCGGTTGGGTTGGCTGCTTACCATGGGCACAAGAACCCACCAATGCCACCCTGTGATGAACTTCATGCTGAAGGTACATTAGCTTACGCCGCAGAAGCAACGTGCTCGAGAGCTCACATCTTAGCCTTCGTGTATGGCTGCCGTAGCGCACGACCCTCCACTACCATGCGATCCACGCAAAGCTTGCGTTCGTCTGGGCTTAGATACCAAGCGCGTGTACTTTCTGGCAGATCTGGTAGGACGAAGAACCCAGCGATCGCGATCGGCATAGTGATGATGCCGTCGACAATGAAGAGCCTGTGCGTTTTAATTGTCAGCAGGTGCTACCACTCGACACAGCAAGAGCTCAAGGCTCGACGGATGGGACTGACCATTGCCAGCCATAGAAACCACCGACGCCTTCCAGGCGGTACGTCGCAGCCATGAGGTAGCCCGAGAACATTCCGCCAATAGCATTCGTGATCTGGAAAATACACGTCCGCTTGGCTAGCTCGTCCTTTCGATACCAGGATCTAGCTGTCTGTTAGCACCTCTGGCCTGATCACATACGCCGGGATGCCCTTCAGCCCAGGTCCAGACCCAACTACTTACCCAATGATGTAAATGAAGCCCGGAAACAGCGCGCTCTCAAACAGCCCCACGAAGAATCTGACAGCACACATGGTCTGCCAGCTCTTGCAGGCCACCAGCGAGAAAGTCAAGACGCCCCACATAATCTCGATACACGGGATGAACAGACTCGGGCGGACACGTGTGAGAAGGATATTGCTGGGCACTCCGCCTAACACGTAGCCAACGCTCCAGGCTGTCTGCATGTAGTTGAGTTGGTTGCCGAGCATTCCGAGATCTTCTTTCATGCCGGAGACGAATGCATTGTTGATGTTGACTTGGTCGAGAAATTTGACCTGCAGCACAGGGTCTAGGTAAGCGCAAGCTTGAGCATCGGCATGGCCAAGTGGAAGTCTCGGTAAGGATATCGAATGGTATGGAAGACTGTTGTCCTATTGAAGACCATGCTCGTACTTACAAAATACCCCAAGCAGCCAATTGTCAGCAGAGCGCAGTCAAGCTTGAAGACCAATTTCCGTTCTTTCGGATCTTTGTCGAGAGAGTCCCAGATATACGACCGCCAGGTTCGTTTAGGTGTCTCAGCAACGATCGGGTCGGTGGCGCGTGGCAAGGCTGAGTCCTGCGAGGACTCGACATCGCCCTTGCTGTCGACCGAGTGCTCGTGTTTCGGGACTACGGTAATATCCTGGATGTGCGTCGTGATACCAGCGTCCAGAGCCTGCTTTTCCGTCGCCATGATTGCGTTGCCGAACAGCACACACAGGTGAATGCAAGGAGCGTCTCCGAATCATATACCGTGTGTTCCCTTTGCAACGCGCGGTGGGGAAGCAGCTGGATACTTGTTCCATGTCGATATCGGGTAATTGATTGGCGCTATATTGCTCTATTCATCCTGGCATGGATTCCCCAGATGTCTGGAGATTTGTCGGTGTTTGCGGAGGGCACTAATGCTAGTCGCGTTACACGACTAGTGTACCCGAATTCTGGGCATATCCAGATGAGGAAATCGTAGCGTCGTTCGCCCACCGGAGAAGCATGCCAACACGGTAGGTCGCCGGTCGTGGCTTTTGTCGTGCGCCAGCGAGTGGGAGAGAGGATTGATGCTAGTACAGAATCAGTAGTAGGCAGCTGGCGAGGTTCCCCAGAATCCTGCAGAGAGATCAGGTGGACCGAAGTTGGATCGCCAGGATAATATACAATGGACTTGGTACTCTTGCGAAGGCTACCATTCTTCGCTGGTCGGCTGCATTGGACCGAACAGTGACTGTTGACGCTGCTGAAGGGGCTGGATTCGCTTGCTTAATATGCTGTCGCTTGGTTCGATGATTGAGGCTGCCCTAGATCTTGGGATCAGACCACTGAAGAGCTTCCAACCATCCTGGAACAGGTCTGCTCTAGTGTCGTGAGTCGAAAGCCCGCTGCACAAGGTCAAGACGGATAAATTGTGACTCATTAAACGAAGCGTAAGTACGTGCACTTTTCGCAATGCATACCTCAAGCAGCACGGTTAGCAACAAGTGCTATCTTGGCAGCTCAGGTCAACAGGACACCTCCTTCATGGCTTCGGTTGTTGTGAGTTCGGAACGCCCCTGTGGAATGCCAAAGGTACGCAGCTCAACGTGCTGCCCTTTTGCTCGGGTGATCGATTTTGTTGCGAGCCGATGCCAAGGTAATGGGTATTAAATGAGGTGCGCTCTGTCGTTGCGGTAGCGAGTGAGTCGTAAAGAACGGACGTCGGCCACCCCTGGTCAAATCTGAAATAACATGATTCTACAACTCTGACTATTGACAGCGCTGGAGCTGTCCCTAACCGCTTGGAAGGCACACCATTTTCCGAGAACGACGCCTCCGCCACCTTTTTGACCGGTCCATGGTTACTTTTCGAGCTTCAACCGCTCCAGCTCCTTCAGAGCCTGCTCGAGTCTCTCAACCTCGGTCTCAGCATCCTTGAGCTTTTCTTGCTCCTTCGTCTGGGTATCTTTGCTCGCCTTCTCCCATCCTTTGCCCTGCATGATCTTCTGAGATTTGTCGACCTTGCCCTGAGCATCCGCCAAGCTCTTCTTGCTCTTCGTGATCTCCTCTCCGATGTCAATCCTCCCGGCAATCTTCAGGAACACAGCTGCATCGGCGTTGATGCTCTGTAGCGCACAGCCTGCTGGAGGGGAGTCGGACTTTGATGGAGGAAGGACTTCGACCTCGCCACAGTTCTTGCCTCCGAGAGACTTGATTGAGGTGATCTGCTCAGAGGCGGTCTTGAAAGCACGGTCGGAATAGGTCTGGACGATGAGGTCGCCTGGCTCTTTGAAGCCGTATTGTGCGAGTAGAGACCGGATGCCTGTAGCGATATCCATCACGAACTCGTATTGTGCCGCTTCCGTGGGCTTGTCGAGCTTGGAGACGAACTCTGGGAATTTGGCGATCATGATCGATTCGGTCTTGTCGCCACTGCGGCGAGGCAATTTCTGCCACAGATGCTCGGTCAAGAAGGGCATGATGGGGTGCAGCAGCAACAGGCCACCTTCGAGAGCTGTGTAGAGTGTTTGTTGTGCTGACTTGCGGTCTTCTTCGGCAGCATCAGCGGTGAGAATGTATTTCGAGTTCTCGATGAAAGTGTCGCACAGCGCGTTGAACCAGTATTGGTACAGTGTACCTGCTGCGGTTGAGAACTCGCGGGACTCGATCGCGTCGTTGACCTCCTTGGTGGCCAAGTTCAGTCGATGCAGGATCCATTTCTCAGCCAAGGACCGAGGCTCATTATCAGTGATCGATGCGTCTGGTTGAAACCCATCAGCTAGACGGCCCAAAGCGAAATTCGTTGCCTGATAAATCTTGTTGCAGAAACGACGCTTAGCTTCGATCTCTCTGATGTCGAAAGCGATGTCTCCACCGCCGGTGGTGTAGTTGATGAGTGTGAATCGAAGTGCATCTGTACCACATTCCTCGATTCCTTTCGGGAATGCAGTCTTTTGATACTTCTTTGCGCGCTCGACCTCCTCCGGGGCCAGGTTGCCGGTCATCAATGTCTTGTGGAGATCGTCCAAAGTGATGCCATGGATGATGTCAAGAGGGTCAACAACGTTGCCCAAGGACTTTGACATTTTTCGGCCTTCTGAGTCACGGATGAGCGAGTGGCAGTAGACCTCAGTGAAAGGCACATCGCCAGTTAGCTTCAAGCCGAACATGATCATACGGGCCACCCAAAAGAAGAGAATGTCCCAGCCAGTCTCAAGGACAGACGTAGGATACAGCTCGCGCATGTCCGATGTCTTGTTTGGCCAGCCGAGCGTCGAGAATGGCCACAGACCAGACGAATACCACGTATCAAGCACATCTTCGTCCCACTTGAGTGTGAACTTCTTCCCAGGGAATTTCTTCTCCGCTTTCGCTTGAGCCTCTTCTTCTGACAACGCACACACCCAGTATTTGCTGTCGGCGTTGTCGGCAGCCTCGCCTTCAAGGTCGACGAAGTAGGCAGGAGCACGATGTCCCCACCACAATTGTCGGGACAAGCACCAGTCCTGGATGTTGCCCATCCACTGATGGTATTTCTTCTGTTCAGACTCAGGCTTGATGACGATGCGACCATCTCGCACGGCATCGTCGGCAGCCTTTGCCATCTCGGTCATTCGCATCCACCATTGCGGTTTGAGGATGGGCTCAATTACGTCCTTCGACTTCTCGCAAAGTGGTAGCGTCATGGGGTTCTCTTCCTGCTTGTTGTAGAGACCGAGCTCCTTTAGGTCAGCAATAACCTTGTATCGCACGTCGAATCTCTTTTGTCCATCATATGGACCGGCGTTGCTGTTCATAGTGCCATCATCATTGAAAACATTGATGAACTCCAGATTGTGCCGTTTTCCTTTGGTGAAATCGTTTTGGTCGTGAGCAGGAGTAATTTTGACAGCGCCAGTACCAAAGTCCATTTCCACCTCTTCGTCGGCGATGATGAGCACTTTTCGATCGGGCAGGAATGGATGAATCGCATACTTGCCCACCAGGTGCTGATACCGCTTATCGTTGGGATGAACGGCTACCGCTGTGTCCCCAAGCATAGTCTCTGGACGGGTAGTGGCGACTTCGATGAACTCTTTGCCCTCATACTTGCCAGTCAGGGGACCGTTAGTCGAGTTTTTGATGGGATACCGAAAGTATGTGAGGACACCGAATTCGATCAACTTGTCGTAGCCAGGTACTTTGATCTTCGTTCGGCCGGTGAGTTCTGTGTTCTTCACCTCGAGATTTGATAGTGATGTGCTAAGTGCCGAGCACCAATTCACCAAACGATTCGCTCGGTAGATGATGCCCTCGTCATATAGTTGGACGAAACTCTGCTTCACAGCTCGCGACAGATTCTCGTCCATGGTGAATGCCTCACGACTCCAGTCCATTGAGCCACCGAGCTTCTTCAGCTGCTTCGTGATGTTAGTGTGGTACTTATCCTTCCACGTCCAGATTTTCTCGACCATAGCTTCCCGACCAAGATCATGTCTGGTCTTGCCTTCGGTCTTCCACAGCATCTTCTCCACCACGCTTTGTGTTGAGATACCAGCATGATCCATGCCCGGAATCCAGGCAGTGGTCTTGCCCTTCATTCGAGCATGTCTGATCATGGTATCTTGAAGTGCATTTGTGAGGGCATGGCCCATATGTAGTGCGCCAGTGACATTTGGCGGCGGTATTGGTATGACGAACTTGCCCTCCGGCTTGATCTTGCCATCTTTCGTGAACTCAGGCTTGAAATAGCCTCTGCTCTCCCACCAGTCATATCTGTCATCTTCAATCTTTCGCGGTTCATATACGTCCACGGGCGTGGACTTCTTGACTTTCTCTTTCTTCGCTTTGTTGCACTCAGCCGAGGCAGCGGACTGGGCTGGCTTTGCTTTTGCCTGCTTGGCCTGGAATTTGGCGAGCTTCTCGGCTTTTTGACGCTCTTTCTCGACTGCGGCGTCGTTAGCAGTCTGTCGTAGCAGATAGAGGTCATTCGGAGGACGAACTTTCTTTGGCAGTCTTCTCTTTACCAGCCTCGCCCATCACGGTCTGACCAGCATTGTTGCCTTGCTTATCTTGACCGCCGACATTTTGACCCGTTCCCTCCTTCTGAGCAGACTCCTTGACAGCAGCGGCGACGTCGCTTGATACGGAAGGCGGAGGACCGCTCACGGGACCCGTGGGTTCAGTGGCTATGGAAAGCACGTGAGCAAATGCGACCGGGCATGTACATGCAGATTTGACTTACTTGCGTTATGAGAGGCTGCATTAGTCGCCATGGTGACACTCTGAAGCCGCCTCCAAGCTGGAGGAGGACGCCAGAGCAAATGTCTAAGAAGTATTTTGGACAGCTTGCAGTAAAAGCACTGGAGGAAGATCACTCTACGGACATCAAAGGGAGTGGTGTTGTGTTGCTTGTGAGTCACAACACTGTGCGCTGCAGTTGATAAATCTATCTGAAGCGGCGCACTCACAGAAACAACTCACGAGATTTGGACTCTGCCGAAACTTAAAGAGGAAGGTGTGCCGGGCACGGTCACCTCACATCGGACAAACTGTAGAACGAGGTACAAACTTAGGTGTAGAGTGAATTTTGTTATTGTTGCTCGATTCTCTCATGCAATGGACGCTCTCATTTGTGAAGCAGGTGGTGGAACTCTGCACCTCCTCACCACCCTCAAGATGGCACAGAGGCACGCCAACCCTTCTCTGCTACTAAGGTTGAGCAGTATGTCTAGTTTGCTCTGGCCCCGGCCCTCATGAAACGTGATTCTGGGTATTCTGCGTAAGCGTCGCTCGGACTGGGTTGAAGTAGGGATGGGCCATCGCTTCTTGCGCTGTTAGGCGTTCCTGGAGGCGGTCAGTAAGCCCCCCTCGAACACTCATACGTTGACTTACCTGGTGGTCGTATCGTAATAGCTTGTCAAGGAAGTCGATGGCCTCTGCGCTTACAAACCGTTGGTTGTCCTGGTTGACGAAGCTTTGCCAGCTCTTTCTGGGAAACCTGCTAAGAATGTCGTCATATTGGGCATCGAGCTCTATATCGTACTTGTCCAGATATTCGAACAATTCATCCGTTCCCAGAACCTTGGCTATCTTTACTAGCTGATCTGAATTGCTGTTGCCGTGGAAGAATGGCTCTTTTCTGAAGATCATGGAAGCAAACATGGCTCCCAGCGACCACATATCGAGCGAGTAGTCGTATTCCTGGAAGTCGACTAGCAGTTCTGGTCCTTTGAAATACCGCGACGGAGTCAAAGTTAGTACATTTGAATCATACAGGCAAGAAAACACTCACTGCAACTCGGACGTTGTACTCGGTACCGGCATGGTAGAACTCAGCCAAACCCCAGTCGATGAGCCGCAGCTTTCTTTTCTGGTGGTCGATCATAACGTTGTGCGGCTTGACATCTCGGTGCATGATTCCCTTGCTGTGGCAGAAGTCGAGTGCCTTGAGCAACTCGAAGATGTAATATCGGACATCGTAGTCGACGAATCGAGGGTATAGCGTCCTGAAATCTGTGTTGTCGACGTTCTCGAAGATGAGGCTGGGTGTCTTGCTCTGGCTATCTCTCACCACGTCGAGAAGGGCAACAATGTTTGGGCCGCCGGACAGATTCTGTAGGATCTTGATCTCGCGCTTTATCTTCTTCTTCTTGACTGGCTTGAGGACTTTGATGACGCATTTCTGGTAGTTGACCACATTGATGCCTTCGAACACTTCACTATATTTGCCGCGACCTGCGTGACTGTCAATTGGTGAACACACCCAGAGTCGCCTGACCCACCAATCTTGCGCACGATCTCGTAGTTCTCCAGCACACCCCAGGATATGGCCACCGAGTCGTAGTCCCAGTACGACCGGGGCATATTAGCGTTGACATCGGCGTAGACACGCGCCATGGTGAGTAGTGGGGGGTGCCCTCATGCGCCCACGTTGTTGACGGGGAAAGGCACTGAGATCTTGGGGTGGTCGATGCACCGTCGACTGCCCGGCCAGCAACGAGCGACTGTCCTGAACGCGACGGACCGCGCACGACGACTATGGCTGTGAATGTATCGAAGTAGAATATGGGGAAAGATGCATGTGATGTTTGGTGGGACAAGCCTGTGACCGATGCTGCGGATCTGCATCTCCGGGCGGGCACAAGACCCGCCTAAAAAAGTCACGGCTCACCTGCATTGCAACTTCCATTTCAATGCTACTTCTCATCGCACTTGACCTCGACTCACGCACCATAGCACCTTTCAAGCGCCGGTCGAGTCCATCGTCGGATGATCACAATGCAGCTGCACGCTACATCCAGACCTGCGACGATCCAAGATGCCGTACCATGACCTGAATATCATCTACCAGGCAATGCTTCCCAACTCAATCATACCCTTGCTTTTGCAACAGAGCTAGGCTATAGGACTCTCGCAATCGCCACAGTGGTCACCAGCAATCTTTCATCCAAGCCAGATGTTGCCGACCTGTCCGTGCTACGGCAAAGGAACCCTGCTCTGACGCTCCTGTCGCGCCTCACCTTGCACATTAGCGACCACTCCCAAAACCACAGCCTGTCTCAGCAGCAGTCGACCTACGATATCATTGCCCTCAGACCTCTCAACGAGAAGTCTCTGCAACACTGCTGTAGCACACTCGACTGCGACCTCATTTCTCTCGACCTCAGTCAGCGCCTACCGTTCCTGCTGAAGTTTCCCACAGTGTCTTCCGCCATCACCCGTGGCGTACGCTTCGAGATCTGCTACTCACCCATCACAGGAAGTAGCGATGCGAAGCGGAACCTGATCGCAGGCGCGACGACATTGATTAGGCCACGAGAGGCCGAGGTATCATACTGAGTTCCGAGGCAAAGAGCGCCCTGGGGCTGCGCGGGCCGCACGATGTGATGAACTTGGCGCAGATCTGGGGCCTGGAGCAGGCGAAGGGCAAAGAAGGCTTAGTCGAAGACGCTGGCAAAGTAGTCAGGCTGGCAGACCTGAAGAGGAAGAGCTACAGAGGTGTCATCAGTGTGGTGGACGACGGCAGACCTAAGCAGAGTAGCCAGATCGTCGTGCTTGACAATGCAAAAGGTCAGACCAGCACAGTGGCAAGCGTTGCCGATCCAACCAAGATCCAGGCACACGGCGTCAAGCGCAAAGCGTCAAGCACGTCATTGACTCAATCTGCAGGACTGGAGTCGGGTACACCGAGCAGCACGAACGGCAACACTGCAAAAGAATCCACAGTAGACGATCAGGGAAAACCCCTGTCAAAGCGACAACAGAAGCGCCAAGCTAAGAAGGCGAAGTCGGAAGCTCGTGGCAGCTTTGGTGCGAATGGGCTCTCGCAGTCTGGACAAGGCCTGGCCAGCAATGGCTTCCCAATCCAGCATGAGACACTGGCGGATTCGACCAAGAAGACGGAACAGCAACAAGCAGAGTCGAAGGTAACGAATGGTCTCAAAGCCAGTGGCAAGGGCAAGGGCAATCAGAAGGGCAACGGCAATCAGAAGGGCAACGGCAAAAACAAAGGCAACGGCAAAAACAAGGGCAAAGCTCCTGCCGGCTGAACGCTGCGTAGAGAAGATCGTTCACTCCTAATCTAGTGCTCTTGGTCAGCATTGACACACACCTGCGCTTCCCACGGCCCGCGAAATCGTCCTCGTTCTTTGCGTGACCATGATTTTGGTCCCAACAACAGATCTGTTCGGCCTTTCATGCTCGACACATGCTTCCGGGTGGTCCACCCGTTGTCTACTACATAAAGCTGTTGTTGTGGTCACCGTATTTTGGACATGCTACACAAGTCTACAGGATTGTAATGTGCCGACCGAGGTTAACGACGGACGGGACAGCACTTCGGAGCAAAACATGGACTGGCTTAACTTATGATCTTTAAGAACGCAACATGCTGCGATGTTTTGACCCAAAGTTCTCTCGAAATTGGCCGCTTCACTACAAGACAAATCCCTCGTTGCGCATCTCGCAAACCAGATTCACGGCAGTACCTGCAGGACCCTGTCACCTTATCTCCGGAAACGCACACTAGAAGTTACAAGTCGTGACGCCAGTCCTGATATTGTCCATGATCAGCGCCACCCCTTTCACTGTGTCCTTGTTCGCGAGATAGTCAGCTGGACTACGGATCCCCAAGACAAGCCAGATGAGGCGTATGCCTGGGAGGTCAAAGAAGGCCGTCAAGACCAGGAGATACTTGGACTTAGGCCCATCCACCTTCTCCTCTGTGGTTGCCGTGAACACGATTTCCTTGCAAGTATGCAGCACGAAGGCATCGGGTCCGACGGGCAAGGTCTTCATCTTCCCTCCTTGGGCATCACTGGTCGTGTACTCCAGTTCCTTGGTCACGGGATCGCCGAAGGCGGAGGCGCACTCGGCCTTAACTGTGCACTGAATGGATTTAGAGCATTCCTTGCAGGCGTTGGACTTGTCTTTAGGGTTGTTGATGTACATGCGGCACTGATAGTCGAAGCTCAGCAGGTCAATAGTGTCTTTTTCGTCCTTGCGGACGATCTTGGCGACTTGTGGTTCACCGGAATTTGGCTCCTTGCTCAGTGGTGTTGATACCAGAACGACTCCGTTCTCTGCCAGCGGGGGTTTGAAGTCACTGCCCTGAACGTCGAGCCAGTTGTCATATTCGACGTTGCTGTCAGTGGGAGCATGGGAGTATCCTCCATTGCTGCAGTACGATACTGTGTCGGTGTATCCGTCGAACTGCATAACTCAGCTTTGGAGTAGACTCAAGGCGCTAACAAGACTTACTGTCTCTGTCACCGGGCCAGAACTCGTGCATGGATTGTCGTCGTCGGCAGGCGCTGGCAAGGCGTTGGAGAGCGCCAAGTGCACGGCAAGTCCGATGATGGCTAGCATGTTCGATGTCTTTGAAGATGTCCCTGATGCGCAGAATCCAAAGACTGTGGATGCAGAGCAGGCTCTCTGTGACGAAGACAACGCTTCTTCTTTTATAGCATTGCATTCGCATACAACGTCCGCGCGATCGTGGGTGAAGTTGTGCTCCCAGCTCACGAAGCACAGATCGACAGCTGCCAGTGAGTCCTACATGATACGTCTCATATCTCGGACTCACCATATGTACACCACTAAGTTCGAATCGTCGACGACTTGTGCGGAGAGTATATTCAGACGACTTTACGTAATTCCCATCTGCCATGTGCTCGATGCCGTCCAACGATCGCGAGTCTGATCCGGTTTTCAGCTGCGATGCCTGACGACAACAATGCCCGCTCGGCGCAAGACCACTTTCATCAAACACTCCGCGCATTCAGTCTGGGCAAGCTCACCTGCGTGCTGCTGCGTCTCTTTGAGAACTTCGTACGGAAACTTTCCCCCGGCGACGAGCTCACGGAATGATCTCAGCGGCGGTCTTTGTGCTTCCCTCGATGTCACGTCTCCCCTATCGACCACCCTGTTCTTGACCTTGCTCCAAAACGAGCACGCCTGGATGACTAGCTCGGCTCTTCGCTCGAGAGCTGCCATGTCCCGCTGTCTTCGGTGTCTCTGCTTTGGATGTTCTTGAGTTTCTTTGGGCGTCCCCAGCGAGGCCTGGATCTTTTGAGCTTTCTACGCAGCCCAACCTCACATCAATCGATCGGCTGTGCTGTTCTGGACGTCCCGAAATGTCGATGCAGGGAAATCCAATACACACAGACCGGGATGCGCCTTTTAGATACTCTGACTGTCCTGGAAACCGGGTCTACGCCATCAGCAACGGCATAGCGTACAAGTCGCAGTACTGACAGGCTTCAGTCTCCAATCACAGAGGAGTACACACAGCAGCACTCCCTTGCTTGCGCCAAGCACGGACCATACTGCAGTCTTCCCTGCGTATTGGCAGCACCACTATTGGTCGGCTGCCCTGTCGAAACACTCATACACTGCACAGTCCAGGGGCTTTCTGAGATCTGCCTCGCCAGGTTCAAATCGAAATCACGTTCGTCAAGATGCATGTCCGCTGCAAGGCGATGCCGATCCTTTGCTCTTACAACTCCAGCTTCAGCCTCACACTGGCACTCGACAATAGGCTCTACGTTGTTTAAGACTATCATCATCGACTTGTCACGGTCATGTTGTTGTTATCGGTGCATCCAGCATTTCCGTACCTGTATTCAGAGCTGCCAATCCAGTCCATCTTGCAGCTATTCAGCTCTTCTCGGCGGGATGTTTTCTTTTAGCTACTGTGCAACTCTTCATCAATTCCGGTGCATACTACCGACTCGTTCGCTTCGGGTGGTTCTTCTACTTCGGGCCGGCTGCTGAAACGAAAGAGTCGCAGCAACTGCAATGGAATGCCAACACGTGGTCAGACGAACAGGTATTGGCCTGGAAACAATCAAACCTGGAGCATTACACTGCCATATCTGTCGCAGTAAGTCATGAAGTTCCGCCATGGGCTACCTCGAAAAAGAACCTGCTTACCGTCTGTTCTCAGGGTTCCATGTTCACGAGCATCGGCGGTATGGCATTGCAAATACCAAATATGAAAAACGTCCACTGCTCAGCACCTGTATGCATTTACTTTAGCGTACTACTGAGCGTCTTCGCATCTATGACAGCAATGCGCCAATCCCAAACGCTGGACATGCTCAATGGTGCTTCAGAGATCAGATCGTGGCTGAACAGGGGCCGTCCTCTTCCCTATCATATCGAACGTACGGAAGAAGAAGAAGCTACTGGTGGTACTAAAGCAAACGAAAGCCAGTCAGACCGGGCTAATTCTGCCGCAATTGCGACGAGAGAGAAGTCCGCTGCCGTCAGGGTTTACTGGCAGGCACGTCTGGAAAGCTCGATCGCGGCGATAAAGTCGTCTGTCTCCTTGCCCCGATATCTACTGAACGCGGCACTCGTTGGCCTTGTCATCGGCATTGGACTGTTTGGGCTATTCCAGTGGACTGGATACCGGAGCCCATCTGATCGAAACAAGGTTATCACTCTTATGATGATCGCCATTTCCCTCGCCATATATGCTCCGGTGCATTGGCTTAACCGTGACTTATTCAGAGGCGTTGACATTAAGAAGGGAGACAACCAGACACGAACCGACAGCGTAGAACGCTACGATGACGAAAAAGGCTGGGTCAAAGTAGACAAGCTACAAGAGGAGCTTCGCGATGCTCGTGAAGGTGCGTATGAGTAATATGCGCAGCGAGATACGCCACCGCCTGTGCTTCCGCAGCGACCGCGATCACCAAACGGCCCAAGCGCATCCCCAGGCATAGAGCTGAGTATCGCAGAGGTCGACCAGACGATGGTGGGAGCCCGTGTGAGTTCCCTAGTCGTCTCAATGTGCACCCTCAGCAGTATACAACTTCCGCTACTGCCAACCAATCTCTCCTAATCTGAGCAAGGAGCGACCCAGCCAAAATCTGACGCCACGCTTCTACCTCTTTCCCTCAGGACGTTCTCCCACGCCCCTTTCCTCATCAGCAAAAGCCTTCCAGAGGAAGCTGTGTTGTGCATCCGACACTCATCTGCCGCTCATGAGACGCCCAAAACACACTGAACAGACAGAGGCTGGGATTTTATTCACAAAGGGCAGGCTCCCTTTGTATTTCTTTCGGTGATTCAGGCAACTTCACTTCACTTCCATGTCACTTGCAAACAAGCGTTGTACTGAAAGCTCACTTTCTCATTCATGTGAGCATTTCAAACTATTCTTATCTAGATACTCAAGTGTCCAGGCATCGACCTGCAGCAATATTCTTCGCAAGACCCCATGTCTCCCGTGGTATATCCCCCATTTCGAACGCTTGCTGCAATACGTTTTAGTCGACATCCCTGGTCAATTCCCTTCCATTCTCTTTTGCTCTCCTGCATCAAAAGCGGTCCTCAAACCTCAGACAGTAAAGACAGGTAGAATCTCTAATTTAATCTCGTCTAGTCGCACCATTGCAGAGGTGTTCAGTAACCTCCACTGGGCACAGCCCACCTCCTCTTCCCTTCCCCCCTCCTCCTGACCACAGCGTCTCTCTGCTTCAGCCCAACGCCCAGAACACCACTGTTCGCCATCGTCAGCGAGCTCACGTCAATGACTGTCTCTGCGGGTGCATCGACTTGCGCTGCCGGCGTGACGGCTGGAGGGGCCGCGGCATCGGTAGCTGCCTTCCCGGCTTCTACGGGTGGGAGGCCCGCTGCTGGAGTTTCTGACGCTGCAGCGGACGTTGTTGAGGACGTTGTGGTTGTCGACGACGCGGATGACGAAGCAGTCGCGGTAGCTGTGTCTGAAGCAGCGGGCTCCGTGGCAGTCGCAGTGGCGGTGTCAACAGAGACAGTGCTCTCCGCAGCCACACTTGTAGCGGTGCTTGCAGTCTCAGTCGTCATCGTCGCGGTCGCCATAGTACTGTTGCTCGCGTCAAAGAACTGGCCTGCTGTGGGCATCGGCGCAGGTGGCATCATCGGCGGCTTCGGCGCAGTGAAGGGCGGGATGATCGCAGGATCACCCTTTGGGAGTTGAGCGAGTCCCGGCATGATGTGGCCGATCATGGTGTGGACCATGCTGCCAGTGAAGACTCCAGGAGGAGCAGGCGGCATCTGATGCGCGGCCACCATTGTGGGTGCGGCAGTCGTATGCATCATGGGTGGGGCCATGCTGGTGTCGTGCATCTTGGGAGGTGGATGGGCCATCATGGTGTCCGCCCACATGGTGGGAGCAGGCGGCGGTGGTGGTGGCACGTATCCGCCTGTAACAGGTGAGACTGGCATATATCGTGGCGTAGTATGCATCATTGGTGGAGGCGTATACGCCGGAGGCGGTGGTGGCATTTCGATGCCTGCGACGGGCGTACTGCATGCTGACACAGTAATGGTGGTTGGTGACGACCATTCGGTGATGGTGATTTGGTCGACTTGCTGCTCTGTAATCGTGATGTGTTGCGGGACTGTCACTTGCATTGTTTCGGTGACGGTAAGTTGTTGGACGCTCGTGATTTGCTGAACTGCGGTCTCGGTGGCGGTGAGTTGCTGTACTTCGGTGGCAGTCAATTGTTGGACTTCGGTCGCGGTGATTTGTTGCACCTCGGTAGCAGTCAGTTGCTGGACTTCGGTTGCTGTGATTTGTTGCACTTCGGTTGCTGTCAGTTGCTGAACTTCGGTAGCTGTCGCTGTTGCGGTGAGCTGTTGAATTTCGGTCACAGTCAACTGCTGCACTTCGGTCATGGTAACGTGCATGACTTCCGTCATAGTGAGTTGTTGGACTTCAGTCATCGTCACTGGCTGAACCTCGGTCATGGTGGCCGTAAGAGTGGCCGTAAGGTTGTGAATCATAATTTCGGTCACTGTGAGTTGTTGAACCTCAGTCATGGTCACATGTTGGACCTCGGTCATGGTAACAGGCTGAACTTCCGTTAATGTCATCTAATGGTTGTCAGTAATTGCATGATGTCGGTACTGCTGCTTGCTCACATGAACGGTTTCAATCATTGGCGGAAGTGTGACTGTCAATTGCTGGACTTCGGTCACAGGGACGGCTTCGGTTACGGTGATGTGTGTAGGCTCCGTTATAGTCATATGAACAGTCTCGGTCATATGGACTGTTTCTGTGGCGGTCACGGGAGGTGGGCATTCTGACGCGGGAGGGCATTCTGCAGGAGCTACGGGGGTATATGCGGCTGGTGGCGTCCACGCTGGCGGAGGCACGTATGCGGCCGGCGGAGTCCACTCCGGTGGTGGACAGTATGCGGCTGGCGGTGTCCACGCTGGCGGTGGTACCCAAGCTGCTGGTGGCGTCCATGCAGGTGGTGGTGTCCAGTCTACAGGAGGTGTTACGGCGTCGGCGGGAGGCAATACAGCTGTCTCACTTGCTGGAGGTGGTGTGGCTTCTGCGAGAGGAGGTGCTGTTGCTGAGTCGGTAGGTGTTGTGCTCTCCGGAGGTGGCGCTTCTACGGCTGCTGGCGTTTCCTCTGGAGCGGTTCGTCTGTTGTAGGCGGGTCCGGCCCATGCTTGCGCCAGGCAAGCTGAAAGAAGGGTGACTGTTGTTAAAGAGCGAAGAGCCGGCATCGCGGATGATTAGAGAAGGTTACACAATATATTAAATCGTTAAAAGAGTGCGGAGGAAGGTGTCCTCGAAGGGAATGGCGACTCGCGCTCACGAGAGAAATGAATGAGCGACGAAGTCTTGGAAGAGTCGTGCAGAAGACAAATACAGAATAAGAACGGAAGATCCGGGACTTTTGAGGGAAGTGATTTCTAGACTTATCTCTGGTACCGCGAACCCTGGACTTACCTGCGACTGAAGGCTCTGCGATAGATTGACTAGGAGGTTCTCCTAGCTCGGCGAGCAAGACTGCCGGAGCGATGAGGTCAAGATCCTTGAACAGTTCAAACAACGTTGTGATGACATTGAGGAGCCGCAAAATGCATGTTCGTGGCCAAGACGGTCGAAAGCAGGCCAGCACCGTTGACAAGAGGTTCGGCAAATGTCTTGGTATTGCTGCCCCAAACAGGAGAGACGAGAGCCCAAACAGAAGGCGCGACGCTGTGGTCTTCAGGTTGGTAAGAGGTCAACACATGGGGAGTTCGCCAAAGTGGTATAAGGGGGTCTTATTCAGGAGGAAGTGTTCGAGGTTTCTCGGCGTGTGACGCTAGCGGTTTCATGGATGTGATGACCCGCAGCGGGCAGCATGTGCCGATCCTACGTCCGCCAAGACGACTCACCGGCGGCGACCGAAAAACAAGCACGAGCGGGCTGTTGCAAAAGGCGGTCCGCGCATCTGTGAAGCGATCCCGGCAATTGCTTGATAATCGCTAGAAGGAATCGAGGCAGCGAAAGCGACCATTTTCAGGGGATGAAGTCGCAAATGCGGCTTGGCAGGAACCGGAATGCGAGAAGCTGAGTACGGTGGCACGCAAAGGTCTCTCTTGATCAATCGGTTTGCCTCCTTTTCCAACGCCCCTTCACGGACTTCGTCGACCAATGAGGCGTCGGTTGCATACGGACTCTTCATGCAAAAATTCTAAGACAGTCGTGCTTGAGCCATCACGCTAGACTTCTTGGAGATACATACTCGCGGAAGCGCTTGATAGCCCACACCTGAGAGGTCGGCGTCGAGTTTGTTCCTGGCAAGTACCTGGTCTATCTTCCTTAGGGCTTTGTCACTGGACGCACCTGCATAGTCTACAACGGTCGATCGCGCCACAAGCTACTGATAGCAGGATATGTCCGCCAGAAAGACCCTGCCAATGTGTGCCTGCATCCAACTCTATGATCATTCCAAAAAGATTTTCACCTTCGGGAGCACAGAACGCAGTCCTGCACGAGCTTCATAGGTCCGGTATGGCAGGCATACTCGGGAAAGAATGCGATAGTCGATCATCTGCAATGCCATTGTCGACCTTAAAAAGTACATGCGGGTGAGTTCCGAATCCAATCATTCGCTGCAACGTACCCTTGAGCCCGTCAACGCGGCCCTTGAAGCCTCCCGCCTGTGCTACCCCACCAAAATAGCACTTGGATCATGACCGGATTTGGACGACGCATGGACTCTAGATGTCCTTGCGGAGGGCTAAATGTTCAGTCATGGGTGTGAGCAAGATCCTTCTTATACCGGTGGGTGGGAAAGGCAGCACTACACCAGCCACCCGACTTCTTCCACCACGACCAACCTCCTCCCATTCCTCCGTTTCCACGACAACACAACTATCTTGATGAGATCGACAGCCATGATGCTGCTACGGTGTCCGCCTGAAATCCGGGAACTCATATACAATTATGCCTTCGAAGATCAGCATATTCATGTATGCGATAGCAGGTTGAAGAGGTCGATAGGAGGGCCGTATCGACCAGCAGACCGAAGACTCCCAGGACTTGTGCATGTGAATAAGCAAATATACAAGGAAGCCTGGCCGACGCTCGCCCAACGGTCGATTCTTGTATTTAGCGACTACATCAACTTTGCCCAGCTTGTATCTGTGATACCTGTGGATTTCGCCAAACTGGTGCGACGTATATCTTTGCGCGGGGATGTTGTTCCAGGACAAAATCTAGACCGCTTTCCATCACTGGAGGGTATCAGCTATCAGGTACTCGGGAATTGCTTCTTCGTTTCATCAGACGACAAAGGCGCAGTGAAGCGAGTAACAAGCACTTCGGATGAACCTGAGATGGTGGAGGCCGTCATGGGCAGGTCGGCGGCTCTGATACTCATCCGACAAGCAACTGAGCAACGGTCCATCAAATTATTAGCAAGCGCCAACATTATGAGCCCGGAACAGCAAGCTGTAAGTTGTCCAAATCCATACACAGGTATTTCGGCACATGCTAATATTTTTCTACAGAGTGTCACAATTGACGTCAATTCTCTCCGCATAATCCACCGAGAAATAACTGCGGACTACAGCTCGATATAGTAGCAAGTTCAGGCCCAGACTGCCTGCATTGTACCCACATTCATGCATCGAAGACTTGTGTAAGCATGCACCGTGGAACGGTTTACCAGCATTCAAGGACGAGCATCTTTTTTATTTCAGCGGACGCGAGAGGTAACAGGCACAGATTCTGCCGCACGAAGCTGATGAAGAATATGTTTGACGATATAGACGATAACCATACTAGTAATTCTAGACTGTACCATCAGAGTGGGGTACTTCGTGTCTCGCAATCATGCTCTTTAATACTCGGCCACCCCGGCCATGTTTCCCATACCTTGTTCCTTCGCTTTAAAGGACTCCGAGGCCTCCGAGCGTCCGAGTGGCTTCCCTTCATTCAGACAATGGTCTGTAGTGCAACCGTCAGAACTGTTTCCAGAAGCTCAGAATTGAGCTCAGCACAGATTGGATTTGTGCTCCGATGGATGCAAGCAGCCATCCGCGTCTGTGAGTACTATGCGCGTTACGATGCTAAATCAGCCCTCGTGCTATTGTCCGGACTGACTAGGCCACGAAGTGGTCGTGGGAACGAGCATGAGTGAACCATATTCCAGAAGGATAGCTATTCCGCGAAGCGAAATCCTCATGCAGCCAGCTGCCTCCCGGGCAGGCCTTTCCGCTCTCGTTGGACCAGTGCAGCTGTCCAACGGGTGATGTGCCTTGCACGGTTCCTCCTTTTCACTCTGCGAAGTTCGTTGTGATACTCATCAACAGCTGAGTTGAAGCTTAAAGCGAAGGATCGTTGGTGCTGTGTCATTTGGAGCTTTGGCTCGGATTCGGTTTCCGCACAGCCACATTATTGCGCCACCTCATCGCACACCGCCTCAAGTGAATGAATTGTGTCTGCCTTGCGGCTGACTGCCTCGATACTTCTCACAAAAACCCCTTGTGTCCAACTGGTTGATGTGTTCGACCGTTTCCTGCCTTCGACGCGCCTTATCGTGAAATCGCAATCGCCATCGCAGTGAACTTGATCGAACGCGCTATCAATTCAGGAACGGTGTCCGAAGTGTGAGATATTAGGGGGAGACCGACCGGAACATCACAATGTCCGCCAACGACTACTACGGTGGAGGCAGCGGCAGTGGCAATCACCAGCAGGGGTATGGCCAAGACTACAACAATCACCAATCTTCAGGCCAACAACCTTTTTCTCCGCCTCCAACCACATACACGCCCAACTCGAGCGCCCAACAAAGTCCATATCCTGGGTCCGCACAACCGTACAGCCAACAGCAAGGCTACGGTGGCTATGATTCCGGTACGCAAGGCTATGGCAATACAGGGAGCGGTTCGAATTACCAAAGTTATGATGCCCAGAATCAGTCGACAGGATATTCAAACGAGTCGAGTGGCTACCATGGCTACGACAACACGACCAGTGGCGGACAATATGGCTATCAAAGCTACGACGCACAAAGACCCACTCCGATCTCGGGCTACGGTCAAGACCATGCTCAGACCTATGACAATCGTCAGTATGGTGGTCAAAGCCAAGCACAGGCTGGACAGTGGGACCAAAACTACACGCAAAAGTTTGGCGATCTCTCCTTGAACGACGACTCAACTGACCACGGAAGCAGCCAGTATCAGAACCCTCCAGCCTATGGAACCCAAGACCAGCGCCAGTTTGGCAGCCAAGCAGCAGCCTACCCGCCAGCAAGCAATTATCCTGTTGATCCTGATGATCCAGCCGCGAATCCTGGCGATAGAGGCATCCTAGGCGCCATCGGCGGAGCAGCAGTCGGCGGCTTTGCCGGCCACAAAGTCAACCACGGCTTCCTCGGCGCTGTAGGCGGTGCTATCACTGGCTCTCTGGCCGAAGACGCTCTGAAGAAGAAGCACAAAGGCGACAAGAAGGACAAGAAGCACAAGAAAGACAAGAAGTACTCCCACGGTGGCCGCCGTGACTCCTCATCATCCTCGTCATCAAGCAGCAGCTCCGATTCCGACCCTTCAAAGAAGAAACACAAGCACAAACAAAAGTACGTTGCTGCAGGGGCTGTCCTGCGCGGAAACTTCTCCGCTTCAAGCTCTAACGTATACTTAGAGCATCGCACTACGCTGGTCGCGGACTGTAGTCCGATTCAGGGCTCTGCACGCCGCAGCCAGATTGATCTGAATAGCGTGCTTACGAACAATTGTGGTACGCTGCAATGGTCGCGAGGAGGTAATTTTGGCGCGAGTGCGAGGAACACGGAGCTCAAGGACGGTGGAAGGGTGCTGGAGGCAGAGCTGGGCGACGGGAGGGGTGGGTGGTCGCGGAGCTGGATTCGATTGGATGAGAGGATAAGTAACAATGATGGGAGGCTGATCTACCTTGATTGATCGTCTAGCAAGGGTTTCATGGGCTGAGTGTGCTGCTCAGTTCCGCTACACTGGTCGGTGCTGCGAATAGCTTGGACCTCGAATTGGACCATAGCTGCGCTCCGTAGATCTCAATCCAAAAACACTCAAGCACAGGAGTCCTTTCAGTCAAGCCTGGAATCACATGTCGAAATCGTGGATTTTATCCAAGGCAAGTAAATTGGACTCGTGTTTCGCACACGTAGCCTCGCTCACAACAAATATACCCAGTCAACCGGTTGCGTCAACGCCCCTTGGTACCCAGAAAGCCTGCCCGAGCTCGAACTCCAGCTTCCGAATCTCGACACCAGTCCGCATCTTCACAATCCAGAGAGCCCTCCACACAATGCCACTCCCCACCCTCACTCCTTCCGCCTCCGAATCCCAACATCAAACCCCAATGGCTTCCTCAAAAACCCCTCCCGAGTCTCCATCTCCCCACGATGCTCATCCCTAATCTCAAAGTTTCTAAATACAGTCCCCACAATACACTTCAGCTCCATCTCCGCCACATTCCTCCCCACACACGCCCGCGGCCCATAGCTAAACGGCACAAACGCATCCCTCTGGCGTTGCGTCAATTTCCCTTCCTCCCACCGCTCGGGCCTGAACTCATCCGCATCCTGGCCCCAGATGTCCTTGCTGTGGTGAATCGTGTATGCTGGTACGCTTAGTGTGGTTCCGGGGGGAAAGTGTTTTCCTAGGATATCCACGCCCTTGGGGTCTGGGTTTTCAGGGCTGAGTCCCGGGACCAGACGAGGCAGGCCGAGGGAGGAGGTACTGTGGATGCGCATCGTCTCCTGAATCACGTTCTGGACATAAGGCAGATCCTTCACCTGATCGTAGCTGGGAACGCCCTGCTCCGGCATCGCCTCATCCAACTCCTTCTGCAGCTTTTCGATAACGCCTGGTGTGCGCACACACCAATAAAGCAACGCACAACTCGTGTTGGACGTCGTATCGCTGCCCGCGATCAACTGCGTTAGGGCTTCCGCCGTCAACTCCTCCCGCCCCAGCTTGTTTCCTTCCGCGTCCTTGCCTTCCATTAGCCGTGCGAGAAGGTCGGTGCGGCCGATGTCGGGTTGTTCGAGGCGTTGCCCGACGCGAGCGATGGCGATGCCGGCGAGGTTTTGGACTGCTTCAATGCCTTGGCTGAAGAATGGGTCAGGGAGGTATTTTGCGTAGGGTTTGAGTTGCGGGAGGCAGCCTAGTGTGCCGGAGACTTCGCCGCGGCGGTTGAGGACTTGGATTGCCGGGGCGGTTTTGATAGGAGACGTGGGTGTCATTCGAACCTCTGCGTAATCTCGGCCCTTTTCGAGCATCCCGAATGGAGCGCCGAAAGCCAAATCTCCGATGATGTCTAGAGCAAGGTCAGTGAACGTATTGCCCAAATGGCTCGGCTGCTTCCAAGGCTCAGTCGACTCACCGAAAGCCAAGTAATTAAACCAATTCAACGCATCCAAACTCGCCCACCCCTTCTTCTCACCCCCCTCAGCTTGCTCACTCAGCCCAGTCCACTTCTCAACGAACAACTCCAAATTCGCATGGATATACTTCTCAAACTGCCCGATCGATTTGGCGCTAAACGTATGGCTCACAACCTTCCGCTTCCTAGTATGCTCGGCGCGATCCCTTGTGTTGAACAATCCGCGCTTTATGCTCACAAACGCGTCATAGTACTCCGCCTTGAGAAAGCCGTTGCCATGGCCGTAGATGATGTTGATGGCGGACTCGTCGGCAACGGAGACGTGGGTTGGTTGGATGCGCACGAATTTGCCGTACTTTTTGTGGGCTTCGTCGACGGCGAGATAGCGGCGGCCGTGGCGGGCTTGGTAGAAGAGCCAGAGGCGGGTGAATTTGGCGGGGAGGGGGCCGGGAATGCTGGAGAGGGAGGTGTTGCGGAGGTAGGGGAGGAGGTAGTAGAGGATGAGGAGGATGAGAGGGGTGTACGGGGATAGGAGGAGGGCTGGGGAGAGGATCATGGTGGTGATGAGTGATCGACTTGGTGTTTGGCCCGGTCCAAGTTGGACACTGTATCCAAGCTTTTTATGGTTGTTGGAGTCGGTGGTCCAGAGGTGATGGCCTTTTTCGGCGCTGGTGACCTCAGAACTGTAATGGGTGACTGGTATAGAGCACTGCTTGACTGAGGCGCTGCTCAAGTATCGTGCTGGACGTAGCTGTTTGAGATCCTTAGTGAGGCGTCTCCGAGTGTAATGTCGTGCTCGCGGCTCACGGGGCTTTGTATCGTAGCAACGGAGACCTGGCAGCAGCCTGCTTTGGCTTTAGTTTTGCACTATAGTGCAATGCTGACTCGAGTGTAAGAATTGGCGAGATCATAGGACTCGGAGTAAGGAAGTTAGCAGAGTTATAAGACTGAAGCATTCAGAGTGTGACATAATGTTGGCCGATATACACGCATCAATGGATGAGACGGTCATACGAATCGGCCGCGGCAAAAATGACGGAAGTCGAGCACGGGAAGCACAGAAGGCGAACAGACTCGGAATTGCGTGTTGGCTGACTGTGAGCTGCTGACTGGATAATGGTAATTGTGGGCACCTATGAAGGTCGCCCATTCTGACAGCACTACAGGTATGTGCAAGCCCAGAGGAAGTCTTGATCTTTGGTGGCTGCGTCGAATTATACCCCGCGATTTCTGTGGTCGAAGCCAACAGCTCATTCCGCGATTGTAAGCCGCTCGGCTCAGCAGGAAGTGAGCTTTAAGCCCCCACTTAATTGGCTGAAGAAGCCGAAGGGAGGCATATGAGGAGAGGATCGTCGGATGCTGCACCGAGAGAACTTGGGGTCAAAACTGGTGCTTTCCCCAGATCTCGGTCCTTGGCACGACTCTTATGTCGGCTTGCTGCCATGGGCGGCAGTGGCTGTTTGGTGTTTGTGCCTGGGCAACAGTGGCCGCCGTATGACAACGCGCTCCGCATCGAACGTCAGAGCCCGCCCTGTCATGTTAAATCATAAGCTCTGTTTGCATCGCAAAAATACTCCTTGGCATCCTCAGGGCGCCCCTCATGTGTCAAATCGACAGCATTCTCTGAAATCATCCCAACCGACCATTCTACCCACAGGGCGGCCCCTGTGAGTCAAATTGCGCCGTTTGACATGCCGGATGTAGCACACAGGTTCATTGAATAGCGAGACAGAATCTTGTCCACGGAGTTCAGTGGACAGCCTGCTGAGCCAATTCCTGCCGATTGTCAGTCGGTACTGACGAAGTAGCAATAAAATTACTCACCGGATAGCTCTCACTGACGGCAGTAGCACACCGCTCGACGGCCTCTACTACGCTCTGTACTCCAGCGTCCCATCGTCGTAGCTCGCGATCTGGGCCTTGTAGGAGCATTCCAGGTACACCTTCGAACGTGATGACGCCAGCAATCTGATCTATCTGTGCCTTCAGTCGGCCTTGCTCGACCATTCTAGCAGCATAGTCCTCTGCCTTCTCGGCGGCAGTATCGTCCTTGCCGTCTTTCAGACCTAGCAGTCGAGCCAGCGATTCAGTGGATATGTTCTCGTACAGGCGGCTTGCCGCAATGAGGTTGTGCTCCAGAACAGCCTTGTCCAAGACGGTGCTACCATCCGCGGTCTTTGCTACTTGATGAGCAGCCAGATGCGAGGCGAAGGTCTCCACGTCAGCGGGCGCAAGGAGTCTGTCTAGGAACATGCTCTCTAGCATGCCGTGCTCCAGAACCTCAGCCGACCGCTCATCCTTGTATAATCTTCCTAGGGTACGACTTCGAGGCGGACCGGCGGGTGCGAGAATGGCAGTGCGAATTGCAGCGGAGAGCGCCTGTAGACGGTCGGCTTCGTCGACGGAGGATCTGTTCGAGACGGTGTAGTAGGCAGTAGAGGCATTGAGGAAGTCGCGTCTGGCGTCGAGAATGCGTGCTTGCGAGAGCTCGTAGTACAGCTGAAGATCTGGCCGTGACTGGAGGACAGGGATAGCAGCGTTTGAGTTCTTGATGCGGTTGAGGGCCGTCTCGGCGGACACAGTATCGTCGTCTTCGAGGAAGCATCTCACAATACGAATCCAGATCTGCACCTTGTCCACGTCAGGAACCTGTCGCTGTGTAGTGTCCAGGTGGATGCCTTGTAACGCTTTTGCAGCAGCAGTCCAGTCCTCCTCCTTCTCGTGTGCATCTGCCAATATATTTCTCACCGCAGCATCTTGCTCTTCGAACGATGCGATCTGAGACTGTAGGAGTTCGGTCAACGCTGTTCCAACCTGGATTTGGACTTCTGACGGTGCTTCCGATAATGAAGTGATGAGCTGGGAAAGGAGAGGCCGAGTAGCAATGATGCCGATAGCAGGAGGAGGTGTGAGCAAAGCGCTAGCGTATGCCACCAGATTCTCCGCCTTCTGCTCCGCAGGATCATCTGCTGTGACCGTCTGCTGAAGGAGTTCTTGGTACCCTTTTGGCTTGTCTGGTGCTGGAAGGCTTGCGACCTTTGCAGCCGCCGCATTGAACCCAGAGGACGCATGATGCGAGCCGCTGGCGGGTTTGACCTAGCGTGATCTCGCTGGCGAGCGTGGACAAGTGTGACCTGACTCCTGAGTGTTCGCTCAGTAGTAAGACTGACACTTTTTGGCAGTCGCGGGGTACGCGTTGGAGGCGTTCGGAGGCGTAGGCAATAGGCGCCTAACTCCGGAGGAACTTGACGACAGTGCCTGCTTCGCTTCTGACTATCACTTGCCAGTTCTTCCTCTGAACCAGCAGCCACTATGCCTTCCGACGAAAGATGGAGGTTAAGTTCAAGGAAAGGGCTGTTCTGCCAGAAAATCCTAATCCTGCCTGCTCAAACAGATAAAATCCTCCCAGTCCTGTTCTAGCCAACATGGGATTCACGAAATCATCTGCTCGCCCAAACACCTCGAGATTGGTCTTGACGACATGACTACTGATCCTACCTTCGCTGCTAAAGTACTAGTATCATGAGTGCCCAGCGGTACTAATTCGCCGTCATGCCTAAGCGTCCGTCCCAGCACCAAGTCAATGGCTTGAACGGGGTGGATTTGGGCACCACGCAACCATACAAACAGGGCGCCAGCAGTGCTAGTTGCCTGGTTGCCAAGCGAACTTTTGGTAGCTCTCTCTTAGGCGAGGCCCATCAATGACCAACACATACATGCTTCGGGTCTGGACCGCCGCTAGCGGGCCGTCTCTGGGCTGCAATATGGGATCCACGGTCTCTCTCGCCAGCCTGATAAACCCACCATGATCCCGACCATGTTGCGCAGCTCAGGCTGCGCATATATCTGGCTGCGTACTTCCCTCTCTGCGCACAGATGGCACAGTCAATCACCGCGCAGTATCTAGCAGCTGCGACATGGGCGACGAATCGCATAGACCTCGTTGCGATCGGCGATGGTGCTCAAATGTGGCACCATTCTTGGACTACTGCTGGTTGGCAGGACGGCTGGGACTCTTTAGGAGGGAGCTTCAAAGAAGTGGCACCTTCAGTCGTTTCATGGGGTCCGGATCGACTTGATGTGTTTGGCATCGACAGAGAAACGGAAAGGATGATGCACAACTCCTGGAACGGCGCACAATGGGAAAATGGATGGTCTCCGCTCAATGACCAACAATTCAGAGGTCCTCCCGTAGCCGTGTCATGGGGCGAAGGCAGACTCGATGTCTTTGGAACCGGAGCAACGGATGACAGTGTGTACAGTCCCATGTATCATCAGTCGGTGAGTGAAAATGTGACCTTGCCCTGCGGCAGTCCTGACGATCATAGTATGAGAACACTTGGCAGCCACGATGGGAAGACCATGGCGGAGGATTCGTCAGCAATCTGGCCGCCGTCCCGTGGTCTGACGAACGACTTGACATCTTCGGACTCGGTGGTGGCAACCATATGTTTCAAATCTACTGGTCTCGAAGTGGTGGATGGCAGACACAATATCAAGATATGGCTGGTGTCTTCACAAGCGATCCTGCGGTTACCTCGTCCGCCCCGGGGAGAATAGAGCTTTTTGGAGCAGGAGAGGATTATGCAATATATCACAAAGCTTACAATGGCACCTCCTGGACCCCGCCATTAGCATCGACGTGGCAAAGGCTTGGAGGCGCTTCCCTCGGTCCGCCTGCAGCCGTCTCATGGGATGAAGGCCGGGTCGATATCTTCACGATTGGTCATGATACTGGCCTATACCACCTCGTCTATGATGGTGAGTGGTCCAGTGCATGGGAGGAGCTCGGTGGGAAGTTCCAATCGCCACCAGTAGTCATATCTCGAGGAAGAGGTCTGCTCGACTTATTCTCATTGTCTAGTCAGGGGGACGAAGGTGTCATGCATAAGGCATACGATGGGATCAGTTGGTCGGACTGGGAGTCCTTGGGCTTGCCACAAAAGGCCGCGACAGGCACATCGAGCACTACCTCGACCTCTTCTGGCACATCGACGGCTAAGCCTACGACTCAACAACCAACGACAGATACAGAGCCCACGCCCGCGCCCACGCCGGGCGGAGGGGGAGGCACTCCAATTGGGACGATTGTCGGACCCACTGTCGGAGGGGTTGCGTTGATAGTAGCTATGGTCCTGTTTTGGCTCCTCCGTCGTCGAAGGCAACGCAAACGACACGCCATTGAACAAGTACAGCATCTGCAACGTCCGCAGATGAACGTCGCCAGTGTCGACTACGGCAAAGGAGAGCTCCCGAGATACACCAACAGTCCCGATCCAGCCCACGAGCTCGAGACACAGCACATCTCCGTTGCTATGTCTGGTACAATCACGACTCGGCCTCAGTATCGTCATGAGCTGTCCGGAGAATCAACCACAGGACCGAGCAAATGATCGTGGGGCGAAAGCCGTCACTTTAAAAGCTGCCCTTGTCTGACAGGAGCGTCGTTGGTGCCCACTGCTCATCAATGGACAATCGTCATCCCAGATGTTCACAGCATGGTAGACCTGGAATGATAAAGTCTTGCTCAAATCACCGATCGAGATGCGCGGTCACTGTTGAGCCGAAGCTTCCTGGTCGACGATAGAAAGCATACGGCAGGCACGCGATCTTGATTACTCAGTGCTGCCGACAGCGGGAAGAGTCCATGCGTAGTTTCGGATTGTACACGACTCGTTCGTGCCTTGTCCCGCAAATTTGGCGTGGTATAAGCTTCGCTCAAGGCGCTATCGTTGGCATCGCTTCCTGACCGGTGTAGGCGGAAATAGGCCGTAAGATCGCACCTCAGGCGCCTAGCAGAGTTGTTCTAGATGTCGCCCTCCATGACCTCTATTATTGTTCACCGATATCACCAACGCAGACGTCCACAAAGACGCTTCGCGCTGCTCAGCGCAGCATGGATTCACCAGGTCATGCACCCGAAGTAGACCGACGCCAACCGCAAGCGAGGTGGGATGAGCTCATGCCTGAGATTATTGACCTTTACTTGAACAAGAACACACTCGCTCAGGTCCGTGACACGATGGCCAGCAAGCACGACTTTCATGCCAACATTCCCACCTACAAGAGGAAACTCACAGCCCACGGTGTACGCAAGAATTTGACCGCCAAGCAGAAATTACTGCTTTTGAACCGCCATAAGTTGAGCGACTCGCACGACAGCCGGTTGAGAAGACCCATTGTTAGAAACGGGGTCCGCTTCTACCTCCATGCCTCCCCAGCCGACACACAACTCCACCACTTCTCCCACAGCCAGAAGACAACCGAGTATGTCATCACGGCAACAGAGCAGTACTACAGCCAATTCCACGGTGACGCAGGCGATTGGTGGTCGATTGGCGAGAGCTTCAACGTGTTTCGCCGAGCACTGAGCCAGACGCGGAAGAACTCGGTCAACAGCAGCCAAGTTCCTGGACTCACGATGCTGAACAAGGCATGCGAGCTGGCCCCACTGATTCTGCAAAAGCCCTTGGAAGCCATCGTGCTTTTTGCAGCTTACTTCTCCCAGGCGCAATGGATTCACATGCCTCGTGCCCGAGTCGTCGCGCTCGACTACTTCACGCGATATGCCAGGTCTGTCCGCAGCGATAGCCGTGTGTCGGAGCTGCTGCTGGCACTGAGAGATGACAGAATGTCGAATGAGATCGCATCCTTATTTCTCAGCATAGGCGTCAAGACTGCTTCGGCTACTAACACTCAATTCTCCGCAGCCTTCTTCGAGTACCTGGTCGATCTCCGCGCACTGGCGATCGAGACTGGCGGCAACCCAGGACCGGCGGTCGGACAGCTCATCGAGAGCATCTTGGCCACAGGCGACCGGTCTCTGCCAGACACCATCCGCCTCACCTACGCTCGCGCCTATATGTGCTTCTGGGAACAGGACTTCGCTGGCGCGCAAATGTGGAACACTCGGGTCCTCCACCTCACCAACGGTGACAGGTCACGCCGTGATTGGAAGCGTCAACGTGGCGCGCTGTTCCAGCTCGGAAGGATCGAGCAACTCGCTGGACATCCAAATGAAGCTGCTGCGTATTACTGGGATGGCTTGGTGGTGGCACTCGCGCCGGACATACAGGAGGGCATGGAAGCGAGCGACAAATTCATCAATTTGGAGTTCCTGGAAATGTTGAAGCTAATCTATGAAGGACTTGGGAATTTCGAGCAGGCGGATCTGATGCGTAGCCGCTTTGGAGAGGTGTGGACGGGGTATGCGAGGGAGTTCAACCGTATCCCACCTGTGGATGTGTCCGACGAGGCCACGGAGACGGCGAAGAGTCAGGACAACGGAGGATGAGCTCTGATATCATTTGCGAACTTTCTACGAACATGAGGAGCGCTGCGGCTTGCCCTGAACAGCAAGACGTGGCTCCAAACTCAAACCCTCTGTGACGACTGCGCTCTCATAGGTGCTGCTCGAAGTCAACAAGTTGCTGGCCATGCGCGCTAAGGAGGGAACGCTGAGGCCGTCGATACTGCCAATCGTACTGCTTGTGTTGGTTCGGCCAGAGATCGAGAGGCTTCGTTAGGAGACTCCAGAGTCCTGCTAGGAGTTCGGGCTGGCGGACTACCATTTGGCCGCTACGGGATCGATCCTGTTCAGCACGCCTAATTGCGCTTCGAGCCAGTGGTAGGTCATTACCGTCGGAAGTCGAAGCGTGCTTCGAATGGACTCCATGTCATTCTCTTGCGAAGCTGCTACGAGTCTCGAATGGACTGCCAATCATTCTCATTCAAGCTTGTTCCAAAAGCCTTCCCATCATCTCTCCTTCCTCCGCCGGCATCCACACATACTTCTTCGTGCACCTCGGACAGCTCATCACCCTATTCCACCCCTCTGTGCAACACTCTTCGTGGAACATGTGTCTGCAGGAAGGAAGCCGCATAACCGCGTTTGGTTCGTCGTCGTCGAAGAGGCGAAAGAAGTCCCAGCAGACAACACACGTCACATCTTCGCGCTCTAGATCACGGAACCACACAGATTGTGCTTCTTCTTCAGTGTCTGGGTAGGCTGGCACGAGTTCCATATCGACCTTGCCGTCGAGCCGCCAGATGATGTTCAGGATGTCGAATGTGGGGAGGACGTGGCTTTCGGGCGCGAAGATGTTGGGTTGGAGTGGATTGGGAGCTGGGGGCACGGGCTGCTGCTCTTCGTCTTGCTCAGGAGCCTGTTCCAGCGGTTGCTGCTCATCGAGAGCCGCGTCTGCAGGACGTTGAAGCTTGAAGAGGAGAGCGCCCGAGGCGACGGCGACGGCGATGCCGATGAAGAAGCCGGTGGTGAACACCATGCTGCTGAATAGCTGGGAGACGGAGAGAATGGCTTCGAGGAGGACTGCAGCCATGCTGCTGATTGTGGCGTAGAAGAGCATTGTGGTAGAGTGTGGTATTGTGATGTTCGAGCTTGAGGATGAGGGTGAGGGTGCAGCAGCTTTTTGGGGCGTTCTGGATCTGGAGAAGAAGTGCAGAAAAGCAGAATGTTGAAAGGATCAAGAAAGAGAAAGCTGTTCACGCTGCTCTTGCATCATCATGGCTCGGCGACAGCACCGTTGACACGACTTATAGCTGGAGACGGCAGCACTATCCCAACACCTGGCGTTCAGCAGTTCTGAAGTCGCAACGCTGTACTCAATTCTTCACCAACAGAGCTAGTGCAGGTTGCCTGTCACACCACAAAGGGGACGCGAAAGCACTATACATCGTTGTGTAGGCTGGGAAAGGTCAGCAGGTCTTTCGTCTTATGATCTTTCGTCGGTGCTCAAGATTCAGGAACGAGGCTGGCTCGCTCAGGAGGGAATGGACGACAGCCAATGTCATATGCAAACTGGAACGCTAGTTTGAAGATTATCCTTGCACTTCCGCCGATATGAGGAGCACTCTGGTCTGTCATCAACCGTAAGTCGCTGGTGCTCATTCTAGTATGCTGAGACCAACTGTTGAGAGTCGTTGGACATACAGTGAACAGACTATCTAGAGTGAGAATTGACCGGAAGTCATGAATGCAACTTTTCGATCCTGTCGACCTGATTCGACAAATCGTGTCCGCCGACCCGTTGACCAAGGAAATATACTCCAGAACCAGGCAGGCGGTCAACAGTCCGTCCGAGTACTGGAACGCTCGCGCCTGGTATGCCTCCAAGCTTCCAACATGTGGACGCTCTGCTCGGTATTGACGGGGTGAGATGGTATTCACTGGAGAGCAAGTCACACTGAGTCCTATCACCAGGTCTGTTGTATTCAGGATGATGCGAGCCTCCGCATCATCTCACCCTTCGGACGTAGCACCCAGGTGTAGCGGACGCCACATCTGGTGCAGCTCATTCGTATATTCCACCACTTCTTGCAGCATTCCTCATGAAGTACGTGCCGGCAGGAGGGAAGCCACACAATTCTGTCGCCGACAATGAATTCGTCCAGGCAGACGGTACACTTTGTATCATCTTCACCGAGATTTTGAATGAGCAGCGTTCTTTTTTCGGTGTCAGGGACTGTTGGCGCTACCTTCATGACTAGATCGTTGGTTGCTGGCGAGCCTGTGATGCTGAGGATGGCGAATGCTGGAAATGCGTGGTGGCTTGGCGCGTATAGGTTGTTCTTAGGTCGCTTGGGTGCACGCAAAAGTCGACCGAGGGCAAGCATGAGGCCGAACCACAACATAGAGCACATTGACAAGAGCAGATCCAGGTACGGGTTCTTCATCGAGCCTCTAGACCTGTAAATTCTAGCCATGAAGGGCATTCCGCATACGAAGAGGTAGCCAATGATGAGATGATATGTACCGAGTTCGTTCGCTTGTCGACGCAACGCTGCGATGACGACTTGCACGCGGTCTCGGAAGGTGCCAGGCCCGAGGACTATGAGCCACAAAGCTCCGATGCTGATGATGAAGAGCATGTCGAGAAGGCAGACCCATTCGATGGTGTACGCGAAAGAATTCATCAGCTGAGCAGCAGAAAACTTCGGGTCGAGGAGGGCTTCGAATACATTGGTGGTGGCGCTGGTGAGCGTCGCGTACATGGCAGAGACCTTGGCTCCCTGGAGGGTTTCGAATGTATTCATGGTGGTGTTGGTGAGCATCGTGTACATCGCAAAGACTTTGTATCTTTGGAGGACTTCAGCTGGACTGGTATTCTTGTATCCGAGCATTGTGGTCAATAGTGCGTGCGAGAAGTTATTCAGCAAAATAGAACGTCAGAAGACTGTAAGCAATAATTCGCTCCTGGACTGCTGGTTAACGCATGCATTTCACTGCCAAGAAGACACCGCAAATGACGAAGGAAGTTACCCAGGGAGACCACCATTCCTGGCACTAGATCAGGTGACTGACAGGCTCAGCAGCTCAGACAGGGTGATTGTCACCACAGCATGGGAAGCCTGCCTCAGTAAACTACTCACCTAGGATCGAAGAAAGTACTGCTGACAACTTTGCTCATATTAGATTTGGTGCTAGACTGAACAACTTAGGGGTATTGCAATCTCAATCTTGTAGCGATCGTGGTATATCATCCTTCTCGTTTCCCCCGTCAACGAAGATCCTTTGAGTTCATGCTTTCCAGGGCCCATCCAGATGAATAATGAATGTACGCTCTCAGACGGCTCTGATGACTATTGTGTAGATGGTCTAAACCTCCTTGGCCTGCTCCGTCTCGGGATGGCCATTGCTCATAGTCTGCGCCATCAAAGAAGGGCCATCAGAGTAGTTGTCGAACTTGTACAGCTGAGGAGTGGTAAGACCCTTCTGGCGGAAGACATACTTCTTGAACCACCATGGCAGGACTTCGAAGAGCTGGTAGTTCATGTGCGTACGTGTTGGCACGGCGAAGACGTAGTCAAGTTCTAGAAACATCGATCAGAGAGATGCCCAGTACTGTGTGGATGGGGGGCCACTTACCTTCGAGCGACCTTTGCTTAGTCTCGGGCAGCCACAGGAAGATCATCCAGAACGCTATGAAGTTCATGGCTGCGTAAAATCCGAATGCGCCTGTAGTGCCGAACGCATTGAGCTGGCGGGGGAAGGTCAAAGAAACGACTGTAGCCCAGAAGTTGTTCGTTGACACCGCCCAACTCATGCCCACTGTTCATCGTCAGTGCTGGTCAGCCCGAGCCAGGAGGTTGAGGAATACGTACCTTCACGATGAGATAGCGGGAAGACTTCGGCAGAGTAGGTGAATGGTACTGGACCTTCTCCTGGCGAGTAGAACATGTCGTAGATGTATATGAACAGAGCCACCAGTCCAAGATGAGCATTTCCTTGTGGTAGAAGGTAGAACAAGCCCGCAGCCAGTAGGGTCCAACACATGTTCGGGAAGGTGAACAACAGTAGAGCTCTGCGCCCGAAGGTGTCGATCGTCCAGATGGCAGGGAATGCAAAGAGGAAGTTGATGATACCAAAACCCCATGATGCCCACAGTGCTTGACTAGAGTTAAACCCAGACTGAACAAATATGGTGGACGAGTAAAAGGCGATAATGTTGATGCCGCACATCTGCTGCGCAATCATGACAATACCAGAAGCTTGTGTCGCACGGCGGAGGCGCGGAATCGTGAAGATCTCGTAGAACCTAGTGAAAAAGCCAGCGTTCACCTTCAGCCCGGAAGACTGAATAAGGAGTTCCTCCTCGGTGATCTGAGCATGGATGTAGTAAAGCTCACGCGCAGCCTGGAGTTCGCTGTTGCGGAATCGGCAGAGCGCGTCGTATGCTTTCCGGTGGCGGCCCTTGGACATAAGCCATCTAAGTGGTCAATCAGTACGTCCCACTGTCTGCAAGTTTGTGGAGGATCCTCACCTAGGAGATTCGGGACAGAAGTAGATGCCGATCAACAATGGGATCGCCGGAATAAAGGCTGATCCTAGTTGCAGACGCCATGCATTCTTGCCGGTGTCCTTCACTGCGAGGTTGGCCGAGGTACCTAGTAGGATACCGAACGCTGTCCAGGTCTGCCACGACATGACCAAGCCGCCACGGATGCTGGTAGGAGCAACCTCTACGGATCTCGTTAGCTTCGTCCGGAACAGTGGCATATGCTTGAATTCCACGTCGTGAGACTAGCTCGAGTACCTCGCCGTTGACCCAAGACATAAGCTCTGGACAACACTCGAGGCCCCCATCGCAGATACATGTTTGCCGATCACAGAACGACTTACCAGCTGAGAAGACCGGAACCGTGACTTCTTTCAGGCCCATGCCGACGCCTAGGAGAATACGCGTAGCAATCAGCTCGCCCCATTTCTGCGTGAACGCGGAGCCGATAGGAGCCAGCAGCGAAAAGATTGCAGCAATGAAAATGACGTGACGTCGACCCAGCCAGTGGTTCAGCGGGTCCGAGATCCATGCCACCAGGAGGAAGATCGCGAAGTAAGGCATCGAGTTGATTACACCCACAAGCCACTGATTGGTCTCGCAGCCATAGCCCTGGTCGGGCTGTTCGCAGAGTGGTGCTGAGTCGGGAATGCGGAAGAAGACGGGGAATGACAGATTGGCACCGTTCTAGAGACCCGTCAGTAGCCAGATCGCATCGAGTACGTGAATGGCAGACACGCCGTAGTTCAGTATGTATGTGAAACCAGTAACGTGATATTATCGGGCACTTTGCGGTCCAAGCATATGCATTGTGAGACTTACCGAGCCCGTCTGATCCCAACCCTGAATGGCAGCAGCAATCGAGTTGAGAATGATGGTGAAGTACAGAATCTTGGGTTGGCGCCATTTGTTGGTGATCTCGGCGTGCAAGAATGCTCTGTCGGTTTCGTCAAGTTCTGGGATCGAGTCGATGGCGGTTGGGTTTTGTGCGGCAAGAGCGCCCTTGCGTAGGAGCGGAAGTATGTCTTCCAGCTGGTTCTCCTTCGCAAAGGCCTCAACATCGGCCATGAGCACATCGCGAGGCACGCCGACGAGAGGATTCCGGATTCTGCATTGTGTTAATTTCGTTCATGTTCGCATATTCAAAGACCAGGAACTTACTCTCCAGTTTGATTCTCGGTCAACTGAGCGATGCTCTGCTTTCGCTTCTCTGAAGACAGTCAGTGCGCGTGCGCATACGAGCTGGAAAGTGCTGACCATCGCTGCCTAAGAGGACCGACCCGCGTCGACTGGTAAATGGTCAGCCAGGCGAACTGTGTAAGCACACAGGTACAACTTGCCCCTCGTCGTGAATGTTTTCTTTCGACATGGCGGCGAAGATGGTTGATTCACAGCGCGTTGCAACGGGTCTGCGACGACACGAGAGGAGGAAGAGTAGCTGAGAACGGAAGGGATGCCAGCTACTTAATTGTCAGTCAGCCACTGGCCCACCCTCCGCAAGGCGCCTCGTGTAACGCTACATAGCTACTCAATCGGACTGGTCGCAGGTCCTGAGCTCAATCAACAGACTGCCCCATTAGCCTGCGATCAGCCTACCCCAGCACCCCGCAGAGTGAATAATCAGGGTGGCTTTTGGGGCCCGAATCGCCCGACGATCCTAGTAAAGGACTAGATCAGCAGGTGCGCGTCGCTGCGGACTAGCTCTTTCCGGCTTTGCATAATGCACAAGCGGGAATCGCAGGCACCTCGGACGGGCTGACCGACGACGCAATCATCACGTACTGCCACGTTGCAGCATGTTAAGATGCGAATTTCTGATCTGAATAGACCACGTAGGTGAGGTAGGATCGAAGAAACCTTGCCTAGAAGCTTGACGGCTCAGCGCGGAGGCTTGGTGCAAACGAAGCAACGAAGAAGAAGCTTGCCGCATCTTGGATTGCTCCAAAAGGTCATCTATCACATGATCTCACTGTGCATAAATTTCCAAGATCACCCCCGCCGAAAGTCAGGAGCTTGTGGCTGCATTAGCGCTTAAAATCCAAGCCACAGAGCTCTGGGCGCGTCAGGCCCTCCGCATTCTTTACCCTCCACGGGGTAGCGTATAGCTGCTGTAGGCATCTGCTCCTGAAGCACGACAATTCAGAAATTAATGCGAGCCTGTCAGCAGTCATCATTTTGGCGGCTTCGATGGTCGATTCATCTGAGACTTCGGCTGCCCTGTCCTGACTGGGAACAGCGCGTGAAACGATCACCCAGAGGAATGTTGCTGTGGATCTGAGCCATTCAGCGCCTTCCCTTGAGCTACTGGTCTTTTCGACGCCAGATGGGTATATCTGCAAGCCAAGGACGACTCGACAGAACTTCTTTGTTACGCTCGGACCGGTGCAAGATCGGGAGACTTTTGTCATGATCAGAACGTAAGAACCGATGGCAAAAATGATTACGCACTCGTCGGAGACCACGACCTAGCATCGACGTTGGTGGAGTGTCTGGTCGAAGCGTCTGACGTGACGACGTGCCTATGACTGCTTGACGCACCCCATCGCCAACGCCATCTCGCTTTCTGGGCGTTTTCTTCTCGTTGTCCTCTGCTGGCAATCTGATAGAATGGAGTCAAGGGCAGCGGAATGGCTTTGTGGTGTATTTCAAGCTGGATAAGTTTGCGCGTTTCCGTGGTGGGTAGGAGAGGACCGACATACGTTGGGAAAGAGAGCCCGTAAGGATCGCAAGCTGTGCTGTGCTTCGTGGCCAAGGTTTTGTACTCTCCTTCGTGACCATAGAGGACTGATTGAGAGCCATTTCCTGTGGTGGCAGGCGGTTTCATGCGACCGCCACGCTGAGACCTCAGTTGGCAATATGGCTGGTGATACAAAGTACTTCATTGCGGCGAACGGTTTCATTTACTTCGATGTCCTCAAGAGCTGCAAGGTGAGGTGGATTGTGAGACGCTCCTTCGTAGCCCTGGAAAGACTGCGGTGGGCAGCAGCGCTCGATGGTGGTCATGAAATAGTCACTGCTCGTCAACTTGAAGGTCACAAACACTCGATGTCGCGAATGCCAAGACTCTGGTTTGTTCGATATTAATTCAAGTAGATCTCTACACCAGAACTGATTCCCCCAAGTTCGGTTCAGCCCGTCGACAGATGAGCGAAGCGATGCACAACAGAGCCTAGAGATGGATCTTCTACAGTAAGCCACGGACTTCCAACAAGCTTGACAGACATCGAGCTTCTAACGACACACAGCGAATGTACGGAGGCGATGCGGGAGATCCTCATGCAGCAGCATCTCCATGCCAATGCCGGTGGACCATCGAATCCCGTGTCGACGGCGTGCAGTGTAGTCACGAATGGCCGCAAGCACGACGTTCAACCACAAAACGATCTAAAGGTCTCCCCAGCCGAAGAGTCATCGAAGACAACGACTTTTTTAACACTTCCTGGCGAGATTCACAATCAAATCCTGGATGAGCTCAAGTTCCCTGACCTCTGCCGCTTCAGAGCCACGTCTCAGCAATGCCGTGGCCTCGTCCCACAACTGCGGATGCAGGACAGCATTGAGCAATTCGAGCACGACTTCCGTGCTGCGCAAGAAGAGAATGACTCGACTTCAGCAATAAGACCGGAAGCGTATTCGAAGGAAGACTTCGAACGCTTTCGGAAGTGCAGAATCTGCTATGGCTGCACGCAAATGAGGCCCAGGATTCGATTTGGAATCGTTGTAAAGTTGAGGTGCCCTCCATTGAATCCGAGCCGCAATCAGCCTCCCAGACAACAAGATAGGCGAGATCTTGACGACCCAGAATACTTCGATATCCCAGAATACTTCGATGACCCAGATTACTTCGAATGGCCATGCAGAATTGCTGAGAGAAGCTCAAGGCTGGGATCTGGTCGGCAAATGCTTCTCTGTATCGATTGCACGCTGAAGCATCCCCAATACCTGTCAGCGCACTCACCTAGGAAGCGATGGTTACGGTCCACGGATCGGTTCCCCAGAAAATGGAAGGACTACGACATGTGCCTGATTTGCACCAAGTGCCATCAATTGAAGCACTACCCACGTTTGTCGTCGCAGAGTCCTCCCTGTCAGGAATTGCGATTGCGGCTTATGGATCATCGCCAATTGGATCAAGGAATGTGCCATGAATGTTGGTATCACGATCATGAATCATGGTGCGATGCACAGTTGAAGATCGAAGAGAGAGCCTTTGAGATTCAGGACCAGGCGAAAGCGCTGTCCTCGGACACTCAAGCCTTGCAGTCTGATATTGAAGCTCTGCAGTCGAAGATGCAAGCTATGCAGTGGAATCTGGAAGCCATGCAGTCGGAGTCGCAATTCCTACAATCGGAGCTGAAGGACCTACGTGTCTACCGCTACTGGATGAGAGATCTAGGCATGCATCCTGCGGACCAGGGCAGCGAGCCACCTAGGAGCAGATCGTTGCTAGAAGTCCTGCCGGATTGGACAGAGGAGCTGAGAAGTGTCCCTGTGAAGGAGGTTCAGTCACAGCTGGTTGAGAAGGGCCTCGTCATTCCAGCTGAGTTCAAAAGTCGTGGCCCAAGAAAGGGTGCCTGATCAGCAGCCGCTCTTTGCAGGTGGAGAATAATGGCAGAAGAGACCAAACGCTATCGACATTTGTTCTTCGCAGCGGACGCTGGATGACGGACTCACCAATCGGGCAGCGGACAGAGAAGACTGGCGATCTGCGTGTCTGTCTTGAGGTAAAGGGCATCAGTGCGAGCAGACCAAATGAGGACAGCGGGCGAATGCCAGTGGAGTGGAGTGGTTGACATCCAGGTTAAGTTATGGGAAGTGATCACATTTGCGCGGACCGACTCAACGGCTCTCCGTGGCTCGTACCACTACGGCGGGGCGGGTAGCCGTGCCGCCTCTCTGAATGACAACGAACCAGTCGACATAAGTGCTTATGTGCTTTGACCTGCATGACGGTGCCGTACTTTTCTATCGTCCCATGATGGCCTGAATCGCAGATACCTCGCGTCCATTGATACCAGCTACCGACGGAATTGACCACCTCGGCACGGCGCAAACCGTGTAATGCCCCGAACCACACCTGCCGGAAAACTACCAGCGGCACCACCAGCAGCAAACACCATAACCCAACCCAAACACCCCAACTCCAAATCCTCCCGCGCACCTCTCCCCAAATCCCTCCTTCGCGCTGACCTCCGCAAAACACGGGCGGGCGTCTGGGCCGTCGCCGTTGCAGTCATCGCCGCTTGCGGCGCCATCTCGGGCGCTTATTTGAAGACGTGGGCGCAGGAGCGCGCCAAAGCCAACCAGGCCTCACCTTCTGCGGAAGCTGCAGTCGGTGCTTCAACAACGCAGTCACACACCACTCAAGAAGCGCAGGGAAGTCAGGCAGCACCAGCACCAGTAGGGAAAGTGGAAGCGGAGGTGGACGTGAGGGATATTGAATCAGCCATCAGGACCCTCAACAACAGGCGCGGCGCGCTGGTTATGCGGAAGATGCAGGAGGAGGGGAGGCTGGAGAGATTGAAGGAGCGGATGAGGGTGAAAGCGGAGATTGAGGCGAGGAGGGCGGAGGCGGATCGAGGCCATGCTGTTGATGGGGCGGAGCGGTGATGGGAGGTCTACATGGCAAGGGACGGGAATTAGTGTCAGGATATCCGTGGTGGATCTACGCCACTGAGATGACCGCTTCTGCAGGCGCTATCGTCTCTAAATGCTGTTGAGATGCAGATCGCGAACTTCAACTCTTCTGTCTAACAATGACAGCCTGGTCCAGATGTAGGTGGCACACCACGAAGTTCCTCAACAAACCACCATTGGAAAGCGCAAGAATGCGTACCGATGCCAACGATAATGCCTCACCACGACTTGAACAAGCGCAGCAGATGTCTCCAGTCCTCGCAAAAAGCAATAACATAAACCTCCCGGAACTCGGATGAAGCTTCATCGACCGTCAGCCTGAATAACGGTCTCGGCCCCTCCTCCGATGTCCCACGAGAGTGAAATCCGCACAACGTCTCAGGCAACTATCTAAATCCTCCGCTTAACTCGACCCCAATCTCTGTTTGTGCGTTTGAGTGCGGATTTCGAAACAGAATTCACGATCAGAAATATATAACCCATGGCAACTGAAATGGCCATGATGGCGAGGCTGGCTGCGAGCCTTGGCCAGATGACAGCGGGCTTCATATCGGTGGCGATGGCCGTAACGCACGAATAGAAAGGGGTGTTCGTTCGGTGCTGCTTTGAAGCGCCACTTAAGTCTATGAGAGTTGGTACCTCGTCACTGCCGAGAGCATGGCAGACTGAGCCAGCGGAACAGGTTGCCCAGATTTGTCATTAATCGAGACCGGTGTCAGAAATGGCACATTGTCTCCGACGACTCGCCAAGCCACAGAGACACTGCTGTCCCCTGTACGAAGGCACGCTCTTCGTCCTCCACCAGTAGCTCTTCGCTTTGTGCGACACGATACCGGAATTCAGCAAGACCAGGCTTCGAGATGGATCTCGGATTGCAATCGACCAGGAATCGCTGCACTGGGAGCAGACGAGCCAGGTCACGTCAGTAGCCACTGCGAGGCACGCTCTACGATGTCTACAGGTCTGAGCACAAGCGGTGGTTGAATCACAGCATGGAGGACATCTCGCAACACGATCGCGATCGAGCTGCAGGACCTCTCCATAGTTAGACATATATCTGTGCATCCAGTGAGACGAACATTGCCTCCTTGTGTCACCGCCTGATAAACACTAAGCATGGATGAGACCGGATGACTAGCAGTGTGCCTTGCTCGCCATTGTGCTTGCCGCAACGGGATGCAGGTATTCAGCGCGACTGCCTGCTCTGTAATCTGACGAGCAGACACCGTTCTTCCCGACTGAGTCGCGGTGGACATAACAAGTGGACAGGCGAAGCAGGTACGCGAGTACGGCAAGGAAGCAACGATGGACTGACTACTGGAGGACATTATCTGACGCCGGATGACAACTGGTCGATTGTGAGACCGGATGACCTAAATGACCTAGCGAGACCGGTTGACTGGTGACTTTTTCTGTTCATGTTGCACTCATTCACCTTTCTATCCCATCAACTCTCGAGGCCAGGGAAACGTGCGAAACGTGCAACATGAAACAATTCCTGTGATACGTCGCTAGACAATGTGACCGAGTGGGAAGGCAATAGTACCATGTGCTGTCCCATAACGTGGATGAGTGCACCGTGGCATTTATATGCTTCGACATGTGCTGACAGCATCAGGTACGTTTTTGGGGCAAGGAAGAGTCTTGATCAAGAGTGAAAACTCGAACATTCAAATTTCCTGCCGAAAGATGACGGCCCTTGACCATAGTAGTACCTAGTAGTTGGCAAGAAAAAAGCATAGTCGACACGATAACCAGACACACAAAAAGGAGCGCCTCCTCTGTCGCCCCAATAACTCGACGAACACCATTGCACCGCCTGCAGCAGCCTACTGCTCAAGCCTCACTGTTCCTTTTCACCACGTCCGCCCACGTTAGTTTTGGGCCAGATCCCTGTTCGATGTTCGGCGATGCTTGCCCAAGCTTCTCCAAGGGCTCTTGTTGCGAGGCTGTCACAGGCGCCGTTTTGGCTGCCTCATCCTCGAGACTGTCGAAAAGGCTCTGGAACCTCGACTGGCTCCTTATCCACCGCGTCACTTTCTGACGGGAGCTCTCCTTCCGCGCGGGCCAAGTCTCGTCATCCGAAAAGTCCTACTTCTTGCTCGTCCCAGGCCCAAAGTCGGCCTCTATAGCCTCGACCTTCCTCCGCTTCTCGACTCTGAATTCTGCGACCAGTGCGATGTGATCCGCCGGGAAGTGGAAGTTCGGGAAGCCCGGCACTCGCTTCAGATACTCTGGATCGACCTCACCCAGTAAGCCGGTGACTCGTAACGAGTTGGTGCTGAACCAGATGTGGTCGAGCACTCCGACAAAGTGAGGCACATAGTTCGTGAAGGGCCACTCGTCCTCGATGGCGGTGTACGCCGACTTGAGCGTGAAGTCGTGCGTCATGCCCGAGCGACTCAAGGAGCCATAGTCGCGTCCGTCGAAATCGGTGTGTTTCGCACTCAAGCCTTTCTGAGTGAATAAGTCGTACACAGCCGATGTGGCGTCGGAGTTGAAGTCGCCGCATAGAATCATGGGTATCTGTGTCGGAGTCGAGTATTCGAGACTGGGTCCAGGTGCTGGTTCCTCAGGTGAGTCGTCGGCGTTGGCGAAGCGGAAGGTTTGCTTGTTCGTCACTGCTGGGAATTTACTGTACTTTTGGGCGAGCTTCGAGATTTCTTCCATCATTACCGCTGCTTGGATGAGCTTGACGTCTTTGTATGCTGGGTCCCAGTAAATGTGAGAATTGGCCACGATGAGTCGACTTCCGGTGACGCGATTCTCGAGGAAGACTACGGTGGCTATGTCGTCGCGTTGCCACACCCGGTTGAGCATGTCTGCTGAAGCCTTTGCTCCAGGTCGCTCAACAGCTTTCCGGCCGAGCACCAGATGCTCACTCGCAAGTTGAATGTACTTCTTGTCCTTCCAGAACGTGCCGCAGCCGTCCACGAATTTGGCATTATCACCGAGGGTTTCTGCTCTCGATTTCTGTGCAAAGTAGCCTTTGTAGCCATTTTCCGCGAGCTTGCCACGGAACCAGTCGTCGTAGCTGTTCCTGTCCAATTCCTGAAGGCAAACGACGTCGGGTTTCTGGTCGACAATTTCTTCCAGAATCAACCTCCTTCTATACGCCCACGAAAGTACACGTTCAGGAACATAGCCATACATTTGCGGCGAGGCGTAACGTTCGCAAAGAATGTTGTAGGACAACGCCTTGACAGTGTCTGCTCCTTCCTCTGGTGTCTGCTCATCGAGCTTGTGCCACACTCGCTCTTGTGGTGGATTGGGATCTATGCATGTTAGCTTTGGCCGGTCCATCGATTTGGATCACTTACCAGGCATGCTCTCCCGCAGATAATGGATCAAAGCTTTTGTGCCGCCCTCCATGAACTTCTCCTTGTGCCCTTTATCAATCGGATTTCCGTATATGCCAAGTAGTTCGAGTTTGAAGAGGTAGCCCAGTTCGTAACACAGGGTTGAAATGCGATTGTGGAAGAGCAATAGCTGCTTCATGTTGGTGAGCATGCCGATCTCGGGTGGAAGCTCTCTCAGTTGATTTGAGCTGACGTCCAGAACCTCCAGCGATTTGAGCTGACCTATTGATGCAGGAAGTGCGGCAAGGTTGTTGTACCCTAAATCCAGCCGCCGAATGAAACCGTACGAGTTGAAGAGTATAGGCGAAAGTGCCTGCAGACCCTGACCACCCAAATCCAGTTCGTCCCACTCTGACCTTGATCCGTTGGTCGCGCCAGCCTTTTTCGATCGATCAGTATTGCTATCATCTGCGCCGATGAAGCTGATGCCTCTGGCGGTCTGCGCAACTTGTCGAGCTCGCGAATTGGGTCCAGACAGTTCTCTAAACTCGATGGCTTTCTCTTGCTGCTCTTTCCAGTACTCGTTGTCGGCATCATCGTTTTCGTCGTGGCTCATTGCATCACCGCCTCCAACACCAACATGATCTTGAAAACCCAAAGCGTGGTGCGCAGCGCTTGTGAACCCACCGGAGGGGTTTTGTTGATGCATCGGACCTTGATGATGGCCAGCATTGTGGTGACCATGGGTCCCTGGGGTGGGAACTGCTGCTGGTGATGCTTATGCACCTGCATGTTGTTAAATCTCTGAGAATGCTGCCCTCCATTTATCATGTGATTTTGGGCATAAGGCCCTCCATGTTGATACATATTGGAGGTTTGCGACGAGATGGCATTCGCCGTAGCGGCGGAGGAGGAAGGGGGACTGTTCGGGGTGAAGGGCCTTCGGGGGTTTCGAGGAGAATTGTTTCTGCGTGGTGTCTGAGAATTGTAGAACAGGTTCGGACCGGACTGCGGGAATCGCAAAGGACCATCAGCCATCAACTAGGATACGTATGGGCGCCGTCGCGGTGGTTTGTAGGTGAACAATCGGCGACTCGATCCTGAGGATGTTGGAGGGGTATCGGACAGGCTGGTAAGGAGATGGTGCCGTAGTCGTCGACCACACATCAGACCCGATGACAATTGGCTTCAAGCAGGTTCCGAGTAAGGCGCAGGACCTGACTTGGCGCCCCGAGGTGGTTGCTGGGGAATCGTGGCCTCACCAAGGTATCAGAGCTGAAGATCGGTGCGATGGTGGTGTGGTCTTTGACTTTTCGAGGGACCGTAGGACTAAAGTGCGCAGCTGTGAATGAAGTGAGACAACACAATGGGCGACACGACTAGCTGCTCATGTAGTAATACTAGTGGTGAAAGATGATGATATTAGATCTGTGGAATTGATAAGTTGAAGTGTTGGCCCGGAGCATCAACTGCAGCTGCCATCTCATGCCAAGACTACGGCTAGCCATAAGCGCGAGCCACGCCTGTCATTGAGTTACGCCGCATTCAGCTTCAAGGAAATCTTGAAAGCTAGAGCACTGGCTTTTGCAGCCATGGCCATCATCAAATGTCTCGCACTTCATATGAACCATGGCTCAGCCTCTGAAGCGTTCCATGCGAGGTCCTCGCCAGGCACGACTACATCGCCGAGTACTATGGTTCTCCGAAGCGGCACCTGTCTCGGACCTGTCAGAAGCTCCCAGCTCAGCCTGACGTGGCCTCATCCGCTCCTGTCCAAATCACATAAGGTAAGATTCGGACATTTCGACTCTTCGACAACCACATAGCCGGGCATGGAGTGATGGTCATATCTGGTAGCCTGTCGTGTCTCTCGTGGCGCTCGCACGGGGGAGCCTCTGGAAATATTCGGGCTGGAACAGTTGTTCACGATGGCGAGTCGTACGCCTTTCTCATAGCGCGATACTTCTTGAGGTAATAGAGCGCCTCGATTTCCTTCTTCACATATTCGGCTCTCTCAAGCCCTTTCCGTATCTGGTCTTCGTCCCTCAAGTGAGCCTGCGAGATAAATGCCTTGTGTAATCGAGGTCGGAAATAGTCATAGCCTTGCGGGTATGATTTGCCCATCTCCAGCAGCTCTGCTTTGGGTTCAGAGAGTGTAGTTGTAAGAACTCGCGGACAGACCTTACCTTTGTAGATGCCAATGACCTGGCGTCGAAGCTGTGGATTTACGGGGGCAGACATGGTCTGTGTGGCATTTCAAAGCGCGCTGTATTCGTTACAAGTCGCTTTACACCTCATGTCACTGACAATCTGGCAGCCGATGCTTCCCAGAAGACCAGTATAAAGGATCTAGGAATGGTGGAGTGGTGATGGGTGTGACGACAAGTTAGTCGCCCGACCTGCCGCGTTCGGACTGACCTCGGCAGTCAACATCCGGCGGAGGGACTTCCTACCTCACCGTGAGCTTTGTATTTCCGTCCAACATGTCATCCTAACATGATTTCTGGGCGCCTACTGAGGCAGTACCGGCATCTGGACTTCCGGAAAACATTCTCTACGAGCTCATGTCCTCGGTGCAGCGCGGGCATCGACCCAACGAATGGTAATGCTGCTCGATGGCTGGGAGAGGCCAAAGCACGAATTGGGAAATGCATCACCTTTGGACTCAGCCGGACCCTCATAGGTGAAGCAGGAAAGGCGCTTGAGGTCCTGGCACGGGACTGGCGCGATCTAGTCGCCGGCAGCGAGGGCTATGTCACGGACCCAAAGGTGGCCGGACTACACCGGCACTCTTTGGTCTGGGGCGACCAGGATTCCATGGGCCATGTGAACAATGTACAATACGTGCGCTGGGCTGAGAGCGGGCGTTGCAACTGGACGAGAAGTTTGGAAAGGTCGACCCGCAAAACGCGCATCAGTGGCAAGAAATCTTAACGAACAGAAATGTTGGCCTAATTCTGAAGAGTATCAAGGTAGACTACAAGTTCCCAATGACTTGGCCGGATCGTGTTTGTGTCTACCACAAGCTGCAGTCGAGGCCAGATGAGAGTACTGCGACGATGCTGTTGGATGTGATGATTCTATCTGATGCCAAGCAACGGCCTGCTGCGCGCTGTCTAGAGGATGTGGTTGTGTACGACTACAAGGCCGCGAAGAAGACGAGCTTGCCGCCCTTCATGCTGGAACAGTTTCTGAAGACCTGGAAGTCGCAAGAGGCGGCCAAATCGGAGAACAGGAAGAAGATAGAGCAGATCGAGGGGCAAATCCGTTATCTGGAGACACAAAGCTGGGACCGGCCAGATGCGAAGGAGGATTTTGGTTCTGCGAAATGAGTCGAGTCATGGCAATGGTAGTGGTCTTTGCCGCTATCTATCAAGGGTTCCGAACCTCACTGGCGTGAATTGACCTGTACAGGCGACAGAGCTTTTGACATGATCCGGGTCATGAGTGTTTGAGCACGGAATGTTGCGAGGTGTTGGCACAACTCGAGGACTGAACTTTACGGACATCGACTACTATAGCGACGTAGACGTCAGATAGATCAGAGAAGACGTGATGGGTGCTGGGTCGTACAGTGGACCTGGCACCATCGAAAGACCAACGAGCTCAGAGTGCTGCATACAGAATACAGAATTCATTGACAATCGTCGTTAAAAACATAGGCTGGGCGAGCTTCACTGCCGCATAAGTCCGCAATATTGTCCAGCTGATCTGTTCCAAAGAGGACAACAGCAGCATTAGCAATTCTCACCGGTGCAATCGAAGCCTTGCCACAGTCTTGAAGCGCTGAACGGCCGCATGGATAGGCTGTTGCTGAAGGATGATCGACGTCTAGCGTGAGTATTCTGCAAGTCGTGCATTAGTTTTGGCTGTAAGTACCCGGCTATCTTTCGGCATATGGTTGAACTTGAAAGTGTTTCAGAACAACGCACATCTTTCGTCAGCAATGATCTGCCGAGATTGTACTGATGGCTCGCGAACGAGAGCGATTCTATCCAGCGCCCGCCTTGCGCAACTTTTGGGCTCTTTGAAGGATCAATGAGGGGCAGTGCGTTAAGTAGAATGCAGAATCGAGATCACCCCGGATTGCATAGGCTGTAGGGTTTGGGCGTGCTGAAGAAGCTTTTCTGATCCTGGCTTGTTGCTGACAGAAGCAGGGCACTAGCAACGGCTTGTGTGACACGTCTTCTGCTGCCGGCGCCAAAGAGATGCGTGGGGAGGGGCATCCGGAGGAGAATTTCTTGCAGCAGAGCAGAATTTTCGACTGTCAGTCTTTACAGAGAGTCGGTGAAAAGGCAGATACGCAGTTCCTTGTCCAATGATGATGTGACGTGGTGGGCACTCAGCTCAGGCAATCATCTCAGTCATCTTTCCGCCCCTAGCCATGGAGTCCCATCTCCGGGCTCTGGCATGCCAATGCTTGCCCACCGATCTCCTCACCCACTCCCCATATCGATACAACGAGGATGACTCGGGTTCACCTGAAACATGATAATCGTGAGGCCCCAATTACCTACGCAGTGCCAACTGTGGTCACTGCCAGCTTTTCATGGGAAATCGAGAAACGGAGGTGAAGCAGAGGAGCAGACTTATAGATCGAAATGGAAGATGAAGAAATGTGCCCGGGTGGGCGCCTGTTAAATACCTCGTAAATTTACCACGCCTGCGTGTACAAAGTATGCCGAATTTTACGCTAGCAGCTCCGTGATCTCAGGAATCGCAGCCCGAGTTGAATATTCCTGTTCTCGTCCCACACACAGCGACGCAGCAGCACCATCTCCCGCTGTTTACCCTCGCCTCTTCGCTGCATGCTGCTCGCTCTCTCTGTCCATATGAGAGATCGAGCTGGCTGCAGTTACCCTCTACGAATCGCAGTCCTGCCTGCCACGAATCCGGTCGCAACTACCCATAGAATTCGACTCACATCTTCCCAGCAAGCTTGTCGACATTGCGTTGACAAGCTGACTGGGTTTGATCTTCGCAGACTACTGCCCAAACCCCTATGCCCCGCAATCCGGGTGCAAGGAAGAACCAGCACAACCCTCGCCATGAGAATGGTCTGATTCAGCCCGGCAAGCGCATGGTAAAGCAAAGGTCCAATCCGCAACTCAATGGATCAGCCGCAAAAGTACCTACGCCACCTGAATCAGTGCTCGACTCGCCTACGCTTGCCAACGGCGTCCCTGCTTCGCCTGTACCTGGTCGTACCGAAGACCTAGCATACCGAACCCAAGACTCCGAGACGGATGGGCCCTACCCAGAGAATGCCAAAAAGCACGACGCCGCAGACAATCACTCCATGGCTCCCGTCCGCTCGAGCAAGCACAAAGTCAGCCACGATGTCAGCGCATTGCAGATCGCCAACACCATCCTCAAGTCCCGCCCAGCCTGCGACACCATTGCTCTGCTCATCGTCCTTCTCGCCCTGCCTTCAATGGTTTTGACCATTGTTCAGGCACTGTTCGCCTCGCTGACAATGATGCCGGGAGCTGGGCCTTTGTCTCTGGCATCGATCATCGACGTCTTTCAATTCGCACAGGGTGGACCGTCTCTTGGGACCATGGCTTGGTAGATGCGGTGTGCTTCTTCCTCTGGATCTGCTTGTGGAATTGGGCCCAAAACTTTGCCTTGGATCTCGCACAGATCCACATCGCAATCACGCTCGGCAACGGCAGCTCAGGCAAGAGCGGCAGTGCGAACACGATCTGCTTCGCTCTTGTTCTGTGTCTACACACAATCAGGAGCAAAGGTGTTCGGCGCTTCGTGCTGTCCAATCTGGTCCCGACTGAACTGCTTTCGCAAACTCGCTTCGTGGATTTTCTGCGCTATCTACCGGGCGACGCCGACTTTGGAGATACACCCAGTGCTCCATCGAAACTAAGGAGTCTTTTTGCGATTCACATTCTTAGTCAAGCTTTGGTGTCTTTCATACGTCGTCAACTTGCGGGCTCACAAACTGTGACCGTCACCAAGTCAAGGAAAGGTGCCGATGCTGAAGTAACTGCCGCAACCTCTACCGATGTGAACGGGATTGACGGGCAAGGTGCCATCGGGTCTGCCTCTGGCAACGATTACCAAAATTCTCAACTGACTGCGCGAGATGGCAGGGACAGCAAAGGAGTCACTGCAAAGAAACGCCGCCGCCAGGCAAATCATGTTCGAAGCCGGCAGCCGTTTTGGGCTGCTCTTGCCAGCACTAAGGTTCATGTTTTGCGCGAAGTTGAAAACAAGAAAGGCCTGCCGAACGCCGCCTCTGTCGATGATCGCTACTCGGACATGCCTCAAAGCGACAATGTTTGGATCAGAAATGTTGACCCGTCTTCCATTCACGTCGAAGCCCGCTTCAACGCCTACGAAGATTCCGAAAGTGACCTTGCGCCACTTTTCGTTCGCATCAATGGTGCCAAATGGCAATCTGTACAGATCGAGCCCGCTCAGGATGAAAACGCCATTGGGAATTGGATGGTTGAAATCAACGGGCTCGCGCCAAATTGCACATACACTTGTACATTCCACGACATCGAGACAGGCGAGGATTTTGCAACAGTCATGGTTCGCACTCCAGTACTCATCGACAAGGACTACCCAAGCACGATAGCGTCGACCCCAGTACGCGAATCTGCTCGTCCTCAGTCACCAACGACGACGCTCAAGAACTCGATTGCAAGCGAGGAAGGCAAGTTGTCGGAAGCCCGGAAAAAGCTGGCACAACTCAAGAAACAACATAAAGCTGGGCTGAACAAGACTGATCGCGAACTAGACTTTCTCAACGGAAGACTGAAATCTGGAGGTGACGACAACAAGCTGAGACAAAAGTTACTACAGACCGAGCGCCAGATCCGTCAAACGGAAGACAATTCAAACAATCTTGCTTCAACACTCGAGGGACTCGAGACTGTACCCGAAAATGAGGCCGTGGAGTGGAAGGACCGCAAAGCTCAATTTGAGGAGCAGAAGAGACTGCTCACGGAGGCTACGGAAGCTCTCAGTAAGGCCAAAGCTGCTGCTGATTCCGAAATCGCTTGCCACAACACCGAGTTGTCGACCGCTGTGACCCGGCAAGAGCGTCTGGCAGGTCGTGTGACCAAGCTCAATGAACAACATGACAGGATCACGCAGGCGAATGCCGAAGGTCTAAACGAGAAAGAGCGCCGTGAGGCCGAATTCGCAGCTAGGCAGGCAGATCACCAGCGTCGTGAGAAGGAGCTGATCAATAGCATCAACAATCTCAACAATCAGCTTTACGAAACGCAATTGACCACCAACGAGCACTGGCACCAGATCGAGATCCTGGACAAACAAGATCAACTCCATCGGTCCAAGATGCTTCTCAATAACGGTCCACTGACTCCTGAAGGTGATTTGCCTGGTACTCGAAGTCAACCCCAATACGGCCGCAGCTTTGGTCTCAATGGGCTCCCTCCTCTCTCAGGCACTGCTGAGGTTCAAGAGTCTTCGCCAATGCTGTCCTATACTCAACCAATCGGCAGCCGACCACGATCTGGCACCAATCAATCTACCGGAGGACTTAGCGGCTTGTCAGAGGATTTCGATGACGCAGATCCGATTCCGCCCACGCTGCAGGACGGTGCGAATGGACGGAAGGGTAGCGGGAGCAGTCGAGGCAAGAACAATGGTAGTCCCGCTCATGGTTGGAATGTTCGTAGTCCTGGTCGATATAGCCCTGGCCATATCCCAGGAACCACCACATGGTAGCATGGTTAAGCAAAAAGCAGACTTGTCCTTTCATCGGCGTTGTGTATTCGATTGGCTTGGATTCCATGTGCTCTTCTCTCCGCGATCCTGACCTCCATGATGATTAGGGAGGGCCTGTAGAAGTTCTGTTGGCGAGTCAGGCCGCAAATGGAGACGATCACTTTTGAGTCATGACACGTCATATCACGAAATAATTCGTGACTCGAACCATTTCACCACCACTTCGTACATAAACAACCACCCCACCAGGTGTACTCTGCATGCGTCTTCCACTCATAGCACGCTCTTTGACGACAACGACACGACTGCTTCTCTGTACAAGCTCACCCCGTTGCACGCAACCTTTCAGTCCTTGTATCCGCCGATTACACTCTGAAATAGCCGACATGGGGAAGAACAAACAAGATCAGAAACAAGACCTGAAAACCGCGAAGGGTACAAGAGATTGGTCCGACGAGGATCAAAATGTTCTGAAGGGCATTCTTGATACCATTAGCAGAGTCATTCGAGAAAATGCTGGGAAGGAATTGGTCACACCTGTGTTCGAATTAGAGGAAGTGCTCAAGGGCAAATACGGCGAGGACTCAAAACTGATATACGACCTCAAAGACCAGGGCGGAGAGGCATTGAGCCTACGATATGACCTGACTGTCCCATTCGCGCGATGGCTGGCCATGAACCCGAATATCAGCAACTACAAGCGTTTGGCGGTCGACAAAGTATGGCGCCGGGATCAACCTGCACTTGCAAAGGGACGGTTACGCGAGTTCTACCAATGCGATCTCGATTTCGCTGGGCCATCGGATCCTATGATCGCGGACTCTGAGATAATCGCAATCATTGTGGAGGTCTTCGAGACATTGGGCTGGAATGGCCGATATACTGTCAAGCTCAATGATAGGCGTGTCCTAGATGGTATGTTTGAAGTCTGCGGCGTGCCTGAAGACAAACTTCGGCCGATATCTTCGGCTGTCGATAAATTGGACAAGGCTCCGTGGGAAGAGGTTCGGCGGGAGATGGTTGAGACGAAGGGCCTCGAGCCCGAGGTTGCGGACAAGATCAAAGGCTACGTGATGCTCAAGGGTGGCAAAGACCTGGTAGAGAAGCTGCAGAAGGATGAAGCACTTATGGCCAATCCCAAGGCCAAGCTTGGGATCGAGGAGATGTCCCTACTGTTCAGATACTTGGCAGCATGGAAGGTCGTCGACAAGGTCAACTTCGACTTATCACTCGCCCGCGGTCTAGACTACTACACCGGCATCATCTACGAAGTCCGCGCCGAGGAGTCAACATCATTCTCTGCTTTCGACACACCCACCTCGAACGGCGCCACGAGCCAACCAGAAAAGCCGAAGCAAGAAAGCAAGAAGAAAGAGAAGAAGCCTGTTGCTGAAGACGAGGACCGTAGCGATGATCCCTCTGTGACTGTCGGCTCCGTTGCAGCAGGTGGTCGATACGACAATCTGGTCAGCAGATTCCGGCCCAACGCCAATGTGCCCTGCGTAGGCGTCTCCTTCGGTATCAACAGAATCTTTGCCATCACTAAAGAAAGAATAGCAAAAGGCGAGAAGTTCGATTACATAACGGACAACGCTATGGATGTGTATGTCATGGCGTTCGGGTCAGACATGACAGAATCGCGGATCGCGGTCAAACAGGCTCTTAGAGAGCTCGCCTAAGGGTTGAATTCACTCACAAGAAGAAGCCAAAGCCCAACGTGCAGTACAAGTTCGCCGAGACTGCTGGTGCGCCACTGGGAATCATCCTTGGGGAGGAGGAGGAAAAGAATGGGGAGTTGCGCATCAAGCGGCTGGGCATTCAGGACGAGAAGGAGAAGGAGAGACTGGGCGAACTGGCTGACAAAGGCATAGTGGTCAAGATGGCAGATGTCGGCAAGGAGTGTAGGCGGCTGTTGGACGAGGTCAAGCTGGAGCAGAAAACGCAATCGCTGAGTCTGAAATAGGTGTTCAGATGGGGCAAGGATCTGGTCAGGGAGGCCTTCGACGAGATCATTCGAGCCTGCTGGGTGAGGCCAAGCTCGAACAGAGTATTCAGACTCTGATCTGGTTCGGGAGGCCTTCAAGGAGATTTTTCGAAAATGCGAAAGCGACAAATATTTTTACTTCCGAAAGTCGCAAATGATGTGAGTTTCGAGCCAGAGTCCTCCCTGCGATATCAAGGTGCTGACTTTATGGACAGACCCAAGCTTCGTGAATACGTTGGTGTTCACCTTCGAGCGTCATAGATCAATCAATTGACGCTGACATATCTCTCACCATCACTGCATGACTTGACTCTGAGCTGGCCCTCGTCTCCGGCTTGCTCAAACCGCATTTTGAGTCTCATCGATGCGCTACTCGAAGTATGCCCTGAGTCTGCTGCTGGTCATCGTCCCTGCCTCTCCGAGGCAGATTCACGGGCTCCTGCCAGAGCACCCTCTCGCACTCTGCACTTTCCTCGACACGTACTCGCCTTCCCTCACTCACTTCGGAGAAGGAGCACTGCGACCCAGGACACTGAGGAAGCCACGATGGGCCTTCGACTCGATAAATGCGAGTTGGGCACAGTCCAGAAAAGTCCATCCAAGAGAAGGAAGAAGCAGAGCTTCATTTTCTGGACTGTGCTCAACTCGCATTTATCGAGTCGAAGGCCCATCGTGGCTGTGTTGGCATCGCTCACACGCCTGATGATGTCCAAGTCATAGATAGAGATTGACACGTACAATGTACACTGTAGATGATGAAGGGCATGCAGATGGTACCATCTGGATTCGGGCGGGCATCGTTCTGGCAGCGGTCGTTGCAGTCGTAGACGGTCGAGATGCCATCTCTCATCCCCTGGTGGCGAGCTCATACAGCACAAACATACTCATGTAGCCGCAAGCATAAGAGTTCAGAGCACCGTTACCTGGGCCACTCAACCCGCCTGCGTACACTGCCGCCTACCCAGCTGCTCAAGCGGCAGCTCATTGCCCAATCAAGGCATATCGATCGCCAACGCACTACGCGCTCGCTTCTCGCCTACAAGATTGTTTCCCCAAGAAATTTCTTCTAGGCGAAAGACTGGGCTGACGTAGCCCGGCCCGATCCAGGAGCGACAACAAAGTTATCCAATTTCGAATTCTTCGGCATCCGCATCTGGCGGTGCCTTGCACCTTGCCGTTGATGGCCGTCATAGCACAGTTTGACACGTCTGAAACAGGGCAGCAATATAGACGAGCGCCTTGCCCAGAAAGCGTGACACGTGAGCCACATAAATCTACAGCTTCTGTTAGCCAGTAAGGGAAGATCTGACTTCAGCAACATACGGAGTAATAAGGCACACTGCGCATGTGAAAGTTTCCCGAACGCCCGTGTTTTCATAGCGGACAGCGGCAGCAAAGCCACCGGAGCTTATCACGGCACCCATAATTTGGGACTTTTGATATCTTCGCCATACCTTCACAGTCCTCTGTCTTGCTGCTTGAAGCGACATTCATTCGAGCAGTCGCATAATCAAGAGGGCGCGCCGACTTCTACTGAGAGACTCACGCGCTCCAAACGAATAGTTGGAATCCTCCGCAACACAACATCGGCAGCAGCCTAACAGCAGCGAAAGAAACAACAACTCACGGACCATAGCCAGCTACACTTCGTGGACTGGCTCTAGTGGTCCGCCTGCCAGCTTAAGCCATTATGCCGCCTACGACAGAGGAAGGATGGCTTACCACGAACGATGGCGCTCGTCTATACACTAAAACATGGAAGGTAAGTTCAGTCACCTTACTAAGCTGCATGCTTCCCGCTCCCTGGACAGCGGAATTGCGAGTATAGATGTGGATCAAACAACGGATATCAGATAACTGACTGCTGCTATGTTCCTGTAGCCTGAAGGTCGACCTCTTGGAGTTGTTGTATTTGTACATGGGTTCAGGTGAGTCTGATCCAATTCTATATTTTTCGAGACGAGTTCCGGCAAGGAGATGGGAGCCGGCCTCGACTGGCATGCTGGAGTGATGGACTTTACACCCAACGTCCTTCATCAAGCACTGCTCATCCACTCGAGATCATCGCTCCTGTTCTAGCCACAACCAACCTGCCCTGCGCAAGGCTTCCCTACAACAACTCACTAACCACCTCCTCCCCTCACCAGTGACCACTGCAACACCTACTCCCAACTCTTCAACACCCTCACCACGCACCACAACCTCCAAATCCACGCCTTCGACCAACGAGGCTGGGGCCGCTCTGTCCACCAACCCTCCGAACGGGGCCTCTCCGGTCCCACCACCCAAGTCCTAACAGACCTCCACGATTTCGTTCTGCACACCCTCACGCAACATGCCAGCACCAACCCACCACCGCTCTTCCTCATGGGCTCCTCCATGGGCGGCCAGATCGCGCTGCACTACTGTCTTTACACCCTCCGGACCACCACAATCCGGAACCGCCCACAATTCGCTGGACTACTGCTCCAGGCTCCCTTCGTGGCATTAGCACCTGAATCAGCGCCGGGCTGGCTGACGGTCAAAGCCGGGAAGATGGCGGCTAAGCTCATGCCATCGAAGCAGATGGCTCAGAAGATGGATCCTAGCTTCATGTGCCGCGATCCGGCTGTGTGTAAGGAGTGGAATGATGATCACTGTGTCACGACACGGGTACGCTGGGGGGCATGAACGGGATGCTGCAGCGCGCTGCGGACCTGCAGGCGTTGAGCACGGGGGCGTATGTGCGGAGTCTGACGAATGAGTTGCCGTGTCCGGTGTGGTTGGCGCATGGGAGTGGCGATCGGGTGACGAGCGTCAAGGCGAGTCAGAGGTTGTATGATTGTTTGAGTGTGCAGGGTGGAGATCGGATGATGAGGGTTTTCGATGGGTGAGCTGCTGTTGTTTCCCTTGCGTGTGGTCAAACTGACTGTGTTTGGCAGAGCATACCACAAACTCGACCGCGAACCCAACGGCGTCGGCGAGGAATTTGCACGCGAGGCGGGAGAGTGGATCGAGCGGCGCGCAAGAGGCGAGAGGGGCGCGCTGGATCGCGAGGGGCGGAAGAGTATGCATGCGACGAGGAGCATGGGCATGGGGCGTCTGCTTCGCTGGGCGGAGGGAGGAGTAATGGTGCTACTAATGGGGGTACGAAATTGTGATGGGGCGAGTGCCACGGGTTGCGTTGTCGATTGCTTGCTTGGATTATCTAATACCCATGGACGCTGCAGCGAGAATTGGGTCTGATGAGGATTTCTGTTCTCACATCTGCAAATTCGTCGACAATTTGTGTAAGGCGCTGCACAGCTCACGACACCTGGAGAATTTCAGTCGGTACATAGCGTAAGGCCACCCTTTTCTGTCCCCTCCTGTGCCCTCCTAATTTGCAGGACCACGTCGTATGGGCAGTCTTAAGGCAGTCCAAATATCGCATTTCGTCGTAGGGAACGACGGTACCGCGTGCCATGGAAAGCTTATCGATTCGCAAGCAGTACTTGCGAGACATCTCGACGCCGCCACTTACGGCAGGCATGTTTCGAAGCGCGGATGGTCTTCGGCGAATGGCCGCGATTAACGCCAATAGGACTCAGCATTATCGCCCTCGTACGTCTAGACTATCGCGTTTGGAGCGTTTTGCGCTTGCGCATAAGAGTATCGGGCGTGCTGTATAAGATGATTTGTGATCCAGGCATTTGAGATCGACGACTTCCAAAATCCTGTACTCTTCTCGCACACCGTCTGGTACTGCCTTTCATATCGGCATTAGCGACGAGGTTGAGGTTGCTTATCCTGAATGAGTAGTACTAAACGCAGAAAGACTCGCAGCAAGCGATAGTGAGCATCCCGCCATGGAAGGTTTCGAGCTCGTAGAAGTCACCTCGGCAGCCACAGAAGCAGAAATTGAGCAGCTCGTACGTGTAGTGCAAGAGGCAGTCTTCGATGACCCGGTCATGGGTACCCGACTGATCGGCCTGTCCGACGAGAAAAAGACGGAATGGGCGCGGCGGTATTGGCTGTCGGCTCATATCCATAATTCGCACATGCGGGTATATGGCGTGAGGGATCTGGAGACGGAGTGAGTGTCGAGATCAGTTTGATGGGACTGGGCAAGCTGGAAGCTGGTGGCTACCTGGTAATGGGGTATGCTCTGGAATACTGACGTCGATTGCCTGGCAGGGAGTTCGTCGCGTACACTGTGCTGTCATGTCCTGTCACGCCGACGCCCGAGGACGCAGATGCCGCCAAAGCGAGGCTCCAGGAGATGTTGGAGTCCTTGCCGCCACGCGGCGCCGATTTTGTCAAGTACCTATATGCCGATGGAACCCCTATGTCGCACAGGTTGGACTACGACGCGACAAAGCATTTTCGTAAGTAGACATCATCCTTGAGAGCAGAAGCTGTGCTATTCTGCTGGAATACAAGTTGTTCGAACTAATGCTGGCGCTGCTAGACAAGCGGAGTACCCAAGTCCTGCCCTCGTATCAGCGACGTGGGCTGGGAACGTGGATGACGCGCCATTGTAATGCGGTTGCGGATGAGGCCGGCCAGCCGACGTTTGTGCTTGCGCGGCCAAAGGCCGCCAAAATGCTGGAGACGACGGGGTTTGTGCTGGGGGAGACCAAGATGTTTGAGTCGTCCAAGTACGGGTGGCATGAGGATGCTGAAATTAGGGTGTATAGGAGAGATCCGCATGCTGTCGGTCCGGCCAGCTGACTTGTCAAGTGTGAACGTGCAGATCGTAGGTGCCGAAGAGCTGCGGCTCGTTGAGTTGTGGCAGCATGCACCAGTATTGGCCGCGAAATGCTCCTTACCTTAGAGTCAGAAGCTCGTCAAGAGGAGGGTATGGTTCGTCTATGGTTGCAAGATTGAAACGCACTGGAAGGACAGCGAACAAACACATCGAAGAGGACGCAACGCAAGGACGGGCAGGCACGATGAGCTGACGAGTGGTGGGAAGATGCTACTGAGGAGATGCTTAGCGGCCCCGGTGCTGCTGCTGCGAGAATGCTGCTGCTGGCGGAATGGAAGCGGCGATGCATCTTGAGCAGATCAACCCAGCTTTGCTGCATTAGTGATCAGAGCAACGAGACAGTCGTGTCAGAATTCCCACCATGTGGCAGCTCGTGGGGATTGTGATAGAATGTGCTAGACGTCTGGTCAGCGTTCTCCCTGGATGGTTCCATTGACATGTCGAGCGTGCGTGAGGCTGGTCATTGCCATTTTCGCGGCTCGGAGGGATATCTGTACTGAGCCGCTCGCAAAGTATTTGTCTGCTCCGTGAGCCATCTCTTGTCTAGCTGAGGCCCTGGCTCTGTTGACCCATGATCGGAGCTCGTGGGTTTTGTGAAGAAGCGCAAAAGCGCTGGAAGTTGTGCTTGACCATTTCCGTAGTATCTTGCAGAACGATCAATGCTAATGTCGCTGCCGCATGACCACCGTCTCTCCGAACCGGCTGGCAGGCAGATATGGACTCCTCAGGGTTCCCCTGCCGTCCTCCTGTATCTTCTTTCGCCTCGCTTCGACCTCTCCATCACCGCCTAATTCGTCTGATCATATCGAGCTGGGATACAGCATCACTCTTACGCTCGCGCCGAAGGACTGAGGAGGAAGGTTGTGGTTGAATTTTGCTCGGACAACGCCAGAGTTGCCGTGTGGTCGTGTAACTTTGCCCCAAATTACTCTGATCTTTGAGCCCTGTCGCTCTTTTGATGCTCTGTAGACGTATGCGACTCTCTTTCCGAGATAGAACCTGATCATAAATTAGTCTGGCATCGCGTGAGATGTAGCAGGACGGTTCCGTACTGAGCGGCTTGTGGGTCATCGACGCCCTCGATCTTGACGAGCGATGTGTTGGGGTTGGTGTTGCGCTTGCCTCGCTGGTATGACAAGTGCTTGCCCTTCACGTAAACTGCGCAATGTTGTTAGCTCAAGACTTCTGTGCCTCACCCAATGAGATTGTGGCGAGAGGAGATACGTACGACGCTGTCCGGTGGAAGACATAGTGTCGAATGTTCCCACAGCCTGGCAAAACGTGTGGAAATGTGGTCGTGAATGTCGTCGCTGGAACAGAATCACGATACAGTGTGTTTGGTGTATGCGGAGGTGCAGTTGAATTCCGGGTCTTGGCAGTGTGGTTTTCCGCCAAGACTGAGAGATGTCCAACGAGGTCGGAGTTGTTCTTGCTAAGTCCGGGAAGACCCTCTTCACGAAACCTCACTGCAAGTTTCGCTGCCCCACCGAGTCTACACCGCGGAAGTAGTAGCCCACCGGCCTATATCTGAGTCGGTTATCTATATCCCGTCATTCGTCTCAGCCTAAAGTGTTGTACCTGTTGCTGTCATGGGGCTCTCCTACGACTCGGATTTCCATGAAGTCCTCTGCGGTAGCTGGTCCGATAGCTAGGGCAGAGCCCTCATAGAACCGCGTCCTTGAGACTGCCACTTCATTGGGCAAACCACACAAGTAACATGAGTGGAACAAATGCGCCCTGACTATTTACTCAAATGGGACTGCGACATCCTTAGAGCAGTATGATTACATAACGCATCAATTGTCTGACAGAGCCCTGAGGACGATGATGAATGAATTGGTCCAGCCGGAACTTCCGTGGGATGGTCCAGCGCTATCTGACGCAGGGACACACGCACCAAAAACGATCAATCTCGAGCTGTTGGTGACAAGCTCGGTTTCAAAGACATCTCCGACCAGACCAGCAGCGAATCCGCCTGCCGCGGCTTAGTGATGTATCTGAAGTAGTAATGCCGTAACAGTCCTCGAGAGCGGTGTAAATAGATTCTTCCCTGGCTCGTTGTTCGTTTGCTCTCGATTGTTCCTGACCGAGTCTCTCGCCTTAACCTCAGGGAAAGAGTAGCCCAGCAACGCAGCTGTTACGTCAATCAAGCAGGAGCTGTTTCGGCGCGCATCATTTCCACCTCTGCCGGCCTCCCCCACCAAAGTTCCCCACCTTCACATTTATCGCCGTCCAAAATATTTGTCTGCGTACACTCACCACCGGCCCTTCTTTTACCTTACACCTTGCGTAGCTTTGTTTTCTGAGCAATCTGTTGCTATTGCTTCATCCTTTCACATCCAGCAAACGTCGCAACCATGGCGGACACTATCATAACTCCAGAAGAACCGCAGACAGCAGGGTCAGTCTTACTTCCCCAACCTTTCTCCGGCCCTCATACTAATGATATATACAGCACAATAGAGTTGAAGGAGAACACTGTGATCATTGTTCTGGGTGCCTCTGGTGATCTCGCAAAGAAGAAGACGTTCCCAGCCCTCTTTGGTCTTGTAAGAGCGTCCCGGCCCGCACTTCTCACAATCCACTGACTTGCGCAGTTCCGCAATAAGTTCCTGCCGAAAGACATAAAGATCATTGGATATGCTCGAACAAAGATGGACCACACCGAGTACCTCAAGAGAGTGCGCTCATACATCAAGACTCCCACAAAAGAGGTCGAGGAACAGCTCGATATGTTCTGTGACGTCTGCACATACGTCGCAGGTCAGTACGATCAAGACGAGCCGTTCCAGCAACTCGATAAGCACATTAGCGAAATTGAGAAGGGCCGAAAGGAGACCAACAGAGTGTTCTACATGGCTCTGCCTCCGTCGGTCTTCATCACAGTATCACAACACTTGAAGCGCAACTGCTATTCCAAGCAGGGCATCAACCGCATAATCATCGAGAAGCCCTTCGGCAAAGATCTGGGTTCTGCTCGTGAGCTGCAGAAGGCATTGGCACCAGACTGGAAGGGTAGGTCATTATCATGGTCAAATTTAATGAATTGCGCTAACACTGGACAGAGGAGGAAATCTTCCGAATCGACCACTACCTTGGCAAGGAGATGGTCAAGAATCTGCTCATCATTCGCTTCGGCAACGAGTTTCTCGGCAGCAACTGGAACCGTAATCATATCGATTCAGTCCAGATTACCTTCAAGGAGCCCTTTGGAACCGAAGGTCGTGGTGGCTACTTCGATGAGTTCGGCATCATTCGTGATGTTATGCAGAACCATCTCCTCCAGGTCCTTACCCTGTTGGCTATGGAGCGGCCTATCTCGTTCTCGTCTGAAGACATCCGCGACGAGAAGGTCCGTGTGCTGCGCTGCATGCCTGCGATCGAGCCCAAGAACGTGATCATCGGCCAGTACGGCAAGAGTCTTGATGGCACCAAGCCCGCCTACAAGGAAGATGACACCGTTCCCAAAGAGTCTCGGTGTCCCACTTTCTGCGCAATGGTCGCTTTCATCAAGAACGAACGATGGGATGGTGTGCCTTTCATCATGAAGGCTGGCAAGGCGCTTAACGAGCAGAAAACCGAGATCAGAATACAGTTCAAGGATGTCACGAGTGGTATCTTCAAAGACATTCCTCGCAACGAACTGGTCATCCGCATCCAACCCAACGAATCGGTCTACCTCAAGATGAACTCCAAGCTACCCGGTCTGTCCATGCAGACTGTCGTCACCGAACTCGATCTCACTTACCGCCGCCGCTTCTCCGACCTCAAGATTCCCGAAGCATACGAGTCACTTGTCCTCGACGCCATGAAGGGCGATCACAGCAACTTCGTTAGAGATGACGAGCTGGATGCCTCATGGAGAATCTTCACCCCTCTGCTTCATTACCTCGACCAGAAGAAGGACATCGTTCCCATGGAGTACCCCTATGGCTCGCGTGGTCCTGCTGTCCTCGATGACTTCACTGCTTCTTACGGATACAAGTTCAGCGATGCCGCAGGCTACAGCTGGAACAGTGGCTCCAACAACCAGAAGCTGTAGGATACGAACGGCAAAAAGCAAATGGCGGACTCCCGATCAATGATGACCATGGCAAGGCGCTCGTGTACTGGTTAGAAGGAGCAATTTCCTGCGCAAATGGATATAGCGAGTAGAAAGAGAGCGCTCAATGAACAGATCCTCCATCTGCAAACTTGAAAATTCATGGCTTTCTCGACTGTCTACTCTTTAACTCCCTCTACGTCCCGTCCACTATTCCCGCCTCTCCTCCGCCGCCGCTACCATTAGATCTAGAGCGCTCCTCATCGTCCGTAACTCTCAACCCCAACACAGCACAAGCTACGAACAGGACACCGTTGAATACCGCCATGATGTAGAACGGCGCGCCTCGACTAACAGTGTCGAACAGCGAGCCGCCTAGCTTGGTCAGGAGCAGTATCGCGAAGCCGCCGTAGAAGGAGTATATGCCTGCTATTGCACCTTTGATGTTCGTGAGGCTTACGTCTTCTTGTCCTGCTGTTGTTGGAGAGTCTGCAGCAGTGATGTGATTGTGCTCGTTGTTAAGCAGTGGCGCTGACTCTTCGTCATCCTCGTTGTGTCGATGTTGGGCTGCTACTGCGCCGTTGCTGGTATGGCCATTGCTTTCTGCAACGGCCGTGGTCGTCCCATCTGCCTGACTCTCGAGTACGCCCGCACTCAGCACGCCCAGACTGCATACGATCGCCCCGATCTGGCTCATCCCAATCAGACACACCGCAAGGAAAGCCAGACTCCTCTTTCCTTTTTGTGCATCATCCGCATCAAACTCCGCCACGAACAGCGGGTATCCCACAATCCCAGCCGCGGCCGCCACCATCATCGGCAGACCCCTCCTCTTAGTCCTCGCGCTGGCGTAGCCAAATATTGGTGCTGCGATCAGAGCGACGGTCTCGGCAACGCCTGTCATTGCAGCAGCCACGACGTAGGCGCGGGGACATCTTCGTTTGATGTCTGGGAGACCGTTGGGGTCGGATTCGAGAAGGGAGGGGGATGAGGACGGATTGCAGAGGTCGGAATCGAGGAAGAGCGCATTCACCAGTAGTGGGATGAAGAGTGAGATGCCGACGGATGAAGCTCGGGCTACGAAGCCGCCGAGGTAGCCCAGGGCGATGGAGGGGCGTTTGAGACCGATTTGGACGGATGTGCGGAGGTTGCGTGTTAGCGTCATGAGCTGTTGTGAGAGTGATGGTCGAGTTTGCTTGCTGGTCTTCGAGCCGGGCGAGGCCTCGGATGCAAGATTCCGGAGACCAATGAAGCACCAGATAGCGAGTATAAGAGCAATCACTGCGACTATGTAGAACGAGTGTTGCAAGGCACGAGCTGGAGAAAGCCCAGAATGTTGGAAGCGAGCCGGCAACGGTAGGAAGACAAGAAGTGCTATCAGAGCGCCAGCGCCTGTGAACATCCCAACGAAGCCGGCGACACGAGACGTCGATCCATACGCCGAGCTCCTTGAAGCTGTGGGCTTGGCTGAGGTGCCGTTGTGGCGGTAGCGAGCAGGCGTGATCGTCAATTCGGATGTTATGGAAGGTGATGAGGTGTGGTTCCGATCAATGTTAGGTGCACAATCGAGCGACAGCTTCTGCTGTGACGCTACAGCAGGCAAGACCGCTGTCACCATAGTCGAGGCTGCCGCGCCACCGATGCTGAAGAACAATCTCCCCAATAGCAGCTGAGGGTAGACATTGTGTGCCTGCACGAACAGAACCAAGGCTAGTGCGATGATGGCATATCCAAGAACGCACACCCAACGAACTCCGATTCTGTCGGAGAGCAGGCCCCAGAGAGGACAAGCTACCAACGCAAGCAGCTCGTCTGCGAATCCAAGACTGCCGACTGCGTCGCCGACTCCATCCTCGCGTCCAATGAGGTCTGTGATGACGAAGGAGACTGAAGAGTTGAGGAACACCAAGAAAGCAATGCTGAATGGACAGACACCGAGTAGGTAGGTAGCTACTTGGAGCCTTGTTGCTGAGAACATGGCTCTGCATGTGAATGTTAGCATCTAGATGTGCAGTATGGCATTGAGAAGCAGAGATGACGTGGCTTAGTGACAACCTTCGATGCAGTAGAGTGTTGAAATACTGAAACTACTCACCCATATGAACGCCAATAGATGAATCACCACCTTTACTCAACAGGTTGCTAGGGAGGCCTTCATGATTGCAGATATCTGAGTGTTGGTGAATAAGGACAGGCAAATGATGGCATGGAGTGAGTGAATCCATTTTGGGACTAGCTCATTTTTGGCACAATTCCAGACTTCATTTTCTCTATCTTGATCACGTGAGCTTCGGAACTTCCTTTCTCCGGCCCGCCAGCATATGCAAAGCAACGACGTCGCTCAATAGCCTCCTGTTCCCTCCCCACAGCCATCGTCGCCCTCTGGGCTTCGAGGCGGCTGTCCGCTGCTTTTGTGGCGCGCTACGAGACCCAGAATGCGCCTGGTTGTTCAGTAAATCGCACAACATGGACTCCTCGGACGTTCCTGAGCTGCCAGACCTCTCGGCCCTGACTCCAGAGGAGTCCCAGGCGCTGTTCGAGCAAGATATGACCTTCAGTTCCAACACTGCTGCAGGAAACATCGCGTTCGACGCAGCTCTCAACCCATACAACACTCCGGAGGACTCCAGCGCTGGAATTACGCCTTCTTACGCGTCATACACGCCAAATACGCCTGCAGACACCAATTCTGCTGCTCCTACGCCAACTACACCATCCTCTGCTTCCTTTAAAGGCACCGTAAGCGCTGTAGGGACGCGAAACGCGCTCGAACTCGACGATGCTGCCTATTCCGAGCTCTTAGAGGACGCCAAAGCATACATGCTGGACGAGAGCCATCCAGAGCGTCAATCCATCATCGGCGGAGCGCCATACAGAGTAGACGAGTACAACATGAAGCTGCAGGAAACAGCAGCAGCATTTCTTCGAGCTGGCTCTGGTGCGCGTTTCTGGGGCCCTTGGACCGCGTCAGATCCCCTCTCGCGCACTGTTTCGTGGCCAAACGACGCGCAAATCATCATCGAACGCGTTGCGCCGTTCCTACGTAGGATCGTGGCCAACGAGAGAGACAGAAAGCGCAGCAAGGTCAAGCGAGAGCAGAAGAAGAAGATGCTCGCAAGAGCTCCTGCTACTGAGCCCACCACTGCGCTTCCAACGCCTGCTGCTCTCGCTTTCCCGCCGCTTCTTCCTCTTCCGCCTCCACGCGCCCACACACATCCTCCTCTCCATCTACTCCTCCACCACTAACCAACGCGTCGTCGGCCCCGTTCCCGTTCCTGCCGCCCAAAACACGGGCATGGCCCAGCTGCGTTTCGCGCTCGAGCACATCCGACGACAATTTCCGGCGCTGGCACAAGCCAACCTTTTTGCTGCGCGTTGGAGCGTGTGGCGCCCAGCTGGGCTGCAGCCCGTGCTGCACGATATGGAGTTGATGAGCGCGTTGGAAGAGGCTGGAAGGGTCGAGTTCATGGAGGGAAGGTTGGTGATGGTGGTGAGTGTTTAGGGAGGAGGAAGCGGAGAAGCGGGGGGAGAGTTGGTCCTGGAACTGGAGCCGGAGCACTGGTCGGGTGGTTGCGTTTTGCGTTTTTTTGTACGTCCAGAAGTTGAAGTGATACCCCGGGGAGGCCTCCCCATGCGCATATGTACGAATTACGATTTTTCTGGCCTCAAAACGCGTAGTATTCCGAGAAGTGTGCTATGTAGCAGTCGTCGTTGGGGTACTAGATGATGAACTTGCTACCAGGAAAATAAGCCATCCCAAACCTGCAATGCTGTCATTATGCAACAGATATCCACACTCATACAGGCGTCGCTCTGAGCTAGGTGTGTCCCTGCTGTCTCTCGCACATACGACAGGAGGGCTGACCGCGCAATCCTCCATGTACAACAAGTCAAAGTCATTCTACAACTTAACCTTCTTCTCCTCCCCCTCTCCGCCCACCCCAGGCATCTCCTCATCCCCCTTCCTCTTCAATGGGCCACTCGTTGGCCCCACGGGCGTATCGCCAGCGCCATCCCTGCCCCACCCACCGCCCTTAACATCCAACGGCGTTAACCCTGTCCCCATCGGGAACGCACTGAAGCCAGAGAGCCGCCCCCGCCACCACCACCATCCCTGTTCCCTCCTCCGCCCAGCGGACTAGGCAGCACAGCACTCATCCCCGTTCCGCTCCCACCGATCCCGCCTCGATCACGATTCCAATCGCCCCACTCCGAGAAGAAATTACTCGGACTTGGCAGTAATTCGTTGCTCATGTATCTCGACGGCAGTGCGAGATAGGCGTCTCGATCTCTCCAAGACCTAATCTGCTGTTGCTGTCGCCGCTTCCTTTGCTAACTGGGCCGCCATTGCCGCCGTTTTTGGTGGCGTTCGAGTCGTATGCGTCTTTGTTTTGGCTCGTCGGTGCTGGAGGATGTGGGCGTGCAAATGGGTTTCCGGGCCCGACCGCTCCAGCTGACAGAACGGCGCTAGCTGAGGGTGAGGGCGGAGGTAAGTGTACGATGCCGCGGCCGGAACTGTTGCTGGTGGAATTCGAACCGCCTGCGGCAGGGTTTGCGGATCGAGGTGCAACAGCAGGACGAGGCTGATTAGGGGCTCCGGTCGCTTCGTCTTCGTTGTCGGACGCCTCGGAGGGGATTGTGAGGTTCAGCTTCGGTCGCGGGGCGCCCGAGCGCGAGCCGGAGGTGTTCGATCGTGTTGGTGGCGGAAATTCGGGCGCATTTGATGTTGATTGAGGCCTGGGAGGCGGTTGTGGTTGTTGATGGAATGCGGATGTGGTCATCATCTGTGGTTGAGTTGTGGTCGAGCGCGGAGGTGGTTGCGGCGACACGGAGCGTTTCATAGTTGATTGCCTGGGCGGATCAGGTGCGCCGCCGCCAAAGAAGTGTTGAGCCAGCACGGAACCGCCCTCGTCGATGGGCGTGAATATGGAGCGGGACTTTGAGGAGAGATGTTTGATCTGTGGCGGAGTGTTTTGAGGTTGTTTGAATTCTGGTTGAGGAGATTGTCGCTGTTGCATATGCTGAGGTGGTCCCAGACTATCGTGACGGGGCGCGGATGCCGGTCGTGGTGGCGGATGACCTTGCTGTGGATGGAGATACTGTTGAGGTTGCTGATGTTGCGGAGGGAACTGCTGAAATTGTGGTTGTGTCGTCGGCATATTTTGCTGCGGCTGGTATATTGGAGGATTAGGCATGTACGCGAAGCCATTCTGCGGTGGTGGCGGCGTTGGATGAGGATGTTGCATTGGGACGAGATTCGACGACGTCCTCCGGATAGTATTTCTGGAGCCTGGGCGCGAATCTATCTGGGGCGGTTGAGGCGTGCTGTGCCTCGGGAACATGCCATTCTGCATCGGTGGGGAAGCTGAGGCCTGATGCGGAGGCCGTATGTGCTGAAACGAATTGTGGTGTTGCATATGTGGCGGCATCATGCCTGGATGCTGCTGAGGAGGTAATGAATCTTCCTTGATCTGCTGTCCGTCATCTTCGTCGTCGTCCTCGTCGTCACTGCCGCCGCCTTTGCCCTTGAAGTCGGCGGGTCCTTTGTGCTCGTGCGGTTGGCCATACTGTTCAAGATTAGTGAAGGGCTTGGGACTAGAACGCGGAGCAGCTTACATAGCTGTAGCGCCGCAAGGTCTCGTGAATGTCTCCAGACGAGAACTCGTATAATTTCTTGTTATGACCAAAGATGATGACTGCGACGTCGACCGAGCATAGTACCGACAACTCGTGCGCCTTCTTGAAGAGGCCGCCTTTGCGCTTCAGAAATGTTCTGTCGGGTCTGGTCAGTAAATTTGTCCTGCGTCGGCGGATGATGCACCTACACAGATCGATTGCGATCATCCTTTATCGCCCTGATCTCGATCTTCCTCCGGCCCATATTGTGCTACACATATGACGGCGGCTAGAATGAGACGGTCGGCGTGTCGCCAAAGCGCGTGACAGGCGCGACGATATGTACTCTTCGATAAGGGCAAGCAGATAGCACCGCGGCGGATATGTGGCTGTGAAATGTCGTGGGTGGTCGAGTGTATGCGGCCACGTGGGGAGATGGAGCAAATGAAAGCGTCAAGGTAGGCTGATTCCAGAAGCGCGCTTGCTCAAGCGCAGCAGTGCAAGTCAACGAAGTCGCGGTCGCAGAGAGGTCGACTCTAGCATCGAATAGCTTCCGGACAAATCAGAACAATGCAAGGTCGTGAACAATGATACAGTCGCTGGTGGTGGACTCGAGGCGCAGGCAAGATTTCTTTGTTGAAGGAACGGGAACGCTGGCTCGTGGTGGAACAAGGACTCGAGTGATTGAGACCGGGTCGAGTTCCGCGTGCTTGGACCAAGCGGTCCTTTCTAGTGGGTATAGAATGTGCACGCGTGGTAAAATATCGCGTGGCTTTTTAGGATGGTGTCAACGGTGTATGGATGATCGACTGAAGGTGTCGTGCTATTTTTACCAGCAACTAAGAAGAGAAGAGGGAAGAGGAATAAGCGCTGGGGAGGAGAGTAGACCCTGACTCTCGGGAGGCGTGGTAGGGCTGGAGCTTTCTCGAGGCACTTCTATCGAGGCCGGTGGAAGAGGAGGACCTAACCCTAATGTCGCAAAGCATTCGGGGCTTAGTAGGCGGTGCCCTGGCGGCACCATGCAACCACCTACGGCTCTTGCTACCTAAGCCGGCCACCACCACAACGTAGAAGCGTAGAAGCACAGCCATCTTCCACTCCCCACGATTCGCTACACTAAGCGCTGGCGAGGCTCACCCGTGCACTCACGAAGCAATTGTACAAACCTCTGATCAGCCATCGATCGATCGCGCGCATTCCCGGCAACGTCAGATTTTACACGTACTAGACATGGCCACGCGTGGCCACGTAGGTCGCAGAACTTCGCCGTCATCTCCCACAGTGTAACACATACCATCTACATTCTTACCTGTTCGAGGTCTCGCTGTGGCGAATATGTGTAAAGCTTCACGTCGTCGCCAGGCAGTCCTAGCGACCTCTGTTGAGGGCTGAATTCAGTAGGGAGCCGGGCGTGGTTGCTTCTGGGCCGTCGTCAAAAGCATTGGTGAGAGTGGTTGCAAAAGATGTGCCACGACTTGACCGCTCGTGCTTTCTCGTTCTTTCTCAGTCTATCCACTCGAGAGCGCAAGCTGCTTCTGCGGCCATATCGACCGAATCTTGCAGTAGTCTCTATGCGTGCTGACGAGTTGTTGGTTGAGAGCGTCGCGAGCCAACGGCTATAGAGAGGTTGTTACCTGTACTCTGGACAGAATTTCGGGGCCGGCAGTTTGTCATCGGTCAATTCAATGCAACCAAAAATAGCACACAGGTAGTCAGTTCTGCACGAAGACGCTGAATGAGACTCGACCCGGTGTGTACATCGACATTAACATAACTTATGTGGTATCTTCCAAGATCAAACAACGACAAATCGAACCGCAGGGAATCTAGTAGGACCACAATGTACTGCACAATCATCGCTGCCTTCAACTCCTGCCTGCTGAGTGCAACGATAGCAAACCATCTGCTAAACATCGAACCAGATGTGCCGCAGCCGTTCAGTGTCAGTGTTTTGTCCAGCGCATTATGTGTATCTCTCCGAGATTAAGGTAAGGAATCATTAGGTCGTGCTCTAAAATGTTGTTGGCGTTAATGGTAAAGTTATCGTCTTGTCGCCTCCATGTTGCCCGTGAGCTCGGCCACGCGAGCCTTGATGCGAGCCACGCGTGACTCAATCGCTGTCATGTCGTTAGCACTGACGTTGTCCCCTTCGTTGAAAATGCTTACTCTCTTCGCCGCTCGTCTCTCCATCGTCGGTCCTAGTCTCAGTTCTACTGCGACTGGTCTGCTCTTCCGACTGCCGCACGCGTTCTGCAGCATTCTTTCGAATCTGTGCCCATCTGTCTGTGGCGCTTATGGCTGGTGGCGCGTCGTCCTCGTCCTCATCAGACTCTTCGACCGGGATCGTCACGGCTGAATATGCCGATTGGTGCTGAGGTTTGCGCTTGATTTCGGTGGGCGGAAATTGCTCTCGCACGGGAGAGTCATCAGGCACAAAGGCCGGCTGGTCGTCCAAAGGACCCTGGTCAAATTTCGAGAACTCCTTGTCGGCATCTTCACGTTCGTTTGTATCGACGCGCGAGAGCTGATCGTACTCGTCGTCACGGCGTGTTCGTGGCGGGCCCATGTAGACTTCGTCTGCAGGGGTCTCAGGGTAAGCCCCAGGAATTGGGCTATCGGGCTCTGTGACTGGCTCCGTTGGAGGTGTTGGTGCCCGCGGCTGCTCGATTGTCGGGTTTGGCTTTGTTGGATTGACTGTCTTCATCTTGTTGAAGAAGCTTGGACTGAGTGGTGGCGAGTCGGTTCCACCAGGCGCAAGGCCTGGCTTGCCTTCTAGAGCAGCTTGTGCTGCCAGAATCGCTGGGTCCGTTATCTCAGGCTCACGAGTAGCCTGCTTGGGCTCTTCTGCTCCCTTTGACTTGGATCGCTTAGTTCCGAACAAGCGTCTTATGCCCGTTTGCTTCTGAACGGGTGGAGGTCCCATCTTCCGGTTGCGCTTCTCTTCTGGTGATCTGCGGCCGCCGTCCTGTGATTTGCGCAGCTTGTTTGGCGGGCTCTCGCGTATGGGTGTCGGCACCGGCGAGGCGGCTGGGAGAGGTGCTTCCCTCACTTCTTGGGGGATGGGATCCGCAGGTCTGGTCGGCTCGGGTGGCATCGGGGCAGGCTCAACGATCGTCGGTGTTTCCATCTGTGCCGGAGCAGGCGAAGGCCACTCTTGCTCGGGCGTTTGTTCAGCAGGAGGCTGAGGCAGCTCTTTCGTGTCTTGTCGCGATATTGACGACATCGATCGGTTCAACCCTTCGGAGGGCAAGGTAAGCAGCTCTCGAGATCCTTTCCCGGCCAACTTGTCACCGAGATACTGAGCACGAATCGTCTCTTTGTCATATTTCTTGGCCCATGCCAGGGCAGGAGAGAATTCCTCCTTATTTGGTCCCAGCGTGAACGTGCTGTTGCGGTTCGAGGCCGGAACCTGACTTGGCTGTTCTCGCTTCCGCACAGCTGCTTCCTCAGCAGCCTTCTTTCGACTTAGCTCAGCAGCTGTTTCCTGAATTCGAGCTTGCTGGTCGGGAGCAATGTTTGGGCGTTGATGGCCGTTGGTCTCGGGTATCAGCGGGCTTTTCTTAATCCCAGATCTACGTCGAGTCAATCGGCCGCCTTTTGTAGTGAAGCCAAGAAACGATCGCTTCTTCTCGGTCACGAAAGCACCTGATGGAGGTTCTGGTGCAGCGCCCTTGACTTGCTCCTCCATGACCATCCATCGGCCGTCGGTGAATATGGTTTCGATCAAAGCGCACCGGCCAAAGACAGCCTTGCGTGACTGTGGCTCTTCGACAGCCAGACTGCTAATCCATACCCACCAGAAAGCATCATCGATGTGGACGGAAGAGATACTGGCTAGCTCTCCGGGGTCGAGCTCCATTGGCTCGAGATTTCTTCGATGCGACTGTGAGCTTTGGCCGCGCGTTGCTGCGTTGATTGGCGGCAAGACCTTGTCTGGCGGTAGCAATATAGGAGCACCAGATCTGTTGCCGTTCTCGTCGAATCCCGAAGAAAGAAAATCGGCCCAACTGGGAGTCGTGGGCCGCGCAAGATCCATGGCGCTTTGAGTGCCATTAACATGGCGCGTGGGTCTTGTGTCAAGGAAGCCGCTGTGTTCATCGACCTCGTCGAGCGTGCTGCCGAAGCCGATGTCTTCGAAGCGCGACCATGATGGATCTGACAGACTTGTTGACGTTTTCGCATTTGAAACCTGTGACTCGTTCGTCGAGGAGATAGCGCTCAACACGCGGCGACATTCGTCCGTCAAAGCTTTGACTGGATCCTCGAAACTGGAAAACTCTTGCAGGGCATGATCTGAGTCTCTGTATTCAAAATTCTTCGCACGTCGCAAAAGCGCATATGGAGTCGGTGACACAACATCGACGATCATGACCAGTTTCGTGGTGTCGTTCGAGATAAATCCTCGGCCCGGCGGATACTGCGTCGATTCGAGAATCTGCTGCAAAGACCGTGGTAGACTTAGGACACCGCTTGTCTTTCCCTTGGGCGCGACGGATCGCAAGTACGCGAAGAACAGATGTGTCGCCGCATCGGCAGCAGATTCCCAGGACTTGTATCCTGCATCGAAGCCCTTGCCGGTGTCTATATGGTTGAAGGCCCACCAACCGGCATAGCGGGAGAGTTTGTAGGCAGACAGACCGTTTGTCTTGCCATGTGCGGCGACTGCGGCAATGACTTCGAAGAAGTCGCGGATGATTTGGACTCGTGCTTTCGTTTCGGCACCGATGGGAATGAAGTGGTTGAACGCATCACGAGCGTAGGAAGAGTCTGCGTCGCCGTCAGTTCCCGCTTCTTGCTCTTGCGGTCTTGCTCTTACCAGTCTCTCCCACCTTGAATACTTCGTAGGTGTCCCAAGTCACGACACCACCAGGTAGCCTTGCCCAACACCATTTCATTACCGATATAATGACCTGTAGTTCTCTTAGCATTGTTCCTCGTCCGCGCGGTTCTGCCTACCATCGGCGTAGCCATCCGCAGTTCAGTAGTGAGGGCATCACCGGTTAATGGCTCTCGATCGTTCGGTGGAAAGAAGTAGTTGCGGACGAATGTTCTCGCTGCTGAGGGATCTGAAGATGGTCGGAACGGTAGCAGGAGGAATGGAATATCGAGTGCTGTGTACATTAGGCTTGTCTGCTTGCCTTGTATGGACTGATCGCACCTCTAGATTTTATCTCGGCCGTGCAGGCGTGCAGAAGTTCTGTGACCTCCTCCGGGTCGACTCGCGTTCGCAGCCATGCATCTGACCACTGCTTTTTTGCTGGTTTTGTGCCATTGGTGAGAGGTTGTGCCTTCTTGTGCGCGTCGTCCTTGCTCTTGAAGACTTTGGAGAAGAAAGGCATGGCGTGTGAACATGCAGATGGCGCTCGAAGAGCGGTCAGGCGCAGTCCAGCGGTGCTTTAGGGGTCCAGCCGCCTTGATATTGGGTTGCGGAATGCAGGCAGCGGAATGACGGTCGCAATGGCAGTCGGTGTATTCTTAGACTACACTCGAAGTCGGATCAGCAGCAGTGTATGCTGCGGCCTTGATGTGTTGTCAGGTTTCAGTCAGGGGGAAACTTGATTGCTCGCTAAAATCGAGCCTTCTCCGGCGAATGAGCACCTGCAATAATGAGTGACTGTGGAAAAGATTGGCACGAGTACAAGCTGGACGTATCAACTTGGAGAAGGGACGAGATGGAAGCGAGTGGTCGGTCTCTCGTAGCCATCATCGTGACAACTGCGCCTGGTTCCCTGTTGCCAGAAATCGATGCCGCCGGATGGATAAGAAAACGCCCAATTGAGACGCGCTTCTCTAACGCGATGCCATGGAGTCAACTCTAATGAAACACCCGTCTCCACTTTAGCACTTCCAATATTTCCGCCACTTTCTCAAATCTAAAACGACTTCTTCGTCCTTGCTGTGGCCATGTCCATTGAGCAAGCTGTCAGTAGCCCCTCAAATCACGTCCAGCAGGTGCGTAGCTGCATGAAACAGCAAGGGCGATGGGCGATGTTGCCTTTTCACGAGGGCCGAGCCGCCTCGTGATGGAAATGTCTCCCGAACTTAGATTGCCTTGTCCTACGGCTATGTGGCAGCCCGCCGACGCCCTGTCGTAGTGCTGCGCTATACAAGCACTCAACAGGGCCAAAATGGACCATGTACATATATTTTGGCCGTTCTGCTGAACATCTGCCGGCGCGTCTGAGTTGAGATCGTAAGATGAACGATATATTGACGTCAGCGAAAGTTAACACCCTTCGCGGCCAGAACGATGTTAATAATGATTCAATTGTTATATAGATTAGTGTTGGGCATATCCCCTATTGTCTGGTACATGCATAGATTGTCGCTACCAAATCTCCGTGTTGTACAACCTCGATATTCAAGCCGCAAATTCCACCCAAGCACTGCCACAATGGTGAAGAGCGAGGAAGATGTTATCAAGTAGGTGTTTTCGGGTAGCTCAAGTCGGAACACCGGCCCCTCTAACATGCGCTGTAGAGACTTCAATGCCACAGTCAACATGTCGGCTAAAGAGCTCGAAGACTGGCTGAAGGGCGACTCGTCCAAAGAGTCTGGTTGGAGCCACGACACTCGTTCTGGTGAGAGTGTCGGCCATGCTAGGTAAGGCTCTCCCAGTGACCTGTGGGAAACTCGTGTTGATCGTCTGAAGTGGGCGTAAGATTGTCGAGATCCTGAAGAAGAACCCTAAGAAGGATCCGTCCAAATATGACAAGGATGACATCTCTCACATGAGACGCGTTGCGGCCTACAACAAGCGACATCTGGCTCAAGAAGAAAAAGCCAAGTCGGACACCAATTCCAACAGTTACAAGTCGCTGAAGAACTGTACGTGGCCCTCGAACTCTGCGTCGAGCGGAAATCGATTCCTTTGTCCCGGGTCTGCCCCAGTGTACATCGTCGCTAACAGGTGTACCAGGGGGTCATGATGCTCTCAAGTAGCCTTTTATAGATGACCGAATATAAAGTCCTTGACAGCATCTGAGCCGGCGTATTCGGGGTTCAGCATCACACAAGTCAAGAAGTACGACAGCCCTTGCCGGCGTTTCTCCAGGAAGACGGGCCGAAACTTGTATATCGCGCTCTTCGGGGGAAGTGGTGGAAGTGATCGCGTTGTGTGGTTGGGAAAGTTCTTCGCCAAACGGTAGCGTAGATCGACAAATTCTGAATACCGTTTGCGAACCGTCATCGGTCCGCCGTCGAGTGTCTGAACCGTGCAATTCCACACCACGTAGGCACCTATACCCGTGGGGTTACCATTTACGATGACATATCCATCGATGGCTATCTGCTTAGCCCATAAAGCGCTCTGCGATGGTGACAGCGGATCCGTGCCATCGTTGTCTTCCAAGGAGATCGGCGGCGGACCCTGCAACGAGGACTGTGTCGCACTCGAAACAGTCCTCTTGTGCTGCCAGTAGGGCGGCGAAACGGCTGAGTGGCGTTTCGCTTTCACGTCCTCAGCCTCGGAAGTATTCAAGCTCTCCGTTGGCAGTGGCGTGGCTTGGTCATGCTCCATTCATGTGATAGAAGCTTGTACGAGCGATGCCTTAGTCGCCTGATGAGCTGGGCGTCAAAGATTCTGGAGCGATGCCATTTCATACAATCGAGACAGTTGTGGCAAGGACGTCTAGACGCGGTCGAGTACGTCGAAGAGTCAGCCGTTCATCCCAGCACAAGCCTTCTTTGCTAGACCCATTCCGGCCTAAGACCCACCGACACGCCTTATCGCGTTATAATAGCAGATGAGACAGTCCATCCTATCTCAGACCTCGAATCTGCATGGCTTCCGCGTCATTTGCATCTCGACGAGCAGACTCTGACGACATTGCGCAGGCACGAGGTGTCGATTGTGGCTACGTTGCTGGCATGCGAGATGCAGTCCGACTGAATACGCTTCCAGCGAATTGGCTCAGTGCGGGGAAGGAGCACTGCCCAAGGGGTACTACAGAGCACGAGGAAGGAGCTACTAGCACTGTCTTGATAGCTCTGACGATGATCAGTCACTCTTGCTCTTCATGTCTCGCACTTGCTGATGCCCTGATAACCGAAACAATGACCGAAGGTTGGTCGAAATCATCCCTTTGATCAACATCATGGCCAAGCCTACCGTTCTCATCGTCTGTACCCTCGATACGAAGGGCGAAGAGGCTCTCTATCTGCGTGAACAGATCCATCGCAACGGCGGAGGCGCAACACTAATTCTCGACGCGTCTCATACTAGCCAGAACGTTCAACGCTACCGAGAGTGGTCTGACGAGATCATCGCACCCTGTCTGGAGCATTCCCAGGAGCTATCGACGCTACCGCGTGGCAAGTATGTCGACAAGGCAATCGAGTTGTGTCTCCCTCCGGTCAAGGACCTCGTCGAGAAAGGACAAATCCATGGCATAGTCTCTGCGGCAGGCAGCACTGGCTCGTCACTGGCTTGTGCAATCATGCGACGAGCTTGTCCGATCGGCTTCCCTAAACTCATGGTGTCTACAATGGCATCGGGTGATATCAAGCCGTACATCGAGGAATCCGACATCACGATGATGTACTCTGTCGTCGACATTGCTGGCCTCAACTCGATCTTGAAGAGAATTCTGGGCAACGCTGCCGCAGCGATCGCCGCTATGACCAACGCCTATGCACAGTCCCTCACAGCCACTTCGCCGGGCACCGAATCGTCCAGACGGGTCGGTATAAGCATGTTCGGAGTGACTACCACAGCCGTTGAGCACATCCGGAAGCTGTTGAGCTCACCACCACACCAAATCGAAACATATGTCTTCCACGCGACAGGTGCAGGTGGTCGAGCCATGGAGAGGCTCGTTGATGAAGGCCAGCTTGATGCTGTGATTGACCTTACAACGACAGAAATTGCAGAGTAAGTCACACGGTCATGCGCCGACTGCCATTGGAAATGCAGGCCACATTGAGTGCGTCTCGGAGCCTATGTCCCCAGACCATGAAGCACTGCTTTGACTGCGCCTATGTTCCTGTCTCGACCAAGGGCCATTGTTCCGAGACAAAGCTGACGAGATTGTAGCGAGCTGTTTGGTGGTGTCCTGACGGCCGGACCTGACAGACTTGAGGCGGCAGCGCGGAAGGGCGTACCATATGTGGTATCTGTTGGAGGCAAGTCAGCCTTGAATTATCCGAGCATATACTGATCTCGTTCTCAGCTGTTGACATGGTCAACTTCGGACCGAAGGAATCCGTGCCCGAGCGATTTCGCGATCGCAATCTGCACTACCACAACCCTACTGTCACACTCATGCGAACGACAAAGGAGAACAATCTGCAGATAGGCAAGTTCATTGGATCGCAACTCAAGACACACAGCAAAGATCAAAGCAAAGTCAAAGTACTGCTTCCCATGAAAGGCGTCAGCATGATCGATGCCCCTGGTCAACCTTTCCACGACCCGGAAGCCGATACTGAGCTGTTCAATGCTGTCATTAGCGAGCTAGACGGGACCGACATTCTCGTCGAAAAGGTGCCCGACCATATCAATGACGAGAAGTTTGCTGCGCAGGTCGCCGAAGCTTTAATGACCATGCTGGATGTCGACGTTGACCCGAGAGCAAATCGCTTGGCAAACGCGAGACGCCGAAAATGGAGCTTTGACCACGGTGCAACGGTGAATGTGATCAGGAGAAGCAGTACGATGGAGGTCCCAACGGTCCTTGAGGACTGATCGAGAGTACTGTGGCGGTAAGACATCCCTCAGAAGGTGAGCTTTTGAGATCCAACCACGCACCATTTCCATCCGCACCAGCAGAATAGCAACGCCTTCAGGAACAATTCGGTCCCCTCCAAAGCAGATTCAGTCCATCCGGTTCATTTAACTCACTCGCATCACTAAACCTCCCAGCGTTGTCCTGATCGCAGAGTTCAAAGTTCTCCTCTTCCTCGTCTTCTGCGTCCTGGACTCTGCTTCAGCTTTCTCGAGTACTGTCCTGCCGTCGTCTGCATCGTCTCCCACGACTCGGCCGTCGCTGGCTGCATAATGACCCCAGGCAACCACTTCACAATTTCAGCTCCTTCAGCTCCGCTCCGCCCAGTGACTCACAAACATTGCTTGGCAACATATGCGCTTCTAACATCAGGGTGTATCGTCCTGCCTCTTCTCGTCTGAGGAAGGGTGGAGCGGATTTTTCTCAGCTCATTGCACCGGTTCCATCTCGGCTATAGTACTATTGCAAGTCACGAACCTTACGCGACACCGCGATGACGATGGAGACTCCGCAAAATCAGATGGAAGTGCGCAGCAGGAAGCCGACCTGCCTTATTGGGCGATTGTTGTGTTTGGGCGGAGCCTCACGGTGGACGAAGAGGGTGGAGCGGAAATCTGCTCAAACCACTTTCACATTCAGCTCCCACCATTTGTGACTCACATGTTCGTCCTCCGCTGACATGTGATCCTCAACCAGAGCTCTATATAACCATGCCCTTCCCTCACTCTCCTCAGAGATTTTCTTTCCTTCCTTTGTACAACATCTGTCGAATGATATTGCCATATTTCAAATTTGCCATACTTGAGCATTGAGATATGTTGGTATTTGAAGTCATATGTGTGTGCACCATCGTCTGGCTTTGCTTTGCAAAGCCTTCGGGGGTGTAATGTTCTCCCTAGATGGTCACCTGCTGCAACGGTCGTCCCTTCTGTAGTCCATGTATTGTACGTGCACATCGCCTGCTCATTCCTGCGGACGAGCCGAAAGGCAGTCGTCCGGCGTGATCATCCAGTGCTATGTCGTCATTACAACGATTATTGCCATCCACGGTCTTCCTCCTCTCCATCACGTCGGTCAACTCGCTCCTCGGACTTCGTGAACCATTGAAGCCAGAAGTAAACACTGTTCACACATACACAGCGCAACAGACATCCAACATACTCTTCTACAACATGGCCCCTTCCCGCACCGACCTCCTGGCCACCTTCCGCCAACAGATCACCAATGGCCAACCCATCATCGGCGCCGGTGCCGGCACAGGCCTCTCCGCGAAATTCATAGAAGCCGGCGGCGCAGACCTCATCATAATCTACAACAGCGGCCGCTTCCGCATGGCCGGCCGCGGCTCCCTCGCCGGCCTGATGCCCTACGGCGACGCCAACGCCATCGTCGTCTCCATGGCCTCCGAGGTCCTTCCCGTCGTCAAACCGACTACGCCTGTGCTAGCGGGAGTCTGTGGCACAGACCCGTTCCGGCTAATGCCGCAGTTTCTACGGCAGTTGAAGGAGATGGGCTTCGCGGGTGTGCAGAATTTTCCGACGGTGGGGTTGATTGATGGGACGTTCAGGGCGAATTTGGAGGAGACGGGGATGGGTTATGGGAAGGAGGTTGAGATGATTGCGGAGGCACATGAATTGGGGCTGTTGACGACGCCCTATGTGTTTAATGTGGAGGAGGCGGAGGCGATGACGAGGCTGGGGCCGATGTGCTGGTTTGCCATATGGGACTTACGACCAGTGGGAGTATTGGGGCGAAGACGGGGAAGTCGTTGGATGATTGTGTGGGGCTGATTCAGGATATGAGGGATGCGGCTGTAAAGATCAATGAGGAGATCATTGTCTTATGTCACGGTGGGCCGATTGCTGAACCGAAGGACGCGGAGTATGTGCTTGGGAGGACGAGGGGGGTGCATGGGTTTTTTGGGGCGAGTAGTATGGAGAGGTTGCCTGTCGAATTGGCGATTACGAACATCACGAAGGACTTCAAGGGCATCAAATTCAGCATTTGAGATCAGGGTGCATACCCAAGGTAACCGAGATCCTTCGAGCGGATGTGGAAGGATGAGAGGTGACAACCAGCCAGATGCAAGCCGTATCATGTGACGCCACAGACTAGGGTTTCAACGAAGATGTTGTTCAGGGAGTAGCCATGCTACATTGACAGTGCAGGCAAATCTGCCGGAATACTTACGCCTTGCCGACATTCATCAAGGCAACGCGAGGAAAACAGAATTTGTAAGTCGAGATTTATGACCTCAAGTCAAGCAACGCGCAAGACGTCGTCGCACGGCACATTATCAGGCTCGCCGTGAGACTGTCCATGCCCTTGGCAGTCCGGACGAGTCGATGCCGACTGGCGCGAGCGGCAACGAGGACGGGCCAGCGATACTGTCCGCAGACTGTCTCCAGAGTACAGGACCGAGAACTCACGCCTTCGCCGTGCCAGTCTCAATTCCCGACATAGCTGTGTTCTCAGCTCAAGCGGATGCGGTATCCGAGCAGGCATTGGCTTGTTGGCTGTCGCAAAGCCGAGAGTCCTCAATCTTGTGATCACAGCACCAAAAGAGCTGTGGTGCTTTTCACTTGATACTACTACAATGGATGGACGATACTCGCTGAGCGATCTCAAGAAGCCAATGCGTAATTGTACATCTCTGCTGTTGCCAACCACCGCAGAGGTGCGTCAAAGGTTGATGGCACTTGCGATCATAGGTCTGCTGGAGTTGCTAGGTACGGGCAGACTCAGCCCAAGGTTGTCTAGTTGTACAATTATTCGAGAGAACTCTGGCAGTCGCAAGTGAGTCGGCTTTGACGAGGCCAGTTGGATACGAACACGTCGGAGAAAAGCATTTAATTCTGCCTCCCTGTCGGAATCTTAGCCTGCATGCATAGGGTGGGACAGGTCTCAATCCCAGCGGGCGACCTGGCTGTCCCTCGGTACAACAAACAGTATCTTCAGTGGTCTTGTTAGGGACATGCAACGTTCAGCGAGGGTAGTCGATGCTCATCGACTCTGCCTCACTCCTGCTCAATTTTCGTTAAAGAAGGAGGGAGGGCAAGATGTTCAAAGTTTGAAGAGAATGGCCGGCTCCGCCCCCACCAAGGTTCCTCTGGAATACGAAGAAGCTTCGACCATCCCTCCTGCCAAGACGTCGTCTTAGCGAGGCTTGACTCTTAATGAGATTGCTACCTTCCCGTCCACCTACGAACATTGCTTGCAGAGCCAGAGACTTGCCAGGTACGGTCTCATCCTGCGGCTCGGTCACACTCCATCAGAGCACTAAAACTCATGGGATTGCGCTCATCGTAAGCTTAGTGCCTAAACACGTATCAATGGAGACGCAGGAACTCGATACCTGCCGCGCTCATGTTCGAACTGGTCTACAGATTGGCAACCGAGTTCTCGGGAAAGGGCAGGCTCGATGGCTTTGCGACTTGCCTCCGATTGGGCAATTGACCCGAGAACGAACATTTACGCAGGCCATGAATCTATTATTGACCTGATCTGCATCTGACCAGGGACTATTCACTACTGCTTCGCTCTAGGGTTCGACATGGCCCGCATACTACCCTGCACAGGTTAACAAGGATGAGGATCAATTAGCTAAGGTACTCCAGCTAATATCGCATTCACGTATCCCGCCTACAAACCCACCACTCACGGCGGATCTGATCTGAATTAAGTGGCATGACTGGCTCACTGCTAACATACCAGGGCCAAAGTAGAGGCTTTCCCCGTTGCACCGCTTCCGGTTGCGGTTCCCCTCCACTAGTCCTCTCTTGTCGCGAATCGACCTCGACAGTGGTGGCAGTGAGTACATTTTCTCGACCGCTGGCTCTTGGCAGACCAGGGAGTCCGTCCTATCGCCACTGCACGCAGGCCAACATGGGTCCAGCCTTACCCGTATTTGCTGCAAGCAATTGGTCTCGGTCTCAATGCGCCACATGTCTCTGGATGCAAGGCAAATTGCTTCCAAAGAAGTGGCACTGGTGGGTGGGCTGCAAGAAGACAAAAGGCACGGTCTCGGACAATGTCATGCTTGCGACCACATCTTCATCGTCCAAAGATCAGCGTTGACACCCTTCGCTCTCAGTCTCTGTTCGTGACTTACGCTCGTTTCACGCTATCATCGACCTGCCGTGAGGCATTCCAGTACGCTGAGGCACCGCACAACAACACCACTGGGATCTCCGATCGGCATTGCTACCAAACACACAGCGATGCTCTGTCTCTCGTCAATATTGGGCTTCGCTCTCGCCAGCCTTCTCACGCTGAGCAACGCCCAATCCGAACCAAAGAAACACATCGCTGCTGACAGTGCGGGCCAAGGTGGTTACTACCGCTTTCCCACCACGCCCGCCGCCCGGTCTCTTGTGCTTGCGCGTACTGTACCTCTCATGTCCATTCCTGGCTCCAAGGAGAAGCGCCAGGACTCCTGTACCGGTTCGTCCTCATCCACCTGTATCTTTGACTTTATGCGACCCAGCTAAAAAATCTTTGCGCGCGACAGGCACCTGTGTGGAATGTTTCGGCTCCGGCTACACGCTCTGTCCCGGCTCGTCTGCTCATTGCTACCTACCCGGCGACTCGAATTACGGGCTAGACACATGCTCCCCAACGTCCTCAACGCCGACAAGCGACACTGAGTCAAGTAGTCGCCCGACTTCGACTGGATCTGCTGGGAACAGCGATTTCTGTTTTGGCGCGAGCGCGACCTGCGTAAGCTGCTTTGGGGCGGGATACCTGGAGTGTGCCGACGGGATAAATTGCTATAACCCGAGCGGTAAGACTTTCTCTACCTCTCCCTACCTCTCTGTCCGTGTTGAAATGGTACGACCAGAGCAGTGGTGTGGCTGATTCTACCGGTGAAACACAGATCCAGAGTACGCCACCTGTCCAGACGACTCGGACAGCTCATCCTCCTCGTCCTCTTCTCCTTCCTCTTCGACATCATCAGGCATCGCAAGCACGACCTCCTCCTGTGAAGAACTCCACGGACCAGGCAACATCCCTTGTGCTCCAGACGGATGCTACAACCCGGACGAGGACGAGGTATGTTGTGCAGATGGCTACTACTGTGATGAGGGCGAGACATGTAGTACTGTTGTCGGGCAGTGCTGTAGTCCTGTGAGTCAGAGCATCGGCCTTTGTCGATATGCTGATCTCGTTGAAACGGCTTGCTAATCATAAGAACCAGAACTCGATCCTCTCCGGCTGCAAAGGCTCCTCGGGCGCAAGCGGAAGCGCAGCCGCGTCGTCATCGGTGGCGTTCGGCGCGACAGGCACGCGGGCGACGACTTCGTCAACGCCGACCACGTTCTCGGCTACCTCAGACCAGGCTTCTGGCGCCGATGCGATGGTGGCAGGCCTTGACGTACTACTGGTGAAGGTCGTGGCCGCGCTGATTGGTGGAGCTGGATTTTTGCTGGTCGCTTTGTGAGCTTGGCCGTTGAAGCGAGTATAAAGAAGAATCTCAACAAAGGGGAGATTGTTGCAACAGAAGTGAGAGATTGTTGCAACAGAAGAAGGAGCGAGAGGAAGCAGCTAGGATGAAGCAAAGTGGCTGGACGGGTGAATCTTGTCTCTACCTACCTATTGAATAAACATCCCCCCGTCAACTGCTATGATTTTGTTATGAACGTAACCGGTCTTGACGATCCAAAGCACCGTCTCTGCGATCTCTTCTGGTTTGCCAAGACGGCCGATTGGAATTTCTACCAAAAGTAGTCAGAGTCAGCATCCCGTTATCAATGTCATGTCCTGAACGTCGGGTTGAATGCGAACTCACTGGCAGACAACTCAGCTGAAGCACCAGGCAACATCTTCGTCTCCTCGATCAGAGCAGGCGCAACACCATTGATCGTGAGGCCATTCTTGGCATATGCGCCTGCCAGCCAATGCACCAGGCCATGCAATGCTGACTTGGATGAGCTGGCAAAGTGGCATTCATCAGCAACGAACGTGTCGGGAGAGAACTGTTGCAGTCGAAACTCACGCATAATGCGGTCCCACAACTGCCAAAGTTGATTAGCTTTGTCTCGGGAAAAGGGCGTATGCTCGAAGATAGGGCTGTAAGGTCAACGAGAGAACTGCTTTGTGATTCCGAGACATATTCTCAGGCAGTCTTCTAAGTAACGCTCATTTCCGGACACAGGTGTGCCCATGGGAGAGGTACTTACGACCGCCCGTGAACCCCGCGACACTACTGCAGAAGACCACCCGTCCGAACCCCCTCTCCACCATAGCCGGCACACACAATTGAGTCAAGAGGTACGCACTCCCGCAATTCGCGCGCCAAGTCGCCTCAAATTCCTCCACACTCACCTCACCAATATCCTTAACCCCAGACTTACCCAGCGTGAGTCCCGCATTATTGAACAGGATAGTTGGGTGGCCGAGTTCTTTGATCACCGAGGCATGCAAGCTTCGAGCGCCGTCGTAAGAGGAGAGGTCCGCCTGGAAGCTGGCGGCGCGGACACCAAGGGATTTGATCGACTCTACTAGTTCTGAGGCTGTGGATGATGCGGTGTTGTAGTGCACGGCGATGGAGCAGCCTAGTTTCGCCAGCGCGAGACATGTTGCTTTGCCGATACCGCCTGTTGCTCCTGTGACTAGTGCTAGATGGGGGGAGAGGTCTGTGAGGACTGTCATGCCGGGCGACCAACTCAGAGGATACGAGATAGTGTCGCAAACATGTAGGTGCAGCCAATTCTGGAGCGGTTCAAACGTTCACGTCATGCCGTATTCTCCAGGATGATCGCCGTCTTACCTAGCCGCATTTATATATCCGAGGTTGGTCTTTGCCTGTGACTCTGCTTGCTGGGCACCGGTAGCATCGCTAAGCTTCCGCAGCAACTACAGTCTCCAGGGAAGTCGACATGGAAGTAGGGACTTCTTCTCAAGGCGCACGCCCCGTGCAGGGAGGCTCGGCGACAGTCAGGACTCAGCAGGAAAACAGACGGCGGGTCTTATATAAGACCGGTCGACTAGTGGGACGTTTCAACAGACCGGATGACGCGAAATGCCTAGCGAAGCCGGATGACTCGTAGTTGCTTGCTGAAACCGGACGACTAGCTTCATGCTCTGAGGCCGGATGACATGATTGACTGATTTCATTTCTTCTTGCCTGTACAGCAAGCTCATGTGCTGGCCTTGCGCTTCTAATAAAGCATTCATCTGTGCATATTCTCGTTATCGATGGTAATCGTCTCGACTATCAGGAGCCCCACAGAGCCCGCCTGGTTCGACTTCAGGCCTCAAGGGTATCATCAAAGCCACATGTGCAGGGTAGAGTTCTCGTGGGCATCCTATTTCCCACTTCTGAGTCCCCGCCCTCCTAGGCCGCCACTGCCACCGCCTCCACCAAGACATAGCCACCACCAACCTTAGCACTCGTCGAGTCCATCGACCAGCCGTTTTCATCCTCCCAATCCAGCGCCGAAGCACCTTTCTTCTTGCTCGGAGTCGGCGCTTTGGTCTCCAGTCCGGCGTTAGCCATAGTGATCCGCATGAGCTTGAGGTACGCATCTTTCGTGAAGTTGTCGAGTGTGCGCTCGGCCTCTTTATACGTATCGACGCGCGCGTCTGGTTTGCTGACAACGAGCAGATTCTTCTCCATGTCGAGACGAGCGTTCAGCTTTCCTTCTTCGATCAGAGTGACGAGCTCGTCCAGTAGTGTTATTGAGATATGTGTGACTCCATTGGTCGTGGCGGCGTTGTTGGTGGTCGTCTTGACGGCAGCTTCCCCGAAGACCTTCTCCATGTTCTCCAGACGGACACTGCCGAAAGGCTCAAAGTATTGCACGATGCTCTTCTCCCGAACTCGGCGGTAGAGTCTATCGACGTGGGGCTGAAGGTAGAGATCGAGGAGGTAGTCGTTGCGGTATGATTCGAGGATTTCGAGACATTGGGTGTATTTGCAGGCCACGAAGAAGCTGGTGGCTCGGCGGATATGTGGTTCGAGTTCGAGGAAATTGCGGAATGAAGGGTTGTCGAGCACTCTGGCTTGTAGCTCGGAGCGGGACATGGTTGCCAGTGCGCATAGGCCGCCGTAGACTGCGATGTCGTTCAGCGTCATGAACTTTGTGAGGATCTGGCCGAGTTCGCTGATGGCGGGATCGCAGCTCAGGAAGAGAAAGGCGGCGTCCTTGTACTCCCCATTGCACATCCGCTGCAGACCATTAATGGCAGTGACGATGCGTTGGTGGCGTGACTCCTCCGGCTTCATCTGTAGAGCTTGTATCTTGACGACCTGAGATTGGACGGCCATCCAATTGCGCTGCTCGACTGCGACATCGATGATATGGAAGGCAGTCTGTGAGATGTGCGCGGGGGTTGTGCAGAAGTCTCGCATGCGGCCGAAGGCTTTGGAAGCGTTAATCAGATCACCAAGATCTTGGTAGTGGATGCCCAGGTCCTCATTACCCATCTTCCCTAGAGTATCAGCAATATGCCACGGAGATTCACAGGACTGTGCCAACCTACACGTATGCTCTCTTTGATGAGGTTGTTCTTGTAGCCCTTCAACTCATTCTCTAGCCGCTGTGTCTCCTTCGCATTCTTTTTCTCTACGTCGACCGCCCAGCTCGTGTCTAGCAGGTTCTCGGTGTCGCGATAGTTGGGTACCGTTTGCAGTAGCTTGATGGCTTCTTCGAGATTGTGTAGATCGGAGCCTCTTCTTGCCTCCCGGATTGCAAGTTTGGCCGCCTCTTCGCGCAGCGGGGGACAGCATGCGCCTATGAGATACAGTCGTCTGAATACTGTTCTTCCTGGAGACAGTGTCAGCGGTTGCGCGGAGAGACGTTCATAGATCGTGGCGTACCTCGATAGTTGCTGATGTATGATGTCAATTCGAACTTGGGCGCCTCTGTTTCACGGTCAGTATCTCGAAGTCTCGGAGCCATATCTCTCTCTCTCTGCATACCATTGACTGTGATCGTGGAAGACGGCGGCGAGGCAGGCGTCGCTCCAATAAAGTCGGCCATATCGGACGATGACCTCTGGAAAGGCTACGACTTCCAAGACTTGCCAGTGAGAAAGGAATATCCGCTCATGACGATACAGACTAAACACCAGTACGCCAGAGATGCGAAGTTATGAAACCGAATGTTGAACACTTCTAGACTAGAGAATTGAATGAGGCAACATCACCTCACGTTGAAGAGCACCACTGCACGATGCCAGTGGAGACAGAATTATCCCCGCTATTTCTCCACTCTTGACGCCTGAAGATGTCGATCTGACGCCTATTCAATTTCACCTGAAAGCATTATGCGATATCGTCCCCTGGGTCTAATGATGGCAATCAGACTCAGCAGGCAGCAGATGAACGAAGAGGGCTCAAAAAGAATGATTAATGAGTGCTTCCAGGCTGCTGGTTTGTGTTCACTATGTGTACATATATTACTTCCATCGCAGAATTTGTCTGGGGTATCAATGAACTGAATGTGGTGGTCCAAGTAGAGACCTGCTCAAGCCATCAACTCATCAATATCGACAGGCGGCGAATAGTCGTCCTCCGGCACGTACGGCCCTCGCTCCTCCTCTGAAGCACCATGGAACGCTTCTGCTCTCTTCATGGTCTCAATGTCCAAATCAGTAACGTAGTTCTGGCCATCGTTGTACGCCAGCCTGACCTCGTTTGACCGGTCCAGCATCATCTCGTCTTTGACAAGTCGCCTGGGGCCATCGTAACACACCATGACTCTCTTCTTCATCGTGGTCTTGTCGGGTGACATGCCCCACGATGGAGGGTAATTACTTCTCCTTTGCTTCTTCTTTGCGACAGCTGGCTTGACACCGCCTTGTGACCATGTGAAGCCCTTCTTTCGAATGCCTCCGGAAATTACAACTCCTTGCTTCTTGGCTGGCCGTACGGTGAATGAGGTGCTCTCGTCTTCATCGTCGCTATCGTCCTCATCCTCTTCTTCGTCCAGCTCCAGATCGACTGACTCCTCCTCGGCCTTGATTGAGTGGCGTTCAAGTGTTGCCATCAGCTCCGGGTTTGCCTTCACGGAGGCCATGTGCTTCTGATTGATCGCTTCGGTGGGCTCCTCCTGCTGCACGACCCGCATCACGCACTCGTCCAGATGCTCGTAGAAGTCTTGCGCATTGTTGAATGTCTCCTTACACGTCGAACATTTCCCAGTAGCATCTGCGCAATAACTTGAAAGCTTCTTGTTCGATGAGCCCGAGGGTGACCGCTTCCTGCTGTTTGGGGGCGCTTGCTCCACTTGGTGCACTGAGCACAGATGTCTCTTGAAGACATCAGCGCGATTGAAGCTCTTCTCGCTAGGTGTGCCTGAGCCAGGACAGAATCCGCACACCATCGTACCTTTGTAGTGCGTCAAGGTGTGTCTGTTCTTGTCGTACTTGCGCGCGAACCCTTTCTTGTGGTACTCGCACGTCGTAATTGGGCACTTTTCAGGCCTTTCGGTTTGGTGCGTGAGCATGTGCGCTTTAATGTCCTTGTACGATTTGCCGCATTCTCGGCACAGTCGGTTTGTCCCATCCTCGAATTCGGACTGTGGACTTGGGTGCGTCATACCTGATGAGTAATATGAACCCTGTGACGGTTGTCGTAGCATCTGACTGTGAGGAAACGGCGCATAGATGCCAGGATGCGTAACTTGTGTGGTGAATTGAGGGTTGTAGAAGGCTGGCGAAGCAGCTGGAGATGGCATCGGTGAAACGTGGCTGTAGCCGTTGGCGTATCCTGACTGATCTGGGTAGCCGATAAGTGATGGATCTGTGTCAGACAAAGTTAGCACAAGATTCGAGAAGATATGGGATGCGTTCGATAATGCGATCAACAGTAAGAAAGAATAGCGGAACATGCATGAACAGGGGAGAAGGAAAACGGACAGTTGGAATTGACGGGCATGTAGCCGCTCGGGCTTTGCCCAAAGTATTGCGCTTGGAAGGAGGCGTCGGATTGAGCCAGGGAAAATGCATTGCACTGGGCATAATGAGGTTGTCCTCCGTCATTGTATATGCCGTTCGACATGACATTTCGTGAGGATTGGGGTGATGAGGTGGTGGGAGTTTTGGGGTATGCGGATGCTGGAGTAGAAGGAGATTTGAATTTTGAGGGCATGGGATATTGTTGCGGCGAAGGTGTATTTGAACAGGAAAGAACACGTGTGGTCGTGCAACTTGTGGGTGTGTTTGCCAAGGAAGCAGAGAGTTGAGCGCTTTCAAGGTCGGACATCGAACAAGCTTTGGCATGTTGTGCTTGCGCAGAGGAAAGACGTGACTCACCAACGGAACCATCGAGCTTCTCAAAAGGCATCGGAACCTCAGAGGAATAGTCGACTGTACCGTCCATGGCGAAAGCGTCTTGGCTAACAATCGCGGGCATACCGGTCATCACGCCTGTGTCGTAGAGGTAGCTCTCTTCCTGAGAGTACTCGATTGAAGGACCAGAATATGGCGAGCCAACTGTGGATGACGAGCCGCTTCGGATGGATCCGTTGGACGCGCTCAAGCCCGGCGCAAAGTCGTGCTGGTACGCGCTGTTGCTTGATGTTGTCCGTGTCATTTGAGGCTTTACACCAGCATGTTCTGACGACGCGAACCACAGTGATTCGTCTTGTTGTTGCTGATAGTGCTGTGGATAATATTCCATGTCGATGGTCTGGTAGTCCTCGAGCTGATATTGCTGCCCAAAGAAAGTGTCGCCACGAGATTGCTCGACAGCGAGCATTTCAGCAGCGAGCGACGGGTACAGACATGAGAGATAAGTGCAGATGAGGCAGGTACTGGGGCTTGGGCAGGCGTGTGGTTTTGTTGTACCTTGAACGATAGTGTGTGCTCGGTTGTACCAGAGTGGGATGGTCGATAAGGGAAAGACCTAACACGAGTTCGTGAGGTCTGGACCCCGATTTGGTTGTTGTTGATTCGAAAGGAGGAGAACCTATAGAAAGGCTGGCTGAGGGGTGCCGATCGCTACTACTTAAAGTATGGTACAGCTGCGGGAGCCGTAGCGATGCTGGATTGGCGAAAGACGGAAAATGGTCGGTTCGAGTGAGGGGTTGTGGTAGATGAAAAGGGTGGGTGAGTGAGGCTTAAATCAACTCAGGTTGGGAGTAAGTTGGGTCAGGTACGACAAGTGCTGTTGGGGGACGAGATGATGGTGTGGTGCAGTAGTACCGATATGGTGAGATATGATATGGTAAGAAGGCAACCTGTTGTGATGATGATGTTCAGTCGGGGGGCGAAATCAGATCATAAGTACGAATGAGCATTCATGTTATGAGAGCACGAGTTGACCGCAGCAGTTATCAAGGCCGCGTTAGAACATGACCCCAGAGAAGCGAAGGGAGCCACTTTGAGCCCTACGGTGTCCCTGGGTTTGCGCTAGCTACTAGCGCATCTCCATTTCCTGACTATTCTGGGTGCCATGACGGCAAAGGCAAAGTTCCGTCATTACAGCTCCGTATCGTCGACCGTGCCTCGCGCTAGTCCTCGGAGTGGCCTACTTGCTCCATAGCGATCGCTGATTCGTCGGCGTGCCCGAGCACTGCTCCAATTCTACGATCTTTACAGTCGGACAAAATTATTGAAGTACACACCACCACATCAGTCGCACGAACCCTCTCCTCCGACTTCCCAACCTCTTCGTGATCACGACGGAGGAAAGGCAGCACCGGATCTTCCCACCAAGATTAGCATTTGACTTTGCTGCGGTAAATGGCAGCGGTTGATGCCGTTGAGGTGTGAAAACAACTCAGTCGCACTCGTACCTCGTCAACCGTGCAAGAGTTGCTATACCGGCAGAGGCGTAGCCAAAGTTCCCTCCGTATTCATCACAGGGGTTGCATTGATGAAGAACTGTGGCAGAAACATCATGACCTGGCTGCCACGTGGAGGATGATGCAAGGAAGACTAGACGCACTAGGCTTTGTTGAGGAGGTCCACGCCATATGCGACAACGACGACTTGTCGGTAGGGAAGACTTGCCGCAACGGGTTTTGACTAATCTCAAGTCGGGCAGAGCTTTGGACTCCCCGAGATGAAGAGGGGCACAGCTTGAGCGAATCAGACTCGGGTTAGGGCATCGTCGCCTGCAGAACATGTTCTTTTGAGTTTCCGGCATCACGGCTTCTGATCAGACCAGGTCATTACCGGTCAGAACGGACATGAGATGGACCCCGTTCGTGTAGGTCATGTGTGATTGGTCTTTTCGTATCTTTCATCGACCTGCGGTGACAGGATGCAAGCGAAGACCCACAACCTCGCACTCCGGTGCCCTGATTAGCTCAGATTCTTGTTCGTGGCTGGTGTGAGGCGCAGCCGGACTTCGGATTGGCTGTCTGCGGAGGTGGACAGGACTTTTTGACCGCTTGCCCAGCGATCACAGCCTTCATCTGTGGCGTCAGTTCTGAGGAAGCTCCTCTCTTCACCGTGTTTTAGGCGTGAGATCTTCTCATGACATTGTGCTCGCGCTGCAGCGGCGCGTCATTGTGATCTGCTTGGACGTTAAGGTCCCACTCATGGATCCGCTAAGGCACTTGACGATGCTTCCAGTCTCTAATCAGAAACTACGACGTACGTTAAGCACCTTGATCCGTGGATGTTTGCTCTGACGAAAGCCATGTTGGCATGTGCTTGTGTAGGTGCCTTTGGCTAGTCATCGTATTTTATAGAATGGCCAGGACTATCTGGGCAGCTCGGCATGATCGATCATGAATTGTGGTTGCTCACACACTGCCTGTCGAAACTCATGGAGTCATGGACCAAGAAGTACAACCGGCAAGTTCCTAAGTTTCAACGTCCTCGACCCCTCACAAGAGCCGCATATGAAGCAGGCTTGGACGCCTACACATAGAGCAGATTTCCTGCCTATGCGCTTGGAGATGACGCTTCTCAGACTCCAGTTTCCAAGAGCCTAGTCAAGTAGAGTGATACGTGTATGGTGAGATATTTCCCATCGCGGAGGATAATTGAGTAATAGTCGATGGTACTGTGTCATCTGTAGATACAAAAGTAACAAAGTAGTTCAAGAACTATGGGGCCAGCATTTCATCGCGGTTGTCAGCAAGATGCAGAAGTCCAATCAAATCGGCAGGCGCAGCTGGTGCCCGGAGACAAGTTCTACCATGGTCCACCACCACTGCATGGTCACCTTTGAATGGGTGCACTCGCAGCCCCCACCTGAGTGACTTCGAGCCTCTAAGTGGCTCGTCACTGCCCGTTCACCTCACCTCCTTCATCAAAAATTATCACTGATCGCAAAAGACACTGTCCTTTCAAGCGCGTTTTGGTCGCTTGAGGCAAACATCGACTTGGCTGTCAGTGGTCGCAACCCCGGTGAGTTTCTGTTGATGGTGGTGCACTGTTCATGAGCTCCAGCAGCCTGACAGGAGCAAATATACCCGAACCCAAAAATGCTGCAGTCTACACCCAAAGTTGACCATAGGCTCTGCAGAGGAGCTGCAGTGTGTAACACGGAGCACGGCGTTAATGTACCCAACACGATCACGATCATTTCGAAAGGGACACGGATCGTTGTGCCTGTGCCAGTGCACCGGTTCTTCAAATCGCGAATCGCAGTAAACCAGGCCTCCCTTGGGTGCCAATACGAACACGGGAGTCCTTCTGTCAGTCTGGGAGCTCGTGTCTTGAACCTGGCGCAGAGCAGGGCAGCAATAATGCCACGTTTCTGCCCTGTCGAAGTCCTGCAGCCCTGTGTACAATACGGGCTTCCCAAAAGACCTCGAAGTGCCCCTCACCGCCAAGTCACCATCACGAGCGGTGGCTTACCTGGGAAGACGAGTCGATTACAGTCTGGACCATCTTGAATGCGCACTTGGACTTTTCCTTATCGTTCCCCGTCTCAATAGGAGTGTTTGTGGCTCTGCTGTTACCCACCTCGAAGAACAGACCAATGACCTTTCCCAACGACTAAACTCTGATCTCGTAACTCTCTGAGTATAGTTGTTTCCGTTCGTCCCGCCAGCTTTAGATCTGTATGCTAGACGAGTCAAGTATGCAAAGCTTGAATGGAATACAGAATCATCCAGTGCTCTTCTTCGCCGATGCAGGCAACAACTCACTCACATGTTCATGCTGTTGTATCTATGCACGGCAAGAAACCCTTCATCAAAGTTTGGAGTCTGGAGACTTAGGCAGCTTTACTGGAGCGACCCCGTCCCTCCAACCCCACCCCTCTAAGGAGCTTTCATCCAACATCTTCATGCCAGACGCTTCACAGACTTTGATCACGACACTGCGAACGGCTTTGACCTCCTCCTCCGTCGCACCGTTGTTCAGTGCTCCAACAAGATGCCCCTTCAGTTGTGGATTGACGTCTTGTGGTATCAAGCTAGCCAGAACCACTATCAGGAGTCTCAGTCTCGTGCCAATCTTTATGCCTGAAGCAGTAGTCGAGCGAGGGCTGCGTGTTACTTACCGTATGATGTCTCTGGGGCATTCAAGATCCCCACTGGACTCAGGACGTAGCCATACTCCAGTCGGGCAAGCAGTCCAAGGTCTTCGGTACCGGAGTTATCCATCTGGCCCATGACCCGTCCCGTCACCTTGCCGTATACTTGATCGAAGAAGCTCTGGCCCCTTTGCAATATCTGCGAAACGGGTGTCCTGTACATATCGTCTGTCCTATTGGTGGGTGAAACACCCTTTCCATAGGTCGGTTCATCGAAAAGGTGTTTGGGTGTCACACCTTTCAACGCGAATAATGCATTAATGGTCTTTGGCAAGCCGATGATCGCGGCAGACTTGACCAGAGCTTCACGTGTGCGCCGGGCAATCTGAAGCTGCTCATCCTGTGACGGCTTGACGTCCTTCGCCCCGCCGCCGTGCTCGAGAGCGTGCTGGAAGACCTTCGGGATCTCGTCTGGCCGATTGAGCGTCGACAGTGCTGTTGCTGCTAGTATGTACCAAGAGTTTTGTGGTAGCCGAGGGTAAGACCTAATTGCCGAGAGCAACGACGGCGTGACGACTGCCGGCAGTCCCATCGTAGGAGCACTTTGTGTGTGAGCCTAAGGCGCCGATGATGGTGGCAAGAATGGTATATGTGTCCCGCTCTGCGTCGTACCTGGCAGATGTCATGTCGCCGTTGATGCGTCTTGTCCATCATCAGGAGGGTCCTCGGTGATTGATCAAGGCCCGATGCGACGCGCATGCCCGGGGCCCCGGCCGTTCTCAGTCCATGTCCGGGCTGCTCGCCGTTGAACTCTGGGCACCCTAAAAGATCTGCAAGTCTGTGACTTTGTGAGCGCGACGACTGTTTGGAACCGCTCGACTTGCATCACCAAGATACAAATCATTATTCTCGTTGGGCTCGCCTCGATGAGCTCTGTACTACATCCTCCAAGATTTCGGTGGTCTACGATGCATGATGGCAGGTGAGACGGTGGGCAGTTCCTCTTCTGGCACTGCGACTCTCAGCAAAGCATCAATTGGAGTCTGCTCTAGTACGACGTGACTTCTCCTACATCGAGTCTGATGAGATGAGTCGTCCTGTCTTGCTACGCATCCATGCGCAAGCCACAACAGCGCATAGCAACGGATATCGCGCCGCCACACAACCCAGAGGAAAATATAGGACCTGGCATTCCTGGCGATGGCTGTGCCCTCCAAGTCCGCAGGCAAATTGACTTCACCGCATCAACTGTCCGTTTCGGGCTTCTTGTCTAAATTTACTATTAGCATCAGATTCATCGTGGAAATCGGGCCAGGGATCCCGTTGAAGGCTCAGAATTGTTTTGTAGGTCGACATGCAGGTTTCAGAGGAGGGTCACTTGAGTGTTACTTTGTAGTAACAGATTCATCATGAAAACCAGACCAGGGAGGCCGCTACAGCTGGATTCTTGTATTGGATGGATGTCGCATAGTTTCCTGACAGACATCTCCCTGGCGTGACAATCGGGTGACAGCACGACATTTTATTGAGAACGTCAAATCGATCACACAGAGTCCTCCTTGGCCTGTAGCGTTCAAGACAGAAATCCGCAAGGGTTTTGTCCCTTTCAGATCTCCTGCTTCTTCTTCTTCTTCTAGTTCTTCTCTGACTGCATTGTCTAGCGCCCAGACCATCGTACTCGGTCAACTACCCCAGACATGACGGCGGTCATCCCCTTCAAACATGGACTGGCTGGCTGACCTTTGATCGGTTGAAGAAGTCACAGGCAGCTTTTCGCCATGAAGAACACGTAAGTGTGATGATTTGGTCAGAGCCAGATACGTATTCTTGCCTACAGTGGCTACTTATGCAGATGCGACACTCCAAGAAATGCAGCAGACCCATGCCATGAGTATCAACGCCCGAATGTGATGTTTTAACGTCCAATTGGACATGCAGCCTTCTCTTTCTGTCCCTCACCGTCCCCATATATCGCGCCCTGCACGATTAGTCCTGCCGAATCGGCAACAACAACCCACCCTTCTCCTCCAATAGCGGTGTCCGACTGCCGACACTGATCACGTCCAACGCCTCCTCTTTCGACAGCTTTCCCTTGACCAGCTTCTCCACCGCACCCGTCAGTGACGCGCACACGGGCTCGACCTTCTCGCTCCACAGATGGCTGGCAGCCAGTATCGCCGCCATAGAAACCGTGGTCGCCACACAGCAGCGAAAGAAGCTGGGCACAGGGTAGCGCATATGCGAGACGAGGACTTCGCCTGCCCAGCCGTCGCCTTTCCAGCCGTCGCCTTTTGATTCGAATTCTTGGAATTCTTCCATTTGGGTACCGAAATGTAGGAGCCAGGCGAATAGGCTGCGCAGGAGGGTGCCGTGGAGGAGGTATATCGCGAAGCTGACCTTGCCGAGCCAGCGCAGAGGTGGACGGGACAGCAGATGGCGGGCGTGTGGAGAGATAATTATGCTGAGCAACAGGAAAAGACCGCCGATCGTGCCGTAGAGGCGCTCGATGTTCAGGTCGCCGAACGTTGTCAGCGCGAAAGACTGTAGGGACGCGGACCAGGGCGAGCCCTCGGGATGTTCGCTCGGGTAGGACATGAGAACCAGGGCGAATATAGCGATTGGAGGGCTGAGGTAAGGAGATATTGTTGTGAGCTGAGCAGGCGTTGCCGAGACAGAGGACTCGGCCATGATGATGCCACCGAAACAGGCGAGGCCGATGTAAGGGTCTAGCGTAACATGAGACCAGTTGACCGAGGACAAGGCGAGCAGACAGAGGGAGACCGTGCGCCAAAGGGACGTCATGTTTGCGGTGACGAGAAGGGCGATGATCGTCATGAGGCTGCCTTGTAGCAGGTAGATGATGGCCCATTGTGGTTGGTCATACTGATTGTCTCCCCCGAATTTCCATGTATTGATGAGGGCATCCCTGAGATCTCCGATGGCCGCAAAGATGTTGGGACTTGCGGCCGGAGTGTTCACCTGCAGCCAGAAGGCGTCGGAATGCCGAGCCATCTCGTAGAGTCCGAATTGGCAGATGAACCAGCTCCCAACGGTAGCAAATGTGGCGGGAAAGAACAGCCTGAAGATCCTGCTGAGCGACGAGGCCGCCAGCTTGCTGGCAGCAGTGTCGACCTGCTCATTTCTGATGAGGCTGATAGGTTTGAGCGAGTTAACGAACCCCAGCAGTATGAAGAAGACGGCAACCCAGGAATGTCCAGAAGCAAACAGCCGGAAGATGGGCCGCTGTAGCAGCTGCGGTTGCTCACTGCCGGGAGCACAGCATGGATTGACGAGGGCGCGGGCGTAGCACAGCACCAGATGCGAGGCAACGACGTACAGTGCGGCTATTCCGCGAAGTCCATCGGCAAACGCGGTGTCCTGCATCGTCCGCCGTTGCACGTCGGCATCGAGCCTGAGGTTGATGTTGTTGGCATTGGACAACGAGGGTAGCGTTGGTAGCGCAATCGGCCGGTTACGTGTCGCTAGCCGTGCTGCGGATCCATACATTCGAGCCAGCATCGCGGACGACTTTTCTGGTGAGATGTAGTTCTGGAGAAGACCCTTGGCTCCAAGATTTAGGTTCTATAAGGAATGTGCGTTGTTCAACTCCATCGGCGGCAAGTACAACCCAGGAGTGCAGCCAACCGTGGTCGCTGTTCGGAAAGAGTGATTATGCGAAAACGGAAGTAGCGATGCCAGCCCAAAATCGCTGCCCTGGGGTTGATGAAGCAGCCATTAACAGAATATTGAATCTTGTGGCGGGCGCTGCATGGGCTTCCTGAAACATCCCTTCAGGTGACGAAGCTTTTCCCCAAGCCCATAAAAAGACATCAACTTCAGGTACCGAGCCAATGACACGCGCTTCCGAACCCTTTCCAACACGACAGTAGTCAGGGGGAAACTTTGATCCATCCTCCTTACTAGGGTTTGTGCATATAGAGAGAACTGCGTCCTATCGTCCACGCGGCGAGAACGTTCATTCCTTCTCGAATCTATCGCATATAGTCCTCTGAGAGTGATGCAGGGTTCACCTCCCGTAGGCTCGGTCCAGAGATGTTGTCGGCTCCAGTCGTGCAATTCCCCTGGTGAGAAATTGTAACAATGCACTGCCTCCAGAATGGATCAGTGAAGCCGCCAACGCGTTTCGAACCACTTGGGCAACAAAGGCAGACGTTCTCCACTGACGCATATTGACATGACCTGTCACATGGAACGAAAGACAACTGATATATCGAGGTAAGGGATGCTGTCTACGTCACAACTAATAATGCCATGGTCTCCCCCAGGTACCGATCCGTTGATGGCTGAATACTCCTTACCTCGACCATCCGAACCGTGGACACGGGTCTTCGGCGTTTCTCATACTTGCCTCGGCGCATTCAGGCCTGCGCTGCACTTTATCAATTTTCGGGTCCAGGAGGGCGCTGAAGGTCTAACAAGCTTTTGATGGTCACGTCGGTTGGCTTGAGATCAGCCTCACTTAAACGTTGAGTATCTAGGAGTGAGGTACCAACAAATCCTAGCCAGGGAGGGCGCTGTAGAAGTTTGACCCAGATCAACAGCATCGAGAGTCGGAGAGAACGCCCGGCTCTCGCTCCCACAGCTTGCCGTCTCTGTGGTCTCTACAGCTCACTGTGGACAATCTCATCCTTCGCAAACTCTACACGACACAGTCGGCCATCTGCGCGCTCAACCCATCGATCACTCCCCACTCCCGTCCAGGCGTAGAACAGGCCCACCGGATCGTACTTGTCTTTGACTTTCAACAGCTCGTCATAGTTTCCACCGTAGAAATCTCTCTTCCACTCATTCTCATACGGACTCGCCTCGCTCAGATATGCACCCCCATCCGGCGCGACCTTCTTTATCGGCTCCAACAGCACGCTGTTCATGAAGTCATGCGCTTCAGCATACGAATGCTGCGGTACAGCAGCGGTGTAGTTGATAGGAACGCCGAGCGCAAGATTGAAGATCGTGCTGCGCAGTTTTGGGTTGACTGAGACTGGGTGGGCCGGCAGGTTGGCATTGAGGTTGTAGCTAACACCTGCGTTGCCGGCTAGGTTGCCGATGTGTAGGAGCGCGTCGATGAGCTCCTCGCTGGGCCCGCCGTCATTAGAAGTTTCGACCAGGGATCTGGGGATGAGGCGGCCGTTCATGTGGTAGTCGGAGGCGTTCCAGGTGCGCGGGACCGAGGCGAATGCGGACGGGTAGTCGGGATATGTGTTGGAAGAGTATTCGTATGGAAAGTCGAGCTCCTTCAGGCGGGCCCTGGTAGGCTGAAGCAGAAAATCGAGTTGCTGAGCTGTTAGGTCTGGCCCAGCAGCCGGAAAGATCATGAATGCGGTCGGGAAAAGAGCCCAAATGACCGTTACGCCGCTGTCGAGTGTGGCCGGGAGGGTGCTGAGAAATGTACGGAAGAAGGACTTGAAGGTCTTGGGGTCCCGGTTCGGTGGGCGAGTAACAGTAAGTAGGGCAATCGAGATAGGTGTCTCCGGATAGGTCTTGATCGTCATTGACAGCACCACACCGAACGTCCCGCCACCGCCTCCTGTCAGCGCCCAAAAGAGGTCTGCGTGGTCGTTATACGGCGTGATTGTCAGCAATTCTCCGTCTGCTGTGACCACCTCGAATTCGAGGACCTGATCGGCACCAAGGCCGTACTTCGAGGAGAGAATACCATGACCACCGCCTTGGACCCATCCACCAGCCAGAGTCACAGATGGACAATTGCCAACGACGACAACGCGACCGTGCGAATGCGCGAAAGCTTGTGCTTCTCCACCGCTAACGCCGGCACCAATCTTCATGGCGCCTCCGGCATAGGTCGAGGACTTGAAGGTCGGCAGAAGTTGTGTAGATTTGAGATGCAATGTCCACAACGCGAGAGCGTGTGCACCCGTCGACTTGCCCAGGTAGTCATGACCGGAGCTTCGTATCACAAGACGGATATTGTGCTTGCTCGCAAAGGCAAGAGTGGCTTGGTAGTCGGAAAGACCTGTCGCATTAACGGCATAGAGGACGTGGTTGCCGATCACACAGGGTGCCTCGGGTGGCGTGAACGGGTTGCAGCTGTCGTTGCTCCATTCGTATGCCATAGGCGACGAAGAAGATGGGAGATGCGTAGCAGGAAAGAACCAATTGTCGCGGAGTGTGGCACATTTCCCTTCATCGTAAGTCGAGCCATGGCAGACGGAGGCGATCGGCACAGTCCGGATCAGTCTGCCCGAGATGCTTTGGTTGAAGTCTGCCCAGGTCTCGTCGGTCGGCCATTGCTCGTCTCCAGGTATGACTCGACAAGAAGGTACGTCGTGTTGGTGACGTCCGATGACACTAGAGATGATTAAACTCGCAACAAGGGTGCCTCGAATCACTCCTTGAGCAGAGCAAATGCGTCCCATGGTTGCGAATCAGATCTCTTTGAGTGGCCGACGTTCCACCGCGACATGACCGGACATTATGGTCCATTTATACGACAATTGCACTTGTGGTTCCCTCTCCTGGATGAGATTTTACCCCAGGCGATCGTTTATTGTGCGAAATTCCGACCCATTTCCTTTTGAGCTGACGATCGATGCTTCTCCCGTCTATAACATGACTATACGCCGAGGCTCCCTCAATCCGTCATCGCTTACCGAATTGCGCGTTACACGCATACCCAATGGAAGACAGTCTCATAATTTCCAGGATAGATGAATCAGCGACCCGATAGCTATGGGGTGAAGCACCTCGTAAGCCTAAAACATTTAGCACGAGTTGTGTAACCGCAAGCTGGGACTGGCCTGGTACGTTTCAACCGCGTGTGATCCTGCTGACTTTGCGCAAAAACCTCTTGTCCCCAGCTGTATCAGCGAATCCGCGGTGAATGCTGTGGATACATCAGCCTGCTGTTGACTTCGATGTTTCTAGCAATGATTGTGCTGGAATGCGAGCGCCGGGTCTGCACATCTGCAGTGTCAACGGACAGGCGTCGGGCCTGATTCTGGTGTCGGCTGCCTGCCCTGGACGCCTGGCCGGGTCGAGCTTGGCGACTTGAACATGAGGTTTCCGAACGTCTTGCTCTGCCCTGACAAGATGGCGACTTGCTGTTGCGAGATGCAATGCGCTACCACTACAGTGGCCATTGTTGTGAACGTTCAGCCAGGGTGACAACTAACGATCAAGGTCAGCTATGGCTCCATATGTAAGTCGTTGCGATCTGTCGATGAATGACGTACGCAACCTTCGCTATCGCTGTAGTTTCCTGGCCGGCGTCGCTGCTTCGTCATTTCTTCACTCTTCACTGTTCCCGCTAGCGACACCCATGGCGTGTAGCATTGTCGAAGCATCACTGACTCGCTTGCAGAATGCATGCCATGGGGGTACAGTTGGCCGGAGGCAGGACCAGGGCTTGATCGCACATGCGACTACACTTTTGCAGAAACCTGGCGCAAGCAGAGCGGAGCGCGTGGTTGGTCGTCCTAAGGTACGAATTGTTGCTTAGCTGCTGAATTGTCGTAGTGCGCCAAGATCGCCATCGACTCGGACATCAACCTGATATTCAGTCCGAATGAGGTTCCAAATTACTATGGCAGGCAGCAGGGCGAGCTGAAGCCAGTCTGCCGGATCGAGCCGTCTACCCACGCCGAGCTTGTGTGGGTGTTGGAACAATTGAAGCATGGCAGGAGTCCTTTCTCCGTGAAGGCTGGTGGCCACTCGATGTGGCCTGGAGCAAGCAACAACGACGGCGGGGCGGTAATCAGTCTGCGCCGGCTGAATCAAGTGGAAGTGGCGGAGGATAGGAAGAGCGTGAGGATCGGTGCGGGGGCGACCTGGAAAGAGGTATTCGATGTCATTGAGCCGATGGGTCTGCTGGTCGTCGGAGGACGCATGAGTACGATCGGGGCGGGAGGTTTCCTCTTGGGTGGTTCGTGGATCCCACCAGCCGCGCTTTCTTTGCAGTCATACTGACTGTGTTCCAGGCGGAATCGGATGGATCACTCACCGTCACGGATCGGGTGTCGACGCAATCATGTCTTTCGAGTTAGCACCACCGAATGGTGATGAGAACCTCTACCGCGTCAGCCAGGACTCCAATCCGGCACTATTTCGAGCCCTGAGGGGAGCCGGCGCAGCAAATCTGGCATAGTCAGTTCCTTCGAGGTCGAGGCATTCGCTCATCCTGGCCCGACCGGGAAGCTCTGGACCAAGGTCAGCATGTATTCCTGGGATCAAGCGGAAGAAGTGACCAACATCGAAATGACTCATGTTGCCGAAGATGATGAGAAGGACCTCGATGCGATGCAACTGAGCATCTACAACTATAACGCGACCGCCGACGCCCTCACAGCCATGCTGTACCGGATACATACCTCCCACGCAGACCTGGACACCACGCCGGAAGTCTTCAACGTCTCAGACAAGCTGACTCTTCTGATGCCGGACTCACCACAGGTGCAAACTCACTCTGAGAACATCGACTATGCCGCACAGTTTGCCCCGCCTTCAGGGAAGCGAGCGTATTTTGCAACCACAAGCTTCAGACCGTCGACAGCCATCACTCCAGAGATCGTTTCCCTGATTGGAGAATTTCTAAGAAAAGCTAAGGACACAGCTGGGGAGAACTCTGCCAATATCCAGCCGCTGTATCGCAGTTTCTTCACCCAGATGAAAAAGCGCGGCGGGAACTGCTTCAACCTTGCTAACGATACTGGACCGCTCCTGTTGTTTGCTTATGGCGCAACCTGGGAACACACGGAGGATGATGATTTCATGATCGAGTCAGGAAAGCAACTCCTGGAGGACTTTGAGGCTTTGACGAAGAAGCACAATCTTTTCCATCCATATAAGTACGTCAACTATGCGGCGAAGTGGCAGGAACAAGCTGTCTGGGAGGCATATGGTGAGGAGAACCTTCGCGAACTGAGGCAATTGCAACGTGAACTCGATCCGGACCAAGTATTCACCAAGAAAGGACTCTTCCGGGAATACTACAAGCTTAATTGAAGTCGGTTGCCCACAAGGCAGGGTCAACGTCACAGCGAAGAGGCTCGGCTAGCTTATAGACAGACGTCTGAGGTTTGAGTAAGACTCGAGTCCTGCGGTCGACAGCCAGCAACGGCATTCGTTGCTGCTACTCACTTAGTTGGGAAAATTGAATACGTCCGCCTCCATTTCGGAATGGAAACATTGCGTATTTTCATCCGCTAGAGTGTGATCGACCCGGCGCGGCTGCCGCTGTCTGCCACGTACAAAATTATTCGGTAGTCGGGAGGACGTTGCATCTACCATACAGATGATCAGCAGCTGACACTGCAGTAAGACCCGAATGTGAAGCCCAGCCATGAATGCAGAATCTGAGGCCTCGATGTGCCACGCGAAGATCTCTGCAAGCGATCAATATAGGTCCAGTCGGAATGGCATTCGAAGACTGGGGTCAAAGTGAAGCCGATCAATGATCAAGCCAGATGCTGTTGGACAAAACCAGAATCCAGATCGTCAAGTGATTCGCGTTGCGAAACGCGGCCTGGAGTAATCGACGCGCGTGACCAGAAGGACGTTCTTTGGCTGTCAGCCTGATGCACTATCTAATTTTCTTCGTGGACGGAAGATGGGAAGCCTGGCTGTGTCATGAATGAAGCATGCTGCTGTTGAAGAGGCGATGGCCTAGAAGAAAGAAATAGGTTGTCACGCGGAGGGAAGGAACCACGGGCTCTTGAGGCCAGTCGCGTCTGGTCGCCCCCTCATGTTCCTGAGCAGCTCCAACTTGGCCTACAACTCCTCAAAATAATCCGGGATCGTCGCTCTTTCCGGTCTGGACTTCCAGCTTGATCTCTGAAGTATATCCATGAAGTCTGTCGAGTCTACTTGAAGTGGAACGGCCAGTCTGCTGAGAACCCATCAGCCACATAGCTACCACATCTCGGAAGAGGCACCTGTGGCTTGGAGCTTTCTGTCACATTCCTCAATTGCTTCGCATTGAGCCCTGATCGCCGACACGCGAGCAATGCCTAAGAATGCGGATGCTTGAACCACGAGTGTCCTATAGAGCTACTGCCGCAAGAGATACGATTCCGATGGGCGAGGTCACCTGAGCAAGTGCCGAAGACCCCGTTGAATAAATCTCTATATCCCCACTACCATGAGCGATGCTCAGTCTACATCGGAGGATGCACGAAAGGCCTGCGAGAACAAACGACCGCCGCATGCGCCGAATCCAGCGACAGACACTGCAATCGTGCCAGGAGTGAAGAGCCCAGACCCGGACAGCGCAGAAGCGGTCGATCCGAATCATGTCAACATTTTCGAGATGTCGCCGGTGCAGGCACTCAAGCTGCTTTGCACGTTTGTCGAGTCACTCGTACGCATGACCGGCGACGTCCCTCCAACACCTCCTCCACGAAGTCGAGGTCATTCACCAACGCCTAGCTTGTCTGGCCTGCGAAAGGTTTCAAACGCGAATGACGGGAAGGAGAACATTGGCTTCGCTGCAAGTCCACCGGGTCAGATAGATGGTGTGGCATTGACAAAGACACCCATCGGCTCGCCCGAAGCACATCCTCAAGAGCCGACATCGGTCATCGGAGTTGACGCAGAGCCTGTCCACATTCAGCATGCCATCATCGCGCGAAAGTTCTGGTCGAAAAGACCGCCGGGCATCCCACTGTTGGAATACTTGATGCGCATGCACAAGTACTGCGCAATGTCAACAGCTGTGTACCTTGCAACAGCCCACTACATATCCAGACTAGCAGTACGCGATCGGCTGGTGCCAGTAACACCTCGTAACGTCCACCGCCTGCTGCTTGCCGGGTTGCGGGTGTCGATGAAGGCTCTGGAAGATATGTGCTGGCCGCACAGTCGCTTTGCCAAAGTTGGCGGCGTCACCGAGCTTGAGTTGGGTCGACTGGAAGTTACCTTCCTGTTTCTTGCTGCTTTCGAACTAAAGGTCGACGAAGCAACACTGACAAAAGAAGCTGAAAGTCTGGCTAGGAATGCTCAGGGCTCAGGCTCAGCACTGCTGGAAGGTCCTGTGAATATGGAACTGAAGTTACCATCCGACAGACCAAAGTCAAGAGGAGGCGAGAAGAGGAAAGCAAGCAGCAACTTGCCCAGCCGACCTGCAATAACGGTCTCACACAGTCAAGGTGCGATTGAGGTGCTTGGGCAGTCATAGGATGATTGGTCTGCAAAATGCATTTATTCATCTCTTCTCTCGCCTGCCCTCTTTCCCCTGCTTGGCAATGTCCGTACTATGTCCTTCAACGGAGTCGGAGAATCGCATCCTTTTACGAGACGGATCACATCGTTAGCGCTACATTCCTATGCGTACGCAAAGTACTGCATTCAGTACATACTGTGCTCGTGTACACGGCGCCGCCATGCAGTAGCAGGAAGGTGACGTGCCCAGCACCGGCGTGAAATTGGCGGCGGGCCCGACGTTGCGGACTTACGAGGGTCCACTGTCGATAACTTGAAACTTGAACTTAAAGGATCTATACTTTATAAATGATGCGGTCCATGGCCAGTGGCGTGCCTCCTCGACCGTTCATCACCGTCGGATGAGGTGACACGCAGGGTCTCGTTGCCCCTCGTCAAATTTCAGGAAGTAGCGGACAAGAAGACGTTTTCAAAGGACGAGTCGGTGTCTTCCAGCGATTCCTCGTCCTGCATTAGCCCACTGCCATTATCGAATCTCGATTATACGAGCAAGTCAGCTTCCGTGATCGTCTAGGGCGTGGACAGCGGGTTTCTTTGAAATAGTCCAGTCACTCCAGGATCCTTCGACACGCCGTAGGACACGACACTCGGACAAGTCGTGTCCCGAATCGAACCAAGAAGTCTGGTCACTCCCTACCGCAATATCACCCAGTGATTCCCAATCCAGCCATTGGCTCGACATATATCACTGCACTCACCAAATTCTCGATTCTACCAACACCAGCAGCCTCCGAACCGGCAGACAATATGAATTGGCTACTGCTCTTGGTTGTTGCTTATCCGGCATTTTACACGCTGCAATGCCTCACACGTATCTTCCGAGAATGGCGCAAGGCGCGCGTCTCTGGAATTCCATACATGATCGTTCCCCTTCACCCAGAAAATCTGATATGGATGATCTTCTCCCCAATGTTCCAGAAGCAGCTCGAGCGCCATCTGCCAACGTGGATCTATTCTCGCATCTCCATGAACATCTACGGCTGGGAGATGCGCTACAAGTACAAGCCAGTTGAAACGCATGGTTCGCTGCTGCTGCTTGTCAATTTCTACCGCACCGAGCTCACCATTATGGATCCCGATGTTGCTCACGAAGTCTTGAAGAGGCCGAAAGATTTTCCGAATAGTTCTACTGGCAACTTCATCATGGGTAAATTTGGACCAAACCTCGTCACGTCGAGAGACGCAGAATGGGCGCGGCAGAGGAAGTTTATTGCCCCAAATATTAATGAGAGGATCGCCGCTGCTGTGTGGGGCGAGAGTCTGAGTCAAGCGAAGCAGATGATGGAACACGTTGCTGCGAACGGTGGCAAGACTAATGACACCGCTAATGGCATGAAGAAGATTGCCATCAACGTACTGGGTGCTGCTGGCTATGGTCAGCCACGGCCATGGGATGACGACAAAGCTGCTGAATCTGCGCCTCCTGGGTACCATCTCACGTATATGCAAGCTATGAGAAGTCTTGTCGAGAATCTGGTCGAGATGGCATTCTTGAGTCCGGCTGTTTTGTCATTCCCTTTCTGGCCCAAGCACATCAAGGACACTGGCCATGCTGTCAATGAGCTCAAGGACCTGACAAAGGTCCTTCTTGACAACGAACGTCAGCACCCTTCAGAGAAAGCCAACATCATGAAGCTCTTGATCGAAGATGAAGGTGCAGCCGAGAAGAAAGAAAACATTAAAGTAGGTCTGTACGACGAAGAGATCGTCGGCAACCTCTTCGTGTTCAGTGCCGCAGGTTTCGACACAACGGCCAACACAATGGCGTATGCTCTCGCTCTGCTTGCCGTGCACCCTCAATGGCAAGACTGGCTCACAGAAGAAATCGATGAAGTCCTGCCTAGCGATCTGGATGCAGAACTCGACTACAATGCGACGTATCCGAAGTTGGTCCGTGTTCAGGCCCTGATGTATGAAACGCTCCGTCTTTTCGCGCCAATAGTGCATCTTGCCAAATGCACAGAGAGACCTGTACCCGTTACAACAAGCGAAGGCAAAGAAGTCGTGATACCCGCTGACACCACCATCTACGTCAATAGCTACGCCCTACACCACAACCCGAACGTCTACGAGGACCCAGATGCGTTTGACCTTGAGCGATGGCTTGCTTATCCTGATGCCGGAGATGCAGAGAAGCCTTCCGGACGACCATTTATCAAGCCTGCCCCAAAGGGCTCTTTCGTACCGTGGTCGACTGGACCAAGGGGCTGTCCTGGTCAGAAGATGAGTCAGGTGGAGTTTGTGAGCGTCTTCACGCAGATTCTGAGACAGTACAAGATCGAAGTCGTTCTCAAGGACGGCGAGAGCCCTGAAATGGGGAGAAGGAGAGCAGAGGAGGTCATGAATGACAGCGCGCCGAAGTTGACGATGCAGATGAGCAGACCGAAGGACTTGAATCTGCGCTTCGTGGCACGAAAGCGGTGAGACCGAGCATGATGGACAGTACAACCATACCGGTACAGATGTCAAGTGTTGGAAAGGCGAGAAGCGTCAGCGTTGTACAAATCTACACTACCTTGACGATGACCCCTGCGTCGAGCACTCTTTCAGATTGGCAGGATCTTCACAAGCTCGAGTGGCTACCATCGGTGCAACGGAGTTTGAGAAGGGCGCCCTCAGATCTTTCTAAGAGAGCAGGAAAAGAACGTTCCGAGACAGAGACTCGGTCGTAGTTGCCGGCTGACGACAGATATAGCGCTCAAATCGCTGCCGAGTATGGTCGCTCCTTCCAGATCAATTCATCGAAATAATTTCTTTGTTCAGAGTGCGACAATTCTTTCCACAACGGCATCTGCAATCATGTCTAGGTCACAGTCTTCGCGCCCCGAAGCAGCATCTGTTTACCGTGGTGTGCGAAACATTGTTCCATTTGGCCTCTTTCCAATCAATCACGCTGTGGTCTCCTGGGAGCATGCTCAGTACTTATCTCGGGAGCATGTCTCGCGTGACCTCACCCAGACTGTCTCCAACAAGTTCCGTACACTCTCGGCCACCTTGGAGAGACACGCCGCCGGCAATCGCTCAAGTCTCGGAAATGGCTAAGAAACGGCTCCTGGCGTGTCTTGTGAAGTCTTTGTTCAACAGAGACGCTTTGAGACCATGGATCATATCCGCGTGTACTGGACTTTCCGAGTTGGCCGTCATCATGGCATACATATACGAAGTCCAGACCAGCGACGTTGATGGCCTCGCCCTCCAGCTGACGCTACATCGATCCCACATCACTCAAGATTAACGTGACACCACATCAACGCAATCATATCGCAAGTCAAGAGACTGCTCCGAGCCACACCATCTATACGAGAGCATAACATCACGACCATAAGTCAACGCATGATGGACCGCAAGCTATCAATCCAAAGCATCTCGACTACTGCCGACGACTCCGATCCCACCTCTAACATGGCGGGTCAGGGTCCTTCCGACACTGATCAGCCTCAGCAAGAGCACGCTCTGTCTGTCTTACTTCTGGCTCTCTTGATCTGTCTCATTGACTACACCCTGTCCCTCTACGGCTTCGATGACGATGACTTGGTACGCGTCCAACGTCTTACCGCCAATCTCGCGCCAATCAGAGATGATCCACTGGCTATAGCGGCCTGTTGGATCATATACATCTATGAGCTCTACCTGTTGATTCTGGCATGCGTAAATATTGTCCGGCCGATCTTCTGGCTCTGGAACCATCCTCTCAGTGCTGTCATAGTAATAGCGACGGCCCTCTTTGCTTTCCACATCGTCGAGACAGAAAGGGCTGCAGCAGCTCTGGAAGACACCAGTCGCGAAGATCATGCTTATGACGCTGACGACGAAGCCAGCGACGACGGCAAGCCCCTTGCTGGCTACGGCAATGACAATCATATCCGAAACGAAGATGACGACAAGTCTGACTCTGGTTATGGCAGCGATACTGACGATAGTTCCGACTCTGTCAAGTGGATACTGAACGACAAGGACGAGACCAGAAGCACGTACGAATCGCCGAGAGACTTCGATGCTATCCTTGAGGGAGAAATAGCCATTATCAGAGCCAACCAAGATTCGAACGACACTCCATCGCATCATATCGAGCACACCCTTGACTCCACTGGTGCAGCGGCGGCTCACGACAGGTGGCCAGAGTTCGTCAACTGGAACACTGTTAGCAATATGAGTGAAGTTGATAGCACCATCAATCACGAGGATGCCGTCGGAAGCGAGCCTGATGACTTCTCTGGCGCTCGAGGTCCACCAGCTGATCACCTTGTGCCTTCGGCACCCACTGACGCCTCCAACGCAGACTCCGGGAGCAACGTCAATCACGAGAACAATTTTCGGGACTCTCCTCATGATTGGCAGGCCGCCTTCCTTCCGCTTGTAGTAGTACCTCGACTCAGAACACGATGTCATTGTCGAACATGTATCATCCGTCGACAGCACAATTGCCGCGCTCTCCATCATCATCGTCGATACAATTCCGAAGCGAGGAATGCGCTGCCTTCCAACGCGCTTGCCAGTGGCGAGGGCGTTGGCGATACGTTCGCCTCGACTATCCCTGCCTCGTTCACCGGATTCGAAGCTCCTCGTCGTCCCCAAACCAGCACCTTCGTGGACACCGCCGACTCATACGATCTTGCCCAACTGTTCGACGAAGACGAATGCCCTCAGCCAAACATGCTCGACCATGTAGCCCCAATGCTAGCGCTTAATCAACACCCATTGATGACCGAGGAGTCGGGAAGGGTCCACGAATTATGCCGGGAAGCAGAAGCAAATCGTCTGCAGGGCCACTGGGCGGTCTCCCTCTGGAAGAGGTACGTACAGCCGGTTTGGACCTGGGTTCGGCGAGCTGTCTCTGGAGGTATGTCGACGGAGAAGTCCAGGGTAGGGGACGTGGAGAAGGGGGCACCCTGAGGGAGTCAATCGAGGGCAGACATTGACTGAGATGTAGGTATAGGTTGGGCGGCATAGTCAAGGGTGCTGTGGGCTCGGTACTTGTTTGTACAGGGAGGATAGACTGTTTGCACTTTGGACACACGCTTTTTGGGGTAGTATATGTCGGCTCCGTTGGTTCGAATGGATCTTGTTTCTGCTGCCTGTTCAAACTCTGATTTCTTCTCTGTTCTTTTGTCACAGTGAGAACTCAACAGCTTTTCGGCGGCAAGGTAGTCGTGATACTGGTTATCAATCAGGTCCATCTGTCTGGCCAGCCACCAGCTCGACACGATATACTCATCTCACAGTGCCTAGTGCGTGAAAGCAGCACCTCACGCCGGCTCCAGTTGCTGCTCTCTTGAGATATTATTGTTGTCAGAGTCTGGGCCAGCTCGCATCAACAACGTTCACTTCCCACCCTTTCAGCAATGTAGTGTTTAGCGATCTAACACGCCTTGTTATGGTCGATAGCCCAGCTCAATGACCTGACTCGTCTATTATCAGTCCTATGGCAGGGAAACCCTAGTCCGACTCTGGGTGTTACTTCAGACTTGTCAATTCTCATTCTTTTTGCTTGGTTCATCCTTTTCGTCAATGTTTGGTCTTGCCTGACGAGCGTCCATTGCAGACTTGCACTTGGGAGATGGTATCGTGGAGCAGCTATTATATGAGGGATGGATATAGATAGGTATATGGATAAAGTATATGCAAGTTCGTCTTCCCTTCTCCCTTCTCCTCCTTCTGTCTCCAATGTAGCACTTCTTCCTACTGGTACGTCTGCCACCGAGTCTTTCCTTCTTGCAAATCGTCCTATGAAGGCAACTATGAAGGCAACTTCATCGTCGCCACGTCCTCTGCATTCGTGCCAAGCTATGTACACCAGAAACCCCTACCCATCAACATCACACGTGACAGCGAACGTCGTCGAGCGACTGCTCTGCGCCTGTCCCGAGTCCTTCGGAATCCGGCAAAACGCAAGAGGAATTACTCGACGGAGCTATGCCAGTAGACCACATGAACGCCAAACAGTGGGCCTCAATGATCGAACAGCAGAATATTCTTTTCCTCCCCAAGACACCGTCGCGAGCGCGGGCAGTATCGGAACATGCCTCGCATGGAAAACGTCTATCAGGATCAGAACCCAAAAGGATTCGAGGGAGCTACAAATCATGTTAGCACACATCAAGGAGATGATTGCGAAGGAAGTAGGACGTACTAGCAGAGCTCAGGTTCGCCCTCCGCCCAGTCGGCTGTGGCGTGAGCTTCCTCGGCTGGCTTCCGAACTTAACATCCGGTGCAGGACCGGTCTTTTGTGCCACTAATGGGGCAGGAGTCGATATTTGCGGCATTGGTGGGAGGGTTGGCGGTGAGAAGCTTGTGGGCGGTGGCTGCCCGAAGCCGTTCTGCTGTGGTGGCTGACCAAAGCCAGTGGGCTGAGGTTGAAGATGTGGTGGCTGACCGAATCCGGTAGGCTGAGCTTGGAGCTGTTGGGGGAAGCCGGTCATCTGTGGCTGCATGCCGTGCGATTGTTGCTGCTGGAAAGGCTGTTGCTGTGGCTGGAACTGGTTGATGCCGTTGGGCTGTTGAGGCGGCTGTTGATTGAACCCGGTTGGCTGTGGCTGCAACGCTGGTGGAAGCATCGAGTTGATGCCTGTTGCAGGACGCATCTGCGTCGGGTAGCCTGTTGGTTGAGGCTGCACTTGAAACTGGTTCGAATCGGCGAACGGACTACCAGCAGCATTGCCATTGAGATATGGTTGCTGGAATTGCTGCGGCTGGAAGCCGGTAGGTTGTTGCATCATTCCATTCGGCATTGGGCCGAACTGACCTGGAAAGCCAGTCTGTTGTGGTTGCAGCTGCATTTGCTGGAACTGCTGCTGTTGGAGGCGTTGAGCTTGGAGCTCGTCAAGGCTTTGGCCGTACGGTGCTTGCCTCGTAGCGAACCCAGTAAGTTGTGGCGCTAATGGCTGGACACCGAAGCCTTGCTGTTGATTTTGCGGAGCCGAAAGTGGCCTTTGTGGTGGTGGCAGTAAAGCAGATCCTGTAAACTGTTGCTGAGGTGGTGCTGGCCGTTGTCTGCCAGCGTTTGCTTGCTGTCCGACTTGGGCGAAGAAGGAAGGCGTGGCGCCAGTCTGTTGAGGCTGCTGCGGAGCAGCTGGAGGAGGTGCCTGCATCTGTGGCTGTGGTGGAGCTGCTGGTGCTGGTGCAACTTGTGGCTGCGGCTCTCTTCTGGTTGGCTCGAGCGGTTCAAGCGTTACTTTGTCGAGCAGAGACAGATCAGCCATCCCAGCAGATGGCGCTCTCGGCGGCGGAGATGCGACTGTCTGGCGTGGAGGCGACGCCGGCTGCTGCGATGGCTTCGGCGTCCAAGCATCGTCATCGAAGCCATTCCTGGCTTCTCGAGCGGGAGCCTTTGCCAGAGGCGTTTCCTTGGCATCAGATGACGGCGCCTTGTCCTTCTCTTGGCTGAACGCAGCTGCATCGACTTTGTCACTCGTCGACCGATTTGCATCAGGCCGGGAGCGACCGCTGTTATCCTTTAGAGCTCCGCCAGGTCCACTAAATAGACCACCTTCGCCATTGACAGGAGCAGCCTTGTTTCGACCATACTTCTCATTCAGGTATTTCATCACCTTGAGAGTATCCCCTTCCTTCAGGCCAAGCGTTCGGAGAGTCTCTTGCGTAATCTCTGGTAGCACGCTTTCGTCCATTGAGTCACGAGTCATTGCCTGGGCGTATCGTTCACAGGTATGCGGATTGACACCTGCTTTCAGGAAGAAGTCAAACCAATCGTAGTCAGACTGCTTGGGCTCGATCGAGGCGCCGCTTTGCCCACCAGCGCCTTGACTTTTGCGTTTCATCTTTATCAGATCAGCCACAGGCATGTTATCTTCGATCGACTCGTGCGTTACCTTTTCGACATACGCAAGATCTGCTGGCGACATTTTCGAGACTGGGACCGCGATCTTGACGCCATTGACCTTGTGCAGGTGGATCTTGCCGTCAGCGACGCCAATGAACTGTGCTTCGACCTTGAATGACCCGGAATGATCAGTCCAGGTTCGAACCTTGTTTGTGTCGGGTTTCGATCTCGACTTCCCTTCGCTCTTGCTTCCGCGCTTGTCCCTCCGTGACCTTTTGCTGTCTTCCTCAGCCAAACTGGAGCCTCTCTGCGGGATCTCCGATCGTGCTCTCGCCTCTTCGGCATCTCGACGAGCACGCTCAGCGCGTGCGGCCTCTCGTGCAAGCCTTTCTTCCTCCAGCCTGTTCTGTTCTACCATTGATCGTCCAGCGTTCGCACCACTTCGCGACGGAGGCTCGACTGCGACGGTCCCAGTAACTTCGATATAGCTGCTGGGCATGACTCCCTCTTTGCCGTTCTTCAGCCTTCGAACATTCCACCAGTCTTCGGACTTCGTATCGTCTAGGATGACGACCTCATCGTCCACGGCTACGGTCACCTCATCATCATCCTGGGCCATGAAGTCATGCATGACTTTGCCCTTCTTCTGTAGTGAGCCACCAGAAGCCGCTGCAATGATCTCTTTAAGACCTTCGCCCTTTGCTCTGCCAGCGATCTCGCCCAGTGTTGCAACGATCTCTTGTGCGGTATCTTTCGCGCCCGCATGCAGATCAAGACTCTTGCTAGGACGAACCAGCTCCAAAAAGACGTGCTTTCCTTCAATAGAGTAATGGCTGAGCTTATCGGCGGTCCATTCCTGCGACGGTCCGTCTCTTGATTTCTCTGGAGATATCATGATGGTTCCCGTAGCGATATTAAGGCCTAGCGTGGTTGGCATCTTTTTCCTCCTGCCCATAGCAGAGACCATTTCGTTAATGTTATAGAGATGATAGCCACCTGGAGAGTATGGTTGCTCGTCGATGTTCGGAAATGAGCCTGCCCTGTTGTACGGCGGAGATGGCAGGACGCCAGGCGGTTCATCCCGGGCATAGGTGGGTGATGGTATGTGGACCGGACTGGGAAGAGCTTGTGACTGTGGCCGACCTGGCAGCGGCGGACGGTTCTCTTCCTCGTCTGACGGATCTGGTGTAGGCTCTTGTTGAGGTGCTGGGGCTGAAGGAACAGCCCTGGAAGCTGCCGGAGGTGCGGAATGGCCTGCGAGGACTGCTGCAAGATTCGCCGCTGGTCCGGTCGCGACAGGAGACGTCGGGACTTGGGGGCGCGGCGTCGTAGGCACTTTGCCGATTCGAGGCGACCGAGGGCGATTTGGGCGCAGGTGCGCCGCCGAGCTCGATGTAGTTGGCTGGTGCGAAGCCGAACTCTCCATTTACGCCAACCAAAGTCCAGTCATCATCGGAGGTATCGAAGACGTCCAATTCGGCATCTTCTGAGAATGAGACCTCCTCATCAGTCTGTCGCGCATAGTCATACAGCGCCCTTGCGGTATGTTGCGGAGTGGCTTCCTGAACATAGTTGTTAGGAATCAGCCCTTCCGGCTCATCCTCATCCTCGTCATCGGCCTTCTTCCGTGCCTTCCACCAGTCATCATCGGCGCTCTTCTCGAGTATGTAGAGCAGCTCATTTTCTTTGATCTCGAGCTCGCCAGCACCCTGCGGCTTGTAGTCGTAGAGGGCTGTACATATTGCGACAAAGCCCATAGCGCCAACTGGGAGATACTGGAAGACAGCCTAGACTCTACTGTACAGCAGAATTGCCATTCGAGTGTATTCGAATGTGCGGATACAATAGATGGGCTATGCCGGCACTCCCTGGCTCGTTTGATTACGCGAGGACGTTGACATGCGTTTGATTGGAATGTTTAGCGGAGCTGTAGTGGCACAGCAGACACAGAGACTCGCAGTCGGGTGCTCAAGAATAGCAACGATCAAAGACCTGGCCCTGAGGACGGGATGACGCTTAATTACAATGATACAAGAAGTGAGGGCAGGTGCTCGAGGTGCCGCTACCACCGAGACGCTTCCTCTCATTACAAGGAACTGCGACGACCCGGCCTTGGCAGTCGCCGTCATCCGGTCTAGCGCCGAACACTTGCTCCTTGAGCTCATGCAGTTGCACGAGCAGCCGACTCACCCTTGGGAAGCATGTTGCCGTGTGCACGCTAAATGACTATAACAGTCTGGCTCTATGCTAGTGTACAGCGGCTACAGGTTGTCCGCAACGAGGTGGGTATCTCTCTACAAGTCTTCTTTGAAGACCTCCTCGCTGCCCTCGAGTTCACCGTCGCTCCCTATATCCGTGGCGGGATCATCAGTATCCTCTTCTCGACTGCTCTTCTTCTCGTCTTCCGACACAACGCCTCGAAGCTGGACCTGACCGTTAATGTCATCGGTTCGCTCTATCTTCCAGTCTTTAGCACCAGCCAATTTCTCGAGCTGTTTCCTGAACTTCTCGATGTCACCCGGCTCCAGCTCCAGCTTCTTGAGCTCAGCGTTGGAAATGCTTGACACCTTCCCATCCTTCTGCATCATAATGGTCTCTGCTCGCTCATCCGGAGTCAGAACTATCCTTCCTGGCTCGAGCTTCTTTCCGTCTTTGAAGTACTTCATGCCACCAACATGGACATTTCCAAGGAAGAGAGGAGTTTCGGCGTCTTGCTGGACGAGTTGTGTTGCTGCGGCCTCTTCTGCTTCTCGTTCCGCTTCCCACTCTGACACTTCCGACTCGTGGAGAATCCTTGAACATCTGATGGGATAGGCATTTGAGTCCTTGGGTGGCATAAATGCAACATCGCTGCACAGCCTGGGCGTGTACACGACCATGAGGTAGGAGCAAGTCGAGACTTCCTTGATCCATCCGATTCGATCTGTGAGTTGTGGATTGCAGTGAAATTCGATCTCTACCTTCCTGTCCTTGCCTGTCAAATCACAGTTTGTACCGCCCGCCAGCTTCTGGACCAGATAGCTGGTCTCGGCCTTGGTCTGCAGCTCCGTCGATACAGCAGTCTGTGAGTCTTGCTTTGGAGTTGCAGGGTCCTTAGTCTCAGCATCCACCTTTCCCAGAACAAATGCTGGTGTGGTAGGATCTTGCTGTGGTGGCCAGGTTCTACCTCCCATCTGACCCATGGAAAGCGCATGGAATTGCCGGACCTCTTGATTGTAGCAGAACGAGTATGTCCACCATCCTGTTGAGTAGAACAGACACTGATTACTTTGCATGCCAGACAGTAGTTCTCTGCCTTTGTCCGCTGCTCTTGCCAGTTCTTTCTGCTTGTCCTCCTCCGACGCTGTCGGTTGTGTCTCGTTCGCTACCGCTCGGCTGACTCGTGGTATAGAACACAGATAGGGCGAGTTGTGCAAGGTTAGCATGGCGTACTCGGCCACATCGTCGTCGAAGGCCTCATCCTCTCGCACGACTCTGACATCGCTCCCACTATGGGCCAAGCTCGCAACCTTTATTGAGTCCAGGAGATCGAGAGCATCCTCAAACAAGATGTAGTCATCTGAGTGCTCGATCTGATATTGAGGGTATGCGAAGAGATCGTCCGTCACGCTGAAGGAGGTTTCGCTTGCAGCACTCGGAGCGCATGCGCCCAAGAGGACGAACAGAAGAGGTAGCATGGTAGGCCCTACCGTTTGTTGCCCATTTCATCATCCAATATGCGCTCCCAGATACGAATCTCACGGTAACGAAGTCTCAGCATGTGCTTTGTCAAGTGCCAGTGCAGCGTACCTGAGAAAATTACTGTGTCCTTTCGGTCTGGTGAAGGCAACCAGTCCAATGCGGCGTATGCGAGTCTAGGGTTAGGGCTTAATCGCTGTTGACATGACCCAAAGCGAAGGCACCACAAACCGAAGCATTCATTTCACGATACACAGGATTGACAAGCCGACCACAGAACCCTTGCTAGTCGCTCTACCACGCAGACGCGGCCCATAGCGATTCGCCATGTCAAATGCTCAGAATGCCTTCTCGCTTGCCGGCAAAGGCCTGAAGTTGGATACCAAAGAAGATCTCGAGCAACACATCCAACCCCTCATAGACCATGAGAATGTCCAGAGCCTCGACCTCTCCGGCAATACATTCGGCGTCGGTGCCTGCGAAGCACTCGCATCCATACTCAAGACCAAGACATCCCTGACCACGATCGATCTACATGACATCTTCACATCCCGCCTACTCTCAGAGATCCCACCTGCCCTGTCTGCACTGCTCACAGCAGTGCTCGAGTGTCCGAATGTGCACACGATTGATCTAAGCGACAACGCATTTGGTCTCAATACCAAAGCTCCCTTGGTCGACTTCCTTGCGAAGCATACACCCTTACGACATCTCATTCTGAACAACAATGGCATGGGCCCGATTGCTGGAACTTCAATAGCAGAGGCACTGACTACACTCGCTGAGACGAAGGTTGCGGCCCGAAAAGAAGGCAAGGATGTGCCAGACCTCGAAAGTGTCGTCTGCGGACGTAACCGGCTCGAGAACGGAAGCATGATTGCGTGGGCCAAAGCATACGAGGCACATTCTGCAGGCATAAAGAGCGTGAAGATGACCCAGAATGGCATTCGACCAGAAGGCATCGACGTTCTGATCTCCGCTGGGCTATCGAAGTGCTCGAATCTCGAAGTGTTCGACCTACAGGACAACACGTTCACCTACAGAGGCGCTGCAGCTCTGGCCACGGCCGTCGGAGGGTGGACCAAACTGAAGGAACTAGGCGTTGGTGATGACATGCTTGGAGCTCGCGGATCTGTGAAAGTGTTTGAGGCTCTCGGGTCTGGTAACAGCAGAGCTGTAGAAGTTCTTCGGTTACAATTTAACGACATCACACCGGCCAGTCTCAAAGTCTTATTGCAAACTGCCAAGGAACTGCCATCTCTCCGTCGCGTCGAGCTCAATGGCAACAAATTCGAAGAGGAAGATCCTTCGGTGGAAGCCCTGTCAGAACTGCTGTCAGAACGCAAAGACGAAGCCGGGGAAGATAGCGACCCAGAGGACCACTGGGGCCTCGATGAGTTGGACGAATTAGAAGGTGAGGACAGTGATGAGGAGGAAGAGGAAGAAGATGAGGTGGAGGCGGACGCTGAGGAAGCTCGCGCAAAGTTGCTTAAGGACCAGGACGACGCAGAAGAGGCAAACGTCAGCCAGAAGAAGGATAAGGACGTGGACGAGCTAGCGAATGAATTGGAGAAGACTGGGATTTGAAGCCGATGAGCATCAATTGGAAAGCGCAATGATTCGACGAAGATACCCATTAGAACAGACGGATCATAGCTCACGGAGACTTTGCAAGCCATTCGCCTGCAGACCCGCTTCTGCAGTAACGCGCATTGCCTACCCAAATTACATTCAGCACACTCGGACCTGCCATGGCTGCAAGTCAAATGCCTTATAGCTAGAAACCACCATCGACGAGCGGATCCTTTAGCCCGGGCTCAGCATTCGCTGCCATGGGGCACACACTGTGACGCAATACTACCATGCTGCAGGCGCAACGCTGTGCAATCGTTCAGGCGTCGACGACACATCTATTGCTTGACTACCTGAGGTGGCTGTCTGCGGCGACTGGCTGCATCGCTGCTGAGTTCATCCCGACCGACTGGAGGCAATAAGCTCTGAAGCTTATCGACCATGCAGTACAATATTGATATCCCACAGCGACTGCCTACCTATCGATGTCGTCGAGACCGCACACAACGCTCACACTTCAGCCTCTTGTGACAGACATAACAATACCTCGGCCGATTCGTCACTTGTGCCCGCTGACACCACGGACAGGTCAGCGGTGGGTCGTGACAAAGCTCGCAACATCGTTCCACCGGATGACCTCGACGGCTAGGGCAGCCTCTACTGGCTCCGAGGGCGGCACTAGAAACGCCACGTCGTCGAGCTTCACGTTCGTCGGCGGATTCGTGGCGGCGAGATGGTCTGTTTTGCGTCCTGCGGGTGCTCGTGCTTCGACGGGAAGGCGTGCGATCCATGAGCTCACCAAGGCCGAGAGGGAGCGGCGTGCGGTAAGGTCTTCGAGGAGACGATCGACGATGGTGATCCTCGATACTAATCACGCGGACCGGCTGTTCGACAACTCTGCCGGATCGATCGCGCCGTACCATTCTGGCTGCTGCGGACGCGGGTTGTCAGTTTGAACATAGCCTAATACCATTGACGTACCAGAGCTTGTGATCCTCCTATGATCGATGGGATCGTACATCACCGATCTCTCTGAATCAGAAGGGAAGTCGTCGCACCAGCACATACTCTTCAATAAATTGGGAACAGGATTGCTACATGCGAGGGAAGCCCTTGACGGTCATCTTTACCATACTTATATCCCTTCGACGAACGACTGTGGAAGAACGACTGGTTTGCCTACAACAACATGCTACAGGCCGCGACGAGCGCAACATCATTCACTCAACGCACATGAACGATAACAGAAGCCTTTCTTGATTATGTCGTCGAATCTAGCATATCTCGGTCGGCAGTCTCGATGCAACTGCCCAGTACATCCCAGAAAGCATGAGTATGCAGTTTCCTCGGCACTCTCACGCCTGCTACGCGCCCTTCCAAATCAGGCTTCGCCTTCGTCAAGACCGTTCTACCCACCTGACCTCTGACACTGTCAAGATGGCTGTGAGCCCCGTCCGTCACCACTGCAATCTGGTATCGATCGCCATCATCTTCAAACACTCTGTTCTCGTAGCCAAACAGCACCGCCACAGCAAGCGGATCGTGCAACGGCGGACCCTCATATACGTCAAACCACTCAACGTAGCTCTTTGCGAAGAACTCCAGGATCTCGTTCATAAAGGCTCGAAGCAAGCTTGGCTTGCCCGGTCCTAGCAACTGCTTTCGGACCTCTTTCGTTGCCAGACACTGATGCGTCAGGTCAAGAGTGACCAGCGTCGTCTTTGCTGCCAGCACCGCATTGGAAAAGAGGGCATGCGAGGCCTCCGGATCACAATAAATGTTAAATTCGGCCCAAGGCGTCTCGTTGCCGAAGCCTTCGCTCTGTCCCAGAGTCTTCCCGAACTCCTTCGATACCTGAGGGCAGAAGTCACCGCCTACGGCTCCGCCCATGATGCTCAGACTGATCGATCAGCTTGGACAAAATTCTCAGAAGGGAAAGGCATACCCAGCCAGATGACCCACTACCTCTGGGAACGCTGCGAAGAGAAGAGCGGCGTTTGTACACGGCCCTGTCACCACGAACCAGGCTCTGTTGGGTGGCTGAGCCATGATGGCATTGCGAGCAGCAACGATGAAGTTGACATCATGCTCGGTATTCGATGCTGGCTCAGGAAGCAAGGTTGTGCCACCGAGGCCGGTTTTCCCTGGCTGCATCAGCACAAATCTGCCCGGGAACTGGAGAAACAAACCATGGATCTCTGGAGGCTCGATGAACGAACGGCAGAACGGTTTGATGGCACCTGGATAAACCTTTACGTCTGCTCTGCCCACAGCAGCCAGCACCGCGCTTGTGTTTGTGGTCGTGTACTGCTGTTCAGCGTTGCCATATGAAGAGCTGACACCCAGTAGCTGCAGACCCGGATGCCGTGCGGCAAGCAGGATGGCGAAAACATCATCGTGTCCTGAGCTCTGTCAGTCAAAGTTGGATACAACAGCGTTGAGCGTTGCGAACCTGTGTCAACGTCTAGCCATACCGGTGTCTTGTCATGCCTGGTCAACATAATGTCCAATCGACTGCAAGACCCTTGGCCAAGATCAACAATAAGGCAAATACCTCGTATCTAGATCGAACCTGCAGCGAAGCAAACGCATGCAGAACGGCACTGCATATGCCAAACACCCTCGCTTCGATCTGAGTGAGCTTGATATCTGAATTCTTTCTTACTGGTCCACGATTTTATGATGGGCGAAATCATGCGTGGCATCTGCCCACCCTTCTTGAAGCACTTCTCCGTTCGCGGTACAAATCGGATGTGGTAATCAGCGCTCTCACTTGGAGTCGGACACCTCACAACCGAGATATCGATCTGCCATTCGTTAGGGAGAGCTGGCATATCACTTCTGGGTGCCGAAGGCCGTGCCCAGGTGGACTTAGGAACCTTCGACCCCGCTTCTTCACTGTCTCCAACGGACAAATTGGGCAAAGACCCAGGACAGGCGTATCTCAGAGCCTATGGGCGCAGAGCTTGTAGGTGCTTATGGGTCTTTGAGTTTATGCTTATCCAGCCTTCTGGGGTATTCATGCGCCTGGAACGTGGTTCAGCGTCCCGGCTGCGTGGTCTTACTGATAAGGGCGGGCCATGCTGGCCGACAAAGCATGGGTTCAAAAGAACGACGACCCTGCATCGACCTCGATTTGGGACCTCAAAACTATCTGCGCTGGTCGCTACTCCCTCACCACATCATCCTCGACATGACGACCACCGATGAGATCACCTCGGCCTCCGAGTCTACTACCTCTGACCATGTCGTCAACGAAGATGTCCGCAACCTCGAGTCGTTCGGCTACAAGCAAGAGCTTAAGCGCGACTTCTCTTTCATTGGTATGCTTGGCTTTGCCTGGAGCGTCCTCACAACCTGGACCGCGCTGGGCGGCTCCCTCATCGCCGCCATCAACGCGGGCGGCCCGCCCGTCATCATCTACAGCTGGATCGGCGTGAGCTTCTTCTCTCTCTTCGTTGCCTACTCCTTCGCCGAGATCTGCAGCGCCTTCCCCGTCGCAGGAGGTCAATACTCATGGGTTGCCATCTTGACCCCACCGAAATGGGCCCGCCTCACCTCCTACCTGTGCGGCTGGTTCATCGTCATTGGCTTCCTCTCCGCCGGCGCAGCCAACGGCTTCATCGGCGCCAGCTTCGTGTTGGGGCTCGCCCAGATCGCCCATCCGGACTACACCATCGAGCGCTGGCACGTCTGCTTAGTCTGCTACCTCGTCCTCATGCTCGCCGCGGCCGTCAATCTCTGGGCCCGCCCCATCCTCGACAAACTCTCCAAGACCATGATGGTCTTCAACCTGACCTCCTTCATCGTCGTCATCACCGTAATCCTCTCCATCGACAACAACAAGGCCTCCGCAGCATTCGTCTTCAAGGACTTCGTCAACAACACCGGCTTCTCCAACTCCTACGCTTCCCTGCTGGGAATCCTGCAAGCCGCCTTCGGCATGACCGGCTACGACGCCACAGCACACATGACGGAAGAGATGAAGAATGCACGCAAGGACGCGCCTCGCGCGATCATCTGGTCCGTGTGGATTGGCGCCTTCAGCGGGTTCTTCTTCTTGATCGCGGCGTTCTTCTGCATTCGGAACCTTGACGCTATTGAAACCACCGCCACGGGCGTGCCATTGATCGCGATCTTCCAGCAGGCTACAGGGTCAGTGGGTGGAGCGATCGGGCTGACTGTACTGATCACCGTCATCGCTCTTGTCAGCTTGTGCTTCCTCATGGCGCAGAGCTCGCGCGTCGTCTTCTCCTTCGCGCGCGACCATGGATTGCCCTTCAGCAAGTATATCAGTCGTGTGCACCCTACCCTGCACGTGCCGCACTTTAGCATCCTGACCGTGCTGGTGGTCAACATGGCGCTCATGGCGATCTATTTCGGATCCGTGACAGGCTTCAACACTGTCCTTGCCTTCTCCACCGAGGGCTTCTATCTCTCGTACATCATGCCCCTCTTCGTCCGCGTCTGGGGCCGTCTGCAGGGCCGACACGACATCGACAGCGCCTTTTCCTTGGGTAAATGGGGCATGGCGTTCAATCTGATTGGAATGGCATACCTGGCGTTTTGCGTCGTGGTGTTCAACTTCCCGAGCGTCAGTCCCGTCAACAGTGAGAACATGAACTATGCCTCCGCTGCGGTGGGTGTTGCGGCCTTGATCGCTGCAATCACCTGGCTGACGACGGGGAGGAAGCACTTCACGGGCCCGCAGAGGGGTGGGATTTTGGAAGGCTATGGCCCTCGCCCGAGTAACGACGGACATCATGTGGCCGCCGTGCTCGGGAAGGAGGAGCATCTGAAGTAATTTGGATGTGTGATTGGGAGTGGTTGGCGCTCACTTGTACAACAATATCTACGATACAAGCCCTTGTCCGGCATGGACTGGCGCAAAAGAACGAGAACGAGAACCTGGAATGCTGGTCGTTCACCCTCACTCAGCCTGCAGCCAACAGGCTGGAGCAGAGGGCACTTGTTCGATGATGAACTGACGACGAAACGAAGCGAGAAAATGTTTGTTATTTGTTTGAACTGATTTAAGAAGATACCCCACCTATGCTATAGGCAGCGATATGAGCAACAGCATGGGCACTTGTCCGGAATGGACTGGGTCTGCGAATTTAGAGTACGCATACGAGATGTAATTTGGTTAGATTGGATATCACGCTCTTTCAATTCAAGGCTACTGTAGCTCTCACAACAGAATCGGTATTTTACATATGTTGCCTTGAATCATTCAATCGACCTGATTATCTCTTGATCATCTCTTGACTTTCGTTTTTCGCAAGGACCCAAATCAGAACATGCGGCACATAGTGCGAGTGTACCACTGAGGAGCTCCCAGCTATGTCTCGGACAGCAGAAGCAGGATCCTGACGCTTGTGAACGGCATCATGGCATCTAGCGGTATAGGCCAACGGAAACAAGAATGGCGACACACGCAGATGTTCTTCTCGAAAGGCTTTCAGACCTAGCACAGGTCTTGTGCTGGTGCTTGGGATAGATGCACGTCGAGAGCATGCCGTCGGTCTGTCGAAGTGAGATGGTGAGCTGATGCTTTCGGTGGGATCAATGAGCTTGTGAGGTTCTGTAGATATGGTACCATACAGACAGGCATGCTCAGTGCCAGAGAGACGAGCCAATCTAGATCGAACATTAGCATCTGATCTGCTGTGATGAACTCACAAGTACTTCACCAACGCATCTGGTATGCGAGGTACCATCGCATCAACGCAGTCCATTACCTGATAGGTGCTGCACGGAGCAAAGAGGCAGAAGAGCGAGTAGTGTCCGAAAACAAGCCACGTTGGGCCTCTCGACTCGATAAGTACGACTTGTGGCCAGTCCAGAAAGATCCATCAGAAGGAAGAAGCAGAGCTTCACTTTCTGGACTGCCCACAAGTCGTACTTATTGAGTCGAGAGGCCCAACGTGGCTTCCATAGCAATGTGCTGTGAGACAGCAGGTGCGCGATAGGGAAGGATCGACTTTCTGGGCGGTATGTCCTCTGCCGCTGAGGGAAGGCAGGTGCATGATTGGGAAAGGAAGTAGCGGTCCATGGCTTCGACTTGTGGTTGCTTCCAAATTGGTCGCTTCTTGGGATATCGGGAAGGCGAGTCCATCGTCCGCGTCCGCGTACATTTTTGAATACCAAAGCTCAAGTCCACGTTGCCAGCTCCTGCCGGAACTGAGCTAGAGTCTAGGAGCGTAAGATCCTGCGCATTGATGGGCGTCCTGTTTGTCGCGAGCTGTGCGTAGTCCACGTACGCTGGCGCGGCAGAACGTGTAGAAAGGGGAAAGCGGAGGCAATCTCAACACAAACGGAAACTTCGATTCAGCGGTGTGAGGAGTATCTAATTACAAAGAGACGCTTGGACTTTGATATCGCTGACCCTCCAAAATCAGATGCTTAGCAGAGGTCAGGCACAAGTTGAAGAAACATCTCGGTGGACGTTCTCGTGAGACACGATCTCGATTCTGCTTTTGCCACTACTCGCTTGAAACCAGTACCTTGCGATAATACATGATCACAGCCTTGTCTATGATGAGTCAGTACGCATCTTGATGTACACGGACACGCGCTAGCATACCTATGATGTGAAGCTCTTAGTGAAGCTCTGAACCACCTCCTTCAACTGTGCCTCGAGGTCTTTGCTGAGCTGACCCTCCTTGTCGATTGTCTTGAGCAGATCTTGCTGGTCGCTCTTGAGGTGGGCAAGGAAGTCAGACTCCCATTGCAAAATCTTGTTGACTGGGACGTTGTCAAGGTGACCATTGACACCGGCGTAGATAAGAGGCACCATCTCGTTGACAGCCATAGGGCTATACTGCTTCTGCTTGAGGAGTTCCGTCAACCGCTCACCGCGGTTGAGAGTCTGCTTGGTAGCGGCATCGAGATCGGAACCGAACTGAGCGAAAGCGGCGACTTCACGGTATTGAGCCAAGAAGAGCTTGAGCGAACCGGCGACTTGCTTCATGGCCTTGAGCTGGGCTGAGGATCCGACACGAGAGACAGACAGACCGACGTTGATGGCGGGTCGGATACCCTTGTAGAAGAGTTCGGACTCCAAGAAGATCTGGCCGTCGGTGATGGAGATGACGTTGGTGGGAATATAGGCGGACACATCACCACCTTGGGTCTCGATGATGGGAAGAGCAGTCAGAGAGCCACCGCCGTGCTTGTCGTTGAGCTTGGCGGCACGTTCCAGGAGACGAGAGTGGAGGTAGAAGACATCACCGGGGTAGGCCTCACGCCCGGGAGGGCGTCGCAGAAGCAGAGACATTTGACGATAGGCGACGGCTTGCTTGGAGAGATCGTCGTAGATGATGACAGCGTGCTTGCCGTTGTCACGGAAGTATTCTAGTCGAATGTCAGCGCACAGAACATGGATAGAGACCAAGGGACCTACCTCCGATGGCACATCCGGCGAAGGGGGCGATATATTGTAGTGGGGCAGCTTCTGAGGCAGTGGCAGCAACAACGACGCAGTACTTCATGGCATCGTTCTCCTCAAGAGTCTTGACGAGCTGAGCAACAGTCGAGCGTTTCTGGCCAACAGCAACATAAACACAGTAGAGCTTCTTGGTCTCATCGCCGGAGTCGTTCCATCGCTTTTGGTTCAACATGGTGTCGAGAGCAACAGCAGTCTTTCCAGTTTGACGATCACCAATGATCAGCTCACGCTGACCACGACCGATGGGCACCATGGCATCGACGGACTTAAGACCAGTCTGTACCGGCTGGTTGACGGACTTGCGGGGCAGGATACCGGGAGCCTTGACTTGAGCACGGATACGGCCTGAGGCCTTGATGGGACCCTTGCCGTCGATGGGGTTGCCGAGAGCGTCAACCACACGTCCCAACATAGCTTCGCCGACCGGAATATCGACCTTGTATCGTCAGTATGTACTCGTAATCTCTTGTGTGTAGATCTCACAATCTGGCCGGTACGCTTGACGGTTTCACCTTCCTTGACCTCACGATCGGAGCCGAAGAGCACGACACCGACTTGGCCAGCTTCCAAGTTCATGCACATGCCTTTGACGCCGGAAGCGAACTCGACCAGCTCCTCGGCTTGGACATTGCTCATGCCATAGACACGGGCAATACCGTCACCAACGGAGAGGACGCGACCGGTCTCAGCGAGTCCTGACTCTTCTGAGACACCGCGGATTCTCTGCTCAAGAATCGACGAAACTTCTGTTGGGGAGGCCTTTGCATCGGCGGCGTAGGATCGGACCTGCTTGGTGGCAGCTGTGAAGGACGGAGCTGCGATGCGAGCCTGCAGAAATTTGATGTTAGTCTCAGTCCATTGTCTTTGATGTTTGGTGGCTGTTCCCAGCTTTCGCGACCACTACTGCCCCTCTGAGCTTTGTTGAGGGCCCGATCAAGCTCCCGAGAGTGGTTGTAGATGGTTTCGGAGCTTCTTGAGTTGCTCGGATGCGGATAGGGAGCTTACAGCAGCTGGTCGAGAGATGGCCGCAGCGATGCGGCCAGACTGGCGCAACATGTTTCGGGACATCATCTTGCCTGGTCGTGAAGCTACAAAGGCTTGTCCCAAGCTCAAGATGGGTTGAATGAAGGAGGAATCGAGGGAGCGGAGAGAATGGGTGGTTGATGCAGTAGACGCAGCAGATTCGAAGCTCGGGGGAAGAAGTCCAATGCCAAGGATAAAAGCGGGTCGAGCTTCCGAGAAAGCAACTCAGGGTTAGGGTTGGATGGCATGAGGAGTGGCCGCGAATACGCGTGAGGCGTAGCCGACCACATGGTTGTCTGCACCAACTAAAGTTATGGGGCTGAACGACGAAGGATTCACGGCAATAGGGCACTCTCAAACCAAAGAGACCCAGGGACCTCATTGAAAAGGAGTCTGCAGCCATCTCCGAGGTCACAGGTCAATTATTCTCAGCATGTACATACACAGGTCTACACGATAGCATCGTTCTCCCGACATGGCCTCGTCCACCCTCACCACCGGACCACCTCCCAGATCCTCCAACAGTCCGCAGCCCCCAGCATCCGATGTCGAACTCACCACAGTCCAGAATGGCGACGCAGCACCCAGCCTTCCGCTTGAGGAAGACATCATGCAATGCGCTCGCATCGGCGCAATTGAACACATTCAGCGGATGATCGAATCCAAGAAAGTTGCTGCGACTTATGCGGACGAGGAGGGCATCACGCCTCTGCACTGGGCTGCCATCAACAACCAGTATGCTGTCTGCAAGTATTTGATCGACCAGGGCGCCGATGTGAACAAGAAAGGAGGCGACTCTGGAGCGACACCAGCAATGTGGGCCGCGCAACGATGTCATTTCTACATTGTCCATCTCCTCCTCGAGAACGGCGCAGATCCCCTCACACAGGACGTACAGGGCTATAACATCCTTCATCTGGCGACCATAGACGGGAACGCCTTACTATTGGCACTACTTTTGCATCAAAACATACCAGTCGACGCTCCAGATCCGCAAGGCCACACCAGTCTCATGTGGGCAGGGTACAAGGGCTGGCCAGCTCTAACAGACATGCTGCTTCGATGGGGCGCCAGCGTCAATGCCACCGATGACAGTGGGTTCACGCCACTTCACTGGGCTCTCGTCAAGGGCTCAAAGCCATGCATAGAGAAGCTCATCGAGTATGGAGCTGATCGATTCGCTAAGACGAACGAGGGTAAGACTCCCGCTACAGTCGCTGCGGAGATGAAGTCGGAAAAGCAGCTCCATCGTGCATTGTCAGACCAAGCTACACCGCCGACGGCCATCCACGCGCTCTGCCATTCGGACTGGCATCCCTCCTGCGCGACAAGTCCAAGATGTCCAAATTCTTCTTTCTATTCCCATTTGTGATCGTTTTCACCGGCCTGTACATTATCAGTCATTACACAGTCTACATCGCGGTACCGGCCGCTTTTGGCGTCGCCTTCTTGATGCAGCTGGGCCTGCAATACCTGGGAAACCACGGTCCAGCACAATTCCGACAGATCCACAAGACACCGTACCTTGCAGGCATCTTCTCAGGAACACTATTCCTGGTTGGACTTACATACTTCACCTCGATCCTCCCGTCCACCTTCTCAACGAACCCCTTGTTCAACGCCTTATTCGTCGCATTATACGGCCTAACCAGCTACTTCTACTACATCGCCGCCATCTCCGACCCAGGCTGGTCCCCAAACTCTCATCCCGCAACCAACAACGCGCTGTAATTTCCGAGCTTTTCTCCCTCTGGAAATTCGACGAAGACAACTTCTGTCTCTCCTGCATGATCCGCCGGCCCCTCCGTTCAAAACACTGCCGCCGTTGCGGTCGCTGCGTCGCCAAACAAGACCACCACTGCCCATGGATCAACAACTGCGTCGCCAACAACAACCACCGCCACTTCTTCATGTACATTCTCTGCATGGCTGGCGGCATTGCGGTGTTCGCCAATCTCGTTGTCGTCCACCTCTTCCACCTGCCATCTCCACCCCAAACCGCCGTCGACAGCTGCCACATCTTGAGCGCTAGCATCTGCGCCTATACCCTCCGGGATCCATACACTGTTGCCTTGACGATCTGGTCGATGCTGCAGCTTCTCTGGATCGGCATGCTGGTCGTCGTCCAATCCCTGCAAATCGCTAAGAACATGACTACGTACGAGAACATGAAGCGGCACAGCCACAATGAGAACCCACATTTACCGCTCCACCGCCCCAACAACACCATCACACAAGGCCACGCCCACGACACATCCGGCATCAACGACGTCGCTGCATCCTCCACCCGCCTCCAACCCACGCCCCACCGGCACGCGGAGGGTTGCTGGACGAAGCTGAAGCGCACGATCGGCCTGGACGTGTTCTTGGCTACTGCCTCGGATGCAGGAACCGGAAAGATGAAGAGCCTGGACCGGGGCAATCCGTTCAGCAGGGGCTTGATTGGGAATTGTCGGGATTTCTGGTGTGATCCTGCTCCCGTGTTTGGGCGGCGAGTGAACGGTGAGGCGTATCTGGGAGGTGAGGTGGTCGATTATAGCAGATTGTATGATGTGCCGGTGCGGCTGAGGAGAGGGGCGGGTGGGATGCGGTATGAGAGTTTGGCTGGTGATGAGGAGGATGTGTGAAGGAAGGCTAGGAGGCCTGCGTGAGTCTACGGGCTGTCGTAGGGAGATTGTGCATTATAGCGACTTATGAAATACATACTGTATCAAAGCCATCGTTTCACCCGGTGGCTTCCGATTCTTTCAGTCTCCTCATCTTCTTGCCCAACCCTGAGGCTCCTCTGACAGGCACTTCACTGCGACGATGTCTATATATCACTCCTCCCAGATTTTGAACCATCAATTATCAGCAACCTCGACCACTTTTAGCAGCATGGTGTCAGTGGTCCAACACGCCTTCAGCTCGGCAGTGGCATACGCTATAGCTAGCTGTGATTATAGGAGACCCTAGTTCGATTCTGGGTGCTGCGAATATTCTTTTTGCTTTTATGGCGAGCTCAATGAACAGCGTGATCAGTCGGCAATGTAGTGTTGAGGGAAGTGAAGATCAGGTGAGGCGAAGGGGACTAACGCACCTCACGTACGAATACTTGACGTAGCAAAAACAAAGACGGGGAGGCCGCTGAGAGGGGAAACTCGGTTGAATCAGGATAATTCAAAAGGAACGTCGATGGGAAGGAGCACGACTGCATTTCGAGCTGTCGCAGCTTTTGCAGCAATCTCTGAGTATCAAGTCTATTGATCACATCTTCGGCCGCGGGGCCGCTCCGTTCTTCCATGTCTCTGTTGACGTAGCAGCAGCAGCAGCAGTACTCTTACCCTCGCCCCTCGGTACCTTCCTGTCCACACCCAAGCTCTCCAAGCTCTTCTTACTGTAATAATGCGGCGCGACCTCCATCAACCACTCAGGCTTCAGCGGCATAACGCTTCGCATGAATTCCTTACTCGTCAACACCAGTTCGTAGTAGATCACCCACTTCGGATTGACCTCCATCAACACACTGCTAGGGTGGATGTAAACTGTCTGTCCATTCTTCACCTGGCGGTAAGTCTGTCCGTCTCGCTGCAGACGTGCTGAATTTGGGAAGAATCCTGCTGTGATGGCTTTCTGGATGGGCACAATCTCTTGAACGCCGCCAGAGGATTTTGAGGCGTCGACTTCGACTCGGTCGCAGAGGCGGGCGAGCTGGTCGCGCACGTCGCGGGCGCGGGTGAGGGAGCGTTGTTGGAGGAAGTTCTCTTTTGCCCAGATGATTGAGTAGTCGGTGTCGACCCATTCGGTCCAAACATTTAGTAAGCTCAGGTGGTCGCCGCCGTCTTTGTTTGTGAAGCGAGCGCGTGCAGAGTCGGCATGTACTTGCTTGTCTTTCGGACGGAAGAAGAGGGCAGAGGCTTCGCCCAGCATAGCGATGATGCTCAAGACTTCAGCCACACAGCCGTACTTATCTGCAGCTAGTATTGCGCGTGCAAACATTGGATCTGTTGGGAACTCGGCCATCTGGCGGCCTATTTTGGTAAGCTCGCCTGCGTTGTTCAAAGCACCAAGAGCATATAGCTGCTCTACAGCGCGCACTATAGTATCCGTGGACGGTGGATCCATGAAGTCGAAGTCGAGGAGATCATTGATGCCGAGGGACTTCAGCAGTAGTATTACGCCAGTAAGGTTGGTTCGCTGAATCTCGGGAGTTGTATTTGAGTCGAGCTCGTTCTTCCAGGCTTGTTTAGTGTACAAGCGAAAGCATTTGCCAGGACCTACACGCCCAGCACGTCCAGCACGTTGACCAGCTGAGGCTCGGGAGCATGGAACAACGACGAGAGATTCCATGCCTGTGCGTGGGTTGTACTGGTTCTCCTTGACAAAGCCAGGGTCGATGACGTACACAATGCCATCGATGGTAAGAGAGGTCTCAGCGATATTGGTAGCGAGCACAACCTTGCGGGCATTTGGTGGTGTAGGCTCAAAAATCTTCGCTTGCAGGTCTGTGGGTAGGTTGGCATAGATCGGACATATGACAAGCTCCTTCGCCTTTGAGCCGAGTTTCCGTGCTGTTTCTGCAAGGTTCGCCTCCATGGCCTCGATCTCTTCCTGGCCTGTCAAAAACACTAATATGTCTCCTGATGGCTGCGAAAGGTGTATTTGGAATACTGTGGTTATGGCTGCGGAGATGTAGTTGGCCTCTGGCTGCGCAGTGTAATGCACATCGACTGCGTAGCGGCGACCAGGAATGTTGAAAATGGGTGCATCGTCGAAGTATTTCTGAAACTTCTGAGCGTCCATGGTAGCTGAGGAGATCAACAGCTTGAGATCTGGTCTTGCTTTTGAAATATCCTTTAGTAAGCCGCAGGCTATGTCGGTACTGACGGTCCGCTCGTGTGCCTCGTCGATCATCAAAGCAGAATACTCTGACAGCTCGGGGTCTGTGAGCAGTTCTCGGAGCAGCATACCGTCCGTCATGTACTTGAGCACTGTCTTCTCGCTCGTGTTGTCTTCGAATCGAATGGCATATCCCACCTCGTTGCCTAGTCTTTTGCCCATTTCTTCTGCCACTCTGGCGGCTACACTCATAGCTGCAACTCGCCGTGGCTGGGTACATCCGATCTTCATGCCGTCTTTGGTGAAGCCTGCTTCATGCAGGTACTGTGGTATTTGGGTGGTTTTTCCTGACCCTGTCTCTCCTACGATGATCAAAACTTGGTGATCGTGCACCGCCTGGATGATCTCATCGCGGAATTGGTAGATGGGGAGGCTTTTCCTGGTTTCTTCGACACTTTTTGCCTTGGCTTCAGCAGCGCTGATTCGTTGTTTGAGGTCTCGCTCTTCTCTGCTCATGCGCAGGTCTCCTCCCAGGGTCTCGCTTGCGATGAATTGCAGTTGTTGGCTCTCATCGAATACATAGCCATAGTCGCCTTCGTCGAAATCAGGCTTCTTGACCTGTGCCTCTGCTCTTTTGGTCTGTTCAGCTTCCCATTCTTCGTGCTCGGTGACGAATTTCTCTCGACCGCTCTTGTCGCGATCAACATAGCGCTTGTAGAGCGCATCATTCTTCTTCTGACGATCAAGCTTTCCCTTCTCGGTGATGTAGTCGTCTGGTAGAGCATAGCCGTCTAGGTGCTCGTCGATCTGGAGTCTTTCCTCTGCTATTCGTAACAGTTCCCTATTCCTTGCGAATTCTGCTCGCTCTTTGTCTGTGAGGTCCGGATTGTCTCGGAGTTCTCGTTGTTCATCGTCTACTTGCTGCCGGAATAGTGCAAGTTGCTCGGCTTCTCTTTTCTTGAGATAATCTTGTCGTGATCGTAGTCGTAGATCTGGCATTGCAGCATCGCGCGCGTCTTTGTCGTCTGCTAGTGCCCTCCTCTGCGCTGTGACGCTGTCTTTGGCGGCGGAGCGGTCCTCGAGAACTTTTTTGGATCGTTCGGCATCTCTTTTGGCTAGACGGGCCGCGAATTCGTCCCTATCTTTATTTTCTTGATCCCTCTCACTATTTCCTGTTCCTCGGACTCCATTGTCTCTAGAGGTCTCTTGGGGTGGGTGTTCAATGTCGGCGCGCTCGTAGGTGTCAGTCCTGGTCCGCTTTGCGGGAGGCTCGAGGGAGTCCACATCATCAGGAACGGGCTGCTCGTCTCCCCAGCGGTCGTCGAAGGACTCGTGGTCTGGTACTCGACGCCGGACATTGTGTTTGGATCTGGAGCTGGCCATGTATCGCCGCTGCGTACTTGGTCAGTCGATCATTCGGGATGATGTGCAAGGTGGTGGGTAGGCAGGTGGGTAGGAAATAAATCCAGACGACAAGAATTGGAGAAAAGGCAACGAGGAGATGACTCCACCGCCAAGATAACTTACACGAGACAGCGCAGAGGGAGAGTGATGGGCCGGAGCTCATCGAAGCGGGTTTCGTCCTCAGAGTCCTCCTCGGACTCATCTGCGAAGTCGGCCTCCTCTCGACGGAATGCCCTATACGTCTTCTTGTGATACAAGCGGACTCTCTGCCCAAGCTTGTACAAGACTCGCCGCTTCATCGGCTGAGCTTGACCTGTCTATGGATTTTCAGTCAGCCAGTGCTCAACAAATCAATCATATCATTCTGCGACGACCATGTGAACGAGCTGCATCGTCTCTGAAACGTGCTTATCACGCGCAAACTTTCGAGCTCGTAGATGTCTCTAGGCTAGATCATTCGAAGCTTGCTTGCAGACTGGCCGACGTCTCTGAGACTCGATCGTTCGAGGCTTGCTTTAACGCTGACCGAAGTCTCTAAGACCAGGTAACATGAACCTCGCTCGAGTCTGACCAGAGTCTTTAAGCGCAGATCGCGTTAAGCTCGCCTCAAAACTGACCGGAGTCTCAAGCATGCCTCAGAAGGCCTGGGCGCCTCGAATTTCGACTCCAGTGCAGAGTCCTCCCTGGAGGGATTGCTGAGGCGTGTAGGAATAGGAATGGAATGCACATACCTTATGGGCCGCAGCCAGGCACCGCTGGATCGCCAGCAGCACGTCGCGCACCAGCCAGACAATGTTGTCTTCGTCGTCCGGCCACTCCCACAACACGTCCTCGTTCTCCCACTCTCCCTCCTCCAGCTCCTTCCAGCTCCGGACATCGTCGCGGAGCCACACTATGCGCTTCCGGCCGCACCAGTAACGCCGCCCATTGTGGGCTTTGTGCACCCACGCAAACGCGATCTTCTCCAGGCGGGCTCTGTTGCCACGCCGCGTACCCTTGAGGAGGGGGTCGAAACCCTCCAGCCACGACCAAAAAGCGAGAAACAGCTCTCGCTGCTTCTCACGCCGGATCTGGAGGCCATCCAGGACCTCCTCGATCGCATCCATCGCGACGTCGTCCCGCAGGACCAAGGCCTTGTAAACGGCGTTCTGGGAGGGCTTCATGGCGGCGAAGGCGCGGGCGAGTGGCAGCAGCAGCAGCAGAATCGGTGTATTCGAGGGCGAAGGAGCAAAGAAAGAATCTTGTGGTAGGGTAGTCCAGAGAATTGATTGTTACTACAGAGCCCGCCTCAAGTTCCGAATTTCGTTTGCCACCAACTACGACAGCGCTAATTCTTGGCAGCGCACTCACTTGGTGGTTATATATTATTGTTTCACATTTCTGCTCAACAATCAGCCACCAATCGACGACAATCGAGTTCGCAGAAACCCTTCCCTGACCAGGAAGTGTACTTTAACTAGGCGTGGAGTATGGTTCTCGGTTCGAATTGAGGCAGGGCTGACTGTTTTTTCCTTCTTTTTTTGGTGTCAAGGCTACTGACTGAAAGTATATATTTTGTTGTCAAACAATTTGCGTCAACAATCGACCACAATCACTCAGAACGAGTTCGCAGAAACCCTTCCCTGACCAGGAAGTGTACTTTAACTAGGCGTGGAGTATGGTTCTCTGACTGCTTGGTTGTCTAGATTGTTTTTTGCTTTTTCTATGTCAACTAACAGGCGATTCGAGTCTCACAGATGCCATCCCTTCTTGCTTTTTGCTTTTTGTCGACCCCAGAGTCCTCCTGACAGGAATCTTGCCGCGACGGGCCTGCAACAGACCGACAATGCTCCGCTCAGTATCACGATCATACTATCCGGAGGTCTCCATGAGATCTCTGTGCCCGCAATCATGGCTAGTCACAGTTCACGGCATGCCATTCGACTTTTTGCTTTTCCAAACGTTCGGAGTCCTCCCTGCGAGAATTCTGTGTACGTGACCCACACCACCAAGACCCTCGAGCTGCTAACACTACAGTGACACTTTGCTCGATGAGACCATTGTACCACCTGAAGGCCTCTGTGTCATACAGCACGACTGCGGCCATGGCCAGTCGAAGCACACCAGATCTTAGTCCTTTTTGCTTTTTCAACATTCCAGAGGCCGCCTCGTCTGGGTCAATTACCATGAACCATTTTGCCAAGACTCACCCGCTTCAGCTCCGCGCTGACCTTCTGCCTGAGCATTACCATCTTGCCATCTGGAGGCCTCTGAACCACCCTTCCGCGACAGCGATCCCGCAATCCATTGATATCGGACACTCACGGCTCCAAGCCGCTTGTGTCTGCGCTGCAGAGAACCCGTCGTCCGCAACAGTCGAGTGCTACCGGCAACTCCAGTCAGTTGCGGTCGGCACAGATCATCTGTGCTCGAACCCGCCTCTCTGACTTCCCCAACATGACCTGCCGAGGCTCAACAAGAACACCTTGCGTGCCTACGAGACCAATCGGTGCAAAGTAAAGCGGCTGTACGGCTAATCGTGCCGAAGGGACCGCGTTGGTGTGAGCACCACGACGCCGAGATCGGCAGCACGAAGTAGGTTGCCGTCGTTGAGAAGGTGCTTAAGAGCCTGACAATCTAAAGCAGTTGCTTTGCTGTAGACACGACGATTCTAGTCTCAAGTCAATAGCGTCCTCCGGAACCCATTTCCAATTCGAGGTTGATCCACTACAAGAATTTCTATTTGTGTCTACGAATGAAGGGCTGCCAGACACATATCGAACTAGCAGTATGCATGAAAACAATACATCAAGGCGAGCGAACGTCTCTATCCATGTTGAGCTACTTCTCTGTAGCTGACTAGCTGTTCGTCATGGTCGTCGAAATGAGTGGTGTGTACACGCGCTCGTATCCTTCGTTCTCTGCCCTCATATCCTTGTGCTCTTCTCGGCCCGCAGGAGCATTTCTGATGCTACCTTCCTTTCCCTTGCCAGGATCTCAATGATTGGGGTGCCTCCTTCATCTTCAATACACAACTCCTTCGCTATCTCCTGGAGGTATCAAATTGGACGCTCTGCTCATCGGCATCCTTCCATTGCTTGTCACACGCTGCGTCATCAACTGGTCCACCCGTTCTTTGCGCAGTTGCAAAGACATCACATCGTTCTCGTGAAGCATGGCATTGCATGCACCTGCTCTCCCGTTAATTGACTGTGGCTGAGGTACACTTATCTCATCGCAGAAGGTCTGTTGGATTGATGTCCGACTGGGTGACCCATGCCAGTCGTGAATAGTACGACGCAGCTTGCTTATCAAACATCGATCATTTCGTGGTCCTGTCGGAGGATCTCATCAGCTGGACCCCAGTTGCCTTCATAGACCGTGGCACCTGCTCGTCGACGTTCCCCAACAAACCTAACACCTTCTGTGGCCAAGATCTGGGAAGCCACAGGTCTCTGCAGCGGATCGGGACTGATCATCCATCGGACAATGCTATCCAAGGATTGAGGATACTCGGCATCGACCATGAATTGTGGTGGATGTAGAAGCTCTCCTTCGCGTGGCGTGATGTCCTTGGCATTCTCGACTCCATCGACCATGTCGTGATCCACGTTCTCGGCAGCCAAGTCCTCGTCGACGGGATTGCCAGAGGCATCTCTTGTGACAATACTATTGTCAGAGCTGAAAGTCAGGCTAGGCACATCGCTCATGTCTCCTGACCGGAGCTTTTGCCAAGATGCGCCGTTGTCCGGGAGCTCGACGTTGCCCGCTGTCTCCAGCATCATCAGGCCTAGTGCGAACACATCGGCAGGCTTGTCGAACTTGCCCGTGAGTACCTCCGGCCCGATGTACTCTCGATCTCCTTCACCATCGGTTCCTGCTGCGGCAGGCCAACGTACAGCCATACCAAAATCCGCAATCTTGAGCGCACCTTCAAAAGAGATCAGGACATTTGCTGGCTTGAGGTCCAGGTGAATGAAGCCGCAATCGTGGATGTGTTGCAACCCGGTGGATAGCTCGAGAAGAATTTTCCAGATGCGAAAATCGTCCAGTCGAGCTTTGGCGCCAATCCTCGAGAGAAATGCTGAGAGAGTTCCTTCCTCGCAGAACTCAGTCTGGATGTAGAGATGGTCCTCGTTCTCCCAGCTATCGACGAAGCCAATGACATGCTCAGATCGACCCAAGACTTTGAGTATCTCAACCTCCTTCAGCTTTCGTTGTCGGTCCTTGTATCCAGTGTACGCATGTCGTGACTTTTTGACAGCCCAAACCCGTTCCTGCATCGAGCTGCGGGACGATGAGCGACCGTTGGTGACGTAGATCTTGTGGTAGGGTGAGGATTGAGGCGGTTGCGATACTCGATACACCTCGGAGAACTCGCCAGTTCCAACGAGATCCACCTTCTCGAAGCGACTGGTCAGAGAGCTGTCGGCGGTCGCATCACGAGCTGCATTCTGGTCGAGACTGGGTCTATGAGAGAAATTGCTGAAGTACTCTCGAGGCCCAGTTGGTGTGGCTGGGATAGCCGGCGTGAAGCCATTCCTTGTTGATGGTCGACCAGATATGGAGAGTCCGCTCGGATCGGGAGGGAAGCAACCCTCCTGAGGCGTATGAGGAGAGTATCGATTGGCTCTATCGCCATGAGGTGTGACTGGAGTAAAACAACCACTTTTAGTACGTGTCATAACAGGGGACTTTTGGGTAGACAAAACAAGGGCACTCCTCGCCAGCGGAGTTGGGGATGTCATGTTCTTCAGCATACGATTTTTGGTGAAAGAAGCGCTGGGGTTTTGCGACTTCCTGACTGGTATCCTTGATGCAATGATCGCAGACGGCGAACCGTTCACAGTGCCGTCATTTGCATCTTCGACGCTCTCGGGTGACTGAATAATGGGAGGCAATAACTTACTGCTTGGAAACGGGTTGCTCCCTGCAATCGGCACGGACAAATTACGGCCATGGCGTGGCGAGGGAGACACTGAGAGACCTCGTAGCGGCTCATCAAAGTGCCTCGTCGGTGTGGGAGACAGATCGGACTCTGTTGACTGGCTGTCCTGGCCTTGGCTAGGAGACTGGGAGCTCTTCTTGGCTTCACTGCCGATGGAGGCAAAGCTCATCTTGCGCATCAGAGAGGGTCTAGTAGCACGGGCTCCAAGACCTATAGCGTTGCCGGAATGAAATGCCAAAGGTCGGATGGATCGTGCCTCTGCTGGCGTCGCGGGCATACCGAAGGACTCTCGATTCTGCTTCATGACACCTTTGACGTTGCCAAATCTGTTCGTGGGAAGCAGCACGGAATGCCTCTTGCATGGGGTGTCCGGCATGTGAGCTTTGGGCAAGCCGCCATTAGGATCTTCAGCATTTCGATTCTTCTTTGATATAAGACCTGTTGACATGAAGGCAGCTGGGAGAGGCTTGGCCGATTTGTATGCACCAGGTGTTGCGAACGAGCTTTGCGATGAATGCTCTGATACGTCTGCAGATGCTAACGGATTGAGAGCCCCGGCAGGCAACGAACGTGAGAAGTCGTGAGACTTCGGCCGAGCTGGTCTGTGGAATGGCTCGTGAGTCGGAGAATCATCCTGAATGCTCGTAGTCGATGATGACTGAGTGACTGTGCGTGACAGTGGATGTCGGGATGACGAGGGCACCCCCTCTTGCTGGCTTTGATGCTGCACAGTCGCCGGATGAATCGATGCGTTCAGCAGATGACCTTGAGCGGAGAACGGACTCTCTCTTGGCATGGGATCGATGTGGTTGTCCAGCGACATGCGAAGAGATTTATCGTTCTTGCCAAAGGGAGTGGTGCTGAAAAGGCTGCTTTCCAGCTCGGTCGGTTGAGTGAATTTCATGTTGAAGGGTGAGCGCTCGGCTTGCCTTTGCTGTATGGTGGATTTTCTGAGTGAAGATGCGCGCTTCGGGACGGTGCTAAATCTCGAGGAGGGCAGGGGAGACGCGGTTCTCAGCCAGTCATTGTCGTCCTGAGAGCGATTATCATGGACGGCGTTGGATAGTGTGTCTGACTCGAAAATGCTGAAGAAGTCACTGCCCACGCTTGGACCGTGAAGACTGCGCCGTTTTGCAGAAGGGCTCATGATTTCGGTCGAATCTACCGCCATTGGCTCTGATCTCTTCATAGGGCTCTGAGGTGGCGGCATAAAGCTCATCATGCTTCCACCGCTTCGGCGCTTCTCTTGCCTTGTGTAGACATGTCGGCTACCAAGCGTATCTTCTTGACTAGAACCGTTCTCCTTGTCGTCGCTGAATGATGTGCTTGTTGTGTCCTGTTCGCGATCGGCCTCAGTCGAGCTCCTCTTGCGCAGAGTAAGTGGGGTGCCAGTTACCGAGTTGGACTCTGTCAAGATTCGCCTTGAAGGACTCTTGGGAGATGTGCGTCCGCGTAGGTTGCTGGTAGTTTGGGTCGTTCGTCGCAGACCCGGTCTCGATTGGCGCGATGACGCGTTTCTGTAGACGAACGGAGAAGACATAGCGCTCGGCTGCTGGAATAGGTCCGCTACCGATCTCCTGGATACCGACAGTGGCGATGGCTGGACCGGCGTTGCTGATGTGGAGGGAGACTGTGGGCGCGAGCTATGTTTGAAGTTGAATTTCGACGGCGAACGAGATAACGAGCGCTGAATTTCGCCTATTGCATCCAGATGCAAATCGGTCTGTCGCAGCCGGTGCGGGGAGCTGAAGTCGACGGGAGAACCCTCGCGATGAGGTGAGCAAGTTCCGATCATTTCAATGTTGTTCTTGTCACGGATTCAAGTCGATGACTCTTCACTCGTTATGAAGGGCTACGGCCATGTGACCAAAACCCACGACCGAGGTTGAGATCGGTCAATGGAGTGTCGACAGAAGCTGGGCACTGAGATGATGCTTTTGTTCTGTATCGCCGGCTGATAGATCGTGTACTGTATCAGCCAGATAACTTTTGCCACTCAAGAAGGACGAGGGCGTGAGGGTCGTCAAGAAGTTGCTCCAGGCTGACTTGCGCCGATGTTCTGAATAAGTGTTTACAGGCTGTGTGGACCGTCTGTCATGCTATTGATACTGCTGGAACAGGCAAGATGGATTCAGTCTATTCCAACTCTTGTGGGTGATCGAGATGTGTCGAGATGTATGACAAATGGACGAGGTAGGCAACAGAGATGGCGCTGTTTACTATTTTTCGGAGAACGCGTCGAGTGGCAGGTGCGATGGGTGTCGGTGCTCTGGATTTGATGTTGGGTTCAATCTATCCCAACAACAATCATAATCATGGTGTCTACAGCTGATGATAAGAGGATGCGTGGTATGAGGTAACCTCCAGAACGACGGCTGTGATCACTGGACCCTTTTTCCAATCCAAGTTCATGCGAAAGGGCAAAAAAACAACACAGCCAGGATTTCGCGCGGCCGGTCTCGAGACGCGACTTGGGCTCCACCAAACAAGCATCAGGCTTCTCCCGGCAATGCGTCACAGCCGGTTCTCTCGCATGACCCTACTACTGCACCCTACCACACAGAATTCACAGCGCTCGCACACCTGATCCCGAGTGTACGGTTCTTATCATCAAGAGCGCAATATAAAGTCGTCGCTGCCATCGAGCTGAGGAGTCTATTCATTCTACAGCACACACAGCATGCGCACGTTGGACCATTCCCCTACAAACAGCAATTACACCCAGAGAGATTGTTGCAATCTCCAATCACAAGGGTCGAAATCAGTCCCTTCGCCTGTCCATGAAAGGCCTCCGAATTCGGTCGCCAAATTTGGTAGGACGTAAACATCCGAACACTGGAGAACCCCCCGCCCTTATCCCTCATGATGGCTCGTCCATTACAAGTCCAATCAATGAATGAATGCACTCGACCTTTGTGACATGAAAAGGTTCGAAACTCTTCTTCAGCATTCGCTGTTCAGTCCCACCCAGCATCTCTGTGTACGATCAACGTCGCGTCGTGATTTGCACCGTTGCTGTGGCAGTCCGCTGATCGTACACCGTACAAGTGCGCATAGGCCACTTCTGGGCCACATGATTCAGGGACTTTCCAGGGTCTGACAAGCATTCTTGCAACAACACCGACGGGTGTCTTGCCGGTGTCAGCCACTCTCGAAAGAGTCACTGGCACTGCCCGACTTGCATCAGCTGCTTGAGGTAACTTTCGCGATAAAATCGGCAGCAAGTCAGATGCCCTGACCGAAGAGTAGTGACGATGGTCCTAGCTTGTGGGAGGAAAGCACATGGGAATGCGCAAGTTTATGCCTGCCTTCACTCAGCCTTCTTTCCAATGCGATCCTGATAAGCATCCCATCCTGCCTTGCGATATGCTTCTGCCGCTTTCACAGGATCGTTGTTGGCGTAGATACCTCGTCCAGCGATGAGAAAGTCCGAGCCTCCAGCCATGGCAGTCGTAGGAGTCTGATACTGTTGGCCAAGTGCATCTCCTTTGCTGGCCATGTTCACGCCAGTAGTGAATACAACGAAGTCTTCCTCATCAGTGGCATCCGAGGAGAGACCAGATAGCGCCTTTGTGCAGACAAAACCCATGACTGTTGATGGATATTGTTTGGCGATGGCAACAGATGCTTCCGTGTAGCTGCCCACGGCTAAAGATCCCTTCGAAGTCATCTCAGCCAGTATCAAGACCCCACGATCGGTGACATTGTGAGTCTTGATGGTCTCCTCCAGTGCCTGAATGACTCCTGGACCTGGTAGGACAGCAGCATTGACGATGTGTGCCCACTCATGGATTCGTAGAGCACCCCCACGGTATTGCTTCTGGACAGTGTTGCCGATATCGATGAATTTGCGATCTTCGAAGATCAGAAAGTTGTGCTTCTTCGAGAGCTCGACCAATCCATCCGTTGTCTTGCGGCTGAAGTCGTCAATGATGTCAATATGTGTTTTGAGAACTGCAATGTATGGGCCGAGATCTAGCGCTCGCGGTCAGAGATTGGTCACACTGTAGAAGGTTCCTTGTTGTTATACTCACCATCAGCTATTTTGAGTAGTTCAGCTGTGCTGGTCAGATCTGCGGAGAGAACGATGTTGGTGGACTTCTGCTCTGCAATTTCGAACAGGCGCCGGGTGAGCGGACTTGGGTGGTTCACCGCACGCTCAGCGAAGGACAGATGGCTTTTCGATGCCATGGTGCTTTCTTCTTGCCTTAAGGGTCGCTGCAAACTTATTGAAGCATCACACTAACAGACCGAGAATTGCAATGATTTATCACGTGGATAAATTTGCTTAGTTTGAGCTACGGATTAGCGACACCGCACGACTGCATTGAAGTCTGCAGGTGTGGTCGATTGGGGCTTTGGGGTGTGGCGTTGGGGCGTTGGTCCTTCTGTCATGTCATACAGAGAGGCCTCCCGAAAAGCCCTGGGTGACCCCAAGCAAGGCGGTTCCTGCTGCGGTGAGTAGATGACGGCGATGTCAAGCTACCCAGGTGACCTACATGTCACTTTCTGGAATGTCCAACGCCTCAGGCTCACCGTCTCTACCTTCGAGTTCTTGGTGTTTCCGATGCTGAGGCTTGATGAATAGGCCAGTTTTGCCACGTGTCACGGGCTCAGTCAGCCATGGTGCCTGGAAATCCCACTCTCCGGGTGTAGTGCACTCGCTTGGGCTTCTCAGAATCTTTGCGATTGGGCCCGGCAATGCTCAACGGCCTGCCGGTGCAATAAATTCAGGTCCAAGGTTCTCGGTCCGATCGTCATTCCAGTGATCGCCACTGCGAATGCTCAACTTCTCCATCCCTACCTCCTCCGGTCTCCTCATATTGGGTTCTATTCCCGTCTGCCTGCTCACTCCTTCGTAAAGGATCGTCTTCACACCTCGGTTCACCGCCGTTAATTCTAAGTCATCAGCAAGGTACCTTCGCGTCTCAGTGATCTTGCGCACCCTTCGAGGCGAACTTCGCACTTACACTGCCAACATCTCTGAGTGTCGTCATAAAGCCATCCAACTCTTTCTCCACGACGATCCAACCACTGATCGGCGCCCGAAAAGCACTCTTACGCTAGAAATAAATGGCTACATTCGACTGCGACTTACCTGGCTAAGAGCGCATTGTGGTTGAAGTATGTCAGGCGACGGGGCCGCAGACAAGGGAGGGTTGCCGAAAGATCCTCCTAGTTCGAGCACATCAGATCAGACAAAGGCCAGAGAGCCCTCACCCTTGCGCGCTTCACGAAGCTCTTCTTCCATTCCCACCGTCTCGAGGTCACGAAAGAATAGCTCGGAATTTAGTCCAACAAGAAACACCGCTTTGAGCGGTACGCTCTCCACGATTCCATCGGCTGCCGCTGTGCAGCGTGCCTTGTCGGCGCAAAGACCTGTGCTTACCCCCGGAGGAGCAGATGGTGCAACAGACACTTCGCGCGTCGACAAGACGTCAAAGCCGACCAGCTCACCATCCTGGCCGGGATCACCAAGACTGAAGTCACCTCCGCCGCCCGCCTCAGGAGCGCGTCATCCTCCCCAGCAGAAACGTAATGAGGCGGATCAAATGGCTTCCAACACTTCACTCAAACGTCAATCGGTCCCAGCGGCCGAAAGCAGCTCTACCCCGCAGGCGTCCGATGCACCGAAGGACCCAGCAACCGGACAGTCTACGTTGAGACCTCCTGGACGTGGCGCCAGCGTGCCTGCAGGGGCCCTTGAAACGGTTGCGGAAGGCAGTGTGCCATCCACCTCGTTCATGGGCTCTGTAGGCAAATCCCAGCAGGAAGGGAAGGGCGGCCCGGGCGAACCGGGTCCCGGTCAAAACGGACCCTCGTCTTCGGAGCAGAAGTCAACGTCAAACAAGCCAGCAGATGACGCACGGGCGCGATCCACGAGCACATCCAAAGTGACATCAAATTTGGCCAAACGCTCGCTAACAAACTTGACTACTGCGAAGCCGAAGCCGCCAGATCCGCCACGCACAATGACCGTCGAAACAGAACCTGTCGTCACTAATACACAAATCCTGGGCCCTGATCGATATCTCAGTGGGCGTGACGGTAGTGGCAGCATTCGCACCAAGCCTAGTAATGAGACCATAAGGCCAAAGAAGGAGAAGAAGAAAACCCGAAAGACACCTTCGGTCCACGCAGTGACAGGGAGTTCGAAAGCTGACATCTTCGAGGCCAAGGTGGCGAGTGCAGTGGATGAAGCAGACACGTCTGACTCGGACGAAACCTTTGTCTACGAGTCAAATCCACCGGACAGCAGGTCTCATAGGCATCATTCTCGGACGCCGAGTGGTACTTCTCTGGCCAGCACAGAGCCCCGAAACCGTCATGGCTTACGTTCTGGAAGCCACGCGGTGGGGCAGAAGAAGAGCATGAAGTTCTCCAATAGCGGTTTTAACAACCAATTCGACGATGACGAGGATGGAAGTGGTCGAGGCAGTCTTCGCAACCCTTCGACACACCGTCATCACCACATCGGAAGGCATGGCAAGACCGGCCACAATTCTATCCTCGACTCCAACTCGCCGTTCAGTCAAGCCAGCAAAAGTAATTCACCTCGAGCAGCAACTGCGAACGTCGCACGTTCGTCTCGGCCTAATAGTCCCAGGTTGCAGAACGGGCGAAGTCCGCTCAGTCCGAAGAAAAGCGACCCATTCGACATGTATGACAACATGGCTGACGACGAGCGAACACCTCTGATGGGCAATGGGTCTGGCTCTGTTCGTGTCAATCGCACCCGGCACAGTCGCCGCATCCACGGCTCCGGCCTGCGTAACAGCGAGTATTACGAGGACAACGAACGCACGTTGTGCACTCGTTTGAGCAGCTGTGTTATCCTCGGCATCATAGGTCTCATTCTTGCCGTTGGAGTTGTGACATTCGTGGTTGGGCTTAATCAGCCTCTCCTCGATGTTAAGGTTCGACATATGCAAAACATACTAGTGTCTGAGCAAGAGCTAATGCTCGATCTGCACGTGGACGCGGTAAACACAAACATCTTCGCGATCTCAGTCAGTGTACTGGACATCAACTTGTTTGCAGAGAGCAACTACACCAGCCCGTCAGCAGACCCTGAGAGAAGGAAAGGACTGCGGTGGGCTCGTCGAGCATGGGGCGGATCTTCATGGCCTTGGCCCTCTCCCACAGATGGCGTCGACGAGGGCACAGACCCGATAGATGAACCCGAGCTGGGATCACAAAAGATCCTCCTCGGACCCGTGGCGGAATTTGATTCCCCGCTGTCGTTCGATGCTTCACCGTTGCGACGCCGACGATCGGGCTCTGTGGGCGAGATCCGGCTAGCAAACCCGGGTAATACGACGGTCGACAGAACTGAGCAGTGGGAAAGAGTCATTCAACACGAGTTCAATCTCATCCTTCGCGGCGTGATCAAGTATCAACTGCCGCTGACCTCGAAGATGCGATCTGTTAAGATTTCTAGTAAGGCGAAGGTGTCACCGAGTGGTGATGGCGACGAGGATGATACGGCATGAAGCAACGACCATAATGAATTTCCTTTGTCAATTGCATTACTCAAGATACCCGGTTGAGTGATAAAGCAAGAGGCTTTGAGCGCAAGCATCCAGCATGACTACGGCTGTGGGAGGCACAACGTGTCGTTGGCATCAGGTTGGGATTACCATAGGCGGTCATGGCTGAAAAGCCTTAAGAGCATTGAACTTAGAGGCGGTGCCTTCTTTCTATAGCAAAATATATGCTCCCACACCACGTGCTACACAGTGTGGCGAGGCGCAGTCCTTGCGACCGCTCTCTGAGGTCTCAGTACTGGAAGTGCAACATGATTGTGTTTTCGCATTTCTCTCTACCAACGATTTATAGATCTCAATTTTACTAGGCGGACAAAGCCTGGTACCAGCAAGAGCACGTGGCGATGATGCCCAACGCTGATGATGTCCTCGTCGAACTGCCTCGGTGTTCTACTGGTTCAGTACCTAGTCAGGTCAAGGGATACGTATGTTCCGGGCCACGACTGCAACATGAGCTGAACTTGCCCTGCCGTGTCTTGCAGCAGTGCCATTAGTATTATTGTACAACGCATACATGGGAAGTACAGCATGTACGCCTGGTACTGGTGGCTGTAGTGTACCTGCCTAGTCCCAGTCAGCAGACAGCGAACCATGCACGCCAGCGAATTATGTGAGCAAGAAGAGAGATCCAGCCATTCGCTTTTCCCACGCCTGCTGCAGTCAACGCCCAACCCAATCCCAGTCTGGAGTCCTCTTCCGTATCCCAGTCCTCCTCAGCTTTTCCCACTTGCTGCGGGATTTCTTCTTCGCAGCCTGAGGTTCCTCCTGCTACGTTTTGTTCTTCTCGCCTGTGCCTGTGTTGGCAAGTGTGAGAGATCGAAATCTGGACTGTGAACAATCGCGAGCCGTACCGGCACCCAGCAGGCCACCCAAAAACGTGCCCCGCCACCACCCGCGTGCCCCTCCCGCACATCAGGCTGGCATATCAGATTGTCGCCTCTCACACCCTCAAGCAATATTGTCGCAGGTTATTCGGTCTCTAATCCAGCGCAATGGCGTCAGTCTATCGCGACCGCGACTACGATAGCAGAACCGTTATATCATCTCGAGGAAGAGACGACCGTGATCGTGATCGTGGCAATGTGACCGTCAAGCGATACATCGTCAAAGACGACGACACTCGATCATCCTACGGAAGAAGCAGCTTTGTGCCTGAGAGAGCAGGCGAACGGGTGGAAGAGACCCGCATCATCCGCCGTGAAGAGATCGATGAGCCGCGAAGAGAGCCGAGGCGCGACGACACTCGCTACTCGACCGAAGAACTGGTCATAAAGAGAGAGCACGACGATGTGCGACGCGACCGAGACGACTATCGGCGCCCCGTCGAGCGCAGTTCCGACCAAGAAATTGTCATCAGGCGCACAGAGAGCGATGACCATCGTGGTGATCTGCAAGTCAGCCGCATTGGTGACGACCGGCGAGACCTAGCTACAGAGACTTGTACGACCGGGACCGCGATATCCAGCGCTACAGCAAGACCACTGATTACTACGCTCCTGCACCGCAACCTCAGGTCATAGTCATCAAGCAAGATCCCGTCATTATCCGTGAACGCTACAGAGATGATGACTACGATGTGCGCCGACGAGAGATAGACGAGGAGAAATCCATCGTCCGAAGAAAAGAGCCGCCCAAGGAGGAAGAGTACTTCTATGAGAAGAAGATCCGTGAGCGCATTGACGATCGTTCGCGTTCCCGCTCACGCGACCGTGACGACTGGCGTGACAAGAGAGTCATGAGGCGAGATATCAGTCCCCATGACTCAGTCTCCCAAGTCGGAGGCCGTCGCAGCCACCGTGACCGCGATTACAGCAGCGATGACAGCATGGTCTACGTCAAACGTACCAGGGAAGTCGACGTTAGCCGCAGTCCAAGCCCTGATCGCAGAAAGAATCTGGCTGCTGGCGCAATTGCCGGCATTGGTGCTGCAGAACTCCTTCGCAACCACAAGAAAAAGGAAGACCGTGCAGTCTCCCACGGTGCAGGCCGTCTTGGACGTGACGTTGGCGCCGGCTTAGTCGGTGCTGTCGCTGCAGAAGGCATCAGCCGTGCTCGCTCAGCGTACAGAAGTCGGAGTCGCCGTCGTCGGTCTCGATCCCGCTCAAGCTCCTCTGACGACAGACGAAGCCGCAGACAGAGCCGGAGCAGGAGCCGTAGCCGATCGCAGTCGAGATCTCGACTCAAGAATCTCGGACTCCTGGGTCTCGGTGCCGCTGGTCTTGCTGCAGCTGCAGTGGTGGCCACAAAGAAGATGAAGCAGAACAACGAAGACAAGGCTGATGAGAATCGTGGTCGCAGTCAGTCGCGTGTGCGAACTGATCGAGTCGAGACAATCGAAGAGCTCGCCAATGATCCGACAGCCGAAGACGCCCGCAATCCCAAACATCGCAACAAGCGCATGGCTGAAGCAGGTGTTGCAGGCGCAGCTCTGACGGCCTTGATCGACCGTGCTCGTAGCAAGTCTCGTGGGCGCGATCGCTCTCGATCTCGGGTCAGGCAGGCAGCTCCGGTTGTTGCTGCAGGCCTGGGCAGTGCTGCTCTTGCTGGCTTGTATGAGCGCAACAAGGCTAAGAAGGAAGCTGAAGTCATTCGCAAAGAGGAAAAAGTAGCCGTGCGGGAACGCTCCCGAAGCCGCAACCGATCTGACTACTACGATCAGGGCAGGGACGCTGCTTCAGTGACCCAAACCTCATCGAATATGGCGACGGTCCGATGCACGGCAACAACTACGGACCTGATTACTATGGTCGCAACCTACCTCAAGAGAATTTCTATGCCAATCAGACCGCTGTCGTGCCGGCGCCAGGTCAATCTCCGGGTGCTCCAGCACAATACGCTCAGCGGGATCTAAGTCCTGAATACAGCAATAGACGCAGCAGATCTCGAAGCAGAAGTACTTCACCCGGCGATCGTCGGCGCAGCAGTCGGCGCCGTGCTGCTGATGCGGCTGCAGCTGCGGGTGGAGGTGCCGCCGCAGCATCGGCATACGAAAGAAGCAAGGCAGAGAAGAGAGCCAGAAAAGAAGCGAAGAGACGTGGTGAGTGTCTCTCACAGCCTGTGAGATCCAAGCTAACAGTCACAGAACGTGAAGGCTACGCAGACCAATATGAAGATCCCTACAACGCCCCACAGCAAGGCTATCAGCCTCCGGTCGACCCATATGCCCCAAATGCTCAGCAGCCTTATTATCAGCAGCCGGGAGCGTTCCCGCCTCCGCCTGGCGCTGAGCAGTACGCCCAACCAGGCGCGTTCCCACCTCCTCCTCCTGGTGGTCCTCCCATGCCGCCACCTCCTGGCGCACCTGGCTACGAGCCTTACGCTTATGGTGCGAACCCAAATGCGCCGACTCGAGGGGCAGACAATGTGAGTGTGCCATTGCAGAATTCCATCCCAGATGGTACGTCGTTGTACCTCACCTTTCCTTCATTCCTGTGACTCGAGAGTGTGACATCAGCAAGCTGACAGGGCGCAGGTGTAAACACTTCTCGTAGCATGAACGACACCATACCTCCTCCGCCTCCCGGCCCGCCACCTGCAGGACCTCCCATCATCAACGTCGATCCTCCAGCAGCTGGCTACATTCCTCCCACAGAAATCTACAACTCTCCAACCGTTGACCGTAACCTCGACGCATCGCTGCCAGCAGAAAGCAGCAGTCGTCCACGTGCAGTGTCCCAACCTCCGCCCACTAATGGCCACCGCAAGTCCGTCCAATTCGCCGCCAAGGATGACATCCAAGGCATTCCGTCCTCCGATGCTTCGATCCCAGATCACGACGGCCACCATCATCGGCGGCGACGAAAGGACCGTGGCTACGAAGCAGGCGAGGACACTGACACGCCTACTGACGAAGCCTCTCGTCGCGGTGCCGCAGCAGGCGGGGCAGCGGCAGCGGCGAACCTCGATCCGGTCGAGGACTACGCCTCCAAACGCCGACATCATCGCCGTCGCCGCAGCCATGATCCCTCCTCTGGCTCGTCGTCGTCTCGTCGGGAGCGCGACCGTGACCCGGCCTCCGACCCCAAAGGCAAGACTGCCGAGCGGAGCAACACTGGCGACGGAAACGATAGCGATGCTACAGTAGACCTACCGGCTCGCTTCGACGAAAAGGGCCAGAAGAAGGCGGAGAGAGGTGAAGATCCACTTGCGGACAAGTTTGAGGATATCATCAGTGGGAAGGGTGCAGCGGGCAAGGTTTTCGGGAATTTCATGGACGGGCTGTTTGGGCCGGAGGGGAGGAAGCGGCGGTAGAGGACAGTAGAATAGTAACGATTTCACGATTCGATATGACGGCTCACGGCTTTGGGCGTTGTTTCCTTGGATTCTAAGCACGATGGACGGACAGACAAGCAGACAGCATGTAATGAATCGATGCATCTCATTGGTGACATCGGCGCTGGGACTTTCTGCTTGAGAGTGACTGCTGCTGCTACTGCTGCTCCCCACGCGCCATCGGAGGGAAGACGATGATGTTCTGCTGAGTATGTGAAGCGAACAATGACTCGAGTAGATTGAGAGGCAGACGACGAGACTTTATCGTCACCTTCACATAAGTCCATTGTTCGAACAGTGGGCGCAACCAAGCAGCTAGTAGGACCTGATGACACGATGTTCGAATGAAGACCGATGCAGCTGATTGGGAGATATCAACTGCAGGGAAGAATACTTGTGATGTATATTCACATTGAGGACCAGATTTGACCTTGTCAGCCGGTTCTGCGAATGACCTGACGAGCTCATCATCCGGTCTTGTTAATGCCTGGCAGAGCTTGTCAACCGGTCGAAGTCGTGTCCCTGACTTCGACTGCAGCTGCATCTGAGATTCTGCGCTCTCCGAGGAAGGGAAGGAGCGCACGAGCAATATGCAGTAAGCACTATGAGACTTCTAGATGAGAGGCAGGCGGTTGAGCTGAAGCAGTACCATCCGCGGGTGGCAGCAGTCCTATATTTCAGCTTGCCATCAGTTGGTCTGGTTCGATTATGGGTCAGATATACTACAGTTGTTCGAGGGTCTACTTCCACGACTCAAGCACCGCCGTCGATCTCGAGGGATAGCATCGTGCCGTATCAACGTCCGGCGGGCACCTTCTGCCAGTGGTACAGCATGACTGTCAAGACGAAAATTCGTATCGAGAGAGGACTGCCCTTCCTTGTCATGCTCGGAGAGCCACAACGAGCTCTGCAAGTTGCGACCTTCTCTGCTCACGTTTGTGCCTCTATCCATGGAAATCAGGTGCATCTCTGTCGGCCATGAGGCGCCCACGTAGACGTGCACCAGTAACTTGCGGATAGTTGAGCTTGAACAACAGTCCCAGAATGCTATGATGCTGGGTGCTATCAGCCATTAAGAGCCCATACCACTTAGTTGTGACGACAAATCGGGCATGCAGCGCGGACCACTGACGGCCTGAGGCAGACAACGCCAGCTCAAAGTACTGTGACATACGAAGGAGAGATTAGTCGGGCGCTGTAGATATCGCGAAATGTGGCGAAAGTGAAAGACGGTGGTGGTGATGATTGTTAGGCTGTTACTAAGCTGAACTGCCTGAGGTGAGTTGGGGCTGTTAGGCGGCATGGGCGAGGGTTTTGCCGCCTCCGATGGTGACTTCTTGTCATTCGCATTGGAAAATGAGGGCAGAACGTCAAAGAAGGAACCTTGGACTTTCCTCGCTTCAACTGACACATCACTTACGGTTTTACCTACTGCAAACTACCATCTTGCAAACCTCATCGTCTTATCGCAACTCGATACATATTTCCCATCGACCACATCGCCATTTCCATCCCACTTGTATGCTTCCCGTCGCCTCCGTCATCAGTTTGTAGACACTGACTCAGTACACAGCCCACCTCGCAGTTCCGTCTGCGTGACCACATTCGAGCCACCACAAAACAACTTCTCCCACTCCATAATACCTCACAATGGCGCTTAAGCGTATCAACAAGGAGTTGACAGACCTCGGCCGGTGAGTTGCGCCCTCCATACTCTTTGCTGGCTGGTCGAGGATGATATCACTGCATCCGGTGCACTGGTGTCGACCGCTCGAACGATAACGGAGGGTTTGATCCAAACAAAACAAGAGCTGACAAAACATCTGCAGTGATCCTCCTTCATCATGCTCAGCCGGCCCTATGGGCGATGATCTGGTATGTGCTTGCGACGGCAAGATCCCGACGTGAGGCTGGACACGGACTAACACTCTATTACAGTTCCACTGGCAAGCTACTATCATGGGCCCCGTAAGTACCGTGTCGCTCGCCAACAAGCAATGCTAACATATGCCAGGGCGATTCTCCATTTCAAGGCGGCGTCTTCTTCCTTGCCATCCACTTCCCGACAGACTATCCCTTCAAGCCACCAAAGGTCAACTTCACCACACGTATCTATCACCCCAACATCAATAGCAATGGAAGCATCTGTCTCGACATTCTGAGAGACCAATGGTCACCAGCGCTCACAATATCAAAAGGTATGCTCAGTCCGCGCCACGTGCCCGTGATTACTCGCTAACCGCCGCAGTCCTTCTGTCCATCTGTTCCATGCTCACCGATCCAAACCCCGACGACCCACTGGTGCCTGAGATCGCTCATGTCTACAAAACCGATCGGGCCCGCTACGAGGCTACTGCTAGAGAATGGACGCGGAAGTTTGCTATCTAGGGAGATGGCCAGAAAGCGTACGAGGCTAGTTGAAGGGAGAGATGCGAGGCGCTGAGACCACGAATCCGCGACAATCCAACGTGGTGCAGCGGTCTGTCATAAGCACTTATTCTCACTCGCACACGACCGAGTCGCTTTAGGATGGCTGAGATTGATCATGGACATGGGCTTCTCTTGCAATCGGGACGGGATGGGCTAGAACGACCTTTTACGATGCATCATATTACGGGAGTGCAGTTAGGGAAACTATTGCTCTAGACAGAGCCCAACTCATGCTCAACTGCAGATCTTTCGCAGAGTTCCTTCGAGGCTATCTGCCGTGTTTGTCCCGCGACCCCTCCGTTGCGTCCTTCGTCACGTGATCAGCGTTTGTTCGGGGCGGAGAGCCCAGGCCCATGCGGCTCATGCAATGAAATGAGCAAGCACTTCCGACTCATCATGAAAACACGAGACTCGATTTTGTTCTACGCAACATTGTTGTACAACTCCGACCGAGTCCGTCAAACGCCCGGCGCATCCCTACGCAGATCCCACCTTGAAACACAGTAGAGTTTTACGGTCCTTCGAGAGGCTCAGCGTTAACCTCAGCAAAACTGAAACGCGCGGCTGCAGGCTTGCCCCCCTGGATTGGTCTTCGAGTGTCGCAGTCACCCCTTTCCTGCTGTCCACCCATCAAATCATGTCCACCTCGCAGACTGATCAGACCCGGAGGCTTCCATTCTCGTCTGGTTCCTCAGCGTCTCGGAATATTGCCTACTATTCCACTCGCTGGCCCGATACCCTTGGCTCCTCCCCGCTGCAGTGTCGCCGCAACCCCTTCAATGCACACTCCCCCACCACACCCAGACCAGCGCGGTAGGATGGCGGGCAAGGTAGGTGAAAAGATTCTCGAAGAAGACCTCAACTCGAGAGCCCTGCTACTGCTTCCTACTGCTTCTCATTGCTTGTGATCACAGACGCTGGTACCACACGTTCCTCTCGAAAGCTGCTTGTGCATCACCGCGTTGATAATAACTCCACCGAGAAGCCCTCGCTTCCGTTTCAGCACTCATAGTGTATCAGATCTAACGAGCCTGACACCACTCGCGCGGCCAAGCACGTCTCGCTTGACGAGCCTGTGATCACGACACGACTCCATTTCCCGCCAGCCACTATGTCTTCTAGTCCTCCGCCATATACAGACATTGTGCATACGGACTGGGAGCCGCAACCACTCGTGCCCAAGCCACTGCACATCCGTCCACGATATACGCCGCCGCTGGTTCGGTCCAACACGACATCACACAATAATGCGCCGGTCCATTATATAGATAATATCAACAAATCACCTCTGTCGAGGTCGCTGCGCGGGTCGCCAAACTCGTCCATCTCACAGCTTTCCACCATGTCCGAACGATCGAGGTCCACGCCGCTGATGCGGATGTTGCTATCGGGGGAGGTCAGTGGAGAGGCACCAAGGGATCTCAGCTACAAAGAAAGATTCAACAGATGGATGGTCAACGAGGGTTCGCGGCGCGTGGTGGTCACTGTTTTCATACTGGTGCACTGCATGATCTTTGCGTTTGGATTCATGAACTACCAACTCAAGGACAACCTGACAAATGCAAGAGGAACGTTCGGCATCACATACCCTATCGCTCGCTCGGCGGCGCTGTGTCTACACTTCGACGTGGCTTGTATTCTCCTTCCAGTCTGTCGGACACTCATCTCGTTGGCTCGACAGACGCCTCTCAACGGCATTATTCCCTTCGACAAGAACATCACCTTTCATAAATTGATCGGCATTGCGATCGTTTTCTTCACGTGGGTGCATACCATCGCCCACCTCAACAACATCGCCCAGCTCGCAGCGAAGAACAAGCTGGGCTTCGTGGGATTTCTCAAGGGCAATTTCTTGACCGGGCCCGGCTGGTCTGGGTGGGTCATGACCGTAGTCCTCATGGCTATGTTTGGCACGGCGCTCGAGGGACCTCGTCGCGCCAACTTCGAGCGGTTCTGGAACATGCATCATCTATTCATCGTTTTCTTCGTTTTCTGGTCGATCCATGGCGCCTTCTGCATGATCCCGGCAGACAACCAGCCGTTCTGCTTCGGCACGGGGGTGTTCTGGCAGTACTGGATGGTGGGCGGGTTTGCGTACCTCATGGAGCGAGTGTTGAGGGAGATTCGTGGACGGCATAAGACATATGTCAGCAAGGTCATTCAGCATCCTTCGAACGTGGTTGAGATTCAGATCAAGAAGGACAAGACGCGGACTCGGGCTGGGCAGTATATCTTCTTGTGCTGTCCGGAGGTGTCGATATGGCAGTACCATCCTTTCACGCTTACGTCGGCGCCCGAGGAGGACTACATCTCCGTGCACGTCCGTATGGTTGGCAATTTCACCAAGGCTTTGGGCAAGGCTCTTGGTGTGGAGGACAAGAAGCCTGGGGACAAGAAGGATCGGTCAAAGGTCGTTTCGATGGCTCCGTTGACCGCAGGCAACAACAAGAACGACATGAAGCTTACCAAGCTGCTGCCTCGGGTCTATATCGATGGGCCTTTTGGGTCGGCATCGGAGGATGTCTTCAAGTTCGAGACTGCTCTGCTCGTCGGCGTAAGCGATCCAGCACCATTACTGATGAATGCAATGGCTAACACTTTCACAGGCCGGTATTGGTGTCACACCCTTCGCCTCAATCCTCAAGAGCATATGGTACCGCATGAGCAATGCATCAGCCAAGAAGACCCGTCTCCGCAAAGTCTACTTCTTTTGGGTCTGCCGTGACTTTGGCAGTCTGGAGTGGTTCAAGTCCCTCCTGCACGCCATCGAATCGCAGGACAAGTCACATGCTATTGAGATTCACGCCGTACGTGCCTGCCCCTGACCACTATCTTCGATGAAGTTCAAACGTACTAACATGCCAATCACAGTATCTGACAGCTAAAATCTCCGCGGCAGACGCCTCCAACATCATCCTCAACTCCGGTGAGACCGACGCCATCACGGGCCTGCGCACGCCGACGAATTTCGGCAGACCGAATTGGGACATGGTGTTCCGCGCGATCAGGAAGATACATTCGCCGGGCGAGTGTGGCGTCTTCTTTTGCGGCCCCAAGGGGTTGGGGAGTCAGTTGCATGTCAAGTGCAACATGTACACGCATGCTGGGGCCGGGGAGAAGGGGAAGGAGGGGGAGTATAAGTTCGTGTGGGGGAAGGAGAATTTCTAGGGGTAGGAAGGAGCGTGTGAGGGAGGGATTGCTGAGCAGGGAGGCTCGCTGCCCCGTGGCATATGAAGGTATGGGACACTTCTTCGTGGAGGGAGAAAAGCCTGAAACGCACATATGAGATGATAGATAGATACCACAGCGTTATGAACATGCTTTTCTAAGTGTCTGATCCTTCAATCTGTTCTTGATGTGGCAACATTACTTGGGGATCTGAAGGCAAACAACAACAGCGATGTGCTCAGCAGCAATGGAGCTCGTGCTGATGGTGGCACCATCAGTACTTGTGTAATCTAGGGCTACCGACAAGACCTCGTGCATGGATATTAGGCCGATGTTATGCGAATAGTGAATACCTCATGCCCAGTCAGTGAAGCGTTCGCCTCGGTCTGCCGCGGATCTCTACTTCGTTGATGAGTTATAAGTAGCCGTCTTGCCCACCACTTCATTCTCGTTTCTTTTCAATATCGCAAACAAGGGCAAAGCGATTGTCATGCCTTGATAGCAGCACCTGCTGCCTGGTGGGACGAGCAGCTGCGTACTACGGTGGTGTGATGGATTCCGGAACTCTGGCCCCCAAATCATGTATCTGCCGTGGACGAGCTAGTTTAAAGTCGCATGTAAACCACCCACAAGATAGACGGCGTCCAAACGCTAGAAAAGGTAGGTCCCTTCTGGCGAGGGTGCTCCATTGACATGCCACTGCAACGGATGCTGCAGTAAGGCACCGAGCAGCAGGACAAGGAGAGCCTTCTCCTCACCAGCATCATGAAATGTCAAAACTCGTTGGCCGACTCTACTCTTCTGTGCTCACACCCGTGCAGGCCATGTCGAGCTTCCTGTCGCGGCCTTCCACACCACTAGGACAGCTGTCTCTGTCCCGAGGTGACCTGCAGTCATGGGCTGTCCGTGGCCTCGTACTCTTCCTCTCCGTGTTCATCTACACCCACCTCGCGTCACCGCGGCCACGATCCCCAACATGGCCCATGTCCGTTGACGCGCTGAACAATGCTACATTCGGCTTCCAGCACATCTACGTGCTCAGCACTCGGGACAGCTTCCGGGATGGTCAGAGCATATACTTCTCCCTCCCCATCCATGACGGCGGTATCTTGAAGCCCCCCTCAACCCCGAGCCCGAGCGTCCTCGAAGCCACTTCCCTCAAAACCGACGCCAATGCCCCAAAGCGAAAAGCTCACACCGCTGTCATCAACAGCGTGCTCGAGCGCGGCTACCACACTGCCTCATCCTCGAAGACAAGACCGGCATCAATGCCCGCGCCCGCTCAGAATTGTACAGCATCTACCGCGCGCTCCGCGCCCGACCCCTTTTCGAAGACATGCAGATGTCCGACCTGCACAAACTCAAGAACTACTGGGACGAACCCGACACCATGATCCCCCGGGGCCCGCAACCAAACTATCTCCCTTACTTTCGCGCACCGCCCACGCCGTCTAAGGATGTAAGCATCGACGACTACGCTTTCGAACGACTCGTCACGGGCCCCAAGCTCGGCGGCGCAAAAGATTATACCACGGCCAACAACAAGTTACACATCGGCGAGTGGGACTTGATCTTCTTGGCGGACTGTCGCAACAGATTCGACGAGGAAGCACAGAAGAAGCTGCGCTCCGGCGCAAACAGGGAACGCACACCCTGGCGCCGTATTGATTGGGTGCCGGAGCGGGACATGACTACGGAGCTCTGGTACGCGGAGAAGACAGACGCAGATCGTGAAATCGAGCGGAAGATAAGGCAGCAGCAGCGGGATCACGGAACGAGCGGAAAAGATGGTGAAGAAGAGTTGTTGCACGAGCAAGGCCTAAGGCGCGTGGAAGGCATGGACGATGCGTGTTTGTTGGCCTACGCGGTGAGTCGGCGGGGTGCTGTGAAGCTGCAGAAATGGTTTGGGGCGAGTGATCCGGGGTTGGGGACAGCGGATCTGTTTGCGAGGTTTTGTGGTGGTGGGGATGGGGAGAATGTGTGTTTCGCATTGGGTGAAGGGGTTGTTAGGGAGAGGAAGGAGGGCTGAGCTGGGCTACGCCCAGTTGTTGTTACACTATCGGCATAAGCTAGCGGTTTGAAAAGAACATTCGAGGACAACAGCGCAGCTGGGTTCCTGCGCCAATATGCTCTTGCTTCGACTGCGGGTGCCGAGCGAGGATATCAGTTCTTCTGCCAGATTGCTTTGGAGACGACACTGCAGAGCCGGCGGTCGACTTCCGGCTTGCGGTGATTGAGTAGTGGGTTTTGTCTGCGTGGAACGAGATGACTTGAAGGGGGCATTCTTGTCAACCGGCTAGACGAAGCTGCTCACCCGGTCCAACCAACGCCACCAAGAAGTCGACTTCCTCAGCTCTGCCTGCCCAGCCTCCAAATTGCCGGGGCTCGACTCCGCTACACCTCAGCATCATCCAGATCTCTTCGGTGTCTTCGGGGCGCGAGGTGGCCCGCCGGGAAAGCAGGGTGCTGAAATCAGTTCCCGGGTGAAGCTGAAAGGCCGTTCGTGGTTTTTGGCGAAACGGCCCACATTTTGGGCTTGATCGAAATTTCCGGTTTCGAAAGGGCTATGGTGTTAGGGGCCACTCGGAGGGGTGAAGACTGAGCATGGTGGAAGACCTGGTAGGCTCTGCTGCCTCCTCCTGCTCTCCGGCGGTTGCCGCAGTCGTGGGCGCTGCAGCGGCAAAATTGTGCCAGTGGAGAGTTCTATATACTCGCGCTGTCACGTTTCCATGCGCGTTGCTGGCTCGATCGTGCAGGAGGAACAAGATCAAGATACCTGGTAATGAGAGGGCTTGTCATCCGGCTTGGCGAGGAGAATGTCAGCCGGTCTGCCCAAGTACCTCATCTCTCCGTTCTTGCCTTCGCCGTTGGGCCGATGCAGACGCTCCTGCCTCGTTGACTCCCGCTCGACGAGGAGAGTGCGTTTGAAGTAGTACGAGTTGGTTGCCCCTGCTAAGTGGGCCCGACAAGGACGATTCGAAGATGATCACCTCGTCATCCGGTTTGGCAAAGCTCCTAAGATATACTTGCAAGCTCACCCATATGTATATATATTTGTGTTCTATGGCTGTTGTACAGAGACCTCTTTCGTGTCTATGTATTGTCATCCGGTGTCCTGCTCCACCGAAGACGTTTTATTGATGTGGATCCGGCTGCATATTTACTGCACATCCGCACTACACTAGTATTCACCTCTTCTACAAATTCTGCCCTTCACGTCCGTCCGACAAGCCCGAGCGGATCATGGAGCACCGCGATTGTCGGCCACCATCAGACAGCCAGGAGCAAGCTCAACCTCGCCGCGTTCGGCTGGTCACGAAAGTAAGGACTGATTGATCGGTGTCATTGTTGCTGAAATTCGTGGGATCTATCTCTAAGTACATAGATCTACAGGTCTGCTCGCCAGAACACGGAAAAGCCCAAGAATGTCATAGAAACCCTCGGCGTCATTGTTGCCGCCACTGTGATAGCGCCTTCTGCGGAGGATGCCGCCTCCTGATTCATCTTGCCACAAGCCACCTTGGACGCCAAATCGTACAGTCATCAAGAAAAGGGATATTGTAGAAGTCGAGAAGTTACATCAGTCCACGTACCCCAGCTCATCGTAGACTTTCCTCTGCTGCTTCGTGTCCACAGGTCTGTCCTCCTGACTGCCCTCGCTCGCGTTTCCGTTCTCCACATCATCCCGGAAAGGTGTCTTCTCGGCGTCTTGCTGATCGTAATCCTGGACGTTGATCATTGGCATGGCTTCGTCGCTCTTAGCTTCTTCCATGTCCGTTGTCGCGGCCAATGCGGATGTTGAGGAGTTCTTGTCAGGTAAGCCGTACATGTATGTTGCAGTGAAGACCAGCGCGCTACCAATGAGGAAGTATATCGTGATGACGAAATCGAACACATATACCGAGACGATCGTCGAGAGGATGACGGATAGGGAAGTGGCGAAGCCTTTGAGGATGTTGTCGGCATATTTGATGACAAGTGCGACGATGAGACCCCCAGCAGCTTGGATGCAGATTGTGAGAACGGTCGTCATGCGATAGCCCTGGAAGAAGCCGAAATTCCGAATAGCCTGCCCATCCCATGCCAGTGTACCCGTGGCCGCAATGGCAAGGCAGCCAACAGAGAGCTGAATATTTCGGACCCACAGTGAAGTGCTGTGGGAATTGCTCGACGTTTTTAGTACCTTCTCGAAGTATACGCCGGCAAATCCTGAGCAAAGACAAGCAACAGCGACGGCTATGATGCCTATGGTATAGTTGCCTTGTTGAACGACCGTGGGTGCTGAAGAGGGAATTTGTACGCAAGCCACGCCGGTTGTGAGGATGAAGAGCGATAACCATTTGAAAGCCGATATCGATTGCCGGAGGAGTATGACGGCGAACAGGGCCGTAGCGAGGATCTTACATTGGTAGGTGACTTGGAAGGTAGCGGCATCGAGATTCTCAGCGGCGACAAATTGCAGATTGTTCTGTATAGTATAGAGGACGGCGGGAACGAGCAGCTTGAAGAAGCCCGACTTGACGCTGAAGACGTCGGAACAGAGTTGCGTGAGGCCGTAGGAAGTAGATGTTGTGGTCTCTTCGGACAGCAGTGGTAACGAAGGATCTTTTGGTTTGGTGTGTACTTGGTGGAGGTGCACGAGAATGCATATGATGCACTTTATGATTTCGGACATCACAACTGCGGTAGAGGCGAGGTACTGTGGTCCTGGCTGGATTCGGGAGTAGCGCATGGTAAGTACCAGTGCGGAGTTCTGGACGACGAGAACGACGAGCGAGACATATTTGGTCGGCAGACCTGCGATGGTCGCTGCTGTTGCTGGTCGCATGGTGAGTCGGACTGTTGGTTTTCCAAGGAAGGTAGACTTACGTTCGTCCATCATAAGGAAAATCAAAATGCAATGAGTGTCGGTGTTTGCGGGTGCGTGTAGCACATCAGGTCAGTGCGTCGAACGAATGTCAACTTCTTTGTACAGCAAGGGAAGCACAAAAAACGAGTGGACGAGCTGGTCAAGGCTCACGAACCAGGAAGGTGCGCATGCTGGGGAGCTGGGGAAGGCACATCAAATGAAAGAATGTCATATGCTATCCCTTGCTGTCATGTTGTGATTTGGGCGGATAGTCTCAGACTGACAGTTGACAGGAATGCTAGGGGAAGATACGTGATAATATCGTGATGCTCACCTGTCCACATAATATCTAGCCGTCCTTACTGGCGCCATGATTGGCATTTGCAACGCGAGAACTCTGTCGCGAGGCCTTTCCCGGATAGTGGGCTAGCAGGAGATGAAGTCTTTGGGGCGTAGACGTCGAAGAAGGCGTCCACATGTCCAAATTAGTTCTAGGTGGATACAGACCGGCAGGGGGGAGATTGACGCTGTATGGACTCGCTTGCCTTGGGGAAAATACGCGGATGTAGCGAGGAGCCATGATTACACCGGAAATAGCCACTGTGTATACATACATAGCACAGACAGGTCCTTCGACGAACATGTTCATTGCTCTTGCTCATAGAACGGCACTGGCATCTTCTGACCATCTACTGGAGCGCAGATTGTGTTCTCAAGGAACGGAGCCTGCCGTCCATAGTCTGGAGGGGTCATACAACCGCGTTGTGGCGTTTCTCCTGGCGGGCTGTGACCCTTTGGCTTCGAGCCTCAACCCCATCCTGCCCAGAAGCCGATCCTCCGACATCCAATTCGACCGCTTTGGTAGCTGAATCCTAGATGCCCCAGTATCGCGGTGTCTTACGGCGTGAAGATCGCATGCCTGCTACAGTGTTACAGAGATGAGCGCAGCTGTAGTCATGCTGGAGTCGTTCATGCTAGCATGCCCGTGGAGCTTCGACAGCTCAGTGTGAGGGTCTGCAGAGAATTCGAAAGGCCGAATTTTGCTTATCGCGTGCTCTGCGCGGATATCATTGTCGATAACTTAGCTTGGCTAGGCTTGACCGTTGAATTGAACAATCCTTGCGACCAGCTGCCATTGGCGGGCTGTGGACTTACCCATCTCAAAGAGGCAATGCTGTGGGAACACCATCCTACTTCGGGTTATCAGTTTTTTCGGAAATGACGATTTTGATTTCAAGGGAGGTTTTAGACGAAGTTACTAGGCTTCATGAAACACGACGGGCACAGGCCGTGATTTCCTTGCCAACGACAACGGCAGTGCCGACGGATGGAAATAGATATGGCAGCATCACGATCAAGACACCTTGATCGACGCAGCAGCGCACGCTGCTCTTATGGAATTGTTGTCCTACTCGCTGAAGGATCCATTACCCCGCGTAATCGAAAGTTCGTCTTCCAGCTTCATCTTCACGCTGTGGTTCTGGCCATACCTTAGGTCAGCTCTGTGGGCCATAATCATCTCACATTGCCCGTTTTGCACCTGCCATATCGGCCTTGCCCCTGCATCGACGGCCGTTACCAAGGACCTGCCGGAAGTAGATGCTGCTCAACTTGTGGCGGATTTTCGAGGAAGATGTAATACGACGCTGAAAACACACCGCGATCGCTATCTTGTTATTATCATTCACTACTACTAACCAGCCGAGCATTTGTTCGCGGTGGCCCAGAACGCGAACCCTTTTCGTTAGCTTTTCAACGCGCGCTGTGGCGCTGCGCGTTCATTGCGCTTTCCGAACTCTAAATCTTTGAACGTCAATGGAGGAACAAAGTCGCATCCCTTGTTGCCATCCACGACGGTCCAGATGTATGCTCGGGGTCTGCTGGATGATTGATCTGCCCAAGTCATCCTGTTTCTAATCCATCTCTCCGTCTTGTCAGATCAGTCTCTGTGTCTGGTCGGACCGGTCTCTCTATCCTGTCAGACCAGTCTTGACGTCTCGTGATCTCAGTCGCTCCGTTCTATCGGTTCAGTAACTCAAGCGGAAACTCATGAGCAAAGTCCCGGGCGTGGGGTCATGTCATTAAAAGCACAGAATGCATCGACCTATTTGGCAGTATGCCCTCGTCGCATTGTTGGTCTGGCTCTGTCTACTATATCTGGTTGTGACGCACGACGTCGCGCCGTTACAGCATGTACACCCTCTCGACGATGACCATATCATCAGCAAAATCCAGAACTCGACCCTGGGCTTTCAAGAGATCTCCGTCATCTCTCTACCCGAACGAACCGACAAGCGCGATGCCTGGACCATCATGTCGTCCCTGTTCGACCTCGACATCGGTCTCGCCGACGGCGTCGACGGTGCAGCTGTCTCCGAGAAAGCGCTGCCACACACATTCCATCAAGCCCCAGGTATCGTTGGCTGTTGGCGCGCTCACATGAATGTACTGCAGGACATCGTGAATCGCAATGTAGCTTCAGCTCTTGTTTTCGAAGACGATGCGGACTGGGACGTATCGATCCGAGATCAGCTAGTGCAATTCGGCCGAGGGGCCCGCTGGCTCCAGAACACCACGGACGACATCAACAATGTGGATTCGCCATATGGCACCGAGTGGGACATCCTCTGGCTCGGCAATTGTGCGGCAAAGGCCGATCACTGGGACGACCGACGCTTCGTTCTCGAGAACGACACAACCGCTGATCCCAGCGAGTTGCGATCATACGGCATCGGTCCCGGGACCATGTACTGGCCAGGCAGCCACACTCGTCTTGTCTTCTCCCAGAGTTACGGTGTGTGCACTACAGCGTACGCAGTGTCCCAATCAGGGGCCCGCAAAATGCTGTACCACCTTGGCCTGCAGCCTTTCAACGCGCCGCTGGACCTGGCGCTGTCGGATATGTGCAAGAACAAAAGCTCGGCATTCAATTGCATTGGCGTCTGGCCGCCCTTGATTGGTGTGTATCGAGCAGCCGGCAGATGGTCGAGCGATATTGAGGCAGGAGGCGGTGGCGAAGTCGCGGTCGCACACGCGGAGCGAATCGTGTACTCGGCGCGCATGAACGTCGAAAGATTGCTTCGTGGCGACGACCGATTTGTGGCTGCTAACCCAGGCTTTTCGGAAACGGAGCTGACCATGGATGAGATAAGTGCGGCTATAGGTCGGCCAGAGCGTCTCAGCGAAACCAACTTCAAGTGGGAACAAGGACACTGAAGCTCCGGGAATCGACTCGCCGATCATGATCCTCTCGAAAACAGGTCTGCTCGATCTGCTTCGGTCGAGTGCACTGACTCGCTCGCTTCCAGCCATGAGGAGATGGGTCCTCCGCCTGCCCTCTCGGACGGCAAGGTCGCTGTCTCGAGGATTCTGCCCGAGCTGTCGAAAGATTGGCCGAATGAGACTCGAGGAGAGATCACCGCCTGAGCCGAAGACTACTGCCGTCATTTGTCGGGAAGCGATCTCTCTCGCACATCTGCACGACCGGCATACTCTTCCCACGGTCCTCAAGTGCCTCATTCAGTCGATACCGCCTCACGCTCCTCGCGTCGTCGTCGTCATCCTGCTCCATCCCGTCAGCACGGTAGAACTTCCGATAGCCATCACGAAAGCAGCTTCCAGGCAATATACGCCGCAAGAATCCTCGAATGCCAGAGTGGGCGCGGTCAATGGAGGCGTATTCTCTGGTCCGAGATTCATGGGAGGTCCATGTAAGGGTCTGGGGCCCTAGTGAAGGACGTACGGGCCGGTCGTAAATGGAATTGCTCGAGGATACCCCGAGCTCCTGCTCGTGCGTTGGTATCGGCGGCGCGACGACGTGCACGTGGATGTAGGACGCTGGTATGGAGGAGCCCCGACGATGGGACTTCGGTTGTGGGCTAGCATGCGGCGATGACGAGATAGACCAGCTGTCGACTGAGGGGCGTCCGCTTGATGAACTGCTGTGGATAGACACCTGGGGAGACTGTTGCGTGAGAGGTAGATCTGATGCGGACGTCGACGACGTCGACGGGTAATTGAGCATCTCGTCGATGGAATCGAACTGCTTGCACCGGTGTCTGTGAAGGGAGATGGGCTGGTGGGAACTCCGTCGGCGTCTGATCTTGCAGCGAGATTGTTCTTGTCTGTTAGCAGTGGAGATCAAACTGCTGTTCCGAGCTGGGATGCAGTTGCAGGCGAATTCGGTAGTCGTTAGAGGGCTTGTTGAGGTCTTTGGCCGGATTGGCTGGGTCGCATGTGATCCGTCTGGCCTTCCAAGGTACTCTGAGCTATCTTTTATCTTTGCGCGGTAATGGTGAGGCATAGTCGTACACATAAGCAGCGAGGCATCTATTTGATCGAAGGTGCCAATGACTGCTGTTGGCCGCGGCTCCGATGTGGTCCTGGCAAGGGTTTCAGAACTCGGGAGCGTCTTCACATGGCAGGTCGTGAATGGTTCCGCACGAAATGCATGTGCCGCAGCACTGGCACCGTTTCGCTTCTCCAGCATCATGCTGGAATGCGATGTTCTCCCTTCGGGCAGATCGGCGCTTGCGTTTGACGTCGGCAGACGCCTGTCTTGTGATGTCAACCGGCAAGTGTTGCGTCGTGGAACGGGATGATTGGGGGATTCTTTCACCACATGATAAACCTTTCGTGTCCCACAATCGAGATAGGATGAACAGCTTGCATGCCTAGTTCTTGCTTCGCGTGCCCGTCGGTCACGATCAAAATCAGTTGTCGGAAAGCACCTGTGGTCAGAGGGATTCCCGTTCCTAAGCAACCTGGGCCAGCGGCTCTGTCAGTCGTTCGTGGGAGGTGGGATTCTTCAAGTCGAGGGCAGTTCTCGAGAACAAAGCTTCATTGTACTCCGTCACAACCTGCTAAGCGCGACCAAGACCACACGCCGAGGAACACCTACGACACTACTGGTCTGCGCGGCCCGCGACACTCGCTTCATGGTGGGAGTCTCGCGTGCAAAGCGGGATGAAACGGGTGGTTGAGCGCTCATCTGCGCTGGCCAGATCGGTCAGGTGGGCCGATTAGTTTCATCTTAGTAAATGATGCATAGATGGGAGAATGTTGTATGGGCATTAGCGCCGCAGCAGTGAGGTCAGGTGTCGCAGTAACGTGCAGTGAGGAGGGCGTTGGTGGTTGAGTGGTGGACATGTTTGGGGAAGGCTTGGGGACAAGACTTTCGTTAAGCGCCCTTGCAGTAAACCTTGTCCTCACCGCCATTTTTTGCTGCACCGTCGGCGTTGCTTCTCGCCGATGACTGTCTGGACCTGCAGCAGAGGATGGAAGATGGGAAAGACTCTACAGCAAGCAAGATGGGAAATATCATGCGAAGTAGACAATTTGTCTCAAGTCTCTCAAATCGCATACGTTCTATGGTCATTAGCCTCGCTTGCAACAACGGGCTTCAGCTTCGTCCCATATCATTACCTTAACCAAACGATTATTCACAGCGAAGCAACATCCCATGATGTTTTCCATGCCCGTTATGAACGAGTCTCAGCTCGCGTGCGCCTGTCCCAATGCAGTCCAGACTGACGCCAGATTCCGCATGCCGAAAGGCATCTCCACGCCATGCATCACTTTTGTTTACACTCTTTTCATGCTATTCCTGTGCCAGCCGCGTGTGTGTGCTCGCAGGCCAAGTCCACGGCGTCGATACCGGGACAGGATGCTCGAACACCAGTAGCGCTTGAGCCAGAGGACTCGACAGGCTTGTTTGGCGCTCGTGCGTGCCACCGGACGACAAGAGATGCTCGAAAGCTCTCGCTCGTAAGAAGAGTCGATCTACCACGATCTTGCCGCTAGAACAGACCGAATTTCTTCTTCTTGTCTGCTGCTACACAATGTTAGAAACACTCGATGCATCCTCGAGCACTGTCGACTTACCAAGTTGCCCATTTGCTCTCTGTCCAGCAGCAGCGGTTATGGGGTTGGCGCCCGTCGATGCCGCCTGGATCGCCTGTATGCGATGACGAGCTCGCTCCTCCCCTTGGTCGGCCGCCCGCACATACCATACATTGGCCTCTAGCGGATCTCGACGGCATCCGATGCCCATCTCGGTGAAGTAACCAAGAGTGTACTGTGCTTTTGCCAGTCCATTCTCAGCCGCTCGCTTGGCCCACTCGTACGCTTCGCTCTCGTCCTTCTCCAGCACGTTGTCCACGCCAACCATGTACCACGCACACAAGGCCATCTGAGAAGGTGCGTGATTCTGCTCCGCGGCTCCGGTGTAGAAGTGAATACTCAGCGCCGGATCCTTCGGACAACTGAGTTGGCCGAACTCATATGCTTCTCCCAGCCGAAAATTTGCCTCGATGTGGCCGAGGTCTGCTGCTTTGGTGTAGAGTTGAGCAGCGTACGCTTCGTCTTTGAAAACATCTGGGCCGAAGCCTGACTCGTGAAGCTGGGCAAGATCGAAAGGTGCTTGATTGTACTGATGATCGGCAGATTCAGCTCCTCTTTTCAGCCACCGGATGCCCTCTCTGTATCTCTTGGTCAAGCCCATCTCACCGGTAAGACAAGCCCTACCCAGTCGCAGCATTGCTCCAGGGTGGTTTTTGCTGGCTGCGTGTTGGTAAAATTGGACAGCCTTCATCGGATCGACTCTGCAGCCCCAGCCAAATTCATAACATAGCGCTGTCCGATATCCTGCTTCGGCATGGCCATGTTTCGATGCGGCCAGAAAAAGTGGAAAGGCGCGCTCCCAATCTTCTCGACCCTTGTTGAACAGTCCAGATGCAAATCCATCGGCCAAATAATATTGCGCAAAAGGGTATGAGCGGTCACTAAGCTTCTGCAGTATGGTCTTGGCTTCTTTCAAAAGATCATCTCGCGTCGAAGTTTTGGACTTATGCTGGACTTCGTCCGCCATGTCCGCTTCCAGTCCCTCTTCCTGCGCAGCTCCGACCATAAAGACTGCAAATTCGTATTGGATCGAGGGGTCATTCGTCTTCTTCACGTTTGCACGGTACATATCCAGGGTCTTTCGTGTGGACAGCAACGAAGCATTGTTGCCTACAACAGTTCGAAGACCTGCATTTACAAGGTGCTCGGCACCGCTTGGTGCATTCTGAGGATATGGAACATTGAGCAGATCGACATATGACAAAGGGCGGGCATCCGGAGACCGAGAATTTCGAGAGGAGGGCCTGATAGGTGACAGATGTGGTGTGCTTCCTCGCCCTCGTGGATCAGAACCAGCTGATACGGTCGAGTCTGGTCGCTGCAGGTTGTTTCCCAAATAGCTTTGTCGTATGCCATATACCGCTTGGCTCTGAGTTTTGTTGGGATCGCTGGCACCCGACCCGTCGCTCTGAAAAGTGCCGATAGTCAGCTTTGATGCCCGTTTATCTAGCGCCTGAATATCTTGATCTGCCGGACCCTGGTGAAAGTATCGAAGTGGCTCAAAGTTCTCGACAGGCTGCTCGTTCTCGGCAAAGGACGCAGACATGTGCCTGGCTGACCTATTCTGAAAATCATCGTCTTTGTCTGATAAGGCTAACTGCGGATTATCTGAGAGTATCCGACGGTGTTTCGCCTCTCCCATATTGCGACTCCTCTCGTCTAGAGGCTTTCTCGATATCAGGTGTTGCGGCGCGGAAGATAGGTGGTTGGAGTCGCCGTAGTATTGCTCGGTCTGAATGATCGGAACCGGAGATCTGGTCTCCCTTTGTTCGATAAAGGCGGACTCTGGGGCGTGAATCTCGGCAACCGCGCCCATATTGCTTGCTAGTTCCGGCGACACGGTCAAGATTGCAGGTCTTGAGCCAGGAGATTCATTGCTCTGGTATGACTGAGGGTGCTCAAGCCGCGACCTTGACGTCTCGGGAGAGGCCTCCCTGCTTGTTGTTCGTAGAAGAGGAGGAGAATAAATCGGCGGTGGGGGTGTTGGAGGAAGTGTCTTGCCGGTCACCTGAGCCATACCGCAGACCAGGCGTGACGAACCTGTCGTTGGAATGCTCGTAAAGCGGGCGCGGTTTCAGCAGTAACGACGGTGACGAGGAGCTTCGACCGATCCTTTCAAAGGAATGACTCGCCACAGACAGGCCTCCACGAGCAGCAGGTCCGAGCTGACGAAGAAGCCCTCGCAAGCGGAATGCTGGCTGGTTGGCACGGATTCGACGGCTAACAAACGAATGGTGTTAAGCAGTGAGAAAGAATGAAATGTGTATAGTCAATGAGTGTGCAAGTAGATGACCAAGAGCTGAATGTGTACGTTGAACATAATACCAAATGAGTGCGTGTGGAAGTAGTCAAGGCGAACGTGAGATGCAACGTCTGGTGAGAACTGTGCCAAGGGAGTTACCTAATTGAGGGGGGCTTTGAGGCTTTGCATCCTTGCAGGCTAAGAAGAAGCGAGTGTACATCATCGAGCACCATCATCGCCCCTGGAAAATTTCAGCAATTGTGCTCCCTTCTTTGCTACATGTGCTTTCTGCTCTTGTTTGGTTGGAAGCAAAAGGCCGTGTCTACAGTTTGCTCAGGGGTTGCGCTATGCTTCGGCGACAACTGACGATAGTCAACGAGCTTTACCGGTCAGCATACAGTCATCGACCCTCTTCGTATAAGACTACTCCCTCGCCTAAAGGCGATACCCTAATCCTCGACTATATTGACTAGCAAGAAGCTTCGCTGCAATACAAACTTCGAACCTCAGTAGTTTTTCTCCGGGCCCAGGGCGGTGGGAGCTCCTCCGCATCCAAAAAGCTCACGGCCAAAATCGCCCTTTCGGCACCGCGGTGATGATTCTAAAACTCCGCTGCTCCTAATACTACTTTACCTCATGCGATCTTGAGGCATGACCTACGTGCTACAGCCCGTAGCAGGCAATTTCCGGCCCTTCCAACATGACATCCATAAACCTGTTCCTCTGCTTTGAGCATGACGCGCCTCCAAGAGCGAAGATTTTAGCCACCAGCTGCCCCGCGTTCTCTGGCGACTAGTCTAACACTACAGAGCTTGGCCATGCTAACGAGGTCAATGGCGAAATAGAAAGTCCCCTGTGTTGACACCACCACAGTCACGTACTGAAACATTTCCAGCCTTGTTTTGCTTGGAGGGCAAGACTGATTAGGCAGTGTCACGGTGAGGCTTACGTCAACATAGCGAATCTTCCGTTCGCTGGGACTTCATCTCCAAACCACGCAAGCATTCTCAACGCGTCGACTTCATCATACTCAATCATGAGCTCGCCCTCAGCCGGAAGTGGCGTACCTGGTTTTGACTATAGCCTTACAAGTGTGGGGGCGCAGTCGCGATACATTTGCTGCTGTCCACCCAAGACCGATCTGCAGGTAGAAGCCAAGCAAGCTCAGGACCCTATTTAGGTACAGACATGCGTCGTGAGAAGGTGCTCGGCCGAATGATGGCTCCGCGTCTCAGACTCGGTCCATACGTCGTGTTGGACGAGGACGTAAGTCATACTGGATCGCCTCGAACACCGAATGTGCCAGTGGTCGGGAGGACCCATGTGCCGCTCAGCTGCGAGGCACGTACGACTTCGGGTCCGGATCGGTAATCACTGACATGCTGCAGCACTTCTCAGTACCGCCGTGCTCGACACTAAACGCAGTCATTGCTCATCACCTCGGCGACCGCTGCAATACGCTCCTCTATTGCTGTGGGCTAAGTATGCATTCGATCTGCACGTGAACTTGGCTGCTTCGTATATCCCTGTCGTATGCTACTCTGGCCTTGGCACCGGTGTTCTATAATCTAGGTCGACCACGGCATTAACGATCGTGTACCGCACTTTAAACGGACTCCTCGGGCCGCCGTGCGCTACTGCTTCCGATCGCAAAGATATACTATTTTGCAACACTAACTTAGAGGCCGGACGATCCATACTCAGGCGAGCTGCCACCAATTATGTCTGCTGCCAGCTCCGGCAATTGGCCTGTACATATCATGACTATACTGCGACAGTTTGCTGACATAAACCTCGCAAAACCTTCCGATGGGCTTAAGGAGGCTAGCCTGGCTATCCCCAGTCAGTACCTACGTACGAGCATTAGCTAAGGAGGGCCTCTTCAGGAGACATATATCCGCCAGCTCGCAAAGTGGCGCGCGATGTTCAGACGCCTGATCTGCAGACTGTAACTTGCAGAGACACGGAGCCGGATCAAAATAAAAGGAGCTTCTCCCCCCAAGGACACATCTGCATTCTAAGCTGCTGCAGAGATCATGGACACACACACCTCGATCCTGAACCGCCCACGTGTAAAGCCCGACGAATTAGTCGGCGAATTCCCACATGTGCCTGTCTTCGAAGGCGAACAGTCGCTGGACGCAGCTAGCATAGCCAAAACATTTCTCAAGGACTTCGAAGAGGCCGTTGTGAAAGGAGTTTGGAATGCATTCGCCGACCTCTTTGCGCCCGACACATGGTGGAGGGACCACCTGACACTTACCTTCGACAGACGAACCTTGCACGGGAAGGATGAAGTTGTTGCCGCATGGAAAGAGCTTGTCGCAAAAAGACCAGTCTCCGCCTTCGGCACGTCTGCAGAAGAGACGTATGGCATGGCACCACACTTTGCTCGTATGGGCCCACTTTTGGCACTCTTGATATTCCATTCTCCTTCACGGTCGCTAAGCCAAGGACACGATGCGTTGGCCTCGCCAAGCTCATTCCCAAAGGCTCTCAGTGGAAGATATGGGTTCTCGCAACAGCCGCGGACCATCTCGTGGACTCTCCGTTCGCACCTCTCCCACGAAAGAACGACGGTGTCATTGGTGCCGGTCAGTGCGGCAAAGTCGCTCCCCAGGGACTGCCCAAGATCAAAAACGGTGCCCATCTCGACGCTGTCATCATCGGTGGGAGTGCAGCTGGCACGGCCAACGCGATCATGTTGCGATCAGCCGGAGCAGACGTTGTCATGCTGGATGTGGAGGACACGCCTGGCGGTCTGTGGTCAAATCATAGATACGAATCTTTCGTACTCCACCATGGCAAACTGCCGTCAAGTCTACCAATGATTCTGCCAGATGAGAAGTACAACGAGTACATGACCGGAAAGCAGCTGAACGCGTACATGACCGATGCCACGGAAAAGTTCCAGCTACCATTCTTCGGTGGCGTGAAGGTCATCAGCAACACGTGGAGCGACGCGACAAAGGAGTGGAAAGTCTTGATTGAGGACATCAGGTCTGGCGAGCAGATGACTTTGAAGGCCAAGAACATCGTGATGGCTAATGGCTTCCTCATTGGCAACGAAACGCCTTTCATGCCCAAGTTGACCGATCGAGACGTGTTCCACGGACCCGTGGAGCACTCAACGGTTTATCACACCGCGAAGGAGTACATTGGCAAAGATGTCGTCGTCGTTGGAGCGGGAAACTCAGGTCACGACATCGCGGAAGACCTCTCGCGCTCAGGTGCTCGCTCTGTGACCATCCTGCAGAAGAATCCTATCATCTGGGCGGACTTTGAGAAGATGATGGCGGTTGTCAGCTTCATGTACCAGGGTCAGATGTCCGTGGAAGCCGCTGACTTTCAAGGCAACGCACTGCCACTCGCAATCGCCCGCCAGATGATGATCCCGGCGCTTAAAGGCTTGATAGACTCGATGGGTGAGACAAACAAAGTGTTAGAGGAAGCTGGATACATGCTGAACAAAAACCCCGATATGCTCGGTGCTGCGTTCAACTCGAAGGGAAAGAACTTCTTCATGGACCAGCCAGGCCTGTTCGATCTCATTGCGAAGAAGAAGATCAAGCACGCCAACGGAGAGGCTGTGGGTTTCACGCCAGACGGCCTGGTCATTAAGAAGCTGGATTCAGCTGAGACGTTCGTCCTGCCGGCGCAAGGCGTTGTGCTGGCGACTGGGTATGAAGTCGTTGATCTGCCAGCGAGATGGGCCAAGAGTGGGTTCGTCGACGCGGAGTCTGCAGCGAAGCTCGAGAACGTGAATCGGTTTGGTTTTGACAAGGAAGGTGAGCTGCCTGGCTTCACGACATTCTCAGGCCACGAGCATCTGTATTTCTCCGGGATTGGCTTCCTGTACAACAGGGCGATTGCGCGGTTCACAGCTATTCAAATCATGGCGGATAAATTAGGCGAGTTCCCTGAGAGGCTTCGTCGTTAGTGAGCAGGGTTTTAGGAGCTCAGCTGCTGTTTCGTCCAAATTGCGTAAGATACTCTTCGCTATACACAAACGAAGAGCTATACTGTGCACGAGGGTGACTGTGGATATGTGATGACTGTAGCATGCGTTGCGGGCTTCAGCTGCTGGCTTGTCAGTGTCGGTCATCGTCCTAGACGCGGCACACCTGTTTCATAGAATTGGTGAATCTCAATGTTCCAGCTCGTTCAAGGCGGCGGAAGCGCGAACCAAGGACCACTGTTGTGTTGACGGAAACTTTAACAACGATCTTGTCTTTCCAAGAAGCTGCTACAGATTTTGTCGTTGCTGGATATCATCAGCTGCGTAGAAAGGCCTTCCAAGGTGTCCATGGTTGTGCCAAGCTGGCGGGGAAATGCTCCATTCGATGGTGAGCTACTGCGTCTACCATTGTGACGGTCGATAGCAGTTCGCAAAGAACATGAAAGTTGAGCTTGCCTCGCGCGAGATGCTAACTTCGTCGGCTGCAAGTTGCAGATGAGCAAAACGAAAGGAAAGGGAATTAGAGCGGAAACAGAAACGCGCACATAATCCAGCTGGGACTGCTTATCATCGCGATGACAACAAACCCAACGCGCAAGGCGACCACGAGCTGGAGCAATGACGAGGGCTCGGCTTCGTCTATACTCAACTGCATTCGCATCTGAGGCTGTTTCTGACGGCGTCGCGTGACTTTGAGCTCGATGCGACGCTTCCTCGCACGTTGCGACACGATCAAAGATTGTCCATTGCAAGCGGCGACGACGATGATGAAGTACTCGACACCAAAGCACTTCTCAGACCATTCGGAAGCCTTCGGAAGCACTTTGCAATGTTTATAATGGAGTTAGAGGGTACTACAGGTACTTATCTACGCTTCTGAGCATCTCACTAGATATGACGAGGAAGAGAAGATGAATTCCACGAGGGACGAGCGATGGCAGCGTTGGGAGGAGGGCAGGAAATCAGAGAACAACAGATCATGGAAGGTGTGACCAAGCGGTTGCTCCTTCTCCAAGCTTAATTTTGATTGGCCATAAATGCACCACCCATGCTCGAATTGAGCATGTGGGCTCCGCTCCTGCCCATTTTTCGAGGCTGATTTGGTCACATGCTCCTTCCGACGAGGCAGCCGCCACTACTTTGTATTTAAGCACCGCCCACATTGTTTCCCGCGAAGGCGATCCCCCCGGCCCTTCTCACTGTTGCATCATTTCCGAAGACCGCATACACAGATCACTTCGCCAGACCCAATTCGTCTAGGTATCCTTTTACAGATCTATTCAATCAACTCACCCATCCAAAATGCCTCCCAAGAAGACTGCTGGTGCCGCTGCCCCCAAGAAGGCCGCCGCGCCTGCTGCTCACGCTTCGTACAAGGGTAAGTGAACTCATCAAGGCTCGCCTATGAGGCGGAAAGCCGGCTTCCACTGGCTATTCATGAAGCGCTGACAGCAAATAACAGACATGATCAAGGAGGCCATCCTGAATGTAAGTGATTCTCAACGTGCCACGTCAACACGTCGTCATCATCTCCTCGATGCCAAATCGACTTGACACGAGTTCCTGGGCCCGATCGCGCTTTTCGCAGAGCTTTGAACATTGACTAACGTGTCTTCCTCATCAGCTCAAGGAGCGAAATGGTAGCAGGTATGCTTCACCTCGTCGTTGCTTACTTTGAGTCATACTGACATTTCCTGAAGTCGTCAAGCCATCAAGAAATACGTCAAGGCCAACAACAAGATCACCACCACATCCGAGACTCAATTCGACTCACTGTTCAACAAGGCCCTGAAGTCTGGCGTCGACAAGGGCGATTTCTCTCAACCCAAAGGTCCTAGTGGCCCCGTCAAGCTTGCCAAGAAGGAAGCTAAGCCGGCTGCTGAGAAGAAGGCTGCTGCTCCTAAGGTGAGTTGAATTCCACGGCCTCGTCATCAATGACTAACAGACCGGCAGAAGGAGAAGACCGAGAGCAAGCCCAAGGTTACCAAGGCTAAGACCGCCACCAAGAAGGCTGCCACCAAGACCACCAAAGCAAAGGCAGCTCCCAAGACCAAGACCGCTGCGAAGCCTAAGGCTAACACCGCCACCAAGAGGGCACCATCAACGAAGGCTAAGGCAACCAAGAAGGAGACTCCCGCCCCAGCCGTCCAAGATGTGCCAACCGTCCTCAAGAAGACCAGCTCTGGCCGTGTCAGCAAACAGAAGACGACCTCAGGCGCTGCAAAGGCCACCACTAAGAAGGCTCCAGCAAAGAAGGCCGCAGCGAAGAAGGCCACACCCAAGAAGGCATCTGCATAGACCCTTGCAGTCTCTGATGCTTGCCTTGACGACTTGATGTGTTCTGCTTCCTTGTACGATTTGTCGGAGATTTCGGAAGAGCACCTACTTACGGGTGTGGTGTTGGCGTAGGATGTCTGTACCAACGGAGATGTCCAACCAGAGACGTATGTCTATAGGCACGAGGGCGGCGTTTGAAGGGATCAGCTTCGCAGGCGTTTCGGGTTGTGCTGGCGGTATTGACATGATGCCAGAAGAGGGCTCTTTCCAGCATGCTGTGTTTCGAGACATGGATACAAGAGTAGTGACTTATCCACAAAGTAGATCGCGTATACGCGACACTTATGACAGCTCTACAGGCAGACAATCCGGTCAATAACCAACCACAAAGCGTGCACTACAATTCAGAATTGATATCTCATAGTCTTCTGCTGTGAGATACTCATTTTGGGTATGCTTTAACGTGACGCGTCGACTTATGTTACGATTTCTTATTTAAATAATGTTGTGTTGACAGTTGATGTTGTCTCCACCGCTCCGGCTCGCCAATCCTGGCACTTCCGAGTCTGCAAGGCGACAACGCCACCTCGCCGGCATTACCTCGCCGGCGCGGGCCTTCGATGTTCCGGCGACCCACCTCATAGAATGATGATGCTCGGATGCTCCTTCAATCTCACCAATCCGATACACCGCTAAATGTGCTCTGTTCCATGCATGTCCGCAGACGCTTTGTTGTTGTTTGTCCAGACGAGCAGGCCAGATAGCCATGAAAATTGAGCTGGTCTGCAGCTTGAGCTATATATATAGGCGATTGGCTTGTCAGGCTTAGCCGAAGAGATGGCGGGCCAGTGGCTCGCCCTGCAGCCTGCTGCATCAACGACATCGCTCCGTAAGGAGGTTTACACACTGGTGTTATCAGGTCAGAGCATGATGTCAGTGCCGTTTGACGTTGACACGCCGCTATTGCTTTGCAGTCAACCCTTGAGTGTTGGCCACCGATGCGGCTGATAAAAGTCCACCCCAACGGAGCCTTGGAGCTAACCGACGTTGACCGTCACAATGTTCCACAGTACGCCATCTTGTCACACACCTGGGAGTCCAGTAGCCAGGAGCTCTCCATACAGGACATCAGGAACGGGACCGGTACAGAAAAGCACGGGTACCGGAAGCTCACATTCTGCGCCCAGCGTGCATTGCAGGATGGGCTCCAGTACTTTTGGATCGATTCCGTTTGCATCGACCGTTCCAACAGCACAGAACTAGCTGAGGCGATAAATAGCATGTTTCGGTGGTATCGCGGTGCCAACGTGTGCTATGTCTATCTGACCGATGTGCATGGAGACAAGCTCGACGAACCCGCATTCCGCCAGAGTCGACATCATACGCGCGGCTGGACTTTACAAGAGATCATCGCGCCCAGCAACGTCGAATTCTTCTCCTCCAGTGGTCACAAGCTTGGCGACAAAGTGTCACTCGAGTCACAACTCCATGAAATCACGGGAATTGCGACAGAGGCGTTACGATCGCCTGATGCGTCGGCTACTGCAGTGTCGAAGCCCGCATGTCGTGGTCACTGGGTAGAGAGACAACTATCGAAGAAGACCAAGTCTATTGCTTGTTGGGCATCTTCGGAGTGTACCTGCCACTAATATACGGCGAAGGCAAATCACACGCCCTCCGCCGGCTAAGAAATGAGATCAATGCTTTCTCGCGAGACCCTCAAGCGCTTGGTACTCTCTCGGTAGTGGAACAAGCGAGGGCTTGCCTGTCGAGTATCGAGTACATTGACCAAAGCCGCGAACTTAGGTCGATACTGAGCCGCTCAAAAGACTCTTGCCACTGGGTTTTAAAGAACACGGAGTATGCATCGTGGTTTGAGGCAAAACAGTCATCCAAGCTATGGATCACAGCCAAAGCTGGCCACGGAAAGACCACTTTAGCGGCGCATATCTACGAGAACCTGAGTCAGCAACATCGAAGTCTCGCTAGCAATGGCCTGACCATTGCGAACCGCACGATAGTGCTGTTCTTCCTGTTCCAAAGGAGCAACAACGAGACCACCTCGCTGGCGGCAGCGGCGCTCACCAATCTGGTTTGGCAGCTCGCCAAGCAAGCTCCTGTAGCATTAGAGGTGCTATCAACCCGCCATGCTTTGCTGTCACGCAGGGGAAAGTTCGACTGGTCAGTCGGACAGCTCTCTGATGTCTTGAGTGATATGTTGAAAGCTCTTGGCTCTGGTTCAGTAATTTATATCGTCATCGATGCTTTTGATGAGGCTACAATCGAGAGTCGGGAGTCAGTGATCGAATGGGTACATCACAATACCGTCCCTTACCTCAATGATCCGTGGCATTTTGAGCATACTGGACCGATTGTTAAGGTTTTGATGACGAGCCGGCCAGATGGTGAAATGCTCGATCATGCCTCAAACTTCGCGCGTCTGGACATCAAGCATAGTGATACGGCAGACGACATGAATTCTCTCATTCAGACTCGTGTCGCCGACCTGGCTGGCCGACGCAGACTCTCCATAGAAGTTGTCCATCGCATAACACAATTCCTCGGCACGAGAGCTCACGGCATGTTCATCTGGGTCATCTTGATACTGAAAGAGCTAGAACAACGCAACGAGCGATTGACCGACGAAGTCGTGGCCACCAAGCTCTCAAAAATTCCAGCTCACCTTAACGACACCTATACTCTCATGCTCGACAGCGGGTCTCAGGCTCGTGGCAACGACATGTGGAGGATTCTTCGATGGCTGATGTTCGCCACCCGAGTCTTGAACCTCCGAGAATTACACGACGGCATGTGCTTGGAGACCGGAACTGATGCCTGGCATGACTTTCGTGGTGATCTCGAATACATGTGCGGCTCGCTGGTGCAGATCAGCGGTGGTAACGAGTTAGTCACCTTTGTTCATCCGACCGCTCGTGATTTCATACACTCTCTCACCATAGAAACGGAGCACCCTGTGTTCCACGACGTCTCGATGGACTACTGTGCTGCGCATGATCACTTGGCACAGATCTGCCTCCAACACTTCATCCAGAACGGTTGCTTGAGGAAATTGGTCGAACAATTATGGACGAGTAAGCCCTATGCCGAGCGCATGCAGATCGTATATCAACACCTGGCACATGAGTGCTCTTTCTGTCGCTACGCTGCAAGCGCGTGGTATCAGCATCTACAAGCTGCCGAGACGCCCTCAGCTCCGTTGGCTGACACCGTCTTGAGCCTCATGGAGGACAGGTGGAGTCGTGATGGCCTCATGATACTGAAGTTCTACAGTGAAGGCCGCAGCTGGGGCCCAGGAAGTCAGCAGACGACTTTGCACCTTGCTGCCTACTTTAACCAGCCCTGGCTCGCGCGCCAGTACATTGAACGGAATGCTGACGCCGTCAACGGCACCACCTATCTGTATATTACTCCGATTGTATTCGCGGCTGAGATGGGTGGCACCGATGTCGTCCGTATTCTCCTCGAGGCAGGCGCCGACCCTGATGCCTTCGAGAAGGACGGGTGGAGCGCCCTGCATTGGGCAGCAAGAAATGGCTGTACTGCAATAGTTGAGCTCCTGCTTGATCATGGTGCGCAATGTAACCCACAAGACGCCAAAGGCTACACGCCTTTGGAGTGGGCGATCGACAGAGAGCACTGGGACGCAGCCGCTCGGCTGATAGTAGCCGAGGGGCCAGTGAACCCTCAAGTGCACCAAACATACAATCTCGAGCTGTACAAAATCGAAAGCAGACAGGAATTGCGCCGCCTGGAGAGGGATTTGATAAGGAAACACTCGAAGTCTTGCAAGCATCGACTTCGTGACAGCAGGCTCGACATCGTCGACAATCTGGGAGTGGCAATCGACGAAGATTTAGGCCGATTGCAGCAACCGCCCCGCTCGACAACACCAGGTGATCATCGAGCTAATAAATACGCCGCGATGTCTGAATGCAGTCCTTCTCATCCCGAAATTGTCAAGCACCATGATAGAAATCAGTGGGAAGCGCAGCGCCAAGCGTTCACAAGTTACTATTTGACGGAGAAGAGAACATTGAATGAGGTCATTTCGATTATGAGGGATCACCATAACTTTTCGGCGAGTCCTCGACAATGGAAGAGCCGATTACACTCCTGGGGACTCAACAAATATGTTCGTCGAAATCGTCGTCAGGAAAGTTTTGAAATAGAGGCCCGAGATCCGGTAGAGGTCGTCCAGTCAGGGCTACGACCGGAACAACCTCCAGAGTCCCCAATTGCTGATCAGTGAAGGACTACCGTTGTCACTTGAGCTGATCAATGGATTGATCCATCGGCATCAATCCCACCGGCAGGTGATGACATCTCCGGGGGAGAGGGCATCAAACTCATAGGAGAGGACAGAAAGGCTGGCCATTGGCTGAGAATCCATGCTCCTTGAGTGAGTTGCATTGTCCATGAGGCTCCTCTTCGTCAAATTCGATACCTCACAACCATCTCAGCACTCTCATGCCTGCAACGCACAACTGATCTGTCCCAAGGGCGGTCGATCATCCTGATTATGAATCGCCTCTTCATCATCCCTGCGCCTCAATCCAGCTTTGAAGAACTCACCATCAGGCCCATTATACCACCCCTGTCCCACCTTGCCATCAGCCGAGTTGAAACACTCATCCAACACGCCATTGAAGGCCGCATTGCAATCTTTTCGAGATTCAGATCCATCCGACGTGCTTGTCTGTCGGTATCCAAATAGCTCCCAGCCGCCAGGAATACCGACCGCGACCTCGCACGCGCCCATGGAAAAGATCGCGCTTCCCCATGCGGCGCCGACGCCACTGGGCCGGACGCATGAGTCTCCGCAGATGATGTCTTGGATGCCTTCCAAGATCTCCTCGGCAGTGAACTTCTCGTCATTGTCTGGGAATGTGCATACTACCCTATGCAAGGTAGAAGGCTGTTCTGGACCCGCGCAGGTGGGATGTTCCGGGAAGCCCTGCTTGATCTCAGGCACGTCAGCCGAAAATGGCGCATGGAGCGCTGAGTCGGGATTTCGTTCCCGGAAACCGAGCTGGTAGTACTGGTTATCGACGACACCATTCCACCAGCCTGTATTCGGACCTTGGGCAATGCATCGGGCGATGATGGCTTCGGTGCTGTCCCAGCATTGCTGCCATTGGTAGCCGGTCGATGGGGTCGCACGGTAGATCCAGGCTTCGATACCTCCTTCTACTGCAACGGAGATCTCACAGGAGGTCTTGTCGTCGTTCTGAAAGATGGCGACAGAGTCTGGCGACACGCCCTCAGGTAGGGCACAGTCGTTCGTGCAAGTTGCTGGCAGCCACCATGTTAGAAGAATTTCGAACATGTGCAGACGTGGTCTCTCACCTTGACGCAGTCGGAATAGCAAGGCATTCGGGTCCACATCTCGATCTTCGAGCCGCAAAGCAGATGGAACCCCTGGAGCACTGTCATTCTGGCAGCCGATGTCGTCGGAGATCTCCTTGAATTCGGGCACACTCTGCAAGGCTTTGAGAGCCGAAAGGTAGTCATCTTCCGATGCATACGGCTCATATGGATGGGCGATGCCATTGCTGCCGTCGATGCAGTCGCAGCCCTGCCATTTGTTGTTCTCATCCTCAACCTGCAAACGAATGGGCCGGTCAGCAGAAGCTTCAAAAAGCTGGCATTCCTGAACGGTGGGCTTCACATACACCTTTGCAGTTCCCCTCATCAGACGGTCCACCACAGTTGCTACACACAAGATATGTCTCTTCCGGATCGGGACACTGGACGTCCTCCTGGCACTCACAACCCTGCTGAGGTCCTATCGTGCACTCGCCGTCTTTTCCAGCGCATGTCTCCTCATTGTCACATTTCGGAGCATCATCGCCCTCGGTACACTCTTCAGTACATGGACAGCCAGTAGCGGTTCCCTCTTGGCACCAGCCTGGTACCCATCACAGTCCGAGCATGCCGGCAAGCTCGTCAAACATTCCTCCTTTGGAGCCGGTACGCCAGGAGGCACCGGCAGCCAGCCCGGCGGATGATGGGTACGATGACGGGTGGAAGGTCTGGGTCATCGTTGCCAGAGGAGCACTTGCAGCCCTGGTACTGGATACCCGAGTCACCAGTGCCAGCACAAGTACCGCTGCCTGCATCGCCACCACAGTCGTCGCAGGCGAGCTTGTCGTTGTCCGGACAGCATCCACATTCGGCTATCTGAAAGACGATTTGCTTGCCTGATCGGGGAGCTTAACGCCACAGACGCCGTCGAAGTAAAGGAAGCTGCACTCTGTGCTGCTGCAGCTGTCTGTGTCGGGATCAGTCTGGATGGGCTCACTGAAGGAGTGCATTACTGACAAGGTTCCTTCCCTTCGGCCTGAGGGCAGCCTGCTTGTGGCTTGCTTTGTCTGGTCTCGAGACTGAGGCAATGGCACGCTTGCCACACCGTGAGCCATAGCACTGGCAGTGAGACTGATATCTTCATGCTTGCTGTCGATGCCACCGCGTCTGACCTCGACCACGAAAGCAGTACCCGAATTTACATCTGGTTGCAGAGAGTATATCTGCCTTTCAGGGCGGAGCTCGACTTGAGACACTCATGCGCAGCGGTAAGGCTGGAAGCAACGTGCCGCAGCAACATTTGGCCTGCCGCTAGCAAAAGCACGCGCCGGTCAGGCACTAATGCAGCCACTGATCCGCCGCCGGCTAGTCATATACGGGGAGGGGTTTTGGTGAAGTGGACATGAGGCTCTGTTCCCGTTCCAACATTGGCTGTATGTATCTTTGAGCACAGTGCTCAGATGTTCGAGCGCATTGCTCAGACTGCAAGTCCTGTGGTGTTGCCCTGTTTTGCCTTGTCAACCGGGCTGGCCCCTAAACGCGGGATGCTAGTTGCATATCCAAATTCAGCTGCTGGCCCTAGCATGTAGCCGAAGCGGCACCTTACGATGCCGTGTCAAGCGTTGTCTGGCCGCAGCAATCAATGAAGCGAGACATGCTGCTCAACATAGCTCTAGTTCTCGAACCTCACATGCAGTCTTTGACCGGTCAGGCGCGGTGAAGACCGCTGCGGACCTTTGGCATGCGTGCTAAGCAACCATATGGCTCCAGCCTGACGGAGGTACCCAGCAATATAGGTCGCTGAGACCTCAGGGCAGATGCGTCGTCGTCTTGCGAAACATCAAATTCACACGACATGCTGCTGCGGAGCGGATCCATCTACCTCCTTACCAGCTGCCTGCTCAGCCAGGCTCAAGGGCTGGACGTATGGTCGATAGCAGCTGCTCAAAAGTCCCTGGGTTTGCAGACGCCGTCAGAGAAGCAATTTCAGCATCAACTCGAGCGTTCTCTCGCATTGTGACACCTGACGATGATCGTGGCGACTTCCTGTTCAATCTCATCTATTCCACACCACGAGCATCCGGCGGCGCAGCCGTCAGCTGTAAGAGCATGACTTCTTTGGAGCTCGAAGTCCTCCGCTGACCACGGTCTCACCAGTGAACTTTGCCGGCATCGGTTCGCTGAACCCAGTTGAAGGGAGCCCATTCGTTCGAGCTAACTCCAACATTCGCCTATACTGCGACAACGACGCCCGCTGGAAACCATCTGAACAGCAGCCTGGATGGGTGCAAGACAAGGACAATGGCATGGTAGCGCCTGAGTCAAGCCTCTGCACAACAGCGCGCGATTCAAATGGCCAGACCGGCAACCTCTGGGGAGTCCGCTTCAACGGCAGAGCGCCGAGAGTCGGTGAGAATGCACGCCGCTTCACAATCACGCTATGTGATGCACTGCTGTTTCCTGGTGTACCGGTGCCCTCAACTTTCCTGAACACGGGCGGCAAACTGCTGGATTGGGCTCGCTTTGTCCAGAGGACTGGTTTAGATGAGATCAGAGGTGTGCTTAGCTTTACGATTCTGCATGAGGTGCGAGTGCTCCTTGGGCTTCATCTTTTATCGGCTTGCTGACGTGGCTGTGTAGCTGGCACATTGTTTCAACGTTCCTGGCGACTATGCATATGGTTGGGAAAAGGTTGTGGCTCTGGCTGCGCCGCAATCGCTCGAGAATGCTGATAGCTATGGTGAGTTCGCGCCATGATTATTTAGGCGAGGTTGAACACGATTGCTGACTCGCACACACCACAACAGCTTTCTTCGGTGCGCTTTCGATCCTTCCTGATTTCTGGAGGTATAGGGATGCTGCACCAGCCGTGCCTTCCCGGAAGAGACGAGCCAGGCAACAAAGAGTAACGTCATTCTCTAGCTAATGGCAGCGACGATGGCAGCGAGGAAAGTCACTGGCAGTTCGAGAACTCAGAGGCGCTGCTAATCCGGCCATGTGCTCGTGAAGCGGCAAGTGCGGCTCGTTACATTCAACTCATGCCGATTGACCTAAAGTCAACCGGTCTGGCTTCAGTCCTCTCAAAATAGGACGCGTGGCTACGCGTATGTATATCCCCGTGTGCTGAACCAATTGTACACAGTATCGACCTGTCATCCGGCGACACTGAAATCACTTGCAAAAAATTCGTGCACAATTGAAGAGCGTCATGAGTTGGAACGTGGAATGTTCATTTGGGCGTAGAATCCGCCTGAATCTATGGTCATGTCATATCTCAGTCTCGAATCGCGCATCTTGAGACGAGCAGCTCTAAAAGCGCTTTTCATCACTTTACTGTACACCATCCCTGCTCGGCATCGTGAATATCGATGCAGACACATCTCGTCACCTGTGTCATCATGCTTGCTTGTCTTGACCAGGCTGCTGATCAGACCGACTCAACCCAAAGTCTCGACTGTGTGATGTCGTAGGCATGAGGGGACTACCAACCGTAGGCTCGGGCTGGATGGAAGCGGCGGAGTCCATGCGCACTGCCTGGCTCGTGACTTGTCCAGACCGTGAATCAATGGGCCCGGCTTCGACATCTCGCTGATCATCGACACCGCTCTTTCCCCGACCGAGGCGGCTAAGGAAGCGGTTCCGATGCATTTCCATACTGTTGAATGAACCGCGACCATGCGTGGGACTAGATACCTGCTCAGTAGCTCTTCTGAGAAGTCCGCCAGAGGCTCTAGTCTGTGAAACTGCTACAGATCCGGTTCTATCGCGCACCTGTGGCAGCGAGGTCCGGACTTGAGACGACGAATTTCGAGCGACCGATCCGCTGCGGTCCCTTGACTCAGAAGCTCGTCGCTCTTCTTCGATACGATTCGTCTCACGAATGAGATTGCGATATTGTGAAGGATCGCGGTCTTCGTAGACGTCGCCGAGCTCGTCGCCGGCTGAGAGGTCCTTCATGCCTAGCGAGAAGTCCACACGCTTCGCCATGGCCGAGATGGATTCTCCTCGTGGTCGAATGTAGCCTGTGCTTGGGCGGCGGCGGAGTATCGATGCATTAGATCTGGATGGCATTGCTGCAGGCCGCGCATCTTCTTCGACAGCAGCATTGTCTGTGCCATCGGTTTGTCCACGATACGAAGGTGGTGCGCCAGCAGGGTAGTTGAGGTACATTGGCCGGTCAGTAGTGTAGCCGGCCTGGTTTCTGTATGGTCCTTCGATGCCATGCTGTTGCATCGCCATCATCAAGCAACAAATAAACTTGTTGCGACGTTGTAGGCGTAGCAACTCGTTCTGCCAGTTGGATTTGTAGAAGAACACCACGTTGAGCGTCAGCGAATACGCTTCAGTCACATCTCTGAGTTCGGTTAGAATATTACTCTGATACTCGCGTTTCTCAGACTGGACAAATTCGAGGAGCGTATTGCGTAACGACTCGATTTGCTCCAAAGTGGTGCCAAAGCGAATGACCACAGGAACTGCTTCGGCCAGACCTCCAGATCGGCGCATGTTCAAAATGAACAATGTGTTCAGATATGAGTTGGGTGCTTGAACCACTTGCCCTTCCATCTTCTTGAACTCGGTATACAGCAGAGAAATCTCCTTCACGAAGTAGTCGTCACCCTTCAGCTGGGCTCCAGTGTTGCCATAGATAGACACACGGTCTCCAACGTCGAAAGGATGCTTGACGAAGACGAAGACAATTGACTGCAGGAACTCTTGAGCTGTAGCTGAGAATAGCCAGGATAGGGCGAGCACCGCAGATCCGGCAGACGTGAGTACGCCGGCGGCGGATGTGGAGATAAGCGAGATGAAGACCAGAACAACAATGACGAAGACCACAAACATCAAGACATCGTCCAGCTTGCTGACAACGGAGTCTAGATCCTTCAGGGAAGCTGTGATAGCTTTCCTTTCACGGCCGATTTCGACGCAGACCGCCTCTAGCTCTTCCATACTAATGTCGCCGTTCATGTCCTTGTCAAACATGCTGAACGCGGCGGTCGCTTCGTCGTCGTTGTCGAACGCTTTCCGGAGATCGTCAGATGCCACAGTCTCTTCGCCTTCGCGGACGAACGTCCGATACAGCCGCCGAGCCAGGACTTGGGAGCCGGGCGTTGTTCTCAAGAGCTCGAGGATCACCTGGGCGGGGTGGTCACTCTTCGCGACTTTCTGCCCAGTAAAGTCCCCAGCCACGGCGCCCGCAACATCACCAACTTTGGCTACTGCTTTGTTCGCAGCATTGACCGCCAGATCCATGTACATGGCCGGCGTTCGTGTACCAGAGGCAGGCCCGGAGTCCTTTTCCCGGAACTCGTGATCTTCCATCTGAATTTGTTCCTTGGAATAGATGTACAGCTTGGTGAGGCTGCCGATCTGAAATTTGTTCAACTCGATCCGATCGGCGTACGTCCGCAGATGGAAGGAGATGGCGATCAACTGAATAATGATCTTCTCCACGAGATTCAGAATAGCACCGACGAGGAATGAAACAAGCACTTTGTTCATCGTCGACATCCAGCTGGTCGCACCTCTGCCGCCGTTTATTCTATTGTTCGTCATAATGGGGAGGAAGGAGATTTCGATTGCTAGCCACCACAAGAATAGCGTAAGTGGCAGCTCTAGCTGCTTGCCGAAGTCTCGCCATTTCTTCGAGTTGTTGGTGAACATGCTGGAAATCAGGCCGAGCGGGAACGGGATGCACTTTGCTGCAATACGTGCACCCCACAGAGTCAGCCAGACAATCTGTAGCCAGATGCCGAACCAGAGGAGCTTCACGCTGCCGACATTGGCGTTGCGGCCAGGATCCGTCAGGGTGCCGATCAGGATCGGGATCAGTAGAAGTGCTGTGACAGGAACAATGTACGTGAAGTATCGTATCAGCCAACTGCTTTCGTGGATGTACTTGAAGAATTTGGCAACCTTTGTCGTTGGATGCTCTGGCGGCTTGTAAACGGCAGTCTTCTCATGCAATGGGTTGGTGGCAGCATCAAAGTCGTCGATCGGCTCTGCAACCCGTGACCTTGATCGCTGTAGGCTCGTCGATGTCCGTCCTTCGGTATTACTCGCAACGGTCGCCAAACGTTCAGCTTCCTGCAGTCTCAATTCATCTTGTATCCGGCTGGCCTCTTCTCGATTCCTCGATCTCGATGGTGACTGTTCATATCTGCGGTCTGTGATGGGCCCTTTCTCAGCTTCGACGTTCAAGCGGTCTCTAAGCGCATAAGAGTCGACCGAGCCATCGGGTCTGTCGTTTCCGACCACAGTGCCTTCCTCATCCGAGGACCTGTGTGTTCTTTGTGGTGTTGGCTGCTGGAATTCGAAGGCGGGGAATTCTTTCGTTGGCGTCGTCATGTTGTATGAGGCACGCGCCCACTGAGTCTGCAGTAATGAGAGAGTTCAAGGTAATATCTAGTAAAGCACAATTGTTGAAGATGTTGGGATGATATCCGTTTGCCGGCCTATTGCTACGTCTAAAGAAACATTGTGACTGGAACGACTGTGGTAGAGTGGGAGAACGATGAATTGAATGGAATGAGAGCAGTGAAGAAAGAAAAGTCTGACTGAGTGAACCTGCGGTTATTCGCAAGAAGCACAGTCCCACGATCGGGATCGCGTGTGTGAGGTTTCCATCGTGGTGGAATACGTACGCGAACTTATCGGCACGAGAGCACTGCTATCGCTCCAATTCTTGAAAAATGACGATGCTTGAATGCTCGCTCACTCAAAGCGGGGTCTGTTGGGTGGACTCGGGTGGGAGGCGTCAAGTCCCGAGCGCATGTCGGATTGGGCAGGATTGGAGGCACAGCCGTTGAGTTTTCCCCTGAGCAGTCCCACAGGTCTGAGACAGCGTGCTGTGCACTACAACAATGCGCGGGAAACACCTACGGTTGACGCAGTTGGGTTAGGTGACAGCGGACGATGTTCCGGGTGGCATGCGCTCGTACTGTCAAGGACAGCGCTTCGCTATCTGCTTGTCTCTTACACAGCTGGCCCGTAACCAAGTTCCTGAAATCAGAAAGCTCCCTGAGTACAAATTTGGTCCAGCGGGAATCTCGATTGGAGGTGGTCTCCGAGCGCGTGTCAAGAAATCATCCCTGGTCCAAATTCGGTACGAGCTTTTTTGCATGTGCAAGAGTCCTACGCACGTGGTTGGGCGCAGTGAATATCTCCTGAGGCCGCCGCTTCCCAACACGCCTGTCAAAAATCTTGCCCTTGCGCAGATCTGCCGGCGCTATGCAAGGTACGAAACAACGCCAATTCCGACGTCTGATAAGGCAAACGATACCACTGATACCAGAAACACGCAGGTGTGGCTCCCGTGGCCTCAGCGGTCTGGTAGCCACTGTCGTTATTGTCGAGCAGACAAATTGCATGTGAAGAACAGCACTTGTCTTCGACCTGCGCGACAAATGCACGTCTGCCGGGAAGACACATACGAAGTGACAATCATTGCAGAGAATCCCAGGTGAAGCCCGACGCGCCCGCAGCAGTTGGCCTTATACATGTCGAGGCTGAAGCGCAAAGCCTTGTGCCGTTTGCCTCACACCCAGCGAAGCAAACAATGATGCCTTCGCTTTTGACTCACGCTGTAGCCGTTGATTGACATGACCGACGAAGTCCTACTCACGAACGCAGCATTGCTAGAAAGAGTGACGAACAATATACGCTTCAACAATCATGGTGCGCGGAGAGGTAAGTCGAGCCGCCCGAGTCTTCGTTTTATACTTCAGGGGTTGCCCATTATGCTTTTTATACCTCCGAAGAAATGGACGAGTCGTACCAAACCATCATGACTTTGCGCAGGCTTGTCACTGAATGCGAGGAAATTGACAACGTGTTGCACGCGTTGCACATATGCGAGTTGGCTGGCGCATCGAATGGGCTATCTTTGCCCACAAACATGTGCATTCGACTCGGCCTGTCGCTTTACGACGTTGACGAACCACAACTAACGTATCTGGCAGCGATATCAAGCAGGCAGGGGTAGCTTGGTAGCGCCGCTTGGGGGGTTATACGTGCTCAATGCCTCTGTTGTTGGGTTGAGATGCTGGTGTCCATACGGTGGGCAAGGATTTGATCGAGCAGACCACGGACAAGGTGCGGCGCATTGCTGGTGTGCCTGTGCTTATCAGCTGTTCGAAGTGCTGACACATACAAGACGACTCTTTTTCGTCGCGAGACTTCCTGATATGCCACTCCTTCGGTGGTGGCCATCGTCAGAGGTGGATATTGCGTCCATGAACAGCGAGATATTGATCCTGTAGCTTGAGTCGTCATTTCGTCTGAAAGGAGAAGACTCGTCTGAACCATTTGGTGAGGTAAGAACAGACAGGCAACCCATCACAGTGAGTACCCTCCGGTTGAGTCACTTGGACGACGCCTCGCTTTGCATAGGACGTTGATGGGGCATAAGTACTTGCCTTGCCGACGACATCCAGGATCTTCTTTTCCCTTGCAAGGCAATAGAACATGAAGTCTTTCGAAATGACTGTTTGCCATGCCACGAGAGCATTTGCTGCTATCTGATGGGGCTTCTGGCTGTCATGGTCGTCTGCCTTGATGGGTAAATGTTCTAGGCTGCATGATATGGTTGCGCGCCATCGGTGAATGAAGCAGCGTAAGTGAGCTGATGACAGCCTTTTCTTTATCCTACCAGCCAGAAGTACATACGTAGCTTACTCAGGCGTGGTCATAACTGGGTTTGTAGGCATCGGATGGGCCCATCTTGGCTGAGGTCACTGCCAGATTGACGCGTGTCAGGACCCCTCGCGCCTGCAGATTAGGTGCCGATGTCCCATCTTGGACGTTGCGACACAATTACCGCTTCCCAGTTTTTATGAGAGCTGCGTTCAAGCTGGCTCGGCTTGTGAGAGGCGTTAGATGCGCAAAGACGAGGACATGGCCGTCCATATCGTGAGCCAACCCACTCCGCCTTGACTGCTCGCCATCGGTGGTCAGCATCTCATTCACGTCGAGCAGCGCCTAAACCAATCGCTCCGTTTGTTGACAGCGGTGTGATCATTCGTAGTCTCTACGAGTGTCTGTGTCTCGTGGCTCGTTCGTCAAACTTGCATCATCCAGTTGTCGCTTCCGAAGAACTCATGCCTAGCAAGGACGGAGAGGTCAAGCTACCGCTTCGAGCGGGCGGCGGCGGGGACTCTGCTGCGAAGGCCGAGCAGATTCGCGTGCCATTCAAGGCCGATCATGCTACCGAGAAGCATCTGCGGGCAATCTACAAGCAGCATCCCCAAGATGAGGTCTTCCAAGATGGCCAGAAGTTCGCCACAGAAGACGCATTCTTCGCATACATGCGCTCAACCGGTGCATCAGCGATGTCACCGCCAACGAACAACGACCTGAGCCAACCGCTGTCTGCGTACTTCATCAGTTCCTCACATAACACCTACCTGGTCGGTCACCAACTGTACGGCAATGCCACTACTGCTGGCTACACGAATGTCCTCGAAAGAGGCTGTCGATGTCTAGAGATAGACATCTGGGACGGCGATGAGACTGATACAAGTGCGAGCAGCTCGGACGAAGAGGCGCCGCCACGGGTCAGTTCCTCGACGACCAAAAGATCGAGATGGAGCAAGATGAAGGCCAAGGCAAAGGTCATACGAAGTGTCTCGCCCCGTCGAGAACATCATCAGACTTCGGACAAGAGTGGTGATGCCACCGGCACCACTCGAGATGGCGCGCTGGCTCCCCCAAACGCGGATGGGCAAGTCACCTTCAAGCCAGAGCCTCAAGTCGTTCACGGCTACACTTTGACAGCAGCCGTTCCTTTCCGTGAGGTATGTGCTGCCATCAAGAAAAGCGCCTTCGTTGCTACCGATCTGCCACTGATCGTGTCACTCGAGACGCACGCCGGACTGCAACAGCAGGAGACTATGGTGGAGATCATGAAAGATCTCTGGGGTGAGTATCTTGTCGATTCCAGCACGATTGGAGACAAGGGATGTGAGCGGCTACCATCCCCTGAATCATTGAGAGGCAAGATTCTTGTCAAGGTTAAACAGGCCGGCATCAACAAGAATGATCTGGAGGTTGTGAAGAGTAATTCGACCAGCGACAGTGCTTCGAGTCAGCAAACAGGATCGAAGCCGTCGAAGATGCTACCAGCGTTGTCAGATCTCGGCTTGTTCACACGGGCCTTTTCCTTCAAGGGATGGGATCAGCCCGAGGCCAAGCTTCCCGCTCATGTCTTCAGTCTCACGGATAGCAAAGCTCATGGGATGCTATCCGACCCTGTACACGGGGATGCCCTGTTCAGACACAATCTTACGTATCTAACTCGCATCTACCCGAAAGGCACACGCATCTCAAGTTCTAATTATGACCCAGCCTGCCATTGGAGACATGGGGCACAGATGGTCGCGTTGAATTGGCAGAAGTTAGATACTGGCATGATGCTCAATGAAGCGATGTTTGCAGGTTATGACGGATGGGTTCTCAAGCCGAATGGGTTTCGGACTTCCGAACAAGGCGGCGCAGCCAACCAAGCGCCAGGGACCAAAGCACCACCTCCTGTCGCCGAGAAGACGCTGGAGCTAAAAGTTCAGCTATTCTCTGGTGAGAACTTGCCACCTCCTCCCCAAAAGGATGCTATCCACGCGGCGAAAATAAAGCCGTATGTGCAGTGAGTCCTCCACAAACTGTGAACTCATGCAAACCCAGTCTACACATACTAACGGGACCGCAACAGATTCGAGCTACACGTGGATACGCACGGCCCTCCAGGTCAAGGCAAGGCTGGGGAGGCACCTCAGACAGACGCCGATGTGGATGACGAAGATAAAAAGCAACGAAGAAAACATAAGCGACGGTCCGAAACGCGAAGATCTGATGCACCAGACTTCGAAGGCGAGATATTCACCTGGTCTAATGTGGACGTTATCGAACCATTGAGCTTCCTGAGGTACGTACGGCCGTGAATTCCTTTTCTTGACGCGATTGAGCAAACACGTCCGAGGACTTGGCGGCGATGGAGGCATGCGGTGAGCCTCGGACTAAGACCAGTCCGGGCACTAGCCTGCTTTTGTGACTGCCTCCTGCATCCAGATCGGAGACCAAAGCAAACAACACTCGTCGAGCGTGAGGTTTGTGTGTACCAACGACAAATGTACCCGCCAGATACTGCATTTCATCCACTGCAAGAAGATAATTATGGCTTTGGTCTGGAAGAACAACCAGAGACTACGCATGCGGCTAGTCATGTGAAAGCACGTTGATGTGCTTACCGGCACAGTACGAAGCAGGTCTCAAAATGAGTGGACGGATCCACATATCGACCTGCAGCTCGCGTGCGGCACGCTTCCGAAGGTCTGGATGATCGTGTCACACAGTTTCCAAATTATTTGGCTGTATGCTGTAGCAAACAACCTCTTAACACCTCGAAACATGCTAACGAGTCAAACACGCCAGACTGAAGATCAAGGACGACCGTTCGCTCGCGACAGACGAAATGCTAGCCTGGGCTGCCATAAGGTTAGATCGACTAAGCACGGGTTATCGTCTCATTCATCTCGTAGACACGCGAGGGTTGCCGACCGAAGGCATATTGCTTGTGCATATTTCGAAAACGATCTCCTAGATTCTGACAGCGAGTCCCCTCGGCGGACTTATCCGAGATCTGACTCGTGCACTGTGCGACAAGGATGCTGCAGGGATCAGCCATGCGATCAGGTTCCATCTGGCTAGCTGGACAATTACGAGTTGATCACCTTTTGACGGCAACACGTCACATGCACGTCAAGTGCTAGTGGTATTCGGAACACAACCCGCTCTTCTGGTTTGTGCACTTTCACCGCTTGTGCTCCATTGACACCAGGACGGCGATCTCCCGCGGACTGACCATTTTAGTGTACGTATCCCGATCCGACAGGCTGCGTGTGACCCGGGAGGACCATCTCTCTGGCGTCGGGTTGAGTCATCATCCGGTCACACCTTGTCGTAACTCGACTGAGGTCTACCCGTATCATCAAGACGGTGCTGAGCACAGTATCCCTTGGATCCGTGGATCAGGGAGACCGAGTAGCAGTAAAGCCACTCTCATCGCCACATAGCCGTCAACCAATCGAGACCCCACAGAGAAGTGCATATTCGGCCAAGGCTGTGTTCGTGCGGAACTTCGATCTCCGGTGCTTCCTCCTCGAGCTCGCAGTGCGCGTGAGCAGCTCGAATACTAATGGAAGTTCTCTGACATGCCATCCCTGCGCAGTCACAGATCGTGATAGCTGGTCACATTATCGGCGATTTTGATGTCAATTGTTTTGTCTGCTGTCAAACTTCATCTTCAACGCTATTTTGACAACATACACGTTGGCGTACGTTTCTTCAGCTGCCCCCTACAGCTTCCGCACCAGCCATGGGTGACTTCTTGCCATGCGGAGCGAAATTGACAGGAAAGAAGAAGCGAGGATATGTCCCCTCGCAGTGGGGCGTGATTGCTATGATTGAATGCAGTCGTCCATATTACATCTGCCTGCCCTGCAAGATCTGACAGCGGCGACTTCACTTTCTGCATTTAACGGCCTCACATTGACAGGACTCTTCAGCTTTTTAAAATTCGGGTTCATTCTTCGGGCCAGATTGCCTCTTCAGCGACAGCCAGATTCGTTCATTTTGAGCAGACATCAGGACTATAAAACTTAGTTGGCCGCAATCGACTACTGCGCATTCTCTGTTCTTCGTACGACTATCAGACCAATAGAGACGAGCCCAAGATCACTTATTGTGAGGCATACCAATATGATTCGAAGCAACGCATCTACGCAATCGAGCACGCGTCGTGCAGGCAGCGGCACATTCGAGCATGGCGCAACCATTGGTGTACGCAAGCATACGGTAAGAGCACTAACTTGGACGAATGATGCGGTCAAGCTGATAATATCATCAAAGTCGCGCGGTAAATTATGCCCGCACTGCGCAAAGAGGGGAGTGCAAACATGGGTGACTCCGGGAACGATATGTCACGTATGTCGTCGTCCTGCTCGTCACTGTTGAGGTGAGTCATGCTCCATGCCGCCGAACAAGAGCCTGACGCGCGGCAGTCTACCGACTCGACGGTCCATTTTCTAGATCGCTTGCTTTGTATCGAGCGTTTCTTCTGCATTGCGACAGGCGCAGATAGATCAAGGAGCAACGCATTTTTGGAGTTTGCAGAGGCAGGCACTGCATTGGAATCACCAGGACGCTGCAGCATAAGACGACTTCATCGCAAGATGGATATATGTTCCCACCAGCCAGAGATCGATTGCCAGTAAGGTAATGAATCTGTAATTGAGCTCATCTTAGTTGGAAGCACACCTATTACCTCAATAATCCTCTTTCCCCGTACCAAGTCGCCCCTCAAGTCTCGGTTTCCAGCTGCTTCAGGACAACAGGGGCGCCTCATACTCATCTGCTCTGGTCATCTACTATCTCCTACGAATTGAGATCAGATACTGGTAATGCTCTGTCTCTTCCTACCACACTGTTTTGACCAATCACGTTGGCGAACGGCCTGAGCCGGGGGCCCACATCCTGCTGGCTCCGAACGGTCAGTGACCACTGGTAAGCTTCTGCTTTTCTTCGTTAACACCATCTCTTCTATCGTTGCCATCATTGATGGGTTGACCATGCGTTCTCGCTCGACTCTAAAGCTTGGTCTACAAGTCTTATACCTCTGCACGTAGTATGGCCAGATACGCGACAGCCACGAACAAGGGCTTCTCAGCCACCATATCGTGACTGTCGGCTGCCTCGACCGGACTTAACTTCCACTGCACTGTTCGCCATGTCATCAATGCGTTGGCCCTGAAGCAATGCAGTAGTAGCTGCTGGCGACGATTACTTGCTCTCGTTGATCAGTGGTGGAAGCCTGGTCCTGATACCAGTCCATGCTGCTGTACAATTGGGCGTGGGGATGCCCAAGAGATACTTGCCCTTCACATACCTTCTTCCACACGGACACTTCTGCCCCAAGAATTCGCCTACCATGGCGCATCGATGGCCAGTACCAGGTCGAGTCCGTGGCTGATCTAACATTCATCTGGCAGCAATGACACAACTATCCGCCGCACCTGCCTCACTTTAGGCGCACAGAAGATCGAAGGACGGAGTAGATCGGAACCGCGTTTGAGAGCGATTGTAAACTTTGCTTCAAGATGTGGACGCCCAGTGCAAGGCAACAGCTACTGAAAGTGGACCAGGCAGGGGATCTGTGGAGGAAGGTGCTGCCGGTCACGATGCATTCGCTACCTCTCAAATGGCGTTGTTCTTTACTGGACCCCCTTTTTCCAAAGATATTGCAACTGCAGGTGACGAACATCGAGACAGCTTCAGTTGATGTTGTTCGCCACTTTGGTGAGACTTCACTATGCAGTCATTGCGACTTCTTGCTGTACACCCCTGCACTAACCGCAAACGCGTGAAGCACAGCGACTTCACCACATCACTTGCTTAGACCTTCGTCTGAGCATATATCTGCATCGCACTTTCGGCGATTCGATCCAACTTCAATAGTCGCTCATCCATACGAAGCAGCCTTCTAACGCATAGTGTCTTCGAAGCCAATCTTACTATCAACACTTTAACATTGCATCACAGATATCAGTCGTCTGGTGCTCTGCCTGCCGGCAACACCATCAATCATCATGGTGACCCTGACGAAATCTGGGTGCTGCAGTAGTGGGTTAAGCCAAGCTCGCCAGTCCTTGGGTATGTTGCTAATCGGTTGCCGCAGGCGTGTTAGGTCACCTCGTTGTTGGTCTTGCAGTCGTCGCCACGGTACATGGCGCGGCTCTTTCTACAACCACGCGGAGTGTCGATCTCCTGCCAAACGAAAGTAACGCGGCCTTCGAGAACAACCGTGCCGTTCCTCAGCGAGCTGAAACAGATCCCTTAGCCTACGAACCCACCCCTACGACATTCTCAAAGGTTCTTGATGGCTCCAATCCGATCGAACGTCCAGATCCTTACAAGTATGCGCTCTGGTGTGCTTCAGCCAATGCTCCCGATGACTGGATGCGCGACACTCAGCAATGCAACCTCCGTTACGGCTTCCACTGTGATACCGAAGGCCATATGAAGTATCGGAAAGATGATGTAGACTGCCAGACGATGTGTGGATGCTACGAGTGGAGTGCAGATGAAGGCAAACCTCCGACAGTCAACGATCGCCCACCACAGAAGAAGTCCTCGATGTTCTCCCCTCCCAACGGATACGACGCGGAATCTTCGGCACGTATAGAGGCCGCATCTCCTTTTGAGTTCGCTGATTATCCTGTCAACAAACGCGACTCTGAGGATGGTGAGGGTCTGACTCGTACTGCTGTCCAGCTTAGATCTGAGGTACACGAACTTGTCCGTCGACACGACTATGCAGTTGGGTGCTACCAGAATCGAGGCCAGGGTGAGTTTAATGGACCACTTCAGCGCCGGTGCGTTGCCAGCCCTTATGGATACAATTGTGCACCTACGCTTATGTTCAACCAACGCGATGAACTATGTGACAGAAATTGTCGCTGTGTCAACACGAACCCGAAGCCGCGTGTGCTTAATTGGCTTGCGGGTCAGGTTCCGAAGAGCGGGTCGTGGAGCAGGCGATCCATTGCTCCTCCTGATGATGACCCTGAGCAATCAACCGTTGGTCTCCAGGAGGCCTCCATTCGACAATCACATCAAGGAAGTAATTCACAAGACGCTCCCAATCAGCATAATCTTGACCGTCGTCACGATGTCGCAATGACCTGCCGAGATCGAATGGGAGTCAGCAAAGACTGGTGGGATATCTGTTCGGCAAGTCCCTACGTCTACCGATGCAATCCTCAGACGATGAAGTTGACATTTCAGCAAAAGTACCAAGAGTGCGACAACAAGTGCAGCTGCCATGACATGAATCCAAAACCCAAACCCCTCAACTGGCTCAGGGTCAGGTTCCAGAGGGCGGCGGCTGGAAAAAGCGCACGGTCGGGAGTGTTACGAAGCTTGAGGACACCAAGGAGAATGCCCAGGTAGAAGCTCGTCAGCAGCCGCCTGCCATTGTTCCCAACTCGAAACCGTGGCCAAGCTGGCCCTGGCATCATGATGATGGCGCTGCTTGGTCGCCGGGAAATGAACTTGTCTGCTTCACCGGTGACAAGCAGAGCAAGGATATGACCAAAAGTTGCGATATGGGTCCATGGATCTACTACTGCGAAACAGACGGCAACATGAGCAGCATTGAAGCGCGAGATGACTGCAACAAGCAGTGCAGATGCGTAGCATGGACCCTCGGCCTAGTCCAATCAATTGGGTTATAGGTCAGATGCCACACCCACCTGGCGTGCAGAGACGTGCTGCGATCGAATCGTCCACTGCAGCCGGCGAAACCGACATCGAGCTCAGATCTGCCAGCCTCACAAAGCGGGACAGCGAGTGGGGTTTGGTTTGCAAGTACCAGGAGTCTGGAGATCAGCCGATGAGGGAAGACGAAAAAATGACTCGTTTATGCATCGACCCGCCGTACGGCTACAATTGCGACAAGAGAGGCCAGCGCACTCGATCTGGGAAACAGAGTGGTACTTGTGATGATCAGTGCTTCTGTCGCAACATGAACCCAAAGCCACGCGTCTTGGGCTGGGTTTACGATCAGGTGCCTGCGAGTGGCTCCTGGCGTAAGCTTGTCAAAGCGATCTTTGGTATCAGTGACGGAAAAGTCGACAACAATACTATTGCCGATGGCGGCAGATCAGAAATGATGGATGCCGACAAGGACAACTCAGCCAATGTGGCCGCTATTCCTCAGCAAGCCAATAGCACAAGTCGACCTGGAGCCGAAGCCCACATCGAGAGCGACGACAAGGCCACAACCACGTACGATGGCCAGCAAGAGCAAACTTCGCCGCGTTTCGAACCATCTTCCGGTGGAGTCGAACTAATGACGAGACACGAATACGCTGTGGTGTGCGAACTTGACGGTCAGCGAGACTCAAAGGTCACCGAGGCCTGCCGCCGTCCTCCTCGTGTATACAGCTGCGATGCTAATGGTCGACTCTCGAAGCGAAAATACGACTACTATTGCGATCAGCACTGTGCGTGTCAGGACATGAATCCGAAGCCACTCCGCGTCGACGTCCCGATGGGCTCTATTCCTAATCCGTGCCATTTCTGCAAGCGAGACGCTGATGATGACGGGGATCGGGAGTCGTCTCCAGGGGGCACAGAGCTTATGGACGGAGATGTGGTCGATGGTGAGAAGACCTCATTCGATGTTGTCTGGGTTCTGGATTGCAGCTACCAAGATGGTACGCAGGACCTGGCGCTCGTCCGACAGTGCCATCTCGAGCGGAACGTCTCATGCAGTGCGGACGGGCAGCTCCAATCGGAGCAACCGTCGGTTGACGGACGGTGTGCAGCGGTGTGCTTCTGCTATCAGCGGCCAGTCTGAGAAAGCGAAGACCGCAGAGATGTGTTCTGTTGGAATAATGCGAGGGCTACACAGGGTTTTGTAGACTGAAGGAGCCAAGGTAGACCTCAGGAATGCGCAAGCACGGGCATAGATATGCAAAGACTGGGTGGGGGTCTCGATGGGATTGCGCAGTCGACTCATGTCGAAACCCTCCCAGTAGACGCAAGACGACTTGTGAGTATGCAGATAGACATAGACAGTTCAAATTCATCCACCGATATCCGTTCTGCGGTACTTGTAGCAAACGCACAGCCAGGAAGTATATTCATTATTGCCACCTCAAATACATGTCTGGTCATCCGGCGCAAGATAAGCCACACCCCCGGCTGGCGAGCAGGATAGCTGCATCGTGCCTGCCTGCCGTAGAGATTTGACAGTAGGAAGCTGCTATCTCACGTCGATCGATCTCGATTCCGAAGCCGCCGCTCCCTCTGCATTGGTAGTGGGTATGCAGCATAGCTTGTTGGTCACCGGATGACATTCAGCCTCAAGTGAGACCGGATGACCAGACAGTAGCAGAAGGCGCCCCCAGCAGCGTGAATACTTGGTAAACTGACGCTGAAAGGGTGAGGAATGGCTTACACTGAACATCATATGGTCGTAACGCCTTGCGATCTTGGGTCACAGTCCCAGGCCTTGACTTTACGTCCCGCTCATCCTTGCAAGATCTCGAGCGCAGCCTTCCTCATGATATCCCCCTTCTCCTTCTCCTGTGCCTCGACTTCCTTGATCTGCCTCCAGAGATAGGGCCCTGTGCTGACCCTGCTCGCCCCCGCCTCCCGCGCTCCTTTGACACCCATACCGCCCGGCTGTAGACTCAATCTACCGCCGAACGCCTTTGCCATCTTCGCGGCTTCCTCCTTCGTGATGACGTGCTTCCCGACGCCCCACACGAACACGCACGCTGCGCCGGCGTCAAGGTATGCTAGACCACGAGTGATACAGTCGTCGATCGTCCCATCAAACCCCAGAACGTCGGTGCGTGCGTTGATGGTGAACAGCTTTGCCGGAATGCCGGCTGCTTCGGCGCCCTGAAGGGCGGACTTCAGGCGCGCGACATTCTCCTCGATGGAGCGCAACCGCACAGGTCGGCTGCCCTCAGGGTCAGTGTCGAGATCCTCGATGTTGCAACCCACGATCCCCGCCGTCTCAATCGCACGCTTGACCGTCTCGGCTGGGTCTTCGTACCCGTCCTGCAGGTCTGCACTCAACGGAAGGAGTTTGTCTGGGTGCTGGGATGTCCAGGCATCGATGCCGGCTCGAATGGCGGCGAGTCCTTTGAGGTTGAGGTCGAGGGTGAGTGCCGCGTCGGGGATGCCTTGAGATTCGGCGACAGCGTAGGACGCGCTGGCGAGGGCGGTGGTTTGAGGCAGGGAGGCGATCAGTGTGGCGGAGGGGGTGTCGTGGACGTTGGTTAGGATCAGGAGATTGGAGGGCTGATGCAGGGAGCGGAAGTGTCTTGCTAGTTCGGTCAAGGAGGGGCTTGTGGCTGTCGTTGTGGACGACATGGTCCTTTGAGTTGTGTTGGGTCCTCCTGAGATTGTGATAGGGTGGTGTAGGAGGCAGGATCGTAGCTGTAGAGGGCCAGGGACTCGCGTGTTGTTCGAATGAAGACGAATGAGGGGCCTACACGACGAACTGGTGTTTCGACCTGCTCTAAATATCGTGTTTGACGAGCGTGCTTCGATTGTTCGGAGTGCTGCTGTGCTCATGGTCTTTCACGTTCTTTATCATTAGAGTAGCATCGCAGAGAGCGTGTCGATGCCAGTGTGGTCAACCGCAGGGCGGAGGTGTCTTCAACAGCCTCACCAGGTCGCCTTGCGCGTATAATCCACCCTGTCTTCAAGTTATGAGTAAGTCGAAGTAAACACTGTTGTCCATACCCGTTTTAAGGCAGACGGACGTACTCGCTTCGAAGGACCGGCCCGGCTCACTGGAACTACTCACGTTGTGTTGGGACGTCGACTACGTGATGCAGGCCATAGCAGTAAGTCCGACACCATATGCGCACAAAATATGAGTTGAGCGGAGAGTCAGGCGTATAGCACTATTGTGCCTCGTAAGTGTGTCAATTAGACTGATGCGAGGATGACTAAGGGATAGTGATCTGTACCAATCCCGAGATTGCTCACGATGTGACCAGTCAGATGAAGCCAAGGATTGCGCGGTAGCTGCAAGCCCGGGTGGCCTGTAACTCCAGAGTCCTGAGTAGATCAGGCAGAACCTGCTTGGCGGGTGTCCGATGGTAATCAGGAGAACAAATTTCCTGCAGATACGACAGACGCGACGGGAAGAAGGAAACGGCCACCACGCGATTCGGAGCTCAGATGTGGAAGGCAGGCTGGGGTTGGGCCTTCGATATGCGGCTTGACACAAAGTGTAAGTCATACACCACATGGTTCGTTTCTCGCACAGCTGGTATACGCAGGTAACATCAAGCAACGCTCACAAAGCCTCTCTTGACTCCCTTGGTCGTCGTCGTCGTCTTCTTGCTTTCCGGCGCGCCTTCCTCGTCAATATCGTCAATCCAGCCCTTGTCCTCCTCCGCCTCCGCAACCCGTCTGCCCAATACCCTCAACCCCGCCAAGTTCCACCCGGCCTCCTTTCTCCTCCCCTCCAATAGCTTTCTCAACTTCACTTTCAATGCTTCTAGATCTGCCCTCAAGTTCCCTTGACTCACAATCTGCCGCTGGTGTACCTTGAGCATGAACACAAGCACTCGACAGATAAGTGGCACATTACGTCCCTCTTCGGCCCACAAGCCGAGAAACGTGAACAGCGCGGGCAGTTGCGTGAAGCTCAGCACCAACAAGGCGTCTTGCAGGGATGCGGCAGGGATCTTTTCGAAGACGCTGAGGACGTATGCTGAGGCGGACACGTTGTTATGTGCAATAGTGAGGATTGGGTTACGTTGTGGTGGGGCAAGTTGGGTGTTTGGATTGGTAGATTGAAGGGCGCTGTGGGCGGACGTGATTTCTAGGTCTTCCATGCCGAGGGTCAGAGCTTCAGTGATCTTCTCACCGGCCATGAGGGTTTGTGCTGTCTGTTTGGAGGGGTCGAGGACCGCATCTGCAGGAGTACCATCCTCATTTTGTGCAGCATTGCGCTCATCAGACTCCAGATTCGTGAGGAGCTGGGATTCGTAGAGGTCCTCGAGCTCCTTCTCGCGCTCTTCCTCAAGGAATATTTGCTCGTCTGTTTGGCTCCAGACGCGGATTGACTTATCGTGGGAGGCTGTTGCGATGAAGGAGCCGTCGGTGGCGATAGCCAGTGCCCATATCTCCCCGTGGTGGCCGTTCAACACCTGGATCTGCTCGAACTTGTCTGCGTCGTAGTACTTAATGCTTCGGTCTTTCGAGACGGAGAAGAAATGGTGCCCATTCTGGTCTTCGTTGGTTGGCACAAATGCCACAGAAAGGATTGAGTCGTTGTGAGCAAAGAAGGTTTTGTGGCAATCGCCAAAATCCAGACCCCACACTCGCACATTCTTGTCGGCGGACGATGAGACGAGAAGCTTCGAATCGTACGAAATCGAGATGCTCAACACGGGAAGCTTGTGTCCGTATAGCGTCAGGTAGAGCTTCAGGCTATCCATGAAGAAGACCTTGATGGTGTTGTCGAGGGTAGAAACTGCAATCAGGCGCGAGTCGGGTGATAATCTGACGGCAAGAATGTCGTCTGCGACTTTGAGAGTGCGTGTGTGCACCAGCGTGAGCTTCGGAGTGGTTCGCTCAGTGCCGAGAACGGCTTCGTGGACGACTTTGAAGTCCCAGAATTTGGCACTCTTGTCTGCAGATGCAGTGACCAGGGCTTTACCATCGTATGACACTTGCATGGACCAGAGCTCTTTTTCGTGAGCAGCAACGGTATCTAGCAGCACTGATGAGGCAATGTCAAACAGTTCGAGTGTGCCTTCCCTGGTGCCGATGACGACAATTTTGTCACCTGGCAGGAACGCTGCACACAGGGCATAGCCGCATTCAAGGGTCCGCAAGCAGCTCTGTGTCCGCGTGTTCCAGATCTTTAGACTGCCATTTGATGCGCTGGCGAGCATGCGGTCGTCGGAGCTGAGGGCTAGACAGCGGATGTCGGTGCGGTGGCCGGGTGTATCGACTGCTTGGGTGCGGCTGTATTCTGGTTGCTCGGCTTTTTTCGACTTCTGGTCTGGCGGAGGGAGTGTAACTTCGAAGAGCTCTAGCTGATTATTGGAGGTGGAGATGAGCATTGAAATAGACTTGCCAGATTTGCCGCCTGCCCAGTCCATCGAGCGAACCTTGCCGCTGGTACGGACAGTCACGTAGGTGACGATGAAGTCTGTGATCGTAGGAATGGTCTCGGGATCGGGCTGATCGTTGTCCAGTGCCATCTCGTCCTGAGCAGCAGCCTCCTCAGCAGCAGCCTTCTCTCGCTTCCGTTTCTTCTTTCGGGCGAGAGCTTTCCGGACTTCAGCATCGCTGCGGATTCTGAATATTTCGATACTCTTCTCGGAGCCGTGGAAAGCTAGCAGATCGCGTTTGGGGTGGAAGTGAATGCCGGTCGTGCGATCACGGCCATGCCGGTAGAATGTGCCCTGCTCTGTCAGAATATTGACCCGCTTTGCGGTAGTGGACTGCTGGAAGGCAGCAGCATTGACTGTCCAGGCTTTGATCTCGCCATCATTTCCCGCAGTCAGTAAGGCCGATCCGTCCGGACCGACAGCAGAAGTCCAGCATTCTCCATTTGTCTGGACGACATGTGTCTCGACGCAGTGTTGGCTGGACAGATCCCAGACCTTGACCAGCGAGTCTTTGCCTGTCGACACGACGAAGGTCTCTCCTTCCTCGCCTGCCTCGGGCGACTGCAAAAAGTGCGCACTCGTGACCTGATCCTTATGTCCCCTTAACCGGTACAGCCCAACCTCGCCCACCATATCCCATACAATGACATCGGTATCCCGACTGCCGCTCACTAATCTGCCGCCCGCAGTATCGAATTGCAGCACCGTCACAGCACTTTTATGTCCGTTGAACGTAATGACAACCGTCGCAGTAACGGCGTCCCACACCCGAATCTTGCCATCGGTGTAGCCACAGCGTATAGGTCAGGCGCGGCAGCACAACGTATGATGTGAGTGACAGGCGAAGGGTCGTCAGGTATTCGCCATGTGTCGAGCAGTTCTGCCTTCTTGATGTCCCAGGACAGGATCGAGTCGTTGGCGCCTACTACCGCTCGACCGGCAGAGGTTTGTGTGGTGCTTGTAGACAGGGCATGGGCATCATAGACGACATTGGATGTGGGGGAGCAGATCTGGGAGAAGGTCTTGGAATGCTCAAATTTCCTGTAGATGTTAGTCTGGTATGTCGAGGACTCTGGAAGGCACTTACAAGTAGGATTTGACCATTCTGCTACACACATGCTGCGCCTGGAGGAGTCAGAATGTATTCGAAAGCCGTTGCTCGATCCTGAACTTTTTGCGCCGCAGACCAGCAGTTGGAGCCCGCCTTGGAGAAATCTTCTGGGCGTCCAATCATCAGCGTGTCGTCGATCGTGGGGCTCGGGTTTCTTTTCCGATGTCGATCATGTATTTCTGTCATGCATCCTACGGAAGGGACATCTCAAGTACATGTCACAATCATGCAATCCTAGTCATCGGAACGCGCCCCAGCTTAGCTGCGTACGGACAGTCCATCTCAGCAGCGTGGAGGCCTTCATCAGACGGTCCACGCTTACACAAAATGGAAAAGCAAAAACGAAAGACGACACCTACAGGATCTATCGGGATGTTAGTTTGAGACCTCATCTGAAGTAAGATGCGACTCACTCGAACCTGCGCTCCCGAGGGAAATGCCTCATCTACATGATCACAAGGACCGATAGCAGGGCTGCACAATTGTTAGATAAATACCACGAGATCATAAGAGAGCTGCTAACCATCGCGTTAACCCTGGGAAACGCATTAGTGCCGATGACTAGAGATAGAGAGACTAGCTTACACTCCGCCAAAGTGTCTCCTAGATCTGTTGTAGATCTGTGTGAGATATTTGTGGCGAAATTCGATCATATAGATATATGTAGGTGTGTGCTGTGTAGCCTGAATATATTGACTCACAAGCCACATGGAACTGGAGCCTCCTCGCAGCTTCCATGTGGGCACCGTCTTCCTGCATGTTCTGCTGGCATGGAGTCGTAACCCCGGCGAATGACTCCGAGTCTTCATTTGTATCCGACGGTCTGCAAGCGAACGATCTCCAGTCTATACACTGCTGCGAAGGTGGGCTCAACAGGCATTATGCGGCCCAAGGCGAATTCGAGCTGAGAAGGCCACGATGTAGACATGAGAGCAAGCAATTCAATCTCGCCCGGACGTATGCCAGCGAAGGTGGTCTGCAGGAGCCCCTTGAACCTCTTCGGCCAAAGCAGACAGCCAGCCACCGCGATAACCACGTCCTTGCTGCTGTTGATTAACCACAAATATCCTGGCACTGCCTTTCCGCAACCCGCGCAATCATAGTCCTGCTACAGCGCCAACGCATCCGCCGGCGGACTTATCTCCTTCCTCTGTTCCGACAACGCCAAGCACAACGGACTCGGACTCTTCTCACTACTAGCTCTCCTCGTGCTTGGAGTCGTCTCGAAGTCAAACTTGGCCTCCAGCTTCTCCGTTAACACATCGTCCCAGATGAACTGCTTGCACGTCCTAATCGTAAAGTCCCGGTCCAGCGTCACATGCTCTGAAGCCTTCTCCAACAGTGTGTTACCGACTCGCCATGACAATGCGCCTGCTTCGCTACAGGTTGTCAGCACGGCGCCTACCCACACGAGAACCTTGCTGTGTTTCTTCTCCCACTTGACGCCGTTTCGATAGATGGGTGAAATGCGCACACGAATTACGCAGCCGAGAAGCCAGTGCGCGGCGCGGTCCTTGTCCAGCCAGGTAGCGTAGTCTATGAGGCAGCGATGATGAGCTTCTCCACGTCGTTCATTCCTTCTATCCTGTACAGTGATTCGAGCTCGTAGCCTAAAATTTTCATCCGACGAAGGTCTTCTGGCCGCTTCTCGCCATCTCGGTCAAATTTCGATTGAAGGGCGGCGACATCAGCGACGAGACGGATCAAAGCGATACTCAGGGTGCCAGAGAGCGCCAACTCAGCCAGCTCTTTGGGGAGTTTCGAGGTAGCGATGCAGAGGTCTGGAGGGAAAGGATGTTTCGGATATTTCGCGGTGCCGGTCTCCGCTGTGGCGTATGCGATCTGTTTCGAATGCCAGAATTGCTGGAACCCGATGACTTTCTGTTTCAGGTACGGTAGATGGTTGATCGACTCCAGTCCGCCACGAAGCTGGATAATACGGTCGAGGCCTTCAGCGTGCATCTTCATAGAGTCTGTAGAACCGAAGAGGATGTCGATTGACATCAGGACGGTAATGGTGAGGAGGAGAATGTCGTTGTCCTGGTCGGTCATCAGTCGCTTTCGCATGTCCATGAATGCCTTGGACTGGTATTTGGCAACGACTTCGCTTTTCTCGCACGTGTCATGCATCATGCGGTCCTTCATTCCTTCGCTGAAGGCAACGTTGGCGCAGAACCACATCGGATCCGACATCGCCGTCTGGATCAAGTCGTTTGAGAAGGCCGTGTGCTGCCATTGCTTCGGTGCATCGGTATTGTAAGGGTGAATCTGGTATTTGAAGACCTCGAAGTAGTACTGTAGTGCCGACGCAATCTCTGAGTCCCGTTCCACTGGGAAAATGTTTACATCAGGTGTATTCTGGCTGAGTGCAATGATGTCGACGGAGGGACAGCCCATCAGACTTTCACGCGGACTGACGACAGGTTTCCTGCGTTGCAGCAACCGGGATTTCCTAGGAGCTCTGGTGTGGGATGGCACCTTGCGCTCTTTGCCAGGGAACATAGCGCCCGGGCAAAGCTCTGGGAAGGAGTGGTCGCCATGACAAGAGGGGCAACAGTATCGCTCGAGTTTCCGCTCGAGTACGAGCATGTTGGCTGTAGCTGGACCGCGAGCGCATGCGGTGCGCCGCCCGCTGAGCGCGTCAAGGTACTGCTATAGTCCTCACTTGGCTTTGCTTAGGGTATGTGCAAGTCGTGAGAGGTTTGCTTATCCAAGCGGCACGAGTACGTTGTCTGGTCTGGCCCCCAAGTCTCTGACAGGGCTGATGATACTTCCGGAAATGCTGACCAAAAATTTATCAAAGCTTGTGGCGTATACTTTCTCATGTATACGGAAGGCGTCCCTGATATGACTCCCGAGCCTGTTTGCTGTAGAATGAGCTGGATGACAGAGGCAGTGTATGAGTACCAAGGTGGTAGTCGTTCATAGGGCTGTCAGATGCTTATGAGCAACGCTGTGAGTGCTAAAAAGGGAGACCAAGACTGCTCACTGCCGACAGGAAGTGGAAGCGAAATCAGGCGACCCATTGGGCAACAGGGAGTGCCCCGCAAACATGGAAATCTTCGGGGACAAATTTGAAATTCGACAATAGAAATACCGTGATCTATCCCTCATGAGGCCTGCCGATCAACTCCCCCGAGGCTCGCGCCATCCTCGCAGATTGATCGCACGAACATGATAGCCAAATCATGCCTGTGCTGCGGCGGAAACATGGTACGAAGTGCACTTACGAGTCGTATATCGTGATTCGCCAAGTCGAGCTGAAAACGAGGCGGCTCATATATCTCACGGGAAGTTCCCGATTGCCTTGACGTTGTCTGAGGTTGCTGTGATCGGCTCGCGCCTTGCAATTCCTGGAGTGGAAGCAATTCGCCGTGTACGTAAGCTACATTGACTGGCTGGAACACAGGTGTCGGGTGGCCATGGCAAAGTCAGCGGTTGCCTTCAAGGTTCAAACTTCACATGGGATTCTCCGAGTCGCTACTGCCTCTAGTGGCAGGAGCATGTCGCATGAGATCTTCCGCCATCGATGTACGTCCGCCGTTGAGCAGGACCAGGTGGTCACATCATCGCCACTGCCATATATACCTCACGACGCTGAGCAGGGAAAGTCAACGACGTGCTGGGTAACTTTTATGTATACTCTACTAGCAGATCTTGCCCACCCGGAGTCAACGGAGTTTATGCACCGTTGCCGCCTAGAGGACTTCCAAATATTTGCGGAGCGGAAGAGGAAATGATGTACTGTCCATATCAAATCACAGACCAAGCGAGTCTTTGCTGTGATATGCGCCTAAGATGATGCACCCGTCGAGACAGGCGAGGGTGGAGGAGGAGCCTGAGGTGAGTCAATCTGTCCGTCGTGCTTCCACCGCTCGTTATTCACCCGCTACATCAAGGCTTCTTCCTCGAGATCACCGAGCCCGTCGAAGCCACCATGATTACGTCTCAGCAACTGACGACCCTCGTCAATCACAGGACGACTCGCCTGGTGTGAGTCTCGCCGACCTTCCCGTCGACCGAAACTATGACATCCCCTCCGCTGCCGCAGGCGTCGCGCCGGAGAGAGCATCTGCTCTTCTCTCACAGTTCGATCGCAAACGCCGTGTGGCAGCAACGGTGGTACCCACAGATGATGGCAAGGTCCGCGCGCAACTCCGCGCAATGGGAGAGCCCATCACTCTCTTTGGCGAGAGCAAGGGCGACCGCCGAGACCGCCTCCGAGAACTCGTGACTACTGCTGCGGAAGACGACGATGAGGAGGATACGTCCATGGCCGATGCAGACGAGCCACCGCCAGACCAGGAAGAGGAGTTCTATGCAGAAGGTACACAGGCTCTCCTCGATGCTCGACGAACTATAGCTCGGTATTCTCTGCCACGAGCACAAGCACGAGTCGCGCGTCAGAGGGAAGACAGTGGCATTCCTCTGCGAACACACATCAAGCACCGCAAAGCCATCAAAGAGCGCCTGTCTGGCTTCGAGCTTTTCGGCTCTCAAATTGCGGGCGAACGGCCCGTCAGCATCTCCCGCTTTTCACCGAATAACGAAATCGTTGCCGCTGGCAATTGGAACGGAGGCATCAGACTGCTATCCGTCCCCAACCTCGAAACAACGCGTACCTTACGGGGCCACACCGGCATAGTAGGCGGTCTGTCCTGGTTTCCTGGCGCCACACTTCCCAGCTCCACCGTCTCACCCTTGTCTGTCAACCTCGCCTCCGGGTCCGGCGGCCAAGGCGGCACACCCAACATCCACCTCTGGTCCCTCGACTCCGACACACCCCTTTCCACCCTCTCAGGCCACACCGACCGCGTCAGCCGCGTTGAGTTCCACCCGTCAGGCAAATACCTCGCCTCCGCCTCCTTCGACACCACTTGGCGCCTTTGGGACGTCGAAACCACAACCTCTCTTCTCGCCCAAGAAGGCCACAGCCGATCCGTCTACACCGTCTCCTTCAATGCCGACGGCAGCCTCCTCGCCTCTGGTGGCTTAGACTCCATCGGACGCATCTGGGATCTCCGCACGGGAAGAACGGTCATGATTCTCGACGGGCACATCCGCGAGATCTTCGCCATGGACTGGGGCATAGACGGCTATCGCGTCCTCTCTGGCAGCGGCGACGGCTGGGTCAAATGTTGGGACATCCGTGCTGTGCGCGCTTCTGGTGGGTTGGGCGCACACAACGGCAACGTTTCGGATCTGAGGTGGTTCAAGGGCATTGACGGTGATCTAAGCATACCTGCACAGGTCGACACAGCCATGACTGACGCGCCGGGCCCAACACTCACAACAAACACTAACGGAAACTCAGCCATATCAGCACGAGACCGCGAGCCACGGAAAGCAGGCACTTTCTTCGTCTCCGCAGGCTTTGACAAGAACGTCAACATCTACAGCGTCGACGACTGGGCGCTGTGTCGGCAGCTGAGCGGGCATTCGGGCAATGTGCTGAGCGTGGATGTGAGTGCTGATGCTAAGTGGATCGTGAGCTCCGGGCATGATCGGACGGTCAAGCTGTGGGGGAGAGAGGACGGACAAGGGATATGATGGGGTGGACGCCGGGTACAGGTCATCGAATACAACAGGGCCAGGAGTGGCGCAGAAGATGGTCGTTCGGATACGTGTGGTGATGAACGATGCGTCTCTCTGACTTTGATGCTCTATCGCGCACAGCAAAGCCGCTCAGAGGCCAAAGCTACGTACAGGGCACTTAGCGATGGCCACGATAAGCCGGCAAATCGTATGTGCCATCGCCGCGAACAAAGAGCACACCATCCCAAGGCCACAAGGAGTCGGGCATGAAGGAAGTAAAAGAGTCGAACCTATGGTGAGGTTGCTCGACCCACCAAGTACCAGCAGGTGGTACGAAGGCATGACAATGAGCAGGCGAGTACGACTGCAGTCGCGATGTGTGAGGGGAGAGAAGAGGACGAAGGTCGAGGGCAAGACAGCTAGGTACTTATACCCGATCAACAAAGTCGAAACCCGCTGCAAAACGAGAAAGAGCACTTCACTGTGTTCGGCTACTGTAGGAGGCATGCACTGTTCCTCGAGTGACTCCAGGGCAGTTGCTGCCAAGTGATATATAGGTGAAGGGCTTTGGTACCTGGAGGTGAGCTTCATTCACTCACGATTTTCAAATTGTCAATGTACCTGAATCATGCATCGAACCGTGAATACCACCGCTGCCAGCCGAGTCAATGCAGTGACCGCTCCGTCTTCAGCCGCGACATTCACTGTTTTGGAAAGGGTATAAGTATTTGTGTTGCCCTCGACTTCTTCTTCCTCTTCCATCCACCTCAGCAGATGGGAATGGCATTGTTCATTGTCATGCCAAGATAGCAACTGCAACTGTTTGGTGGGGCGAGCTTCATATTATTCGATGTATGCGAATGCGGTGAAGTAGGGTGCTCGTATGTGTTTGGACTGCAGAAGACGTTCAGAACAGATGCAGCATGCTGATCTTTTGAATCTCTCACGTGTTGTACGTCTTCGACGACAACGAGGGAAACATCGAACTTGTTTTCAAGTGCCTCGTGTTCTTTTAAGAGGTCTTCCTATAACGAGTCCAGCTGATACGTTCCTCGGACGGAGCAGCGACATTCATGTAGTTGGATCAGTGATTCCGAGTCTGCTCCTCAATGGTCATCGCAGGATGACACTTCAGCCTGCTCGGGAGGTCCCCGATGGTAACGTGGCAAGCATGGGTTGTTTTCCTCACGCCATGGCCATCACATCGCCTATTTATCTTTGCTTGCCACCCGAGCCCAACCTTTGCTGCCAGAGATTCCCAACTGACTCGTGACTTAAGGCCCAATCACTTCGCAAAATGCAGATCATAACTCAACCACTTCCTCCTCTGCACCTGATCCACACTCAACCCAGGCCACCCATAGGTCAACGGGAAGAAGAACACAAAGCCCCAAACCACCGCGGCGAGGATCACAATCGTCGCAATCCAAGTCCCTACCAAACTCTGCCCCTTCATCCTCTCTTTCGTGGACTGGAATTTCCTTCTCGACTTCTCCGCTGCTGTAGCGACCTTTTCTTGCACAGCTGATGGCACGTACTCCTTGGCTTTGTTGGTGATTTGTTGTTTGGTGGGCTCGAGGTCGACGAGGGGCTCGACGTTGAAGATGAATTCCACCAGAGCGCCCGTCACGAGGCATGAGGCGAGATGTGCGGGGAGGTAATGGTGCAGGAAGAGTTGCCGGCCCATGGTGTAGAAGGGGAAGTAGTGTGCTGCCCAGCAGAGGAAGAAGAAGCCCGTCGAGCTATAGAGGCGCGAACGGGTGCCTGTGGCGGGAAGTCAGTAGAGAATGGGAACATGAAAGAGTCACGACTCACGCTTGTCCAGAGAATCAACTCCTCGTCGCAGGGACAGCTGATCAGCGCCCCAGATGCCAGCAAAGACAGCCAGAATGGCGGAGGCGATCCAATACCCGACAGGATTACCCAAGAAATAGATCTGCTGACGGGTCGATTCCTGAGTCCAGAAGCTGACACCACGGAGCAGGAACGGCCACTGGAATGGGAGAGATGCGTACGGATGCGACGAAGTCAAGGCGTTGTTGTGAGCAAACATGCTTCGCTGCAATTCGAAGTACTTCTTCAGGAACGGCATGTGCTTGGCCTTACGAGGCTCCTTCTGCAATCGCGGGTTGTCCTCTGGAATATTTGTGATTTCATCCACGTACCAGATGTTGGAAGGCTGTGCAACGTTCTTGTTGCCGTTGATTTCTGCCTGCTTGTGAGCCCACTCTGGCAACGGCTTGGTGTGTGTCCACATAGCGACCTTAGTTGGGAAGTGCACCAATTTGAATTGACCGGACTTGGAGCGGAAAGGAGTCTTCGCCTTGCCTTGCTCGATTCGGATCTCGAAGAGAGTATCGTTGTGGCGCGTGTCGGCGGCCAGATCGAGGGCCACAGTGGTGAATTCCTGGTTTGTCGGGAAGGTGGGCGATGCAACATCATGCGTGAGTAGGATGGTATCAGTCACCACATGTCGAAGCTTGACGACATCGTGATTCATAACGGGTGATCCACGATGAGATCCGTCTGGATTCGGAGTATTGGGCAGGATCTCCCAAATGTTGTTGGTGTCGTTGAATGGGTAGCCCGTGACTTGTTGACCCTGGCTTGAAATGCGACCATCGTCATACCTCAAAGGATACTTCTCCAAGTGGCTATGAAGATAGGTCTTGGTGTCCTTGTGCCGTAGAGTGATCTGATCGTAATACAGAATGTCGAGGGCCGATGCATGCATTATGTTGTCACTGAGCGTCTCCTGAAATTCCGGTGTCATGAAATCGTCGCCAGGCCCGGACCTCGTAAGGATTGCAAAGTGGACTTGGAACCAGAAGAGGTAGAAGAAGAAGGGCACGATGATGAGACCGACCGCACGGGCAGCAAAATGCTTGCCAAACGTGATCATGTCCAACGCACCTTCCTTGCGGTTGATGTCGAGCAAGTCCCACAGGTCAATGCAGACAGCAGCACCAACAGTGACGAAGATGAAGGTACCGACGTACTTGACAGAGATGACACAGCTCATGCTGAAGCCAGTTAAGAGCAGCCACTTCCACCATTTGCGGCCGAAGGCATTGTGCCTTTGCTTGTAGAATCGAACGTAGCACAGAACGCTGGTAGCCATGAAGAAGACCAGAGTCGCATCCAGGAGGATCAAACGTGTCTGTCCAATGTGGGCGTTGTCGAAGAGAACTAGACCCGCTGCTAGAACACAGGCGGGCAGCGAGTAGCCAGACTCCCACATGATGAGGAAGACAGTCGGCACCGTCAAGGCGCCCAGCAGCGCTGGCAGGGCACGGTAGGCGACATATGGGACATTGTTGCTGATGTAGGAATCGCCGATGTTCTCGAACTTGAAGTCGCCATCGTAGCCAACAAGCCAACCGACGAGTGCGAAGAGGAGCTTGCCGAGAGGAGGGTGGACGTCGAAGAAGTAGGTGCGTTGGAGGTAGTACGAAGCGAACTGATCAGTAGCAGATTAGTTGGGCTGTGGCCTGGTCAAGATCGGTGACTACATACCTTTCCGAAGTGGACTTCATCGAAGACGACCTCGTCCGGATGGCTGATGCCAAAGAATCTCGTCAGGAAGGCCAGGACAATGATGATACCCAAAGCCAGCTTGTAATCCCATTCATTGACTGCGCCCTCTTTGGTCGAGTTCAGCAGGCTGTCGATGTCATCCTTGAGTTTGCCATTGGCTTTGTGCTTGTCCTTGCCGCCACGCTGCCGTAGCGTGCTGTCTTGAGTCGACATTGATCCGTGCCCCCTTTGGTGTGGGGTGCTGTTGTCGAGGGTGAGACAGGTGGTGTAGGCGGGCTCTGAGGTGTCTATACTGGTGGATTCGAACAAATTATACGGTGCAACTGCACGTTCAGGGCGGAAACATTAAAATGAGGGCACGAGCACCTCCAAAGAGTGAAAGAAGATGAAGAAGAAGCAGTTGCAGTGAAGCGTGAGGTGAAGGATACATTATTTGATTCAGCACACTTGTCCAAATTATTTCGGGACGCGTGCCACGCAGCGCGCCCCTTACGGGGCCAAGCTTCTCCATTTCCATCTCCTCATGCTTCGAATGCTTCTCTCGCCGTTCCATGGTCCCTGCAGCTCATGCCTCCTCATTGTATGCTATCAACACCGACGTCGTTGTACCTGCTATGCAATTTTCAAGTGCACACAGAGTACCCCAAATGCGTGCTCCAGAGAAATGCAAGAACGACTCTCTCAATCGTCCTGGTCAAAAATGCTCAGCGCCTCCAACTCGCGATTGACAATCCTGTCAAATTCCTCGCGGTCAATCCCCGCGCTCTTAGCCAGCCGGTACATGCTTTTCATCGATGTGCTGATATGCTGCCGTATTCCGACCTCAGAAGCATTAAACCTCTCTGCTGAATCTTCCAATCGAGCAATCGTGTCTGACCCGCCTCGTGATGATGGTGAGGTAGGAATTGGTTGTTGCATTTCTACGTTCTTTTCGTCGCTGTTGTCGTCTCCCTTGACATCCTGGTCTTGATATGGCGGCGGACTAGTGCTTCGTTCCGTAGGCATGCTCGGAATGGTCTCGAGCGCATGCCCGTTCAGGGTCGTTTCCATGCCATCCTGCATTTCTTCGTCCAGGTCGTGATTGTCCATGGCTGGCTGCACGTCGTTGTAGCGAGCATAGTAATCATCTTCCGACGATCCACCCGCACCCGGCTGCACAGATGCTTTCCGCATAGGTGTCCGTCCTGGCGTCTCATCGTACATTGCCCAGTAGTCATCCTCGTCGTTCTTAGGCGCCGACAGGTTGGTCGCCGAAGGACCCTGGTGCCCATCTGCCGCTCGGAGCGCCTCGTCGACTATCCTCGCCGACGACGTCTCATTAGCATGCTGTATCGTCTTCGACCACGACTCATCCGTCTCCGCCGAAGGCAGAATCTCCGCAAGCTTCCATGCGCTCCCGCCTTCCCCACCCGTACACCACAAGAAAACCGGCGTGAAAGGCCACTCCGATAGCTGCAATTGCGCCCGCAGCGTCTCCTCGTCCAACCTCTTATATGTCACCGCCTCAACGTCCCCAATCTCAATCTCGCCCGAAACAGGATGCGGTTCGAAGGTCGCATTCTCGACCTGCTCTTTCAAGGTTTCCGCTTGGTTGGGATCCCAGCAAAGCAACCTAAGCCAGCTCTCGTGAGGGTCAAGGTTGAGCTGCAACCGCTGTCGTAGTATAGGCGACACTAGAGGCAGTAGCGCAGGTGGCGGCCGTCTCGACGCAAAGGCCGTGGCAGGCAGGCTAGTATAGGTGGGAGGAGGCCTTGAGGGTCGGGAGGGTGTATAAGCTCGACCATTGCGAGGCTCTTACTATCTCAGCAGCATCGAAGGCCTGTGTAGTCGTACGGAAGCTGCAGCAAGCGAGTGCAGGAAAGTGTGATGGTGTGATAGTCTCGATCTGTCAGTGCCGTTGCAGAGGCGCTGATCAGTTCCAGGCAGTGCGCACGTGCAAAGCACTCCCGATCGCTTGTCCAGCCGCTGAGTGTCTAGGTGTGGTGAATGATATGTTCTGCAAGTATACTCCAGCCTCTAGTAGTAATGATACTTCTAAGCTCGGAAGGGAATACTGTTTGCGTGCTCAAGATGCAGGAAGCATGCCCGGAGTCTCGGGCGTCCACGTTTACTACAGGCTGCTCCCGCTCGACCGACCGACGTCAGCAGGGCACTGGCTTTCCATCACATGCCAGCCTTGGCGCATGGAGATCGATATCCGGGGGACGAAGACACGCATATCCAACAATATTCACTTCATTCGAAAGAAAGACTTTTTGAGTCCAATAAGTCCAAGTCGAAATACTATGATTATGTACGGTGTGCAGATGTCGCAGGAAACTACGATGTCCACAAGAAAATGGATCTGACCATCAAGGTAGATCAAGAAATGAGCAAGTGGTCCTTCTTCCGCAACAACCAGGAGCCCCGAGCCCTCCCAGAGCCAACCGGCAGTCCAAAGATTTGATAGTTGCTCGAAGCAGTGACTAACTCCGGCTGCTTCTTCTCGAACGCTGGTCAAGCGTGGTCTCAGCCACTCAAGAATCTCTGAAAGGCATTCTCTTCTCCCTTGCGGTCTGTTGAACCTAGCCCAAATCAGTGGAAACTGATTGATGGCACCAGTCCAAAATCGCTTCCTCCCGCAGTAGAAATGCTGTCCACGTTGCGCGAGCATAGCAGTTGCCTGATCTTTCTTTCATCCCGCTTCAACAAGCTATTCCGAGTGGTCGCTTTGCGTGCATGACGGTAGCGACAGTCCCCTTTCTGATGCAATGACACTCCTCCTAGGGGATCGTTCTGACTCAATGAAATGTGCTAATGACGGGGTATCTCGATGAACATGAAAGGAAAGTTTGTGTGGAAGCCCGAGTCCGGACGACCTTGATCATCTGCACTGGCGTGAGCCCATGACCCTCTTCTGTTGTATTATTGTCGTTCGTTAAGGTATGCGTCCGTCCCAGAGCCCTTCCGAGCAAACAGTGCGCTTGCTAAAGGACAAATCCTCCCTCGTGCAGGACAAAAGAAATTGTCGTTATGCTGGGTTGCATGCGGGTACTGGCGCAGATCTTTAGTCGTCCTCCGCCTCGTCATCTTCGTCCTCTTCTGACCCAGTAGGCTTGCTCTTCTTAGCAGGCGTCTCGTTTTCGTTACCTTCTGCTTTTCGTTTGGTACCGGAGCCGGCACTGTCTGTCTTCTTGCTAGCTGGAGTGGTGTTGTTCAGCAGTCCCAGCGGGTCTTCTCCTCGATCCATGGCAGCCACCTCGTCTGCTGTCAAAAAGCGACCGCCTGGGCCGCGTGGCCTGCGCATCGCATGGTTATGACGGGATTCGTGTAGGTATGGCTTGCGACCCTTAGACGTCAACCTGAGCTGTTCTTCAAGCTTTTGGCGCGCTACACGTCTCTTCAGTATGCGATGGAATTGCTTTGCGTTGACATAGAGTGGGGATTCTTCGGCGCCGCCACCACTGACCATCTCCTCTTGTTGTGGCTGAGGAGGTGGCATGCTCGGAGGGACAGTCTGACGAGGCATGTTATGATTCATCGCTGGCTGTGAGACTTGGCCGTGGGGACTGCTGAGATGTTGGCTCATTCTTCGCTGAGAGCTACCCATGCCACCAGCTTGTTGCATGCCAACACCTTGACCCATCGATGGAATCTGACCTACATTCGTCGTTAGTGGCAAACCGCTGGACATGAAGTTGACTTACCGGACGCAGCTGCGGTGGCCATTGCGGCTGCCTGAGGTACGGTCATACCATACCCCTGTGACATATTACTTGGAACGCCGACACCATATTGGCCATAGGCCATCGACTGCGATGGTTGTTGATAGTGGGTTTGAGTTTGGGAGGCAGAATCGGTGATGCTTGATTAGGGTTCTGCAGGTGCGATTGTCCCGACGGCGATGTCAACGCGCCTGGACCGCCTCCCTGCGGTGATGTTTGATAACCACTTTGCATGTGGGGATGCTGGGTGTGTTGGTATTGCTGAGGTGGGTACTCCATCTTGGACGCGTCTCAGTAGGAATGGGGGTATATGCAACTAGGTTGGACGTTCCGGGTGACAGCAGCAAGCCGCAGATAATCGCCACGGATAGTGGTCAGATCACTAATGGATGGTGAAACTGAGTCGATTAAGCGCAGCCGGTGCGGCACAGGCAAGGCTTGTGGAAGTAGCAAGGAGTAGGCGCAAGTCGTGGATTGTGTTCCCTGAGCGCGAGGCACAAGAAGCGTCGTTCGGTGCTCTGATTCGAGGGCTCTTATGTATCTGGGGTGTCGTTAGCTGCAGCTGAGACTGATCACTGGACGTGTATGGCCAGTCGGCGTTGGGAGCGGGCCAATACTAACCTCACGACAGGACTCCAATTGCTTCGCTTTTCGAAGTCGACTATGCGCTTTTGTTTGCGACAAGCAGACTTTAATTCAAGAGTCGTATGTGCAAAGTTGGAGGGCTATTCTGGCGGAGGCTGAAGCAAGCTCCAGGTGACGTGAATCGGCTTGTGATTTCGCCCTGTGTTGGGCACTCTTGCAGGAAGAGCCGGGATTGCAGCTACGCTTGATGCGTTGTCAAGCTGCGAACTGAGTGCCCGGAGTGTGGCGCAAGATGTTCGCCTCACAATGGTATTGTTGATCGGTCTGCTGTTGCGTCTTCGTGCTTGCGCAATGCGGCTGGCGCGCGTTGCTTTGGGATGTGCGGCTCAAGAGCGAGTCAGCAAGCTTTGAGGTCGCGATGGCGCAAACTAGAAGTGGACACGACAGGATAGGTGAAAGAAGCGCGTTGAAAACGACTGTTTGGCTGTGTTAGCAATGTCATGTATCAGCAGTGGTCGGGTGTAGAGATCATTGGAGAGGGAGGGGCTGGTTATGCATGATGCGCTGGCAGATGTGGGATCGAGGCAACTCACCTGGCACCTGGCACCTGGACTTAGTCTGTGTGAGGTCTCGGTGGCTATAATTATGCCTGCGTCGGGATGTGTCGTAACACTGTCTTTTCGCTTTAAGCGAGCAAGTGTTGGAAGAGGCGGTCACTACTGCGACGCGGTGTATATTGCGTGTTCCGGTAGACCAGATCGAGCAGTATCGATATCCAGATAGGTTGCGACTTTCGTGTCAACAGCGCGTGCGATTGGAGTACCTAGAAGTGGTTTCTCACTGCTATTGGCGACTTTTATGATGGAAATGCGGCGACGAGAAGCTGGTTGGACAGCTTCTGGCGGTGGATTTTGTGGCCCAAGGCAGTTCCAAGGTGACAAGGCCCGGAGGATAGGTACAGCCACGTGATGAGACAGTGTTCCGCTATCAGCGCACGAGCCGGGAGCCTCGAGCAAAGACTCGATAAAAAAGTATTGAATCAATCAGATTCAAGAACAGCCGTGACGAGTTGATTGGATTGGCCCAGGTTTTAGTAGAAGAAAGAGGGCCAGAGAAAACTGGCAGACGATTGGGAAGGGAGGAGAAAGTGGAGGACTCGGGGCTGAGGAAAAGGAAGGCCGCGGATCGACGATGATTCAGACGCGCTTGGCGAGTCTAGCCTGAAGAAGCACTTCAAATAATCGTGATGCTTTTCGGAGCACTTGTCGACCTCCGACGTTTGTTGCTGGCTCTTCAAGATCGTTGTTATTGTTGCCGCCGACGCTGACGAAGGTTATTGCGAGTTGCACGACAGGACTGATCGTGGACATGGTCGTGCCTGCGATATGCAATATGGGAGACCGAGCTGCATCCATGTACAAGTAATCGAAATCGCCGCGCGTTGACAAAGCTCTAATCTGGTCTACTACACGCGTTGGACGCGACTTCTGCAAGCAACGATGATGTTTGCTCCCGTCCCTACTCTGTCAACGCTCTCGCAGGCGCTGTACCTACTATTCGTACGTGGACATTGCGGCTCTCAACGTATCGTGCTACTGAAATTCAGCGACTTGATGGCTGTCTAAGTCTGCTGGTCGTCTTCCACTGAAGGACATTCATGGGCAATAGCCTCTTCTGTCGTACGACCTTCTTCTCTTCACACACAGGGTAATTGTTGGCAAGGATTGGCCCTACCGACCCTCGGCTAAGGCAGAAATGATGCAACTTCTGTCGGTTCCTTTGCCTTGATTTGATTAGCCGCCCGCTAGCATCACGAACTCTGCTCGTTTGCAATTCTTCAGAAAGCGCCTGTTTGACACTCTTGAAACATGGGAAGGAGGCGGTAAGCGCTGGTTGTTTGCTGTCGAGATCAAACTCATCGGCCAGCGTGCATCTAGAACTCCGAGCAAGTAGCAGCAGCAGCGTCATTGCAGGGAAGAGGCGGTCGCCTGGCGTGAGTTGACCGCCAGAATGACGGTGCTGTGTCAGCTCGATCGGTGGCTGGGGCGGTGGATTTCTGAGTAGCTAGGCATACACTTCGTAATCATGTGGTGCTCTGGACATCAGGATAAAAGCCATATCCTTGTCAGACAAAGTCACGGGACAGCAAGTTTTCGTGCCCGACGGCTGCATTGTTAAGGATGCGTTGTACTTTTGCCTCCTGGAGGGGTCGGTGGCATTGTCGCACAATTGTAACGCTTTGCAAGCTGAGGCTCTGCCATACGGCTCAGACTGGTCCTCAAGGAGGCGACGTTAGTAGACGCACGGTTCTTCAGATTATTTTCCAGCCTTTGAGAACATCTCATGGACCGGGCCATGCCTCTTTCCAATCGGAACATTATTGAGCCAACTCGAGTACCGAGAAAAATTATTTAGTGTGCCCAATCCGCAGTGAGATGTGCCCAAAGAGACGTGCCATTGGCTCGAGGCTTGTATAATTTTGCGGAAGTCACTTCAAGGTACCTTGTGGCCAAGCGTATGATGATTGGCTTCTGTTCAACTTCACTCCTAATCTTCTCACGATGGCGATGAGATGGTGAGACCGAAGAGAGTGGTGGCGGGATGTGACCTGCCGATCACGTTTGCAGTGGAATAGAGTACGGACGTATGTGTCCGACATGCGATGTGATCGGGAGACACACAAGCTACGGTAACTCCTGTGCGATGACTACCATTGCCAACATGTCTCCGCTGAATGAATGACAGCAGGCAGTGACTTTTCGACTCTGCCTGGCGCAAAGCACAGTGAAAGACTCATGTCCGAATCAGTGAAGGAACTGTTTCGGTTTGCGACGGATCTTTACTTTGATCGTAGAGCATAAATAGGTACCATGTCTTCGACTTCCTATCTCCTTCGCTCCTCTGCCAGTCCGTCCACTATGTCATCGGCGACCTATTGCCATACCTTGGTAGCTCTACGGACTGCTACCAGGTGAGGCAAGTCTCGTCAGCGATGAATGACACACAGCAAAGCAGCACGTCGACACGACCTGACTGCCATCATCCCTGCGATGCTGTGACGGTGCTATTCGTTGCTTTGTCAATAGGCGAGGCTCATTCATTGATCCGCCCTGCTGCCTGCGAGCCTGGGCTATGTAAAGAACCGCACGATATGCGCAAGAAAGGGGGAGGCACGAGGTAAGCAAGAGGGAAGGGAAACGATTGTATGATGGCCTCTATTCCGCGCTTCTGCGGTGTTTTTCTGAGCAGCCGACCACCTGACAGGACTCTCATGACCCGATGCAGTAATCGAGTCAGACCGTGAGGAGTCCCTCATTCGTCGCGAGCTTCCTCGAGAGTGAACTGTGCCAAATGGTGGAGTACGATGCTTTCAAGCCATGAATGCCATTCCACCTCCAAGTCCTAGCACAACTTCCAGATCACCTCGCACATCCCACACCGCTCGAGCTCCTGCCTTGTCTGCCGTGTTTGCCTTATGGTGACTGTTCAGATCCAACCATCGCTTGACCACATTGCCATCGATTACTCCTCTCCCACCCATTCCGTCCGTTTCCACAACGCGGTAGGCACGTGGGTTCAGGCCACAAGGCTGATCCATGTTGCTGATTAGTATGTTTTGAAGGGCGGTGAGGCGACGGTAGGCAGGCTCGTCGAGAGTAGTAATGAGAGCGATAGCACCGGAGGAATGTGTGATGAGCAGTTGAGCTTTGGGTCTGACGACAGGGCTGTCCACATGCATGACTTCGGACGATCGTGGAGAGGAGGCATCGATGTTGTTACTGGTCGGTGGCGCTTCGTAGGATGTTGATGTCCGGGGTAGAAGTGTCATCGTGGTTGGTAAATCACCTGTATGGAAAGTGCTGCGGAGGAGAAGCTTTTCGCCGCGCTCGGATTTGGGGTTCTCGGGATCGTACTGAAGGAAGCGCAATTCGCCATCGCCATCAGAGGCGATAACGAAGAGCTCCTTGTTGTCTTCTGAGGGTAGGAAGTCTGCGGCTGAAATAGATGGATTCTCGAGGTCACGGCTGAGGAGCTGCATCTTGTACGGCTCTTCACTATAGCCGATCAGCCACAAGCCGGAGAAAGCATCACCGAGGATGCAGAGCCCAGTGCCAGTGGGGGACTTTGAGATGGATGTGTGAAATCGCATATCCATAAAAGCCACCGGTAGGATCGAAAGATCTTCCCTGAGACCTCTGACCATGGTCTTCTGTCCCTGAGCAGCAAGGACAAAGCCTTGGCTTCCGACTGGACTAAGCGTGGTGACAGCGCCGCGTACTTCTTCCGAACTCAGCAGCTTTAGCTTGAGATCGGACTCCGACACGCCAGGACGCGGAACCACCTCAGCGACCGAGAACAGGTAGATATGACCTCTGGTGACAACGCTCTCCCCTTTGATAGTGCCGGTACCAACTACGACGAGTTCCTGTTGTCGATGAGTGATCTCTGAGGTCTCTAGTACCATGGTCTTGACGTCTAGGACTCGTTCATCCGTGTCAAAAGTGTAGCTAGAAATCACATTGTGGGTTGATGAGGAAATGAGCTGGATTGTGGATGTCCAACTTGTTGGGAGGAAGCTGCTTTGTTCTTCTGCCCATTCCGGGTGCCACTCATCATCTTGAGGCAATTGAAACGGGGTAGCTCATGAGTGGCAACGACATAGGACGCTGTACCCTCGTAGTACGCCAGGGAGGAAACTTCGCTTCCTAGAACTTTGCGGCGTGCAACCCAAGGAGACAGTCCGAGGACGAGGTCTTCCGGTATTGAGGTCTGGCACAAATCATGGCTGTCGTCCACGTAGATCAGATCAGAGTCAGATTGACCCGCGGCGCAAAGCGCGACGATCTGTCCTCTCTCACCCAGTGGATAAATATGAAGTGCGCTTGACGCTGTTTTGATTAGTATTTTAGCAGTGTCGCCAGGTATCAAGACAGCAGCATACCCAGAAGAGACTACTGGCTGCATGGGGGGCAATGTCTGATCTGCTTCGCCGTCCTCCTCCGCCGTCGAATCGTTGTTAGTGTAGTCGGCATTGTGAGTGAGAACTTTGCGAAACTTGAAGGAGCCTGCAACTTCTGGACTGGAGAACGGCTCGTAAACTACAACATCGCCGGTTGTATTCCGTACCACCAGATGAGGGTGTGTATATGCTTCGTCGCCGACGTCATACAGGGTTGCTGCGGCTAAGTCGTCCCCGTTGCGCCAGTGCTTCTCGATCTTGACATCTGGCCCAAGCTGAGGCGTCAAGAAGCGCGTGCTGTCGAAATGGAAAATCTGGACCTTGAGGTTCGCAAGGGGTGTAATCGAAAGGGCACCGTTTGTAGCGAGGCATACTAGAAGGACAACCGGCTCCGAGGATGCAGAGAGAAAACGAGATGATTGGAAGTAATCGGCTTTGTCGAGATACAATGATGCAGAGGTAAAGTTAGTCCCAGCGAATGTTGTAGGCAACTCGAGCTCCTCAAGTTCGCCGCTTTTATCGGCTTTGAGAAGCATGAAAGTCCGATCATCTTTAAGAATCGTCATGTATGGCTCAGCGAAGTCGGCACTTACTGCCCTTGCGAGCAGGTCTTCATCTTCATCCACGATGGGGAGAATTTGCGAAACATCGAACGCCGCATCATAAACTCTGATCTCACTGCCAGTCAAGTAAATTGTATGCTGTGAAGTGTCGAACCTTCCCACGGCAATGGGCTTGCCCTGTATATCTTCGAAAGCAGTGTCGTAGACTCGAGACATGCTGCCCTTGTCGTTCGACCATAGTGATGAAGCGAGGCCGTCACTCGGCGTGTTTTCGGAGACAATAAAGCGACTGCTGGTGCTCGCGCCTTTGCAACAGGACCATATTGAAGTAGCTTTGCCATGCCCTAGTCGTCTTTTGGTGGTGGGATGGATGGCTTGTGAATAGAATGCAATGCCTCCAGATTTTTGCTTCCCATAGGAGACGGCAAACTCCAGACCTTCGGCGACACGAGCCGATGTCGATTCAGCATCATCATCTTCTCGTTTCCTCTTGCCAATCTTGCCGAATGCGCTTTGATGCAGAGGAGCGATTGTCGGTAGTGTATCAAGGACAGCTAATTTCGTGTTGCTAGAATAACCATTCTCGACAAGACCACCATTGACGTTTGCGAAAATATCGTCCTCGTCATCATCACTGTCTTCATCGTCGCCACCAACACCAGCTGCCGTCTCATCTGCCCCACTCGTGGAATGTCCATGACCGTTGAGTACAGGTTGCACTCGAGATGTCTGACGTTTGAGGTTTCCCGGACGCACTTGTTGTCCAATGAGAACACAGTCCGCCTCGTCGCTGCCAATGAAGATCTCACCGGATATGAGCACTGCCGTACATGTGGACCTGCCTCGAACCGCGTGTGACAGGGAAAGATCGTCCAGCTTCTTCAGTGATATGCCCGAGACGGATCTCCCATCCAGGCGGAAGGACAAGACCGCCAGAGCACCCGTTCGGAGGATTATCAGTATGTCTCCGTTCGACCTGTCCAGCTGGACAACCTGGCATCCTTCGAGACGCAGACCATGTTTCGACTGATCAGTTAACGGAAATGCGGATGCCTCTCTTGCGAACTCGTTCACCGCAATGCCGGTGGCTTTGCCTCCTTGATCAATGTGTATGAGTTCATTGCCGCCAATGAGCAGACTTCCACTAACAGGCAGTGGCAGTCCAACAACCGTGTTCAGATCGTTGGGCAAGTTTGGCACCGTCTGCAAGTTCGTCGAAGCTCGTTGATCGAGATCCAGGGCGTAGACCGAATAGGTCATGACATCTTTGCGTTCGGCAGCCATGTTGCTCGATCGCGCCGAAGTGCTATACAAGATGCCAATCGTAGGGTCTCGGTACTCATGTAAGAACGTCAAATCAACTGGATGAAGGAGTACCGGGTCCAGGGTCGTCATAGGCAAAACGAATGACGGAGAATATGGAGTTCTGTGGCCATCGGCGGCACCATTGGCAGTGGACATGGTTCGATCAAAAGCATTGCCTTCGCCTACATCGTCCATATCACCGTCTTCCAGGTCGTCAACCTGCTGGTGGAATGGGACTATGGCGAGATTGTTTACTCCAAAGTTGAAGGCTGCGCATCGGCTGTTGGGATCGATGCTGAGGTGGCTGACACAATCACGCAGATCAGGGAGCCATGGTGCGGATTGCAGAACATGATTCTCGTAGAAGTGTATCGAAATTGTTGAGATACTGTTCTGTGAAGCGTCCCATTCCACCAAGCTCAGCTTTGCATCGCGAAATGCGATCAAAATCGCATCTCCGCCACTTTTCGTGTTCTCCAGTCGAACGCGTCCGATGCCAGTGATGGTGCCAGCCAAGTGATATTCCCTGATCAACGCAAGCTTACTCTCGCTGCTGTCATTTGAAGTCACTCTTCGGTAGATCTGAAGCAAAGATCTCCGCGCGACTATCAGGTTGTTACCATCGGAGGACGTGAACGGCAATGCGAGAGAGTGCGTGACGCCCGAGGCAGGCACGAGCTCTGAATAGCACTGCATTGCTCAGGCTAGCAAGGGTGATTCGAGCATCCAGTCAACCGTAGATCACCCCTTGAGACCAGACATCGACTAGCACGGCCGCCGGCGACCCGAACGATGCGAGACGGTCCTTTCGAGCGCTTCCGACGGACTTCGAGATCTACAATGCGATGACTTGGCGAACGGTGGAAAGGTTGAAATGGACTCGAGGATCTTCTTGGCAAGAGAAGTGAACTGTGGTGAGCTAGACCCAAATCGTCAGACGCGGTTGCCTGCGGTCTCCGCACGGCACGTCATTCGTATCTCTGTATGAGTTCAAGATTGCGGCTTCTTTGCCAACTTCTTGCCTATCTGGAGCTGCAGCAGTCAAATCTGTACATTTTTGCTGCGAGCAGCTACCTCGTATGGTGACTGTCTTAGAGGTCTTCCCTTCGCTTCGGTAGCGCTACGAAAATTGTCTACAGTTCGCCCATCATGGAAACGAGCTCGCAGCTCTCCACCATGGCCACGCAAGGCTATATCCAGGTCACATTGATCTGGGTGGTGTATGCCATTGCCGTTGCCCTTCTACTGGCAATCGCCTCACTCTTCGTCTACCTCTACCAGACACATCGAGACCGATCAGCTGGGGTCACGACCGTCTGCATCTTTACCATTACCTGCCTTCTGGCGACGGTCCTACTACTGCCAGTCGACGTGGCTCTGGTTTCGTCGACGACGAGCTCGAAGAATGGATTACGCAAGGACTGGGCTACACAGGACAAGGTTGATCAGATCACCTACACCCTTGAGATTGTGTACTACCTTTTGTACTCTCTTGACGCTGTTCTGTGCTTGTTGGTGGTTCCTTTCACTTACTTTTGGTACGAGGAGTACGACGAGGTCGCTGCGGAGGAGGGATCTCAGACACTCGGATCCCGCTTCTGGGGCGCTTTCAAGTACACTGCAGTGTTTGTCTTCTTATGCGTGGCACTTTTCCTGGTCGGCTTCTTCATTCCGGTTGCAAAGCACAGAGAGGGCGCCCACTTCGACCTGGATTTCTTCAAACGTCTACTGGCTGAGAACCATGGCGAGCGAGCTTTGACCTTCGCGCTGGGTCTGCTCATCACTATCGGCGTCTTGATCTATTGCTTCTACACAGCGGCCGGCTTGGCTCTACTTCCGCTGACTCTGATCAAATCGGCACCAAGTATTTCTGCTCCGGCGCTGAACGAATCTACAACGGCACAACTTGAGAGCAACCTTGAGCGACAGAGGCAACTTGAGGGCCGTGCTCAGGGCTCTAATGGCCTGTCTGCCAAGGACCAGCGTGAGCTTGATGCGCTAGTCCGTGAAGAACGAACCTTGAGGCGTCATCAGCGAATGGCGGAAGAGAACACCGGTGAAGGGCAGAATTTCTTCTGGAAGATCTGGCTCAAGCTCGGAGCTATCCTCCGCCCTATCAAGCTTATTCTAGGACTCTTGCTTGTCATCATCGTCTTGTTGATCTTCGCCAGCATGCTCATCACCGGCGTGGACAAAGCTAAGAACTCTGTGTGTTCCAAGCATTGTGGCTACCTATTGGGCCACATCAACATCTTCCAGCCGACAAACTGGGTGCTGGTCAAGACTGCCAAGGTCTTCCCGATCGACTATGTCATCTTCATGTTCATCACGCTATTGTTCTTCAGCGCAAGTGTCGTTGGCATTGCCACGATCGGTATCCGACTGCTGTGGATCACAATATTCCGCATTCGAAAAGCCCATACTTCACCACAGGCACTGTTGATTGCCACTGTAATGCTTACGTTGATGACATTGGGCAGTAACTACGCCATTGCCATGCTTGTTGCACCACAGTATGCTACATTTGGTCCGCAGACCTTCTGTGATCACCCACTCAGACACCCCGGCGAGCAGCCTGATTGCACAAACCACAGACAACACATTATACCGTGCACGGAGTCTACCGACAATCCATCGGCCAAGAATGTTTGCACACCATCGGTGGCCTCGACTTTCCTGAACCGAGTCACGGTGAACTTCCCGTTCTTCGGCGTGATCGACTTCTGGGCTCAATTTGCCTTCTTGGGCATTTTCCTCCTTGCCTTCGTCTTGTTGTTGTTCAGAACACCGAAGTTGTCCGACCCCGACGCCGACGAAGACGCAATCGAGGAGGAGGAAGAAGGACTACTAGCCAGTACGGGCAGGCGATTTGGCGCTACCTGGCAGGATATCACCGGCCGCGTGAGTCATGACAGATAGGAAAGTAAGAGATGAGAAGGAAGAAGAGGTCTGCTATTGCTATCTGAGACCTGGGGCCTACTCAGGTATATATCCCTCTATCAAACAAAGAACGTGTATTGCCCCTCCGGACACTTGCATGAGATTCAGCCTTATCTATGACGGCAGGAAAGGACAAACAAACGGCAGGGGTCAGCGCGGTGGTGGTGACGATTGAGAATGGATACTTAGTCCAAGTGGCAGAATGTGCTGGAGTCCTGGACAGAGTTGCTAATGATCGCATGATCGAATACGGCTTGTGATATATGTGAGCACTCATGATACGGGCTCGCCGCTGGGGCGCTTCACATGGGTAGAGGGCCCTCTCGTCTCGGCTAGGCAGGAAAGCGATACAATAGCAGTCGCTCAACCATGAGTCACGTTGTGAGCGCTAGATGTTCTTCTACTACGTGTCTTAGTCAGGAAATGGTTAAATCGGTCCAATCAGGCGTAGATGAGCGTCTTCGGACTCTGCCGATTTGCCAAGCTTTGACATCAACTTCAAAGTTCTCCTTGAAGTAACTCTATACCTGTATGAAGATACGTATATTTGCCTATACATGGCCTTATTGCATCGAGCCATCTCCAGGGTCTCTTGCCTCGCGATCGTGGTCCGGCAGTCGCAACAGCAGCAACTTCTTTGGCCTGTGCCGAAACGCTGAGGCGACTGCTTCCCGCATTGCGAGGCGTAGTGTAACATCATGGAGTACGACGATGAGGATGATCTCCAGCTCTACCAAACGCGGAGCCAGAAGCGCCAGGCTGGCATTCGACCCGCAAAGTCCAGCCGCCGTGGGCCGGCTGGCGACACAGCCGACGAAGACGATGGCGACGATTCTGCAAACAAAGTCGACACGCCCGAGCTTAGTTCTTCAGATGAGCTAGCCGCAGACGAGGCTCGCCATCCTTTCTATCACTACGCTACCGAAAAAGCAGACAGTTTCGCCGATGCCAAGGTAATCTATCAACGCCATCGACTAGACACGAAGACTTCTCAAGATTTTGCGGCCCTATCTCTGAGCAAGTCGGCAACCCTACCTAGTTTTCTTGACGGTGCGCCGGGAGCTGGGGTCAACCGATCTGGTAGCCTGGCCTCGCGCAAGAGCTTTCGTGGTTCCAGCAGTGGGGGCCAAGGGATGACTTTCAAGAAGAAAGAACCGTTTCCCAACTTTCAGCCAAGTCCAGAGCCTAATCAGGACGTCTTCCTCGACGCTGATAAGAAGGCGCGGTCTCACAATCACCATCCCAACCTTCCCCATGAGTTCAAGGATCCTCTTCTCGCTCATGAGGGTGTTCACGGAGCAGGTGCCGGCATGGGATTGGGCACTGGGCCTGGGGGTTTGGCAGCGAATGAGGAAAGCATCGTCTCTGAAGTACAAGCAATCTGCGACAAGATCAAGAAGCTGCTTGACATGCGACGGCATTTCATGAAGCATTCACTCCAGTGTCCAGGCGACAATCCCAAGGACTACGACAGCTGGAAGATCTATCCACCTCCACCAGAACCTGTTTGGACCGAAGAAAAGGCTCGGTCTGGCGAACTTCCGCCAACACGCAACTCCAGTGCTCTATATATGACGGATACAAACCGCTCTGATGGTCATCAAGCTCGGTCTGCGGCATCGAATGAACCTCCCATGTCGCCTACCAGTGCTCGGAGAAGGCGAAAAATGGGTCATGATATTGGTGAAGACTTCGACCCCTCAGAGGTTGAGATACCTGGTCGAGACGACAGTCATTCCTTCCGAGGCGGACGGTTCAAGCATTTATCAAGTGTACGATGACAAAGATAACCCCATTGCCCAAGTCCCGTCATTGCGAGATTATTATATGGCGCTGGACACCATCCTGGACATCTGCTCTGATGGACCAGCAAAAAGCTTTGCCTATCGTCGAATGCAGTACCTGGAGGGGCGCTATAATCTCTACGCGCTCCTCAACGAGTACGAGGAAGTGGCCGATACCAAGAAAGTGCCACATCGCGACTTCTATAACGTTCGAAAGGTCGACACTCACGTACATCACTCGGCTTGCATGAACCAGAAGCACTTGCTCCGCTTCATCAAAAGCAAAATGAAAAAGTGCCCTGACGAGGTCGTTATCGATCGTGATGGCAAGCAACTCACTCTCCAGCAGGTCTTCGAGAGCATCAATCTCACAGCATACGACTTATCCATCGATACATTGGACATGCATGCCCATACAGATTCCTTCCATCGCTTCGACAAATTCAATCTCAAGTACAACCCTGTGGGCCAGTCTCGCCTCAGAGACATCTTCCTGAAGACGGACAACTTTGTTAAAGGACGCTACTTGGCTGAAATCACTCGAGAAGTCATCGCTGATCTCGAAGCAAGCAAATATCAGATGGTCGAATGGCGCATCAGTATTTATGGCCGTAGCATCAATGAGTGGGACAAGCTTGCTGCCTGGGTTGTGGACAATCGACTCTTCTCCCACAACGTACGCTGGCTGGTACAGATCCCTAGGCTCTTCAGTCTCTACAAATCGCTAGGTACGATGAATTCATACGACGAACTTCTGCGAAATATCTTCCAACCACTTTACGAGGTAACGCAAGATCCCTCCTCTCATCCGAAGCTGTACATTTTTTTGCAGCGAGTCATTGGGTTCGACAGCGTGGACGATGAGAGCAAGCCGGAGCGACGCTTATACCGCAAGTTTCCTGTGCCGAAGGAATGGGACACGAAGCAGAACCCTCCGTACGGCTACTGGGTTTATCATCTGTACGCCAACATGACTTCCTTGAATGCGTGGCGACAAGCCCGAGGATTCAACACCTTCCTGCTACGACCACACTGCGGAGAAGCAGGCGATACAGACCATCTTGCTGCCGCATTCTTGTGCTGCCACAGCATCAGCCATGGGATCATGCTGCGAAAAGTACCAATGTTACAATACCTGTTCTATCTCGATCAGATCGGCATCGCCATGTCGCCTTTGAGCAACAACGCATTGTTCCTGACGTATGATCGAAATCCTTTCATAAGCTACTTCAAGAAAGGCTTGAATGTTTCACTCTCTACGGATGATCCGTTGCAATTCGCGTTCACCAAGGAGCCCCTTATTGAGGAGTATTCCGTGGCAGCGCAAATCTACAAGCTGTCAGCTGTCGACATGTGCGAACTTGCGAAGCATTCCGTTGATCAATCCGGCTTTGAACTGTCATTGAAGCAACGCTGGCTCGGCAAGTACTGCTACCTGCCTGGAGTACTCGGCAACGATGTTGCCAAATGTAATGTTCCAGATGTGAGAGAAGCATTTCGCCATGAGACACTGAAGGCCGAGCATCAGTTGTGAGTATGACACTCCGACGTGAAGATCATTACTAATAATATCAACAGCATAGCTAAGTACACGAGTGACTACACGCACCTGGAGCGCTGTACGCCCAGCATACCAGAGCCCGACGACCCGAATGCGCCTCTAGATGAGGTGTATAACGTGCTCGAGTCACCTAAGAAGTACTACGCCACCGTAGCCGACTCGATTACACCAGCACAGCAGGCAAGGATGCCGAATGCAGCCGCACCTAGCCGCGAGAACAACAAGCTATCCAACAGCGTGGAAAGCTTGAGCTCCTCTCCGCCGCGACTGCGCAAGGCGTCGACTCAACTTCATGCCATCTCGGGCCCTCACGACCCTCACATTTCAGGTCATGAGCCGCGTGTTTTCCCCGGAGCAGCATTCCAACGAGCGAGGAGCAAAGTCTCAAACAGAGCGTTAGCGGCTCCGATGGCACAGCTCCCGACCTCAGCAGCAGTCAACAACTCGAGACAAGCTTGTCGAAGCTCAAGGAGACTGGAGATGGTGCATCTTCTTCGGCCGATGTATCGGACTAGGCAGGCTCCCACGCGAGGAAGTCACACTACTCCGTACAGCTGCCCGACGTCGCTCAAGGGGCGAGATGCCAGCAGGCAGAAGGTTTGGCCGTTGCATATCCTGTTATGCACGAAAGTACTGGAGAGCAGGCCCGGTGGCAGGCCCGTCTGAATCAACTTCGGAATAAATCGGGCATGACTTCTGGTCAGCGATATGCTTGCATATAGCAACCAATTGACAGCAACAGACTTTCACCGTATTATGCAGGCTTCAACAGACACGAGAAACGACGAACTCAAGATCACACGACAACCATGTAGTTCCTATACCCCAGATTTGAGCAACTTGAGTAGCGCAGGCGTCCTGCCGTTGAAAGAGCAGCGGTAGTACTCTCTTCACATGCTCGAGTCCACTTCCTCATGATCCCGCGCAGTTCTCTCTGCTTCGTTCCGTTGAGACTCCGATCAGTGTGACAGGCTGAAGTCCTGACAAGAAGTACCTTCACCAGCGGTGACTCATTGCAGCACATGACAACGAGTGTTGACGCCCAAAAACGGACATCGAGATTGTGTTGGATTGCCTGGCTGAGTAACTGACTGGGTTCTAGGCCTTGCCCCAACCAGCCTAGTCCGGCGAGCTTATCCGGCCCTTGTTGAAGCTCCAGTCCAGGCGAGCGAGGTGTGGAGAGCCGATGACCGCACCTATAGTGATCGTCCCAATAGGCAGGAGCATCATCGATGGCGCCCCGGACTACGCCTAAGTTGACAGCACCCGAGCTTTGCTGCTACGCTTTGTCCTTGCGAGGTGATCAGCGGCAGAAAGTTCGTCATTCCTTTTGCTCGCTCCAACAGACGATCCCCCACATTGAAGTCGTGTTTCCGTTCATGCGTCTCGCGACCAGTAGTTGATAATTTTGCTTCTCATGCCTTCGATTCTGCCGCTATCCTCGTCCGAGACGCGGCTCCTCTCTCCCACAACACTGAACAAAGAAGCGGCTATCCCGAAATTTGGACCAACGCATCGAGTACGATGATACAACGGAAACCCTCGAGTGTACCGCCGTCACAACCCGCATCCCGGCATATACCAGCCTAACAGTATACTGCCTCTCATTCTATAGACTTGACAGTTGCCCAAAGCTACCAGACCCGGGCGTCGGAGCAGCCCAATGGTGACAGCTTCACAACCCACACACGCGCTTCCCGAGCCTGTCGAGACTATATCACGGTCCTCGAAACGCCCGAAGTCGCCCGTGAACGATCCGGGGGCTATAGGTTCTGGCGTCCCTCCGTCAGAGGGAACTGGCAAGGCGAACATGACCTCCACACAGCAGCCCAGGCGGTTCAAGCCTCAACCTATAGAGGAGACCACCAGGTCTTCTAGAAAACAAAGGCCTGAGCATATCGAGCACACAGACGTTGGCTCAGGAGACAAGCCTCTTTCACCTGACGAGCTTCCGCCACCACCTCCCTGTCTGGGTCACGGACAGCCATAGCTAAGCCTCGCAAGTTTGCTCCAGAGCCTCTGGAGACGAGCACGCGGACGTCGAGGAGGAAGTTCGTGCCAGAACCGGTCGAGACGACGTCTCGCAGTTCAAAGGACAAGGGAGTCGATCAACAATCAACACCTCGCCGATTCGCTCCGGAGCCAATTGAGACAACCATCAAGAGCAGCAAAGTCGGCAAGGATGCTGACAGGCCAGCGTCTGAAGCAAGGCCCGTAGGGAGGAAGTTCGCACCTGAGCCGATAGCTACCGAGAAGATTAGTCGCAGACGGAAACCGCAGGCTGCACAGGACGCCGATAGTAGCCCAGAGCAAACGCAGAAGGAGCAATCGCAGAGCTCGAGTCAGAGCTCGAACGGCGCTCGCAGATTCTCGCCGGAGCTACTTGAGACCGCCAAGGGTACGTATCGGCAGGAGAAGAAGCCTCCCATTGGAGTCGAGAAGGCATCAACCAAGTCATCGAAAAAGACCCAAGAAGACGATGAAGAAGAGACCGACGACGACGTGCCGGCCCTATCTGAATCCAGATTCTCTGCTGCCTCGCTAGCCAAACGGAACTACGAGCAGCAGAGGCGTCACTCATTCGCTGTACCGGATCTGGACATTATCGAATCTGATTCAGGGGACGAATCGTCGGCTCCTTCGTTGACTAATTCGCGCTCATCTGCTGAGTCGGAGAAGCAAAGGAGGAACAGCCGGCGGACTGGAGGCGAGACGTATACAGACTATGTCCTCAGACTAGCCGCGCAGACCACATCGGAGAAAGACTTGCACGACACGGCGATGGCAGCATATATTAATGAGGTCCCGCATCATGCGCCCGGTCACTATGGCTTCGATGATGAGGACGAGATACTCAGTCGGAAGGGGAACTTCTCGGGTCAGAATGGTGCCGACATTCGGCTTTTCAGGAGGCATTCACAGGACGATCATGATTGGGAGATGTCGGAGATGCGACGCCACCATGCACAGCTAGAAGAAGCGAAGCGAGAATTCAAGCATGACACCGCCGGACACAGCAGGTTCAGCAGTATTGCGCTCGCCACTCGGCATAAGCTCGAGGCCGAGAAGCAGAAGCAGAGCAGGAAGGTCAAGGCTACCGAGGACGCAGAGCTATCCAAAATGCGTGCCGCCGCGTCGCCACCGATGGCAGGCGCGGACCTGATCTTCCCACAGACCATTTCGCCCAAGATGACACGGTGTGAGACAGATCAACACCCGCGGCCCAGGTGCGCCGACTCAGATGACGACGAGGAGGAGATCGGGCAGCAATCCCTCTGGGCGACCAGAGTGACACGACTGATAGAGTCCAATCCAGCCAGCCCTGGCCTCTGGGGCGGATGCTGCAATGGCGGCGAGAATAGCCCTCCGGTCGGGCCTCAACGCCTTGGCCTCCAGACACCCGCACTTGAGCGAGATAACCCTTTCGAGACGGCCACACCGGGCCGCAAGACGCCCGGTACTAGAACGCCCGGTGGCAGCAAGACACCTCGACGCAGGATGTATGGCATGAATCTTATGCCTTTGACGCCGCAACGGACCAATGAGGACGATGCGTTCACTTCGTCCGTCGACAAGAAGCTACAGCTGGAACGCCAGATCGAGGAAGAATTTCCCGACAGCGTCGTCACGCAGATCTACAACTATCTTTCCCTGGGCTATCCGTCCTTGGCATGGCAGTTTGATGCGGAGCTCTCCAAGATCAGTCGCATTAGTGTCGAAGATCTGCGAAAGGACGATCAGCGGATGGATGCGAAGGGCTATGTTGGCGCGCCTGAGGGCGATGGCTGCAAGGAAGAGGACGTCACAGGAGGTGCTTGTCGACGGTGGGAAGCGCTCAGGCTGTATGTCAGGGAGTGGGCGCGGCAGAGCCCGAACTTCGTGCTTGAGGGTAATATTGGTGGTGTTGGGATGGGTAGAGGCGCAGAGGGGTGGGGTGGTAATGTTGGGGTGAGGAAAGGGAGCTGGGCTCATTGACGAACTTGCGCGGCATGAGATCTTGTAGTTACAGGAAGCCAGGCTTCTCAATTGAAGCCGATTCCAAACGTTGGATTTTGAGTTCTTGGCAAGCACCCAGGCAACTCATTACGACTTCAACTTCCGCAGCCGAATCGACATTTCTATCTCGCACATTCAGAACTTCCAAGCCGCCTGTATCTCTTCAGCCATACCTACGCATCCCAGCAATTCATCTCAAGACAAGCCGCGCAACCTCTTGAAAGCGCGGTAAGAGCCCGGCCTCGGCTTCCGCAAAGATGGCGAAGCGTGGCGCTACCAGCGGCATCTACAAGGATCCTAACATCGGAGTATGGGTCGTACCTGATCAACACATGATGACCACATACCAGCGTCGAAAGGCCATCGACAATCACAAGAGAGCTCTTCGACGTAGGCGTGCAAAGAATCGACCTTCGTGGTTGACCCGACTGCCTACCGAACTACGCATGAAGATCTACGAAGCCGCTACCATGGACTACGACTTTCGACTTGTTCTGTACCTCGAACATTCGTCCGAAGGAACCTCTAAGGAGAGTGCACAACAAAAGGACAGCCGCTGGGATACTGTTGAAGGCGTCCAGAGAAGGTTCTTCATCAGATTCGAAGGTCGATTCCATGCCCACGGGTTTGGCTTCGATGTACGAGAACCGAAGTGGTCATATGTCCACGCAGGTCTCCTTGTTGTCAATAAGCTCATTCGGCAAGAGTTCATTGATCACCTATCTGCTGGAGGCGTCACACTCGAGGCGCACCAACTCGGTGGGTCTTGCGGCGGCTGCGGTTGTTACAGCACCCTTGCCAGCCTGGTCCCAGAACCATGGAGATCGCTGGTCACCATATACCACGAGCCGCTCAGTGGTGTCCTGCACCATGGCTTTCCAGCGTTGAGGTCGATCGAGACAGTCGGCTATCCTGATCCCGACGTTGAGGAATACGATTGCATCGAAGACCAAGAAGAGACAGTTCCTAGCGCTGATGATTTGCTTGAGATGCTAATGCGTGCTTCCTTTGAGCCAATCGCGGATGATTTCGTGCGGTGGTTCGATGACAAGAGAAGACAAGTCCACGACGAGCTTGGCAATGTCCGTTGGGTCCGACGCATGAAGATTGGATACATCGATGGAATCCTCCGATACGAGAACGATCGCGCGCGCGACAGACGTTGTGTCCTTCGCAACTTTGCCGTAAGTTATATTCGACCTTAAAACGCCGCACATATTAACCTGATGCAGATGGCTATCACGTATCGGGGTCCCGACGGAAAATTCTACCATGACGTCGAATACAGGCCAGAGGCAGAAGAGCACATCAATCGGTTCCTAGGCGGGGATGTATCGGAATACGCGGTACACAAGCTCGAGTATTCGGCGCTCTACTACCGAGACGGAGCGTCTGTGTGATGGTAAGCTTCTCCATGATGATTCCCGATGTGCAACATCGACGCCAGAACAGTTGCGGTCTGCGCGCGCATGCACTATTGGACTGCCCTGCACGACAAAGTCCCACGAATTCCAATGTCGACGGGAAACGGGCTTGCATCCCATGGGATGTCGTCTGAAATCGGCCCGGGAGGACTTCATGAAACAATGCGGGCAGACGACGATAAGTAAATGTCGACACCACGAGAGCACAGTGACGGTTCTGAGCTGCTTTGACAAAGTACTCGCGTCGGTGCGTATCAATTCGTCGTTGTCAATGGGCACACCAAGTACCATCTCACTGCCGAACGTCCTATTGCCAGGGTCTCTCGTGGTCAAAAAGTGGCACATTCTTGAGCGGAAAAGACAGCTAATCAGGGTGCAAAAAGCCCGCATCAAATGATAATTCTATCGAATCCAGATTACGAGTAGCCAACGTGTTTCGACGATGGGGAGACTAAGCCAGGCGCCCACAAGAGCCATCAATATCCCACCAGCTCCAACTGCTAGGGAGGCCTCTATCCTTCTTCTCCCTGTCAAAGTCTCGTAGCTCCGATCACTCAAGAAGTCCTCTGCAAGTAGCTGAACCAATCCTGCGAACAGTAGCAGGCCGCTGCTTACAGCATTCGTGATCCCGACCACTAAGAGCCCAGCCTCACTCAGCGGATCATACAATGAATGCAGCCATATTCCCAGAGCTTGCCCGATCGGTGTCGTAGCCCCATAAGCCAGGCACATCAGCCATGGCTTCGGTGACGATGGAGGAAATAAGGCTGGAATGAGGGCAGCAATGCGAGAACCCAGGGCGAAGCCTTCAAAGGTCTGATGGAAGCAGATGGCGACGAGCAGGACGACGAAGGCGGTGCCAGTAGCTACAGATACTGCCATACCGATAAAGATGCTGTGAAAGAGAATGCCGGCTTCCAGGAGGACGCACTGCAGCAAGGCTTTTTTGGGGTCTCGGTCAGCAAGGTTCGTGCCTTCGGACTGCGTGCGTTTGTGCGGCGGCCTATGTGGGTTAGTGAGCGGTGCCTCGTCATTGTCAGGAATGGTGATCGGGTCAAGCGCATCGAGATCTTCGAGATCAGAGTCGTCGCCGTCCTCGTCGACTTTGGCACGTGTCGCTCGGGACGGCGGTAGCTGCTGTGGCAGGTCAAGATGCCCATTTGCTGTCGGATATTCGGGACTCTCCATATTCGAGAGCGCGATGCGACCGTCTATCTCATCTTGTGGAAGTAGTGGCTTCGTCCTGTTCCATTGGGCAGGTGATGGTGGGGCTTTATTTCATCCTCGTCCGGTACTTGTGCCCATTCGTGGTTGTGCTCATGCTTTGCTCCGCGGGTCGCGAAGAACATCTCGATCGAGACCACCAGGAACACCGCCGTCATAGCAATCAGCCCTGCCATCGGCGGATACTGTTCATTCCAGAAGGCGGGCAGGCATGGGTCCGTTAAAGACACGAATGCTGTGGGAAGGAGGTGAATGAAGGCTGTTGCGATGAGGACACCGGTGCCGAAGTGTCGAGATATGAAGAGAAACCGATGCGGTATCGGGAGCTTGGGAAAGCGGCGCGCTATGACTGGGAACGAGCATGCTGGAGGACATCAGTATCGGCGTCTACTGCGGCCTGGTCTACTTACCCAGTGTGCTGAGGAAGAGGATGAGAAACAGCGCGAAGACATGCGCCGGCGTGTTGTAGCCACCCTTTTTCGCCGACCCACAGACAGGCTTGTCGGGAGATTCATCTTGCCTTCTGCGCAGTTCCGCGTACAACGCTTCGATGTGGATGTTACTCAAGGCATCTGGCATTTCGTCAGGTGGTTGCGGAGGTTGCGGGAACGCAGTACGAACCTTGAGCGACAGCACGGACAGCCGCTGTCATTGCAGAGCTGTCTGTTCGCAGGTGGCGGCAGGCTGTCGAAGAACAGCCATGTAGCAGCACACTTCACACAGAAGAAGATTATTGATGTGCGATGAATAACTTGCTCAGCTTACGAAGGTTCATCTCTGGCAGAGACATTCCACTTGCTTCGGGATTCGGGAGTTCCAAAAAGCTTCAACTCGCGGCCGCGTAGTGATGCTGCACATCAACCTTGAAACTTCAAGTACAGGTCAAGCCGCTCTGTTCTTTGAGCTTTCGTAGACCTATGACCGCTACGAGCACGACAGGAAAGCAATCTGCATCGCGCTGAGCTCATGACGCGATGCAAGTTCAGTCAACCTTGAGACTTGGGCGGGTGCTCGATCGGTGGGGAACAAGCCCGGGAGCTTGTGCCGGCATTCCTTCTTGGCGTTGAAGTCACAATAGTATAGATACTATACCATTCGAAATTTCGTTCAAAATCATCCCTCGCTCGACGACAAACGTCAGAGCACATGGTTTTCGTTCTTCTGAACAAAACCCTCGATGGTGTAGTTGGATATCACGTTCGGCTGTAATTGTTACGCATTCTGCTACCGAAAGGTCACCGGCTCGATTCCGGTTCGAGGGACATCCAGATCTCTTTTTGCTTTTTATTCATGGGTAGGACTGAGATGAGCCATTGGCAGTAGAGAGACCCACGCGACTCTGGAGTTATGAGGCAGAGAGATCTGGTAATGTTGCCGAGACTAAATCGACAACTTTGCGGCTTATCGTCTTACAGATAGCTACCCGGATAACGCACCCCTGGATACGCTTTTAGGGAACTTCAGGTGTGCACAGATAAGACCCTATTGAAGACAGCTCACGTTCCTGTCCGTCATACAGAGGGGAGTCAATTGATCAAGGCGCCTGTCGCATCGCAGATGATACAAGCTCGACAGTGGGAATGAGTAGATGCAATCCTAACCTAGTTCTCGATGCCTCGCGCCAAGGTCAAGCCCGAAGACAGACAACGGTCCGCGAAAGCGTGCCGGCCTTGTAAGGTCTCCAAGACAAGGTGTGACGCGCAAGAGCCGTGCGCGGCATGCGTCAAGCGAGGTCGTGCTCACGCATGTTTCTACCCGCCGCCCTCGCTGCGCGAACACGGAAGGTCAACCAGCATTTCAGATTCATCCAAAAAGATCGAATCTGGTGTGACCAACCCCCTTCAGCAACAATTGCCTTCTCTGGAGAATGGCTTTGGATCATCTTCGACACCATCGCAATCAAACGTGCAAAGCAGACAGTCCGTTGATGGGACAGTCGGATCGAAATGGATTCCGAGCAAGTCCCAGAGAACACGCAGCAGGATGATGCTGAGCTCAACGGGCGAAAAGCTATATGTTGGCGAAACGGCACACTTGTCGTTCTTGCAATTTTTGCGGAAGACATTGCGTCAGCAGATGGGACCTACGCCTTTCACGGAAAGCGAGTTCTCAAACCAAATGCTCGAGGTGGATCTGGGAGATTCACGTCTGGCTTCGATAGACGATCCGGAGCAACTGGGAGACAAGGACCAAAAACGAGCTCTTATACAATGCTACTTCGAAGCCTCGAGCGCGATTCTGGACCTCTACACGAAGGAAGAAGTGTTCGAATTTCTGCCAGAAACGGGTCTTTCACCAACGGTCAGTCATGGCAGTGATCGATACCTACGCGACGATCATGCTGCACTGTGTTTGATGCTTGCTATTGGAGCACAATGTCGAGGAGCCCGCGCTTCTGATGCTGATTACGCAAAGAAGTGCTTCGTACGTGGGCAACAGATTGCTTTTGAGGGTATGCTTTGCAACCCAAGCCTCAACATGATTCGTCTCTTCTTGTTGATGTCATTCTATATGCTCGGTGCATGCCACAGAAACGCCGCATTCATATATCTCGGGGTTGCCTCGAAAGCTGCTTCGGCTCTGGGCCTTCATGTGACGGAAGTATACCGGCACATGAATAAAGACGAGCGGGACACTAGACTGCGGGCCTGGAAAAGTCTTCGAAATCTGGACCTCATTGTCTGCTCACTCCTTGGAAGAGCCGCGGGCTCATTCGCGCAGCCTGAGTTGGATCTTGAGGAAAATGAAGAACAGCGGGTGTGCAAGCAGACGTTAGACGCAACATTTCGTGTGTGCACGATCATCGATGACCTGCAACAGGACTTTGCCAAAGGAGGCGTCACTGATCTGGCATTGGCAGAGGACTACTTGCAACGGCTTCGCGCATGGAGTCAGGGAGTCCCCCCTGAGCTTCGACAATTCACTAGCGCCAACGCTGCTACCACTGATAGCGAGCACGTCATTGGTGCGGTGCATATCTCGTGCATCTATTACTACGGCGTCATTCTAGTGACGCGTCCGTTCTTGATATCTCATCTTATGAGCAAGCTGCGGAGGAACGGTACAGAAACGCCTCACACAGCCACGACAACCGGAGACCAGGAAAAGATCACTAAATTGGCTGACGCGTGCCTTAATTCGGCCATATACATGTCTCAGACTGGTTATCAGGCCATGGAATCCGGATATCTGCTAGGCAACATGTGTCTGCTGAAAGCATGGACATTTGCGGCAGGCTTATTGCTCGGATTCGCTCTGTTCGCGCAGAATGAGGACAATGCCGAGCTCGAGGACGCGTTCAAGCACACAGTTCTGGTCGAAAAGATGATTGCAAATCTGTCACCACAGGCAGGGTTATACGCGGACATCCTGACGAAGTTCTCAGATGCAATCGAGAGACATAGACGTCAGATCAAGGACGAGCGTCGGCGCATGACCAACGAGTACGTCGACCAGATATTCACCATCGATCTCGCACAGCAGCAAGGGTATCCAAGTCCACAGTCTGGCAACGTCGACACCCAGGGACCCGCCACGAACAACAGTTACGGTGGTGAAGTGTCGTTTCCGCCAGATATGTTGCCAGGCATAAGTGACCCGTCACCTCATGATCTGCCACTCGACTGGCAACCGTTCGGAATGTTCTTTGAAGATTTCTGGATGAACCAGCCTGATCCGAGCGTAGGCATACTTTTTGGGTGAGCTTACCACAGACTTACCGCTTGACTCGGAACCAATGATCATCAGCTCACCACTTCCATTTGGCGAAGTGAGAAGGGGAAGGTACGCGGCCCGTAGCCAAGGTGCACTACCCGCAGTGCCGTCGGATATCGCCCCGTGCACACCCCGTCCCCACTCCCCGCATCAGACATTGTAGGTTGCGACGGACCATGTAAGAAGTCCGTCGCTCTCGCAAATACGAAGTCGCCGAGTCTTTGCAGAAGCTTACAAGAGGACGTTGATAAATAATACTCATCAAGGCCAGCGAACACTTTTTTCAGCCCTCCTGACCAGATTCGAGCGCTTCATATAATTTTCCTTGCGGAACTACACCAGACCTGGCCAGGATATACAGCCACGATGCTCGGCAAAATAGCTCTCGAAGAAGCCTTCGCCCTGCCACGCTTCAAGGAGCGAACTCGATGGTGGGCAGGCCTCTTTGCGCTGGACCCTGAGAAACATGCCGCCGAGATCAACGACATCACCGAACAGCGCATCGCATATATGGACCAATATGGCGTTGGCTACACCTTGCTGTCCTACACTGCTCCAGGCGTACAGGATGTCTTCGAGCCCAAGGAGGCTCAGTCCCTCGCCGTCGAAGTCAACGACTACATCGCTGCACAGATCAAGCCTCATCCGACTCGGTTAGGTGCGCTGGCGACACTATCAATGCATGCCCCGCAACAGGCCGCTGATGAGTTGCGGCGGTGCGTGACCAAGTATGGCTTCAAGGGTGCTCTGGTGAACGATACGCAGCGCGCCGGCGCCGATGGCGAGGACATGATCTTCTACGATGGTGCGAAATGGGATGTTTTCTGGGAGACAGTCACAGAATTGGATGTGCCATTCTACCTTCACCCTCGAAATCCGACAGGACAGATTCACGACAAATTATGGGCGGATCGGAAATGGCTCATCGGGCCTCCACTCTCGTTCGCGCAGGGCGTGAGCCTGCACGTGCTGGGCATGATCACTAATGGTGTATTCGACCGTCACCCGAAACTTCAGGTCATTCTGGGCCATCTGGGCGAACACATCCCTTTCGACATGTGGCGGATCAACCGTAAGTCTCCCCGTCGCTCTAATCCTTCTTCCAGGATCGAATCCCGGGGCGTGCTGACCAGAATGCTCCAGATTGGTTCGAAGACATAAAGAAGCCCCTTGGCTTAAAAGAGACCTGCAAGAAGACCATCAGGGAATATTTCGCGCAGAATTTGTGGATAACCACGAGTGGTAACTTCAGCACGCCCACTCTCGATCTGTGCCGCACGGAGGTCGGCGCGGACCGGATATTGTTCAGCATTGACTACCCGTTTGAGAACTTCAAGGATGCGTGTACGTGGTATGACGATATCGTTATGAATGACATCGACAAGAGAAAGATTGGAAAGGAGAACGCGGCTGCGTTGTTCAAGCTGGGGGACTTCAAGGATCGAGAGGCCTAAAGTGCGCCGCAGGCAGGATGTTGCACACGGAAGTGTTACCAATGCATTTTAGCATGGAAGGAAAAAAACGCATGGCAGCGGCGAGACACCCATGTACCCTTAGCATCCATCAACCACTGTATGCATGAAATGAAAACTATCTGGAGCATCGCGCCCTGCAAAGTTCCGACAAAGCATCAGGTCTTCAACAACTCGTAACTTCAGGGCCGCAGACCCTGACGGCGCCTTCCCCAGCCAGAAAGCCTGCAATGAGCATTTTACCCAAATGATTCCCAAGTGAGGCTCGTCTCAAAGCTACCCAGATCAGCGAAACAATGCTGGGCCATCAGCGCCCTCCCTGGGTAGGAAACCATGACGGACATCTTGCTCGATTTGCCTCCGTCACTAGACCCACCGCTGCGGAATGCACCATGGACATCTGAGCGCTGCTTTGTGCGTGGACAAGGACAGTAATGGATGCTACCTGAACATTGCGACCAGGTGGACATGATTCTCCCGTCAGGCCAATTCCTCTCATTGCAATCTGAGACTGACGTCGCCTGCGAGACCACATGATCGTTGAGTGAGCTGCGCTTCTACATTGATAATAGCGTCAGATGAGCCTTGCATTTCTAACATCAGTGGCTGGATATAGTTCCTTCGTGACCTGTACATCTGTTCCAATGTGGTACTCGGTCCAGTATAAGTATGACCTTGGAAGCTTTCCTACCAAGGGAGGCTCAAGTCAGGCTCATCTCAAAATCACCGAATCAGTCAGCGAGACGACACTGCTACTTAGCGCCCTCATCGGCCAAAATATCCAGGTAAGTGCTGCCCTCAAGGTCGCCACCTGAACCCCGGATGCTTCCAATCCATCTCCTCGACCTCCTGGGCACTCTTTCCCGTCAAAGCTTCATCAACATCCACTTTGGCCCTTCTAACATTGTCCCATTTGAAGAACAGGAACAGCAGTCCAGAGCACAAGAAAATCATACTGCTTGCGCCCAAGTTCAGGCCATTGCCGATCTTGTAGTCTGGTGCGTCGAATGGAAGGTAGGACCAGGTGCTGATAAGTCCTCCGATGTTCCCGCACATAACGTTCATACCGATCCCGCTACTTCGCGCTGTGTCGGACAGCAAATTTGCTGAGACCTGAGCATTCGAGAGGGCTCCGTTGGCAAACGCTCCGGACGTAATGAAGAATGTGGCTGTGTATCGAGCGGCCCCTGATCGAGTGGCCAGGAATATGATGTAGCCGATCATGACAGGTGGAGCAGAGAGATTGATGAAGAGGTTGCGGCGGTCGAAGCGCGTTGACAGCCAGTTGATGAGGACCGTGAAGAATGTGCCAACTAGGTAAGGCGGAACAGTTCTCAGCTGCTGCTGTACCACAGATTGCTTAGGATAGATGGTGCGAACGATTGTTGGCGCGAAGAATGCAAGACCTTGGACGGTAATATTTGTGAGAAGGAACAGGAAAGCTGTAGACAATGTGACTGGGGAGAACACACCGCGGAACGTCTTCGCCCATGAGATCTTGTCAAGAAGAACGGTCACACCCACGCGCTCAGACTTGACGCGGGCAATGGCAAGATCCTTCTCGTCCTGGGACAGCCAGCGTGCGGTCTCGGGCCGGTCTGTCATGGTGAAAAATGCCACAACGGCAAGGCCAACCGTGATGATGCCTTCTACAGCAAATATCATGCGCCATTCTGTCAAGGAGCCGACGTTGTCGAGAGTGAGGATGGCACTTGCAAGCAGACCTCCTATCGCTCCGCCAAAGCTCCCCATCGCGATGTATATTGACAGGCGGAATGCCAGTTCAGATCGTCGGTAGAACCGAGACATATAATAGGCCACTCCAGGTAGCATCCCAGCCTCGAACTATAAAGCGAGAGTAAATCAGCGATCAGCACGGTAGCAATGAAAGCCCATCGTGCGTAATTGAGGCCGAAGGATCGAAAGCAGACTCGAGGCTGGGTGTCCGCACGCAACAACAACCGTCAATATCAGGGTAAGGAAAAGCCACAACTTACAATACCCAGGATAAATCGAACAGCACAAATTTGACCCATCGTGTCCACAAATGCGGTACCAATGGACGCAATGCCGAAGCATAGTGTCAGAAAGGGTATGAACCAGCCAGGACCAATCCATTTGCACGCCATATTTGAGGGCAGCTCGAAAATGATGTAGGAGATGTAAAAGACGCTTAGGACTGTGTTGTAGTCGTAGCCTTTCAGACCGAGCTCCTTCTCCAAGCCAGCAAGCCTATTGAGATGGTCGTTAGCGAGGTCCCAAGGAGGCCTTCACGGTGCAACGTGCCTTGCGTTACCGATGTTGGCTCGATCAATAAAGCAGAATAGATAAATTGTAGTGACAGGCGGCAGGATCGCCCAATCAATTTTTCTCACCAGGCGCTTCTCAGCATCCTTGCTGAAGCTGACCAGTGCGTTGCCGTGCCTGCAATGCTTCAGCAATCCACAGCACAGCGATAGAAGCCTTTCATGGCAAAATTAACGTACGCATCAGTAGCAGCATGTCCACTTGCAGCCGCATCATGCGCCGACTCAAACTTCCCCTGCTGGTGATGAGCGTCGTCCGGAGATGCTAGACGATTGTTGATAGTTTCGGTGCCTTTCTCATGATCGATGACACTGGACGCCATCGCACCGAATTGTCCGTATGGAATCACAATTCGCGAGAAGTGGGATCGTAGGAGGCAAGAACCGGAAACGGCCCAAACATATACCTGGCTACCCAGGTACTACATAACTTACCTTATCTGCACCACGCTCAGTCATAAGTTCGCTTCCGTGCTGTGGGAATGGCTTCAACATGGGTCCAGTGGGAATATTGGACTCCGCAAGCTGCTCTTCTTGCTCCACGGTTGGCGTCGCGGGAGTAAGAAGCGGCGTCCCACGAGACTCGTCCAGTGACTTCGGCGCCGGTGGAGCGAACACATGGGCGACAGCACGGGGAAGAGCGTGGAGGCATGCATAAAGTTCCACTCGTGTTATCCTGGGAGCTTGGCAAGTGATTCGAGGTTGCGTTCATTCGTACGCTTACCATTGGCGTCGAGCAGTCTGGTGCCTGGCCCGAGGCTTGGTATGATAGACGATCTGATTGAGCAGGGTTCACGGGCCGTGGTGTGCCTTATCAATTCTCGAATGTGCGAGACAGTGGTGAAATCCTGATGGAAGCGTCAATCGTCGCAAGTGCAGCGTACATACGGCTACAGTAACAGTTGGTGATGAAAGAAACGTGAGAGCATTGAGCGAGGCGGGCTCTGCGCGGTAAACAACAACTCTAGAGCCCGCCCGGACTTGGCGCCAAGATACCTCCAGCCCACTCGAGTACATGCTTATCTGCTCGACATCGATTTTGTCAAGCCAGTCAGCCGGCGATGATTTGAGCAGCATTCGTCCTTTACAATACACCAAGTGCCCCCTCATATCACCATCCCGAGTGACGCGTCGCATCGACTCATGACCGGTACTAACAGACAGCACTTAACGGCCCGCGCAGGAACCTGAGAAGCAGATCCAGCAAGATGGGATGAGCCGGTGAGACAGGAAAGCCCCTGGCCCCGATGATTGTGGACGCATTGCTTGCAATTGGGTCAGGCATGTCCTCGAGCATTTGCTCGCTACTCAATAGATGTCTAAATATAAGGTTATCAGCAAATGAATGCAGCAGCGCATTGAAAGCAGCGGGACGACTCACATCTGAAGTTCAAGTTCTCCCGATCTGTCAAATCTCCGTAAGCGGTTCTCGCCAGCTCCCTCTCCCTCTCCTCTGGACCCATACCAGCCAGCATTTCCGCCTGCAACTTGTCCCTCCGCACGTTCTCCCTCTTCATCAGGATCCAAAATGTGATGACAATCACCACTTCGATAAGGTGGCTGACGATCATACTCCAAATGCCCAACTCGTAGGTTGGGCTCTGCTCCGCCAAATAGAAGACTGTTTGAGTGGATCTCAGTCAGCGTTGGTTCGAATCCGAATGACGGGAGGTACACATGACTTCGGAAGGAAAGGAGCATTGGTGCACACGGACAGCCCTTGGTGGAATCGTTCAAGGTAGCGCTGCTGCAGAGACCTCCCTGCCTGAATTGCTCGAACACTTACATGGGCCAGCAATGTTTCCTGTGCAGTATCCCAAGAAGAGGACAGCGTTAGTCACCACTTTCTTCGTATGCCCAGCCGTGTTCGCGATCTGGAGAGATAGGATCAGAACGAAGGCGGCGTTGTACGGTCCGGTGAGAAGGTAACAGATGTATCGTCCGACATGGTGCTCCTGGGCGACAAAACGAAGGCCAAAGGCGCCAGCAATATTGGGACAGAGGAATATAAGGATGAAGAGGCAGCGGCGGTTGTCGAAGCGGTTATTAAGGAGGACACATGTCAAGATGGAGAGGGCGATGAAGGCGCCGTACGGAACTTGCATCAAAGTCGTGACAAGTGTGCTGAAACCGAAGCCCTTGATAATTATCGTTCCAAAGTTCGATATGCCGCCATTCGGGATGTTGCCGACGACGCCCAAGCAGAAGAACAGGTACAGCTTGATGTCGAGGAAAGCCTCTTTGACCTGATATCCTTTCAAATGCTTATTCTCGATGCCTGTCTGATTGCTCTTTAGCCTTTCCACAGCAATCCGCTTCTCTCGCTTGGACAGAAACTTCGCCGTGACGGGAGAGTCGGGCATGAGAATGGCAATCACAATTCCCCAAAGACAGCAGAGACATCCAATAATAATGAACTCGTAGCGCCATGATGCCAAAGAGCCCCTGATATGGCCGATTGCGTATCCCAGGAGGCCGCCCAAGGCAATACCGACGCCGTTGGCGAGATACCAGATTCCAATCTTGACCTGCCGATGTTTGTTAGCCTAAAGCAGACACTTGGGGTTCCGCGAGAGGTAGTGGAAGGAATTTGGGTCTCAGTACTGGTTGCTCTTTCCGTGTATACCACATGCAGGTAATCAGCATAAAGCTCGGGTCCGAACAGGCCTCCGCAGCGCCAGCCAGTGCCCTTAGCGCCGCCAGGCCCGCGAAGTTGTTCACCAGACCCTGAAAGATCAAGAAAAAGCCCCAGAAGAAGATATTGACGCCTAGGTACTTCGCAAGGGGAAGTCTCTGCATCAGAAAATTTGTCGGAAACGCCCAGGCCAGGAAACCGAAGTAGAAGATGCTGGACAACCAGGAGTATTGCATTCCCTGGAGGTTGAGATCCTCACGGATACCGAAGATCGCGGCGTATGACAATGTTGTTTTGTCGATGTAGAAGAAAGCGTAGTTGACTGCAATCAAAGGAAGGATGAGGAAGTCGATCTTCCGAACGAGCTTCTGTTCCTCCTCCTGCGAGACCGGCTCCATCATCTCATCGGGATCGCTGAATAGAGCGAGCGCCACATCGCCATCTTTGTTGCCTTTGGACGAGAACGAGAACTTCTTGCTCGTTGTGGGTAGCTGGATTTCATCGTGGGCGTAGGTGTCCTTCGGCGGCGGGGAGTCCGCCACAGACTTGTCCATGTTGGCTGGCTGTTCCTGGAGGGAGACGGGAGGTCAATAGCTCAGAGAGAACAGTGCATTCGCAAAAGGAGCAAGGCTGCGCAGATGGTCTGTGGTTCGAAGTCAAATACTGTGACGCGGCAGCGAAAGGGATTTCATTCCGAGTGCTGGCTATGGACAGGGTGCGCTCTGTGGTAAATATCAAACCACCGGCATTTGAGCGATGCTCCATCTTAACGATGACGTCCAAAACACGGCCGAGGATGCAAAGAATCGCTAAGGGAACGCCTTCAGAGGCTTCGAGTGCTTAAGGATGGTCATCTCCGGTGCAATCAGAAGCGGTTATTGTTCGTACTCGACTCATTTGCGGGGATATCAAGCAGGGGTAGGTAAACTTTCCCTCGGTGGCTGTTGCGTGTGGGGGTGTGGTTGGGGTGTTTGTTGGAGAACCGTCGGTATTCGAATATGGAAGATCGCGACGATCTCGGTGGTCATCCCGAGTGCATCGAGAAGATGAGACTTGGGGGCAGAGCTACAGGACTGCAGTTCCGACAATGGCTCGAATGAGTACTAGTTAGACGTCAGCCCACAATTGCAGCATGTGAACCTCAGGGCAGAATCCTCCGTCTCTGCTAGAAGCCCCAGATTTCGTGGATCAGTCCAGAACAGTAGATTCCTGATACACACGTGAACAATGAGCCTTAAAACTTTGTCGACTAAGTACTCAATGGCCGATGGTGCTCTGACATCGGTTGAAAGCACCTGGAAGGGTCGAGTATCAGTACACCAGGTATCTCGTGGTAAAGGTATGGTCATGACATGGCCCAGCCTGACTGGCAACGTTCGTAATTTGTGGGGAACTGACTGAAACGACCACGGACTGGGCTCGAAGATTCGAGCGCGCTGCGAGACGAGATAGTTGTAAGAATCTTAGAGTCGGCGCAGCGACGGCATGGTCACCCCGACCGATCCTCACATGAAGGGATGCCGATGAAGCTCCAGAACTTCAACCATGCTCCTCCTCGGTGAGACCTGGACAACCGTCCATGCTCTCGTCAGGATATTGATACTTGCACCAAAAGCAGTAGTGCCAGCGTTCGCGGAGATAGCTGACCAACCTTGACAACTTCTCTGCCACTGGCAACGCTTCAAAGTCATCGAGCTCAGCATCATCCTGGTCCAGATCAAGGTCCACTACCTCTCTATCAGGCTTCTTGCCCATTGCCAGCTTGTCATCCTCGTCTTCGTCCGGGTCGTCGTAAGTCGGGCGGCGTGACAGAGACTGGTGTAGATCGTACCTCATTCGTCGGTCTCGCTCCTTGAGCAATTTCTCCTTGACAAGACCTCTCCACAGAACATTGATGCTGAGCAGAGGTCTGCTTTGGAGCCCTTGTTCTGAAGGGTCTGCCTGAGCATCGCCGCGGTCGCCATCATCAAGGCGCTCGCAGACCTTCATAGCACCGAATATCTGCCCAGTCATACGTTTCTCCTCGCGCTCTTGCTGTTGACGTTCTCGAAAATCGCCCTCATCCACCTTGCGTTTCTTCAAGTCTTCATTCAGCGCAGCAGCCTCTTCCCGAAATTTACGCTTCTTCTCTGCGTCGGCACCAATGCCACCTCGATCCGACTTCACCTCAACGCCAATTGGCTCCAGCAGACGGTCGTCTGGCTGGCCATCGCCATTTGATTCCCGCGCCACGCCCAAAGCAGTACCTGGCTTGTACCCAAGCGCTGCCATCATTTTGAAACCTTTGCTCTTTGGATCGAGTTGGCTTGTGTTCAATGCCTCCTCGCGTCGGGCCTTTTCTTCGGCCGCAAGCTCGGCTTTCGACTTCGGCCTACCCTTGATCTCGGCTTCACGAGCTTGCCGCTTTTTCTTCTCTGTCAGTGTCTCCCTCTTCGAGGAGCTTGTGTCTTCGAAGGTCATGGTGAGGTAGTCATCTTCATCGTCGGCCGCTTGCTCTGGCGTCTTCAATATCGCCATTGTGATGTGACGCCCAGACGACGTAGCCGCCAGTAGCACGCCCACGAAGAGGTATAAGTGGTCTTAGAAACTGGCTACAAGGACTCGCGCTTCGGAGGCGCACTTTCTGCGGAATCTGTAGGGATACAACCTCCCTACACGTTCTCTTCCTCGTACTGAGACATCGCGCGGCACTTCATGATTGGTGTCTCTGGCTCGAGACGCGATCGGAGCAACGGTGGTGATTGCCGACGCAATGTGTGGTGAGAGGGCAGGGTGCAGGCGCGGCGGGGAGAGGGGTAGAAACGCGTTCGAGTGACGCTCTCACGTGATAAAACTAGGTTTTTTATGTATTCATAGGTCCAAAAATCTGGCCAAAATTCTCACACACTTTTGAGAAAGATTGTGTCATCCCAGGTATGTCTGCTCTTTATGAGCTAACTCAATGACCTGGTCCATCGCTAACGATGGAAATTAGTGACGCAGTGGTTAGCGTGGTAAGTCCTGCTGCCCGTATCTTCCTCTTACTGTGCCCCGACCACAAGCTAAATGCTTGCTCAACAGTCGTTCTTATACTGTATGCCCGAAAAGCATGAGTATGGCTCATTGAGTTATGCGAAAGTCCCGAGTTCGACTCTCGGTTGGGATAAATTATTCTTTTGCTATTTTCGATCAGTCAGGCGTAATCGCAACTTTTCGACATTGCTGGCGACGAGGACTACATGTATAACTGCTTGGACCTGTTGTAGCCACCCTGTGGTAGCTCTGCTTCCTTCCGCCGGTCACGCTGCACGAACACCCCGTCTAGCACGAGCGAATCTACATTGACAATCCACGCTCTTTTAGTTTTACTCTCCCAACCCTGAGCAACACTGATCTGGGAATTGAGTTCGTGGAAAGTAGCACGCAGCCCGTGCTTTCTGTCGCCCTGCACCACACAGTCCACGTTCAGTACTACCTGTTGAGCAGTTAATTCTGCCTTATACTGGTGCTGGCTCCCTATTTCGACAACCTTCATATCTGGCGAGGTGGTGTGGACCTACCGCCTATCAAGACTCTGAATCCACTGATCCGGCCACGTGTTGTGCAGAGTCGAAATCCACTTTTGGCTAGACGACTTGTGTTCCTCGGTGGTGTTGAACGTCTTGACCCGGCACACCGGGTTGAAGTCAAAATCGAAGCCAAATGCGATCAACGCGGCATTCCTGGACGGCGTGGTTGTCAACGCATCGAAGACTGACACCGTACCTCCTTCCCCTGTTGACAAAGTGACAATCAAGACGTTGTTCTCGTTTCCCAAAATTTGCCCATACTGCCCCTTCACTGTGAGTCCATCGGTCCAGGTACGTCGTTCTGGGGGGTTACTGGACATGATTGTATTCTCGAGCATGTTGCGGAAGAGAAATCCATACATGAAGTCCTCCTCGTAGTCAGTCTGTGCATTCGCTTGCTGTCGAATCAAGACTCGTCGCGTTCTCAATTTGGCGTCTTCTTGACTTTCGACACTGACTGTTTGCTGTCGTTGTGTTCCTATCCTGAGGTCTGCATCAGGTTCGAAACCGCGAGTGGGCTTTCGCCATGCTATCCGTATCTTCCTACGGCTAGCTTTGACCTCAAAACTGCGCGGTCGGTGTCCGACGCACGCCACGCGGATGAATTGTCCCTTGCGATGAGTCTGTCGAAGGAATATGCCAAGTCGACTATGTCCAGTATCCTTTCGCCAAGTAGGCATCAAGTCCTTATGCTGGGCTTGATCCTGGCACTCCAGGACTGCTAGGTAGGTGTGCATGGCCCACGGCCTCATCGGCAGTGCAATCGAAAGTCCAACGTTCGTCATCGAGAAGGGCTCTGGCATGTCAGTCGAGTCTGTCGTTACGACATCAGTACATGATCTGAAATCAGCTGGAGACCGCGCCAGCAAGTCCTGAGACTGGACATCGTCGAGTCTATTCCATGCCAATATGGAATGATCATTGGACACTTGCATGATCTCTAGTTGTAATCTCCTGAATGCTTTCGAACCTTCGCCGTACAGCATCGACATGTTGATATCGAAGAGCCCTAGGAGACAATAAGCGATATCTTCTGGGCGAGTAGTTTGACGCTGAGCCGCCCAAGACATCCTCTGGGCAATGCTGCAATCTCGAGGGCTCTTGCCGCGTAGGATTCGGACTGGCACACCCGTGATTTTGCACAGGCGGCCATGGAGGCCATGCTTGCTGCCCAGCAGTGTCCAGTGGCGGTTGTAAATTGCGATTTTGGTTGGTGCCTGCGAAACACTGTAGGTCAGCATACTTCTAGTATCAAAGCCTCACTCACAACTCACGATGAGCTCTTGGAGCGTCCATCCTCTTGTAAACCAAGCACTCCGCTCCATCTCATCGACTCGTTCAATATCTGACAAATACACATAGCACACGACAGCATTCTCATACCATTGGTACATTGAGTTGATGGCCTCACTCAGCTCTGCACTGCTCGACTTGTCTATGCAGCATGTGTCGATCCAGCAATAGTCCAGCCCATCGACTTTGGCCTGTCTCGCACAGTATCGCAATTTGGCGAACCCAATTTTGCCGCCGTACATACCTTTCCTCAGATCTTCGACTGATACCTCGTCCTCAACAGGACCCCAAGTGTGCGATAAGATAGCGTACGGACCTGGTGGGTTGGCCATATCTGCGGTCAGGCTCAACCCACCATCTGACGCAATCTTCAAGAGACGCATAATTTGCTGAAGTCATTACCCTGAATGCTGTGTCTTACAGAAGGCGGGGAGCGGAATAATCGCTGATGTGGATAGCGATGAAGGCGACATCGTGCTAACCGATCGAAAAGTCATCCTTTCGCAGCACAGTGTCCGGCACGAGGCGCGTAGATTGGACGACATATTCATAATCCACAGCCCAGCTTACCATGCACCACCCCACGCGAGTCAAGGCATGCAGGGCTGCCAGGACTTCAAGTTGCGGCTCAGGTTGTGTCGGTTCGTCGGGTGGTCGCTTAGCAGGAGCTTATCCCTAAAGAAGACGCGTCGAAGTAGTCCAGCCTGTTTTCGCCGAGCCTGGGCGCCTTGGAGCTCTGAAGCCCTTTTTCCCATCACGATGCACAGCTGAGTCTGCCACATGAACACATGAAGATCGATACATGAGGCGAAGGCGAGGAGGCTACCCACGTTGATTCCGGGTCAAAATGGTGGCACCGAGCATCGAATGCCCCAGGCGATGTATATAAGTGTCTATCTCACTTGTGATTTCATATATCCGTGGTCTTCCTCTGTGTTGCTAGTTCTCGTCTTTACGACGAAGATAGCACATGCGAATCTTTGTAACCACCCGTACAGACTTCCTTCAGTTCAATCAGTGCCCAACATCCGTCTTCGCTTCAACGACACCCTTCCGACTCTGCTGCGATTCCCATTCCCGAAATGCTCTAAATTGACGCACTTTCGTAGCCACTTCTGCTCGCCTGTCCTGGCTTGACATCTCTCGCGAATGCTCTTTGGGCTTGTTGTTGGCTCGTCTGGTCAGGCCATTGCCAGCAGAAGTCAGGATGTCCTCGAACTTATCCTTCACCTCATGCCACCTTGCACTTCCTCCACCTCCTGCACCGCCTGCCTTCTGCTTCATCATTCTCCTCCTAAGGATGAAGCAGCTTGGCACCCAGATCAAGCTGGCAACAACCACCCAAGCAAAGAGCACTCCAAAATTCAGCCCCAGCTCCTGTCGAGTTCCGAACAACAGACTTCTACTTCCAAACACGATCTGTCGGAGTGGCCAGCCATAGCCCCATCTGTAGAAGCTCGGCGCCAGCTCGAGGGCGTAGAATCCCGTTGACACATTCGTGATGACCCAGAAGATCAGGAAGAGCGATGTCCACGGCTGCTGGTTTGGTAAGAGCATGGCGGCGATCTCAAGCGGGAGACCAAGAGCTGCCATGCCAACGAAGTTGAGGCCCAATAGACCGGCCAGGTAGCGTGACCAATCAGGTTGGCGTTTGAAACAGATGCGTCCGTTGGGAAGCGCGTCGTTCCATCAGCGGGCTGATTCGAAAAGGGGATCTGGAAGGCCAAGCTGACAAGCGAGTACGCAAGACTCAGGAAGAAGTATGCCACAATGGTAGCGAAATACCTCCAGCAGATCAGATGCGTAAACTTGATCGGAGGGTGAGGGGTCGGTTGCGTTGGGTTGAGGAACAAGCCATGGATCGGCATGAAGAAGCTGAAGCTGAAGAACGCGATGATGATCAAGTAGATTAGACCAATGCTGACAGCAGGAATGGCCACCGGTGGGTCGAAGGGCCGGATATCGATGACAGTGAAGTCGATGCCAGGAGAGAGAGCTTGTGGAGAGTTGGCATAAGTGCTAGCAGATAGCGACGTATTGGTCAGAACGAGCTCGGTCCAGAGGCCACCGAACGAGGTCGTGATCGATGAAGCAAGTGATAGGAGGGTGGGGATTATGTACTGATTCTCCGCCTCCACATCGCGAGCCTGGTTGTAAATAAGCTGACAGGCGCCCCTGGATCGTAAGTAGTGTTGCCAAGTTCCACGGCGCTCGTAGGAGGGCAGTGGCGTTGGCGTTGATGATAATAGCGCCCCAAATGTCATCATGGTGAACGGCACGACGGACGGCGGCAGGATCATTGTCGTATTCGGCGGGCTGATGGAACTTGTAGCCTAGAGCTCGTGGTAGTCCAGCGGCACGGCGGACAGCATCTGCAACAAATGGTCCCACGATAGCTTCAGTGTTCTTGTATGGCGAGACTCGTCCGTCGAAGTCAACGACTGCAATCGTAGCATTATGGAGATTGTCCTTGATCCTGAACAGCGCTCCCCAGTAAATCGACAGGACGCCTAGGACGAATATGCAAAGGACGAGTACTATTCATCGTGTCAGGATCGAATTGAGTCAAGATATGAATCAATACTCACGAGTGACTGCATACTTGCGGAAGACTGTCTGCCTGGTTGTCTTCAGCCGATCACTCCAGAAACGAGCAGGCTTCGGTCTAGATGGGACGGCAGCCTCTGAGTCCTTCTCTTCTTGTGCGATGTGGTGTGAAGCAGTATCTGCAGTCAGCGTTGATGCAGAGTCTGAGGTAGGCCAGGAGTGATGTTTGAACTGCGTGCCGTGGTCGTGGGCATTCTCCACCTCTCCGAATGATGGCCGTCGTGAGAGAGTATTCCTGCTCGGCGAAAGGCTGTCGTCCGAAGACACTTGATCTGAGTGCTTGCCAGGTGACTGAACGATCTGATGCCCTTGAAATGCCCACATCGAGCCGGTGGATGCGTTGGTCAGGTGTCGAAGAACATGGCAAATGCAAGCAGAACCAAGAGGCTGGAGAGATGATACGGCTTTGACTAAGTCACCTACCACAGGACGTGCCCAACGCTGTGAGCATTGATGATAACGGACGTCGGCGATTATGCAGGCTTCGCAAGCATACAGGCTCGGACGTGCACTGCACTGGCCTGCCATATTGGTCGAGAATCGAAAGCAACTGTGGTCAATCGAAACTATCCCGTGCAGATCGTATGCACAAGCTGAGCTGCTGCATTGTTTCCCTCGAGCATGTCTTGGCTTACTTGACCCATGCTTGATATTGCTTGTAGACACGTCTTCGTGCCTGTCTTTCTGCGATGTACCACATCTGGGCCTCCAAACGAACGAGATGCCACCTGCTCTTTCAATAATCAGATGCGAGACCTGACGTTTCCGATCTTTCGATGCCCGAACAGGGTAAAGCACGGACGACGAATGCCCAGAAGAAGTGAGGCGTTCTTAGTGAAGTCCGCTTCGTGTGACGGTCATTGGCGGAGATGTGAATCGATGGCATCATGAAGCTTCGTAAGATCTGTCATTGTACATAAGGTTCTCTGGATGTTCTCGCCTTGTGAGATGCCGTGACGATCAGCCACTAGCGGATTTCATAACCGCCGACATGCCGCTATTGATGAATTGGTCTTTATCCCATCAACTGCTCGATGTGGGCGCGATGTAGTGCACAGGGGGGCGACGATGCGGGACTTCGAACGTATGGCATGACTTAGGTATGGTCGGCTGTGTCTCAAGTAATCCAATGTTGCTGCTATTTAATTGGTGATGAACATTCACAGCATGGCAAGTGCGCTCGCTTGCTCAAAACCCAGCGCGCATTTCCGTACGCACGCGACCCCTGGTATGCTACAAAGATGACCCGGAAGAAAAGCATCATTCCCGCTTCCTCAGAACGCGCCTGCCGCCTGCTGGCTCGGCAATGGCTACCTTCTTACTAGCAGTCTTTCCACGCAGACCTGTACCTGTGACCTTTTCCTTTGCAGCACTGGCAGCTGTGGACTTAGTCGCCGCAACGGTGGTCGTCGCAGCAGCTCTCTTAGTGCGCGTCGCGGCGGTGGCAGCAGTGGTTGGTTTTGCGGCAGCAGCTCGCGTGCCACGTTTGGGCTTGACGACAGTAGTGCCACTTGATACAGCTGATGACTCAGAAGTGCTTGTGTGATTGGACGACTGGCTAGCAGTACGCTGAGGAGAGCTTGCCGCAGTCGTCGGCCGAGCAGGTGGGAGCATCTTGCCCCGTGTGTTCGCCCCAACAACGACAGGCTTTGCAGGCGATGTTTTCTCACGAGACGCGGTCCGGCTGAGCTTGCCAGCAGCTGCGGCGGTGCCGCGTTTAGTGGACTCAATCATGCCATGCATCGAGGCCGAGATAGCGCTAGTAGCAGCAGACGCGGCGGTCTTAAATGGTGAAGCCGGTTTGAGTGGTGAGACTGGGCGTGAAAAGGCGGCTTTCATGGGAGATATCGAATTGAACGGCGATTGTGGCAGTGTTCGGGAGTTGTGAGATCGAGGTGAAAGGACGCTGACTGGCTTGCCAGCACGAGAGGTGGCGCGAGGAGCTGCTGTTGCGTTCTTAGCGCGAGTCTTCTTAGCGACAGGCAGAGTATCTGGCGCGAAAACGTCGTTGTCGTGATCCAAGGCGATCTGAATGTGGGACGACTTTCTCTTTCTGGCCTTGACTGGCGATGTGCGGAGAGGAGATGGCGGCTTGCCGAGCTCCTGTGAAGGGGAGGCAGCGGTCTATCTCGTGCTGCAGTCATGTTGGCATGATGTTTGACTGGTGATGCTGGTCTAGATTTGCCACTCTCTGCATGTCGTGCCATGAGCTCGCCCATGGTCATTTTTCTCATGGCCATCGGAATGCGATTGACGCGTCGTTGGACTCTAGCTCGAAGGTCTTCGCATTGTAGAGCATAGCCTGCTCGTAGCTTCCTGGCTCTCTCGGTGATTTCAAGCTGTAGATTATCGATGATGGCTTGCTTTTGTTCAGCAGTGACCCTCAGCTTCTTGCGTGACGGGCTGCCAGTCGGTGTAGCAGGTGTGTCGTCGATCGCGTCCGACTTTCGTTTCAATGTTTTGGGCGCCATGATGCAGATTCAAACAGCGCGTGGGTGACGAATATGTTGCAGGACGCCGGCTTGGAGACTACCCTACGTTGTGACTAGCCTGCGCGATCTCTGCTAACTGCTGTTGTCAGAAGCATTCTTCAGTACGAGACCATGAAGAAGCAGAAGTTCAAGGTCTTTGTCGAATTGAGGGCCAAATTGGTCGAGGTAAACAATAACCAAACCACGCTAATGAATGGCCTGCTTGGCGATGAGGAACGCCAAGCTTATCAGGTCGCTTACGCCCTTCTCTTTCAACGACATTGCACCTCCAGCCGGTCCATTCGAGTGGTCTAGCATTGCTTCGGATTCAAAGGCTCACACGTATGGCAAATTTGGTGTGGTTGGGATTGATCTGCGCGTTTGTGCTAGGAGTGCATGAAAGGCGTAGTCTGCCATGACGAAATTTGAGTTCGGGGCGGCCTTCGCCGTTGGCTGGTAGGACATTGATCGTAATGAGCCCTTCGTGTCGGGGAGAGCATACGATGCTGTCTCGGCAAGTATATGAACGTTTCGTGGATACGTGTATGAGGACCATCAAGCAACAGACCCGAATTCGTGCGCTGATCTGACCGATTTCGACTTTCCCTTGAGCCTCCCAGTCGTGCCGCAGGGCTGTGGTCAGGGTCTTGGTTGTTTCTCATCTGGGTTGTTGTCTTTCCCATTCCACAGCTGTGAGTGACGGGGCAACTGTCGCCCACATCATGGCGGACCAACTCACAAGCACGATCCCTTCGCTGTCAAGGCGTGCCCAGGCCGAAACTTCCCCTCGCCTCACCGCCCTGCTATGGGAAGTACTCTCGGATCAATGGCACCCGCAGGACAATCCTTCCGGCTATGTCAGTATCGGCGTTGCAGAGAACCGACTCATGCATTCCGAACTTCACGCGTACATCGACAGGACCTTCAAAGCACACGACTGCTTCCTAACATATGGCGACGGGCCAAAAGGGAGCCATCGATTGAGACGGGCTCTGGCTCAGTTTCTAACGAAGCACCTGAGATCAGTCATTCCGTTGGAGCCCGAACATGTTGTGGTCACGAATGGAGTGACTAGTGCGATTGAACATGCATCATGGGCATTTGCGAATCCTGGTGATGCGTTCTTGCTAGGACAGCCATACTACGGGGCGTTCCCGAACGATATTTGCATGCGACCCAATGTTAAGCTGATTGAAGTCAGATTCGGCCATGAACTCGATCCTATGAGCAAAGATGCCGTGCGGAACTACGAACAGGCGATACTCGACGCAAAGACCCAAGGTGTCGCTGTCAAGGGGCTGATGCTATGCAATCCACATAATCCGCTAGGCCGCTGCTATTCCCAAGAGGTGCTCGTCGAGTATCTCAAGCTATGTCAGAAGCACAAAATCCACCTCGTCAGCGATGAGATCTACGCTCTGTCTGTGTGGCAGAACAATGAGGATTCTTCGCCTCCTCAATTGCCTTTCACATCGATACTGTCCCTCGACCTGACGAACCTGATCAACCCAGCCCTGGTCCACTGCATATGGGGCATCTCGAAAGACTTCGGTGCAAACGGCCTACGTCTCGCTTGCCTCGTGAGTCAGTCCAACCCGGCTTTTCATGAAGCATTGACGAGTGTCGCACTGCTATCCTCCGCCTCATCTATGGCTGATCATACCGTCGCGAACCTCCTCGAAGATGCTGAGTTCACCGATCAGTACATTCAGGAGAACGCGAAGCGCCTGTCCACCGCATACAGCCAAGTCGTCGCATTCCTACGGAAGCACAAAATCAAATATACACCAGGATCAAACGCTGGCTTCTTCCTCTGGGTTGATCTCGGTGAGGCATACCTTCGGAAACACCCGGAGAGACGAGGCAAGTGCGATCTGACAAGGGAAGTGATGAACGCTCTGCTCGAGCAGAAGCTGTACCTTGCGAGTGGCGAGATGTTCGGCAGCGAGACGCCTGGGCAGTTCCGCATTGTGTTCTCGCATCCCTCGGAATACGTGGACGAGGCATTGGAACGAATGGTAAAGGCAATTGAGGTGGGATACCAGGGCAAAATGAAGGCGAAGTTGTGACGGGATGCTGCATGACGCGTGGGACAGGTGATGAGATGCGGTTCACGATCTACACCAAAGTAAGGCGCTCGAGTGGCACACCAGGCGAATTGAGTGGCGTCGAAAGACCACCATTCTCTGGCGACCAGAATGATGAAGCAAGCCAGTCGGCGAGATGCACGATTGATGACCAGGGCGGCTGGGCCCAACGCTGTTCAACGCTGGCTGTTGCGCGATCATCCTGCTACATATCTCTACCCATCGCAGGACGACGTCTTTGTATGCTCGAGAGTCTGGGTACTTACCTGCATCAGTGCTCGTTCACTTTCACTGCTGCCACCGACACCGAAAATACGACTAATGATGCTTCGCGTAACCTTTGTCCCTGTCGTCATCCTAGCGCTGGCAATTGTTACGGCAGCAGGTCCTTTCTCCAGTCGCAGAGCCTCTAGTCCCACCCTAGCAGCCATCCTACCCTCTGCCGCAGTTCAACCATCAAAAGATCGCCCTCGACAGCAGGAATTTGGGCACCGGACACCGAGGCGTGATCTATCAACTCACTACACCGTCAGCCAATGTGGGCAGCGGGACCAGTACTGCGCAAACCAAAATGACTGTTGCATATGGCCAATCTTCTTGAAATGTTGTGGTGCGGATCTGGAGCATAACGCGCCGTTCGTTGAGGGGTGGTGCTGTCCCTCCCTTAGGTGACTGAAGGGCCAGGTTGCGAAATGGTGCTGCTGGGGCTGTGGATGGATGGGGTCAAGCGGAAAATACGGATGTGACTGGGAGGCAAGAGCACACAGGTAGAATGACCGATCAGGGTCACGCACCAGCGCACACTTGATGCATTCTTCTGCGAATTTGCGGTCAGAAACTCGATAGTCGGGGCGGGATGTCAGCAGCAATTGTGCCGATTTCAAAATTGATCCGTCATCCGGTCCAAGGAAAGGGCTGAAATATCAACGAAGCTTTGCAACGCTGCTGTTGTCGTGTGCCAAAATACAACGAGTACAAACATGTCGGCCTTCGCTCCAGGGACTGGATTTGGGAAGATCAAGGCACAGCATGAAGCAAACTTGAAGCAAAGGTGAAGCAAACAAGAAGTCAGAGTGAAAGCAGTCGCAGTGACAAGGTCAGAGTGAAGTTGCCACTGACCCTGCTGTGACTGCCACTTGCACCCTTGCACGTGATCTAATCGCACTTGCCTCAACAACTTACCTCTCAAACACCATTTCTTCAAGCTGCGTACTGCTTTGCACCTCGTAACGACACAACACAACTCTTCATCTTTCACCTGCGGTACCATCAATACGACAAGCCATCATGAGTCTTCAAGACACCACCAACAAGATCGTCGTCGGAATGACCGACGTCAAAGCAGAAGAAAGACCTGTTCTGCCGGTTGAAGCCCGCCCTGACACCGAAAAGCGTCAGAATGGCAAGCTTGAGCCCAAGACCGTTCTCAATGAGGCAGCCAAGAAGCTCGAGGACATGAGACTGCATTCAGAGACCGACGGCGGCGATCAAGAACGAGATGTCACTCCGAAGTCCACCCCAGCCAGAATTGTCTCCGTATCTGGCAGCGGCGAGTCCTTTCCGGCGATGTCTCCAGCTCCAGAGTATCCAGATTTCATGTCAACAGTCGATCCCTATGCTATGACATCTCCCAACCTACCTCCCACTCGACGCACCTCTAATGCTGGTGCAAGCGCAAGCGTCGTGGTCTCTTCTGCGCAAGCGGATCTACGTCTCCCTGGTCTTCGACGCCGCCTGACAAGAGCCGACTCATACACCACAACTGCCGCAAGCGAAAGTGCTACAGTCTATTCCGAAGCCACCCGTAATCGTCTCAATGAGGATGATCGCCGTCTCGAACAATTCATCCTGGACAACGAGTCCCCCAAAAGCAAGCCGCAAACCGCCGAACAGATCCCGACTGAATTGCCAGAAACGCTGAAGCATGGTTCGTATAGCTTTGTGTGCTCCTTTGGTTGGGTCGGTGACGAAGAAGTGGACCTTGAAGAGACCCCATTGAGCCGAGAGTCGTACATTGAGAAGCTGGAAGACGCCAAGGACGGTATCGATTTCGTTGAGAAAGCTGTCATCAACTACCAGAACGAAATCAACTCCCGTGGCCATCACAAGTTCCGATCCGACTTCCTTCAACACCAGAACACTGCGTGCATCCAGACTTTGGACCAGCTCGGTGAGATCAAAGAGCACGTTGACGAGGTCATCGAGGAGATCAACAGCTTCTTGGGAGACGACGAGGTGGAACTGAAGGAGAGACTTACTGTGGCATACAAACACGCTTTGCCTTGGGTCAAGCGAACGCGTCGACTGGTCTCGGAGGCCCATATCTTCTACAAGCTGAACTACGTCCTTGGTCGTAAGACCGCCAAGGCCACAAAGGGCAAGGAGCGAAGCAAGCCTATGCTACCCACGATTCCAGCTGGGCGTCGTTAGATAGATATTTTAGCACAGCGCCCTCCCTGGCAGGCAAATCCATGATAGATTGATTCTGCGACTTGAGGCTCAAGTGAGGCTCCTCCCAAATTTCCTGGCTCGATCTTCCAAACAGCCCAGCCCCTCAGAGCCCGCCCTGGCAGTCAAATCGATGATAGATTGATTCTGCGACTTGATGCTCAAGTGAGTCTCCTCCCAAACTTCCTGGCTCGATCTTCGAAAACAGTTCCAGCCCCTCAGAGCCCGCCCTGACTCGAAATCTCGGAGGTTCAAACTGACCCCCGTTGAAAAACGCTCAATTTATGCCCGAACAGCCTGGCTAGGTGCGTGAGGGCAGAAACAACACTGCATATCGAACTAGGAAGTTCGAGAGGAGCTCACTTGAGCATCAGATACCAGAAAAGATACCCCAAGTAGTACCAGAAGCCCCAGCCAGGAAGGGCGCTGTAGGAATTTGACAACTGCAAGTCATGCCGCAAATTCACAGAATCGAGAATCGGAGAGAATGCCCAGCTTCTGCTCCCACCGTGATGGCCCTCCCTGCCCTCCTACAGACCACTTGTCTACCGTACCTGATTCCCGTTTCAAGATCCTGCAGCTTAAGACTACAGTACGCGTCTGCTGCCACCTGCATCCAGCTACTGCTCTTCGCATCCAACAGGTCCTGGACCCAAGCGCGTTTTCTGCAGGCCTTACCTCGCCCTGGCAGATGCGGGAGAAGGTCCGTTCCGCCCAGTGCTTCACCTGGCGTGCCTGTACCATGTTTACTTTTGATGCTCAGGGGCGCAAAGGCGTGTGGTGCGATGGGTTGCTCCTTCGCACATGCTTTCGATCACATCATCGGCAAGAACAACTAGCAATACGATAAAGTCACACCGCCAGTTCTTGAAAGTGATGCATCGGTGAACGAATCCACGTTTTATTGGACACTCTTTCCAGTATTCTGCGTGCTCATCGGCATCCGCCATGCCGATCCTGCAGCAATCCCCCCTCCGCCCCACGTTGGCGAATTCTTCAGGTGGGAGACTCGCCGAACTTTGGCCCAGCAGCACGAGCTTCCAGGTGATAGTCTGCTGTGCTACAGCAGGTAGCCAGTGCTTGACCTCACACTAGGCAATGAACCGTCTCAGGAGGGACCGGACGCTGATCCAGTAACATCATTCCTCGGTAGACAAAGGCATGCTTCGAGGAATGAATTGAGCTCATCCAAGTCCGTTTGGAGCTCTAGAGGCACATCGGAGCATTGTCGCCTACCAATCCGATGTCGTCGATAGTGCTGAGAGGGGCATTGTTTCCAACTATACCACACGCCTCGTGGGATAGCGACACATTCGATATCAACTACTCTATGCAACATGCAGCGCTCCACGGCGCAAGCCAGAACTCTCGTTCCCGCAATAGGCTTGGGAGCCACGACTGCAATGCACGAAGGATTCCACAACATGCTATGAGATAAAAGGTAACATATCACCGGATTCCTCTCTCATGCTTTCTTTTCCTTCTTCCACATCACACGTAGCTGCAAATATACCTATTGCCTTCTCAAACCAAGACCCAAACACCATCAACATGGCCGATACCCTCGAGAAGACCAAGTCTGCCCTCCGCGCCAAGTTCGACAAGCTCACCCCAGAGGACTTCGCTGCCAACTCTGGCAACAAGGACGGTCTTGCCGACAAGGTCGCCGAGAAGTACAGCATCTCCAAGGAGGAGGCTACGAAGCAGGTCGATGAGGCTTTCGCTTCCGTCAAATAAGCCATCGAACAGCATCACCATACACGTCGGGAATGTCACCACGCGTTCGTGCGCAGCGCATCTCGCAAGGAGCGATCAATCGATAGACCAGCACGGAAGTTCACTCCGGAAACAGTCGCTTTTACTCGAGCAGGAAGAGCCTACGATATGCACCGGAGCGCACAGTCTCAGGTTATGGGCACATCGACTACGACATGGCGGCACTTTCTTCGACCCTCACATCCCAAGAAACCATAGCACACGGCAGTCATCAAGCAGGACTACCGGCTGATAGAAATAGATACCAAAACAGAATCTTTGTCCTGATAGACTGATGCCCTCTGCCGATTGCCTTCTATCCTACTAATAACATTGAAGGCACCATGCTCAAAAACTTACCCCTCCCAAAACAATAATTTTGTACGCGTTGCCCCTCCATCGTGGCTTCCCCGCATTCAGGCACTTTCCGGCGCGCCAGAGTTCGCCGCGGGGCGGCAGGCACGCCCCGCCCGATGCCTGCTCAGCAGGAAGTGCCCAGGGCACACACAGCCAGGTGTACACTTTGCATGAGTGGCAGGCGAACAGGGGGACATATGAAGCCGTAACATGATGAATTCTTGACTCCCTGTTGATCACGCATTTCGTCGAGGCCCAGGATCGATCGATGAAGCACAATGCACGGACAGAACATCCAAGGCGGTAGAAATCCTAGCGGCAGCCAACTGAGAGCATCAAGAGGCTGCTAGGTGTCAATACTGCAGTTCCTCTGATATCGTCTCAGTGCGCAGTGTCGTGCTTGACTCAGTACTCATACAATGCCTGCCGAGTACTGTGAGGCTCGTAGGCTCTTGATGCTCGCTGCAAAAGTATAGAATGCTGTAAAGAAGGTTCTATAGCATCGTTGAGCATCCTTTGATTGCTGGCGCTGTCCGGGAGGCACTACTGGGCAGTCCCTCGACGCGAACGCTCACCCACTTTTGCCACATGGGCAAGATAGGACTGTGGCATACCTTACTTTCGGCGAGTCTCAGGTGCGTGCAGAAGTTGCAACCCGAGGTCAGATATTGCAATACATCGTTCACAGGCTTCAAATCAACCGCGAAAGCACGAACAACGATTCGTCCAGCCTTAGGCCGAGCACATCGTCTGAAATTGGCTGGACCTCACCAAGAATACGGGCGCTGCAGCGAATGTGTAACACATGCATCTGCAACTTGGCTGGGGTAGCACAAGGCTCTGTTCACGAGCAGATCGCGTCAATGTGTGCGGCAGTGTACACCAGTATCAAGGTCGCCTAGTTGAGTGCTCGCGCAGATATAGTTTTTGGCACACTGCGCAGAGTGATAACTCCTCGAGGCGAGCGTGAATTGTCTTGCCTGTGCATCGCCAGATCAATGGAAGGCGTACACAATAGCATGATAATTTCATTCGGATCGCTGCGAAGAGAGACTTTGACAGCACGTAAGTGACCAGGGACTGAACAGGGATGCTTTGCAGCTACTGTAGGGGAGCGAGGGGAGCACATGGAAGTTCGCCAAATTGATGCAGTCGACCAGGTCCCCACGTTTTGTGCTGAAAACTCGGCCTATCGAGGCATCGAAACGTGCCCAGAGTCAGTATTTGAGAAGCTCGTTACACCATGCGCGCAATAGGTACTCATCAGATCCGAAATATTGCTTTCCGAGGTATATTCAACGACGGGTGGACTGCTAGAAGCTCTGGTGTGAGGGTCTCGCAATCTGCTTCGAGGTTGCGTAATGCTAATGAAGTAGACCGGCAAGTCTCTGCTCGTACTTCGTAGGTCGACTGGCTGGAGCAGAGGCAGATCATTATTGCTTGCAGCAACGTGGTAGGGAAGATCACACTCCCTTCTCGGATCGATGTCCATCCCGGTGCAATAGTGGCCATTTTAGCGATACACCTAATGGGTAGGTGACGGCAGATCCGTAGATGCAGAGATCGTCGCCAAAATGTCGAGTGCACTGATGACCTTTCTGTGTCCAAAGTCCTGTAAGTCAGGTCGACAATGAAAGCCAATTCTCGACAAACGTCCAACATTGTGCTCATCTGAGATGCGTACCTTGAAGGCAGCAATGCTTCAGAGAGCCTTGATCGGGTCCACGGAGATGAACGCAGCTAGACAACAGTTTGACAGATGTGATCTGCATAGGGAAAGTCGCAAGATTTGAGTTGGCGACTCTACTGAGTACTCAATGTCGTTCTGCTAGGAATGAAGATACGTGCGTGATGATGATCGTCGCGCACAGATTCCCACGTTCGACACCTGGTCCTTGTGCTGCAGGCGTGGCACGTTGAAGGGGAAACACAACGTGATGCTTGGGAAGCAAGGTGGCAGGGGTCTGCCACGTGCCTCCAAGAGGGGCCAGCTGAAAGATCGCTACAAACACGAAGTCATCATACGGTGTCCAGTCCTGCTTGACGGATGTGAGATTGCAGGTGATGCCTGTAGCACACGGAGAGCGCAGAGGGCAGTAAGCAGGACGGATGCTCAGATGAGCTTGAGATGGTCTGAACAATGAGAGTCGGTGCGCAGAAAACGAGTTGCTGGCCCCTGCTTCGCATCGCGATCGTTGTCGCATGGCAGAGGGGGTCCATGACAAGCGTAACAGTGATCTTTTAGCTGTCGATCGTGGTGGCAGTCGCCGAAGTTAGTCTCTATTCTTGCTCCCGGCTCCCCAGGCTTCCAGGGAGGGTTCCTCAGCTCCGTGCGCGCCTCAATAGAATAGCCTTTTCCCAGCACGCCCAAACCACCCGTTTCTACACAGCTTCGCCGTTACATTGTTATCATTTTGTCACTTACTACCACATTCATTATACGTGTATACCACTATCACATGTTCTTCTACCCAGCCAACTGCATCTTGTGGGTCTTTTGAGGTTCGCACGCGATCCTAAGAGCAGATTCTTGGAAACCACGAGAGCCGCAACCTGTCCACCTGCATCCTCTCTGCGACCTGCCACAGGCGTTCTGCGGCCTGTTTCAACCACAATTCGAACAGCCCCAACAGCGCGTCTACACGTTCGATGCGCCAAAAGCTGGCAGCCATATCAACAGCAGCACAAGAGATTGTTATCTGTGAAACAAACAACTAGTATCTCTGACGAGTCGTCTGTCGGTCGAGGACAACTTTGCGACTTACGATCTCACCTCACCCTCGTCCACGAAGAGTGAGACACGTCCGAGGACAGGCGCGACTGGCCTTTCCCATTGTTCCAGGTGTCTGGCAAAGCCTGTTCTAGGACACATCAAATCGCTGTATTCCTAGGTGTATGCCAGGCTCAGCAGCAGAGAAAGGCTGAATCCGACTACCGCTGAAGTCCCATCGATTTTAGTGACACCGCAGAATCTGCTGTGCGCTGACGTTCGCTTCGTGTGAGCGCGCGAACTACTGCGCCAGCGTCATCTCGTGAGAGCAACAGCTATTGCTCTTCGCGGACAGGTGTCGCAAACTTGCAGCAGCCGCCCGACTCACCTCTCATGGGCGAACTATAGACAGCAAACAACCAACAGCCTTGACTTTCGAACAGAGAAGCCATGGCATCATCCACTCGGCTGCTCAGCAGTCAAACCAATCGCATAGTCACCGACCATGGGAAAATGGGCCATCTCAGGCGCAAACCCTGCCATCAATATCGACGCTCACTTCGAAGCTCCCTCCACCCGGCGACAGACCCCACCCAGATCTCTCTATAAATCCGCCGCAGAGAGATTCTGGTGCATTCATGACGAACAACAGTGCTCGTCAGTAGGCCTTGTTCCTATTTTTTGCAGCCTTGCTAACCGTGGTAGTAACCGCATCGTCGACTAATACTATGCCGTATCTCAACTCTGCCCATTCTCCCAACGCTCCAGGCGCGTCACCATATACACCTGATACGACACCTGGCTCAACATTCGGGCCGTCGTTAGCCCAGACGAGACAACAGAACGGCGCACTGTCTGACCACCCCCACCGCGGAAGCGGCGACTACGACGAATCTCGAAGAAGCAGTGTGACGGGGAGCATCCACCAAGGAATGAATAGTCTTGGTCTGGGACCAACATCGCCGTCGCCATATCATAGCAACAACCAATCACAAACATCCATTGTCTCCGGCTTGCAGCAACAACGAGGCATACCAACCTCAAATGGTTACAGTGCAGATACTCGACGATGAATGGACCGTTATCGCCATATTCATCGCAGCGCAATAGTAGGGGCCCGTTCGCTGCCGGTCGTGTAGCTCCGCCAATCTTGGAAAATCCCAAGGCAGAAGTCTACAGTGCTGATGCTCCAACTCGAGGACAGGCCTATGCCTTCCCAGATCCCGACAGCAAACCCGCCGATCACAACAGCAGACCCGGCTCCACCTTCTCGCGACGCAACAGCTATGCAGAATCATATGCCAGTAGCATTGTCACCATGGAGTCATCCCGCTACCCTCCAGGCCAACAAGGTATGTGATTCGTTCCATTCGTAACACCATGTACTGATAATATCAGAACTGCCAGATTCGCATCATCATACCTTGATGAACAAACAGCTGGACAGTCTTCGCCAGGACCCAGATTCCCCGAACGGCGCGACTCCTTACAGTAGAACACCGGAACTCCGAGTTACGCACAAGTTAGCCGAGCGCAAACGTCGCAGTGAGATGAAAGATTGCTTCGAAATGCTTCGTCAACGTCTGCCGGCCAATCAGAACAACAAATCCTCAAAGTGGGAAATACTCTCCAGGGGTGAGCTAATCTCAGCAAATCTGTCTCGGATCCCCATACTAACGTTTGAATAGCTAACGACTATATTGACGGCCTCGAGAACAATGTCAAGAAGTCACGCATCGAAATTGAGGCAGCTAGACATAGAGAACACGAGCTCGAAAAGCAGGTCCAACAGCTGAAAGAACAGCTCCAGAGATCTCAGCACCAAGGATCCTATCAGTCATCGACTCCCTACAATTCGAGCTACCAAAATGGCATCGATAGCAATCATGAGCAGGGTCGCACTCTGCCTCCCCTCACCAACGGCGCTATGCAGGGCGTGCACTATTCCAATGCGCCCTCTTCGCATCCGCCTGAACGAAGATAGAGTTCGGGCTCATCCTGCCTACGCGAAGAAGACAACAAGGCTCTCCAGAACTGACCTCATGGCTTGAGGGACGAGGGTGTAATGCCAGTCGACGGCGACAATGGCGTACGAGACATGTACCTAACAAAATGATTTTCGGGTGTTTGTGTCAACAGCAAGTCACGTCTTATGCGGGCATCAAAGGCCAGGCTGCATCGCCTGCAGCACGCAATAATTGTGTGCATGAGGATCGATATGGAAACTTCGGTTCGAACTTGAACATTGAATGAATAGCTAATCACATGACTGCGCGGGATACGAGCGGTCACGTGAAATGGTCCCCGAATTGACGATTGGCTGGCTGATAGCCGCTTCAAGATCGAATTCAACCTCTGAAACACACGCGCTTATAATGTTCCAGCTTTTCATGTGCTATCATTATGCGCTCGTCAAGAATGGCTGTCGACCAGCGACACTACGTGTGCAATCGTGGCCGGCGAGGTCTCTTCTGCATCCGAGACAACCTTATGGAGATGGATTGTGCTAACTATGGTATCGCGGCTTTTTAGGACATGGCTGAGTCTAAACGAAACATTCTGCGTCGTGCGCCATACGCCAGTCATGGCCTCTGTACTCTGTGGGCACCATTTCAGATAGCCGTTTGGCGGCCCTCAAAAGGATCCGGTCTGTTGCCTAGGTCACGATTGAAGATCTCACGCGCCGACTACCGATGTTACTGAGGTCTAAGTCTCAATTTCCTTTGTTGTAGATACCTGCAAGGCTGCATTCAATAAGCGAGAGATGCAGTGACGGAGTGCCTTGCGTTGGAAAGTGCTGTTTTCTATTCATGAATTTCCTATTGTTTCGAAAAGACATCCCTAACTGATCTGGCTCAGCCGTCTCACACAAAGCAGTCTCGTCTCAGACAACGACCGGCAGTCGCAACAAAGGACAATATCGAACATCACACATAAATCCGACAGGCCATCATTGCGGAAGACAGCGTCCCTAACCCGCGCGAAAATTCTGAAGAGCAGCAAAATGGTGTCAACAACCATCCAAAGTGCTCCTCCGCATTCTTTACAGCAGGTGCCTGCAACGCGTCAACAAACTGCCCAGCGTACGCCCAAAGCCTCAGATCATTTGCATAATTCTGACCCCAGCGAGTACCCCTCACCGCTGTTCACCGACGTTACCCTCTCAGACTCCGAAGATGCTTCGGTCAGCTCACACGACGCTTTCTATCTGGAGAAATACAACGATACTAGAACACAACGGCCAAGAGCCCAAGCTCGGAAACCGGACACTTCTCCAGCCAGGAAGCCACGACCCGAGTTGAATGTGATGACCTCACTACCGGCTTCTCAAGCAACAGTGTGTGATGATGATCTCAAGTTGGACCATGTGCGAGCTCAGAAGGTGGGCGCAACGAATCGACCGAAGTCGATAGTGTCGGCCAAGGCAGAACATTTCGATGCTTCGATGTTGTCGGATGAGCCTGAGCGGTCAGCTGCTCTTACCAAGCTTACTGGTATTGCCACGGCAGCGCGGGATCGGAAACAGAAGAAGCTACCCACACCTATACGAAACGATCACAGTGCCACGGGTCAGGTGCAGAATCGGACACGACAAATTTCCGAGCCTAGAGGGAATACTCAGAATGCGGTGATGATTGGTATACAAATACCGGAGCATGAAGCAGCTATGCATCAGCAAGGCGACAACAGTGCTATCACGCTGGAAACGCCTACGACTCCAGCCATTGTGATCACTCCCGCAGAGCCTACCTTCAATCGTTCAACGGACCGTTCCCTTGTCCGAAATACAGAGCCACAACCTGCAGTACCTTCACTTCCAGTCGTGCCCAGTATACTCGACGGCGCAAGCTATAATAAACATGCCAGTACAGCAGCGGCGCAAGCTTTCGACGAACGGGCAAAACATAAGTCTCAGGGATGGTGGAACCTTGCTCTGTCCCCCATGCTCTCGCGAGCAGGCACCATGAAAATCAATGATCAAATACCAGAAGTACCTCCACTTCCGAACTCGTCTGCACCGAACCGAACACGTGCAAACACTGCAGAATCTCAGCCCTCGCCAGAGACCCCTCGACGCCTAGGATTGGCTGGCATTCGCCAAAGTATCTGGTCGAGCTGGACCACGGAGCACAAGCAGTCTCTGAATCGCGCGCTGAGCACGAATACCACGTTTCCTCGTCACACCATAATCGAAGACGATGACCAGGTCAGCCTTCTTCGCGGCGGAGAAATTGGCGCGCATCGGATGACTGGAGGACTGGCCGATGAATACTATCATGCATGTGCAATTGAGCAATTTTCGGGACAGCAATTTTTCGAATGCGAGAATCATTCCTGCGCCGAGAAATGGCCTTCGTTTCGGTCAATATATGATAGGGACGAGTCTCAAGCTCAAGGCGCATCCCTGAAAGATGCGGACGACGCCGACCAGACCAAAGCCGTCTCGGGTGCTGTCATCACGACAAAGCCCGAGCTCGGCATTACCGGGCACGGACGATCCTTCAGCAATGGCTCAGAAGAGGACGTCGAATTCTCGCCTCATGTTAGGGAAGCGGAACCCGCGACTGTGCTGCAAGCAAGATCAGTCGATAGCAGGACTCCTCCAGCCATTCATACACAGCGAAGCGCAGATGCTTCGTCTGTGGAGAACTCGACAGCGGTGACAGAGGCGGAAAAGCCTTCTGACACACGGGCTATAGTGCTGGCACCGCCTCAGCCGATGATTGCGGAGGCTCCTACCCGACAGCAGAGCGTGAGGCAGCACAAAGTCAGCGCCATCGTACCTCCACCTGCCTCGTCAAGCCTTCAGCCAATAGACTCACCTGGTCCGATTTCCCCTGCAGCACAGCAGACGATGGCAGCCCATGGTGATGTGCCGATGGCAGAGATGAACTCAACAGGACCTTCAGCACAGATGGCGCCCATAGTCGTGCATAACTATTACCACTATCCTTACGGCGAGTTTCCCAAACAACTCATGGCGGAAGCGCATGAGACTGGTCCCGACTCTAGGCGAGCATCTTCGACCGTAGATGCTGAGAAGAGCATGGATGAAAAGAATCCAGGACTGTTCTCACGACTCAAGTTGAGCCTGAAGCGGAGAAGAACCGATCGAAAGGAGGACGCTGAGAAGAACGACAAGAAAACCAGCCGCAAGTATCGCTGCAAGGTAGCACTGACCACTGCGGGTCTATTGGGTGTCATTGTTGTGGCTCTGCTGCTGGCGACTCTGCTCAAGCCACGAGGCGATCGCACTCCGACGCAGACACAATGGCTGAACTTGACAGGGTACCCTCCTATGCCCACTGGAATCTCAACAATCATACGGCCCAACAATGTGCTCGACAATTCGCAGTGCGTTCAGCCAGCGACGGCATGGAGCTGTGGTCTGCCACCCGAGCAGCAGTCTGAAATCTCGCCGAACAGCCCGAATCAACCCAACTTCCGCTTTGAAATCAAGTTCCGGAATGGAACTGTCGCAAGCAACATGACGCTTCCCAGCTTTGCTAATACCTCTTCGATCTCGCGAGTCATGAGCAAGAGACTGACGAACCCCTTCGCGGATGATTCCTTCGAGGCCGACCCTGCTCCGCCAGCTGTGGCTGATCAGCTATTCATTGGAAACACCACGGACAACAATACAGCACCGTTCAATGGCGAGGATACGCCTTTCTACATGTCTTTCATTCCGGCCTTTCCCATCAATCCCTCCGACTTCTCGGCCTCAAACCTTACGGCTACCACCAATAGCAACGATGGCAACGAAACGACAGCGCGTGCCCTCTCTACACGTCAAAGTCTTGATTCGCTGCTTCCCAAGCCCGAGATCGACTCAGCTGGCCTCGCTGCTCCAGCCAACCTCTTGCCCAACTCCCCTTTCGCCACAAATCAACCAGTCCGCCTCTACAATCGTGGCTTGCCAACAGAGCACTTCGGCTTCTATATGTACTACGACAAATCGATCTTCCTCACTACAGACGTGGTGTCCAATACCGCCAACGACACCAATTCGTCCATCATCGAAACTCCGGACTCATCGAACTCCGGCGCTGGCAACCCATCCGATGCGTCTGGCGGCTCTACTCGCCGAGGCGCTCGCTCGCGATGCACATGGGCGCAGACGCGTTTCCTCGTGCAGATTTGGACATCCCCTGAGTTCGATGGCCAGATGCTTGGCCCGGTGCCTGTCATTGGCGGCACCGTTGGCGTCGACAGCAGTGACAGTCCCAACTCGGCGATCAATTACACTCCGCCAGGCTCATTTCCATACCCGACCAGCATCACGCTGGACCGACATGGCGGCAATGTGAACAAGAAGATTTCGTACTGCTATGCAGTCGATGGGGATGGGATGATCGATGAGGAGAAGGGTGGCAGATTTGTACTAGAGCAGAGAGGTGCTGGTGGCACGTTGATCAATTCGGCGCCAGGCATCGTGCAGAACGCGGACGGAAGCTTCAGTGGCGGAGGTTCTGATGGATTCGATGAAGATGATGGGGGTATTGATGGTGGGACAGGTGGTTGTGGGTGTCGTTGGCAGAACTGGCAGTGAGTGATAGGAATACCGCAATGAATCGACAACCAAAGTCTGCTGAAAAGTCGAGATGGTACAGGTGGGATTCTACATAGGGAAAGGAAAAATAGAGCACGTGTTAGTATCTGACAGTAGGGAGACGGTAGAAAAGATGTCAGTATAAGAGCCGCCTGCAACATAGAATCAGAATCTCAGCAACCTGGAAACTACGTTTACTCTGACCTTCTCATCTTCCTTCCATTTTTTGGCTTTCGTCGCTGCGCCTGCTTTCTGGAGTTAGCCTGGGAGGGCAGCTACCCGGCACGCGCGAGCGCTTGCCCGGTGGTGCATGATGCATTCCTAGCAAGAGCAAGCAGGTCGCGGACAGGGTTGACCACATCTCAGCAGGATAGACACAGCATCTTAGCTGGAGTCTTCTCCGACCGGTCAGGCGGTATCTCGGCTCTCTATGGTCCATCATGCAGCTAAGAGAGCGTGTGATAAGGCACGTTTGTCCAAGCCTCCGACAGCCGTACTGTGCAGTCAATCGACGACGGCTCCACGTACGAGTAACCTGATGGACAGAGCACATAATTTGACGACTGTGCCATCGTTGTGAACGGTGCGTGACCGGAAAGGACTTGTAAAGCGCGAACGTCGACAGAAGCAGCAAGACGCAAATCATTCGATGTCGCACGAGGCGACTTCGCGCCAGACGGCAGATGACGTTCAGGCAAATGATTTGCTGGCACAGCGGCCAAAGAACTACGCATACCGGCTACTCGATAGTATCGGCCTCATCACAGTCCACAATTCACCAACCGACGCAAAACTCATCCTCATTCAGCGCTTCGTACGAGTCTTTGGCTATGGCCTCGTTGCACTCAACCTTGCTGCCTACCTGTCCGCGCTGGGATTCTCTGACACCCAGATTGGGATCTTCTTTGGCCTTACGCTAATTGGCGACTTCTTCATGGTCCTGCTGCTGACTCAGTTCGCTCACGTCATTGGATTAAAGACTGTGCTCGTCGTTGGTGCGGTGCTGATGACTATGAGCGGCGTTGTCTTCGCTTTGGCAAGCAACTACTGGATTCTACTGGCTGCAGCCGTGCTGGGAGTGCTGAGTCCAAGTGCTACCGAGGTGGGCCCATTCAAGACCATCGAAGAAGGTGCTCTATTCAACGTCGTGATCCGAAACGTGGTCGATGTGATGGCTTGGTATGGCACTGCTGAGTTTCTGTCCACTGCTCTCGGCATTGCAGCTTGTGGTGCAATCATGGCATTTCTTCAGAGCTCAAGGTTCTCGTGGACGTTTGTGTCCGCATGTCGCGCAGTCTTTGCCATATACGCCGGCATAGGAGTCCTGAAGATCATCTTGTCGAGTTGCCTGAGCGAGCAAATCGAGACACAAATAACGTCAAAGGATGGCGGGCCCCAGGAAAGGAGAGGACAACCACAGTCTTCTCCGAGCCCTCCAGCAACAGCGATTGTTGCAGAAGATGAGCCGCTGCTCTCGTCGCTGGCAGCATCATCTCTTGACTCGGAGACCTCTGTACACAAGCAAGGCTTCTCTGTCCTTTCGTTGGACTCGAAAGAGAGACTCCTTCTGCTGAAACTCTGTGTACTTCAAGCGACGGATTCCATCTCCGTTGGGCTGTCTTCAGTACCATGGCAAACATACTTTGTGCGAACGCGATTTGGTCTCTCCAGTTCGAGCCTGGGTACAATATTCTTCTTTGGCAGCATGCTGTCAGCAGCTGGCACCATGACATCCGTTTCGCTGTCTCGGAGACTTGGCAACATGGTCGTACGTTGCCTGCCCATCGATTTGCGCCCCAGCAGAATTACTGACATGTACATGACATAGACACTAGCAACAACATACGGCCCAGCAGGTCTAGTGATGCTCTTCTTCGGCCTCCCCTCTACTCCCCCTCCCCTTGTCTTCCTCCTCCTCCTTCAGGCATTCCTTGACGATATATACCTCGCGCCCAGGAACACACTCATAGGCCGAATCCTCACGCCAAGTAAACGCGTCGCCTGCCTGGGTATGATCAATCTAATTAAGATGACAGTAAATGGGTTTGGTTCTTTTCTGACGGGTGTGCTGGCTGATCGAGGACTGTTCTGGCTTGTGTTTGTCATTGCAGGCAGTCTGAAGATGGTGTATGTTTGTGCTATGCTCTGGACTTTCTTGGCAGTTGATCGTAGATTGACTGCTGAGATTGATGGAAGGGACGATGACAGGGACTGAGAGCTGCATCTGGGCATTGGCTATTGGGATTGCAGCTGACCAGAAAGGCCCGGTCAGCGACCATTGAGGCCCGTCTGCGAAGGCATAGTCTCCGTCTTGAGCATGGGCGATCGTTATTGCACACTAAAGTCTTCAAACACGACTATCGCGCGTTGTCCAGCACTCCCCGCCAACTCATCCTCTCGATCACCGACCGTGCAGGCGAACAGTCCAACAACAGGTCCTGTGAAATCCAGTCCGGTTAGCTCCAAACTGTCCACTGTTCCGCCCAAGCCCTTCCAGCCTTTACCGATATTGTAATGCAATTCAATGGTCTCCTCAGAGTAAGTGATTCTGAGTTGCACATTCTTTGCGTCCTCGTCTTCTCCGGATGGGACGCTGATCCTCGCGTCCCGAGAGATCGACTTTCCTGCGTTCCGGAGCTCGAAGACGATTTCTGCCGCAGAGGGTGTGGACGTCTGTGAGAGGTATAGCCTAGCAAAGCGGTGTTCATCTTTGTAGAAGGCTATTCCTGCGTTGAATGTCGTGCTTCTGTTGCTTCTGGCAGGAGATGATGAAGGCCGACGTAGTGTGACGCTCGCAACGCCGCGGTCAAGGGTGCGGATGCGTTTGGCGATGAAGGTTGGCTTCGCATCGCGGCGACCGTCTGTGACATCTGCGGAAGTAGGGCGCAGCGTTATAGTATTGGCCTCGATGCGGTGCGCGGAAAGGTCTGCGTCGCGAAGGTAGATGTATTCGACCTCTGGGTTTTGCGCGGTGATAGTGGTTCGCTTAGTAGGCAAGTCCCGCGCCAGCGTCATCTTCGGCTGGGAGACCTGAGGCCAGCTATTCTTCGGCCAGCTCATCGGTGTCAAGAACGTCTCCCTGCCCATCAGATATCGGCTCTTCTTGTCCTTCCTCACGCCTAGGCAGACTGCCCACCAGTTGCCTTCCGGATCAGTGAACATGTCACTGTGCCCGATGTGCTGAATGTACTCATCCGTGTCCTTCGCAGTCACAAGTGGGTTGTTCTCATACGCCTCGTACGGGCCCCAAAGTTCTCGCGAGCGCGCTGCTGTGATCATATGGTCTGGGAAACACCCTCCCTCGGAGATCACCAGATAGTACCACCCATCCTTCAGCCATATGTGCGGGCCCTCAGGATACACGCCTCCTGTCCCTCGCCAGATCAGCTTCTCGTCTGATAGCTTCTTTCCTGTCGCGAGGTCGATCTCAAACAGCTTGATGGTGGTCATCGGTCCAGGCACCGCCGAGCCAACGATGTAGCTCTTCCCTGTGCCTTCATCCGAAAAGGGCTAACATCTATCCCCTCAAATTCGAAGAAGATTGGATCACTCCACTCATCCCCGAACGGATCTCTGCTCGTCACAATGAAGTTTTGCCTCACATCCGAGCCCCAATCTTCGCCAAATCGCTGTATCACGTTCGTACAAACCACGTAGAAGAGACCGTCATGGTGTCTGATCGTCGGCGCATAGAGCCCGCCGCTGGCCAGCATGGACTCGCCCCATTGATCGGGTGGAGCGATGCGTGTGAAGGAATCGGCGAATGATAGCTGGGAGCGACGGTTGATGGCATTGGTGGTGTGCGTCCAGTTGACAAGGTCCGTGGAGGTGTAGATGGGAAGGTTAGGGAAGTACTGGAATGCACTGTTGACGAGGTAGTAGGTGTCGCCGACGCGTATGCAGGAAGGGTCAGGGGCGAAGCCGGGGATGATTGGATTGACTGAAGGGTTGTTGGCTGGCATGGTCATTGGTGTATATGTTCTGTTCTATGGGCAGAGGAGCCTGTCAATGAGGATGTCTCTGGCGCGCACTTACCTCTTCTTCCATTCAAGTGCCCGTCAGCGGACGTCGATGATAGCATTGTGTATACAGAGACATATCAGGCTATTATGGCTAACGCCCAGAAATCCCTACTCCGGTGGCATGTTCCCCAAAGGGTATCACCCCACGCGGGCAATGATGGGGAGACAGACTTACTTGGCACTTGTTTAGTATACTAAGAATCCAGCAGCAACGTTCACTGTCCTTGCTAGTCACTTGGCGTTAAAGTTGAGATCGCATACAGACGTCGACCATGAAAAGGCGCATTAGCCGACTCTGCGAGTGGAAAATGTGTGCGTGGAATTGTGTTCCTCCTCCCGAAGCTGGTGAACATCGATGGTCGCGTACCTCGAGGAGGACACAGGCAGCGCTCAAGGTATCTATGCTTGCCAGACCTGGACTATGACTTGCCAGTCTGTTCAGAACACAGCCTGGAGCTCTGTCCTTGCAAACTAATGCTGGATTTGCGCAGAGCGTGCGTGCTTGCATCGAATACACTTGCCTTTAAACGACATATAGTATCAGGGCGACGGTGTTGCATGCACAGCAAGAGCATCCCAAGCGCGATCCTCGTTCCCAGGAGGTCTATGCGCTCCCTTCGCTCGAGTCGCATCTAGTCTCCGTCGTATGTCGATGACCCGCTCACATGGTGTTGCAAGTTCAGATCCTGCTTGAAGGCCGCTTCAGTGATCGACCGCAACCACGACACGAGTGACGCTGACTGAGACATCCGTATCTAGATACCTGAAACAGCGCAAGGAATCGAAGACTTTGACGTCGCCCTCATCGATTTCCCAGCCACCTCAATTAATATACTCGCGACCATGTGTCGGGTTCCTGCGCGTATGGAGGTAACACATCGAAGCGTTTAGGGCCAACGCCAGGAACAGCTGTCATCATATTACGTCGGCGGCACGAACACCCCTGTGTGTTTCGAAAGATAGCTCCTTACCGCAATACAAGCGAGAACCAACAGCGCGAGCATAAAATACGACCACTGAAAGAATGGAAAGAATGGTAAAATATCCTTGAAGGTGAAAGCCTTGCAAGATTCGAAGGTAGAGAAGGCGTCCGACTAGGAGAGTTCGGTAGTGCCGCCACAATTTCCGTGTTTCAGCTTACCTGAGGCGAGCGGCGGATCGAGGACATGTTTACCGAGATGTCAAGCATCAACAACGACGATAAGGCTGGCTCTGGCGCGTTGGGCCACAAGCTTCGCTCAAACCTGGCGGCTTCGCGATTTTCCGCATGAGTGAATTACATTGTCGAATGTGCGGTTGGCTGCAACGAACACGAAGATAGTGAGTGGCAATCTTGGCTCACTCTCCACCGTGGAGCGACGGGAAATCATTGCTTTGTCGAGATCACGAGCTCCGCGCGTCTCGGTGGTACTGCTGAATCGGCGCGTGTTGTCGATAAGGGAGGCTTTTGAGTACGGCGATGTGTGTCCATACAGAAAAGACGAGGCTCACGCGAAACGCGACTTTCTTCCGCGAAATGATCACCATGGATGTTGAACACGATATTGTTTGCCGTTGTCGGAAGCTTCGATAGTCCTGTCTGGGCGAAAGAGCTTACATTCTCGAGGCCCTCCGCTGCAGCGGAAGCGCCCCTTCCAACTTCCTTGATGCTGGCGGAAGCACTGTCCATCAGATCATCGGCCTTGGCAGAGGAAAACATGAGACAGCCGTTGTGTCAGATATACGACTATTTCACTCGCCTCGATAAGGAAGGGTTCTAGGCGGGCTGTGGGTAAGTCCGTGCCGTGCGCACGCTGTAAGAGGACGGCAAATGTTCCAGAGGAAGCACTGATTGAACCCTCATTGTCAAGCGTTGCTTGATCGAGCTGTCAACAGGTATGGCTGAAACGTCTCACCACTGACGGACAGGACACGCGACTTATTGAAGTCTGGACTCTGAACCCTTACGACTCAAGACATGTCAACATCAGTCTGCAACGGCGATCCTGTATCACCGGCAAAAGACTTCGACTACTGTCCAAAAGGCGATGACGCCACTGTCTGACCTGGCACTGAGCTCTTCCTTGCATCCTCCACCCTGCATAGTGAGTTCTGATGACTCCGACTGGGGTCTCAAATGCTTCTTCGAATGACAGTAGGTTAGACGTCGACACTGGTATCGTCCTTGCATTTCTGACGAAGGTAAGTGACAATACATCAGCATATTCGAGACTGGACAGATCACCTTAAAAACACCATGAGTTATGGAGAGCAGTGAGGAAGGTGTGCCTCTCGAGCAGCCAGGAACTGTACATCGGCAAGGAAAGGGACCGTATGCAAGACAGCTTTGGTCAGATGTCGGCCCAGCGCGGGACGATCCACGTGCTTACAGGAGCTTGCATGGCTGCTTTTGCTATGGTCATCAATGATTCGGGCGCATTCATCTCTTCTAGGCAAATGGTAAACACGGTCAGGTACTACTTGTTCAAAGTCAAATGGTATGGCAGTCGGAGGATGTCCGAGGCCGAAAGACTGCTGGGCAATTGCCTGAAGAAGACGCAGACACCAAAGTCGTTGAGCCCTCCGCAGGAGGTGGGTAATGCACTTCGTGGCTCGCGATGAAGCTGGCAGCGTCGTCGGAATGCTCGAAAGCAACGGTACTTCTGAGTATCCCGCCATGTCGGAAAGGCTGCGTATAAACCTGGAGTATTCTGTGCCAAATACTGCACATTACATACGAGACATTCTTAACAGCACTTATCTATCACCATCTCACAGTATGCAAGTCGTTCGAGACTTCCATCTGCCATCCTGGTGAATGATCCGCCGTGATCCGCGTCCACTCCATGACGGGCAGGCGCGACTGCAATAATGATACGAGCGCTCCGCTCAAACGAAGAAGTTCACATCGTCGATGGTGTCCCGCTTCGTCGATTTGATCACCAATAAGGAGATGGGCCTCAACATGCATGCAGTCGGGTATGCTCGCTTACTTCATCAGCCCACTTGCCGAAAGGCACCATACCATGGAGAAGCAGAGGTGTGGGACGGAGAAGGCGGAAACAGAGTACATACCTATGACAGTACGTAATGATGCAATGCGGCATGGACCGGGCATGCAAGTGCAAGGGAAGACCATCACTAATAAGACATCCATCATTGGGTTCGTGGATTCGTGGATGCATTACGACAGCACACACACAGTAACGTTGTCGCATGTGCTCCGTGGCCAATAGGCAGCTAGATTCACTGCTGCTACATTCGGCCCGGCTCTGTCACTGTGTACGGAAGGACGTGCAAGGTCAAGCAGTTGAGCCACACTGTATGACTGGAGAGAATATTCGGGGAACGGAGTCGCGGAGGGGCGACTTCGTCGAACTGAGGGGTAGAGCCTGCATTGGCCGTGGAAGGTATCAAACGCCCAGCGAGGGGTTCCAGGAGATGTATCGCAACGACCAAGCTCCCAAACATTTTGGCACGGTCAACGAGTGGTGACAACGATGCAAGATAAGGTACGCGTTGGACGCCGTCGGGTCATTGATAAGGTGGTAGAGAGGGGGACAGCGGCAGTAGTTCAAACCCAGCGCAAACAGAGCAGGTCAAGGCGAAGCGATAGAGTTGCGGAGGTGTGCATGATAGCGCACATCGATCTCAAGTCTTGTTTCTGTACAGTATCAGTCTTCGAAGGAGTAGACCGTAACGCGTCGTACAGGCAGGAAGTACATGCGCAGGTGCGCAGTTCGCAGCCTGCGGACGAAATCACCAGGTCTGAAGATACTATGCCATCACGTACAACTGGGACTAGGAATAACACGAAATAACTGTCTGTGGTTATTTGATGGCTGGCTCTATGATATGTTACCGAAGCCATTTGTTGGCAACCACGAGGGTGGGAAAGCTCCCGTGCCTCAAACACCCGTAGACAGCCTCAGAATATTGCGTCTGTACACCTTTGCCGCACCCAACATATGTTCAGATCATTAAATGAATTACTCATCATCTTCCTGAGCGGTTGCCTTCGCACCCAACACCCATTTCGATTTGCCGTGCACATCTTGCTCGTGCTCAATGGCAACACGGCTGAGGTGGGAGATGATGTTCTCCATCTGGGTATCGGCATGGCTGCGGGTGGCACGTCCAAGGTTATCAATCCATTTCATGCTGACGAGCAGGAAGTAAACCATGGCAATGACAACCGTGACACCGATAGAGTAGCCCCAGATGACAACAACAGTGACAATCGAGGTCTCGGTGCTGTAGTGGTCGCGAGTGAGGGAATCGACGGGATCGACGAAATCGACTTGCTCAGCTCTGGAGCCAGAGAGCCATCCTGTGATACGTTAGTTATATTATAGACGCATGACCATGAAGACTTACCGAAGACACAGAAGAGCGTAGACAAAGCGTCGACAATCAAGATAGCACCGACCAACTTCCATGATGGCCAAGTCTCGCCTCCACGGGTAACGAAGATGAGCCAATTCTCCACCAGGGAGATTTGCAAGAAAAGCATGAGTTGGACGTTGCCGAAGTTCTGGACCAAGCCACCATCTGGCATGTAGAAGGTGCCGCGCATGACCCAGGTGGAGAGAGCCAGGAGAATACCAAGAATGACTGAAATGAACCAGATCTTTGGCAATTGCCATTCGACTGGGCGTTGCTCGTAGTGGGCGTTGTCGTATGCAACAGCAATGGTAGCAAGATCGGCAAACAAGGCCAAGAAGACGACCAGGTCAGTTCGGAGGGTCTCGTTGATGATACACATCGAGGTAACCAAATACAGCTCCAAGTGCAAGCAAAGTGCGATACGGTATTGGACGTAAGCCTTCATGCGCTGGAAAATCTGGCGGGCGACCTTGATGGCGTCGACAATGGTGGACAGACCAGGAGCGAGGAACACAATATCAGCTGCAGCTTGAGCGGCCTCGGTGGCACCCTCGACAGCGATACCGCAATCGGACTTCTTCAGCGATGGAGCATCGTTGACACCATCACCAGTCATGGCAGTCAAATGGCCACGCTGTTGCAGCATTTCGACGACCTGGTACTTGTGCTCGGGGAAGACTTCAGCGAAACCGTCGGCCTTCTCAACCAGGTCGTATTGAGTTGTGCCAGAGACACCACCAGCGATAAGGCGGTGAGAGTTGTAGACTTTTGTGCCGAGAGCGAGAAGCTTGCAGGTTTCCTTTGCAATGGCGATGGCGTCACCAGTCAACATCTTGACACTGAGACCGAGGTTCTGAGCTTCGAGGATAGTGTGCGCGGTATCCTCACGCGGAGGGTCGAACATGGGAAGCATACCGATGACCTTCCATGGTTCATCGCCACGCTTGGAAGCGACACCGAGGGAACGGAAACCACGACGAGCAAAGTCGGCAGCAGTATCTCTGTAGTGCTTGGCGGTGGCCTCGTCGCATTCGGCAATGGACAAAACGGCCTTGGGTGCACCCTTACAGAAAGCCCATGTCTCGCCCTTAAGGGTGCAAATGGTTGTGATACGCTTCGAGACGGGGTCGAATGGGGTGTATTTGACAGTCTTCCATCCCTGTTGTAGGATCTCGCGAGCCTTGGGATATCTCTTGAGTGTGAGGATGGTAATCTTGTCGATCGGGTCGAGGGCCTTAAGGTTGTGAGAAGAGGCGAGCGCAGCCGAGGCCATCATCCAGTTGACATCCTCACCCTCCGCAACGTATGGCTCACGGATAGTAAGCTGGTTGGCAGTCAAGGTACCGGTCTTGTCGGAGCAGAGAACATCGACACCAGCCAGGGACTCGATAGCCGTGAGCTTCTGCACAATAGCCTTCTGTTGAGCCAGATACGCAGCGCCGACAGCCAAAGTTGTCGTGGTGACGACGGGCAGACCGACAGGGACGCCCACAATAAGCAGAATAAGCGCGTAGTGGAGCAAGTTGTTGGAGCTGTCCTCAGGCGTAGCGATGCCAAGGCCGTGGAAGAAGCCACCAATCCAGGAGATCAAGATGAAGAACATGACCAAAATCAGGAGCGATGTTCCGATAGAGTCCATGATAGCCTTGAAGTGACCAGAGTCAGTCGCACCTTGGACCAGAGAAGCAGTTTTGCCGACAAATGAGCCGCGAGCAGACTCGGTAACAACGGAGTAGGCCTTGCCTCGCTTGCAGCCAGTGGTGTAGTAGCAAATATCACCCATGTACTTGTCGACGGCAAGCGATTCACCTGTGATGGCAGACTGATCGGTGGCAACGATTGAGACACCTGTGTGGTGCTCCTCGTCGTCGTCCGAGTCGGTGTGGTTCTTAGAGTGATACGCTTCGGGGTCGCTGATCATCTCCTTATATTCGGCAAGACCAGCAGTGTTATCGAAGTCGCAGATGAGTCGGGCTTCTGCAGCAACGACCATACCTTCCTCGAGGATGAGCTGTTTCAGATATTAGTCGCGATCCATAGTCACGGAACAGCGGAAACTCACAATATCGCCAGGAACAAGTTCGCGAGCCTTGATTTCTTGCTCTGTGCCGTCACGAATGACAATCGCCTTCATGGCGATGTCACCCTTCAAGCTGGCTACGACATCGGCAGCCTGCTTTTCTTGGTACCAACCGACGACGGCATTGAGCATTAGAATACCGATGATGACGCCAAAATCGATCCAATCCCGGAGACCAGCGGCAAGAAGGACGGCCAGTTCCATGACTGCAACACATCAGTACGGTCGCTTCGGCATGGAAGAAAGTCTTCATGTACTCACCATATAGAATAGGTCCTCGGAAGTAACCGATGAACTTGACGAACATGTTCTCTTTTTCCGTGGTCAACTCGTTGAAGCCGGTCTTCTTCCGACGTTCTTCGACTGTGTGAGAAGATAGACCTTGCTTGATGTCGGTGTCGAGCCATTCCTCAGGAACCTCATAGAGGTCGCCAGGACCGCTACCCTTGCCTAGCAATCGGGAGAAGAAGCCCGGCTTCTTCTTTCCACTGGCGTCGGCAGCGTCTTGCTCCGAGGCCTGGGATGGGGCTTTGGAAAAGCGGCGATCACGATACGTAGAGATGTACCGGATGAGGTTGGCATATTCGCCCTCATCTTTCTGTCAAATGCATTAGCTTTGTCCGCGGTTTCGAGATGTTTACGGTGGCACTCACATCTGGGTCCCATCCATCGGCAAAGCTGATGCGCTCGCGCTTCGCGTCACCGTTCTCCAAGTCTTTTTCGTTGGACATGTTTGCTACTGGAGGGGAGAGTTAGTGCAAAAGGAAAAGAAAAAGAAGAGAACGCAGTGGTCCTTGAGGAGACTTGGACTTGTCGACAAAGGACCAAGCTGGAGAAGGAAAGAAGAGCTGTCGAGATCGACCCCTCTCTTAAAGCAAAGTCAGAGCAAGAGACGCGAGCGAGGGAAGCTCACCTCGAGCAACGGGCAACAAAAGAGACTGAGAGTGGAACCAGCGATCCGACAAGCCGTGGAGCTGTTGTGGGCGCCGATAGCTTTGAGAGCGTCCGACAGGGACACCTCTGGTTGGCTGCTTAAGCTTTCCTGAGCTTGAGGGTCAGCAAGCATGCCGCTGAGCCATTATTATTGAGATAGGAACTGACCTTTGACGGAGTCTGTGAATTGTTTTGTGACGGTGAAATACGAGTTTCAACCAGAAACAGCTTTAACCCTAGGAGGAAAGATGGCCAGGCGTCCGATGGGTCCGGCGCCAGACAAGCGCAGAATTCTTTGGGAGGTGTCGACGATGTTCGACAAGGATTGGGGGTGGACGAGAGATGGGAGGTTTGTTGTTCGGTTGGTAATTTTCGAAGGAGAAAAGCGCAGGTGCAGCTCGAAGATCGTGGGCTAGTACCACACAAGAAAGTCTACCAGTGCCGCTAGCCCTGCTTTCGGTTAAGCGTAGAAGGTGGACCTCAGCTGCAGTGAAGTAATGAAGCTAGGAACGCACGGGTGGTGAGTGAGATAGGCCGATATGTTGCGAATCTGGCAGTTGATAAGTTGTTGATGAGATGATGTCGATGGTGTGACTGAGAAGGAAGAAGTTGCCGATGTGTGGTAGCTCATGAAGGCAGGAGGGATGTAGGATAGCTGCAGAGGAGGCAGTCACTATATAGCACCCGGGCAGAGCACCTTGAGTACCTTCAGTACCTTGAGCAAGTTCACTGCAGAACATGTGTGCTTCAGCACAACCAGACCTAAACAGAACGCACGTTATTCAGGTTAATCAAGCTCTACTCACATCTTTTCACGCATCATGCTTCGCAACCTGAATTTGTGAGTGGTTGAGAAGTGCTTGAACACCTCGAATATTCCGGCGCAGCCACGTGTGCGCGAATGCCGACACACTATGCCCCGTCAATTCCTCCGCCCTGATCCTATTCCCCTGAAGTACGCACAGGACGACCCGACGTATCGTTTCAGCAGCATGAATTGCAGGACGGTGAGCGGCAATGTCTACTTACTGTCGACAATGCGACAACAGCGGTGACAGAACAAAACGATTATTGAAAGAGACTGCACAACGAGCACCGAGTCCTCCCACGCACAACGACATCATCACACACTTCTGTCATATCTAGCGAATGTCACTGGTCGGAAACGCCAACTTGAACCTGGCTAGTTCTTTCAGATCCCATGGATGAGAATGCGTGTAATGACCATACATACATGACTCAGCTTTACATGCATGGACATGACGAATGCCGCCCGAACTGCAAGGAGCCCGCGACGAAGGTCAGGCCAGTTCGGTGTTGCTCTTTTTATTTCGAGTCGCATTCCTCACGTTGACCGGGCGCCGAGCATGACAGCAATTCTATTGTCGTAGGACTCGATCGCTTCTGTGTTGTTCGCTACATCCAGATTGCGACGAGAACCATCGAGTTGTCGCAAAGTTTGGAAAATTATCTGCGGAAAATTGCATCAAAACAAACCAAGTCTCCACAGCGATTCGCTACGCCAAATTGCCTGTCGCCATGAGGCTGCGTATGCCGACGCCATCGGACGCCTCGGGTTCTACGGCGAAAGCAGGTAGAGAGCAGTCCGTGAGTCTATGCCGTTGACATATTTGAGAGAATTTCTCTCAGTCTGCAACAGTGATGGTTTGGTGGTACAGATCCCACCTCACTGACAAAAATTCGGCTGCATCCACCCTGGCTAACGCAACGCACAGACCGCTCTACCAGCAACAGACAAGGCTTGTTGCTCCGAGGCCCCATGAGCCATTTTCTAGAAGGACAGCCGTGCCTAAAGGTACAGATGCGACGCTGGCTACGAGAACTTCTCGTGTGATGAATGTCTGATGTCGCTGCACTGTGACACCGCCCATCCTTGACACCGCTTTTCGCTCGACTGCGCGATTTTGCAGAAACCCCAAGAAAATTCCGAACATGTACTTACCAGTCTACCTGGCATCTTTCGGCCTTCTTCCGCACATGAAGACAGGTTTCATGTCGTCCGCTGCCATCCAGACTTCGTAGTCTTGCCTTGTGGAGATGGGAGAAGTGTTCGAGTGCAAACAGCAGTACATTCAACACCGGCGATGCGAGGAGGTCTTCGCGACAGCTGTCGCGATGCTGATGATCATCCACTTCTTTCTTTATTCACTTCACATAGGTGTACTTCGGCTGCTATGGTGGCAATGCTCGCCTCTGGAGGTGAGTCGACTCATCAATGCTTCATTCGGTGACCGAGTGTCAAACCCGACCTCTGCTGTGAACGAAGATGTCAACAACCTAACACACAGCTGTGGCTAGTCAGTGTTCCGACCATATGATCTGAAGTGTCAGAATGTTAGTGCAAAGGGCTGCGGGTTGAAGCAGGGTAGGGAGACTTGTTACCTCTATCGCAAACAACGCGAATGAAGAGCGGATGACGGTTTTCAAGACTTATGCCTCGACCGTAAAGAGAGCATAGGAAATGTAGGTAGGTAGGCGCGTTGCTGGGCATCATCCATTCAACTTCGACAGTTCCATTTATCGCAGCTACCTTGTCATGGCATGCTGTGCGTACTTTCCCTCAACAATTTTCCAATCATCTCGAAAGACTGCCTGTATTCCAACTTATCGATCACCCACGTCAACCGACCCATACCCTTCTGTCCTCAATCCCTTTCGTTTCTTACAGCTGCGTTCGATTGCAACAGACAGCATCAACAGACAGCATCGACGGCACTCTCGCCCCAGCCGTCGGGATGGCGCTGCATTCAGTTTTGCTGCTTCTCATCGTCACTTTCTCTTTCATCGATCATGCTCTGGCTGGCGTTTCCTGTGCATCGTCTCCTCCTCAGCGGGCTTGCACTGTCACGTATGATCCATCGAGGGTTGCACAGACCGGGCCTACAAGCACGGTGTATGGAGCGATCGTAACAACTCGGCTCAATGTAAATAACATACCTATCCCATCGATCAAGAGATGTGCTGACCGGGTCTAGGTCGTTGATTGTCGTTACTGTACTGTCACCAATCTGGAGAACAATCCTGCACCTGTCGTAAGCAGAATCCCATCCTCGAGCAGCATACAAGCTCACATCTGAACAGGGACCATTCTCTGAGAGATGCACAGAATCTGTTCTCACCATAACCGAGTTGGGATGCATGACTGAGGCTGTCGTGTCCACACGCGGCGGTATCGGCTCTCCTATCAGCACCTCTCTGGACGAAATACCGCTGCAGACGTCACCTCCCATGCTCGACAAGCGTGCTGTTTTAGCTGAGCAAGAACTTGCAATGGAGGTTGCAGAAATTGTCGACCCTGGCAACTGGACACTGATAGAATCAATCCAAACCTACCGCAAGCAATGTTACAGTGCTTTCGTCGCTGTCAGCCTCATCATTTCGGGAGCAGAGCCACATCTGTTGTGCAACATCACCAACAACACTGATACCAAACTATCGATGTCCAACAAAGGGCTGGACGGCGAGCAGATTTCCAATCTTATATGCTTCTGGGCTGTCTTCGGGTACCACTTCAGCACCAGTACATTCCAGGTCCTAGACACTTTGGCCACGGCTGCAACATCGTTCACATATGCCATGCAATATGGCCTGAACTCCACTCAAGACGTTGCTCGCCTCTGTGGTGGGCTCAATCTCGATGACCCTATGTATGAGCAGCTGCACATCGACTCTCAGGGCATCAACACAGTCCTCTGCAGTGGTGTGAGCTCATCCTCATCCACTTCCACCAGCATTTCTGATACCACGATCACTTCCTTTTCTCAGACCGTGTCAGCAGGTGGAGGTCAGGTGGTCTGGACCAGCTACGGCAGCAACGGTAGCGTGCTGGTCACTGGAACGGCTGGCAGCTTCTCCTGGGCAAATTCGTTTGGCACAGGTGCAGCAACAGCTACATGGGGTGCATCCGGTGCAGTTGCTGGGACTGGCTCTGCAGCAGCTACTGGCACTGCTGTCTCTGGCTCATGGTCTGGTGGCAACGAATCGGCAGCAGCCACTGCCTCAGCTGTGTCTGGCTCGTGGTCAGGCAGTATTGGATCAGCATGGTCCAGCGGTACGACCATATCTGGATCGTGGCCTGGTGGTAACGGCTCCGTGTCTGCTGGCGAAACGGTCGTTTCTGGCTCATGGTCAGTCGGAACCGCTGTTTCCGATTCTGCATCTGCTGGTTCGGGCGTCAACGCTACTACAGGCGGCAATGGGGGTGCTCAATCTACTGGCCAGTGGTCTATCACTGCTGGAACAGCAGCTTCTGGCGCTGGATCTGCTAGCTGGGGCTGGAACGCCACCGGCTTTGAGCCTGGCAACGGACCCACTGCTGAGCCTGTGACTACTGTGTCTCGCAATGGCACTGTCGTGGTCGTTGGCACAGCTACCGCGGATGAAGGCCCACTGTCCTTGACCACTTTCACAGATGCCAACGGCTCAGTCATTGTCTCTGGCACTGCTGCCATCTCCGTCTCTGCAACCTCAGGATCTGGCATCGACACCCTGAGCATTACCGGTACTGATCAGACGACTCAGTCTGCCGCCGCCAGCTTCAACATTACTGCTTCCATGCCCGGGCCAGTCGTTCCGACCGGATCTGCTATCAATGTCAGTGCCGTTCCTTCATTGTCATGGACCACATCCACCAACTCAAACGGCTCGATCATCGTGATTGGAACAGGTGCCGTGAGTTCGGCGCCCTCATTTTCATGGAACGTGGGCAACGCAACTGCCGGCGGAGGTGCATCAGGAGGTGTTTGGTCCTCGGGTGTCGGCAGCGGAGGTGCATCAGGGAGCATGTGGTCTTCGGGTGCTGTCAGTGTTGGAGGAGGTCAGCTCATTAGCTACTCTGGCATGGCATGGTCAAGCTGGATCGTATCCGGCACACCGACTGTCGCGATCATTACCGGCACCGAGAGCTCGATCTCTTGGGGAACGGAAAAGGAAACCGCCACAATCACCGGCTCTGGTCAGGATGCAACGTTCACCATCTACCAGATCACAATGACCATCACAAAGACCATCATCGTGTATGCCACAGCAATCGAACAGACTTGGTCTGTTTGGGGCGCTGGCGGTGGTGGAATCATCTCCGGAGTTGGCACAGCAGGAACGTGGACCCTCGAAGGCAGCAGCTTCGCCAACAGCAGCTCTCCGTCTGCTACAGGCTCAATCATCACGGACATCTGGCCCAATGCAACACAGGGTACAGGTCAGGCCCCTGACACAGGTTCTCCTGCAAGCATCACTGGCAGTCCTGCAACTCCTGGCGATGTTCCTGGCGGATTCAACGTCACAGCCACCGGTAGGCTCAACTTTACTTCTACAGTGGTGACCTCCGGTTCTACACACATCGCCACCGGCGAGACTAATACAACGACTACCATCGTCGGCGTCGGCATTGCTCCCTTTGGCATTGCTCCATTCGGCACTGGCGCGATCACGACCAATTCGGAGAACGTCACTTTCACTCCAGTCTGGTCTGGCCCTGTTAGTGCTGGCACAGGCTCGGCCGGTACAGTCCACGAGAACGGCACGCTCAGCAACTCGTCCTGGACTTCGTCGAAGTTCTCGTATCCGGACTGGTCGACCAGCACAAGCACAGCCTCTTGAGCCCCAACGACGGCACGAGACGCACCCGTGCTTATGGCCTAATTTGCACCAGGCACAGTAAGGAAAGTCATGTCTGGCATCGTCAAGGACTTTGAAGCATCAGGTATGATAGAGATGGCATGATATGATAGAGCTTGCAAAAGCAGGATGAGACATGTATGATAGACACTGACTGTACGATGTTTACAATGATCATAAATATCACTGACATCTTCAACTTGGATGTCGAGCTAAGACGCTGCCACCACTTCTGTGACAAGACACCTTCCTCTTACTTCATTCTCGTCACCTACGACAGCGCTAAAATCGTCACAACCGTGACCCGTATTCCTTCGCGCCTATCCAAACGCAGGCACCACACTCCTCCTCGGCGCGCGATCCACCAGACTCTCCTGTATGCTACTCGCGCTACTGTGCAGCCCGCCGTACTCATTGCTGAAAACCTGCGCCAGACCCTTCGCCGCCTTCTCGTACAACGCATCAATCGCCGCCTGATCTCGGAATGGGTTCGGAGACTTGTCAAACCCGTGCGGTACCCGTGGGACTAATTTGCTGTCGACGTTCTTACCCAATGACTTGAGCCGTTGCGAGAAAGTCTGGCCTTCTTTGAGCAGCATGTCCCATTCGCACAGCCAGAGCTGGATGTCCGGCGGGAGAGCTTCGGTGAGCATGTGGTCTGGGGCGAGGCCTGGGCTGGCGTAGGGAGAGGCATGGGCGCCAGCGGGGTCGGGAGGGGGCAGGTAGGCGTGGTCGAAGAGGTCGGTGAAGGTTTTGGGGAGGCATTTGGGCGGGTTGAGGGAGTTGCGCTTTTTGCTGGCGCGTGAGACGGTCCAGTCGAGGAGAGGGTACCAGGCGATGATGGAGGTGATGCGTAGGGGGTGGCCGGTGTTGGTGCGCATGAGCATGAGGGAGGTGGTGGAGCGGCCGGGGTGGTGTGGGCGCTTCAGGCTTGGTGTTTCGGCGAAGTCATAGCTTATGGTGGGCGGTGGGTGGAGAGGTGTGTCTGGTGGGACATGCTCGTCGTCCTCGGAGTGGCTCTGGTGGGTGTGGTGGCGGTTGTGCTCGTCGGGGGGATTGTGATCGTCGTATTGGTAGTCGTCGTGGTCGGTGGGTGAGGAGTCTCCGTCGTCGTGCCGTGTGGTAACGCGGGAGACGGAAGGCGAAGGCGTGTCAAATGGAGAGTGGAATGGCGGGTGCTGGTCATGCGAGTCGAACGCTGAGAGGTGGTTATTGCTGTCGTTGTTGAAGTGGTTCACGGATAGATTTCGATTGCTGGTGCCGCTGTCGATCTGCTGTACGCCAAGTTGCTCGAGATTGTAGTTGGGTGCAAAGCTTGGTATGAACGGTACTTGTGATACTGTGGCTTTTATTCTGCGATGGTACGCCAGGCGTAGAGGGACGGAGAAGACGAGATTCGCGCCAGCGCTGAAGCCTGTCAATGCTAACTTGGTGGGATCAATGTGTAGATCTTCGGCATGGTCGGAGAGGTATAGCAGTGCGTCTGCTGAGTCGTCGACTGCTGTCGGAAACGGATGTTCTGGTGCTCGGCGGTAGCCAACGCTCACAAAGACTGCATCCGTCTGCTCAAGTACCACTCTGGCCCAGTATCGGTCATCTCTTGGATCGCCCAGCGAGAAACCTCCGCCATGGAAGTTGACCACGCATGGGAAGCGGTGATGCGGATCGGACCGGAGAGTGTAGTAGTATTTGGGAGGCAGGTAGAAGTACAGATCGACTGGTACGGTGTCTGTGACCATGCTGCGTTTGTATGCTGGCTTCGGAGGCCTCGGACGGGCCATCTTGTGGAAATTCATCGAGAAAGTCATAAGACTGCGCCAGAAGCGAGCCTGTATCCGAAGCCATCTCCTCGAGGGAATCTTTTCGTCTGAAAGATGGTGCGAGAGACTCCGAGGTCTCATAACATATTGCTCCATGAAGTTCTGCAGGAAGCATAGCAAGTCAGTCACGGGCGCGATTCTCGCGAAATAGTATTCAGGCACGGTGATTGCTTCAGATTCAATGCTGACTGACCTCGGGTGGGTCTATCGTGGATTCGTCCTCAAACTCCTTGACGTTTGTGAAGGTGACCTTGGGCCGCTTCTCTCTGCCTTCTGAGGAAGAGCCAGATCGCGCCTGCAATCCGGAGCGTCCATCAGAGCCCGAGTCGGAGCATTCGTTTTTACCTGACGGCTAGTGGTAAGGGATTGACCATGGCCATGGCTCATGGCTTTAAGACTGCAGTCGCGGTACGCGGCGGGAAGTCAGGTTGTGCGGTGTTACGTCGCGGGCCTGGCGCAGCGCTGTACGGCGACCCGCTCGCTCAGGCTAATTGGCGGCCGGACGACTTCTGTAAGCTGATGGGTTTGATGATGAGTGGTGCCCTGAGCGCCCGTAGTGGCCTGATTTTCGTTTAACTACTGAAGTCGGTCTTGGGGAGCAGAATGTGTATATATGCAGATGTTGACAAAGAGCCCAGACGGAGAGGCGATAGAGCACGAGCGAACACGATGTCTACAGCTTCTAGAATGTAGTCTACTGAGCAGTAGCAGGAATCGCCCACGGGGGGAATCGCCACTCGTCTACTGTGACCACAACCGTGTCGCTGCAACCAAGCAAAATGCAAGAAACAGGGCCGGGGTCGCTGAGCAGGAGCCCGATCTCTGGAGAACGGCGAGTCTGATGTCGTATGTATCTAGTGCGGATCAATGTTGCGGAAGGATCTCATGCCCGACTAAATATCTCGTCGTGCCACTGCGTTGTCCCTCTTCCATTGACCTGTTCGGGTATTCGAGATGCTAGATATGGCAGACCAGCGCAGACAAGACCACGGGCAGCGCCACACAACAAACTGCGGGATTCTTTCGGCTTGGCGTACGTGGAAGCAGTGACGTACACTTATCCTACGCATGCTTCACTGTACTTCAAGTTGTGCTGTGTGAGCAGGACTCGGGCTGAGCAATCGCTGCCATCGCTGCCAGGAGAGACACAGCCAGGCAGGTATTTTGCATGCAGTTGAAACGCGCATCGATCCGAGCAGGGAAGGTACCCTACCTCAACAAAGCAAAGATGAAATAGCAAGTGATTCGTCGGATGTGAATGCCTCTGGAGGATCCACCACTGACGCAGAGCGTGCACTTTGGCTCTGGAGCTTGAAAACAGTGTAGGAAAGTGTTACGGGCGTGAATCTGTGCTCCAATGCTGTCGATATCGCCTACGGACTCTCGATTTACGAGGAAGTGAACGCGCCATCGCAATCAATATGCACGTTGTGTAGCAAGGGCTACCGATTCAGAAAAGACCCTCGTTCTCCGGCCATTGTAATAGAACAGTCGAAGCTTATTCAGCGAACTGACTACTGCATGGCAGACCCGAGTGCCCCTCCGTGACTTCTCGGTTGGGTCATTGGGCACGGCCCTCTTTTGCTTGATCGGTGACATGGAGCCCAAGGTTGCTCTGAACATCATCCCAGGCCGGAAGCAGCTTCCACCAGTTCTCGCCGCTGTCTGTGAATGATTCAATCTCGGATCTACGTGTCTCAGCAGGCCTTCAGCCAACTCTGGCGGGTCGAACGGATGCAAAACTTGAAAGAAGGCGACGCGAAGCTGGAAGGCGTGGCCCATTCTCCGTGACTTGGGGGTATTAAGTAGATGGTCACACGTCCCGCTCCTCCCCCTCGATGTGTGTAGGAGAAACTTATTCATTCGCTCTTTGCTGCAGAAGTGGAAAGCTACTAGCCGCTGCTTGCTGACACATAAACCCTGGCTCGTACTCTCTCTGACTGTGACAAAGCTGGCGCCGTCTCTTGATAAGTCGACGCTCGCATACGCTGAACGAGTTCCACGTTTGTCGGCACTTGATCCAATCCCTCGGTGGTGGTTATATCGCCCGCTCTGCCCTCGAGGACAGGCGAACAAGTTCCTGACCTTCTGCTCACCGACTGAGGCCCGCTTGAACTCACCACACGAAGTGTAATCCGGTACTTCGGCAACCCCTAGCTCTTCGGAGCCCAGCGGCTGAGGCCCGACATCAGACTCGAGAGACTGATATTTTACCCCGCTATCCGCCGCTACGAATCTCGTTGCTCTCTCTTTAGCACGCGTTTTTGGTCAATCTCACGCGTGCCAGCATGGCGAACCCTCTCAAAGCTCTCAAGCAGAAGCTGCACTCGCCCGATAGCACGGGTCCACACCACCGCCACGGCAGCGGCGATCTAGGGCAGCCACACAATGCTCACTCACCGCATCGGCGAAGCCTGGCTCAGATTCTCCGTCTGGACAACAGCTACACCTCGAGCGATGACGAGCCTGACACGGATGACTTCGATAGCGACGGAGTGTCGAAGAACCAGCAGAAACGGCTGGCCACAAAGGCGAAGAAGAAGGAGGCTCGCTCACGGCTGTCACTCGAGCACCGCGATGATTCCGAGGAACGCAGCAGGAAGAGGCTTGAGGAGGCCGCGCAGGCCGAGACTGAAGGAATGAGAGCCAGATATGGCGATCTGCCGGTCATGCAGTCTACGACCAGAGGCACCCAGAACAGGATCGATATCAGCACCATCACCGACGAGATGGTCGGAACCGAGGTCATGTTCCGGTGCAGACTGTACCACGTTCGCAACATGGGCGTCAAGCTGGTCTTTCTGATCTTCCGACAGAAGTTGTCTACGATTCAAGGCGTCATGGTTGAGACGCCAGGCACCATCGGGCCTCTGATGATGCATTGGGCAGAGCACTTGAGGACTGGCAGCATTGTGCTGGTCACTGGTACTCTGAAGAAGCCGGAGATTCCGGTCAAGTCGGCGTCTATTCACAATATGGAGGTTCATGTCTCCCAACTCAAGGTCATTGTCAAGCGACAGGAACCTGTGCCTTTCTCCGTGCAGGAAGCTGAGATGGTTGCTTTGGACTCCCACCAGGAAGAAGGCAGACAGAGTCAAATCCCCAATCGCACTCGCCTGTCCAACCGTATCATTGATCTACGCACGACTACCTCGCAATCAATCTTCCGCATCCAGTCTGTCATCGGCAACCTCTTCAGGTCGACCCTCGACGCTCAAGGCTTCGTTGAAATCCACAGTCCTAAGCTCCAAGGAGCTGCCACTGAATCTGGCGCCTCCGTGTTCAAAGTCGACTACTTCGGTCGCAAAGCTTTCCTTGCCCAATCTCCTCAGCTAGCCAAGCAAATGGCCATTGCCTCAGACTTCGAACGAGTCTATGAGATTGGTGCTGTGTTCCGAGCCGAGAATTCCAACACTCATCGTCATTTGACGGAGTTCACTGGTCTGGATCTGGAGATGGCTATCGAGGAGCATTACCACGAGATGCTGGACGTGATTGACAACACGCTGAAAGCTATCTTCCAGGGTATCTACAAGACGTGCCGAAGAGAAGTCGATGTTATCAAGGAGCAGTTTCCATCTGACGACCTTGTGTGGCTTGAGAAGACACCCGTCATCCCTTTCAAGGATGCAGTTCAGATGCTCACAGACTCTGGCTGGCTGAACGAAGAAGGCGAGCCAGTCTCACCACTCGAGGACTTGGGAACTCGAGACGAAATTCGTGTTGGTGAGCTCGTTAAAGAGAAGTACGGTACCGACTACTACGTCTTGGACAAATTCCCTCGTTCAGCTCGTCCGTTCTACACTATGCCTGACATCGATGACCCAAGATACACCAACTCGTTCGACATTTTCGTTCGCGGCCAGGAGATCATCTCTGGCTCGCAGCGTATACACGATGCTCCCATGCTCGAGGACAACATGCGCTTGGTGGGTATTGACCCTGAGGACATGGCCGAGTACATGGAGGGCTTCCGATGGGGCACCCCTCCTCACGGTGGTTGCGGCGTTGGCTTAGAGCGCATCCTCTTCTTGCTGCTCAAGCTTGGCAACATTCGCCTGGCCTCCATGTTCCACAGAGATCCTAAATCGTTCCCACCAAAAGCAGTCATTGAACGCCTGCCATACCCAGACGCCGACACACTCAATCCTGTCTGGAAACGTGAGCGCGGGCGGGAGGTCGCTGTTGAGGACCGCCAGATGCCTTCTGTTGAAGATCTCATCGCCAATTACGGTGATTCCACACACACCTCCTGGGGTGATGAGCGCTTCAAGGTTTGGCGCCATGCCGATACAGGTGCTGCAATTTCGTACGTGGTTGAGGCCATCATGCCATCTTACCTGGCGATCCTCTCTGCGCAGAGTCGCAATACTACCGTGTCATTGTATCTTTCCTGCAGTGGCTCAAGAAAGAAACTCATCTCAAGCCGATTTGGATCCTCATTAACACTGCCACCGAGGAAGTACTCGGCGAGCGCCTTGGCTGGAAGTCCATCTCCTGCGTTGCTGAAGAGCGTGTTGATCCGACAAAGCACTCCGCAGAATCCGATCCGGAGGTTGCGAAGAAGATCCGACAAGCATCGAACAACGGCATCAAGATCACTGACATTGACTCCAAGGAGCCAGTACCTGAGGCCACCAAGGAGAAGTGCAATGCTCGTGTCAAGGACTGGTTGGCGAACCGAAAGGGAACCCAGATTCACTTGTCCAACATTGATCTGTTCCGTGACGAGACGCACAGACGCTACTTCATCGCTGAGGACAAGGAAGGCACAGTTTGTGGTATTGCTGTACTGGCACAGATAGCGCCTCAGCGAGGGTAAGACCACTCCTTCCCATCTTCCTCCGGGTCCCGAACTAACGAAACTCCCAGCTGGCAAGCCAAATACTGTCTAGATTTCCCTGGCGCCCCGTCAGGCACCATCGAGCTCGTTACCACCCATGCCCTGCGTGCGGCAGAAACTCTAGGCGCTCATTCGGTCACATTCGGCGGTGGTGCGGCTCCCCATGTCACACCCGGTCACCATATGTCCGGCACAAAGATGAAGTTGCTAGGCTCAACCTACGATGCGATTGTGAAGCAATTCAATTTGGGAAGGAAGAGCGAGTTCAGAGAGAAGATGGGTAAGTCTTATCTCAGCACTGTGTACCAAGCATGCTCACTAACGACTCCTCCAGGCGCGACGCCAGATCCGCAGTTCATTGCATGGCCACCTCATGGTTTAGGTCGTAAGGGGATCTCAGCCGTAAGTTCTATATGCACCCAATGCGCAACATTGATGAATCTAATCCTTTAACTGCAGATCATGCATTTCTTCCAAGACGAATAGAACTCGACGACGGAGAAGCTGCTGCGCGCCAATTACCGAAGAACGTCTAAACTGTCCTTGACTTTCTCACGGCTGTCCTGGCCACCGATCAAGGAGGAATCAGAGACACTGGAGGAGGAGCCTGAAACGAAGCAGAGGAACAATGATAGCGGCAAAATCTCGTGCACTACCACGACCGCCACGACGACTACTACGGCTACTGAAACGACCGTGCCTTCGCGAGCTTCGACGGTTGCTATTGGAAACCCAAGCGGCAGCAAGCAGGATAGAATGCCAAATTTCAGAGCTGACGAAGCCCGCCCTGGCAAACGTTGCCCCGACTCGGAGCCAGCAAGCAAAGACGGTAGTGACGATGACAGCGCTGCTGGCGTGGGCCTTTGTCGGAAGCCGCGAGGCTTCCTTGGCTCGTTGGGCTCTGGCTGCTTCTGAGCATTCTCTCGGTGATCGAAGGCTGATGCGACCTGTTGGTCTTGCTTTTCTGGAAGTATAGCAGCAGCACTGGAGACCGGGTTTTCCTTGTGGTCGCAATCGGGTCACCACAGACAGGATAGAGTTCGTGACCGTAATGGTAGCTAGTTTGCCTTAGTTTTATACCCCGAATGTCCCCGAAGCCATATTCATAACGATGTTTTCGTTCCTTGTATCACGTCAACGATCGCTCCCACATCTCTGATGCCGTACACTGTGCAAGTAGGGCGCGAGTGATACGGAAGTCGAGCTGAGGGCGACCTCTGAGCATGATCGACGCTGAGCGATTAGGACCACCGTTGCGTACCTATTCCACGCAGCAATGGAGGGGATTGCAATTGAGGCCGATGGACAACAAAAGACGTGCCAGAGAAGCAAGAAAAAGTAAGGTGGAAGCATGAAAGATAGGCCTGTCCATATCGAGGCATCACCTGCATGTGTTGAAATCGTGTGTACATCGTAATATACATGCTTTCAGTGCCCGCCCAAAGCACTTCGAAAACCGCGGGCACGAATTCCTCTGAGACCACAATTCAAGGCTGCCTGTGCGGATATACGACCCATCGAGCGATTATGAGTCTCTGCCGACTCAGGGACCAGTTCAGAAGCTGCAGATTGGCAACGAGAATGTCAACGGAGGAAGGAACTGTCAAGTTGCTGGACAACAAGAGTCGTCAACCGACGCCGGATGACGCAGCAGCATTGGAGTCGGTCGTGGGATAAAGCCGGTTGACACGTCTACTGGAACGGGTTATATACGAAGCCGGTTGACATGGTGTCTTTCTCAAAGTAATGAATCGTGAAGGTGTGCACACCGTGCGTGGTGCGAAAGAGAGCAGCACACAGTCGCGGTCGTCGACCGCTGCCAGTGCCTTCCTTGCACGCCCAGGAATTCGGGGACATCGCAGAAGGCACGATGCGCAAGAGTTTCGTTTACCTGTCCGAGCAGGTCGGCGCAGGAGGGAGGCAAGTAGGGACATGCCAGGTTGGTGCTGTAGCGTGCATGCTCTTGTGGAGGCGCGATCGGTCGGCATGGCATGCGACGTTGAGCTGACAATATGCACAACGATTGGGAGAGGGCAGGGTTGATTTTCAATCACTTGAATTTGTGCATCTATCTAATGCCGGTCTGCTTGGGTCGGAAATCCGACGGCAACGAGATGATGGAAGATGCAACGATGGAAGTCATCCAGGTCACCTCCACGTAACATGCCTGTCCCGCCAAATGGCTTCTCTCCATAGCTTTTCCATCCATGCGTCGTAAGAAATGTGCTCAAAACGTTCAACATTCACCGTGAGTAGCCAGACAGACGACACCAGACGCCTCTAATGAAAAGCGTGAAGCTGTCTATCTGCAGAGCTGGGGTATCAAGAAAGGTGAGTGACGCTGAAGACGCATTTAGTCGACCTCCTCCATAGCGCTCTCGCCAGCCGCGGCAGCAGGGACCTCCTCGTCGGCCTTCTCCTCGGGCTCGGACTCATCCTCGTCAACGTTGAGACCAAGCGAGACAAGCTTGTGAATGCGCTCGGCGAAGCAGCAGGCTCGTCGATGGTGAAGCCGCTGACCAAGAGCGAAGTCTCGAAGAGCAGCTGAGTGATTGACTTGACAGTGCGGTCGTTCTCACCGTCAGCCTCGACCTTCTTCTTGAGCTCGCGGATGATGGCGCTCTTGGGCGAGATCTCGAAGGTCTTCTTGGAGGACATGTAGCTGGACATGGAGGTGTCACGGAGAGCCTGAGCCTTCATGATGCGCTCCATGTTGGCAGACCAACCGAATTGGCCGGTGCGGATGGCGCAGGGGGAGCCGATGAGCTTGTGGGAGACAACGACCTTCTCAACCTTGTCGCCAAGGACGTTCTTGAGCGACTTGGCAAGACCCTCGTACTCCTTCTCCTCGGCCTCGCGCTCCTTCTTCTCGTCATCGGTCTCCTCGAGCTCGAAGTCCTTGGTGATGTCAACGAGCTTCTTGCCATCGAACTCCTTGAGCTGGGTCATGGCATACTCGTCGATGGGGTCGACAAGGAAGAGGACCTCGAAGTTCTTCTGCTTCAGGGTGTCGAGGAAGGGCGACTTCTCAACAGCCTTGATGGACTCGCCAGTGATGTAGTACATCTGCTTCTGGTGTTCCTGCATACGGGTGACGTAGTCGGTGAGGGAGGTGGTCTCTTCGCCGGACTTGGTGGACGAGAAGCGGAGGAGCTTGGCCAGGACCTGGCGGTTCTGAGAGTCCTCGTGAATGCCGAGCTTGATGTTCTTGCTGAAGGCAGAGTAGAACTTGTCGAATTGCTCACGGTCTTCAGCGATCTCCTGGAAGAGCTCAAGAGACTTCTTGACCAAGTTCTTCTTGATGACCTTCATGATCTTGTTCTGTTGGAGGGTCTCACGAGACAGGTTGAGAGGAAGATCTTCCGAGTCGACGACACCCTTGACGAAGCTGAGCCACTCAGGGATGAGATCGGTGGCATCATCAGTGATGAAGACACGACGAACGTAGAGCTTGATGTTGTTCTTGGTCTTCTTGGTCTCGAAGAGATCGAATGGAGCACGCTTGGGCACGAAGAGGATGGCGCGGAACTCGAGCTGACCCTCGACAGAGAAGTGCTTGACAGCAAGGTGGTCTTCCCAGTCGTTGCTAAGAGACTTGTAGAAGGAGGCATACTCTTCTGTGGTGATGTCTGAAGGGTTGCGGGTCCAGATGGGCTTGGTCTTGTTGAGTTCTTCCTCCTCGATCTTGGACTCCTTGACCTTCTTGGTCTTGGGCTTCTTCTCCTTCTCTTCCTCGTCGTCATCTACCTCTTCGATCTTGGCCTTCTTCTCATCGTCATCTTCGACCTCTTCCGCATCCTCATCTGGGACCTCCTTCTCGGTCTCCTTGAGAACGTGGAGGTAGATGGGGTATGAGATGAACTCGGAGTGCTTCTTGATGACCTCCTTGATCTTTGACTCGTTGAGGTATTCGGTCTGCTCGTCCTTCAGGTGCAGGATGATCTTGGTGCCACGGCCGAGATCCTCACCATCGGCGTCGGGGACGATGCTGAAGGTGCCACCGGCAGATGACTCCCAGATATACTGCTCATCATCGTTGTGCTTTGAGATGACGGTGACCTTGTCAGCAACAAGGTAGGCTGAGTAGAAACCAACACCGAACTGGCCAATCATGGAGATATCAGCACCAGCGGTGAGAGCCTCCATGAACTGCTTGGTGCCTGAGCGGGCGATGGTACCAAGGTTGTTGACCAAGTCAGCCTTGGTGAAGCCAATACCGGTATCACGGATGGTCAAGGTCTTGTTCTCCTTGTCGGGGATGATGTCGATGCGCAGGTCCTTGCCCGAATCGAGCTTGGAGGGATCTGAGAGAGCTTCATAGCGGATCTTGTCGAGGGCGTCTGAGGCATTGGAGATGAGTTCTCGCAAGAAAATCTCCTTGTTGCTATAGACGGTGTTGATAATGAGGGACAGAAGCTGAGAGATCTCAGCCTGAAATTCGAAGGTCTCCGACATTTTGGCGGCGGTGATGATCTTGTGTCTGGTGGATTGGAGGGCGACTTGTTCGCTACAAGGTGAGTCAGTAACGAATTTATGCCTTCGAAGGTTGTTTGCGAAATAGCAAAACGTTTGCGGAGGTTTGGAAGTCTTGAGAATATGCCAGAAACTTGGGGAAGTGACTGCGCATATGCTACAAGAAATTGGGGACGAGGGGAATGCCTGGCACGGTAGACTTACTCTGTGGTGGCTTTGAGCTACGATGAGGTCTGCGATCGACGACTCAAGGTAGGATAGTTCGCAGTGTGAGAAATGTGCAGAAGGTATGGAGGGCTCGTAGAAGATGTTTGTGGTGTGCAAAAGAATTTGTACGGCTGTCGATTTCAAGGTCCAGAGAATCCTATGGAAGATGCAGCGTCGACTCCACTTGCTGCCCTGACAACAATCAGCCAATCAACGACGCTAAAGCAGTGACTAAGCTGCCGGGGAAAGAATGGTGGCCTTGTGAGATTCACTTGCCTCCCTGCGGAAGGTCACAGCAATCGATGGGACGTGCCAAAGTCTGAGCAGAGAATTAGGTCAGATGGTGATGAACAAGCCGCTCTCATACCCGTGGGGAATACGTATGCGACTACTTGCACAGCTGTATCGGCAGTGGTGAGGTTGGGCCGAGCATAATCGCAGCCGGTTGACAAGCTTGCCCGCCTGCTTGGCACAGGCCATAACAGCAACGGCAAGGGCCTTTACCTCGACTCGCCGCCCCAGCAGTACTACAGACTAGAGGGATTTAAGTGGGTGACGCGCTCCTTTACTACAGACAGTATTCTAGCTGTGATGAAGGACGATGCTAATATTGACAAGTATAAGAATAATCGGGATAGTGCGAGCTTTAGGAAGCACAATATTGTGATCCCTAGTAGTGGTGTTCACCTTGTGGTGATGGATCTCGCTCTAGGTAGAGAGTCAGCATGTTATCGGACAAAGAGTGTTGACTTCTTGATATGTGTTATGAGGGAGATAGAGCATATGCTGGATAGTGGTGAGAAGGTCAAGCTATTACCAGGGGTGGGTCATTATGTGTCAAGTATTATGTGACAAGTGGCCAACAGGTTGGATGACTGACGCTATTCTGCGACCATATTGTACAGAGAGCGTCGTAGTCCATAGCGTAAACCGGATGACAAGGTAGTCTCCGATTCCTGCAGCCTTGCCCCGCGACTGACAACCGCTGCCTCCGGTACTTACTTACCGCCCTCACCAATACTCGAACTTTGGTACGACGGTTGCGGTCCTTGACTAGTATATCTGACAGCGAGCTCAGAAGCGTAGCCTCGAATGCCGCCACATCACCGCTGAACAACCCTTAAGTCACTCGTCGCAGCGCCCTCCCACACAATGCTGCTCATCTCCTACGAAAATACCCTGCTCCAGTCGATCCTCACCGAGCGTATCCTGGCAAACCCTCCACCCGCGCCAACATCCATCGATCAGATTGCTTCAGACTTCGACGGAGTGACTTTTCACATCTCGACGCCGCAGTCAAAAAGCCAGATCCAGGTCTCATTACAGGTCAAGTGTTACAAAGAGCTTGTTGCCTACGGCGCAGAGGACGTGCTACAGCGGGAATATGGCGCGTATATCACCTCTCCCGAGGCCGGATACGACTTTAGCATCTTGATAGATCTGGAGAAGTTGCCAGCCTCACAAGAGGAGCGTGAAGAACTGGTGAGAAGGGTGTCCTTACTGAAGCGCAATGTGATGGCTGCGCCTTTCGAGAAGGCTTTTGCTGAATTCGACGAGCTGTCAGAAGAGGCTGCGAAGTATACGTCCGAGTCTGCGCCTGCCGGTGTCGCAGAAGGAGGAGAAGTCAAAGCAATCCACTACCGCGAGGAGGAAGCGTTCTACATTAAGGCATCTCATGATCGAGTCACTGTCATCTTCAGCACTCTCTTCAAGGATGAAGTCGACCGCATCTTCGGAAAAGTCTTCCTCCAGGAATTTGTTGATGCTCGACGGAGAGCGATTCAGAATGCCCCACAGGTCTTATTCCGCTCAGATCCGCCACTGGAGCTGCAGGGTATGCGTGGAGTGGGAAAGACTGGTGAGAAGGGCGAGATGGGCTTCATCACATTTGTTCTGTTCCCAAGACATTTGAAGAAGGCCCGGAGAGCAGAGAACATCAGTCATATACAGACATTCAGGGACTACTTCCACTACCACATCAAGGCGAGTAAGGCATACATTCACAGCAGGATGCGGAGACGGACAGCGGACTTTTTGCAAGGTAGGCTGCATTCATTTTCGAGCCCAGAGCCTTTTCTGACCATGCTACAGTGCTCAACCGTGCGAGACCCGAGAATGAGGAGCGAGAGCGGAAGACTGCCAGCGGTAGGACTTTCAGGGTACAAGGGTAGATCAGCTTGTTCTGCCTCTGAAGCGCTATCCGTCACGCGTTCCCAACGCCTGATCTACATCAAATCAGGTTCAAATTGCTGGTGGTAGTTACGCCGGCGCAGCAGCTGGTCTCGACTTGGCGACCACAAGCATCATGGAAGAATGCTTCCAAGTCTGACCACCGCAGGGGAGAGCTCGTCTCACGGATTGCCACCTCAAGTCCACACACCTGGTTCTTACAGCGAGAACATCATCCATGTAGAAAAGCCGAGCATAGATCCATGACGCATTTCCCCATCTGTGAAAATAGCCGATTTTGCCAGATATCCATGTCCGCTCGTCTTGCCAACTTGTAAAACCACTTCCAATACACTCGAATAAGACGGCCATATTAGACAAGCCCTTTTTACCGTATCACGAAGACTTCTGAGGGCCGTGGACAGCAGTCAAGAACGACGAGTCGTACCAACATGGCGAAGGAAATCAGATGGGGCATTCTGTACAATTCTCCATCCCGCCACTATAACACCCCTCTTCCGATCCTCCAAAGTCAACCACGACTAACCACATCACAAACACCACAGAGCCACAGGCGGCATCGCCAAAACATTCACCAAAGACCTCCTCATTGACCCAACAACCCGCAACGTGACCGATGTCAAACATGTCGTCACGGCCGCCGCCTCCTCCAGCTCCGCTGACCGGGCGAGCGAATTCCTCAAGGACTTAGGCATCACCGACGCAAAAGGCTACGGCTCCTACGCCGAGCTCGCCAACGACCCCAACGTGGACATCATCTACATCGCTACCCCTCACTCGCACCACTACCAAAACGCCATGCTCTGCCTCGAAGCCAACAAGCACGTCCTTTGCGAGAAGGCCTTCACCGTGAACGCCGCACAAGCCCGCAAACTAGTCGACGTCGCCAAGTCGAAGAATCTCTTCCTCATGGAAGCCGTCTGGACGCGCTACTTCCCCCTCTCAATTTACGTCCGCGACCTCATCACCTCCGGCAAGCTCGGCACCGTGAGCCGCGTCTTCGCAGACCTCTCCATTAACGCCAACCCGGAAGTCACCTGGGCGGATGGCGCGAGCCGCATGATTAACAAGGACCTCGCAGGCGGTGCTTTACTGGACTTAGGTATCTACGCTCTAACATGGGTATTCCAGACCCTCTGGCATACTCAACCCCGCCCCGAGTCTGAACGCACCAAGCCCAGCGTCATAGCTGCCGTGAAGCAGTATGCGCCCACCGGCGTCGACGAGATGACGACTATGCTCCTCACCTTTCCGCGCCCGCAGTCCGAGGGTGGGGACGCGCACGGCATCGCCACTACAGGCATGAAAGCAGCGAGCGATCCTGGTGGCGACCGGGAGGTCGGCGCTGCGCCGGCGATAAGGATTCAGGGTGACAAAGGGGAGTGTCAGGTCTATCCCATGGCGTTCCGGCCGTTGAAGTCGAGGGTGGTGTGGCAGGAGAAGGGAAAAGAGGCGGAGGTCAAGGAGTGGGAGCATCCGGCGGGTGGGCACGGAATGTTTTGGGAGGCAGATGAAGCGGCTAGGGGGATTGTGGCGGGGAGGAAGGAGGGCGGGTATTTGGGTTGGGAGGAGAGTGTGTTGATTATGGAGGTATGTTTTGCTTGGTCTTTGGTTCTAGGTTGTGCCCAAGGGGCTTCAATTGAGCGCCGTGCTAACGTGAATGGTTCTAGGTCATGGACGAGGTCCGGAAACAGGGTGGCATTACCTACCCGAAGAAGATCGAAACGCTCGACTACCCTGTTGAGCTGTGAGTTATGCTGGGGCACCGGCGCCTACTTGGAAAGACGCCATTGCTTTGTCGCGTCTGCAGCAGACAAGGCGAACTCGCAGGTGAGGGCACCGTGAGACAGGTGCGATCTTGAGCGAAGCCTAGGTATGGCAGCGAGACCCCAATGCAGAGTGATGATAGATAGTTTGGAATTCACTGTGGCCTCCAGTCTACTCGACTAGAGTTCATATTCACAAGCCTACCAAGATCTCTGAAAATGCAAATGCTCTCACAAGGTACTCGTTGGTTGTCGATCTTCACCTCGGGCCACTTGTTCTTCCGTGATCTATATACACGAGGACTTCTGTCCATCGAGCATCTATTTGCCCTTCGACGACCGTCGCACAAACTCCAAACATTCTAGTAGTTCCACGATGGCAGATTGGGAACAGTCCTCACCATTTCACCGCTGTTCCACCGACCCCGTCTACCTAAGCTCCCATTTCTATCCTCACCCACATCCACCGTTTCGTCCGCGAGCACCAGCGATATTCCATAAGACGTCGTTGCAGGCACGCAACTATCTCACACCGCCATCCTCATCGGCCCCTTCATCGCCGACTGACTCCGATGGCGTCAAGACTCCCCTCTCCACCGAGTCAGCGGACGACAGCGAGCCTCACAGCGACTCGCCTCTAATTCCCGCCAAAGTCTCAACAAGGATAGAGTCGTGGCATCAGAGACGCCCGAGCTTCGAGCCACTGTGGGAGGAGAGTGACACATTCAGTCCAAGCAAAGTCTCGGAGTTCAGGGAGCTGGGGCGAAGTGTGAATGCTCTGGCTGAGAGGGTGAGATCCTTGTGCAGTGGTGGCCGCCCAGACACCGCTCATCGTAATGAGCAACCCAAAGCTACCGACTCAAGCACCAGTAGCGAACAAGAGGCGAGTTGTGGGAGGAGGAAGGGTAGTGGATGCTTCCGGGTAAGTCTCAGCCCTGTCTTCTCTTGTCAGTTACTTTGTTCTGTGTTCGCTATTGTTGCTAAATGGCGTCGAGAGACACGTTATGTCGTATCGGCGAAGTTGGCCACTTGTCTCGCCGAGAACACGGTGTCGGTGGACTGCTGTTGTGATCGAGACAAGCCCTTGTGGCCTGTAAGATGCAGACCAACCTGAGACCCCTTTGTCATGACCCTATTGTGTCTTGCATATCAAGTGGTTTGTTGATTGCATGACAAAGCCGGGAGAGACATCCTCCCGTACCAACCATGAAATGCTGCTCCGCAGCCGCTCACTCACTGACGGTCGTTGCTGTGGTTTCGTGCAGGATTGAGCCATGTCTGAACATTGTTTGTCGGTACTGAGACGTGAGACTCAGCCTCTTGGAGGGGCAGCTAATATGAAAGACCTGAAGCGGACGGCTAAAGAGCCAAAGGAGATGCAGGACAAGCAGTAAATCCAACTGACACTATACCATACAACAGATCTTCCACCAGAACATCCAGATCAACCACAAGAACTTGCCAATGTGTTACGTCGAAGACATCTACCACTCCCGCTGTGGTCACTGGGCTAGCCAGCCACAAGTTTACCATCAATGCGCTCGCATCGACAAGGACACAACATCACCTCTTTCGCGTACAGACAGCCCTCGGAATAGCAGCCGAACATGCTACAACCGGAAAACTTGCGGATCACGGAGCGAAGACAGTGTCTGCACTCGATGCGTTGCAGCTACCCGGAGCGAACTCCACAGAGGTACGTGTATGAGCGTATATTCTCATGGAGGGAGGACCAAGGTGCTTCGAAGCCAAGAATTTGCGACAAGAATGGAAAATGGGAAGAAGAGATCGAGTCGAGATCTGGAGGCCAGAACCCCAAGAAGTCCCAGTGGTTTCTTTAGCTGGAATGTGCAGCGATGAAGTGTTGTTTTGCAGTGCGCTCGGAAAGACGACACTGACTTCGTTGGCAGTGCGCGAAGCATCCTGCGGCGAGTGTGGTCAAACGAAGCCGAGAGCACGAGGATCAATCGTACCGATGTACGTTGTTGAAATTCCACTTCCTTTGGCTTCGACCTAATTGAGTTCAGTAAGATGCCATTCATCACGACCATGTTCTCGCCGACCAGAGCCCAGTCAACTGCAGCTCATGCATCCCTTTCCGCCGATGCCGACAACGACAGTTCCTTCTGGCAAACCGACTCACCAAGCGACCGGCAGGTCTCGCTTCTCAACATTTTCACGCGCAAAGGATAGGCATCAAATCTGACTAAGGGTGGCTAGAAGACACTGAATCGCGGCAACTGTACGATGGCTGGGCTAGTGTACATAGCTGTCCGAGGAGAATATGGGAAATGATCAAATTGCCATTGGGAACAGTCGTCCTTCATTTTGAAATTCTCCGTGAGCTTCTCAGATTCCGCCACCTGATCGTGTCCGCCGCGCGGAAGGTGGAGTCGTGACGCCAGCCGACAAGTGGACATGACGGCAGAAGGCAGCTGCATTTCTCGTACATTGAACTCTGCATACCACGGCCGCGCCTCATCGTGGCTGATAACGCCTGTCGCAACTTGTAAACGTTGCTCTGTACAGCCGCGACTGCCCTCGCCTCATGCATCGTTTCGCGGTAAGGCAGGAAGCACCTCAATGGTGTTCCAAGTGCTTGCCCAAGCGCTTATCGTTATCGGCGGCAACGACGTCATCAACGTCTGAATGCTCTGGAAGTTGCGACCGACTTCACCGCCGCCGACTCACCTGAAGTCCGCCCAGAAGAGTGACAAAGCACGGTACATTGACTGATAAAAACCGGCGTTTGATAAATTGATAGTGACCTGCATCTGCCTGCATGTTAAGTGCCTGCGTGAAAGTCCAGGCTGTCTGTTTGTCACTTGACTGTTTCTAGCGCCTTCCACCTTGCTCAATTAGGCATAGTGCGGGGAGGCTGGGGCGGTGTCGCCCGGGATCGCGCCTTCTCAGCGGGCTTACTTAAACTACTTATCCTCTTACCTGACTCACTCTCCTTCTTACCACCATCCATACTCTCGACTACCAACCAGACTGACCTCGAAAGACGTCAAGCCATTCGCAAACCACCTTCAAGAGTATCGTCAATCATCTCTACACACCGCAATCATGCAGATCTTCGTCAAGACCCGTAAGTTTCAGCCGCACGTTCTTATCGCCACCTCAGTTACTAACATGATATTCAGTTACCGGCAAGACCATCACCCTTGAGGTCGAGTCCTCGGACACCATTGACAACGTCAAGAGCAAGATTCAGGACAAGGAAGGCATTCCTCCTGACCAGCAACGTCTCATCTTTGCTGGCAAGCAGCTCGAAGATGGTCGCACCTTGAGCGACTACAACATCCAGAAGGAATCCACCCTTCACCTTGTCCTCCGTCTCCGTGGCGGTATGCAAATCTTCGTCAAGACTCTCACTGGCAAGACCATCACTCTCGAGGTCGAGTCATCTGACACCATCGACAATGTCAAGAGTAAGATTCAGGACAAGGAGGGCATCCCACCCGACCAGCAACGCCTGATCTTCGCCGGCAAGCAGCTTGAGGATGGTCGTACTCTGTCTGACTACAACATCCAGAAAGAGTCTACTCTACACTTGGTGCTGCGTCTTCGTGGCGGTATGCAGATCTTCGTCAAGACTCTCACAGGCAAAACTATCACGTTGGAAGTGGAATCGTCAGACACCATCGACAATGTGAAGAGCAAGATCCAGGACAAGGAGGGTATCCCACCTGACCAACAGCGATTGATCTTCGCCGGCAAGCAATTGGAAGACGGACGAACGCTCTCAGATTACAACATTCAGAAGGAGAGCACTCTGCACTTGGTGCTCCGCCTGCGTGGTGGTCAGTGAGTGTGCATCGGATGTGGACGAGCAACGGGTCTCATGACAACGACATCATCTCTACCATTGCAATTGCAACAGAGTAGAATTACATCTTAGATAGCATAGAGTAGCCAATATCATACCTACTCCGCACCTGTATGACAGACTCAATGAACTCTGAACCACTTGTACTTCTACATTACGTCCTGCGTGTCGAATTGACTTCAGCTTCAGCGATTGCCTTCCTGAGCCGCTCAGCCGCAGTACACAACGCCGTCAGGCAATTCGCGAGTGACATTCTGGCATCTTCGAGGGACACGCTGTTGCCACGTGCATAGGCGCAAGAACATCATGCGACTCCAACTCCATTGAACTTCTTGTTTGCCTTCCCGGATGTTCTCTGCCTTCACACACTCCCCTCAGTCTGCTCTGCTGTCATTATATTGCCCTTCCGCCTAGGCCTTGACCATGTCGACGTGCCAGTATGCCTGACTACTTCTTCCATGTCGCACTCGAAGTCACCGAGCAGCCTGGTTTGCCAAACCACGATCTCGAGAGACCTAACATTTCCCGCTTCTTCACGGCATTGAAGCCATTTACCGATCGCAAGAGGACACAGCGAGATCCGAAGTACGATTCACGACGCCTGAGCGTGCGAAAGACGCCTCAAAGTGCGGTGGAAGATCATACATACAAAGTACACGAATCTGACCCGGATGACCATCGCTTCGACACCGTGTACTTGGACGGAATCGATATGGAGGACCGCAGTAAGACATCAAGGGAAGCTGATAGCACGAATGGAGAGCACAATATAGTCAGCAAGGGCATAGGCTCTGCGATGACGGACTCGTTTCTGAAAGGGCATTTCTCGCCTGTAGATCAGAAGGAGATCGCAACATCGTCTTGGGGCATCGTTCACCTATACCGCGATGCGGACCCTACACCGTCCCTGTCACTACGTGGATCAGCACCCTACCAGTACTCAGACCTCTGGTCAAACACACCTCAATCACAAACATTGAAGACACCCCATACGCCACCGGCAGAGTCAGATTGCACGACGCTATGTATCCTAGCGGTCCCCTCGTACATGACGCCAGCAGACTTCCTCGCCTTTGTCGGAGAGAAGACACGGGATGCAGTCTCGCACTTCCGCATGGTCAGAACTCAAAGACAGAACCGCTACATGGTCCTCATGAAGTTCCGCGAAGGCAAGATCGCACGCAAATGGCAAGCAGAATGGAACGGCAAGGTCTGGAACGCTATGGAGCCGGAGACATGCCATGTCGTCTTTCTCAAAAGTGTCGAACTGGTTGTATCGAGTCCAGGCGTCCGCGAAACAGCAGGCTCTGAGAGCACGTTTCCTCAACTGTCTCCAGACCCATTCGGCTCATCGGCACCTATGCGTCCACTACCTCCGCCGACACCAAGTCTCATCGAGTTGCCGACATGTCCTGTGTGTTTAGAGCGAATGGACGAGACTACAGGTCTTTTGACGATCCCGTGCCAGCACGTCTTCCACTGTACTTGCCTACAGAAATGGTCCGGTGGTGGCTGTCCAGTATGTCGGTATACCCACGACGACTTCTCCTCGCGAGCAGCAGGCATGGGCAAGAAACGCAAAAAGAAAATTCTCAACACGGACGGCACCACCTACGAATACGAGGTCGCCGATGACGAAGCACTCGAATGCGAAACCTGTCATGAAGACGGCGGCAGCCTTTGGCAGTGCCTCATCTGCGGCCGGGTCGGCTGTGGTCGCTACGAGGGCAAGCATGCTTACGCCCACTACGAGAAAAGCGGACACATGTTTGCCATGGATCTTGCCAGCAAGCGGGTCTGGGACTATCGCGGTGACGGCTACGTTCACCGCATCATTGTGGAAGAAGGCGTCGCAAACAAAGACGGCACCGAAGTCGGCGTCCGCGAGGTCGGTGCAGACTCCGACTTTGGCAGCGACAACAACTATGCCACCAGTAAAGGCGACTCGAACCCTAATCCGACCCTCGAAAACCTTGCTCTCGAATACACGCACCTCCTAACCAGCCAACTCGAGTCCCAACGCGTCTACTTCGAAGAGATCCTCGAGCGCGCCGTCGACAAAGCCAGCGACGCGACCCGGAAAGCCGACCGCGCAGAACAAGAAGCTGCCTCCCTGAACGCACGCCTGACAAAACTTGAATCGGAGAACGACTTCGTCACCAAGGGCCGCGTCCCCGAACTCGAAAAGGAGAACGCTCGCCTCACAGTTCGCGCCCGCAAACTCGAGGACATGGCGAAGGACATCAATACGAAATACCTCGAGGAGAAATCGACCTCCAAAGGCCTCCTCACTCGGATAGAGCATCTGGAGAACACCGAACTCAAAGCTCTGAAGACCAAGATCCAGTCATTGGAGGAGGACAACGCGACCAAGGATCTCCTAATGGAAGGCCTCCGCGAGGAACACCGCGACGCTATGATGCAGGTCGGTGCTGCGCAGAAGTTGCAGGATATGATTGCGAGGGGCGAGATCGAGGCTGGAGAGCTGGAGGGGGCGGAGGTGACGGTTGGGAAGAAGCCGTTGACGAGGGCGGAGAGGTTGAGGGAGCGGCTTGACGCTGAGAGGGAGGTGAGGTCTAAGGGCAAGGGCAAGGGAAAGTCATAGAATGGTGGTAGTGACGAGACTGGGGCGTCGTGGATGATCTACTGGGGCTGTCCCGTCCCTCGCACCAGAGTTGCGTGAATGAGCTGCTATCTATACCCATATGCTGCCGCTCGTACTGCTTGCACGCCGCCAGATGACTCAAACGTATCACAGTGAGGATACACTTCGATCCCTTCTCCATGACCCCATACCCTAGGTGGCTTCTTCAACGAGACTCCCATCCATGACTGTGCTCCCTCGATGCCTGCCTTGGTATTTCTGCAAGTCTTTGCAGCGAAAGCCACAAGGCCTGATCGAAGAGCAGTTGGTCGGACACCAAGTGTAGTCTGAACCACCCATAGCAATTCTTTCAGCGCCAGAACTGACAGGCGCTCGATACTCAGCCCGATTGCTGGTTCCTGGGCCAAGCCCGGCGAACTTGCACTCTGGAAACCGACCACAAATCGAGGGCTTAATCAGTGAAACCTGTGATCGGCCAGATGTCAGTCGACTGCTCTGAGGCTGGCGTTGGCGGCAGGCGCAATCTCATCGCGTCGCCAGATCCATCGCCGTCAAGCTTCCTTCACTTCACTTGCACCTCTTTGACAGTCATATACTCGTTCTGATCAACTTTGGCCCAGCATTAACACACATGCCATCTTCGGCACACTCTGAGGGGTTCTGGTCTAGTGGTATGACGCTCCTTTAGCAACGTGTTACGCTCTAGCCCTTCCATCCGTACACGAGCTATGCTGCCGTTCTTCACCATAGCTTGTGTGCGGATGGATGGCGCAATCGTATCCGTTCAAGAATAGGAGAGGTGACAGGTTCGATTCCTGTGTACTCCAGATGGGTTGTCTTTTTGCTTTTCTGGTGGAGGCTTTGATGAGCACGAGCGGGCGGAGTTTCGAAACGTCGTTCGAAGTGACTGACTTCTGCAGATGAAGTGAATACACTCAATCATCCACGTCACGTGCGGCTGCTTCGAGCGTTGCGCCCTAACGCTGTTCCTTTTCATACTCATGTGTCAGGTTCTTCAAGTATTTGGCGAGGCATCGCCACTCCCCTCCACCAGTGGCAGTTTCTGTACGCCGAAGAAGTAATTTCCCCACCCCTCACTTCCCGGCACGACCTTCCAGCCCAGACCCGGCACATAGACCACACCCTGCGTTGTGAAGCTGTTCCACTCGCTGCTTTTCTCGAACCATGCCCTCAGCTCCCCCGGATTGATGTATTGATTCCAATCATGTGTGCCCGCCGGAACAACACCAATGATCGGGGCCTCGGCAATCAGCTTCGTAGTGATGAAGGACATGGAAGACCGAGCAATGGTGCTGCCCACGATCCACCCGCCAGGCTTCAGGTGTTTTGCTGCCGCTGCGAGAAACTCGGATGGGGATGTGATGTGCTCGAGCACCTCGAAGAGGGTGATTATATCGTATTGCTGGGTATTGCCGTCGGCGTCTGCTGGCAAGGACTCAATCGCGGCGTTGAGGTACGTCAGCTTGGGAGGGGCTATCGCGGGATCGGTGCGCTGGTGGGCCTGTGCCGCCTCTATGCATGCGGGCGTTGGGTCAATCGCAGTGACTGATGAGGTGAGTGGGTGACGTGCACATGCTGAGGCGAAGATTCCACCTCCGCAGCCTATGTCGAGGTATGAGTAGAGTCTGGCATTCTGCGCGGTTCGCGGCAGTAAAGACTGGATGAAGTCGAAACGAAGCGGGTTCATGAGATGGAGGAGTCGTGAGGGACCATGAGGCTGCCACCATGTGTCGGCCAGACGAGAGAAGTGCTCGACTTCATTTGCGGAGACGGTAGACTGCGGACCTGAGCTCGATGACGCATCTCGATGATGGGGAGACTGGCTGAAGCATTCGAGGCGGCTGCAGGAGGACAGTACAGGGCGACCAAGTGCCAGAGGCCGAGGTCTTGGCCGGAAACCTAACGACGCATTGTGTACAGCCCTTTCCCTCCACGGCGGAAAGTATGCTGAAGGCGATGGTGTTGAAGCGCGCAGTAGGCTTGTCGGTGACTTGGTCAGTGAGGCAGCATGTCGGACAGAACTCCGCGCGACTGCAAGGCCGCGTGAGGACATCAACATCCCATCTGTGAGGAGCAGAAACCAGAAGAGTGTTCGACGTCCATATTCCGTCGTTGGGCCACGACGCTACCTGTCGGCAATCCTTCCTCATTGGGCAGCGCTTCTGTCACTACATATTCCCCATCACCACCTGGTGCTACTCACATAGCCCTCCACGTGGTGATGAACACCTGGTGCTCCTATACGGGTCCACAGCGCCGCACCAAAACCATTGTAATCCGCAAGTCTTCACCCACATCTGTACCATGGAAGTCTGTTGGTCGGCCGATGAGTTACATTCAGAACAGCCGCAACGCGGGGAAGGTCTCCGCCACGGAGTGCTTTCCAAGGTTGGTCCTCGAGTAGTATGGATCGATCCTTCCTTGAACGTGCCACAATGTCGCACGGAAGTTGCTGCGGTCATCGCGTTGCGCTTTCGCACAAGGTGTCTCTAATTCTCACTACTTGAGCTTTGATATGACTTTTCTGTAGTGACAACTCGAACATGCCGCAACGCAACAGTTGCTCAGTGTGCGGGAAAACATACAGTCGAGCCGAGCATCTGAAACGCCACGAGAACACACGTGAGGACCTCAACACTTGCTCTTAGTCCGACAAGAATCTAGCTGACCACATCAAGACACTACGATCCGACCATACAGATGCTCATATTGTGGGAAGCGCTATGCTCGCAGGTACGGTGTACAGTGGGACACAGGTAGCCGTCGCACACTGACTCCTGCAGTGACGTTCTTAAACGGCATTATACAACTTGCGTCGAAGCTACTAACGTACACACCAATCAAAATTTTACTGTACAGAGTCCTGACCACGACATACCTGGCTCCCTGACAGCTGATCAACCTCTGGCGGATTTGCTACCGCTCACATCTCCAACATACATGACTCCAGACGCGCCTTGGTCTACTTCATCAACGCAGTATTTGCTGTACCTGGAGTCGGATCTGGGCGCTAATGCGATGCTGTTGCCAGAACCTACAACGAGATTCGAGTTTCTGCGACGTTTCACAAGTGGCGTACCTCTGCGGCAGGCCTTCTCGGCGGAAGGGACAAAGCAGCTGATATCCCCTCATCACTCTAAGGCTACCACATGGCCGTGTGCTTGTGGACTTGATCACTTCCTCCATTCTGAAAGGTGTCGGTTGTGCACCCCTGCAGGATTTTGCTCTCTGCGCGAGAAAGCGAATCAGATTGTGGCTGATCTCAAGCCCTACGTCCTGACTGAGAGTCAGGGCATCACTCTCACTGAGCTCTTCACGGCACGAAATCTGATGAAGCTGTTAGGCTACTACTGGAAGCATTGGCACGCAAATTTGCCTATCATACACATGCACACCTTCACATTCGAATCAGCACCATGCCCTCTCCTTGTTGCCATGGCAATGATTGGGGCGTGCCACAGTCCTGATGCACATGAAAAGGCAGCCTTCAAGCTTCGCTATGACGCAGTCGAGCATTATGTTTTCAGCAATTTAGACTCCTTCCGCGGACGTGTTATCCAGGGAACGGTGCTCCGCGATCTTGTGCAAGCCCTCCAAGCCACGTATCTTGTCTTGATATACCAAAGCTGGGATGGATCGCAAATAGCCCGAACAGATGTAAGGAGGAAGCGATTCGCGCAGATGGTCGAGTCTGTCCATTCTCTTGACGTCGGCAGTGCTGCACATAACGACTATCGACAGGTCGAACTTCATGACTTTGACTGGTTGACATTTGTGGGAATGGACGAGATGATACGGTAAGCAAGCGACAAATCTGACGGACATCAGTTGACTCAGATGCAGCCTACTGACCTGGTGCTTTCTCGTGGATAGCGCTTTCAGCATCTTTGTAAGTACGACCAGAGTGACGGCCGAACCTGAAGGACTGACAGTTCCAGTTCAACATTGCCCCTCGGTTCATCTTGCGTGAGCTCCAGATGGGACTCTCATCGCCCGAGACGTGTTTTGGTGCTTCTTCACCAGAAGAATGCCTGCTAGAGCTACAGAAGTGGCAGTGTCAGGCCGGCACTGAGTACACACTGTATGAAATCGTCAAGGATGCCTTGTCTCCGACTCTGGATTTGCAAGGTCAGATCAGGATGGCCTGTCAGAGTACAATCACCATGTTTGCCATCATCAGTGCCCTCCACGTCTTGATCTTCAACTCAGACCCTAGCATTGGCCAAACCTCGCAGTACGTGCCGATCTACAATGGCTTGAGCAATTGGCAAGCTGTCTGGAACCGACGGAAGATCATATTGCAATGCAGCCCTCGAGAACTCGGCCATCCAGGATTCTGGCAGCACTGTCCTGACTACTGGTTACTGGCAAAGCTGCTCATTCAACAAATCACACAGTTTGCTAGCCAGTGTCAACCACGGGCAAAGCCTTTACGTCCATGCTACGACGAAGAAAGTCAACGACGGCTTCATGGGTTCATCTGCCACTATGAGTCCAGTCAAGCATGTGGTGCCTTTTGAACAGCAAAGCACGTTGTACCCAAGCTACCAGCAATCTCAGACTATTTTTCCGACAAAGGCATTTGCAGTCTTGCCACAATCGACTCTTGCTCACCTCTACTGACATTCTCTTGTCAATTCATGGTTGCCGCGCCTTGCGATACTCTTCTCCCATTGGCGGTAGCTGAGCCCTTCGAGTGCCGATCATGTGGGCGAGAGTTTGACCCTGAAGCGGGGATCTGGGGTAAGGTTTGAGCGTGGGTGTCTGGACTTGTGATAAAAGCCCGGGCTTGTCCCTATCGGAGCGGACAGGCAGTCAACTACGCCTACAGCACAATGAAGCAACCAGACCGAATTGCACCCGAGGAAACCGTCGGCGGACCTACTGCCCCAACGGCGTATAGGAAGCCGAACGGAGACTCGCCTCGCACTGCTGGCGATCCGATCTGTCTGCCACCTGGAATCAGTTCAGCCAGATTCAAGACCTTCCTCTTGCGTCTCGCTGGCATCTGTGGAGAGGACAATGTCACTGCCATCACCAAAGAAGAAGAGCTTCATCACGAGTCATATCTCGAGCCATCGAAATGCCACGACATGTTTTCAATCATGAACAAAGAGGCTTTCATTGCCTCGGCTGTTGTGTCACCGCGCCATACAGGTGAGGTACAGGCCATTATGCGTCTCTGCAACGAGTTTGAGATTCCCGTGTGGCCCTTTTCCATTGGTCGCAATGTGGGTTACGGGGGGGCCGCCCCACGAGTACCTGGCAGTCTAGGCATGGATCTTGGCTGCAACATGAACAAGATCATTAAGGTCGATGTGGACGGAGCCTATGCACTGGTGGAGCCTGGTGTCACGTACTTTGACCTTCACAACTACCTCGTTGAACACAACCTCCGAGACAAGCTCTGGGTTGACGTGCCCGACCTAGGCGGCGGCTCGGTGTTGGGAAACACTGTTGAACGTGGTGTCGGCTACACTCCGTATGGCGACCACTACATGATGCATTGCGGTATGGAAGTAGTTCTGCCGAACGGCGAGCTGGTTCGCACCGGTATGGGCGCACTTCCGAACCCCAAGGCGGACCCCAATGCTCCAGCTTACGAGCAGGAACCGAATGAGAGCTGGCAGCTATTCAACTACGGCTTTGGGCCGTATAACGACGGTACCTTTACGCAATCATCGCTAGGCGTGGTAACAAAGATGGGCGTCTGGCTCATGACAAACCCTGGCGGCTATCAGTCCTACATGATCACCTTCCCACGGGACGAGGATTTGCATCAGATCGTTGAGATCATTCGCCCACTCCGCGTCGGTATGGTCCTGCAAAACGTGCCAACGTTGCGCCACATCCTGCTCGATGCGGCCGTCCACGGCGACAGAAAGTCATACACAGACTCAGACAAGCCACTAACCGACGACGAGATCGACGCCATCGCCAAAAAGCTCAACCTGGGCCGCTGGAACTTCTACGGCGCGTTGTACGGCCCTGCACCTGTTCGCGAGGTCATGTGGCAGGTCGTCAAGGGTGCATTCTCGCAGGTACCTGGCGCCAAGTTCTACTTCCCTGAAGATCAACCAGACAACATCGTCCTGCAAACGCGCCACAACACACTCCAAGGCATTCCGTCAGTGACAGAGTTGAAATGGGTCGACTGGCTGCCTAACGGGGCACACCTGTTCTTCTCTCCCATTGCCAAAGTTTCGGGCGACGAAGCTGTCGCGCAATACGCACTGACACGGAAGCGGTGTGAACAGGCCGGGCTGGACTTCATTGGCACGTTCGTAGTCGGTATGCGCGAAATGCATCATATTGTGTGTCTGGTCTTCAACCGTAAGGATCCCAAGAGCTGCGAGAAGGCGCATTGGGTCATCTCGACGCTGGTACAAGATGCTGCCGAGCGCGGCTGGGGAGAGTATCGCACGCATATTGCGCTGATGGGTATGTGCTGCTGCCGGCTTTGCCTGGAAAACACACTGACGTGTAGCAGACCAGATTGCGCAGACGTACAACTTCAACGACAACGCACAGATGAAGCTGAATGAGAGAATTAAGAATGCTCTTGACCCCAAGGGTATTCTTGCTCCAGGCAAAAATGGAATCTGGCCACAAGTATGTACCCCATGCATTATCCCGCGAGCATGGCTGACACAAGCAGACGTACGACGCCAAATCGTGGGCGATTAAGCGGCCATCGTTAGCTTCACTGAGATAGGCGCCACGTGAGCTCGACGCAGATTTCCCTCCGAGTTTGCCCAGTCATCTGGTCTCGTATGAACCGATGTTTTTCATCCATTTGAAGGTTTTCAGTCATCCGGTCTCGGATTCACCGATAGTGTCAGCCGGTTTGGTGTAAGGCCATCTCTTCCTCGTGTGTCTTCATCCGCTATCTCGAAAATGGTCGCGTTGGCATCGACATTCTTCCGCCCACTTCGCTGTTCAGCGCATGGTCAGAGACGCATTGTAACGGTGCTGGGCTCATACGACGAACTGTGAATATCTTTGGCGGAGCCAGTAGCGTGATTGAACCGCACTCGTCGTGACTTTCGTGGAGAGATATATAAATTTCTGTTGGCCTCTTCATCGACTCACCCTGTTTCCTCTTATTCTCCCAAGATCTTCATGCAGGGATTCCCGTTTGCCATGTCAAGATAGCATCCTATACTGCTACCTGGTCAGGCGAGCTTCGATTTCTTGCATTGTAGGATCTAGTCGACCAGCTTGCTCCCTCGGAAGTCTGCTCTGTCTGGCCTCAGTGCCATTGGTTCCCGTACAGTGCCGCGACGAGCAGGAGAGTTCGCGACCTGAGCACTCCTCGGCATCATCAACTCGTATTGCACTAGTAGTATCTTGCTGACAAAAGAAGCATATATTCAGGGGTATCTCGCTATGAACTGACTACCATCTCTCTAACGCTATCATGACCGACTCATCACATCCCGCCGGACTACGCAAACGTGATTCTCTCCTCCTGCAGTCACCCTAGACGGCGCTGCGGAGAGCTACACTAGCTCTCCTGTGCCACTCAAATGGCCACGCATCAAGCTGCCGTCTCTCTACGCTGTCACGCGTTGCCTCAGACACCACCAGCCTCCAACCCATCCTCCTCCTGCACACTCCCAAAATAGCTCTGATCAATCTTCAAAATCCAGTCCACTTTCTGGCTTTCACTCCGTGCCGCAAACAGGAACGTTCCATGCTCACCGTACGCTGCAAACACATGCCCTAGTCCTTGATTGAGATCCGCACTGCCATTTCGCCTATGGCCGCCTCCTCTCATGGGGCTTTCCTCTGCAGCCTCCGATGGCACTCCACCCAATAGTCGCTTGAAGTCTGGATCATGGTCGATGCGCGCATAGCTCAGATTGATAGCATTGATCGCCTCGCCGTTGGGCACGCTGTGAATCATGAGGTATGGCGGGCGGAGGTCGACGAAGCGGCGTTTCCACTGCATGGATGTCTGATGTGGCTCGAAGTCGTCCGAGGGCGTGAGCAAGTGTCCCGATTTCAGGCTGACAGGGTTCTTGGGGATATTGGTGACGACAGCGATGTACTTCGTCTTGCGCTCGGACGCTTGTGCTGGCGGGAGGTTCTCGCGCTCCGGCGGTGTAGTGGTGCCGAAGATTGAGCTGGAGAGTTCGAAGGCCGGGCGGGACCAGATTGCTAAGCAGCGACGGAGAAGGTCTTCTTCCTGGTCCGTGGGTTCTTGAGCCGGGGATACTGTACGCGATCTGGATTTCGGTTTCGAGATACTGAGGCGCTTCATGCCGAGTGCTGCACGAGCGGATTCGATTTCCTGCATTTGACGCCTCTTCCGGCGGGCTGTAATATAGTCTTTGACCAGGGAAAGCCCACGAGGACTCCAGCTTCCAAGCAGCTCTTCGCCATTAACGTAGTCCTTGGAAGTGTCCATGCGCCACAGATCAGCTGCGCGCTTAGCACTCGTCGGTCTGACGACAATGTTGAACAGTCCGTCTGTGGCTCGGGTGACCCTTGTTTGGTTCCAGAATGACTTTAGCACTGATTGTGGCCGGTAGTAAGATCGAGGCGTGACCTGTAGATGCTGGTTGATCGAGAATGTCATTATCTTGTCAAGCCGAGATGATAGTATGTCCCATCGAAGCGAGATCCGTACACGGCAGTCTTCATTGGTTGACCGATCCAAGAGCAGGGATTTGTGCAGCGAGCTGTCCCATTGTCCAATAATTGTCACGTTCGAGGTGCCATCCGCGTTGTCCTTGATCATTGGATCCTGAATCTGCTTCAGCGGAATATCAGGCGTCGTTGTTCCAATATCAGAGATGCGGCCAGATGAATCGATGAGGTGAATCTCCCCCACGCGCAAATTCTTCAAGTCGTCCCATGGTAACGACTCGCTCAGATGCTGGGTCAGTGTGACGCTAATCCGCCTTTGCAGACCTTGATGTAATTGAAACACTCCTTCGTCATTGGCGTCGCCGTGCACAACCTCCACTGGCAGATATTGCCCATTCTCAGAGAGCTCCAGGAATTGCACCTTGCAAAAGACATCGTACCTTTCTTCCGTCATGAACTCCGATTCAGGGATGCGATGCTTGGCTTGCTTGGCTTCTTCTGGATTCTCCATCAGCTCACGAAGCTCATCCCAGCTGACGAGCTTGTCCAGATGGGTTGAAGTAAGTTGCGAGAACATGGCGATCTTGAGGACAGCCGACTGTTCCGCTTTGCGATCGACACTGAGGACATGAATGCTTTCAAAGCGGACAGGTGTCTCCCCGAATCCAGCAATCGGACTTGTGGTGGCAACACTTTCCCCGGACGAACCAAGGACGGACATCTGTGCATGCACATTCGTGCCCTCATTTTCAGAGAAGCCGGTGAAGTCGCGCATGACGATGTTGAATTTCAACGTCGACGGAGGCGACTCGGCCAGGGATGGCTCCAACGACATCCTCACTTTCCCAACGATTTGTTTAGTGAAGGGCGAGACGATGTCGAGGCTGAAGTCCTGAACCCTCGTCTCAAAGACAGCCGTCAGAGGAATGCTGCCGTCGCCAATCAACGAGTACAGTGCTGATCCGTATTTCGGAAGGGATTGTCGAGGCGGAAGTGCTGTATGTAGTCTGGCTGATCTTTGTAGTGGTACATTTGGCGCATCTTTGCCAGGCGCTGCTGCAGCTTCTCGATGGACCACAGATGAATGCTGGAAAATTGATGATCGATTACTCTGACCGCGAGACAGGGCTTCCGGGCATCTTGCAGTGCCACGTCTTCATTCCCAGAGATGTCAGAAAGGATCAGATCGTATGACGATCCGTGATCCTCGCCGGCATCAAGTATGGCGAACTGGAAGACGGTTTCCTGTTCAAGAAGTCTGCTCATCACTTGGGCTTCCTTGAGCAGGCCAGCATATTGCAGGATGTTTTCTGCGATGGCAACATTTTTCCGCTGCTGCCATTTGTCCACGACCAGTCGAGCGGTCGACTTCTCTGCCGCAGTAAGCTCTGGAGGTCGCCCGGCACGCTTTTCGATCTCCCACTTGCGCTTCTGGTCTTCAAACTCCTCTTTTTGTTTACGAAGCTCTTCTTCAAACTCTTGCTTTTGGCGCTCGAGTTCCTGTCGCATCTTTGCTGCCTGCTCCTCTTGAACAAGATCTGAGATCCCCGGCGACTGTTGTGCTTCGAGTCCTCCTTCGAATTGTGCGTGTTGCACATCTAGCTTGTCCGGCATATGAAGCTGGTTGGCTTTGAGCGTGAGTTCGCCGTCTTGGTCTGTGACGTCTGATAACGAAGGTGTACCAGGCATAGTGAGGGCAGTGTCCAACGAGAAATTGTCCATGGTACCGCCAGACATGTACTTGTCTCTAACAAGAAAGGAGCTGAACTCATCTGAATCGTCTTCGTTGTCAGAAAGAATCGGACGCCCCCTACGTTCTTCCCGAGCTCTCTGGATGTTCTCAAACAACGCATCCAGCTGATCATCAGTCATTTGGTTGATTTTCTCTCCAGTCCCAAAGAGTGCGTTGGCAGCCTCTCGTCGTGCGAAAGACCAGTCAGATTCTCGGTGGCCTGGCATAGGTGACTCGGCTCTACTGGAATCGGCATCGATGTCCGAGCCAGCCTTACTATACGTCCGCTCGTGGCCAGGACGGAAGGGTGTTGGCGAGCCCAACTGAGCTGCTGTCACAGAGTGTCTCAGTAGACTTCTCTCAGCACGCTCGGCCTTTGCTCCAGCGGATTATTGAAGCGGAAGATATGGAAGTCGCCAAGAATGAGTCGATGACCACTTCTTAATCTGGTGGGCTTGTCCACCCGTTTTCCATTGACCATAACGGCAGCACCATCAGCAGGGACCACAGTGACGATGTTATCGGCATGCTCAAGCTTGCAGTGGTGCGCTAATATCTTGGAGCCGTTCAGCCGTATCTCTGAGCTTTCTGACGCGTCAACGTTGCCAACTGTCGTGATGCCTGGCTTCAGATTGTACACTAGACATTCCGCGAGAAGTGGGTCGTCACTGAGGTTGACCAAATGAGGCATCTTCTTGGGAGTGCTCATACCGACATTGCCGTGCTCAATGCTGATGCCGAGCTCTTCAAGAGCTGCTTCGCGCTCCTTATGGATGGCCTCTGTCTTGAGCAGCTTCTCTTCCCACGTCTCGTTGAGATCCTTGTACAGCTTCTCACTCTGGCCGAGCTGCTCCATGATCTCCGCCTTGCTGACCTGTTTCGTTGACCCGTCTGCTTGCGTGATAGTGACGAACTGCTGGTCGAGTGGTGTCCCTTCAGGATACGAAGCTTCTCCGGGACCGGATCCAGCCCCACCAGCCAGCTTGCTTCGAAGTTGAGCAAGCTCTTCTTTGAGTTCCCTGATCATGCGTGCGTTCGGATCTTCGTTGACCACAGCATGATTCTTGATGCGTTTGGCGGAGTCGGCGTACCTCAGTGTGCTCAGAGTCTCCTCGAAGTTGATGTCTGCGGGCGAGATGGCTGCAATCATGGCAGTCATACTGTTGCCACCGAGCGAGTCCTTTAACAGCCAAGTCAAGACCGAGTCTCTGTACGGCACCTTGACCGTCTTCGCTTTTCCAGATGAGAGATCAGCCAGGGCAGCTATGACTCGACCTAGGGTAGATAGAGATCTGTTGATTTCGGCACCCTCTTTCAGGCGAGCCCCTGTTGCACCAGTAGATGTAGCACGCTCTGAGCCTGCCAGATCGACCAGACTGATCTTGGCAACCTTCTCGGTGTCCATATTGGTTTCGATATCATGGCGTTTCTGTGTCAGAGTCAAGGTGAAAACTGCATGAGATCGAGATGAGGTCTCGTTCATGTTGGTTGCGGCAACTGTTCGGGCCTTGTTGCCCTCGTCCATTAGGTTCTCAATCTCTGGGAACGACCGCACTGCCAGCTTTGCCAGATCTTCGACGTATGGACCAGTCGAAGGATGCTCTCGCACTTTGAGATTACCCTTAGTCTTCGGATTAAGCAGATCCCGAACACGCTCGTTGTAAATTTCGAGGTACGACACTTCAACTGTGCATTTCAGGTTCGGATCATTCTGAATCTGGTCGATCCGCTCGAACATGTTTCGACAAATACGCGGTATCACACCAGCCTCATCGCCGTAGCCCATCATACTGTATGACTTGCCCGAACCTGTCTGTCCATACGCGAATATACAATTGTTGTACCCTCCGAAAGCGTTGTCCAGTAGTGGTGTTCCCAAGTCGCCGAATAGATTGTCCTGGCCCGCAAAGTGCTTGTCATTCTTGTCGAAGGACCAGTATGACTTGTCGAACTTGAAGGTCTTGTTGCCGTCGTATATGCCTTTACTGCCCTTTTTCGCATCTGCGTCTGGCGGCGGTGACAGGACGGTCTGCGCACCTTGCATCTGCACCACACAGGCGGCATTTCGCTCGATTTCACGCTTATTGAACGGCCGCACACGCACCACCACCTTCACATTGCCTCCTCCGGTCGGCGCCATGTTCGATGTTTTTCGAGTGCTATCGGTCAGGCCGTATTGTTAACTGCCTGCGCATCGTCGCGTTGGAGATTTGTTGAGACGGACTCTGGCAGTCGCGTGAGGTCCGCTGCCTCAATGGATGCTACCACACGGCAGTAGGGGCCCGCACTATGGTCAGACGCAACGTTACTAAGGGTCAAATCGTTCCTTAGTGTCGTCGACGAGGAGTCAGCAGCGACGACACGCTCGAGTCGCGAACGTCGTTGTCCTCCCCTACGTGAAATTACCGAAATTAAACCGCGGTACGGTGACCAACACCTGCGTCATCCCAAACAACCTCAGGCTGGAACTTCAGGTGAACCTGACGTAGGCAACAGCGACGTTGACTGCCCGCGACGACCTGGTTCTCACGCCTCGGCAAGTGCCAGTGATGCTGAACTCGTGATGGACAGCACGTCCGTCCAATCTACCTGATCAGCGAGATGACCATGTGACCTTCGCCACGCCCGGCGCATTGCTGGACCTCTTTATGCCAGCCACCGATATGGCTAGCCGCTACGTGACCAAGAACGGGCACACAATGCGACGCGGACTTTTCTCGAATAGTGTCTGGCATTGCGACTGCGACCCGCGCATGCCTGCCGACAAGTTCCAAACCAAAAACGGCGGCAAGAACCACGGACGCTGGTTCTACACCTGCCAAAAGCCACAACCGAAACGATGCAAGTTCTTTCTATGGGAGGACGAGGCCAAGGTCCGCGAGGAAGGCGCGGTACTTTCCAACTCGCGCACTGAGCCAGCAGACATACGTCCGCCAAAGAACATAGGCACACCAGCCAAGCAGACCAAGTTGCCGGCTCACCAGATCCCCACACCCTCCACCAAGACTAAGAGTCCCCCTAGGCTGGAAGCAATAGAACCACCTTCGTCCTCGCCAGGAAATGACTTCGACGACTGGTCCGTTGATGACGAAGATCTAGCTGAGGCGCTCGACGAGTTCGAGACTCCACACAAAGCCGCCCGTACGAGCTACGACGATTCACCCAGTAAAAAGCGCACCATATCTGAGAACTCCCACGCGTCGTCCGTGACCTTGCCAGTCCAGGATGAGGACCCATCCGAAGTCTACAGCACGCCAGCTACGAGCAAGAAGGCACCTCCAAGCCTCAACGACATTCCTAGCAGCACAACAAGCAAGATTCTAGGACCTCCGTCGACCCCAATCACCGCCGCTACAGCCGCTGCAGACCCGGGCCCCTTGCCCAATCAGTACTTACGATCCTACAACCACTCAGACCGACCCCATCCCTTACAACCGAAATCACCGCTCTGCTCAACACCCACGAGCTTCGTGCAAGCGGCACCGCCAAGGGCCGAGACATCGCTCGCGCGGCACTGCAGACCAAAGACCTGAAGATCGCCGAGCTAGAGGCGCGGATCAAGGCGCTGGAGATGGAGAAGGAGACGATGCGGAGTGTGGTGGGATGTTTGAAGAGCGATATCGCTAATAGCCCTAAACGGCCGAGGCGGCCAAGGGAGGGTGGTGGTGAGGATGACGGCAATGATAGAGGAGGTGTTACTGGTACTGCTGGTGGCGGTGGCTATGGTGGTGGCAATCGAGGCGGAGGTAGCAAGAGAGGTGGAGGACACTGGCTAAACAAGAAATCTGGGGTTTCACGGGGTGGAAAGAGCATAGTGTGAATGGCCCTTCACTTGTGCAAGGCTTCGCAAACCGCGGACGAAGCGAACCGCTCGGTATGAACGTTGAACTTGATTTCCGCGTCGGCCTGGGGAGAAGAAAGCCTTTGAATGATGTCGCCTACCCACAACAGCGCCATAGAAAGCCTTCCACCACAACACGCCAGGAAAGCACGAAATCAATGTACAATTCCCCTTCAATCCCTGATGCCTCATCCCGTTCTAAGAGAGGTATCGCGCTCTCGTCTTCAAACTCACCTCGACTCCTCCGCTCCATCACCACAGCCCTATTCCCTCCCTCCCTGTCAAGGTCTTCCAGAACTACAGCTCTTATGCCTCCCAACCCAGGAGGCGACTTCGACTTCATCCAACCGAGCCTTGTATACGCCGCCTCGAAGTAGTCATACTAGCCGTCATCGCCATCATCCATCCGCCGCTCAAGCCGCTCATCCATCTCCTCCCTGCTTTGACGTGCCACCTTTGTCAGGTAGCGGCCCACACCAAATATCGAGAAGCCGCCAAGTAGAAGTGCAGCAAACGCTGCCAGGCAAGCCAGAAGAAGAACTGCCGAGCTGGCCATAGCACGCACTCGGAACTGGGCGATGGCAGAAGGCGGTGGGAGGGATGTAGGCTGCTCTGATCGGGATTTCGACAGGAGGCAAAGGCGGTGGATCTGTTGACAGCGACCAAGAGCTTGTCGTTGCAGGGAATTGACGAGCGATGGGGCAAAGCGAACATATGGTAGAGACTCTTTGGTGTGAAGATGAAGCTGTTCATCTTTGTCTATATGCCCTCGTTTCTATATCCCAGGTAGATACATTGCCTCTGGATCTGGCACCGAAATGAGCCCCCGAGCTCTCGTCTCGACTTGACTCGGACCTGCCTCAATTCAGCAGTAACAGCTTCCTGGCCAGTCGCTTTCTTCTCCGTAAGAGGGGGTTGCACCGCCATCATTACCAATGACCTGGTCTGAACGACCGTCCCTTGTACTGTCGCCCTTCGTTCGTCCTCAAGCATCGAACAACGGCCCAGATACGAGCACCTTGAGATGCCTGAGGCTACGGCATTGCTCATTCCGGGTTTCGGATGAAACATGCAGGCTGAGCCGCATGGCTGGTACAATTGGCTGAAGAATCTGCCAGGCTACCGACTCATGCCGTTCCTCATGGCCAGGTCTCCCCGAGCAGACGTCGACCACGAGGCTGTAGGAGATGTGAAGGGCGATGCCGGTGATCGACTCCTTATTGCTCGGCCTTGCCGCATGGTGATGATGAGTCCGATGTGGTGCCGAGGAGGGAGTCGAAACAGGTCGTGGCTCGCTCGAAGTTGCCTATATTCAACTATGCGCACACGGATCGGCCTCGCCGCGCGCTTAAAGCAGCTTAGTGGGAGCGTTGGTTCCTGCGCCCGCTAATGCTCATCATGCTGTGCGACTGAGTGGATTGAGTCTGGCCAGCTTTTCCCGGCGGATCTGCATACCTGGTCAATGCGCAATAGGCGACGCATGGCCCGGAGCCGCGTAACTTCTCGTCGGCTCTTGCATAAAGATGGCAGGTGCCATGGCTGAGAGGTTTTTTTCGCAAAGAAACCCGGAAATTTGTAAATTCATTGCCTTCACAAGATTGTACATTTTCGACGGTCCTTCTTGTCGCGGTATATCCTCGGCGGCTTGTTCGCATCGTAAAATCCAGTTCCTGTCGACTGATGGTTCATACCAGACCCTGGCGCCATCTTAGCGGGCCCCATTTGCTTCGCCGCGGAGGGTGACTGGCGCTGTCTCCGTAGTTGCCTGACAACATCAAAGAAAGCCTTTTCGACATTGATACAGTTCTTTGCCGAGGCCTCGACGAACTCGCAGCCCAATTCACGGGCTAAGGCCTGGCCTTCCTGCGAGGAGACTTCTCTTTCGTGGTGTTTGTCGCTCTTGTTACCGACCAACATGACAGGCACAGGACCAGAATATGTAGGAGCCGAATTCATCTGAGCAGGGAGATACGATGTCCCTGTTGGCGAGTTTGGATTGCCCGACTCTTTGACTCGCTGAACTTGGTTGTGAAACTTCTGTATCCGAGTGAACGAATTCCTTGATGTAATCGAGTAGACTAGTATGAATCCTTCACCATCTCTTATCCATTGATCTCGCAACGCTGTGTATTCTTCTTGTCCGGCCGTATCAAGGACTTCGAGCATGCAGGACTGCTGGTCGATAGAGACTTGCTTTCGATAGGAGTCCTCAATGGTCGGGTCATAAGTCTCAACAAAATGGTTCAGACATAGCTGTAAATGGTCAACTTATGCGTTGCTCTGGATGCCTGTGCTGTCACGGCGGGGACTCACCTGGATGGTCAAAGCTGTCTTGCCCACGCCTCCGTCCCCTAGGACCACCTGCAGTGGATTAGAAAATAAGAATACGTAGAGACCATATGCAACTCACCAGTTTGTACAAGGTCATTCGACCCGCCATCTCGCTTTGCGCCTACCTTCTCACCAGTATAGAGACCTCCCAATGGCCGTCCTATTTCCTCCAAAAAAGCCAACAAGGATAGTGAGGAGGACACCTTTGGATCGATTGTATTTTTGGTGAGAATTATGAGGTCTGAGGCGGGGTGAGGTCTAGGCTTCGAATGCGGCGGATGTTATTTGGCTTGCCGGCGGTCTCTGCAGAGACTGAGGGACTGGCGCACGCGGTTTGACTTTTGGCTAGAGCCTGTGTCTGATCTGGCAGGTCCAAGCTCCACGTGGTATGATGCCAAATGCAGCCTGTATCGCGTACGGAGGTATGCTTGTGTGCTATGTACCTGCACCGAATATCGCACAACTTGAGTGAGTTGGCTGGGGAGGAGTATGGTGCTTTTCTGCAGGTCCCTTGAGCCGCTTGCTTTTGCAATTCCGCAATCTGGGCGATCGACAGGTCGGGCAGCAGTGTTTGGAGAACGAGGAGCAAAACTGTAGGCCGTGAATGAAGATCGTCCGTGTGAAAGGTTGAAGTTTCTGTCGACCACAGTACTCTAATAAGTCGCGGCCCTGGGTACGCTGGGGGAAGTCGCTTATGAGAGGAACCGTGGGGTGAATATCTGCGACTGCTCGTCGATCTGAGAGTCTGGCTCGGGCAAGTCCTTGAGGACTGTTCTGAGAGAAGGTCGCAGTTGCCAGTGCTAGACAAATTGAAACTTTACTCTTGATGCAGGCCCTCAACCTTCGATTCGGGCCGTGGGGGGATGTGTGGGAGAAAATTAAAGCAGACGAACAAGTCTCTTTTCGCTGCCGGCGCAGGGGTCCCGTCCAGGTACTGTACAGTGTACTGTGCCTGTTGTCTGCCAACTGCTAGCACAGACTCGATATATATCGATACAACCCGCAAGCGAGGACTCCTGCCGGCAAAAGCAAAGGAAGTCCGGACCGAGAACCTCGACTATATTCCATCCTCAACCACGCCTTCAGCGACCGAGTATTTTGTGGTCCTCTCTCCCTATCCACATGTTAGCTGCAAGGTAGAGATCGACTAACAACGGGGGAAGCGTCCCTAGTCAACCCGACTGAGCCCGACTACTGGGAAGAAGACGGCACCAACGGCACTAACGAAGTCTTCCCTGGGCACCGGCTACACTGAGTCTACACCTAGCACGCCCATAGAGAGTGGCTGTTGGTTAGGGTCGACTTCCTCCACCAGCATCCCTGCGGCCATGTTTTTCTCGCTGGAACAGCCAAACCAACTGACAACCCATCAACATGCAAGCCACAACCTTCAGGGCGACCCATCCGAGTCCACTATCAGCATCCAACGTTGCACTTTGCTTCTCCCGAGAGCCAGTCGATGCACCATACAAGCCGAAAGCAGCACAGGCTCGCCTCTTTATCAGTGCTCGAGTTACAGTGCTACGATGTTATATCTCGCTATGTCCCGGCCTCATATAATTAACGACCTCTGACCACAAGTGCTAAGGGCCAACGGGATTTAGCCTGCCAATGCGGCCGTCGGGGAACACACGTCGTCGCTTCTGTCACCACACGTCTGTCACTTTTCTCATAGCGCGTCTGCTAGGAAGTCGACGTCTGTTTCTCGAAGTCTGACCCAAGTTCGTTTATACCCCACTTCCGAACTTGTGCTCTTTATCGGCCAGTCAACGGTTCGAGATGACACCTTCGGATGTTTCAAGCGCACGTTGCCGCTGCTGACAATGGGCATTTGTGCTCCGGATATGGCAGACGGCTATATCTGCGCAGCAAGGAGGATCCCATGTTCATGCATGGAGGCTCTGGCTCAGGCCAAGTCGACGTTCTTCCTGTAGTCATCAGGCAATAAGACCTGCCATTCCGCAGCTAGTCAGCACCTGCGACATTGGGTGCCGGTCGTTTGTACTGTGCGTGTGTTATGCTTATCTGTAGGCCACGAGTCGTACCGTCTTATACGCAACGCCGTGGGTGGCTGTTCTTCCTGCCATACTGATTTCAGCACAGACATGCGCCACACATAAGGTTCGACCTCTCATAGGCAATCCGACATTACGAGTCGCTGTCTTCTGAATCGGGTCGCATACACGAGGTCGTTGATTTGCGGATCAGTCATCCCCATGCTTTCGCAGCCTTCAAATGCAGCCCAAGCAGGACCGCGCCGGTAGGTGGAACTCAAACTGATTGTTGTTGTTGTTGTTGTTGGTGTTGGAGTTGTCTGTCTTGCATGCATCACGAAATTGGCACCACAGAGCTATCGTCCGCTTCGCTCCGCGACGCCTCGCAGCTGGAAGACGCAATGTCAATCCCGAACCCACATCACAACTGGCCACCAGGGCGAACCGAAGCGCAACTCTTCAGCGCTGTGGCTGATTGTCCATTCTGGCATTCTCGCGTGGCAGATCTTGACAACATACCTTGTTTGCAAAAGATCGCCTCTCTTCCCCAGATCATCCGAAGATCTGGCCGCGACGATCCTCCAGCGAGTCGGCAACTCTTCCCATTTGTCTAAGACGAGCAGTCCAATTTCTGCCCAGCATCTCGAATGCTGTTGTTGAGCACAGCGAAGAGCGGATTTGGATCAGCATTGGCATCTCGCCCGCTGCACCGCCAGTCTTTCAGACACTGCATTTCAGCCACTTACTTTGCATCGAATCTACCATCAGGTCACGCATGTGGGTGCGATCTCTTCTGACATGTTGAAATTGCAGATCCACCGAGTGCTGTTGATCATCGGTTGGTCATGGAGCCGCAGGGCAGGCAGCAGAGCAGACGCCCTTGTCTGCAGCAATCAACACCCGGACTCCCCACTCACAGTCGATTGACGGAACATTTGACCATGGCATGAGTTCGGCACGGGCAACATTCTGCGCAGGTCAACGGCTCCATGACCACGACGTTCCGGATAATTGCGGTACCTTGACAGCTATGGCAATCGTCTCTCGATACGACTGCCTACAGGCCATCGTGCGTAGGGCAATTGTTGTAGGCCTATGAGGCAAGCTTCTGCTGCACACAGATCCAGCATTGAAGAACAAGTAATCTTCAGGCTATACTATATCGTTGAGCGATGCTCCCTAGAGGCAAAGAGAGGTTGAGCTGCTGTGGTGAGCGGACATGATCGTCATAGCCATGCTGTTCCTTTGTTCAAGTATGGTAAATGATTTTGGAATCATTCCGCTCGCCTACCCAGTCCGGCTTTATGGTCCGCCCAAGAATTTGAGGACATGCCTTCTGGAAAGCATACATGCTTACCTATGCCTCTCGCCCGAGAACACCATAGATAACTTCAAATGCACGTGATTACTATCGACGAGGCCTTCCAACGAAGGGTCACACAAGGTATAAAGACAAGAAGAACAGTCGGACTCCGATCGTGGGGCTGGATTTCTGCCAAGCTACGACGTCGTTCATGTTTCTTCGGCGTCATCGGTTTCGAAGATAGGGCTACATTGTATACACTCGATCCACCAGGGGACCACGTTCCGAATAGTCTAGATCAGTGTAAAGTCAAAATCACCATCGAAGTCGATCACTCAAGACCACGCCAGTACGGTTGCCTGTATCGCCTGAGCCCAGGGTTGAGAAGTTATGGCAGAGGTGAGACTAGGTGTACGCAAATGAACCCTGAAGTGACTGATGGCTGTGGAAAGGAGACATCGCATACGAAGTTTTCGACAGAGAAGTTCTCCGATGAGAAAGGCCACTTCAAGAGGACGGAGAGCCACTTCAGGCACTCGGTTCAAGAGGGATCACGCTTCGCGCCAGAGCGAGACCGGTAAGATGCATCCTCAAGAAGCGGCGAACACGATAACATCACACGATCAACCTTCCTAGGACAAAATCCCACTTCATGCTGCTAACAACCACTCTTCTTGACACCAACAGATATGTGCTCTATGCCAACTATGGTTGTCCCTGGGTACGCAATTCCGTCCACCTATTATGGCTGACTCTCATCCGCTGACAGGCGCACCGAACCATAATTGTGCGGGCACTCAAGTCCCTCGAGCCTATTGTGCAACTTGTTCTCACAGACTTTGATTTGTCGGATGAGGGCTGGATGTTTACTGGACGCAATGGGTCTGAGTCTGCCGAGCCGCTTTACGGCTTCACGCATCTGAAGCAACTCTATCTCAAGGCTGATCCCGATTACGTCAAAGAAGGACGAGGCCGAGTAGTCGTCCCAACTCTATGGGACAAGAAACTGGAGACGATCGTCAGCAATGAGTCTTCTGAGATGTGAGCAACCCCCTCGTATCATGTCGGGTTTGGGACCTTCGTTTTGAGCACTTGGGGCGTTCGAGACCAAGTGCTCTTCAGACACAGTCCTGACGAAAGCGGAACTGTCTAGTATCCGAATGTTCTACTCAGCATTTGACTCCTTCCTGGATCCCCAGCATCGCGAGGTAAATCAGCCAGCCGGAGGATTGTATCCCGAGAATCTACGTGGTGAGATCGACGCTATGAATGAGTGGGTTTATGACACGGTCAACAACGGAGTCTACAAGGTCGGGTTTGCTGGGACTCAGGAGGCGTACGACGAACATTTATATGCTCTTTTCGCTTCCCTGGACCGGCTTGAGAAGCATCTGGAGGATCCAGCGCATCAACCTTACCTCTTCGGCGAGCACATTACTGAAGCCGACGTCCGCCTTTACACCACCATGGCTCGGTTCGACGCGGCGTACTATCAGGTCTTCAACTGCAACTTACGCATGATGCGGCATGGCTATCGCCGTATTTACCGGTGGCTACGGACACTGTACTGGGATGAGTCTGATAAGACCAACGGCGGAGCGTTCAAGAACACAACTCACTTCGGTAAGTCGGCTTCTATCATTCATCGTTGCGTCATCTCTTGACGCTTGCTAATGCGATACGTAGACACCTACAAGCACGGCTATATCAAAGCCAAATACCGTCAGCTATATGGTCCCGGCTCGAATAATGTTCTGATTATTCCTCGTGGCCCTCTTCCGCCCATCGATCCACTTACGGATGAGGAGGAGCAGGAGTTATCAGGAGCAACTGTTACGTCTCCTGTCGAAGGCTCCAATGGTGCCAACTTGGCTAGTTTGAGCATCAACGATGAAGCCAAGACCAATGGCGGTAAGCGTACGGCTCATCAAGATGAGAATGCGAAGTGGTACAAGGCTGCAAAGAAGGCGGAAAAGCAAGCTGGGGCGGCGAACTTGCACCTTGCCCAATCGTAAATACAGAGTCGCCTGGGTAATCTCTCCCCAAGAGATCAGCCAGGAGCCTTGACTGCTGCTCAATAGCGGTCCTTAGGACAGGGAGGACGCAGAAGGTGTGGCAGTCCTTGACTGATGGCCCCAATCATTTCAAGGTGGGCCTCACTGAAGCGTCAGTCAGTGAGGCAAAATTATTGTTGGTTTCCTGGTCAGGGAGGGCACTGTAGGAATTTCGGATTTGATTCTGGGGATCATCGTAAAGCCGTAAGGAAGTACACCTGAACAATCACACCATTTGATCTTTTGGAGAGTACCTACGCAGCGTCGTGAATACTTCTTTTCCCTACGTCACTGAATGCAGTCCTGAAGACCTCGGGATATCGGACATTCTCCGAGTCATCGCAACTTCTTTAATTATACACGGAAGGTTACTTGTAGGCAGTGACAACAACTTCGTGATCCAGCATCGTACTTGGGAGCACATGACAGTAGTAGCAAGGTCACGCTACACGCGGAAGTACACATTCGCAATACCCGTGTCTGAAACCTACAACCTCCGGCGCCAAACGGTGTCGTGATCATGTCCGTCTCAAATCCGCCGAAAGCATTTCTCACAGATGTCTTCGGCACGGTGGTAGACTGGAGAGCCACGGTGACCACACATTTAACGAAATCCGCAGAGGAGGTCCTCAACTCATCAGCTCGATCTCTTCCCTCAGCAACTCGCGCCGCCGCGTCCATAGTCTCCTGGCCAGACTTTGCCCAAGCCTGGCGCAACACTTACTACCACTTCACGCGGTCCTACACCCCGTCTGCTACCGTCCCATTCAAGTCTGTCGACCAACATCACCTGGATAGCCTGATCAAGCTTCTCTCCGACCATGGCATCTCCGATCTATTCACAGAAACCGAGATTCACAAGCTCTCACTTATATGGCACTTTCTCGATCCATGGCCGGACTCCTCAGCAGGTCTAGGCCAGCTGAACGACCAGGGTTTCATTACAGCAACGTTGAGCAATGGCAATACGAGTCTGCTTGAGGATCTGGCGAAGCATGGCAGTCTACCATATACTCACATTGTGAGTGCGGAGGACTTCGGAGCGTACAAGCCGCATCCAGATGTCTACTTGGGAGCGGCAAAGAAGTTGGGCTTCAAGCCGGAAGAGTGCTGTCTTGTGGCGGCACATCTTGGGGACCTGAAGGCAGCGAAGGGTTGTGGATATCAAGCTTGCTACATTGAAAGGAAGCAGGAGGAGGGATGGCCGCCGGAAAAGGCGGAAGAGGCGAAGAAAGAGGGATGGGTTGATATGTGGATTACTGTGGAGGAGGAGGGTTTCAAGGAGGTCGCGAGGCGATTTGCTGGGAGGGACAAAGGTGTCAAGCTATGATCTTGAAACTCGAGGTAGCTGGCAGCCCGGTGCTTCTGATAACACCGTTGTAAACAAGCACAATGCCATCAGCAAGCTCGGCTCAGGCCGTCAACCTCATGAGCTCGTTCTCCTGGTCACGTAAAGGGCTGTTCAGACATCGGCGTAGTAAATGATCCTAGGTCACAAGTGACGTTAACCAGTGGCTGCTGTTCAGGTGCCTGTGTGTCTGCGACATGAGATTGGCGTAGCTCAGTCAGCATAGCTCACTCAACACAGCTCAGTCAAAAGAGCTCAGTCGACATGGTTCAGTCAATAGATCTCGGTCAACACAGCTCAGTCAAGATAGCTCAGTCAATGTGGGCTAGTAAGCGTGCTTCACTCAAGATAGCTCAGTCAACATGCTTCAGTCAACATAGCTCAGTCAATCAGGACAACACCCTTCCCTCTGATCTTGTTTGCCTCCATCAATCATGGGCGTCGACCAGCTCATCGAACTTGAAGACTTTGCCGATCGGGACGTGCATCTTACCCTCTGCTACATTCTTGACCATGTCAAGTAGTGGCATCTCCAGGAAGTTCTCTGGCCCGCCACTGTACTTGGTCAGAAAGACTCCAGATGGGATGTCAGCCATCGGCGAGAACTCCTTGAGGGTCCAGCTATTCCCAACGATGCCCGTCATGCAGCACACGCCTCCCTCCGCAACGCACTGCAAGCTGTCTCTCAAAGTGGTTGTGCCGACCAATTCCAAACATCTCATCACCTTCTTCTCCCCAATCAACACTTTGGCCAGCTCCCCATCATCTTTCACGACCTCATCCACGCCAAAATCCTTCAGCAGTTTCTCTGTCTCTGCATCCACCCTTCTCGACGTCCCAACCACAGTACAGCCCATCGCTTTTGCCAGGCCAGCAGCGGCCAGACCCACACTCGTTGTGCCGCCTCTGATCAGCACCCTCTCTCCTTTGCCTTCCTGAACTCCTAGACCACGTACAAGACTTCCCCAAGCAGTCTGCAACATCTCCGGCATCGCGCCCAACACATCCCAGCCCAGCTGAGTCGCTTCCTTTCCCAGACTCCTCACATTGCCCGCTTCAACACAAGTGTACTCGGCGTACCCACCATCAAACAATCGCCCCATCCCACCCATACAGACTGCGACTCTCTCGCCTTCCTCAAAGGTGACTTTGCCCTTTCCAACATCTCCGCCCAGTTTTGCAACAAGCCCAACAGCCTCGATGCCAAGAACACGCGGCAGCGTTACGGCAGAGGGAGGAGAGTGGCCCTGACGAGTGAAGAGCTCGGAGCGGTTGAGGCCGAAGGCATGGATGCGGATGAGGACTTGGGAGGGTAAAGGTGTAGGGATGGGAAGGCTGGCCAGGGACAGGACTGATGGCGGGCCGGGCTTGGTCATTTGCCAAGCGCGCATGGTGGTTGCCATATTGCAGAATTGTCTGCGAGATAGAATTGTGTTGTTGTGACGGAACAGGTTCCTGCTCGGTCGAGCGATGTTGTGCTGTGAGATTGAGTGGATAGAAGTGAGAGATAGGAACGCAAAGGCTTCCCGGGGGCAGCAGGCGTATATATAGGCAGTCCTCGATGGCAGCGGGATCAGCGTGCAGCAGACCTACCTGTAGTATGCCACGCGGACGAACATCGAAGCGTTCTTCGGCGACTCCTGCAGTTGTCTCTTATCATTAGCATACTTTCTGTAATGTAAAAATTGAAGAAGGTGTGTAGTCTCGCGCTCCGACGGCATCCAACGTCATTTAAGACGAATTGGGCAAATGAGGCCTTCGCTTGCGGCTGCATTTGACTTTGAGGCACCTTGTCTTCCAGACAGCTTCTCATGCTGTGAGAGGCCCGAGCCAGCCAACGGCCAGCTCTCAAGATGGAGATGTGTAAATCCGGGGAACCCAACGGACATATGCTGTGAGGTCGACGACAGAGATTCCGAATGTGCGAGACAGAGGGGTTCTCATGCGTGGGAAGTGCAGTAGAGATTCTCTATCAAATTCTTGCTGATTCGTCAACAGCGGCGTCGGAGAAGAAAGCCCACCCGGTGCCAGTGCCAGTTTGGACGACCACATATGCGTTTCTCATGGCTTCATCTCCTCGACGAGAGCACTCTTCGCATCTGTTAGACCATTCCAGCAACGATAGTCTGCTTGGTAGGACCAAAGATTTGAGGCCTCCTCGTGGTAACATCCCGTAGTCACCTAGGGTGTGAGAAGCTATCTGAACAGTCTGGCCCCAGATACAACGGGCTGATACTCGCATAAAGACAGGGAAAGGAGGGGACGCGAGAGCTACATCCTGGTCCAATGACTTCAGTAGCGAAGTTGAATCACGAATTGTGTTCGTGCTACACATTATAGCCGTTCATGCCATGACTTGCCTCGTACCTGTCAAAAAGCGATGCACGTGGTCACTTTTGGTTCCGGTCCGCTAAGCGAATGAATACATAGGCAGGCTGTTCAATCGATTTGTGAGGTCGGAAGACAACAGTCATGAGATTGGTACCGAGAAGTCTGGGTGCATGTGAAAACCGTGTCTGTGGGGATGCTGATCAAGGATATTCGCAAGCACACGTTGATGTGATAGTGATAAAGGGTGCTGCAACGTCCAGCCAAGGATATTAAATCACACGAACCCAATGTACCGACTAGTTCGGCACGAGGTCCGTGCTGTGAAGGCGTCGCGCTATTTCATACCCATGAGCACCATGAGTGCCGCACTGCAACGAGGGAATCTGTTCATGGATCAACATCAGTGCGCAGACCTCTCATGCATACGATGTGTCCGGGCTACTCCAGAGACTGCATCAATCGATCCGCTCATATCGAGGCACATTGACCAGAACCAGAGCCTGCGTGTTCCATTGGGGAGGCCTGGTGAATGGATCGTACGTGTGTGATATCATGCTTCAAGGTTACCAGAAAGGTCCCAAGCTCATGGCAGACGTACCTTTATGCAGTATGTCGGGGGAGGATCTCGTCTGCTGATGATTAGTGGTGGAACAAGCGGACTCGAAGCAATCTTCACATGAGCTGATGATAGTGTTGATTAGCAATTTGACAGCGATCTGCGTGCGGTAAGCTCGCGTCCAGCGTACTGTGTATCGAGCAACCCTAGCACCGCCGAGGCAGAAGCCCGCTGGCAAGAATGTCGGGAGTGTCCGTGATGACTTCCAGGTTCTGAGCAAGGTCGTGCCTCCCGATCTGAAGCACGATAGACTTTACCTGCATGAGCTCGACCGCTCCTGCCCACGCAACATTCTTGTTCCTCTTCATGCTACTATTTGCTGAGCACTGCAGTCGTGATCGATGACATGCTTGATGTCGTCTCTCGAAGATGCTGTGCACTCTCCTTGGTAAGCGACAATGACTAGCAATAACCACTAGGTTTTGGCCGCAGTTTTTGTCGAAATTAAGATTGAGGTCCATTGGGACAGAATTTTCCGATCATCTCTGCCCCGCTCGAGACTACAACCTTGAAACACACTTGGCCCTGAAGCGACTGGAAGACCGGCAAGCCTCTGGACGCCAGTGTCGTCCGTGTCAGCAACGTTCGCCAAAGAGCTGCATGGGCTATGCATCCCGGGCATATGGCTACAGCTTTTAAAGCCCAGACTACTGCAATCAAGGCCGTGCGATCCCTGAAACAAGATACTGGAACTGGTAACTTTACTCGACATTGCAAGTCGCACGACTTCAGTCACTGCAACATTCACAACACCGACGCAAATGAAATCGTGAGATGGTCGACTGCGTCTGACCGTCAGGCAATGATACCCTACGCGAGTGCTGGCTGAGCGCCTGGTCACAGTCGGTCATTGTGGGGTGACAGCAGGGCCACAACGGTGGTTCATTCACATCTCCACTGGGCCGCCAACACCGCCGCATAAAAGCCGTGATCCTGGATTTTCGCCGTCTTTAGCAATGGTACGCCCAATAAAAATAATCGTTTCAGCCCGGACGGAGACGAGACCTCAGGAAGGCCCCGATCCGAGCCCCTGTAACTAAACCTACGTCGACGCTAGCATGTTCCTGCATGAATCCCAAGATCACCCATGATTATTCGAGCTCCGCAGGCCATACGGGACCCGCGACGCAGCATGACTCCCCTCAAATCTTCACACAGGAGGCCGTTGTGCCCAGCTCCGCCAGTACAGGCGTCCACTCAATCCATCTTGCTGGTTCAAATCATCCGACGCGAACCTTGCCCTCGACCCCAGATTGTTGAGGCGTTCGGAGAGTGTGCTGTTGCTCGCACGTCGAACTGCCGTGTAACATTCGATGGGAAACATCGTCTGACAGCATAACCTGATCTTCAGCACTGCAGCACGTCCGCCATCCAGGTCTGGTCTTCGTCTGAGGCAGTCTCCCGAGACGTGCTTTCAACACGACACACATGCCTGGGAAGAAACAATCGCACGGTAATTCGTGCTGAGGGACTACCAACTGCGCTATCTGGGGTTCAAGCCGCGGAGGGCGACATGGAGGTCGAGACTGCATTCAATCTGCCTTCACCCACCGACACGCCGTACCGCACCCCGTCAAGTACTCGATCGAACTTCGACGACATGTCACCCGCCACCACACCGCCTCCCATGGGCGAAGATCGTGCCAGCAAACGGCGAAGCACCGATTCCATCAATCCCGCCCTGGACGATACCATCTCCCCACTCGACCCGCGCCGATTCACTCCGACCTTGCATGCCTCACTTGTGTCCGAGATCCTGTCGCTACGCAGAGATCTTGAGAGCAGATCAAAAGATATCGAGAGGTTAGAGCAAAGTCTACACCAATCACAACAACAAAATGATGCCCTCAACACGAATCTACTCAACAGTAACAAGCAGACGCGAGAAGTCAAGCGACAAATGCAAATGCTGGAAGGTGGCACATTGTCGGCGATCAGTGACTTAGGTCACGAGCGAGACAAAGCACTGGAAGAAGTGGCAGAGTTGAAGCGAAGGCTGGAGCAATCTCAGAAACGCGCAAAGAGCCATGAGGACACCGCTGAGCGTACCCAAGCACTATGGAACAGCGACAAGGACTCATGGATGGGGGAGAAGCGCGCGATGGAGACAAAGGTCCAGATTGCTGAAGGTCGCCTCAAGGTCATCATGAGCGAAATTGCCAATGTGCATGCAAGTGATAGATTACACTCCCCTGAGCGGACAAGATCCCGCAGCGACAGCCGCAATAGTGTCCGCGAGAGCCCCAGCAAGAAACGGGAGTCGCGACTAGGAAGAAGGGCCAGCGCGTCATCTGTCCACAGCGACCATATTGGCGGCAGGGTGTCAGCCCTGAGCTTCGTCAATGGAACTGGCTTGAATTTGGCCGATGAGCTGGCATTCGACGAGGAGGAGGAAGATCACCTTGCTGAAGACTACGCAAACGGCCGGGTGTCTCCTGACGCATTGCCAGAAGAGCAGCATGATCCACGCCCCTCATCGAGCTTGTCAATCAAAGCTCGCAAGATACTCGGCCTGCCGTTAGAGTTTGGTGAGCAGGACAAGGAGAATTCGGATCCTGAAGCAAGACCAACAAGCAGTTACGTCGACACAGCTGTGCAATTCTCACCACCACCTTCGCCGTGGCCTCGCACAGAAAGTCAGATGAGTCAAGCCATGACACAAAGCATGAAAAGATCATCGAAACCGACGGATCTACATCTCGTCAACGGCAGGCTCTCTGGCTCAAGTGCACGTAGTCCTACAAGCCCAACTGACAGCAGAGACTCGCGCTATGATTCGACCTATGCGCCGTGGAATCATACTGGTCCTATCATGGTGTCGTCCGGTGTGCAGACTGTCGAAGCACTTCCAAGTCCTCCCTTGACGCCCGAGAAGTCCGATGTCTTGTCAATCATTCACGAGAGCGCAGCAGAGAATGTCGAGATGAAGACTAGCGCCACGCAAACAGAGCATTCTGGTGCTATAACGCCCCCATTGCCTGAGAGAAGTCCGAAACCGCGAAGCTGGCAACACCTGAGCACGGAATCTGGCGAGTTGCACATTCCTCTGATCAACATCGTCCCACCAACCTCCCGTCCGACCACACCTACAGCAACTGGCAATGTCGTTCTTCCGCCTCGGACAAGAAACGCAGGAAGTCAGGTTGCCCCATCAGACCTGGGCAGTTATGTCTCGACCCCAATGCAGACAGAAGAGATCAGAGTCGATCGCAGGAACATTATTCCCCTAGCCCAAATGCCTTCACTGCCAACTTCGACAGCGCCGCCTGCCAACGCATTCAAAGCTCCCGTTTCGACGAGGGTCGTACCGCCCCGCAGGAAGACAGCGGCTCCCATAATCACAGTCGCACAACGTACGGTTGGTATGAACGTGGGAATGTCACGAATGCCACCTTCCAATGACAGCGGCCCACTCAGTAGGGAGGCTGTCCAAGGTGACACCGCTGGCCCAAATCTACCTCGTCCGGTGCGATCTAGCAGTCTGTATCAGGGCTATCAAGACGAGAATGTAGAAGAGACCGACAAATTCGAAGAACAAGCATTTGAAGACGATGACATCTTTTCGCGGCCGACCGGCAAATTCACCTTAAGGTCGGGTAAGATGGTCCCTCAAGACATCTTAGAAGACATTGGGGAAGTTCGAGCCACTGAAGCGGGTGCAGCGGCTGCTCTAGAGAACCTGAGACTCTCCGAAGACAGCCTCTCGTCCGACATCACAAAACAGATCAACAGAGACATAGTGCAACGCGGCAACAGTGGCAGCCTCAAGTCCCTAAAGAGGATACCATCTGCTCGGTCGAATAACATGCGACGAGCGGCACTCATCTCAAGTGGATCAGCCGCGCATCGCGCATCGACCTCGCAGTCTACGAATGCCTCAGCGGACAGCGGCAATCCACCTCCATTCCCTGTGCCTCTGAGGTATAGCTCAGCTCGCATCACAAGGAGCGAGGGCGGCCGAAGCTCTCGAGCTAGCAGTAACACCTCTCCTACAAGAACTTCGAGGCTGAAGAGGCAGGTTCTGCGCAAGTCACGCTCTGGTCCGGCGATCTCTCCTTATGGCGAAGGAAGACGGAGCAGAAGTCGTTCGCCTCCACTTGCTTCGCGAGTCTCGATTGTGCCGGAAATGCCCACTTTCCAGATGCCCGAGCAGACGCCCTCGTTTCTCAATGCCCCGTATGCCCCTCCTGCGCTGCAAGAGGCCAGCGCACCAAGACCGTCCATTGCTACAGGACCACGAAGAGATAGAAGTGGTACTCACGTCAAGCAAAACTCTGACGCTGGTCTTCTCAATCAGACTTCTGTGGTTGACTCGATTGCGCAAACTATGATTGGCGAATGGATGTACAAGTATGTCCGAAGACGTAAGTCATTCGGCATGGGTGAGAAGCAGGATAATTGGGAGACTGGTAAATCGGTCGACGAAATATCAGCGAATGTGACCACCAATGGCGTCCGGCACAAGCGATGGGTATGGCTAGCTCCTTACGAAAGGGCAGTCATGTGGAGCAGCAAGCAGCCGACGTCTGGTTCTGCGTTGATGGGCGGCAAAAGCGGCCGGAAGCTGATCATCAAATCTGTCCTGGACGTCAAGGATGATAATTCAATGCCCAAGGGATCTATCTCTGGGCCTCATTTCAACCGCTCGATCCTCATTCTAACACCTCAGAGAGCGCTCAAGTTCACAGCTCTCACGCAAGATCGGCATTTCGTCTGGCTGACAGCTCTGTCATTCCTTTCTCATTCTCCTCTGGGCATGAACGATCTCGATGCCATGCCTCCACCTCCAGAAGACAATACCGCGCAGATGCCACCACCACCTGCGTCGTTGGCAGGCTCTTTCCGGCGACGTCCCATCCGTGACTCCATTCGCATTGCCAAGGGGACTCGTCCTCAGCAAAGCATCCGCTCATTCACGACAGACAACTCGTACCCTCACCTGCAAGAGCAGTACGAAGGCGAGAACGAGTACTACGACCCGATGAATGATCCTGCATTGCCACCTACTATCAAGCGCTTCCACACCCGAAAGCGCAGCAATACTGCCCCTCGCGCACCCCCGAGCTCATTCCGCGGTGCGTTCTCTCAGTACGTGCCCAACATGCCAGGCCCAGGATCCTCGCATTATGCAACAAGCACGGCTGTCACTTCTGCCACAGGCTCCGATCGTGGTCTGTACACACCGAGCCTTGGTATTCCGAGTTTGGCATCATCCCGTCGCGGCAGCGAGTCGTCGACAGCAGGAAGACCACATCCGCATCAGTTCCTCTATCAAGATGCCGGCAACAATAACAACATGGTGCGCATCGACGCGTTTGTCGACAATGCCAGACATGCGAACAACCACAACAGACCGCCGCTTGTTAGCAACGGCAGCAGTGGTAACGCTGCGATTTACAACAACGGGCCCATCAGCCGTGGCAACAATGGCCTGGGTGGCGTTGGAGGGCCGCCGCAGCTGAAGAAGCCAGTTTTTCCGAGCAGCAGTAGTTGGGGCATTGACGAGGAAAGGCACAGCTATTCACCTGTTGACAGTCTGATGTATCATGAGATGCAGCTTGCAGTTGAGGCGCCACCTAGTGTCCCAGCCAGTGCGAGAGGAAGTGAGGACAATCGAGCGGACTGGTTTCGCGGCTTCTGAAGAAGGACTGAAGATTCGGGACAAACCCAGAAGCTAAGAGAGAACACATGATCTGACATAAAGGTTATGTACGACCAACACGTGGAGGACTTTCCTTTTCATGTCATAAAGGACCAAGCGCAAGCTTCGAAAATCAAGCAGGGTGATGACCGTCTCACGAGTTAGCACATTCTGCTAATTCAGCAAGGGACTGAGGCGTTCTGGGAGTCATTCAACGATAGTGACTGGCATATGAAATTGCTTATTGTTTAATAGTCCGCAGTCGGTCGGTAGGGCGGGCTCTGGTGGTATGTCTTCTGTTAGCGACAGTCAGCGACTTGGCGATCTTCCAACGGGCATATGCTTGCCTTGTACATAACCTCAATGTAACAAAAGCGGGCAATTGTGTCTTTTTACACTTGGTCTCTCTGCCCAGTCTGTCCCAAGAGGGGTGGTAGGAGTCATCTGTAGCAGTTGCAATGAAGGCCCGATGTCTGGGTCGAGTCTTGGCTTGATCTTGGTCTTTCTACTCTAAGAAATGTCTAGAAACCGTGAGTGTTCCTACCTGCCTTCAGTCGATGAACACATTGACACAAGTCCGCGGGTAAGTACGTTGGTGACTGCTTCTTGTGATTGTTTCTATGTCTACCTGCAATCCCATCAGCAAAGATCCAGGAAACTATAGCTCACTTCGATCCGTTGGTCAACGAGTCGCCTTCTTAGCCATCTGCGTCTGCACTCCGAAGCAGCATCAATGCCATTGAAGACTGCAACACTCTCACAAGGTCCTCTTCCAGTCATGCCTGTCGCAGTCGGACTGTCGCCATCGCCCTCCCTCACTCAGCTCGCCTACCAGGTGGCTTAGCAGCACGGGCGCTTCGAAGGAATGGGATCTCGCTCCGGCATCCATCTGCGCCGCCTCTTCGCAGCCTTTGCTATGCCAACACCTGAGAGTCCAATCACGCACCCTGCCTTCCGTCTCACCATACACGACAATTACAGCTTCGCCTTCTCCCCCACCTCGCCAACCTTCAACGAACTGCCATACTTCTTCAGCACGCTCTCATTGTGGTATTTCCAGAACTGTTTGGTCGCGTCCTTGCCCGCTACACGCTTGAGGATCTTGCTGCCGCCAGGGTGCTCGTCGACGAATTTCGTCACATCGTAGACTGATGTATCGACGATTCTGTTCAGATATGTCAGTCTCCAGGATGACGCGAGGAGGGAGAACGGGAGCGTTCGGGGTAGCGAGAGGCATGAGAAACGTACATGTACATGCCATTGTCAGGGCTGTTCTTCTTCGCGACATCGTCTTTGGTGAATGTTTTGCTCATCTTGGCTTATTATGCGATCCGCGAACAGGAGACGGCGGACGATTGGACTTGCTCCGGGGCGACTTGAGCGTTCTGTGACTTGCTTTACTTGCCACTGCTCTATTGCGCAGGTTCCTCGATGGGGTTATCTAGAATTGTGCGGAGATTAGGTCGCAGTATACTGGTCCTGATGGTCTGATACTGCTGTAGAGTCTCTGAAGTCAAGCGATTCAGACTTGGGGTATGTCTGTATAGGTAGTGAGGGACCGGAAGCGATCCGTGGAAGACACAGGGTGTCTCTAATGCGAGCAGAGGGAGCGTCGGCCGGCTAGCGGTGACTTGTAGTTGCCGAGGCTCACCGAAGGTGTAACATCCAATCATGACCAGGCAATTAGTGCAGCAAGAGTAATCATTCTCCGGGGCAAAACTTCTTTGGAATCGATCAGAATGGAGGGCAATGCCAGGTGGGCATTGTGCACGGCTACTGGCGACGCCTGCAAGTTGCACGGGTGCAAAGTTCAGTTATTCGGTCTGCTGAAGGTCTCTCAGCGTCAGCCGGTCTGGTCTGGTATCATCGTATCATCCGGTCTGATATATGCTCCGCCAGAGATCGTCAGCCGGTTTGGCGAGATGTTGTCATCCGGCTTCGCATAAGGTCAACGTGTCTGAGCATGCACCTATGTGACCACACCGCTGTGCCACAGAGACCTCAAGTCAGTTCATGACTTCCGAGGCCGCCAATGAAGGCTCTCTACCAAAATCGAAAGTGCATGACCGAATCTGTATATCGTCTCTCCCTCAGCTCTGATCTTATGCAATTGTGAGAAGACCATTAGCCAGGGAGGGCCCTGTTACGGGAATCCGAATGGCGGCGGTGGTCTTCACACTGCCGCTCAGTCGTAAAATGAGTCTATACACGACCCAAGAGGGAATTCCAACAGGGCGGGCTCTGCATTGAAAGGTTCGCGTTTCCTAGACTACCCGCAGCGGCGTGATGTGAGAGACGGTATGAGACATCGGAAGGCCTTCGACTATCGCAATGCTATCGGTACCTAACAACGTGCCCAATACGACGCCAAGCTTTGGCAGAACACGAGCGATGTCCCAACAACGTGCTTGGAGCAATATCAGCATCAGAGGACCCTTGAGCTCAGTCACCACCACCATCCGCGCCCTCCTCCTCATCTTCGTCCCCATCCTCCTCGCCATCGTCATCCTTACCTCCGTTCAGCTCCCTGTTCAACATGGAGATCTCCGTCTCAAGCTTCTGTATATTCTGCGCAATCCTCTTCCTGATGATATTCGTAGTCGTCTTCTCCAACTGCTTTCTCTGCTCATCTATCTTGGTCTGCAACGTCGAGATGCGCTCCTTGGTAGCGGCATTCTTTTCGTCTTGCTCATTCTGTTCGCCGTGGTCGGCGTCGTCGTCCTCCGCATCACCGTCATCTGAGTCATCTCCGCCTTCGGCTTCTGAAGGACCAGCAGGTGTAGAGACTTCGCCGGCGGGAGTGGCAGCAGTGGTGGGCGCTGCTGAGCCAGTGACGTCGGGTGAGTTGGCGTCGGAGGTAGCGAAGCCGGAGGAGTCAACATGATGGCCGTTCGCGATACCGTGGGACGCTTCGGCCATGGAAATGTCTGCGTCGTCTTCATCATCGCCACCACCCATGAGAGCCTCCAACTCGTCGACCTCATCATCGCCAACATGTCTTTGGGCCGCCTCCGGGTGTGGATCATATTCGAAGTAGCCCTCTTCCTCTTCCTCATCTTCATCCTCCTCCTCATCCTCCTCGGCCTCCTGTGATTCAGAGTATTGATCGCCATCCTCGCCTCTCTCTTTGGGATCATAGTCGAGTATCGTGTAAGATGTAGAAAATGCCTCGGCATCCATCTGGTCAAGTTGATTGACGCGACGCTCGACGGCCTCGATGTGGTGCGTTGACTTTCGTTTCGTTCGATCGAATCTTCGCTTGCGAACCCAATGCATCGGCGCAGTAATGCCATGGGCGTATGCATATGTCTTTGGATCGACTTCTTCAGGCAATGGATATTTTTTGGCTTCTTCATCAGTAGAGACTTTTCCAAGGACGAGTAGCATTTGACAGACGTCGATGCTCTTTATGAAGCGCTTGCCGTCCCACGACTTCATGCCCTCGATCAAGCATGGCAGGTCGACAAGGCTAGCAGCGTACTGAGTCTGGCGGACGCGAACAACGCAGCGTCGACCCCTGTCGTCAAGGACTCTGACACTGATATCTGCTCCGCCTTGAGCTTTTGAAATGCCCATGGTGCCCTTGTTGATGGCATCTCTGATGTAGTCGCAGTCCGGGCCAGGAAGCATTCGTAGCATCATGCCCTCGAGTATGACAGGATCTCTCTCCGATTCTGATAATTCGGAATCATAGCCAACTCCAAGTTTCCGCTTCTGTACTTTGCCTTTGGCTTTCAGATTGATAGCTGGCGTGACGGGTGTCTGCGCAATAGATGCTCTCTTATTTGTGAATCTGATTTTGCCGGCGCCAGCAGTAAGAGGCGTGTCCATGGAGACCGAACGACCGACATCGTTGTCTTCTCTCTTCCTCTTTTTGGCTGATCCATCTTTTCCCTTATTGCCGATGCTCAATCTGAGTGTAGGTGTGGCAGCAGGTGTGGCGGTAGGTGGGGATGACGGCGGCTGTTGTGTGCCGCTGAACATGAGCTTCAGCTTGGGTCTTGCGGGAGCCTCCATGTCGTCGTCGTTTGAGTAGTTCTCCTTGTCGCTCCTCTCGTCGGCGTCTGTAGGTGGTGGACTGATAGGCCCCTCAGAATAGGTGTCCTCCGGAGCGACGAATGCGACACTTTTCTTTCTGTTTGTGCGCCGACGCTTTGCTCTGCTGTTGTCTAACGCTTCATGGTCGATGAGATGGCTGGGACGGCGTAGAGCCGACTTGCGTTTGTTGGACGTCTTTGATTCAAAGGAGACATCGTCAGAGCTGATGTCAACTTCGGACGGCGCATTTTGGCGGTTCGCGTTAGCAAGGTTCTTGTCCCAGGCGCCAAGGGTTCTCATATCCGGCGGCTCTTTAGGATCGCCTGTGGGCGCTGGGGGCGGAAGGCTCGTATCCTTAGGCGCGGTGGGCAATGCAGGGTCAAAGCTGATGAAGTTGGCTTTCTTGGCTGCTTCTGCATTCAACTTTGCTCTTGTTTCGCTAATCTGGCATGTGTTTGTAGGACCAATATCGTGTAGAAACGCCCGAAAGCGATCAGAGTCGGAAGTCAGTGTGAGGAAGCCAGTTGCGGGTGTTGTCGGCAGCGCTTGAGAAGCTTGCGGACGCGAGTCCCGCCCAGTTTGGCTGCGGGGCGACGGGTGCCGGAGGCTCTCTTTTTCTTGGGCGACATATTGACTGCCACCAGAAGGCCAACTCAACTGAACACAAAGTCAGCTCAACTTAGTCAAAGTCATATATCTCACGGACCTGGCCAAGGATGTCGACTCTCAGACGGTATCTCTGAGACGCAATTATAATGACTTCGGCTTCTTTCAACCAGGCTCTTCTCCAGCCCGCAGTCCTTCAGATCTTGCGAGCAGCAGGCTTCAATGCTGCCCGACCTGCGGTCCTCGATACACTGACAGATCTCGCGGCACGGTATCTTCGTCTGCTCGCTGAGTCGACTGCTCAAAATGCGACAAACATCCACAACGACACCGTCGCGACAGTCCAGGATGTACGCTTGGCGTTGACAGAGAATGGCGCTCTTTTCCCTCAGATGACACCCGACGAAGAGGATCGCAGACCAGATGTCGAAGTCGCAGGGGAGATGGTACCGTTCGAGGACTTGCGAGGTGTGCAGGCATTCATCGAGTGGGCTCAGGGCAGCGTGAACAAGGAGATTCGACGGATCGCGGGAGTGTTGGATGACAAGGCGACTGATATTGATTTGGTAGCTGCGGGTGTCATGGACGGGAAGATGGATTATTTGACGAGTAAGTCTTTCCCTACTATGCTCTTTCGTTTCTTGTGATTCTGTGAAGAATCTGAGAGGCTGGGGCAGGCAGCTGCGGTCACAAGTGAAGCTTCTATTCAAGTCGCAACTACCTATTGATCCCGCCCAACCTCTTGACAGCAAAAAAAAAGACTGACGCTGATGTGAAATTCAGCACTCAAGAAACCTGGCAAAGGAGACGACGACTTCCGATTCCAAGGCACCTTCCTCGGCAAAGAGACAGAGCCACAGCCTATTATCATTGCTGGAGGAGATGCCACACTCTCAGACTTCATGGATCGATACAAAGCCAAAGTCACAACAGCGGCCATCGACGATGACGAAGATGGCAGTCCCGGCGACTCCTCTATCCTCAGTTCTGCACCGGTCACGCCTGGTGCAGACAATATTGCTACCGGCACTGTGACCGTATCTCTTTCTCTCACACCAGAAGCACCCGAGGTACCCATCGAGACATCCGCAGGGCCCTAGAAGGACCCCTCTCCAGCAATACCACAGCAGATGGAAACCACCATGGCCATTGACCCCAACCATCATTGCGATTGGTGTCAACACGGCGCAAGATTCCGCGCTACGCGCCATATCCAGTATTTGAGCGCTCGCTTGGGCGGCGGCAAACTCTGCTCAACGTGCTACCGCTTTGCTCCAACAGGAAATAACAGCAGACTTCCGTCAGCCAGGCCGGAGTTCAAAGCGCAGTGCAGCCACTGCGGGGAGTGGTCGAGGCATGAGGCTAATTCGAGCACAGCCAGATATATCATCAAGACGGACAAAGAAGATCCTACGCGACTCATTTGCAGGGAATGCAGGTTGGGACGCGTAGGATACTAGGTGCGCAGAGACCATGGCTTGCTTCAAATCCATGCATTGGCAGAGACACTCGATGCGTCGAGGTATGGTGTGGTGGCAGGTATGGCTCAGAGCGGTTCACATGGGAGCGAAGCGCGAACTATTCAGGAGATCAAACTATGACTTTGCCAAACAGAGACCACGGACGACACCGGACACTATGATACGTCCCAGAAAGACGCGGCGCGCAGCAAGCAGAGATCTCTTGGGGGACCAGAGTATAGTCTACACAGATGCAGGGTCCCAGGCCAATCACTGCGGGCTTGAATAGATTCTTATCTCCTCATTTCGTCTAGACACGACCATCACACCTCACTGAAGCCGGCGACAAGATTGTCAGCACCGGAAAGAGCTACTCGGTCCACTGACGGCTGCCCTCTACCATGCCAGCGTCAACCCCCATGCCACCACTTCTTGCCCCACTCATATGATCTCTCAATGAGTACGTCCTCGAGCATAGACCCCACCAACAACCCCCTCTCTCCCAGCAACACCGTACCCAGCCTCACCATTCCCACCCACCAGCCGCATGCCACGGCGAACCACTTCCCGAACCATGCCTTCACCCTCGTCCCGAGCAGCGACTGTAGGAGTAGAGGCAGCATCATCTCCTCCTCCCTGTGAGTCGTCGCCAGTGAGCGTAGCCGAAGGATCTGGGTTTTGAATGCGGGAAGTTTCGAAGGTAGTTGGGATAATATTCCGACACGACTCACCTGTCACATCCCCGTTCACGGGGTTGACGAACTGGTAGCACTGCGCTATGCCGTCTGTAGTGAATGTCGGAAGTGAGCCGGTGCCTGTTGCGGTAGCCCATGGGGCAGTGCCGTTGACGTCCAGCCAGGGCGAGCCGGAAGCTGAGGGGTAGGACGTGCTGGAGCTGCCGCCTGTGGCGTCGAAGGTTGTATCAGACTCAGAGGTTGCGAATGTGGAGCTGGCAGTGCTGCTACTGTTGTTGGTGTAGCTTGCGGTGCCGGCAGTGTTGGGAACAGAAGTGAGTGTGTTGTTGAAAGAGAAGTCGCTACTGGTGGCTGACGAGTAGGAGCCTGTGCCGGTCCCAGTGCCGCCAGACCAGCCGCCCGAAGCCGAAGATGCCGCGGCACCGGTCGACGAGGAAGTTCCTGTCCCTTGGCCACCGTTGACGTCGGTGCTGTTCGACCAGGACGACCAAGCACTGGAAGTGGAGGGACCAGTGATGCCGGGACCATGAGGAATCGTAAAGTTGGGGAAGATAGTCACCGTGACGGAAGAGGTGCAGGTCGTATCAGGAATCGGCAGGCTTCCGTTGATGCTTGGAGCTGGGGAGCCAGACGTGCTAATAGAAACAGTCTTGGTAATGGTCATGGTTCCAGCACTGGTGGCGTTGCTGGTTGTAGCTGTGAAAGTGGAAGTCATACTGCTGCTGCTCTCGGACACTTCGCCGCCGCTGGCGGTCGATGAGGCGGTGCTGTCTGACCCGTTGACTGCAGTTGAGTTCGGCCACGACACACTTCCGGTCGTGCTGGACTGACTCCCTCCAGTGCCTGTGCCATATGTCGAGCTGTCAATAGCGGAGACGCTTGTATTAGACCATGGGCTGCCGCCTCCGCTCGGCAACACGGTATTATTCCAGTCGACCCAGCCTGTTGGGGAGCCAGTCATGCTGCAGCCAGAAATCGATGACCAATTGCCATTGGTAGAGGTCCAGCACGAGGACGCAGTCATGCTGGTGTTGCTGGCAGACGTGTATGTCTGTGTATCATTGATCGTTGTCGACGAGCTGGGGATAGGACTGACAGTGGCGGTAAGCGTGGCGGTGATAGTGCTGTTCTGGAATGGCACGCTCGAAGTATTGTCGGCATCGGCAGTGGTGCTGCCGTTGCAACAGCTTGTATCGGTCAACGTGATTCTGCTCGTGATAGTCGAAGTCGCTCGGATACTGGTAACGGTGGTGTTGAAGTTATTAGAAGTAGACCAACCAGAGGGAATAGGAGATGCCCCTCCAGTGCCAGTGCCCGTGCCGGTGCCAATCCCGTGAGGCCAAGCAAAGCAGCCATAGCCGCCACATGAGGTTGTATTCCATCCCGAGGCTGACACAGCATCAGTACCTGTGGCGTCTGTTGAAGCAGTTGCTGTAGATATGCTGCTGTTCCCTGCATCCACCTCGGTACTCGGCAGGTAGGTTGCTGTAGACCCATGTTCGACGACAACAGTTGTCGTGAGGTCATCACCTGATGTAGTCGACGGCGCAACGCCCACGGTTGACGTGGAGCCATCGTTGAGAAGATACGTCGTGGCATCGCCTGCATCCACAGTCGTGCTCGAGGTTGTGTTGGGAAAGGAGGGCACGTTTGACCAGGACACCGAAGAGCCACCAGAAGCTTCGGGACTGTTCAGCGTCGATCCAGCAGACAACCAGCAAAAGGTCGGAGTGCTATCGACTGTGCATCTGGTCACTGATAGGACGCCGCTCGGCACTGGGAACGCGTTTGTCACGTATGGTGGAAGAGACGGTGCGCTCTGGGATTCCATGGCTTGGTGAATGGTCAGTTTTGCTCTGAAGGTCGGCTGCAAACATACCTTGTTGCCCGATCTCGTTGGATCCTTGAACCTCCTCGTCACCTTGAGCAGCCACGTAGTCTGTGCGAACAACGATCGAGGAGGCGAGCAGCACGGACGCAACTTTCCACAGCATTGTAACGAGAGTGAGGCACAGGTTGAGTAGCTAGGCGTTCGAAGGAGAGACTGAGGTCAAGTTGAGTAGCCAGGTGCCATGCTGGAGTTATTATTGCTGTGTGTCCTGGTCATCGTGGCAAGGAAAACTTTGCCGGCTCTGATGGCGGACATGTGCAGTGCTTGATACGCTGGCAGGCATAAGGCATGCTCTGACACATCAACTTCCGCGCGGGATGGGTAGACGGCATGGCGTAACAGTGGAACTGGGCTCATTTCCTTCTTGCCGAAGGACCTTTGGATCCAGCAGAGGCTGATCTGATATGCCAAGGTGGCAAGCAACTTGGAACGTAGACTGTGGCCAGGTACATGAGAGGCAGCTTGTCTCCTGCGGGCAACCCGGTCCAATTTGACAATCCATTGACCTTGACTGCAATCGTGGTTTCAGCGACAACTGATTGCGTTATCGAAAGAACGACATGCCTGCGATGCTCTGGTGTGCTCCTCGGTGCAATCTCTGGATGGCCTCGACACTGTATGTGGGCTATGATCGTGCTCAGGAAGCAAGATGATGTCGTCCGATACACATTTCGCGGACGTATCAGTGTGCTGTACAGCCCGATGATTGCCGTCGGCCCCTGGCAGATAGCCGCGTGCGAGAGTGCTTGATTCTGCTCAAGTGTCACAGTATCTCCACATAAGCTCAACATCCCAGAGCACAGAGGGATTTCCGTTTAGTGCTCAACAGAATTGGTTTGGCCAGCAGAGCGATGGCAATTGCATGCTATGCTAGCATGACGACGTGCCAGATTGGCGGACCACTGGCAGTCGAGAAGTGATATGATGGTATGCTGCTTTCCAAGCCAGGGAGCAATTGTGGTGCGGGCGGATTAAGATGATACTTGTCGTGGAACGTCACACAAGGACCTGCAGTCGTTTTCAACATGACTGGGATATGGAACCAGGCGATATAGCTGCAGATACTACCCAGGTATTGTGGGACACATCTGACAGATCGCTGCTGGTCCAAGTTGGGAAGGTGGCATCAACAGTGCTCTACTGCGGAAGGAACGCAGGTTGAGATCTTCAGATGACTCGTCTCCGCATAAGCACACATCTGTCCGGCTGCAATCGAGATGTCAACTTAATTTGGACTGTCATGATTTCCAAGCCGGCGTATCTTGATATTAGATTAGAACAGAGCAAGGTGCTTCCAGGAGGCCCTCATGCCGTGGACTTTGGCGAGAACCTCGTCAATGTTCACCTTTCTCAGCTGTGATGTTGCAGTTCGCGACGTTTTGCTCTGTCCTGCCAGTGAAGAAATAGGAGCAGCAACACCTCCAAAGGGGTGGCCAAATGTAAAGTAATTGATTGACATTATCATACACCTCTCATACGCTTAACTTGATCAGGACCTGCCAGACACCGTTCATTTATCGTATTTTCCTGGCCCAAGCGGCAGAGGGTACGGCCCGGCAAGTGTGTGCTTGACCAGATCCAAAGCAGTCTTTGCCTGGTTCTGGTCCGTCAAGACCGCATAAGCCATTCCAAACATGCCCTCTGGTAGATCTGCTGGATACTGGCCGTCCTTGGGGGTGACAGGTGTGTACTGCACTTGGTTAGCTCAGAACCTCACTTCAGTCACGAGCAATCTACCTTGACCGGCTTATCCTCATTAATCCAAGCCATGTACAGCTTCTTGGAGTCAGTACCCTGTGGCAGCATGTCCTTCTGTACGACTCCGAAGTTAATGGCACCAGGCGAATTTGGGGTCGCTGAAGTTGCATCGCTCGTGCCTTTAATGCTCATATCTGGATAAATTCGTAGCTTTGCGAAGAAGTCAATGGGATTCTTGCAACTTCCTGGCACAACATAATCAAGGGCCAAGTTGTAGCTTGTCGATGTCAGTGTATGCCGTGAACGAAGGGAAACGGACTTACGCCATTTCCAAGGGCAGCGTGGTAGCATATGCTTGAGGGTTCGGCACTTCTCCAGCATACATACGGAAATATGCATCTGCCTTCGCCTTGACTGGTATGATGCGTGAGATGTGAGGAATGACTTCGGGGTCTGTCTTGGCGAGTCTGTTCTCGAGGTTGATCAATTGACCATATGATATGTCCCCAACAATGCTGGCAAGAGCGAAGAATGACTTCTCGTCCTTGAAGGGGAATTTGTACTGGCAAGGCTCTGCCACTTTGGCTTTGTTGTTCTTGAGTGTCTCGGCAAAGGTCTCGACGTATGCTTCTTCTTGAGCCCAGATCCTCTTAACCTCGTCTGCTGGCTTAATACCGGCGACTGGCTTATTGGGCCAGTTCTTGGACTGCTCCATGCCCTGCTTGAAGTAGTCGACTTGGAGATTCTGTATGAAGTTCGCCAGCTGAAATTCCATCACGCCCTCGATTGACAACTCCTTCTCGATGACCTGTTGCGCAACTGCCCCTCCAGCCATATTTCGCAGTTCCTCGGTCATTTGCGGCTTGGGTGCAGCGACGGCTGTGCTGACCAGAGCAAAAAGAGCGACGGAGTACAACATGTTGACGGTGGTACGAGAAAGGAAATGGACAGAAACAACAACACAGAGAGGCGGACGGACGGACTCAGTGAAGAGAGCGCAATACCTGAGCGTATATGATCCCGCATATGCTGGATGTCCTTTAGGGACCCCGACATCCTTCGCGAACTTTCAGGTCGTCAGCACTAAGACGGTCTTGGCCGTCGCATATTCTTTGGGGCCGATGGCTGCGAGACGCTGGGCTTCCGGGCCAAAAGCCATGTCTGACGAGCGAGTGGGCGGGATTCGTAGCATTGGTGTTGCCCGAGACTTGGGCCTGCACGTATAATGCATGAGTGCTCTCAGCGCTCGCAAGGCAATGGAAGGACGCAGCAAGAGGCCCTGACTTGGATGTGTCAGACAAGAATTTTAGTCGCCGTTCAGGAGCCCGGCTTCAGCCCTGGCCAATGGAGGGAGCTCGTTGCCTGTAATCGTTGGCAAAGTTTCAGCATTGGCACTTGTAAGCTCACGAATCCGCGAAATCACGAAGGCTTCTGTATAGAAGGAGCGAGAGGATGAGCATCTCATGCGAAGTGGTAATCATTCTCCAGAAATAGATCGCGACTCGGACCTGCCCTAAGCTTCCAGCGAGATAGCGCGATCTTGTAGGAGATTGGCGGAGATACTGGTAGGATCCTTTCATCACCACCAGCACGTATCAAATACGTAGAAATCAATGGGTGAAGATCGATGAGGGACAAGCCGTAGGAGTCGCGATGCTAGCGGCACACTGACGCTTCCGTGCTAAGTGCGCCTGATCATCAATGCTCTGTGAAGGCTCGGATGTTGGGTGTTGAGCATATTCTAATAGGTCGATTTCGCAGAAAAGCTTCTCCAACTGCCATGAGCTAGCCAAAAAATGCACATGCACTCATCACTGCATTTCATCACTGATTGAGATTCGAAAGCTGCTGTATATCAGCTGGTTTTCCTGTTTCATACCAAGCTAGGAGTCACGAAGCCGACACCAACATGAAGGGCGCAGCAATATGCAGAGAATGCCTGCAGGCATATCGAGCAACATCACAAGCAGCTCGCGTACCATCGAACGCGATCTCTCGACCACCAAAGAATAGTCTGCGCACCTTCTCGTCACATACATCATGGAGACAGCAGGAAGCCCATCAATCTCCCGCCTCAGCATCCTCACACCCACCACCGCCGCAACCATCCCCTGGCGACCCCACACCAACACAGATGCAGTCCGCCATCCGCAGCAACCTCTCCTCCTCGCCGCGCATGATCAAGATCGCCGAGACAGTCCGACGCGTGACCGGGTCCGCCACGGACACCTACCTCGTCTACGGCGCGACCGAACGGTTCTTCCGCTCCTGCGCCGCCCAGGCGCCCTACACCATTCCTGACGACCAACGTACCCAGATCGTCTCTGGCCGCGGCCCGCCGAAGACTGCACAAGGCGAGGACATCGGCGTTCCGGACGAGAGCAGCACGAATGTCGGCAGCGTTTTCTGGCACGAGCAACTCGGTCTGCTGCCGACATTCAGCACGTGGAGCCAGGTCACATATATCCACTTCTACATTCTACTGGTGCATTTCCGGACGATGGAGAAATATTCACTGCTGCAGATGTATCAGCGCTACTTGATTGAGCATTTCAGTCAGAATGCGGAGGATAAGATGGTGTTGCTGCATACGATTGAGGCGAGAGGAATCAGGAATCGTTATCTGAAGGACTTGTTCATGCAGTGGCGTGGGTGTATTGCGGCATATGATGAGGGGCTGGTCAAAGGTGATGCGACGCTAGGTGCGGCGATCTGGAGAAATCTGTTCAAAGGCGAGGAACAGGTGGACTGGGAGAAGGTCGCGGTTGTGGTGGCGTATATGCGGCGCTGTATCAGTATAATTGGGGAGTATAAGGGTAACCTGGATGCGCAGGAGGCGCTAGATGGCCCCGATGGTGTGTGGGCGAGAGCGAAGCAGGGTCTGTTCGATGAGGCCCAAAAAGATAGCGAGGGTATTCACGAACAGCTGTGATGGGAGAACCTGTACAAAAGGATCATCAGGTTGGAAGGATTTCAAATTGGTGCAGTGCACCCCGCGTGTATTATGATCATCCTTCACTGTGGTCCAGTAATCTTCGTATGCAATGCGATGACCTAGAGTCTGTTTCTGTTGATATCCACAGAGTCCTCCCTAGGCTGCCATCCCGTATGTTCACCCAATCGTCCAGAAAACAAGTCAGGCGCGGCGTTTCACTGAAAGTTCTTGAAGACCGGCACCGTAGCTGGAGTCGGGGGAGGTTGGAACGGGTCGCCATTCTTTCTCCAGCCCGAGAAACAGCCATCGTAGTCGTTTGGAGGTTGCCACTTGGCGCAGATTTCCTTCTTTAGCATGTCGGGAAAGATGTTGTATGGCAAGCCTGGATCGGGGTCAGAAATGCATACGTGATGCAGAGTATTAGAGATGCTTACCTGCAAATTGGTGTCCTTCGAGCCACTTGCACATGCCACAGATGCCGAAGTCTGCAGCCCACGGTAGGCCGCGCCACCAGAAGTGAATCTCGCAAGTGTCGATGTCTGAAGGAAGGTCAGCAATGTGCGCACGTGTGTAGGTGTTGGTCACTACATACCAGCACAAGTTGGTAGAGGATAGCCAGGAAACGGAGTGACACCAGTCGCGAGGTGAGGATCGAAGCTATCGGCAGTGGTGGTTGGCTCGTCCTGAGTAGTTGTAGTTGGCTCGAGATAGACAGGAGGTAGGATCTCAGCGGCAGTTTCGGAGCGGCGGAGGAAGTAGAAAGCGTGGTCTCGGATTCCGCCTCTCCCATGAAGTCCTCCTCGACTTCCTCACGGTCTGCAGCAGCGGTGGCAGTGGCGGCCGGACCAGAAGTGCAAGTAGTCAGAAGACCTTGAATCCACACCAGAGTCTGGCAGTCCTCTGGATAGTTGGGCTTGGCTGCATCTTGAGACACGAGGCAAGACGCGAGTTGGCTGGTCAGGACATCGCGGGCGGAGCAGTCGAGGACAGAGAAGGTAGGGTTAGCTGTACCGATTGTATGATCGCCGGGTGGGATCTGCGCGAAGGCGCGGAGGGTGAGGTAGAGAAAGAGCAAGACGATCATCGTGACGACTTGCAAGGCAACTGTTCAACCGAAAGCGATCAGAGAAAGGTGCGTAGGATTGGTCGAGGCTGCAACTTACGGATTCTTACCCAAAAGCGGATCATGGTGTCATTTAGCTAGTAGTGGTGAGGAAAGAGAGGAATAGAAGCAGGTCACGTGATAGGATATGAAGTGTGCAGCAACAAGCCAGCGTTACCTCTACTTTGCACGGCGAGTAGTGCATCGTTGTCAGTGCATCATCAGTGACTCACTTGATCTTCCGCACTGGTTTGTCTGCACTCCATCCTGTTTATACCGTCCTTGTAAAAAGCCCCCGCATGGCTGGATTGTGAATAGCAGACAGTAGCTTCAATGCTGCACTTCGTCGGAGGCAGTCACCCAGGTGAGCCCGGCATGATTTTATACAGTGCTACACCCAGTGGATAGTAATGCCCATTGAAGCATGCTGTGACGTCTGTGATGAGCTACATGTGAGAGGCAGAAGTGAAGTGAGGTGAGGTTAGATAGGACTTGGAACAAAAGCGCTCCTTTTTGTAGATTTTGGCCGCGTTTTTTGGCCGAGTCCTCCACCGTACCTATGACCTGTCTGCCATTAGATTTGTGAACATGTGTTCTTCCCCTGCAAAGGATAGCCTGCATCGCACTCCTCAATTTCGTCTCTTTCTGCCTGACCAAAGTCGCTCCTTCATTGCTGCCACTGGAATCTCGGGCGATGTGGGAGTTATCACATTTAGACTGATCTTCGAAAGCGACGACCTTCCATTCGAGTGGCCACCATGTTGGTACTCCCTCTACTGCAATATCTGGTGCCCTTCGTCGCATTCCTGGCACTCGCAATCGCAGCACCAGAAGACTTCTACAAAATCCTGGGCGTTGACAGGTCATGCGACGACCGAGACCTCAAGAAAGCTTATCGGACACTCTCGAAAAAATATCACCCAGACAAGTCTGGCGGCGATGAGAAGAAGTTCCTCGAAGTTGCCGAAGCATACGAAGCCCTTTCCGATTCTACTACGAGAAAGGTCTATGATCAGTACGGTCATGACGGTCTGGCGCAGCACAAGAACGGTGGTGGACGACAACAGGGCCACGACCCCTTCGACCTCTTCTCGAGGTTCTTTGGAGGCGGCGGCCATGCCGGAGGAGGTGGTGGTGTACGACGAGGCAACGACATGGACGTGCGGCTGACCGTACCTCTGTCGCACTTCTACACCGGTGGTGATACCGACTTTACCCTAGAAAAGCAAGGCATCTGTGATGATTGCGAAGGTTCTGGGTCTGCCGATGGGCAGGTCGAAACATGTTCGAAATGTGGTGGACGAGGTGCTATTGTGCAGAAACACATGCTTGCGCCAGGCATCTTCCAACAAGTCCAGATGCAATGCGACCAATGTGGAGGCCAGGGAAAGAGCATCAAGCACAAATGCAAGACGTGCGGCGGTGCAAAAGTCGTTAGGCGGCAGGTCTCGCTAACAGCATCTGTCGAAAAGGGCATGCCCAAGGGAAGCAAGCTCGTATTTGAGAATGAAGCCGATGAGCATCCAGACTATGTCGCGGGTAATCTGAATGTATACCTGAGCGAATCCGAGCCTCAGCTGGCTGAGAATGACGAGCACAGGACCGACGGCACGTTCTTCCGTCGGAAAGATCAAGATCTATACTGGAAAGAAGTGCTGAGCTTACGAGAGGCTTGGATGGGCGACTGGTCGCGTAACCTCACGCATCTGGATGGTCACATTGTCCACCTGTCGAGGAAACGTGGAGAGGTCATACAGCCAGGCCAAGTCGAGTCCGTTCCCAAAGAAGGAATGCCGACGTGGCAGGAAGGCCATGTACACGAACACGATCATGATGTGGACGAATTCGGCAAGCTTTATGTCGAATACGTCGTTGTATTACCAGACCAAATGGAAAGCGGAATGGAGAAGGAGTTTCATGCAGTATGGGAGAAATGGCGCAAGAAATCTGGAATAGATCTGCATAAAGACAGCGGACGACCTGCTGTATCAATCAAGGACGAACTATAGACTGGGAAACGGCGGGAGTAGTGACCCAGACAGCGCAATAGACTGAATTTCATCCTAGCCTGTCCAGCTCTCACTCTGTCTTCTGTACATAGAAACGGAAATCAGATCCGTTACTTGAAGCTAAGGAACCTTATCAATTTGTGCCAAGCCTAGCTTATCTCAGGCATTGGAACGAACCACTCTTACCAAGATCTGTTATCAACCTCCATACTCAAAGCCGCGGAGAAGACGATCATGCTTTCGAGACATCTTGACTGATGTTCCAGTGTTCTGGTTCATGCCTGCTGACGACACAGTATTGTAAATGCATATCTCCCATTCGCTGGAGATGATCGGACCTCTACATAGAGACTGCAGGCCAGGCATGGCCTACCTCATCCTGATAAGGTAACTCACCAATAGTGCTGTAAGGCTCTGGGTTACAAGCTACCTCCGCGGGTCTGGAGATGTATGCCAGCGGTAGGTGGCAATGCTTTTGATTTGATCCTAGATTTCCTTACCTTTGTTGAGATGCGCGAGTTGTACGAATCTGCCTCTCCCAGCTTCTAAAGTGTCTACCTTACGGTCGACGTACTACTGACAGCAGTACACCGACAAGATGCCTTGGACAAGCTCCGATGTCACCGCGCCGGGAGAGGCTGTCAGTAAGGAGCCAGAAGGAGCAGACAAGCAGGCACCCAATGGCGGTCAGCCAGAAGGGCAGAAGAGAAAAAAGATTGTTGTGGTAGGCTTGGGCATGGTCGGCATCGCCTTCATGTGAGTCCCTACGTGACACAGGAGCCGCCGCTAGCATCTAACACACCACCAGCGAGAAGCTCCTCAAGCTCGATGCGAAACGACGAGAGTACGATGTTGTCGTGATTGGAGAAGAGCCGCATCTGGCATATAACAGAGTTGGCTTGACGAGCTTCTTCCAGCACCGCAAGGTTGAGAACCTTTACCTCAACCCAGAGGAATGGTACGGTGGCCACCCCGATGGCTCACTCAACTATCATGTTAACACTCTCGCCACGGAGATCAAGCCAGAAGAGAAGGTAGTCCTGACATCCGACGGCAAGTCTGTGTCATACGACTATCTGGTGCTGGCCACCGGCTCCGATGCCCTGCTTCCGCGTCACACGCCTGGCCACGATGCCAAGGGCGTTTTCGTGTACCGGACGATTGATGACTTGCAGAAGCTCATTGAATATTCTGGAAAGGTGAAAGGCTCCACAGGCTGCGTCGTTGGTGGCGGCTTGCTGGGCCTGGAAGCCGCAAAAGCATGATGGATCTGGAAGAATTTGGAAAAGTCGCACTGATTGAGAGAAACCGTTGGGTGCTATCCCGGCAGCTAGATGGGGATGCTGGCTCGATGGTCGTCGAGCTGGTCCGGAATCTGGGCCTCGACGTCATGCTTAGCAAACGTGTAGGCAAAATTCTGACCAACGACGACAACGCCGTCCGTGGCATCATCTTCGAAGATGGCGAGGAGATGGAGTGCTCGGCCATCATGTTCGGAATTGGTATCAAAGCACGCGACGAGCTTGCTCGTGCGGCTGGGATCAAATGTGCTGAGCGAGGAGGTGGCATCGTCGTCAACAACGATCTCCGGACATCGGATCCCAATATCTATGCCATTGGCGAGTGCGCCAGTTGGGAGAACCAGACATTCGGTCTCATTGCGCCTGGAATCGAGCAAGCAGACGTTCTGTCGTTCAACTTCACCCAGGCAAAGGTGCATAGCCCACGGACGTTCAAACGTCCGGATCTCAGCACCAAGCTCAAGCTATTAGGTGTGGAGGTTGCCTCATTCGGCGACTTCTTCGCTGATCGAGATGGACCAAAAGACTTGCCAGCCCGGCGCGGGGCAAAGAAGGAAGAGAAAACCAACGGTGCCGGTGCCAAAGGGTCACCACCATCCACTGTCAAAGCGTTGACCTACAAAGACCCCTTCCAATCCATCTACAAGAAGTACCTCTTCACGACGGACGGCAAATACCTGCTTGGAGGCATGATGATCGGCGATACCAAAGACTACATCAAACTCGTTCCTATGGTCAAGAACAGAAAAGCCCTCGAGGTACCACCCAGCGAGTTCATCATCGGCGCTCGAAAGACGGCGAGGAGAATGGCGATGACCTCGACGACGACACACAGATCTGCTCATGCCACAATGTCGCCAAGCGCGATGTCGTAGAACAAGTCAAGAATGGCACATGCAAATCGCTTGGCGAAGTCAAGTCCTGCACCAAGGCCGGCACGGGTTGTGGTGGCTGTATGCCAATAGTGACGAGCATCTTCAACAAGACGATGAAGGACATGGGTCAGACCGTGCTCAACCATTTGTGTCCACACTTCAAGTACAGCCGAGCAGATCTGTACAACATCATTTACGTAAAGAAACTGGACAGCTTTTCGGCAGTGATGAAGGAGGTCGGATCCGAGGAGGGCTCCACTGGGTGCGAGCTGTGCAAGCCGGCCGTTGGCAGTATCTTGGCTGGCATGTACAACAAGCACGTCCTGGAGAAGCCTTTGCACGGGCTGCAAGACACCAACGACAAATACCTTGGCAACATCCAGCGCAACGGCACGTACTCAGTTATGCCTCGTGTGTCAGGCGGCGAAATTACTCCAGACAAACTGGTCATCATCGGACAAGTTTCGAAGAAGTACGATCTCTACACCAAGATTACTGGTGGCCAGCGAATAGACATGTTCGGCGCCAAAAAGCACGATCTGCTTGACATCTGGACAGAGCTCGTCAATGGCGGTATGGAAAGTGGTCACGCATACGCGAAGAGTCTACGTACAGTCAAGAGTTGTGTCGGCACCACGTGGTGCCGCTTCGGCATTGGCGACTCGGTTGGCATGGCCGTCCGAGTCGAAGAACGCTACAAATCAATCCGCTCCCCACACAAGTTGAAGGGCGGCGTGAGTGGCTGTGTCCGAGAATGTGCTGAGGCCCAGGGCAAGGACTTCGGCCTCATCGCAACAGACAAGGGCTGGAATATCTTCGTGGCTGGCAACGGAGGCGCAACACCAGTACACGCCGAGATCCTCGCCAAAGACGTACCCCCAGACGACGTCGTCCCCATTCTCGACCGTTACCTCATGTTCTACATCCGCACAGCCGACAAGCTCCAACGAACCGCCCCATGGCTGAAAGCCCTACCCGGCGGCATCAAATACCTCCGCGAAGTCGTGCTAGAAGACAAGCTCGGCATCTGCGCCGAGCTCGAAAAGCAAATGCAAGACCTAATCGGCACATTCTTCTGCGAATGGACCGAAACGATCAACGACCCCGAGAAGCGCGCCAAGTTCCAACAGTTCGCCAACACCACAGAAAACCGCGAGCCCGCAGTCGAGAAAGTCACCGAGCGAGGCCAGTCCCGACCCGCCTACTGGGCCAAAGAGTCCGCACTCGACGACTTCAAGGGCACGCGCTGGTCAAGCCTGACTTGGCAGCCCATGGTCGAAGCGTCGAAATTCGTCGACATCGACACCGGCTCATCACAGCCCGTCATTCGCGGCGACACGCAATTGGCCGTCTTCAAACTCAAGGGCAAATACTATGCCTCCCAACAAATGTGTCCGCATCGACGCACATTCGGCCTAGCAGACGGCTTAGTCGGCGAGGCCGACACCGGCGACTCCTCCGACTGCAAGGACAAGAAGCTGTACGTCAGCTGCCCGTACCACAAGCGCAACTTCCAGCTCAACGGGGAGATCGATTTCGATGCCAAGGACAAGGGCGCAGGCTCTTGCTCCAACGACACCTCCATGTCAGTGGCGACCTTCCCGGCGGAAGAGAGGGAGGACGGATGGGTCTACCTGAAGCTGCCACCCGTGATGGAGCTGGATAACGTGTTGGGCACGAAGAAGTGGGCGGTCAAGGCGGAGGAGAGTTCGGATCCGTTTGAGAGTTTGGATAAGAAATTGGGGCTTAAGAAGGGCCTGAGGGGCACGAAGATGCATAAGATGGGTGCGATGCCGGGGACGGGGAATGTTGAAGCTTCTGGGAGAGGGGTGAGTGTTAGTGCGCAGAAGAGGATTGATTGGTAATAAATAGATTGTTCGGTATTTAGACAGGGACATTCATTGCACGGTTCGATGATTTAATTGACAATCAAGTAGTACCCTTAGTTGTATAGAGTCAATGCAACAGCGACGCGTCGACGAAGATTGGCACTTATCCCAGTATGTTGACTGCATGTGTGGTTGAGAATCTCCAGAATCGAAATGGGACGGACTCCTACTCATGCGAATATGTCCGCGTCAACCGGTCTTGACCAACGCTTCACAGCTTCCAGCATCGCATCAGATCTGCTGCTACTGCGGCATGCAGGATCTGTCCGTGCCAGGATGCAAATAAAAACTCTCGTCATGCCTCGTTAGATGCGCGTGTTGACGAGTCTAGCACAACTTTGTTCCTTCTTGTCAAGTCGCTGTATAGCCGTCAGCCGGTCTGTGGTCGGCATGAGGACAAGCCGGATGACAGGGAGCTTAGGTAGAGACCGGTTGACAGGCGGCCTTTTACTACTCCCATCCCGTCATCGCACGCCGTATGACATTTTCACCACGTACAAGCTGATGCGACTCGTGTTGGCAACGCAGAGCGATCGAGGTAAAGAGCAAGGACATCACGATTCGTGAATTGTCTTTTCGACATGATTCTCGACTGAAAACGTCGCTATCTAAGAGGTCATCGACTTCGGAGGCCTCTGCCATTGTGGCTTATTGTGATTGAATTGAGAACCCAAGCCCTGCCTCAACGTCCATTCTGTATCATCAAGTCATTATCTCACAGCTCTGAAGCGCTGTTCCCACCGATCTCACCTCGCGCATCTTGCGCGCAACTGCCTCCTACCACACCCTGTCGACTTTTTTCTGGGTCTTTTCTGCTTTGGGTGGAGTGGCTAAAGAAAAAGTATATCGTACAAACACCAATGTCCGCAGCAACGCCAGGATGACTTGCATGCTGATGCCAAAGACTTGTTGTCAGTGACTTAGTTGGTGGTGAAAAGCTCATTGTCATCATACTCATCGAGGATGGGCATGTTGTCGAGCTTAGCAAAGTCATCAGGCGTGAGCGGAGACATTGGCGGGAAGAGCACGGCATCAGCGCCCAGAGGATTGCTGAAGGCCGGGTTCATGGTCGAGTCGTTGCCACCAAAGAGCGTGAAGTCGTTGGTGGTGACGTCTGGCTCACTGCCACTCATACCATCGAAGGCCATGCCGTCGTACATGTTGGTAGACTCGGCACCGAACATGGGAGAAGGATTGACGACAGACGCATTGCGGGACACATTGTGTGCCATGGAATCTGGAGTCGGGAAAGCGTCAAAGTTGTTGACGTAGGAGGTGCTCATGTCCATGACAGCATCACTGGTGGCAGACCATGGTGACTGGCCAGTGATGTTGCTGTATGCCGGTGTGTCTGGTGTCATGTTGGGACGGCTGTTGACCGGAGAGATGTAGTCCTGGCCAAGATATTGGTTGCCAGAGTTCATGTATGACATCTGGTAAGAAGCACGACGAGGGAACAACCCTGAGTTGAAGTCCATGCCCTGTCCGTAGTTGTCGAAGCTGGACAGCGGCTGCTCGAATGGAGTGCCGTGCTGCTGTGGATGATGCTGCCTGAAACGGAGTTCATGTCATCCATAACGCCGGTCATGTATGAAGTATGGGAGAATGCCGGGCTTTGCATCGACGACGTATTGAAATCAAAATTGGAGCCCGATGGACTTTCAGCTGGTGTCATCTTGACAGCCGCCTTATCTTTGCCCTTCGCTCGCTCATACACGAAGTTGTGCTTCTTCTCCATGTGTTGCTTGCAGTTGCTTTCGCGCTTTGTCTTGAATTCGCAATACTCGCACTGGTAATAGTGTGGGTTGGGGTCGTGCTTGTCATTGATGTGACGATCACGCTCCTTCTCAGTCGGCAAGCCCAGGTTGTGGTACTTGCAGTTCTCGTGTGGGCACTTGAATGGACGAGAGTGAGTCTTCTCGTGCTTCGCCAGGTCGCACTTGCGGGTGAAGGTCTTGTCACAGCCTTCCTCGCGGCATGGCATGTGGATGATCTCCGGGATGTAGCCCTTCTTGCGTCGAGCCATGGAGCGAGCAACGTCCTCATCATGGAGGCTGCTCGCCCCACGCTTGATGCCAGGCAGCGGTTCGTAAGGCATACCTGTTCGTAGCGAGGTAGCTTCACCGTTCTTCCAGCCAACAAGCTCGGCGATGTTGCCCGTAGAGTCAAGACCACCCTCGAGAGTCACCTCGTCGTAGGGTGATTCGAGTTCTTCTTCTTCACCGTCCTTAGCTTCTGATCGAGACCGGCCGACTTGTGCAGCAAGTCTGTTCACCTGATCGACAAGATCAAGGAAATAGCCGTTAGTGTAAGGAGTATCTGAGGCTCGACGCTGCTCAGACTCGGGAAGCTGATGATGAGTGTCGAGAACGACCTGAACAGCAAATTGACCGAATGCGCGGTATTGCTGGGGTGTGATGTGGAAGGTCTTTTGAGCATCCGTGTCAGATCTGGGGTCTGCTTCAGAGAGAAGTTGGCTTACCAATGGCTGAAAGATGAGAGACTGTTCAACGTCACGCAAGCATCTGATCTTGGTATTGCGGCGCGCTCCAAGTGAGGTGACAAGAGGATGGAAGTCTTCAAATCGTTCCTCTGCGAGGATAGGAGCGATTATATGCTTGTTGATCTTCCTGCGAGCGAACGTCGAAAGGGGGCCGATCTGTCGGCTAGTTGTAGTCTGGATCTGAGTCACAGCGGGAGCTTGACGTCGGTTCTGTCGAGTGGCTGACGAGTTAGTGTCTGCGGGGGTCGTGTTAGAATCGAAGGAAATCATGTAGAGGCAGCGGACAAGCCAACCTTTGACCTCTTCTGCTGTCCTAGCAACACCGACTGAACTTCTGTCACTGATTGATGCTCCCAAAGCGCTATCACGGTCCAACAAATCCAATGCTCTTTCAAACTTTCTTGACAGACTCTTATCGCTCGACGCAATTGAGGTACCGAGGCCCTCGTCGGAGCAGACTGATGCACGATGTTGTCTTCCGGACTCTTTTGAGGAGTGGCGACGAGTGGTCTTGCCACGTGCACCCGAGAATGTTTGTTCGAAGCTGGCGATAGACTCGGCGACGTTCTCCTTATCAGAGAGCCAGGTCGCGAGCAGAGCCGCTGAGCATGTCGGTGATCGACGTGCCAGATGGTGGATGCTCAACGCTGGGTCTTCTGCTGAGGGAGCGGCAGGAGAGTGATGGAAGGTGGCACCTTTGGAGGGGACATCTTAAGAAGACATGCTGGCTTGTTGTCCAAAGAAGGTAGCTGAGGTTTGGCAACCAGGCGATTGGACCGACGATGAGAGAGAGGAGTAGGAGGAGGTGGCATGGATGTGGCCATGGTTGAATATAAGGAAAGGTGGAAGACGAATGACTGAAGCGAGGAGCAGATGACAAGGCAGCCTGACTAGTGCGAACTTCCGGCACGAGGACGATTGGTGGGAGACCCGTCGAGTCTTAATGACTCACGCTCCTAGCCAATGAATCGAAGGTAATCGAGACCAAAAGAAAGACCCAGGTACGGTAAGTTTGCTGTACTCACAATCGTCGAGATGGCGTTGAACAGATGAGTGTTGGTGTCGATTAGACCAGCCGGGGAACCTTCGTACAGGTTCCCGATGTATAGGCCAGTTGTATCTTTTTGTAGGATGGCGATTGCACAGCCGCGTTGACCGATGTGGGGGAGGACTTTGGTGGTAGTATTGGCCCGAAGTCCTCAGTGTATTCTGGGGGCAAGCGAGGCGGTACTCGACCTCGCGAGACTCCGATTGGGATGAACCGATGTGTGTTGGATGGTATTGTTTAATGGAATCGAGGTGGGATGGTGGATTGGTAATGAGTGAGGACAAGTGTTCGATATGGTAATTCAATGGCTCGGGCGAAATCGACAAGGAACAGCCCGAAGATGGCTCAGAGATGCCCAAGGCTCCGACGAAGTGTGACTGGAACGAGGAGCAAGAGGGTGAATGCAGAAGGATGGGATGGGAGGTCGATGAAGCCGGGAGTCATGCGCATATCACATTGATGAAGGATGAATGCTGTCGCCTGCGCTAGTCACTAGCGCAAAGCCTCTTTGGCCTTGGCTGTACTATATTCGGGCTTTACGGGCGCAGTGCGTCTGCTGCGGTCCCGAGACTACTATAAGGCACAGGCATGACCGTCACTTGAATGCGACAGTGACGAGATCGATCATTAAGACGAGCATGCGGTCAGTTGAACACTCTGTCCTCTTTCATACCAGCCCAGGTTTTGCTACCCTCGACGGAGTTATCTGGGTCAACGACCGAACCATGTCATGGACTACCCACCACTTATCCTACGACCGGTCTGAGCAACAGTACTGCACTTTGGTGCAGTCACAGGAAAGCACAAAAGTCCTAAACGAATGACCATAGAAGCATCAACGCTTGCGTGACCTAAAACCCAGGAGCCTGGAGTACACTTCAGACCGGTCAGAAACATGCTTACATACACGGTCCAAGGACGCGTGAGGGGCACCTGAAGGGCTACTCCGGTAAGAAGCGAGCCAGGGGCGCGAGTCTGCCTCGCGTTTTCGCCCAAAATCGTCTTGTGCCGACTCGGTTCAATTCGTCGCCGACTCAGATCGCGTCATGTTTCTAACTCATCACCTTCGAACTGCGCCTTCTTGATTCCACCCCAATTAATATTCATGCAGGAACCATGCAGGATGACACCTGCGACCAGTCGCTGCTTCTGCCCGCTGTGTTTATGCAGCATAACGAAACAGTTGATCATATACGGAGTATGCAGCGAAGGTCCTGGCTCATGCAGGTGCCGCGACAGCAGAAACGCGCTCCTCACCGATCATGAGCTTGTCACACAAAGAGGCATCACCTGTCTCCGCCTCTGATAAGGTGCATGCATTTTGAGAACAAGATGTCGCCAAAAGACTTGGGCATTATCTGCACTCGCGCACATTGCGTACTGCGTATCCGAGCCTCCGCGTTGAGTTCACCACAGCCGAGGGGATCCGCGCCAAGAATGGATGGTACGCCTGATTGAAGGACTTTGGGCAGATGTCAAAAGTCCCAATTCTGTCCAGTGTTCGTATTACTGTACCAGCAGTTGATCTTCCACGTGATGGACGTCGATGTCTGTCGCGGATATTCCATGGCCACTGATACCAACATATGCAATTTGAAGCTGCTAAATTTCGCCTTTTATTGGCGTTCTCGCAGTCGGTTGCCAGCGCTGCGGGCGACACATAGCACGCTTCTGTATTCTGAGTTTCCAACATTTGCTCACTAGGGCTGCGAGGTCTGGAGCATCTGTCTGCGTGGGTGTCATGTCAGGTTTATGGCTATCGATGCTTGGGCATTTCAAGCTGATCACCTCCGATGCATGCGTTGACAATACAATGAGTGTCGGATGCAATTGTCCCTTGCCCTAGGGTATAGTCCCCCAGCAATCATGACGCCCACGCATCGATTCCTGCTCGATGACTGAGAGGCAGGTTAATTTGCAACTGCGCGCGACTGTAGGTATGAGCGAAGATTCAAGTCGGTCCCAGGTCAGATTTTCTGAGCGTATTTATCGGATACATCGTAAACGTGGCCAGCAGTCCACCACTTATGGCATATGTGCATTTATGCGTCTGTCTCTTCCTCACCTCGTATAGCATTAAGCTCTCTCTGACGATGTAAGCATGCCATTGTTATCCCTAGCAGCCCGGCTATTAAATGGAACTGGTCGATGGAAAGTTGAGCCTTGTGCAAATGTAGCACAAACCTCGAGACAGATGTCTAGGTACCGATGAGATCAGGCGACCACTGCACCAATACACCCAAGACACCATTGTCCACTCGCCACCAGGACGCAAGGCAATCCATAGCTGAAAACTTGCCTTGAGTCTGCACCTCAGCCCTAAATCGACACGGCATCAACTCTCAATCTACAAGTTCGGCTCTTGAGACTCTGGCCAAGCATCCTATTGTGCCTCGTACGTACGAGGATCGGGCATCTCCCTGGAATTAGGGTACACGCAGCAGGGCAAACCTCAACATGCGAAGGGCAGTATGAACCACGTAATACAACCATCAAAGTCAGAGGATGCGACGCGATCTAGCGACCCATAGCAATGGTCAAAGATGTGCCCGCCGCACACATCGTTTCTTGGAGCTCGGCACCTCCAGTGCCGAAACCAGTCAAGACTCGACAACGGACTTTCCATCATAAGACGAGGTCCGGTTGCATCACTTGTAAACGGCGGAGGATCAAATGCTCAGGAGAAAGACCCATTTGCTTGCGTTGCTTTCGAAGTCGATTCAACTGCGAAGGGTATGATGTTCCTGAGCCCTGGCTCTTCGAGCTGCCAGAAGACCGCAAGAATGACTCGTCGACGACCTCATCATCAGAGACGTCCGTATCTCCCTATGGACCTTCAAACTGGAATCAGGACATCACGATCGCCGAGCGACGTGCGTTGAGCTACTGGACGGACAGGAGTCAGTCAGAACTTGCCGCCTACACATATGCGGCGGCTTCTTTTTGGACACGCTTGTTGCCGCAGATGTTCCAGTTAAACAAGACGATCAGGCATTCCATGGTCGCCGTTGCAACACTTCACGAAGATACACGATCACTGCAACTAGCATCGCGCAAGGCGTCGGGGAATGAGTTCTACATGAAGAACTACTTTACCGCTGTGCGAGATCTGACCAGTACAGATCCTCCCCCATCACGCGAAGTCATTCTTGTCAGCTGCCTATTGTTTATGGCCTGCGAGAATCTCCGTGAATCAGCGCCTGGCGTAATGCTGCATCTCCGCGCCGGACTCAAAGTGCTCAGGGAATGGCACCGTGACGAAAGGCAACATGACCCCGAAACGACTACAGCTCACTCCGACTCGAACATCTTATTTGATGCTCTGGAGCCCATATTTGCACGACTCGAGGCTGGACTGAGTCTCGTGGCCATGCCGGGGCTTGACGCACCGAACTTCGGGCATATGATTTGCACTGGAAGATGCCCACGCTCCCAATATCTTTCGCCAATCTTTTCGAAGCCCGAGCTGGTATGCACGACGTGATCCAATGGATGTGGTTCTGCTCCAAGTCTCTCGAAGGACCCCTGAAGCCCAGTCAAAAGGTCTACCACGACTTCCTGGGCAACATGGATCTCTGGCTCGAGGTATACCGCCGCTCCTTCCCGAAGTTTCAAGACCCGAAGTGGAAGTACTACAAGGCTTCTCTTGCCATGTTGCTCCATCATCGAGCACTACGATTAGCCTTCTGCGCTGAGGCATCTCAAGATCCCTACTTTATGGACAAGCATGACGGCGAAATTGCAGCTATACTCGACGACGCAGAGCTCATCCTGCTGGAAGATCGGCCAAAGGCTGACCTCTCCCACTACGGCTTCTCCAACATCTGGGAGCACGACTTCAGCATTGAGCCGCCCTTGCTCATCATATGTGTATTCTGTCACAATCCCGCGCTACGTCGGCGGGCTATCCACTTGATACGTACACACCACTGCTGGTGGTCGCCGGCAGAGACAAACTACGATGCCTGCTCTACAGCTCGGATGTGTGAGCTCATTGCCGAGATCGAGGAAGGCACACCTGACACAACGTACATGACATCAGCAAAGAACGCTTCGGCCCACCGTCCGTCAAGCAGCACCCCAAATGTACCTCTACAAAAACGTATCCGAGCCACAAACGGCATCATAAACCGCCCAGGCAAATTGGCTATCCAATATGCCCGGCTCGTCGACCTGCCGATCTATACTGGCAAGCCATTACCTGAGCCGCTGCTCGTGGCTGAAGTCGACTGGCCGTACTGGGCACCACCTCCAATTCCGTCGCTGATGCTCTATCCGTTCACAGAAATGGTCAAATATGGTGTGTCTCTGGGCTTGCTCCGGCCACTACGCAGCAGTTGCAATTGCAGGAGCCTTGGTGGTGCTGGGAGTGAGATGTGGAAGGAGCCGGCTTAGGAAGCTTGGAAAGTGTCTGTGAGGTCTGCTGCGGCCTATTCGATTGAGCTCCCAGATGCAGATCTGAAGTATGAGCAGGCACGCTCGTGAGGGATATCTCTCGGCCCTCTTGACGTCAAAGGCAAATGCCCCACGCTACCCAAAACCTGCCCTATCGACTGACAGGACCATATGGAATGCGCTCAGGGGACTTAGGTGCACAGAGGAGCTATAAGAGCGGTACGCTTTACCTTTCTAAGGGTAATAGAGTGTTCCGACCCTTGAAACAGTCACTGAGTCCACAGTAAGTTTGCACACTCTGTCGCAGACCATTCGGGTGGCGAGTGGCAGCGGTTTCGGACGCTGCATAGCTGGCAGTGATCATAGACGTGGCCTTGGAAGAGTGCGGTCCGAGGTGGCGGAAAGCTTTTGACATAAAGCGAAGGGCAAAGTTTTGGATCTTTGTTGTTGGCTGCATGCTGCGCAGCGACGTGGCTAAGACAACTATGCATTAGCTATCAAGCCACTCTCTCAGCTTCGCATCTCCCACCAAGTCATGAAGTGGTCATTGATAGTCTATTCCTCATCATCCTCCTCTGCCACACCCGCCCCCATATCCAGCCCCTCCCCATCATCCTCCTCAAATGTATTCAGCGGCACCTCGTACAACCGGATCACACTCTTATTTGGGTCCTTGACCAGAACATACTTCTTATCACCACTCTTCGACGCCGCCTGCCCATCTTCACCCTGCATATCGCTCATCTTCATCACCAGATCCACAATCGTGCGCACGATTCCCCATCCGTTATTGAGTCCGAGGTTCATTTGCGAGGCAAATTCGCGAGGTTTGTATCCAACAACGCCCAGGATGACGTGGCTTTGCGAGCTCTTAGGATTCGCGCGGCTCACGAAACCCAACTTCATCTGATCCGCCTTCGCGAGAATAGCTTGCGTCGTCCAGCGCGCCAACTTGCACGAGTTATTCTTCATTTCTGTCGCCACGACCGCACCGCGTTGGGACGTGAGCTTTGTGCGCCAGTCGAGTGCGCCGCCGGCGCCTTGAGCTTTGTGGTCGAACTCGTTGAGGGCTTTGATGGTGAGGAAATGGTCTTCGCCGGAGATGTTGTTCTTGACGACGGCGTCGAGTTCGGTGCGCACGATTAGATGGAGGGGTTCGTCGTCGGAGCCGAGGCTGAGATCGAAGCGGCGGTATTTGTAGGCTTTGGAGGCCAGAGCTTCAGGGGAGTCGTCTGGGTGGAAGGGGTTGGCGTGGTCGAAGTCCAGCTTACGGTTTTGGTCCGCGTGGACGGTTTGCATGGGGAAGAAGTGGTTGATGGATTGGGCTTCTTGGGCGAGGTTGAAGGGGGTGTTGATGCTGTCGGCTTTGACACCCGTTTGGTTTTGTTGAGTGGTTTGTGGGGTGTCGGCTTCGAGGGGCGCGTCGGCGGCGTTTTCGTTAACGGTGACGAGGTCGATTGAGGAGTTGACGCGCTTGTCGAGGAAGATCTTGTTGTTGTGCTTGAGGATGACGATGTCCCAGGAGTAGACGGAGCGGGTGGCGCACATGAGCATGGAGAGGATGTCGGCGGTGGCGAAGATGGTGGCTTCGTCTTTGTCGGCGAGGTCTTGGATGACTGGGTCGGAGGAGGTGGTGACGTTGTAGGCGGTGCCGTCGAGGGTTTCCTGGAGTTTGCGCTCGGTGTTTTTGACGGGAGGTTTGTCGTATTGGCGGTCGTAGTAGTAGAGGAAGCATATGAGTCAACGTCTTCGCCTTCTGATGTCTCGAGGTTTAGTTTGTTGAGACGAGAGAAGTCGATCTCTTCTCGCATTTGCCAGTCGGAGCGTATGTTGACGGAGGCATCGCGGTTGCGCTGCGGCTTGTCGTAGTCTCTCCAACCAAATCTCCTGCCCCCTCGGCCGCCACCACGGCCACCGCGGTTGTCGTAATACTGGTTCTGTCCTTGACCTCCACGGCCTTGATTGCTGCGCTGGAAGCCGCCACGGGCGCCTCCGCGTTGATTTTGACCACGTTGACCGCGGCCACGGAATGTGAGAGGGCCGCCTCGGCTGAAGCCACGGGTCTTTGCGGTGTTTCGGGAATTATCGACGACAGAGAAGGATGACTCGTCCTCTGCGACCTGGATGGCGAATACTGAGGATGTGCCGGCGCCATAGACTTGTTGGTCTGCAGATGTCAGTCAGTACCCTAGTCTTCGAAATACTACTCTGGTGGATCCCCTACCTCTGAATCGACCAAATTGTCTGCCGCCTCGATCTCGTCCTTCCTTGCCCTCTTGTGTCCAGTCAGCCATGCGGCCTAGCTTGTCGCCCTTGCTGTATGCCGCGTATGGCACGCCGTCGAGCATGGTCGACGTTGTGACTTCTGGGCCCCATTCATCGTTGCCGCTGAGATTGCCGATCGTCTCGGCGAGACTGATGCCAGGCATATTGGTGGCTGCAGGTTGATTCTGCTAGAGTTGGTTCGGGACGAGTGTCGTCGAAATGACCGTGGAAGCGGATGCGGTAGCACACAAAATCTGGCGGGCGGATTTTAGGTGTGGGGTCATGATGCGACATGCCAAGATTTCGCCTCGGGTCGCCGCCTGCGTGGGAACAGACGGGGGGGCCTTTGATATAGCCTTAGCACAATTGATTTCACTGGATGACACATGACAGATATCACGAATGCAGAAGTCAGTGCAATGTGCTTTCTTATCTCTTCACGCGTACATATCATTGATATCATCAACATCATACCCATCGTCGTCAAAACCCTCGTAAGTCTCTGGTTTCTCAGCGAAAATACTCGATAGTGCATCCCGCAGCTCAAAATCTTCCATCACTGCACCGAATCCATAACACCGCACGTTGCCCTTGATCGAATCAATCATACGGAGCACGTCGGTCTTAGTGAGTGTGCCGTAGTTTCGATGCCCCCGCAGGCACTGAAGCGCCATCACTGGTGTGACTTGACCACCATCGATCTGGTGGGTGTCTCGGATGACCTGACTGAGGTTGAGAAGGTTGTTGAGTGTCTGGATATCTTTGTAGTCGGGGACCTTATGCTCGTACGTTGGCTCAAGACCTCCTGTTGTGGAAGGTACTGATTCGATATGGCTTGGTGGAGGGCAGCTAGCCATCAGGCATGGCCTGAGAAGAGGGCCGAATCTTCATCATCCGGCGAAGCGGCCGATCGACGCACCAAGTATTCGTCGTGATCTCGGCATGTACGTTCTAGCCTATGAGGTGTCAGTCTTGTTTGCTGGAATTAGAGCGATATACTTACTGTAAGATGAAGTCGATACCCAACTGAGGATCCTTCTCGAAGATACCCATAGCTGCGCCGGTACACCTTGATTCTCTTGCTTGATGTGAGGCATCGGAGAATACTCGTTGACCTCTGGACCGTTGGGCGAGTTACTGTGCTGAGTTGTGCCTGGTGAATGGCCGACACTCAGAGATCCACCGTTGGTATACGCGGATCCGTCCCTCAAGGGCGAGTACCCAACAGTTGAAGAGGGCGCAGTGACCACGTTCGAATACGGATGTGGTTTCACTGACATGGGGATAGGTGATAGACTGTTGCTGATGTCCCGTTTGATCGGCATTCCCATGGCGATTTTCCGATTCTCGAGCTCGTTGTCGAAGCTGATACCATTGGCGGCAAGAATTTGTCGAAGCGCTTCGTTCTCCCTTCTTTGGTCCTGAATCACCATGTCTCGCTGCTCGATTTGACTCGCAGTGGTGGCAGACTCGGCCATGTAGACTTCACGTAGGCGCGAAAGCTCTAACTCCAGCGCTTTGATGTATTGCTCTTTGCGTTCTCGGTGTGTTCTTGCTGTTGTTAGCAGGCGTCGAACCCACAGAATAGTACACAAACCTCTGTGCTTGGCGATTGAGCTCCTGCCGGCGAGTCTGTGCTGGTTTGCTGTCGGGTTTCGGACCTCTGCGTTTCGCTGGCTGCCCGTCTTTGAGTTCATCAGTGTCATTATCTCATGCACATGCTGTACTCCTCACCTCTGGTGGTCTTCTTCTGCATCGCGGGAAATCCCCGAAGGTAGCCCATACTCGCTTGGTTCGGATCGACCATGCCATTTTCTGGGCAAACTTGTTAGCACTGTCACGGGCCGCGGCTGGTAGGTACAACGTACGACCATTCATGCTGGTGTAGTCCTGGGGCGTATTCCAGTTCTCGGCGCCCGGTGGTATACCCATACCAGCCATGTCGTATGTGACCGGTTACTCAATAGTCCAGGTACTAGGATGACTACCAGGGGCAGTGATCGTGCAGCGGCTGCTGTCAAACGCTAAGTAATAATAGCAATTGGCGATATCCGTTATGTGGAGGTGGCGTCCGATGAGGCTGGCCTTGGGGTTGGACAAAGCACCAACGCTTTTGCATTCGCTAGTCGGGATTGCGCTGTACAGAGGAACCTGGCTGTAGAGGAAGCGAGACTGCTTCCAGAAGACGTGCGAGAATTTGGAAGGGTGGAAAATTTGGGAGTCGAGTGCTTTGTGGGCCAGTATTTGAATAAGTCTTACGATCCAGTCGTCGTCAGCGAGGTGCCTGTACAACGTTGCGACTGTTGATCGACTGCAATGGTAGGACTTGATCTAGCAGATGTGCCAACCGGAACGGAAAGCAGCAGCTGGAGTTCAAAGAAATGGTAGTATTAGGATGAAGCAGTGGATATTGCCTGAGGCAGCTGATCTCGTACACCAGTTAATCCAACGGGAGATGAGACCTTGATCCTACACCGCCGGCTACCGCGCAGAAGTCGCTATCGATGGGCTTGATGGCTGCGCGACCCTGAGAGCTGGTACTGGCAATTCGAAAAATGATGCTGAACACAGCGAGCGAGGCCTTCGAATGTGGCGGAGCGATGCCGTTCCGGCGAGGTTCAGCCTTCTGGAAGCGGGATGGAGAAAAGCTCGAGCGGCTTGGTCGTTACACGATAGCCGGGGGGAGAGCTGGCACGGCTGACAAGCGAATGGGTGCCACACAAATACGAATCGTGACACGCAAGGCGTTGAGAATGGGTTTAGGGGTGGTAGACGACAACGTCGTGCCTTGTTGCACCAATGCTAATCTAAGTTCCGATCGAGCTATATCGGCATGCGATGGCGTGTGTGGGAAGGTCAGTGGCAGTCGATTTTAATGGAAACCCAGAAGTCCAGACTCAGTTGTCAGCTCGTATCGGAGATCTCCCCGCCGATCTTCTCGTTGCTAAGAGCGAGACAGAGTATGGTTCTGGGCAGTATTATCGAACGAGATGACCATGTGTATATCGCCTTGGTGTCCTGCCGATGCTTCAAAGAGTTCTTCAAGACTCCCAAGCCCTGAATTCAGCGACAAGAATGCGTCGGGCCAGGAGTCGATGCTGAACCCTACAGCCAGGGCCTACTAATGGAAGATCCTCGCCGTACCCAACCCTGAAACAGCTAGAGGCATCGCTTTCGGGGGGAGGGCCCCTAAGACGTGCCTAGGACTGGTGCCGGAGACCGCAACGATTGAGTGCTGCTGAATCTGCAGTCTCAATGGGATACGATTCTCCCTTCATCGCAGTGCATTCGTTGCATGTGTCAGTCCTGAAGGTTCTCGTCGTGTCGTGTGTTGTGGCTGTCTCGCGATGAGCGACGACCAGGGTAGAAAATGCCATCTGGGTGGTGAGCTTCGCAACACGCTGAGAAGGTTTGGTGGGGAAAGCCTGCTCGGAGGGCAAGGATGATGACGACCATACATTTCGGCACTGCCATCGTAGTAACGAATTTCTCGATTACAGAGCCTCGCGCAACATAGGTCAATCATTGCTCTCACAGTATGTTTTAGCGCTCGGCTCTTAAAGAACTCAAATGATTCTGTCATCGCCATGACAATGCCAACAGTGCTCGAACCTCTACGGCCTCGTGTCGTTTTGAGGAACTTGCGCGCAGCTGCCATACTTGTCCCATGGCTGGTGCACCTAACCGCCAGTGACGTCTTGTTGTCCCTCTTACTACCGCTGTCGTTCATCGCGCCAACATGGACATACCATCTGTCAAGCAAGATCGCATTCTGGGTGTGGTATGGCATACAGCTCATCTTCACTCGCTTCAACAAAGCAAGAATCACCACCTCCGGCGACGATCTCCCACCAAATGAGTCAGCTATAGTTGTGTGCAATCACGTATCATGGACCGACTTCTATCTTATTCAGCAGCTTGCAGTCAAGTCCAACATGCTCGCATATCAGCGCTACTTCGCCAAGCAACAGCTGAAATGGGTGCCGTTCCTGGGCTGGGGCTTATGGGCTATGGGCATGCCCCTGATTTCTCGGAACTGGGACCGTGATCGAGTCGAGCTACAGAAGGTCTTCAAAGGGCCGAAGCAATACAGATGGCCCCAGTGGCTGGTCAGCTTCAGCGAAGCAACCCGCTTCACGCCCCAGAAATATTTGCAGACCGTGCAGTGGTGCAAGCAGCAGGGCAAGCCGATTCCGCGATATGCACTGTTTCCACGCACCAAAGGATTCATTGCGACCGTCAGAGAGCTGCGAGAATCGAGCAGTATAGAAGCAGTCTACGACTTTACAGTCGCGTATGCGCACAAGGATCACTTCCTTCAGGCTCCCTCTATGTGGGATTCACTGTCCCAGCCGGACCTGAGTCGTGACTGGCAGTTCCACGTACATGCCGATCGATTCGATATCAGAGAGTTCGCGAATATGACTGACACTGAGCTTGCGGCCTGGTTGGAGCATCGATGGCAGGTCAAGTCGCGCAAGCTGGAGAGCCTGCAGTTGAGGTTGGCTGCAGGCCAATCTTGGTCGGAGATCGAGGCGAAGAAGGCGAAGTGATCTGAACCAACAGGCATGTCGATAGCAAGGAAGTGTCCGCGAGTCCCGGAGAACACGCATTCGTCTCCAGCAGAATGACATTTGACGGAGTGCTGCGAGCGGTGAATTTTGCTTCTAGGTCAAGGTCCTAGAGGCCTTCGTACCTGCACAAGTCAATCCTTGCGTCAAGCAAACAGCGCGCGGGCACGTCTCGACAGACGCACGAAGTCTACGAGCTCTGCGCAAATGTACCAAGGCAAAAGATCAATTCGAAGCATACATACAGCAAGGCTTCGATGCGTGCTGACCCACGGCCGGATGGACGTCGACCATAGCCTACAGAGGCGCCGTGCGACTAGCCGCAAGTTGACGCTGACCAGGATCGACGAATAACAAAGAACAAACTGTCGACACCATGACTTGCTGGGAGAAATATCAGGTTGGAACCTTCCTTGATCCGAGCAACACCTCAAGTCTCGTTTCTCTTCCATACAGTATGCAGGGTCTGGACCGGCCACCCGGGCACCCGGCGCAGTAGTATGCGTAGGGTTCAGCGCTACCACTACTTCAAGTCAAGTCTGTGGAAACCCCGGTTTAACACTCCTTTAGCTTCGTGTTTAAGCTTCCCGGCGCCGGCTTAACGGTGACAAGCTCGACAAGCAATGCATTCCCCAGGCGACTTTTGCTTTGCCTACTTCGAAGTTGCACATCAATGGCGAAACAGCTCGTGCTACATCATGTTGCTCTTCGCATCGAAACCACCGTGTCAGACTATATCTTTAGGTACCAGAGCTGTCGTGCTTGAAGCAGAGGCTGTACGCCATCTCACGTCACGCTGAATCACACAGCAAATGGGATGTCCACACTGACTGCCTCTAGCATCAGGTAGATCGAAAGACGATACGTACCGCTGCCCCGCTTCTACCAGTAGCAACATCCTCGTGACTTTTTGTCTATCCACAAAGCCAATCTGCGCAAAATCCCGGACTTCTCACAGAACGTCAACTTCTCGACCTCTTTCCTCTCTTCCTACATGACCCACGCGCGCTCGATGGCATATTCCTAGAGTCTAGCCCCGTACCATTTTCATATTCCTTAGACTCCTAGAACGCGTCCTACAGCTGTTTACGTACCTAGGAATATCTTGGTAACACGAAGCATCTCCACCGCGAATGACGAACCCGATTAAACGTGCCGTCTCCGATACGGACAGTGATGTCCTGGCACTACTGGGCAAAAAGCAACAGCTGAAGCGACGCTTTGGTTTCTGGTCGCTCTTCGGTTTCGCCGTTTGCGAGCTGATCACGTGGGAGACAGTTCTAGCTCTCTTCAGTCAAGCCTTCAACAATGGCGGTCCAGCCGGATGCATCTACGGCTTCATCATTGCCTGGTCTTCTACGCTCTCCGTTTATGTGGTGATCTCCGAGCTCGCCTCGATGGCGCCCATCTCAAGTGGCCAGTGCTATTGGGTCTACATACTCGCTGCACCTCGCTGGAAAGTCTTTGCGAGCTATGTAGTTGGATGGCTCACGTCGCTCGCCTGGGTCGCGACGGTAGCGACAGAGTGCTTATTCGCTGGCACGATCCTCCAAGGGCTGATCATCCTCGACAACGATGATTATGAAGGAAAGCTCTGGCAAGGCACGCTTCTCTCGTGGGCTGTAGTCACCCTTTGCGTCCTCGTCAACACGGTCGTGCCAGGCATGCTGCCACGTTTCGAGATCTTCATCATTGTCTTCCATCTGGCCGGATTCGTGGCTATTGTGGCTGTTTTGTGGCACTTTGCGCCCCATGGCAGTTCGTCATTCGTCTGGGCTACTGCGTACAACAATGGAGGCTGGCCTACACAGGGGCTCAGCTACTGTGTTGGCTTTTTGGGCAATGTGAGTCATGGCTGGGCGATGTCGATTGTATCACGCTAAATGTCAACCAGGTAGCTACCTTTGTTGGAGCCGATGCGTCGGTGCACCTAGCAGAGGAAGTCAGCAATGCGGCAAAGAACATTCCTAGAGCCATCTGCGCCAGTATGCTCATCAACGGAATGGTTGGATTCGTTATGCTTGTAACAGGTCAGGAACGCCCTCTATAAACTGATCAGAAGATGACTGACTTCCGCGCAAGTGCTTTACTGCCTTGGAGATCCTGAGTCGGTCCTCGAGACAGCGACTGGCTATCCCTTCATTCAGGTGTTTTACAGTAAGTCCTGCTTCTGTGCAGCATTCCGAGGACGATATTGACTGTCATCAGACGCCGTAAACTCCAAAGCGGGAGCAACAGTGATGGCTGCCGTTGTGCTTGCACTCACCTGGGCTTGTGCCATCGGCATCACGACCACTGCGTCCCGCATGGCCTGGAGTTTTGCTCGCGAGCGAGGGACACCATTTTCGGGCACCATCTCCAAGGTCGCCAAACACAACAAAGTGCCGATCATCGCCGTGTGTGTTGTTTCAGGTCTGGCTGCGCTGCTGCATCTGATCTACATCGGTTCTGCCGTCGCCTTCAACGACGTTGTCAGCTTGACTATCACTGGCTTCTATACGTCGTACTTCATGCCATGCTCGATGTTGCTGTACCGCCGCATTAAAGGTCAGATCGCGCCACATATCAAACACCCTCAGCATACCCAAGGCTACGACCCGGAAGTAATAGACAGCAGCACTGTCGTCGATCCGGGCAATGCTGAAACCGCTGCGGGTGCAGACAAGAAAATCGCAGAAGGACCTGGCTCGGACGTTGCGCCACCTACTCACCGTCATGATTCAGTCGTGATAGAAGACGCTCCTCTGGTATGGGGCCCATTCAGCCTTCCTGGCTGGTTCGGGATCATCAACAATGCCTACGCCTGCTTGTACATGATCTTCGTTGTCTTCTGGTCCGTCTGGCCCCCAGCGACGCCAGTGACAGCGGAGACCATGAATTATTCGATCGTCGTAAGTAACGGGCTGTCCCAGAGCGAAGCCATTGCTGATCAGCTTGCTAGGTCACTGGAGGTGTCATTATCTTTGCTATCGTGTACTATTTCATCATCGGGAAGCATCAGTACAAGGGCCCCATAGTCGATGCGGATGTGCAAGAAGTTGTGGAACGACGCCGTGGCAGCGTATTGAGTGTCAGAGATACCCTCTGATAGGGGTCGCGTTCTACTGTACATGAAGACACCGCCAGGTCGGCTGCCTGAGTTCTCGTGCTGTTGGATGGGTAGCGAGTCAGTCAAGCTGGGCCTACCCGTTACTATCCACAATCCCATCATCAGAGCACGGCGTGTCATCGTTGTCGTAGGTAGGACTGTGCCTCAAAACCTGCCCGTGAAGGTCTGCCACGAGGGGACCGCGTTGCCATCTTCCAATCAGGGGACGGGAACCAAGTCGACCGAGACCGATTGACTAGATTCTTACAGGCCTCATGAAAGACCGGATGACTGCTGCGGAGGAGACCAAATTTCCTCCGGCCCCACCGTCCCCTCTCCTTCCTTTGCAACCGTCCCTGTAATGATACCTAGGTAGACCTCGGTCCAACGCCGGCTGTGCCCCTCTACTATCACGACAAGTGATAGATGAGCATTGCGTGATTGCTGCAAAATAGGTGGAAACATATGCCGAAATATCATGCAATGGTGGCTCGCTTGCAGGTCTGCTCGATGGGAAAAGTCGAGAAACCGATGACGCTATATACCGCCGATGAAGAGACCTCGGTATCACGTCCAATGCTAGATTTATATTCTATAACTCCTGACTCGAGGGCCACTAGACAAAGCACTCAAGTTTGAATTTGCTCTGCTGAGACTAGACTGTCACACCTGATCTGAAGCAGGACCTCAAGTCAGCAACAACAATTGCGAGCATTGGCTTCAAGAGCACCGTCACACTAGCAACCGAAGGGGGTGGCCATCCAGAGGCGACTTCACGCCCACTACAACCAGCCCAATAACTTCGACAGACAGTGAAACTACCATAATCATGAAAGAAGTCCTCGTAACCGGCGCTCCCAACGAGCCCCTCAAGACCACCATCATCGACTCCCCAATCCCGACCCCAGGACCCAACCAACTCGTGATCCGGAATGTCGTCGTCGGCACGAACCCCAAGGACTGGAAGATCCCCGTCGTGATGTCCGGCAAGCTGCCGCCTATGAATACTGGCGATGATGTGGCTGGCTACGTACATGCACTGGGTGAGGGTGTCACCGAGTTTCACGTGGGCGATCGGGTTGCAGCGTTTCATGAGATGATGTAAGTTCACCACGCATAGGGGCAAGGTATTGGATGAGTGGTGGTAACGTCTTACTTCTCCAGAAGCAACATCTGTCAAGGTACACTGGGCGCAGACAACTAACGACAGTGCACAGGAAACCTCACGGCGCCTTCGCGGAATACACCCTCGCCCACGCCCACACGACCTTCCACCTCCCGCCCCAAACCTCCTTCGAAGAAGGCGCCACCATCCCTCTCGCCGCCATGACCGCCGCTGTCGGCCTGTACGCGCGTCTTGGGCTTCCAGAACCCTACGCTAAAGTGCATGCTGCACGCGAAGCAGCCAAAGCGGGCGTGATCGTGTACGGCGCGGCGAGCGCGGTGGGAGCGTTTGTGATCAAATTGTTGGTGAAGGCGGATGTGCATCCGATTCTGGCGGTGGCGGGGAATGGGATTGGGTTCGTGGAGGGGTTGTTGGATAAGGGGAAAGGGGATGTGGTTGTGGATTATCGAAAGGGGGATGAGGAGGTGGTTAAGGGGCTGAAGGCGGCGGCGAAGGGGGATGTGTTGTTTGCTTATGATGCTGGTTAGTACTGCTGATGTTCTTGGGTCGACCTCGAAGACCCGCGAAACGCACAAGCTGACGGTATTGTGAACAGTGAGTGAGAAGGGATCATATCAGAACATCTGCCAGGTGCTCTCGCAAAAGGGCGGCGCGGCGATCACACTCGTGCTGCCAGGCAAGAAATATGATGAAATCCCAAGCTCGATTACGCAGTCGGTCACTACGGTCGGATCAGTACATGGGCAGCCGGATGATCTGGCGTTGTTGGGCTTTGCATGGTACCGGCTCTTTGGTCAGGGATTGCGTGAGGGATGGTTCAGCGGGCATCCGCATGAAGTCGTTGCTGGTGGGCTCGGTGGTGTGGTCGAAGGACTGAATAATCTGAAGGATGGCAAGGCTAGCGCGGTGAAGTATCTGTACAGGGTTGCGGATACTGAAGGTGTCAGTGCGAGCAAGATCTGAATATTGGCGTAGCGCTGTGTTTGAAGGGATCAACAATGGACTACAGTTCGGTCTGATTGTGACTTCGTTGAGACAGCTTAAAGGAAAGCTCTGTTCGCCGCCGGGCTGCTGATATTCTGTCAGTAAAGCGGCGCCGCATATCGAATTATAGGTAGAAGCCGTTGGCCCTTGCCTGGGATCTGCATGTGATGCCGAATATCGATTTCGTTCTGCTAATTAGCCACCTTGATGGACAGCTCACTTATCGAGTATGGTCAGAGAAAGCTAAGGCTCCTCAAATCGTTTGGCGACCCGATAGAGATGATTACGCCGCCTTCCGTGGCCACACTGACGCTGCGTGTACTTCTCATAGGTCGCTTCCAGCCTTCAAGTAGAAGGGATTGTAAGGTGCTCTTGGCGGATGCCTCGCCCCAGGAGCCGCGGGAGGCAACTCCAGGGCTTGGCTCGGTACTTGGCTGCCGGATATGGCACTGTGTCCAACCACAGCCTTGTGGAATACAAGGGACTGCCGCTTCGGATCCTGAGTTTGAGGAGAGTCTGGCGCAGTAGCCTGCAATGAGCTATTACAGCGTTACCAGTGCGATAGTACGGTATTGCTCGTGGCGGCATGTTTCATATCTGCGCCACATTATGCTCCAGAAGGAAATCAAGAGTTGATGGGAAATCAACCGTGTACGATAGTCGAGAATCGCGCCACGGTCTCTAGCCCAGCACTGTTGGTGATTTTGCGAGCTCCATGCCTGCCAATCTATTCTTACAAGGCACAGTGGGGGCCGGTACCGCATTATGTGCCGAATTTGAGTAGGTGTCGTGACGATCGATCGTTTGGGCATTGTGCTAGACCGATGAGGATATCGTCGTACCTCAACAGTGACGTTGAGAACCGAACCGACGGCAACGGCGAGAACGTCCTCGGAATATATAATATCGATCGCATCCCCAAGCTGTTGTCGAAGAGCTCAGTACCTGCTTGTTTGCAATCATCTAGTAGAGAGACCGCACCAACAACCCCCGCCACATTGACAGGATAACGACCATGAAGATTCTCCTTGGTCTGCTACTGGCTCCTCTGGCCATAGCTTCCAGCGTCCTGCCGCGTCTGCCCGAGTCGTGCGACAACTCCAGTCTGCTGAAAGACCTGAAAGAGGGCGGCCCCGATGAGTGCTGTTCTATGTCGTACAAGCCCTCCTGCACCATGAACCTCGAGCGTATGTTCAGAGGGCGTCCCCTTTGGCCTTGGGTACTAAACACAATCCAGGAATGTGGCACGTCAAGCTCTTTTACAATCGCAAGGTAGGGATGAGTGAGGATGAGTTCAATCAGCACTGGGCTTACGAACATCCAAGAGGTGCATGAATAGACTCTCAATCCGTCCTGGATGATGGTGCTAATGCTGCGTCACAGTTGCCGGCACCCTTCATCTCCAACATGGCTACGTGAGATATTCGCAGGTATGATCTTTGGTTCTGGTGCTCTTGATGCACTGTACACGCTGATGCTGACTTCCTTTCGTGATAGTTCCATTCTACCGAGAAGTACCGCAACGTTCCCGACACAGGTATCAAGATCATGGATTTCGATGGCGCTGCCGAGTTCTGGGCGCACAATCTTGAGTCGCTGCGTGAGATGCAGTCGGATCCGGAGTACATCGCAAGGATGTTCCCAGATGAAGCGAAGTTCATCGACCAGGCCAGCATGCAGATCCTGATTGGTGTGGATTTTGTGCACATCGACAACGGAAATTTTGTGCAGGACCACGCCAGGAAGTTCTGAATGGCTCAATGAGAGCAACGTCAGAGGGCAATTCCTGAGGAGATATATCGCTGGTTGCCGTCTAGTCTCAGGGTACCTTCCTCACAGGTTGATACGTAAAACATACTGAAGAGAACTTTACCATGTTCTGCCACCCAGGAAAGCAAGCACAGACATTCAACCCGATGGATTCGCCTTCCATCAACTTCTTGAAGATCAGTCGATGGTCCGGATCGTCCGCAAGCCATTCAACCCGATGCTCCTTGAACTCCTTGCTCGCATGAATGTTCGTGACTATGCGTTTGCAGTTCTCAAGGCCTGGCTCAGAGGTTTTCATCATAGTGCCTGCTTCAAACCAGGTCCAGCTTCCGTCGTAGGTCCCCTGGTGGCTTGTGTCCCAACTCCAGCCTTGGTCATGGGAGATGGTGGTAAAGATGATGCTGCGTACAGACGGTCGATGTACATGTGTAGGAATACCAGTTGCTGTATGCACAAGTCCAGAATTCCGCTGTGACACCATCAATGGTCGCTCGTTTTCGGCTCCTATCACATGTGCAACTACTCCGGCATAGTCCAAAATGCTAGGTATGATGTCCGGTGGCAGCGGAAGTTGTCTGAGAAGTAACGCGATCCTGAAGCAGTTCTCCGGTGACATAGATACTGCACACTCGGACAACGGACTTTCTGCTGGAGTGCTCTTAGAAGGCCATAGTGCTCTCAATGAGAATTTGAGAGGCATCTATGGATAGTCGTTGTATGGTTGAAGGGTCCTATTGCTGTATGGTTGTGGCTTCGACAGACGTGAAAGATTATGCAAGATTGGCCTTCCGGGCTTTTTTTCGTCCCTGCCTTGCGCCTGTGGTAACTGGTAGAGGAAATATTGAGAGACAGAAGGGATGAACCGCCTCGCATGAACTCTCAGGCACACTGAAGGTCCCGAGGTCTAGACAGGCCTACTTTTTGGCCTCGTTTCTGGTAGCCCAAAACACCCGCGGGAACCGGTGGCAGGCTCGCGTGTGGACTTTCGGTGATGCTTGGCTTCGCAGGGATTCCGGAAGAGCGTTCCGTCATCTTCGCACACGAGCTTTTGCAACCTTCCACACTACCATAGCTGCGAAGCGTGGCGGCCATTGATGCAGACGTCGACGCGACGACGGATGTTGTGCATACATCTAAGCGTCGGGCATCGTTGCCATCAAAGCAGCAGCGAAGACTGACTAGAGCCCGCAACAACTTCAGGCAGTGAATGACGATGTATCTTGCACCCACGTTCTGACATCACCGCAGTTGGCAGCCACTGAGATACACATGTTTGCACTGGGATCATATGAAACGGAAGAGATCGCCCACGTCCGTGAAAACCATAGCTGTCGTCCTCCCTAAGAAACCTTTTCCTCTGCGACATGACGGCGCCCGAAGACGAGATGGCTTCCCTTGCGATCAGCTCGCAGTCTAAAGCCATGCTGGCTAAGGTCCGGAAACTCGTACCGCCGCTCCTGGAACACTTCCACAAAGGCCAGCTAGGCCGCGTCGCAGTTATCGGAGGCTCAGCAGACTACACAGGCGCGCCATACTTCAGTGCTATGGCGTCCGCTCGGCTAGGATGTGATCTCAGCTACGTCTTCTGTGAGCCCTCGGCGGCACCCACGATCAAGAGCTACTCTCCCAATCTTATGGTCAGCCCTATATTGAGATCTGTGCACTCTCTCAGCAAAGAGCAACAAGCAGATCAGCCGGATGGTCCCGCGCTTGCAGAACCGATCATCAGTATGCTGCCCCGACTACATGTGCTTGTGATCGGACCAGGGCTGGGCAGAGATGTGGTCACGCAGAAACAAGTGAAAGAAGTCATAAAAGCAGCTAGGAAAAATGATCCTCCATTGCCCATGGTGTTGGACGCGGATGCCTTGTGGCTGATTCAGGAGGAACCATCACTCATTGAGGGCTACAAGGAGTGCATACTGACTCCCAACGTGGTCGAGTTCGGGAGGTTGGCAAAGAAGCTCGGCGTAAAAACCGATGGTGATGCCTCGAAGGTGTGCCAAAGTCTTGCGGACAGGCTAGGTGGCGTGTGTATCATACAGAAGGGACCAGTTGACCATATCTCGCAAGGCCGGGAGACTACCACATCCGACTTCGAAGGTGGCCTGAAACGCTCTGGTGGTCAGGGAGATACGCTCACAGGTTCTCTCGGCACCTTCCTTGCTTGGAGACAGATATATCATGAGGGTCTGTGGGATGTGGGCAAGGAGCCAATGGACCGTGCCGAGACGTTGCTTGTCGCTGCATTCGCTGGTAGCGCAATCACACGCGAATGTTCCAGACGGGCGTACAGGAAGATGCAACGGAGTCTGCAAGCCAGCGATCTCACCGAGGAAGTCCACGCCTCTTTCCTGGCGCTGGTTGGGGAGCCGGACAGCCAGAAGTCAAATTTGTAATGTGCAATACGAGTTGCATTGAGCCATATATCCTCGGGTGTGACCTCTAAACTACTCCCGTAGACTCAGCAATTCCTCCTCTGCTCGCGTATTTGGTATTCTGTTCTGACATGCGTTCTTGTTCACGTTTCTCTCGTTCCTCGAGCTGATGCTTGATCAATGCGGACAAATCGGTTGCGCCAGCACTGGCGGAAACGTTCAGTTGCGACCCGCCGTTCAAACCCCTGTGGCCGTGTTAGTATTCAACTTTCTCGCAGAACCAGAGGCGGAGTACATACTCAATGAACCGAATGGGGGGACCGCCTTCTCCTCGCGGCGTCGTCTTCAGTATGAATTTGTCGTCTATAAGCTGCTGCAGCATGGCGGCATGCACGTTGTTGCGGTCATTGTCGCGCTTGACTTCTTGCGTAGAGAAGCCTGACACGAATTTGTCCATAAAGTTGCCCGGGTCCGAGGCTAATTGATATGAAATGTAGAATAGCGGTATCGCAGCTACTGCAACGTAGAAGCCGGGCTGTACTCGGTCAGTATCATATGTACCGGCGTCCGGTCGAAGCACATACACCAAATGACTCAGAGCCAGTGGCTCCCGAGGGTGCGTCGTATGCGCTGCCGGAGCTGCCTCCATGGCCGTGGCTGTCACCATGCGATGCGTATCGTCGGGTTTGAACTCGAGTGGGCTGACGCAGAGAGCGAGCTAGAGCTCTCGCTCCTCTTGAAGCAGCACTCATTGTCTCGTGTGTGGCATTGAGGTCCTGAGGGGCTGCTGCTGTAATGACTTCTGAGGTCGAGGAAGCTCTTCTTGGCGAACGGAGATAACGCCTAACTCAGGAACAGTTGCTCTCACCTCTACAATGGTGTTTCTCCTTGTCACTTATATCAACACGCCAATCATAATCGAACACATCTCGAAACGCTTGCCCTTGAGGCTGCCAGCTTTTGGTGATCTCCTATGAACCAATATGCCGGGTCTTCGGTGGTTCATGCAAAATGGCATCCACTACTTTGCCGGGGACTGCCTGTTGGGCAGTGTTGGCATTGGGTAGCAATCAAAAATAGCGCCCACGGAGTGAGTGAGCTTGATATTGCACAGTTGCCTTCAAGTTTTCGCCTGTCTCTGTCGAAGCTGAGGTCTGTTCCATACACTCATAACATGCCGCAAGGTAAGAAAGTCTGCGAAACCACTCAATGCATTCATTCCATTCAATTTCATAGTTGCTGTCACACCAGCCAAGAGCCGCCGTGAACCCGCAATGACCATTTGAAATACCGAATCTTGATTTTGGTGCTTCAGAAAAGCCCCGCTGTCCAAGAGCAATAATTGCCATGTCGACCACAGCATATCAAACTACGGCCAAGCCGAGAGGCCGCAAAGATCTGGAGCAAGTCGACAGCGACTTGTCTAGTAGCAGAGCGTCTAGTCAGGCTTCAATACGACTGGCAAAGACAGTATCAAGGGGGCTTGAAGACTTCCAGAGCCCTTCTAAGTCCAGACCTGGATCGCCCTTTTTCTGGCACAAGAACAGGGCCATCGACCCAGCTGTGCTACGAGACTCATCATCTGTGTCCATCCAGGCAGCTGCGAGTGATGACTTGAATGGCAGAACACGACCAGTGTCAGCGAGCTTTATGCGTACTTCTCAAGACGATCCATTGATACCGGGCGCATTTCCCAATACATCTGAATCACAACCATCAACAATGGGCGCCTCGAATACTCTCTCACGGGTTGTTTCGCAATCAATGCCAGGTACTCGGCGCTCAACTTCCACCTCAAGAACCCGCTCACTCAATCAGTCCTCGATTTCACGGATGCAGCCTACTGTCGTAGATGCTTCGGACGATGAGACGGGGAAAGCCTTGACCACTGCGCGTTCAAGCGCGGCGTCGCTTGAGCTGAAAAGCCCGCAGACGTCTGACCTAGGCGTCAAGCCTGAAAAGCCACCAACGCCGCCCCCTCCGCCGACTCATACACCACCGAAGCCACCAGCGGTGCCCGACACCCAGAGTGCAGCGAAGGATAACACATGGCCAGCGCCGCCGGGATCAGACACATCGAGACGAGGATCGCTTCGCAGCGGTAGCAGACCGTCCTATTTGGTCACATCTAAGCCCTCGTACAATGCGCCTCCTTCCAGCTTTCCGACTGCATCACCGTACCCGCATCCTGCAGATGGAGGACCGCGGTCTGACCATGGCTCCCCGTTCCCTACTGGATCGCCTGCACAATCACCTACTATGATGCATGCGCCTACTTTCAGCGCTCTCCCGGGCCCTGGCTATCCGTATGGCTATCCTCCGCAAGCAGGTTCTGCACAATTCCCGCCGCCGGCCTACTACAGCGACTCGCAGCACCTATCAAGTCCACCACTATCCAGCAAGTACCAAGAGCCCAGGAACGCGGGCGCCCAAGAAGACACGCAGGATTGGTCGAAGCTGACGAGAGTCTTGCCAGAGCTGAACAGGCTGCTCTCAAAATATGAAGCACAGAAGGGACAACCATCGGCCGAGGGGTCGTTCGCAAGTCAGCTAGACCACCACAGAACGCACGAGATTGCTAGCCTTCGAGTTGAGCTAGAGGCCAACAAGAGCGAGTATGAAAAAGTCATCCAGAAACTCATAGCAGAGTCTTTCGCTCTGAAACGCCAGGTTGAGGACCGCGACAAGGACGTGCATTCTATGCAAGCAGCAGTCACAGATCTGAGGACGCGACAGGAGAAGCACAATGTGGCTGAAGCAGAGCGCGGAGAAGCCAACACACGTCAAATGCGACTCCAGGAGGAGCACGATGGTCTGGCTGTAAAGCTCGAACGAACAGTCTCTGAGCTGCAGGAGGTCAAGACGTCTCGTGATCACATCAGGAAGCAGCACGAAGAAATCTACAACGAACTGAACTACTACAAGAACGAGGCGTCCAACTGGAAAAGCAAATATCAGGGAGCGATCGACGCATCTGATCAGGCACGGCTTGCCAAAGAAGATCTAGTCTCTGCGAAGATGCAACTGGAGTCTCAGGTGGATGAGTTGCGCCGCAAGGCACAAGCACGAGAAGAGAAACATCATGCTGAGATGAAAGCTCTCCGGAAAGACTACGAAGTCCTCCTCGACACCAAAGACAAGGAGCGCAGCATCCTTTCAGGTGATCATAAAGCAGCCATCGGATCGGTCCAACTTGAATTGGCGGGCCTGATCGACCGCCATAGTCGGCAGAAGAAAGACCTAGAATCTTCGAAAACCCACGCATTCAACCTGGAGAAAAAGCTCGAGTCCAAGACGAAGGAGCGAGAAGAGCAGTCCATAAGACATAGACAGCAGATGGAGGCGAAGACCAAGGAGATCGATGATCTCGCGGCTTCACATCGTCGACAACTAGAGGCTCAACTTGCCTCGTTGACCGCACAACGCGAGAAGGATATAGAGAATCTGAAGCACGATCACGAGAAGGCAGTCCAGAGCACGAGGAAAGAGCATGACACAAGAAGCAAAAGGATGCGCGAGGATCATGCAGCGGAACTGAGAAGCAAACAAGCTGATCTCGACAAGCAGAAGTCCGCTTACGATGCGGTTCTGCGCGACACCCAAAACCTTCGAGCGACGCATGAGCAGCTCACAGTAGCTATGGTGTCGTGGAAGAAGCGACAGGAAGAGTGGCAGGCCGAGCAGAAGAAGATTAGCGAGATCATGGAAGGCTCAGTCCTTCTGGAAAGTCGTAGGAGGATACCTGTGATGCGATACCCGATACCCCTGTACGAGCTATAGCACATTTGAGCAGCGTATAGACGAACAGCCCTGGCAACAGTACCCAGACGACTAACAAACGGGCGTCTTCTCCCAGTTCACGTTGCAGTGTCAATGCTTCCACGACTTCAAGACACTCAAGCGTGCTTCTGTTTCATGCCGGTGACATCAGAATAAACATTCCTCACGGAGACCTTCGTCAGGTCGCACAAAGCCGCAAAGAATGATCCCATTTCACCGCGCTAGCCTGCGGGCAAAATCTCCTGAGACTAAAAACAGCACTGCCTCGACCTTCCCGAATCCCAGTCGAAGAACCTTACCTAAGGCCAGATCTGGCAGCCCTATAAGCAGCCGCAAGGCGAGTTTGGCGGCTCCGTCAGGCTGATTCGGCTTTAACATGCTATCGAGGGGGTCAGGAGGTCACTCACCAACCTTCTGCGCTGGAAATACTAAAACAGCGCTTGCGTCTCAGGTGTTCGCGATGTCTCAACACGCACAATTCACGATGCATCGATGACATATTGTCGAAGGGGTACCGTCTGGTGTCCGTGGGCATGAGTTGGAGACCTTGAGGTACTTCATAGAGGCAAAGTTCTTCCGCAGACCAAAGTTCTAAGCTCTCCTACGGAGGGAGCTCCTGCTTTTCCCGGGGTATGACTCCCCATAAACACGCCTATTGGCACGTCAGTGACCTCACGCGACCGGTAAAGCTTCAGGTGGAGCGCGTGTAAATGGGACACCCCTGCTGTGGTGGCTTGAGGCATGCTCAAAGTGCGGCGGTGTCGAGTTTAGCTCATGGCGCAGTCTCGTCTACACTTCCTCCCACTGGCTGTCCTCGACCGCATTGCTACTTTGTACCACTCATTGACCGTCCTCCGCGCCAGATACACAGACATTCAAACCGCCACCCCGCCGAGTCTGCCTTCCATCAGCCTGTGCATTGCGCTAGTGTTGCTGTGCAGCATACAGCCTGTCATCCGCACAGGTCGTGATCCTGGCGAGATACCCTCGAGGTACGGCACCCAGATTGCGCCGCCATCACTGATATCCGCATTCGGTCCTGTGAACACAAGCATCGACCTTCTGCGCGCTTGCTACACAAGGTTCTGGGACGTCGACTCCGCAGTTCGAGGCATCGCGAATCCGTAACTGCTATTCATCTGCACAGCCCATCATCTCTATCATTTCGTACATTTTGGTCCTGGCGGCACTTCAACATAACATGCCGCAAGTGCCACGGCTAGTCCTCACTCGTCAATGATCTGTGGATCATTCGGGACTTTCTATACAGTCTGTGCTAGGTTCATAACCTAGCAGAGCCCGAATTATCATGGCCCCTCTCATTTCGTCCTCCCTGTCCACAGACATTGAAGACCGCCATCAACAGCCGCCCAACGGAAGACTGCGACCTGACGGTACCGTCTCCCCTTCCCTACTACAAGTGGCACCCCACGACCGCAGGAAACATAAGACACAACCCAGCGTGACTTCGGTACCAGTTGAGGATCCAACCCAAGAGCTATACCCGTTTCCAGATCTGCCAACGGCAGGTGATGGCCTTCAGCACGAAGACTTCCCAACGTACACCACACCAGCAGAACTAATGTCGAGGGCCGCCGTTGATGGGGGCCTGGATCTTTCCTTTGACGATTATATGACGCCAGATCAGTCCACAGACAACTACATAAGTGAGCACACCACCCCTCAGGAAGCTATCTGGGAACGCGAGTTCCAGTACCTGCCAACGAACGGGGCCTCACTTCCACATATCCTCGACAGCTCCTCCCAGCATTCTGGACACGAGGAGCTTCCGCCGACGGCATTGCAAGAGCCATACAAAAGTGCAAGTTTGGATCAGCCCAGATACATCTCTGGTGCGGATCTGCTCACACCGAGTCCACCTGGCAGCGCGAGGCCAGCGCCTGCACAGCTTGTTGCAGTTCAGAATAACGACATGGGTCGGCTAAATAAGAAGCGTGGGGCCGATACGCTTCAGCTATCAACCGACGCTCGGTCGTTACATCCTCAACCATCGCGACATGGCTCCGTCAGCCCCGTTATCATGGTATCTTCTCACTCGCATGGCGACTCACCAGCGCATGCGACCCCTCCCACGCACAGGAGTCTCACTCGGCCAGGGCAAAGTTCTGCTAGCGGCGAACATGTCTCGTATTCACGTCTGAGACTTCCAGGAGCGCCCGACGCGGGTGTTCAAGATAGCGCTAGTCCACGGACAGGGCAGGATCCCACCAACAGGACTCTCAGTGAAGTCGCGACCGTGAACGAGCTTGCTGAAAACCTTCAGCTCAACGCACGGAATGAACACGTAGAGAACTGGTTGATCAAGACCGAGTCTATCGTCGATCAGGTAGCACGCCGTACGGACCGTCCACGGGCATTGAGCACTGGTGTCAGGGTAGACGCGATGGGTCTTCCCAAGTTTTCTGACGCCAGCATACCTGGACCAGGTGTAATGATTGACGAAGACAGCACAGACGACTACTCCGATGATAGCTCTTACGTCGAGGCGCTCGCTTCCGAGAGTGGCAGCGAAGCTCCGGAGTCGCCTCCAGTGGAGGAAGATGACTTAAATGGGGAAGTAGCAGATCGGAGCTATTTTCCGCGGTTTGAAGACGAGGAAATCCCGCCGGAGATGCTGGAGCCATTACCACGTCAGTTCTATCGGAGAGGGCCGTGGCAAGATCCACTCACTGGCCCCATTTACAACGATCAATGGCAACCATTTTCCTCGAATGCGGCAATGGTCAGATACAACGAAGAGTCTGCCAAGTGGGAGACAGCTTCGCGTGCTGCCACGTGGGGCACGAGACGGCGGCTGAGCGATGGCGAGGTTCAGTCCATAGTCGATGGCAGCCGAGTCCGACATTTGTCGCTGGTAAAGCGTGGCCGTGCCCGCGGCAGCACCTTGATCAAGTTGGCACGAGACAAAGCTAATGAGCTCATTCCACGCAGAAGCAACAGTAATATCAAGAGAGGCGCAGAGTCGTCGCAGTACCAAGAGCCGCTGCAACTAGTGGAGAGTCCACAACAGCGTGAATCCATTACCAGCATCAACCCCGTTCAGAGGATATCGAGCTTCGGAAAGTCGAGGTCCTCAGACATTGCCGCTATCAATACATCGGTCACGAATGCCCAGCATGGCGAAGCTACTAGCGCCGATTCTCAGAAGATCAAAGCTGAAGGTGGTCTGCGCAGTCCATTGCATCTGCTGAGGAAAGCTCGTAGCAAGAGCGACGTCGGCAATCGCAGCAGTGCTAAGTCTTCTCCAGGGCTGCACGAGCTGATGGCCCAACATGGCGGGCCGCCTGTCATGAGCATGGCATCACCGAAAGCCGATCCTATTGCAGAATTCCCGGGTCTGACATCGGCCAGGGACATCGCTCTCGAAGATGACGACGACTATGAAGGAGAAGACGACTTGGCGGAACCAGGCATCAAAATGGATCTGAGCGTCCGTGCCGAGAACATCATTCCGAATTCCGAAGGATTCAAGTATCACGCGAAGCAACTGAATCCTCGTCTACAGCCCTATTTGATCGATCGAATAGGTCACGAACAGATTCGACGCTACAAGAAGCTGCTTGATTCACGAGTGAAGCACAAGAAGGCTGTCCTAGGCCGCAGTTGTACCTCCAAAGATTTCTGTTATGAGCTTGGTGGTGAGGCGAAACTCCTGACACCACGGCCGAGCAACAAAGACCCGTCGACAGCAGTCGCTCAATTCTCTGTGCATGGTCATGGGGAGGCGGATATTGACGAGGAAATGGACGAAGGCGTTGTGACGCCGGCCTTGTTCCCTCCCGGTATTCCCTTGCCACCAGTGAAGCGCCTTCCTGCCGAGTTCGAGTGCTTTCTCTGCTTCAAGGTCAAGAAGTTTCAGAAGCCCTCGGACTGGACCAAGCACGTCCATGAAGACGCGCAGCCGTTCTCTTGCACATTCCCAAATTGCAACGACGGCAAAAGCTTCAAGCGCAAGGCTGACTGGGTTCGACACGAGAATGAGCGTCATCGTCGTTTGGAGTCCTGGAGATGCAACGTGCCAGAATGCAGTCACGTCTGCTATCGGAAGGACAATTTCGTGCAGCATTTGGTCCGTGAGCACAAAAAGAACGAGCCCAAGAACAAAGATAAGCCAAACGCCAAGAGCAGAGGAAGACAGGAGGATCACGAGGTTTGGCAACTTGTCGACGCGTGCCGACAAGAGTCCTCTATCAGGCCACAGGACGAGCCATGCAAGTTCTGCGGCAACAAACTTAGTAGCTGGAAGAAGCTCAGTGTGCACATGGGCAAGCACATGGAACAGATCGCCATGCCGGTACTGGACCTCATCAAGCTGAAGGACGTCACAGCGGACACAATCATCAGCCCAATCGAGCAGCAGAACCTGCTTGGTAATGGAGGCAAGAAGGGATCTGGAAAGTCTGCCAATCCGCAAATGTATCTGGGTCAAGGCATTCCATTGGAACAGTTCGGCTCCACGCAACTTGCCACAGCAAGCCCTCTTCTGGCCACGCAACATGATCCTAGTCTTTCGCCCTACACGCAAAGCGTCCAGTCACATCACATTGCGTCTGGCACCCAGTCGCCGGCAATGATGCAAGCGAGCCCTCACATGAACCATCTGGGGTACAACGAATCGGCTTACTTCGCGAACGTAGGTGTCAATGGAGCCCATGGTCATATCGACCAGAGTGAGGCGTTCGAGAATGCACATGGGTACGCGCAAGCCGGCTTCACGAATGCCACATCCCATCCTGGACATTACGCGCACAACAACACGCAGCTGGGATCGAACTACTCGCCTGCGCAACAAGCCATGTCCACGCCCATGTCTGCACATTCGATGACGATGATGATGGGTCCTTCGAGCGCAACGAGCTATGGGCACCCCGATGCCCAGTACGGACAGCCGGCAGATATGGCTTCGTTTCAGAACTACTCAGCGGCATCACAAACAGCCACTTACAACACTACGGTGACAGACCAGCACTCCTATGGCATGCATGACCAGTATGCTCAGCAGCAGCAGGACCAGCACCAGCAGCAGAACATGTATCACAATCACTACTGAGGATGAGACGCCACACGGATGCAGTATCTGGAAGTGAGGCAACGTGGCTTGGAGTGTAAGGGCTGAGATGTCAATTAACAACCCAAGGGATGGAACGGAAGGTGACAGACACCCGAGATCACTTGAGATGACACTAGAGGTTCTTTGAAATGTGACCCAGGAACTTACGCCCGGTTGATGAGGATGGCTTGGCGTGAATACGTGCCTTCGTGGATCTCGGAGACGAAGCACGACGTTAGCTCGCTAATCACAGTATGAGCTGTCAGTGATCGCAGGTGACGAAGGAGTCTAGGATCCAGGCTTCTCAATTTTGCGGAGAGAACGAATGCCTCGTCTTGTTCAGCCCATTGGAGATACACGAAGCGATGTACTGTAACAACAGAGATACCCCACCAGCCTGCAATGACATCGATTCATGTCTTGAGGACCTTTGTGGGATTTTGTGTTTCGTCTCCAGTCGAAAGTTCTATGCAGTAGTGGTGACCCTGATATCATATCACGTGTAGCTGGGCAATGTTGCAAGGGATGGTCGCGGGCCGAGTACCCGGTACACAACGGTTCAATTATATTCGTTACTCGTTGTATGGTGCTTGATAGGAGCTCACCGAACAAACGTTCAGTGGCTCGATACTCGACGGTGCGCGAAGGACGGTGACGTGCGTGAACACCTAGGACACAGCCCGTATGGTCTAGCACTCGGATCGGCGAGTTATCTGCTTTATTGCTGTACATCTGAACAATGTAGCGGTGTTGTCTTTCTGTACATGTAGCTTTCGACCCTCCGATCTGGATCGTCCCAACAGTCGTTGCTCCGAACCTTCCATTATCCACGTGAGCGCGAATGGTCTGTTGTGGGGATTAGTCTGGATCGGCATACATCTCTTCACCGGTCTGTTCATAACACTGTAAATGGACTGTCACGATGACCCAACATGGATCAGCACATCATCTGCTCTGTGATCGATGCAGATCTGTTTATGTGTCCGAAGTCGTCCGAAGGACCGGCCTGCGAGTCTGTCGCGAAACGCATGGCCGATCCCTACTCTCAGATGGGATTGTGTAGAGATCGGCAGGTGCTCGTCTCGTGATTTCGTGCATGATCGTGCGGCTCCGGGCACGTGAAGGAAGTGCGACTGGCTGTAGGTAGGAGCCCCGGAATAGGTAAGAGCCTCGAGCGAGTCGTTCCTCCCCCCGCTTTCTCCCACGCTCTTGCTGTGCCAGTGCCAGTCTTTCAGGTCACCGCTCCAAAATAAAAGTAACTACCTAAGGTTCCTCCCGACTGGTAACGGTACAGACTCTCACTCAACAACCCCTAACCACTTCTTCGAGCCCAAGCGATACAGAGCTGCATTGTTCAGCATCTTCATTCTCGTAATACAGAACCATTACACATTGCTTTCGACAGCAGGGCTGGACTACCGCTGCGCAAGTTCTAAGTTTCATTCTGGACCAAATCACCCACCGCCTGAGAGACTCGTCCGCTTCGCCTAAGCTCGCCTAGGACCTGTCGCCTATTACCAAACTCTCACCTTTCTGGCTTGCTCTGGGATCTGCTCACGCACGCACTCTCCTTGTTCATGTAGCACCGGGCAGGATAACAATTTTCTGCTGGCCTCCTGCATCGCATATAGGGACGCTCAACATTATACAGCATTCCCCTCCCCGCGCGTTGTGTGACGAACGGCTCATCTCGGCTCAAGAGTCACCCATATAATAATCCCAAGGTTGACTCGTGTGGGCTGTCGAGGCTGTGCAACTGTTTCTACCAAAACTTCCAAAGCTATCACAATCTACAGCATCACTTAGCTCTGATCTGGAAGAAGTCACCGTCCAACCATCTGGCACAGCATCAGGCTTGCTTGGGCATAGTCCAACCATATTCTCTTGCCACTTCGCCTCACGATGAGAAGCTAGCACAGGACCTGGTGCTGCTAATCGCGCTGCACCACCCAAACAACCCATCAGGTGGATTGGCCTGAGGCAACGGTCCGACTATAACGACTACGCCGCCCCAAAACAGAGCAGTCATGGAGGAAGACAGTTTCTTTGACCAGTTCGGGTACCGATCCCAGTTCAGCACCATGGTAAGTACTTTCTCACTGCGAACCATTTGCCGTACTTCCGTCTTGCACGAGCTGATGCCTTGATCACAGGACGATATGCAAGAAGCTGGTATTGGTGCTGGTGACATAGAGGCAGAACTAAACGCCCAGCCACTTGCTGGCTACATGCCTGGACACAGTGCTGTTCCTCAGGAGACATCCACGCCTTATGAGCCAAGGGCCACTTTCAATACCTGGGACATCGACCTTTCTCCGGATCAACAATTTCACGACAACGTCGGTACTCACTACGCTCTGTCTGCAGGCTCAATTGACGTGAACTTGCGCGGCACCATTCCGACGCCGTCTGTACATTCCACCCCATATGATCGCATCCATGGCATGGTCAACCTGCATCAGTCACAAGCTCGGCCGACCCAGGCCTTCATGCTACCGCCTACCACGTCTCTACGACCCCCGAATGCCACAAGAGACTCTGGCTACGTTAGTCGAACAATAAACCACGACGCATACTCTTACGATCGGGGTTCAAGCCGCAGCCTATATCGGGACGACTCGCATCTGGGGGCTGCCAGCATTCCTGACACTGCAACGGTACTGTCCGACGATTCAATGTCGCAGCAGGCTGGTCAAGATCAGTCTGCACGCTCTGCAACAGTTGGTCAGCAAAGGTGCTCATGGGTAGACTGCGGCAAGGTCTTTCCGAACTCCTCAAGTCTCAAGTATTTCCCCTCTATAATCACACTCAATCGGAGCTGACAAGATGCAGGAAACATATCGCGAGCCACAAAAAGGCATTCAACTGTTCAGTAGTAGGCTGCCCCAGGCATATCGCTGGCCAAGGCTTTGCCAACGATAACGACCGTCAACGTCACCTTCAGACAGCTCACCACATCAACTTGAAAGAGGTGTATTTCTGCGCCTGGCAAGGATGTAATGTGTTCAACCCAAGAAAGGATAACTTCACCGACCATCTTCTACGGGTACACAAGATTGAGAAGGGCTCTGAGCAGTGCATACGTTTGTGTAAGGACAGTGTCAAGCCTTGGGCTTCTGTTGCCCAGGTCGACCGAGAACTTCTAAGTATGCCAAGAGATAAACGACGGAATGAGAAATCAGAGATGTCATCCTCGTCTGGCCAAAAGAGAAGACAGACAAGTCGACCGGTCGTGGAAGACTCTCCGACAGCCACCAAGAGATCGAGAGTCGACAAACAGGAGCCCCCTGACGAAGCTAGTCTGGGTCCTAGCATGCGAGCGTCGACCGATCTGCCTATGCCTCATGAGGCCGCTGAGCAGACGCAGCAAGCTGGCGGCCAGTTCGATCAGCTGAGTGTCGCATCGTATCCACACCTGGAGCCTATACCCTCTATGCAAGAGTCCCCTCTTCTGCCGTTCCCACCGCATCTGTTTCCCGAGGATCAGCAGCACTGGGCAGAATCTCAGCAACCGCATCTACAGTGGATGGCGCCTCATATGGCCCAGGATAATCCGGCATACTTCACAGAGCAATACCAGAGCCTAGAACATCACCATCATGGACAGCATGCACGAGTCTCGCAAGATGAGACCCTTGACATGTCCCATGCCTATCCAGCCTTTGTGAGGAGGCAGTTCACCTCGAGTCAGGTGCCACAGATCCGAGACTCCATACCCTCTGGAGAGCCTGCACCAGCGGAACCTCAGATTGATATTGTCTCGCAAGTCAGTCACACACTTGGCCAGCACCAGCAGCTGACGTCTTTGACAATTCGCAGGACTTACCCTATCGTGCCTAACTTCCCACAACAAGCCCATTCGCTGCCATCCAGACTCGTGGGCAGGGGTAGCCCTGCGTATAGCGTCGTCGAATATGAACAATACAGCGAGGCAGATGTCACTGAGTCTGGTGTCGGCAATGGGTCATACAGGTGCCCTTTTGAAGGTTGCGGCAAAATCTTTCCCCAACAATCAAAGCTCAGCAAGCACACTGCTCGTCATGATCGACCATTTAAGTGCATGTGGGATGATTGTTGCCACAATCGAAATGCTCAACACCAGAAAAATGTTAGCAACCCGGAGTCGTCGAATGGGCTTGGCTGGTATAGTTCAGGTAGTAAGTCTGACCTTATGCGACACGAAGATTCGGTCCATGTGAAGACAGCTGAGGTTTTGGATTGCTTTCGCTGCACGAAATCGAACATGCACTACATGGAGGATGGTCAGATGTGTCAGCAGCTATTCACATCATCAGCAGAATCATACGCCACCCATCTCAGAGCTTGCATTGCACCAGCCATCGATCTGGAAAACGCTGTGTGGCAGGCTTTCATTCCCGCGAACTTCAACGGCAGATTCTGGTGCGGCTTTTGTGATGATATTGTCGACAACAAGACTCCCTCAGATGTTGGGACGCAGTCGCTTGAGAAGCAGCAGAAGACGCGGCTGGAGGAACGGCACGGACATATCCGGGATCATTATCGGGGCTCCAATCCTCCACAGATGGGATCGTGGAAGTATCTCAATGCTGAAGGTCGGACGAAATTCGAAGTCGATCTCGAAAGGACTGCCATGCTGCAGACTCGTGTGCAAATGCAGCGTCGAAGTCAGGAGCAGCAGTAGGACCGCAAGGAGAACAACACACGCTTCAACAGTCACAAGCCATTGTCTCCGTGGTGGCCAATAGCGGTATTCTACGGGCATGGGAGTGATACATGGCCTGCCTGGACTAGTGGTGGTTTCCAAAACATACAGATGGACGACAGAACACGCGATGCAGCAGAGTGTGTGGATGGATACTTTGCAACAGGCATTACCAGCCTTGCGCATCATGGAGCTATGAGATAGCGGCGACACTACATGGCTTGTAGGAACCCAGGCTCGATGCAATGATCTATGACAGCATGAAATGGAGAACGAAGGATATACGAAGACGACAGTGACGACGCATTGATTATTGAGACAGCATACGAAGCGGACAGATGTACAACGACGATGATAGTGATACCCCTGGGATGGCGACATTGAATGGCATGGCGTGTTGAGTTGTTTCTGTCAATTGCTTCGGCGCTTCGGGTCATGAGTTTGCCATCAATAATGGCGTTTGTCGGCTTTTGTGTTTAAGACCTCGATGCAGCTGCGAATGTGAAATGGTTCCAGTTCCGGTTGGAAAGAGCGAACAGAGCATATTTCACAGGGAAAGCGGAGCAATTGCTTCCTGCCAGACCAGTTCTGGGACTTGCAGGAAGGAGCGATGGTCCTTATTAGTTTCCTGTGGATAATACTCGATTCGAATACTACCTTCACAGTGACGTTGCTTGACATAAGTTTTACACCACTTAGGTGTTGCCTGTCTTGCCAGATCTGCTATCGCTGGCGCCCTGCGCTCTGTCGTGCAGCACATTGTAGGTCGCATCAACCGAATGCTGTTGGTCCTCCAGGCCCCGAACCTGATGTGCATCCGAAGCCATCGAGGAGCACTGGCGGTCACACTCTGGCCGATAACTTACAACTTCCTTTCCTCATGTCCAGCTGCAGCACAAGTGCAGGCTTTGTCGATGTTGAGTCTCTCTTGACTGTTAAGAGCCAGCAGTGCGGATTGCTGTGCTGGTGTTTCTTGTAGGAACCTCTCCATGGGAGTCTTGCCTGTACCCGGGTCTTGGTTGTTGGCGGCCAACGACAGCTTGATGATGTTCTTATGGTATGGGCAGGACTTGCCGGCGGAGGAGCGTGGGTTAGGGAGCGTGATAAGTATGGATCTGGTGGAGATGGGGGTGCAAACCTAGTATGGTGCCTTAGATAGTATGCTTTGAGAAGTGCCAAGACATTATTGTGGTGATATAAGAAAGTCGCTAGGACTTACTTTGATTGCTGCAATATGAGATGGGAGCTTTGGGACGCCATGTTGACAAATACACGATCTGATGATGTCAATTGGGGATGCTGTTCTATTACTGTGATGTGTGAATAGGTGATATGCTGAATGTTCAATATGCTTGGCATGAGACAATGTGATCAGCAGAACGGAGGTTTCAATTTTGCATCGGTGTGGGAATCACGAGTATTTGAGAGAAACAATCAGACGCCTAATCTGAGTGCGAACACTCGTAGAAACGAGCTCTGGATTATCGAGAGCATCATTCGACTATTGTATGCTGGATTGCAAGACGTAATGCCGGTTACAAATATGTAATGGCGCAGAAAAGCGGCCAGCGGGCGGAATCCGGCGGCAGATAGGAGAACTCAATTTGTAAAGACAAGTTTACGGTAATGGCAGGTGTGGACACCTGCCCTTCCTCATTGGGGGTTAACCGGCGTGCATGCCAATGTCCGGTCACGTGATCTGTTGGATGGTGGAGTTGCCTGAGCTCACTCCTTCCTCGGCTTCCAAGCCCCAAACGCCATACCTTCCGGCACAGCCTTCCACTGGCCAGTGGTAGGATGCAATAGCTTCTCGCAGTCCTTCACGGCATCCCGAACAATCTGAACACGCTCAGGGCTCCTTGGCACAATGTTGATACCAAATGGTGCAGGGTGAACCGTTATCCCACCAACCAGATTATCAACATCGGGAATGATAGGCTTGCCTCGGTCGTCGAGCGGTGCTTCGAGGCTGAAAGCCCACAGGATGCGTGACATGCCCAGGAACAGTGACCGCTCAGCGATATGGATGCCTTGACACAGGCGTCGGCCTGCTCCGAAATTGAAGTTGTCGCGCAGGAGCGGCTCACCGTTGGCGGATTGGTACAGTGTTGTTGCGTCGCCTGCATATCTGTCTGGGTTGAATCGTCGCGGCTCAGGAGATCGGGCGGGATCCATGTGGATGCCCCTGCAAGCAAATTCAGCATGACGTCTTCAGTTAGTAGGGTGATGGAACGTACCAAACGTTAGTGAATATAGTCGTTCCCTTAGGAACCTTATATCCGTTGTAGACATCGTCCTGCATGACACGATGAGGCACACCGAGTATGACCGTTGGCATAAAACGTAACGTCTCCTTGATACAGCAGCGAATGTAAGGCATGTCAGCGTAGTCATCGATCTCTGGCAGCCGGTTGGGGCCAACGACTCGATCAATCTCCTCACGTGCCTTTTTCTGCGCGTCTTGGAACACCATCATGGCCTGGACGAAACCCAGCATCGTCGACGCAGTTGTGTCAGAGCCGCCTTCGAGCAAATTCCCAACAATATAACCGACTGCTTCGTCTGATAATGATTCGCTCTTTTGGGCAAGAAGGAGATCGTTGCAGAGGCATGGCTAGATCAGCGTAAGCATGTATGTCAATGGTCAAATAGCACAGGCTCGACATGAGACCCAGCATTCAGAAGGTGGACTCACAAGCGCGGTCCCATCCTCGAGGGCCTTCTTGGCTTCCAACCAATGACTGGTGTAAAGATGCCGTCCGACCTCGTGAATCTGCCTGGCAGCCTTAACTTCGGGCAGCCAGGAATGAGGCAGCTTCTGTAGTATCGGATAACAATCGGCTAGCTGCGCGGCGTCACTCGCAGAGACTTTGCCGAACCGCTCCAAAGTCTGTGCTAGGATCAGAACAACGGCTGACTACCAGCACGACATTCGAACTTACGTAGAAAAGGCGAGCCAGCTTGGGATCGTCAGAGCTGGGGCATCGGAAGCCGAACAACATCTGAGTCGAGACTGAATAGCTGAAGCGTTTGAGGTGGTCGAGAAGCTGCTCAGGGGTGTCCAGTAAGCCTGCAAGGAGGAACTTGTTTTCAAGGTCTTGGTAAGGAACGTATTTCGCGGCGACGGTGATGTTCAGCGCGTTGTGTACCAGGCTTCGGATTGTTCGCCATGTGTCGTTGTATTTCTGACAGGTTTCAGCACACAGACCATGAAGCGTCAGACATCGACCGCATGCAACGTGATTGCTACACAGTTACGGCTGATGTAACGGACATTCAATCGCCGTCTCGAACAATGCACAGCTTACCATAAGTATCAAGCGCTGCCCACCGCTTGCGATGTTCTGACCGATGAACATGCTGGGCCGATCTGAATAGATGTTGCCTTTCTTATCCAGAAGGTCCTTGACGGCAACGTCCGATGACAGTACAACAGCGGCTGAGCACCAAGCATGAGAGTATACACAGGACTGGCAACATCAGTAAAGTACAGCATGCCATGTGCGAACGCCGCAGTACCCATATTCCTCGGCCCATCTCAGGAACTGTACGTGAGCGTCGCTTCTCGGCATCTGGCACGACATCAGGAACGAGTATGGAGGCTTGTTGAGAGGTTGCAGACCTGATGGAGATTACCCAGCAGTGGTATTGTCGGAGGGCCAGGAGGCATGCCCGCAGGCCTGCGCCCGACCTTGAGAAGTTTCCAGACTGCCAATCCCAGCAAAAGGATCACGATGGATGGATATCCTATTGAGGAATACATCGTGGGCATGTTGCTGTTACGGTACAATTGTTCAGACGCAATGTCGGTGCTATCGATGCAAGTCGCAGAAGAGAAGTCGCATATCGACAGACGCACAGTGCAATTACTCGATGCCACCTACCTTTAAGCGATTGGGGCCATGTTCCGCGGCTTGTGACTGGCCCGGGGCGAGTAGAAGCGATATCTCTGAGCCCGGCTCGCCAGCTTGCGCTATTGCATCATAGCAATATCGCTGCGAGATTAACTAACCAGAACATGAATTTTAAGCGTATCGTAGTACATTCCTGCCGCCAGATGATGTGGCCTTGAGATACAGTTTTTACGATTAATCTGTCAAGCGCATGACGGCTCGTGACGATGCCGAGCCAAATCGTTCTTCCGAAACCTCTCATTGGGCTAGGCAAACGCTCGTCTCCAGGGCTGAACAATGGCCGCTTAGCCCCGCATTTCAGGCACTCGTTCGGTCTGCATATGAAACGGTACGTTGTGAATCTGGTGATGCGTGAAAATTCGAAGCCGTTGCTCGATGTATGTTGCTGGAAAATGAACACGCTCTGTAGACAATTAAGCAGGGCACACTGACTAGGCTCGGCCCGCGGCGGCTTCTGTTTGTGATGTCTCTCTCGAATTGTCTGGCCTGGATGTATGGCTTAACATATGCCTTCTCTGGCGCAGCGGTGCGTTGCGCGGAGGGGAGCTCATAGCCCTTGCCAGGCAACTTTGCTGAGCACCTCAACGCCTTTGTTCAATCGTCGGTCGCTAGTAGACTTGACCAGGCCCAGATACTTCAGCGTAGCTAAGGCTATATAGAAGTGCGCGAGAGATGCGCGTTCCTGCGCTTGGCCTTCATCTGTGTCCGCGTTGCTACTGGCATCTGATGTGGCGTTCTTGGCTCTGCCTTTCAACTTCGCAGGTGTGTTCGTTCCATTTGTCTGAGAAACCACTTGAGGCTTGCTTTTGGCTCCACGACTTGAGGTCGATTTGCTCAAGGAAGCGACCGGGTCCTGCTCAATGGTGGACGATAAAAAGTTGTCGTGAAACGTACTCCACAGGTCCATCACATTCACTTCACGTCCAGCTTCCTCGAGTAGCTGATACAGAATCGAAACTCCCTCTTTCCCTTTATTGCTTGACGAAGACGTGCAGCACTCGCAACCAAGATAGTCAATTGGCGCCGCCAGGGCCCGAAAGATTGTGGATCGCGGTCGAGCAAGAAAGTTGCTCGAGAGTTGCGTCCTCGTGATAAGAAGTGCTTCCGACAGGTAGCGGCTTGTAGCTGGCTTCAGTGATTTCATGGCAGTCCTCAACGTGGAGAGAAGGTGCATTGGCAGCAGCTGCGTGCTACCCAAGTTTCGTAGATTGACGTCTTGCAAGTCTGATGCCAAGGGAGTGATACTGTGCAGCAGTGTTTGCATCGACGCTTCGGACAGCATTGGCAGCTTTGTTGAAACGAGCTCGTGAATTGTCGATGCCTCGAGATCATCTTTCCGGTACTCCGCAATGACCTGATAATAATGTTTGGACAGGCTTCGGGACATGTCAAGATGGTGGCAAACCACGGCGATGACCTGTAGCAACCGTGCTTCCTCCATATAAGCCGAGCGTGCTTCTATGAGCCTTGCTGAAGTGTATGCAATCAGCTCCGAGTCCGAGCTCAGTAATTGATGTACAGGCGTGGACTGGCCGCCTTTGTCAAGGAGGTTCGTGCAGTGCTCTTGGAAAGATCTTGTGTTTCGGATACCTTCACAGAGGCTGTGCGCATCATCTATGTGGCTGACGTCTGACAAAGCGGCTGTAATTGAATTGGCAAAGTAGTGGCTCGCAAAACAGTACTTGATGGCCTGAATGAAAGCGTGTGTAGAGACAGACTGGTCTTGCGCCATCTCGAACAGATTTCTTGTCACACTGGGCGCGAACAGCGGCTGCAAGTACTCAGGTTCCTCGCCATGTCGCGCGAGCTGTGCTGCCGAGAAAATATCGAAGAACTTATCCCTGCTTGAAGCCAACGAGAAGACTTCAGTATCAAGTAGTCTCATAACCGATCGGGACATGCGGCTTTCGAACAAGCTGACAGTGGTAACGAGACTCAGGACGATTGAGAACGAAAGTCTATCCCTCCACGACTCGAGCTGTGAGATAAGTTCGGACAGCACATTCAGATCAAACATCTCGGCATTTGTGATCCCAAGCACGACATTATGTAAGCCATGCTCTTCCATGTATATCTGGAGCAGTTCTAGGTCGAACAGCATGGGAATCGCTCTTTTGTGCTTGGCCAGATGCGCGATGTAGGCTTTTTGTCCACCGTGTGAGACGATTGCATCCTTGATCACGCTCTTAAGAGCGATTTGCAAGTTCGAAGCTTGTGTAGCTTGCAGTTCACAGTGTATAGTATGAGGTCTCGTCTCTTTTCGCCGGCCGAGGAAGCCTCGCAAGGCGTTTGCATCAGTCCCGCCGACAACGATGGCGCTGTGCAGCTTGTCGTGCCTGATGACTGGACGCTCGATATACTCGTCAAGCCGCTTCAGCGATGTCTCATCCACTTCGTCGGCTATCTCTTCCAGCTTCGGCTCCAGCTTGGTCCAAATGTTGTTGAATGATGCTTGTCGTACGTCAACGAGAGCCTGAGATTCCTCGCCGTTGCAAAGTCTGGGCCAGTGCTCTCCCGAAGTTGGCGCATCGCTATTATCGATCTTCCGCTTCTTTCGAGGTCGGTTATCGCTGATGTTGCCCTCCGCAGCTGCAGGACGGAAGACGTAGCATGCACGGTATGATGGATCTTCAGCATCGAATCCGCCGCTGTCTTCCTCAGTCGTCATCTTGACACGAACAGAGAAGACATTTATTTACTAGTTTACAGTGCACGCGTAAGTTGAAAAGTGACGCGACGGGTCGAAGTGACTCCAAATTGCCCGCACCCAATCCAGCAAGAGCCTAATTGCCCACATTATTGGCAACGACGACTTGGAACTTTGAGCCTGATTTCAGCATCGTATCGCCTGGTGTGCCCTCAATTGACCATGTGACGCGTTCTTTATCCTGACATTGTAGTCTCAGACGTTTGTTTATCAGCAAAATAAAGTAAGTCGGATACCGAAAGACGGCATGAGTAGCCATCGTAGTGGCAGCATATTGTTATGGACGGTGACCCGGAGGACGAGCGTTCGTATATACCGGGGTCGAATGGCACACATCTCGAGACTGGCAGTCTAGGCAAATTCAGCGGCCCGTGAGTCGCCCAGTCGTTGAAGCTCACGCCCGCTGCTGATCTCAAGCCAGGTTGTTTAGCTCAGAACCGGAGGCGTACGATGAAGAAGTCTCTCATTCGACAGCGCCATCGACAGCTCCGTCTTCCTATCACTCACTGGCCAACAGAACGAACAATCTGCCGGCTCTCGCGCCGCGTCCAAAAGGCGTACCAGCCAGCGTGACTTCTGCAACTAGCGATGTAGAGAAGTCTCGCGGCCGTCGCAACCGTAACTTCGACGAGGTCAGCTTACATCGTCGTCTCGCGTGTCCGTACGCAAAGATCGATCCGATAAGATTCTCTCCCGTCAACAAGGACGAGAAAAGCTTCCGTGGATGTTCCAGCTGCGTGCTTCGGAAGATCGCTGTGGTGAAGAATCATCTTGCTCGTGTGCATGCCGAGCCTACGATTTACTGCCCTATCTGCTACGTTTCATTGAGCACAGTCGAGGCACTGCAACAGCACAAAGATGCCGACCAGAAATGTAGGCCAAGGCAGCGACCTTTTCTGACCGCGAACGAGCTTGAAGTCATGAACACAAAGCGAGCCAAGGTCCGCAACCCGGTGGACACTTGGTACGATATCTTCGATACAATCTTTGGCGCCAGCCAGCCCCGGCCGCCGGATCCTTACGCTTCGTCTATGGGCGATGCAGCCGTCAGCTCGTATGAGCTTTTAGCGGATTTCCAGGACACATTCAAGAAACGACTGAGCTCAGTGGACGGGATACCTCCCGAGACAAGAAGCCTGGTCGAGCAAGTGCTGTCTGAAACTGCGACCGATGTTGGCTCAAAGCTGTGGACTGAAATGACCAACGGAGGAGCAGCGGTCGATGCGTCTAGAAGATCGTCAACCACTGTGCTGTCAGAGTCGAACGATGTTGACATCAATGAGTTCATGAACATGAATGACTGGTCAGTCTTACCGCCTTGAAAGTAATGTACTCGTCGGCCAAGCGCGAAGAGCTGCGGCGCCATAAGCGCGCTGCAATTGATGCGATATGTTGTCGTGTCCAAAATGGCGGGAGATCGGACGAGGCTATATGACTCTGCTAGTTCAAGGTGCCGTATGCGCCCTGGAATCATGTCTACGGACACCCCCGTACCACAGTCATGGAGCTTGAAGAAGGACTATCGCAAGATGGCGATCGTTTCACGTCATAGCTTGCGCAGACAATACGGCTCGAGGAGGTGGCATGACGCTTCTGTGCTTCGAGGGCGTCAAAGTCGCATGACTGCCGGTTGCGACGGAGCCATGTGTGTCACAGGAAGAAATGCAAGCGTGGTGGCAACCCTCCAAAATGTGCGCGGGTGGATAGGCGCGAACCCTAGGGGCTGCTGCAGGAACGCTTTCATGGTATCCTGGGGTCAAAGTCTCCACCCTTAAGGCAAAAGCTACAGAACAAGACGAGTTTAATGGTCGTGGGTCTTCGTCGGACGATGACAACGACTCTGGGTGAGGGAAGCCAGGCGCTCGTGCGCTTTGATGGAGAATGCGTGACCGGTAGGAAAAATTGGCTCCATCGTGATGGCATCAAGACGATCGATCGGCGAGGTCCATGGCCACACGTAGTGTCCATGAGCGAGCCACGAGTCGCAGGCCAAGCTATGTTCTTGTCTCCTGCATTTGCTGCAAGCTTTAAAGTAAAGCCAGTGAATACACAAATGAGCCAGGCCGGGAGCTGGCCCAACATATATCGCAGCTTGTGAATCTCGCCATCTTACATCCAGAAGCGTAGCATGCGCAGCGAAACAAAGATAGAGCCCAAAGCCGGGATCAACGCAGTCGCGAATGCGCAGCCGAGGACCAGGATCAGGGGGTTTGCTCGGACACCCGATAGGCTCGTTGCTGGATGCTGCAGACTGTACCAACAACCAGCTCAAGCGGGTCTGCGACCGGATGGCTTCTCCATAGAGAATGACGCACGTCCGAGGCTCCAGTTGCAACAATAGTGTGTCTGGCTTTACGATGTGCTACAGCAGATGCTATAGACCAAGCAAGAACGAGAGACACAGCCTGTTATACGGCGGCTGCAATGACTAAAAAGTACACGATCGTGGCGGGCGGGATCCTCGATACAGAATTTTTGGCCAGCAGGACCTCAATAGTGAGGACAGTCCGTGTGACAGGCGACAATGCCACCAGGTTGAATGCATTCGCATCGTTTTCCTTGCTGGCTCGCGCTACTGTTTGGTGAGTCTAGGTAGATTGAATTGATTCACGCCAGTGGAGTGAAAGTCATACTCCGGCTGGACATCAAAGAACCCAGCATCCAGCGTGCAGCACGGACTGAGACTCCACTCTCAAGGCTTACCAGGATGCTCAGTTTCCACGTCTGGTCAGCAAAAGAGCCGTGAAAACGACTGGATGAGGATACAAACTCTGCTCTCTTGGTGGATTTGTTACACTTCACGACGGCCAAGCCTCCTCATGAAATTCCCGGAGTTAAAGGAGCAGCCGCTCGCGTGGAGCCTGTGACAAACCGGGGCAGATCACAACGAACAGCCCGGGCCTCCGGGCAATCGATGTGTTTACGCGTTGGTACCGTACAAGCGGCCTGACAGGCTCCTCAGTGGCACACATGGACGACCAGTAATGCACGATGCAAAGCCCTGTATCGTAAGAGAGCAGCAACCGGGTGCCGCTTTGTAGACGGGAGACTGGAAAACGTGCGAATGTACTATGGTTGCACTGTTTCGTTGCGGGAATTGAGGCGTCGCACACATGAAGTGCTCTGCTGTGAAGGAGCCACGTATACAAAACGCAATAAAAAAGTTGTCGACCACTTGCCAGATGGCTCGATGACCTCGGGAGCTGTGCTGCAGTCCGTGGGAGGCGATTCTACGAGGGATCGGACGCTGGCACGGCGAAAGAACAGAGGGGCAAGCAGCAGTGCTAGAATGGGAGGCTAGCGATGCCCTGGCACCTGCTAACACTTCGCCGCTCCCTGAGTCGCTCTCATCCGCTGCGTCACTCCATCTCCCGCTCTTGTCACCTTTTTCGAGGGTGTCTCTCTAACACCCAACCAACTCAACCAACGTACTCACGAGCAAGCTGATACTGTTGCACTTCTTCTACATACACATTACATGTACATCGTACTCATATACAATACGTCCACTACTATTGTAAGCTGATCGTCGCTGGTAAGTCATGAAACCACGCAGGCATCCCACCACCAAAATGCTGATCGTCTCTAGACAACACAACTGCGCTTCTGTTTCTAGCTCCCCAGAGTCCAGCGTGCAGAGAGCATTGTTGGTGTCATATTCCAGCACAATATATTCTCGTGCAAGCGTACCAAATGGAGCCGCTGCCTCGTCCGAGCGCTCGAGGTGGGCGCGCCCGTCGCACTCAGAAGACTGTACTAGCGACAACTACCGCAGACGCAACCCGTGCAGGAACGGTAGCGACATCGAGCAGGGATATGAACCGCTCCTCCAAGAGCGAACAGAAGAAGCCGGTCACGACTGCCAGTGCTTCTGTTTCTGCCTCGGGCTCTGTTCAAAACAGCAACCGCAGTATGTCTTCCTCTCTTTCGAACGTTGACCTCTGCAGTTGACTTTGCGTATGCACTTGTGTTCTCTCTCTCCTTGTTCTTCTGAAATCCGCCGCGACCACTAGAGGCTTGACGGCATACTGACAGCGACAGATTTCGGAAGCAGGAGCAACAGCGATCTCGGTCGGCAGGAGCGTATCGGGAAGGACATCGCAGGTGTCGGCTGGAACTTCGGTATGTGCACTCCCTTTCTCGTTCGTTGGTTGCGTGTTTCTCCCTCGTGTTTCCATTGCATGCGCACAGCATACCGCCACTGCGCAAGCGCACAATCTGCCCATGACAACTCTTCCTCGACCAATTCCTCCTGGATAGGCATTTGCACGGCGCCTCAAGTGGTCACACAGAGCCACACGATGCAGAAAAGTCTCATCGGTCTCTTCGGAAGCGTCTTCGATGCCAACTCGCTGGGCAAATGGGTCCGCGAAGTGACCTCGAGCCACCTCAAACAACCTGTACCGGTATCAACACAAACCCCTGTCTCCAGCCCGTCGCTTCTGCGAATTTGGCACTCCCGACACCCCAGCCTTTCCACATCGATGTGATCACATCAACACATCAACAGGCAGCCACCGTATTTCGATCTTTCTCACACGTTATGGTCTGACACGTCACGAGGATACCATCCACAATGATCGAACGACCACGAAGCGATGGCATCTGCGTGACGAGAAATCCATCTATTTCCGGTGTTCGCAATTGCTGTCTCTTCGCGATTTCATCTCGGTGGCGCAATCTGCCGTTTGATATACCTGCACCTAGCCTGCATCAGTATTTCAGTAAAATGCTAACATTAACTTCGCAGGCTCAAGCCAGTCCAAAAGGACTCAAGCTTCCCAAATCACAGTGTCTGCATTCAATCGTGAGTCACGTCGCTGGTGGGCATGTCAATGTCGCTAATCAGCCCGCAGAGAGCACTCGCAACACACGATCCATCGAGCCAGGTCCGGATGATCGAAGACGGCGCCCAGACAGGAATGCTCCACTGCCAAACAACAGATTCGAAAGGCAGGCGGATTATCGAGAGATGGGCAGTCAATTCGACGGTCACGCCGACCGCTGCGGCCACGAGTTGGACGAGGCAGATCTGCGCGATCGTTGAATGATGGCCCTTCTGTCAGGTGAGTCACCAATGTCTACCACACAATCTTCTCTCCTAGTTTTGTTGCTAACCCAAGTCCAGGGTCACAGCGTTCGCGTGTCAATGCCGAAGGGCAATAAGGTAGCGGGCATTTGCCATGTGAGAAGTTCAGAGATACCCCTGCGGGAGTCCGGCGAACAGGCGATATTTGGACTATTTGTTTGTCAGTGGCGTTCCGGTCTGCGAATCGGGGTTTGCAGAATGCTGGAAGATGAAAGTTTTATACATACCCTACCGTGCGATCGACTGCATCAAGTTCAGGCTCACAATCAAGGCGGCGATCGAGATACCTGAGAGATGCCACGGCCACCGCATCAAGGCATACGGACCAAGTCACACATGATGAAACAGCCTCACGAAAGCGGTCTCGCCAGTATGTCCAGAGAAATCCCAACAGTGTCAATATGCTTCCGTGTCATCGAGAGCGTCGAGATCATGACTGGATATGGCTTTGAGCGTGTGTGACAACGTCGATCTACTCGAATTGAGAAGCTGACGCTTTTCAAGGAGGCTGGGACTTCCAATGGACAAAGACGGACAAGTGCCCCGTGGTGGCCAAAACATAAGAGTCTGGATCGACGGAGTGCGTGGATCATGCGCTGCTTTGGAAGTCATTGAGATAATTTCAACGATATGTAGATGACAACGTCAAGAGATACGCAGCATCCTTCGAATATAACCTGACTTTCAGCCTCATGACAGAGTCATTGAGACAGACGCCGGCGAACCACAACCGCTTGGCCCTAGTAGCTTGAGTAGGCAATGCATGGTTGCAATTTTTGCGATCTTGCAGTGTTGAGCCAATCATTGCCCGCACTGCCAGACCATCATTCCCAGGTGGAAAATCAATCAAACAGGGCCGAACGCTCCTACCAGCGCCTGTACTCGGCCTTGTATCCAGCTGCACTTGACTTACACGAAGTGACCGTAATAGCAACAATGTCGTCGTGGTCTTATCGCCTGATACGGGTGTGGCACCTACCGTAATTGTGATTCCTGGAGGGAGGGCAGGATGACCGGGCGTTTCCGACAGAGTTGAGCAATAGAGCTGAGGCAGCCTTACCAGGCATTCATTATTGCCCACCCACTTATTTCGCCAGTACCAAAGCAGCATTTGTGATTCATGTCCATGGTAATTTGATCTTGTCGCTGGGTCGCGGAATTTGGATTTGCGGATGGGCAGCATGCAGCCGTCTATACGACTTACCGGTCGACATTTGCAGGACCGCGAAGTGCAGGTATCGAGGCGTGACCAAAGTGCCCGGCCCCGAGATGATGGATAACCTGGGATCGAGACACGGCGTGACACATGACGTCTGTCGACTCCAGAGATTTCCTTGAACCTCCTAACATGCTTGCAGCGATATTACAGTTGGAAGTGTGAACAGAGATTAAGGGGCAGGGGCAGGTGAGAAAGTATTTATTCCTTTCGTATGTTGTTCTGAGAGAATTGGCCATTGCACGAGGGGATTTTGGTCGAAATCGACTTCAGATAGGGCAGCCAATTGCAGCCCGCAGCTAGAGCGTTTGCCAAAGGTCCGAATTTCCCACGAACCTTGGAATTTCCAGACGGGCGGCCAAGCGCTCAGATTCGCTGACATTTGTACGATGCTATCTTGACTTGGACCTCCAGTCCCCTCTTGGCAGGCTAGTAGACCTCACGATATTGTATTCTCCGCTTTCACTGAATACTCTTCGCCCGCATGGATATCGTCTTGAGGCGACAGACGCCCTTCCTGGCCATCAATGATCCTCCCGACACCATCACCGGACGCAAGACCAGTGTAGCCATGTTTGCTTTTCCACGCCCACAGTAGTGCAAGACCACACGAGATACCCCCAATGATGACCGAGGTATAGTTCATCGTCCCGGCACTGACGGGCATAGAATATGGAAAGCAGAAGATGACGACAAACACCACCACATACACACATGAGAAGACGTGCACTGCAGTACCGACTGCACCCTTCATGAAGAACCAGCCAGGAGGCACCCTTTTTCTGCCCGAGAGCAGATGGGGAACAATTGCACCTAGGTATGAGATGCTGATGAGGCATATGACTGACCCGGAAAATGCGCTAAAGGCAGTTGTCGAACCCAGGTATAACAGCCCTATGCATGCATTGATAAACACAACGGCTAGAGTGGCATTCATCGGGCCGTGGTGTCGTGGAGAAATCTGGCCTAACCAGTGGGAGAACGGGGCGGCATTGTCGCGTCCGAGAGTCCACAATGTTCGACCTGATGTGACATAGGTCCGAGTATGCCCCAGAAGGAGGGCAGGAAAATCAGCAACTGCAGGCCAAGGGTTCCTGCCTTAGATCCAGTGGCTTGTCGGTAGAGATCGGCTATTGGAAATATCGAGGCTGCATCCGTTACCGCCGTCAGGTCTGGGGCGGCGTAGAAGACTGCAATCAGATACACGAAAGTCCTGCAGGAGTTAGCATGATGCCCTCCTGAAGTTCGAGAGATCGCCGCTTACGAGAAGAAGCCAATGGTCACCTGCGCGAAGATGGCTTGAGGAACCATGCGGGACGGACTGTACACGCCAAATCAGCAAATTTCATGGAGTTGAGCGTTCCAATACGCACTTTGAGATCTCCTCCGAGATGTGTGAGACACAGTCTGCATTGCGTCAGTCACTAAGTTGAATTCTCTGCGATGCGACAAACCTGGAACTCCGAGAGCAAACGCGCCGTTCAGAAGGCCGAGAAGGAAGACGAAGCCGTTGCTGGAGTAGCCAGTATCATTCTGCCACTCGGCCCAGACTTGATGACTGCTGGCGTAGCCGTTGCCGGTCGTTGATGGCATAACCGCGACCGCGATGATTGTGATGAAGCCACCGACACATACCCAGAAAAGCCCAACTTGATTCAAGAGTGGCAGGAGATGATGTCCAAAGATGACAGTCGATGCGCAGATCCAAGAGCAGAGTAGGTATGCGACGAAAACATGCCAGCGTTCAGACTGGTAGTCGTCGTGAAACAGAGCGTACATCTACCACAGCGTTCAGTGTCCAACAAGGCAGCCGGCGTCCAGCAGTCACTCACTGACACGAGCTGGACCGCAGATATGGACGACGTTGCAGCGGTCGAAAATATCCAGGCCCAGCAATTGTACCATCCAGCGAAGAATCCGACCACTCTCCCATACTTTGGGCCACCCAGAATACCAGCCCAATGGTAGACTACATGCAGGTCAGCTACAAGCTTCTCGCCGAAGCAAACCGATCACTTACCGCCAGCGGAAGAAGGTATAGCGGAAGCCAGCTCGGCGATACTCGCAGAGACCACGAAGTACACTGCTCCGATAGCAATGCTATTTGTGGTTAGCTGAATGCCATTATGCGGATATATCGAGGGCATGATGGTCTTACAGCTCATAAAGTACACCAGGAGGCCCACCGTTGTACAGAGAAATGACCTGGAATGGCATTGTCAGTGCCCACCTGCTGCTTCTGAGAGATGCACTCACGATAGTTCCGCCAAACAGTGGCCAGGCGCACCCGCACATAACACCGAGCGCTACAGCACTCCAGATCCCAAATTGGCGGTCCATGGATTGCTTGTTATGTTCTATCCCTCCATCCCCAATGGCAAGAGCGCCCTCATGGGCATTTTCAGGCTTCACTGCCTTGAAAGCCATGGCCCAGTTTCAGAGGCTTTAAATATCGAGGTGTGGAAACCCAGCAGATGCCACGTGCTGACCATGTATATACATGATGAGCTAGTGGACAAGTCAGCGTCATACGCGAGTATGTCCGATGATGCGTTGATGTTTCGTGTTCTCAGATAACGACAACGACTATCGTAATTGCCGCTGATAAGCATTGTAGTCAGATAAATATGCACACACTTGCAGGTACCGAGTGGCTGGGAATGGTCCAGATTAGCACCCCTGAAGATCTGAACTTAAATCAAACCGCTCTACTCCGCGAGCGCACCCCGCGCTGTGGATGTCATCAATTCGCGACGTCGTGAAAGGGTCGGGTCAGGTACCATGGACAAATTGACCCAGAATATATGAATATGAAAGTCTCGCCTGGGATGCGTTGAAGACTGTTCTGGTCCCGCGCAGCCATGGAATCTCGCACGACGACAGCACGGCCGTCATTCTTGGGGCTAGGAGGCCTCCATGTTCTCATCACTGGGAGTACAGGAGGGATCGGCTCTGAAGCAGTCCGGGAGCTACTAGGTACGGGGAATACCCGGGGGAGACACAAGCACTGACGAGCACGGTGATCAGGCCAAGGCTGCAATGTTACAGCTGTCGATATTCGACCCGTCAAGGAACCTTCATCGCTGTTCTATGCTAACAATCTAGAGTATTCTGTCCAGCTACAGACTCTGGAGGCGGACATATCATCTGAAGCTTCGATCAAGACTGCCATCGAGACGGCGGCTGCTTCTCGCTTTGGGCCTATTAATGTGCTCATCGCAAATGCCGGAATCACCGATGAGCTCAACCACATACCTATCTGGGAGTTGCCACTCGAGCACTGGGACCGCATCAACAACGTGAACTATCGCGGTACATTCCTGACAATCAAGCATTTCCTTGCAGCGGCCAAACGAGCACAAGACGATGTCGGTAATGGACATCAGCTGGAGAACTTGGCCATCGTAGTGACGGGCAGCGAGTGCGGCAAGTTTGGTCAGGAAGGGCATGTCGACTACGCGACTGGCAAAGCCGGCTTGCAGTATGGTCTTGTTCGGACGGTGAAGAATGAAATCATTCGACTGAATTCTTTGGCGAGGATCAATGCCGTGGCGCCTGGCTGGGTCAACACGCCTTTGATTGATGGCAGGCTGGACGACAAGTTTGAAGCCTGGGCGGAGGCTCATTCGACGTGAGTCAATCTATACCTTATTGCCCGAGTGCACTCAAACTACAGCCAAAATTCGGAACACTGACACTCCGACAGAGTTGCATTGAAGAAGATTGCAGAGCCGACTGATGTTGCGAGGACTATGGCTTTCCTAGCTTCGCATCGTGCTGCAGGCCACATATCTGGTCAGGTGCTGAGCGTGGACGGCGGCATGGACGGCCGTCTGATCTTCAAGCACCCGGATCAATAGTGGTTGGAGAAGGCTGGCAGCGGAGATGTAACCACGGAATTTTCTATTCCGCCCCCTTCCTTTTCTGCACATCTGTCTGAACCTGCACCTGGGCAGGGCTTCGCGCCGCTTCAACAGACACAGGACTCGAAACGACGACTCAGTCTCCTTCTCTGCATTTTTATCTGGTTCTGCAGACCTTCCGTCGACTTGTCACTGGATCCAGACAGCCAGCTGAGGCGAAGCTTCGACAGTCCTTACTCCGCCTCACGGCGTCAGAATGGCTAATTCAGTCCATGCTCTCGTGTTCTTCGGTATCGCTGCGCATCATCTGATGCATACTTATGGTTACACCGTTGCTCAGTGATCTCGCACAAGTTTTCTCGTGGTGTTTCCAGTTGATGACGTATGTTCACTGCTCGGTCGTGACTGGCAATGTCGTGGTTCCCATTCTGGAAGGCACGACCCAGTCCTTTCTCCTGGGAAGGAAACAGCACATTTGGCGGAGCACATGAGTCCAGTGGGCCCTCAAATGTCTCCACCGACTGCATACATCTGCATGTCTATCACGATCTTCAGCCTCTTACATTTGCTGTATCATCACATCGAGGTATCTTTTCTCGATATCCACAACCACTCTTTAGCTCAGATACATCACGCCTCCACATGCACAATCGCCCACGAGAGGACAGAGCAGTATAAGGTAGCGCATCGCCATGGGCCGACCGCTCAAATATAGCTCCTCCACAGAGGACTTCACCCCACAATCGAGTCGACCGAACTCCAGCTCAGGTACTTCCTATACGATACAACTGCAATGTGGACTGACAACGCTACCACATCATCATCTGCAGCAGAATGAACCGACCCAACCCCGCGAGCCGTTTTCAGATCGTCGTCACACACAAGAATGCTTCATCGTCGAGCCCGGTGTCTTGACACGCTCAGCCGTTTGTTGGTGCCGGCCACAGGTTGACTCAGCTTCGAAGGAAACGATGTCTACAACGTCGGGACCCTTGGATCGCCGTCTCCAAACGCCGCACCACTTCATCTGCATCAACCTGCAAAAGCACCGCGTCATTAGGGTAAATCAAGATCAGACCGTCTGTGAAATCGGCATTGCTGGGGTAGCAAGTTATCAGTTGCCTACGTTCACAGCTCAAACCCTCGAAGAAGCCTTGGAAGTTGTTGGCGAACGTTTCAGGAACCTCTAGCCACGGTCAGGAGATGGACAAACCGGCGACATCGCGCCTCTCAAAGCTCGCTGTATTGCCACCAACAAGGATGTGCATGACTCCGAGGAATAGAGCTCCTTCAGGAAGGAGTGTGTGGTCGGCGATGCAGATGAGTTTCTGTACGGAAGCACAGACTGGATCGAACATTTCACGGTCAGGACTGTAATCGTCAGTGCGATCCGGTACATCATCCATGATACACTGATGTACCGCGCCAGTCGTCCGAGAATGGGTTTTATGGCAGTTTGATAGGCCCATATTTCACGACCACTCCTATCATCTTTGTCCTTTTCGGCTCATGGGAGGTGCTTCGCGAGCTCGCCGATCTCGGAGTTGATCTTAGGGCAGAGTTCCCAAGCAGCGCGTTCGTGGACAGTCGAAGGTCGCGGGTGGGTAACGTAGCCAGGGGCATCTTGAAGGTAACACAAGAGGGTGTTGGTCAACCGTCGCTCCGCGACATGGCGGCTGCCATGGGGCTCCCTCTCGACGGTCATCACAATGCAGGCAATTCTGCTGTCTTGGAGTTGCTGGCCTTCTTGGCGGACCTCAGCATTCCTTGGGGTGACACGACAGGTGTAGCCTGGGCGGAAGACGCCGGACTTCTGGGCCCTGAGTACGGAAGTGGGTAGCGATTTGCTTCGAAAGTGGGAGAAGAGCATGTCTGAGGTCGGGTCGAGCAGCTACCTGCGAGAGCACTATTGTCGAGCAGCAGGAGGTGGGTGTGAGTCTCGAGGCCAATGTACGCGTCCCAATGCACTGCATAGGTCAAGTCATTGATTGCGCAAGAGTAGTCTGAAGTGTCCTCCTTCCGTCAGCTTGTGCCTCTACATTGTGATGACTCGGTCCGCCCAAACCTAGTGTCTTTGATACATCATTCATCACCTACGCGTTCACCGACCATGTTCGTCCTGGCGTTTCAAGCGACTCGAAATTTGAAAGACTGCCACAAGCGGACCTCTGTCCCAGCATCCGTGTTCGGTCCAACTTCTTGTGGCGCACCGGCATCAGCGGTTCTCGGAACGAGACTGATTTTGCACAAGTTCTTGCTGCTGGCAGCGTTTACCAATTCCGATCGGATCAGGACTTGGTTTAGAGCCTTCCACGAGAGCTGGAGGTCTTTTCTATCAACGTATTGTGCCAGTGGACCAGGGTAGAAGGTAAGGTGGCAGATGACTTGCTTGTTCCCGTCCCCAACCCTCTGCTTGCAAGCTGATTTGGTCTGTCGCAGGGACGATGTGGCCCAGCATAAATAGGAAGCGCACCGCTACGAGCTCAGTTGCTCGTAGACCAGGTCCATCCTTTGCGAATGTCCTCTTCCGGGCGAACACCAGGGGTACCTATGTGTGACACATCTGCACAACGATCAGTTTATCTGACCAGATACATTTCTTGCCTGGCTGCGAGCCTTCTACCTGCTGAATCGCGCAGCATAAAGTTGGATGTACGCGTTATACTGCCGGTCGCAATATCAGAAGAATTCCAAGTTCTCCTGGATTCGACACTTCTGCCAACCCACCCAAGTCTTGAATAACTCCAATTCGAGCGCGTTCCCGACGCTGAGGGATGACGCGCAGTCACCTGACACAGCTGCATTGTGGTTTGCACTTGCCTTGACACATGAGACCGAAGACATCGGTTTCCCGAAATATGGCGCTACCTTTGATCTCTACACGTTATTTCCGGTTATGGAACATGCTGAAGCAGTCCGCTTGGCGTTTCGTAAGTTAGCTGGGACCATGAATAAAATTTCGGCAGAAAGGATCACGATCTCCCAACAAGCTGGCTGTACTCGCCTTGGGTCTGCACGAATGCCCGATGTAAAGATGCGCACCGAGCGGCTAACGGCGTCACAAGGCAGATGGCGGCTGTGATTACCGAACTTCGGATTGGAGGATTTCAGCAGACAGCCAGTTCCAGCCGGACATTTGCAAGGTTGTCAACGATGCCTTGGCATGAGCTAAACTCCTTCTTCCCTCGCTTCCAAGCCTGAGACCTCGTGTTCGTGCTCACGGGTGAACACAAACTTTGCCGGGCTGATGACCGGTGCGAATAGAATCGAGGCAAAAACAATCCACTGATGTGCATCAGCATGCCTACCCTGATCCGTCGTTTGGCATGCTGCGTCTGAGATGCCGCGTTTGCGGCGCTGGCGCTGGATGACGAGTCGGCCCATGTGCTGATTCGGCATGGCGTGAGGCGCTAGGCGGCGAACTTAGCTCAAGCACGCTACGTCAAAGCGTAAGAACTTGAACGTTTGACAAGCAGCAGGGGACAACAGCACCCTTCCTACCACCATTTGGTCCTTTGCGCAGTCTGAACAGCGCTACAATCCCACAACCATCGTCGTGTCAGGATGTCAGCCATACTGACGATGTTTATTGGCTGGCTGGCAAGAATTCGAGGTTCTTTCTGCAGTCCAGGCTAGGCACTGAACAGGGGCACTCATCTCGGCCTATGGCAAGTGCCACACACATGGCAAGTTAAGCTGATCAACTGGAAGTAGCCCGGAACTGGTCTCAGGCCATTGGATGTGCTTGCGTGTATTCGCTTCATAATGTGAAGACTGGGCCCAATCCTTTGCGGTGACGACTGACCGCCAAGTGGCGTGTCTTATCGATGAGTCTACCTCAAGATAAAGTCGCTCCCCCTCTACTCAATCTACCTCCATCAGTCCCTTGGTTTCCGGTCCGCCGCATACAACAGAATCCGACATGGCTAGTAAAGACATCAAAGATCCGAAAGCCTTGAAGGTCCGAAACTCTCCTCACCTCCGTGATTCTTCCCGGCCTTTTCTGTCCTCCTGTCCGCGCCACGTCTGACGTTCTTGCGATACTGTCATGGTGACATGGCAGTGCGCTCCGCAGAGATTCACACGCTGATCTGCCGCAGGCTGCCACCAAAGGCTTCAAGACGACGACCATCACCAGTGATGACGATATCATCCTGGAGAGTCCACCTTTGGGTAATGGCCAGACATGCCCGTACCACAAAGACGTTCTTGCGGTGAAACATGCACTGTCCTCGGACAAACGTGTTGAGGAGACCCTCATGGAGAGAATGCTCGACAACCATCCGGGCAAACAGTCGTCGATCGTCGCTCTTGCCAACAGCAAGCTCAATATCACCAAAGGGTGCACCTGCGCTCAAGACAAGCAGTCGACGAAGACTCGCCTGTAGGATGCCCAACATTGCATACGTGTCGAAGGCGACTTCGACTGTTCTCGGGAGCGGTGACCAGCATGTTAGCAGTCCGGGAAATAGTCTGATCTTGTCTGAAGAGTCTGATTGGGACATTTAAACCAAGCGTTGAAGGGTCGACGGGCATGTCTTCAGCCAGACGCAGTCGTTATTAGTAGCCAGTCTGCCAAAATTGAATCATGAACGTCGCAGACCCTCAGCGTCATGTCGGATCTGAACATTTTGGGTAAATACACAAAAGATCAGTGTTCCGCCTGCAATGGTGAGCTGATCCTGTTCCTTACCTCGACGACACCTGCCGAGAATGTTGCTGGCATTATGTGTAGCCCTCAGGGAAAGACATGCGCCGCAAGCAATGTCACTTTGTGACCGAAAAGATCGCTGATGAAAGGAATGTCAACGAAACCCGTGGACAGCAAAATCGCAGTGCTTGCCCAGCCAATCAACATGATTTCATGTCTCCACTAATATAACCTCTTTGGGAGTGTCAACAAAAGCCGTGGACAGGGAAACCAGTACTTGCCCAGCCAATTAACATGAATTCATGTCTCCACTAATATAACCTCTTTGGGAACGCGTTGGTGCGTCACGTCAACACGTGTTGCAACTGAATTGAGTCACGCCGTGTCCCTTATACCTTGAATGAGGATCAACAAGGATTGCATAAGTTACCCAGTCGTCGCGAGAGTGAGCTAACTGCAGACGGAGCAAATAGGCAGACCTGTCTCCATATCAGGCACTGTCACTCGAACCTCAGAAGTCAGACCTCAGCTTACTTACAGCACTTTCATTTGCGAAACCTGCATCACAGTAGTATCGGATATCAAGCAGACATTTTGCTATGCAGACTTGAATATCTGTGTGAACTCAACATGTCAGAAGAAGCTCGTATAGCGTCTGGACATCGTCATCCTAACCTTCGTGAATTGGCAGAAATGTCGAATCTAGGAGAGCTCGTCAGAAATTCCGACCGGTAGCGCCGCATCGCATCCGAAGCCGCCTCAGCAGTCTACGACAGATGCTGCAGAACGATGAGTGACTCCTCATGGATTAAACGCGGGTGGCCGAGAGTGGAAGTAAGCATGTTCACAATCGACCGTGATTTGTTGATTTTTTGCTGCGTGATTTCCACACACTTCTTTTCTACCATAACGAGACCAGCATATATCCCTTTCACCTCGTCGATGAGCTGCTCTTGGGTGATCGGCCCTGCTTGTGGAGTAAGCACTGTAGTGGCAGCGTCTTAGGATATTCGTCTCCGGTGCCTGGCTCATTCTCCACATAAGGCCATCGTCCTTGCCGAAGTCCAGAATGCCAGCTATTGAGACCTCCGGGCCCTGGATTTTCCACTCCAATTTTCCTATAGTCAGATTTCTGCGCCATGTTCAATATGGAGTCGAAGCGGAAGAAGCGTAACAAAAGAGCGTATCAGAATGGCGAGACGGCAGGTGGGTCAGAGGTACATGCGTCGTGGCTTTCCTGTTGCGAGTCTTCACGGACGGTTGATGACAGGTCTTGCAACCTTTTCCCGGTCGTCGACGAGCAGTGCGAACGATCCTAACTCACCTGGCTTCAACAAGCATGCTCGATGCGGAGATCCCGCGTTTCTTGTGGGAGCAGTTTGTCGCGACTCGAATGCTCGGAGAAAACAACCTCGTGGTTGGCTTTTCGAGCATGCGAAGCAATGGGCAATGCAAGATAAATCTTGGCCTAGGAAGAACTTACTCTTGCTACTGTAGGATGCTACTGAATCCTGCTGGCCTTTGAGCCGCTGTTAGCATCCAGACGACATTCGACGAAAAATCTCGTCCACTGCGGTCAGCGTCTTCATTCACCATGCTGTCTGGTCATCATTCAGTATAATTGACATTCGTCAAGGCACAATCATTGGATCCCGGTGACGAGCAAAATCGCCTAGACACTCGATCCAAGTTTCGACAAATCTGGGGACAGTTTCCTTTAACAAGGCCATCGTCCAATGTAGATAGATGTGAGCATCTGTTTCAACGATCCCAGAAGCTGCCGGCGTAGCAATACCAGGCATGACTAGATCCTTGTTGGCTGGTGCCTCCATCCATCCTAGCAATCGACGACGAATATGGGCGTGGTGGCCCAAAGCGCAAATCGTGACAATCTTGGCCGTGCAAGCACTACCAGATCGTGTAGGAACCTGCCAGCAGCTTGCCGTTGAACAATGTCGCAGATCAGGTCGGGCCAAGCCATGTCAACTGCCCCCAACTGGGAATGTAAGCACAAGCCTCTGTCGGCGCAGAGTATATAGCCATCGTTGCTAGGGATGCATTGTTGGCTCGTTGCGCCTTATGACAGACGTGATGCTCCTCTGAATTTGCATCGGGCACGCAGTCCACCAACATGAGCATGTGGTCTTTGCTGGCACAGTAAGTCCGGAAACGAATGAATTCCGTGGCGCCACACCCAAGTCGGCATCACGTATTTGTTGCAAGACTCAAGTGGTAACGCCGCCAGATGTTGGATCGCTGGGAAAAATTTGTGGTGCTCGTGTAGCAAGGTCCTGTGGAGTGCTTCCAAGACGTCTGCGGATCAACGGATTGATTCTCAAGCCCATCTCGTTGGAAGAGCGCCTAGGCTGTCAGGATCATCGAGCGGCCAGCGCTTCCTTGAAGCTCGCGGAGACCACTTCCGCGGGTACCTACTTCGCTCGTCCACATACCTCGTAAAGCTCATGTGTGAGTCCTGATCCTCATCAGCGAAAGGGAAACATTCCAGGATTCGCAATGAGACCAGACATGCGCGCGGCAGCGCACGCTTTGACTCGCAAGCTCGCGACCACTCGTACGCTTGGTAATGCAAGGCATCGCTCCAGTCAGCAGCAGCGTATACAATAGTGCACCAACACTGGAGGATGAATGCATTTCGACGGAGCTGAAGCTGAGCAAATGGTCGTAGCAGACGATGGCCTATAGAATATCATGGTAGTTGAAGAGGAAGACTGTGTTGGCCCACCTGAGCGACATCCGGGGAATAAGTACGGAAACATAGTAGTGGTTGCCTAACTGTTTGCCAGCTGCAGTGCGAACCATTTATGTAGCTAAGTGTTAGCTCCATAAATGGTTCGCAACCCAACGCTCCTGGCAGCCGTGCTGTACACTGCTGTGGACTGCGGGTGTGAACAGTGGGATGCTATCACCGCGAGGACCGGCTGGGCGTAGAGATCAGAACGGTGCAATAAATCGTAGTAGCGTTCCAGAGTGTCGTGTGGAGCTGGACCTACTTAGGCATACGCTAAGCCTCTTCTTGAAATATACTATGGAACAAACATGGCACCCCTTTGAGGTAGTTTACCGCTTCAACAACCAAGTGCAAGAATCTCTGCCGTAAGTATGGACGGATTGTGGCATATAAAGGATGGATTGTCTTCCCAGCACCAAGTGCAGAGAAGACAATCCTCACGTTTGTTCTCGAGGAAGCCCACGACTCCAACAGCCGCATCCATTCGCAGAGTACCAGGTCGCCATAGCTGAAGTCCAACATCCTACCATGGCAGAGAAGACATGCAAGCACCATGCCATCGACTCCAAGGTATGTCGCTGATGGCCCATTGGGATTCAGTGCTGTTGCTCACCAGTGGCTCCATTCCCACCCTTGCGCGTCCACCCCAACCCTCGAACCGAACAAGAACCATGACTTTGGGTTGGTGCTGACCATATCTCAGAACCCTCACACCACGTCTAACACTACCCTTGGCGGTCGGGAAGCGACATCATCCTCGACGCTGCCAGTCCGGCCGTAGGTAAGGCTTGCCTGTACCACAGAGCCATCCTCGCTCTGAAGACAACGCCATCGCTCAATGACAAGGGCGACCCGAAGCACGCAGTTCAGGACCCCATGCAGAGGTTCTTCAGTGAAGGACCATCGGAGCAGTCATCAGTCGTCGCCCTTACCAACGGCAAGCTCAATATATCCAAGGGATGTACTTGTGCACAAGGTGTCAAGAAGTCGGCGAACATTCGCTTGTAGGGAGATTGTGTCGCAGACATGTCGAAGACGACCTCAGACCCTTCCAGGGATGCTGGATTCCCGGTATCTTCACCAATGCGGGTCATTGGAGAAGTCATCAGCGTTGCTCGCCACAGACATCCCTCAAGTATGAACTCCAACGTGTCCAGAATGTTGCCATAGTCAGTTAGAGCTTTGGATGATGAGGGTTAGCCCGGGCGTTTCAGGGTCCGAAGGGCTAAATTGCCCTCATTGCAGTCTTTACAGTCCACAGGTAGCTCGAATTGATTAGATACCTCTCTTGAGCTGAATTATCGTGTCCGGATTCTTGGCATGGGACTTGTGTAAGGACATAATGCTCAAGTCTGCAGCTGTCGCCGTTTCGTGAGCACACACTGCTCACATCAGCATGTTCAGGCAGCAAATGGATGCATGTGTGGGCACACGGTAGAAAGCCGCTGCAGCAGCAGTACTGGATGCCACGGCGCCATAATCGAGCCGGCATCGCACACTCGTCTTGACACAATCCAGGGCAAGCAATGCTGGCAGATGATGTGAAGCCGGGAAGGAGTCATGGTGTTCGTGCAGCAACGTCCTGTGGAGTGCTATCAAGGCTTGCACGGTTCTTTGTTCGCCAGGTGTCCGACAGGCAAGAAGAAGTAAGTCACAGTACTCGTGGGACAACGTTATGTAGGGTATTACCAGCGCCCTGCCAATGCTCGCCAAAGCCTTCGCTGTCCGGCAGCGTCAACATACTGTGATACGTCGAGGGCAGACTGATCTGCGGAGCATTCCGATTTAGAAAAGTCGCTATTCCCGATGGGGACTTCTATCGGTCCCGGTAGGAAAGGCGGGTAGGCCCGCGTAGCGGCTCAAAAGACAAGATCGAACGCACTGAGCGCGATGTTGCCTCCCAATCCTCGAAGTATATGGCCTCGCGAAGTTCTCGTACTCTCCCGATCTCATCACAGGGGAAGTCTCAGGGAGTGCAGGGGAAGTCGGGGACGGGTGGTCGAAGTTTTGGTGTAAATCCTCCACCGAGACTCGATGTAGAGTGGGTTCAGTGGGTTGAGCTCTGCGACTGCCCGTCATTCCAGTCGATGGTCGACAGGGAGAAATGTTGCTTGACCATTGCACAAGCAAGGCCAATGTGGCTTGTTTGACGCTTTCTGCTACCGTCCGAGGCCTCATAACGTCGTCATAACCGCCTGGTTCTGGTAGAAAGTCCGCATGACATCCTCGCCGCTCTTAACCACCGTTCGGCCCTCGTCATCCTCCCAGCCCCTCAGCCACTCCTCATGACTCTTCACACGTGTCAACTTCCCCGTTTGCATCCGATACAGATCCTCCATCAGGCCAAAGTCTGTCGGAAAGAAAATATCAAAGTACCCCTGATGCACGAAAGGCGTCCGCATGGCGATGTTCCGTCGCTCGAATCGTGTCTGCACAATGGGACCATTGAATCCTGGAGCTGTGTCAGGAAGTGCAGTAAAATCGGCGAGGACTAGCCGGTGGTGTGGGAAGTAGTTGGAGAGTACGTCGAAGAATTGCATCAGTCGTGTGGGTATGTATTCGGGCTTGGTGAGGTTAGGTGCGAACGGAAGTGAGTGCAACAGTTTCCGGAGAGGAGCAGGTGGATTGCTGAGAGGGTTGCGGAAGGGCGCGCGAGCAGCGAGCTGGCGGAGTTTGAGATAGCGGGCGGCAAGCGGGTCGATATTGGGGTCGTAGAATTCGACAAACTCGCCATCCTCGGTGATTAGGACAGAACCTTGCATAGGCTGTTCTGTGTAAGGATCGTATCGAATGGCATCGTGAGCAAAGTTGTCTATGACTTCGAGCGCTAGAAAGAAGCACGGATGCGGTACCGGTGTCTTCCAGTTGAATATTGACGAGTTGATCAATTCGACATGCTCGAGATGATCTGGATCTGATATCGATGTTGACAGACTGGTCTTCTGTAGCGAGTGCAGAGAGGAGGAGATCTCGATGATTCGATACTTGGTCCTAGCATACACGGATGGATCTGTGTCTCGAATGTAGTCTAGTATGTTCCGCATCATGGTGCCATTGCCCGCGCCCATTTCGTATATGATCAGATCATGATACGGGAAGAGGGTCATCTTGTAATTAGTGACCAGATATCGCGCAATCGCATGTCCATAATGTGGTTGGAACAGCTCAGTCGGCGTGTGCCACAGTTGCCGATTCGGGTCGTACGCTATCTCGTCCAGTGCTTCCTCGAAGTCTGCATAGTTCTGGTTGATCTGGTTGTTGAATTCCGCCTCGTCCTTTATGGCATTGAAGTCGAATGGCTTCGTGGGCGTGAAGATAGTCGCATGCTTCGAGAAGTAGCCGTAATTTGGGTTGTACAGGCTGTCATCAATGAACTCTCTTGTGTACATCTTCACCCGAGTCGGTCGCTGCGACCGATTTCGTAACTGGGCCGCAGTCACGCGGGGGAACTGTTTGAGCTCTTTTGTGATGTCGGGAGGGAAATGATCGAGGCGTTGTTGCCAATTGCTTCGTCCGGACCCATCGTCTTCCTTGTGACGCAGTGCCGAGGCATGGCGACGTCCGGGACCTTGCAGTGCGGCCAGTCGAGCTTGCTGGTGAAGGCAGTGTCGGGCTGGTCGACTGAAGAGCTCACGGAAGATCCGTGTCGCTAGAGGCGACTCCATTGCTATCGCCAGACCACAGCCACTCCAGGAGATACTCAGGACATTGCTATGGTCGGGCTGAACACACGTACAGGCGCAGGTGGTTCGTGCTAGTGGAATTGAGGTGAGGTCCAGCGGGAACCCGCTCGCCGTACCATAGCCGATTGGCTCGGAGCGGCAACACACTAACCACTACTACCTACTGCGACCACAACAACGCTTCCATCTGTTACTATTCAAGGTCGTTGTTGGCTCTTTTCGACCCACTCAATATCTCCTATACCATGGTAAACCTTGTGTGCGCTGTAAGACAATACGATGTTCCTGCCATCGCGGGTCATCAAGCCTACCTGCAAGCATCGACGGTACCTCGAAAGGAAGGCCTATTCCGGCGCTCTTACTTCCAGAATTCTTCCTTCGTTTATGGCAGGAACCCACGAAGGACACCGCATTGAATCTAAAGCGAGTGCTCTGTAGTTTCCAAAGTATGCAATGATCGACGTGACAATTCACGATGAATGCGGGCGAACAGCACAGTCATCCAACGCACAACGTCAGGATTCGTGATAAATATGCAGAATCAGGGGTCGGGATGGATGGGCTGACTTGCATCGACTCGGACATACTACTATGCCATCCCACAAAGCTGATTGCCCGGGCAGGTCCTTGAGAATACCTTTTGGCGACCGCTGACTTGCAGCGTGACCCAGGAGCATCGAAGTGCCCAATCTCCACGACGTACTCAAGCCTGGAAAGTATCGCCGTTACATGGGTCGGTATCCTGTGCCTCGCTGCTCGAATATGAGGACACGTGGTGATGCGGCTGAGATGTTCTCCTCGATCTCTCCCGCCAAACACGGCTTATTCGCATCGAGACAATCAAGCCAGCGAAGATGTTTGACCGGATGCACGGTCCCTTCCTCGCAGACGGCTGGCCACGATACTTCCCTAAAAAAACCGGACCTCCGCAACCTCCCCATCCGCAGCGCCGTCCCCCTCAACCGGCACCCGTATAGCAGGATACTCCATCCCCATGACTTCATCCTCGCTCTTTACCGCCCCCATCTTACAGATCCTCACTCTATCAACCACAATGTTCTCCGCCCAAACAAAAGATTTCTTCTCGTCACCCTCCACATCCCCGAAACTCGTCTCAAACACCTCCACCAAGTCCCTCGCATCGATCTCCTTCCTCTCCTTCGCTTTAAATCTGCTGCTGCTACGCCTCTCACCGCGACGTCCACCCTGCCAGCGTGGCGCTCTGACGTACTTTAGATTTGCGACCGTGGCGTGCAAAGTCAGAGCTCGGTCCTCCTTCGCGACGATTCTCGCCTCAATGAATCTCTGCTGTATTGCTTCAGCAAATGGCTGAAGGCGGGCAGTGGGATCATGGGGTGAGGCGTAGAAGACACGGGCTTTGCGAGGAGAGGGGAAAGTCCCGAGGCCACGGAGTGAAATGCGTAGGGGTGGTGTGCTGGATGCCGCGGCGTCGGTAGTGGTGGTGATCGTGCTGGTCGAGGTGGCGACTCTCGACGTGCCACTGAGCGACGATGGTTTTGGAGGAGGAGATACCGGTCTAGCTAGTGTCTGTAGCGATGTAACAACGTGTTCAGCGGCTTCCATCACACCGCCTGCCTCAGCTTCCGTTTCGTGTCGGCCACTTTTGGCCCCTATTGCCCCTTGTACTTCATCACCAGCCTTTTCCACGTCTTTCACGCCTTGGTCCGCGCTGATTCGGCTCAGAATCGCCCCGAAATCAACTTCCCTCAGAATCCTCAAAGCTTCCCACTTGTCCCCGTCTCCGTCAAGCACCATCGTGCCTAACGTCAAATGCAGCGTCCCAGGAGGCCTGTGCGCCTGCTTCGGGATAATCCTCATTGACTCCCCATTCCCTGTCACGCCATCTTTAGCACCCGTCCAACCAGCATCGCCGTTATCGCGCTCCGGCGTCTCCTGCTCCCTCTCCCGTCCCTCGAGTGCCTGAGGCTGGAAGCGCGACGCGGTCGTCAGGTCCTGAAAACGTGCAACGCTGCGCGCCAACTGGGGGATTGATGAGGGAGTCACGAGAGGTAGGGCGAGGAAATGAGTTGGTGCTGGGCGTGATGATTTGCCAACGTGCTTCTTCGTCTGCTTGGGTGACCCTGTGGGTCGCGCTTGGTCTGCTGCTGTAGGTGCTGCTGGGCGAACAGATTCTGAGGGTGGCGCGGAGCGTGTTGCTGTTGTTGATGTCGTCATGCTGCGTCTGCGGACACCTGGGCTCGTCAATCGCTGTGGACAGAGAAACCTCGAGAATACAGGAATAGTTCGGTCCGCAACTGTGGGAGCCTGAGCCAGGTCCCCGAAGCTGTTGTGGCTAAATGCTAGAGGCCAAGCGATTGAGGGATAGACAGGTCTGAGCATTTGTCAAGTATAAAGATTCGTCTGCGGGTCGTGATGAAGTCCAAGGATGCACGCGCCAGCCACGTAATGCAGTCACTCCGGTCGCGACAAGTCTCCCGCTAGTCGTACATGCAGCGCTTTCGGCAATGATGATGATTCAGTGGCTTCGAGGGGAAAAGAGGCAACGAGGCAACCATCTCATTCATGTTCATTGCCAGGGCTTGGCCTTTCACTCTTGCGGCCAGACAATGCAGACGAGGCGAGAGCTGGTGTTTGGAGAGCGCGGCTGAAAGCCTTCGGAGGCGGCTGTCTGATCTAGGGCACCTTTACGCTACACGACGCGGAGCACCTGCCTAAGTATCTGCGACTGCACACTCAAAAAGGCCTTTCAACTGAACCAGCGTCGGCCAACTCAAGCCAACGCCTGCAACACGCTCATAGCAAGTCCCTCCTCATCACTCCGCAGGCTGACCTTGACAGTAACGCCACTGGTCTTGCTGAACGCCATCTTCACTAACGCCGCCACTCTGCCACCTGTAACGCTCTTGCCATACAGCTTCAGCGTATGTGTCGTATTCGAAAGAACCACATCTGTGCCCTCCAGCGGTTGCAGGGAAAGCGTACTAGCTAATTGCTCGGCCGCATCTGTGATTATTAGCATGGGTACTATGAACAACTGAGAATGAAACTTACCGGCCAAGCTCTTCACGCTGCTCAGCTGGAGCGTTTCGCTGGCTTCCTCGCCATTAGCGCCTGTGCCTTCCCAAATATGGTCGAAGTTGCCCGCAAATGCTGGCGCAACAAAGTCCGCGCCCGACAGCTCTATGTTCTCAACCTCGTACTCATCGTCATACCCAGAATCTTCTGGCTCGCCTGTCGTAGGGTCGATTTCTTTGCTGGTGAATTTGAGGCTGTTGGACAAGGTCGTAGTGGGGAATGCGTTGCCTTCGGCCTTTTTGAAGGCAACATAAATAACACCGGGCTCATTTGTCTTGAGTCTGGGCGCTGGGATGATGAACTCCTCTTCGAGTACAGGCTCTTCGTCCTCTGATTGTCCGACTACAACAGTGACATCGTCCAGGACTGTTGCTTCAAGAGTGTTCTTGACATCGTACTGTATTACAACATGATCTTTGAAGATGTGTTTCACAGCGCTGACAACGTATTCGGTCTCGCTTTCTGTGAGCTGTACGACAGCACTTGATGTGAGCACATCTCCGTACGCCTTAAGCTCCGGAATATTGGAGAATATCTCCGTGTATTTTTGTGCAGCAGCCGCTGATGTGGCAGAAGATTCTGCAGTGCCGTTTGCTTTTGGTTTCGCTGGCCCAGTGGAGGGCGCCTTTAGTGTCGGCGTAGCTGTCGTCAACTTCTTTGTCCGCTCCTCTGCGAGCGCTTGTTCGTGAGATACCACTGGTACGCTCGAGATGTCGAAGGCAGCACTGAATGTCGACTTGTCTGTAGACGTAACATAATTGACCAACTTGAGCTCGAATGTCGACAACGAGAACATCGAGTCATTCTTGATGAACCGTTCGGCGACATCGTCTTCCTCATCCATCAGCCGCAGATTCAGAGCAGCACGATCTCGTACTTCGTCGTCTGTGTCGTCAAGACATCTTGTTAGAAGCACCCTGACGCTCTTCTTGACTTCAGGATCTTTCTGTCCAACACCGAATTTGGCCAACGCTGTTACAGCTGCAGCTCGCACAAGTGCGTTCTCAAGCACAACTCTGTTGTAGATATATCGTATGTACTTGGTCGGCTGTGGTGTTTTGGGTCCTTCGACTCCGATCAAGTGCAGAATGCGCACTGCCAGTTTCGTAAACTCGCAGTCCTCAATGAATTCGCAAAGGTGTGATAGGGTCTCCTCCTTGCTGCCAGGCACAAATTTGATGAGGTCGAACATGCTTTCCACGACCGCTCGCTTGAAATCGTACCCGCCCTCGTCCCTGAGAATGCCGCTGAGGAATGTTAGCATGCCAGCTTGCTTCGCTGGGAACTTCATGCACAGAGTGCGAATGGCCTCGACAATCGTGATCTTGAACTCGTCTGTGATCTCAGACATGAAGCTCTGAATCTGCTTCATTAATCGGTCGACACTAGCCTCGTTGCCCGTCTTTAGCAGGGTGGTAATAGCGAAGGTAGCAATCGATCTATTGCTGTTTGAAATCAAGGCCTCAATATCAGGGTTGGCAGAATGGACGGCCTGTGGCTTGAACGACGCGAACGAATGCAGTATCCGGATCGCGGCAAACTTAGTGACAGCCCTCGGTGATGTCAAGAATAGCTGCAGAACGTGTATCGCCTGAGCAGCTTCCGCATCGGTAACATCTGGCATGTTGCAAATCGCCTTGGCTGCCTCAAAGTTGACCATCTCGCTCTTGTGCCGCAGCCAGCTGTCAAGCATTTGCATCATAGGTTTCCGCGTGCTTGGGTCGTCTTCTGCGAGTTTGGCAGCCAGTCGGACCAGCATCATGACTCCTGCCGGGCTCTTGACTGCGCCAGCCGCACCAAATTGTTGCACCATCTTGACCAAAGCCATTCGATCGTGAGAGCGCATCTGGTAGAGTAGCCCAATAGCATGGTACTGGTTCATGTAGTTTGTGCCGGATGCAGCCAGGGCTTGTGAGCTGCCACCGAAGCTGAGGAAGCCGCCGCTGGATTTTGACGAGCCTGCCGCCTCCTGTGTCTCCGACTGCCACCTGCGGACGACGTCTCTCGCTAGAGGCAGCAGATGATACGAGGATACAAGTGCTGCAGAAGAGACGGCGGGAGACTTGTCGACTATTGCGGTCTTGATCAATCGTTCCATGCCCTGAACACTGGTGGCATCGATGATGCGGCACAGTGATCGGATGGCATTAGCCTTGTAGACAACATCGCTTGTGACTGTGAGATCTCGCTGTATGATGGCCGTGAACATGATAATATCCTCAGCGGACGACGCCAGCTCTTTGACGATCAAGTACACCATTTGTCGCAGGGATGGGTCCTTGTTCTGGAACAATTTCGAGATACTGAAGAAAAGGGTGGTGGCCTCGTTCGTAGGGAACTTCTCGCCGGTGAAGAGAAGGACAGCGATCTTGGTGAGTAGTGTACGACATTTTCGAGGAGATATTGGCGACGTGTTGAATAGTCGTGCTGTTCGGGATGGTCAGCCTGTCTGATCCAGAAAACGATGAAGGAGGGTTCATACCATCCTGAAAGACGGACGTGCGGTCCAACTTGAACCCTGGCGCCTCCGCATCTTCGTCCTTCTTTGCGTAACTCATGCTGGGCGCTTGGTAGGTGTTGTGCTCCAGACGTTGAAGTGCCCCTCGATGGGTGTCCGAAGGCTGAGTGATGGCAAGGAACTACGGGCCGAACATCGCGACACTGGCTTGAGGACTTCAGAGCATCTGCGACGTCAGCACAGGACAGCCCGGGGCAAGTGAGGAGCAGTGCAGCAATCAGAGTCGTGGTGCACGCTTCAACATTGAACTCCCTTCCAAAGGACAAGTAGTACCAACGCCAAAGGGAATGTGCGGAGCACGCAAGCCACAATTCAGTGGGCGCCACAATAGGTGGCTGTGGTGGAACAAGGCAACTTTAAAAATCGCTGCCTTTTCTAGGCCGACTCTTTAATGCTCTTTTGCTAACGATACATCTTGCAGGCTGCAGAACCTTAAGAACATCGAGCTACACACTGACCCCCTCTATCGGATATTCTCGCATCACTCGTGGTCTCAACAACCCACGCTACTGGTGTCGGGCCGGGCAAGCCATCCAAACGGTGAGAATATGAACGCCCCAGACATGCCAGTCCAAGTCCCCATAGACAACCCCAACGCCGACACTGAATGGAACGACATCCTCCGCGCCCACAAGATCATTCCCGAGAAGCCCAAAGACCCCGAACCCGCCATACAGGAGGCGCTCCTCGCCGCTCACCAACGTGCTCATGACAACCGCCTGGAGGACAAGACCCTTTCCGAACTAGACGATCTCGAAGACCTGGAAGACGACGATTTCTTGGAATCCTATCGCCAGAAGCGCCTCGCCGAAATGAACGAGCTGAGTCAAGCAAGCAAGTTCGGGAGCGTGCTGCCACTACAGAAAGCAGAGTACGCGCGGGAAGTGACGGAGGCGAGTCGGGAGGCGTGGGTCGTGGTTGTGATGGGCAGTAATGGGAGTGAGCCCAAGAACGCAACGGAGAGCAGGGTGCTGGAGCAGTTGTTGCCGCAATTAGCGTCCAAGTACCCTGAGGTCAAGATCTTGAGCATTAGGGCAGACTTGTGTGTCGAGAATTATCCGGAGCGAAACACGCCTACGATTTTGATATACAAGGACACGAATATTGCGAAGCAGGTTGTCACGTTAGGCTTCCTGAATGGCGTCAAAACGAGTCTAAGGAATTTGGAATTGTTGTTAGTCGAAGTCGGGGCGGTCAAAGAAGGCGATACTAGATTGAGGGACATGGACGCAGATGGTGAACCTGGCGAAAAGGACAGGCGAACGGGCATCAGGAGTGGCGGCGTAGGGAAAGGAGCAAGAGTGGAAGATGGAGACGATGACGATTGGGATTGATTCCCGCGATCCTCTGGACGACTGTCAATCAGCCCCGCATGGTCAGCGTCTGGCAAAGCATGTTGCATCTCATGAAAGCAGTAACGGTCGAGACCTGGTCCGTCCGTTATGCTCGATTCGTCCGTTATGCTCGATGAATCACATCTTCACCGCCAGCAGTCTCATGTGAGCCTCTCCATTTGGGCCACCTGTTTCCCTAAAGAGGCATAACTTACGCCCACAAGTCCAGTCCAGGCAGGTCAATTATGCTCCGGATCCAGTAAACAACTGTCGGTCCGCGCTGAGGTGTATGAAATACATCAATCGGGTGGGCATGTCCACCTGTCTATCGTCCGTGGCATCATAATGGCATCACGTGGTACTAATTTGAAGCCTTCGGACAGGCTGGGGCTCATGATGGTTGGGAGAGAACTTGGGTCTCCGAGCACTTTTTCCGTGCGTCTCAGCAAGGCCAAGACACGGCTGCATATAGGATACGTTGTAGCGAATCTCGCTGTCGATGACTGGCGGCGCAGGGACTTGCCTGGACTCTGCGTGGTCGCATGTTGCATGTTCTCTGACAAAAGTGCTCACTGTCAATACCGCCGCGAAAACGTCCATCGTGGGCCAATGACGGGGAGCCCTGATCGGGGCGTCGTCCACGTGTCGTCCAAGGGTTGTTAGTGAATATCGTCTGATAATCGCGGCCACTCCTCTGATTGGCGCACGTTTCCAGAAAGACAGCGCCATTGCAGGTCTGGCAGGTCGTAATATGGAGACTGCTGCAACAACAATTCCCTTCCGGGCCCCTGCAATGAACACCGGTCACTACAGTCTCCTTCCTTGGTAGTAATGGTAGTCTCGGAGACATGTCAAGGAGGTCAAAGGCTATTCGTCCATTCGAGCCAGATCGTCTTAGTCATCTGTCTAGTCTGTCGGCAAGCATGGTGATCCACGGTAGTTCATGAGGTGACGATCAGGCTGATGACAAGGCCTGCCAAGGCTCAGAATAGGTTGCAGGTCGAGTTGTTGTGGAAATCGAGTCTAGCCTCCTCTTCATCAGCATGAATGCAGAGCTTGAGCTAGTGCACAACCAGAACCTGCGTCAGGCTGCCGTGTCGGTACAATGTCGCTGAGATTTCCACGGGCTGGTGAAGTCCTTGATCCTATGTAGACTTGAGCAGCGAATCCAGATGATTCCACACTCAAGCGCATGGTGATCACTGCGTCTAGGCGAAGTGAATCTCGAAGATTGAAGTTTGAAGTGACTAAGTTGGCACATCCCGATAAGTTCACCTTGCAGCATGGGCTCGATTGCAGTAGGCGGATACCGATGTCAGCCGGCGGAGCAACGAAGTTTGCGCGTGGACGCACGATGTTGCAAGCGTCGGATTCTGCTGGCATCAGGTGTCATCTCGACGAGCATCTGCCACATATTGTCCATCGCCGGTAATGCTCGTCTAGACTGCATCCTCGGTCGGCGGTGCATGGTGAGGGATGAGTCCAACCCAGTGGGTTCCTCGAAGGTGCCGATGAGCTGGGCGAGTTAGCCTATGTCGATCATGATGGTCTCCAAGCGTCTGCACGCGAGCAGATGCTTGTAGTGCCATGCTGTCATATCAGCTCATCTCGACCTCCAGCGACTGCGCTTTCTGCAATCGCACGTCTAACGTCGTCCTCCTGGAACACGGGCCCGCTCTGTCCATCACACCTCGCCAAGTTCTTCAGCCGCTCACAGACGTCGCCCACATCGACGAGACCCTTGCGGAACAATTCGTGAGACTGAATGTAATCCCATGTTGCGCCAGCCCCTAGTAACGGTTGTCCGGTCTCGTCGTCCACTGTGAGCATCTTGAGCGTGCCGAAATGTGCATACTTTGAGCTCAGGTCACTGCCGTAGGACGAGGGGGTACCTGAGTGGTTGTCTTTTGGCACGTAGCCCAGTGGGCCGACCAGTTCATCGGGATCGGTCATGAAAGGAGTTGGCCCGTTTGACTGGGAGCCAGAAGTTGCGCGTAGGATTTCGTTCTCGGTAGCAAAACGTGCTATCTCGCGCTGTAGTCTCTCCTTTTCACCATTCAGACTCGCAAAGTCGTTCTGTAGGTTCGTTAATTTGACTTCGAGGTCTTTGACGTGGCGCTCTTTGCGCTCTCTGAACGCCCTCTGCCTGTGAATGTGTTAGGCTCTGCTTGTACATCTGATGGACTGATATCATCCTTACGCTGCCCTGTTCTGCGCTTTCCTGCGGCTCTGCTGCGGGGTCAGATTGTCTTTCTCTTCGCTGCTGCTTCTGTTCTGTCCCGGATTGACATCGTCGCCTATGTCCGGCGAAACGTCGTTCGGCAGAGGCGGTATTGACTTGTGGTCAACCTCGGGTAGGCTTATTGAAAAGCTTCGGGGATGTGTAGTGTGGGTGGCGATGCCGAAAGGGGCGCTGATGTTGTGTTCGCAGCAGGTTGTTGTAGGAAAGCATTGGGATCGTATTGGAAGCTTTGTTGAAACGCTGCAAAGGCGGCATCGTACTGTTCCTGTGTGGAGATCAGACCACCCGCCTGCGATACTGGGTCCTGTATACGCACCGCTGTGAGTTGCGATGGATAGTCATTGATATGAGATAGTTGTTGTTGAGAGTGGGTGTTCTGCTGATCGTCGCCGAAGAACTGGTAGGGCTGCGGAGCCGATGTGAAGTAGCTATAATCCATCTCGAGCCGCTGGGTGTTTTCCCAGAGAAGTTGCCCGCTTCGGGTTGTTATAAAGTAAATGAGTCAGAGGGGCAAGATCGACGGTGAGGTATGCACTTTGCATAGCAGACATGCGAGGGGTTGACAGGACGCAAGTTGTCGAGCGATAGAAGAAGTCATACATCTAACTAATCTGCTACGAAGGACGGCGCATTCAGCAATGGCTCCTGTTGGTAGGATGAAGAAAGGTTATGCCCCGAGGCAACCTGAGGGAGCAAATTGCACCCACGCCTTCTGCAACGCTAGCCAGGCTGCCACCGCAGTTGAGTACTCTGAAGTATCGTCAGGTCTTGCCCTTGTCATGAGGCCGCTGGTCTTGCAGCATGCCTGCAGTAGCACGCATGGGCGGACTTGTCCTTCAGCTCGAGCAGCCACTGTCGATCTGCCTCAGATGTGAGCAGCGCACGGTGAAGCAACAGTAGCACGAAGGACGAACATGAACCAGATGGAGGCCTGTGAATTGACGATTTGCCGAAGAGACAAGGGTTTCAAAATAGGCGTAGTTCACGAGCAATGACTACCCGTCAGACGCCGGAACGTGGCACATCGCTGACTGATCTTCTATGGCGGACCGTGCAAAGACTCTCGTGATCGCCGCAAAAGATCTCGGACTGACGACAAGTATTTTATGGTCAGTTTCAGGGACCACCGCAGCAAGCCTGGGCCTGACAGCGCACGGACGGCAAGTCCAAGAGGCTAAATTACGGGGGCATTCCCAAACCTTGAAGGCCTGATATCCGTGTGGAAAGGACCGTTGAATATAGAGCTCGACCTGAATGTTGTTGGGTCAACGGCCGTAGCATATGGTCGCAACGACCGTCGTGTTCCGATGTAGTAAAGGCCATGCTCGTGGCCCAGATGAGCATGAGCGACAGAGACAATTTGCGTGCTTGGACGACCTCAAGACGACAACGGACAAAGCTCGCGGAGGATCGGGTGTCCACGCAACCACTCTGGTGGATACAGGTGTTTCTCAAACGTGACTCAGCCAAAGGAACCGAATGGTCAGGGCCTCGATGCGCAGTGCCTCTAAATATTTCAATTCATTCGCTCTCGATCACAGACCATGGCTTGGTGCATTTCACTCTTAAAACGACCCCGCGGCTCCTCTGAATGATGCAATCATGCAAGGCTTCGTATCTCCTGTGCTCGCCCACCAACATTCACACCGGTCTGCGGTAGTAATCCGCTGGCAGATTTGGACACTCAGAAACTGTTCTGTCGGGAGACTTCAGACACGACTGTTATGCAGGTAATTGTGGCTGGCACGGATGCGGCTGCCTTTCTCGAATAATCTGTAGGCTGGCAGAGTGTCTCGTAGTCTATGCCAATGCTCTGATCGCATTACGCAGGGCCGGACTGAGGTTCATATACAAGACTGGCGAAACTCAGCAATCTCGACCGCCAGATAAGAGCATGCACACTGAATGTCAAGTCAGATGAATCCCAGGCCAGAGCAACCTCGAACAATCTGGCGTCATACTCCGGCTCAGAGTCGCGGAGAACTCTCGCACGCGCGGCACGCGTTTGTCACAGCTCCGTAAGCGAGACACTAATGCCACGATCTGCCTGCAGCTTGAGGCAGCCACATAAGATCGAGTCACGAGTAAACCTTTCTGACTTGGCGACCGTTTGAAGGGAGCTAGCTACCACAACGTCGGCATTTGCACGCCTTCCCGTGAAGTTCGGGCAAACTAAGCTCTGTCCTCAATAGTCTGGGGCATCGCTTGGGCAACGGCTGCGCGTCTGCAGAGCCGCCAACGTGCATAAACCTATATCCACGTTGCATCAGTCCGTGTCTGTGGGATCCCAGTCTGTAACGAGGTATTCATCTAATCCACTGAGTTTCTTCATGTCAGCGTCGTCGATCTCGAAGAAATCAACCTTGCCGTTTGACTGTTCGTGCATCAGCGGCCGCGAAGTTCGAGCTCACGAATTTCTCATACCTCTATACGCTCCTTTGAGACGCTTTTTGGTAGGGGAATGTATCCGTTCTGTACAGACCACCTTATCATGACCTGCGCCCCGGTGCACTGATATTTTTTGGCCAATGCAACGATGACCGGATGCTTCATCCGAAGAGCCCGTGCCAGAGGAGCGTATGCTTCGATAAGAATGTTGTGTTGTTTACAGAACGATGTGATGTCCTCTCGAGTGTTGAAAGGATGGACTTCCACCTGGTTGATTGCGGGTAAAATGCGTGGCTTCGATGCAATCAGCTCCTCCAGGTGCTTCACTCCGAAGTTGGAGACACCGCCAATCTTCTAAACATCCACACTGTTAAAGACGGTGAAAAGGCACCTGGGCTCGATGGGGGAGCCCAAAATCAAGGGAGGGCTGTATCGCTGGATTGAAGTTAAGGGAATACGCACGACCTCGCCGTCGGCTATTGCGTCCTCCACAGCTTTCCAAGATGCCAGCCTCGCGGCTTTGCCCCCGTAAGGACTGTGAAGCAGGAACACTGGACACCCAAATATCAGAGGATTTCGGGAGAAGCATTTCGACAACCGCAGGTCGTTGTTAAAGGCACCATCAGAAGGCTAGGCGAGTAGACCGAGTTCTGCTGTCAAGTCAGACCCGTCAGAGGAACTCACAGTCAATGTAGCCCAGACCGCATGCCTCGACTGATGATTTGATCGATTTTCGTGCAGCTGCATAACTCGAATTCTGTGCAAGCTTCGATGTGAAGAATATGTCTTCACGCTTTAAGCCGGACGAATTGGCGTTCGTATCGTTCAACCAAGAACTTATGGCTTTCCCACAGTCTCGTTCATTGCGATACATCTGAGCCGAGTCGATGGCGCGGTAGCCTGCATTCAAGGCATATTTGACAGCTTCAGAGGCTTGCCGTGAAGACATCATATAGACGCCTAGTTGGATCTGTGGGATAGTGAGGCCATTGGAGACCGGCAAACGCGTTGTCAAGGAGAAGCTGTTCGGCGCCATCTTGGGTCAATTTCAATTCAGCCTCAGGATGTAGTCTTGAGAGCAAGTCCTTCTCTATCTACTCATCTTTTAATGACGAAAGTATCTGAAGCAGATGAGCGGAGCCGCCTGTAGCAATGACGTTCTGTTAGGCTTTGACTTGGGCTTGGAGGGCTTCCCTTTGGAAGCGGAGATTGCATCCCGGCCGCCAAGAATGGACCATTCTGAGGCCTAGACACGGTACCTGCACCAGGTGTTTCGTGTTGCTGTAAACTACCCTTCGCAGATCCGGATTTGTCAAGGCATCAAGCCACAATTATGTGCAGCAGCCGACATCTCTACAGCTTGCTTCCGAGTTGAATGAACGGCTTTTCCGTGCCTGACGTTATTGAGCGACCTGTCAATCATCACAACGCGAAGACATCAGGCTGCCGGTACAACATGAAGCTCTGACCGGCTCAGGATGAATATACGACGTTGCCAATGCCTTATCCCGTCCTACAAAGGGACGACATCATCAGCGAAATCAATCTGCCCGTTGCGGCTTTCTGTGTGCGCGGTTGGAGTCATCACAGCGTTGGGCATTCGGTAGCATGGCGTTTTCATCTTCTAGCAGTGACGATAATTTAAACGAACGGAACTTCCGCAACAGAAGGATCGGTGGCCTCGACAGCACACCAGAGGACGAAGGAGTGCCTGGATCCAGTACAAGCGCGACGAGACCCGAATTTGACATTCTCAGGTGGTTTCCAAAACATCAGAGTTGTCAACGCTACTTTCTGGATCATGCCCAGCATTTACCTGAAGTTCAGGCTTTCGCCAGCTTTATCAACATCCTTCTCCCTTTCCAACGAGAGCCAAATCCAATACATTCTTCCAGGCGGCGAGGATCGAACGCGAGCAGCGATTGGGGTCCTTCTTCGTCTAAATCGCCTTCTCCCGTTTCAGTGTCCCTTCTACCATACATAAGGCGGCTGGTGGTCTGCGGTATGGACATCCCGCCGATACTCAAAGGCTTCTTTGGTCACGACTGGGCCGTTGGTGTTGGTCCGCAAAGGGAACAAGAGAGGAGGAACTACTTGTTTGTCGCAAAATCTGGTGGGTGGGCTGTGGTCAAACGCGAGTATGACATGTCGCCGTTAGAGACAGTGCCCTTCATGCAGCCACTGAAGGACCCGACTGACGGCGAGTTGCATGCTGCTGAAGAGAAATGGAGTGAATGGCTGGCTATGGAAGACTGGATGGTTGGCTCGCGAGCGCCTCCAGCTTGAGAGGCAGGTCTGAGCGTTGCATGGCGAGGATCATAGCGTTGATTTTGTGGTTTCCTTCTGGGCATAAGGTAAACCGGTCACTTTTGCACTAGTTACGAGCGGTTGTACGCCCGCTGGGCAAATATGGCATTGAAGGCTGCCTCCGAGAACTACCCCAATTCTCTGTGTGCGCGATGTGCTTTACCGGCAAACCGTGCGATAGTAGCTGATTGAAGGGCCTCGGGAGATGAGGGAGAGATGCTTGCCGCTCGGCCATTGCCCGTCCCCACGACTTGGCATAGCAAACCCCCGCATTTCATCACTGGCCCTCAGGCAACATCCCGGAAACATCGTTGGAGAGGTGGCATCTAGCGCTGTCTCCAGGCCTTGTTGCCGGCTCCTCACACTGGCTAATAGCCAGGATGTCCTCTATGACGACTATGGGTGCCGATCGCGTAACGGTCCTGGCCGGTCAACATGCCGTGTCTAGCTATAAGATGTTGACTGAGACCATGAGTCCTGGACAGACCGACCATTCATCCGTACTGCCCTAACATTGGAAATACAACATGGACAAATCGAGCGTGCCTGACCACGTTGAGAAGCAGGAGGTACCGGTAAGTCGTGTTCTCGTGCTACATGGATGTCTAGCATCTGACAGTCAACAGGCACAGAAGCAGCTGGACTCTCCTCCTACCGAGATCGAGGAGAATCGTGAGCGACGAGACTTCCTCTTCGACGCTAAGCGGAGCGCTGCATTGAATCGTCGACTCGACAAGCGACTGCTGCCTCTTCTATGTTGGGTATACCTGCTCAATTTCCTGGACCGTGGCAATATCGGCAATGCTAGGGTGCTTAACGCTGAGACGAAGGATGATCTCCTTTCGCAGACCAACATGACGTCCAATGGATACGCGGTCACCGTTTCATTATTTTCAGTCGCCTACGCTGTCTTCGAAGTCCCCAGCAACTGGGTCATGAAGCACTACGTGCGGCCGAGCCTGTGGCTTGCCTTCCTGCTGTTTGCTTGGGGGTGCCTCACGATAGGCACCGCTGGAGTTCAGAATTATGCAACCGTGGTGTCGTTACGCTTCCTTGTCGGTGTGGCGGAAGCAGGGTTCTTCCCAGGCATTGTCTACTTGATCACAATTTGGTATCCTCACAATCAGAGAGCATTTCGGATAGCCATGGTCGTCGCTTTTTGCAATCTTGCAGGAGCCTTCGGAGGCAGCATCGCCTTCGGCATCGGCCACGCCAACGGCGCTGGCGGACTCGAAGGATTCCGTTGGCTCTTCATCATTGAAGGCATCATCACGGTTATTAGCGCTGTGCCTCTCTGGTTATGTCTGCCAGACTATCCTGCTCGCGCTAAGTGGCTGAACGAGGATGACAAACGCTTCGCAGAAGATCGTCTACGAGAACGGGGCGGCGGCTACAATAGAGATCATGCTACCCGTAAGGAGTTGATTGAGACGTTCGGCAGTCCTCGGATGCTGGCGCACTACCTGGCTTACGTGGCCGACGTTGGTACGTATGTCTATGACCCTTGGTCGGGCGAGAATCAGTCTCCCAGTTCTGCTTCATCCCAATATATGCTCATACTGACGGTTGCAATAGTCCCGCAGGGTAGCTTCACTTTCTTCACTCCGACTATCGTCACCGGGCTTGGGTACCAGTCTGTGCAAGCCCAGCTTCTTACAGTGCCCCCTTGGGCTGTGGCTTCGTGGTCGCCATTTCCTTGTCTTACTCGGCAGATTACTTCGACGCTCGCGGATGGCACATTGCCGTTGCCTCAACGATAGGTGGTATTGGGTGGCTTACCGCTGGGTTGCTCCCTGCTGACGCTTTCGTCGCCCGCTATGGTTGCTTATGTATGGCCGCTTGTGGGGCGTTTCCATGCGCTCCATCTCTGACAAACTGGGTGACATGTAACTCGCCCTCGCTTCTTACAATTCCCTTTGCTATCGCATTACACAACAGCTGTGCTGGGATCGGACAGATCATCAGTCAGTGGATATGGAGACAGAACGAGCGGGCATCGGGCTATCATACGGGTAACTTTGTCTGCGCCGCGTGCAGCTTCTATGTTGCAGCTACGGCTATAGGATTGAGGCTCTGGTATGCACGGATGAATAAGAAGGGCACCTTGGATGCTAGAGGCGAGAAGCGGACATGGTCATACTGAGCGGGCAGGCTACGACTATAAGTACCTAGTACTGGGCGTTTTCAGCACCTTAGCAACTTGATCATTTCCAAGTCAGGGCGGGCTCTGAAGGTCAGAAACTACACCGCCAGTACAACGGGTGTTTTTGAACAAGCCTCACTTGAGCGTCAGGTCGTACCACGGACTTGTAACGGATCTTCAAGCCAGGGAGGGCGCTGGTCAGGGCCGCACTGCCGAAGGTCACGAGTTGCAGATAACGCTCCCGACTTTGATGACGAGACCGACTCCCAGCAAGGTGCTTCTACCCGTCTGGACCAATCCAGAAATGGAGCAGCCAACTGTCCTGTTGGTGCTCGGACAGCGTTCAATGAAGGATACACTGTTGCACACAAAGCAGTTCTTGTCTCTGTCCCTATGCCTACCACATCAGAAAAACTAGTACTCACCTATCTCTTCACAGCTCTCGAAACTGCGTTCCACTGCTTCTACTTCTCCTTCCGAAACAAGAAACTGCACTATGGCTTCTACGACTCGTTTTCGTGGCCAAAAGACGCTTACGAGTATGACGGACCTAATACTCACACCCCTCGGGCGGATATAGTCTACGGCGATCTTGAAGCCACTCCTGAAGAGTTGGAGCAAGTTGCGGCTGATATCAAAAAGAGTCGTCTACTCAAGGCAAGAGAATGGCTGGCTAACCGACTCGCGACTGCAACTCCCGAAGTGTCGGCTCGAATGGATGCTAGGAAGAAGATTTCGGTCGACACGACTCACAAGAAGAACAAAGCTGCGAAGAAGTACTACCGTGATGTTTGTGATGTCAACTGCTGCACCGGCGGGGAGCTTAGAAATCATAAAGCAGGTCCCTTACGCATTGAGGCCGTCGCACGTGGTGGCAAAGGTGTTCCTTACCGCTGTGAAGCGTGCAACGAAGACTTCCACTTCGAATCTGACTATCTTGTATAGGCGCTAGTCCAAAATAAGGTTAGCCTGGTCCTCGACGAGGCAATGACAGAGACCACTGGCATAGTAAATTTCCTGCATCCCATAATCGTTTCGCGCGTAAGAGTCCATTGATCAAGAGCTACGCATGGCGCCAGCATCTGCGCGCTCAGAGCCCATTCACAGAAATCCGGCACCAGTCTGGGCTTCTCAGGATATTTGCAGATGACTTCGATGACGCGACTCCCGAGACAAAGGACAACCCAAGCATGGATCCAAGAATGCTACTCGACCCTAAGGGCGCGCTTAAGAGACAGCAACAGTCGACAAGCATTGGTAAGTACGATCGATTCGCTCATTCGCGGTGACGATTCATGATTCACTGCCGCTTCGACGACTTCACTCGCCGCCTTCCCACGTGACTCACTACAATGGTTGCCTGCCTTTTAGCGACTTCAGGCATCATATCTACGACCGAATCCTCCTCCTGATCAGCCACTTGCATCAGTCTTCTCTCAAGCAATGCGACCGTTGCTGATTGCGTGTGTACAGCCTCGACGTCAGCCGCGAAGTCGCCACCGATGTCCGATAAATTAAAACCTTCGCCAAGCACGAAAAGGTCACCCGCATCACAGTCTTCGACGCCGTTGTCGCCCAACCGACCTGCACCCACATACGATCCGAGAGCCCTCTTGGATCCGCGAAACCGAAGTAGACCTCAACAAATTCGTTCGCCTGCCATGAAGGCTAATGGCGTCAATGGCACGAATCATTCTCATTCTGATGGACCGCCAGATCCTGCCTTGCTCCAAAATGGCGATGCATCTGAACCAGTAAGTGTCGCGCCACCAGCTGTATCACGGGAGAACAGCTTCAACGGCAAACGAGCCATCGAAAATCTGTATGGAGTCGAGTCACGGTCCGATCAACCTAAGAAGAAAGTAAAGTCGCCACAAGATGAGACGGAGAGAGACTCTCGAGCAAAGTCGCAGAAGTTCAACTCGTCCGGCACTGGCATCATTGGTGACTACATGAAGCGTCGAGATGACCCGAACTATCAGAATCGGCCGACTCTTCTTCCTCCAGTCGAGGCCAAGGACGATCGCGTGGTTGATCTGACCTCCGAGATCGATAACAACGGTAACGACGACTTCGTTATCACTGGATCAAGCACCAAAGAGAGAGAGGTATGCTTCGGGGCAATCTACACGGACGCTATGGCATTCTTGGTTCCGAAGCCTCGAAAGAACAAAGGAGCCTCGTTCTTGCAGCAGGGCCAATGGCCGCCAATGAGATGCTCACTAGGGCGTGGCACAGAGGAAGCCAAGACGACGATTATCAAGGTAATTGATCCCAGCAATAAAGAATTCGCAAAGATCACAGCGCACGGCGCAGCAGGCCTCGCAACACTGATGGACTCTATCGAGACCTTGCGGACGCAGCCGCGGCTGCTGAATCGTCCGAGGCGCAAAGATGAGCAGGAGCATGCGCCATGTTCTCAGACTATGAAGCTGGCTGTCAATCTCTATGGTCAGAGACGTGATGCTGAACCAGTAGGAAGGATCCTAGGTCAGCTCAATATCTGGCTCAATGATGTTTCAAAGGATCTGCGAGACCCAGGCACAGAGCTCCTCAATCCACACAAGATGATTTCACACAAGGCTCCCGCTCGAGGCAAGCCTGTCACACGCGCGGTCAACCAGAAGAGTGTCGTCGAGGCCGGATCCGAGGAAGCGATGGATAGGGCGGTCGAGAAGATCTTCGACCACTTTGCCAACGAAAACATCGAAGAGACTGATGCGCCACATGGAATACTGACCCCACTGCTACCACATCAAAAGCAGGCATTGACGTTCATGTTGCGCCACGAAAGTCCTCCCGACTACGAGGATGACACTTCGTCCAAGCTATGGTCGAAAAAGTACAGCAAGACCGGCATCTATTACCAGGAAGCGGTATGCAATCTGACAATAAACGAGCCACCTCCAGTCTCCCTGGGAGGTCTACTAGCTGATGTCATGGGTTTGGGAAAGACGCTGGAATCCCTCACTCTAATCGCCGCCACCACCGACAAAGCCAAAGCTTTCAGTAAGACCCAGGTGCAGCGAGGCCCGGAGAACCCTGATAGGCAGATCAGCGCGAACAGCAAGGCGACATTGATTGTATGCCCGATGAGCACAGTAGCTAATTGGGAGAGTCAAATCAAGGAGCACCTCGACCCGTCCTTCACCTGGGTCACCCATCATGGATCTAATCGTACCAAGAACCCATACGACCTTCGAAAATACGATATAATCATCACCACGTACGGAACGCTGCAGTCGGAAACTCGTAATGGTTTCGGTGGGGTACTACGGTCTATCAAATGGTTCCGGGTAATTCTGGATGAGGCGCATACCATTCGAGAGTCAAGCGCGCTCCAGTCACAAGCCTGTTTCGAGCTTGAGGCTGATCGGAGATGGTGTCTGACTGGTACGCCAATTCAGAACAAGTTAGCAGATCTTGGCTCGCTGTGCCAGTTCCTGCGTCTCTATCCATACGATAGCGTGGCGGAGTTCTCGTTGTACATTGTCAAGCGGGCCGGAAGTGGCGACTCCACGTTCCTCAAGCGACTAAGAGTCTTCATTGATTCCTTCACCCTTCGGCGAGAGCGCGATAAGATCAACTTGCCACCAAAGGAAGATCTCCAGGTCGCGGTCGAGTTCAGCGATGCAGAGAGTAAGCTACACGAGTTCTTCCGGGGGCGTTCAGAGATCATACTTGCAGATCTGAAGAAGCAGCGAGACGAGGGTAAGAAGCACAATATGCAGATCTCCGTCCTGCAAGGCATCACTATTCTGCGACTCATCTGCGCACATGGTCGTGAACTGCTTCGTGAGGACGACCTGGAGACTTACAAAGGTGGCGCGCCGGAAGATGCGATCGAGTTGGATGACGAAGAAGACGTCAAAACGATGACACCGCTACAGGCCTACGAGCTTTTCCGAATGATGGACGATGCCGACTATGACGTTTGTCGTAACTGCGATTCCTCGATCGCAGCGAGCACCCCAGCCGCAGATGGCGACACAGATACAGGACCTCGCTGCTACATCTTGCCATGCCGAGACCTACTCTGCGCCCCATGCTTCCGCCAATACAAAAGCAACTATGACGATAAACCCGACGACAGCTCCCTTCAGTGCGCCCTCTGCCACGGGATCACAACCGCCACGTACGTCGCCATCGAAGGCAACGTCAACGACAAGATCGAGACCATGCAAGCCAACCAACCACAATCCAAGAACAAAGACCGTTACGGCGGGCCCGCCTCCAAAACTCTTGCCCTTCTCGAAGACATCGACAAGATGACCGAAGAAAGCAAACCCTTAGAAGTCGCTGGAGAGCCACCGCTCAAATGCGTTGTTTTTTCCGAGTTCACCTCTCATTTGAGTCTCATCGCCCGTGCCCTCGAAGCCAGGGGCTACAAGACCGCCCGCATCGATGGCTCCATGAGCCTCTCTAAGCGGAAAAAGGTCCTTGAAGCCCTCGCCACCGATAACACTCTTACTATCCTGCTCGCCTCCATCAAAGCTGCCGGCCAGGGTCTGAACCTCACTGCCGCGAGCCGCGCGTTCATCATGGAGCCCTTATGGAATCCCGCAGCGGAGGCCCAAGCGGTGGATCGGATCTATCGAATTGGGCAGACTAGGCCGGTGGTGGTGAAACGATATCATATGAAGGCCAGTATTGAGGAGAGTATCATGCAGCTGGCGGAGAAGAAGCAGAAGCTGGCAGACTTGAGTATGGGGAGGAATCACAAGGCGTTGAGTAAGAAGGAGATGCGGGAGCAGCACTACAATGAGATTCGGCAGTTGTTTGAGAGCAAAAAGCGCTAGGGGGTTATGCATGGACTTGGTTGGGAGGACAATAGTGGTTTGCATTGCCTTGGGAGGCTTTCTGAACTGTACGCGAAGTCGACGAGCGGCATCGCGATCTTGCGCGTGGTCCGGGGCTAGGCGTTGGTGGTGGTTTGGCATTTGCATACAGAGGTCGAAACCTTGGAAGCGTCAGTTTGAGAATGCACATTCGTGGCATCATGCCCATGATGTGATTGACGACCATGCGAGGTCGATAGACGAGACTAGACGTCTCCTGTGAAGGCGTCAAACGAAGTACTACAAGCTACAAAATGAAGATACACTGGTCGTGAAGTGCCTAGTCTTTGCAGGCCCCGTGACGGCGCAGGTCTTGGACGAACGTCCAAAGAGATTCCCTTCTCGTAATGGTACGCAGCAGTACTCAACCCTGGTAGAAATGATGAGCACAGTCTCTGTATGAGACCGGATGACGAGTCCGTCTCGGTGGGGGAGTCAGGCGCGTACCAGAGCTTGGTGGATGAATATATTTGCGGGGTGCCAGCCAGCGCGACAGATCTGAACAGGCCGCACGCTCCAGATATGATCCTGTTATGGGTCACAGCGGTCGAGTAGTAGGGGGCGTCACGCCTGAAGTGGCCCCCAGAGCTCCTCCTCTCAGCCTTGGTTTGGCGACCGCATTGAAGGCGTAACTGAGGCCGGATGACACGGTTTCTGGACAATGCGTGTGATCCACTGCGCAGCCAAATGACGAAGCCGTGGGAGGTGAGTTTCGCAGTCCAGCATAGCAAGCACACACATGTAGAGCTGATGACTTTCTCATTACTAACGAAGGTGGCTTTAGTAGCCTCAAATGACGGGACTATGTGCAAACCAGCCAGCGAGAGATCTCCCGGTCCTTTATGACTTCCTGCTTCCTGCCGGGAGACGATATTCCATCATTCATATGCGCCTTCGATTAAACCATTAAACAAGGAATCCCATTATCCGACTCGACTCCACCGCTTTTTGGCCTTTCTGGGTATCTCATTTCTCTGACGTTGATTCTTCGTACATGTTTTTGGGCTTTTTTTTGTAGAAATTTCCCTAGAAGAAGTTTCCTTTGGGCACGGCCAGGAAGATTGCAGTAAGTATACCGCCAATCTATTGCACGTGTTAGTATGAACAAGTATCGGGAAAAACGGAGTGTACATACGATGACACCGGTAAGGATCGCTTGTATGAAGATAGTGTCCTGGATAGATCGCAGGGCAGGCTCCTGGATCCAAACTTCACGATCGAAGATCTTGCGGATGACATTACGGTGGTCGTACTTGGCAATCCATGGTTCGTCTTCGTAGCTGTTCTTGGTGCCGAAGCTGTCGAAAGAATTCTTCTTGAGGTCGATCTCGGACTGTGCGTCATTGCTCTCGGCGAAGAGCTCCCATGGGCGTAGGTGACGGTGGTGCATGCCGTGGAGGACGACACACATGCCTTTCCACGCAGCAAAGAGGGTCGAGATGCCGATGAGGAATGCGAGGAAAGCCAGAGCGCGCCATCCGCGGCTGGCGCTGCTCAGGGTGATGACTACACCGTAGACGAGTCCACCAATTATACCGAAGACACCAAGGCCGCGCGCGAACATTTGTCGAGGTGGGTTGCCGTTACAAATGGTCCAGCGTATGAAGTTGGGATGAGCCTGGTGACGAAGAGTCCATTCCACGGTGGCAATGACGTCTCGAAGAGCCGAAGGATGAGTTGTGACAGAGAGTGCCTTCAGGACGGTTGTCCTCTCACGAGCTGACAAATTGAGCATTCTGCTCCCATCTTCGGCGATGTAGAGGGCGATGATGCGTGAGATTTCCTCACGGAAAGGCTGCACGGTGAAGGGCTGCAAGGCGTCGACGGCATCGAAGGCGTTGGCAGTCTTCTTGGTGTGGTCGGTGCCGTTAGAGCGGAGCGTGGAACCCTGCTCGCTGTAGACAGCCGTGCCGTTGGTGGATGGTGCCAGGCTTGAAGCATAGTCGCCACCATTTGGTGTTCGGGGAGGAGTATTGAATGGGTTGTAGCCAGCTTCCGTGGTCGCTTTTGGAGGAGATTCGAAATCAGTGCCTTTCAGATGGGCAGCAGTGTCGGTTGTCAACTTCTTCTCCTTCTTCTCCTTCTCCTGTGCATGACGCTCGGCTGTGGCTTGCTGGACGGTCCATTCTGGCGCCAACGCCTGATCGGACTCTGGCAGCTGGAAGAAACGCTTCACGTAGTCCTTGTACCAGAGGTAGAACTGCAGGTTCTCGGCGTCATGCTCGATGTACACTAGGAAGTCCATAAACTCGCGGGTCGAGACAGGCTAAAACAGCGACATGAGTGACAGCACAACCGACTGATTGCTTGAACTTACAGGACAGGTCCCACCGCTAATGATTTTCTCGAACGAGAGAGCCTCGGGAATGCCATAGGGACAGCTGCTAGCAGAGCTCACGGACTCGCCTGTGCTCTGCTCGGTCTTCTCGGTGTTGATGGACGTGCGTGAAGAGTCGACATGAGCCGGTCTGCGGTAGTTGAGTGAGAGAACCATGATTGCGCTTAACTTGATTGTAGACGAGTGGCGAACAGCGCAAGTTGAAAAGATATGTGGTACAGGGTACCTCGCTGGGTGTCACAATGGGATGGAAAACGTGGAGGTGGATCGTGATACGGAATGGAGGCTGGATTTGAAGGACAGCACGTCCCACACGAGTAGTGAATGCGTGGAGGGAAGGCGCGATGTAGAAATGAGGGTCTGCTTTACACTTCAAGTAGTCTTGTATCGTGGCATCCCCAGAAACATGTACTTCGACACGCGAGGAAGACTGTGGCTAGCTGCGACAAGGTGAGCAAGGTTCAACATGCTACAGGGGGGTTACTGGATTGATTGACTCAATACGAAGCCAAGAGCACTGTCGAGACGGTCAGTGGTCTGGTTCACCGACTCAGTTGGCTTTGCTACTCCGGATCGATGCTCTTCCATGTCCTTAGTCGGCTCATCCGAACCACTGTTACGCAAGGAGCAGCCAGATGTAAAACTATGAGAAGCAGCAAGACGTCAAAGCTGCAGCCACGACCACTCCACCACTAAGAAAAAGTCGATCTCCAAGCCACAAGCTTTGTTTAAGTCCATACCGAGCTCTCTAGCCTCCGGCACTGCTGCGAATTTTTGGCACTAGCACTTCTCGGACCATGTAGCGTTCCAAATTCATCTGACGATCGACCCACTGTCCGACTCTTTGCCACATCAGTACAGATCGACTCGGACTCATTGTTCAATGAAGCGGCGTCTTGACTTGACGACGTGATGAAGTCTGATAACGCACAAATCGGATTGAGAAAATGACTGCTTGCAATTGCTCAATCCATAAAGCAGAGAGAATGGACTAGTGTGCGATCGCAATTCAATTCGAAAGCTCTTAGCTGACTGGCAAAAGCCAATCAGCGCCACGTTTTGGCATCGTTATTTCATGAACCTCAGACCAGGGACTTCAAAGCTTGGAACCGCCCCACTCGTTCCGTCTTCCAGGCCTTTCAAGACTCCATGTTCACCTTTGAAGCTGAGAGCCAACAGCGCGGACACACGCCGCCGAGACCGCGTGCGTTTTCCACGTTGTAACATCAACCATGTGTACATGCTTGCAAGTAATCTCATTAGTTCTGACAGCAGTGAGGTCCAGGAGCTGCGTCTCGCAAGTCTGATCAGGCTGAAGAGAACTGCTCTTTCGAGACGCGAGACCCGGTCGCCTGATTTCCACCCCGAACCGAACCTACTAAGTAGCGAAAGATTGGCGAAGACTAAAATGATTGCCGATTCGGCATTGAGCCTGATGTCCTCCGCACATGAATAATGGACTTCTACCGAGCGAGCAAGGTACCGACGGTCAGAATTTAGATGTCACAATACTCAAGTGCCCATATGGACTCCTTGCATGGGAGGGAAACTATGTCAAACCGTGCATATCGGATGTGAGGACTAGTCTGCCGCCATATGGACTTCGGATGTCACTGCAGACTCGGCGTAGACTCGTGGTTGACAACAAAATCGAAAGCCGCCTTCGTCGGCAGGCATGTGAGGCGAAAAAGAGCACTGCCAAAAGTCTTTCAGGGATCTTACACTGCTTCACTCCACACTATAGATCTGTCAGTCAACGACCCGGGATCGAGCATCTCAGGAACAGCCGAGTAATCAAAACTCTCACCCCTGAACCGTTGTTCTGTCACCCTCGACACTCCACTGCGGAAGTTGCTACAAATCTGCTCTGCCGTCCTCGCCCAGACTCTCACTCACGAACACCCTCGACAACTGCTGTAACTTCTGGCTCAGCATCGGCATATGCTTCCGTACCAGACAATGCCTGTCAAGAAAACCTAGCCACGCGGGTCGAACCCATGCACCACAAGGTCGATGGGCTTATCGAAAACTCTACTTTGAAGTAACTACGGAGTACAAAATTCGCGTGTCGCATGTTGCTGCTAAACCGCGCTCTGACGGAAATGCATTGCCGTCACAATCGCTGGTGAATCGCTTCGACAGCAAAGTCACAACTCTGAGCGCGCGTGCTGCTGGCATGTTTGCCACTGCGCGTTCCGCCAAGCCAAGACTCACGAGGTCAAAGCTCACTACAATCCAGGCTGTCTGCAATCACCAGAATAGCAATCGTGAAGACAAAGGTGAGGACGTTGTTTGTGTACTTTGTTCCAATTGTCGTTGTGACCTGAGTATGCCAAATATGGCGGTACAGACAAAGACACCAACAACTTGTCCGCCATATTCAGTGATCCAAACAAAGGATAAGGCACTTCCAATCTTCAGGAAGCCTGGTGCATCAGTGCGGGTGATGGCGATGTTCAAATCATGCCTCAAGTCCGCTTGTCCCAGCGGGACTTGTTGTCATTTATGCCATAACGATTTACCTAGGTCAGCCAGTTTCCTTGCGTTTTCCTATTCTGTATCTTTCAATTGTCCAGTCGTGATCCAATCGAACCACGACGACCACACTCATTTCGAACCCATCACAGCTCTTCAGCAACCACATTCATTGAACATAATGCCACCTCAACCAGAAAAGGGCGAATGCCCAACCACGACCGTCACTATGACACAATACGCCGCAACCATAACCAAAACGGTCGGGATCGACGACATCCACAACGCCACCTCCACCTCATCGCCCCCCACAACGATCAAGACCATCTCCCTGGTCGCCCCCTCCGGCCTTGGGGTCCACAACAGTACCACATCAGCCACAACTCAACCCTCACGACCTCCCACAAACCATCCACAATCTCCCACTCCGCCACGCTGACACCCAGCCCAAGTCCGTCTGACGCTGCGTCCGACGCCTCCCATCAGGCCGGCCGAGTGGCCGGTGACGTGATCGGATCCCTCGCAGGTCTCGCCCTCCTCATCTTCCTCCTCGCCTGGTGCTGCAAGCGCAAGAAGCAAATTAAGCTGAAGCTGCGGTGCAGTCGGGAGACCAAGGAGGAGAAGGAGGCCGCAAGGCAGGAAGAGGAGCGGAAACGTGCGGAGGAGGAGCGGAAGAAGGCGCTCGAGCAGCTCGAGAGTCGGCCTGGTGATCTGGCACATTCAGGCCTTACCTTTGGCTTTGCTGGGTTGGGTGGAGGGGAGAAGAAGGCGCTGCCGCTGCGCCGACGATCCCTAGGAAGCCGGTGAGCAGTGCTATGGGCGCGGGGAGGTATTATGCTTGAGTCTGGGGATTTTTGAGCAGCATTCTAGGTTCGAGCAGAGCTCGGGCTTCGGCGTTGGAGGCAGCTGGACTGCAAGTCAGAAAAAGAGCATGTTCCAGCATTGAGCGCTTTCAAGCATTTCAATCAAGAATAATTCAATCCATTTTCAATGTTTGAAAGCTGGTATCGTGTCCGCTTATCAAGCATGATCGCCTACGTTACGTAGCGAAAGTCCTTGTTCTCCCACTCCGTCTCGCCTCTCATGCCCCTTTCTCTGGCAGCCGCTTCGTCCACCACGCTGGTCTCCCGATCCAGTTCTGCCCGATCGTGTCCGACAAACCCAGCGCCGTCCACGGTGCTGACGGCCGCAACTTGTCTAGCAGCTCGATCTCTCCTTCGATTCCAACTCCACAGATACCCCCACAGCAAGGCATGGCATACTCCTTTTACCGCGTAGCCCACCACCAAGCCAAGGCCCGCAGACCTGTACTCCGGGGCCTGGCTTTGGACAACAACAAACGGCCCGGCGAAGTTTCCCCAACAATACGCCGTGAAGACGATCGCACTCGCTGTGCTCCTGTGCGTATATCCGGCCATATTGCTGCTGATCATCGTCAAAGCAATTGTGAAGCTCACGCTCTGGCTATTGGTGAGCCAGAAAGCTACGAGCCGTGGCCAGGGGTAACGTCGAGGCAGGAAGGCGAGACAGGACGCAGAGGTGAGGCATAGGATGTTGAAGAAGGTGGATACTAGGAGGCGCGTGTTAGGGATATTGAGGGTGACAAGCCCGGCGATAATGAGCGCGAGGACTTGGGTCGCGTCGCCGACGGACTTGAGTTGAGTGGTGCGGGTCGTGGAGAAGCCTAGGTCACGGATAATGACCGTCGAGAAGCTGTTGATGACGCCGTTGGGGATCGCAGCGGCGAAGACTGAGACGAAAAGGAGAAGGGTTTTGGGGTCGGTGAACGTGGCGAGGAACTGTGGGCGCGAAAAGTGCGGTGCTTTGAGTCCTGTGGTGTTGGAGGCAACGCGCTGTATCGCTATGAGCCGCTGCCGGGGACTGAGGAACCAGGCCGTAGAGGGCGTGTCTGGAAGGAAAAACCAGAGGACCAAGGACCAGATCATTGTGACTGCACCGAGAATGTAGAAGATGAGGTGCCATCGAGGTGGATTTGCGGTCGAAGGAAGTGTCGAAATGCCCATGCTGATGTAGGAACCAACGATACCTCCAAACCCGAGGGACGAGTACCAGATGCACTGACGTAGAGGGATTTCAGAACGGGTATAGTACCAGCCCGTCATCAGAGTCAGACCGGGCGTCACCGAGGCTTCAAACATGCCCATGAGGAATCTGACAGCATGGCGCTCTTGTAGGTGCGACATTGAGTGAGAACCAGAACCATCAAGCCCCATAGGAAGCAAGTAAATGCTAGCACACGTTGCGCTTGGTAGCGGCCGAGCAGCCAGCCGCATGGGTACTGGCCGAAGAAGTAGCCCGCGTAGACGATCGCCGAGAGATAGTTGAATTGGGTGCCATAGAGATTCAGGTCTTTCTGGTAGTCGAACAGATTGGCGTAATTGAGAGCAGTTCTGTCCATAAATTGTAGGCACTGAGTAATGAAGAAGATCGGGAGGATCACAAGATCAATTTTTCGGCGGACTTTTAGCGACTGCACGGGTCAGCAAAAGTCATAGCAGAGATCAGAAATCATAACTGACATCTTTAGCCGTTGGCTGGAGCTGCAGCGCCTGGCGATATTCTGTATAGCCAACATCATGCTACAATTCTTGGTCAGCCTGGCGTGAGTAGACTGATGTGAAGGTGTCTGACCTGAGCATTAGTCTCATTCTCGACGCTGAACACCGTGCTAGAACTTGTCGCGGGTCCGCGGTGTGCTGTGAGTCGTTCTGACTATCAGACCTCTCAATTTCTATACGTTGGTCCTGCAGTTTGAGACTCGCCATCAAAGGGTGAAGCGGTGAGTTGGAGGCGTTTGCCCGTGCCCATTAGCTGGTGCCAAAGTCATGAGTGTGAGTCCATGTCGCGCTTGAGTGGATCGAGAGCCGAGAACCCTAGGTGACTATTCATTACCTCCACGAACCCACTCGTCGGCTCACAAGCTGACAGTGAAGGAGTGGAGGGATGAGGTCAAGCCACGAACGTAAAATAAGTTTTGCTGTGGCCAAGGCGCCTCGCCTGGGCCTTCATCCATGCAGAGCAGCTGACACATTACGAGAGTCCTATGATCGCGAGGTGGCGTTTGCTTATCTCCCAATCGTCGTGGCGCCATTGCTGCTGTTCCAAGACTGAAGCTCGCTATACAACGGTTTCATCATTGATGGAGGAGCCATGAAACAAAGACCAAGAGAGTGACTGAGGAATTTGGGGGATCTACGCCGATCATCAGCGCGGGGCGGCGGTCTTGCGACATGGCAGCACCGAGGCTTCCCCGCGTTGGGGAACGAACAAGCCCAGGTAGGCACTGCTGACTTCTGATGCTGGCTCAGGCGTCCGCGCACAAATTCTCGCTGTGAGACGATACGGGGACGCATCCAAGCGATATAAAAGCAGCCATGACCGATGCCGATGGCTACATTGCGAAGCCATCCGGTAAATGCTGCTTGAAAGGATCATTACATGTTGGGGATCCTCGGGGCAAGTATGAAACAGTACATGGAGTCAACACCTACATCTCCTCCCCATCAGCGGACAAGGACAATGGCAATATCGTGCTATACTTCCCTGGTACGTTGTTCTTGTTGTTACTTGACCCCGGATATGGTCGCGGAGCACTTGCTTCAAAGGTCTGCCGCATAATGTACTGCCACGGTCTACTGAGCAGAGTGTCACTTTCATGCTCTCATTCGTTGAGTACCCCAACGTTGCCGAGTGATGATCGTGCTCAGCTTCCCTTTCATCGTCTTATTTGATCTTAGAGGCTTCTGGATTCGCTGACAAATGCTGGCCAAAAGATGTGTTCGGTTTCTTCACCAATGGTCTGTTGGTCATGGATGGTTTCGCCGATGCTGGGTACAAAACCATTGGCATCGACTATTTCAAAGGGGTATGGGTTCCTCTGAAGAATAATTCCCGTCCTAACGTCCTGATCGCGATCAGGATCCCGTATATCTGCACCGTAAAGACAAAAACGACACAACAACCGAGCCCGGGTTCGACTACGAAGCATGGAAGAAGAAGCATACCGCATTCGCGGATGAGGTGGTTCCTGGTTGGGTCGAGGCTGTGAAAGCAAAATTTGGAAAGTCCAACACGAAGTTCGCATGTGTTGGGTACTTCATGTTCGCCCTGCCTTGTGCATGACACCTTCTGAGCCTGGCTAGGTACTGCTTCGGCGCCCCATACGTTTGCAACGAGCTTGCAGGAGAGGTTGTGACTGCCGGAGCATTCGGTCATCCTGCATTTTTGAAGGATCACCACTTCCAACAGCTCAAGAGTCAGTGCACCGTGCTCGCAGAGCAGAATTGCGTCGGCTGACTCGTTGACAGAGCCTCTGTTCCTGTCATGCTCGGAGATCGATCACACATTTCCAGTACAACTTGGAGGGGTCTAGCCAGAAATCGAGAGCTGACAGCTTCGCAGGTCGAATCTCGGAACCTGGCAATTGATATTCTGCAGAAATCGGGTCAATCGCACCAACTGCAGTTGTTCTCAGGGGTCGCGCACGGATTTGCGTTAGTGATACGTGCATTGAACGTCCAAGGCTGACCTACGTGTATAGACTAAGGTGCAACCTGGACAACCCTTACGAGCGTACGTCCTCGCGAACCTTGAAAGACTCAAGTGGCTGACGTATCCTAGGTTATTGTAAAGAACAGGTACCAGCTGACTATGCGTGCCACAGCTCGTGGCGGACGTTCTCAGACCTAGTTCACTACTAACAATTGTCAGAGTCTCAGAAGCATCGTCGAATGGTTCGACTTCTGGTTAGGTCAGCAGGCAGGAGATACTCCTTCCAAATTGTGATGTGATGGACCATGGAGTCCAGGTGCCCAGACTTCTCGCGTGACTATTTTGCTCGTAGAACACCCGGGCATGGAGTCGTTGGCGCGGCGGTCTCGAATTCCTGGAAACATCGCTACTTACCATCAATTGAATGTTATGCACGGCGTGCTATGCACTTGCTTTCCTCATTTCGCATTCTATCGGCCTTGCTGAGTATATTATGTTTCTTTGCATGTTACCGCATGTGCGATGGCTATCATCAACCCAGAAGGCTGCTCTTTCGATGGGGTTGCAGTCTGCCTGCTACAAGAACGCGTGCGACAGAGGTAGGACACCTGACGGTGCGGAAGACTGCTTGTTACCTGACGCGTGCCAGGACCCACTTTAAGCTTGGCGCTGAGTTTCGGAGCTTCGAGCTCATCTTCAACCTGAAGTTTGCAGTCCTTCTTTGTATTCTGCTGTTCACTCTCTCAATACGTCAATGTGGTACACGCACAGCATGTACTCTCTTGACTGCCGAGCATGTAATAAGCTCTCGTGCACAACCTGTGCCGCCCAATGCTAGTATGCACAGGACATCCCACCAAAACTGGGATGTATCGCTAAGCAGTCGCGCCTGACCCAAAGGCGAGCTCTTCGAGGTGTGCAACCAAAGACCTTGAGTGCTTGGCCAAAGGATTTTTGGTAGTATCCGTAAGTGCCCCCCATCGATTGGTCCCAATGTTGCCATCCACATCACTGTCAATCTGTGCCATGTAAGCCAGAGAACACCGAACCCATCGTACACAGGGCATGAGTCCTCTCCCATTCGAAATTGCTTTCTACTCTGCACAGCCAGCACCAACTTCAGAAGATTCACGGCAATAAATCAGTCGATCCAGTCTAGATTCCACTCCTGTTACTTGTCCCTACTAGGTCCTAGGGGTTAGCGAATAACGAGGGTGCGGGGCATCCCCAACCATGAGCGGAGCTCGTCACAACTTTCCCGACAGCAATCCAAGCCGTCGTAGTTCAGCTTCTCACGACGGCCACCGAGGTGAGCCTCTTCAGCATTCACGGGAGAGGTATAGCAATTTCTACGATGTAGATGACAGGCAAACAGCTCCGCATCGATCAGTCCCTAGATCGATCCCAGGATCTCGTCACGCGGATATATTTGCGATACAGACACTGGATGACGCCGATTCCAATGCCTCGGAGTCAACGAGCAGTAATGCAGACTCCGATGGCCGGTATGCTTCGCTAGTACCGGAGACCAGACAATTCCGCAGAAGTCGAGCGATCGCTGGAGACGAAGATTCACCCTGGTCCAGTGTCAACGTTCGCGGGAATAATGGCTACTCCCGTGCGCCTAGCAATGATACGTATGCCGCCGACGTTCCCAGACATTCCGCGCAACAGAACCCGCGTAAGAGTCAGTCTCAGGCCGGTGGAGCTAGTGATAATGTCGACAAGTATTACGATTCTCGGGCCGAGACCATGCACGTTCAAGAGCTCATGATAGTCCAGCAAGAAACCGATATGAGCTCGCTGGCAGCGAGTATGATCAGGACGCCAACATAAGTCAATCGCTACCAAGCAGGCATGACGTCTTGCCCCAGTCCGTGAGCACCTCGATCCCGACCCGTCACGGATCCGCACAAGACATGATGGGAAGTTCGCTGCCGCTTTCAGCCTACGACCAGTCTTATGGCCATGGTCGCACCCGTCAGCTACGAGATCTGGCTACATCCGACACACGATTGCGCAAGATCGCCGAACATCAGACTGCAGACATGAGGGATCCAATTCACCATCCTCTAAGCACAGCTATTCTCTCCCCCAACGAGGTACGGCCGCCAACTAGTCGACGTCACTCTGACAACGTCGCGCAGGGATCGATGTCTGGTCCCACTCATGCAAGCCGTCGACATTCTATCGTAGCTGGCACACAGGACAAGGATGGCAGGTCCAGTGCCTCCCGGCACCGCTTCGACAGCATGGATCCTGATCGAGTCCTAGAGCCATCGACTTCCGTTCGTCATCTACCCGATACTGTCAGTATGCTGTCGCGACAGTTGTCGCGACGAGATCGTGACCCACCCAGTCGAGACCATGAGGATGAGTCAAGCCCGAGCCCAGATCGCGAAGCTAAAAGCGATAGACAACGTGACAAAACGCGCAGGCATATCTCAAGGCACGATGACCCCTCATTGAGCCGTTCACCGCCGACATCATACCCTCTGGACTACATGAACCGACACTGTAAGTGGGCCAAACTGTTGGTCTTGCGGTCCAGCTGATGAGTTCTAGTGAAGGCAATGGATTTCTCCTCACGCGAAAGACCGCGTTCGCCAGAAGTGATGACCTCGTCACGTCGGCCCTCTGATGCAAGCTCGATTGACCATTTGATCAAGAATAAGTTCGACTTCAAGGCGGATGTAATCAGCACTGTCCCCAGCTCAGACCGTCACTCAGAAGCCACAACCATAATGACGCGAGTGCTTGGCACCGTTGATACTGGGAGTGACTACAATGTCATACACAAAGACGTCATTAGAAGAGCGAAGATCGATCCATCCAAGATCAAGGTGTTGAAGGAGAAGCCGGATGTCGAGGGCTTCGAAGGCATGAAGTATCACCTTGACCGCACAGTCGAACTCGACTGGGGTCTGGCGAGGAAGAACGGCATCAAGACCTACCGCTCCACCTTTTACATTGTCGACAAATTGCCTGACGACCTCGAAATGGTCGTCGAGAAAGGCTATTTGTTACAGAAGCTTGAAAAATTGCGAGCTCGAGATCGTTCGAGACGCTGAATGCTCTGGGTCCGATTAGACTGCGTCGTTGCAAGTCGCTTCAGTCGAAAGATCCTGATTGCGTTCACATACTTGTCCTGTGCTATCGCGCTTGGGCTTCTTGTCACATCTCTGCTTGCAATCAGCTGTCGGCTACTGCAACAGAGATAGCTGGCACCCATCGACGTGCGATCTCACCAGAAGTCTCTTTGTGCTTGGTAACTGGATAATCTAGGCCAGTGACCATCGCGACGGCTCTGTTCAGAATTGGCATGGTCAGCGCGTGATATGTCCTCTTTGAGTTGCTCGTTTGTCTTGGCTGGCCCGCTTTGGGGGCCGAATTGCTTCGCATCTGGCACTCCACATGCTACCGCTAACCGCACACAGGTCTAGGACGAAGTGCTTCACTGGGATACCTGGTGGGCATGGCGTCACCGAGAGTGTTCAGTCGAAGGTCTTTGTTGGCCCTTCAGTACCACGAGTCTCTCACTTCTGTTACTATAATCAGCAGCCCACCTTTCCTTCAATGTTCGGGAGTCTTGGCCATATCCTGGGCTGCGATGAACCGCGTTGATAGACGTCTGTTGCCTGCACATGCAAGCCATGAAGAGAACGATATTGCCCTTCCGAGAAGTTCTTACGATCGTTCGAAGGAGAAGAGCGTCCATGGCTTCTCCCAAGCCACAGGAGCGCGGACTCGCGTTGACGGATCTCCGACACGACTCTTCGCTCTGGACTCATCCATGACAAGGCAGAGTACATTTGAACAGAAGTCCAGGAAGATTGAAGAGGTAGAGAACAGGATAAAGCGACATTGGTACCCGTGAGTACAAGAATCTGGAGCCAGAACGTCCCGCTACTGATTGCTACAAAGTGTGTTGCTTGCAGCCATTGCCATGGATCTACTGCTCCTCGTAGCATTCTTTTACATCGTCTACGAAGCCGATGTGAGTGGCTGATGACTCCCGGCAACTCTCGATTTGCTAAAGGCCATCAGTACTACAATGTCAGCAAGAGTGGCTACCTCTGGAGGTCTTGCATCATCATATTTGCGCCGTTGCTGCTCGTCCTGCTGATGCTGTTCTGGCCTTACTCTGAGGAGTGGACAAAGCGAAGAGATGCCTTCTCTATGAGGAAGTCGTCTCGACGATGGCGAGATATTGTCAACATTCTCAACGCCGCCGCATGCTTCGTGTTTGTACTCGCCTACCTCCTGCTTAGTGCCATCCCAAAGTACAATGCCCCAACATGGCAGACATCGATAGACGTCGCTGCCGTCATGCCAGTCCCGGCTATCGCCATGATCGTGCTCGAAAACGATGATCTTCTCTCTCCAGCGCGTTTCGCGAACGAAACCTATGACGGCGTACCCATCGGCTTACCGGCTTTCGTCTCTTCCACGAACGTCACGAACAATCTCACGTACACCGGACCGCCAGCGTTGTATAGGCAACAGGAGGTGCTTCCCGCTTCAATCGTGAATCTTTCGATTGACGCAATTGTGTCGAATTCTACTATTGTACAGCCGACCGTTGGAACTCCGTTACAGGCTGGCATCTACGGTACGGTGCTGCTTCAGTGTAAGTCGCTCAGCCTTCTATTGTCATTGATCATCAGCACTCATCTCGTTCGATCAGACGATAAAGACGTATTTGATGCGCGCAGACGCAATTCCACCGGTGTTGCTCCGACCATGATCCTCAGTGCCTTCGATCCCCGTCTAAGCCTCGCCGAAGTCGCCCTCTGCAGCATTGTTCAAACCTCGCTAGTAAACGCTTTTGCCCAGAACAACTTCCAAATGACAGTGTCACAACTCAAAGACCCGAGAAGCAAGATGGTCCGTCCAACAGTAATGGACCCTATTTGCGAGCGAGCCTATCACCTGCTGGAGACCGCCAATCCGCCCATTGCGAACTACGACCTCCGCCTCACGAGCAGCCAGACCACCAATGGCAACTTTTCCGAAGAGTGTGTCATAGGACAGACGCCGGACCAAACATGTATGGGTGGCTTCTCGCTTGTCTATTCGAGCCAGTTCGTGACCACCCAGATCAGTGTCCCAGGCAAGAGCAAGCAGGATATCTGGATCGATTGTGGTGCTATTGTGGGTGCGGTGCAATTCTTTGCGTGGTTTCTCTTTGTGTTCTTCCAGGAATGAGGACGTCCGAGAGATGTCTGCTTGGGGATAGTGAGCGATGGCGTTTCGGGCCGTCAGGTGATGGGCCTCGTTTCATACGGCCTAGCCGAAGAAACATAATCGACACGATGGGACGACAAAGCCAACGTACCAGTAGCGCAAATGTCTCAAGGCGCTCGGGTACTCAACGTTCTACGGCGGTGCTGCCCACGCATTCGGTCGCCACGGTCGTTGGTAAATGCAAAGGTGCCTTGAATACCACAGCAGTCACCAGAACTGCATGCCCTGCCACGAAGCTCGGCTACTCGGTTCGTTCTACGCTCGCATTTTGTCTTAACTTTGGGCAAGAGCAACTCGTCCAGAAGTAGCACAAAGGATTCACCGTGCTTACGGTGTTGCTCGACGCCGTACGCTGTTCTCCGCCCTGCGGCTGTTGAGTAACAAGCGAAGCTCTTCTCCTCGGGTAAGCTTCACGTACAAGAAAATCTCGCGTCTGAAAAAGCTTACATACACATACGTCTACCGGCGCGTAGGCCTGAAGCAGTGACCATGCGACTTGAATGTCACGCCTTACCACCGTCAGCTTCACCATTATTATTGTTATTCCATCGATATTACGCTCAGGCTTCATCAGCAGGTAGGCCCAGAGTTCTAAGGGGCTCTGCACACGAACGCTCGCGTAATTCGTACTCGGTTCTCGGCGCGATATTTGCTGCGATCCGACAATTAAGACCGTGGGAACGATACTGCCTCGACCAGTGGACAATGACACTATGATTACAGTGTCAGGCTGCTCATCTGTTCGATGGGTCTCACCCTGGATGTACCGCACTATATACGTTGGCCGCATGCAGGGCTGTCTGCCTGAAATGGCGTCAGTGAGGGATCCATTTGCTCTTTGATTATGTTATTGTTGTCATGCTTGCGGTCTTGACGTTCCTTTTTGATGCCTCCTACGATATGGATGGGAATTCTCAGCAGAATCGGGGGCACGAGAACTCGTAAAGTGTAGCAGGAATCAGAACAACAAGCCAACCTCGAGTTCATTTCGTCAAGCACTACCTCAGGTTCGTCATTGGGTCAAGCGGACAAGATGGATCCCGCCACGATGGGCGCGTTGAACGCGCCCCCTATTCCAAATGTCGACGGCATAGAAGTGCAAGGTGATGTGGCGAGTGAAGAGGAGAAGGAAGCGGACAGGCAGAGTTCATTGGAAGAGAACAGTGCTCCGGGGGCCCAAGCTACGCACCGTCTCGGATTTCTTCCCGAATCTCCGCTGTACCTTCAGTGCACAATCCTATAGCATATTGGGCATCGTACGGGCCACCTCCCGACGGCGGCCTACAAGCCTGGCTGCAGGTCCTGGCCGGCTTCTCAATCTTCTTCAACACATGGGGTCTCATTGCGAGTATGTATCCCTCCGAAAGTGGCCCGGAAGATGCACGATCCTCCGGTCCTGCCAGCTCCAGATGTGTGTTACTGACGAGGGTTAGCCTACGGCGTCTTCCAATCCTATTACCTCACCCTGCCTACCCTGCCTGGCTCGTCGTCCACTATCGCCTGGATCGGCTCGCTCTACAGTTTCACGACGTTCTTTGCCTGCTTCATCACGGGCCCGATCTTCGACAGAGGTTACCTGCGGGCCCTGCTGCTGACTGGAACCTTCCTTCTTGTCTTCGCATTCATGATGATCTCGCTGGCAGATCGGCTTTACCAGTTCATCCTGGCTCAAGGCGTCTGCGCGGGATTAGGCAGCGGCATCCTCTTTTCGACCTGCAGTCCCATTCTCGTACAGTGGTGGGCGAGACATCTGGGTCTGGCAAACGGAATCGTCGCCTCCGGAGCCGCTGTTGCTGGGATCATCTATCCTATCGCGTTCCACAAATTGCTTCCCGCTGTTGGATTCCCTTGGGCCGTCCGTATCTTAGGATTCATTGCACTCACCACGTTGCTACCAGCAAATATTTTTCTGAAACGCCGCATTCCGCCAGGAAAACCGCGTGCGTGGCTGGATCACTCACTCTGGATCGATTGGCCCTTCATAGCATACATGTGCGCGGCACTCCTTGCAGTCATTGGCCTGTACAGCATGTTATTCTTCCTGTCCTCGTTTGTCAAGCAGCAACATCTCCTGAGGGAGGACATGTCGTTCTACATTCTACCCATCCTCAATGCTGGCAGTCTTTTCGGACGGATCATCCAAATATGCTCGCGGACTATTGGGGAGCGCTGAATGTAGCCCCTATAGCTGCGGTCATCTGCAGTTTGCTGACCTTCTGCATGATCGCGGTACATACTGGAGCTGGGGTCATCGTGATGGCGGTAATCTTTGGTTTTTTCAGTGCTGTTTTCGTCGCCTTGCCAGGATTATGTTGTGCGATGCTCATTAAGAACAAGACTCTGATGGGCACACGGACGGGAATGAGTCTGGCGTTCGCTGGGCTGGGAGCTTGGCTGGCGGACCAGGGGGAGGAAGTGTTCTGAGTTACGGCGGTGGCCACGATTGGAATGCTCTGTGGGTGTATGGCGGACTGGCGTACCTAGCTGCTGGATTGTGTTATGTGATTGTGAGACATCTGCACCTTAAGCAGATGAAGGAGGACAAGGAGAGGGAGGAACGGGAGTACAACAAGGAAGACGTCGAGCTAGAGGAGAAGAAACAGGAAGAGGAACAAAGTCCAGAGGGAATGCCGGTGACAACGGCTGGGTAGAGGCTTTGGGCCTGTCCGACTCTTAGCCTTGTGTACATCATAGCGACAAGAGTCCGGAACATACAGCTGAAGTCCGTCTCGTGGTGATGTGAAGTCAAACCCCAATCTGAGAGCCTACCAGCCACAAACTTAGGCGGTATGTCCGTGCGTTCGGCTACAGTTTTAGGTGTTCAGCCTCTATCGCGCCTCCATCGACGACGACTGGACGGCCGGTGTTCCGACCCGCGTGGCCGGTCTCAACGGGCTTGGCCGTGGGGCTCCATGCGGCTGGAAAAGATAACCATCGCTTGCGAGCTGGTAGGTTGCTTTTTGCGGTGAGTACCTGCATTGACGTGACGGCAGCTATAGAATTATTTTCTTGGTGCGAATTTTCTCTTCGTACATTAATCTCGAACAGCAGGTGGCAGAGTGCTAGAAGAAGCTGATTGCGGACGTGAATCAGCGTCGGCGAGACTGACATCATAATCAACACAAAGTCCGAGTGATCGACGAGATCTCAACTGTTTCGAGGAAAAAGAAAATTGTGCAGCCCGCTCCGCAACAGAACAAGCTAGATTTACCTCTTGCTGGAGCAACTGAGCTGTCGGTGACAGCAGTGCTTAGCGTTGCAGGATGGTCATCGTCGACCACCACGAGTATCTCTGCGAAGAAGAGAAGCGCCTCAAAGAAGATCGTGAACGGACCAAATACTGGAAGAAATGGGGATGCTATGTCGCCGAAAGGCAATGGGCAACAGTGAGAGAAGATTACTCGGATAACGGTGATGCCTGGAGCCATTTCTCCCACGATGATGCTCGATCAAGAGCTTATCGCTGGGGTGAGGACGGTATTGCTGGTGTCTCTGACACCCACGGCTTGCAGAACGTGGCCTTTGCCTTCTGGAACGAGCAGGATGACTTCTTGAAGGAGCGTCTTTTCGGCTTGAGCAATCCTCAAGGCAACCATGGCGAGAGTGTCAAGGAGGCGCATTTTCACTTGGATAACACACCTACACATTGTGAGTGTCGCTATGGCCTTCACTGATCTGAGTACTGATCAAGCACAGCATACATGAAATTCTTGTACAAGCTACCCCAACGGAAGTTCCCCTACGAGAAACTCATCGACGAGAACGCACGCCGAAGTCGCAACGAGAAAGAGTACAATCTGATTGACACCGATGCCTTCAAAGATGATCGCTATTTTGACATCTTCATCGAAACTGCGAAAGATACGGATGACCCAGAAGAGCTGTTGTTCCGTGTGACGGCGTACAATCGTGGCCCGGAGCCTGCTCCTCTTCACATTATACCACATATGTGGTTCAGGAATACCTGGACTTGGGGACATGAAGATCCCAAGAAGAAGCCGCAGATACGACTGGTGGGACCTATGACAGCCCAGTCAAAGCATCACAGTCTTGGGACGAGGTTCTTCCAGCTATCTCCCTCGCCCGGTTGTGGTCCAGATGCGGAGGATATACAGCCCCAAGTTATGTTCACCGAGAATGACACGAACACAGAGCGTCTATATGGCCAGAAGAACAAGCAACCTTATGTGAAGGATGCTTTCCACCGCTGGATCGTTGACGAGGAGAAAGGAGCGATCAATCCTCGATGTACTGGTACAAAGTGTGCGGCTTGGTACGACTTTGGACGTGGCGATGGTGTTCCGCCTGGAGAATGTGCTGTGGTACGTTTCCGCCTGTCGAAGAAATTCGATGGCTACCTCAACGAAGAGCTCCTCGATGACATAATGGAGCTGCGGAGACAAGAAGCCGACGACTTTTACTACAGGATAAGTCCGTTGCCAATGGCGGAAGACCTGCGCAACATCCAACGACAAGCCTTTTCAGGCATGTTGTGGTGCAAACAGCACTACTATTTCATTTGGGACCAGTGGGCAAAAGGCGACCCAAACACGCCTCCTCCGCCAGCAAACCGCATGAACGTGCGCAATTCGCAGTGGAAACACATGTTCCTGGATGACATCCTGTCAATGCCGGACTCGTGGGAGTACCCATTCTTTGCAGCCTGGGATACAGCTTTCCACTGCATACCGCTGGCTATGATTGACCCCGAATTTGCAAAGAAGCAGCTGGATCTGATGACTAGAGAGTGGTACATGCATCCCAACGGGCAGCTGCCAGCTTACGAGTGGAACTTCGGCGATGTCAATCCACCAGTCCATGCCTGGTCCGTTTTCCGCACCTTCAAGATCGAGCGGAAGATGTACGGCCGACAAGATCTCGACTTCCTGGAACGAGTCTTCCAGAAGCTCCTTCTCAACTTCACCTGGTGGGTCAACCGGAAGGACTTTGACGGCAAGAACGTCTTCGAGGGTGGTTTCCTAGGTCTGGACAATATCGGCCTCTTTAACAGGTCAGAGCCACTGCCAACCGGAGGTGTGCTAGAACAGGCTGATTCAACTGGTTGGATGGCATTCTACTGCTTATGCATGTTGAATATCGCACTGGAGCTCGCCAAGCATCGTCGCACATATGAGGACATTGCGTCTAAGTTCTTCGAGCACTTCATCCTGATCTCAGATGCTATGTCGTTCCGCTCGGACGGCAAGGAGCGCAGCCTGTGGAACGAGGAAGATGGCTTCTACTATGATGCCATCTCATGGGGCGGACCATGGACACAGCAATTGCCAGTGCGATCGCTCGTCGGTTTGATCCCGCTGTACGCCGTCCTAACTCTTGAACCAGAACTCATCGACAAGTTCCCGAACTTCAAACGTCGGATGGAGTGGTTCATCACGAATCGTACTGATGTTGCAGAGCGGAACATCGCTAGCATGCGGAAACGCGGCAAAGGAGAGCGTCTTCTATTGTCCCTCGTTAGCAAGGACCGTCTGGAAAAGATCTTGCAGAAGATGCTGGACGAGACTGAGTTCCTAGCTGAGCACGGCATCCGATCTCTGTCAAAACATCACGATGGGAAGCCATACAAGATGGATGTCAATGGCCAGGAGTTCAAGGTCGAGTATGTGCCCGGAGATTCTGACTCGGGCATGTTTGGCGGCAACTCCAACTGGCGTGGGCCTATCTGGATTGCTGTGAACTTCCTTCTCGTCGAATCCCTCCTTCGATTCTACATGTTTTACGGCAACTCCTTGCAGATCGAATGTCCCACTGGCTCAGGCGACTATATGCATCTAGGTCATGTGGCTGAAGAGATTCAGCATCGCCTGCAGCATCTCATGGCTCGCGACGATGAGGGCCGCCGTGCTATCAATGCCGGCAACGACAGCCTGGACTTCGACCCTCACTGGAAAGACTATCTCCACTTCTATGAGTTCTTCGATGGCAACACCGGCCGCGGCCTCGGCGCCTCGCATCAATGCGGCTGGACCGGTCTCATGGCCAAGATGATCCACGATACAGGCGTCAACTGTCGCCTGCCTCAGACACCTCGCACGCCAGGCACGGCTGCCCACCACTACTTCGACGACATCCTCAGCCGCAACCCAACGGGAAAGCCCAAATCCAGCGCCAGCAGACCAGGCACTCCTGGACCAGGCCGTATGCGCCGCTCAAGCACGTCGCGCTCCATTGGCAATCGTGCTAGCTTCACGACCAGCGTCAATGGGGACACCGAAAACGGTGACCACTCTCCTGCGCACAAGCGCAAGGGCAGTGGCGCCAGCGGCTATTTCGGCTCCAACCCTGGCGGTGGTGCGAGTGTCATTAGTGATGACGAGTTTGGTGAAGAAGGCGCGTTGGGTCTGAGCAGGCAAAAGACTGCAGCGGAGTCGGAAGCAGATGAGCATCTGGAGAATCATGTGCGCAATGAGCTGAGCAGACTCAAGACTGGTGATGAGCTTCATGGCTTCGAGCAAGAGTTCCATGTGGCGGCGGATGAGTACGAGGATATGCTGGACTAGGCGCCCGGACTCGACTTTCGTACTTGGATGGGGAACTGGTCACTTCTTTGAAGAGGTGGGTATATAGATATATGGCAGGACTTCGCTGGCGTTGGCTGATGGGATCGAGTCGTGTGCGTAGCGATACATTAAGCTGGAGACAATCAAGAGTATAGAGGACTAGACGACTAGACGATGGCGAGCGACATGATGCGGCAGTGCAACTCTGGAAGCATGTATTACTTGAAGTAGATAGAAGATAGCAAGAGGCAGAACTCAGAAGATAGATCGCTTGTTCCCGCAAACCCGACTCACTGAGTTCTGACGACTGCTAAGCTACGCCGGTAGCCGTTCTCGCAGATCTCGACCCCTGTGAGGCCAGTGTGAGGTTGGGTTCGCATTTGTCTACGGCAAAACGCCAAGACTCCACCTCAAACACCACTGCTGCCATCCGGCACAGCTCGATCCAAATACACTGTATAGCCTCTCCCCTAGATGTCTGGCTATCACTGGGCCCGCTCATTCGCCTGACACCACTCTGACTTCTATCGTGCCTGAATTGACAGACCTCATTTTCAGTTCCCATGAACACCTGATTCACAAATCAAGCCCGCCCGGCCGGAAACACGGCGCGCGCCTCTCGTCATTGATCGCATCGATGTCTCTGATGTCTCTCGCGTCTATTCCCAACGTTGTTGAAGCCGGGCGGGCAAGATTCGGGTTGGTGAAATTCGGGTGGTGCTTGTCATCCGGTCTCGCGGAAGTCTTGCGCAGACCGGTTGACAAGATGTATCAGAGAAACATGTGCGTGCAAGTCGCTGTCCGTGTGTCGTCGGAACCAGGTAGCTCCAATGACAGTAAATGTGCGAGGATGTCCCGCCATCTTGAGCCTCGACGAAGTGGGAGGAAACCGCAGCATCGAGGTGACATCGTCAACCGGTCTTACGTATTACAATGGCAGACCGGGTGACAAGGCATGCAGTCCCGGAAGGTGCATGGACGATTTGAACGATGCACATTCCGCTCGTCGAGGCGTGCGTGAACATCAAGGAGAAAGAGCGATCGTTCTGTTGCACCTTCCACTCGTGTCGTCAAGAGATACTGATGAGAAGGCGCGAGCGCTGTGTCGCTCCTGCCCATAGTAGCGCCGTCAAGAAACGTCGATGAGAAGGTGCCATCGCAGCCATGCACCTTCCAAGAGATGGCGTCAGCTAGGCACTCTGATGAGTAGGAGAGATCACTGTGTCGCACCTGCCGCTCGCGACGTCGTCGGGTAACATTGATGAGTAGGAGCGATCGCTGTGGCGCACCTCCCACTTGAAGCGTCGTCAGAGGTTATTAATGTCAGGAAAGCTCGATATGAGACACCTGCCAATTATCTTGACAGCTAGGCATGTTGTCGAGAAGGAGCGATCTCCAGGTGCTCCTGCAGCCGCTACCTGATTACGAGGTATGCGAGGAAGGCGCTTGTTGAAAAGGTGTCTAGTCATCCGGTTTGAGATGGTATCTTGGCGAAGCCGGTTGACAAAGCAGGCAATCATGGAAGGTGCGAGCTGGTGCGCCTGCCACTCGTAGCGTCGTCCAGAGATGACATTGGGAAAGAACGATCAGCGTGAGCCCTCGCTGCTGTTTCATGTTTGGCACGATACAATAGGAAGTCGCTCATTGGGAGGAATCACGTCAACCGGTTCTGGAGTCGCCACTGGCCAAATGATCTGTGGATAAATATACAGACTTGCAACCAGTACCTTAAAACGCATTGTTTGACGGGGTCGACCGCTCTGGTCGAGGAGCCAAAGCCATTGCGTGATACCGGCAGAGTTGATCGTCTTCGTTCATGGTCGAGAGGTAATTATAGGAACCCAGCTTTCGAGCCGCGAGATCTACCCATTCAGTAGAGTCGTCGTGGTTGTTCGTCTGCCAAGATTGTCAGATGCATCGGAGCAGAGCGAGACAGTGTATAGGAGTCCGAAGAGTTCTATGTCATTCTCATATCCTCATGCCGGCAAATGCTTTTCGACAAAAACTCTCATGATGACCATAAATCAGGACAAGAGGAAGACGCCCCCAGGAGCACCTCTTCCACATTCCGTACAGATTTCAACGCGCAATGCAGACCTCTAGCGAGTAGCCATGGCCTTGGTCATCGCACGCTTGAGTGCCAGCTCCTTCTTCTTGAGATCCTCCGGACTGCTGTCATCAACCTCCAGCTGGCTCATCGCATCACTCAAAGCCTCCTCGATCTTGGCCTTGTTGCCCTTCTTCATGCGCAGACTTAGACCTGGATCATTAATCAACTCCTCAACTCTGCCAATGTATGACTCGAGCTGCTGCTTAGCCTCGAACTTCTTGGTGAAGGCCTCGTCCTGGCCCTTGAACTCATTGGCGTCCGCAATCATCTTCTCGATCTCGGAGGTGGAGAGCTTGCCGACGGCGTTGGAGATGGTGATATTAGCAGATCGGCCGGATGACTTCTCGGTGGCGGTGACCTTGAGGATGCCGTTGACGTCGACTTCGAAGACGACTTCGAGTTGTGCGTCGCCGGCCTTCATCGGTGGAATGGGTGCGAGGGTGAACTCGCCGAGGGATGTGTTGTCCTCGCAGTTGGTTCGTTCACCCTGGAAAACTGGGAACTGGACGGTTTGTTGACCATCAACCTGCCAGATAGTTAGCATAGTAGTCCAGAAAGCCTCCAGAGACTATTGTTTCACGTACCACTGTAGTGAATGTTCGCTTCTTGATCGTGGGAACTGTGTTGCCGCGGGGAACGACCGGCGCGAAGATCTGTCGGATTGTGAGCACACGTATAATGCAAGTAGAGGAGAAGCGAGGAACTCACGTTGCCTTCCATCGCGACACCGAGAGAAAGAGGGACCACATCCAAGAGCAGCAGATCGGCAGTATCGGCTGACTGAGCCTTGCCTGAGAGAATACCAGCCTGAACCGCAGCGCCATATGCAACAGCCTCATCGGGGTTGATGCTCTTTTCGAGCTTCTTGCCGTCGAAGAAATCGCTGAGGAGCTTCTGGATTCGGGGAATACGCGTACTGCCGCCAACCAGGACAATCTCGTCCACGGCCTTCTTGTCAATTCCCGCATCTTTCAAGACCTGTGCAACAGGGTCTAGAGTACCGTTGAAGACCTTGGCGTTGAGATCCTCGAAGCGAGCGCGGGTGATCTGAGCGTTGAAGTCCTCTCCGTCGAACAACGAGTCGATCTCGACGGTGGTTTGGGTACCGTTGGACAGGGTGCGCTTGGCACGTTCGCAAGCAGTTCGTAGTCTTCGTAGAGCGCGGGCATCGCCACTGAGACTGTTGCACCTGTTAGTACGACAAATATTGAGAAGAACCGACCCCGGGAGACCGCTGTCTCGTCTGACTCAGGTTCGCAGCTATACGTACTCTTTCTTAGTCTTGCGAGTGAACTCCTTCTTGAAGTGGTCCAGCAGGTTAGTATCGAAGTCTTGGCCCTATCTACCTGTTAGAATGAACATGTATCAGGCAGGGAAACATACGCCGAGATGAGTATCACCAGCAGTAGCCTTGACAGTGAAGACACCGCCCTGGATGTTGAGCAGCGACACATCGAAAGTGCCTCCACCAAGATCGTAAATGAGGACGTTGCGCTCCTTCTCGGACTTGCCGGAGCCGAGACCGTAGGCGATAGCGGCGGCGGTGGGCTCGTTGATGATACGGAGAACATTCAGACCGGCGATGGCGCCTGCGTCCTTGGTGGCTTGCCGCTGGTTGTCGTTGAAGTATGCGGGGACCGTGACGACGGCTTTTGAGACCTTCTTGCCGAGCTTGACCTCTGCAACTTCCTTCATCTGTTCGACGTGTCAATTGTGTGGAAAGGTGACTCTTCGTGGGTCACGCACCTTTGTGAGGACCATTGATGAGACCTCCTGTGGTGAGAAGGTCTTGGTCTCTTTCAGGTATTGAACTTGAACCATAGGGTTGCCGCCCATGTCGACGATCTTGAAGGGCCACGACTCGATGTCCTTCTTGACTGTGGGGTCATCGTAGCGTCGACCGATGAGGCGCCTGGGAAAGATGTGAGCAAGCGTGCGGTGAGAATGGGGTATACATACTTGACGTCGAAGACAGTGTTCTCGGGGTTCATAGCAGCCTGATTCTTGGCCGCCTCGCCGATGAGACGCTCATCGTCGGTGAATGAGACGAAGGACGGTGTGGTAAAAGAACCCTGCTCGTTGGCAATGATCTCGACGTTGGTGCCCTCGTAGTTGGCGACACACGAATAGGTGGTTCCTAGATCGATGCCGATGGCTCCGTCATAAACCTCGTCCGCCATGTTGTAGAGATGTGTCGGGTGATGATATGGCGATAAAAGAGTGGATTTGTGGGAGGTCGTGCAAAAGACGAGGTCGCTGTGTTGGAGATCGCAGTTTTGTGAGTAGCGAAATAAAATGTTCAATGCCAAAATTTCTAGATGATGGCTCCACAAAAACGACAAATCTGTGCCAAGCCCGTTGCCCGTGGTGGGGTGAAGAGTGCCGAAATTCAGTTGACGACTCGGATGTCAACGTTGGCTTCACTTGAGACGGGAGGCGGCCGCGACAAGGATTCAAAGCTGGTCTTGTGCTCAGGTGAGGCTTCTCGAAGGATCGAGTCATCAATCAGGTGAAGGGCAAGTTCTCAGTCACCCAAGAACGACCCAGCCAGGCCATTTATGAAGACTGTTCTTCAAGTCTCGGAAGAGCGACAAGCAAGAAATATGTGAAAGGACACTGATCGCGTCGCCGAGGGGTGATGAAGAGGTCATGTTCAATTGTCGCATATGCCATTCGCTTTGAGGGGTATCATGTACATCAGTCATTCCAGATGACGCTTCCCAAAATCAATTCTCTTTTGTGTGCCAGCCAAACACCACCGCTTTGAGCACTCAAATTTGATAGTAATAATTCTCGTCGAGACCCTCTCGACTCGGAATCTCCGGCATCTCCGTTCCCTGCATACCGCCGATCATGCCGTCCTCCTCATTGTATCGTAGATTGAGCAGCCGAGTCTTCAACGCCATATCAGCAATGAGGTTGATGTATTTATTGGTCGGCGCAGTGATAGCTTGCTGGCTGAGGACGAACAGCAAACCATCAACCCATTCGGAAGCGACCTGTTTGCTCGTCGGCATGAACGACAACAAGACCGTCTCACGCTCAGTCTGACGATTCGAATGCTTCGAAGTCTTTGATACTTTCGACACGTTACGCGCATGGCCAGAATCCTTCCCACGCGATGAAGGGAGGATGCCGTTGATGAGAACACGATTGATTGTCCCTTCTTTTGTTGCGCCATCGTCATCAGAATTGTCGTCGCCTACTTCGCCAATGCCAGAGGTCACTGAGGTAATGATTGTGGTGTCGACTTTGTCGGAAAGCTGGTCAACGGTAGGCCACGGGTCCTCGCGAGCTTCAAAGTCGCCCCAGTGCAGGTAGCGACGATCGGCCGCCAGTCTGATGAACCGCCAGTATGTGGAATGTGCATGTAGGTTGTCTTGCTGGACCGGACCGCCGTTCTCGTGGTCGGGATATTCTAGGTCAATAGGGAACCACTGGCCAGCCAGCATGCAACGTATTCGCTGTTCGCACAGCAACTGAGTGGCCTCGTTTAAGAGCTCATCCTTGGACGGCTGTAGATGGTGACCCCAAATATCGTCGAATTGTAAGTCCATAATCTCCATCTGGAGTTGACGCAGGCTCTTCAAGTCTGTTGCAGCCATTTCTTTCTCGATCTCTTCAATACTTTTGCTGCGATCAGCGCCACCGACAACGCTCTCGATCAGAATGCGAACAAGGTCAGCGATCTTCGTGAAATCACCAGTGTTGGCTCCTGCGGCTTTCCAGAGCCGAAGAAAGGCGTACAGACCGGCGACATGAAGTCGACTCCAATGCAAAAGCAACGGCTTGAATATCTTCTCGTTGTTCTGTGACCGGCTTTCGAGAGCGAGGTAGTTCTTTGACTCCTCCTCTTCATTCCTATCGACCTCAAAATGCTCGAACAGGACCTGTGTCATTGTTAGACTGACTTGTGCCAGCGGAGCGCGACTGTCTTCTGGCGCGAGTGCTTGCTCCAGGAGATAGTGCTGGAACTCTTCTTGACTGCGTCGGATCCAGTCACTCAGGTCCATTAGGCCCAAGAATCCCGTGGCCTCAAAGTCATTCTCTGGTTGCTCGGATGTGAAGCCTAAGCGCCGCCACTTGAACGGATGATGGCCTTTTCGTGGTTCTTCTTCACCCGAGCCTGCATCGCTAGGTTTGCTCTTTTCGGGATTGCTCGAGAGATGGATCGCTTTGATAGTCCGGCGATGTTCGGGCTTTTGAAGGTCGACTGGGACATCTCTCCAGCGACGGAGGAGGATCTTGGTCAATGCTTGGAATTCGAGCAATGGATGCGAGAGATCTTGCAGGGCCGTGCCTTTCATAAGCAGGTAGACAGCCTTGATAACGCCAAGATCCTGAATCCTCTTGATGAACTTTGGCCATTCGGTCTCAGCATCATTCGTGATGGCATCACGCATGAGTGAGTTGATGAGCTGAAGGGCATTTGCACAAAGAGCGTGGTCAGCGGAAGACAACCTGCTGACCAGCATCTCAAGGAACTGTGGGTAAGTAGCAAGAGCCGGCTTGAGCGCTGCGAATCCTCCTACTTGCTTTTTACTGTGGTCGCTCTCTCCGTTCTGCTCCTCATTGTAGGGTCGCGAGACGACAGCCACTAGGATAGCCATAGCACCTCGCAGGATATTGACAAGCGGCTGGCAGACCACAAGTTCCATGACCTATGAGATGTCAGAATAGACAACGTGTGTGGAGACCTCCACTCACTTTCTCGACCACAGCATTGTCGACGGCCTCCCATCCCTGGTCCACGTCCAGCAATCGCGCAAAGCTAGCCAGTCCGTACGCTAATGTATTACCGCTGCTCTCTAGGACAAGTAGCCGCAATTTTGGCAGGCCACCTGACGACACGAACATCTCAGCGAACGAAGGGTCGTTAATGAGACTCTGCAGCTTGAAAGCCGCCATCTTGCGCACGGGATCATCGCGACTGCCAAGCGCCTTGAGCAAGTCACTCGGGTTCGGAGTGCTCGCAGGACTGTTTCCCTCCATGATCATCTGGCGAAATCGTTGGCGGAGATGCTCGATCTCAGCGATCGCGGGGTTTTCGATTCGCGTGTCGGTAAGGAAAGTGGGACGTTCGATGAAGATGTGGGCGTGTCCAGCATCATTCTGTACCGAAAATTCGGAGGAGTCAGCCGCTGCCCGGATGCTTGTCGAACTTGCGATCGATGTGTAGTCGCCAAAAGAGAATTCGCTGGATGTGATGTCGCTTGACAGAGTGCGATCAACGCTGTTCGAATCGGACATCCTATAGCAAGGTTCAGACAGGGGTCGCAGATCCCGCGGATATGATAGCCGGCGCTAAAGCTTGGTGAATAACCAGGGACTTACGTCACTGGTGCGCTTTCACTGCCAGTGTGCCTGTGGGATGGCAGATATCCCTAGCATCAGGTACAAAACTCTGGGAGAGAGCAATACTACAAGATGCGCAAAGATATGAGATCGGTCGCTCTGGGCAGCGGTTACTTGGGCTGTGGCAGGTGAGAGAAAAGAAGTGAGGCTTCACCCAATTGACTGAATCCTCGTCACCTGGGTGAACAGTGAATGCATGGCCTCAATGTTTTCGTCCATCATCCAAAGGCCTCCGCTGATATGTGCCTCGACACCACTGAGATCACTTTTCGGGTACTCGTAGGTATTTCAGTTCGGTCTGAAGACACGAGATCGATCCGACATGCTGGCAAGACGCCTCCAGACCATCAGCCCGCCGCCTTCTTCTTCTTCTCCTCTATACACTCGATGTTATCCTCCGGAATCACGCCCTCGTACTTCTCCTCCAAGTAGTCAAACATATCATCACTAACATCGCCCTGCACCGTAATCTCCTCCCCACCACTCGGCGTCTTCGTCACACTACTCCCCGTCGCAAACTTCTTCCCAAACTCCTTCGCCATCTTCTTAAGATCCAATCCATGCTGCTCCAGTCCAATAACCACCGTCACATACTTCCGCTTTTGCCTCTCGACGCGCTTGATGTATACCATCGCGTCAGCTTTGCGCTCAGCTTCACGCTGTTCGGCTGCTTCTGCTTTGGCGGCTTTCTTGGTGGCGTCCTTTTCTGCTCGTTTTTGTGCTTCGACTGAGAGGGCGGCGAGGCCTGCTTGTATTACTTCTTCTGAGTAGATTTGTTTGTGTAGGTCTGGATGTGCTTTCGCGAGCCATTCTTCGCACTTTTTAGTTGTGCCGCCAAATTCGCAGTACTCGGGTGGTAATGTGCAGACTCCGCAGTAGACTACCTTGCGCGGAGGAGCCACCTCAGTTGGGGCTGCGTCGGTCATGATCTGTGGGCAGCTTTTGGATTGCTAGAGGACGGACAAATTCGTGAGATTAGCTATGCGTTACGATTGGAAGATTGTTGTGTGCAGCGGTGAAGGATGTGGCAGCGGAGGGCGAGCGGCGCCGTTACGGCGGGCGGAAATGTTCAACTTCACTAGTGGCAATCATTCCTTGGCACTTTCCGAAGCATACTTGCTACGAGATACAGGTGCTATGGCTACTCGGGTATCGACCGCCGACAACAGCTGTACTCACAGAGCATTGATACATGTTTGCAGCCCTTCAGATGAGTTGCGGGGTTCGCTAGGTCATTATTCCGCTTGTATGTTGACAGGATCTTTCAGACGCCCAATGTCATCGTCTACCGTACATACCTAGGTAGTTCGCGAGAATACCAATGGTGTGAAGGGTGAGTCGATCTGCTTCAAAACCCAGAAGTATTCAGCTCTTGTTAAGATGAAGGGTGTATGGCCTAGCGTGCAAGAATGCCGAATTTCAGGACTGCGCGCCAGAGAAAGAGACGACGTTCGAAAAAGGTCCAAGATCGGTCGCCAGGGACAAGGCCCAGCTTCGGCGACATGGTACGACAACTTTACCTTGACCTCAGTCACGAACAGCAAAGCACTGTCAGGAGCTCTGCTGCCTGGTGATGATTCCACTCCTCGGCGGTAGCAGCTGTACAGTGCCTGCATCATTCAATCTTCAGAGACATCGGAGGAATTCATCCGTACTTCTGGCCATCGGGTATGATGGTTCACAAAGCAAGCCTCTCCTGTCCAATTGTTGCCGCCGATATCGTTGGGTGCCGTGACTCGAATTGCGCCCCGCGGACCACGCAATCGAACACTTAATAGTCCGGGTGTTCCTCACCAACATCGCCACCACTATGCAGGATGACACGACCTGCCCTTCTTGTAGGCTGTATAAGGCAGCAACCGCATCATTTCAAGTTTTAGAGGCGTTCAAACCCAGACCTGGTCTCGAGTGAACGCCTTGCCACAGACAGGACTCTTTCTGCCATCAATCCGAACAGCAATCGCGAGGCCCACCGGGCATATACGGAAAGCTCTCAAGCATCTCGGAAGACTCCGCGATGGCCCGCTTCCACCCCCACGCTCTCCCTGTCCGGATTCCTTGTGTCTGCAGATAAGCTGGGGTGACACAGCACTGCGCTGCGACACTCAGTAAGTGGGGTTGACTGGCATTCAGAATACTGCTATGGCTGGTGCTGGCCTAGTGGTCGCAGTAGTGTTCTGCTCTGCAGGAAACAGAATACGGGCTGCAAAGTGATAAATCTGGCCCTCTCAGACAGTGCGGAGCTTTGGTCCGTGTCATGGAAGGGAATGGATGGATCTGTATACCGACCTGAACAGGCACCTGGGCGAATCGAGGCAATTGATTGCAGATCAAGCACAGATTGGGACCGCCAGATCAGAATGTGTACGCGAGCAATATGATTGCCGCGCAGTCTCGTAGTTTGCATGCACTCATGTCTCACACAACCTGGGGGAGAGGCGTACGAGCCCAACGCTTCTTGCCCACACCAGCGTCTCAGGTCACACAAGACAACGGCTTTTGCGTGGTTGGCTACCCTCGGCAAGATGAGGGTGATGAACGCCACGCTCGTGGCCAGGACTGTTTGAGCAAGTATCGCCGGAACGTGCCCTTATTCTTTGATGCTTTGCTAGTGAGTGTAAGCAGGTCAAGTGACCAGTTTGGAACGATGGTACGTCGCTGTGCGGCTCCAACGACTGTTGGCTGTTCGTCAGGCTTAATCCGGGGGAATGAGCTTCGTGTTTGGCTGAAGTGATTGCGAACGACGAAGAAGGGACCTGCCTGAGCAAAACAACTCCAGTTCGGGATGTGTCAATGAAATGCGAATCCCAGAATGCGGAGTCCTCGACACAGCATCTGATGTTGAGATCGTCTAATGAGAGATGCACACGACCAATCTTACCTGCCTGCTTAGGATGACTGCACCTTACAAGTATTCCGATGCGCCATCTCGCTGACCTCAGCCCAGTATACGACCACCATACAGCACAGACGCTAAGGCGGGATGTTGTTTGTAGGAATTACCTGATCTCCTTTCTTTGACATGTCTGCAGTGTGGGCAGTCACAGAACGATGCTTGAAATGAGGCACCATCCGATCAGCTCGGTGCTGGTCGGCACGTCGCGTGGTTCATGGTGCGCACAACCTCAACTATGCTAAAGTTATTGCGAGCCAGGATTATGCGCGGCTGCAGTATGTCTTGCATGTACTGTAGACGAACAACAATCTGGCGTTGCAGTACCGTGGAGCACATTGCGCGATTACTCGCTCGAAGTCGTAAGCGGTAGGATGTGACATGTGAAAGGCTCTGGGTCCCCAACTCTACGTGAGACCTGTTTGACCACCTCCAGAGACTGCGAGTGTGCTCACGATAGTCGCTGTGGCTTGAAATCCGCTTGTTTGCAAAAGTCCAACAGAGCAATTAACGAGAAGGATGGCGCAACCGGCGTGAGTGAGGTGGGGACCTATGACTTGGTAAATGCCCAGCGCAGTATGGCGTTCGGGCGGACTGTAGGATATCAACGGGCCGATCAGATTCATGCGGCTGCTTCAGGTCCACACTGCTCCATCACGAGCATCTCGGCAACGATCGAGCAGTGGCTTCAGCCATACGATGCAGGACTGCGATGGTGTCGTGAAGGATATCGGCACCTTATCAGAGATCTGAAGCCATGTCCATGGTGCGGCTGAGGACCTTCGTTGCTTAGCCACAGATTGCTGCGTGCTATATCGTCGATGTTAAAATATGCTCCTTAGCCAAGAACCAGAAACAGGGCAGAGTCGGTCGATATTTTCCAGTTTCTATTTGATAAGAAATAGAGGCTTTCGTGAGTTGTGGCGAGAGCAATATGCAACTCGAGAATTTTCGGAGGGGAACGTTGACTGTGAACCAATGGCACGGCCACGGCTCTCAAGCCACTTTTTGGCTGCAGCCTTTCGCTTCTATACAAGTCGGCTGTCAGCCAGGATCGCGGATTGCAACGGAGATGGCCTACCGAGTAGCCGTAAGGTACGAGACGAGCACCTTGTATCCCTTGATAGGGAGCCGCTGAAGATGCCCAATCATGTTGTGGTTCCAAAAAGGCGACGTTCAGCCAGACATGTGCAGATAAGGAATGCGCCTTTGCAAGAGATGCTGGCGTTGCAAGATGCATAAGCTTGAGGCTAGCGGAGAATTATCAGCGTCTTTCTGATGTTAGAAAGTGAGGTAATGGTGAAGCCTGAAATTCGGTGCCTGAGATCCCGGGCATATGGTAGGTCCTGCCTCGTCGCCTTTCGGCGAGTATCAGCTGAGTATAGCAGCGCATGGTTTGCGCTGATTGTGCTTGAATGTTGCACGATTGCGTGCTCCAGTGACGGTAGACAGATGTTGTATGTGGTCGTGTTCGTGGTCGTGGTCGTAACAAACTGTGGCACATATGCTTTCGATGATCCTGGAGGGCTGATGCAGAAGTGGAACAGTGCAACCGTTGAAGGGCGACAGGCAGTCGTAGACCAGGGTCACAATTCGTGTTCTCTATCTCCATCTCTGATGACACAGTATCTTGACTTTTCTCACAGGCCATAGATAAATAGAAATTGTGGACCAACGGAAAGGATGGATGTTGCGACGTGTTCCAAGTGGAGAGGTCTTTCATTCTATAGCGAGAACCGCAGTTCGTGAGCGAGGCTGATCATCATGATGCTCAAAAAACAATGCGACATGCCTATCTCCACCGCTAGATCGGTGAAACTGTCGGCCGATGTGCTTCAACAAGGCGTGCTAAAAAGATAGGCAACATATACGGTTATAGTTAACGCTGTGGCAACGTGGTGTCGTTGGTTTCATGTTTGCTCTCCATCCTCGTGCGTGAAGCTGAGGACAGATTCGTGCGCCTCCCTGAAATATTTTGACTGAGCCGGCTACTGCGAGAAGTGCTGCCGATTCGCTTGCTTGCTGTGGATCTCACAGGGGCAAAGGAATATTCTCCAGGCTCAAGCGACGCCTGTGGAGATGGATGATTTCTCTCACGTTTGAAGAACCACAGCTTTGACCACTCGCGTTCTGCGGCCTTTGATCCATAGCGAGGGCATTATGACATGCCTTCTCTGGCGGGTGGTCCTCACCCACTACTGCATGTAGAGCTCGAGTCGCTCCTGCCCACGAGAATTGCATGGAGACTTTGCTCAAGCGAGCACATCATTCTGACATCCCCACGCTTCGTTAGACCAGGGTTATGGGGCGCCATGACCGCCAAGTTCAATGGCTGTGATCCCTGAAGGAAAATAGCGGTCCTCTTTGTTAGTCTGGACTCCCACCTATCGACCTCAAAGACTTTAACTCGAAGGACTTGCGGACATAGTGGCACAGATTCAAGATTCTTCCTCCTCAAAGTTGGCACAGTAAAGCCAAACTTTAGCTTTGCATTCCTGACCTCGGGCTTCAGTTTTCCAGATCTACCCCCAAAGCCTCTTCCCTGCGAGCCCGATCTATTCCTCTACCCCGCTGCCACGAGCCCAGTACTCCGTTTCCTCGATCATAGGGAGAGTCTTATTTACTAGGGAGCCCATACAATACATACCACTCAGAGAAGTCCCTCGTTTCCAGATCGCCCGTCCCGCTCTTCTGCACACCAAGCGCGCCTCAATCCATTGGAAATCGTCGCTCGTTGACGCCTCAAAGCCATCGTGACCAACACTCTAACTCTACTTCGATGCTGGCCAGATTATGACAACGATATTGCACGCTCCTGTTCACGGAGCCGACCCGTTCAGCAAGGACAGAATTAGTCATTCCACGTACTCCGTGCCCTACGAGCCACCTCCATCCTATTATCAGTCGTCGCCAACGTATCCAAGCGAGGCCTACGACAGCGACGGAGCTACACACATATCCTCGCCCACCGCTACCCGACCGAAGACACCACTACCTTCATACTTACAGCAGTCCTCCTACCACTACTCTGCCACGGCACCTTCAGAAGACTCCTTCGATGATGACGACGAGGACGATGATATGGCGTTTCCATCCTTTGCCCAGGAGCCTGCCAAGGTAGCAGCTCCGGCTGAAGAGCCACGAGAAACAGAACCGTCGACGGAGCCAAGCGTTTCACATACCTCCGATATACCCTCAGAAGTGAGTGACGACATTGCTGTACGGCAAGAGCCAACACAGCATGTCGATTACCTGGCGCACGAGTGGCGAGAGGAGGATATATGGGCGTCGTGGAGCTACGTTTCGAGACGCAGAGGGCGTGTCAACAACCACACTCGGCTAGAGAACGCTTCCTGGCGGCAATGGATGAAGACTAAGAACGATCTTAAGACCGTCTCTCCTGAGTCGCTGAATTGGCTCAAAGATTGCGACGTCACTTGGCTGTACGGTCCGTTGCAGATCGGTCCAAAATCGTTGACAACTGTCACACCGCCACCTAGTCGGCTATCACACTCGTCGTCCTTCATTGCCAAGAAGTCCAACCTCAAGAAGAAATCGGCATCAGCAGTCATGCTTGAGAAATCAAGATCTCAGCATTCGCTGCTCCAGCGTGCGGGTGAAATCATCCGTGTTCAGCAAGCCAGCAGCCCTGCTGGCGGTCGTCCTGCATTTAAAAGGCACGCTTCTGCTTTCGTTTTACCATCCGCCACTGATAGCTCCGTCTCGCTGAGCCCGCCGAACGAAGGCGTGATATTCACTGGAGAAAGGACACCGTATTCAAATACGGAGACACCTACGCCCAACGAATGCAAGCACGTTCTGTTCAACGATGAAGTGCGGCAGGTGAGAGCAATAGAGTCTGATGATGACCACAAAGAAGAAGTCGAAGAAATTGAATATATCTCCGACGAAGACGATGATGGCGGTCTCATGATGGCGCCCGTGAGGTCACGTAGCAAAACCACGACACCCAGGGGAAGCTTCAGCAATGACAACAAGACCATCATACCTCTGCCTTCGACAACGCTGAAATACAGAACGGACACACCGGAGCCAGTCCAACCCCCACAAACTGGATTATGGGCCAGAGGCCGCAAACTGTCACCATCGCCGTCACAAGAGACGCTTCGACCATCGAGACCATCTCAGAACTACATACTAGAGGACGATCACGAGCTGAGTGATCAGCCCTGGCAGGCTCCACTGGACTACGAATCTGAGTACTACGAGCCTGGCCCGGGCATGCGTCGGACAGAGTCTGGCATGTTCATGCCGTACGACGACATGGATGAGGAGGAGCCGCCGAAGAACAGTCTGATCGGACAAGCACTCAATGCGGTGAATACCTTCAAAGACATCGCCCATGTTGTGTGGAATGTGGGATGGTACAAGTCTGGCGATAATGCCTGAAAGTCTCGATCAAGCCATGAGTCGAGTTGTGGTTTGACATTTCTGATTGCCATCACTGGTGAAATGGGAATGGGCTCGCTTTGCAATAAAAGTCATTTTCATGGGATCATAGCATGGCGCTGGACGGCTTTTGTCTTATCTTTGTTCTGCGAGGGCGAATCATTACTATACAATGGGGGAATTTGACATCTTTGATGGGAATGAAGGGGTGCTGGCAGCCAGATAAGGGCTTCTCCTACGGACCGGCGACGACGAGGCTCCGCGGCGCCGACCTGGATTCAGACGGGCTCATGAGCACCACAACAACATGGCACAGATGTCACAATACGTTCGTCAGTCACTTCAGCTCAGGGGACAGATCTACGGAATGATTGATCGGTGAATATAGACCTTACGATAGCGACCAAAGAATAAGAGAAGAGCAATCTGCGACACTCTTTCACACGCTGCACATATGATCTTGTCAGGTTGACATCCACTTCTCTGTGCTCGCCGTTCTGCCCCATGACTTGTTACTTCTAACGGCGCTACAAAGAGCGAGAAGCCGAAATTACATGCTGACGACAAGGTCGACGTTCAGGCTTCAGCTCTCCAGAGCCTGATCTCACCTACAGCAGCACCGGCAACTTACGGTGAATCGTGCTCAGACCCTGCGTTCTCGTGAGCCTCGTTCACCTCGCCCGCAATCATCATATGTTGTGGGGGCATACGGACATCCACCGGCTCAGTGACCGAGCATTGAATGATATATCGGGTGCCATCGGAACGACCCTCTTTCCTGCAGCCTCAGCCCCGGGCTGGAGTGAAGCGCTTGCACATCTCTGCATTGGTATCGACTACCATGGTAGAGTCCCGGGAACGGCCGCGCGGAGACGTGGCTAGTATATGCAGCATAAGGTCATCCGCTGGAGCCGTAGCTGATCTGATAAGAGCTCACTCCTGGTACAGAGTTGCGAGGACCTTGAGGAAGGTACCATAGTTGTTGTCTGGAACGTGGAGGCATACTGCATTCTGGAAGCCGGGTGGACTCTATTGAGTTCTGCTGAAGTGAGTCAAGACCTCATGGCAACCTAGCTCTTATCGTAGTCTTGGTTGATGTTGAGCAGATTGCTCGGCGTTGCGCGTCACCTTGAGTATAGATAGGGAGAATGTTCGCTCCAATGCGTGGGCGCTGATAGCAGAGAGTCGTGTCTTGATAACCGGTTTTCTTGCTCATTATGACGCCCAGATTGTCAGTGAGTGATGGACTGTGTGGTTTGGAGAGGCCGTCTACAATTAGGAGGTGCTCTCACACCTGCACGACGCAACAAGCTCGCTAGGTCGACCGTAAAATTGTCCGGTGGCGCACCACAACGTCAATCGGCAGACTGAATCACGACTTTGAGCATTGGTGACTTCAAGTACCTTTGCATACACCGCAGCTACCTCGATCTTGCATATAACGAGCAAACGGCAACTTTGGTCGGCGCTCGTGCCGGGCTGTGTCTTTCCGCCTAACGCTCAAAAGGGAGGTTCGCTGTATCCATCTCTGTGTGAAAGTGGCCGACGGTCATCAGGCTGACAGTCTAACGCTGGCGATCGAGCTTCCGAAGAACTTCCGCGGCTCAGACCGATTGTAGGAAGTTCCAAATGTGCCAGCGTACCGTCATAAGTCCCAATTGCTCGGCGACTTCGGCTGACCTGGGACAATATCGAGCCGCTGATTTTTGAGGGACAAGCATACTAGTAAGCAGTTTCGAGCAAGCTCAACTCTGGAACCGCAAACAAAACCGCGTTGCAAGCGCTGTGAGCGAGGTGCAAGGCGCCGCATAGTGCGAAACAGACATCTCGGGCCACTTCAAGGGGCGATGGCGGTGCGGCACGACACACCTCCTCCTCTGGCTGTTGATTCGCCCGGGTCTCCTGTGGCTGGCAAAGAATCCCTGTCGAGTAGTGTGTTCCCCTCGCGATGTCTGCGAACAGAAGCTGAAGTGCATGCTTCAAATGGCATGTTCTTCAGCCTGATCAGCACTTCCATCTTCTGCTGCTTGCAGGCTTCTCCTATAGGAGGAGGAGACTTTCTCACGCTAATTCCAGCTGTTCGTTCTTCCAGCAAAGTGGTCCAAATTCGAGTCTGCACAAAGAAGATTGGCTGGCCGCGACCAGGATGAGCCAGAAAGGGATATCATGCCTACTAGATGCATTTACTCTGCCAATAGCGGTGCTCAGCCTCCACCCACCGACAATGCACGGGATCGTCACTTCTAATCTACGGCATAAGTGATATTTAGACCAGGCCGCTCCTGCCTGACGTGTCAGCCGTGTGCTCTCACGAAATGTCGTCTGTGCGTAATGGCGTCCGCACCACTGGAACGTTATGTGTTCAAGCCTCTTGGTCTCCGTGAAAGTTCTGCTCCCTCTGACCAAGCGTCTGAGCAAGTCGAGCGTCGATGGATCAGGCTGTTGAGACTCTACCCCGGCCTTCACAACAATCAACTCATCAGCCGACTGACCGAGCACTATCTCCCAAACTACGACAGCCGATTGCAACAGGACGACGCCCCAGCACTCAATGATGATATACCAGTAATTAAGACTGTGGACGACAAGACTCACGACGGTCTTACCTACGAAGCGTTGTCTTATCATTGGGGACCTCCAGACCCTGAGTGCTGGCTGACAATCTTGGACGAGAAGGAAGCTGATCGGCCCGAGACGAAGGGTCTAAACATCACTCCGAATCTTGCCAAAGCACTCCGTAGCCTGAGGTATGAGAACAAGACCCGCGTGCTATGGATCGATTCAGTCTGTATCAATCAAGAAGACGACAATGAAAGGTCCGACCAGATTCCACTCATGGATCAGATCTATAAATGGGCTGAGAATGTCTGCGTGTGGCTGGGCGACGCAGACGAAACGAGCGACTTGGCCTTCAAACATATTGACAATGTGCTTCATTTACAAGATTTCGACCAGACAGTTACCCCAGGCAACACCGACGCTTGGGCTGCGCTGTCAAAATTGATGAAGCGCGAGTAAGTCGCCCCCGCATGTCTATTCGCAACGGATATCTAATTGGTACTAGGTGGTTCTCGAGAAGATGGATCGTCCAGGAAATCGCATTCGCGAGAAAAGCGACTGTACATTGCGGCAAGAACGAAATAGCGTGGGATGACTTGGCTGACGCCGTAGCTCTGTTTGGATCGAGAGCGCACGATATCTCGGAGCTTTTCCGGGGTGATTCCAAGTATGGCCATAGAGCAGATTTCCTTGGTGACGTTGAAGCGCTCGGAGCCAACAGACTCGTCACCACGCTGAGCAAGCTGTTCCGGAAAGCCGACGACCGGAGGCGGGTCGAACGTTTGCTTCCACTCGAAGCTTTGATATCTGATCTCTCAGCATTCAACGCCACCGTGCCTCACGACATAATCTATGCAGTGCTTTCTTTGGCCAAAGGTGTGATCACATCAGCAAGGCGGGCACCCTTGCTCAACGGAGGTGCATCCCAACCTCTCGCTGCGAGACCTCGCGTGATGTCTTTGAACACACCAAGACACGGTGCAACTGGGTCGCTTGACAATCCGTTCCTCCAGGTCTCAAGTCCCACAGAAATGGTACATGGACACATCGGTCGCTCCGCAGAGGTGACGCCAGGTTCCGAAGCCCGTCATAACCTGTTCGCGAGGCGGCTGTCTTCGCAATCCTCCACTGCTCGCTCTCGTCGGCTTAGTAGCACTGGCGATTCAGCAGTGCCGTCTTCACCGAAGAAGGCCAGACAACAGCACGAGGAAGAAATGATAGAAGAAGACAGTGAAGCGTTGGAAAGAGTAAGAACTGTGTGGCTGAAGAAGGATGACGACCGAGCGCTGAGGCGAGATTTCGATAAGGCCCTGAGGCAGATCAGGCTTATCGGCCGGTGATACCCTCCTACTGGTCAGGAGATGTAAACTATAACACTATCGTCGCGCAGGTCAGAGCGAGAGGCCTTTTCGACAGCGAACTTATCGAACAAAGCTTCTGGGACTGGGATAGTGAGACGATGGAGCAGCTCAACAAGGCCGATGGCACCGCATTTGCTGTGGAGCGGCTCCTACAGTGGAAGGCAGATCACCGCAGGGACGTGGTGAAATTCGTCATCAAGAAACTCGAGGACCGCGTCGCCGAGAAGACTTTCCACGTTGACTATGCTAACAAAAAGTTCTACGATGTCTGTAAAGAGTTCATCGAGTTCACAATCCGAGCGTCGAAGTCGCTAGATATGCTCTGCCGCCCCTGGGCCCCAGCCAAAGGGCCCATACCCGATGCCAACGATAGTTTGCCGTCATGGGTCTGCAGACTCGATAAGTCACCTTATAGACCGCGGCCTGATGGCAACTATGGTCGAGCTAACGCTGACCTATTGGTTGGTATACCTGCTTCCGGTGGCAGGATCTACTCAGCGTCAGCTATGACGACGCCCGACGATTTCAAAATGCCCCGAGCTTCACCGCAAAGCCTTTATGTGTATGGGTTTGTGCTCGACACGATCGAGAAGCTTCAGGCACCAGCTACGGAAGGCAACGTGCCTGTGGAGTGGCTGAGGTTGGCGGAATGGGACCCGTACAAAGGCGACCAGCCTCCTGAGAGCTTTTGGCGCACTCTGGTCGCAGACAGAGACGATAAAGGTCACAATCCGCCTTCTTACTATCGTAGGGCTTGCGAGCATGCGTTTGCTCAGCGTGTCATGGGAGGCAATCTTAATACGGAGCGACTGATGTCGAGCGCGCAGTCGAGCGAAATTATGACCAACTACCTTCGACGAGTCCAGTCTGTCATCTGGAACCGCCGATTGATGCGAACCACTCGAGGTCAGCGACTAGGACTTGCGCCAAACGACGCAGAGAAAGGCGATAGGGTATGTATTCTTCGTGGATGCAGCGTCCCTGTGATCTTGCGGGTGTCAGAGGATAGGAGCCATGAGGCTCAAGTGGTGGCTTACGAGGACGGACAGACCGACAATCGCGTGCATATGCCACCTGCACCTATTATTCGAGCCGAAGATGTTACTACAACTACCTCAATACCTTTTCCGCCTGCATCAACTGATACGCCGCCTGGTCCGCGGCCGAACGCCACTCGGACCTATCCTTTGCGAAGTAGTCCACTGAAGCCTGAAATTCGGGTTGGACAGAGGCTACGATGTGAGATAATTGGGGAGAGCTATGTTCACGGCGTAATGGATGGCGAGGCTTTTCGGATCAGGGACAAGCAAAAGATTCCGGAATGTGAGTTCGAACTGATTTGACGAGCATGGGCATCTCACTGGAGGTATTGATTAGAAGTATTTTGGGTAGGCGGACCCCTAGCAGCTGCCTCGAACCACTTCTCGCAACGCTCACTGTTATGCGCTTGTTGCTGAGCAGCAATTACTTCCACGTCCATTGTAGCTTAGCCTGGTTTCGAGCTAGTGCAAGTTCTCGACGCCTCGTCAAAGGCAAAGCACCGCTAGCCTGATCGTACTGGACAGTTGAGGTTGCTCCTGTTGGTGTAGTCCGGGACCTCAGGACTCGCACCCTGTACTGGAAGACGTGTATTACTGTGTTCCCAAAGCTTGCGTTCCCCGTACCTGAGGCATCGGATGTCACATCCGGTGCCCCCTTCTGTTGGTAATGCTCACCCAGTTACAATGCTCGGACATGACAACATTCAATTCTCAGGACCCCAGAACCCCACGCGACCAATGTAGCGACAATCTTTTCCTATGCCTACGGAAGGCGCTGTCTGCTCTATTCGACTGGTGGATGTACTGACTCAGCAGCAGTGATTGGTGAGATTGAGAGGCCAAGATGCGGTTCCGCCACATTTGCCGTGGATAAAGTCCTCAGAAACCTTCTGCCATATCGACACCATTGACTCGAGCTTGCAGCTACTAAGTAACTTGCAACCTCCGTACTAGGTACGAATGACATTAGCTCCATGATGGATCTCAACTCCGAGCGTCCCTCTGACAATGTCGTTCATCGCAGTACAACAACAGGCAAAGTGGACGTTGCCGCGGATGTTGTCGGTACGGAAGCTCAACAATACGATGCCGCTATCGAGCGACGAGTCATCCGGCGGATCGATCTATTCGTTATACCGTTCCTATGGATTGGCTACGGATTCGTTTATTACGACAAAGCAATCCTCGGTGGTGCTTCGATTTTCGGTCTGATCACAGCACTTGACCTCCGTGTGGTCGTGGACCCAACCACAACGCCACCGAAGACGTCCACTCAGCGACTGTCCTGGGCGAGCTCGCTTTTCTACTTCGGAATGCTTGCAGGAGTCATACCCTTGACTTATGCCTTCCAGCGCCTGCATCTTTCGAGAACCATTGGCGCATGTGTTGTAATATGGGGATTGACTTGTATGGCGACCGCCCTTGTCACCACACATCAAGGTCTGTATGTGCAGCGGTTCTTTCTGGGCTTTCTCGAGAGTATGCTCCCCACGGCATTCATGGTGATTGTGTCTTCATTCTACACCCAGAAGGAGCAGACGTGGCGGCAGTGTTTGTGGTATAGTGCAACCGGAGGCTGGACTGTGATCGGAGCTGGCTTGAATTACGGCTTCGCCAGCATCAATTCCGGCAACTTGCAGCGCTGGCAATACTTGTATATTATGGCTGGAGCACTAACTGTCCTCTATGGTCTGCTCTTCTTCCTGTTCCCGCAGACACCTAACACGGCTTTCTTCCTCCATGGGCAAGAAAAGACTATTGCACTTGAGCGGCTCCGACGCAGTCAGATGGGCGTGCGGTGCAACACAATCAAAGGATCCCAGATCAAGGAGGCTCTTACCGACCCGAAAGTGTACCTCATCGCGCTTATGATGGGACTCGCGTACACCGTCAACGGTGCCGTCTCGGCATTTGGACCTCTGATCGTCTCAACATTTGGATATTCGCCTCTCACAGCAATACTATGGCAGATGCCTCTTGGCGGAGTCTGCTTTGTGACGATTCTTCTGTGCGGCTACCTGTCTCTTATCATCCCGAATATTCGGTTGATCATGATCATCTTCAATTGCCTGCCAGTCATGGCGGGTTGTGCGATGATATGGAAATCGTCATGGACACATCATGCTGCGACGCCATTGGCAGGCTACACATTGATTGGGTTCTTTGCGCCAGTGACTAGCTTGATCGTCAGCATGGGAATGGTCAATGTTGCTGGGAACACGAAGAAGAGCGCTATGGCCAGTGCTACTTTCTTCATGTATTGCGTCGGCAATATTGTAGGGTAAGTGATATGTTCCTGCTCGGAGCTGTCCGGACCGTGTATTGGGAAAAATGTGCTGACACTTCTTTTCTAGTCCGTTCTGGATCAAGACCGAGCAGGTCGCACAGCATTACCCGATGCTATGGAAGGGCATCCTTGGAAGCTATTCGGTGCTTGTGCTAGTCGCAGCAATACTTTATATCATGCTCCGTCGTGAAAATCAACGGAGGGACGCCACTGGGCTTGACCAGCAAGAGGGAGAAAAGCATGCTTTCGAGGACCTGACTGACAAAGAGAATCCGTGGTTTCGATACGCGTACTAGCGCCCACAACGTTCAGCTGCGCAGCTTCTGCAGCGTGAAGGCAAGAATACCCACAGACCGTACCACTGCACCATGATCTACTGCTTCAAGTATTCATCCTTTTCTTGAAGAGCAAGACGACTCCTGCAGCAGTTCCCTTCAATCGCTCCTCGCCCGCCTTGACGCCCGCTTCGCGCAAAAGTGCTCCCAGCTGTGCCACAAGACGCTTCACCGGGTCCTCTGGAGTGTTGGCCTTCTCCGGATGCTGTCGGGAGTTGAGTCAGAGATGCAATGCAACAATGAAGGTGGCGAGGATGGGGAAGGTAAGCGCGACCTGAGGAGTGCGGAAGTAGAAGAGGAAGAGAAAGAGGGAATGGGAAGAATACTCACAGCCTCTCGCCAACGCGTGACAGCACTGCCTGTCCCATACATCATCTCCACCATTTCCAAACTCGCCCCCCTCTCATCGATCTTCTTACTATCTAGGAACATTTCTGTGATCTTCCACTCCCTCCGCACGAAACTACCTTCATCAAAGTCATTGCTCAGATCCTCTTCACCTTTCCCTTGGCTCGACCAGGGTAGATCGAGGTCGCGATATCCTCCTCTCACGAGAGCATTTCCCTTGTCCCGATAGTCCTTCATCTCGACATCGATGTGGTAGTCCATGGCGGCTTGGATAGCGGCTGAGTTGGGCATGTCTGGTGCTGCGCGGATGTCCCCTGTGGTCCAGATGGCGAGCGTGCCACCTGGCTGGAGGGCTGTAGAGGCGCGGGCATAGAAGGTGGCCATCTGGCCATAGGTAAGCTTCATAAGACGAAGACTGGCAGACCATTGCTATTAAGCAAAGTACGCAGCTACATGGCGGTGGACATACCGAAGGAAACCAATGAGCCGCGTTGGCCGTCGTGATGAGTGAAGCTGAGCCGGGAGCGATGGGTGAAGGGCAGAACGTGCCAGCTGAGGCAGCCGCAAAGGTGGTGTTGGATGCTTTGTCAGGCTATCATGGTTTTTTGTCAGTCATTTTGCGAAAAGCGTGGATGATTCAACCAACATGTCCATCGGCAACCTTGAGCAGCTCTGGCGACGGATCGATCCCTGTCGCGTCAATGAAATGGGTTGCCAAAGATCGAGTCACCATGCCTGGGCCGCAGCCGACGTCGACCAAAGCATCGAACTTTCCGCCAGTTGACTTGTGGTAGTCCAGGATGTGGTCATATACTGAAGAATGGTAGTTAGGCCGTAGATCATTATAGATATTGGCTTGCTTGGCCGTGTACTCGGTGAATGTCGTCTCCGTCACGTCAGATGGAACGGACGTGTTGCTCTCAGTCACAATAGTTGCCATGCTGCGAGGCCTTAACGCATACGGTTGGTAGCGAAAGGGTGGCTCTTTCTATGAGGATCCAGATATATCTGTGCTGATCGCGACTTCCCCCAAGAAATGATTGCTTTCTTGACTTGTCCCTGCGGCCAGATTGCGGTCGTGCTTGCCTCCGTCCATCCCGCCATGGATCATAGGCCACATACTTATACCTGCCGCAGTCAGATACCACCACAAAAACTCCGTCCATCGTCCTTAACGATGCGTAACCAATCGGGACAGGACCGAGGCTTGAATGCGTAAGCGCAGATCTGTTTAAGTGGCGCGCTAACTCTTTTCGAGCCACGAGCGCGAGGTGAGGTCGTAGCTTGTTGCCTGATGCCACTTCTCTCAACGTTCTTTCATATCCCGCAGGACCCTTTCGTGGGTCGATCTGGTGTTTCGTGACTCACGGACCGACACGCGAGAGGTATATGATGGAAGTCGTCAGCCGTTGTCTGGTCCATGCGCGACGACTCACGAAAATCTCGGGGTCGTGGTACGAATTTGGCTGACCGCGAAATTCCCACAAACGATCGGCTGCGTCTAAGATGGGATATCATGGGCTGCTGAGCAAGGGCTGTGAAAGGTGTCGGAAGCGTCGAGTCAAGGTATGGCGTCCTCTACGCATGAAGTCCGTAACCAGTTGCGGATTTTGGATCACCTGCAAAGATCATGCTAACAATGGATTTGCCTGACCTAGTGTGACCAGCGACGTCCCTCCTGTGTCCGCTGCTTCAAGCTCAAGGAGGAGTGTCCCGGCTATCGTGATCTGGAGGACGTCAGGTTCCGAATCGAGAACGAGAGGATCATCTGCCGAAGCCGACGGGGCACAGGTCATGGGAACGACGCTCATCCGATAGTAATCAAGCAGAACCTTTCGGAAGGGGACCTTGCAATAGTGCCTCCGATATCTATGCACTCAGCTCTTCGACCCGGCCATGACTTTTATTTCAACACTTATGCTCCTAAAGTGCGTTCGTGCGGCATTGTAGCCAATGAGCGGTACTATGCTTGGCTACAAGCGGCGTGCTTCGACCCGTTGAGCGACTCAGCCGTGGCCGATGCGATAGAGGCTGTTGGACTAGCTGGGCTCGGTAACGTCTCAAAGGCGCCGCAGATCAGCTGTCAGGCCTATGACGTGTACTGCAGGGCGAGGAAGAAGCTCGACGCGTTGCTGGAGGACCCTGACAAGCGTCCCGAAGACGAGACATTGCTGGTCCTGATTACTTTGTGCTTCTTTCAGGTACACGTTCACCGGTCCTCATATACTGCAGATGGAAGACTGACTGAGACCGCCAGACTGTGTACTTCGAAACATGGCAGAGCCATAACGCTTGGGCAGAACTCGTGTGGAAAGGTGTTGAGCTTATCGACATTCGCGGCTCACAACAATTCAAAGACGAGATCGGTGGTATATTGTATGCCCAGATTCGAGCCCCGATCGTACGTGTTCACTGCCTTTTGTGACTTCCGAGGTCTCTATATCATCATCTGACAACTTCAAGCTCTGTCTCTGCGTTCAACACGGCTACCCCGTTCCACCAGCTCTTGTGTCAGCTACATACACTTTCGAAAATGGTGCAATCCGTCAGGAGTGGCTGAAGTCAGAGTACGCGAGTCCGGCTTCCATGAGTGTCATCTCTTTCCAGCTCGTCAACCTTGGAGCTGCCATCAGACAAGGACAGTTCACGGATACATCAGGAATCCGCGATCGCGCTATGGCGATCGACAGAGATCTTCAAGCCTGGGCCAGCGTGCTACCTGCTCATTGGAAGTGGTTTCAACTGCCTCCGAGAATCAACGGGGAGATTGACTACGATTCGAGTCAATTTCAGTATGCGGGCAACACGTGGCTCGCCGAGATCCAGAACACATATCGATCCTTGAGGATCGTGGCTCTGCGGCTCGTTGGCCATGACAAGGAATCTAGGTCTGACGGCGAGGTCCTTGCAGCGATTAGGGATCTGTCCGATGAGATCTGCTGTTCTGTGGCGGTCTTCGATAACGTCTCGCGTGCGTCAGCCTTTCCTTCTGTCACGACACCGATAAGGACTAATCCATACCGAACAGGTGCGTTGTCAGTGCTCCGACCTTTAATGGTTGTCTTTCTGGCAGAAAGCAACCCTCTGGCGACCCGGCGATACGCAGCGCAGGCACTGCTGAGGGTTGGAGGACGGCTAGGCGTGAAGAACGCCACGGACGTCGCTGAGTTAGTGCTCGGCTGCCTGGGAGGTGAGAGCTCTGGTGGACTTGAGAGGCTCGACTACGACACTGTGCCGATCGCCGCCACCTTCTGATCGTTGATCGTCGTGGACAAAGTGGTGCACTCGGTGCGCCACCCTTCCAAACACGCCGAGATCTACTTTCTGTAATTGGCAGTGACCTGGGCAATCCGTCTTGCGGGGGAGGGGAAACGGCCGAGTTCTCGGAGTTCTTCAGCTAGCACCAAATCCCTTTTGGGCAGTCTTCCTCAGGGCCCGCCTCCATGCAACTGGATTGATGGAGGACGATCTCTGGCTGGAACCGGTTCTGCTGTGAGTATTTGAGCTCAGGTGCTGTTTGCTGAAGTCGTCCGCGGCTAGAGCACATACGTCGAAATGGCAAATTACAGACCACTACCGCACCTATCTCCTGTACGGCGAGTTATCACAGGCCATGACAACAGCGGCACTGCGAACTTCGACCTTGATGAGAAGCTCACGCCTGTGGCAGTGGCAGCTTCTGCAGATGCACCCATGGGGTTCACATTGATTCATCGCACCACGGAGTTCCCTGTCGACAACCAGGGCGGTAGCGACGAATTCGGACCAGAAAATCTGCAGCGGTCGCGGTTTCCAAGAGGCATTGTCTGCGAAGTCGTCGACGTGCCGCCGGCTGGCACTAGTCAGCCACACTTCCATCGCAACGTCAGCCTGGACTACGGAGTGATCATGGAGGGTACCCTCGACCTGATACTGGATGGAGGCGCGAAGCGAACACTGCACACTGGCGATGTCTATGTTCAGAGGTAAGTCTGCTGTGGGCATCTACGATGCAAGGTTTGGGATTCGTTCTGATAAATCGTGCTACGTGCGAACAGAGGCACAATACACGGATGGAGCAATCCCGGCGACAAGGTCTGTCGGTTCATGACAGTCATTGTGCCAGCGCAAATCGTCGTTGTGCAGTCGACTGGTGAGGCTCTGGGGTCGACAAAGCTGCCGGGACTGACGGACTGAGTAGAAGTCCAATGTCACTGCATGGATGTGTTCTGGGAGCCTTCAGATGTCGTCAGAGCGGCCTTGTCACGATGGTGTGCTACCACAAATCAGCGGTACAATTCTGATTTTAGTAAGCACTTCGTGGTTCTCCCTGATTCGAGCCACCAGCTCAGCTCTTGGAGTCTTCGATAGCATCACAGCTCCCGAGGTCGGGCATGTGCCAGTAGAGTGAACGAAGACCACCGTCTCAATCGCAGTACAGTAGGCACCTAGTGGCACCTCACTCGTGTCTTCGACTGTGCCTACTCCAGTAGTGTACTGCAAGCAGGAAATGCATGTATCCCGCCCACTGGGGGCAATTACTACCCGAAACCCCAAACCCCGCACCTTACAAGAGTAGACACTCTCTCCTGGATTATATTAACAGCCTACTTCTGGATTGTACCTCGCTGCGCTTTCGGCAGCGGAGTCCGACGGCTCCCTAGAGCTTGATATTGAAGACCATGAGCTCTGCATTCTCTGCAGAGCCTCTCGAAGTCGTTCAGAGTAGCAAGCATGCACACCCGTCGCGAGGGCGACTCCGTGAGCGCGTTCACGGCTCTTGAGCCGCGATGTCGTCTGAGTCAGGAAGAACAAGGATGCGAGCATGTGCTGAATGCCGCCAACAGAAGGTACGCTACAATAGGCGTATCTTGTTTGACTTCTGATGATAGGCCTCTGATCCTGGACTCCCAGTTGCGATGCGAGTTGCCACGAGATGGTTCGGGTTCTTGCATCAGATGCACAAGAGCAGGCACAGAATGTGTCATGTCAGGTGCTTTCCATCGTAAGAAGCGGCAGAGGTTGGTGAACCGCATTGTTCAAGACTTGAATATGACGGATGACATACGACGGCAGCAAAGCCGAAATGCAACGGGAGATCGATGCTCTACGGCGGCTGGTGCAACCTAACCACCAAGGAGATCTGGCAGTGCAGCAGCTACCACTCTTGGTGCCACCGGCAAGATCAGTACAGTCTGTTCATTCGACTGATCATCTAGCACTCTCGCAAAAGGATGGCCTCGTCGCCAGCGAATTTGTGTCCAGGAGTTCGCCAACTCGGGGAACGGAAGGCCGGGCACTTGACGGCCTTGTCCTGGATGCCCGAAAGATTAACGATTGTATCGATCTGTAAGTTGTCGCTTTTGCGAGATTCGGCGGAGATCGTCAAAGCTCATGAAGTCAAAGGTACTTTCTGCATTATCACGAATATCTTCCGATCATGGATCCAGCTTTCACCCCCAATCAGTACTACGAATACAGCCCTCTGCTCTTCTGGGCCATGGTGGTCACCGGATCCAGACGCTATGCTGAGGACCCAACCTTGCTCGCGAACCTTGGGCCGAAAGTCTGCTCGATGGCTTTACAGTCTCTCGCCTCACTTCATCAGTATGTTCAGCTTATCCAAGCGCTTTTGGTTATGAGCAGCTGGCCCGTACCAATAGAGACGATCTTCAAAGATCACTCGCCTGTTCTTTGTGGTGTTGCAATGCAACTCGCTCTCCAACACGGATTGCACTTGTCGGAGGCAAGACAAGCTATTGGGTTCCAGCAGATGCGCAGTGAAAGAGACGAGGAGGCCAGCAGGATCGGTTCAATGAGGTGCAATGATCACACGCTCTGGACGTATTGCAAAATTGTCTGTCAAAGGTAGGAGTGTTGAGAGGTGCGGGCATTCTCTGCAGCAGTGACTTACGAGCGCAGCATCAGTATTTGTTACGGTCTCGAGCCTCACACGGTTCAAGACTCTTCTCATGGAAATCTTTCCAACATCTCGGTCGCCGCATCCAGTTCGCAGGCCGATATCAAACTTCACAATATTTGGGTCACAGCCATGGCAACTTTGACCCGTCAACCCCTCCTGCAGCTGGACTCGAGTATGAGAGGGCCGGTCGGACCTCTAGTACAACTATTCGACCGCCAAATCTGTCAAATCGCGAATGAACAGGATCCTAGACCGAGTGAGTTGCAACAGGCGGACGACAGAGCAGCATGAAAAGGCCGCTGACCTGTCTAGACCCTTTCAAGGTACTGATGGCGCGGCTCCACGTCTGTTGCTTCTATTTTCTCGGCGGAGGCGACGCTCTGCAACACCAGGAGCTGATCAATGTTTTCCAAATTGCCTGTGCTTTTGTTGACGCGTTGAGTGACGGAGATGCTGCGACAGGTTTCATACTCTATTCTCCTCATATCAACTACCGAACAATAGTTCTGTCAGCTTTCATCATCCTACGCGTACTCCGGAGCATCCTGAGGGAGGTGATCGACGTTCCAAAGGCCGAAGGAATATTTCTAGCCGCCATTGAACTTCTCGATAAACGATCACTTACGCGCAACGACTTGGAAGCCAGGAATGCTGCTATCTTAAGAATGCTTTGGGACAGCAGTACCGCACTACGTCAGAGCGATGGCACATGCGACGGACTTCGCACTCGAAGCATGGCCCGAGGGGTATGTGCATCTTATCGAAGCCTCCTTCTCGACACAATAGCTAATTTGAGCTTCGTGAACAGTCATTCAGTGTCGCATTCGACTGCTACTACTACTGGATCCGTGAGCTTCACAGCCAATCGTCCGAGCCCACAACAGCAGGTCCCAATGTATCGGCAAACGGCGCTACATACAATGGTGGCTCAGGTGAGATCGTGGCACCTACAACAGAAATTCCCCCGCCACCTCAGTTCGATTTTGGACCGGATATGTTCGGCACCAGCGAAGCCACGTTGATGGAGCTATTCGGTCTATCTGAGTCGTTCGATGGCTGGAACACGATGGATGACTATGGTGATTTGCTACAATAGATCGCACACAGCCTATTGTCATGCATGAAAGGGTATCATCACTACCTAAACCAAGTCGTTGTGACATTTCCTACCTTCTCAACTTCCGCCGCCGCGTCGCCTTTCCCCTCGAACTTGTCTCCTTTGCCCGTTATCTTGACTCGTCCTGTCACCCACTGCTCGCTCGTCGGCGCGTCCTCGGGTTTGTGCGCCATCTGGACGCCCTCCCTTCTCAAGAGTGGACTCTGTTCGAGGACAGTATTGGTTACTACTTCGTTGTTTGGGACACTGAAGTAGAAGATACCAAACCGACTACGGCCTCTTTGGTCCGCTGGTGGCTCGACTACACGGTGGATGGCAGCTTTGAAGTATCCTCCGGTGAACCATTGCATGATTTCGCCAGCATTTATGACCATGGCGCCTGGAACGTGAGGAACATACTCTATGAGCAGGCAGCGTCAGCAAGCAAGCTCTGGCAGAGATGGAATAATGAACTTACTCCACTCAGCATTATCGCTAACGTCCCGCACCTGCAACGAAGTCATCGGCTGGCTGAAGAGTAGCGTCAGACAAGGAAAGTCCTGATGCCCTTGTAACCAAACAGTCTTCCCGCCATCCTTCTTCGACTCATACTCGTCACCGTAGTACTTCATGTATCGAAACCACGACAGATCCCGCCGCTCATAGTCGTGCAGCCTCACAAAGAACTCCTCGTCTTCGATTTCCAGAGCAATAGCGAACAGCCGAAGCAGCTTATATAGCACGCCAGTGTGCGTTTCCTTCACAAACTCATAGACCTCCTGTCGATACTGTTCCAACACATCAGGCTGCTCATGCAGATTCAGATCTCGATACACATTGAACTGCTCGATCTTGTCCTTGGTCTTTCCATCTACAGTCCAGATTCCGCGGGGCTTGAAGCCGAAGTAGTGGCCCTCTTCTCTGATCGGGGCACGGAGTCGCTGCTTGTCCTCTTCGGATGTCCGACTCAGTACAGTGTGTCCGATGTCGACTTGGCGTTCAATTTCCTCGGCGCTGATGCCGTGGTTGACGAGGATGAAGAAGCCTTGGGTCGTCATGGCGAGCCGGACTTGCTCTGCGAGGGAGCTGCGGGCTTCAGGGCCGTCATCGTATGTCGATAGATCGATTTGGCGGAGGGAGACAAAATCGATGGTCTCTTTGGTTGGAGAGACGGGCGTGAAATGGTCTACTGGTGGGCGGGTCGCGCTGGGCATCTTTGCTGGTTCGTGAAGGTGACGATCCAGTAGGTATGATCTCGTTGACTGATGGCGTGGGGATGCTTCACCTTGTTGACAGGACCCAAGGCAGTGGTGGCCTTATGTATTGGGAGTTGGTGTTCGCCAGGTCATCGCCTCTGCGAGAAGTCGCGCCTTCATTGCACGGACGATTTCATGCCCTAAGCGATTGGCCTGATGCCCTCCCCGACCGTTCGTTATTTGAAGTCCGAAGACTCGGCAGGATTATCATGGTCGGGCTGGGACGTTGCTGGCGCCGAAAACTCGGCCTGGCATATCCTACTGAGGGGTAGACGATACTGCCATTTGCGTAGCTTCACCTCCGAGCCAGGGTCCTTGCAGTAGGAACCAGTTCTCCTCGAAGTACGTGGTAGCACTGCTTCTCCACCGCCATCAAAGCGTTATTGTAGGCGGCAACTTCGAGGTCAGGGAGGCCTCCACTTGCCTCCAATCTCTCCGCACACTAATGCAAGCACGTCAAGATTTCCTGGGGAAGTCACGGATGGTACGGCATGCTTTGAGCTGGTTAACCTTTCCTGGGGTTACCAGGTCACCGACAGAACAAGCCGGGTCCGATCGGCCAGCTATCTTGACGTACATTCTTGACAATAGCTCAAGCCACGAACGCGTGTGACCCGCGTCCGGTCGGCTGGTCAGGCATCCGCGTTCATGTATTGAGCAACGACGAGTCCAGCTGGCGTTTGCCATAGTCGATGGAGCTGATCCGGCTTTCAGGACGAGCCATGAGCAAGTACAACGGGTACGTGCATAGGAACTCACCTCACATTATCTAGCCTCAAAAGATGTGCTAAAAAGGACATCGCTAGACAGGCGCTTTCTCAAGTGTAGAGTCGTGCAGTCGTCATGTAAGTCTACGAGGAGTACACTCGAAGCAGATGGTAGAGTATGAAATCATTCCCGGAGTTCTGTTGGTCGAGATAACGAAGGTGGTCGTTTCTCGTCCTAGGAAGTGCTCGGACAGCAGTTCCCACGCCGTGAATCTTCCATGTAACAGAGGCTCATAGACACAGCCTGAACTCTGGATGACGCGATCCGAGCTGCTCTGCGGGAGTCTTCCCATTTGTGAGGCGATAATCCCTCTCACCACGTGCCCTCTTCTTGTTTTCCCAGCTGTTAATCATCATTAGACTCCCGGTACAGACGAGGGTCAAACAACTCATTCCAATCTGCAATGCATTTCCTGTCTTCGGTCCTCCAGATCCCATGTAAGTGAAAGTCGTAATGATTCCTCCGACGTTGCCGAAAGCGACGACCAAACCCGTGGCGGTGTTTCTGGAGATCTCCGGCTGAACATTGTTGATCAGCCAAGTCAACGAAGGCGGTATAGATCCAAAGGCCCCAACAGCGACGACGAAAAGGCCAAAGTAGCGCACGCCCGTCCCATGGCATGCCAGCTGGATCGTCCAACCGATGATGAGCAACACGCTGCCGAAGAGCATAAATGGCCCTCTCAAGCGAAGGCGGTCCGAAAGATAACAGCTAACGAGCACCCAGATTGCTGCAAGCACATAGGGCGGAGCTGAGAGGAGCTGTGAATCGACGACACTGTACCCAAATTGCCGAATGATGGTCGGTGAGAAGAGCGAGTAGGCGTAGACGTTGCAGTAAATGCCCAACGATGCGACGGCAATGAGAATCGTGTTCTGATCAAAGATGCCACGTCCTGCCTTTTTGATGTTAAACTTCTCCCTTTGTTCCGCCTCGTTGCCAAAGCTATTTGTGTTCTCGGCAAGGCGGGCTTCAGCCACGACCTTTTCTTCAGCAGTCAAGTAGCCTGCGTCGGACGGCTTGTTTGGCAAGACGAACCAGCAGAAGAAGCCCAGAAGGATTGTGGCTGCGCCTTCAACGATGAAAATCCATCGCCAGGTCCTGTAGCGGCCGACATGGATCTGACCAAGGCCCGAAGCCAGCAAACCTCCAACGGCATTACTCAGGGGTGCTGATATATAGAACCAGGCAATCCGGGACTGTAGCTCGTATCGAGAGTAGAATAGTCTTTGACATGTGTTAGCGGCTAGCTGTACTGGGGCATATAGGGCCAGGCCCAAAGGCCGGGGTCCATAGAAGTACGCACCCAAGATAAAGGAACAGACACGGCGTCAATCCTCCTTCGAAGAAACCTAGCATGCATCTCAAAGCATATAGTTGAGCTTCATTGGTGACGAAGCCAATTCCCAGAGTAGTGCAGCCCCAGCAAACGACACTTGCTGACAGGAATCGGCCACGGCCCACAATCTTGAACAACCACACTGCAGGCACATCCACAAGAAGGTAGACGACGAAAAACAGCGCCAGGGCGATATTGTAGGACTGTCCTTTCAAGCTGAGGTCCTTCCCCAGCCCAGCAATACTGGCGTTGCCGATACTGGCGCGATCGAGGAAGGAAGAGAAGAAGATTAGGAATAGCACAGGTAGAATGCGAAAATCCCATTTCCTGTTCAGAGACTTGTAGGTCGCATCTTGGTTGAGGTCAGTGACATCCTCAGTCATGGCAATCTCTGCTTTTTCGGACATCGTTGCAGACTGCAGTTCGTAGCGATCGCTTTGGTGAGGTGTTGTGACAGGTCGGGTTTGAGTATGTGTAGAATGCTTATACCTGGGGTGAAGCTTCGGCCAAGCAGATCCCCATGGGGAACCCAGAGCTTTAGTAGGTGTCCGGAAGCGTGCCAAGACCCCAGTTTGGGCTCTCGCCGACATTTCGGACTGCCGATTCGGCTTCCTCATGAATTTGGGCTTTGACGCCGATCGGCTGCATCTTGGGCATTAGAGGCGCTGATCTAGTTGCGACCGACAGCTGCAGCGACATGGATCACAGAAAGCATAAATTCCAAGCAATGCCATGATTGGGGAGGATTTTGGACACTGGGATCACGAAGGAGATACAAGGAGTCGAAGTTCGATACCATGGGCGAATACATCGACACACAGCCTGCAATGGCAAGCGCAGAAGATCTATCACTTACTCGTCTCGCTGCAAGGCGTTTGCGAAGGATCTCGGAGGATCACCTGTCTGATGAAGTGCGTGGGCAGGCGTCGTTATGCTTGGTCGACTTGTTGGCCAATATACACCAAGGCCTGGCCGGAGATTTGGCGGCGAACCTCCGCGCTACATAAACCGCAATGGTGGTCCTGCCGAATCGACGGCGTTTGGTTGCGTTGGTAAGGTCAACGCTGGATCTGCAGCTTTTGTCAACGGCACTCTCGCCCACTCGTAAGTCTTCAGCCGTCGTGTGGAAGACACAGGGAGCTGATGGAGGCTGCCGAATAGCCCAATACGAGACGATATGCATCTTCCTTCTGTGGCTCACCTGGGCTCAATGGTTGTGACAGCGGCTTTGGCGTTAGCAGAGCGCGAAGACTGGTCCGGAGAACAGCTGTTACGGGCGATAGTTGGCGGATATGAGATGGGTGCGGCACTTGGGACGGCTATCCACTCCAGTGGGAAGGTCAACACCCATCTCCGGTCGAGTGGACTTATTGGAGCCTTTGCTGCCGTGAGTGCAGCTGTGTGCGGGAGTCCACCCGAAGAGGATACGGTCGTCAGTGCGTTCTGTATTGCTGTGAATCAAGCATGTGGGTTCAATCAGTGGGCGTGGTCTGGTGGGTCGGAGTTGCCACTTCAGAACGGCATGGCTGCAAGGGCTGGTGTGTTTGCCTATGATCTTGCTCTGACAGGTGTTCGAGCAAGCGAGACCATCTTGGAAGGACAAGCAGGCTTCTTCGAGGCTGTGGGCGTCGGCTTGGACGGAGCTGACGCCTTTCGTCGCTGGCTACAGAGACCCATGCTTGGGAGTGGTATCCTAGAGGTCAAGTTCAAGCCGATGGGCTGCTGTAACTTCACACAGACATCAACGGCCATGGCTCTGAAGCTGGCGAAAGGCTCAAGTATCGTTGCGGATGACATTAAGCAGATTGTTGTCACAACGACTTCGCCAGCAATTCGCTACCCTGGATGTGACAACTCCGGCGTCATGAAGACCGTCGTCCATGGGAAGCTGTCAATCCAGTATGGCGTTTGTGCTGCATTGGTGCTTCGACAACTTGATGAGACCGCTTGGTACCCAGCAGGTCAGGCTGACATCACTGGACTTATGACCAAATGCCAACTGGTCGCATTGCCGAAGTTCGACGAAGCATTCCGGTAAGGTTATCAGCCAGCAAAGGTGGCAGTGACGTTGCTTGACGGCTCCATCCTTGAAGAAGAGGCATACGATGTTCCTTGGCTGAATGACAATGAGGTCGTGGCTCGTTTCATGAACGACCTGAAGTCATTCGGAGACGAGGCGCGCGTCGGGCGCCTATTGCATCAATGCCAACACTTGGCAGATGTGCAGCATTGTCGTGATCTGCTGGTATCGTGAGCGCACATTCGGTCCGCTAGATGGACCGGACTGCTGCAGAGGAGCGACATGGCCCTTTCGCTGGTCGGCCGGTGTTCAAGAGATGTGAGCTGTCCGGCAGGCTCATGCCCTGATCATGGCGAGAGGCTCAGGGGAAGTGCTGTCGCAGCTGAGGGCCGCCTCAACGCGTGACAATGAACGATCTGTGCCTGCCAGATCAGAAGATTGTGCCAACGCAAATGCTGGAAGGGCCTAGGTAGGTAGGAGCAAGCTAGGCAAGCTCTTCGAAAGCGCGATCATGTTGAATGACGCGGTGAATGACCGTCAGACCGTGTCATTCGATCTGAGAGTGCCCCGCGTTATGGTTGCCTTCTCTTCTTTCTGAGATTGCCTGTTCTCGTAACTCACGCAATAAGTCGCATACACTTCAGACACATCTCGTTCCCCCGATAGCTTCCTCTAGAACCGCATTTCGTAAGGTCAGCCACATCAATATGGCACCACCATCTCAGCTCCAGATCGCGCTTTCGGCTCTTCAACGCCTAGTCAAAGAAGAAGCATCATACTACAAGGAGATGAACCAACAGAAGTCTCGAATTGCTAAGCTGGAGGCCACAAACGGAGACGCTACGGACGGAGATGGCAATGAAGAGTATCAGCTGAAGCAAGAGGTATGCTCATCAGACGACTGGTCCTGCTCGGAGTCAGTATACCGGAAATGTAACTAACAGACATGTGCAGAAGAAAGCCCTCGAGGAGACCAAAGCTGTCATCCCAGGACTCAGGGAGAAGATCACGAACGCTCGTGAAAAGACCGAGACTTTGTTGGTAAGTTGTTCTGTATCAACAGATCGGTTGCTGTCTCCACCGATCTGCCCACTCATCACCATCATCTCGGACCTTGCATCGCAATAGGTCAATGTCTCTGACAACTTCTCACCATATAGGATTCAGCTGCTTCCGAGGAAGAGAAGCAAAAGGCCATCGACGTACTCCGCGAAGCCAAAGAATTGCAAAAGGACGATCCAGTCAGCTAGAGGACGCTATCATCGCCAGATCTCTTCTCAGAGTATTCTCTTTCGCTTTCACCACCTTTCACACCATCCCCGCCATTGCGCCCGTTCATGTCCAGTGAATGTGGTCAGATCAGCATTGCAACCTCAGAAGCTGCCTTCCACCACGACTTATCAACACCACACACTTCGGACCATTCTGGGGAGTACTTTCTCCTCCCTAACAACCCAGCTAGATTCTGGCTTCCGGTCGAATGCAGTCTGTCCACAGGCTGTTCCGCTGATGCTTCCTCCACATATCAGCGCCGATCCATGCCATTAAGATCGGCATGGCCCAACGCTTGCACGGGTGTACAGGAGTACATGACCCAAACCCGCACAAGACTGACTTCCTGGTCAGACCACGAGTGGGATAGGCTAAGCAGAGATTTGGCTGTACAACGACTCGTATACTGAGGACGTCTGGATGCGCTTCTATACTGCTCTCACATTCGGTGGGCTGAGAGGTTGTCTTCTTGTGTGAACAAGGGGTGGGAGATCATGGATGATTGGGGGTATCATGTAACTCGTTCGCTTTTGCTCTAACTGCGCCATCAACATTCGCTGGCGCTGAGTCAAAACCGGAAACAGATATTCTTGCTCAATCCAGTGTGGCCCTGAGCTCGGCAAATGCTGTACGCTCGTCTTAGCTAGAGCCCGCACATAGCCAGACACGGCTAGAAAAAGTCCGTTGCAAACATGCTCTTCCACTTTCTTCGTCTCGTCAGCGCTCCAGCTCAAAATTTGCCGTCTTCTAACTACCACGCTTCACAGACCAAGGTCCGCTCACAAACTCGCCTTAGTAGCAAAAGCCCCGACCAAACCACCCACAATGTCCCTAACCTCCTCCTCCAACTCCCTCGTCTCGGCATGCGGATCATACATCTTTCCCTTAACCCACTCCTCCAGCTCCTCATCATCCATATCACGCAGATGATGCATGCGGTCAACGTTGTCCCGCTGCGCTGCTCTGATCACATACGTCGCCACCCTCGCGCTCACATCCCTGATCCGGGTTATGCTCGGGTACAACATTCCCAGCTTAGCCTCCTCGGGCGTGATCATGCTCGGGATGGCTTCGCCGGACGCGTAGATCATGTCGCTCGTGACCTGTACCGACTTGCAAAGGATAGCACCAAGTCCGATGCCGGGGAAGACGTACATGTTGTTGCCCTGTCCCGGGTGGAGGGTTTTGCCGTTGTGCTCCATTGGCGGGAACGGACTGCCGGAGGCGAACAGGCAGGTTCCGTTGGTGTGCTTGACGCGTCGGCGAAGGTGCATTCTGATTTGGAAGAGGGGTTGCTGAGTGGGAAGATGATCGGGCGTTTGGAGAAGTTTGTCATTTTGGTGAGGATCTGGGGTGTAAAAGCGCCGCCGATCGTGGACAAGCCCATCAGGATGGTGGGCTGGACATAGTCGATCACCTCGTCGAGGGTCTTGAACTGCTTGCCGGCGTTGTCGGTGCGGGAGAAATAGATTTTGTGCTCGGCCAAGGTGTCGCCGCGGTCGGAGGTGACGAGACCTTTAGAGTCGACGAGCCAGAATTTCCGGCGGGCATCGTCTTCGGTCATGCCTTGCTTGACGAAATAGTCGACGATCTGCTTGGCGACGCCAACGCCCGCGGAGCCGGAGCCGAGGAAGACGGCGCGGTGGTCTTTGGCGGCTATGCCGGATTGTTGGACTGCGCCGACTACGCCACCCATGATCACGGCGCCTGTGCCTTGAATATCGTCGTTGAACATGGCGTAGTCGTGGCGGTAGCGCTCGAGGGAGACGAAGGGATTCTTCCAGTCTTCGTACTGGATTACGATGTCTGGCCAGCGTTCTTTCAGCGCGACCATCAGCTCGTCGAGGAATTCTTGCTCTTCTTGTGGGGTGACTTTGTCGCGTCGGCTGCCCATGTAGAGGGGGTCGTCGCGGAGGGCTTTGTTGCTGGTGCCCAGGTCACAGGTTATGGGGAGAGTACCTTCAGGGCGGATTCCGGCGCAGCCAGTGTACAGGGCGAGCTTGCCGATGGGGATGCCCATGCCGCCGACACCGAGGTCACCTAGGCCCAAGATCCGACTGCCGTCAGTCACGACGCAGATCTCGACGTTGGTCTGGGGCCAGTTCTGGATCACTTGGGCTATGTGGCCGCGGTCGGACCAGCTGATGTACATGCCTTCCGGATGGGTGTAGATCTGGTGCCATTTCTGGCAGGCTTCACCGACGGTGGGCGTGTAGACTAGCGGGGTGATCTCTGTGAAGTGGTCTATCAAGAGTTTGTAGAAGAGATGAACATTGTGAGCGCGGATGTTGGCGAGGTATGAAAACCGTTCAAGGTCGTTGGACTTGCATGCTAGTTGTTGTAGACATCTCTTCTCTTGGGCTTCGTACTTCTCGGGCTGTGGAGGAATGAGGCCGTAGGTCTGGAGGTACTTTCGTACGGGTATCGATATCGAAGTGTCGTAATGTGCTGTAGGATTGGGCACGTGAGCGATGGCATGGCTGTGCTTCGGTCGCTGTGGTTGGCGGGCGACGACGTGGACACCGTTAGTGGATGCTTTGGCGGAAGGCATGTTTGCAAAGGCGGCGGTCAGGGTCTTTGAAGTGAGTTGGGAGATGACCGGCAGCCTGGTGCTTTTGTACAGCATGGAGGACTCCAGCTCGGGGCACAGCAACCCAAGCTTTAGCACTATGTGCCGACGGCAGTGATTGAAACTGGACGACGCAACGAGGGTCTCACAAGGAATGGGGATGGACCCGTCCCGGGGCTGCTAGTAGGTCAGAAGTGGGCTGATATAGGAAGAAGTCGGAACAGAAGCAATTGAAACAAGGAAGCGGGCTATCTGATTGACACCGTTGAGAATGAGGGAGTAAGAGGACTGTAGCAGACGTTGATGCGGGCGGATGAGGCGGATATTCACTTAGATGAAGTCAAGCCGAGCAGAGGGGCATCATAGAATCGCTCGTATCTTTGTTGGATAGGAACGGCAGCAGGTGATTCTCAGTCATCGTTATCGTGTACTGCAGGTGACTCTTTTTTCGAGCTCAAAAATATTTTTGTTGCCGTTGAGATGCAAGGGCTGCATGAACAGGGGTCAGCTCACCGGCACGCCATTTGCAGTTAAACAATTCGTTTCATCCACTCGGAAGACCTCCGCCCAGACGGGACCAGTATTTCATGCTGCCGGAGCGCCGATGAGTTCGGACGCCGTGCAGTCTCGTGAGAGGACGGTGGTCATAGGGCGAAACAGCAGCGGTGTATCACTTGTCGGTGAGAAGGTTGGTAATTGTCTCTCCGAGATATTATCGTCAATGGTTATTTTGAATGTGTCTTAGACGTCAAGAAATCCATTCAGGTCCCTCCCGGCATGCCACTAATGCATTCCCCAGGTTTTTGCAGGAGCTTGTCTAACTCAGCAGGTACGCTAGAGAATACCTCAACGCCATCGACGTTCGTGATGTCCCGCCTTCACCAGATCTGGGGTTTCCCTATAGCTTGGTCAAGCCTGCGCAGCCAGTAATAGCGGCCATCCATGCCGCTCATAGTTCTTGACTTGTGCCGAGGCAGGCGACACCTTGCGTATATTGAACGTTCGGCCGATATCTGCAGGACTCGTGGCACTTGAAGCCGGAGTGCAAGGCGCGCTCCGCGGATTCTGTCATGACATGTTCAGACACGTGGTAGCATATGTTTGAGCCAGCAGCGCGGTAGAGGACGCAGAATGGAATTTGAGATACTGATGCATAGCTGGGGCCTAAGACTTCGGCGCGTACTACAGTCGTAGAGGTGTGCACAGCTCATGTATCTCTCGCTCCTACGAATATGAATGTGTCTGAGCACGGTCATGTTCTATATACAGCCTCGCAAAGCAGCGGAGATGCCATATTTCTTCGTGTGTCGTAGCAGATGCGGGATGCGACGACCACGAGGGCAGTATGAAGCTTGTAAAACCTGGTGAAGAGCGTCATGATCATGTCCAGGTCGGCAGTGGCGTAGCTCGTGGTGGTAGAAAGAGTTCAACTTGAGGGGAAAGAGTTCGATTGGTTGGAAATGGGGGATCTTCTAAACTTGGCATGACGTTCGAAAGCTCCGGTTTCCAAGTTGAGGTCTCGAACCTCGAAGTCTAACAACTAACATATGACCGCTCCATGACCATATACTGGTCGCTGAGGTATTCTCTTACCTGCCGAAGATGCTCTTCAGTTGAGCCCTGTCCACCATGAGTTGGTTGTCATCGTGCTGTGGCTTCGGCCGCAAGAAGGGCGACGATACGGAGCCGTTGCTGCCTCGATATGAAGACGACACGGCTAGGCAGCGGGCATTGCACCAGAAGCTGCATTCGTACCAGATGATCCGAGCTCTGACCAAAGGATACATGCCCTCAAACGAGCAAACCATCTCGAACCTCAGAACTCTCCTTGCGAGCGATATCCTCAATGCCAATAACCCGGAGCTCAGCGAGTCCGGGCGCCTGCTCATACGCAATTGCCGAGGCTGGCTGAAGCTGTTCATTGAACTGCTACGCAACAAGAACAGTGCAGACCAGATCCAGGACTTCATCTGGTATCTCACAAAGTCCAGAGTCTCCTTAGACATCAATGATATCAGCCATCAGGCATCTAAGGTCAAGGCCAGAGCAGACGCTGCCGCTACCTACGAAAGCTTTCGCACAGTTGGCAGTCTCCTCCTGACGAACTCCGACTTCAGACTCTTCGTCAACGACGTTTCTACGATAGGCAGACAAGTTCTGGCTGATACTGCCTTCTCCGTTTCTGATGCCGCCGAGAAGGCTGGCAAAGAGCTTGAGCTGTCTAGTGAAGAGCAGAAGAAGATAGAAGGTCCTGGCGCAGACGAGGGAAGCCTGCCGAGCAAACAGGATCTAGAGCAGAATGCGAAAGAGACAACCAATCTCCTTGGAGACCAGGCCGTCAAGGTCGCCAAAGATACCGTCGCGAGCGCAAAGGAAAACTTCAGTGGGTCCCAGAAGGACACTTTGCTATACCGACTCAAGCAGGCCGTGACACATCTCAGGAAGAGGACCGACTACAACGACTCAGTCTCGACTATCACTAAGCTCATCCAGAGATACGCAGCAGCCTATTCCAGAATTGGTGATAAGGCGATTGCAACGGCCCAGGATGATATTCATACAAACCCAGCTCTTGATCGCGCTGTTCGAAACTTCTGGTCTCTCGTGAGCTCGTTCGGCGATAAGCAAGGATGGGAAAAGGTCGAGAAAGACTGGAATCAGGTTCTCGAGCATGCGAAGTCAGACCCACAGTTTGAAGACTTCATGGTCGAAGTAGGCAATGCTGTTGGGAAGATGTTGACGGATCCAGACTTCTTCGACAACGCTGATGCCAAGATCAACGAGCTCAAGGAGAAGTCGTCAAGACTTGGCAGCGAGTCCAAATTCCGCGATGACTTTGATACCCTGCTAAGAGACGTCACATATACCATCAACACTGTCATGGAAGATCAGGACGTTTTTGGATTGGCCAGAGCTACCGGGCGCATCTCAGACCTCCTGTCTCCGCCAAACAAAATCACCAACCCGGATCTGATCACCGACTCAATGCATGTCTTCCTCCCACTCCTCATTCGTGCCGTTCAACATATTCCGATTCCGCGCGTCGAGGTTTCTGTTCCCGAGATGGATCTCTTGATCGAGAACCTCATCCTTCAGCCTGGTCGGACGGTAAACAGCACATCATTTTTGCCATATCGACTCAATATTTCTACCCAGAATGACCTTGAGATCCGCAAGACGCACTCCAAGAAGACCGTCGCGAACACGAAATCGCTTATGACGATCTCCATCAATGGCATTTCCGCAGCCGCTCAAGATCTTGGCTATTGGATCCGTGGCCACGCTGGTATTGTCCACTTTGCCGACGCCGGCATCGCAAGTTTCTACCTAGACGAGCGCGGAATTGACGTCTCCATCGACGTAGAGATTGGCAAAGAACGCCTCGAGCAGATTCTCACCCTTCGCGGAGTACGCGTTCACATCCACAAACTCGACTACGAGCTCAGCAAGAGCAAGCTTAGTTGGCTCGGCTGGCTGTTCAAGCCATTCCTCAAGCAAATGATTCGCCGCTCGCTCGAGAAGCGCATGGCCGAAGGCATTGCCGACGCGCTGCACGCTGCAAACCGCGAGCTCTTGTATGCTCGCGAGCGACTCCGTGCCACGCGCATCGCGGACCCACAGGACGTTATTACGTTCTTCAAAGCTGTCGCCGCACGACTCACACCAAAAGACGATCCGGACGTGTACACTCGTGTTGGAGTGGATGCGCCCAAGAAGGGTGTCTTCCGAGGAGTCTATGCCCCCGGCAGCATTGTCAAGACCTGGCACGAAGAGGCTCTTCGCGCGGAGGAAGCCATCGTCGATGGTGAAGAGCGTGGCGATGGCTGGAGAAACGAAATCTTTGATGTTCAGGTCTAGGGAACTAGCTCGGTCTCGTAGGGAGAGACAATTGCCGGCATGACGACTCCGAGTGGCGCTGCTGGTGGCAGCTCGCAGAGGCGTTTCACTGGCCATCGACTGCAGCAGCTACTATTGGGCAATTGGACGCAGGTGTCAGGCGGTATGCGGCGGAGAAAATCCAGTGACGATGATAACCTGGGAGAGAGAGCTGCACGCTCACGGTTGGAGAGGCATCTGATTGGGGAGGACGACGTCTCGGCTCAGCCACAGGGGCGAACACGCTTACGGGAGGAGCGCCATAAGATGACGGTGGCTGTATCAATTCCTGATATTTGATCTTGCACAACATGCGTACGGTCGTTCAGATATCGTTCGAGCACGACCAAGTAGTTATTGCTACAGGACGTCTCCGACGGAGTGAGCGAATTCAATTGTTCTTGCGTCTCGGGACGAGACTTATTCTCAACGGCCAGGAGCCGATTGGGTACGGATTACACTCGGGTCGGTGTGTTTCGTCGTCGTGCCAGCTCAATCGTAATCTTTGCGCAAAGCTATATCCAACCTCCCACAACAATTGTGCCGCGACAGAGTCCTCCCACGCGTTCAAGTCTACGAAGTCCGCCCATTCTATCTCATCTCGCCGACGCAGTCACCTCCTCTACCTTCGGCTCACTAGCCTGCCCCTTGTTATCTACCCCATAGTCACTGCTCGTCTCCCCGACAACCTTTTGTCCCTGAACCAAGACATTCTCGCTGCCGTCGTCGAACAGCACTGCCAGCTCCTCGAGACTGTATCCTTTTGTTTCGGGAAAGAAGAGGTAGATCATCGTCAACCAGAAGAGATTCAGTCCAATGAAGAAGATGTAGTAGTGATACCCGATTGCTGCCAGTGCGATCGGGTTGACGTACATGTTGATGATGAGGGCGACCTGGCCTGTGAGATTCTTGACTGCGAGACCACGGCTGCGCATATAGAACGGCATGATCTCCGTTGGGTAGCTGTAAAGCAGGGGGTTGCAGGCGATGTTGTAGGCCACGTCGTAGAGGAAGAGGCAGACGATGACACCATAACCGGCGCCTTGCACTTTGCGCTGGGCGTACACTGCGGAAAGGGCCGTGAAGGGGACGGCGACGAGGATCATGCCGATGAATGAGGACATCCAGAGGGGTCGGCGGCCGACGCGCTCGGCGATGGAGGCGCCGAGGATGGCGGAGAGGAGGCAGACGATGTTGATGCCGCCGTTGATGCCGGTTTGCTGTGTTGTGCCGGTTATGCCGATAGTGTTGAGGATGGGTGAGAAGTAGTACGTGATGACGTTCTACACATCTGTTAGCATCGTCCACGGCAAGTCTATAATTCGAACTAACCTGCATGCACCCTGGAAGCGAGTTAGCGAATTACGAGAAATTCTTGGGGAGGCAGGAACTTACAAAGAGCCATGAGCGTCATGCACATGACAATGAGGACTCTAGCTCGGTTCTGCTTCTGAGTGAAGAGCGCTCGCCAAGTCACACCCTCGGTGGCCTGCTGCATGGCTACCTTGATCTCGACGAGCTGAGTGCGAACAAGTGGGTCCTCAGCGTTACCCTCACCATGGTACTTGGCCAAGATAGCGGTCGCCTCGTCCTCGCGGCCATTGGCCACAAGCCAACGCGGAGACTCCGGGATGAAGTAGATCGATGGGACGACGAAGCAGGGGATGAGGCCTTGGAGCAGTGATGGGATCCGCCATGCCCATGCATTGGTGATGGCCATGTGGCTCGTACCGAAGCAAGTCCATGCTGCGATGATGCTGCCGAGGTACCAGAAAGGATTGAAGAAAGACACAAGTGTACCTCGCATTCGAGGGTGGACCAGCTCACTGAGCAGCGCTGGGCCAGCACAGGTGATGAATGCAATGCCGAAGCCTAGGATGAAGCGAGCGCCCATGTATTGTCCGCGGCTTTGAGAGCCGCCCTGGAATGCGGCACCGACGATCGTGAGTCCTTGTCCGATAGCTAGGCCGATCTTACGTCCGCTAATGGCAATTTAGTACTGGTATTTAAAGAGCTGAGTATGTACTGACAATTTGTCCGTGATGATAGAGGCAGGAACGGAGCCACAGAAGGTACCAATGAAGTAGATAGCAGTGATCAGACCGAGTTGCGAGGGTGTTGGTGTACCCATATCTGTGAGTCAACTGTTAGTGGTGGGCATGTCTAGAGTGGCGAATATAGCATACCGGCTCTCCATTTCTTGAAACTCTGTAGATTGGCCGTTAAGGTAGCGTCGAAACCGGTACAGACTTGGGTGAGGTAGATCAAGACGACAGGAAACATCATCTTCCGAATGCCATGGTCCTTGTACCAGGGAGGGTGCTGCGCATCTGCGCTGGCAACAGCCGAAGCTGCCGCGCGTGGGCCTTGGCGGCGGACACGGGCACTTGGTCTGATGAAAGCCATGCTGATGAGTGTGTGGGGACTCCCAGAGACTGTGTGGTAGCCGTTATGGTGTAATGCCCGGGTGTTCAGGGCGAGGTGGGTGTCGATGTGTAATGGAGCACAAGACGGGGGCCGCGAGGTTCTTTAGTATCCAAGGCAGTTGCCCTCGTTGATTCTAGATCCGACGGACAGAGCCATGAAGCGCGTGGCTATGGAGTCGTGATAAGGGACACTTCCCCATAGTGCTATCAGTGGACCTCGAGGGGGTGGAATCGCGAGGGAGGAAGGGACATAGTATCTTCGCACGGGTCCTTCTCCCGAAAAACCTGCTGACAACACGAACAAATGCACACGTTGAAAGAAAGTTGAAACTTGCCTATCACAAGCTGTTAGGATGGAGGGCAAAAAAGCATGGACTCCGCTGATAGAAAGCCAGTTCCTGCCAAGCCAGGGATATACGACGGGATATAATATGCCGCGGGCTGATATCGTATCTACGCATGGAGACGCCTCGTTGCCTTGCCCGAAGCGCACAGAGGTTGGGTCTCGACCACCATGGACATCATACCGGCGCTTCGGGATAGATTGACTGTGCGACGGCCCCGATAATGGTAAAGATGCGACGGCCCCGATTGAGAACGTATCAACGACAGACTACGGACTGTAAGAGAAGTGATTAGCTGATATGCAACTGCAGAACGAGTTCATCGACGTGCCTTCCAGCTGGTGGGAGACCACTGTTGGTAAGTGCAGCTCGTCGAAGGCACACAGGCCGGGAATTGTCACGATTGAGCTGACAGTCAGGGCTCTTATCCGTCTACGGACGTGCCCTGGTGCGAGAGGTTTGATCACCAGGACGACACTGTCGCCAGCATGAGCGAACGTCGTCTTCAGAATGGCAAATATTGTATCGCTCGGTGTTGAAGTCGCGAGTGCACAGCAGACTCGTTTTATAGGGATCAGAGACATGAAAAGTCTGCGTGAAGATGTTGGGCTGGACAAAAATCAGATGGCTTGCTATTACGTTACATGTTCTAATATCGCTTCACGCCGGCAAGTTTCAGAAGCTTGTCACTCATGATCGGCAGCTTCCGTGGCTGCTCTCGATCCCGTGGGTCTCGCGTGCCATCTGGAAGGAACGTTCTTGTGTCTCTGACCACGATATTCTCATGTGGCCAGTGTGTTGTGCCCCCATATTTGCTGAACACTTCTGCTTTAATCTTGAGCTGCTCTTCGCTTGCCAGTCTAGCAGGCGCGTATGCGGTATAGATGACTGTTCGGATCTGATTGCTCGTCTCCAGAGGCTCGGCGCCGTAGTGTATTGTTCGGCTGTCCCAGAGGATGAGATCTCCAGTGTCTGCACAGACTTTGTGCGGCTGGATGCCGCGAGCCTTGAACCAGTCAAGTTGGGCACCGCTAAACATGTATCGATCCAGCGGATCCCAAGTCGCCTTATCGGTTTGAGTATCGAAGAACTCGTCGTTGAGCGCGTGTGATCCAGGGTACACAACAAGGCCACCATCGTCGGGGCCTGCTGGGGACAGATTTATTATCCCTTGTACACAGTGAAGTCCTCTCCGTAACGGGCTTTGGTCAATATGCTCCCACGCCGGCTTTCTAGGTACGTCCTTGCGATTTGGAAATGTGATGTTTAAGCTGTCGAAACTGGCGAGTAACTCGTCCGTTCCCCATAGACGCTCGAATGCTCCAAGAACCCCAGGCTCCATCCGTGCATCCCACATGAATTGTTCATGGGCAACGCCATAGGTGTGAAATGTGTTGATCTTGCTTTGTACGGGAAGATTCTGAGAAGTCCATGTTTCTGGGTTTTCAAAGTCGAGATCTGTGCCGAAGGATTGCAGCCAGTCATGAGCCTCGGCTCTCAATTCGGCAGCACGCGCTTGTGAGATAGCTCCTTTGACGACCGCATACCCGTTTCTCTTGAGATCTGCCTGCCAGTCTGACTGTGGTTGCTTAAGCAGGTTTGGAAGAGCAGCAGGTATCAGTGTTGGTGAGCTCTGTGGTGATATTGCAATGGGTGCCATTGCTTTAAGACTAATTCGATAAGCTATGCAGGTGTGAGGACTGACGTTGAACGTTGAGCTTCGTGCCGGATGGTTTTGTACTTTCGAAGGTTTCAACGATGTCGGTACGGTCGTGCCGACATGACGTGGATCGTGGGCATGTTGGAGAATATACCGTCGTATACGAGTCGGTACCGAGGGATCAACCACGACAGACTTTCCGCCCTGATTCATGACGATCCCACATACGACGGGAAATCCTCACCTCCGAGAGATGGTCCGAGGTCTCTGGAGACACAACTGTAGCTCCCAAGAATTGCGGCCTAGGTGCACAGGTCGGTGGAGAATGGCTAGAGCTCATATCAGTGCCAAGCTGGGATAGGTCGTTTCCAGCAAATACTCCCAATCAACCTTCTCCAACCTGTTTGCCCTGGTCCAGACCTCATCCAGAAGCTTGTGGAGCACGGTTATGTTGCCAAAGCCGAGGAGCCCCTCGACGAGATTCAGTCTGTATTCGACGGTCAATCTATCTCCCTTGGAGAAGCTTCCCAGACCAGCCATCATTAGCGGAAAGAGGAGATGCGTGCAGATATGGGATCCAGGCCGGATGAGTGACAGCTCAGATAAGATGCTTCGTGTAGCTGTCTGGATTTGGTCGCTTGTTGTTGTCTGCTCCCCGAGCAACGTCCAGCGTGCGTACAGAATGGCGGCCCACTTCATACAAATCGCTCCTGCTACAGCTTCTCCGAACTCGTTGCTTCGACCTATAGTGTCTGGCGGGCTCCATCCATCCAGGGCTCGCATGAGCGTGTCCATGTCTTGAGAGGCTGTCGGATCTGAACGCCCTTCTCGCGCTCGCTTCTCTCTTCTTAGCTTGCTGATGAGGGCAACCACGTCGTAAAATGCATCGCAGACACCAAATAATGGGTGAAGCTCAGTTGTTGGAGATCCGAGATCAAACCCGCGTTCACGATCGAGGCCGGAACGGGGTAGAGGGACCAAATGAGACGTCACAGATGTGACACAGCACAAGTAGCGGCACAGGTCTGCCAGAAACATCGCTGCTGGTTCGCGATCAGTCTCCGGCAATTGCGACGCAAGCACTTGTGAGCCCCGCAGATGAAGTAACCACTTCCTAGAGCGACCTTCACATATCTCCAATAAGCAGAGCAGCAGTGCAGTCGCTAAAATGTGCACAGTGTTGCCATTACGCTCGAGTTCGAGCTTGAGCTGGTCGAAAACCATGCTACGATGATAGAGCAGATCATTCTCAAAATCCGGATAAACCCTACTTAGATGCGAAGCGCTCAGCGTCAGGAGCGCGTGACGCACCGCGGTCGAACGGAACGCCATCGGAGCGATATACCGGAGGTAAGGATTCATGTCGTCGCCGCCGACCACGAGTGCGCGCGATATGGCCTGAAGAAAGTGGTTCAGAAGATGCCTGTCGCCGACACTCCAATCTCGCACCGAATCTGCCGCGAAACCTGTGTATTTACTGAGCGCGTTGATCTGACGCGAAGACGTGGCGTCGGTCAAAGATTGGCCTTTGTACAACTCAGGGACGTATATCAGTGCGCTACTGTGACTGAGATTTGGTCTGCTAGCACGATTTGCGGACTCGTCTTCGTCGACAAGCGCGATCCAGTCATTGAAATTTGGACTTCTTGATTCGATGGGCGGTACATGTCTTTGTTGTGTAGCTTCCGGAGACGAGAACTGCGGTGAGACCTGCGATGATGGAGAGTCTTTGATGTCGCGATGAACCTTGCGATTGTCATCCTTCTTACGTGGCACACACTCTGTACGTAGTCGCAGACAGTCTGTACAGACTGGCAACTTCTGGTCGCACTTTTTGTGCCGCTTAAAGCAGTTCACGCAGCCATCGGTAGATCGTGTATGGGTTACGCGCATCCGCGTTGGATCCCGATCCAGCACTGGCGATTCGGCTGGCACCACAGGACTCGCGCCTACGTACTCACAGGGCAGAGACAGGCCTGTAGAGACTCAGTGTATCGTCATAGAAGCGGAGAGCAGATGCATACGCTGACAACGAGCACATGGCACTTCCTGCGAGCATTTTGTCTGACACTGTGTTAACGACAGCACGTACTAGGGGTGACCAGAGCCACAACAAGAGAAAAACAAGGAGACATAACTCGGGTTTGTAGGAGCACATGCCTTGATCGAGGTGCACCTCAGACAGGCAGCACGACGGCGGCCCATTTCACATGCCTGCGATCGAGCTTCGCGTTCAGCTGCAAGCTGCAGAGAGCGCCTGGAGAGTTGACTATGGCCTCATATGTGATGTGATAGCGTGTAAGGAGGATGAGGAAGTGGGAATGGATGGAGGTGGACCTTGCTAATTGAGCGCCAAGAGCTTCGAAGGCAACCAGGCATCAACTCCACTTCACACGCTACCACAGTACGTCCATGTTGGCACATGCCAGTGGGTTTGATCCATATATCCCATTCTCGAAAGGGCAACTGTCACTTGGGCACTCGGCTGGATAAATCACTGCGTTTCACAGACATCGAAACCCTTACGAGCAGCACTACAGCCTTTGGCGCCTTCGAGGCGACAGGCTTGAAGGAACATAATATGCAAACATCGTACTACCCTCCTGAGCAAGACACTGACTTATTCGCACGAGAGTCTCCTCGCCATCTTCATTCCCGGTACGGCGTCTGTTAGCTAGAGCGCCTCTCCGGTGAGCCAAGCCATTGCTAATGGCGCCCTCCCCAAACTCACTGGCGGCGTCCCGCTGGGCGTCCCCACAGCCAAAGCGACATCCTCAAACACACCGGCCCCCAATAACTCTATTACCATCTATACCGACATTGACACAGGTGACGAATCGCTCAAGTCAACCATCCTCGTCTCCAATCTCTGCACAGAGCTCATCTGCAAACCGATTTCCGAGCCAGTCCCCACAGAAATCACCAGCCCATTTCAACGGTGCCCAGAACGCTTCTCAGCCAGCGCCCACTACGAGCATCAAAAGTCAACCTTCCTCGCATAGCTCACACCTCCAACTCTACATCCGCCTCCTCCCACGTCTGAAATGGCGCGCCTGCCTCCTCCTGACATCTTTGCACTTCGCAACGAATCCCTCCGCACACGGTGTCGGTATGGATGAGTCACAAGCAGACGTCCAGTTCCGCATCGAGTTCTTCGAGTTCTATGTGCTGCTTGAGCGAGTGCTACTATCTTTGATCAATGCCGTTGGGCTGAAGGTAGCCAGGGACGGCGATAATGGTGTTCAATCCAGGGGCAGATCGCCTACTGAGTCGCTGAAAAACGTGATGAGGACGGTTAGTCGTGACACCAGTATCAATGGTGGGGTCAGAGGTAATGGGCTGATCGGGGACAGTAGGAACTTTCCCGCAATACCGACGACTGTGAGAGAAGATTTCGCCAGCGGACCGAACGCAAGCCGATTCAGCAATGACCGCAGCCACGCCTTCCACGCCAACCTCCTCACCACTCTCTCGCAGTCACACCAGAATCCACTCTACGCCACACTAGGCACAGGAAGAGCCAATGCATACATCGCACTTGCGAAAGACCTCCGCAATGGTTGGAAGACCGTCGCTGCAGAGTCCTCCATAACGAACGGAAGGGGTCGCTCGAGGAGTCCCGCAAAGAAGCACTGTCTTCCCAATGGGACTCAATATAACAATCCCGACGGCGGTCAGGCGCCAGACTCTGACGACGAAGAGGCGGCACGACTACAATCGCGACTCAAGCGACGCTACGCGGACCTCCTTCAGGAGCTGAAGCTCGACGAGATGCTGTGCGAGATACTCAACGCGGTCGAGGCTGCTGGCGTTGTCGCTACACAGGTCATCGAGCAGAATGAGCATCTGCGAGACGCCAAGGGCGACGTGATTCATGTCCACGACAGAAAAGCAAGTGTAGAGATGGTGGATGCCATGTATCTCGACGAGCGGTACGGGGCAGGACATGGTCACAACGTGCAGGATGGTCCAGTTGAGAGCCGAGGTATGGAAATGGGCATGGGATGGGCCGGTGATGAGATGGAGTTCTAATGTGCCGGTGAACGTGAGGCTTGCTACTACTATCGAGACGACTCTCACCTCATAGCACAGAGATGATCCAACTCAAGACAGCGGTAGGATACTATTGAGAATGTAGGTATAAGGCTAACGACGATGAGCCCTAGCACCGTCCTGCCATCCATCAAAAAAAAGGAATATCAAAAAGGAAAGCTGATAGCGCCCGGGATCGAACCGAGATCTTCTTGAATTCTGGTGACTCGCCTCGTCGGGCTCATAACCTATGATGCTGTTTTGGTGCTAGAAGGAGCTTATGGTGCAGTTTTCCACAATCCCAGGCCTAATAGGAATGCGAATTTCAGTTTTTGAAAGGGGCATGGATATGAATTTGGAAGTAGTTTGGGAGCAGTCCTCAGATGAGGAACTACTTGACGGGGACATGGTTATGAATTGGGGCTTTCCAGACGACAAGGACGAGTCAAGCTCAGACAAGATATGCTACCATTGCACCACGCCACCTGTGTGCGAAGTTTGAGGTCGATTTCAGATGAACGAAATTATAGGGACGACTTCAGGTGAGGTGGACTGCTGTTGGCAAGTGAGGTGAGTGCCATTCTTGGCAGCAACAGTAAGGCTCTGACCACGAGTATCGCCGTGAAGCCTCCGGGATAGCTAGAGTGGTTGCGTGAGCATGTGATTGTATGAGATGTGCTGTACATATACCTGTAGCATGCCTACCAGCTTGTGAATAGCTGATAATGATATCCTCGCCCACTGCCGTAAGCGAATTATATCATCTCCTGGAGGTCCTCGACCTGTTCTTCTACCTTGTGTCACCTTGACACAGAACGCCTTCGCTATGCACCGCTTGTGGGAAAGACCGCAATTTATGTTCGTGGGTTTTGCCCGTTCTCTCCGGCATCATGCTGCTTCTCTCTCTTTCTGCTTGTCCTTGAATTCCTGGTCACTGGAGGGCATCAAGGCCTCTGCTGCAGCGACACTGCTTCTCCTGTCACAACTTCGCCTTGACCCGGTTCTCAACAGCAACGCCCACCAAAACAGCAATATCATCCGGCTTCCCGCCCACATAACTCTCCCCCGGCAGCTCCCTCCTGAATGCCTTCGCAAAAGGCCCATCCCTCTTCCGACTCCTCCCCGCCGTCTTCGCCTCTCCCACAATACTCGCCGCGATCGTCGCCTGCAGCGTCCCATCCATTCCTCCATATTTACTTGCGCCTTCCCGCTGCACTAGTCCAGACAACTTCTCGCCGATGCCAAATCCGTGTTCGCGGTCAAGTTGCCACGCACCAGCCGACCGCATAATCCGACTAACGATCTGCAGTACATCCTGCGCGTCAAGATTATCCCACACCCCATCGGTCGCGAGTACCAGCACGTCGCCATGCGCGAGCATATGATCCGCGGTGTCGGCTCGGTCAGGTTCATCGTTCAGCGGCACACCTCCAAATACAGTCGCCTGCCGGAGAATATCCGGTGGGGTCAGCGACATCTGGTAAGGCGTGTTGAATGCATGTGTCTGTGGTTCAGAAGAATGGTGGACCCGGCCTAGGCGTAATTGGATGTACCCGCTGTCGCCTAAGTTCGCGACGCGCATGCGCCCGTTGGGCTCGACGACGCCGACGCAGGCGGTCGAGCCACCGGCTTCGATTTCGGGATCTTGCTTAAGGGCGTCGTAGCCTTGTTGGAGGAGCTGTTTAGGTAGGGGTGGAGTTGAGGCGTTCCATTGCGATGCAATGGCAGCCATGTGCGAGCACAGGCCGTGGGAGAAGTCGGCTGGGTCGATGCCGCGCTCGGTCCAGCCGCCGACGCCGTCTGCTATGGCGAAGGCGGTGGCTCGGGCTATTGGGTCGCATTGCCGACTTGGGCTACGAAATAGGCGTCTTGCCCGCTAGGCGGACGGGCTTTCCGCTTGTCGTGTATTGTGCTGCCTCGTTGTAGGCCTAGGGCGTTGCCCTGAGAGGGCACATAGTCGAACGTCGCTTGGGCTGGATGAAATTCGTCTCGTTTGCCGGAACTGGAGGCGCTGATGTGTAGCGACAGAGGCGGCAGCTTGGATGATGTGGCGCCTTGTGTAGAGGAGGAGGAATATGATCTCGAAGTCTTGTACGGGGTAGGGCTTCGCCGTATACTAGCGGAGAGTTCTGAGAAGATGTTATAAGCACGGGCAATATCCAAACGACAGGGCTTTCCCGCACGGTACTGTGGGTTACTCAGGATGATCTGACGCGTGAGAAACGCGGTGGGCCGTTTGATGGTGAGCACGGCGGCGCTCATGGCGGCGCTGAGTGTGCCGTTGAGCGCGGCTGGGAAGAGTGGGTGGGACTCGATGGTGGTGGTGAGGGATGGGTAAGTGTAGAGGATGAGAAAGATTACGACATGGCTGATGAGGATGAGGGCGAGGGAGCGCAGGAGGATGTTGCGCAGCATGTGATTATAGCGAGAGCATGAGTGAAAGTAGTGAGAGCGCCGTGGTTCGTAGACGCCAGCTGTGCTTATGGAGAGATATCTTGAGTTTAAGATGTTCCGCGTCGATCAAAAGCAGATCAGAAGTTGAAGTTGGAGACGACATCATTTCAACTTCACTCCACCTTTCAAACGACTTCAGTCCACAGCTCATTCATTCTACTCACTTCGATCGCGACGGCGGATGCGAAGACCCATTCTAAACTACAGCTAGCAACACAGCCATCGAAGCCCAGGACAGCGAGTCCTCCCACCCAGCATGCGCCCCTCCTCTCACCTCCACCAACCACTCCTAAAGCGCTCTTCATACTACACACCCGACTACCGACAATCACCTGCTTTGATCCGCGCACGGCGGCCATACCTCGTCAAGAATGCCATCACTGGACTAGCTATCGGGGGATTTGCTATCGGCGTTTGTGCGTTTCGTCGGTCAGAATCATAGGAGCAACTAGAGACTAATGCAGATACAGTCGCGTTCACGCTCAAAGCCGTAGGGCAGGATACGTTTGACGATGTGATCGTCCCGACAGACAGCGATAAGTTGAGCCAGCCGCCGAAGACGCCAAACGTGTCGGCTGGTGGCGCGCGGTCATGAGTCGAAGTCTGTATGTAGGTACAATCATGACGGAGGTAGCGTTCGAGCATAGCCGGCGTTCGGGCATACATGGAGCGAGAACTTGGACAGCAAACCGTCTACGGATGCGGCCATCAAAGAGGACGACAACACTGTACATTGTACATACATGCGCATTGAACCTGCATGATCAGCCAGCATACTGTGACTGTGCTTGCGTCCTCCGTCAATCTATAAACGCGACTTGAGCACGTCCAGAGTAGAAGACCTAAAAGGGAAGGGTGCAAGCACCCCTACTCTGGTCGTGCTCAAGTCGCATTTATAGATTGACGGAGGACGCAAGCACCTTCCTGCTGCCGGTAAAGGCGATGAAGAGGCAAGCACACACGGACGAGGAGCTCTCGCGGAAGGAGCGCAAACAGAGAAGGAACCTAGCGGGCAACTATTGGCATGAGCAAGTACGTGAGCAGCGCCGCACAAGCCGACAAATGTAGGCCCGAGCCCTAGTCAGGATGAGCGTGGAGGATGGTGGGGGATGGAGAGATAAGATTGAAGTCAAGGCGTAGAATCTGAAGCAGAGGAAGGTCTGCTTGATCAAATCTGGAAGAGAAATCCAGTTCATGAAAATCGTCTGGGAAATCTATGGAAAGAGCCTGTCTAGCCGCCAAGGAGCGTCCATATCGCGTGTCATCAAAATCTGGACATCCCAAGTCCTGGCCCCGTCGTGATACCAGCCGTCTTTGTCGGCATCGTCGGAGAAGCTGTAGCCCGACTCGGCATGCTGTCTGCTAGTGTCATGAACGTTCGTTGTTGCTGAGAATTGCTGCCGCCACCGAGAGCCATCCGTCCGGGCACCGGTGATGAGAGTGCATTGTTGTAGCCAATCTCAACTCGTCCCCCGTTGTCCGCTCCGTTCGGCAGTGGGCGCCGAGTGTCCAGCGGAGATCGCGACTCGTTACGCCTGTCAACGAACGGATAGCCGTTGGTCTGCTGTTGCTCTGGCTTTATCACGGATCCGTCATGCGGTGTGTTGATCTGTGAGGAGGACGCATGCTCCGCGATCGTCGATGCCGAACCCATTATAGCGGGCCTGTTGTCAGGTTGCCGTTGTTGGTGATGTGCTGGCGTCAGGTATGTCATTTCGTTCATGGGCGACTGGTTCGAGGTCTGTCGGTTCATGCCCATTCTATAAGCTGCAGTGGGAGGATTACTAGCCCAAGGATTCTTATCCAAGAACGACTGCTCGTCTGCCGCAGCCTGCTGTGAGATGTTGCTGTATGTGCTCGTCATCCTTTGCACGGGTCGAGGAATGGCTCCCTGATTTGCGATCTGTATGCTGCTTAGCAACATGTGCGTGGGTGGAATTGGTACACTTACACCCATCTTTTGCAAGTCGTCTTCCAGGTCTTTCTGACTCGTTTGCATCAAATCAGGAGCTGCTGGAAACCCGACATATTTTGCAACGCCAGACAGCAGCGACACCTCTTTGTTGTACGCAGTTTGCTGGATGACCTGTTTCGACCTCTTGGTTGGGAATGGCACCGCATACGTAGGAGTCGTTGTATCCGACTTGAACCTCTCGCGCTGAATGCGAACAAACCGCTCGTTGACAATTTCGAGGTGCCTCTCCCGAATATCTCGCGTTTCTTGGAAGTAGGCGCTGTGTGCTTGTGCTCGTTCTGCAACACTTTTGGTTTTGAGCGCGCCAATCTTGTAGACCAGCGTCTTCTGTGCGATCTCGATCTTTTCGTCTCTGTATGCTTTGACAACGGCGACTTGTTTGATCAGCTCGGGATGAGTGGGTGTCGGTTCAGCCAGCTGAGCCAGCTCGTGGTTGATGGCTGCGATCTTCTCGTCATAGAGTCTGTCTCGAAGGTTCGCGAAATGTTTCTCCAGCACACCGAGCTGCTCCATCGCTGACATTCGTTTGGCCTGCTCTTCCTCGCTTTTGGCAGCGACCTCAGCATCGTCCACTTCCTCCTCTTCGCTATCGTCTCCACCTTCGCCGTCTTCCTCGGCATCGGCTTCGACGTCCTGCTGAGGATCACCCTTGCCTTTTCGTCTTGCAGAGACTCGGCTTGGAGGGGTAGGCTTCTTTGTCTTTGGCTTGGCCACGCCTGTATCTGTGTCTTCGACACCTGCCTCTTCTTCGTCTGATTGAGCGTCTTCTGCGTCGGCGGCTTCTGCGGTCGGCTCTTCGGAATTGGCCTTGCTTTCTCGGCTTTGGGGCACTTCTGGAATGGTCTCGCGCAGAAGTTTTGCATTCGGGCTGATGTCTGACAAGGTCCTCCTTTTGCGATTGCGATCTTGTATGTCTTCGAGTTGCTCTTCGTCGTCTCTTTTCCGCTTGTTTGGCGAGACATCACCCGGTGAAGTCTTTTCTGGCGCCTCTTCGTCCTCGTTCTCAGCTGGCACGTCGCTGAGGTCGTCGTCGGACTCTGAGTTGGTCGAGATAGGAGAAGAGACTGCGCTGTCAGTCAAGCTCTCAATCTCGGGTCGCTCATTGGGACTGTGGTTCATCTGGAGGGGTTGCGCTAGCTTGCTGGGCGTCGCGATGAAAGACTTTCTGCGGTTGAGCTTGTCGGGCGACTCTTCGAGGCGCTCGGTCTCCGCCTCTGAGTCGCCGTCGGCCGCCGCGTGTCGATTTGGCGTGTCATTCGACTGGATTTCTTCATCACCCTCTTCGAGCTCGTCATCGTCACCATCAATGTCAATTTCTGCTTCGTCTCCCGCGTCATCGCCGACGTCGCTCAGCTCTTCGTCGTCGAGGTCGCCTTCAAGTTCGCTCAGGCTGCTGGAGCGGTCATCATCGTCTTGTAATTGTTGCTCAGCTTCCGCTAGCGCAGTCGCTGTTGTAGACAGCGCGAGCAGAGAATCTGCAGCGGAGTCCATAGCGACGCTCGAGCTGATGTGGTCGACAGATCAGTAGTCGTGATCAGGCTGAATGTGCTTGTGGACTATTCCTATCTTTTTCAATCGAGTGAACTTCGAGAAGCTGTTCTGTGGGTGGAGTAGCACATGCGCGCTCGAGGGGAGGTGTGGCCTGCGCGATCAAGACGTCAATTTGGTTCGCAGCAAGCGCCGATACACTCCTCGTCTGTGATAGAGATCGCGACCAGGTTTTGAGCAGTTTCTGTCGCGGCGAAGGTATGAGTCTAGGTCTGGTGTATGAAGAGGGCGGTGGTGTGGTGGAACAGGTTCGACCTGGCGGACAATGGTATTTTTGACAGTCGCGTGCAAGAAAATTCGTGGCAGTCGACTGCAGCTTTCACAAGTGATATAGAGTGCTGCTCTCGCAGATTTTGGGTATTGATAGAGGTTCAGACAGCGAGCAAAGAGTGGGAGGAGGAGCGGTAGCAGCAGAGATACTACCAAAGAAGACCCGGCTGGTACATCGTCACAGTCACGGGATTATTTGGAGAAACATCGGTGCTTACATAACGCGACCCACCCGAAATTCCTACAGAATTTTGATAGACTCCAAGCCTTTTTCAATGAGACGTCCTCGTGTATGAGCGGCGTGAATATCAACGTATTGTCATACTTGCCGAAATGGGCAAAAAGGAGAAGAGAGCTCGGGATGGTGGAGAGAAGCCCGTCAGCGAAGTCGAAGTCCCAGCAGCCAAATTTGATCCGGCATTGGCATCTCTCTTCGCGACAAGTTCAGGCCCGGTCAAGGTGACAAGCCAGCCCGCGAGGAAGGTCGAAACGGTCCAGAAAAAGCCAGCTCCGGCTTCCGACTTGCCCACTCCTGAAGACACAGATCTCGAAGCGTCGGATGCTGACTCAGATGGAAGTGACAGATCTTCGGAAGGACAGCAACCAGAGGTCGAGAATGAACGACCACGGAAACGACGAAAGGTCAACGATGAGGATCTCGAGGATGTCTACTTTCGCAAGCTCGCTCAAGAAGAGCAGCGAGATCTTCAGCGGCAACGAGATGAGGCCGATGCGGAATCTGAGATAAGCGATAGTCCATCTAACGACCTTATGGACTTGTCTGATGACGAGGCCGACGCGATTCCCGTCCATGAATCCCTGACCACAGCCAACGAGGACAAAGCGGCTGACGCCATCAACCGCACAGTCTTTCTTTCGAACGTCTCAACTCTCGCTATCAAGTCGAAGGCCTCCAAAAAGACACTTCTTTCTCACCTCGAGACCGCTCTTCCCGCCAGCACTAAGATTGAGTCCATTCGGTTCCGATCTACAGCCTACTCGAAGGATGCTGGCCCAAAGAAAGCCGCGTATGCTACTAAAGCGCTAATGGACGAGACAGCCTCTTCTACACATGCCTACGTCGTCCTCTCAACCGTTGAAGCGGCTCAGGCCCTTGTTAAGCTCAACGGCACAATCATCTTGGATCGCCATCTCCACGTCGACCACCTTGGCTCTGCCACCACGATCGTACACAAACGCTGTGTGTTCGTTGGCAATCTGCCGTTTGTAGATCAAGAGACCCTCGACACCCCAGCTGAAGACAATCCGCGTCAACGGCCCAGAGCGAAGCAGCGATCTGACCCTGAGGAGGGTTTATGGCGAACGTTCGCCCGAGCTGGCACGGTCGAGAACGTCCGCATGGTCCGCGACAAGATGACCCGAGTAGGTAAAGGCTTCGCCTACGTGCAGTTCACCGATGAGAATGCGGTCGAGAAAGCACTTCTTATGAATGAGAAGAAGTTCCCGCCCCTGCTACCCCGAAAACTTCGGGTCATGCGGTCAAAGAGGCCAGCTGCGAAGCCTAAAGCTCTGGATGCGAAGAGAAAAGGTGTTCAGTTGAATGGCAAGAGTAGTGACAGAAGGGGCAAGGCGGTACAAGACGAGCGAAATAGAGATGCTGGGAAGCGGAAGCAATCTGGTGGTGGGGCGGGTGGGAGAGACAAGAGATCGAATCCGTTAGGCAAAAGTGTAGTCTTCGAAGGCTATCGAGCAAGTGCGTCCAAGCCGATGAAAGGCAAGGACACTTCGAAGCAGCAGAAGAAGCGTCCTACGAACCGGTCTGCGAGTAGAGGTGCTGCGTTCAAGGCTGGCCGTGGAAAGAAGAAACGGGACATGAAGAAGTGAAGCAACCTGAAATCTCGGCACGATGCACATCGAGTATCCTAAGAGATACTGAATGCGAAATGTCAGTCAAACGGGCAGCTTGAGGTATGGTCCAATACCCTTTCCACCTGGAGACCGATACTGAGTAGCAATTCCGATTTCTTGGCAACTGGTCTTCACTTAGCGCGAGCGACTGCATAGCAAGCAAGTGAAGCATCCGCAGCTCCATATCGTCCCCACAAAGTCACTACTTCGCTTGCGAAACTTTCTATTTAGTCTGTCTGCCATGATCGCGAACGGCGCAACTTCTCTCTTCGACAACGAACACATCGTCGCATCATCCCTGACTTCTGCGGTTCTTCGTCCTTGGAAGGTGACCTTTAGTCAATACCTCCTCTTCCTACAAGACAGACCCGCCGAGACTGGGCGGATACCGTCCCAAAGAACAACGAGCCTCCAAATTGATCATGTCGTCGCAGAGCGAACCTTCCACCGCGGGTCAGGAGGATCCTCAACCATCTGTTGCTCCAAATCTTCTCACGATCCCGTGCGAGATCCGCGAGCGCATTCTCGAGTTCTACTGCGAAGATCTGGAACCAACGTTGACTATCAACGTGCGGTAAGGGCAATTCAAATATGATCCACCACTACATGAGTTGCTGATGTCGACACAGACATGTTCGAGTTGAGGAACAAGTGCGACAATGTTGCAAGGGCGCTCCCAGAGGCTTTTGTCGTGGCAGGGGCGGCATACCTGTTGCTCGAGACAATGAGAGACTTCCACATGTCGGAACTAGGTCTGAGTGCCATGCCCTTGGCTTCTCCTTCGCTGGTCGCAAGAAGTCCACTGGCGATAACGTGGCCAGCCTCGAAAGTGTCAGCAAACAGCTAAGGAGCGAGTTCGCTGAGGTTGCACTTGGGGACCTTGAGCGCGGAGTGACCATAGACTTCGTGGATGATTGCCTGAACTTCAGCGGTCGCCCATACGACTGGGGAAAGGTTGATGTGGTGACGGTTGGACAATTCGGTGGCCACGTCAAGTCAATTGCCATCAACCCACGGGCTCTATTCTGTTGGCGTTGGACTGATACGCGGTGTCCCAAGATTGGTGGAATCATCTGCGATCTGTTCCCGAAGCTCACGAGGGCAACGATGATGGATCCGACCAGAGACAACACCGCGTGGCGTGGGCGGCTTCCGCAGAAGTCGAATGGCTGGTATGCGCGGGAAGACTTCGATGCAATGCGCTTGACTGAGACCCATGGGCATATGATCGCGACGCCTGGGGTGAGCCGCCTCCGTTCCATGCTGCGAGTCGAGGGGGGTCGACCTTCGCCGCACTTATTTGAACAGACAGCTGGGTTCGAACTCAGATACAAGGTAGGATTCTATGATAGCTACTGGAGTGGTCGCACCGAAAATGCTCTCATGGTGAGTTCTGCCACAATTGCGCTACACTCGGTCTTGAAGTGACCTGCACTGACACGACTACAGATATTCGAAGCCAGCCAATCTCAAGGTGGAAACGTCGAGGCAAGGTTCTCGCTGAATTATCCAGCGATCGATGCCTACCACGAAGCCGCGCAACACGCTGAGACGACTTACCATGAAAGAAACGGCTGCACCTCGGCAGAGCACAAATGCCCTCGAGAGGCAATAGCCAGCAATCCGCAAGATGACGGCGACGAATATGGCACGGACGAAGATGCGGCCGAAGAGAGCGATTGAGAGGACGTTGGAGACCCGAACGAGCCGTAAGGTGACGATGCGATCTCTGCATGTATGCCTAAGGTCGGTTGCCGCGTCGGTCTAAGTCCAACCCCGGGAGGGAGATGAATGCTGTTGTGGCAAGACATAGTAGTCGTCTAAATTGGACGAAAGAGATATCAATGGCATCACAATCGAAGTCGCCAGGTGCTCTGGGTCACTGCCCATTCATGCAACATTCGTCCTGTTCCACATTGCTCCTCACAAATTTTAGTGGATGTGGTTCATGTCAAACCCTTGGTGGTTTCATCGCGGGTGGGGACAACGCTCACTGCACGTTTCTTGCACATAATCATCGATCCCAGCGAGTCCGAAGGCAGGTCGTGGATGTGCATTAGGGGTAGCTCAGCGAAGGTATGGACCCAACACTCGGATCTGCATCTCCGAGCGGAATGTCTTGGCTCATAGGCTGATGTCACCGGGGCTGACTGACCCCACTGGCTTTGACGTCGACGAACACTCGGACTAGGACAGCAGAACATGCGATGTGCTTCATTCAAAGTATTACGACTGGAGTCTGGGCTGCGTGCGATGTGCTTGTCTGATGAAGGACGAAGGTCTCTCCATATAATGTGCAGGGGTAGTTGTCGACTGGATGTTATACGCGGGATTTGAAGACCGTAAGTATGTGCACGGCTGTCTGATATGATCCCTGGCCTCAGGGCCATTTGTCAGCGACGGCCGCAGGAGCTAAAAGCGATGTCAACGGGAGGTTGCTAAGACGTCCGTCAGCAACATGCACCTTGCTGTAGGCAGCACAATCCAGGTGCCATCAATCCGAAGAATATTATAAGTTCTAGGCAGCTTGTGGCCATCGGCGGACGGATCACATGCACGCACGCGTCACCGTGCCTGCGTAAGTGAGCGGCAACAACTTGAAGTCGTAAACTCGAGGACTGCAGCTGCCGGAGCATTATCGATAGCACCGGGAACGAAGGATTCGGGCCCGCCAATTTTGAGAAAGCTGTTACCGCAGGATCAGTCTGTCCTGATACTTCTGTTACCATGGCAGGTGTGAGTCAGTTTGAAGTGCCAAGACCCACTCATTCCATTCCAAGGCTCTAGAGATTTTGCAACTTTTATGGATTTCCTTCAACTCTTCATCTACTCGATACGCTTTTCTACGAAGCTTGCTTCAATTCCTACTTGCCCGACGCACGCTTCGACTGCGACTTTCCATCATCGCCCAAGGTCTGTTTGATAATCAAAGATCGTCACCCGAAGCAAGTGCTCCTCCTAACGTGCTTCTAGTACTGGGGCAGCGACAGTCAAGACGTTGGCTTTCCTTGCCACATTCCTACCAACACCGAGGAGCTCAAGTGCTACTCCCGAGGCTTCGGCTCTCTTATTAAATTTTTTCTACCCAGTTGAGAATCTCAACCACACCAGACTTCGGTCTGGCTTACTATTAAACTCAGGTCTCTGGCCTCGACTATCGGTGTACACCGTAGACGCGGCTGGTTACCATACTGGATCTTGATCCAGTCTTGAACAACCATTTGTGCTGGCATATTGAAAAATCATGGCGTACACTCAAGGTCGAGACATCGATCGTGTCGGTCCGGCTCGTGACCACTCTCTGGTCGTGTCTGCATATCAGACGGAAATCGACGACTTATTTCGCTATCAGGCAGAGCAAGAGCAGATTGCAGCGGCTGCGACACAAGAGTTGGCAAAGGTGAGTCAGTCGTTGTATTACCTCGAACTTGAAATTGGGTTCGACGAAATTGACTTTGAGTCAAGACGGCGCGAGTATTATGACCTGAAGAGGCGTGAAATCGTTGTTTCGAGGCAGCGTAAAGTCGCCCTTAGAGAGCTAGAGCTTGCTCGACGAGAAGAAGACGAGCTGAACCAGCGCGAATCCGATCGACTACGCGAGTGGAAGCGAAAGCTTGCCCTAAGGATGCGCAAAGTTGCCGAGAAATGGCGTGGACTTGCCCAGAGGAACGTCGACTTTGCTCGAAAACGTGAGCTGGGTAGTTGTCCAGGCGAGTTAGCACCTGGTCCGGAAGAAAGACAGTCGGCATCTCTGCAGGAAGGGAGACAGACATCGTTTGCTCACGAAGAGGGAGAACGACTAGTTGTGCAAGAGGCTTCCATAACGCAGATCTCTGGGCGATGCACCGGACCGATGGTGGTTCCAACCCCTGCTCTGGCCGACACTCACACCAGCGAGGGCGAACATTTGCCAGCCTCTATTGCCGCACGAGCAGCACCTCTCGCCCGCTTCGGTGACTCCAGCGCTCAGCCCAATCAGATTCGCGCCTCACCTGATCGAGATGAAGACGCCTCTGAAGCTCAAGATATGTCCGGAGGTGAGTCGTCATCTCTTTCTCCGCCCGAGGCTGGACGCCGCAGCGAGCGACTCAGAGCTGTCGTCACTATCGGGAGGCAATGGACTCAACATGGCAACGCACTGGCTATCGCTAAACCTCCAGCGACCGTGATAAGTTCAGATCCAAGGCTAGAGGTGCCTGACGCATCAGCGCTGGCCCGAGAACGAGCCACCAGAGATCCTGGTCAGTTCGCAAGGTACAACACGCAACCACGCCACAAGGGCAAAGGTACGAAGAAAAACGGAGGCCATCGTCGCAGAGGCTTCGTGCCAGATGGGCCGTCTGGTTCATCATGAGCTGCTCTGCGCCTTTGAATTCGCCCATGCCGTACTGTCTATCTGCGCTTTTTGCTTTCGTTGTTCTCCTGCCAGGTCCGGCCTCCTGAGTCTATTGTGAGGTCTGACGAGATGTACACCTCCTAGGTAAGAACGTCACCATAGTCTGTCATGCTGACGACTCTAGGCTTAGTCAATTCAACCGAACGCCGACACGAACAGAGCCCTGTGAAATGATGCCGCAAGAAGAGTTTCCTGAGAAGTGGGAGTTCAAAGTCTACAGAAGGCAGGCTTGTGCGTCGCCATCGTTGACAAACCATACTAAATTCGATTTGCTGTCTCCTTCGGCCAAATCCACAGGCAAATCTTGTAACAGACCTATATGTAGTGTACGGACCAGAACGCACTCGCTCGAGTGCCTTAGGTCTCTCGATCAGGCCTGCCACACAAAGTGCCAGACAAAGGGAGAGGTGTGTTCGTCTGTCTTTCGCACTGAAATCAGCACCCAGCTTCAAGTCGACATAGTCGGCCTCTTTCTCAGCCCCTTCGCCTCAAATGTTCCTCTCAAAAACTAAGGATCCAGCATGTAGATGATGCGACACAAGCCTTCAATGCATCGACGAACACAATCACAGCATGTGCAATGGTCGAGCTTTCTGCGTAATGATGGGACGCGGCTCTAGTGTGCCGAAGGTGGTTCCCTCTGAGGCAAGGCAACACCTGTGATAAAGCTATCCTGCTGGATAAAGAGAGTCCAGAAGCCGGCGCCGCATTCATGAACAGCAAGCCCACCGAGAAGCAGAAACACAGGCCGGGCCGCTCAGGCCGCTTTCAGCCAGCTCCTGAGCGGCTGACTCGGGTCACCGAAGGATTGCCTATGGGTCAGGATCCTAAATGAGCCAACGTATCAATTGCGGACAGCATAGGCAGAGCTCTGAATGCCAGGCAGGATGGAAACGAATATCCAAACATTGGATCGTTTTGTTGGGTGAAGACAAGCCGGCAGGAGCCCCTCGGACTGGCGCTCGTCGAACGTATCGTGCAAGCGCGTTATCTCGAACAGCCACCACTCCACGCAATCTATACCAGCCGTCTCAAGCAAACCGTCAAAGGTTGCCTGAAACGGTCCAGCTCGCGCTCAGCTTGCCGGCGCGGCTAATGACGCCGACCACGCCAACAATGCCCACGAGTTCGACACGTTCGTGCAATGGGTTTGAGTATCGAGCCACAAGTCCATCGAGGCGACCACAGCGGATGCACAATCGGCGACGGAATAATTGGACATGCTAGCACTGCGTTGACGAATTTGATGCAGTGAATTTGGGCCACTGGCGAGCGGGCTTAGGGAGTCACCAAGCGGCAGCCTGCATCCAGATAAAATCGTAGCAGAGCAGGAAGTTTCAGTAACCAATTGACAAATCTGAACAACTCGCAATGGCTTCATCGCCTCAAAGACTGACCCTGCCACCGTATGGATAAAGTTAGTGTGGATATCGTCGGCCGTATGCGTGCCCATCCCCGCTTGACGTCTTCTTCACCACCCGCTGCTTTCTCAGGTCTGTCGATCAACGATCCGTCTTGGAGCTATCCGTGGCTGATAGCCCATTTTCGTACTCAGTAACAACTGCCTTCCCATGATGTAAGTACTGAAGTCGAAGAGCAAATATCAACAGCGTGAGTGACCGCGGGAAACGGCAGTCTTGTCGTCATACATCCGTGTCGGCGACAAGCGTTGCGATTCGCGCATCAGGTCTGCATTCCCCGTGTTCCATTGCATTAATCGAGCTAGCTGTGTTGTTCAGGGACAGTAGGTAGTGGACAGGGCGTGAGGCGCTTCTTTTGAGCGATTGCTTCCTCTAAGCGAGGTTCAGCAACAGCATGCCATCCACGACGCATACCGTGGTGCGGGACGTCAACGACTCTATCACGACATTCACAACCCGGTTCAACCGCTTTGCGCCCTTTGGCTACCGCAAGTTCGTCGCAGTCGGAAACCGAGCAACAGCAATTCGTCTCCAACATGACAAGATCCTTCTGCTCAACCCAATCCAGCTGGAGCCCAGGATACGGGCAAAGCTGCAACAGTTAGGCGGCGTCCACTACATCGCCTGCGATCTGGGTCATCACATGTACGTCGCCGACTATATCAAGACCTGGCCAGACGCAAAGACCATCGGCGTGGTAGGCTTGCCACAGAAACGAAAGGATGTGCATTGGGACTTCGTATACGCCTCCCAGACCACCACGCCTGAAGCCCACTTCTCCTTCGCCGAGGACCTTGAGACCGTCCTCTTCGAAGGCTTCATAACCTACGCAGTGGCATGGTACCATCGTCCCTCCAAGACGCTGATCGTGTCAGATCTACTGATGAACCTCCCCGCCAAGGAGCAGTATGGCCCAGGAACGTCCGCAGACCAAGGACTGTTCAGTCGGGAGTTTGCGAAGCGGGCGCATCCCAGAGGTATCTTCTTCAGGCGTTTGCTGTACTATGTCGCTTGCGTTGAGTTCTCACTTGTGAAACGAGACACGAAGCGCGTTGCGGAGTGGGACATTGAGCGCATCATTCCGTGTCATGGCGAGATCATCGAAAGCGATGCGGATGAGGCGTGGCGGGAAGTCTATCAGTGGTTCTTGCAAGGTGATGCGAAGCCTGGGCTGCTGTGGCGCTTCAAGGAGCCGTTTATGAAGGCCATGAGATGGATATTCCTGCTCTGAACTTGTGTTGAGGTCGTCGTATGCCTCTCGGGCATCACGCAACGAAGTTTGTGTTAAGTAGGTCTGCTGGCTGGTTGCTATCTGTTCGCGTGTTGCTTGCTTGACTGAGATGCGCGTCAAACAGCAACAGCCGTCCTCGCAATATTGCTTATATCACCGCCGAGGCTTCGCCACGTCAGTCCTAGATGCCGCTTCAGCGTATTCGTCATGAGTGTCGAGATCACCCAATGGGCTCTGGTCGTATAAGTATGTTCTCATGAGAGTTCTGGCACAGCGTAGGTGTTGCATGACTTCTTGCAGCATACTGCTCGCAAAGGTGTGGACAACATTCTACCAATCTGCATTCACGGGATGTTTCAACCTCTCTCAGGCTGATGTCACCTATCCCTTCACGCTTTCCTTGGGTCACTCGTCTATGCTTTACATCTTCATCCGCTCGACTTCACGTGGCAACTGCTAACAGGGCGACAAGTGAAACCTGAGTGCCTTGAAGGCCGACGTACTCCTATGAACTATATCTTCGATGCTCTCGACTTCTCGCCCATCGCCGCTACGACCTACCAGATCGTGCTTCCTTTCTGCTCTGGCCACAGTCAGCGCATCCTACCGCGCCCAGTATCTACCAGTCTAATATTCGCATCCCGCGCGGTACAACAAATCCATCATCCGTCATGGACTCCGCTTCAAAACCTGCGCCTTTACATCTTCTCACACTTCCAGAAGAAATCCGCAAGCACATCTTGAGAGTCTATTGCAACGGAACACGACCGGAATTGCTGCTCAAGTGTCAGAAGTAAGGCCACCTTCAGTACCATTCAAACACGACTTACTGACGCAATCCTAGACACCCCAACGCATGTGTTCCCCACATCGCTTTCACCGGCAGAGTAAACACGTACAACAAGACGAATATGGACAGCATCAAGGATGTGTGCAAACAGCTGAGAGGTGCATTTGCCGAGGTCGCCCTTGGTCGTCTCGAGAAGGACGTGGTGGTTCCGGTGTCAATGAGTATCATAGGTCGAGCCGACTACCGTGGCGCCAACTTCATCATCGGCGCGGAAATGCGCCAATTTCTGAAGTCCATCAAGTCGATTCACATCAACTTGAACCACGACAGCGAGTGGTTGTGCGCGTCCCCGACCACCCTCTGGAGCTTCTTTCGAGACGGATGTCCTAATCTTGTGGAGTTGACGGGTATTGAACGCGAATATTTGTCGGAACGCTTACTGAGAGCTCCTAACGGTAAGTGTGACCGAGAAACCCTCGAAGCGGCGTGCTCTTCGAAGGGGATGCATTGGTCTGCGGAGTCTGCGCTGAGAGGACTTCAGCATATCGTTCTGGACAGAGGCTGGGGTCCAAAAGGTGAATTGCCTTCAGTCAAATTTCGCTCAAACGTACGCTTCTGCGCCGGAAACTGGTTCTTTGGTGCTGAAAAAGCCCTCATCGTGAGTTGCGCCCCGATCCCTTGGCTGCTAGCGCCGCGGAGTTTGTACTGACGCAGAAATAGATCGCGCAAGCCACGCAGATTGATGATGGCCAGATCGAAACGACGGTTCGGCTGGTTGAGCCTGTGGTTGACATTTATTAGACACTCGTCAAGGATTCAAAAGGGTCTCTCGACTTGCCCAACCCTCAGCAACCGCACAGACGCGCCTAGGGCCCCACCCGGGCACAATTACCAGACTGGTCTTTGACTGTGCGAGGAAGGGCTGGAAGAGGGGAAAATGATTGCGCAACCGACGCAATGTTACAGTATGCATGCTCACTGCTCACAACGGTCTGGCGATGGACTGCCACTTCGCTGGAACCATGACCGCGAATCGGAGGGAGACCAGCGCGGACAGCAGCAAGAAATAACGACCCCGTGTTGAGGGCCTCCACGAACTTCAGCAAGCTCCTCCGAAGCGACTGCAATGGCAGAGCAAATGTCCAACACCGAGCCCGAACGGAGAGCAGTTACGGCCGGTCACGCACGGGCATGGCGAGTCCTGACCCTGGATGATAGCGTTGATACGTAAGGACAGCAAATAAGTCGAATACACAAGCAGCCACCTCGTGCAATCCTCTGTATTCCCTGCCGCCTATCGAAAATCCGCACTGGCCGTAGTATCTTCGTAAGCACACTCTTACAGCGTCGTGGTGGCGACAGATGAAGAACTTGGCTGCTGCGTCACATTGTCATATCAGCGATCGATCCTAGCAGGCCGCGACAGGCGATGAGCATAAAAATTGACGATCATGCATTTGTAGGTAGAAAGCCATAAGAGGCGATGATGACATGCCCTGAACCCCATGCTAAGTTCGGATGAAGGAGACCGAGCGGAATGGCTTGGCCGAAACATTGTTTTCACCTCTGCTGATCGGCAATGCCATCTCTGACAATGTTCCTACCTGGACTGAGAGGCCACGACATGCAATGTACTATCTCGTGTCTTCTCAGAAGAATCCAGACCTTGAATGACTTGACATATGGGTGTTGAAATGCAGGGTTGGTCAGATGGCCACCACTGGGAACCACCCCGAATGGCGTGCACTGGAGTCGGAGGCTGCACTTTTCTATCTCGCTGCAGGACAGAAATCTGAACGTGCAACTGTCGCTTATCCCGTACATGGGCGGCAAGAGGCGATCGTTGTCTTTGGGCTATGATTCTTAACGGCCGTCTCCGGTCCATACTTCGTGTGACGAGCATACCAGGTTTGGAGCCAAATAGTGACGACTTCCCGTGAGCTACAGCTGCGAACGATCGCAAAGCACGGCGCTACGCTCAGCCACTAGTAGGCGATAAGCCATAACCCGACGTCTCTGGAACGCGTCGGATTCTCCGCCGCGAGTGCTGGATCAATGATGGGGAAAGCAACAGGTGATGTTGAGATCGCGCGCTACAGGCGTCGTTCCTGCTACTTACAGAATCTTCCCACTGTGATCACAGCTCCAGTCCACATTAATGGGCTCCTCGTTGTCGTGGGATAGCAAGCATGGATGGTGAGTCGAACGCCAAGACCCACTGCTGCAGATAAATTCTCTGGAAGTTTTTTTTGCGTCTCCGAGTCTTCACCACTCGACCATCTCTGCTATCACGATCGTCGGACAGCATCTTGTGGGCCAAGACGGCGGTCTCTGCAGTCTCTACCAGTAAGATCTGTGCTCGTCAGAGGATCGTGTTCTCCCGTCTTTCTAGGAGAAGACTTCTCGCTATCGACCTTCCCTGCCCTCGAGCCTGAAACTTGATTTGATCGGTGGCTCACAACAACGCTGGATTCTGGAGCTCAAATGTCGAACCGTTAATGATTCTCGTCCCAAATTTGTGAACGGGGCTTCGGCGCTGGTCAAGAAAACCACAACAAAGGCGCCTGCGTTCGCCTTTTTCAACTCAACCATTCTTTACAAGCAAGTCAACACCTGAGTCGATACAGCGAGATGAACGATTGGCGCTCAATGTCGAATGGCGCCGGAGACTTGGCACTCCACCTGAAGCACAACAACTTCGACCAGTCCCGACAGATCGATGCCGCTGTCAACACTGGATACCTCAATGAGTTATCCTCCCTGCAGGAGCAGAATCTGAAATTACTACTAGGACTCAAGGGTTCCCTAGCGCACTATGCGAACGGCAGCTGCACTCACGTTGAAGTCCAGGCATCCTTGGTACATGCCAAGCAGAGTTGTCTACAGTTGCAGAAACTCACGGCCCGATATCAGCAACATCTCGACGATCTCTATGAGCAAATCGGTAGGGCTATTCAAGGTGAAGGAACCTCGCGGTCCAGGGCCTCCAGATTGTCCAGCCGTGTCTTGCGGACGTGTCGCAGGCTGCCGCTACTTCGAGTACCGGTCGGCACCTCGAGGTTCCTGTCCATGACGTGCAAGCCGCACGTCCTACGGTCAGGCCAGCCCTCTCACCGAGTCGTTCCCAGCATCGGCTGGACGAGTCGGTCCAAAATATGATGTTAAGAGATCCGTCTTCTGATGAAGTTGGCTTACGAGGTCTACCCCAGCCAATGACGATGAGGGAGCGTCGTGCGATGGCATGCCGACTTCGTCGGCCCCATCGAGAGGTGCGGGAACCGATGGAACAATCCTCACGAACTTCGAAAACCGAAACTCCGAGAGTCCACTCTCCTCAAGAGCTTCCACAATCAATCTCGCGGTCTGCTGCTATCGTGCACGGAGCTACAACTCAGCTCAACAAGGATAACATCGAGAAGAGAGCCGATGAAAACAAAGCTGTTGAAGAGACTGGCGAGCAGAGGAAGGCCGTTAGAAGCAAGCCAGGTGGAAGCGAAGCTGCAAGAGGTCTAGTCTGGGACTTCAAGGAGTTTGAAAGCAAGATGCAGAGGCGATATGGGCAGCCCGCCGGGACCGCCGAGCCTCGAGTCGATACGACGGCCAACTCCACCAGCCATGTCTCGCAAGCAGACTATCAATCAAAACAGCCTCACGTACGAGGCCAAAATACACCTGTTCGAGCGCGTCAGGATTCACTAGACCTGAGTAGTCCTGTTCCTAGGCTACAGAACGATCTCGTCCTCCAACATCAAGCACCAGTAGCATTGTCTTCCAAAACCCTGGGTCCAGCTACGACCTCAACAACCAGAACTTCAGCACATATGAACTTCGATTCACAATTCCGCTTAATCAACGCCAAGAGAGTCACTCGTGACGACGTCCAGGCTGTCCTGCAGTATGCGAAGAAGCGTCGTGCCGACGGAAAAGCCGTTGGCCTCCAGGATCGATACAACCATGTCAGAATTTTCATGCGGTACGAAGTGATTGACAGCAGTATCCCCGTCATCGATCAACATAACTACAAGGACCCAAGCGTCCTGACTGCTATCGAAGAGGAGAAACAGCGAGCTGCCGACGCCGACGCCGTCAGGGCCGCGCACACATGGGTCCGTCGAGGCACTTGGCGAAAAACTCGTTTCACTGAGGCATTCCTTGCGAGTCAAGATCTGGAACAACTCAACAAGATTAACTGCATGGACGCTGCAGCCAGAACCAAGCTTCGCGAGAGAACGACCGATACCAAGATCTCAGTCTTGTGCGGCATGACGCACGACATGCGGAAAGCGCTGGAAGTGTTGCTCATCAAACGCATATAGAACCCACCCAGCTTACCCACTGAACGTGCCAGTGGCTCCACACAGGCTGCGCTGGCGGGCTCAAGCAAGCGGAAAGAAAATAGAGAATGGAGTGATTGGCGTGGGAGGAATCAAATCGCATAAGTTGGTGGATCAGATCTGCATGTATGAGCGATCAAGGTTGAGGAGCACCGCAGATGGGCGTGCTGCCAGGCACTAGCAGAGCAAGGCATCGGGGGACGAAGTCTACTGACAGCACAGTGACAATTCTGAACAACTTGCAATGGCCTCAGTATCTAATTACGACCGTCCTATCTCGGTTTTGAGTCGCTCGGGAGACTCTTCACGAATTTAAAGCACAAGGTGAACTGCTCCTGTTCCTAATCAGCTGGCTTCCCTGCACTCACGATCTCGGAACTTCCCTCGTACGCCCGATGATTCGATCCGGACTCACTCTCGGCACGCCGACCGCTCTTGCCCCACCACCAGCGACATCTCCATCCTCACCGTCCTCAATCCAAGCACCCGGAATTCCCCATCGCCATGGCTCTTCCACACCCTCCCAGAACTCCTTCAGACCTGAGTCCTCATCCCGCGGCTCATTCATCCACGCTTTCCAGTCCTGTACATTACTTCCAAATTCCAGTCCTACCATTCTCACTTTTGCGTTGCTTTCACTTGGTCCCCACGATCGCTGACTGCGCGTGTAGGGTCGGCCAAGATAGATCTCCCATTCATAGCACAGCAGATCATGTGTTAGCATATAGCGGAGCCTCCGACCGTACGCGAGCAAGTCCACTCCGGCCAGTTGCAATTCCGAGACCCAAGCACGCAGCGCGGGCGTGAAGCTGTGCTTTTGTTGGCGGAGGTTCTTAGTGGCAGACTTATTGTACCGCGCTATGAATGACCAGAGTGCATCCGTGCGCGGACGTTGTGGGCTCGTGCTGATGGCATGGAGGTCCGCACCTGATGCGACTGCATCTTGCAATAGACGCCGCCAGGATAGAAGGCTGTCGATTCGACCCTTGGCGTGTTCGATCGCCATACAGCGGGCCAAGAAGAAGAGCAGGGTCTCGCCATTGGTCTGACTGCGAAGGTGCCATGCCGCTGGATCGATCGACCCGCCACCCATAGCTCGCTCCAGCAGCTCTGTCGTCGTGCCGCGGATGTACCATGTCTCAAGTGCCATCGCCCAACTGAAGCGGACCTGTAGGGGTAAGGTAGCATACGACACAAAGGCGCTCTGCTGGATGATCTGAAGCCCCACTGGATCGCCACTGTAGCCCATGCTATCGTCTGGACCAAATAGAGAGCCTTCTGAGGTATCGAATGGGGCTTCATTATAGGCAGCCTCGTGGACGAGAAGCCGGAGGATGTCTTGCAGCTGCTGTCTCTTGGTGGCGTCCCACTTAATCCAACGTCGAAATGCGATATTCGCGTGCATCAGTGGAGTCTGACCCATGAAGCTCTTCATATCTGCTCGAGCACCTTGATTGAGCAGGAGTCGGCAAGCTTCAAGCTGGCCGTGAGACACGGCATGATGCAGTGCGGATCTACCCTCTTGGTCCACGTCGTCCAGTGGTGAGGCAGACTGATCTGTGAATAGAGCCCGAAGGCCTTGGATGTTACCTGTCCTGGCTGCTACCAAGAGAGGTGACGAATCTGTCACAACGTTCAGGACGCGAAAGTTGTAGTTCCACCGTGTTTGGCTGATTTGTAGCTCTAGTACCGTCTGTAGCAGCCAGGCAGGCTTCGTCAGGCGCAATGACCAGGTCGTGAATCCCTTTTGACGTTTAGGATATGGCAGAGATACACGGCCCGGTCTGTGCCAGGTGTTCAGGTGCTCATCGCGTGGTTCGATCTGTTTTTCGAGGTCTTCTGGGGGCGTCCTCGCTGATATCATCTGGCGGACAAGATTCTGCAGCGTTCTCTGGTCGTGGAGAATCTGTTGACTTTGCGCAAGCATCAGTGATGATTTTGCTCTCTCAAGTCTCTGCTTGTGGGTGGTCGTGGTCTTCCTATCGAGCTCATATCTGACAGACCCCAAAGCTCGATTCTTGCTAAGTTTGGCATGTGCCTTTGTGTTTCGTGAAACATGTACGTGACCTCCTTCTGGCAGCGGGCCAGACAGGATGTCACAGATGCATGAGGGACTCCGGGACCCATTCCCGCTTGACCCATGGCGATTGAAGAACATACATCTTGTATCGTCTGAAGCTCCCCGATCAGGTCATTGACTTCATCATTTGCGCTTCTGAGCGACTGCCAGAGATCTCTGAGCCGGATGGCGGTGTCTGCTATCTGAATGACGGAGAACGTGACACCTGCTATTTCGGCCATGGTCGTTTAGCGCTCGTGCTTGCAAAGTCCTCCGGAGCGTCGCTAGTGCTTGCAACATGGTGCGAAGTTCCTATGCTCCACGAATGAGGTTGCTCGACCAGTCGCTAGGCCATCAAATGGCTCTGAGCCGTTAACGAGAGCTGTTGCTGGCGTTTGCCTAGTACTCTGCTGTCGACACACGATGCCGACAAGAGGGCAAAACATGCAATGTGCCCAACGGCTGGATGAGATCAGCTCCAACGACTGTATTGCTCAGGTCTGCGTTGTGATCAGAGCCGTATGACCGATTGCTGGCATCTTCTGACTAAAGAGCGACCGACTTTGTGACTCCACAGTTGTAGTCGCTTGCGAGGTGTCTTTTGCACCAAAGTGCCGACGTGGGAGTCGTCGCTTAGATATGCATGCTGGCCCCTAGCTCCTCGCTTGCTCGAGCGATCCTCGCGCCCGATTTCTAACCGTGGCCTTACCAAAGCTTCGCTGTGCTATTGTCAGGGCCATGTGGAATCGTGCTGAATGTGGCTCTCGTGACATCAGCAAGGACCACGGCGCTGTGCCGTGCCGTGGGCTTGTACAAAGTACAAAGTGTTGTTTTCTCTCGCACTAATGCATCGCAAAAGATTGATACTGGGTACTTATGCCACTCGATCTTCGGCCCAATGCGTCGATATTTGCCGCGATGTCGTAGGGGACTTTGTTGGCTAGTTTCGATCTTGGGGGCTGAACTCGTACTGTATGTAATGGTCACGATGCGATCTTGAGTCCCGAGGTCCAGTGGCTTCGGGGTCCGAGACAACCTGTGCACCTCCTCGTGCAGTTCTTAGGTCGACGAAACATGGTTCATTTGTTTTAGCATTGCTGCTGTTGTAATGTGCTGTCTCGCCGTTTTATGAGACCCTCGGATCTCCTGCTGGGACAAAGCATAACCCACCATAACGCTGCTTCAGATCCCTCTTTTCAGGTGGTTACTTGTGGCTCTTGAGTCAAGGCATTTTGCATGCTTAAAGCAATCTCGCGCTCGACTTCCCGCTTCTCGATGTCAGGCTTCAGCTTCTGCAGTGCTCCGGCGACGACGCGACTCCAACCCTCGATCTTTCCCTCGCACGAGGCCCAGTCAACCGCACTCACACTCCCTGACTTGACATGCTCGTCACTTGTCTTCAACTCCGCAGCACTAGCTCGCAGGCATGCCAGCAGCTTCTGACCATCCTCAGCTGTTACATCTTCGTAGCCTAAGCACATCAGCTCGATGGCAAGATCATTCGTTTTGTACTCGGTTGGAATGATCTCTAGAGGCAGGCGAGTTGTCTTGATGCGTCGAATCTTGAGACCTGTACGTGTCAGTCCCGCTGCGCTGGATGCATTTCCATGGTTGCCGATTTCACGTTGGCGGAAAAGGTGGGAGCGAGGATCGGAATCTGATAAGCTGAAGCTTTTCGTGGCTGACTGCTCGGCAGATAGATCTTGCTTTGCTGGGAAGTGTGCCTCGAAGCCATCGCCGCTATGCTCTGTCCGGTCGATAGCGCTTCGAGATGTTACAGGTTGGCTTTTGACCAGACTCAGATCGTCGCTGTACGCCGCCATTCGCGGATGAGGAGGTTCGACGAGATTGTCAGTGCCATCGTCTTCGAATTGCGATGAAAAGTCCTCGATGTTGCCAGCCATCGTGTCGACGTGACCAGTCGCATTGGACCCAACTTTCAAAATGGATCGGAGACTGGGCTGCTCAAGATGGGAGGCAGATGTTCGGTGGCCTTTATCTCGTCGCATAGCTTGCTTGCGCTGCTCGGCCACAACTCTTTTCTGTCGTTCAAACTCTAAGATGTCATCAAGCTCGCTCGTAGCCTCTGGACCGCTAAGAGGCGGGTGATGGGCATGCAGGTTTGCAGCACGAGGTCTGGTCGCCGCTGGAATCATCTGTGAAGCAGAGGTATCAGGAAACTGACTCAGGCGAGGTCGCTGGAAGGGCGTAGCGACAGGCTTCTGGACCAAGCCGCCTCGCCGAGACGTTGCCTGCATTGACATGGTTGAGCTCGTTGATGAGTCTTGAGTCCGATGTGTTTTCTTTGGCATATGTTGGTCCTCAGTCCCGACGCCTGGCTCGCAGATAGTTGCTGGGCCAGAGGAAGGATTGTCTACTTGTGACGGTACGTCATCTGATCGCAGCTGCTGTGCACGGATCCAGCCGTCTAGTAGCGTCGGACCTCGCGCAGGGGAGCCTGCTGGACGCTCATTTTCGGCCTCTGAATCTGACAACTGCCTCTCGCGCCGTCGCATTGGTGGCCCGGGATTTTGGTAAGCTGGCTGGCCAGGATCGGATGAGGGTTCAGGTGTTGGTAGCTGCTCGAAGTCTTGACTCGACATGCGTCTCGGAGTGGTTGATTCAGCTGAGGGCGTGCTTCCAATATTCGTACCCTCCGCTACGGGCGAGTCTGGCTGCTCAGTGGCCCAGATTTTTGGTGCTAGACGGACATTCATCTTGGCTTTGGTCCATGGGTTGTCGAAGGACTCTCTTCTTTCAAGCTTGTCGGCTGGAGATTGAGCATTGGCGAGGATCGTGTCCGTGGGTCCTGCATCTCCATCCCTGGTAGGACTCGTCGCGAACGACTTAGCATGCACAGGAGACATCTGCCGTGGTGTGGCCAGCAGAACCTCGAAAGGTGTTGGTCCGGCAGCTGGACGAGGGACCCTCGCTGTCACGTCGTTCTTCGTCAATTCTCCATATGTGGCTATCATCATTCCTTCGAATAGATCGATCACAGTCTTCTGGTCGTAGAACATAATTCTATCTTTGGCGGGTTCAACGTTGACATCGTAACATTCTGGTGGGCATGATAATTGTAAGGCAATGAAAGGTTTCGAGACTTTGATGTTCTCGACATCACATATAGTGTTGCGTAAGTAGCTTCTGTACATTTTGTGCAGGTCTCTCATGACATCTCGGTCGGTCGTTATGGGCCGTTTATCGACGCTGAAGTATGAGTCTATATTGCAAGCTTTTTCGACATCTAGATAGATCAGCAATAGGCAGATGTGCGGTTCAAGATCAACGCACCAGATTTGGGGTCAATGACCAGTGCTGTCATGGTTTGAGTGTCTCCGCTGTCTGTGTCCGGCGAATGAATTTGAATGGTCTGGGACGCTGCTTCCTTGCCGATGATCTTGACAGCATTCTCGGACAGCGTCGATTTGCTTCCTCCGGGAGCATATGACCAATTCAGCTTGTCAGACTTTGCTTTCAGCACTTTCAATGTGAATCGTGTTTCGGGTCTTGCGAACGCATAAGAAAGAAGCAACTTGCGAATGCTCGAAAGGATCTTGGACGTGGACTTGAGCACGGTCTGTTTCCGAACAGGCACATTCGAAAGGAAGTTCTGCACACGAACAGTGGTGCCGACTGCATGTGACGCCGAAGACGAGCTAGAGGAAATGGTGAGAGCTGTTAGAACTAACAGAAAGGTACCAACCTAAGCATCTTTCCGTTCGCTCCAAACTTCAGAGCCGTACCTACCATCTCCCCTTCGATACGAGTTGTGATGAGAACAGCATCACTGGTGTTGACCACGCTTGCCAGTGCTTCGCCACGGAAGCCGAGCGACCTACCGCCGAGTGTCGTCAAGTCCTCAATGGTGCGGATTTTGGAGGTGCATCCTCGTTTGCAGAGAAGCTGCCTGTCCTCGATACCGATACCTCTGCCATTGTCCTTGACTTGGATGGTGTCGATAGTGTTGGTGGATATCTCGATAGTGATAGCTGTGGCCGAGGCATCTAGAGCATTGTCCACGAGCTCCTTGACGACGGAGACGGCGTCGTTCAGAGCAACGCTAGATGTAAGCACGCGGACAGTCTCCTGGGGTAGGACAGCGATCGGCATATTGTACAAATAGATCAGTCATCGCTACTGATCAGACCAACAAGCACAAAGCAACGGATAGCATGGGCAGTATAATGATGACGGAAGTTGAGTGGTTCTTGCGGGCTTTTGACGCGTCAACCGCGTTTGCTTGGCATTGACCTCGACCACTTGCAGTTTTCGACGAGCCATGCGATGCAAGAAGAAATCTGCGACGCGCAAATGCAATCCCGACGGACGCGACGGGAAGCAGTGTTTGCCATCTTTCGGTACTGAACGATCTCTATAAGTAGCTCATTCCCAGCAACATATTGTATTCAGTACATAAGCGAGCCCACAACCGGACCTCGGCCCCATACCGCATCACTCAGGCTGTTGAGGGGTCGATAGTCGGTCCCATGTATTGATATATTATAGTCATAGTAATCACCATTTCCGCTCGACGCGTTGCAGGCGTGACCATAGCGCTTAGTCAATTGACTCAAACACCACACATGCCCTTACAGTCATGGCGCTACCGACAGAGGCAGCAGATCGGCTACGGCAAAGCCTTGAGACATACCCGCTGCGAGAAAACTGGTCAAGTATGTTGTGTCCCATCAGATAGTGATCGTCTAACGGACCTTAACGTTATCTCATCATCCGAAAAGCATCGGAGGTGCTGAGATTGTGGTGCGCAAAATGGTGGTTGCCTGGCGGCCCCAGTTGATTGGTTAAAGCCGCCGGAGGTAAAGGACTCCGCAAGGTGACAAACTTCCAGTTGATGCTCGTTCTCGTTTCTTCCCTTTCCGCGTAACTGCCCATCTAGTCCCGTACATGGCGCGAAGTCCACTGCGAAGCTGTCGACGGTGATGCCGTCAAGGCGAAGTCACACCAAGTCACGTCTGGGATGCGACACCTGTCGGGTGAGGAGGATCAAGTGCAATGAACAAGGCCCGCCATGTGCCCAATGCGCTACGCGCAACAGCGAGTGCACCTACTACAGACGAGATGGTCAGCCAGCTCCTGAAGTGCTACCGACGCCAACGAGTGCAACTGCGGTTATGCCTCCAGATATAGCACTACCGATTCAACGTGCGAAATTTGTACCTCCGCCTCTACAGCAGCCAGCAGCACCGGAGCTGCCAGCATCGACGTCGACCGACAGCTCAAGTCGGTCGCCATTCACCTCCCAGGCCTCGGAGTTGTCAAGAGCGACAACCATTGACTGTGAGACGTCCTTAGCTTCTGACCCACGGCTCCAGGAGCTGGCTTTGATGAGATGGTGGTGCGTGTGAGTACCCTAGCTGACTTGCATCGGGAATTGAGCGACAACATGAACGTTAGCTCGAGGAAGAGCACGAAGGCTTCCCGAGACATGAATGCCGCCCCTTTGCCTGCCTTCCTCCAGTTTATGATCATTTCCCGAGACAAAGCTGACCAATTTGCTTCACGATAGGAAAGGCTATGCAGCTCTGGTCCGGAAGGGCACTCTTGATCGGGAGATCTGGATAGGTCCGGTGATTGACATGGCTTTGGAGTATCCTTGGCTTATGGACCTTATTTTCGCCTTGTCTGCGACTCACATCGCTGCGGAGTCAAGCAAGTCCTCAGAACGCTCAGCGTACACCAGTCTGGCCCTTGAGTATCAAAGCCGTGCGATTGCTGCGGCTCGCCCTTCTCTTGAGGATGTCAGTGCCACAAACTGCCATGCGCTCTTTGCATTTACCGTGCTCAACATCCCGACAAGTATCGTCCTGGCTCAACTCCCGGTTGGCGCCAACGACCTGGGCAGGAGTCCAGTAGAAAGCATCGTAATTTCCGGTCAGTGGATAACATCTCTGATTAGTCTCATGAACGGTGCGGAAAAATGGCTGCGTGGCGGTCCTTTCCAGCTGGCTTTCGACAAATGCGACGATCCAAACATGTACGACGAATCCTTTCGACCAGCCATGCAACGGTTACTATCACTCTTGACACGGTCCAAATATGCCGGCCGAGGCTACACAAAGCAATTCGATCTGTTCAGCCGTGGTGTGGAGTTGCTGGAGTCTTACTTCTGCAGAGAGAAGAGCATGGCCATCGGTTGGCCGGCCGAGCTAGGGCCCGAGTTCTTCGAGCAGGTCCATGCGAAGGATTCGTTCGCATTATTGCTGACCATGCACTGGGGAGTGCTACTGCATTCCTTGGAGATGTGGTGGGGTTCATTCACGGGAAAGCGACTGGTTGACCAGATTGGCAGAGATTTCGGTGAATGTGAGAACGAGCAGACTCGCGAAGCCATACATTGGGCTCGAGTACAAGTTGGTCTAGATATCAAGATGACGTGGAGTCAGTGACGAGGTGAGGCGACGAAACGACAACATCGTGGACACTCTGCTCCCTTCTGTAGCATTTATATACTCTTCATAAGTCGCCAGCGTGACTAAGAGCACTGTAAACTGCACGACGTCCTAAAAGTCGGCACTTGCTTCTACATACTTAAGTACCTATCATTCTCACTGCGCGATGTCCATTTCAGGCAAGAACGCGCTCACACGTAATTTCGAGGCTTACATAATCTGTTCAGTCGCCGAATCGTTTCTGCTCTGCCTCCATCAACTCTGTCTTCTTCATCATATGCTTCACGGACATGTCGAAGTATGATAATCCTTGGATAGCTAAGCTTGCCATTCCCGGAGTCAGCGGACTGATTGCATTCTTGTCCTATTCTTCGCAATACTTGTTCCAGTACCTCGAGCCGGGACCTTTGACGAGAAAACAAACCTACATTTTCAACACGCTCGTTGCATGCATATGGATCAGCTATGGAAGGACATGCTTGACCGATCCCGGTCATGTGCCTGAGTACTGGTCTCGAGCTCGGCTCGAAGATGATAACGAGCATGACCAACACCAGCGAAGTCGATACTGCCGGAAGTGTGATGCTCCCAAACCTCCACGGTCGCATCACTGTAAGGTGTGCAAGCGATGCATCCCAAAGATGGACCACCACTGCCCTTGGACAAGCAATTGCGTGTCGCATTTCACCATTCCTCATTTCATGCGATTCCTGTTCTATGCTACGGCCGCAATGAGCCAGCTTGAATACTTCATCTACTTGCGAGCAGCAGAAATTTGGGCTCTCAGAGATATGCCTGCTATCCATGGCCCAGGTCTTTGGGTGCTCATTCATTTCTTCATGCTGATCGTCGCCAACTCACTTACACTGTTCTTGGTCGGAATCATGCTGTTTCGCGGGATCTACATGATCGCCACGAATGTCACTACGATTGAGGGATGGGAGATCGAGAGACATGAGCAGCTGCTGCGGCGAGCGAGGGCCCTCGGAGGATACTTAGATGGGCCCGATGGTATTCGAGTTAAGATCGAAAGACACGAGTATCCCTACGACATCGGCATTTGGCAGAACATGCGAGACAACATGGGCACCGCCAACATCTTAAGTTGGTTCTGGCCGTTTGCTCGTGGCGTCCGGACCGATGGCATGATTTTCGAGACGAACGGCTTCGAAGAGCCTGGCCAAGGCTGGCCGCCACCAGATCCCGATCGAATGCCACGAATCGCACGCAGCATGGATGCGGAAGACGCTTTTACATATCGAAATGGCGCCTCGATGGCAGACGAAGTAGACGCGTTCAAGCAACGACAACAGGCGGACCTGGCGCGTCGAAGACCGTTTCGACACCGGTTCGATGCGGAGACTGATGAGCCTCTTCACGATGATTTCCTCGACAGCGACGAAGACGCTAGTGGCGAAGAAGGCTGGGCTGATCGCGACGGCAACAGACTTCAAGACTATGGCGTCGAAGAGGACGTCGAGTTTTACGATGACGTTCCATTGGCCGAACTCATGAAGCGGCGGCGAGCACCGCAAGCAGATGATGGTTGATGTATGCTCTGGTGGGGGCACACCATTCCGAGCATTTCGGGACCAGACACGAATTCCGCGTGTTGGTGGCGAGAGTTTAGTCTGGCGTGGGGATCCCCCACGATCACCCTTAACGAAAATGGCATCGGTACCGATGGGGCTTCAAGTGCTTCCATTTGCATTCCGAGCAGATTTCCGAGCTTTCGTGTCGAATCGTCCATGAGCAAAGAGCAGCTGGCGGAAGCGCAAGCAACATGCAGGTTCCATACGAATCATCACTATTTGTTAGGTGCAGTCATCTTCAATTGACGGATCTTGAGAGGATGGACGAAAAGGTCCGAAGAACTCTCCCCCACCGAACCCCTCCACATCACGAATGATGCGGAGTCAGAAGGTGCTTCCTGACCCTGGGCATCCCTCCAAATTTCCCCATCGGCGCTGCAGTGTGGCAATTGTCGGCACAGAGACCGGTGCGTTGACTTGACTTTTATGACCTGTTGCGCGCATAATTCTGAGACGCGCCTGCCTCTCACTTCCATTGCTAAAAGAGACACAACGCAAGCCTACAACCTTTACCAACCCGATCCAGGTCTAAACACACCCGCCCTCAGACCACAACTCATCGTCCTCCTACCATGTCCACAAACGGCGTCAACGGCCATGGGCCAGAACGCAAACTCGTTCCCGGCATCAACGTGCCTATGGTCGCCTTCTTCAAGGACAACGAAGACGTCGATGTCGAAGCCACCGCAAAGCACACCGTCCGTCTGGCAAAGGCCGGCATGACCGCTTTAACATGTCAGGGCTCAAATGGCGAAGCCGTCCATTTGACAGCCGAGGAACGCAAGCAGATTATTTCTGCCGCTCGAAAAGCACTCGATGATGCCGGCTTCACGTCTCTACCTCTCATCGCTGGCTGCTCGGCACAATCGACACGTGAGACGATATCATTGTGCAAGGACGCAAAAGCAGCTGGAGCAGACTACGCATTGACACTGCCTCCCAACTACTACAAGACCTCATATGCACGAAGCGACCTGCTCCAATTCTATAAGGACCTGGCTACCGACTCGCCCATCCCGATTTGCATCTACAACTACCCTGGCGCGGTTGCTGGCATCGATCTCGACTCTGACGCAATCATCGAGCTGGCAAAGCACCCCAACATTGTCGGCTGCAAGCTGACCTGCGGCAACACTGGCAAGCTGAACCGCATTGCCCATTCCGTGAAGGCAGCTACCCCAAAAGCTTCGAACTCGGGCTGGATGTGCATGGGTGGCTCCGCCGACTTTACCCTACAGACACTGATCGCTGGTGGATCTGGCATCATCACTGGCTTGGGCAATATTGCGCCCAAGGCTTGCGTCAAGGTGTATGACTTGTATGCAGAGGGTAAGGTCGAGGAGGCGCAGAAGATGCAGGCGATCGTGGCGAGAGGCGACTGGGGTGTCATTGCCGGTGGCATCAGTGGAACCAAGAGCGCAATGATCAGTCACTTCGGATATGGTGGCTACTCGAGGAGACCACTGCCCCGGCCAACGAAGGAGGAGGATGCGCGGTGGAAGGAGGCGCTTGCTGAGATCGTTGAGCTGGAGAATTCACTGCCGGACAAGTTCTAGATGCTGCTTGACCGGGCCGATCGAGAGACAGGCTCCGGATATATGCTTGGCGGGCAAGTGTCTTCGTTGATCATACATGGTGGAATAGAAATGCCATCTTTCACCAAACCATGTCGGCTGTTATATGGTTGTTGCCTCTAATTTTTGTTACACGTTCACTTGAAGAAACGCCCGACCATATTCCCCGCCAGTCCTCTTGCTATTCCGCTTCCACTGAACGCGCTCCCAGCCCAGCCGCTGGCTTGACTGAATTTGTCACATCTCGAGAAGGCAATCGTATTCGTGATCGTGAGGACAAGTGCGATCACTACGAGAAGCCTTGTTAGCACATACATTCATTCCGTTCGGCCGCCCGCGGACCACGTTCGTGGGCGTACAGCCACTCCTGCAGGTCATAGACTCACCGATAGTAACCAACCAAATCAGACTCTGCAACCTCACAATGGCCAACACCGCCAACCCAACCCAGCACACGGGCACGACATACATCGCCAACCAGAAGAACCTCTTATCCGTCGCATTCTGCTCCCCTGCCGCGCCCCCACTCGTCTCCGTCACTCTCTGCGTCTCCCGGCTCTCAAACACCCAATGGCTGTCTCCCGTGCTGATGTTGACCTCGTTCCACCATCGTAGGCCAACGAGGCGGCGGCCGGCGATGTTCTTGAGGTAGTAGAAGTCGAGGGACAATAGGAGGAGGGTGATGATGAAGACGAGGATGAAGTTGCGGATGAAGAGGACGCCGAAGAGGTACATGAGGAGGGAGCCGAGGCGGAAGGAGAGAAAGGTTAGGAGGGTGAAGGGGTGGGCTGAGAGGCGCCAGTTTAGGGCGCCGGGGTCGGTTTCGGGCATTTTGAGAGGTGTTGAGGGGAGGGCGTTGATGAATGCAGGGAAGGCTAGATTATGAAGACCATCAGGCAAGTTGTAGCCCTGTATGTCGAGGTTCGCGCAACTACTGATGCCGTGATGAGGACACATCGCGACTGCTCGCAGATCAACGGCAACGGCACGGAAACGGTTGCGTCTTAGTGTGGCAGGATCTGCCGTACTTGCTACGGCTGTCGATTGGGATCTCTTTCTGCATTATTCTCTTCCTTCTCAGCTTCCCTTAGCTCACTATCCAGATCAGATTTGTTGTGTCCGTTGGCTGGTACCGCGCGCCTGTGAGGATGGACGGGACCTCCTCAGTATGTCTCTTCAGGTCAGGTCCCGGCCAGGGAACAGCTCTGCAGGGCGTGACAAAGGTGTCTCGGGTTCGAGTATCTCTTGTCCCTGTCTGATCAAACCGACTCTCCGCATGAGTTGCGGCTGTAGGAAATAATGCTCTACTCGCAGTGCCCGGCAGTCTTGAAGAAGGACCAGGATAGACCCTAGGCAAGCCACGGCGACGTTGGAGGCAAGGCAGACTTTCGTAGGATATGACGCACTCCCTAGATATCCGCTGTTCTTCATGTGGACACCAGACCGGCTCGAGAATGCTCGATGTTAGCAATAGTGACAGTCCAGTCCCTGCACCTGCATGTACTTCGAAGCACGGTGCTCAGATATCTGCAGTGTCAACCGATGGCCCCTTCTTCACATGCTTCGACTTCCAGTAAGGCAAAGTTCTTTCCCGTTTTGGACTCCTATCTGTTTCTCCAAGCACGATTAACGCCTGAAAAAAGCTCAGCGGGCAAAAGTCTCGCTTCTTGCATCTCAGCAATGCGTCCATTATCATTCTCGTAATGACTTCCGACGCGTCTCGATCAGTGATGCCGAACATATGCCATCATCATACGTATTTTCGTCGTGTTTCGCCACGACGCCGCACAGTCAAGATGCCTCAACAAACTGGCGGGGCTCCTGCGACAGCTGCTGCGCCCCATTCGCCACAAATCTGTCTAAGACCTTGCATACTGCATGACACACTGGCATGACACTTGCAAGCTGCATGATCATTGTCCTCGGCTGCAAGGCAAAGGGCGGCCGGCGAGAAGAGGCTCATCGATAATCGCCGCAGGTACAGATCACTTCGTGCACGAGCTATCCGGCGATTTCCTGGCAAACCGCTTTGGCGATGCCGTTAGCCTTTGCGTCTTGTGGTACTTCTATGGACCTTTGGTGCACCCCTGTCGCCTCGTTTTGACATGTTTCGGTGTCCTCGACCACTCACGAGAGCATGTCTCGTACTTTATGTCGAGACGAGCCTCCGTCCGGTCCCTCGGAACGCCCACTCTACCCCTTCCGGCGAAGCGTACGTATCTCGAGAAAGCCGGTCTGCAAGGCAACCGGGCTCGAGTCCCACACCAAAGGAACCTTCTCACATTGGTGTGGATGGGTGGACATGCCTTCTAGGACTGAAATACTCCTACAATTGGTCGTCCCTTCGGTCTGCTGGTTCGCTGAGCCTTCTCATTGACATCTATGACCGCTAGGAAATCGGTCCTCCCTTTTAGCGGCAGCCTTGTTTGAGCCTCAGGTTATCGACTTCTTCAGAGAAAGCATATAGCATGACACAACCACGACCAAATCACCCACCGTACGATCTTCCCTTTCGCTAATCTCGCAGCCTCTTCTGTACAAACATTTCGATTCCTCTCTGCTCACTCTACTCACCGCTACATCACTTTCAACGTCCTTGTACAACAGTTCACGTTGCCTATAGTGAGGCAAACAGCATTGTGTAACCATTACACGGACTACAACAACCCTTCGGCAGACTCTCGAGTTCACCGTACTCACGACTCAGCCTTTGATCATCGACAAGCGTCACCTTTTCACGTGCATCCTCGGGCGACCTCGCCAGAACAAGCACAATGTCCCGCCATCGGGCTCCCAGTCACCCAACAGCCTACCGCAATTCCCATCCTATCGTCGTCCCGGGCCTGTCCCGATACTCCTCACCCGCAAATTCGCCCACTGCGGCCAACCATCCCGCCTATCGCAACAAGTACAACTACAGCACCACTACGAGTGGCTCCGCCAGACCTCGCCACAGCAACACCTACTACCAAGACAGCGGCTACAAATCTTCTTCATACCCTTCCGCTTCCAAGAAGCCCGAAAAGGGCCTCTCCTACACCTCCACCCGCGACATCAGCGGGTGGCTCGGCGGCGCTGCACTTACCGCCGGTGCGGCATACTTGCTGAGGGGAAGTAACGGGGCCGTGTATGGGGGCTCGCGGGACGCAAAGCGCTCGAGGGATAGGGATGCGAAGTACTACTATGAGGACAAGTATGATAGCAGGGGAAGGGATCGGGATCGGGATAGGGGAAGGTATCACGATGATGTTGGAAGGAGTCGGGGACGGGCGAAGAGTGAGCGCAGGCCTGATGGAGGGAGAGACAGGGAGAGGAGTCGGGATCGTGGTAGGGGAGGGGGCAGGTACTATTACTATTGAGTGGTAAGGGTTTGGTCCTTTTGGTTGCGGCGCTGGCTTGGGAGGACGAGATCGTGGGTCAGGGATGTTCGTTCATGATATGCCTTGGGGGTTCGTTGGCAATTCACTTACGCTAAGTTTATTTTTTGGCTGGTTGACCTTTGCTCTGGCCTGTTCCTTCTTGTCCTAGATTCATTCATAGCTTCAGTAGCTTCATATGTATTCCCACGGTCACTTCATAGAGTTCGCTTCAACCTTCATCAGGTGGAAGTCGTTCTACTACAAAGTTGCTAGCCCCACCAGGCAGCAGTAGGAACTACCAAGGTATGGCAATGTGCCCCTCATTCTCTGCTTCTTGGGTGAGAGAAGAGCAGGAAATGCCGGCGAGGACAGGACAATTATTCATATTGCTTCGACGAAGAAGAGGTCCCGCGCAAGCCGGCATGAACATTTCACTGACTCGGCTACGAAGCATTCACTGTCATTGGCGTGAGTTCAGTGACGAGGAATCATAGTGAAGTAGAGCTGGTTGAACAATTTGATAAGCTGTAAGCGCACTGCGCTTGATATATGCATTAGGCATTATGCATTATAAAGTGAAGTAAAGGCTTGCGTCCATGCTGGAAGCCCTTCGCAATCCGCTGGATGCAGCAGCCCACCGTCGCTATGCATTTTGATATCCTGTCGCTATGCATCCATATTCAATCCAATTCCCTTATCTCGTAGACTACCTGCAGTGCTCGCTTTAGACAAACACACAAATCAAGCTCCTAGCCTGCTTCCCATCCGCCGTCTCAAATGTCACACTGTCCACAAACTGATTCGGGCCACCAAACGACCTGATCTGGTTTCCCCACTGGTCGCGCACAGTGCATTGAGCATTGTCCGCGGGATTTTGAATGGCGCTGTTCTCAAGACATCGCCTTCGTAGAAGTATTGGGTAACGACGCCGCCAGAGGAAGGGAGGGTTTGGGAACCGTCGTTGTCGGAGGTGAAGGTGACGGTGTATTCTGCTGGGGGCGCGGGTTGGCGGGCTTTGATTACTGTGGCTGCGAGGGCGGAAGTGGCGAAGAGGAGAATTGATTGGGCGTGCATGGTTGCTGGTTGTGGTTAGTGGTTGTGGTTGTTGGTGGTGGTGTAGTGTGGTTGTTGGTGGTGGTGTAGTGTGGTTATTGGTGGTGGTGTAGTGTGGTTGTAGTAGCGAGTGTTGTTTGTGTTGTTGGATGGTTGATATGAAGCACTTACCACGGATCGAGAGCACGTACCTACCTTTATATGCATTGAACCAAAGCAATGGCACTGTGGCGCTGATCTTGAATATACCTCTGAAGCAAAAATAGGTACATGCCCCAGCCTCAGATACCCCGTATACCTCAAAAGTCCAAACAACGCAGTTGCAATGAGGTAATGTCGATCACAAGGCCAGCAAAGAATGCGACCTATCGGGTGGCAGAAGACTATGAGAGCAACAAAACACAGTAAGCTGTCAGGTGAAGAGGGGAATGGGCCTTAGCATTGGCAGGTTCGAAGGGCTGGCGCTGAATACGGCGGGTTTAGGTAACAAGAAATGGCTGGAAAGAGCAAGCTGTGAGCCGCAGCATCGCTCGCATCGCTTGGAAGGTACCAGTTGGGCGTGAGTTTCGCCTGTGAGGTACATCTGCACAGTAAGGTAGAACGCAAAAAGGTGAAGTGGCGTTCGGGCGGTGCGCTGGGCCGCGGCTGCGTTTGCCAAAATGGCTTCGTGTTCTCGTGTTGACCAAAGTCCCGGGATCTGACGTTGATTGGTGGTGGCTGTGAGGCTAAGTCGCTCGTTTCTCTTTTTCTGGGGTGCAGCAACGACAAAAGTCTCGGTAATCAGATCTGCTGTTCGCCCTATCAGGCTGACATTTGAGACATGATTCTGCGAAGGTGCTGACATGTCGCAGAGGAGGCTGTCAAATGGCAGTAGGCAGACTCAGGAGGACTTGTGGTCACAAGGGCGCACGATTACTGGAGTTTTGGGGCCTCGGCTGATGCCTGAGATGCCTTGAGCAAGAAGCGACGTTCGCCTTATTCGAAGCACTCATGAAGGGTTGAGATCATGGGCAACGCCGTGCGAATGGACGTCCTCGCATCTTCTCGTGAACTTGCGTCAAGAAAAAGTACGTAGGCTTAGGTGAAATCGAATCCTGGAAGGCGATTGGCGACTCTGGGCGAAGCATGCCCCTATTCTTAGCCCCCATCAACGAGAGCAGGAAGCCTCCACAGGTGCCTCAGCCTGACGAGTGTGCAAGCATTGAACGGACACAGTTCGGCGACGATAACCGAGGCCTGGATACAGCTGCGCATCGCGGGTCGGATCATCTTCCAGTTGGTACACACAATTTATGTCAGTGAAGAACTCCCGAGCGCTTGCCGTGGTCGACGTGGTGCGAAATCCGGTCAGGCTCACGGACGATGTAGAGGTCGAAAGCGTTGATGTGCCCGACAAAGGCCCGTCGCGACAGTATCAGTAGTCCAAACAGCGGCTGGTGAAACTCATCTCAAGAGTTGATATCGCATCTTCAGTGAAGCATGGTACTTACTTGAGTAATAGTGTAACAGGGGGGCTTCAGGCTGCTCCTTGGGCAAGGCAACAAGGCATTCCGGGGCGGCTCTCGTGCCCGGACATGATAGCTAATCTCCGCCGACGCGTTCTCGTCTCCAACGCGCTTACCTGACCTTTTGTTTGCTCTACAAACCTCATAAGAAGACTCCATCATAATTGCGCGGCCTCGTACGATATCGCGGATGCAGCCTATGTGACGATGGCTCGCCTCGCGGTTCGTCGTACGCGCTCTCCGGAGTCTGACGACGAAGACGAGGTCACATCGCGGCCACGAACTCCCGCCTCCACCGCTGCCAATGACCGCAAACGTGCACGTCGCTCGACGCGCGACGACGACAGCTCGGATGACGAGTCTTCTGGCGAGCGGAGTGTGCCCAAAGCGACTCAGCAGACGCTTACTCGGCCGATCTCAAAGGCACCTCTCACCAACTTGGACCCGTATCCGCAGCACCAGCCGGGCGCTATCGTGCGTGTGAAGCTTAAGAATTTCGTCACCTACACCCTCGCAGAGTTCAAGCCCGGACCAAGTCTGAACATGGTCATTGGACCAAACGGCACAGGAAAGAGCACTCTGGTCTGTGCTATCTGTTTGGGATTGGGCTGGCCTGCCAGTCTGCTTGGTCGTGGAGACAAGATAGGCGAGTTCGTCAAGCATGGTGCTGCTGAAGCCTACATCGAAATCGAGCTAAAAGGCAAGCCGAAAGAGAATGGTCGGGTCCGCAATTCCATCATTGCGCGGAAGATGAGAAAGGACGGCAACAAGAATGACTGGTGGATCAATGGCAACCCCTCCACTGAAAAGGCTGTCAGAACACACGCCCAGAGCTTCAGTATACAGATCGACAACCTGTGCCAATTCCTGCCTCAAGACAAGGTTGTCCAGTTTGCCCAGATGGACCCAAAAGAAATTCTCAAAAGCACGCAGCAGGCTGCTGGCGATGCTCAAATGACGAAGCACCATGAGACTTTGATACAACTTCGAGCTGTCCAGAAGGACAAAGTCGGTGCTCAGCGTGCGAACAAAGAAGAATTGCAAAACTTGACGAAACGGCAAGAAATGCAACAAGCTGAGGTAGAACGTCTACGAGATCGTGCGAAGCATAAGGAGAAGCTCGAATGGCTTGAGAGAGCTGCCCTCATTCCAGAGTTTTTCACCGCCAAAGCGCGAACAGAGACGGCCAAACAGACTTCGAAGCGGCTCGAACGGGAGCTGAATCAATTGAGAGAAGAATCTGGGCCAGCCCTTCGGAAGGTCAATTCTAAACAGAAATACCACCAGAACGTCCAGAAACTGGTCAAGGAACGCTCAAATGAGCTGAAAACGGCACAGGAAGAAGCGAAAGCTGCCGCAGATGCCGTCGCAGAGCTTCAGACACACATTGACGATTTCAACACACGAATCGCGACCGACAAAAAGATGGCGCAATCAAAGCAACAGGGGCTTGCGAAGCAGCGAGAAGAATTAGCCAGGCTGCAGGCTGCCCGCGATCAACCGGTCCCGGACTTCGACCCCAGAGCCATGAACGCCGAGATCACCGATCGTGACCGAGAGATCGAGGCTCTTGATGACAAGAAGAGAGAAGCTGAGGATCGCGCCAGAGAAATGCAGCGACAGAGACGCGTCCGCGAACAGGCCTTGGCTGAGAAAGAGGAAAATATCCGCAAATTTGATACCACCTCGGGACAGCTTGAGCAGCGATTCGAAGCAATCAACAAAGAAGCTGCTAGGGCATGGAAATGGATCCAAGCGAACCAGAACATATTCGAGAAACCGGTTCTAGGCCCGCCTGCTCTTGTCTGCAATGTCCCCGATCTAACAATCGCTCCTGCGATAGAGTCGATCCTTCAAAAAAGTGACCTATGCATCTTCACTGCCCAGACTCACAACGATTACATTAAGCTGCAAGACAAGCTTTCCAAAGAACAGGGCCTGAGCGTCGCTCTGCGTGTGCGTCCTGATGATAACATGGACTCAATGCGGAAGCCATATTCTACTGAGGAATTGCAGAGCTATGGTTTGGACTCATATGCCATTGACCACATCGAGGGTCCACAGAAGGTCCTGGCGATGCTGTGCGACGAGAAGAAGTTGCATCTCGCTGCGATCGCTAAGGGCCAAATCTCGTCTGAACAACACGAACGACTCATGGTGCGAAGCAGAATCGGAACGTATTTTTCGCAAGGCACGATCCATAAGTTCATACGACGTGCCGAGCTCGGTCCGCAGGCCACAATATCGTCGAGTAGTGTGGCCAGACCTCCTATAATCTGGACCGACAAGCCTGTTGATCTCGGACGCAAGGCAGCCTTGCAGAGAGAAGTTTCGGAGATCAAGGGTGAGTTGGAGGAGATTCAAAGCGGCATCGAGGATCGCAAGAAGGAGTTTGCGGACGCTGGTGCCAAGATCAAAGAGCTGAACGAGCAGAAGAAGCAGATCGAAGCAGATAAGGCTCGATTGCAGCGAGAGCTCAGTACCTGGAACGGCCTACCAGGAAAAATCGACGATCTCAATCGTAAGATTGGCGAGCTCGACCGTTGGCTCAAAGGTGCCGTTGACCGCCGTCGCGGTTGGAACGCCGAACGTGAGGACACCATGATCAAGCGAGCTGAGGGCGCTGTCCAGTATGCCGAGCGCATCGGTACTATCAAAGAATGCATGGCCAAGCTGATCGCAGCCGAAGTGCAGGAAATCGAGGCTGCCTCCGACGTCGAAGTCCTTGGCCAGCGCAACGAAGCCATCAGAGATATGCTTAAGGCCAAAACGGACGAAGAGAAGGAAGCTGCTGACACAGCCCATGAAATGCTTCAAAACGTTCGACGAATGATGAAGGCTGCCCAAAAACTTCAGGAAGAGGCCAAGCGGCTGAGCGACGACGGTGACCCGGTCTTCCTGACGCTCATCAAGGAGATGATCAGAGACAAATGGACGCCGGAACATCACCGGGCAGAGATCGAAGCAGTCAATGCTCAAATTGAGCTCACCGGAGTTGGTAACGGCGATGCTATTCGTCAGTACGAGGAGCGTCAAAAGAAGATCGAGTCGCTGCAGGCCGCTGTTGCCAACTCAGAAACACAAATTGACGAAGCTTTGCGTGCCATTAAGGAGGTCCGCGATCAATGGGAGCCAGCAGTTGAGGCTTTGGTCGCGAAGATCTCGGACGCATTTGCGGAGAGCTTTGCCCGCATTGGCTGTGCTGGGCAGGTCGAAGTCGGCAAAGCACATAGCAAAGCGCCAGAAGACTGTGTTGAAGAGAACGGCGGCGAGGAGAATGGCCTCGACTTTGCGAACTGGCGCATCAACATCAGCGTGAAGTTCCGCGAGCACGAACCATTGAGTCTACTCGACAACCATCGGCAGTCAGGTGGCGAGCGCGCAGTCAGCACCATCTTCTACCTCATGGCACTCCAATCGCTGTCTCGTGCGCCGTTCCGCGTAGTGGACGAGATTAATCAGGGCATGGATGGCCGCAATGAGCGTATGGTTCACGGACGCATGGTCGACGTTGCGTGCGCAGAGCGGGAAGACGGCGGTGGTGGAGGCAGCCAATACTTCTTGATCACACCGAAGCTGTTGAGCGGGCTGAAGTATCGGCGAGGCATGACCATCTTGTGCATCGTAAGCGGCGAGCATGTCCCTGCTGAGGGGCAGCCGGTGGACGAGGATGCGGGCAATGCTGGGCCTTACAAGAACTATCCCACCTTGGGCGACTTCCTGCCGTTCGCGAGGAAATATGCTGCTCTGGGCCTTGGTGGTGGAAGCACGCAGACTCCAGCACTTGGTAGAAGGGTTGATTCTGGTGTGGCAATGGTGGGGGCCGTCAGTGGCTGAGCAGAAGTTCTACGGACGCCCGCCAACGGCTGAAGGTGGGAGGCGCCCATCTGATTGACGGCCTGACAAGGAAGGAGAGACACCGCGTAGATGCAGCAGGGAGCCCTGGCAGAGGTCCGTCATACCAGCGAAGTGAAAGCCCATAGCTGTATCAGTACAATACTGTAGACAAGAGTCGTTGTGGAAAGCAGCGCTCGGCTGTAGATCCATGTAGCTATCAGCCAGGGAACCCTACTTGTGCTTCACCCCTGACACGAGACTCTGCATCTGTAACATGCGTCAAGCCATGAATCAGACGACGATGAGGATGACGCCTAGTCAGCCCATCGCAATCGAAGGCAGAAGTAAGCCTGCCTTTTCAGCAGATGGGCGAATCTTGTACGCCCAAACGGCGCTAACAAGACGTCTTGTGGCGCGTAATGTGCGTGCGGGAGACCCCTTACCGCAGAGATCGTCTTGGCGTGGAAGGTGTTCTCGAATTCGAGGACATCTCAAATTTACAATTCGTGTCAGCAATGAAGCCGTCTCCAACGATAAAACGTTTTGCGGCCTGAGGAAAAGAGACTCGGACCTGATAGAACCTGTAAGCCTACCGAAATAGGCAGGAGACCTTCTAGTTGCGGTCGCGCCGACATCACTTCGCCTCGAACTCATAGTTGATCAGGCTTCAGCCGTCCCTTGAATTTCTCTACGACATTTGATGGCTTCCCGGCAGTGTCCACAGTAGTATCGGTCGCCGACATCGCCTCGCCTGACAGGACTGCACGTCGACAACGATCATGGATGCGAACGTCGCGCGTCGTCTACCCCAGATTCATCAACCACTAACCTGATCGCCGATTTCAACGTTGCCAAGATGCCCGAGCTCTACGTCTACGCCGAGCTTCTGTTGCACATCCGTCAACTGACTCTGTACGCATCGCTCTCGGAGGATAAACACAAGGGCACCCAGATCTTTATCTCGTCCGACAAGAAAGTGATTACGGCGGTCTACGGCGATGAGAGAGCCAGCATATATCTTCCAACTCAGATCAAAGGCACGGCGAACGTGACCTTCCCACTCGGCAAGCGGACAGAGTTCTCGACGAAGCTACAGATTGACGACCAGAATGAGCTACAGCATGCTATCGAGACGTCCTCCGAGATCCAGGTGCCATGTACTGCAACATCGCTTCAGCCTGGTGTGCAGCTGCGATGCAAGGCATGCTCGGCGATTGTGGTCGAGGAAGGCGTCATTGTTCAATGGAAGGATCTGCCTAGTGAGAACTGGGCCGAGCTGATGGACTTGTGGTTCTGTCACAAGCCTCACGAGCATGATCACGATCACGATGACACGAAAGCTGCGGCTGCGTCGAAGGGTTTCGCGGATCAGTCGAAGATTCTGAATGAGCGTGGGACAGGAATGGTCGACAGCCTGTCCTTCTTAATCCATGGAGATGACAGCAAAGCTATTCAGGTAAGCAGTTCTGATCTTAGTCCTTTGGAACCTGGCGAAAAGAAAGAGGCTCACCACATCGCTTCCGGTGGCCCACTTGGTTATGCCTCTGATACAACCGCCACAGATCAAGTCTCATCGTCGAGAGACTTGTGTCAGCCTTCTTCACAGGATGGCAGACCAGGTGCTCTCGATGAATCAATTCTTACGCCTTGCACATTTCGGCTCTGCTTGTTTCCAAGATCAAGACTTCAGAGAGATCTACGCAAGATACATTACGGCTAATTTGTTTGATCATAGTCCGATGACCAGGATGTATCCGAAATTGTATGTCCGAGCTGTAAAGCCTTCCTCGGCACTCTCAACACTTCCGAATCAAGCCACCGTCTCTTCAAGTCGCGGCTGCAGATCAACGACCAGACCTATTCTTGCAGCATCTTCATCGGCGCCCAGCTCCTCCAACTCATCGAACACACCACCTCACGGCGCGTTGTTATCCACCTTCTCCACCTCGGGAGTCCGACTCCAAGTCTCACTCCTCCCCACCGCCTGGTCTGCTCCTCTGGATCTTCAACCCGGATATCTATTATTCCGCCTCCCGTCGACGCGATCCGGAACCTACAGTTCACCGCGCCCTCAAGGTATTCTACCAAGAAGTTTCCGATCCCGCTAAGCTGCTAGACTCGCATCAAAGCACACTCGAAGAACTCGCCCTCCCAAAGCCAGAATACGAGACTTTTTACAAAGAGCTAGTCGGGAGCAAAGACTACATGCCAGTGTCAGCCCGCACATTCCAGGACTGGCAAGTCGGGCTGCTGGACCGGTGGGAGGAGACGGCGTCTGGTCTGGGGGCGATGGACCAGAACGCGTTGAATCGTGCAGTGGAAGGTGATATGGAGCTATTCAAAGCCGCCAAAGTCGATTTGCCTGGGTCGGAAGGCTTGTATGACTGAAGTCGTGGCGCTGGAAAATTATTGGCATCGCAAGTACCGGTTCAGACCATGGCGTCGGTAGGGCATGGTCATTGCTGCTCAAAGCATTGGCCCGCAAGACCGAAACTGCATCATCGAGTCTGTACATGGTAGCAGATCGTGAAGTATGCAGCGCGAGATGTCTATCAAAAATCTCCCCCAGCGAACGGCGCCAGGACTCGGTCATTTACGGAGACATCGCCACACTTGTCGAGCACACCCATTATAGGACGAAGCGCAGGCTGTGGGATGATGCCGGGAAAAGTGAACGCCTTGTTCGGTCGGCTGAGCAATCATTCGTCTTTATTAAACCTCGTCCGTAGCATCGATACCGGGATTCCTGGGAACGCCTGTGACCCGATTTCGAGCCCACCAGTGAAGTCGAAGGTATATGCTCACCGGCATCAAGCTTTGGACGACGGTATTGGAATCCAGCATGGAGAGAAGACCGCGAATCAGAGGCAATGTTGCTGGAGAATCGAGAAGACGCCACCACAGGCGTCGTGAAAACCACATGATCCTGTTAGCAAATGCCAGGCAGAGCGTGGTGGCCAGAACGACGACAATCGTAACTGCGAATGTGGTAATATCGAAAAAGCCATCAGGCACACCGACAACATTCATGCCGAAGAAGCCGCATACGCACGACGTTGGTATGTAGATGAATGCCAGAATTGTAAGTCGGGTGACTGTGGAGGCCTGCTTGATTGCCTTGCGGCTTTCTTCAATCTGTGTCCTGGTGAGCTTCAGCTGAAGCTTCGTCAGCGTTGCATCGTGTTCCCGGCGGATCAGTACATCGAGGACATCGAGACTTTTCCGCAAGGTATCTACCTCAACTTTGCACTCATCTACAGTAGCCTCAATATGTGTTCGTAAGGGCTGAGGCATATGGTGGCGCTCGCGGTCAGCGACGCGCTGTATATCATCAAGTTGCTGGACCAGCAGCACTCGAAGTGCACTCGACTGCGACTCGACTTCACGAATGGTTGTGATTTTATCGTCTTCGAGCAGACTACGCATGACATGGATACTCGCATTTAGAAGTTCATTGGCCGAAAGAACTGCTGCTGCAAGCAGAAGGAGTTGAGTGAATACAAGTGACGCTCGAGGCCAGATCGCCGAAGTGGCGGAGTCCTGTCGACGTGTCTTCGCGTATAGTAGGGCAGCTTCGATAAGCCTTTCCGTTGACATCGAGGGGCTTGTCGGCGTAGCGAACCGCTGAGACAGAATGCCGCCCTTCGAGCAAATCCGGGAACAACTCATGATCCTTTGTAGGTCTGAGTGTCGTCAGGATTATATCTGTGACAAGTCAGTGCATGGTCGCAGCAGCAGAGAACGATCTGCTATGGAGACTTGCCGATCGAGCCGACTGCATTCTTCTTAGCCGGCAAGCAGATCATAGATGTTTTGCAAACCGACAGCAGGCTGGCTCCTCGGAAGCTCATGCTAGGCCTTCGAAGCCTATCCGTTCCCTGATAAAATATGGCAGAGCGACTATTTGGCCCTTTAAAGTGCGGATAACACTGGCCATCAGCTTGATCAGCTCAACCCTACTCGATGTGTCGATATGCGATTTTTCCCAGGGCCGGACCAATCTGCCGACGTGCCACGAGCTGATCGACATCTGTTCGAGACTTGCCTGAAACAAAGGTACCTCGACGACAGGTTTCCGTCTGTCTTCTGTCGAATCTAGCGAGGAAACTATGTTGACCTTTCTTGGACGTAGGAGCAGCCCGGGATGATTCGGTACATCGTCAGGGCCATGTACGGCTGGTGCCTGGATGAAGTCAACTCCGTAGCCGGCTCCAGCACGCCCAAATCGCCGCCACAGATGCTCAATGAAGATCTGCGGACTCAAATCAAGCCACTGCCCAAGGAATTCTACCAGCCATGCCACATTTCTTGAATCATCCAACAACAGGACCGGAGCAATATGTGCGCCTGAGTTGTGTAATAAATTCCAATGCGCTGCAAAGTGGCTAGGGTCGGTAATGTTGAAGTGGTGCCAGGTAATAGCAGTTGTACTGACAGATATTGCAAGACGCACTTCTAGTAGCGGCGGTGGAAGAAACCGTGGATCGTCCTTTCCGTGATCATCCACAATAAGGAGATACAAGTCCCGCCGCCCAGGCACGTGATCCCACTCGCCGCTGAGCAAGAGACGACCAACATATTTCCACGTCTGAGGAGGCATGGGGTCCGACCCTTGCTGTATACTCAACGCATCGAGGTACTTGAGCCAACGCAATGTTCTGACAATCGCTGACTTCTCAGTCTCCAATATCGCCATATCCTCCCAATTGTCAACCTCGTTAATCAAGACTTCAGTATCATCGAGACGTTCACATATCTGAATGTTCACTGCCGCCAAATCGCACTCAACGGCTGCCAGACATTTTCGAGATAGTCGTGCATCCCGTTCACTGCGTGCTCGCACGTCTTCTGTCCAGACACAGCCCGTGCACTGTGGCAGCGTGTCCGGATCGGGAAGTGATGCCAGGAAGTCCTCTGCGATCTTCAGGCTGGCCATCTTCTGGAAGGTACAGAGCAGTAAACACATCCACTGATGCCGTCGAAGTGAAGGATACGCAAATCAGGCTGATGGCAACTCCTATATCCTACCAGAAGCGCTGCTCAGCCGTCCATGCTGTCCGCTGCACCTAGCCCCGGACCCAGCCACACTTGGTGTTCCATTGGGCGCCACAGCTGCAAGGCAGCCCTGGCAGGCGGCGCATCGGCCTGTGCTTGGCCTACGCTACGGGATAGCAACCCACATCGATAAGGGGCCTGCACGCTGTTGAACATGGTGTCATGTCTGTGGCATGTATCTGTTGTAGTTGATGTAGTGCGTAGGACGTACTCTGTCTGGTACGGGTGGGCGGCTCCTTCCGTGGCCTCATATCCACTGTCAGTGTGTCACCACCTCTGCTACAGAGGCTTGGGGTGCACTTGCCGGCTTGGCATCGGAAGAGATGAGTGGTGAGGGGAAGAACGAGGGGCTCAACTTGCCCCACGCTGTCCATACCGGATGAGGTTGTAGCAAAAAGTTCTCAAAGAGGCAGAAGCGAACAGCACAGGAAATGCGGTAGCATAGGAAATGAGGTTAGTAGCGATCAAGTTATGCTGATTTCGAGTGCTGCCATAAGCTATATAAATTTTGAACCATGAATGTCCACCATCGCGACAGTGAGCTTGTATCCGCTCACTTATGCTCCCAAAACAAATCGATCTCCTTGCCCTGCAACCAGTCCGCCATCGCTGTGTACATATCATACCATCCCTTGTTATTGGCATTCGGCAAGTCATTCAGAATCTTGTGTCCCAACGTCGCCTGCGCCGCACCCAAATACTGGTAACCCTCGGTATACTTCTGCAGCTCCTCCTTGGGGAAATCAGGAACAGTCTTGCCATCGACAGGCACGACCTTGTCCTTCTCGTAGAACAGCTTAACGAACTGCGTCTTCCACTCGCCGCCTTCCTTCTTGACGAAGAAGATGAAGCGGCAGTCGCACTCGACGTCCACGGGGATGCCCTTGAGGTGCACGCGTTGGGTGATGGTGGCCTTCATCTTGCCGATGCCGCGTTCGGTGGAGAGGTTGACGTTGGCCAGTGTGCCGTTCTCGCGGTGCATGATGAAGTCGCCGTTGGCACGGCCTTTGATGGAGACGTCGATGAATTGCTCGATTGTGAGGCCGCCGGACCAGGCTGTACATGTTAGAATGCGCGCTTATGGTAGACATCAGAATGGTGAGGACTTACTGGTCCAGACATATGCGCCCTCCTTGGTGAACAAAGAGCGGTAGTTCTTCCATTCTGAGGCATCACGGTAGACGGGCCAGCCTTTGCATAGCTCGGTGATGCAGTACCGTGCGAGAATCTCCTCGGTGCTGCCATTGATGTGTGAGGTGACGACGGGCTCTGACTCCTCGGGAGGGACGTTGTAGAGCTTGGCCATGTTGTAAGGTTGCGTGGGTGTTCTTGTAGATGTGGTGAACTATTCTTGGGCGAGTACGTAGTACTTTGACGTGTTTCTGGTTTGCAACACGAGTTATCAAGTTTATGGTGAGTAGGATGTGAGAGGATCTACAACGACGCAGGACAACGGACTACTTATACTCGGGATCCAGTCTCCAGAATCTGAGGAAATCCACGGAGTACTCCAGGCGCCGCAGACTTTTACCGGCACGCTCTTACTCGGTCTTGACTGTGGTCACTCGTTGGGGAAGTCTGGGAAGGTGCAGTGACGTTCTCGCGGCAGCACATCACGGCATCTGCAGGTGGCAGTGAATCAGGGCCCAGGGAAGCTCCTTCCCCATGATTTCGAGGTACAGGTAAGGGATGTAATTGGTCGAACCAGCTCAGACACAGTCATCGTGGGGAAGACACTTCTCTCAAAGTCTTTCTCACGTGCAGTCCGTGGCGTGCTCGAGGAGCGACCCCTCCGAAGTCTTTCCGCGGCAAGAATTGTGAGAACGCGAACGCGAGCGCGATCGGCTGAGAACTTTCCCGGCCCGAGCACGCGCAGACTGTTCTCAGAACGACAACAACAACAATGCTATCTGGACTCTATACCCACATATCTGCTGCCTTTTTTTGTTACGGTCGCAATGTAGATGTACCTTCTCGTGATGTATTATGAGTTGATAGCGAAAGTGATCATGGCTACAGCGCCTCCACAGCTTCACAGCCGATTGAGCTTGTCCTCACTGACGTTCAGTGCGCTGGACCACTTGCCGTGCCTTTCCAGCAGAACCGGTCCCAGCACGCCTCACAAGCCTTTGGCAGCGCGATGTCTCCACTGGCCTTGGACAGCACGGCGCATCCAATGCAAATCGGCCATTGAGTATCGCCTTTCATTGTGGCAACGAGGTTGCCGTTTTCAAGTATGCTGGTCACAAGTTCACTGGAAAGCTGAATAGTCCACCACGGCACATTGCTTCCGAGAATGTGAGGCACATTGGGTATGTAGATGATAAGAGCTTGGCTGGCGTCAGATCTGCAGCCGAAGAACGTTGGCTGCTTGTTGAGTGCAAGCTTGTCGATTTCGGCAGGTGTCGGTATCATAGGCATGCGTGAGAACCCCATTTGCTGTGCTCGCTGAAACGTTTTGTACAGTGATGATCCATCTGGCAGCTGATCTGGCGTCGACGTCGAGAAGTCGGCAGCAACAATGACTCCTACACCTCGCTCCACAGGCAGCAAAGGCCAGATCGGAATCTCTTCGCCACCCTGGCTACCATCGATGAGGTAGAGGCTGTCGACATGAGTTGTGGCGGCGAAGGGTCCCGGACATACAGCGTACTCGTCTAAGAATGACACGCCGTGCACAGCTCCCAGCATGTCAATCATGTCGTTCCACAGATCTCCTAGGTGACCTGAGAATGGTGAAGAGTTGGGAACGACACCACAAAATAAGTTGAAGGGATTGCTGGAGGCCCCCATGACGAAGCCAAGGCTATCAAAGCCGTTGATACATGTTGCCGATGACGGGGCGAAGCTTGCGGTAGACTGCGAGCCCATGAAGGCCGTCTGGGAGAAGCTTCGAGTGCCTAAATCCCAAGTTCCAAATTCGAAAGGATGAAATTCGTACTGGGTCGACGAAAGATCACCATAGTTGCAACCTGAGATATTCCGTCTGGGATCGACATTGAGCGCCGTGATTATAGGATATGGCTGGGATGCCTCCTGGAAGTCAGAGCGATTGACCAGACTGGATAGCCACACAGTGCGTTCGCCGCCACCTTCAAGGCAATGGAGATTCGCAAGCCTCCCCCAGATATCGACCAGCGATGGGTTATAGCCCGCGATAGACTTCGCCACCGCGTCAAGCATGATGTTCGAGTAAGTCGTTGGTGCTCGATGGGTCTCTGGTGGGATGAACGAAGGATCAGAGAATCCAGATGACCACAGGTTTGTGGCGAGCGAGCAACGGTAGCGCCTTCGTTCCCGATCAGCCTCCCAACAGCCAGGCGCCCGTTGAGGTTCCAGCATGATAGCTTATACTTTGGTAGAAGCCCTTCTGAAATCTCCATCAGCGTCCTCTCAGAGCCGGGACATCAGCCTCCTACTTACCATATTACTCTTGACAGAACTGGAATCACGATTGTCCCAGGCTTGCACCAACCCAGCATTGTTGACCATGGACCCGATCCCGCCACCACTACTCGCCAATCCAATAACCGGCATCTCCACTCCCTTCTCAATCTCGAACCGATCCTTCTCTGGCATGTCCTTATTGACAGCAGTAAACCATTCCCTAAGGTGCTGCGAAGCCACCTTTGATCTGTTCGTGCGGTACTCCGCTTCACCAGAGCACAGACCGATGGCATCTCTTGTGAGACCGGAGGATGGACACTCGGCGGCGACTGGAGCGTATGAGGTCAATTTGATCAACGAAGGGAGTGCATGTGCAGGTGTGGCCAGCCATGGGATCAGGATGGCAATGATGACCGGAACGAATGTGGCCAGGGTAAGAGTGAGCATGATGCTGCTTCTGGACTTCCAAAACACCAAAATTCGAGGCTGCCAACACGTCAAATCAGCGATCCAAGAGGAACGTGCTGTCGATGCAGCGAGAGGAGATGAGTTTGAGCATGATCGTGGACTCGATCCGAGCCACCTCTCATCGCTCCTGCCGCGAGAGTTGAACGATAAGGTAGGTGCAAGTCTGAGGGTGGCCTCAGTTCTTGAAATGCGTAAAGTCAGGGTATCGCCTTCCAAGGCAACGGCAAGGCTGTCACTTGCCAACAGATGACTTTATATTTTATTGTTTCATATTTTCGTTCAACAATCGACCACAAACACTCAGAACGAGTTCTCTGAAGCCACTCGCTCTCGCGTGCGAGATCCGAGGTGTACTACTCTAAGTAGGCGTGTTATATGGTTCTCTGACTGCTTGGTTGTCTAGATTGTTTTTTCTTTTTCGCAATCTGCTGACCGCGCAAGATATTGCCAATTCTGCGGCAGGCAACTGTGCGCGCTTAACGGCTATCACATTCTAAGTGTCTGTCATGCATTTCGAAGATCAAGATGAATCACTACCACGACGACCACTTGCTCTTGCTCTTCTCAAGTTTTAACACCCCATGGAAAACAGACAATCAGACCCCCCACCATGCTTTCTTCGTCTTCATCACATGGGTTCTCGTATCACTCCGGGTCCATATTGGTTGTCGAAGCAAGGCACTTCTCTCCACCTCGAGCCGCTCGATCTGAAACGTCCACGTGTCCGTTCACGACTCCTAGGCCTGACACCCCGAACTCCATCCCAAGTCCACTCTCCTGGCGCCCAGGGGACTCTCGATGCCCTTCCCAGAGAGCTTGCTGGAGTCCTCGGCGACACTCCCCAATATCCACGGCCTCTGTGCGTCGAATCATCACTGCTGCTGCTGGTTGAGGAAGACGAAGTCAGGCTCGGAACAGGGCTTAGCCTTCCCTCAGACCGCTCATCCGGCCAATGGACGCGCCGCCCTGTGCGGTGCCTGTCATCACCGCCATTGGGTATCGATATCGGAGGAACAGGGACTCCCTGCCCTGCAGCAATATCTCCGACCGGTCTTTCGTCTCTTCCTGTTCCTCCCCTAGTGGGTCCGTGACAGTGATCACAATACCCGTGCCACGGTGGAGGAATGTATGGACCTCCAGGATACGGTCCAGGCCAGTCATCATCACTCCAATCGTCATGATCAGACTCAGTGTCACAGTAGAAGTAGTCCTCGTCGGGCACAGGCCATGGAGGAGGCGTATAAGGCGTGGTACGTCCTGGAGCAGCGCGAATAAAGTAGTTACGACGATTACTGCCCCTGCCAAGTCGGTCGACATAGGTCCATCCAGGCCGGAGAGAGCGGAAGTGTGCACGATTTGTGTCCAACCGGAGCGAGGGAAAGATTGGCATGTTGTCTGATTGTCGGAGCGGTGCTGCTGATCGGGATCGGATGCGGATTCTGATGGAGGCGAGGCGTGGTATTCTCGACGATTGAGCTGAGGTGACTGTTGGCGTCTGCTCTGGCTGGTTTGAGGCCCGTCTGCCTGTGCTGTGGCCGAAGAGGGACAGCATCTTCGCAGCTACTGTCGTCTTTAAGACTCTCTTGATCTCTGTCGCTTTTCGTTTGCAGGTCAGTGGGAGGCTGGTTCCTCGCCGTTTGGGTGCCACGCACTCGACGTCGGTCCTCGGAGTCGAGATCAAGGGCTGAGGAAGCATTTCCAACGCACCAGTCGCTTTTTAACGGCCGTCATCAACAGTGCCGACCCCCGACACTAACGTCCAAACGGCATAGGTTGCGTTGGTTCGAAGGTCAAACATAATTTCAGGCAAACAGATCAAACACGCAGAATCACATTGGAGAGGTAAGCAGTCACAGGGTGGACGTCACCTTTCCAGATCATCGTGGCTAGGCATGGCTGAGAAGGTCGGTACATCTGAGAGGTATCATCTGCCACATCGGATCATTTGCTCAGCATGGATGCGGGCGTGGGATCAGGGCAAGTCAAGAATTCGCCGCACATTGACTCAGATTTTATTTGATGGCAAGTTGATGGGCTTCGGAATTTCCTGAGTCTAATGTCGAGAACAAGAATGCGATTGCGTGGGCGTAGAAGACTTGCAAGTGTACTACCATGGGGACAGATTAAGCCAGTACCGTCCGCAATGCAGAACAGTAGTGAAGATTCGCCCGAAACGGCGAAGGTCAGGCACAGCCAGTGACGGCATTCCATGCCCTCCGTTGCTCGCATGCTATTCTCGCACGTCCATCAAACGAGCCACCCTGACCAGGCCGGGTGTGTTTGACGTAGACACTCGTTTGGCATTTGTCCGATTGCTGCAATAACACCATGCAATCCAAGACTCGGCCAAGTGCCGAATGACGGTACAGTGAGCCTCAGCTGCGCCTTCGGGGATCAGAAGGGACATATAAGTACGTTGATGGGCAACGAAGGTGGTGGGTGGTGGGATCAGACGACATGTCGTCTGACTTGTTTGCCAAGCCAGGCTGAAGCCACGCCGGATGACAAGAAGACAGCAAGGCCGGTTGACTGGGCCGAAGCTCAGCTGACGCCGGGTGACAGAATTCAGGCGAGACCGGATGACCGAACTGCACCACCTCTGAAGTTCCGGCTCAAACCGCCAGCAGGCAAGGGAAGGTCTGTCGGCATGGTAAGGCCCACGTGCGCGCTTGTAGAAGCATGTACTCGATCGTCAATGCGTCCGGTTCACGCTAGGGTCTTACTTTTGACCTCGGGGGCCATGCACTTGCAGTAGGCCTGCTGTATCTATATTCCATCTTCAGCATGTGGCACGAGTGCACCGAATAACATCCCACGGTGGCCGCGTCCAGGCGCTCAAACACCCATCCAGAGTCCCTAGTAGCACCGTCCGATATTCCCCGTCTCCTCAGCCGTGAGCAGTGCACCCTCCTCTCAGTGGAAGGAGGATCGGTAGTCATCCAACAAGATAAAGAAATCATTGCTCATTCATCGTGTGTATCTCAAAAATACAGCGCCAGACCGCTGACCATGTATGCTAGGTACCATTGTATGTCATCAAAAAAGTCATCATCATATGCTGAAAGCCATTCGCTCGCGTCGATTCATTTCCTCACCACCACCCGTTCCTCCCTCTTCCCGAATGCCTGCCCCTCCTACTGGCCAACATCTCCCTCACCCGCCTCAACTCAATATCCGCCAATTCCTTCCGCAGCAGACTCGCCTTCTTATCATCCGCTCTCCGGCGCTGCATCTCCTGAAGCAGATCTTGCGCCGCCAGTAGTTGCTCGTCTCCATCCTCAGGCGATTCCACCGGTGAGGCACCGTGGTGATGCGGCCTTTGCGGATGGTGGCTGTGGTGGTGCTCATCGCGATGAACATGGAAGTGGTCTCCGAAGAGAGAGTCCCACCAGGAATCCGTCTCTTCTTCCTCATCGGGCGTTTCATCCTCATGCGACGAGTCGTCGAGTTGGTGGTAGTGTAGTTCCTCTTCGAGTTCTCCAGGAAGGATGAAGAGGCGCTCCTGTAGCTGTTGCTCTTGACTTTGAGGGAGTTCTGAGTCGCCGTCGGTTTCGAGCGCGTCGGCCGCGCTTTCGTTGCTGATCTCGGTCTCCAAGTCGTCTTCGAGGATGTCGTACCATGCACGCGGCTTTTTGACGCGGAGTTTCGAGGGCGCTTCTGTTGCATCTTCACCGCGTGAGCCCAGGGACTTGGTCATGGTCGAGGTCATGGCTTGCGTGAAAGTCGTTGTGACCTCCTGCTGCTGCGGCTGCGGCTGGACTGCATTGTTGCTCTTCCCGTTCCCGTTGCCGGCACCGGTGAAGTAGTTGGCCTGTAATGGGACGTATCCGCCGACATTATTGCCTGAACCGCTTTTGGGAGCAGCTGAAGGCGGAACCGTAGTCTTGACAACCGTCGTTGGGCCTGCGACATTGTTGTTAGTGACCTTGTTCTTACTGCCGTTCCTGTTGATGGAAGCGATCATAGTGCTTGTGACACGCCCAGAATATGAAGTCACGGTGACAGTGACCGTGACACGTGTGGTACTGGTGTAGCTGGGTGCAGCTGTGATGGGCACAGTCTTGCTCGGTGACGGAGACACCACCTGTCTCTGTTGAGTGGATTGCTGCTTACCGGGTGGAGTAGCAGCAGGCTGCTGGATCTGTTGGCCTTGACCCATCTGCACGATCCCGTTGGCGCCGACCCACGGACCCTTTTGGCGCCTGCGAAGTTCCTCCTCATCGTCGGACTCGAGTCCTGCTCGAGGTCTAGCTCCACTGACGAACTTCGGTCAGAGTCGGCTTCTTCTGCCGCCGGCTGCTCAGGCTCGTCGAGTGTCTCAGGTCCCATCTCCTCAATCTCTGCATCTGGTGCGGATGCGACGTCGTTCTCGTCGACAATTGGCACCGCATTTCTGCGTACATTCTGCTTGGGACGATTTGGTCCCTGCCACATGACCGGCGGACCGATCTCTTGGTACTTGATCGCATTGGGAGGGAACTGCTGCTGACCCTGTGGTCGAGGCCTTGGATACCAATTATTTGTTCCAACGGTAACCTTCCCACCTGGAGCGGTGTATACAGCAGTCCCCGTGCTGGCCGCTGTGGAGGAAGGTTGCCCATTGTTCTGGTAGACCTTCAACGAGTTGATCGACCAATACGAGTTGACGAATGCGGACGGATTGTTCTGAACGTAAGCCTGACACGATGCACCTTTGGGTGCGCAGACTGCGTCCGAGGACCAGACACTACCCGCCCAATCGCCACAGAAAGTGATGTCGAAGACTATCTGTTGTTGTCGGATGAAATTGCTTGTGTTGCAGGGTGCGCCGAAGACGGCCAGAGGTCTGGCCCAGCTGTCTGGATTTGGAACGCCGGCCTTGATATCAGCTGGAATATTGGCGCGGGTGAAGCTCCATATCCTGACAGTGCTTGCTTTCATTTCCATGGCGTAGACTCCGCCACCAGCTGCATTGAACCCGGCGCCGTACGTTGTTGTATCAGATGTCTTAATACTGCAACCTGAATTGCCCGGCTGGCCTGCCGCATTGACGTCGCAGTTGGGATATTGTAACGTGCCGCTCTGTTGGCTGGAGGCAGAGATCGAGCAACCAGGTCCCGTATGGACGGCCATGGCATTTGAAGTCTGTGAGTTCACGCCCTCAATAATGTCGATTTCGCCATTGTTCGGCCAATTCGGTCCCACCGTCCAGTACGCGGGCCATTCTCCGCAAGCACCACCAGGCATATGACCAAAGTCGGCGATGAAGAGGCCCGTGTTATAGGTTTTCTTGCTTTCTAACCGTACAGAGTCACGGCCTCTGCCGGACGCGACGTTTGTCTTGTCGACGCCCATGTATGCGACGCCATTGTTTGTGTTTATCAGTCCGCGAGCAGCCGCGGTTTGGCTGTCAACGTAGTTGACGTAGCCATGTGTATAATCGTCGGCCTATAATCCGTCAGCGCCACATATCTGCACACGATCAGTTCTACTTACAGTAAAAAAGTTAAAGTTGTTGAAAAAGTTCGGTCCAGAATAGTCGTCCTGGACCGTGTATATCGCCTGGCTTAGGGATACCAGCCCCAGCCATGTCGCTGCTGTTCGTATCATAATGCTGTACGCCAACCACTATCAAAGGACAACGACGACCAAGAGCACGGACTATAACGAGCGACCACTCGAGCGGGCAGCTCAAAGGAAAGAAGAGAAAGATCTCGCAGTCGTTGAAGATCGACACAAAGGCTTTCCACACAAGGAGTGCCTTGTCCTTACCTTTTGTACAAAATGCTATTCTGGACTCCAGCACAGACTGGTGGATTAATGTCATGAGGCTGCAACGAAGGGGGAGATAACGTGTTCAGCCAATAGACTTTGCTTGCCGGGATATTCACATAGAAATGCAAGGGTCGCGAGTCGCGACGAAACCGACCCTGAGATCCATCATGGATGTCAGCGGATCATGCGGCATAGCCTGATCTGGGGCTCGGCCCTGTCAAGGCGACCTCGATGCCAAGTCGATGGCATTTTCGGTGAGGACTTTGTAGTCCTTGACATTACGCCGTGGCGTTCGAGGAACCTACACCGCAGGCATGGTGTGATCAATGACTCCCACGGACAAGCAGATATGACACTACACAGTCAGAGGCGCATGATATCAAAAGGCTGGACGAGTCGGAAGTGAACAGCTGGACTTGTGAATGCTCGAGCAGGAGGCTGGACTTGGTACGATTGCGCTCCCACATTCCAACGCGTCGCAGAGTCGCGGTAACGCCGAAAAGGGGCATAATTGATCATCTCGGTACAAAGTAGTAAGGAGTCTCAGGACTTGTCAATGTCTTCTGCGACAAGCTACCAGCAAAGCAACGCCTATTGTGCAGTTGAAAGAAAAGGAGAGACAAGCTTGAAGACGTTGATGCAAGGTTCTTGGAGGTGATCGAGGATGAGATTGGTGGTGGAAGGAGATTAATTTCCCACTAAAATCGGAAATGGGAGAACTCCGTCACGTGCTTTCCTCCTTTTGGCTCGCGATAGCCGGATGACAAGGGTAGGCACGAACCGGATGACTTTCGGCTGTTGGTAGTGGGAACCTTCCAGTGCAAGGTACACACCGACTTATTGTCTTTCATCTTGACTTATCATTCGCGATCTTCTGCTTCGTTCTGATCAAGTTCCACGAGCTGTGAGCCTGATGAGATAGGCCGCACCATGCATATGGGATGGTCCCCAAAGAAAAGGCCCTTCCTCCGGGTTGTCACCTCTCCACGCAAAAGTCAGTGCTGGTATGCAACCGCCAACAAGCTACAGTTCTTCGCCAGCGCATCTCCTGATCACCAATCCCAACTCCTCGGGCATACTCAGATGAGGGCTATGACTAGAAAACAGCTCAACACTGCTCATCTCTCCACCCTTTCCCGCCTCTCTGGCCATCTGTTGCGCTCCTTGAACCATGTGCCGTTGGGCTTCCGGTGAGATAGCATTGTCTTGAGTGGTCACTATATAAGTGCACTTTGTATTTTCCCAGACTGCATGTCTCTGCTTGCCTCCTTCCGACTCTACACATGCGTACGAATGAACGCCTAGTGCAGCCACGGCTTCCTGCAATGTCTCTGGATCTTTCACGTCATTGTAGAAAATATGTGCTGGGTTCGCCGGCCGGAACGTCAGCCCATCCTCCGAAACGTCCCACCACTCTGGTGGTTGTCTCCCGGGTATGGCATCAAGCATAGACATGCCGACTGGTAGTGGGAACCCGCTCGAAACGATGAAATGTTTGATTGTGGTAGTAGGAGGTAGGTCGGCGCAGGCAGACGAGGCTGGTACGGAGCCATAGGAGTGTGCGAAGATCACGATCGGGTCGGATCCCTGAGCAAGGATGTGCTTCCGGACCTCTGCCACGTCGGCAGCGAAAGCGGGAGGCGGGTTCTCTGCGGAGTAGGAAGTGTAGGAAGGATGTAGGTTGACTGAGGGATGCGCTATCTCGACGACGGTGTAACCGTGCTGACGGAGGTAGTCTGTCAAGGCCCTGTAGGCTGGTGGTGAATGCCATGCACCAGGTACAAGAAGGATTGTGGGCTTGTTGACGTTGTTGCTGCCATTCTCCAACGCATCGGACGGATGAGAGGCCATCGTGCGGATGGGTTTGGAGGCCTGAACGATATCACTAATCTGGTGGGAGTGAACGACTCTCGTCTCACTGCAATGCGATCTCGCTCGAAGATATAGTGTCAAATGCCAAGCTTATGCTGAGGATCTCTCGGCCGAGGCTGGCTTGTTGGATGTTACTTGTTGATAAGCCGGATCGTTCAGGAGCTCTCCTCGGTAACGGCGTGCGACTCGTCAGCAAGCCACGTCAGTTTCGAAGCGGCCAGGTGCCTCTGTAGCAACCAAGAAGAAAGCCAACAGAGCCAGTCTCAACCTGATTAGGGTATGATCCTGCCTCATGGCCAGGTTCCAGTTTTGAATGTCGTATAGCACGACTTGCCTAAACAGGTGGTCAAATGCTGCCGGTGTTCAGCTTAAGTTGATCAAAGGTGGATGTTCGCGGCAATAGATACGAAACTCTGAACGAAACATGGTCGGTATCAATCGTTAGCCGGCTGGCGGTGAGCTGTGGAGGAATTTTGTCTACCAAAAGGTTCTTGTGGGACATTCAATACTTCAAGAATAAAAGGCACTCCTCTGGAATCCCTCCGCCGTGATATCGTTTGGTCTGCCCTTGATCTCGGGCGGGGCGGGCACAGAAGTCAAACTCTTCGTCCGCTCGCCAAGGTCATTGCTTCCCTTCAGGGTCGTCGTCCGGCTTCCGGGTGCACTGGCAGTCTCACTTCCGGTTGTTATCGCTTGTTGCTGCCTCTGTACAGGCCTTTGGACAGGCTGTAAATAAGGACCAGGAAGATACCCAACTTTGCCATCTCGGGATCGACATCGCCACCAGTCTGAAGCGTTGCCCATGGGATCACTCTTGGACAATATGGCTACCAAATCGCCTTTTCGGACCTGAAGATCCATCCCTCCGGACTGGCTGGATGGAGTATAGTCGTATAGTACCCTGCAGAACTCGAGCTTTTTTGGGTCGAGTGCAACCTGCTCGCCATTCTGATTCGTATACATGAGGCCTTGCTCCTGCTGCTTGCGTGCTGCTTCTTCCTGGCTGGCGGCCATCGAGCGGATGAGTTTGCTCATGAGATATGGTAAGCCGAACACGGCGATTGCGAACATGATGAAAGGCTTTCGTGAAGGACGTGGAGGAGCTGGGGTACCGTCTGGTAGTGTTTGGATGCCTTTGCCGCCTGACATGAAATTTGAGAAGGCTTGTGGCGTCAGCGCCGCAGCATCAGCCGGCGGAGGTCGACCAGTGATTTTGGCGAGGAGTGTCCGCATCCAACGTAGAAGGCATATATGCCGAGGACTGAGCCCAAGGTATGTCGTAGGTTGCCGAGCTGTTCTGCCATAGAGACCATGGCAAAGAACGATGAATGCGTGGTCATGTATGCACTTTCGAGCATCTGAGCAAATCCTCCAAAAGCGCGTACTATGCTCTCCATGACCTGGAAGGTGGCAGCTGTGCTTTGGTTCCAGGTCTGTGTCAGGCTCTGATCGCCGGGACCACCGGGCATACCAGGCATGCCTCCATAGCCACCCATCATGCCACCACCCATCATACCTCCCATGCCGTAGCCACCATAGCCAGCGCCGTAGCTCCATAGGTCGATCCGTAGCCACCACCGTACATACTGCTGCCATAGCTGCCGAAGCGGTTGTACGGACTCGAGTATGGTGATGAATATGCTGAACCATATGCGCCAGTGGTGTTTGGGTTCGCATAATTTGAGGCAGTCGAATTGACCACCGAATTGAGCGCATTAGGCCGGTCGGGAAGTGAGGGTGCGCCGATACTACTGGTCGCTGTATCGGTCATGGTCGGAAGACTGGTCGCGTTCACAGCGCTGGGCTCCGGGAACGCTGTGGCCGTAGGAGCTTGCGTATCTGTTAGTGATCCATGCCAGCCTCGGTCTGAGGTATTAAAGACTCACTTGCTGCACCGGCGCGCTCCCAAGGCTTGGGCGGCGAGGCGGTCGTCATAGCCTGCGAATCATGTCTTTCGTCGGCGTGTCTGTATTTTGGGGGTGGTGCGCAGGACTCCAAATGGGCTTCTTGCGGATAGATCAAGAGTAGATATCAGTCTGTAGGTATGGAAGAAGGCGATGCTGTGGGATGAGAGGTGTGAAAGGAAAGGCACATGAAAAGAGCAAGCGACCGCCTGCGAGGTTTGAAAGCGGGAAAACGATAGAGTCCAGCCACGTCCGCGAACCGAGGCAGGCGAGATCAGAGCTCATTGGTGAAGCCTACGGTACATTCTATCGCTCATAAGCGACACTTTGCCGGCAATGATATCCGTCGGAGCAACGAGGCTCGCAGGCATGTGTGTCTTTGGAGACATCAAGTAGTCGTCGATGCCATTCATGTGTTACGCAACTGCGGCAAGAATTGCATGTTACCTGCCCAGTCCATACAGAGAGGGCGCCTGGCGTTGCTAGCAACATCACATCCATCCGGCTAATCTGATCTGTGTGTACACGGACATACTAGCTGGCGCATCGGATCAGATACTGTAGTCGACCGAATCGTGTTCTTGAAATACGTCTGCTCCGAAAGTCACGTTGACTTTCAGTTCTAGTCGAGTGCCTTAGACGCATCCGTCAGCGCTACGCCGAGTTGCAGGCTTGCAATACAACCACAAAGGCTCTAGTGATATATTCTGAGAGGCGATGCCAGTTGCCAATGACTTCCGATGAGCTCGACCCTGGGTGTTGGCGGAACGGTGCTGCCTGACGATGATCTCCCTGCCGACCAGGTTGAAGATGCAGATGAGCCACAGGTGATCGGTGTCAGTCATGAGCGAGGCGTCGGCGACGAGGACAATGGGGCAGACATCATTCCCGACCTAGAGGCTGACGATGTTCTCGAGAATGCTGTTGGAGCCGTCGAAGCAGAGCAAGAGACTCTCCCATCCGAGGAGGCGGTAGCCACACTGCATGACGACCAAGCGTCGAGCATAGACGATACAGCATCTATTCCAGATGACACGCCATCACTCCGAGGATCCGTCCTCTCCTCACCACCAAGCGATGCCGCGAGATCCATAGCGAGCCCAGCGCGCAACAGCAGTCCTTCCTCCCCTCGTCGGCCATTCGATCGCAGATTCCAGTCGCGCCTCAGCACGAGCTCGCTACTCACCCCTCGGGCTGGGTCGCCAGCGTTCCTCAATGCCCACTCGCGCCATTCCTCCGTGGGAAGCTTCGCCCTGCCTCCTCCCTCAGAACCAGACGAGTCAACCGCGCCATGGGAAGTCATAAGATGGAACAAGCTGCGGAAGCTTAGCGGCCAAGCATTTTCAGAGGTCGGGAAACGAAACTTTGGCAGTCCAACATGCATGGCAGTAACAGACACACTTGCTATAGGCACCTCTCGTGGAATGATCCTGGTCTTTGACCACCAGCAGAACAATAAGGCTGTTATAGGCGCCGGTACAAAGGCTCTCGAGTGCGGTCCGGTCACGGCCCTCGCAATCTCTGCTGATCACACAACGATCGCCGCAGGTCATGCTACCGGTCATATCCTCACATGGGAAATTGCACGCCCTGCTCGACCCTTCCTGCACATACCGCCGGTCGATCTTGCGCAGCCTCAGTCCAAGAGAAGTGATGGTCATGCAGAGAACAGTGCCGTCATCCATATTGGCTTCCTCGCTATAGGCGTACGGCTCTTGTCTCTGCAGACGACAAAGGCATGGCCTTTTCACATTTGGCTACACGTGGCATGGGAGCCGTTGCACGCTCAGTCAAGACCACCAGGATCCTCGGCCGCTATCCTGAGGTGTTATCACGACCTTCGGCAAAGCCTCTTAAGAAGAGCTCTGTCTTGGCTTTTGGACCATTACCACTGGGCAATGTCGAACAGAAGACAGACCCCATGGGCTTGGTGGCAATGTTGACGCCATACCTGCTCGTGATCGTCTCCACGACACCCATTGCGCAGACACAGCATAAGGCTGCACGGCCTAAGGAGGTGGCTGCCCACAGTGCAATGACTGCAGCCCTAGCTTGGTTTCCGGCCATCAAGCTCAAGGGCAGCGAGTCGCGTGTCTCAAGGAACAAGCTAGCTTATGCCTGGTCTAACATTCTGACCGTTCTCGAAGTGCACGAGGTCGAACCACAGGGCGAGGTTGTGAAGGACAAGCCGCCTGAGTTACAGTTCCTCCCCAGGAATCGCTACAAAGCGGAGGAAGCAATTGTGGCCGTCCAATGGCTCAGCAGGTCAATTCTTGCGGTTTTAACAATCACGCAACAGTTGCTGATTATCGAAGATATCTCGATGAATGTCACTGATGCCTTTGATCTCCTGCCGAAGAATATATACCACCTCGACCTTTACTCTCAGCAACTCCAAGCGGTGATCGAGAGTCACGATGAAGAAGACACCTCAATGCATGGTGTCGTAGCAGATGCTTTCCACATGAGTGTTCGAGCCTACAAAGGGAGGCTGTTCCTGCTCGGCAGCAGCGAGGTCTGGTGGGGCAGTCTCACCAATTGGGCAGACCGCTTGCTCGCGCTGATGAATGTGGGCGATTTTATAGGTGCCATACGTCTTGCGACGAGGTACTATTCGGGTCAAGGCGAGAAAGTGACAATAGGCCTACCAGAAGACAAGACCTCACGTGAGATGGTTGTTGGCGAGAAGTTGTTCGAGATGATGAATGCTTCACTGAAGTATGCCTTTGGGAAGAATCAGCAAGCCGGCACTGAGCAGATCGAGAAGCCCCAGATGACCGAACTAGCAGAAGCTGCCATTACTGCATGCATTTCCGCCAACGACGAAGACTTCTTATTCGACACTGTCTTCTCCTGGTACGACGACCATGACCATGGAGGGTTGTTCTTGGACGTACTTGAGCCATATATCTTAGACGGCACCATTACATCCATCCCGCCTCCAGCACTGAAGCTCATGGTCGACTACTTCCAAACAACACACCCGCCCTCCGAACTGGAGAAGATCATCTGCTTACTCGACACTTCATCCATGGACATTGACCAAGTTACAAGTATGTGCAAGAAGTACAATCTTTACGATGCCTACATCTACGTATGGAATAGCGCCCTAGGAGACTTTACGACACCCCTCGATGAGCTTTTGCAGCTTGCTTCGGAAAGTACGATCATGAATGGAAATCACTCACATGTGAGTCCAGCGGAAAATGCCGCAAAGTTATTTCCATACATGTCGTTCATCTTGACTGGCAGAACGTACCCAACAGAGTCGATCATGAGTGATCCTCTTCAGCTCGCTGCCAAGTCACAAATCTACGACTACTTCTTCACAGCTATCCAGGAGCAATCACGCCGAAGCTCGTCGGCCAAGGGACGTCTTGAGCCCTACAGCAAGCTTCGACGAGTCTTGAAATATGACACACCAAATTTCATGAGCGCTCTCAATGAAGGCTTTGAGGACAATTTCCTCAACTCTGGCGACGATGACGTGACCAATCCAGTCCCGTCTCACAACAAGGCCGCGCAGAAGGCAACGTACAACCGGCAATTCATCGTCCTAGTCATGCTCGAGGTGATGGCCGTGGGCTTTGATGCAGAAGACACAATCTACCTGGATATGTTCGTTGCGAGAAACCTCCCGAAGTACCCGCAGTACATGCTCCTCTCCGGGACAGCATTACAGGACATCTTCGCTCGGTTATGCCACTACCCAGACAGTGATCTTAGGGAGGAATGCCAGCTCAGTGTGGAATACCTTCTTTCTGTCTACCATCCGTCGAGCATGAAAACAGTCATAGCTCTTCTCCACGAAGCACAATTCTACCGTGTGCTCAAGACAGTCTACCGCCAAGAGGAGGCCTTTGAAGATGTTGTTCGCATGTATTTCGCAGATGAGGACGACCGCGAGGACGTCTTCAGCGTCATTCGAGAGTTTCTTGACCCAGCTTCGCAAGCACCGGACGTTCAGAAACGAGCGATTCTTGAGCTAGTGCAGTCTCACGCGGCAGATCTAATTGATCTGGACATCCGTCAGTGCGCTGCGACTATCGAGCGTGTCGCCAGAGAACTGCATCCTCGATTTCTGTCAGTCCTCGATGGAGACGAGCACAGCCAGTATCAGTATCTCAATGCCCTCTTCGGTGTTGATTCGCGTGTCAATGCTATCGATTCAAGTCGTGGGAGCGATACGTCGCTTCTCGAATCTTACATACGGTTGATGTGTCAATTTGACCCAGACAAGGTGTCCAATTTTGTCGAGAGTCTGAGACAGGGCGACCTCCGGCTTGAGGAGTTCTGCCAGCTATGGAATACGGCGGAGTTGTCGACGCTGCCGTCATGCTTGAAGCACAAGCCGGACGAGTCCAGGAGGCCATGCAGCGACTCACTAGACATCTGGCCTACCTAGGGTCAGCTCTTCAGAGTCTCACATCTAGCGAGGTCACCAACGGCAGCATGGACCAAGCAGCAGATGATCTCATCAGCTCCGTCGGCAAATATAGCAAAGTGGGAATATGGCTGTGCCAAGGTCAGACTAGACTGGCGCGAAAGACGAACTCCAAGCCCATAGGAAAATTGAGCCGTCGGTCAAGCCTTCTACAACAACCACTCCCGCTCGAAGAGACACTATGGGTAGAACTCATCGAGGCTATTGTCTCCATCGCCCGGACCAACGCCTCCTTATCACTCCTCAGCGACCAACGGCCAACCGAACAGCCTGTCAATGACATCGGCGCCCAAATCCGCCTCTCCATCCAAGAAGTCTTCACCGCCCTCCTCGCCTCCACTACCACATCTACTCCCGCCGACCGTCGCACGTCCGACGGCGCAGACCTTGCCTTCCTCCGCATCCTGCGCACCTTCCTCTCCAACGCCGCTAAGGCGTCCCCGTCCCTTGCCGAGCTGCGCCAGGTCATCACGTCGATCTTCTCTGCGTATGCACATGAGCAGTCGCTCTTGAGCTTATCGAACGCAATACTGGATAAGGATGTGTTTGTGCACTTGGATGAGGTCAAGCAGTTGAGGCAGCAGGGGTGGCGGCCAAAGGGGCAGGTGTGTGAGGTCTGTCGGAGGAGGGTCTGGGGACCGGGTTTAGGCGCGGGTGTGTGGGAGGGTTGGCAAGAGCGAGAGATGGAGAGGCAGGAGCGGAAGGCCGACAGGCATACAGTCGAAGGCTTGGAGCTAGCTGACGGCGGGGATGTGGGGAAGGGCAAGGGCGTAGTGAAGGCTGACCACGGGCCTGAGCTGGGCAAAAGTGGAGAAAGTAGTGGCTTGGGGACCGAGAGTGCGGCCGACTCTTTGGGAGCCGTTGTGGTCTTCTCATGTCGGCATATCTATCACCGGCGGTGTTTGATGGGTGAGGGCGAGCTACAGCCGCAGCAGCGACAGGCAGCTGCGGGACAGCTTGAGACAGCAGGCGAGCAGGACAGGAGGCTTGCGTGTCCAGCTTGTATCGCGAGTAGGCCGTAGCCTGAGCCTATCATATTTCAGGGACTGTATGCAGGGTTTAGCGAATGGACGTATGTTTCGTTCAATGTGTTTTCTATATGCAGCGACTGAACATACGCCTCTCCACAACAGAACATATCCTCGCGACCGGTGCGTGGCCTCCACGTCAGAGCCCATCATCCGCCACCCAGAATTTTCCCCACCGCTCGTCTGTGGCCCCTCGCTCGTAGTCCTCCTTACTATAGAACCTCAGATCCGTACTCAATCTGATCCGGCCCTTGGGATCCTCGTTCCGCCCGCTGGCATGGATCGTCCCGGGGTAGTGAAACACCACATCCCCCGCCTCGTAATCCGCCGTCAACCATTTATACCCTTTCCGCTCGCGCCGAATCCGCTCCGCTATCTCCTTGTGCTTGGCGTGGAACACCGTTGGGTTATCGCTGAGGATGCCCGTTGCGGACATGTTCTTGTTGAAGGCAGAAATTTTTTCCTCCTCGCTGAATTGCCCAGCCTCTGCGCGGCGGGTGAAGTCCTCCTCGATGGCTTCGCCCAGCTCAGCGGAGTCCTCGAGGTAGATCAGCCCGCCACCGTTGTAGGCTATATCACCGATCGGGACCCAAGCAGTCAAGAAGAACGCGTCGCCGCCACGGAGAAATAGCTTGTCGTAGTGCACGCCCGTCGACTTCCCGCCGGGGACGTTGTGGCGGAGCATATCTCTTCCGAGTCCCAGGACACGAGATTGCGGACCATCCTGCGCAGGGCGGGGTGAGCGACGAAGACGCGGTATTGGGGCGTGGTGTGTGCGTTGATGAGGATTTGGAGTTCGGCGTCAGCGGCCGGATTAGAGCCGGAGCCGATGCCGGCGTGCGAGGACGGTGAGGCGGACGGGTTGAAGATTCCGAGGGATGCAGGTTGTGAGGGGTCGAGGAGATCGGTGGTGTTGTACTGGGAGAAGTAGTGGGCGCGCATCGCGAGGACGTCTTCACGGGGGATGACCCCTTTGAGGAAGAGATACTTGTCGGTTTGGAGGCGGTGGCGCATTACTGAGAGGGGTGTGTCCATGGTTGTTGGGCGGAGCCATCCTAGTTGTGATTCGGGGACATGGCCTTCATTGGCGGCGAGGCGATGGGGCAGTGTATGGACTTGCGGTGGCAGGACGGCGGCCATCATGTTGGGCGGCGGGATTGTCGGTATTGGTAGTGCTCGCGTCGACATGTGGTTGTACAAGTCTCAAAGCTGTGTGCGTGAGGTCTGGTAATGTAGAGAAGCCGCCGACTGGTGGCCTACATACGTAGTTTGACTACACGATCGGACGATAAACATCTCTAATCATCAGCCGCAGACTGAACTCAATAGTGGCCGTCTGAACGAGGCCGGCAGTCCTTTCGAGAAATCCGGACAGCATCTCCATCCGTGGACCAGGGTCGCTGCGGAGAAGCAGCTGTTGCGGGTAGCTGTCCGCGCTCATCCGGCTGTGCCAGGAACGTTTTGTTGATAACGTGCTCTCGAAAGAACGATATGTGCACGAAGTCGACCAAAGGCGATGAATCTTCCGACACCGCAAGAGCCTCACTTGTCCCATTTGTCGAGCCACGCCATAACATCGGATTTGTCGCCTTCGACCGCCGTCCGCCCAGGCTCGTCGTCCCAGTCTACCAGCTTCTCTGTTTCTGATTTCGGGCCTGCAAATTTTACACCCTTGGCTTTCCTGTTCACGACTGCGCCCTCGCTACTCTGCGTGACATTTGCTCCTGAAGTGGTTGTCTCATCCGCAGTCAAGAGGTCTTCTGGCTCTGCCTTGCCGCCACGTATGGCGTTCGCGCCGACCTTTGCCCTTCGTTCCTGGTACGAGGCTCGTTCGAGAACGCCCTGCTCTTCTTCTTCCGACTTCCCTATGACCCATCGCTGTAGTGCCGGGCGAACGGCGAGGTAGGCAAGGACCACGAGAATGAGGTACCCATAGTCGGACCAATCTAGAGAGCCTTTCTGCATGTAACGTTGGACGAAATTGAGCCTCGAGAGGTCGGCTGGCGGGGGAGTGTATTCGACCATCTTGTTCTGAGTCGTGTTCAGCAGCAGATTAGAGAGTGAAGGGCTAGTGAACGTAGCAATAGGAATATATAACGAGAGTTAAGGTACTCAAGTTTCGCGAAATGCGGCTCTTCCGGGCTCCATGCCGCCAAGCAACGTCTCTAAGGGTCTCTTGGTGCCTGAAGTCATCCTTAGCTAGATTCTTGATCTGACAACTCGAGCATCACTCCAACCTCCTACCTAACTCTTCGTATTGTTCATCTGAGGCTCGGGGTGGATTTGAGAATCCCCTGCAATACGCTTTATCAAACTTGATCTCGAGGCGTGGCATACGCACATTCTAGCATGCATGACCATGCACAATGTAGCGGCGGTGGCAGGTCGTGCGATACTTACTACGGCATGCTGGTGTGCATTGCGCAGGGAGTGTCTTGTAGAGCTGACGGTATAAGCGACGACAGCACGTTCAAGCCTCGGTACCATCGCGAGCCAAGGTCAGGTAGCACGACATCTGAGCAAACTCACAATCCCGAGATTGACATCCTGGCCTAAGCCAGTGGATCGTCATCACACGAATGCTACTGTACGCAGCTGCAATCTGAATGCCTTGGGCGCAGAGACTTCGCCTAGAGGAAGGGCTGGTCATGTTGACAGGCAAGTGCAGCAATCTTGAGGTACGGCAAGTCTGAAGGCAGTGATGGCGGGCTCTTGCCAGGTTTCCTTTGTGCCGGGATCTCGTTGATCGTGGCAATCTGCGTAAAAGCCGAACGACACGGCACCATCACGGGCGCTCGCATTAGGTCCGTTGGACACTCGTGCATAGGTGTTTGATTATGTTGATCATTTTGAACAGCACAGATGTCGTTGCCATGGTACAAGATGGCGCTCGTTCAGGTGATAAATCTGTGTCCTAGCTAACTTCAGCGCCCGCCCGACGTTTTCCATTGACCACACCAGATGCGATGACATCCCGATGTTGGCAGATCGCGTTATGCGCCTTATCTGTCCTCTCTCGCATGTCCCATGCGATTCAGATCATAGGAGCCAGAGGTGGTCAGAATGACACCACTGGTGCGAGACCCTTTCGACAAGACCTGGAAGCATTTGTGACAACAGGCCCATCCTTCGATCTCTACATCATGGCTTTGAACGAGATGCAGGCGACGAATCAGTCCGACCCATTGTCATACTTTCAAATCGCAGGTATGGCGCCGAACATGAACGCGCATGGCCGACACTGACCTAGCAGGCATACATGGATATCCGCAAACACCATGGGATGGCGTCAACGGATCGGCATCAAACCTTCCCGGGTACTGTGAGCATGGATCGACGACGTTTCCCACATGGCATCGTCCATACCTAGCACTATTCGAGGTTCGTGTCAAAGCTACCTCGCACGAGATTCCACTGACCCATGTTCAGCAAGTCTTGTGGGAAAAGGCACAGTCAATCGCTCTTCTCTACTCCGAAGATGTCCGGCCCCTCTATGTCGAAGTAGCCTGGTGGTTGAGAATACCATATTGGGACTGGGCGTCGCATCCAGCACTTCCAGACGTGGTGCAGACTTCCAGCATTGCTATCAACACCCCGAGTGGCAGAGCATGGGTCGACAACCCACTCTACGATTACAACTTCCACTGGAACAGCGACGGAAACGTATTCTTGAACAAAGGAATCATCTTCGACGACTTTCCCTCCACGGTGCGGCATTACAATAACGAAACGCAGCAGAGCGATCAATCTGCTGCCAGCGCACAAATGCAAGCTAATGCTGGGACATACATGTCCAAGGTCTTTCAGCTCTTCACGGACTCGAGCGACTACTCAACGTTCTCTTGCGTGACTCCAGGCGGTGTTAACAACGCCGCCAACAACATCGAAATTATTCATGGAAACGTGCACAACATGGTCGGAGGCTACGGCCACATGTTCTATCCTGAGGTCGCCGCCTTCGATCCGATCTTTTGGCTTCATCACGCCAATGTTGACCGTCTGCTTGCCATGTGGCAAGTGCTCAATCCCGACAATTACATCGAGCCTGCCGTGAATGTCTGGGGCACATACTACGAGTCACCAGGCACTGTCGAATCAGGTGCTTCGAGCCTTGCACCTTTCCACTCAGACAACGGCACCTCGATGTGGACCAGCGACACCGTTCGAGACCTGTCTGTATTCAACTATGCCTATCCAGAGATCCCATATTGGGGGATGAACGCCACCGAGCTTGCCAACTATGTCAGACTTCAAATTAACATGAAGTATAATCCAGCAGTTGCATCAGCTCACAGAAAGGTGCGCAGACGGCCTCTGCATGACGGAAACCTTCACGTCGCCTTCCGATCGATGAGCCACGCAGAGCTTCGAAGTCTGCGTGTCAACAACGCAGACTTTCAGTGGACGATCAGAATCGTCATGGACCGTTATGCGTACGTTACAGGCTTTTCACTGGACTTCTTTCTGGGACCACCGCCCGACGATGTGTCGATGAGAGCTACAGCCTGCAACCTTGTCGGTACCCAGGCGTCCTTCATCACGTCCAACGTCTCGGCCATGTTTCCCAGTGGGCCGCCAGAGGGAAGTGCTCAAGGAGAGCTATCGCTAACACACGTTCTGGCTGGAGGAATGAGTCGCGGCTATCTGGCTGATCTATCGCCAGACTCGGTAGTCCCCGTACTTCAGCGCGCTCTCACGTGGCGTGCCCGCTTGCCTAACGGGGAAGAGCTCGACGTTGCGGCGATCAAGGGCCTGTCCATCTCTGTTGGAAGCAAAGCGACAACGCCCGCCACAAGCGAATATTGCTTCCCCAGTTATGCGCCGACGCAGTGGCATTCAGAAGCTACGAGAGGAAAAATTGGAGGCAGTGGATGTTCCTGACAATATTTGAGGGGGACCTCTTCTTCTGCAAAAGATGCACGTACGATTCGGCGCGATGCACATCATCAATTTAAGCCTTTAACTAATGACCACCAAAGTCTTCGCCTGTCTCGCCGAATTGTTAGCCAGGGGCTGCGGACTTTCGATTGGCTCTTGCTTCAAAGCCCTAAGCCACAGTGGACACCTGCAACATTGCCGCGATGATCGCCATCTGGTCCAAGACACCGGAAACCAACAGCAGTTTCAATCCAGATGTCTCAAAGACCCACGGGGCGTGCGCCGCGCCATGATGACGGCGTTTGCTGTCCTCTTTTGCTGACACTTCTTCGTCTTCGCGAAAGTGGACGTGCGCGTGATCTCCTGCGGTTTTCGCACCTCATCTTCACTCGTTGCAGCTGCATTATTCTTGACTGAGCCGACACAGTACGCGATTGTGCTCACAACCGACGTATTCATTGCTCGTGCTTCTGAATCACACTCATTTGATATCTGCAACCATGTTGGCCCGTGTGCTCGTCGCTGCCGCGTCGTTACTCAGTGTAGCTTTTGCGCAGTCCAATCCAAAAGTCGCATTCACATCCGTCCCTGCTGTGGTTGAAGCTGGAGAAACATATAACATCACATGGGGAGGAGGCAATGACACCGTATGTCCCCAAGCAGCCCATGCGAGCGGCAATGAAAACCTGACATCAAGACCAACAGCCTGTCACACTGACCCTCCGCAAAGGCGACCCGGCTGATCTCGAGACGATTGCAATTATCGCTGATCGCGTCTCCGGCAGCTCTTATCAATGGGAGGTCTCAGAAGATCTGGAGAATGCTAGGTTCGTTAACTCCCACACCTTACATCGCATATGTGCGTTCGATGCGACTGACGCCGGTGACCAGCGACTATGCGCTCCAAATCACCCAAGGACAAGACGACATCAACTACTCCGGCCTCTTCTCGCTCACTGGTGGAAGCGCCGCCAGTTCAGGCACCATATCGATCACCTCATCAACAACGCGCACCGGAAACTCAACCATGACCAGCACAGCCAGCATCACTAGTGCGACGAATGGGACCATGATGAGCAATGGAACTGAGAGGTGAGCATTTGCTGCTTGTCGTGGACCTACGGGTATGAGGCAAGACTGACGGGAAGTAGCACAACGGCAACAGAAACCACGGATTCGTCAGCTACCGGATCCATGACTTCAGCGACAGGAACAACGAGTGCTTCACGGACCTCTGCTGCTGCCACGTCGGCCGCGACGGTGGCACCGAGCTCGGGAGGAGCTGGTGTGGTCAGCGTTCAGAGTGCGATTGCGTTGGGCATGGCGCTCTTGGGTGCCGTCCTATTCTTGGAGTGAGGCCATAGCTGGAGAGATGGTCACTGGCATTAGCTATATGCCGCCTGGCACCAATCCTACCGTTGTCTCGCAGGTGTGCTGTAGTCAATGTTGAATACTAATTGGAAGTTTGACTGCCGTGTCCTTCGTACATACTGAGCTGTTTCGTTCGACCTGTCCCTCGGCCGGGTTCATGAGCCTTATACAGTATTGTCCATCGGTCCCAGTCCTCCGCTGAAATCGCACATAGGCATATATGCTGAAGGAGTCTGTAGATACCCGCGAGATTGCGCGTACTATTGAGTGCAATATTGCAAAACGCGAGATTCGGTGGCGACGCGTTCCTGTTCCGCGTTCGTGGAGAAACCGGATGATCACGATCCTGTTCAGGGGAAACTGTCAACATTGGGACAATTAATTGAACATCTCGCTTAATGAAATGTCAGCGACTGATTACTGCTGCCTGCCACACGAATGCAGTCATGACTAAATGACGAAGACCACCACTTGTTCAAATTTCCGTACCTTCGATCGAGTTAGAGTCCCTCCCGGTCCTTCCGTCTTCCCCGCCTAAGTCGTACAGCAACATCAACAAAGAAAGAGCGACGCACTCGTCTGGCGAGCATCCACGAATACACCTGCAACACGTATTGACACCGAAGCGGGATATTGAGCAGATAACCAGACTGTCAGTCTGCCAATCAGGGTTGCTGGTTGACGTTCAAATCGAGTCCATCCGTGGACAGTGACATGCGGAGGTCTCGTGCGGCGTCTGGTTCACCTGTTGTCGTTTCAGCTGAGCCTGCCGCACCTTCGACAACGTCACCGAGCACAACCTCTCCTCCGAACTTCCCAAGTCGGAAGGACTTTCGCTCTGCCGATCTGAACAGCTTATTATCTGCCTTCGGTAATGCTGAGGGGATTTCCCTCGATATGGCACAAGTAAATGGGTTCCATAGGGAACAGAGCCCACTCAGCCCTCCAGAGATCCCACGAATGAATACAGCAAGAATCGCTTCCCTCACACGGAACGGTATGTATATCATCTGTGCTTCGTGACCCACAGCTAATAACTCCAAGCAACGTTTTCACCAGAACAGTCACCGTCCTCCGAGCATGGCGCTTGGTCATCTGCCGTCGGCCACGCTAGTACCGGCAAGTCTGGCAGAGTCATCGAGCGACTGCAAGGAGACATCGACAGGCTGCATAGGGAGAAGCAACTACTGAAGATGCGTCACGATGAAATGGAGAAAGCCAACGATATGTTGATGGCCCGAAACCAGTATCTGCAAGATCGTAACAACAATTACGAACAGTCACACGAGGCCAGCTCTCGACAGCTGTCACGCAAGGACAGGCAACTAGACGAGCTGCGTGAAGAGCTCTCGCGGGAGAAGGAACGGACCATACGTGCAGAAGAGCAGGCACGTGCAGCAAGCATGACCGAAGAGAAATGGCGTGACGAGGCCAGCCAAGCCAAAGCAATGGCACAGCAGAAAGAGACGGAATACGACGCCATAGCATCGTGTCGAAACATGGATAACGACCGCCACCAAAATGGTCTTGATAAAATCAAGGGCAATTTTGATGTGCTGATGCGGCAACGAGAGGACGATCTGGAAAAGCAGAAGAAGCTAGAAATTATTGCTGAACAACAGCGGCAGACGATCGCCCAGTTGGAGGAGCTGACCAAGAAATTGACTGCCAACTTCAAGTCATACAGGTCCGAGATCGACACCGCCGTGACAGACTTGAGGAACAGTGCTGAAGGAAACAACACTGCACTTCAACAGAAGCTGGACGAAATGACTGAAACGACTGGCAGAATGCGGTGGGTGATGAGCATCGATGGAATGTTCAATGGAAACCCAAAGGCCTCCCAACCATTTCCTCCGATCGCTGAAGGCGGCCACAGAGATAGTACGGAGAAAATGACGCCGCGATCGCCTTCCAAGTCACCAAACAGGTCATCGAAGAAGTTGATGAAGAAGTCCAAGAGCGGGCGCTAGGGTCGCCTGTCGTCCTGGAGCTCGGCGCATTAATGAGACATGATACTGACGAGCGACTTATGACAGCCAGCATGCTCCTATATCTCTGGCGAGTACTGCATCGATATGCATACAATAGATCCTGCACATAGATACTAATGATGGGATTCTACTTTCCGTCGACCGTAAGTCGCACCCAAGACTCCTACTGCTGCATTGCTAGCTTGGTACGAATTACTAGAATTTCGGAAGGCGTCAACGAGGCAACCAAGAATCCCTGCAAGTGCAGCAGCAGCCAATTAGCCCCACTCTTCCTGCCCTTTCCAATCCTAGAAGTTTGCTACAACTCTTTGGTCAATGTTGAAAGTCACTCATCCTACTTCGCTACGTTCTGTATGCAACACGACCCCAATCCATGCAGCAGCGTCTTGTACGCGACTGCATGTCTCTCCATCCTACGAGGTGACGCTGTTCTGACACCGTCACCGACTTGCTAATGGGACATTGACGCATTCAACATCTTCACACAGCCGCTGGTCATGGTACTTATGTCTGCAACTCGCCTTGTCAGCAGATTCATGTGTTGTGCTCAGTGGCAGAAGAGTCAAACTCCTCAAAAGGACGTATCACTCAAAGACCTTCGCAATCATGGCCGGTGAACCCAAGACGACCTTCATCGGCTCCACCTACGCCTTTGAGCCGTCTGGAGTCGAGCAATTCATCAACCGTTTTCGTTGCGACTATGCCAAGGTCAAGGGTGTTGACGAGAACGAGGCTCCGTCAATCGAATACAACGAGGAGAGCTATGTAAGGCTATCACGTTTTCAAGTCTGCCCACAAAGCTAATTGATCTCAGTTGTTCCGGATCGAGGATCTGGACTTGCCCGAGGAGTATGCAATTTCTCTGTTGAAAGACTACATCCGGAAGATTCTCGATACCTTCGATTACCTCGACCCCAAGATCCGATCACCAGATGCTGCTCTGGCTCGTCTGGCACCGGAACAAGTTGACTTTCAGAGTGCCGAACTCCTCGATGTTGATGTTGATGGCATCGATGATCCGGACTACAACGACGTTTTCGTTGCCTGGTCACCGTCAACCGGCTCGATCAAGATGCTCACCCGCGAGGTGGCCGAAGCTATCACAGCTACCACGCAGACCCAATTGTTTACCGATTCTGATCAGAATCGTGTACTTCTTGCCCACGGAGATGCCAAAGCTGCCCTTCAGAAGTTGTCGAGCCTCGAGCAACTAATGCTACTGCAGATGCAGCAGCGGGAGTACGGGTTCTGGGGCAAGAGCACATCAAGCGTTCTTCTCAACGTGGACAGCGCGATAACTCCTCTGCTCGGCTTTGAGAGAGTCGGAGACTTCATCTGGCCTGGTTTCAAGAGAATTATTGCACCTAAGTACCAGCAGGAGACCCTCAAAGACAAGTACGTTTGCGAAGCCCGCATCTCAAGAGACGGCGAGATCTTGCCTCATCCGAATGTTGTGATCGATGACGAGATTGCCACAATAGGGATCGGTCCATTTTCTTTGTGGGCGACAAGAAGCGTTCGAGAAACCGGCGAGCGGTCCAGAAAGGTTCCACACTCAACCTCCAACTCGAAGTCGGAGAGTGTGGTGAGCCCGCGCAAAATGCCTAACAAGCAGTACATGGGTCAGACCAAAGCTGCAGAAGTTACTGATTGGGCTTACAACGTCGAGAAGGACGTTGATCCAAATACGGTTGCTCCAGCTGCGCCTGAGGAGGAGGAGGAAACCCTACGACCACGACGTGTAATTGCCGTGGACTCAGATGATGACTCTGATGGAGAAGAGGTTCCGATCAAGCGACTTCCTGCCACAACAAAAACCTTGGAACCAGATCTCGGCCACGATGATCTGCAGCATGAGCTCCAGGGACATGCTTCTCCGTCGACCACAGTACTGGACTTGCGTGTTGATGATCTTGAGCGATGGATGGAATCGAGAGCTGCTGCTGCACAAGACAGACACTCCCACATTGGCAGCCAGCTCGTCCCCGATCTCACCGCTGCTCCGGAAGCACTACTCCCAATTCCCGGCATCGCTCCTTCGGATCTGCTGAAAGGTGATCCAAGCGAGTTGGGACTGATGCAATCAGGAGTGCTCGCGAGTCCGCATAGCTTCGACAAGCATCCAACAAGAAGCCAAATTGGTCAGCACCAAGCAAGCTCTTCGGTGATGCCTGAGCCACGTCATGAGAATCCTTTGGTTGCTCTGCCGCTAAATGAACGACAGGCGTCTGCCGCTCCGAATCTCATGGATGACAATGCTTCTGCTCAAGTCACTAACTCTGTGATGTCACCCTCGAAAGTCCCCTCTCAGCTCGATGCGTCGGACGTTCCAGACTATCTACAGCCACCTGACGCGACGAGCAAGGAGTGGGTAAACCATGCTACTCACAAGCCTCGCAAGCAGAGCGTCCTCCGCGAACATGTTCTTGCTCAGCTGCAATCCGACCCGTTGGGTAGACATACTACCACCAGAGCAGCACACAATGGAGACTGGTCTACCGTATCGCGTTCGAGGCCAAAGAAGAGTGATGGTTCAACTCGGTCCAGAGGTCGAGGTCGGGGTGGTTCACAACGCAAGTCCGATCGCAGTGATCTCATTTCTTATCACTCTACCATGTCGCAACGTGCGGGCAACCCTGGTAAAAAGAAGAACAAAACAGAGAGCAAGAATAAGCAGAAAATTCTCGACGAGGCGTACGGAAGAGCTCCCACGCCTCGCGCTCAACCTAAGATACCCAACCGGGCAGATCGAAAACTTCAGGAGGCCGCCAATCGGGAAGCGACATGGCGAAGCAAAGAAGTTGAGCAGCTCAAAGCACGCCTGACGCCGATTTTTGAGGCAAGCCGCGCATTCTGTGGGAACGTAGAATTTGGTCTGCATTTGGGACAGGTCCTTCTGTCCAGCGAGCCCGAAGTGCCCAAGGGCAAGAACTTTGATGTCAAAGTATGGGAGAGTTTCTTTGGTCTGGACGCTAAAAATACCACTCCCTCCACATCCTTTACCAACATCATCACTACCAACGGTGCAGACATTGACCGTTTCCTGGAGATGAAATCGTCAGAGTCAATGTCTGGCAAGATGTTCGACAGAGACCACCCGGGTCCTGTATCTGTGACATATGAATTTCACTGCCGGAGCAAGACCGGCAGCTATTTCATCCTCATCGTCAAGGAGGACAAGAGCTACGAGATGCATAATGCTGTGGAGATGATTGGTTCCGTCTGTGTGCAGTGTCCTGCACGCGTCTGGGATGCTTGTGCAGCTGTGTCCGGTACAAAGGTCTGGAAAGACCCCTCGCCCGAGATCCTTTCGACAGTCCAAGAATTCGTTGACAGCATCTATATTGGGCCTGACAAAGAAGGTCGATTGGAAATGTTTTTCCGCCAACCAAATGGGAACATCCTATCGGTCAACAGTCCACAAGTGCGACGAGTCAGCCAGCACAAGTGCTTGGCCGACTCAGAAATCGAATTACGAATAACGGAAGTCAAGACACTGCGCACGTGTCCGCATGAGCACGACAAGAAGCTCTTCAAGGCCCAGGAGACCACTTTCAACGATATGGTCAATGCAGGTGCACTGCACTACGAGGCTTGTCTGCTTGACACTTCGATCAACAAAGCGTTTGAGGCCAATCGACAGCTCGAGATCGGTGAGTTGACCGACGAGACCACTACCGGGAGGACTTTGCTGAAGACTCGCACACACTATCTCATTGACCTGGTCGTCAAAGTTCTCAACAAGATTGACTACATGGGCTTCCACAATCGTGGGACAGTGTGCCGTCAGGCTGAAGAGCAAGCTCGGCGCGAGCAATCATACGCTCCAACGCTGCAGAGTGCGTATAGACCTATTGCACCGGCCAGTCATTATGTGCCTTCCTCTAGTCGTCAGTTCGGCCCGGCAGGCACGCGCATGCTCCCACCAGGGCTCATGGGCAGCGGCATACGGTCGGAGCTCCCGTCAGAGGGCATCAAACCGGTCCCTGGCACGAGAATGAACAGCAGAGCTGAGATAGTCCAGGACGAGAACGGCAATGTCTACCAAATAGGCCTTGGCGGAGCGAAAGTACCAGTCGTCGGTGCCGCCGCGTGGAATTTGCAGAACATCTCGGAAGAGGCGATTGGGCCGGATGACAGTGCGAGTCAAGCTGGCGGTCCGAGACGATTCCAGAATGCGGGAAAAGGGCCATGGAATGTACCTAACACGCGAGGTGCTGGGTTCTGGTGACAATTGGCATCCACGTTGATACCGGCTTGTGGAGAGCGGTCATATTGCCAGCGGCATACAAGGATCAAGAGATACCGAGTAGGAGGAAGCGAGCTTACGAGATTTGTGGAGGTTGTGTAACAATATTCGACGAGGAAGGCGCTGATGGGAGCTGCGAGAAGAATTGATCGTTAGCCGCGTGAACAGCATACTTACTTACTCAGAAGCTCTGTATTGCTATGAATGGATCGACGGCCTGCACAGGGCCGTCTCCGGGCGATGTGTGAGCGTGGTGTACAATACGACAGAGAAAACAGCACGAAAGCGCTAAGTGCGAGATCAACATTACTAGGTAGAGCTGTTCGGAGGCAGTAGCTTGCAATCGCTGCGGGCGAGAAAACGGGTCACTAGAGCTAGTGCGCTATGTCGTAGTCAATTCCAGGTGTGCTGTACTGCGTTTCTTGTGCCAAATATACATCACAATGTACAGGGAAGCCTCTGTCCACCAGACTCGTGAGAAGCTGACGCCTCGGCCGAACGCAAAAGGCATGCTGTATCTCAATCCCAAGAAGTCCTACAACTCGAAAGTACCAGCCTGGTCGCTATATCTCGAGGGAGCCTTCCTGTGCAAGCTTGCGCTGCTCCCTACTCAGGACTCATGGGCTAAAAATCGTTGTCAACCGGTCTATCGCAAAGCTGATGGGTCGTCCGGCGCCACGAAACGCGCCGAATTCTCGCAGCCTCGCTTCCGGTCAAGTCTCCGGAGTCGAGGCTCCGAGTTGTGGCACGACGATGTAGCCTCGGCTTGCGCCGATCTATGGTCATTGAGAGTCGATCAGCTCGAAAAGTGTTGTGGAATTTATATACTTCGACCCTGCCAACTCCTACGTGCTTTCCGATGCATTCGCACATACCTCGTTCCTGAACCACAACATGATCTCACGAACAGCTCTACGCCGCTTAGCGGTCACTCGACCTGCAGCTTCTGTTACACCCCTCACCTCAGTTTCACGGCGATGCGCCAGCACAGCAACATATCAGTGGGACGACCCACTTAACCTCGACAGCCTACTTACAGATGAAGAGAAAGCGATACAGGAGACAGCACGGTCATACTGTCAAGAGAGGCTCATGCCTAGGGTACTGGAAGCATTCCGGAAAGAGGACTACGACAAGAAGATCTTGGAGGAGATGGGCGAACTTGGCCTCTTGGGCGCCACTATAGACGGCTACGGCATGCCTGGAATTGGCAACGTCGCTAATGGCCTCATCACACGCGAGGTCGAGAAAGTTGACTCCGGCTATCGGTCCGGCATGTCAGTGCAGGGTTCATTATGCATGGGCGGCATCAACGACTTCGGCTCACAAGAGCTGAAGGACAAGTACCTCGAGAAGCTCGGCAAGGGCAAGCTGGTAGGCTGCTTCGGCCTCACAGAACCCAACCACGGCTCTGATCCAGGCTCAATGGAAACAACAGCCAAGCCACATCCCTCGAAGGAGGGCTACTACTCCCTCTCCGGCTCCAAGACATGGATCACCAACTCACCTCTCGCCGACGTCTTCCTCGTATGGGCTAAGCTCCAGGAGACAGGCAAAATCCGTGGCTTCATCGTCGACCGCTCAATGTGCCCGCCCGGTACGCTCGAGACTCCCAAGCTAGGCGACAAGAACGGCCTCCGTGCTTCAGTCACAGGCATGATTCAACTCGACGAATGTCCCGTGCCCAAAGAGCACATGTTCCCTGAGATTGAAGGCCTGCGGGGACCCTTCGCGTGTCTCAACTCCGCCCGCTACGGGATCGCGTGGGGCGTCATCGGCGCACTGGAAGACGCCATCGAGCGCAGCAGGACCTACGCTCTGGAGCGAAAGCAGTTCAAGGGGAACCCGATTGCCAAGTATCAACTTGTGCAGAAGAAACTAGCGGACGCATCAACAGACGCTGCATACGGTTTGCTCGCCGCCTGGCAGGTAGGTCGGTTGAAGGATGAAGGGAAGGCGGCGCCGGAGATGATCAGTATGATCAAAAGACAGAACTGTGATCGTGCGTTGGTGAATACGAGGAATTTGCAGGAGATCTTTGGTGGGAATGCGGTCAGTGATGAGTATCATATTGGGAGGCATGTCAGCAATTTGTTTGTTACGCAGGTACGTTCAGAACCCCCCTTGACCTTCCGCGGAAGCAACCTGACATTTTCTAGACGTATGAGGGACAAAGCGATATCCATGCGTTGATTTTGGGAAGGGCGATCACGGGGATTCAGGCTTTTGTGTAAAAAAATGGCATTTTGGGTAAAAGAACGAGCATTTTCCAATTCGATCGCATGTTTCCGGTCACTTGGTAAACCTCTTGATAGCTCGGCAACACGTGCACCAGGCAAGGTTGAGTCCATGCTGTTTTAGCACCCCGTGTGGAGGCTCGGTGGTGCACTGCGATACCCGAAGTGAATGAATGAATGTTGATAGACACTAAAACGGCGTCACCGCAGCTTGAATTCGATTTGGAGAAACTTCAATTAATGACGTGTAGGGAAGGAGCACCCCCACACCTCGCTAAAAGTTCAAGACGCGACGCGCATGGAAGTCGTGACTGCCCTGAAAGATGAGAAAGACACAAACTTCAAGTTGAGATACACCTTCAATCGATTGCTTCTTCGGACATACCATCACAGTCGAGTCTTTGAGTCGTCAACATGGGTATCAAGCGTGAGTAGAATACACTGTTATTGTACCAGTACATCGCTGATCGTGTTCCAGAACTGACCCAGGTCATCCAAGAGGAGGCGCCGGATGCCATCAAGAACGGCGAGATCAAGAATCATTTCGGCCGTAAGGTGGCTATCGTACGTTCAACCGTTTATAGGTATTAAGCAAATGGACTGACAATCATCAGGACGCATCAATGAGCATCTACAGCTTCCTCATCGCCGTCCGCTCCGATGGCCAGCAACTCATGTCAGACACCGGCGAGACTACCTCACACATAATGGGCATGTTCTACCGCACTCTTCGAATCGTTGATAATGGCATCAAGCTCTCTACGTATTCGATGGCGCTCCACCGAAGCTCAAGTCCGGCGAGTTGGCCAAACGCTTTGCCCGAAAGAGTGAAGCCAATGAAGCCCACGAAGAGGCAAAAGAGACCGGCACAGCTGAGGAAGTCGAGAAGTTCTCACGCAGAACTGTCAGAGTCACACGCGAGCACAATGAGGAGTGTCGACGATTGCTGAAGCTGATGGGCATTCCGTTCATCATTGCGCCCACCGAGGCTGAGGCTCAGTGTGCTGTGTTGGCACGAGCTGGTAAGGTCTATGCTGCGGCTTCGGAGGATATGGATACGCTCACATTCAATGCACCTATATTGCTACGACATCTCACGTTCAGCGAGCAACGTAAGGAGCCTATCCAGGAGATCCATCTCGACAAAGTGTTGGCAGGTCTGAACATGGAACGGGATCAATTCATTGATCTGTGTATCCTGCTCGGCTGTGACTACGTCGATCCTATCCCCAAGGTTGGTCCGAATACTGCGCTGAAGCTGATCCGAGAGCATGGCTCGCTGGAGAAGGTCGTCGAATTCATGGAGAAGGATCCGAAGAAGCGCTACACCATCCCAGAAGATTGGCCATACCAAGATGCGAGAGATCTCTTCCTCCACCCAGATGTCCGAGATGCGGAAGATCCTGAATGTGACTTCAAGTGGGAAGCACCAGATATCGAGGGACTGGTAGCGTTCCTGGTGGGTGAGAAGGGCTTCAATGAGGATCGCGTACGTAGTGCAGCACAGAAGCTGACGAAGAATGTCAAGTCTGCTCAGCAGTCACGCATGGAAGGATTCTTCAAGCCGGTCCCCAAGACGGCGGAGGAGAAAGCGAGCTTGAAGCGGAAGCACGACGACAAGATTGCCGAGTCGAAGAAAAAGAAGAAGGAAGAGGCTAAGACTAAGAAGGAGTCCAAGGCCAAGGCTCATCTCAACAGTTGAAGAGGGTGGTGACTGAGGGCCGAAAGATCAGCTTTGCATTTATTAGATGGCGCCAGCGAGGCGTTTATGGCGATGACATGGTGGCTAAAGCGTGATGATCATGGCAATAGTGGTACATTGAGGCATGACTAGGTCAAGGTACGAGAGCACGATAGTGAATACTCACTTCACACAGCATGTCTGCATCCAGCAGGGCCACAGACGCAAACAGCAGCATCCAAGGCAACCACGCCAGGCAGCAACCCAAATCAGACGAACCGCACCTGCCACACGCGTGTCCGCATATGTCCATACTGGCAATCCGATCTCCGATTCGTGCATGAGCACTCCTCCCCTTCTCCTGCACAGTACGACATCAGTTTGGCGTGCATTTCTTACACATCTTCGACGATTCTTACAACCTTTAACTCGCCCTTGGTCTTCTCTTCTCTAGACTCGCGATCGTCGGCATCACCTTATTCAAAGAAGTCCCACCAGACTCATATCTACCACGTCAAAGATTGGAAATCATTCGCAAAAATGGGCCAGTATTGGAAGCTCATTGCGCCACGCCTGAGGGCCTGCAAGCCCTTGAGCGGCTACAAGCTCGGAGAATTCTACTTCGACGCGTCAAATTACGGACCGAATGGCCTCGTATATCTTCTGGCCACTCCCATCGCACAACAAAAAGCTTCGGAGGATGGAGAACATCGCAACGACGAAGCGACTGAGGGAAGTCAGACTGGACAGCAGCACACCGACAGCGCCAGCATGCCGTCAGTGACAGTGCGAAGCTCGCCTCGTCTGATGGGCCTGCCCACCGAGGTCCACCGTCGCATCTTCGACGAGCTCAAAGAAGACATCGACGCTACCATCTGCCTAGGGGCTACTACTCGGTACTTCTGGTCCATCGCCAAAGAACACCTTCACGTTTACTGCAAAGCTCGCTTTGGACGTTGGGCGGGAGAACCACTCGTCTGTGTCGGAGACTACGCAAAGCGCAGTGATTATCCGCCCGGCTTATTCTCCGATGAAGAGCTGGAGATTATGCGACAGAAAGGATGCGATGTCCCTGGCCAAGACGACTACGTGGAATACAGCAACCCCATCGACGACGATGCTGATTCTGTGGACGGCGATGGCTATGATACGCCTAATAAGTCGTGGGAATTCCGGCTGCAGTCGTACGTTAAACCATATCTTGCGTGCAAGGCAGATATGAGTGGAACGAGCCTTCAAACCCACATGATCGGCAACTGCTACCGCAACATCGGGAAGGCCGACATCTCTACGTCGAGGATCATCGACTGGGACTTGTGGACCATGGCAGACATGGAGAATTTCCTGCCGAAAAGCGAAGCGTACATTCTGCGCAACCTGACAACGAAGCAGTTTGCCCGTGCCGAGGCCATCGCCCTCGAGCCAGAGTACGTTCATGGCCCCTTCATTGACGGGCTGGGCTTCGGTCACGTCATTCGCGCGCGCATCTGCTGGTCCGCAGATCCGTCGAGCAGCATGCACGACGTTACCAACATCACACGGGGGTTATGGGCTGGCCATCGATTTGATATCGTCACGCTGGGAATGCATGACGAGGAGACGAGGGCATCGTTGGGAGATGCATGGGAGGACGTGAGTGACGAGGTAGCGAAGGAGGTGCGAAGAATTTTTGAGGCGGATTTGGGACCCGAGTGGCGGAAAGATGTCGAAAAGCAGTGGAAGAGCGATTACTGAGGCGCGAAGATCAACTTGCATTCTCATCTGGCACCAGCGAGGGCTCTGGAGCGACAGCATGTTGACAGAACCATGATGGTTATGGCAATAGTGTCATATGAAGGGAGGGCCGTCCCAAGGGATGAAGACCACAGTAGTGAAGATCCTTTGCAAGCCATCCTGAGATGAAAGCTCAGCACAGCTAGTTAGTGCCATCATACAGCGCGCCTTGACGCAGGTACAGGCTACCTAGCTCATGCACTCGGTCGCCAAAGCGTTCGACTCTCAACGATAGACGCGCGATGTCCAGATTGGTCAATATTTGTTTATACACAACGATTGTTGTCGTGCTCAGGTCGTGGTTCATGTTCGTCTTACCTGTTGAACACACCGGTCAGCACATGCTGACTGGCCTTGGCCCGTGCAGGGCGATTCGTAGGTACGGCCCCAAAATTGGCTCGCAATCAAATGGCAACACCATGTCTCAATTCCGTCTGAACAGGATGTGAGAGCGCGTCTCGACTACTCAGGTACCGCCGAAAGAGGCAGAGTTGAGTAGAAGAGCCGCGACGGGATCGGATGAGAAGGGACGACGTTGATTCTATACACCTTTTTGAGAGACCCGAAAAGCAACGCTAAAAATACTCCCTCATGCATGCTGTTCCTGAATCCGGGGCTGCGCCACAGATCTGGATCTCGGCCAAGGGCGAGCATTCATTCATGCCTGCCTCTCGCGCGCGATGGGGCATCTTCTGGTCAGAGGTCGTCGGGCTGCCCTTCGATAGAATATATACAAACGTCGCCCGTGATGTTGACTTGCGAAGCATGATGGCCTTGCGACAGCAGTGGAGTGCATGGCAAGGGAAAACCTTGATGTCTGACTTCTCGGAGCATTACAGGGATTGGCGGCGCCAATGGGCGATCCCTCAGGTTTTCGCCTGTGGGCGGTTCCTCAGGAGACGTGGTTGAGTTCACGTTTCTGGTTAGCCGTGTTTCTCCTTTGCTGTGCCGCAGCCGCGTTTTCGCTCGCCACTGCCCCCGGGCCAACCAGAGAGTGCCCGCAATTGTTGTAGAGACATTCAAGTTTGGGAATCCGAGGGGAGGCTCTCACCTTGGGTCCGTAGTTTCAACGAGGCACAGCCTGTCCTTACCTACACTCGTTGCGTCTGCTGTATTGTTTGCCTTGTACAGCCTTCTCGTTTTACTGTCGCTCATTGGAAGTACTGCAAACCACACCGATCGTTGCCGCAAATACACGAGTTTCAGAACGAGGCGTCGATTTCCATCCCTTGCCGCCCACCACTTTACCTGCTTTCTAGCCTTAGAAGACGAGAGTTGAGCCTGCGACTTAGGCTTCTTGACAGGGAAGACTGCAATTGTAATAATATCTGGACGAAGTGAGTACACATGGGCAAGAGTTGCTGAGGTCGACAATAATAAAAGAACAGGGCGGCAGCAGTCCTTTGTTTGCTCAACCCGCCTCCACCGAGCACTGACCTGCTGCATTCCTCCCCTCCAACATGTCACCTCCGCGCAGACCGCGGCCAGGCACCTCACCTGTCCGCGAGAAGGGTTCGCTCGACTACCGCGATGTTGAGCACTACTCTCGACAACAACCGCCTTCATCTCCATATTCTCCCTCGACCCGTCACAGACCAGGCCTCTACCCCTCTGACACAGCAACCTCATTCGGTTCTCGCGCCGAAGACAACGTGCCCATCATGTCCGGGCCCAACCCCGCCAGCGACCTGGGCCGCAAGAAGTCGCTGATCAGACCTGAGCGGAACCGAATCGATCGATCACATCCGAATTACCACTATCGGCAGCATGCACATAATATGGAGGTCTTTCCTTCGTCGACGGGCAATGATCCTATTCTCGAAGACAACACCGAATCACGCACAGTCAGCTCAGACAGCTCAAATATAAAACCTGTTGATGACCTCAACACACCCTACTCGGACGACCCACGCGTAGCACGAGCGCCCGGGGGTATCGAGCCCTTAGGCAAGAAGCGAGCTCCGCGGAAGCTCACGAGAAAGGAGACGGCCAAGCTCACGGACGAGGAGAAGCGGCGGCAGAAAGAGCTGGATGCCATCAAACCTCCTTCGCCCTGGAACGTCTATTGCGCTATTGTCACATTCTGGGCTCCCGATGTGGTGCTCAAATGCTTCGGCATGCCTGCGAAAGCTCAGCGACGGGCGTGGCGGGAGAAGATGGGCTTGGTCAGTGTCATTGTGCTCATCTGTGGGTTTGTTGGTTTCTTGACCTTCGGATTCACGCAAGCTGTGTGCGGGCAACCTGGGTTGCGGCTCAAGATCAATGATGTTGATGCGGGTTATATGATTTTTCATGGCGAGGCATACAATCTGGACGGCTCATTACATCCCGCTGCTAAGGGTGTGCCGATTGATAGCAACGTGCTCTATGATTTGCCGCACAAGTATGGTGGGCAGGATGGGAGTTTCATGTTTCAGCAGGTCAACGGTGCGTGCAAGGGCTTGATCACACGAGCCGAGGGTTCTGATGTGCCCACGAACGGCGATGGGGACCTTGCGTGGTATTTCCCTTGCAAGGCTTTCAATCAGGATGGGTCATCGCAGCCCAACACTTCAATCGAGTACTACCTGGGATATGCCTGCCATACGACAGAGAAGGCGAGGAACACCTTCTACGGTCTTAGAAAGGCCGGAGAGGTCTTCTTCACTTGGGACGACATCAAGAACAGCAGCCGCAATCTGGCAGTCTACTCGAACTCGGTCATCGATCTGGATTTGCTGAGGTGGTTCAACGACAGCCAGGTGGCCGTGCCACAGCAATTCACCGACATGCGAGAAAATGAGGCCATCAAGGGTGTGGATCTCACTCATGTCTTGGTCAGTGGGCAAGACAAGCAGATTGGGCGATGTCTGTCAGAGATTATCAAGGTCGGTTCTATCGACACCGAAACCGTCGGCTGCATTGCTTCCAAAGTGGTGCTCTACGTCTCGCTAGTCTTCATCCTGTCCATTGTGTTGGCAAAGTTCTTTCTCGCGCTGGCATTTCAGTGGTTCTTGTCCCGGCGATTTGCGGCGGCGAAGACATCGCAGTCATCAGATACGAAGAAGCGACGCAAGCAGATCGAGGACTGGTCGGACGATATCTACAAGCAAGCTCCCAGGATCACCGATCCCGCTAGCACGGTTACTGGATCTGATGGTCGGACGAGCAAACGAGGTAGTACCCTGTTTCCGCAGACCTCGCGATTCACCAGTCCCTATGCTGTCGAACGCACATCCAAGGTCTTCAAGGCGCCACCAACGACCATGACGACTAGCCAGGGCGCCGCTGCTGGAGGCCGGCCGAACTCGCTGTACGGCCATGGCTACAACATGAGCACCAACACTCTTGACCTGCCCAATCGCATGAGCGTGGGCGCCAGTCGGTCGAGTTTGATGCTTGCTGGGCAGGACTCTCGTTACTCACAAGTCATGGACGATGCAATGGGCCCTCAGGGCTTCATCCACGAAAATGTTGTTCCTCAGCCACCACCGGAATGGCAACCCTTTGGATACCCATTGGCACACGCGCTCTGCTTGGTCACTGCATACTCAGAAGGCGAGGACGGCCTACGCAGCACTCTCGACTCAATCGCAACCACCGACTATCCCAACAGCCACAAGGCCATTGTCGTTATTTGCGACGGTATGATCAAAGGCAAAGGCGAGACAATGACGACTCCCGATATCGCACTCAGCATGATGGGCGACTTTGTGACCCTGCCCGAAGACGTTTCCGCCTTCTCGTACGTCGCTGTGGCATCCGGCTCCAAGAGGCACAACATGGCTAAGATCTATGCTGGCTTCTACGACTACGGCCGCGAATCACGCATACCTGCTGAAAAGCAACAGCGCGTACCAATGATGGTCGTCGTCAAATGCGGCACACCCGACGAAGTCACGAAGTCCAAGCCTGGCAATCGTGGCAAGCGTGACTCCCAGATCATCCTTATGTCCTTCCTCCAGAAAGTCATGTTTGACGAGCGCATGACCGAGCTCGAGTACGAGATGTTCAATGGTCTTTGGCGGGTCACGGGCATGAGTCCCGACTTCTACGAAACCGTGCTGATGGTGGACGCGGACACGAAAGTCTTCCCGGATTCGCTCACGCACATGATTTCTGCCATGGTCAAGGACCCCGAGATTATGGGTCTCTGCGGCGAGACCAAGATTGCGAACAAACGCGCCAGCTGGGTCAGCATGATTCAGGTGTTTGAGTACTTCATCTCGCACCACTTGTCGAAGTCGTTCGAGTCCGTCTTCGGAGGTGTCACCTGCTTGCCGGGTTGTTTCTGCATGTACCGCATCAAGGCGCCAAAGGGAGGACAGAACTACTGGGTGCTATCCTAGCTAATCCGGACGTCGTGGAGCACTACTCGGAAAATGTGGTCGACACGCTGCACAAGAAGAATTTGTTGCTTTTGGGCGAGGATCGATATCTCTCGACACTCATGCTCAAGACTTTCCCGAAGCGCAAGCAGGTCTTCGTCCCACAGGCCGTCTGCAAGACCACTGTACCGGAACAGTTCAGCGTGCTGCTGTCGCAGCGTCGTCGGTGGATCAATTCGACGGTGCACAACCTCATGGAACTGGTGCTCGTGCGCGACCTGTGCGGCACGTTCTGCTTCAGCATGCAGTTCGTCGTCTTTATCGAACTTGTTGGGACGCTGGTTCTGCCCGCTGCTATTTCGTTTACGGTCTACCTGATCATCATCTCCATTGTCCGGAAACCCGTGCCTGTTATCCCGCTGATCTTGTTGGCGCTTATCTTGGGTCTTCCCGCGGTGTTGATTGTCGTTACGGCGCATCGGTGGTCGTATATTCTCTGGATGATGATCTATATCATCTCGCTGCCGATATGGAATTTGGTCTTACCCCTTTATGCGTACTGGAAGTTCGATGACTTCAGTTGGGGTGATACCAGGAAGACGGCCGGGGAGAAGACGAAGAAGGCTGGAATTGAGTATGAGGGCGAGTTTGACTCGAGTAAGATTACGATGAAACGGTGGGGCGATTTTGAGAAAGGTATGTGACTTATCTGTCCCCGACATGCCCTGAGTACGCCATACTGACTGAGCTCTCGAACAGAACGAAGAATGCGCGAACCAATGGGCGCAGGCTGGGATGCCCAGGGAATGCCCCAGCCGCGACCGATGCCGCCGCCCCATCAGCTTAGGGAGATGCAGAATGGGATGTATGGGCAGGAGCCGTATCATGATTACTGAATTTGCTTTTCGGGACGAAGGGTTGCATTGCGTGGTGTGGTAATGATCAACGAGTTCGCAGTAAAGGAATTTTCCAGAGAGGCAGGCGAAAGCCTATTCATAGGACAAAAAGGCATCAGGAAAGGGGAGAGAAACGATATGGGTATATTCAGCTACCCAGCACGGTGTTATGTTGTACTCAATTAGGAGTCATTGTAAGTAGCATAGCGGGCAGAGTTGCTCAGGTCTGACTTAGACCTCATTCGATCAATGTGCCTCAGGTTCTAGGTCAAATACGCACCACGTTTCAGACAAGGCCTATGAGCCAACTCCTACATTCAAAGTTCGTGATTATCCTGGAGACATCGGCACAGGGAGCTGCAGGAGGCCATTCGACCTGACGTCCATACGCCACGACCGCTTCTTCGACAGCGTGTTTGATCATCTCCTCCGGTCCGGTCCACACCACTCTCTGCTCGTGAGCGCACCATCGCTTCTGTGTGTCGAGACTCGACTGTGCTTCCTCCGGCAAAGGTATCACGCAAGCCGGGGCAGAAAGCACCGGTCGTGGAAGGTGCATCCACAACATGTGACACTGCTCAGGGAGCCTGCGATCGAACGCTGCAGACAGCCGAGCAAATGTCAAATCCATCCTGACTACGGCCACAAACTGCCTTAGCTCGAAGGCACGACTCAGGAATACCGCTGTCCCTGCGTACATTGGGCATTGTTCAGCCGACGTAGGGTGATATGACCAGCCAAATGACAGCCACCGGTCCATCAAGTTGCAGCATCCCGCATGATCGTGAAGCATCATTCTGGACTGATCACGCCCACGGCAGGCACCCGAGGCTCCTGCTGTAGAGCTGTTCAAGGATCCAGATCATTTGATATAAATCTGAGCTCTTTGTTCAAATGCCTCAGCCATGTCCGCGTACTGCGGTCCAAGGGGTAGCTCATCAAGGTCTGCAATCATCGCCTCGAGGCAAGGTCTCCAAAGGTTTCAGACAACGAAAGCTGGAGCAAGCTCACAATACACAAGAGACACAGTCCAGCCATTCCACGATGCTCGGTCAACATCTGCTACCGCTCATAACCTGGGTCCTGGCTCTGTGCGACAAGCCGAGCTTCACCGGCGCAGCCCCTAACAATCATGGCCTCATCTTAGCTCGAGCCATAGTGAACCCACCTGATGATATCACCTGTACGAGTAAGTGTGACATGCTCATCTCTCCCACTTCGCGACACTAAAACGTCGGAGACCGAGGCAGCCACACATACCATCGTGATGCCATCCTTGCGGCAACCCAATTTGCTGTTGATGCGCAAAGAGAAGGCAAAGAATAAAAGAAGCATAGGAATGATAAGGATGGATATCCTCACCAGTACACAGGCAAAGACTATGATTGGTATTGGCCTTGTACCGTGCCATGGTACGAATTCCCCATTCGACGCAATGGACAGATCTACGAGGGAGGTTATGCCGGGCCCGATCGAGTCGTCTTCAGCAGTCTCGCTGTTGGCTCACCTGATACCGTACTGTGCGGCATTATCACACACTCCGATCGTACTTCCGGCCATGAGCTCTGTGGTGCGGCGCCTGAGCCACCTGCGCCTGCGCCGACGTCCCCTCCACCATCGCCGTCGCCGCCGCCGCCACCAACGCCGCCACCCACTTGTGAGCCACAGTAAGTCCTCCGAGTGCCGCTATATCAGAAAGCGCTCAGCCCATGTGGGTGCTCAGTGCTGACCAAAATGAACAGGTTCGACTGCCCAGACCCCCCTACAGGCAGCCACCCTTGTGTCTGCTCTGGATGTGCGTGTTCCGATGGCTCCACGAGAGCATGTGATCGAAATGGCAAATGTGTTTAGTGAAGAACTGTTCTTGACCTGATGGCATTTGGTATTCCCGAAACCTTATGAGACGAGTGAGGCTGGAAGGCAACACAAGTGATGTATGCTCGCATCGCATCGCGGCTGCAGCCAGCATGCTGCCTAGCGATTCTGCCGAGATGAAGGCAACGATCAGCATACAAGGCACTCCTCTTTGTGGAATTCGTATCTTTCGTAAGTAAAGCTTTGAATGGCCCAGATGTGCTTCTGCTCGAGTGTACTGATTCAAATACTGGTCCCAAGCAAGCAGCGTATCCGCATGGAGGAAGCTCATCGTCGAGGAACCTGCGTTCGGAAATGACACAAGGTTCAGAAGGACCGGCCAACGAGCAGGTAAGGCAAGAGCATCCGGGAGACGTGCCGATGCGGAAGGAGCGAATGGAGAAGGAGTGATCAATGCGGGAGCTCTCGAGGAAGGAGCGCTCGAGGAGGCAGCTCGCGAGGAAGTACAGTGAGGGCAGTCACGGTCGAGAATGTATAACCAAAGAAGGCGCGGTCGATTGGTTGAGGAAGGTGTGTTCGAGGAAGGCGCGCTTAAGGAAAGTGCGGTTTAGAAAGCAGCAACAGGCAGCGGGAGCGACCGAGAACACAGTAACATAAGTCAATCACGATGAGAAGACAGTCGGTCCAGGAAGGAACAGGCGAGGCGAGAGCGAGTGAGGCAGCAGCGTTCGTGGCAGACAGCAGTGTGAAGAGGCAACAGCTAGGGATCAGGAGCAATTATGGCGGAAAGAAGTAATAGAGCGCAGCAGGAACTCGGGGAGGATGCTAGAATGCAAGCATGGAACGAACACTTTTGGACGATTGATGAGAGAAGACTGTGCTAGGAGCCATCGCAGCTGCCCTTCGAGATCACATGGGCATTTCCACCGATCACACCTCTGGAGGAGAGATATTTCCGCTGACACAATTTGTGATTTCTGAGCCTCACAGCACAACAGGACCTCTTCAGCCAACTTTGAGGTCTTCTTGACAGGTGCCCCCTCCGCCAATGTATATATATCAGCACTCAGAAATTTTGCACCATCAATCATCATGACGCCCGAATATCTTTGAGCAGCATAGTGTCAGTGGTTCAACACGCCTTCAGCGTAACAACGGTGGGGTGAGTAACAACGAACCCTGCCGTTATTACAGAGCTGTGATTATAGGAGACCCTAGTTCGATTCTGGGTGCTGCGAACGTCCTTTTTGCTTTTCCGCGAGCTCATGATCGGACTGAATGGCGTGACTAGCCGTCCCTGTGTGGTCGAGGAGAATGAGGATCGGGTGAGCCAAGATGTACTTGAGTTGAGATCAAAGTTGATGGTTGGTATACCCTACATCTCCGCGGCTGTCGCAGCCGTCGCACGCCTTCTGACCCTGACGGGCAGGCCCCCCTTCATGGGCAACGTCAAACTTATCGCACTGACCCTGTCCCCATGTCCATCCCTGACTTCCTCCACATCCCAATCCTCCACCAGCCTGACCAAGACCCAACACCCCAACACCTCTGCCATCTTCCTTCCCAAACACGCCCGCGGCCCGCCATTGAATACAGGAAAGTCCCACGCGGATCTCCCCGCGAACTTACCATCGTCGTCGAGCCACCTTTCAGGTCTGAACTGCTCTGCATCCTCAACCCAGAGGTCAACGGAGCGATTGAGGGCCCAGATGCAGAACACGATGACGGAGGACTTGGGGAGGAAGGTTCCGTCTGGGAGTGTGCAATCGGCCTCACATTGTTGGATCTCGAGCGGAACGGGGGGGTACAGGCGGAGGGACTCGTAGAAGGTAGCGAGGATGTATGGGATGGTGGACGGCTGAAGGGAGGCAAGCGTCAGGTTCTGGGTGCCGATTGGGAAAGCCGTTGTGATTTCCTGGCGGAGGCGCCAGAGGACGGGCTGGTGTCGAAGAAGAGCATATGTAGTCCAGGTCAGGCTCTCGGCCGTCGTGTCGCGACCGGCGCTAAGGAAGTTCATTGCTGAGTCGGCGACGATGGTAGGGTTGTCAATTGCTTCGATGAGGGAGTCGATAAGGGTATTGAACTGTGGGGCGTCATTTCCTTCGACTAGGGACTCGAAGGCGCGGTTGCCGCGACGGCGTTTTGCGCGGGCGACGATCTGTAGGCCGAAGTGTTTGACTTCGGCGACGGCTTTGCGAAACTTGCCGCCGTTAAAAAGCTCGGTGAAAGTGTAAAGGGGGTTCTGGAAGCGGGTAGCTGTCCAGCCGCTTGCAAAGTCAAAGGCTCTGGAAAAGGGATGGGAGCTGTTGAGGGCAGGGATGTCGTATGCCATCTGTCCCATGATTGCGGTGGTCAGGTCATGGAAGACGTGTTGTAGGTCCACGGTCGTCCATTCTTTATAATCTGTGGCAGAAGCCTCATCGAGTCTCTTCTCCACGATATCCGTCCAAAACTCCGGCAGGACCTCCTCGACCATGACATCAAGGGTTTCACCGCTGAAAAAGCGCAGTCCAGCCTTTCGTTGCGCTTTCCATAGCGGGCCCGTAGCGTTGATAATTCCATGGCCAAACAGATCCCAAGCCCGTGTCCGGAAGAAGTCGCCTTTAGTCACGAGTGACTCGTTCCTCAGCACGAACTCGAGGTTTTCGGGACTGGAAATAACTACCCCAGGTGGTAATGAAGGAACCGAAATAGCATACGTCTGACCGCTGAACTGACGTTGCTGGGTCAAGAACCATGTGAATAGCTGGTGGCGAGGTTGCAGAAAGCGGATGGCGTTTCCGAGCAGCGGAAGCGTGTCTGATGGATGAGGGAGTGGACGGCCATTGTTACTAGGCGTATGTGCTGAGTTCAGAACGTACAACGCGACCGCGGAAGAAAGGACAGATAGCAGCAGCCATAGCATCGTTTGCAACGCGGACTCATCGTAATGGTAAGGCAATGGATGAGAGGACGCTGTGGGCAGAGGTACTAGCGTGAGGATGTCCGACGGCGAATGCGGCTCACGAGACTCTGCTAGCGGTTCAGCTTTGCCATTACCTTGTTCGCCCTTGCCAGTCAAAAATGACGAGGTTCAATGTACTGCCGCAGATGACGAGGCTCAACCCACCTTGTGATTCGAATTATGCCCGCTATCTCCGGGTCAGGAACTCTCGTCTTGGATCTACGATACTGGATGTTGTATTTCAAATGAGGATTGGAAGTTGACGACAGGCAAATCTCGTCACTGCCGTCGAGCAGGTGAGGCAAGTCAAGGCTTGCTGATGTCGATCAGGCCTCGAGCCCAATAGCTGCCAAGCTGCAGCAGTATCAAGATGCACTCCGCGTCGCGGCGTCGTCAGGATATGCCGGATTGTGATGCGAAACAGCAATGCTCGCTGCCCTTCATCTTTCTACTGTACTGATGTGCCGCTGCGGCCGCTACCGATCGATGTTGAGCTCGTCGTTGATACAGAATCACTTGGCACGATTCTCCGCAACTGTATCATTCAGCCGCTCGCATCCTTTGTCGGTGTCCCTATGGACCATCGTCTTCTGATCACGAAGCGATGCCCCACCTCAGGCTTGTCGTCTCGGTCCAAACCGCGTCGTACTGATTCACAAGCCCGAACGACGAGGCTGCTAGGACGGTGATCAAAGGCCAGTCAGTGTGAATGCATATTGCAGATACCTGCAATCAAGGTTTGGAGTGCGCCTACGTATCCAAGACTGCTTGAGGCCATAACTGTAGGCCGGTGGACGGAAGAGATTGGTCAATCTACCTCCTGCCCGGCGGGTTCTTATCTCGTCCGAGCACGGATGAACGTCAAATTCCCGTCAATAACTCATCGAACCCGCATTCATGTCTCATTGTTGTCGGCGACAATGCAAGATCTATGGCTTACGAAAATGTGGCCGACGGCGACATCTGGTCATAAAATTGCCAGAACACCACACCATATCGCCGAACGAGGTAGTAGGAAAATGTCACTCAGCTCTTGACTGCACAATTGAAAGGGTGGACTGGACCAAAGTTCCACGCCTGAAAATGCTGCGAGCACGGTGACAAGGCGCTCAGTATGCCCCCTTGTGCGTTGAAAGACGCTCATGTCGTAGGCCAAGTTGGTGACTGTGCAGAACAATTTAGGGTCTGAAAGCGAGCATACACGGAGTTCCGCAGACACCTCTTTGACTCATGTGCGGGCTTTTGTTGACACTGAACCCGCTCCGCAGATCTCTCTTCCAGCGACCCTTCTTGGAATCTCGGACTTACAATGCAAAACATTTTGCAGTGTCAGCACTATCATTCGAACTTAGCATTTCGTCCGAGCACGCACGTTATGGCTGGTTCGGATCTTTTTTTGTATCCGCTTTCCAGATATGCCATGGCCATGGTTGTCATCATGTCGTTATGGCTTTTCAGTACATATTCAGGACCACTGCTCCTCTTCGGCGAAACGAAGTGGCAGACCACAGAACTTCAGTACCAAGACATCGACGTTCACTGAGGCATACACGCAATGGCGACACAGCTAGCCAAGAACTCGGCCCTTAGTGCATTACTACAGGTCTCGCGAGGCAAAGTCCCCAACTACTCTCGGACAGGAGTTAACGTCAAAGACATTGAGACCACCTCCGTAGATGGCACTATCACGCCACCGCCAGAGGTCGAGAAAGATGAGCAGTCTTCAGAACGGGAGGAGATCGTGACCTGGAACGGCAAAGATGATCCAGACAACCCGCAAAATTGGCCCATCGCCCACAAGATGTGGGTAACAATCCTGCTCAGTGTATACACATTCGCCATCTACGTTGGATCATCAATCTATACGCCTGCTCAGCCCTATGTCCAAGAACAATTCCATGTTGGCAACACAGCGGGCTCACTGGGCCTCGCACTCTATGTCCTGGGCTATGGCGTGGGATGTCTATTGTTTTCACCTCTATCCGAAATTCCCGCTATCGGCAGAAATCCACCATATGCGATTAGTGGCTCCCTCTTCGTCATTCTGTGTATCCCGACATCGTTGGTCGAAAACTACGCCGGTCTGATGGTACTACGATTTCTCCTTGGCTTCATGGGCAGTCCATGCCTTGCAACAGCTGCGGCATCTTTGGCTGACGTCTGGACTCCACCACAGATGCCTTTCGCAATCGCGATCTGGTCGGTGGTGGCTTCAGGCTCGCCAGCCGTTGGTCCTACACTGAGCGCATACGCGATAGAGGCACTCGATTGGCACTGGCATTCCTGGATCTTGTTGATGCTTGCCGGACCTGTGGTGGCATTGATGATCTGCACCATGCCGGAGACCTCTCCTGAAACGATTCTGTACTACAGAGCAAAGCGCCTCCGTCAAGAGGGCCACAAGAATGCCACCTCAGCAGCAGAGCAGAAGCAGAAGAACATGTCGATCAATGACATGGTCATGTACTATATGGTCAAGCCATTCGAGCTCAACGCCAAGGATCCTGCTATTCTCTTCACGACGATCTACCTTGGACTGCTCTATGGGATCTTTTACAGCTATTTTGAGTCCCTCCCCTTGGTCTATCCTGTATTTTACAACTTCCCAGCTACCAGCGTGGCACTGGTGTTCCTGACTGTCATCCTCGGAGCTCTCGTGGCATTCTGTCTACAGATCGTCTATCTTATGAAGGCGGTCTTCCCACGATTGCAAGCCGGCACATTCGGCGAGCTCGAGAACTTTCTAATTGGCGGCGTCGTCACTGGCCCGCTTGTAACAATCGGCCTTTTCGTAGGTCTCCCTTATATCGGCGACCTTTAGCCGTAAAAGTAAAAAATACCTTGCCAGACAATGCTGACAACCTCACAGATCTTCGCGTGGACCAGCCGTCCAAGTATCCATTGGATCGTACCAACGATCGGGCTCTCCATGATCATCACGGGCATCTACACTGTCGCTCAATCAATATTCCAGTACTTGCCGCAAATTTACCCCAGGTACGCAGCTAGCATCTTTGCACTGAACAGTCTGAGCCGGAGTCTGTTCGCAGTGGCTGCCATTCTCTACAGCCATCCCATGCTCGAAGCACTGGGCATCGACGGCGGTATCAGTCTCGACGCTGGGCTAATGCTGCTGTGTAACCTCGGAATGGTGGTGTTGTGGAAGTATGGCAAGAAGTTGAGGGAGAGGTCAACTTTTGCGGAGAGCTAAACAATTATCCAGCCCGATAGCGGTAAGGTTGAGAGACAAGTACCGGCTCAGGGATTTTACAGCATCACATTATAGAATGTATAATACCGCGCAAATAGACGTATAGCATGGTTCTGGACCATTGGTGGAGATGCATTGATAGAAGGACTGACTTCAAACCTATTTGCCACAATGGTACGATGAGTGCAGTACAACCTGGAAAGTTCCATCCACGGTTGGCCCTGTCTTCATGCTTTTCCATGCCCTAACTCTGGTAAGGCGCCAATAGACTTGCAGGTCTCCTACAGCCCGGAAAACCCTTTTACGCAATATCGTGTACTATACCACAAAGGACGCCGTAAGAGAACCGTTGAGGAAGACTGAGCAGGTGCCTTTTCAGCGCCGCCCAAGAGCATGACTCGGCACGGGTACGTAAGCGCTCGATATCTATCGCTGTCTCTAGGCTACCTGGTTATGAATTGCCACCGCGGGCACCAGAAAGACCAAGCTCGTGCTTGGAAAGCACAGCCCGTGATAGGTTCGGATTCATCTGCGTATTTCCCTTGAGCTCAAGGGTCCTCAGCCACAAGGTTCCAGCACATGGTGAGGCGTACATCTCGCCGAGGCGATGATGATATACCTGCCATGGCAAAGGAAACGACTCGTTACTGCTTCGTGTCAGGGTAGTCACCGTCCTGTCATTCAAAATAAAACTTCACTGTCGTTGATGATCGTGTGCATCCTGTCGCTCCTTCGAATTGTAGCGGTTCTCGCAGCAATAGTCTAGCCATAATTAAACATTCGATCGCTTGTCAATTTTGTTGAGGCGCACGCGACAGTCACTTTGACACACTCACTCTGAAACACTACGCCAGAAAGACGCATTTCTTGAGTTCGACGCCAGGACGATAAGAGTTCACTGATGCATGGTCAGCGCTGAGACCATCGTGAACCCAGAGGAAAGCGAGTTGAAGAATGTCTCCTTCGGTGATACCGCCGCGTACCAGAGCCAGCGAGCGATATCAGAGACCAAATGTCTTCGTCTACGGCGTCGGCGCGGCATATCCGCCACATTCAATCAAGCCAGAAGAGCTCGATGTGCTTGCCCGAAGATTCTATCCATCCACTCCAGCGTAAGTGGCTCTTTCCTCGCCTGCCAGCGACATGCCAAGAGATGGGTCGACGGCAACGATGCGCCTTCCTCGCCGAAGCGGAGGAATTCGTCGGGCTCGGCTTGATCTGAACACTCATCACATCCCTTTCCACCAAAATTCAAGCTAACAATCAACCGTGCCTCATTACACAGCCTCGAGAAGGTGCTCACCATCAATGCATATACTGGCATCGACACCCGTGCCTCAATCGGCACTATCGATCATCCGGTCGTCAATGACCCACTCCCGCCTTCCATCACCGAGCTCAATGACCTGTTCATGACCCATGGCGTCTCGTTGTCGGTATCTGCTGCTCGCAAAGCGCTCGCTCAATCCAACACTCCTTACTCCGATATCACCCACGTTGTTTCCACAACATGTACGAATTCTGCGAATCCGGGTTTTGATCACTATGTTATCAAGAAATTAGGTTTGCGACAGAATGTGCAAAAAGTACTACTGCACGGCATTGGGTGCTCCGGCGGCATGGCCGCACTGAGAACCGCAGCTGGATTGATCATGGGTGAGAGCTTCCGGGGCAGGAAGGCTAGAGTCCTGGTTCTTGCGGCAGAGATCAGTACAACTCTGGTAAGAAGTGAGCTGGAGAGCATTGTAAAGAACGACGAGGTCAGGATAGGTATATGCTTGTTCAGTGACTGTGCGAGTGCCCTGGTGGTTGGAAATGAGATGGAGGGAGACGAAGACTTTCCTGAAAGCGCAGAGAATGCACAGGAGCTCCCAAATGGACTTCATAATGGATTCGATCAAGACGATGACTCCCTGCAGGAGCGCATTCAGGAGTCCCGGCGGCAGAATGGTGAGAACGAGCCAATCTTGGAACTGCTAGGCTGGGAACACGAGATCATTGAGGACACGGAGAAGGACCTGGGCTTCGATGTTGATCCGCTTGGATGGAAAGTGGTCCTGACGCCCCGAGTGCCCAAACTGACCGCTGGCATCCTGCCACCACTCTTCAGCAAACTCGTCACATCGATTCCAGAGCTCAAAGCTACCATTGCAGAGGCTGCTCATTCTATACCACCAACTTCATTCTCCTGGGCATTGCACCCTGGCGGCGCAACGATTCTATCTGGCGTTGAACGTGTCATGGGCTTGAACCCGGAGGAACACCTTCGAGAAAGCTACGAAATCTACGTCAGTAGGGGCAATAGCAGCAGCGCAACATGGGCAAGCGTGGTGGCGCGCATGATGAACGTGAATACACAAGAAGGTGACGAGAAGAAGCGGTATGTTCTTGGCTGTGGGTTTGGACCCGGGATTTCTGTTGAGATGGCCGTGCTGAAACGGCTGGATCTGGATGGTGAGGGCGTGACTGGAAGGGTGAAAGCTCGAAAAACAAATGAAGCGAATGGAGATGGCCTCATGAACGGGCTCCAGGCATTAGACATCAGTGATCGCGGGAGCAGTACGAGCCGCAGCAGCGATGCTGGTGGTGACAGTACTGGTGGGAGTGGCACTGGCAGCGGAAACGGCAGTGGGAGTCTCAGTCCCAACTTGAGCACCGTTGCGTTGCCACTTGCCGAGGATGTTGATTGAGCGTAGCAGCGATCTGTCTGTGTCTGAGCGAGAAAATGCACGAGCTGAAACGAGTAGAACTTTGCGAACGACCATAGAGCACAGAATCGTGAAAACCATATATTGACAGTCTGCAAACATCTAGATAGTCCACATGAAGAGCCCAGAAAGGACAGATTATCCACGAGATCAAACGCGACGGGCATCGCAGCTTCACGTGTCATGCCTTCCCATCCTGTCTTGGTCGAAAGCTGCATCGGACTTCGTCTAGACCGCCTGTCACACATCACAGATCTGTCCGCACATCCCTTGCCAGCTCAAAGTAGAGCAAGGTCCATGTGGACCGAGACAGCGAAGGCACATTCGCTTGCATACGCCTGGCATTGACTGACTCGAGATAGACAAATCACAGTGAATGCTTCCTGACCGGGTCAGTGAAGTATTTGTTCCGGTCCGCCCCGGCTGTTGACACTCGGGAAAGAACATAGGTAATCGCCTTGCCTTCGACCTGCTCTAGCTCTTTATCTTCATCACTTACAGAATGGAGGGTAGCAGCTATCAACGGCGCATCTTGTCATGCCTTGGCAATCCTGCTACTGTCCGGTGGGACGAGTAACTTCGAGAAAGGGTCAATTCGCTCTCTGGGTCCGCGTTGCGCAAACGATTTCCTCAGTCAGGAGGAATGACTTGACACTGCCTCGAATGAATGACACCCTATCATCATTCTCCTCCCATACCATCACACCCTCAACGACCGCAGACCATCCGCAAACATCCTCCCACCAATAATCAAATGCAACACAACATAGATTCCCGCCTCGACTTCCTTCCCTCCCCATCCACCCGTGCCCCTCCGTTTCCACCCTTCAAGCACCCTTGCTCCAGACCTGAGCACCGGACCGACATGATACAAACCCAGCGCGCACACAAGCCGTCCGTGCAGTAATTGAGCGATTGGAGTGGTCGGCGGGCTGAGCGCCAACGCCAAAGCGACGAGCACGCTGCAGAAGAGTAGGAGGGCGTACTGGCGGATGATGGCGTGGGCGTGTGGGGTATGGTGGGAGAGTTGGCGGGAGGGGAGGAGGAGGAATTGGAGGGAGGCGGGGAGTTCGATTAGGGCGTGATGGAGGAGGGGCGAGGTGTAGAGTGGCGTGATTGTCATGCCTGGGTTGGTGGTCTGGTGGGCACTGGGTGGGATGTTCAGGACTGGCAGGATGAGGACGAGGTCGAAGATCGGCTGGTCGAGGTATGGGAAGGGAGGCTTGGTCAGCGCGAAGATTAATTCACCAAAGAGTATCTCTCGCCTGGTTCTGGGTTGAAGGTGTGCTTTGGCTTAGATGCTTGAAGTGCATATTCTCACGGTTTCCAACCTTGTTGAGAGGTGAGATGCCTTACTGAGCGTGTTGATCTTGGTGCCAAGGCCCCATGATAGAAGACACTTCTACACATGTTCTTGCGGAAGTCACGGTCGGGTCTTTGAGGAGTCAATGCATGTTGTCTGCAACTTCAGTTGACTCTCCGCATGCCATTGATGTCAACGTTGATCGTAGCTGTCATGCTAAATAGAATGCGTTGTGGAAGGAGAGACTCGCGGCTGCTCTCAGTGGCAGGGGTCCAACTTCAGGCACGAGTTTGAGCAAGTGCCGAGGCAAGAAATTCCCAGGCCTCGAATCCCCGAGTGACAATGACCTGGATCAGTTCTGGTCCAAACCTTCTCCTTGTAAATACATCTCTGTTCTTCACGTTGCTGTGTGCTCAGCGCTGAAGGGCTACTGTACCAGCGCTCAGAGCGGCCATGGACTCATATGAGCATCAGTCAGAGCACCGCAAGAAAAGACGGCGGCGCGAAGTGCTCCCCACGCCAGTGTCAGCTCGGCTCACCTTCGACGACAGTGTAGCTGGGGACGCTGCTGTTGTGTCGCCGTCGCTGTGGCAGCTGTTGAGCAAGAATGGTACCTCGCATGACACCACTCGTACGCGTATAGTGGGCGCTTACTCGGATGAAGCAGAGACCACGCCGGATGACGAGACACCTGACCAGTCCTACATTGCGATCGCGCCTTCCACGCCTCTGCATACGACTGTGCAGGAGTCTGTGTGGACGGTCCTGCAGGCCGAGGAATCAGGTATCAACGTTGGCAGTGACGAAGGACCCAACGCCCACTACATCAAGCTGTCGTCCAAGTCCACCGCATGCGCATCCTTCTTGAGAGCGCTCGCGGCACTCGACCATCACCGTCATGGGGGCCGGGTCCCAAAAACACTCGAGATCAAAGCCGTGTCCGTAGCACCACTCACGTTAGACACTGTCTACGTGGAGATCGAGAAAGGTCTAGTGGCCAAGGTCGACGAGATTCAGAGCAGATTCGGGGGCGGCTTCCAGCAGCACGGCAAACAGTGGAAGACACCGAACCATTTCCACATCCAAGAGAAGTCACAGAAACCGGAGGAGCGCCTAAAAACTCTCATACGAGGTGCCCTCTCACACCTGACACTGATCCATGCCGGCGATGTCTTCCCGCTTCCGCTGCCACCGCACCCGATCACACACGCTCGACCCTCGCCTGCCACTGCAATAGAATGCGAGCCAGTGTCTCAGGGCATTGTGACTGCCACTACGAAGATTGTACTGATACAGTCTGGTGCCTCGCATGTCAAGGCAGTACAAAAGCTGGAGTCTGCTCAACCGATCATAGAAGAGTCGCTCGAAGACACAGCGGAGGACACGTCCACCGAGCAGTTCTTCTCTGCTGCTGAAGATAAGCAGACGACGACCGCATCAGAAGCAGAAGCGGAGCAAGACGATGAATCCGAATCAGAGCAGTCGGGGCAAGATAATAGCGACGATGACGAATCAGATTCAATGGAAGATATGATCTCTTTGGCTGCGCCGGGATTGCCTCCTCAGCAGGCAGGGACGTTGTCGGCTATGACTAGCGCCACACCGAGGCCAGGGGACAGGCGAGGCATACAGACTCCCGGCTCCGTGTATTCTAGCTTCAGTGCCGCCACAGCAAGAGCTGGCAATCGACCGGGGAAGGTTTTCAGAACCGAGCCACTCCTACGAAAGATCCCAAAGGAGCTGTTGCACCCGAAGCCAGCGGCTGACGACGACCAAGATTCATTCGTGTTTGTCGACACGAGCACCCTGGCTAAAATCGACTGCTTCTCGGGCGACTGGATACGGATAGAGGTGTCTAAGAATGTCAGTCTGGGAACATTTTCAACAGCTACTTTTAGTGCCCTTCGAGGGCTTGGCAACGAGGACGAGAGCGACTGGCGAGCTGTTCGCGTTTTCGGCCTGTCTGGTGTGGCAGAGCACAAGGCTCGATATGCAGTCGACAAGACTGGTGACCGAAGGAGCAGTTTCTCACACAGAGATTCCGGGATGTCTCTGACGCAGAGGATATTTCTTTCGCCAATACTCCTAGCAAATCTGGGCAACGCTTCTTTCGTGAAGATCGGCGCGCTGCCTAAGCCCACGCGGCACGACATCCGGCAGCGACCGCCATCGTCCAAATCACCGCCATTCGCGACCAATGTGACATTGGCTGGCCTGCCGTCGCCGTTGACGAAAAGGCGAGAACTCGATGCTGTGATTATGTCAGGCTTGAAACGTGTTTTCGAGGTCGAGAAACGCCTGATCAAGCGAGGTGACCTCATCGCTGTCCCACTGGATCAAGAATTGGGCAGCATCACCTCTCCAGGTACAGGTGGCAACGATGCGGCTGCCGAGGAGCTAAGCGGCAGGCTGCAGGCTCTGGATATCAGTCGGACACAGCAAAATGCTATAGCGTGGTTCTCTGTTCAAAGCCTTGACGCCGAGGAACAAACGTACCGGTCGGAGCTTGATGGCGGCAACCCGTGGGGTGGAGTCGCGATTGTTGATATCTCGACAGTGCGCCTGAATGCTCAGAAGATATCGCAAGAGGGTGGACGCGTTGCAAGCATCTCAGAAAACACAAGTCTTTGGTCGAAGTATTGGCTCGGCATGTACAACGTTCCTCAACATGACTTCTTCCGATCAACTGTTGTTGCGACGCCATCGTCGCTGCCTCACTTACAGAAGCAGCCTCTGGAAATTAAGCTTAAAAACCTCATCTCAGCAGCCGTCAGCCCAAGAGCCATGAATCTTGGTATGCCGCCAGTTGTGATCTTACTTCACTCGACGCAGAGGCAGGTTGGGAAGCTCTATACAGCCAATTCTGCTTGCTCAGCGGTAGGAGTGGATACGTGGAAGATTTCCGGCCAAGATCTGTTGTCCGAGAATGCTTCCACGACTGGAGGCGGCGATGTCAAGACGGAAGCTACGCTGAAGGCACGAGCTGAGTTGGCTTTGTCGTGCGGTCCCAGGAGGACGGCCGTTCTGATACAACACATTGACGTTCTGACAGCGGCTCGCATTCAGCCTGCATTGGAAGAGATCATCAAAGGCTCGCGTGTGCTGATTGCTACGACTTCGAAAATTGACGATATTCCTGATGGAATCAGGAGTCTATTCACTCATGAGTTTGAGATCAACGCACCGAACGAGTTCTCTAGAGAGATCATACTGCGGAATGCTTGCGTTTCAAGCTCGCTACTACTGTCACCAAGTATCAATTTGAAGAGCATCGCCTTGCAAACAGCTGCGCTTGTCGCAGGAGATCTGGTTGATGTTGTCAGCCGTGCTTCGCTGGCTCGGCAACAGCGCCTGCTCGATCTGGCCGAGAAGCAAACCGGCGATGTTGCCGACATCAACATTTCTGGTGGACAAGCAACGACTCATCTGTTGCCTTCAGACTTTACAGGCGCTATTGCTGCTGCGCGATCGACGTTCTCCGATGCCATTGGTGCCCCTAAAATCCCAACAGTCACGTGGCAGGACGTCGGTGGCCTTGCTTCTCAGAAGGACGCTATCATCGAGACTATCTCCTTGCCATTGACACACCCAGAGCTGTTTGCCAATGGCGTCCGTAAACGCAGTGGCATACTCTTCTACGGTCCGCCAGGCACAGGCAAGACGCTGCTTGCCAAAGCAATCGCCACGGAGTTCTCTCTCAACTTCTTCTCGGTCAAAGGACCTGAGCTGCTCAACATGTACATCGGTGAGTCCGAAGCCAATGTGCGTCGTGTCTTTCAACGGGCGAGAGACGCACGCCCTTGCGTCGTGTTCTTCGATGAGTTGGACTCCGTGGCTCCAAAACGTGGCAATCAAGGTGACTCTGGCGGTGTCATGGATCGCATTGTCTCACAGCTTCTAGCGGAGCTTGATGGCATGTCGTCCTCCACGCCATCCGATGACGATGATCCAGCTGCAGCGTCCGCAGGAGGTGGCTCAGGAGTCTTCGTCATTGGCGCAACGAATCGACCTGACCTTCTCGATCCTGCGCTACTTCGACCCGGCCGTTTCGACAAGATGCTCTATCTTGGCGTCGCTGACTCACACGAGTCTCAAGTCACGATATTGAAAGCTCTCACTCGCAAATTTACGCTCGATGCTAGCGTCGACCTCATGCGTGTCGCCAGCCGTTTGCCGTTCACCTACACTGGTGCCGATCTATACGCGCTATGCTCGGATGCGATGTTGAAGGCCATCACTCGCAAGACAGAAGCTGTGGATGAGAAGGTTCGGACAATTAGCAAGACTCGTGGCGAAGAGATCACCACTGGATACTTCTTCGACCACCTGGCGACTGCGGAAGATACCGAAGTAGTGGTCAACGAAGACGACTTCCAAGCAGCGCAGGATGAGCTGGTTGGCAGCGTCAGTCAAAAGGAGCTACAGCACTTCGAAAGAGTCCGGACCCTGTTCGAAGAGCAAGATATCAGCAAAGGGACAGAGGCGGAAAAGAAACAGCAGCAGATAAAGCCGCAACCGCATTTCCCACTCAAAAGGCAGGACACGGCTGTACGAAGTCCTCCCATTCAGGTGGCCAAGGACACACCACCCAGCCCGTTGCAGTTCGCAACACCTCCGCAGAGACAGCCCGCTGTGCGACAAGCCAACATCGAGGCAGATACCGACGTTGCTGGCAAAGGTAAAGGCAAGCAGCCCCCCTTCAACAGCCCGGTCCGTCAACGTAGCGTGGCGAAGAACATCAGCCACATTGCGAACCCGGACTCCGGCGCTGAAGACGACATGCGGGTCATGGATCCTGAAGCGTACAATGATAGCGACTTGGACTATCGAAACTTGAGCAGCGCTGCAGAGAGCGATTGGGGCATGTCGAAGCGAGGTCCCGCTGTCAATGGCTTTGATGGGCCCTATAGCAACGGGTCTGCGATAAATAAAGGCAAGGGAAAGGCAGTACAGGTCGACGGCCATGGGAATGGCAATGGAAATGGCTATGGTCATGCAAGGCAGATATCTGGAGGCGTAGGTGGAGGAGCGTTTCATAGTGATCTTGGTGAAGATGGTGAAGAGGAGGAGGGCTTGTATGATGACTGAGTGGTGCATATGAGCGTACAGTGGCATTGTATATAGTCATTGGACACACTCGTTTGAGACCAAGCGAGAATGATATGTCAATTGTCATGCTGCAAGCAAATACTCTGATCAAATGCAGACCGGATGACAGAGCTGCAAAACCTACCGCCAGACCGGTTGACACGACTAACTGACGGCCTTCGTTCCTGTGCTTCCAAAGACAGCGCCTGGCAACAGGTACGACGTCTTGTGGAGGTCGCGAAATGTCGGACAAGACCGGATGACACGAATATATTCGCAAGAAGCCCGACCACGGCGATCCCTCACAGAACTTCTCAAGTATACCCACTCAACTGGCATAATGTATCTGCTGGACTACAGACGCACGCAGCAGCGTCTTCGTTGCTCTCATGTTCATCGCACCAGCTAGCTGGGCCCTCAACTGCAGTGGTCGCAGTGGTTTCAGGGCTGCCTGCCCCGACGAACTTGCGCATCGGCGGCCAGCCACACTGGCTATGCCGCCACGAGCGACACGCTACAATCGACTGCCTGCTGACCTGCATGCAACTTTCTGTCCCATCAGCTTAGACGCAAAGAAAACGCGGAAGCCTTGCAGTCGCACCTGTAGCAATGATGCCCGTAGTCGGGCCCGAACGTAAGGTGTGGCGCAGAAAGAGGAATAGCGGGTGCCTGATCGAGCAGAGACCCCGCCGGAGGAACTCTTGGGTTGTTATGGCCGAACAATTTGCCCGACTGGCACCGAGACCGACTGCATAGAGCGAGCACTCTGGTAAATGCAGAGATGCCTGTTGTGGTATATAAGAATGTGTAGAGTGCGCTGTTGGTGATATGAGAGCTGTTCTACACAACAACAACCTACTACGAATTTCGGTACAAGCACACTTAAGTAGCGAGCAGTCAATCCAGCCCCTATCAAACTATAACCACAGCCAGCAAAACCACAAAACACCCCCAGCAAAGATGACACAATCTCAGACCCTCAACGAGAAGACCTCCGCCAGTACCCTCGTCCAACCTCCCACCACGGGCATCACCTTCATCGACGAGAAGCACACCACCACCTCCAACGTCGCCTCCACGCCCATGGACGGAGCCTGCACCCATGCCAATAATGCAAGCAGCTCGGCCTACCCAAACCTGACCCACCTCCTCCAAACGCCCACAGCCCGCACCATAATCCAGTCCACCATCACGCACCTCCAACGCATCCTCGACGAGGACGCCTGCACTGCATGCGCGGTTGAATCTGGCGTGAAGAGTGCGACCGAGGGGGTGTTGGAGGCAAAGCGGGCGAAGAAGGAGAACGGGAAGAAGAGTTGGGGTTGGTGGAGTGCTGCGCCGACGGAGGAGGATGGCGCGAAAGGTGGCAAGATGGCGGAGTGGCAGAGGGAAGGGTGGGACAAGGCGAGGGTCAAGGCGGCGGGGAAGGAGATGAAGGGCTTGGTTAGGGGTGTCAGGGAGGAGGTGAAGAGGGAGGTGCAGCTGAAGGCTTGATTTGCGAGGGCCGTGTTTGCATAATCAGAGGGTAGGTAGGGCGTTTAGAGCAGGGTTGTGGCAGGGTTGTCGTAATGGTTGGGGAAAGTAGCAGAATGCAACTCAATAACTCACCTTTCAATATTAGCGTTCCGAGCACAAACCTGCACTTCCACAATGTAAGCCGCTCTCTACTTCGACGACTGGTTGAGCTGCTGCCTACGTGTACCGGCCCTCTATCCGTAAGGTCGTGCTCTTTGTTGATTCGCTGACTGAGAAGATGACCGTGGTTGATGACGAGAGTCCAGCGGTCCGTCATGTTTGGACATACCTGTTGGTCCGCATCTGGTCTGTAGGCGAATGTATAAGACACGTACCTTCGTCTCACGAGACCGCCTGATCGCTTGTCCCACTCTGTAGCTCAGCAACAATGGTGAACAACAGATGGCACCGTCAAGATTCGCAGATCCCTGAAATGCCAACCTCAGTGTCTTTCGAGGCCATGTGCCATGCTCCATATTCTCCCAAACAGCTGAATGGCGTCGCAAAAGCTCGTGGCTCGTCGTTAGATAGCCTCGGCATGAGATCGCACTCTTCATATCTGAGCCACGAACGCACTGACCTTTCAGGGTCAGCAAGTCGTTGGTGCGCGACTTGATGTTGGTGATGAATGTTCTCGCTCAGTCCTGCCGACGAAGAAAGCTTCATGGCGTGCTTTCGGCCCGAAAGCTGGCGGCGATGTTGTGGTTGGCGACATGCATTCAACGTTGTATCATGAAGAGATGCGGGAAGACTGACACGAAAAGTGGTCAGTTAGGACAGGTACGGCGGTCTCGGGAGACCTCCGCTGCAGGATTAAGGAGAATTAAATCCACCTCCTTGCACAGATATTAATCTATTTTCAACAACCTTCTTCTCCATCGCATCGTCTTGACGAGGCTTAGTCACTTGGCCGTTGGGCTCATAGTGGCATGGCGGCGGTGTGGCACCGAAAACCTCAGCTGGACGTGGAAATTGTTGCGTCGGAATAGATGTTTCAAGCCCCTGAAATAGGAAGAAACTCAGCGACAAGGCGCCTCTTTCGATGCCTTACTGCGGCTTGTGACTACGGCTACCATGATAAGGAAATCCTTATACCGCACTAATAATCGGGTCAGATACCAGTCTAAGGACTGTTCTCTGTATCTTTTGATTACTGCAGACTCATCTGTTCCGAAGCTGATTGGCAAGAATCATGGTCGTACACGAAGGCAGCCTGGACTGCATTCAAATTGTCGAGGCTGGAATGACGAACCAGATCGCAATGCTTGAAACAGCGACCCGCAATACCTAAGCACACGACAGTGCAGTCAGATCACTTGCGAACTTGGCAAGTGAAAGGTGAAAATGATGTGCCTCCTTTAACTTACCTCATGCAGAAACTAGAGAAGTGTCTGAACAGTGGATCAAGTGTTTGACAGGTAGGGGTCAGGAGTGTATCGCAAGCCATCTACCGTTTCATCAAACCTCATAATTTGGGCACGTCCTTTCTCTCTTTTGCATGCGTTACGCCTAATCCGCCCACCATGAAGGGACGAGCAGCTGCTCTTACTGCTGCGTTCTTGGTGGTCTCCTTTGTCGTTTACCTTCAACTCTTCCAGGATCAGGAGCATAATGAGCGAATGCGAGCATGGATGCGCACAAATGGAACCAGCGGCATTTGGAGCGAGATACTTCCACAGGGAGTCGGACGGCCGGCGGACCACGAAGAGCAGAGGCAGATATGGCCGACGAACATCACCACCGAACTCTCCGACGCAGAGCAGCATACGAACACCACCATAGCACCACCGATTCTGACCGACAACCTCAACGATGTTCGAAACGAAACGCTCGGTACTCAGCAAGTCTTCATGGTGTCACTGGCAAGCCGGCGCGATAAGCATGACGCTTTTGCGGTACAAGCGATGGCCTCGAACATAACTTATACCTACGTTGAAGGCGTGATCGGAGATACAGTACCAGAAAAGGCTCTGCCGTACACAATGCACCTCAATGCGGCGGAGATTGGTTGCTGGCGCGCACACATGAACATTTTCGAGGAGATCATCGAGAAGAAGATTGCGACCGCCCTAATATTCGAAGACGACGCCGACTGGGATGTCGCTTTCAAGCAACAGCTGGTTCAGTACGCGAGAGGTACACGCTTCGTAACCGACTCCGAAGCCAACGGCTCCTTTGTCCCGCACAGCCCATATGGAGAAAACTGGGATGTTCTGTGGATTGGTCACTGCAATACCAAGGATTTTGCGGACGATCGGAAACGATTTGTGATCCCACACGATCCGACTGTCTTACCCGTCCAGTACAGGAACGAGTTCGACAAGGCTGAGATGCGCTACTGGGATCGAGAGGGCAGCGACTACAAGACCAGAATCGTCTATCGCGCCAAAACTGCCAGCTGCACAGCCGCCTACGCCATCAGCCTGAAAGGCGCACAGAAAGCCATCTATCACTTGAGCATGTCACCCAACAATCAGCCTATCGACAACGGCATGGGCGAAATGTGTGGTCAACCGGAGACAAACTTCCGATGCATGGCTTCCAATCCGACACTGGTCGGCATCTCCAAGCCGGCAGGGAGCACAGACCGCGGTAGCGACGTTGGACATGCACCGGAGACTGCCTATGAGGAAGGCGCTGCTCATTCGGAGAGGGTGATGTACTCAACCAGAATGAATCTGCCGAACCTCCTAATCAACAATCCTATCATGTATAGCGAGCATCCGGAGCACTCTGACAACATGCATATTGACGACATTGGAAGAGCTGTCGGATATCCCTACTATCTTAAAGACGAAGAGATCGATGAGCTTGCCCGCATTGACGCCGAATGGAAGGAGAAAGAAGAGCAGAAAAAGCAGGACGAAGAACGAGCCAAGCTGGAGGAGGAAATCGCGAAACTGAAGGAGGAGGAAGAGAAACTCAGCCTGGATGCACAGAAATTTGCTGGAACCCAGGAACAAGAGCCAGAGGTGTATGAAGAGCAGGATATTGGCAGCTCTTACGAAGTTTCTGATGACACGTTAGCGGACAACGCACCCATGCCAACCCAAATTAGCGACGCCTACAGTGATCCGAATCACTCGCCTCCCTACGAATCGCACGAATCGACCTCCGGACCAGATTTCGGACAAGTCATATCGAACGACCCTCCTGAAGAAGTTGATCCACGCAATGAGATGGCTGGCTGAACAAATGACCTCGAGAAGAATCATATCACCTACTACGAGCAATGGATTACTCTCATGGCTGGTCGTCCCATTACGGACAGAGTGTCTGCCACAGCGGTAGCTGTCTCAAGCTTTCCAAGCTCCAAGGAGGGGGATGACTAGACGGCTCCGACGCGGGCTGGACCAGGGTATGCAATTGGCACTGACCCGCGCATCATCCCGCGTGCGGTCGTTCAACAGAACTATCCAGCGACAAGGCAGCCTTGGTGGCTCGCTCGGTATCGCAGATGAGAGCGATACCAGCCGTTTGCAATGCGATTCTGACAAGGACCTATTTGCAAAAGGCCCCGGTCTCTTACGTCACCAAACTCCTACAGATTACCAAGATGGCGACAAGGAGACCCGTCATCAATGGAGCTTGCAGCGACGAGCTGAAGCATGGACATCGAAGCGCAGCTACGCTTTCGCAAGCGTCGCAGGGCACAACCCGAAACGGCGTCCGAGCGCAGAATGTCCGCTCAGCGGCAGATGTGACCTGAATGGGAACAGTGCCTTGGCTGGGAGATCCTCTTGTGCTTGCCATCTTAGGTACTTCTCAATGCTTTGCCTCAGATAGACTGTGCCACGATGCCTGTCAAGGAATGCTTGTTCTCGTATGAGCGCTGCGTACTCTCTCCGTAAGAGCTTGACAAGCATGGCGGTGATGGCGGAGACGACAATGTTGCTCAGACGCAACCATCAGTGGGCAATGCTGACCAGGAGCCACCTATATAGAGAATGCGGATGACTATTGACCTTGTTATACTCATCACTACCAGCACACAGCATCTCTGTGTACCCAATTTCTTGACCTGACCTGACGAATCTGGAATACAACCCTTCGCGCCTTCCTCGAATCTACAACTTAGGGACAAGTACACGCCTGCCGGGCGCCATCGCCAGCGGAAGCAGCATGAGCAACGCCAATTCCCATTCCGACATTGCTTCAATCGGTCCGCCACCGCCTTATGGTGCTCAACTGCCACCGCCCGCAGCGTCAGCAGCATATTCTCATCCGACGCATCAAGCACACCCGATGCCGCACCAGCTTCCGTGGTCAACACGATATCCACATCCTCAACCACCACTCAGCGTTCCTCCGGAGGTCCAGGCAACCGGTATCTACTCGTCTCCCATGCCGCCGCCATCAACCCACTTCCGGAATCACAGCCAAGATGGATCATCACTGCAGCAGATGCTCGAGCACCCGTATCATTCATCACAGCCACCACCACCACATCAGCGACTACCATCCAACTATCCGCCGACTCCTCCGACACAATCTCCGCAGCCTTATGCTGAGCAACAATACCACCAGCAATCTTGTATGATGCAGCCTCCACCTCAACAGCAACAAATCCGCTTCATCGGTCCCTCCGCCAAATCTTTGCTCTCGAGCAGTAAAGCCAGCATCTCCTACCTGCCATCGACTGGACCAAATGCACAGCCACAACCGTCCTTCGACCTCAAAACCTCCAAGCACACCAAACCGCACATCACCCTAACTCGCATTCGCGCTGACGGTGCCTCCGACCAAGCCCTCGCCACTGCATCATGGTCGTCCCTCTCCGGTAGCATGACGTTACAGCTCTGGCCGGCCACTGCGCAGGCGACAGAGCTCAAGCTCTCGACCGATTGGAACAGTTTGCTGGGTGACAGACGCATTGAGGGAGTTCTCCCTTGGCACAATGGACAGGGCCAAATGAGATGGGCAGTGGAGGAGAACAGCATTGGAGTACATTTGCTGAAAGGAGGTGGTGGAAGCATTATGGCCAAGTGGGATGCGAGCGGATCTGCAAGTACAAGTGACAGTCAGGCAGTCGGTGGAAGTGAAGGGCATGGTCGCAGTGGAAGCGGGAGCGGAATCGGAATGAGCTCGCTCGGTTTGGGCGATGGCAGCTCACGCGGTCTGAGGGAGAGCTTGGGCCTTACCTCGTCAGCATTATTAGGCACATCGACCTACTCAGGTAGCAATGGTGGTGGTGGCAGTGGCGGATGGAAGGCACAGCTTGGCATGGCGGATCCGGTCCTGACAATATTGGGAGCGCCACCAGGCGTGAGCATCAACGATCAACGATGGATAGAATTCGTGGTTGCGAGTGGCGTTTGCGTGCTGAAAAGGGAGGAGAAGGATGTCAAGGATGTACTCAAGGTCTTGGGCAAGATCAACTAGTAGGCGAGGTAGAGCTGGACAGGGAACTCTGTCGGGCCCGTGGAGAATCATACTGAGGAATCTCGATGGAACGCGAGAAGCTCAATCTTGTGATTCTATTCAACCTCATATGAATTTTAGTAGAAACGACGTGAGTGACAGGATGGAAGGCCAGCAAACGAAACCGGATGACGGGCTACGGTGGTGTACATGGGCGACATGCCTCAACGATAGCAATCGATCTCCAACCACATACTATTCGAAAGCACTTGACCGAGCCGACCACATCCAAGATCCTTCCTAGATACTGCCCGTGCCAGAGCGCAATCACCTCAGCAGAACAACGACCGACCTCAGGCCCATCAACGTCCCATTCCATCCCTCTCCCTCGGTGCAGAGAAAGACCACAACCACAACGACCACCCCACTCCACCTCAACTTCACATACATACTCGCAACCCTTCTACCACCTCCCTCTCCAACCTTCACCATGCTCTTCTTCTCCTTCTTCAAAACCCTAACAAACACGACCCTCACCGTCGAGCTCAAAAACGACATCTCCATCCGCGGCACCCTCAAGTCCGTCGACCAGTACCTCAACATCAAACTCGACGACATCGTCGTGCTGGACGAACTCAAATACCCGCACTTGTCGAGTGTGAAGAATATTTTCATACGAGGCAGTGTGGTGCGTTACGTGCATCTACCCGTGGACAAGGTCGATCGGGGGCTGTTGGAGGACGCGACGAGGCGGGAGGCTGAGAATGCGGCGCGGGGGAAGGCTTGAGGCGTGAGGGTAGTGGTTGTGAGGAGCAGCCGTCCACGTCCAGGTCAGGGGGGGTGCAGCGAATGCTGCGCAGTAGACGAATTGTGGAAGGATGGGAAGAGCAAGCGTTACGCAGAGACGACCAGAGAGGGGGCAGGCACATGGGAAAGACGTACTGCGTTGGACATCATCTTGCCCGTACGCTACGTGACTCAAAGTCAGGACCACTGAGACGGGCTATAGCCTAGAGAGTCAGGGGAATGTGCTCTCGAGCACGCGGATCTGACGCTATCGTCAACACCGACATCTTTACCAGCTACGCCCTGGCGATACCAGGAGCACCTAGAGGACCGCTGCGTATAAGACACGAAGGCTTAGTCCGACAACGGCATTTCGCCAGAAAGCAAGCGCCGCCACATTCATCTCGAATCAAGAGTCAGCTTCACAGCATGGCCTCCGTTGAATGCTCGATGCTCTCGCCCAAGGTGTACCAGGAAGGCATTTACGTGCACGCCCCTTAGAGCCTGTGAGCCCTGGCAGGAGGACGAGCTCGACCAGCTTCATCGCTGTTCACGCGGCTCTGGCAGAGGATAGGAATTATGAAGCGGGAATCATTCCAGCGAGAGAAAGAGCCTGCTGCTCCAGATCAGCGGCGTAGTAGTGCCACCGGCTGATGGTATTGGTACATAGTACAAGTCAAGCATGAAGACCCACCAAGGCATGCACGACCAAGTGTCCATCCGTCGCGATGCAGACAAGCAATAATATACACTTAAGTCCCGAAGAGCTCAAACACCATAATGCAACCCCTCAAACTTCTCCGTATCCCCACCACTACCCCCCTTCTCGTTCCACTCAAACAGCCCCTTCTTCTTCCTCTCCACCTCCCACTTCTCAATCCACTTCTTCATCTTCTCCCTACTCTTCGCACTACCCACATTCACCGTCGGCACCACCTTGCGAATCCTCAATGCACAGCAAAACATGGTCAGCTCCCGAAAACTGCTGTGTTCCGAATATGGCACCCCGAAGCAGTTGGATTCCCGCGTGCTGCCACGTTGCGGGACGAGGTCGCGCATGTTGAATTTCGACTTCCACCCTTCCGAATACAGAATGTTGTCGACGACGGGGTTCTCCACAAAGCGATGGGAGGGCGGCTTGTAGTTCCACCCTGTGGGCCTGAAGCCCACGACTCTGGTAAAGCCGTGGTGGCGGTGTTGCTGGAGGTATTCGTGCAGTGTCTCTGCGCGGATCTCGAAGAGGATCTGCATGTGGACTGATGCGTCTTGCGGGCGTGAGGTGAGGCGAGCATTGAGTTCTTTGTCTTCGAGGGCGCGGCAGATTTTCATCTTGTTGGGTGGGGCGTAGATTTTCGAGTTCAGCGCTTTGGCGATGCCGAGACAGATGCGCTCTTTGCCGATCGAGTAGGTGCCTATCACGACGAGGAGGCGGCCGCGGGGTTTGAGGTTGGTTTTGGTGTCAAGAACTTCGTCATCCGTTGGCTCGGGTTTGATGGCTGGGGTAGTGCCGGCTTCGAGGAACTTGGACATGGTACTGCCCATGCGGGTGGATTTGGCTTGCTCCCAGTTGTCGTTCGGGTCCGGGATCTCGTTGGATAGACTGACGCACATGGCGGCGCAGGCGTCGATGACGTCGGATTGGCTGGGGAAGGCGTATTTTGGGGTTAGGTAGGTGGTGTCTAGGTAGCATGTGTCGATCCATTGCTCTTTTGTTGCACCAGAGATGGTGTCCACGATGTTGGGACGTAGAAGAGGGTGGTTGACGTGTGCAGGACAGGCGCGGAAATCGCCACAGTGCAAGATCCGATGTACTCGATCAGAGCCATCTTTGTTCTTGCCTGACAGAGCCTTTTCGAAGACGTAGATCGAGGAGCCAGGGCAGTGGTTTGCTGGCAGCATGGTAACCCGCACACCGTTAGTGTCTGGAATTTCGTATTTCTTGTCAAATTCTAGCGGCTTGATCCACTTGGGATCGACTCTTAGCTGTTGACGCATGAGATTGCAGGTGACTTTGCTCGCATAGATGGGTCCGTGGCACCAGCTTGAGGTCATGCCGATGTAGTGGTCGCTATGGAAGTGGCTAAGGAAGTAGGCATTCTGACCCTCGACTTTGCCGTAGCGGAAAGCGTCGACGCAGATGTACATTCCAGGCATGATCTTGTAGAAGGGGCAGGTTCGCTGATATGCTGGCTTGCCTCGGGAGTCCTTCTCGTTGGCTGCTGCTTCGGCCCAAGCGATGTCTTCAGCATGTCCTGACATGAGTTTTGAGAAGGCGGATCCACCAGATTTGCCCTCCTTTGCGGCGCTGAAGGGGTTGGCTTGCGGTGGACGGGCAATGGCTGCTTGTCGGAACCGGTGTGCAGGCTTTGACGGCTGCTTGAACGGCGATGAGGATCTCGAGATGGGCTCTTCTTTCGCTGGAACGGCAGCCTCTGGCTTTCTCTCTGGTAGTGGCGGTGCATTGCCATCGAGACAGGCATTGACATGGGATGATGCTTGCGCTTCGGTGAGGCCGCTCAAGCTGCCGCTGCATATTGGACAGGACGATACGCTTTCTTCTGTTGGCAACTCTGGCAGATCTAGCTCATCTTGTGGTGTCATGGGCGTTCTAGGTGTCCTTACGCTCGCTGTATCGTCGTCTGATCTTGAATCTTCATCAAACGCCGCCTCCATGGCCGCCTGCTCTTCCATCCACTGTCTTTCCAGGAACTCTTCGCCTTGCTCATAGAATTCTTCATTCTCAAATTCCTCGTCGCCGAAGTCGCCCGGCACATACACACTGGTGTCATGGCGCACCAGTGGAGGATGAGTGATAGCTTCCTCGGTGACGTCGTTGAGGGGCACTTTTTCCTCGTTGTTGTCTTGGTAGACCACGCTGTCGTCTTGATGATCTCTGTCCTTATTGTCTTGATACGGCTTGTCCTCATCCACTTCAAACGCTTTGTCCTCGTCATCCTCGTCGTCTGAGTCAACAGCAAAACCACCACGGAATTTCGAATTCTTTTCCGAGGAAACAGGAGCGCGAACAGGAGACGGCGGACGAGAAATCTCTTCTCGTACTGCCACATCGCCGCCATTCACCCAGTTCTCCTCGTCTGCTTCACTCGTGCGTCTTCTCTTCACAGGCGAGTCACTGTCGATCTTAAACTTGGTGGCTTCACCAAAGAATAGAGTCTCTTCTGCGTTTGCCGTTGCTGCTGCCCCGAAGAAGTTCATAAGCGAGGTCTGCTTCGGGCGCCCTTGCGGGGTTGCACTTTTGGTCTGCATGGCTTTTGGGGGAAGGCGGTGTGGTGCACAGCTCAGTGCCTCGAGGGAGGGCCCCTTAGTGGATTGGGAGGAATCGAAGGTGACAATCAGCCCAGGAGGGGAGATTGCGACTGTCTCGAGCTCACAGGAAGAATGAGTGAAGGCTGCAGCATCAAAGCCCCATCGAGGAGGACTCTGGCTGGCTGGCCACGAATTGTGAGCTTGGTCCTCAGAGAGTCGAGATCGAGGGTGGTGGCGATAATGTCGTAGTTTCTTGCAGCATGGAGTACAGAGACAGCAGTCTGCAGACAAAGACACTGTAGCGACCCACTGACGCCGATATCGAGTCGCCCACAAACCACTCAACAAGCTCTTCGGATCTGTTCGTGGCCTTGTAGCAGGGGAGACCCGAGCACGACGAGACTCTTTCTCTGGCTCGAAGTAAAAAGACGCGGGGAAGTCACGGTCATTCGGCGCCTGTTCACGTGATTCCAGCCAATCGGCAGCGTTACCCGCTCTGGGGACCCGGACTCCGCCCAAAATACTAGCGATAACCAGATCGCCAGATACAGATCACCGTCTCAACATCCTCTGTCAACACCTTCCGAGGTGACGCAGCAAGGAGCTGCTGCCACGGGCCCCATTTCGGGCGGCTGTCCCTGCCGCACTCGATGCAATCCAGCATCGAGCAGGTGAAGGATGAGGTAAGCATATCCCAACAATGCCAACCATACCCTCCCATCCCAACTGACCACCAACCCCACAGGCACTCGCGCACAAGTAATCCTCTCCGGTGGCATCGCCGGCCTCGTCTCCCGCTTCTGTATTGCCCCTCTCGACGTCGTCAAGATTCGCCTGCAGCTTCAACCACACTCCCTCTCCGACCCTCTCTCCTGCGATGGCATCAAAGGCCCTACCTACAAGGGCGTCCTCCCCACCCTACGCGCCATCGCGCCCAAGAAGGCATCCGTGCTCTCTGGAAGGGCAACATCCCCGCTGAGATCATGTATGTGTGCTATGGCGGCATGCAGTTCGTTGCCTATCGCGGGTTTACGCAACTGCAGCACCAGCTCCCCAGCGCCGTGAAGGACAGGATCCCGAACAGTGCAGAGAGCTTCATCTCCGGCGCCGCAGCCGGCGCGGTAGCCACGACGGCGACCTACCCGCTCGACCTGCTACGCACGCGGTTTGCCGCGCAGGGGACGGAGCGCGTGTACCCTTCATTACGAAGCGCGTTCCGCACAATCAGCCGGGACGAGGGCGCACGAGGGTATTTTCGGGGTCTGTCCGCCGCCGTGGGCTCGATCGTGCCTTACATGGGCCTCTTTTTCACCTCGTACGAATTCTTCCACACCCACTTCGCGGCACTGCAGCTCCTCCCGCTCAGCTCGGGCGACGCCGCTGCAGGCGTGATGGCTAGCGTGTTGGCCAAGACTGCCACCTTTCCGCTGGACCTCGTCCGGAAGCGCCTCCAAGTCCAAGGCCCAATGCGCACGAGATATGTGCACACCAACATCCCCGTCTACGCCGGCGTGTGGCGCGGTCTTTACGCCATCTGGCGGAAAGAAGGGCTCAGAGGCTGGTATCGTGGACTGACAGTCAGTCTGATCAAGGCCGCCCCAGCGAGCGCGATCACAATGTATGTCTATGAGCGCACGCTGCATGGGCTCATGGCGACAAGTAAAGAGGATAACTTGTGGGAGTGCTATGACGCTTATTCCGATTACGACGATGATTGAACGCCACTGCCCCTTCCGAGTATCGATCCAAAGATGGGCACACTGCAACTGTCCACGAGCGGCAGGCCAACAAGACATTTCCTCGACGAAAGCGAACGCAGCGACCCTGACTCAGGAGATCGCGAGAGAAATGAAGCCAGCCAATGCCTATGTACGAGCACAATTCGGCTCGTCGGAAACAACCAGACCGCGGTATTTCACGTCCAACATCCAGGGACGCAGACTTACTGGTGGATTGATAAGGTCCATGCTTGTTGAGTAAGTCTAGTGTTGCACACATGCTGCTTCATAGTCGCTACATGACTCGATGCTGATCAACCGCTTCGTCTAGCAGTCCCTTGGCTACCTGCGGCGTACATAGCCACCGTCACCATCAATCCCCTTTCCGGCACTGGACAGCGCAAACGCTCAATTGAGCAAATCTTCGCCTCGCTGCTAGCGACCAAACCGCATCTCCGCCCCAGCAAACTTCCACAGGCCCCTCAGGAAGCCTGGTACTCGACCCTTGTGGGGGCTTCCGCCTCTTTACTCGGATCGCCACCGGTACAAAATATTTCTGAGAGGCGGATCTGCCACGGCGGGTACCCATCAAGCTTCACCGTTGGGCCGAAGATGATGACTAGGTCAGGCTCGCCGGGGGCGACTTCCTTCTGTTGCTTTGGAGTCGGCGACGAAGTAGGGAGGTCAGTTGACTGCTGGGAATAGGAGGCTGGCAAGTCAGGGACGGCGGTCGTAGCCGAGATTTCAGTATTGATCAACTCCGAAGTGATGTCCTTCGGGCGGATCTTCTTCGCCTGGGCCATCTCGGTCAGGGTCCGAGTGAGGTCGACGAGAGTATCGCGGCCGTCGGATTCGGAAAGGAGGAGAATGTCGATATGTATTCTCGGTGTCTGTTGCTGGCCTTTTCCTGAGTCGATTGCACTGTTGCCGTTGCTTGTCGTTGTGGTGCCTCGCTTTCTTAGCCCCTCCTCACCCGTAGCTGTATGGCTCCCAGTACTGGTTGTATGACCACCGCCGTTCCCGCCACCAGCAGCGACAATCCTGAAAGTCGGCCTAGCGCTCCCCTCCCCAAACCACTCCCCCAGCTTCTGCTCTACCACTCTTTCCAGAACGTCACGCTCTCTCCGCCCCTTCAACACCCCCTGCTTCTCATAAACACTCAACAACCCTATCCCCGCCGCGACGCACCACGCGCCGAGTTCGCTGACCTCCTCCACCAAGCCCTCTGCACCACCCCCACCTCTTTCCTCGGGTCTGTACTTGAGCACAACACTTAGATGATCGGGCACACGGGATAGTTTGGACACGTCTCGCGCAATATATTCTGGCGAGCGGTGGTGGTAGTGGCGCAGCGCGATCAGGCGGTGCCGTATTGCGGCCCAGGTGTATGAGATGCGTAAGAGGATGCCGTAGAGGAGTTGGATGACGTGGTAGAGGAGGACATGCAGGAGTTGGGTGAGGAGGGGGCGGATGCGGCGCTTGTGCCATCTGCTTCTCGTTGGGGGCGATGCTGCTGAGTGCGAGGTTGTGGGTTTGGAGGTGGTTGAGTTTTTGGATGGTTGGTGTGGCCGGACTGAGGGGAGATTGTTCATTTTGGTTGTGCCTTTCGTCTCCTTTGTGGGACTCGAAGCGCTCGTCGTGAGGAAGTCCGCAGTCGTTTTGGGTGAGGAGGGCTGTTTCCGTAGTGTATGAGGCTCAGGTAGATAATTCTTTATGAGATTTCCTCGGCCGTCGTCACCCAGCACTGTGCCGTCTGCTGCGACATCTCGGCGGTACAGCTTGCGGTCTGCTGCGTTGAGTGCCATTTTCTGTAGATTAGCGGCCCGACGGCTGCAGAGTGGTGGACTGTGCTCGAGTCCCGGTTGCGCAGGGCCCGCTGCTTGTGACAGGTGCGCCGGAAACTGGAAGGCCGTGGACGATCGCTGACGCGCGGGAAAGATGGCAGTCTGGCGAGAGGGCAGGAATAATTGTTCACGATCAAGAGAGACAGAAGATCAAAATTAATGAGTTGCTATGGCTGTGCTGCTCTTGCAGCGTAATGCGGCAACTGTCGTACCTCATGAAAGTACGTATGCGCCGAGCCTCAAATTCGCCAAGGCTGATGATGAAGCCCTCCCTGGGCCTAATCATGAAGCTGATTGTCGAGCTCCGTAGTCGTAGTCGTTACATGTTGTCTTGGTACAAACATCCTCACCGAGGCCTCCCCGGCGCTAAAAGCAGCGCAGCTTCCTCAAAGCCGTCATGTCGCGGACATGCCTGCAGAGGCCTCCTTGTCGCTCAACTTCGTTCCGCCAAAACTTTTCTTCCTTCCGTCTCAACATGACCAGCCGCACTTCCTGGTGGTCAACAGCACATGCTATTCATCAGAACAGAGACCGGCTTCCACAAACCTAACAGGCCAGGGCGGGTACTGGCTTGTTCTTCGGTCTCCTGCTCTGTATCTTCAGTTTTGGCGCACGAAGATTGAGCTCTCGCTCCCACTTCCACTCATTCGTAGAGTAACTCCAACTCCTTCCCCTCCGCCTTTGCAGCGTTCATCATCCGATCAACCTCATCAAACTCCTTACTCCAGAACTCGTGTGCGATTCTGCTGTCATCCTCCGTCCATCTCGATCGGATCAAGTTATCGATGTACTCTGAGCAGAGACCGGCTTCAACATACGTCTTGAGCTTAGGCCATTTGATGCTTTTAGCCCATTCATCAGCTTCTCTCATCTGCTGTTCGTCGTCGAGTCGCTTCGCGCGTTCCTCGGGTGTCTCTTCGTGTTGTTCAACTTCTTGTTGTTGCTGGGCGTCTTCAGCTTCGAATGCGGCCTGTCTCTCAGCACGGTTTCTGGCGGACTCCTCGTATGTGTTCGGCTCAGGCCAAGTGAGACCTTTAGCCCATTCTTCTGCTTCACGCATCGTTTCCTCATCGCTAAGTTGTTGTGTGCCTCCTGCTTCAGGTGGAGGAGGGGATGACGATCGCGACCGAGCAGCCGAGACTTGCGAAAGTCGTGAGGCTTGCTTTGGCTTGTATTGCTGTGCTTCCTGTCGTGCCTTGGTCAGGCGATCATTGGATCCTGGTAGAGCTGCATGAGAAATTTTAGGAGCATTGGGGATTTGTGTGACCTCGGGTTCTTCTTCTTGGAGAACGCTATCATCATCATCTTCCGGCTCGGGGGCTTGGAAGCGGCCACTTGGATTGGTGTTCTGGTTGATATTCTTGTTGATGTTCCCGTTGGTGTACTCCTTCGTTCCTTTGTAGGTGGGTTTGATTCCACGCATTTCGTTGTATGCAGCTTGCTGGAATGCCAATTTCTGTCTCTCTGCCTTTTCCTTCTTCTTTGCGGCGTTCTCGAGGGCGTCGACTTTGTGCTGGTAGGACTGTTTCTCCTCCTGATCGGCACCACGTGCGGCCCAGTGTTGTTCTACAACATTCGTACGGGTGTTGTCGACGGTGGTTGGGGAATCAGCGATGAACGCACCTCCCACCTCGTGTAGGTAATGCGGTCCTGGAGTGTAGCCTGCGCTACCGTGAGTGGACGGAGTGCTATCGTTGTTGAAGGCATTGGTCTGCGGGGTCATGACAGGGTCCTTGTCGTCTCTGAATAACGTGCCGGTGTAAATACCAGCAGGACCGAAGCTGTTATTGTAGTATGTCTTGACCTCGTTCTGACCAAAGCCAACCTTTTTGGTGTTCTGACCGTTGACTGGCGCGTTTCCTGCGGCCTTCAAGATGCCTTTGCGCTTCAAGGAGGAGGGCTGGAAGTGCTCAAGATCTTTGTAGCTGTTCTCTGGCTCAGCAGCTCTCGGCTCCTCGGACTCTTCAGGCGTGGCGACTTCTTCATCATCTTCATCATCAATTTCAAGCCAATCATCCTGGAGACCGTATCTGCCGGTTGGATTGCCAAATTCATCAGCGTTGAGCATGCGCTGCTTCTTCACTGGTGGTGCATCTTGATCATCCATCTTGCGCTTGTTCGTGCCGACAATTTGAATCGTCTGAAACTCTTCTCCTTCCTCTGCGCTGTCTTCGACACTGGGTTGTTGGTTGGAGGTTTGGGGTTTGGTGCGGCGAGATTTTGAAGGTGGGCGATTTGTGCGGGTGGCAGCCTTAGGCACGTTGTTATTCTCGAAAGGATTTGGCTCGATCGTAGAACCAGCTGGACTTTGTTGCGCCGTATCGCTGCCGCCGCCGAAGAATGTGCGTCTGAATGTTCTTGTGACACTGCCAGCGATTGTTCCAAGGATGCCCTGTCGCGATGGTGTTGAGACTGGCGAGGGTTCTGGCTGTGCAGGAGTTTGGACGAGAGGAGTTTTTGGGCCGAGCTGATTGAGTAGCATGCGCGTTTGTTCGCCTTTTCGCGTTGGTTGCCGGGCCGACTGTGTGCTTCGGATACTTGCCAAACGACGGCTGATCGGGGTTTTGGGGTCAATAATGGCAGAGCGCTTGCGGTTGGGGTCGAACGGGTCGAATTTGAGGATGCTTGCGCGGCTCTCGCTGTTGATGCGCTTTGGGCGGTGCTCGTCGTCGCTATCGTCTTCTAGAGGACGCTTGGGAGTTCGCACTGCTTGTGGGGTGTTAGTACGGACAACATTCACGATGAGACTCGCCAGTCTGCGTAGCCGGGAGGCCTCTGGTGAAATTGGTGCGGGTGTGGGTGAGGAGGGTACGAATTGTGAAGGCGATGAGGCGGGCTCTGATAGTGGCTGCTCTGGGTAGGCAGTAACGGGCGAGGCGGGTTCTGGTGAGGCGGGCTCTGGTGTGGATGGGGGAGGGATGTAGAATGTCGGGATGACTTTTCTCTTACGAGTAACTTCGGGCAGTTCCTGATAGCCCCCGGCGGGCGGACCAGCGCGACGGGTGGTGACTGGCATGATGGGCGAGCGCGACTGGTTTGAGTGTGGTCTGAGCAGTATTAGAGCAGTCGCAAAGGTTCAAGTGTGGTAGTGGTGTTGAAGTTGTTGTTGGATGGACTTCGAGTCGACTTCAGTTATTTCTCCAAACGCGTTCACACTAAGCTCTATTCGGAGTTCATTGTTTTTCTGAACAATAACCACAAGTCCATCATGATTCAATCCTACACTATGACACTCAAATGAGGCTCGTTCAAATCCACGATCTTGTATTATGTGTCCACAGCGCCCGCCCTGGCCATGGAATCTACAATGCATCTTTTCCCACTAATTGACGCTTTAACAATGCTCATCTCAAGCCCACAGTCTTGTATCATATGTCTACAGCGCCCTCCCTGGCTGCAAATCCCTCGTAGCGAATATCCGTTCGTTCCATGGTCACTTTGTCCACAGCGCACTCCGCGGTCACCAAACCTTCGAAGCAATTCTCCACCGTCGTCCTGATCAATGTCTCCACAGTGCCTTCCCTAGCCATAAAATCTTCGAGTCCAACTCTCATTGCTTTCTCAGTCAATAGTCTACACCGTCCTCCCTGGGTTTTATTTTCACGGTGGATCTTTCCCACGAAGTGACGCTCGAGTGGGTTCATCTGAAGCCTGCTGTTCCCAGCAGCACAACATTTCAGACCTCCAGCGTCCTCCCCGGCAGGGAAGTCTACGAACGCACTGTTCCCAACAGTGTGCGCGGAGCTCTAGACAGCGGCCTCCCTGACCCAATTCCCACGATGTACTCGAGGCTTGCTAGTTCTAGTAACGTTCACAATGGAACTCGCAAGTCTACGTAGCTGTCAGGCCTCTGGATCTATGATAGGTGCTGGAGAGGGCGACGAGGGGGTCTCTGTCAACGGTGATGAGCGAGGTTTCTTGAGAGGCGACAAATGGTGCCAGGGGCAATTTGGCGGGCTCTGGCGAGGCAGCGGGTGGTGGTGATGGAGGAGAGATGTGAAATTGCGGAGCGACTTTTCTCTTACGTGGAACTTCGTGCAGTTCTCAATGCTGTAGCTTTCAGCGAGCGGACCAGCACGACGGGCAGTGACCGGCATGGTAGGCGCGAATGCGAGGGGTTCGAGGTCTCAAGCCTGCCGAGCTGTTTATCCTGACCCGGACTTGCCTTTCCTCTACGACAGCTAGGAATGAGACGTTCTGAGACTCGGCTTCACGACCTGTGTTCACGGCCTGGCCTCACAGCCTGTCTTCACGGGTCGCATTCGCGACTCCATTTCGCCCCTACACTTCGTGGTCGACTTCATGTGCAACAACAACAGCATCGAAGTAAGAATCGATTGCACCAAAAAGCAGGAGCTCAAAAGGTCCCGAGGTCGTCCCCGAACTCCACATTTCTCCTCCCTCGTCGCCACAGCCCGCCTGACCGCAGCCTGCCTATCCAGACGATCTTCCCTCGGAGCCGGCGTCGTCACCCGCCTCGCAATTTGTCCCTCCTATACCTCACACCTGCACCCAATTATCACCAGAAGCCTACGTTTCCATTCAGATGCGTAACCTCATCACTCAGCTCTCGCGGCGGTGAAGGTGAAGGAGGAGGGGTAGTGGTGGCGGAGTGGGAGGAGGAGCAGGAGGTGGAGGGTTCCTGCACTCAAGCTGGGGCTTACATTGAATTTCGTGCAGTTCTTGATAACATCCGACCTGATAAGGGGGGAGGAACATGAAGTCCCGAGATGGGCTTTATTGCTGCTCTCTTACGGGTGACTTCCTGGTACCCTCCGACAAGACAAAGAAGGAGAAATATGAAATTCGGTACTGGGTTTTCTTGGTGCATGCTTACGAGGCACGTCGTTCGATCCTCGACGCCCTCCAGCGGGCGGGCCTATACGGCGATAAGTGGCTGTCATCTTTTCCCTGGTTATGATGCAGACGAGTCATCTGGTCGGTACGAGATCCAACGGTGTGGCTTGAGCACGACCTGGGATCATGTGTGCACAAGGCAAGGCATAAGGCGATCGAAAGGTGTGGCACGTATTCGTATATGCAGGATGACTATAATGCTGTGCCGCATTCTGGTCCCCGAGTCACACATGCCATGGGCCTTTTTAGTCGAGTCTGGGACGGTAGATCTGCCTCGGTGCCTGTGAATAGTCATGTATAAACTGGCTGAGTAAAATTTAAGCATGGATGACGCTCTCCCTCGAATGCAGCCCGTAACAAGATCGCTATACACATCGTCAATCCACGATGTACTGACTTCTCGCGGTAGCAGTATACTCGATCAGCAGAAAACGCACCAACCACCTCAAGCTGTTCACAGGCCGCCATATCTGATCGTTTCACGATGGCAGACCAACCTCATGACAGGAAGCCAACTCCTGTAAACTTCGACACCCACTCCCGCAGCCAGCAAACCACCTCACGCAACCTCTTCTTCGCCGCCTCCCTCATCTCCGCCATCTCCATCCCAATCCACATCCTCGCTACCCTCAACCTTGGCATCAACATCCACTCACCACATCTGCCCACCGCACTAGACGGTCCTAGTGACATTCGACTTCGCAGCGTGGAGCGAGCCACGAGGGTGGCGTTCAACTATGTCAATGTTGGGCTGTTCATTTCTGGTGAGTAGTACATGTCACGTTCAGAATCCAAAATCGAAGCGTTGTGGTAAATGGCGATCTCTGACAAAAGGCATAGCGGTAATGCAGCATCGATGGGCGCAAACGAACGGTCCACAGACTCCGCACGACAAGGCGGTGCTGCTGGGAACATTACTTGGTGGAGGCATTGTGGGAGCTCAGTTCTGGCGGATCAACGTGTATCCTCCTCTCGGCTGCTTGTGGATTGCACCTGGGTTGGCGGCTTTGGGCTGGGCTCTGGCGGAATGATTTCATCCTGAGGCGGCTGATGGTGTCAATTTTTGATGACGTTGCCGACCACATTCGGAGTGGTCAGTGCGCCGGCTCGAGATCACTACCGAAGCTGAAGGATGCTCGAGCATCGGTTGTAGGACCGCTCGGTCCATACTTGGAATGGTCACTAGAAGACATCATGCATCTGAGGATGGTAGCACGGGTGTCTCACTCAGAACATCGCACGCTTGACGCAAAATGACTGTCCCTGGTAAGAGCAGCCGTGGTTCGGAGCCATGCCGAGCCGTCGGGCGATATTCGAGTACGACTTCGTGAATGAGTCTTCTGGCATTTTCAAGCCGATTCTGATGACAATGACGAGAATTGGGTATAAGTGATAAGGTACCGTCATTGCTCCGTCTCATGATTCACTTGACCTCGCCGGAAGCTCAGCAGACGTGGCCTTGCTGCCTTCCCGCGCTCGCAGGAGCTCCATTGCATCGTCACCCTCAACCTCCCGCACAGCAGCTTCAATCTCTTCCGTTGTACCTCTCCAATTGCGAAACTCCCTGGTCTTCAGGCCAAGCCGAAACATGGCATCAATCTCGAGCACAGTCCGGCCTTTCATTTCCGGAACGTCGTAGAATGTCACGGCCGCGCCAACAAGGCACAGCCCTGCGAAGACAAATCCAGTCTTTGCTTTGAGGTTTCCCTGGTCAGGGTTGTAGATGTACGGGAGGATAAGGTTGAGTACGATAGTACTCAGATGGTCGAACAATCCTGCAAGGCCCTGGGTCTTGCTGCGCAGTCTGAGAGATGACGCTTCCGATCTGATGGCAAAGCTAGCAGGCCAGGCACCGACGCCAACAATGATGACGATGATCATGCATGAGATGGCGGTATACCAGACGGTAATAACCCCATCCCAGAATCCACAGATGCCCATGCCGCCCCATAACATACCACCAATGATGAGCGTGTATATAGTCAGTCGGCGGCGGCCGACACGGCTGAGTATCCAAACGGAGACAGCATTGGCGATGAGACCAAGGATAATGCCGACGATAAGGAACAGGAGAGAATTGAAGGAGCTCATGCCAACAACCTGGAGAAAGTAGCTAGCAGTAGAAAGCAGCGGCAAGCCGATTATCGAAGTGATCATGGCCGCAAAGACGACGATCCATGTGCGGCGCCGATGTGCGGGTTTGATGCAGTCCATGTATGTGACTTGGCGAGCCAGACGCTCTTCGACTTCGATGGACAGGCGAGTTTTCTCGAAGACCTCTTCTGGATCAACCTTGGGCGCGAACAGCCGACGAATTGAGCTGCGTGCGTCGTCCATGCGTTTCCGTCGGATAAGATAGGCTGGCGATTCCGGCATCAATAGGGCCAGGACAAAAGGGCCAACCGAGAATGGCCACATTGTTGCAAAGGCAATGAGGTATGACGATTCGTTCTCGAGGTCAGAGACCAGGAATACAACCACGGAACCAATTAGCTGACCCAGAAGAGTGAAGGCCGGAAAGAGAGCCAGAGCCGGTCCTCGAAGACAGGTTGGTATCGTTTCGGAGACGTATGTGATGGCTTGAATATTGATCATGCCGACTGCGACGCCCTGAACGATCTTGCCCACGAGAAACACAGCTCGTCGCGTGTCTATTGCCGCAGGTCGGTTGCTGACGAACAGCTGCGTGAGTCAGTCGACATTTCGAACTTGATGGATAAGCTGATAGATTCATTCATGAAACACTTACAACAGCAACCGATACAGCAGAAAGGAAACTTGCGCCTGCCAAACACATCTTTCGTCCGACTCGATCCTGTACCCATCCGGCAAGCATGGCTCCTACGAGAGCGCCGAACGGTCCGAGCGCTTGCCACAGTGACAGCCAAGAAGCTGGTATGATGTGCTTGTCGTCGTGAAGTTGACCAAAGTCCTTTTGAAATCCAGGTACAGCTGTAATTGCTCCTACAATGACGAGGTCGAAGCCATAAAGCACAATAGCCGACATGATGAAGAACGTATACCTGGTGATCTTTGGATACAATTTGACGGCCTCAATGAGGCGCATCTCCTTGGGGATGCCAGACGGCACACTTGTGACAGTCATGGTTGAGAGTCGCGAGTGGTGACGTTCTCGAGAGTTGATGCCGTAGAGTTGACGGTATGAAGGTGTTCGACGCTGGCATTTTTACTTAACGCCATTTTGTCCTGTCCAGATCGTGTCAACAGGTCAGCTTTACCGACGGGGCGACGGTGAGGTCCTCAGAGAGGCATGCAGTTTAATTATGAAGTAGTCCTCTAGCCATCACGAGCCAAGGCACTGCCCGCCTCGCTTAAAAACAGTAACGGCGAGCAGAGGAAAGCTGCAGAATCGACAAGCTGGCCCAGACTGAAATCATGAAGTCGACTGTCTATGAATGGTCGGAGAGGGAGCAAGAATATGAGGATCGTCAATGCCGACGGAGAGCCCCTCTCATTTTCCCGTCAAACATGTTCGTATTTATTTGGTTAGCAGATGAACTCGAGAGTCTAGTGGCCGCCATCAACCAAACCTGGCAGGCGCGTTTGTGTAGATGTCACGACCAGGAGCCTAACTTAGCGCGGACGCTAGGATCTCCTTTCCGGCCAAAAGTGCAGGTGCACTGAGTTCAAACTATCGGCCAACCTTTCATGCCCGATGTCAGAAGCAATCAGCGTCGTGCTTTCGAAGCGCACGCGCACAGCCGCGTGCAGGCTGCTGATACGCAACTTGACAGCTCGACACAAAGATCTATGTGTTACGGACCTCTTGAGGCATGACGTGACACTGCAGGTGTCAAGCCCGTCAAAACGAATTCCAGGAGAGTTCGAGGTTCAAACGCCAAGACCGTTGGTGCTGCGGGGGAGCTTGGCGTCAAGGTGTTCCAATGGGGCGGGCTCACATGGACTCAACTGGAACCGTCCTTTTGACTGTTGGTTCTGAGCACCTCATTTCAATGTACAGTATGCTATGCGGCTCTGCGCGTCGAAACGCGTCTGTTGTTAATGGGCAAGGGGTCCGACAAGCAGTGATGCAAAGATGCGAGTCTGTTGTACCTCATGGCACTCGCAAATCAAGATCGCCGTGTCAAGAAACGGTTCGAGGGTAAGGCATCCGTGCTCTTTCGACAAGGCAACCAGCAGCGGTTACACTTCTAAAGCAGCAGACAGCCCGCGTCTACGACATTATTGACGTTGCTGTGATTTTGCCGGCTAAGTGTGTTTCTCGAAATCGATATCTCGCAGCAGCTGGTATCAAACAAAGCTTTCTTGATAGCGCCTGCCAAAGTTACCAGCAAGGAGCAATGCTTTGCACTTTCTCCGGCTTTGTGCACAGCATTCGCGAGAGCTCTTGCTTCCTTTTCAGCAGCAAACAGCCCGGAGTCACGATACTACGATTCCCAGCTACTCGTGAAGGCCCTCCATGCAAGGACTGTCCTGCTATCTGGCCATGAGGATCGCGAGAACTTAATTCAGAGCGCCGACGATGGGACCAGAAACGTAGGCTTCCTATCAAACGGTTCCATCGTTTGACATGGCGCAACCTCGACCTCGAGAGTCGCCCTATCGCATTATGCGGCACTCAAGGGTGTCCATCAAAAATCCGCTACGCCTTGTCCGTTTCCTCGCACCATTGCCGTGATGTTGCTTACATCATCCTTTGGCTTCCTTATGCCAGCCATTGTTCGAAGCAAAACGTGGCTGATTGCTACCTCTCACTGCCTACAGCCGCACCTTCTAGAGTCCTCCACAGACCATTCTTTGTCTTGTGGCTCTGCCTTATATGCTGAGCTCCATAGAGCTGGTGAGTTTTCCTTTCTGCTTCCATACGCCATCCCTTCCCCAGCGACAAGATGGCAGGGCCCCTTCAGAATCTCTCTTCCTCCAAGTCAAGTCATCGTTTGACTCAAATTGCAAAGCTCAGAGCACGAGGTATCGGAGACCACATCAGTCTTCCACAGCTGGTCGTAGCTGGTGATCAATCGTCTGGCAAGAGCTCCGTCCTTGAAGGCATTACAGGCATACCTTTCCCACGACAAGAAGGTCTCTGCACCAAGTTCCCCACCGAAATCATTCTCCAGCATAGTTCCGATGCCTCCAGCATAGTGGCCACAATCATTCCTTGCTCATCGCGTACTTCCCAACACCGAGAAAAGCTCCAAAAGTATCGTCGAGAGCTCGAGAGTTTCGACGAGCTAGGCGAGATAATCACCGAAGTCGGCGCACTCATGGGTATCCGAGGCTTTGGCAATCAGACTGAAGGACCGGCTTTCGCAAAAGACGTCCTTCGCATTGAGGTTTCTCGACCTGATGGACTCCATCTCACCATTGTCGATCTGCCCGGTCTGATCAAGGTGGCAAATGATGACCAGAGCAACGATGATGTGCAGGCAGTACAGAGCATGGTGGATACCTACCTCGCGAACCCTCGCACAATAATCCTTGCTGTTGTTCAGGCTACCAACGACATTGCGAATCAAGCCATCATCCAAAAGTCTCGTATCTTCGACGAGCGAGGCGAGAGAACAGTCGGCATCATCACCAAGCCTGATCTGATCAACACTGGTACCGAAGACCGAATCTCGAAGCTGGCCAAGAATGAAGATACTACCAGGTTGAAGCTGGGTTTCTATCTCGTCAAGAATCCTTCACCGAAGGAGATGAAGGAGGGTATGTCTACGAAGGATAGAGAAGACAAGGAGATGAGCTTCTTCAAGTCAAGTCCGTGGAAGCAGCAAGGTCTGAACAATGATCGAGTCGGCGTGGTTGCACTTCGGACATCCCTACAGCATTTGCTCGATCAGCATATCGAACGTGAGCTCCCGCAGGTCCGGCAAGAATTGATTAAGACCATGGAGCAGCGCGAGAAAGAGTTGAAGGGCTTGGGCGAAGAGCGGCCAACACCATCCCAACAGCGTGTGTTTCTGAGTCGACTTGCCACGCAGTTCCAACAGCTCTGTCACGCTGGCCTCAACGGTACGTACTCCGACATCGATCCCGATTTCTTCGCTGTGGATGACGAAGGCAGATCTCGACGACTTCGTGCCAACATTCACCAGCTTAACACAGAGTACTCTGACTACATGAGAGATCATGGACAGAAGAGAACGATTGCACATGGCGCCAGTCGCGGTTTCAGTCCAGATGGGGACAGTCTGGAGCACAGTCAGCTTGCCGTGACTCAGGAAGATATGTTGACGTGGATTCAAGATGTAAGACCACCCACAACCTTCCCAACGACTGACGTACTAATCACTGAGCAGGTCTACAATCACACGAAGGGAAAAGAGCTCTCGGGCACCCATAACCACGTCCTGCTCTCTGAGCTCTTCCACATTCAATTGAGTCGATGGGAAGTGATCACGCGGCGCCACGTGAAGATCGTGTACGAGGAGATCGTGTACTTTGTAACCGGAGCCCTCAGACACGTCACCCAGAACGATGACGTTTTCCATCAGCTAGTCAAGATCGCTACCACCGTTCTCTTGAACCAGAAAGCTGCCGCCAAGGACGAGTTGACGAAAATCTTCCAGGACGAGAAGCGACATCCTCAGACATACAACCACTACTACACCGACAACATTCAGAAAGAACGCGCTCAGTCTGCACGCAAGACCATCTCGGACCATCTCAATGACGTTGTAGCCAAAGATTATGGTGGCCGTCTGCACATCAGCAACACGACCTTTGATGTCGAGAAGCTACTGAGTGCGTTGGTCAGTCGTGTCAATGTCAATATGGATGGTCAAGCTTGCGAAGCAGCTCTCACTGATCTCAAAGCATACTACAAGGTATGAGAATGCTTCACCCCTGTGACACTCATGCTAACTGTCACTTTCCCAGGTTGCGAGGAAGACGCTCGTGGATAACGTGGTTCGTCAGGTAATTGAACGCCATCTACTCTATCCTCTAGTGGCCATCTTCGATCATGAGACTGTGGCAGGATGGGATGACGAGACTCTGAATCGAATTGCGGGAGAGAGCGCAGAGATGTTGGCGAAGCGAGAACATCTGAAGGGCCTGCTGAGGGAGCTCAAGCAAGGTGTGGAGGACTTGAAGGGGTGAGTATGGCTGGTTGACTGACTTGGAGGTTCCAAGACGAGGGAAGGAGCGGTGTCATCAGGGATGGTCATGCCTTCGTGGGAGATATCGCGAAATTCCAACGGGCACCGATGGTCTCAAGACCACAACCAAGCTGGAGCACAGTCACGAGCGGAATCTCTGCGAAGCATTGATGCAGAGACCTTTGGTCGAATGATGAGAGATTGAATGAAGTCAGCCTTCCTTCTCCTTCTACGCCTGACTTACTTTCGCTTAATTTTTAATTCTTGCCAGGTGGTGAGCATAGGCAGGAAAGCACTTCCTTCACCTATCGCAGAAGGACCAAGCCGAAGGACACCAGCACAAGGCCGGCGTCCTAAGCTAAGTCCCACGGAAGAACCAACGGGGTGTGTCATACGTTCAATGCCTGCTCCCCCCTGCCTCAGGCTCTAAGCAACGCAGGATGAGTATCGTGACCTTACAGAAACACAAAAGCGGAGCGTGATTGGAGAATTGCGTGCATGCACTGTGTGCCACGTTGTATGTTCATAGCACGCTGGGGGTATTATCGCACTCGTTCCGTCTCTTTATGCCACACACATTACCACTCACCACCCTCGTTACAACGTTGTCATCCTGTCGTCACGCGCTCGAGCAGCTTCCTCTCTGACTCGGCGACTGTATCGACCTAGAAATTGTGATGATCCATAGCCAGATCAGCGAACATGCCACCACCGCCCATACCAGCCAGGGCTCCTGCTGCAGCTTCAGTCTCACTTGGCTCATCACCCATATATGCACCGCCAACAACATGCACTTCTCCCACTCCCAAGTTATAGCCACCACCTCCGGCCCCACTACCATTAAGCATAGCCATTAAGCTCCTCCTTGCAGCCTGAGTCCGCCTCACGTGGTCCACCACACTCGCCAGCCGCTGCACTTGACTAGGCTTTCCGCCCGTACTCCGCGCACCGGGCACAGAGTCCCACAGACGAGCTTGAGCTCTCGAGGCGGCGTCTCTGCGCCTTTGCTCCGAAGTCGTGTGATTCCGTTTCTTCTCGTCTATAGTCAAGGGCTGCCGGCGCGAAGCAGATTGCTGCGTGGCAGTGTTCGAGGACGATGTTCGATTCGAGGCCTTCGGTCTGCCTGAGGGTGTTTTCGACTTGGCTGGCGTGCTGCTACTGCTTGCTTTTCGTTTCCCTTTGCTGGCTGGCGTGGCGGCCGCTTTGCTTTTCGTTCTGGGTCGTGATTCGGACGGTGCAGGTGAGGTAGTAATGGGCCGGCTGGCGTACTCAGTATCGGACTCGGCAGGAGCGTCAACGTCCGAATCAGACTCCTCGAGAGAGTCTGGAGTTGGTTCTTGTGTTGGCTCGGTCTTAACGATGGACACTCGCGACTGTCGACGAGAGTGTGATGGTGGCGGTCCTGCTGGACTTCCAGGGCCCCGGCGAGGTGAGATGAAGCCATTGCGTGATGGCTCTTGCGTCGCGTCATGTTTGCGCTTACGACTGATGATCGGGCTTGATGGCTGGGTATTAGGTCGAGTGGTGGGATTGCTTGAGAGCCATTCAGGCTCGGGCATGTGGTTGGTATCTAGCTGTATTGGCGCGGCCTGATAGCCGTTGGGTCCGAATTGCACATCCGAGCCATAATTGGGGGCAGGACCTCGACCTGGAGTCGCTAGAGGCTGGCCCACAACTTGATATGGTTCGCGGTAGAAATCGCGGGAGTAGACTGGATTTATCTGAGGGATGAAGGGTGCCTCTGTGGGGAATTGTGGCGCCGAAGAGAAATTATGGGTCGGGATGTGGTCGTTGCTGATCAGACTCTGCATTTGTCGGCCGTCAAGCATGACCACGGGATCTGCCTGTCCAGGCAGACCGGTATCGTAGTCGTGGTAGAATGGGATCGGCTGATGATTGGCCTGCATCCCATTGTATGTGTCGACACTGGAGAAATGCTCCAACCAGTCCATTGTGTGGTTTGTTTGCTCGGCATTGAGTATGTGCTGTGCAGGCGGCTGAGGTCGGGGGTAGGAGAGGTGATATTCTGGGAGGCCGAGGCCGTTCATGGCGTTCAGATTATCTGGAAGGTTGCCCATCAGCATCGTGATCATGGCCTCAATGAAAGATACTCACAGCCGAAAGGATTCGGAAAGTCTAGTTGATCGCCATCAGCCAGTTCACGGTTCTCGCTTCTGTTGTTCGCAGTATCTTGGGTACTCGGCATGCCTCGATTCCTGCGGCGTCCACGGGTGGGAAGCGCTCCCACCACCCGCGACTGTTCTACGTTGGTCCACCACTGCTCCTCCCCGTCTGACCCTGATATGACTGCCTCAGAGTGATAGTGAATGCGAACAAGCCCGGCTTCAGTCGTTAAGTTCGGACGGTCGTGCTGCGATAGCAGAGTAACGTTATTTCACTAACGACACCAATGGGGCCGTGCTCGCCCAGCAGGTGGTCTCAGTGACGGTAATGAGCTGCCGAGTAAATGGTGAGTAAATTGCGCAGGCAGTATAATACTCGCGGTCGCGGGTCTGCAGTCGGGCCTTTTGACGAACGCAACGAATGAGGGACCCAGAAGTGTTGGGGAGGGGTTTTCGCTGTGTGCCAGCTGTGCAGAGATTGACCGATGCCGCTTCAATTAATGCTAGGAGCTGCTAGGCATTAGATAACCATGTATATCGTCGTCGCTGCTGGCGCCGGTGTATAAGTCGCGGTTGTATGTTGCTATGCGATGCTGCAGGTGCAAGTCGAGTAGAGAGCACATGCGACGAGTTTTCTTCACATGTTCCCAACTGCAAAAATGCCCGCTTTTCCTAGCCTCGTCAAATCAGATGCCACGAGCCCAACCACTCGCCAAGGCCTTGCGGGATAGGCCATCTTCCCCAGATTCAGATTCGGGGGCGTCCCCCGGGGCTCTCACCGAGGTTCAACGAAATTACAAGGATCATTATCAGAAGAAAAGCAGATCAATTTCCGATCAGATTTGAGGCATACGAAGTACGACTCGTGGTCCTCGTCACGCCTGGCCATCGCCCATGGTCGCATAACTTGTGACTGATACAACGCTCCACATGTCCGGCATCAAGGCTTAGGACCCTTCCAGTCCCCAGCGAGTGTCAGGCCCGGTACCCTTCTCTACAAAAGGAACATGTCCCACTGTTTTCCTTTTCCCAGACATCTCGATGACGGCAACGCCGTTCCCAGCAATCCACTGCATAGGAATCCTCAGTGAGACCTTCTCCGACACCACGTAGATTGCAAGGTAGATATGAATCATGACCTCGCCCCAATGGAAGACCCTGACTCGCATCCTTCGCTTATTGCTCTGTTGCGGGCTGGAGGTGAGTTCGTCTCGGGCAAGCCGCACACCCCAGCCTGCTTTGCCGTCCTGAACAAATGCGGAGAAGTCGTTCCAGAAATCTGTGAATTCTTTCTATTGCACCTGTTAGTACGAATATGTATCGGGAAGAACCAGAGCCGGAAGATCGGTGTCTCGCCCGATCCAGGTTCATAGGTATACGTACCTCGGTCCACAATCCGACCGCGACGTCCTCGTCTCCGTAGTCATAGTTATGCAGCTTTCCTGCCTTCCGCGCTTCCCAAAACTGGTTGAGTCTTCCCTGAGCATTCTTGCTTGCAAAACGATCAGTCAGATTCTGCAGCATTCTTGCTTTCGTCGGAGACGAGCGAGTTTGTTGCACGACCTCATCAGGGGCAACCGTGATGTCCATGAGCCAGTGCCCACGCTCCATTGCCTTGACGTCTCTCGTTACTTTGATAGGTCGGAAAACCCTAGCCACTGTCGACAGATCTTGCAAATAGGCCGTCACATGGCTCTTGTGGTCCATTGAGCCCGTCTTGGGCTGAGGAGAGGCAACTTCGGTGCTCAGATTGTCAATAGTTGGAAAAGGTTTCTCCGGTGAGGCTTGCGTGTCGTCCTGTGCGCTGCTTCGGTCATGCACTCGAGAGGATTCAACGCCATCTTTCCCACGATGAGGCTCTCCGCCTACACGCCGGTGAGAAGAGCTCGAGGAGATTGTGACGATCGAGGGACTTTTGCCAGGAATCGGCTGTGATGAGTATGGACGAGCGCCGTCAAGGCCTTGCGACGGCCAGGGTGGTGTCACTGTCGCAGTCTCTGTGGAGCTGGACGGTTCTGAAACCTTCTTACGTGTACGTATGACATTTAAGTCGGATGAAGAAGGCTCTCGGTCTGGACTTGACTCTACCATCGAAACCTGACTCATGCTTCTGGTGATTTGCTTGCGTTCGAGTGGCGATGAGATTCGTCCCTCACTGCTCTCAAGGATTCGTTTGTCGGTCTGCTGATCATCCGTAGGCTTATCCATGCCGTGGAAGGAATCGGAATAGGCCCGTCGTCGCTCTGAACCTGTTCTGGGCACCTGTACAGTAGGAGAGGTGCTGGCAGGTGCAGTCTGGGGCCTGTCACTATCAGTCGAGTTTCGAGTCAATGGCACGATCGAAACAAGGCCATGATATGGATTCCGATACGGCGGATTGATGTTATCTGAAGTCCGAGTTCGTTTGAATGATGTTCTGTGATTGCTGTTGCCCGTGAAACTAGCCTTTCTTTTCAGCGCTCCTTCCTGCAACTGGGTCTCCCCTCGCGAAGCATCTAGGTCCATGAAGTCGTGATTATGATGGGTTCCTATCTCGATCTTTGTGACTGCCAAAGTCCTCTGGGGCTGAAAGTTGAGTAGAGCCTGTGCCAAAAGTCGAGTCCTGTTGTCTTGTGCAAGCGTGCTAGGTGCTGACACGTGTTGAAGGACCTCAACTCTGTACATGCTCTTACCCTATACATTGATATTGAATACAGCATATCCGGATGTAGCTACCACAGAGAGAGTGTCTGCGAGTCAAAGGTGATTCCCCTACAACGAATGGAAGTCATGTTGTGGTTGCCTCGTTAGTGCCGTTCAAGCCGCAATAGACAGGTTCTGCAACATCTTGGAACTGAACACGAATACCACCCAAAATGACTATCGTTGCTAGGGATCGTGGTCTAATTACCTGGGTAGCTACGAGGAACCGTTCGCTTCAGTTATCAGATGAAGAAAGGCCCCAGTGCATGGACAGGCTGCCTTGTCTCACCGTGGTGTTGTCTCCACCGCTTACATAGAGCCTCCTAATTTTTGCAAACCAACCCTTCTGGACATTGCCAGAAGGCTTCTGCTACGAGCTGCAGACCTGATTGAAGAGCAACATCCCGGCGGCCGATGCCAAGCAACACCGCACAGCACCAGCCTCAGCCCTCTTCAGTTGATCCCCATAGCTTTCATCATCAAGTACTGTTTCCTCACGGCGGCTTCATCCCTCGCGCGGTCACGCCTAACGTTCTGAGCCTCGAAAAGACGAGCGAATTGGGCTCCAAGCCCTATCGAGCTCAGAAATGATTGGCTCGCAGGCACAATGGTCATCACAGTGGCTTTGGCCGAATCACCATTGGCCGAGCTGCCACAACAATCCTTGTCCGAGTCATGCCAGCCAGACAAGCAGCCACAGTCGGCGAATTCGAGGAGATCATAAGATGATTGAAAGGCATTTGTGAGCCATGCATCGAACGTATTGTCTTCAATGGCAGTTTCCCGATAGTAACTCCTGGCAATGTTGCCCTTGCCTGCGCCAATGTCATCCCTACCTAGCGGCCATGGGCGAACTTCCCGTCCCCTGAACAAGGCCCTGATGTTGAGTGCGGCCACGTGGCTCTCGCTCTGCCAGACAGGACAGTGGCAAATTCGTTCGTCTCTATGCAAAGGCGTATAGTCTTCTTGTCGGCACTTGAACTTGCGGCATCCGCAAAATAGCATGCTCTTGGAGAATTGACTGTCGAAGATGTGGGCAAGAAACTCTTGGACTTGATTTTGGAAATCGTTTCGTTCAAACTTCTGTTCATGCTTGCGCCAAAAAGGACCGGAGCCATTCAGCAAGTCTTTGACTGCAGCGGAACGGTTGCCGCGCAGAACGTATAGTTGCCGAAGAGCGTCAAGTCCCGTTTCGTATGTGACGCCGCAGAAACTGACCTTGCTTCCGAGTCTAGTCAACGTAGATAAGAGCTCACGGCGGAAGATCTCCAGGACTCGCTTTCGCACTTTGAAGTGATCTCCACTGAGGTTCCAGTTGGCAAGTCGTTCGAGAACCCAATCTTTGATGGCGTGAGTGTCATAGTCATATTGCAGGCGACCTTCCATTAACAAGGCGAGCTTGTCCTCGTCGTAATATTTGCTCTTCCCTCGACGAAGAACATGAAGAGGTTGTGGATAGGATTTTGCGACTAAGTGCTTCGCGGCGTCAAGATAGAGGTGAGGCAGCCGAAAGTGGTAGGCGACGTGGAACAGCTCTCCCGGTTGCTGGCTGGCGTGCTCCCAAATCCCGCGCAGAGACATCAGCGCCCCTCGTATTGATTGCAGGACATCTTCAGTAGCACAAAGGACTTCGGCATACGTGTAAACGTTGGCCAAGAAAGCTACTTTCGCTGAAGACGCCTCCCGATTCTCGAAGTGAATTTGCTTGCCATATATGACGATGATCAAGCATCGCCAGATGTCGCGTACGAAGTCTAGAGCGAGCTTACGGGAGCTGCCGTGGCGGACAAGCTTGTACACAGAAGTGTTCACCGGTGGTATGGATTCTGAGTAGGCATGAAAGAATGGGCTGAAAGTGTGCACTCGGCATGCTGCTATCATGCGCCTTGCCTGCTTGGTGTGCTTATTGGCGATCTTGTGTCCATGATGTGTTGGATCGCTCCAGAGGAATGCTGCAGATGGCTTGACATTGTTTTTGTCCAAATAGGGTGATGCATCTGTGGGACTGACTGGCGAGGGATGACCATCGGAAGCCTCGGCATTGGGATCTGTGGTCGGCTCCTGTTAACGTTAGACAGAGACCAACAAGCACAAGTGATGGTGGCCACTTACTCTGAAGCAAGGTAGCCCAAATCCTGTCTCCGGATCAAGCTTTAAGTCCAGTTTATACACAGGAGGACCTTCAGGTGTGAGAGATATCGGCTTGCGGCCCCAGTCAGATGAGAAGACACCTTTGAAGTAAGGTGCTTTCGCTTCAAGCACCGACTTGTGTAGTACGAAGATGCCGCTCGGGCGGTCGGACGTATGGAAAATAACGTCGCCGCCCTCGAATGCGAGCACATTGTCGAGAGCCGTCAATCCCTTGATGAACATCTTCGCTGATGAATTGAAAGTGAGCTTGATCAACTGATGGCGTTCATAGGGGCTACTGCGATGTCAAGGTCAAAGGAAGACTGTAGGATTTCTTTGCGACATGCAGTTGTCGTGGATTAGAAACGAACAAACAACGATTCGATTCGTTCTCCTTGACAACCCCATGGTAACGACTTTTTGGTTTGTCACGCGACTCCATCGTGCCGACTTGGAACCCAGCTCACCTTGTCATCAAAATCACTTCATAGCTTCTTGAAAGTGAGTTTGGCGCGAGATCACAGTGCAGTGCCCGCCCCGCGGGACGACAACGACCTATCGTCAAGTGAGCCCCAACAGACAGCGCGATCGCGAGAATGCACAGCATAGCAGATGATATGCTGCATAGTTTTTACTCAGTCTATGCGGATGCGAGATCGAATCGTCTCACACTTGTTGTGAGATCTCGAGTGTCCAAAGGTTGAAAGAACGCGTGGTCGGAGCCAAGCGCAAGAGTCAGTTTCACGAAACTGACGCTCTGGACCTGATAGAAGTCCGCAAGAAGAAGCCCACCTGCCGCTTTCGATTTCGATTCTCGCCCCAACTGAGAAGCATCCCTCATTTATACAGGGTTCCTTTCTGTGTTCTCGATGTCAGTCCTCGCGTCTTGGAGCGACATGTCGAATTTGTGCAGAGTCTCGTGGCTATGTCGCCGCGCGACAGTCTCGCTACAATTTTGCATCCTTCCCTTCCTTCGCGATACTCATTTGTTTAGGCAGCACCTTCTCGTTCTGTCTGCTCATCTCCCATGCAAAGCTGATCGTCTTGTCCCTTCCGGAATCAATCACGACATTGATGAGGACGACGTTCCGGTTGCTCTTGCCCCATTCCCAAGCATCCCTCGTCGCTCTTCCCAGTTCTTCCTCCGTTTTCACGAAATAGCCCTTCCCACCGACCATCTCGGCCATCATATCGTACCTCGTCTCCCACAGCAGACTCGTACTTCTCAAACCTTTCTTGCCTCTTCCTTCCACGACAGTCTCACCCTTGACGCTGTCACCCTGCTTCCCGAGCCACTCTTCTGCACTGATACTGTCTCCATGATATATCCCGGAGTTGTTCATCACGAAAATTACAATCGGCATGCGATGTCGAGCCATGGTCTCTATCTCCATGCCAGAGAACCCGAAAGCAGAATCGCCGAACAAACAGACAATACGCTTCGAGTCCGCCACAGGATAGTTGTATGCAGCATAGGCAGCGAGAGCGTAGCCTCCACCAACACCCATGGTGGCGTAAGTACCTGCATCGAGACGCTGACGAGGTTCTGATACCGAGAATGAGGTGCGTGAAATGTCCATGGTGTTCGCACCTTCCGACATCCATACAATCTCTGACTGCGTTGGCGAGGTGAGGTCGTTGAGTGCCGTGTTGATGATATGGTAAGCTCTTTCGTAGCTCAACAGTTGGCCAGGCTGTGTGGCCGTCAAAGACTTCCTGCTCTGCGCGTCGTTGTTCTTATGTGCGGATGCTGACAAAGCTGCTAAGTAAGGATGAGACTTATCATCGAAGTTCGGTCTCGGGAAGGCTGTCCATGCACTGAGAGCAACGTTCATCTGAGAGACCACAGCACCAATGTCGCCAAAGAGACTCACGGCAGGTTCGCCATGACCATTGACACGTCCAAGGTCTTCTGGTGAGATGTCTACTTGAATGATCTTTACGCCAGAAGAGTACTTGGGAGGCTCCCCGTAGTGCAAAATCCAGTTGAGTCGTGCCCCAAGCAGAACAACGACATCTGCATTCTTGAGGGCTGCCGACCTGGCTGCAGTCGCGCTTAAGGGGTGGTCATCAGAAATCACGCCCTTGCCCATTGGTGTCGGTAAGAATGGAAGATGATGCTTGGTGACCAGTTCATTGATGTGTCCTTCGGCTCTTGCATACGCCGCCCCCTTACCAATCACCACAAGCGGCGCTTTGGCACCTTTCAGCAATGCCACCGCTTCAGCAACACGGTCTGAATCTGCACATGCTTTCGGTGGAGGGCGCAACGATTTTGCAGACGGCAGATCCAGATGGCTCTTGCCATCACTAGTCGGCATCATGATCAAGTCCCCGGGAAGGTCCACAAATGTTGGGCCTGGCCGTCCATACCAAGCAAACCGGTAAGCACGATGGATAGCGCTGACAATAGTATATGGATCATTCTTTGCGGGCCGCATAGCCATCTTCGTGTGAGGCGTCAATAGCGACACAGCGTCCATCTCCTGGAACGCCCCTTTCCCATTGAGCGCCTGCTCAGAAGATCCTCCAAGAAATACCGTTGGCCAGGCGTTCGCCGAAGCATTGCCAATGCCAGCCATCCCATGCAGTATGCCTGGCGCACCGACGAGAAGGCATATCCCCGGCCTGCCGATGAGGTAGCCATAGGCTGTGGCCGCATAGCTACATGCTTGCTCGTTGCGGAAGCCAATGAATCGTATGCCGAGACTGATTGCCTCTTCGGCAATGTCAGCCACAGGCACACCGACCAGGCCAAATAGTACCGTTACTCCCAGTTCATAGAGAGTCCGTGCGATGATGTACGCGCCGCTCGGATTCGGCATCTTCGACACACGTCAACGTTCTGGCATTTTGCTGGCTGTTTAGAACGCTGAGAGCGCTCTGCCTTCGAGTGTGATAGAACGGTCAGCCGAATTTGACAATAGGCCAGTATGTATTTTTGCGGGGAACCGAGGCAACTTGAACTGGGGAAGGACTCCTGGATCTAACATTGCCCTTCTAGGCCTAGAAATCAGGCAGTGAACGAGGTGTCCTTGGCGTCTACGATCACATCATTCCAGCGAGCCAAGTTATCTTGTGCCACAAAGCCTTGTGCATTCTGCTGAGTTGCGGATTCCTTCTCACTCCCAGCAAGTCGCCCACAAGTGCTATCGGCCAAATCCACACAGTGCTTTGAGACAGACTGATAACTGGAATAGTCTTGACCAGACAGCAGGTATCTAAGTACTCCGAGGTTGTGGTTGGAGAAGGAGGACTTCTCCATGCCAAACCTCTATCCTCTATGCTCATGGTCCGCGACCGGCGATCAACAAGGCGCCTTTAGGCCTCTGTACTTACCATCGCTTTCCAGGTGATACTTGTGACTCCCCAGCTGCCTAGTGTTTGTTGAGCTGTTTTGGAGCCGAAGTTCACTGCTGTGCCCAGAGACGCACCCGACTCATAGCATCATGTCAGCAGCATCCAAGCTTCCCACCTCAGGAGCCACCAATAGCGGCAATGCACGCTTCAATGCCGAAGCCGCAGCATGGGACGCAAATCCATTCGTGCACACAGCGTCTAAGCATGCCTGCGATGCCATTCTGGCCCGCTTTCCAGACCTCTCAAAGGACAGCCCAACCTACGACGTGCTCGAAATCGGCTGCGGCACTGGCTTGCTCAGTCTTTCCCTCGCTCCATTCACCCGCAACTACGTAGCCGTCGACGCGGCAGAAGGCATGATTGAAGTCCTCAAGCGCAAAGTCGATTCTTCGAACGGCATCAGCAGCAACGTCAAGCCAATAGCAGCGCTGCTCGAAGATCCAGAGGACCCACGCCTCCCACCAGCAGAACCCTCCAGCCCATCTTCTTCCTCCTCACCAAGGCTCAAGTACGACCTCATCACAAGCCATCTCGTCCTCCACCACATCCCAGACCTCCACGGCGTTCTGACCACGATGCTCGGCTGCCTCAAACCAGGCACCGGCAGGCTCGCACTGACCGACTTCGAGGATTGCGGGCCGCACAGCAAGCGCTTCCACTCGAAGGCCAAGATGGAAGGTGTTGAGCGGCACGGAATACCGCGGAAGTGGATGGCGAACCTGATGGTTGAGGTAGGGTTTGTGGATGTCAAGGTTGAGGAAGGGTTCAGGATGGAGAAGCGGGTGGAGAAATGGGAAGGGGAGTTCAGTGAGGGTGGTGGGGATGGGAAGGTGGCTAAGGAGGGGATGGGTGAGATTGCTGTGTTCCCATTCCTGCTTTGCGAGGGGCGGAGGCCTTGAGTTCGGGGCACTGGCGAGGGTAGGGGTGGCGAGTGGCCTGGAGACGTCTATAGCGGTCGCGAGACCAGAGGTAGTGCGCGATGAAGGTGGCTTGGTGTGGTCACTTGAGGGAAGACCGGATGCTACTAGATTATTTAGTCATCCGGTCTTGATCAACACCCGACCTAAGCCAGTTGACAACGCGCGTTGTCGTGTAAGGTGCTGCTGGCTGGCGCCCCTGCCATTGGTGGCGTTGATCAAGAATACGGGTGGAAGGCTCGATCTATCTGCGCTCCGGCTGTTGCTGTTTGCTTCAAGTACGGAAGAGGAAGTCGCTTATGCGAAGGGGTCTTGTCATCCGGTCTCGACTGATCACTAGCCTGAGCAGGGACAAATATATATCTCGCTTGATCTTGTGCCTGGATATCAATATCCCAAGAACTTGGATTGGTAAGACGACAATCCTCACCTCGGCGGAGAGCACTGAGAGCAATCCGAGAAGGCCTCAAAAAGTGTGCAACGTTTCACGAAATTGGTTGTTACCCGATAGAGGTTGATACGCTGTTAATGTCCATGATTGGCGCTCTGACTACCTGGATACTTAAATTTTCCATGTGCAAAGCATTAGACTCATGACATCGATCGCCGGTGGATGAGTCGTCTTTACCGCTGCTGTGCCACCGCATGCTAAGAGAGCTTCTTGTAAGCCTTTCGCTTGCTATGCCAGCAGCTCGATACCGACATGGACTGGCAGATCTGATTACTTTCGTCGGGTTTCTTGTTGATCGAAACCTCTCAGAAGACCGATCTGACAGCTGCCTTTGCCCAGCCACCAATGCCCTTCTTCTTGTTCTCGTCCTGAATCTCCGCGATGCTCTGGTGACGCTGCTGCTCAGTGACACCCTCGCCGCTGATCATCAGCGCCTGTCCCTCTCTCATGCCGGAGTAAATGTCGATGTCCTTGATCTTGACGTACAGTGGTCGGTGCGCCGGGAACTTGAACCAGGAGTAGATCTTCCAGCCGACGTACAGGAAGACGATGAACGGCGCAGCCAAGTAGCCTTGGAAGAAGGCCTCGGCATTGAGATAGGGGCCGCCAACTGGGTACAAGGAGATGTAGAAGTTTGCGACCAGGCAGAGGAAGTTCATGATCACACACACCCACGATCCCCAGATGCCGAAGGCAGCACGGAAGGGGATCTCGTCGAGACTGTGACCATTGTGTTTCCTATCATTGCCGTCAGAACTGAAGCGGGGAATCCATGCACAGAGGTAAACTTACCAGGCGGAACGGAAGCGAATGTGGGCGAGGGCAATGCTGCCGAAGACAAAGAAAGGCGTGATGCCAGAGAAAGCGAGTAGCCAATTGAAGATGTTGCCACCACCGCTGGTGTCCAAGTTAATGAATGCCAGGCATCCGAGAAGAAGCTGAAGCAGTGTAACGACCACAGGACGGCCCTTTCGGTCGACATATGCGAAGAGCTTAGGACCCATTCCTGTCAATCGTCAGTATGAACATCTTGTAAGCAATGATGCAGAGCCTACCGTTGGAAGCCAATGCCTGCATAGTCCGCGTGGAGCCGAAAGTGCATGAGTTTGCAACACTCATGACAGAGATCAGGATGACTGCATTGAAGATGGAAGGCAGGACCTTGACGCCAGCTAGCTGAATAGCAATGACGAATGGTGATCGTCGACTTGATGGCCCGTCCTGTGCGTATAGATCGCTGTTCGCAGGGACAATGAGACCAATGAGGAAGAGGTTGACAATATAGAAGATAGCGATACGCCAGACGACCTGGCGTGTGGCCTTCGGGATTTCTTTCCTGGGATCCTCGGCCTCAGCAGCGGCAAGACCCGTGAGTTCGGTGCCGCTGTAGGCGAAAGAAGCTGTGACGAACACAGCGCAGAAGCCGTGAAAGCCGTTGAGGAAAGCCGAGTAAGGCTCGTGCCTATGAGCGTCAGTATTTCATACCTGGCATCCGAACGTGACACAGGATGCTCACCAGTAGCGGGCGCCGATGTAGCCTCTGTCGTCAGAGGGCACGCCACCACAATCAACGATTATTCCGAAAATCATGAAGCCGGTACACGCGATGACCTTGAGCAAGCTGAGAGCAAATTCAACCTCGCCATAGCCCTTGATGCCGAAGAACTGGATGACGGTCAGGGCGAAGAGAAGAGGCACAATCCAGGCAGAATCGTTGATGTTCTCGCTTCCTGACCAGTAATGAATGATCTGGATCCTATCAGTACGCTGTAGCAAGGAGTTGAGCTCAGAACATACGTTGCAAGCCGCCGAGACTTCGAATGGGAGCACAAGCAGCCAACTCAGAGCGTATTCCCAACCGCATGCAAATCCCCACGAGGGGTCAATGAATCTGCAGATGTACATGGTGAAAGCGCCGTTGATCGGATACATCACGGTCAACTCTGCGAGTGCTTGCATCATGAGATAGCTGTGAAGTATTGTCAGCGTAACGAAATCGGTATATCGGTAACTTCGAGACGTACATCATGCCACCTATGAACCGGGTCAGTCACGTCAGCTTTTGTGGAAAGGCTTTTGTTACTCACCGATGATCATGAAGCCGAGAAGCACTGATGCAGGACCGCCGGCCTGGAAAGCATTGCCGGAACCGATGAATAGACCGGCACCAATCGCACCGCCACTGATTTCGAATGGTTAGCACTTGATCGTCGAGTATCCAACGACACCTGCCGTCTGGCATATACTCACATGGCAATCATCTGCATGTGACGACCCTTGAGCTCACGCGACAGCTGCTGCTGGTCGGCGTGCACCATTTCGACATCCTGCTGTTCGAGACTGAACTGCCGTCCGCGGGCATGTTCGCCGAGCCCAGCAGTCTCAACGACCTTCTTCTCGCCATGGTGCTCCTGGAGCGTAAGACTTTCGCGACGCGCACTCATGTTTGCGTTTAGGAGGCAGTTTTGGCAAAGAAAGTGCGCATGAGAGGATACCACCGGAAACTCAGCGATATATACATCACTGCTATCGCAAGAGTGTCCTTCCTTTCCGTTCGTAGAGGCGATTAGGCGAAGGCATGGGGTAAAGCTTGAGGAAGGCAAGCTCTAAGCTTGTACAGCTTGGGTTTGCTTGATAGCGAAGGAGGGCCAGGGTGTGAAGATTGTACCAATCATGTGGGGTGGCGTATCTATGAAGGAACTCAAGTCGCGTTCTAGAAGCAACATGATAGGTCTCATCGGTTGTGCTAGCCTTTTGTCGGTCATGAAGAGTGGTCGTGTGCATTTGTAAATCTACCAGACTATTGGCGCATCAGGCGAAATTGTCCTGGGTCGAGGCCGGGTGACGATCGGATTTGCTACGTCGTGGTAGTACAGCTTGCGTAGGCTCGAGTTTCTGATATCAATAGCCAATGAAGCACGGCGTCGCCGATAGGCTTTTTGGTATAGCAGCTTCCGGCGGTCGCTCATCGACCCTGACCTGGCGCCGACTCCGAGCAGTGGAGATTGTACACGTTGGAGGGTTACACTGTCGTTTGAACAGACTCATCAGAGTCTCGTGTGAGTTCTTCATGACTGGGGGCCGGAGTCAGGGCTATTGTCCTGCAGCTGGCTGCACAGTGCCGCTATGGCTAAGCTAGGTACTGAGTCAATCAAGCTGAAAGAGTATCTAGCTGCCAAGCTATTGGTGTAATCGATGGCATCACGTCGTCCGTTGCCGCCAAGGCGAACCGTCCCTAACCGAAGCCGCAACATTCAAGCGTCCCCAGACTTTTTGGGCAGTCCGTCGGAGAAGCCAAAGAACCTCAAACGATCAAGGCTTAACTTCACACAATCAGACTCAATGCTTTCCGAGATTGCCGCGTGAGTGTCTGGACAACAGTACTTACCTGCTTACCATCATGGTGCAGCGTTTGGAATCATGCCTTCCCTCGGTGGTAGCGATGACGTGGAGGAGCGACTGGAGGCTAGAGCAAAAGTCGAAGGAGCTTAAAGTCCCGCTGCAAGTACTTGCCAAAAGCGCACGAGTTTCTGCTCCAGAACATTGCATGCTAAACACCGCATGTCACGCCATGCGCCGTGGCCTCCCTCTCTCACACTGATCCCAACTTGACTACTTTCCGAACACCACTACTATCACTTCCAATTCCGCTCAACCAACCCTCCACATCGTCGACGCCCATACTGCCCCCAAAGTCCACCCGGTCGTCCAACCAAAGCACACTGACACTCCCTTGTTGCCCATCCATCACCACCGCTGCCTTTCTACTGTCCCCCGTCGGTCTCTCAAACCAATCACTATCCCCCACAGCCCCTTGCCCATGCCAAGTGCTTTTCATTTTTGCGTTTCCTGGATCCAGTACTTCCATAATGTCGAATTCCCCGCATCCGCTCTCCCAACACGAGCACTCCGCGTTGCCGTACTGCAGCGTCCGCGGGATCTCGGCGTTGAGGATCCACGCGGCGGGCATGTCGCTGTTCAAGCCGCCACGTTGGCCGCTAAGGGGCATAGAGAGCTCGAAGAGGAAGAGCTTGGAGGCTCCGCCGAAGCCGTGATGCGCGATGTTGCCTGGGCGGGAGTACGGGCAGGGGTCATCGGTGGTGCATGGCGCGTTTGTGAACAAGCTGATCTCGGTGTTGTCTGGGAGTAGGACGTCCGACAAGGGCTGTGCATTGGGTGAGCATTGTTGGCCGTCGGAGGCAAGGTACGATTGGGAGAGGCCGAATTTGTAGCCGAACGTGCCGCTACATGATGGGTCACCGTGGTTACCAAGGAATGCAATATTCTCGGTAGTATCAGGTGAGTCGGAGTTGTAGTAAGACTGACGGAGCCAGGTGCCGCCATCGCTGTTCGCTTCGGGTTCTTCAGCCGGAGAGGGCTCAGCGGGAGATGGCGGCGGATCCAGCGAGATGGTGCTCGTGACAATCGAAGGCTGAGCCTGAGCCTCAGGTTTGTCGTCAGAAGGCTCAGGCTTGTGGAAGGAATCCGGGTCTGCTCCCCTGTGCTCATCGCCGGCTGATGGTGGCGAGTTTGGCTGGGTCTCTGTTGCTGAGGGGGCGGATGTAGCGGCCGCCACTGCTGGACCACTGTATTGGTTTATCCAGCTGACGACTTTGCCATCCATAGTAACTGTCACCCAGTCGCCAACACCTCGCTCCTCAAGCATCTCGCTTGGTATCTGGTCGGCGTTCTCCACGCCAGCAACTGCAACAGCATCAGCCTCCGGCTCGACCCTGGTTTCTTCTGGCAACTGATGCAGAAAGTGATGAGTATGCCGCCTCCTGTGCGACACCGGACCACTCATATGGTGCCCGTCCGATCTTGGTCTCACAGGTCCAGCTTGACCAAGGGTATAAAATCCAAATTGCTTCAATCGCAATGGCCCACGGAAGTGCCAGCTGACTTCATCGTCCAGAGGCGCCAGTCCCCCCTTATAAGTCTGCCTTTGTGACGAGCAAGTTCCGGACTCGCTGTCCATGGCTGTGATTTTACTGTAGGCACCTGCCTGGCCGAAATTCGAATATGTGATTGCATTGGTCTGCTGGCAATACCAGTTGCCGTTCTCTTCGATGCACCCTTGGCTGTTCGCTGTGGATGCGATTGCAGGTGTCAGGGCGGCGGCTACCAAAGCCAGATGTCCGGTATTCGCCTTCATGCTCGGGGTCAGGGACACTGATATGAGTAGTGATCTGATACTTATTGGGCGATTCGACTTATACCTGCGGCCGAAGCCTTCTGAGTACCCTTTACCTTAGGTGTGCTTGTCCTACTATAGAGAAATGGCAAGCGACCGATGAGTGGCACCGATGCATCGCAACCACAGAGACTACTTATGCGTCGGTGGGAATGGAGAGGAGGCATTTTGTTTGCCCATTATTGTTGAGGCTATTGAGGTCGCAGCCATGACGCCTATTGAGCGGAGCACGCATTGACATGCCATCAAATAGCGCAATAGACCGCACCGTCACAATCGAATGTGCGTGTCAGTGCAGGTATGGAAGAGGCTGGGTTGAGAGAGCAAGCGCATCGAACGAAGAAGATTCAGGCAACACGACTAGGTGGGCGTCGCGTGGCGTAGTGAGGAATGCTCGGCGTTTCACCGCGACTTGATGATTCGAGTTGTGCTTTGGGCACTGGCTCACGTGCATCAGCGTAGAAGCGTCTGGCCGCTGTTGGGAAGCTGACAAAGTCGGCCTAGATCAAAGAACTGCAGCCAACATGCTCAGATGATTCTGCCTCGTATGCAATGAAGCGGACTACCTCAGTCGCGAATCTTGGTATCCTTGACTTTCGTCCAACCACTAGTCCCCTTCGGCCGTCCATTGAGTGGATCTACGGATGGAGCAGTGGACATGATACTTCGCGTGGCATCATAGTGACTCGCCTCAAGGTGTCTCGCTGGGATCAAGACTGCCTCGTCAAAGGTCTCACCACCATCAAAGATCTCATCCTCTTGCAAGACCTCCCACTCCGCATTCTTCATTTCGTTCTCGAGTATCTTGCGCAGAGGATCAGCAATCATGGTGTACTTCGACAGGCGCATCGATCGCATGTGAGCCATTCTTGCGGCAGCTGAAAGAGAGCTGTGTGCCGATGCATGAGAATATGCCCCCAATTGATTGACCTGCGCGTCCACAGGCGTGCTCGATCGTGAGCGCGGCGAGTCATGCGACTGTTTGGAGCTCTGTCGAGCCAACGCACGCCTGACAGCAGACGATTGAGGAGTCGCAAAGACTATCGCCCACAGACTTGCACCAAGGTTGCAGATCTCTGACCAGGTCTCGTTTCCAGTGGACAGACCTTGTGAGTGAGCTAGCCATGTAACGTCCCAAGCGAGAAGTGATACTGCTTCGACGAAGAATTTGAAAGCAGATGGGTCTTTCCTGGCCAAGTCAGTGACCAGCTCGTTTCGGTCGTCGGAGCCAATGAACAGTGGCCGTGACCGAGAAGCGCCTCGGTTTTCGCTATTCTTCGATACGTCCGTCATTGCCAGGTACGATCCGGAGCCTGGAAACTCGGGCTTAGTGGTGGCGTAGGATGTGGCAGGCGTGTTGATGGTAGCCAACGGGTAATTACGGTGCGGCAAGATAATCTCGGCAGGTAGGCGCAGCCCAAGGTAGAATGATACCAAGCAAACCAACCGTGAGACTGACGCCAGCATAGCTGTGAGCTCACTGCACCTCACTCCGTTGATAGACTTGAGGTCTGGTATAGGTGTTGTGCCGATGAAGTAGCGCAGAGATTGTGTCTGATTTGCGGATCTTGACTTTCCTTGCCGCAATCGCAGTATATTGGCAGCTTCGCGACATAGATATGCCCGTGTCTCAACAGCAGCAGCATGAATGGCGTCGAAGTTCTTCCTCCCGCGCGCCAGCTTCTCGCCGAACTTATCGGTCTCGCCCTTGTCCCTTCCAGCCAGTGTCCCTTTAGTCGTCTTCAAGGTCGATCTTCGCCTGGTCAGGTCGACTTTCCTGCGCTGAATCTCTGCTTTCAGGTCTTCTATCTCTTGCTTGACGGTCGATATGGAACCATGCCCATCGCCCAGCCGAGTACGAATGTCTGATGCTCTGGCTCGATCCGCTTCGATGGTCCAGACATTCTCGAGTCGCTTATCTGAACCTTTGCCGAGCGTGATAGACTCGATGCGAGAGCCTAAAGATCCTCTTTCGAGCAGAGTTTGCCCATGTTCCAGTCGCAAAGCGTACAGGGTGGTTCGAGCGCATGATGCGCAATTGACGCCCAAGTCTGTCAGTTCTTTGCCATTCCGGGCGCAGATATCGCATTCCATGGCTGTGTCCTGGACCATCAGTCGTTCGGCGACCCTGATTCTGACAGCCAGCGCCCACAGCTGCTACGACGAAGCGGGGAGAGTTGTCCAGATGAGGACATCGTGGCCAGAGATGGACCGCCGTTTGACGCCTAGCCTATCAACATGATTTGTCGTCAGACCACATCAGCATCGCGACGAGTGTGAACTGAGGAAAGGCTTCGTTGATGACATGGAGGATATTCAGAGAAGGCAACGATGACCACCTGATCGCCAGGCGCATCGATAAGACAGGTGGCGGTCGGCTACGGTGAGCCAGATAGGCCACATTGGCACTGGAGACGCGTCTGTGGCGCGGTGTAACTATTTACACTTTACGACTTTGGGCAGTCGCCGACTGACGTTCCTTGAGACTCGGGTAGGAGCACAGGAAATCGCACCTGCCTTTCCCTGGTGGACAATATGGCTTCGTTCCACAGTCCAGCAAAAGACGAGGAGTCAGACGACCTCGAAGACCTCATCAGCGACACTGAAGCCAACCATAATGACTACGATTTGAGTCCAGAAAAGCATACCACAGATCTGAATGACTTTCCAAGTGTCTCTGTGCTCAGTGATCGGACGAAAGCTCAGTCTGAGCCTCTGTCGCCTGGCAGAAACCGAAAGAGATCAAGTGACGAGGCATACCGGAGGTCACAGCCACCAAGCTTTAGCATACCAAGTACTACCCCTCGCCATCCGCCGCCCACGGTCTCCTTCCTCTCGCAGATTTCGTCCGAGGGCAGGAAGCCATCACAGAATCTGTTTGGCACGCGGGAAGGTAGCAGCAAATTACAGAGCGTTATGACGCCCGACAGTCCTCCACAGTCTCTTGTACCAACGCTCGACTCATCAGCTGAATCCGAGCCCGAGGCAGTAGAAATGGAGACTCGGACGCCAACGTTTGCAGAAGCTATTGCCTCAGTCCAGACCACCCTCGATGCCGATTTCGATGCATATGCAAAAGACTTGGAAGAAAGGGACTCAACGGGGGACTTGGAAGATCTTGACTGGAACCAACTTGAGGAGCGGTACATGAATGAGCTTCGCCCATTGACCCAGGCAGAGGAGTCTGTTCATGCAGAGATCGGAGACAGGATGAAAGTGAGCGTGCCACACCTGCTCTAGTCAAGCGAGACTGACTCACCGGGCAGCAATATCTGCTTTGGACCCAGGTTTCGAGCGAGAAAGAGAGCGAGCGTGCCTTCAAGAGGTACGTACAGATGCTGAACTATCAACATGCCACTGACACCTTCAGGTTACGAACACGATCAGCCTTCGTGCAAAATTCGGAACAGAACCTGGCCAAGAAACAACAGCACTGTAAGCTATCCTCGTTCCCCATCAACACTGACCTGGTCTTGACACTGCTTACAGATGGAAAGGTGCTCAACGCCTTCGAGACCGCCATGTCCCTGCTCCGAGCATGATCACGCAGATTGCGCTCGCCTTCTTCGAAGCGGGCATTTTCATGCGGGATATTCTCGACGAGTTCTTGGACGTGTTGACATCCTCAATTTAGGTGAGGGGCGGTCGCGGTGAAAGTGTGGGGTAGACGAGGCAACTTGAACGGGCAACCCTATCAAAAGCCGGTCGTGACTTTCACCACACCACACCTCAAGTCATCAGAGATGCTTGCCGGGACTCGGCGGAATTGTAAATGAGTAGTATACGAATAACGACCGATACAGATGGAACATGAGCTCGGGCAAGAACGCAGATAACGATCTGCTTGCTCGCCTCAACGCGTTGAAGAAATCGACCATAGCACTTGATACCCCGACGTAAGCAAATGAATCATTTACAACATTAGGCCATGCAACTGACCGGCACTCAGACTTGCCCCACCAAGGACACAGGTCAACAATGATATTCCCATCGATCCTTCAGCAGGCCGCGCGCTGCACGAGGCGCTCTCGGATCGCTTCAAGTTGCTGTCAGGAGGGGAACGAGCCCCCGTGAACGACAATGGGCGAATCAACAGCTTAGACGAAGGCGAAGCATTCCCTGGTGACAACGATGACAGGACGTTTGAGGAATTGCTCGCTGATCTAGGGCCTGCCGATCAGGTAAGCTCCCATACAAGCGTCTACTCTGGGAAGACGTCCACGCCAGCAACTTAAACTGACAGAAGTACACTAGTGGAACGTAGGCAAGACAGAGCAAGACGAAGTCAATGACCTACTTCGTTCTGCCGGCGCCGCGCTCAATAGCAAGCCCGCCCTGGAGACCATACCAGGGGAAGCAGAAGGTGCAGATTCTGCGGCCACGAAATTCGAGCACACTCTGCCCTCAGTGGACGTCACAGCCTTCCAGCCTGAACCCGACTCTGACGACGAAGATGGAGAATCGGCCTCGTCTCGACCTACCAAAACGAAACTCAATGCCACGATCAACGACGAGGCTGATGCCGTGCTCCAGCGACTCTTGGACGAAGTAAAGTACGAGGAGAAGCACGGTTCGACGCCTGATCAAGGTGACGAGGCGTCCTCGGCGCATGAGGACGACGAGACGACCGATGGCGACGAGAAAGCTTCTGACGGTGCTGGCAATGTGCGGCAAGGCAGAGATACTGGAGACACTGGCGCTGAATTACCTGGTCCGAAAGCAACGACTTCTAAAGCGGTCGCAGATCCCTTCGCCACCCTCTCCCTTCCCTCCGCACCAAAATCTGCACTTCCCTCCCTGCCCGTCAACAAGAGCCCCATCGGAGCTCTCAACACCGCCGACAGCGACCTAGCCTCCCGCTTCGCCTCCCTTTCCCTCCCAACTACGATCAACACGCCTTCACTGCCACCTGTTCCCACAACCACGACCAAAACACCCAAGACGAAGTTCCAGCCCACCGACGAAGAGATAGACACCTGGTGCAGCATCTGCCTCGACAACGCGACCCTCTCGTGTCTCGGCTGCGACGGCGAGTTGTACTGCACCAACTGCTGGCTCGAGGGTCATCGTGGAGAGGATGCGGGAATGGAAGAACGGGGCCACCGGGCTGTGCAATTCGGAGGGAAGAAGCAAGCGAAGAAGAAGGTTGCGATGGGAGCGTAGCATCGGTGAGAGAAGCGAGAGTATGGGTACACCACGTAGAAAAGAAGAAAGAAGCATTATTGAAGTGGCTCAAGCTTTTCTGATACATGTTATTATGGTCCGTTTCATATCTTCTTCTCTCTGTGCTCCGAATTATGTATGTACTTGTGTGATGGACCTAGGAAGCAGTAGGCATAGGTAGGTGGAGGGAAACGTCCCTTTCGCTCGCCAATCTGTCTCGTGAGCCCAGATATGTAATGCAATATATGTTATCTTCTCCTTCTCCTGTGGTGTACAGGACCAGTTGCGCGGCCTCAGTATGATCAGATAAACGCAATGGGATGGGTATGTCGTCGTCAACTTCGTTTCCAAACACAAAACAGAACAGCTACTTCAGATTAGTCTGGACGGGCTCAACTGCCAGTGCGTCAGTCTGCGCAGAGCGTCGTTCAACGCAACCTCGAGCCTACCCCACCAACACTATCACTCCCCCTTGACCCTCTCTGACTATCAAAGTCGAATCGCTCGAACTCGTTCAGACTGCTAACGTCGGACTTGGCGTCAATGTCCTCGTATTCCGCCAGATCCGAGATCTCGCTCTTCTGATCGTCGTCTCTATCGTCGGACCGGCTGATTGGGCCGTTCCGACTCGCCGGTAGCGGACGTGTGTGCGGCAAGCCAGAGTATACTGAGCTGGTCGGCGAGTCGGTATTGGAGTTTATGTTCGACGGGAGGTTGCCGAAGTAGTTCCACTGAGGCTTCTTCTCGTCGCGGGGTGAGTCGGAGGGGATGAGTTGGGAGTATGTGGCTGGAGGCGGGAGTTTGGGTGAGGGGTTGGTGGTCGAGGTCGCGGCGGGAGATTGGCCTGGGGCGGAGTGGGCGGTGTTGAGGGGCATGAGGGGCGAGCTCATGCCTCCTCGTGGTGAGTCTTGACCGGACTTCTTGAATCCGAGTGGTTTCGAGAAGTCGCGGGTTGTGGTCGTTGCTTGTTGTGGTTGTGAATGGGTCAGATTGTTGGGGCCTGGTGATGTAGGTTTCGAGGTGTTGAAGCCGAGTCTGCTGGAATTGGCGAGACGCGCGATTCGCATATTCTCTTCGGTCAGGAAGGACTCTTCTGGCGATCGTGGTGAAGGGGAGCGCGACTTGTCTTTTGTGAGAGCGACAGCTGCTAAGCCGAGACCGGCGGCTTGTGGGTCAAGAGCGGACGTATTGATGGGCGGTGGCTTGTTACTACCGTCTCGCGAGTGGGAGATCTTTGGTGGACTGCCGCCGAACGTGGCCACCGCGCCGATGTTGGGTGTGTCTTTCACAATAGGAGAGTATTGTGATATTGGTGAGGCGCCATTGAAGGCACCGGGTGGTGGTTGAGAGAGTGCTGGTGGAGCATTAGACCTGTTGATCCCCATCGTCGGTGAAGGTGCTCTCATCTTTCCCGGCCCTGGAGGAGTAGGGGCCGCTCGAGGCTGGGAGTGAGGTGGTGGACCTCGCATCGGTCCAGAGCCCATGGAAGGCGATGCGTGATTACGCATTATTGGACTAGGACCAATATCTTGTGGCGGCGGCGGGCCACGTGGACCTCTGTAGCCAGAAGGCGGAGGGCCACGATTGCCAGGCGAGCTGTTGCTCCTGTTCCGACTCTGGTGCTCCCCTCTCGAAGGCGGTGGTCGGTTCTTGGCGGTGTTGGGTCGAGGTCCGCTGAAATTCTGCTGGCCATGGTCTCCCGTGCCACTGAATGGCATATTTGGACTTCTTGTCCGAGGATCGTTCTGTCGTCGGTCGTAGTCGTCAGCACGAGCCATACCAATAGCTTCGTACGAGTCTCGCGGTCCTGAGTCGGCCATAGTCTGAGGCAGCGACAGTTCTGTGACCTTCACATCAGCCGTGGCCTTTTCGGCTGCTGTCGCTGTTGGAGGTCCAGATCTGCTGCTGTTTGACCTGCTGTTTAGCTTTTCGCCTTTGCCGGCCATGGCGAAGTCTGTATTTTGTAGCTCTTTGCGATGCCGCCTCCTCATCCAGAACCAGAAGCCGCCGAAGGAAGCGAGTAGGACGACTACCACCGGCACAACGATCGCGGGTATCAATGTTCCAAGGTTGGCACCACCCCCAGAGGAGGACTCGGACGGGCTCGAGGACGTGGCTGCGGTCTTTGATGCGTTCGCGGCAGCTCGTGAAGCAGACTCTGAGGATAGAATTGAGGTGTATTGCGCGCCATCGGTAATAGGAATTTCGCCCGTCGAGAGTATCGTCGTAGGTTGGCCATTTACCGTAGAAGTGATCGCAAAGACGCCAGTGGCTGTGGTGAAGGTCTCGACGGCCGATGCAGTGACGATGTCGCCATCAATCGAGGTGTCTAAGGAGGGCCTTGGGATACTGCCAGTAATGTCTGGATTGTCGATTCGGCTGCCTACATCCTGCCGCCGTCTATGTTGGTGTATTGCCATGTTGTCGGCCCCCCAATCCAGCGCCCTTCTCGACCGCTGTTCTGGCGAAAGGACCAAAGCTGTCTCAATACTGCCGGAGAGAGAAAGGAAGAACGGTTCTGGAAGAGTGGAGGCTCGTGCGTGAAGACGAGGCTTGAGCGCTCTCCAGTGCTCCTGAATTGGGACGCCGCTTTGTCTCCGTTGCTGGTTGGGCAAGAAAGGTGGATTGCCCGACTTTCCGACCGCCCCAACTCTGTATGGTAACGGGCATGGGGCAGCAATCAAGAGATCTTCGGCTAGCTTTTGCGCGATGGAATATGGGAAATTGGATCTATTCAACGGGCTTGGGGAAGTATTCAAAAATTCAACGATGGATTTGGCTCCTGCTTCCTTCGACAGAAATCGCGGAAGTACGAAAGCTCTGAGCGAGTGAAACACATCTTTGAGACAGCATGCGGTAGACACCGCGTGCTGGAGGCATCGAAGCCAGAAGAATTGTCCCTGTCGTGCTCATCCTAGCTTGACGTGTTTCGGAAATGAGGATATATGGCGAATACAGTTTAGCGTTAAGAGATCAGGGGCTCAACTCAACCAAAGCTCTCGGCAGGCGACCTACCTGTACCTCATCTCTTTTCCGACTGCGTACGACGTGACCAGCCAAAAGTGAATGCATCGGTAGCATTCGCGCGATGACATCGGCGCACAAGATCACCTGTCGGAGTCACGGTCGCTCAACCGTAACGACGGTGAACCGACATGCGGAAATCACGTCTTGCTCGAGCATCTTGGGCCTCGCCGGCCTTTGAACGATCTGGACGCGGGCGGCACATGGAACTGTGGGCCGACCCTGACCTTGTAGAAAGCTTTAGACCCTCGATACTTTTGTTCCCTTGAACTACAATCGGCTGTCTTGATGAATTTTGCAAGGCGACGCAAGCCGGTATAGCCTCCAAAATTCTGCCCCACGAAGCCAGAGGGAACCTTGGAAGGCAACACGGCCCTCAATCCGAAGGAGATTCAGGCACGTTGAGGTACGGATGGCTGTGGGGTAGTCGCGTGCAATTTAACGCGGCAGGCCCAGCGGCGCAGAATTGCTAACGGCGTTGTGTTGTGTCATGGTCAGCTTTGCAGTTGCCCGTTATCAGTCTGAGCTTGAGATACTCGAGTCACATGTGTGATGAGGCAACTTCGAAGACGCATCGCACCCGCCGGAGCTGCAGACTGCGGGGCTCGGTCTAGGCGCCGTTGGGCCAGAGTTCTTACGGGCTCGGCTTATCACCACGTTTCTCACACATGATGCGACGTCCTATTCGCTGCTCTTCCTCTAAGGCTGACCAATCTGTAGTGTCGCTCAAGTTCCTGTAAGCGCCCGCTCACTCTTCCAAGCGACTACTGCGACCACACAAGATGGTGCTGGACCCTTCAGGCAGACTGCGGTCTTCTGTCTCTTGTTGTCACGACACGGTGGACGAGCTTGTCGGAAACAGCGACAATAACGACTGAGCAACAGGCGAACTGGCGGTCGCCGTCGTATTAATCACTTTCGCTGCTTAAGACGGCTTCGTACCCGGATCTCATCGGGCAACGCTGTTTGCGACGAAGCGCACAGCTACAAAATCATGGCTCGGAAACGATCATCTTGGTTTCTCTCGAAAAGATGGCGGCCGAATAAATGGGTGTATTATATCTTGGTCGGGGTTGAACTTGGATTGACTATCGCCTTGCTGGCACTGTTCGGCATTGCGGCGCCGGACACGTATCGAACGAAGCTTTGGCAGGACGGAGCCGACAATGGCTTCAACAGCAGTCCCTTGACGGGTCTATACGCTGCGGCCAACTACCAAAGCTACAGTACACCTATGGTGTGGTCTAAATTGTGAGTCTTGAACTTCTGCATAAATCTTACTTCGCATGCTGATAGAATCCAGTATCACGAATTACAATCTTGTGATCGTTGTGCTCAGCGTGTTTCTATTACTCGTCAAGTCAATCATGTACATGCTCAACGTCTTTCCGCCAATTCTGTCTGCACTCCTCCATGCTGCTCTGGTCGCCTTATACACTACATCGGTATATTATCAGGCATCTTCGGACAAGTCAGACCCCGAGCATCCACAAAACGGACCTCCCTGGTATATCACAAAATCGTGCTCTGTCGCTCACGATCCCAACAATGTGCATTACTGCACCCAGGCCAAGGCAGCGTTCGCTGCTACCACCACACTGCTTGGGATCTTCGTTACCTACTTGGGCCTGTCGATATACTCGGCTTTGCCCAGCAAGGCTCATCGCGAGGAAGTCGCAGCTGAGCGGAAAGAGCGGGACGAGAAGTATGCTCGACTTGAGGCAGCCCATGAAGAGGCCAAGGCCGCTCAGCCACATGCGTATGGCATGCCTCCCGAAACGCCAGGCCTACAGAGCGGGATGAATCCAGTCACACCACGTACGCATGCGTTTCAGAAGCTTGATGGTGTCCCAGTTGGGCCTGCGCCCAAGTCGAAGAAGATGGCGCCATTGAGAACACACTTCAGCAGTCCCAATCGACCTGTAAGCCCCAGAGAAAGCATCATCTCCCAAGGTGGCATGCGAAGTCCAGGGAATGCGAGCTTTAAGGAGAGGGCGGCTGCCCAGGCGCAGTCAGCAGTCGGTGCCGGCGACAGTGCTACCAGCCCTCAAAGTCAGGCTGTCCCTCAACCAGGAGAGCCAATGTACTTCCCACCTCCACCAAAGAAGTCCGACAAGGGAAAGAAGAAATGAGGATTTTATCCAGCAGCCTGACCAGAACCGTCCATATTGTGTAGCAAGCAAGCGATAATGCCATTCAATGATTTGAACATATCTTCTTCTCCTCTCCGAAGCACTGCTCTCCTCACAGTGGCTCCTACATGATATATAGCGTATGGATTCACCTATTGATGTAGACCCACCGACTCACTACTTCACCTTTTTAAGATGACTGATACCATTCAAGGCGCGGATATTTTGTCCGCTACAGTGAAGCTACAGTGAACTCTTGGCACTAATCGCGGGGAGGCCAAAACCTGGAGAAAAACTTTCTGCGTTCAATTACGATGGACGTTTTACTAATTTCACAACTCGGCGCACTCTTGCTGATCTTAAAGCCGGCAAGATGTCTGTCCTGGAGGTCATGGACATTGACTCCGACGACGATGACTATGAGCGCGTCGAGCTCCCGTCCGACTCCGAGACCAATTCCTCGAAATCTTCCAAGCTCAAGAGCTCGTCGGTCAAGACTCCTCCTACGCCAGCCACGTCAACGAGTACTCCGTATTGTCGCGAGAAGCGTCTAGTCTGTCCTTACGAAGGCTGCGATAAAGCATTCAATCGTCCAGGTAAGTCCGTCGACAGCTACCAACAAACGATCCATCGCAGTCCTTGCAGCCCTTGAGCAATTTCGAGCACTCAGACCTAACTTTGAGCTCAGTTCGTCTCGAAGAGCACAAGCGATCGCATACCAATGAGCGACCATTCGAATGTACGGTCGAAGACTGCGACAAAGCCTACCTAAAGAATAGCCACCTGAAGGCGCACATGAAGTCTGCGCATTCCGACATCCGTGACTACCAATGTTCCCACCCAGGATGTGGCAGGTCCTTCGTCACGGCATCGAAGCTCAAGACCCACGAAGCCACGCACGTCGACCCCAAGAAGTACGTCTGTCGCGGCCATCCTCCGTGCAACCAAGTCTTCCGCAAGAAGGAGACATTGGCCCGCCACATCTTGTCCGTCCACGAGAACAAGAAGCCGTTCCCATGCACGCACATCGACTCCATGACCGGCAACGTCTGTTCTCAGGCTTTTGATACAAATCAAAAGCTTCTACAGCACGTGCGTCAGATGCACGACGCAACACGCTTCTCGTGCAGCGACTGTAGTGCTCACAATACGCGCATCGAGACTGATCCCTACCTCGACGAACAACAGAAAGCCACCAATGTCAAGCAGGCCTACTTCTCCACCTATGCCGAGCTGCAGTTCCACAATGCGGTTGAACACCCTCCAACATGTTTCCTGTGCTCGACTCCATTCAACACTCAACGCGAGCTAACTCGTCATAACGAGCTGGTACACGGCATCGTCAACCCGAATGCGACCAAAGGAAGCGTGACTTGTACCTGGCCAGGTTGCGGACGAACGTTCTCAAAGCAGGGCAACCTCAACGTGCACATCAAGACTGCCCACGAGAACCGTCGCGACTTCGCTTGTGGTCTAACGAAGGTCGAGCTAGTAGATGATCAATCATTTACTGGATGTGGCCGAACTTTCACAAGCAAGTCTGCGCTCGTCGATCACATTCGTGCTATTCATCTTGGCATTGAGTCGACCCAGGCCAAGAAGCGTCGACTCCAGAATGAAGCAGATGGTCCGAAGCAAAAGAAGGCTCGCAGCGACAAAGGTGTGCGTAGACAACCTGCGATTGCTGATGCTGCATCCAACATCAATCGCTATCCATTTCAAGAAGTCGACCTCGACGCTCAACCTGATTGGCAGTCGGAGCTAGGTGATGAGCAGGAGGAGCTTGATGGCAATACCACCATGGTCGGCAGCATGCTCTACGATCCTCGCGGTGCCTATCACTACTCTTCTGGCCAGCGAACTCCAATAGAGCGAGAAACGATCAGCGAGAACGGCGACCTCCCGCTCTTCGACTTTCCTCAATTCCCAGCTGCGCAAGACGCTGACGACTTCATTTTGCACGGTTACACTCCAGCTCGTTCCGAGAAAGACAACGAGTATGGACCACTCTTTCGCAATGCATTTGACATGGAGCCCGAGATGTCTGATGCACTTGATCCAGAGTTTCTTCGTCCCAAATTCTCCGGTCAGCACAATCCGTTCGACGACAGCATCTAAGATGGTCTCCGGAACTTCGACCCGCACTTTGTGGAAGCACCACTCTTTTTTGGCGATCAGGACCGCATGCTCGGCCTGATTTTAGCGTTGGCGCACGGATGAGAAAAGTCTCGTTGACTGCACGGACGTGCAAGTGGTCCAATATTCACGAGAGACATGAATGATTACCGAGAACAATGATACCCCGTCGAGCAGGACTCCCCACGCTTTGGTGGGTGAGCACTCGAGCACGTTTTGTTTGCGACACAGCAGGGATGGGGATGCATCTTCAGAACATAGATGCTATGGACACGATGAGCTGACCAAAGGAAGTCCTGGTCAACGATACTTCACTCGCGGTCCGAGAAGTAGTGTACATACCTAGGCAGTGGAAGCAAATGAACAAGTCCCATGCATTAGATGAATAAAGAGCTTTCCGTCATCAAAGTCCCTTCTTCGGGCGAGCCTGCACTGGGCCTGAGCGTGACCCGCCCCCGATGTTCGTTGTGATCGGCCTGTGGTGAAGAGACAGTCGTCCCTTTCACTCAGCGCTGCCGGAGATAGCGTTTGCAATAGCCGGACAGCCCAATGCGGCTTCCCGAGGCCGCCACTCCGTCACTCGTCACTAACTCAAAGGACACGTTGAAGCAAGTTCCCTGCATTCTGCGCGTGTGCTCAAACTCACGCCACGAATTCCGTCAAATGATTTTTGTTCTTTGCGCACATCACCTTGGCCTGCAGATGTAGAACCGTTGACAATGCCAGCACGCGCGAGGATGAGATGGACGGCCTATGCCGGGACGTCGACGGCCCTGGCAGCCTTCGTCGTCGTCAAGGCGCTGGCGCAACGTCCTAATTTCTACTCTGCCGCCGTGTACCTCTCCCAGTCCTCAGCGAATCTTATGATACTTAGCAACTTCGTCTTCGCCGCAGCGAGCTCCTTCCTCTTCGGCCTCCAAAAACTCCTCTACGGACAACTACGGCCGATCGAGATCGAGCAACTGTACGAACGGGCTTGGTTTGCAGTGACGGAAACATGTCTCGCCATGACCATCTTCCGAGGGGAACTCGGTCCGTGGTTCATGGTCCTGTTCTTCTCGTTATTGGCGAGTAAGGTCTGGGGCTGGATCGGCGAAGGAAGAGTCGAGATTCTCGAACAACAACCTCCACGAAATCCCAAGCTGTTTCACGCAAGACTGGCTACTAGTCTTACGCTGGGCTGCACATTCAATGCTTTGATGCTGCGGTATATTGTGCTGCAGGTCATAGGCAAAGCGCAGCCGGACATGATGGTCATGTTTGGATTCGAGTTTGCGATATTGCTCGTGATCAGTGTTAGCACAAGCGTGCGGTACGCAATCTCATTATTCGAGATAGGCATACTCAAGGAGCAGAGGAGACTTCGAGGAGCAGAAATGCGCACAGAACGTGTCACAAAAGCGAAGCGCGATTTGGACGAGGCCCAGCAGAGAGCTGCACAATCCGCAGAGCCTGCGGAACAGGCCCCAGGCACACTCACTGTTGACGCTGCACGCCAAGCACTGGAGCGCGCCGAGCGGCCAGTTGACGACAATGAGGTTGAGGTGGAGGGTTGGGAGAACAAGGGCAGATGGGTCTTCTATCTGGATTTGGCGACCGACTTCCTCAAACTTGTCATCTACTTGTCCTTTTTCTTTATTCTACTCGTCTTTTACGGCCTTCCCATCCATATTATGCGGGATGTCTTCCTTACGACACGATCATTCTTCAAGCGGATTGCGGATTTCCTGAAGTACAGAACGGCGACGCGGGACATGAACGAGAGATATCCCGATGCAACAGCAGCCGAGATTCAGAGCGAAGATGTGTGCATAATATGCAGAGAGGAGATGCGACCATATCAGCCACCGGCGCCTGGTCAACCACAACATGGTCCTGCCGTGGAGCGGATGAGGCCGAAAAAGCTGCCATGTGGACATATCCTGCATTTCACATGCTTGAGAAGCTGGCTCGAAAGACAGCAGGTGTGTCCGACTTGCCGGAGATCTGTGGTCCCGACTGCAGCAGGAGGTGTCGCAGCGCCTGGTCAGGCTGGAGGAGTTGGAAACCAGCAAGGACAGCATCCAGCTGGAGACCGACCAGGACCCAGGATATTCCAGTTTGGCCCACTCAGGATAGGAGTCGGCGCAGCACGAGGAAACAATATGTTCGAAGAGCTCCAGCACCAACTTGAGCATGGCCGCGCCGCACCTGCCGCTCAAGGCAATCAGAATGGTCCACAACAGTACGGTATCGGTATTCGATGGGATGGTCGAGCTCAGCGCCGCCGGCATCGGAGTCCAGGTACGATGCGTGAACAGCTCGACAGTATGCGGAATCAACTGCAACAAGAGCTGGTCGCTCTCGACCACAATACGAGGGAGTATGCTGTCTTGCAGACCATGAACAACGAGTTGGAGCGACTCAGAGCTGCACGCAATGCTGTTGCCGGCGGTCAGCCACCACAGCCCGATGCAACCGGCATTCCTCCGTTGCCACCAGTGCACGGAGGACCTGTGACGAATGCACAATTCCTGCACACAGGGCCAGCGGCTCGTGTGGTTCCGGCAGGAAGTGCTCAGCTACCGGAGGGCTTGGTCCTGCCAGAGGGCTGGTCAATGATGCCTCTCGAACCTGTCGCTGTCCCTGGCGTGCCTCCTGTCGGAGTGCCACCAGCACCTGGAGGGCAGCAGCCGTCAATGCTAGACGATGTTCGGAACATGTTCACCATGCCCAATCAGCCTCCAGCACCTGGTGCAGACGCCGCTACTGGCTCGAATGCTCCTGCTGCCTCGAATGCTAATGCTGCTGCGGATTCCGCTGGTAGAGCAGACGCTACTGATACGTCGAATGCCAGCAACGCAGAGGCTGGTAGGACTGACGCGGCTGGTGCGACGGATGCTAGCTGAGTTGCAGATCTTGTACTTAGGCACCATTACGAGCATACTCTAGTCAAGTAGCACGACCCGTTCGTTTTTGAGAGCATCGCATAGCAAGCATTGGGTTCGCGTTGTAGACCAAATTTGATGACTCTTTGGCCCATCAGTAGTGTTCCTGGTAGATTCTGCATGATATTGATCTCCCGCAACGCAAATGTCACCTTCGAGACATTGGCATGAGTGATCTCTAGTGTCAACACCTTGGGCACGCAACAAGAGCCACCGAATCCAATTGCTTATTACGAGGTTCCGGCACCTGCAAGCCTGGAGCTCCACAACTTAGGGACGGCTCCTGCCGCCTGGGACCTGCATGTTGGAGACATTCTTCTGAAACAAAGCCAAAACATTTCCATTCTTTGCCCGCCCTCCTCCTGTCCACTCATGCACTTGAATCAGGCACTCAGCCACCGCCTGAACGACGTTCACTTATCCGCACGACTCAATCGCTGGTCGTTCACTTCTGCACCACCTTCGCAATCAGAAAGCACCTCCCTCGTCGACAACATTCGTCCTCTTTCTCCCTTCTCGAACATCACAAACACTCCCTCCGCCACCCATCAACCCAGCCACCATGGCTCTCACAATCCGCGCCAACGACGACGATATAGTCTGCGGCGGCTACTACTGCTATTCATACACGTCCTGGCTGATCAAGTGGATCGTCTTCGGCGTCATCATCGCCTCAATCATCGCTTTCTGCCTCATCGGCTACATCCATGCCAGGCGGCGGATGAAGAAGGGGCTGGCGCCGCTGGGGTATCATCGCGTATGTTTGCCCATTCCTACATAGAAACATCCCAACAAAGCACCATACTAACAACGTACTCAGTGGCTGATTCCACGCCGATCCCGCATGGCCTTCCACAACGCCCACCCCGAACTCCCCAACCCGTTCATGCTCGCACAGCAGAGGAGGTGGTACACGCCAGGATACGGCATGCACACGTACGCTCCGACAAATGCGCAAGGTGGTTACTATGGGCCACCGCCGCCGCAGTATGGGACGCCAGAGTGGCTGCCTGCATATCAGCCTGCGGCTGGCTCTGGTGCTGGTGGGATGAATGCTGCGAAGACGGATCCGAATCAGGTGTTTGTGGCTGGGCAAGGGCAAGGGCAAGGGGCGGGCAGTGGCCAGGGCCAGCAGCCGCAACCGCCGCGGCAAGGTCCTGTGTAGATTACCGGACATGCCTCGGACGGATCATTCATGACGGTTGAAATTCTCGTACAGGGTGATCCCCGTGGAGAATGGCGTTGACTGCATTGAGACCCGGCTCGGGCATGAAATATCATTACAGCATGGCGTTGATTGACTCGAGAAGCGGATAGGGCATCAGAAATCATTATTGCGTAGCATAGCGTATCGACAGCGAGACAGTGAGAAATCATGTCTCATCGTTTGAGGCAATGTTCATCTTGGCCCGACTCAGCGCACATATTGGCCGACGCGATAGACGAGCCCTTCCGTGTCCGCCGTGTCGTCTTGTGGCTTCTTGTACGCTCGGCTCTCTACTTCTCCCCTCCACCTGCAAATTATGGGCCAACTCTTATCAGCCTGCCACAAAGAATGCGGTACACGTCTCTCCAGAACCTTCTTACATATCCTCTCTGGGGCACCTCTGCCGCATCTCTGTTCATCGCTGACCAGATGTATTTGCTCCAAAGATCAATCCGTTCCCTTGCGTAATGCGCGATGTCTCTTCTTGATCCTCTCCTCCTATCGGACCTTGCCCTGCTTGCCTGCTCTGTCTGACGCCGTCGTCGCGTCCGAGTAGCTCGCGCCTGAAAGGCTCGTGACTTATATCCGGTGGGAGAGTAGGCGACGGGGAAGTACCTGGCTAGACGCCCCAAAGTGAGTCTTGTAGACACACGGTGAACAGCGTTTGGCTGGGGGTGTTGCTTTGTCCTCGTACAGGTTTGTGATCGGAGAGGTTTTGCCATGGCTATCATTTCAGCTTCTCCCAAGCTGTCTTCAAGCTTTCATTCAATGTCCATTGCATCATCGTAATCATCGTTTTGGACGTGGTCATCAGTCGTGCTCGCGCTGGCGTGTCGCCAGTCAGAAGCTTGTCGCCCGAGCGGGTAGCCAAAATCGATCGGCGTGATGGGCGGCGGCTCTAGAGTCCTTCCCTCTACCTTCTGCTCCGGTTCTTTGCGATCTCGTATCCTCTGCCGAGCCTCATGTACCGCTTTCCTGACTGCATCGTACTCTTCTGAGACCGAAATGCTTTCGGGGTCTCGGTAGAGGATGAGTGCCTGACTGTTTGCTCTGGGGTCGGGTAATTGCGGCGGCGACTGCTGCCGGAGTACATGCTCAGGGACTCCTGAGAAGATCTCCTTTTCGACCTCATCTGGAAGGAAGAAGGCGGCTTCCTGGTCCTTCTCGGCGGCAGCGCGCTCTTCTGCCTCGATCTCGGCGATGGCGGCGTCCAGGTCGCTGATGAAGATGCGGTGGGTGTTGTCGTCAAGGGGCATATAGTCGTCATTGTGGTGGGACGGGAGGCGTTGTGGCGGAGGTGTGTCGCATATAGGCGGCTCGGGCGCGAGTCGACATGGGTATGGCATCGTTGGGGCGTGGCGGGCGGCTTGTAGTTGGTCTGTGAGGACCGGGGGATCGACGAGTTCCTGGTCGATGTCTGCTCCGACAGAGGGAGGGTAGTATGGTGGCCGGCCCAGGTGTGCTTCTGGGTGTACGCCGTTCACTTGGTGCTGAGGAATCACTGTAGTATAGTGCGGGTCCACGTTATTGCTATGCTGGATTGTGTTGCGCGCAGTGACCTGCTGTCTTGGGCTTATTCTTAATCTCTTGAAGCCATTGTAGGGAGGGATCACTCTCTCCTCTTCTTCGTCATCCGCCGTCCTTTTCATTCCTCGTGGCGGTGTATTTCTATGCGTTCGTTGCGTATGTTCGGTGTACCAGTCAGACGACGATGGCTGGAATGGCGCTGACGAGGAGGTGGGATCCGCCGGCAGCGCCATACCCGCCAGCGTTGTATTGCCGCTGCTATCGAGGAGACAATGGATGTCGTGGAAGGTGAGTTCGAGGCCCTCCTCCGCCTTCAGTTCAGCTTCATGACATGGTCCATCTCACGGCGTCGGGTCTGGTCTGGAGCGGTATGGGTACCGGCCTCGGCACAAGCCGGGGGTCTATCGATAGCGGCCTTGAACTTACTGGCTGCTATGCTCGACTAGGTATGCTTGCAGTCTACTTCTACAGAGTACGCCCGCAGAAGTCCATCATTGCAGGAGTCGATGGGGATGCTATTCATCCTGTGATTTGCTCGATGGAATCATATCGAAGGCCTAGTGATCTGCAGTGAATGCGCGGACTAGCGCGTTGCGGGGCAGCACCAGCCGACACTTTTGCTGCCGCATCTTCAATCATTTTCAGAAACGGCGCGACACCCTCAGCACCAACTTTTCTACTACGCCCTTCTAGTCCTTCTGCACAGTCAAAACTGTGCGCAAGAGGGTCTGCTCTCTCCTTTAGTACTCACAGTCATTCATTTTGCAAGATTTCAGTCCTGCGCAGCCAGTTAAAGCGGCTGCAACTTGCCTGGCCGGCACTCTCAATAACTTCTTCACGTTGTTTTGCTACCACAACCGCAAGAATGGGCTCAACGAATTTCGTTGTTGATCCCAAGTGGAAGGCTCCTGTGGTCCGGGACACCTTCATCAAGTTCTTTGTAGCAAAGAACCACACTTTTGGTGAGTACAATAACTGTCCCGTCGCCTTCATTACCTCTGACTCACATGTCACACAGTCCCGTCCTCTCCAGTAGTGCCACTCTCAGACCCTACCCTGCTGTTCACCAATGCTGGCATGAACCAGTTCAAACCCATCTTCTTGGGCACCGTCGATCCTAGCACCAAGGAAGGCAAGTGGAAGAGAGTCGTCAACTCGCAGAAATGCATTCGTGCTGGCGGAAAGCACAACGATCTCGACGATGTTGGCAAAGACTCGTATCATCACACTTTCTTTGAGATGCTTGGTAATTGGTCATTTGGTGACTACTTCAAAGAAGAGGCCATCAAGTTCAGCTGGGAGTTGCTGACCGACGTCTACAAGCTGCCGGCTGACCGCCTGTATGTGACATACTTCGAGGGCAACAAGGCTATGGGACTTGAACCAGATCTCGAAGCCAAGCAGTTGTGGAAGAAGGTTGGCGTGCCTGATGATCACATTCTGCCAGGTGACATGAAGGACAACTTCTGGGAGATGGGTGACCAAGGTCCATGTGGTCCCTGCTCCGAGATCCACTACGATCGTGTCGGTGGTCGCAACGCTGCTGACCTGGTCAACAAAGACGACCCTCTGGTCATCGAGGTCTGGAACAACGTCTTCATTCAGTACAACCGAGAGCCAGACAAGAGCTTGCGACCTCTGCCAAACAAGCACGTCGACACTGGTATGGGCTTCGAGCGTCTGGTCAGTATTCTTCAAGACAAGAAGAGTAACTACGACACCGATGTTTTCACACCTCTATTCGCTCGCATCCAGGAGATCACCGGTGCTAGACCGTACGCTGGCAAATTCGGCGAAGAGGATACTGACGGTGTCGACACCGCTTATCGTGTCGTCGCTGATCACGTGCGCCTGCTCACCTTCGCCATTACTGATGGTGGCTACCCCAACAACGAAGGTCGTGGTTACGTTGTTCGTCGAGTGCTACGTCGTGGCGCCCGATACGCTCGCAAGTACTTCAACGTTCAGATTGGCGACTTCTTCTCCAAGATCATCCCAACTCTGCTCGATCACATGGGCGAGATGTTCCCCGAGATCCTTTCCAAGAAGCAAGATGTCATCGACTCCCTGAACGAAGAAGAATTGTCATTCGCCAAGACTCTTGATCGTGGTGAGAAGCAGTTCGAGATCTATGCTGCCAAGACCAAGCAGAAGGGCTTGACTCAGCTCAGTGGTGCTGATGCTTGGAGACTCAATGACACCTTCGGTTTCCCGATTGACTTGACCCGCATCATGGCTGAAGATGCCGGTCTCACCATTGATGACAACGAGTTCGAAACTGCTCGACAGCAGTCTAAAGAGGCTAGCAAGGGCCAGAAGAAGGAGGGTAGCGATCTGTTGAAGCTGACTGTCCATTCTCAAAATGTCTTGGAGGAGGAGCTCAAGGTCACCACGACCGATGACTCTGCTAAGCACGGTCGCGAGAACATCAACGGCAAGATCCTGGCTATTCTGCACGGTGAGAACTTCCATGACTCGACCAGCTCAATACCTGAAGGCGACCAAGTCGGTGTCATCTTGGACAAGACCAATTTCTATGCCGAGCAGGGTGGTCAGGAGTTCGACACCGGTCACATCATCATTGATGGCCAAGCCGAACTCGAGGTCGTAAATGTGCAAAAGGACGGTGGCTACGTTTTGCACATCGGCTACATGAAGTATGGCAAGTTCAATGTTGGTGACGTGGCCATCTGTGAGTACGACGAGCTGCGCCGAAACCCTATCCGCAACAACCACACCGGCACTCATGTTCTCAACTTCGCTTTACGAGAGGTGCTTGGTGATGGCATCGACCAGAAGGGCTCGCTTGTCGCTCAGGAGAAGCTTCGCTTCGATTTCAGTCACAAGGCTGCTGTTTCGAACGAAGAACTGAAAATCATCGAGGACAAGTCTACCGAGTACATCCGCAAGAACGCTACCGTGTATGCCAAGGACGTCCCGTATGCCACCGCCAGAGAGATCACAGGTCTTCGTGCTGTCTTTGGCGAGACATATCCCGATCCAGTCCGTGTCGTATCTATTGGTGTCGATGTTGACGAAATCCTCAAGAACGTCAAGAACCCCGAGCTCAACAAGATTAGCATTGAGTTCTGTGGCGGCACACACGTTCGCAGCACCGGCGATATCAAAGAACTCGTCATCATTGAGGAGAGCGGCATTTCCAAGGGCATTCGACGCATCGTTGCCGTCACTGGTGAGGATGCCTACAAGGCTCAACACGTCGCCGGCGAGTTTTCCGAGCGTCTCGACAAGATCGCCAAGATGCAATTCGGTCCCGACAAAGAGCAAGAGGCCAAGAACGCCCAGCTCGACCTCAACGGCCTGGAGATCTCCGCTCTTCGCAAGTCAGAATTCAGAGTTCGCTTCGAATCGATTAATAAGGATATCCTTGCCCAGCAGAAGAAGATGCAGAAGGAGGAGACCAAGAAGGGCATCGATGCTGTTGTGCAATACTTCGAGAAGAACAAGGACGCCAAAGCTGCTGTGGTCAAGTTGCCAATTGCCGCCAACCAGCGTCTTCTGCCCGATATCATCAAGCACGTCCAGCAGAAGATGAAGGACAAGTCAGTGTACGTCTTGGCCTCTGATGATGCTAGCGTCGCTGAAGGACACGTCGTTCACGGTTGTTTTGTCGGTGTGGTAAGATCAGGGAGTCCTTTGTGATTGTTGCCAATGTTCTAACGCGTCTGCAGGCTGGTGGCAAGGCCGGAATGAGCTCTAACGAGTGGGCTGGCAAGGTGTCCGCCGTTGTGGGTGGTAAGCCCTTTGGCAAGGCTCCTACTTCCTATGGAAGTGGAACAGGAACCAAGGAGGTGGAGGAGGCTTTGAAGGCCGCCACTGCCTACCTGGAGGGCTTCAAGCTATGATTCTGGGCAACTGGAACTGGAGCGGAAGCACTCGAAATGGACTGTGAAATCGACTGAAAAATCTCGCCAGGGAGGCCTTCAAGGAGATTTTTCGAAATGTCGACGCGACAAATATTTTTACCTCCGAAGTCGCAAATGATGTGAGTCTCCCATCCAGAGCCCGCCCTATGGGATGAACGCTGATTTTGATGTACAGACCCAAAGATTCGTGCATATGTCGGATTTCAAATCCGAACGTCATAGAGCAATCATATGACGTTGAAATATCTCTCGCATGTGCCTGGCTTGCTCTTGACCTGACCTTCGCACGTCGCTTGCAATTGGGTCTCTCCTTCTTGACTTGAATATGACCACTTAAAAATGGAATCCGAACCCGAGAAGGAAAGGCCAACAGCCCTGGTGGGAGCGCCCTGAAATGACGATCTTGCGTCATTTGACCTTCTTTCGCGTGCAAATTGAACTTCTTTTCGGTCAGACGTAGCATCCGAAGTTCTTGAGACCAACGACGTTTCAGGGAAACCCCACCAATCCACAACCACTAGCGTTGAGCAACGACAGTAGACCGATGGCTTCGTTCCGACCGCGGAGCACGAACAGCAAGCATGAACCCAACGCCTGAATGATCGCTGAGTTCTTTCGAAGCTATTCATGATGCAGTGGCTGACACTCTCGACTGAGCCTGCAAGCACCGCATTTTAGATTGACCAACGCTGCCTCAAACGCCGCAAACGATGTCTGCGACACCAGAGGTCTCGACCAGAGCAGAAGCGATCGTCGCATCATGAACGAAGAGTATGTGCTGCAGCTGACAGTACATTCCTGCTTGATTCGAGCCGAGGGAACCGCTGCACACCGCAAGGTCTCCCATCTTGCTCCCCGTATCACCCGAGATCAAGCATCTTCTGCCATGTTTCCACTGTGCTCGATCTCGCATCTAACCCTTAGCGTCCGTTTCGCAAAGACAATCAGGGCGGGTCGCTGACCGCATGACCTACTATGACGCTTCGGTGCAGGTGCTTGTTGCCAAATGCTCAAACGGCTGGAACGTACGGAGTTGGTGGCGGAGGGGCAAGCAGGCAAGATGCAAAAATGTCTCAACTCACACCACTACAGCCTTGATATACTAGTAAGTAGGTCTCTGACCCAGCGTCACGACTCTCTTTCTCCTCAGGCTCATCAACCACGTTCTTTTTTCCCAACCCTCGCAGCAGGTCTGTACCATTCTTTCACTTCAGTCACTCTTTCAGAAAGTCGATCGACCACACCACGATCTCACGACTACTTCCAGTCCCATCCGACAGTCGTTACCTTTTCAGAGCTCACCAACAACACTAACCACGAAGCCAAGCTTGTCGAAGCAATCAAGGTCAACGTCCGCAGACCGGCTTGGACCGACAATAACCAACCACCACAATGCTCATCTCAATCCCAACCATCCTCCTCCTCTCCACCCTCTCCCTCGCCAGCCCCGTCCCGGACCGCACCGGTAACCGCCGCCGCCAACAATTCACCCAAACAATCTCCTCCCGCCCCTACAACCAATGGCAAATCGCCGACGGCCAAGCCGGCTTCGCCCTAACCGAAGCCGAGCAGCGCTTCCCCATCGTCGACCGCGACCCCCTCTCAATCTCCGACGACGAACTCACCGCCCTCAAGAACGGCGCTGCCCTCTCCGAAGCCTCCGAGACCGGCAAGGGCGGCTCAGACGAACGCATCGCGTCCGCTAAAGCTCAAGGGCAGAACACCAAGGCGTTGGAGAATGGGAGGACGAAGATGCGGGTGTTGCGCCATCAGCTGGATATCTTGGCGCTGCAGGTTGAGAATGCGAGGGGTGAGGACAATCAGGGGGCGATTGATGATGCGTTTGATGCTATTCGGGGTGAGATGGCGGCGGATGCGGGGAATGCTGGGCAGGGGAGTACGGGGATTAGTGATACGTTTGTGCTCGGGTTGGCGACGGAGGTGTCGAAGTAGGGGATCTATGGGCAGGTGATGGTCATGGTAGAGGATGGATGAGATCCCAAGGAGGCATGGTTTAGGGGTCGAGGAGCGGCGAGAGGGAGGAGTCGGGGATATCTGTGGTTTCTCTTCACATGTGTACAAAAAGACTTCTGTGTAGCTGGGTTGATAGCTGTTTGTGTCTGCTAGAGACGACAAGATTCACGACGAATGAATGTCATGAAACGAGTCTAATTTCCTTTGACGGACCATAAGATGTGCCTCAGAGCGGCAGAGCTGAAGACAGGTAGCAGGCGGCGAGGTGCTTGACGAATCTCGACGTGTTCAACCACGGCCGAGGCATTCTCTGTGTTAGGTGAAGCTTGCTCTTCGCCATTTCACACGGCGAATGCATGGTTCTTCGCTGTTGTGCCCATGGTCATAAAGCTCGAGGATTATCTCTGCAATGCCCCACAGTCTGTTACCGGAGCGAGCATTGCTCACATCAGGTGTTCGGAGCGCACCAGGGAATTTTTCTTGTGTATCCCGGTGTCCAATATCATCACAGCTGCTGGTTCTGCGTTGATACCCCTGGCATGTCGCGTTGCAAGGCGCTGCATGTGTGGAGTCACGGTACGAAAAATCCATGTCATGGGACGTATATCTTGTCCGGCAGACCAGGCAGTGGCGAGGGTCGCCTCGTCATGCTCGACTCTCTCATCGCCAATATATGCGTTCAGCCAGCAGCCATCACCCGCCACTAGAGTTAGCGTCGGGAATCAGGTGTCGTGCAGGCCAGCGCTCCTTCCACGCATCACAATCCAGCAAAGTCCTGTCATCGATAGGCATCGCTCCCACCAACCGCATCCGCTCCGTCACCCCCGTGCCGAATAGCACACATTCTTTCGCCTCGCCTTTGTTGAGCAGAAGATGGCACTCCTTCAGTCCTGCCGCGTTTGCTGGTGGTGACCCCTTTTCCTTCCAGTACACATATCGGGCGTTGCGCAGGGACATCTTCATCCCCTGTGCTCTCAGACATTCCAGGTGGGCGCTGTACAACGGAGCTATTTTCTCCAGTACTGAACGTGAGCGAACTTGAAGTTTGTAGTCATTGGGGCCTGCTTCGTACACGGATTTCAGGGCCTTCCATTGTTCATTGACCAGCATGAAGTTTCGGTAGTACATCTCGCAGTCGGTGCGTGCGTAGATGCGCGTTTCCAGCCATTCGAGTCGTGGGAGGTTGCTTGTGGCATACGCGATGGCCTTGAGGTGACTTGTTTTGACATGCTCGGAGCACTTGATATCGCCGAGGTCGATCGCCAGTTTGGTGATGTTGGCCTTGATGCAGGGGATGATGCCGCTGTCGAGGATGTACTCCACGACATCGTCGGAGGTGCGGAACACCAAAACGTTCTTTCGGTAGAATACAGGAGTCGCTTCGATTCTAAGTAGGCGGCAGACCTGGAGAATGCCTCTGGTGTCGTCTTTGTCGGCTTGTGAGCAGCGTAGGCGTCGATGTGATGGGGTCCTCTGGTGGTAGATCTTTTGCTGATCGAAGAGGTGGCTGAGAATGGTACCTCGTAGTTCGGGCGGGAGACTAAGCAGACGACTTGTGTTGTTCATGGTGATCCGATCATGGTTGTCCATCTGACGTTTGGAGCGTAGTGATGATGTCGCCTTCTCTCGAGGATATATGCCCCAATAGGGCGATCCCACCAGGGAGGGTCAGCGCAGCACGAAAATCGTTGACGGTGATGAAAATATCCTCTGAGGAACACAGGGAAACAATGCGGCTTCGATCCTTGCACCGTGATGTTCAAAGACAGGCTGATCAGGCGGGTCAAGCCGATATGTAAGCAGGATTTTGGTTGCCTCAAGCCAGTGGCTGGTTACAGTTCAGATGTGGCGCAGTATAGGCACACCCGATGTGCATCACGATCGTCAGCAATAGATCTCGGATCGCGAATCATGCCAGATCGTAAGTGTGGCAAGTTGAGATTGAGCAATCCGGCCGCTGGCCAACATTTATTTGATGCAGTGGCAGGTGACGTCTGTGTGGGCGAGGGCAAGGCAGCGATGAGGGGGCAACAAGTGGGGCAGTTTGGGCCGTCGGTGGAACACATTTGCCTGATTACAGAACTCAAGATACGACGTCAGCTGGCCGAGGAGGTGCCATGGTCAAGTATGGCGTTGCTGTTTGGAGCGACCGCACCGTTCCAGGCTTGTCCTGCCTGGCTCGCGCCTTCCAGACCGACATCACGTGAGAGGCTTCTACATGTCGACAGGAACTCTCATGCTTCGTTCCGAGTCGAGACCGGCTCAGGCGACTTCCACAGGTGGCGCACCCGTATTGCTGCCTCCATGCTTCTTGTTGCTGTGTAAATGCATTTGAGGCGTGTCGAGCATATGGAAAGCTGAGATGTCGCCATACAACGCAGCAATGCCGATGTATCACTTTCGCTGTCCGAGATATCTGAGCGGTCAACCCGGCCATCGTCCGCTTCCACATGAATGGTCTTCGCATCAGAACTGTGGAAGTGATCTTGGGGACGCAAGCCAAAAGAGTGTGGTACCTTTGCGAGTGGCTCGTCACAGGAATCTGTGTTCCCCATTCCGGCCCAATCATCGTAGCTATTCGATGTGCTATCTAGCCATGCTTCGCTCTGAGCCTCGGCGGGGTACTCTGCGGCAGACTCGAACGATGAGGGTCCCACTGACTCCTGCAGTCCCGAGATGCTCATGTGCAGCAGAGGAATACTATGGATGTATTTTGCATGTGATGGATCGAATGTGCTTTCTCATGTGAATGAGAGCCAGAGCCTTCGCTGAGTCGGGCAGGCCATTGGCAAAAGGTGATGATGTGGTCGAACCAGGCAGTGACTAAGATGGGATCTCAGACTGATCACAGCCTCGAAGAGCTGTTGAAGTTGCGGCTCTTGACGTCTGCAGATGACCCAGAGTCTGTAAATTCTGACGTTCGCCAAAAACTATCAACGACGATCCATCCTGACGAGCTCGGTATCGTTGGTGTCTCTGGAAGCGACAGATCGACCGCTGACCAGAGCAGGACGTACCGGTTCGAACTTGATCTCCTTGCATTCGCCGCCGTGGGCCGAAGAGACATGCTCATAGCCCTCGTAGGTAGACGCCGCTGGTGCGTCATAACGTGCCTTCTCCTGTTGATCGTACACCTTGTTTCCCCAAGCAATGATCAGATTGTCCCCAACGATGCAGAGAAAGAACGTGATTGTCACGATCGGTAGAACCCAAGGACTGTTAGAGAAGCTCAGGTCTCCATCCAAATAAAACACCAAAACCGCATACACGATCATGATCAATCCGCCCGTGATGCGAAGGCCGACAGAGCCCCATTCGTATTTGGACATGTTGCGTTTACCGAACCAGTACATCACAGCTAAGAGCAACAAGAAGATTGCGGCGCCAAGTGGGAAGTACCAGAACACTGTGATAAACAAATTCCAGTACTTGCCGGATGCCGCAATATCCTTGTTCACAGTGCTGAGAATTTTGAGAAGGTCGGGTGTGTAGTAAACCAGCTGGTCTTCTGAAATGCCCAAAGCGGTTGTATTGACATCGGCGACATCCTTCACATCGGCTGGAGTAACGCCAAAATGCGTGTAGATAGCATTTTGAATGCCGACATATATGCTGGCGATATACAGAGTGAGGTCTTGCTCCATCTGCAGATCCATGTTGTTAGGGTCGTATGGGAGCTCGTAAACATTCGTGTTCATATTAGTGTCGATGTACTCAAGAACTAAAGAAGTGTTGAACAGCTGATCAAAGTCTCTTTGGTTGCCCAGAAGTTCTTCTAGAGACTTGACGTTGCTTCGCATGAAGTCGGTCAGAAGCTTAGGAGTAGGCCAAGGAGTGAAGTCGTAGAAGAAACCGTAGTCTGCCTCGTCACTAAGATAGTAGCTGGCTGTGTTGACTCCCAAAAATTATTGACTCCAACTATAGTGTTGTAGGCTACCAACTCTCGCATGCCCTCAAGAAGACAGACAGTAGCAAGATTCAGAGGGAAATGGATAGCGGCCCAGAATTGTTGGCGAATGGTGCCAAACCGGTTCGTCTCGATTTGATCGTAGTAAAGCATCCAGGTGAAGTATATGAGAAGCACTGTGACACTCGTCAGATTGCCATGTATCGGAGGAGAAACAGGCCCGATAAGTTCTCGCCCACGCAGGATCCTATGGGTACGTACCTGCAGCGATAACGACGCCTATGCTGCTTGAGATGCTTGCCGAGTTCTGCATGATCTTCGAGACAGACACAGCAAGCCCTACAGCACCTTCGCCGAGCATGATCATGGTAGCGTCGCCCATGCGGATGATGAATTTCGTATTCTTGAAAGATAGGACTCGCCAAACGCCAGGAATCGTTAGCATAATGGCTCCTTCCACTGCGATAATAGGATAGAAACCGATATGCACACTTTGACTGGTGCTATTCAGGATGACGAAGTAGAGGGCCAGAAATGCTGCAGCGGCCGCCAGCATGGTGCCGGCTGTCAAGATCAAAGGCACCAACGTCCTCTTGTATTTCCTGGCGCAGAAAGCGACGATTGCATATTGAACAAAGAGCTGAAACCGAGCGATGGCTAGAGCTGCTGCCATCAGCTTGAAACCTTTCTTGTTCTCTTGGACCTTTGTGATGTCCCATGTAGAACCTCCCAGCATGAAGCCCATAGTGACAGTCAAGGTAATGACCTTGAAGACGCGGTCATAAATCGAGTCAACGCCGAATCTCACATCGAACATGACAGTCTGTAGCCATGACCACCATAGGATAGTGAAGAATGCCACGAGATTGCGAAGAGACGGGCCGTCTTCGATACCATGAATGGATGTGAACGTGCTGAGCACTGCGACGAGAAACATGTCTGTACACGATGGTCAGCTAACTTTCATGTCTTGATTTCAATGTTCAACAGCAGAGACTCATGCAGTGTTAGAAATGTGTACTGTGCAGACTGCGTGGACTGATAGGGTTATGTGGCATCTGATCACCGCTTCTACATACCATAAACCAGCTCAATAGTCCAGTCGTCATCGTAGTGCTTGAAGCGTGGTGCATCAGGTCTCGTGATGAGTGCGCTTGAGGACGAGGATGCGTCTTGTGTAGAATCTTCATCAATCGGCGAGTCGAACCAAGGAATGTGTTTTCGTTTGATGTTTGTAGTTGGAGTCGAGTCAAAACGTCTTATGGCTTTCACGATGTTCTCCATTTCTGCTGGAGGAAAGGCAGCGACAGAGCCGTGAGTATGATCCTCGAGCAACGCGGAAGGATAATGCTTCCATGGGGCGGACGGTACGTTGATATGAAGCCATTTTGATCTGCTATTGTATCGCCGTCGCCGGAGGCGTTGCCCAACAGAGTAAGCTGCTATAGCCTAGTGATCCTTCAGTACCTCAAATGTGGCTACGCGTCTCGGCATAGTGTCCAGGCCAATTATCCGGGAGTAGCGTGACTGCGTACCGTGTCGCCCTATCGTTTTGAGATGATAGCCAGAGGTATATACCTGAAATAGGTGCGTTCGCCTGTTGAGGACCAGTGCGGCCCTATGCAGCGTTCCTCCAATCGGCAGATTCGCCTACCATGCGCTCATTTCATGATCCGCTTGGCCATGCGCCGAGCAAATCCTCCTGAAATGGGGGCCGTTCAGCAATCGACGGAGTGTGTCATCAAGCCAGGCAGTGCCTTGAGCATTGTGGCAAGCCCAAGCCGCCCGCAGGAGCTCCCATTGTCAACGACTGCATATATGTGGCAAGTGACCGCATCACTCGAGGCCTGAAAATGCATAATGGCCAGGGTACAAGGCAGGGGCAAGTTGGGAAACGGAACAGAGGTGATTTCCTGCACGGGGTGTCGGCGTGCCAAGGAACTTTGGACCAAGCTTGGCGTTGGTGCGGAAAAAGTTTCGACTAACGACTCGTTTCATATACCGCCATAAGGATGAAAGCACAATCTTGCCCACGAATCGTCAACATGTCGGCAAATGCCCCTCAAATATGTAAGACTATCCTTGCCGGCACGATAGCGAAAGGCTTGCAGGCAGAGGTCAACGATGGACTTTCGAAACTCGACAAGAAGCCACACCTGTTAGGTATACTGGCCAATGATGACCCAGCGGCTCAGGTTTATGCCGACTGGACCGGAAAGACGGCCAAAGATAACGGGTTCGAGTATACACTGAAGACTGTTGGTAAAGACGATGTGGAAGAGACGATCATTGCTGCGAACCATGAGTCGAGTGTTGATGGCATAATTGTATACTATCCGATCTTCAACAATCGGCAGGATCAGTATCTGCAACAAATTGTGGACATCAGTAAAGATGTTGAAGGCCTCAGTCATCAGTACATTTTTAACATGTACCAGAATATTCGATTCCTGGATGATCACCAGATGCAGAAAAGCATTCTACCTTGCACGCCACTGGCAGTGATCAAGATTTTGGAGTATCTGCACATCTACAACAACATACTACCTTATGGAAACCGACTATTTGGACGAACCATCTGTGTAGTGAACCGCAGCGAGGTTGTTGGTCGTCCACTAGCAGCCTTGCTGGCCAACGACGGCGCTTGTGTCTACAGCGTTGACGTGACTGGCGTCCAGCAGTTCACACGTGGTGAAGGTATACGGAAGCGGAAGCACGAAGTCGTAGAGAAAGATGGCTGGTCTGTCGAAGACTGTGCACCACTATGTGATGTTGTTATCACGGGTGTGCCGGGTGATAAGTATAAGTTTCCTAATCGCCTTCTGAAGGATGGTGCGGTCTGTATCAACTTCTCGAGCGAGAAGGTAAGTCCGTTCCGTATTTCATGTCTGCCACCAAGCCTGATGTCCGTCAGAACTTCACCCCGGAGGTCAAAGAACGAGCTTCGATATACGTTCCTGCCATTGGAAAGGTCACCATCGTGATCCTGCTACGCAACCTGTTGAGAATAGTGCAGAACAAACGCAATGCACCAAGTGCACTCCATGCAGATCTGCCCAATGGATCGAGCTAAGAGGACTACGCGAATGATTGCACAGCGACAAGGATCTTCATCCGCTACCGGCAGACCATGGATCGGCCAGGTCCCGTCTTAGACGCCAGCCAAACAGTCGGCCGAGAGATATGGCCCTTTCCTGCTCTTACGCAGACGCTGTAAGGGTGTGCTTCTACGCTGTCGGAGGTCGCTCTAAATACGGAATGATGCTGTTCGAAACCCCTGCCGATCTTCTTTGCGTCTTCCACGACGGTACGACAGATCTTCCTCCGCCCCTGCAGAACATCCGCCGGACGCTGCCTTACGACTTCGTTCGAACAACGCCCGTCATTCACATTCGCCCCCGACTGTTGACGGGTTTTCAGCCCTGCCTTCATATCCGGCCCGACCACAGACTGGCTTTCAGTCCTGCATCCAAGAATGACACCACAGTCTTCCCAAACTCCTCCGCAAACTGGTACAAGAACGCATGCCCACTATCCGGATATAGAAAAAGTCTTGCGTCCGGCAGCCTTTGCTGCATGACAACACTCTGGCTCGTCGGAATCATATAATCATCCACGCCCTGGCCGATGAGCACCGGCGTGTCCTTCAACTCCCCAAACCTCTCAAACGCCCCATCGGCTACCTGCGCCGGGTCGAGCCATATCTGTTGTGCACCCGCCATGGCTTTCAACCCAGCACCCTGGTCCGCGTACTGCCACGACACGGCGTTTGAGCGGGGCTCACCAGAGGTAGACTCGTCGCGTTCATGGATACGCTTCCACCAGGCTTTACCTGCGGCTTGTGATGTTTCGGAGTTGGGATGGAAGAAGATCCAGTAGAAGCAGTTGTCATACCTCGGCTCAGGGACGGTCGCGTGCTTCGTCACTTGTCCAGCACGTTCTTGCGTGTTGGGCTCGATCCCCTCGCCGGCGGACGTGCCCGTGCCAGCGAGGACGAGTCTGCGGATATTAGGTCCAGATGTACCAAGTTTAGCTGGTGCATCAAGCGCGACCATCTGCGTGACGTATCCACCCATGCTGAAGCCGAACACGTCGAGCTCTGCGGGCCTGTCTGGAAGTACGCTCAAAAAAGTCGAGCACGTCGTGCCCCATGGCGCGGATGGTGGTCTGCACGGCCCCAGTCGACTTCCCAACGCCGGACTGGTCGAGGAGGATCACTGGTCTCGTTGCGGCAATGGTGTTGATGAGAAGCGGGTCCCAGAAGTCCATCGTGCCGCGGAAGTGGATCAAGAAAAGCACGGGTGGGGCTGTCGTGTTCGCGTTGCCGAAGCGGCGGTAGGCATACTTCGTGCTATCGTTGGGGCCGTTGACATACTGTGTCTTGGCGGTTTGGTGGGTGGTTGAGTCGGCCATTGTTGAGATGTTGCTGACGGGCTTGGGCTGGAAATGCTGGGAGGATCACACTGTGTACTATGTGGTGGTCGAGTTCCTCTCTAGCATGGCTGGGCAAGCTGCAGTTTTATGTCGTCCTCGACTACCATGGCGACGATCCAAGAGGAAGGATCAGTAATCGCTGCTCCTTTTTCCGAAAGAGGTCAGCTCCATTCTACAGCATCCCGGACAGTCAAGCATCATCATATGTATATATGGCACATATACTACTCATGAATGATGAATGAAGTGCATAAACCGGAGGTCACTATTTACTAATCGTCAGACGATCGGATTTGGTTTTGGGCAGTCCCGATTTGGCAGCAGCCACACGAGTGCCAAGGAGTACATAATCAACCTAAATGTACAAGATCATTGTGTCGTCGTGCGTAGCTGACCCGCGAAGAACGTGGCTCGTGCTGGCGTCAATGAGCTGACTCAGATGGTGGACGGCAAACTGCCGCACGGTTGTCCGAGACCTGTTGATTAAATTTATCGCAGAGGCAGGCACGACCCAAGACGACGAAAATGAACACCAATGACTGGGGCAGGTATGACGGCCGCGGCCGACACGTGGTCTCTGTCTGCAAAGCATCTTGTCCCTCGACTTCGAGCCGGGAGGCCCACGTTGCGTCTCGGTCGTTCTCGGTGCATAGGGACGCTTTGCTGCACGGCCTACCATCCTCGTCATGATCATCCCTCAAACGCTTTGCTGTTCGTAACCCTCCTTGCCAGAACTTGCTCCCACTCCCGCGCCACCAACCTGTCTCTACCCTTCCTTGCCCTCAACTCGAACTCAAACTTCTTTGGCTTAGCATTAAAACCAACCGCAATCGCATCCCTATCCGGCCACAACTCCTTCCCATCAGTATCCCTCGCTACTCGAATATCGCATGCCCACACAATCATCATCGCCTGAATCATCAAGCTCCGACTTGCAACGTACTGACCAGGACAAATCCGTCGTCCATAGCCGAAGGCGCTGAAGTTCTGCAGGTTTGGAAACTCGGTGAGAGGTGACTTGTATGTTGGGTAGGATGGGTCCAGCCAGCGTTCTGGTAGGAACTCTGTTGGTGAAGGATACAGAGTCGGGTCTTGGTGTATGTCCCATTGGACCGGCCGAACCAGAGAGCCCTTGGGGATGAAATAGCCTTGGTAGACGTCTTCGGCGGTGTTCTTATGTAGCAAGCCGCCTGCAATTGTCGGGCGCCACCTTAGGGTCTCTTTGATGCAGGCACGTAAGTAGGGAAGTTGAGGTAGATCACTCAGATGTGGCATGCGCGGCTTGTCCATATCGATATTGCTGCCGGGAGTACCGATGACGGTGTCTAGCTCTGTCGTGAGCTTGTCGAGCTTTTCGGGATGCAGAACCATTGCGAGGAGGAAGAATGCCATCTCAGCAGAAGTAGAACCAACCGAACCTTCTACCATGGTACCGAGCACATAGTAGGCGTGCGGGTCCGTCAGAGCAGGACCATAGTTGCCTTGAGTGTCAAGCCATTTCTTCACCACCGTCTCCTGTACGGTAGGATCGCCGACGCGTGCGCGCTTCTCGACGTTGTGCACAAGGCTTGAGAACAAGTCGTATTCTTCCGCATGCAGGCGGGCTCCGAGGCGCTTGAACGGTGCCAGCCATTTGGGCAGGCGCATGAGCATTGGGAATGTGTTGACTAGGTAAGCATTGGGCGTTGCAGCACGCACGACGTTCTCGAACACGGCTTTCATTCGTACCAGTCGCTGATCATTGTTGTCGCACACGTCAACACCATACACAATTCGCATGATGATGCTTGACGCATAGCGTTCGAAGTGTGCTCCGTACTCAGACGGGGCATGGAGCAGATCCAGCACAAGTCTTAATGCCTCTTCTTCCTGTATGTGCTCGTAAGTGCCAGCCACCAAGGGTCCGATAGTGGCGTGCGAAAGCTTGCGACCAGCCCGCCATGCAGGACCATAGGCAAGCATGGCAGGACGTAGATGATGCGACACGAGCTCGCTGCTCATAGGAAGTTCAGGTCGAGAGGAGTAGATGTGACCGCGGTCGCGAAGCAGATCGTTGGCGATCTTGTCCGAGCACACTATCAACATCTCGAGGTTTCCCAGCTTCAGGCGATAAATTGAGCCATATTCTTCTGCCCACTTCTGCAGCTATCAGTGTGTCAGCGCAAGCGTTGCGGGATCTTCACGGTTGTTGAAGCACCGACCTGTATCCAGGGAAGGGATTTGGGGAGCTGACGCAAGTTGCCAACAATCGGCAGACCTGTTCAGTGCTTAGCGCGTTGCCTTTTGGGGAAGAGAATCTAACACTACCCTTAGGTCCCGGCAAAGTCTTTGTCGCAGCACTTGCTTTCGACCGGACGTACAGATGATCGTAGAGCCTTTGGCACGCAAGTAGGACCAGCGCTACTACCATCAGGGAAACGAGCATTGTGTCTGCCTTCGATCTGTAGACAGGATCGAGGCGTGTTGACCATAGACCACAAGTCTTTTTGGCCCAGATATGATTCTGTGTGATGAGTGACTACGTCGAAAGTCGAATGTGACAGATTTCCAGGGCTCATTGATATGGTACTCAGCACGAAGTTTCCAAGTCAGGCGTCCTTTACCCGGCCGTTTGGTAGTCGTGACGGCCAATGCCATCGATCTCCCTGGTCGCCCCGTACCAGACCCGGCGCTGATCAGTCTGAGGTAATCAGATAACGTTGAGCTGTGGCATTCTTCATGTTTGCCAGGATCTTTCTTGTAGTATACTAACTCCGGTGTCAGCTGCATTAACACCTATGACAGCGAGCACGAAGGTACCCAGTCAGCATTGCACGCAGTGTCCGATGAGTACGGGCCAGGACCCTGCTGCAAAGACATTCAACGGTAGATCTCGTACTCGCAAGCATTGAGCAACAAGGATGCCATCGGGATCGAGAAGCTGCGGAGGGCTACCTCTTGGACGCAGCCATAGAAACCCAGCCGGCGAAGGTGGCAAGCAACGTGAACAGCAGCCACGACATTAGTGCTAGCAGCGTCGTAGTATTTGAGAATGGTATTATCAGGCCCAATTAGCCATGGTCTATGCCATAGTACTGTAAGTGAGCGCAAAAATCGGTGTCCAAAAGCGGGCGAGGTCGCGTCTTGCAGCAGTGTATCGCTGATCGCTTCGACAGCAGGAATGGTGACCTCACATGGCTCGTATGGTTCTTGCCTTGTTGCTTCGGTCGTTCTCACCACGTCAGCGGGCAGTGAGAACACTGTAGCAGTCGCACCATCAGCCACGGTAGTTGTGGTTTGAGCTGAACCTGCTCGGACGCAACGAGTGAAGGACTTCAGTTAGCAGGAATCAAGGAAGCCCTGTTCACATTATAGATGCCTAGACGTGCGAATGATCAATCTCGGTATGCACAGATGAAGCGACGAAGAGCCTGAAAGTGCAATGAATCCATTATGCCCGCAGGCATGGCCAGGTGGTAATGTACCCAGGTAGGTATGATCCCACGAAGCTATACGATACATTACTTACAGTACAGCGACCGACGCGCCCTTGGACCAGTGATGTCACCGGCATTACTCCTCCATGTTTTTTTCTTTACGCGATTGAAGATACCGGAGAAAGAGCACTGAGCAGCGGCCTCGACTATGACTTGCTATGGCCGCATCAGATACGCGGGACTACGTTCTCGCGTTCGAGAGCAACAAAGATAGCGCTGCTCAAATCGCTGCGGCGACAGCAAAAAGTGAGTACCCCAGATACCATCGCATCCGTGGGGCAATAATGCTGAACAGATACAGAACTCGAGAGTCGGCAGACGACCCTGATCGAGGTGGTCCAGTCGCTAGGAGAGTACATCAACGACGAAGATGCGAAAATCCGTACTCGGGCAGTCTCTTACCTGACTGCCATCATTTCGAGCCTTCCTCGAGCCTTCCTCTCGCGCCAGCAAATCGATGTCCTCTGCGATTTCCTGTGCGCAAGGATCGAAGATGGCGGTGCTCTTGAGGGGCTGTCCAAGCTCCAGAGCCTGGATAGATTCAACGACACAATGGCGCAGACTGTGGTGAAAGCGTGAGTGAATCTCACCACGCGTTGGCTGTTGGAAGACGAATCTACTACAAGGTTGTCGGGCAGCCAGCTGAGACAGAAGCAAAGCTGACAACAGGCAGGGTCATCGACCATTTCTCAGATCTACAATCCCTGGGTCAGGCAGCCAGATACAAAGTGCTGCAGCTTCTGAATGAGCTGATGGAACGGCATCGGAAAGGTTCGTCCCTGGCTTCGCTGTCGGCTTGGCCTGTACTGACTTGATGTGAAGGTGTTCGGGACATGGGAGATCAGTCACTGATAGGCATTGCTGCTGTTGTCTCCGGCGAGAAGGACCCACGCAACTTGATGCTGGTCTTCTCAATGCTACGAGTCATCATGGTCGAGTGGGACATCAGCAAGCATTCCGACATAATGTTTGACTCGGTCTACGCGTACTTCCCCATCACTTTCCGGCCGCCACCAAACGATCCATACGGCATCACTGCTCAGGATCTCAAGGATCGGCTTCGGGACTGCATAGCCTCTACCGGCGCTTTGGCTCCTCACTCGATACCAAATCTGATCGAGCGTCTAGACGCAACATCTGTTACTGTCAAGCGAGATGTTCTCCAGGCTTTGGCAGCATGTGCTCTCAACTACGACCCAGAAACGATAGTCAAGTACTCAAATCCGCTGTGGGAAAGTGTCAAGTTCGAAATCCTTCAGGCTCAAGAACCAGAACTGGCGGATGAAGCGCTAGTGGTGATCAAAAACATCGCCGCGTGTATCTCGGACCTCTCCGGTGCCACCCCTGTGACGGTCCCACTGTTTACATATCTCAAGCCGATCGCGACTGAGAGCCTCGACCACCTCAAACAGCCCGCCTCCCGTCAAGCTAATGCATCTGGGGACATCCTGAAGGCTGCAGCATCTGCGTCGATCAGAGCGCATACCTACATTACAGAAAAAGTTGGACCCAGTCTGATGACAACCCTTCAGGACTCTGATGGGATCCTGCAGCAGCGAGCGATATTGGAAGTCACGAACAAGCTGTTCGAGGCCGCAATCGAGGTCTATGGTTCGCGCGCCTTGCCAACTTCGAGGCACAGCGGCAATCCCGAGAATGCCCTGGGTCAACTCAAAGACAATCTTGTGGCGGTGTACAGTCAGGCGTTGATGGCGACGGTCAAGGAGGAAGTTTCTTTCCGATTGACAGCCGCCAAAGGACTTCTACTCTTTGCCAAAATGCGCTCCATTCTGGACGACTCGGAAGTCGGTCTTTTCGTACAATACTTTGACGATATCGTGCTCAAGGAAGAGTCCTATGGGAAAGATGAGCTGAAGCAAGTTGCGATAGCGCCCTCGCCGAAATATCGACATTCAAGCCCCGCCTCATCTCCGACATCAGCTTACCAGCATTCATGGCTTGCTTGCCCGAGACCGAAGGAGATGCGGCCAATGCTACTTACCAACCAGTTCTCAATGCACTAGCTGACTGAGCATCGAAAAGGACTTGCTGCAAACAATAATGCGGCGACTTCTGGGCAAGTTGGACGGTCTCTTCCGATCCACGGCTCCAGGTCCGTTTCCTTACACATCAGCCATTCTGAGCACGATAAAACGCATACTCAACACAATTGTCCTCAAGCAAAGCATTTCACTTCAGGAATATTTCGAGCGGATAGTAGTGGGCTATTCGCAGCTGGCCGCAGAGACTCAGTCAGGGCCGCTAGGCAATGAAGCAGTGTTAGGCATGCTCGGTGCTGTTATCAACATCGTTGTTCGAAATTGTCCCGAAGGCACAGTCCAACGCGTGGCAGACAACTTCTATACACTATTCCGGCAAACCTCATTCAACACCAGTCACATTCGCTTGTCGGCGTATTTCTCCAGCCCCAGCGCCGCTAAGGTCATTTTATCGACCTGGATGTTGGCGGCGCTCCCAAAAGCACTCGATGCAGCCGTCCTGTTGAAGGGTAGTGTTGCTGACGGGATTGAGGACTTGGTGCTATTCGCCAGCCAGACGCCAAGTCAGACGATCGAGCTGAATTGCCTAAGACAGGTGGCTCTTTACATCAATAAACATCTCTCAAATAAGGATCTTATCCTCGCAAGCAACTTGCTCGACAAGACACTCCAGTCACTGTACAGCAACGACTCTAATCCAGACTACGGACTACGCTTGAGCTTCTTTGTCACAAAGGCACTAGTCCTACGCCTTGCTCCACAATCGAATGCATCCCTCGAAAGCCTGATCAACCTCCTCAGCTCGCCAAATACATCAATAGCTAGACAAGCCGCACTTCTCTTCCGCGCCATTCTTGCTCCTGACGATGTCCTATCGAAGGAGAACTACGCTCAGATACGTCTCCTCGCCCCACAGCGAGTATTCCAGAGCCTCGTCCCACTGATCTCCACGCGGTTTCGTTCGTCACAGTCGCCAGCCGAGAAAGAGAACTACCTCATCGCCCTCAGCGGCATCCTCGCCACTGTCCCTTCCGACATCGTCATGCCCGAGCTACCTACGCTCCTCCCACTCCTGCTTCAGTCGCTCGACATATCCGATCAGAATGTCAAGACCGCCACCCTCGAGACCTTGGCAGTGGTGATCACCACCAATCCGTCCGCTCTCGAGGAGTCAGGACATGTTGCAGCTCTAACGAAGCGCTTACTCGCAACCGCCGCTCTCAAGAACAACACTGGCTCATCAGCTCAGCAGCCCTCTCTTCCACGGACGCGCCGTCTTGCAACGCGCTGCATCACACTGATGTCCAAGTACCTCGCAGGGAGCACGGCACGGGCGAATCCCTTGCTCAGTCTAAAAGGTGAGGTCCTGCGGGGCCTGCTGCCGGTGCTGGACGATCCGAAGCGTGATGTAAGGAAGGAGGCGGTAGATGCGAGAGCGGCCTGGTTGAGGGGTGTGGACGATGAGGGTGATGAGGATGATGATGAATAGACTGCACGAGTGCAAAGAGGCTTGGGATTCGGGCGTCTTGCTGAGTAGTGGATTGTAGATAGATAGATCACAGCCTCCGCGGCGAGTAGTGATCAAAAAATGGTAGAAGTCTCGCCGAGAAGGCATACAACAATTCGAGCAACTAGTGAGGTGATTCCGCAAAGGACCACGAGTCGAAGCTAGCAGGCATGCTCCCCTCGTCAACCAATCTCGACAGCGGCAACTTGTCATCCGGTCTCACGAACGCTCCGCTGACGCCGGTTGACAGTGCAGGTCGAGTCGTGGAAGGTGCTGGGGTGAGGGTGAGGCACCTACCTCGCGTGGCGTCCATAAGGAATGCCGCTGGGAAAGAGCGACAGTGGAATGCTTCTGCCGATATTGTCTATTTGCGAGCCCGGCGAGGCAGGTGCGGTGAGGGAAGGCGAAGGTCTAGTCATCCAGTTTGATTCAGAGCCCTGCTCAGACCGGTTGACAAGGCGTGAAACGGTACCTGTCGACCGGCGTTCGGTGAATGTAGTCATCCGGTCTCCTGAAAAGTTACGCGTCAACCGGCGTCGAACATACAACAGATCGGGTCCCCTAGGTACTGTAGCTCGTTCATGGCCACGCAGGTACTACTGTAGTATTCGGGAGTAGTATGAGCGCAAGCTGCACCGCTGGCGAGGACTGGGTCGCCGCCATGCTTATTCGTGGCGGGCAGCAATATTGTTGGATCATTTTCGCACAGATTATAAGTACAAACAGAGCACTTTTTACAATCGATCAACCATACAACGGGAGTTTTGCTAAGCACGGCACATGACGGTGGAGAGCTAAAGCTCAGAGCTGTGTATGGCGTCGTGCACATATGCATACATCCTACACACATAAATACACAACGCTCGTGCGCGACCAGGGATGGCGCATCAGCGCCATCTCTCGACCTAGCGTCCCGATCTTTGACACGCACTGGCCCAGCTGGAGCGCTCTCTCAGTACGCGCTCTCACCAAAGCGACCAAGCTGAGCTCCTCCTGCTCCGACTTGCTACCGTTTTTCGGGTCCCATACAGCCTCATCCAAGCCGGAGCCGACGACGATTTGCCTCTCTGTTGCCCGGGAGTCATGCTACTACCGGTGAGAACCTTCCCATTCAGAGCGACCTGCTCCTCTCAAGCGTCCTGCTCTAAAGCAACGTCCGTGGCTGTCGCAGGCTCAGCCTGGGCGATTGGCGCAGAAGCTACCGATTGGTCCCGGCCTGCATCCTTGGGTATCGATCCGTCCAGCTGATCAGGTGTTATATTCGCTTGCGTACTGTCTGCAGCTGCCGCGTTGTTCGCGACCGGGTCTGTGTTCGTGTTGTTGGTTGGAAGGCTGTTATTTGCGGCAGCCTCGTCGGTGTCGTCGAGCATGTACAGGAATGTTTCCCATAGCTCGATCAGCTGTGTCACTGGTTAGCAACCCATTTATCGAGACTTGAAAGGCAGCATGACTTACCTCCTTCTGCGCCTCCACCGCCCCCTCTAAGAACGTCTCAACTCCTGACTTGAAGTCCTCGACTTTCTCCCTTTCGAATCTCTCCAGCTCTCCCCTCATCAGCCGGCCCATGTCCTCGAACAGGAGTCGCGCCTGATGCGCCTTCTTCTCTGCGTCGCTCACGCCCGCGCCGACCTCGTTCAGCTTATCCTGCTGGGACTTGCCCTGCCGTAGCAACTTGTCATGTGCGTTCCGTCGCTTCTGCAGTTCTGACTCCGCTGCATGCCAACTATGGAACGCTTTCTGGCGCTGCTGGAATGCGGTCTTGACTGAGCCGACAAGACGGATGTATTCGTCAATAGTGATGCCGAGGGTGAGGACGTCTTGTTGTGCTTGTCGCTCGTACAGCTGCTGAATGCGGACCTGCACGTCGGACAAGCCTTGTAGCGGTCCGGAGAAGTCTGGACTCAGCTCTACTTGCGCGAGGTTACCGAGACTAACGGCGAAGTCGCCTGCTGCTTCTGACAGGCCTTTGCGCTGTACAACGACGGTGTCGAGGGCTTTCATGAGCCCCTTGAGTTGATTCTCGAGGCGTCGAGGTAGATCTTGCGATCGTGGAACCAGTCGTCGTGCTCGACGAACTTGCCGGAGGAGGAGCCGACGTTGATGCCAATCGATGAAAGCATGCCCTTTGATTGGCCTAGGTCTGGTTCGCGGGCTTCCCGATTCTTTACGTCCACGTTGAATGCCTCGGACTCAAGGAAGATCTTCAGGTCCGCGTCATGGTGCAGGATAGGGTGATTCGCGATCTTATTGAGCATGCGCTCGAGAGCCTGGCGGCGCGATTCGACGAATTCGGTGTCGAAGCGGCCAACGGCCTGCTTTTCGGGTGGAGGTGGAACGACGACGCCTGGATTGTTGTTGTGCAGCGAGTTGTAGAGCCATAGGAAGTCGCGGTATCGACGAGAGACGGTAAAGGAGGGCTGTTTGTAGGCTTTTGAGGAGGTCTTGGTGGAGACGGAATATACAATGTGGCTGCTGGTCAGATCGCCGACTTTGTGAGGGTCGCCAACGAGGATATCGAAGGTAGGCTTCGCTGCCTGTTCAACGCTTATGCTGGGCTGTGTCTGTCTTGTCTGGGCCGCTGGCTGCTGTGCTGCGACTTGTGGAATTGGCCTTTGGCGGCCAACCGGCAGGTTGAGTGCGTCGCCTTCGATTGCTTCTGAGCCCTGAGGTCTAGCGGGGCGATTCGTCTCTTTCCGCGGAGGTGTCGGAGCTTGATCGACGGGTATAGGTGAGGTGATGGGTTCACTGCCGCCACTCAGCGGTCCCAAAGGATCGAAGTCATCGCCGACGCTTTCTAGCTTAGTGGGTTGAGCACCGATCTTTCGTGGGGGACCTTTGCGGGACGGCCGGGCGGCAGAGCTCGTAGTTGTTGATGAGGATTTGGTCGGCGGTGATGCTACTGAGGTCCAATATCAGTACGTGCCCACAGAGATAGGGTCGACGACCTACCTGTAGGATCATTCTCTTTGCCAGGACTGGAGACGCTATCTGCGGCCGATTGCGACGGCACATCTGGAGGTGTTAGTCGTTGTATAGAGCTGAGCGGGGCTTGCGCATACCGCCCCACGGAGAGTCGTCCATATTAACGTTTCATCAATGCCCCAGTCTGGTTTGTGGGATAACACCAGATCTGAGGTTGTGTCAGTATGCTGTGCAGCATAAAGTACAGATGTAGGATGCCTGCTAGGGCCAGGGTTCCTTGCGGAGCGGAGAGGTCGTCAAGGCTTGGCACTCAGGAATACGTAGTCACCTCCAGTTGCTTCGTGAGTTCTTGCTTGCAAGAGGCATCGATGCGACCAGGAAGTCTGAAACCTGGGGACTTGTTGCGAGTTGGTAGTCACAATCACGCCTATTTGGGCCCGCCTTACAGGCTGGCCGGATCTGTGTGCAAGGTACAGACGGACAGAATTGTGTCAATAGTACAATAAATTTACAATTGTTGGTCGATGGTCTCGAGACTGCTTCGTGGCTCAGTGAACACATGCTGCTGAAAGCCGCACTCTGAGTCCTTGTGTGTGGGTTGGTCCGCCCCCAGTAAAGCTGCCCATCACGGCGGCTAGCTCGACTGGTTTGGTGTTGCAAGATCCGGACATGACGCAGATCCGCGGCCACATTGGCGATGGCTGCATGAGCACCGATGCACCCGCCGTCTTTCCTCGAATCCGTGGCTGTTCATCGCACAGCCATACCATAGATATCATCTCGTTCTCTCTCGACGATGACCAGCTTCATTTCTTCCCCTTCTTCACTGGCGAAGGCGGCGCCTTGATGTTCTCCTGCCCATAACTACTGATCAAATCCAACATATTCGAATCGTCATCCCCAAAGTCCCACCCATCATCAATCTCCTCATTCTTGACCTTCGGCGGAAGCGCCACTTTGGTCGGCGCGTCTCCCCTGTTCACCACCCCTCCGCCCGCCAGCTCCTCCAGCTCTTGGACTCCCTTCGCATCCTTATCCCGCCTCTTCGGCGTTACTTCCGGCGGCCCGCTCACATCCGTAAACGCATCTGCTCTGGGCGGGGTCTCCACTTCCACCTCATCCTCAGCTGCACTCGTGCTCGAAGCGTCAAAGCTTCGTCCGTATCTGGCGCGGAAACTCGCCAGTCGGCCCGCCTCGTCGTCTTCCACGCTTGTCAGCTCTTTCGAGCTGGGATTCCACAGCGGTGCATTGCGTGTATCACGTGTAGATCGATAGACTGGATATGGGGAGGTGGTGCGCATGGTGAAGGCGCTGCCGTCGGATAGCGTGACGAGTTGGGTGAAGGTATAGGGCCGGTGCGGGCGGCGGAGAAGGCGTGCGTGACGGCATGATTGACAGATGTATGTTGTTGTGTTTTTAGGTGAAGAGGAGGAGATGGGCAGGGACGGGAGGTGTGATGGTCGGAGGACTGGGCGGAGTGCGGTTGACATCTTTTGGATATGGTGTCGGAGGCGCAGGAATTATTGCTGATGGGTTGTGTGGGTCAGGACGTACTGCGAGCTAGTGCTACCGACGAAGGGGATTCATAGGTGCCGACGAGGCTATCGTAGTGAGTGGTGTTTGTAGTAATGAAAGCTGGAAAAAAGTGCAGATCGTCACGGTCGTACTGATGTGATCTCCGACCGGAAACTGAATCCGGTGCTAGTTCAGCGCGTGGTTTCCAAGGTTTCGATCTTCTCCGGATGTCAGAATCAGGAACTCTAGTAAAGACCTTAGCATAAAACCCGACGATCAATCCGGTGTGGAAGCGCCATCTTCGACAATCAGCTCTTGAGCATGGAGCCGTAAGCCGATGCATGCATATATCTGAACGGCCTAAGTAGATGGAAGCTCAGTGAATCTAGAGTCAAGGCCTAGTCTGTGATGCCGGCAACGCGCTGTATCACGAGAAGCTTGGGGAACAACAGCACGGGTAGCATCTTATGGAGGTCTAGTCTTCGAAATCATGCATGCCCTAGTAGTCTCAAGCATGCACACGCTGGGTCCCCATCGGTAGGCTTGCAAAGCCTCCGCCTCTTCACATCTAGTCCATCAAGCAGCGAGCAGAACGTATCCACGGATCCGACACATCGGGCTGCTACTCTCCGACAAGTCATGCGCAACGTAGCATATCCAGTCGCGATAGTCACGGCATCGCCACAACCCGCGACCAGCTCAGAGCCTCAAGATCCTCACCATTGGCGGGGTGCTACAATTTCATCTTTCACCACTGTAGCACTCGAGCCGGTCCCTGTGGTTTCCTTCAATGTCAAGCACGACTCTTCCACCTTTAAAGCTCTTAAAAGTTCGGGCAAGTTCAATGTCCACCTCATGGGATGTACAGGCGGAGCTCGCATTTTGGCCAAGGATTTCGCTGGTGGACTTGGCTCACGGCCTTTCCATTCCAAAACCTCGGGAGCTCTTAAGGCAACCTTCGCCCAGCCTACTGCCGGTGATGGAATGGCTCACCCGACAATACGTCCCCAGAGTGCAGTGACTGTCGAAAGGATTTTCCGACAGCCTTCTCGGAGGTCTCAAAAAGGGTTTGCCGACCTTCATCATCATCACGAGACCGTGCTCTTTCAACTCGACTGTACGTTTTTGGCCGACAAGACTGTGGAGATTGGAGACCATGTCGTTGTCTTCGGCGAAGTTCGTGGTATAGACGGCGTCAAAGACGGAGATGAGGCCGCCACGCCACTGCTCCCTGTCTGTTGTACATCCACGGGCATTTTGTTGACTTCAGGCCCGTAAATACCCCGCAATGCGAGGTATGCGAGTCGTTTCTGGGGAGGGGCCCAGCTGTCAAGCACCCTCCGCCACCCGCATGATCGCCCCTTTGAGGCCAGTCTGCTCGGCGATATTGCTGCTGAAAGCCTTCATGCCGAGGCCACGGGCGTTGCTGAACAGACTGGAGAGCATGCCGTCTCCGGACCCGAGCTGGTAGATCCAGTTGAGAGCATCGACGCTGCCACCCATGAGAAGTCCCTTACCAAACCGATCCGAGCTGTATCGTTCTAATGCGAAACTGTCTCCGAGATCCATGCCGTGCTCGACCGCGTACGCAATAGTCTCAGCCAGCCACCGTGCATCGGCTAAACCAAGGTTGAGGCCCTGACCAGCAAGGGGATGAATTGTATGTGCTGCGTCGCCAACGAGGGCGATTCGAGGACCAGTCAGTGTCGTGGCTTGGCGGAACCGGAGAGGGAAGGATGCGACCGAGTTCTCTTGCACTTCTAGGACTTCTGGCACCAGCGTCTCTGTGTCCGTTGGCTTAGTATGTTCATTTCGCCAGTTATATTCTGATACAATTTGTTGCGTGGACTGTGTTCCGAGGCCAGTCATGTACACGAGATCGGTCTCGCTGCATCGGACCGCAGCATTGACCATAGCGACGAAGGCTGCGGGCTCGATGGACTTGAGGAATGAAGCATTTGCTGGCGTTGTGGACCAGACCAGAGAGGCGTGACCATTCGGGAGTGGCAGGATCGCAATTGGGCCACCCAATTGGGGCAGAAACCGCTGGTAGGCAACTGAGGTTCCAGACTCTTCCAGTAGCATTGGGTTAGCAACCTTGAGAGTTGCCACAACTCCGTGACGGTGGTAGTCCCAGCCATGGGAGCTGATGCCTGCAAAAGCGCGTACCGGCGAATTGAAGCCATCTGCACCGACGAGAAGTCTTGCGGCGATTTTGGGCGCGCTAGGCTCCAGAGACAGTGTAGGCCAGCTCGAAAGATCCGCCCCATCTGGCTCGTTTTCTCCCATCTCAACGGATCCGACTTTCGTGTTGACCATCAAGGAGTCCCCTGCATTCAGTTCGTGGATCCTGTTCAGTAGCGCACGCGTCAAGTTGGCGTTCTCAGTCATCGTAGCAACAACCCTTGGTGGAGCGTTGTAGCGTTGAGCTTCGGCTCTCCAGTCGAATCGCATGACTGCATCATTGCTAGCATCCCATACTTGCATCGCATTGTACGGCTGAATTCGTTCCTGCTCGATGTGACTCCAAGTGCCGGACTGTTCTAGAAACTCCACTGATGCTGGCGTTAGACTACTGGCGCGATTCGAGAAATGATCTGAGGCCATGCTCCATGATTGCTGCTTTGCCAAGTCTTGAAACTCGATGAGTGCTGTTCTCAGGTGCTTGGTCTTCGGTGACGCTTCTGCATGAAAGTTAGTGATACACGTGAATGCAGAGAGCGGCGAGCTCACTCAAAGCAGCGAGAAGTGCAAGTCCCACAGGACCACCGCCGACTGTGACCACATCGTAGATCTCCGGAGTGGCAGAGGAGGCATAGTGTCGTCGTTTGGGGACGAGTAGCGAAGCTCGGCAGGTCCTGCATACATAGCCACCTAAACGCTGTGTCAGCGGCTTCAGCATCGTCGAAGTGATGATGTGAAAGCACAGAGCATCAACAAAGTGCCGTGAGCTGGTCATCAACCTGAACGTCGCTACCGGAGCAAGAAAAACTAGGGTTAGGGCCGTTCAGACGCTTGAGAATGACACCCACTTCGCGTCACCACTAGAACTTCGTTCTTGTGTTTCTCGACCTTGACTCATTGAGTCCACGTCAGCTGGAATCAGGTCCAGGTCGTTCTTGCGTAGCCGCTACAATCACAGAGCATCAGCTTGCATTCGTGATGTCCGCTCGCGCAAGTGAATTTCAGTAACCACAATTGTTTCGACACCGACACATCCAATTGACTACCAGCCGGCCTTCACGACCTGGGCTGTGTAAGGTATGCATGAGCAGCATGCAAAGCACATTTCCCGTCATGATACCGTACCCAAAATCGACGTGTCGGACGACTCCCGCCCAGATGATTGGTGGGATCGTTGTGCTCAAAGGGAGGCGCTTTGTGGTGTAACGGCAAGCCAAAGTTCCGTCAGAGGCCATCAGCCCGGCCAGGATGGCAGTGCCGCACCAGGCCCAGCCGGCCGCAGCTGCGATATCTGCCTTAGAGAAGTATTTCACTGCACCACGTCTGCATATCCTCCGCTCGTTGCTTTCTCAACCCATCTTCTTCCTCCTGTCACAGTTTAAGAATCGTTGAACTCGCCCCTTGCCCAGAGCTCGTGAACGACCTTCAGAAATCGAACAGTCATCAGCCCGATCACTCATTACGATGCAACCATACGCACTGTCCATCGAACCTCCACCTGGGTACAGCCATAGCCAAAGCTACGAGCCACCACCAGATTACTGCACCATAACGCAGTCTCCACCACTTTACGAAGAACAACACAATTATGCCCCATCCATTTACTCATGTCCAAACGCAGTCATTGCTGTCACCTCTCACATCAATGCATCCCGCGCCACAGTAGCCTATAAAAGGCTCTTCCAGTATCTCGGATCCTGGCGATGCTCGCGATTGATACAGCTGGAACATGAACGCTTTCCACCCGAACAGAGAACGCCCCTACTAGGCAATCGGCATATGCTCATGAGTAGGCCCCCTGCGCATGCCAGGGTCAGATGCCTACGATGTCAGATCCTAATCCCGACGTTTTCACGCAAAGGTCTGAGAAAAGTCGCCCAGTGGCTGCTGATCATCTTCGTTGGCCTAACACTTATTCATGCCATCTGGTGTGGGCTGCAATATCTGGTGATTACCATTGGACGAGGCATAACTGCCCTTAGCTGCATAGTTTCCCATTTCAGCACAAACGTGGCAAGTGTCGCGAGCAGGGTATACCGTTCCATGGCACACTTCCTGTGGGGAGTCGAACACCACTGCGAAGCATTGTACACTGGCCTCATCGCCTCGATAGCGAAGTCAGTCAAGGCAGTGCCATGAGCTTCCTTACGGCAGCTCGCCGCGTATTATCGGTAGAGCACCTCGCTCGGAAGGTCGCGAGTTTTGGGAGATGGCGACAAACATCAGCAGCTTCTCAGCCGCTCCTAGGTCTCTGGCATCAGACACTTCAGTCGTTCCCAGGTACTTGCTGACCCTTGTAGGATGGCACAGGATCCTGCGCGTAAAGTGCTCCCCATGAGCACCAACGACAGCTCGACTTGGTGCCTTCGGGCCCTAGTCAACATAATCAATCGAGAATCCTGGCTGGCTGCCCGTATGGTCAATACGAGTCTGACCACAACGGCGCGCAACCAGGAAGCTGCCCGTAAGACAAGATAATTGCACGCGCAACAGTCGTCAAGACCGACGAAGGATAAATTGAGAATCAGAGATTACGCAGCTAGTTCAACTTGCAGCCAACGGTTCGACAAGCGAGTACGGATAAGTGGAATCTTCATGCAGCGGATGCTGATTCTGCCTTATTTTTGACTCAGTTCAAGTAATTGCTGCATGATCCATGACTTTTCGTGGCTGTACTGACTCGTCTAGGCCGCTCACGTGACTGTCCTCGAGCATCATCGCAATTCCGAACTTGCATAACTGCCGCGCAAGTTCTTTCGCTAAGAGGTTCTGCCAGCAAATAAGCTTCCCAGAGCAGATGATGTACTTTGTATGCGGTCCTAGTCATGACCCGCGTCGAGCTGCATGCGACGGTGGATTCTTGCCGCGCCCGAGTGTTACCGAACAGCAGACAAAGATATATCGACCCCTGCGGCTGCAGATATGCTGCTACTCGACCTCTATACAAAATGCTAACAAAAACGGAGGATCTCGAGCAGCTGGCTGAGACCTGCCTGGCTACGGCCAAGGCGATCAAAGAGCACCTGGCTGCCAATGGAAAGCCTCAGATGACATTCGACCAGAATGGGCCACCTAATTTTCCTGACGACGCGCCACCAAATATCCAGTATGCTCGACTGACGCTTCGTGAAGCTGCACAACGGTTAGCAGACCTAGTCACAGGTCCCGAGGAGTCGGTGGGATTCTACCCATATCAAGTCGTGCGTGCTGACGCGTTGTGTGGCATGACAGTACTGACACACCTAGAACCTGGATCTGTGCGCATATCGGTATGCTCTTAAGTTCAACATCGCACCGGCTGTGCCACTGAATGACTCGATTTCGTACGCGGACCTGGCAGCGAAGTGCAAAGTCGATGCAGGCCAGCTGAAGCAAGTTCTTCGTCAATTGATGATGACGCATTTCTTCCACGAGCCTACGCCGGGTATGGTCGCGCATACTGCTGCATCCAAGCATCTCACTCATGGCGGCGCGAGAAGCTGGATGCAGTACAGCACGACAGACACACTGGGTTCTGCGTTTCACTATCTCGATGCCATCGAGAAATGGGGCCATGGGTCCCAGGAACACGATCAGTGCGGACTCCAAATTCACTATGGGACCGACAAATCGATGTATGAGTACTACGAAGAAAACGAAGAAGTGCGGACCAACTTCAGCGATCTTCTGACCTATGCGTCCACCATGGCCGCCGTGTCGAATACATTCATTGCTGCAGGATATGATTGGGCTAGTCTAGGAGAGGTGACTATCGTCGATGTCGCCGGCAGTCGCGGTCATAGCAGCGTCGAGATAGCACGATCGAATCCGAAAGCCAAGATCATCGTCCAGGACCTGCCGAAGATCATTGATCGTGCCAGGAATCCCAAGACCTGCGTGATCCCGAGAGAGCTACAGCCACAGATTACTTTCATGGCGCACAACTTTTGGGACGAGCAGCCCGTGTCAGCCGACGTGTACTTCTTGCGATTGATCATGCATGACTGGTCCGACAAGTACTGCATTAAGATCCTACGGCCGCTCGTCAAAGCCATGAAGCCCGGAGGTCGCATCATTATCATGGACGAGATTTTGCCACCCGTGGGAGGAGCACCGCAACCTATTGAGCGATTCATGCGAGCACAGGATCTGCACATGGCTGTACTGACGAACGCGAAAGAACGAGATCACGAACAATGGCAATATCTTATCCATGCGACAGATCCGAGATTGATAATCAAGAGCATGACGTTACCGCCGGGGAGTGCAATGGCACTTATTGAGGTCGTCCTCGCAGAGGAGACAAATGGAGATGTCGATGACAAGATGAAAGAGATACAACCCCAGCTCGAGCCAGTCAGCGGAGTGGCTTGATTGTACATTGAGCGCAAGCGATTTCCTGGATTGAGTGATCCTGTTGAATAACGAAGCAACACGAGATATGAGTACCATAACGACGGCGGAACGCAACGTGCGAAATCGGCCTGGCTGCCGAAGCCATGACATCCATCTAAATAGCAAGTCACTTGAAACAATCGCCCTTCCTCGAAGGGCACTTCTGAACAGTGACTGCATTGGCGCGACTTTGAGGTTGGCTGATCAATAGTAAGTGCGAAATCCAGCTTATAAACAACAATGCGGCTCTCTTGAAGTGAAGAGCGATTCGTCCAATTCTTCTCTTCTTCTTGCGATCTCCTCCCCCGTTGATTCTGATCACCAGAGCGCTTGACAACTTCAGAGACTGGACAACCTATGACGGCGGCTTGTCTTCGTATAATTGGGCTTTGCGCGGCACGATCATGGTCAGGAAATGCGACGTAAGCGTCGGCAGTTGTGTTTGGCTGCCTGCCGATGCTGGTGAAAGAGATCCTGCTGCGTACAAAGCCTCCGGGCTCTCCGAAGACCTTCTTGACCATCCAGTCCTTGTCGTTGGAAGCCCTGACGGTCCCGCTGAGTACGTCTGGATACTGATTGTGAGTTCAGCGACCGGTATTCGAGCATCTACCACTAACAGTTGCAAGATGACGTCCTCGCATCCCGAGCCAACCAAGTTGCTACCAATACGTCGTTGGATCCTGAACAAGGAGACTGGACAAGACGAAGTTGACATCTGTCCCTCCTGCAAGAGGAATGGCAGACAAGACCAAGCACTTGCCTACTCAAATGTGCAGAAGTCAATTGACGGGAGCCACGATACGAAAGGAAAATTCAGCCATGTCTGTACCGATAGGGTCTTTGAAGTTTCACCACAGATGCTACGGTACGATTCCAAGGCGATAGAAGAATGTTATTGGGACACGTTCAAAATGCCCTACCGCCTCGATGCGCCATCGATCCACGCAGTTCAGAGCAAAACGTTAGCTCTGCGCCAGGCCTTGATCAAGAACAGTCGTGGGATTGTTCCTTGCTCTAATCCTCGAGGAGGGAAGCTCCACTATGGCCCGGACCATGACTGCACCGTCCCTCCAATTGGTCTCATCACAATCGGGCAAGTCTTGAAGGTATACGGCGCCAATGCTGATACTGCCAGCCCCAAGCCGCAAATCTTCTTCTGCTTGGTCACTTCCATCAGTGGGGACTACAAGCAGGCCATGATCTTCAACGTGGTACGTCGAGCCAATATTTCTTGCGGACATGCAACGTATGCTGACAAGACCAGATCGACTGTGATATTGATGGGGCCAACGCTACTGTGGATGACGGGACGAGGCGGCACTATTGCTTGTCCACTGGTGACCTCCAAGGCCACACCGAATTGTTGTCACAGGAGAGAGCCGAGGATTCCGGTCGTTCTAAGAGAACCATACTGATCGACCTGGAAGCACGCTCGGAGGTCAATGTTTCCGCGCTCAAACCATTGGACTACATTGAGCCAGACCACGGTCCTGCATCACTACATCGATCGTGTTACCTCAGCTGCGAGGCTCAGCAGCGACTGAAATTAGTCTTTGGCTCTCACTTGACAGACTTCGGAAGGCCGAGGCGCTTCAGCGGAGCGCCCATCGCCGGCGTCAAGTTCTCATCCGAGGCGTATCGTCCAGAATCCCCATCAACAACCGACAAAGCTAGCATATCTTCTTCAGAGACGTCAACGTCGAGCACCAACACCGCTGTATCGTCCGGTACAGGACCCGGATCCAGCTTGCAATCCTCCATCGTGAAAGCAGCTGTCATGGCGCCGCCGATCTCTGCGACTAAGACAATCAATGGTCATATTCAATGCGGCCAGGTGCTTCGTGGTCGAATTGGACCAGCGGTCCCAAGAAAGCCGCAATCCACACGCGATCAGCAGATCGAAGCCCACGTCGTCGTGGTCAAGATCAACAACGATGGTCAACACGCAGTGGTATGCCGACTGGGTAGCCTGAAGCCAGCCAACGCGGCTGCCGAGAAGAGCAGTGATGAACTTCACAAACGTATCAGCGGCCGGGACCCACCATCGTTCATTCCCCTTCTTGGAGCTCACAATCCCGTTGAATACTACACTACTGTGTTCCGACTCGAAGAAGGCGCAAACATAACGCTCGTTCCCAACTTGTTCGTGCAAGTCAGCGCGTTCCACGTTGCGAAGGTGAGCGATCTAACGAAGTTGCCCGATTGCTCGGACTACAATGAGAGGCGCCTGAATGCCCCATCTCGTAGAGTTCTGACGAGGGCTTGGGAGGATTACTTGATCGCAAACTTCAAAAACTTTCCTCGCGCAAAAGAGTAACGGAAACGAGACCCTACGTGAACGCTAACGCTCCGAAGGTCAACGGCCGCAGCCGGCGTGAGACAGTGGCAGAAGTAGCGCAGAGTATCCTCGGAGCTGCGTACAAGCAGGCGACCAAGCTGCTGAAGTATGGCTCAAAGGGAGAAGAATTGGCAATGGGCCGACCCCATACTGGCGGGCATGATGTTTGTGTATCGTGAGTCGCGCGGGAATCTGGATTGAAGTGGAATTTGGGATATTCAGTGTGGTGCTGGGACATTTCGAAAAGCGAGGTACAAGCGTTGTCCGCCACAATCAGGTTACTGGGACACAAGCGATTGCCTCGCCGTGGAGTGACTAGACTCAAGTGGCAGTGAAGAGAAAGCTTCGATTGCGTTCAGATAAATTCACTAGTCTCCGTGGTAACAATTCACGGCTTCAATGGCTCCAAGGCAAGGTCTTCCTCGCAGATTCGTTGTCGACAACGCCTAGTCAGACCTGAAGTACGCTTGAACTTGACGAACGTCTAAACACGACCACCTCTGCCCACACCAAGGCTGCCCTGCGTCGACAGTAAGTCGCGATTATCTACAATGACCATATTGCTGACAAGTCAAGTCGATCATAGTCCATCACGCGTCCGTGTCCACCATGTCTGGACCACCCACTCTGCCTCCTGAGATTCGCGCCATGGTCTACCGTCATGTGGCTCATGGTGCAAGGGTCATATTTAGACCAAACAGGCCACTCTCGACATGCGGTGCTCTCCTAGTCTCCTGTAAAACGATCCGCGATGAGTTCCTTCCGATCTTCTACGAGGAAGTTCGCATCGACTTCTCCGCTCGCATCGACAACAATACTGGGGCTGTTCAACTTCCGAACATCGAACTCGGCGATCTTCGGCACGTCAAGCTAAGTGAGAATGTCTTCGCCGGCTCAGGAGGGATGATCCTATTGAGAAGAATATCAAGCCTGAAGTCATTCACTTTCGCCTGCAATGTCGAATGCTATCTTCCTGGTTGCATGGGTGATGCGGCTGGCTGCGTGAACGGCAGTTGTGAAGTCTGTCTGTCGGGTCTTGAAACGTACCCCTACCATTCGAGCGGAGATCTCGGAGGCAACGCTATGGAGGTCCTGAAGGAGGCAGTCGAATTCCGAAAGTCATATCTGCTGGGGAGTTGTGGGTGCCATTACAGCCATAACCTGGACCCCATCGACTGCCCGGGCGGTAACCCTAGACGCAAAGTTATTGGAGCATGGCAATATATGGGGAAGCCGTTCAAACTGAGCGCCGAAGTCTGGTTTATTGTTGATGGTAGTGCGCCTCTGACAAGTTTGGTGAGCAATGTCCCTTCTTCCCGAAAATACGAATACTGATAGTGCCAAGTTCGGAATGTTTGACCTGGAGACAAAGACAATGGTCGTCAGAAGCGCAGCCAACCCTGACGAGATTCTCGGCCAGTTCACAGTCGATCTTGAGGACTTCTAGAAGATTGGCGAGCTCACATCGCGACCCAGATGGTTGACTAGATGGTTGACTACTGCCGGATAGGAGGCGTTCAAGCAGGTGCCGCCAATGAAGCTCATCACAGACCATAGCTGGTAGTGTCTGTCGCACAACAGCCGCTTGCGGAACGCGGACGTGCCACGACGAGATGGTGTTGCACAACAGCAGCCGCCACTTGGAGGAAACGACTGCTGAAACCCTTACTCTAAGTAGCTCGTCTATGCAGATGAATAGAAATGCGAAGCACACACGTAACCAGATATGCCGGGAACTGTCGTCCTGCGGCCTGACCGTGACGCCTACCTGGAGTTGCCCGGCTACTGGTTGGCGGTGCTGCCATGAAATATATTCTATCGACTCCGCATGAATTCACACCACGAAACTGCTTCAGAGGTGTCCGGGCCTTCGATGTAGGTTCTTCGCAAGAGAACACGCCAGAGGCGGTCAACAGTCTACTAAGCCGCGAGGTTGGCTGACCTTCGCATAAAGCAGAACGGAGGTCGATAAGATCGGCGTCCTCCGGTCTCGTATCAGTCCAACGCCAAGGTTGCCATGCATGGAGCAAGGTTCTGAGTTTGCCACGACTTCACCTCTGTTTCCAGACGATGCGAACTACACCATAGTATGCTATCTTATGTATTTGCTGCATGTGAATGTGGGGCTGCGACCCTCGATCGACCCATTACCACCAAAAATCACCAGGGACAAGAGTCCTTCAGAGGTTTCTGTGCTGCTCTTTCCGCCAGCGTCTTCGCCTCCGACTCTGACACGTGGATGGCTATCATACACAGGAGTAAACCTTCTGAGTATACAGAGAGCCTTTGGATGTCGACCAAGACCACAGTGGCTCACGTAGGCAGGTAGGTACGTGTAGAGCTGGGCCGATATTTGGCAGGGCAAAACTTCTGCCTGTTCACAATGAGAGCCTTGTTGGTTGAACGTGATAGTGCTGTGAGGTAGACGTTGTTATTCCTTAATCACTGATGACTGTCATGTGCCTCAAAGCAAAGAAAAGATGGCTTGGTTACCTGGTCAGTAAAGGCTTAGCGTATTTGTCAATTGCAGCTCACCTGCTCGTCTAACACAAGATGAATTTAACGCACTGCCGCACTCAACAAGACCGCGTTGTGAGGGTGCCGCCATGGCTTCGCGCTTGGATCGAGAGCTACCTTCGTGCAAAGCAATTTCTCGCCAGGCCCTTCGCGACATTATCACTGGTCATTCACTGAGAGAGTGGAAAAAGCAGCGAAAAGAAAGAAAACGTCAAGCGCAGGCGGAAGAGGCTGCAAGAGCCATTGCAGCTGGCGTTTCGGCCTCGCGACTTCCTCTTCACCCTTCGTTTGCGCCTCCTCATTTTGCAGCACCTTACCACTCATATGCTGCCTCTCACACCACCCTCCCACAAGTCCTCAACCACCCTCCGGGAGTCCCTCCGCTCATGATGGGAAGTTCGGCCGACGGCAGTAATGCCAACAACCAGACTCGCGGCATACTCAAGCCCGAGGCTCAACGCTTCCATAGCGGCAATCCTCAACTTCCACCATGGCAAGGTGTGCCTCCGCAACAACCATATCCTGGCGGTCCAATGGCTCACGGCTTCTATCCACCACAAGCTACTTATCCCGCTCAAAATGCCTATGCCCCACATCCTGGCTACCCACCGCAGACCGGCTACCCGTCTCAAAGCATCTATCCGCCACAACATGGCTTTGCCAACCAGAACGGCTACATGACGCCAAATCCACTTCCTACTCCAATGAATCCGCAGTCTACGTACGGAACGGTCATGGCGCCGGGTCCGACGCAGCCGCCAGGTGGATGGCCTCACCAAAACCTGCCTCCTGGAGCACGAGCTGTCAGCCCACCACGATATCCCACTGCCGAAGATCTCAAGTACAAGTGCGCCATCTGTGGTCGGTTCCGCTCAGCAATCTATCACTTCGAACATCCACTACCTGCAGGTCAGATTCCGCCAAGCACTGTCTGTCGTAGATGCCGTCATGCCTCGACCGACTCTGAGAACGACAGCATCGCCGACTCACGTGAGTCTCACCGCCAAAGTCGAAGCCGTCGCCGATCATCTAGTGTGCGCAGTGCGCGACGAATTGAGTCAGTCGGACCATTTCTGGGGAGGACTCCGAGCCGCCGAGGTCGCACGTCCTGCCGAGACTACATTCCTGGAGACACCTACTATGACGACGAGAATCGCCGTACACGTTCCATATCGAGATCGACTTCGGTCGACTCGATTGTCCGTCCGAGCTCCAGGGCGGGCTCTGGACGCAGTGTCATTCGTCATGTCCAAGTTGAAGAGCCTGTCCACGAAGAGCTAGTCGTCGTTAGACGCCCTCGCCGAGTCCGCCGGGTAACATATGTGGATGATGACGATTATGACGATGGATACGATGATCACTATAGTAACAGTCGTGGCAGAGGTGTCTCGCAGCGTAGGTAAGCATGTACATACTGAACGAAGTCCAAAGCCCGCCCTAACATCCATAGCACTCATCGATACATCCGAGCACCGACTCCAGCCCCACGTCATGTGCGCAGACAGCGATCCGATCCTGGCCTTGCTACTCCTGAGTTCAAAGATCAAGCCAGCTACTTCGAAAAAGCAATGCCTCGTCGGTCTGACTCGAGACGCCGGGATCCTTCTTGGCGACGCGATTCACACCAACAAGACTACGATGGATCGGGACACGAGGATGATTGGTATGCCAACGCACCGGCCCGTCATTCCGGCAGATCTGGCGACCGATATGCTAGCTATGGTACGTGAGACGACTAGTCGAGTTTGCAATAAGCTAATGAACGCATCACTACAGGGCGGGCTTCAGAGCGCTCTATTACTCCCCCTCGCTACGTTTCGCGCGGCCAAGAAGAAGCTACAATGCGCAGCGCTAGAGACCATACTGGCAATGCCTCCTCATCTCGTCACATGGAACGTCCTAGATCTCGCAGTCGCAGTGTTCATCCTCCGGCACCTGCACCTCCGCGTCGAGAGTATGATAGCGCAAAAACTAGCGACGACTATTTGACCAATGACAAGGACGGCATGCGCGTACGGGTGCGAGAGATATGATGTTCGACGACACCGACATGCTGGTAGCTTGCGAACATGGCTGAACCCGACAGTGAGGAAGCGGAAAGCCAGGGTACAAATTGTTCCGAATAGGCACTATCGCTCGTAAAGACACCTGAAATGGCAACAGGTTCTCAAAATGAGCAGTGTTTACGTTGGCTAGAGAGAGATAGGGATGGGAGGACTGAGTCTCGATAATAAGCGAAATGGGGAGGAGATCCTGTGGGTGAGATCGCAATTATGTGTGATCCGAGACAAAGGTAACGAGAGATATGCATTCGGCATGTTCCTTGACAGGCTGGTGGCTTGTCAGTTCCGGCCGGCTTGCCAAGTGCTGCCCAATATTCGGATCATGGTGTTGTGGCAACACTTCCGAGCTTTTCGTCTCGACCTACCAGAGTGGTCGACTCAGAGACGAATGAGCAGGACATGGTCTCTGAAACCAACGAACAAAGTAGCAAAGTGCAGGACAGCATCTCCGTGGCTCGACTCCAGGAGCATCAATGAAGAGCTGTACCTGCTTATTCCAAATCCCGCTCCTGCTTCCCCGCCATCATAACGACGATTGACACATGTCATATCTGCGCCTGCCCGTTTTTACGTTGTTTACACTTTGCGATCGTTATCGCGCAATCCATCAATCAATAGCCACCAAACCCACACTCCAAACCCGACATCACTGCAGATCATATCCAGTAAATGGTTTGAAGCTACTACAGATTAGCTGACGACAAAATTGAGATCGTGGCCACTATGCTCCAGGGTTTAGCGAGCGCACAATTTCATGCAGCTGCCGACCCGATCAAAGCAGGGATGACAAAATGAAACAGTTCACAGACTCACAAAGGGCAGTGGTGTCACTGGTGTGAGATGGCGCCGACAACGCTCGAGTTGAACGACCAAAACCCACCGCAAGAAAAAGGGGAATTTCCCCTCGACGCTGGATCCTGGTCGTCCAAACAAGCGTACAAGGTTGCTGGCCCGGAACTCTCGACGATGGCCCCCGCGCGTCAAGCGAACTCTTTGCTTAGGGGTCGTTCGCCCGGTTCAGGATACCGTAAAATAAAACATCCTTGAGGGTTCACTTTAGGTGCCCAAAGCGCTGGAACAGATGGCGCTACTAGCCTCGCAAGCGTGCTCTTGGGGGTTTCAGCGGCCATCGCGCTCACCGCTGCAGAGGAACGCATCCGACTTTCTGCACAAAGCCCACCTCGACAAAGCTATTGCGACCGAGCTCATCTGAAGAAGGTATTCGTCGGTACAGACGACATGCCTACAACCGAAGGGGCCATGTTGCTTTGCAGAGCCTCGCTATCTACGCTGATTGTGCCACGGACATGCACATCAGGGACAACGGGGCTGCTTTGCCAGAAGCTACACTCAATGTGCAGAAATGCGTTCGGCGAGAGGCACACCAGTAGTTGATGGGGCCGAAAGTCCAGAAGTTCCGATTGACGTGTACACTTTCTGGCCAGTGATTACCTAACGTCTTAGACGAGTAAATACCAGCTTTACAGAACACCAGTCGTTGGGGGCGGTGTCAGAGTTGTCGAAGCGCCGGCCGATTCTTTCGAATCGAAGTCTGATGAGGGTTCGCTCATGCAAACATCCCTCAGATACGACAAAAGCCTCCTGATGTGAACAACTGAACAGGTTGGGATGGTCGATCGATTAACCTCGAACACGTTCACAAATTGGAATTTGAGCAGGGTCGAGCCTGTCGAAACGGGTGGGCCGAAGCGCCATCCCTAAAGCATTTTCGGGTGCCATCGAATCAGCGTCCAAGCCCCGGACCTTTTGACACCTCAAATGGGAGACATCTCGTATCTGTGAAGGTCCAGGTCGAGTCCAAACGTTCAACCACTTTTACGAACCACGGAGACTTTCTTGTCTGCGAGAGATCTCGTGGCGCGACAATTGATATCGCAACATTCCAGCGACTGCAGACATACTCTGTGCGCGGGAATGAATATCAAACCGACCACAAGTTGCATCGGACACTAGCAAAAGTTCAACTTGGCGCAGAATCGCAGATCGCATTGGTGGTCGCCATGTTACTGCCGAATACCGTATCAGTGCGAACCACTTCGAGCAGGTCGTTCCTCCTAGTGCCGAAATGGTTGGTCAACACCCCTGCGTCCGGCTACGATAGTCCGCAACTCGAGGCACGAGGCAACCATCGCCAGATGGACAGAACCATTTGCACACCGGTTTCAGATAGGCCAATCCTGAAGCGCACAACGACTACGACACACCCCGTCATTCCCTACGTACGCCTGGTATTTCACACCTGGACCACTCAATGCATCTAGGACAAAACAAGACAAGGCTTTTGGACGCTGTCGCTGAGAACGTAATGCTCCACTCCTACCTCCTAGGCCTTGTCAAAAAGACCTTTTAGTGCGGACGCTCCCTCTATGCCGTATTGGTGGTAGTTGAGGCTCTGCTACCGCAGGTCCTCTGCTTGTTCTGGCCCAAATGCCAGGTATCCAAGGGCCCTTCACCACCGACCCCAGGTCGAGGACTTCATGATGATGCTATACCCTATATCCTGGCTCCTAGCTGGGTTTCCATCGTCCATCCCTGCCTGTCAATCTGTTCGCTATTTTCAATAGCTACCATAAACATAACCCATCTTCATCATTTGTGTCCGACTTTCACATACCTTGCCAACAATTTCGGTAGTTGGGTGCTGTATTAACTCCTTCAGTCCATCAAGAGAAGTGGGCTCACGACTCGATTCAGCTCCTGAGTTGAGCATCCTTGACCAGAAGCGGATATAAACATTTCGTGCTCCCCACGTCAAAGAGGCTGCATGACATTTTTACAGCATGAGCACACCATTCCTGGACTTTGACTCGCCATCGATTGACCTGAGCTCTGATGCAGCACAGTTGTTCGACAAAAACCAACATCACTCCAACACCATGGATGCCACATACGTATCGGCATGGGCACCACAACAGCTCGAACATGAGCTGGCTTACCACCACTACCAACAAGATCCATATCGCGTCCACATCCGCCGGCTCTCGGCGCAATATGACCCCATGATGTTCCCAGTCGGCATCCCAGACGTGATGCAAAAGCCTTCCATGTCGCTACCGATGCTGCAAGTACCACTCCAGCATCAGCAGTCGGACTATCCCATCGGCTGGCAGCCTCTCTACCACACGCCGGAAGAACATCGCCACTGGTCACCACTGTCGCGGGTCTCATCTTCATCCGGCTTTGACAACACATGCAGCCCACCCAGCCACCATGGCAGCATGAGTCCCGCAATGGCGACAGAGGTGCTGGCTAGCATGCTTCGCGAACAAGATATGTATTCGTCGCCTGTGTCAGTGCATGGGGCCTACCCGGGCATGTCTGCGACTGCCATGTCAAGCACCGGTACTTACGCGGTGCAGGCGCCTCATGTGATTCCAAGTCAGCACTTCAGCATGAGAGATTTCGACTGCTATTCCAGTGATGGCGAGGAGCCACCGCTGATTGATGCTGAAGAGCTGTACGCAAACCAAGCTTACCAGGTTCCGGCGCCCGTCGAACCTGAGCCTGCTTCGAGTCATCGGACAGCAGCCTTGAAGGTAGCGGACGAGCCCAGCGTGCCGTCCTTGCAGGAGGCTGCTTCCCAGACAGTTCTCAGCGTCTCTGTTGCCGAAGAACCCATCCCACCAGCCTCAACGTCCAACAAGAGCAAGGCGCGACCTACCTCATCCAGCAAGACCAACCCACGCAAGCACGCTCGCAGCCCATCAACAGCTTCTGCGTCATCCGAGCCTCTACAAACGGCCCCTTCTGCAAAGAAGCGACGCATCGCTTCTATAAGCTCGCTTAAGAGAACCATATCAGCCCCCACGGCCCCCACCACCAAGTCAAAGCCTCTACTACCCTGCCCCTTCCACGCCTTCGCTTGCCCGGCCGTCTTCCCGTCGAAGAACGAATGGAAGCGCCATACCTTGTCGCAGCACCTTCGCTTGGGCTTCTATCGGTGTTCCTTGGGGTCCTGCGCGATTGATCATCCGAGTGGGGTGACGCAGGCGAGGGGCTATAACGACTTCAACAGAAAGGATCTGTTTGTGCAGCATTTGAGGCGGATGCATGCTGACGAATGTCCGGGCATTGTAGCTAAAGACGAGGAGCACCAAGCCATGGGAGTGAGTGGCAGGAGAAAGACGTCGAAGGCAAAAAGTAAGAAAGGGAAAGCAGGGCGTAAGACTGAAGATGCCGGAGAGTTGGACGAGGCGTGGTTGGAGCAGGTAAGGCGGGAGGCTTGGATCTCTGTTCGGCTTGCGCCTGGTGGGGATGCGCTTGTCGGATGTGGGTTCTGCAAGGAGAAGTTCGGCTGCAGGCTTGCTGATGCCGGAGAGTCTGACAGTGATGACGACGGCAGCGATGCAGAGTCCTCGGCAGATCATCGTCATCCTCGAAAGCGCCGCCGACAACAGAAGATCTCTCACGCCATCACGGGCGAAGAAGGCAAAGGCGCAGACGTCGCCATGTGGGAGAAGCGCATGGAGCATGTCGCTGCCCACTACGCCTCAGGCGCGAAGGTGGAGGATGAGGTCCTCGATGAGGGCTTCAAGAATTGGGCCATCAACCAGCGCTTGGTCGTCTGGTCTGGTAGCTTTGATGGCAGTGGAAGTTGGGTTCTACGAGAGATTGCTGAAGGCGTCGATACGGCTGGTCATCAAGGGGTGGTTGGTCGTGATTATTCACACCCGTACGGTGAGCACGAGCCGGCGAAGACGGGTGGGAGGAGGAAGGGAAAGAACTCGTTGGCCAAACATCGTGCCCAGCGAGGCCGCAACGACACGTGGGCTATGGGGCCGGTGGTAGGAGCGAATGGATCTGGTGTGGTCTCTGATCCGGGCACCTTTGGTGCCGTGGCGAGGAAGAGTGAGAGGCTGTTGGTGAGTGGGACGAAGCGGAAGTACGTTGAGTCTGATGAAGAGGATGAGGATGAGGTGTCGTCTGTGGATGATCAGGGCTCTTGGGGACGCAACAAGAGAGTGAAGATCAAGGAGGAGGTCGTCGTGCAGGAGGACTTGGATGAGGAGGAGGATGTGGAAGCCTCGGAGAGCGATGCTGATGGAGAGGACGACTACTGACTATGGTGTGTTCTTGAGCCTCACCAGCTCGTCGATTGCTGCTGCTGTTATGTGATGTTAGCTGGATGGATATCTGATACCCCTTTTGTCACTGCTGTTACCACCAATGGAATAATAATTGCTAATAGAATGAATGACAATGGTCCCTCAAGCCACGAACCTTACTGCTTCCCTTCCCTATGCCTACCTTTCAATCGTTTACGGACTTGCGCTCCTTCCACGCGGGCTTCGTCACGAGGGCTCCTTCCACAAGGGTACCTTCCTCGAGGGCCGCTTGCACGAGGGCTGCTTCCTCAAGGACTCCTTCCACGAGAGCTCCTTCCTTGTCCGTGCCTGCCACTGAATCACTTTCAGCATGCAGTAGGAGCGTCCGAGCCGTCGGTCAACCTATAAGCTCGACTCGACACACGTCCAGAGTAGGGTGCTTGCACCCTTTCCTTCTTGGAATTTCTACTCTGAACGTGTGTCGAGTCGAGCTTATAGATTGACCAATGGCTCAGACGTATGCGTTTCAGATAGCTAGGAGGCCGATGATGCCGTGGGCTGATAAGCCAACGACAAAACCGACACCTGATGGTTGAGTTTGCGACTGTGCCGATAGACGTGGTGATTAAGTGACACCTTTTGCAGGAATTACCTGCATTATGAAAAAGTAGCCCACGCAAGATACCTTACTTAGCGTTGTTGACGATGCGGCGAAGAGCGAGGCAGAAACCAGCCAAGTCGGCATAACTAAAGTGCCCCTGGAAAGGCGGCCACGCTGAAGTCTGTAGGCGCCAATGATGGGCCGCCAGGCTCGAGCATCACGCAATTTCGAACCTTAACAAAGCTGGCCCGAGCGCTGATCCTCCCACCCCAACTCTCCAGATCTCCAGGGGCGATTTCTCGGGACTACCCAATTAAAGCTTGGCCCGGCGGATTGGAACCGAAGTGCTGTGCTCTGTTATTTGCTGGCTAAGAGCTACTGTTGATCAACCAGAATTTGCGCTGCAGGTCCAGAGAGTGCCTCATGGACATGAATGAGAAGCTGATGCTTAACGGCGGATAGGTAGGTTGATTGGTCGTCAGCGGACGTGAGAAAGTAACATTTACCAAATCTAAGCAGTGTTGCGGGACAGCTGGAGACTGATGAATCAAGTCGTCAGCTTCACACACGCACACGTGCAGAGCAGGGCTTGAAGATCGATAGGGTCTGGAAGTATGTTTCTGGCCCTCAAGTTGCTTTCGGGTACGAAAGCGAGTTATGTATATACAATTCGTCGACATCTTCTCTCCGGTCCAGCGTTGCCGGCCTGTCCGCCTGCCCAGCAACATACTCGCATCGCTCTTTGCTCTTTCTGGTGGTCGAAATAAGGGGCGTTGATGTGCTTATAAGTACAAACGTCCTCAATCGACCCTCGTTACCGTCTGCTGCTCCTTCAATACTGTAAAAATCTTGTACGCCGTGCTCGCTTCTGCATGCGCTCTGACTGTGATCATAGAAAGTTTTGATGATATTGCTGTTTTGAGCGCGTCCAACCGCGCCCTGGCTTGGTTCCAAAATAATGTCGTAAGTGAAAGAGTATCACATAACCGTACAGCAGCCGTCGCTCCCTGCCGCTTGGGGATTGTAGGGGTCTTCTTTGCGGTCGACTTGGCCCCAGACTGAGGGGACCATGTAGTCTCGGGTCTGGTTGCAGTAGTTGATGAGACTGTGTGTCGCGGGCGTCAGTGATCGTAGCTTTCGTCGTGTATGCTTTGATTGCGCCGCATGTCGAGCAAGGCTGGCTCAGGAGAGGGAGCGGGAGATACTCACGAGATAGAAGCTTCTGCCACCTTAACGCGCGGTCGGTCGAGATCCTCCTTCAGTCTACTGTTGAGTTCTTGTAGACGGCGCAATTTGAGATCCGCCATAGACTGTTTCTTTGATTTGGTATCGCCGCCATCGCGGACTGCGTATGCGGCGGGCATTGTTTTTGAGAGCTTGGATGCGGCCGGAGTGGGCGAGATCGTGACAAGTCGGCAGAGCTAGATGCGCACAGTAGCAACGGAGTGTCAGAGGAGGTCGCAGGCGCAGTCGAGGTGCACTGCTTGTCCGGCAGGCTGTGGTGGTCCTACGAGGAGCAAGGCCGTGAGTTCCTGAGGTTGAGGTGACAGAAGTCTAAAAAGCAGGGGCATCCGGTACGGGTACGGTGGTCATTAAAGCAGCGAGCGCAATCCGAAGCGGACTTTGCCAAGCCATGATCACGTGTATCTTGTGCCAAGGCGAAATTAATGTACTCGTGTGAAGTGTGAAGTTGAAGTCATCAGAGTCCTCTCGACGTCTTTTCTTCATCTCTAGGACAGATAGCGATCCGCGATCTCGAGAGACATCTACACCGCCAAGATGCCTCCACCACCGATGATCAAGCCGGAGAACATCCTCAAAGTGAGTCCTCGAAGCCCTCCCCTTACAATCGAAGCATGCCTAACCAGAATTCAGCGTGCCGAAGAACTTCAAGCCGTTAACCAACCACTGACCGCGTTGAACGTTCTGCATGAACATCTTACCAACAAGAGATCCCGCAATGCCCCCATTGTATCGCTCGAGCCGGCTATCATCAAGCTCGTGCAACTCGCCGTCGAGCTGAAGAAGGGCAAAATCGCCAAAGATGCCTCTATCAGTATAAAAATATTGCGCAGAATACAAATATTGGCACTATTGAGGTATGTATTACTGTGCCACCCAGTCATAGTATTCTAACATGTCTGAAGACCGTCCTCACCGAATTCATCAATCTCGCCGAGAAGAAAGTCCAGGAGCACAAGCCAAATCACTCGAAGTGCAGGCCACATTCGACACCGCTCCCACCGATTCTCTTGGAAAGATCGAAGATCTCGAAGCCCTCGAGACGCCCGAGACCATCCTTCTCGCCACGGTGTCTGGCGAACAGTCAAAAGATCGCACCGATCGCGCTATCGTTACACCATGGCTCAAGTTCTTGTGGGAAACATATCGCACAGTCCTTGATATCCTCAAGAACAATGCCAGAGTCGAGATCTTGTACCAACAGACCGCCCACCAGGCCTTCGACTTCTGCTTGAAGTACACTCGCAAGACGGAGTTTCGCCGCCTGTGCGAACTGCTCCGTAATCATGTGCAGAACGCGGCTAAGTACTCGTCTCAGATGCACGCCATCAACCTCAATGAGCCGGATACGCTACAGCGACATCTCGAGACTCGCTTCCGTCAGCTTAACTGCGCTGATGAGCTGGAATTGTGGCAGGAGGCATTCCGCAGCATTGAAGATATCCATCAGCTTCTCACCCTCTCCAAGCGACCGGCCAAGAACACCATGATGGCCAACTACTTCGAGAAGTTGACAAAGATCTTCCTTGTCTCAGACGACTACTTGTTCCATGCCGCAGCCTACAACAAGTATTACACCCTACTTCGCACATCTCAGGCTGCCGTCGCTGCCGGCCAGAGTCCGAAGAAGGACAATCCAGTTGTGACTGATGCTCAACTGACCAAAGTCGCTTCATTCGTCTTGCTATCCGCCTTGGCCATTCCAGTCATCAGCACATCACGTTCTCGCGGCCTTGTCGACGTTGATGAAGCGCGAAAGAAGACGACGAGGCTGACGAATCTGCTCAACATGCCTGCCTCTCCCACGAGAGCTTCTCTGTTCAAAGACGCTCAGACAAAAGGCTTGTTAAAGAAAGCGGCACCAGAAATCCGCGAATTGTACGACATCCTAGAGAAGGAGTTTCACCCGCTGTCGATTTGCAAAAAGATATCGCCTATCCTAGCACGCATCGGCAATGATCCCGAGATGGTTGTCTACGTCCAGCCTCTGCAACAGGTCATCCTCACCCGCCTGTTCCAACAGTTGTCACAGGTATACGAATCAGTCGAGCTCAAGTTTGTCTTCCAGCTTGCTCAGTTCCCAGAGCCATTCCAGGTCAATCCCGCAACAATTGAGAAGTTCATCATGAATGGTTGCAAGAAGGGCGATCTTGCTATCCGACTTGATCATGTCTCAGGCACCCTGAACTTCGATCAAGATGTCTACTCATCTGCAAAAGCTGTTGCGGCTGGTGACGACTCTTCCGTTCAGCGTCTTCAACACACTCCGACTGAGATTGTGCGAACCCAGCTGGAGCGCCTAGCCAAGACATTGTTCGTTACCTGCAAATTCGTCGATCCTTCATTCAACCAAGCCCGTCTCGCAGCCCGTGAGTCCGCATTGGCACGTGCTCAGGCTGGCGCTGAGCAAGAGCGCACCGACACCCTGCAGCGACGTGCGATCATCGAGCGCAAGAAGGAGGCCGCATCCGAAGCACTGTCTAGGAAACAGCGCGAGGAGGAGACTCGCCGCCGTGTCCGTGCTCAACAACAAGCTGAAGCTGAGTCTCAGCGTCTTCGTGATGAGCAGAAGGCCAGAGAGCTCAAGCGTGTCCGCGACGAACAGACCCGCATTCGTCGTCAGGAAATGGAAAAGCAGCTCCAGGAGCTGAAGGGCAGCATGAAGATCGACCTCGAAGACGTCAATATCGACGACCTTGACTCCAACGCCGTCCGCATGCTGAAGCTCACCCAACTCGAGAAAGATAAGCGTGACAAGGACGTCAAAGTCGGTGTCACAGCCAAGCGCATCGACCACTTGGAACGTGCCTTCCGCCGCGAAGAAGTCAAGCATCTGGACGAAGACTACAACGCTCAGAAAGAAGCCGACCTCAAAGCCTACGAAGAGGAGAAAGCCCAGAAGCTCAAAGACTCCAAAGAAGAGCACGAGCGCCTCGTCGAGCTCAAGAACCGCCTCACCCGCCTCGTTGGTCCTTACGACGAGTTCAAATCCTCAATCACAAAGTCCCGCGCTGCCGAGTTCGAGAAATCCCGTCGCAAGGCCGAGCAGGAGTTCGAAGCTGAGAAGCGCAAGCGTGTCAAGGCTCACTACCAAGAAAAAGCTCGGCTCCGCCAACAGCAAGAAGAAGAGGAGGCCCGTCGCCGTGAGGAAGAGGACCGTCTCGCCCGCGAAGCCGAGCAGAAGGCTGCCGAGGAGGAAGAGAAAGAGCGCCAGCGTGCTGAACGTCGTGCAAAGGCGGAAGCAGAGCGTGCAGAGCGCGAGGAGGCTGCGAGGAAGCAGATGCAGCGCGAGGAGGAGGCTGCTGCAAGACGTGCAGAGCGCAAGAACCAGATCCCTGATCGTACTGCGCCGCCAGTCAGAGACTTTGGCAGTGTCCGTCGCGAGGCGGCCCCTATGGAATCTCGCACGGACTCGAACGAGCGTGCTCTGGGTGGTGCTGGAGGCCCGCCTCGTCTCAACTTGGCTGGTCGTGCTGGAGGCGGTGGTGGCTGGCGTGAGCGGCAGGCTGCGAAGGAGGCTGCGGGTGCTGGTGGTGCTCCTGCCCCGTCAGACAGAGCGCCTCCTGTCCAGGAGCCCTCTGCGCCCCGAAGTGGGTATGTGCCGCCGCATCTGCGCGGTGCTGCTGGTGCTGCTGGTGCTGGTGCCGGTAGCGGTGCTGGCAGTGGTGGTGACGTCCCGCCTCGCAAGGAGTCCCCCGCCAATGGCGATGCCGCTCCTCCTCGTGGGCGGTATGTGCCGCCATCAATGCGCAATCGTTAGGTTAGGCATGGAGAGGGCGCTGGGGTTGAATTTTCGGAGCTGTAGTTTCTTGAAATAAGACGACATTCTTTTCATCCGTTCATTGGACTCGTCTTCCTTTTCACTATGTCTACAGTGATATGCCTGATTGCTTACTGTCCACTGCACTACTGTGAAGGCTGAGGCACAATGTTCCGCAAATCCTCATCCCGCATCTGCAAAGCACATGGGTCGCTGCCGTCGCCGACGAAGTGGATCGAGAACTTCTTGTTGGTGATGAAGAGGACTGTCACGTCTTTCTCTCTGGTGGCGCCATGGTACTACTCTCCCGCGACCACCGGTCAGTACGCATGCTCTTGCCCCAAAAGTCTGGTCAGCTGGGCAAGATCTCGAACGACTCACCATCGTCCCTCCCTCGGGAAACCAAACCCAGCTTCCTGGCCCATACTGACCCGCATGAGTATCTAGGATTCCATCAAGGACATAAAACCCATGTCCACAGTAGTGAGAATGCCATGGATTCGTGAAGCCTCGCTTGTATTGCAATTTGAGGATGGTCATGCCGGACCCCTCGTCCTGGTGAAGTGGGTTGTGGTCAAGGTTGACATTCAGGTACGGCACCGGGAATGGCTGCCAGGGAGTGGTGTTCGTGTCGATGACTGTTAGGGGTACTGGTGAGGAGGGCGGCATTGTCGATGTTGGTCAATGTCCAAGATTTCGCGAACTGGCCTGTCCGGCAGTGGTTTGTGAGTCTTCAGTGGGAGTGCTGGACGTGCCGGGAGGTGCTATGTGTTAGGGTGTCAAGTGGTTCGTCGTAGCGGCTGATGATACACTTATATCGGTCCATATTCAGACGATTGGAGCGTCTAAGTGTGCAATGAGCCGAGGAGATCTTGAGCATCACTCGCAGCTCTCGTCGTCTTCTTCATCCTGATCCATGAATTGTGCTGTCACGGCCGCTGGACCGAATCAATCCATGTGCGGGGGTGAGGGCGCGTCTTTTTGTGATCGGCAGGACAAGCATGATTGCAGAACGTCTTTCTGAGCGTATGGACAGAAGGGCGACCGTCAAGCAACGGTCTGCCATGTCAAAAGAGGAGCATGAACTCCTTGTGATAGTCGATAATCAGTCTGACTGCGGACATCCGCGCAGGTGAGTGTCGTGTTGCCTGAAAGCCCAGCCACCCTGGGCATCACTACTCTGATTTGGGAATAAGGCGTTCAGGACGATGCGATGGGGACACTGACGAGTGCTTGAGTCGTACATCGACGAAATTGTGTATCACAAGTGGTCGCTTGGTCGTGTGGTGCGCGCGATGCCTGAAAAGTTGGGAACGATGGTAAGTCGTGCCTTCCTGGTTCAACAGCCTCTGTATCTGCCAGCATGTGGTGCCTTTCGCAAAAGTTTATGGCATGCATAGGAAGTTAGCTAGGTACCTGAGCTTTGGAGTGCAGGATTCTGGGTTCTGCGCAGCTTGGTAGCATGATCTCCAGCCGCAAAGGCTCGAGCCCGGGATGGCGCTGTGAGTCCAGTCAAATATTCTGTCGTTGAACTTCCCAGTTCCAGATTCTTCTTCTACAACAATGAGCATTCGCCGATCGTGACCGCCTGACACAAAGAACTCCTCCCGCGCAACGGGATGTGCACGAAGGCATCACATGAGATGAAAGAATTATCAGAGATCGAGGAGCCATGCAACAGATCCTCTGCGGCTAAGCCTTCAGCGCCCAAGAGCACACCTAAGCGCATCACCGATCTTCCCAACGAAATTCTGGCGCAAATCTTTCGCCTCACCATACCTGAATCGAGCGGGGGAAACGAATACTTCACAATCAAACACAGCTGTACGCGCTCTGAGAGGATAACCCGCCGCTGCGTATGCGACCCACCATGGACTCGACAACTCCGGCTCATTTGCCGCCTCTTCGAGAAACTCATCACGCCCATCATCGGCAGCCGAATTGAGGTCACCATGACATCAGCCATCGTGGGGAAGATGAACTTATACCGCCAAATCTGGGCACTAGATCAACCAGCGACGTTAGACATGAGATTACTCTGTCCGCTTTTCCTACTGGAACACGTCCAGTACATGTGTATTAGAAAGTTGGAGCTTGCGCGTTTTTGGTGCTCGCGCGAGGCTAGATGCCAGTAGGATGCCGAAGATCAGGGTTTTGGAGATGGATCCGTGGCAGCCGGAGAGGGTCATGAACAGAGACGGTATTAGTGTGCGGCCTTATTATAGTGGCGGTCGGAAGACCTGCCTTGTCGCTCTCGGTCTGATAGAGTGAACATCAGCATTCCCGACGTTGTAGCCACTACTAGTGTGGTAAAGAGAGGGCGTCGCAAGTGTTTGACGATGTGGCGCCGAGGTTGAGACGTATGCGACAACAAGGAGAACATTACCGAAGAGAATTGCGCTTGCAAGAAGGGGAGAATCTACAAACTAGAGACGACATTCAATGAGGTTGACAATGTGATCTGGTCATTTCGACTATTCACAGAGTATTCCTTGACTATCTGTAGTAGCTGTTTTGTGGTCAGATACACACACTCGGTGTCAAAAGTGTCCAGGTTCTTCTTATCCTGTGCCATGCTGGCGCCAAAGATGGAACTCCTTCAAGACCAGCAAATACATTTTCTTCGTTCATTGATTGACAAAATACAATTCTGTGTCCGTCGTTGCAGCCATGTCGACGTCCAACATAGAGACCGGATCCATGCGCGATCGGGTTACCTTGGTCGGCGACAGGCACAGCTTCAAAGTTAGTGCTTGCGAACGCCGATCAGGAGAAGGGTGAACTTACTTTGACGGCCACCACAGAGGGCAGCTCTGAACACATCTCCTTTGAGGAGGACTTCGTAGAGAAGACAACACGCCGTTGATGGCATGCCTAGACGTTGGAATGCGGGTGGACCTGCGCAAGTAGTCAGTGTGCTGAGCCTCAGCAAAACAAAACAGACGCTAGACTTACCTGCTCACAAAGTGCCCTCGTCCTTCGCCTTCTCAATCTTACGTGCGCTTGCAATCTTACAGATATCGAATCTTGCATAGCCCTTGCGGATCAACTCGTCGAATTCGGCCTTGGACACGTACTTGACCAAATCCGGAGGCAGGTGCTCGCCATCCTTCATTGCTAGAGCCACACGCTTGTATCGGACGGCATGCTTCGCAGCCTGGATCTTGTACTCTTCGCGATATGCGGCCTTCTCCTCGGGGGTCGCGTCCCAGCGGACAGAAGGATTGTAGATGGGTTGACCATCATCGACCCAGTCATCGTTGGGATTGGGGGAACGAAGGTGTTGGTAGGGGCCGTAGTTGTGCTTCCAGTGACTGAGGTGTTGCCGGTCTCAGCGGTCTTGTTGGACGAGGTGGTAGCGGTGGTGTTGCCGGATTCAGCAGTCTTGTTGGACGACGCGACGGACGAACCAGTCGGCGGACCGTTGTCGGACTTCTTGGCGGCGGTGGTTGAGACCTCGAGAGCCTCAGTGCGAGTGGGCACGAGAGGAGTACCATAGTAGACAGATCGAGCTGCGAAGCGATTAGTGCGTGCTTTTCTCTAGGTGAACAGGAGGAGAATCTCACGCTTGACAGTCATGGCAAACCCAGATGGAGTGGGAACCGCAAAGTCGGAGGCGCGCGGAACAAATGGAGGAGGCACAACGTTGTAGCGAGACTTTGTTGGCGATCGCACAGTCTTCTCGTGGGCAGAGTCAGCCGAGGAAATGCTCATTGGTGATTCGGTGACTGTGGACTGCTGCTTTCCGCCTTTGGCAGTAGCAACAACGCGAAGGGGAGTCTCAGCAGTCATCGTGATGGCTTTCGAGGTCTTTGATGGTGGCTGCGACTCGGTAGGGCTCTCAAGCAGGATGATCTCGGGTGCAGATTGTGCGCGAGGTCCGAAATCCTTTTTGTTTTGCGCTAGCGGCTTCGACTTGGAGGCTTCAGTCTTCAGTTGAAATGAGGCGGGAGCAATGCTTGGCACACCAGTCTTCTTCGAAGCAGCCCGACCACGCTTCGGTGCAGCCAGAACGGCCACACTACCAGGGGCAGGAGGCGGCGTATAGTATTTGTTGGTATACAGGAAGTCGAGAGATGCGGGTCGCTTGACTTCGCTGCTTGACTTGCCGCGCGTGGCGGCACCAGACTGACTTGAGCCACGAGACATGGTGTTGGTGACTGGCTTGACTTCACGAGTTGAAGTGCTTGAGGTGGCTGCACTTGCTCGAAGCGAATCGCCACGGCCATGGCTGTAGCTCCCGTCCTGAGTACCTCGCATAGCAGGATTGAAGCCAGCCACCGACATTGGCATCTGCATTGGCATCGGCATAGGGTAGAACATCATTGGTCCATTCATGGTGTTCATCATCATCGGACCTTGGTAGCCATATGGCTGATACTGCGCCATAGGAGCACCAACAGGGCCCTGGAAGTTGTTGCCATACTGGAAGCCGTTGAAGCCGCCCATGTGCTGGGTCTGGCCGCCAAATAAGCTGCCTTGCTGGCCATTGTTGCGACCAGAGATGGAGCCTTTGCCAGACGGAGAGTTGTATGAAGTCTTAGGGACAGCGAATTTGGTGGCTACAGTACCTGGCCCAGCCGACGACACTTTGCCAGACGTCTTGCTGGAATCTCGAGGCTTGCGCGTGACTTCGTTGTTCTGCGAAGCTGTGAGGTCGATAGGTTTGCTAGGAGAAGGAGTGACGGCCTCGCCCGATTGGTTTACACTTCAAGGTCAGCTTGCGCGCGTTCAGGTTGCGAGGGATGGCTCTTACCTCGCGTCGTAATCTTCGACAGCAGCAGTTCTCTGCTTCTTCACAGGTGGTCGCTGGTCCTCGTTCTCAGATGAAGACATATCGTCTTGGTTTGCAGTGTGCTTGACGACAACTTTCGGCTTTTCGACGCCGCTGGTGGAAGATCCTTCGGCAGACGGCTTTTGACCGCGACGAGGCGTCTCTGGAGCCGACTTCTTCGCACTGCGCGCACTCTTTCTGCCACCGACAGCTTGACGAGTCTTCTTGGTGGAAGACATGATCTTACAACCTACTCACACAGCCAACAAGTTGATGATTGCAGGATCAAAGTTGTGTTCACCAACCTGGTCTGGTAGAGTTGCAGTGCATCCTTTCAGAGCAAAGTTCGTGGGTTCCCAGAGACAGTGCCAAGCCCCCGTTTGCTTTTGCTGAAGCCCTAAATTACCCTGATTCACCTGACGCCTGGCGTTGCGGCAAGTGATGACCTACATGACCTCAAAACGTTGGGTGCTGACTAGTACTGGCCCAGACCTGCACATAGCTAGAGTCATAGACCCTCTTGAGAGCTTCATTGTCCTTGAATCCATTGCAGATGATTCTGCGATGGCCCATAATGGTAGAGGTAAGGTGAGGTGATGAAGTATGTATCTATGGCACAGAGCCAGCTACCTGGCTCTATGCAGACGCAGACAGGTCCATGGGCCTTCCTGCGAGTTTCAAGGCCATCAGATTCATTGCAGATGATCCTGTGGCAAGTGATGATAGCAGAGTTGAGAGGAAAGGGGATGAAGCACTGGCGTAGTTATAGCAATCCCTACGTCACAACACGTGACCTACACTTCAATCATCAAGCAAGATTCACAGCAAACATACAATTCCTTCTATCATCATTCACTGCATCAGTACAACCATGGATGTCTACAGAAACCATTTCCCACAGTCTCTCAGTCGCTGATCAATGCGAATCGCCTGAAGCTTCTCATGCTCGGAGAGGCCATTTCCATTCTCCCTCGGTCCGCCCACGCTTTTGTACCATCGGCCTACCGTCCATTTGAGCCACTGATGCCTGTCATGGTGCACATTGTCCGATTCTAGCTCTGGGAAGCCAAGAAACTGGCGACGACTGATGCATGGTCCGCACACCCACGCATCTAGTTCGTCAGATTGCTCAATGTTTGTAACAGCGTTCGGAACTTACCATGGGTTTGCCGGAAGCTTTTGTCGGCCTCTGAAAGGCAGCGGTCATGATGCCAGCCATAAACGACGGTACAAGCAGGATCGAAGCACACCGCCCTGGAGCGCTCTGCTGGTACTGCCTTGGACATGCAAATACAGTAGCGTACTATAGGCTCTCCTCGCGTGGTCCGCGGCCGAGGCCACTGGATTGGTGCAAGCTTGTCCGGATCCGAATCCGGGCCTCTCGAATCGTACAGCTCGTTGAGTTTTTCGAGCTGCTGGATGATAGCATGGGGCGCAATAGGTCTGGCGACGTTGATATTTAGCACCTCAGGCAATGGTGTTACTGTTGTTGCACTTGATGCTGCAGCGTGATCGTCTTTCTGTGCCGTCGTTGTCGATGAAGGGGATATAGATGAGCTGGGCGCATTCTGCGTTGGGACTGGTGTATCTCGAACGATCGCTGGATCAGGTTTGAAGTAAGCTATCCACCTTTGCCGTTCTTGTTCTCTAGCAGAATCTGGTACTGAATGACTTCTGGTCGACTGCGATGCGCTCGCCTGCCCCTGAGTTTGTAGGGAGATCTTCGGCTTGAACACTTCTGCTGGTGTAAAGAATGACTTCCACAGTTCTATCTCCTCCTCGTTGTCAGACTCGGAGTCCGAGTCAGCGCGTTTCCGCTTACGCGAAGTTGTGGCCGTGGACAAGGACAGCTCCGACATGTTGTGAGAGATCAATGATCGATGCGGAAAGCATTGGTGGTCATGTCTTGAATAACGAAAGGGTTCAGCCCCCAAGGCTTAGAATGTACTGTCAAGCAAAGTGAAGGTGTGAAGAATGTTGATATTGGTGAAAAGTTGCCCCCTTCCAACGACGGTCGCAGTACTAACAAAATATGGTTGATGTTCGCCGAACACTTGTGTTCAATGAACGGGATGGAACGAGATGCATCGTAAAAGCCATCTTTGGCAGTCGCAATGGGCGCACAAGGCACAAGGCAAAAGAAACCGCGGGCTTGACATATGCTTGTTGCTTCTACCTGGTGCTGAAACTGCTTCAGTGCCCTCCCTAATTGAATGGTCTTCAGTAAAATCTACTTTCCTTTCAGCACGTAGCGCGATCGTGCTGCTCGAGTCGACCATTACTTTAGCGACCTCACAAAGCATCATTGGTCGGACCACATCACTTAAAAGTACGGAAGCGATGATTGAAGCCCAGCATTGCTTTTCGAAGCCGCCGAGAACATACTTACCTGCCATGCCGTAGACTATTGGCCGCTACGTGTTTGCCTCGAATTTGAACTTGGCAGCAGGCAAACCACGAAGACAAAGGATATCTCCGCTCCTTCCGCGATCCCACATTCATCATCACTCTCCATATGGATGGTGAGCCCGGTGTTTGTCTATCGATCAAACATGATCCAGACGCACAAAGGCGGTGTTCTTGTCTAATCGATCGTAAATGCACTGCTCGTTACTGGACCTGCCGTACTTGCGTGCCGGAGCAGTCGGCGGAAAATGATTGTGCATTCAAAGTTTTCCTCATGGAGCGGGATTTCGTCATTGATGATAAGGCATCGGGAAGCATAAATATACGTGGAACATGGCTTCGACGCAAATGGCATCACGCCTGAACGCGAACATCCAACACAGGCCATCCATCAGCAAGCAAGCATGCCCTTCCCCAAATACATCCCAGACGCACCACCCGAGGAGACCAAGTCGCAATTCGACAAGGACCTCAAGGATCTGCACTTGATCTATGACTACAATGCGCAAAATGTAGAGACAGGCGAGCCCGAGAAATGGAGGTATGAGATGTGGTTCTTCTCGCCTGAAAGGATAGTCTACAAGATTCATGGCGGGCCAATGGCCGGACGGGTCAACTTCCAATCTGCTGCGTATCAGTGCATTCGCCCAGGAGAATTGTGGCAATGTAACTGGCTCGAAGGTAAGTCTTCTACGTTCTAATATGAGTCCTACGCTCATGTTGCTCCACAGAAACCGGCACCATATGCTCTCTCGTGTACGACATCCCTCAGAAGCGCATCACGACCATGCTGGGATTCTCGCAGGGCCACTGGGAGAAAGCTGAGGAAGCCCATGGCGACAAGCGGAATTCGAAAGATCTGGAGCGGTGGAGAAAGCTTGCTGAGATTGGGAAGCAGACAGAGTAAGTCGTACGATGGTTGTTATGCTGCAGTACTGATACAGTGTGACCAGTCGTATACTGCTCAGCGAGCAAGCGAAGATGGTTGATATCTTCCATGGCAAAGGCGACTTGGAGCCTATAAGTGGAAAAGAGGAGACTTTGTGATTTGCAGACGGGCCCTATGAGTTCAGCCCAGGCGTCAAGACCGACCACCGAGGACCACTGATCCCATTCTGCAAATGCTACGAGCAATTTGCAAGTAGTACTGGCGTCCTGAACTAGACTATCGACTTCCTCTCGAAGTTGGCGAGATGACGATAAAATTAGTGTCGGTCTTGGTCAATCTGACGGCGGCTTGGACATTATGCTAGATCGAGCCAAGCTGTTCCAATCACTTCCCTGGCCCTCGCGCACAATCATGACCCTGTTGACCACAATCTATCCACGGCCGACGGTGGTGGGGGCTGGGCACCGTCAGCCTTCTCCTTCCTCCTCCAAATACACACAGCCCGAACTACACGCTGGTAGTTGTCATCCCGCAGAGAAGAAGAATAAAGTTCTTCAAACCCCTCGAAGAGACGGCGCGTAATGCATGCAGAGCATACGAAATGATCTGATGGTCCGTTAGCCTCTGTGCACAATGATATGAAGTGGACATACGAAAGTTGTCTTTGTTCCGTCGCTCTTCCTCAGACAGGCAAGCCTCATGGTGCCATCCTGCTGCAACAGTACAGCCGGGATCATAGCATCGAATCATTGCAGGTCTGACATGGGGCTTACCACGGTGCCAGTTGAGTCGCTTGCCAGTAATGGAGTTCAGCTTTTGGACAGCTATACGGCATTTGCACGCCATGATCACCTTGACATTGTTGCGCCTCTCGACGGGCCACTGTACTGGATTTTTGTCCCGTTCCGCATCTGCACGCTCTTGACGAGAGTCATAGAGTGCATAAAGGTCGTCAAGTTGGGATAGAACGTAACGATACTGCTCCTCTGCAGATGCGCCGTGGAGGTTGATGGCATCGGGTGGTATGTCGAGAGTGCCTCGCGTTAAGCGTCTCTTCAGTTGCTGGGTCTCGATGCTGATGATACCGACCGAGGTGTACGCCCTTCTTGAGTCTTGTATTGGCTGCTCATTCTCGCTCTCGATCTCGACACCGGATGGAGGTGTAGTAAACATTGCTTCCGGCTCGTTCGAATGCGAGCTCAATGCCGAATCTGCATCTGTGTCTGAGTGTGGAAGATGGCGTCTGCCTCGTAAAGGATAGCGGAGGTTTTGCATTTGGCAGATTGATCAGATGCTGACTTAAATGCCAGGGAAGACGCGACCAGGTCGCTATGGATGCTGCGAAGACTATGCATTTGTACTTGAAAGGCGAGAAAAGTGGGCGCACTCACGATGCTGCACGTGAACTTTGCTCCGACTCGCATTTCAGGTGTACGCTGCCTGATCGTGACAGGAAGAAGCAGGTTCAGGTGAAGTTTGTGTTTTTCCACGCGGTCCACAACGGATGATCGCGACGATGTGCAGTCTTTTGGCAGCCTGGTCCACGCATAGCCACCTCAGCCAACGGTGGACTGTTCGCTATCTATCCGACGCAAGACCATAGTCGACGGCTCACACAAAGTGCCTAGCAGCGACCTCATTGGTCTCGAATGCTTAATTGAATCGCTCTCCGCAACTCTCGCTCTTCGGTCCCGTCTTCTGGAGTATGTCGATGACTGAGGCGCCAATTTTGCGTCTCCAACAGACTCTGCTTCTTGATGTATTCCAAGACAATCTCTTCTTCTGTCTTTTCCTGTGTAGTCTTCTCTCTTCGCGAGACCCAGGACTGAGCTTCGAGTTCTGCTCCTGTTGCGCCCGCAAGATGGGCTGCATCGAATGCATGTTGCTCTGCAGCTCTGAATGAAGGACCAGCTACAGTTTTTGGATGTTCCGTGGCTTCTGGAACGATCGTAGCAGGTAGCTCCAATTCCTCACTGTCTTCGTCAGAACCGCCTTCCAATTCGAACACACTACTGCCGCTGCTGTTAGTATATTGCGGTTGCTGATCGTGGCTACGGTTTTCCTGGAGGTTCGTCTGGAAGACGCAGCTGCTGTCCGTAGGTTGTCGAGCTCCAAATCGTCCTTCTGAAGCGTGATGTAAACCTTCTGCACCTGCATCATTATCGGCAGCTTCATGCGACCTGTCACGGGTGGGCTCCACGCTGACGACTGTCTCTTCGTGTAGAAAGCCCTGTACAAGTGTCGACTCGGGAGCCATAGTTTGTGCACTGATACTGCCTTCTTCTGCTGCGAGTGCGTTGCTCGAGGTCAACGATTCATGTCCGGCGTCGGGAGACCCAATGGTAGTCGATACTGGAGTGGTGTCTCGACTTGGCCCGGCAGCCTGTGGTCCGCCGTTCTGTTGTTCACCAAGGAGATCCCGGATCACTTCCTCGTACTTGCGCTTCTTGATGTATTTATAGATCAAGTTCCAGCGGTCGATAACGTCCTGCTTCTCTGCTTGAGAACTTTGTAGCCAGTCGTCGTACCCTTGCGCTGTCCTCGACGCAAGTATGAAGTTCTGTGCATTGCTGCCGAAGGCCTTCTGAACCTCTTTGTGCACACCTTTCATCGTGTAGCCAAGGACACCGCAACCGCCAGCAAGCGGCTTAGCAAAGAAGCCTCCCACTCCTTTGCCAATGCCCTTGACAAAGCCGCCAGCACCGTCCTTCTGGGCACCTTTCCAAGGCTGGGTAACCAGACCAGTGACACCATCATACCAGCCAAGACCGAATTCTTTGCCAGCGGTCCGCACCCCGGACCTGAGATCACTAATCTGGGCCTGGGTGCGCACTGTTTCGTCGCCCCACTGCTTTGGGAGGTTGTGACATCCTTTGGTGAGACCCATTGACAGTGTCATTGGGGACTGTACCAGCGCTTTAGTGAGCCTTCCGACGCCTTTACTGCCATGTGCGCCGGTATGGCGCAGCATGTCGCGGTCGATGCCAGAATTGCTCGTGGTGGTTGATGTCATGGATGACACATCTGTTTGCCTTCGATGAATCCCTGCGCTGTTGCAATCCGCATCGTCATTCAGGGTCACTGGACTGGATCCAGCTGACAACGAGGCAGTCGATGTGGCTTCAAGCGTCGGATCGTTTGTAATCTTCGTGCTCGTTGATAACGAAGGCTGAGATTGCTTGCGGCTCGACCTGAAAGGTAGTTGCAAAGCTTTCAGCGTTTCTGAGGGTATCTCTGCCAGGCCCATCGCCATGCCGCCGAATGCTTCATTAGCTGCGACGAAGCCACCGGAAATGGGATCCCAAGGACCCTCGTCGGTCTCGTACTCTTGTGCCCTGAAAAGCTTCAGATCATTGAAGCTTAGCAAATTAGCATTTGCTAGAGTGCAAGCGGCGAAGGCACTCAATCGAATCCTGGTACGTCTGACACGCCATACCGCTGCCCTGGATGGTGCTAGCGCACAGCGAAGCCGATCGACCTCCAGGAATTGATGAAATGACATTGCTGCCGAGTCGCTGCCACGTTCTGCCGCAATAGTTGTGGCGAAGTCCTTGGCCCTTTCGAGAGTATCAGGTCTCAGACAGAAGCTTATGGATTCGGCCAGGTTCTCGACTGTGAGCTGTTTATGGGGAATGGGCTTTGGTCCTGCACCTGCCCTTGCTACCATTGCGCCCCAGAACGGCTGATCACCAAAGAAGGGCACGACCAGAGTAGGTCGGCCTGCGGAAAGCCCAGCCGCCGTGGTTCCGGCGCCACCGTGATGTACCACACATGAGACACGCTTGAACAACCACTCGTGTGGCACGTTGCCAAGCATGAAGATGTTTGCCGGAACGTCAAGCTCGTCTGTGCCGAGGCCTCCCCATCCTTTCGAGAGAAGGACACGGACACCAGATTTCCTTACGGCCTCGAATATGAGCTTTGTCATGGCGTCTGGATCTTGCAATACTATGCTTCCAAAGCCTATGTAAACAGGCGGCTCCCCGGCATCTAGAAAAGTCTGTAGCTCCGGACTTGGCACATAGCCAGAAGCCAGATCGAGGAACGAAAACCCTGTAACAGAGATATGAGACGCCCAATCTTTCGGTTTCGGTATCAAAGCTGGAGACCAGCAGTATGTGTGTGGAACCCTCAATCGCTGAAGCATGCCAGGAGCCCATATCAGACTGATAGGATCTAGGCCGAGACACTTTGCACGAAATCTGTTGATGATGTCGCCTAGACCTTGCCACGAGAGTACTTCGATCATTCCGTAGCTCAGATAATTAGTCAGTTGAGGATCAGCGTTCGAAGACTGAATGTTGGCTAACGGATGAGGGAATGCTTGAGTTGGTGAGTATGGCATTGTGAACATGATGTGTAGTGGCACACCCAGCTTTTCCGCGCAATGAATGTGACTGAACGAAGGCGGATTTGCGATGATACAGTCGGCAACGAACGGTTTCGCCTCCACACCAGAGTCTTCCTTGGTAGGCGCACGAGAACGACTATCTGCTGCATGCTCGTCCATGCCGTCGCCTTGCTCATAGCAAGAGCGCCAGCAGCCTTGCATGTACTCAGCAACGTCCTTTCTTCGCTTTCCAATATCTCCGCTTGCAAGACTTCGAAGCGATGGCATGAGACTTGGGTTGTTGACCATAAATGCCATAAGTCGAGCAGGATCTCCGCCAATGTTGAAGAACTCGAGACCGTTACTCTGCACAAAATGCTTGAAATTGGGGTGAGTAGCGAGACGTACACGATGGCCATATGTCGTTTTCAGAACTTTGCCCAGCGCAACGAATGGTTGGACATCGCCCCGCGAACCAACAACATGAATGACGATGTTCAATGGCGGTGTACGTGAAGCGCCGATCCCACCTCCCAGAGAGGGTGGGATGTAAGGTGGAGGAGGCGGACCACTTTCCTCCGCACTCTCAATATGCTGTCGCAGAGCTGGTGTGAAGATTTGCGACAAACGACGGTTCAGTTGGTTGATGCGAATATTGACACGACCATCGTCGGCAACACGAGCGCTGGTGCCCGAACCGTCCTTCTCTGAGCCGATCTCACCGTACCTAGCGCCATACGCAGGCGGCGGCAAATGGCCGTCTGTCGATTCGGAGCCATCAACTGCCTGATCTAAGGTACCTGCAGAGTTCGCCTGGGCTGTAGCAGACGTCTCTGCTCGCTCAATCACCTGAAAGACAGCCTTCGGTACAGGTCGGTCCTGTTTGGGAGGTCTTCGAGTAGGCATGCTGACAAAGAGAGCAATTCGGTCCCGCAGCGACAACGGTAGAAATATCTTAATGGAGGGAATGTAAGTTGTGTAGAGGCTCTACCAAAATAGCTGCGAAGAAGTCTGATGAGCGTCTCACATGCTGATGTGTACGGCTTCGATGTCGTTCTGCGGATGCTGTATGCAAGACTTGTGGCTGAGCACCCAGTATCAACCTTTGCCGAAGGTGGAAACAGATGACGCTCAACACAGACCTAGAGTAGAGCACTGCGATGGGCAGTGAATGATAGTTCAAGGCAGCATATTTCATGTTTCCACTAGTTCGTGGTGCGGTAGGGTAGCTCCCCGTTCCGGGAATGCCACACTCGAAAACATCGGCGCTAAGTTAGGCAACAGCAAAAGAAGCTCAACGTCAGAGCTTGTTAGCGTCGATACTGGATACTCTCGCGAGCACAAGAGCGGACGCAGCCTTGAGCGGCGGGTGTGGCTCGTTGGCTTCGTAACTCAACCCATCTGTTGACGTCCCACCGTGGTGGCTAGAGCTCGTTCTGGCTGGGCTATCCACGGAGTTGAAGCGGGAAGAGATTGATCATTCGCCCTCTGCGGGCAGCAAGTTGGTGTGGTTACGAGGGAGCAGCTCTGACAGTGCTATCACCGAGACTAACTGGCACAGCCGCGCCGTCTAAATCAACCATTGGAGTTGTGTACTGTATAGGTAGGTACAATTTATCTGTCGAGAATCGAAGTGAGCACTGCACGAATTCGGGCTAGATCTAATGCGGTCTAGCGTCGGAATCCCGAGGAAGTCCAACTCAACAGCGCGTCATGTACCTACGAGGAGAGCAGGTAGCTTGAACGGTCATCCTTCTTTGCACTTGGCCTGTCATTCTCTAGAAGGCAAGAAAGCTTGAGCTGATGCCGTCGTGGCTTGCATTGTGTTCCTTGAAGCGGAGCAAATCGCTGCGGCTTGGAACTGCCGGTCAGATCTCGATGAAGCTGCTGCTGCAGTGAATTGAGACTTCCGATACCCAAGCTGCTCTGGGTGTGACAGGGGACCAAGCCCCGAGCTCTGCGCTGTACCATCGGATTGTGGATTGAGATGGTCCCTGATGCAGAAATTGCGAAGTCGCAGACGCGATCGGGCCAATGCAAGTAGTCAGGCTCTTAGTTCGGACTGCATGCACTTTTCGTCACGAGGACAGACAGCCCGAATCGAAGACATCAGTGCTAGCGCAAAATGAACTCTGTATACGCGAAAGACGAACACAAATCTGGCGACCGACGTCGACTGCTCGACAAATGGACCACTGCGAAATGCTATTCTGCCATCTGTCTATGCATATGCCAAGTCCATCCCACCAGTGCGAGTCCCGGGAATTGCACCACCAGCTGTTCACGCCTCTTCGGTCACAGCGGACTGACGCCCAACGCTCTGCGGCGAACGGCCAAGATGGAGCTGTTGGAACTGCTTAATGCTCCTACCTCTGTATATAGGAATACTGATACTCTTCGATATTCCCGCAGATCAGCTCTTTCCAACCGACGCGACATCGCCGCTCAACGCACTGCCGACAGATCCAGTAATCTTGATCGCGTGTCAGCTTTCTGCCACACAAACATTTTGACCGCTACACGTAGGATCCAAACTCACCAGTGTAGGTAGCAGCACATCTCAGCTCAAACTCGGTAAGACACCTACGGTGGTAGCCTCCGGCCTGACAACATGGATCCATGCACCACTCAATGTCTTTGCTCTTAGGGTCGACAACACTGCCGCACGAACAATATGGCGCGCTCGGTAGAGGAAGAAGTGCAGATCTTGCTGATCCTTGAGCACGCTTTTACCGCGCACATCATACCGAGCATACATGAGCCTGAGGCCTCTGCGAACTGTCAGGTACTTGCGGTTGTCGCTATCGCTCAGACCGACGAGCTCCGAACCGGAATCACGATCGCGCGGTGCCCTCGTGTCTAGGCGTACAGGCTTTCCGGTGAAGCTCTCAATCTGTCGAACGATCGCTACTGAATAAGGAAGACCCGTGATCTCCTCATGGAAGTTCTCGTTCATATTGAAGAGTTGGCTCCAGAAGGCGATCGCTCTCTTCAGCTTAGACCGAGGGCTCCTAGGCAACCGCTCCTTTGACTTGGTGTCCTCGATGGCGGTCGTTCCGCTCTCAATATTCCGTCCGACCTCGTTCGAACTTTCTGCGGCAGAGTGCTCGATTGTTGCAGAGGTTCCGTGTTCCTGCTGATCTACTACTCCGGTGTTGACTGTCCTAGGGAGTGTAACGAAGCTGGCTTGGTCGCACATGTCCTCATCGCCATCGTTTCGTACCCCTCCGATTGTACTGCCCGGTGCAGTGTGTGTTGGCAGCGCTGCTTGCCAACTCATTGCAAGTACGGGCTCAATTGTCTGCCCAACGATCAGACGCACGGGCAAACCCTTCCCTGGACAGGCGTTTCCGCTAGGGTCGGCTGGGTCGAAATATCTGCAATGGAGCTAAGTTAGGAACGTTGGATGACTTTCATCACAGCGCGTTGAGGGGGAGTGGAAGTATAAATCAATTTTAGAAAGACCGAGGGACATCACGCGGAAACGCGTAGCCAGTTCAGCGGGACTTCAAGTGACATTGCTTCCATTGGACAAGCGTTCGAACACAACATCTGCAGCCTCTATCACGGACTGTGATGCTTCACCCCTTCAAGAGGACGCCTTTCAATTAAGCAAAGGCGTCAGTCACAGAGCACCGGATCCTTTTCCGTTGGAGCTCGACATTCCGCAACGATAGTCATGTTGTGTTGGCTCTGCGCTCGGCTTCGTCCGTATGTCCCCTCGGTGAGGCAGAGGCTTCTCATCACTGCAGTCCGGTCTCAAGCAATGCGAAGAATCCAACGCTCGGTTCAAGTTCAAGTTCATGCTGCCTTATCGCGGTTGGCGAGCATGTCTTTCGCACCAGCCGTCTCGACGTCGATTAAATACAATTGGCCCGCATCTTGAGGAGCACGAAGTCTAGCGCTTTCAGCAGGCATTGCATCAGGGCCTGAGAGGTGGGTTAGGGGTGCGTGGTTTGGATTCCTTGTTGAAGACTTGTTATTGTAGCCACACGACCCGTTCGCAATACGATGAATTGCGCAGGGCATCATATACATGTGCCGTAGCGTCTCGATGTTATGCATAAAGCAGGATGCATCATTGTGAGGGTTGCGATGGGGTAAATCGCGCGAGCACAGAGGGTCCGAAGACGTCGAGAATGGCTTAAGCGAGCATCTTGGCGCAAGGTGGCAGTGCAGATCCTCCGCCTGCTGCGCCATGGCGCCCGATTCTGGTGATCTTGCCAGCCTGGTGAAGTTGTCGCTTCTACCACAACTCAAGGGTAGTTCGATTTCGTTTCTCATGCGTTACAAGTCTGCAGCGGCGTATGGCTGCTCCTGCACTCGGTGTTGGTGACATTGTGAAGGCCGCCAAACTCACTTACGATGGCGTTGGGGCTCTACGTGAGGACGAAGATGGTGCTCGAGCCCATTTTCAGCAGGCAACTACCGCGATAGCGCACCGCACACGAGCGGTTGAGGACCTGATCAGCGATCTCAAAGCCAACACGGGTGGCTCAAACCAAGCTGCACTCGAAGCATATGCTCCCCTCTTGGCAGAGGATACTGCTTTGCAAACGAAGATCGCGCGACTCGGACCGAGCCTTGGACGGGGCGCAAAGCCAGGTCTCCACCATGGCATGGGACGCAAACTGAAATTCCACTTTGAGGACGACAAGCAGATACGTGAGCATCATGAGCGCACACGTCCTGCCGTCGACGCAGCCGTGCTGCAAACTTTACGGTAGGTCGTTGCTGTCTCTGCCTCTGGTGATGACTGACCATGTATGCCAGAGCGAGCACACAAGTCGTGAAAGATTTACATGCGAAGCAATCAACGCGCTTTGATGGTTTCGTCACTAACCTCGATCGACGACTTGATGCTCTTGATCCTACCCCACTCCACGACAAGATTAACGTGAGCTTGGATGAGGTCAAACAGATGTTCGCGACATTGAATTCGGCTAGTAGCGGTTGTTCATCTACATCATTCCAGCCGCAGACACCCGGCGCCAATGCTTCTCTGCTGCCGACCGCGGGCAGTGTCTCAGCGAAACAGGGCAGCCTAGCAGCCGGGCATCCGAGGTCTCTATCGACAGCGGCCAGTCTTTGCAGCACTCCGCGTGGAGCAGATCAAACGCAGATATCCAGCGGTAATAGCCATCTACCGTGCTTCCAAGGACATTGGACGCAAACGAAGGCTGGCGGCGGTTCAATCGTCAGTCTCGACCAGCCTCTAAAAGAAGAGGCGCTCAAATTCCTCATCGACTGGCTCGCAGTGCTTTACGCGCTCACCGCTGTGGTCGCATATCAGCAACCACAGGCGCGGCGAATTGTGATCAGACAACTCGAAAAGGCACGCGAAGATCCTTTTCTGGGTGCACTACTCGGATGTCTTGTGATTGCTCTGATCCGATCGCTAGCACAAGTTCATCGTCAGATAATGTCATTGGCCGATGACAACATCACAGTTCACTATGCACTTGGCGAGCAACTCGGGGTCCCGAGCTACTATTGGAAGAGTCAGGAGATTTTCCATGGATATCTTCAAGGTCATTTTCATCGGGAGCCTGAACAGACCCTAGTTACATCCAGGCGATATAGAGTCCTTGTTGGAGGGGAAAACGGTATTGTCGTAAATCGGGCAAAGTGGACGTCTACCCTCCAGAAGCGCATGGTTCTTACCATGTCTGTTCTTGCAGAATCAATCAGCAGCTGTCCTAGGTGCAAGGCCCTCCTCACCTGGCACAGGTCTCAAAAATTGATCGAATGGCGTGTGCTCACCACGATACTGATCGAGAGTCTAACGAGTTTACAGCTCCAAATGTGGCAAAGTCGTTCCTGTGCTTGAAGAAACCACAGAGAACACTGATGAAAGCCCTTCCAACGAGTCGCAATTATCTGGCGTCATGCCAACATCAGCACGAGCAGGACAACATAGACGCGCTTTGGCAGCAGCTAACCCCTCGGACGCGTCCTCCATATTCACCTATATCATGCTGTACGAAACCGCGAGCCAGCGCCGTGCTAACATACTGAGCAAATGCTCCCTTGTCAGAGAGGCTCTGATGGCCTTCCCATGTAGAGTTTGCGGTGCTGGACTATCAAGGAATGCCCCGTGCTATCGTAAGTATCGACCTCTCACACGGTGTGCCAACGCTAACACGTGAAATGATTGCTGTCTTTGCGATAGCACAGACGAATATATCCAATGCCTACGGTGTGGGCCAAGGTGCAAGTCCCCGGATCACGCTACGATGATTCGGGTCGCGGCGAACGACTTCCACTACGGTTTTGCTACGGGCCCACAGACGACGATGGAAGAATGTTTCACCTGCCGGCTACGACGAGGTGCTTGTGACAGGGGCAGACCAAAATGTAAGGCATGTCGCCATCTAGGGCTGACCTGCGAGTACGAGCGACCGCCATGGTGGTCGGACGAAGAAGCCCGTCACACACAAAAGCGCGAAATCGAAACACTCATCAAGCGCACGAGGAGACTCGACAGGAACCGGCCTCCATTATCTCAGATGCGTCTTCCGCAACACGGCCGATCAGCCTCGCCACCCGATAGCCACATCTACAGTGCCGTGGTTGAGGGGTCTGAAGACGTGGATGACCTTTTTGATGCCACGGTGAAGGCCGCAGCTACAACGTCGCCGACGTGGACCCATGCTTCAAGTGCTAGCATCCCTCGATCTCCCAGCCAAACTGGGTCTGCTGGTGTCTCGCGGAAGAACGACGATGGACTCCAGTATCGCTCTTCTCGTCACTCAGCTACCACGACCCGCCCAGGTGATGCCGGTGAGAGCAGTGGCGACGAGAATTGGGATACTGATGCTGGCGAGTGGGCGGATTTCCAGGACCGAACCAAGCAGCACCTTGAGAAACCCGTCACTTCAGCACGGCAGACATACGATTATTGGAACTCGATGTACGATCAGCAGACGCATCAGTGGAATGATGACCTTGATCGTCAGAGACGCGATGACGCTGCCAGCAATGAACGTCATCGCGCTCGGCTAGAAGAGGACAGGCGCCGGAGGGCGCGCGAGATGAATGCCGAGCTCACTGCAGCTGAGGCAGCACTACTACAAGATCGCGTTAGTCGCGAGCGCGCACAGCAAGAACGAGATCGTCTTGCTCATGCCGCCGATTATCTGCCAGGCGACGTAATCGAAGGGGTCGAGTTCCACGAGTCTGAAGATCGTCCTGGCGAAGGTTCTGGACCAGCGAGGGAAGCGTCTAGGAGGCCAGGACATTCGTCAGACCACCCACAAGCCGATAACGAGCGATCACGGAGGTACTCTCCATCCAGATTACTAGCCATGCGACCAACGTGAAGTTCATTCTGTCCAGCTTTTGTCTATGTCTTTCATCGACAGTGCTTGCAGGGCTCGAGGACTTACTCGTGGCTAAGGAGCGGCGTTTTGGTCCTCTGGGAGGCTCACATAACATTACGGCTCAGAACCAGAACCGAAAGCGCTATCGCCGTGGGCGGTCTTGGAAGGCGTCCGCGTCGCTGCTTTACTTCAAAGAGCCAACTTTCACAGATTTCCTCCTTCTCTTCCGTCAGCGTCTGAGGCCTAGGCACAGCAACATGGTCAACAAAGTGGGAGGCGAGATAGTGAAGGAAGTTGACGGCCTCGTCATGCAATCACGTGGGGTTCGTGGGCATCCTAGATTCAGTCTCATGGGAACGGATTACATGCTATGAATCGGCATCTCTGTTATTTAGCGCACGAAGCTCTGAGCAGAGTGCATCTTGATCGTGGACTCCTTGACACGAGACGGGCTCGAGCACTGGCGGCGCGCCAAACCATGCTATACTCGGTTTCCTTTTGTTCCTGTTCGTGTTGCGTGTGCTACCAGCCCCAGACTCTTGACAACTGGGGCATTTGATGTCTTCTGGGAACCCTATCTCGGCTGCCCTTACACCTCCAAGCCTCCGCTTCCCGCTTCTGTTCTTGCCTTCTGCACACCTGGAACAACTACAGGCGCCCAACCGCGTCGCGCGTCCACGCTCTCGATTGGCGGCCACTTCATAGCATCCTCGGCGCGCTTCAGCTCCCTCAGGATGGCGGGTAACTCCGGGAATCCACTGTTCCTGCGTGAAGCTACACATCGCGTACACAGCCACTTGCCCTTCAGGGGGTTCCGAGCGCATAAATTGGCGAACTCCTTGTAGTTTCCAATCTCGACAGCCCATAGACAGGAAGCGTGGTATGTGGAGATCTCGCAGAGAGGGTCTGAGCAGGTGATGATGTTAGAGCTGGCGGTCTCCTTGGCCTTACGTCGGGCTCTTGAGGCGCTGGTAGAGTCGGCTTCTGCATCGGCCGTGGCGGCGAATTCAGCACAGCATGTCATCGAACGAGCTACTTTCAGGCGCTGCTGGTCATCATGTATGCCTGAGCGGGCTAGATCGAGTTTGACGGATTTGAGAAGCTTTCCTTCGATGACAGCGATGGTCTTGATCAGCGTTGTCTTGTAGCTCTCGCGTTGAGCTTCGTACGTAGAGTCTGCGAGGCCTAGCCTCTGGAGTTTGCTGCGGACGGTTTTGGTGCGCTTGAGCGTCGCGCCTTGCAGATGCGCTCCGAGGTAGACGTCGATCTCTTTGTCGGTCAGGCGAGCTTTGTGCTTGGCTTTGGCGGATCTTGGTAGACGAGGTGGTGGCTGAGGTAGTACATGTTGTGTTAAGGCGATCGGACCTTGCTCCAGGAGTTCTCTGCGTCTTCTCAGCTCATGGAAGAGCGGACCGGCTACGATCACTGGAGATGGTGGGTCCAAAGAGCTCGCAGGTTTCGTGTCCGCGGCGAACTTGACTTTGTTCGCACGAGCCGGCATCGTCGCGGGCCGATCCAGGCAGGCTTATCGGAAGAAGAGACGACGTGTGTTTTGGTGCATTCGCCGCAAGTTCGATCGCGGCTGTGCTAGAGAAAACGAGCAGTGTGGAGAGCCAAAAGGTGGGCTAAGCCTATTGCGCAACAGTCACTGCTTCGTCAGAGTCACTTGCCTGCTGCTCTCGAGGGTCAGTAGTCAGCTCGGAAGCTCAATAAAAAATGACATTTGAGCTGAGCCTCGATCGGCAGCGAACCTACGGAACGCCCAATGCAAAGCAAAAGCGTCCTGATACCATGCGAACGACCTCTCAGCAAGAGCAATCAACGTTACCTGCCACGATATTGAAGCTTTAATGAACAGTAGATTGATGACAAAGCCCGCCCTAGACTCATTGCGCATTAAGCTGAACCTAAGCTCGTGAAGCGCAGTCATGGAGCGCTCCTGGCATTTGTCGGGCCGTATGGGTCGATTCGAAAGAGTCGAAAGCCATGACAGCGCCGATGGACTCAGCGATTGACCTCATCCCAGGATGGAACTTGACTTGGGCCAATATAAGAGAAGATGAAGCCAATGTCAGTATGGAATGGCAGACAATGCATAGATGCGTTATCCGAGAAGGAAAGCAGGGAGACTGCTCACACGTCTAGAATGCGCATAGGAGGCGACTGAGAGTCGGAACTCATCGAAGCTCGAACTTAGTCTGCGGCCCATGCCAAGTCCAAGCGAAAGGAGCAGGTACGATCAAAGAGCAAACATTGAGCTCTTGCTGCCCGGCTGCGCAAGTTGGAGTGAATGGAACTTCCAGTGCAAGTTACAGCTGGTCTGTGTGGACCATATAAAAAGATGAAGCATCAGTACCTGCGCTGCGATGGCACATACGTCTCGCCTCGGTATGCTGTGTCGTACAAAGCAGCAGGATGTCATGGTATCTGGCTAGTAACTCCAGGAGATGAAGAGTGCCGAAGAGAACATAAGAATGTGGTCATTGAAGTGCAGGAAACTTCTTCTTTAATACGGCTGCGCTAAACCACCATATGCGCATAGAGGCTCATTGCTTATTCTCTTCACAAGTGCATGAAGGTGGCACATCATTGTTTGCTGAGAGTAATGCATGAGCTAGACTCAATGCCTGCTGTGTCAAGGAAGGAAGCATCACCTACGCTGCTTGAAAGGTCCCTGAAGCCACCTGCCACGTCCTGTGACATGGTCGTCACCATGCACATGCCGAGTCGAAAGGAGCCGCTGCTTCAAGCCTCAGCAGTCCAATAGTTGTGATCACTCACGACACCTCGATCAAAGTTAAACTTTCCCGTTGCCCTCGCTCGCCAATCCTCGACACCTTTGTCAGTCTGCCTGATATACATACTTGGATCTTGAGTCATGTTGAGGTAGAAAGCTTGGTTGAGATGGTCGACCTCCCCATCCACCCACTCAACACCAGCAGTGTTAACTTGCCAGACCTCCTCAATCTCCTGCTTGAGACTGCGAGGCAGCTGAACTGTCATCGGACACTGGTACCACTGGGCAAAGTAGTCGATTGCCAGCATGATCCGGTGATGATCACTGGTGTTTGGCATCCCAGCATGCCAGAGTCGGAGATCGCGGAAGCAGATACTACCTTTCTTCACCACTGGCTGCACTGGTGGCCTCACTTTTGCTCGATGCTGGATCGCCTCTTTGGTAATCCAACCACTCTCTTTTTTGGCTTGCTGGAAATCCCTGAGGATAAGCGTTATGGGTGCCGCACCAAATCTCAGTCACCCCATCGGACGCATCGCTGTCTTGCAGGTAGGTATTCATGACAATGCCAAAAGGGATGGAGGGGTAACGGTGGTTGACATCGCTATGCACTGCCTGTCGACCTGTTGCTCCAGGTATCGCAACATTACTGTTGATGAACCTCAATTCCGGGCGGCCCCAGAAGGTTCTCCAGAACTCTCATCATATGCACATTTGCATAGAACTCTCGCAGGAAGAATTCCTTGTTTAGTGGCGGCACTTGGGAGATGTTCTTCGTTGCTCGGCCTTGATTGTACTGCAGGAACGACTTTGACTGATAGATCTCTGTCTCACGGACCATCTGGTCATACAGCTTGTCCACCAAGTCTAATGGAATAGCATTCTCGAGAACCACGAAGCCATCCCGGTGGAAGTATGTGAGCAGCTGCTGGAGTGTTTCTGGACGAGTCTGGCCGGAGTGTAGCTCCTCATCGCTGAGTTTGATGACAACAGGATTATCTCCGTACTGTTCGACGTCTGGCACAAGTCCACCATCAACATACCTCCTAGAACCCGAGGGGTGCTGTGCGTCGTGGTCCGCGGTGGCGTCAGTCACGGAACCCATACTGGCTGGCGCACAAGCGTAGATGGTGATGGATGTAGCACGGGCTTGTCGCGCCTCATGGAGCCCGCATCACCACTCTAAGTATCGACGCTCGGGTAATATGTATGCGCCGGCTAATAGGCAGCATATGTGGGGTTCCCCGCTCCATGAGACTGATGTTGGCCTTTACCTTGCAATCATTTCGCAACAGGTCGATAAGGAAGTGCGCAGATTGGAACATGTAGGGACGCCGCTCAGAATCTCGATTCTGTGGTCATTTATATCTGTACAGCTACCGTTAACACCACGCTCGTCAAACCCATCAACGACATTTTGCCAAGCGGCTTGCAACAAATACGGAATCCCCATCAAGTCGACCGGCGCTGATAAAGACACCTCATGGCCGTACGAATTCCGACTATACCGAACGCCTCCCTTAGGAGATAGCCGCAATGTTGTTCGCGACCAGCTTCCGGTAAGTCAGCGTCAACACTGTACTGACAATCTCTGCGATTTGCGGGTCTCCCATAGGCACGTCGCCGGTCATGATCTCGAGGTGGCCGACCGTCTTCCATTTCATACCAGCACTCTGGAACTGCGCTAGGGCGACTCCGCGCTCGTCAATGAGGGTATAGTGAATCTTCGTTGACATGGCCTTGTTCTTCCATGTCATCTTCTGGCCCCCAAAAGCAGGCGATACAAAACTTGGTGAGCCGAATCCTAGGGCTTTGCCAGTCTTCGTTTCAAACGTGCCTGGTATTGTGCTGTGGCCGTCGGTTTCTCGCATCTCCATCTTGATGCCGGTCTTCCAGTGTGATGCACGACCGTTCCCAACAACTTGATTTCGTGAGTTGACGATCTGTGTGTCGTTGCCGAGAGCACCGCCGCTGGTGAGAGTATAAACTTCTTGTTGAGTGTTCGGGTCCACGACGCGCATAGCGATGTTCCATGTCTTGTAGTGGACTTCGTAGACGACACTGTTGTGTTTCTCCATGGTTGCTGGTAATGTATCTGTTGCTGAATGGGTAGGTGCTGTTAAATGCAAGTTGCGATGTGACTTGCAGTCAAGCCAGTTAGGACTGGACAGGGTGCTATATAGAAGGCGTCTCTAGGCATTGGGGGCAGGATACCTTCATGTAGTCCTTCGTTCTGCAACGTCCAAACTCGAACTGGAGGGTGCTTCAGAATGTACAATGACGTCGGCGAGACCCTCCGCTTGGCAGGTAGGACTGGGGCTTTGCGTGGCAGTAATAGGTGATCTTCAGGTTAGTGCCCTATTTTTGGGGCCGTTGGTGGAATTCTAGGCGTCGCAGTCGTGACCCTGCCATTTTCGGTAGCATGTGCCGCTGGCGATCTGCACAAGTGGTGCTTCTTATCGATCGGCAGAGCTCCCATTGAAAGAGAACCAGACATACATAGCAAGGCTTTGCGAAAGCTGGAAATATCAACACTGCCAGCTTTGCTTTTGCCATACCAAGTCAGTAACCGATATGGCATGGCGTCCGACTACATGCAGCACTCAGTCACGAGCCTGAAGCCTTCCAGAAACCATGAAGTCCGAGGAGACTTACGTCGCGTCATGTACAAACCCTTCCATACGTCAAGACATGAAAGTCGATGACCTGGAGTAGCCCTCGTCAACAGAGCAATGCCCCACTCAGCCAAATACTAGATAGATATGCGACCGCTGCTGATACGGGAGACGACTTATAAACAGAAACCGCACGAGCTGCAAATGGTGCGACTTTAGCCTCGCGGGGTCCTGTGATGTCGATACACTGCAGGGCTACATCAAGTCCCGCCTCAAGTCACTAAGAATCATGTTCGTTCGCCTCTTGTGTAGAAGACGAAATTCTGCCAACATCGTTGGTCCAGAAAGCTAGAATTTGTGCGGAAAGACAATGACTCGTCATAACGTTCGGTCTCCAGCAGCGCTTCGATGACTCCAAAGGCGACCTCGACTTTCCTGGAGCAAGCCTACTGCCGTATTCCTCTATGGCATTAGCTTAGCATCAGGCTGACTGTGGGAGCTACGGTCGATCATAAATGTCAAAGCTGTTGCCCCGTGCTTGTATCTCTGACGTGTCAAAGCGGCAGGTTAGTGGTTGATACCAATGCCGAGGACCGTCGATCCCTGTGTGCCGCACATCATATTTTCAGTCAGTAATTATTCTGGACATTATCATGTCGTCAAGTCTGCCCCAGAAAAGAGAATAAGAAGCAGGATATAATGGACACGACAGATGATTATGAAGGGACCGTGAAGTAAGCTCATTGCATTGCCTCCAACAAGCTTTTGACTCCGAGCCCAAGGTACGGTCGAGTGTTTGAACGGCTAGTCGAGGCACATTGTAAGAACGGTAGCTTCGCGCCTGCCCGCAGAGCAGGCACGACATGGAATCGCGAATGCAACGCTTAAGCACTGCTGCTTAGGACTACAGCCATGAACGACAGTCGCGCAGGAGATTTATGGGGTACGCCGTTGCCGCTCGCCGTATGCTTGGCCCTCTCTCCGACATGCCGCTCTTGCCTTAAGCGAGCTAGGCTCAAAAGCAGCAAACCGCAAACTTATATCCATCATTTCATCATCTCTCCACGAATGTCGCACTCGCTGTCTGTTGCAGCGCGAGGGCGCAAATACGATGTTTGCGGCTCTCAAACGCTGCGTCACAGACGACTAACATCAAAATGCTCGCAAGAGATGCGAACGGACCCGGCTCAGCGGTGAAACAAAAACCCACAGCCCGTTCTCCTCAGAGCTGAGCCAGTGAGCAATTTTCCTCAGGTAATCGTTACGAAACCCGGCCCTTTCCTCGCCGTGTGACCAAAAGCTTCCAGCAGCGACTTCCAAAGCTCGAAATGATGCATTGCGAAGAGCGTCGACTTGCGCGGAGATGCGGTATGTCGACAGCTGACTACTGTGCACAGGTAATTTCGTTGCTCATCGCTTAGTAGGCACTTGTTCATGTCCGCTCCGCCATCGTTGCCATTGTTGAGAGAATTCTGCTCATAAGTCAGGTATCTAGCTGTCATCGCCACCACGTTCAGACATCGTCAGCTGTCTTGCTACGTCAACATATCGAACGAATACAAAACCAATTCGGCCAAGACTTCCGCGCTCTACCGACTACCTGACCGTACCAACATATCTTCTCGACACCAACAATTTGCGTAGGAGTCCGCCAAAACGTGTGCTCTACTACAAGTCTTCCGGTAGCGCCACCTCACGGGAACATTCACGCCAACAATGGCGCCCTCCAATCCCTACGACGTCGACGCCTATACCAACCCATACACCCCTTCGCCACCCTTCCGGCACCTCCCACAACCCATCGCACACTTCTTTGGCCACCGCCGGCCCAATGCCAAACCACAGCAACCGCACACCCTCCTAGTCTGGTTCTTCTGTTTCATCGGCGCGTTCCTCGGCGTCTCGCTCCTCTGCGGCGTCTACCTCAACCTCCCAACCTCTCGGCCACCATGTCCCCATCATAATTGCATCCTTCGGCGCAAGTGCAATCTTGGAGTTCAACACCATCGAATCACCCCTCGCCCAGCCGCGGAATCTCGTCTTTGGACACTTCATCTCAGCGCTCATCGGCGTGAGCATTACGAAACTCTTCCATCTTCTGCCCTATGCCGAGTTCAACAAGCTACGCTGGCTCGCCGGCGCCTTGTCCGTCGGCTCCGCCAGTGTCGTCATGGCAATGACGAAGACCGTGCATCCACCTGCAGGCGCCACTGCGCTGCTGGCCTCGACAGAAATCGCGATCACGGAGCTAGGATGGTGGTTCCTAGCATTGATGCTACTAGGGTCTATGCTCATGCTGACCGCTGCGCTGATTATCAACAACTTGACCCGCAGATTTCCGGTCTACTGGTGGACGCCAGCTGATCTGAAGTCCATCAAGGCGCAACGAAAAGCGAAAGCTGCCGCTGGCAATTCAGATGACGGAAGAGGTGGGGATATCGAGAAGGCCAGCGAGGCAGCCGCGGCAGAAGCACGTCACAACAGCAATGCCGCAGCAAAAAGGACCGATTCGGCCCCGTCCGAGTCGACACGTGCAGGGTCAGAAGACAACATGAAAGCGAATATGCCAAGTCCAGCACCGGCGAATTTGTTGGCCACAAAGGAAGGCAGATTATTATTGACGCAGAGAAGATCGTCATTCCAGACTGGTTGCAGGCGGACGAGTGGGAAGTGCAGATTCTGGAGATCTTGCATCAACGCTTGAAGAATGGAGCGGGAGCGGAGGAAGGTTGAGAAGGGCCCGAGGGAAAACAAAGCAGTCAAGGTATAGCTTCGTTTGAGCCTTAGTGGCACAGCAGAGAGTGACGAAGCACTTGAGTCCCCAAGACTGTTTTTCAACGACAGCTTCTCGAGGTCTTACTACTCAGTTCAACCTCCTATTCTTACTCTTTCACTCACTGCTTCCCCATAATCTCCCTCACAATCATCTGCCGACAAATCGGATGGTAGAAATCCTTGTTCTTCTCAAAACACTCCCTCGCAATCTCCACCGCCCCCATGCTCATCAACCCCCGATACAGCGGTCTCACAAACTTCATCCTTCCCACCCTCCCCAAGAGGTCCGTCACCGCAACATGGACATTCCAATCGCCCGCCTTCATCTCCACTTGGTAGTACCGACTCAGCACCTCCACGTTCTTGGACTCATTGAGCTTGTAGATCATGCCCATGTAGTTCGCGTGCGGCGGGGGTAGCGGTTTTGCGAAGTTTAGAATTGCCTCCAAGAACACGACGAGCTGGTTGGCAGACCACCCGTCGACATCAGTCCAGACGGGGCCGAAGTTCGGATCGGCGCCTTCGGGGGTATCGATGAATTTGCGCCACTGCTCGGCGAGCTTCAGAGCTGGGTCGACGAGTTTGGTCGAGTATTTGGGGATCCAGGCGGGAGGCCGGGGGTGTAGAACCAGGTGTCCCAGTCGACGGTGTCCGTGAGGAGTTTGTGCTCCGCGGGGTACGCGGTGGGTTTGAAGAAGTCGAGGAGCGTGGCTTTGAAGTCGTAGGAGTCGAGAGAGCGGCCTTTCCAGACGGTGAAGTAGTGGGGGATGAACTTGTCGAAGACAGGTTGGGTGAGGATTGTTTCGAGGTAGTAGAGGAAGACGAAGCCCTTTTCGTAGGGGATGCTGCTGAAGGCGTCGTCGGGGTCTTTGCCTTTGAGGTTCTGGACGAGTTTGGTGAATTCGTGGGTGTCGCCGAATTGGGCGATGGAGTCGGTGAGGGCCTTCCAGCCGATAATGGCGGAGAAGTCGCGCCAGTCGTTGGAGCCGTGAACTGAGGCTTGGATGCGACGCTCGAGGTATGTTGTCCAGCCTTCGTTGAGCCAGAAGTGCTCCCAGCTGGCGTTGGAGACGAGGTTGCCCGACCAGGAGTGGGAGAGCTCGTGGGCGATCACGTCCACGTTTTGGCGGTCGCCGCTAATGATGGTTGGTGTGGCGAAAGTGTAGATCGGGTTCTCCATGCCGCCGTAGGGAAATGAGGGTGGAAGGACAAGCACGTTGTACTCGCCCCATGCATAGGGATAGACAATTGCTTCTGCAGCCTTAATGAACTTCTCCGTGTCGGCATCGAGTTCGTGCTTGCATTCTTCGAGCTCATCGGGCCCTGTTGCGACTGTCGAGATTGGTCCGATGGGAGCAAATCCCAGGTCTCCTGAAGCAAGAGCGAATAGGTAGCTGGGGATCGGAACCTTCTGCTCAAACTTGTAGACCTCTGAAGCACCTGTGGCAGACGGCTTTGTCGGGTTCGAAGATGCTGCAAGACCAGAGGCTATGACTGACAAGGGCGACTTAATCGTGAAGTCGAAGGTGGCCTTGACGTCTGGAGTGTCCTGGCATGGGAAGATGGATCGAGCATGGATGGCCTGGCATTGCGAGAACATATAGGGATGCTTTTTGTTCGAGGTCTGAGCCGGAGTCAACCATTGCAGAGCGGTACAGGCGGCAGTCGTTTCAACATCGATAGCCACCTTGATGGAGGCGTCTAGGTCGATTGGCTTGTCCAGCTTGATCTTCAATGCGGTGCCATAGGGCTCGAGGCGGGGAAGCAGCTCCCATTTCACTTTGCCGCCCTCCACGGAGACATCTTTGACTAAAACATGGGAGCAATCCAGGAGGAGTTCCTTGGTTTCGCCCTTGGTGATAGATTTGAGAGTATGGGTCACTGATCCAACCAACTTCTGCTCATTGAAGACGATGTCAAATTTAGCTGAGGTGTGAGTGGTGCGGAAGTTGTTGTAGTTGCTCAAGGTGTTCGGATCACGAGGTGTGTTTATAATTGTCTCCGCCATGGCCCTATGAGATGGGATGGACAATGTGAATGGTGGGGTCCTGTTCGAAGCTGTTGCGCCCGGATTCAAGCTAGAGACAAGGCGTCGAAAGCAAAAATGACTTCTCGATTGCACCACCGATCGAGAACGCACGGCCAGCATATAAAAACAGGTCAACGAGTCCAGCAGAAGGGTCGCAGTAGGGTGTGATTGACATCAGAAATCACTGGCGGTGACGGATCCACAAGTTTGAGGGGCGCCGGATGACGAAGGTCGTTTCGTTAAACCGGATGACAAGATGTCTGCGAAAACCAGTTGACCTGTTCCCACCTGCCCGGACGACTATTGGATGCTGGACTTCGTACTACGCCTTGCACTCGTCGATACAACCTTGTCCAAGAGCACGTTGGTAGATGCGTAAGTTGGATAGCTGTACGCTTCCAGTGCGTGAGCACTACTCTGATACAGAGAGTCTGTTGACAAGAAGAGCACAGCAGGAGCCGAGCATCATAAACTTATATTCACAGTCAACTACATCGTGCCGGCGTGTCTACAGGGACACTATCAGCATTTGATCTACATCCCGCAAGAAAGGAAGCACTGCCACGCATCGTCCAATGCCTGACGGGAGGCTGTGCCATGGGTCCGAATGCATGGACTCTCAGACCTGCCCATCAACAAGCCGACCCAGCCGACCCATGGCCTTCTGAACGTCGTGCGCAGCGTTCCCCCACCCCATGAGCGGCTCCGTAGTATCCATACCGTTCTCGTTTTCGCGGCCACCGCCTTCGTCAGCAGCACCGCCATTCGCGCTTGTGCCTTTGGCCAACAAATGGCGCCCCTTCATCTCCTCGTCACGGCTCAAGTTGCTTCTGCCTCTGACTTCACGGTACCGATCGGCCAGCATTACTTCCACCTCTCGCATAGCCACCTTCTTGCCCGCGACCAGCATCTGTAGTATTGCTTGCTTGTCCTCGGCGAACTCGGACTGCCAAGCAGTAAGACGTGGGTGCATTGTGGATTCTTTCGGCACCTCATTGCGTTTGGACGGTTCGGGTGCGAGGTCGCGATAGGCTTTGACCAGGCTTTCGCAATTGGCGACCATGTCACTGATGTCAACGCAGTACTTCTGCTCTCCGCAACACGTGACAGGAACATGCAGCACGGGAGCGCCCTGCTCGGATTTGCTATTGTTGTTGAGCATGGAGATATCGTCCGTGTATTCCATGACTCTGGCATCGTTGGGATCGAGAGGGTGGAGTGCTTCGAGGAAGATCGGCAGCAGCTTTGCTTTGAAATCATCGGCATCGTTGTTCCTGCATTGCAATACTGTTGTCAGTTATTCGTGGCGCGTGGGAGCCTTCGAAGGACTAGAAAAGACGAACAGGGCAGCCTTCCTAACAGCCAGTTGATCTCGCAGCTCTCGTTCTTTTGTCACAACGATACCTCTCAAAGTAGTAGCCCATACGTCAGTGCGTGCATTCTTCGATACTAAAGGTTCGTAATCGCTGTTGATGATGTCCAGTCAGTCATGGAACACGACGAGCTGGCTGTTGAGCAAATACCTTGAGTCTCCGACGACCGGATCGCTCGACCAGCATATGTCTGTGTCTGACTCCGGACGGTCATGCTGCTCTTTCGGTCTCCGAGAATTCGTTAGTCGAGGTTTCTTCGACGTAACCTTGAGCGTGTTGGTGCCTGGACAGCGAAGTCAGCTAGCTATTGATGCATACGACGAAATAGAGAAGGATGATGCCTTTGCGCTTAGTCTTCTGAGCCATGTTTCGAGTACCACGTAGGTAATGGAAAGCAGTGAAGGTTGATGGTGGATGATGCAAAGGCCGCCTCAGCAGGACCGTCGAAGGGAACCTAGCAACGGATGGGAGGTCGATGCACGCATGTGAAGGCGTCAGATTTGGAAGGGACGTAGAATGCCAGGAGCGAGCCCGGTGGAAGTAGACAGTCCCCGCCTGCCGTGCGTAGGAAATATGACGGACTATGCTGGTCTTATTCTCTCAGTCTCTCTCTGTTCGTGATGATCTAAATGAGCGAGTAAAGGAAATCGCGGTGTCTCGCTTGCAATGCTAGTCGTGCTTGCTCCAGCCATGTCGCTATCGTACATCGTGCCACGCAGTCCGCTTCGACTTTTCGCCCGCGCATTCTACCAGCTATCGAAAACCCGATGTATACTGTATCGTAGCCTTTGTCAAGCTCAAAGCATTAGAAATGTCGTCTGCAATTTCAGCATGATCCCGAATCCCAATTTGTGCATTGCGCCGTATCTTCCATTATGAGCCAGTAGCCAAATCTCAAAGCAAGTCCCAGAAAGAAAATGATCCTGCGTTCTGCCAACCAATTTGCCCGCGCATTCAGCCAAACAACGTCGCTACACTTCAACATCAGCTCTAGAGAAGCGATGGATCTGTCCTCGGCCAGCTGGCGACGTTCAGACAGATGAGGAGGTAGTTGTGTGCCGGGGCGGATCATGATCCCAAGGAGAGACCTTGGAAACGCCCAGTCCAATCGTTGTGAGGCGACTGATTCGACTGTCGAGACCCTAGACCAGAGCGACTAGCTGCAAAGGCCTGCGCGTTCGGGTTCAGCATGCCATACGAAGGCTGATAGTACGACTCTCCGAAAGGATCCATCTGAGCATTACCGCCGAATGATGGCATTCCCAAGGAACCGCCAATGCTGGGTTGGAACGGCTGATAAGGCTGGGCCATGTAAGTGCCACGCAGTGGTTGATCGCCTTCGTATTGGCCATCGTATCCCATCGGACCTGGCTGGCGTCTAGTGTCGTACCCATGGCTGCGTCGTGCTCCTCCCTCGGTTCCCTGGAAGTGCTGAGCCGGTGGCGCAGGTGTCAAACCGAGAGACGACGTCGGAGTCTGGAACGAGGCTGGGTTGATGGCCGACATCCAGATACGAGTCTTGTAGACCTTGAAGAGATCTGTGACGAGGGAGTTGAAGTTGATGTACGAATCAGCGAAATAGAAGAACGTGAGCTTCTTCGAGTCCCTGCATTTATTTAGCGACCGTAAGGCGACGGCAAGGTTTGGACTCACAGTTGAAACTCAGCGTCCAGGATCTCCATATTAAGCCGATGCTCGGCAACTTTGTGTTGACAGACGCGCTTGGCTTTCGCTTCGTTACCTTCTTTCTCCTTGAGCGTCATAATTTCGTGGTTGGCTGCCAGACGTTTGATCATCCGGGGCTTGAGCTCGGCATGTGGTGCTTCGTGAGAAGAATGATGACTCGGAGGACCCATCCCTCCCACGGCACTGCCCTGCTTAGTGGGTAGCCCATTAGGATTGACCACGTTGGGACCACCATTGCGACTTTGCTTAGAGAACATCATCAGCCACTTGTAGTGCTCCTCAGCGTAATGTTCCTTATAGCGACGAGCTTCCTCCCAGGAAATATTGGTGTGTTGCACAGTGCCGAGGTCGATGCCACGGTCTGCGTCAACGATGACGAGGTCGCCGACCTGGATGTCGAGTCCGCTGCCCTCTTGGACATAGTACACGTCTGAGCGACTGCATTTGAAGTTGACAATGTGCAGAGGTTGCTGCATCGGAGGCATGTATGGGTAGCTATAGGGACTGGTAGGGCCGAATGATCGTACGTGTTCATCTGCTGCTCGTCTAGTGTTCTCGTCGGACGTGAAGTATGCTGCTTTGAATCGTTAGCGAAAGCTGTCAGGTCAGGGGCTGCTGGGAACTCACGATCGTCTCCATGCTTGACATCTTGCGCTACTTGCTGGTAGTAGTCGCCTTGTTCGTCGAGTTCTGCGTGGAGTCAGCAATCCACTGGCACCTGGGTAGGGGCTGCCATACCTTGTGAGCCCATTGAGGCTTGGCGAGCTGGAACTCCTGCCATAGAATGTCTGCGAGATTGTGGGCCTTCAGGAATAGCGCCAAAACCCAAATGAGTCTGCCACTTCGCGTTACGATTGTCGTCGAAGGCAGCGTTGTCGACTGCGGACTGTCGCTCGTATGGTGCCAGAGCTTGCTCACTGAGTCTGCGAGAAGTATTATCGCGTCTTGGTAGAAGTCCAGAACCAGATATGCTCTCCTGATCGTCGACGGCATCATCGTATTCTTCGGGCAAAGAGCCTTGTGTGCGGAACGAGGATCGCAAACCCATGGAAGGAGCTGTGGTAATAGCACTGGTTGAGAATGTCCGACTGCTGGCATGAGCTGCACGGAGCTGTGCATTCTCCCTTTCAAGCCTCTCAATTCTTTTAGCTTGTTGACTATTGGCACCGACGTTGTGATACTCTTCGCCATCTTCTTCATGTAAGCGATCGAGGCCTGTTGCATCGACAACGCCGAGGCCTGCTGTGCGGGATGTTCGACGCTGCAGCGATGGCATCTGGCCAGGCAGCCTATATCGTGACTGCTCGGCGCTAGCTACATTAGCATTCGCCATTGCTGATTCAAGCTGTCCGACAGAGTATGACTGAGATCGATATGTTTTAGGCGTGGGCTGAAGTGGGATGGCGAATGGAAGGCCGCCTTCTTGATTACTCGACATTACTTCCTGCAAACGAGAAGGTTCCTTTCGCGCATCTTGGCTGCTCCAGATGCTGCCCCATGGACCAGATCCGGATCCCGCATTCCAGCCGGTCGCAGATGATCCACTCATTGACATCCAAGTCGGCTGTTCACTTGCAGGTGTTCCTGGATTGGACGCGGTCGGACTGTAAGGCATGCTCCCTGAAGTCTTGCGGTTGAGAGTTGCATTCGCAGTGGGAACGTCGTTAAGCCACGAAGTGCGACGAGTAGGCTTTTGAACCTTAGGAGCCTGCGCTGCGGTCCGGTTAGGATCACCTTCGTCGTCGGAGGACGCCAGCGCCTCTGAATCAGGTGTAGACCTACGGATACCAGGATTCGACTTCTCGAACAGCATGGACGCGGAGGGTTGTTGAGAGCCGAAGTTGCCAAAAGCCGGCATCCCTGCTCGTGGCGTGTAGGCGCCTCTATTGGGAGTGCCACTCATCGAGGACTACACGATCGCCAGAGCGATCAGATGCAGAGGGAGAATAGCGAAGTGTCGTGCTGGTCCGTGAGGCTGAGATTGCTCGAAGAAGTGAGGGTAATGGCCAAGGCGTAGTTTGAAAAGTGAATGAAGTTGAAATCACGTGACGATTAGCCAGACAATCGACATGAACGACGGTGGCGTGCAATGCTCTTGTCTCCCACCATTCAGCGGTCCGTCAAGGTTGAGAGTCTTCAAGTAGTCGAGGATCCACGGCGCAATGTCGCCTCGTGCCTGAGGATCTGAACACCTGGTGCTAGGTCACGTGTCGTGGCCTGGCCGTTCTAATAACGACTCGAATGGTCGAAGTAAGTGAATGACCTTCGTCGTCGACGTATGCCGCGCCAGCGAAGCCGATTGAGTCGCGAACCTGCTTCGTTCGCGATCCCAGAGGGTGCAGGGCGGGTACATCAGTCGCTCCACACGCCAAAATTAAAGCAGGTCGGCGGTCCAGAAAACCTCGACACAGTACTCGAACAGCAATCGAATCCTTACTGCAGGCCGACCACACACCGTACCGATTCAGTTGAACTTCTATGCGGTCCCTTCGGTTTGGCAACGTCCCAGGCAATGCTGCACAATATGATACTGCTGTCCAGTGCGGCGAATGAAGCCCACAACGTAAAATTCAAAGCTCAGCCATCCCCGCTAGGTTCGTTGGCGGAAGTCTGCTTAACCCGACGCAACCGGACCAGAATGTTGACTGTCGAGTCCGCAGCCCCGGGACTTAAGAGCGAGCAGTTGATTTGACTTGCAAAGATGGAAAGGCGACGTCCCTCGAAACAGAAGAGGTTCTGAGAAGGTCTGACGACGAACTTGATCAGTCGGCGGCGTCCTAAGAGGGGTCAACCCAAGGCATGAAGCGCTTACACGAGCTTGGAATGGCGTAGAGGATGGTGGAGCGAGCCTCCCCAAACAATTGGACAAGTCCCTGGTTTAATTCTGTCACCTGTCCTTTTTTGCGGGGATGCGCTCGGGCACTCTGTGGAAAGACGAGGGTTTTGCTCAAAACTTGGGTGGCGTTGTGGACGCTGGAGATGGCCCTCCGTGCCTAAGCATTGCCCTACAGCTGCTTTGGGATAGGCGAGACAAGCAATATGCCAGACACCCACAAACCCTTGCTTGCGGGCTTGGCTGTTGCATGTGGTTTATTGGCTACAACCGAAGATCAAGCAGCTGCACTTAGCGAGCATAGCATCTGTATGCTCTGGGAGGCTCGAAGCAAGCGATAGCGGCGACCAATTGCCACCGAGCATGCTGCAGCCTCAAGCTGCACGCGGGTATTAGGAGCGTCCTCGAGCCTTCTTGGGATGAGGTCGCACCACATCTACAGCCCCGTCTAGAACAGCACCCAGAGCGCCTGGGTCGACACTTTGGAGGCAATGCGTGCAGATCGTTCAGAGACATGTTCTGTGTGGAACGCAACAGATCTTGGACCCCATGACCACGCGAGCTGTCCAGACTGTTGGAATTGCCAAATTATGGCACAAACGTGTACCCAGGCTTGAGTGTGCGTGGTCTTGCATACGACATAGCTGCTAGTGGAACGAAGCTGCATGCGACTACCCGGCCAAAGCGGGATGCTATGGATATTGTTGACGTGAGTGGGCCGGAACTTCGAGGATCGAGATCTTCCGTATCAGCCGGAATCTGCGAACAGATGATCTGCACGGGCTTGCTCTGCTTGACCCTCCTGCGAATTGGCCGTTTGATCGGATGAAACGATCAACACAACCAGGGCGGCCTCTGCCGTGACCACTGCAAATGATTCAGAAGCACAAAGTGCCCCAATGTCCTCCGTTCTCACACCGGGGTTGGACCACCCAGAGCAGGCTTCCCCGCAGAAGCGCAGAAGCAGATGCATTTCGACCAGGAGGGCCACCAAACCATGCAGCACAATTGCAATGGGAACCGTGACAAGAACATTTCTGGCAATACCCAGTAGCCACATTTCGAGAGCATACAAGTGCGTCGCATGCGCGAGTGTGGCCAGCCAGAGCAGGGTTCTCTGCGGTCAGACCCGATTACAAGGCGGCGTCTAAGCTGCCTTTGCCCACAGTCGAGGGTGCCGCGTCGGGGCCTTTTTGCAATCGCAGCTTCTCTTCGAAGCGCTCAAACTCTTTGAGGGCAATCTCTTCTTCCTCGTCAAGAACTTGGTTGACTCCTTTCACTTCCTCAATCTAGCACAAATATTAGCATGTAATGCGGAGGTTGGTGGAAAGACTGACATAATGCATCAACATGGACTCGATGCCGTTTTTCAGTGTCACGGTCGAAGAGTCGCAGGTTCGACATGCTCCTCGCAGCTTGAGACTGACTGTACCGGTCTCTGCGTCAAAGCCACGGAAATCAATGTCACCACCGTCCTCTTGGATTGATGGACGGATTCTGGTTTCTAGCAGCTCTTTGATCATGGCGACCACCTCATCATCATCATCATTGGCCGCCAGGCTATCTTCTTCAATAGCTTGGCCATCAACAGAGTCGCCTCTTTGCGCCGCTGAGACCATTGGTTCTCCCGTCGTCACCGCTTCTGTGATCAGACTGAAGACCTCAGGCTTGATGTGAGCCCAGTGGACGTCCCCTGCCTTTGTGACAGTGATGAAATCTGGGCCATAGAACACCGACGACACGCCGTCAACACTGAGCAGCCGGGAGGCGAGCTGTGAGGGATGCGGAGGAGCGAGGGTTGCTCGTGGTGAGGTATACTCGACAAATGGGGAGGGAAAGTCCTGCGGGAGTACTTCCACGTTCGGCATGAACTTCAGAGCGTCCGCGTTGGGCGTCTCCTGTGTTTGAATGAAGATCGATCGCACTGAGGCAAGACTCGGCAATGCGTTCGATACGCGGTTCTGGTGACAGCGATCGAGCGTAGGCCGGTGGCGACCTTGTGAAGCTGTTATCGCAGGCAATCGTGCACTGCTGTGTAGTCTTTTTTCATGCTTGATGGCCTGCCTCAAACCAGGTGAAGGTCTCGCTGGTGGCACTGCTGTTCTAAGAGCCCGTCCAAAAGCACGAGGCACATTACTGTTCATTGTGGCACAAGCCGGCCGGGCGGGCTTGAAGGCAACCACCAGACTGTTACTCTGCGGTGGCAGGAAGATGAATAATAGTTTGACAGATGCTTCACAGAAGCTTGAAGAGGAGTCTGTAACGATGACAAGTTGTAAGGACTTCAGGAGCCTTTGTAATGAGGATTGAAAGTGGTAAGAGACGTTATGAAGGCGATTGCGCTGCGTCATTTCTCCAGACTCAGCACCTACGGTGGCATTTATAAGACAGTAGTGCAATGGTCTTTTCAAGTCCACGTACTCAGAAGCAGATGCACTTCTTCAGCCATTATTATTATTGTCCATGAACACGTTCAGTCGCAGACACGATGTCCAATGACACATGTGCGGTATGCGAAGCATCCGTCTCCAAGTACAAATGTAGGGACTGTACGGTTCGAAGGTAGGTTATCATTACTACAATTTCATTGTCTACATTCGTTAATACATGTCGTTCATATAGCTGCTCATTGACTTGCTTCAAATCTCACCAAGCACTCTGTCGAGGCAAAAGTCCGGAGAGCATGGCTGAAAGCGCGCAAGTCCAACCATTGCCACCAATAGCCACACCCCCAAAGAGCCTCAACCAAGAAGCAACAGAACTGTTCCAGCGTTACCCAGACCTTCGAGCAAAGCTCAAGAAGATCTACGAAGAGACGCTGGATCCGTCGACCCGGGGCGACGTTGGTGGTAGACCAAGAAATCCTCGATTTGAGCCCAGATGGTCCGAGCAGAAAGGATTCGATCTGGGCTTGGCAGTACTGAAAGCAAAGCTCGAATCTGAAGTGGTGGACACGGAGGATCTGGAGGCTTTCATCGCTTGGGTGAACTCGACCGTCTGACGGCTAGTCGAAATCGAAGTGCGATTGCGACACTCCTGCCAATGGTAGCCCAGTCGGCAAAGGTGGCACTTCTGGCATCTTTTCTTTGCTGTGCCGCAATGACATGGTCACACGCCTTGCCAGACTTGGTCTTCTCTTGTGACCAAAGGCATGTTGTTTGTCTGGAGGCTTCTTGTCCGCTTGTGAGGGATCGTCGTCCAAATAGAGATCCAGCAGCCTGTCGACGGGACTTTTGCGAAAGTATTCGATTATACTCTTACGGCGCCGCAATTGGGCTTGCTCAGGGCTATGCGGATCCTCTGTGGCATCGGGTTCTGCTCGAGAGCTTTGTCTTTTGTGCGTGTGCCGCGGCACGGCAGACTCGACCTCATTTTCGAGTTCTCTGATCAAGTCGGAATTGGTGCGACCTCCATACCGATGGTGTATCAGCGGTTCGGCGCCCCCACTTAAGCTCATCATCTCCAGCTCTCGCCGTATCTGGTCCTCGGTCGGCGCGAAGACCGAGATCGGCGTTGTCGGCGTTAGGCTCGGGACGGACGTCGTGGTCGAATTTGAGGGCGACAAACCAGGCAGCGGCGGCAGATCATGCTCCGTGAGCCCAGTCGTGGGATGGGAGACAATGACGGTGTTCCTGTTTGCTTTCTTGGTTTCAGAAATCGTCATGTGCCGGCGGTGCTTCTTCTGGTATGTTTGCCGACTTGGATCCTGGTTGAGGAACGCTAAGGGTTCTGTTAGAGGAGGCCATGGTGACATCTCAACCAGTTGTTCCTTCGTCGGCGCTCGCAGCGGATGAGGACGGTCCATCCAGCAGAACTGCCTTTCTGTGGCCGGCGAACGGCAACAGCGGGCCCTCGACTGAAGTCTTGATCCAGGCTCAGACTTCTATTGCTGGAAACGTTTTGTGCCAACGATGAAGACCGTGGTGGCCTGTCCGACATTGCTGGGGACAGAGGATATGCTTCATCTTCTGCCTCCTCATACGCTTCTACCAGATCGAGGTTGAATGCTTCTATCGGGGGTACAGGGTCACCGTCTACCGACTTTGAGCTCTTGCGCCGTTCCCAAAGCCTCGGTCCTGGCACTGCAGAGTCTATAGCAAGCCATGATGTGTAGTTTGACAGGTCAGGAATGATGTCGCTGGTCCTGTTGGGTCTCGATGTTCGGTGCCGGACAGGTGAATCCGGCACACCAGCAGCATGAGATATGCGCTGGGGATGTCAGCCAACACCATCATATCACGCGATTGCTATGACTTACTCTGCTGGATCTGTTACTGGAATAGATGGAGGACATTTACGAGACTGTCATGCCGCTGTGTAGCCAACGCGTTGCAAAGAGCACATGAGGATTCAAGATGCGTCTTCTCTGCAGTGCCGTGTTTAGGGGAACACATCATCGCGACTTTGGCAGGCTGAAGCTTGACTATATTGAAAACTTAATGACCACGTTTTCCGCTAACTTTGGCACCTTTGACAAGTCAGATGGACGGTGGTTCAGATGGCGGGGCGCAAACCTAGGCCAGAAGTCGTCTGGATGGTGCTTCTAGGTTCAAATGCGTGCCCAAAAGGGAACGAGTGGCAACACTATAAGGCTAATCACAGCCGTGTCCGGCGATAGTGGCTTGTAAGATTTTGGGCAGGGCACGTGCCAAGACTGACATTTACCAAAATGACTACGCATTGACATTGTAATGTTGACGCATGCTGGCGAAATTGACAGCCGTAGTTATCCCACCAATAACATTTTATAGGGTATTACTAAGCACAGAATCTGGGATTTTAGGTACAAAATCCCAGAAAAATTTGGCCTGGCCTCCGGCCAGGCTACCAAAATTAGGCACCCCTCCAGTCCCCCTTCTCGGGTATATTACGGGTCAGAAGGCCGTGAAAATGACTGCTCCGTTTGTATAGCGCAGCACAATCTGACGCATGCGTCATTTAACCCCAAGTGCGCCCTGATTTTGGGAGTCTGGGACGCGAGATGGGGTGAGACTACTGAAAGACGTCAGTTCTCAAACCCGTGGGTACGGTATCCATAGATGAAGAACTCCTGGTGGCCTCGTACATGATTCAACATCGGCAGAGGTAATTCTGCTCTCCCCTCTCATAGAAGATAACCCATCGCCGCAGCAAGTCCTAGCTATTACCGATTTCTCGAGGATACAGACGCGGTAGTCTCGCGTCTGGTGCTTTTTGGTTCCTGAATAGATCTCATTTCGATAGGCTTGAGGTGGCTTGATCGGAGAAAACCTCACCAACGGATTGGCCGAGACACAGGCTTGACACCGACTGACGGCTCAGGTCTGGAGCGCGCTGCGGCTTCCGCTGAAATTGGTCATGGTCTGAAGACGCAATTATTTCAATTCATCAGAGGTAGTCTGATAGATCGTGCGTTGCTATGAAGTACCGATTGCTCGGCATATCTTATCGTAGTGGTTCAGAACGTGGTACCCCTGCCCCTCCTATCAGGACTACGCGGAGATGCTTGTTCCAGCACGATTCTCGAACTCCTGGTCGCTCGAACATGGTAACATTGGGCAATGAACCTCAATAGGCAGGTCGGAGTGTTCGTTGATGCTACATCTCGACGCTTGCGCGGCGCAATCGATGTGCCGCGAGCTTGAATGCGACGGGGGTAGCCGCTGAGAATTTCTATCCTGTGCTCAGGCGAGATGCAGGTATATGCCAGCCCAAAATCGCCTTGCAGATGCTTCGATCGAGCTATGCCCTTCTCTGCAGGTACGGATCCTTTGCTCGAACACACCTGTATGTAGCCGGTCCACTAGAATCACGGCTCTCGTCCCCGTCGGTTTGAACGTGGAACTTGAACGTGATCCGTTGATGCAACTTACGTCAGATTGTGTAGCTACCCAGGCCAGCGGCGTCTCTCACCCTCTATAAACCTACGAGAGCATTCCAGGTCCATGAACATTTATTCATGGGACGGCGTTTCAGAGAGCCTACCTCACGTGCTGCAAGGTCTCGATTCTAAGACAAGTACCTCGGGTGCTTCGTGTTCGAAGCTGCAATCGACGGCAGATAATTCGCAAAGTCAAAAAGATACCTCCGGCTTCTAAGCAATCTATATGCACAGTAGCTGCGAGGTGATGCGAGCTCGCAGGTTTATTGAGCTATGAGTCGCTGATACCAGATTCTCCTTGATCCATTTGGTAGTAAAGCAGAGCTTGACGAGCCGTCCGGGGGGATCAAGCCGCGCAGGACGGCCTGCAGGATGCCTGCACTTCACAGGCGGGTCTTGCTCTTTTGGCGATGCTGGAATCCATTACCGTTGCATTCGAGCCAAACAGAAGGCAGTGAGCTACTGCATCACGCCTTCTGGCTCGTTCGTAAGCCGCTGGTCAGTGACGGCCTCATCGTCACGGCACCTACGATACGCTACTGCTAGCTCGTGCTGAAGCTATAGCAAACAGCATCACAAAGGTCGCAGATGTCGGCAACAGAAAAAAGCACGAGAGATTCCGTACAGACGGCCTTGTGGCTCGGTAGCCGTGACATGTGCTTGGCTCGTGGGCATCTTTGGCCACGAATCCCCTGCTCGTAGAGCTCGTCTTCTGGCCCCAAGGGTCGTCCAATCTCTTTCTCCGCCTCGAGCTTGGGTTTTGTCTGGGCCGCAAACTGCACCGTGAGCCACAACCGTGACTCGCTGGGCAAAGAATCTCAGAACTCGGAAGAGTCCACAATTTTCTTTTTCAATTCCAACGTCTCTTGTTCATCAACCTAAGATCTGCACTATATTTCTTTTCCAAACACGACACTTATCATCGCATTTACGGACGAATCAATGCTGCTCGTTGCCTTGCAAGCTGTGTAGAGAACCCTTGATTGGGCAATCTCTTGTACCTGGGAACTTTGGCTGCCTGGAAAACGTGGCCGGCCCCGTGAGGATATCCACATTGCGATACAGAGCTCACCTCAAGCCTGAACACAAAGTCTGCCATTGTCCAGCAAAGATTACAACGCCATCATGACTGACGCCATGCCATTTATTTGAAGATTTTGTGCTTGATGCATTATGGATTCGCGCAGCAAAAAGTCACGATCACTCGCAATCGACGATAAATCGCCGCCCCCGACTGGGAAGCGACCTGGTATCGGTGACCGACATAATTCAGCTCCGGCAGTGAAGCCCAGGCGCGAAAGTCAGACAAAGCGAGCTTCTACCAGCACAAAAGCTTCGGAATCGAGCAGGCGCGCCTCAAAAAGCAGTCAGAAGGATGAGGTCAAGCCTCGTGCTGCTGGCCAGCGTTTCTCTGAACCGCCGCCCAGGCTTGAAGGCCGGTCCAAATTGTCATCCGTGAGTTAGGCCGCTTCTATGCTGCGACAGCTCCTAATCCCGTACAGACGAAAGAGGGCGATGAGATACCGACTATCAGCTTCGCAATTCTGGGCGCAAATGGGGTAGGAAAGAGCAACTTCGCCCTCAATGCTCTTGACCAGAGAAAACTGCCAGAGACACCTTTGGTCACGAGTAAAGTGTCGCTTGCGAAACAGCTCTATCGTGTGCAATTGTTCGAGCTCGGGTTCAACGACATCGATTTTGCGGGCGGAAAGCGCATCGCTTGGCCAAAGACTGTCAAGGGCTTGATCGTGCCTACCTTCCAAGGTGTTTTCTGCCTGTACGACGTCACAGATGCAAGCAGCAAGGACAATGTACCTCCAGTGTTGGGTAAGACTATTCCGTGATCGTAAAAATGTTTACTAAGCCCCAAAAAGCCGCGTTGTCCATGTCGGATATACCTTGCATGTTGGTGGCATGCAAGGCAGAGGCGCCCGACGATCAGCGTGAAATCCCGCCACACTTTCACGATCAGGTCAAGCGATCATTTTCAACGATACTCGTGCAGGAAACGAGCAAGAAGGAGCCGGAAACGCAAAAGCGATGCCTGTCCAACATGCTTCACAGTGTTTTCGCCAGAAATCGAGGTATGTACTACCAGTGACCAATAGCCCTTCTTGCTGCGGCATGATCACCAGAAAATGTGTCTCTGGAGAGCAGATCTCGGACTTGGCTCGGAATTGCTCTAACCATGTCTAGGTGTTCACAAATCCGCAGATTACCGCGCAAGATCTCATTCGGAAGCAACAGCCGTGCCGCATATCGCAGGGTCTCGCGATACATCACCGTCCAAGTCGAGAAGCCGAAGTCGGTCACATTCACGGCTGCGAACATCGAAGTCCAAAGACCTTATCCTAAATATGGCTGCCCGACCGCCTGTAATTGAGTCGGGAGACGAAGGCGGGGAAGATGATGGCGAACCGAATGAAGACTCTGACTCTGGCAGTGATCTTGAAATGGCCCAGAAGATGAAATCGAAGTCGAAGCTCAAAGTCGACACAAGCAACGTGCCGCGACCACAGTCACGCCCGATGGAGCCCCACACTCCAGAGTCCGATGATGATGACAGTGGCGGGCAGAAGACGGGAAATCCGAAATCGTTCGTACCAGAGACGCCCGAATCGTACTACGTCAAATCATCAGTATTGCGACCTCCTTCGTCTGAAGTACCCAATGGAGCGGGAGTGCAGACATTCCTGGACATGGACGAAGAATCGCACGACGACACGAATCCAACGACGGAATCTGCCAGACAGGCGATGCAATCCATTTCAGTCGAAGAGACCACGCCTGGCGAGACAGGTGTCCCATTCTACGACCTCGTGGAGCGACTGCTAACCCTGCCATCGTCGAAACACGACTCAAAGTTCGTGCCCTCATTTCTATGCCTATACCGACTTTTCGCAACGCCAAGACAGCTTCTAGTAGCAGTGATTGACCGCTTCGTGAAGACCGAGAAAGGCGACCTCGCACGCTTCGCCAAGGTCGCAGAGATGCTTCGTTATCTCCAAGTCCTCGGGCAGTGGACAGCTCAGTATCCCGGCGACTTCGCCTCCTCCCAAGTCAGGGACATTGCAACGACCTTTGTTCAGTCGCTCGAAAAGTCCCGCGAGTTCTCCCACGCAGCCCGCGAAATCAGCAACAACCTCACGACCCAAATACCAGACGATGACGTCGACTGGGCATACGACGATGCGCCAGACTCCGCCGTCAGCAAAGACAGCGGCTCATCGTTTCACAAAAAGACACCGACCTCCTCATCTACCTCGATCCCCTCTTCTATGACCGACACCTCCAAATCCACGTCCACCAGCAACGAAGACATCCGCTCCACGTCTACCATGAAGCCGGTCTCACCTTCCGTGTCCCAACTACTTCGCGGCAGCAACAGCAGCCAAACGCTCCTCAACATCGCCGCCCTCGAAGAAGCGCGTGAGCAAGCCCGCGGTTTGTGTCCCAACCCGAAGATCAAACTCAGCAAACTCCAATGGCACCAATTCATGGAGACTCCAATTGAAGACATCGCGCGTGAGATCACACGCATCGACTGGACCATGTACTCATCCATTCGGCCCAGAGATTACGTGCGGCACGTCACCCTCTCCGAGTCCCGACGCCGCAAAGCCAGCGTTAGCACCGGCAGCAGCCCTGGGCGCAACGACAACATCCTCGTAATGGTTCGACAGTTCAATCACTTAGCCATCTTCGTCTCCGGCATGATTCTACTCCGAGATAAGCCCAAACATCGCGCGAAAGCCGTCGAGAAATTCATGCAGCTCGCCTGGAAAGTCCGTGGGCTCAACAACTATAACTCCCTTGGCGCGATCGTGGCTGGGATTACGGGCCACGAAATCTCAAGGCTTAGCGCCACGCACGCACTAGTGCCGGATGAGGTGCGCAAACAGTTCATGCGGTTGACGATTTTAATGGGCATCTCGCGAAGTTACGCGGCGTACCGCATGGCTTGGGACAACAGTTTCCAGGAGAGAATCCCGTTCATCCCGCTGTTGCGGCAAGATCTGACAATGGCGGCGGCGGCGAATGCGACGTTTGTTGGTGGTGGTCAACAGCAGAATGTGAACTGGAAGAAGTTCGAGATCATGGGAGAGGCGATTGTTGGGGTGCAGCGGAGTTTGGAGATGGCGTATGGCTTTGGACCGAAGACGGCGAGGAGCGAGGAGATCGCGAGGCTTATCTTGGATACTAAGATATTGGGTGAGAGTGAGGTGAGTTTCTGGCCCCTATCATCGTTCAGAAGCTGGCACTTCTGGTCCTTCTTTCTTGACGACTTCTTTACTGACCATATAAATAGGACTCGGCGGATCCAAGAAGCGAGCTGTATGAACGAAGTGTGCAGGTTGAGCCGACCAATCAGAGCGGAAGTGGAGACTCGAGGGCGAGGAGGCTGTGGATGGGGCGATGATGAAAGGCGAAGTATGCGTGGAAAGCAAATCAACACCGAATCTTTAAGCAAGCCTTCACCAAGAGACGGACTGCACGAGCAGGCACGCGGACGACATACACGAACGAAACAATTAAAGCGAGCGAGGTTTTCAACCAGAGAGAGCATGGATTCGAAGCGACACGGACATCCATGAAGGCCACCAGATGTTCTGAGGAGGACCAGAGGGACAAAAAGGAGGTACGCGGAATGATGAAGTTATGAATGAAATGGATAGATGGAAAAAAGAACTGGAAGATCGCATATTATGAAGTACATACTTACATCTACGACGGAAACGAGGAGGCGAAGGAGCGAGCATTGTGGTGCGTTGCATACTCGGCAAGGCGAATGGAGCTTCACTTCGATACGGTGCTGGTGCTGGTGCCACATAGCATGGAATGAGTACGGGGCGCAACTGCTCTTCAACACTGGATGCTGTGCTTCTGCTGTCGTACAATTGACTCTCCTTGTTGTGGACCTTCCCTCTGAGCGGTTTTGCATGTCATTGCCAGTAAATTTCACTGATCATCGCCAATGAGGCCAAGAGGCCCGACTACGAGCACCGCCGACCTCGACATCGGTCTCAACCCCAGCGCAGAGCCTCAAAGCCAAAGCTCCCTTCAATCTTCCCCCGTCCAATACTCGAGCTCAGGGGCCGAATCTACGATGACTGCCATCTACCTCAGCCCTACCCCTACCCAAACCTTCCCAATCCTGAAGGATCGAGTCTGGGGCCGTAAACGCCAAGACCCACTTTAGTCAGGGCAGTGAACCGTAGGGCGAACTCTATCCTAGCCTGAAGAGGAGATATAGATATTGAGGCAATGCTAGTGGTGTCTCATCAGAAGGACCAACGGCTTCTCAGGGTCACGTAAGTCGGTTGGGGATAGAGAGCCAGTGCTGTCGAAGGGGCGAAGGTCGGGAGGTATAAGTACCCTCTTGCACAACCATGGAGGTGAAGAAACTGATTAATTTCATCCACATCGGACTTTCGAGCTCAGCACGAAGCTCTCCTGACATCTGGCATTGCGTCTAAACGCCTGTTGCGATACTACCAGGCCCACCTGTTCTCTCGGACCAAGCTTACCTCAACCTCACTGTTTCACCATGAAATACTCAACAACAGCCATCCTCGCCCTCTTCACCGCCTCTGCTGTGGCACAAACGACCATCGGCGACAACCAGACCATTGACCTGACCCACTCGACCAGCATCAACGACGAAACGCCGACGGCGACCGCAAGCGATGCAGCGGCAAACACGAAGAACGCTGCTATGGTGTTGAAGAAGACTATGGTGCAGGATGTGATCAAGGTGGTGGTCGTGGGCGTTGCTGCGGCTGGGCTGGCGGCTGCTGGTGTGTAGATCGGTCAGGGCATAGGAGTATCGATAATGGGGCGAGAGGTGTAGGGAGTAGTGAAGCCATCTGTACCAGTGACTTATTCAGTCGACCGTATGCACAGTCAGCAGCGCATTTGAATTCTGCAACAAATAGTGAATGCTTCATGTACGTACCAGTACAGTGACCGTTGCGTCTTTGCTTTCGAGTAACTGTTCGTTGCAGATCTATAAGTAATCGTCTCTGCGCTCGATCTTTTCTTTTTCTTTTCCTTCATCATGAAGACGATGGGAAAAGATTGCCATGCCAAGATAGCGCCTGCCACTACTTGATGGGACGACCTACACTTCTTCGACCCTGCTATTTCGATTGTGCTCCGAAGTCGACGATGATCTGGCTGTCATCGACAACTGGGCAGTGCTGGCTTCGATCCTCTCGTCGCTATCGTCGTCGAGTGTAGCAGACTGTACATGGTGAGTGTATGTCAAATAGGCGAGGCATCAATCAGTACGCATCCGTCGTGGTCAGGTATGATCAGCATGACCCGCGTGCCTATGAAGACAAGGATTGCCAACAGGGTCAGCCAGGTCCACGACGTCTCCAGTTCATTCCGAGCTTAGATAGGAGCAAAGGGAAGCAGATGGCAGGTGCTGCGAGAACACAAAGAGGCTGCTCCAAGTTGATGAGCAGTTGGAGGACAGGGCATATACGCTAACCCCATGTAGTTAATTGCAAACAATGACCACATGCCCCCAAGGTTCAAGAGACATGCCATCCCACGCACGTCGCACTCTCTACAGATTCACATCACAGACAAGCAGTGTTGTTTGATTTCTTGGTCACTTCCTGTGTCTTTCCTGACCTCAGCGCAGCATCCATTCGCTTCTGCATCCTGTACCTACCCCGATCACCCTGATACACGCAGGACAGCGTCCCAAGTTGTAGCAGGTACGTTCTGTCATCCCTCCAATGCCTCACCTGCTCTGGTTGCCGCAACACTCTGACCAGTGAGTGAGGAATGTTAGTGTCTACAAACAATTTCTCGATATTGCCATATCGAACTTGAGCGACTTCGACGACCAAAGACTTGTACTCTTCGCCGTCGATGGCTTCGTTCCTCACCACAATGTTCGTACCCTTCAGTTCCTCGCCGATAACATCACCTAAGCCGCTGAAGCCGCACTGCACCCTCAAGCAGTCGGCGTCATGCGTCACCATCAACACATACACTCTCTTCGAGACCCCCGCTTCTCCCACACTTGCTCTAAGCAGCAACAAGTCGCCGAAGACCCCATCGCGCGCAGTTGAGATATTGCGCGACAAATGGGGCGATCTGAGCAACTTCAAGTCGAGTCCACATTCTGACCGTGAATCTTCTCCTTTTAGCAATGCCCGCACGAGGGGTCAGTTCAAGCCTTCGCAGCGAGCTGGGAAGGGCAATACCGCCTTTCAGTTGAAGCAGTTTGCAGAGGCGACGTTGGGGACTGGGAGTCTGCGCAAGGTTGTCAAGCTGCCTGAGGGCGAAGATCTGAATGAGTGGCTTGCTGTCAATGGTATGAAGCGTCATGCTCCGCCGGCTATGCGCAAGATATGCTGATCATGCGCAGTTGTCGACTTCTACAACCAGATCAACCTGCTCTATGGCTCCATCACAGAATTCTGCTCGCCGCAGTCGTGCCCCGAGATGAAGGCCACCGACGAGTAACTCCTCCTATCCCTTCCAGACATGCGACCAGCCTATACTAACGTATCTTCTCTCAAGATTCGAATACCTCTGGCAAGATGCCGCAACCGGCTACCCGAAACCCACCAAGATGCCTGCGCCTGAATACATCGAGCACCTCATGACATGGGTCCAATCCAATATCGACAACGAAGCCACCTTCCCATCGCGCATCGGTGTTCCCTTTCCCAAGCACTTTCCTCAGAGCGTCCGCAACATCTTCAAGCGCCTTTACCGAGTCTATGCGCACATCTACTGCCATCACTACCCAGTGATCGTGCACCTCGGACTGGAGCCACACCTGAACACGAGTTTCAAACACTATGTGCTGTTCATCGACGAGCATGGGCTGGAGAAAGGTGGTGGGAAGGACTACTATGGTCCGTTGGGGGACTTGGTGGATAGTATGTTGAAGAGCGAATGAGCAAATGGCAATCAGCTCATGGTTCCTGTCGGTGGGACGAGAGCTGAATAATCATTGTACCACTACGACCACGAAGACGCACGACGACGTCTAGAAGCACACACGCTGTTGGCTTCGGAAAGCAGGCCAATAACAGCAGAGAGGCTTCGGCCTTACGCTACTGCTCGCCGATGGGATGCTAATGTGGCAACACGTCACAAAAGCCGGCATACGACGATACCCGCCACTCGGTGGCACAACAGAGTGAGCTCTGAGGAGCAACATCCAGATTACGGTGCGGTCCCCCGCGCAGATTCCACCTGATGGGCGAGCCTCGCAGGACATGCTCGGAGGGCGGCGTTAGTGAATGAACTTCAAACGAAGAATTGGACCAAGCATAACGTTTATGTACTACTTCGACCGCGATTAATGAGATCAAGACGTTCACGGACAGAACAGAGCGCTTCTTTTCTTCTTCTTTTCTGGCTCGTACACTGTGATTCTACCAGGTAGTTGAAAGCTCGAGGGATATTTGCCTACTACTACAGTCTACCTTGGCCATTGACGACGCACTGAACATTCCGCTGACGATTGATTTGAAGCTCGGCCTTCCGCTGCAAAGTGATCATTGGAAGGATCATGGCTTTTCTGCATTGACGCTGCTGGTCGCTTTGCTCTCTTGTTACACAAAAATCATGTAGCTAGCTACCTCGGACACCATCCAGAAAAAGCCAACGCTTTGCGCTGTGCTGTGCTGTTGGAAAGCTTTCGCCTGAAGCCGAGCCTCCTAGCCACAAGACCAACACATCGCCGTATCTGTGGCAAGAAGTACTGTAGCACCTGTCGGAGACGCACGTTTACCCCGTCGGAAAGCATTCATCTGTAGCTACCACCACCGCCATTAGCCCTCGCGTAGCGCTCGCTTATGCTGCCGGCATAGCCTCGCCCACTGCCTCCTCTGTCTCCGCCACGGCCTCGGAAGTGACCTGAAGGTGGACCCCGATCATCGTAGCGTCTGTCATACCCGCCTCGATGGTCATCATAGCCTCCTCTCCTGTCGTAGCCACCGCCTCGATCATCATATCTCCGCTCACGATCCCGCATCATGTCACGGTCTCGATCGTGTTCCCTCGGAGGACCGCCTCTCCTCATGTCTCGGTCGTCACGTGGAGGTGAACGAGGTGGTCCGTCGCGGTGATGGTCGTCACGAGGATCGTCTCGTCGGGTCTCACGGTCTCGGCGGTCTCTAGAGGCCGCAGCGTCTTCACGATCAGAGTCGTAGCGGGATGGCTCGGTGGTGTTGCCGGCCGTGGCTTGAGTTGAGCCGGGGGCGACATCGTCCGGGGAGAGCATGTCAGCATCTTCAGAGTATAGCTCAGTGTCGTGGCGAGGTGATGGGCTTGGCTGTGTGGCCTTTGGAGGGTGTGAGGGCTCTTTTGACTGTGCTTGTGGTTTTTGGAGTTGTAGCTTCAGGTAGCGGCCATCTGCTAGTTGATTGTTGTAGGTGGAGATTATCCGGTCGGCGATGGTGCGCTCGGTGAGAACGAATTCGGCAGTGACGACGGGCTGAGTCGAGGTGATGTGACAAGAAATGAGACCTTGTTGACCATCGTCGTCAACGGCAGTGTGACTTATGGAGGCTTCGATGTCGGCGGCGGTGGTGCCTGGGGCGAAGTTGGTGGCGACCACTGTCCATGGACCTGCCTTGCCTTTTATGCTCAGCCCTCCGGACTTGGAGGTGGGCCGCTGGGAGGTGGATGTGTTGGATGCATCGAGGGCGTGGGATATGCGGTTCGCGCGGTCTCGCTGTTGAGCCTGTGACGAGCTATTGCGATTGAGGGCAGGCCGGAAAGGGTTCCCTTGACTCGAATTAGAGGTCGTCGAGGGAGTTCGCTGATCTGTGTCAGTATGCGTGTCGACGTAGACGACTATAATATTGGCTGTACCTTTGCTATTCCTATTCGACTGGCGAGGCTGGGGCTGTTGGAGGCGGACCGGTTGACCTTGCCGCCGTCGTTCTGCTTCGAGCGATTGCGGCCGAAGATGTTTGCGGCTAGCTGCTCGTTCTTTCGCCTCGCGCGATCTTTGCAGGTGCGTTAGCAGGGGTCGTAGCATGGGTGGCGGACGGATGAACTGGAAGGGCGACGGCCACGAAGCCCCGTGCACTTGGGCTGGACGGAAGAGCCTGGGCTAGTACATACCTGCTTGGATCATCTGGTTGAAATCGACTGCGCTCTTCTGGTCCGACATGGTGGGCGGTTTTCTGGCGAGAACGTGGACGATTCACCGAGATGTTGCGGCCCAAAAGTTGAAGAGCTCCTCCGCAGACGTTCTTAGAAGTCTTGGCGCGATCGGCTCGCGACGCGACGATGACAACAAGCTCTTCTCCGAGTTGGCTGTTACTTTCTTTCACATCACATGTATCGTGCGGCTGCTTGCATATGCATGCTCGCGATACACGAAGGTCGGTCACGCAGAATCTTGATGGGCAAAAGGGCGAAAAGAGCATACCATTGACCTGAGGCACCTCAATAAAACACGCAGATGAGCAGCGAGGACTTCGAGATCAGTTTGTGTGGCTTCGATGTTTCCACTTCTCAACCACATTTGAGGCCGAGCAAAGGTGGAGAGGGCGAATCTGATTTGAACCGAGTCAGGACGGATTGCCTGGTGTGCAAGCCCAAGACTTTCGGCAAGCCGCCTTTGTAAGGTAGGTATCATACAATTGACTTCAATTTGGCATGATTGCAGCGGTTTTGAAGTGTCGATGGCAAGGGCGAAGCTGGTACGCTCGGAGATGCAGCTGCGCTTAGGTTGTCGGTCCTTCCTGCATACCTGGACTGTCCCAAGGAAGTCGCCGTGCACCTGACGGTCAAGGAGCGGGCAGTGGCGATATACCTTCCTGGCAGGAGCTCCTCTGCTACTCATGTAAGTCTGGTCATCGCGCGACGCATTCAATTCATCTCGAGGCATCTGTCACGCGTTTTGCTCTACCCATTCTGTGCTCGTGCATCCGTTTCTGGGTCAGCCGATAGCCTGGTTGCATCAGCGCCCTCATCTGCTCCAACCCAGTTCTTTGTGCCAGCATCAGTATGTTTTCATGGAACACCATCCGACGCAAGTCCTCCTCATCATTGCTTCCAGACGCTGGTAGTCCTACACGACGCTCGCCATCTCGACTACGCTCCAAGCGGTCCAGATCTTTGTCCTCCAAGGGAAGCCTTTCCAGTCTCTTTTCGAAGAAAGACAATATGTCAAAGTAAGCAGAACTGCGTTCAAAACGCTCAGTGTCCTGACCTTCTCTAGGCCTAGTGATCCCGCTGAGCTGGCTATTGGAGTCGAAGACCGCGGATCTCGCGCAGATGATCCCTTCAGTCTTGACTCCAGTACCACCGCAACTCATATGCCAGGATCGATGAGACGACGGCGCCAGTTGCGACCGAAGGAGCTGCTCCGCCCCCTCGAAATTGGCTGGAGAGCCTGGCACGGACGTTCAAGGCTGCAACAGAGCTGTTGCACCACAAGCCCCCAACTGAGGCTACGGTCACAAGAAAAGACAGAGCACAATCCCAAACCCTTCGCGGCCGATCGGCCTCGCCCAAGAAGTCGGTCCGCTTCCGGTCTCAGACCTACACCTACACTGGAGAACCCATTGCTAACAGCTCACCCATCGGCGTGCCCACCAAGCAAACTCCTCGGTTACCATCCATTCCAGCCTACGACCCTCTGAAAGGCTTTGGTAGCGATCCGCTACAGGATCCCATCCTGACCGGTCGTCCAGAAGACACACCATACGTGAAGGCCCTGGCTGCTGAGGAGAACGGATTCTTCCCGTTTCCTACGGTCATCGATGGAACTCTCCAGCAGCTCAAGGCAGAGCAGAATCGTTCAGGTTCTCCACATGAGGCCGAGCACAAGCTCCAGCAGCTTGTCAAGGAGCCAGACAATCCCTTTGATGACTCTGCCGCTGCAGCTGTTGTCCTGGAGGACGTGCTCCACAAGGATAACAAGATCACGGGAAGTAATGATCAGAACGCCTCAACAGGTCAACCCGTGGCTCAGACTGACCAAGAAGCTACAACTTGTGTCACTCCTTCCGATCGAGCCGAGAAGGAGTCGCCGGAGTCGAAAAGTACAGAGCTCGCAAATTCAGCTGTCGGCGAAGCAAGCGATCTGTCAAACGATGCCTGTCTGCTAGAGGATATGCCAGCCCAGCAAACCTCGGACGAAAGCAGTTACAAGCGCACGAGTAATGAGACCGGTGAGGACCCATTCCTGCAGTCGTCAGCCACGTCCATCGAAGAAGACTGCGGAATAGTTGTCGGCATTGCGTCTCCGCCCCTTTCTCAGTCACCTGAGATTGACATTGAACAAACTGCCGGCGTTGGCCTGTCACGTGCATCACCATGGGACCTGCAGAGTCGCTCTGATTGCAAGGACCTAGGCACCGATAGCGAGTCTGAAGGCTCAGACAAGTCGGTGAGAAGACACGATCCATACGGACGCCGCCGAGATACAACGCATGAGGACATTCGACGTAGATTTCGAGTGAGGAGGGAAGATCATGCGGGCCTCCCAAGTGCAGGGACCACGAAGTCTGGAGGCGCCTACCAAGATCCTGTGAAGCAGTCAACTGGTTCGTCTGCTGAGATGCCAGCTTGCCCTGCACCTGCCAACTTCAATTCTGATGATGCATCCACGCCTCTGTCTGTGCGACGTCGGGAATCCTCTATTCGCAGTCGGAGCCCTGCTCGTACGTTCCGCTTCTCCAGCAATAGCCCACGCGATGCATCGATTGCGGAGGTTACACCTACAGTCTTCGGCTGGGAAAGTCACAAGCTTGCAGAGACTACACCTCCAGCACTGCGAAACGACCAAACGCCATCGCCTGTCACGGTACCTCTTCCGCTGTCGGTTGCTCCAAAGCGAAGAAGCAAGGAGACCTTGTCATGGACACCACTCGACGAACCTAGGTTTGCGCAATGCTTCGTAGAGGCTTTGCAAGATGATAGACATCTGGTGCTTCTCGAGAGAGGAGGGTATGCAAGATTCTGGGTCGTTGAAGGTCTGCCTCAGAGTACAGAACCACCGTCAGACGCTATCAAAGTGGCTTCCATTGAAGATCTTGACAGTTTGGCTGAGAAGTGTTTCTCTGCACTGTCTGCCGGAGTTCAAGGAAACCAATACCGCTCCTTGCGGCGGTCTCCTCGTGGCAAGGTGTTTTCAACAACTCCAGGTACACAAGCGACTGCTTTTCATCGACCCGAATTCGAGGCATCGGATCCCAGCACAATGACCGATGGCATTCAATCTGCTTCTGAAATCAGCCTCTAATCCCACGCAAGCAGTATCGTGCCTCGTTTCTCGGTATGAAGGACCATGCTGTACACTACTCGCGAACGACCTACATCGACATAGATACATCGAGACTCGGATCCGACTAACATGGTCAGCAATGTGAAGTTGCGCTCATACCAGTCGCGCATCATCATTAGCCAAGGGGGACCTTGACGCGATTTGGGAGCTGAATCGTTAGCAAACATATATCTTTGGGCTGCTGGACATTCGAGTCCCGGCTACCTGAGCCGCTCACTTCAGAGATGGGATAGGACATAGCAGTTCATGAGATATGAGTAATCGAGGTACGTGGACTTAGGCGAAGCATCAAGCCGCGGTCACTACGATGCAGTATCCTTAGGTACCGTCACAACAGGAGACATTGCATGCATCCTTTGTTTGCTGGCCCCAATGTCGTCTTCCTTTGCCTGTTTCAGTGGCGTGTACTCGAATCAGCTCTTCCTTCCCCAGCCCATCCGTGCCTTCAAGTCCGACTGCGAGCTTACTTTTGCATGGCGTGTGCTTTCCCGATGACTTCGTCGGTTCAAGAATGCTTGCTAAGGATGGATTGACATACAACAGAAGGCCGCCAAAAGTCGTCGAGCAACTCGTTGCCGCACCCTCGGGACATCGGTTGACCGGCGAGGTGGTTATCAGACCGGTTGACAGCACAGTTCACACGCCGGTTGACCGAAAATTTTGCACTAGACCGGGTGACTGCTTATGGGTCGGACTTATCCGACGCCGGTTGACACGGTAGCCTAGCTGAGACCGGTTGACTGGCCCTTGTCACGTCAAACCTTAACATGGCCAGTGAATCTTTCAGTCATTGACTGACATTACTGAGATAAGTGCCCGCAGCTGGAATTCTTCGCTGCCGTCATAGGGAAAGTATCAAGCATGTAGAAGCTTCTGCTGGCTCGCTGATATTGCGCCTAAGCCCATAAATGCTCTCAGTCAATCATGTTGTTGCCAAACAGCCTCTCCTGATCGTACGTCACCGTGTTATTCGTCGCCGACACGTTCCTGAAATACAACTCGACGTTCGGGTCCAGATTTGCAGACATATCGATCGTCCCTGCAGGATGATTGAGGTCAAGGCCGCCGAAGCTGAAGACCTGGCTCGACGTGCCATACCCGCTGCTGTTCAGGCCGTCTCCGGTCTGGAAGAATGCAGCGGAGCCGTGGATGGTGGTGGACAGCAGGCGTCCGCCAGAGGTGAAGGACTTGTTGAGACCTGATGGGAAGATGGAAGAGCCAACAACGGCCAATCTGAGGCCTTGAATGTATGTCCCGTAGATGCTCAGGTTGCCTTGGTGTGTCTGGCTGTAAGACTGGTCGCAGCATAGTGGGTACTCATAGGCAGTAGTGTATGAATATGTACCTCCTTGGCTAATGTCTGTGCCGCTGATGGTGAGGTGTTTGGTTTGGTTGAAGCCGTAGTTGGTGAGGTGGCCCTTATTGTGGTAGGATAATGTCTGCGTCCAGGTGATTGTGTTGCTTGAGTTCCGGGAACTGACTTCGGCACTGACGGAGAATGTGCGTTGAACGTCGGTTGTGTAGTCCAAGGTTTCGTTGACGCCGCAAGCGTCGGCCTGGACAGAACGCGATATGGGTATGGCTGGCAATGGCTCGACCACAGTAGGCACCCTGCTACCTGTGGTGATAGAATTCTCATCATCGTCCAACCAGATGAATATTTTACCAGTGATAACCCAGCTTTCGGGTATATTGTTCGTCAGCGTAGCCGAAGCCATCCCATCATCGAAAAGTCCAGCGACTTTGAGCGTGAAGGGATGCTCCGTACCATCGCTTAAGAGAGGTAGCCACGGCGAGACGTCGATCTCATGTTCGCGCAAGTCGAACACATCGATGCCCACGATGGGTCGGTGCAAACCTGGGACCACACCTCCCGTGAAAATGACAGGAAACGGCCATGCTACTCCTGCGAGGTGGTCGTCGATGTAGAGCTGAACCTCCCGGAATGGACTCAGCGCCGGCAAGCTCCCCACGGTGGAATTGAAGGTGGAAGCATCGGTCTCGAGAACGTTGCTCCACCAGAACTCTTCCAGAGACTGGCCAGTTGCGGAAATGGAGAAGACTGCACGGTTGGCGTTTCTGGGAAAGGTGGCGGTAGTCGTGGCATTGTCTTGAGGGAGAGTAAAAAGAGGCACGCCATCTGCGGCGCTTCGCTTGTAGGAAATGGGAACGATCAGATCGGCTGGCAGCGAGATCTCTGTGTCGGGGGGTTGAGGTAGAAGCTAGCGGTCAGCGTGGTGTTGAAAGATCCGGTGTGATTCGCGTTGATGAGATTGCCAAGATTGAATATGAGCTTCTGTGGCTGCTTCCATAGCGACAGGTACGGAGTCATATCTTTGGTGTACTCCCAGTGGATGCCGGGGTGCGGCACTGGCTCAGCGGTTGATGTACGCCACACCTCGACATCCCCCAGGAATATAGTGGCAAGGCGATCAAACTGACGCCCTTCTGAGACAGCCGCAAACTTGATGACCACACGGTTGAAGTCACAGTCTGGGGCTGCGTAGTAGCCTGTGACGTGTTAACAGACTAGCCTCGTAGAGGCTGCCAAAAGCATTCCCGGGCCCAAGACTGACCGATGAAAGGCAGGCCGTAGCTATTGGCAAAGACGTGATCCATCAACGGGATACTGCAAGGCTCTTCGGCCTTCGACGTCGTCACGGGCTGAGCAACTTGAAAGCACTCAACCACGGTGGCAGCTGCTGACTGGGCTGAGACGATGTCTGGTCGCTTGTCAGGCAGAGATGGTGTCCTTGGGTCGGCTGCTGTAGGGCGAGCGAGATTAGGATCGTGTCCTGCATCAGCGACCGGTTGGATTGAACCGCAAATTGTGAAGAGAAGCCATACAAGACGACAGCTATATAGCGACATCCGAGGACTATTAGGCTGATTAGATGAGTAGACAGGCGAGATGGGAAGACTGCTGCGGCATCCGTGGTTCAGCTAACACCTCAGTACTTGCTGGCCAACAGGGCGCAAAGCGAAGTCGTGGGCTCCAAGGTGAAGGACCTAATGTTACACAATCACAAGTCCAAAAACTGTGGGGGAAAAGTGAGTGTCCAGCAGCTGCGCAGCATAGCAATGGAAGGGCAGGTGTCAAGGGAGGTGATAGGAGCCAGCCGTGCGACATGAAAATCGGGCAAGTGCATACTGCATTCTAAAATCGACTGAACAGGGCAGCGAGCAGTGTGGCAGTCATAGAAGGCGCGATGCATACATCGTACGAAGAATGTTCCTCAGAAGAAGATTGGTGACAATGAGATCTTGCGCCGGGATGCGATAGAACGCCGTGTATCTGCTCGTGAAATCTAGAGGTTGTGTCATTGATCATGTTCGGGGTCAGAGTGGCCTGAGGTGAGGGGTGGTTCATGGCATGCCAATCAGACATATTGCGCGAGCCACCGGATGCCCTCTCCATAACCTGCGAAACAGTCAGCATGCCACTGTAATCCGTGGTAGAATGCAAAGATAACGTACCCTGCCTCATCACGACCGAACACATAAACACCTCAATCGGCCGAATGCCCTCCAACGGCACCTTGCCCTTCCCCGTTGTCTGATATAGACCCAACTGATGTCTCAACTCATCTTCACTGACCGCATCTGGGTGATCGATCTTGTTTCCGAGGATCAAGAAGGGTGTCTTTGCCAGATCTTCCATAGCTAGAAGAGCGTCGAGTTCGGCTTTTGATTCGGGCAGGCGCTCGTGGTCCTTTGCGTCGACGAGGAAAACGATGCCGGAGACTTCGGGGAAGTAATCGCGCCAGAGACGGCGGGCTAGACGGCGGGTCAGTCGCGGGGTATGTTGGACTGTCCTGGGGATGGGTGTCCCTACCTTGCTGATGACCACCGAGATCGAAGGTTGTGAAACGGTTGTTGCCGATGGCGAGCTCTTCGGATGCTGGTGGACTGTTAGACCATGCTCGTGTGCGCGGGTGGGATGGCTCTTACTTGGGTGGAGGGTTGGTTGCAGGATAGCTACTCGGTCGTTCTGTTTGCATTTGTTAGATCCCCGTGAACCATCGAACAGACGAGACCATGGAGACGAGACGGCGAGTGTGCTGAGATCAAATCTGATCTGCCCAGCCAAGTGATCACATTCCTTACCTTCAACATGTGTAATAACGTAGTCTTGCCGGCATTATCGAGACCGAGGAACAGGAGTTTGGCATGCTTGTTGAGGAGGCCTAGCGAGGCAAGAATATCGTAGACTATGGCGGATCAGCACTGCCTTGTCTTTGATCTATCGGATAACACGAAGGAACATACACCAGTTGACAATCCACATGGCTGAAGTGGCCAACTGCGGCGGGCTGGGTAAGGCAAAAGTGTTCGGAAATGGATTCACGTTTGCGACGGAGTGTCAGAGCGGAGGTCTGGAATCAGGAGGGATTGGGATCTGGTGTCCGAGTCGAGATGGTGTTTGCGACAGGTGGTCTCAATGGCCCGCGATTGCATTCGATGCAATGAAGACCGCTCCTCTCCTCAATGGAGTCCAAATTCTTGGCGGTCATGAATCACGTGACAGACTCAGGAAGCACTGGCACTCGGAGTTGCTTTGTTACAACGAGCACGCTAGAATGCAGAAGGATAGTGAAGACGAAATTGCTGATGGTAACTATGTTCATCTGAAAGCTCGCTGGAGCTTATATGCTAACTATGTGCAATGTTCCCGGGGGCGAGAGGCCTCTCTGTCGGCTTGTACAGCACGAGTGTTATTCCCTAGTGACGCCATGCTATGGTATGCTTGAAGCAGCACAATGATAAGAATGGGTCGCAAATGACCCTTTCCGCCACGGTCTGGTTCCGTAGAAAAGATGCTTGAATGTTCATAAGTTGAAGGCAAGTGCCTCATGTGACGAGTCTGTGATAGACTCTGGTAGAAGGGTCAACGTGCCCATGTGTGACATACGAGAAGTCATTTACATCGAGATGACGACTTGTGCGGTGCCCTGGCCAGGAACGCCATAGCCCAGCTTGCGCTCATGGCATTGGAGACCGAGCTCCCGCATGCGCTCGGCTCCGCGACCAGGCACAGGTTTACGTTCAGATTGCTCCTTCGCAGCCTTATGGCAATGCTGACGCCAGAACTTCTCCTTGCGTTTCTGTCGCTTGCGCTCCAAGCCCATCTTGATGTCTACTGGACCACGCACATGCATGTCGAGACGTTGACCGTCTTCGACAGCAGGCGTCACAGCCCCAGAAGCAACGTTGGACATGCTAGGACTTCCGACGTTGAAATGCTTGAAGAATGGGTTGGGTGTTCGTGGCAGTGACGCAGTCCGCTCACGGCGACCACGAGTGGCCAAGGGACGCTGAGCGAGATCCATGCGAGGAGCAAATGAAATAGTGGTCATGGGTGACGCCGGCGGTGACCGCAGTCGAGTAGGTGCGGGTGATCTCATGCGACGAGGAGGAGAATTTGCGCCATGGTGGAACAACAAGTGCTTGGGCGGCGGCGAGCGAGCGCGACGCGTAGGAGGTGGAGGTGACCGGGGGTTTGTTGTACGCCGAACCATCGCCGGACGAGGGAAAGGAAACTCGTTACGTGGCGATGGTGGTGTAGAAGACTTGATGGCAGTAGGTGTCTTGGACCGAGCAGAGACGTCGAAATCTGCGAACTGGTCCTTCAACCACATCGGCCCGCTCGCACCCGGGGACTCATCGTTGTCTTCCTCTTCATCGTCCTCGTCCTCAGGATCGGTCGTCGGGAAGCTTGGATCAATGTCTTGTGGAATGATGACTTGCTTTTGGCGTTTGCGCTGCTCTATGCAGGACTTGTAAGCAGCCTCCAATGGTCGGTCTTCGTCAAGAGTGCCACAAACGAAATCTGTACTATCGGGAAGCTCTGGTGTGCTTGGTCGCATCCGGTTGACCTTGGTGGAACGTTTCTTGCCGTAGATTGGCCGCTCGGTGGCTTTGGGCAGGGCGTCGGAGTGGCCGAGAGACTCCAATGAGCTTGCACGCGAACGACCACGGGTGCTGATGTGGCTAAGATTCTCGGTACTGGTGGCCGCCGTCGTGGTCGAAAGAGCAGGTGCCCAGAAGTGGTAATCGGAGCCAGCGTCGCTTTCGTCATCAGACTCTGCAAAGCCACCCTCATCGTCAGATTCATTGCCATCGTCTGAAGGCGCGAAGTCGTCCACCTGAGCTTGTTCTTCGTCCTCGTTCTCGGCGTCTTCTTGCTCGGCCAATGCCTCATCCTCGGCCTCTTCTTCGGCCTCTTCACCGAGCTTGCGAATGACGTTTTCCTTCTGCATGCAGTCGGTCAGCGTCAGCTTCCTGGGGTGCTGTGCGACGTTGTCGACCCATGTGTCAGTCTCGTCGTGAGAGCTGCCAAACTCCTGGAATGTCTGAGGCGACAGGGGGCTCTTGAGAGGTGACGGCTTCTCGATGTGCACCTTAGGAGGCTCCACGGCAGCGGGCACTGGTTCTGATACAGCGCGGAGTCGCTGAGCCTCTTGCGTCTGGATTGGAGCCTGCTTTGGTTCATCTTGTCGTGATGGACAAACAAATGTGAGAGCACACTTTCGCTTCGGAGGTTCGACCTTCACCGGAGGTTCCGGAGCCTTCTCCTCCTTGACTTCAGGCGTCTTCACTTCTGGGGTCTTAGAGCCGCCACATGCAAACATGATACATCTCTTCCGACCGAGTGTCTTCGTCACAGCAGCTTCCGTACCATCGGCCTCGACGACCTTTGCCGGTTCGGGAACAGGAACGGCAGGCGCTTTCGCTGCCAAGGGTTTTCCCAGAGTCATGTGGGTGAAGCCACTCGGCAGAGGCGGGCTCGGAGTGCACGAGCGGGTTGGGCTTGCATCGCTTGTGAGTTCTGCAGTCGAAGCCATGCTCGTGGCGCTATGCGAGGACGCAGTTGAGAGACCACGAGAGACAATTTTGGGGTTGGCGGACAGAATGAGATCTTCTGGCTGCGAATCTGACATGATGGCTCGTGTCAACAGAGATTCTCTGCGCGGTCCAGTCGGCATGCGGCCCGTTTTAGGATACTGGGACGTTTTTGAAATTTGATTCAGGGCTGACAGGTGATCGTCTGGTGGCTCATCGGCCTCCGCAGCCACATCGTCTTCGGCCATGGCCACCGTAGGTGCATTCGAGAAATTCAACATCTTGAGAATTGACTGCATGGCTCCGGTGTGTGGTGTATCCCGGCCAACTATTTGTGGATGGACCGTGCACTGCTGATCTATGAAAAGATCAACGGCAGGAATGGAGGTGGTATTTTTGGTACAAAGACCAGAAGTCCTATAATCTCGATATCGACATGTTGGGTGATTTATCTGGTGTAGAACAATCGATTGTGTGAAAGTCGTTTGTGGTTTGTGTGCGGGTGGTGATGCGCGCTTGGACTCGGTGGCAATCAGCTGAACACCAATTCCGTGCGGGACGTGATTCGTGTGGTGAGTGTGAAGTATTGAGAAGTTGAAAGAGAATCACGTCTACAGCCAAATGCAATGATAAATTAAACAAGACTGCTCTGGTAATCGAGCAGTCGAGTATCGAGTAGAAAGGTGCGGAAAGTGGTAGGAGGAGGATGTGTGGTGGTAGAAGAGGGCTGTGGGCTGTTTTGGTGGGCGCAAGATTTGAAAGCACGCACTTGCGCACTCTTCCCACGGCTGGCAACTTCTCTACCAAAGGGCACCTCCAATCTTCACTTGCCGCTAGGTTCAACCCAGCCTAGAGAGTTTTTTGCCGCTGGGAGGGCCCCCTCGTCGAAGGTCCACGACTCGCACGCAGGATTACAATACCGACCCACCAGAACGGCGGTCATCGGGTCAGCTCTCAAACATCGAGCAAAAACAGAACAGGTTTTTCTGCTGGCGAAAATTGGAGCTGCTGGGCCCAAGACCAGCCAGTTACGCCTTGCGAAAACCGCACAGGCACGACCACACCTTCCTCCTACATCTGCCGGCCACCGCGTCTACCAATTAACAGATACGCATATCGTTTTATTCACCAAGTCATTGTTCATCCACCGTTACCGGGCAGTTTACAGGCGGCGCATTTCCAGAGGCACAGCCGGGCTATCATTTCTATTTGGGAGTTTCCTCCTCAGGCTCGAGTCTTCGGCACGAAGGCAACCGTACGAATTATTGTCTGCCACCCATCGAGCATGCGCATTAGCACTCTCTTCGCCGCTGTGTGGGCATTGGGCAATCACTGAATTAAGCCCCATCTGACGTGGACTACCTGCGATAGCGACTGTGGTGATGGCATGTCAGCGTTATTCTGGTAGCCTGTATTTCGTCACTCCGGCCACCGTTCATGGGTGCTGAACAGGCTTGGAAGCGCAAGCGTGGGTAAAAATACCTGTCTACCTTGCCAAAACACTCCGTGCAGCCGAAAATTACGCAATTCTCGATACCGTCATGACCTCGAGCCCTGGACTAGAAGAAAGCAGCGCCTCCTACGTCGCCCTAATTCCGCCGATCGCCTCCACTGCCCTCAGATTCAAACGTTTCATAGTTTGACCTTCGAGATCTCGCAGCATAAGATGAAGCTTCATTATCGGCCTTCATGAATGCGTCATCTCCACATCAATGTCCGTCTTACCGTCAATCTTCCGCTCCTACGGGCCAATGCACACAGCAATTCAACGGCAGTGTGTAACGTCCGCTTGATCGCATCGTCAAACCGCACTCAGCAGTCTCACAGAGCTCGAGTCTGACCGCGCACGCACTCGCGACGCCGGGAGGCCTTCATTTGGCATCTTACGTACAAGCAGCTAGACTCGAATGCCCACCAGGCAGTCGCCATCCGTCAAGCAACTCGTTTGACGCACAGTCCGGGCAAGAACGTCCATTCACCAACCGCTTATTCGCCTAGGTGATGACCATAGCAAAAACGACATCAGTCGTTCTTGCCACGTTCTTCCCACTGACTCAGGTCCCGCGGCCAAGTGCTGCGCTTCGGATAATTTCTTGCATTGCTACTACCTACCATCTTTTAAGGGACACAATTATGCACGATGACCCGTGCGCTTCATGCTGCAGGTGACAGGTCGTGATGGCTCGCTTGTATGACTGGCATGTCAAGTCGCATGTTCACTGAAGACCAGGCCTATTTCGCGTCCACACAACCCCGTGCCACATCTGTATTGGGTAAGTCCTCCAGCGACGCATTCAAATTCCTCATGCAAGCGCGGAATCTCAGAAGAGCTGTGATGGTGTTGGCCAATATCAAATGGTCACACAATTCTCCCCCACGTTCTCCACAAATTCATGGTGTCTCAAGAACGGCGGTCAACAGAGCTAGTTCTCATGAGCTGCAGCCAGTACGTCCCCATTCGAGATGAGAAGCATACACATACGAGCTCTCACTGCATTGTCGAGAATAGGGCCGTCCCATACCCGTGCCAGACAATCGCATACGACATGGGTGCGCGGCTTCCATCGATGGCCAGAAGAGCCTGTGAAGCCCAGATCTCGATGCTCACAGCACAGGTATCAAACCTGCAGGCCGCGGAGCTTCAGAGCATCCATGCAGAAGTAGATGAAGTCGGCGAGCCTCGAGGATATCGTCACCCTGGAAAGCTCAATGATCCTTGAGGAGTCTCGCACGAATTGCCCTGGCATATGCATGTGCGCAGGCCGCTTGCTGTACGAAAAGATGAGAGTGCGACACAAGATCGGTCGAGGGCCGGACCCCACCGGTGCCCAGAAGCTGGCATGCGGTAAGCAGTTTTGTATGAGGCATTTATGGTCGGCCAATCATAGCTCACCTGTCTTTCGTCTCCTCTTCCACTTTCTCGACATCAATTCCTCGAACAATTGATTTGATATCCATCGACTTGCAGCTTAACAGCCGAGGAACTCCGCACGCTGTGCCATACACCATCTTTTCGCGACAACTCTGCTGCACGGTAATGCAACTTTGTTGAGATTGCCTCCAGTCTTGCCTCGTGTTTCGACACCAAGCTCGCAGCTACATGCCCCGCAAGGATGCATTGTGCAGCTTCTCAGATCTGGTGCAACGCAGCCTCTGACTGACCTCTTTGCAGCGTGGATGGAAATACCAGCGCAAAGTCGTGGGTACTCTCAAGTACGGTGTGTTGATCGTCGAACGGACGTTGCATTATTGTCAATGCGCTGTGGTAAACTTGTTACCACATAGATACCCAAACTTTGGGGTGATCAATACCTGTTCTACCCAGGTACTACAGTACAATGCATTGTGCCTGTATACACTAAGATCTTTGTCGATTCAGGGTCTCCTTAAGCGATACCTAAAAGTAGCAGACAATGGTCGTCCACAGACGCAGCTCCCACAGCCATTGATATTGTGAAACTGCTAGCAATGTGCTCTGTGAGTTAAAGATATTCAAGTCGATCTGCCCGCGAGGAGAGCAGCCTTCCGCACATTCCTTACGGCTGCTTTTTCATGGCAAAAGCACCGAGTCAGTGTACCTGTGCAGGGCTCGTATTCTGTATAGTCTGGGCCAGCGCGCCTGTGAGGCCTGGCTTTTCAGCCTTCGTCGCAATTAACAGTGCATCTCAAAAGCAATCACACTACGAAGCATTCGTAGTCTTGACGACAGCGAGGCAGTTTTTCACATCACCATTGCCTCCCGGCCCGATCATATCGACGATCAAGAACATAAAGCTCTGTGACTAACCCAGAGCAATTCAAGCATACCCAACGTTAACGTTAACCTAAGGCCAGAGGACAGATAGAAGTCTCAAAGAGGCAGCTGACTAGCCTGGAGTAGAGACTGACAACTCCTGACAGATGCCAAGGCGCTCTTCAACGGACAAAATCTGCTCGACTCTTCAATCACTCATCACCTAGGAAGTCCCCTCGGATTTTTTTGGTACTGTTTGTAATAAGTAGATGACTGTCTTCTGCACGACATGTCGATGTCATGATACGATGAACGAGGTGAGCTTTAATGGAAGGTAGGACAACAGATCTGCAACCACGGAGTACCTTGCTCCATAACCAAGCCTCGATCGACTTGGCAAGAAGCATGAACAGACGTGACCTCCTATCTTTATTCACGGTACAACACCGGCTTAGAGGAGCTGGGAGCTTCATGACATGTACAGGAGCCTACAACCGCAATTGCGCATACGTCTGATATCAACATGCCGCCCGAAGACCTCACTGCAGAACGCAACGACTCGACCGACCCAGATCCAAATCTGGTCCTCTATATCAAACACCTCCCCGACACAGTCCACAATTACCGACGCTTCTTCAACAGCCTATTGGTCCCTCGGCCTGACCATGAGATTTTCTTACGTGACCTCAGGCATTTTCGCGAGCAGGCCGAGATCATCGTGCTACTGACCACCCCAGCTTCAGACGGTACGACCAACGGAGGTTCACCGACAGAAACAGCCACGAGCAACGCAGAGGCCAATGCCACCACTAGACCTATCCCAACGACCGTGAGTGATATCTACCGCCAGACGACGACCCATTTCCTAGCCTCCCGCTTCGCTCACCCATATTGTCGGAATGAATACGGACATGTTTCAACATCGCACGCCAGTCGCTCCTTCTTCGACAAGACGACTGTTAGCAAGCGAAAGCAGGCAGATGCAGCAGCAGAGGCCAAAGCGCGCGAGGATGAGCGGATACACAAACTTCTCGTCCCAATCTGGATCGCTTTCCGAAGACGGATGATGGTCACCGCCGAGGAGCTGACTGCGTGGGTCGAGGACTGGAATGCGAACGAATATTCAAGGTGGAAGGCTGCAGCTGAGGACAACATCGAGAGAAAAGGGGAAGCGCGGACGGCGTTACACCTCGCACCAGAGGACAAGGACCCGATGGAGGAGCAAAGGCAGGTGCCAGCACACAATGAGCGAAGTGGGACCTATCTCAACGCAGCGGAAGCGTTCGTCTCCGAAGAGGGTGATCTCGTCGATGCGCCATCGCAGCAGCATGACACGGCGGCCCAGGCAGGCGGGCTCTTCGTTGGTGTAGCTGCGGCTTCTTTTCTGGCAAGCAATAAACGGGCGAGGAAGTACTTGTTGAAGAAGATGAAGCAGAAATGAATCTTCGACACAGAGCTATGCTCTTCGTATGTTGGCCCGTGTGCTGATCGAGCTCACAATTCTCATGTACAATAGGCATCCTACCCATGTGTTCTAGAGATAGAATCCTCTGCATCAATCAGAGATCTTGATCACTATTGCCTGCAGTCTCGATGATTCCTCCGTCAATGTCCCTCTTGCTTTCATGTTCGCGATCTTCGGCAGCCATCACAAGCTATCGACTATTGCTACCTTCATGCTTACGCCAGCACTTAAAATACCACAGTACCGGAAGCGAGAAAGCACCAGGTATAATCTGTGGGCCCGCACTGCTCACACATCTTCGACGAGAGATGCCGTCGCAGTCGTCACTCGTCACGATCCGGACAACCCGGTTCAATGCTGGTAGCCGTGTATAGAGTGAACCTTCTTGGATGGTGGGGTGGTCTCCAAGTGGGAGAAGCAGAGAATTCCATCCCCGCATTCCAAACCAGGGCCTTGGGATTCGTTTTGTGATGTTCCCCTGCAGCATCGAAAGTTCTGGGTGATGCAGTCGGACGTCAGCCGCCAGGCACGGTTGCTAGCAAATGGGCATACTGAATGCTGGCACACGGGGGCGAGCACTCCGACAGGAGGAGTGACGTACTGGCATCCGATACTTGCCATCTACGTCCATCCGCTGCCTGTCCTTCTGGCAATGACACACCGAGTCAGGCACTTATGATGAAACGCAGAGCTACAGTGCTCTGAGGGGTTCACTAATCCAGCCCGCGTCTTTCAAGAGTCCTCTCGATCCGTTGTTCGTCCACGCGTCTTGCCTCACTTGAACTCTGCCAGTGACGTCTCTACAATAACTTTTACCAACATAGACAGTCGACACTTTCAAGCTTGGTTCTACCACTGCATCCACAACAATAGTGACACAAGCATCCGGTGTGAATTGTGCAAGTGACGCGAACGCAGACCGTCATCGAACAAACCCTCTTTCCTCCGTACCAGCCAAACGACACAGGCTCCCCTCGTCACCGCCAACATGCCCATCTACGAAGTCCACCACTCCTACCCGCTGAAAGGCGAGCAGAAGGCAGAGCTCGCCAAGAAGATCACCAAGCTTCACAGCACGACCTTCGTACGCCTCACCTAATCCCGCCGACAATCAAGTCGACCACAAATTGAGACATGCCAGACTAACACCAACTCACCATACAGAAAACACCGTCCTTCTTCGTCCACGTTTTGTTCCACCACTCCGACGCCTCCGCCCAAAACTACTACCTCGCCGGCAAAGTCCGCACCACCTCCTGCAACCGCATCATCGCCCAAGTCCGCGTAAGCTAGCCTCTCACTCCTCCCCAACCCCCAGACCAGGCTAACCAACACCACCAACCAGACCTCCTCCTCGCGCTCCAAATCCGACTTCGACACCCTCGCCGAAAAGATCGAGCTCGCCTGGCTCGACGTCGTCAAAGGCGAGATCGGCGACGACAAGCAGAACCAAGCCACCTTCGGCAAACGCAAAGGCGAGATCGACGAGACCGAAGACCATGCAGAAGCAGCTCGGCTGTTGATGGTGAGTTTCTACCCGATGATCACGGCGCGGGAGGCGGGCATGGTGATTCCGGAGGCTGGGAAGGAGGGCGAGTTCTTCAAGGAGTATAGGCCGTATATGAAGAAGATGAGTGAGGAGAAAGGGTTGGAGGATTTCAAGGAGATGTTGCGGGAGTTGGATGAGAGGGAGGATTTGAAGGGGTTGAGTTCATGAGTGAGGTTGGACGCTGTGGGCGTTCAAGCTTGGTGAGAGTCTTTGAAGGGGGAAGCACAGGAGCACTTTGTCTTCCTCCTGGGAATAGCGGCAGCCGCGTATGGGAAGAGTGAGCGGAAGAGAGACCGCCTCAAGCATCGCATTCAGATAAGTCGTACTGAATGCTTGATCTACTATGCTCGGTGTTACGTGACTTCTCAGGTCTGCTCGTCACTAGCAGTGCTTCTTACTGAATAGTCGCCCGCTCGTTCTCGGAACACACACATTGCTGCAGCCAAGCTCACCGTATCTCTGGCATTCGGCAGCACCCCCTCTCCAGCCTCATGCTTCCTCAAGCTCATCCATGTCCGCCTTGATGGAGACCCGCTCCATCGATTGATGGTCAGGGCTTCCCAGGTTGATCTGCAGCGTCAATTTGCGCCCACTGCCTCTCGATGGACTGCGGCTCTTTCGTGCTGAGAAGTAGAAGCTTTGCTCCACACCATATCCTGACCCACGCGGCGACTGGACAACAAGAGCACGTCCACGAACAGGAGTGATAGGACTGCCGCTCTGAGGTTTGCTCCGGACGGGGCTTTGCTGGCCGATCGCTAGCTTGTCAAAGACAGGTCTGGAGACCGGTATGGGTTGTGTGCGTGCGCGCGACACGCCTCGCTGGCGATATAACTCGTGGTCTGCTTGTTGGGGGGTACCAGGCATGGCCTTCAGGTAGTCCGCCTGCTCCTGAACAGGGATCTGAACTTCCGGCATCTGATTCGGCAGCAGCAAGCCACCATCCATGTTATGATTCCGCAACTCGCTCTCTCGAACCCTGCCAGGCGTTGCGTCAACTGTGCTCGGTGACTGAGTCCTTGATCGTTCACTAGCTAGGTCCTCCAGACCAGCAAGCGCCAACTGTGCAATGCGTTGTGCGACGATGCTTGGACGATGCGAAGGATTGTGCACATCTCTGCGGATGAGATCGGTAGGTTCGTGGTAGAATTGAGCTTCGGATCTGCCTGTCTTGCTTGACGTCCGTAATTGGGCAGGCCAACCACGGGAAGGAGCTCTGTGCGAATGTGACCGAGGAGGCGACTGCCCAGTGAGCTGTCCTGGCGTTTCGGAGGCTGTGTTGTATGCAGCTTCGGTGTCTTCTGAGGTATCGGGATGATGCTCGCTGATACTGTGACCAAATTTGGCACGGTGCTTCCTGGCTGCTTCCTCTGTGCTTGGACTGTGATAGCGAATGTCCTTCCAATGCGCCCTGTCGCGAAGGTGTACTCTCGGAGGTGGGCTCTTGGGCGGCGTCGTGCTGTTGTCAGACATCGAGAGACTCTCAAACATGGCAGCCTTTTCCTTGACAGGACTGATAGGTCTGTCATTGGCAGGTTTTAGATGCTGTTTGTGGTGTGGATGAGTCTCTGGCTCTGGCGAACGCGGGTCTGGAGTTTGCAGTAGACTCGAAAGGCTAAGTGGCTCAGGTCCACGAGCTGGGCTGACATTCGACAACAGAGGAGGCGAGGCAGTTGCTTTGTTGGACCTGTATATTGTAAAAGGTCTTATCCGGGGCGGGAATGGCTCAGTGCTTTGCGGAGGTGACTCCGGGCCAGGTGATTGGACACTTGAGGGCTTTGAGGCATGCTTGGGCGAAGGTCCTGGTGACTGCTGTGTGGTTCGCTCGCCTAGGGCATCGTCGATCATGAACCCGAGCTCAGCCAGTGTCGTGTTGGCTTCTACATTCTTGCTGCGCTGACCTGACTGTCCACGACGATCAACCGGTCTCAATCGAGCTCGAGCTCCGTCCAGTTCGGAGTGAGATTCTTGATCCGATCTTCGAGATGCTAAGCTAGCAGGTCCGTCGGTTGTGGCGATGAAGGGGTCGTCGAGGGAGTGCGATTCCGCTGAGTGACGAAAATGTTGGTCAGATGAGGTCGTTGCCTGGACAGAGGATGACGGTGCCACTGACGGGCGTCCGCCGCCTCTAAATCCATCTACGGCATTCAGGGAAGGTCTCTCTACTGGTGCCGCGACGCTGCTGTCCTTCCGCCGACCGTGGCTAATCAATATCTCGGGGTCAAAAGTCCGGCTGATTGGCTTTGGTGCTTGTACATGAACGTGCTCCGGCGAGACTCTGAGACCTTGGAATGCTCGGATTCGGTCGGCAACAGTGCCACGAGAAGCACTGAAGAAGCTGTCAGTATGTGAACATCATGCTGGTCCAGCATCTCACCCTTGAGCACTCGCCATGGCCGAGTAAATAAGCTATACTGAAGACTGCAAAGGCGGTTCGCAGTATGTGGTACGATGCTGCCACGAGGGGAGTGAAGGTGCATTGTCAGGTCCGGAAATCGTGGACATCAGTGAGTCGTTCCTGCTTCCTGAACGGAATCGCCGATCCTTCCACTCGAAATGATGAATGCACGATCGCGGGTGAGGCAGTTGCAGATGTATACACAATGAAATCGCTGCAGTGATTATCGGTACAAGTAAATGCCGCTTCTAATTCGCTGTCGCTTTTTGGCTGGTATGGTATCTACAGTCAAGGCTAACCCCCTACTTCATCGCCGCTTGCAGCGATTCCAAGACCTATCTATTTGTTAGTCGTCGATGTGCGAGTTGTGACTGTATTCGTTTTCTCACCTCAAGCTCGATCTTGGCCTCTGCAATATCCTGCTCGCTTCCACTCCCGCTCGCAACCTTCTGCGCTTCCGCAATCTGTGATCTGACCGCCTCTTCGCTGAACTCTTCAAGTGGGAAACCCTCAACTGCATTGATGCTCAACACTGAATCTGGCTGTACGACAGCAAAGCCGCCGGAAACTTTTCTCGTTAGTTCTTCTCCTCAAATCTGCTTGTCGTGCTTCTCTTACGAAAGAACTGCTTGCTACCGCCAGCTTCCTCGATGATCTCGACGAGGCCGGGCTTTAATTGTTCGATGGAAGGGACGTGCTGGGCCAGGACACCCATCTCTCCGGATTCGGCGGGAAGGTTGACTTGGACACTTCAGTGACATTAGTTGTAATGTGGATGATATTGGGATCGGAACGCTGCGTACACATCTTGTGACTTGTAGATTGACTGTACAATGGTTAGCTTGTTATCACAGACGGGCATCTCTTAGCGCAGCGGCGCGAGGCATTCTTTTGGGTCGCAACATACGGAGTGAGGGAGTGAGAGGGAGAGCTTGATCTTGTCAGAGACGGCATCGGCGTAGCCTCTTCGCTGGATGGGTGTCTTGAGGGCAGACCGGGCGCGCAAAGCGGCTCGCGATGCACGTAAGGCGCTCATGTTGGCTGTATGGCGGATCTGTCGTGGTCTGCAAGCTTTCGCGAGCTCTTCCTGAAGTCGAGCTTGGAGACCCGATTCCGCGCCAAGCATGAGCTCCCTGTTCGGTTTGGCGCGAAACGGCTGTATACGGCAGGATTGCCGAGGCAACTTTCACACGAACTACAGGGCAAGTGAACTGGATCTCCGGCGAAGAGCATACAAAATTGGCATCGAGGGTACGAACGATGCTGCTCTCAAGCTCTGGAGTTGCTATCTACGAGCCGTTCTGGCTGTGAGCAGTTCCGAAACTGCCAGAGATGGCTTTCAGTTGGTCATCTATCTGCGCGCTGGGCGGACTCAGTGCTGTAGCGTAGGGAACCTCGGCCGTCTTACGGCACCCAGTTCGCGGAACCGTGCGATCTTGGTAGTGATGGGGGACGCGGACATGTAGATTGTGCGGCACCTAGTATCCTTGAAGGTCAACCACGAACTCGTCGATGATGAGATCGTTATCGATCGTGTCGCAAATCACCATCTCCTTTGCGCCCAGATCGAAGAAGCCAGTCTGCGTACGGTCAGCATACTATGTGGCTTGGTGAAGAGAGAGCTCACCCAGTCTCCAATGAAACCCGTATCGTCGTAGATAGCTGCCTCTGCAATCAATTTGAAAGGCTGATTGGAGTACTCCCACGCTCCGATGACTTTGCGAATAGGGTTGTCAGAGCACGCGCACTCATACCCATCAGAACCGTAGCCATCTCTTGGCACATTGCAGCGACATTTCCCCACGAGGAGGGCTTTGCGCGTATGAATCTGGCGTTGCAGGTGTCCCAAAGCGAGAGCTTCGTTGCAGTCGGGACAGTCCATCGAGGCCTCCCAAGCGCTCTTCCAGTCGGTCTGCCAATCGCTTTCGGGAATGCAATGACAGATCGGTTGGGTGTTGCATTCGAATATGTGGCTTGGAATGTCAAAGGTCTCCTCGACGGGGAATGTGAAGGACTTGAGACCTGTCATGCCTTTTAACACGATCATGCCGCCATCAGTAGCAAAGACACTGAGTTGCAATTTGGCGTGCTGGATTGCATCAAGTCGGATGTTTGGCAGCGGAATAGTACCCTTCTTCTTGTCGATTTTCGTGGAGAGATTGATGCGTACATCTTCGTGGAAGATGGGAAAGAACTCGGCACTGATTTGTTTGCAACATACCAGGAGGGCAGCGCAGGTCGAAAGTCGAAATTTCTCGCCAGGCAAAGCGAATCGGACCCTGGCGCCCCGAACCACCTCGTGGTAGATGATGTTGCGAACCTCGAGAGCGAGATCGAGTAGGCGAGCCATTCTCACGTGTTGGGGCGGCCTCTGGTATTGGAACCTGGGATGATTAGCAAAAGCTGCTCGCATCGAACGAACGTGACTTACTGTCGACTTGAGTCGCGCCTCACTGGTGAAGTGAAATAAAGGTGATGGCGAAGTTCAGCAGAACAGATTGTCAGGACAGTCAGTCGTGAAGGGCGACTGAACGAAAGAAATATCACACTCGGCAGAGGCAATTATTGGCGTCGTGCCTTCCTGCCATTTCTGCTCACAGTACCTGCCTACATTGATTAACCTCGTCTCTGTTCATCAAGCTCGCTAAATCACGATTGCCATCAATGCCCACGTCGCCTGCCAACTGAGATGTCAATTTCTTCAAGCGCGAGCTCGATGTTCGTTGCTTGATTCGTCCTGTGCATCCTTTGGATCCCGCTGGCTACTCAATATCTTCCTTGGTCAAGCGTGCCTGATGCGATTGCCCTACCTGTTGAGCATACTACTCGCCTGTCCATGCTTGACCTACGCAGCCCAACAGCATCTTGTCCGAGACACCTTGACAGTCTGTTGTCACCCAGCCCGTGTCCTACCTTTGCGGCTTGATAACCTCAGGGCAGCGACCAACTCGCCCATGGGCCCCCACGGATTTACGATACCTGTTCTAGGACAAGTATCTGGTACGAAGAGGAGGATGCGCGATATGAGCGCTGGAGCCGTCGAGGGCAGTGTGACCGTGGAATCAAGAAGGTCTAGTTGCGCGAAAGAATCAGAGAAAGTACCTACGACAGTCTGCCGCGTCGAACTCCCCGTTTCAACCATCGATCCCCCTTGGCCCTTGGGCCTTGGGCCTTGGCCATCTCGGCATCTTAGAATTGGTGCCCACGTGCCCCCTAAACGGCCAATCATCGTTGCCTGTCGACGGGTGTACGGATTAGCAGAGCGCTAGCTGCTCGCACGACAGCTTCCAAGCGACGACCGGGCGTGCAGGCTCACAGGCGATGCCTTGAACGTCCAAAACTCTCTCTCACAGCCAATGAATATGTCTAACGTTACAGCTACCCTTCGCCGCACACCACGCTAATTGCTTGTATCTTGCCCTGTGCCCGCAGAACGCATCATAGTTCCGTGGGGAGGCACGCGCAATCCGACGGTAGGGAAAATATTCCATGCTTCTGTTGCGATCATCATGCAGTGTGTCAAGCAATCGGACAACGGAGCGAGACGACCTGGAGACTTCGAGTCCTTTGGTCTTCCAGGTATAAGAATATCTGGACCCCGAACATCAGTTTAGGTGACGCTGAGATTAGCTTTTGCCAGCAATTGGTCGTGTGTACAACAAGCTGAACATTCCAGCTCCGGCTACAGAACTCCGGCCGATCTTTCGCATGATCCAGCAGCACATGAGCTGTAATTTCACTAGACTATCAACGCAAGAATTGCCTCACGCGACATTCGATAGTGATCAGCAATCCGACTCAAAATGGCCACAACAGAGCAGAAGAAGCTCGACGTCGAAAGTCATGGCGTCTCCGATGCGTCGCCCAACCACAATCAGCGTCGGTCAAGCGTTGGTGAGAAAGTGCGTGGCAGTATCTCTCTTGGCGGCGCCGACGAGCGTGCCATCGAGGGCCAAGTCTTCAGCATGAACGATGTTGATCCCGCTCTTGACGCGAAGATGCGACTCGTGAACCAGGTAGACCGGACGTGTTTCAGGATATTGTACATGCCCTAATGCGCCTATAGACCATTGATGAGATCGGCTGGACAAATTTCCATCTCAAGCTCTTCTTCTTGAACGGATTCGGATATATGGCAGATTCGCTCATTCTGCTTCTTCAGTCTGTAACTGCTGGCCAGGCGGCAAGGGAATTTCTTCCCAGTTTCACTCGCGGTTTGACTGTGGCTGCATATTCTGGTATGCTTATCGGCGCTCTGTTCTGGGGACTAGGCGCAGACGTTATTGGTAAACACTGAAATCGTTCGACTACTCGACAGGACACTAACGAAAGCGACAGGCCGGAAGTATGCGTTCAACTGCTCACTCTTCATTTGCTCCGTGTTCGCTATTGTCGCCGGGGCGTCTCCCAACTGGTACGTTCTCGGGTTCTTCGTGAGTGTCGCAGCCTTTGGGGCAGGAGGCAATCTCGTTCTAGACACAAGTGAGTCTGCGTTTGCAATTGTCGACTGTGTCTGGATGATTCAGACGTAGCGACAGTTCTTCGGGATGGCTCATGCTAACTGCGGTATAGCTGTGTTTCTGGAGTTTCTACCTGGCCGCTATCAATGGCTTCTTACCTTGCTGGCCTGCTGGTGGGGATTGGCTCCTGTCATTGGTGCTGGTTTTGCCTGGCCTCTCCTGTCTCTGCCACAGTATATCTGCGCGGAAGACGCGGATCCCTGCCGACGAGAAGATAACATGGTAAGCCGCAAAACTACAACAGCCAGAGCCAGGCTAACGTGATCTAGGGGTGGCGGTATATCTGGTTTGGCAACGGCGCCTTGGTGCTCGTCCTGAGTATTCTACGTGTGACAGTCATTCGACTTAACGAGACGCCCAAATACCTCCTCGCCAAGGGATACGACGAGGAAGTTGTGGAGTGTTTCCACAAGATTGCGAAAAAGTACAACCGTCCCTGCAGCCTAACCCTTGAACAGCTGCAAGACTGTGGGCACATTAAGTCTACCTACGGAGGCTCACGTTATGGCTTCGCTGAGTTCTTCGCGCATCTACGAGGCTTGTTCCAGACAAAGCGACTTGCCATTTCGACAAGTCTGATTTGGCTTTCTTGGACGCTCATCGGGCTGGCATATCCGTTGGTGAGTATTTTCCGAACCTTTTCAAACACATGCTGACAGTGTGCAGTTCTATGTGTTTCTGCCAGAGTTTCTAGCCTCGCGTGGAGCAGAGACAGGAGAAGACAGTCCCTACTACAGTGAGTACCCTAGCAGGCTGGCATCGGGAATTGAGCCATAACATGAACGTTGGCTTGACGACGAAGAGCTCAAAAGCCTCCCGAGACATGACTGCCCCCTCTCCTATGCAACCTTCCATTGCATGATCACTTTCCGAGACAAAGCTGACCATTTTCAGCCTGGAGGAACTACCTCATCTCCAACACGGTAGGAATATTCGGCCCTGTCCTAGCTGGGTTCATGTGCAACACGAGACTCCTCGGGCGCAAATACACAATGGTGATCGGCGCATTGGTCAGTTGTGAACACTGCATCCCGCGACCTCTGCTTACATTAGACAGATCACGATGGCATTCTTCTTCGCCTACTCCGCTGTGAAAACGGCTGCTGAGAATCTCGGGTTTACCTGTGCCATTTACTTCTTCATCAACATCTACTACGCTGTCTCTACGCCTACACCCCAGAAGTCCTGCCGAGTGCCCATCGCGCGACAGGATATGGTATTGCCATTGGCTGCAATCGCGTAATGGGACTGATATCGGCATTCGTCGCAACATACGCGAATACTGCAACGTCGGCTCCAGTATACTTGTGCGCAGCACTCTACATTGCCATGGTAAGTTCCGGTGTGCGGGTCTGGATGTTTGTTTCTGACATGTGACAGGCCATCGTCGCAGCAATTATGCCCTTCGAGCCGTATGGCAGACGTTCCATGTAGAGGCTTGGGTCTCAGAAGGGGTTGGAAGGGGATTTGAAGCAGGAGTAAAGCATCTCCCGGGTAGGCTGAGACTGCCGTGCCTCGCCCGATGGTACCGCCTTCCTTGCTACTCGCGGAAGGATCTCCTGCGGAGTATAGATCAATCGAGTCCCAGGGTTGCTACTGCCTTTTGCGACAGCCGTGCTATCAGTGCTCGGAAAGTCTCCAGCCCGAGTTCTCAACCTTCACACAGTCTTCCACGCCAAGTCTCGCTTCCGCCCACCCATTATTCTCCGCATATTGCCAAGGTCTAACGCTCCTGCCTATCTCTACGATGACGCTGCGGCTTATCAGTTTCGTCGCACTGCAGTCACGAACCATGATGCATCCTGGCGACACGTATGATGCTTGCTTGGACTTGGCTGCCGTAGTGGCTTGTGTTCTCACGACGCACAGCAAAAGTCCCCAATCAGATCTTCCTTACTGACCGCACATCACCGCATTACCTTCGCTCAGCGATACGACGAGATGGCGATCACTGATAGCCTGCTTGAATCGGCAAGTGAGTTGATCGGCAAATGTCCTGACCACAGTGATCGGAAATGGTTCCTATCAGTCGACGGAACATGAGCTCGGGACCGTGCATGCATGTGATGACCATTCTTGCGGTGTCATGAATACGACATATTGACTGAGTAGGAGCCATACAGATTCAGTCAATCGGAGTGACGAGGCTGGCTTTGCTAGTGACAACACATTTCCCCATCACTCTCTTACTGACTAAATGCCGCCGCCTTGACTCATTCCCTTGCCACTAGCCCGACCCTAAGACCATCAAGATGGACTCTCAACCAGATCCCGAGAAGCATCTGGCCAGCGAGATCAAGCCCGACCGTGCAGCGTCGCCAGTCGACATTCGCCGCATGTCAACAGAGTCATCAGCAGCAGCACAGAAGATCCTGGAGCACTCTGGCGACCATGATGAGGCCATGAAGCTTCTGCCAGTGGCGAGGTCATCGAGGTCGATGAAGCTACCAACAAGCGGCTGCTGAGGCGGATTGACTTGCATATGATGCCGTACGTATGCCTGTGACCCCGAATTGGGCGGGATATCGATCTCCCTGCTCAGGGTCTTCCCGATACAAGTTCAGGCTGACGGGTGCAATAGAATCATGTGTGTTGTGTACGGTCTGAATGTGAGTGGTTTCATGCGTAAGGGCGACGAGGAAAAGACGCTGACCTGGAAGCAGTATCTCGACAAGACGACACTATCCTATGCCTCGATCATGGGAATCAAGGAGGACATCAATCTCGTTGGGGACAACTACCAATGGCTGGGATCGATGTTTTATTTTGGGCAAGTGATGCTACAATACATTTCTAGGGATCCACGACTGACTGCTGCTGTATAGCTATCTGTTCTGGGAGTACCCAACAAATCTACTCCTACAACGAATGCCGCTGGCTAAGTACAGCGCCGTAAACGTCATCCTATGGGGGTCCTTGTTAGTCCTCCATGCAGTTGTGGCGAACTTTGGCGGCGCGGTCGCCGTTCGCTTTCTGTTAGGCGTGTGAGTACCCCAGCAGACTTGCGTCGGGAAATGAGCGATGACATGAGCGTTGGCGCGAGCAAGCACACAAAGCCTCCCGAGACATGACTGCCAACTCCCCTGCAATCTTCCATCTCATGATCATCTCCTGAGACAAAGCTAACCAAGATGACAGCTTCGAATCTGCGGTAACGCCAGGCTTCGCGTTGTTGAGTGAGTAACACCCTGTGTCAATCGAGCCTCGCTGACGACTCCAAGCAAGTCAATGGTGGACGAGAAAAGAGCAAGGTATGTTAACATGCACCAGCCGAACTCAGGTCCGATTCCTGATCTCCTAGGTCTACGTACGGGCATCTGGTTCAGCTTCAATGGCATGGGCCAAATCTTCGGCGGTCTTGTCGCATACGGCATCGATGCAGGCGCGAAGAAGCACGGCTCGGCTATCGCGCCATGGAAGACTGTGTTCATGGTCAATGGCTTCATTACGCTGGGCATGGGTATTCTGTTCTACTGGGTCATTCCGGACAACCAGCTCAACGCAAAGTGGTTGAGCGAGCGTGACCGTGTTCTTGCTATGGCGCGCGTCAGGAGCAATCAGCAGGGTATCGGTGAGCATCAATAGCACGCGACCTTCGGCGAGACTTGCTGATGACTCTGTAGGCAACAAGCACTGGAAGAAGTACCAGGTCGTGGAGGCTCTGAAAGACCCTATGACCTGGGCTTTCGTATTCTATGCTTTGGTGGCTGTAAGTGAACGGCCGATCTTGATAGGAAAGTGAAGCTAACTTGGCTCAAGGACATTCCGAATGGAGGTGAGCAAGAAGCCCTCAGAGCGCACGCTTGAGCCCGTTCGAGTGACTGACCTATCTAGGAATGTCGAACTTCTTCTCCCAACTAATCGTCTCCTTCGGCTACACGCCCTCCGAATCCCTCCTCTACGGCACGCCAGGCGGTGCCGTCGAAGTCGTAGCCCTCATCGTATGCGGCTACCTCGGTGACCGCTATGGTCAACGCATCCTCTGGTCCATGGTAGGACTCAGCGTGGGCATCTTCGGCTTCATCCTGATCGTTGCCCTTCCGCTGGACATGAAGCTCGGCCGGCTCATTGGTTTCTACCTCACCCTTTCGGTTCCTTGCCCGTTCGTGGCGCTCCTGAGCTTGATCAGCAGTAATGTCGCGGGCTATACGAAGAAGACGACTATTGCAGCGCTGTACCTGGTGGCTTATTGTGTTGGGAACATCATCGGCCCACAAACATTCCGCCCAGAAGACGCCCCAAACTACCGCCCAGCACAGTACACCATCCTAGGCTGCTATGCAGCCTGTATGGTCGATCTAATCTTCATCTGGTGGTACTATCGACGACAGAACGCGAAGAAGGCGGCTTTGCGGGCGGAGGAGGGGTATGCTAAGGTGCCGAACCAGGAGTAAGTCCTCTATTCCTGTCTTTTCGTGCAAATGCCACAAATGGAGAGTCGTGGCGTGAAAGCCTAGTGTGGTAAGTCAATTATTGGCAAGATCAAATACTGACGATAGCGACTTCGCAGATGGCTGGACCTCACAGACCGGGAGAACACGGAATTTGTGTATAGCTTGTGACCCAAGGAATACGACGATGGGAAGAGAAGAGCAAGTACATACGAGGCGATGACAAGGTCGATAAGCCGCAACGAGATTACAGCAGGAGCGATCATGCCTTCTGCAATGTTGCGCGGATGGGTCGTGCATAAGACCGGATGACTGCAGTACGTATGAGTGATGCGATTTTTGAGGGTTCGTGCAATTGAGTTGTGGTATGCTGTTTGCGTCTATATTCATGGACGCTGAGCAGACCGGCTGACGTGATTTCGATAGTTCGATTCGTGACATTTCAGACACATATTGATACAGTGGGCGATGACTGCAATAAAAGCTCTCCTCGTGAGACATGATCACAATGTACACATATGAGTATGCCATATATACTTTTATCTATCAACATACATTAATGAAATCCAAGTATACCTTCCCATTGTGCGCCGACCCACGTGTCTATACACATTTCGCGGGTTTAGCGCCTATGCTCATCAAGTCGTATCATTAGTCCCATCAGTCAATTAAAACCCATCCCCCTCCTTCCACTTCCTCCCCGCCACCTTCGCCCTCACGGCCGGATCGTCGCCCGCCGCAATCGCAGCCAGTCTCTTCTCGTCCATCTGCCTCTGCAACTCGTTCATCTCATCAGCTAGCTGCTGCCCCAGCCCCGTCAGCGGCACGGTCTTCTCCAGCTCCTTGATTTCGGCCGCCGGCAGGGTTCCAGCACGATCCGAGCTGACTTTCCCAGCCGCCACGATCTTCCAGTCCCGCAGCTGCTTCTCGAGTTGCTGCCACTCCCAGCGTAGCTTGAACCAGTGATCGAATGATTTGTCGTCAAGGAAACACACGCCGTAGCCGTCGCAATAGCATTTGCGCATGTCCGGGCAGAAGACTGGTTTGGCCGTGAAGATGTACGCCCAAAGGTACTCGAAGACGCGACCGGAAATGTCATCGCCGAGATCAGTCTTGAGGAGCCAGTCGCGGAAGACTTGGTAGCGGGCTTTTGGGATGGAGAGCATGCGTTGTTTGGAGAGCGCGAATTGGCCGCAGCAGGGTTGGGCGATTATGTCTGGGACTGGGGTGGAGGGGAAGAGTTGGGCCCAGGCATCGGCGACGCCAGGTTCTTCGGGTCGAGGCGAGTCGGCGTATTGGAAGGCCTTGGGGTGAATCCAGGCTGGGCAGCCAGGGTTCCATTCGCAGCGCAGGTTGCGATAGCCCTCGCGAGTGACGGCTTCTGGGGACAGGCGTTTGAGCATTTCGAGGGCGTCGTATTCAAGAAGGCCGTCTTGATGCCAGGAATTCTGGTGGGCGTGCATGAAGACGGCCACGTCGGGAAGGGCGTCGTAGTGGTCGATCAGGTAGGTGAGGTAGACCATTGCTTCGTGGCCCTTGTTGGCGGGGACGCTGAGTGGTGCAGAGGGGTCATCGGCGATGTAGACTTTGGGTATGGCGCCGTGGAGGTCACCGGTCTCGAGCCAGGATGAGAAGCGGTCTTCGTAGCTCATCTTTGCTACGACCACGTGTTTTGTCCATTCGTGGCCGGGTTCCTTGACCGGCCAGTTGATGTTTGGGTCGTCATTTTCGAAGCCGAAGCCGGCGTGTGAGCCTCGGAAGAGGTATATTATGCTGACCACGAAGCTGATGCTGAGGAGACCGACGAGTGTCAGGCCTTTCTGCACGGGCATGTCGCCCACGTGGTGGCTGATTAGGGGCTCAGATCAGTATGAGATCCAAGCTCTTGTGCGGTATATCCTGGTCGGGCGTTCTGAGTGAACGCAAACTTGTAGGATGCGGATATCAGTAACGTCAAGGTGTCGTTTGAGTAAATTATCGTGCTACGTGGCTTCTCGTAGGACCGCGGATTGCATATGTTAAACGAGTGTGGTGGAAGCAGACAGGCGCTTGAGCTATACCGTCGCAGCCGGCGAGTATGAGGTGCGAGGTCTATGACGCTATGTCTATAAGGAAGGCGGATTTCGAATCGAGTGAGGGTACTTTTGTCGGAAGACTGCGTCGCGTAGATGTGATAGTGGCAAAGATTCGTTGAAATGTGCTGGCATGAGGGAATATGCACCTTCTCCCCCAACTTCTGGTCAGGGTCCACCACTCAGTTTAAGCTTGTTTTAGAGTCGGCGGGTAAGGCAACTTGAACTGAACAGAACTGGAGTCATTAACGCTATCATTGAGGTCCCTCATGACCTTCTGCTTCAATTGTTTGACGTTGAAGACTACTCATATGCTTCGCAACATCGGCACAGCTTCGCCAGTAGGGCCCGCGGCGCTGGTGCCTAGAATTACCAACACTTCGTATCCCTGCTCGGTGGCCAGGCTTCGAGATAGTCGCTGCCTCAAGTTGGTACTTATCTCGACTACTTAAGCTCGAGAAACAGCGCCATCACAGGAACTTCGTCAACAGCATGATCTTGCGAGGCAGTTGAGCTGAACGCTAAAGGGCATACTGCGCCTCCATGCGTCTCATCAACGTCGACACTCTGGCGCTAGAAGAATACGTAGGCGACCAGATCCCAGAATATGCGATACTATCGCACTGCTGGCGTGATGAGGAGGTCTCTTACCGGGACTGGCAGGATAGCGGACAAAGGTCTAGTAAGAAAGGCTTTCGGAAGATCCAAACGGCCTGTGAAGTAGCTCGACGTTTTTCTTCGAAATACCTGTGGGTGGACACGAATTGCATCAACAAGGAGAGCTCCGCGGAGCTGAGCGAAGCAATCAACTCAATGTACACATGGTACCAGCGGTCTGCGGTCTGCATAGCCTATCTGGACGATGTTGATGGGTCCGCTGCGACTTTCAGTAGCTTCGAGGAATCGCGTTGGTTCACGCGTGGCTGGACTCTGCAAGAGCTCTTGGCGCCAGGGGAGGTTCATTTCTTCGATGCATCCTGGACTGAATTCGGCACAAGGCAGACATTGCTACGTAAGCTCAGTACTGTCACTTCCATACAATCTCAGTACCTCCGGGAGCCCGAATCAATACGGCTCAGCCCCTTAGCTACACGAATGTCATGGGCAGCGAACCGATCAACGACCAGGGATGAAGACATAGCTTATTGCCTGCTGGGTCTTTTCGAGGTCAATATGCCATTACTATACGGAGAAGGCAAGAAAGCTTTCATCCGACTCCAGGAAGAAATCATACGATATTCTAGCGAGCATACTATCTTCTGTTGGTCTTGGCCACCAGCTGAAGGGTCACACGAACCCACTGACTGGCAAGGCTGCTTCGCTCCCAGCCCCTTGGCGTTTCGTGGTGCCAGAAAATTTGTCCCGACGCCCAACATCGGCTGTAATATGGAGGATCTAGCACCGGAATTCAGAATGACGAACAGGGGATTGCTCATATCCGCGCCATTGATTCACACCTTGACAACGACCGTTTTGTTTGTTTTGGATGCAAACGTTGATGCTCAGGACATCGAGCTAGGTTTTACCACATGGCGACGGCATCCATCTGAAAACACTCTGTTGTGCTTTCCTCTGGACCGTACAGTCTTCGCGCAGGGACTTTTGAGAATTCCGAAGAGCTGGTCGGAACCGCGATCCAGATCGATCTATCTTACGCACGAGCGCGATCCGAGCCGGACGCATTCAGCCATTCCAACGAGTGCCGTAAGTCGAGTCTTTCGTTGTCATATATGCCTGCGCTTGAAGTGGTCTGAATTACACTGTCTTTGGCGAGCCTTCGCCTCCACTCCCCCGTGCTGCCACCGTTTCATTTGTTCGAGCCGAGCGTTGACGGGTTGACAGCGCTGGCTGGGCGGCAGCAAGTATGCTCTCTTACCACTGTTCGTGGATTTCGGTCACGCCAACCGATTCGCGTATGATTCCACATTCTACTTCAGTCATCCGGTGGTCGCACTCATGACTCGCAACGGCCAGAATCCGTGGTCTGCTGAGATTAGAGCGAAGCGCGGCAGGAAAGCGCTCGAGTTCACAGTAAACATTAGCGAAGAAATGCGTGAAACACACGGATGGGATGTCCAGATACAGCTCGTCAACCACAATGGCGACCGTTTACTGCCGGTGCAGGAGGAAACGCTACCATTCGAAGGCGATTTTATAATCGAGAGCGATCGAGGGCCTACGCATGTTCGTCCTATCTGGATTCCACAGAGGTTAGATCCAAGAGCGATCAGTCGGCGCGCCTGACACCGCTGACTTTAGCGACGCGGCGCTGAAGTACGGGCGCGAGGCTCTCTTCTGCTCCGAATGTTGCTGTGACTCGGCTCGTGGGACGCGGATGGCTTCGGTGACTAAATCGGCCAGGATAGCGGGATATCTATGATCACTAGGTCTCTCGCCTGCCAATAGGGATGATACGAGTCATTACGGCAAGTCCGCGGAAGATGAGCGACGGCGCAATCTCGAACAGATTCTATAGAAGTACTCCAGCACCTTTCTCAACGGTCAAGCTAATACTATCAGCTTTTATCCCACTTCCCATACTTTACCCAATCATCATACAAACCCTTGAATATCGCCCGACTACTCGGATCCATATCCGCATTCATACAGCGCATCAACTCCCGGCTCATAGCGTCTAGAATGACATACATGCCCGGCAGCAGCTTCTCCTTCACCGCCGGCTGAAGCTCTCCATCGAGCGTGCATCGGCAATACTCCATGACCAGATACTGCATGTGCTGGCCTGCCAGAGTCTTGACACGCTTGGTCTCATCATTAAGCTGGGTTGAGGCCGACCGCCCGCCGCGTCGGGAGGAGGACTTTGCGGCTGAGACGGTTGGGTTGCATATTGAGGAGAGGATGCGGGAAAGGGTTGTGGCTGATGAACTTGGCAGAGATGACTTCGAATTTCGGATCCATGGTGGCAGGGACCGTAGGAGGCTGGAGGGATTGCTGCCTATGACGGTGGTCTGTCGAGCGCGGCGCTCGAGCTCGGGTGAGTAGAAGAAGCAGCGCAGGATCTGTTGAAGAACGGGTAGCAGAAGGTGATGGCGGTCGGCAAGGCGGCGGCGGAAGCGCGATAGGAGGGTGCCGATGACGGAGAAGATGCGGTCGATGAGCAAGTGCGGTTCGACAGTAGAGTCTGGACTGCTCGTCAAATCTCTGGAACCAAAAGTGCAGAGTCGTGCTAGGAGTCGGTCTATCGTGGCCTGAGTTATCTGTCGAGGGTGCAAAGACAAGGCGAGGCTGGCATTCTCTAGTCTGAGAAGGCTACTCTGACCAGGGATAGACTGCTCGATTGACAGGCTGGCCACTGTGTTCAGCATCAGGACAAGCTTCTCGTCTCGCTCTAGGTGGTCCGTACTGATCTTCCGGGTGATAGCTCCGACGACGAACTGGTCGATGATGCCATGATTAGCATCTGCATTCTTCATGCAAAGCTCGATACACCTAGCGTAGTTCGAGAAATGCAGTTCGCTTGCAAAGGAGATGGCCTTCGCTGCTGCTCTGTAGTATTCGGCCTGGGTGTCGCCGCTGAGCACCCCGATATTCTTCAGGCTTGGAGTGAATGCATCCTCTGTGCCTTCTTGCGCCTGTCTCGCTGAAGACAACGATGCTACCATTGAATTGGTCTGATTCTTGAGCATCTGTTTTAGATGCTGACCATCGGTATTAATGTCTGACTCTTTGTCAAGTATCAGCTGCTTAAATCTGTGAACTTCTGTATGCCGCGACGCAGGACCCGAGAGTTCGTCCGCCATCTCTAGCAGGACGACGGCTTTTGCAGGAGTCTTCTCCAAAGCACTGCCCTCGGTGAGATCCTGGATACTTCGCTCCACGACCGAAGCCAATGCTTCCCGAATCTTTGGCACTGTGTCGTCGCGCAAATGGTTGAATGTATCGGCGTTGGTGCTAATTCGTTGGGCAGCGCAGAGCTCGAATGGGTGGTCACTCACGTCCACCTTGCCCTCGATGTCATGCAGAGCCTCAAGAACATCTATTGTGTGCTGGACTATCGAATTCATCACAGTCGTGTCCTCAGCACCGGGTTTCATGGCATGCTGTAGAAGTCGATCTACTGCATCTTGCATCGCACGCGCTATGACAACAAAGTCAAACGAAAGAGCATCGCTCTTCGCCTTGGTAAGCTTGTCGGAAATATTTCTCCAGTCTGACCACGACTCAGAGCGCGTGTAGCTCACAGTTACGGTCGCACCAACCCACATCAGGAAGCCTAGAATAGCAGCAATGTCGGACAATCGAAGCTTTTTGAATTTCGCAGCTTTGAGAAGCTCGAATTGCTGCTCTGCCGTCCTTCGTAGATATTGCGTACGCATCTTGCCCATCGCAAGCTTGTTTGCTTTGATCAGACCTTGGAAATCTGCATCGCTCGATCCGGCGTCTTGCTCATGGACAGCCTGAATAGCTGTTTGACCGAGTCTCCTTCGGACGCATCAACAGATGCTTGTGCGACTGCTTGCAAGAGCATTGGAAGGGTCGCAACTGACACACCGTCCACAGGGGTCTCTGCATCCGTGGATTCCAAAGACATGTGGAAGACTGCTTCTGAGAAGGCGCGATTCCGTCCGAGCAGTTCAGAATTGGCCAAAAGAATGCCAAGGCAAGCAGATGCGAGCTTTCGGGTAGTCGACATTGTCAGACTCCGTCCCTCCCAAGCATCACCTTCGGCAGAAGTACTCGACTTCACCAGATACTCGGCAAGGCTTTGTAGAGAAGCAAGCTCTTTCTCGAAGGCAAGTCGATAAGGCTCGTTGCCGGCCAGGGTCTCTGTACCCAGCACCTTGAACCGCAAGTAGCATTCTTGATTCCAGCCAGGAGTGCCAGCCTTTTCTGCGTCCGCGAGACAAGCTTGAGGGCTACTACCATCGATGAAACCGACAGGCAGCCGCACGCCCGGATCTGCCTGCTGTACGGCGGCTGTCAGTCTCCACAGCCTCCAACGCTTGCCCTGAAAGTCTGTTTTTCTTTGGAGCACGCGACCGAGAGCCTCAAGAATGCTGGTACAGTACTGGGTATTGTCCGCCTCATTTGACGACCGTCCCATCGCAACAAGAGGTGTCGCAATCGCAGTGGTCGCAAAACAGTCCAATAGAGTGCCCGCTTTTGTGCTCATCTCTTCGAGGGATGGAAGTAGCTCGCTCAGTATGCCTTCCACCGCAACAGTCGACGTTGATATCGCAACCTGCTTCTTGAATTCGTCGAATATCTCATCGCTGTCCCATAACATCACTGCTGGAATCGTGTTGTCCGTGACAGGTCGACTAACTCTGATAGCTTCTTGAAGTTGCGGTTTCCAGATCGTGGTGAAGTCAAGAAGTGCTCGCGAAGTTGCAAACGATCGAAGGACTGGGATGACTACACGGTCTCTGAGCACCTCGTAGTCGGTGACATGCACGTTGCAGCCTGGATCCGCTATTCGGGCTGTGAAATCGTTCAAAGCGTGGCCTGACGTCGGTATCAAGGTGTTCGGCATCAACGTTTCGGGCCTCATGTCCATCAACGAGGCTATGGCAGTCCATGGACGTTCATAGTCGCGGGATGCCGACAGGGAACCTGCGAGATAGCTCGTCACCTCGATCGAAGGCGTACAGGACCCAGAGCGGGCGACTCTGAGCAGCTCTGTGAGTGTGGATTGATGATCTATAAGCTCTCGGTCCTTTATAGAGTCCAGGATCACAACAGAACGCTTGTCAATGTCCAATTTCTCAAGTCCAGGACATGCAAAGTATGCTAGACCCACGAGTAAAGCATCTACCATGGCTGCTCACGCTGTCTTGTGCGGGTATCGTATTTTGGGATAAGCCGCAATGCAATGTCGAATAGATGGTCGGCCCTTTGAGCAACTCCTCGGTCTGAGAGCGGTGACAGGAAGTCGCGCACTTCTCTTGCGAACGGTTCGATCAGCGTCCATGTCAGGCAGCCGCCTACTGATGTCCATTGTCTGAGATACTTCTTATTGAACCGTTCTCGTAACGGAAGCACTGTAGATCGGGCAATTTGTGCTTCGATTGCATTCTTTGCGTTATTGAAGGTCGGTGCTTTGCAGGGCCTCAACGCCGTCCCTACCTCTAGACACAGAGACAAACAGGTCTTGTTGAAGACTTTCGCGTCAGCGGTCTTGAAAATGCCACCAGCAGATTGCCATGAGTCCCAAAGGCTTAGTATTGTCTGCACAGAGCTTGCAGTCGACTCAGTCTGGCCAGAGTTGTCTAGCATAGTCAAGGCCAACCGTAGGGCATGCGAAACGAAGGTGGCACACGAGTCAATCGAGGACCATAAGGCTGTGAAGGACTCTTGGCTGTCGTTCTGCGCTGACCCGCCTAGTCCGGCACAGACGGCACATATCTGCATTACGAGTTGGTCTATTGGACTCGTTGCGACTATGCTCTCAGGTGATGGCGATAGTCGTCTCCGCTTGGGCGACCTTTCGTGCTCGGTACCATTTGGGGCACTGTTGCTGGATACTGTGTTGCTTCCATTTGCTTGTGTCCGAAGTTCGAGATAGCGAGCAAGTGTTTCGGAGAAATGCGGTCCGAACTTTCGCTCGACGAGAACTTCCGTCAACGTCTGCGCTGGTATGGTCTGTAGTAGGTGTAATAGCAACTTCCATGGACGAGGGTCGAGAAGCTGTGGTTTGGTGGTCTCGATCTTGCTTCCATTGACTTGGATCGTGTCCGTTGCGATGAACCGTCGAAGTAGCCATCGTAGGATCCATTGCTCCTTGAAGGTGTATCGAGCGGTTGGCTGGATGTTCGGACCATCGTTCTTCACACCGTCCACTTCGGAGATCAAATCCGCTCCTACTATCTTTGCGGCATCTTCGACCAGCTGGCCCAAGCTCGCCTTGCTCCGCTCGAGCGACTCTAAAGCACTTTTTGAGCGCTCGCTCATGTCAGCGAAACATCAGCAGCAGCCGCCAGAAGTAGTTGTGGGTGTCTCCGAAAGTTCATAAACAGTATTCATTCTTGAACGGTTTTTTGATATTGGTGGATCTTGCGGTGATAAAAAGTTATCTCCGCGCCCGGATTCAGGAACGAGAGCTTCGTTCGAAGCTTCCGCGACTTCAGACAGAATCCTCGAATTCCAACCCAGCTCGATCGGCAAAGCCTCTACACGAATCGCCAGTCTGCCGAGGCGTCCTCCCTGCGTTCGACTTGCTCCGCTACTGACTACCGGCCCGCCGTTGCCACGATGTCGAACGAAAATACTTCCGACCCTCCCTTACCTACACCGAAAGGCAGACCTGTGAGCGAAGCTCTGCTAAATGAGAAGGTACGTGCTACAGCTTCAGTTGAGCCGGCTGCGACGTGAGATGAGGTCTGGCGCGAGGCGCGCGTCTCCAAAGGCAGCCTGGCGGGTGGTGTCTGTGGCCTACGTGCGGAATGTCACAAGAGCATATCACTAACGGGAAACAACAGTGGGACCGATTTCTCTCGTCGACAGTGATCAAGTCGGGTCTGGGCCTGTCGTTTGGCGTTATCTTTTCAGTGCTGCTATTCAAGCGGAGAGCATGGCCGGTGTTCTTCGGAGCTGGATTCGGCGCGGGACGCGCGTGGGAGGAAGCGGATGGTGAGTTCTCAGCAACGGAACCATCGGCGCAAGTGGCTAAACCTCAGCAGCAAATTTCAAGCGCGGTGATCGACCATTCAACACAGACGGCCTGCGGAAAGTACGGACGGAGAGGTGAGCCTGGGCAGTTTTGTCACGTGCTAGTGGGAAGTGTTGTGTTCTGCTGTCTGTAGCAGACGTTGATGGCCACGCGCAGCGAGGGTGGAGCGGGCATAGAGGACTACGGACAATGGCGTCGAGCACAAAGGCTTGCTGCAACCACGTCTTATGACCTTGCGTGGACTGCATATCTGTACACAAAATTCGGCTATCTACCGCCCTGCTTTTTCCGTCTCGACTTCGCGCTTCAGATTATCCAGCTCCGCTTCTCTTTTCCGCAAATGAGCTTCTAGCCCATCGACTTGCTCCGCGACGAGAGCCAAATCCTCCCTCAACCGCTTCAGGTCCCCGCCTGCACTGGCAGCTTTATCAGAGTTCAATTCGACATATTGTCGTTGCTTGTAGTCGAGTAGTTGTTGAGCTTCGCGTTTGATCAGAGTCCAGTTGGTTTTGCCCGGCTGCCGGGCACCGCCATTCTCGCTCCGCTGGTTCCGTCGTCGGTCAGAGGATGCTTGGGCGGCTTCTTGCTGCTGTTCCAGTTCCCGCAGTTCCCGCAGAAGGCGGACTTTTTCGAGGTCTTCGTCCTCGACCACATCGTTGAAGTTGGTGCCTTTGGGTTGATAGCCAGTCCCTGCTCGCGCTCCGATTCTGCTGAGATACGCATCACCAAACTTGGCTTTTCGGCCGGTGCTGGTGTCTTCGTCGTATTTATTGGGCTTGTTTCGTATGCTGTCGATCTGGTAGTCGATCTTGTTGCCTTCAAAACTTGCGCGTAAGCTTGGTGGCACGGATCGTGGGATCCGAAACCCTTCATGCCGATAGTTGAGGATGTGTAGGAAGGCTAGACAAGCGTCCTTGGGAATGGTGCTTCTTCCACTCGTGTTGACCAAGTTCCAAGCACTTCGAATATCGGTGTCCGGAACATCAAGACTGCCGTATAATGTGTGTAGGCTCTCAAAACTGATATCTCCCCGGCGGTCTTTGTTGGCGGAATAGATCTCTTCGTACTTGGATCGGTCGGAAGGGTTCATGTACCAGTCGAAGCCATCTTTTAGACCCGCATCTTCCTCGTCGTCTTCTATCCGCTCGAATTGGCTTGCTTGATGACCTGTCAACGCTCGGTTGGCCGCGACCAAATGAGCTTTGCTTTCTGGAATCAGCCAATCTGGGAGCGATGGTGGAACGTCCTGATATTCGCCGTTGACAAGGTCAAAGATCAGTCGCATGGCCACGCAGAACTCCTCAAAGTCGAGCTCGCCATCGCCGTCCACATCTGCCAGATCCCAGACTCTTTCTAATTGATCGTCTCTCAATTGCGAGTTTCGAAGGACATTTGCGGCGGCCTGATTCGTCAAGCGCGTCGAGGGCGTAGCTGGTTGCTGTACCAGACTTGCGAATATCTCCCAGTAGCGGTCGATTTCCCACTTCTCAATCCGCTTGGCCGCCATGTCTACCGCTGACACGAGAGCTTATGGGCGGATTAGACAGGTCTGCCAGACCTCGGATGGTTGGACGAACGTCTGCTCCTGCAAAAGGGAAACCGGGACTCCACTGTTTGCGTGTTGCGCAGCAATTTGCCCCGCGCGAGCGTTTACAGAGCACGAGTGATCACAGGTCCGATGTGAGAGTGTACATAGTAAACCACATAAGCAGCGGAGGTCGGAGCGGGCGGAGCGTCGTAGCCCCAGCGGCGCAGGCCGTTATGTCTTGGCATTGCTACGTCAACTGAAATTCGACATCACTGGCACGAAGGACTCGGATGAATTCACCTCCCATAACTATCGGAATGCGTGAAGAATCTGATCAACTAGATCCAGGGTACTCCAAAGGCCGCCTCGTGCCCGTGATTCTGGGCAATGTCGGCGATTACTTTCCAGTGCACCTTTGCTGTCCTGACTCTATCCTGACTGTCCTGATATTCTCTGTTCCATAAACCAGATCTGATTTCCCATTGAATGGCCTCTGCCACGTCAAACCAGACAGCGTCATCCAAGATTGCCGAGCATAGCTGCATCCCCCTCTCCCGTGGCAAATGATAGACTTGACGCTTCTCTGCGGGCGCGCTTGTTCTTCTGGTGGCGAATGTAACCGTCGAGACTTTCCTGCCAGAACGTCGGATCCATGGTAAGGGTCAAGCCTGTTGCGAGCGGCTCGATCGGGGTTGCGACAAGGTCATCGGGCTCCCGGATGTCGATCTCCATCTTGCTGGCATTGAATCTTGCCTTCTGCAGCACAAATATCAGTCATGCATGGCCAGATGTACGGATGCCCCTGAATCACACTTACCCAAATCCAATGAATGCTACCGTGGCCCCACGAAAATTCTTCCACTTCCGAGATATGCGACTTTTCGGTTGTGAAGTCCATGCAGAAGTCGAACTCCTTGTCGCGTTTCAGCCAGGCTTCGATGGCACTACCGAACAGTGTCTTGTCCTTGTAGCGAGCAACAATGAAAGCAGTGACAATGACAGCCGCGAAGTCTTGAGCGATTTTTGTGGTCTCTTTTTCATCGAACTCTGGGGCGATGGGCTCTTCGTCGACATCCAAGATTGTTCGCAGGTGGTTGAAGCCAAATTCGCGCTGACCCATGTCGAGGACCAGCATCTTGAGCGATGGTGCGGCGTCGATGACGGCCTGGACGGTAATGGCGAGCTCCTGAGCATAGGGCACCTTTAGATATCGAATCTCCTTGAAGTCAGGGCAGAGAACGATCTCGCGGGTCTGGGAGAAGTATAAGTCGAATAGGCGTAGCTCGACGAAGGAGTATTTGAGCACGAAACTCCTAGCTGCCTCAAGATAGCTCTTGGATACCGCGAAGCAATATGGAGTGGGGATGACCATGTGCAGGCGGCCAAAAGAGTACTTCAGCTTTGTGTACAGCTCAACTTCGTAGTAGGTCTTCTCGAGTGGCTCCATTTCATCGTCATTTTCGTCGAGCTGCTCAATCTCGTCGTGATTCTGATCGTGCAGCTCATCGACGGGATAAGAGGCCTCGTAATCGCGGAACAGCTCCTCAAAGATCAGGGTAAGCACCTCGGGAAGGAGATCAGTCCACTTCGCGGGCACATTTGGGTCGCGATGCTTCGCTGCCGCCATCTCGAAGTGTTTGTGACGATGGCATGCGTATTCGATGGGAATCGGCCGTCGGAGTTGATGCCTGGGCTCTCTGTGGTCGTTGAATAAGAAGCAAGTTGAAATTCATGTGCTAGAATGAGGAAAGGATGTTTTGTTCGCGTGGGGTGAGGACTGCCGTGCCCGGTAGGGCCACAGTGGCGACGTGGTGTTATTGATTGTCTCAAACATGCTGCATTCACGTGCCTTGCTGAACATTTTGCTAGGAGCACTGCTTGTTCGGTTTTTGGTCTTGACTTGGTCCTGAGTACAAAGAAACCATGACCTACCTTGCTGGAGTTGGGACGTTTCGAGGGATGTATTGAGACTGACCATTTGGCAGCAGGCTTTGCTTCGGACACGCAGAAAGCTCGACGGAGGCCTACTTAACGAAGAGTTCATTCTCAACGGACGCCAACTTGACGAGAGCCCATTCTCAGCGAAAGGCATACGGGATTGGAGTTCAATTTCGATAGAGAAGAGACTGACGAAGAGCCCATTCTCGACAGATCTCAAAACGAGGGAAGCGACTGCGAATTATGTTCAGATCCACAGCGATCCATTTTGCCGTCAAAGAGGACCTTGTCGACCACGAAAGGAGAAGAGTAAACCTGTACTTCATTCACACACGCCAACCATGACGTAGATCGGGAGGAGTGCGGCCCTTGTTGACCATCAAACCGCGAACATTATTCAGATACTCATACCAAGATTGATCACACCTGCTGGTAATGCACGACATCGGAGACGTGCAGTCGCGCGGTAGGTGTGATCTCTGTCGCTTTTTCACCGAAGCACGGAAGCTTCCAGAGTTCTGCTCTGCACAGAGTGCTCGATATCCGAAAATTCAGCCCGGTCTGGCAAGAGCTTTGGGACTTCCTGGAGAAGAGGGATTAGGCGGTCTGCGAGTCTCTTTCGAGCTTCTGTCAGCTTCGGCGGACAGCGCAATTTTTGTGCTTGTGAGAGTGAGGCTTGTGGTACGCCCAGGCTCATTAACGGGAGTGTGTCTGTAGCTACCACGGTTCGGGCACGACAGCCACTCACATCAACGAGCTGCTTCGAAGAGCAAGGCAAGTATCTCACGCAATCACACATTGACGATTGCCGCCTAGTGATGCTGTCAAACTCGTGTATGTGACTTATAAGAGCTAGTTGATAGGACTGAGCTTAGACCGGGTAATAAATCGTTGTGCGTGCAAGGCCATCATCAGCCACTGCAGGACACATGTTCTTCAGTCTGGGACTAACGCCTGACTCGTGTATCCTTGTAAGCGGGGATGTTTTGCCACAGCGGGTCGAGTCCCTAACGAGCCATCCACTTTCCATGCCTTCCAGGTTGTTGGCCGAGATATGCGGCCATCACTACCAAATCCACGTGAATGATCCGATTTCAAGGCGCGTGCATACAGCTCATCCTCGCGCGAATGACAGTATTACTACCAAGATCTAATGACAGTGTGGTTGTACCAGATCTTGTGAGCTGAGAGAATCGCAACGGCTTACAACTCGATCTCCTCTGACACCTCCTGATGGCTTGGGCTTGTGACATGTCCCGAGCACGGGCACAGAAGACGGTACCAAAGCATAATCTCAACGCCTTTGTTTAGTTCGACGGGTGAGATTGCCATGCAAAAAGCAACTTCAGATTGTGGATTGCAGCCTCGATTCCAAGATCGAGCTACGACAGAAGAAGCAGCGTGATAGATCGTCCGCATCATTTGATTTGGGCAGATGAGCCAATCAAACGGCTATTTAGACCCGTCTCCAGAGCTCAGCGGACAAGTGCTCATGCACCATCTGATTTCGGCCAGGACCGCAACTGCAGTGACGAATTCAGCTGTACGCCAACCCCAATAGGTCAAAGCTTTTCAAGGCTTCCCAAAGAACTCAAGTTCAAAAGCTTTAGCCCGAGCACTAGGCGAAAATCCATGCTGTTGGCGGACGAGGTTTAGCGACCGTTGAACCTGCAGTCCTATCAAGCACCTGGTACGAGCCTTAGGTTTTGAGTCGTTGAACCACAAACCCGTATAGTCTTAGCCTCGATGTTTGACGTAAAACAGTCTCTTGGGCACGCTGCGAGAAGTCTTTCAGCTGTGTGACAATCGACCATGCCGGAGACTGTTGAATCACGTAGCAGGTGCAATCGTACAGCCGTCAGTCAGGAAATTGGAATCGGAATCGAATGTCAGGTGCCCGTTACGCCGGTAACTTCGGCGGCAGTACCCTGGAGCTGGTACCTGTGTAACACCCAGATACCAGGCTCTATTTGCCTGAATCTGACTTTCCGTGGCAACTTGCATACACAGTACCACTGTTTCGGTGACCTTGAACAAAGGCTTCCTCCAAGAAACAGTTCTCACATCAACGCTGAGGGCTGCGAAGAATTCGCCGAGTCAATGAGTGCACTTCAAGGCTGATCGGCCAGGCATGGAAATAGACAGCGAACACATCTCTGGGACTATGATCTTCACGCGGCGGCTGTATCATGGCATAATACCGAGTCCAGAATGCTCGTTCAGCAGGGCTTGCAAGTCGAGCACCCTGAGCCAGAAAGCCAAGACACAATTATTTGTCACAGGCTGTCTGTCGCAAAATTGACGAAGATCACTGATGGACCGGGGTCCGCCCTGCTTTCCGCAGATCGATCCTTTGAACCTGCGACCTAAGCGTGGGGCCCAAAAGAAATGGCCGGACTCCAACATAAGCTCGGATCATGCAGAAACGTCTTAACCGTTCAGGAACAGTCCCTCGCTTGTGCATTTTGGCGAGTCTATTCGCGATTCGTCTCTGAGAACGGGTTTCGCGACGACGAAGGTGACGGCTATCTTCGTTAGACTGTCATGGCTGTATACTGGAAACCGGACCTATCGCCACTTCTTCATTCGGACCATTCCACTGCCGGTCGATACTGTCCTGGCCCGATCAGATGGTGTTGCAAGGGGACATCCTTGGCTGGCTCAGTTCCAACCCGACACATGGGTTAGCCATGCCATGGGCTGATCTTCCAATCACAATGTCATTCGGCGAGGGATACCGAGGATAGACTTTGTTGGCTCACAATGGCTTGATCTGGCACTGATACTAGCTCGTGCGGTAGGTTCTTTTTCATCTTGTCTCTCTCCACTCCTCCATAATACTCCTGCCCTCCTGTATGGGCCTGATACCGCCAGCTCTTACATCCGTCCAGGTGCAATGATCAGCCAACCACGGTGGTATCAGCGCTGCATTAAGTATTAGCCTTTCCTCCTCTGCTTTTGACAATGTCAGTCACGCCGTAAAGCATCAATGCCCTTGTCCGCCACAAGGTCTGTTCGGCAGCCTCTAGAGCATCTCGTCCTTTCAGGGCTACCCATCTAATTCAGGACCGTTGACCTGGACGCAATTGGAAGTACAGCGGCTGCAACTTCTCGAGACAGCCTGTTCGTCGCCTTGGCTACAGTTTGCGGCTCACCACAACATCCCTGGTCATTCCCCTACTGGATGTAGGCAAGCCCATATACTTTGCCGGTGCTTCCCCTCGATTGCCTTTTGATATTCTTACCCACCACTACACTCCGCACATTTGTACTTGTGCTCTCTGCGCAGTCGATCACTATCTTCGACAAATTTGACCCGTTGTCTCCTCGTTACTGGAACTGGTCGTGCGCATGATGGGACGTGCGACAAGGCGAGGGCCATGGCTTCCAGACGAGGACAACACACTATTGCATCTGGTCCACCTCCAAGGCCCAAATAACTGGGTTCGTATATCACAGCATATGCAACATCGTTCTCCAAAGCAATGCAGAGAACGGTACCATCAAAATCTCAAGGGCAGTCTCAACCATGAGCCAATCTCAACGGAGGAAGGAGAGCTCATTGAGCAGCTGGTGCACGAAATGGGCAAGCGGTGGGCAGAAATCGCGCGAAGATTAGGCAATCGAAGTGACAATGCTGTCAAGAACTGGTGGAATGGCAGCATGAATCGCAGGAAGAGAACCAACATTCAACAGAACCTTGCCTCGCGGGGTGTTGGACCCAGGAACGGACCAATACCGGCGGTGTCTTCACGGCAGTCGATGTTGGTGTACAGCAGATCGAGCAGCCCGCCTGCCAGCAATGTTTATGCCCAAGAGATCTCGCGACCAGCATTTCCTCACAATCTGCCAACGCCAGACAGGGATCATCCGTTTGACCTGCCACGCCGTACTCTGCCAGAAGTCGAGGTGCTACCGGCACTAAGCCAACCGCATCCCATACCGATGGCCATGGAGTGCAATCCACTACCTCCTCCGAGGCAACTACATACACCCCAGTCGTCACTGGACTACAGATTGATTCCCATCGAATGCCGGCCTTCGAACACCATCGACAACTCTGCCCCATCGAACAAGGCTGCCTCCCCCGCTGCAACGGATTCTTCGAATCAACGAGCACCATCACTTGTGTCGGATCACCTTTCAAGATATTCGGTATCGCCCAAGACTGTGGCGTCACCACGGCCGGGGCTTCCGCCGCCCATTTTGACATCGCATTCGTATCACGACCACAGACGGCAGATCAGTAACGTTTCCATCGCCTCAGGTGGCAAGGTCCAGACTCCTATGGACGAAGGCTATATGTCAGCGTTGCCCACATCTCTCAGTTTCGACTCTACGCTGAAGAGGTTTCCATTCGATGCACCACTCAAGTCACTGCTCTCTCCTATGGTAGAGAGGAGGCCAGAATACCTACTGCCTCCGCCAAAGTTGTCTCCTCTAGCAGAACGAGACAACAGGATGAATGTGGCGCGCCTGCTAGGCTGAATACAGCAGTCAGTGACTCAACAAAGCAAGCAGCAAGAGAACCCCCAGAGAAACAGTCTCCTCGAAGTGCTCCAGCGATATCTACGTTTCCACGCTTAACGCCTGACGGACACAGTGGCCCCACAGCATTTGCCCAGCGAGATCATTCCAGCAAGATCACAGTCTGAGACACGGACTAGGACTGGCGGTCTATTGACTGCTATTGTATCTATCTATAATATACCCCAGGGTCGGTATTTGTTTTAGCGTTTTGCAGCGATTGAAGTTGCCAGCATGTAGATGCATTTGAGCTCACATAGCTATGGAATGTACGAGTAGAACATTTGCAAATGCATTCAATCAGCTTACAGTGTTGACTGACAATCCCAGCTTTGGTGCTCAGGCAACCAAACCCCGTATCGGCACTCATGCAAATGGCCGGACCAAATACCGGACTTCGATCAGGCTCAGCACTTTCTGACTCGGCATTTTCATCGAAGCTGATCGAGCGCAACGTCCGTGCGCGTCGCTCAAACACTCACTATCGAAAGATGAAGCCCATAACCCGCGCAAGCCCCTTGTGCAGACAGGGAGCCCCTCGCGGCAATGCCTGCAGCTGCCAAGCGCATCGATCTTGCATGATGATGGGAGTAAAGTAAAATCACTGCAATTGCGCTACCGTGCCCAGACACGCTAAGCTGGGATACTGGCAAGCCACGGTATTCTAAACGTGGAGTATCCCAAATCTGCGGATGGCGTGCCGCTTCGTCACGGGCTCGCCAATCAATCTGCCTGTTTTGACAGCTTGCGGAGGCAGTCGGGCTGGATGGAGACTCGTGCTGACCCCTGCTGGTTTCCTGAAGCATTGTTGCAGAAAACATGCTTGCACGAAAAGAAAATGAAGCATGCATAACTAGCATACCGCACTAGCACCCCAGTCAGCCGTTTTGATGGGACTTGACTCTTTCTGTCATGTTTCCAACCCTGACCATGTCATCGACAAGTGGCACAGGTACTGCTGACTCTCTAGCCTGCCCTGTCACCTGGACCGGAGGTTTTCCAGCAGGCATACGGGGCTCTTTGTGCAACACGTCTGAGCCACAGCAGCCACTCATCTTTTCTCGGATGACGAACATCCCAGTAATTCGGAACGAAAGCCTTCGACAGTCGATGGTTGTATTGCTGTCGCGCCACATGTTGGGACTCGTGGACGGTGGACATGTGAGTCTGGATTATCACGGTCAAACAGACATTTCGTAATGCATCGGATGAGAGTTTTGACAACGCATAGAGTTCGATGAGCCAGCCCAGTGGACCAGCGCAGCGGACTTCTGGCTTTCGGCAGCTGGACACGAGGTCAGAGGTACTAAGTACACTTTTCCTCAGTGGACACAAGGCGACTGTTGGCTCTGGACGTACCCCTCTATCAGCTTGATTGACTTTGCTTGACGCACTGGACCGCCCCCTGCGCACCGAAAGAGCTGTTGGGCTGGCTCGATGATAATCGAGTTGGTATCTCCATCCCCAAGCCGGTTGGATCGCATGTGCTTGAGAGTCTTCTTCACTACCCAAAATTGTTTGACACGGGCTTGGAAAAGCATGTTCCGCATAGACTTCGACGTCCAACGGTACAATCAAAGAACGATTGAGTTCAATCGGTCTGCCTGCCCGCAGCGTAAGGACATCATGTGTAACTTGGGCTATGATATCAACGTGGTCCAAGTCCTTCTTATCCGTCCAGACATGGCGGTCAGCATTATTACTCACGCTCGACAGCGATCTCACCGTAGCGGCTGTCGAATGAGTCGCTCATAGGGGCCTGAAGAAACTGTCAGCGAGGTGTCCGATCTGTGCAGGGTACCGTCTCAGAGTCCTCGACCATTAACGTAGTGTGGTCCGTGCTGATCCCTGATGGAACCCTGACCCCATGCTCAGCAGGACAGGCTTTCGACTGCACGAGTAAGCAAGAATAATACGGTCCGCACCACGTTTGATCGGCACATTCAATTCATGAGCATCGTACTGCGACCATCAGTAGGGAGTAACGACTAATCTCGACGAATGAGGCAATTCTCTCGTACTCTCCTCGCCCAAGTTTGACCCTGCTGGAACAACGGCATGCATACCCAGCAGTTGCCTGATCCCAGTTCGGGACCATGCTGTCGTGCCTGCAACATGCTGGCCATTGTTCACTTCTTCTCCTCATCTACCGAGAACAATCGTCGACTCAGTCGCATCGTCACGACCACCCAGGATGTTTACGTGAAGTCGGCCGCGCCGTTATTGCCTTGTCCTACCTACTCACCGTTCTCTCCTGCCAACCCACCTATGCCACAGTAGCACAACGATCATGATCTGTCAGCCGTGCAGACAACATGTAGTCTGAAGGCAGCCAGTCACAACAGAGCTGACGGTGAGCAACCCTCGGCATTTCCAACGGGCCTGCGTGTTGCTTGTCAAGATGCCATCACATGCCATGCACGACGTTCTTCTCGGCTGGTTAATTGTGCGAAACCATCTTCATCTCGACTGCATGCACGACACGTCAAAAAACCGAGAGACAGGCGCTTGGGACCGTGCATGCGCGTGGCCAGGGCAAAGAACTGATCTCGTGTCCCTGTTTGACAGCGCGTGTTGTGTGTTTGCTTTTCGAGATCGGACTGCGTCCTGCATGAATCGATCGTAGTGCATGGAAATACATTTGAAGGGGCATATTGTAGCGGACTGGACGAGTTTTTGGAGCACTCGCTCGTCTCCCCACAAGCTAAGGCGGGATCGACGGGCGGAATTGCCATTTCTCTTGAGATTGCCTGTATTGATGGTATGGTAAGATCTGTTCTCGGCGGTATGGTATCTGAGGTTGACTCAACCTCATTTCCGACTGCCTACCGTGACATGCCTTCTGGCAATTTTATTCATGTTGTTTTTAGTAGACTTCCAACGGGTTCCGAGGGCGACGATCACGGTCCTGGCGTTCTTGGAGGTCGCTCTCAACGGCCCTCGTGCCGGTCGTTCGCTGCTTCGATCGCGGCGGGAGCGAACTATCAATTAGTTGAGCCGACCTTCCCACAAGAAACGGCCACTCGTGCAAAGCGTTTGTGTCACATACACTGCCTTCAGCTCAATAACGGGCTACAGCTAGAGGATGCACCCTCACCATTGACTTCAATAGTATCGCGACCTGCCGGCTGCCGAGCATACACTCCCTCGTGGCAACCACGTTTCAGCGTGAGCAGACTTCGTCGAATTCTTCAAACAGCCACCATCGATAAGTGTTGCTTTTCTCGTCTACCGTGCTCCGCCACCACAACCCTCGAGTCGTTGCGCCAAAACTCTGTTTTGTTGTTTCATGTTTCAATATATCAATTGGAGGGTGGAGGTTTCACGACCATTTATTATTCTTGCCTCTTCGAGCGCTAGTCAAGAGATCCTAGTGTTTGCAAGTGGGCTCGATGAATGCACGCAATAATAGCCTAACGCCCGGGATGGTCTGCTCATCAAACGCTCCAGAGTGTTCATGGTTTTGTGAAGTCCACCTCTCAAGCTTCTAGGCTAGCGACATCTGATACTGCCGGCGACTCGATAGTCATGAGCGGAATCAATAATAATCTGGAGGTCCGCCCTCGAGGAAGGTCTTACTGCCGATTACCGAAAGTCAAAGCTGTAGGCGAGCGACGAAGACTAGTGATGTGTCCATCGCAAATGTTGACGTTCGACAGAAGAAGAAGAGGTCCGCGTTTGATAAACCATCGGCATCGATGTCGCCGGTGTGGCAGAAGGCACATGTGGTGGAGGCTGTGTAGGTAGGCAACGCGGAACCTGTCGTGGGGTTCCGGGACTGCTGAGCTCGTGCGCTGACGGACCATGTTGGGATAACGACCTCACTCTGAGGCATCTTGCGACATGGCTGTCCCTGTCTCGCAAGTCAAGACTCCCATGCCATCACTAACAGCAATGGATCGTCCTCGGACGAAGTTCGTTGCCCTGAAGGAAAGTTAGCACACGAATTTTGTCTCGTAAGTTGAAACGGAATCCGCTACAGATACCTCTGAGGCGAGGCGGAAGAAGCAGAATAGAAGCCGCCAAGGAACTCTGGTCAATGCACAACATATCCGTCGATTGTGAAACACCATTTGCCTCGCCGCACCTACTACCGCCAAGGGTATGCAAGAGCGAGGCCATCAACCTGACAGGCTTCATACCTCACGGCTGCTTGATGTGTCACTCGTCGCACGATGCGGAGCGAGGCGCTGTCTTGAAGGCATGTGCTCGCTTCTCCGCGTTTCGACGCGGGCATCCCTTCCGCATACGCTCCGGACTCCTGCATTCCGCTCAAACTTACGTCTTGCATTGCGACGGCTTCGTCGAGCAAGTCAAGCCATCGCAATGGCAGGATCGAAGTTGGTAGGATAGCGGAAAGCTGGAGGCGAAAGATGTACTTTTGCGGGCTGGAGGTCGTACAGTGCTGGAACCCTGCTAATACGGCTCACAGCTGCAGCAATTGTCAAGGTTACCGTAGACCATTCGACATCGTTCGCAAGCATCGTCGAAGTGGATGCGCAGAGTTCCCTGCACGGAAGCCTGACTGGCCTGTATTCCGCACCTGCCTACCTCATGTGTCGAGAAGGTCGTCATCGCGGGACTGCTACCTCCTGACACTGCATTTCGAGCTACGGATAGCTTCAAGTCCTGTCACTCGCAAGCAATCTTGTAGGCGAGGTCACATACCGCAGACTACACATGAAGCAATCGCAATAGGGGGGTGTGTCTTCGAACGTCTGCGAAGTTGTGCGATATATACGGTCAGCCTAGACGAAGTGACACCGTAGCTAGCAGTTGAATATTCGGAACGTGGCGTTTGCCGACAGAACGGGCTCGATAAGGCGGTCTGAATAATCCAAAGACCTTGATATTGGACGTGCAGTCGGTTATTCGATGCCATGGGCAGCAGAGACGTCGACTCGGGTCCAAGTTGACTCGAGCTCGACGTTCAGACGTTGGCCCTAACCCTAACGGCTCGGTCAACGTCACTGCACTTGTAGCACTTGTCGATTCCGAGCCTGCGCGTGCAAAAGAGCATCGGCTATCGAACTTCACTATTACTGCATTCACCAGTCTTGACTTCCATTTCTTTTGCGGAGGTATTCCCATTCATCGACAATGTTTTATTAGCCAGACCCTTCTTCATTCCTGCATTTAACGCTGCGCCTACACTCCGCACCCCTGGACCCGAGATTTCGACCATCATCCCCTCAGTCCTGTAGAACAGTCTCAATGCCGTGCCGCTGCCCTTGACCGCGACTTGTGTAGTATTCGCGCGCGTTGAATATGGCTGCCTCTACAGCCAGCTCGGCTGAGATGATCACTCAGCTCGAGTCTGCGCGTAAGCTTGCCCTCAACGATCCGCAAGTCTATACTCAAGTCGTGCCGGGCATATTACCTCTCATCGGGCCTTCGGCGGCGCTCGATATTCGTCGATGGGGAGCTGATTTCATCGCGGAGTGCTTTGCCAGTCCCTCGTTGCCAAACGCGCAGAAAGAAGAGCTCGTGTCGGATGTCTTGCCGTCACTGCTCGGGTTCCTTGAGAATCCTGCAGAAGACACCGCAGTATTGAGAAGTGTGGTTCAGACAGCTACTAGTTTATACGCTTTGGTGTTTAAGAGAATGTATGTTGGATATCTTCCTGTCTAGAGTTGTTCCTGCTAGGACTTTGAATCGACAAGGCATGATTCTGACCCGATCCATCCAGAGCTTCGCACCCGGATCAGTCACCAGTATGGCAGACCATGCTAGCCATCAAGATGAGCATCCTGCAACGGATGGATCTTGCGCCAATCACGATAAAGATATGCTGCATCAAGTTCCTACAGAAGGTGGTTCAAGTGCAGACGCCGGGAGTCATTGCAGATCCAAGAGTGAGCCCTTCCATTGCACCAGCGCAGTACGAAGCTGACACAACCTTACAGCGAACAGACTCGAACGAGACGTCTCTAGCCATCGTTCCGCGTCAGCACCCTCTACTGCCACTGCCTCAGCTAGAGGCTGAAGGTGCAGGCCTCCTCGATCGGCTGCTGAGTGTCTTTCAGGACCCCAACATGGATCCAATACTCGTGGACGCGACGCTCAACTGTCTTGCCATTCTCATTCGCACACGTCCTGCCGTGGCGAACAAGATCCTGTCAGCTGTCCTGAATTTCAACCCCTTCAGGTCTGCTCCAACCAGCATGACACCTAGACTCAATGTCATATATCGATCGATGGAGAGGACAACATTTGCGCTTCTCAAGTTCATCATGAAGAGCATGCCAAACCATGCGATGAGTGAGAAGGTAGGCGCCTACATGGTTCGCTTGCAACAACAAAGGGTCGGCATCTTTAGCGGAGGGGTTGGCGTCAAGCGTTCAGCTGAAGCAATGGACGGCCCAAATGACGCGAAGCGACAGCGTCTTACCGAAGTGCCCAAGTTCCCACCAATGCCGCCTCCGCCAAATACCGTTGCTCAGCTGTTTACCCTGACTGAGGATACGATGCTCCACCAATTTGACGTGAAACTTCTACCAATCGACATCGTCAATCAGGTGGTGGCTCTTCTGATTCAGATGACGGAAGCTGGGCGGTTAGAGCCGGCCATGGACGCGGTCAGGATGCGTCTCGACAAGTTGAGGAAAGCAGCCCAGCCAACGCCTATACCGGACATACCAATGGCCGGTCCAACTGGAATCGACGATGACGACGACTACGAGCCAGACTTCGGCCAGTCGACTGAAGCGGCTGCTGAGAACACAACGACTAAGGTCCTCGAGGAACTGATCCAGCCACCCATCAATTTAGGACCATTTGAACTACCGAAGCCGCCCCCACTGTCAGATTCTGAGGTAGCCATTCTGTCAGACCAGACAATCCGCCATGTATTGGGTCTGGTCCATGGGCTAGAGTCTACAAACACCGTGTCGGCTCGACCGAAGATGGGCTTCGCTCGCTTGGCAGCGGCTGCTAACGACCGCGACGCTTGGATCACGATCATTTCGCGCATAGCGGCGCGGACGCCTGCCTCGATCGACGAGTACGGGGAGTCTGAATCTTCGCTGGACGCCGACGAAGATGGCACACTCACGAAAGCAAGTCCAGCTCGGAAGTCTGATGGAATTGCCGGTCGAATTCGTGAACACCTTTTTATGTACATTCTTGAGGATTTCCGATCACGCCTCAACATTGCCATTTCCTGGTTGACCGAAGAATGGTACGCAGACAAAATGCAGGCTCGTTGCAAGTCCCCATCATCAACGCCTCCAACAGACCTTCCGAACTACTCTGAATGGTCTGCCCGCCTGTTCGACCGCGTTGCACAGTATCTTGACAAAGCAGACTCCAAACTCCTCATTCGCTTCCTCTCTGAGATTCCAGCAATCACCAAGGCAATTCTGGACAGTTTGAAGACGCTGGCCCAGGATCCGGAGAGAGTCAGTATGTGTACATTAGCAATGCAATACCTGCTCATGTTTCGGCCACCGTCGAGGGACCTAGTGAAGGAGGCCCTGTCTGAGATGATCGAAGCTGGCGATGAGCAGGTCAAGAGCGCGGCTGGGAAGGTTTTGGAACGGTTTGAGAAAGGCCAGTCGGGCAGTGCAGCGCCGGCAAAGCCAAAAGTTCTTCCGAAAATTGAAGCTACACCGGTTCAGGTCGACGCGCCAGTAGCAGAGGTCGCAGTCGTCAATGGAGTAGAGCTGCACGATGGAATGGACACAGTCAAGGCTGAATAGGTGTCTGCCGGTAGCACTGGCAGTAAAGCGATCACGCGCGCGGTGCGTGTCGGTAAAGGTCCCACCAGATCGGCCATATCTCAAACATGTGTGCATCCAACTTCAACTCCTCGTAGCGCCACTCCAGGCTGGCTTTGGCGGAATTCGGAAGCGGCGCGCCCATGTGGCCACGCGTGCGTGATCTCAACACGCGCGGGAACTTTGCGAAATAGAAGCGATGACAATTTTGACTTACGAGAAAGCGGACGTAGTTATATGGATGTCTTTCCTCGCCCCAGGTTGGGTGCCCTGTCGCCCTTTCCGCCCCCATAGATCCCCCACCATCCCGCCGGAACATCTACGGAGACGCACAGATCTCGACGCGCCTCAACGTTGTTTGATGACTGAGCTACAACGGGACGGGCGCCTTGGGCTTACCTTTTGAGACATCGCCTCATGCACTACGAGATCTCCCAATGCTCACTGAGTGATGCTCTCCCTGACATCCACGTCACTCTACGGAAGGGAAATCTCGGCCTGTCAAATTTGAATCCGCCGGCGCTCCGCACTTCTCCGGGTAACCGTCCTTGATCAGGTTGTGTGGCTGAAGTTTTGCGGGGTTCGAGTAACCGAGTGCTGTGTGACTGTTAGTGACCACCGCAGCGCCAGGACCAAGCCGAGCCTGAAGAGAAAAGCACTCCATCTCCGATCTGACTTGGCTTCACACGCACTGCTTCCGAGATCTGGGTCGTCCTCGACCTCACAGCCATACAGTATGGCATCACATTCTGCCACTGAGCCGCCACGGATCGCACGTTCCGGATCGAACGCTGGCCAAGCCTGTCGAGAGTGCAAGCGACGCAAGGGCCGTTGTGATGGTGCGCTGCCTGTTTGCTCCGTGTGTCAACGATACAATCGCCACTGCTTGTATGACAAGCACAGCCGGTCAGCGCTGACCAGAAGGTGAGAGACCACCTGGCCAGATACAGCGTATGCCTCGCAAGTATACTGATCAATGGTAGGCATCTTACAGAAGTCGAAGAGAAACTGGAGCGGGCGGAGAGGATTCTAAGGACTGTCTTTCCAGACCAGCATGTGCAGCAACTACTTTCGCACGGGTTGGCAGATGGATTGTCACCGCTTGTCCAAGGACCTCAGGCCCCATCGCAAGCTTCAGCAATCTTGTCAGGGCAACCCAGACGGGAGAGCTTATCACCTAGCAGTGCGGATGCAGAGCGAGAAGGTTTCGACAAGCCCGCACCGAGGTCGAACATGGGTCTGCAGCCGTCCCACGAGTTTGAGACCGTACCATTCGCAGCCGATGACGACTTCGAATGGGACGAACGAGAATCTCTCTGGACACTTAGTGACCCTGGCGGCAGATCAATGAATTTCGATCTTGATGCTGAGATCCCAAAGCTGACTGACGGGATGGCGACACTCACAGCGAACGACACAAATACTGGCTTCCTTGGATCCGTCTCAGGAGCTTCGCTATTGCGCTTGATTTCCAGCGGAAGCCAAGGCAATTCCTCGCAGTCGTCTAGGATCAAGCAGGAACAGCGAGACGAGTCGATGCCTGATATAATGAACGCCAACTACAACCCTGGACCCTCACTCAAAGCACAGCCGCTACTTACACGACAGTTCGTCGATGGACTCATCAATGCATACTTCAGCCACTATCATCCTACCTTCCCGATCTTGCACGAGCCCACTTTCCGCGAGCAGTACCAGAACCTTGCCAACAGACCCAAAGGCACGTGGCATGTACTGGCCAATCTCGTCGCTGCGATGGGATCTTTTGTGTCAAGTCCGTGCAACGACGATACCCACATCACATTGTTTAACGTCGTCAAGAACTCGTTGAGCATTGAATCGCTCGAAGCAGGCAGTCTCGGTCTTGTACAGGCCTTCGCAATGGCCGCCAACTACTTACAGAAACGCAATCGACCCAACAGTGGATACAACTATGGGGGGCTAGCACTCCGTCTGGCCATTTCGTTGGGGCTTCACAAAGAAGTCCACGGCTGGCAGACCACACCATTGAAGAAGGAGATTCGCCGGCGTGTCTGGTGGTCACTCTGCGTGCTCGACGTCGGTGCAACAGTCACATATGGTCGGCCACTCAACTGGCCAAGAGTAGGCGTCGACACTCCGTTCCCGCTGAACATTCAAGAAAGCAGCCTGACCGCGCAGTCCACCACATTGCCTATCGAGATCAATGAAGCTACGTATTACACTTACGTCAACACACAATCACAGTATCATCTCCGGACTATGCGCATATATGATCGTCTGATATCAAGTCCGATTCCGACTGCTGACGAGCTAATTGCCCTCGATGACGACTGCATCGAAGGCTGGCGCACAAGCTTACCTCCGTACTACTGCGACGAGGACCTCAACCTTCCTGAAGAGAATCTTTTGGGTCACTCGCTTGGCCGCTTCCGATACCGAGTCATGCGTGTAGTCATGTATAGACCGTTCCTCCTGCGCTGGGCCCAGCATGACTTCCCGCCACTGGAGAAGGGCAATAGCAGCGCAAGTCAGCGAGCACCAGGAGCAAGCAGATTTACAGAAGCCGAGAATGTTGCCACGAAGCGCTGCCTCCGAGCTGCGGAGGAATGCATATCAGCACTGTTCCGGTTCTGGACCAAGGCGACGCACACCCGCCTCGCCGCCTGGTATGTCCTGTAAGTCACCTCTCGGCATCCACATCGTCCACCCTTCTGGTTCTTGCCTGACATCCGTACAGATACTTCCTGCTGCAAGCTGCCCTCATACCGATACACTGCCTTCGTCGGAACCCTTCTCATCCCTCGGCATCGTCGTGGCGCGCCCAGGTACTTACTGCTCTCAATGTCATTACTGCCATGAACAACATCAATCCTTCAGCACAGAAATGCCGAGATATATTCTATCGTCTGTGTGGAGATAGTCTTCCAAGTCCCCAGGATGATGGCAACGCGAATGGTGTCGGAACTAACGGCGACGACTCGTACGACTTTGCGGCATTCGGTGTCAGTCCTCCTACGCAGATGCGTGAACCTCAATCTGCCACATCTGGCACATGGAATGGACGCTTCAGCACGCGAGCAGATAGCGCTAGCTCCGGCATAGCGCCCGAGCAGCTGGAGCATCATCAACACCATGCACGGTCTCAACGTCCTCAACGCCCGCCAATGCCGCCACCGCTAGCGAGTACAGATCCTTGGATGACAGAAATTGATACTGCCATTGATGGCTATGATGTCTACGTCGATCGCCTGACCGCTGCTGCTGGAGTCTCGAATGGATTGAACATGCAAGCAGGTGAGGGCGATGACCCAGGTATGATGTCGCAGGGATGGCCTCAGCAGCATTACATGCACCAACAACAGTCAAGTGCAGATGGCGGGACTGCTGGACAGATGAATTCAGGAAGCGATAGCCTGTACAACAATCCGATCGTTGGCTTGGGCATGGGCATGCCAACGGTAGGCTCGAATGGCATGTGGGGAACAGACATGGAAAATGGTGCACAAGATTGGGACTGGGGACTGATGCTTGCTGGCGGACATTGAGTTGAGCATTCTGAATTTCTGTATGATCACGACATGGATGAATTTGCTGTAATGAGATAGTAGCGTAGCAGATCTCAGGTTTTCTGGCTTGTTGCATACCAGTTCAACGCCAACGTCCTCAAAAAGCGTCTCGACCTGGTGCCACAACGATGGGATGCAATCTATGATAGACATTTACCAGTACTACTCTAGCATATAATTACAATTGGCACAACCAGTTGCATCGGATCGTCCCGATTGCCACCGCCTCAGCTTGTGCGGACTTGTCTGCCTTTGACACTTGTCAAGCCGTCCTCCAGGCATTGCTATATCCAAGTGTTGTGGTCCCTAGGCGCACCCGAGGGTACAATCGGGCATGCAAAAATTGATCGTCATCCGGTCTCACCGGATACATACTGTCATCCGCGATAGATAAGTCTAGTGGCTGCTTGCGTCATCCGGTCTGGCGCGGCGCCAGCTGTCGTCCGGCGTCGGAGTCATCCTGCACCTCTACGGTCCAATGGCCATCGTAATCAGAAGGTCTTCTATCAATAAAGTTCAGCATGAATGAGAAATGGCCATGAACGAGGTGTCGTCGTGATGAGGCTGTCGTGCCACTCAACAGCGTTGGCGACTTGCAAGTGTAAACTGCGATGCATGTGATTGTTGCTCATGGCAAGTACAACGTCGACTCCAGAGCGGCCTCTGAAGCGCACGCGTCAGGCTTGCGAGCCATGTCGGTACGTTGCTCGCGACCGAGAGGAACCATCGACTGAGTCAACCAAAGCCGGAAGAAATCTAGATGTCCAGGCGAGAAGCCTACCTGTTCGCATTGTGCCAGGCTGGGCCAGCTCTGCGCCTACGCCCTAGACAGGGACAGTCATGCATTCCAGAACAGTGGTGCAGAGTCCACTCATTCATGGACTGCCCAGAGTTCCTCATTGTCGGACAGCATGACGGCAGATCGACTCCGGTCTCTGGAGCAGAACATGGCCCAGATTCAAAACATGCTCAGCAACCGATCAGATGTCCCGAATGCAACAGCTACTAATCCTACGAGAGGCGCGACTCTCCAACAGGCTACGGCTACACGACACAGCAGCTCTTTCACAGACAATCGAGCAGACCTCACGCCAGAAGAAATTGAGACCGCCGCAACATTGTACGCAATCTACTGTGACTGCCAACCGCTGCCCTTGTTTGCGATGAAGCACTTCACAGCCAATTTTGCTTCTCGCGATCCAGAATTGATCTACGCCGTCTCTGCGATGTCATTTCGATTCAGCGATACTGAAAATCTTGCCGACGCGCGTGCTGTCGAACTACTTGAACGAAGCAGGCGACTAGTCATGACGAAGGTGATCGAAGGACAGGTAGAGCTTTCAACGATTCAGGCACTGTGTGTACTCACTGTCGTGGAATTCAATGATGGAGCCACCGCTCGTGCAAGTGCATACAGCTCTCTAGCCTACGATCTGGCACAGTCCGCGGGCTTGGCAGTCGAGATGTACTCGCCCTACGACTCACAGATGCTCGAGGAAAGACATCACTGTCACTGGAGTTGTGTCTTGCTCAAACACCTTTTCGGCTCCAGCTCCAGCAAGCTGACTCTCCTGCCCAGCGATCTATCACCAAGCTACCCGCGGAGTGCCGATCCACCAGCGGGGTCTAGTTCGAACATCACTGCACCGGGTGTTCCACAGTCGGACGGTATCGCCGATCCTGCTACAACTGTCGCCGTCGATAAGGGAATCATAGCTTCGGTGATTGAGCTGAGCGAGACTTGGGCGAGAACCGTCCGCTATGCGCTCCGTCGAGGCAAGCGACAGCCACTGCCAAATTGGGCACCCGAGTCTGAATATCAACAGATCATGGGCCGGCTGATGGAGCACGAGACAAGAATGCCCTATAAGTACAGGTTCAAGCCAGCCAAATTTGGTGACTACTCTGGCGAGGAGATCCAGCGTCATCGGACATTTTGGGCTCCATGGTACCTGAACCAGATCTTCTACCACGCAGTATTGTGTCTTCTGAACCATCCACTTGTGCTGGCCTTGCATCTACGGTCTTTCAGAATGACGATGGTGCCTGAGATATTCTTACAGCACACCGATGACATGATCCAGACGCACACTTCGTGGATGGTACATCTCATCGACCAAGCGAATGCCAAAGGATTCGTCCCCTCAGATCCATATCCGTCCTATTGTGTGGCAGTTGTCGCTACCATCTTCTTACAACAGAGCTATGCTGACGATGAGGCCGTTCGACGCAATAAGCAAGAGAATTTTGATAAGTGTCTGAACTTCCTACGCACGTCTGGCAGATATTGGAAACGGATTGCACAGCTTGTGAGTCGGCCAGGACTGTGTTCTCTAGATGCTAACATTTTTGCTAGGCCGACAAAGTCAATACGTTCCAGAATATTGTCGCCGAGTCTTCTCAGAACGCCGCATCTGCTGCTGACGACAAGACTTACATTGATCTGAGTCTGTTCTGGGAGATACTAGAGTCCTGCTTTACTTCCGATCAGTCGGCTGCTGCCGAGGGGTATTTTGGGCCGTCGCTGGTCTCTAAGCGTGCACACCGCACCTCCACCAACCTAGTCAGTGGACGCCTCCTGCCACGTCCGACCAGACTTGACCCGGATATGTCGACGACAAGCACACCTGCTATGCCGTCTACGGTACCTCAGGACCAACTCCAGTCTGATTCGACCAACTTTCCTTCTATCGACGATCAGCTGCAGGTCTTGGCGCAGAGCTACTTTGCACAGGGCCAGGACTTTGTGAATCTCGATGACTGGTGGTATCCCGAACCGACCGTCACTTGAGGTCACCGGCAGCGGCTGATAAGCCTTACTCAGAGTCATACAAGATAGGAACGAACTTTCCTCCACAGATCTATCCGTGTCGTGGGTCCGGTACGGCACAATCGCCTCGTCTCTACACTACGCCTGCACAAGCTTACTTGTCACTGCTCCTGAAGACCTGCACACCGCAAAAATCGGCGATCTGTCGACCGAGTGGACGCCGATGTCATCATAAATTGCTCCAAATTCAAGTTGCGTGCCGTCCAAAACTTCTTTCTAGTTTGCCGGCCCGCTTCCGCTTCCGCTGTTCGCCGGAGCCTTGTATGGTCCGCCACATTCACCAAGAACAATGTCGCCAACAGAAGCTACAGGGCTACAGCTGGCATCTGAACATCGTCGACAACTCACAAGTCGCCCTCTATCAACCGACAAAGAAGCAAACCAGAATTCATCAACAATGAACTCACAACGGCTGCTAAAAGAGTACTTCGTCTCGGAGTCGACTGGATTCTTACCTCATGCCTCGCCACTGCGACAGCTCTCAGACGCCTACTACGCGCCGTGGGAGGATGCAATAAGAGCACTCCCAGAACGGATTGCTACCGGCACTGTCCACGCCACAGTTGAAGCCCTTCCCATTCTCCAGACCGCATTCTTGCAAACAGAACGACAATGGCAGAGAGCATATGTTGTCCTCGCTTTCCTGACACAAGCATACGTCTGGAGTGGGAAAGGACCAAGAGATGTAGGTGCCTACGCTCTCTGTCTGACCATCAAATCTGACATGCACAGACGCTGCCTCCACAACTAGCGATCCCTTTGACCGAGGTTGCAGCACACCATGACCTTCCACCCATCGCAACCTACGCGTCACTGATATTATGGAATTTCGCTTTTCAGTCACCGTTATGTGACATGACAGAACCGACCAACCTGAGGAGTCTCCATACTATGACTGGCTTGAAGGATGAAGAATGGTTCTACCTCATATCAGTGGCGCTTGAATCAAGGGGCGGCCCCATCATCAAAGAACTTCTGAGATGTATAGATGCAACTGCGTGTGGGGACGAAGAAACCTTGGTTGACAGTCTTGCCCAAACGACAATGAACGTTAAAAGCATCAGCATGCTGCTCGAAAGGATGTACGAAAGATGCGACCCACAAACATACTACCACGATGTCCGTCCGCTTCTTGCTGGCACAAAAGGCATGGCGTCACTGGGCCTGCCGAAGGGCGTGTTCTTCGACATGGGTGATGGCGAAGGAGAGTGGCACCAGTATAGTGGAGGCAGCAACGGACAGAGTTCGCTGATACAGCTGCTTGATATTGCCCTCGGCATCGAGCACCATGCTACTGGCGCACATCGTGGTCGATCTGTCGACGCAGGTGTCAAGTCGAAAGCTAATCCATATATGGCGGACATGAGAAACTACATGCCTGGTCCTCATCGTCGCTTCCTGGCTTATGTGGAGGAGAACACCAAGGTTCGGGCATACTGCATTTCCAAGGAGGCGTCAGAAAGCGTGAAGGCCGCGTACAACGAGACAGTGGAAGCATTGTCGAAGTTCCGGGACATCCACATTCAGATTGTGACACGGTATATCATCACGCCATCGCGATCGCCTCCAGCCACGCACGTGTTGAGGAAAGAAGCGGTTGGCCTTGCGGCTGCATCCAGAAGAGCGAGCCCAGAGGGAGGAAAGGTCCCACAGCTGTATGGCACGGGAGGTACGGATCTGCTGCCGTTCCTGAAGCAGACGCGAGATGAGACGAAGTCTGCTGAGTCGGAATAGAGACAACATGGTACAGCCGCTCGATAGATCTTATAAGAACATCGTGCTTTGTCCTATTAATGTGCTCGTGGTGCTTCAACGCGTCTTAGTTGCAGACCGCCGCGGAGCCGTTCGCGGGCCTCGTGCACTTCGCATGATCCCAACATGACTTGTGAGAGCGGAAGTCGTGACCGCGTATACTCGGATTGAGTCCACCACGACTCGCTTATCGGAGCTTAGCAGTGATCCGTGGTGAGCACTGGATCAAGAGTCAGGTGTCCAAAGATGGAGCTCTTTCACGGATGCGGACCGTGTCTTGGCGAGGCATCTCGCCGGTCTTGTCGTCATCTACAGATACTTCGCCGTCATTTTCTACACGGCCCGCGAATACCGCCTCTAGCCGGGCTATGGGCAGCATTATGTAAAGAGCGACGCGAGTCGCGGAGATCGACGAATGGAAAATGCATCTCGTCGCAGATAGGCTATCCTTTACAAGGCAGGTAGATAAAAGTACCACGAGCACCTTGTTCTTATCCGAAATACTACAAAGGACAACTGCAACCTCACCTCGCCCTGGAATCACACACCTCGAATTCTGCCAACTCCTCGTAAAGCACACCAGCAATGTCGCCACCATCTATCGCACAGCTGCCCTCTGAGAGCACAACCACACCCACAGTAAAAGCCAAATCACCACTCAAATCTTCGCAACAACACCCAAACCAAAAGCACACCTTCCCCACCAACGCCAACACCCTCGACTACGCCAGATCCCTAGACACCAACTGCCCGCTCCGCCACCTACGCAACGAGTACATCATCCCCTCCAAAGCCAACCTCAAAGTCAAACACGCCAATGATCTCTCCACCCCCAACGACTCGTCCGATCCAGCAATCTACTTCTGCGGCAACTCTTTAGGTCTCCAGCCCAAATGCACCGCCTCCTACATCACCGCCCAGCTCAACACCTGGTCGCACTTGAACGTACATGGCCACTTCCGACCTATCGCGGACTCGCCGCTGAAGCCATGGCAGGAGCTGTGCGAGCAGGCGTCGGACCTCTCTGCGCCGATTGTGGGTGCGCTGCCTAGTGAGGTCAGCATGCAGGCGACGCTGACTGTGAATCTGCACTTGCTGATGGCGAGTTTCTACCGGCCTGTGGGTAAGAAGTGTAAGATTCTGATGGAGAGCCATGCGTTTCCTTCGGATCATTACGCGGTGGAGAGTCAGGTGCAGCTGCATGGGTATAAGGCGGAGGAGGCGATGATTTTGTTGGAGCCGGTGGATGGGGAGCACGTGTTGAGTACTGAGCAGATTTGCAAGGCGATTGACGAGAACGTTGATGAGATTGCGTTGGTGTTGTTGCCTGGTATACAGTACTACACGGGTCAGCTGTTGGATATCAAGACGATCACGGCGCACGCGAGGAGCAAAGGTTTGACCATTGGGTGGGACCTGGCGCACGCGGCGGGAAACGTGCCGCTGTATTTGCATGATTGGGACGTGGACTTTGCAGCGTGGTGCACGTACAAGTATATGAACTCAGGTCCCGGTGGTATGGGTGGCTTATTCGTGCACGAGCGGCATGGCAAGGTCACCAAGGATGAAAACACAGGCAAGCTCGACTTCCGCCACAGGCTTACGGGCTGGTACGCTGGCGACAGGACGAGTCGCTTCAACATGGATAACAAGTTCGTGCCTATCGAGGGCGCCAAGGGCTTTCAGGTCAGCAACCCTTCTGCGATCGACCTAACGAGCTTGATCGCGTCGCTTTCGGTGTTCGCAGAGACGTCGATGGAAGAGCTGCGCAAGAAGAGTCTGAGCATCACAGCGTACGCAGAGCATTTGCTGCTGAGCGATGTGCCTAAGGTCGATGGGCAGCCGGCGTACGAAATCATCACGCCGAAAGACCCAGAGCAGAGGGGCGCGCAATTGAGCGTGCTGTTCAAGAAGGAGGGTTTGCTGGAGAAGGTGGGCGAGGGTATGGAGGAGGCAGGCGTGGTTGCTGATCAGAGGAAGCCGAATGTCTGCAGGGTGGCGCCAGCGCCGATGTATAACTCATACGAGGAGGTTTGGCGGATTGTGGGGATCATCAAGGGTGCTTGTGATGCTTGATCTAGTACATTATTGAATTCCAGCGTGGCGTTATGGTTGGTAGCAGATATATACACGATATTTCAACAAGATCTCCATGCTTTATGGATATAGGCTCTTCAGATGTAAATTTGCCACTCAACCAGGGAGGATTCTGCACATGAAAGCTATTGTCGCTGCTTCGTGGACTCGAGCGGTGAGTGATTTTTCTTTGTAACGGGTGGTCGAAGATCATGCAAGCGAGGTTGGAGGCTCCTTCCACTGTAAGAAGACGGAACTGCGAGGCATGCGCGAGGCAGGATGAAAGATGGCACGAGCGACAAGTGATTTCTAGGCAAGTGCACGATCAGCGGCCCGTGACAGCCTTACTCGCCACCTCTTTCCACACCTGTGCATCGATGCCTTGCTGTGTCAGACTTACGGCCACTCTGCGGACGTGTGAGCCCGAGCCAACCATCGTCTGGTCCGGTCCGGAGAACTGCTGCCAAGACTGCTTCCCATGCGTGTGAATACTCGTGGATTCTGGGAGGACTCTGATCCCCACAGCGACATTGATAACGCTGCCTGGGACCTGACAACGTTTCACTTGTCCTTCTTGCCCGACTCAACAGCATCATTGCTCATGGCACCAATACCAGCGAAGTAGCCATCCATCAAGCCGCTCTCGGTGATCAGCTTCCAGGTACACCAGCAATAGCAGATCCCGAAGCCCACAGCACCGAAACAAGCATTCACTACCACCCACAGATCCGGCTTGTCGGCAGGCGGTTCCGCGAAAGCTGCCAGTATATGCCAGAACGCCATGACGATGTAGTACTGCCAATGCAGTATCTTTGTTGGTGTGCGTAGCTCGTCGTCCTCGAGCGGTCGGCCCATGAGGTTCTCGCGACCGGGTGTGTAGTAAGCTAGAGCTGATGTGGGCGGTAGACCGAGGAGGAAAGCCCAGAGAAGAGAAAGAACCACGTATGGAGTCTTCAGCTCATCGCGCTTGAGGAGTGGGTACATAGCCCAGACGCCGAGAGCATTTGCCCATCCAATCCAGGCGCGGTATTCCTTTGAGAGGCCTTTTGCGGAACCAAGGAGGAGCGTCATCGGAAGGAGAGGTAAGAGGATTGACTTTTCGTGGACCTGGAATGAGAAGAGGAAGAATGCGAATGAGCATGATGCTAATGCGTATGGAAGCAATTTTCGCTGAGGGTTGCTGCAAGTGATGAGGAATGAAGGCAAGATCATGACAAATGTGGCGAGTAATGAGAGCTTGGGAAGCGGAATGAGTGCCTCGAGGTTTCGCAGCTTGTAGACGGTGTTGAGGGCGCACCAGAAGTTGGCGACCTTGTCTTCGAAGAGTCCTCGGGCGAAAGGGAAGATTCGATGTATCGACTGCGAGATTTGGAGGATGAGTACATGCAAGGGATTCTTGCTGTCCAATATGAAGCCCCTGGTAGCAAGCAATGGAGGAGGGGGCTGATATCCCAGATTAATGCCGCGGTATTGCTCGTAGAGCGCGCCGAGCAGTAGAGGAGCGTAGAGAACTGCGAAGGATAGTAGGGTAATGGCAGAAATCGAAAGAAGGCGTCCCGGTCGGAATGTGGGAGTCAAGCAAGACCCGAGCAGGTATGCAAAGATGACCGGTGCATAGTAGAGTGCCATTTGCTTGAAACCAAGCGCTGCCACGAAGTAGACACACGCCCACAGGGAACGGCCAGAAAAAATACTCGACATGGTCGCCACCAGGAAGCCAAGCATGACGGTGTTGTACTGGAAATGTCCGTGGTCGATGAGTATGGTTGCCGGCTGCATGAGAATGGCAACTAATGCTACATTGAATGAGGTCGTGCCTGTCCCCTGGTTTCTGCTGTAGTGTCGGAGGAAGATGATGATTGCTGGGATGTAGACGAAGTATTCCGACACCATGACCGTGGCTCGCATGAAAACTTTCAGCATGGGATCCTCCAAGCCTCTTGACTTGCGCAAGGCGAACCAGTCCTCACTGAAGAGGGCTCCAACCTTGCCGCATATCCACGAGTGATAGGCCGTGAGTGGTGGATAGTCGAGGCCCCAGTACGGCAGGTCGTAGAAATACCAGGTCGAGACTGGCAGATTGGTTGTTACCTCCATCCAGTGTCTCTGAGCTTCAAAATCGCCATGCATGGGCGGCTTGCCCAGACCAGAGTGACCCCATAAGCCGACCGACCATCTGAACAGACCAACAATCATCAAAATCAATGGCAAGAGAAGCCATTGCGATGTCGTACCTCTGGCAGGCCACAGAAAGGCAACCAGGGGAAAGTCCGGGATGACCGCGTTACTGACCGCGTCGACCGTGACAATGTCTGTTATAGTCTGGCTTCGTGTGAGCGGTATGTCTTTCCGCTTCTTCCGTGGCTTGTGCGATGCCGACATTGCTCTTCCTGTCGAGTTGCAGCTGTCGTGATATCTACAATGGACGTTAGTGGTATCTCGTGTCCAAGACCAGAGCTCAATACTCCACAACTCGAGGCTGGGGACGATCTATCCTGAGATGGGACTAGCTCTAGCTTATCGATACTGTAGATTTTTTCGAGTCGAAAAAAAGTTCAAGTATTGAGGGTGGCCTGCTCAGCTTCTCTCTTCTTCCTGTCGACTACCGTATCGCACAATACTGCTCTTTGCATCTGCGCATATCTTAGAGGGCATACTGTATCTCGAGGGCATATTGAAGTCGGGTTCTCTGAGGGCTCTTTGATATCGTCTGAGGGGCTATCGCAGGTTGTTGCTTGTCTTCCCTGCCTGACCAATTACTGAGGGTTTCCTCACGTGAACATCACTGTTCATTGATTGTCGCTTCAAGTGAGAACTTCACTTGCTCGCCTATCTGAGGGATCTTGTTACGTCAGAGGGTTGTTGGCCGCACAGAAGATTTCAGTCTTCACGTCCCCAAAAACTTTTCGTCCGCCTCTATTCCTGTCCCAACTGAGGGTTCGTGGCATATCGAGGGCTTTTGCACAAGACCAATTCAACATTACTGAGGGTTTAGAAAGCTTAATCAACACCAATATGTGAGTACCTCGCTGTCGCAACAGGCGCGCGACCATACTAATAATTTCACAGTCAAGATGTCGAAAGTCAAAGCTGCTAAAGGTTCGAAAGGTTCCAAGTCCTCGGACTTGCTAACAAAAGTGAAAGGCGCAAGCGTCACCAAGCCCGCCCAGACCGATAAGAGCAAGAGCAAGGTGATTGCGAAGGAGGTCGCAAAGAAGGAGAAAAAGTCGAAGAAGGTCAAGGAGCCAACTCCCGAGCCAGAGAGCGAGTCCGAGTCCGATACTTCCGCCAGCAGCTCCTCCGATTCCGAGTCCGACAGCGAAGTCGAGACGAAGCCGGTGACCAAGGCAAAGCCCAGCGCGAAAGCTGCGGCCAAAGATGTGAGCTCTTCCGAGGAGTCCAGCTCCGATGAGAGCGACTCCGATGCTGAAGTTCCCAAGACCAACGGTGCCGCCAAGGCCGCCGCTCCTGCCGCAGCCGATAGCGATTCCGACTCCAGCAGTGAGTCCGACTCCGAGGATGAGAAGCCCACCAAAGTCTCTCCCAAGACGAACGGCGTCGCGAAGGTCAATGGTGCCGCTAAGAAGGATGAGTCTAGCGACGAGGAATCTGATGACAGTGAGGATTCTGAAGATGAGAAGCCCGCTAAGTCTGCAGTCATGGGTGGCAAGCTTGCTGCACCGAAGGAGGATGACGATTCTTCGAGCGACGAGTCCGAGAGCGATGAGGAGACTGCCGTCGAAGGTGGGAAGGCTGCTGCTAAGGATGATGATTCATCCGAAGACAGCAGCGACGACTCCGAGGACGAAGAGGAGGCCAAGCCAAAGAACAACAAGCGCAAGGCCGATGATGAAGCACCCGTCACTTCGAAGAAGGCCAAGATTGACGCGTCGAGAAGGAAGCCCAGAAGAATTTGTTCGTTGGTAACCTTTCCTGGAATATGACTGAAGACTGGTTGAAAGAAGAGTTCGAAGTCTACGGAACGGTCAACAGCGTCCGTCTCATCACTGATCGCGACACTGGTCGCCTCAAGGGGTATGTCAATAGCTGCACCCAATTGACGCGATCATGCTAACCCACATCTAGTTTCGGCTACGTCGAATTCGAGAACCTCGACGATGCCATCAAGGCGACCGAGATGCACAAGAAAGAGCTGGACGGTCGTGAACTCAATGTTGACTTCTCTCAACCCCGTCCTGAGAGAGCTGAGCGCCAGCAGAACCGTCAAGCGCAGCACGGTGATCAGCTCAGCGAGCCGTCTGCCACCGTCTTCGTCGCCAACATTGCCTGGTCAGTCGGTCAAGATGCTCTCGGCCAAGCCTTCTCCTCGTTCGGCGAGCCCATCGGCGTTCGTCTGCCTACCGACCGCGAGACCGGTCAAGCCAAAGGCTTCGGCTACGTCACCTTCGCCACCATCGAGGAGGCCACAGCTGCAATCCAAGGCATGAATGGTCAGGATCTTGAGGGCCGTACACTTCGTCTCGACTATGCCGCGGAACGTGACCAGAACGGTGACTCCCGCGGCGGTGGCTTCGGCGGCCGTGGTGGTGGTCGCGGAGGTGGTCGTGGAGGTCGTGGCGGTCGGTGATCGCGGAGGCCGTGGCGGTTTCGGTGGTCGTGGAGGCGGTCGTGGTGGTGGCCGCGGCGGCTTCGGTGATCGCGGAGGTCGTGGAGGCTTCGGTGGTCGCGGAGGACGTGGCGCGAGCACCAACCGTGGTGGCTTCGGCGACTACAGCGGCAAGAAGACCACCTTCTAAAGGGTCTACGATGAGGTGCGGAGAGGGGAGCTGTTGTCATGATTGCGATGATCTCTCACGATACCCATGGAAGTCTACTGTACAGGACCATCACTCATTTCCGTTGCGTTGTCTACGGGGAGGGCACTGATATGGCGTAGGTGGAGTACGGTGATCTTCTAAGAAAAGTTGCTTGAAATTCTGAGGGGAGTTGGATCGTGTTTAGTAGCTACTATTTAGTGTCTACGAGCACAATGTTATGATCTTAACTCAACATGCCGTACTCGTTATTGCCTGCAGTGCTCCTTGATCGCTGAACGTTCTGTGCTTGAGAATGCCACGCCTATGATGCAACAGTGTCGGATGCATGATCGCAGCAGTTCTGGCTAATTTCTGTGGGCACGTCTTGTGACGGCATGACGAATGATATCTCAAAAGGCCCGAAGATGGCTGCTGGCAATGCATGATTGGGCATCCGAATGATCATTTCCATCCAAGCTTCCCACCGCTTCTGCAAGTCATGGCTAGTTCAGGCTGCCTGGGCCCTTGACCGCCTAAACTGGGCAGTGTCTCGTGTCTCTACTTAGTGACTGCTGTACCGACTAGATTCCCTGTGAACACACGACAAACAGAAGCTGCGACGGTGATTGCGACTGCTTGACCTCACACCTTCTCTTCGTTGCACAGAAGGATTGTCTTCTACTCATCATCGACGGCCTATCGACGTACCCCTCCAATCTCCATTGCCCCGCCAGATCGCGCCTTGATCAACGCGTATCATCCTCGGACCGGCTAATCTCCGTCGGTGTCTGGATCTCACCATCATCCAGGCCCCGCCACCAGCCTCGCTTGCCCAACGGTACATCACGCAGGCTAGATTCGTAGGCGGTGAGCGACGACAATCTTGTGAGAACACAAAGCCCGCCTCGACGTGTCGATCTACGATAGACCTAGCACGACTGAGTCCGTGCGCCAACACCCTCCCTTGCTTGTGATCGGTCAGGTGGCCTTCGTCCTGGTCATACTCTAGTTTGACGACGCTCGATGGAGCCCTCCTACACAGATTCGAGCGCTTCACGACTACGCGGGCAAAACTCACGACATATGGCTCAGCAAGATAGTTCCCTGGCCGCTTCGGCTCGACGGCGACTGCGCGGGGAAGGTCAGTTGCCCTGATCTGCGACATGACTGTGAGAGTACTGACCGATTACAGAATCATGGGTCGACATATCGTCTAACCCCTCCCCGTCTTCTGTCAACTCAATGGCTTCCATTCAAGCCTCAAGAACACCCAGCGAACGGATTCCTCGCCCGCTGATTCCCATGCGCTCGGTGACCGAGCCTCCACGCTCGTTGAGCACTGCTGGAAGTAGCCAGGATGAATATGACGAGAGCTCATCGGAGAGCGATCGCGTAATGAGCAGTTCGAACGAGGACATCGTCAAAGAAGACGATGAAGAAGTGGATCTCGATGATGATGATAACCGCACAGCCCTGGGTGTGCGAACCGAAGAGGTCTTCACACCACAACCCAATGCATTCTCCCATCCACCGTCAGCACACTCGAGCCGCGACTCGTACTTTCCTCGCGTTACATCAGCCCCAAGTTCGCATATTCGACCGCGACCTCATCTTCAGCGTGCCCGGGAGCAGGGCATGACGGCTTCCTATCAGCCAGACCACGATGCCGCCTTACGAGCGTCACTCACTACGCTACTATCTTGCGCCGCTGCTGTCCGACCAAAAGCCACCAATGGCGAAAAGCACGACCTGCTACCTCAGCGGCAGTCCCTGAATCGGCCCTCCACACAACCGACGACTCTTCGCCTTATACCCGAATCTGCCCTACCGTCACAATCGAGACCGTCCGCAACATCCTCAAAATCACCATCAAGTCCAACATCCCGACCCTCCAAGAGGCGCTCCCGTTCCCGCTCCAAAGACCGTGAGGCGCATCAAAGCAAGAAACAACGACCAATATCTGCAACCTATTCATCTTATGATGACTATATCATCAGTCCCACACTTGCCGGCTGGGTGATATCTGCAGGCATGGTGCTGGTTCTATCTGCCATCAGCTTCAGCGCAGGATATGCGTGGGGACGAGAAGTCGGCCGCGCAGAGGCAGAGCTGGGTTTTGGTGCAAGCGGTAGTCTGGCTGGCAGTGCTGGCGGAGCCAATGGCAGTTGCGCTGCCCAAGAGGCTATGCGTGGCAGTGGATTGCGAAGGATGAATTGGGCCGGTAGTACGAGCGCCATTCGTGCGTGAATCATGAACATCACGGATTGATCTTTCGGACGCAGAGTGGGTGCAATGCTGGGAAAATGGCGAACAGGGCAGCCTCTGCTATCGAACGGGAGTTTTGGATGAGAATGAATGGGATGCATAATGACATGGGCGATGAATTTTGATACTTTTATCTGAGATATCAAGAGCGACACGAGGTGATTCCGACGAAGAGGGCTTCAACATTGGGAATGGACATGACCATCATATCTGTCAGAATGCAGAACAGACTCAGCGCAGCGCCTGAAGGAGCGTGTCCGCTCCATAGCAGAGATACCAGATACAATTCTCTAAATTCTAGCAGGAAGAACTTGAGAAGTGAACAAAGTTTCCGTGGGTAGTGAGTGCCACGAAGTGATCCTACCATTTGAATGTACAAACACGTTCATGGCTGCCGCAGGACAACCCGCACGTACATGCCTTGCCACCAACTCTGTCGTAAAAGTCTCGAGGGTGACTCTCCTCTCATCAATACTAGACCACCCTACCCTGTGCTGTGCAATATGCACCTCCCGCGCCTCGGTTTCCTCGTGCTTCCTACCTCCTTTGCTCGACTAATACTATTCTCTGTCTCCCACAACACCTAAGCTGCTGGCTGAACCGTCCGCAGGGGACGGTGGGTTGTGGAGGTGGTGGGGAGGAGGTGGCCGCTTCGCGGCCACCGACTCACCACCACCTCAGGCGAGCGAAGCGAGCAATTTGCTGGTCGCGCAGCAGGCGCTTCCTAGAGAAGCGAATTCGGGAGTGTTGGGTGGTTCTGTTTGAATCCGTTCTCTTGTACAAAAATAACGCTTCACCGCAGGGTATGTTCCATCTTTTGACCGAACTTCAAAACCTTGTCCTTCGACTCGGCTTCTCTTACCGACCTCTGATTATTCCGCCCATGGCAGCTTCTCTTCACACGCCCTCACAATCGCTCCGACCTAGAGGCGAGGCGAGGCGCTCTACATACTGACCAAGAAATTCCGCTCCCGAATCGCCTTCCGCCTCGCATCCCTTGCACTCTTCGTCAACGCCTGCCTCGCATCCAAGCTCTGCTCCGCCGTGGCATTCGCGGGCGTCAAATCGATGGATTGCTCGTGCAGGGGGATCCTCTTGGGGAGGGATTTGCGCAGCTTTTCTTGCTTTTTCTCGTAGCGGGCGCGTTGGGGTTTCGTCATTTCTGTGGGGCAGGGTTGTTAGCAAAGGTCCAGGTCGCAGATTGGCAGTAGAGAGCGTGCGGACGTCCAGCTGCTTAGCACGAGCGAATGCCGGAAGGGGACTGTGATGGGCTTGTCCGCGGAGGAGGCTCGCTGGAATCAGTGTGCAGTGTAATGACGTACCGGCGAGCTGTGTTTTCCTAATGCTCCCGTCTCGTTATCGGCGCCGGTTTTGGTGTCGTCGAGGACTCGCCATAGCCAGTCTGGGTACTCGTCGTCTTCCTTTGCGAGGAGTACGGGTGAGCCTTTGATGTAGTTTAGGCCTTTGAGGGGCGTGCCTGCTATGCAGCTCGAGGGCGTCTTTTTCAGGCCTGGTGCTGCGTGGCCGCGGAGGTCGGCGATGGCGGCGGGGATGGTGGGTTGAGGGGCAATGTGGGGAGTGCTGAAGGGTTGGGAGGATGTTGGAGGAGAACTGCTGGTGGGTGCAGGAGTGGTTGGAGACGTGGTGGAGGGCAGTGGGGTGCTAGGTGCGGCGTTATGTGTTGATGGGACGGTGGCGGCAGTTGCTATGCCGCGGCGCGGATGGATGTTTCGTGGTGTGGATGTCGGTGGGTGTGGTGATGGGCGGACGAAGCGCGAGAGGAGCATGCGACGGCAGGAAGCGCAGATGCTCATGATCGGTGGCCGGCGAAGACAGAGAGACGTCAAGGGGACCTATATGATCGATAACCGAGTTTCAACTTTGACCATGCGAGTGTATTCGTCGTCACTCGCTGGTGAAGTTCAAAAACATCTGCCCGAGCAATTGGAAAAAGAGCACTGCAGTGCTTCGATTGGAGACTGCAACTTTTGGAGATTTCTGGCGTCTCCGTGACCCTAACCCTGCGTCGGCTCTCGGTTGTCCGACAGCCGGCGTCCGGGCATCATGATCGTCGACAGCATCTTACCGCTCAGGGTAACTTGAGTTGAGCATGTCGGTGATGTTAGCATAGTGCGTCCAGACGAGTGAATAGATGGACGACAGGAGATCATGATTTACTGGCAGTTCAAGGATTTCTATATCTGTCTGTGTTTCTTGTCCCGACTGCCGCTACTCATATTTATTCCACGACTCTTGTTTGCTCATGAAACAAGACGATCATTATGCTTCGTCAAAAGTTGCTGGGATAGCATTGAACCCAACATCATGTCCCGCCAGGGTCATTGTTGAGACGCTTCGGGCACGGGGCCACCGAGGGTGACCTCACTGAGGAGGATTAAGCCATGGCTTGCCGTCGTGCTCATGGCCGTCCTTGGGGGGCACGGGCTTGCCGTGGTACTCCTCCTTCTTGGTGGTGGTGGGCTCAGGCTTGCCATGGTGCTCCTTCTTGGTGGTGGTGGGCTCAGGCTTGCCATGGTGCTCCTTCTTGGTGGTAGTGGGCTCAGGCTTGCCGTGATGCTCCTTCTTGGTGGTCTTCTCGTGCTCGTGCTTGCCGGTAGTCCACGCTTCGGTGGTGGAGGACTTGCCTGGGTGTTGTTAGTGACAGCTACACCTAAGATGTTTAGGGAAGGGTGACAACGTACCCCAGCCATGAGTAGGGCATTCCTTTTCCTTCCAGACCGTGGTAGTGTAGTAGCACGTGACGGTCTCTGGCTTGCAGGTTGTTGTGGCCGTGGTAGCGCTCGTGGTGCTGCTCCTGTTGTGTGTCAGCAACAACATCCGGCGGGTAAAGCTATCCGGAAAGGTGGGCAAGGGACGACGACATTCTGTCATCGTCTCTCGAGGTGTGGGCTGGCGACGGCGGAGAACCTACGATGTAGTACAGCTGGTGGTGCTCTTGGTAGTGCTGCTAGTGGTGCTGGCGGTAGTGCTGCTGGTCGTGCTGGCGGTCGTGCTGCTTGTCGTGCCACTGGTAGTGCCAGTTGTGGTGGTGCTGGACGACCACCAGCTGTGCCAGGGGTAAGATGAAGTGGACGAGGTCGAGCAAGAGGTTGAGGTCGACCAGTGTTCGTGATCGTGGTCGTGGTGGCCGCCGCCGCCGCCTTGACCGTTCTCTTCACCACGAGGGATGTTCAGAGCAGTGGCTCCGGCGGCCAGAAGGCCGACAACGGCAACTTGGGTACGCATCATGAGTGATGATACGGAGAAGTTAACAGATAGGGGCAGGCTTGGGCGTGGTTCAGCTGTGAGAAGGACAACAAGAACGTCTCTGCTGGTCAGAGGTTACACGCGACTTGTATATAGTCCTGATGGTGATAGACCCTATGCCAATGTAAACAACGAAGACTCAGCTGTACAGTCTGTTGAGACGTTCACGAGCATCCTACTGGTCAGCAAAGACATTTTAGGTCCAGAATCATGCAGTAGGCTTTGGTCGCGATGGTCTGACATCTCTGCTCGATAAGGAGCTCTTACTGAACAGAGCAGTGATGTCCTCATCGAAGGTCAGCGAAGTGTCACTGACTTATCCCTCGGCCACTCTGTGGCGGAGAAGGTGCAACGCTCCTGAGATAGCTCGAGATCGATGGAGCAAACCGTCGATACCTGCTCAATACATGCATGGCAGGTGTGGCCCAGAGTCACTGGCCCATTTGTTCCTGAATGCTATCGAATGCAAACTTCGGTGGCAGCGCGACGTCCACAGTCAGGTTTGTGCCTTCCGTTCAGGTCACGCCTCTGCTGGTGAAATGACAGGACCTCGCAGCCAGAGCCTGGCGGCCGTCGCAAAGCCTTCTCAGCCAGAAATAGTCGTTGTTCTTGTAGCTTTCACTTCGACCGACAGTGTTTTGATGCCTGGACGGTAGGCCCGTAGCAGAGGCAACGAGCATGCGCGTGAGATCTCAACGGGAGTGATGCTTCCAATGCTCCTGATGCCTCATTTGCATTGGTGATCAACAGAAAGTCTCTGCTACACAGAATTCAGCATTCTCAAAGGCTCAACAAACTCAGGTCGTTGCAAGGAGTTCGCCAGATGGGCGAGGTCAGGCACTGCCGCTCATCGAGCAAGAGCAGTTGCCAGCTGCTCGTCCACATGAGAGTGTTATTCAGTTTAAGTTGCGTTCCTTTCAGGTCCAGCTACGTCGCGCCTTCAGCTGTTGAAGTTGTTCTTACCGCATTCATTCGTCCGCACAGAGGTTTTGGACAGCGTTCAAGGAAGAGTCATCGACCACACCTCGGTCACCCGAACTGGTCCGATGCGAATATTCATCAACCTTCTAACGAAGCAACTCAAGTCAGGGATGAGGTCAAATTTAGGGAAAGGGAGTGCAAGCTCTTTTGGCGATGACTAAGGCGCTGCAAACTTTCCACCCATTGGAAACGTCCCGCTTCCAAAGCTGCAGCTGCAGCGATCCTAGGTACCACCAACACTGCACTAGCTGACATCGATGTGCACACTTACATAACTCGATGCCTGACGCGGGCAGTCCTGACAATAAGAACATCGCTCGGAGTGCAGGCTGCCTCATCTCTGGTTCGTTGCCATTGGTCGATGTGTCATACTTTACTCATTCAGGCGCTTGCTGCTTTCGAGTAGTAAGGCTTCCAAGGCACGTTCTGCACGGCAGGCGCGCCTACGTAGGTCCCAATGACAAACAGAAGGTGGCCTACGAAATTGGCAGTGACGAGCGATGAGGTCAAGATAAAAAGCATCTCACATGCCCCGTCGTCTTAGCTTTCGAAGTCCACGACTAACGGCCCCGAAATTTCAAGCCGAGTACAATCTGTGTGCATTGAAAAGGCTGACTTGAGCAAGATATCCTTTTGACTCTCAGGTCCAACCTTCACACCTCCACACCTCGCCACACCCGCACGTATCACCACAGCAACCGATCGCCTCTCGAAGACCCGGCACAATGCGAGCAATCCAATCCACAACCTGGGGCACCCCACCCACCTTCACCCCCTCCGCCCCTGACCTGCCCCCTCCAACATCCTCCCAAATCCGCCTCAAAGTCCTCGCCAGCGGCCTCCATCGCCTCGTCCGCGCCCAAGCCCTCGGCAACCACTACTCCGCCAAATCCGCCGGCCTGCCCTACACGCCCGGCCAGCGACGGCGTCGCCTCGACGAGTCCACCGGGAAGCGTTACTATTTCGTTAGCATCGCCACTGGAGGAGGTTTCGCCGAGTATGTTAATGTGGCGAAGGCGACGCTGGTGGAGTTGAGTGAGGGTGCGGATGCGGTGCAGGTTGCCGGGTTGGTGAATCCTGGGATGGGTGGGTGGATGGCGTTGACGAGGAGGACGAAGGGGGTTGTTGGGGAGGGTGGGAAGAAGGGCTGGACGGTTGTGATACTGGGGGTGACGAGTCAGAGTGGGAAGGTCGCGGTGCATTTTGCACGGCAATTGGGGGCGGGGAGGGTTATTGGGGTGGCGAGGGGGCATATGGACGGGCTTGGTTTGGACGAACAGATCGTGCTTGATGGGAAGGAGCCGGCGAAGACTGAGTGGAGCAAGATGGGTGATCAGGTGGATGTCATATTGGACTATCTTTACGGAGACGCCGCGATAGCGTGTCTGAATGCGCTGGAGAGTAAGGTGCCGACGCAGTTTGTGCAGATTGGGAGTATGGCGGGCAATGACGCGAGTTGGCCGGCGGCGGTGTTCAGGTCGAAGGATATCACGATCAGGGGATCAGGACCGGGTGCGTGGGCCATGCAGGAATTTGGGGCGGAAGCGGGAGGGCTGGTCAGGGCGGTGGAGGGGCTGGAGAAGCAGGCACTGACAGTGAGGAAGTTGGAGGAGGTAGACCAGGCCTGGGGAAACGAAAAAGAAAGGACGGTCTTCGTGCCCTGAGAGGTCGATATGAAGCCCTCGAAGATCTATAGCGACATGTCCCAATGAAGTTTCCATCTATTCGCAGGCTGCTCGGACATGTACTGGGCGTCCTTCGTACGCATCTGCTGCCCCTACGAGTTCGCCTTGGTAATTTCAGCATTGCGTTTGCGGTGCGCTAATAATGTGTCTCCTAAGCGGGCGAACGCTGAAGGTCTGAAATTATCTTGCTGATTTTCTCGATGACTCTGAGATGAGCCTCACTTAAGCGTCAGTCAATAGCAAAGATCTTGCACGAACTTCCTAGCTAGGGAGGGCGCGGCGAGAATTCAATACAATATGCTGTGAATATCTACTTAGCTAGAAAGGGGGCTAGCGCTTGGCCGGACAGCTTAGACGGCCTTGCTTACGCCCTGAAGAAAACGTCCATCCACAGACACTTCACCGTGGAAGACTCTAACAGTCCAAGCGCACTCTCCGTCCTGAATGTCACGGATGTCAAATTTGCCGTGAGTGTGAGATCGTTCGTCGCGACAGTCCTCGATGTCAAAGCCGGATTTTCTTCACTCCGCCATCCTAGCTTCCATGATCCAGTCTGGCCCGTAGGGTCCTGGTCCGCAGGTGGCAGACCAAACGTTCGCTTCAGCCATGACTTCGGGGCAGGTCTTTCTGGCAATTCTGGAGCTTGGACACTGCTTATCTGTGGTAGCTGTGCTTGCAGTTGCGGGAAGGTGGCAGGGTCAACCATTGACCTCACGAGTGTATCGGACAGTTCTTGGATTAAGGACCAGGTGGTCAAGAACTGCGCGTTGAAATCGTTGCCGTTGAGCCGGATGAGAGTCGTGGGTTTCGCGAGCGATGGTGATGTGATGTTAGAGACGCTCAAGCGCACTGTTCCATCCAAAGCGTCGGCTCCCAGCAGTATCAGGGTCATCTCATTTGTGCCATTTTCGAGGTGGACCGCTATGGCGGGCTCTACATGGTCGAGTAGGATTGTAGCTATGCGGCGTTGTCGTTGCTCCTTTATCCGTTGCTGGAAAGTCGTCGGAGTCTTCTGGGAGAACCCTGTGGGCTGTGACTGTCTAGGTGATGAGCTTGCGATGGACTCTTCATAGCTAGGGATTTGGTCGTCTTGCGCTTCTGAAGACTTGCTTGACATATTTGCTGGCGACACGAAGCGTTTCGGAGAGGTGAAACAGATACAAGTGATGGTCGACTCAGGCGGGCTCTGGACTGGATGAACCCGAGTCCGAGGTCGACAAGTACGCCTAGTGTAGGCAGCCTTGGCACGGCAAGAGCATACTGGTGTGCCGGTTCATTGGCAATTACTCCTGCACGCTCGCACCTGCGAATATAGCATACGTCCGGACGCAGCTATGGAGCTCGCTTCGCCGCGGAACTGCTCTTTCAAGCTCGTCTGATGCGCATTTGTTTAGGATGACTCGAAAGCTCTGGGCAGTGAGTGATTTGGCCCGATTTACCAGATCCGGCTTAGCGCGGGTCACCGGTCATGTGGAAAGTACAGCCACTCTGTACTTTCAGGCGAACTCCAGGCAGACTGCATCCTCCCGAGTCCTTGAACCAGCGAAGAACCTCTATTCTGGCTATGTCGTACCATTGCTTTTGGTCCTGATCAGCAGTACTTCGCTCATATTTAATGGGTCAACGGCAGTCAATGCTCCACCCAAGATCCCATTGCGGCAACGTCAAGACCACATATGCCCTGTCCTTTGTGGTAGATTTGGTTCTATCAACGTGTTGTGTATACTTCGTTTTCGGGTTCCCAAGCGGGTGCCAGGTGTCTGCGCAGCACGTTCTCGCCCACAACAGAGTTATTGCTCCAGCTGTACTTAGAAGTCCGGTCGCAGTAACAGGGCGCAGTACACATACTGATAGTCACGAGGGGAGTACCTTCCTCGTGTAGGCGCAGGATGCTGTGTATAAGAGAGCTCCCAGCTCTTTCCGTCCTCTTGCACTCCTGTACAACACTCGCCTTGATCACCCACTGCATCGATTCGGTCGACTCATTGACAGACAAGTATCGATCCAGCCCCATTCGTTAGACTACACAAACCGACAAGATGAGGTACTGCATCTCAGAACCCAACGAGTACCTCGTTATCACGGGTGCTCAGATCGAAGATGTTCGCGTCGTGAAGAAGGCCTTTGTCTACCCATGGCAAAAGGTCACCAGGATCTCCGTCACCCCTATCGACTTCCCGCTCAACTTGCAGGCCATGTCCATCGAGAAGCTCCAGTTCGCTCTTCCTGCTGTCTTCACTATCGGCCCCGACAACGACCCTGAAGCTTTGAAGAAGTACGCGCTGCTTCTCACTGGTCAGCCTGATGGCTCGAGGACTACCAGCTCATCGAAGAGCGCTGTTGTGCCGACACAGAGAAGCCATGTTCAAGACATCGTCAAGGGCATCATCGAAGGCGAGACACGTGTCATCGTCTCGTCAATGACCATGGAAGAGATCTTCAAAGAGCGACAGATCTTCAAGGAAAAAGTGAGTCGACATGTCCGTCTCCGCAGAAGCAGCTCTAACAAATCCAGGTCATCCAAAATGTCCAACACGAGTTGGCTCAATTCGGTCTGCGAATCTACAATGCCAACGTAAAAGAGCTTCAAGACACTCCGGGTAGCGAATACTTCGCCTTCCTTAGCCGAAAGGCACATGAAGGTGCCAGCAACCAAGCCAGGATTGATGTCGCTGAGGCTCGCATGAGGGGTGAAGTTGGTGAAGCATCAAAGCGTGGCCAGACGAAGCAGGAAATCTCCAAGATTGATGCTGAGACTGCCGTTCTCGAGACGAAGCGAAAGTCTGAGAAGGCCCAAGCTGACGCCGAGCTCACCAACCGACAGACCGAACTCAACATGGGCATTAAGATGGCACAGATCAAAGCCACACGTGCAGCAGAAGCCCGTGACGCCGAACTTCAAAAGGATGTCGAGCTGAAGAAAGCGCAGACCGAACTTGAACGCCTGCGAGCTAAAGATCTGGTCAGATCGAAGATCGCTCGAGAGACCGCCGAGCAAGACGCCGATGCTGCATTTTACAAGTCGAATCGTGTCGCCGATGGCAAAGCTTATGCCGAGCGTCAGGAGGCAGAGGCTCAATTCTTCAAGACGGAACAGGCCACCAAGGCCAGCGCTTCTCGACTCATGCAGGAGGCCGATGCGGTCTACCACCAGAAGATGCGTGAGGCTGAGGCACTCAAGGCTCAGGCTGCGGCGCTCAAGGCTCAAGTCGATGCACTGGGCGGACCTCAGATGTTCCTCCAGTACCAGATGATCCAGCATAACATTCATGAGAAGCTGGCTCTGGCCAACGCTCGAGCCATTCAGGGCCTCAACCCGAAATTCACTATCTGGAATACGGGTTCATCTGGTGGCGACGGTGCTGGAGCCGACCCAATGGGCAGCATTCGGAACATCATGCAGAATTTGCCGCCACTTCTGACCACGATCAACGAGCAGACTGGCATCCAGCCTCCCAATTGGTGAGCACCTCGCTGAGTGGCCCTTGAAGAAGATACTGACCGAGTCCCCTAGGATGATCCAGATGCCGCCTGGCCAGCACCAAGAATACCAGCAACAGCTCGCGAAAGAGGCCAAACTGGGCAACGGTCACGCCAGGAAGGAGAGCTTCACCGGCTGGGACGCGAAGCAGGCTGGCTCTACGTCCGGGTCTAAGTGAAACGGACCAGGTGAAAGCATCTGCTACCTGCCAGCAGGATGCTGAGGCGAGCCGTGGAGTGTAATTTACCACGGTGAGAGTTGCACTCGTTGTGTTTGCGGCAGAATTATCGATACCCAGTGGAAGTTGTTTTGTGGAGGAAGGCCAGGTTATCCGTAGTTGTGTAATTCGAGTCATTGTTCTCCTTGTGGTGCAAGAAGGCGCAGACGTGGCTGACATTCCTGTTCAGATTGCTCGCCATCGCGCCAAGTGTGATGTCAGGTATCTCACTCACGATGTGTCCATCTCATCAGCCGGAGGCAGCACACTCATCTCGGGTACTTCGAGTAATGCTCCGCTGCCGCCAGCACCCATCCGTGGTGTTCCCATCATCGGCGTGCCGACATTACTCCTCCCCACCTCCGGCAAAGGCGTTGCTCCGCCATTGTCATCCTCACCGGGCCTAGGGGTCCCGATGTTGCTCCGCGGCATACCGCCATCGTCATCCACCTCATCTTCTCCATCCTCCTCGGCCTCACCCTCCGCCCCAGGCTCCTTCTCACCCCGAATCTGCCGCCTCAACCGCATCGCCTCCCCAACCACAACATCCAACTGACTCCGCCGCTCCGCCCACACCGTCCCCAACTCTCCACCTTCCCGCTCCAACTCCTCAATCTCCCCCTTCAACCGCTCTATCCCCACATGCTGTTCTCCTCGTTCCCTTAACCTCCTATCCCCGGTGACTTTATCCGCTAGGACATCCCACTCTTTCCGCTTCGCCAACGTCTGCTGCGCTGTTTCGAGCTGTGTGCGCAAATGGGAGATCTCGGAGCGAACACTGTCGGCTTTGTCGCTGATGGCGAGCGTTTCGGAATGGTAGCGGGCGCGCTCGGTGGTGTTGGCTGAGTGGAGGAGGTGGATGCGTTGGATTGTGGAGCGGGTGAAGAGGGAGAATTCGTTGAGGAGGGTTGCGCGGTGTTTGGGGAGGGTGGAGAGGATTTGGGATATGGATTCTCGGTTGCTGGGTGTTGTGGTGGTGGTGGTGGTGGTTTCGGTGAGGACTTCTGGCTCGCCGGTCTCGTCTGCGTTGGTGTTGTTATCTTCTATGGTGGTGGGCGCACGTAGGCGGAGGAATTCTTGATATGGTGTTTTGGGACCGAGAAGCTTGCCGGTCAGGCGTGTGAAGGCGCGGTATTCGATGGGGAGGAGGCGTGTCGCGTGGAGCTTGTCCTCTTCGGCTGGGTCGAGGAGGGTGAATGCCGCCATGGCTGATACTGTAGGACGTTGATTGGGAGACGGGAGGGAAGAGGGTCAGAATATGTTTGCGGCAGAAGTAAACTTGAATTCAGATATCCATCACTTTAGGCGAAAGGTGCAGCTGCAGCGGGCCCTAAACTTGAATGGCTCTAGGCATGCCGCTCCCCCACATTGCCGGGACCAGAGGCCGAAGCTTCACTCGACATCATTGCATTCGCCTTGTTGATCTACACTACAATGTGATCCGCGATATGATCAAGGTGACTATCGATCTACATCGAGCGCGAAGATTTGATCTACATAAGGACGCACCCGTTCCGACAGTCCACTATGTTCTTTGTCTGATCAGCCACAAGATCAGCCCTCACACCTCACCTCACCTCTCTCACCAAAATCACCACCACCACGTCCTTAATCTACCATCACAATGCCAGGCCCGGACTCCCTCCTCGCCATAGCCCAGCGCTCTGCCGCCCGCCACGCGTCCGGCATCACCTCCCTCGGCGACCTGCCCCCCAACCTCGTCCTCCCCATCCTCGCCAAAGTCCCCACCCCACAACAACTCGCGCTCATCGAGTCCTCCTCCCCGCAGATCATCGGCCACACCGACGCCTCTGGGTAGCGTTCATGGAGAAGAACATCCCCAAGTTCTCCAAGGCTAAACCTCATCGGCCCAGTGATCCGAAGAACTGGTATCGGGTGTATAAAAAGCTAAAGAAGCAGGCGGATGCGGAGGAACGGGAGGCCGCGGGGAGGCTGGCGGCGGCCTACCAGGGTATCAATACGACGAGGGAGCAGAATCTGACGAAGGTGACGAATGTGCATCAGATGCCGGCGAGGAGAGTCGTGCGGTCTAGTGCGGTGAATAGGGCGGGTTGGGGACCCAGCTCGAAGGGGTTGAGCCCGGCGGAGAAGATCAAGCGGCAGGTCAATGATGCGGCAAGAGCGAAGATGTTGAGGGAGAGGAATCTGGCAAAGTTGAACGGGCAGCAGAGCGCGGGGACGAGTGCGTATAAGAATCCGGCGAAGGTCAGTGTGGCGCCGAGGAGCATGGTGGAGGAGATCAAGAAATCAAGGATGAGTCCGCCGCCGCCAATGACGGTGAGGATCCCTGTCAGAAGGGGCAGCTCTGTCACTGCAGCGTCTTCTGCCGTCGATCAGAGCCAGAGGACGACGCCACGGCCAGGGAACGGGTACGACATGACACAAGACCGCGAAGCACGCTTGAGGGCAATGCAGAACCGGCGGCCGGGTGATGCCCTACCGCCAATCACGCAATCAAATCCAGCACCCTCCAGCACTAGCAATAACCTCTCACTCGAATTCCTCGAAGACGAAGACCTCTTTTCCTCCAGCGAGGACGATGGTGACGATATTGAGGTTCCAACAATCACAGCGAAGCCGGACAGGAGCAGTCCTCGTCCGACACCAGTGCCAGCCACAGCATTGCATCCGGCACGACCAGCTGCTGCGCCGATATTGCAGCAGAAACGGAAAGCACCGCCAGCGTTGTTTATGGCTTCTTCGTCGCCAGCGAAGAGGGTGAAGGGGAATGTTTAGCTAGGTAGTTAGCTGACACGATGGTGAAATCACATTCACAAAAGCACTCGTTCTGTAGACTGGGACGATGTCGTTTCGAATACGTAATGGTCGGTCATTTGAGGAAAGTATCTCGATCTGATCTCGACTGTCTAGTGAATTGACCCGAAAAACTCCTTACCTGGTGGTAGCAGATCCCGTTGTATTGCGCGATGCGCACTATGAGACGTTCAAGCTCCCAATCATCACCTGCGACGAAAGGCCATGAACGCATTGAGAGGACGCTTCTTGTGGTTGACGGACTGGACTTGGCGAGATCGTGAGCGCGAGAGGTCGTCTTCCAACACCGCCAGCAAGCACAGGGGCTTGAGTGACGGGCTTAGAAGTCTGAGATGGAGACGGTGATGCAGCGGTGATGGAGTTGATGCTTTCGGGAGAGCTTGTCGCAGCCAGAACGAAGTCCTCCTCGAAGCTTCTGGATCTTCGAATCATTTACGCCTTAAACACTCCAACGCCAAATGTTCTGTGTGATGCATGCCCAACCCAACAGGTCCTCCTGCGCTAGTCGGTCAATCGGGATCTCATGTGTCGCTCGTGCTGAAAACATGTTCGTCTTTGGCTGAGCTTCTGATTCCGAGACCCGTAGTGCTGGGACACATGAATGTCGTATCCTTACCACGGGCCGTCGCGAAGGAGACGATAGCCGTTGAATAAACGGACCTGTTGCTCTCAGTTCGTCTTTTGCGGGCTTAGCAGCCTCCTCTGAGCGCAAGTACCAAGTGCAGGGTGTTTCCGCCTTCCAGCTGGTAGTCCGAGGCAGTCTTGTCATCAGCCCTGCGAATCATCACCATGTCAGCTTTGTCTCAATGCAGTGCCATCGTTCTCTGCATCTCTGCACGTCTGCTTCGAATGGTCGAGATCGGTCGAAGGAAATCCGGCGACCTGATCTGCTGCTTGCGGAGACTCACATCTGCTTTCCTCCGTAGATCAGACGTTGTTGGACAGGAGGGATGCCTTCCTTTTCCTCGACACGTTCCTTGATTCGTGAGACCTGTGTTGGGAAAGAACATATGTCAGCAACGCTTCAGCACATAGCATTCTCGACTGTGATACCAGCGCTGAGATGCTGGCAACAATTTTCACCAGCGGCTTACCTTGTAGTCTGGCTCAATGTCTAACTCTATCTCTTTGCCCGTGAGGGTGCGGACTTTGATGAGCATTGCGGCGTTTGAACGTTGACGCGAAGCGGGCGGCAATAGGAGAGATGAGAGTCGAGTAAGGAAAGGTAAGGGAGCTCAATTGTCAGACAGGCGAGCAATGGTAATGATTTAGCAGTGATGGTGAACAATTAATAAGGATAGATGTCATGATGGAGAAGGCAGCCAGTACCGCGGCCCCGCAGCAGGCGCGAAGGAGGGATGGCCTTGGCGTCGGGGGTAGTAGCCTTGTTACAAAGGGCATATCACTTTAGCACGTGCAGCGCATATGCGATTTTGTAAACTACTCAGTGAAGGTCAGATAGAGCCGAGTTGGTATCAAAAGGTTTAGCTCGAAAGAATAGAGGATCATCGGATACTTCGACCAGAACTCGGGTGAGCACCATCAACCAATGTACAAATTCGCAGTGGACAAAAAGACCATGAACATCGAATTGAGCATCATCTCACTTGTCGTGATAGCCTTTCCCCAAATATATCGTCTCTCCGCCACCATACCACAGTGTACCCTTGCGGAAGTCCAGACCCTTCTCTGCACCGACAACGAACTCCCCGCCAGGCATTATTCCTGCTCCATGATCTGCACGGGGATCTGGCCAGTACTCCGCCTCCAACCACTTGTTGATCAGCTCGATCTCACGGATCCAATGCTTGCGCTTCTTGATGTCCAGAGATACATTGCCATCAAGAGGATCGCCACCGAACGGATTTGGCGTGTTGAATCGTGCGATAGTCAGGTGAGCTGAAGGCACCACGTATCGAGATCCGACTTCGACGCCCGCCTTCGAAATCAGATCGTAGAGATCCCGCCGAAGGTGATGGTACGTGTACGAATCGTCCTCAGCTTTCCGGTGCCGACCAGGACTTTCACCTGCTGCTGGAACAAAGCTTAGTGCAAGTGCTGCAGAGTCGTACGAGACCATGGGCTTGATGAGCCGAGCGTGATGTTCGGACGGGTAGTCTGCGATCATCTTGTGGGCCGGCTCGAGCGTCTTGACGAGTTGGTCGATCTCCTCGGCTGTCTTCGAATGTGTGACTTCCATAGCCGTAATGTGCAAATTGTCGACTGGCATCAGCCAAATGTCTGGTGCTGCGTCCTTGAGCTTTTGCTGGATTACTTTGACCATGTTCTTGACCTTCTGTGGAGGGCGACCCCAAAAGACCTGTGTGGTTTTAGTCTGTGAGCGTACATTGAAGGGGCAGATACCGGAGATCGACGTACCAGGCAGTTTCGTGGATCAACATATTCACAGTTCTTCTGCGGTCCGTCGAGTTGAACCAGGCAGTCATCCAACACCCAGCCTGTGAACTCATCTGACAATATCTTTGCTTTCTGCTGTTCATTCCGTGTTTGGCGATGTAACGAATATCGCTCTTGGAGCTTTTGCTAGAATCTTGTCAGTAGTGCGACGACTCTTTGTGAGCTGAGCGCACTGGATTATTACTTGTTGCCTGTATCAGGCCGTCATACGGATTGCTTGTCACAGGTGTGGCGGTCCCGGACAGATCTTCGATCGCAACCTTAGCCATTGAGAAGAGCTTGGACTCGCGTGCACAGAAATCGACAGAAAATCACAAATAGCGAACGTCGAAAGAGAGCCACGACAGCTGCTCTACCCACCTCGTCGGTCTTCACTCATCGCAACATCCACAAATCATTGACACAAGCCGAGTGCTTCCCAGAGAGGTTGTTGCCAGAATAGGTTGAGCTCAATCGAGAGTCAGGAGCTACTCAGATTCGCAACCAGCTGACTCAGCATTTCACGTGACCCAGAAGAGCCCCGCCGAATTTTGTGTGTGGCTTGGCATCGACCTGCGCTTTCGCAAGACTGCACTCGTCCACGACTTGCCGACGCTTTCAATAAGACTACAGCTCAACCGAACACCGACCACTCAGTCAAAATGGTAAGAAACAGCCCTATTTCTGCAAGCTTGCGGTACATTTCGGCAGCTCTTCGATGATGGTGACGGCACGAATGGTCGATGATGTCGGCGAAATGAAGCAATGGCAATGGTCGCGACGAAGGCGACCGTGGAGCTGCAACGAATATCCAGCAAAAGGCCGCGTCGACTCTGCGCGACCCGAGTCGTTCATCTGAAGAGCTGTCGCAGTCTCACAGTCCATCCTCGAATGCGAACGAATCCCTCTCGAAAAGTATCAAATGTACTAACACAATTCTCCCATCAGGTCAACGTTCCCAAAACCCGCCGCACCTACTGCAAGGGCAAGACCTGCAAGAAGCACACACAACACAAAGTCACCCAATACAAAGCCGGCAAGGTAAACACTCCCGCCCCTGTCCCCATGCCCGTTGCACCTAAGGTTGCCACTCACACGACGTCCAGGCCTCTCTCTTCGCCCAAGGAAAGCGCCGATACGACCGCAAGCAGTCCGGATACGGTGGTCAAACAAAACCCGTCTTCCACAAGAAAGCCAAGACCACGAAGAAGGTCGTCCTGAGACTCGAGTGCACACAATGCAAGACAAAGGCACAGTTGAGCTTGAAGCGGTGCAAGCACTTTGAGTTGGGCGGTGACAAGAAGACGAAGGGTGCTGCGCTTGTCTTTTAAGTTTTCGCAATCACGATGGGGGCGTGCTGTGGTCATGGGCCGGCGGCTTGTGGACGTTTCGCAGAGATGGGAAGTGACAAGTGTCGTGAGAACCTCCGATCAGCGCTTTTGTGGTGTTGACATCAGTGGGCGATATTGGGTCTTCACAAGCATTATGCAACGGCGGGATGCGGATTCGAGGCAGCGAGTGTACCAAGATTCGAGACATATTGAGAATCTGAACATCACAAACATCCACGCACTATCGTCCGCGGCGACGCGAGATCAATCACAAATAGATCGGGCTTTCGACATCCTCCCGACCTGAAGTATCCAAAGCTATTGCAGTGCACTTTCCGAGATCAATCAAAGTCACGGTCTAGAGGACATTTCGACCAACTGTGCCAATCCTTACAGTCATTTGGCGGTATACGTCGAATACTTTGACTTCCCCATCGTGATCATTCCGTTTCGCAACGATGTGTCTACAGCCACCTGGGCAGGCACGCTTGCGGCTTGCTCTTGCTCGTTGACATATCCTGCTGTTTACTGGAAGTAGCACTTGCCTCGCTCTCGGATACATGATGTCACCTCTTCCGCCTTCATGAAATATTGGTTTCTTACATCGTTTCCTTGCCTCGCTCATCACGAGCATGAGAATACGTGAGAACTCTCGAATCTTCGTCTACGTGCCAAGCGCTTCCGTTCTTGGACTCCAAGACACCACAGCCCGAGCCCGGAGCGAACAGGGCTGAGCTGACCATCTGCCACCCCCAAACCCAGCAGTGCAACGCGCCTTGCGGTTGGGCACGGTCTCGGACCGACACGAGCAGGTCACCCAACAACCCTGTCGAAATGTCCTTCCCCAGACTTGCAAAGACTCAGCTGAGTAGCTGTCATCGCACGGCGTTCCGATCCATGATGGTTCAGGGTCAATACTTCCCCTCACACCACCATATACGAACACTTCAATTACGACCCTTGCACTCTTCTCAGCTCGCTAATAGGCGAAAGGATGCTTTGGTCCTTGACAGCCAGCCAGCCCAGTCCGTGCATTGCCCAGAACACGAAGGATGCCTCGTGTGTACAGGCAAGCCATCCACGGAGTAGCTGAAACAATGCTGCTGGCCTCACAGGCTCACGGTCTCGTGGTCTGTGGCGATTCCTTTGTTATAGGCAGGATGATCGCTCACGATGACTCCTGCTAGCCTTACTGTTCAGATTTCTGATTACCGGAGGAAGTATATGAAGTCGCGTCTGACCTTCCACTTCGCCATACATGAGATTCTTCTTCGTCAGGAACATTTCGAGAGCCATGTCGTCGACCACTGACGGTATTGCTAACGGCGCTGCCTCTAACATTGTCAGGGAAAGGAAGAGGCTCATCGTGCTTTGTGATGGTATGAAACACCACAGATTCTCACCACTTGTCTGTCACCTCACGAGATCGAAGGACTGATCCCTTCGTAGGCACCTGGGTGGACAGCAACAGCATCGACAAAGTCAAATACCCTACCAACGTGACCCGTTTCGCCCGCTGCATCAAAGCCAAAGACATCTACACCGACCCTCACGGCCACGCCCACGAGTTACCTCAAATCGTCTACTACTTGCCCGGCGTGGGCAGCGTCAGCGGCACTTCCCTTCGTGGTGGTACGTTCTCCATCCCATCCCCATGATCCTTAGATCCTGCAAGCACTAACAGATCCTGACCACAGGCCTCTATGGCTCCGGCGTCTCAGCCACAGTTCGCTCCGCCTATGCCTTCCTCGCTCACAACTACGACATAGGCGACGAGATTTTCTTCTTTGGATTTTCCCGCGGCGCCTACATCGCGCGCTCCATCGCTGGCCTCGTCACCTCGCTCGGCTTACTCACCAAGAAGGGCATGGATCATTTCCCCTTGGTGTACCAACGCTACTATGACCATGAAGCGCACACCACCACTCAAGGTCCCGAGAGTAAGTCTTTCGAGGTCGCTCACGCTGACTTCGTGGATGGTTTGAAACAGAAGGGCTTGCTGGCGCAGACTGCAAGGGACGCAGTAAGATCGTAGGCGTGTGGGACACAGTCGGCTTCCATGCTGCGGGACTCTTCGAGGAAAAGATCGAGTTTCGAAACTGCGAGTTGAGTCCACGGGTTGAGAGCGCGTATCATGCGCTCGCACTCGACGAGCGTAGGGAGCCCTTCCGGCCGACGGTATGGCGCGTGCCCAGCAAGGAAAGCATCGACGCCGCCTTCCCTCCAGCGAAGGGTGGCAGGCCATTTGTCCAGGACATGCAGCAAGTGTGGTTCTCGGGCCGCCACAGCGATATCGGTGGCGGGCTGGACGATCCGAGACTCAGCGATATAACGCTGGCGTGGATGATCGCGCAGTGTGCTAAGAAAGGCAAACTCGCTTTCACAGACCTGGACACCCCAGATGACTACCTGATCGACAGCGCTAAAACGCCGAAAGCGCTCACCGACGAAGAAGCCGTCCCTTGGGCAACGGCACAAGGCCAAGCGAACGAACCACCGTGGTATGAGAAAGCGTACCGCGCCTTCATCAGCGCAGATCGGAAGCCGCTTATATACATGGATGAAGAACGTCGGGATGTTGAGGCGGATCAAGCTACCACCAACGAGTACATACACAGAAGCATCAGGGATAGGAATCTTGATGGGAAGGGGAAAGGCGAGGTGTGGAAGGCAAATGCACTCGCTGGGGGAAAGCTTGATGGGGAGGGGAGGTATCTGCTTGCGAGAGATACGCGCAAGGGGCTTCCGATGGCGCCGAAGGTGGAGAGAGATGTTGTGGGTGCGGACGGGAAGGTTGAGAAGCAGGATGTTGAGGCGTATTTTAGGGGGAGGGTGGTTAAGATCATGAGTGCTGATGCGGGCAGTGAGTCCATCAGTGAGATTGCAAGCGAGGTAGAGAATATGAGGATGGAATAAGGACTGCCTTTTGCCGCTGCAGTTGAGCGCAACTACTTGGTAGTACTGGCAGTTGAGATTGAATGATTGGCAAAAGTTGAGGTGAGCGTTGAATAAGTCGAAGAGGTCCTTAGTCGAAGTGGATGACGACGAGAAGTTTTACCTATGGACTGTCTACATGTACCGGTCTCCAAACTCTTCCCTGAGCGCGTCTGCGAGACCCTGGACACCCTTCTCGAATTGCTGTTCGTCCGCTGCCGCGTATGTCAGCCGAATATGAAGCGACAGATCAAGCTTAGGCATCGTATCGAAGAGTGACCCTACCGTACACTGCGTCCCATTTCGCAGAGCGCTTGCGTAGACTCTGCCCTCGATTTCCGCCAGCTGGGTCCTTTTCCGCTCGAGCATAGCAGTTGCGTCGGTAGCAGATTCGGTGCCTAGAGGACACCCAAAGGTCGAATGCTTGCCCAAATCAATCGCCACCCAGAGAAACATCCCACATTGCGGGACAGTCCAACTGCACAAGTCCCTGGGAAGATATCTCTCGCATGCGTCGACAAGAGCATTGAGTCGCCTCTTGTACCGACGTGAAAGCCAATCCAGCCAGCAGAAGAATCCAACATGACCCCAAGTCTCTTCAAGCAGATGCCACAGCATGAGTTGACTCGGTCCGCTGACAGAGACAGTACTGACTTCCGTGTAGGACGAAAACTTAGCGATGATGTCGGAGCAGGCTGTGATCCATCCAGCTCGCAGTCCCGGAGCGAGGATTTTGGACGTGGAGTCGAGGCGGACGACTCGTCCGCTGTAGTCGATGCTCAGGTATGAGGGCGTGAGCTTGGCGAGGTAGGTTTTCGCGCGCTGAGTATCGTCAGGATCAGCAGCGCTGTCGTGGGTTGGCGAAGCGTCTGTGTCCACGCGCAGGAAGTAGTAAGGGTCATCCTCGATGATCAAAAGGTCGTACTTTTCTGCTAAGGTATAAATAGCCCGTTTTCGCGCCAGAGTCTGCGTAGCACCAGTTGGATTCTGGCCGGATGGAATGGTGTAGAGAACCGAAGGTCGCGGACCATCGGTTGTAACGTTCCAGCTTTGTAGAGCGCTCTCGAGCTCGTCGGGAATGATGCCGCCAGCATCCATACTGATACCCCTAAGCTTCACTCCGAGGAGAGCTGCCACTTCGATGGTTCCAGGGTAAGTATATCTCTCGGTCAAGATCGTTTCACCTCGATTGCAAAGCATACGCATTAGCATCTCCATCGCTGAAGTACTGCCGCAAGTAACCACGGTTTCCCAGTTGCTGTATGGAGGACTGTGGACGATCTCGACGTGCTCGGTGAAGAAGCGAACCAGAGGTTGAGATCCAGCGGCGTTGCTGTAGTTGAGACCTCTTGCTAGGTCGTATCCTCCTCCGTAGCGAGTGATCGAATCGGGCGGGTGGCGCCGACCCCGACTAATTTGATCTGACCCCGAGCCATCGGCCAAATCGTGACTGGCAGCAGAGGCAGCCGTCGCGTTGGCGATTCCGCAGGATTTTGACTCAGATGCTACGTCGGCGACGTCACTAGTTGATGCCGACGCTGTTCTCGCACGAGGCTGGCTGTTGGCAGGTGTATCTGTGTGAGGGCCAGTAGTCCGAATCGACAACGCTTCCCAAGGATACAGATCTGCGCTCGGTCTGCCTGTGCCAAGCGGAATGAAAGGAAGAGGAACCACTTTGTTCGCGACCTTTTTGAGTGCAGAGCCAGTGAACTCTTGACTTTCCACACTGAAGTGATGGTGCATTGACTTTCCGGCGTTCTGAGACTTACTGTGCGTCGACTTGAAGGACTCCGAGGACACGGAGCCGGCCACCTGTGAAGCGATTGGGACCGAGCTGGCTCGAAGGGCGTCGACGCCGTCGATTGTAAGCCCAGACATGATCCTCAAATTGCCGTCAGCGTATATTCAACCCAAAGAGAGACGCATTGGTCTTTTTAAGCCTGCGTCGTGCCTTTGTACTTTCTCGGAACAACCCATGTGTCTCTCCGAAGCCCTCTCCGCACTCCGAGGATCTGGCCGACTCTCCGAACGCTGTGGGAAAGTTTGCACACGTTTCTGCGCCGTGAGTGACCAGAATCCAGCAGCATAGTGGCAAGTCCAGCACATGTTCAGTCGCTCAAATCCCGCTTCGACTGTTCACCTCGTGATGCAGATCATCATTTTCGAACCCGAGGAATGGCAGGTCGCCCAAATCCTGCCAGAAGCCCATCTCCAGATTCCATGGGTCCGGACTCATGCGAAGCGTTGTATTGGCGCCTTCAGGGTCAGCAGCTTGTCTGTTGCAGTCATCGCTTGCGAGTCGAGGCATCTCAGACTCCCAAGACTCCAAGAAAGCCTGTATGGTACGCCCAGCGGTCGTGAGTAACGCGAAATTTGGTTCTCCGGAGCGAATCACTGTGCCTAGTTGTATCTCGGCCGCCAGAAGAGAGAGGTCGCGACAGACTTGGAAGCTGGGGTGTACGTGATTGCCTTGGGGACTCCAACCCCGCACAGTTGCAAGCAGAATGACACCGGCGGCAGGAAGGCCGTACTGGGCAATCTATCCATCATTTAGCAAGCGTCTCATGCGACGAGTTTGATGTCGTGCCCCCTACCTTCCATACGACACCAGATCCAGCATTAGCCAACTGATCTCGCTGGAGTATGCCCTCAACGACGAGTCCGAGGATCTCCTCAGCAATGCTCAGTAGGTCAGTGCTAGCATTCGTGAGGGACTTCATCTGGACAAAGCCTGCAAGAAACTTGAGATGCAGGTAGTTGAGGCGGACAGAGAGCAAGAAGTCCCGTTCGAACATGGTCCCACGATAGTCCTTCAAGCGAGAGTTGAGGCGGAATTGCGGCGGTAATCTTGACCATAAGTCTTCTGTTGCGTCGATGATGTGCCTGTCGCTAGATCAGCAATTTTTCGACAAAGACGGGGCTTCATGCGTACTTTACCCTGCTGTTGGCGCCACTACGGTCTTCTCCCATCAGGATCTCAAGAATTTCTTCCATTATTGACATACACATGCCCGACCACCGTGCCTCTGCGCGATACGACATTGCTACTCCTACGTCCCATCCTGTTGCAGGTGATAGATCCGCTGTATTGGCTGCTTCCGAATCCCAATCGGAATGGCATGATGGCAATTGCAATGAAACCGTTCGCTTACTTATCCTTGGCGGCCTCCCCAGGAATATCGCAAAACTCTTATCGCTGTTGTAGATTCGTGCAAATGCCGATCGCCGCAGTTCGACCAGGAAGTTTGGGACATCCGGTTTGTCGTCAATCCTTTCGTGATAGCCAAGGGCAGATACAGATGCGATCACATCGCCAAGGTAGCGCCAGGATCGGAGACCTGTATGAGATGAGGGTAAGATCAGGACGGTGGACTTCGTGACCTACTTTGATCTCCCGAGACATTCGAATGAACATGGAAATGCTCCCATTGCAAGATCAGCTGCAGATCGTTCAGACAGTCCAAGTCCAGGCACAAATTCACAACAGCATCGCACAGTCTCGTCGCCAGCCGACGCAGGGTGTACCGTGCTTCATCACTTGAGTAAAGAGGCGGAAACAGAGGTACAGCTATCGTCGCACCGACGCTGGCACAAAGGAAGAGCCCCAATGCCTCAAGTCGCACATTGGTACCGCAGATCTGCGCTGCAAAGTCCTGAAGAGTGGAACTGCTCGACATCTGTAAGGGACGCCGAGAGTTGTCCAGTAGACGTTCTATAAGTTCTTGTGGGTCAAATGATTGCGGTGGCCAAGTCCTCTGGAGATCCGTCACCGCGTCAAGACATGGTTGCACCAATGGCTCTGCCAAAGCCAGGTTCGCGCCTTTTGCGCGCCAGAAGTCCACGAGCGCTCTGAGTTCTGTCAGGCTGCTCAACGAGAGCAGTTTGCGCAAATCTGCTGCAGCCTGATAGACGAGATAGTTGGCATTAAAGCGGATTGTGCGCGAGTCTGATCCGATCGGCGGTGGTGAAGCTCTTGCCGCCGGATCAATATTAGGCAAAACCGCGTTCACAGACCGAAGCTCATCGAAGATTGTTGCGTGACTGGATGCGCCTTGATGACCTGGATTCGGGTAGAGGTTGTAGTGAGTGTCTTCGTGGGTAGGATGCTGTTGTGGTGGGGTGAGACTTCGCTGAGATCTTTGAATGTGTGTACGTGAAGGTCTTGGTTGATGCACGGAAGAAGATATTTGAGTGGGTGTAGATTGAGAAGGGGCCGCCTCACGTTTCCTCTTTGCAAATGGCGAAGCTCGATAATTGCAGAGAGACTCTCTTTCGTACTTACGGCAACGTGTGCAGGTGGGGTGTTTATGATCACAAGCAACCTTCGCCTTCCGGCAGGGGTCACAGGCTGGCTCCCTGGATCCCATGATGTTGGTCGTAGAGCCGATGCATGTAGCAAGGTGTGAAATTGTCTGATGACAAGAGCTCTTGGGTGGTGGTTTCCAATTCCGGAGTATCGGAGAATCGGAGTGTCTACCAGCGCCAAGCCCTGAGAAAGTCAAAGTAGCTGCAGGTCGCTGCGGATTAGGTATTCACGAAGAGTACATCAATCCAGCACACCACTCTCCTTGAGACCTTGCAAAAGTTCCGCCTCCAAGAATCGCTTCACGTCCACGTCCTCACTCAGACCCTTTCTCCTTCTCGTCTTGAGCACGAAATCTCGTGCCATACCCCTGGCATCTGCCATCTCCAGTGGCCGGGTCTTTTGCATCTTGTCCATCGGATCCCCAGGCACGGTCTCCCAACGCTCGAACACCATCTGGACGCTCGTCGCTCCTTGCGTCTGGATGCGCAGGTCTGTCTCGAAGCCGAAGCTATCTATCACTGGCAGGAGGGCTTTGGCGTGGTAAAGCGGTGTTCCAGCCACGGGGCCATCGGATACGACGTGCCCGCGGCGCTTCGTGAGCACATTGTAGAGCACGGATACGGAATCGGTCGGGCCTGTGACTGAGACGGAGTACACTGGTTCCATGAGGCGAGGCTGTGCCATTAGAAAGCTGCTGTAGACGGCACGGCGGGCGGTAGGAATGATTTGCCCGCCACCGCGATAGATTGGCTCACTGGCAAGATCCGCACTCGTGACGCGGAATTTGGCATTACGAATCGGCTCTTCGCACAAGGGGCCCTCGCGGGTGCCCCAGCTGAATCCCTGCTTGATGCTCTCTTGGACAGACTTGAGGAGTTTCTTGTCGGTTGTGGAAGGTAGAGTGTCGTCGCAGAGGATGTTTGGCGACATTTCTTCTGGCCCAAAAGCCCAAATCGAACGTGCCGCGAGCTTGTCCCAGTCATATTGTTCTTCGAAGAACTTGGCGACCTGCCGTATCGGAGAGCGGATTTTGACAACGCCAGACTCGATGGCTTGGGCGATGCCGTCGTCCAGGGGTTCGGAGATCATAGTGATTTTATTCTTCTTGTTCGGCGTGAGTGCGTAGCACATGATTGCGCTGGTCTCTGTGACGGTTTCGCAGAAGCGGGTGACTGGATCGGACACCTTGATGTCCATTTCGGCGTAGAGTGTACGCAGGTCGTGCAGAACGCAGTCCATATAGAGCTCGCCTGTACCAAGGACGATATGCTCGCCGCTTTCTTCGACTTTGGTGGTGACCAAAGGGTACGATTTGTTTATTTGTCGCAGACCTGCCAGCATCTTGGGGAGCTCGGACGGGTTGACTGGCTCGACGGCGATCTTGAAGACTGATTCCGTGTAGTGTCGGATCGGCGTGAAGATGTATGGTTCTTCGACATTGGGAGACACTACTGTTGCCGTTTTCGATATCGAATTGTCGATGCCGGATAGGAGGACCAAGTTGCCAGCTGGAACACCTGAGACTGGTATGTTGTACCGACTACATGCTAAGTGGACGGCTGTGATGGTAGCGTTCGCTGCATCCTCCTCATCATCGAGACTGAACGACTCGCCCAAGACGCGTACCGGCATGTCTGACGTGGCGGTCCCTGACAGGATACGACCAAAAGCATTGAAATTCTTCACATCTGAATCAGTAAACAGCTTCGTGATCTCAACGATAAGTGGGCCGTCAGCATCACACTTCAGCATAGCTTCCACTGCTGGCGAGTCCTGATTGTGAGGACCTGTGTAGTATTTCTCGACTTGCCGTTGGTTGCCCTCGACAGGTGATGGAATATGTGTTGTGACCATGTCAACAAAGCCGTTAGCCGGTCCGAAGAATCGGGCGCAAACAAGCTTGAGTAATACTTTCGCGTCGGACTTCAGCTGAGCTGGCTTCAGAGAAATGTTCAATGACGCTAGTGTCGAGGCCAGGTCCTGAGGTGACTCGCTGATCGTGTGTGAGTACAGCTTGTAGATCGGCTCAAGCACAAAATGCACAAACGCTCTCCGTGCGCCCTCCTCGACCGCTTTCCTCGTGAATTTCCGGCTACCGGGATTGAAGAAGATGTCGCCCCAAAGTCTGCGACCAAATTCGTAGGCATCGACCTTGGCGAATGTGTCGGCATACATCTTCGCGAATGAGGGTAGAGTGAATATCCAGTCCATCTCTGAACACGCAAAAGCAACGTTGCCCTTCTCTGGTGATAATCTCCTCTGCTCGCCTTGCCCGGGCATGGTGTTTTCGATGATTGTGTTGACTTCCTCCACCACATGCTTCAACTTGAAGTACGCGTCGGCTGGTGGCAGCTTTAATTCCAGGATCAAGCGATCCATTTTGTTGATCACCAAGACCATAGGCAGATCCTCTAACACGGCATGTTTGATCGCCTGCTCAGCACCGACTTGCACACCTTCCACAACATCGACCACAAGCACAACACCGTCGACTAGTCGCAGACTCGAGGCCACTTCGTCCACAAAATTGATATGTCCTGGAGTATCGATGATGTTGAGCAGATGTGATTTGCCTTTTGTTCCTTGCATGACCAGACTTATGGGCGCGCTCTTTATGCTGACGCCTCTTTCCCGTTCCAAGAAGTGGGTGTCGGTGTACCGCAACTGCTCGTCCCTCTTCTTCCCGACCTTTCTGTCCATCCTTTCCTGCAAGTCGTGTGTCTGCATGACCAACATATCCACAAAAGCAGTCTTACCGTGGTGTAAATGCCCTGCGATCGCAATATTCCTTATACCTTCTGGGAAGCTCAGTAGATCACTCATGAACTCTCTCGAGTAGTAAACTGGTGGCAGATCTGCCTCCTGCACCTGGAACTTCTTTTGCGCGACAGGCGCTATTATGGGCACAGACAGTGGTTGTGCATCTTCCTCCTGTACCATAGTCTCGACATCCTCGCCATAGACTTGCTGCGCGGTCGGGTAGTATTGCTTGTCTTCGTGAAGCACGACTGCGTTCGACATAGGCTGCTCGTCAACGTCCATGTCCCCGTTTGTCGCCGCTGGCTCTTCGGCGCCATCTGAGTCCTCGTTGTAGACATACTGCTGGCCCACCGCGTCGCCATCTTGGAGGCCTTCTTCCTCGTCGGAGGCGACTTCGCCGATGAAGTTTCCGAACTCGTCGTAGAGGTCATCCATGTCGTACTCGTGGGTCTTTCACGCACACAATGAGTGCAGACAGTTGTTCGTAGATTTGAACACCGGAATTCTTTCTTGGACCCCAAATTTGCGGAGCCTCGTCGGCTTGTCGCAAGGCTGTGTTGCTCGAGGGGATGCCATGAGCGAGACATTTTTGACTTCATCACTCCTTCTCACGAGAGGCCAAGTTATCGACCCTGCTAGTGACAATTTCTAGTCGGACACTATGACCTCGCAGTAATGGTTTCCCGAGTGCAGGTCCACAGTGTCCAGGCGCGAAGAAGCGGCAAGTCCATCTGCCAAGCGCACAGGCGTCCCACTGCTGCAGAGGGCATGTCTATATGCACCCAACACAAACCTACGCCATGACATCTTTGACATGTTTGCCGCACAAGGTCAGGTTTCAGAGCGCTCGAGCTGCCATGCTCGCGTTCCATTAAATATCGAACTAGATCTGAGTACGCGTTGTGCGAGTCAAGCTCAAAATGCGGGGACTCTCGCCGAGGTACGACGGGATCTCAGTTGGACAAGCAAGCCGAAGACATGTAAAACAGCCATCGCTTTTCATGCCCGGATTTCATCTTGACCTACATACGTTGCAGGGACCAAGCAAACAGACAACGCCCGACACTACTCCAGTCTGAGACTTCCATTGCACTCCGCCATGACGGTCGCAGTTGTTGTGTCCTATCCTTCGGCGGATCCAAAGACCGGAGAGCCCCTTAAGTTCGATATGGACTACTACAAGGCGAAACACATGCCTCTCATTGACAAGGTAAGGTCAGCAGCGTGCTGCGTTTGAGATTGTTGTACCTGTTCTGTCGTTCATGCTTGGTCATCGCCAGTTGAGCGTGTCCTTTGTTCTTGCGCCACTTTCCAAGTCACGAAGAAAGCATGAAGCCCACCATCTCACGTCTAGCAGGTCTGGGGAAAGCACAACATGATCTCCTGGTCCATCAACACCTTCGAGAATCCAGATCCGTTCACAGGTCAACCGGCTCCTTATGGCGTTCAGACCACCATTCTATGGCATAAAATACAGGACTTCAAGGACGCTATGGCAGACGAAGGTAGTAAACTCACGGGAGCAGACGTTGCCAACTTCAGCAACGTCTTCCCTGCGATCTGGACAGGCGGAACAGGAGCAAGTGGTGATCGGCAAGGCATCGAGAAGAACATGAAGGATTTCGTGTACGGTCAGGGAGGACTTTGAGGTTGATTGTAATGGAGCTCTGCAGATATTGGCGATCCTGTACTGTGCGCCAGGATGGGAGACCTTTGAGAAATACTGCTCACAAGTTGCAGTTACAAACGTCACCACAGATTCACCTTTCCAGAATTGCGATCGTGTTCGAAGGACTCTACGTGAATATTTTTGCTCGACGAGGGTTCAAGACCTTTCCCTATAGTTGTATACTCTGGACGACTGCCTACGCCGCTTCTACTGGTCAGAGCTGCTTTACGTAGTCGACGCGGCGAACTCATTGTCTCTGGAAATGGATTCAGGTAGCAGACGGGTCAAGCACGATCAACATAGTATGGGCAGGTATGTGATACGTCAGCCGGTCTGTAAATCAATCGGTCATCCGGTCTCGATTGAGGCTTCAGGTCATCCGGCTTCAGCTGATGCGGACTATTAAGCTTTGTACCTGCATGATGCCACCCGCGGAGCGGGGTCCCGAACACCAAAAAAGTTGGGAAAGAGCAGGAGCAAGAGCAACCTGCGGTGAGCACGAGGTCGATAGTGCTGCGGTGTCTTGTTTACTCAACAAATCCGTTCACTGTCCCTTCTATATCCTGCCCATCTTCCTCTTCGATATTGAGCAACCTGTTCTTCATACCTCACGTTGTTCTGAGTAGCCAAAAGTCCCGTTTCCCCGCAATTATGGCCACCAACGGCGAGAAGAACGGCGTGAGCGGCGAGAGACCTCGCATGCCGCCAGTCTATATTGTCGCTGCTGCTCGAACGCCGGTTGGCATGTTTCTGGGGTCACTTTCGTCGCTCACTGCTCCTCAACTCGGAGCGCATGCCATAAAATGTGAGTGTGGCAGCTGGCATTCCCCAACATTGAAACTGATCTTGTGGACAGCTGCTTTAGAAAGAGTACCAGAGATCAAGCCCTCAGACGTGCAAGAGGTCTTCTTCGGCAATGTCTTGTCCGCAAAGTGAGCTCCGACTCCTTCGGGAACGCCCAGTCCGTACTGACACACTGCAGCGTGGGCCAAAACCCTGCACGTCAATGCGCCCTGGGTGCCGGCCTCGAGAACACCACCGTCTGCACCACCGTGAACAAGGTTTGCGCCTCCGGCGTCAAAGCCATCATACTCGGTGCCCAGACCATCATGACCGGCAATGCGGACATCATCGTTGCAGGTGGCGCCGAGTCAATGTCCAACGCACCCCACTACCTTCCCACCATGCGAACCGGCGCCAAGTTCGGCAATCAGACTCTCGTTGACGGCGTTCTGCGTGACGGCCTGTCAGATGCCTACGGCAAGCAAGAGCACATGGGTCTCCAGGGAGAGGAATGTGCGTCAGATCACGGCTTCAATCGGGAGCAGCAGGACGAGTTTGCAATTCAGTCGTACCAGCGAGCACAGGCTGCACAGAAGCAAGGACTATTCGACTTCGAGATCGCACCCATCGAGATCCCAGGCGCGCGAGGCAAGCCGGGCGTCACGGTGGACAAGGACGACGAGCCCAAGAACCTGAACGTCGACAAGCTCAAATCGATCAAACCCGCTTTCATTCCCAACAATGGCACCGTCACAGCACCCAATGCATCCCCGCTCAGCGACGGCGGCGCCGCGGTCGTACTCGTCTCTGAAGAGAAGCTGCACGAGCTCAAGATCAAGCCTCTGGCCAAGATACTGGGATGGGGCGATGCAGAGCAGCAACCCAGCAAATTCACGACGAGTCCCGCGCTGGCGATCCCGAAGGCACTCAAGCACGCCGGTGTGAAGCAGGAGGACGTGGATGTGTTCGAGATCAACGAGGCCTTCTCCGTGGTAGCCCTCGCAAATATGAAGCTGCTAGGGCTGAAGGACGACAAGGTCAACATCCACGGCGGCGCTGTGGCGATCGGTCATCCCCTAGGTGCCAGTGGTGCGCGAATCGTGACGACGCTGTTGGGCGCGTTGAAAGCGACCAAGGGCAAGGTTGGCGTCGCGGGCATCTGCAATGGCGGCGGAGGCGCTAGTGCGTTGGTGATAGAGAGTCTGCTGTAGGAAAGCACTTACTGCGCGGAACGCCGAGGTGCGGGATGGGGCGCGTGGGCTGGTCTGCTGGATTGATTCGAAGCGAGCATGCGTGTATGCTGTACGATGGTCTGATTGGACTGGCGTGAGACCCTGTTACTGTACAGCTCCTCATAAACACATGCAGATTCAGTTCTCGTCTGTTCTTTGTCGCAATGCTTGTCCTTCTAGGATTTCAATCCTTCAAGCCACCCTTACAACTCCGGCTTCGCCTCTGATCGCAAAGCCTTGCAGCCCGCCCACCTTCCTGGCCCACCTGCTCCCTTGTCGCCCGTCTACTTCCTCCTCGTCCACCTACTTACCCCTCAGCCCCAACTGCCCATCCAACATCCTCTCCACACCCACCAAATCCGGCCCCAACACCGTCTGGCACCACTTCCCCCGATACGCAATGAAGATCGGCGTGTTCTGGATTCCAAACTTGATCATCGGGGCTGTCTCGGGCGTTAGCTCCATCTGGTAGAACTTGACTCGCTCGCCGTCGGCGTATTTGGAGTTGGCGGCGAGGAGCTGGATTTTGGGCGTGGTGCGTCGGCAGATGGGGTTGGCGGAGGAGGTGACGTAGATGAGGACGATGGGGCCGGTGGGCGACAGTCCGGAGGAGTGGGCGAGGGCGGCGGCGTGGGTTTTGGGGGAGGTTATTTGTGGGAGGGTTGGAGGGTATGTTGTCATGGCTGGTCTTGTAGTCGGCGGTGGCTTGGTTTAGTGATGACTTCGGGAACTTACAACGTGAGTGGGATCTCAAGGGCACTCAGGCTCTCTTGGAAGAGGTTGGCAAAATGCCTCCCGAGGCATGCCACATGCGTATCTGCGTCGTGACAGTAAAGTTCAGGATGTCGGCTCGAAGTATATGAGGGGGTGGTTTCGGCCTATCGGAAAGGCATTGAGCTGTTATGAAACCTATACATGTCACTTACTTACCCGAAAATTGCGTAGCCTAGATACTTGGTATTGCTTGGGAATCGACACGTATTCCGCGTGCGCTGTAGTCGACTTGGTGATGAAGGCTATGGTGGGCACGACTAACTCGGAATCTATCTTCGCTTTCGCTAAGTTGCCTCTGCCCGCAGCGCAGCGACAACCTTACGCGCTCCTTCCTCCCCACTCCTCAACGCTCCCTCCATATATCCTCTCCAAGTGCCGACAAATTCTGTACCCACAAGGCATAGGCCCTCTTCCGCAACCAATGGACTGTCTAATCTCCCGTCCTCCATCGCTCCCAAAACTCCCCTGCCCGGGACCGGAACAGGACATCCCCACCCAGCAAGCCCATCGTCTTGCCACTCACTTTCCATTTTGCCCCGAAACTCCTTCTGAACTTTTTCGTAGTCAACCCCAAACAACCGCCCAATCTGCCGCAAAACCTGCTCTTTCCTCCTCTCATCGTCATACTGCAGCCACGTGCGAGCCACGCCCGCCGTGATGAAACCAGTCAGTGCGTATAACCCATCAGCGTCGACTGAGGTATCCCGGCAGTGGTTGAAAGGTCCAGAGAAGGACTGTGCAAGGCCGCAGGACCCGAGGTCGCGCCAGAAGGGCGTGGCGAAAAGAACGATGTACTTCACGGAGACTCCGTAGTGGGTGGAGGAGACGTAGGCCGCGAGGTCACGGGGTAGGATGGTCTGAAGTGAGGGCTGGAAGTTGATGCGTTTGTAAGCTGGGGTGGGAATGGCGAGCATGACCTTGAGGGCGGCATATACTTTCCTCGTGGCGGTACTGACGATCCAGGTCTTGCCATCGTTTGCCTTTGAGACTGAGTGGATGTCGGCATTCAGTTGGAGCGTATCGGGCCCGAGTAGATTCGCCATGTGAGCAGCGATCGCGGATGTGCCTTCGCGGACTCGGAGGTGCTGGCCGCCGTGCTTGCCATCGTAGCGCAGTTGGATCAAGCCACCGGCGCCACGGGCGATCTCGAGGAAGGCGAGAGCAGACACGTCGGCTGCATCTTGGCCAAGAGTGCCACGGCACCAGACGTCGGCAGTCTTCACCGCTAGCGGGGTGGCTTTGTGGGAAAGGCACCACTGTTCGAACGTCATCGAGTCCACGCGTTGACGTTCAGGGGACTTGAATGTATCTGGGTTGAGAGATGCCGCTTCAGCGGTGTCTCGGATGTGAGCAATGCTGGCGCAATCCTCCTGCGAAAACTTGTGTAGATGTCAAGACCGCGACTAGGCTCACATGGTCAGGAAGATGTGCTCACCTGTGGCAGCTCTCCGAATGGGAAGAGATGGCAGTCTCCATCCACGTTCTGACTAGCTACTGAGCCTCCAATGTTCTGCACGATGGTGGTCAGGCCGAATTTCTGGCAGTAGAACCAGACTTGTGATTGATTGCTGTCATTAACCCAAGCGGCGCCCAGCTCTTGGAGACCATCGCCGCCCGCAGCGTTGGGCGCCGACCACGACTTGCCACCAACCCGATTGCGAGCTTCTAGGAGTTTCACTGTGTAGCCTGCGGCCTCAAGGTCCAAAGCAGCTTGGAGACCACTAAAACCTGCGCCAATGATGATCACATCTGTGGGTGTCGGCTGGCTCATGCTGAAAGATCACACCAACTGCTACCAGCGCTATCAGGCTGAGTCGGAGACTGTACACTCCGTCACGAGTTTGTACGCAAAATGTGTTGAGCTGTTGATAAGCGCAGGCGGCCTGCAATCAAGAGATGATTCCAGCAGTTACCTGGCAGCATGTACTTTCGGAGTGAAGATAGCATCAGGGTAATGGGTCGTGACACTGGTGTCCACACGGACATGATCACTTTGTAGTACCCCAGTAGGCATAGAACCGGTCCGGGCGAGGATGACTTGCAGGTATGCACCCAATCCGGCACTCCACCTTCCTAAAACAGCTTTCATCGGTCCCGTCAGCGGCAATGATGCTATAAATCACCATTTCCACAATGCGTTTTTCGGATCCCGGAAAGACCAACATTTGCAAAGTCGATATACTCACCACTTTTGACCAATCGAAAGCTCGTGGGAGTCACGGTCACGAAGAGGTGCGCGGTAATCCGTCGAATAATTGCGTCAAAAGGGTTCCACCTGAAGCTGGACAGGCAGTGTATAGGTCAATTGACCGGAGATGATCAGTGCAGTACAGCTAAATATCAATCCAATCTACGGGAACACCGGCCACTCAAAACCTCTGAGCGGCTTCCAGGAAATACATCAATGCAGGAATACCAACAAACAGCACACCTAACTTCCCAAGCCTGTGATGAGCTCACGCAGTCCCATCTTCAGTGACCCCTCCTCCGCCCAACAACTCCTTCGGCAACAGTCTGCTCTTCGCCGCAATACTCGCCGACAGCTGCGAGATTGGATTGTTCGCCAAAATCTCAAATACACTGACCTCACTCTTCAGCTCTCTCGTGATGAAGTTCCTCACCTCGACCGCCACCAAAGAATCAACCCGTAGTTATGGAGTGCCTTGTTTGTATCAATGTCCGCCGCGTTGATCATGATCGACTTGGCCAATTTCGTGACCAGGGCTTCCTGGCAGAGCTCCGCCGCTTGCACCACCGACGTGACAGCGCCGAGCTGCTGCTTGAGCGCCTCTAGCCCACCACTGTCTCCGCCCAGGGGGCCAGCGCTGCCGTCTTCTCGTGCGTCAAGGGAAGCGAGGTAGCTGAAGCGTGCGAACTTGCGCAGCCACTCAAATTCTCCACCCGTGCCGTCGACGTTGTTGAGGCGCTCCAAGCCACCGCTACCCGCTCCCATAAGCAGCTGAGCGGGTAAGGGAGTGGACGCGCTCGAGTTGTCATCACTGCCAAAGTATCCCGCCATGGCTCGACCAAAGATCGACATGAAGTACTCTGCCTTGACATGTATGGCACTCATGCGGTTGAGGTGGTTCTTCTCGTCATGTCTGGCATTCTCCTCGACCCAGCCAACGCCTGTAGTGATTCCAAGATCAATGCTTTGCGCCTTCAGGCCCAAGCTGCGACGATAGACAGCAAAGGCATCTTGAAAAGTGTTGCCAGCGGCATAGTTGGCTTGGCTGCGGCTGCCGAGAATGCCGGCGCAAGACGAGAGCATGATGAAAAAGTCCATGCCTTTAGGCAACACCTTGTGCAGGTTCCATGTGCCGTCGACCTTTGGTCGAGTCGCGGTCAGCCATTGCTCATACGTCATGGTGTCGAGGAGCTTGTCGCTGAGGACCATTGCACCTTGAACCAAGCCCTTGATCGGCGGAAAGGTCTCCGAGACCGACGAGATTGCTGTTCGCAATTGGTCTAGGTCGGCGATGTCGCACGCTAATGCTTCAGCCTTGACGCCCATAGCCCGTAGCTCATCAAGAGTCTGTTTCGCTTCCTCTTTGGCGGCACCTGAGCGAGAAAGAAAGATCAGGTGTCGAGCGCCGTGTTTAGCCATATATACAGCTTGAGAGCGACCGAGTCCACCTAGTCCGCCAGCAAGCACATATGTAGCGTTCGGGTCCAGAGCAACGGGAGTCGCAGGCTTGGGCAGTGCTTGAACCTTCGAGTCCGCTGAGATTTTCAGGACCAGCTTACCGGTATGGCGGCCTTGCTGCAGGGTTCTAAACGCTGCTTCCATTTCCGAGTAGTCGAATACTTTCACAGGCTCGACCGGCTTGATGACACCCTTCAGCAGCAGCGCGTGAACATTCTCAGCTAGTTTAGCGGTCTTTGGAATGTTGACTCGAGTGAGATGCTCCAGGTTGAAGCCCATGAAGGATCTGTTTTGCAGGAATGGCATCATCTCCACGCCAGTGTTGCCGTAGATGTCGACCTTTCCGACCTCCACAAAGCGACCAAAGTCAGCTACGCACTCCCAGGACTTTCGAAGCGCTTCACCCGCCAGACTGTTGACCACGACATCCACACCTTTGCCGTTTGTCATACGCATGACGCCCTGAGCAAAGCTGAGCCCACGACTGCTGAATACGTGGTCTTCAGCAATCCCGAGATCGAGCATCAATTGTTTCTTCGCTTGAGTGCCAACGGTGACATATATCTCTGCACCAATATGTTTCGCCAGCTGGATGAGTGCCTGACCCAAGCCACCAGCAGCCGCATGGATGAGAACAGACTCACCTCTTTCCAAGCGGCCAACATCGAACAGACAAGCATAAGCAGTCATAAAGACAGCTGGTATGGAACAAGCGTGTTCCATAGTCATACCCTCTGGAATGATCTGCGGAGCGGACTGATGGATGCGTGCAAAATTGGCACAGAAGCCGGTCAAACCACATGCGTACACACGATCGCCGGCTTTGAGTCTCGTGACAGCAGGCCCAACGCGGCTGATAACGCCAGCAACATCGACACCGAGCTGCTCATCAGGAATTTTTCCCATGGCAACCATGATGTCAAGGAAGTTCAGGGCATTCGAATGCACCTGGATCTCGACATCTTCGGCTCCCAGGGGCTCGTAGTACCTCTTGTCGTCCACAAAGTGAAGCGTGTCCAACAAACCCGGCGATCCAATGACGAGCTTGAGGGGACGGCCAGGCTGGAGCAGCGGCTGCAGCTCCGGCTTTGGCTTGGTATGCAGAGCTTGCAGATGATTGTTGGCGCGTACCGAGTCCACGTAACGAGGCACGTGAATGAGACCGTCTAATTCTGTCATCTCCCCTTCGCCGAGGTCTACCGAAGCAGTGAAGTTCGCTGTGAAGGCCTTCATGATGTGCTGCACGGTTTGGTCCATCCGTGCCTCGACGTTAGAGTCCAAATGGAGCTCGTGTAGGCGTAACACGTCGTCCTCGTTCATGGCGACGCGGAGTAGGCCAGAAACCATAGCAGTGTCTGGGTCGTGACTCGCGGTTGGCGATGTCACCCACAAGAGCCGCGCCGATTTGAGAATGAGGTTCTTGACCAGTGCAAACTCATCCGAGGACATGTTCGAAATCAGCTTGGCAGAAACCTCGCAAAGGCTGATGACCATGCGACTTGTAGATCGCTCAACAGCTTGTTGTAGCGGCAGAATTGTAACCTTGAGACCCAGGAGAGCAAGTTTCGACGACAAGGATTCCGCGAGCATCAACTGAGTCTTCGACCGCGTTGAAACCACGACCGCGACTTCTGGCTGGGAGAACTTCGCTTCTGCCGGCTTCGTTGAGATCATCGCAGTGAAGACCCTGTACGCGGGATCGACACAGTCCCCAGCTGAATAGTGAACGCCTGTGAAACCCGCATTGCGAAGCACAGTGTCCCACTGTTGCTGTCCAAGAAGTGGGCCGCCGGTGCGTCCATCTTCGCTGAGCCACCAGCCAGGCAGCACGCCATAGATGAAAGAAGCATGGTCTCTGCGTGGGCTGCATTCACCCAGGATCAAGCGGCCACCGGGTTTCAGAAGCTTCAGGCAGTTCTTTAGTGTGTGCGAGAGGTCTTTTGTCGCATGAAGCACATTGCTGGCAGCAACAACGTCGAAGGATTCTAGCTCGAAGCCTTGTCCTTCCGGGTCGTTCTCGATGTCCAGCTTCTTGAACTCTACAGCACTTCCCCATTCTCGGAGCAGATCTTGGGCCTTTTCAAAAAAGCCAGAGCTGACGTCTGTGAAGGTGTAGGACTCGAAGCGTCGCGGCGAGCCGTTCCGACCACCGAGAGTTCTGAGCACGGGCAGACTTGATCCGCCAGTACCAGCTCCAATCTCGAGTACTTTCATGGAGGGGTACTTGTGCCCGGCTAGATCGAACCAGTCTTGGAAGATGGCGGTACCGGACGCAAACCCATGCGCAGCGCTGTACGACTTGGACAGCATATCGTCTTCCAGCATCACCGATAAGGCTTGAACTTTACCCGAGATGATTGCTGGTAGGTTCTGTCCAATACAATTCAGAAGCAAGCCATCGTTTGGATTCTGGGCGCCGAATGATGCGAGGAATTGGTCCTCCGCTGTCTGATCCAAGCCAAGCCAGTCTTCTATACCACGCTGATAGGGGTGCTTCATCATTTTGGCGTTGCTGTACACTTCTTCCAAGTACTTGTGGTAGTAGGAGAAGTGCGGTGCAGTGGCACTCGTCATGACTGTTGCCAGCAAAGGCAAGGTTCGCTTTGCCCAAATAGCAGCTGCCTTGGAACTGTCCACTTGGTATTTCTTCAGAGCGTCGAAAGGCTCAACATGTTTGCGAAGCAGTCCCGGAGCGTTTTTGGTATCTAAGAAGCTCAGATCCGGCCGAAGAGCAACTTCAGAGCAGATCTGTGATTCAACGGCGCTGGTAAGACCAGTATCGATTGCGTCACCCGACAAAGAACCTACCGCGGTCAAAATCAGTCCCTTGACTGTGAGAGAAGCACTTGTCCAGGATGCATTGGCAGCGATCGTGTTCGCCAACATCCCCCTGTAGCCACGCTTGAAAGCATGGGTAATTGCTACGAACGACTCGCCCGCAGTACGCGGCATGTCGTAAGGAATGAAGATATTCTCAATCATGGTCGGCACCATTGCCTCCTTCATGTCGGTGGCGTCCCCAACGTACGCTGGAAACGAGGTCTGAAAGATAGCGTCTAGCACAGCCGGATGGACAATGCTTTCGGTCTCGACGTTGAAAGGCATGACAGACTTTGTGTCAGCCACTGTGATCGTGGTGCAAGCTATCGATGGGCCACTGACTATGCTCTCGACGCCCTGAAAGGTAGGTCCGTATGAGATACCAATGGCTCCCATACTGCTGTAGTGCTTGTCTTTACTCAAGGCCGTGGTGCATTTGGTAACGCCGAGTTCGTACGTTTTCTGCTGGTTGCGAAGCAAAGATTCGGCCTCCTCGCCGTTGTCAAGCTCTGACGCGTGAGGATGAACGAAAGCAAGCAACCCCGATGCATGCTCCGTGATCTCATTCTGTCGAGACTCTGTATAGAAGCTCCATTCCTGCCAAGCGGATGCCGTAGACCTCATGCCCGTCTTGCGAGGTCGAAGTTGCAGGAAGGTTTCAATGCCAGAATCGTCCGATGGGATGATCAAGGCCTGTCCGATACATATGTCGCGCAACTCGACTCCAAGAGTACTTTTGGTCTTGTCCAGCAGCTGTCGAGCTGCCTCAACCGCCGCGCATATCATCCCAGCAGCAGGGAAGATAATGTCTCCCTGGACCTTATGGTCGGCCAGCCAGGGCACTTCAGCAACGCGGAGCATATTCTTGAACAGTGGTTCCACATGATTGAAGTCTTCCACGGGACGGCCAGCGTAGTCCAATCTGCCACATATTGGCTGGTGGTAGTGTCTGCTCTGAGAACTCTCGTGCCAATACTGACGAGTATGATTCCAGGGGTAGCTTGGTAGATCCACAAGGACACTAGCTGCTTGCGGAAACCGCTTGGTAGAGTTGACTGAAGCAAGGTCTACCATGCAGCCCGTGGCCCACAGTTTGCCAACGGCAGCAAGGGTCGTTGCGGCAGCGTCCTGACCTCGCGAGAGCAGCGAAGCAACCGACACGCGATCAGTCTGGGAGATCTTTGTCAGGAACTGTTTGACTGCTCCCTGCAGGGCACCGTGCGGTCCTATCTCGAGTACACTGTCAATGGTGTCAACTTTCTTTCGGCGTTGCCGCTGCTGTTTGCTGCTAGTGCCGAAGAGTTGGTCCAGTGCACCGACGAACTTTACTGGCTGCGTTATGTTACGCACCCAGTAATCTGGTCCTGTCTCTGTTCCTGTCAATACGTTTCCGGATACTGTGGAGAAAATTTTGACTGATCCGTCGGTTTCCAAGGGGGCAATATCGATCAAGGACTCGCGATATTCCGCTGCGATAACTTCCATATGCGGACTGTGGTATGCATTTGTGACTTTCAGCATGCGTACAAAGAGTCCAGACGCTTGGAAGTCCCTTTCGAGGTCTTCCAGGACGTCTCGATCACCAGATATTGTCACATTGGTCGGGCTGTTCTCGCATGCTACCACGGCGACAGCTCTTGGTGGCAGCGCAGCAAGACGTTTATGAGCCTCTTCTGGCGACAGGCCAACTGAAAGCATAGCCCCTTTATGTTCGCCCAGCAAAGCCTTTAGCTTCTGCGACAGGCGACCACGGTGATAAGCCACCTTGAATGCATCCTCCGCGGACAAGGCACCGGCCGTATAGGCAGCAGCTATCTCACCAGAGGAATGTCCAATGACACAGGAGGGAGCCAAACCCCAGTGACGGAGCAACTGAACCATGGCAACCTGTATGATGGTGCACAATGGTTGGGAGAACTCCGGCTCGTTGATTTTGGTCGTGCCGGTAGGTGCCAACAGCTCTGTAGTGACGCTCCAACTTGCACCTAGCGATTTTAGAAGGCGTTCAGCCGAGTCGATGGCATCGGCGAAGACTTCGTACTGCAGGAGGCTGGCTCCCATACGGGCCCATTGCGCGCCTTGTCCAGTGAAAACCCAAAGCTGTCTTGGGACTTTGTTAGCTCGGTAGCTCGACTTTGATGCGGACTCAAGAGCAGTCTTCAGCTCTGATGCGGTGGAAGCTACAGCGAAGGACCGCCAGTGGAAAGCGCTTCGTCTTGTGCAGAGTGTGTACGCAAGATCATCGAGCTGCTTGTCGGTGGAGCGCCGCCCTGTGATAGCTGTCTCATCCAGGTAAGAGCCCAACGTCGTGGTCATTCTGGCTATCGCTCCCTGCTCTGGAGACATCAAAGCAAAGATCCTCTTGTGCTGGCTGAAGCCTCCAGAGAAGTAGTCTTGCTGCTGCTCAAAATTCTCATCATATGAGGTGTTTATGGCAGAGTCTTGGAAGGTGCGGTTAGGCGAGGGACTGCTTGCGATCTCGACTGTGTTGTGAGACCCGGGTAGGGCCTTGTCCCGGAGATAGCTCAGTGCGTCGTCCACTATAGCATGAGCGTTGGTGCCACCGTAGCCAAACGAGTTGATCGAAATGCGACGAATAGTCGAAGTTGGCCATGGGGTGACTTTGGTAGGAATCTGCAACTTCCAGCCTGTGAGGTCGATCTTTGGGTTCGGCTTCCTGAAGTCGTGCTGTGGTAGTATTAATCCTGACTCTAGGGAAAGGATGCTCTTGATGAGACCTGCGACCCCAGCCGCACCTTCCAGATGTCCGATGTTTGACTTTACTGAACCTATCGTAATAGGCTCAGTCCGCTGTGGGTCAGCACCGAATGTGCTGCCGATAGCGCGTGCCTCTATAGGGTCGCCAGCAGCGGTCCCTGTGCCGTGAGCTTCAAAGTAGGATGTACCATTCAACGGGAGCCCCGCAGCGTCATATGTTGACCTTATCAGGCGTGACTGTGCTTCGCTCGAGGGTAGTGTGATACCAGAAGTTTTACCATCTTGATTGACCGCAGTCCCACGAATGACTGCTCGAATAGTGTCACCGTCACGAATAGCATCGTCGATGTGCTTAAGGACGACTATCCCAACACCTTCTCCTCGAGCATAGCCGTTGCCACGCTCGTCAAAAGAGTAAGATCGGCTATCTGGACTCAGAAAGTGCAGTGCCGACAAACTTATTGGGGTCTCCGGTCCCAGCATGAGGCGCAGCCGCCTACTATGGCCGTCCTAGTAGCATTACTCTTCGAACGGATAGCGTCGCAAGCCAGATGCAACGCCACAAGCGAGGAACTGCAAGCTGTGTCCAAGGTGAGCGAGGGTCCTCTGAGGTCGAAGTGCCAGGATATTCGATTGGACAGAATTGAACTGCCGTTACCTGTAGCAGTGTATAGTGGCTTGTCAACCGGGTCTCGGCTTGATACGTTCTCGTAGTCGTGAGAGAAGCTTCCCATGTAGCAAGCCATGTCAGAGCCTGCAAGGTCAGATGTCCGAAGACCAGCATTTTCCAGACCTTCGTATGCAACCTCGAGTAACAAGCGCTGCTGCGGATCCATAGCAGCGGCTTCTGTGGCGGTTGTCGAGACTTCAAAGAATTAGTCCAGGCCTGAGAAGGCGGGTTGCAGCACTTACAAAATGGAGCGTCCCAGTTGGCTGGGTTTTCTTTCAGGAAATAGCCACCTCTCGCAACTATTGTTCCTTTGTGGCCATGCGAGGGGTGGTAATATGCGTCGATGTCGAAACGCTCTTTCGGCACTTCTGACCAGGCGCTGTCTCCTTTCTTCAGCATTTCAAAGAAGGACTCGGGAGAGGTTGCGTCCCCCGGAAAGCGACATGACATGCCGATGACCGCGACATCGTCGCTTGAGGATTGGGGTGTACCACGCATGGTCAATACTGCTGGCACAGGCCAGCAAGGTATTGATCTTCACAGTACAGTAGAAACGAGCGAATGGACGAGGGATTAACGAAGCAGGAAACCAGTCCGATAGGGACTATGAGTGTAGTAGGAGCCATATACCCAACTGCAGCATTTCATACTATACACCCACTCTCCTGAAGGGGGTGATGTACCAGAACCGAAGGGTCCAACGGCGGCCAATCTCAGACACGTACCCGGTCTTAGTCCCGACATCCGTCGTTCGTTCTTCCTCGAAGAGCCTAGAATAGTTCTGTGTTTGAACGAACCCTGCTCGGTTGATAGAGATCTCGCAGCTCCGGCTAGACGACAGCTAGCCACTTCCTCCCTTGGGCGTCGATGGGGCACAACATGAGGTCCAAATTCATTGCAAGCCAGACCCTGAGAGGAAGTGATAGTCGAGCAAGGCTGTCCCACAGGCTCCTGGTAAAGTCTGTAGTTGTGGGGCTCGGTACATATTACTTGCGGCCGTATCATCTTCACTAATGTACCTGCTGTGCGAGCGGCGGTAGCAGTCGCATGCTTCGACGAACTCAATCATCTGGGCGGAAATGAGTGATTGTAGATTGCATAATAATGGACGCTGTGCGTGGACCGCACAATCCTTCGCATCTGTACCCGACAATCACAAACAGCTTGCTAACAATAGGCTTGAGGCGTCACTGGTGATTTGGGCCGCACGAGAATATCTTGACAACGGCAGGCGAGCTACGTTGCGGTTCCTCGTGCATCGTGATGTGAAAGACCAACGCTGTTGGCAGAGGCGGCTATGAGCAGTCTTCGTGGCCTGCGACTTGACGCGCGCAAGTCGATGGTAAGAGGCTGCCGCAGGTTGTCCCTTTGCTGCCGGGTGGCACTTTTGCTGATGACTTGCATGACGCTTGGAAGAATGAGGTTCGCGGACTTCTTGCGCTAGACCACTTGAAGTAATGTGAAGTCCCTGAGTCGCTCTTGCGCTACCAGCTGAGGCTATGGCGTTCGTAACACGCGGGGATTGAGTAAGGTTCCCAATCGAGTGGCTTTGGCATGAGCTGTGTTGCCTACCTAGGTAGTTTATAACTCAATGCAGTATGGTGCAAGGAGTGTTTTGAGAAACGTAACGTGTTTGCAGGGATGAGGAAGCTTAGCGAAAGCTTGGGCTTGTCCGGAGAACCTCGACCGGAGGGTCTCGACCGCATCCATCGTACAAAGATGTGTCCTCGCGAGGCACAATGTAAAAGGACCTGCAGTCAACTCGAGGGTGTGACCAATAATTCGCCAGATTTACGTCTGACCTGATTGGCCAGTCTAATCGAGCAACTTAAGTTTATACTGAGCTTCGACCAAGCTTTGTTGCTTTTCGGCAACTTGCAACCCTGTCTTGAGGCTTCTGATCATCCCCTGCCTGCAAGCCCGGGCTCAGGAAGCTGTCCGCTCTGGTCTACCATTGACTGTGAGGCAACTATCTCAGACGGACTCCACACAGCTGCCTTCCCGAGTTGCTGTTCCATGTCCGCACATAATAGATGCTCGTATCGGCGAGTGAACGAAACTTAGCTCACATGCCTCGTCGCAAGGTTATTGTGGCTGAGCTGGATCGGAGCGCAGCCAGACACTATTCATCCGTCTCACGTGCTGCAGTCCGCTCATTCGGCTCTGGAGGGAGTCGATGACGGACTGTTCAGAAGCTAGCCAAGGTGCAGCGAGCAGAAGGGACAGCTCACAACCGTTCGTTCACTGACAGTTGTAGGGCAACCATTTGATACAGGGCCCGAGTTCCAACACTAGTCGCACTGACTTTGAAGGGTTGACTGACCTTATCAAGCCCAGCGAAGCAATACTGCACAAGTGATTCAGCGACAGTGGTCTTTCAATGTCTGCAGAGCGACCCCTGAGCACGTACCATGATTCACCAAGCAAACGGCCACCATCTGTCGCGATCAATGTGCCGATTTACGGACACGGTCTTAACGATGTCAGGTGTTCAGACGTTTCGTCTCAATTTTGTTACAATATCTCAACACAGCCAAGCCCAGCAAAGGGAGCAAATGTTAGTGAGCAACTGGTCTCGATTGACTCTCAGCCTACGACGGATGACCAAGATGGCGATGATTCCGGAGTTGGTCTCACGCCCTTGTATGGATGGCGATGGGGGGTTCTTTGCTTCAGGTATTGACCACGCCTTCTTACTGTTGCGCCATCTGATGTCGGTTCAGTCTATTGCTGGGCTTACTCCTTGCGGTCATTGAGACCTCTATCTCTGCGACGGCACTGGTGACTATAGGCCGGTACTTCGAAGACTTCCCGAACTCGACCTGGGTCATCCTGTCGTATTTACTGGGCTACTCTGGTTTGGACCGTTCTAAGCATGAAGCTACACCGTTCTCTGACATGTACAGGATTTGCTATCGTCGTGCCTCGCCTAAGCGATAATATCGGGCGGCGACCAGCTGCGATTTTCTCGTGGACACTCTTTATGGCCTTCTCACTAGGTGCGGGACTGTCAAAAACTCTTCGTCAGCTAATTGTCTGCCGGGCTCTCCAGGGCGTTGGAGGTACCGGTATGTTCTCCATGACAATGATCATGTTGCCACAGATCACACCAGTCAAGCGGTGGCCGATCATGAGCACGTGTGTAGGGCTTGTGTTCGCAATCGCGTCTGTCTCAGGTTAGTATTGCATCATTTTGTAGGACACGGGCTGATCCTCAAGGCCCTGTGCTTGGTGGTGTAATCACCGAGTATTCTACCTGGCGCTGGATCTACTTGTACAACGCACCTATCGCGTCGGTAGGAGTGCTACCACTATTATTTCTTTGGCCAACCTCTGCTACGTCCAACAGACGCCCTGATTGGAAGCACTTCGATTACTTTGGCGCGCTGCTCCTCATCACTGCCTCGAGCCTCATCATATTCGTTCTCAACCAAGTCGGAGCCGACTTCTACAGATGGCAAGACCCACTCATAATCGTACTCACTACTGTGTCTTGTGTCAGCTGGTGCAGCTTTGCTTTCTGGGTAGCCTTCTGGTCCTTCAAGGTTCCACCAAGGATCAACCCAATCTTTCCTGGGGACCTTGCAGCACGGACACCACAAGGTCCTACCCTGCTGTAAGTCGGTGCCCAGAGCCCAAGTGAGCGAAACTGACACCTTGTCCAGGACAGCGGTGCTGTCGGGCTTTCCGTATTTCATCTCGGTTATAAATCTGCCACAGAGATTCCAGCTTGTGAATGGCCAATCGCCCGTTAGCGCAGGTCTGCGGCTTATGCCGTTCCTGTCATTCTTCGCTGCTGGTCAGTCCCTCCACGTTGACCACATACAATTTACTGATTCGACCACAGGCACTGCTGTTGCCGGCAAGCTCAACGGCAAGAAAAACCGCACCCCGGAAACACTTATAGCAGGATCTGTCATCACAGTCATCGGCTGTGGCTTGTTGTCAACTCTCTCAAACACAGCTAAGATAGAAGCAAAGCAGTATGGCTATCAAGTCCTGCTTGGCATGGGCATCGGCTTATGCTTTGCTGGCTCGATGATGCTTATCAACATCGAAACCAGATCTAACCAGTTGGGTGAGTCCTTCATTCTCCAGCTCAGCCGGGGCACGCTAATCTCTTCGTGTCGCAGCCGCCGCACAAGGCGCCATCAGCCAAGCTCGAGTCCTTGGGGGCAGTGCAGGGCTTGCCATGGGCACCATCGTGCTGAACAAGAACATCACAAGGCTGCTTGGGGGCCTCGTGTCTCCTTCACAACTGCAGAACATACGACACTCACTAGCGAGTATTGAGAGTCTGGATACTGCAGAAAGGCTCTTGGCAGTGGAAGCCTTCTCGGAGGCTTTCAGCACCGAAATGCGAATCTGCTGCTATGTGTCGATTGCGACTGTGCTGACTAGTTTGGCGACTTGGAAAAGACACAAGACGCCCCTTCCAGTTAATGACTAGGTTGATTGGTGGCTGACAATCACCACCATTGTTACATGACATCCATATGAATGAAGACATCAAATCCATGTAGCAATCCCCTACGGGATTACACTCACGAGAACTGGTCCTTCTGTATGTCGAGAGAATGCATTTTTCCCAGGAGGTGGGCATTTCCATTTTTCGGAATTTACACGCGTACGAATCAACATGCGGTTCTGTGGCGTACACAGCTGAATGCTGATCTCGAAGTCAAATTTCATTGCATACGCAGCTAGTGCCTGGTATCAAGGTAGATCCTAGGATCCTAGGAGCAGACCATGGCTGGCTTGCAGACGTGGTAACTCACCTGCCACGTTGAGCCATGCGCATGTACCTACCTCCCTTGTTAGTAGAGAGCCCCACTTACTTACACCGCAACATCTTCTACTCCGTAGCTGCTCATCACGAGACCAACTCCCTATACAGAATATGTCTACCATACTTGGCATACCTGCGACTGCTTGCCGTAGCCTGAACAGCTGTCGGTCAGTAAAGCCATACTTAGTAATCAAAAGTCGCTAGAATGCGAGTCCTCTGCCTGCATGGCGTTGGCACGAACGGTCGCATCCTCGATAGCCAGACTGGTCAGTACATGCCTGGGCGGCGGTCGCTGAACCTTTCCCAGAACGTGCTGACAAGCATGGCCAGTCGCCTTCCGATCGCTACTCCCCGGCAACTGGGAGTGGCACTTCGTCGACGGTGAAGAGCCTCAGACGCCGCACCAGGAATAAGCTCTATCTACGACGGCCCCTACTCATGCTACTACATCGACCCATCCCCTGAGAACATCCAGAACGCCATGGACCTCGTCCACGAAGTCATGGACGAAGAAGGACCCTTTGATGCAGTCATGGCCTTCAGCCAGGGCGCCGCACTCGCAGCCAGCATAATCCTCAACCACCAACTCACCCACCCCTTCGACCCGCCCCTCTTCCGCCTAGCCATCTTCCTCTGCGCCAATCTGCCCTTCTCCTGGACACCCAACCACGCTACGACGTCACCTCCCTGACCCTACTGGGCCAAGGCGCCACCGCGGACTTCGCCCAATGGCAGCGTGCCCGCGCCCAGGAATCAACAACTCTCGACGAGCGCGTCCTCGACAGTCTTCCACCCCATCAACGGACCCAAGCCCTCGAAAAGCTCCGCGCCGTGCAAAGCAGCGGCGCGGGAGCAGAGGTGTGCACGTACCGGCGTTTCCATCCGGACGACGACATGACGAGCACAGCGAGGATCCAGATTCCGACAGTGCATGTGCTTGGGGCGCGAGACGAGATGTTTGGGGAGCAGTCGCTTGCGATGATCGGGCTGTGTGATGCGCGGATGGTGGAGGTGGTGAAGCACGCGAAGGGGCATGAGGTGCCCAGGGAGGCGAGCCAGGAGATTGCGCGGGCGGTGCAGCGGGCGGCGACGAGGGCGGAGTTCATGGTTTGAAATATTCAAGTATGAATTCCGTGTGGGAGAAATCGATTGTCGCATATGATGTCGGATCGGGAGCCGACGTTGGCGGTGCTTGCGACTGTTCACGGTCAGCCCGATCTGATTCTGTACTCTTTGGGACGCATGCTATCGTTCACGGTCGATGGCTGAGGGATAATTGGCACTTTACGCGTTGACTCGGTTTTCATCGGTAACCTAACCAGGCATACGTCCTCGTGATCCAGATGTTCTTCACCATGCCAAGGAATCCGCTCAACTTCAGCCTCGCCCACTACTTACTTTCCTCGCCACCTACTCCGCTGCTAGGCAACTCACTTGAACTTCAAGGTATATGATTTGCACAAACACAATTTTGCCTCGACAATCAACCACAAATCGACAGGAACGAGAATATCGAGGCCCTGCACTTCGGTGCGGTGTCCTACTTTCAGGCGCGCGTTAGAATTCTCTGACTGTACTCGGATTGTGTGTTGGTTGTTTTCTTGCATTTTTTTTTTTTGCTTTCGAAGTCCCGAGGAATGAGTGGTTTGTAGTCTTGGTTTGATGTTGGGCTTTGTTTCTGCTATTTTCTGGCGTGGCTCTGAGTGGTTGCGCATGGGTTACTGGACGACGACATATGGCATACATCTTGTCCTTATACGCTACCGTGTACTGCAGACTTTTCTTAGTTGTGACCATGGTTGAAGTCATCTCACCTCATCTCCACAGCTCCAGCCATCCTCACCGCAATCACATCCTCCTTGTCCAGCCTAATCCTGTCATTCACAGTGGTAATCACCATCATGCCTTGCTTCCCGTCAGACCCTCGTACCTCTAGATCGAGTAAGAGCGGGTTGCGTGGAGCAACTAGCCCATCAAGACCCACGCCGCTCAACCCTGACCCGCAAATGCCCGTGCAGCTTGGGCACATAGCAGTCCTTCCACTCCATGTCCTGCCGCGCATCGGCCGCACTGGCAACAAGATGGAGGTTGTAGCGGCGGAAGACGTGTGCAAATGTCGTGGCGAGCTCCGCGTAGGCGAGACTTGATTGATTTTGTCAGAAACGACGAGCAGAGTTTCAATGGCATGAGAAACACAGGGTCATGGGTATCTTGCATCGTCCGCCTCCACAGGCGTTCGAAAGCAGAAGCCCATCGCGCACAGAGGTGGCACTTACTTGATTCCCAAACAACTCCTGCTGCCCCTTGAGAAACTCACCATCCTCTCCTCGAGCTTTGACACATCCTTCGCAAGCCACCGCTCGGGCTGGAAACGATGCGGATCCTTGAACACCTCCTCATCGTTATTATACACATAATTCGAAAAGCTCACGCGTGTCCCGCCCGGAATCTTCTTCCCACACATCACTGCCCCCTGCTTAGGCGTGATGCGCATCAGCCTTGCACTCGCGCCATGCGAGAACCGTAGACTCTCCTTGATGACAGCTTTCAGGTAAGGCAGGCTCTCTAAATGCGCATGTGAGTATGTCTTGCCCACATCCGGCATCGCGTCGTCCAGCTCCGCGACGAGCTTGTCCAGGATCGAGGGAGTGGTCATGACATGGTACGTCCCAAACGACAGCGTACTAGCCGTCGTGTCCGTCCCCGCGAGGAACATCAGCACCGCATCACCCACCAACTCATGCGGAGTCGCCACATACTGGCCCTTTTCAGCATTCGGGTACAGCGCGGTCTTGAAGATCGAAGTTTCCAGCTCCGGAGAGGACGCAGGCAGTTTGCGGAGCGTGGTGAGCCGGTTGCGGCACGATTCGCCAATGTTGTTCATCGCGGCAAGAGCGGGAAAAGCCTTGCGCTGGAAGGAGAGCGGGAGACGATTGATGACTTGACCCATTGCTTCGCCGAGACGCGGGAAGTACCAGAAGACGGGCACGATCGCGCCGCCTTCCTCCATGTCTTTGAGGATTGGTGCGGAGAAGTCTGGGCTGTCGAGGAAGCCAAAGGTATGCTGGTAGCTAAATTCCATAACGAGATCGCCGGTGAGGCATTGGTAGCCGGTGTCGAGATCGACGGGGCTGTGTTTTGAGGCGTTTGTTTCGAGGCGGGCAAGGAAGATATTCAGCTTTTCGTGAAGGCGAGGCTCCAGAGAGGTGACCTTGGAGCGAGAAAAGGCACCGACAAAGAGATTCTTGTGAGGCTTGGTCGCTTCGCCATCTGCCGCATTGAGAATGCTGCCTACCGTCTGTGGATTATTGTAGAATGTGGTGTCACGGTCGAACTTGGACCCGGCCCGGAAGACTTGATTGTATGCTTCCCAGTCCTGTTAACCGCCGGTATTGGTCAGCCTGATCCAGAACTTCAGAGGTATGTGTGAGATGAGAAAACCCGGGGGATCCCGAGCCAAAGCTAGACAACCATGAAGTGGCTGTTAGTGGGATTTGAAGTAGACTGGCAGAACAAAGAGACCACCTTGACCAGGAGATCAAGATAGGCAGATTGAGCCTCCGAGACGATTGTCTCTGCTGCTCGATCCAGACTAGCTCCCAGTTGCTCACTGGTTCGGGCTTGCGAAAAGGGGACATACCGATACATGGAGCTCGTCTTGTCCCAGTCAGCGGTTTTCAGAGATGCTGGGATAGTGGGAGATGGGTCATACCTGGTCGGATTCGAACAATCGGGCCATATTCCTTATGCAGATCTGGCAGATACTTGATAAGTGAGTCTTTGCCGTTGAGATCGTACGACGCAGCCCACAGACTTGTGAGTGCTCCGGCTCTGGGACCAGGGAACTTGGCGAGTGGGTGTAGAAGCACGCGATACAAGGATTGCAGCACAGTGTAGCCCAGAAAAGCGCAGATAAGCAGCGTCGCCGTGGAAAGGGGGTTAAGCTGAATCATTTGACTGGTTGTGCTGTGTGAGCATTGGTAGCCGTTGGGCAGCGAAATGGCCAGAACTGGGCCATGCTTGCGGACGGCCTCACATATATTGAGCACTCTTAGCGAGACTCGCACACAACGAACAGTGTACGAATAGCACCTTGGCCCTCGCATGGTGGGCGCCTTGAAAGCCAAGAGACCATTCTTGCGAAAGCTTGCCAACTTCGGTCACTCACCGGTATACTATTGCGGAGTGCCTGCTACAGTCGGCAGCCCGCTAGAGATGAAACCATACCTATGCCTCGTTCACCTTACATAAGTTCTCACGCAAGTGCTCGAGGGGGACGCAGGAAGCCTCGATCACCTCATTATGTGGAAACATCATGTTGTGGTTTTCTGCACTTGCGTCCAGCAACAAGGTAACTCAAAATGTACACCGGACAGTCGACTCTGCGACATGCATAATGCCGTCGTGAGTTGATGGGATTTTCGAGTGTAGCATATACAAGTCCGATATGAAAGAAGATTGCTCAGAAGTCAATAGCATGGGTGAGCAACCGAAGAAGATGGAGAAGGAAACTTGAAGACTTTGGGAGTTCGGATAATGCTGCTGCTCCAATCACAACCCTAACCCTCACTCTACGCGTAACGCGTCCTCTAGACTCGCGAGTGCCACATCGCTGCCCGCACAACTTGCAGTGTCGACACAAACGTCTGAACTCCTTTACTGCCACACACTGCGACATTGCCATGGCCAGCTTCTTCGACAACAAAGCGCGAGCAGCGGCAGCTGCCTCATCGAGCTCAAAAGCCAAACCAGCAGTCGAAGCCGCACCCCGCCTACAACCATGGGTAGAGAAATACCGACCAAGAACACTCGATGAAGTCAAGTCACAAGAACACGCTACAGAGACACTCCGACGAATGGTCAACGCCTCGAATCTACCACATCTACTGCTCTACGGTCCTCCAGGAACGGGCAAGACATCCACCATCCTCGCACTCTCACGAGAACTATTTGGTCCGGAATTGTTCTCAAATCGGGTGCTCGAGTTGAACGCTTCCGACGAGCGAGGTCTGAGTGTGATTAGAGAACGAGTCAAGACATTCGCGCAACAGGCTCTGATACATGCACCCTCGAACAAAGAATACCGAGAGCGATACCCTTGTCCACCGTTCAAGATTATCATTCTCGACGAGGCAGACAGTCTGACACAAGATGCGCAGAGTGCGTTGCGGCGAACGATGGAGATATACAGCAAGCTTACGAGGTTCTGTTTGTGTTGCAACTACGTTTCGCGTATCATTGATCCAGTGGCAAGTCGATGCAGCAAGTTCCGCTTCAAGGCGCTGGATGGCAGTCAGGCGAAGTCGAGGGTAGAGGACATATTGAAGTTGGAAGGCGTGAGCTATGACGATGGTGTGGTTGAGAAGCTCTGACAGTCTCGGATGGGGATTTACGGAGAGCTATCAATCTGTTGCAGTCGGCCGCCAGGTTGGTAGGAGCGACTGCTGGAGATACTAACGGTCACAAAAAGAAGTCGAAGAAAAAGACCGGCGATGACGAAGATTGGGAGATGGTGGATGCCGATGCCGAGCCAGAATCAACGTCGATCAAAGTGTCGGATATCGACGAGATCAGTGGCATTTTCCCACCAGAACTCGCTGAGCAGCTCATCAAAGTGCTTCAGAAAGGCAACACATCAAATTACAACGCGGTGGCTTCTGAGATCACTGGAATAGCAGCCTCAGGCTACTCGGCCAACGAAGTACTACTGGCACTGTACAACAAGCTCATCTTCGACGAGTTGGTCGAGTCAAAAAGAAGTATGACATGGCGTTGCTGTTCTCGTCATTAGACAAGAGACTGATCGATGGTGTTGACGAGCACTTGGCCATGCTGGACATGTCGCTGCAGGTAGCGGGGATCTTGGTGAAGTGAAAGGTGTTGAAGCGAGGACTTAAGACATCTCGCCATCCCGATCACGAACTGCACGATCTCTAGGCCCACGGCCTAAATATCTTCTCGCGCCGAATCAGACCCCGGGATGATATGACCGGGCGATATGGGGCTGGCCGACTGCTAGAGTGGCACTACATGGCAATTGAAGTCCCAGCCGACTTCGATGGCTCGTGTCAAGATCAGGAGGTGGTGCGCTTTCGGTGGACGGACAATAACCGCAGTTTCCGACAGCCGTCAAGATTGCGCGCGCACACCAAAGGCCAATTCTATCAGCGGCACAGAAGTATGTTGAGGCAGATCTACCTGCTCTGCAATCGCATGTAGTATACCCGTAGTAGCATACATAGCTCGAGTCACAGCCTCGGAGGACGCAAGAGAACCCAAATATCCACAGCGGATGTCACCGACGTTGTCTCTTGGCAAGAAGGCGCTTTGCTATCTGCCCTTCTCGCCTTCCCACATCCTGCCTTTCTGTCTTGATTCTGATCTCCCAATTTCTAAAGGGCTCAAGAGTGTTCATCATGGCTCCAAAGTACGATCTCACGGATGAAGAGCTCAACAAGTTGGCTCGCCTAGCGGCCGAAGCCAAGACAACTGCATACTGTATGTATTTATATTCAACAAACCTTCCTATCACGTGCTGGCAATTAAAGACTTATATTCACGCATTGATCCCCGTGCAGGTCCCTACTCAAACTTTCGCGTCGGTGCCGCGCTCCTACTTGTGAGTCCCGAGTCCAGCTTCGCCAGCCTTGCAGATACAGCGTTGCGGCGTACATACTGGCACCATCGCCAGCACCATCGCTCCCAGCAAATCACGGATTCAGGCCCACACACTCACCAACCCACACAGGACACAGCGCCTACCACACAGCGCCAACGTCGAAGTAGCCGCAACGCCAGTCGGCATCTGCGCCGAGCGCTGCGCCTTGGCCCCCGTGGTCGCCTCCTTCGCCAACCCCCGCCCTTCCATGCCCGTCATTCGCGCACTAGCAGTCAGCACGGACATCGATCCGCCAGCTTCCCCTTGCGGGATGTGTCGGCAGTTCATCCGGGAGTTCTGTGGGGACGGGATGCGGGTGTGGATGTATGGGAAGAAAGCTGAGGAGGGTAAGGGAGGGGTGGAGGCGATGGGGGAAAGGGGTGTGAGTCTGACGGTGAAGGAGTTGTTGCCTATGAGTTTTGGGCCGGGTGATATGGTGAGTCGGATCTATCCGGGGCGGAGGAGAGTCTTGTGGCAAACGTGTCTGTCCCGGCTTTTGCTAATCATTCTTCGAACGCTTTGTAGGACAAGCGGGAGAACAAATCTACGCCGAAGATTGGCTGAGGTGATTTCTGTTGATGGGATGCGAGGTATCACTGTTCGTGCAGCGGCAATTTGAATAAAGGTTTCAAGGTAAGCGTGAGCCGATGTATCTTCAGAAGTATTATTTTTATCGACTCATGTATACAGAGAATATACAGAGGTGAAAAATGTGCACAAAAACACCAGAAAATGAATTACCACCTCTCCGAACATCGTAGACAAACATGACACACTACAGCACCGGACGCGATGCCCATCCCCAACGACCGATGGCAAGCCCTCCGACACAAGAAATTCGTGGAGTGAGAGGTGAGTTGAATGGAGTTGGTTCTGTTTGAGACCCTGATTGGCACTCTACTCCTCACACGTCGACAGTCGTCTATGATGATGGTGGTGTCCCAGGGGGCAGGCCGTAGCTGTACTCGGTGTAGATGCCTGTATCAATGTATCAGTACAGCGCCAACACGGAAAATCTTCTGTCCACAACTATCACTTACCGATCGGGCAACCGCCATCGTTCTCCATGAAGCTGAAGTTGGTATCGTTGGTGCCAGTCATGCCAGCAGCGCAGGTGCCAGCCGCGACGAAGCACGGTCCCACATCAATGGTGTACAAATTACCAGGCTCCATGTGGATGGGAGGGAACGCTGGGAATGGGCCAGGCGCAGGGGGGTCGTTGTACGTGGTCCAAGGGCCCGGGCAGCTACCTGGGTTGAAACCGGTGAAGAAGAAGCTGCCACCACCGGAGTAGCTGTAGTCGTTGCTCTTGGGGAACAGGAACTCGAGTGTGCAGTTGGCATCGGCGCGCTCGGCGGGGATGTCGAAGCTGAAGATCGAGGAGATGTCGTTGGGGGTGAAGATGCCGTTGTAGTTGGGTCCGAATGCCTTGTCGGGTTGCGACTTGGAGACCTGGGTGATGTAGGCAGGCTTCTCGTACTGGCCGGCGGGCAGGTAGTGAGGGCAGCCATCGGCACCGTTGTCCCTTTCGGTGAGTTCGCGCACGCGCAGGACCTCGCCTGGGTAGGCCAGGGCCGTGCTGACGAGGGCAGCGAGGGCGAGTGTGTACATGTTTGCGAGTGTGGTACAAAATGTGCAGGCTCGCACGTGGGGTGGAAAAAGAGGTACGGTAACGAACGTGGGGGGATGATAGAGAACGAGAAGAGAAAAGCCAAGAGTAGCTTGCGACGAGCAAGAGTATTATAGTAGGTGCTTAATTTGATGTTGTTCTCGTGGAGAGTGGTGTCATTTCTTGGAATAAACCTTGGGTAAGTAGCCACTGAGCTCGTGGTTTTGTACCTATTGTGGGGTCAGGCAATTTGCTGGAGGGTTTCACATACCGTCAGTTTAGTGGACCGGGGTGGCCGTGAGTGTTTGGGCAGTCTGGCCTCGTAGCTGGCCTGGTACTGTGGTACCGTGGCTGTTTGCTGTGGCGACCGCTGCATGCCTTGCATCGATGCTGTGGTAACGTGGTGGACGAACGCGTATTTAGTTGATGAAGCGTGGCCTTCGCAGCCTGCAGATGCTGTGCTCTTGGACTGTGGACCAGCCGTGTCTCTAGCCTGTGTCCAACGGCAGGCTCATCCGAGGAACGAACTTCTGAAGGTGAACTTGGCAACGGCGTTCATGTAGAAGTGCTTGTTTGCACCAACCGAGAAGCCGTCACGATTCACGATTGACGAACCTCAGGAGGATGCCCGGGAAAGAAGCGACAATCAAAGTATGCTTTTGGCGGCGCCGTTCCCATGAAGCATGTTTGACTGTGGCGCTAGAGCGATGCTTAAAACGGGATGTTCGCTGCAGAAATTGATACCAAACGTGTTTGGGCCGGCCTGTTAGACTTTTGATAGGAATGATAAACAGGCACAAGTATCCGGGATTGAACGGCTTCTAGAGGATCCCGCCCCTATTTCATCGAAGTCAAAAGCGGAACGGTCGAATCACTACTCGCTGATGCCGCCGCCGTGCTGCAGGTACGCGTAACCTTGTCTTTCCGTGAACGTCGTGCCTTCTTATCCGATACTGCATCTACCTGTTCGTCATGCCGAACAAAGACAGTCACGGTAGAGGCAGAGACAGGCCCTATACTGGCCATCCGTTCGACATCGTTGCACAATAATGGACTCGTTACCAATTCTCTGGGACCTCTGCGAAAGATCGGACTTGAGCCTAGAGGCAGCGGTGAGGGGCCATGATGCGCTCCCCTATCGAGTTTCAAATTGAGCCGACAGTGCGGCAAACCCCTGGTCGATGCTCTCTTTGACACGCACCGAGCGGTGCGAGGCTGTCATGAGAGGACATGATGCATGACATGAATTCTAAGACATTGGAGTTGAAGCTGCAGATGCAGGTTCGCGAGGAAGTGAAGACAAGCAAGGCGCCCAGACTTGGCGCCAAAAGCAGGCACAACGGGCGGCGCAGCTACCCCGAACTTTTACAGTTGCCCAGAGGGCTCTTCACCCAACCTTGATGGAAGCGACGTGATACAATCGTGGGTCCAGCTCCAGACCCGTCTTGTTCTCAGTAGAGTTGGACCGACTGCTCATTCGCGTCCCATCGACACACCAACTTATTCGAGACCAAGTGGCTACATTGAGCTAGCGATTGATGGTCAGAGTACGCCCGGCATCTGCCTTTTACAGATTCAGCAGTCATAGGACAAAAGTTCAAGAAGACGGTTCGGCTGCTGCCCGTGAGACTGCCTCACGAAGCCACCCACTACGATCATGTCTGAAATCTGTGAACAACGGAGCTCAAAGCGGCAATGGTAATGGATGTAGCTACGGTACGTTCGAGGATCAAGTCCACTTCCCTTGATGCTTCCTTCGCATTGCCTTTATAGCTCCGGCAGCTCGGCTTTCCACTAGAACCATCATCTGGGGACGTCGTTCACACGACATATGAGTCCTATAACTCATGGATTCCCTTACCGCCCGCAGCAATATAAGCCGTCAGATTCGGAAAGAACATCGCACTGGCTTCGCTATCCACAAATTCCCTCACTTCATACACCTTTTCCTGGTCTTCGGTCATTTTCATCATCACCACATACTCATTTCCATAAGGTCCAAGTACACTGTCTGCTTTGCTGAATGCCTGCACAGCAACCTGATTTTGCTCCTCGTCCACGTACGTCCCAGTGACGGTGACAGTGAAGTTGTCAAAGAATGGCAACAGAGAAGAGAAGTACGTGATGTATGCTGTACGATTGAGAGTGGGTCGACCCAGGCGGTCCGGGTAGACGCGATGCGTGCAGTTCTCCGATCGTGGTGCCATGATAGCGTCGATGTTCCAGGCATTATAGCCGGCGATGACAGAGAGGGCGGTTTTGAGGAGCGTTGAGTGCATTATTCCGGTGAGGATGGATCGGATTGTTTGGCGCAGACTGAGTTCGGACTCGCGATGGTAGTTGTTGATTTGCACGTGTGCGGTGTACTGGGATGCTGGCCGTGCATATGCTAGGGACAGAGGCTTCTCGAAGCCGTCGGTTGTTGTCAGGGCTCAAGGGAAGAGATAGATCACGAGTCGTAGGCGTTATGGGTATATACACATGTTCGTCGTGGGACTAGAATGCCCAAGTCGAACCTGAAGGCTTCATCCCGAGGATCTGATCTCATCCCGAGAGCTTCATTCCGAGATTTGCGTCCCGAGTGCTTCAGCCTGGGATCAAGAGCTGATACGATGATCTTGAACTCCATTTCGCTGCGTCCACTGGCGCCATGTCGTCTACCTCGGTCAACTCAAATGGTCGGTACCTACGTATGCACGCCGTTGAACATCGCTTCATGCCCGTCTGGTGACCAAAAGCTGCAGTTCCTTCCCGGCCAGCATCTTGGCCTGCATAAGTCTGCCCACATGAACCAAGATTTTGGTCCTGGGCATGCCGAGTCTCGTTAATAAATGCTCCTCCCAATCGCGGAGCACATCGTGGGGTATGCGGGGACTTCCCCAACTTTTTTGCCGACAACGACGACCGTGTTGATGGCAGTACCAAAAGGCCACAAGCTCTTGTGATAGCATGCACCTGATCTATGCTTGGTCGTATTGAGCAATTGTCGTTTGCGGTCCGTCCATCGTAATTCCCAAGAATTCTGCAATTGGTACCTTGCTTGCCCTCCATACCCAAGTGTGCTCCTTGCCAGTATATCTGCGTATCTTTGGTGTCGCTCTTGCCACTCTTACCTGTCGTGCCTTCCCTGGTGCGCCATCGCTCATCTCATTGCAGCAGGTGCGGCGGGCCTCCGACTCGATAGATTCGCCGTCTGCACAGTCCAGAGTATGGAAGCTCTGCTTCTTCTTCCGTTCGGAAGATCTTACTCTGGACTGTGCAGACCGCGAATTTATCGGGCCCGAGACCCGCGGCACCATCATCTCGTCTTCCTCGTCTGTCCCGTTCGTCTGGCCCTCCTCACCCATGTCATCCATCCCTCTCGACTCTTCCTCTCATCTGCCACGACCACTGGCTGGAAGCTCTGCCAACTCGTCAATCGATGCCATCTCGAAATAGAATGCGGTCAGCCCAACATGGTACGTAACACACGAGTGCTCGACAGTCCAAGCTGGCGCCTGCGCAACAGACGCCTGAGCTCAGGAAAGGTCCAGCTCGCTGGTGCCTCAATCCTCACCGTGTATCAAAACCCTTCTGTTGCCAATCAATATCAAAAGCCTCTCATACATGCAAGCTTCAGGCGGACAAGGCCCCGATGCTGTCACAAGATGCCGACCCAGACACAGAGCAAAAGACTTGGTTTTCGTGTATCCTCTATCTGGTGACAACGTTGGCGCCGTCGGGCGTTCCCCATGCCAATGTTCCACAACGCGTTTGTTTCTAGCATCAGACCTCGTCATTCTTGATCCTCGTGATAGTCGTCCCGCTCCCAAAAACCATCATTCGCTTGCTAAAATGAATCGCTTTGCATCTGTGCTTCGTCTACACAGCCACGCCCACCTCAGCCGGACATTCCAGTCCCCACCTCTCCGCAAAACCACTCACCACCTCCCGACATGTCTTCGCCGCCTGCCGTTCCCGCAGCCTTCGGTCGAAATCATACGCCGAGATCAGCATGATGCTGTTCTCCACCAAATCCTCCTCGACCCGCATCTCCGCCACCATGTCCTTTACACTTTTGAGCTTCCTTGTCGCGGCGTTCGCGGCGACTTTGTTCTCTTGCAGCAGGTCTGTGAGATTCTGCAGTGTCTGGGTGAGGTCGCTAGTCTGGCTGGCGAGGATTTGCAGGGATAGGAGGGGGTTCAGATTGGGTTGTTGGACGGGGACAGTGGTGACAAGGGCTTCAATTGAAGCTATCAACTCGTCAATGAGCTCCTCCGGCAGGTACATAGCTGAGTTGCTGTAGAGAAGCGAATGGCTTTGAGTGAAGATGTCGCGCTGCTTGTGGGTGCGGTGGGTTGCCATGGAGGTGTACCCGGTGACCATGCGCGTGACGCCGTACTCGATGTTGCTTTGTGGCGGGCCAAGGTCGCGTAGCGCCGCGATTGTGCGTTTGATAACGCCGCCACCTTCTGAGAGGGCGTCATCTGGATTTTGGGCTGAGCGGGACAGCTTCTCAATTTCGCGGACTTGTTTCCGGAGTAATGGTGGGAATCCCTCTGTTTGCTCTTCGTAGTCGGAGTCGGGCCCGTAGTCACTACCATCGTAGGCCGAGTCCGTCCTCCTATGACTTTGTCGTCGTTTCGGCGGCTTCAGAGAATTCGACATTACAGGCGACAGCGCCGTTTCCTCATGAGTAAGTGGTGAATGGACACCACCGAAGCCGAAATCAAGCATGTCGTTCATTTCCGTAGGACTTTGGAGGGACGCATCTCCTTCTCGTAGATCGTCAAGCAATGACTCGCCCCTAGTGTCTTCCTCGTCGTCCCAGACCTCACCCAACTCGTCCGCAAGGTTTCCCAGCCCGTCTCCTGCGGAATGTGAGAGGTCAGGTATGCCGGCTGAGCCGATGCTATTGATGCTCGGCGCTCTTGAAGTCTTTCTGCCCTGAAACGAGTTCCGCGACGACCGCGAGGACATTGGCCGAGGTGTTACTGGCGACTGCGGCTGATATGTGGTCTGGGACGTTCGCGAAGTCCGTCGGGACAAGGGTGTCGTCGAATTCGTGTATGGAGACGAAGCCACAGTGTCCTGTGCGATCAGGCTGGCGCTCTGTATCCTCAGCGACCGTCTCTTGCGGTGTGTTGGCGAAGTGGGCGATGTAGGAGGAGCCGAAGCCGTCATCATTTCGACGCGATCGAGGATCGTACGTGATTGTGAATCGCAGAGGGTCGACTTTGGGTTTAATGGTAGCTCGTGGGTTCGTCAGAATACTCAGAACGCTAGTAAATGACATGAAGACGTATACGAGTACAGAGGACAGTAATGACGCAGCGCTACACGCGAAAGTGGTGTCGAGAAGAAGTGATGTCGCGTTCTTGGAAACATTTTGACTTTCCAATGGTAAAGCCTGGACTCGGCCCGGAATAAACGACAAGGCGTCCAGATCCTGGCCCGGAAGTGACGCCCCACGCCTAAGCCCAGTCCTAGGCAAATTTGATAGCAAGAGATCCAGCAGAACTACGTCCCCATCTTTTTAACAACTTGAAAGCCTTCTCGGACTACATTCGCAGGCATAGATCTCGACCACCGCTACCATGCCGATCGTCCGCCGCGTCAAGCCTTCGGACCTCTTCCACATGAACCACTGCAACTTGGACCCCTACACCGAAAACTACGACATTGGCTTCTACATGTCATACCTGATGAAATGGCCCTCTATGTTCCAGTGCGTCGAAGAACATGGCAAGATCGTCGGCTACATCATTGGCAAGGTCGAATCTTCCCCTCCTCACCTACAGCACTCGCCTCATTACCTTCCCTGGCATGGCCATGTCACTGCCCTGACCATTGCCCCAGAGTACAGGCGACTAGGGTATGGCAAGCTGCTGACGGAGGCGTTGGAGAGGGCGTGCGACGCACAAAACGCATGGTTCGTGGACCTGTTCGTGCGGATGAGCAACAAGAACGCGATCAAGATGTATGAGAGTATGGGGTACTCCACGTTCAGGGTGGTGGTGGATTACTATGCGGATAATCTGGTAGATCCGTCCGCTGGGGTCGGTGAGAGTGCACTGGATATGCGGAAGCCGTTGTCGAGGGATGCGAAGCGAGAGCATGTGAGGGAGGACGGGATGAAGCACAGCGTGTTTCCAGAGGACGTTTTTTGAGTGGCACTTTTCAGACGGACATGCCTGATTTCAGGGCGACTGACTTGGTTTGCTCAACAATCTTCCAGGGATGAGCGGAAACCTGCATCGAGCTACATCGAATCCGTGGAGGCTTGCTAAGCACGGCAATCTCCATGGCTCCAAACCACTGACACAAGAGAGCTCACACCCGACAGGGCTCGACTGCTGAGGCCCCTACTCCTTCCCAGCATACATCTCGCTTGGCATAAAAACACACTCAATCAGATGCCCATCCGGATCCATCGCATTCCCACCATAGAATCCCTGCGCCTTCATCACACGGTCCATCTCGCTCTCCGGCCTTACGTCCCTCTTCCCACCATTCTCCTCCACCGCCTTCAAAAACTCATCCACCGCTTCCCGACTCTCACGCGAAATGCACAAAATCTGCTGGGCCACCTTCTTTGGATCCGGGATCGAGTGTCCAGGTGGCAGGAAAGTGCGGTAGAAGTCGTGCGTGAGGAGCATAAGTTTGAACACGCCGGTGTGTGCTTCGGGGCCGCTTGTGGGGCTGGTGGGTGTGCTAGGGAGAGACATTTGGGCGGCGGCGGGGGAGGAGAAATTGTGATTTTGGACGAAGCCGAGGGCGGTGTAGAAGGCGATAGAGTCCGCGAGGGAGGCGACGGGGAGATTGAGGAAGACTGTGTGTTGGTAGGAGGTGGACATGGTGGGTGCTGTTGGTGGTTCAGAGCGGATTCTGTTGTTCGAAAGTCCGGTGTGGTGGCGGAAGGACTGTGTAAGTGTTAGGTATTGGACAGAGAACCTTCTGATGGGCAAGCTCTTACCCTCTGCTAAGTGGATGTGTGGTGAACGATATTCCAGTCGCTGTTGTGTTGCTTCCTCTGCTGTTCTGCGGGCAGCTGGTCTTCAGACTGGATCCCTTTCAACATCAGCTAGATCACGTCCAGTCTTTATAGTCCGCAACAGCCGCAGCAGCTCTTTCGCATCACGAACGGGGATATAAACAGTCAATCCGCCAAGAGCTGCGGCTGGAATACGAGGAGCCAAGCCGTCAAAGTCTCGGGAAATAGCCAATAAAGTTGTAGGTCCTGCAGGCAGCAACAAGGCAACAAAACCGCTTCGTACGTAGCCCGACAGAAAGTGAGACAAACTGCAATCGAAGAGCTCCATTCGTGGAAGTCATCATTATGTTGCTGTGCTTCTATAGAAGTACTGGCGCCTCATGACGAAGGCGGTATCTTGGACTCGGTATGGAACCTATGCCGCTTGGTCGTTCGAAGAGGTCGCTGGCTTGGTCGCGCTCGTTCCTATCCCTCAGTCCTCTGAGTCTGCTGGTGATCATGCGACGACGTTGTGCGAAGACACCAGTGGGTTGGAAGACTCGAAGCATTCCCCTCAAGCAATGACCCACCTCAAGAGCAACAGCTTATTCCGCAACCAGCACACCACGATACCGCATCTTACCACCAGTCAGCGCCGCGAACGCATCCTCAATCCCCTGCTCATTCATCTTGAACTCATTGATCATCGGCCTCACACCATGTCGTGCAGCAAACTCCAACATGCGTTTGTGTGTACCTCGGTCCGCAACGAGAACACCCTGAATGCGCAGCTGCTTGAGAATGATCTCCATGGCCGGAACAGCAAAGTCGCCCTCATCAACCGTAAGTGGGTAGACAACACACAATGGTGCTAGCAGCGGCATGTAGACGCCCCAGTCCGGCTTTGCGCTCGTGGTGACGACGAAGTGTTGGACGGGCTTGCAGCCTAGTTTCTCCACGGTTTCGGCAGTGACGCCCTTCATGGCATAGAACTCGCTGGCGCCGAGTTTCTTGGCTTCCTCTTTCTTGGAGTCGGACCCGCTGAAGACGACGACTGTGCAGCCCATAGCCTTGGCGAATTGGATGGCTAGATGACCCAGACCACCAACGCCGATGACACCGACCCTATCAGTCGCGCGGAGACCGCCATCGTAAAGGGCGTTGAAGACGGTGGCGCCACCGCACATCAGAGGAGCGGCATGTGGACTGTCGATCTCGTCGGGGATATGGAAGACAAAATCCTCCCTCCAGACACCATGAGATGCGAATGAACCTTGGTCAAGATGAGCGATGCCGTACATTTCGCGTTTGTCGCACAAGGTGTCAAGTCCTTTGTCGCACATCTCGCAGTGGCCGCAGCAGTTGTGGTTGTAGCCCCATCCTGCTCGATCGCCGACTTTAAAGAGCGTGACTTCGGGTCCGACTTTCTCGACGATGCCCGTGCCTTCGTGGCCGAGTCCACATTTGGCTTGCTTGTAATCTAGTGGCATGTGTCAGTGTTGTCTGAGGGGAGATGCTGAGAAGCAGACTTACGAACGTCTGTGCCGCAGACGCCAGAGTGTGTTACCCGGATGAGCACATCGCGAGGACCCAGCTCTTTCTTGGTAGTCTCGCTAAAGATTTTGCCCTGCTCGTCGCCTTTGAAAACAGTGATATCGACCATGTTGCTCGCCTTAGGAGATTGTGATTCGTCTGTGGTGGTTGGCTTGTCTTTGTGCAGGATTTGTTTGAGCTTTTGCATTTGCGTCAGGTCGATGTGGAAGAGTGGACAGGGCAGCAGTCGAAGGAGCTTCAGGTGAAATACTTCTTGCCATTTCTATATCAATGCACCTACCGTTGCAAAATCTTGCGTCACACTTTTTTTAGCGAATGCATCTTCGGCTCAATTCGATTATTCACTTCAAGCTGAGTTCCACGTCTGATAAGGTAAGCTCCTAGGATGAATCTTGCACACTCCGTCAAGGCGCAACGAACTGCGAAAAATTCCATCGCCGGGCAACAGGTGCGGCGACTATTGTGACGACATAGCCGCGATTGGTACCGGCACCGACACTCGCAGATCTCGGCGATGGACCTGACGTATACGTGCGTCCAATCATATTGATTCCTCGATCTCGCTTACTTATTTGCGATAAGGTACACCGGAAGTGCACATGGTCTGCAGGTTTAGTCAGATGCCAGCCTTGTTGCAGCGAGTCATCGCTGTGAATGCAGATATTACAAGTTGCGAAGGCCATACCGTTCCTGCAGAAGCTATTCGCCCTGCAGAAGAGTCGCTGAACCGACCACTCAGATGACGTCGGAGGAACACTGGGAAGAGTCTAGTCGACCTCCTGTTGCGGAGTTAAGACGGATTCATCTGGATGCTTTATAGACCTCCTCCTGCTTCGAGAGGCCGTGAGACTGTCGAACAAAATGCTAAGGTAGAATGCGGTGGCAGATTGAGCTGACCTAATTGTAATCCTGTACCATTATTACCGATGCCTGGAAGCACATTGTCGAGATCGTGCCTTATCAAGATCATCAAATTTTCAGTGTTTCACAGCCCAGGCCAGAGGGGAGGCGGGCTAGCATCAGTCAGCAAAGCCTCGAAGGAAGCGTGCTGATGACGGCGGCCTTTCCATCGCCTGCCGCAGGTCGCAGCTGATACCGCGCAGGACCTTCTCTTGGGACAAGGATAACTCGTCGGTTGTTACACATTAGGAATTTACTACGTGCTCAATGCAGTTAGTTCGATGACGCGCTGAGGCATGCTCCACAACACATCCAACGCCAAGCTCTGCATCCGCAATCTGGACAACGACTTCGTCAGCCTTGAGCATACACACACGTGAAAAGATCTCAACATTCACTCATGAGCTTTACAAATCAAGGCGGCGCATATCAGCCACGGACAAGTATGGCCAGATGGGACAGCTTTATTGACAAAAGCATGAGTAGGACGTTTCAGCACCGTCGCCATGGGTGCATCCAGAACGGTTGAAGCAAGACTGTCAACATCAGATCTTGATCCACCGGCCCATCCATTCCTCGGTGATCTGCTTAGCCTCATCGACAAGACCCATGTCTAGCAGCAGTTGCACAGTCCCACGGACGGCCGAGTCTAGCGCCGAGAAGATCCAAGCACTATATGAAGGTCAGTGACGGGGGCAGATCAACGATGAGAGACCACCTACTGAGTGTACGATGTATGCTCGCCGATGAAGATGGTCTTGAACTCCGTCTCGTAGTAAGCAGGTATGTAAAGCTCTTGCTGGCCGACAAAAGGTGCGGCCCATGCCTGCATGCTAGTCAGTACACTGGCAGGGCGACAGAGGTAGGTGACTTACGCCGGCTTGATGCTTATCATTCTCCCAGCATTGTCTATCATAGTTGCCAGTATACTCGTCTGCAGCAACTTGCCCATGGACCTCGATCATAGCACGATAGATCAGACCAACGTGCTCCTCATCCGTCAGACCGGCCACAGATCGGGCAGGCGTTCCGGAAGCGTACGATGCCAGAATTACACCGGGCCATGTTGAATTGATCTCATACGCAGGATAGCACACAGAGCCCACGCCATAGATATCGGTTGCACCACAGCCACCGATGATGGGTGGGTCCAGCTTTTCCCAGAATCTGGTCTTGTAATGTAAGGCCACCTTGCAGCTTTGCTGGTAGTTCATGGTTTGTATAGCTCTGGTCAATAAAGACGAGTATTGCGGCAGCTTCCACAGGCGGACTTTCGAGAATGGTGCAGCGACGACCGCATAGTCATACTCCGCGGACTCGGTAGTGACATTGAATGGATCGTCCCTCCAATGCACAGACACGCGGCCAGTATCATTATCGTAAGACAGCTCCTCGATGGTCCGATTGAGCGTCAAGCGGTCCTTTACGAGTGGGTAAAATGCCCGTGGGAGGGACTCCAGACCCTTGTCGATCGTTCTCCAGGTTGTTGCAGCGAAGTATGCTGTGTCATACCAAGTTCCCCACATTGGACTGAGCCCTGCGCCTGCTGTGTAATCGACAACATCAGCGCTCATGTTGAGCTCGTACTTCAGATAAGCAGCCTCAGACCACTGGAAGAGTCCCTTCTCGATCGCGGCCTTGTGCTGAGCATATACGTTTGTCGATATGTTCCGGATTCTCTCAGGGGTTGCATCTATGAACTCTTCGAGCGCCTCCGAAGCCTCCTCAACTGCGTCCATATCTGTGATGTTCTGAGCCTGTGTGGTCAGAGACGCGTTCGCCGCAATTTGTGCTCGGCTAGGGATTTGGCCGTTCGGCAGACGGTAGCCATTCGAGTTGGCCGGAAGATTGGGAGAAGATTGGATCCAGGGGATGAACTTGACCTCGAGTTCTGGGTCGTTCCCGTTGAGCTCGTTCAGAACGTCGCCAAGCTGAAACACCATTTTGTGGTCTTGGATGTCCAAAGTTTCGTTGGTGTCAGCGTACTTTATGCTGACAGGAAAGCGCATCGGACCCATTTCCTGGTATTGGTACTCGTCTGGTTTAGAGCCAGCCAGATACTTCGTCCGGATCCGACCACCAACTCTGCCACTCGACTCCATGATGTGCCAGTCATGTATGCCGACCGAGTCCAGCAGATGTGATGTGAGCAGTCCAGACATGCCGCCACCGACGATCACAATGGACTTGCTCTTCGCCTCCGACACGAAGACTTCGGTGTTTTCCTTCGAAGCCATGGCTGCTATGCCATCGAACCACGGTCCACTCACATCTGCCACTTCTGAGATAGCCTCTCGCTTGTGCAGTGGCTCAGCGATTGCGATAGGCGCACTCCTTCCGATCAGTTCACCCTCTGAGTATGCGTGCAAGCAGCCGTGGTGTATCGCATCCGTAGGAACCACCCAGACGAAGCGATCTGGCGAGGCTCCACGCTTGACGAACGACGAGCCGACTTCATGGTGTCTGTGCGCCGGTGTCCTCATTCCACACTCTCCGTGCACGATCTGCACGTGGCCCTCGAAGTCCTCAGCGAATGAGACGTGGATGTTATGTAGTGAATCGTAAGACACACTGAAGGGGCCATCAAATGAGACTGTTGGAGTGCCGCTCTGAAATGGCACGCTCACCACAGTTGACGCAAGCGTCAGGGCTAGGAAAGCTGTTCGTCTACATATCGAAGACATGGCTGCGAGAGCTGTTACGACACCTCGATCACTGACGTCTGCTGGATGAGCGTATGCTTCGAACTATAAGTCCTTTGTCCTCCGACGAAAATTCTTTGGGATCTGAACTCAACACATAACGCTTGGATGCATGGTTTTGCGATGCGGCAGGCCAGACTACGACTTCCACTAAGATATGTACGCCAATGCATGGAAGGCACTTCTCGTGGGATGGTATTGTCTACGACCACAAATCAGGGCTCCATCTTTCAGCGACTACAAGCCGCTGTTACAAGCACTCATTCGAGTGATACTGGCCATGCTCGCATCAGGAAATCAGCCGGCCGATGCTACGTTCATGGATGCGGCTGTCGGTGTATGCAATGGACGACAGATGAACAACGAGGAAACTCCTTATGTGCTACTATCTCTCTCCGTTTCTCGACGCTCTATTGGCCAGGAACCAATCCTCCTCCGCATCGGGAAAAGATCGACTCCATACATGAACCGGTGCCTGTTCTGGCGGCTGGGCATATGTACCTGCTTCTCCGCTCTCTCGGCTCTCCGCCGCAGTCGTTATCTTTCCTTATCTCTCGATGCAATTGCGTACGTTTCTCGCAAAAGCATCTTAGCCACCTGCTTGTTATGGTTCAAAACCGTTGTGGTTGTTCTCGTCCGCCTGGGGAAGATGTCTTGGCCGCCCCGTTTTCATCATTGCCACGACCCCGCTACGCACATCGCCGCCTTCAAACTCGGCTTTGTTGTACGAGTAGCGACTTGTCACCGATAACCGGGCTCATGCAGTGCATAGCTACACGTTGGCGCCCTGCATCGACAGTGGATGGAATTCTCTTGTTTCTCGCGACACCGCCGTAGTTCACTTGGTTGCCTACCGAATCTTGACGATGCTGTGGGCATGCGAAGAACTCAAACTATGTGGCCGCGGGATCTCGGAGCACGATGGCACGGTTGCGACAAGGACAAGGTCACCGTGAGAAGCATTGTCATCAATCGTGCTAAGAGAAACTTAGTCTTGGCAGAGCATCACTGATAGCGTCCCGCCGGCGGGCACAGAAGCCGTCCTGGGGCATAACCATGGCACCTTGGCAAAAGCTGGTCTTGTTGCTCACGGAGGGTACCTTACCGCTTGACGAGCAAATATAACATCCCGACGGTCTGGCTGACATACGCCCTTACCTTCATTGATCAAAAGCAGCAGCATACACCATATCATCCGTACCGCTCACAGCAGGAATTATGGTTGGACTCAGGCAGATCTTGGTACCTCTTCTCAGTCTGGCAGGCGTTCTGGCCGCGCCCTTCGAAAAGAAGCCGGAGCCCGTCGTCACGTATCTCGGCAACCAAGGTCCAATTCTTTGTACGTACCCGCCTGACACTAGGTCACAACCATGGCTGACCTGTTTCAGCCGGAGGAGCATTCACCACCAAAGGCATTGTCTACACCGCCGGCACAGTGCCCTCATTCAACGGCTCAATCGTGGAGGGCGGCATTGCTAACCAGACTGTACGCATTGTTCCTCTGCTCCAGAGGAATCGACGCAACGACTAACATAGCTCGCTCGCAGGCCCAAGTAATCGAAAATATCGCAGTGATTCTCGAAGAAGCGGGCACCTCGTGGGACTATGTTCTCAAGACGACCGTATTCTTGGCGTCCATGGACGACTATGCAGCAATGAACGAGGTCTACAGGTCGTTGCTGCCGGACCCGAAGCCGGCTAGGACGGCGGTGGAGGTCGGACAGCTCCCGGGAGATTTCTTGATTGAGATTGAGGCGATTGCTGCACTTCCGGACTGCTGAGTGATGGGGGGAGAGATCTGGTGACTAGCCCACAGTGGCTGTCTTGGGCGACTGTATACCAGGTGAAGCATCGTGAGGTATGTGTGAAAGCGCTTTAAGTAGGTTGCGGAACGTCCTGTGCTCACGAGCGGAGGAAGAGACAGAAGTCTCGCAACGGAAGGAGGGCTCCGTCTATAGCCTTCTCCAATAACGGATGTAGTGGGAAGCTGAAGTAGATGAATATGCGTCGATGTGTGAATGAGGCAATAGTTGAGAAGTGCAAATTCCCACGTGGCGAATGTGGATGAACTGACAGAACCTACAATTTCTCAACATGGAAGGAGGGTTGCCGCTCTTGACGTTATTGTTGAGCGGGCATAGCGATCACTTCCAGCATAGCCGTATTCGCTTACAGATTGCGGGATATGACCTGACGAATGGGGACGGACCTGAACGCCTTGACAGACGGTAAAAAGGAATTGTCTTCCGTCAACGACTGGCACGCCAGCGACCAACGCAGACAGCGCCTGGGCTGTGTCAGAGACGATCAGGCAAACACATGCTGGGAAGGCACGGTCAGTCAGCAATCTGATATAGAGGATTTATGGCTAGAGTGACAGCTTATGTTCGCGATTGTCATTGAGAGCTTCCAATCATTATCATAAACCCTTGTACCCAGATCGAGTCCTGCAGAACCTGTCACAAGCATGTTCGAGGCCAACACGCCCGATCTGTCAGCCGACAGTTCGAGCAAAGACGAGTCCAGGCCGCTTGTGGTCTCTATGTTGGAGAATCCGGCACAGGCCGATCAAGCACTCGCAGGACGTCGAGTCGTTTCACCTGAGGAGAAGGGCTGCAGTACACTCGCTTCATCGTCAATCGGGGGGAAAGTTGTCCACGCCAACCCAGTCTTTGAAGCCAGTGTCGACAATCCTTGGGCTCTGCCGAGCTCGCCCAGTAGAGAGGCTCTAGACCAGAGTATCTGAAGTGGCGAAAGGCGTTATGGGGGAGTTGGTAGCGAAAGCGATGGCAATCGATTGTGACATCTCCATCCAGCCAAGAACAACGAGGTTGCTAAACTCCGGCTTTCCGCCACAAAGGCAAGAAATCGTCCACTTCGCTGATAAACGCGGCTGCTATGCATGCTTAGCGACGATCATCTCGACGAACTTGCCATAAGTCAGACCGGATGCCTTATCGATGACTTCGTCCAGATCGGGCTGCATGAACAGCGCCAGTGTATTCCTCGCTACTTTCGAGCCGTCATTACTGCTTGGGCCTCTCACGAAATGTGGCACAGCCTTGAATCGCCCGCCAGTGATCTTCTCGAGCGCTTCGCCTGTCTGGAAAGCAATGCAGTCAGCCGGAATGTTGACTTTGACCACGCTATCGCCTCGAGATCGGATGTAAAGACCAGCTTTTGGATCGGGTGATTTTGTTAGAACGTTCAATTTTGGGAGTGCAGTGGCATCGGTGATGGGCCGCAGTCCTGAAGCTTCATCCACAAATAGAGCAGACGTCAGTGCCGTTAGACAGCCATCATCGAGATGTGTAGCACACCAGGAATCCTCATCTGAGTCAGCTGCTGAATTTGCGCTCGATTCCGGTCCTGGTGAGTCGCCGTCTCTCGAGAGTGGTGGAAAGTAGTGCAGCAGCCTCGCTTTGGGGGTGTGACTCGTCCGCACTACGTTTTCGAGGTACCCTTTCTCGTAGCCTTCAATCTTCTTTTCCGCGTACGAGTCAACTGCTTTTGCCACCAACGCTCCAATGTCGATCAACAAGGTACACAACTCCTCGAAAGTCTTTCGGAAGCCCGGGATCGCTTCTTCGGATGGCCAGAGATTTTGCCCTGCACCTCGAGTAACAGGCTGGCCAGGTACAGGTACTCTGGGATTCTTCAGATAAAAACATTGACAATCCACGTAGAATGATCCTTTCATGGTGTCATACTGTCCGTCCTTGAGCGCCTCTACGCCGTGGCTCCAACCTAGCTCATAATGAGACTTCTCATCAACCAGTGCTTGCAGCTGATCTGATGGCAGCTGTGCCAGATATGAGGCATAAGAAAGTAGGCGAAGTCGTAGGTCCGCGAACCTTGCGGGCAGATCCTTGACAACGAGGATGCCTAGAGAGGAGGGTCCAAAGGCGTCTTCCAGCGCCTCGAATGGGACGTCGTTAGTCTGAAGCGCCTCTAGCGTGACTGTTGTTGCCGCCATTGTTCCGTGACATCAACCCAGATTGGCGAAAGGACCACCGTATATGTCGTTCAAATAACGAAAAATCCGAACGTTGAGATACGGACGCGCCGAGGCTGCCCCTCATGGACCCCTGTACATTCGAATTTTGGTCTCTGACGAAAGCTTGCATAAAGCTTATTTGCGTCACTTCCTGGACCCGCGGCTCTGGATTTAGGACATCATTCGTCAACAAGCTACTGATTATCGGATATCTGCGACCCTCTGGGTAGTACGTGGGCGCTCAAGATGGATCCTCGTACAGACAATGCCAAAGCTTCGAAGGACCTCCGGTGTCGACACAGGATAACGAAGTTGGAGCCATTTCCCGGACCATAAGGCGAGACAGGTCCGTTCTTATATCTTACCGTCTTACTGATCTTGTTCGATATTGTGTCGAAGAAACCCTGCGTCACAGTTCTAGTCATGCAAATACGCAATCCTTCAACAGCAGGATCAGGCATCTCGTTGCCTCTTATCGTCCATGGCCGTCTCATTCACAGCACCTCGCGTACTAAGATTGCGATATTGTCTAAGGCCACGCTTGGAGTCAACGAGCATGGCAAGATAGCGTTCGTTGAAGCGAATACTGACCCAACTGATGCCGCCAAACGGTACGATGGCTTCGCCAAGGCCAGCATCCTACGCCTCAAGCCGCTCCAATTCCTATTCCCTGGCCTGATCGACACGCACATGCACGCGCCACAGTATCCAAACATGGCCCTCGGCATGGAGGGCGATCTCAAGGAATGGTGCGAGGGTTGGACTGATCCCATCGAAGCCTCGTACTCAGATACTTCCAAAGCGCATCGTGTGTACCCGGGCATGGTAGACACTCTTCTCGCCAACGGTACCACTACTGTGGCCTACAATAGCAGCATCCATCCTGACGCTACCATTGCACTTGCCGAGATCTGCAAAGCGAAAGGACAGCGTGCTATCATCGGCAAGCTCTGTATCGAGGTCGGCGCCACGCATGGGAACATGGTGGCCGACGTCAAGCAATCGCTCAAGGATGAGCAGAAAGTCGTCGAACATATCCTTAACAAACTCGATCCGGAGGGCGACCTGGTCTTCCCCTGCATTCAGCCCAGAGCAGGTAGCTATGTCAGCGAGGACCAGATGAGCGGCCTAGGAAAGCTGTGCCACGGCTACAAATCGCCACTATCGCCAGATAGTGGAAATAATGCTCTCCGCGTCCAAGCACACATGGCCGAAACACAGCTCGAGTACAAGAACATGCACGAGCTGCATCCAGGCTACAAAAGCTACGCAGACATGTACAATCATCATGGCCTTTTCGGCCCCCGCACGATCCTCGCGCACTGTATCCACCTCACGGACAGAGACATAGAAGTCATGGCGGCCTGTGGCGTTGGCGTGGCGCACAACGCGAATAGCAACACATGCCTGCGCGATGGCTGGTGTCGTGTACGAACTCTGCTGGACGCCGGGGTCAAGGTCGGCTTGGGCACAGACTGCAGTGCAGGTTACAGCATCAGTATTCTCGACTCGATGCGCCAGGCTAGTAACGTCAGTCGGCATCTGGCGATCAGCACGGGACGGGAGAAGTGGATATTGGGATTTGAGGAGCTGGTGTATCTGGCGACAATGGGTGGGGCGGAGGTTTGCGGCCTCAAGGATCGAGTGGGAGATTTCGAGAAGGGAAAGGATTTTGATGCTTTGGTTGTGGACGTCGGATTGGACGATAATGTCAATGTAGAGGGATGGGAGGGAGATGCGGGTGCGATGTTGCGAAAATGGGTGTTCATGGGCGATGATAGGAGTATCAGAAAGGTGTTTGTCAGTGGTAAGTATGTGGCTGGGAAGGATCTGAAAGCTTAGCGAACCCGTTGGCGTGATCATGCCTCGAGTTCGACTCATCTATCTCACATGGCAGTGTAGCAAATGACATAGCGCGACCCTAGGCGCCACTCCTTCAGCCGGTCTCGGGTCCTTTGAAGACAATGCAGCTATGGCACGGCCGATGGCGTTGTCGAGGTGTTTGAGTCGGACAGCTCTGCTGCCACTGTGGCCAGAGGCGGCTGCAATGGTGGCTGCCGACGTCGAGAAATGCAGCAAAACCACTGTCTGAAAGATCTGCGAATGACGGGCCAGGGCGATGCATCCACATGAAGCCTCTGTCGGTACACGAGCAATTGCAAAGTCGCAACAAATACTCCAAAGCTGGCTATCACGGCTCCCGGAATGCCGACGCACAAGCCAACAATCAGGTCTGTTTTAGGACAATTTTGCGGGCTTCCGCTAAAAGTACCAGTGCTGCTTGTAGTGTTAGAGCTAGAGCAGTTCTGGCTCGTAGTATTGCTTTTGATGCTGCTACAAGAGAACTGGGATGTAATACATTCGCTCAAGCCGCCGCTCCCGATAGACATGAGCTCATCGAAGGTACTGATTGCTGTTGTGTTGGTGCTGTTGCAGCCGATGATCAGCTGCTCGGCGGTTAGACGAAGTTCATCGCAGCCGCAAACGATATATGATCCTGTCACAGAACTATCGAGAAAGGGCCTGTTGGAGCATAGGCAATTGTTCGTACGGTTCAGGTCGTTCCCAGTGAGACCCAGGTCACAAGTTGGGGGCGCGTAATGTTGGAGGATTGGTTGGGCACATGGCGGGAAGCTGGTCCAGGAGAAGCCTGCTGAAGCGTAGCCAACGTAGTAGATGGTGACGAGGAGGTTGTAGAGCGACATGCTGGCCATGTTAGCAATACTAATTCACAGAATTGTTGCATCTTTTTGCAGGTCTGGAAGGAAGAATCCTGGCAGTTTCTGGTCACTGTGCTGGAAGCAGCATGGGTAAGGCAAAGCAAAGGCGCTGCAGCATTAAGGGGCGTCCTGTCAGCGAGAAGTCTGCCCCGCAGCATTGACAACAGTGACAGCTGTACTACTCTGCTGCCGATGCGTCTCGATTGGTCTTTCGTGACAGGACTTGGTCTGAGGTCCCTAAACGGCGCACTCATCTCGCAAATTTCCGGGAAACGTGATGTTCTCGTGACAGTCTAAGTTGAGTTGGATGAATTGGCAAGCGCTTTTCTTCGCATCGGGGTAGGAACGACCATGGCATGTTGGCATTGTGACGTCATTCTATGTCCGGGGCTTAGGATCCTATCTATAGATCGACTGCTCTGCACCACAAGCCCTCGTTTCTCTCTACCCTGCCACTCTGCAGCGTTTTGATCCTCTGTACGTACTGAGAGCTGAAACTGCCACATTCCACGCCAGCCTTAGTGGCGCGTCGAGAACTAAACCCTTAGTGCCCGGCTCATAGCGAGGCCTCGCACCGCACCACCAGAAATTCTTACTCCCAATGTTGACTACGTCCGCCATGTGAGCCAGCTGCCAAAGTCGGACGCATCGTCAACCTTACTGCCTGTAGAGATGTCTAGGTCGTCTGGAAGTCTCATAGAGGGCATGCCCTACCAGGCGATGGTCTTTTGGCTTGATGAGTGTATTTGCTAGTCCTCCCAGATTGGACGCCGTCGATTGAGATTGAGCTGGTTGAAGGGTTGCTGCATCACCGCTTAGGCCACCCGCTGCTTGTCTAAGTAAGGTCCTTAGATGGCCAAGAACGCTGTGCGCATCTTGAAAGATGACAGCGCTGCAAAGTACCCGATAGGTTGTTATCTCGGCGTTATACATGTCGACATATCATATCAGAAGATCATGACACGGATACTCGTTGAACAATGAAGCACTCATACTCCGACCCAGCAAGATAAGCAGTGATACTTCTCATATCCAAAAGCATCATGTCAGCCGCGCCGAAGCAAGTCGATGACAGTGTTCGCGACGCTTTGCGAGGCACCAAGTTCGAAGCGTCCTCCCTTCAACCACTGACAGGCGGCATCGTCAATTGGGGCTACGTTGCCACCCTGAAGACGCCGCTCGACGATGGAACATGCGAGGTCTTCATCAAGCACGGCGAGAAGTACATGGCCACGATTCCAGACTTCCCTCTCGACCTCGAGCGCTGCGTATGCACCCCTCCTCACCGCTACCTGATCCACAGCAGCGTGAACACTGACACCGCAGACCTTCACAGAAAATGGAAGCTCAAATCCTCTCCCTGATGACCCACCACTTCTTCACCGGCACTCCCGCCGCAACTCCTCCCACGCAATTTGCGATCCGCACCCCCAAGCTCCTGCACTTCGACGCCCCCACAACCACCCAGATCCACTCATACATCCCCCGCGCCACAACCCTCAAATCCTACTGCCTCACTAACCTCCCTTCCCCCACCTCCCCGACGCACAAAACCCCTTGCCACCAGCTCGGCCGCGCGCTCGGCCGCTGGCTGAACGCCTTCACCGCGTGGACGGCCGCGCACCCTGAAGCCCGGGAGGCCGCGAAGGGCAACGTGAGTACGCAGCCGATCAAGCATATGGTCAGCTACGGGTGGTTGAAAGAGCGGGTGACGGAGTTTCCGGAGGTGTTGGGCGAGGCGCGAGACGTGTTGGACGGGGTGGAGAGGATGGAGAGGCAGGATTTGGCGGAAGAGGGGGAGCTGAGGGTCGTGCATGGAGATCTTAGTACGGGGAAGTAAGTTTCTTGTCATGATCAGGCTTGGAGGCACGTGCTGACGGGCCGGTGTAGTATTCTCTTGCCGGCTGGGCCGCTGGATAGTAATCGTGAGGTGGAGGTCTTCGTGATTGATTGGGAGTGTGTACATTTGGCGCCGGCACATTTTGATCTGGGGCAGCTGGTAGGTGAGCTGTATACCCTATGGTTCTGTAAAGATATCGCGGCCGGGCTGTGGATCATGGAGGCGTCGTTGCTGAGATCGAGGGTCTCAACGAGGAGCTTGCTTTTCGGGTCGCGATCCATGCGGGCGCTAATCTAATTTGTATGACTGCGTCGAGACCGGAGTGGGGAGGGCCGGAGAAGTTGCAGGAAGTCGCAAGGGAAGGAAGAGACATCCTTGTTCATGCTTGGGAGAGGAATAGAGCTTGGTTCGAGCGAAGTCGCCTGGGCATTCTGTTCAGTGGAAGCGGAGAGTCCACGGTCGTAGGCGCGTCTTAGCCGAATCGACGGCCCAGCAAGGCAATCTAGTGGTCTGTGTGCTGAGCTTGCGCAATCAAAGGACAGAGAGAGTGCTGATGCGGCGGGATGGTCCGCTAAGATACAGCCACCATGAAGTCCGGTGCCAAGCGTCGTGCGTTAGAGAGGTCGTGGGCATTGGTGGCGAAAAGCCTTTGCTGCAGACCAATGCACCATTAGGTCGATCAATCGCAAATGGCATTCGACATCTGCCGTCCTCAGCCGCGATGCCGCAATGACGATCTTTGGAAGACCCGTCATATGTGGATGTCAGCCAGCAAGTCTACACCAGATCTCAACATATCGGAGCGCGCCAACGACTGGACCTGAAAGTGCCGCTGTAAATACATAGCTTCCCCTTCCAGCTTCGTCTGCAACTGAATCGGCTGATGGGGAAACGGGCTTTGTTTCCCGCAGGAGGTTTGCACCGTTAGGAGGGCTTTGCGTTACTGACAAAATGATCGTCGGGATTTCAATGCATATTTGTCTAATTCCGTTGTTGGCTGCTTTTGCTGCAGTTGTGTGCTTTCATGCTGCTGAATCTTTGTTGTAGAGCAGCAGCTCAGTTGTGCGTTTAAATTTTTCGCACCATGACCTTGAACTGCACCTTAACCCTTTCACTGCGGTGTGGACTCCTGGGCACTTCCATCACAGACTGCGATGTCGTCTCCCGATGAACCTTGCCCCGTCTTTGGCTCAGGAGACGAGAGACGTCTCCGCGACTGGTGTACGTCCTTCCGAAACTCTCTATCCGCAGTTTGGCTTGAAGTCGCTTGTCGTAAATTTGCTGCGACACTGCCGGCTTTGACACCAGGAAGACGATCTGCGTTCCTCGACTGGGCACTGGACACGCTAGGTCGAGATGGTCTGTTCCAGTATGATCGGATTGAGCTGCTATGCTACTCGGTACCCTACCTTCCCCCATTCGACAGCATTGCACGTTACTGCGAACGGATTCGCAGTTTCGTTGAGGAGCCAAGACTCACGAGGTGTCGTAGCGCCGGACAAATGACGAGCATCATTGACAGCTTCATCACGGCGGAGCTCAGCCGTGCTCCATGGGAGGGTAGAAGAGCTTTCGTGTTTGAGCTCAAGTGGAGACTTCAAAGTCGCAAGTTGTTGCGTACGGGCGTATGCTCTATCTTCGACGGCTTGCTTCGAGGTGATACAGATTGCCTCCAACGTGGACAAGCCCTGCTCGCCAATGCTTTGGAGGACCCAGACCGAGACAACCTTGACGATGTCGACTTTGACAACCGCAGTGACTCCGACAGCGAGTTCGAAGCCGACGTTGCCGTTGGAGAGAACAACCCTAGAGAAGTCGGCCCGTCACCACATCTCCGCCTGATTGCCGGAGCGCTTTGGTCGCCAACGCCGATCACCTCTGAGATGCCACAGCCAGAAAACCGTGACCATCCATCTAATCGAGTCCCAGAAGGTGTCCAGGTCACCGCTACCCAAAACGAGATGATTCGACGCCAGAACGACATAATCATGGTGCTCATGGGATATTTGACAGCCGCTGCCGAGTTCCACGACATGCTGAGATTGCCAGATGCTGCTGGCTGAGTAAGCAAGATGTTATGGCTCTGGATCCCGCAAACTGGGACGACTCACTGGTCATACCGTCCGTCAAAGACATAGCGTGCTCCAGACTTGATGTCGACTGGTCCCTAAAGCGCATTGAGAGGGTTCTGTGGCTCATACGCGGAAGGATTCTCCGAGTCGAGACGTTGATTCTCGAAAAGGAGCGCCGAATGTTACCGCTACCGCGTGCGTGCTCTTTGTATGAGCGAGCTCGGCATCGTCATAACATCAGGACCATATGTCAGAGCCTCGCCACTTCAAAACTCCAAGAGTTGGAACTTCCACCATCTGACAGTGTTCGTGACTTGAGGCTCCCCCGTCATTGTCCGAGAGAAGACCATGGACATTACTGTCGAATCTGTACGGGGGACCTTGACGTGCAGCGCAGCAGCATTTTGACTGTTTGTGGTGGATGTAGAACGGCGTTTCATGTTGATTGCCTTCTGGCGTGGGTCCTCGATCGGATACAAGCGTCTGGCGTGCCCACTGTAACTTGTCCCCAATGTCGGCGAGTCTTCGATCTGGAGGAACTTGCGAGATTTCTGGAGGTCAAAGCATTCGCGGTTGGGAGTCTCTAGGCGTGCTTGTTAAAGGAAAGGGACCGGGAGCGCGTTGAGCGGAGGGGTCGATGTCATCTGGAGTTATTGCTGGCGCATGCCGAGCCAAAGGGCCGCTGTGGGAAGGCAGAACAGCCCCAAGGCGTGGGTCGCAAGACAGATGCACGAATTGGCCGCCTTTCAGGCGAAGGCGCTCAATTCAAGCTCCGTAAAATACCTACTCGAATCATGTGAAAAGGCTGCGGCTATGTACCAATATGCCATGCCTCAGGGCTTGCAGTAGCACTGACAGTTGTACGATCTCGTCGTAGCCAGTCCGAAGGAACTGAGTCAGGCAAGGGAGTCCTCGCGCGGGGAAAGAGGTCGGGCGCACTGCACCCAACTATGGCCTGTAGCTTCCATAGGCCAAGTCATGATGACGCTCTGTGACTTGCCGTCAAGCAGATGATAATCGGCCACAGCGGTGTATGCCCAACTCAAAGTCCATGGATGGGCAGTCCAGACGGCCTTTCCAGACGGCCTGAAATCCGGCGCAAAACGGAATGTCCAGTTGCTCCTAATTGATGCCTGGCCTCAAGTCTCTGGTCCCAGGCACCACAGAGAGAAGAGAGGGGCACCGAAGGTGAGAGACAGGAGGGGCAACAAGTTCCAGAACGTGGACTGAAAGTCCGACCAGACTGCCTCAGCTGACCATGTAAAGATCTGATGCAGAAGGCGCTTTTGCAAGATTGCTTTCCTTACCATAAGTCCGAAGCGTATCATAAAAAGCGATTTCGAAGCCGTGCTCGGCCGGGGAGGCCTAGTCGTACGTGTAACATTGGCGAGGAAGATCTCAACGCAGCATCTTAGCGGTGTAGTTGGCTAGACCATGGACCAAGAGACCTTGCAAACATTAGCTTGCAAAAAGTGGTGCTGGCTCCGCCGGGAGAGAGGAAAGACGGTCATGCTGCAGGCTACCATTCACTGCGGACCAGCTAGTGCGGTGGTTATCAACTCAAGTTGCAGCAGTCGTCCAGATCGATTGGCGCATAGTACCTCCGGGTCTAGCAGGTGCGACCGGGCAAGAGGGCTGGGTCCTGAGGCAGTACATCTCCTACACCTCCTCGTTGGACTGACAAAAGTAGCTGGCGCAGCCATGGCCGCTTTGGCTGACCCAGAGCAACTTCCAGCAGAAGGTTAGGGGCATTCAGAAGTCAAATTTAACGCTAGGTGGAAGACAGCAACTCTTTAGCGCCTCAGCGAGTAACGATTGGCTCGTGACAGAAGTGTCGTGAGGATCCAGAACTGCTGACGGCGTAAGAAACCAGAAGCAGCTGACCTGGTGAAGAGTTCCACATTGTCAACGGAGAAGTATCAGCAGTGATCTTGACAGGGCTGTATACACTGAGACTTGCAACTCGAGGAATTGGCTCAAACATCCCAACCGGCGACACGTAGGATGCTGAGACTCGATCTGACCTTGCTCACATCTGATAAGGCCATTGCTTCGCAGCCAGGGCCCAGTGTTGTAAAAAAGGTGAAGCAGGCAGCTGCGAGTCAACGACAGCCGGCTCGGAGATTGACAGACTTACCAAGTTCCACAAAGGTCGGAGGCGGCGCAGGATTCGCGGAAACTTTGCCGGCTGTACACCATTGACCGAGGCAGGCGTGAGAATGTCCGTATCGAGCTGAGTGTCTGTGCGGGAGGTCTGCCGCGCAGTGTTTGCGTCGAACCGGCAAAAAGTCCTTCATCTATCTCGTGCCTTGGCGCTTATTGGATAGTCTCCGCCGGGCGAACTGATGGTGTTGGACCTTTGTGCTATTGCGACGCTGTCTAGAACTGCTGAGTGTGTGTCAGTCAGACTTGACAGTTTGTAGGCCAAGCCCGGCTTGGCACCATGACCTCTACTGAGCAGTGGCATATTCTTCACAAGCACTGGTCCTGCCCCTCGTCGCTGCCAAAGATCTATCCGCGCGTCCTCGGCTGCCGGTCATGTAACGGTCGTCAAGCAATTAGCGAAACCCGGGAGCCGCACTTGTCGTTCAAGACACGAGACTGATCCGCCGTGTCCGGTAGTAGCAACAGAATACTGTCTCACTTCGACATGGACTAAGCCTTCAGCTGAGTCTTCTCCATCGCCACGGAAGTGTGAGCAGCCGATTGATATGAGGCGTCCAACGCAGCATGTATCGAATGTGTGATAAAGGTGCAACTGCGATATGAGGAAATTGAAGGGAAAGAGATTTGGGCAAGGCTCACTTAGCCACCTGGTCACTAGCCACCACCAGCCACAGATTGGGGGCCGGTGCCGGGGAGAACGGAAATAGCACAGGCCCGGGGTCGCGGCAAACCCGAGAGTTCAGTTTCAGAGCCCGGCAACGACAACCACTTAGCGTCCGAGAGCAGTGCAGACGACGTTGACTGGACTGTATACCTGCATGAACCGACATGCGACCGGAACGGTGAAGTCGTCATTGAGTCCAACGCAGTGGTGCAGTAGAAACAATCAATGCCCAGACCGCACGGAAGGCCTCGGCAGTCGCCGTACCTTGTACAGTTTCAGCCAATGATGGTGAGTTGTAAAATGGATACTATTAGGCGAGGCAGATTTCTCGAACTCCGCCACCAAGCCAACCAAAGTTCCTGCAACGAACGCGACCTAGCTTTCCCCCGATCGCAGCAGCTCATGCTTCAATCCGGCTCAAGAGCGTCACCAACCTGTACAAAGATCCTCACAGGTTCTCAGAAGCGATCGCAGCCGCACAAGCTACTCGTGACATCCATTTACTGTATCTCCGGGGTTGTTCTTACCAAGCAGCAGTAAATGGACACAGCCCATGGGGCCGTTTTGTTTCCATACGTCTCTTCAGTACAGCTATACCACGCACTGGCTTACGATGTACGGTGTACCGGCTCGTGCACACTGTCACCTGCATATCATTCACGCAGAGGTTCCATCATTCAATCACGCGGCCAAGCACTACAAGGTTTGATCCACTTCCCTGCCAAAATCCCCGGTATAGATCGTTGCCTTGTCTTTATGTAAGCCAGGCGAGTCCCATCTACTTTCACTTGCATCTCCCACTGGTCGCACGAGTGGCAACAAGATCATTTACCCTTCCGGCTATTCCACTGCCCCTTTGGTCAACCCCTTGCATTGAGTACCCTTCCCTTTTCTCACAACCACCCTCATACTCCACACCCACATCTAGCGCTGCCACCTTCCATTTGGAAGTTTAGTAGTGGCCTAAGAAGGCGAACACAAAACTCAGAGCAGTGAGCTTTCACTTCAAGGGTGTCGAGCCCCATAGGGCCGACCCACTGCACGACTCGCCGCCTTGTCCAACTTCCATCAATCCCACAGACGTGCGACTGCTGAATGGACACCCTTCAACTATAAGGTCTCCTGGATCCCGTTTGCCTTGCAGCACACATCCACCACTGATCATCCAACAAACCTCAACCAGAGCGAACGTACCTTTGAACACCTGACAGCCAGAAGTACATCAAGTCCAAACCCAATACCAACCTTTTCTTTTGTGCATGTCTGATCGCTTCTACCGCCTGCGACTTCGGACACCATCGCCCGAGCCGTACTATATCGAACGCCGCCCACGATACGCTCGCTCATCACCTTCACCACCACCACGTCGCCGCGCATCCAGTCGTCCTCGTCGGGTCTCCTTCGATCTCGGTGCTGATTCTCATCCTCGACGAGCCGCGACTTTTGCCATCTCTAGAGACCCTATTCCAAAGCGCACACTTGTCTTCAAGGAGTCTTCCTACCGCAGACAGCGACAGTCCAGCCGACGGTCCAGGACACCTTCACCTTCACCGCCCGCCTCGCCGCCTCGCGGTCCCAACCACATCATGAGTGAGAGACTCAGTGGGGACTATGTCCCGCTGCCCAAGAAACTCCCAAAGACCAAAGACGACAAGTCCTCGAATCACTCCTCCAGCGACGAAGAGCGGCGCCGCAGGAAGGGTAAGGAAAGAGCCCGCGTCATCAACTATGGGCCGGCTCACATGGACGACCCTGACTATTACCCCGTGGTCGAAACGCCATCCACTTCCGGCGGCGGTGGCATTGGCACGCCGCTTGGACGCCGCGACTCTGGCGTCTACAGTGGTACAGGCTCACCTCACAGTCGGGACCGCAAGTACTACGACAAGCACGGTCGGCCAATCACTGTTGGTCAGGATCGTCGCCCCCTGATCACAGATAGTGCAGATACGACAGCTGCCATCCAGGACTTGACCCGCGAGTTCAACACCATCATCACGAATGAGCGCCTTGACAAGCTGGAGGCAGAAGCAAAAGCCAATCGTCTTGCAGCGCAGCTCAACAAGGCTCAAGCCGAGATTGAGCAAAGCAAGAGATCTAGCTGGCTCGATGACAGAGAGAAAAGAGTCGGAGATCGCGAGAAGGTGCATCGCGATGAGAAGCGCTTGAGCCAGACGAGCTCGAGGGAGAGCCCTCCGGGTGGCCTTCGACCGAGGGATGTGGTCGTCAAGCAGCCGAGCCCGCCCATCAGAGACACACCAGCTGATGTCGCTAAAGACGCACTAGACAAAGCTCGTGCCGATTATCAGCGAAAGCAGCAGAGGGATAGTGGCAACTACAGCGGCCGTGGGGGCGGAAAGTGGTGAGGAAGGCTGTGTTGACATACGTTTGTACAGACTGTACACCATCATCTCTGGAGTATCTCAGATGGTGAGCGCCTCGCGGCACAGGCATGGTTATGGGCATGGGATCGCGGACTTGTCCTTTCTCGGCGTTCACGGTGGTCTGATGTGGGCTTTGGGCGTTCAACGTGGGCTGGAATGGGGCATCAAAAGGAGAGCTGTACAGAACTCACCTCTAGCCACTCGCTGACCAACATTTTCCTTTCACTTTCAATTCGATACCAGAGGAGCAGATCGAAGGATCACAGCAGATAGAACAGCATACCGTTTTCAGATAGCATTTCAACCATCGTCTTGATCCAGCCAGAAGAAATGGCGAAGATCATCAAAGCCAGTGCCACCGCCCTTGTGGCATCGAGCGTTGGGCCAATTATTCGTGCCGATCGATGCATAAGGCGTTCGAGATGGCTTCCAAATACTCGTGGACGTTTCGGGAGACCTTCGCGCCCTACAATGCCATGGTCGTCAGGATAGGCTTCAGGCAAGCGGCGTTCGCGGCACTCGCCAGGGCTCGCTGATGTCTAGACTCTCGGAGGGATAAGCAGAGCCACGCGAAAGACTATAGATAGCTGAATGGTGGCGACGAATCTTCAAGGGACGTGATTGTAAGCAGGAGAAGATCATTGCTGATTCCGGCCAGGCGTTTGTCGGCCGACTTCGCCGCAAGGCTGATCTTGAGCCTTGAGGGACTTTGGAGCTTTGTGCGGATTTGGGCAGGTACCCGTCTGACCACTAGCCTTGCCCTCATCGAGTGATGGACACGCAGACCAATGCACATATCTCCGGCCGTCCTCGTCCATTGTTTTTAGGCGTTAAAGAGCTGAACTTCTTGCATATGCGCCAGAGTGTGCTACTGCGACTACTGCGCGGTTGGCTTTCGCGTAGCTACAGGATTGCAGACGCTGATTGAGATTCGAATGTTGGCAAACTGGCTTCACACATTGCTCGACGGAAGCTCGCTTCACGGGCGCACTTTTCTGCTGCTTTGGACAAGGTTTATTCGCATCGGCGCTGTCGATCCTATAGTGCAAGTTCTGAGACGCAAAGTGTAGCTAGTCGGGACTTGGCAATTCAATCTCCTGTCCGGTACGGTCTTCCAACTCCGACGTCCATTGCTTGAGCTCGCGGTCACGATTATCAGCAATGTCCTTGTCTCATATGGTTCTCTGCGAACGACACAACGCAACTACGTTTTTGACCCACGGTCGGACCTCCTACACAGCACCAGTTCGAAGCGCTGACTTACCTCTGCACACCACAGGCCTTGGCGTGCCGGACCGATATACTGTCCTGAGTCGACTTCTCGTGTCAGGCTTGAATGTCAGGCATTTACAGCCACGGTGCAAGTCGCAAAGGTCTGATGCTAGGTCGCCTGCAGATCTTCGCGGGCTCGGGGCACTGCATACATACCGTATGTCAGGAGTGGCCCTGTTGTGGCTTGAGGTAGGGGGTTAGAACTGCTACATTCAAAACTCAGGATCATCGTACACATATACCAGTCGTCCAGCGGTTCTGGGTAGTAGATGGACTTCGCGCGACCTTTGCATCCGTCCAATGGCATGACTTTGGCGCAACGCCTATGGTGCGGCACAAGGACTCGGGTTGTCCTCCACAGCTGTCGCAATGTCGCTGGGCGCTGCTTAGACAATTCACTGGAGGTCGTGTCGACGAGAGGGCTGCCGATGCTGGACAGCAATGCTGATGTTCTGAGTATCGAGACGGCATTGATGGGTTTCTTGATGCAGGCACTGGCCAAGTTGCGCTGTCTGAAACATTCTGCAGTTGAGTATCGATGATCATTCTCCCTGGCGGTCAAGCCTTACTCACAAGTCTTTCCCATGCGTCCGTCCCGATGCGAATCTAGGCGCATGCGGACCCACCAGCGGCGTATTATTCTTGTCCAGAGACTGCTTAGGACGACATGGCTGTTCACCTGTGGCATAGGTGACAAGGCCGGGGACCTGTAGCCTACCAGTCTGGATAGTATCGATATATTCCGGGCCCTACAGCGCTCCCGAGACTGTCTGAAGAGTGAGTTGCAGTCCTTTGTGTCGACTTGATCACATTCCTTCGAGTCAATGTCCCAGGCTTCCGAACAAGTGTCACAAGCCTTACACAAGTCAGCCGAGACACCTCCACGACAATGAGGTCTGCAGGTACCGGCGGGGGTAATACATTGGTCAACGTTGTCCGAGACTTGTCATCTGCGATGGCGCAGTTCACCGGAACGGACAAAGACTAACCACAATAATGTCTCAGTCTTGGTTGCGGAACGTCGCAGTCAGCGTTCATCACATGGTCATGATCTATGGTATAGATAGTCGCTGCAGAAAGGTATCAAGGACAGCCCTCATTAACCAGGTCATAACCTCCAGTCCAGCACACTAGGACCGACCAAAGAACTTCGATTGAGCGCTGCACCATTATTTCCGAGATGGAAGACTCAATTTTATCGAAAACACCACGCCGCCACGTCTGTTTCTCCAAGAAAGCGAACGAGTCCGAAATCGACGTCAAATTCTTTCTTTTCGATCCGGAAGATGCCATTTCACCCACCTCGACCTTGCCAACATCTTCCAATGCCCGCAATAGCGACCTCGACTCGGCCTTTTCTTCGTCTTCCTCGGAAAGCCTAGCCAGCTCATGCTCGTCTCAATCCTCACTCGACAGCGTCAACCCACGGATTACAGCTGAAGCTGCCTTGAATCGTCGATCAATCTGCACGTTTGCCGCAGTCACAGCTCAGCCGCTTCGCAATTCAACTTCATTTCCATCACAGAGCCGCCATATCATAGACGCCAGCCTCGACTCACCAGTCGAGATCGAGCTTGACGATCTATCCGAATCCATCACTCGAAGTAGACCAAACACAGTACACATCATCGCCAGACCTAAAGCAGTCTACATCCCTCATCTTAACACCACCAGCCTCGTAGAAGCAGCAATCCTCGAGAACAGCCACCCAAGCAAAGCAAAGACACCGCTCGATCTCGTCGAGCCACCCACACGCTTCACACAGATCCTCATTATGCCACCAGCTGTCCTCGGCCCACTCACAAGCTCACTCGAGGACGACTGGGAGCGCTACGCCGGCAAGGGAGAAGTGTGGATCGACAGCTCGAGTCCGGCGCAACAACTTCTTGTGCGTAGTAGTCGGAGTCTTAGGAGTCGAATCGCTACTCTGGCAAAAGTCGCGAAACGCCAGATGAGGAAGTTGCGAAACATCATCAGCGGTCGGCGCAGCTCCACAGCCCCAATGGAAGACATCGAGGCCCAAGCCAGACAACAACCACGTCAGACCCAACTCAAGTCCATCCTCCGATCGATCGACGAGCAGGTCGAGAAAGCCGGCGGCGTCGCTTTCAACCGCGACGACAGCTCGAATGCAAGGGCACATCAGCACGCACACTGACCATCGAAGTCACCAACCCAAGCCACCCCACGAAGAACACCACAGCCAGCAAGCCTAGACCAACCATCGAGATCTGCCATTGCGCCTGCTCTTGGTGCACTGACTCCCACGGCATCCCCTTCAGCAGCACCACAACGCATTCTCCGACGGCTGCGCAAAGTCCCATCGCATGCTGCACCAAAGCATGCAAGGCCGCCCAGCAAGCTTTCTGGCGGGCTGAAACTGCTAGACACGAGCGACAGGAGCGCAAGGGGCGTCAGAGGGCGATCTGGACGATCCTGCTCGAAGGCGCAAGAATGCTTAGGCACAAGATCGCAGCTCTGTCGGCGGCTATATGTGCTCGGCTTGGGGAGATGGATGTGGCGAGCTGGGTGGTGGTCGTGGGGCTAGTAATTGTATTGGCTGGGGCTTTGATGGTCATCGGAATGGCTGTGTCTGCTTTGTGAGGATGAGGTCGGAGGATGGAGGACGGGCCGGGATGGTGGTGCGCTGCTAAGGAATCTATTTCCTTTGTTTGCCATATCCCAGACATCATGGACGGAAAGAGGAGTCCTAGTTCTGTAGTGATTTAGGCGCGGTGATTTGGCTTCTGTAGACATAGACAAGAATTGCTGCAAATGTATCCAAAGTATTGCCAATTTACAATGTTGCTTACACTTCTAAAGGTCGATCTGATTGGCAAAAAGCTATACAAACGGCCTATCACCCATTCAGCCGCCGACGAAGCATCTCAACCACCTCCGGCAGTACGCTCTCGCTACTGACACTGGCTCGATATGCGTAGCTCCCATCATTGCCCGCCTTCTCCCAAATCTCACGACTTTCCGGTGGGAAGAAGCCCTCCTCCTTCCGCACCCCACCTATATTCAGCACACCAATCGGCATCGACTGATCAAATGCCTGTTTAACCAGACGCCAGGCCGAGTACGTCGCCAGCGAACTGCCTATAATCAACATGCGGTCTGCGCTGTTGATCGCGTCTTCCGCAGCTGCCTTGATCTGCGCTGGTATGCTCTCGCCGAACATGATGACGTTCGGCTTTAGGATGCCTGCGTTGGACTTCTCGTTCCAAGCGCCGTCGTCATCAGTATAGATCTTGCCCTGCATGCCGTCCTTGAGTGTTGGAGGCGACTTGAGACACTTCGGGCATGGCGGATAGCGGAATGTCGTGTACGGCGCGTCTGGAACATCGGCATCACCGTCGGGATTCGTGCGATATCCCAGTTTCTCGCGTCGTTTGGGGTCTTCAGTCGACAAAGCGCCGGTCTCGAGCAGAGAGGCCAAGAAGCTCTTCCAGGCCGGATTCAGGGCTGCTAAATCTTCCTGGAAAGCGCCTCGCGGATGTAATGTGCCGCATGACAGGCACAGCAAAGAGCGAAGGTATCCATGCAACTCAATCGTGGGCAGGTCAGGGTGCGACCGGGGGTGGAAGCTGTCGACGTTTTGCGTGATACAGGAGGACAGTATGCCCAGAGAGTCCAACGAAGCGACTGCTCGGTGGGACGAATTGGGCTTCGAGCTGAGCAGTGATGGGTAGCCTAGGAAGGACCGCGCCCAGTATCTCTTCCGCCACTGATGCGAAGCCAGGAACTCGTGGTAGTATACTGGCCGATACTTCGGATTGGAAGTGTATGTGCCATCTTTGCCTCGGTAGTCTGCAAGGCCTGATGCCACTGATATCCCTGCGCCTGTCAAGAGGACTGTCTTTGGCACTCCATTATGTCCTGGAGGTAGAAGGAAATTCGTAAGCGCAGTTCTGGCTCCGTCAAGAGTCGATGTGCCGCTGGGTATCAGTATAGGTGGCGGTAGGGGTCCTGTGAAGGGTATGCGCATAAGCGACTTGGACATGACATGGCTGTGAGGAAGGCAGCCACAGAGGAAGATGGCGCGAGAGAGTGCGAGGGTGTCGTAGGGACAGAATGTGATGGTCGATGTGGTTCATGTGGCGATCTTGCTTGGATCGTTTGCTCCGCCGTACCTGCCGACAGTGCCCGCAACCTTATTTGAACCTGCTGTCCTACACAGTACAACTTTCAAGGATACTCTTCCCAACTGCACAGTACAAAGTACTCTGTCAATCATGAAAAGGTATACAAATTCTGACCTCACCGTTAGAATGGAGGCCCGTTGTAGAACGGGAGCTTCTTCACTTGACCAGCCGAGGACAACCTCGTTGACCGCACAGTCGCTCGAAGCGATCTGGCGGAAAGAGAACAAGCTCTGAAAAACCGTGAGGCGGCATGGGCGGCGACGTCATGAGTCTGTGTAACCCCACTAACGAACGTCAATGATGTCGCGTTGCATGCAGTGCTGCGAGGCTGCCTCCGACGTCCTCTTACTCATGCACATCCGCGAGGATCAGGCGAGTGAGTCCATGCGGAATGCGCCGAGTCAGGAACACCAGATCAATCGTCAACAGAACGCCGGCTCAGGTTAATCGGACCTTGGATCCTTGTCAAGACGCCACATGGATGTCTGTGCGTGCAATGCTCGAGCCCAACAAGGAGCATGACCGGAAGTTCCAGAACAGGGCCGATCGCGAGGTGGAACATGTGCTACACGACCGCGACTCTGTTCGTCTCTCCGTCGCTCATTTGTCGAACCGCAGTTATTGCCAGACCGTCATTTTCGCAACGAACAAAGACAAATTTACCACTCCAACGAAAGCCCTTCGTGCAGCATCATCAAAGAGCTTCGGAAGAGATGCTTGATGCCAACTCGATTAAAGTTCCACCGGCCTCTCCTCAGCTTCAAGCACTCGACCTGACACTCTTCTTAGTGCACGAGTTGCGACCCGTAACGGTCTCAACAGACGATCGCAGAATTTGTCGATATCACCATGGACACGCATCCAACGATGGGATCAGAAGTTTGTCGATTGTGAGAGAATGGATGACGAAAGGCGACTGAGGGCGAGAGACTTATCGAAAATAAGTGCGGGGGCTGGGCATGACTCCGTGGTTCGCAGTGGTGCTGCGCCATCGGTTACAATCGCATATGAGGTCTTGCAAGGCAAATGGGTCCACTATCCTTGCTTGCTGCCTGCATTTTCGACCAATCAGCTGGACAAATCGTTATGAGATTCGCGAGCGAATCGAGCAGATCATTTTACGAGTCATGAAGCACTGTCTCCACTTCCGGCCTGCACACATGCATCAAGTATAAAGAAACAGGGGACCGCTTTTGGTTTGCTCGAAGATACAATTCGATTTGGCACCGATCCCTGCAACCCATCTACCTGATCCCAACCCTTTTTCCTTCAATCAACAGACTTGAATAGACATTCGGCACAATGACCAAAGGCAAAGGGCTCGTGGCCGTTGGCTATGATCGCAGTAAGTCCCATAAAGCCGAAACATATTCTACTACTCCATCACATGTGGTAACATACCTACGGATGCACCTTTTGAAGATCGAATTGCATTCCTTTAGAAGATTAGGCTGAGTGGAAACCGTAAGCGAAAGGGTAAGCGTACAGCCAAACAGCTCAACTGTGCAGGACTAACATCGCGACAGATCAGATGGTCAATGAGCTCATCAGCATTGCCCATGCATCTGTGCCGCTGCACAAGGGAGAGTCCGTTGTCGCCAAGAAATTCGAGGCCGAACGCAATGTACTCCGCGCCGAGATCCTGAAGCGTGACGCTACCATCAACCTCCGAGATGATCAGATCGCCACTCAGAATGATCAGATCTCCGCTCAGGCCTTCTACGTCACAGATCGTGACCGTTCCTACGAAAAGCTCATCATCGATTTTCACAAGGGGCGCATGGGTAAGCGTGGTGCTGAGGATGAGATTGTTGGAGCTGCCGACGACGCGGTTCTGGATGTCGACGAGAGCGAAGGTGGTGATGTTGCCAAAGCTAGCAAGAACGCATACGACCTGAAGGACCTCAAAGACATCATTCTTAAGATCAAGGCCCAGCTTGACGAGGACTTCGGCTTGGACTGGCCGCTGCCTTACCGCTTTAAACGCGGCTGAGCAAGGCGAGCCTCATCACCAATTTCGCGTTCAACACTGGCAGGCGACTATCCTCATCACTTTTCGGCGTTCACACAAGGGCAAATACGGCGGACTCAGCTAGCCTAGCGGCTGCTTGCGTTACAACATTTTGCGATGGAGTTTCATGGAGGAATGCTGACGACAGCTGGTCTCAAGCCTTCGGATGAAGCACGACGGCTTCCACCACGGCGCGATCGAGGGTAGCTTCAGTCATTATCAGCAAATCATATCTTATTCTTTACCTTGATAACCACTACTACGTTACTTTTACCGATGTCTGCCATCGCTCTTGTTTCAGCCATCGCGCATGTCTCGCTGGCGCATGATTGAATTCAATATTGCAGGTTCGACATTCACGTGAGTCTCTACCGCCCTCAGTTCTGTGTCTCCTTCTGCGTCAATCTTTGCCTACGGCCATGCCAACTTTGCGGACAGAGTCACGCCGAGATACCGAGAGACTATGCTGCATGGTGGATGTGTCCAAGATGCCTGGTCCCTGTTCTTTCACTCAATCAGATAGATTTGAGGTGAAGGCGTAGGTTATTTCACCAGCCTTAAAGCCGCCTTTGACTTACACTTGAGACTACAAAAACAGCCCAGCCACTCAGACATCTCGCTTCTTCGCCACTCAGCACCCAGACGCAAGTTGACTGTCGCGAATCGCCATCTCAGGTCCAGCTTCTTCCATTACCAACATACTCATAGCCAGCCGGGAACATGGCAATTTTTCGAAGTAAGTCTGCGCTTGCCCATGCCTTGCCTTTGCCGCCCATGACTAACATTCTCGCAGAGCTCAAACAGCGACTTGCATCCGTCCGTGGTACAGTTTCGCAGACTGTCCGGTCGCAGCAAGGTAAGCGCGCCTCTTTGATCCCTCTACGTCAGAGATCACTACGTTTTACCTCAGGGCTAATACGATGACAGACAAGCGTACAAGTGAGGACCGCCTCGACGTCGTAGAGGCTAACCGCTCGGCACACGAACAACTCGTCAATGATCAGTGCTTGAAGGCTACACGCGATGACCTCGAGGCCCTCGAGGCTCGCAAGAACAGAATTGAGAGACTGGAATCCGGTTGCAAACGTTTGGAGGAGATGATCGCTCGCAAGAAGGAACTGATTGCGCGTCAGGAGGAGATATCTGCTGCCAAAGATCCTTATGTCGCCGCTGCCGATGAGTCGGACTCGCTATTACACGAGTTGGCCGACAAGCTTGAGATCGCAGAGCATCTAGCAAGCAACGATGGCCACACCGACGTCGTAATCGATGAGGCAGTCGCTATCATGCGTGACGGGGAAAGCGAGGGGTATGATAGTATCAGCATCGAAGATCTGGAGAAGGCTCTGTGGGACGACCTTGAACGCATTCGTGGCCGTGTCTTCGAGCTCAAAGCATTTATTGACAGCGGTCGAAGCATCTGGAACCCCGCCGATAGACATCAGCTCACCTAAAGCGATTGAACGAGGGAAGCTCTGAAAGACTTCACCGTTCCATTATCGAGGCCTGCAGCCGCGCAATCCAGCTGTCTCTGTAGGGCGGGTGAGGGCCATCAACATCATCGCCATGGGATGCAAGACCGTCGCTGTTGTGTCCATGGCAGACACAGAGGCAGCTGGTAGCGGCCATCGGTAGCAGGGAGGTGTTACCACCATTGGCTATCACCTTATCGGTCGTGAATCCTCAGGAGACACGAATCGCAGTCGCAGCTGCGACCAATGTCAGGCGTTACTTTCCATAACACATCGCGACGGCGTTTCTAGGAGTTCTTATGAAGCTGGTCTCAAGCTCCGGAACGAAGTACGTCGGCTTCAAACAGGCCTGACTATAGCCTTCGTTCTGAATGATCAATGCATATCTTGACCTCCGCATTCACGCTCATAAGACTGGCACCAACGGGTGGCTCCTGCTCTCACCCATGCGTTGAAACCCTCGTGCATCAGGCTGAGCCACGGATTGGGAATGAACCTCCTGAAGCATGCTCTTGCCTTCGCAGACAGGTCCACGCCGCCCTGTATCGGCCACATATCGCAGCCCTATCGCACTGAGCCAGGTCATCGTTCATGACCCTAGGCGTCGTGCTACAACTCCGGTAGATACCTACCTGTTGGGCTTACCGGCCTATACTGCCCTTCTTGTCATGTTCTCCCAAGTGGTGTGGTATTGACACAGGTGATCGACCCTTCTGATAGAAACAACCATGAATTTGTCCATCGCTAGGCATCTATGAGGTTTGTGTGCACCAAAGTGCTCCCCGACCCTTGGACCCCTTCCAAGTTTCCTGGAGCGGCATCGCCTACGATGAGCCAATCGGAAGGCCTGCAGGAAATGCAAGCCCACGGCGTCGGCTGCGATTTTGCACTCCGTGCCGCGATCCTTCGCCCGCACCTTTTCCTGCTCCATACATGGCTATAAGACCCTCAATGAACTGTTTCCGCAGTCTGTTGAGAATCCTACCTCCTGACAGACCCAGCTCTATCCCAGACTGAGCATTCTCGATACTGTCAGGCGCACGTTAGCACAGAAGAAGAAACGCTAGCTACCATGGCACCGCAGCAAGTCCCCAGAGATAGGCCCATCGAGGTTGGCGCCCTCCTCTTTGACTACCAAGCATCGACGTCGTTGGCCCCTTGGACCTGCTGAACATGTGCGGCAAGCCTCTCATGAGCGCAATCGTACGTATAGTCCTTCCTTCTTGCTGATTACCCTCCTCCCGAGCCATGCCCAACCTCGCCCTGCTCACTCGTTCTCCTATGCCCGACTGCCTATCCTCGCCTATAGCCTCAACATCTGCCTTTGGCTAACGCTGGTTCTGCGTCTCGTGAAACAGCAAGGCTTCACTCCAATCGCAGACTCCACCATCGCGGCCGCTCCAACCTTCAACTTCCACCACATCGCCGCCGCTTCCAGCTTCAACAACCTTGCACCGGTTCCGATGCTCACCTCCCAATTCATCTTCTACCCCACTTGCACAACCGCTACCCTGCCCGTCGAGCTAGACTACCTCGTCGTCGGCGGCCCCAACCCCGCCGCCTTCACACCCGACCCAGCCCACGTCGACTTTATCCGCAAGCACGTCGCCGCCGGCAAGACACTCTTCACCACCTGCACAGGCATCTATGTCGTCGCATGCACCGGCGTGCTGGACGGCAGGGAGGCGACGATCAACAACCAGGAATTTTACTGGGTGAAGGAGCGCTTCCCCAATGTGAAGTGGAGGAAGGACAAGAAGTGGGTTGTCGATGAGGGGAAAGACGGGCAGGGTACTATCTGGACTGGCTCCGGGGCGGTCGCTGGGATCGATATGATTGCGAGCTGGATCAAGCAGGAGTTTGGGGTCGAGGTGCTGATGCAGGGCGCTGCAGGATTGGACTATGAGCCTCGGGACATTGATGGATTTGCGAATGAGGTTTTCCCGAAGAGGTTGCAGGAGGGGACTGGAAGAGTGATGGGTGCGCATGTTTATCCTTGACGCCGGTGTGGTTGCCAGCGTGTACTGTGTTGTTGGTTTGCCTGTTGGAGGTTGCGTATAGTTTGAAAGTCCACTCCGTGTAGATATGCGTGTCTGGCAGAAGGCTTCCATGCTATGACGTGTCCGAGCCCGGGTCGACTGTCTGTGCATACGATAAAGTGCTGCGAATGTGATGCTAGCTTACCGACAATGGAGAATGCACTGTCCAGAGGTCTGCCCATGTGTCTGGCTCCGGAAGTGGAGATGTATCACCATTGCCAATCACCGAGTATCTTGCTCCGTCATCAATGCCCATAGAATCGGATACACCATCAATACTGTCTCTTGCGAACATCCGGTCCTGATTGGTTCGATCACGCTGTACGCGAAGCGATGGCGCAGGCAGGACTGTTTCAGTGCTAGGGCGAGGCAGATTCGTGGTGGCTGGGCAGCGGACAAACCCTTCCGTGCGGCCTTGCTTCGACTGCCCGATGGTGCCAAGATGCTGGTGAGCCCTGATCTTGTCTGGGGAGACTCCGCCGTCTTTCACTGCACTGAACGAGTCTCGGGCATTACCAAAGACCAACGGCAGCAGTGAGAAAAGATCGTGAGCTCCCATCATACCCTGCCTGATGGTCTCGCGGACGATGGCGTCGCTTCCTCGGCGTCACCAAAAGCGACACTACGAGACGTATCAACACTCGCTCGGAGTCGGTCTCCAATCTTTCGTAGATAGTATTCCAAGTCCACTGTACTTCTTGCTGTCTCCACTGTCCAGTCTGGGACCTCGCGAACACCGACACACAGTCTGTACAGAACGAAAGGCGCGAAGATGAGTCGCAACCATTCTTCCAGTGGCTGGGCATGATACTGGTTGGGCGTAAAATCAGCAAGAAAGATGTCTAGATAATCTTTGGCTGCATCCGTGCAGAAGCTCAGGTTCTGGATCAAACCAGGATTGGCGACATCAATTCCAGGTGGGGTTTTCTGCTTGAGCTGCTCGCTGTAGAACAAGCCCGGTCCGAAGCGATATACAAGTCCCATCTCCAGTATTCTTATTTTGGCGCCACGATATGCATGTTGCAGTAGTCTGGACCCTTGTACGACCGGCGAGAGCGAGGCAAGCCAGTGCTCGAGTCGGTCGAGCATGTGAACAGCATGTGTGTGAAGCCGAGTCCGTCCGTGACCTGATTTGTCTTCGTGATAGAGCTCCCTGGCATGCTCGACTATCTGGTCGAGCCGCACTAAGGGATAAATCAGTGCGTCTGTGTCTACTTCAGCAGTCTCTTGTAGCGCCCGAGCAGACTTGAGTAGGTAGTCGTTGAGCTTGAAGTTGTTCGGCTTAGTTACTGCCGCAGACACCAGGGACGAAAGATGAAAGCATCCGAGTGCTGCCCTTTGGGCTTCAATGTCGTGGCTGAGGTCGGTCAATTGGCTTGAGTCAACGATACTCGCCTTCCTTAGCCGCAGGTCACAGCGCTCTGCAAGAGCATCGGATAGGGCTTGATCTAGTCCAAGATCAACCACCATACCAACAGCAATCTGTAAATGACCATAGAGTTGCTGACTTCGAGGTACCCAGAAGAAGTGGTACCAGGCGAGGTAGATCAGCAGTCCTTGCAACAGACCGACGGATCTTTCACCTTCCACGACGACCTTTCGGGCGATGACCTCTGTGAAGCGCTTGCTGAGTCTTTGTTGTTGCAGAAGATCGTCTGACTTCACAGTCGCCGCTATTGCCAGTAAAAGGCACGGGCTCTCCTCCATCATAGAACTAATGGTAGAGTCTCTAGGGACTACGACGAAAGGGAACGAAGCCTGTCTCAGACGATACCTTGCGAGAGAATCCTGCAAATCCGCCCATGTCAACCCTAAGCCGGTGAAGTACTCTGAGTCCGAGATGCGTTGTGATGAAGCATCCTCGCGCTCAATGCCGCAATGATAGTCGCAGAGCGGCCTTATGTAGGGGTATGGTTCGGGCGTCCTTCCGTAAGGCTCAACAACCACACCATCAAAGGGTGCATTCATGTGTTTCGTTGTGCCTGGGTTCTGGTCAACGTCGAAGTCGTCATCATTGCTAGCCCCGACGGTATGGCCGTTGGGACTGTTCTTGGGATCATTGCGCGATAGCAACTCCAGTATCCCGTCAAGCTTCGAGTCGACATCGGCAATCCGTCTGACCAGAGTCAACGCCAGTGTGTCCGCCCGTTCAACAGCGAAGAAGACTTACGACCGGCGTGGACGCCGTCCCTGTTTCGGCTTCTGTTCGTAGGGAATGCAAAACTCTCCCGACTTGATACATCTGCATTGATAATGCGTCAGTGCGACAATAGAAAGGAGACAAGGACGCTTACTTCCGGCACGAGTGCTCGCCCTCAGCGCGGATACATTTTACCTTGAGACGGCGACATTGGGAGCATGCCGGACCAGCTCGGCTACCCATGATACTGATGGACCAGAGAAAGAGCGTGCTGCCTCAATTCGTCATGGCTGCAGAGAAACACCTGGGCAGTTTTCGTTGTAAGTCCTCTTAAGGTTGCAATCCGGCAAAGAGGGGTCTGAAACCTTGACCGCGGCTGCCTCGAAATCTACGACACCCCGGGCCATAGGACGAGCTTTCTAGTACGGTGGCCCGGGTTAGATTGATGTTAGACCCCTTGCAGTTTCCTTCATTATCATCCACGTACGTACAACCACAAGGACTTGTGTGGTTTGGCTAATGCCGAACCTGCAGCCTCGACACGCTCGACTCTACGCTGTCAAAGGCAATCAGTGGCCCTTTATAATCTAGTTTTTGGTCGCCGCATACGCAATGGCTGCCACCACTACATTCTAAGACGCCGTGCTTTCTCATTGACAGAGATCTGCGCCAGACCTTTGGGTCTACAATCTTGTCAGAGAAGCAAGGTGTCTTGAACCAGGCTTTACACTGTTCTCTGCACGCTCAAGCTGCCCAGTCTCCCTCAGAAAAATCCCGCCATCTTCTATGCCATTCACTGCCGCACCGTAAGTCTACATTGCCTCGATCTTCACGTTATCGATGGCAAATTCAGCCGCACCGGGCGCGTCCATCTGTATCAGAAAGGTTCCTGTGTTCTGCAGTAGACCGTCAGACTCATCCCCGGCTTGTCCACAAGAAGCTCGAACTCACCTGCCCATCAAGCGTCCCCTCCACATCAACCCACTCCCCCGTCCCCTCACTTCTAATCTTCACGCTCGTATGCACCGGATACGTAAAGCGAAACACACTCCCCATCGGCGCCCTAACGCTCGCACTCAGCCGATACTGCACATCATCCTCCAATGTCGGCTTCTGCCCAATATACGCATCAATGTGATCCCGCGTACTCCCATTCTCCCCATTGCCCGTAATACTCAGGTACTTACAACCACCATCCGGTGCACAATCCCCGCTGCTCTCACAATCAATCACCATCGGCACCATACTCTCGTCACTAGTAAAATCCGAGAAGAACCACGGCTCCAAACACCCGCTCTCGAATCCGCCATTGATCACTATCTCCGCCGGCGGCGCCCAATCCGTCGCGTTCCACACGCCTAGATACGTGTTCGTATTGCCCTCAACACCGCACTCGACGACGGCAGGGTTATAGAAGTCGTTGGCGAGCTCGCAGTTGCCGATGTCTGGCGTGGCGGAGTCGAGAAACCAGTTGAAGGCGCGGCAGGAGGCGCTGGCGTCGCAATGGGATGCGCATTCGGCGGGGCCATCGGGTTGGGAAGGAGGAGTGGTGAAGTAGTCAATGAAGGACTGGTAGCTGCAGCCTGGGCCGGGTCCGTCGACGAGGTCGTAGGTGCGTTGAATGGGAGGGTCGGTGGAGGGGTTGCAGGTTGCGGTGTTGGGGTCGGTGGAGAGGGATTGCGCGCGGAAGGAGGATTGAGAGGGGTTGGTGGGGAAGGGGGTGGTGTCGTGGAAGGGGTCTTCTCGGGCGTGGCGAGGATGGCGAGTAGGAAGGCGGTCGCGGATTTCAGGGTGATTGAGGGGTAGGAGGAGGGCATTGTGCAGATGTTTGATGCTTGTAGAACGAATGTGGTGCCGAATGTTAACGGTTTGCGACCAATGACAGAAACTTTGCCTGAGATCACTTGGTAGACGCTCGCACAATTGGGTTGTGGTAGTCGTGCAGCACTCAACAGCTTTATAGGTCACGTTGAACGTCGCTGTTGTAAGTATCTCCAGACCTCATCCCAATTCGACTCACAGACCACCGTTGCCTCGTGATGCGAAACATGTAGAATGTGTGACATAAGAACTTACCGTGACAAGCATGACAGCCGAGAAATGTCTTAGTCGAATACACGGTCAATGGGTCAGATTCTTGTGGAGATCTGCACGGGAGATTGGTTCGGGCGCTTTGCATCGACGCGATGGTCACGGAACTTGGGGTTCGCGGATACGTGCTGCACAGTGCAGCGCAAACTATTGTCTGCGGTTCCAGATGTTCGAGTTCCGTATTGGAAGAATATCTCTGGCAGAGTCGTACATGTAGTCTGGTTGAATATCGAGTGTCGGCGGCGCGAAAAGGGGGCAACGCTTATTACACCGGTTTGGCGCAATCATCCCCGAATTGGCATCTCCACAACCTCTCGCCTCCGCGTCAACGCGAGTCGGACGCCGCGAACCAGCATGACCATAATCAAGCGAATCACTTCTTCTCGGGTTCGCCTTTTTGAGCCTTGTTCTTGTTGTCACCGGTGTCCTTGTAGTCTCCTCCCTGGGCTTCGTAGCGACGGGCTAGCTCTCCCGCCTTCCATGCTGACCAGCTCCCAGCACCGCCACCTTCGGGAAGACCTGTCAGCAGGACCGCGAAAGATGCCGCAGGCGCAGCGTTTTCAGGCAACAAGGGAGCAAGGCTATCGCATGACTATCAAGGTCGGAACTTACCTTTCTCCTCAGCCTTGACCTCCTCCTTGATCTTTTCGCGCAACTCGGGATCGGTCGGTTCGCCTTTTGACGAAGGCATGCTGGGCTGCTGTAGGTAAAATTGTTGAGCTTAGGCTGGAGACGAAGGGCAATAGTAGAGAACACTTGCCGATGTAGACCGTGGTCACATCAGAGTTTATATGGCAGCCTCACACACGGGTACAGTACATGCCAGAAGGTCAAGTCATGACGACATCTTGAGCGCTCAAGGCACTGTCAAGACAGCTGAAGAACGGGCTACGACGGTTCAGACCGCAGACCTGACGTCTGAGCCCTAGCCATCATTGATTGTTTATGGCGTTCGGACGAATAGTGCTCTGACGATTTGGGCAGCTGGGACGCAGGTTGATGGTGACAGGTTGTATATGACACTGCCTGTTCTCAAATGTGACTTGATATACTTAGTACTGCATGAATCAGCGTACTGAGTAGTCGCGGAATGAACTGAGTGCGACATTAACATACAGCCAGTGCATCTGAACTATTCATTGCTTCAGTGTTTCGCCGCTGGCTAGATGACTGGATGCAGAGTCGGATCTCCTGCTGCAGAGCAACGGGGATATATGTGGGATGGGATATGGGTAAAGCTTCCGGCCAATCAGAAAGCATGCTGCACATGCAACGTCGCGCGAGCTCTTGCAGACTATGCCAAACTTCTCATAAAGCATTGCTCACTTCTCGACCCTCATCATCGAAGATCAGCTTCAGAGCGCAGCTAGTACTTATGGACTATGTATGCACGTGGTTATGTTAGTAGTATGAGTCGCACTCAAGCTGCGGTCGACGCTGGACAGATGAGCTGCGCGTAGCGTAGTAATAGTGAACAGAGATCATAAACTTGGATCTGAAGGCGACGATGATGGCGTTGGTTCAATAGTGGTCCAGGACGCTCCTGATCCTCCCAACCGAGCATGCAGGAAGGCTTCGCCGCGGGAGGTATCGATGAAGCTAAGCTAGTCAACACATGACCGATCAGATTGTCCCTCGACTTTTGTTCGGTCGCGGTCGATCACTACTGACTCATGCTGGTTGCGAACGGCTGCTCACCGAGACTTGTTGCAATTTCAACATGGTCTTCGCCACTGCTTAGCGGTGTCCTGGATGCTCAATTACCGTGGCTTTCATAGAGTCTGAGAGAGCTCTGGATGGAACTTCCCGTCAACATGGCCGAGGCTTCACTCATGCATGGGCCTCAAACTGCTCGGCATATGGAAAGTCAGGGCGATAGTCTTGCTCGATACAGTCAGTTTTCACTTGATGGTTGCTGGTCCACTACAGGGCTCATATGTCACCGCATCTGCCAGATGGCTTGAAGCTAAGCGCAGATTTCACTTGATGCAGCTTCGGGACAACAAAGTCACGGTCTGCCTATTTTGAGCGATTCAAAACGTGCGCGTCTTTTTCTCTCCGAGCCCAGCTCATTCTGCGACGAATGCTCACGAAAAGCGCAAGCGCAAACAGTGTCTTCAACTCAGCGTGCGATTATTGTTCAACCTTGGCGCACCGACTGTGCCACCGCATCGCGCTCCAGTGCGCAGCTTGGAGTCATGCCCGACGCCCCTCTAGTGAAACCTCTAGAGGGAGCATTCCTCCGGGCCCTCAATGGCAATGACGACCCACCAGACAGTGTCCTTGTACGGGCGCTCAACAGCCTGACCAAAACCAACTTACTCAGTACGCGAGTTCTCGAGACAGTTATCAGCTCATACGTCGACAAGTCCCCTATCCCGACACGTTACACACCCACAACCGAAGTACTGAGAGTCAAAAAGCAGTTGGCCATCGCGATCGGTGCACTGTCGGAGATCTTGGATGCACAGGATGCTGAAGCTGATACGCGCGTGGCCAGTGCACTGTCGGAGATCTTGGAAGCCTTCGATGCCAAAGCTGAAGCTGAGGCCGAGGCGCGCGTCGCGTTGGGCAGTCTCGGCCAAGCGTTTGCTGTGGACCTAGACCTCACCAAATCACTTCCCGAGATCATCGCCAGCTTGCATCGAACACTTGCTGCCGATGCTTCTCGGTCGTCTGGCAAAGAAGGTCATTCTGGTAGAGAAGGGTCTCACGATGCTGCTACACTTGCGGCTGAGGGCAGATTTCAAGGAGATGCCGAGCTGGACGACGATGATGATGATGATAATGACGCGGTCACAGTTGTCGAGGAAGACGATGCTGTGCTCTCCGCGCGTCCGATGTCGAAGAACCCAATACACAAGAAGCGCCCGACACTCAGCCGACCCAATTAGGCTCCGACTGAGTCTGCAATGGATGGGCTTCAGGCACCACCATCTAAGAAGCAGAAGATAGTCTTGAAGGTTGGCGGGCAGCGAAAGGTAGCAACTACGTCAGCAGAGGAGCAGTCAAAGCAGCACAACACTCGGAGTCAAGCCACCAAGAGCGACAACAATAGCGGTCATAGTATTACCACAAGCAAGAACAAAGCACCTGCTAGGAACGCCAGCACGGAGGCTAACCCAACCGCTGGAAACGCCGATGTTCCAACCAGAGACACCAAGGGCGCAACACAGACACGCGCTGGCCGAAAGATCAAAGAACCAGAGCGATTCGAGGGTGGTCCTGAATCTTCCAAACCTGCTCTGCCTGACTTGCCTGTGATCATCTATCGCTTCCTCGCACTTGACAATGGCGCCAAGTTCCAGCTCCTGAAAGACACGAAAGTCACTTCACGCGAGATGCAGACACACAAAACTCTCTTCGATGCAGTAATGAAGCGGACAAGCAATTCAAGCCTGCAAGAACTAGAGCTTACAGCTTACAAGGCGCAAGACAAGCTCACGGAACTGTGGCTACCGAAGAATGGTGAGAAGAGGCTTGAACAAAAACTCGTACACGAGGGGTTCAAGTCTCATGCTAAGTTGCGTCAACTGAGCGCCACCTTGCGAAGCCAGGAAGAGAAGAAGGCCAAGGGAGTCCTCCTCAGTGAATCAGAATTGGAAGTCCACCTCATCCTCCATCGACCCGCTGAGCTCGCTCAAATCGAGGCTCTCTTCGCCGAACGCAAGTTTCCGGTAACGGACGTGAAAGGTACGTGTTTTATTTAGTAGCCCTGGTCCATTCGTCGACAGAGAGACGGTTTCGACCTGGTATCGGACATACCTGTCTCGACTGCTCTCCCAAAGCATTGTCATCCAACGATAGGGTGTCTGTTCTGTCTGTTGCCCCAACCATGTCATGGCCCTCTTCTCTTTCTTCCTTTGTCTGCTTCCCAACGTCCCGATTCAAGCTAACGATATCCACTAATAAGGCGCGAAGCGTCCGGTCTGATGCACCTGCTGACGACGTTGAAGGTGGAGGGGACGACGCAGAAAACAGCAGTTCGCTGAGAAGCAGAAGCGTATTCGGGGTCATGCACAAGCAAGCCTCATCATCAGCATGGGTCATTGCTAGGCAAGGCCGATCGACAGAAACGCCAGAAACAGCGACAATTAGATCGGGAACGGCATGTGCGTTGATTATGAGCTGGACGCCAGCGCACACGACTGCAATCGAGTCGCAAGGAAGGCTCTTCGGCTAGGGTGCTTAGTTCTTTTGAGCGGTTGTGGGTATCCTCCCGTTCGAGTCACGACGAATGACAACCCTGGCACCGCAGACCGAATCAACAGAGGCTATTATGTATGTAGTCATGGAAGGTCGTCCTTGGTGATCCAACCAAACCAATGCACGCGCCCACAATGCACGTATTCCTGCAGTAGACGTTTGAATCTGAACCGCGCACTCTTCCCCGTGGTACAGCAAGCGCTGGCACAACGATGAAAAAAAGGGGTCTGGGCATTCTCTGCCAACTACAGCAGCCAGCAAGATGACCTTTGCACTCCACACCTCCGTACCTTCCTCTCCACATTAGACTCGAGAACGGACCCTCCAGTCCCAATCTATTGCTCAAAGGCTACCCGAGGGGTCTTCGGACCAGTGATCGACAGGGACGTAGCAACTGAAAAGTTACCACCAAGCCGGTGCACCAGAGCTAGACGCTCCCTACTAGAAAAGGTTGTGAGAATCTTGGATTCGTGGCTGCCACCGCCGTTCCGCATAATCAGGTTGGAAGAGTAAGGCCGAGAATTGGTGATTACAGCCGCGGACACATGACCATTCTTGAGTACCCAGCGCTTTTTCCCGCGGAAGCAGAATGTGAAAGTACATCGATTAACCGCGGTAAGCATGGGCGTTTGCACACACCGGACGCCTTCGCTCGCTGGGACGGCTCCCGTTGAGGATGGCATTGTCTGGTGGCCTTCATTGATTGGACGTCTCCAACAATGCCGCTGGTCGTTCTATCGCATTCGCCGCAAAGGTTTCTCGCTGGGATACGTTCTGTCATGGTTGTGTTCGGGTCTGAGGGGGGAGGGTAATCTCTAGCAGGAGATAGAAGCCAATCTCTTTGGCAAGAAGGTGAATCTTGCGGGAGTTCAGAGATTTCCGACGAATACTGATGATTCGAGAAGACCTCTGCCGCGAGCAACGAGACGACGACCACAGAATGAATCGCTGCTACCGCAATCCTTTCGCACGGCCGCCGCCTCGTTCACGATCCAATGCAAAGTAAACTTCAGAGTATGACTGATATATGCCGTGGTCGCCCGGTCCATGTCACAGTCAGACTGCAGAAGATTCGTTGCAAAGGATCGCGCACCCCGCGGTCCATTTGGCTCAGCACCCAAACCTTTTGCTGGCACCTTCGTCCGTGAGAGTCGTCGTTGCTTTTGAGGGCGCAGATGAAAGTCACTTGGAAGGTCGGACCGCGGCTAAGATGCCGAAGGCGGGTTGGTGAAAAGGTGTTTGATGGTTATTGTGTGGCTGAGGAATGTTTTGAAGAAGAAGAGATTTGTTTGCGATTGAAAGAGGAGGAGGTAGTTTATAGACGAGGAGGGCGGGGCGCGAGTGGAGCCTGGCTGCCTTGCAGCTGGAGTGGGTCTTGAGGCTGGAGCGGAGCCTTGTGATGTGGTGAAGTGGCCTCGACCATTAATTAATTGTTCACTGCTTCTACCTGAGTACCCTGTCTTCACTCGTTCAGCAGCAGATTTGTCGTTCTCGAGACATTGCTCGCCTCTATAATTCCGTTATCGATAGGAGACTCCCTCGCGGCACAATTTCTCGATCGTCCGTAGCGCTATTGTGACAGAGCCGCCCTTTGTCCGAGCACGAGGCCTGTACGTCCGTCGACCCTTCGTTCAACTTTCGTAAACCCATTTCCACATCTGGCCGTGCCAGTACCATCACTTTCTTCCTAGAACCATTGACGGCGATGTGGAGATAATCGCCGCATCTCTACCTACCTACTCATCACCATGCGCTGGACGCAATGGGCATGCCTGCTGCTGGGCCTGCGGCTGTCCTCTGCCACTCTTGCTGTACGCGATCACGACCGGCATGACTACTTCGTCCTCCAATTAGAGCAGGGTCATTCTCCAGAAGTAGTCGCACAAAGGCTCGGGGCCACGTATGTTGGCCGTACGGGTGAACTCGATGGCCACTATACATTCTCCAGTCCGAAGGGGTCAAGTGAGGATGTTGACATAACATTGACGGAATTGCGACGCAGGAGGCGGAAAAGGTCAGAAGAAGGCATCATCGATGGCCCACTCAGGAAGCGTACAATGGGCCTAGAGGGCGTAGTTTGGTCGCAGAAACAAGAGCTCAGGCAAAGATTGGTGAAAAGACCTCCACCACCTGTGGGGCTACAGTCCCGTCAGAAGTCTGCAGAGCAGCAGACTCAAGACAAGAGCGTTGAACAACAAGAAGCTATACAAAGGCTAGACCAGATTGCTACTCAGTTGGACATCGGGGATCCAATATTCAAGGAGCAGTGGCATCTTTTCAATCCTATACAACTCGGTCACGACATGAACGTTTCTGGCGTCTGGCTGCAGGGCATAACCGGACAGGGAGTGATCTCTGCTGTCATCGATGATGGGCTTGACATGTACAGTGATGATCTCAAGGCCAACTACTATGCAAATGGTTCCTGGGATTTCAATGACCCGGGGCCAGAACCTCGACCTAGATTGTTCGATGACAAACATGGGACAAGGTGTGCTGGAGAAATCGCTGCGGTCAAAAACAACATTTGTGGCGTGGGCATGGCATACGATAGCAAGATTGCTGGCATCAGAATCTTGTCGAAGCCGTTGACCGACGAAGACGAGGCGACCTCGATCAATTATCACTACCAGGAGAACCAAATTTACTCGTGTTCTTGGGGACCTCCGGATGACGGAAAGACTATGGAAGGGCCCAGCGTACTGATAGAGCGTGCTATAGTGCAGGGTGTTCAGAAAGGGCGTAATGGTCTGGGTTCGGTGTTCGTATTTGCTGCAGGAAACGGTGCCAACTACGATGACAACTGCAACTTTGACGGCTATACCAACAGCATCTACTCCATTACTGTCGGAGCGATCGATCGAGCTGGAGAACATCCCTACTACTCCGAGTCTTGCTCGGCGCAACTTGTCGTGACGTACAGCTCTGGCCATAACGATGCCATCCACACCACCGATGTCGGCAAAGACAAGTGCAACACTGGCCATGGCGGCACGTCAGCTGCGGGTCCGTTGATGGTTGGTACTGCAGCGCTTGCTCTAAGCGTTCGACCTGATCTCTCATGGCGTGATCTGCAATGGCTTTGCGTTTTGAGTGCCATTCCTGTGCACGAAGAAGATGGGGATTGGCAAGATACAGCAATCGGAAAGAAGTTCAGTCACATGTACGGCTATGGCAAGATCGATGCTTATCGATATGTAGAGCTGGCAAAGAATTGGGAAAGCGTCAAGCCTCAAGCGTGGTACGACTCGCCCTGGATCAGTGTGCAACACCCAGTCCCCGAGGGTGATCAAGGGCTCGCGGCGTCCTTCGATGTCACGCAGACTATGATCAACAAGGCCAATCTGGAGCGCATTGAGCACGTCACGGTCACCATGAACGTGGAACATACGCGAAGAGGCGATCTGAGTGTGGAGTTGAGGAGTCCGGAGGGTGTTGTCAGTCACCTTTCAACGCCTCGTCGCAACGATGCTGCTCGCGCAGGCTACGTAGACTGGACTTTTATGTCTGTGGCGCACTGGTATGTTTTCTCGTCCAGAAGGCCACTGATTGGTCACTAATAATATCTAGGGGTGAGAAAGGTGTTGGAACTTGGACCATCATCGTCAAAGACACCAACCTCAACGAACATAATGGGACTTTCATCGACTGGCGAATGAAGCTGTGGGGCGAGGCTATCGATGCAAACATCCAAGAACTTCATCCGATGCCCGATGAACACGACGACGATCACGAAACGGCGAGCGCGATAGTCACCACCACTAGCATTAGCGCGAATCCTGCCTCGCACGCTACTCCACCTCCAGGGAACCCTACAGACCACATCGATCGACCAACCAAACCTAAGCCAGGGGCTTCAGACTCTTCGACAAGTCCCGGCAGCCCGACAGGGACCGGCGCACCCGACACGACGACCTCCTCCGCACCCGATGCCACAAAGAGTGACTCAGACAGCTACCTCCCATCGTTCTTCCCTACATTCGGCGTCTCAAAGAAGACGCAGGTCTGGATCTACGGGTCGATCGGCCTCATCATCGTGTTCTGCGCTGGCCTGGGGGCCTACTTCCTCGTCCAGCGGCGCAAGCGCCTCAAGAATTCACGCGACTATGCTTTCGAGATGGTCGATACCGTGGATCCTGATGAGTCGAAGCAAAGGCTGAGGGGTGGACGAGCCAGAAGAGGCGGCGAGCTGTATGATGCGTTTGCGGCGGGAAGTGATGATGATGACGGTGGAGGATTTTCAGACGATGAGGATGAGAGGTACGAGGACACGCCGACGGGGAGTAGTGGGAGTGGTGGAGGGAATGGAGGCGGGAATGGCAGAGAGCCTCATTAAAAGGTCGTTGGAATGTGATCCGTCTTGACGTCCATTGAAAAGTTGTACTTCTACACATACGGTGGTACAAAATGCCCAACGTCACGAACCTCTACTTCTTTATTTTGCTGGCCTAAATCATGTAGTCATTTGAAATAGATAGCCCTATATTATCGGTAGATCTGCTATATGATCCCTGTCTGACCAAATCATTCCCCAGTGTCTGACGGAGTGACTTCCTCCTTCCAAATTCGCTATTGCATGCTTCAACATTCGCTGGTGATTGCTGTTCGTTATTTATCGTCAATCCAAGCTCAAGCGAGACATAGCACGTGGTGACAGCACAGAAGAGCCAGCAGGAAAGTCAGCTTTTAGCGGCTGAGGAAAGCATACCTGACACTGGCGGGCAGGTATGGGCTGTGGGCCATGGCCCCTATGCACCGCAGACAAACTACCGCGTAGAGTAGAGTGAATAGAACTTCAAACCATTGAGCTCCTGATCTGCCTCTGATCATCTTGTACTCCTGTGAAGGTCTTCAACCTCGAGCCAAGAGTGTCTTCTCTCCTGTTGTAGCCGTAAAATTGCCTTTCGTCTGTCTTAGGTTGCAGTTGAGACCCTGACGCAGTGAGCAGGAAGGCGACGATTACATCACTTACGGCAGGAAGTCATCTCGCGGAGGCAGCGACGACGAGCAGAGCGAATGCCATGGTCATCTATCATCAATCCTAAGCTCTATTCCCTCCCTCCGATGGTCGTGTATGACCAACATGAGCTACAAAAACATAATATCATGGTTGAACTGAGGCGCCAGACCCGGCCATCAGCACCACCGCCCACAACCAACGAGAATGATCCGCACGACTCGTCCGACGCGACATCATTACGATCGAAACGAAATCGAGCAGTATCAGCTGTCAACGGCGAGCAACAGCAGCACCAGGAATTGCACAAACGCCGCAAGCTCGCCAACAACCTGCAACCCCAGAAACTGCGCATCCCACTTCGCGGCAGGACTGGACTACAGCCAAAATATACAAAATCTGCTCCTGAGAAGAGCAAATACAGTCACCAGTCTGCCGGTGAATTGCCTACGCCTGCTACATCGATCGATAGCCCCACACCGAAAGCACAGTATGATCAGTTCCGAAGAGTCGAGGAGAAAGCTAGAGCCTCTATCCGCGAAAACAAGACTGGTGATGCCGACAACAAGAACAATGACCGGCGTAGGCTGCGATCCGAGCATGGCGGCACACGTATCAAGACAGAGTTGGCCCAATTCATCCCGAATTTCGAGGAGATGCTCAGCCTGGAGCCTCCTGATCCTAGTATGTCTCTACAGCATCATCCTCCGCCCCTAACCACTAACGATACGCCCACAGCCGCCCTGACAGCACACACACGCGTCACCCTCCTCAACGACACCCCAGACTATGACCCTCCGCCACCCCGCTCCGACCCCTTCGCGCCCACAAACCCCTCCACAACACCGAGATCATCCCCATCCCCTCCCTGTCTGCCCCTCATCGGCGGAACTCCTCAGACCCTATGGCCGAAGACCGGTATCTCAAGAGTCACGCCAAAGCAGAGCGGCACGAAAAGCACATGAAGAGTGGTGAACGAGAGCGTAGTCAGCACGAGAAATACCAACTCTCTCGTCTGCTGGATGACCTTCGTGGCCCTGATTGGCTGAAGACTCTTGGTATCTCTGGCATCACTGACTCAGAGAAGAAACGATATGAGCCTAAGCGAGCGCTAGTGATTCAGGAGATCAAGGCTCTTATCAACAAGTTCGATAGGTGGAAGGAAGAGGAGAAGCGGCGGAAAGCGGAGAGGGATCAAGCCTTGGCGGAGGAGGCTGAGGCTGCCGAGCAGGAGGAAAGTGAGGACGAGAGTGAGGATGAGGTGGCGAATAGTGAACGTAGCGCTTCCACTGCGCCATCGACGCGACAAGGTCCCGATTCCAGCGAGATTGACGAGCTGGCTTCTGCTCAGTTGCTTGGCGAGGCAAGAGGCGCCAAAGGTGCTTCAGCAGCCGGCAGATTAGGCGTCAAGGACTCGAGCAGCAACAAACGCCGAAGACGAAACGGTGTCGGTCACAGTCGCACCACCTCTCGAAACGACTCGCCCGCAAAGCACTCCGCCTCCGTCACTCTACCGCCACCACCACCACCGCCGCCTCCACCAGAGAAACCAATTACCTCATTCTTCGCAAAACGTCACCTCCGCGATGCAGCCATCGCAGGCCGACAACGTGGACGCACCGTCCTTGCGTTCGGCCACCCTATACCTGAGATGGTGCCGATCGAGGAGGCGGAAGTGCTGGAGGAGGGTGTGCCAGCGCGGGAGTTCCGGCTGCCGCAAAGCATACTCACGGAAGATGCTATTAGAGCTAGTCAGCGCAGTGGGAGGAGGCGGAGGAGAGATACTGATGCAGCTGCCGCTTAGGATGGGCCTGGCTTGACTGATGGAGCTCATAGTGTGAAACCGGAGATGGACATTGGTTGTGATGTATCATTAGCGATCATTAGGGTTTGCACTGCGCTAGGCGTTCTGGAAAAGGTTCTGTCTGGTAGGACAGGGTAGTCGTTTGTTTGGTCCACAGCAGAGCGATGAGTTCGTGGTGGCAACATGGCTATACAGAAAGTCCATAAAAGGCAAAATGGTTATGGCAAGGAATGGCATAAATACGACCAACGGCTCCGTATGCTCCATTCTACAACACACTCAAAGTGGAAGGCCTCTCCTGGCATCATCTTTCTGAGTCCCGCCCGGATCACAGCCCGCACTCAAGCCGTTGTTCGGATCATGCTCAGGCTTTCTTGATCACGCTGCTCCATCTCGAACCAGAACTTCCGATCGTGTCTTTCTCGATCATCCTGTCTGGCCTGACACCAGCCGCTTTCGCATGCATGGCCTGACTCGGTAGCGCAGGTGGGAGCCTGTGAGCTTATCACTGCTCACACGTATTGCAACCCCCAATGTCCCCACAGCTCAAAAAGCAGCTCGTGCCACAGTTCTGACAGGTGCATGCATTGCTCCAGGATAGTTCTGAAGGCACTATTGAATTCCGAGTCAGCTCATCAGAATGTCTCAGCTTCAGCAAACGCCGGGATTTTAGCAGCAAAACGGCTATAGGTGAGTACTGACCCCGAAGCGGCCTTCTGGACACACCACTTGTGGAACGTCCGCGCCGCCCGGGCAGCCACGAGGGACTAAATGGTGGCTTGTGGTCTCCTCTAGACTTGGCAAAGCCGTGACAGCTGGCAGGCTGAGCGCTGTAAACGAGGTGAGGATTGCTGTGAAGTGCATTGTTCCTTTTGGCCGACTGTGTTTGGACGAGGAGGATGAAAGGTTAAGCACATTCACACTCAGGTGAGTTGAGGCGAGATTCTTATAGGGCGACAAACACTCCCTCCAGAAGAGCGGCTCATCATGTCATACAAGAAGCTGAGGTACCTACGCAACCTGTGCGACCACGGCAGAAACATCCGGGCGCGGTATCTGTCGACAACAGCCAACGCTTCCAGAGCCGTCTGGGGCCAGGTGACACGTTCCATGGCTGCTAGATGGCCGCCTCGATCGTCAGTACATCATCTGAGCAAAGCTCCTTCTGTAGGCAGATTCAGCATGAAATGACCACTGAAGGCCAGGCCTGACGATCATGTGTGTAGACCATTGATTGCGCTGTCACGTTCTCCATTCCAGACCTGCAGGTGTCAGGCCAGGCAGGAAGAGTCGAGATCAGCAATTCCGAAGAGTCATGGTAATCGAGATAGAATAGGGTGTGAAAATGAGCCTCAGCGTTGTCTGCACTGCGGCTCCCCTTTGCAGGAGGTGCAGTGTTTGTTGCCCCACGACGCGGGCGCCGCCGTGGCAGCATTGTTGGATTTTTCCAGTGTAAGTGGCCTACGAGGGCCAAGGCTGACTCTAGCAAAACCTCATACGGCCACGTCAACGGCGGCGAGTGGCACAAGCTACTGGTGGAGTGGACGGGGACGGGGAGCTGGTGGTTCGAGGGCCGTGTCGACAAGACCGGATGACAGTGGCTACGTGGACGCTGCAGCACCGGATGACTGATAGCTTCGCCCGAGACCGGGGTGACTAGACCTCAGCACTGATTGCCATGGGCTGTCATGATGATGTAGGAGCTGGTTTCGCCGAATGAGCTGCTCAGCGTGTTGGCGGCGATGGACATTTCATTGTCTATCTAGCGAGTGCGTGACTTGCGGGTGTGTGAACTTCAGAACCACCCAGTTCTAATCAGTCTGAGCTCCAATCAATGGGTATGACCACTCACAGACGCAATGCCGTGCTGATATTGGTCATATTAGCAGACTGCCTGAGCACGGACAAGCATGCGGGCGCATCGAGTGACTATGAAGGAACCCTTCCTCGGCGCCCAAGTGCAATCGAGCTTGGTCGTTGTTTGAATCTCGGACCACTTGTTATACTTCCTCTGTCGCAATTGGTGCACCAGCGTCTCCGCGCGTCCTTGGCCGTAGAACCACTCTCGGATCTCAAGGGCACATCCTGAGATCAAAGTCTACCGCTAACTGCGCCTGATTCTTCCCTCAGAGCTCAGCGTTGCGCCCGCTCAGGACGGATGGTAAGCTTGAGCTTCTTCGATGACGGCCCGTGAGATCGACTCATGCCAGACTCGGCCGCGACCTCGTGGGGTTGAATGGTCATAGCGCGCTTCTTGTGTATTGATTTCTTCAACTTCGGACGGGTGGCGAGCACATCACTGTCTTCCTCGACAGCTGGGGCTGCAACTTCTTGACCATCGTGCAGCTCAGCATGTTCCTGAACATCGTCCTCCGCAGCTGCTGGTACTTTGACATCTGACTTCATCCGAGTCACCAGGGCCAACAGATCCTTGCTCACCGCGTTCAAACTCATGGTTGAAGCCGCGAGATCACCAGCGTTTGCAGGCCACTGCTTAGGCTCAGTCTCCAGATCCTCGGGCTTTGGGTCCAGCTGAGTGAGTTTCGCGTTCATCAGGTTAACGGTGGTTTGGACCTCTCTAAGCTCTGATCGTGTCTGGCTGATCGCAGATACAACTTTTTGTGCTTGTGCTTCATTCTGAGAGGCTTGGACCGCTATTTCCTCGCTTTGTCGACAGGCCTGAGTAGCTGTGTAGATGAGGTCGTCCAGCGCTTTTTGCATGCTGGCGGGTTCTTCTGTAGGGGCAGCCATGATCTCGAGAGCTCGCGAGCTTTTGCGACAGTACTAGGTGGTTCTTTCGAGCAGCACACGCGTGTCCAGGTATGTGGTCCAGCGATGTTCAACGCGATATGGCTGTAGAAAGACTGTACTCGCGCTGTGGCCGCGAAGAGAGCATTGATGTGCCGCGACATCTCTGGTGGGCGTTGATCAGGCAGCCACGGGCGCAAATTCATGATTATCACAGCGCAAGTGATGTTGAAAACGACAAGTGACATGCGTTGAAGCAGGAGCTGTGATGTCGTGGACACAGTTGACAAGGCAGCACCTGTCAGGCGATTTTTCAGCTCACGCGCTCACCCGTTCGGCTTCTCCCTAGACATCCCTCAAAACAATTATGCTAAAGCGCTCTTCCAATGTCACAAGCCCCCAGCCGAAAGTAAAAGCGCAGAATACCGCGTTTGAGGTCAACTTCAACCTCCTTTACGCGATCATCGATTCTGGCCAATTGAAGACAGAGTCTGATTAGCATCAATGACTCGGAGGCTCAAGTTCATGCAACGCAGAGCCAGTTCCTTGTAGCAGTTCAGCGGATCCGAGGGAATGAGAAGGGGATTTCGGATCACTGCGCTCTTGCCAGCTCGGTCTGCTCCCAGCACCATGTCGTTTGACCGTTCTCCCTTGGCGTCTCTTCAGCATAAATCGACTGCATCGCTCTCCCAGTCGGACCTGCGGTCTGCTGGGCCATTTTGCTCACAGCCTAAGTAGAATCGCTCCTAAGCATCTTCCTCCTGCGTAGAACGATCCTTGAACCGTGGCCTTCTGAGAAACGGCGAATGCCTTGACGCATTTATGCAAGTCTATCGATGATACCCTGGTCGGCTGAGTACGAGCACTTTGTTCGTTGCAAATCGTAAGAAACCGAAGACGGACTCTATGTTGTCCAGTAGCCGATGCCAACATGAGTAATGTAGACAGCGCCGGATGGCCAACGGCCTTCCGCGGGACCGGGTGACTAGACATCAGCAGGATCTAGCCATCGCCGGATGACATGCCATCTCAGACGAGACCGGTTGACCCGCCAGATAGGTATGCTGAAGAAAGTCGACTTGTTGACGGGTAAGTGTGGGGATGGGATATATATATGTCAAACCTGCGTGGTGAATATCGCACGTGCTGGTGGGGAACCTTCTGGCTGTTGCACGCTCTCGAGCATAGTAGAGATACGCACCAAAGCAGAATACTCCCAGGAGACCAGTGCCATGCTATACGATGTAAGTCTGCTCTCTAAGATGAATGCACAAGACCCTCATGATCATCCAAACACAGTCGCAGGTCCACAGTCCTTAGCACGCGTTGACCGCTGGGCAGCTGCTTTCGTAGATCTCTGAAGCCAGGGAGGGGGTGCTGAAGGCACACAACTGGATCACCAACTTTGCGCATTTTCAACCCAGGGAGGGCGCTGTACTATCAAGATCGTAACACGCTCACACCACGAGCAAGACTCGTTTCACGATCAAGTCATTTAGAACTAACGCTCATGTCATCTCGTTCTGACGATCAAGTCAAGACTCTCGTCCTTAAAGGCGTGTCAGTTCTACTTCTATTGCTACACTCCAAGAAGATACGTTCTGACCCACAGGGAGGCCTCTAACGGGTCCCCTTACTCATGCCAATTGGACCCTCTGAATCCTGCTGCTCAAACCTCATCGTCGTCCAAAGCCCCGTCCAGAAACTCATCGTCCTCGACTACCTGACTATAGTCAGTCTGTCCCCTCCTGTCGGCGAATGCGCCCCTACTCCTATACGGCCCAGAGCCCGCCCCAGGGAACCTGCCACCCCTCGACCCACTGCTAAGAGGCATATAGCCCCTTGCACTCCGCCACAGGCTCATAACAAGTAGTGGCGTCGCCCTCGCAACCGCTACGACCCCGCTGATCACAGCCACAGGTACTGTGATCCACGGGGACTCTCCGCTGGAGGTCGAGCCTATCGACTCACCCAGCCGGATTTGTCCCAGTCCACCGAAGCCGTCAGTCTGGTATTTGCCGTAGGCCCAGTAGCCGACGCCGCCAGCGAAGATGATAGGGATCATGATCACGAAGAATAGCGCTGCGCCAGAAAGGCCGTGCTTCTTGTTGAACTCTTCCTCGTGACCCGCGCAGGGCAGGGCTTCGGATTTGTCGAACTCGCGGCCGCCCTGGCAGGTTGTCAGGGGCACGCGACGATAGCCAGTAGGTAGAAGAACTCGATCTGGTCGGGGTTCTTCTGACAGTTGAGGCTATGGTCTGGCGGGTCGAGACCGGGAACGAGCGCGCATGAGCCGTCGGGCTTCATCTCGTAGTTGTAGTCGCATTCGAAGTCGGAGCGTGTGCAGGAGCAGTTCGACTTGATCTCGTGAAGTTGTGGAAGCGGCGTCCTGCCGTTGTGGCATTTCGCGTCGTCGCGCTTGCGGTGGTAGGTTGAGATGTGGCCGAAAAGGCAGTTGTTATCCTGGGCCGGGTGACGTGGTTCCCAAAGGTAGTAGTCCTCATTCTCAGGCTTCTCTTCGCTAAAGTTGCACTCGCGTTCTCGATCGGCAAGAGCGGAGAAGTCTAGGGCCACGGTGAAGATACCGCTGCCGCCAACTTCATCGCCCCAGAGGAGGAAGTTCATGCTGCGGTCGGACGGGACCGTAGTGATGGCGGCGATGTGCATATTCTTGTCAGAGAACTCGTGCTCGGTCCAAGACTTGCCTTCGTCGAGAGAGTAGAAGAGAGTTTTGGTCGGGGTACTTTCTGGGACGATTACAATGATTGAGCCTTGGTCGCCGTACTCGAACAGGTATGAGCCTTTCTTGATGGACCGCCATGTGATGCCAGCATCGGAGGTGATGAAAGTGTCTGTCTCGTCCGAGTCCTTGGGCAGCAACTCAGACCCAACGTTGCCAACCGCGATCATAAGGCCGACGGCACTTGGCGACGAGAATGTAGCGCTCTTGTCGGCACGCTCGGTGTACGAGTGGAGTTGTAAGGCGCAATCTGCCGTGGCGACATTCGGTGAGTTGACACATTTATAGCTTCCGCCTTCGGCTCTGTCTTTGGGAGGCGGCAGCCAAGTCCATTCGGCACCGTCGTTATGTGTGATCATCGACTTGAGCTGCTTCTTTTCACCCTTCTCGACCTTGTCGATATTTGCCACCACGTTGACCATAGCAACACCCTCGAGTCCGTGCATCTTCTCGAAGTCAACGTATCCTGGAGTGTCCCTGTTGACCCCATTAAGGACAGTCACATATGAGGTTCCGTTGCTGTTTGACTTGAGAATACTGCCATACTCCTTGTCTTTTGCTGGGTTGACGGTCACATGGAGGAACACGGCATGCGTGGAGCTGTCCATGACAGTATAGGCTTGCTGGTGATTGACCTGGAAGTTCTTGGGGAATTGAGCAGCCGCGAAAATTCTGCCATCAACGCTAGCATCCACCTTGAGTCCCTTGCCGTCGTCTTCCTTCGCGGCAACAATGATGAACTCAGCCATTGTGGCATATGCCAGGATGTCGTCGAAATGGACTTGAGGCGATTCTCTGAATAAGGTGTCGCTGGAGACAAGCTGGAGATTCTTTTCGGGATTCTCGTCCTCATATTGTTCGCAGTAAACGAGCTGTCTCAGCCTTTCATTCTCCTCTCTATCGGCCATGTTGTCATTGCCTTTCGGGATGAAATCGCACGAGCGAACGTAGCGGCGTAGTGTCTTCCAGTCGTCTCCACGATCTTCGGAGTAATAGACATTCGTGTGTCCATCTTTCGCACCAGACCAAAGCAGCCAATCTTTGTAGTCGGGATGGAACTTGAGCTTCGTTCCCGAGATCCCGGATGGCGGCTCGGGCGCATCGAAGCTGCCAAATTTGTCGCCACCGTCAACTGTGTAGTAGACTTTTCTGCCTTTGTTGCTGTCGGTCAAGAAGAAGATACGCTCCGAAAAGAATGGGTGTGGCTGGATTTGGACCACCTTCTCATCTTTCAGAATTGGTGTCCACGTTCGACCGTGGTTTTTGGTGATGTAAACGTCGTTGCCAGTTCGCATGATGACAGTTTCACCCTCCCGCTCACTTAGTCCAGACTTCTCAAGGTAGTGCCACTCATTGAAGGCATCACTCTTGAATGGAGTCTTCTCGACCCTGATCTTATCGGTGCCGGTGGATGGCTTCTCAACCGAGTCGCCGCATGGCCTGTCGATATCTTTGTCGAATGATTCGCCACCTGATCGCTCGCACTCATTACCAGGGATAAGTCGCCATCCCGAAGAAGCCTTGAACGTGTCATCTTTGTTCTTGCACGTTCCTTCAGGAACTGACAGAGGTACCGCAGGCTCGCAAGACTTTCGATCCTCTGACCGCACGAAGTTGACGTCGCATTCGAAGTCTGCCTTGGTACACTTGCAAGGCTCAAATTCTGGAACAGGATCCTTGAACTCATCATCAATGAAGCAGTCGGCATCTGGTTTCCGGCGGCGGAAGTACTGTTTATGGCCCATAATGCAGCTGGCCTTGCCATCTTCGTCGACACGGGCCGGCCACACCTCAAAGTCGTCTTTCTTGCAAGCACGTTCATGCAGGCCGCCGAAGTCGACTTTGATGATGTGCCAATCGTCATCTCTGACGCCCATGACAAGGAATTTAAGCGTCGTCGAATCAGGTGCAGTGGTGAGCACTTTGGCTCGAATCTTCACACCAAGATCCGTCTTCTCCCACTTTTGTCCATGATCGATGGACCAGTGGATCACATCAGTCTCGTCGTCATCACTGATCGCGACGAGGACGCCGCCTTGGCCACCGAATTCGTATAGATAGGGACCATCCAAAGCTTTCGTCCATGCTACGCCAGCGTTGTCTGAGACATAGAGGTCACCCTTTTCGTAAGGCTTCAGGTGCTTGCCTGTGTTACCGATGCCCATTACTATGCCAGGAGCCGGGCTAGAGAAGATTCGACCTCCTTGCCTTTGATCTGTGACGGAGTGCAAGTGGAGGTCATGCTTGTCAACTCGCATCTCTTGGAACGTGCGACCGTCGTCAAAGCTGATCTGCGATTTGACCTTCTTCTCCTCAATAGTCGACTGCTCGACCTCCTTCCAATTATCGACTGTGTTGACCAAAACGATTCCTTGTATATTGGAGATCTTCTCGAAGTCGACGCGTCCGTACTGATTACGATTGGTGTAGTCGATATTTCGGGTAAAGTATGTGCCATTTGAGTTAGAAGTGAACAGATAACCGAGCGGGTTGGAAGGTCTCGAGCCGAGCACGTCAACTTGCATGCTGTAGTTTGTGCTTTCGAGGATGGTGTATGCGCCTTCTTCGATGCGATGTTGGCCAAATTCGCAACGATGCCATTGCGATCCGTCCACTGTCACAAATAATGCAAGCTCATCTGAACCCGATGTTTTGGCGGCTGCAACGAGGAAATTTTTGGCGGGAGCCATGCTGATAATGCCCGTGATCGGCCGTCCTGAATCCAGACCAACCTCAATACCAGTGTGCCCGTCGAAGTAGTTGTCTGACATCAATAGCCTGTTATCGGTCTGCCATGGCGAGTATAGGCCCTCAGCAATGCAAAATATCCGGTTCTCGTGCAGGTCTTCTGCGTTTTCGCCGAATTGCTCGGTAGCTACAGCCCATTGGCAACCTCTTGTCATCGTACCCATAATATGGACAGTTTCGAAGTCGTCATCGGTGTAGTATGCGGCTTGCTCGCAGAGGAAGCCCGCACAGACCTCGCCATTCCATATAACTTTCTTCGCATCTCGACCGTGGAAGTTGAGTGGCGTAGAGCGAAAGATATCTGGACTGCTCTTAGACTTGAACTTCCGCCACGTCTCGCCTCGATCGGTCGTGATCCAATGCTCGGTCGATGCGCTCAAGATGTAGGCACGGTGCTTGTCCCATGGGTGCGGCCATAGGTCCCAGGCCTTGCCAGCTTGACCGTCGTCATCGACCTTCTCCCACGTCTCCCCAGCATCGGGGCTACGCCAAACGTCACCCTTGTCGCTATCTCGTCCTAGGACAACGTCGGAGTCATCGAAGTAGAAGATGTTCTCCAGCGGCTGATCAAACTTCTTGCTGGTGATCGTGGGGCCGTCCTTCTTCGCGTGAGCTAAGGAGAGCAGGAGCTGGCAAGGAGGAGAACGCCGAAGTAGTAAAGCGAGCGGATTATCATGGCGACATGAAAGCTATGGTACAACGCAAAAGAATCATACAGGGAGGCCGCTGTGAAGAAAATCAAAAATCGTGGATGGAGGGATCTATCATCGATGCCTGCGATTCAACGATTCAATGCTCGACCTGAAATCCTGACAGCCTTACCACGTCAGCCCTCAGCCTCGTGGACTCAATCGTTCAGGTTTCAGCTAATCCAAGTAGAGGTAGAAGTGACGCGCCTTCGATACCAATATTCATGACTCGAGCGTCAGATCGAAGTGGTTCGAGCTTCTAAACAAAGTGACTTGTGCGTCAAGTCAAAATGGCTCGATCGTGAAACGAGCCTTGCTATAATTATGATCGCGTCAAATTGTTAGTACAGCGCCCTCCGTGGCTGTAAATTCCACGACTTGCATAAAACGATTTTGTGCCTTGCTCATGCTTGTCTCGATCGCGCCACGAATTCGTCCGGGTCATCCATGATACGATGAGAACATCAGTGAATGCGAACAGAAGTCTTAAATGACATTCATTGATTGATTATACAGTCAGAGCCGGAATCGCATCGCAAACCTTCATCACTTGCGAACTTCCAAAACGCCTTCGCTTAACGAGAGGGTATATCAGTGATACAACAATTACAATTAACTTCAAATCAGTCTCAGAAGAACTTCCTCCATAACTTTTTCACTCTCGATTCCGAGGGCGCTGGCAGAGTGTCCCAGAAATTCTGACCATTGTTCGCAGGCATTAGTGGTGCCTGCTCTAGAGGCTGAGAATTGATATGTCGGGAAGAGGGCCGAGTCTCAGCTGTAGGCGAGCGCAAGTCTGGCCGTGTAAGAGTCATGTGGATGGTCATCTCACGATCTAGCGCTGTCGATTGCGCGTACTGATCAGATCGCACAACTTGTGGCTTCAGGGACGCCCGGTCAACGCTGCTCTTCTTAGAACGAACTCCCCGAAATTCTGATTCATTTGGTGTCCGGGGATCTGACAAAGCGTCGACCTCGCTGTGAGATGACCCGTCGTCGCCGACAAGAGAAGGCACGTCGTCGTTGGCGAACATTCGGGCAGAGTCTGTAGGAGCTCTTGGGCTTGTTTTGGGCCGATCGGACGTCCTGGACTGCTTATCGGCCATTGACGGAAAGCCAAACTCGATTGCCTCATCGAACTTTGATGGGCTAGCGAGGTATACTCTGAGCTTCATACGTGCAGCAGGGTCTTGATAGTGAGTAGCACGAGGGTCGACAGTGGATACCGACGAGGTCGGGCCATGATGGAACGAAGGTCGCTGCGGAGTGGTGGGCGTCTGTAGCCGGTTGAAGTACAATGACGGCACTCTGCTTGCTGATCTTGGAGGTGTAGAGATCGATGTGCGGCGCAACGACACTGTGCTCAGGGACATGTTGCGTCGATATGAATGCTTTAGTGGCAGTGGCGCGGCTTGTTGTCGTTGTGCGGTCTGCGCGATGGCTGCATGATAGTCGTCTAGTCGCAGATCGAGCTCGCTGTCGTTGTCGAGCCGACTAAGGCTATCCAGATACTGTTGTGAACTCATGCTCCTGCTATCACCGTGTTCAATGTCGAAGGACGATCGTGGCGAGTACTCCTCAGGAGTTTGAGAGGTTTCTGGGTGCGGCAGCCAAAGCAGATCTGAATCTGGCGGTAGGCGTTGCCTCTGCAGTAGCTCGTCCGCTGCGTCAAGGATGATGTGATGATTCTCGTTGGCGAAGAGCACTTGCTCTTCTTTTGTAAAATGCTTCCTCTGTACGGTCAAGGGCAGCGAAGCGAACCACGCTGCTGTGTCAGAGTTGACCAGGGTATCAGCGGTGTGTATCGTTCTTCTATGGCTCGTGGCAGGCCTTAGACTGGGGTGGATGTAAGGGATCGAAGGGATGCCGTCAAATGTTTCGAAGAGAGACTTGGTCTTCGCAAAGGTCGAGCGTGTCCGAGAGTGTCGACGGTGCTTGGGAAGACTTTGAGGAGACACAGAGCCATCGTGAGCTAAACGCAGGCGCTCCAAGCTGGAAAAGTACTGGTTCAGGCACAGAATGTTAGCATATCTTAGCTCAGGAACTGGGGAGGAGTATCGGCATGCTGATTCCAATAAAGTTCATCGAAGAACGCGGCCACTCCAGACTTTTGCACCTCATTGGGATCGGTCATGGCCTGTTAGGCCTAGGGCAGTGCCTAGCTCGAGCTAGATATCAGACCCTTCCAATCGCGTAGGTCCAAAACGTGATGGTGCCATCGCGTAGCCAAACAATCATTGCTGCCACGATTGAGTTGGAGTTTGTGATAAAACATTAATAGATTATTCCTCCGAAGAGAATCATCTTTTTCTCATCAGGGGGAGGCTTGTGTGAATCGAAGACATCATGAGAAGGAACGAACCTTTCGTTGGAGTGCGGGCGGCAGTTGTTCGTACTCGCGCTCCGTGATGGCAGCGCGGTTATTCTTCGCCATCTTGTTGTTGAGTCTTGACCCCGGGAGTGCGGCTGCTGATCTGGCTCCCTGGACATTAAAAGTGTTGCAACGAAGCTTCGGTTATGCAGAGTATGCAGTAGTATGAATCACCATAGCTGATGTTGGGAGTGATGTGTAAAGTCGATCTGTGGTGCGCAATTGTGTTATACTCAATTAGACGAAATTGGTGCAAGACATCGTCGCAGTCACAGAAGTGCCGATCGACACGATTCTCGTGGCAAGAGCGATGGCATGAGGTGGGAAGGGGCATGCCGATGATATGTACGGCAGCAGTATTCTATTTCACCGCTGGCAGTACTCGTGGCGCCCTTGATCCCAGACGCTTTGACAGGAATGTTCCGTGGTGCATCGAGACCTTGCACTTTCAATGTGCACCAATGACTTCCCTGTTCAGCGGTTCCAACTGCAGTTCAGGCACATGATGAACCATACCTTCTTAAGGATTTGAAACTGCAAGGTCCCGAGCTCGACGGGAAAAGACCCGCTGTACCATGAACATCCATGTTCGTTTCGAGCGCATGGCAGCAGGGAACTCCGCACACTGATTTTTGACTTGTCAGATGTTCTGCGGAACCACTGTTCAACGCGTCTGCTGCAGCTGTCACCGCGATCTTCAAGTGAAACCCTTCCGTTGGCTCTCCATCCGATGTTTCTAGCACACAACATCAGAGACAAGCAGAGCAGTTGATGCTGTGATTATTCTCATCATGTGTACTTCGGACTGATCGGGGATGCCGTTCGATGCCTGAGATTTGCGGCTGATGAGGGAGTCCATGTGGCTTTCGATGGGCATAACGGGAGATTGAACTTTCGTAACGCCATGCCTCGTGGCAGCAGAAGGCCCTACGGGCCGTTGAAAAGTCGGCAATTCACTTCACTCACAGACTACATGCGAGCTGCGCTCCTGTTGCTCAAGGGCGTCTTGGGCACTGTTGTATATCGAAGTGGAAGTCGGCCGGTTACTAGCACTCGAATGCCTATTGATTTACAACTTCAACACTATAGACGAGGAGCAATGAGTACGGCATACTTCTCCGCCTGCCGCAGTTCCGAGAATAAAAATGTTGTGGCTCGCGCTAGGCTTGCTGCGAGGTTCTTGAACCTCTTAACGTCAGGTCTGGAATCAGCCTCCTTCACGGCACGACCGAGAGGTTGTGACTTCAACAACTCGAGCAGCTCCGAGAAAGATCGGGAGGTCGAGCCTTCCCTATATGGAAGTCTGGACTTCAGATGACGAAATTGTTCGGTGCACTGGCAGTCGTGACCGTGCACGTTGTTGTATCTGTGCCTTGCGTTTGAGAACTTTGACAGTGTCGGAGCATATCATATAAGTCGACGTGCCGCCGTCAGCGAAGTCCTCAATGTTTCGTCTGCCGCTCGAGGCTACACGAGGGGTCTCCTGACACACTGCTGCGGTCGAATTCCCGAGACATCTCGTTTCTCTCGACAACGGCTAAATCTTGAGACGATTCATCGTTCTCACTACCTACCACTCTTTTCTCTTCGTTCGGCCCAGTGATCTCATGGGTATGTGAATCCGATCACCGCGTCGTAAACTCGTCAGATCGAGCAGGCCCTTCAGCACAAGATTGCTGCTTGGCAACAATTCACCATTCCCGATGTCATGCACGACATTCCCAGCTCAACGTGCTTTCTCAGCTCGCCATTACTGCACGACGCCTTCGTATTCATAATAGATTTCAACACGAGCACGAACAAATGAATCACTGGTCCTCCATCGCGCAAAGTGCGACCTTCTGGCTACGAATGCTTCATTCAGCTCGGTGCGTCGTGCTCAGCCACAGGCAAAAGATCAGGCCTCAGAAATTTGCCTTTTGGTCTCCCCAGAAGCACCCCTGTCAACAAGTGTCTCGAGCAATCACGATCGCCGCTGACGCCAATACTATCCACCATGAACACCGCCTTACCCCTTTCTCTCGATTTTACGTTCAGTTGTCAACGCGAATCCGAGGAAGACGATGGAGGCGCGATCATGAATGTCTCATAATTTATCCTCTGCCTCCCTGCGATATTACTTGATTTTGCCGCCTTCACTACCTTTCGCTGACCACCATATCATTCATTCCAAAGTAATAAGACTTTACAGTATACCACAGCTTTTCTTTCCTTGCCAAAACAGACCATAGCGAAGATGCGCTTCACACTCGCTACCATCGCTTTCTACGCGACATACGTCCTGGCTCAGACCGGACAGAATGCCATCTCAATCCCACAGGGTCAGTCAACGCTTGACATCACAGCCGGCCAGCAGACCACGATTCAATGGACTGCGCCATCAGCTGGTGACGTGACCATTCTTCTGCAATACGCTGGCAACGACCAGCTCGCCGACAGCGGCATCACACTTGCTTGTAAGCTTTCAGTCCGATCAAGACTCCATAACGGCGTGCACTGACACAACCTTTCCAGCCGGCATCCCAGCCTCGGCCCAAGAAGCCTCCTTCACCATCCCCGCCGACGCCGTCACCTCCGGCACAGATTACACAATAGTCATCGTCGACGATACCACGCCCATAAACCGCAACTACGCACCCGCTTTCACTGTCGCAGGCGCCGATGGCACTGCCTCGCTCCCTACCGGCGGCGCGACCGCGACCTCCGGCTCTGCATCCACTCGCACAGGCTCCGCCACGACCGACAGCACTGATGCAACCATCACCAGCGCCACAAGCTCAGACAGCTCAAGCGAGACCAGCAACGCCACATCATCGCGATCGTCCGCCAGTCGCACATCCAGCAGCAGTGCCAGCTCGACTGCGAGTGCAACGGAGGCGCCAAGCTCGAATAATGGTGCCGGTTCGCTGACCGTGGCTGGCGGCCTTGCGGGCTTTGCTGCGGCGGTCGCTGCGCTTCTGTAATTGATGTCGCATTGTGATCGCCGACAAGCTCCTTCTAAGAGGGTCGCTGCGTCCGCGGGTCATCTGTACAGGCACCAGCTTCTTCAGTGAGAATACACATTCCCGGCAAGAACCGACCTGCGGACGGACAGCTCCAACCAATCTTTCAGTCACTGCATATTAGCGAGGCATTATAACAATTATCTGTACCCACCATGCATTGAGCACACCGGGCGAGAAGGAACAGCAGCGTATCGGAGGCAAGCGAAATTTATACAGACCATGGCATGCGGCGGATACGGACTTCTTTCAACCATGTACTTATTCTTTGAACTTGTCGATACTGACCCTTACATATCGGAGCCCGGATGTTTGCATTCACACAAATACCCCACGGTCTGGACGGCTTGGAAAGTTGTAGGATATGTTCATAGGGTACATAGTCATCAGCATGAGGAAAGGTCGAAATCCTTTTCACCCTGTAATGTGCTAGCTTGCTCATTTCAGGTCGCAGTTTGTGTTAATGCGTATTGTACGCTGCTGTATTCGAAGGTCAACTTTCGTGACATCGCTTGCTATCGTGAGATCTTGTATTTGACCACAGGGCGGACTCTGGCCGTATGCAGGACATTTATATCGCTCATATTCAAATCCAGTGCTCAGTCAACCGGTCACGGAAAAGACCTATGATCATATCCGAAGTTCTGCTCCTGCCGCTTCCAGCACCCATCGAGCCACACATTCCCAAAAACTTCGCCGCTGTACCCCCTCGTCCTAGAGCACCGACCCTGCATCTTCAGTATATGAAGGCGGAATTTCTTCACTACCGTCTTCGCCAAAGGCCGAACCAACTCGTGATGCATCGGAATCCCAAACGGAGCAGGTGATCTCGCTTTACGTTTCGCGGCTCGAGGTGCTGCTCTCTTGATTTGCACCTCCAGCAGAGCTCTCTGGGGTGGTTCCAGTTCGAAGTGCTCTGTGAAGATGCTCCGGCGGTATGTTTTGCGTTCTCTCCTTCTAGGAGGATGTACGTGCTCGCTTTCCTTCTCTGTGTCTGCCGTTTCTGGTTCCACTTCCTGAGTCGTTCTAAACGCGCTGGGATCGTACGGTTTGCTTTCTCTCCTCCTCGGCGGTCGTATGTGTTCGCTCTTTGTCTGTGTTTCTGCCGCTTCTGCATTCATATCCTGAACCGATACAAACGCGCTGGGGTCGTACGGTTTGCTTTCTCTCCTTTTTGGTGGACGAACGTTCTCACTCTCTGTCCCTGTGTCTGCCATCTCTGCTAGTGTTTCTCGACTCTGGGCGAATGCGTTGGAGTCGTAGGGCTTGCTCTTCCGCTTGCTCTTCCGCTGCCTTGGTGGCGGTAAATGTCTGCCTGCGATCTTAGATCTTATTGCTGCTGCTTCTGCTTCCACGTCCGTTTCTGAGATGCTCGGTTGGCAACCAACCAGCGTCATAGTCCGCAGAGGTGATCGTTCACGAACTGTGCTGTTCGGGAAAGGCGGTTCTGGGATGTAGAAGGGAATCAGCCGGCCGCTAAGCTCACAGTCTCTTCTCCAGGCCGCAACAGGACGCGGAGGTTCGCATCTGACTTCGATTTCGTCGTCCTTGTTGTTGTTGTTGCTGCTGTACCGCTCATTGTCGCTCTCGTACCCTTCGTCGCTCTGTGGTGGAGTCGGTGCTTCAGTAGATGGAGCGGAAGTCTGCTGCGCGGCCAAAGCTTCCAGCTCCTCGGACTCGTCCGCCCAGTCTGTCAATTGCTCGTCGTCCCATGGAAGGGTGGGGGAATGGGCTTGTATCGGTTGTGAAATCTCGAGAGGTGCTATTGCGTCGCTGCTGTCGTTTCGTTCGCTGTTGGTAGCAGGAGAAGCAGGAACTGGAACAGCGTAAGAAGCAGAAGCAGAAGCAGCAGACTGCTCTTGTGCAAGCTCCGCTTCGAGGGCCATTGTCAGATACATGTTGTTTCATTCGGAGGAAGAAGATGATTGTGTTGCTGGGAGAATGGTGTGTGCTTGTGTGTGTTTTGAAACGCTGGTGGTATAGAGGATGAGGGAAGAACATCAATGGAGGACGAACTCGATGCATCCTGATATAGGGCTTGAGTACCTTGCCTCAAGGTAACCGGTCATAAATGCGAATCAGCCTTCCAGGAACAGACTCATGAAGATACGTGTTCAAGGTACCAGTGACTCCCCAGGTACCAAAGTCAGAACTCAGCTGGAGAGGTAAGGTTCCTGGGCATGGACCAAAGATTTGCACGCACTGAAGACGCGACGAACACCAATCACCTACCGGAGAGACAGTGTTGGAAACCACAACGGCAGTAAGGTAGCTTGCGTATCAAGGCGTACGCTGCAAAGCTAGGTAGAGACCTCCTGGGAAGGGTTCAGAACCTGACCACATGTTGGGTTCAATCACCGGCGAAGAACATCATAATCCGGCCTGACACACAGCAAATCAGTAGAGCCGCACCTGATCATCACTAAGTATGCTGTGCTTTTATGCGATCGTCTACTTACTACCGCCTTCCACTTCAATCATGGTAGCACAATCACTTCTTCGCGTCCGTCGGCACACCAGCAGCCTGCTGCGCCAACTTCTCCTGGTCCTTCTTCGAGTCACCCGTAATGTCCGAGGACTCGCGTCCCTCCGCAAAGACCTGATCGAAATCGTACTCGAACCACCTGATATCCGGGTTTAGCCCCGCAAACTTCCACACGCCGTCCACCTTCTTATACCAGTGCTCGTTCGTGCTGTGCGCATGTCCCTTGACGACGACCTCACTGAGCGTCTCGTCCTTGTACTTCTGATGCGGCACGCGCAGTTGGTGCCAGCCCTTGATTTCTGTGTCGGAGACCTTCTCGAATTTCGAGGCGCCGCAGAAGTGTTGGGTCTTGAGCTTCTTGTCGCCAAGGACTTTGGGGTCGGAGGCCATAGCGATGAAGTCTTCGGCGGGCATGGCTTCCCAGATCTTGTTGAGGAACGAGCGGTAGTCTATTCGGAGTGTGGGTGCGACGATTTTGCGTAGGCGTTCCCAGTCCTGCGGAGGTCGTCAGTCTGGTGTGCTCGGACGTTGGAGGATCTCTCGGGAACCTACCTTGCTGTCGTAGCTGTCGGCCCATTCGAAATAGGCCGTGAGGACTCCCTGGTAGTCTGCCCAATGTTATTAGCTTGTGTTTGTCGTTCATGCTGGTCGAGCAGTCGCACCCTCGAAGGAGATCATTTTATCCTTTGCAGCCATGGTGGGCAGTGTAGGCAGTCTATGGTTCGGTGTCTGGGAGAGTGGTAGCCGTACTTGCAGGATATGCTACAAAGTTGTTGCTATAGTTATGAAGAGGAAGACAAGTACACAACCCCTCGCACGACTGCAACATCAAACCTTCCACAGCACACCACCCCACCCGTTGCCATTGGCGTCGCACACCGCTTCAAGACATTTCGAAAGTCCGTTGCCCGATCGTCATGTGCGCTAAATGAGGTAACCCGCCCCTAGATCTGGAGACCATTATCATGATTGGTGTACCTGAGCACTTCGCCTGGCTCGGCGAGCGAATGACCCTTAGATGTCCGCACTAGAGCCGGAGATTGACAAGTCCGTCGCTGGTCCGTTGTGGGAGGGTGGGCTGCTAGAAATAGGGGTGGAAGCCTCATTCATCCGGGCGTCATCTTCGCTTGCTGTGGCATCTTGCGCCTGCCAACCTGATCACAAGTGTCGGGTGAGGAATCTACCCAGAGAATGCTTGTGCTTTCAAACGACGACTGAGACCCTCTCGCGTGGTCGCCGAAGGGCTGGCTAATTTCAAAATCGTGCACGGGCCAGGGTAGAGAAAGTGTCGTCTTCTCCGTGGGATTTGGTCGCAAATCATCGACCTGCCTGCATGCTCTACAAAAGCACTGGTATGGACGTCTCTGATTCTGGATATTGCTGCCGCCAGTCCAGGAGCGATCGATAGGGACTATATGAGGGTTCCGAGATCCTTCCAGGATAATTCGTCGAAGTGTAAACACCATGATGCGTACGGTGCCGCCACATAGGCATCAACGCACAAGCTGACGAGACAGCGCAGGGCCAGCAGTTCGATTGATGGCCCTTGACGCAAGCTTTCAATTTCAATGCTATGGCAGCGCTGACTTCGCCGGTATGATGTGCAGCTTTGATGACCTTACAGCCAGATTGGCCACGGCACAGGAGTCTGGGTGCTCACTTTGGCTGACATACACATGGTGAATGACCGAGCATGGATCGGTGATGGCAAACTCTTCTTCGGTCAGGTTCGTGACTATCGTCGGCCTGCTACTTACTGGTACACAGTCAGTCCAGGGGATTAGCGGGCTAGGTATTCAAGGCGGTGGCATCCTTGGCTTTCGCTTGAAAGATAGCACCACCGAATTACGACTGCAAGATAAAGCGCCCGTCGAGGAGCTTAGGGAGAACCAGACATCGTTGCCTGCATTGCATGCGCAGGGGTTCTACTGGTCTATGTGAGGAGACGAGATGGTCATCGGCCACAGCAAAGGCAATGAATACTTCCGTGCACAGGTACAGGAAGGAAGTATGTTGTCATCAATATCGCTGGTCCAGCTGGCCGTTCTTGAATCGAGAACATACCAACCAATACCACTGATGCGGCTTGGGTCTGAACGACCACAGTCCTAGAACTAGCACAAGAGATCGCTGGCATTGCCCTCAAATAGACACACATTGCGACCAGCAGCCCTACTTCGGCACCTCGCTCTCGTCTGGCAAGACGTTGTCTATCATCTTCGCGAACCATTGTCTGGATCTCTGAGTACAAGCTGCATAGAGCCCTCATCATGAACAGAGAGAACGTCAATAGCTCACAACAAATTTACAGAGCCTTCCCCGAGCTAAGGCACGTTGACTAGTAGAACAGGTTGGCCCAGCGTTCGCTATTTCACCACCAAAACCTTTTGATACAAATTGTCTTGATGGTCACGTCCCAGACAACCCTATGTTCCGGAACTTTTCCTTTTGCTCTACTTAATCTCACAGAAGCTGCTGTTTCTTTGTACCTCTCCTCATCATCGAAACTGAGAATTCTAGCCGGGAGGACAACCATCCGTAACAAGACAACCCATTCACAACAAAACAACCATTCACAACAGGGCAATCATTCACAACCATGTCTCTTCCTTACTCTGATGACTATCCTATCAAGTTCCCACAGCTCACTGGTCCCGAGAACTATCGAGAGTGGGTCGAGGGTCTCAGAATCGCTGCATCAATACAGCCTGGTGTCGACGAAGTCCTCTTCGGAGACACAGAAGTCCAAGAGCCTCCCGATGCAGCCAAATTCTTCACTGCCAATAAAGACCTTCTGCCAGCACCATTCGAAGGTCTTGGACCGTATCTAGGAGAATTCGATCGTCTTCAAGCCTATGTCAGCGCCAACACGCGTTATCAGACCAATCAAGCTCAAGTTGCCCGCGCCCGGGAGCTGATTGTCGCGTCTGTTGACCCATCTATCTGCCATTCATCGCCGAAGGCCTCTACAAGCGCTGTAATCCGATAGATATCATCGATCAGCTAGCCACTCTCTTCGATCATGAGAACCTCGCCAAACATCGATCCGAAGCAGTCGCACAAACGAAGAAGCTCGTGTTCCCCGATCCTATTCATAATAATTCCTCAATCTCGATTCTGGGCTACCTCTCCGCCTTCATGCAACAACGCAATGCCTACAACGGTGAAGTCTGGTTAGAAGGCGAAGTGGACGACTCACTCTGGTGCAAACGCATGGTCGCCGGTCTAAAAGGTCCATGGAAGGTTCTCGCCAAAGGTCTCCATTTCCACCATAATTCGGGAAATGTCACCGTCCTGACGCGTTTCCTACTGCAGTGGGACGGTATCATGCCCAATATGTTGTCGAGCACGAATTTCGTCAGTCTCCAACAAGTCCAATACGTGGAACAAGTCCTCAAAACTTACAATGGTCCTCCCATGGGCTTCTTTCCGGTGCTGGGTGCTACCAATGGCGACGACGGTAGCGACGAGAACACCACCGCCACCATGAATTGGATCCTGTCCTTTGCTGAAACACATCTCGTCGTGGACACGGAGCGGTACTTCTCCAAAGGCACCATCACTCCACTCCGTGTTCCAGACGACACTGAGGCTCCGACTGGCGGTATGCGCTTCATCCTGGGCGGTGGCAATGCCTCTCTGAAGCTGACGCATGTCGACCCAACCGAGGACAAGGAGAAGGCCGAACTTGTGCTCAAGGCGTGTCTCTTCGTTCCCGATTTGTCTCTGCGAGATAATCATATTTCGTTGCCGGCACTACAGCGTGAGGGCTGCTTCTGGTCGCTGGAGGGCACTGTGATGCGAGTTTGGAGCAAGAATGGCGCGGAGATCTTGCAAGCAGAGATCGAAAGAACGGGCAGAGGCAGCAAGTGGGTCGTGACGAATGTCAAGGGCAAATGGCAGTAAGGGAGGCGAGCTTCACGAGCATTGGATAGCATACAGATTCTTGCCGGTGGCTTGGAAGACCAGAACAGAGGCCACCCGAACGAAATCTTTATGGCTGATATCTTCTTTGATGTGATTCTCATATGAGCTGTTCTCAAGTCTGTTGCAAGCTGCTTTTGTCTTTCAAGCAAGCTGCCTTTGTGTCTCAAGTGCGAAGAACATAAGCTATGTTTGCGCAGAAAGTGAATCGATAGTGCTGCTCACTAAGATGCCGGCCATCTGGGAGATGTATCTAGCCTTTTTGCTGCGACAGGCAGGACGATCTTGAAAGCCACTCGCGATTCTTGCTGTACCGGGAGTGCGCCATGGCGACTAGGCCGTGCAATAATGTTCGTCCTGCCGATGTGGTCCGCGGGCAGATGCAGTACGACCACGTCTCCTTCTCGTCATCAGTATCTACCCTTGGGTCCAAACCGGCTTGACACGTTGCTCCGGCCTGGCTACCTCTGAGCTTACCACACCGTCGATTGTCAATGAATCGAGGCTCTCTGGATAAAACCCACCAACACCTATCGTGAGTCAAAGCATCGTTTGCTGCCAACACAAGGCAACTCAGAGGCCGCCTTGTGTCCACAAAGTGCACAATCACATCCCTTTCTTGAACTTGTTGAGGACCAAACAGCGGTATGTTCCAGAATATGTGCCTTTGGCATACCTTAGTACATAAGTTGGCTGTCCTACTCTCCTCTTTCATCTCCTCCCAGTATTCGGCCTTCCTGTTCTGTCCGACAGAACACCCTCCACAATCCACAATCATGTCTCTACCATACGCTAATGGCTAACCTATTGACCTTATGAAACTGGTCGATGCCGACAACTATCAGCAGTGGCTTGCGGGTCTCAGAATCGCAGCAGCAACCCAACCTGGCGTCGCAGACATCTTGTTCACTGCAAACATCGCCGTCCAGCAGCCACCTAATCCCAAGGATTTCTTCTTTACCACATCCACATACGCTCCCCTGGAAGTTGCACCATTTCAACCACTCGGCAACGTCTCATCATCCGACGTTCTCAAAGCATACGACATCATTGTCAATGGATATCAAGTCAACCAAGCACAACTCGCTCGTGCGCGAGAGCTGTTGTTGTCGTCAGTCGACCACTTAATCGTGCCGCTTATAGCTGATAAGCTCCGCGAAGGTGACCATCCCAAGGACGCGGTCGCTTTTCTGGATGCCCTCTTCAGCTGCCAGAACATCGGCAATGTCCAGACCGCAGCTATCTTAGCCAATGACCGCCGCGAATTTCCTAACGCTCATCATAACATGTTCTCCTCCATCTTGCGATATCTGGGGCCATGCCTGCAGGACCGCGCCACCTACAACAGCGTCGCAAACAACGGCTTGATGGATCATACAGATGCGGACTGGTGCAAGAGAATCATCGATGGCCTCACTGACGAATGGAGGATCCTGGCGGACGGTCTACTCCCAAGCACTGCCACCAATCTCACCCGTCTTCTCCGCTTCCTGCTGCAATGGGACCGCAACTTCGTCTGCGCGTCTCACAAAACTGAGGGCGAGAGCGAGGAGATCATCGCTTCAGCACAAGCAACAGACTTCGCAGCACGCCTTGAGAGAGCCAAGAGAACCAATCCACAAACGCTTACGCCGCCTCGCGCACTCGCGACCGACGACTTCGATAAGCCCTGGATTCTCGATCTCGGACCCGCTCATATCTCTACGGAACCACGATGGTTCACCATGGGCATCACTCCAAACGAGCCTGGCGACCCTGAGCCCGAAGTACACGCCCGTCCACTTGTTGTCGTGGGAGCTGGCGATGCCCATCTCGGGATCTTTAGCACTTCCTTCGAGCACGCGACATTCGTCCTCAAGTCTTGCCTGTACACCCCGGACCAAGGTCTAGCGCACAGCCGCATTTCGTTGCCAGCGCTGCTTGAGGATGGGTACACGTGGGAGCTGGATGGCGACGTGATGAAGGTGGTCGACAAGAGAGGACGTGTATGGTTGACGGCCGAAATCGGTGTGCAGTACGGGACCAAACAGTGGGTGGTGACGAATATCGCCGGGCCCAGTCAACTCAACTTGGGCGGATAGGGCGCACCGTAGAGCGGATGATGACGAGCGAGGCGAAAGTACGATCAGTGGTCGGGTCGGATTCGCAGTACGAAAAAGGCGACCTGGATGCTTACATGGCGATGATTAAATTCTCGCCGCACCGGGTCATTGCCTGGATGACCGTTGGGAGAACGTATGGAGTGGAGATCGTCGTGCGTTCAGTGCTCTGACCAAACCCGTTGTCATGACGGCCCAGGGGTTTGGATCTATCAGTTCAAGATGGCTCGTAGTATGTAGCGCGAATGGTCTTTTGCATGATAAAGTCGAATCGGCCTGAAAAAAAAGTCTCCGTAGCAGCCTCGATCACGCACAACGGATAGTGATGAGTGGCTAGGTGAAGTGCTTCCGATCCCCCTTCCCTTCATCTATGCAGCGTCTCCCTTCTGAATCCATGTAACGTAGTCGGACACCAATTCCTCTTCCTCCTCTCAATCCTCGCCTCAAAGTCTTCCTCATCATACTTCTTGGCCTGTACCTCCAGTCCACCCCACGCCCCCTGATCATCGAGGCAATTCACGTTTACCGTCGTCCAACCATTCCAGAAGTCCGAGCCTTCATTCATCCAGTCCATAAGTAGCATGCACACATAGACCCCACAGTGTCCGCAGAGCAAAGCCCCTGCTGTCGCCATTCCGAACGTGTAGCAGCTCAAGTACGTCGAATCAGCATCCTCGTTGTTGAGCACGACCGTGGCGGATGGGTTCGAGTATGTACGGGCACCGTGCTTGCGGCAGAAGGAGCATTGGCAGGCATTTAGAGTAGGTTTGGACGATCCCTCAGGCGTCGTGAGGGTGATCTCAATGTTCCCGCAGTGACAGCCACCTTTGTATTTTGGCATTTCGAACGACTGTGGGCGTGTCGAAGTTCGATGCTGAATGCGCGTCGGTCAGATGCTAATGAAATGCGGCTTCAGCAGCCATCAAGGACCAGAGGTGTACTTACATCGAATGTGAAGAAATAGATGATCGAAAGAGGGTTGTAGGTTGTAGACGGGTAGATCGTACTCGTAAAGAGTTAAGGTGCCACGTGCAATGGGTTTGTGAGAATCTTCAAATTTCCGCAAGGCAGTCGTTGCATCTGCGGACTCGAACTAAACACCAGTCGTGACTTCCTTGTCGACTCTCACAGCTAAGGCACTGCCCGGTAAATCTCGGTCGATGTGTACCCTGACAAATACCTAGGTACATTCGATGGGTACAGAACCACGACGGAATTCAGCATCTTGCATGTCCCTGGACAGAAGGCAACGTAGAAACCCTTAGAGCCCTTAGTCTATCACGAGTGGACTGGATCCGGTTCTATACACCTGATGGATACCGTCCACTGGGCAGCACCTGATGAGCTCAGGGAAGACCAAAGGTGGAATGCCACGAACGTCGTTTTGGAAATGACTGCATTCAGACCGAGTGCTGTAGTTACCTCTGTACAACGTCAATCGCACTCAGAATTCCGCTGTCTTCCTCTCCCATCTGCTGAAAATACTCGTACATTGCCTTCTCTCGACAACACGCCATTTGCCAGTACCAGGAAGACAAACTTCTGTACCAAAACCAGGCAACGAGGCTTAATAAGATTCTTGGCGAGCCTGATTCTGACGTCAGTGGGGTGTGCCTTCCAGCAGTCGGGCTTGTAGCGGCCAAGACGCTCGGCATGATTGCGTGTTGAGACCGCTCAAGATGTGGGAAGGTGTCAGAAGGCCCCTTCGTCCCCGCTGGCAAGACTCTATCATTCATAACCATCAGTAGCCGTATTCACACCAAAGCCTCGAGCACGAGGCAGTCGAGATAAGAGCCATGTCAGCAGTCACTTCTGCGTTCGCTAAGCTGAATCCGTTCGACAAGAAGAAACATTCTCACCACAAAATAGACGACGAGGATGTCGGTGAGCGTGTCGATCAAGGGACTGTAGCCGGTGGTGGCCATGCTAGTCGTCAGTCAGCGGTAACGAGCCATTTGCGCGTCAGCCACGCTTTGCGCTCTTTCATCGTTGCCAATCATATACTGAGCGAGGAAGAGGCAGGCTTGGACAACCTTGACGAGACGACCCATGCACTCAAATCATTGCTGAACAAGCCACACATCGAAGTGCCACGTGAGCTCACTGATCGGTCGCACCCGCTGCCAGACTATTTCATCAGCTCTAGTCACAATACTTACCTTCTGGCTCACCAACTGTACGGATCTGCATCTGCGACGGCGTACGAGACCGCACTCAAGGCTGGCGCTCGCTGTGTCGAGATCGATGCCTGGGATTCTGACAACAAGGAAGAACCCAAGGTCACTCATGGCTATACGCTGACGTCGCACATTCCCTTCCGGCAGGTCTGTGAGACTATCCGCGATGTTATCGACCAAGAAGCCAAGGAGGCGATCGACGAGCAGGGCTACAGAGCAGCGCCAATCCTGATCTCCCTCGAAAACCACTGCGATGCGCATGGACAGACCCGCCTTGCCGCCATCCTAAGAGAAGTCTTCGGCGACCGACTTCTGACGAAAGCCATCCGCGAAAAAGGCACACACGACCAGGAGGCACCGGTGAACATGTCACGTTGAATGATCTTCAATCAAAGATTACCGTCATCGTCGAATACCACTTTCCCGATGAGCCCGACAGTAGTGATGAATCGGACACCTCGGAAAGCGAAGACGAGACCGAGAAGAAGGCTCGGCATGACTACAAAGCCCAAAAGAGAGAGACTAAAGAGGCCGTACCCGCCGTCATAGTGCCGGAACTCGCCGAGTTAGGCGTTTACGCTCAATCCTGCAAGCCGCCCAACAACGCCTGGTTCGAGAAAGGCGTTCTCGAACACTCGCCGCACCACCCTCTGATCAACGTCTCGGAAACCGGCCTCGCCTCTCACATGCCCGCTCACAACACCCTCATCGCCCGCCACAACGCCAATCACCTCATGCGCGTCTATCCCAAAGGGACACGCATCTCCAGCCGCAACCTCAAGCCCGTACCCTTCTGGGCTGTCGGTGCTCAGATCTGCGCCATGAACTGGCAGACCTTCGGCGCCAGCATGCAGCTCAACGAGGCGCTCTTCGCCGGCACCGAAGGCTTCGTCCTCAAGCCACGCTTCCTCCGCCTGGACCAATCCGGCAGCGGCGAACTGTATCACACCCCTACCAAGTCCCGCCATAAGATGAAGCTCCGGCTTCACATCGCAGGCGCAACAGACATCCCTGTGCCCCAAGACAAAGCCGCCGACATGAAGCCCTACCTCACCTGCACTCTCGTCCATGCCACCAGCGGCGATGAGCCAGCCAAACGCAAGACTGCGGCGTACAAGCAGCACAAGGTCACTGGCTTCCTGCACAAGGGGGAGAACCCGCCTGTAACAGAGCCCGTGTGGGATGAGATCCTGGAATGGGACTTACCAACCGATAATGGCGATCCAGACCATGAGCTGGTCTTCTTGAGAATGCTAATCAAGTCGGACGACAGCTTTGCGCGGAATCCCATCTATGCAGTCAGCTGCGTACGGCTATGCACGGTCAGGCAGGCGGACTGGGTATTTGTCAGGATGTTGGATTTGAAGGGGCAGGAGACGGGATGTGCGGTGTTGGTAAGGCTTGATGTTGTTAGTCTAGGGCATTTGGACTAGGGATCAGAAGGGCGTAGGGCGAAAGAGTGCCAGACCGAGGTTCAGTAATGTGCATGTGAGCTCATACGCTGGGTCGAAATGGTACCACAGTGTGGCATCGCAGAATAAAGAGGTCAATCGATGCAGAGCGGGCGACGGCAAGCGCTCCGCTGTTGTAAGAGGGCCCCACGCGTGAGAGGACGAGGACCACGGATTAAAGAGAGTGAACATGACCATATCGTCACGAGCTTCTGCAACACGCATGCATCCGTCCTCGAGGGTAGGACCCAGAATCGGAAGAGCCCTGAAGTCTATATTCTATTCTTACATAGCTATGTATACAAATACAGATCCCAGGTGAACACGGCCTCCAATTCCAACAACACTATGGCTCTCTCGAGAATCTACCCCTTCAGAGCAGCCGCAGCCGCCCGATCCACCACGTCCTTCGCATCCGCGTTCGCCTTGCGCACCACCTCCTCCATCGACTTCTGCGCCTTCCTGATGTCGTCCGGCCCAACCAACTTCTCAATCTCCATCCGCCGGAACCGCTTCTGTGCCTCACCACGTGCCAATCGTATTTCGCCCGTCGCCTTCTCAAGACACTTCTTGCATTCCGAGGCTGCTTGCTGCCGTGTCTCCGTCGTCACCGGCGGTATCGGGACCGTTATACACAGCGGATTTGCCGCGTCTGCTCTCGGAGGTTGAGGCGTGAGGCTATACGTCGACGCAGAAATCGCGCTTAGTAACGACTTGAGGTGTGCCTCATCGCTCGCGAAAACCTGCAACGTCCGTCCGCCCTTCGGCGCTACACTCGCAATATCCCCTAACCTTACACTTTGTTTCTGGTGGACCGTCTTCTCCTTCCCTGATGCGGAAACTTCCTTCTCAGCGAGCTCCACAGGAAGAGCCTCCAGGTTCTCGGGCGTGACACGCCCCGCATCTTTCGTCTTGACCAACGCGGCTCGGAGCCGGTCGAGCGCTTTGGCTATGCCGGTTTCGAGCTCGCTGAGGTCGTGCGGGTCGATGGCGGCATCCTTGTTGCGGGTGGCTGCGTTGTTGGGGATGTGTGTGTCGACGGCTGGTGAGTCGACTTTGGGCGTCTTGCGCGCGGATTTGGGGTTGGAGGAGGACTTTTTTGTCAGGGAAGGGGTGGTGGTGAAGGTGCGGGAGGCTGTGGAGGTTATCGAGCTTTTGCGGCAGCTGTGGCAGATGAAAGGGCGAGAGCTTCGTGGTGGCGGAGCAGATGCGATCCGCACAGTAGCCCGGACGGCGGCTGGTCGTAGTGGCTGCATTGCCGTCGATAGGGACGTCGCTGATCGAGCCGCATGCTGCGTTGACCAGGAAAGGAAATAATTTCGGGAAGTTCTCCAAGTCGCGCGGAATCTCCAATTTCCGCTCCTCCTTAAGATCCACTTTCCGCTCGATTCATGATCACATTCTTCTGAAGTCGAAGTGACCAGATCTCCGAGTCGTGCGCTTGTTGAAGCAGCTACTCAACGGGCATATACTACAGTGGGTCATTGATGGCCATCAAGCTAACCAGCGACCAGACGCAAAGAGGGATGTCCGACATCATCGTCTAATTGGCCTCAGACATCGAGTTCATGCTCCGAAATCCCGGCTCGACCCCGGGTGCTGTCGGTGAAGCAAACACGGTTCTTCCGGAAAGCCCCCTTATTTTTGGTTTTTGGGTTGATCGTGCGCATGATCCCGCGTGAGGCAAGTTTTTGGGCAGATACTCAGATCTATCTGAGGCGGGGTCACAAAGTAGCGGAGGTGCAATCGAGATGCATGGGAAAGAACATCGAATGTCATTCAATGGCTGCAAGCGAACATGTCGTCTCTACCCGAAACCTAAGTCGCGCACAGCTTCATGACTTATCCGCTTCTTGCTTCCGGGCCTGTTCATCCCTGCTGTCCTCTTTGAGCGATTCCTCTTTCTTTGAGGCTTTCTCCTCGTGACCGGCCTTCTCCCGTGCGCGCTTGAAGACCTCTCCTATCTGTTTGATGTGGTCCCGATCGGCCGCTGTCTGAGCACTCGTCCTGGGGGCCGTCAGCTCGGAGTCCTCTTTTCCCGGCTTCTCCGGCCGCGCGATGCCCGCTACCGCATCATATTCGGCTATTTTGCGTTGCGCTTCCTCTATTGCCGCGATCTGTGCCATAAGCTCGTCCGACGTGTGCTTCATGGTCGCCTTGATATCTGCCTCAAGAGCTGGGTTGTAAAGCTCCACCTTTGCCTCCCATATCGCCGTAAGCGCCCCGAGGTGCTCCTTCCTTTCTGCCTTCCGCGCAGCTAGCATCTCGCGCAGTTTTGGCGGAGATGGCCGTCCCAGTCCGCCTTTTTGCGTAGACCCTATTGATGCGGCTACCGCATCGGCTACCGCATTGATCTGCCTTGTCTCCGCCGCAATCTCTTGAGCAGTCTGCCTCATATCCGCGCACTCTGCTGCGAGTGAGGCCTGCAATTCATCATTCTGTTCTCCTGAGGCCGCCAGGGTTGCTGCTTTCTCCTGCCGCATCTTCGCATGTTTGGCATCATGCTCTGCAATCTTGCGCTGGGCCTCATCTATTGCGGCCATCTGTGCCGTGTAATTGTCCCTCATCTCGTTCAACAGCGCCTCGGCCACTATCCACCGGGCATGATCGGGATCTTCAGGTTCATAAACGGTGTATGGCTTGGCGGCTTGTACGTAAGACCCTCCAAAGCAGATTTGCCTTGAGCCTTCAGCCTGGCCAGCGCATCGCGCGCCCTTTGTGGCGGGGATCCAGGCTCAGATTCTAGCCTTGCAGAAAGCGCCTTGATCTCCTTCGTCATCTCCGCGATCATGTCATTCTCTACCCTCGTTTTCGCGAGTTCTGCCGCGAGTCGAGCATCATAAGCGTGAGGAGTTCCTCGGGACTTCAGTGTTGCCGCTGCGATCTGCGCGTCAACATGACCAGGCTTTTGTTCCGCCTGGTTCTCCTGCCGCGTTTGACGAACATTGGCATCGTACTCTGCGATCTTGCGTTCGGCTCTTTCTACCTCCTCCATCTGTACCGCGAACTTTTCAGCAATGTCGTCTGACATTGCCTGCAGCCCGGCTTTGCACTCAGGCTGATCCGGTGGTATGGGTCCAAACATATCGACAAAAGCTTGTCCCGCTGTTGTCCCGGACTTGGCCACTTGTTTTCGATGGGATTCCCTGTACTCTGCTAGCGCATTGCGTAGCTGTGGAGATGGAGGCTCGAGTCCTTCCTCCGCCGGCCCGATTGCGGCACCTTTCGCCTTGATCGTCGCCGTCTGCGCCGCAAGATGCTCGGCTGTCTGCTTTGCCAACGCTTGGGCCGCTGCATATCGAGCATCAGTGGGAAGAGACCTGTCCTGGACTTTTGCCGCCAGTGCCTTCATGTTTTGAATGCTCGCCGCATGTGTTCCGGCTTGAGGGTCGACATAATTAGATTTCTCCTTCGGTTTCGCTGTTGCTGCGGCAAGCTCGTTCAGCCTTTGTTCGGCTTGCTCCAACACCGCCCTGTCTGCACCAAGCTGATCGCGCATTTCTTCTAAAATCTGCTTGTGGGCTGGTGGCAAACCAGGTCTGGCGATCGACGCCGCAGTCTTGTCAGCCAAGATTTTGTTCAACGCTTTGTCTGCGGCTACCTTTGCACGTAGCTCTGGTGGTGGAGCCTCGTGTCCATCCTGCACAGATTCGATTAGCGCCTTTAACGCTTTATGCGACTCCTTCATTGCCGTGCGAGCCTCGACTAGGTCTGCGCGCATCACCTCAGGCGCTGGCAATTCGCCTGTGGGAGCAATACCTCGCATGCCTTCAATAACAGCTTTGGCGGCCAGCTGCTCAGGTTCATCCGCCGAATGAGACTTTTCTTCACCCTGCCTTGCTACTGTCGCTGACACCTGATCAGAGTTCTCTGTTGGCGCCGCTATGGCAGGAGCTAGCGAGGAGTCGTGCGGTATGTTCATGTCTTCGGGACTCTTCATAACAGACGGCAGTGTCCTCGATTGTGGTTTCGATCGCGAACTCATGTCGGCAAGAATCTTTCCGCCGGTGATTTGTGGCGGACCTATCATGACATTGTCACCTGGAACGTATGTGCCGAAGACCTCAACGCGGTAGCGTCCCTTATCGCCAATGAAGTCGTAGAAGCCAACGATATTGACGGCGCCAGCAGCCGTGTGCCGTTGAGACTTGAGTTGGCCCTGGATCCATTTGCGCTTGAACATGTCGATTGCGTGATTCAAGGCACCTTCGTGCGTAAGCGACTGGACGTGTGTGCGGAAACCTTCCTGTCCCGGGTCTTTGCCAAACGAGCCTTGAGGAACGGGAGATTCTTTTCGGCCTGTTCATTGTTCCACCGCTGTGATGGCAGCTTGGTGATAACTTTGTCCTCGTAGCCAAGGGAGTAACCGAACTGCTGGTTTTTGATGACGAGCCATTTACCTATCTTACCGTACTCTGTCTTGAGCTTATAAGTTCTGGCTGGGTATAGTAGGTCCATTACCTTGGCCGTGGCTAATGCTGCGGAAGTAGTGGTGAAAGCCCAAATGCCGGCAAAGAAAGCTTGACTCATGACTACTGGGTGAAGCATTTTCTGTAATCGCGCACCCTGCTCTGGGTCCAGTTCTGTCCATTTCAATTTGATAGTGCCCGTGGTTGTGCCGACGATGCATCGCATTGCATATCTTGGCGGATGAAAGAACATGGGCTGAAAATTCAGATCTCGGCCAACCTGAGCTTTGAAGCCAATGATCCTGATGGCGGCCTGGTGGCGGCGGTTGTTGGCGACTTGCTGGGAGATCCCATCGTCGAAGATTTGCATGAGCTTCTTGATTGCTTTGTCGTCCTGCTTCAAAGTTTCAAAGGCTTTCATCTCTGGATCGTCAGGCTTGATAGGCTTTGGGTCCAGTTCCTTGATCCAGCCGGGAATGGTCATCAAGATGGTGCTATCGCCATCCTTCTCGGCGAGGTCTTCTTTTTCGGCGGCTTGCTTGCCGAAGCCTTTTGCTTTGGCAAAGGCGCCATGTCGCTGCTGTGCCAATACCTCGGACGGCTTTGATTTGTCTTTCAGTGCCTGCTGTCGTTTCTCGTAGTCCTTCAGGGTGTCTTTCTTCGCCTCGTCCCATCTCTTCTTCAGTTCGGGGCTGGGCCCATAGACGAGTAGAACCACGGTCCGGTAGGCGCAGTATAGCACAACCACATTGGCAATAGTTCTGGTTATACTGTTTCGTGGCTTCTCTGACACCTTGACCCTCTGGAAGCCTATCGTGCCGCTGTCCTCCCTGGGGATAGCGACCTTGCGCGGTCGGCGAAAGAGCGATCGAAACATCGGGAACGTCTCATGTTAGCGGTGCCGGACTGGGCCTCGCCGTAAACGTGCTGAAGGACGTTCGGGCATAAGCGTACGTGCGTCCTACCCTATGAGACTGGGACTACTGTATGAGGTCAATTGCGTTCAACTTGAAGATTACTATGTATACTGGGCAAGCGCTCCGCTTTGAGATGAACGACATCATGGAGATCGCGAGGCTTGGCGCGATGCAGTTACCTTGTCTGCTTCACCTCCATCTCCGCCTTCCCCATCACTCCTCAATTCTTGCACCCGGTACCGCCGCCTCACATCATGAAGCTGACGTCGCTGCTGGCGTCTGGAGCGGGGCTCGTCGCCTCCGCGGCAGCTCAAGGCGGCTACATCTACACAATCGACCAGTCCGTCATATCATCATCGACAGCAACTATCGACTCAGATACCGCAAGCTCCATCATAGCCCGGAGACGAGGCCTAACGGCAGGCCGCTCGATAGGCACCACCGATGAGGTCGTAATTGACACACTCAAGAACTACGGCGGCTGGCAGCAGCCCCTCTTCGGAGAGAAAGATGAAGAAGCACCCGGCAAATTGTTCATCAGGATATCTGGCTTCGATGGCGCCGTCACTGACCTCACGAGTGCCATGCCAGATCTATGGATCGAAGAGCCGACACAAGATCTCAAGACGGACTTCAAAGCGAATGTCGACCGTAAGGACGGTATCTGCGAGTACTACGTGCCAACCGGCAGCTCGAACAAGGATATCGAGGTTGTCTTCTCATATCCCACTGAAGGCGTAGGTTACCCACTACTGTATCCAGGGTGTTGTGCTAACACTTTTGGTAGGACCTGGGCTGCCTCTCCGCCTCCGAGATCCCTCAGCTTCCAATCACCCTCGCTATTCAGTCGGTCCTTCCCACCGCTGCCTCCTCTATCCCCTCCACCATGATGCCCCTCAAGCGCATCCTCGCCCACCTCCTGGCGACCCAAGGCGTCGAGTCGACCGTCCTATTGCTCCCCTCCAAACTCGCAAAGACCGCGACTCACGCCCATGCGCACGCTCGTCGCGCAGAAGAAACGCCCTTCACTCTGCACCCCACCGAATCATCCTCACCACCTCAACTCCTCGCATCCAACTCATCAGACGGAAACTTCACCCACCACCCCCTCCCCCGCGTCATACCCGCCTGCTTCACCTCCCAGGCCCAATGCACCAACACCACCAACGCCTGCTCCGGCCATGGCTCCTGCTACGAGGCCCGCAACAAGTGCTTCAAATGCCGGTGCACACGAACCTACATCAAGAAGGGCGATAAGGACGGCGCTGGCCAGAAGTCGATTGCTTGGGGTGGCGGCGCATGTGAGAAAAAGGACATCAGTACCCCGTTCTTGCTGTTTGCAAGTTTCGGGATCGTCATGACGGGACTAGTGTTCGGCGCAATTGGGATGCTGTACAGCATGGGCGAGACCAAGCTGCCTAGTGTGCTAGGGGCCGGCGTTGCTGGACCTACGGCGAGGAAGTGATCGATTGGTACTACGCACGGAAAGAAGCGGAGGGGATACGACGGTGGTGTGAAGATACCTGTTATTGTTGGGCTCGCTCCGCGGAGCAGGTGTGCTCAGATGACTATGGCTTGGCGCCAGTGCTACGAATTGTGTATACGTACATCTATCTCTTCATAGGCGTTGATCAAGGTCTGCACACTCCAGAGTGCCCTCTAGTCCTCGTTCTCTCATCCCTATTGTGCCAGACAGTCAATCCCGGCGACGCCCCTTTTCCCACTCACAACATGGGGAGGTCTTTTTCAACATCATGGCGCGCTGCTGGTCGACCGTAGAGACCGCAATGTCGATGCTGGTCTTGTGAGAGGGAAACCGGCCGTAATGCATCATTTATCCAGCACTGGTTCGGACTCGACTGATTCGTCGGGCGGACTCTGAGACTGCTGCAGCAGGAAGGGAAAACCTCTCAAAACTTCCCCTTTTATTTCCTCCGTTGTCCAAGCCCAACCCTCCACTTCGGTCCAAGGAGGTCTCCAGGCTTGCGCAGATCGGCATCGGGACAGCTCTTCGTGCTTAGTCGCATCGTATGGACACGATTCCGTTGCAGTACTCTTGCTTTCGCTCGCTCAGCGAACCAGCATAGCCGCTCACTCTCACATTCCCCATCGCCGCAAGCCCGTAATCTAATCACTCCGCCTTCCCACCCTCCGCCTTCCCCCCCTTCATGCTCCACCCATTCAAATACCCCGTCCCCGCAGTCAAATACGTCGCAAACCCCAACCACGCAATATACGGCGCCAAACACCAACTCGCCACCACATCAACCTTCGACCAGATCTTCGCCAGATACACAGTACTAGCAGTCAATAGACCAACGTCCACGAGCGCCTCCACCGGCCTTCCCAGCCCAAAGAACAATGGCATAAACGCCAGATTCAACCCCAACCCGATCGTGTATAATGTTGCTCCTCTGCGTGTGTCTTCGACGACGCGCGGCACGAAACTGCTCATCCTCGTTGTCCACGCGCGGTGCGACGCGTAGCCCATGAGGATGTAGAGGGCGGTCCAGGCGGGGGCGAAGAGCCAGGGTGGTGGGCGGAAGGGTGGTTGGCGGAGAGAGAGGTATCGTTTTTCTATTGGTTTTGCGTTTGATGAGGGAGGGGTATCGCTGGTGGTGCTGGTCGTAGTGCTGGTAGTGGTGGTGGATTTAGGGCCGAGTTGCGAGAGATAGCCGGAGGTAAAACCAAGCCCGAGCGGGAGAAGGATAGAGAGGGTTGGGGAGGCGAGGATTTGGGGTGGGAGGGTTAGGGAGGGGATGTAGGACATTGTTGTGGTCTTTTCGGGGGACGGTGGGTGCGTTGGGGGCGAGCGCGCGACGGTTTGAGACAGGCCGAGCAGTGGGAGAGAGGGAGCAGAGAGTCGGGCAGCTATATGAAAAGAACGTTTGGGTAGTAGTCAGCAAGTCAGACCACGAGACACGAAAACCGCAGCTTAGAATCCGCGTTTGTCGTGTCGATCGGTGGCGTGGATCGCCGTTGCCAAGCGACGACGTCATCGGCCGCAGGCAAGTACAATACTACTTACCTCCATCACGTTCGAATGGCATTGTGTTACTACCATAGGTCATAATTTGGTGAGGATGTCGCAGTCAGTGGGATTGAAGAAGCTGTCCTCTGGCACAAACTAGAGGTCACCTCATCGCGGGTGAGAATCCCGAGACGTAGTCGGCAGCAACGCCTTTCTTGCTGGGCGTGTTACACGAGACCAGCTTACGCCCGGACAGACCCTTCATGGCACCGTCAGAGCACGCGACACGATAGCACTATGCAAAAGAATGACACCAGAGAGCGTGATTGATTATTGGCTAATGCTGGATATGTATGCTCAATTTCTCCCGGTTATCTGGGACGCCTCGCCAAAGAATGACAAATATATCAGTCCGCCCTTATTCAAATGTATAGGCGTCAAGGACCTAGTGCTGGCGCTCAATGAACGACAACATTTGTTGTAACCAAAGTCGTTTATCACCACGTCCGCCTAGACTTCTTCCCTTTCTTCTTCGGCGGATTCTTCGCAACGAACCCACTCGCCACTGTCCTACCACAGAACTTCAAAGTCAACCTCTCCATCCCTGCAGGCGGACTAACCCGCAGGCGTAGTTGAGGACTATACCTTGTAGCCCAGTAAATATCGTCGGAGGTGCTGTATTTGCGAGGAGGAAGGCCAGTAAGAGCGAAACCCCTGTTGTTGTCGAACCAGTTCCGTCCAGACCTGTGCTTCTCGTTGCTCATGGTCGTGGACCTATTCTTCCGCATCTTCTCGAATCCTTTTGTGTCAAGTGGCAAATCATCGGCCCAAAGCTGGATGCGATTAAAGTCGTCCTGCATGTCTGGTTCTATGTCGATGGCTTTGAGGGATTCGATTCGTTGGAATTGCTCGGTTTCGGAGTAGGACGTCGCAGAGCTGGCCTGGCACGCCCTCTCCCCCTGGGAGGCTGACGATGCAGGTGATGGTGAGGACCCGGTCGATCGGGACGAGGCCGGCTTGCGGATGCAGGTCTTCATCATTCGTGCTGGGCTTGGCCGGTGAGGTATCTGGGAGGCATGCCTGTGATGTGGTCTACGCTCTGGTAGAGTAACCGTAATTTCGTTCGCATGCTGCTAGGCGCGGTGTTTGAGACCGGCTTGGTCAGTCGGTACGCTGTTGCCATTGTGGAGGCTTTCGTTTGTCCTTTTCTGCGTAAGATTGAAGGCCAGTGTTGCAGAGAACGGAGGCACTTACTGCGAGGAATAACGTGTACGCTGTGCTGATCTGGGGGCTAGATTTTCGTGATGGCCAGAAATATTCGTGTGTGTGTGTGTGAGAGAGAGAGAGAGAGGAGGATTGAGAAGCCTGCGTCCATGGCCGCTATAATGAAAATCTTGAAGATTAGTACCTTAACCTGACCTGCCAAGGATGACTCCCAGCGGGCCCTGTGGGCGAGGGTGGAAAGTGCCTGTTGAGGGTGGAAAAGCTGAGGCGTGTGGGGAGGCTCCATCTGAATTTGCAGCGGATCGAGTGGCTCGTACCAAGTCAATCAGGCGGAAGGTTTAAGTTGTGGTCATAACTCCTTAGCTGGGTGGATCGAAGGTACCCGAGAATTGACGCTTATGGAACTTTACAGAGGCGGAGAGCACTGATAGTCGCCTGGGCGGCGAATGAATCGTGATCGTTCTTTTCGTTGTGTCGAGCATGAGCGTGGCATGTGATACATCGGCCGAGAATTTGGTAAGTCGCCCATGGAGCGGCAAAGATTCATTCCCATCATAGCGCACCACTGCTGTCCCTCAACAGACGAGCTTTCATACCATATCCGCAGGCTTCTTGCGAGCGAGCCACACGTTTGCTGCCTTCCTGAACAAATGGCCACGCTAGCACCGGCTTCCGTGGAGAAGACGGCCAAAGGCACACTAATCGTCATCCCATGAGAAGCTTGCGCAGCAGTTGCTGGGTATTTGACGTGTAGAAAGGCTCAAAGAGCTGTCCTCAGGAAAGACTTCGGAAGTGGACAGCTACCCGTCCCGACCAGCGAAACTCATAGATCCAGATCTCATGCGAGTATGCCCACGAGTATCCAGATTCAAGTACTCGCGATTTTGATTGTGTAGTGAATTTTCTGCTGCTTGCGATTACTAGGAGGGCTGAGTATGCCTTCATCGATGAGTTCGTTCATGGTTCTTTGAGAAGCGAGAATCTGGGAAAGCTTGATCACACTCTCCTCGAAGAATGAGATGATTGAGTCGTCGTCAGTGTCATCGTAAGCACAGTGGAGTAACATGGTCTGTGATGTCTGCAAATGGTCCTTGACGTGCTTCTGTAGCCAGATGAGAGCTTCATCGTACGACTTGGGCTTTCGTGTGCAGCTCGGAAAGTGATTGTGCAGAGGTGAGGCGACTAACTTGCGTCGAAAACTCCCTGAATTGCGCAACAGCACAAGGACTGGCGTGTTCGATAGCTTCCTGGATCTGCATCGGGCTTTCAATTCTCGCAAAGCAACTTCCACTTGATTGTGTTGGGAGCCTTTCGGGTACATGTCATATGTTGAGAGATCGAGACAGAAAAGCAACGCATCGACATCCTCATGGTGGCGAATGAACCTGGCCAGTTTGGGCTGCGGCACGTCGAATAGTTCCACGGAAATGCCATCAATAACGAACTTCGCCTCTGTAACGCAACGGTTCGCGCTTTTGTGTCTGATGATATCTGCTTGTGATGGTATGAAGTGTGGGTGCATAATCCTCGGGGTCGCTTTGACAAAGTAAGCGCCCGGGGCTTCCTGATCGATCATCCGCAGGAAATCTTGGTACAGCGATAGTGCAGCACGATAGATAGACTGAGACACGATCCAGTCTGGGCTCCCATCAGACTCGAAGAACTCCAGCTCCTGGGTACAGGCCAGTCGAAGCATGTTCTGCTCAGTGAGAGGTGGGGTGTCGAGCGACTTTGACAAGGAGAGAAGTGCTCTGACGAGGTAAGGTACTATTTCCAGACGTTCCTGGGCGAGCTCTGCGTTGGTCGGTGGATGAGACAGCGCGAATCGCAGTCGTTTGATCGTTGCAGGAGGATCCTGACCCATGGCAAGAATTCTCAACTGCCGATCCTCAGCCCGAACCGATTGTGACAGGCGAGGCGAAAGCGTCGTATCCTTAAGTATTGCACCGGAGCCAATGATCGGGGCATGGCCACTAGCATTGGCTTGACCGGGCGGCCTCCGAGGACTGCCCAGCGATCGAGGTCTCAGGAACAACCGATGAAGCGTAAGCTTCTTGGTCTTAGCAGCGGGATCTCTTGTTCGAGGTTCCAGAAACGACGGCAGATCGACGGGGCCTGTAATCGCCATCAACCTTTCACCGAGCTTGATGGTAGCTGTCTCATCCTCGTCAGTCTCTTCGTCAGGCACTGGCAGCTCAACAATGCTCGACCCGTCAGGCAGCTCAACGATGTTCGACTCGACCGGCAGCTCAACAGGGTCTGACTCGACCGGCAGCTCGACAAGGCTCGATCCGACCGGCAGCTCAACAAGTTCCGACTCGACCGGTAGCTCAAAAATGTCTGACTCGACCGGCAGCTCGACAATGTCCAAGCCAACCAGCTGAGACGCTTTTGCGTCGCTCCGATTAGACAGTATCAGGACCGGCAGCAGTCATTTCGATTCGCAACTCACCATCGGAAGGCAGTCAGGCATATGTTCAGGGCTGCAACATGGCTGACCAGATTCTGAATATTCTCCCAAAACATGCGCTCGTCAAGAAGAGTCTCAGCTCTGAATGAGCCTGCGAGCAAGTCGTCAGACAGTCCATCAAGCCGTGATACCTGCTCGTCAACATGCTGAGCAAGAAGCTTGCAGTGATCAACAGACCGCTTCAGCTCGACCGTGAATTGGGTCTGCTGCTGTAGTGAGATTTCCATAGCAAACCCCCGAGCTTGGGTCAATGCCGTTCGAACGGTTCGAAATTGTCCAACCAAAAGCTCTGCTTTCAGTTCAATGCCAGCGTACTTCGTGCGAGCGTCGTTAAGTGTTTCGGTAAATGTAGTTACTATGTCCACTACAGAGCCCAGGCTCGCCACGAGATCGAAGGCTGCAATCGATTCCATGTCTCGATTTACTTGTCGCTTAAGACACTTTGGTGTATGAGACTGGCGTTGTTCCGCAGCATCTCAGCAGAAGATGGGCTGCGTCAAGGGATCAGGATTGAGTCTTCTTGACATTAGTTGCTGGGTACCATAATCGCGGCGACGGAGTGCAGAGATGTTTATACAGCAGTTCTGCCGCGACGTGCTTAGTAGGCGTCTAGCTTGATCGTGCGCTTTATCATGCGACATCCCTTAGTGCTGCATGTCGCTCAGGTTCGCACCTGCGTGGAAAGATCTACGTTCCATTGACAAAGCGCCACTTGTTCTCGCGTGCGGCAGCAGGTCGAAAGCCGCCAATCAAAGAGACGAATTTGTTGAGCTTCTGCAGAGAAGGCAAGGTACTGGAAATCCTGGTCGTGGTGGCCGCATGGGACGCGGAGCGTTCGGGCCGTCTCTTCAGGTGCTGGACGAAAGTACGTGATTCCTCACGCTAGGAACAAGTCTGTTCTGATCCACGCGAAGCCGCCAGCGTGGTGGCTGATACTTGTCAAGGAACGGGATCACTGAATCTCGCCAATCGTACGGAGAGGCATGCCGTGTTGCAGCTGTCATTGATCCGCAACCACGTGGGACGAAAATTGCTTTTGACGATTGCTTTCTGGCGCGTGCCGCAGCTTTACTCCTGTGAATGTCGCAGAAGCTGCAGGAGAAGTGCACCAATGTTCGTAGTTCCGATCAACACAGAGCAGAGATTCGCGTGTGGAACATCGCGACGCGACGTGCTCCAACGATTCGAGCCGCAAGGACGGCGACCCCTATTTCCTGCATTGGATTGATAAGAACACGAGACTCGGTCCCAGGTGATTGTGGCATTAAGGAATTCGTTGATGACTCGCGCTTGCCTTCACGTAGACATGGTGTACTTTCGTAGTTATCATTGGGAGTTGCAATCGTGAGCGGGGCGCTGCCAAGTACTGGAGTGTTTCAAGTTTTCTCTTGTCTGGGGGCCGTGGGGTTCAGTCCCAGGCGCTATCAGGCATATACAGCTCTGGAAATAGATCTCTTAGCACGTATTCGCCACTTTCTTCGTCTGTCCACGACTCTGATACGGTCTGCCGATCCATATTCATATCGCCCATCGCTTCGAAGTCCATGAAACCCTCGTTGAACGTCAGCAGGGGGCCTGTGAAGTCGCCATCGCTCCAGTCCAGTAGAGGCTCCGTGAGAGGAGTGCTGCTGCTGGTGGTCGTACTGGACGTGCTGTATGCATTGGTAAGACTCACACTGTCTTCTCCTGTGGCGTCTGAGGGCACGCCATGTACCCCGTCCTCACCGGATATGGGACCTGAAGGACCGCGAGTCCTCATTCTCTGTGCGCCGTCATTCAGGCTTGCATTTCGGATTGCGCCTTCTCCCATTTCTTTGGGACTTACGCCCCATCGTTTTCTGAAGACTCTCAAGAGATGCCATTTACTGAGGCCGACTTCCTTGCCCAAGTCTGCGAGACTGATCCTCTCTCGTCGTGCCGCACGTTCTTTGATGATCTCCACAGCCTTGACGATCTTCTTCCGCCCTGACTCGCCATCGCCTGGCGCAATATAATCACTTCCGGTGGTAATGTTACTTGGATCTTCCGACGTCTCTACCTCGCCATCTCCAGCATCAGTTTCAGCAATGACGTCCGGTCGACACCTTTTGCAGGCACGGTAGCCGGCATTCTTGGCCTCGATTGCTGTGTCAAAGAAGACGACATTGGCTCGGCGAGCAAGTCTGGCCGGACAAGTAGGTCGACAGTAGATCTTGGTGGAGATGACACCGTATATGAAGGGTGGCACCGCACTGGGCTTGCAGGACCGTGCTGCAAGGACAGCGTATCGAGCTGAGTCTGATCTCGCCAGCCAAGGATCTGAAGGTGATTGTGCCTTAGTCAGCCTTGACTGCATTGGAACGCTTAGATTTGATTGCGACCGGTTGAAGTTGATGTTAGAACCGACCTTGGGAGGGTATAGTAAGCAAGAAGGAGTTTGGGGGATGTGAATCAACATTGTTAGGGCGGCAGTCGGTTATAAATGATCCAAGGGCGGCTTCGGCTCCGTGCGCGTTTTCGATGGACAATGAAGCTATCGTACCTCGCGGCGTTGTTGCTCGAATGTTCTATATCGGGACACTACGCGTGAATCATCATAGGATGCAAGTGTTCAGCCGAAAGAGCGCGGGTGTGTCTCGTGGCGACTTGTTCAGGATCGCTGTGCTATCTATGTGCGAGTCGACGTCAGAAGTTGATGTAGTCAATGTAATCAAGATGAAGAGCCAGAGGGATTGCAAGCGAGGTTCGGTCAAGCAGTCACGATATGACTCGCCGTGGTACAGTAGTTTCCAAGGTTTATTTTCCACGGCCCCGTCTTGCTGTTAAAGTGACCAATGAAATGACCAGAACAGCGGTTGCTGACTTAGCAGCGCTCCCTCCTGCCTTTCCCGTTCCTTTTGATGAACACAAGGCAGCTCCGCGGGTGACGCTCGCAGCCTGATAGACGCAGAGTGTGCAATATTGCTTCTGATGATTGCTTGTGCGTGACGTCTGCTTCGACAAATGCAAAATTGTGCAATGTCAACCTGGACAGCGTCGAGAGTAGCTCAGATCTGGTCGAGCAGTGCGTGTCGCCTCCGCGAAGCCTTTACATTCTGCAGTTCACCTCGCAAGGATTCGGTATGCTCCAATGCAGCATCTCGAGAAACTGCAAATCTCGTCATACTGGTGCGAACGATATCGTCCTAGCTGACGTCAAAGCCATAATCGCAGTCAACCTTGCTGGGCTCTCCGTTCAAGCTGACAAATTCTTAGTCGGGCGTCAATGGGACAAGGATCGCTTCCTCGAAGAAACTGATGCCGATTTAGGGACTGTCGTGTAGCCGAATCATCTCCGACTGTTGGTTCGCGAAGACCGCGTTGACGAATTTCCTGAGCCTTGTGACGCGGTCGTAATCTTGCTGCATGTGCGCTTCGGACGATCTGGCAGCTCAGAGACCTCGCGCTTCACGACAGCTCCCACGATCTCGACATCATCTACCTCCTCTTCCACGCCATTTGCGGTGTCAGGGGTAACCTCGGCTTCCGTGGTTTCGGTCGTCATCACAGCGTCCTTATCAATTCCAGGTTCAGCCTTCTGGCCAGATGTTCCGAGCCCTTCGAAGAACATATTCTCCACCATCTTCAAGCCTTCTACCTCTGCCTTAGTCATTTTCTTGTCTTGGTCGGCTGCAGTCTCTTGTGCTTCGTTCGGAGGGGTGTTGGTCCCGGACATGCCCCCAGCAACTCGTTGATCAAGCTCCACCTTGGTCAAGCCCATTTTGTAGATAGCCTCCTCAACAGTACCTTTGCTCACAAGCCGAACTACCTCTACTGGCTTCTTCTGGCCAATCCGGTGGGCTCGATTCTCGGCCTGAATATCATCTTGCGGGTTGAAGCCCGAGTCGAAGATTATGACCTTGTTGGCAGAAGCAAGGTTGATACCAGCGCCGCCAGCTTTGGTGCTGAGCATAAACACTGGGGTGTTGTTGCCCTCCTTGGAAAATTCGTTGATCAGATCTTGGCGTTCGTTGACACGAGTGCTACCATCGAGTCGAAAGTAATTTATCTCTTCATGGTCAAAGACGACTTCCAAGATATCCAGCACCATGGTGAACTGGCTGAAAATCAGAGTCCTTGATCCCTCAGCAATGTAGCTTCGCAACAGCTCGAGCATCTTCGCAACTTTGCCGCTTGCAAGCCACTCATTGTTGGTCAGAGCGAACTTGCGTATGACGGCATTTTTAGCGCAGAGGGTGTGAAGCTCCATGTCTGAGTAGGCCTCGAGCTCCTGCAGTATCAGACTGGGCTCAGACTGAGCCACTGTTCGGCCTTGATGCATTGTTTCGCAATTTTTGGCAGTATAGCGTCTTTGTACACTCGTCGGAACAACCAGGGATGAATGGAAGCCTGCCGGAGCTTCATTAGGATGTGAGTCGTCTCGTTGCTGACGTCCTTGTCGCCTCGTTCGCGACGCGCTCGGATATCAAGAGCTTTGTCCTGCCAGATTTTGTACAGCTCAGATTGTTCAGTGGTTAAATCGCACCACTCGACTTTGCTCGTCTTTACCGGTAGATCTCTAGCGACTTGGCTCTTCTTCCGACGTAGAATGAATGGTGCCAGTATGCTTCGGGCACGAGCGATTCGACGAGCTGACAGCAGAGCATCGTGGTTGTCGTCCATTGTCTTGACAGTGTGCTCGAAGATTGCAGTCAACTCCTCCGACTTCTGGTAGAATAAATCTGGCATCATGAAAGCCAGCAAGCTCATCAGCTCCTTCAGGTTGTTCTGAAGAGGCGTACCGGTCAGCAACAAACGGAAGTTGCCGTTGATTCTCGCCAGCTTTTTCGTGACCTGCGAAGATGCGTTCTTGAGCTGGTGACCCTCATCGAAGATCGTGCAGTCGAAGCCGTAGTTACGCAGCCATGGCGCATCATCTTTGGCTTTGGCTAGGTTGTAGGTGGTGACGATAACATTGACTTCTTCGCGATTTTGCTCGAGGTTGTACCGCAATTCTTCTCTAGCGCCCGGCTGAGTGGTATAGTAAGGTTCCACTTTGAGCTTCGGCGAGAACTTCTTGAATTCCATCAGCCAATTTTCAAGTGTTGCGGCCGGCACAACAACCAGATGCGGACCTTTCTCGCCAATCTCGAAGAGGTGACTGAGGAAGGCGATGACTTGGTACGTCTTTCCGAGACCCATGTCGTCTGCAAGCATACAAGAGAGACCTCGTTGGTAGAGCAAGTTCAGCCAATTCAAGCCGACAATCTGGTAGTTGTTCAGATGGTACTTGTCGCTCATGATCGCAGGCTGCTCAAGATAATCCTTCGGCTTCTTCTGACGAGGCTTTGCTTCAGACGACTCTTCTGGGGTGCCAATCCCGGAGTCATGAGCGCTTCTCGGGCTATCCGGCATAGCAATCATCTCAAGCTCGCCGGTCGTGTTGACGTCCGTTCCCCACTCGCGCATTGTGGCTTTCAAAGGCTCTGCTAGCTTCTCGCACTTTTGGACGAGGAAATCAACTGCGTCGTACGCTTGAAGCATTGTTTCCACTTTCTCCACTATCTTCTCTCCCACAGGAGTCCTCTTTGCCTTGGACGGAGCTCTCGTAGGATCGTCCACTTTTGCGACGCTGCCTAACGACCTGAAAGGCTGCTGCGACACAAAGTGCTGTGCCAGTGCGGGTTTGATACCAGCAGTATCGGCCAGATCTGCAGCGCTGCAGGTACTGAAGAAGTTGAGCACTTTCTCGTCCATGGTCAGATTTCGCTCATGTACAACCTCATCATCGTCGCTTGCATTATCGTCGTCAGCACTGTCATCGAGCACAATAGCTCGACTAATGCCGGAGGCTTCGTCTTCTTTGATGTCGGCGAGGTCCGGACTGGAACGATCCTTTCGACCTCTTACTAAACGCTTACGTGCTTTGAGCTCCTTCGGAGGAGAAAAGGCGTCAAGATGTTTGGGCTGCTGGGTGCTACTCCATTTCTCGGTGATAGACTTGCTGGGGACCTTAGCCTGCTGCTTCGTCTTGACAATTTCCTTCTTCTTCTTCTTCTGTACAGCAGGTGTTTCGTTCAGTTCGTCGTCTGATATCTGGATCGGCTTCCTATTACGTTCCTCTTGCATATCAAGGACCCTGGTGATAGCAGCGTCATAGTCGAAATGGCACTTCTTCAAGGCGTCGTAACAATCTTTAACACTCGTGTCGGAAATGTAATCCAACATTTTCCGAACATGCTGCCGGTGGTTGGCGTTCTCAATGTCATCGAGCTCGAACTCTGGACTAGGCTCTCGGTCTGACGCGGCCTGAACCGGCATAGCTCTTGAGGGCTGGTTCTGTCGTGGTCGCTTGTTTGTGGCATTGCCGTATGCATAAGACATTTCATCCGCCGGACGCTTGACCCCATTGCTGGTGCTGTGTTCATACCTCTTGAGGAGTTCCGCGAAAGGAGAATGTCCAGTTTTCGGGGGAGACTCCTCGACGACTGTCGTCTTCTTAAAATTGGTAGTCTTCACATTCGCAGCACTTGCAACTCTCAAATCCTCCTCGTCCGAAGAACCTCCCTTGTATGTAGGTGACTCGTGACCGCTCGTAATCCGTGGCTGGGGTCGACTCGCTGAGCAATTACGGGCTTTCGGAAAGCCGTGCCTGCGGGCGCCATCAAGTTTCTGCGCTGTATGCCTCGACCGAACTGTGACGGTCGAGCGCTTGGTGATGTGAACGGCGAGGAAGCAATGACTTGGACATGCGGCGGCCGTGCAGGCGACGAGGAGTGCGCCTGCGGTAGAAGCTGAGTAGGCTGTGTAGTTGCAAGCGACTGCTGAGTTGTGGCCGGGTCATTATTTAGAGGCACTGTTGCAATTGTTGCATGCTCATCTTCACTGCTCTCGCTAGCGTTATCCGGCAGCGCTTTGGGAAGAGGTACGGTCGCGACAGTCTCATGACGGTAGGAACTGCCGAAGAGCTCCTCGTCAGAGTCATTGATGGGGTCGGAGGAGGCTTCGAGCCTCGCAGCTGTGCCCGAGAAGGCCGTCATAGTGAAGGGCGTAAGTGAATGAAGATGGTGGCGAGTCACTTTCTCGCGGCTGACTCTCCCTCTATGGATCCATTGGGTCAGCCGTAAGTGTGCTGAGTGCCAGCTCAGCAGTCGAAACTAGTATTATACCGCGATTATGCTCGTCAATCTATGCTGATCCCAATACCAAAATTTGTAGACGAACTCGAACACGGCTCAACCGCGTCGCGGAGTTTGAATCACTTTTCTCCGACAAGGCAACTTCCTCGCTTCACATATCCATGTCGTTGCCTTTCACTCTACGGTACTTGCTCCGTACTATTCGAACAGACGTCCGAGCACCACCACGGCGTCCTGCATCACTCGAGAAGGAGACAATCGTTTCGACATACGTCTTTGTTTTAGTAAGGGTGCCATCAGGTCCTACTCATATATTGAAGCCTGGGACTCGGATTAACTTCCTCTTCGGCCGCATCGATTGTCTGTACTCAAGTCCTTCATCCACAATGGCGACGTACCGTTCCAATGCCAGCTATGATACATCAGAGAAGCCCATCCTGTCACCAGCACAAGGCGGCGCCCCACCGCCTCCGTCCGACACTTCGCCAGCCGTGCCCTCCGATGTCATCTACAAACTCCTTGGCTTCACGTTCGCATGGTATTCTTCCCCATTGGGAGCTACTTCTTCACACTAAATACAGTCTTCAGTGGTGAGCTCGGACCCCTCTGCTGCCCTTGACCACAGCGTTATGAGCTGTTCAACTAAGAAGACTCATAGGCAACGCGACGTATGCAGGCGCATTTGCAGCAGTGATGGCCAATGTGGTGTTGATCGCGTACATCGTCGTGGCGATGCGGGAGGATACAGGAGGCGACGCTGGCCGTCCTGGCGGTGGCTATAAGGCCGGGAAGATCGTGGACGGTAGCAAGAAAGGGCAGTGATGCGAAGATCTCAGGATGCGGAATGTCGAAGAAGCTGTATGCATTATGGTTCGCTTTTCATAGGGCACGGTTGTCATGGCACGTACATAAAGGGGTATCACATCTATGACCAGGCGTGCTTCTTCATGCCACCTCTTGTCGTCGTCGGTCTCCGCCAAGGATTACACTCCTTTTCCAAATTCGTCCCAGACCCGAGTTTAACAGAAAGTGATCGTACGACCTCCTGATATTATCCCAGCCGCGTCATAAACTCATTTCAGTCATCACAAACCCCGACCTCCAACCCGCCCAAATTCCTCTCATACCTTCCCGGGCTATGATCCGCAAACATCCCACTCCCAAACCTGATCTCCGCAAAGCGCTTCTCTACATCCCTCACCCACTTGAACTGCACCCTCGTCGCACTCCTCCCCAACTCACGATACTGCACACCCGCCCCTCCACCTCCTCCACCTCCACCTACCTCCTCCGGCGAAAACCCATACCTCGCCTCCTGCTTCACATCGGCCCCGACCCGATCAAACACCCTAATCGACTCAACAATAAAGACCTCTCCGGGCGGCACCAATTTCTCATTCGTCATCAACCCCCTCAACTCTTGCAGCATGCGCCACGCCCACGTATCCTCCCCAACGCCTTCGCCCGCGATGTAGTCCGGTGGGGGTGGGCCACCTGTTGTCTTCTCAGCCGTCATGCTGCTTGTAAATGCAGCGCGGACGCGATTCCATACTCGTGACTTGAGCTCAGTGATCGCATCGCTCTGGTCGTGGCGAAAGTGCACGGCAATGGCGCGAAAGTCGTGCAGGGTGCCGAGAGAGAGGCAGGGCACGATGTCGGCCGCGTTGGCGATTGTGGTGATAAGGCCGCGGGTGGCAAGGCGCAGGGCCTCAGAGACAGTGGCAGGTGTTCCGTAGGAGTAGACGTGGATGGGTCGGCCACTAGGCAGGGAGATTGGGAGGTCTGGTAGGGGTTTGTGGGTTGGGTGAGTGTGGCCCTCGAGGAGCTTCTGGGCGGATTTTGTGACGAAGGATTGCCCGCTTGCTGCACTTGAGGGCTCGGCTATGAGGATGGCGAGGAGGGCCGCGACGGCGCCGCCGAGAGAGTGACCACAGAGGACGAGGCCGTAGTCTGGGTTCTCCTCGAGTGCGGCTTTGAGGGTTGCTACGACTCGGGTCCCGCCGCCGCCTAGCATACGGCGGGCAGAGGCGTGTATGCCTTTGTGAACTTTATAGCTGTGTCCTTGCCACACAAGTTCATCATAGTCACAGGTCATGTCTGTCAAGACTCTTCGAAGCCGAGGGTTCCACGGACGCTTAGTACGACTGCTTTGGACTTCTCGTCGAGTGACACGAAGTGTATGAGAGGCGAGATGGCCGCGGAGGACCATTCGGTGCTGTTGATGACGCCCTGGGGGTCATAGAATGACGAGAGGATTATGGTACTTGCTGGTAGCCCGGTGTGCTCGGAGAACGAGCTGTGTTCCTGGTGCACGTCCATAGTGACTAGATCGGTTGACTTGCTCAGATTCTCTCCTACATTGTTCAGACCCATGACGTGTAGAAAACCTGATCCATAAGAAGCCGTTGCGAAACGAGCAAATCGCCGAATGCTTCGGACAAGATGTTGATCAGGGAACGTGCCTGGCACTTTACCGTCGCGAACCAAGGCATCTACCACATTCGAGTCCTCATAGATCGACTTTCTAGGTACTGGCATTTTGGGAGCTAGAACAACGGCTTCGCCAGAATGCTTGCTGCCCATCGAGTACAAGCTGGGCTGAAACGACCTTGTCCGCTGATGGTGGACGGTGCTGTGGCCATCTGATGCTCTCAATGAGGCGCCCGTTTCTGATTGGCTGTGGGATATGCTGTTCACGGTCCGAGAGTGCGTTCGAGAGAATGTTGGTGAAGCCGCTCGGGACCCAGCTCGACTATCACCCCCGGAGTGTATCGAGTACGTGTCAGTCTGCGACACAATCGAGTTCCGCCTGGTCTCTCGCACGAAGTAGCTACTAGCTGCAATTTGACCAGGTGAGGCGACCTGACCTGGACTACCGAAGGGAGTCGGGCCACTGCTGTGTGCACTCATGCCCTGGATCGGCGGGTACACTCTAGGCTGACCGGCGTCGTTTCCGATCGTGGTCAGCCTCGCAAGCGTCGGCAGCTGTTTTGGTTCAGCAGACCGTCGCCGTGGGAGCAGGCTTGGTGCGTCGCGAATTGCTGCGAACGAGGAAGTGGGACTGAGGTTCCTCATTGCTTTGCGGATTTTACCTTCCTTGTCTTGCTTGTCTATTGGAACGCTATGCCGAACATGTTTTGAGGTAGATGGACCAGCTGGAGTGGTGTCGTCTGTAGACGTCGATAAATTGAAGGCAGGCTTCCTGCTCTTCTTCTGGTTGGCAACTGGATCGCGTTTCTTCAGCACACTTGTTCGTTGCCGACGGTCGCTCTGTCCTGAGCTGCTATCGGTAGTTTGAAGGGCTCTACTACTGTCCTTTGGTGGTGGGGTTGGCTTCGAGATATCACGCATCATGACAGTGTCCTCGTCGTTGTCGGAGATCTCGGGCTCAGGGCCGTCAGCCGGAGCTTCTCATCAGCCTCGACCTCTGCGCTGCTGCTTCGCTGCAAAGCCGTCCGAAATACTACTGTCTGCCTGGGACTCTGGTCATTGTCAATAGTGTCGTGGTTCAGACGCTCAGCTACCATGATCGTTCCAGGAGGTGCCTCAATGTTGGTGGCATCAGCATCGTAGATCTCGACTTTGATCGTCTTAGCGGTGAACGTCTCGGTGGTCACGACTGCTCTTGCCCCCGGAGGGAGCTGTCTGACAATCTGGTCTCTCAATTCCTGGTCGGATAGACGAGCTTGATCCTCAGCAGTCAACTCCAGCGTCTGACCAGCATCGAACAGTGTGCCGCGCTCTAGCGCTTCGAAGACAGCCTCTGGGTTGTCATCGTCAGCAGGCGAAACGAAGGAATGTGCAGGCTGGTTATGTCCAGGGCGCAGTGTGACCGTCTCCTGACGCCGGGTCCCGACGACATCCGCTCGGAAGCCGCGATCATCAATGACGGTGTCCCATATTGTATGCTCTCCACCCTCGTTGCGAAAGTCGAGCATGGTTTTCCGGCGGCCCCATCGCTGAAGTAGCACAAAACCGACGAGTCCAGAGAAGAGATCCCAGTACGACGCCACATGCTCACCTTGTGGTCGGTTGAGCTCGGTGCTGAGTAGCGTTATTACTGCTGCAACGGCTTTCGACGTTTCTGTGTTGCCGAACAGAGCATTCAGGACGGCAAGTCCATGGATCGCAACCCCAGAAGCAGAATTCATGATGGCTTCGGTCAGATAGAATCCGGAAGATGCAACGAAGGATGCCTTGGATAGGACCGAATGCAGAAGATGGATGGCAGACTGGAGAGTATTTGCTGCTTCAAGATGGCCTAACGAGCCGGGTTCTGTTCTGTATGCAACGTCCCGGCCGGCCAAAAGTAACACTTGTTCTGCTGCGCTTCTAGCGACAGATAGTGATTTGAGTGTGGCTTCACGAGAAGCATATAATGTCCATCCGCCTATTTTCATGGCAGCCCGCACATTCAGCGAGGCAATGCCTGTTGCGCCGGAGATCACAGTGGCCATTGGCCTGGGGAGGATCGTTGCGGCTCCGGCTTGTGTATCTCGGAGCGCCACTTGATCGCTCAATGGGTGAGCCGGGCGAGACTCTTCGTCCTCGTCGGCGTTGCCCGAGCCTTTCGCACGGCCCATGATGGCCAGCATCGTGACGGACACTGCCTGAGGATGACTGGTTGGGGTCGGACTGCGGAGGATGTCTACAGATCGTGGGAGCCATAGACACCGGTCATATATACTAGCTTTGCGGCGTAGATAACGGGTGCAGTATTCTATACGGCGCTATAGTGGTGGACATCAGGAACTTGAAAGCAACAACACATTCCAGCTTGTTATTCAGGTTATTAGCGAACGACGAATTACCAGTCGTCAGGAACCTTGGAACGCGTGACGTGTGGTTTCCATTGTTCTCATTTAGGCCACAGCCCCGGGGATGCCGCGAGCCTCCCGAGTCTCCCCAATCCCGCGTCGTTTGTCCTACAACACATTCACTCGGATTCTACTGATCAACGCGCGTGAAATTGTCCTTGCCTGTACCAACACCTCTTCCATGACTTCGCGCGAATGCAATGTATGGATTGTTTTGGCAATTGGCAGGACCAAAAGTTCGTGGTACCTGTGCCTGATCGACGCGCTCGACGCGTCTTTCACATGCAACGACTCACCCTGGCTTGTCCATACAGTCCCAACAGAATGCACATGCCGAAGATAAGTGGAATACGACAAACGAGACGACATCAGACAAGATGCGCCTGTCAACAATAAGACGGGTCTGGCTGCGAAGATCATGTATTGGTTTTGACGTACCTGGCTAGGTTGATCAATGAATCAACTGGTCATGTACAGGACGAAGCACCTGCTGCACACGAAAGCATCTAACGGAGAGATATGGGGGATCTGTGCATGGAATGTATGTTCTGTATGGAGCTCTCCAGTCCGAATCATGGTATTGCCAGTGACCATCCACTCATTCGGAGCACCGACAGGTCCGTCACAGCTTTGAGCCTCCACCAGATCTATCGTTGCCCTATCAGCATGACCTTATACTGGACACCTTCAGGCCTGACGATTGAGAAGCACTTACAAGTGCTTGTTGAAGAAGTCCACGGCAATCTTGTAACCACGCTCATACTGCTTCTTGTGCTCGGGATCGTTGACGTCGCAGCGAGCACTCATGAAGCCGTGCGGTACAGTGTCGAACCATTCGAAGTGCTTCGGCACCGTCAAGCCTTCGTTATACTTGTTCCAGTCGTCCTTTGGTTCCTCCTTGGACGGCAGAACGCACATCGGAATCTTGACCTTGGGTGCCTCAGATACATCGACCAGAGCCGGAGATGTTTGCACGCCAGCCTTGAACTTTGTGCCCTCCTTGCCGCTGATCAGAGAGACCATCTTGCCGCCCCAGCCTAAGAAACGATCGGTCAGTGACAGAGTTTTGGGCAACCACGATGCGTTTTCTCGACAGACGACACTTACAGTAACCGATCATGCCCCAGGATTTGATGTTGGAGTTCTCCTTCTCTGCATCCTCGATGATAGAAGCAACCTTTGGCAGATGCTTTGGGGGCGCAGCGTTCCCAAACCACTCGCCAAGCTTGGCTTGCTATCTGACAGTCAGCTCTCGCAGTTAAGGCAGGACAAAGTCAGCGACAGACCTTCTCATCCGTGTCAGGCGGGTACCAAGCGATGTCTGCCGGACCAGACTCCTGGAAGAAGTCGGGCATGAAGACCTGGTAAGTGCTGTCCTTGTCGCTCCAAGCGAGGAGGTCGGCGCCTTGCAGAATCTGGTTCTTGAAACCAAAGATGTCGTAAAGCACCAGAATGGCTTTGTCTGCGTCCTTGGGCCCGGTAACGTATGTCTTCAAGCCATTGAGCTTGGTGTAGTCACCTTGTGGCTTGTAATCTGGTTCTGGCGCTGGCGGCACACTACGACAGAGGTCAACTCGGGCATGGCTGAGACTGTGATAAGACTTACGTGCAGCAGGCTTTCGAGTGTCCAGACATATTTGCGGCGAAGCGTTTGCTGTTAAGCGAACGTGGTAGATGTATCTGTGGGCGTGTGGCGAGACAAGAAGGAACTGGATGTCGATAAGAGAGCCTACATATTATATTTACGACAACCCGCATTTGCGTATTTGAGAAGCGTCACTTCAAAGTGGAGAAGGATCCAAGATCACCGACTACGGAAGCACGTTCACTATAGATCGGATCCGGCCACGATCACGACAACTACAGGTGAAGGCGTCTTCAACTTGCTATAGGAGCTCAAGTGCAGGGCGCCCGCAATGCCACACGATTTGTCAACATCATCTTGCCGACACATCTACGCCTATCAGCCGCACAGTTGCTTGGGCGACGTATCTACCGCAATAACTTCCGTTTTGATCTGTTCTAGGTGTACCTGTCGACCACGAGCTCCTGGGTTGTTCTAGAGCTACCATCCTTAACACCGAGGCTCTGAGCAGGGGAGGGGTGGAGGGGCTCGAGGGGCACTTTCTCCAACTTGTCCATCACGTCACGCCTTCCCCAAGCAGCGGGTGATATTCGGTGAGGAGCAACACTGGCAGCACTGCCAACGGCACATCTCCCACACAAAACCCACTTCGGCTTGCGGCACGTACACCACATTCGATTCAAATTTCTCCGCCAACGTCTGTTTTCCGCTGATTTTCCGACTGATACGCCGGCAACATTTCCTTTCGTAGGCAAGCGGCTTCGAGATGAGAGACTCATAAACACAAGTGACAGCCACCAGAGGTAGGTCTGTAAACATATCTTAGGTCCAATCATGTCCGCGACAGAGACCGTCACTATACCGCAACAAATCGTGGCGGCCCCTGGACCGTTCCGAACCAAAAATCCATATGCCGCGAGTGAGGCTGTCGAGCTTTCGCCAGTGAAGAGCGGCCGGGGTAGGAGATCACACGAAGAACTAGATGTTCGAGATGAGTTGCCACCACCTTCGACGGCTGTCGAGGTGCTCGAGAGATGGAATTTGCCCCGACGGAACATGTACGCCATCTTCGGGACGTACCTCAGCTTCTTTATCTTGGGCATGAACGACGCATCCCCGGGAGCACTGATCCCTTACCTGGAGCGATACTATGACTTGTCCTACACAGTCGTCAGCTTGATCTTCCTGTCGCCATGTGTTGGCTACAGCCTAGCTGCCGCATTGAACAACTCCATCCACCGAATGTTCGGGCAGAGAGGCATCGCTTTCATTGCTGGGATGTGCCATCTCATAACGTACTTGACGTTCTCACTACACCCGCCTTGGCCGGTGATAGTGGTCTTCTTCATCTTCGCTGGCTTTGGCAATGGTCTGGCTGATGCTGGGTGGTGTGCATGGACAGGTAACATGGTCAGCGCAAACAAGGTGCAAGGCTTTCTGCAATCTTTCTATTCGCTTGGAGCGACGATAAGTCCTCTGATCGCTACAGAGCTTGTTGTTAATCGCAAAAAGCCATGGTATACGTGGTACTACGTGATGGTCAGTCACAACCCCATAGCCGTTGACTGGAGCTAACCACCCGCAGACTGCATTTGCTGGCCTGGAGCTGATCGTATGCACAGCGGCTTTCTGGCACAAGAATGGAGCCAAGTATCGCGCCGAGACCAAGCAGGAGACTGCCGGTAGCACGACGTGGAATGCTGTCAAGAACAAAGTCACGTTGCTTTGTGGTGCTTTCTTCCTAATCTACGTTGGAGCAGAAGTCGCTCTTGGAGGCTGGATCGTTACATTCATGCTGCGGGTGCGCAATGCAACTCCGTATGCGTCTGGCATCTCTGCTACCGGCTTCTGGGCAGGCATGACTGTTGGCCGTGCGCTGCTCGGCTTCATCACTGAGCGGTATGGCGAGCGAGTCTGCATTTCGATCTACCTAGCCATTGCGCTTGCGCTGGAGCTGATCTTCTGGCTTGTGCCAGATTCGTGAGTCCGCTCCTATCTCGCACTGTCAACTGGACTGACATGCGAACAGGTTGTTTCTGCTGTTGCGGTAGCACTACTTGGATTCTTCTTTGTAAGTTGCTCTCCCATGGTCAAACTCGCATCCGGAAACGAGCATTATTTCGGAGACTGCCTGAACATATGGCTCGGGATGACAAAGAAGTTGCTCTCGTTGACCTTACAATCCTACCCTCGAGCATACGCTCCTTTCCCGAGACAAGGCTAATCAGATTTGCAGGGACCTGTCTTTCCCGGTGGTGTGGTGATGTGTGCCAAACTCTTGCCAAAGCACATGCACGTCTCAGCGCTCGGAGCAGCGACAGCCGTCGCAGGAGTCGGAGGCGCTGGCGTGCCTTTTGCTGTAGGTGCGATTGCACAGCAGAAGGGTGTCTGGGTGCTTCAGCCAATTGTCCTGTCGTTGGTCGTAATCCTGATATTGCTGTGGTTGGCTCTACCGCGGGTCAAGAAGAGAGACGCGTAGGCACGAAGGTCGCCTCAGGCGGCCCATATCTGTGACGGATCGCGACATGCTTGAATTCGCAGGTCGCTGCCAGACTTGAGATTGGGACACATAGGAAGTACTACGTGAGGCCGTTCGGCGCCGAACGGTAGTGGCAGAGCAGTGAGCCTAACGCACGAGACCACCTGGTCGGGACCAGACTATCCCGCACCCGGATGTGCCTGTTCGGCGACCTCAAAACCTCTGTAATCAGGTCAACACCCAAGGCAACTTAAGCCTTCTAGGTGTACAACATGGGCTGAATGAGCAAGAAGAGATTGCCTGACCATCAGGATGACTGCTTCTGCAAAAGCTTAGCATAGTACCCTATACCATCGCAAGCGATTCTGGCGTGATGCATTCCATTTCCTCGCTAGCAATATCGAGATGGCTCGCAGTCCGTACACCAACAAAAAGCCCAAAGAAAGGCAGGCGCGAAGGCCGAGGGCGAGAAGCTAAATCAGAGACTGCTTTTCACCGTTATTGATCTTCTAGAGATGTAAAAATTGCCCCCTGTTGCTAAACACCGTTCGGCGGTAAAGAAGGAGATGTACGACCGTCGCTCCGATCTTGGTCCACGATCTCTTTCTTGCCTCCTCAAGATTCTGTTATTGCACGTTAACCAGTCCACAGCACGAACCTGCGACTCTTCGTTCTTCTTCAGAGTGCCAACATCGCAGTCGTCGTGCCTTTAAGATCCATATTTATCAAAGAGTCTGGTCGATCACTGAATCTATCGGAGCCCACCGAAATCGTCTCGGCCCCGGAGATCTGCTCCGCAGATCCGCGATACCAAACACATTACTGCATTCAAAGAACTCAAAACGCATGCTTGATATCCCAGGAATAAACGACTTCATCACTATCTCCGTCGTTGATGGTCTCATAGGACCTATAAGTCAACAACATGGCCACTAACGCCCACGAGCAGACAGTTCCAACCACATCGCCAAGCATGGACCAACGACCAAAGACGCCTGACCAGGCGCATATGCCACCAGAGCCGACGTCACCAACATCGTCGGCCTCATCCGACCATGACATCCCAACACAAGGCGAACAGCCGCAACGAAAGCCAGAACTCACCAGGACTCAATCTCAAGCATCCCAATTCGGTAAAGGTCGTATAGTCATCATCGTCTTCTCACTATGCATGGCACTCTTCCTCGCTGCCCTCGACGTCACCATCGTCACAACAGCACTACCCACCATCGCGGAGCACTTTCATGCTTCAGGCTCTGATTACACTTGGGTGGGCTCAGCTTATCTGCTCGCCGCTGCAGCGTCCGCGCCAGTCTGGGGTAAGATCTCTGACATCTTTGGACGGAAGTACATCATTTTGATGGCAAATGTTGTGTTCCTCGTCGGGTCGTTGCTTGCCGGTATCTCATCTTCAATTGGCATGCTCATCGGTGCACGAGTTGTCCAAGGAATCGGCGGCGGTGGCCTAATCATCCTGGTGTATGTCTGCATCGGCGACCTGTTCTCCATGCGCGAGAGACCCAAATACTTCGGCATCATGGGCATGGTCTGGGCAATTGCTTCAGGCGTTGGCCCTGTCATTGGCGGAGCCTTCACCGAAGGCGTCACCTGGAGATGGTGCTTCTACATCAACCTCCCGCTCGACGGCGTCTCCCTCATCCTGCTCTTCATCTTCCTCAAGCTCGACAATCCACGCACACCCCTGGTCGCCGGCCTGCGAAGTCTGGACTGGCTGGGCGTGCTCACTATCATTGGAGGTGTCGTGATGTTCCTCTTCGGCATGGAATCCGGTGGCACTACACATGCCTGGGCCAGCGCTTTCACTATCTGCCTCATCGTCTTCGGCATCGTCACAATCGGCCTCTTCTTCATCAACGAGTGGAAGTTCGCCAAGTACCCCGTCATCCCGCTGCGGATCTTCCGCGATACATCGAACTTGGCGGCCTTGGTTTGCTGCTTCATACACGGCTTCGTCTTCATTGGGGGATCATACTATCTCCCGCTGTACTTCCAGGTCGTGCTGGGGGCCTCCCCAATCCTCTCTGGTGTCTATCTTTTCGCCATGGTGCTCACATTTTCTGTGCTCAGTGCAGCTACTGGAATATTCATCAAGAAGACCGGCATGTTTCGTGAACCGATCATTTTCGGGATGGTATTCATGACGCTGGGATACGGCCTGTTCATCAACCTGCCTGATCATAAGGTGTGGTCGAAGATCATTATCTGTGAGTTGCCACTCCCGTGAAGCCTACCCCACGAACTTCCATCGCTAATCTTTGTTACAGACCAAATCATAACCGGTATCGGCGTTGGGCCCAATTTCCAAAGTCCGCTCGTCGCTCTGCAATCCCGTCTCAAGGGTCACGACAATGCCATCGGTACCACCGTATTCGGCTTTGTGCGCAACCTCGCCACCTCCATTTCTGTGGTCTTAGGCGGTGTCATTTTCCAAAACCGCCTGTCATCAAATATTGGCGCTATTGCTGGCCAGCTCCCGCCCCAGCTTGCTGCTACACTAGAGACATCGTCGTTTGGGAGTGCCACCGCAGACCTGAAGCTGCTAGATGCTCAGCAAAAGCGATTACTGGACAGGGCATTCACGGACGCGTTACAGAAGATTTGGATATTTTACACTGCCTTTGCCTTCGTTGGCATTATAGTTGCGGTGGTGGGCATCAAGAAGAAGGAATTGAAAACGGAGAAGGAGGTGGTCAGGACCGGATTGAAGGAACAGGAGCGCGTGCGCTTGGAGGAGAAACAAGAGGAGGCGGACCGCAAGGAGCGGAAGAAGAGCGCTAAAGCTGGAAGAGGGAGTTTGGACGGGGACGTTGAGAAGGCATCGCCGCCTACATCGCCTGTCAGGGGCGAGGAGGGCGTTGTGGGTGGTGGGGAGCGGTAAGAATGGCGAAGCGAGAACAGGAATTGTTTGGGCTTGTATCACATATGCATTTCGGGTGAGTAGTGAGGCGTGCCATTGGCATTTTCGAGCATCGAATGTAGCAAAAGCATTTCGCATCAATCTCTACAAGCGCGTGACAGTGATTATATCCAAAGGCCACCCGGACCTTAGACGAATCCCTACTCAAGCACATAAACGCGCTGTCTGGCTCACTGGATCCGCAAGCTGTTCTTCCCTCGTGCTCTGCAGCACGGGCAGTCGACGCCCTTGCTGTCCCTGCATAGACTCTTTCCAGGTTGGTGGTGTGGCTAGGAAGCATGCCTTCGAGAGCAGCTGGAAATTGCACCATCCCCTAGTCAGTTTGGCAGTACTAGCCGGTACAGAGCTTTGATGATGCAATGTCCCGTCCTGTCGAGCTGACCTCTTTGCTGCATATAACAATGTGCGTTGCTTTCCGGTGCTCTGATTCGTGCACAGCCAGGCGGGCTCCGGTGCTGTGCTGTCACTTGCTTGTCGCGGAGTGACATATAACGTCCAAGTCCAATAGGAGGGTGTCGTTCGGTGCCCCACGGCTATCTGAGGGCCTCGTGAGCGCGGATATCCTGGTCTTCTGTAGTCCTTGCAGGCCACGGCTCATGCATTGCCATATTTCTCGAATTTTCTCGAGATAATGCAAGTCAACATGCGGTCATGTTGCAGGCTCTGGGCTGAGCAGCTGCATGAGCACCAGCATCTGAGTGTGGTATTGTCGTTGTTTTCAGATATTGGTATCCAGTCCCCCTCAGGGCATCGGCGGCCTCACCTCAGCAGCCATACTAGGCCTTCTCTTCACAAACTCGTTCAGATCACTCCTAGTGACCACCCCCAACACAAACTTCCTACCGCCATCCGTCACAACCGCGAAATCCTGCTTCGATCCAGTAGCATACTCCCCAATATCCTCAAAGAATCCTTCCAGCTCCCACAGCTCTGTCTCCATTGTGATGACCTGATACTTCTTCCCTCCGCCCCGTTGGAACTTGACCATTGCTTTCTCAACTGGGTCAGTAGGCTGGATCTGCCGTGTCTCGAAGAGGGTCTTGAGGCGCGATATGGGGAGGTAGCCAAGCAGTGAGCGTGTATTTTCGGAAAGGACGGTGAGGTGGGAGTAGTCGTGGGAGGAGGCGGAGAGCATGGCTTCTTCAAGGGAAGTGCTGGGGGAGGTGGAGAGGGCCGGGGCGAGGTCGAGGTCGGCGACTGTGGCGCCGCGATATTTCATTGCCCATGCGCGGAGGCGTGCCTTTGAGTCATCGTTGACTGCAGGAGGTGGAGGAATGCCGTTGGTTTGAGCCTGGGGGACGATGGACTCGTCGAGGGCTACGCCGTGCTCAAGGACGGATGAGCCGGTAGTAGCCATGTCGGAGCATCTAGGTACAACTCAGAGAACAGTGGCTGCTGTGGTGGCAGTCCTCTTCAGATTCCAGATCAGTCGTGAATTGGCCAATCCTAGCAGAGAGAACCCGAGCGTCAGTAACCCGTGCACGACGATTTCTGGTGGAGTGAACTTTTTTGGGCGGTCGGCAATCATAACCGAAATGACGTCGGTTCAGGCTTGACTGCATGTGCTCTTGCTGCTGTTCTCCGCAGTGACTTGCCCTGGAACAGGTAGGTAGCTGGAGATAGCAGGCATGTTACGCCGGGCTTTATCAAAGCTGCTCCTGCTGTGAGAGCTCTACGCAGCACTTGTGTGCTTTCCAACATCCATAGTAAGTCGCCGCGAGACTTCAACCATTGTTGGACGGTCGGACAGAGTCGTGTTCACTTGCGGCTGATCTGACACTGATCGCCGTCGCAATTGTTGTGTACATCTTCACCTCGGACTTACGCACCTGTACTGTACTGCTCACCGAGCGCGTCACCCACCAACATGCCGGGCCTCTACCCGGACTCGTCCACTCTGTATAACGCCCGACTACCCACATCACCAATCTACAAGCCTGCTGCGCCTGTCGAGCACCCGCAGAAGCGACCCATCTTCTCCTCATGGAGCGCCGCTGACACGGTCAAGAATGAGGCACAGAAAGTGGCTTCAGATGCCGCCGCGCAGTACGAGAAGGCCAGCAACAAAGCCCAGGCCAAAGTCGGCGGCATAGAGCTCTATTCGGGCAAGTACTACGCCGCATGTACCTTCGGTGGTATTATCGCTTGCGTAAGTATCCTGGCCGAGTTGAGGACCGCGACTGACAGTCCCAGGGTCTCACTCACACAGCTGTCACACCCCTCGATCTGATCAAATGCCGCCGTCAAGTCGACTCGAAATTGTACAAAGGCAACATCGAGGGCTGGGGCAAGATCTACCGTGCCGAGGGCATGCGAGGCATCTTCACCGGCTGGGGCCCAACATTCTGGGGCTACTCGATCCAAGGTGCTGGCAAGTATGGCTTCTACGAATACTTCAAGCATAAATACAGCGAGCTGGTCGGCGAGGATAACGCTGCCAAGTACAAGACTGGTGTCTACCTTGCTGCCTCCGCGTCGGCTGAGTTCCTGGCCGATATTGGCCTCTGCCCTCTCGAATCGATCAAAGTCCGCATGCAGACCACTATTCCTCCTCAGTTTACGGGTACGATGCAAGGTCTGTCGTCGGTCATTGCGAAGGAAGGCACTGGAGGGTGAGTTCAGTCCAACCCGTGGCCAGTCTAATCCGTTGACACAAGTCGCAGCCTGTACAAGGGTCTGTACCCGCTCTGGGGCCGACAGATCCCATACACCATGATGAAGTTTGCTTCTTTCGAAAACATTGTCGCTGCAATCTACAACTACTTGCCTGGTACCAAGGACGACTACGGGAAAGGTACTCAGACCGCTGTCGCTTTCACTGGTGGTTACCTAGCTGGTATTCTCTGCGCCATTGTTTCTCACCCAGCCGATGTCATGGTCAGCAAGCTCAATGCCAACCGTGCTCCTGGTGAGGCTTTCGGTGCTGCTATTGGACGCATCTACAAGGACATTGGTTTCGGTGGTCTGTGGAATGGTCTGCCAGTCAGGATTGTTATGATTGTGAGTTGATCACTTGCTTCGATATGTGGTCGTACTGATGTGTTTATTAGGGCACGCTCACCGGCTTCCAATGGATGATTTACGACTCCTTCAAGGTCTTTGTTGGTCTACCTACGACGGGTGGTGGTACGGCTCCGAAGGAGACGACCCAGAAGCACTAAAGTGACATTTGCGCCTCAATGTGATATTGTTTTGGGTCCACCAGAGGACTGTGAATTGTTGGAGTCCAGGTTCACTCCTTGGAAGCGTGTTGATGCCTTTGGGGATATCATTATGTCGAGGCTGAGAATACATCCTTACCGTCCGCTCCCATTGATGTTCTCTATTGCGAGCCGCAAGCTTTCCATCCGAATTTATCTTCCACTGCTTCGTGAGTAGTCGGTGCCATCCACTGCCTGACTTCGCAGTGAGCACCTGGATGGTAGGCTTTCACCGTGCTACACATGCGCACTCAGCCTAGGTATTCGCGAAGTATATCCGTATCTTTGACTGAACTGCACTTCCGTACCTGCTCCGAATCCCAGCATCATAACCCATCGGTGATCTCCTCCCCCACGACATTGGCCCGCAGCATGTCGCGATCTCTCGGCATACGTCATGTACTAGCACTTATCTCCCGCCAAACAAATAGACTTGACCAAGCATCAAGTGCTTCGCGGTGATGCTATTCGGTAGAGGAACTCATGCTGGATAAGAAATCTCTTGGTGACCTGCGCCAAGCTTACAGCTTGAACATGATGGCTCTCCTGTTGGATGGGATTGCACATGCAACAGACTGGTGGGGCAAGGAAGCGAGGTCGGTAAGTTGTGAGGTGAGGTACTTAGGCTGGGGTTGCCTCCATTCGGTGAGTCTGGAGATCTTCAAGTTTAGGTCATCTTCTCTGCGTCGCTTTTCTTGCAGTAGGACTACAGTTCCTCTGGCACGTCTCACACACTCGACATTCGCGTACCCGCACCGAATTGGATCCCAAAGGCACTGTCTTGAATGCGACACAGTCAACTTGGACATAATATACCATAAGTCTTGTCCGGTGGGCACTGAACCCCGAAGCACTCTCGATCGTACACACCTTCGATCCGTCTCCATTGGACACGATGTCTGACAAACACCTCGTCTCTCACGGTCGCGGTGGTAAGTTCCTCGCTCCATGCCTCGTGTCATCCAATTTGCTCATCGACCCCCCTCAACCTGCCCCCCCATCCCACTTACATGACCCTCTCCCGCCTCCTCTCACACGACCCTAATCTCCACCCCCAAAACAGGCGCAGCAAACATAACGCCCGACACAACCCCCTACACCGACGGCGGCATCGTCCGCGAAGGCCCCGAAGGCGACCAGGGCGACGGCAAATACTCCTCTGGCCGTGGCGGCGCGGCCAATATCGGCGGAGCGCCTCTCGCGGCCGGTGATGTCGCGAAGGCGCCACATGACAGCGACATGGTGCCGGAGACGGCAATGAGGCTGGAGCAGGAGGAGAGCCATCACGTGGGCAGGGGTGGGGCGGGGAATGAGGCGCATGTGCATGCGAAGAAGGAGGGGAAGGAGGGGGGATTGCTGGGGAAGGTGAAGGGGCTGTTTTCGAGCAAGTAGGTCGTTAAGGTGGTGGGATTAGGCTGAGGTTGCGATCATACTGATGTCAAGTGTGTTTGAAATATGGCGGCAAGTTGAGATTGAGCTGACTTTGTTGTGGGAAGGTGTAATGGACGAATAGTCCGAGGCGCGAGATAGATACCCAACGCGTTGCTGGAAAGGTTGCTGTTCGGTGTAGGACTCACCACGTGTCCATGCGTCAACGAGTTCCGCGTCACCGGGTTCTCTCTCGTACCGTACTTGCCTTCACGCGCGACGTAGCCAGCGTCCATGTGGCAGCGACTAAGCCATCGTGGCGGCGACGAGTTGGCATGGGCCAGAACTGGAAGCCGCTCCCGCGGGAGCGCGTGCCATATCCGAAACTCTGATGTCGAAGTCATTGTCGCGCAAGCAGCGGCGATGTCATGGTCAAGTGAGCCCTCCTACCACTCTGCAAGGGTCTGGCCAGCACCGTACCTTCACGAGATAGCGGCATACCTGTCCTAGCAGGCAATCCCTTGCAAAATTCAAGCTGCAGTGTCGAGTGCCGAGCAATTCAATGTTGGCAAGCGCGCTTCGGACTGACCCACTTCGCTTTCCCCGGACTCATCCAAAACCGATCGATCGTGTTTTGTTTGCACTCTCTTCCCATTACCTCCGAGCTTACAGTGCAGCTCGACTCCCCATAGACTGACGCTGAGCGCTCGCATACACAGCACGACAGGGCTTGTAGACAGTTCAACGATTGCAACTATCATCTGGCTGGAGAACTCCCTCCTTCGCGCTGACACTGTCATCAATAAACCACGGCGCGTGTTGCGATCTTATACCGATATACTCTTTCAAGCGCCACGACTACGACAACATCTGTTCCAATGCATCGGCAAAGGCGACTCTACCGATAGCGCTTCAATCACCACACTCCTTGCGACAACGCATTCCTGCAACGGTTTGCGACCGCGCGCAATACCATGCCGAAACGAAAATGGCAGCCGGGTGACGGCTTCAACATCACAGCACCATTTGATGCTACGAAGAAGAAGAAGGGCGATCAGTATATTGGCATCGACACACCGGGCCCAAAACATCTAGAAGTCCAATACATGGTCGATCCCGGCTCCGAATGGGAGGCTTTGACACGATACTCGGAGGGAATGCGATATGAGGGACTTCAACTACGGCCAGGCAATTGTGCCTTTATCAATCAGACTATGCCTCCGCCAAAGCCTCCGAATGAGAACGCATCCCCCGAGGAAGTGCTCGCCTATAGGAAGAGGTACATGTGGGTGGTCCAAATACAAGAAGTGAGAGGACCTGCAGGCAAGAAGGCGTCCTCGATGGAAGAGATCCTCTTTCGCGTTTTCTGGTTGTACTGGCCAGCAGAACTACCTCAGACACAGAAGAGAAAAGCCGGCCGGGCACCATATCACGGTGCCAGAGAGCTGGTGCTGTCTAACCATGCCGACATCGTGGACGGGACAGTCATCTCAGAGATGGCGAACGTCGACTTCTGGAACGAGGATAATGACGAAAAGCAACAGCACCCCGAATTCTTCTACCGAACGACGCTAAACTACAACACTCCAGGCAAGCCCATTCTGAGCGAGCCGCTGAAGCATTGTCGTTGCAGCGAGCCATACAACCCAGACACGACCATGTACAAGTGCAGCAACAGCGTTTGCAACAAGTGGAACCACGAGCAATGCATCATCGACGACGTTCAGAGAGACCTGCGCGCTCAACTTAGCGCACATGGCAAGCCGGGTCTTCTCGACTATCTCGACAGACGATCCAGCAAGACGCAAGCCGGCTCGAACCAGAACAACGGTGTTAGAGGCACCACACCTCTGGGCTCTATTGGCGATACTATCGCTGTGGTAGCCAGCGCCATGTCGAACAAAGTGAGGAACGTCATGCGGTCGATCGAGGAAGGCGCAAAGGATGTTGGTGACGACGACGGGTTCAACACACCAGATGAGGACGAGGACTTTGACGCGGTTGCGGCACTCACGCCGCAGAAGAAGCTGAAACAAAAGCAGAAAGGGAAACAGAAGAAGGGCAAAGAGGCAGGGCCATCTGAGCGGCCGGGTACAGCCAACGGAACCAATGGTGCCGAGGCGGCAGCAGTCCATCCGTCTCTGAGCAAGTCGACGCAGAAGCTAAAGCTGACCGAGTCGCAGCCGGTGGCTACAGTGTCGCTCAAGGACGGGGAGATCAAGATATCTCTGTCCAACGATGACACGAACGAGAACGGCCTAGTGGCGATAGTGGTACTCACAGATGCGTCCGGTGAGAAGGAGGTCGGCAGGTGGGAGTTCGGTGTGGATTGCTTGATCTGTGGGAAGAAGCTGGACTGACCTGTGCTCGATGCTGAGCAAGGGTGTTTCTGTCCGACACCGCAAGAGCGTGCATGGGCAAGCATGGAGGGATGGTCTATCCCGGACCTTGAGCCTTTGTTCTTCTGGAAGGCGACTGAGCGACTGATTGAGCGAGCAAGCATGATGTATGAACACTCGTCGTCAGGTTTTGATCCATTTCGGATACCTTTGATAGCACTGATGGTGGACATATAACTTCCTCTTTCCTCGGTCGTCAACGAGCTGACTTAACATACACGTACTTATAAGCCCTCTGTCAAGTCTATCTTCACCTTACGGTCTTGTCCGCCGTATGTGACAAGTGTGCCTGCTTGGATGGAAGATGGGAAGTGCGGAGAGTCGTTGCCTTGTGTTCGTGGAATGCAATTGATGGGGAACACGATATGGAATCTTGGTTACCTGCACCACGTTGAAATGCGAAGCATAAAGCCTTTGCATCTGGACTGCATATCAGCTCGACAGGGTACCGAGCAGGACCTTGGTCCCACGTGCACTGCGTCCATCTCAGCTGGGATCTCAGAGAGTCACAGAGCGCTTTGCCAGCAGGTTGATAGTCCTGGCTTGCCAGTTAGTCACCGCGGAAATGGTCTCCGTCGTAGTGGAACAGCGTGGGGCAGGATTCGTTAAGTGCAATAATATCACGAAGGTACCGCATCTTTGCGACTCTGGACTCTGGAGCGTCCAAAAGATTCGAGTCAGGCTGCTGCTGCACGCAGCGTCGAAGCGGTGACTGTCGAATCCGTCGTGCCATTGTATGTTCCTTATCAGTCACATCTGGCCAAGTTCGGAAAATTGTACATCAAATTTGGAGCCTCGCGGTAGTAGCGCTCATGCAGCATGCTTGGTAGATGCAGAATCAATGATGCCATAGCGTGTATCTGCATGCACGATGCGACCTACGGACTTTTGCGTTATCTGGCGAGTACCGCATGCACCAGCCACAGCACTCAAAGGTAGTGGATGTAGTTGTAACAACAACGTGGATGTGGTGTTCGCTGTGGGCCTGCGAATAGTAGATCTGAATCAGTAAGCAGTACATAATGCATTCATAACTGTTAGGAAATAGTAGCCGTGCTTTGAACTTTCAGGCCGCAACGTCTTCTGGAGTCTTTGATAACGCGCGTCGCAAAGTGTGGAGCGGCTGGGCGGTCGATTCGCCAACGACACTCCATCGCGCGGGCTCGGCTTTGTGCTTCCACATCTCGTGGATGGGCAGGTTTCTCAAATTCTGAGCTCTACTTATTCAGTCAGCAAAGATTCGCAATTGTTGCTACTCGAGGCTTTTGTGTCCGAGACACTGTGAAGCTGATCTTTCGCTTGATCGTACGATTGTCCGTAGATCATGTCACATATAGAAACAATTGCTTCCCAAGCGACTCCTGGCGAGGATGCAAAGACCAAAAAATATGTATCGTCGGCATATCGGCGGGATCGGTGCTTAACCTTCCGGGGTAAGGCCACAGCTAACAGAGGTTTCGCTTGTTCGCTTTCGTGGCAACGCTAGGTGGCAGGTTTCCCTGTTCTTGAGCCCTGAAGAGCCTGGAAAAGGTTTAGATCCGGCTCTTTTAATGCCAACAGCATTATCAGACGGAAACCACGGAGCCTTGGAAGGACCCTTGAGTGGTTCATTATAACCATGCTTCAAGGGCAAGCTCTCACTAAACCTGCTAGGGCATCGGGCCATCGACAAATGTGGGAGCGTTGGGGTGGTACTCCGTGCGACTGGGAATTTTTGATGCTTCGCGACGAGAAGCATTTCTGTCTGCCTGCACGTTTCGCGGCGGAAGAAGGTGTCAGTAGGATCGTAGCTGCCAGTCCTGAGAGCCGGCCTCATCGAGCTCATCGTCCTGAGCTTCTGCGAAGACCTTCGCAACTGAAAAAGGCGGGTAGCCAGTAGCGATAAACCGGGAGACGTGTGAGACGCGGCATGCGGAAGAGGAACAGGAAAGGCTCTAAAACTCGATGATGGGTGGAAGGCGAAATGTCTGCAGGAGCCCCAATGAATAATGATATCCATGCACTGCCACAGCATCCACGTCTCATCCACTGGGCTGCTCTTTCCGTTGGAAATGCTATCCTCGAAGTCCATCGCCGATATCTGACGAGTCTTACTTCGTTCCTGCTTTTCTGCTTCCTCCTCCTTGGAAGTTGTGATATACTCGACAATTGGTGCTACACTCGCTTTGACAATTGACTGGACACTGCTGGGGGCTGGATTCGCTTTCCACCGTCTGAAACACTGTTGTTCGCCCAATCGTTGATTTGGTCTAGTACTCTGTATATCCTTGTCAGGGCTCTTTACTCAATCGGTCTCCCCGCCACACCCAGCACGCCGCAGGAACACTCATCAGCTACCACGGCAGCTGCTGTTGTGCTATTATCTTATACAATTGCTGCGTATAACATTGCAAGCACGATCTTGTCTATCGAGTCTACCTGCGCAGGTAGCAAGGAAAAGGAAGCGCCCAACTTTGGCTGTGGTGTAGCACAGCGATTATAGATTGCACTCAGCCACCTCACCTCACCGTGGCGCCAGCAAAGTGCCTCTCCCTTCACTTGACGCAGCTCAAGAACAAACGAAACTGCGCCGAGCCAAACACAAAAGTGTGAACTTGAACATCCTGCAGACTTCACCACACTTCCTTCGCTCAATCACAAGTCATTCACCATGGCTACCCTGGCCCAACCTGCGCCTACGGCCCACGTGGACCGGCCACGCGCGCACTCGAACCTCAGCTTCACCTCGAACACCTCGCGGAGAAGCCGCGGCTCAAAAGTACAGGTAGACATGACGGAGTCACCCAATGACAAAAAGAAATTCAATACGGAGAGCAAAGCAGATCCGACCAAGGCGCTGAACGAGGCAACACCTGGTACGAACGACCGCCCAAGCTAGTTAGATGTCTGCTAACAAATGTAGCTCAGGTCGCTCAACAAGAGACGAACCTCGAAGATCTTAGGAGGACTTCGTGGAAGGATCAAAATGGAGACGTTATCAGTATGCTTTCTCCCACAGAAGAAGCTCAGGAACCGAAGACTAACAGCATGCAGCTGACCCGGATCGATCGAATCCGACTCGACCCAGAATGGAACGTCCCCTCGACACGATCCGCAGCTTTGCAGCCGCTGCTGAAGGCACAGCCAACCGCCGAAGCTCATCTTATGGTTCTTTCACTGGCAGACCTCGTGCGTTGTAGCCATTGTCACCAGTCAAGCGCTAACAATCCGCAGAATCGCAATATGGAGAACAGCCGTTGCAATCACATTCCCGTCAGAGCAGCTACTATAATTGTGAGTCCGATCCGAGGACGCTCCATCGCCGACTGATGGCTAACATGATGATCACAGCCCCGGGTGCTGGTCCACGAAGCTACGGTCGCCCATCTCCCGGAGGTGGCTACTATCGCAACAGTTCCTATGGTTTCAGCGGATACCCGACGCAAAACTCCTTCGATGAGTCCGCCGAATACGATCAACGCGATTACTACCGTCCCGAGCCACCGCGCGGTGGTCCAGGCATGAGGAACAGAAACCCTGCGAACCCTTACTATGGCAATCCGAATGAGATGCAGGGCCACACAACTCACCAACCGTCGTATGACAACATGACCTCTGGGTCGGACGAGAACAGCAAGTCGACGAATCCATCCTCGCTGAACAGCTCATACGACCAATTACATATGGCGCAACATGCCCACGCAAGAAAGCCTGATGCATACCCACAGAACCATCAGAACCAGCAGAATCAGTATGATAACGAGATGAACTTTGCGCCTGTCAGCCCGGTCTCTCCGCAGGTGCCCAATGGCCATCATTATGCTCAGAACGGCACGAATGAGAGGGGTAATCCCGGACAATACTATCCAAATGGTCAGCAAAACGGAAATGGCTACTATCCTCGTCAGCAGAACAATCCACCACCACCACCAAAGGACTCGTACTCGAATGGCGGCAGGGTGCCTATCCGCTTGGACGGACCACCCAGCGCTCCCTCTTCGGGTGCGGCCACTGGCAATATTCTGAGGAAGAGCAACGATGACGGGAACAAGCGCAAGAGTTGGCTGTCTAGGAAGTTCTCGAAGAAGGAGAAATGAGCTTCCCAAGGAGAGCATTTGGAGAGATGAGGCACTTGACAGAAGGTGTTTTGTTAATTTGACGACAGCATACGGACGGCATCGCATCGCATCTTTCCAGGATCAGCAACGAAGCTTTGATAATGATATGATGGGCTTTTTGCTGATAAACTGTCGAGGATCTGTTTGAGGGATCTGGACAATTCTGGTGTGGACGGTTTTGGGGAAGAGACGATGGCGCTCATCCTTCACTAACACATGATTTTGAGGAAGGGGATTTTGGCCTGCAGGCCTTGAGGGTCTTGCTCAAGACCAGGCAGGAGGTGATGGCATACTCCAGACATGAGAGCTGTGTACGTAGCTAGTGTATTTTGACTAATTTGCTCAACAAGTTCACGTTTGCAATGACCACTCGATGGCCTACCTCGATAGCCTACGGCACCTGGCTCTTGTGTCGGTCTACTGTACCTCTTTTCAGGCCTTGCAATCACGCAGTGAAGTACTCGCTCACGGATCATGAAAATGACAGTGAATACTACCCAAGCTGAGTCATTCAAGTGATCGTTTCGGTCCCCTTCGGATTCACACACTCTGAAGAGATATAAGTACTCGTCTTGTCCAGCATCCCCTGCTTGTCTCGTCACTTCTTCACTCTATTTCCACCATATTGTCATCCTATGGTAGCATCCGCTGCTATCTGGTGGGGCGAGCTTCTTCGATGGATCAGGATAAGAGTGCCGCTACGAGTCTGGCGTATGTGAGTCTGACTTTTGATCACAATTCGAGGGCGTTCTGGTGTTTAAGTGTACGAAACTATGTGACTAGAATAAAGCGAGGCTGAGCTGGCAGGACATGTACGTCCGGTCTGCTCGAGGCTCGCTCGGGAGCTGATCCGGCTGTTGCATTGCTCTGCGGATTTGACGTGGAGGAGCAGCCCGTGCTCAATACGTCTCTGTCGTGGAGGTCTTCTCATATTCAAGCAACAGAAATGACAACGCAGTCGGGATGCGAGGGTTGAAAGGTCGCCAGCACATGTGTTGTCTATCATGTTGTACATCCGAAGCTCACCCAACGCCGTCGAGCCCTTTATCCATGGCTAGCAGTCTTCCAAAGACATCCCCTTTAACCCTCACACTCTAAAGCAACGCAACCATTACCCACAAACTCCCTTGGCTCACGACACCCAAATGCGCTCGTATTACCATCCAACGAACAAATCAGCCTCGACAATCCATAAAGCACCGCCAAACACCTCCCATCCGCACCACAGATCTCCAAGAGACGATTCCACATCCCAACTTCCACCTCTTCCCACCCACCGGTTTCGTCCATACCGCTGCCTCCAAATCCCGCTGGCGCCACCTCCCTAATCACTGGATACCATATTGGTCAGTTGTGCGCAGGAGCCTCAATAGCCCGCCCTCGGCGGTGAGATCAGCATCATAAAAGCTGGGAGGCGCAGACGGATTGTGCGCGGCAGAAAGAATGCCTTTCCGGGACCGGGCCGCAGAGTCTGTGTTGTGGTGGTAGCGGTGAGTGTATCTTGTAGCCGTGGGTAGTTGTAGTTGTCGTTGTGAAGGTGGGTCACAGGGAAGTCATCAACGACACTCGCCGTAGCCCGATGTGGGAGGATCTTTATAGCAGTTCTTCGAGATGCATTCACTGTTGATCCCACAAAAATAACCTCTCGGTAGCGGTCCGCAGTAATTTGTGGAGGTGCACAAGCCAGAAGCGCATTCGGAGCTTCGTATACAGGTGTCACCTTGGGCTTTGAGAGGAGTCGATGACGTTGTCGTCGTTGTGGCTGTGGTTGTGGTCGTAGTCGTGGTCGTGGTCGTGGTCGTAGTAGTCGTAGTAGTCATTGTAGTGGTCGTGGTCGTGGTCGACGCCCTGGGATCACAGTCAACCGTATCGTCGTCGACATTCGTTTCGGCCGGGTTCCGTGAATCTTTGAGATAACACCAGCCAGTCTTGCCGTGGTATTGGGCGGTTACGCAAGTTGAGGCGGCAGCGCAAAGCTGAATACAGCCTTCGAAGGTACCAGTGTATGCGCGATCGTAGTCACCGCCTCGGCGATCTATGCCACACTGAACGGTGCAGGTCCGGCCATTGATGATCCTGGGACCGGCACCGGGCGCGCATTGTGCCGCTGCTGTAGTGGTGATGGAAAGGACGGCGGCAATGAGACCGGCGACAGTGAGGGACGGCATGCTGGAGGTTGAGCGCGTGTGAGTGGTCAGTGGAAAATCTCAGACTGTACAGGCAACAAGCACATGGCACCCATTTGTATCATAACGCTCGCAGCCTGAACAAGCCTCAGCGGCTGACAGCGGGCATTCGAGTGCTACGCTATGGCGCTGGTGGTGATTGCTACGAGCGCTCACAGCAACATTCGGCATGATCCAGACCCAGATTACCTACCATGGTCAACATGTTTCAGGCAAGAAGTGAGGCCCGGGAGCGTGAGCGAAAAAATCGGGCTTGTCTAGGCAATTGCGGCTCAAAGATGAAAGCCACGTGCCAGGCGAAGCGCGTATGGACGGCGGTGCTGAATCTCAGGCTATTGAACCTTCGTCATGGAAGAAAACATATGCAAATTTCGTGTTCAGAAAGGTGTGACAGTTTTGATTGAAAGCGCCATTGACCCAGTTTTCGTGATGAAGGGTGGACCCATCCAGCGCTTTTGGTTCGAGCTTCAGCCAAACCCTTTCTTGGCAACATCGAGGTATGCTGGGCCTTGGACTTGTAAGTTGTGACTTACTCACCTTGTGTATGCCTACAACACGCAGGAGACCTTCGCTTTCAGCGGAAAGAGCTGCCTAAGACGTCGCCGATTGCGAAGTATTCGTAATGTCGGCAAGGGACTGAGATGGCTCAGGTGCCACAACGTAACTCCCAGTGGTAGATTGCGCGCTGCTTTTCCACCCCCCTCTTGCGCTGACGGATGACACAGTCTACAGTGATGTCGATAAAACTCGTGGTGCTCCTAAAGCGACATGATACTACTATCCCGACCTCCAAGGCTTTTCTACATCACTTTCTCCCACTTCAGTCTAACTTTCTCCGGCCGATTGATCCTCATAGCCAGCCTCATGTCAGAATCTCTTAGCACCTCCAACAATCGCTTCCTAGCCTCAGTCCCCGTCTCTCCCTTCCTAACTTCTGCTGCCACCCTATGCTTGTGAAACAAACAGGCCAGCGTCGCCACAAACTCAACTTGAGAGAACTTCTTGCCAGGACACACTCTGGGTCCGGCAGACCAAGCTAGGAATTCTTTATTTGCGGGTTGAATGATATCTCCAGTCGACTTGTCAAGCCAGCGATCGGGACGCCATTCGAGCACGTCCGAGCCCCAATGTGCTTCATCCATCTGCACGGCGGCGTTGTTGACCCAGACTGCTGTGTTGGGTGGAATGGTGTGAGTGGCTTCGGTGCTGAGGTGAAGATCTTGGTAGGTGGAGTTGGTGTGCTTGGGTATCGCGTTCAGCGGGGCGTAGACGCGCAGGGTTTCGTGCTGAATAGCGTATAAGTATGATTTCTCACATGAATACGTATGATGGGAAGCTTACCATGATGGCAAGACACCGCTTTAGTCTTGGCCAGATGTCTTGGTACTGATCACCCTTGATCTCATCCTCTGCGGCGACAGTGTTGATCTCCTCTCGCAGCCAGGTCTGCCACGTGGGGTTGACTGCAAGAAGTCCTATTGCGTATGCTAGCGTACCTGCTGTAGTGTCGAAACCTGCAACATTGTAGATGTAGAGGTTGCCGGCAAGTTCGGATGCCGTCAGGCTGTGGCGAGAATTTGCCTTATCACTTTGAGTCTCTGCTTGAGAGGCGCGAACCAGACTCGACATCAGGTTGGCAGCTTCGGCACGATCGCCTTCACGATAGGCTGCCTGCTCGTGCTTGATCATTTCGAGCAGATAGGATCTGAACTCGTCAACTGCTTCGGCAGTCGCCCTCAATGTCTTGGGCAGTACTGGGGTGAGGAGGCCTGCATTGGCGGCGAAATACGTAATGAAGATGTTCTTCATAATACCTGTCAGCGCATCTCGATAGCTCATCGTATGCTCGGATGCCGGCATCGTGAGAGGACTGTCGAAGTCATAGCTGGTCCCGAACCCTGCTGAAGCGAGGACATGGAGGGCCAGGAGATTCAGGTCATCAACAGTAGTCTCAACGATGTCTGCTGACAGCCATGTGGACAGCATCTGTTTCGCCTGTTTGACGGATTCCTGCCAGACCAATGTATTGTTGCGTTCGTTGAACGCGACGGCCGTCACCTTCCTGTGCTTCTGCCATTCTTCCCCATCAACAGTTCCGAGGTTGCAGCCGAACGTGTTTAGTGGGTCGTTGAAACGATTGTTCTTGGACCAATTTCGATAGTGCTTCAGGATCTTGTCGCAACCAACGACATCGCCAACGACCAGATGGTTCTCGTCAGGTGTGGCGATGATATAGGCTTTGCCGTAGCGAGCATGAAGTCGATTTTGGTCTCGCCATGTGAAGCCAAGATAGTTATACTGTGTGATTTCGCTCAAGCCAAACGGTAGGTAAGACAGCAACGGGTTGATGTAGGGTCGTGTGAGGATCCAAAGGGGATTGAATGGATTGAACGGACTGATGACAACAGAAAGACCAGTCTTGCGAGCAGCAGAATAGTTTTGAGCAAGTCTGTAGCATGACAGTAGTGCTGGAGCCAAGGCAAGTACGAAGCTTAACTTCAAGAGCAGTAACATTTCGACAGTGGACCCAAAGAAACTGATGAATAAGATTCACGTCTTGATATGCCTTTGTTGCACGCTTTTATTCTTCACGAATCGCTTCAGCAACGACACCTACCTCTTGCGCTGCCATAGGTTCCTCACGTACTTCTGCTGCTCTGTCGAAGCGAGGCGGTCTCGAGCTTCAGCTGGAAGGCCTGAGGTTGTAACATTCTATCACCACCGTATATAATGTCTCCAGCTCGATCACCACGTGGCGCGATCTTGCCACCGGACATGTGTCGCCAGCAAGGAGATACAGGCTATCATACAGCTCCTGGTATACCAAAAGATCCTCTCTTGCGATGTCGATCTGCACGTCGTGCAATCTAGCTGAAAGTGGCTTGGCACGAAAGGTGTTCAGCCTGACGCGAACGCGATCTCCTCGATGTTGTGCGCATGCGGTCTTCCCAGCTCCCTGCCTGGCTACTCTCTATCTCACATGTCTGAGTCCTAGGTAGTATCCTAGCATGTGGGCTAGGATCGAAGTGATCGCTGTGTGACGCCTGCCATCATGGGGTTTCCTTATTTGCGCCTGAAGTCTGACGAGATCAGACTCTTGAAACCCCTCACGAGACCACCAGAGCCATTGTCGTTCGAGATCGTCCACGTTCCACTGCCCTCGAGACCGCACTATGTTGCATTGTCGTATACATGGGGCCCACCAGACAATAGACACCAGATCTCGCTCAATGGCCGAAGATTCTCGATTCGGACGAATCTCAACGATGCGCTCCAGCAGATCCAAAGCTCGAAGCTAGTGAGCGACTACCTATGGGTCGATGCCATATGTATCAATCAGGGCGAGGATTCAGATGCCTCGAGGGAAAGGAGCTTCCAGATCACTCGGATGAAGCAACTTTACGAGCAAGCTGCCAAAGTCCTGGTCTGGCTGGGAAACGCGATTAACGAATCCAACAATCGTCTGGCCTTTGAGACGTTGAGCTACTTTCGAAAATTGCGTCTCGCTGATATGAAGAAAGCCTCCCCTTATCGTCCGTGGTGGTGGCCTCGCAAGTATCGAACCAATGGCCAATATATTGCGCACTTCGTGCAGACCGTCACGACTAAGAGCGACAGGAGGATCTTTGACGTCCCTGGCTCTCGAACACACAGTGCTTGGCTCGGGATCGTGGCTCTGTGGAAAAGCTCGTGGTGGACACGGACATGGGTCTTTCAGGAAGCCACCGTTCCGGAGCCCTGGGTCGCGATTGCAATCAGGCCCGGGCCCGCGTTCATGCCCCCCTGCAAAGTGAAATTCCTGTGTAGTGACCAGCAGACCGACTGGTTGGAACTCACTACCGCTTATATAATTGCTGCGGGCATCTCATCGACTCCGGGGATGGAAGCAGGTTTTCTCACCGGAGCCGCAGAGGAGGCTTTAAAGCTTATGATCTTCAGAGAATTGCGAATTCAGGAAGCCACAGGTTCTTTCTTGGAGGTTCTGGACATGCTCCGACACAGCGACTGCGCCGATGCAAGAGACAAAGTGTATGCTCCCATGTACCTGGCACCGGATGATGTGCGCGGCTACATCCGACCTGACTACGAGGGCCAGACGGTACTTGACGTGTATCTTAGTGTCGTTCGGTATTGTCTTGCCCAGTCCGGTCATGAACTGGAGTTCCTTGGCAACGTACTATATCAGGCGGCGGCTCAGATTGTGAAAACGCCTCAGGCGTCGAGTCCATTCTGCCATCCTGGGTGCCGAACTTCTCCAGCAGCACCAAGCAAAATCCCATTCCCAAGTACCTGTGGGCTCCTGAAAATGTACCTGAAAGAGCCGTAGCTTTTCTTGATCGCCGAGGTCTGCCAAACTACAAGCTCTCTCACCTGCCGTCCTTTTGTGCTCTTGACGCGGAGCTACCAGCATCTAAGAAGCCTCAAATTCGAGGCAACGACACCCTTCTCGTCAGCGGAGTATACGTCGATGTACTCAAAGATATTATACCAGACTCCAGACCAGATCTCGAGGCCGCTAAGGCGGTCGCCCGAGTCAAGGGACGCGAGTGGGCGATGGGGATGCACAATCAGTACGCGACAACCGGCGAAACCTACCTCGACGCCCTCAAAAGGACACTCGCGCTGGACATCGTCTACGATGACAACGGCCGACCGTCAGAACGGGGCGGTAAAGTGGAGAATGAATTTTTGCAAAGACCGCGTGCTGAGCTGTCGATGACCGAGTACCGCTACCAGCTCAATATGAAGGCCGCACGTGCCAAAGCATTCGCTCAACGAGACCTCGGACTCAGCAAGGACAACTATTTACTCGTAATTCCCAACACTGCCTCGGTCGGCGACGCAATCTGGGCCTTGAGTGGCGGGAGGGTACTGTACTGTTTGCGACCAGTCGACGGCGGAGAAGTGCATCAGTACAGAATCATTGGCGAATGCTACGCTCACGGACTGATGGACGGAGAGATCTCGAGACGTGTGCGCATGGGAGAAGCCCATTTTCGGGATCTTTGCATCGTCTGATTTCAAGGTTGCAGGAGCGCGGTATGTGCAGTCAAGCAGCACGTGAGAGTGTGATCTAACCAGCGGGAATTCTGATCGATGAGTTGCAAAGAGCCAAGAATTGTCTCGCGCCAAAGGCTCGGGCGTTAAAGGTGACAGAACCCCATACGATGGATGAGATCATGCAGCGTTCAGGCGATGAAGATCTCGAGGACCATACGTGACGGTGGCCAGAGCTACACATCCATCGCACCAGAGAAGAAAGCGCTATTCGAATCTTGTGCGGTGCCGCCATCGACAGGCATATATCTATCTGGCCAAGACCCGAGCACAGTTTGTCTTGACTCTCCCTTCACAGAAATATTACTTACTGCTATTTCTCCCAATTCATTTTCGTCACCGTGTGTTATTGGCATGGGTTTTCAGGATGCGGTGGGGCAATGGGCAGAAGGACATCTTGGGCAGCGTAGGCAGAATCAGTTATTACTATGCACGGAGCATTCCGGAAGGGACAATGAACTTGTTTTGTGCGACTTGGTTTATTCTAGGGTTTATGTATTTCCATGTTGGCATTTATGCGATGCTGCGCTGATAGAGTTCGTACACGAGAAGAGAAGTCTTGCGCTTGCTTGAGAAGAGTGTACGAGCCAGCTAGCTAGCCGTGCGGACAATTCCAACACTGGAGCCGTACCAATGACCCCTGCTCCTGACTAGCCGATAGCACTGAACGCCTGCCTTGCCGGAAAATCTGCTGCCAAGGCTCATCCTTGATCTCTCTTCTCTCCCACCCCCCTTCCACGGCCATGGCTGCCCTTGCCTCTCTGACGGTGTCTCGGAGGATGATTAGTGCTCTGCTCTGTGCCAAATACTCGTCGTGGTCCATTGTTAGCACCAAGACTCCATCGCGACGTCGGTCGTCCTGATCAGCAGTCTCATTCAGCGTCTTAGCTTTGCGCAACATCGCACGTGGAGCCCTCGGGATATTCAAGTCCGGGTTGGATACGTTGGCTGGTGAGGGGCTGGACGTAAAAGATGTCGCGTTGAGCGGAACCGTGCTTGAACGATTGACTATTTGTGGTCGGGGCGCCAGAGTCTGGATGCGATTCTGGACCTGTGGCGGCATCATCTCTATCGGGATACGTGGCGGTGATGCTAGGAGCGCCATCGGTGTTGGTGCAGGGACTGGGCTGCCATAGCCGAGAAACCCCATGCCTGCACTGTTTTGACCGTTGCTGTCGCCATCACCATTATGATCTGCCGCTAAAGGTCCAGACGCCCCCAACCCGTACTCCAAGCCAAGCTCCTGACTACCGCCGCGAACATGGTGACCTAGGCCTATCAGCGCTTCAGTCTTGTAACGCTGTGGTAGGGGATCTAACAACGTCACTCCACTTTCTCGAAGTTGATTCAGCGCGGTGTACTTGTCGTTTCGCAGACGGGAGTTCAGAGCGGTCTGCGCCGCCCACCATTGTGCTTGTGCTGCTTTCAGATGTTCATGATCGGCATGATCGGTGGGCGGTAGAGCTGGGACGAAGGGGCCTGCTGCGGGTCTGCTCGCGCCCGGAGGGATGTAGAAGTCTGGTGAAGGTGGGCGCTGTGAAACGGAGACTTGGAAAGGCGCGAGTGTGTTATCGGTGTCGTGGTAGAGGGCCTTCAGGTCTGGAGACTGGTAGAGATCTTCTGCTTCGTGCGAATGGACATCGTCGTCGTACGATGCGACAGGCAGTATCGTTTCAGGTGCCGTCATGGTCCGCTGTGCTGGTGAAGATGCAGCAGCAGAATGGTTGAAGTACTCTGGCGCTGCCGCGACCTGTGTTTCACCACCTTCCTGAGATGAATGGGCCGCTTTGTTGAAAGTTTGCTGCACAAACGCCGTGGGAATAGGATCAGCGTCATCGAAGAACGCGTCCGGAGTGAAAGCGCCAAACTGCAGCCCCACTGGCTTCTGCTGACGGGGTTCCTGCCGGTTGGTGGGTACAATGGCAGTATTGCTGTCGAGCTCATGTGAGGTGTTGGCAGATCCTGAAGAAGATGGAGATGGCGCTGCGTCGAGTTCGACGGCATCGCTCGGGACATTACCGAATAGGACTGTAGTCTCATGCTTCTCCTGGCGATATGGCTGCTGAGTCTCGTTCGGGAATGTGACTGTACTGGCGGCTTCGTGTACTTCGGTTCTTGGGATAGAAGGTGAAGACACCAGACGAGCCACCTCCAGTTCGAACGGGCTCGGCCAGCTGTCTGCAGGTACCTCAGTAAGGGCAGCCGCGAATCCAGTGGACGCAGTAGCATCGTTGGCCACAGCCTCGGGATCAGGGAAATGGAGAGCCGCTAGGTATTCTTGCACACTCACCGTCAGTCTGATGTCGAGGAGTGCCCATTCTTGCGGCCAGGAGACAGGATGATTGAACCCGAAGTTGGTTCCGAATCTTGGGTCTCCTTTTGCTGTTCCTTGGATGGCAGTGTTGAGTTGATCGCGCTGCTCAGCACTGCTGCGTAGGTCGGCGCGAGGTAGCACCAGTGGTTTTCGGGTTCAAGTCTTCCTGTGCCGAAGTTGAAAGGGAAATAGCACTGTTCTCCACATGTGTGTTCTCCTGTGCTGGGTGGGCCGAAGGGTTGGTACTTGGGCATCCGCTCGCGTTCGCTTGCTGTGTAGAATGCTCCATGAACGCCTCGTTCGCCTTCTCCGTCTCGGGATCCACTAGGGAAATCTCCTGCAGTAGTGTCCTGAAGAGTACTCTTAAGATTAGCATCCATGCCTTCTTCGCGGGAAATGTGCTCGAGCGCTTGCTCATCGTGGGAAGAGTGAGAAGACTTGTGTTCCGGAAGGTCAACATACTGTTCTTCAGAAACCCCACCTTCGCCTTCGTTGCCAGGTACGACAACCTCATCGCTGTCCTCCACCAAACCCCGCCTAGCCTCCCGCTTCAGTCTGGCAAGCTCGATGTCCTGGTGCTTGATCCGGAATGCATGCAGCTCTGGACCCATTTGCTCGATCTCAGCGATCATACGAGACTCCTCACCGCTGGCGAACCGGCGGTAGAAGTCAATGGGGTGTTTGGGCTCGAATGGAAGCAAATCTGGAGACGATTCTGGGTCCTCTCGGCCTTGTCGATATAGATCAAGAAGAAGCTTGCTGTTATGGAGAATGGTCTTGAGATGGGTGGTAGTGAAGGGCTCTGGCCGAGCTGGTCTCTCCTCCGGGACTGACTCGTTGACCAGCGACTGCAGTGTTGGAGGTGTGCCGTCGTCTGACAGCATGATGGGTATGCGTGGTCCGAAGGGAGTCTTTCTGTGGTAAGCTTGCCGAATATCCATAGTAATGTGTGTGACTGACCTGCGAGTTGTGGATATGGGTAGAGAGAACGAACTAGACTGGTAAGCCAACGCGACTATATCTTTGGTAGGCGGAGGCGGTGGGAGAAGGCGTCACGAATAAGGCAGCTCACCAAGGCAGTCTCGGATGATGGTGTGATCTTTGTGGGCTGCTCGAGACTTCTAGACCGTGACAATCTTTGTTTGTGACAGAACAAAGCATACAATTGCCTTTGTTGTCGCCTACAGGCGGCCAGTCAGGTGAATAGGTGGCCGCTCTCGCTCAATACGTCTGAGACTGTCACGTTCAATGGTGAAGCTGACAAGCCATGAATGTCTTCACTGTTCAATGATGACTGCGACAGCAGTGGCAGATCCGAGATCACCAAGAGAGCGATAACTTTTCCGTCTTGGTTGTAGCATTGAGACGAGCATGCGAGACTGTCTCGCACAGGTAAAGTGTAGTGTCAATCGAGCGTCATCTTCTTTGTTTGCCAGTTGTGTCAAGTAGCAAATGCAAGTACAGTGCCTCATCATGTCTTAGACACTGTCGCCAGAACCGCCAAACGATGCAGCAAACTCGCTGCTGAACACGATCCGAACGAAATCGCGAAACACCCGCGTATGGTGAAAGTTTCGGTCGGAACAATGGAGCGGGAGTCATGTTGATTATATTTTCTGCCTGGCCTTGCTTCTATCGAAGTCAGCAATCCATTTGCGAGGGCTGGCGTCTACGCACTATGCGAACAGATATTTGGCCGCGTGATCTACGTGATCATCTGCAAACGACGCCATAGTGAAGTAGCTGTGGTCGTAATCTGGCTGGAAGCGAACGTTGACACCCTTCTCTTGGCCGGCCTCCTTTGCTGCTGCCACCAGATTCTCTGGTAGTAGCTGCGATTGCTTGTAAAAGTTGTCGCCAGTGCCTAGCGTTTGTCAGTTGATCGCATTTCACAAGGGCTATGAAACATACCACATCAATCAAGATGTCCAACGGCCCACCCTTCCATTTCTTTATCAGTTCGGTGGCATCATGATCTGCTCCTTTCGACTGCCAGTCCTTCTCACCGAAGTAGCCTTTGAATGCCTTCTCACCCCAAGGTGCCTTCAAAGGATTTGAGATGGGAGCGAAGGCGCTGACGCTCTTGTACTTGCCAGGATTCTTCAAGTATAGTGACAAGGCTCCGTGTCCGCCCATAGAGTGCCCCGTTATGCTGACCCGACTTGAGTCAATCTGATCGAAGTTGGAGAAGACAACCTTAGGAAGTTCTTCCGTGACATATGAGTACATTTTGTAGTTCTTGGACCAGGGATCGGCGGTCGCGTCGACGTAGAAGCCTGCGCCACTGCCGAAGTCGTAGCTCTCATCCTCGCCTTCGATGCCGACTCCGCCTGTTACTCGTTAGCTGTTGCTGCTCCTGCTGTTCTACCCGGACGACCTACGCGGCGAGGTATCTGGGTATAGGACAGCGATGCCGCGTTTGCTAGCGCCATGCTGGAAGAAGCCCTTCTCCGAGCAATTGTCCGCAGTGCATGTCAAACCAGACAGCCAGATCAATAGTGGCACCTTTGATGAGGTGGACTGTGGAGGTAAGTAGAGGTTGAATTTCATTTCACAGCCAGTGGTCGAAGCATTGTGGGCGAGCTTAAGCAGCTTGCCGCCGAAGCTGGCGATTGTTGCGCTGGTAGTGACAGACATTGTGACAGCAAGGTGAGAGCAGAAACGCAGGATGTCGAAATGAATGGGAGGCTTTTGAAGCATTGCAGTATTTATTGCAGAATGCGGTCATATGTTGATCTCCAACGCGAAAAGTGACGTGGGGCACAGCTGCGATTCCGCAGGAGCCCCGCATCGAGTCGAGGCCCGCACGCGCTCGGGAAATCTGGAATAGGTCACTCTTCCAGGCATAGTTTTCCGGCATGTGCTTGACAACCTTGTTGCTCTCCATCAGGGTTGAGGCTCTTGAAGCCCGCCCTGATGAATGCTTTCGTCGGCGACGTGCGCGGTGTCGATGCCGCTGGAGTTCAAGGCCATGAAGCCCGCCCTAATGAGACTATCGCCCCCAAATCGATCGCCAGCAATCTGCCAGTAGAACAGTCCAGCCAGTCCTTTGCCTCGTGCATACTCGGCCTTCTTGGTGACGCTGTCCTTGCTGTCGTAGGTGATAAGCTCGCCGTCCCCATAAGCATAGACCGCAACGGCCGCGGGATCGTAGACTTCTTGCATGCCGGGCAGTGGAAGATCCTTCACCAAGTATGCTTCCTGTCGCCCAGTCCCTTGGAAGGGCCGACGGAGACCGTCTGTAGATTCGAAAGTTCTGCCGTACAAAGGTATACCAAGCATGATTTTCGCCGCAGGGAGGCCTCTGTCGATGACATATTGGACACCGGCATTCCCACTTCCGCCACTTTCACCAGTACTTGCGTATAATTGGGCCTGATGGCCAGTCACTCCAGGTCCCCAGTGAGCGCCCACGAAATCGTATGCCATGAGGTTGAGGGCGTCGATTTGTTTAGCAAGCGCAGCGAGAGGAATGAATTCCAGGACCCATTCGCCGGCTGGTAAGGCAGTGCTAAGGCGGTATGGCTGGGGCAAGACCTGACGAAGTCGGGTCATGAGCTCGAGAAATTGTTGACCAGCTTCTACGCTGCGGGGGTACTCCCAGTCGATGTCGATACCGTCTAGACCATAGTACTCAACGACCTCTCGCGCTGATGTCGTGAATCGATGCATTTTGGGGGATTTTGCTAGCATGCTTTCAAATTGAGCCCTTGCGTCCTCGGTGCCACCTCAGACAGCTAGATGAACTCTGAGATTCGGAGAGTGCTTCTTCTGTTGAACCCACGAGCGAAGTCCCGAATCGTTACCCAGATGCAGGCTACCATTAGCGTCGATCGAGGCGAATGCATAGTTGACATCCGTCAGCGAGTCTGTTTTTGTGCCTTTTGGGTCAAAATCCTGCCAGGCTGGCCAGTATCCCATGTTTGCAAAAGTGCGGTGGAGGGCTCCCGGAGACGTCATGTTGGTGAGGCTGTTCAAGCTGTTTGCGGTGGAGGTGGTAGTGTTTCTAAATTGATTGAATTGTGTTGGAAGAGCGGTCGCCAAAGAGATGCTGACGAGAGTGGTCAACATGTAGAAGGTGCCACGCACACCCCAGCCTTGCATCTTGGAAGGCATTGATCTGTCGCAGGTTAAGTCGCACCTTACCGCCGTTGAATGCGATTTTTGCAGGGTAACAAGTAGGTTGATTGGAAGAACAATCAGGGAGCCCTCTGCGACAGTCATTCACATCCAGCGAGCAATACCTACGTTCGAAATCTCAGTGTCATTGGGCAGCCGCCATCAATTGCGCAAAGCCATCATGTGTGAAACGAAGCTAAAGGCAAGACCGGCTCATTCATCATGTCGCCTCCCTTCATCAGGCTGATAGGTCGGCTGAATCAGCGGAATGGCTTTGGATCAAACACAACGCAACAAGTGCAATGAGGTCCAGTAATCACAGGCAAAGTGGAAGAGAGAGTGAAAGCAAGTCCGCTACAACCCTCGAGCTGCGAGAAGGTTCCTTGGCAGCTTAGGTAAACGGGCCTCTTGCCTACGAGTCAAGCAACCCCAGATATCGATTGCGACTTACTCGCTGCAGCACATTACACTCCATTCAACCTTCACAACTCGCCATCCTTCACAACCTCTGTCGTTACTGCCTCAACCTACAGATCTCACGCCACCCGCGTGCTAAGTTTCGATCCATAGTACCATAGTATCTGAGCACGACCTCGAATTCTCGCCCACCATGGCGACCATAACCACAACCACCACATTACCCGCAGCCACCACCACCGCAATAAACACCATCCTCACACACAACACCACATCCACAACACCCCAGCCCCCGCCGACCTACAATTTCTCCTTCCTCCCCTTCCTGCGCACCCAAGGTCTCGCCTCCCTCGCCTCCACCACCCCCGTCTGCCCCGCCTGGCAGACCAAAGCCGGCTGCCCACTCGGCCGCAAATGCCCCAACCGCCACCCGACACCCACGCAATCCTTCACCTCCGGCTACCACCACTTCGGCCGCAACAACGACACCTACGTCTGCAAACACTGGCTCAAAGGCCTCTGCAAAAAGGGCGATGCCTGCGACTACCTCCACGAGTACAACCTGCGCAAAATGTCGGAATGCCAGTTCTGGAACGTGCATGGGTACTGTCAGAACGGTGACGAGTGTCTGTATGTGCACGTCAAAGAGGGCAGTAAGTTGCCCATGTGCGAGGACTACAACAAGGGGTTCTGTGCAGCGGGGCCGCGATGCACGAAGCGGCATGTCAGGCGGAAGTTGTGCGAGTTCTATATGGCGGGGTTCTGCCCGGATGGCCCGGAGTGTAGGAACGGGGTGCACTTGAAGACCGGAGGGAAGATTGGGGAGAGCGAGGAGGAGAGGAAGAGGAGTGAGAAGAATAAGGAGTTGGAGAGGAGAGAGGAGGAGAGTAAGAAGGAGTTTGGGTGGCGGAGTAAGCAGAGAGGTGGGAGAAGTGGTGGGAGGTGGAGGGAGAAGGGCGGAAGGAACGATCGGCGAAGAGATGGTTGATGCGATTGGAGACGAGATACGCCCACGGATTTGTGACGTTCGCCAACACACGACAGGCGGCCTTACATGGATTACAGAACAACAGCCGCAAATGTTCATGCCACTACTTGCTCAGGAAGGAGCGATGGACATTCCTCGGGCTGAACATCATACAGAGGCCGCATTCCTCGTGGCAGTTGGGGCCGGTCACGCACGGAAATTACAGTTTCAGACTGTTAGCAAACTCAGCTAACATCGCAGCATATCCCAACGGACAACAACCCGAGCGCACAAGGTCGACGCAGGAGCCTCCCAACATGGTGTTGCAGCTCATGACAGAATTTGGTGAAGCTGAAGCTCTTGTCGAAGCCCATCAGCAAGCATACGAGAATATGATCAGCAACTCTAACTTCGTGCATCTTTGCCAACAGTATGGGTCTCGCAACCTGAATGAGACCGACGTCTTGTCGTCCCTGAAGCTCGCCCATGACCGGTTGTGCAATACGACCTAAATACTACGTCGATGTTATGGCAATCTCTTTGTCCGAGACACGACTTTCCCAAAGCGCGGCCTTTGTGCCCACCTCGACACAACAAAGCGCCTTGGTCTAAATACTCTTCCCAGTCGCAGCTACAAATCATGTCGTCCACCAACGTGCCCTCTACACCTACCGCGCCATCACAGTCATCACCAGGATGGCACGAACTTTAAGCACAAAGCTCGTCTGGACCCCTGAGGGCCTACAATGGCTCTACCCATGGCAAATCCCACCTCCAAGCCGCTCCACCATCGGAGCACAAAGCCTCTACCATATCACACTGCAGCAAACGATCAAACACATGCTCCAAGACGATCAAGCCCTCGAAGCGTTCTATTCCTTACCGTGGACGATCCAAGCTGACATATGGCCTCATTACGCGCGGCAGGAAACTCGTCTTGAAAGGTTCGCGCAGGCACATGCGGAATATGTCAGGATGCAAGCACGACTTGAAGCTCAGGCGAAGGGTCCCCGGCGCCAGAAGAGGCAGAAGCAGAAGCGTTTCGTGGTTGTTGAGGATGACGATATGAGGTTGTGCAAGCAGTGAACGTACTTGCTGATTTAGTGTGGTGAAAAGAATAGTGACCAAAATTTCCATGTCTCCTGTCAAGCTTTAGGAGCAAGAGCCGGGCGTTTTCTGCAACTCGCAGCGTGATTCCACAGAGCCAGACTTGGTTAGAACTTCCACGATATATTCTTCGTAGTTTCCAAGGAGCAAGTGAGGCTCATCTCAAGCCCACCGGTCTCATCAGTCGAAGAACGATCAACCTTCAGCGCCCGCCCCAACCCAGAAATCTGTGGTAAGCAGCACCCAGGTCTGATCACGTGTTTCGTGACCAGTACTTGTGTCACCATGCTGTTTCTCCGAGCTTATTGTAGGCAACCTTTTAGGCCTCAAGCCCTTAGATGAGTGCGCCGGGCAGTAGCAGGAGATATCAAGCTCTTTGTTCAGATCGATTCCAAGCAACCCCTCTCGAAGTCAAGAGCTTAGCTCAGCCTTGCTACAGCAATTTGCACTTCTTTCAGATCGAAGTGCGCTGTACAGAGAAGTCTCGTCAGTTGTGAGGTTTCTTGATGCCAACAAGTTTGATGCTGGTCCCCAGGTAGATTATTGGTGGTGCGGATGCTGCGCAGCAACGATCCCGAGCCTCACGTGAAGTGTCCGCAAGATGCGTCAAGCCTTCTAGACCTTTACTCGGAAGTCTTTACTGCGGCCATGCGAGAGACGCATGCGATCCAGCACCTATCGTTCTTACCCGCAATGGCAACTACAGTTGGTTGGCCCATTCACAAGAAACATCAGGTACCGTAGAGCAGAACGAACACTCCTCGGCTCCTCGCCTCACCCCGCAGATGGCGGCAAGGGAATTGAATAGTGGAAGGTGCCGCAGTGCGCCTCGGTCCTCTAGTACTGGGAGCTGCTGGGGTCCTTTATCTTAGAAGATGAGTGACGGTCCACAATCTCGTAAGGGAGCTGAGATAGCTACCGCTCTCGATCTACAGCATGAAAGCAGCACGCTACCACGGGCCGCGAGACATTCGCGTAGAAGTCGTGGATGACCCTCCGCCTCCTGCATCGCATGAGGTACGACATCTCGTTGACAACCCCTGTGAAGAAAGCGTGTCTGATTTTGACCTAGGTCACTCTCGACGTCCTCTGGGGAGGCATTTGCGGCACTGATCTTCACGAATACGTCTCAGGACCCATGACCATCAACAAACCCGAGAAACCACATGGTATCACTGGAGATCATCTCCCAGTATCGTTCGGCCACGAATTCTGTGGACGCGTGTCAGCCCTACCGGATGGATACAACGGTCCTTTGAAGATGGGCACGCCGATCATGGTCGATCCACGGATCATCTGCCGTGAGTGTCCAGCGTGTACGTCTGGCCTTGACAACATCTGTCCCAATTGGGGATACATTGGTCTCAACGGTGGCGGAGGCGGTGGCGGCGGGCTTTAGTGAGAAGGTGAATGTTGAGCTTCGAATGTGTCACGAGCTGCCGGATGACGGGAGCGTGGACCTGAACAGTGTCGTGCTCTGCCAGCCGCTGACTGTCGGTCGACATGCTCTTGGGACGAGCGGTTTGACTAATTTCCAAGGCGTGAATGTGCTTGTGCTTGGAGGCGGGCCGGTCGGACTCGCAGTGGTACTGAACCTCAGAGCCAAAGGCTGTGGTGTAGGAGGCAGTGGCAGAGTGTTCATCAGCGAGCCCACCACGAAGCGGAGACAGATGATTAAGGATCTCGAGCTGAGCAGGGATGTCCTGAACCCGGTCGAGGTGAATGTGGCAGAGGTGTGCCGTGAAGCGACGGGTGGTGTTGGCGTCGATGTCGTCTTTGACTCTGCAGGGGCTGAATCTGCGATGCTGGCAGGGATGGAAAGCCTGAAGCTCAGGGGCACATATGTCAACATTGCTGGATGGAGAGAGCCGTTCAAAATTCCGATGCAATTCGCAATGTTCCGGGAGATCAACATTAAGTTCAGCCTTGGCAACAACGACGAAGACTACAGAGATGTTGTTCAAGACTTTGTTGCTGGGAAGTTTGCTGGTGCCCACAAGTTGATCACCCGTCGGCTTCCCGTGGCAGACCTGGCCGAGCACGGATTGGAAGAACTGGTAAGGAACAAGGATGACCATGTCAAAATTGTTGCCACCTGGAAAGACGACTTGCTCAGTGCGTCAAGATTGTGAGACGGAGGTGATCTAGCAGCGCGACCTAAGCGAACGATATTGTTTGTGGTTATGTTGAAGACGATGCCCGGTCGACTTGATGGGCGGTACACGAGTAGATATATCAAACCGGGACGGGGAGATCGAATAAAGTGTTGACATGGTCACACAGATGGGAATACATTCGTGGACGACCGACGAAATCTGCGTTGCATTCTGTCATCCCAGACACATACATAGTAGCAAAAGCTCTGTCCAGCCTTTTGCTAGTGGCTCAAAATCACACCCCAAGCCCGTCACTTCGACTTCTGCTTCAACCTGGAAAAACCTTTGTACCCGGTCCAATCGCTTCATTCTTGAAATGTGATCCTCAACCTTCTCCCACGAGCCCCATACATGACTTTCGCCCCAGCCACCCTCCCCATCGATCTCAGCGATAAGTCTGGTGACGTGCCCACCTCCGCTTATCGTAGTAGCCCGGGTTGCGAGTGCTCCGAGGACCACGAGAAGCGTCCAAGATGTCAACACTGGACATCTTTGGTCCAAGTTCAACGTCTACTTCCTAAGCAGACTCAAAGTGAGCGCGATGATACCTGGCAAACGTCAACCTCTCCTCCGCCTCCTCCTGCGCATTAACGTGATCATCCTCCCCAAGCTCACTCCCCTCCTCCCACATTTTCTCCAGCTCGTCATCATCATCCCCACTAACAGCCCAGAAATCCTCGCGCAATCGCTTATTGCGCATTCTGTGCTCCTCCATCGATCTCTCCTTGGACCTCTAGCCCAAAAATGCGTCTGCCGGAATTCCCCCGCTCTCAACTAACTCCCCCAAATTCCGCAGCGCCTTGTCATAATCCCACCCGTTCGCGACTAGACATTGCTCCGTCATCTTCATATTCAGCCGTGTCTCGAAGCTGAACTTCAGGCCCATCTGCTCCATTTGTAGCTGTTCAGCGGTCTTGCCGGGTTCGGGGAGGCCGAAGTTGCTGTCCGGTGGGAACTCGGGGTGGCCCTGTGTTGGGCGGGATGTGTTGGCGAATGCGAAGGGTGGTGCGGGGGAGGCTGTTCGGTCTGGGCCTCCGTTTGTGTTGGAGGGTTCGAGGGTCATGGCGTTGGCGAGGGACGAGCCACGGGTGATGGGTTGGCCGTTTATCATTTTTAGTTTGCGCCACCAGCGGATGAGTTTTTCTTTTTCGGCGATGTTTGTGTCGATTGGGTTGCCTGTTATTATCAGGTGTTCGAGGTTGCGCATGTTGTTCCGCCAGAATCTGAAGTCCTTCGTATCCTTGAGCTGGTTGTTCGATAGATCGAGGTTCTGGAGGTTGGGAAATGTGGATGGCAGAGCGATTATGTCTTGTACCGTGCCAAGCGCGTTGCCGCTGAGGGAGACGCTGACGACCATGTCCCGGCGTTTTGCGGGCGTTTCGAAGACGAATTTCTCGCACATGGTGAATATCGCGGTGAAGACTTTTGAGGCGGAGGATGTCGTCAGGCCTGCTGAGACGATGTCCGGGTCTGCGGCGAGGGATTCGAGGGTGAGATACTTCTCGGCTGCATTGTAGCGTTTCCGTACGACGTTTGTGAGAATGGCTTCTAGTTGTTGCTTCTCCGACCCAGCTTGCGTGGCGGGTTGGCCGTTCATGGAGGTGTCGCCTCCTGCTGCTGAGCCAAAGGTTTTCGTGTTATTTGCGTACCGCGGCCCGCTTGGTATTCGTGCGCCGGTCGATGGCTGTGACTGTGATTGCCTAGGTCCGGCTGGAGGATTGAAGCTGCCATTTTGTTGTTGTTGATTTTTGGGTGGTCTGGCATCCTCCACAACAATTACTCCTCCTGAAAACGTAAATCCATTCAGATGGTCGAACCGTGGTCGGTCATGGGCATTGACCTCGATTATGCAAATCGTGCCTGCATTTCCAACGTAGCGGTGACTAAGTATTGGTCGTCCCGCCTTCTTCCCTAGCCAAGAATGAAATATCTGTTGCGCTTCTGTCGGATTCTGCGAGAACTTCGGCCCTGATGCCCACCCTTTGACTGCCAATGATATCGTGCCAGTCTGTGATGGTGATTGTTGTTGATTTTGGTGATGCCCAGGTTGCGTTATGCGACTCGCGAACGACATGTTGCCTTATTTTTTTTGCGCCGGGACTCTGGCGGCAAGTCGCAGAAAGCTTAGTGGAGTGCTCCCGGAAGAGGCTTTTCGCTAGGACACACATGCACGACTGCGCAATTGATTATCGAGACGGGCGACACTGGGCGAGCTTGGCGGACAATGGAGACAGATGCGTATAGTTGTTTGACAAAGAGACAAAGGTAATCAGGCATCTTGAAGCCAAGAGGTTCAAACAGGCACCAGGTGGCCCCAGCTCGGTCACGTGATGCACATAACTTTCGCGCGACTCGAAATCGTGCAACCACGACGAAGCCTTCGTCAGTTCGCCGTAATGCCAAGCTGTGCGCGCGGAATGGTTCAAAGACTTCGCTGCTGCCCGAGGCATGAAGGAACGATGCCCTAATGCCTAGCGATTACTGCTGATAATTCAGCGGCAGGCTCGTTCCGATAGAATCTAGGAAGCAACGTTCGTCGTGTCGCGTTGAGGTCTGAAAGGATCTTCTCAATGCGCTCTACCCACGTATCTAGCCACGTGAGTACGTGTGTATCCCTCATGTGTACTCCTCGACGCTCATGGACCGTCCATCTGCAACGGCCACGCGGGCAAGCGTAAGACGCGACCGATCCGCTCAAGCACGCAATAGTTCGGCCAAAGCCGAGTGGACCGAGACAAGTAGAACAGTGCATAGATCTATCGAAGTTGCCCAGAATGGCCAGAATGGATTTACTATATCAACACAAGATATCTTTGCCTTCTAACACCAGTCCTTTGCTCCTCACCCCCTGAGCCAAGCTCATCCACCTTGCACAGTCCGTCTCAGCGATGGTCATCCTACCCCCTCCCGTACACATCGCCATCATCGGCGCCGGTCCAGCAGGTCTCGGCGCCGCCATTGCCTTGTCCCAACTCAACAACAACTCCTCCTCATTCCCACACCTCCACATCAAAATCTACGAGAAAGCTCACCTCCTCCGTGAGATCGGCGCCGGGATCCGCATCGGCTACAACTGCTGGCGGGTGCTAGAACTTCTCGGAGCAAGCCAGGATGTCCGTGGTCATCGTAAGGAGAAAGTGCTGCATCGGAATGGCTTTACTGGAGAGGTACTGCTGCGGACGGACAATACCGTTCATGGCGGGAGGGAGGTGGAGAGGAAGTACCTATGAGGGTGCGACGGACGAGGTTGCAGAGTGCTTTGGTGAGTAGGGTTGAAGAGGGGATCATCGAACTTGGAAAGCAAGTTGTGGCGTTGGAGCGCGTGCCGGTCGATCAAGGTGGTGGTGCGCGGCTAACGTTCGCGGACGGCACCTCAACTCACGCCTCTCTCGTCATCGGCGGCGACGGGATCCGCTCCATCGTCCGCCAGAGCCTCTTCCCCTCGCACAACACTCGCTTTACCGGCACCACGATCTTCCGCACCCTGATCCCCATCAGCTCCGTACAGCATATTCCCGACGTGGCCGAGGGCACGAGCTGGTGGCATGGGCCCGATGGGCATGTGTATTTGTCGCCGGTCGATGATCCTGAAGAGATAGGGTATAGGAATGCTGATGGGTGGCAAGAGAGGATGTTTGAGATAAGCTGTCGGAGGACTTTTGCAGTGGAGGAGGAGGCGGAGGAGAAGAAGTTCAGTTGGGGCGTGCCGGTGAGCAAGCAGAGGGTTGGGAGTCACTTCACGGTATATCCTCCTTCGAATCTCTGTGCACAGCTTTCCCTCAATCTCCATCAATTCACACGAAGCAAAACGTTAAGCTGATGTACATCAACGGGGACAGGACTACGACGCCCGCCCTCGCGCCGCCCAATCCGCCGTGCCCGAAGGCGCCTGGAAGGAGTTCGCCGCCTTCGCCGGACCTCGCCTAGACACCCTCATCGGATGGGACTGTGTTGCTCTGCTGGGTGATGCCAGCCATCCGCTTACCGGCGCGTTTGGGTCAGGAGCCGCTTTCGCTCTCGAAGACGCTTGGATCTTAGCGCGGGCGATCGAGTATACCCCCCTTCATCACAGCCAGCAGTCACAGCAGCAACAACTAGGTCAGGCTTTGCGGATCTTTGACGAGATTAGGAGCCCTTATTATGCTGAGATGTACCGCTTCCTCGATCTTCGAAAGCGACAAGTTCAAGCTGCGAAACAAGCCAACCCAAACCAGACGCTAGATGAGGAGATACTGACGAAGCTCGGCGGACTGGGGTTGTCGGAAGATGATAGTATGGACTGGATCTACTTCAATGACATTGAGAAGGTCTGGGAGGCTTGGGTGGCGAAGCAGGACAAGGAGCGGCAGGAGCAGCAGCAGCCGGGTGAGAGTGTGTGTGGGGATGGCATTGAGAGTATCGGGGAGGTTGTGGGGCTAGTGTTGGGTACAGGGACTGTGGTTGAGGCTGTCGCTGCGTGATAAAAACTAGGGACGTTGAAGTTTTTGGTGCCTGCTGCATGGATGTCAGATGCCTGATCAGAGTACTTGGCCGAAAGAGTTGATTGCAGCCATCATCGAGAAATATTAAAATGCGTTGATTTGCATCAGAAATCTCGGTTTCTTCTATCGCAACTTAGATTTTCTGCTTGAGGGCCAACTATCATCCAGTTGTCACCGACCAGCCTGCGCAATGAACTTCGCAAAGAAAGCCTTAAAAGCCCTCGGCTCCTGCGTCGAAAGCGTGCCCACATACTCGCTGATCATACTATCACTCATGCCCATGCTTCGCAGCTCGTTGTCGCGCAGCCAGGTCAGATACGCCTCTCCGTTCTTCTGGTACAGAGCCTTCTGCAAACCCGCTGCCTCTTGCAGCACCTGTCTTGCTTGCGCGTCTGACCGATTGAAGTTTGAATTGGATGCCATCGCCCACGATAATGGTGAGAAGCGGCTGATCATGTATCGGTCGAAGCCGGCCATCGCTGGCTGCGCAGTCGCGCCGCTTGGTTGACCGGTGGGGCCAACAACGTCGGGTCCGCCCCAAACCAGGCACATCTTGGACATGACGGTGAATGCCATTTTGGCTGTCGTGTAGTCTTCGGTATCTTTTGAAAAGTGGTCGAGTGTGCCGACGATGGTTTCGAACATAGGCTGATTCGTCTCGCTAATCAAGACTGAGCTCAGGTCATTATTCAAGATCACAGTCAAAAAGTTCAGATATTCTCGTTTCAGCTCCGCGAGCTCGATCTCGTCATCGGTACCAGCGGTTGTCGCCGAGATGCCAGCAAAGACTCTTTGTACGAGGCCTGTGAACATTGTGTCAAGGAAGCTCGAGACTTCAGATTTGAATCCGTAAATGAGCTGGTCGAGCAGCCGCAGGAACAGCGCCATCTCGTCTCTGCTGGAAGTGTCGGATAAGAGTCCGTCAACCCACTGCGGTAGCTGCTGGACCATCTGTAGTCCGACCATGCCTATCAGTCGTGGGAATGCGAAGCGTGCAGCCGTCCGAATGTGTGCCGAGGACTTGAGTGTCCCGAGCGCCAAAAGTGTAGCGTCTGAAACTCGTGAGAATGCTTGCTTCACCTCTAAGTTCGGTTCCGGCGCCGTCGAGCCTGGCATCCAGTCAGAAAAGCCTCTAGCCAAGGTTCCAAGAGCGTGGAGATCGTGATGGATCTGCAAAATAGCTTGCTCACTGCCTGCCCTGGCTTTATCTAGGTTGTTTTGTATGTCAGTAAATAGTGGCTGAATGACCGCCTGGACCAGCTGGACTTGCTTTTCTGGAGGGACATTGGTGCTCCTGCGATGCAGCCAACGCCTTCGAACAAATAGAGCTGACTTGTGAAGGCTGCGTCGAATGATGACTCTGCATCGGATGACATATCATCGTCATCGTCATTTGGAGGCTCTGCGCGAATCGTCAGGAGATCTCCCAGACTCTGTACGACTACTTCTGCAGCCGCTCCGAGATGTGACCGCAGCTGTCGTATGAACTTCTGCAGTAAGTACCAAGACCGTCTCCGGACTTTGGAGCTCGAGTGATGGGCTAATTGCAGAAATGTCTGCAAAGTGTTCTGGATGTGTTCTGTGTTATGCTCGAAGAAGGACGAGTACCGTACGCAAATCTCCATGTACTGGAGTTGTATCGCCGGGTGATTGAAGGAGCCGGTATTGACCTGCACCATCCTGAGTAACATTCGAATAAGCTTTTCGGCCGCCGGAGAATTTGGCTTGTTCTTCTGATACAAGCCACCGCCGCCTTTGGCGACCATTTCTCCCAACAAGTAGACCTCGTGGAGAGCCAGATCAAGATCTCGCCAGTTGACCTGGCTAGGACTGTTGTGAAGCTTCTCGAGCGTGTCGTGTACCAGAGCAGAAACGGCTTCGATGTACAGATCCTCATCAGACGCTGCGATAGACTGTTGTAATGATGCTAACCGCTTTCGAAGCTCCTGAAACTCTGCCTCATCGGTTTTGTCGTCATCGTCTCCCCACGATGCTGTTTCATCGTATCGCATCTTGCCGAAGATCGCTTTCAGTATGGGCAAGAGCATGACCGTCCGCTGTGGTGATGGAGGCTGCCCTTGACTTGTGCGTCTTAGGAACGCAAGTACATCGTTCATCGCGGTAAGGACGGTCGAGCAGACTTCGTCGTACTCGTCAGAGAAGAATCGCAGGACGTGGGGCAAGAAGGACGTGAGGAAACGCTCGGCCTTCGCCCACGTCTCGCCGCTACTGTTCTCATTCTCCAGTATTTTGACAATATCGACCACAACAGCGTTCACCAGCTTGGCGACAGTTTCCGCCAAATCAACGTCGTAGATAGAACTGCCCCGGCTGTCTGCAAGTGGTGGGCAAGTGATGAGTTGGGACACTACTGAATCAAGATTGAGGAAGGTGAGAAGTTGAACCTTGTCAGCAGGTGGCATTTTCTTGCTGATGGTCTCGGTAAAGACGTCGACTGCAGCATCTCTGGCCTTCTCCGAGCTTGCGCTCAGACCTGTCTGTTGGGCTCGCTCGAGTTGCTGAAATAACAACTCAATCATTGGCTGATTGACCACGAGTTGAATGTCAATCCAGCTTACCCATTTGCCGATAGCCTTGAGGCACAATTCGGCGATGAGGTCGTGACTCAATCTCCACTGATGGAGTATGTCCTGCCAAGATGCTGCGATCTTACGCACGTCTCTCTCACGAATCAGATCTTTGAGCATGTTGGCTTTGTCTTGCTCCGGGCGTGACCGTGACAGAAGTTGGTCGCCGATCTCATCATGAATGGCGTTGACGACTCGGAGGTAAAATACGGCGCCATTCGCATTGTCCCGCACCCCGGCATTCGTTGTGGTCAATGCAAGTAGGTCGTCGAAGCATGACGTCCAGTCTGTAGCGTAGAACGAGGTGAAGAGGTTCGTGACGGTTGAGGCAAGTTTGTTCTCGATCGAGGCTGTGTCTATGGTGGCAGCATCCGTCCCGGGACCATGTGTGCGCTGTAGGAATGACAATATCTGCTCTTTCACGGCGTGCAGCGCTTGCTGATCCACCAGTCCGGTCTGTATGGCATTATTCACGATTTCCAGGCAGAATACTCGCACCACTTCCGCAGGCCGTGGCTCTTGTGTAAAGATGTTCAGGCATGGCTGCCATGCGGACGGCTCTTGCCGTAGTTGATTGACGTATTCGAAGGCTTGTCGCTTGAGCTGTGGCCAGCGTTAGCTGGGATGCAACATCCGAGTGGAAAAACTTACGGTCTGATCTGCGGAGGGATCATAGCTGATGAGGATGGCGGAGACGACCTATAGCACCGGTCAGCACCAAAGCGTCCAGGTCGCTGCGACCTTCCCTACCTGTTCCTCCATTACCAGTGTTTCTCAACACACAGGACTGCGTTTGAGAACACTGGCGAGTCGATGTCACCGCATTGGGGAAATTGAGTCTGAGGCAGCACGTGCCGTTGATGTCACTCCATGTCAGAGCGACAACAAGGGCGAAGTGCTAGGTTGTGGAGGTCTTCGAGGAATAAGTCGTCAAAAACGTCCGCTTTGAGTATGTTACTGGTGCGAGAGGCTGAATAAGTTCGCAGTTGAGTCGGCAAATTGTACAGTCACGGCCACAACAGACGCTCTCGGGTATCAACGCCTGCCAAGACCACGGCGCCCCGCCATTCCGTTCCGCCGCCTCCACTCAGGCCGCCTCAAATAGGCAAGCAGGCAACCACGTCTCAGGTCTATAGCTGTGCCTACCTGCTACCTGACTTGAGTGACAAGTTGCGACGACTGCCAAAACTCGACAAGATGCTGACCTCTATCTCGATGTCGCACACATATAAAGCTGACCTCGACGGCTATCCCACCTTCCTTCTGCGTCACATCAGACACGCCTCCAAATCACCTGTGGCGCACATACACTTCACCGTGTCTACGGCCCGAGCGTCACAACGACCTCGACAGTGTGCCACTTCCGCAGCTGCGGCGCCTCATCTTGCCTTTCGATCAGTAGCGCCCGCAATTCCTCATGGCTTTACTCACTCTACCCAACGAGGCACTCGTTCCAATCCTGGAGCTACTACACTGGAAGGATTTCGAGTCATTTGCGGTTTCCTGTAAATCCGCCTATACTGCGTCGTCACCACTGTTAGCGCGACACAACGCTGCGAGACGCCAATATTACAAGATTGTGGGCAGTCCAGAAAGCGTTCTAGATCTTGTTTCCCAAGACCCGTACATCGCTCCACTGATTACTCATCTCAACCTGGACTGCTGGAACCTGGACAACTGGAGTGATGACGCTGGCGAAGAGTCCACTCTACTTCTGCTTTCAGCTCCCTCTATGTCTATCAACACGCTATCTACAATGATTGACAGTTCGGAGCACATCAAGCGTTTAGCAGATAGTGCCAAATGGACAACACATCTCCTGACTGGGGAGAAGTCGGAGGCTGCGCGTGACGCCGAAGTTGATGTTGACACGGAACAAGCTCCTTGCGATTCCGGCTTCTGCTGGACGGCGTTCCTGCTTTCGCTTCTGCCAAATCTTCAGACGCTCATCCTACCTGCTGACTGGCTGCCAGAGCTGCAGGATCCGACGTCCAAGGGCTATCCAGACAATGCCGAGATATACGACAGGGATAGGATTGATTGCGTGTGCTTCGTCTCCGAGATGATGTTGCAGTTGGTGACGCGAGCCGGGGATGCGACTCTAAGGGGGCAACCGCTCGCTAAGCTCTTAACACTAGGCCAACGCCCAGAACCTGATCAGTGTGGGGTCGACTGCACACCTTTACTGCCCTTCCTATCCCTACCTTCATTGCGAAACATCTACCACTACGCCGGGGTGATGTATTTGGACAACGACACGGGTCTGGGATCGCTCTACAAGCCCATCGGACGCAATCTGGAGAGCACCGAGTTCTGCGATTTCGCAGCCAGCGCTGACAGCATGAAAGCCATGTTCGGAAATGCAAATAATCTGCGCGTCGTGAAAATTGGCTACCGGATGAAAGACGAAGTCTGTTGCGAATATGCAGTTCGGGACTTGGTCGATACGCTAGGAGAAGCGGCAGGCCACTCCCTTGAAGTGCTGAGCTTGACTCTCGGCTACGATTTTGCTTTGTGGGAGATGTATCCTGCAATCAGGAACTTGGATTCGTTCACACGGCTCAGAGAGGTCGAGTTCGATACAAGCTTATTCTATTTCTGGGAATCTCCGCAGAATGAGTCACCATTTCACCAGTTGCCCTGCGGCTTTCTCCCGTCTGAGGATGCGCAAGCGGAGGTTGATTCAGGACACAGTCTCGATGAAGGGCAAACCGAGAAAGATTACAGTCGCGACAGAGGCCAGACTGACGGAGAAACCATCTTCAACGGAGGCCATCTGGAAGAAGATCCGATCCCCATCAGAGCTCAGTTCAAAGAAGATCCCATTCCCGATAGAAGGCAGACCGACGAAGCAACCGGAGAAGGAGTGGATGACAACAGCAGCCAAGCTTCGACTGAGGAGGACTCTGACGACGATGAGGAGAGCCCAGAAGGATGCCCTCGACTGTCTAGGCTACTCTATTCCAGTTTCGCCACAATTGAGAAGATCACCCTACGCGTCCCGGCTCTTCAAGCTGACATGATCTGTTTGGAACGCCTTCTGAGAGATATAGATCTGCACAGCGATCACGAAATATTCCCGAAGCTGCAGAGCATCAAAGTCTACATCTGTGATTCGGACCACTGGGACCACAATATCGGCGGCGCTCGCAATGATCTAATCGGGCATGCGCAGGCTTGGCTGACGGAGAAGGGTATCGATGTCGAGCACTTTACTGCGCATCCTGGCGAGAGACAGTGGCCTGCTGGTGACTTTTGGTCGCGAATGACGGCATAGACCAATTGATTGGCGGTGTCGATGAATCAACCCTGGGGAGGGCGCCAAGGTGTCGAAAGTTTCTTGCTTCTGCAAGGTGACAGATGCAACGCGATGACGATGGCAGAGTCCAGGGGTTGACGTAGCAGAGAGACTGACTTGGTGCAACAGAAAGCCGAATTGGACGATACTCAGAGAGTGATGTGACGCAACAGAGAAATGGATGCAAGTCAACACTCATCTCCAAATTGCAGAACAGAACGTGCTGCCTCAAAGCCTCCAGACTTGACCTACATATGCGGAGGAAATCTTTGATCAAGCAGGGTTTCATTCTTCACCGATGTCCTCGTTCCTGCCACCCCCGTGTCAGCCTTTCCGCTTGCATAGAATCATCAGGAGCACTTACCAAACACAAGGCTTCTCCTTAATGAACCTCGCCATAAGCCTCTTGCACTCTTCACTCTCCAACACTACAACCTCCACGCCCCTCTGCTTCAGATACTCCTCACCCCCAACAAAGTTCTTGTGCTCCCCGATAACGACCCTGCTTACCTTATACAGGATACACGCTCCCGTACACATGTCGCACGGCGATAGCGTCGTGTACATCGTTGAGCCTGCATACGCTGACGCGGGGAGACGTCCTGAGTTCTCGAGCGCTGAAATTTCTGCCTTGGTGCGTGTTGTCAGGTTTGGGCCGAGGAAGCTCTGGGAGGTGGTGAGTGCTGACATGTAAAGTGGCGCTGCCATTCTGCACACGCATGTTGTGGCCACGGCCTATGATCTTGCCGTCTTTGGATACGAGGCATGCTCCTGCTTGGCCGTAAGTCGATTGATTCTTTTGCTGCGAAGTAGACTTACCTATTGGGACCCCACCTTCAGCTGCACCTTGCGTCGCTTCCTCTAGCGCGGCAATGAAGCCAGAGTCCGTCTCCGACATGATTAGCAAAGGTGAGGGATACGGAGGCGCTGCGAAAGACATGGACGGGGAGGATACTACTGCATAAATATTCTGTTAGTAGGACTCAGATCTCCGTCGTGGTTGGGGTCGGTCTAGTCCGACTCCAAGAGGCCATCATTGACTTCGCCATTCCTCGCAATCACCAAGGAACATAACACTGTACGACTACTGTCTCTGTCTCTGTCTCTGACCCATTGTAGGAGTCTGCTTCTTCGGTTGGCGGAGGTGATCGGCCATCCTGTCTCACATGCAGGCAGCATGGTCTTGGCTTGCATATCTGCCAATGGAAACTGGCACCCGTGTCGAAACTGTGGCGAAACCTCAGTGCCGGCACTCTGGCAGCGCAATCGAAAGCGTCTGTGCGCGTGCCCGATGATGCAACCACCTGCGCCGGGTGTTGGTTTCTTGGAATATATCATGGACAGGAAGGAGAGCTTACATGCTCTTATTTCTCACTCCCTCGCAGTTGTCGAGATCGTCAGCAGGAGAGTGCCCAGAGCTAAGAGCACAGTCCTGACATTCACCGTCCATCGCTCACGACATGCGCCCTGACTTCTGCTGCCCGCACACGGAGTGTGACAGGATCTTCAAACAACATGTCAGGCTAGAAGACCATATCGCAAGCGACCACGATGGGAAGCGATTTTATTGCGATCACGTCAAGTGCAACAAAAGCTATAAGCGCCGCGATGAACTCCAGCGACATGTCCAGAGAGACCACGGCAGCGGCCAACGTTCGGTGTGTCCAGACTGCGGGAAGTTTTTCAAGGAGCGACGCATCATGGAGCGGCATAAGAAGCGCAACGTTTGTCATCCGGGAAGGGTTGGCTCTTGGGCCGCAGCGGGTTCCTACACGCTCGTGGCCCGGTCCAGAGTAGTGGAGGCGGTAGGACCAGTCGACGAGGAGATCATCTCGGCACATGCGCTTTCCACAGGCCAAAACCTCTACTCGGCAGCTTCAGGCCCAGCTATGCACTCCAAAGCCACCTCTGCGCTGCGTCGATCACTCTCGACTTTGCCAAGCTACAGGAACCAAGCTTGGACCGTGAGTCCTCTCTACACGAACTATCTGGAAGGCTGTACGTTCGATGATTATCTGAACCGTTGTCGGGGTCTGAATCACGCTGCAAATTTCTGCTGGTCTTTGCAGCAAAACAGGCACCATATCAGTGCGAATTGCCGAGAATATTACACCAATTTTCGCGATGAGATCTATGGAGTCTCTTTGTACATCTGCCACAAGCTGCTGGCACACCTCAACATTGAGTCTCCCGGCACGGCAGTTCTTTGCAAGGTGCCTGCACGCGTCATCCGCGATCTCAACAACATTGCAGAGGCCCTGTTCCTGTTAGCCGAGCTCGCAGGTGATAAGGGTAGTAATGTACTGCACAGAGCCTTTCACGCCGCCACGGAAGAAGCATGGGAGATGCAAGACCCGCTTAGTTGGATGAAGAGGGGTCCAGGAGATGGGTACTGCGCTGTTTCAATGTATATGCCAGACATAGCGGACATGGTCATGAAGCAGTTGATAGCGAGTCGTGATGGCCATATCGTTGGGCCCGTCGCGGGAGGAGCTCCCAGACTCACAAATGATTGGGCCGTTCACAAAGAGCTTGGCGTAGTGTACAAATACGGTCTGGCATGGAATGGTTGGGATTAAAGCAGTTGATACCGAGTGGTGATGGGCGCATCGATGAGCCAGGTGTGGAACATCACAGATGCAGCTACAGTTGGACCGTGGAGAAGGAGGTGTTAGAGTAGTGTACAAACTCGGTTTGTGCCGGGAACTGAAGAAGGGGCCAGACAGAAAAAGCACAACTATCGAGACCGACGGAAACATGTCCTCATATGGTGGTGGTGAGAACGAGCATGAGACCGGATTCTACGAAGAATTGATGGCGACGGAAGCCGATCCGATGGCCTATTGGAGTGCAGGCGATGATCTCCTCTTTCGATGATTTTCCAGCAATGCAACAAGCTCTATATTTATAGTCAGATCTAGCTCGCCCAATTCTGTCACTTCGAATAGTGATATAATCGTACGCGCAAGGTATAGGATTAGCCATATCTCAGCGTAGACAACTGAAGATGTTTCCGTTGCTGTCGGTCCATATCTGCAGCGCCGGAAGAGGCTGCACATGAGGATGGTGGTGTCACTATCTCTCAATCGTCCCAAGTGGATACGCCGTCGTGTTGATATTCCCCTTGTCGGGACGGATGACTGGCACGTCCGAGTAAGCAGTCACTTCAACACTCTCATTCATCCCTCCCCTCGTCGGCGCCCTCCTCGCCCTAACCCGCGCATCTATCGCCCCAGCCACCTCAAGCAACCTCCCCTCCGTCCACGGCATCCCCAATATTTCCATACCTATCGGCACCCCTATTGGCGCTGTGTCGCTCGGATCACTGAAGCCACGGGCATGGTGATCACCGGACTACCAGTAAGCGCAGCAAGTATTCCATTCCGTCCAGATTGGGACGGCGAGCCAATGGGCACAACGAGGTTTTTCTGCTCGGGGTAAATGATCGCGTCGAGGTCGTTGGAGGCGAAGAGACTGTGGAGTGTGGTCGTGAGGTTTGTGATGAGGCGCTGCTTCGCCGCGTAGCTGGAGTTCGAAGTGGAGGAGATCAGTGCGTTGTTGACGTAGGAATACTGACTGGGGATTACGAGATACTCGGAAGTGTTCAGATAGAGCTCTGGCATGGACTGAGGACGAGGTCCGGTGAGGTTGGAAGAGGAGAGATATGCTGTAAGGGCTTCGCGATATTCGAGTTGTTGAACGTCCATCGCAGAGGATATTGCTGTGGCGTTGTAGGTTGAGGTGTCGGTGATGTTGATGAGTGTGGCGCCGGATGAGGAGAGGACAGAGAGGACCTGGGTCATGGCGGCATTGACGGGATCGACATCGGGGCCAGATGTGAAATTGAAGAACCCAAGTAAGACACCTATGCGCAGGCTGGATAGCGCTGGGGCGCTCGACGGTGAGAGAGCAAGCGTGTAGTCAGTGTCTTTCACCGAGGCGGGGATTTTGGCAGTTGCATTATCGGCAGGGTCGTAGCCAACACCTGCCATCACAGTGAGAGCAGTTGCAATGTCCATAAGAGAACGACCCATTGCGCCGATAGTGTCTTGCGTATATGAGATTGGAACAACACCAGCTCGAGAGATCAGACCCCATGTAGGTCGGAAGCTGTAGAGACTGTTCGCGCTGGCGGGACTGCGCAGCGAGTTGACAGTGTCGCTACCTGTGCCAAGCACGGCCAGGGAGGCAGCTATGGCTGCACCACTGCCGCCAGAGCTGCCACCAGGTGTACGAGCCGAGTCGTAGGAATTGATGGTCTGCCCTCCGTAGGATGATACTGAGAGGCCTTCAAGTGCCAACTCGTGGAGATTGGCTTTGCCGAGAATGACCGCACCGGCTCGACGTAGGGCTGTCACGGCAGGCCCATCTAGAGTCGGTGTTGACGCGTTGAGTGCTGCGCAGCCTCCCGTGGTGACCATGGGAAGAGCATCATAATTATCCTTAAGGAGGACTGGGATACAGAAGAGGGCACCAGTGGCGTTGCCAGATGCGAGTGCATCGTCGAATTCGTCCGCGATCGATAGAGCTTCGGGATTGATTGTGATTATGGCATTGATCAATGGATTGTAAGCTTCGATGCGAGCGATATGAGCTGTCACAACATCCCGGCATGTTGTTAGACGTGAGAAAAGCGCGTTATGTATCGATGCTATCGATGCTTCGCGTGGATCGAATGGTGTTGTCTGACAGCTGGCGAGAGCACTGTACAGGCTGACACCAAGTATGAAGCGCGACAATGAAAGCATCTCTAACCTGACTATGAGTACGTACCTGCATCATGCCGGCAGCAACGTGCAGCCACGTGGAAATATGTATAGCTCGTGCACAAGGTGCTTTACCTTAGCGAGGTCCTTATCATGATCCGGGTGCTGGTTCTGTCGTCATCAATGAGCTCGCCTAGGAAGGTGCGGTGAAGACCGCAATCATAATGAAAGCTCTTAGCAAGCTATCTTACGTATCGCTGCGTCAATGCGCCTCAATGTTCTGAGAAATAAGCAACGAGAAGCACAGAATGGATGATGGTAAGTTGATGTGATTGTACTGCACGAAACGATCTGAACGCGTGGTCCACGTGTCCGGAATCCACTCATCACGCGACCTGGGTTCAACTGCCAACATCCCCTAGTCAAGACTCCCACCCTGTTCAAGTCCTTACCATCAACGATCAGTCTGATCTTGACTTGGCCGTCTCAGCAATTTCCCTCGAGCTGATCAGCACATCCCTATGCCCACCCGACGCGACGTCAATCATCACCTTTGCAACCTCGTCGTTCCACGCCGTCCAGTAGGATCCCGCCAGCCACCCGAAAGCCCTCGCCAGCCAGCTTGCCTCATCGTACGCCCGAAGCGCAATGCCGGGTTTCACGACGTAGCCTTCAAAGTTTGCCATTCTGCTGAAGTCGGCCACGGCAGTCTGTCCTCGTCCTGAGCCCTTGCGGGCGGTGGGCATGAACCATAGTGTCTTGGACTGATCTGGCTCCTGGCAGACACCGTCAGCGGGCTGTGCTTGTGATCATGAGCGGAGACTGCAACTTACAGTGAAGGCACCACCGAGATAGACGAAGCGGAATGGCGTCGTCCTGGTCTTGAATGCCGGCCTGCTCGTGACAACATTGTAGAAGGTGGTTGGGTACTCGACATGCACTACCTTTGTCATTGTCAATACCCACTTGACCTAGCTCTGCCGGCTTCAAAGAACAAAAGCAGACCTACCTGGTCTCCCGTGAACGTTCCGGCGCACCAGATCGCCGCATCAGCATCCTCAATCTCTGTGATGGTCTCTTTGTCATAGTTGTTGAAGTCCTTGACAATGATTGTTCTGACCTTGTCGTGCTGGACCGATGAGTTCGTCGGCAGTCGTCGCACCAGATTCACGATCTTGTCTATGCGCTTGTCCGCAAGGGCTTGCTTGAAGACTTGACTTCCAATGTAGCCAGATGAACCCGTGAAAACGACTTTCATGCTTAGGCGCTGAGGCAGAGAGAAGGACCAGTGATCGAGCAGCTGTAAAAGTGTTGCTCAGGACTGGTCACAGCCATCGACTATATACATCGCTGGCCAATTTAAGCTATCTACCTAGGCACTCCGGGCGTACGTGGACATCGTCTAGCTGTCAGGTCGATATGAAGGACCTCTCGAATATGCACAGTACTTGGCGAGTATAGAGTCCCAAGTCCTGGTCCAGCAAAGGAGGCATCGAAGCTAGCGCCGCTAGCACTCAGGCTGCGGATTTGTGCACGATCAGTTAAAGTCAAAACACGTGCGTACTCGTTCCTGTGCTGCACAAAGTTCGCTATTTGCTTGTGTATAAATTCAAATGTTCTGCTCTTTGTTCATGCTATGCATACTACAAATTCGCTGGCATTGCTGGAGATTGTCACCTACACTTCACATCGACTTGCCTTAGCATCCGACTAAAGTCTCGACGCCTTGGCCTTCGACATTGTCTTGCTCTGCTTCAGGGCTTCTCTAACGCCCAGATCAATCATGACATCTTCCGAGCCACCTGTAAAAGTTGTCAGCCTGAAGCATCGTCTTCAAGAATGAACAATAACTTACCTGGAACAATCAGCCCTATGACCCCTCTCGAGATCGCCTCTACACGGGCACCTTGTCCCGTCTTGGTGAGCCCCAGCCCTCCGAAGATCTTGACGCACTCGTCCGCGACATATTTGCCGGTCATGCCAGCTTCCACTTTGAGCAACGCAGTGGTACCGCCGAGCCTCTTGTTGCCTTCTTCGTGGCTCATATGGTCGAGCTCGTATCTGGAGTACTTATCAGTATAGAAATGTTCCGAAAGGTCAAGATAGACTCACACAAGCTGCTCAATCCAAGCATGCAATTCCTCGACCTTCTTACCCATCAACCCAAACTTGTGCCGCACCACAGGCTGCTCAATCAACGGCTTACCAAACACTTCTCGCTTCATCGCCCACGCCCAAGTGTCCTCAAGACACAATCGTGCGCCTCGCAGCGCTTGAAAGGCGATCCAGATGCGCTCGTGATTGAAGTTACCCATGATCAATCCAAAGCCACCGTTCTCCTTGCCTACGAGGTACGAAGCGTCGACTTTGACGTCCTCGAAGGTGATGTACGTAGTTGCGCTGAGTCGTCCAGCTCCTATCTCGATTTTGCGGCACTTCACTCCCTCAGAGTGGCGCGGAATCAAGAGGAACGAAATCCCTTCAGCGCCAGCGCCGCCGGTTCGTACAGCAGCCATGAAGAAGTCAGAGAAAATACCGTTCGTGATCCACTTCTTCTCGCCGTTAACAATATAGTGCTTCCCATCCGGCGTCTTCTCTGCCGTGGTAGTCAGATTTCTCACATCACTCCCCGCAGCGGGCTCCGTAATCGCAAGACAGATTCGTGTCTTCCCATTGAGGATATCCGGCAGGATCTTCTCCTTGAGGAACGGGCTACCATACAGCCTCAAAGGCGGCGCGCCAACGGTAAGACCAACAAATATCGAACTAATGGCGCCGCCTCGGTACAGCTCATCCCAGAACACCAGATCATGGAATCCATCCCACTCCTCGGGCTTGATGCCGCCAATGATGGGGTAGCTCCGCCAATCTTCAGGTATCTCTCGACCGGCCGCGGCAGGGGCCAGGAGGCCGTCTCGGGCACATTGGGCGTAGACGCTCTTTGGGACTTCACCGGCAGCGTCCCATGACTCCACGTGTGGCACGACGTTAGTTTCGACCCATTCCCGGACGGTCTTGCGTAAATGGCGATGCGACTCTTTGTAGTAAGGGCTTGGTCGGCCGGTGTACCAGGCTGGCTCAGCCCAGGGAAGCGTGCTTCCGAATTGTTCTGATGTCATGTTGTTGCAGTCGAGGATGTCCGAATTGGTGAGCAAGGAACGTCATGCCGCAACGCGTCCGACGTAGTGAATATCTACTGACCTACCTGCTGCCCACACAAGCGACATAATCCCCCGCCGAAGGGTCGCACACCGAAACCAACCGAGGTTCGGTTCTTGGACCAATGGACTGCCTTACCTGAATTGGGACGTTCCTTTCATTCTTATCAGAAGAGAATCGTAGGTCATTGGCCGAGGGCGTCTTAGCTCACGGCATCGTCACAACTGAATGTTGAAAAAGCACGGTCAGGATCGCAATCGCTTCATAGAGACACCGACAGCAGGGGAAAGCAGAACGGTGAAGTGTACCTAGGTGGTTGCTACCGTAAGAAGGAGAGCCGGAGTTAGGGGCTATCTGTCTGCGGCTAATCCTCGCTGGAAATGAACAATGCCATAAATTTTTGGCCAACGACATGTACTGACTTTCTATCGAACCACTCTCATCGGGCCCGACTCCCACCATTGTTGTAAGCAATACGCTCTCGCACATGCAACTCTGGCACCTTCATGATGTGCTCCTAGGGCAAGCGAGTAGAACCGCGCGGCGGCATTGACCGCTTCGAGACTGGGAATCTAGTCTTGTCCCACACTGACTACTCGGAACAAGAGAGCATCACCTGAATATTATGAGCTGATGATGGGAGCAGTCTAGGGTCGAATTTGTTCTGGACGCGTCTCTCTTGCACGGTAAGTCACCCGTGAAACCATTTGACCTTGATCGACTCCTACACATGATGACTATCAAAAACCATAATTGCATTAGGAAGAGCCGGAAAAGGATGTTCCTAGCGACCCTTCATCAGGTCTGTCTGTCATCGAGGTATCGTCATATGCCACCGATGCACAGCATAAGATCTTGTTGGGTCTGGGGATTGTCGATGCTTAGAACAGGTTTCTCTGACACGTAGAAGTTGTTCGACTTTAATACCATGGGGTGCTTTTGTGTCAGGACAATTGGCTGATCATGTTTTCTTCTAGGTTGACTTGGATCAAGATTCGGCGGTCGCGTGCAAATCAGATTTATCCATTTTCCGACCTCGCATCAAACTCCCTCGCTATATGCAAGAGCCCAACATATCGTTACAAAGATTTTTGGACGTCCACTATTCACTCCGGATCTTCTTTAGCCGCGTTGCGCCCTCGAAAAGCCCTCTGTCAACCGCCGCTGCGACCGTTAATGTCCCTCCGATGACTGCACACAGCCCCGTCAGAAAGCCAGCGAACGTCTTTGGCCGGACCTCTCGATTGATGACCTTCATCGGTGAGATGTCGTAGCTGAAGAACACACCCGGAATGCCACCATGAGCGTGCAACCTCTCCTTGTGACCCTCCTGCGCATCTGTCCCTCCAGCCAGACTCCGCTTGTGGCTTGTGACACTGTACTGATGTGACTCAATCGGCTTCGACCGAGTGCCCAACCCATATTGACCCAGAGGCGAGAAGCTGCCCACTGAGTGCAGGAGACTCTCGCTTTTCCTCTCGTCCCAGCCTAGTGGAAGGTACGAGGTGCTGACCACCTTGATGAAGTACATGTAGTTGTACGCGGCTTCCGTTGTGTCCTGCTTCACTCCGTCCAGAGGATTGTTGTTTCCGCCAACGCTACCCTGCCAGCGCGTATCCGCGGCGTCCTGCAGCTGAGGACCAAAGCGCAGGTGGTGTATCTCATGAGTGAACGTGTGCCCGCCCTCGACCGGGGTGTCGAAGTAATTTGCCAGGTCGTGAACATGCATATTGCCGTTGCTGAAGCTTCGGCCTGGGGCAACGTGGAAGTTCCCGACCACTTTGTTGACGCGAACGATGCCTTCTATCCTGCACCCTTCTTTGCGTTGTGCTTCCAGACGCTCGCCGTAGCCTTCTCGCTGGCACTGCTCGACGTTTTTACCGTCGCTGAACGACCAGGAGTTGGCGGCGTATGCTTCGCGGACCTCGTCGCAGGTGTTGCAGCAGCCGGGCTTCTTCGCGTTTGGTGGTGCAGGCGCTGAGTAGCAGCTGCCGCAGTAGTCTGGGTCCAGATTCGTGCTTGGGTTGTCGGCGTGAAGTTGTAGAGCCTCGCTGCTCAGTACTTTGGAGCCCTCTGCTGCGGACGACAGCCGAACTCTGTTGATCCCGTGCTGCACACCAGCCTGAATCTCGCCGGAGACGTCCATCACATCGAGCGTTAGGAGTTCGCAGGGTATTCGAGGAAAGGTCATGTTCAGGTGTATTTCCATCTTCTCGCCTGCGCATGTCAGTCAGGTCAGTCCATAAATGCACAGCGCGGTCCACGGACCTCTCGACTTGTCAACAATCAACTCAGGGTTGACCGTGACCTTCCTCCATTCCGACCATTCTCCCCATGATAACCACAAAATCAGCAGTAGAGAAGCGATTGTAACGATACCACCGGACGTCGTCCGTATCCGCGCATCTTCGACAGTCTTTGTGAAGGCGTCTAGCCTGTGGAATCTGCTTTTGGCGAGCGGCATGATGCAGGAGGGCTCACTGCCTCAAGCTAAGGAGCGGATTGTGTAGATTGTGCTTGAAGGCTGATCCCATCGGCTGGCTTGTCAGGTAGAAAGAGGGACGAGGGCCGGGCAGGACATGTGCCAGCGAGATGTGGCTGACCGCGCTGTGACCTGTGTGCAATAATCGACAGATACGTGTATGCATGAAGCCATGGTGGTAGTTTGATTGGAGGGCATAGCTACGGTCACGCATTGGAGCCAGGGTGCCATTTAGAGTCAATTCACTTCCAATCTTCATTGTTTGTCCTCAGTCCCTAGCACACCTACCATCTGCCGTGACCGGGCTTCATGGCCTCGAAGGAGCCTTACGCACGGTATACAGAGGTTGAATCGAGCGGAGCCCAGGAATGAAACCATGAGCTCCTTCCTCAAGCATCGTCACTGTTCCTTCTCGTTTGTCGTATCAGGTTTGTGCCTCCCCGTCGACTCGACGTGACTGCCTCCGAAAGACTTCGGATCACAACATCTTTGACCGGTCAATATCGGCGCCTATTGCCACGCGGTGGTATTATATCCGTTGCGGTATGCTTCTTGGTCGAGTATCGACTAAACAGCGTGCATCAGAGCCTCTCCCAGAGTCTCGTTCTTCGTAATCGTCACTTCTTGCACCGCACCTCAACACGACGATGGCACGCATATATAGTGCCTTTGAATGGCCAGGAGACTACTATAACCACCGCAATCTGTCTCAAAGGCTTCCAGAATGGCATCCGTACAGTCTACCCCGCAGGAAATTAACATATTCGCGATCCTGTACCCTGCTCCTAGCAAGATGAATAGAGTGAGGCCAGGCCCGTGTCGACAGGTCCTCGATTGACAAGTCCTGCAGGTCAAGGAACTCCTGGCTGGTCATGCTGCTGCGACACACAAGAACGAAGACCGCACAGTGCGCTTCATCGTCACAGAGTCCGTTGATCCTTCCGCAGAGGCAGCGCTTTATCTTTTCGAGACGTAAGTACGAGGACCACTACCACCAAATCAGCTGTTCCCCAAACAGTTCGCTGATGCACGGTCTCCAGCTATTCGAGCAAGGATGACGCCGATAGACATCTTCGGTCGGAGAACTTCCAGATTCTCCTGAAGGCCGCCCAAGAAGAGGAGCTCATGGCGAAACATCCGCAAATTGTCTTCACGAAGACTTTCGCCGGCTACGACTTGGATCGCAAGCTGGTGCAATAGGCTCGATGTCCCACAAAATGTCTACTCGCTCGAAGCTGAAGATCCGACACGTGGTTCTAAGTTGTGAATAGTGTCGACTTTACTTGGTAAAGCCAAATGTCCACTTTGAAGGTACTCATCAGCACCGCCATATATGTGCCCTCGTCTTGTCCCTCTACCTATGCTTTAAGCGTGCTCTTTGATTTGCGCTTCATACTTTCCATCTTCGCCATCATCTCAAAGTGCCCAAGAGGCCATCCAGCAAGGCATCCAGAATGTCAACCATTACTTGGAGTATCACCAGTCTTGTCCAGTTTCACCTCAATAACGCGGGAAAAGCATGCACCAAGAACATCACGAGGAAGCCTCAGCCACTGATCAGGCGCGCATCTGGCCTTCCAGACCATTTCTCGCGATTGCCGGCCGAGCTCAAGATCATCATTTTCGCTTACGTCTATGCAGATCACGAATTCGACTTAGAAATCTCCGAGTTCAAGCCACTTATTGCCCGAATTCTAGCCTGGTTCGATACAGCCGCGCCTGACTTTCCCTTGCTCAGGTACATCTCTAACCCACGATCACGCGGATCATTAACTCCCATGCACGTCTGTCACGACTGGCGTCACCTCATCCAGAATGACGGACTTATCGAGCGCAATGCGGAATTCCACATCACCTCCCCGTTCCGCATCAGTCAGAAACGTATCCCCGAATCCCTTGATGTCGACCTACAACAACACCTCCGCAGGATCCGATACTTGCGGCTGGACGAAGACTTCGCCTCCTACATGACGCCTTATGCAACGTTGCGGTCACTTTACCACCTGTTGAATAACGACACGCTGCCACGACTACAACACGTCGCCTTCACGAACGCCAAGCTCTACGGCAGTATCTTCGCCGACGTCTCGGGCACGGACCTCACCGATGACGAGATATGTATATGGCTGGCTGCGTTCTTCGGCAAGGAGGTGCTAGACACAATTCCCTCCGACGGGCATCGCGAGATGGAAATCCCTTGCACGCTCCAGCACGTCGGCGTGGGACTCGTAGCAGACAACGACTGTCCTCTTTTCGCAGGTTTCTTTCCAGCATCACACGATTCGTACTTCGCCAAAGGTGCGAGAACAACGGGTATGCAAGACTTCTTCACCTTAGCCGCTCATAAAAGCATCACGATCACATTGGAGTTCTGTGGGATTTCTGCTGCACCTTTGTATCTCTTTCCCGAAGAAGATATCGCGTATAGACAGATTGAGGAAATTGGGAAACGGTAGCCGTTGCACTATGGACAGAAGCCGTACGAGATTATGCGTGACTTGAGCAAATGGTCAGGGACAATGAGTACCAAGGATTGGATCATACGGATTAGAGACCACGCTGCTGACGGGGGTTTCAACCATGAGGTCGTGCAGGAGAAGCCTTTCTGGCTTGCTCGAGGGTACCAATATTCGGAAAACTAGCGTCTTTCCGAAAGCCCTTCCACTAGGAGATTATCGACAGATAGCTGACACGGATAAGGTCCAATTGCGAGCCATACCACTTGTCTGAGTACTCTGCTTGGCTTCGCGTAAACCGAGGACATCGCCACGTTGAGATCGTTCTCGTCTTCTGAGGTCCATGCAAAAGAAAGCGTCAATCCCAAAAGTGAATCACAACAGGCAGCACCCTACACCAATACACCGATGAAACAGTGAATTCCTAGCGACCGGTTCAGTGAAGTGATCCTTCCGGCCTGCAACGGATCTGCACTCTGTCGATAGGGCATAAGTATCGGCCTCGCCTGCAATGACTTCGTCTTCTTCCTTCTTTCTACATCAACAAAACCAGGCTCCTCCTACGCTTGCCATGCTGCAATAGCATCTGTTGCTATCCCGTAAGGCGAGCATCTCCAAGTAACACTGACAAGCCCTTGAGTCAACTCCGACGCAACGCTCCTGCCAACAGCCACGCCTGTACCCAGCAGGAAAGGTCCTTCAAGCCGATCGCCCCTGCCGTAACTCCTGCAGTGCCTTGCAGGTGTCAGCAAGGCAGGAGCAGGACCCCCATCCAATCGCTCCTGCCGCGTTGTAGCAAGCCTTTGTTAAGGCAGGCGCGAATGCCGCCAGCTGATCGCTTCTGCCGACAGCCAAGGACATGCTTCGCAGGAAGGTCGCCCTTATTAATCGCACCTGCCGAGAATGTATGGAAATGGAGGAGCGACTGCCAGCAGCAGGCAGTCACTTCTGCAGTATCGTAACAAGAGTCTAGCGAGGCAGGTGCGGGTACAGTCAACCGGTCTCACTAAGGATCTTAGGTCGAAAAAGGCATCGACGTGGAATTCACAGCCATCGTCATCCCCATGTCTTTGTGGTGCAGCATGCAACGACGTGCTTCTATAGACTTTGTCGACTCCTTATCTGGAGCTGCTTGCCTGTCTGCTGGGCGGTGCAAAGGTGAGATGCCTAGGAGGGGGCTCATGAAGTGATCGCTACGGGTGCTTGGCGGAGGTGAGGCGGAACATCGGGAGTATCGAGGGTGTGTACGGGTGGTCACTGGACGGGCGCTGAGTCCTCGTGGCCATAGCTGCTGATGCAAGTCAGTCGTAATCAGGCATCTCGATCTGGAAGCATTGGATGGCAGGAATGATAGAACAAAAAGCACAGGGACGGAGTGATGGAAAGAGTGCAAATCGATCTAGATTCGCCCAGTTTGAGCTTGCTGTAGCAATAGACGTCCAGAGCCCGCCTGCCCGCTGCCCATTCTCATTGCGTCCGCTCTCGAAGTACAGCACTGCAGTCGTAAGAGAGCATGCCCACTCATACCGTACGTTGCTCGTCCTCATAGCTCACCAAAACGTAGTTAACATAAAATGCCATCACTTGGCGACGTGAAAGCCGACTCGTCGCCTAGTAACGTGGTCCAAAAGCACTCGTACACATCTTGACTCGCTCGTCCGCGATCGTACCATACAGCTGAGGTTGAGGTTCGGAAGGTCGATGGGGGTTGTCCGACTCCGACTTCGGGTTCGTCTTAGAACGACAACTTGCTGGACGTGCCAGACATCGGGAGTTGAGAAGTCTATCTTCTTCCGAACCTGTGTACATGAAAAGAATGTGAATCAGCCGGGGTTATGCGGTATGGGACCGTGTCTTCATTTTCCTTTGCGCGGGGTGTTGGGTTTGGAGCTCTTGGAGCCTAGAACGTACTTCTGCTTCTTCTCGGCGGGCTTCAGGATCTGCGATGAAATATTAGAATTGGAGTCGAGAAGTGTATCTGCGAGGTTGACATACCTGGAATGAGCACAGGAGACTCTCGTCGACACTCATCATGGCGCCAGCATTATCGAACTCTCCGCAGTAGTTGGGTGCGCTAAACAAGGTGACAAGTTGTCGTTTGCTGAAGAACTCGTAACCGTCCTCGACAACTTGGTGGGCTCTGCAGATGAGGTCCATGTCATGCTTCTGTAGGAATCTAGACACCACGTCGGGACCGAAGGTGAATGAGACGCCGCGATCGTTCTCGCTCCAGCCGGTGATGTCCTTATCGGGGTCGGACCATAGAAGGTCACAGAGCAGACCGCAGTCGGGAATCTGTCATGATTAGTGGTGAACTACGCAGGTGCAGATGGCGTGCGCCAGCGGCTGTTTTGTGTAACAGAAGTCGGAGAGGGGTAGTTTTGCTTACATCGGTGGGGCGCATAACGCGACGTATTTGCTCCATAGAGTTGAGGTCGGGACTCAAGCCGCCGTGCATTGTGAAGATCTTCTCGTCGATGATGGCCGCAATGGGCAAGCAGTTGAAGCAGTCAGTAAAAGTCTTCCACAGCTTGATGTTGTATCGGCGTTTGCACTCGTCGTAGAAGCCGTAGATGCGGTTGATACTGGCACACTCGTGGTTGCCACGTAGGATGAAGAAGTTCTCAGGATACTTGATCTTGTATGCTAGGAGCAGGCAGATGGTCTCAAGAGACTGCTTGCCTCGATCGACGTAGTCGCCGAGAAAGAGGTAGTTCGCTTCGGGAGGGAATCCGCCGTACTCAAACAGGCGCAGTAGGTCATAGTACTGTCCATGAATATCACCGCAGATCTAGCGAGGTCAGAGTCATCCTTGAGAGTACATGTACCTCGACATACCTTGATGGGTGCTTCCAGCTCCAACAGTATTGGCTGAGAAATGAAGATCTCGCGTGCCTTTGTGCACAGATAACGGATTTCTGCCTCGAGCAGTTGAACTTGTTTCCCAGGACGAGAGCCGCGGACTTCGAGCAGGCGATCGATGACCGAGTCTAGGTCGATCTCATTTTGATCGGCCATGTTGAGGTCCCCGAGGGGTAGTGGTGGGGAGGGAGACGCGACCCGGAGTGGTCGAAAGGAGAATTACGGAAAGAGCAGACGGGACGGTGATAGCGGGTGCTCTCTAGATTGTATGTACTCTGCATAGCCGTAGTGTCAGTTGAGGGCTCGTGATTGAAAAAGTGACTAGCTGACGTGTTGGTGGAGAAGGGATAACATACATTTGTGATGAGCCTGGTGGTCCGCGACACCCTGAGTATCACCACGAGGGCGCTTTGACGGCTGGCTGAGCTGGCAGCGACGTGCGATATCGCCTCACAGCCGATTCAGGCGATGATTGTAGCGGGAAAAGATGAGTGTATTTGTGAAACCGTACGCTGAAGGGGCAGTCGGGCGGCGCAGTGCGGGATGACAACAGGGATTTTTGTCTCGTCGTAGAAGAGCTTCAGTCGATTGCTAAGATGTCAATGTCGCATACAGAGATGAAGTCTGATAGATATCGAGCTGCTAGAGTCGGAATTTGAGATGTAGCGACGCGATGCAGGGGCGGCAGCAAGGTGGTGAGTCGACTGAAAAGAGGCCAAAGCAACAGATTCGGCGGTGATGAGCCTTGGCAAGAGCGAGGCACTGCTGAAGATCAAGTGCTTGAACTTTTGAAAGACAGAGCCTGGACAAGTGCTAGGCGGGGTTCAATGGTGGTGCTTTCTGAGCAGCAGCTTTGCCTTTTCAATGCGTTCAAGTTCGAAGTCGAGTTGGCCTTTCGATGGGCTTCTGGACAGTGGCAAGTGATAGATTGTTGAATTGTACCACCTTCACTCGAACCAGATTCTTTTTTAGATCTGAGGCTTTGGTAAGCATGATTTTCCGCTGTCTGACTGTGACGGGCACTGAGAACTGATGGGGAGTGCATTGTACGGAGAGCGGGAGTGACTGAGAAAGCACTTTGCGCATATGGCTGTAGGCACAAACGGAGACAGACTGGAGGGCTATTAGACACTGCCAAAGGTTCCGAGGTATATATGGCAGAGGAAGAAGTTTATGATGCAGTCTTAATAGATAGCTTGTTCACATTATCTTCATCGTCATGCCAACCATCTCGGCGTAAGTGAAACAATATCTACACATTGTACCTTCCAAGCGCCATTGCAATGCCATAATACAAAAGTCTGTGGTATCGTCGAAATCGAAAACATGCCCGCCAAAATTGAGATTCGTTCTAACAACGGATTCCTCCTCACAAGATATGCTTCCCATTCGCGTACTGTACATCCTCCGGTCGTATACTGCTCTTTCCGATGTGCGAGCTTTTGGATGGGTGAATCATTCAAGGTAGGTGGCCGAGTCCAGTTCACCCCAGAGTCCTCCCAGTTACAACCGCCACGGTGTTTGCGCGATGAAGGCTGGGCGGGTGTCCCATAGATTGCATGTTTTGGACGTCCAGATGATGGCTTCCGTGCCAGTTCTGACTCTCTAAAGCACTAAGCCAAGTGCTGCCCAGCTCGCGCCTCAAAGCTTCGGCTTGATCTCGGTACGTGCTGTCGTGAGTTGCGCGTGATGGCTCTGTCCCAGCAACGCCATCAGTACCCGGCATAGTGAGTGCGACGCTGACGTCTGCCGGTTGTGAGGCAGATCGAGTTCTGCTTGCGGTGTGGTCCTGATCGACGGTCGCCATGTCCAAAGGTCTCCTGATATCGTCTGACGGTCTGGAGACGACCTTGATCTCGGCCTGAGGCTCCCAACGACCCTCGTCATGCGCTAGATCCACTATCCTGCGCCTGGCGGTCCTCCTCCGTCGTGTAGAAGCCTTGTGTATGTCTGCCCCCTCGCGCTGCTCCTGAGCAGGAGCATCATCGTGCACGACAACAGGCTCCGCGATCTGTACGATCGTCTGACTTGTTCGAGGCTCTTTTTCTGGCACTCGCTCAACCAATTGCTTCTTCTCTGTGTACCCTGGTGAGTAATCGTCCAAGACAATGTCCTCTGAATACCCAGCTGTAGTCCGGAAGAGGTTGAAAATCTGGACACGATAGTTATTGGTGGTCTTGGTGAATGGATTGTGCTTGATCCAGACCCTACGCAGGTTTGGAAGTGCTGTAAGTCGAGCAGCTTCCATGACGTCCTTCAGATGGTTGTCTTGAACGCTGATATTCTCTAATGATAGCATTCGCTCTACACCAGCCAACGACGTAAGCCGGTTGGACTTCAATTTTATGGTAGTGATCGCAGGCAATGGACTCTTGGTCAGCGACTGCAATGACCCGATCATGCAGTTCGACAAGTCCAGGGAGCTCAGTCTGGTCAGGCAGGCTAGTGCATCAGGAATCTCTGTAAAGAGGTTGTTGGATAGATTGAGTGATCTGAGTGTGGCCGCGACAGGTGCCAGGCTTTTGGCGGAAATCGAGCTCAGTCGATTATCTGCCAGAGACAAATACTTCAGTCGTTGCCACTTGGTGCTGGGAAGCACATGCAGGTTCAGTAGACTGGAGCTGCTATTCGAGCGAAACGGGTAGGACGAGTACTCGCTGGAATTAGAGCTGCCCGAGCCAGAACGACTGGCCTTTGTCGAATAGCTTCGGACATGCTTGTACGAAGTCGCCGGTCGCACGACACTTGGTCGCTTGGGGGACACGCTGCCTGCTAGTATGGTCGCATCCTTCGAAAGTACTGAGTCTTGGGGCTTGGGGCTTTCGCTCACTGGAGAACCTGGATCGGAACGCGTACCGGTATAATCACCACGTGGCGTGGACGGTACAGTCCACGACGATGAGGCTGGCGTGGGTGAGCTTCTGCCGCCTTTGGTAGATCTTCGGCGCCTTTGCTCAGCGTCGTCAAGTACTATGTCGGTCAACAGTTCAGCCGGGTCGTCGAGATTGGCTCTCTTGACAGTAAGTAATGTTAGCTGCTCCGAAAGTCGATCCCAGCCGTGGAACGAGCGGAAGTCTATGTCGATTATGTCCAGTTGCTGCAAGTTCTTGAAGCTGTAAAGCGGCACTGCAGTATCAAATGGAAACTCCTCGAAGCCTTGAATAAGAGGTGCCCTGGAGTCCGCGACCAACTTCAGAGACGGGACTTTAGTGAATGCCGAATACAAGTACTTCAGGTCCGCCGCTTGCTGCGCTTTTGCCTTCTCGGTTCGTGAGGTGCTGTGCATCAGGCTTAGTGAGGACCAAAAAGTGGTCATGCTGGACATGACACTGCGCATGCTCGAGACCGAGTGGACTGAGTCACGATCAGACTGCGTCCGCAGACCTTTGTGCCCTTGCAGAAACGATACATAGTTGCCTGCGGAAGAGTCGCCGTGCAGGCTCTCGATGCGCACGTTCATCGGACCAACATCTACATCAAGCTCCTCTATCTTGGACAGGAGGAAGAAGAGGTGGTGGGGCGTCAGAATGAGATGTGGCGACTTCATAGAATGCGACTTGAAACTGAGACCCGCGAAGGACAGAGCCGCTGCCAGAGGGTTCGCTGCTGCATTTGACGAACCTGAGGTCTTCGTAGCGAGGCCGGAGACCAGCGTCGATGGGGCATTCAGCGCCGACAAAGACTGCCTCCTTTGTACTGACAGTTGCAGACTGTTGGCTAAGGCTTTCTCATGCTGGCGAATGAACTGTGACAGGGACCGCACAAAGGTATGTCCTTCTTCAGTGTAGAATTCATCCTTCTCCATCGTCAGTCTACTTGCTGCGATGCAGGTCGAGGGGCCGCCCGCGGGATCGAGGTCGCGCGGCGGATCTGGTCTGGGCGTGTGTGATGTAGGACGGGGATGGTATTGACTAGCAACTCTGCTGTTCAACAGAGTGCTAATCTATTTGTAGAGGCCATAATGCCACCAGTCAGCCCTCGTTTGTGTGTCAATCGAAAAGTCCAGAGTTGGACGAGTCTCTGCTATGATTGACGCTCGACAGCATACAAGCTGAGTCTTATGGAGTCAGGTCGGTCCTTTCGGGTAGGCAACAAAGTGCTATTGTCAGGTATCTGCACAAGCGGGCTGAAACGATTGCTCGCGGTTGCCCGTGTCTGGCCTGGCTGAGTCTGAGTCACTTGCGTGTTGTGGCCTGAGGACTGCAGAGGGTGCTTCAGATGTAGTCTCGACCTTGAATTGATAACGTATACGCCGGCAACAAAGGAGTGTGGTATACAACGCGTTGGTGTTGTAGGTGCAGAGTGAAGTCGTACCGCGAGAAGTAGTAAGCTTGAGGTGCAATGGCACGGCTCGATGGGTCCAATGATGCCTGAAGGACGAAGTAATTTTTTAGATTGGCTTCGACCTAGGTGAAAGTCAAAAGCGAGGATGATGCGAGAGCCTGAGGTGCAACGACTAAATGCTCCTCAAGATTTGCAGCAAGAGCGCGCATACACCAGCAGCTGCGACCTGAGTGCTACTTGCCTTGTGGTTGGATTATTGAGCTATCGAGAGGCAGGAGTCCAGACAGGAAGGGCACCAGACGAACATCTCGCTTGATATGGCGACAGGGAACTAAATCTGAAGCTGCACGCTAGATCAGCGAGGTGGATCTCAGTCTGCATTGTTAGCGCCTGTGAATGGTTCTCGAGGGGTCACTTTCGAGGCAAAAGATGACGGGCAGCGGCCGAGATGGCGCAAGCGGAAGTTTGGGGGCGTCATGGTCGAAAGATTATGCCTCTGATTGTGTGTGGCATGTGGTGATTTCTACAATCAGACCACGCTCACCATATCGAGGACCTCTCGTGTTCAATCTCGTGAGGAATTATTATTAACAGTCGTGGTCAGCAGGGCACTTAGGCCCATGGTCAGGACACAACACCGCCGCTCAGGAATGATGCTGCCGCAAAGTTATTGGCTACAACGTACGGGCCGGTCGTGCTTGTCGCTGATGTTCGAGACGTTTTGATGGTGCGACAGTTGCACGAATCCTACTGCTATGCTGGAGCTGACATTTCTGACGTGGGGTTTAGGCCAATGAACGCTGCGAGCCAATGCTGCCTTCTCATGCGTCTGATGGCCTCATGTCACAGCAACATCAACCTTAGCAGACTGCAGACTCCGCTACATCGTCATGGCGGAAATCTGCGTCGAACCACGAAAACGACTACCTTCGACGTTGCGGAGATCTGTGTTCGTATTGGTCGAATCTCGAGGCGCCTGATAGTGGCATGTTCGTGCAACAAGAAATTGGCCACCAGCGAAAACCCCGGCAGCATTCCTTCAAGCGACCGATCATCCATAATTTCAATAACGTCCAAGGCAACCTGGGTCGTATCACCTCAAAGGACGCTGCACAACATCGGCCAATTGCCATACCTATCAGCACCGCGGTGTATCGAAGCGGTGAAGCTCGAGAAGATCGTATGGCGCATGGTCATAGGATACTTTTCACTGCTCAGCGATCTTTCCGGGTCCAGCCAGTGTCACTCGGGCAGCTCTCGCGCCGAGCCTCGCCGCTAACGAGCGTCCCCACCCGACTGTTCGTAATCCCCGCTACCAGTGGCTGGAGCATGTGGTCAAAGCTCGTCCAGATACGATGACCTGCATCAACTTGAAGATGAGCTCCGTGCGAGGTCCGTACACGACAACATTCTTGAGCGTGACCGCCTGCGCCTGCGCTCTCACGCGGCTACCGGCCTACTACGAATGCTGTGTAACGGACTAGATGCTTCGATCACGATCAATACGACTTGGAGGGCACCATCTCGTCGCGAACTCTCAGCAGCTCAATTGTCTGCCTCCGAGATTACTGGGCACATACCACGACTCACGTTCGCAGGCATTGTCCCTATTGGCGTTTCTGCGTGATGATGGTTGCCGAGGGCTCAACTGTACCACTAGCTCTTCAGCTTGCATGTCGTATCAAGAGCTGAGCTCGTGCGAACTCGAGCGCACGCATCTGAACGCTCTCCTGCCCACGCTAGTTCAACTAGCGGAGGAGCACTACTGCAACTAATTTTTGTGCAGGCTAGATCTCGTGCGACAGAGGAAGCATCAGACATCTGGAGTCTCTACAACAAATGTGCCTCCGCTCGGCCTTCCCTGATCTATGGCTTGTGGGTCGGGAGATATAGTATCTCTCTATCTTCGAGGACGCGAGGGATGCACCACGGTAGGGCCTCAAACAGCGATGTTTAACGGATCATGTCTCCCTAGCACGAGATAATGCTCCGCAGCCCGCGGGATCTTGCCTGTAGGGTCTTCCCCGTGGGGACAGGGGGTTCTATGCTTCTGACTACACCTATAATAAGCCGACACCATGCTTCGATCCTGTTCGAAGGCCATCCAATCCTACAATGACGCTGTTCGACTCGCTTGTGTGGACAAGCATGTAATACTTCAACTGTTGTGTAACAGAGTCGGGCCTCTCGTGACCTCCATCGGAAATGCACTCCCGCAGTCTCGATGTTGTTCCATGTCTGGATGTTGTGCTATGCCTCGTACTTGCAATTCTGATAGGCACATAGTAGCGATTCAGGTCTGCGTGTGCTGAGCAATTATGCAAATGACTTAGCTTAGAGAGCACGCCTTTTAGTTGCCATACCATCTGTTGGGCTTTGATCTTACCACAGTGAGCATACTGGTAAACTGTTGTAAATATATGTTGTGCGTGCGTGCTTCATGGCCCATCCTTCCCTCTTCGAATAATGTTGAAACCAGAGCCAATGACGCCCCCCGTCGTCACCTACGCTCAATGGGTGAGTTCATATGTTTGCAGACTATATCGTCGCGCTGTAGGCAGTTCCATAATCGACACTGTAATAATGTGGTTGAATCGAATGACGGCGTCGTCCGGCGCGGCGAGAAACCAGTGCAGTGCTTACGTAAGGTGAGCCCTCAAGTGATCGACGTGGCAACACCCAACAAAATCAAGACACCAACATGTCATCATACGACCTACACCCCCATGCTTATGATCATGACCCGAAGCGATGTCCTGCACGCAGATCGATAGTATAGTGTCCGACATTGCTTTCGCGTGCGATTCGCGGAGCAGCATCGTCAAACATGAGCTCGAAAGGTAGCAAGGATCCAATCCTTGCCAGCCACTCATACGATCCACATTCATTACCAGACTTTGATACCGAATTCCTCTTAGATGGCGAACTCGAGGCATTCTCAGAGGCTCTGTCGGCGCCAACAACAAAGCCTGTCACAGCACTGAATGATTGGCGTCCCATACACCAGAAAATCAAGAAAGCCCGACGGAAACGCGAGCCACGACGTTCGAAGGACGAGACGAGGGAGGGCTTCGTGTATTCCATTCTCTACTGGCCACTATTATTTGGAGTCCTTGCCTGGATAGTATTCTTATTCGGAGCATACAACTTGACTCGACTCTATATCTATTTATATGAACACCTGTTCGCCTGGATCGGCCGGCGAGAGACCCTTCGAAAACGGTTGCAACATGCCAGAGACTACGATGAGTGGAAGGCTGCTGCCCAAGAGCTGGATGCGTATCTTTGCAACGACAAGTGGAGGGAGTCAAGCCTTATTCCTACTATAACCATGCAACAGTCGAACGTGTCAACCAGCAGCTGGCACACCTGACGGAACAGATTGCTGTGGCCGAGCAGATATCTGGTTCAGATCAGACTAACAGCCTCACTGAGCTGAAAGATCTGCTTGAGGCTTGCATCAAGAACAACTTCATGGGCGTCGAAAATCCGCGTCTGTACAGTGAAACGTATTTTGGGACGAAAGACCTGGTTCAGACCTTTTACAAACGAGTGCACCAGGGTCTGACCACGGTCTGCAACGCCGAACACATCTCCGATAGGGACAAGGGCAGGTTCTTTCGTCACTTGGAGCTCAACTTTGGGCGGACAGCCCTTTGCCTGAGCGGCGGGGCGACCTTTGCCTACTACCACTTTGGAGTCATCAAAGCACTGTTGGAGACCCAGCAGCTTCCAGAAATCATCACTGGCACTTCTGGAGGAGCGCTCGTCGCGGCGTTGGTAGCTACGCGAACGGATGATGAGTTAAAACAACTGCTTGTGCCAGCACTCGCTTACCGCATTCGAGCCTGCCACGAAGGCATGACCACATGGCTGCGTCGATGGTGGCGCACTGGAGCTCGATTTGATAGCCTTGACTGGGCCAAACAATCTGCGTGGTTCTGCCATGGATCACTCACCTTCCGCGAAGCGTATCAGCGCACGGGCCGAATTCTGAACGTTTCGTGCGTTCCATCTGATCCACATTCTCCGGTTCTTCTGAACAATCATATCACTTCACCAGACTGCGTGATCTGGTCAGCGGTACTTGCATCGGCTGCAGTGCCGGGCATTCTCAATCCGATTGTGCTGATGAGGAAACATCCTGACGGCACACTAGGACCTTATTCGTTCGGCAACAAGTGGAAAGACGGCAGCCTGCGAACCGACATACCTCTAAAAGCCTTGAACATACATTTCAACGTCAACTTCTCGATTGTGTCTCAGGTCAACCCACACATCAATCTGTTCTTCTTCTCACCAAGAGGCTCTCCAGGTCGACCCGTCAGTCACCGCCGAGGCCGTGGCTGGCGTGGCGGCTTTCTCGGCTCTTCGCTCGAGACCGCCATAAAACTTGATCTGCAGAAGTACTTGAAGATACTGAAGCACCTAGAGCTTCTTCCACGGCCACTCGGCTCCGACTGGTCAGATCTCTGGCTACAGCGATTCTCTGGTACGATCACAATCTGGCCAAAGACGAGACTGAGCGACTTCTGGTATATCCTCAGTGATCCGACTCCAGTACGACTAGAGCGAATGCTCAAAGCGGGCGAAAGGAGCTGCTGGCCAAGGATCAAATTCATCTCAAACAGAATGTTGGTAGAGAATGTCATTTTGGAGGGCTTGCGAAAGTATGGCCAAGCGGCTAGTGACCGGCCTGCAACACCCTCCCGGGTACTCGAGCTGCAGAACAAAGAGGCAGAATTTGATCAAACAGGCACGGACACGGACGGTGAGCTGCAGCGAGCAGCACGTGATCGGCCGCCTACATACTCTGGGCCTAGGCGTCAGAGCAGCATCATACAGGAGTTGACGAGGCAGGCGTCTGTACTGTGGGACGATGATGGACGAGGGCCAGAGGAAGTGGCGACGACTGATGAAGAGGGCGGTAACGACGAAGATCTTCACGAAGCAGTAGATGAACAGTAGATGTCATAGACACTATTAGTAGACAATACGAACCGAGTGGAATTCATCACGTGACCAGCATGGTTCAAAAGTACCCGGCATTGATCTCCGCAGAATCTGGGGTAAGATCGCGTCGGCGTCGATCTGAGCGAAGCTCGGTTCTCTTCGAAGTCGTTCCTGCATTTCGTTTCCTTTGTCGCAAGTCATGAGAAGGTCGACTTGAGGCTCAAAACCGGCGCAAAATGTGTCGCGAAGTCATTGTGAGCAGATTCGACGGACTTTCAGGCCGGTGACGACAAGCATGATTAGAACATTCGAAAGCAACAAAAGAAACAAGTTGTTGATGCTATCTCGGACGTGCATTTGCAAGTGCAAAAGTTTTGGAATAGAGGGACGTGATTGGCTGTGAGGCCTGATAATGCCAAGACATGGGCCAGGCAGGGCGCAGGTTCGCGTCTCAAGCGCCTGGTAGTGACTGCCCCAACTGGTTTCATCGCCCTGTTACGGTCACTTGCCACTTCTTAAGAGCAGTCATCACTGAAGGCTGTACTTTTATCAGTTGTGTCATGTTCAGAAAGGTAGCTGTCTGAGCCGACGCGCTGAAGCCGCCATAACGCCCGCAAGAGCAACCTTCATCGTCCCGAGCAGCTTACCAGCCTACCAATACAACCGACTGCATCGTCATTCCACCCATTCAAAGCATCAAGACTGGTGCGATCTGTAGCTACCAGCTGTCATGAACATATGACCATCGCGTGTGTGAATTTGCAACAACACGAGCTTGCTCCTCCTCGGTGCACCCGCCAGCCCCGGAGTTCACATCCGAATCGATCGAAATGCGCGGCACTAGGAACAAGACGTTGGAGGAGATCGCCCAGGCGGAAGACTCCAACGATGATGACTACGACGATGCGGCTCCGGGCCCATCAAAGCATCGTCATTCGAGACGGGGTGCGCCGAAAGGCGTAAGGAGGAAGCCATGGAGAGGCTATAAGGGCTCGGACGTCGACAGCGACAGTGAAGAAGTGCTCAGTGACGACTCCGGCTCCTTCGGAGAGTCAGAAGATGAAGAAGTCGAGACCAATGAAAACGGCCGACCCGTGCGGAATAGTGTCAAGAAAGCCATCACTTACGAGGAAGGCTCAAGTGACGAAGACGACGAACTGATCGAGGACGATCCAAAGCCGCGGTCTTCTCGGCCTCGCACTCCCAGAAAGAGCGAGCTCAAGATCACATTCAAAGTTGACTCAGAAAAGCTGTCCAAGATGGTCAATCGACCCGCTCGATCCACTCGAACTGGTAGCCGTCAATCGACGCAGCCACCAGGCCCACCTGCTCGTCGCAGCAGTCGCATCTCTCACGACGAAGACGAGCCTCTCGTTGCCTTGACGAACTCTGGCAATCACGTGCAAGAAGTCCGGGAAGGCTCAAGAGGCCCAGAACCCGCTTCCTCACGTCCGACGAGAGGTGGCAAAGGTCTCAAGCATCCTTCGAAAAGTACCATCGACGAGGACACCGAGCCGAATTCTCATGACACGAAAGAGGCGGAAGACTACGAGGTCAAAGCGTCACAACACGAAGTAGCCGACAGTGATCCTCAGACCCAAGCTGAGCCCGATGCCACAGAGCTGCCTCGCCTCATTAGTGACCTACAAAAAGAAGCCGCTGTCGAGCCAGAGTCACCAGATCCGCTCCAGAATCAGAATCCTCGCATCTCGATCAATGATGTGGAGGACGAAGAGGAAGATGACGAAAAGCCTGTCTTGCGTGGTAGAACCACTCGCGCAGCCAACAAACGAAAGGCAGACTCCGACCCTCCAGAATCACCGCAGGGTCCAGTGAAGCGACTCCGCCGCAATTTGCGAAGTGCGAATGCGAGTGGCTCCCGGCGGCGGCGTACAAATGAGGAAAGCTCTGACTTTGATCCTGCAGAGGAGCAAGAGAAAGACGAGCAGCTTTCAGGTTCTTCTGAGTCCGAGCCAGCACAACGCAAGAGAAGCGCCCGATACGACGATTCTTCCAGCAATGGTGGTCGCCGCTCAACTCGACTTCGGCGGAGTCGGAATGCGTCTCGGCAGGCATCTGTCCCCAGTGAAGGCGAAGATGAGCTGGCTGCAGAAATTGCCGAGCTCAAGCGCGATGGCAGAAAGCCAAAGCCTGCCAGAGAAGAGATCACCTACGAGCCAAGAGGTCGACGTGGTGGAGCAAAGCCGAATTACAACCTGCTGCGGATAGCGCCCCTGGAAGAGGAGGAAGAAGTGGCTGCTCCATCGCCTTCGCAACAGCGAGGGCGGGGAAGGCCTGGGGCAGGCAGCTGGCAGAGGAGTCTATTCAATACCTACGGTCCCTTTGGCGGCGCTGGCGGGCCTGCACCAGTACTTGGCGGCGGTATCGCACCTCGTGCCCAGGGTGACGTCGACTCCGACTCGAGCGACGATGAAGTGATGAAGCAGCCGCGTCCGCAGGTCGGAGGTGCGGTTGGCATGACGCCTACGACAGCTGGACCAGCTGGAGGCTTCAATCTCTTCCCTGGACTGGGTGGAGCAGACCAAGCACCTGCTGGGACGCCAGCAAACCTTGGTAAAGTCAAGGACAAGCAAGCTTTGGCTGATGCTGACCCGCTCGGCGTGGACCAGAATGTCACCTTTGACGGCGTCGGTGGTCTCCAGGGCCACATTGATCAGCTCAAGGAAATGGTTGCGTTACCTCTCCTGTACCCAGAGATTTTCATGAGGTTCAAAATTACACCGCCGCGTGGTGTGCTCTTCCACGGTCCTCCTGGAACGGGTAAAACATTGCTTGCTCGGGCACTGGCATCTAGTGTCAGCTCCCAGGGACGCAAGGTTACCTTCTACATGAGAAAAGGTGCCGATGCCCTCAGCAAATGGGTTGGTGAGGCCGAGCGACAACTACGACTCTTGTTCGAAGAGGCTCGCAAGAACCAGCCCAGTATAATATTCTTCGACGAGATCGATGGTCTGGCACCCGTACGTTCGAGCAAACAAGAGCAGATCCACGCGTCCATCGTGTCGACCCTGCTCGCGCTAATGGATGGTATGGACGGACGAGGTCAAGTCATTGTCATCGGCGCGACCAATCGACCTGACTCGATCGATCCGGCACTTCGAAGACCTGGCCGTTTCGACCGCGAGTTCTACTTTCCATTGCCCAATACTGAAGCTCGAAAGGCGATTATTGATATTCACACGAAGGGCTGGAGTCCACCTCTTGCGCCAGATGTGAAGGTCGAGCTTGCAAAGCTTACGAAGGGGTACGGTGGTGCAGACCTGCGCGCCTTGTGCACAGAAGCAGCGCTCAACGCCGTACAAAGAAGATACCCACAGATCTACTCTTCGAACGAGAAATTGCTGATTGATCCTACGACGATAGAGGTCACGCCGAAAGACTTCATGTTGTCAGTCAAAAAGATGGTACCTTCGTCAGAGCGGTCGGCTTCTTCGGGAGCCGCAACGCTTCCTCCCAGCGTTGCTCCACTGTTACAGAGACCTCTCGACAAGATTATCAAGATTGTCGACGACATCATGCCACGAAAGAAGATCACAACTGCCCTCGAGGAAGCACAGTTTGAGGACACGTCTGAGGGGCAGTCCTTTGGCCGAGAACGCATGCAACAAGCATTCGAGACATCTCGGGTGTTCAGACCGCGCATGCTCGTGCATGGTCGCACCGGAATGGGTCAACAGTACCTTGCTGCAGCATTACTGAATCACTTCGAAGGCTTTCATGTCCAAAATCTCGATCTCTCCACATTGTATGGCGACACGACAAGCTCGCCTGAAGCTACCATTATTCGCTTGTTCTCAGAAGTCAAGACACATAAGCCTAGTGTCATCTACATCCCAAATGTACAAGAATGGTACCGGATGCTCGCTGCAACTACGGCACTTCCGACCTTTATTGGCCTGCTTCGATCTATCAAGCCCACCGATCCGATTCTCGTCCTGGGTATTGCAGAGACAGACGATGTATTGGACGCCGGTCTTGCGCAGGATATGTTTGGCTATGCGTCGAGAAATCGCTTCGCTGTCCAGCAACCAGAATACGAAGAGATTGTACGCTTTTTCGAGCCTGTCAAAGAATATGTGTCCACAGCTCCAGATCGTTTTCCCGATCCGACAAAACGCAAACCCCGGATGATCGAAAAGCTTCCAGTGGCGCCACCAGAGCCTGCGAAGCCAGAGCCAGTGCTCTCGAAGGAAGAGCTCAGACTCCAGAAGAAACGTGATCGACAGACTCTCAATATGCTGAAGATCCGCCTGCAGCCTATCATGGATCAGATACGCACGCGGTACAAGATGTTCAGAAATGGTGTTATTGACGATAGTCAGATCCGCTACCTTTACGACGAAGCAGATCCGACCACCGTGACGTCTGATTTGCCAGTCGAGATACAATCGCAGGCCACATTTCGCCCATTTGAGAAGGGCACCGATGCTCATGGCGTCCCGGGCCTCGTCGAGCAAGCAACAGACAAATTCTTCTACAACCTCGACTCGGTTACCATCGAAAAGCGTCTCAGCAATGGCTATTACAAGCGCCCCAAGGACTTCTTGTTCGACATAAGTCGCTTTGCTAAGGATGCGAAGATGATTGGCGACGATAATCGTCTGATCAAAGCGAACGAGCTTCTTGCTAATGTTGAAGTCGATATCGACGGCATCGAGGCGCAGGAGCCTTTGCTTGTAGCTGCATGCGAAAAGATGTTCCAGAGAGAACAGGTTCGGGAGCAAGAGCTGATTGCGAAGCAAAAGGCGGAAGCTGCTAACAAGGATATGCCGCCTCCTCGTCTGACGTCCAACGTGCCACCCAACGGGGCCTCAGTAACAACAGACTCTACCGTTGGACCTATAAGACTTGGCATTCCCATCGCACCCAGCGGTCCAGACCTTCTGGCGACCTTCAATCCAACGACGCCTTCTAGGAGTACGACTTCGGCTCTCACAAATGGCATTCACAAAGACACTTCGGCCACCAACACTGGAGAGCGCACTAATGGCACAGTCTCTACGGAAGGACACAAAGCCGATGTCGACGATGACACGCCAATGGGTGAGGCTGGAGAGTCAGCACCTACTTCAGGTGAGAAAAACAATGAGACTCCGCAGACGAACTCCAGCTCCTTCAATGGACATGCATCTGCCCAGCCCCGACACTACTATCAGTACACTGCTCCGTCTCAGCAAATGCAGGAGGCCGCGGGAATGTCAAACCCTCTTTCGCAGACAGCTGGCATCACGTCCATGCGACAGGGCAGCCAGGCGGCCGACTACCACAACAGCGCTAGCACCACTGACACTCCGGTTGAGAAGAAGAATTCCGGCGACAAGACCTCTGGGGCGTCCAATGACAACAATCGCCTTACACAAGACTCAGGACCTAACTTCTTCCCATACGATGAGACACTTGGCCGGGACTTACCAGCGACTCAAGGTATGCTACTGAATTCCCTTCATGGCGGCCGTGCGAGGCCCAGCCAGCCCGTAGCGCGTAATAATCTGACACCTCGTATAGAGCCACCTCACTCACAACGCCTTCATACGGCGGACGACAACCACTCGCCTCTCGAACGCATCCAGCCAGCTTCTGCACCAACCGTGCCTCTCTTCAACGACGTGGAGCCGAGCCCGCAGCGGCCCGTCGCACAGAGCCAGCCTCAACAAGGGGCTCAGGCTCAGGTTCGCCGACCGAGCACGCACATTCAAGATATCCTGAACCCGTCGCCTGAGGAGCCTGAACATAAGCTGGTGCTACCTTCGGATGAAGTGCTCAGTCAGGCAATAGAGCAATTGGCCAAGAACTGTGCTACGATGACGGTGGAACAGATGGAGCAAACGAACAGTGTGGTCATGGATGTGATCTGGAAGACGCGGGAGGAGTGGGATCGACAGAAGGTCTTGGCTAGGGTGCTGGAAGCGGCTGCAGAAGTCAGGGCGGACATGCATGATGTTACGCAGGTGCCATTGGATCTGCCGCGCTCGTCAGATGGGAGTTATTAGCGAAGTTCCAAGACTGTTCACGGGCATGGCAAAAAAACCTATGATACGAATTCACCTGCTGTTCCGAGTGGGTCTTCGACCAAGGCACCGCCTCGACCGCCGCCTCGGCCGCCAACAAGCACGATGACGCGACGGAGTCTCCATCCATTGGGTTCGCGTCTGAGGAGGAACGATGGTGGGCCATTCAGCTCAGAGATGGTCAGAAGGATGGACTTGATGCACTGGGGTCATGGTAGAATGATAACGTAGAAGGATGCGTTGCCCTTACCGGCACACTTTTAGACACTGCTCCTATCACTGCAGTAGAAAGTCTTGAATCAAGAGCGGATCATTCATTCATCTATCCCGCCTTCCGCCTGTTCCCATCCCCATCCCTTCCCGCAAACCCATACCCCAATACAAAAGCCGACCTCACAACCAACAACCCCGCCATGATGACTACATTCGCCCACTGCTCCACGCTCCACTGGCCCGGCACACGCAGAACGCCCAACCACGACAGATTTCGCAGCACCGCACACATCAGGATGGTGTCCACGACCAACACACTCCCCTGCCAGATCTTCCAGAGACCCACATCATTGGGTCGGGCGCGCGGAGGATGAGTTGCAGGAAGAGGTTCTGGGCGTAGAGGCCGGTTGTGGTGTCGAGAAGGAGGCGCGTCTATAATGCCTGTCAGATCGAACATATATCGGGAATTAGCAGAGCCAGGGAATTGATGTTTCGCCCGAGCTGGTTTCCATGGGTAGACGTACTTCTGGTGCCATGGGTAGGAGGACGTTGTAGGAAGGGTTGAGTGTGCGCAGGAGGTAGGTTGGGTTGATGTGGTTGAAGTAGAAGCCTGAGATGCCCATCAGGGGTTCTAGGGTGCTGAACCAGAGGCGGTAGGCGGATGGGATGATGGTTTCTGCTTGCGGCATGCTGCTGGTAGCCCGACGGGGTTCGATCTGCGAGGAAGGTTCAGGCAGTGAGCATGTCTTGTGCTGGAGCCAGCTATAGGTATACTCGTGCTCCAGAGGTACCGCTTATATACCTATCTATAGATGCCTATCTAAGTAAGCAGATTGTGCAAGCCAAGGCTCGTAAGACCTAAGGCGCCTCGTAAGTGCCAACGTGGAAAGACTGGTTAGCACGAAAGGTCTCAGAACTTCCGGGTTCCTGCGCTCGATGGGATATAGTAGACGAGTCATGGAGGGCCATGCCGTCGATGTCGTTTTGTGGAGATCACGCGTGCTCCTAATTGCAATAGCGAATGTAGTCGGTCAGCTTGGATTCATTGAGGACCGGTAGCTCGCCCATCATGTAACCACAGCCAGGCAAACTTCATTGTGCCCCAGAAGTTGTCATAGGCGAACAGAGATTTCCACAAAAGTGGCAGCGGCGTCGAAGGAGTCAATTCAGTACATGCTGGACAGGAGGGGCTGTCAACCGGCGTCAGCTGGCAAGGCTGTGAGATGGCCGCAAGGCTACCTGTGCAAAAGAAGTTCACGAAAAGAGGCTCTTCTCTACACTCTTCACATTACTTCCTCGTCATTCGCATCTAGCTGCCGACGCAATCTCACACGCTCGCTATCGAACATCTTCGTCACACTCAGTCCCTACTATCATTGCTGCGCACGCCAAAGGCATTGAATAAAGTGACAACCTCAACCGCAATCAAACATGTCTGACAATGAGGATGGGTAAGTTCTTGCGCTCTCTGAATGGACACACCTCTACACGACTGTGCAAGAGAGGGTTCAAAAGTTTCCGCGCGCATCCTACTGACATGCTACACACAGCGCCTTCGGCAACGACAACAACGAGGAAGATTTCTATGAGCAAGAAGACGAAGTCGAAGAACTCGAGCCCGACTACGAGGAGGAGAACGTCGAGCGAGATGGCGACAACGATGCCGAAGATCCCAACAACATCGTCGCTGTGAACGGGGACGGTGGCCACACCCAAGCCTCCGGCGCGAAATCAGCCTCAGAAGCAGACAAGAAAATCCCCCAGGAGAAACGCACCACGACACCCTACATGACGAAGTATGAAAGAGCAAGAGTGTTGGGCACGAGGGCATTGCAGATCAGCATGAATGCGCCGGTGTTGGTGGATCTGGAGGGAGAGACGGACCCGTTGCAGATTGCGATCAAGGAGTTGAATCAGAAGAAGTTGCCGCTGGTGGTGAGGAGGTATTTGCCTGATGGGTGGTATGAGGATTGGACTGTTGAGGAGTTGTTGTGAGCGCCCCTGTACGACTGGATCGAGTGCAAGGCAGCAGTCGCCGCGCAGGTCAGATCTCGGATGCCAGCAAAGCAGGCTCCGCGACACCGGCGTTAACGATGAAGGCGAATGAATGTCGACAGGAATCTCACAGAGTCTACATCTTGGAAATGATTTGTGGTGCAATCGTTACGGAACATGAGAAGTGGCGCTCATGGCTTGAACCTCTGTGGATTTGCGCAGAGGCGGTATTCTTGAGCCACTGAGAGACCATGGCTCCAAGTGAATATCGCGTCAATTATGGACAACGACTCAATGACAACCAGAGGCGCGCATGGTGCCCATTGACGGCCAAGTACAAATTGATCTTCCTCGCCCACCTCTGCAGCTCTGACAGTCGCTGAGACAACACGGCCAAGTCGAGGACCACCAGCGGAATCGAGACCACCTGGGTGAGGGCGCATAGGCGGCTCGATCTCATTCTCAGCCACGAGCGGCAGTCTTGTTGAAAATTGGGAGTGCTCGCGAAGGTCGGTCGCAGCCCCTTGAGAGCCATGGCGATGCCACGTAAGGTACTAGAAGCAAACGAAGTCAGGTGGGAAATGTGCACAAAGGCAACTACGACATCCCCAGTCAGCTATGCCGCCACAGCGAGTGATGCGTGATGCCCGGCCCGCGGCCCAGCCTACGCAGTATCTTTCGGATGGTAGCATCTTGACTCAGGAACTAAGCCTACCTATGTAGCAGAATACGGCGACTCCATCTTTGAATGCTGCGCTCGAGTTAATTCTAAGTGTAGTACAATCCACTCGGAGGGAGGCCTCCACGGACGTTAATTAATCAATCTGCGGTATCCGCGCTTTGATTGATAATGCCTTCATAGCAGCGTCCTCGTTAAGCTTCAATGACCCCATATCCCCCGTAACTCATGCGCGTGCGGAACAGCCTCTATTGGTGCGGCTGTTCAAAATGCAGGGTGTATTGAGACCATCGCTTCGGCAAGAGCGGCCTCGGATTTGACCTCCTTCTCCACGAATCCACATATCGGCCTCATGGAAGGCGCGAAGCACACGCCATGGCGATCGAGAAATCTCTGTATAGACTTGGGATTTCTCCCATCACGACTATACTTCAGGTCCAACATCCGTACAGGTCTGCAGACGACCACATTCACTCATTACAGATAAACTGCAACTTCCACGAAGTACAGACTTACAGGCGGCCAGGGCGGCCTCCATGACGCTCACAATCCGGTGACACGCACAACCCCAACTTCGTTTTTGCCGCGGCTTGAAGGCCATTATGGCCCATTCCTCCGACCATGACCTCGAGACCAACAAGGACTTCGGCCACACTTTGACGCCAGCACGCAGCGCGGTCTCCGTCGTCGATGAATCGATAGATGCCGAGGCGGGCTTCGCGGAGAAGGAACCGTCGGCGGTGTCCATAAAGGACGACGATGACCCAGGCCCACCCCCGAACGGTGGTGCGAAGGCATGGCTTCAAGTTCTTGGCTCATTTTTCCTATTCTTCAATTGTTGGTAAGTCAAGTCTCATCCTTGCGTGTCTGAAGGAGACGTGGTTGTTTTATGCTCAGAAGTGTGGGTCAATGCTTGCGAAACGCTGCGATCGGGGTCTCATGTCAGCACGTTGATCTGGGGATGCCTTGCACAGGCCAAACTCTGCACATCCTTCGATATCCACCTCGCAACCTAGCTAACCGCGCATCAATGCAGGGGGACAATCAATACCTTCGGAGTCTTTCAGACATACTACGAAAACAATCCGTACTGGTCAGCATCACCCTCGAATATCTCCTGGATCGGCTCTATTCAAGCATGTCTGCTGTTATTCGTCGGGGTCATAAGCGGACCGATATATGATGCCGGCTACTTCCGCTACTTGATCACCACAGGATTCTTTCTGATCCCGCTCGGCTTCATGATGACATCGCTTTGTCGCACTGTGAGTGTCCCTTTCTCGCAAGCCTGCCTGATGTCCCACTGACGGCCACCTTGTGGTCGTCGAGCTTTGGCTCGGGATCCCCCACTGACCCATCTCCCACGCCCCTCCCAAATTCCGGGTCAGGCTGACGAATACCGGCGAGAAACAGTACTGGCAGACTATGCTTGCTCAGGCGTTCCTCATTGGTCTCGGCAACGGATGCGTCTTCGTGCCATCGGTTGCGATTCTGCCACAGTACTTCACTACCCGCAAGGCCCTCGCCAACGGCCTCGCGGCCTCAGGAAGTTCAATAGGGGGCATAATCTACCCTCTCGTCTTCCGAAGCCTGCAGCAATCCCATGGCTTCGGCTGGGCTACACGCACCTTAGGCTTCATCTCACTGGTTACGCTTGCTTTCAGCGTCTGTGTCATGAAGCCCAGAATCAAGCCGAAGGGCCGAAGAAGTCTGATCGATACCTCTGCATTCAGAGAACTTCCTTACATGCTCTTCTGCATCGCTATGTTTGCTGGCTTCATTGGCTTCTACGGTCCGGTCTTCTACGTCCAGTCGTACGCGATCGAGAAGAACATCACCTCTGAGGATTTCGCATTCTACTTGCTTCCCATACTGAACGCTGCTTCGGTCCCTGGCCGTATTCTGCCAAACTTCATCGCGGACTACATCGGCCCATTGAACGTCCTCACGCCTTGCGCCACGATTACCGGTATCTTAGCCCTCTCTTGGATCGGAATCAACAGCAAGGCAAGCGTTATAGCCTTTGCCTGCCTTTATGGGTTCTTCAGTGGCGGCTTTGTCAGCATGCCGCCCGTCGCTATTACCACGTTGACGGCAGATCATCGTAGACTGGGGACACGGATGGGCCAATGCTTCTTCTTCTCGGCTTTCGGGCTTCTGTGTGGTACTCCTGTCAGTGGGGCGATCTTGAAGTCGACAGGTAGCTGGCTCGGCGTGCAGTTGTTCTCAGGTGTCACCATATTCATCACTGGCATGCTGCTTGTGTGGGCGCGGATAGCAAGTAAGGGAAGCAATTTGAGGATTAGGGCCTAGTCGGCCAGGCCTGACAAGGATGAGGGAGATGACCATCTGTAGAAGTACCCTATTCAGGCGGGCTCTGGGTGGAACAGTATAGGTATCTATACATTTGGCACGTCTCGCCGAGCTGCGACTAGAAGTCGTGAGCGTTCTCAATTTCTCGTTTGCTTGGGGGTGGCGCCCCAAACAGCGCCCTCCCTGGCCAGAAAGTCTGCAACAGATCTTTGCTGCGAACTGACGCTCAAGTGAGGCTCATTTCAATTCACTTACTCAACCAGCGAAGTAGAATTAGACCTTCAGCGCCCGCCCTGACCCAGAAAACCGACCAACAGCTTTACGTGGGTAACACGCCCGGTTCTTGTATTCAGAGCCTGCTCGCTGGCTGTAAGTCATCGCTTGCAACTCCAGCTCTAGTGAAGAGCTTCAGATTCTGTGGGGCCGCTGCCAATGCTCTTCGATCCATGCATCGAGAAGTTCGATCTGAATGTCAGACTCGGGCTCTGTTGCAATAACGTAGAGCCTTAATGACTAAGTCACTCGTTCCAAGAGACGCGTCACTGCCAGCCTCAGGGATCAGGCGGTTTTATCCAATGGCTAGTGGACTAACGTAAATGATGAGATTACCTAATGATTGACAAGAGTACAGTGTGGCTGTTGCGACCCTTCTGTACCTCGACTATCTACCTCATGTGCTGCTCTGCTGAACACAGATCTCGGCACGTTGACGTCTCGCTCAACTGACTTGAGCCGCATCGATCGCCAGCCCTGCTGACCAACCTCGCCGACCAGCCAAAAGGGCAACTTCTCGTGGGGCACGCACTCGTCAGGCCATCCGCGATCGATCTTGGCTCAGCATACCGACACCGCCAGAAGATGGAGTAGACATCCTATGCCCGACAAAGCTCGCAAGGGGCGACTTTGTCAAACGCCGATTGCGTAGCGTGTACGATTTGCGAGCAATGCCGAGCAGGCGTCCCGGGGACAGCGCCTGTGTGCGAGGCCTGACGATGTTTCACAGTAGGTAATCTTGGCAGTCTGAGATGACACAAGGTATATCAGGACCAGATTTTTTTGGTCGCGCTGCAGAATGTCATTCTGGATGCGCATCTCAACACCAGACTAGGGCCTCGCATTCACCCATTGCCATATTTGTCCTCGTGAACTAAGACCTGGCTCAAGTCACACCTCGGCCAGCCATGACAACTCAAATCCTCCTCCAACATGGCACCGTGCTCGCTCATCAAGCCGATGACACGGTCAAGGCTCTCCACGACACCGACATCCTGGTCACTAACGACAAGATCACAGCCATCGATGCTAGCATCGAGCCGCCCGCTGGTGCTAGAGTGATAGACTGCACCAACAAAATCATGTCTCCGGGCCTCATCAGCACACACAACCACCTCTGGCAGACCCAACTCAAAGGCCGCCACGCAGACCACTCACTCTTCCAATACATCGCCACGGGGAACATGCAGTCCTATAACTATTCTCCCAGTGACATCTACTTGGGCCAGCTGGCGGGCGCGATGGAGAGCGTGGATGCGGGCACGACGACGGTGTGCGATCATGCTCATGGATGCTATACGGCTGAGCATGCGGAGGAGTGTCTCAGGGCGACGGTGGCGAGTGGGGTGAGGGCAGTGTTGGCGTTGGCGCCTGCGACGAGGCTGAGGAGGTGGGATAAGGAGATGTGTGAGGCGGATAGTGACTTCCTGCCGGAATGGACGTTGGAGGTTGTTGAGAAATGGGCCAAGTTGGGTGCTGAGGCGGATGGAGGAATCGAGGGTCGAGTGAAGGCTGGGCTGGGATTCGATCTGTTATTTCTGCCTGAGGAGACGCTACGAGGGATTTGGCAAAGGATGGCGAAGGCGGGTGTGCAGTTGATCACCAGCCATGTCATGCGGAATGCGTTGGTTGGGCAGGATAGTAAGGTGGGGATGATGGAGGAGTATGGACTGCTGGACCACAAGTCCTTTTGCACAACATCTGAAAAGGATGAGAAGAGCATACCGCGCTGGTTGATCTCCCACGGCAACCGCCTCGAACCCGAAGATCTGGAACTATTAGCGAAGCGCGACGTGTACATCTCGACAACAACGGAGACAGAAGCGCAAATGGGTCACGGCAACGCCGCAGCATTCGAGCCACAGACGATACACAACGCTTGTCTAGGCGTGGATTGCCACAGCAATAACTCGAGCTCGATCTTGAGCGTGGCGAGGACGCTGCTGCAGTGTAAGCGACAGGAAGTCAACGCGAGGGTCCTGGAACAGGAGAAGAGTCCCAAGACGGTGAAGGGCACGACGGCGGAAGTTTTCAACATGGCGACGATCCAGGGCGCGCGAGCATTGGGGTTGGGGGATAGTATTGGGAGTCTGGCCGTAGGGAAGAAGGCGGATATCGTGGTGTTTGATAGCGGGAATAGTCCGAGTATGTTGTGTGCGGATGTGTATGATCCGGTGATTGCGGTGGTGAGGCATAGTGAGGTGAGGGACGTGGAAATTGTTATTATTGATGGTATCATTAGGAAGGAAGCAGGAAAACTGTGCGACCTAGAGATTGACGGGAAGAAGACGTCGTGGAAGGAGGTGGCAAGGGAGACGAAGAGAAGTCAGCGTGAGATCGAGAAGAGGATTGAGGGAGTAAGTATGCAGAAGGCTGAGGAATTGTTTGTGAAGATGTTCCAGATGGATATGACGAAGATTGTGCCGGTGGATTGAAGACCATGAAAGTCGTATGCATGCTGGGATATCATGGGGATGTCGTGCACTCCGGCATGGAGCAGCCGGAGTATTTGAGCAACATCAGTCTTCCTCGTCTTGTCGATGGACCACTTCATCTTCCGGGTGCAAAAGTACACCGGCGTGTGAGCTCTCTATCATGATCACTCGAGCCTCCTCTTCAGCGACTTTCATGTCTTCCATAACAAGTAGTGCTGTGCATTCCGGCACCAGCACGAATTGGACATACTGCCCAATACCTATCCTTCTGAGGGTATCGTCTACGTCCTTCCCACTGAGGCTACTCGACAACTTGGAAGCAATAACCTCAGCCATGATATGTGTCCCTTTTGGACCGTAGTACCCCGGTGGGAAGGCATCAACATCTTTACCCTGCTGGTCGAGAAATTGCCGCATCTGTTTGCGGTTCTTCACACCAGCAAGGCGCGCATCGATCTGTGTAAGGAAGTGGCTGTCAATCTCTCGCTGCAGTATCCGCTTGAGCTTGGGTATGTGCTTCGTGATCCTTCCTTTCAGAGCTAGCCATTTCATAGCAGGATAATTGTTCTTTTCGTACAGATGCTGGGCATCGGCGACACTGTGTTCACGGCAAAATTTCTGTTGGTCTTTAATGGGTGCATAGCGCAGCTCGTTGAGATCCACGGGAACCTCCAGACGTGAGCGGTCGATCTCTTTGTTGCAGTAAGGGCATAGATTACGTCTTTGCTGCGATTCTTCTTCGTCATCTCCTTTGACTGACATCGGCGTTGTTGCAGGCGACGAGAGAGGTGACCGATTTGGTTCATCCGGCTGCTCAGATAATGAAGTTGCTTCACTACCACCACTTGAGGTTATGGTTATTGAAGAGGCCGGTGCTGGCATGTCGTATGTCTTCAGCTGCTTCTTCGGTCGCTCTGGCTCCTTTATTGCGGTGTCATATTCCTTAAAAGATACGTGACTTTGGTGATTGTCCGAGACTGCATCAGGAATGGCAGCGGTCTTTCTTAGCTTGGGCGATGTCGTTCGCTGTGGCGGAGGAGGTATACTGCGCTGCTTTCCATACAGAGCTCTCTTTTTCTGAGATCCAGATGGAATCCAGGTGATTTCATTGGCCTGCGAGGTTCTGGGTGCCTCTGCCATAGACTCATCACCAGCTTGCTGATCGACGACGTCGTCCTGATTACTTAGTCTCGGTTTCTTGGACCTGTATGTAGATGCTGCTTTTGCTGGCTTGCGTTTCTTTGACACCAGTGATGGTACCTGGGCAGCTTGTTCAGGCTCAGACGGGGTTTCGTTCTCAACGTTCTCATTGTCACTGCTGTCTTCAGGCAGTGCGTTGATATCAGCCTCGTCCATAGTTTCGGTGGCAGGTGCGGTCTGCGCCGGTTGTTCCTTCCTCTGCGCCAGTTTTTCCCCATGCAGCGACTGGCCTGTGTAATTGCCTCGTGTCAACAGAATGCTCGCTTGGCTTGCACCCCGGGCGGATACCCGGGTCGGTGCTGTCCTTGTGCGCATAGCAGAGGACTCGCCCGGTGCGGTGGGATGGTTAGACTCGACTTCGATGAATCTCGATTTCTGGTTATGTCTGGTACTTCCTGGGCATTCCTGGTCATTCTCGGTAAGATGTGATAGTGAAATTCCAATGTATACCGCAACCCCTTCCCAGCCCCAAGTCTGCCGCAAGAAAATTGCGGCAAAGCGCTCTGCAGCGAGAAAATCGCGGCAAGAGCACGTTGGAATCTACTTTCCAAAATACTTGGACCTACCTCGGCGTGCCAAGGATTGCGGAGGGACGCGTTTTTACGCGTCGAGGCTGCCTTGTCAGGGGTGCCTACACGATTACATCAGGAACATGTTGGAGTCAGTGTTCAAGCCTCCACTGATTCGGGTTTCTTTGAATGATGTGACCTTATCTGAATATCATCGAGAAGAACGCTCAGACCAGGTCAATGATCTCGCCTTAGGCACCACTTGCTACCCTCTTCGTCTTCGGACCGCCAGCTCCGTCGCGCCCCTGATTGCCCCTCTTCTTGCCAGCAGCGAGTTTCGGTAAGATACTTCCAGCACTCTCGGGCGGAACAAGAAGGGCGACAGTGTATCTGTACCAGTGTTGCTGAGACTTTCCTCCGTAGCCGTCGTCTGAATCGCTCTCCGAGTCATCCGGGTCTTCATAATCCGTATCATAGCCGTCCAGATGGCATTCCTTCTGACATAAAAGTTTGCTTTCGAAACGTTTACCATTCAGATCACAGAGGCAAGTGATATCCTCGGATCGTTCAACCTCGTCATCTCCGTGTCGCGAAGTGTACGTAGAGACGGATTTTTCCACCTTAGCGAGGTAAATACCGAAGTCGTTGATTTGGCAGACTTCAACCAAAATGGCGACTCGGGCTCGATCCAAGCTCTTCAAGCTGCTCAGTTGGAGTTCAGCCTGGGTGTACCCACGGGAGATATGGTACATCAAGAACTCCGGACCGTCTACCCCAAATCGTCCGGTCTTCAGGCCGTCTTCGTACATCTTCAGTGACGATGCAATAGACTCGACTTGCTCAACCCCGGGAGCCCGCTGAGGCGCTTGATCGTCATCTTGCAGCAAATGGTATGTCAGGACCAGCCGATAGCCAGATATTACAGGCTTTGCCTCATAGGGAACGTCACTGAACCAGGCGGCCCAAGAAACGTCCCACTCAGAATTGTGTGCACTGCTCCAGACCAATTCCTTCTTGCCGTGGGACAGCACAACTTCACCACCGACGTGCAAAGATGGCAACGCCACGGCCATGTTGCCGAACATTCTTGGGACTTTCTCCGAGTCTTGGTCGGACTTGGAAAAGGCTCCGGCCTCGAATAGAAGTAGTTTGTGTGGCTGAACGACCACATCTTCGAGCTCAGAATGGACGTGTAGCTCTTCGCAAGCTTTTTTGGTCAAGTCTCCGATGAGTTGTGCCCAGGCAGGGTTGACAAGGCTGAATTGTGAAGCGTCCAGCTCCCATGATCTGCGTACATTGGTGTCGACAAGCGTCTGCTCTCCTTTACCGGAAGGTGACTGAGAGCAGTGGCCAATGATGGCAAGAGCGTCTTGTGGCTGTAATGGTAGACCGATCCTGCCGAGGCCAGTGATCTCAAGACCTGCAATGGGTGCGTTGGGCAGTGTCTTGCAGTAAGCGAAAGCATTGGGACCATCGATGGCCTCGATCTTTTTGAAGATCTCCTCTCGTACGGCATGGAAGGCAGCCATCTCGCTCTCCGAAGACTCCATCGCGGCTTACACAACCGTGCGATAAGCTTGAAGACGATTAGACTAATGCTGTAGGTGTGATGCACAGTGGTTGTGAAGAACGAACGTAGGGAACAGATGAAGTATGGGCAAGTGGGCGTCTGCCTCGTCGGGGCGACCACTGTAGGACCCCACTTTTCGTGTCAGTCTCTCTTGTCATGCTGTCTGCCATGAGTCAAAGAGACCTCACCCAGTACTGAGGCTTCGATTCGCTTGAATCATGAATTCCAGGTCAGGCACGCTTTGAGATTCGGCTGAAGTGTGACTCGCACCATGCCCTGAAGGCTGCTCCGGTCCGAGGGATGCCCAGCACTGTCCCGTCCACCTGCAACGCCCTCAGACCACCGATGCGGCGTCAGATGAGGCTCACAAGCCGACTGGACCACGAATCGTTATTCAGACCTTTGCACAGGCTCATTCACCGGCGAGTTCGGCTTCCCAGTCCGGAAGAACGCCCTTATATTCTCGAATGCCTCCCTCTCCGCATCCCTTAACGCAATATCCGTCAACCCACCCATATGAGGCTGCAAGACCACCTTGTCACTCCTCAAAAAGTAGGGATTCACGGTTGGCTCGCCAGTGAACACATCCAGGCCAGCCCTCGTCACCTTACCATGCTCCAAAGCCTCAATCACCGCGTCCTCATCCACGATCGCGCCCCTCGCCGTGTTCACCAAGAACACCCCGTCCTTCATCACCTCAAACTCCTCCCGCCCAATCAGCCCTTTTGTCTGCTCGTTGAGCGGACAATTCACACTAACCACATCCACCTCCCGGAGCATCTCCTTCAACTCCCCATAGTACGCCACATCACTCAAACCAAGCTCCCGTTCCACCTCCTCCGCCAACCTCCGCCGATTATGATAGACGACCGTCATCCCGAACACCCTCGCCTTCCGCACCAAATGCCGCCCAATAGCTCCGCACCCCACAATCCCCAGCTTCAACCCCCTCGGGTCCCTCGCCACGGGTAGCCCTGCCCGCCATTTGCCCGAGCGTGCGTTGCGCTCCGCATTGCCGGTGTTGCGCAACACCGAGAGGATAAGCCAAATCGCCATATCCGCCGTCGCCTCGCTTACCGCGTTCACTGTGTTGCAGAAGTAGATACCCGAGCGGGTCATCCAGTCGACGTCGAATTCGTTGTAGCCAGCAGAAGCGCTTGCGATGATTCGGCATCCCGCAGGCACTAATGAACCAAGCAGTTCAGCATCAAAAGGCTCGTATGGTGGGGTGCCCATGCGAATTAGAAGGGCGGAGATTGGGCGGCCTTGGAGGCTGGAGATCAACTTTGCAAGGAGGGCTATGGTCTCAGTACGATTGGAGGCGGGGAGGATATGCAGGTCGTGGTCATCTGAGAATGCATCGAGGAAGTCTTGCCTGGCGTGAAGGGGCGCGCCGAGGGAGACGACGAGAGGCTTGCCTGTGTTGGTGGGAATGTTGAGGTCGTGGTGTTCCATGGCGCTGGATGACCGTGGCGTTGTCTAGCATCCGGCTGAATGTTGGATGCGCCAGCAGTGCTCAGTGTCGATGTTGAGATGTAGGCAACTTCTGCTAGAGTCAGTGGGTTCCCTGCGAGCGGCCGTGATTTATGCCCATGGCTTCGACCTTATGTACCTTAACTTGACGATGCCGCGTCGTCTTCCCACCACGTTCTACCAATGCGCGGATGTCCGAATTGCGGGTCCGTCAAGCGCATTGCTGATGCGGCTGTCGAAGCCCTGGGCAGCGAAGACTCGTACTGGGTTTCTCTGTACTAAATCAAGCAGCTGAGGTCGCGATGAGATTGTGAGCACGAAGCTACCATCATGTCCCCTTTCCAACGCCTATTCGCATTTCGTAAACTGAGCTGGCTAGTCTGCTTCCATTACAGTCCACGACCTGCTCCTAGATTGACTATGTCCTTCGAAAACCCAGCCCTGTCCCGAACACCAGCTCCCATTGCATCATGCTGCGTGCCGCATTCCCTCCATCGTGATTTAACGCCATCATCGTCATGCTCTCCAGCATGATCTTATCGTCTGCTCCGGACGCCGCCAGAGTACTGGACACCACACAGTCGTGTCCCATGATACGTGATACAGAAAGTCACTTTTGCTTCTCTTGAGTCGCTGTTGTCGCCATGCAGTAAGCGCTCCATATGACCAGAAAACTTGCTTGCCTGTAATTGACATGAGGTATCGTAAAGACATAAACGCCAAAATGTTCATCATGCCATATAACGCCATGCACAAACATGACCGACATACTTCGTCAAACGCCACTCAATATGAACACCAGAAATTCACGCATAAGGAAAGATCAATAGAATGGCTGAGGGTTGTGGTCGATCTGCACAGCTGGTCGCGCGGCAAGCTCTTCCTTCAAGCGCTTGGCCTGAAGATATGCCGGTGTCTTCGGCTCATTGTACTGGAGGACGGACTTGGGTCCGGGAACTGCCGATGGTGGGAACCGGGCCTTGCGCTCGAGGTCGTCCAGAGGCATCTGAGATCGAATGTACTTCAGCCTGCCATCATCACGAGCGTCGCCTCTCCAATCCCAGCTCTCGAAGCGACCCTTCTGAAGTGCTGACCACACCAAACGGCGCTGGCGTTGGCACACCAACACATCGTCTGTGATCTGAGAAAAGTTCCACTTCTTGTTGGCTTCGGCTTCGAAAGCTTTGAAGATGCTGCGGACCGTCTCGTCTGCGCTACTGGCCAGATTCTCCTTCTCCAGCGGGTCGCTGACCAAGTTGAAAAGCTGCGGTGGGTCGCTTGGGCAGGTGACGTACTTCCATGGACCACGGCGAATCATCATCAGAGGTGCAATCGTGCCTTCGCCCATGTACTCGGCAAAGACGTTATCGTGTCCACCAGCGCCGTAGAGATGTGGGAGAACAGACTGTCCGTCCATCGGCAGACCCGGTACAAGTTTGCTGCCCACGAGCTCGACTAAGGTCGGCATTAGGTCAAGCGTTGAGACGGATTCGGTTACACGGTGTGGCTTGAACTGCTTTGGATGAGAGATGAGCATTGGCACTCGTACTGAGTTCTCGAAATACGACATCTTGTACCATAGTCCTCGTTCGCCCAGCATGTCGCCATGATCACCACTGAATATACTGTCATGACAGTCAGCACATTATTCCAACAAGCGGCGACGTCAGTGAACCATTCCCTGCGGCCAGCAGGCTTTCTCCTCTCACATATCGGAATGGAAGAGGTCGTGCATGTATGCATGCATGAAGGTGGACACTCTTCGGCAATTGCAAGGCTGGGAGATTTGGGGAGGGGTAATGCTGGAGAAAAGGCTCCAAACTTACATTATGGTGTCATCGGCCAGACCAGTTTTCTTGAGCACGTCAATAAGCTCTCCGATGTTGTGATCAATGTATGACACCGCTCCGTAGTATGCTCGGCGTGCTTGTTTGAGCTGTGCATCTGTGAAGTTGTGGCCGCGGAGCTCCGTGACGTATTGTAGACGGGCGCTGTGAGGATCCTGGTCTTCCTCTTTGATCTGGACTTCCGGCAGATCAATGTCGACATCCTCATACATATCCCAGTACTTGGTCTCGATAGAGTAGGGATCGTGTGGATGGGTGAAAGACACTGTCAGCGCAAAGGGTCTTCTATCCGGTCCCTCTCTTGCGTAGTCGTAGAGATACTGCTTGGACTTGTACAAGACCTCCTCATCATAGTCCAATTGATTGGTCCGAACGCATGGTCCGGCCTGTAAGATAGAGCTGCTGTTGTGATACCATTCCAGACGACGGCCTGGGTCATCCCAGTTCACAGCCCAGCCATAGTCACCAGGGTATATGTCCGCAGTCAGCCGATTCTCATATCCGTGCAGCTGATCTCCAATGAAGTGCATCTTCCCAGCAAGCGTAGTCTCATACCCTGCGGCACGGAGGTAATGTGCGTACGTTGGAACGTCCGACCCGATAGAGCAAGCGTTGTCATACGCTCCGATCTTGGATGGGAGTTGTCCACTGATCAAGCACATTCGTGACGGAGCGCATAGTGGAGAGTTGCAGTAAGCTGAGTCGAAGACCACGGCTTGTTCTGCTAGTTTGTCCAAATTCGGAGTCTTGATCTGGGACTTGGGATTGTGCATCTTGAGAAGGGGCGCAGCGAGCTGGTCCGCCATGATGAAGAGGATGTTCGGCTTCGCAGGGAACATTGGCGTCGAGAAGCCGGGGAGACCTTGCACGCCGTTGGGAGGTGAGATGGGTGGCGTGTTGTCTGCGCCATTGGGCTGGTAGGTTGGGCCTAGGGAGCCCATGATTGCGTGTGAGGTGCTGTCGTATGATAGTTCGCGGTTCTGGAGTCAGTGTGCTTGAGTACTTGCGACGTGATGAGAAGGAAGAGTGAGGGTGGGAAGGAATGGCACGCTTCAAGTAGATGGGAAGGCACGACGTGAAGGAGAAGATTCGCAGGCGGTAGGAGCTCTCGTGACCATAAGAAGCTGCTGTATTATTGTATCATGTATCTTTCGAGGTCCACGTCCTACCTTTTAGTGTCATCCCGATGGCGTGCTAATCAGTGTGCCGGAAAGGGGTTGGTACCGACATTGCTAGAACGACGGACGTTGAGGCGCAGGGCTCCCGAGTTAATTTTCGGTCCCACATAGCAGGATCTCTTACGCTCTCGCGGGGAACAGCAGCGAGGGGACACCATGATCGGCTGGACCTCTTTCCCATACAGCGGCGGCGAAGAGGTCGTGAGTAACACCGGGAGTAATGATATGTCTGACATCGCCAGATTTGTAAGAGAATGAGAACAAGTGTGAGCGGTGAGTGATGAAACGGAGGCAAACTTCGGGTTCGTGATTTCGGGCTGAATCACGCCATCGTATTTCGTTCTTGCCTCGCACGCCAAGATTTCACCATCCCCCGGTCTCTCGCGCCTCTCACGCGCCTTCCTCTTCCATTTCTCCTATGTTTGCATGTCTCAGCAGTATGTTTTGTGGACTATGAGGTCCAGACTCGCCTCCAAACTGGGTCAAGCAAACAAATAGGCAAGGCTGCATGCTGCAATTGACCTGCACGGCTCAGTATCGCGCAGGTACTAGCCGATGCAACCCTCACCTTCCGCCAATCGTCCATGTCCGCGCCCACAGAGCTACTGGAGACGCATGGGAATCCACGTTCTATCTGCAAGCTTCCGGCTACCGACCCCGAAGATCAGTCGCGTGATATCCCCGGCTCAGGATGTGCATTGCGATTATGATTGGAGACACCCGCAAGATGGATCTTTGTTCTCGAAAGGGAATAAAATCACTGCCAATGAGTGATGAGCAGCTTATAAAATTCTGGCCTGTCCGCCAATCTCGTCTGCTATGTGGGCTTTTGTCTTGCTTTGCGACTGTGCCCTTCGGTCAGCGACTGCTATCTTTCTGGCGATCCTTGGCTGGAAAGCTATCACGCCCAGGTCACCTCCCGAGCAAGCCGACACGTGCACCTTTACCAGGCATTATTTTCGCCCTGATGCAACGATTTATCACAGTATCCTCGGAATTCAGGTGAGGATCTTCTTTCGAGAAGTCAGTCCATCCCTTATGTCAAGCTTGTCGCACCTTGAGAGTCATCTGCGGCGAAGGTGTTGTGGTAATCAGTGAGCCTGGCATTCCGCAACCCTGACGAATTGACTATCATGTACAAATCAGGGCAAAATTCACTGATCAAACATGCATGTCGACGATAAATTACATTACTAGGCATTTCAGCAGGCTGTATCAATGTAGGTGGCAAATGCACGCTTTCTCGATATCTGCAAGCCCCAACCAATCGCTCTGCCAGTCACTCAGCTTTGCTTCCCAGGACATGTCGTGTTAGTCATTCGTGGCCATCGTTCTTATCACTCCTCAGCGGGTTCAGCACGCCCAATGCAGCCACTGCAGCATCGGTCGGACTCGTGGCATTGCTGATAGCAAGAACATCGTGTGACTGGACCTGCCAGAGTGAATCAGACGTCCAGACCACTACACACTCGACTGACGCATTTGGCACTGCACGTCCACGCCTCACTGAGAGACTCGCAGTCGTGGCTCCAAGCCAACTACTCCAATGGGAATGCGCTGACGCCCGAATGCTGACTTTCACAGACGTGAGAGTTCGTTTGCTCCAAATACAGCAACTTTGAACCCTAGTCTGTAGACGTTTGAGTAGCTCAATAGAAGCGAGATCCACGTGTATACGTAACGCCAGCAGTCAGCGATGATGAGATGGTCGAGGACTCATGCACGATTCCTTAATCCTCGCCATCTCACCACGATGACAGCCACCTTGGTGGCTACACGCTTGACGTTTCGCGGCTTGCCTTGCTGTCTTCGCTGGCTTTGTGCCCTTCAAGTTGTCCAGCCCTGACCCAAGCACCACCGACTGACTGAGTGATGATCTCGTCGAGCCAAGTAGATCCCAATATCAGTCTCCCGTTACCGCATCATTTTGCACTCTTTCTCTGCTCCTAGGACACAATGTAGACCTGACGTTGGTATAACCTTGCTTAGCACCAATAATGGACCAGCTCTCGATCACATCATTTGGTAAGATCCGTCGAATAAAGGCTCGCGAGGCTCGATGCCTTGTGTGCAAATGGCAGCGCTGCACGCCGTACTACTGACGGGAACTTGCGTCGCTTATGTAGCTCCCAGCCATCGCATTCACGAGTGTCTTCAAGCTGGACATACTTCTTCACTTTTCTCAGACGGTCGCGTTCATGGTTTCTTCAGGTTGGCGCGTTCGGAGAGTAGTTTGACATTCTTTCATACCCTCGTTCTTTACATTCAAGTTCGCAAAAAAGTTCTTGTCCCGATGGCAAAGTTCTTGTCCCGATCGCATCAGATCAAGCTTCAACTAAAGTTCACCTTTCGACCTGTTCAGTAGCTTCCACAATGGCCGACATTGAGGGCGCAACCCAGGTAGAGGGCGACGACGTCGAGATGGTCGGTGAAGAAGATGCAGCCGAGGTCGCCGATGATGCTGCGGCCGGTGAAGATCAAGAAGAGACTGTAGTGTCAACCATCAACCCACAAACTATCTTCCTCGAATACCTCAAGTCTCCTATCGTTGATCTGAACATCGGATCAGGAGCGGAAAAGACCAAATTGACGGCTCACCGCGCCCTTCTTGAACGATCATCATACTTCGCCGAGAGACTTGCCGCCCTCCCAGCCAACAAGCTTACCCTCGCTTTCCCGGATGAGTCTCTTGATGCTTTCGGCTGCTTCCTCCAGTACCAGTACACCGGCGAATACTTTCCACGGCGCCTTCCAAATGTCCCAGACGGACTCGAAACCGACCCCAGCCAGCCTGCTGTCGACGACACCGGCTCTCAGCTACTCAAGCATGCGCGAGTCTACACTCTTGCGGAGAAGCTACAAATTCCAGAACTGAAGACGCTCGCTCACTCAAAGATCCACCGCATCAACTCGACCGCCGTTGGGGAGATCGCATACGCCAGATATGTGTACGGCAATACGCCTCAAGACGATGTTACAATACGCAAGCCGGTTGCCGCGTTCTGGGCCACCCGATCGCACGTGCTCCGTCACGAGGCTGAAGAAGAGTTCAAGGCTATGTGTCTCGATCACCCACAGTTCGGTTTCGATGTGCTCAGCATAGTTCTGGACCAACGGGAGAAGAGGCAGCGCGAGCGCGAGGAGGATGGTACACCGGGCGGCTCAAAGGGACGCAAGCGTATGCGACCTTCGGTGCAGGTTTAGTTTCTCGAGTCGCGTACAGAACCTACAGCGGGTAGGCCTGCGCGAATGCCACAACCAAGAGAGTCTAGGAGCAGAGGGACGGCTCCCGGAATGGGCTGATCGTACGGAGCATATGGCTACATATCCGAGGGACATTTCCAAGAGGAAAAGTTCTAATCTGAGAAGGGCTTCGGTCCGCAACTTAGACATCTGTAAAACAGCTCGACATAGTCATTTAATGGGCATACATGTTCAACAGTCTCCAATACTATTCTGGGCCATGCCTGCGATCGTGACACAGTGCACTGAGCTCAGATAGAGACATTCCTCGTCTCGTACGTGACTGCCCAGAGCCGTCTCGAACCACTGTGTCCTCAAAGCCGACTGCAAAGCTCCAGGCTCTCTCAGGTAGGAAATCCTGCTTGAAGCGGCTGGAGCTGCCCACTTGATCGTTGGAGAAGCTCCCTGGGACCCTGGCAACGCCGAGCCTGAAGCGAATTTGCGGGGCTCGAGGTGAGTGAGTGGGAGCTGCAATTACAAGCACGCGCGAATGGTTCAGCCGGCTGTACGTCTTCAAGACTACTTACCAAGGCCAGGAATTGAAGTAAGTGAGGCGCGCGCAGCTGGTCTGCACTTCCAAGCTGCATATGCGCAATGTCACTGCCACCATCGAGTCACTATTCCCCACTTCTGCACGCACGCGCCAACACACGACATTGAGACCTGGTCCAGGGTTCAAGCAGAGACCGGCCAATGCCAGATCTGCACGATGAGCCTGAGCTCGCAGGCAATGAGCCTTCCGCAGGTTCGGAGCTGCGGCGCTCGCACACACGTGAAGACACGTCTCCGTCCTCGGCGCATCGTGGAAGCAAAGCTTCCGACAGCGAGCAGCCCAAGAAGAAGCGGAAGGTGAATCACGGTCAGCTCCCTGCATGTGCCGTTCTCTGCCAGATACTGACCGGACCGCAGCATGCGTCTACTGCCGCCGATCGGTAAGAGTCACCATATCCGTGCTATACCACTGATCCGAGAATCGATCTACTCCATGCGCAAGACCAGAGACTGACGCGATACACAGCATATGACTTGCGATTCTGTACGACTTACCCGCCCTATATTCGGATCTCTGATCCTCTACGGTCACTGACTAACGACATTGTCTCAGGATCGGCCATGTAAGCGTTGCATAAAAAGAAACATTGGCCATTTGTGTCATGATGAGCCGCGTGAGGCGCAACGGAAATCCAAAGGCGAGCTCGACATTGGAGCCGAAGATGAGAAGTCGCCGAAAGACGAATATGCTGTGACGCCGACCCTGCCTGGTGCTTCGATGACGGAGGAGAGCAGCTCGGCACTGATGCAAGACAACATCATGGGTATGATGCCTGATGCCTCTGACAAGACGCCTAACGCTAATTCAGGAGTGCCAGCACAACCGAATGCTCTGAACGGAAATGCACAAACTCGTAAGTTGAATCAGGAGACACGGCTAGACTCACACGACTGACAAACGACGCCCAAGCATTCGGCTACAACAACCAATGGCTTGCTTCGCAGAACCAGTTCCAGGACATGCACAACTACCATCCGAACTTTATGTTTAATGCCAATGAGGTTGCCGATGAATACAACCTTGTCAACGACTTCCTCAGCACGAGTCTGCTGGAAGAGGGAACGATGTATGCCAACGACGAGTTTCGAGGCGCGTTCAGTGATCCTTCGTTTGGGAACTTCAATGCCGTGTCCTTCCCACCGAACAATGGCGCCTTCCTACCAACGCCACAGCAACAGATGCCAAACAATCAGGCCGCCGCCGCACAGGGTGCATCAATATCGAGGCCAGCCAGCACGAAACCAATATCGGACAAGGCACGAGAGAAGTACTACATGACCGCGGCCGACCCTGCTGGGAACGATCCGCCTGAAGAGCGCATGAATAAGCTGTTGAAGGCGAAGTACGATGCTGGATTACTGAAGCCGTTCAACTACGTGAATGGCTACGCACGACTCAATAAGTACATGGAGAAGAACATGAAGCACTCATCAAGCACAAGATACTGATGCAGCTGGATCAGTTCAGGCCCAAGTTCAGAGAACGAATGCAAAGCTTGACGGACATCGAGTTGGTGCTGGTCGAAATGTGGTTTGAACGTAACTTGATGGAATACGACCGTGTCTTTGCAAGCATGGCTATACCAGCCTGCTGTTGGCGAAGAACAGGCGAGATCTTCCGGGGCAATAAGGAGATGGCCGAGCTGATTCACGTCCCGATAGAGTCATTGCGAGATGTACGTAGCTTGACTCACACATGTTCAAGAATGCTAATTATGTACAGGGCAAGCTTGCAATACACGAGATCATTGTCGAGGATCAGCTGGTCAGCTACTGGGAGAAGTTCTGTGCCATCTGCTTCGATCAGCAGCAGAAAGCCATGTTGACGAGCTGTACTTTGCGAAGTCCTACAGCGGGCTCGGACAGCCCTGACATCCACTGCTGTTTCTCATTTACGATCAAGAGAGACAATCATAACATGTGAGATCATCTCGCCGTGATTTAAGGGCTCTTGCTGACCACTACAGACCGTCCCTGATTGTTGGCAACTTCTTGCCAATGGATCCGCCACAAGGCTGACCAAGGCCCGCGAAAGAAGACTTGTAGATCCATGAGAGCACATAGCAAGTCTCGATGAGCCTGACGCTGGACACAAAGTAGCAGGGCTAAATCTGGTCCGAAATTCAGCAGGCAAGAACAATTGATCCCGTCACGTGATTCGTGCCTGCCTTCCGAGTCCTTCTTCGACTTCTTCCATTGTTTCTTTCGTCCTCAACTCATTTCTCCTCAATCCAACAAACAGCACGAGATGCTATCAGAGGTGAAGAGTGAGCTCATGAAGCTGTCGTTATCTCCAGCGAAAGCTGTACGCAAAGCTCGAGCAATCCTTGGTATGTCACTCCGAATCGTTCCAGCCTGATCGAGTACTGATCATCCCACACAGATCAATCCGAATCGGTCGACAAGTATCTACTCGGGCTATCCAACGACGACCATTATGCCTTTCCGGATCTTGAGCTCTGCCTACAGTCCCTGCCACTCCGCAGCGAAGATGTGTCATCCGAGGAAAGAAGTGAGTTGCACAGCATGGGCTTGAGGCTGTGGAACGCTTGCTGCGGCCTCGATCGGGACGTGTTGGGTGAGAAGGATAGGGCGAATAAGGCTAAAGGTGGGCATCGAAGATCACGGAGTAGTACATACCATGCTGACTTGGAATGTAGTAAGGGCGTTTGCGTCTCTTCTGCTTGAGAGTGCTTGGTCGAGGAGTGCTCTGTCCATGGAAGGTATGAAAGCGGCATCCGCACGTCTGAATCATCCCTTGACCACGGGCCAGTACATCTCAAGGCATTGAACATTGGCTGTCTGGCTGCAAGAGCCTGCCTAGGTATGTCCATCTCCTAGCCCTACAGCACTGACTAACAACTCCAAAGCACATAACGATGTCCCCCTTGCCAACAAGGTCGTCGAGACTGTTGCTCCGCATGACCAGCAAATTCAAATTGCGTTGCGAGATGACATGACGAAAGTCTATACTACGAGCGGTAGCTCTGCAGTTGTCTTTGTGCTGACACGCATAGCATTAGTGAGAGCCTTGGTGATGACAGCCCTGGACCATTGAGCTGACCTATACCAGGCCTGGAAACAAGAACGTCTCGATCTCGCAAACCATTTCTACCAAAGCCTATACAAATCGGATTCGACTCTTCCTAATTTCCATGACGGACGTGCCGCCGACCTTTGCCTCGAGATTGGCGTTGATCTGCTCGACGGAGGACTGTACAGTGCCGCCTTGGAGTGGCTGGAACGAGCGAAACTACAAAATGAGCTTGCGGAAGGAGATGCAGCTGTTGATGACCCCGAAGAGCTGCGGTTGAACATCCTTCATGCGACAGGTGAATGATGACATTGAGCCGCGGCTTCACTTACTAATGGTAATACCAGTCAGGGCTTTGATGGGTATCGGTAGCGATGCACTTCTTCATGCGGCACAAGATACCTTGGACGCGATGAAGCGTGTAAGTCCAGACGCAGTGTCCGAGATCCATCGAGCTGACCTCAAAAGGACTTCGGACAACGGCTGCCAGTTCTCCTACTGGAGATCGAGATGATGCAAAAAAGCGAGGCGATCGATGTCGAACGATACAGTTCTGGTGAGAGCCTTGAGAATGGACGTCCCGCCCTGACGGCTGTTGACCAAACGTAGTGCTGCTGACCATCGTTCGGACCGTCTACATAACCGGTCCAAATCACAAATTGTACTCTTCCAGCGCCGAAGTGAGGATGTAGTTGCTAACATCACAGGATCATGTATCACATTCATCAGCTGAAAGCGCTCAGGTTGGTCTTCTGGCAAAAGCGCTTATGGCTCGGAGCTGAAGCTTCACAGCGATCAACATGCATATGACCTGCTCAAGCAATATACTATGACCCGTCTGGTGCCAGACTACATCGAAGACTACATCGAATCCGCCATTGTGGTACTGTGCTGGCTGGGATCTGCGACAGAGTCAACCTTTGAGGTGCTTCCGGAAGAGCTTGATGCTCTACATAAGGCCCGCCCAAGAGGTCTGCGCGCTGATGCTGCGAACGCTGCGGTACTCGTCCTCGGGAAGATCATTGAAGGACACAACGCGAAGTCGAAGCTGGAACAGATCATCTCATATTGTCGCGCCGCCCTGAATCCGCTCTTTGCCGAGATAGGAGACCGCAATAGAGCCAGGATACAGAGGACAATGATAGACGCACAGATAAGGTCCGAAAACCTGCAAACGGCACTTACGTGCTGGGACGATGTTGCAGATGCGGCCAAGAAGGATGCTTCCACGGTGTTCCTTCGCTTTCGCATGGCTGTGGCAGCTGGCGATGACGCCGGCACCGACACTTTCGGAGCCGCCCTCGTCAACTGTGCGGACACCAGTGCAGATCTGCTGATGAGCTGTGCCACTGAGATGAAGCAAACCGGAAGCCTTCGTCGCGCTGCATGGTTCATGCAGCGAGCCCTCGAGAAATTGACTGGCCAGGAGCCGCCGCACGTCAATTTCGATACGATCCTGTACTCTACAGCCCGTCTCCATCTCGGGGTTCTGGAAGAGAATATTGAGCAGATCGACTACGAAGTCCTCTCTATGCTCTGCAGTGTCTTCCGCACCGCTGCGAACCATCACACTCGGGGGGCTGGACGTGGTGACGAGAAGCTCTTACCTGATGTATGCGAGTGGTTCGAGAAGGCTGGGTTCAATGCTGCTTTGAAGCACGCGAAGCAATGGCCGACCAAATACACCATTGACCTCCTTGAGCATTGCACTGTCTTCAGCAATGAGGTCAGTCACCTGGCGAATGTTCTGTTCCTGCAGGCCATGCTTTACGCCACGGCAGCACGTCAGTGCATACACTCGACCACGATCGAAGACATTCCACGCACATCCTACCACGCTCGCGAGCCACCGCAGACCCACCGTTTGCGACATCACCTATACAAGCAGGTGCTGCACCGCTACCACCGACTAAAGTCAATGTTCGATCCAGGTCGAGTCACTGAGGGCGGCGTAGACCTTGACATTCAAGGCAAGGCTGCAGACACCTTGGTCATGGCGTTCGAGGCACAAGTCTTCCTCTGCAAAGTGAAAATCATCGACGGCCTGCCAGCGAGCGAGTTGAGTTTGCTGCAGCTCATCGACGACATACCAAAGCTTACAGAATCTCTCAAGGCACATGCTTGCGTCGGAGATCTCGTACTGTCGGCGACGCTGTCGCAGACCGGAGATTCAGGCACTCTTGAGAGTGGCGGCCACCTTCCTCTCACGACCGCTATTGCTCTCATTGCCCGGCTGTTGACACTCTTCCGTGAGCGAGACTGCTATACGACCACGCAAGCCGCTCGATGGATTCGTTGTATCGTGCAGCTGGTGCTTGACGTTCAGCCGCCCGTCTCGACTAGCACAGTGACGAAGCCAGATTCAGGGTCTCCCAACACGCAGGCAACCTTGACCACAACGACGAGCACTACTGTCAACAACAAGACCCTGGACATTCTTTCACCGGTCGTGGCGGAATCTATATCAATCGCTCGCGCCGCGGCTGAGGCTATGAGCGTGACCAATCCACTCGGAGAAGTCCCCAGGCGTGCAGCTGCCCAGAATGAATTGTATCCGGCAGACGAACTTCAGTGGCTCGCAACGACACTGTTCAACCTTGCAGTAGATCTGCACTTCGCGAATCAGCCGGACTTAGCTTCTCAGTGGGCCAGAGGTGCGATTGAGCTGGCTGATATACTGGCGTTATATCTTGACGGGAAGAGTGGTGGCTCTGGGCCGGGCGCTCAGGCCGGCGGCGGTCGTGGCCTGGCTCAGACGTTACGCAAGAAGGCTGTCCTTGCTGGGTGGGTCATGATGGATCTCAACATAAGCTGAAGAGCAGCAGGAGTCATTACCAATGTAATGCTCTCATGGGAGGGCTTCTCTTCGGTACAGTGTTCGACCGGGGCAACTTCATCATAATGGGTTTTGTCCAAGGTCTCAAATGCAAGTCAGGTAGCCGTCAAAGCACTGTTGCATCACCGAGCTCTTCCTCACGTTGGTCTGAATTGACTCGTTGGTCTGAATTGACTAGCTCACGCCCCGCTGTTTTCATAGTACGTCCGTAGCACCGAACTTGATATATAGTGATCACACTGCAAAATGGGGACACAAACTCTGTCTTCCCCGGATTCTCGAGAACCTCGGCTGCCAAGCCTTACGTACTTAGTCCAGCTTTCACGATTACTGATACAATCCGAATCACGACACAGCTCACCATCAGTAAGCTAGCAGCTTTGTGTGCCCTTCACGGTATACATACATGCTATTCGCACTGATGCTCGGAGTTGCGCTGCTCAACAGAGGCTTTGAAAACCTTCATCAGACGCGTGCAGAAGTTCTACAGACCTCTGTCACGCAGGAGCATCTCGGATCTCTGGACCACCTTACTCTTTAGGACTCTCGAGCCACCAAATCTACACACACTACGAGCGTCACCATCAGACACTCGCAACCAGCACTACACAGCACCAAGCACTTTCCTCGACAACAGTCATGTCATCTATTGATGCAAAACTCAACCCGCGCTCCCTTCCCACCGCCCTAATCCTCGGCGCCTCCCGCGGCATCGGCCGCCAACTCGCCATTTCCCTCGCCACGGACCCCAAGACGGAGTTCGTCGTCGTCTCCTCCCCAGACTACTTCCTCCACACCCATCGACACCACCAAATTCTGGACGCCCCCAAACCCCAATTCTCAAGCCAGCACAATCACAACTGTCGCGCACGAAATCACCCTCCTAGGCGGCCACGCCCTCGCTTTATCATGCGATGTCCGTGACACAGCCGCCGTCGAAGCCCTCGTGCACGAAACAGTGCGTCGACTGGGTAGATTGGACGTCCTAATCTACAACCCCGGCGCGATCTGGTGGGCGTCCGTCGCCAACACGCCCCCGAAACGCTTCAACCTGATGTGGGAGGTTAATGTCAGGGGGTGTTATGCTGCCGTTAGTGCTGCGCTGCCTTACTTGACTGCCAACAGTATAGCCTCGAATAAGAAGGGGGAGAAGGGGGACGGCAAGGGTTCAGGCAGGATCATCATTATCAGCCCGCCAATCTACTCACGCTTCTTCCGCGGGAAGACGGCGTATGCGATGACCAAAGTCGGCATGTCTGTCCTCGTCTCCGGCCTCGCGATGGATTTCGACCGTCTCCGCAACGAAGCGGAGCCTAGCACGGGGCATGATCTCGCAGTAACGGCCCTTTGGCCCGCCGCGTCGATCGAAAGCGCAGCCACCGAGCGTGCCGTGAACTCGGACCAAGACGTGCGGAAGGATTTACGGCATCCGAAGATCTTCGGGGATGCGGTGCTGGAGATATTGAGGGCGCCAGTTGGGACAGTGAATGGGAAGTTGTTGCTGGATGAGGATTTCTTGAGGGAGGAGTGTGGGTATGGAGATAGGGAGATCGACGAATATGCGATTGTCAAGGGAAGTAAGCCGAGGAGGATCATGCCGGCGAAGTTGCCGAGTTTGTTGGTGGATGAGCAGGCAGATGAGGGGAGGCGGATGGACAGCTCAAAATTGGGCAAGCCGGCAAAACTGTGATTTAGGTTCCCGAGGGTGAAGCATGAAGGCAGCAGCAGGAACAGAAGCTCGGTATGCGGAGCACGAGAAACTAAGTCCACAGAAGCACGGAAAGCGAAGGCAGAGCAAGAGGTGAAGCAGTAGAAGCAACCAGAGGTGTGACAACAGCAGCTTTTAGCGCTTTGCATCGAGGCGCAATAGTCAGGACGCTCACTCACGGCCAGGGAGGCTTTTAAGAGGCGTATTGTTGCCCTTCGAGGCGTAGAGCAATTCCTAGGACGCAAAGCTCAAGCTAGATAGGAACAACTAGCAAGTCACGAGAGACTGACCCTCATTTGAGCGGCGGGGGAAGTCCAGGCAAAAGAGAAACCACGCAGAAGTAACGAGGCAACCAGGCAAAAGTCATGGATTCTACCCTATTCTACACGTGTCCAGAATCGCTATGCTGTGTAGCCAGAGGCCTCCCTGGCGCTGAAAATCCTGACAACTCCATTTCGTAGATGCAAAATCAAAAAACTCCCACCGGGCGGGCTCTGGCAGCCAAATTTCAGATTCGGCCACGCCGCTCGCACTCCAGTTCCCGTCAACTCCACAGCGCGATTTCCGTTCCGTTTCCCCTACTTCCGCCAGAGACCTCCTCCAACAAGCCCCTCTGGAACCTTCATCCTACCGAAATCCTTGTCGATGTCCATCACGAGCTTCAACGCACTCCTACACCGCAAGAACGGCAGCGGCGCCTTAGCTTCACGCAGACCAACACCAGGCTCCAAGGCTTCGACTCCCGCTTGCTTGTGCGCGTCCGGATCGATGCTGGCCGGCAGCGGCAGCAGACCATTGAGGACCTCGAACGACGCCAACGTAACACCGAATTGCGGGCTGGAACGAATGACACGCGCCGGACCGCCCTTGAAGAACGCTCTCGGACCTTCTGACTTGAGGATCTTCCGGAAGCAATCGACCAGACCGTTGTATGTGGCTTCGCCTTTGCGCGCTTCGACCTGCAGACGTGTCTTAATCACATCCGCCGGCGTCGTAAAGTACGCAGCAGGCATACCGGCGATCGCACCGCTGATCATAAGCTGCAGAACACCAATCTTGTTGGTTTCGCTCTCGCCGAAGACGTCCTTCTTCATGTGTGCGTAGGTAGGGAAGTAGATTGCAGAGAAAGGGACGTCACGCAAGAGGCAGGCGGCGGCGCCTTTGTAGAGGCCGACGATACCCAAGTTGCGGACGATCCACATGGCGGAGCGTTTGGGGACGGCGTCAGATTTCTTGGCGAGTTCACCTTGGACTTGTAGGCGGATTTTGACGATTTCGAGGGGGTTGGTGAAGATCTGGGATTATGTCAGGATGGATGGTGGGTAGTGGACGAGGTTAGCTGTGACTTACGACTTGACATGCGCCAGCTGTACCGCCAGATACCATCTCCAGAGGGAATCCAATCTGACCAGTCTTCGGATCCTTGAATGTACCTCGCAAGAGTTCATTGACGGTGAGCTTGATAGCCTTTTCAGGAGCAACACCAACCAGCTGTGGCGGTAGACCAGCGTACAGGCCTTTGAAACCTTCGTTCCGGATGATCTTGCGCGCGCAATCGATAGAGTTGTCGTACAGACGCTGACCAATGACTCCAGACCGCTGATTCTGCATTCGTGTCTTGACGAGATCGATAGGGTAGACAACAAAGGCACCAAGAGCACCGGCGATGGCACCGAGACCGAAGTGGTGGCCAGACTTGATCAAGCCGTGGAAGAATGATGTGCCTGCCGCTGCAGCCTCTTCGGCCTTCTCGGAGAAGCCTTCTAGCCGTGGACCGAAGCGATATGAGGAGTCGAGAACCTTTGTGAAGTCCCAGATGCTGAGACGGCCGGTAGGATTATCGAGGCTGGCGAAGTGGAAGAGGATTTCGGCCTCGAGAGGAGTGTATTGTGAGAATCGGGTAACGCGCTGTGCTTCTTCGAGGAAGTCCCGCTTGTCGATGCGACCGTCTGAGGATTTTCTGGTGGCGTTGCGGATGATGAGATCTAGGAGGTCCATCTCTCTTGTGATATTGAGAAAGGCTCTGATGACAGGGTATGTGATGTTTGCGCCGTTCTGGATGTTGCATAGTGTGGGCAGATTCTCGAGGATGTGGTCGGACAGCTTGTGACCTTGATTGTCGCGGATGATGTTGGCGAACTGCTCTGGGGTGATCATGCCGTCTTTGTCGGTGTCATAGTGCTGGAACGCCTGTCGAATGCGCTCACCCTGCAAACCTCTTATCATCTGCGCGAACTGGTCATAGGTCATATCATGTCTGTTGTGCTCGGAGCCAAAGTACAGACTCGCCCACGGACCCTTGAAGTCGAACGCGAGACCATTCTTGCCACGATATTCATCGTAGATCTTCTGAAGTTTGTCGACCTTAACGACACCCTCGTTGTCGCGATCGAAGAGGCGGAAGCAGATGAGGTACTCGGGCGCATCGGGTCGCTGTAGAAGAGAGTGGAACGAGGCGTACTCGTCTTGTGTGATGCGACCGGCCTTCTTGCGGTCTGCTACCATGAACAGCAAGCCGTACTGCTCACGGGGGATTTTGTGCTGTGAAATTGTGTTGGTCTCTCCTGTCCCCCAAAGTTCATGGAGTAGCTGCGGTGATGGTGATTGTACTCACATAGTCTTCCTCTGGGGGTGCCACGGCGTCCACAAACGCTTCCCTATCCATGAATAGCTCTCCATTCTCATCTTTCTTCGCATACTGCAGCCAGCTCGACCGAGTCTCGAGGGACATCTCCTGCGGCTTGGAGAAGCCCACCATCACCTCCTTGACCTGCTCCGTCGCCGTCGCCATCTCGTGTGGTGCGATTTTCTGCCTGCTGGAGCTCAAGACATCCAACTATTCTCCAATCGCTGTTTCTGTCCCAATGATACTGCTATCCTGAGTCAGAATGAACGCGACCAAAAAAAAAGTTGACCACCGGCCTTCAACACATGAAACTTTGAGCCGCAGTTCTCCAAACGGAGTGAAGCTTTTGAGTGCAGCATGGTCCCTGCGCTAGGTGTTAGCGGGTATAACCCTGGGAACAGTGGGGACCCCAAGGTCTGCTGGAGGCTTTAAGCGAAGAGCTTGGAATTCACCAGGAGGGCCATCTATCCTGGCACAAGACACCATGGGCATGTTTGCTGCAGGACATATGCAAGGGATCATGGCGACAGCATGATCACTGGTGTGGAAGCCCCCCATGTAGGGCTGTGCCTTTACCACCTTATCTGAGCCATTGTCTTCGAGGTGATGTGTACAACAGATGCTCTCATAAGAGCCGAGATGGCTATGGGCAGCATTTTCTGACGCCCAGCTTGGTGTCGGACGAGTTTCGACGACATGCCGTAGACCATCGGCTTTCTGCATGGTCAGGCAGAAATGCACTGCCACCCAAGAGCAGCGCCCTGTATGGCAGACATTATGGTTCACGTTCTACAAATGTCCTTCATCCCCAAAGAAGTAGGTCCTTGTTCTTCCTTTGAATCTAGTGCGACGATCCGAATCTCTACAGCCAACCGTAAGCACTGGTCTTCACCATAAGTTAAACCAATGGACCCCATCGGCCTCAGCATTGGGCTCGTTGGTCTCTCTATCCTAGCGACAACATGCCTCAAAGCCTTCCAAAGGGTGTCGAAAATCGATCAAGACCATGGGGTGCTGCAAGCGCGGTTTTCGGTAGAAAGAGATCGCTTCTTGATGTGGGCTCGCACAGCGGGCGTGCTACAGGAAGACCTTCGAAAGCCCATTCTGCAACGGCCTTACACCGACGATGCTAGGATTTACACCAATGAGGAAATCCTGAAGATCTTGATGGCCATCGCGTTCCTGACTGGTGACTGTACCAGGGAGAAACTAGGAACAGAGCGTGTGATGGCCATCGATGCGTTACTGGCAGACGGCATAACACGGAGAACGAAAGCGCGTACACCGCACATGAAATTACTGGAGAGGCAGGTTGCCAAGGTCGTCTGTGGAACTCCGCCTCCACGATACGGTACACTGGAAGACTTATGGAAAAATCCAGTATTGTCACCGACAGAGCGGTATCGGCTTCTTGAGCGTAATATCACTGAGTTGACAGATCATATCGGCGAGCTTGAGTGGATGACAGCGAAGCCTTGGGTACGGCGACGCCCACCAATCGAAGTCGATATCAAAGAGCTATTGTTGGAGCCATCATCGCACAGCCCTACGACAGCAAAGCCTGTCGGAGCGGCTACAGAGAGCATATCCGCGACCGATTCAGTGGTGCAATCCGTCGTTGACAACTTTGACAGACAACCGGGCATTGGAGTCGGCCAGGCGCGGCGACCGCCGGTAGCCTTTCCCCAAAGATTGTGGGAGAGCATCAAAGAAGAGATTCGCACTCGCCCTGTCTCTGTATCGGTAGCCAGTGTTGCTTCGATGACGGCAGTGGTCTCGATAGTACGAAGCTGTGCGTGAAGTATCAATCCGAAGTCCGGCCGCCACAATTCCGCGTTTCGTTATCTCGATGATATCGCTTCCCGCCGATGCACGTAGCCGGTGACAGGAAGGGGAGGATCCAAACCCTTCCCATCGAACCGTGGGTGTAAGTTGACTGTTGTCAAAGTCAAGCTGCGAATCAAATTCTCTGTCATGGCCCTGGTGAGTGATGATCGTCTTGTGATGCAGATGCACTTCGTCGCTTCTCGAAGAATGCAGCGTTAAGCAGCAGGAGTTCTGAAGTGCCTTGGACTCGAGAACAGTGACATTGCCTCCTGTAGAATCTATACACAATCTGCCACCGCGACGGGCCTATCTCTTCCTGCTTGCGCATTTGCGCATTGAATAGCGCTGTCCTCGTCCTGTGATCCGCTGACTGACTCCATGAGACCTCGCTGGGTTTTCCCTGCCCTACGAACAGTCTGACGTCCTAATAGTACATGGTATCTCCGAGACAGTCCAAGAAAACAAAAGGAAAATGCACTCGAACAAGCCACAACACTTTTCACGAGCCTGCTAAGCCCGATATGTACGGTACTTGTCTAGTTCTGATTAAGGTTCCAGGTCTGCTGCGATGGGTGCAACACATGCTGCGGCGTACTGGGCTGTCGTGGCCGATTATGCCCGACTATGAGCATATCGCCACTAACGTGCGGAGGCGAGATGCCCGACACAGGCAGTGAGATCGAGTGTGAGTGACCATGTCGATGGCTCGGACCTGCCTGGCTGGATCGTCGACTCGACATGGTTGGCGGCAGTGGAGGCAGGTCCTCGATGTACCCACTATCATCGTGCTCGGCATATGACTTGTCGTCGAACTCAGTGGCCTGCTCGTATTCGACACTGCCAGTGCTGGCTCTCGACCTGCTGCGTGATTGTTTGGGATTGGCCTTTTGGATCTTCTTGAGCCCTTCTGAGAAGCACTGATGGAATGCATGTGTCAGTGCCGGAGCGTACATACGTAGAGATGGGATTGGCGACATACAACTTCCTCGACATCCTCCCAGCTCTCTTCACCAATCTTCTTAGCAACCTCTCTCCAGAATCGTTCCCGAATGGTGCTATCGGTGTACGCCTGGAAAGCGCGTTTGCGGCGTGCATCGTCCCAGTTCTTGTCAGCTTTGCGTTTGAATGTTATCCTTTCGTGTCTCTTACGACAGGCGTTGTCCGACTTTCCGGGGAAGTAATTTGCGATTTCTTTCCAGCCTTGGCCTTTGGACTTGGCTTCGATCAGGATCTCGTCTTCGGCATCGGTCCATGGGACGCTTTGACTGGGTTGACGCGTGTGCTGTTGCTGGGTCACTTGGTGAGCCGGTGTCGACATGGACATGTATGATGTTGGCATGGACTGTGGCAGTGAATGTGTCATTTGCTGATACGCGGTGTATTGAGGACCTGACCAAGAGTAGTCGGGTTGAGGCGGCTGGCCCCAGTTCATGGCCGATGGCATTACTGCTGTCATGTTGGCCGCCGATCCTCGGAGGTTGTATGGGGCCGGTCGGGTGGTCTGTCGCTTTGGCTTCGCCTTGGGCATGCCAGAGAACGAATGTCGTTGGTGCCTGGCGACGTGTACCTGTGAAGCGGCGGTCGGTCAGGCCAAGTCGGTGGCGCGGTCGTGTCTATATTAGATCTGTCATATGCTCATGCCGACCATGGCCCGCGCGACGAAATTCACTCAACGAAGGACTTAGTGGTTGAGAAGATTCGAGCCTGAACAAGGACAACCTCTGTCTTAAGAACATTGACATCCACAAGTATCAAACACAAGGTTGAAGCTCAAACACTCCGGCGTCAATTTCACATCGTGGACATGAAACGGCCACTCTTGGAGATCCCGTATCTTGCGTGAACGTTGACATAGTCGGAGTATACATCTGTACATCTCGGCAGTGCAGTTTCAGGACATGCTCGAGAGCTTTGTGGCTGTAAAGGAGATGTCCTACCATATTGGCTCGAGGTACAGCGGATGGGTATTCGAAACCGCGCTTCTCAAGACAGCCTAGGGCTGTGTACATTGTCTAGCGAAGAGGCTCAGCAATGCGGAGAGTATAGTTGTTCCGCTTAAGCGTTGTCAGCCAGTCACGTTTCGAGCGCCGGCGGCTGTTGGCGAGGTCATAGCCAGGAGAGGTGTAGCTCCCGCGCCTTTGCGGAGCGAAGGGACTCGGAAGGAGGCACAGTCGAACAGGTGGGCCCTAGCCGTCTGCTCAGGAAGAGCGGGATGACGCTGGGTTGATGATCGCGCTGTCGAGCGTCAGTATCGCCGCCAAGAACGAATCTCAACAGCAGTAAACCTATGTTGCAGCACGTTAGGAAAGCAACCACGTTCATCGCCTTACCGCGACCGAAACATTTCGATCGTAAACTCATCAGATCTGAAGCATATCTTGGGCGAGCGACGACCGAAGGAGCAAAAATCGAAGGCACAACGCGAAACATCATTGCCGCTGAAGGTAGGCGCTTATCGTGCATCTGCCAATTTTAGTCCGAATTTGCTCTTACTATCTCCCGCGTCAGGGGAGACGGGACGGATTCAAGCGATTGGCAGACGTGAATACCAGGGCATCTGATAGTATTGCATGATATAGGGGTACCTCTGTCTGCGCTCAAGGTAGAAGAGGAAGATCGTAGTGCAAGTACGTCGAAAGAAGACGTCGTTCCTGCCAAGGCCCAGGGGTTTGGCCGCGGCAGGCGTGACCCACTTTGCATCGATCCTCCTCGGATTATTCTTCCATGCAAGCTGTTGGGGGCTATGCGGCGGCAACGTGCACCCTCGTCGTAGGGTAAAATCGATGGGGCAGACTTCATCAATGGCAGAGAAGTCAAAGATGTCACTGGAAGTTGCTTTGAGAAGATGCTACACGATGATTTGCTTAATCGAATATATTTGTCTATGTATGTAGTAAACCCTGCAAAGTATGCCTTGTAATTACAATGCCAAAGCCCATGAATGTACAATATGCGAAGTCGTGTGCTTCATTTCAAGTCCGGCCGTCGGACTGATTAGAATGTCATGAAAGGATCGTGCGTGGCCAACTAGCCGGCCACAAATTCGTTATGTCACTGCTTGTCTGACATGCATTAGTTGGCATCGCCCCAGCCGTTGCCGCTCTGGCTAGGCTTAGGTGCCGCGCTTGACTCAGCAAGAGGCGCAGCAGCAGACGTTGCTGAAGCCGGACCCTTGTTGTCCTGCCATCCACTGCTGACCGCACCAGACGAAGAAGCAGGCTTGGGCACGCCAGTGGGTGCGACTGGTGTTCCTGCTGGAGTAGGCTTGCTTGCAGGACCGTTATTATCTTGCCATCCACTGCTCGCAGCAGCAGATGATGCAGCAGGCTTTGGTACACCAGTGGGTGCGACTGGTGTGCCCGCTGCTGTCGGCTTCCCTGCAGGGCCGTTGTTGTCTTGCCAGCCACCGGCACCTGCCGCACTTGAGGCGGAGGGCTTAACAGGCGCAGCAGGAGCGCTGGGCTTGACCGTTGGTGTGCTAGAAGTCTGGCAGTTGGATCCGCAAGCTGTGACGGTGACAGTCACTGTGCTGGCAGCACAGGCTGGGCCTTGAGATCCAGCGACGGGAGTTGGCATCACCGGTGCTGCCATGCTGCTCTTGTCTCCCCATTGCTGACCATTGCCGCTGGGTGCTGGAGCAGCTGATTCGGGACCTTTAGGAGCGCCAGCTGCACCGGCAGGTGCAGTGGGCTTAGGCGCCTGAGAGACATCAACCCAGGAAGAAGCTGAAGATCCCGCCGGCTTTGGTGGTGCTGGTGCACCAGAGCTGCCGACCGGAGCTGGCTGAGTTGGCTTCGGAGCCTGAGACTGGTCGCCCCATCCTGCAGAAGATGCCACGGGGATAGCGGGAGGAGCTGGACCAGAACCACTAGCAGCTGGCTGAGATGGCTTAGGAGCCTGAGGAACATCTCCCCACGAGGCAGATGATGAAGCAGCTGGGGCCTTCGGAGTCTGCGAGACGTCGCCCCACTTCGCAGCGGACGAGGATGGAGCAGGCACCTTAGGTGTCTGCGAGACATCACCCCATGCTGGAGCGGACGAGGACGCAGCTGGAGCCTTTGGTGTCGAGGAAATGTCTCCCCATGTCACAGCGGACGAGGAAGCAGTTGAAGCCTTCGGTGTCGAGGAAATGTCTCCCCATGTCACAGCGGACGAGGAAGCAATTGAAGCCTTCGGTGTCGAGGAAATGTCTCCCCATGTCGCAGCGGATGAGGAAGCAGTTGAAGCCTTTGGTGTCGGGGAAATGTCTCCCCATGTCGCAGCGGACGAGGAAGCAGTTGAAGCCTTTGGTGTCTTCGAGACATCGCCCCATGTTGAGGCAGTCGAAGACGATGCTGGAGCCTTGGGTGTCTGCGAGACATCGCCCCACGTTGAGGCAGTTGAGGAAGATGCTGCAGCCTTGGGTGTCTGCGAGACATCGCCCCACGTCGAGGCAGATGAGGAAGCAGCTTGCGCTGGAGTTGTGGTAGTAGACTGCTCAGGCACGTCGCCCCATCCCTGCGATGAGGCTGGTGCTGAGAGAGCAGCGCCGCTCAGGGCGAGCACAACGAATGGTGAGTAACGCATGATTATCTTGGCGAGCGAGTGTAGGAACGAGTGACACTGCTAATTAGCTAGAATAGTTGAGTTGGATGAAAGACTTGGATCAAGCAAGACAGCATGAGAAGAGCTTTATACACCTGCTCTGCTATGAGTACGCCCTCACTCACCTGCGATTGCGTAGCACGTTCCCGGGCCTCGTCAACCGATTCAACGGTCTTGCACGTGGAGTCATGGATATCCCACCGAACGCAACAAGAATCGCAGGGTTCTCCAGCTGAAATCCCAGACAAAGACCAGGAACGGGAAACCTCATCGAAGATCATCTTGCTGCGTCTTCCGATTGTCTCAGGCCGGCTCGAGTCGCTCGGAGTCTGCACTTAACAATGAGCCGTTACAATGCACACCAATTCGCAAAGATCAAGTACGCATCGAACTGTTGCCAAGCCGGCCAGGTGTTGAAGACGCGGCTCTGCGATGCCTTTGCGTGTTCTTTGGCGCAATCAAGTCGCCGTACACTCTGCAAGGTCGTCCAAAACCATAGCAGTCACTCGCACCAATCCCCTGACTGTTGCTGCGCACGGAAAAGCATGAGGTCGATGGTGGGAGGCGTAGCCAGACACAACGGACTGGACGTGGGCGTAGGAACCATCATGGAGCCTAACTACGCTGGAGCAAATGCAAGACACAGCGTACTATGATGTATGTGAAGTCAAAGGATGAAAACTTTGAGGACGTCGGAGAGGTTAAGCCGCATCTTACGCGTTCAACTTGTTGCAGGCTTCATGAGCACGTGACCTAGACCATCCGGCGGCTCCTACGGATAAAAGAGGCGACCTCTAAACACAGCCACATCCGGAGCGTGGAGACGACGAACATCGCTTCGTAATGTGAGACATGCTGCTTTCTTTCCATCACAACTTTAATCGACGATGTGCTCATCGATATCCGTGAGTCGATGCCCGTCCGTCAGATCAACGATATCTATTCCGGTGCTTTGGAGTCGCCTCAACAGCTTGGGACTATCGAGCCCTTAGGATTCTAAACGCGTCGAAGCTCTGCCTCTTGCGTATGGCACTCGTCCACCGTGTTATCACGTTCATCGGAAGATCCGAGTCCCAGCCGCTGCGGCCAATCTCATGACTTTGGCTCAGTTGCTGCTTGCTGATGATGGCTATTCCTCAATGTGAACAAAGCTGAACCTCAAGAAGCACATGGATATGTGTCCGACTCTTCATTTATGCCGCTCTGGTGTCTTCCAGGGATGGAAAACGACAGAAAGTCGATCTATGTCTGCCGGTTTCCTTGATAAAGGCCGCCCTATGCATCGGAAGCTTCTGTCGCTTTCTGGAAGCGCCCCATTGAAAGCAATGCTTGCATACAGTGGTTGTCGTAGTGCAACAACGGTGATAGACGCTTGCGAGCAGAGCAAACACGAGTATATGATGGTTGTATTGACACCTGAGCAAAGTAGTCCGCTCAACACCATACATAACTCAGCAAATTCGACACGACAACATCCACGAACTCGGCTTCGAGAATGGCTGCGCCAACCGCGGACTTCTGCACGTGTCGTATGTGCAACGGCATTCGGCAGAATGTTGCCAACATCGATCCCGCATATGACCAAACACTCCATTCCAATCCGAGGATGGGGTTATCTCACAGTGCCCTCCTTGCCCGGTTCACCGAGGATTTTCGAGCTTACCTCAAAGTTGTCAATCTACACAAGCGATCTAGAATCGAGAACGCTGAATTGAGAGTCCGGGAGCTCGAGTTGGAGGTCAGAAGGATTGAGTTGGAGCAGCAGAAGGCTAGGCTTACACGGCGGCCATCGAGGCTGTGAGGATGCCGAGTTCGTCAGCAGTTCTAAGTACGTGCACCTCCCAGCACCGACTCACCTTGTTCAGGACTAAGTTGGCCGTAGTCGAGCCTCGCCGAGTACACTTCACTGCGGAGCGGTAGAGGCCTGGCGAATCGGACAGTTGTCGCCAAATAGGAGAACGCAAGCCGAGCAGCAACCATGAGCAGCGGCGAAACAGACCTCGGGAGTTTTTGATCAGGACGCATGGACAAGAATGGTTCGATGAATCGAATTAGAGAATGGGAAGAAGTGTTAATGCTCAACAAGAAAGGGGCACTGCTCAAACGTATGAGTATCCTTCCATTGTAGATTTGGTTGTTGTTTGCAGGTGAAAAGCTCGAGCCTCGCCATTTGGCATGTTCGTTGCCTGGCGGCAGTGAAGAAGGATCAGTGACAAGCAGGCCGGGTCTGATATCTTGGCAAGGACATCAACTACATATTATTCGATTCTTGGTCAAATCCTCCATCCACCACAATACAAACCACGCAACCCTCGAAACACGCACCGCCTCCTGACGTTGATCTTTCCGAAAGGTTTACGAGCCGTTACCACAATTCGCAATTCATAATGTTTGGTCAATCACGTGAAGAGCCAACTACCTCGATCCTGAACTTTTCCACATCCTCAGAGCCTTTCAAGCCTAGCCATCGAGAGCCGCCTCGCGCGAAGAACTGGAAACAGTACGACGACACCATCGGTTACTTTGTCTACCCACCACATTTTCGTCCTCCAGACTATCCACGGCCGTTGCCCGGCCAGCCAGACGCCCCTCCACAATCCACCACGAGCCCGTTCAGCTTTGACAGCACCAATGGTGCCCAGCAGAGTCAGTCGAGCTCACTTGAACAGAGCAGTGACAGCGGCGCATCGCATTGTGCTGCTCAACATACACAAGCTTCGAGTCCCGTCTTCTCCTTCGGCGAGCCTACTGCTGCACCGCAACAGCCTCAAGCTCCAAGACCCGCTTTCTCCTTCGGCGCGCCTGCTGCTCCACTGCAACAATCCCAAGCTCCAAGATCCGCCTCCTTCTTCTTGGGCGCGCCTGCTGCTACGCCGCAACAACCCCAAGCAACAGGATCTGTCTTCTCCTTCGGCCCAGCTGCTGCGTCTGCTCCCCAGCTAAAGCCAGAAGGAGCGCCAGTCTTCAACTTCGGAAATGCTGCTACATCCGCGCAATCGACGTCGACTCCTGCCCCGGTCTTCAGCTTCGATAGAGCACCACCGGAACCTGTCGTACCGCAGCGGGCCACGTCATTCACGTTAGCACGATCTGTAAGCGAGGTGCCAGCAAAATCCGCAGCACCACAATTGTCCGAGCCCTCGTCAGAGGATGAGAAGAAAGACAACCTGAGTATGTCGCACAACAAGACCTCGCTCCAAGCCGCTGCCGCAATGGCGCCAATTGGTCGCATTTGCGAGTGCTGCATGTGCAATGAGATCCGCGAGATTGTTGTCAACATCGACCCAGAGTTCGCCCGAACGGAAAAATTCGGCACAGGCAGGGTACAGGGCATGGACCACACCAAACTTCTCAACAACTTCAACAGCGACTACCAGACATTCCTTCAGGCCAAGAAGATGAAGATGAAACAAGATATCGAGATCGCTGAACTGGAAGTCAGAAAGCTTGAGTTGGAGGCCAGGAAGACTCTGTTGCAGCACGAGAAAGCTCATACCGCAGGTAAAAGCAACGGATTGGCAGCAGTGGGAGCTAGCCAAGCTGATAGTCTTGGTTGCCAGCCCAATTGACTTACGCTTGAGGACATCTGACGGGCAACAAGTCAGCGGTTTTCGGTAAGACGATCCTGCAGCTGCGTCAATACATATATATCTGACACATCACTAGGTCGCGAAATGAACCAGGTACACTCTATCACAGAGCGGTTAAAGGCTTGAGCAGCCCCATGGCTATCGTCATAGTCGAGAAGGAGTCTGGCCAATCGAAAGGGTTACACATATTCCGTTGAAAGATCAGTCTGAGCGGGACAAAAAACGAAGAGCGGCAAGACAGGGGATGGTCTCCATCTCAGAGCACCAGGACTTTAGAGTCGCCCAAGCATAAATAGCTACGAATATTCGCTGAGGTCTCGGAATCTTGCAAAGAGCTTCGGGCAAGCTCGGGACCCGAACGCTGCGTTGACTCATGCCATTTGACCACTCGGTAACAGGCACGACAAGAATTCTGACAACCATGTTCGAAATCAACGTCTCTGCAACTGCGCAACTCTTGTGACTGAGCAACCTCTTCCTCATTCATCACGCAACACGTTCGTCGACCAAGGCACTTGGAGAACTACACCAGGACTGCTTCAAACCATGCCCTCCCAACAGGACACAGGTCCGTGCGACTGTTATATATGCGATCAGATTCGTACACACGTCGTCAACATCGACCCCGAATTCACTCGAACCGCAACGCACGGCATGAATCATGAAAGTCTCCTGACACGCTTCACCACTGACTACCAGACCTATCTCAAGACCATGAAGACTTCGGATCTCCTGAATGCCCAGGCGAGAGTCAATGTCTTGAAGTTGGAGGTAAAGAAGCTGGAGTTAGAGGTCAAGAAGGTTCAGCTACAGAATGAGAAGGATGCCGCTTAGTTCAAGAAATTGCAGAATGAAGATGAGCTGGCTCGGTATAAGAAGGAGAAGGGTTTCTGATGTGCGGAAGCGAACTGGGCCGGCATCATGGTCGATGACCGACGCACTGGTGAGTGGTTTTAGAAGCCATTGACCTGCTGACTGTCCACGTCCATAAGACTGACGGGGCAGTAGCGAACGCTACCATGTGGGCTCCATCACAGGACGGCAGAGGCCTGGACAGCCGCATAGTTCTCGTTATCGAAGATCGTCACGAGTCGAAGGGATCATACATCAGCTTTCGAAAAGTACGTTGGGGAGGACTGCAGCAGCCGGGATGCATCGATCGGTCAACAAGCCTTGTCGAAGTGGCATGATGGTGGGTTTTTGGAAGCTCAGGACAGCAGGGTACAAGCACAGAGAAATACGAAGCGATTTGGGGCTCGAACTCACTAGAAATGACATTGTTGTGAGATTGACGTTGTGTTGAAGGCCAGGTGACGAACATGATGACCTTGTCACTTATCAACGTTCAAGAAGAATCTTTGACAAACGAATCGAGAATAAACATCTTGGCAAGTACTTATTCTAAATCTTCAACTCTTGAGAAGTTTTCACGTCCACCACGCAACACGTCTCCAGGCCAATGTCAGACAACCCTCTATCAAGATTCGCTCCAGCCATGGCCGCGTGGATGTCATTCAACGCCCCCATATGCAAATGCTGCATGTGCCAAACCATCCGTCAAGATCTCGCCCACATCGATCCTGGATTTGATCGGACGTCGAGGCCTGGCAATGGTCCTCTGCGAGGCATGGATCATGTCACCCTTCTCTACCGATCATTGACCGAGTATCCTGCTTACCTGCGCGCCATGAAAGACAAATTGGACTTCGATCTTCACACTGTCGACACCAACATCAAGATGGCCAACTTAGAGGCTAAGCGGGAGCTGGACCTCAGTCTTCACAAGGAGGAGGTCGAGATCAAGAAAGCCGAGTTAGAGGTCAAGAAGCTCGAACTCGAGATCCGGAAGGCTCATTTGGAACGCGAGAAGGCGGAGATCCTGATCAAGCAGGAGACTTAAGTTGAGTTACGAGATGTAGCTTGACTACACACGGCACAAGAAATGGTGAGTGGTCTCTTCACGCGCTGGGTCAGTTCGTGTTCAAGTCTAATATGCATCTAGCGAGATGTACCAGGTACGCTCCATCACAGAGCGGTAAAGGCCTGGACGGCGACATAACTATGCCATCATTGTCAAGGAGAACAGCTAGCAGAGCGAAAGGGGTCACACATTAGTCCAGGCGAAGCAGGGTCTTGGAGGATCTAATCAGATAGCATATCATGGGCCTTTCAAGCACAAGGATCCTCGCAGCACAGGGTGACACTCTCAGTCGCCAACCACCAGCATCCTGGTCGCCCACATGCACAGATAGATCAAGGTTGAAATCTCGAGGTCAAGGAGTCCTCCGGACTACTCAGATAACACGGGCTCGAAGATTGCAGACGAGTAGGGACGCCATGTCCGGCGCCCTCAGGTGACAAGAAATAGGTAGCCTCGTCACTCATCAAACTCGTTGCCTAGCAGCAGTGAAGCCAACCTCCGACAAACGGAAATTCGAAGAAACGGACAAATACAGCGCAGCTCTTGACCTCCGGAACTTGTTTGACTTCTTCGTCCGCCACACCACAGAGTCCGCCTCGATTAAAAAGCATAGACATTACCTACTTGATCAACACCATGCCGACATTCGCTGAGAAGTGGAAGCACGAGACTGGCCAAGCCTTCGACCCCGATCACGCTGCCACATGTGCCTGCTTCCTTTGCGATAGTATCCGCAAGACCCTCCAGTCCAGCCTAGATCTCAGCTATGGTGCCGAAATCAAAACGTGGGCGGATGAACACGAAAAACTTACCGATCGATACCAGACATATCTCAAGATCTGCAAGGAAGAGCTGAACTTCGACATGCACGCCGCCAAGCTGGACGTCAAGAAGTCAGAACTGGTCGCCAAGCAGACTACTCTGATCGCCGAGGCGGAGGTCAAGAAGCTGGAGATGGATGTCAAGAAGCTGCGATTGCAGGTCGAGAAGGCTGAACTACAGTCCAAGCTGGGGAAGCGTCCGATCAAGGAAGAAGATACGGACATCTCTCTCTGAGACCAGCGACCAGGCAAGTGGCCCCCTGGAGGCCTTCGCAATGACTCTTCAGCTGACCTGGCGTGCCAGCACAGCGATGAATCCCCAGGTACGCTCCATCACAGAGCGCCAAAGACCTGGAAGATCGGCCAGCCGTCAGCAAGCAACCGTGGGCAGAATTTCGATCCGATGCTAGCAACAGCGAAGGAGATGTGAGGAGGGATTCGGTCCACCCAGATAGACAAATGAGGCACAGCCGGAAGCGCAGTCTCGGACAGACATCGACGCTGATTTTCGTTCTCGCCCTCCGGCAAACTAATGACATCGCGTCGAAGCCGAAGCTCAGTCCATACTCGAGTCAAGCCGGATCGCAGCGCATGAGGCGTTCCCTCCGCAAGACGAATGAAGATGACATGTACTCCACAAAGCCTCCATCCTGATCCTCCTTATCTGCCAATGCATGTATCCCTGTCTCGGCAGCCCAACAGCTGACACTGTCCGTATTTCTTGGCCTAGGCACTGAAGCACCGGAAGCACGCGCTGACAGCACCAGCGAAGTCCTGGGGAAGTCCAGCAAAGTTGGTTCGATCGACAGTAGGCAGCGCCAGAAGCGACAGGACAGAGCAAAGCAACATCATGTTGAAGTATTCATATTCTCGATATAGTATTTTCCACACTCATCTCCCAAGAGCAAGAGTCGTTCAGATAGTCCTGCTTGCTCAGAGGGTCATCATGACACTGTGTTCCACCATCCGGCACCGAGTCCATGCCGTGGAGAAAGCCTGTTCTGTCCAGCTACCAACCATTAGATATCCAAGCCAAAAGTCGTTACGTCGTCAAGACCAATCTACCGAGACCTCTCATCGTCTCTGCCACCGTCTCTCCTCCCTGCTCACCTTCCCATAAGCCTCATAGTACCCATCCTCAGTAATCGGACTCACAGCATGAACCCTCGGATTATCATCAAACGACAATTGCCGCCTGGTCGCGCTAACAACACTTCGATCCTTCTTCAAGATCGACCGCGCAGAACTCTGGTTCGAGTATGCGTACGTTGGCTGCTGCATAGTCGAGTACCCCCTCTGGTTCAACCGGGTGTTGCGGGCGGTTGGGCTGATTGGGCTTGGAGAGATGGGCGAGCGAAGGGGTGCTTTGATGCTGAGGGAGGGACGGGCTTTTGCTGGGGAGGAGGCGGCGGCGGCGGTGTTGATGCTCAGGGAGAGCTTGGGCTTCATGGCGCGGGATGCTGGGAGCATTTTGGCTGTATAGTTGATGATGTTGGTCTGGTGGTATGCTAAAGATTGGGCTTGTTGCGTCCAAATTGAATGCAGCGACGATGACTAGTAATTATGGTTGGAATTGACTTGGTGGTGTATAAAGCGCTGATGATGTCGTGGTATGTATTTTTGTTGTATGTATAAGCGGCAGTAAGATTGATTGGACCAGCCAATTCAGTTCGCAAAAAGACAGGAATAGTAACAGACACAGAAAAGTATAGGAGAGCCTCAAACAGTCAATGTTCGATGAACAAGAAACAAAAAGTGGGTGAAAGCAAGGTCTGTGGGCGGCTATAAGTATATGAAAAGAAGTCGACCGTCGCGGTCGCAGAGGCGGTTGGGACGAGTGAGAGGTCACAAAGTGATCGGAGGAAAGTGTGGGGGACCCTGCGTGCAACTCGCTTCGCACTAATGCTTGCGATAGTGCCGAATCAACTTCGCGAGCCAATCAAGCGGCTGGGGTAGGCGCCTTGTCGCCCTTTCCAGGATGGTTGGAAAGTATCGATCAATCGTTCTGCTGGTATCTGAGTGCTTGTGTTGCCTTATGCATCGACGGAAAGGTGATATTGGTTCCTGTTGCAGTGACCAGCAATCAAGGGCTCCGTCCAGGCCCGAAGCGAGGCCTTGATTCCAATCGAGCTCTTCTCCGCCCGTTATCGCATGCATAAATCGGAATGCCTGAACATCGTATACTGCATAGTCGACTCACTACCGCATGGCGAAGCTCAGTGAGATAGACAAGAGACAGGGATGCATGCAGTTGCGAATGATGTATTCAGCGTAGCCGAGCTCAGTACTTCCGACTTCGCTCGTAGCACGGCGTCTGCAATGTGCTGTACTCGACCGAGTAGCTCAAGTCTTACCAGCAGGAGCGTCCTCGCCTTCGACCACCGCGTGGCACAATTCAACCTTGATCCCTGCACCCAGCATGACTGAGATCCAAAGACGCTGGGTATCGCTGAGCCGATCGTTGATGGATTTCACCTCCGCGAACATGACCTCGCCAGGTGTACCACCATCCTCACTGGGTGGCTTCCAGAGAAACAAATCAGGCACCCCACCGCCTCGTGCAGCGTATTCCTGGGCCATCACCTGCATGATGGTGCCAAGTGCCTGGCCTGGGAAACATCTCGCAATCTCCAGCAAGTCATCCAAATCGTAGTCATCCCATCGCACGCCCACGATACATGACCGGCGTTCGAAGTGCTCAGCCCAAGTGTTGCGAATTATTTCTTCAGCCATGTTATTACTCAGATCGTTGACACGAGCATTGATTTCGCTGATGCGCGCCGAATAGAATGCGTCTGTGTGTAGATCCAGCGGACAAGTCTGATAAGCGGTCTGAAAGACGTTTGGCAGATATGTGAAGAGCACATCGCTGAACAGTAGACCGAATAATGTCCGCAGAATCGAGCCTTCCGAGTGGTAGCCTTTCCAGCCTAGAACGTGGCGGTAGTGTGACAAGCACATCAACTCGACCGACACGGGCTCGTTGGTATCATGCACATCCAGCCACACAGTTTTCGCGCCCGGACCACCTGTACTGTTCTTCCGACCAGGAGTCACCTCGTGTTCGATTTTGGTCCCGACCACCGCTCGTTCGCCAGCTTTTGCGAGGAGGACATGCCCAAAGTCATGCTGCTCTCGCATCGGGATCCGCAATTGTTTCTCGATCTTCCGAATCCGTTTCTGTAAATCGTAGTGATATATGATGTGACATTCTCGATCTTGCAGACCTTGCTCACATGTCTGGAGGGCGATTCGCTTCCAGTGCTTCTTGTTCGCTTCCTCGGATCGACCTTCGGCTGGTGTCAAAGCATACAGGTAGTGCTCTTCGAGAAGGGCCTTCCGCTGATACCACGCACCCCGTCTGGCTGCGTGGAAGAGGCGTTGATCGAGCAATTCTGTCATCAGCTCATGTTCTCTTTTGTGCTGTTTGAATCGTGCTAGGGGATATTGTGCTTTGTGCACTATTCGTGTGTACACCCACGCTGGACTGAAGCGGCGAAGGTAAGCGCCTTCGCCTGTGTCGTAGATCCGATCTTCTTTCTCCTGCTCTTTCGCCAGCAGAGTGACCCACCGAGGGTACACGGCTTCGAAGATGGTCAGTACTTGTTCAAAGTCCTTCTTACCTGGTGTGCCATTGAACTCAAGCATGTTATCGACCGCGAACTGCGTCCTGAGGCTTGCTTCGAATTCAAGCAACAACGGTCTGCTCTCGAATATATTGTTCGATCGGCTGACGATATACTGCGGAAAATTGCGACGGGAGATCTTAGCTAGAATGAGGACAGTCAGCGACTTCTCCGTCCATTCCGTGTCGCGATAGAAGACCAAGTGTACTCTTTCGAAGAGCTTCAGTGGTGCAATCGAAAGTCGAATACAACGCCCCGTCTGGTCCAGAATCTTCCTAGTGAAATGGGCATCACGATTTGATTCGATCGAGTCGTCACCGTTCTCGTCACACTTTGGCGTACTCGTGCCAGAGCCCGTGGTTTCGACTGACTCTTCTGTCTCGGTCCTGGAGAGTGACCGGAAGCCCAGTCCACGCTGTCTCCCACTGCTTCGCCGCAGATTCTGCAGCAGTTCTCGCTTGTTCTTGCCCTGGACTTTGGCCTCTTTGGCCAGTGCTTTCAGTTCATCGAGAAGGAGAAGGCTGCCGGCTTCATCGAGTGTCGTGATGTGCTCAGAAGAGCATTCCGCGAAAGTGAAGTCTTCCCCCAACTCATTTCCTTCTGGCACTTCAAGCTCCCCAGGATTCTTGAAGTCGCCATCTTCGACTTTTGGCAGATCTCGGACCTTCTGCAACGACTCCACAGCAGTATTCATATCCGCAATGTCGCCATAGTACTGTAGATCTTTGACTCGAAACCACTTGCTGGTCTTGCGCAGAAACAACCGGACGTAGAGGTATTGAGCTTCGTATTCCAAGTCACGCCATTCCTTGAAGAGGTGCTGCTCGGCCTCGTTGAACAGGTGTGCCTCTTCCTCGAGTACAGTTTCCAGAGCGAGATTGAACGCATCGACATATATGCTGCTCTTGCCGCGCACCCACTTCCTGCTCTCGAGTCTCGATTGTGTCGTGTCATCAGTATCTGCTTGACCAGCCTTATATGCTTCGTAAGCCTCAATGGCCTCATCATCGGTCTGAATAGGTGGCAGAACGGTCTCAAGCTGTGTCGTTCTGCTGTTCCCATCGCTAGGCGCTGCTACGTCAGCGATACCGTCCTCATCCTCCGAGTCCGGAATCTCAGTTTTTACTATAGGTGATGAGCCATGGCCTGCTCCGGGACGATTCTTCCTCGGACTAATCGGCTGCGTTTTCCGTCTCTTCGGCGAGGGTGTAGGGAAATCGTCATTCCAATTCGTAGAGGCTGGATGTGGAATCTTCTGCCCGCGCATCTGATTATGGTGAGAGGGCGAACGCTGTTGAAGAGCCATCTGAACCTACTCAGGATCCCCTGAGTCCAGACTGCGAACTCGGTAGCATCAGCATCGCAGCTAGCGAGGAGTACTCGATCTGAGATCGTGGAGATCATGAAAATCGAGAACGCGTGACGTAGCGCATTGACGCGCCGACACGTGAGCATTTCGTTCACTGCCTGATCCAACATCACCATCACTCTACTTCGTGCTCACGTCAAGTTTACCAGGGATAAAGTTGATCTTAACCCGGGCATTCTTGTGTCTCGTGACTGCCGGTTGAGAGCACCGGTCGTGACTTTCGCTACGTATTTTGGGGCAAGGCAGGAACGCTCGCGGCAGTGGAAAGTACGTCTCAGGATTCAAGTTCTGCGCATGCATCATGGCCAGAGTTGCCCTCTCTCAACGACCCATTCTCCTGGACTGAGAATGACTATGGTGCTGCAAAGACACTCTGGGAGCGCTTTTACGTCCGATCGCTCGCACACACAGTTTGGGCATGTGCTGCACGAAGACTTGCCTACCTCGACTCAGGTAAACAGAAATCGCCGAAGCAATCCCTCCCCACTTTAGCTATCACCAACAAGTCTTCAAAATGACTTGCATGAAGCGCACCAAACAATGGCGCGAACCTCAGATCGGACAAAATGTCCTCGCCGGAAATTCACGGCCTGCCAAAGATTTCACCGCAATCCTCTGGACATCGCACGCTTGAACCTCTAGATCGACCTCATGTCGCCAAGTCAGCCTCTGATTGGTCGCTCCCACTGTCTACACTGAATAACACTCACGACGGGAATGCATTTTCAACATCTGTGTCCCTCCACGAGCGATTCGCCCCACGTGCGTATTAGTCTGGACGACCGCACACACACGAGCAAGATGTTGTTGTGTAAGATTGCGCCAGTAGTGCACGCCGGTAACGCTTGTTGGGTCATGGGACACGCTCCGACGAAGGTTGCGCGGATACATGAAAGGTATGTAAAGGTAGAGCGAGTGCGAGGCAAGGAAAAGTGAGTCCTTTTGACCTTGATGATATGTCGGAACAAGAATCGCGACAAAGGCCAGCCGGTGAACAGGAACAACGTCCACGACCGTAGTCGGATCGGCCACTGGTAACGACAATCGCAAACAGACGTCCGGTCTGTGTCACGGATCAACGGTCGCACGCGGCCAGTCCGCAGTCATGGGCGTCGCCACCGAGACCGCCGGCGAGAAGACTCCCATACTCCCCCAACACGAATCCCTCCATCCCAGTACCACCAAATCCCAAAGCAACCGCAACACATTCCCTGCGCACCTCCGCAACAAACGAATACTCCTCGCCACCGAATCCCTTGGCCCAGTCAACGGCGTCAGCCGCACAACCCGCAGCCTAATCGAGTACCTGCGCGCCAATGGCGCCAACGTCGCCGTCGTCGCGCCACGGCTCGACAACGAGAAGCGCTTTAACCTCGGCAGCCTTGCATCCGCAAACGTGCGCCTGAACGGCCAGCCCCTCCCATATAATCCAGACTTGACTGTTGTCCACCCCTTCCGCTATGACCGTCTATGCACACGCACGTTCAAGCCCGATCTCGTGTACCTCGCCAGCCCAGCCTCGGTGGGCTTTCAGTTCCTGCTTCAAATCCGCCAGCTGCAGGAGCCACCTGCAGTAGTGTGTAATTTCCAAACCGACCTCTCCGCATACAGCGAAATCATCTTCCCACCAGGCATGGACAGGTTCGCGGTTTGGCTGTTGGGAATGGTCCAGGGCTTCCTCTTTAACCACCGCTCCGTCTATACCATCTTCTACCCCTGCTCGGACATTCGAAAGTACCTGGAGAAAGTAGGCGCACCACAGTCAAAACTCGCTCAGCTTGGACGCGGCGTCGACACTGTTCTCTTCAACCCCAAACACCGCGATGAAGCCTACCGGAGACAACTCGCGCCCAATGGCGAGATAATCCTAACCTGCATCTGCCGCCTCGCCCCAGAGAAGGGCTTCAAGTTCCTCGCCGAGGCCGCGGTGCGACTATCACAAGCTGATCTGCCCTTCAAACTGCACATCGTAGGCGGCAACCGCAACCCGGCGGTTGAGCGGGACGTCCAGCGCTATTTCGACAAAGTCAAAGACCGCGTAATCTTCTCCGGCTTCCTCACCGGCACCGACCTCGCGCGAGCGTACGCCGCAGCGGACCTCTTCCTGCACTGCTCCATCACCGAGACCTTTGGTCTAGTCGTGCTGGAGGCAATGGCGAGCGGCATGCCCGTAATCGCGCGCGACCAAGGCGGCCCGTCTGAGATCGTCAGAGACGGAAAGACAGGCTACCTCGTCCCGCCGAACGACCTGGACGAGTTCGTGGAGCGCACGCTTCTCCTCTCCCGCAACCACATCCTCCGCGCGGAAATGGCGGCAGCAGCGCTAATCCAAGCAAACGACACGACCTGGGACAAAATCAACCAGCGCGTAGCGTGGAATCTAGCTGATGGGATCGAGTGGAATGCGGCACAGCAGCTTGAACGAAGACGACCGATACGGAACTGGCTGTACAGGCGGTGGCACCATCTGAAGCTGGTATTGGTGCTGCCGTTGTTGCAGCTGCTGAATCTACATGCGGCGATTGGGGTGGTGTGTTTGTTCTGGATCATTGCGGTGTTGCCGTTGATGGTGCATGGCAATAGTAGATTCTTCTCGGGGTTGGGCTTGAAGAGCGTGTTGAGTGGCGTGAGAGGCTGGATGGTCCGAGCGAGTCTGCCATTACCGAAGCGTTAATTTGTCGAGCTCTTGGGAATTGGAAGGAACTCTGAGCGTGCCGGGGATTGGAGGTCTCGCAGAGCCGTGTCTCTTCTTTCTGTGATGTCTTCCTGCAGGAGAATCCATCTTCGTCGACTGAGGTTCATTCCACGGAGTCCAATCCGCACGATGAAGATGCAGTTTTCACAACCGTGCCGAGCATCACGCTCACTCCACACCCTTGCCGTTGATCTTCAATTTGTCCGTCCTCTCCGCATCCCGTCTCAAGACGCCAACAATCCACTCTTTGCCCTCCTTGCTCTCCCTGATCCCATACCCGAACGCCAATGGGAAACAATGCATCTGACCCTCCCACACCATCCACTCGCCTTCCACCTGGTGCTCTTTCAGCTTCTCTATGAACAGCTGGTCGTCCGGCGCGAGTAGGTCGTACGTCCCCACCAGGCCGTTGACACGGATATCGGCGCGCTTTACTGGTTCAAAGTCATCGAACAAGGGTGACACGGAGGGATCATCCGCTTTGTCGCTGAGCCAGTGTATTTCTTCGCGACGTCCGTGGTCGTAGCTATGGTCAGAAGAGGCTCATACTTGTCAATCTCGTTGATCTGGGGGTTTTGATTGGTGAGGTCAACTGCCGGTGCCATGGCGAAGACACTAAGGGGTGTGGATGGTGGGGGCGCGTCTTTGGGTCTTTCCGCTGCGCCTTCGACATCCTTGATGTGCATATGCGCCGACGGCTGCTGTAGCTCTTTCGCCCACCAGAATCCTAGACATATCGCCAGGTTCCCTCCGCTTGAGTCGCCTGCTAGGACAACACTCTTGCCCGCCTCGCCGGCCTCACGCATCAGCACGCGCAGTAGACTGTGCAGCATTGGTAGTGTTACTGCAGCAGTGTTCTCTGGCGCAAGGGGGTACGACACAACAGTGAACTCGTGCGTCGCGCTTAGGTCTTCTGCGAGAGCGGCGCATAGCTTCCAGTGGTCTTTGGACGGAGGAGATTGGAAGCCGCCGCCAGCGAAGTAATAGACACTGTGCGTTGGTGCGCGTTTCCTGGATAAAGTAGGGACGAGGGTGTAGAGGTATACATTTTCGACAGATCGGTCCTTGATCGTGACATTCTTGAGGCTCGGTGGTGAGAGCTTTGGAGAACCTGCTGGCCAGGGTTTCTTGGGCATGCCAGCTAGTTTGGGGCGAAGAGGCCGGATGAGGACGCGCATGATGCGGTAGAGGAGGGAGAGGTCATCGCGGTGGGCGATTTTGATGCTGCTGTTGCTGTTCTCGTCGCCATTAGTTTTGCTGGTGCTGTTCATTGTGTTGGCTGCTGGGTCGTGATCGTAGTGTTGCTCAATATGTCACTCTGCTGCTTTCAGTGCATTAGATTAGGTATTATTTCTATAATTCATGTGCTGTGCAGAAGGACAAGAGTGTCAGGGCTCCCCTGCCCTCCCCAGAAAGCATAATGCCAACGCGTCGAACCAAGCAGGCCAAGATCATGACGTCCTTGAGTGCTTCCAAGAACACGGCTGGTTATCTTTTAGGCGGTCAGTGCACTGCTAGGCCTCGCGATCGTCAGGTACAGAGGCTTGTTGGAGATTAGGGTCTTGTCATCGGCTGACTGCTCCGGGCATCGCCTCGATCGCGTATCGGGAGACTTTTTGGGAAGCGAGGCATGCACTTTCGGATTTTGATACCGACTGGTGATGCGGATGGTTCACGGGATTGGTAGCGAGGCCGAGCTCACCGCCATCACCGGCTTAAGAGACAGCAATCTCAGCAGCTGAAAGCCCGCGAGTTGATGACATGCTACAATAGAGTGCCAGAAAGGTAGGACGGTGAGTCAAATCAGAGAAACGCTTCCCTGCTTGAGAAAAGAGCACGTTCGCTAGTGCCTCAACTCTCGTCCAGCAAGCCTTGCTTGCCGAGCGAGATGATCATTGAAAGCGCCTTCTTCCGCTCCTTCTCCTGTTCCTGCTCAATCATGACCTGATAGAGCCCCTTCCGCTTTGACTTCTCCTCAGGCCTCTTCAAAGATTCTGGCAATTTCGAACGGTCGTGAGAGAATGTACATCTGTGACCTCGTCTGCACTTTCCTGTCCGTATGAAATCCCTGCACAGTCGCGACTTCTTCTGGGATGGTTGCACAGACATAGCAGGGACCTGTGTCTTAGTGCTTGCAGTGTCGGGCGGTGTATCGTCGTCGCTGTCTGAGGTGGATTCGCTATCGTCCTCAGACTCGGACGAACTACTAATCGATCCAAGAGAGTCATCGTCAGACACGTCCGCCGGCTTACTACTCGCCTCAAGTCCAGCCTTGAGTGCCGCCTCAGCCGCCTCCAGATCACGCTGTGCTTTGAGTGCTTTGCGACGCAATTTCTCGGCATGCAATTGCGCCGCAAGCAATGCAGTCTCCTTGTACTCCTGCGTCTTCGCTTGCGGCTTGGTACCTGTCTGCGCCTGTTTCTGTTCTCGGAATCGCTTTGTCGCCTGCATTGCCGCAGTCCTTGCTGCCTTCTCATCCTGAAACTTCTTCCGCTTCTCGTCTGCTTCTTTCTTCGCAGCGTCTCGCTTCGCCTGCGTGGGATATCGACGCTTTCTCTCGGCGACCCATGCTGCGATTTCAGCCGGTGTTCGCAGCGCTGCCGTCTGCCCTCCGTACTCGAATTGCAATAGCCGTGGGTCAGATACCGCTGCAAGCTTGCTCTCCTCACCAGCGTCGTCTTCGGACTCGCTATCGTTGGCAGCCGGCGTCAAGCCTAGGGTATTGTTCTTCTTTCTCGGCGGCGCTTTAATCTCTCTCGCCTCGACTTCGGGTAAAGCGGGCTTCGGTGGCAGAATATCCGCTAGACTTGCAGTAAAGCTCGGGACTGCGGGAGCTGCAGGCGGTCTGGCACGCCTCAACGCATCTCGATCGAATGCGGTGGAATGATCTCGCTTTCCATGTTGAAATTTTGGCCCGGTCGAGGACTCTGTTAGGCCTCGATCCTGAAAGTCACGGCCAGTGCCATGAATCGAAGTCCGGTGGAAGTTTCCTCTCGCGATGGATCCACGCCCTCCGCCGTCGCCGCCACGATATTCTCCTCGATGGGATCCCCCTCTGCCGCCTCGTCCGCCGTTGTATGAGCCGCGACTCTGGCCGCGGGCGAATCCGCCACCTCTGCCGCGCACAGGCTGGCCATAATTGTTGCGATTGTCTCCCCAGCCTCCTCCATTCGTTGCAGCTTTCTGGTCTGCGCGTTTGGGCGGCGGGGGAGGCGGAGGCGGAAAAGTGAATGGCTGACCAGACATTGATGGGTTTCACCCTTCTATGCTGTCCGAATAATCATAGTCGCACAAGTGACCCGTTCAAAAATGCACCAGCAACAATAAAGGTGAAGTATATGTAGAGACTTGGTTGAGGTCGTCTAGCCTCCAACACGGACCAAAATATTGTCAACCGGCTTCACCTCGGCTGATTGGGCGCTCTGTCACCAACCTCAGAAAAATATGCCTGGCTGTTGACGTCTGCTTCAAGCAACTCAATGATCACATTTCGACTCTTCCTCACCAGGAATTTGCTCTGAACGTCTTCTCAGCGTTCATTGCCGCGGTCAAGCATTTGACGATGCTTCGAAGATCTAGTCAACCATTACTTCCCGTTCCACATTGTCCCTGAAGCCAAGATGTTCATTCTCGTAGGTCTGTACCGCGGGCAACGGGATACATTATTGACAGAAAGCAAGACGACTTTCACCGACTTGGTACAAATCCTGCCCAGTCAATTTCATATGAAGAACCGCGATGTCATCGAGGACAAGCTCAATGAGAAATACGCCAACAAGGTCTTCCAGAAGGTCGGACTCTGTATCTGTCTCTACGACATCCTGAAGGCATCCGACGGTGTGACGGGCTATGGCACGGGCAATGCAAACGTCAATGGTAGGTCACTGTTGGTGGGATCGGCCTGGATTTGGCGACTGACCTCGCCTCGAAGTTGAGTTCAGAATGATCGTGTTTCGCCCGTTCAAAGGCGAGATCATTCACGGCATCATCAGAACATGCACTCCAAATGGCATTCAGAGTAAGTTCGTTTTCTCTCGATATTCCTCCTCTGACAGCTGGCAGTAACGACCGACTTCTTTCAAGACATCTATGTCCCCAGAACAATGCTGTTCGACGAGTGCGTCTACGATGACACAGAGCAGGTATGGATCTGGCGGCTCGAAGGCAGCGACATCTACTTTGATCAAGGCACGGTAGTGAAGTTGAGAGTGGAGAAGGAGAACTGGAACAGTCTAACAGGTGTTGTTACGGCAGTTGCTACAGACAACGCCGATATTCGGGCGATGGCAACGGCGCCGTACAGTATCGAGGGCAGCATGGCTGAGCCGGGACTGGGAGGCGTCGATTGGTGGTAGTCGACGGGTCCCGAATGGCATGGCGGCAGTCGAGTCACCCCCGACAAGCACTTCAACAATCGGTCCTTGTCGTATGGTTCTTTCTTGAAAAGGAGCTCATCGGCAAGCATGGAAGCAGTAACGATGCTAGCTTCTACATTCTATTCCCGCCAATACGCAAAGGCTCATTGAACGGTACAAGGCGCGAGCATGGCTTCTCTGAAGCGCTAGTTCAGCTGTCAAGTATGGCCTTCCGCGAAGCCAATCGCGTGCTCAAGAGTTCAAGTCGCAATCGACCATCATGTCAGAGCCTTGATCAGTATCTCTTAAGTCATGATCACAGGATGTCGACGCTGCAGGTCATCGAGGAGTCTCGCCCCACCTGAAAGCAGCAGGTGCTATCAGGCATGGCAAACCATCTAGCTCATCATTGCCTCCCTTGAGGGAAGAGAAGGAGAGCATGCCGTGAGCAGGGACACACTTATACCTCTTCGACTGAGGAATGATCCCGAGCCAACCGAGGATGACTGCACTGTCTCGGCCAGAGACATTCACTGCTGTTCAGGTGATTCGTGAATGGTCGTTTGACCGCATAGCGCACGACGGCTGTACCTAAGCTGATAGCAACGCGCGTATGAAGTGGAAAGGCAACTGTAGAAGAGTCTGGTAGGGGCGTGTATTAATCATCCAGGGGCGCGATTTCCCCAAGGTCAGTGCGGGTCCATCGCCTGAGGCACCCCGAGCACGTCATCGAGATTTTGACAACACCCTTGAGCATTTTCATTGTACAAATAAATAATTCACCGAGGACATATATTTCGGACGTCCTTCGAACAACGACAGTCAGACAGGATTCAGGCTCTCTAGAAGTCCCAGCGCAGGTCAAACGATCCTTCGCGCCTGCTTCCCAAGCATCAATCAAGCACCGCTCTCGCTCCTGCTCCCACTTTACGGGTCTCTTGATCAGCGCCACTGATACCGCAAGTGCAATGACACTCTCACCGCGACCTCTCAAGCCGCATGAGCGCATCCTCACAAACGAAGACGGCTGCATAGACACCCCCGTACGGCCAGCTTCACCAGTCCACAACTTCGGTACGCTTGCCGTACATGCTGGTTCACATCACGACCCCGCTACTGGCGCAGTTATAGAAGCTATCAGCTTGTCAACTACCTTCGCTCAGACGGCAGTGGGAAAGCCAGTCGGCGCATATGAATACTCAAGATCTTCAAACCCGAATCGAGACAACTTCGAAGAAGCCATAGCGGCATTAGAGCATGCAAGATATGCGCTGGCGTTTTCGTCTGGCAGTGCTACCACAGCCAATATCCTTCAGTCTCTGGCTTCGGGCTCACATGTGATTTCTGTTAGCGATGTCTATGGTGGAACCCATCGATATTTCACACAGGTACGCGCGAACGACAGAGGGTGATGTACTCGAGCTAACAAGTCACAGGTCGCGTTGGCACATGGTGTCGAGGTCACATTCTCTCCTAGTATCGAGCTGGACGTGAGCGAGCTGATCAGACCGACCACGAAGCTGATCTGGATCGAATCACCATCAAACCCAACGCTATCACTTGTTGACATCCGCGCCATCGCCACTATCGCCCACCAGCACGGCATTCTGGTCGTAGTCGACAACACCTTCCTCAGCAGCTACGTCCAAACACCACTTGACCACGGCGCCGATATCGTAGTCCACAGCGTCACGAAATCGCTCGCCGGCCACTCCGATGTAGTCATGGGCGTCGCAGCCTTTAACTCCGACGAGCTCAAACAACGCCTCACCTTTCTGCAGAACGCCATCGGCGCCGTCCCCTCTCCATTCGACTGCTGGCTCGCCCACCGCGGCCTCAAGACTCTGCACCTCCGTGCCCGCCAACAGTCTCTAAACGCCCTGTCCGTAGCCCGAGCCCTCGAAGCATCCCCACACGTCATCGCAGTCAACTATCCCGGTCTCGACTCACACAAGCAGCGTAAGATCGCCCTGAAGCAGCACCGCGACGGCCTCGGCGGCGGTGTATTGAGCTTCAGGGTCAAAGGCGGCCATCAAGCCGCGGAACTGTTCTGCCAGAGCACGAAACTCTTCGTGCTGGCGGAGAGTCTGGGTGGCGTGGAGTCGCTATGTGAGATTCCTTCCGCGATGACGCATGCTGGTATTCCGAAGGAGAGTCGCGAAGCGATTGGCATCTTCGATGATCTGGTGAGGTTGTCGTGTGGCGTCGAAGACGCGGAGGATCTGGTGAGAGATGTGAAGGATGCGCTGGCGGCGGCGGTTGTGGGCCCGAAAATCACGAACGGATTGAAGACCAATGGGGCCAAGAATGGGGATGCCGGCGGGGATTCGACACCGAGATAGAGACTGGTGCATGTACCGTACTTTGAACGGTTGCATAATCCGGTCATGTAACACCACGGAGAGCCGGCGTGCTCACAAAAAAAGGATAGAAGCCCTCGGCGCAGAGCCGTAAGCCTCTGACATGGAGGCGGCACCCACACGCTGTATCGTTACTCAGAACGCCGCAGCGGCCGAGATCGCCAGCAGTCTCTTAACGTATCGATTCCTGCGATAATCCAATCCTTCCGAACGCCTTACAAGCCTGACAAGACCTCGTTCACTGCGCCGTGACCGCGGCAGAGCCCACGATACCGGACGAAAAAGCAAATCACAAGAAGCCCTTGTTCCGCCAATCCGCTCCCAAAGTCTCCCGGCCCGTGTCCTCACAAGTCATCACGCTCGCAGGCGATCCATTCTCATCCACCCCAACCACGCCACCCGCCTCCCTCCACCGCTCCGCCACCGGCTCATAGGCACCATGTTCATACTCGTCGCCGTCGTAGCCGATAAGTGCCTTGAGTGCCGCTTCTCGGCCATCTCGGCACCACCACCTGCCCTTGTCCCACCGTGAGGCTCGAGCGTTCCGCTCCTCGATCGGCCTCCACCACCACCCGCTGCACCCGCGCTGCCGACGGTATTGCCCCGCGATCTGCCACCAGCAAGAAGGCCGCCTTCACCGGACGGCCTACCGGCAGCCGCCATGTCCTCTTCCCTTCGACTCAGCCGCTTCCGCCACTCCGCGGCTTTAGCGAGGGCTTGCTCGTCGGTTTCTTCTTGGGATTGTTTGGTGGCGGATTTGCTGCGGAAGCAGGGGAAGCAGCAGCAGAGGAGGGGGAGGAAGGAGGATGTTATTAGGTCTGTCATTGCTGGCTTCCCAGATTGATGGAAGTCTCGTAGTGGTGAGGGCGTGGTAGTGGTCCCGTGAGGCGTGGCTGGTCCAGCTTGACTGGTCGATGATGATGGCTGCCGAGGCAGCAGACAAGGGCAGACGAATGCCTATGTGTTATGATAGAACACGTCGTTCCTCTGGGCGAAGTGCAAGTCCCCAATCGGCGCTTGTCGAGTTGGTGTCCGAGTGGTGGGCGAGTGAGCGGGTGCCAAGTGGTATAGATTTGTCGTTGGAATTAAATGTTTTCGGGAGACCTCGAAAACGTCCAAATTGTCGTCCTCGTTTCACAGTCGAGAAGCGCCGGAGATGTAATCCGTTCACTCTTGTCGTCTTCGCTCAATCCAAAATCAACAGTGCTCAAAGTCGCGAAATGTCGAGTCTAGATGCGCATGTGTGTGTGGAAGCGAATTGCTCGTCAGTTCGATCTCTGTAAACTCGTCACAATATCGAGGTTCAATCAAAGGAGGCGGCTGTGCAACATGTTTGGAAAATCGCGAATCACGAAACGGCAGGGATCTGAAACACGCCAAGTCGAAGGTCCGTTTGTTTGCGGATCTACTGGCTAATGCAAGACCGGATGACCTGAATGAGCCGCGGCCTGGCGCGAGACCGGGTGACAGGAACAGAGCACGGTCTGTGCTGTCAGCCCACTGAGCAGATACCCACGTGTCCTTGGATCAAGACCTTCCTAACTCTACTGCGACTGTGTCCACGATGGCTTGACGCTTGTAGAGTGAGCTCGTCATCCAGAAAGCCACTGATTAGAGACACGGCTCGTCAATCAGCAGTTTTGACCCCAGCGCATATATTTGTCATCGATTGGTGGTCTATCTTGCCTATAGTATTCCCTCATACGTTGGAATCATTAGAGTCACGCGTGCAAACCGCTTCGATCTAACTCGAACTCCATCTCTACAAATTGCCACCCGTCTTCCGCGTGCTGCTGAGAAAGCTTCTATCCGGGATAGCTACTAAGACTCAGGCCGCCATTCTGTTAGTCGGAAGGTCCTTTAGGTTCTCTTTTATAGCTTGCAAAGCATCCGGTCCAGGCGTCAACCGCTCAAATGTCGAATCCTCCACCTTCCACTCCGGATCCTGCTCCTCCTTCAGCTTCCTCAGCCCATCAATGCTATGCCACGGGTTGGCGCTGAGCAGCACCTCAAACGTCACCAGTGGCGTCGTTGGCTGGTACAGAGCTGGAATCCCGTCCTCGGCCTTGTCCATTGCATTCTTGTACCCTTTACGCGACGTGATGTCCTTCAGCCAACGTCGGATATTGGGGTATTCCGTCAGGTCGATTGGGTAGATCAGTCGGAGCAGGGTAAGACCGTAGATTTGCATGATGTCCGCAGCCGTGAACTCCTCTCCGGCGAGATACTTGGATTTGCTGAGACGCGTTTCGTACTGCTTGAGGTGATTTGGTGTACGGGCGGAATAGGATTGGTGCACAATGCCATTCTTGAATTCTTGTTCGTTGTTGATGCCATTAGCGAAGAGGCTAGCGGCGTAGATGTCCACGTTGACGAAGGCTTGGAAGCTGCCGTTGGCGAAGCTTAGCCAAAAACAATACTGTGCCCATTCTTGCGGGGTAGTCGGACTGTCTGGGCCGGGCGGAGGCGGCTGCAGGTGGCCTTTTCCATGCACAGCAAGGATGTACATGACGATACCTTGGGACTCGGTCATGGCTACGGGTGGATTGACAGTCGTGTCATGGATGGCCGGAGTCGTGCCGGCGGGAACTATCTTGAGGATCTCCTGCTTGCCAACAGACGTGTCGAGCCCGCGAGGAAAGGTCTTCAAAGTATACTTGAAGGTAGGTATCAAAAGGGAGAGCTCCTCACATAGCCAGACAATGCGGTCCGACTGTGCGAAGTGAAAGTGGTAGACGGTGAGAGACATCTTGGCGATGCGTCGGTCGCCGTGGTGCGATCTGCTCCCGCTGGTATGCTGGAGGACAGTAGACTTGGACGTTCGGAGGTGTGCGGCGGGCGATTGATGAGCACAGGAGCGATAGTAGAAGTGCGGATTGCCATCTTATATGCTTTCCGCTGAATATATATTCCAGATCAATGTCTCTGCGTACAACCCTCATGAGGCGGTACGTACGGCGATCTTATGAAGCAAGGCTGTCATAGTCCGTAAGCCGTCGCACTGGTACCATGGAGACTTCCACGATGGGGGATCAATGGCCGTTTCTGGCCAATCAAGGCTGACTTCGTATGTCCAGTATCCATTATCGTGTACGGAGTTGTACAAACGAATAGAGGAATGTCGTTCTGAAGTTATGGATTAGGAAACCAGGAATGACTCGGTCTGATAGCTTGCATAAAGCCCACGCCACGGCACAGTGGACCCGGGAGTGGTAGGCGGAATGCGAAACTCCAGGTTTTTGGGTTGATCTCGCACAAAAGCGCACCAATGATACCCGATTCGACTTGGGGTGCATATACTCGGGCTTATACGTAAGAGCGGGATTAGGACGGGTCGCCTGGCTCTTGGCAGTCCGTGGACTCGGATTCTTGTTGTGCATTGTGCCCGTACGAGCGGGGCAGAAGGATGCAAAAGCTCGCTGCTTGGCCCTCGGAACTGTGCTGAAGCAGAACGGGATCTTATGCCAGCCTCGTGGCATCCTTTGATGAGTTGAAACAATCCCGCGCAAGATAGCCCACCTTTGCATCACAGCTCTGGTCGGTGTCCGAGACGCTAAGTGAACGCCGTGACTGTAAAGCTCGAGTGTAGCAGGATCCGACAGCTCTGTTATTACAGACAAGCTTACTGATCCCTCTTGCCCAGCATCCCAGCAATCGCGTCTGCTAGCATGGTCGTCATCTTGAGACCCGGATCGTGATCAGGGTTGACTTCGGCAACACACAGGCCCACCGTCTTCTCGGACGACAAGAACACGGCAAGTGCTCGCATCATGACATCGAATTTGACGCCCGTATAATTTGGCAGATTCGCCAACGGGAATTCTCCGGGATCGATGGAGTCGACGTCGAGGTGGATCAGGATGGCATCAATACCCTGTTGATCGAGATACTTCAATGCAGCATCTGCCTGTAGTTCTGGATTCTTCGCAACTGAGGATGACGGGATGACCCGATACTGATTCTCGAATAAATATGCGTAGTGCTCAGACTTGTTGGTGGCACAAGACATATTGGTGCCGAATAGCACAGTGTTCGATGCATCACAGAGGGTTCGCTCAGCAGATTCGTGGAAGAAGTCCATACTTGGAAGGCCGCCTGGCGTTCCAACAAGCAGAGACATGGTCTGCGCTGCCATGTTGCCTGTCGAACCTGGATCTGATGGTGAGTTGAGGTCCGTGTCCGCGTCCGCATCAATGTAGATTAGTCCCAGGCGTTGACCAATGCCATTTCTTCGGATGGCAAGCTGAGAGACAATTCCTGGAAGCATGCAGCATTCGCCGCCGAGGACCAACTGGAAAGGCAGCTCTTCATGCGCCTCGGCGGTGGAGAGATGCTGTTGCAGGGCGTTGAAAACCTTGTGGTTGACTTCAACATTGAGCTCTTCATTTCGAACTCTGCCAGGCTCGAAGGTCGTTATGCTCCAAGTCGCAGGCTCGGTCAGGGCATCAATCTCTCTGATTGCACTGACACCAGCATTCTGCAGGCGAGACAAGATATCGATGGACTTGAAAGCGTCTGGCGCTTTGGACTTGCCGAAAATAGTGCTTCCGCAGTCGGCAGGCACATACGTGATGTCACAGGAGCTTGGGGCAGTCATGATGGAATGGGTTGGAATAGGTTCGACTGGCGCGTGAAAGTGCTCGCTGATGCTCGTGGAAAATCTCCTCCTGTCAGTCTTGTGGTTGAACGCAGGAGTTCTCACTGTTGATATGAGGCAAGACAGACAAAATAACGATTAGTCCGCGGATTTGTCAAATGGATTAGCGCGACGAAAGCAATTATACGCGCTGAGCTCACTGTAAACACATTGACATCCTACCTCTTTTCTTCAGTCTAATCTTGCTGCATCGCGTACTCGATCGTGGAGCGATAACTGACAAAGACAACTCTGGTTCAGCTGATTGCCGATACGCGAAGGGCGCAACGCCAAGACTTTCGGAGAACAGCCAGCGCCCGTGTGCCAGCCGAGAAGCGACATTGACTGCCGAAACATCGAATTTCCATCGAGGCCGGATCCAGTGCGATCGGAGGGACGAGGATGGATGTGCGTTCAAGAACAGCGTGGCTAGACTGCGCTCGAATGATGAGATTGTGCTACTAAGCAAGTTGATGCCCTTTTCTACAACACAGATCTACTGTGTATCCGTTGCGCCTTTTTGGTTAAGCCGAATCGCTCGCTTGACAGCCTCGACATCCCCTCCTGCAACGCTCACAGCCTTGAGTGCCGCTTCTGACAACTTCTTGCTCTTCTCCTTTGCTTCAGCTTCCCTCCTTGCCCTGGTCTTGCTGCTGCCACTCGGCGCCACGTCTGAGATTAGCTTTGGTGCATCTAGCGCAGTAAAATTGACAAAATCCACAGCAAACGCACTACTTGGGGTCTTGGGCGTTTTCGGAGTCCGCGGAGGCTTCGATTGCGACCGGGAACGAGCTCGACCACTACTCGCCGACGGAAGTGCATTATCGACGGGTGCGTAACCAGCCGTTTTGATGGGGCCGGGCTTGTGAATCGACTTTCGCCGATGGTGATTGTGATTTGGATGGTCTGGCCTGGACGGTGATCGATTCGCACGTCGCGACCGCGGTGTCATGCTAAGTGGAGATATTGAGGGCGACGGTGCTCGTGTTGGCGAACGCCTGACGGTGCGGGGTGTCGCAAAGGGTGTGGCATTGTGGAATGATTGTCCGGACACGGCAAAAGGTAATGGCGGTACCGGAGGTACTCCTGCAGGTAGTTGTCCATGATGTAGTGGATGTGCGCTCGATTCGACGCTGGGATAGACCATATTCGACTCCATGTAGTCAGACGAGTAATTCAGCTCGCCGTAATGTATGCCCAAGCCATCAGTGTGCTGGGCAATGTTGTCTGCGAAGGACTGCGTGACGGCCCTTTTTGGTGTAGGCGCAGCTATGGTCGGGAATGGCTCTCGAGGCGTTGTCGCCCATCCTGGCGTTGGAGGTCCCATCTCTGGTGACCACCAGGTCTGGCCCATGCTATTATGAAGGCCACTGCTGCTCATGCCACTGGATAGACTGGGCGGCAATGTGTCATAAGAGGACTGGTGCGAACTGTTCGAGGAATGCAGGCTCTCGGTCGTCCATACCAAGCCGCCATTCTGTTGCGTGCCCGAGTACGGGATTGGTGCTTGAGACACTTTCGGGACTGAATTTGTCTGAACAGCCAGACCGAGTCTGTTCCTATTGATCAACCCTGGATCGATAGCGGCACCGTCGTCGTTCTCATGGAACATGAAGTCTTGACCGGAGATCAATGGAAGTTCGTCCGTGCCACTGTTCGCCAAGACGGCATTGTGAGCATGCGCAAAGTGCCCAGCGTCTTGATATGACACTGACGGCTGTGAAGGCAAGTGTCCCTTCGGCTGGATATTGAAGTTCTTGAAATCCTGCTGCCACGTTTCCACCTGTTCCATCTTCGCATGTAAAGGCAATTTTGAATACATTGGAGTCGGCGACAACGTGTTTTCTCTGGAGAGAGGCAAATTTGCCAGTCCTTTGTGTCGATGTTTGGCTGCGTTGGGACTGGTCACGAATCGCTTTGTTGTCTTCATTGTCGGACTCAAGGATGGCGTTGGCGGGCTGCGAATCAGAAACGATGGGTTCTGTACGACCTGCGGGGCAGGAACAGTACCGTTAAGCGGTTTTCGAAGCTTGGGTACTGCGATCGATTCTTGATTGAGGCACCAAAGTCCTTTCCGCCATGGTTGAGGCGGCGATTCGTTAGACGTTTCCTGCGATGTTGAGCCACTCAGCGATGGCAGACGAGGATAGTCTCCCTGCAATGGTTCTGTAGCGTACAGCCCAAGCACTTCGTTCGTCAGCTCGCAAGAGTCGTCGCTGTGCTGACCCTCGTATAGCTCTTGGTCGAAGACTTCGTTGAAGATTTCATCGCTTTCATGCATGGGAATGGCCAGCTGACCATCACCGTACATGTAGTCGCGGACGTGTCCAGAGACATCGTGGCCAGATCGATAATTGGTGGCGGCGACGAGTCTCCCTGTGATGCTCGATAAGCTGTCGAGGAAATCGGAGCTCGGTGGTGAAGCTTGTCAGTCCCGAGCAGCACGAGATGAACGAAGGGCTGAGCGTAGCTGCATCATGGGTCACAACAATCTCTCGTCACCACAGTAGCGACGATGAGGAATGTCGGTGGTCAGGGCTAGAGCATTGGTCTGTGAGTATCAGCATCATCTGGTAGATCTTAGGTCTGTGTACACGGGGGAGGGCGATGCACCAACGCTCGGGCCATGATGCAGGTTGCAGCAAGAGATTGACCCCATCGAATCATTTCATGGTGCGGGCCGGCCGTCCAGCTCATTGATGGAGTGCTCATGACGTGCAGCTTTGACAGAAGCGTGTACATGTTGTATCTCCAATGAACCCATGGCTTCTTGCAGTAAGGGGAGCCTTTCGTCGCATCTACGTTTGATGCTGTTAGTTCACAACACTCCATCATCGACACGACTCAGATCGATGAAGTCAGTGATGGGAGCTCATTTGTCGAATTCAAGGGAGAGCAGACTCGACGTCGTAGGGCAGATACCTAGGTACACGTATCGGTACCTCAGATGGCACAGTTGCGTCCTGACACGTTAAAGACGCGCTGGTGCCAGCCAGAACGTGCCTGCATTCGAGGATATCGCGGGTGAGATTGGAAACACGCTGGATGGGCCATGTAGACGAGGTGCAATCTCTTCATGCAAGTCTAAGAAATTGACGAAGATGAATTGAGGCCTCCTATTTTGGTGGTTCAATGTTGCGATTAGATAAGCGGCGGCTTGTAGAACCCGAATCTTGGAAGGCCAAAAGGACGCCTGGACCCAGATCACGATTCCAGGTTCCGAATTCAGTTTTCTCTTCGCACGTTGCACCTTCTTCAGGCGCTCAAGTCACTGCCGTTGTTCGCTTTCCACACATTCCCTACAATGGCGCTCCTCGGTTGCTCTTACAACCTCAGCCTTTACGATGCTCACTTCAACGCTAAAGAACGATAGAATGTGCCCGCATGTGTATAGGTAGGTATAATATGTGCGAATGTACGTCCCCTGCGAGCCATGTACACCGAGACGTCCCATCGTCATGATCAAACTCGTCCACGTGACCGCTCGGAAGCCGTCCCTTTCCAAAGTCGAGTTTTACGACCGCTGGCTGAATAGACACGGCCCGTCGGTTCATTCACATGCCAGAACGCTTCGTATGAAGAAATGTGTCCAAAGCCACCTAATCGACTCGCCGCTCAACGAAGCCTTGCGAAGCCCACGAGGCATGCTTCCACCCGTTGATGGGATCAATGAAGTCTGGTGGGATTCTCTGGAAGACTTGCAAGCAGCATTCACCTCACCCGAGGGCTTGGCCGCGCTGGAGGAACTCGGGTCAGATGAGGAGAGCATTACCGACCCAAGCCGAAGTCATATTTTTCTGACGAAGGAGCATGTCATCTTCGACAACACATCGCCATCCACGAAATCGCCTGTGGGAGATGAAACTACGATCAAAGTCACGTACCTGGTCGTAAAGAGAGACGGCACGACCAGGGACGCTTGCCACAAAACGTGGCTGGACGATCACGGTCCATATGTCACCCAATTCGCAAAGGCGCTGAATATGGATAAGTACGTACAAAGTCACACCATCACAGACGACTTCAGTGAGAGTCTCCGCGAAAAGAGTGGTTTCGCAAAAGCTCTGGACGGCATCACAGAGGTGTGGATCGTAGATCCAAGCAAGAGTCCGCAGGATATAGCAGCCACGGGTGGGAGCACGAGACTCATTGAGGACGAGAAGAGATTCGTCGAGTTGGGTCAGTCGAGGTGTTTTGTGACCAAGGAGCATGTGATATTCGATTTCAGGTAGACTTCGAGGTCAAGCATGTTGGAATCGTGAGTACCTTCGGGGAGTACCTCTGGACTATAGCGTCAGGTATAACTTGCGCGCAGGATACACCGTGAAAGTGATCGTTCCAGAACTCACTCAACCACAGACATAAAGTCAGCGACCGTCAAAGTACGAAAGTGCGGCAATTTGGGACCGAAAATGGCCGCAGGTGAACCATGCGACCACCCGAGCCAGGACTCTCCCGTGCCATCAGTCGAAGAAGCGATGTATCTCATCAAAGTTTACCCAGATGGCGACCGCGTCACAGCAGCAAAAAGGGTTCTCCGCCGGGAGTTCGCTCAATTATTCTGCAGAATTGCTGCCAAACCGACGACATACGTTTTGAGTTATGTGGAGTACGACGTCCTAGACTATCACAGGTATCGGTCCAGATTCGACAACACCTTAACGCGAGAAGCTCGCCGCAGATATTGGGACAGCGGAGGAGCGCATCCTAGTATCCAGAAGACCATGGAATGTCTGCAACGCTCACGAAAGGCCCAATCCGCCAACGCCACTCAAGACAGCCCGGAGGCCCATAGCGTCAAGACAGCGAGCAGCGAGAAGAGCTCATCGATTTCGCGAGCCAGATCGACCGAAGGCCGCCCGCGACTGCTCAAAGTGCCAATGAATCGCAAGTTCGCATGCAACAACCTCGCTCGGCTGCCGAACCAGCGAACACGAGCCGCCTTCCCCTGACGGAGCGCGGACGCTGATACAGGTGGACAATCATGGATGCAGGTGTGCGCTCTTGTCAAGGCACTTCAAATGCTCAACAATAGCCACAGAGAGCCTAGTCGTGCATCATGATCATTCATCAGAGGTGTGACATGGTCGTGTTGCCACCATTCCAAGGTTAACACGAAGCATAGACTTACGAGGCGGGATAAAATCAACCAATTATCCATTTTCCGGGATTCTTTTCGGCCTAGTCAGTACAACCTGCCTCGGCCAGACAAATTTGTCAGCCTTTGCGCATTCTATTTGAGAAGGCTGTCCCCAAGAAATGATTTGACAATCGAGATGCATCAACATCTCACAGAAACCTCGGTCGTGTTGTTTGCGTCCTTTTCAAATGTGTTCATCGAAGCTCTAGTATCTGATTACGGCCGTGTCATCACTTCGACGACTGTATGACTGGTCTCGACGTCGACCAATCTCCCATGATGAGGAAACAGCAGCAAAGCCTTACAGGCTCACCGCGAACAATGCTTCTCTTGGGCTCAGCTGGATAAAAGCTGTCTTCTTCCTGCTGTGCCGGTTTGCGAGCAACTATGCAGCTCCACGAGCTGAAGATCTTTTTTCTTAGTGTCTTTGTGCTTAGTCTTTCTTTCGCATTCCTTGAGCAGGTTCCCTGGTGTATCGACGATCTAGCACGAGCGAACACCACCACAATGGGAGGGAGACTCTGGGGAAGCCTCCTGGTATTTCTGACCGGAGCTCAGAGAAAGAAAGTCTCAAACAGAACACCTCTGGGGTTTGATCAGAACGACCCTTTCAATGAGAGGCTGCAAAGTGTGGGACTGCTTGGCTCGCACTTCGGCATGATTGATGTTCCTGCAACATATGCAAGTTGGTCTACAGAGGTCTTGAAACTAGCTGACATGTACAAGGACTACATAGTGCTCGGTGGCGGAACGGCAGGCCTCACAATTGCCAGCAGGCTGGCTGAGAAACACACAGTCGCGGTCATCGAGGCTGGCGGCTTCTATGAGTATACACCGAAGCCGGTCACCATCCTCATCCGAGATTGCGATTGACACTTTCGTAGGACCGAGAACTCGAACCTCACCGAGGTGCCGTCAAATGACGTCCTTTATTTGGGTAAGAAGCCGTTGTGGCAGAATCCTTTTGTCGACTGGAACCAGTACACAACACCTCAAGCTGGCCTGAATGGCGAGAGCGTGTTGTTCTCACAAGGCCATACGCTGGGAGGCGGCAGCGCGCGAAACTTCATGTGGTATCAACGCGGCTGCGAGACCGTCTATGATCAGTGGGCGAAATTGACCGGCGACGCCAGTTGGAGCTGGAAGAACTTCGATCCCTTCATGAAGAAAGCAGCGCAGTTCACACCAACGACGGCAGTTGTAGATGTGCCATCGATTGGTGGTGCAAAATCCGAGAAGACACCCATGTGGGATCTGAAGGACTGGGATCCTCGAGGTGGCCCTCTACAGGTGGCTCACCCGGAATTCCTGCAGCCGTCAGGCCGGCACATTGTCGCTGGACTGTCCGAGCTGGGCTTCGAGCAGAAGCCAGGCATGGTGAATGGCGACATCCTGGGATGGACAAATGCGGTGACGACCATCGATCCGAAAACTCGAACACGTTCAACCTCCTCGACCTCCTACCTGCGAGATTCGATGAGAAAGAATTTCAACCTCCACGTCTTCACTCACACACTGGGAAAGAAGATCCTCTTCGACTCTGACAAGAAAGCATATGGCGTCCAGCTCGAGACCTTTGGTGCGGGCTCCGGCAGCAAATCCTTCTCACTCAACGCGACCAATGAAATTATTGTCTCGGCAGGCGTGTTCCGCTCACCTCAGTTGCTCATGGCCAGCGGCATCGGACCCAAGGAGACCCTCGTCGCAAATGGAATCCAGGTCCTGAGCGACCTTCCTGGCGTTGGCCAGAACATGATGGACCACATCTGGACAGGCATAACGCATGAAGTCAACGTACCAACCATTGCCTATCTCGGCGATCCTGCCTTCGCGGCGGCGCAAACTGCCGAGTACAATGCCCACCGTACTGGCATGCACACCAACCCAGGTGGGACCATCATCTCCTTCGAGAAGCTGCCCATTGGCACTATCAGCGACTCCACACGTCAGGATCTAGACGAGGCGTTTGGTGGCGACTGGCCGGACGTTGAGTATTTTGCGATCGGTGCTTATACCTCGACCAACGACGACTACCTCTTAAGCGCTCCCGACGTCCGCAACTATACCGCCATGGCCGCCAGCGTCACCGCGCCTTTCTCTCGCGGCAATGTCACTATCAACAGTACGAACACCAGTGACCATCCCATCGTCAATCCAGCTTGGATCACTGACCCACGAGACATGGAGGTCTTCATTGCGGCTTTCAAGCGCGTACGCGAGCTGTTCAAGACCGAGTCCCTGAAACAGATCTTGATTGGTGACGAGATCTACCCGGGCGCCAATGTCACCACCGATGCCCAGATCGAAGCCAGTATCCGCAGAAGCGTCAGCACGGTCTATCATCCAGCTTGTACGTGCAAGATGGGCGGAGATTCTGATCCGATGGCGGTGTTGGATGGGAAGGCACGAGTGAGAGTGTGGATGCAAGCTCATTTCCAGTGCAGATTCCGGGTCATCCTCAGGGTACGGTCTATGGCCTTGCTGAAAAGATTGCTGATGATATTATCCGCGGCCGTTGAAGAAAGTGTCGAGCGTGTAATGGGCACGGGGCTTGTATTCCAAGGATGAACAGCGTTCTTAGTACAGTGCAGGTACCACAGGCTAGCTCATCCGCGGGCATGATGGGCATTGACGAGCCTTCCATGTGTCGCCAAGTCTTCGTGTCATTCTTGCTTCAATGATCAATCGCTCGTAAAAATGATGGACAATGAATCGGCGCTGACGAGCGTTTTCAAGAGGCAGTTCCATAGACTGGGTGACGACCTGACAGCAGACTACGGTGACTCGCGGAAACAGTCCGCGCAGATCTCGAAGGCTGGTCGGCGAACTCATGACGTTGCCAACCATTTGACGCGTCTCTTTGTCACCGACACCTCGTCGGCCAGGATGGCAGTGGGATGTCCAGAACCTCGCCCATCTGGACGGCGTATCAAACCCTCCTCAAAACTGGTCGGCTGCAACAAAATGCCGAGCAAGCAGCTCTGGCGACTCATCTAGGACAGCTGCAGGACAAGCTCGTTCATGGCAGGCGGTGGTCACGACTCAAACGAAATGACTCCGAAAGTGGCATATACATCTACGGCGGTGTCGGCACAGGCAAGTCTCGCATCGCCGACCTCTTCGCCGCCACGCTACCACCAGAGGTCACCCGACGAAGAACTCATTTCTTCGAGTTCATGACCGACATTCACCAACGGTTGCATGTCGCACGTTCCAAATCAAGCTTTGCCGGCGATCCCTTGGTCGAGATCGGAAGTCAAATTCAAAGCGAGTCATGCGTACTCTGCCTAGATGAGTTCCAAGTCAGTGACATCGCAGATGCCATGATCCTGAAGCGCTTGTTTGGCTCTTTCTGGGACCGCGGTGGTATCATGGTCTCCACCAGTAACAGGCATCCCACAGAGTTGTATAAGAATGGTCTCAACAGAGCCCTGTTCGTGCCATTCATCCAGGAACTGCAGCGGCGATGTGTCATCTTCGAGATGAAGGGACGGCATGACTACCGAATGCATGGCAAGAAACAGCTTTCGCGACCGGATGTCTTCTTCTTGGAGAAGGAGGACTTCCGCAGGTCGTTGGCCGAGGCTCTGCATGGCTCGAGACTGCAGTCCTTGAGCATTCCAGTCGTGATGCAGCGAAGCATCGTGGTCGATGCTGCGTGTCCAACTGGCAGTTCATCCGCATCGTCAAGGCTTGTCGTCTCGAGCACGTTTGCAGAACTATGCGAGGCATTCGTCGGTGCTACAGACTACCACGCTTTGTGCAACGCAGCGTCCACGATCTATCTATCTGGTCTTCGGAAGTTCCGATCGGACGAGCTGGACGTGGTCAGGAGGTTCATCACCCTAATCGATGTGGCCTACGAGGCACGCACGCGTGTCTTCTGCCTCTCGACGGAGCCGATATTGAACACTTTTGAGAATATTCTCCTTCAGGGCGGAATCGTCAAGGACAATAACGACGGGGACCGGGCACCACAAGCCGATGCGTTGGCAAAGATGCGTGGTGCGCTGAAAGACCAAAATCTGACAGTCAAAGGCGAAGGAGGAAGCAGCTCAAGCATGATGAGCACATTCATCAACGATGTCGAATGGAGTGCAACGGGGCTTCAAAAGGCATCTCTGGCTACTGGCGGAGCTGGTGAGACCGATGTGAGGTTCGCTATCACGAGAGCGATTTCTAGGTTGTCTGAAATGAACTCGGATGGATACGGGGTCGTGGACTGACGTGGAAGCGATTTCCGGGCCGGAGGCGCACGACGACGAAGAACTGATTGCGTCCATGTCAGGGCGCACGAGACCGCTTTCTCTCTGCCGCCGACCTGCAACCATCAGCCTTGCGCTGCTTCGAGCTTTCTACTTAGCTAAGGACAGAATCTGTACAACCAGGCAACTTCAACTCATCACCTTGCGAACCCTGCGCCTCGACAATGCCACTCGACTGTCTGTACATTGCCTAACAGGCTGTCGGTGATAAAGAGAGTCTTGCCCTCCGGTCCGCCAAAAGTACAATTGGTCAAGTTGATGCCGTCAGTCCCACTGTCTATCCGTACCTTTGGCAGTCCATGCTTATCGACGACAAACACCGCGCCCAGACTTGGGTGACAGACAAACAAACTTCCTTCCTCGTCCATGGCCAGACCATCTGGGCCAGCGTTACCAAAGGACCTGAAGAACACCCCAACCTTGGATGTCGATCCATCCTCGTGCAATGGTAGCCGCCATACTTCATTACTGCGCGTCATCGCAACATACAGAAACCTTTCGTCTGGCGATAAGACTAGGCCGTTCGGCGAGACGCCGTTGGCGACCAGCATATCGATCTTGGTACCATCAGAGTGGAGTCGGTAGACACGCCCTGTCTGGTCCGTCATGGAGGTCTGGCCTTGGTCTGTAAAGTAGATCTCGTTTTTCGAGCTCACTATCACATCGTTGGGACCCTTGAAACGTTCGAGATTCTTGCGTGTGAGCAGGGGCGATATTTGGTTCGTGGAAGGATCGAAGAGCAGCATTCCTTGCTTGTAGTCTGCGACTACGAACTTGCCGTCCGCCCTGATTGCCATGCCATTTGGCTCTCCATCATACTTGATGCACCGCGTCACATTCTTGTCCTTGTCAACCTTTAGGATCTGCCATGTGGGATGTCTGTGATGTACAGGTCGCCGTGGCTGTCGACCGTCGGCCCCTCCAAGAAGATGTTCTGGTAACCGCCAGCAAAGCCTCCTCGCCATTCGCTCTCGTCGCTACATCGCACTGCGTCTGGAATTTTGACATGGAGCGAAGCCTTGATCACTGGCGGTGGTGAATAGAAGTTCATTGCGTTTGTCTGGCGATGGGATGAGTGATACTTCGGCCAGCATTGATTGCTATTTCACTTCCCTACACCTGTCTTTGAGCATATTTCGAACCTCTTGGATCGTGGGAGACCTTTGAGCCCTATCATGATGATTGCCGAGTGCCCTTCCGTGCAAAAAGGCTTCCAAAGGCTTGTGGATGCTTACCCGCGCCACTGGCGATGTACAATGCTCGAATGACCCCACCACCGACAGCGCCGAGAAGCGAACGGGCGCTTCGGACAAGACGTCGGACTGGTGCCCGTCATCCCCAGACTCCGCGCCTCCTCATCTTACCCTGAATTGAGGCATCTCCGTGGGCCTCCACTTCGCTTTTGCGAGCTTGGGTCGGGGTATGTCCGACGATTGACAAGCACGCCATGACTTCTTGTTGAAGGCTTCGGAGGTTGCTTCGGCAGGCTTGTCAGTCTTGCTAAAGCTTGGGTCCGCTGGGTTGGCGATAAAGTATCGATGTTCGCCCACCATGCTGGAGCGAGGAATCAGTCTTGTGTGTTATGCCTACTAGCCTCCAATCCGGATCCGCTCAACGACAGACACAATGGTGAAGAGTAGCTTGCTTTCAACCACGCGTGAGGCGATACGCGAGAGTCCGAGAGAACTCTTCAACTGGTACCTCATCTTCTGCACCCTCGCCACCAGCTTCTCGGGCGTGGCCAAGGGGTTCGATGAAGGCAACATTGCGAGCATCGTCGTGATGCCAGTGTTCATGAAGAAGTTTGGTGTCTCCCACCAGACCGAGGACGAGTATGCCAACACTAAGGGATGGATAGTCTCCATTGCCACAGCAGGCGCTGTGTTCGGGTGCTTGAGCTGCAGCTGGCTGAATTCCCGTCTGGGACGGAAGAAGACGCTACTGCTGTACACCATCATCTACATCGCCGGTGTGCTCGGCCAGACGTTCTCAAATGGCTCTCTTACCGCCTCTACATCACTCGCATCATCAGCGGCTTCGGAATCGGCGGGACGACAGTCGTGCCCTCGATCTACCTGTCTGAGATCGCCCCAAAGCCCATCCGCGGCCTGATCACAGTCCAATACGCGGCATGCCAACAGCTCGGAGTCGTCTTCGGCTTCTTCCTCAACTATGGCGTCACGAAGTACCACGCTGGCACTCAGCTTCAATGGCAGCTCCCAACCGCCCTACAGGTCGTCCCCGCCGTCATCTGGGGCATCGCAGTCCTCTTCATCGCGGAGTCGCCCCGCTGGCTCCTCTCGGTGAATCGACGCAGCGAGGCCATCACAAACCTAACCCGCATCCGCGGCCTTCCAGTCGACAATCCCTACGTCGCCTCCGAACTCTCCGCCATCGACCTGCAGATCCAGCACGAAGCGGACGTCGTCGCTGACGCGAGCCAATGTCTCTGATCAAGGAGACTCTAGGCGTAGTCGAAAACCGCCGACGATTCTGGCTCATGTTCCTCGCCCACCTCTTTGGTCAATGGTCCGGCGCCAATGCTATCACGCAGTACTCGCCTACGATTCTCGGCTACCTGGGCATCGCAGGCACCGAGACCAAGTTCCTAACCACCGGCATCTACGGTATCGTCAAGTTCGTCTCAGTAGTGCTCTTCGCCTTCTTCATCGTCGACTTCATCGGCCGTCGTCGATCCCTCATCACGGGCATCTGCCTGCAGATCTCAACATTGGTCTTCATCGGCGCTACCTAGGTGCCACGAATGGCATGTCCGCCAAAGAGATCGCCAACTCAGCTACCCTCCGCCATACCAGCACGGCCGCGATCGTCGCCATCTTCCTCCATGCCGTCGCGTGGTCGATCGGGTGGTTCAGCGCGCCATATCTCATCAACGCTGAGATCTTCCCCATCCGGATTCGGAGCTTGAATATGTCATTCATGATGGCTATGCACTGGCTTTACTACTTCGGCTGCTCTCGCGCCATGCCGTCTTTGCTGGCCGCAACGCATCGTTGGGGTGCATTCGTCTTCTTCGCCAGCATTTGTGCCGTCAGTCTGGTTTTTGTGTTCTTCTGTATGCCTGAGACGGCTGGGCGCAGTCTAGAGAGCATGGACACGCTGTTTGAGAGGCCGCTTTGGCACATTCGGAAGGTTGCATACCCGACTAAGGTTGATTTGATGCTGGATGCTGGGCGGAGGGAGAGTGAAGATGGATGGGAGGATGCTGAAAAGGCAGCGGCTATTACCGAGCAGAGAGAGGTGGCGAGGTAGTGGGCGTGCTTGATGTGGTCTACATTGTGGATAGACTAGTTCGCAGCCTTGCCATCTCACCATATTGAAATGCATAGACTGTGCCGCACCCTACCTGTAACACGGAGTTCATTCCAGCCTGCCCAGCCTGGACCAAGACACCCTGCCCCACAGTTTCCATAGATAGTCGCTCGATCGGGCAATGAGGAGTTCCAATGTTGGCCGCCTAACCTCATTTCGTATCCTGGCTCAGGACGCCACTACGGCGAATGTACCTCGGGACATTCCAAGATTCTACCTCTTGAACTGATTTATCTGGGAACTCTCGGATGCCGTGATGTACAGCCTGCACGTGTAAGAATCCTGCCGCTGCTGTTCAGTGCTCTTTGTATGAATGTCAGTGTGCTCGCCCATCTATGCTCAACGCGAATCTACAGTATCAGGCTAGAATCCTTCGAAGATGACTTTGACTCGAATCCGAGCAACAACAACAACAAAAGACGGCATCAAATGGTACTACGAACAGGAGGGCTCCGGCCCCGATGTCATACTCGTCCCCGACGGCCTAGGCGACTGCGCGGTGATGGACCGCCCCATGTCCCTCATAGCAGCCTCAGGCTTCCGCGTAACCACAGTCGACATGCCCGGCATGTCGAGATCCTCAGCCCCGCTCGAAGCGTGCAGAAAAGTCACGCCTCGGAAGCTGGCCTTGCAGATCAACAACCTCCTTGAACATCTCGACATCGACAACGCGACCGTTTGGGGATGTAGTTCAGGAGCGCTGTGTGCACTGGGACTTTGTGCGTACTACCCTGACCGCCTTCGGAATGTGTTTATGCATGAAGCACCCCTTCAGCTCTTGGATATGCTCAAGGATCTCCCTCAGATGGATGACCGGGCAATCGTCGACGCCATGGTGCCGATCTCGAGACAAATGGCCGGAGATCCAAAGGCACAAGAGGCGTGGGATCAGCTTCCGAAGGAGGTTCATGCTCGTATCGAAAAGAATTTCATCGTGTGGGCGCACGGCTACATTTCTGATCTAACGTTCAACCTGCCTCTGTCGGATCAAGATCTGCACCAGAGACCGATTGCATGGTCGGTTGGCGCGAGTACGCCGATGGCTGCTTTCTTCAACAATGTGGTCACGGCGACGAAGGCGAGCTTGCCGATCAGTTTGCTGCCTGGAGGTCATTTCCCGTACGTCACTCATCCGGAGGAGATGGCTAGGTATATCGTAGAGATCACGCGAAAGTATGTTTGAGAAGGGGCATTCGTTGCCACACCATGACTGCTGAGCATATGAGACGGAGTGTCGCCATGATTGGAGGTCTCTGGTCAATAGACAACATCTTCACATGCTATTTACTTTTCGGAAGGTTTGTCTGGCCCTACCTTGGCAGCAGGCACCGTCGCCAGCTCTGGTCCTGCCTGAGCAGCAGGCATTGCCCCCATCTCTGGTTCTACCTCAGCAGTAGACGCTGTCACCGTCACCAAGGGTTGCGGTGACTTGGCCTCCGGTGATAAGCTCCGTGGCTGAGGCCGATGCTGCCGTATGCCTTTTTCCTCTTCACTCCAGTAAGCGCTATCTGGCAAAGAAAATGTTTCGCCAGGTGCTGTCATTGGTACCATATCGCGGTGACCTATCCAAGAGCCAATGTTATCATGCTGATAGGCCATGCGTTGCAGTTGTAAGACACCGTTAGCCTGCCATTCGGCATTGCGATAGCGGCCTTTGACGGTGTGAGCCTGGAGGCGCTTAACAGTGCAAGTGATGAAGAGGTTGACCAGGATGATGACTAGGCCTACACAAAGGATGACAGCAACCCCGAGAGTGCTAGTTACCGCTTTTCGTCAGTCAAGGTTTTCCAAATGGTTAGGTAGGTGAGATGGAAGAATTGGATGGTCTGAAGAAAGCCTGTGGGGGATAGCTTCGAACGAAGGCCGGCTTTTCTCTAAAGGCCGCTGAAGAACGTCTCTTGAAGCAATGCACATAGGCCGAGGGACAGCGATCGCCGTTCGGAGACGAGCTGCACACGACAAAGACCTTAGATAGTGACTCAGACATGTGTGTGGCCTTCCTGTTGCCTCAACGTCGTCACAGACTTGTCAAAAACGTACCTGAAAGAACGATACTCATTTCTGCGAACAATCTGGTTGTTGCACATTGTCTTTGCGAAACCATCAATAGCGGGCGCTATATACTGGACGTTCTCGGGTGAGCCACCAGTAACATACTGTATTCACCACAGCTGTAGACTGTTGAGGGAGACACCGAAGAAATGGTCAAACTCTATCTGCCATTGCTTAGACGACAGATTTGTTGTGGTGAGGCCGTATTGGTTGGCGTTGGCGAGCAGAGCTGAGCCGCCAAGGTTATAGAGAACAGATGTCAGACCAGCCTTACTTCCGACCACGAAGCTGCGGTTGTAGGTCAGCAATTGATTCTGGTTGAACCCTAGCGAGTCAGCCACAGGATATGTGTTGACTTCCATGCCGCCTAACCGACTTGTAGCGCCTGTTCTGGGATTGCGAAGTTGGTGTTGCTCAGCGCAAGCAACTACATTCACGGGTGCATTGCGTCGATACATTGTCATCGTGGGGGTTGTCGTCCCATTGGAGTTCACTTTGAAAGCTTCAACCTCAGTTGTATATTTTAGCCATGGATCGTCGATTCGGACTAGGGATGTGCCGTTGATACTGAGGAATACAAGTACAGTGTCGGCGTCTTCTCGAGATAGTGTCGGCAATGCTGTGAAGGTTGCTCCTGCCAAACTATTAGGGTTGTTAGGATCCGCGAGGGAGATTTCAATGCTATAGGCTGTTAGAGAGCTTCAACCATGTGTAGATGACGTACTCCAGCTTGTATATATTAGGCTCGCTCCAGTAACCCACAAGAAAACCCCATGTGTAGTTACTGTAGGCAAACGTCGTGTTGTTGCTGAATAAATAGTTCTGACCATATGCGTATTTCAACAAAGTCTCACCATCCATCCAACCTCCGTCATCAATAGTGAAGCCAGCCTCTGTTGCGTTGACCCAATTTGAGACATGGCCTTCAGTTGTGATTGGCGCACACGTCGTTACCCGACGGTATTCGATCCGATCCTCACTGCCAGCATTGATGCCCAGATGAGTATGCGAGTTGATAAAGCCACTATCGAATTGTATCGCGTCTGCAATACATAAGTGGGTATCGAAAGGGCAGTCGGCGACTTGACTAGTCCATGCTATAGTCTCTCTACCTAGAGGTAGACAACTTGCATCTCCAACATTGACTGTGCCATTGCTATCGTGACACTGGGACACGTATGAATGAGCACTCCTAAAAGCCTGGTTAATGTTGGTTTCGAGTCGTATTCCCTGGAACTGCCAGGCCTGGTAAGCACTTGATGAATAGTCGGGAGCTGGGCCGAGAGTCTCGTCATCCCAAAGCCCACAGTTCTGACCAGACACTAGGAGGACCTCTGAATTTGTGGATGATATCTTAGATGAGAAAATACCGGCTGCTGTAAAGGCGATTATGTAGCTCAGACTGAAGAAAGCGAAAGTCAGAGTTCGTGATTTAGCTCCAGGGGCAGAGCCGTTCCAGAACCACGCTAGCTTGAGTGTGTCCCAGGTGACACTTGCGGGCGAAGAGGAGTTGCGGAGAATAGCTTGCTGCTGGTGATAGAGTCCATCTCGCGGTCTGCTTGAGCGAATGAGTGATGTAGTGAAGGCTATGTTCGTCCATAGATGGCTGCCGACGAGTCTGACAAAGAGAGCAATGAATGCGATAAAGTAGGCACTACCTTCGGGCGATAGGGTAATTGTGGACCCGTGAACCTTGCCGTAAGACCAGTTCACCCAGATCCCAGTATAAATTTCTTGTTGCGTCGACATCGTGGAATGAGAGAGGAGCACTAAGTCACCCGATTTGTAGGGAACCCTCCTGATGCTATATAATTGCTGAGGTGGCCGTAATGGCACAAGCGAGGACTGGAAGAGCCCCGGAACATGGCCAGGCGGGACCTAGTTGTGGCTCAGCGTAGGCATGAAGCGTCTTCCAGGACCGAAAGGATGCAGAATCGCAGCAGGCATCACTGACAAGAATAAAGTCGTCCTTGAGTTGACAGCTTCGTCCGAGCATTCATGGCGGCCGATGCGGATGTCTGACGAACGCCACCATAGCCAGATCTGGATCACTCGCCAATCGCCGTAGTCTTCAGGCGCAGCCTATCGGGGCAGTGCGGGGCGTACAGTAGATAAAGATGCAGATAAAGATCTGGATCCTGCGGGATGTCCACTTCCCTATGGCCCCGTCTCGGCCCCTGCACTCTATCCTTTGAGCTAGAAGTCGTTAGCGACGATGCCAGTACTGATCCGGCGCAAGGCATCCTCATGGACTTTTACTAGGATACCGTTGTCGTCTTCTGCTCTGATAATGATCCATTGAACCGACAGACGCCTGGCTAGTGCCCCCGTGGTTTGCTGACCGTCGCCGCCTTATCGTCTCTTCACCTTTGCCAATGATGAGGTCTACGACGCGGCAGGCACATTGCACACCAGCGACGCTGTCTCGAGAGGAGCTCACGCACGCTGCTTTCAGAGACAAAACCTGTTGGTTTTGACGACTTCGATGAAGCTGCGATGACTTGCGCAAAGTACTATCAACGATATAGATTTACCTTGCAGGCTGGTCGGCTGCAGCCATTCACCGGCCTAAATTCATATAGACAGCACAGATTTTGCTACGGACAGCGGTGACCAGAGAGCACTCATATCGCGACAAAGGATTGTGTCGTGGCTCGTCCGAGCTGTGACACGGTCGCCACGATTCCCAGCTGCCCAAAGCTACCAGGACAAAGAAAGATCGCTCGGTAACTTGACAAAGACTGCACCGCCGACCTCTTCGAGTACAGAAATAAGACCTACCTTTGTAAGACGCGCCGATTGTCTGCGTTGTCACCAGGCTTTCTGCTTGTCCACAAAGAAGCACTCCTCTATGCTTTGTAGATATCAGCAGGAATACCTCGCAGAAGTCGGTTGCCAGGGAGCCCTGTTACTGTAAGTGAACACATTTTGAAAGACAAGATTTTACCAGACCAAAAGAAAACATAAAACATGTCAATCTACTCAACAACGAGTACCTACCAGGTCCTGACCAAAACGGTCGTCCCGCTGCCCTCGACCACCGCACAACATTTACGAGATACCCTACCTCGTTCTCCTCTATCCCATGGGATAACGAGGGCTATGCCGCAATGACAAAGTCGCAGCACTTGGCGTATTGCGCAACCGCGAAGCACGACTCGTGGCAATACACCCAGGCGTGCATCAAAGGCGTCTGGGGGTCGCTTTATGGGCGCACTGCTGCGCCCGAGGACGAGCAGGTCACCAGTATCGCTGTGCCTGTCTCGGTCGCGAGCGAGACGGTCGCTGTGCCGACTACGCTGGCGACGATGGTCAGGGCCAAGGTGAGTGTCGAGGTGGAGGTGCCCGCCGATGGTGTTGATGCCGATGAGGCGGATGACGCCTCCAGCGAGGTCGGCCTCGAGAAGAGAGGCTTCTGGGATCTCTTCGCAAAAATTGGGAACATCTTCAACAAGAAGGGCGGTAAGTAAGGCAAGCTCCCATAAAGCTCCCATGGAGCGCTGGCTGCAGGAATGTCAGGATGATATAAACTAGAATCAATGGAGCCATGGAATGAAATGAATTCGCTTTGCTCCCCATCGCTTTCGATCAAAGCGGAGTTGTGAGATCTCATATGCTGTCGAAAGTGAACTTGATAGTCAGCATACGGCGCACCAACGTGCCCAAACTAGACATCCCTCGTCTGCTGGTCAAAAAGTCCTGAAGACCAGCAGTGAGTCTTTGATCCAAGACACCTGAGGGGTTCTGATCCCTCACGATCTCGACACTTGGTGCAGGGTTTCAGGCAGTGACAGAACGAAAGCGCTACCGCCACCATACGGATGAGGATGAGGTCGCGTCTTCGACCCGTCACGTCTTCGATCTGTTGATAGGCAACGTAAGGTAAGCGTCCCGCGTTGCGATCGCGCCTCGATGGACTGGTTGGGCTTCGTCAGTCGGTCGGTACTTAGTAAGTTCATGAAGCAGCTGCCAAGTGCCAGCTGCCCAAATCCCCTGCCCAAATCCGCCAGGTCTGCCTTACCTGCAGACTTGTCAGCCTCGACCAGAGCCGGAAGGTGCTTTCGGCATTTTAGCCACCACTGACGAGCCCCTCGCTGTCGAAGATTACCATGTATCTTATTTTGTTCATGGGCAAAGTCACGCGCACACTGTTCACTTCCCGTGCTACATATGTAGGTTCGGTGGAAAGGCACAGTATGTTGGCCAGATACGCCAGGCGTATCGGGCAGCCAAAAGGCAACACGTCTGCGGGGAAGAGGTTCAGGCATCGTTCCCCTCCAGTTAGTAGATCTGTCCACTGGACCTGTGGGGTATGCCTCCAGTAGGTACGGAGCACGATTTCTAAGCGAGCCGTCGAGATGCAGGTCACGGCCCACGACATCCATTGCTGATGACTTGCATGGGGATGCCATGTGTCACTGAGCGTCACGTCGCGAATCGAGTCCTGCTGCTGGTCACTGTGATGGCAGTCGAGTGAATTCGTCGACTGGTGGTCAGGCTTGATTCTGCCATAGGCTGGCAACCTGTAAGTAATGCGAAATCCCAGGGCATGGTCTTAGTCTCCAAGCAGCCAGTCCGTATGATAAGAATCGCCATTGAGCACGAAAGCTCATTGAAGAGCGTGTGCCTGGTGCAGGTACTACTGCAGCTAGTGCTTCAGGTCCTCCCTCGCTTGCCGAGCACACTGGCTACCTGACGCTGCGCATGCAGTCAGAGCTGAACGCTGGCTTGTATGCATAGACCAGTACTACACATTATATCATGATTGGGACACAGTCCGCAGTCACACTCTTGAAGCCCGATGAGGCCCATGCCCCATCGCCAATAATAATGATCTACTCCGTACGTGTGGGCAAATTGAAAGAACCGGAAGCATCCCCGAAACAGTGAATGGGGACCAACGAGGACTCGATGGGCTCAAGCTAGGATTCGATAGTTCAGCGCGGGCTGCCTGTGCTCAGCCCCTATTTCACGGTGCCAATCTTAAGTAAGAATGTGATCAAAGACGCATGACTTCCTGCGATGTGTAAAGTGATGATATAACGGACACCATCTATGCCAGAAACAAATACCCAGGACCACTCAGCGATTTTCAAGGCACACCCACGCTTCGGTGTGCCTGCCGTTAGAGGCTGATTTGTACCACTCACGATCCCGTTGCTAAACGCGCGGTTTGGCAGCGGATGACTGATCTTTAGCCCAAACTGCATAAGACTGGTTGCAATCGGCGCATCTGTCATCCTTCGATCCAGAACTTTCGCGGGCTTCGCCCCTCGCCTGCGCAGGCAAACAGGCAAAATTCCAAGAGTGTGGGCGCCTCAAATGCAGGCCTGAGGCACCAAACTTCCGGTCATTCGTTGCAGCTGAGGCCTGCTGGTTCCCACACATAGAAATCGGGCGCACTTGCGCACAGCGCAGAACTTGCGGTGTCGTGTTTGGACAGGAGTATGTCCCAGCCTCACGCTTTGACCGTACGCAGGACATACCAAGTTCGATCGTCACCTCCTTCCAGGAGTCACAGCCGAGATCTGTGGGTGGTCGCTAATCGTCCACGACGACGGTCAGAGGGCCGGTCGTCCACGAGAGAGAATGCAAAGGCCGCGATCCTCGTGTCCAGCTTGGACCGAAACCTGAAAGAGTCGAAGTCGAAGCCAAGCGAGAAACGAGATACTTCGAAAGGAGCCAGCAAGCACGAAGCAGTTGAAGTCGTAACCGAGTCTGACGACGAGCGCGATGCAACCCGCGCTGTGACCAGGTCGAGGTCAAGATCTCAAAGGAGGCGACAGCCTGAGCAGTTGAGCGGCTCTATTGACGACTCTGACAGCGACGACTTGACCACCAGGCACCGGGTTTTAGCTCGGAAAGTGGAACAAAGCGTTGATGACAAGACAAGAGCAGTATCGCCTCTGCAGACTCCTCGGAACCTGCGGAGCACGATGACAGCCAACATGTAAATGATGTAATTATAAGCGACAATCAGAAATTCGCAGCGCGCTACCAAAGACAGTATCAGAAAGTGGTCGACAGTGGTGTGGTGCCGCAGCCGCCTGCCAGGGCCAGGACCTCATCGCCGCTGCAGATCGAAGCAGCAGTACGGCGGAGGCACCGTCATGGCCTTGAGGATAAAGACACACTTCGTCGGCCCACATCATACGTTGCGCCCACAGCGCCGATACGAGGTTCGAGGCACTCACCAGATGACTCGCCTGTGTCAACTCCAGGGTCGTCGAGACCACCCAGTCCTCACGTTGGCGGGAAGCTGAAGATACTGGTAGTTGGCGGTACTGGCGTTGGCAAGAGCACATTGATCAGCCAGCTTTGCAAGACTTCGAAACGTGGACCAAAGATCGGGCACACTCTGATGTCCTGCACGTCGGACATTCAGTCCTTTGACTGCACGCTCGATGGGGTCGACTTTGAACTCATCGATTCGGCTGGATTCGATGACAACCGGATGTCTGACGAGGAGGTGCTACAGAGGCTCGCCAGGTATCTCCGTTCGAATCCAGGGATTCACGGTGTCATCTTCTGCCATCGCATCTCTGACACCAGGTTAACTGGTTCAGCAGCGAAAACGGCTCAGATCATCCACGAGCTTTGCGGCCCGGCCTTCCAGGACAGAATTGCGCTGGTGACCACGATGTGGGATCGCGTTCGAGACACGAAGGTGGCGGAGAGACGAGAAGATGAGTTGCTGCAACATCCGCGATTTTGGAGACCATTTCACCAGCACCGTGACCGTCCTGTACAGCCATTCAGATTCTCGCTCTCTGGTGAGGGACCTGTTCACTCTGCAGAGGACATTGCAAGATTCTTCGTCGGACAACAAAAGAGATTTTTCGAAAAGCCTGTGGAGCTGCAGCTTGCAGCGGAGATGAAGCAGCAGCGGCTGCTAAGCGAGACTGCGGCTGGCGCACTTCTCAAAACCTCAGAGTTGCCACTTCGTGCCACCCGGTCACGGCACTCCTAGGAGACTCCGACGAAGGCAGTAGCGGCGAGAGTGGCCTCAGTCCTGCGCCATTTCCATGTATAATATCTCTACATCATCATGGCCTTCTTCGATATGCGATTCCCCTGACTGTCTTGCCGTGAGAGTCTTTCTTCTTGGTCCAGCCCGCGGCAACCGTGCCCGGATGTCTTTGACTTCGCACTGTGCTGGCGGCGGAACCGACGCCAGAGCGACCGTCGTCTGAATCAGAATCGCTTTCATATTCGGCCTCGGCCTCTCTGACCTGTCTACGCAGCTTCTCAAGCTCGCGCTCCTCCTCAGCCCAGGCTGATCTTGCACCCCTTACTGCAAGTTGTGCTTCTAATTTCTGCTTTTGCTCCTGCTTTTCTCTCAATTTGCGCTGTTCTTCGATCTTGGCAGCTGTCTCGTCAGAGATTTCCTCTTGCATACGTTCTTTGGCACGCTGCCTGGCATCTCTTAGCCGTGCATCGTGTCGTTCGACTTCTTCTTCCTTGTTGTGTTTACGTTGGTCAAGCTCGGCGTCCAGAAACTCATCGCGGGCATAGAATTTGGTCCAGTCCTCGCGAACACGATACGCGGAAGTTCGTCCGGGCTGGAAGTCGTTGTCTGCTAGCTCATGCTGAGCAAGGAGCCATTCCGGTTGATTACGCGCGATCTCATAAACTAGACTCGAATCATTCTGGAGAAATCCTCTCGGGGTTCTTTGGTGTGCTTGCTCATCACCAACGCGAAATACTTTCGAGCCGCCTCGAACAAGGGACAGCCATATCATTGGACGGGTTCTGAGCTCTTCCTCACGAGCGATGCCTTCGGCGATGGGCAGCTCGTCCCACATGGTTGTGCAGAGGATGACGTTCTTGTAGAAGTCTTCACCAAGGAGCGCCTTGAACATGGCAATGTTTCGAGCCGAGAAACCAGTGAAGCGCGGGTTGTTGACTGAGACCATGTAGATGATGCCATGCAACTTCTGGCCACGCCTGTAAGTCCTTCCCAGCCAGTCCAAAATATCATCGATAGTGCTCTGGTCTGGTCGCAGTTCGTCGTCATTGAAGCCTGGACAGTCGATAAACTTGGTCCATATCCTGAGGCTGGACGTTGGTAGTGGCAGATATGCATTGAATGTGTTGATCGCCTTCCTGCGACCGCGTCCACCAATAGAATCATCTCCAACAACGTAATTTCCTCGACTTAAGCGGGTGATAAGGCTGCTCTTGCCGACTCCAGGCTCGCCCATGATTGCGATCCTGATAGGGTCCCGCGCGCGTTCCCTACTAGGATCACGGCCATTGTTGCGGCGGGTAGGCATTGTAAGGTAAGGCACTTGTCGTTTCAGCGGGTGTGTGAGGGGAAAAGATCACCCGAACGGAATGAGAAATGAATGGTCTTCGCTGCGACGAATTTCGTATGCTCTAGTCTGCAATCGCAGAAAGGAACAGTAACAGCAATCACCTTGGGCCTACCTTCTCTTCATATACAGTGGCGGAGTTGGCGTCATGTTGATACGACGCCCATAGCTGTCCGCATGACAGGTGATGCACACGTAGCCAGTTGATCCGCACTCATGGCAAGGCGTCGAGATTTTGGTACTTACGGCATAGGCCACTCACAGAGCTGGCACTTTCACCGCCTAACGGCCCAAACACGCCGAAAGTCCTAGCCCAACTGGGCTCCCAATTACAAACCACTGACGCGCTCGTCTGGGGCCAAAGAGGTCCTCGAAGCGGAAAGAATCTAGAAGAATTGTCGGCTGGTGTTCTCTGGTGCCACGCACCTCGTCGCTAGTATCTGTCAGTACCCCATGTGTTCAGCTCTGCACGAACAGGTGTTTAGTGGGCCCATTTCACCGCCCGAAACTCCAAAAATGACAAAGCCGTGCAGGTGAATTGGCGAGATTGGTCAGTAGCCCCGAACTTTGGCGACACCAAAAGACCTCTGCAAGTCCTCAGTGATGGCATGACTCTGCGACTCGTATCGTTGTGTTGTTGTAAAACAGGTTCGTACTCGTTGCGGGCGGTATCGGCTTTCGGCGGCCTTTCAGTGCTTCTGCACGGGCATACCAAGTCGTGGGTGGTGGTAGACGTTATGGTCCCGCAAAGTCCCAGCCAAGTTGGGCGACCGGTGAGGACAAGCTGTGTGGCGAAGTGATTGCGCATTGCAGCAAGAATGATGCAACTGGCAAGCCCGACAAGTGCTCTGCTCGAGTTAAAGTTAGATGCCACACACCACCGTAGTTCGTAGTCTGTCTGCATCAAGCATTGTATGATCCGGCTTGCAGTAGGGTGACTTGTGATTTGGGCAGATACACTGGGCTTGTTGGAGGGCAGAGAAACAATTTTGAGGGCTTTTCACAGATCCCGTGCCTGCGATCTGCCAGCCTTATCATCGCATCTTCTTCTGTCGCACGCAACTGTCAAGCCTGTATACCAGTCCCTTCACCTGTATCAATGATGTCGTCGAATGGTAGCGACAACGATGAGTGGCCAGAGTAAGTCACAAGTGAACAGTATCGTGAACTACAGCTAAGCGTTCCAGATACGGCGACGTAGTCATCGCGCTGATGGGAATGTCTGGAGCCGGCAAATCCCAATTCATCGACCAGTTCAAACCGAGACCCAGGCCGCTTGTCTCGGATAGCGTAAATCCAGGTCAGTAGCAGCCTCGCCGCGTCGTGATAGAGCTAACTTTGCCAGGCACGCAGCGCGTTGCCATGTACAAATGCCGCCATCGCTCCATGAAGCCATTCTGGTTGATCGACACCATTGGCTTCAACGATCAAGGAATGACCGACGCGCAAGTACTCGGCGAGATTTCAAATTGGATGACCCGGGCATACCTGCGAGACATCAGCTTGACGGGAATAATATACATGCACTCGATCATCCAGCCGCGCTTCGAAAGATCATCAATGCACAACCTTGACCTTTTCGAGAGACTGGTGGGAGTCGATGCCCTCAGAACGGTGCTCCTAGTCACAACGTTCTGGGACCATGTGCCTGAACAACTCGACCGCAGCACAGCTGACAATATTGAACGGCAATTGCGGCGGAACCGCAAATACTGGGGTGGTCTTGTCTCTGCAGGAGCGCAGATGGACCGTCACTATGACACCGTCAGATCTGCTCTCGGTATCATTCGGCGCGTCATCAGCCTGCGAGCTGACTGCGAAGGAGCTGTTTGGACGAGAATGCAGAGGGAGATGAGTGGTGGGGGACCGTTGGGTCAGACAAGAGTTGGTGAGAAGGTTGCTCATCTCCTTGACGACAAGGAGCGCGCTTTCGACCAAGAAAAATATGATATCGAACGCGAGAGACAACGTCTGCTGACCACGAAGGATGAAGACCACCTCGAGAAGCTCAAAGAGCGGGAAGCAAAGCACAAAAAGGAGCGCAAGAGTATCAGGGACGACCGAAAGATACTGCAGACCAGCATAGCCGATATAGAGGAGGAATGCGCAAGGCTGCAGATCCGAGTGCGAGGAACGGATGAATCTTCACTTCATCATCGCGACGCAATGCTGGCCGAGACGCGTGAGTTGCAGGCCAGACTGAAGAAGCTAAGATCAGGAAAGCGGCGCAGACTGTGACGAGGTGGACGACTTCGATCTTTTGACCGCTTTGATGGTGTTCACTGATGCAACAGCTTGTTGTTGGATGTCGTGGGAAGGTAACTCATAATCCAGTTCGGAAAGGAAATTTGTTTGGGGTTGTTTTGATTGATTCCACTTTCAGGCAAGGCCCGTTGACTGGGCCGACCCGAGCGTAGCGCGGCGTTCTGGGTACGCGTCCAAGGCCCCGAAGTGCGTGCGATGGGGGCTTTCTTGTTACATTCTGCCATGTCTTACGAAGCAATCTTCCTGGGGATGTAGAACAGCAGTGTAGTAATACTAGATTATTCTATTCAGCCAGGATGCTTGTAGCAACCCCAAAACTTCAGCGACATCGTCATAAGCCGCTGTGAGACGTCGCCTGACATTGGGCTGCAATATTCATGCTTTGCGAGTACCACCAATCGAGCTGTCCCACGTGATTTCGATGCCGTCTTCCGACGATGTGAGGCAACGTCGTACCCAATGCAGCTCGAATAAAAATGCTTGTGCTTAGGGCGGGGACAACCTCTCAACATGCTATCTCGACACGACAACCTTCTCCATCATACTCAGTCAACCACCTCCTGAAACTCCCCCACCGCCAACGGCGGACTCACCTTCAAATCCACCAACCCCTTCAAACACCAATACATACTCTCATACGAATCCGCACACCCATAGAAGCCCCACTTCCTCGCCTTCCTGGTACTCAAACTCAAAGCCCACCCTCCGATGACCGCGGAGTCACAAATCCCAAACGTCTTCCCAACATCCTCAAACGGATCGATCCTCAACCCATGCCTAGCCTTCAGCTGCTCCCATGCTTTCTGCACCTTCGCACTCGCCGCCCACTCGCACAGCGAGAACGTTGAGCGCGTGATGCCGCGAGGCCCGTAGCCGCGCGGGGTCTGCGTCCAGCGGGATTCGGTGGTGCGGTATTTCTGCGGGTCATCTGAGGGCGGTGTCCAGCTCGTGCCGTACCAGGAGGCGAGGTAGGGAAAGAAGCGTGACCACGTGAACGGGGTCCCGTCGCTAGCGTTGAAGGCTTGGTTGCCCGCGTTGGGGTGGAGGACGGCAAATTCCTCGAGGTAGGCGTTCAGCATTGCGGAGCCTGGGAAAGTGAGTTTGAGGGGACTGCGAGAAGCAAGGCAGCTGGTGAGTAGGACTTACTTTGGCAGAATTCCCTGTCCCATGCTAGGTAATCGCCAGGGAATTCCAGCGGCTCGCCGAGATGCGCTTGCACGGCGCCATAGATGGCGAAGCCAACCATATGGTTCAGCAGGTTGTCACGGACGGCGCCGATAATGTACGACGGCCGCACTACATTCCACTGGGCGCCGGTCTCCTTGCAATATGCGTCGAGTGCATCTTCCTGAGGGTAGTAAAAGTTGTTCTCGAGAGTTACCCTAGGATCTGTCTCGAACGATGGGTTCGTGGCAGGGCCGATGTGGAAGCCATACTGCTTGGCACCAGTCTGCAGGAGGAAGCGCTTTGGCTTAAGGTCGGCGTCCTTGAGACCCTGTGTGAAGTTGACGATCAGGTCGGCTGGTTAGTCTGTGGTAAGTAAGAGCACACGTGGTTTCTAGAGGAGTAGTACTGTTGAGCTTCGCTAGCGCGTCGGCATCGGACCACATGCCCAGGACCGCCCCTTCCTGCTTGGTGGTTGCGAAGGAGAAGAAGAACACATGGTCCCTGAGACGGAGCAATGTCAGCTGTGCTTGATCTGCTTTGGTCCGATCGGACCGGTATCGCTTACACCTTGTCAATCTTGCCTTTGAGCGACTTGCCAATGCTGCCGGAGGTATCCAGGAAGTCGACCTCGACGTGCTCAACACGACCGGCAGCGCCTTCACCGAGGTCCTTGAAGAAATAGTCCGGCGGTGGCCGTCGCGACAAGCAGTAAATCTTGGCCCAGCGTTGCGGAGCTGCGGCGAGAACTTTGACCATATGGTAGCCGCTGATGCCATTGGCACCGGTGACGATGGCGGTGAGGCCCTGGTACCCCTGGTCGTCAGGATAAGTTGGCAGAGCATGGAAGATGCCATCCAAGCGAACGAGGGTGGTTTTGTCCGTCATCTTAGATGCTGGGTCCTCGAGATGCGTTGGGCTGGAGAAGTGAGATGATCCAGAAAATATCTGGAGACTGGCACGAGGGGAATCGGAATACCATCACGAACCGGGTGGGTGATTGAGTTCTTGTTTCCCCGGCCAAAAGTCTCTGAACGTGCGGGGACGGCCAATCAGAACAGAAGGTCACCATCTTGCGAAGCAATCTTGTACCTCGGACGAGTGCTCAGAGACACTTGCGCCTGTTTTCCGGGTGGTGCTCTGGTGTGATCATGTACACAGCATTTTGTGAGACCCTAACATCGTCCTTATTAGCCTGAGGTCGGAAACCTCCTGAAGTTCTTAGCCTTGGTCTACGTCTCAATCTCAGCCCCAAACAGCGGTCATGCAACCAATCGAGCTGTCCCATGTGATTCCAATTCCGCCTTCCGACAATGTGAGGCAACTGTACCCAATGCAGCTCGAATGAAAAGGCTTGAGCTCAGAGGTGAGTCTCTCAAGAAGTACGTGGACGCTTTCGTGCCGAAACGAACTCGACCTCGTCCACCATAACGATATCATCGTCACCGTCATCCTCGACCTTGATCTCGCTATCTTCACTTTTTACCTTGCGGATGCTCTCTTTGACCAGCTTGGAGACACTCAGCGACAAATAATCGGCAATGCTAGGAGGCACAGCCCGCGGGATGCCCTGCTTGTGAATGTCTTCCATTGACTGACATGGCTCGGCTCCTGGAGCTGGGACCTTGTGGAGATATAGGATGTAGGGTTCGTTGTCGTGCTGCAGGAGGTATGGTTGACCGCATTCGCCAATGCACTGAGTGCGATGCTCCGGACCTGCTGGTTGCGTTTCGGTGGGAACCTGGGAGGCAGTGTCAGTCGTTGACGTAGTGATCTCGTTCAGAAGTTGACTCACGCTATCAGCGGTTTGAGTGCCGACTGACGCCGATTGTGTAGCTTCTGCGGCTGGTGCTATCGCAACAGAATTAGAGCGGCTGGACGGATCAGTGCCAGGCTGAATGTCAGGACCCTGCGCAGGTGCTTCTGGGACGGCGTCTGTCGACTGTAGATCATTCGAAGGAGCCGAGCGACTAGACTGATGTGAATAAATCGTATCAGTCGTGCTCGCCGACGGGCCATCCAGCTCCACTTCGCTGCGGCCACTATCCTTAGAAGCTCGCTTTGCAACTCGGGCAGACCAGGTACCAGACTTCGGAGTAAACGGACTTGTACGCATCGCTAAGCTCGGACTGTCCGGTTGGGACAATCTAGTAGTACTGCTGTGAACCGGAGTAGACACAGCCGCGTGGCCATCAGCTTCGATCTCGTCATCTGAGTCTCCGCCATCATCGTTGTGGACAGAGGCTGCGAATGTCTTGCGCTGCGGCGGGAGTGGAGAAGGATATGTGTCTGAGATCGAAGGGGTGGCGGGATGAGTAGACTGAATCCAGAAGGGCAGCTCTCGCAAGCGGGCCACCGAAGTGAGATACTGCGAGCCAGGCCGCAGACCTCCGAAGGCGACCTTGCAATCTGTCTGTGGCACAGTCCTGTAGGGACAACCGCAATCGAAATACCCAATGGGGGGCATGTTGACGTGAACTGAGATGTTAGCGGTGCTTCCGATGAACCTCTTGAGAGTGACTTACCATGCGACCAATGAATTCGGCCAAGTCCTCCTGGCAATTCGTGCCTTCGTGAAGCACGACAACATAGCGACTGTCTAGACCATGGTGTTTCGTGAGAATATTACTAGTCATCGTCTCCCAAGACACTCGTAGCTCGTTCGCTCGATCTGTCTGTTCGATCGCCACGGCGCGGGGACATTCTCGGACACGGTCTCGCACCATGTGCATGAAATCCTTGCATTTCGAGGCGTCAATGGTATCCAATCTGCGGCCGGCTTCGTTGACGATTTCGTGGATGATGTCCTCAACAATATGGTCGCAAGTAAAGGGCGCCTTGTTGAGGTTGGCGTTGATATCTTCACCAGATGCTGTAAGCAACTGGGAAAGTTGGCAGTCTGAACGATTGTGAGCGCGTGCGAAGTCGAACCATTTCTCGTGGATGAGGATAGTGCCATTGGGTGCCATTAGCAGATCTGTACCAACTCCTCCTCCCTGAACTACCTCTATCGACAGGGTTGCAAATTCAGGCTCAAGCGCCAGGCATGCCTTGATCGATCTGATGACTGTCTGGGCGAACATGGTATCTGGAATGGCAATCCTCGCCGACGTCGAGAACAAGAGCGTCTTCCACTCCTGTGGTGACTTGACAAGCTCATGCTTCTGTAGTATTTTCCACAGAGGAAGCGGTAGCGCGACAGCCTTGCATTTGAGATCCGAGACAATGATGTTGTGGTCGCTCTTCGCAGAGGCAGCCATGCTAGCATCACGTGGATACAGAAAGCCATTGGGATTTTTGGCGAGTAAACGTTTCTTGATAGCTTTGGCCATAGAAGCGTCGACGTTCTTCTCCGCCATGCGAATGTCCATGGCATTCTCGTGATCCGAAAAAAGGCCGATGTACCGGTCGACAAGGCGCTCATCGCGCATAGCTTGCTTCCAGATGCGTGTGATGCGCTCAGCAACGTCGTCCGGATGCATCAACTTTCTGTCGCGGTCAATGTCACCGTTGAGCAGGTTGTAGGAAAATACCGGACCGCCGTTCCGCGAGCCATTGGCAGCCACATGCATTCCTTTCAGGTATAGCTTCCCAGACAATCCATCATCCAGCACGAGATCGCCGTGGGCTGTGTGGACTGGTGGGATGGTCAAGTTCAGAGCCTGGATATCGAAGGACACAGTGAGCCATTCCCTCACATCGTCGATGGTGACTTTGTGATTAGATCCACGTGCGCGCCCAATCTCGACGCAGACGTCGTAAGCCGCACTGTACGCATGCTCGTTACGATCCCGGTCGGCCGCGGTCAGCTTCTTGTGGTCTTTGACCTGGCTGAGCCGGTACTTGACAGTGCCCTTCTTGAAGCTGAAGTTCCAGTAATAGCCGCTGGCTGTGATGCGCACCTTGCGGGCTTCGCGCAAGAAGACCACTGCAGCTAGCTTCAAGCCCTCGCCGTGGCATCCAGCTGTTGACTCTTGATTCCGCTTTGAAGAAGGACCAAAGTTGAGGAACCGTCTTTGTAGCTGGGCATTGAAGTTGACGAGCTCCAGAGAACCAGTCTTGCCGCGGAACCGGATGAAGCCGAGTAGCTTGCGATCATGGACGGCATGAAATGTGATGCTGATGTCATCGCCCTGTTCCACTAACTTGAGCAGCAAAGCTTGTGGGATTAGGTTGTTGGTTGAGATGATGGCATCCTTCCTGTGTGAGTGTTAGAAGGGCCATGGTTGATACCGCTATCAGATGACCCACATGTTTTGAAGCAGCTCGCGGAAAGCGTCTCGCTCGGTCCAACTGCGGACATAGTCTGAGGTTATGCTAAGTGTGCCTGAGCGGTTCTTTAGTTCCTCGGCATCGGAGAGTCCGTCTTCCTCGGAGCTCGATTGATCGTCGTAGTCAACTGGGTCATTTCGGATGTTCTTGCGACCGTAGGGGCTACTGAAGAGCGCCATGACGGGCAGGTGACAAGTCAGCAGTACCGACTGAAGGTTGTCCGCGGTCTGTAATTTAGCTGAAGAAGAGAGAGCAAAAGAATAGGAGTCAGCGAACGAAGGAAAGAAGAAATCAACGTTACAAACAGGCGTCTTTATCTGCGATTAGGTGGCGGAATTGCTTCACTCACGGATTCTTCACTTAAAGGTGGGGCATAACTTCACCTGAGCTAGGTCACAATTGACGAATTGACCGGAGCGTCTCATCGAAGCCGTCCTCGACATTTGGGAGCTATGAAGCGGTCCGTGAACAGAACACTGGAGCCACTGGAAACGTAGATCTGCGGTATGCCGTATGTCTGGTGCCATTGCTTTCGTGGAAAAGACGCCCATCAGTGCAGAAGATATCACGATCTGTACGACTTTGCTTGGCTGGGATTGAATCGAACCGATCATGCTTCGACCGTCAAAAGCATGCCGCCCACAAGTTGCGTGTCGGTTGGCTACTGGGGCTGTGCTGGAGTAGCTGAGGTACTCCTACTTTCTCATCACCATGAAAGAGCACACAGACATACGAGATCATGGTTCAAGAACTGCCGCGGCCGCTTTCTCTAGAATGAGCCATGGGTATTGTCTGGAAGGTCAACAGTGAGTCGTTCGCTCAAGCTCTAATGTTTTCCTCTCAGCGGAGCGGTCAGTCCCGGCTTGGCATCATCAGACCCACCTCCATGCATGACCGCAGACGATCGCCTCGAAGGAACACGTCGTCCAGAAATCAAGACGCCCGGTACATGTTCTTCACACGGTGCCTGTTTCCCCTTTGCCTGTGCTCAATATAGAGGCATCGCCCAGCATGGCTTCAAAGCCCCCACAGAAAGTCAATCTCTACTCATTACCAGGTACAACTCCCACCCAGACCAATCACCAGACCGCGTCCCCAGGCTCAAGGCATCTCCGTCCTATGCGTCCTGTGGCCCGCATCTGCCGTCCAGCCAAAGCCTTTTTTGGGCCAGGAAAAGCTGGTCACGACTGACACCACCTGCAGAACTCCGCTCCGCCGTCGACGAAGCCATCCCAGACTACCTCACCACCCTCCCCAAACCCTACGCATTCGCCCAAGACCACGCCTACCCCAATGTCCGCCTCGCCCTAGGCTACACCGCAGTCCTGATCGCTGGCGCTCTGTTCGCCGTTGACTGGAAGTATGGCTGGGAAGTTACGAAACCCTACACGTTACCAGCATGCGTCGCGTACTTCCTACTGAACGGCGCAATGACGCTGTGGATTTGGGCTGTCGAGAGCGGGACGATATTTCAGGGAAGGAGGGAAGGTGGCCAGAAGGTGAGTCGGACCGCCACCAGCAAAGCCAGACCAAGACCCGTGGAGCAGCACGAGGGAGGGAAAATCAAACGCACCAGTACTAACAAATGTTTGAACTACAGCTGAAACTGGCATCGCACGTCCAAAAACCAAACCCAGAATACATCCTCACCACGACCTACTCCAGCCCTCAAGGCGACAAAGTCTGGCAAAACAGCGTAACCTCCATACCTTTCGCCCACCTTTTCAACGTCCACGGCTTCCTGCAGAAGAAGGAACTACATAAGTTCCTCGCGAAGAAGATCGAGGTAGTCGGACTAGCAGATCCGAAAAGTAAGGCGGCGAGGATGGAGTGGCAGGTCGAGGCCGGGGAGGGACTTGAGGTAGTGGAGCAGCCGGATCGTGACAGTGGGGAGGATGCAATTGAGGTGGTACCGCCTTCGGGAGCCGGTGCGGCTGCAGCGGCGACGCCGTCGAAACGGGGCCCAGGCAGACCGAAGAAGAAGGCTTGAGGAGGGAAGTGACGCGCTGGTCATTTGTTCAGGACGTCAATCAGCAGCACGAAAAGCGGTTTTGCATCACATGGCTGCTATCAAGCGAGCGAGTGTATTACTATGAGCATATCATGAATCGATGGGGACGAAGATCAGCAAGGCATGCATCAATGGCGGCGTGGCGTACTAGACAACGGAAAGGTCTCAAGTCCCCCTATGCTATGGCGGACTGGCCATGTCAAGTTCCTGTAGCATTGCGCAGCCCTTTTCTCTTGCACAAGAAGCACCCCAAAGTTCGGAGACATGTACGCTGCCAAGCCTGCTATCCGTGCAACCTGCTCTGACCACGAGTTCTACGTTCATCAAGACCATCGCAGTATTGCCGCTCCTACACTCCGTTCGACCAGGGGCGGAGCAGAGTAACGCACTGCCAATGAATGGCATCACGGCAAGATGTCATATAAATTCTGCCAAGTCACCTTTCGCTGTTGCCTTGTGCAAGACAGCTCCCCTAGCAGGCCTCAGGCATTGGCAATCGCAGCAAGGCGGCGCCGTCCTAGTCTGAGCCAAATGGTCTCTACTGGGTGAGCTAGATCAGAGGATCTCGTCTTCCCTCCTCACAAGCTGCAATGGGGATCCCCTACGACAAATCCCAATCTAGCCCATGGTTCTACGCAAAGATTGCATTGCTCCTTCCTTTCGCGCTCGCCTATGAATGGTGCCGTCCCAGATGGTTCAGACTTTTTCCGCCTGCCAAACCAATTGAAACTCCTTGGGATCAACGTTATCGAGCAGATGCTACGAAGAGCAGCACTGAAGCGTCGAAGCAAGACGCCCTGTTCCTGAATCTTCCACTAGAAGTACGCCATGCGGTCTACCAACTCATCCTACCCGCGCAGACATTCCACCTAAGTCTAAGCATTTACGGCGGCGTCCCCGTAAGCAAATTCAAATGCCTTCATCCACAATTCCATGCCGACTCGGTGCATGGAGACTGCCATGGGTATAGGGTCAAGCAAGACGCGCTGGACCTGCTGTCACTACCATTGGTCTGCAGACAGACGTATGGCGCGCTTCCCTTTTACAACGTGCTCCCGGCTGACAGCTACTCAGGCGTGACGAAGCACTCCCAATATTGTACCAAAACACCTGGCTGACGTTCTCGCAACCATTCTGCTTTCTGAGCGTTTTCGACGCACTACCGCCAGATCTAACAACGAGCATTCGGCATGCTTCGTACCACCGATCGATCGACATGAAGCTCATACGAGCCCAACCCGTCGCCATGGAAGAGTGGCACCGCTTCTGCGCCTTCTGGCCAAAGCATTTCAGCCCAAGCTTCAATCTCCACCTCTCTGCCTCCCCATTCAGAGACGGAGCTCGACGTATCCGCCATCCACAGCACGAATCCGATGTAGACTGGTTGCGTCCCTTACTGTCGCTAGCCCGGCGGATTCAGCTCTGGCTCCAGATCCCGTCTGGAGACTCCGGTGCTCATCAGCGCCATGCCGAGAATCGTTTCGCCCGATCATCCACGGTCGGTACACTGCCTCCAGGACCTCCAGGGCTCGCCACACCCGCACCACTCGAAGCATTCGCCGCAGCCGACTTCTTCCGCGCCGGCGGCACGAGGGAAACGAGAATTGAGCAGCAGAGGGATACGATGAATGTTGTTATTGACCTTAGTCATATGGTTGAAGCGGACAGGGCAGAGGAGGAACTCGTCGCCGACTTGCAAAGACAGGTTCAAGATGCACTGTGGAAGTGGAAGCCGTATGGCCGGCTCATCGGCGATGACTGACTAAGTAAATTGCCTGGTAGACTCAGAAGATGGATGAACACGTATGTAAGTGCCTCGCAGAGAAACGAAGATGTCGTCAAACTGGTCGTTGCCTCCACCTGAGATGTGACATATCTGGCAAGGTCGACTAGGACCAATCCAATAATCGCGAATGTATCTCACTTAGGGCATCGACACACCATCGGCAGGCACGATCTATACGAGAGCCAACTCCGGAGACTGCTTTTGGACGACCTCTCGTCAAAGCCGGAAAATGTTGAGTATGTCAGTACAGTCGATCAGTGGGAGGTGTTGATTTTTCCTATCTAGCCACACACATCCATGATTGAAGCTGATGAAACTTGTTGCCAAAGACAAGTCCGTTGAGTGACTGTCCTGGCCTCCATCTTTCGTAATCCATGACGGTCGAGCGCATGATCTCAACATCATCCAAATCGTTGAAGTACTTTTTCCGCACGGGTCCTTGTTTTGTCCCGTTATCCCAGTCTATATGCGTTGAGCATATCAAGGGGTATCATCGTCATTCGCTCAATGAAAGATTCCCCAAGCCCGAAACACCTGTTGAAATGCGTGACCTCCAAACAATAACACTGAACTAAGGGGTCGCTTAGTAGCGATAGATCTCCGACTTGAAGGGTCCCTTGACGTCCAGACCCAGATACTCGGCCTGCACATCGGTGAGCTTCGTCAACTTGGCATTGACATGCTCCAGGTGCAGCAAAGCGACTTGCTCATCCAAAATCTTGGGTAGGACGTAGACACCAATATCCTTCTTGCCCACCTTGCCGAACTCGGGGTACTTCGCACCGAACTTCTCGTCCTCAGCCTTGTACAACATGATCTGTGCAAGGACCTGGTTTGAGAATGAGCACGACATGACGAACGATGAGTGGCCGGTCGCGCATCCCAAGTTGACGAGACGGCCCTCAGCGAGCAGGATGATGTTGCGGCCGGAGGGCATGGTGTAGCGGTCGACTTGGGGCTTGATGTTCTGAACGGACTTGGCGGTCTTCTTGAGCCATGCAACATCGATCTCGATGTCGAAGTGGCCAATGTTGCAGACGATGGCATCGTTGCGCATGGCCTCAAAGTGCTGGCCAACCAGGATATCACGGCAGCCAGTTGTGGTTACGAAGATCTGACCAAGCTTGGCGGCTTCGTCCATGGTGTTGACCTCGAATCCGCTCATGGCGGCTTGCAGTGCGTTGATGGGGTCAACTTCAGTCACGATGACACGTGCACCCAGGGCGTGCAGGGACGCCGCACAGCCTTTGCCGACGTCACCGAAGCCGGCGACGATGGCGATCTTGCCAGCAATCATGACGTCTGTAGCACGCTTGATGCCATCGATGAGAGACTCCTTGCAGCCGTAGTGATTGTCGAACTTGGACTTGGTGACTGAGTCGTTGACGTTGATGGCAGGCACGAGCAGGCCACCCTTCTTGAGCATGCGGTAGAGATGGTGGACACCGGTAGTCGTCTCCTCCGAGACACCGTAGCAGTCCTTGAGCATCTCCGGGTACTTCTCATGGACAAGTGCAGTCAGGTCGCCGCCGTCATCGAGAATCAGGTTGAGGGATTTGCCAGAGGGGAAGGCCTTCAATTGTTGCTCCAAGCACCAGTTGTACTCTTCCTCGGTCTCACCCTTCCAGGCGAAGACTGGTGTGCCGCCAGCAGCAATGGCAGCTGCAGCATGATCTTGTGTAGAGAAGATGTTGCATGATGACCAGGTTACTTCGGCACCAAGGGCTTTGAGGGTCTCGATTAGGACGGCGGTCTGGATGGTCATGTGAAGACAGCCAGCAATACGGGCGCCGGCCAAAGGCTGGTCGGATGTGTATCGCTCTCGGATGTTCATGAGACCTGGCATCTCAATCTCGGCCCTGTTTGATGTTAGAGTTCAACATGTCGCTCAGCGAAGGGGGAATGCCTACAATTCAATCTCGCGACGGCCAAAGGCCGCCAACGAAATGTCGGCGACCTTGAACTTCTGTGCTGGGGCGGACATGGTGGATGATGCGTTGATTTGGTGTCTGTGTTGTATGAGGAGAGTATTCTGATGTGTGTGTGTTGTTGACTATATCAATCATTGAAAAATTTCTGAGGAAGCGGTCTCTTTGAGATTTGGAGATCCCTTCCAATTCGCGGCGGGGCAACCACCCGGCAATTCTCAACCCGCCGCCTTATGGGCAGTGGGGGTGTTTCAGGGTCCTCCGTCCGATGGACAAATCCCACGATCGCCTCGACTGCACGTTGCTGTACCTTGCATGAGCACCAAGGGTTCGTGTGCATCGTTGCACAACGTCGTCTGAGCAATTATTCCCGATGCTATGTCTGGTCGATTCAAGAAGCAGCGGCTGGGCCAATGCTTTCGCCGTCTGCCTCACGGCCAGCACCCACCTGGGCCATGGGAGATCAGCAATTGTAATGTGACTGGCGCTCAACACCACCCAAGGCAAACGGTAATGTACCGATGTTGTCGGCGACGAGTTTCTGTACTGTCGATATATTCTGGTCTAGTTGGGTAAGCATGCGGCCACGGAATGAGGCATTTGCTCCACGTGCCTATTTCGCATACAGTTCACGCTCGCCGTTGTTGCTCAATAAGGCATGTACCAGTGGCTTCTCGAAACTTGATTCATGATCAGGTACAATCACGTTACCAACCTGTCGGGTGCAGCAAAGATGGTTATAGAAGTCTGGGGTCATTTCCACAGGATTGCACCTTCCGACCTCTTCGGCGGATTCGCAATGCCTGGCTGATTGCGCCATAGCTCGCCATTCCACCTCGCAGTCACCTCTACACAAGCGGTGTGCACAACACTTCGCGACTTCTATCAATACCTATAGAAACATCTCTACCACACTCCTCTTAAGCATTCGATAAGTATTCTGAGGTTCTGGCCACACCATGACCGCAACCGTGGCCACGGCATGGTCGTCAAACTTGTCGCCGGTTGACAAGGTTGCTCTCATGCCAGAGCTCTTTGCATCTTCCCCATACCTCGACAGAGAACACCTGCTGGATCTCAAACCTCTTGACGAGCAAAGCCGCCTATTCGCACTTGCACTTAGCACCCTGCAGCCACGAACACCGGAGTATGCGACCACCAAGTACGAAGATAGCCTTGATCTGGATCTAGTCTTGGCGAAGCTCAAAGACCTTCTGCAGGAGGCCGATCTGCAGTGGAAGCACCAAGACTTCTATGTCGTCGAGTTCCGGTCACAGCTGAAGCCACAGATCGACAACCCTTTGCTTTTCAAGCTGGACAAGGAATCGCATCGCGAGGCGAACACCAGTGGTGGTCTGTTGAAGTACTGGTATGGGGAGCCTGATGCAGAGCGGAGAAATCTGGCCACTTGTAAGTGCAGGAATACGAGCTCATAGCCCATCTATTCATCCGCTCGCGTCGACATGAACATGCTACCTTACCTCAACGGTCTTGTGTACGAAGACTAACACAGCGTAGGCTTCTGGACCAATAAGGAGGCTGCAATCGCCGGAGGCAGAGGTCCTCTGCATAAGCAAGCTCGGGCCATCATACCTCAGATGTACGAATCCATTCACGTCAAAGGGCTGCGATTCGCGATCACGGATGCTGCCAGAGAGTGGAAGCTGGAGCCATACTTGTGACATCCGCTGCTGCACCGTAATCTGTGACGGAAGCATTCGTGTGGACTAGGGTGTGGCGACATCCGATTCACTAACACTGGTACCAAGCGATGCATTGTTGGAGACCACCAAAAGCAACGATAGATAAGAAGCATCAAAATTGACAGGCGAACGTGTCGCAAGCATGGGTTAGATATGGCGTTCAGAAGGGTCAAGCTCCGACGACCAAAAGCTGGACTCGTCGTCGAGTTGATTTGAGCGTTTTCAGATAGCATTGAAGCAAAGCTCGCATAAGTATTCAAGCAGTATCTTTTCAACACGAGCAAAGCACAACTCATATGGTCATGTAATTTGATCGCAGCGCTCACAGTTCAGGTTGATGTCGACCACCCATAATCGCGCTATCCCTCATTCATCGCTAAAGCCTTGGCACCCGACCTGCGGGCAGGAGCTCCGAGCCTGCGTCTCTTGCAAGACCTCTCCCCAAAGCTTCGAACGCCAGCACCTTCCACAAAACCTCCACTACATCTCCCCTCCTCTTACGCGTTGAGCTTCCGTCACCAAGCACATATAGACGGACCACTCAACCATGTCCGCCGCCCGTGCATTCCGGCCTGCGCTGGCCGCTGCTCGACGAACAGTAGCTCCCCGAACGGCCTTCCGAGGATACGCTACACCTGCTGGTCCGGATTCGAAGCCGCCGGTTGCACTGTTTGGTGTTGATGGGACTTATGCTAGTGCTTTGGTACGTTCAAGCTACGGATAGGAACCAAAGGGGCCACGGCCGCGGTCGCAGCAACTTGAAGAACACGACCTTCAACAAATCTTAAGCCTACAATAAGCTAATGTTAACTCCTACAGTACACCGCCGCGGCCAAACAGTCAACCCTCGACCCAACCGCCCGCGCCATCGCCTCCCTCCTGCAAGTCCTCAAGAACGAGCCCCGTCTGCAAGGTCTCATCGGCGCGCCCACCCTCACCCAATCCGACAAGTCGCAGATCGTGGCCGAGCTGGAGAAGCACACCGGCGGCGCTGATAAGTCTGGCACGGTGAAGAACTTCTTATCGACACTGGCGCAGAATAACCGGTTGGGGTTATTGCAGAGTGCGTGTGAGAAGTTTGGCGAGTTGATTAGTGCTGGGAAGGGGGAGTTGGAGTTGAAGGTTGTTAGTGCGCAGGTGAGGCACGCCCCTACACTCATTGGAGTCATTGGTAGAAAGCAGGAGACAGGTATGCTAAACAGATGACAGGAACTGGACAACCGCACCCTCAAGCGCATCGAGCAGGCAATCAGCAAGTCAGAATACAGCCAGGGCCAGAAGATAAAGGTTACGCCAAAGGTTGACCCTTCGATCTTGGGCGGATTGATCGTTGAGATTGGCGAGCGGACGATCGACACGAGCGTTGCGGCCAAGGTGTCGAGGTTGAACAAGTTGCTGCAGGAGAGCGTGTAGGCTGGTATCGGGATAGTGGTGGAGCAGCTTTCTGTTGTGGGAGGTGGCTGAGGCAAACCCTGTGGCTCGATACCGAAGGGCCAGTGTACTGCCGGACGAAGGCTTCGTAGGACTGGGGTGAGCGTGCATCGACTTAGAACGTTTTGTGAAAAATCCAGAGACCAAGTTCCAAAGCATACCGTCAGAGCCTCTACGCCGGGAAAGGCATCGTTGTCTACTTAATCCTGACTACTGTGGAAGTACACTCCATCTTCGACGCCCAACGCAACGGGCTACATCTTGATTGGGCTTGTTTTGTTCTGCGTGATCAGAGCGACCGGGTCGGTTCTGGGATGCTGCCCCCTTTAAGTGCCAAGCATAAATATAAATCCACAGACCAGTCCATCAAATCGCTTGTGCATCCTTGCTAACTATTTCTCCTCCAAAACATCAAGAATATCAGCTCTTTCGCCTCTGTAGCGGAAGACGTAAAACCACACCTGGGTATCAGCACGTTCACTTGCGGCCTTCGCAAAGTCGTGCATATGCCTTACAGGCAGCGAAAGAACTTCTGCACCGAGTAACGACGAAGTCATGGTAGGTACTGACGCAAATGACGCCGGATGACAAGCCGCAGAAACGCCGAATGACGAGAAAGATCACAATGAGATAGATAGACGGCTCTTGACGGAATGGATGAGAAACAGGTTACTCATTTCGCTGCTTGAACGCTAGAGAGACAGGCTAGGTATGTAGGGGCACACTTGTATCACACTGACACGTAAGTAAGTACAAGCCAAATCCGCATGCCCAACGGTTTTGCCAATGTCGCCAACTCGGATGGTCCTGCTCTAGAGCCAACAGGGGGTGGAAAGGCAGTCCAGCATTGCAACTTTTTTTTGCAACTGTTTTTTCAACACACTCGACTTGCCACAGGCAGCCACCCTCTCGCACCTCACGGCACCCCACCCCTCCCCTCCAACCGACTAACCAACCTCCGCATACCCATCCACTCCTCAGTGTTGCCCTCTCCCGTTCCGCCCTGCAATCCCTTCCCAACCTCAAACACACTCACCACCCCATCCAAGCCCCCCGCCGCCAAATACCCACCCCTCCGCTCCTCCCACGCAACCTTATTCAGTCCCCTGAATGGCATCACGCCGTTCTTCCCCCTTGATGGCGCGATCTTGGTTATGGGGACGTCAGCGTCGTAGAGCAAATCGAAGACTTCCAGCTCGCCGGCGCCGGTGCACGTAGCGAAGATGGAGGGGCGGTGCGGGTGCCATTTTGCGTCGTAGATTAGGTCTTCGCGGGGGATGTCAAGGAGGGGTGGGAGGGGGGTGGGTTGATTTGAGGGCGTGTTCGTGCCGGTTAGGCTGAGTGGAGTTGCTGCCAATGTGGCTGAGGTGTTGTTGGTGGCTGCGGCGGCGGCGGCGGCGGAGGAAGATGTTGCGGCTGCGGGTTTCACGCGCCATAGCTTGAGGGACCAGTCTGAGGAAGAAGAGAGGAGGAGATCGCCGAGGTCGACGGGCCCACGGGCAGGATGGAAGTGGGTGGACATGACAGGCGCGGTGTGGCCGCGGTAGGCGAGCCGTGTGTCGACGCCGGCTTTGGCGCCGGCGCGGTCGTAGCGGTGGCAGGGGTAGATGGAGCCTTCTTCGGTGCCGACGAGGAAGAAGGTCGGGTCGGCGGCGGGGAATGAGAGGCTTGTGGGCGCGAGGTCTTCTGTTTTAGCGGGTGGAGGGGTGTGTAGGACATGGTATTCTTGGGCTTGGGTCAGCATGTCGAATGACCAAGAGCATACGACGCCGTCCATGCTGGCGGTGATGATATTGTGTGCGTTAGGCGTGCCGATGATGGAAATGTTGTAGACGGGGTGGGTGTGCCCGAGGTGGCTGCCGGATTGTGGTGTCCGCTGCACCGGTTGAGGATTGTTCGACGCGTGTCCCATAGGCAGATCTGGCCAGAGTAGCAGCCACCAATCACATAGTTGGGATGGAAGGGCGAGAAGCGCGCCGAAAGCACGTCTGAACCGCTGGCAAAGACATATTCGGGCCGTGAGGGAGCATGTGTATTCCAGAGAAGGACTTGGCCTGGTGACTCGTTCGGAGCGGAGGGGTTCTTGGTATAGGCAGTGAGGACGAGTTCGGGAAAGTGTGGTGAGGACTGAATGTCGGAAATCATGCGTCGGCGGGAGTGTCGGTCCGAGAAAAGTTGGAGGGATTCTTTGAGGGAGTGAGACTTCCTGGTGGAGCGGCTGTAGGTGGTGTCGTCTTCGTCGTCTTGTAGTGCGGCGGCGCGGGTGTAGTCTGCTAGCAGATCATACTCCTCATCCAAAGCGCGTTCGATGACCTTAGAAGAGCGCTCGACGAAAGAGATGAAGTCTGTGGAAGCTGTGACGGCATTCATCTCGTTGTCGGTAAGAGTGCGGAGCGGGAACCGCTGCTTCTGCGAGTCGCCATTGACTTGGTTGCCTATGTGGCCGTTCTGGGTGGCCTGTAGCTCGTCTTCGATCTCTCTTCGTAGCTGAGCTCGGATGGCTTCTTCCTCTTCGGCGGTCTTCTTGCTCGAGCGCCGCCTTGATCTTTTCCTGATATCATCTTCGTCACTACCTTCGGTGGGCGACTCATCTGACCACGGATCGGTCTGCACGGCTTTGGTGTAGGTGATGTATTCTTTGCTGGGTACAACCGTTGTTGACCAGGGCGGCACTGACTCGCTACCAACATTGAGGACAGCTTCGGTGGTCTGAGTCGACATAGAGACCATGGCAGGCCGCGGTGATGGTGCGGCGGCTTCATGGCTCTGGTCCGAGAGCGCACTCGGCCTCACGCTTTCCCGTCTATTGGCGCCCACAACTCCGATACTGTCTCGTTTGCGATTTAGGACATCGTCGACGATGTTGTCAATGTCTGCTCGCCGCTCCTGGGCGGTCCGTCTGGGTGAGGGTGCATCTGCTCCGCCTATACTTCGTCGGCTGGCGACTTGCTCTTGCTTCAGGGCTCTCTGTTGACGCAGCTCCGCTAGCCGGGCCTTTTTGGCCAGCAATTCTTCGGCTACGGAGGGCATAGTGTGTGATCTGTCATCGAGGCATAGGCATGGCTTCAAGAGACCGTATGCATATCGTGTTGGATCGCGTCTCGAAGTACCGCGATTATGCGGAGGAAGTGTTGGAGTCAATAGAGTATTTTGGGTGAGACCAGATTAGGAAACAAGCTTTGGTTCCTGGCGGCTTCTGCTTTTTGTTCTCGCCGGCAAAAGCGAAGATCGAGGTACATACAGCTCAACCAATCTTGCGCCCAATCGCCCTACGAATTTCCTTGCCTTCGCTCCTTCCTCGACTAGCATCGTCATCTTTTGGCCAGACTGAGTGCAAGCTTCCGAGTCCTTCCTCCACGACCAGGGCGTACCGGGTACGGTCAACAGAAATATGGCTACAAGTCAAGGAGTGAACGTGAGAACTCCCTGTGCTTCATTGCAGCTGCAGATGGATGCGTGCATTCGATTTCAGGGCTTCACTGACGCTTCTAGGTACTCCGGTACTCAGCGCTCGTGTTCGGCGTCTTCTACGGCTTCACCCATCAAAGAACCCTCACAGCTAGCGCCAAAGCAGCACACGAGAAAGAGGAGTATGATCACAAGGAGGCCCTGATACAACGGGCAAAGGCAGCTTGGGCAGAGAAACAAAACCCATTGCCAAGATTAGGTGACGACGGAGGTATGTTGCGCGGGAGATTTGGGCTAGATTAGAAAAGCTTACGAGAAACAGGCGTGACAGATCCGGATAACAGTAAATTCGATCTAGGAGCATTGCTGGATAAGATGGATGCCGATAGTCGGAAAGCGGGCGCATAGCGGGTCTGGAGCAATGTTGCAAGACGGGGAAGTTGTCACTCAGCGAGGGAAGGCATAAACAGCGAGGTCAAGTTTGGCTCTCCGCGGCAGCTTCAACTTCGGACGACGGAAGGTGCGAGTCCAGGGCTGGAAGGAGCTTCCAGACGTGTAGATACGCAAGTCTGGAGCTGTTGCGCTGTACCACAATACGTTCACATTCACTGAGTCGGTTCACAGACATTTGCTTGGCATTGGTCTTCACCCTCATTCCTCTGGCTGACTGAATGAAGAGCAGCCTACCTCCACGACACTCCTCTTTTGTGAACCACAACTGATTGCACCCAATATTTGACAAGAAGCAGTTGTCGTGGGATCTGTCGTGTCAACCTCATCTCCAAACGCCGCAGCGATGAACCTCAGTTCGGAGATTCAACCGGTCTGACGACCTTGAAAGCTTCCATGCTCGACAAGACAATCCCTCCTACGGCCGAGTCGACTGCACACATCACGACAAGTCGAGAACCTCACTCATCCGGCGAGACCTGAGGCTGTGCCCCGGCGTGCGGAAAGTAGCCATGATGGGCCGTAACCGCACAGTCTTAACCAGGAACTGGGGACGGCGTCTCGATCAACTGCTATGGCTCTCACGATCACATGAAGTCCGATGACCTGGTCTCAGCGACGGTTCTTTCCGCCCGGTGCGCGTGCCTGCGAAGAGATTCGAGAACGATGAAATTGGCGAGCTCTCGGGCAGGAAAGAAAATGCCATGACCGTAGAAACTCATCGTTGATGCAGCGAGTCGTCACGGAGCTTCAGCCACACCACATAGGGGAGTCTGACTACCCCTCGATCCACGTCTTTCCAATTGATCCACCTGCTGCTAAAGATACCATACCCTGCGGACAGGTACACCCCGTCGAGTCTGCGGCCCAGACACGTAGCTAAAATTCCGAGCATGGGCTGACGAGTGCACGACTGCGTTGCAAGCCTGTGCCATGTACGAAGCTTGCTCTGCTGTTCGATCATACTGCCACCAGGACAGGCTGAAATCACCCATTATGTTCGCCAACAGGGGACAGGACCGCGCTCGAAGACTTCATCGCCTCAAGCACTCGCTACCAGCTTAGTCCGCGCCCTGTCGACAGTAATCGGGCCCACGATGAAAGTTCTTGCCAAGGTAACGTTACGTGACTTTGAAGTCACTCCCTTGCTGGTAGAGTCGGCAGAAGGAGCGCCCTCTGCAGAGTCTCCTGAGTTCAGCTCGTATAGAATGAACAGCCCCGTTTATTGTTCATTGATGTCTCTGGGCATTGCGGCCGCCTCGAATTCGACCGCTCGCCAAGGCCGTAGGGAGACAATCGTGGCTGCGACGCCAGTGCGTACAACGCAGCCTCGTGCTACGTGGTCAGCGAGACCTCGGAGGACCATTACTGTCCCATCGCCACGCAAGAGGCCAGACGTGGGCGATTGCGACATCTCGCCCACAAATGCGCTCACAGACGTAGTCGGATCACCGGACGGCGATAACTCGGTGTAGATCGTCTACGAATCACGGGATTCCGCCACAAGGCAACAGCGCGGACAGACGGGCGACGTGGTCGAAGCTCACGAAAAACAGCAGAGCTGCCCAGCTTTGATGTAGGAAACACGACCGCTTGTTCGGACCCGTCAAACCTGTCAAGCCATGTTCCTCGCTGTAAAGAGGCAGAACTGCCAGAGACGGCGGTACAAAAACGGTCGAGCACGTCGCTCAATCGTGTACGAAACGCCTGTCGTGCATCTGTCAACAAGGATTGATTCGGTACGATGCACAGAGTTCTCGTTTCTTGAGTTCACCGTGATTCACTTCGTACTGTGGAAGTGTCCTCGATCATAGTGCACGACTCAGAAATAGTGCATTCCGCTGTTGACTGGGGGATCGGCAGTCAATCTGCCTCAAATTCTTGATGTGCTGCCCTGACTGATCAGGCTCGAATCGGTCGCCCGAGCCTGGCCCCGGAAGATCGTCCACAGCAAAAGTTTCTTGCTTGATGGTGGTTGACTCTGCACACTGTGCCTCTTATGGGACGACTCAATGACTACGACGCACCCTAGCTGTGTATGTTCTTCCTGATAATGCGACGAGCACGTCCGCGATATGCTTCATTTCGACAATATGAACATCGCAACGATCCGAAGAACAACATATGCGTCACCGTACATACGGCATCACGCCACAGAGGTTTCGCATTCGTTAACAAGATCCCGGCAAGTCAAACTAGCGCTACAACCATTTCCTATAGCGCATAAGCCGCAACAGGTGATCTCTCGGTTGGCTACGATGCCGAGCCTGTTGCATAGCTCGACTTGGAGTCAAGCAATTTGGCCAGCACTCAACCCCGCAAAAGGTCATCTTCCGAGAAATGGCGCCGTCCCAGATTATCCGCTGTCGCCAATTGCTTTTTTGGACCTTCTTCCTGGCATCCGGAAGTCGAGTTGCGTCCATCAATGCCGGCCCAAATTTTCAGAGATCAGGATGTGTCATATCGCTTGCCCCTTTGACGTACGTTCCCCCAAAACATGGTCGCGAAGAAACAACCTCGGCCAAAGACACGAGGTGCAACCTCCTCCTCAATCGAACCGTCATTACGCAGATTCGATTGACGCTGCATGAAACGCGCCTCTAATGAAATAGAGCTTTGTCTACCCAGACAACCCCAGGCATTCCCCCGCAATGCTAGTCGAACTCTGGACAAGACTCAAGGCATAACCCTGGGGATGCTGTGTATTGATTTGCCCAGATTCTCGGCAACAGCTCCATACCTTTGTCATTTTCTAAGGCTGCGAGCTGTTATTTGGTGTAATTTCTACTAGCTCTTTGACACCCCCGAGCTTGGTCAAGCCTGGTGTTCCTGTCAATGTTCTGTGGCCCGCCAGGAAAAGCATCTTGCGTCAAAGTTCCACCACAATAGCGGCTGCCTTCCTCTTTGGACTTCCAGCTGCCCGGACAAGCGGCGTTTAGGGGCTATGGGCTCTCCCCTCTCACCGAGAGGAGGGATCGGCCAGATGTGGTGTGTATGGTGACGCCAGCATAGTATAGCTACATATACCGACCCTTCTGCTTCTCCCTTCTACGCGTGATCTTCCCTGCCGTTGCTTGTCGATTGGTTGTCACGGACGTCGCAGCTCAATTCCTTTCCAGTTCGATCTTATTCACACAGTTGCCTACGCACACAACATCACGTCAAGATGTCTGACCAGAACTACGCCGACGTTGAGAAGGACCATGCTGGCCCGGGCAACTCGGTCAATGGTAACAGACAACATTATGACCTTCATCACGATCACCATGATTCAGATACAGCTCTGAAGAGGCTGAGAACCGCTGGCTCGCTTTCTATCACACCCGAGCTCTTCGAGAAGATCTATCTGTCACCCAAGAACCAGGTGTCAAACAACATTCGATCAACTTTTGGCAACCCTACACCTTTGTGAGTGCATCAAAGTACGCGCGTCGCGTCCACTAACATGTTACCAGGGCTCTCGTTGGTTTCCTACTTTCACTGACGCCCTTGTCGAATATCTTGATGGGATGGCGTGGCGCTGGTGGCCTCGGAGCCGCTGAAGTGTAGGTTGAAGTGTCGCACGAGCTACACATCATTGCTGACATGTTGACAGCGGTGCCTACTATTTCTTCGGTGGCCTTCTCATGATTCTTGGCTCGTTCCTCGAATTCATCCTGGGCAACACCTTTCCATTCGTCGTCTTCGGCTCATTCGGAGCTTTCTGGCTTACTTTCGGAGCTACCTTGACACCTTTCTACAACGCAGCCATCGCCTACCAGCCCGATGAGCCTGGCACAGCGACCACCAACCCGACCTTCAACGCCACTTTCGCGTACTTCCAGCTCTACATGGGTGTGCTCTGCTTCATCTACTTCATCGTCTCGCTCCGCACGAACATCATCTTCGCCTTGATCTTCCTGCTGCTCGTCCCATCTTTCGGTTGCCTTACGGCTGTCTTCTTCTATGGCGCTCTCGGCGAGGCTGCACCAACTCTGCAACTCACCGCTGGTGCTCTGACTTTCGTCATATGCCTGTTAGGGTGGTACTTATTCTTTGTGCAGCTGCTGGCCGCTGTCGACTTCCCACTCAACCTCCCAGTGGGTGATCTCAGCAGGTTCATCAAGGGTGCCAGTGAGCGTACGAAGGAGGCTTAGATGCAGCCAAGAACCATAAGACAGCTACAACACCAACTACAACACTCTATGCAATAATTGGCGGATACGCCGTGGATGTGGGACAGAGCTTGGAAACCTGTACAGAAAGGCTAGGGAGCCCAAAAAAGTGCGCAAATGGGCAGGTCTTGCGCAGTTCAGCGCATGTTTTGAGCTCCATAAGGGGGCTGGTGTGGCAGTTATGTGGTGTGGTGGGCTTTGCACAACCTCAGCTCGACGTTGTAGAGATTGAGGAGGGTTGATGACCGTCTGCTTTTAGGCAGGCAAACATGAAAATTTCAAAGATGCTAGCAAAGATTTCTACTCGATTGTAATAATTCCTGAATTACGATGCCGTTTCGTATGACCATTCGGGGATGGTGGGTGGGGGAGGCGGTGGGGAGGTGGTGGCCCGTAAGGGCCGCCACCTCACCACCGCTTAAGCGAGCGCAGCGAGCATTAGGCTGAGGCCGTAGGCCGTAAGTAGCGCCGCAGGCGAGCAGTGCATGCGGAGCGGGAGCGAGCATTGCATTGCGCCGGACGTGAGCAGCGGAAGGCGCTGAGTCAGGAGACAGGGCGCAGGTTTTGGGGTGACTATCGTCTGCTTTTAGGCAGGTTAACAAGAAAAAGAGACTTCTGCTTGATTGTATTGATTCTGCTGGAACATAGTGCTGGCGTTGTTCCGTTTCGTGTGACCATCGCATCGCGTTGAGGATGCTTGTGTGACACCGGGAGATCAATGTTGCTCTTGGGTGTGTCGAGGCAGAGAGTGCCAAGCACTAGCACAGGCTATCGCAGGGACATGCATCAACGGCATCTGGGACTCCAACCCTGGTACCGAGCACACGACACGCTCAAGTAGACACGGACAGCTTGATCGCATAGCGAACCGCAAGACAGCAGTCTTTGTGGCGCACCGGAGGTTGAAAGATGCTCTTCAGGGCCCCCAGAGCCCTTGTCGACACCAGGACTTTGACTTCCGTTATCTCCCGACCCTGCCTTGGCATGCCAAGTTTTCGTCCTTCTCCACACACGATTTTCCTCGACTGCGGTGCACCACTTCGCTGTCCGTTGACCCTCGCTGTCGCTTCTTCATTCCTTTACGAACCCCCAGTGTCGCCCACAAATCTGTCAAGGTACAATCATCTGCGCCCCTCGCCTCTGCATCCGCTGACTTCAAACCAGATGGGTGCCCTCAAATATGTCGAAGAACTTCAGAAGAAGAAGCAGTCCGATGTGATGCGATTCCTCCTTCGAGTCCGCTGCTGGGAGGTAAGATGAACAACAACCACATCCTCAAGACCTCCATGGGCACACACAAAGGGAAAGGCGAGCAGACGTTGCTCTGTCATGATCTTCTGTGGCACCTCTGGTGTCTTGCTATACACTCGTTGAACATTTGCTGAGAGTGCATCAATATAGCTCCGACAACTCAATGTCATCCACCGCGCCTCTCGTCCCTCGCGACCAGACAAAGCTCGCCGTCTCGGGTACAAGGCCAAGCAGGGCTATGTCATCTACCGCGTTCGCGTTCGTCGTGGTGGTCGCAAGCGGCCTGCTCCTAAGGGTGCTACCTATGGTACGGACACACCCAGAAGTTCGCGCGGAAAGACAAGTACTGACAGACGACACAGGCAAGCCCACCAACCAAGGTATCAACCAGCTGAAATACCAGCGCTCCCTCAAATCCACCGCCGAGGAACGTGTCGGTCGCCGCTGCGCCAACTTGCGTGTTCTCAACTCGTACTGGATCAACCAAGACTCGACCTACAAGTACTACGAAGTCATCCTCGTTGACCCTCAGCATAAGGCCATCCGCAAGGATGCCCGTATCAATTGGATCGTCAACCCAGTTCACAAGGTATGTTCGGACCTGCGCCTTGATTGTGGACGAAGGGCTGTGCTAATGGACTACTGCAGCACCGCGAGTCTCGTGGTCTCACAGCCACTGGCAAGAAGTCGAGAGGCCTCAACAAGGGTCACCGCTACACCAAGACTACGGCTGGTCGGAGAAAGACTTGGAAGCGTCACAACACTCTTTCGCTGTGGAGATATCGTTAGAGTGGTTGAAGTCGGCGTGGGCGACAGCCCTGCGAGCGATGTGTCCGACCGTCGGCGATCACTAGAAGAGTACAGCGGCAAACACGCGTTCAAATTCGATCAATCACAGTCAGAGCGATGCTCGCGTGAGTGCTCGAGCACTGAAGAATGCCTTGAGCATAGTAGCCACCGTCTTTGTCGCATGTCCTGCCTTGCGGTGGCCCGACTCGTGCAGGTTGTAATGAAGAAGGTTCTGCTACTGTGCAGACACACGGCTCGCCAGTGCAAATACTGGCTGAGGCAATGCTGAAATTCAATCTTGTCTTTTCAGCACCCTGTCTTTGTTGATATATTCAACATCGACTCTTCGTCCTCTGAGCTGCACACGTGTAGACCGTCGTTACTCGATTGTAAGTCTGGATCGTCAGCAACCGCTGCGAGCATACGCATGAGGTATCCTCGCCCGGTTGTTACCATGCCCATCCCGCCGTGCCAAGCATTTGCCTGCTTCACCTTCTGCTTATCCTGAGTGATATATCTTCTCCTCACCATGCCACGGCTCAAATAGAATCTTGTCGACCAGCTACACACACATTTAAGAATCTACACATCTTCTTACATCCTGATGTGATGTGACACGATGCACAAGCGGTAGCGAATCTCGTCCAGACTACCTCGCCACTCGCAGACGTCGGTCGATGGTGACTTGGCAGCAGCAATGGTGGACATTCGACTCACACAGCGCACGCGACGGAAACTATGGACTCAAGCAAGCAGGACGTGACGATCATGGGCAGCAACACCAAAGCTGCACGCCTCCGACAAGCCATCGCAGCACTTGATGACGAGACCAACATCCTCAATCGACAGACCCGCGTCTTGGAGACCCAGACGGCAGCACTCACGCGATCGCATTCTTGGAGCGGAAAGAGGATTTCTAGGAGCACTTCTACCGCAGAGTCGACCGCAGCCTCGAATGCGAGGGAGATCATTTCGAACCAGACCTCTAACGATGCCCTAGCAATCTCCATCACCACAGATCTACAAGACCACGACGCCCGACTAGCCAAGGACGCCCGCAATCTCCCCGGACACGTCACTACACGGCTCAAGGCGGACGACCGGGCGCTTGCTGCGACTCTGGAGCGGGCTGGAAGACTCGAGGATGGGAGTAAAGCTGAGGCGGAATTTATGGCGGTTGAGGCACGAATCCAGAAGTTGGTGAAGGTTCTGCACGCGAAGAAGGTGGAAGACCTGAAGAACAGGTTGGACGCGGCGTACCTGCAAAGCCTTGCATCTCACGCAGAGACGACTTCGACTGGAACAGACGGCGATGTTGGTCTTCACGATACCAGTGCAAGACCCGACACCCAACCCCGCCCAATGACGGCTACGACAGCTGACGGAGAAGAAGCAGCACAAGCACAAATATTCCAGCTCCAAGCCGACATCAGCACGCTGTACACCGAGATCGAAGACGTCACGACGATGCTGATCAATCAAGAACACTCGCTCGGGCTGCAGAAAACCATTGCACGGATTCGAACACACAGGCAACAGGCTGAGCAGATGGTTTTGCGTCACGCACTGCTCAGTCTGCGAGATATGACAACGAAGGCTGTGGCACTAGCAGAACAAGCGCAGGCAGTGAGCGCGCAGAGGAGGGTTCTGCAAGAGATCGAGACGCAACTGGGATGCGTGCAGCGTGAAGCTCGGATCAAGTCAGGCCCAGCCACAGCATCAAGCAAAACGACAACGAGTCAAGGAGCAGCGACAAAGGCAACGAGCGGTGCGTTGAGGGCGGGTCGAGATGGGTCGCACGTCTCCAGAGCGGACGAGCTTATCGGAAAGGCCAAGCAGATCGACGACATCCTGAGGGCTGCTCTCGAGACGCGGTTGCGCGCGGTTGCTACTCTACCTGTGAAGGTCGAGTACAGTGACGAGGTAGCTGGGCTTGAGGCTGTTGAGCAGCGGATTGGAAGCATGAAGGGAACGCTTGAGACGATCACTAGCACAGTCGGCCACCTGGGATAGGTTGACACGAAGTCAAATAAGGGAGGGTGGTGACATCAGTTGGCAAGCGGATTAACAATGGAAACACCGATGCCGTACTCTTTGCTTGTGCATCGATACATGATAGATAGCGATAAACCTCATGACTGTCGGACCTTGGTCTCTTGCACGCTGTACTTTCGTTCACAGCGGTGTAGACGGAATGTTGATGCAGTACGAAGTGTGGCATTGCGCTTCTGAATGCCAATCCGCTGTGTGGTAGCCCATCTCATGATCTGTCGGTGGGATTCTTGACAAATTCTTATTCTCGAAGCGTATCAAGACCACAGCGACTAAGACATAGTCCATCCCTTCTACTTGGGCCAACTGAAATATATACTCATGTGAGAAGTGGGACGAGATTCATCGCGTAGAGCTCGCGTGGGCCGGGTACGTATTACGCAGAGATCGGTGCCTAGGAGTACCTATATGCTGTGAGGCAAGGATTATCGCGTATGTTTCGGTACGGCCCGGCTCAAGAAGTCATCCCAGTCTCATAAGGTTGTGATAAATATCGACACCGTCACCATCATTGTGTTCTTATGCATACCTACAGTACTTATGTTACATTGCCCACAGCTAACGACAAGCGAAGGTGTTCGGGTTACTATTCGGAATGGTTGCCAATCTCGTTGATTCGGCCTTTCAGGCTGTCCAGGCGCGCGCTCCGCCAATGCCTGACGCGCTCAGGGCATGGGCGCGCTTGCCCGCCGAACACGACTGGCTGCATGGCGACTGCCAATTCATTGATCAGCCATCGATTTCAAAGAAGCGGCGTTATTAGCCACCCGAGAAGCTGCCACAGCGGGGCAAGCGCAGCACCTCCGTCGCAGATCTCGTGTTTGGGGCGTTGGGAGGGCTCTGGTAGACTCGGTCTCACTTTCATCGATCTACGCGCATACCCATGCTCATCCGCCTTGTTATTCTGCCAGGTTATAACTTGGTCTGATTCAAGCATTGGAGGCGACTTTGGTCTTCAACATGGCCAGCGAGCAGGCGCCAGAACTTGAAAGCGCCTCCGTTGGGGCGGGCTCTACACCCCCCGTTCTCGGGACAAATCCATCCAGAGGCATAGTTCAAGATACTGGAATGACAGTCCTATGGCAGCCCACGGACAGCACTATCGCTGATCTTGTTTTCGTCCATGGCTTGGGAGGCCACCCTCGAAAGACATGGCAGCAACCCATCGGTGGAACTGCCGCCGAAGCTGAAGGGAACTCGAAGCCTTCAAAGTCACTCTGGCACTCGCTTCAGCGACGGAGGGGTAAAGAAGAGCACTGCTTTTGGCCTCAGGATCTCGTTCCGAAGGATTTTCCCAACGTGCGCGTTATGACCTATGGCTACAAATCCAGCCTGGTAGCTTTTACGGAGAGCGGCCAACGCAATTGACCATTTCTCAGCATACTAAGGGTTTCCTGGGCGCTCTTACAGACTATAGAGACGCATGTAGAAATCGACCTCTCATATTCGTCGCTCACAGTCTAGGAGGCATACTGGTCAAAGACGCAATTGTTGAGTCGAATAAGTATAGGCAATCGCAGCATCCGGAGATGCGGGATGTGTCTAATTCAGTCTCGGCCATCGTGTTCTTTGGCACTCCGCATCAGGGATCAGCTGCGGCAAGATACGGTGATATAATCGCGACAGTGTGTAGTGGTATCCCCGGTCTACCCTCCACAGAGCGACGAGTCCTTCAAGGCCTACGGTTTGATTCAGACAAGCTGAGCGGCGTGCTGGAGGATTTCAACGATTTTCTGAACGATGATACGGCCGCATCCAATCAATTACGCATGCTGAGCTTTCAGGAAGGAACAGGAATGTCAGGAGTAACAGGCTTCGATGGCAAAGTCAGTATCGAGCAGCCGAAGCGGCGCCATGACTGACATTTACAGGTGGTCCCGGACTTCTCTTCAGCCTTCTACAGGAAGGACATCGAAAGGATAGCGCCTCTGACGCGGGACCACCGAGAAATGTGCAAGTTCAAAGACACACAAGATCCAGGCTACGTCACTTTCCGTGCCAGCTTGGGGCGATATCTGGATAGGATCACGAGCACCACGAATCTGCGAAATGCCATTGCCGTAGAGGAGGAAGATCGGCGGCAGAGGATTCTGGAGGCTGCAGCTCAGCAGCAGCAAGAAGGCGATATCAGAGGTCCGTAAGTTGCTCTGAGGCTTCCTTTCTGCCACGTATGGCGAATGTGCTGAGCAATCGCTAGCGCTAGTCGAGAAGCTTGACTTTGCAGATCGACTAACCCGGGAACACCAAATTGCCAAAGATCTGGCAGAGAAAGCTACATTCGAATGGGTCTGGAGTTCTGAGCTTGCCTCTTGGCTCAAGAGTCAAGAACAACTGTTCTGGATCAATGGTAGTCCGGCGAGCGGCAAGTCAACTCTTCTGCATCACGTAGTACATGCTCCAGAGACCCGTAAAATATTGAAGCAGGTACACGGCCCAGAACTCACCTGTATCTACTACTTCTTTGATTTTCGCGCCGGCAAAGAACTTCGAAACAGTCTGGAAGGGCTTATGCAGGCACTCCTGGTACAGCTGGTCAAATCGTTAACACAAGACGAAACAAACAAGTCACAGCTTCTGGAAACTCTGGAACGCCTTGCTGATTCCGAGTCACCGCGAATCGACGCCGTGAAGCTACGGAGCACGTTTCGCGAAGTCTTACAACAGGCGAGAGGATGCGTGTTCATCGCCATAGACGGCCTCGACGAGTACGAAGGAGATCGATTTGACCTTGTGCGGTTCATAAAAGGACATGTTTTAGCGCCCGTGGACGACGCGACCACGCCCCAAATCGTCAAGGTCTGCCTAGCGAGCCGCCCGGAGCAATCCTTCTTGGACGCATTTGCAGATCGCCCATTCCTGGCCATGCAAAATGTGAACGCCGACGCGATAAAGACATACGCGCGAATGGTATTCGAAGACACCGGACTCCGACGGTACTGGGAATCGTCTGATATGCTCTCCAAGGTGGCAGAAAAGATTGTCGAGCAGTCCAATGGCGTCTTTCTCTGGGCGCGGTTCGCCGCGTGCGAGATTGCCGAGCAATTGCAATCAGGCAAGCTTGACCCTATCCTCAAGAATCTTGTCAACGCTATTGAAGGCATGCCTTCCGATCTCAACAGGGTGTATACTAGGATTGTTCGCCAAGCATGTTCCACCGACCGAGCCTTTGCTCGCGTCATGTTAACTTATGTCACGTCCGCGCAGAACAGCGTATTTCTCGAGATGCTGCGGGGCTTATTCGCGCTACATGCTAATGACCCACCGCCCTGGTTCGAGGGACTCGATGTGACATGCCTACAGAACATCAGCCTGGGAACCCTGCAACGGAGGTTGCTGGCATCAACAGGCGGCCTCCTTGAGCTGTACGAAGACCGTGACCCCAGAGTGGGTGGCAGAGTCGCGGTCCTGCACAGAACGGTCAAGATTTTCCTGGACAACCAGGGCTGGGCTGAGCTAGCGCCATCGCTGCACTCGACGAAGTCCATACAGCTTGCGTGGCTGACGTCATGTTGCTCGTTGATTGCGCACTACCAGCCTTATCTGTTCTTCCTTGAACTAGGACCTCAGCGTGGGCGATGGTGGAACCCTGCCAAGCTCAAATACCCCAGCCTTCCATCTACTATCAAGAGAGACACTCGGTCGGCGCCCCAAAAGCTGAGTATTGGCGCGTATTTGCTACTCGCCTATGCTGTGAGGTACGTTTTCGATCATGCACGCTTTTTCGAACAAGAATCAAAATCGTCGACTTTCGACTTGATCAGCAATCATCTTTCGACGGTGGCATGCGACTTACATCAAATGCTGAACCCTCGTTGCGGGTGTAACCGCGGGGAGGAAAGATACCCGTGGGCCCACGACTCGCGACTTATGCACGCCGTACTTGCTCACGGGCTACAGGGCTATATGGTAGACTGTATCCAACGCGCAGCTGGCTCATTCAATGAAGGACCGCCAGGACCAGCCATAGCCTCGACCCGCAACGAAGCCTCAGTGTTGCTGCGGAGAGTGAATGAGTCCCCGGCAAATGACGCACTGGAACTTATCCGGTCCCAAGTAGTCGCGTTCGCGATCGAGCACAGGACCTTCAAAGCGTTGGCGATGTTGAGGACAGTATTACAATATTGTCCAGTTATCCGTGATGAGGAGCTCGGTGCTGCGCTGAGAAGAGCAGATGCCAAAACGGTTCGCGCCATGATGGAATGCAATCATTCGGACAGCCTCGTGTGCAAGATTGACACGCGCGACATGAGTCTGTGGGAGCAGAGGGCTGTTATCTTCATCTTTCGTCGAGGCCTTCTTGCAGAGGTCTTCCATGGGAACGTACCCTCGACCTTGACCGTCGGGCCACTGTGGATGATCGGAAGACGCCCTGGGCACACTACTGCATCCAGACAGCAAATAGCGGACCTGATCGATATCTTCACCGGTCCTGTGTACCGGTCAATCAATGCTCAGTGCGGTCCTTTCGGAACCATTCTTCACAGCTACGTCGACTGCTGTACCGGCCGAGGGGATTCTTATGACCACGACTTCAATGTGCAGACCCTTCAGACGTTAGTCGCCAAGGGCGTGGACGTGAATGCCACAGGACCACTAGGCACGCCCCTTGAATTCTTGGATCGTATCGCGCATTCTGGCTATTATCACCCCGGCGACAACAGTTACCAGCGCTACCTTGACTTACGAAAAGCCTTGCTGGATCTTAGAGCAATCGATTCGGGGGGGCTATGGGAACCCTCTGCAGAAGACCGGGAGCGTTGGAAAAAGCAGCACCTCCGCACGCGGAGCGAAGATGCATCAAGTGACAGCACATGATGAGGGGTCTCCACTGAGACCGCATGTTGCTCGTCCATCATAACGCGTCTCATCTTTGCATCGCCTTCTGCACCCGAGAACAGCTAATCAGCCTTGGCATTGAACGAGGGTGCCGAGCTCCAGGATGCGCAAGGCAAGGGCCCGTTACCTGTTCCCTCACATGAAGGTCAATCCTCTAGGTTCGTGTGATTGCCTATGTACAAATCACTGAGAGAACACACGCTATATCTGCCGCCGCTTCCCTCTCCTCACAGCCTCACTCTCCCCACCCCATCTCCCCAGCGCCAACTCCTCAAGCGTCTTGTCCCTCCCCACCGCAGTCCACCGCTTACTCCTGCCGCCCCTCCTCAACCCTTTCTCACCTTCCGCTTGTCCTCTCTTCCTCTTCCGCTCCTGCACATCAGGCACACCCCACCACGTAAACCCCGCCCCAGCCAACATCACTGCCGCAAACACCACCACTATAATCCCATACCGCCGCGTACTCTCCCTATCAGCTCGATTGCTGCCAAAGTGGTAGTACGCGCTAAACAGCTGCACCAGGATACTCCCTAACTTGCCCGCTGCGGCACTGATGCCGTGACAGCTACCCCTATACCGGGTTGGGAAGAGTTCGCCCGCGAGGATATACGTCGTGGAATTTGGTCCGAAGTTGAATGCAGTTTGAGCAATGACGTACAGCGCCACGATCAGCGGCCCGCCAGCGCGATGAAGGGTGATGAAGATCGTTCCCAAGGTCAAGAAAATGCAGGCGAGGAGGATGAAGCCCCAGAACTGCAGCGTGACGCGATTGAGGCGGTTGGCGAAGAGGATCATGAGGGTCTGGCCGCTGAAGGAGCCGATGTTGAGGATAATGAGGCTTGTGTGGAGGTCGCCATCAGTTGGTCGTAGATTGTGGAGGTAGGGGAGACGGAGGTTTGCCATGGCGGGTAGGATTGTGGGTTGCCGGAGCTGTCGGTGGCGGGGAGATTGAGGGCGCCGTAGGTTTTGGCGAGGAATTGGGGAGAGGAGAGGCCGATACCGTAGAAGGCGAAGTCGAGGAGAAGCTTGAAGGCGAGTCAGTGGGATTGCCTGCGGGTCGGTCATGGAGTGGATAGTGTATGATGAATGAAAGGGAGACGGGATCGAGGACTCACCCAAGTCGTTGAGGTGGCGAAGAGGGTACGCCAGTTCCCTTCCACCCAAAAGTACTGCTTGATGTCTTTCCTCGAAAGCTTCCATGGAGAGTTCAGGGTAATCAGGGGCGCGTTGGTGTCTACTGTCCACTGAGCTGAACCTGCAGAGACTGGTTCTGCAGGAGAACCCTCGTGATGCATTGCCGGAGCAGGCAGCACCATCTCTTCCATCGAGGGAGTTCTTCCTGCATCGCGGAATGAATGCGAGCTCTCTCCCATTTCCAGAGCTGTCGATGCTGGGCTCATACTGAAGCTCCCGTCTCCGATTTCTCCGAAGAGCGGCGTTGCATCGAATTCGGCTTTGATTGGATCGTCTTCGATCTCTAATAAAAATCGCGGCGTTTCGGGGATCGCAAACCGAAAGATCAGAGCAAGTGCTCCGGGAACGACGCCGAGCCCGATCACCCAACGCCACATTATATCGACAGTACGGCGGAGGTTGTCGGTGCCTTGCTTCTCGGACACAGCGACGACGACGAGAGCCACCAGGTTGCCGGCGATCTGTCCGATGGGTTGCATGGCGAAGACGGAGGCCATCATTCGGGCCCTGTGTTTCGTGGGTGCGAATCTAGTGCAGCGTCAGCCGGGTGTGCTTTCTGTGTGCTCTGGGACTTACTCGGCAGTGATCACAGCGCTCAAAGGATCTATACAGCTGGTCAGCATCCGCGCCGTCAATATTGCGTGGGCCTTGCTGGTACGATATTGCAGCGTCATGAGAGAATGGTTGCATGCTGCCGCTCGGTTGGGCAAGGCAGAAACTCACAATCAGCACCGACACCGATTCCGACAGCCAGCCTCCAGAAGATCAGCCAGCCGAACACATTCATACTGTTATCAGCGCCAGTCGAGCTCATGACGACTCCCAAGGTCGAGCAGATCAGCAACAGCAATTCTATGCCGTACACTTTCTTCCTCCCCATCTTATCCGCCAGGATTCCGAATAGCAGTTGCCCGGACATAGTCCCAGCCAGTGTCGTCAAGTTGATGTGCGTCAAACGTATACTCGAGGTCTCCTCTGGCCAATAAACGTACGAAAGCATTGGTAGAGCAATGTTCGAGGCAAAGAGCGTGTACCCATCGAGGAAGAAGCCAATTCCGGCAACAAAGACCACGAGCCATTGGAATGGCTGTCGATCGATGGTCGCATAGATCTGTTGTGCGCGGATAGTGCGGTCTGTTTCATGCTCAAAGTCGTCAACTCTCGCAGTTTTGTAAAGACGGCGGACTCGGCCCTTGCCCATGGTGGCGGCGTTACCGAGCTGTAAGTGAGCGTATGCTCCGTATAACAGAAACAGAGAAGTCTGGCGCGGGCGCTTGACAGTGGTCGGCTGTTGAGCAAGTAGTCCTTTATTTCGTACTCGGATCACTGCGTTCTCGACCTTCAGCCTGACTGTACAGTGGCGATGGTGTTGAGCTCAGGGCTTCACGGTGCTCAGAACCTTTGAGACATGGGCAGTGCCAATGTCGACAACATTGACTGCATAGCGAAGATAGTGTCCGCAGTACCGCGAAATCTCGAGCCTCGAGGCATGGAGTGTGTGGGAAGTGTCGAGATATTGTCACCGATAAGTATCATGCCTTAGTGGGAGCGACCTGAAGACCTGGAAACAGATTGGGCGTGGTCGGTACTTTCTTTTGGCATGCAGGGGTGGTGGGTGCCCAGCGAAGAAGACTGGCCGCAGGGCGAATCCAGAATGGCCTTGCACCATTTCGGTCATCGCTTCTGGCATCGCTGTTCTGTGAAAGAGGCGGGAAGTCATGCTCAACGGGGAGTTTCTGAGCCAAAGAACGCCTGCACGTGCACACTCAGCCCTGGTTGGCCAAGTGCTCGGTGCGGCAGGGGTGTTGTGCCCGAGAATCTGGTGAGGGGCACATACGGCCATATGGTAAAGCATAATGCGAGATGGAATTTTCTGAGATGATCATGGACATCCTGCTGGTAAGTGATGCCCATGTAGGTATGGATGCAAGTGTAGAAAGGAACTTGAGGTGGCACAAGATCAACAAAGTCTATTGTTCTTGCCGAATGACGAAGCTTGGCCGTGTCTCGGGAGAGAGCAGCTCTCGGGGCGTGCTTTGCACTTTCTCTATGCATGATCAATTCCTGACAATACCGAGGAATCGCTCACGATCGTCATCCTCAAGGAACTGCACCGTCAAACTTCTCATATCCGCCAACAGCTCTGTGTCACCGCTCAACTTCATCGTGATCGACCTCCGTGAGGTTTCTATCTTGCTGACGGCACTCAACGGCACAGAGACATATCTCCTTTGCTCTCGCCGCTGCGAATTGGTGAAGAATATCATGGTGGCCTTCCCTCCAGAGCTGTTTGAATGCAGTATCCTCAAGTTCTGACTGATGCACTCCTCGCCTCGCTTACTCTTTGCCTCCGCCATGCCTCCCACAAACACGACTTGCTGACCGAGTATCGTCTCCTGCAGGCGTAGACAGTCTTCCCATCGATCGAATGCAAAGCTGGGTTTCCCCTGGAACAAGCTGCCGCCGGACTGTAGGGTCTGCTCTTCAAGGAAGGATATGCGGTAAGCGGAGCTTGACCGAGCGCTATATGGTTGTTCGAGGTGTGGTATCGGCATGCGGCTGTTCGGAAAATTGAGCGTGAAGACATTCTCCCGCATTGACGAGTCGGAGCTCATATTGATCTTGCGGATGCCACCAGCAGCATCCTTGCAGACATCAATCCGCGACAGCGGGATACGGAAGAGAGATGTGCCTTTCGAGAAGGAAACGATCACTGGTCGACTGAACAGCAGCGCACCAGTTCCAGTCGAATCATGCGAGCTCGGTCTCGTGAGTGACGACGCCGGCGAGCTGAAGGGCGTGGTCTGCGGGGTGCTTCCGATGGCATCCCAGATGCTTACACTGGCACGGCTTGCATTGCTGCTTGTCGTTGAGACGCTATGGCGTGAGGCGCGTGACGACATTTCCGGCAGATATTCTACCGCAATAGACCACACATGTTGTGTGGGCGTAGACTGTGGGTGTAGTCATGTTGCTTGAGTTGGAAGCTGCCAGACAACATCTGCTAGCGAGCCAGATTATGTACCGGAGGAAATAATGGAGTGAGTGAGCGAGCCAGGTAAAGATTCCATGTGTGTGTTGGGGTCCAGATAACGCCTGGGTTGTATACGCGAGGAGCCCACGTGCCTCAGAGCGAGCATCTGATTGCAAGTCGAACAACTCTTTCCCTACCCCGAGTCAACCTCTCTCTTTCAAATCGATAATGGAGCATGCATTGCGATAAGCAGTCTATTGCAGGCTGGTGCCTGTAGATGTTGTCTACTCCGCGGCTCGGCACGACGGTAGGGCTAGGTCAATTGCAAGTTTCCAAACGTTGCGATGTGGCCCGGTACAGCCCTGTCTGGGAACGCCTCGGCCGCGGCGGCATAAGGCGAGGAATGGCTCTCGCACATTCAAGGCACTTACCTTCGTCAGGCGGTATTTCGAAACGAAGTTGCTGTAGTCACCAAGATCATCAGCGCTGAAACAACCCGAGTGAGCGGAGCATTCAAGTGATTATGACCCAAAGTCCACTGGTGCTATCACATCTACTAAGTAGGAACTACGCGTCTCCCGAAGACTCCGGCAAAAGGCACCCGACCCTCGGGCTGTGATTGGCCTGCGCCAAACTTCTTCACGGGCGAAGGCTGTTTGCGCATTGTCGACCGAAGACTGTCGAGGATCCCTCTACATGGCTCTCCTGCCGTCTCAACACGAATGATGTTGCCTACAACTTGTCCACCAAAGCATCTGGTACCTTCACCGGATCCAAGCTAGCAGCACCGATGTGTCCTACGGGCTGTACAGGCCCGAGGTCCTCTCCTTCAGTGCCCATGTTGTTCCTTGCCCGTCGATGCTGAATATAAGCCAGCAATATAGCTGTTCCAGCCAGCAAAAAGAGACACCCTGCTGCAGTGTAGTTGCCGATAATGACCGCAGGCTGATCTGTCGTCTTGAAAGCCCCCAGAGGAATAGTGGCAATAGCAGTCCACGCCCATGCATTCAAACCTGCAGAGCCCCAGGCACGCATGCCAGGATCCCCCGACAGTGTATCTTGTGTCCAAGCCCAGAACATACTGTTGCTTGCCTGTGCCCATCCGCTGTTGTAGTACAAGACCCATCTAAACGTGCGATTGTTGGGAAACACCGGCGTGGCAGCCAGGATGATACAGACGATAGCATTCTGAACACCGCCAAGGACAAGCATCGGCCATCTTCGACCACGCAACCATGTGTCGCTGGTCCAACACATGAAGATCGTGACAACGATGGTCACGGCTTGAATTGGAGTGGTATAGTTGTCTGGAGATGGATCAGTACTTTGGGAGTGGCTTTACTGCATGCGTCGAACATACTGATCTGAGCGACTGTGTACGATCCAGGCTTGATTGAGTTCCAAGCTTTGAGCCAGAAAGACATGGAGACAGCGACTTGCTGACCCACGGAGTTGCAACTGTTCGAAAATCAGCAACTGAAGGGAAAGAATCTCTCGATGCACCCACATGGAAATGACCCATAACAGCCAGATATCTGGGTTGAGCAGCCAGCGTTTAACTTGAGGCCAGGTGAACTTTCCCTGTTTGACTCTGCCTTCCTTGGGGTTGCGATCTCTTGCGAGCTCAATCTCCTGTAAGAGGGAGGAATATCAGCAAGCTCTTTTTCGCACAGGGGACCGCTGGGAAGCACTTACCTCGCGACTAAATACCAGATCCGGCTTTTGGCGAGCTGGGACGTCGGGGAAGAAGAATACTTGTGGAATGATCACACCGATTGAGATCACTCCGTCAATAACAAACAACCACTGCCAACCCGCCATCCCGTGGACACCGTTGAGACCAGTGTACGCAGCAGCTTGCAGATATGAGCTAAACATGGGACCAATCGCCGTGGCACAATTGATGATTGCGAGTCTTCGAGCCAGCTCAGTTTTCTGATACCATCCTCCACAGAGGTAGACAATGGCGGAGTAGTGGCCGGTCTCAAACAGACCGAGAATAAATCGCAGCACATACATGTGAATTGGCTTCGTCATGGCAGCCTGAGTAAACGTGACCAAAGTCCAGCCAGCTTCAATCATGGGAATGAACCACTTTGGGTTGGACCGGGTGAGTAAGAGATTGCACGGCCAGATGCCGATGATCTGCTTGATGTTAGTACGATTTCTCTGAACTGGTCCGACATACATTTGCTACTGCGAAAGCAGTATTGGCATAGTTGAGTTCCTGTTCAGGTCAGTCGCGAATACAGCTGCTGCACCAATCGCACACTCACGTTCCCATAAAGAGACATGTCCTCCTTCATACCTGATACAAAGGCAGAATTCAGATTGGAGCTACGTAGTGTTAAAGTCGTCCAGATAAGTCAGAAAAACGAAGGGCATCGCACCGATCAATATATTTTATGAAAGTTCCAAGGCAACCAAAGGTCATAAGAGTTATGTCAAGCTGTGTGGCTTAGCAAGTGGTTCAGTAACGGTCTGTCTCTTTTCTCACTTTGAAAATGAGTCGTCTTTCCTGTGATCGGTTAGAAAGCGCTCTCCTGGGAGATCACGTCGTACTTACTTCCGGTGATTTGTCCCAAGAATCCCATAGGTAATGCCGCCAGGTAGGCTTACCGCCAGAGGGGCGGACATATTGAACGTCCTGACGCTCGACGTTCTCTTCGAGCGGTCTGATTGACATGATTCTGGCTGCTCAGAAGCGATAGATTATGGGACTGTCCATGGGACTGTTGCGCCTCTTATACCCGACCGCCAGATTGTTGAGCCAGCAGATTCTGCTCAGAATCTTAGCAAGTTCGGCGGTGTCGGTATTGCGTGCTTGTAGGTGTCGGAAGAAATCTGTTTCATTACTTGGTCTAGGTTGATCGAGCTCTGCAGAGGAAGGCTTGACCAGCACAATATCCGTCTCTTGACTCAGAGATAACAATGCAGGGCTAGCATTGTGGAGCACATTTGTGCCGTCTGTACCTGGGCCCGTCTCACCGATCATCTAGAGTCCGTTGAAAGTGGGTGTTAGCTGGTGCTCTGATAAGGCAGTGCTTCGATGGTGCCATTTAAGCCTGAAATTCGTCAGTTGCATACGGAGACATCAATGTACCTCTTCGGGTTATGATTATCCTTGGGAGCCCAAGCCGAGCATAGCAGATTACAGGGCCGATACAGGGCAGAGATACGCGAGTATCTCGTGAAACAAAGACAGCCGTTTTATTCAGTATGTGTTTCGTGCATAGAGATCTTCTCTAATGTCTACTGCGCTGCACAACATGTCGACGACGACTCAGACGACAACGTCCCGTATCACGGCCTCGGAGCCAGAGGGCCTTGATAATGACAGTCGGCTGGAGACCTTTGCGATTCCTGGAAGTCGTGTGATACACGGCAAAGTCTTCCCACTTGGTATTCGAGTCAAGGATGGGCAGAGCTTCACCTCAGCAGCCGAGGCAGCTTCATATCTGGAGACAATCGCACGACGGGGCCTTTGGAATGATCTTCTCCGCGATCGTAAGTTTCCCTTACCACGACCCTACTCAAGTTGATGATGGGGGCCTGTCCTAACGCCTACAGATGGCGCCTTGTTGCTTCGCGGATTTCCCACTGCCAACGCTTCAGACTTCGACAAAGTTGTGAAGGCTTTCAAGCTTCCACAACCTCACAGAGAGATCGGTCTTGCGGGAAAGAGATCAATTGTCACTGGAGCCATCAAAACGGCGAATGAAGAGCCACCGGACGTCAAATTCTACTATCATTCCGAGTACGGTCGAAGCGCACATTTCCCTGGTGTCCTGTTCTTCTTTTCGGAAATCGTTCCTGACCAAGGTAAGCACACTTCGGCTTTAAGAGAGCTGGAGGACTCGCAGAGCTGATGTATTGCAGGTGGACAAACACCTTTGCTGTCGTCGTTGGAATTACACGATCGGCTTAAGGAAGAACTGCCAGATTTCCTGCATGATCTGACCACAAAAGGTATTAACATTCAGCTGCTGAGTAGCCTTTGCAATCTGACGTCCACTAGGAGTACTCGGTCGACAGTATTTCCCAGCCAGAGACGATCCTGAAGCTGAGCATATTGGGTGGAACTGGAAGGTAAGCTCACGATGAGTAACAGTATCAGGGCCAAACAAGACTTACACATCAAAGGATTCGTACGGCTTCGACATCCAGCCAGGAGACACGAAAGAAGTCCAACGGCAAAAGGTGGAACAAGTCCTGAAGGACACACTCCAAGCAGACGCTGAATGGCAGCCAAACGACGCCCTCCATGTGCTGCAGAATCTGCCGGCCATTCGCCGCGTTGCCTCCACAGGCGAACTTTCATTTTTCAACGGTTTTGCTGGAGTCTACGGCAGAGCACGAGACTGCCGAGCCTTGGAACCTCCTTACAAAGGCGTGGACGGGAAATACCATCTCCCCACGACTTATGGCGACGGAAGCACCATTCCAACGCGCTCCCTGGAACGTCTCCTGGAGCTTTCGGATGAAATTGGATTCTTGGTTCCGTGGCAGGCTGGAGATGTCGCAGTGATCAACAACTACACTGTTCAGGTGGGTCTAGCTGTCTAAAGGCCATTCTCCAGCATTGCTAACACTCTTTGAAGCATGCCCGCTCACCATGGGTGGGTAAGCGATCATTACTCGCCAGCCTGTGGGATGGTAATGAGAAATTCGTACCGGTATGATTGTGCTGAAGGCATAGAGACCGGAAAACGCGCGGCCGAGCTTTATTGCACCATAGAGCGGTTCCAGCAGCCTTCAGCAGAGGTATAAAGTAGGATGTAGTTCATATATGTCTGTGGAGAGAATTTCTGGAATTGCTCCCATAGGGCGAAAAGGACGCTTTGCTCAGCCTCGGGTCTCCAACATCCCACGTGCTAATGTACCCTCACCCAGATCTAAACTGCTTGGCGTTGTTCTAGGGTATTGCACCATCGATTGCGATATCTGTCTGAGCTCTGCAAATGTACGAGTCGGAGTGCGGCATAAGATTCTGACAGGAGTCTACCAATTTGCGGCCACACGGAACAGAACTGGAGCAGTCTCCTGCTACAGCGTAGCATACTCGAGTTCGGCCTATTCAAAGTTTCGGAGCTGCATTGTCCACGTCTCGTGGTCTGCCTTTACTGATTGACTCCCTCCCCTCACCGGATTTGCCTGCCTTCAGCCCTGATGTCTCTCGGAAGGGGTTGGAGCCGCTTTCGTGTTTGGAAATCGTTGAAAGTCTTGCCCATGATCACTTCCTCCGTGATCTATGCCTTCGCTAGCTTGTATCCTAGCGCGGTCTCGTCTTGCTCTGGACCAGCCGCGAAAGACGTGAGGGCACAGGGAGTGCGCCAGATACTGGCAAGGTGTTCCAGGTGGTCGTAGCGGACTTCGGAGATTGCTATTGAAGCGTTGCTGCAGTCTGTTGTGGGCGCCGTGCTTCAGGAAGTTGGACTAATCGAAGGCACATAGGACCAGCCACTCATGTGTTGGCCTCTCAACCTGCTCTAAGCAATCATGCCTGGCTCATGTCCTGTCTGCCTTGGTCCTAGACGCACGAACGGACCGTATGATCAGAGTGTTCAGCATGGTCGGCCATTTGACATTGACATCGCCATCTCTGCGAGCTAGTCGTCTTGCCGACCGGACCCACAGAGGAAGCTGCTTGTCTGGTGGTCGTTAGAGCCACATTCAATGTGCCACTGAGAACATCACAGTGCATGCACCAGGCAGCAGCTGACCCTGATTCGCGCAGCAAACAGCGAATACTCTGGCCTGTGTCAGTGACGGGGAGCGCCTCGGTTTGCACCGGTCTTCGTAGGCCGAGAAGGTATAAGTATGCGCCTTGCCCTCGACTACTTCTTCCCTTCTCCTTTAATCTTATCTGCGCCCTCCTACACGGACTGGGGAGGAGGATGTGGAGGCGGTGGTCGCCATGCCATGGTAGCATGCGTTGCTATCTGGTGGGGCGAGAACGTGGTGGAGTCCGAAGCTGCGAGTAGTGAGGAGAGGCATCATCACAGCGCCATCGCCATCATCCTTACTGTGCTGTGATTTGACCTTTCACTGCCCTGACGCCGATCAGTCACAGTCCCAGGAGCTGTCTTGGGTTGCACCAGCCTCGATGAGACTCGACGGCCTTCATTCGACAGAACACTACGTTCCTTGTCGAAATGCCTCTCAGCCATCCTCCTGTACCAAATCCTCAACCTCATAAATAACCCTAATCGTCAAACTACAGCCCGGACAAACAGCAATATCGTTGCCCTCGCGTAGCTCGCTAACAAGGATCTCAAACCTGTCGCCGCACGGGCAAGGATAGTGGTAAATGCGTAGCGTTGAGTCGTAGGTCATGTCTTCGATCTCGATCTCGTCGTAGATCTCAGTCTCGTCGGTGTTGGGGTTGTCGGTCTTGGCGGGTGGTGTGGCGGTAGATGGGTCGGTGGGTTTAGTGGTTATTGTGGACGAGTCGCTGGTCTTGATGGCGGTGGACGAGCCAGATGGTGAGGATGTGGGCGATGCGCCCTTTAGGACTGTGGTCTGTTGTGTTTGGGACGACGTCTGTGTCTGGGTCTGGGTTGAGGACATGGTGGCGATCTGGAATGAGTATTGCGGCACTGGTTGTATAGCAGGCGTCGTCGGACTTCTGAAATCGCAAAGTCGATACCAGATCCGAGGCTGCCTTGAGCTGCGAGTTCTTCAATTGATGTCGCTTCAGGCAGAGAGGCAATTTGGTGTTTTGGTGAAGAATTGTAGGAGTTGGCATTGGAGTCGCTTGCGTATCCGACAAAAATATTCGCGAGTTGAAATGTGGAGTACCACACTTCGAGTCCAAGTCGCCAGTCACTTTTTACACATGGCCAGGTTTCAAGTTCGATACACTCAGCATGTTGGGAGGAAGAACAGTTGGCTGTACACATGTACTGTCATTGTATCGCAAACTACAAGCTAACGCTAGCAAAGAGGATATCTCACGCAAATGATGCAACGCTGGAAACGTTGCACAGTAACGACAGAAATATAGAAATCGTTTCCCATCTCCATCGATGATCATGTAGATGCAGTTGCCGCATCATTGATTCTCGCCCATCATGTTGGTAGCAGACTCACAAGCGGTAACATGGCGAAAATTTGCTGCAGGTGCCACAATCCTGGCGTCCTTCCATCTCTTATTCGCTGCCGTCGACGAGCGCTGACTTGGCTCTCACGATGCCTTCGCGTGCCCATTGACTGCCTTGCCGTTGGCCTTTCCATTGACGGCCTGCTTCTGCTCAGCCTTGAACTTGGCAATGTCCTCGAGTACAAGGCCTTCAATTCTCTGCTGAAGGTCGGGCCTGTATCCTAGCATGAAGAAGACTTCCAGCCATACGAACAGTGGTGCCAGGAAGAATGCTTGAAACAAATTGTCAAGCAAAGCGGGCTTTCGCCCCTCAAATCTGCCATGTCCCACAAACTGGGCAATCCATGATCCGACGTGGGCGGCGAGTGCGTAGTAGTTGGCAGTCATGCCATACGTGCTGGTGAGATGATTGGCCCATGCTGTGCTCGCTAGTAGCAGCGCGGCCAGGGCGGTCCCGGCCACAGGCTCGAGCAGGACGTAGAGGACGCAGTAGGCGGAGCAGACGAAGAGGCCGAGATTAGGCGGAAGGTACGGGATCTGGTACTGATCTGGGATTTTGACAAGGTCGGGCGTGTTCGTGCACTGCGAGAGTCGTGAGCGGAGCGTACGCACTGAGGCAAGAGGGTACGAACGAGCAGGATGAAGGACCACAGAATGACGGGCACACAGGTTATGTGGATCCAGATATTGACCTGTTCTTCATCTTAGTCGGGGCGCGCGGCGAGCGATGAGCGGACACCTTACGGGGTTGTGGTGGTAGGCGCCATACTACAGACACGAATCAGTATATCAGGACATTGACGTTGTTGTGCTACTCACGAAGCGCAGCTGCTTCTCCAGGTTCAAGGCACCGGCCATCGTGGTGGACGCAACGGATGCAGGCAGATAGGAGTACCAACGAGCGAGAAGATCAGCTGTTATGAGAAGCGGCCGTCCTGAGACGCATGGCTTATGTACTCATTGCTACGGTATCGACAAGTATTGACAGTGTCGACCGCGGTAGTGAATGGTGGGCTGGCTGATGAAGAGGCCGAGGAGGGACGGTGTTGCGCGAATCGCTTACTGCTTTCACGGCGCACATGCTGATTGAGCACGTGACAGCGCTGACTACGGTGATGCTTACCGCCATTGAGGCGGAGACTTCACTTCTCGGTCTGTGCATCTTCAATCTGCAGCCTTCTGCCTCTCAGCCCACACAACTCTCATTTATCTCTGCGAGTGGTGCCCAAACAGTAATGCCCTGTTGACATTGCAGAGAACTGGCCGGCACAGTGGCCACAAGTGATTCCGCACCTCGCGCGCACGCGGCGCATTCGATCTTGACGAAGCGCCACGATGTTTTTCATCCGGCAACTCCAGCGCGAGATCTCAATCCACCCGTCGTTCTTCGGGAGGGATATGGAGGACCGGCTGAAAGATGAGTTGTACAGCTCTATGGAGGGTACCTGTAATGGCGAATACTACATCATTTGTGTCATGGACATCACAAATTTATCAGAGGGCAAGGTAAAACTCGGTCGAGGCGAGGCCAACTTTGTCATTGATTACCGCGCCATTGTCTGGAAGCCATTCAAGGGCGAAACGGTAGGTCCTGCTGCAACAGCGCGTGGCGACAGATGCTGAGTCTGTTACAGGTCGACTGCGCGGTCGTTAATGTCAAATCTCAAGGCCTCGTTTGCGAAGTTGGGCCGATGAATATCTTTGTGAGCGAAAGACAGATGGCCCCTGATATGAAATACAACGGAACCGCCACTCCTCCCAATTATTCAAACAACTCAGGCGACACGATCGAAAAGGGTTCGGCGGTCCGTGTGCAGCTGATGGGTTTGAGAAGTGATGTTGGCAGCATGTTCGCCATTGGAAAAATGAAGGATAATTGGTTTGGGTGAGCAAGACTTCGTCCTCAAGGCAGGCCGCACATTGACCGAGACACAGCCCAATTTGAAGCGCAGAATCGGCAGCGTTGGATTTATGAACGATCCTCGAGGGCTTGAGATGTCTGGCCTCAGATTGACTAGCCCAAGACATCACGAGGGAAGCCTATCATGGGTCACATATCTGGCCATAGCGTCATGGACTACTGTGAAGGCCACGAGAGTGGAGCCCAGGCGCGCAGTCGACACCGGCGTCGCTCACAGCCTCCAGCAGAGCCCGATGAGCTTACTGCTGCACGAGCCTGGTATTGCCATGGGACATGTCGTGACTGAGCATATGCTCCTGGCAGGGCGGCGTTTCTGGAGACTGTCCACGCGCCGCCACACAGGCGTCAGGGACGGGACAGATACAGCATTGGACGCGGGTGCTCTTAACGAAATGAATGGCCATCATCAAGAAGTTATGGCTCATGCTTTCACTAGACCTGTAAGACCATGTCGTCCAAATGCCGTACCGCACACCGTAGCCATTGAAAAGTGCCGGGGTTGCCCTGGGACTATACCCAATCTGTGCGGATCTTCAGGGAGCGAGACGAGGACCACAACATCATCGCTGCCTTCTCCTCGAGCAAGACCTTTTCATCATCTTTCGACGCGTCTTTCCGCCGCGACTTCAGCGTGAAAGCAACTCGTGCGGCCCTCAATTAGATCTGCCCACCCAGCAACGACTTCAAGTGCGATCAGCGCGTCTGCTGTACGCGCGGGGTTTGTTTACATTTCTCCATCCGCTGGCGCTGAGCTAGTACAATATTCTCCGTACGACTACTCGACTGTGTTGCATCATTCTCGACGTCGACATAGCCAGCAGCAATGCCGCTCACCGAGGCATACCAGCGATTCCTCGCATCACCAAACCCGCTGAACCTGACAGACGATGTGTCTCTCCACTACATCCCTACCCTGAAGTCGTTCAATGAGCAGGGCCCTGTTATCCGACATCTCGAGAGCCAGAACAAAAATGTCGTCAAGACCAAGACCGGCAAAACCATCAGTGCTGTCGAGGGTCCCAATGCTATTGCCATCGAAACCGAGACGACGCTGGAGTTCATGGTGGGCGGTGGCGCGTATCTGCCTGGCATCGACAGTTTCATCGACGGCATGATCGCCATCTTGCCCATGGTATGTGTACCGAGATTGACCAGACAGGCGCCGCTAACAATCATAGACCCACATCGTTCACTTCGACGCCGCTGGCAAGATTAAGCAGATTCGCATCTCGTGGGACCAAGCCACCCTTCTCCGTCAGACCGAGGTCATTGGCTCGAGAGGCAAGAACTGGCCCGTCTACGATGGCAAAGATCAGATCAGACTCATTGCTACGAGCTTCTCTGCGGCGCCTCCTGCACCAGCCCAGGCCGAAGCGGCTCGCTATCGAACGATGGACAATGGCTTCACCGATCGTCCCTCGTCGCCCACCAAGAAATACATCAAAGATCCTCACGCGAGTCTCGACCTCTTCAGTCCGAATCGTCCAGACGACCCACGCAATGATAACACTCCTCCTCACGTCGTTGCTCCGCGAGCATCTGCTCGTCCTCCTCCACGCGAGATGAGCGACATCTTCGCCGCAGGCCATGAAGATTTCGAGCCAACTCCACGTGGTTCTCCAAAGAAATCGGTTCCCTTCGATGCGGTCGCCCCCAAAGGCGCAGGCGCACAGAAGTTCGGCAACGTCCGCGTCTTCGACAACGATGACGAGAAGGAGACCAAGATTTACCGCACCAATCCCGCTCGCTATGATCACTTTGACATTGGCGATGGAGACGAGAACGATCCGCTCCAGCACAAGAGCAGTCAGAATCGAGAGAAGACGGCGGTCCCTATGCGCGCAAAGACAGATAAGCATGGCTCACAATGGGACTTCATCGACTTCGTCACACCAGCCAAGGTGCCTCTCAAAGTCCGTGAGCAAGACAAGGTCAACTTCGACTGGAATGATGAAGGTGGTGCCAATTCTCCAAGCAAAACCACAAAGCCCGTAGGCCGTCGCGAGAATGACGCACACTTTGAGATGAAGGATGATGGCACACCGGTCAGTCGCCAGGCCGTCCCGAAGCCGCGCAAGGACGCTCAGCAGCACTTTGCATTCAACGATGAGCCTACTCCAGCTGCTCGCCGCATCATTGGTCGTACTGACGCTGCTATGGGTATCTACCGCGATGCTGTACATGACGTCGAGGAGCAGCAGCCATTGGGCGTCATCACAAATCAGGCTGGTCGCAATAAGACATTCGGCAGCTCGTGGGAGGTCAATGACGATACACCATCGCCGAAGAACGCTAGCCAGCAGCGAGCGAAGCCCATGAAGAAAGGTCTCGAGTCACATTGGGGCGCTGATGCCGTCGATGAACCCGAGTCTCGTCCTGTTAGAAGCCGTGGCGGCGGTGGTAGTGGGAAGGGTTTCTGGGACTTCTGATTAAATCCTCCGTCCAACCTCTTTCACTCAGTCACGCTATGAACGGCGGGCCGCAGTTGGTAAGGGCTATGTGCGGTGTGGAAAGCCGTCTTGGGAAAGTGCAAGGATACCCAAAAGAAGCACTGCCAGTGAGGAGCCGGGTCTGCAATCAACACAGACGAGTCTGTCACTACAGGATCAACGACACAGGTTTCTTAGGGAGGACAAGGGTTGAGGCAATTTATTGTACAGGCTCACAGATCGTGAGTCACTCCAGACTCTCGGTCATGCACGCCTCAGCCTCTCTGATCGATTGTCGCCTATTATGATAGGGCAGACACTTAGGGGAGGCCTTGTTGGCGTCGGTACCGAGCAAGCCGCAGAGCAGGGCTCGGATGCGCCCCGATTCAATTGGATGGAGACAGCTTTTTAGCAGGGTTCAGGCTGTCGATAGACTAATATGTAAGCAAAGAGCATACCCATCTCGCCCGCGGCACGGCGTCATGGCAGAATTTACATCTTGTACGTGCAGTAGTCTGCTGTCGCTATATCTTCCGGTCAGGCCCACGCAAGCTGCGACATTGTTCTTCTGTACTGTAGTTGCCTCTGAGCAGACTGGCACACTACCCTTCCATCTCAGGACTGGCAGCCAGCTGAAGAAAGTATATCTCTCAGGGCGGCAATCCTACAAGAAACTCGGATTTAAGGCATCCAAGTCCGTGTCGTCTCGACTTCGTCTACTCGGACCCTTGCAACCAAGCCTGCATAGTGGCGCAATTGTGCTGCTGCCTCAGGCTGCAAAGATTCTTTGACGTTGCTTGCTTCCTGTCGTCTGAGCAGCAATCGCCTTGAAGCGCAACCAACGAGCACAGGCCTAAGAGACCTGACTGGACTTAACACCTAGGAGCACGACCAGTAGCACATCGACCTTCAGCCGCTGCCTGTCCCACAACTCCCGACGCAGCTGCCCGTGGTACACACAACCTGTACCTCCGGCGGCAACCACGATCCACCGTCACCATGACACCAACACCACCGTCAGCGACGGCCTCAGACAACTCTCCAGACTTCCGCGTCGTCCGCAAACGGAATCGAGTGCCCCTCTCATGCGCACCATGTCGGAACAGAAAGCTCAAATGCAATCGCCTGTCGCCATGTGACAACTGCACGAAGCGAGGGGACGCCGGATCATGTACATACGCTGCGCCTTCGACGAAGCGGAAAGGCACTAAGAACAATGACAACAAGAATGTCGGTGAGCAGACACCAGATGATATGCAGAACAGGATCGACCGCCTAGAAGGACTGGTGCTAAGTCTGATGACAAATGGCAGCTCTGCGCCCGGTCCGGCAGCGGCAGGTGAAGCGTTGAGCGCGGGAGGCAGCAGTGGCATGCCCAGTGGGAGTCTTGGTCCCGATCTGGACAACGAGCTGGATGGCAATGACGACATGCACGATGACGACGACGATGATAACGAGAGCGAGACGGAAAATGTGACCAAGTCATTCGGCATACTGAAGGTTGATCAGGACAACAAGAAGACATTCTATGTCGGCGAAGCACATTGGGCTGCTCTGCTAAATGAGATCGGCGAGGTCAAGAACTACTTCGTTGCGCACCGGACAGAGTACGAAGCACAGATGGAGAAGGTCGCCCAGAGCAGACGTGAGATGGGCACAGATGTTGGCTCAGGTCCGGCGTTGTTGTTTGGTGCCACCATTCCACCCAGTCGCAACGAGATTCTCGCGCAAATACCAAGCAGATATATGTCCGACATCCTAATCGGACGATATTTCAACACTTTCGATCCGGCTACCCATATCCTGCACGGGCCGACTTTCCAGCGGCAGTACAACGCACACTGGGCGGATTCGAGTAGGACGTCGATCGTCTGGGTTGCCATGCTCTTCGCCATGATGCGATTAGCAATGCTTTCGTACGGACGAGAAGGCGACGAACCACCCGAATTTCGAGGCAAATGTCAGGATCTGGCTGCCAACTACAGAACTCAGATGGCGCATTGCTTGATCACAGCCGATTACACTAAGCCGCACAACCACATTATCGAGACGCTGATCTTCCATCTACACGCCGAGTACACGTCGAATCGAGACGCCGAGGCCAGTGTGTGGGTCCTGGTGGGCATGATTGCTCGTTTGGCAATGAGGATGGGATATCACCGGGATCCGAAGCATTTCCCAAATCTCACACCATTTCAGGGCGAGATGCGGCGGAGGATATGGACATTTGTGCGGAGTGCGGATCTCCTGTTTTCGTTCCAGGTCGCCCTCCCATCTATGATTCGAATAGGCGATTCGGATACAGAGCTACCGAGCAATCTGTTCGATGACGAGTTTGAAGAAGAGTCGAAAACTCTGCCAATATCACGGCCGAATAATGAAGCCACACCAATATCTTACATGGTTGCCAAGGGTCGACTCGCCTACGGCTTCGGCCGTGTATTGGAGGAGACCACATCAGTGCATCGCCGCGGCTACGACGAAGTCCTCAAGATCGACAAAGGCCTGCGAGATATCTACGATGCCATTCCTGACTACCTCAAACTCAAGCCTATGCGCGAGATGTCACTTGCTCCGATCTCCTTGATCATGGCTCGATTCAGCTTGGCTACGATCTACCACAAATCCCAAGTCGTGCTACATCGGCGGTATATTCGGCAAGCTCGTGGGAACAACAGATATATGTACTCGAGAAGAACGTGTCTGGACAGTGCTCTGCAACTACTGAGCTTCCAGATGACTCAACATCAAGCATCACAAGAACGTGGAAGGCTGAGAAGTGTACGAAGTCATGTGAACAGCTTGACAACGCACGACTTCCTGCTCGCGGCCAGTGTGGTGGTCATGGATCTGTACAATCAAAGAGATGCGCGTCCAGAAGCAAACGGCAACGATGTCAGCACACCAAGCACTACCGTTAGTGGCAGCGGCTCGATCAGCCAGGGGAGCAATGCATCTGCTCCATCACCGGCAGAGGCCCCGTACTGTGCAGGGATGACTTGCACGAAGGACGATCTATTGCGGGCGCTGGAAGGCAGTCAGAAGGTCTGGGTTGCGAGTCGAGACTACAGCATGGAGGCGTACAAGGCGAGTGAGCTTCTGGGTGTGCTGCTCCAACAATTACGACTCCCATCACAAAGCCAGCCGGCGCCGCCGCAGCAATCGTCGAACATGCAACCTTCGCCGTATCAGCAGCAAGCAAATAGCAATGACGACGAGCGCTCCGCTGCGATGGGGTTGGGTATGTTACAACAACAACAACAGCAGCAGCAGGCACAAGCACAACAGCAGCCCATACTCCAGAATGCCAACCAGTTCTGGCCGGGCGATGCGAAGAACATGTCGAACATCTTCCCTTCCAATCCCGACACACCAGGCTTCGGCGGATCGTTCATGCCCACGAGCGGCAACTCACCCTTTCCAAACAATATCTTTGACGGCGCATGGGCTCAAGGCGGGGATGGCAGTAACATGAATGTTGACTGGGTAAGTGACAGCGCCACTGATCAGCCCACTCCCAGCAAACCCACTCCCCTGTTCGTGAGTCACTCTAACAAGTTCAACAGGAAGCATTCGACCAAGCCTTCCAAATGTCCAACGTGAACATGGACCCCGCCGCCAACCCATGGTCAATCCAGAACCCAAATTCCCCATCGAACAACATCTTCGGTCAAACCACGACCTCCTCACCCGACTCCTCGTCGAATAATCAAGACTCCTCGAGCTTCGGCATGCCCACCAACTCCTCCACCTCCGGCACGACGAACTTCTATGGCCAGAATATCAGCAATCCCGCCCTCGGCAACGGCGGTGGCGGACCGATGAATTTCAGTTTTGACACTGGTACGATGGACTATAATGGTATTAGTCGGAGTTCGAGCACGGGCGTGGGGACGGATAGTATGGGGCCGGTGTTGAGTGAGACGGATACGAATAGTGGCGGAGATGGTGGGCAGAGTGCGGGTGAGGTGTTTATGGGTGTGCAGAGTCCGGTGCCGGGTGGGTATACGGGGTGGAAGTGGAAATGATCGAGCTGCACTCCATGAACACAGAATGACAGGACAAGCCGAAGGCGAAGGCCCTTCACAATCACGACGTCCGAAAAGAGGGCGAGATAGCGAAAGCACGACCGAGATGGAATAAGCCCTGACGGTTCGACTTCTGAGCCTTTGGAACGTCACTTGAGCGACGCAGACAGGCGGGCGACGAAAGGAACGACAGAGAGGGGACTGTTGGCTTGCTCAAAATGAGCGCGGTCGGCTGCTTCGCGATGCTGAGACGGGTAGGAGAAATACTGCGATGAGGGCACGTGTATGGTATGTATGAGTACTGATCATAGAACTGACTCTTTTCTTCCCATATCCTCGCTCTACTACTGTGCGGTTGCCTCTCTGCGCGATCAGCGCTGCTTCCGCGAGAATGATGTCGTGACGCGTCAGAACGCGTGTTGGATCGTGCTTTCCTTCGCAAGACGTGGAAGTTGGTGGCGAAATTTTCTGGTTTGTTGCAGGCAGGTGCGCCTTCGTTGATTCACTTCTTCTTTTCGGAGCAACGCTCTCTTCTATCTCATCCCACATCATCGAACATCACTACATTCCTACACGAGGCATCCCTCGTGACGCTTCGTTCACTCAGCTACGATTTCACACACTCGCCCCAAGCGAGTGTATCCCCAAACGCATTTGCACGATGGGTTCCAACCAGACCACGCCGACACCTTGGTACTCTGACCCGAATGGCGACCTCAGACAGGACATTTTCGTTTGGTTCTTGTTCATCATTGTGATCGATCGTGCTGCTGCTATGTACCGACGCTTTCGGCCAGCCAACAGCATCAATACAACAGCATCAATAGCAGAGGACAGGTTGGACGGCTGTCAGGAAGTGAGCGATGCCAACGTAGGTTCCGTGATCTGTACGACACTCATACACTAACAGCTGATTTCAGACTGCTCCGACGACAAGGTCTCCGAAGTAGCAGCTTCCATCATCAAATTCCTCAGCGAACATCCACGCGGGCCTCAAAATGGCTTGGACGAAATGCTAGAAGCGCTCCTCCAGTACAACAAACTGAGCAAACATCCGGTTGTCTTTGATGCCAACAACGCACGGTGTACCGGCGGCTCCAAAACCAATTGAAGGATCGTGGTCGATGACGGATCGGCATACGGTCGGCTTGAGCTTCGTGTTCACGAAAGTAAGTATCGAGCGATCCCTTGGTTCCTTCGCAGCTGATTCTGGGCTCCAGTAAGCCCCATGGCAGGGATGTGATCGAGACATTGATATCGCGAAAGCTCTGGTGCCTGTTCGTAATAGGAAGCCTTCGAAGGTGCGGTCGGATTCCCACTACGACAACGGGATACAATTACCATCATTGTTATCACTGCATGAGGGACCGGAAATCGACTACGTTCATGAGCTTCGGCCGACGTCGTCACAGCTCCTTTGAGCCAAATGATAGTCTTCGAAGCCACATCAAGGCAGGATGTCTTGAACATAATGGAGGACAGAAAGTGCATTGATCCATCGGGGATCCTACACATCAAGACTGTCCGCAGGGAAGAGCACGCATACCTTTGAATTAGCGTCAGCAACATAAGCAGCCTCGTGTCTCCATTGAGGGTCGTACCAGTCCAGATGAATCTATCAAATACAATACTGCCCAGAATCGAATCAGCAATTTCAAACACTTCGAAGCAAATCCACCACTCACGAACTCCTCGCCTCCACAATCTCCGCCACCGCCGTACTTCCCAGCTCATCTCTCCCCGTCAGACCCCTCTTCACTCCTTCCCGGTCCCCAGCCGCCAGCTCCTGGCTCATCTTCCACTTACCCACAATGCTCTCGACCTCGATCTCGATGCCAATAATCGCCCGCTTCATAACCTCGATGTACGGCTTGGGCGCGTCGTCGACCTGCCACGCTGGACTCTTTGCGTTTCTGCTGACGTCGGCGTCCTTGTCTGCATGCTCGCCACCTGGCGTCGTCTCATACCCCAGCTGCCCTTCACTCTCCCGCGTCAAATCCTCCACCTGCGTCTGCAAGTACTCACTCGTCCGCTCACTCTTATCATGATACACCCTCATCCTCCCCCTGACTTCCACAGCGACGTAATTCCACGTCGGCACGACCTTCCCCGTCTCCTGCTTCGTTTGCGTATACCACTGCGGCGTGATGTAGTGCTGTTGAGGAGCACGGAAGTTTACCGTCACTTCAGTCGGCAGGCATTCGGTTCCCGAGGTGCTAGATGTGGCGGCGATGAGTTGTTTTGCGTGTGGGTTCGCGCGAGCCATGTGCCCACGAAGTCGGCAACCTTGGAGGCCGAGGATGGGTTGTTTGAGGGGTCCTTTGGGTGTTGTGTCGATTGATTCCAGAGAGGTGAGGTTTGTGGGTGGGTCGAGGACCCATGGGATGTAGGTGTGTTGAATTAGTGGGTAGTCTGGCGTGGGGGGGATGGCGGTGGTTAGGAGGCCGAGTGGGTTGGAGTGGATTAGTGAGAGGAGGGTTGGGAGGTGGGTTTCTGCGTGGACGGCGCGGAGGTACATATTTCGTTCAAACTGTCGTCGTTCCTTGAAGATGGATCGATCCACAGTGTCTGCCGCTTCCTACGCGTATATAGCAGGTTCAAAAAGGTTGAGGTCCCGATTCGTGATTGCCTTGCCTGTAGATCAACATACCGGGCCGGTCTCAGAGGGCGGAAATGTCATGTCGAGTTTGAGAGTCATGAGCAGGGCGTAAAACTCGACGCAGAGGAATCTGGGTCTCGAATGGCCATTGATCACGAGCGAGTGTCTAGATATTCCGCCGATGTTGAGCTTCATAGGTGCAGCCTTTCGACAATGTCGAAGCGTTGAGTGGGTCTTGGAAATATTGTAGGATCGCGGCGTGAATTTGCGGCGAGGAATATGGATTGAATGCGAGAAATACGAAATTCGCGGAACTAGGCTTTAGGAGCATTGTGTCTGGGCTTGCAAAAGATCTCTCTGATCACATTCGGATGATTTATCACGCGCGCAAGACACGGGAATTAGGATCATAATAGTTACTGAGCGGTCAACAAAGGATTCATGATAGTATGATGTACGATAAAAGAAGCTGCATGCCCTCAGTACAGCTACGCCAAAGGTGCCCTCAACGTTCGTTGATGGATGACAACATCTGGCCCGAGCCCTTTGAGGTGCTTCATTAACTCATCCACGGCTGCTGCTAAGTCGCTGTCGCTCATGGCGGATAGAGCATCGCATATGAAGAACGCCTCGGTCGTTTGGTCCGTCAAGGCGGTTCTGGGGTCTTGCCTCCAATTCCATCGTCGGCATGTAACGCCCTCGTCGTCTACCCAACAAACTTCGCCGGCCTCTGGATGCTCGACGATGATAGACTCGCCGCTCTTGACATGGAAGGTCTCCTTGCCAGTGGCTCGGATCAGCCTGGGCAATCCGACATATTTCGCAGCGTCCTCCCCACCAAGCGGAATCTGGTATCTGACCGAGACCGCGTTGTAGATATCCGTAAGCTTGTTGATCCTTGGCAGACCGGTTCCGGGACCTATGCGCCGACTGAGTGCTTCGAGACTGTTGCGGTACTTGGCTGGTTTGGCGCCGAAAGCTTTGTACGCTTCTCGCCATGTTGCGATATGAGGGCGCTGGGTTAGAGGAGTTCCATTTGAACGAGCGAACGTCTCGGCTTCAGTCAGGAGCTGCTCGCTTGCGCTGTCGCTGGGACTTGGCACGATTCCGGTTGCGGAGATGAGGACAGCGCGGTAGTCAGGACGGAGAGTGAAGACTGAGGGGTCGATAATAGCGCCGTCGACGAGTGCGCGGGCTTTACTGCTGGTGGTCATTTCCCGGGAGGGCAAAGATGGAAGAACCCACCAAGGCTGGCAGACGATGGAATCTTGTAGTAAGAAAGACCAGAACGGAGAAACTTTTCCTTACCTTTTGATGTGATGACAGGGCGCGAGCGTCGAGCTGTTCGAAGGCGTACTCGTGGACATGGTCTAAACTTACCTTGTCGTTGTTCTTGCGTGAAGCACGCGACACATGAGCCCCAGGCCGTGCACACCCAGAAGTTTGGATTTTTGCGATTCACAGGGTGGTGTTCGTTGCCGAGTGTCGATGTGTTCGGCTATCTGAATAACGTTCTTTGACGCGACTTTGAAAATCCGAAATTCAAGGCGTTCCAGTTTTTTCTGCCAGGTGGTCATTGTGCTCCGCCGTAACGTAAGTGCAAATCGGCTGCTTTCCGATATTGCTTGCTCGATCGCCACCACGACGCGTGTGTATGAGACCGTTAGAGGCGCTCAGCTACAGCCATCGGGTAGGTGGAAATTACCATGTTGGACTCCTGGAGCTCGAAGCTATAGATCGCGTTCGATGCAGTTTCCCACCCACAGAGGTATCCCACGTGGACAATTCCCATTGCTCACGATCTCTCCTGAGGCACTGTTCTACGCACGCCGCTCCAGAGACACAGCGCCCCTAGAATCCGGCCATGACATTACAGTGAACGGTCCTGTCATCGCTCGGACCGCAGCCACCTACCCGGCTACTCAGATGCTTGGTCCGCGATTACGGCAGGATCTTCTGGTCCGCCGTGCCCTTCCCCGATAGCAACTTTGCAGGTCTCGCCTCATGGTCCCGCGTGTGAAGCCTTGCGTACAGTACACCACAGCTCACCACGCCTCCGCAATGAGATTGTATTATGCAGTCCGGCGACGCCGTTAGGCTCTTGAGTTCTGTGCCCGCTGAATTTGGGTGCACGTTCTGATTCTGGCCACATTCAATGATCCACTTTCGGATAGGGGATAGCAAATCCAGCGCCAAGCTCAAATTGCCCATGGAGAGCGCAATCCTTATCCAGAACAAGCACGAGTTTAAACTCAGCCCAAAATGGCAAACCCGCTGTGGCTTCAACGTTTACTTCGACGAGGCTGACTATCAGATTGGAGTTGTCGTCGAGTCGAGTCGTACATGCCACACTATGGTACAGGTATAAGTCACTCGCTTCCCAAGAGCACATCTTCCGAGATGTCAAGCAACTACGCTCCTTAATTCTCACCCACACTCTTTCACCTGGCAGCCACCATGCCGTCCACTCTTTTACTACTCAAAAGCTTGGCTTTAGCCTCACTTGTTGATGCTCTGCCCAAGAAGCGAGACTCGAAGACTGTACATCTCGATGTTTTCCAGGCGGACAAAGCAGTGAATGGCAAGACAGTCGATGCGCCTTTCACTGTCTCTAGCTCCATCTACTACGTTGAGGTCACCCTCGGAACTCCTCCTCAAACTATCTACTCTCAGCTCGATACCGGCAGCAGCAATCTTGTTGTGTACCCCCCGCGTCTCGCGCTTGCTAAATGCACCTTCTCCCAAGCAGTGTGTGACTCGTCGACTTGTAAGTATTCCAGGCAATAGATGGACCAGCTGACACACCACAGATACCGATACCGCTTCTTCTACCTACGTCAACCTCACTATCCCTTACTCTAGCTCCTACGGCGATGGCTCGGGCGGCTCAGGCTTCTTGGCCACCGACACCCTCAACTTCGAAGGCGCAGTCATCAACGCCTTTGAATTCGTCGACCAAACAGTATCCAACACCCTAGGCAATTCCGTCTTTGGTACAGGCTATGCGTCTAATGAGGGCGTCAATCCACAATACAACAACCTCCCCCTCCGACTCACAGCAGACGGTTACATAAACTCGCCCGTTTTTAGTCTTTGGCTCAACTCGCTCCGCAGCAGTAATCCCGGCTCAATGCTCTACGGTGGAATTGATAACCAGAAGTATTGCGGCAGCTTGACGACCCTCCCAATCCAGCAGACCAACGGTGGATACACGGAGTTCACTGTTGCACTGGGTTCCATTGTCGCTCAAGGACCGAATGGCAACTCACAGAATATTGATATTGGCAGCAATACGCTCGCCCTTCTCGACAGCGGCACCAACAGTATCTCTGTATCTCAGACTGCGTACAACGAGATTCTGGCCCTCTACAACGCCTCGCCCGCGCAAGGTAACGGTTTCCCCCAGGTCGCCTGCTCGCTCGGCAACTCTGGACTCACAATGAGCTTCGGCTTCGGTGGAGGACTGGTCATTCCAGTGCCCCTGGACCAGATCGTGGCAGCACCCCAGAACAATGACCAGCAGACTTGCGATTTCTTCGTTAGCACACAACCAGCTGGCGCTGAGTTTATTCTTGGTAGCTCTTTCCTGAGTGCTGCCTATGTGGTCTATGACATTGGCAACAATGAGATTCACATGGCTCCTGCCATCTTCAACCCTACCTCATCGAATGTCATCACTGTTGGAAGCGGACCTAATGCTGTTCCTTCAGTGGCTGGACCTGCTTGCTCGTCAAGCTCAACCACGACCACGACCACGACCACGACCACAACAAGTGCGACTTCTACAATGACCTCGAGTACGACCACAACTAGCTCTTCAGCCGCCACAACTACCACGACCGGATCTTCCTCGAGCACTACTACCAGCACCAGCAGCCGGTCTACATCCACAGGCAGCACTACCGCAGCATCGACTACCACTAGCAAGTCGTCAAGCGTGTCGGCCTCCACGACCGGAAAGTCCTCTGCTTCAACCACCACAACTGCAATGTCATCTGCATCCACCAGCACTGCCACAACTTCGACCTGGTCCACGACTAGTGCCTCTGTCTCTGGGACTTCATCAAGCTGGTCGGACTGGGATGGAAAGACCAAGTCTAGTTCCACGACGTCCAAGACTGTGAGCCCAGCTACATCCAGCTCAACCAGCATGATGTCGACGAGCTCTGGGTACACCTGGGCGGATTACACTACCACGGCTAGTACCACATCCTCGACCACTAAGCCGGTCAAGGGGACCACTACCTCCACCACGACCTCGGACGCGATGGTCTGGCCCGACTGGAGCAGCGCCTCCGTTTCTGGCACTTCATCATCGACCAAGTCTCACCACCACAAGTCCAAGACCGTTAGTGTTGCTACATCCAGCTCGACTTCCTCCTCAGCTGTAACATGGTCCGCGTGGGATGGATACACGATGCCAGCCTCCTCCAGCGTGACCACGACTCCAGCGAAGGCTACTTCGTACTGGACAGGAGCCATTCCAGCCACCACTACTCCAGTGAAGGCTACCTCGTACTGGACGGGAGCCATTCCAGCCAAGAGTTCGTCCAGTATGGCGATGTCTCAGTCGTGGTTGGATAACAACGTCGATGCTTCTTCCACTTCGACATGGGCTGACGCTGTCGTGCCCACTACGATGACAGTGGTGCCCGAGAAGCCTACCGCCGTCGCAGCTTCGTCCTGGGCTGATACCGATGTCGATGCCTCGTCTACGTCGTCGGTGTCATCTTCCGCGGCGTGGAGCAATATGCCGGTCGCTCCGGCGTCGGCTACGCCCATGCCGGCGCCGGTGAAGCCGTATACTGGCGGTGCTGCGAGGTTTGGGATGAGCGTGGGTGTGGTCGTGGTTGGGACGGTGTTGGCGATGGTGCTGTAGGAGTAGAGTTAGATGATGTGGAGGATTTCAGTTCGGCTTGAGATGAGATGGGAATTTAAAGAAGAGTTTGGATGGATTGGTGTGTTAGATTTGTTGCAGCGTTGCAATGTGGATAGATACTAATGCGATATCTGGCTGTAGGGCGATTGTATGATGCTATCCTTCATACAGTATCTGTCGAGATCATCGAAGCTCGCCCCGCCTGATAGCAGTCGATGCTGACCAGGCATGGCAATGAGATATCGGCGACCTGTCGTTGTGAAGGAAGAGGAAGGAAGATGTCGAGGGTATGGCATCTAGGTACTTACACCTTTTCCATTGAGTGACCTCCGGAGCAAAGCGAAAGAGTCACTCCACTGACTCGGGATGCGGTGATGTAGTACATATCATTGCATGCATGTTGATAAGTCGATCGTGCAGTAAGCTTGATATGAGCGCAATCTGCCTTTACTCGTCGAACGCTACTGTAGATACTAGTATGCTGCTGGTCATCCCAGCCTGAGTCTTCTGCTGTTATGAGCGCGTACGTCATTCGTGTCTTGACGGTCTTCTTGATCCACTCAGGCGAAGTTCGGTACCTGATTTGCATTTTGACGAAGCATGATTTGGGCATCAAAAACCCTTGAGCAGCAGTTCATCGTATTCAAAGAAAGAAAGCCGGTCGCTCGATGTACAAACGTAAGAACTCTCTTTTCCCGACCAAGAGCAGATCAAGGAGAGGGAAAAGGCAGAGAGTGATTGATAAATGTTTATAGGTACCGTGTTCTAGTTGGAGAGGCAATCTCATCTCGACTGGAGGCTTGGCGTGATTGGGCTTAGGCGAGGACAAGTTCAGACTGCGCCGGCCAACTTGATCTGACCTGGCCTTCACTTCAACCCAGCAAGCAATACGGCAACATACTCTCAGCGACCTCTCGTACTTCGCCCGCGACGTGTACGTCTCATTCTTCCACTCGTAAAGAATAAATCGAGCATACTTCTGTACATCGCTACACGCCCGGAGCCCTCACCTCAGCAAGCCGCGCTTCGCCCGAGTTGTCTCCTGTTGCTGCTACCATGCACATCCTCCACCGCCAGCGATAACAACTCATGCAATCAGCCTCGGGTCGTCGCTAGAGATGCCCGCCGTGGCTGCCGATTCCCTTAGACCAGCTCTATCCAACAGTGCCCACTCGTCCTTCGATGGTCATCCCCGGAAATCACACGATAAGGCGCTGACTGCGAGCGGCGTCTTCACATACACCAACGGCACAGACGTCGACACGGGCCTGACTGACCATCGAATCGACCAGTACCGAACTCTCCTCAACGCCAGCCACTCGTCGCTGACCAACGGTCTGCCCAACGGCTCACTGAAAAGGACCGGCTCAAGAACAGGGAGCACGCCCTCATTGGTGACGCGAGAAGACCGCTCACAGCTGGCCGAGGCACCTTCGAAATTGTCCAATGTCGAGAACGTGTCGGAAGATCGCGCGACCTCGCCCAGCAGATCACGCGCCCAGACTTCGCCCAACGATCTCAAGGTCAATATTCCCATGTTGAAAACCGAACAGCACCAGGACTCGACCACCGCCGATACCGCTGGTACCGAGCCTCTATCGCCGTCGAGTACCCGACATGCCCCTCCGCAACGGCTGTCAAACACAGCGCTGCCTCCGAAAAAGAAGGACTCAAATGAATTCCCGCAGCTGACACATCGACATACTGCTCTCGGAGTGCCCAAATCAAGCACTGGCAGAACCTCTCGCGACTTTTCATTCACTGGCGGGCCTTCCGAAGAAGTCCTCCATGCCAGCGGCCGCTTCTCACCCACCCACGACACGCATCAGCCTCGACATAGACGCGCCTCCCTCAGCCTGATACGAAGAAGTACACGCGCTCACTCCGATGCCCACATTGACGAGATCCCTCCAGATGAAGAGGCAGCACATTGGACAGAAGTCGTACGGCAGCAAAGAGCCTCTAAGCGAGCTAGAAGAAGAGATGACGATGATGACAGGGTGATCGTGGGAAAGAAGGTTGAAGAGGGCCACGTCAACTGGGTCACCGCCTACAACATGCTCACCGGCATTCGCTTCACCGTCTCGAGAACAAACGCGAAGATGGACCGCGAACTGGTCGAGGCCGACTTTGACGCCAAACACAACTTCAGCTTCGATGTGACCGGCAACGAATTGACACCCAGCGCAAAGTACGACTTCAAATTCAAGGACTACAGTCCGTGGGTCTTCCGCCATTTGCGAGCCGATTTTGGTCTGGATCCGGCCGATTACTTGATGAGTCTCACCAGCAAATACATCCTGTCCGAGCTGGGAAGTCCAGGGAAGAGCGGCAGCTTCTTCTACTTTAGTCGAGACTACAAGTACATCATCAAGACCATCCACCATGCCGAGCACAAGCTGCTTCGAAGGATACTGCGCGAATACTATCACCACGTCAAGGACAACCCAAATACCCTCATGTCCCAGATCTACGGCCTCCATCGAGTCAAGATTCCATACGGGCGAAAGATCCATTTCCTGGTCATGAACAACCTCTTCCCACCGCATCGCGATATACATCAGACCTTTGATCTGAAAGGCAGCACAGTCGGTCGTGACTTCAAGGAGGAGGAACTGGCTGGGAATCCGCGGGCCACTCTTAAAGACCTGAACTGGCTTCGTCGGGACTACCATCTCGAATTCGATCACCAAATAAAGCAGCTGTTCATCGAACAGCTTCAGCGAGATGTTGCCCTCCTCCAGAAGCTCCATCTTATGGACTACTCCTTGCTCGTCGGCATACATGACCTCAACAAAGGCAATGAAGAGAATCTCCGCGAACAAAACCTGCGAGTATTCCAGCCTGGCGGACGGCGTGGCGACGGCGGCGAGGAAGAACAGCCGAGCATGCTTATGCGGACGCCTTCACGACTGGAGAATCTGCGAAGGACGAAGGAGCTACGGCTAACCTTGAAGAAGGAGCGGCCAATGCCTTTCGGCCTGGTCAGCACACAAATGCCAGATGAGATGGAGAGCGGCGACGTGCGGAAAGGTCGTGTTTTCTACAAGGACGATGGCGGTATCAGAGCGACGCACGAGGATGGACATGCCGGCGAGTTGGTCTATTACCTCGGTGTGATCGACTGTCTGACTCATGTACGTCTTCCCCTCCTCCTCAAGTCACACATTTACTAATCACTCATGCAGTACGGCTTCGTAAAACGCCTCGAGCACTTCTGGAAAGGCCTCAGCGCCAACCGCTCGCAAATCTCACCCGTCCCACCACAGCAATACGGCGACCGCTTCCTCAACTTCGTCACCGGCATCACCATGACCAAAGAAGAAGCCGACCGAAGACGAGAGCGTGGGGATAGTGCCCTCAGCGAAGTCGCTCCCATCGGTGTTGCCGTCAGTCAGCGCACCAGCATCAACACCGGTCCGGTCTCCGCTGGTGCTGGCAATGCAAGCTCGAGTCTGGACGTCGACCGCACAAACGAGAAACTCGCTGGCCGAAGTCCACCAGGAAGCCCGATGGCGGTGGAGCATACAATGGCGAAAGCGCAGAAGCAGGTCGAGAAAGAGACCGGCAAGGAGGGTCGGAGGCGCAGTGAAGAAGAGAAGCCACAGCGCACGCTCCTTACGGCGGAAGATGCAAAGAGTAATACGCTGCTGCCTATGGTGAGCGAAGAGACTGGTGAAGGCGGGAGTCGGAATGGTAGCGCGACTGGAAGTGCACGAAGTCGGAGCCACAGTCGAAGTCGTGCGCCCAGTCAGCAGCCGAACCACGTCGATCAGCAGGACTTTGCTGCAGCAACATCGTCGTCCGCGGCCGCACCAACACAACCGAATCACGTCAACGGCAAATCACCCCAGCACGCTGCGCAAGACAGCTACTACAAAAAGGCTACCACCGATAACGACGGCGGGATCCGTATGGTCTCCCGAACCGACTCCGACGGCCATCCCGAGACCGATCTCTTCGGCCACGAGAAGGTGTCTGTCCAGATGCCTGGGCCGGAACACCCCATGGGCTATGACCCAAGCTGGGAGCATCGCCCTTCCCAGCAAGGCAAAGGTGTACCTGGCTTCGCTGGAGGCGTTAACGGCGCTGCAGACGATGAGAACGAGGAAGAAGTGGACGAGAAGGCTGACTATCAAGGCGGTAACGATGGAAGCAACGGTGGCAGTGACGGCGGGCCAGTGCAGAAGAGAAGATCGAAACCGCCAAGGATCAATTCGGATATCATACCACCCTTTTCGCCGTTGGATGCCAGCATCCCAGGGGTTGTTTCGGACGACAAGGCATACTTTGAGCGCGATGGCGGCGATCCCGAGAAGCGGCCTGACGCCAGGTGGTAGCAACACTGCGAATACGAGGATGTCTCTGTCGAAAAACAAGGGCGTGGTGAGGGACAGCTAGAGGAGTTCCTTGCGCAGATGCAGAGAAGGCTGGACGCCGCGCCGCGGCGGAGTAGTGGCAGAAGCTCGAGCACACGGCTCGGCAACAACGCCAGCGACAATGGTGCAGCACACGATGGGAAGTACAATACATGGCGTAGCGTGGAGAGACCGCCGTACGGACGAGGATGTCCCGGCAGGAGGATGGTGACTGCCTAATTCTGTGGTGTCCAGCAGCCCACTCTCTGTTCTGTTCGAAGCTCTTGAATCCGACTTTTGCATTTTCGACGGACCTGGTCTTGCGAGGCATGGCGTTCACTGGGACACAAGCCGTGGAAACTGGGCACAGAGATGAGAAGAAGGCCTGCCACCTTCGAGGCATGGACGGACGCATCGTCGTCTTTCGGGCAGGCAGCACATACATATCAATTTCACAGTAGAGGAACTTGGCCATACATTTCTCGATCGAATTATATGAGATGCCAGCATCGGTAAATGTCTACTGGAACGCGCTCCCTTCCAATTGTGATGGGTTTGTCGGAATATTTTCTTGGCAAAGCCAGTCGCGTCGATCTGGGACGCGGAACTCGCGAGCCACGTCTGCGCCCTTTCCAACACGAGAATGATTACCGGCCTCCTTCCACCTCTTCGAGTATTACTCAGACCGTTCTCTACGGCCGTAGTCTACAAGACCGAGCCTCATAAGTCTCAGCGCTTCCCTTGAAAACACCTCGTCGGACGAGGCCTCCCTGTGCTCCATCGCCTCTTTCCGTCTCGACGATCGATCGTAGACTGCGCAGCCGCGCACGTACAGAAGCTCGCCAGAATGTGCAGTGGTTGCATTCCTCTGCGAGCAAGATGACGCTAGACGGCGGACCGGCCTCATCCTGTCCACAAGCAGAAGGTTAGGGTTTTCTTCATCGTCTACCTATTGAGGGAGTTGCAAAACCGCACGAAGGCCCAAGGGTACACTCTGTACTTCTCGACGTCAGCTGCGTACGAATACGAGGAAAGCCAGCTTCACGAGCAGCCAGCGTTCACCAGTCGTTGGCCACCACACGCATTATTGCCTCAATTACAGTGCTGAAGCATCAGGTGAGCGGCTCAGTTCGCTCTGCGCGGCGGGCTTGTTTCCTTGCGCTGGGAGTACTCGTGAGTGCAGTAAAATGTTCTGACCATTAGGCAAGCAACTCCGTTGTCTTCTTGCAGACTCTTGCGTGTCGCATCCTGACCCAGATCACAACTTTAAGCTGCGAAAGACATACGCTTCAAGATCGATGCCACGAATCAGAGCATTCCGACAACGAACAACGAGGCAGCGGTCTAGGCCAAGCGATCTGGTTTTCTCTGCAGGGCAGATGCGGATGTACCAGCATTCGTTGAGGCCTGAAAAGCTTCTACTTCGTATGGACCTGCATGCCCAGAGAGCCTTGCGGAATTTCGTCCGTGCTCCTGCTTCTTTCGCAATTGCAACTTCTTTTGGATCTGGAATCGCAGCCCGTGATGATGATGAGTGTCTTGCTCTCCACGTATCGCAGCATTCTTGTGCCTTTGCTGACTGTGTTCCGGCGGGGTTGACGATGACTACAACGAACCGATGCAGATTACTCAACTCAATGGCGAAGGCCAAGATGCACACAGTACCCCTCGGATGTCGACATTGCGAAAGCCTATTTACGAAGATCTGTGCGGGGATCGCGCTTCATGTCTTCGAGACCCTGCCCACCGGTCGCGAGGATCTTGCCACTTCGCGAGTAGCTAATGAGATCAGGCAGTACAATATGTACAGTAGCGTAAACCTGGAGCTAGCTTTCCTAGCTACATTTCGAACGGCAAACTCTCCTCTTCTTCTTCCACATCTGTCAACTCTGCCTCACCCCAACTGACAAGGACTAAACCATGGACGCATCAACAGTGAACGTCGACGCCAGAGCTGCGGCAGCCGACGTCAAGAAGAAATACGAACAAGAGCGACAGAAACGCCAGCAAACTTCCAAAGGTCTCGCACAGTTCTCCGACCGACAACAGAGCAAAGAGCTACTCCTGCAAGATCCGTGGGTCGAGAGCGGTACCGACGTCCACCGGCCGGTCAAGAATGGCGGCACGAGCAAGATCGTTGTTTTCGGTGCCGGCTTCGGTGGACTGCTCGCAGCGATTCAATGTCTTGAGAGCGGAGCGGCCAAGACACCAGGCGATATACTAATGGTTGACCCTGCTGGTGGGTTCGGTGGCACGTGGTACTGGAATCGCTATCCGGGTTTGATGTGTGATGTTGAGAGGTGCGTCCTTCGCCGAATCCAGGGCCCAAGCTAACGGAATCAGCTACGTCTACCTGCCTCTCCTCGAAGAGACGGGCTACATGCCCACACGCCGCTACGCCGGCGGCGAAGAGATCCGCAAATACTGCAACACTCTCGCAAAGCACTGGGGTCTTACTGACCGTGCATTGTTTCAGTCATCGGGTAAGACGCTGACGTGGGAGAATGACCATTGGGTCTGCGAAATCGCTATTCAGCCAAAGGGACTGCCCGAGGAGACGATTCGCATCAACACTAGCTACGTGATCATTGGCTCGGGCGCGTTCACGTATCCGAAGATTCCAAATGTGCCGGGTTTGAAGACATTTGAGGGCCAATCGCTACATACAGCTCGTTGGGACTACAGCATTACAGGTGGATCGCCGGCGAGTCCAGTGCTCGACAACCTGAAGGACAAGCGGGTCGCTATTGTCGGAACAGGAGCAACTGCTATTCAAGTCGTGCCTGAGCTTGCGAAGTACGCGAAGGAGCTGTACGTTGTCCAGCGAACGGCATCAGCGGTTGGCATCCGCGACAATCGAGACACTGATGCAGAGGAATGGAAGACGAAGATCGCAAGCAAGAAAGGCTGGCATGCGGAAAGGATGAAGAACCTTCAGATCTTTACCGAACAATCTGTCGACCTGCCAGAGGAAAACTTGATCAATGATGGATTCTGCTCGATGCCTTCGATCTCAGGCGCCTTTGGCGGTCCGAGTGATCTGAAGCCCGAGGACATGGCGAAGCAGATCGAGTATCTGTACAAACTTGATGACGAGCGGGCGCAGAAGGTGCGGGATCGTGCTCTAGAGATTGTGAAGGATCGCGAGACGGCCGAGGTAAGTCTGCCGACCATGCTGATGTGTATGCTCTCGGCTGACAAGCGGCAGAAACTCCAAGCATGGTATCCCGGATGGTGCAAGCGACCAACATTCCACGACGAGTACCTACCAACTTTCAACCAACCTAACGTCCACCTCGTCGACACCGATGGCCAAGGCATCGACTCCATGGGCCCGCACAGTATCACCGTGGCTGGTAAAGAGTACCCCATCGATGTCCTAGTCTGGAGCACCGGTTACGGCAACCCGCTCCTCGAATCTCTGGCTGGCAAAGCCGACATCATCGTCCGCGGAACGAACGGGAAAGATATGGAAGAGCTCAACAAGGCCATGGACCTCAAGACTCTCCACGGCCTGATCTCCTACGGCTTCCCAAACCTCTTCACCCCGTCACTCGCCCAAGCAGGCGTCGGCGTGAACCAAGTCCAGCGCATCCACGATCAGACCGTTCAGATCGGTACATGATCGCCGAGGCCGAGAAGCAGGTTGGCAAAGAACACAAAACTATTATCACGGTCGAGGAGAAGGCGTGCGATAAGTGGCAGGACGAGCTGCAAGCAAATGCGCATTTGACCGGGGCGATTGTACAGTGCTTGCCGGGCTACTTCACGCTTGAAGGCGATGTGGCGCACCTTCCGCCGGAGGCGCTGGGGAAGATGTCGAGAGGGGGGTTGTATGGGCAGGGGTATTTGAAGTATGCTAAGATACTTGATGAGTGGAGGGCGAAGGGCGATTTGGAAGGCTTGAATGTTGCGTCTGCTGCATGAGGTACTTGCTCACACAGAAAAGATAGGCTGGTACCCAGATGCCAAGGTCCTTCAAACTTGTCCATTTTCGGAATCGAGACTGCGAGAGTGGACGCTCGCAAACGTTGACGAGCACGGAGAGGCTCACCGGAACTAAGATGCGAACCGTCGTGCACGCTATCACCGAGATGATGGCGCAGCGCAGACTATCGCCGAGATAAAGGGCAAGTGTCGTTCAGTCGTTCAGATCACCCTTCTCGAACAACCAAGTCATCCCATGCGAGAGCACGCCAGACATGCAATGCTGATGACTGGTTGAAATCCATTGACGCTTGACAGATCCAACGCCTTCGCCGCGCAAGTCCTGATAAAACTACAGCCTCTCCGCCCACAACAAGACAGTCGTTGCCGCAGCCATGCCGTCCGTTCTCTCGCTCATCGGAGCTGTGACGGTCACTACAATATCAATGCGCCTCATCCTCTTCCTCCAGCCCTACCTGAAGCCCTCGAAGCTCGACCGCTACCTCACGGAGAAAGACTCCTGGGCCCTGGTAACAGGTGCAACTGATGGTCTCGGCCTAGCCTTCGTCCAAGAACTCGCACATCGGGGCTTCAATGTCGTCATCCACGGCCGCGACCCGGACAAGCTGAATGGCATCAAGACACAGCTCGAGAAGCAGTATCCTGGTCGTCGGTTCCAGATACTCGTCCTCGACGCCAGCACCACTACGCCCCAGCAGATCACCTCACTCTCGCTTCCTCCGATCTCCGTCCTAATCAACAATGTAGGCGGCGGCCCACCGGGCCGCCTCTGGCTGCGCTTCCACGACCGCACAGTCCAGGAAGTAGCGGATATGGTCACTATGAACGCCACTTTCACGGCAATGCTCACCCACCGGGTCCTCGGCGACTTACAGAAGACGCAGCCACCACGCCTGGTCATCAACGTCGGCTCGGTAGTCTCCTCTCTCCACGCAGCCTGGATGGAACCCTACTGCGGTACCAAAGCCTTCATCGAATCCTTCAGCGAAGCTCTACACGTGGAGATGGTCGCCGAAGGCCACGACAACAACGTGGAAATAATGTGTCTGAAAGCAGCAAGCATAAGCACGAAATCAAGTCAGTTGCCGCCATCATTCACAGCGCCGACGCCGCGAGTGATGGCAAAGGCAGGACTGGATCGGGTTGGGAGTGGGAGGGTGACGACGGGGCCATTGTTGAGGCATGAGGTCATGTTCGCGGTAATGGGAATGCTTCCGAAGGCGACTCTGTCGAAGGTTATAAATAGTATGAACAGCTTCAAGATTGGTAGGGGTTGAGGATGGCTGACACTGTTGGCTGGGAGTGTGAGAGTTACGCTCATACCGGAAAAGCTATGATCGGCTTGAGAAGCCCGTTGACAGCTTAGGCAGCGGCGATCGAGCACAGTTACCAAGCCCAGAAGACACCTCTACGTTTCACCGTGAGTCGCAGCAGCGATCAATGCACAGTCACTCCGCCTTCAGCCACTACTCATTGCACAACGTATACCGATACCTTGCCCTCCCAGCATCCATATCCACCACCGCCTGATTCGCATCCCTCATGCTCCTCTTCTCCACCCACGGCTTAATCCCCTTCTCCGCCGCCAGCTGCAGCATCTCCCTGATCTGACTCGGCGGCCCAATACTGCTCCCACCAATCTTCCTCTCCTTGCTCATCAAGTCAAACGCGCTGATCGGCGGCAGCGGCTCTTCCGGCGCGCCAACTTGAATGAACACACCGTGCGACCTCAGCAGACCCAGATACTGCCGCAGCGGCATCTTCGGCGAGCTGACTGTGCAGATGATGATATCGAGCGAGCTGGCGTGTTTCTTGTGCCAGCCTTCGTCGTCTTCGGTGGCGATGTAGCGTCCGCGCCGAGTTGGAGGACGTCGTTGCGCTTCTCGCTTCTTCGAGAGATGCCGACGACGTGGTCGGCGCCGAGGCTTTGGCCCAGAGGACGCCGAAATGGCCGAGCCCGCCTACGCCTACGATGCCGACCCGCTTGCCGGGACCACAGCCGTTGTTCTTGAGTGGTGCGTAGGTCGTAATGCCGCCGCATAGCATCGGGGCGGCGTCGGCGGTGTCGACTCCGTCTGGTATTGGTATCACGAAGGCGCCAGGGCAGCGGTTGTGGGTTGCGTAGCCGCCGTAGGACTTGCCGCCGGTGAGGAACGTGGAGTTGTATGTGTCGGCCCGCCCACGGTTTGTGCAGATGTTCTGCGTGATACGGATGAGCAGTCCATTCGGGAAGCATTTGTATGCGCGGAGCAAAACATAGCAGTCGAGGACTTACCGGTCTGTCGTTCGCACAATCATCACACTTTTGCTTCCGTCCCTGACACGAATCCGACTGCGCACCAACACCAACGCGGTCGCCTACTTTCACGTGCTTGACCTGTGATCCCACGCGGATTGCTTCGCCCACGATCTCGTGCCCTACTACGCAGGGGTAGTTCGTTGGGCCCTATCCGGCACGCTGGTCAGTAAGTACGATCTGCGGCTCTCGTAGCGCGTATTTCGACGCGAAGACGAAGACATACCCATCCGCTTGACAACGTGTGTAGATCACTCCCGCAAATACCGCAATGTGTGATGCGGATGTCGACGTCCGTCTCCTCCCACGGCTTGGGCTCGAAGCTTCCCCATTGTAAGTTTCCGATGGAGTTTTTGTCATGAGCGAGCCAGCCTTGGAACTGCGGTGACTGTCCGGCCATGTCTCTCGAGGTCTGGCTTGTAGCTGGCGCAGGCGATGGCAACTAGTCCTGAACAGTTGCTCGACTACTTAACAAATAGAAATGCTGTCTACCGGTCTCAACTAGAGCTTCGGCTTCTGCACAATTGGTTGATACGAATCTTCCAACGGTTCCAAGGCTCTACACCTAACATCTGATGTCCGTGTTGAATGTACGCTCACCTACCTGTCGAGAACAAGAGCTTCATTCTTCGCAAGCCGATCGAGCACCGAACTCCATCGTCCCCGATGACATTGGCGTTCACTCCGCAACCACTTGCCTCGGCAGTCAGTCGATCGGATAAAGATTTCCGTGACTTGCGGAGTTTTGGACAGTCAACCAAAACGTTCATTTCCATCAAATGCTCTGGGGGAAAAGTTCTGATGCCCAGATTGGATGTCAAAGGGTTGCGACGACTTGCACAGTGCATGAAGTTCGTGCCGCAGGGCAATGCGCAGGGCAAGATTGGCACGAGACCAGATGTGATCGGGTCCCTGTCCTCACGAATGCATGTGACTCAGCGACTGGTGACTCCAGAGATACACATTTCGCACGAGAAACGCGAAAACGTAGGGTTTCGATTTTGCAGCGTTTCTAGTTATGTCACACAGACATTGGGTAGATATATCATCATCTAAATTTGCCACGATCTAGCGAGATGGTCTTTTCCGTATCTCCTTGAGCGCCAGGATATGGCGCCCAGGCCTCCCATCCCTGCCGCGCCCGGCATCGCGCGGATGCCAGTTCGTAAAATGCGGATTCGCAAAATGATATACAAAATGGATATCCATAAGCATGACCCTTTTCTTCTCTTCCTGCTCGCATACTGCGCTCTCTCGCTGCCAGTCGCGCAAAACTTCGATTGCCACCCTGCTCGCTTGGTTTTTACGCCTGGCAGCCCGTAGGCATCACGACCTTGTGCTGAGTTGCAGATGGCCTGTTTCATGCTCACAGGAAACCCGTAGCACGCTGAAGCTGATGCAATCGAGGTCCAGCGGTGCTTTGAAGCCGCGGTTGCTGGCAACAGACGCGTGGGCCCGTTGAGCTGGCGCGGCTTCTCACTGCGCAGAGAACTCGTCATGAGCCGCTCCTTCTGCCGCCACGCGAAGAGTGAAGCCGAGCTCGACAATAAGTCGTAGCTGCGACTATGTGTCGTTGTAAGTGCGTTCTCAACGCTTAACATATTACTCCTTCAACCAGGTACGGTCGACCAGTCTCTGCATCCACCGAACAGCGTCCTGCAAGTCTTGCCCAACTCGACCATAATATCGAAATGCTTCCACGATCCTTGCGCATCGTGTCGTAACCTTGCGGCGGGATCCGAGAACGGCTTGGAGCCCATATTATTGATCTTGCCTCGACCAGGACTAAATCCAGTGATAGGCAAGATCAGAGTATCGAGCACAAGTTTAGTGCGCCCTCCATCCTGAAGGCCGGACAAAGCTTGCCACCGGAGGCTTGCCTTCTCGGCCAGATAATTCTTGGTCGCTTCGGTCACTGCCGCCGGTCCAGTCAGCATAATCGGGTCGAGCTTCTGCATCGCTGCTTCCTGGGAAATGTTGCCATCCTCGCTCGTGGCGCCAAAGGTCACAGCATCCATGTGTTTGCGGAAATTGGCGAGGAAGCGATTGAGGACGGGATGGTTTGCGGCTCCGGCCAGAGCCCATTGGGTGAGTTGAACAGGGTAGTGGTAGCCGTGCCGCCAATACGTATCGCTGTCCTCCTCCGTGTCCGCTTCAATGCCGAAAATGAGCTTGACCGGCTCTTCGTGGTTCGTTGTCGTCGCAAACACAGTATTCGTTTCGGTGTCGGTCCACGGACGAATATCCTGAGCATCAACCCATGTCTGCGGAGCTCTGAGCGGATGGGTATCGATATCGCCATACACCCCACCAACAGAATTACACACAACGATCCGGAAGACATCAGCCTTCTCCACCATCTGAGGAAGCGCCTCGAAATGATACAGCAGTTTCGGCTCGGCATCGCCCATCAGATCGAAGATACCTTCGTCATCCCACATGAAATACGCCATCTCGGGTTCCGATTCAGTCGCATATCGCAGCCATGCCTCGACGGCGGGAAGCGCGCCTGCAGGAAAGTGCTCGATATTCGTGCTTTTCCAAGCTTGATGAATGATGCGAGGTATCGAAGTATGCGACAAATGATATGGAGCTGAGTCGGCGGCGGCAGCAGCGAGAGTGGCAGCATGGGTGATGTTCGCAGGCGGCGGAGTTCCTTTGGGTAACCAGTGTGGCGGTATGTACCACGCTGTCAATGCATCAGTCCTGATCTGAAGCTGTGAAGTGGGGCTAGATCGCCAAGCCAATCTGGCCAGCGCGCCGGCGAGCTTCACAGCGAAGGGGACAGAACTCACCTCCACCGTGACCTGAAGACTGGTGAATGTGTTCCCAAACTAATGGAAAGCGCTTTTGTCGCGACGCGATCTTCTGCTCTGGTGATTCATCCGAGGGTAAGGCCAGTCGGAAGAAGATGACGAAGAAAAAGGCGAACATGCAGCCGAAAATGACAGCTCGACGTCTGACGGTCATCGTCGCGATTTGGCGACAGAAGCTGCCCACGACAACCATGAGGTCGGCGAGGATGGTGATGGATGACGATGCGACATGTGTGGTGTTAGCACATTCTATTGCTCAAGCGCATCGTGGAAGTGAAGGTGTGAAAAGAAAAGGGCAGATGAAGCCTGAAGTGAGGGATCCAGCCGATTTCTGGAGTGGACACGGGGCGAGGGAACCGATGGTTGAAGGATGCGACAACGGCACAGAACGGGGAAATCTGAAAGCGTAGTGGTGTCCTCTTGGAGCGAGGCAAGAGCAGTTCAGCGCCGCAAAAGAAGCTGTCGAAGGAATCAAGGGATCCAAGCAACAGGCCCACATGCTGCACCGCCTGGACCTCATAGGCTCTTCGCTAGGCTATTTCCGGGCTAAGCGCAACCTAGCAAAGATGGGCACATGCGCCTAGACCAGCGGCCTGCGCCTACCAGCCGGTGTTTTCGACGTCGACGAGATCGCTTTGCATCATTTTGCAGGTCGGTCCCGGCGGTCGTAGAGTGATGAAATATTGCCTTCTGGTTGCATCAATTCAGACGCCGTGCCTGATCCTACATTATTGAAAGCTCGTGTTCGTGGAAGCGATTAACTAGCTTCGATCTGAGAAGCCGGGGAATTGCCCTGCGCCAAGCTCAGCTTCCTTCCGCTCCAAGTCCAGCTTCAGCACTCTTTTGCATCATAGTCGGTCTTCACACAGCTTGTTCGAACAGCATCGATGTCCGTCGCACGACAGGCGAAGCTCGCACCTGAACGTATTCAATGTTCGCGTCACGCAAATGATGTTGAAATTGCTGCTGCCTTGAGTTTGACTCTAATTTTGATAGACAGCATCCTGTTCCAGTCCCGAAAGCGTGAAGCCTTTACGAAGAGCCGCGTCAGCCCTGACCAACAGCTTTTGCGTTCTGGAAACTCACGCACTTGCGCACCGGTAATCATGCGTCGGCGAATTTGACTGCATGTGCATCCCTAATGTGCACAGGTGCATGTCGACGTGCGGCGGGCGATGCGATTGGCGCGGTCCTGGCTATTGATCAAGTACATGCTTCAAAGGGCCGCGGGAGACAAGTTACGCGAAATCAACGCAGTTTCCGTCGGTGCTGGGGCTGTTTCGAAGGTCTGGCACGCAACATCAACAGATGTGCGTAGATTTCGTGCAATGGTCGTCATAGACTCCTCCGGCAAAAGTGCGCTATGGCACCGTTGAGAGATCACCGTGCCCTGTCCATCACCGCAATGATTCAAAATGTTTTGCGGGCCAGGCATGTCACAAATGACTGGCACATAAGGTACCAATGCCAGCGGAGTCCGTGAGAAAGCAATGTCACATGGTACCTTAGGTACCACGCAACCCACCACAGCGCATGCTTCTCGTTGTTTGAACGTCTTGTCATATTTTGGATCATTGCCGACCGACAGCCTTGGTTCCGACTGGGACGGTATGGTCCAAGTGGCCTTACACGCCTAAGACTGGCCTCCATCCCAGCTCAGCAGTTCTGTCAGGCTGCCGAACACGCCGATGCCATGGAGATCCCAGTTCGGAATCGAGTGCTCCTGTCATTTCTTTGCTACGTAACTGTTTTTGCTTTTTGGGACAAAGTGTCGTGTTCCGAAAAGCAAACACCAGTACAAATCAGCGCGCGCCCGAAAATACTCCTCTAAGGACAGCGATTCCTGGAAAGACTTGTTTCATGGACCAATGTTCGTCTATCATATCTCGTGACGCCGTGTGACAATTCGTAAAGCCAAGTTCGCCTTGAGCCGCTGCAATAACTTCGTGCCGCACAACCCGAAGACAACGCATATTTGCAAAACCCTTCCTCAACCGCACATTCCTTGTTGCAAGATCTCACTTATAGTTGACGACACCCTTCACAGCCCAGACCTCCCCATTGCCCACCCGCCCCATTACTTCGCTGACCTCCAGCTCAAAACCCTTCCCTCTGATAACCCTCGTCTTCTTGTCCCCATCCTCGCTCTTCCGCCACTCCCACCAAACCTCGTCACCACCAAGCGTCTCCACCTTCCCATCCTCGCCCTCTTCCCACGGGCTCACCGGCACGACATGCATCTCCACGAAGCGTCTGAGGTTCTCTGCAGCTTTCTCCTCGTTGTGTTGCGTCGACACGCCACTGTTGCTTTCGCCAGGCCGATCTTCCCATGGCTTCCTCGGCAGATCCTGCATTGCGCTGTTCAGAGGCGCAAGAAGCGTTGTGTTCGATGCAGGCGTATTCGTTGAGAGGCGGGTCGTCACGGAAGCGATGTCCCGAGTCAGCTGCGCAAAGATGTTGATGCTACGGGAGAGCGGGAGGATGTCGCTGATGGTCAGATCGGCAGCGCTGTCATCAGATGTGGAGGGTGTGCCTGGAGGAAGGACTGGCATTATGGGCGATTGATGGGATTGATCGCGGAGGAGGGGCGCTGCGTTTGAGGTCGGAAGGTAGCGGGAGAGGATGGAGGAGTGGAAGGAAGACGGGATCAGGAAGGCGCCGGCTGAGGCGGCGAGAATTGGGAACAAGAGTGTACGGCGCATAGTGATGGTAATTCAGGTATATTAGATGCGGCGAGGGTGTAGGCGTTGACGAGAGATCGAGTCTCTCATGCGCAAAGCCGAAGGGGACGTTGGCGGAAGTGACGTCGGCAGGAAATCTCTTGGCAGAATTCTGGGTCATTAGAAATATTCCTCAATCGGTCAATTACTCTCTACCAAGAGCTGGCCGTCAGACAACGTGTCGACATACATATCTCCCTCAGTGCATCGCACCTGCATTTCCGGCTCATCCAAGCAGTTCGCAAACTCGTCGAGTCCTGAACACCAGACGAGTGCACTCGTGACAGCAGCGGCGGTGTCGGCCTGGGCAGGCGATCAAGGGACCTTCTACCATATATATTCATGCATAACGTGCTTGATAATGAGGACATAGGTATGGATTTCATGATGGCAAAGTAGTCTACCAACGTTGTGCAGCGTCGACCACGGCATCAATGACCACTGGCGGGAGACACATGCCAGCAGGAAAGGTGTCCGTGGCACACTGACACACAATGCACGCATGTGAGCCATTTTGCAGCATAACAAGGTGATGCGGTGGCATTTGATTGATATTCACGCCCGCATAGAACTGGTATGATCGACCTTCCGCCTGATCCTGTTCTGTTGAGAGCTGTCGTTCGAGTCCATGAAGCCTGAGGAAGCAGGTGAGTATCGATCCACGATGAGAAGCAATTCGCAACGTGCCTTCCCGTCTTTCCGTGGCGACGGCAGTGCCCACCCAAATAGATCGACACTGCAGAGCCTCTGCTGCCCCAGACTTCTTGATCTCGAAATTCAAAGTTCAATGCACACCGACATCATTATCAAAATCAATCTTCATTCCCGACATTTGTCCCTTCTCGATCTCGACGACCAAACGCTCGTGTTTCAGGCCCACGTTCCGCAAACAAGCACCGATGCAAGGCTCCGTGCCTTGGAACTCAAGGAAATTGGCCCGCTGTGATTGCTGCTTGAACTGCAGCTAAGCATCGGTTAAGCTTGTTGCTTGACCTTCGTCACTGCTGCCCACTTTGTGTTCCTTCCCTCAAAAGCCCCTTCCTACCACGTTGTCGACCTTTCTGGTTGTGCTGAGTGTTTGAGCAAGCGTCGTCCATTTCACATAGGCCTCAGCTGGAGCTTTCTACGAGTTACGACTGTACGGACGATTCCCTTGTATTGTAACCTCTATACTTTTGTCGAGTAGTACTGGCCGCGGAGCGCGTACATCGTCCGTCACGCGTCTCGAGTTTACGACACTACCCACATCGTGCTGAGCAAGTGAATAGCCAATCTGCTTCCGCACAATCATGCGTCTCGATTTCAGCGCGCTAATCAGCACGTCGCCCATTCAGAAGACCACCATGGTATGAACGGAGCCTATGCCAACGGGAACGCCAATGGCTACAATGGCCACGTCAATGGCAATATGCCACAAGTTGGCCTCCAGTCCGAAAAGGCCGACCCCAATGGTACGAACGGCCACTCCTACCTTCCCACCCACCACAACAAGAAGACCCGCGGCATCCAGGCCGAGGGCGAATCCGGCCGCCGCGGAGTGCACCCAGGAAAGTTCTTCAAGATCAACTTCCGGTCCGGCTCCACGCTTTCTGCATGCACAAACGTGCTATGGCCATTCGTACCCGCTGCCATAGTCCTCCACTTTGTCGCCGGCGATCATCATGCCTGGACGTTCGCTACCGCATACGTTGGCATGGTCCCAGCGGCGGCCCTGCTCGGATTTGCTGGACAAGAGTTTGCACGCAAGCTGCCGACGGTGGCAGGTGTGGTCATTGAAAGCTTGTTTGGAAGCATTGTCGAGATCATCCTCTTCATGGTCCTGATCGCCAGGACTGACCCAAACGCAATGCCCGGCGAGGGCAATCTCGAGGGTGTGCTTCAGGCGGCTATTCTGGGTTCGATCCTTGCAAATCTGCTTCTCTGCCTGGGGTGCGTGTTCATCGCTGGTGGCATTCGTCACAAGTCGCAGAAGTTCTCGCCCGTCATCTCCGAAGTGGGCTCTGGAGTTATGCTGGTCGCGGGTTTTGCGCTCTTCATTCCGAGTGCTTTCTACTCAGCTCTCCGTGGCGCTCTCACCCAGGGCAGCGAAGGTGAAGAGGGCTACACGATCGAGAAATTGACGCACGACACGTTGGGCATCAGTCATGGCGTGGCAATCATTTTGATGATTGGGTTCGTGGTGTATCTGGTCTACAATACAGCCAGTCACGATAAGTACGCGAGCTGCTCCCTAATTACTCGAACTTTGGCTAACAATATGCGCAGCTTCCTTGGCGAAGTCCTCAAGGCCGACGAGGAAAATGACCGCGATCGCCACAAGGATTTGCGAAAGGAGAAATTGACAATGACGGAGTGCATTATTGCCATTGCGATTTCGCTGACCTTTGTGGCTCTTTTGGCGGTGTTTCTGGTAGAGGAAATTGAATACTTGGTGCACGACCGACACGGTAAGCCAAGCTGAGGTGCCTACTTACATTCTAGCACCTGAACTAACATTACTCAGTACCTGACAACTTCCTGGGTCTGATCCTCGTCCCCCTGGTGGAGAAACTCGCCGAGCATCTCACAGCAATCGACGAAGCCTGGGACAACCAAATGAACTTCGCCATCTTCCACTGCGTCAGCTCGTCGGTTCAGACAGCGCTGTTCAACGCTCCTCTGGTCGTCATCGTTGGTTGGGGTCTAGGCAAGGGATTCGACCTGAACTTTGAGATCTTTATGGCCGTCCTCATGTTGTTGAGCATCATAGCCGTGGGACAGTTTCTGCGGGACGGCGAAAGCAATTGGCTCGAGGGCGCCCTTCTGGTAATGGTTTACATTACGATCGCACTCTGCGCGTGGTACTATCCGAACGCAGATATCACAAGCTCAAATGGTGTTACATCTACAGTGGAATCGGGAGCCGCGCATGCTGCTCGAATGCTGCTGAAGCCGTGAAGAGCAAGGACAGGGGATGGGACATACGAACCGCGTCCTGGAAGATTTCCAGTCGAACGTGATGAACATGTCCTGCGATTCTGGACGATTCACGGGGCACAATGGGCGCAGAAACTGCACGATATCCGCACTGGTCACAGAGAGCATGACATATATACACACAAAATAGCGACGGCGTTCAGGTTGAGACACTACGGCCTCGGCAGTATACCAATAATTTGATATGACATCACCTACCAGGCACCACTCCAGAATTATCATGTTTCAGGCACCCGGCTCAGGGGCGAGGATCGCGTCGGATGACTTGTCTATCACGTCCCTTACACACTGAATACAATGCCGATTACCGCTGACATCTTTGCGATTCAGCTGCATCAACTGTCTGAGGCCTCATGTAGTTGCACCCAACAGTAACGTAAGGCGTCGGTAAGCGAGTAGCGGTATCTCGGTCTCTCCCCGTTGTCAGCAGGCTGTATGCGATCAAACTTTTGGAGCAGTCGAATGATGTTGAAGCCAGCCAGCGTCAGAGCCTGCTGCTGACCAAGACAGATCCTCGGACCGCCGCTGAATGGCACAAAGTCCCACCTCGGCTTCCGGTTGATCCAGCGATCCGGTCGGAATTCGTTCGCGTCTTCGCCCCACAAATCCTTGCGCCGGTGCATGGCGCCTGTGAAGAATGCGACGGACTGTCCTTTGCGGATGTAGACGGGTGCAGTTCCATCTGGGCCTCCGCCGACAGGGAGAGTGGTGTCTTTGATGCAGAAACGCTCGTTGGCTGGGACAGGTGGGTGGAGACGGAGACTCTCGTTCAGGACGTGCTGGAGGTAGGTGCAGCCTTTTATTGAGGGGAAGTCGAGGTTCTTGGGCGACTTGTATGTGCCGAACTCCGAAAGGATGATTTCTCGTAGCTTGTGGAAGACGGCTGGATCGCGTGCGAGCAGGTAGAACGTGAAGCCGAAGAGTCCGGAGGTTGTGTCACGGCCGGCGACTAGGATGTTGATCAAGTGGTCGCGAAGCTCGACGGGGTCGCGGGTTACCTTGATCAGCTCGTCTAGGAAGCAGTACTTCTTCGAAGCTTCCTTGGAGTCGACGCGACGTAGGCCTTCCTGGACGAACTTGTCGAGATAGGCATGGACAGTTTTGCAGTCCTCTTTGTAGGAGGCTGGACTGTATAGCCAATGGAGCTCTTCGAGGTAGTTGCGGATCCCGACGACTTTCTGGCCTCGTTCGTAAGCAGCATCGAACGCTCTCCACTCATTAGCGGCAGGATCATCGCGCAGTGCGGCATTCTGCGAGTCGGTGCTCTGGCCGAAAAGAAGTTCTGTGCTAGAGTCCATGGTAAGTCGTTGGAATAGCGGCTGGAGGTCGACGCGATCTGTCCACCCATCCGAGCCGATCGAGAGGTGTTGCATGAGGTTTCGGTGATGCTTCTCCTCGGTCTCCGAGTCCGTCAGAAGATCCCGTGCGAACTGTGGCCGCAGAATGGACCGACTGTGCTTCCTACAGGAAAGTTAGATTGATCGACCAGAGCGTGTTGGCACCTACCATTCAGCACCATCGGTCGTAAAGATTCCTTTGCCAATCATCGGCGCCCATGTCTTCAGACGATAGCCAAGACTGAAATCCTCGAACTGGGTGGCTAGCAAGGCCTGGATGTTGGCGGGCTCATAAGTAGAGAAGAGGTCCGCGTCCAGGAATGAGGTCACAGCAGTGCGTGGGTTGCTCTCTTGCCATTCAATATAGTACGGAGCAGCTCGCTCTTCACGCATCGCACGCATGAAGTCTCGAATGATCGAGATGCCCCACCACGTCCCTGTCTCCCGATAAGGGAGCTGACAACCCCATTGTCGAGCTTGCTGGCGGTGTCGTCGTTCATTGAGCAGGTAGCACAAAACATAGTAAAGTCCAACAGCGATGGCACCGACGAGTAAAGCCGGCCGCAGCATCTCGACCTACTATGAAGATGGCGAACATCGTGAAGACGTGAGATGTGTCGGATCATTTGATTGTTTCGTCGTGTCGCGTAAAACGCAGCCAGGAGATTGGTTGCCTGAAATCCCGGGTAAGCAGAACGCCAAGCTCGCAACCCGGCGGCACAAACCCCGCCCTCACTTTAGGGACGGGCAGCTTCCACCGCAGTGCCGGATTTTCCGACATTTTTCGCGTTGCTGAAGTGCTTCACATCGTTTGTGATACCTTTGACCTGATACTTGACCTAGCTGACAAGCGCGCAAGGCGTCACTCATCGTGATCAGCTCCTGTTCCGAGTGATCCATGACGCAACTGCAAGCGGCCTTTGCTTGCGCCACATCAATTTGAGACGCGTTCCCGGGTTCGCGATCAGTACTCCTTGCGAGCACAGCTCCGAGTAGGACAATGCAGGACATCGCAGTTCATCGTTGACAGATTGCAGCAGTGACTGATTTGCTCAAGAAGGGGAAGCGCCATTCGCGAGGACAATGACGAGGTAATCTGCACGAATGTGCAGCCATCGTGGGTTGACAAACAGCCCTTCCACTTCACGCAGGATGCGCGCAATCTGTTGGGACGTGGGATCTTTATAGCCATCGATGCGCTTTGTATAAGCGCTTCTTTTGCCGTTTTTCGCATCAGCAGTTTTCGCATCAGCATTTCTCGCATCAGCGCTTTGCGCAATGAGCAGCGAGGCTCGCACAGAGATCGGCACGGGTCGTTCGACTGAGACATGCAAATTCACACGTCGTTCAGGGCGTCACAGAGCTCGGCCGGGCAGTCTCAGGCATTGTTTGGGGCGTCTCGACGCATTAGACGTGGCCTTGGTGGCGTGATTACGGCTCTCTCTTCGCAAAACAACTGCAGCTCAGCTGAGCGTCCTGGTCGTCAGCTTCCGTTCTTGCTGTTATGTGTGGAAACGATAGGACAACAACAGAGCTTCGGATCCAGCTGAGGAAACAGAGAATATGCACGAGGCGGCCATGCTTGTGTTAATGAGCACTTTGGCCAAGGTACTTTACGCAGACTCTCGGAGCGATCTGCGTGGCACGACCCCATGGCGATCCAGTCGTACTTTTCATCGGGATGCAGACGGCGCCTAGGGACTTTGAAGGTGGGGTGTCTGCGTCTACGCCGGCGTCGCGAATTGTACGTGTCGAATGAGCCAAGCATCACTACAGGGTAATAGGACAATGACAGACGTTTGGAAAAGCGAAGAGAAGACGATTATGTGTTGCCCAAAGTGGCCATCGAGCTCGACATCGGTTGAGCAGTGTGCCGGCCATTGTCAGTCACGCTCCGGAAAGCTTGACCAGCGGGACATAGTTAGACGCACTCCTCACAGGACGACCACGTGTGTGCACATATCTGCTGTACCAAGCAGGTGGGGTTTGCCACAGACAGTAAAGACTTCTCTGCAACTCCGGTCGGGCAAGTAGTTTACTGCGCGTAGGGTTCCTGATGGTCTTGCGTCATATGCAGCACAACCCACGCGAAGACTCGCCCGCTTTAGTTTGGTCCGAGATGTCGGACTCATGCCAAGCAAGATCGGGAAAAGGTTCGATGGAGAGATACAGGGGTTTGCAGCAGTTTGATGACTAAAAGGCGGTTGCCGCCCCTCATCGGACTTAATATACGAGAACTCCTCAAAGCTCCAGCTCCAACACTCGATAAGTCATGATACAGGGCGCCGCAGATTGCTTGCAACACCAACCATGTGTCGTGCCGTCTCAAATTCGGTGGAGCCGAGTGGCAGTGTATGTCTGCTTCTGTGCCGGCGAGTGTCGAATCTTGATTACTCTTGTGGAGCTTGAACGCCATGCAGCATCAAAAAAGCTCAACGGGCCCTTGCCTGATCTACAGCGACAATGACGAGACGAACTGTGAAAGAGCCAAAAGCTAAGCACATCTTCACCATTCCTCGGACTGTAGCTACAGGACACAAAAGCCATCGACCCAATAGTCGAGATGCTAGAAGCCATGCCGCGTTCTGGGGAGGAGCCTCCTCTCGAACAACGCAGACTGTTGCCAAAGCCGGCGACAAGATCAACTCAAAGACACGTGCGAGAAGTTTACAACCCGTGGTACCCACCTGCAGTCCACCCAAGCTGTTCCCATCATCGAGCGTGCGAGCTCTGGACGTGTTGACAGCTTCCGTCAATGCTTCGATCCAGAATACTTGCGGGAATCTCTTCGGACAGGAATTCCTGAACAGCCTGACTGGGCCCTTGGCCAAAGGCTATCTACTCGTCGCGGTCGCGTACTCGATGGCAGTGGCTGGAGAGGGTGATATGATGGGTTTCCTGGTCCTAAAGGAGCAGCTATTGCGAAGTGTCCGCCAGGAGCTAGAGGAGAATCAATTCAAGGCCGATCTGCAGAGCTTGGGTCTCATGCTGCTGTTGGGGTCTCCGGCAGTGTGCCTTCTATCGCGGCGCCTACCTGGAGGCCTAGGAGTCGCCGAGTACCTGGCTGCGTCTGCGACGGACTCGACCCTGTGCTGTGGTGCATCGGCCGCAATCGCAAGAGAGTGTCTTTCCGAAAATGAGGTCCATTGGCACCATCTGTACAATGTGATCAGACGACAATATGATGGAAATGCATACCAGCTCCAATGGCTGGACTACTTGGCGAGGTACATGGAAATGTAAGACTCTTCAGGAAACCTACTGAACTTCGCTAATCGTGACGCACAGAACGCGACTCTCCGATAGCGCCTACTTTGAGGACAAGCTATGCAGACCTTACCAGCCCAAGTCTCGTGGTGCTGACTACATTGGCCGTGGCACTCCACACCGTGATTGGTTGTCACCACTCGCCACCGAATGGAATGACCTCAAAGCAAGAACCTGCCTGGAGACGCCGATGCACGCACTTGGTAGGATGATGCAGGCATGGCTCGCCACATTCCTGGACAGCGATCACACCTCGAAAGAGGATGCTTGGCTACTGCTCGAAGAACGACTTCGCCTCGGCCGGAAGATCGAGCACTTCGTTGGCGTGGCGGTTACCGTTACTGGCGCCGAAACGGCAATGCTGTCTTGTTGCCAGTGGGCTGCGATGGTCATGCTCAAGAGCGACCGCCACAGGATATCACTTTGGCAGGCGGCTCGACAGACACCAACGCGTCCACGACTGGTTACAACCCTTCGCATGACAGACCTGGGCACTTTGTGGGGTCCCTACAAAGGCATGCTCTATTGGGTTGTTTCTGTATGCCATCGATCGACCTCTGGGAAGTGTTTCCCTTTGCTTACCACCGCCTTGTTGTCTCGTCTGGCACATGTCCTGGCATTGTCGGAGCAGTACGAGGCTATAGGACTCACACCACTCACAAGACTGGCCGAGTTCGAGCACATGTGCTGCGATGGAACGGAAACGCCGACGATGCATCCCGACCCAGCGTGGTTCGATTCCACCGGGCAATAGCTCGGTGGGTATCGTATGTGGGTGCCGGAGGAATGCTTGTGGACTTGGACATCTGGGGCACGGCGGCAATACCATCTTCTCCAGGAAGGGTCGGCTTCGTTATTTGTGGGTTTTCTTTCGACGACCGGTTACTTCACGCTTCACGGCCGCTTACGTACGAGATCGGAGGAGATTTGTCCACCGTTCGACTTCTGCGAATATATACCCGACGCAATGGATATGTGGTGCAGTAGTCTGCGACCGTCGATTCGGCTGGGTCTGCCGGATCGGCATCTCGAAGACAAAATGCACACCACCATACCGGCGCCGACAGCAGCGCAAGGTGGCTGCAAAGCGCACCAACACATGCGCCATGGGCAAGGAGATCCCAGCTGTCCCTGGTAAGGACTAGCGTCGAGCATTGCGACTAGAACGGCTTTGACGATTGATTTGTAAACTCGATGTCGTCTCGGATACATCCGTAGATCGACCTAAACATCTCGATGGCCTAAATGCCGACCCAAAGACTGCAGACGATCGAACCGACTCATGAGGAGGTATGGCACACCAATTCAAGGGTAGTTACCGAATGAGGCAGGAGCAGGGGTCTGGCTTAGCTGCAGCTCCAGCGCCCCATTCGATGCAGGAACGCGGAGTTTCAAGCGCAATGGAAGCTCCGCCCTCAATGAATCCCATGCTCACGATCAGGTCTCTTCAACCACGAGCATTCACTGTCCGACTAAGTGTTACATGAGCTATTTGCCGACGCAATCAATCATCCACCCGAAATGGGTCATACATCTTCTTGGAGATCCAGTCCAACAGTTCATCGTCACTCATCCGCCGAAGGTCCGTCGCACGGTCCACCTCATCCTTTTGGGCCGCCCGTATCACTCTCATCGTGACGAATCTCCCGACTTCACGTTTTCTGTCCAATTCGGGGTACAGCAGACCGGCCTTAACTTCCTCCTTGAGCATGACGTCTGGTATGGCGGCTCCAGCTGCGTAAACCATGTTTTGCGTTACATGCTTCGATTGTGATAGGATTGCTCCCTGACCGAGCCCGGGGAACACGTACCTGTGATGTGTCAGCGCGGCTTCCTAATAGATCTCTCGTGATCCCGTCATACATGTTATTGCCCTGTGCTGGATGATACTCATCGCCATGGTACTTGATCGCAGCAAACGGCGATCCAGCAGCGAACAACGCACGACCTTCTGTCGCGTTGATCGCCTGCTCGAACGTGCACTCCGAGGCCGACGTCGGGTTCGATAGTGGGAAGATAATTGGTCTCTTGCTCCAGCTGGACATGTTGTGAAGCAGGTCCTCATGGAACGCATTGTGGACCCCACTCAATCCCACGAGAATGGTTGGCTTTACATGTTTTGCGGTCTCCTCAAGCCTGGCGAACTGTTGGCCACCGTTGTCGTCTCTTGCGAAGTAGCGCTTGTGATCCGGCAAGTCGTCACCTCTATCCTTCGTTACCAGTCCGTGTCTGTCCACAAGCCAGAACAGTCCGCGAGCTTCATCCTCCGACAGCCCCTGCGCCATGAAATATTGAACAATCTGCTTGGCTACGCCGACAGCCGCAGAGCCGGCGCCGAAGAAGACTGCTCGATGATCACGCACAGAAAGGCCGCTGAGTCGAACTGCCGTTATTATGCCCGCCATGATGACGGCCCCAGTACCTTGTATATCGTCGTTGAACATTGCATATTTTGGACCGTACTTCTCGAGCGTGTACCAGGGGTTCTGCAACAGCTCAGTTTCCTGTCAATGCACGGGATACGATTCTCGGGATACAGAGAGCGACTTCAGCTAAGCATTGTCACCCGCGCCTAAACCACTCACCTTCCAGTCCTCAAACTGCACAACAATGCCTGGCCATCTCCCTGTCAATGCCTCCATGAGTTCGTCCAGAAAAGCTTCTTCATCGTGACGTGGTGGTTTGGGGTTTCGGCTTCCCATATACATCTCGTTCGCTCGAAGGTCTTCGTTATTCGTACCTAAGTCGACCGTGATTGGCAGTACATGGCGAGGATCGACACCGCCACATGCGACGTACAGGGCCAGCTTTCCGATCGGAATCCCCATGCCATTGACTCCGATGTCGCCCAAGCCGAGAATGCGAGACCCATCTGTGACCACTGTGATGGCCACTTTTTCCTGAGGCCAATTCTGCAGCAACTTCCTAAGGCTGCCTCGATCTCGCTCATACGAGATGTACAAGCCCTCAGGCTGTCTGTAGATCTCGGACCATCTCAGACACGCCTCGCCGACTGTCGGCGTGTACTGTAGCGGCGCGAGCTCGACGAAGTGCTTGACTAGGAGGCGGTAGTACAGGTGCGGCTGCCTGAGACGAAGGCTGCTGAGGTAGATGAACTTCTCTAGATCACTTTCTGCGGAACGGAGCTGACTGAGACAGCGCCGCTCTTGGACATCGGCGTTGCCGACGTTCGGTGGTGAAGAGGCAGCCAGTGTCATAGTGTTCTGATCATCCTGCAAGCCGTGTCGAGAATCCATGCTCTCCAGACGTGCCCGAAAGGTCAAGCTAAAATCAAACAGTTGTACAGATCAACAACGTTTGTATAGGAATCGACAAACAGGAACGGCGTCCTGACGTAAAGAACTTCTCGTGCTCTGTTGCCCGGACGTACCACGGCTCTCCCGGAATGCCCACCTCATCCTGGGCGATGAGTAAGGATGCTTTTCGCATGCTTTCAGTTCAAGCTCTGACGTTAGGTCTTGTTCTGGACGTAACCACGGCGAACACGTAGTCGTTTGACTGCAGCTTCGTTTTCTGGAGGTCGTTGAGCAGAACTTGCAGGAACTCCATGGCTCCGGAGTTTCTATCCCTGTAGCTGCCAGATTGGCTCTAGCGCATTGAGAAACTCTTAGCAATGGTTTCTGGAGATGGTCAGTGAGTATATCAATGGTCGCAACTACTTGTACACCTTTATAGCATAGTCGCCGCCCTCGGGTATCGCCATCGAAAGCACATCAGATTTGCAGACGAATCCTTTGCAATGGAAGGAAGCTGCAGGTGCGGCAGTATCACTGTGATCGTGAACGACGACGAGCTATTCTCAGGCAAGCGACGGGGTCACCTATGCCACTGCGACGGCTGCCGACGAGTTGCGGGCGGCATCTTTGGTGCAAACTTGGCAATAGAATCGGACAAGGTAGAGATCAACGGAGAATCCAACATCACCGAATATCTGGATAAAGACACCACCAGCGGCACGCCAATGAAACGCTGCTTCTGCAAGACATGTGGAAGGTCAGTAGTCTACTTCAATCAGGTGCAGAGCACGTCTGACATAGCAGCCCCATCAAGTCAACCTCGCCGGCCATGGGCGACAAGATGGTGATCAAGCTCGGCGTCTTTGCGAAAGTTCCGGAGCCAGAATGGGAAGCATTTGCAGTTCGCAGGCAGAGTTGGGAGGTGCCAGTGAGGGGCTGTATACAGTACAAGCTTGTCGGGGGCCCTGGAAAAGAGTTGCTATGAAGTACAGAAGTTGTGTTGATGGAGATTTGTACCTGAGCTACATTGACAACGATGATATCACGCATGACGTCACACTATCCGCCAGCCTTTGTGTAGGATTCATTGAACGCCGCATACCATTTTCCCACCAATTCATGGCCCAAACCAGCCGGACAGGTATCGTGATCTTTCTCCCACCCAACCTTGATCTCCGCCATGAACTCCTCGACGCTCAATGCCGAAGCACTTCCATGCTCCTTGGTGTTGTCCAAAGGATCCTTTCTCTCGCGATGCAGGGCCGTTGATACAGTCGGAGGGACGATCTCGACGACCTTGATTTTGCTTCCGGCATTGCGGAGTTGAGAACGAAGGTTCATTGTGAAGAAGTGCACCCAAGCCTTTGTGCCATTGTAGACGGGATTGACAAGACTGAAGGGATTGTAGCCGAGCACGGAGGACACGTTCATGATGACACCGCCATTGGGCTTGCTATTGAAGTGTGGCACCAACAATACACTGAGATGCATCGGCCCTCGGATGTTGGTATTGATTTCTTGGTCTGCCTTGTCGAGGTCGAAGTCGTAGTCAGGTCCGAGGATCTGGAATGGACGCTGCACGCCGGCGTTGTTGATTACGCAATCCAGCTCCGGATGCTTCGAAGTCACCTCTTTGACGAAGCCGGATATTTTGGAGATGTCGCTTACGTCGAGGACGTAGTACGCCTTTGCACCGATTTCACCAGCGGCTTTCTTCAGCGAGGACTCAGTTCGCCCTGCGATGATGACTTCCTTGCCCAGGGCTATGAGTGTCTCTGCCATTGCTCGACCGAGACCGCCTCCTCCTCCGGTCATCAGGGCGCATTTAAATGATAGTGACGAAACGGGCGCCATTGGAGTGTGTCGTGGCGGGGGATTCAGGAGTTGTAGGCGGTTGGTGTAGTAATGACAGCAGGCGATATTGTGTTGTGACTCTGCGGAAGGCTTTATAGTCAAGTTTCTGACGGTTTCGTGTCGAAATTTTTGTCCCGATTGACTCGCGGTTCGATGATCCGGTAGCCGCATATGATCCGGAAATGCGTGCTTAGGTAGTCAAGGCCGGCACTCGGAACCCCAAAGTTTCATTAACATAGCGTCCCTGCACCTGCCTCGCGCTCTGATCAATGCCTCCAGCAAGGTATGCATCGACCATCAGACTGCAGAGCACTTGTTGGCTGGGCGACCGTGAATAGTACATGTCCGGCACAGTCTAATTCGTCTTTGTCCCTGCAGTTGCCTTCTTGGGTGTAGTGAAAAAAGCCGTCTCCAATCATATGTACGTGCCGACAGACTTCGCGCCCTTGCTTTGCTCCGCACTCGTCACAGCTGAGATGCTGTGTAACATAGGCGCAGTATGGCCTATGTAATATACTGCACATGTTTAGTCAGTGGTATAGCCAAGATCCCATACCGTGTCTGTGCGCGCGCGACTCCAGCAAAAGGCGGAAGATGAAGTGCGTTACGTCCGCGTTCTTGCAGTCAATGAGGCGACGGACTAGGCCTCGTGGTACGTTGGCGGTGATTCGTTGCGCATAATGGCCCACGTGTCTGAACAAGCACGCAAGGCGCTGCGGATTCTGGGTTGGTCTCTCCGGCACACAAGTTCGTCCATGCGAGCGGTAAGCGCATGCCCGTCGAGCACTGCCACCATTTTCCTCGCGTTCATATCGATGAGTTGTGTGTCCCAGTGATAGTTCGCGTCCTCCATTGCTTGAAATGTCTGGCGGTCCACAAACCCTGAGACTGTCGTCATCTGTGCCGGAGTTCTACATTCCCGTAAGCTGTAATGGATTCTGGGTCAGTGTGTTCGCAGTTGGTGTACCGCTGTGGCAGTCAGGCTGGATAAGTATATACAGCTGTGCTGGCATTGGGGACCCTAATGGGTAATGATCTTGGACACATCACGATATTGACAATCACCATGTCGCACGTTCGAGCGACAGGGAGCGCGAGCCCGTATCGCAACGCACGTTATCTTCGACGACGCGTATAATCCTGCCTTTTTCGGCGCGCTGCACACCCCATGCCGGAGTCGCAGACTGAATCTTCGGTCGCATGGCGCATGTATTCGCGGAAGGGCCAGGAATGGGTATGGTATGGCTGCGGAGCGAAGGCGGACTGCGTTTGCTAATATCATCTGCCACGTGCAGTACGTCAAGTTATTGCGTACACTTCCAGCACTTCGGTACGTTTGGAAGGGGCTTACAGATGCCACGATAGGCTGGCGACGCATGCACCAGAATAAGGCAAACGAGTAATAGCGACGCTGCCGTCGTAGGAAGCGCGTGTCAGCTAGGCCGGCTTGGCCCAAGCGCACAGGTGTATTATGCTTCCGTCCTCAAGCTTATGCTTGCCCTGATATCGCCCATCGATCGCATGTAGGTGTACGGCCGTCTCGAGGGTTCCGCAAGAAGATGGGAGCGTATAACGATCTGTACATTTGCAGGTTGGCCGCCAGATCAAGCAGCGACGGCAGCTGCTACCTGAGTGAGTCGGGCAGCAAGCAGTCTCGGGTGCGACATGGAACGCATGAAGTCGAGATGCTTCTGCAATGTGTGGAAGAAGTTATGGCAGACTGCGCGCGTGGTTCTGCTCCAGTTGGTGACAAACTTGTGGCTTTCGTCTCGCGTCGCGTCTCTGACGCGCCAAATTCATCAGCCAATCGGAGGAGACCTCCCGCGTGACGACATGAAATTCCGCTCGACTCGGAGTTTTTGACAGCTCTGAGACTCCGTCGAAGGCGTTGCTCAACGTGCACTTCGCGCGACGGAAAGGATCGTCCATTGCTTTGGTGCAGATACCGGAGCAGCTGCTGCCTATAATGATAGGTCACGGTCCCCAATGCAATGGAAGGCTGGACCGGGTCAGCCTGAGCAGCACCTCGGTAACAACGACCTGGGAATCTGCGTCGGCCGCCTCTAGCCGACGTGCCACGGCTGGACAATGGCCTCGAACACCGTGACTGCGGACGCTAGGTAAGGAGGAGGTCCAGCAGAGCGTTCGCCTACGGTGCGAATATCCCCCTTGCACATGCGTCATGAACGGATCACGTTTCCGGAATGCCTGTCCTCGCATGGGCAAACCGAGAGACTGCAATACTCACCATCTCGCCCAGTCCGACAGATTCAGCAGTAAGACGAGCAAGCATGGAGGTCCTACAAATTGACACCACTTCCAAGAAGTCGCCGACCCGGAATGGTATCCACGATGGAACCAAAACCCTCCGCCCTGCGTCGGCGTCCAAGCACTCCCCTGCCGCGCAGACTACTGATACTAATGCCTCCCTTCTCTTCGTTGGAACGGCAACAACGATTCTGCAATGGGCTGGTCTTACTCTGATGACCGACCCCAACTTCCTCCACGCTGGCGATCATGTGCACCTGGGACCAGGCGTGACCGGGACGCGGAAGACAAACCCCTTTGTCGACCTGGAGGATCTCCCGCCAATCGATCTTGTGCTGCTCAGCCACTACCATGCTGACCACTTCGACGAACACGTTGAGGCCAATCTGAGACGCGACTTACCAATCGTCACGACCCCTCACGCAAAGGATCATTTGGCTAACAAGCGAGATGGCGAGTCTTTCACCGCTGTGACTGCCTTGGACGCCTGGGAGACGGCCTTCATCGACATCGGCAACGGCAAGGCCGCTGGGAATGGCGTGAAGCCGCGTGTGAAAGTGGTCGGCATGCCCGGTAAGCACGTGCCGCCTGGTCCGTTGAACATAGCGAACGACATTCTCGGAGCAGTCCCGCCAACAAACGGTTGGCTGCTTGAGCTTGGTCACGGGTCGAGCGCTTCAGCCTCGGACGTTGACTGGAATTGTGGCTACCGGATCTACATCAGTGGCGACACCTTGCTTATCGACGATCTGAAGAAGATTCCAGAGATGTACACGCATGCTGGCAAGCCAATCGACCTCATGCTGATCCATCTGGGCGGCACTACTATACCTGGGCCCAGTCTGCCTCTGCTCATGGTTACGATGGATGCGAAGCAAGGGATCCAGCTGGTGAAGTTGATACAGCCTGATGTGACGATACCAATCCACTATGAGTGAGTGAATCTACTGCTGGTGGTGTTCGCTGACAATAGTAGTGACTACGACGTGTTTCTGTCGCCGCTTTCTGATTTCAAGCAGGAGATGGAGTCTGCTGGGCTGCAGAGCAAGGCGGTTTATCTCGATCGTGGGGAGGAGTACAAATTCAAGGTCAGACAGGCGGCTCCATGATGACCGCACAGTCAGTGCAGCATTTCCGCCGCTTGTTGGGACGCCGACTCTCTGAGCTATGCTCCTGTGGGCCGGGTAGCGCCTGTTTGCGCACCGCGTGACGTCGGATACTGCTTCGGAGTGTGGCAGATGCGGAGGCCGGATAAAGAACCCGTACCGTGGCGGAGTCAGGATCCGGGGCTGTGACGGCATATGGGTGAGTATTTCAATGCAACACATTGTTCGAACGTTGATTCAGCACCCATGCCCTCCCCTTCCTGAACCCACTGATCAGCGATTCCCGACGACATGTCTCACACGGAAGACTTTGGAGTTGCTTCTCAAGGATTGAATCGTGCCGAGATTAATGTTAAACCGCAAGTCAACCAGGAGCACCCACGCGCCGAAGCCGAACAATCACATTACCGGAAGCCATCGATCCGACGAGCCATTGGCGACAACTTTCCGAGTATCGTCGCGCATCCACAAGAAGGATTCAGGGCTGTCAGAAGAACAGTTCGCCAGCGAAGGGCAAATTCGGCCAGCCAGCAAGCCTCGATTGAAGATGATCATGTTCCCATTCTCGCGCCTGCTCCTCCCCAGGGTACAGGCGACGAGAGACTGAAACATGAGTTGGAGAAGAAACGCAAGTATCCGCCTGCTGAAGAATTCATGCGACATCCTGTCGATGCTCTCAAAACGTTGGCACGAGACCAAGGCGGCGACGACTTCGCTGAGAATGTTGCGAAATCAGAGGTGTCCCATGGCGCAGATGTGCGACTGCTTCGTCAGGTGGACAAGATCGAAAATGCAGCAGACGAGGCAAAGTCGACAGAAGTTGCGAAATTACTGCAGCTGAAACACGCCAGGCAAGACGCTTTTGTTCGTTGGACGATCGACCGGCACGTTCGATGCGCAAAGCAGTTGCGCCATACAAATTCGACACTGCAACAACCCCAATCCCGGATGGCTTTCAGGGAATGGATCGATTATACACAACAGGTACATCATTAGCCATTCTTCTCTACTCCGGTCTTGCTGACTACTATAGTACATCCAAGAAGAGTTCGCTCGAAGTGCGGAACGTTATGGAGAAGAAGCTGACGAGAAGTCGGAACCTGATGAGAGATTATTGGCGTCCAGCACGGAAAGAGTCGTCGTGGTATCCGCTGCATTCCAAAGCTTCGTGATGCAGATACGAAGCATTTCCGAATGGAAAGACCCTCGAGTTAGTGCGACCTATATGGTCCTGTACTTCACATTTCTGCTGTACAGTCAGATCACTCGAATGGCGGTAGGTACAAGCGCTAGTGTGATTCCGAAGCTAATATGGACAGATCCTTTTCGTTCTCGGCACAGTCGTTTACCGTCGATACCACATACCGGGTCTGGACCAGATGCGAGGTGCTGTCGTACATTCAGAAGATCAGGATGAGCAGGTCAACACTCTTACTCAACTGATATTGCAGTACGGAACAAGAGGATGGGTGGATGAAGCGATCAAAGAGGCCGGCCCGGTCCTGCTGCGCTTTACCGAAGAGACAGCAGACTTGCTGGAAAAGATTCAGAATTTCTACGAGTGGCGAGATCCCTCGCGCACGCGCATCACGCTGTTCAAGCTGTTCGGAATGTGGATCTTCATCACTCTGACGCCTACGGAGTTGCTTGTGAAGTTCATATTCCTTTCGATGGGAGTGTTTTTCTTCATACTTGCACCATTGGGTACTCGATATCCACAGTTGCGTATGCTGACATCACCCGTGGTTTGGCTAATGTGGAAAATACCAACGCACGCCGAATGGGCTATCGCGCGACTGCAGAAGGAAGCAGCGGCGTCTCTTCAAGGTGATGGAGGGGATGGGAGTCCTCAGACTGGCGGAAAGAGCAAAACCTCCTCTACTGGTATCATTGGGACCTACGACTGTACCGACGGCAGACTCACAGTGACTACAAGATCTGTCTCATTCTCGCCAGACAAGTCTGCCGAGACTGGCTGGTGTATGGATTACGAAGAGCTAGACAGCTTTCGCAAAGTTCAGCAGTCCACGCATACCAGGACTCTTCGGGGTCTATCGTTCAAGTCAGGCTCTGATGTCCACTCGGTTCACGGGTTGGAGCTTCGAGATGAGATCTTCTCGCAGATACTGGGTTATAGCAGGATGCGATGGAAGAGGGTCGAGTAATGGTTGATGTCAGGAACCTCCAAAGCCTCTCTACAGCAACATGACAATCTGGCCCCAGACGTTCCTGCCTTGCGAGGACGCCGGCCACGGAAGCATGCATGCGGCACTGAGGGACTTTTGCATACAAAAGTGTCGAGGTTAGGTACCGGAAGAACCGGTCTTGCTCGAGATGCTATGCCAGCTTGTATGCTTGTGGTATGGGAAGCTTGGACAGGCTCTCACATGGATGGTTGCTCGGCTATGCTGACAAAATCGAGAGCTGCGCCGCAGAGTAGGAGAGCACTTCACCAAAATTGCGCTCTTGCAATCTCAGAATGCTCATTACAGGAAGAGCTTTCGCAGTCATTCGTGGACGTTGACGCAGGCTCGGTATGTCTGTACATTCATCCTGTCCAGGACAGCTGATACACCAACTTCTCAGCACTGATTGGCTTCATCCATTCTTCGTCTCTCTTGACCCTGTCGTCCATGGTACCAGAGCCCAGCAATCCGAACCCATCGGCTGCAATCTTGTCCAAACCTCCCGGCATCAGTCTGACTCTGCTCGGTTGCACGGTCCTCCTAGACGAGAGCCACCGATAGAACTCGACAGCAAATGCTCGAGCTCGGGGGTTCGCTGGCAGGTTCATTCCCTTATACTGGACCTCCTCACCCAACCCTTCCCATACCGCGCCATACGATGGTTCGACCTTGAACTCTTTGGGCACCGTCCACGCACCGCCTTGTATTGATCGGACCACCATCAGTCGTCCTGTCGGCTGCATGATACTATCGATCTTCGCCACAGTTTCCCCTTCCGAGATACAATCGTACGCATATCCCAAGCCTTTGCCAGACGTCAATGCATCCGCAGACGCCAGCCAGTCCGGGTCTCGATAGTCCAACAAGTGGTCGTAGGAGTACGGTGGAGCCTTCAGCATCTCCCATTGCTTCTTGCTGGCTACGCCGATCAAGATGATTCTTGTGTCAAGCTTAGCTTCCATCTGTTGCAATAGCTGAGCGGCAAAGAGACCGACTGATGTTGATGCTCCATAAACGAGGAAATACTGTGGCTCGAGGGTCGACAGAGTGCTTCTGGATTTCGACTCGTCCCACGGCGGCGGCAGACCCATTCGATAGAACAGAGCTTGAGCAGCAGTCAGCGCACACAGACTGACGGTAGCTGCCCCGTCCAAGCCCATGTCATCTGGCACCTTCCACAACAGATCCCAGGGAGAGATCACGTGTTCTGCGAAGGCGCCAGGTCGTTCGTTGACACTGCTTGCACCTTGGACGAATCCGGCGACACGGTCACCTGACTTGAGACCGCCGTTCGAGGCAGCATCGGAGCCGATCTCGACAACATGCCCGGCAAAGTCGCTGCCTAGGACTCGGCGGGAGGTTGCCAGTGGCTCTGCAACATACAAAGAATCGACGGGATTGAGCGCGACATATTCGACTTTGATGAGTACATCGCCGCTGGACGGTTTTGGCTTCGGCACATCGCGCACATCGGCACTGCGTTGATCTGGGTCAAGGATCAGTGCTCGCATGATAGCAGGCGTTGCGCATTGTCGGCGTGCCTGTTGCCATCAGCGAGAGCGAGCAAAGATTATTTATGTTCATGGTATGTCATCGATCAAGCTACGGACTCCACTGCACCTGCCTTTCAAGGTTCTCGGATTGCATAACCGACTCCGCCTTATCGCGAATCTTGGCAGTGTCTTTGTCAGCATTCTTCCAACTCCACGCCTTTTGAGGGACATCGTCCGTGATGAGAACCTCCACGAGTCAATCCGCACGTACCGGGTCGTTTTTGCCGGCCCGGTAGAGCGGTTAGTAAACATTGGTGTAGAATAGCACGATCGTCATCTCACCGCCACATGCCACGCCAACGTCTAGCCCTGGTTGATGATGGCCAGAAACGCAAGGACAATGCTGACAAGTGCAAAACTAGCCCGGACATCGTTCAACCCCACCCACTTCCGCAAGAGTGTCAAATTCTCCGTCGCCAGCGCCTTGTCCGATATGAGAGCCGTTGTTTCGCTTTCGCCCTCGTCACCGTCAATTGAGCGGGCTGCTCGAAGATTGAGCTCGTCGTTGAGACCTAGGATGCCGATGACTGTGAATGGCATCACAGAGAACGCAGACAAGGCTGCTAGTCGTATAGCGAGCTGGCCAAATCCGCTGAATGAGAACGAGGCTCCAAGATACGCGGCGGTGGAGATAATGGCAGAAGTCGGACCAACATAGTGCCCTCGAGCCTGGATTAGTGACCACTGTCGAAGGACGACGATTGAAGACGGCAGTGTAATTTGCTCTTCGCTTTTTGGCTTTGCTGGTCGCGATGTTGCGGACCAGACGGGGGCTTGTTTCGTCAGAAGAGCCGGGATACAGATATGGTCGATAATGAGGTTCATCGTTGCGAATGTTGCACAGGAGACTAGCCCGACCGAAGTCAGGCATGCTGTCTGAAGTGAGTCCATGCTTGAGAGCTGATCGGATCGCGGCGTGTGCTCACTTATATGTACACCATGACTGATTGGGCCAAGACCACCATTTCCGCCAGCACGCCGACTCGGAACTCATCTACGTCGTACGTTGTACAATCTGATGATAGCTGAGTTGGCTCTGAATCATATTGAGCCCACATTTCGAAGCGGCGTGTTGCTGTTGGACGAGATCGAGAAACAAGGCTTGCCAATTCAGCCGCCTCGGACGCCTTGAGCTAAGGTGCGAGGCAGTACCTGTATGCCAAGGGAAGATCAGTCCACCCGGATCAGATCTCCGTGTGACCCTACACATCAACGCCCATTTCTGGCATTTACGGTTACACAGATTATTCGTGTCGCCGTTCTCGAGAATTAATCCTCGGATGACTAATGACCCGACGGCAAGCACAAGCTCATTTTACACTGCTCCCCTGTTGGCACCCGATCAGCTGTAACGACTGAAGACATCGTCTTGCGCGGTCTGTTGCGCTGCCACAATAGTCTGCCTCCTCTTCTCCCTTTCTTCGGGTGTCCTCCCTCTCACTTGCACATTCAGTCCATACTGCTTCGCACACACCAAAAAGCCTTCGCTGTACGCTCTCTGCGGATCTGTGTCAATCTCGCTCCCTTTGCCAGAACCGCTGAACTCAAACGCCGACAGCAGTCCAGCAAAGCCCAGCCACAGATTTCGCTCCGCAAGATGTATGCCGGGACACATACGTCGGCCAGACCCATAGCCGTAGTGGTCTCGATTGTTTGGGTCGGTCGAAATAGCGAGGTCGTTCGCGAGTGGTAACGGTGGTTTGCCTTGACCGGGATAGTAGTGGTCAGGATTGAATACCGTCGGATGGGTGATGTTTGGCGGCAGAAACGATGGGGAATGATGCAGGCCCCAAACATTGATGAAGATTACGCTGCCTTTGGGGATGAAATGGCCGTCGATCCAGTCGTCTTTCGAGTGTTAGCAGACATGCCTTAGAACCACAGTAGCTTGTTAGACTTACCTTCATCGACAGCATGCGGAAACGCTAACGGCGTGACTGGCCGCCAGCGCATGGCTTCCTTTACCACTGCGCTAACGTATGGCAGTCTGTCGAAGTCCTCCCATGTTGGAAGCCTATCCGGTCCGACCACACGATCGATCTCTTCCTGTGCTTTCTTCTGCGTCTCTGGCCATCTGGTCAAGCCTTGAATTCCTGCCAACAGTATCGCTGCACTTGTATCGCTTGCACCTTCCATCATCGTACCGCCCATGAAGTACAGCTGGTGTCGATTGAGTTCCAAGTTGCCCGTTTTCTCCTGATCGTCGAGAACACGGTCCATGAATGTAAGCATGCCGCCCTTTTCCTTTCTTCTCGTGTACAGCTGGTCCAAAAGCTCACCATACAGACTGTTCATCTCATCACCGACACGGCTTGCACGACTCCGCCAGTTGTCTCCGATCCAGGACTGTGGAATGTAGTGCAGAAGTGGGAAGAAGTCGACAGGTGGTGTGTTTCCTGCTTCCATTACCACCGACCAGCGCTCCATCATGTCATACAACCGCTTCATATGCGGCGTGTTGATATTCGGTGTTCGTACGCCCCAGATCGTGCTCATAGCTATGCTGTTGCTGTACCGCTTCGGATGTATCATGTGATCCTCGGGGCGTACCATGAAGTCATGCAGCATTTGGGACATCTCGGCTTGTTGGATCGGTACGTGGTCTTCCTCTACCATCTTCTTGCTGAAGTGCTGCGAGATGTACTTGCGATAGAGCTGCCAGACTTTCCCATAGTGGGCAATGAGGATGTGGTCACCTCCAGTGATCAGGTTATGCGAGACGTATGAATGCGGCCGGTTGGAGTAGATGCTGGATTTCTTGTCGATGAGGGCCTTGACGAGTGCGCGGTCGGTGAGGACTATAGCGGTGCCGGGACCGAGTTTGAGAGAGTATATCCCGCCGTACTTCGTCGCCCATTCGGTGAACTTCAGATAGCTTCCCTTCGGCGGGATTTGATGGAGATTGCCGATGATGGGTAGGGTTGGTGGTCCAGGTGGAAGGCGTCGGTCACGGCGGCCGGTGAATAGGAGTGCGTATAGAATCAATGCGAGCAGGGCAATGCCAGAGACCGCCAATAGCGCCATGTTGTGTTGGTTTCACTCAAAACGAGCCTACCTGAGTGCGTCCGGGAGCAGCTATTGCTGAAAGAGGGTCCAACGTCGTAGAGCGGCGGCGAAGTTGGAATGTAGACAAGTCCTGCGCGGTGGGCCGGAAGGCCGTGTCCTAGTAATATTTGCGACCAGGCCCTCTCGTCGAACACGAGCTGTACGCCCGTGAAGTAGTCTGGGGCAGTTCCGAAAGTCCAAGCAATGCGGGGTTGGCGGAAGACGGGTTTGGTTCCTTGGGCGGGGAGAATTGTTGCGATATTGTTGCGTCGAGGAACTTGGTAAAGTCGAAGTGCTGATTGGCTTTTGTCATTCTAAGCACGAATTAGAGCTCTGCCTGAGAATCTGGTGCAGATCCGATCTTGACCTGAAGAGTCCCGATGTGCTGAAAGTACATCCAAGATGCATTTGTGCAACAGGGACGAAAGTGCTCCTCGGAGCAGTATCGGACAAATTCCATGACTTCATGGACAGAAAGTACGCGCCAGCAATGTCTCTTGGCTTGGGACTTGGGACCGGTACGTGAGCAGACAGATGGTTCGGGCACTCACCCTGCTGTCGCTTAGCAGTTGTCTGCTAGGAGGCATCGGCTACCATGGGAAGCTCTTAAGGCCTCGCTAATGCCAGTACCGCCATAAATTGAGCATGTTCGCGCTTCCCACTGAGCTTGACGTGGACAGCTGCACTGTATGTTCGCCGAGCAGACTTGCCGACGAAATGTCCCTGGTACTGAATGATGGGATGCTGTCGAGCAGAAGCAGTGATGTTTTTATCGCTCGCGGAGGAGTTGGAGGAGCCGGCAACGGGAGATTCTGACATCTTGCCAAGCGCAAAGTGGCTCTTGTGACATATTTATACAGACACTTGTGGACAAAGTCATCTGCAACGTCTCTCTCCGCAACTTCAAAACTTGAAGACCTCGTCAATGCAGGATGAATACACGCGCAAACAGACCGTGAATGATCTGATCCTGTTGATGACGGCTGAGAAGCCAAGCTGCGATCCGATTTAATCCGCAATAGCCATGTGAAGGCCCGAATTGCACACTGTGAATGGGTTGATCGCGAAGTCGCATATCAAACGCGGCCTGGAGTCTAGCATCACGTACCTTCAGGACACAACATCAGATTCAATCAGGCAGCTTGCAAAAGCTAACGAGTTCTGTCTATCATACTTTGATCGGATGCTTCTTATGGAAGACATTGGTCGAATCATACTTCCTCTTCAAATCCTGCAACCGGGGATAATTGTCCTTGTACATGTATTCGCCAGTAGAACCTGGCATCACGCCCGCGTTCGGATACACCATACCTTTAATGACATCTTTGCCAACAACATCCTGATGTTTCTTGCGCAGTAACGTGATAATGTCGTTGGAAGCAGCCACAGCGGCAGGTGTCTCTTCACTGTCGTCGTACCTGTCGCAGGAGTAGTTAGATCGAAGATACTCAAGAAGTAGACGAGAGACACGTACCCTAGGTAGACAGCAACGTCTTTCCAAAGTCTATAACCATCTCCTGGTTGTTCTCTTGAAGGCGGCCATGCCGAGGTCTTATTACTGGCTGGCTTCATGGTCTTGCGCCAATTGTACATGCCCACGAAAAGTGAGCTTCCGGGTCTTCTGTCAGGTTTGGCGGAGAACCATTGACGTAGGCGGTCCACGACAGGAAGAAAAACGTCTGGCTCGACTCGAGTAACCAGTGTGCCGTTCGACAATCGATGTGTACGAGGCCAGAGCGCTTCTGGAAATTGGTCCGCAGTCTCGTGGAACCACATCAGCCTGGTGTCGTCGATAACATGAGGCACATCGAAAAAGACGGAGAATCGCTTGCGAGCCTCGCCGACATCGTCGCCGTGATAGTAGGGAATCAAGAGTATAGCCTCTGGAGGTGCATTCGGGAAGTTTGGTAAGTGAGGTAACAACACCAGGAAAACCATGTCGTCATCCTTCTGTGTAGCGTTGTACTTGTCGAGCGCATTGAAGACCGCTTCGTATTGCTCCACAGGATAAACGATCGACCCAAAGAAGACCTTTGTCGTCAATGGAACAGCGCGAAAAGTGAGCTGCGTCACAACGCCGAAATTGTACCGGCGCCCTTGACTCCCCAGAACAGCTCGGGGTTAGAAGTTTCGGACACCTCAATGACGTCTCCACTGGCGAGGACGAGCCTGGCAGAGATGAGGTTGTCAATAGCCAAGCCCCAAACTCCCATACCCCAACCCGCGCCTGTGCCGAGCGCGAAGCCAGCATAACCAAGCTCCTTGTGGGACGGTATAGAGACAAAAACACCGCTTTCTTCGCAGGCTTGGGCGACTTCGCCGGTCAAGGTGCCTCCTTCTAGAGTCACTGTTCCGGGGGTTCCATATCCTGAGTTGGTCACGTAGACAGTGTTCATGCGTCTTAGGTCGATGATAACTCCATCCGAACTGGAAGCTCCAACGAACGAGTGTCCGCCAACGTTGACAGCAATTTCGAGTCCCTGCCCAACAGCGTATTTGACAGCTGCTGATACGTCAGCCTCGCTAAGAGGCTGCAAAATGACTTTCGGGTTGGCTTCCTCGTTGATTGACCAACGTTTTCGAAATAGCGAGTAGTGTTGGTCATGAGGCTCGATGATAACTAGCCGGACGTGAGCAAGGGACTGAGGCAGATCGCAAGACAGGGAAGGAACTTACAGCCCTTGAAACAGTTCCGAAGTTGGTCTAACGTGGTCGCCATCCTATCTACTACCGTCGAGGCCGCGGTTTCGTTCTCTCAAAGTGCAGTTGAACAGTTGCAGACGTAGCCGGAACAGAAACTGATGAGTCGTTCCAGGACTTTATAGGTTCTAAAGTTAACTTGTTTGTGCCGCAAAATCTAGCTCGGCTGCCCCAGATCTGGACCTCTGGGGTACGGAGACGACGTCTAGAGCTGCATCGGAAGTTGCGTGCGAGAGGGTTGTCTTCGGCCGTAGCGTGCTGAAGGCCATCGTCGGAGGACATAGTCAAGCCTCGTGGCTGCTGCGACGTCTACAAAATGTCAGTAGAAGGTCAACTTGATTGGCATCGGTCCAGAAACAAACCTTCTCCGCTGAGTCAGCGGGGATTGTAGGAAGATAAACTCCCATCCTGCGAACTCTAAAAGGACAAGATCGCCCGTGCTGTTGGGGAAAGACAGGCCAACCTGTGAAACGGCTTAAGCGATAGTATCCAATTCCTCCAGCAGTCGCTTTTGCTCCTCCGACTTGCCTCCCTCCTCGACCATCACCTTCGCGAGCATGACCAGCTCCTCAACGAACTCTCGCAAATGCCTCACATGGGCCACTTGCGCAGCGGGGTAGAGCACCTCTCGCTCGCCATCGCGCTTCGAGAGCTCGTGACAAGATTCTGCAAGCAGCCTAGCATCCGAAATTGCAGTTTCGTCTCCGGGCGGGCTGCTGACGATGTTGCAGAAGATTGCTAGGGCAGCTGAGAGTGGGAAGAAGACGATGATCCAGAAGACATGCGGCAGCATGCGTTCTTCGACGTCATGAAAATACATCAGGACCGACCGTCTCGCCTGGAGGGCTAAATCGTGACTGGAAGCAACGCCTTGCTGCACGACGTTGTCGCCGTCCCACAGCTTGCAGCGGCTACTGGCTTGATGAATAGTACCCATGCAGTGATGGTACTCGAGGCATAAGATCGACCAGTGGGCCCGGACCGGGCGTGGACTCGGACTGTCGCGGGTGTACGCAAGCGGCGGTCGGTTCTGTGGTGATACAGACTGGCGCCAGGTCTCGAGCATTTCGTCGAGCTCGCGAATATCCTTGAGGATCTCTGCATCAGGCTTGCGAAGTGCCCCTGGGGAATAGAGCTTTTGGTATGCTTCAGCCTTGATCATGCTCAGGCGAAGATCGCCAGGATACCGCCACTGATCACCATCAATTTGCGGCTGTTGTAAATACCAGGCGGGCAATGTAAGGTCACACGAAGTGCCGTTCATTGCGGGTGGGCGGCCTGTCCTGAACGAGATCTCGGCGTCGAATGTCCAACAAATCCAGAAAAGATCGCGATAGTGCTGTGCCTTTCGCATCGAGTTCGCATCGCCGTAGTGTGCTCGTGGGCTTAGATGGCCGTCGACCATATACAAGAAGCGCACGCAGATCGAAAGAAGGACATCAGCCGTTTGTAGTGCGCCAGAGCAATAATGTAACACAGTCTGTGACGTGCGTCAGGATTGTAGTCGCAGCAACGACGAATTACTCACCACTAGGACAAGTGTATCAATCACAGCTAGTCTAGGCGTGGCTTCCAATGTTCCTGGAATCAAGGCATATGCGGTCTGCTTCAATCGCTCCAGATTGGCCATATCTAGATGACCTTGAGAGCAGGCGCGGGCGAATGCAACAAAGGCGCTAATACATGCTCTTGCCAAATCATTCTTGCCGTCGTAGGCTTTTGTGAGGGTCTCATGAAAGAGACTAGGATCAAGGACGGGAAAAACTTTCGCGAAGTCGGAGTGATGGAACGTATGCAGCATCGCTAAAACCTCCGCCTTCGATGGCAGTTCGAGGGTCCTTGACAAGCTCGCATACTCTGTTGCGTTCGATGTATAGATCTGATTTTGCCAAAGCGATCCATCAAGACCATACTCGCCGGTATAGCGAATCCACATCTGGCCTCCCTTTGACAGAAAAGGAGTTGCATGATAGAGGTCGATACTCTGTCTGTTGGGACTTACAAACGAAATTCGACCACGAACTCGAGATGGATTCTCACGATTGGTGGCGCCTTGTACTCCTAACGCATCCGTTATTGGAGTAGAAGGACTGTCAGAGCCGCTGGTTTGGACAAGAGAGCCGTCGAGCCTTTCGAGTAGGAGTTTCTCAAATAACTCCATACGCTCGCCCAGTCTTGCGATTCGCTGCTTACTCGTGGTCACTTTTGTTGTCCGTTTGCGGCCATGAGGCCTGTCAAATGTGCAGCTCATTCCATGGTGTATGCAATAGTCGCATACTGGCGCCGATCCGTTTAGGCTGCATTTAATCTTTCTCCGAGAGCAGGAGTCGCACGCTATTAGCGGAGCGGCTGTAAGAGTTGTCGCGGCAGTGAGAGGAGCGGGGCGAGTCTTGCCAGCCGGAGTTGAGCCTGGAGCCATGTTGCCAAGCTAGAATATAGGCGAGTTCCAAGCAGTTCAGACCCAGCGCGGCTGGCACAGCTTGCCCGAGACGACATCAAGTTGCTCTTTGTTTATTCGTGAAAGCGTTCGGCATAGCCGGACGGTCCTGGCGTAGACGTACATACCAAGCTCCGGCCGCTAACTTACTAAACTATCAAGTAAGACCAGGACTGTTGCGAAGGGCAAATCTAAAATTCGAGAGAGCAGCCGTACAGTACGAATTAACTTTCTAAAGTTCACGGGATCGGGACTCTTCTTCATGCAACTCCCGCTGACTCAGCGGCGGCCAAAAATCTGTCCCAGGGATTTAGCCAATCAAGCTCAAGAACTCCAGAGCTACCGAGACCCACTCGGTACTGTTTTCTAGTATTTTGCCGATTTATCTCGGCACCCTTCCGCACGCCAAAGTTTTATGTCTCCTATCTGTAAATCACGGCGTCGCGTCTTTCACATTGTGCAGTGTGTCCACAATGAGATCTTCCATCATGCCGTCCCGCTCCGAGATATGCACCATGGCTTCGCGTGCGCCGATGCGCAAAGCCCGGCCACGTGTCTCCTTTATAAGGCGAAAAGTACGGAAGCGCGTCTGCCACAGTGCTTGTGACGCCCTTAAATCACGGAATTCAGCAAAACCTCAATGCCGTCTGCTGCAATGAATGACACGCCCGAGAACACAGATGAGGGCAAATCAACTTGGAGACTAGCCGCCCGCCTCAAGGAGCTGCACCAACGAGACAACCAAACGCGCAGGTTAGGCGTCACATGGAACGATCTAACAGTAAAGGCCTTGTCCTCTGATGCTAGCACCCACGAAAATGCCTTCACCCAATTCAACGTGCTCCAAAAGGCTCGAGAAAGTCGCATCAAACCTCCGTTGAAGACAATCATCGACCGCTCTTTTGGCTGTGTCAAGCCTGGGAGATGCTCCTTGTGCTGGGTCGACCTGGCTCAGGATGCTCGACGCTATTGAAGATGCTGGGAAATCGAAGAAGTGGGTACTCCTCGATCGAAGGAGATGTCTGGCATGGGTCCATGACGCACGAAGAAGCCGAATACTATCGCGGGCAGATCGCCATGAATACAGAGGAAGAGATCTTCTATCCAGCACTCACAGTCGGTCAGACTATCGACTTTGCCACACGTCTGAAGGCGCCCCAGCACTTACCGGACGGGACAGCCGACTGGAGCGAGTATCGACGGCAAACTAACGATTTTCTTCTGGACTCCATGGACATCACGCATACAAAAGCTACCAAAGTTGGTGACGCCTTTGTACGAGGCGTCTCCGGTGGCGAGCGCAAGCGCGTCTCGATCATCGAGACATTGGCTACTCGTGCTTCTGTCTTCTGCTGGGACAATAGCACAAGAGGTCTCGACGCTAGCACGGCCCTGGAGTATACAAAAGCAATACGATCAATGACTGACGAGTTCGGCCTCGCCTCGATAGTGACTCTGTACCAAGCTGGCAATGCCATTTACGATTTATTCGATCAAGTGCTTCTGTTGGATGGTGGTAAACAAGTATACTACGGCCAAAGAGCCGAAGCCAGACAATACATGGAAGAACTAGGTTTCTTGTGCCCAGAAGGTGCCAATGTTGCCGACTTTCTGACCAGTGTCACTGTGCCTACAGAGCGGCAGATCAGTCCAGGATTCGAGGCAACCTACCCATCATTGAGGTTCAGGTTGATCATCAACCTGCCAAGCCGCCCATACAAATGCCCGAGGCTGCACGAGGCTGTATGAGATTCATGTTCATCCTACAACCCTAGCCCTGATGGTCATCCTGCCGATGTGATTGGTGCTCTGGGGATCGGGTAACCCTAAGCATGGTCGCGCACCATCCAGCAAAATTCGTGCACTTTGGTCGCTGCTGGAGGACGCACGGACGCGAACCATGTTTTACACTTGCTCGTGATAGCAGTGCTCGACAAGACGCGTCGATGCATCCCACTCACACCCCCAGCGACAGGACATCGGGGCCGTGGTCCTCCACCAAACAGGGGCATTTTACTATGGGAGGAACACCAAAAATTCCAACACGCATGACGCGCTAGTGTCTTCAGGCCGCCGTAGCACCCACCGTCTGGTCTGTCCATCGCATGAACACTGTGGTCAGGTTACCGTGACTGGTCAGCCACTGTTCCTGATAATTGTGAATTGTGTTAATAGCAATGAGTCTAGAGTTGGACACGCTTCTGTGTTACTGTTTCTAGACTTGACACTATACAGAGGGATGTCCACTCTAACATTCAACACAGGTGTCAGGATTGTTCTGCCAACCGCCCCCAACATTTATATTTTGTTGCATATATCACGACTCAAGTCAGTGGGAATATGAGATGTCACTTGCTTGTACTGAGGATTGTGCTTAATATTTACAAGATGCCTATTGAGATCACAAGACTGTAGTACACACTATGTGCTCTTTGGTGCATAAATGTATAGCATCTGGTGGTGGTCGATATTACGAGTTCAAGGATACTTCTTCGGCAGAATTGGGTTTCACGGGCAAGATCAACATGATTAGGGAGACGGCTTGTTTCCCACCCATCATATGGGACTGTATTACGTGCGTACTCGATGATCAAGAGTATGGTGTTGCATGTAGTCATCTCTGTTTCAGTGTCTATATACACTTGGGACGGGCACAGGTAGCGTTACTGATCTTAGATGGCTGAGCGTGAAGTTCAGTTATGTCTGACATCACAACTAGGGCCGCTTGCTAATATTGCTAACGTAGGGTTGATCCTGTGTTGAATCTACTAAAGTGTACAGAGAGGGTCTCTATATATATTCGAGCTGGTTTATCACGATTTTGGTACTCAAGGCTGTCATGGTCATCAGTACCGTTTCTGCCGCCATAGTTGTGTCGCCGCTCGAAAACCATAGAGGGGAGATTCCGACAGTGGAGATTCTTGACAAGGTTTCGTGAAAAGGGGTAACGAGTATACCCAATCAATCTAGCTCGGTGGGGTTTCGTGTATTGGACGTGTTTTAGACGCGACAGCCATTTTGTCGACAGTCTGCGGACTATACCATGTCTTTACCATGATCGTTACTCATCATACCGCTTATTATGTCCTACCGGTCTCAGTGTCGTCGCAATATGTCCCACTCATCACCACCACCAGAGATAGAGGCTCAGTCGCAGCTCAGTAGTAGTCCGGGGTTTTCGTCGCGAGGTGGCTCGGTCAAGGCTCTTTCCCTGTCGACTATGGCCGAGCCACAGGCCAACGTCGCTGGACGGTGGCTACACTATTACACAACGTACCGAGTGTGGGTGTGTAAGCACTGTTGCCGACAGATTGGCACTGGTCCAGCCGCCGAGACACATTTTCGGGCAGTACATAAGCTCGGTGGTACTGTACTTAAGCACTTGCTCACCCACATCGGCTCGGGGGTGGACGAGAATGGTGGCCGGCAGCCAGAGGATGGAATGGCGCCGGTAGAATGGGCGCAACCACCGGTACTTGGGTTTACATGCTCCGGTTGCCTGTACCGGACGCGCAATCGAGGTGAGGCTGTGAAACATAGTCGAACCAGTGGGGTGGGACATGGACCGTGTCGCCGAGTGTGGTTACAGTCGTGGTCGCCAGGCAATCGGGCACGATACTGGATTGTTCGCACTGGAGTGGAGGCGGAGATATCGTCATCAGAGGCAGTACCACTGTCATGTGAGGTCGGTGTCGACAGTGACGCCAGTCCGACACCGACCGTCAGCGTGGCGTTCGCGGCGCGCATGCAGGCGTATACCACGACTATGGAACAGGAGCTGGCCGCATACTGGGACACCGTGCGGCAGGCTTCCGCCGTGGAACAGGTCGGTGCGTTTGTGAAGCATACTGCTTTGCCGCACATCTAGAAGGAAAGTCATTAGGAATGTTACGCGGGGCTGGGCTCATGCCGCACGGGCAAACAGTGCGACCAGGGGGGCGGGCACGACGGGCGGCCGTCAGAGGTGCTGACACGCTCATTGACACGGCCGAAGAGACAGTGGCGTTGGGACGGGTGACCAAGAGCATGCTACGTGTGACCGCGTCCGGGGTGAATCGACTGCCGACCGTGCCGACAGACACGTTAATCTGGCTGCACAGCATTCGGAGTGAGTACGCGGATCGGGGCACATTGCCGTTCAGCTCGAAGCAAGAGGTCGAGACAAATGTGCGGTACACGAGTATTGGGTCGCGGTACGTCTGCTACTGCGTGCGGATGGCGCGCATCGGGCAAACGGCGGCGGCAGCACAGTACGGCGTCCATTTCAGTTCCGCGCAGTGGTCGGCGGTGGAGGAAGTGGTAGCAGCAATGGAGTGCGCTGAGGAGATGGATCTGTCTGAGGAGGAGGATGCCCGGCTGGACGCCGCAGTGCTCGCATTATGGATCGTGACGGTTGAGCAGAACATCGCGCACAAATGGCGGAATCCGTTGATCCATTTCTGTGCCGTTTTGGCGATCAGGGAGACGGTGGCGACGACAACCCCGGACGACATCACCGGTGTGGCGGCAACAGCCGATATTCCGGCAAGCTACCGTTGGACGCCGGCACGAGACTACACCCCGACGCTGGCAGCACTAGTTTGGGTCATTCGTATCATGATGCTGGAACAGTGGTGTCAGGCACACGACACACAAGCGGCCGAGATGGTGGGGCAGTTGGCGGCACATATCGAGGCGTTCCGCGAGATGCACACTGATTGGCTGGCAGTTGGGTCATACTCACCGATAAGCGTGATACTCGAGTGGATGTCGTATGGACGGGGAATCCGCGAGAAGGAGGGTGGTATGCCAAAGGTGATGTGGGAGAGTGACCGGCAGGCGATCCGATATCTGGGCGACCGTGTGACCGGGGCAAGGTTTCAGCAGATGGCGCGGACGGGGCTCGATCGGCTGGACGAGATGCTACACACGATCATGGAAGGCGAGTGGGCACGCGATCAGACGACACTCGACTTGGGCCGCATCACCGACAGTTTCATGTTCGAGAGCGAGGGACGGTCGTTCTTGACCGACGCGCGCAACCGGTGGCTGAAGCCAGGCTTCGAACTCATGGCGGGGCGAGCGGCGAGGACACTGCTGCAGCAGGGTCGGACAGCGTGGCACCGGAAACGCGCTCAGCGGCGGCTGCGCTTGATCGAGCGGTTTGAACGGGCGCTCATGCGGGAAGTACATGTGTGGGGTGGACAACCGGGACGGGGATTGGAGTTGACGACGATCCGATATGCCGACACGGTGGAGGTCCCGCGCAACGTGTACGTGTTTGAGGGGGATGTACTGATTATCAGTGACCGGGACAAGAACCGGACAGTGCGTGGATTTGGTCGCAAAGTGGCGCGATTTCTGCCGCGGCGGCTTGGGCGGATGATGGTGGCATATCTGGCGTGGATCATGCCGTTCAAGACATTTATGATGCGGGACGCGGCCGTGGGCACGACATCCGTCGAGACGTACACGTACGTGTGGAAGGATGGGGTGGCGGCAGGACGCGCAGTGGGACCGTGGACGACGGAGACGCTGACGCAAGAACTGCGTGAGCTCAGCGGTGAAGTGATCGGAGTGCCGTTGGGGACGGCTGACTACCGACACGTGGCGATCGCGTTCGGGGCGGAGATCAAGGGGATCATGATCCGGCGGGCCGCCGTGGAAGACGTGGAGGAGGACGAGATGGAAGGGGCAGGGGTGCAACGGCCACACGAGGGGCATTGGGACTGCGTGTGGGACTTGCAGGCGACGCACGGGCGGATCATGGCGCGACAGCACTACGCGATCGACGGGCGGTTTCCGTGGCAGCTGCAACCGGAGCAGATGTTCAACTTTCGTGAGATCTCGCGATTATGGCACGCATGGCTCGAGGGGCCGCGCGTGGTCTCGGGCGGGGGGTTGGTGACACCGCCGTCGAGTGTCGGCTCGTCCGCTGCGTCTCGTCGTCGGCCGCGCGAGGAGACACCGACCGAGGTGGGTGGGTCACCGAGCAAGCGGAGACGCATGTCGCGGGAGGACGAGCACGCAGTAACATCACCGTGCGTGGCGCCGGCACATTGTTCAGCCGGCTCGTCCGCCGAGGAATCATCGCCGGCGTCACGGTCGGCACGGGAGTTGGCTCGACGGGAGCGAGCAGTGGCGCGACGGGAGAAGGAGGTTCGACGCCGGGAGCGCATCGTGTCGTCACTGTCGCGAGCAGTCTACGATCCGGTCGTGGAGGCCGGCATCGACAATGTGACACGGGCTGTCACACCGGGGACGGTCAGCACGACCGCACCGGTGGTCAACACTGTTACAGTTGAGACGAACGTGCGAGAGACTGCACCGCCGGACGCATTGCTTCGACACTTGCAGCAGATGTACGGACCGGGCGCGGCGTGGAAGACGGTAGAGCAGCGTCAGGCAATGCTACAGGTCTTGCACGTGCCGGTCGGACAGGCGTTGGTGGTGGTGCTGCCGACCGGTGGTGGCAAGAGCGTGCTCTTCACGTTGCTGGGGCTAATACAACCGACACGGACACACATTGTGGTCGTGCCGTTCGTGGCGCTCAAAGGCGATTTAATCACGCGTATGCGGGCGGCCGGGGTGACCGTGATGGTGTGGCGGTCGCGCGTGGAGGGCGAAGAGCCGTTGACGGCGACCGCACCGGTCGTGGTGGTGAGCGCGGACTCGGTCAACAGTGAATCGTTTCGCATGTACGTGGAGCAAGTGCGCGCGCGGGGTCGTCTAGGTACAATCTTTGTCGACGAGGCACACACCGTGATCACGGACGTGTCGTATCGGGTGGCGCTGCGAGATCTGGGCGAACTTAGGCGCTATGGCCGACCGCTCGTGTTGCTGACGGCAACACTACCGCCGACGTTGGTGTCGTGGTTTCACAACGCGATGGGGTTGGTGGCCGGCATGACTCGCATGGTGCGGGCGTCGACTGTCAAGGCGAACATTGTATATCGTGTATCGCGAGTGACCGGCTCGTCGAAGCGTGACGAGGATCAAGAGGCGATCCGGCACGGGGTGTGTCAGACCGTTCAGACGCTGGGGTCGCGGATGCAGGGGAACATGAAGGGGATCGTGTACTGTCGATCACGGGCCGGGGCCGAGCAGCTGGCGGCGACACTCGGATGTGCATGCTATCATTCCGAGCTGGCGGAGACGGCACGAGCGGAGCGGCTGGCCGCGTGGTCGTCGTCCGCGGTGGGCGTCAGTCGCTGGATTGTCGCGACAAGCGGGCTGGGGACCGGTATTGACATTGAAGGAATTGTGGCGATTGTGCACGCTGAAGCGCCGTGGGGCATGGTCGACTTTGTGCAGCAAACCGGTCGCGGAGGACGACGGCCGGGCGAAGAAGTCGAGTCGGTGGTGGTATTGGGTCAACAAGAACCGTGGTGGCCGCAGGACGTGGACGATGCAGCGCAGCTCAACATGGCAGCGATGGAGCGATTTTTGCAGACGACTGGATGCCGACGAGCTGTGATCAGTGAGTTCATGGACGGGCAAGCGGTGTCATGTGCAGCAGTGGTCAACGGGGCTATGTGTGACCGCTGTAGTGGAAGTGTCGATCACGCGGGAGAAGAAGCACTGCAGGAGCTGCAAGAGGAGGAGAAGAGGGAGCATCCGGACCGGGAGATGCATCGTCACTGTAATGACAGTAATGGTCACGATAGCGAGAAGGGCGATCATAATGAGGAGAGTGATGATAGTGACGAGAGTGAGGAGAGTGATGACAGTGAGGAGAGTGATGATGATGACAACAGTGATGACGGCAATGTGGGTGATCATGGTCATGGCGGTCAAGACGGGCGTGACGAGCTGAGCGCGTGGCGAGGTCAATCACTTGAAGCACGTCGACAGCATGAAGGTCAGGCGCGGTATCAGTGGCAGCGGTGGTTGGAGGAAATGGGCGAGCATTGTAGCATCTGCTTCTCACGGTGGTGTCGGGCTCGCTCATTTGCGGCATGGCAACGGTCTCGCGACACTCGGTTCCGCGATCGCATACAGCATGATACAATTTCATGTACCGAGATTGACGGCGAGTCGTTTGCACGGTGGAAGACACAGATTCGACTGGCACGCTTCGGGGGTTGCTACGATTGTGGACTCATTTCGTCGTTGTGTGACGGGTGGCACCGGGAAGGGTCTTGTGGACATGGAGATCGCATTAAACGACTCTTGTTTTGGATGTGGCAGCATCCGTACTGGCGACTCATGATGGATGAGACGTTTGGGTGGGCGGGTCTCGGGGGCATCGGGGATGAGCAGTCATATGCCGTGTGGCTTGGTCGACCGCGGCAAGTGCAGGGCATCACGGCGACAAATGGGTTTGCGGTGTGGGACATGATGGTGCAGCGATGTTTTGGTAGCGGCACTTGATGATCATGGGATGAGATACACACGTGGACAAAATTTGTCCGTGCAGTGATCGGTCGAACAACGTCCGGTTTAGTAGATGACGAGGAATCAAGAGGTCTGTGGGTTATGTCACGATCACTATTAGCCGTATGGCTGTAGACGATTCCGGCACCGATCATGAAACGAATTTGGGTGAACACAATAAATTTTTCGAGAGCACAAAAATGGCGTGAATCGATGGACAACGATTAGAAGTAGAGACTCAAGGTCGATATGAGTTTGTTGCCGTCAACAGGATGGTGTTCTGGAGGGCCGAAGTGCGTGCGTGGTCATTTTGTACATGGTTTATCAGGTTGCAATGGAGGAAGAATATATGTGTGACATAGAGCAGAGTGATGTCGATTTCCGTGCCGTGTGTTGACGACAGCACTGTACATATTTCACACAAACATGATTGCATCAACTTGACATTATCGTCAGTTCGTGGTGTACAATGTTTGATCACGATTGACCGCGTGGTTGATGTTCAGAAGTGTTCACCGATTTACACGTTTTTCGCACGCGAATTTCAGCGATTTTTCACGGGTGCAATAAATTTTTTAAGGGATTGCCGTTGACAGCAATTGATTCCGCATTGTCGCATGTTGATATACTGGCGGGGTTGTGATTATATTGCCGATGTGGGTGGCGTAGGAATTTTCACAAGTTTGGTGGTGTACTGTATGGGTTAAGCGATTTTCATGGGTTCGGCGTGTTTCGGGTCAGATATCCGGTGTGATCGAGAATTGAATTTTACGTGATCAACGTTTTCAGTTGGTGTGGAATTGTTGTGTTTTGCGAGAAGAGGAAATGCAGGAGTATGTGCAAGGGTTGAATATGTGTATATTCACGGTTTGATGAGTGAAGTCCGGATGAGGCAGGACAATGTGGTCAGGGCGAGGGTTGTAGAGTGGTTGGTGAGAGTTAGGTGTAATGGTGAGGGTTATGGCGAGGGTCATGGGTTGTGGGAGTCAGGTGTAATGGTGAGGTTTATATGTTGATGGGGATTGGGTGTAATGGTGAGGGTTATGGGTTGATGGGGATCGGGTGTTAGAGTGAGGGTGAGGTATGGAGGTTGAGATTGATTCGGTGTTGGATGGTGATTTGGGTTTTGACGAGAGAGGAGCGTGCGACGACAAGAGTCAGCATGTGCAGGGGAGCGACATGGCAGCATAGGATCGAGGCGCGGGATTCCGATTTAGATGAGAGAGGAGCGCGCGAAGCGCGCGACGACGAGAGTTCGGGTGGGTAGGGGGGCGAGGTGGGGGAGTGTTGTGGAGAGCAAGCCGATGCGAAGGAATCCGTGTCAGGTGGAGACGCGCCGATCGAAGCGGAGCGGAGTAGAGAGGAAGGGGTTAGAAGGAAGAGAGAAGGGTGCAGAAGGGATGAGAGTAAGAGGGGAAGGAAGTGAGTGACGGTGAGTAATGGTGAAGGGGTTAGATGGAGAGGAAAGAGGGAGGGAGGAAGGGAGGAAGGAGGGAAGGAAGGAAGGAAGGAGGGAAGGGTGAGAGTGGTAGTGGAAGAGAGGGGAGAAGAAGAGAGAGTAAGGATTAGGATTGAAAAGAGGGTTAGTAAGGAGAAGAGGTAAAAGGAGAGAGGAAGAAAGTAAAGGAAGAGAGAGAAGGGTGGGGGTTTAAGGTTGATGGAGAAGGGGAGAGGTAGAGAAATAGAGAGAGTGGGAGAAGGAAGTAGAGGTAAGGGAAGAAAAGTGGTAGAGGAGGAGGAGGAGGAGAGGGTTTGAGGAGAGGGAGAAGAGGAAGGAGAAGGATGGTAAGATTAAGAGAAGTAAGAGGTTGAAGTTGAGAAAGAGGGTTAGGGTTAGGGTTAGGGTTAGGGTTAGGGTTAGGGTTAGGGTTAGGGTTAGGGTTAGGGTTAGGGTTAGGGTTAGGGTT